CTCTCTCTCTCTCTCTCTCTCTCTCTCTCTCTCTCTCTCTCCCCTTCCCTCTATCTTTACCTTCGCAGACGCAACTTTTTGTGTTTTCGGAAAGATTCATGAAAAAGTTTCAGTTTTTCAAAAATGTGAAATATTGGAAATTTTAAAAATCAAGATGTACGGATGGAAAATAACAGTCATAAGGCGGATGGCCAATGACTATATGGATGTTCTTTTCATGGAACGTTGACAAGCTTATTACGGCCCGCACGACAAAGCGCGAACACAACATTTTAGTGCTCAAGTCCGCGTTGGATGGATTTGGTGCTGTGAGACATAGCTGAAGGGTGTGGTCGGGCAAACTCTTGCACTGGCCGTGGATGTGTGTCACTGTGTACGCAGATATAGACGGTAAGCGTTTGGTCGAGAGTACAGGTTCGCGCCCGCGTTTGAGTTCGTCTTTGTGCTAGCGGCCGCAGATTATACTCGAACCAACACATAATACGTTCTTGAAGGTCTGTCCACGAACATGGTCGCGTTTGGTCGGTAGTAGTCACTTTGTACAATTCTGTCGCGGGTCCACCGTTCGTCGTCTTCCCGCGATCTTGTCACTGTTGTCTTTCCGCAAGCTTTGAGAGACTACGATTGTGTGTCGTTGATGCGCCGGAGATTCCGACTCCTGGTTCGAGTTCTGTCTCATCGATCTCACGCTCATTGCATTGCTTTCGCGGTGTTCGTCTCTTTTGTTTTGAATACCTCATCGCGGCATGCCATACATAACGCCAAAAAATGTGTGTAATAAAAAATCGAAGCCTTGTTACGTTTCACAAAATTTCAAACTCTCGAGGTCTTCAGATTCAAAGCGCTAAAACGTTGGGCATCCCCAGGCATCATTTCTAACAGGGTGGCGAAAGGTACAAACCAACACAGTTTTTTGATCCGTCAATCCACTCGCACAAATACGCGTTTTTTTTGTGAACTCACAGTCCGCGTATACTAATTATAGATTGAGCTCATCTTTGATCCCATCGTTGATCTCGTCCTTGATCTCATCTCTCGCTCTCTCTCCCTTTTACTTTCACAATGGCATTCGGTGACTTTGCATCCATCTGTTCCAAAACTCCGCTCCCGCTGTGTTCGGTGGTCAAATCATCTAAGCACTTGGTACTGGGAACCCAGCAAACCATGCAGGATTTCGATCCCAAGAACATCACCATCGGCATTCTGCCCAAGTGCTACGCGCGTTCCATCGATGTGGCCAATACTGTGGTCTTCCAGATTGGTAACGCGTTCGTGAATATCGGAGCGCTCGGGGTCATCTTGTTCATGATTTATTCTACGCGCCAAAAATATACCGCCATCGGCAGGTCCGAGTACAGCTTCTTTTTCGAGCTGTGTTTAGGACTTATAGTATTCACCCTGGTGGTGGATTGTGGTGTCTCTCCACCCGGATCACGTTCGTACCCATATTTTGTCGCCATTCAAATTGCATGTGCCAGTGCTTGTTGTTGGACAATGTCAGTTTTAGGGTTTCTCGGATTTAGATTTTGGGAAGACGGAACCCACAAATCAATGGCTTTGGTTCGCGGTGCTGCATTCATTGGTTTTGTGATCAGTTTCTTAGTGGCTATCTTTTCATTCAAAGCCTGGGATACGGCGTCTTCATTCACAAGTTCAAACACCATGGGGCTTTTCATCGTCATGTATGTGATCAATGCGCTAGCCATTTTTTGTTACATTCTCTGCCAACTTGTGGTTTCAATTTTTGTGATCAGTAATTTATGGGCCGCGGGCGCGGTCTTGGTCGGTGTGTTTTTCCTGTTCGCGGGACAACTCTTGACTTATGCGTTTTCTGACTCAATTTGTATTGGCGTCAAACATTATTTGGATGGGTTGTTCTTTGGAAGTCTTTGTAACATTTTCGCATTGATGATGATCTATAAGACTTGGGACATGACTACTGATGACGATCTTGAATTTAGTGTGAGTGTCAATAAAGATCACGATCTAGACAATACATTGAGCTACAAGTTTTGAAACACTTAAAGGCCACAAATCTGTTGCCTCAGCATAGTATATACAAATATAGACCTCCAGCATTTAATTTAAAGACATTCAAATGTATTATACGTCCATGGAACCCAGACCCTTTCATATATATTGATGAGCAACTACTAAAACTCTATATCTCGCCTCAAATCACCTCATTTGCTCTCCTCTTCCTTTCGAAGCCTTTTTTTAGCTGCTTCCAATATATCAGCATCCTTAGTGTACACTGTGTTGCTGAGCATCTCTCGCTCGTTGAATGGATAACTACAGTTCAGATTCGAGCACATAACTACGCTGTAATTCTGCTGTATCAAACATTTTTTGAGCTCCTCACCACACTGTGGACATCCTTTATCGCTCATACGTATGTGTTTCGTAGTTTTGCCATTTTTGAAAACCTGCAAACCGATTAAAGTTGCATACCTTTAAAACTTCTTTCTTTAGAGCATGATCTAATTTTAAGCAGAACTAAAGAAAATTAAGCATCACAGCATGTCGAGAGTTGGGCCAGAGACCTCTAAGAGGCTCCAAAGAGATCCTTCATGTATCCGAAATATTTGCATTTTAGCGCACGTTGACCACGGTAAGACCTCGCTTTCAGATTCCTTGCTAGCATCCAATGGTATCATATCTCAGAAACTAGCCGGGAAAGTGAGATTCTTAGATTCAAGACCGGACGAACAACTGAGAGGTATCACTATGGAATCTAGTGCCATCTCTCTGTACTTCAGGGTCTTGCACAAACAAGAAGGCAAGGACGAACCGCTTGTCAACGAGCACCTTATCAATCTAATTGATTCTCCGGGACATATCGACTTTTCCAGCGAGGTCAGTACAGCGTCTAGACTTTGCGATGGAGCGGTAGTACTGGTGGACGTTGTTGAAGGGGTATGCTCGCAAACAATCACCGTACTAAGGCAATGTTGGGTGGAAAAACTGAAGCCGATTCTGGTGCTTAATAAAATGGATCGGTTAATTACAGAGCTTCAATTGAGTTCACAAGAGGCATATTTACATTTGAACAAAATCATAGAACAGGTAAATTCCATCATCGGTTCTTTCTTCAACGGACAGCGTTTGCTTGACGACTTATCCTGGAGGGAGCAATTAGAGGAGAACACCGCTGCAGAATTTATCGAAAAAGACGACTCTGACATCTATTTCAAACCAGAAAATAATAATGTTGTTTTTGCATCTGCCATAGATGGTTGGGGATTCAACATAGGCCAGTTGGCCAAATTTTACGAGCAAAAGCTAGGCGCTAAGAGAGAGAATTTGCAGAAAGTGCTCTGGGGTGACTTCTACATGGATCCTAAGACTAAAAAATTTATCAACAACAAAGGCTTAAAAGGGAGAACTCTAAAACCTTTGTTTGTCAGTCTAATCCTTGACAACATTTGGAAGATTTACAACAATGTACTAATAGAGAGAAATGCCGAGGTGTTGGAAAAAATAACTAAAACTTTGAACATTAAGGTCCCTCCTCGAGATCTACGGTCTAAAGACCTGAAAAACTTGCTGCGAACTATCATGGGTCAGTGGTTGCCTGTCAGTGTTGCTATATTATTCACGGTTATCGAGAAATTGCCCTCGCCCTTAGGATCTCAGGGCGAGAAAATGGAGAGAATCATTGGTACCGCACCAGGGCATGAGCTAGTCGATCCAAACCTATATGCTGCCATGGAAACTTGTGACAAAGATGGACCCGTTTGTGCTTATGTGTCAAAAATGCTTTCTATACCAAGGGAAGAACTTCCTTTAACTGACGGGACTCCAATCTCACCAGATGAATTAATGCAAAGAAGCCGAGCTGCTCGCGATCAAGCTTTGAAGGCAGCCAAGGCTGCAGAGCTAGTGGAGAGCATGTCTCGAGCACAAAAAGCTGCCAAAGAGGAATCTGATTTCTATCCAAGGGCGCAAGAAAGTGCTGCGACTCCAGATGTTGATACAGAAAATAAAGCGGCATTGGCAAAGTCTTTTAAACCTTCCATGAATGACGAGTTCGAAATCGTCACTGAGCCTGCCAAAGCATTTGATTTGTCTTTGGGCCTAGGTGAAGACGAAGAGTTCGAAGTTGATAATGCTGAGCATAGTGGGTACGAATTCGACGTTACGTCAGCCGGCCTCGATCCCAACGACCCTTTGAACGCGATATTTGAGTATGAGGAAGAAGATCCCTTCGCAGCAAGTGAGATGAATGCTCTCGAAGAAGAGGCTGAAGAAACTGAAGAAGAGTTTGAAGAAAGTGACGAAGTTATGATTGGCATTGCCAGACTTTATAGCGGCACTTTGAAGGTAGGGCAGAAAATCTCAGTGCTAGGCCCAAAATATAACCCACACAATCCAACTGAATTTATCGAAGAAGTCGAAGTGACTGACCTGTTCATTTTCATGGGAAGAGAACTAGTTCCTTTGAAAGAATGTCCGCCAGGAAATATTGTCGGCATCGGCGGTCTGGCCGGGAAAATTCTGAAGAATGGTACAATAGTTGATCCCAGCGTACAAGGCGCAAACTTGGTTGGTGTCAATCTTCATGTTACTCCTATCTTGCGTGTCGCTCTTGAGCCAACGAATCCAATGCAAATGGGCAAATTAGCACGCGGACTGAGGTTACTAAATCAAGCAGATCCTTGTGTTCAAACGTACGTGGAGGATACTGGTGAGCATATTCTTTGTACCGCTGGAGAGCTTCATTTGGAACGATGTTTGAAAGATCTCTCTGAGAGGTTTGCAGGCATAAGCATAACTTCTTCAGAACCAGCGATTCCCTATAAGGAAACTTTCCTTTCAACTTCGGACATGAACCCGCCAAAAGATGCAGAAATTGGCAGAGGGTTTGTCCAATCCTATTTGGACGATTACGCTTTGAAAGTGAGGGCAGTTCCACTGCCTGAAAAGATTACAAATTTTCTGCTAGAGCAAGAAGCCAGTATCAAGGCTATCGTCGAACGGAAAGAAGAGTCCGCAAGAGTTTCTAAGTTCAGAGAGTCGTTGGACGAGCTGCTTTCAGAGGCCTCAATGAAGGATAAAATTTGGGATCATTGCAGTTTGGACATCTCGGCTTTCGGTGACAAAAGAATGGGGCCTAATATCCTCATTTCGAAAGTTTCGGATAAAAGTGAGAACTCTAAGAATTGTTACATTGGCAACCTGGAATACGGAAGTTCTATTATAAACGGATTTGAGCTTGCAGTAAATCAAGGTCCGCTTTGTCACGAGCCGGTTCAAGGTATGTGCGTTTTCGTCGAGGATATTCACAAGATGTCCAGTCAAGAAATCGAAGAGTTAGAGCTTCATAACCATCAAGTTGAATTGCCCAATCTTGCCGGGCGGTTGATAACAACAACTAGGGATGCTATTCATGCTGGATTTCTGGATTGGTCGCCTCGTATCATGTGGGCTATGTATCGATGCGATATTCAGGCTTCCGTCGAGGTATTGGGCAAAGTATACGCCGTCGTACAACAGAGGCGAGGTCGTATTACTTCCGAAGAAATGAAAGAAGGCATCCCACTGTTCCAGATTGAGGCCCAAATTCCAGTAGCTGAAGCCTTTGGCTTCAGTGAGGACATTCGCAAGAAAACATCCGGGGCAGCGCAACCGCAGCTTATTTTTGCCGGTTTCGAGTGTATTGACCTTGATCCCTTCTGGGTTCCCACCACCGAGGTAGAGCTCGAAGAGCTCGGTGATACCGCCGACAAAGAGAATATCGCTAGAAGGCATATGAACATGATCCGGAAACGAAAGGGACTTTCTGTGAATGAAAAAATTGTGGAAAATGCTGAAAAGCAGAGGACTTTGAAACGTAATTAGCCTATCAATATACACCCTCCTTGTGGCCTTGCTGGGGCTTACCATCTACTTCGCTTGACACGCAATGGGATTTGGACCTTCGTATATAGCTACATAGAAATTTACAACATGATCTCATGAATGGGATTTCTCACAAGAACCATGCTCATCGGATCTCCGCGAGTTAGCATTGTTGAAGTTTCGAACACCTCGAAGTTCAGGCTTATGTCCTCTTTTAAGGACACATCGATAGAGATAATTTCTGAGGATGGACCGGCAGACTTCAACGTTATGATGCAAGAGGGTGTTAAAGCCTTGACAAAGATTTTGACGAATCATTTACAAGATAACCCCGGATTTCTCAAGCAGCAATCAATGAAGATGATGTTTAAGGACGATGCTGGTGGTGGTTTGGACCCACGGAAAGTTTTTGAAGTAGATGGGAAGGGTGACAACTGGCTCAGGGAGATTGATGAAGAAGCGTTCGAAGCGTCTGAGCTGGATAACAAAAGTAACTACCACACGTATCAGGCCGAAGTACCGACAATGAACGGTGAATTAACAAAACCTGCTCTCTCAGAAGATGCGGCGGCAAAACATGCAGAAGGAGAAGGAGAAATAGTGTTTGACTACGGTGAGCAAGATCTGATGTCGCTTCCCGGCGATTTTGGCGACAATCTCAAGAAGATGGTAGCATCTAGTATTGCACAGCAAGACTTGAGTGGAGCCCAGCGTGATTTAGACATCGATTTTGATGTGAACGTTGACGTAGACGTGAATCTCGAGGAGACACATGGCGACCGTGGGCACAATGCAATACCGCATGGCTCACAACACCGTCCAAACCGTCAGAACTGCCGTCATCATGACCCGGGGGCCTTTGAGTATCCGCGCAATCCAAAAAGAACACCCGATTTTGCAAGCCTAATAACAAACGACGAGCCTTTGTGTATGTTTTGCGAGTACTACTTTGTCTTCGGAGAGCCTCCCAAGAATATGATACGTTGGTTTCAAAGAGACGGAGGCAACACGTCATCTGCGCCGTGTAACTCCCATACCCAGCACTAAAGTCAAGAAAAGCACGATGAACTCCTGCAAAGTACATTTTTCAACACGTCCGAAAGGTAGCCTTTAACGCATAAAGTGGTCCAAATTCGACTGGTACGAGAAATATCTCACTTTCTACGCTTTTTACCAGCTTTTTGGCCATTCACCAGCTTTTTTCATTATTTTGATTTTATGAAAAATAAACAAACAAACAAACAGCGTCAAAAACATGGCTAACGAAAGCTGAACTTGACTCAAAACTCAAACAAACGTAAGCAAACAATGTGCAATGCGGCTGGTTTGGATAGTGTCGGCCGCATAGATGTAGACCGTTTTGCGCAGGGGCCTCTGAAGAGATATGCGGCTTCTCATGGGCTGGTTTGAAAGTATAAACGCCGAAACCACCCATTACTATGAGCATGTTTTCTCGTAAATCGCGTACCACGCTGTTGAAGTTGTTTCTGATACCGTCTAATGCTATAGGCATGTTTTCTCGTAAATCGCAACCCGAGCTGCTCACGTTTGTTTCTGAAACCACCAAATACTATGTGCCTGTTTTCTCGTAAATCACATACCGAGCTGTTCGCGTTTATTTTTGCAATATACGGGAATCTCTCTGGCTAATAATGGAATGCTGATGAAGTATAAGAGGGAAGGGCTCGCTCTGGAGTATCAACAGCCTTACGTTCTTCCTTCGTTCTTACTTACCAAACACAACACATTCGTTTCCAAATCTTTAGTCGTTCCTTAGCAATCGGTGACTGGCCATCTCACTTTTAGCCAACCGTTTTTCAACTACGTTCATTCTTTCAATCCAACTTCAGTCTTTCCTTCCCACACAAATGCAATTTTTCAAAGCGGCCACTGCTCTGGCTTTCCTCACCTCTTTGGTGCAAGCTGACTCAAACGTGAGATACATCACTTCTGATGGTGTGGTGTACAGTTTCGCGGTCGTCACTAGTACCATTAAACCAGCTACAACTTTCCTCAGCACATTATACTACACCACGACTGAGGTGATTCCAATAACATTGGCTAATGAGATCGTATCCTCTACTACCATGGCCGTCACTAAAGCGTCTACTTTCTCGGTCACGAGCAGTCCTACTGATGCTCCTTCGTCTCAAACGTCCAGTACACAGAGCAGCTCAAGCAGCTCCTCTAGCACTCCTTCGAGTAGCTCCTCCAGCACTCCCTCGAGTAAGTCCTCCAGCACTCCCTCGAGTAGCTCCTCCAGCACTCCCTCGAGTAGCTCCTCCAGCACTCCTTCGAGTAGCTCCTCCAGCACTCCTTCGAGTAGCTCCTCCAGCACTCCTTCGAGTAGCTCCTCCAGCACTCCTTCGAGTAGCTCCTCCAGCACTCCTTCGAGTAGCTCCTCCAGCATCTCTGCAAGTAGCACTTCGAGTGGTGCTTCTAGCAGCTCCCCAAGTTCTTCGAAACAACCAAGCAGCACCTTTTCCATGGCTGGCAATACTGGCAGTGCTTCTTCAAGCACGACTGCTCAATCCTCAGCAAGCAGCAGTCCCATTGTTACCAGCACTTCTTCGATCACAACTCTATCTCCAAGCAGCAGCTCAGCATTCAAATCTGACACCGCCTCTATAGATGGAGAAGCCTACACGACAGAATATGATGAAAACGGTTCTTGTACCGTGTTTTACGACGATAGTGATTACTACACCACTATCTATTTAACAGATCCAAGCCAATCTGTTGACGCGTTCACCACTTACACTAGCACACAAACGGTTTTCCAAACCATATCGACCTAGGAACATCAAGGTCGAACAAGCGAGGGAAAACATGTAAAATAATGATTAGTCTAATTTATTAATTGATTAAGTGGTTTTTGATAATTACAACGCCATGGCTAAACTCCCTATTGCTAAGCCGCCAGTTCTGTATGGAGAACTCTTTTCCTTCTTTGATTCAAGCTCATGTAGAAGCATCGACATACTGGCCAATACTAAAGTATCCCAAGGAACATCTCTTATGCCTGGCGAACACTCGGATAGCTCTCTCAATTTAACATTCGCGTGTCTTAAAGTCCGATTCTTGGGAATGATAGAGGCATGTTGGTCACTATAAGAGCCCCAAACCGGCAGCTGCGCTATAGGACGAAGGGGTTGTGCTTTCTTCTTGGCCTGGACATATTCTGCATCTGTTGCATAATCCAAGAAAGAGGGCATAACATCGTCCAGTACCATAAGCTTAAATTTGTTGGTGCCGAAAGGTGATGAAAGTCCGGAGGTCCCGTACCATCTAAGCTTCAAATCATTGATTTTGATGTCACAATCTCTCCTGTGGACGTGGCTTCCCATTGATAAATTGAAAAAGTTGTTATTGGGTCGATTGTCGATGCGGTATAAAAACCTGTAATCTACATGGCCAGTCCTGGTTTCGATGTGCTGAAAAACTTCGCAAAAATCCAGTTTAAACACTTTGAGTGGGCCCCTGGACGCCATAAGTTTGCAACAGTCATCTTCTTTGTAGTTTACAGCCCAATCAGGGTCCTGGGAGGTGTCTACAAGTGTAAATCTCTGGATTCGCATTATGGGTGAGTGACGGTTGATAATGGTCTTGAACACGCTGAGAGTTACCGCGTGCAACAACGGGAACCCCAGCGCATGTGGATCATTGAGTGAATCAAGGCGGCGCTTGTTGCGCCGATATTCTAAGAATGACTTTTCAGTTGGGAATGCCATGAAGCCCTTGCTCAACATGGTCGAGACAAAGGGTAGATTCCTGAGATCTTTGAACTCCGGACACCGATTATCGAAGCCCTCTTGGCGCGAGCCACTGAATGTACTGATACCGGATGCCGTTCCTTGATGTGAGCTTACCTCGTCAAACGACCGCGACTCTACCGTGTCTGTAAAAGTTGCCGCTTCGCTGTCGCTCGCGATGGGCTCTCTCAGAACTGGCGATGCCTGCGCCCCATGACCCTCTGCGGGACCAGATTTCCGCATTATGTTCTTGACTTTGTCCATGATCTAGTCACAAGGTAAAGCTATCTTGCCAGCAACTGCTTTCCCGCAACGCCCGTTTCACCTGTGTAACGCCATTGTTCAGTTCATCTACAGGACGACCCAAGATTCTAATAACGACCGTTGATCATTTTATACGGTTCATCAACTTCAACAAATCGGCATTCTCCAGTATTTGCTTCACCAGCGATTTTCTTAGTTGTAACGACTGGTAGCATTCTTTGGGCTTTTTAGCTAGGGGATGCACGGCTAGTGCTTCCCTGCTCTACGTTCCGCCGGTCTCCTTCGACTTTAGTGACTGCAGCTAATTTCGAAGAAAAACGCTAAGACACCAATCGTTCATCGCGCGTGTTGAGTTTGTTCGCAGTTTCCCATACTCTTCGTACAGGTATATAGTGGCTAGGACGCGCAGTGTGGTCATTAATTATGAATTGTTTTGTTACGTCGACGATTTTCACTTACGTGTAGCCAAAGGTAAATTGAGCAAACCAGACGCCTGAAGCCCTATGCTTAATCCAATTCTCAGCGCTGCAACCTAAATGGATGATATAGGGCACCTAGGATAGCCACGAGGAGTGCTTCGAGAGTTATTTTCATTGTATTCGGTCCAAAAGCACTATATACGTGTTTCGTGTACATTGTTAGCATAATTGAATATCGTCAATCGCGTTCTTTAGGTTATTCAAATCCAGTTGAAATCACCAAAACTTCTAGAAGGGCGGATCTTGCAGGCGTCATAGGGCTGTTCAGGAGTGAAAACTATGGATCAGGACAAGCTGCGGAAACGCATGTCACAAATTGAGCTGGAAATCGACGAAATGAACCACGTTATCGATGAGAATTTGCAATTGAATGAAAAGGTCCCTGAGGATGTGGAGGAGCGCGCAATCGACAGCGAAGGTTTTGTAGATAGAAAAAATGCACGGGGTGTGCTTTCGGTTGAAAAAACGGGGGATTTAGCGCCAAAACCCAATGGGCAAGAAACGAAAGGGCAAGCAGAGATTACCCCAGCCGAAGATGGCATACAAGCAAAAACAAAGGCGTCGGAGAAGCCCAAACCGCTCGAAAACAACAAACCGCAAGTTGCAGAAACTTTGGGTGAGCCTTTATTGACGAGTTCCAAGCTCGATGATCTTGAGCCACAAGATGATATTAAGCCACTGGATGATCTGAGGACACTAGATGAGACCATATCGACTGTCACGGGTGCTGATCACAGTCTCAACAGCCCATCGGCCATAACAAACGAGCTAAGTTCGAAATCGGTCGAGGAATCCGACAAAGACTCGTCTTATTCATCCAAACTGGCACCTTTGCGTGAAAAAAGCTCGCAGTCGGAAACTACTCCGAACTCCGAAATTCTCACTGCGAAAATCCAGTCGGTGAAGAAGAACTCCCAAGTGGAGAATAGCGAGGATGGTAATCTCTCTGACACGTCCGATCCTGCACCACAAACCTTGCCCAAGATCAGAAACGTTGCTACTCCTGTCATGTCCTCTGCTCGCCAAACTTCCAATCCCAGCCCATTCAGAGTCGTCTCGGTTAGCGGCAAGCATTCTGATAACTCGCAGGCTCAGAAACTCCAGTCGAGACACGATTATCTCACATGCAAATGCACGAAGCTGCAACGCGAAATTCAATACCTTTCGGACCTGCGCGATCGCGGTGCCGTTGCACCAGAAGATACCCGCAAGATCAACGGTGCCCTGGTTCAACTACAAGAGTACCTCGATCGTAAGACCAAAGAGCGTTACGAAATAGGCGTACTGCTCAGCAGACAATTGAGAAGAGAAATTGACCGGGGCGAAAACGGCCAATTTTGGGTTGGAAACTGAGGTCCCGATACCTCGACAGTGAGAATGAACGAATTAAACTGTCGCACTACCCTAGCTACCCTCAAGATCTGCTCAAGAGTATTCTGAGGTGTTTTCATCACCTGGCACACCAATACCCATTGAGCATGTGAATATCACTTTACACTAAACTTGTGCTTTCTTCCTGTGCTTAAAATTTTATCAAGTTTGCAGAGCTCATCTCATTAAGTTCTGACATCGAAAGAGCGCATCTCATCGACTTTCAGAGGATACGGCATGTCTCGCGAGGGTTTTCAGATCCCTACTAACCTAGACGCAGCAGCTGCTGGTACTGCTGCGGCCAGAACTGCCACTCTAAAGTACATTTGTGCCGAATGCTCTGCCAAATTGTCGCTTTCCAGAACTGACCCAGTTCGTTGCAAAGAGTGCGGTCACCGTATTCTGCTCAAAGCACGCACGAAACGTATGGTGCAGTTCGAAGCTCGCTGAGTTCGGCATAATACTGGAGCTTAGCATCATATCGAAGTTTAGCATCATAGCAGAGCTTAGTTTGTAAAATACATAAAATCAAAATCAACAAAATCGCATTACACCAAATAGACCGATAATAAATGACATGATTTGAGTTAGTTGTGATATTCTGTCGTGCGTCATTGCTAATTGTTGGGTCTAAATTAAAAAATCAAGTCTACTTTTACATTTACATTTCACCATCTGAAATACCATCTGAAATACCCTCGGGACCGCCCAGTGCAAGATTCTCGTCCGTAGCCCACTGATGAGCGGCCACGAATTCGACGTAGTTCAATTTGTGGCTCGGCTCGAAGCAGAGTAAGCGGTTTCTTATCATCAAAGCCTGTTTCAAACTCATGCTGGCTTGCGAAACCGCGGCTTTCAAAGCTGAATGTCCAACGTTAAACCATGTTTCCACCTTATCTGAGGATAGCTTACTGTTGTACAAGGAAAGTGCTAATTTGGTTAGCGCTGGGAACTTCTTCTGGTTTCGCAACCAATATTTGGTGAAGTCAGTACTTTCCTCAATTCGCTCATCTAAGTAAATAGCCCATTCCGATTGAAGACCCATTTCTTGCTCTGTCAAATTGGCCAGAGCTTCTTCACCTACCAGTTCCAGACCGGAACGCTTCTTCATCGTGTCTGGTTTAGTGACACGTTTAGAGTTAGATCTTGTGCTTTTATGATTAACATCTTGCCCTACCTCGTAATTGCGGCCCTGAATTTTCAAATACTCGAGGACAAATGTTGAGGCCTTCTGTAGAACCTCTTGTTTGAACTCTGCATCCTCAAAATTTTCCGACAGTCTGGCAGTTTTGCAATGCGGCTGCAACATGTGTGCGACCCAGTATCCAGCCTGTTGGAACACCCATTCAATCTGCGCGTTGAAATATGAGCTGCACGTTGAAATGACAGTAAAAACATTATTTTTGTTACTCTCATCTACCGTCAGAAGATCCTCGTCTCTCAGACCACAGATGATCACGTCTTGTTCCTCAAATATTCCACTTAAAATTCTGTCACAAGCCTGAAAATATTGACCAATCTGTAAGTAGTAATCAATACCGCTCGTGAGAATATTGGCGTTGCCATTTTGCAAAAGCTTGAGGTAATCGAAAAAAATCCCGATAGCTTTCAGGAAAAGCTTTAAAACCGTAGCCTCATCAGATGTGTAACAAAAGTTTTGTTGTTGACCGGGTTGCAAGTTAAAAGATTCGTCATGAACATTTTTGATGTAAAAGGTCTTGAACTCCTGCTCAAATTCTAGAAAAGTGCAGAGTTGACGATATTTTGAGAACGGACCAGCTTGTTTACTTATCCCGATTGATGATGACCAGAATTTCTTGAAGGACTTTTTCAAGAAAATGTTGCTTTGCACCATGCTAGCAAGGTGATCAATCCTAGACATGAGGTCGGGATAATTCTCCTGGAAAACCTGAATTAAAAGCTGAGCAACATTTGTGAAAATGTGACTTAAGCTTCTAATTTCAATCAGAGTGTTGTCTTGCCCAGCTTGTAAGTGTTTTCTCAATTCCATGGGTATTTCAGCAAGGACTGAATTTGTATTGGAGCTAGAGTCTAGGGTGATAGCACCCATTTTTTGTAAAATACCAAAGTCAGTAAGAGTTTGGACCACGGCAGGTACAATTGAGCTTGCGTGATCATCAATTTCTATTAGGTCCAAGACGTGAACATTTAGACCCGCTTTCACCGTAATCGATTCTCGCTTTAAAATTTGATCTTCTAGCACCAAGTTAGGGCAAAAAGAAACCATCACGGCAAGGAAACTCTTGTTTTCGGAGGAAGACCACGTTTGGAGAATAACATCTACCAACGAAGTACATTTCAATGTTTCTTTGAGCTGAATTTCGAATTCATGGAAGTACTCATCTAGTTTGAGCACCATATCCTCCGGACTCAATATGAACTCGGTGCTGCTGAAATTGCAAGCCTTGAGAAATTGAACGAAAGAGCTAGCCGTGCTCAAGGGCAGAAGAGAATCAATGAAAACGTTTAGTTGCTTCTGAGGGAATTGTTTGTTCTGTAGAAAAGGCGCCAGTTCTTTGCGCACAGCAAGCGCTTTGCGAGTGGCCGCGTTAGTGGCAGATGACTGGTCAAAAACGTTGTTTCGAGCCACAGCGGTTGGCTTCCGGTTTTGGTCGCGACCCAAGAGGGATATAAATAGTTCATAGTCGTCTTTGTGCCGTCTTTTCATGTGCTTTATGATGTTGGACGTATTGGCGTGTCCATCGAATTTGAACTGCAACTGACAATGGGAATACTTGCACTGTGCATATGGCTTGGAAGTGGCGAACTTGCTGACCCAAATTCCGAACGGCGAGAGTCGGAGCCAATTGTCAAACCTGGCGGCGGTCTTGGGATCCACATCGTCGTCCTTGATGGACAAGTCCAAGTTGGGTTTGAGACACGGATTTATGGAGAAGTCGCGAAAATCGAAACCGTACGTATCTCTGAATTGCTGCTCCGCCTGTGCGCTGTCGTAGTCGTGCACGGAAGCCATTCCTGACGTCTGTGCCAGGTGATCTTGTTCATGCTGATGGCTATTCAATTGAGTAATCGCCGCTGCAATTGTTTCCTCGTTGGTCGCCTGTAGCGTCCCCGGACTGTTGGACTTATGCACAGCTGCCTCGGACTCTTCCCGGTGTTCGGCAAATGCGTTGTTGGCTTTGTCGACAATTGCACTTTCGACAGGGTCCATCTTGAAACCTGGTTGTACACTGCTCTAACCTTACCTGACTATCCTAGCTAAACGGTGCGGTTGGTACTTCTGGATGATCACAACTGCCGCCAATCCAAGTACTCGAGATGATTCCAACGCTTGTGAGTACTCCGATGAGGTTTACATCAGTTTTGAAGCTTGGACTCGAGTTTTCATGATTGTTTATATCTTGTGATATGATAGCACTGCAAACGAAGACGACATGGATGAACATCTTGAAACGAAAAGTGTGCTTGTCGGGAGATGAATTGTGACCTACAAGCAGGCGTCTTGGGGTATTTGAAGTGGTTGGCAAGTCTCTAGAATACTTTACAATGAACCGCTTTTGATGATTCTGCCATATCGACATTGGTCGATATTGTTGTCATTGTGTACGTAAGGACAAACGTGCGTCTACAATGTCCTTTATGTCGAGCCTGTAAGTGATGAGTTCTTTGAGATGCGCCTGGTCTTATCGGCTTGATTCTTAGGAGAGCCATGGGGTTCTTTCGTAGCCCTGAGGAGGCCGGCGATAATATTCAGAGACACGGGCGTACAACATGATACCTATATGTGGTCCGGCAGGGACACCGGTGTGGGATTCGTTGCGTTCTCACAGGGCTTATCTCAACACGCACTGATCTTTTCTCGATGTCAAAGAGCGTTGCGACACATTTCCTGCATCACCCCTCTTTAAGGAAGCAGATCAAGACCTCCATTGGTGAGTTCATGTTCTTGAAGAAAGAGCCTAGTTGGAAACATCATCTGCGTCAGCGGAAGTTAGCTTGCTGAGCTGGTCGTTCATGGTGTGTTGCATTGATTCATAAGAAGATCTAGTATTCTCAATTTCTCTCCGTCGTCTTCTCTAGATGCGAAGACTGAAACCTCGATATCGTCGGTATCTCTACAATTATTTGCATGACTGGATTTATTTTCGAGACGTGTTCTAAAATGGCATTAAACGGATCTGTATCCATTCTTGGGGCACGATGACAATGTGACTATAGACACTACTTAACAGCAGAGGCCAGATTTCGGCATTCTCACCCACTGTGGATTGAATATCTATTTTTGTCACTTTGTACAATTATGACATAGCTCTTCTATCATGATCTATTTCTTTATCCAATTGATGCTCTCTAGCAATAACACAGGGTCCTGGCAGCAAAATGCTTCCAATATGTCCATGTTATCGAACACTCTCAGCTCCAATACCGATGATTTTATTTCCTGTGCCGACGTACTTCTCTTGAACAACGGACGGATTTACATCGCCCACTTAATATTAATATCAACGGATGAATTGGTATTTGAAGTTCACCGGCGAAATCACGAACAAGCTCGCCAAACTCTTATTGAATGATAAAACCAGAAAATCGGTAACAAAACTTTCTCCGCCAACTACTTCCCAAGGGCGCTGGGAAGGATTGTAGACTATGATTCGGCGGGCATACCATGAACCACCGCATGTTAGATTCGTAGGCTTACAGAAACGAGCAATGCGAAGAAATTATACTTTTTGATCCGAGAATGCGTGTTTTCCTTACCGGCTACTACTCTGACCACAGCACAGCTGAAATTGGAAATCACAGCGGTAAGAGAACTGTACGCAATCAGAGGCTATGGAACAGCTTTAAATTTTGGTCAAAGCACGAAACCTGACAAATCGTGAACTGCGGTTGCGAATGCCGATCCTTGATACTGTGCGACGCCATTATATCACTTTGTAATATGCTGACGCCGTAAATGAGTTCTTATTCCGAAACCATTCTCAATGGCATAGTCATGGTGCTCCATGATATCTGCGCAATCACAGGGCGCTAAGCACGCAAACCTTCCGCGCAAGCAGTGCACCTTATGACGAGCAGGATGAAGCCTATGTGAGAAGCAGTTTCATAATTAATCGCGCAACCTGATAGCGGCAAATAGCAGGTTACGAGCACAGCATACGTACAAAAGTAACGCCGGTTTAGCAGCTGTACATTTCTCTACCCCTCTAGCCCCCTCTGGTTTGAGCATATCCGTGGCTTGGTGATGGTGTGCAGTGTCAGCGTATGACAAAGTGATCTGACCATCTTATCGAAAGTTTCGATTCCGCGAAAGCCCCAGCTTCAGCTGCGAGACCCTCCTTGAATACTGCGCACATACCTACACAAATACGCGCATTAATTCACATCTTGGACAGGCTAATCAAGGCAAGTGTCTCTGAAATCTCAAGATTTGCACGTTTCCATGCCAAAAAAAATTCCCACTCTTCAAACTCCAGGAACAGAAAAGACCTTCTCTCAATTATGTCGAATAGCTCCTCGTCACTTCTCCTACCAACATCTTCGCCGCCTTTCATCTCTAATCTTTGGCGCGGTCGCGATCTCAACGGTTTTCTTCTGTTCTTTTTTCGCATGGTGCGAAAAAAGATTGCGTATGTTAATGAGTAGACAATAAGTAATCTTAAAAACTAATTGACTAACGTATACACAGCGGCAACAGAGCGTTTGATACCACATATTCAAGGCTTTGTTAGATTCAGACACGTCAAGTTTACATATCCCGATTTGCCTGCGCTTTTTCCAACACAGGTTACGGAATTACGATCCACCACGTTCTCTGCAGTACTGGGAAACACACACAACTGATTTGTAATTAAGAAAACCAGAGATCTGGCGCTGCAAGATCGTAGCAGACAGTGGCCAAAGTCTACCCCAAAATATGGCCAGCTCCGTGGACCACACAGCAAGTGCTGCTGTACAGCCCGAGGGAGCGAATGACGGCTCTGGGTCCGACACCATGGTGTCGTCGTTCGACCTCGAACCGAATCCGTTCGAGCAGAGTTTCGCGTCCTCTAAGAAACCACACTCCCTCCGGCAAGCGATGGCAGGTCCAGGAGGCCGTTCGGTCCCAGTGGTGGAGCCCAGTACTAGTTTGAATGCCGAGACATCGTCCTCATTTCATACGACGACGGTCAACAGTAACCACAATGCTGATATCCATAGTCGCGCGTCCTCTATCGCAGCCTCAACAGGCCCCTCCAATGTTGTGGTCACTGTTCCCAACGCTACCGTAGCGCCCACGAATGGTGCCTCAACCGTGGAAAAGCCGTCTGACCCTTCGACGAGGCTGCCTCCTCTACTCTTGGCCAACCCATCACATTCCTCGACCTTACTTCCTAAGCAACACACGAAACCATCCGACTCAACTCCGCCAGCACCTGTCCTTCCAAATCCCAATCAACATCCACATGCTTTGTTGCCTCCGGGGAACACCACTCCGAGCTTTTTCATTAACTTGTCCAAATCGGGACTCACTCCCAATTCCTCTAGTCTTCGTACAGGTCTAACCCCCGGAATTTTGTCGTCAGCGCAACATCCGCATTCACATCTTCAAACACATCCTCCGCCTCATTCTCAATCACAACAAGGCCATCATTCCATTTTGCCGGCACACCCATCTCCCAATCTGCATCCCCCGGCTCATGTAGTGCCTCCACTTTCTCTTCCAATGGGGCAGTTTACTCCGGGTTTCTCGTCTATTCTAGGTTCTCTGCATCAGCAGCAACCCACGTCACAAACTGGACCAAATACGACCCACAATCCACAACCTTGGGATCCAGTCGCGAATCATACTCTCAACGCATCCACCACGGTAAATTCATATTCGTCAACCTCTTCAAACTCAACAAACACCATACCACTGGAGGCAGGAAAGGATTCCAGTACAACTGCTAATTCGGTTACTGGGTCATCGGGCTCGAATTCTAGCTCTGCTTTGACAAAAGTTCCAAGTGCAAGCAGCACTCATCAGACCGATCTGGATTCTCTAAAACCCTCCAGCTTCCATCATTCTGTTTCGAGTAACAGCTCTAATGAACCACCAAGCAAGAAGCCCCGACTCAACCAAGGCTTTATGAAGAGATCTAAGGAATTGATTGAGCCTACTTATTCAGGTTCTAGGGATGACCAAGAACGCAAACGCAAAGAGTTTTTGGAGAGAAACAGAGTCGCGGCCTCAAAGTTTCGCAAACGCAAGAAAGAATACATTAAAAAGATTGAAAGCGACCTAAAATTCTACGAAACTGAGTACGACGATTTAGGTCAATGTATGGATAAGTTGTGCGGGATCTCGAAACAAACAATCAACTCGTCTTTAGTAGGAATGTTAAAACAGGCACTATTGCAACATGATATGAACTCGTCCCTCACACTTTGCAATCATATAGAGCAAACTCTTTTACAAACCCAGTATGTGCAACGAGGGGGGCGGAATCCTAGACATGAAGAAGAAGAGAAGCGACGGTTGGAAAATCCAGACGGTGATAACTCAGATTTCGGTTATCCAAGAAGGTCGTCAATGGCGGCAGCGTCATCTGATGGTTACCACCACATGCATTCTCAATCTCAGCAAGAGCTTGAGTCAACAGGCATGGCGGGCTCTCATGTACAGCCCTCCGATCATGCTACTGGGACCATTAACAACTTACCATTGGTAATTAATGGTAATACACTGCTGAGTCTGGAGGACATTCAGGCATCGTCTCAATATCAAAAGTCTAATGATAGTGCGACAAATGGTTGCGCGGATGGACAAACTTCCATAAAAAGTCTGAAGGTTGAAGACGGCCTCTCCGATAATTTGCATAACAACCCTGCCTCTAACTGAAATATTGCATTCGTTTTCTATCATTGACACTAGGTTTTTCTAGTTAAAGACTACCTTGCGCTTATGATATATTAAGTTAAGTTAGTTAGGCTGCGTGCTTAGTTGCTACCAAGGTAGCCCCGGACGTTTGATGTTTTTAAGGTTTTTTAAAGTATAAATATAGATTACATGGTTTTTTAGGAATAGTTCGCACTGACTTTCGAGTTTCAAGCATTGTAGATGGAAAGTCAGTTAAATTATATGACAGTTGGAAGACCAGGTTCGCAAAGCAGAAGAGTGTCTCTTACGAAGCAGGTAACAAAAATCACCCTAGAATGAATTGAAATCCTTCACAATGACAACCCGGCGATTTTCTTTTTGATGAACATTTTACACCGAGAGGCTCAATACTATAGTGCCAATGGAGAGGCGAGATGTCGAAGAGTCCTTCAAACGTGCGATTTGCCTGATCGAACGCAGATATACGTATCAGTCAACAAGTTCTTCAATTCATATGAAAATGCAGCAGGGCATTTTGTAGAGCTGTTTTCTTTGTTATCAATGAAATTAAGTGATAGGCTTTTACCAGAGCTTGTCACAATGGTACATCAAGAAAGAGCATAAATGAGCTATTCGTATCTGAAAGGCGCCAGAAAGATCATCTGCATTGGCAGAAATTATGCTGCTCACATCAAGGAGTTGAATAACCCGTTCCCTAAACAGCCGTTTTTCTTCTTGAAGCCAAGCTCAAGTATTGTTACTCCGCTACCGAACGGATCGCAAGGCTTCGCAGCTGGTCCATGCACCTACCAAGGCTTGAAGTCCGACGGATCAAATCCGGGGAATATTTTGATACCCAGAGGCGTTCTGGTGCATCATGAAGTTGAATTGGCGCTGGTCATGAGCAAAAACGTTTCCAATGCTCCTAAAGATACATTCGGACCCAATGAACTATTCGACTCAATCTCCGGAGTGGCACTCTCTTTGGATTTGACTGCACGTAACGTTCAGGATGAAGCGAAGAAGAAAGGTTTGCCGTGGTCCATCGGAAAGGGCTTTGACACGTTTCTGCCGATATCTGGCTTCATTCCTAAAGAAACTCTAACCATGAAGAACAATTTGCAGAATTCGTTTCGGTTGAAATGTGACGTTAACGGAATGACGAGGCAGGACGGCACTACGGACTTAATGTTAACACCTTTGCACACAATTGTTCAGCATATTTCAACGATGATGTCTTTGGAGCCTGGCGATATAGTCTTGACAGGTACACCTGCTGGTGTGGGTGAACTAAAACCCGGAGATGTTGTCAAAGCTGAGCTTTACCAAAATGATAAGCAGCTTATCGCTATGACTCTTGAATGCGCCCAAAAGCCAGGACCTTACGTCTACAAGGAAACCTAAGTTCTAAATTCACTCGGCAACAATCAAACATCTACCATGGCAGATGCAGCTTTGAGTACTCTCGTTGTATGCTAATCTGTAACGCCTATAACATACAAACTATTCTTATAAACACTCGATAATTTTATCAGCCATTAAAGAATGCTCATCCTTATGGCAGCTGAGGGGGGCTGAATTATTACAACAGATACCGTTTCGCTTGGCTTGCGGCGTCCGTGATGTATTCATTGTTCATAAAAATTATGATGAGTTAACTCATCGCAATCTCGTCCTCCCTTTGAGTAGATTATCCTTGGATTTTCTCGCAAGTCGCACAATCACAGTACGGAGTAACGAGGCTCCTCTAGAAAACTGAATTGGCGCACCAAGACCCCACCCTCTTGTAAAACCTTGAAACTAGCCTCATCCATCCGGTAACTCTGCGAGTACACTACTTCTCGAACGCCGGTCTGTACGATCTTCACGGAACATGTCAGACACGGACAAGTGTCGCAGTACAAGATGGCATTAGGCCCTACTCTATCACGACCAGCCTCTAACAACGCGTTTTCCTCCGCATGTAGGCATAAGCAGCTGCTGAGTTGAGAATTGTTTCCGCTATTACACCGCGGACAACCACCACTGTGACAGTTTACCAAATGGCGAGGTGTACCATTATATCCGGTAGCGATAACCCTGCAATCGCGAACAATGACGCATCCCACTCGCCTCTTCATGCAGTTTGATCTAGAAGCAGCCAACGTTGCTAATTTCATGAAGTACGTATCCCAGTCTGGCCTCAGTGGCGTAGTGTTGTGGAAAGGAACCCTGACGTCTCGTTGTTGGCATGCCTCTTTGAGATGACGATCTACTTCATTGACTAACAAGTCAAATGCAAGCTTTTCTGAATTTCTGATGTAAAACTTCACATCGGCGCGGCCCAGTACCACAGGTAAATCAGGACTGTTTTCCAACTGTGCTTCGCTTTGAGTCAGAAATTTCTCAAAGTTTAGTTCATTTTCGTTGGTTAAGCTTGACCATTCGCCCACCCGCACTCTTAATGCAGCATCTATCGTTATATGTAAAAAGAACGGCCTTTTCTCAAGCTGTTTAAGCTCCGCTAGCGCCATGTCCCCTTTAAAAACAAAGTTCTTCGTGTAATTGCTAGTTGCATGTTCCAATATGTGATCAACTTGCTCGATGCCAACTTTTCCGTCTGTTGGCAATTCTTCGAACTCGAACTTAGATTTTAAAACATCTAATAGTCTCCCAGCGCCGCTGCCCAGATTCTCACTGACATAGATCAGCATATAAGGCTATCGGGTGTTTTGCTTTTTGGCTCTTTTTTTCAATGTATTCATTTGTAGAAAGATGCTCGAGCTCATCGCTAATCAAAAGCGAGCGCAACATATTTTAAAATATAGTGGAAGTTTTTCGTAGGAGGAGAAGAGAAAGAAAGCCTTTGAGGTTCTATATTAACCGCTATATGCACCTGGGATCGTGAATATTTCTAATGCCTGCTTTGGAGTAATAGCGCTTTGAAATAGCACTGAATAAGTTTTGTGTAGCATAGCGCGCATATTCATACATATAAATTTCGAGAGCTAAACACCGCAGTCACAATTGAGGTTCCCTCGTGGTCGCAATAACTCGTAAAATCCATAGGATCCTCGATAACTTCCTCTACTCAGTGGACTTCGAGTGAGTGAATAGTGTGGTTTTTATTAATTGTGCTGGTCACTCTTTACTAATATGTCACTGAATGAAGAAAGATCTGTAACCTTCGATATCGCCGGCCGGCCAGTTTGTACCTTTATAGGCCGAGATGAAAGGTTTCCGTTTGATACTTACATGCATCAGGTTTTTATGAATATTGAAGAAGTTCGTTATATTGTTGGTGAAGAGTCTGCCAAATTGTCATCGCACGGATCAAAACATAAATAAAAAACAATTTAGTAGGTATATTAAACGCACAGGGTCATAAACTGCTATTATTGTGTACACCGTATTCTCGTTCGTATTTCCTATCCAAAGATATTTCAAAAACAGGCGTTATCGAATAATCTAGTTGCTGACGACTGGATTCTGTTGCGTACGTTACAAAAGCTCTGATGGAAATGGCCACAGACGAGGCTCAGAGCTTAATTGACTAGCCCCCACATTTGGATGTGGTCTACTCTGCTCTTGTGTTTTTGCGACTGATGTGACCAAGCGGTTGATCATTATAGGAACGAACGCCACGGTCGTCAAAAGTGCTCTTTAATCAGCACTAGGCTTTCTAAAAGAACATTTGCAACCGTTGAGCATCGTCACGGCCATCTCCAAAAAGGAATCGAGAATTGACATTATTGTCGAAAATTCTACAAGCTTGCACTGGATTCAAGAAGGGATAACCAGTGCACATGAGTCAAAATCGGACACCTTCATTACCTTGATGTCCGACCTTTTGAAAAGCAGTGCTATTACTCCTGGGGCGATTCTGAAAAGTCAACGACAAAATAGTACAAAGTGATATAGTTAATCACAATATGGTAGAAATTGACATATGCAGAGGAGAAAGGTAGCGTCAGGGCCGCGTCACATCGCTCAGCTACGCGATACATACTAGATGTGTAATGAAATACTGTGCAACCCAAAACCACATATCAATCTTGTGTTCAAAGTATGAAAACGACTCACAGATCACACATATATCAAAGCTTTCGAGTACTCCCAAAGTCACTGGGATGTAGCTGCGCAGACAATTATTACTGGCTCCACAAGTTCAGATCTATCCCGAGTCTTTCTCTACTCTTAAAAAGAATGGATAGCCATTTTCTTGCTCTTATTCAAGTACCCGAAAGAGGACATTCAAACAACCCCAAATATCGTCGAGACAGCTCTCAAGTCATTAGTTTGAATGGTCAAAGTCCTGTATAATCGATTTCACATCTCACGAGCTGTTGTTGTCATGTTAAGCTTTTTACTCATCAAAGGGATCAAGCTTTTTCACATGTTCGGCGGAGCTGTTAACAGCAAGTGAAAAATTCCAAATGCTTTCGATGTGAAATGAAAATAGCATACATCTACACAACTAAAAGTCAAAAGCTTGGATCGCAGCGCATTGGAAATTAGCGTGAATCTACTTGTGATCAAACTCGCGAGTGCCTCTATACAGCATGCTGAAAACAGGGATTTTAAAAGGTAGCTCGGGCGTGAAAGGCCGGCTTAACATGTATCGTTTTGGCGGAGTAACTGGTATGAGAATTAAGAACCGAACGGCTCATCTGTGGAACCACAGGTTTTACAGCTCGCGGCCCGATTTGACGAAGTTCACTGGATACAACAAACAGGTGGTGGTGAAACTTGTGGTGATGACCGGTGTCACTCTGGTGCTGGGCAGCATACTTTTCAACTACGCGGAGAGAGAGAATGAGGATTTGGAAGAACGTACGGAAGACGGCGAGCGAGACGGGAAAAGCCATTCGCGTCCTAAGATCAAGATCTTCAACAACAACTGGCTCTTTTTTTGGTATTCGACGCTTCCGCTCAATGCCATGTCACGGCTCTGGGGTCAGGTAAACTCGCTCACGTTGCCTGTATGGCTTCGGCCTTGGGGATTCCGCTTTTATGCGGCTGCTTTCGGTGCGAACCTCGACGAAATGCAGGACCCAGTGCTTGAGCATTATCAGAACTTGTCCGAATTTTTCTACCGCGAAATTAAACCTGAATCGCGGCCTATTGCCCCTGGCGATGACGTGGTAGTCTGCCCTAGTGATGGGAAAGTTCTACAATTAGGAATCATTGATGCTCAATCCGGTGATATCCAGCAAGTCAAGGGAATGACTTACTCGGTTCGCGAATTTCTTGGCACCCATGCCCATCCACATATGACCAGAACTGAGTCTCAGGAAAACATAGCAACAGTCAACTCCTCCTCTCAAAATCATGACATCGAGTTCGCTCGAATTAATAATATTCCTTATACGTTTAACGACATGATTGGCGAGACTCCCGGCGAAAATCATGCTCATTTACAAAAAATCGAATACACAAGTGAAGGTGACAAGTCTTTGCCGGATGCAGCACCTTCTAGACCCAAAACCATGAAACTTTTGAGTCAACTCTCAACGCATTATGTCAATAAAATCACAGGCTCTGATCCTAAAAACACAAAACTTTGTTTTGCTGTGATTTATTTGGCACCAGGGGATTATCATCATTATCATTCACCTGTCAATTGGGTCTGTAAACTGCGTCGTCATTTTCCAGGTGAACTGTTTTCCGTTGCACCTTATTTTCAGCGCAATTTCCCTAATCTGTTTGTGTTGAATGAGCGCGTTGCCCTCTTGGGCCATTGGAAGCATGGTTTCTTTAGCATGACCCCCGTCGGCGCCACGAATGTAGGGTCCATCAAATTGAATTTCGATAAAGAACTCGTCACCAATGGCAAGCGCAAAGAAAAGGTTAAACCTCATACTTGTTACGAAGCCACTTACGAAAATACAAGCTCCATATTGGGCGGTGTCCCTCTGGTTAAGGGAGAAGAAATGGGTGGATTCATGCTCGGAAGTACTGTTGTACTATGCTTTGAGGCCTCTAATGACTTCGAGTTCAACATTAGCGTTGGACAAGAGGTGAAGATGGGCCAATCCTTAGGCGAATCCAAGTAAGAGTTACAAAAATACCAAGTCGAGAACCGGAAAAGCATTTAAATATAGAAAATCAAATAATAGCATATATGACTAGAAGCCGTGACGTCGTCTCCAAAGCTCAAGGTGATAATTTTTGCCTCTGTTCTGACATGACATTAACAAATTTTCGTCTACTGACGGATCTCGTATCTTTCCACTCTTGCGAACCTCACTGCCAAATTCTAAGGCCTCTTGATTTGTAATTCCTAAGCGTTTGAATAGTTGAACTACGCTTTGGTGTGGCGAATTCGACGAATGTTTGGATGATGGCGTTAAAGCTTTTTTCTTAATGATGTGTTTCACTTCCAGACATCTATCAGCGTTGTCATCAGCATGCTCCCAGTTCTCGTCGCTCTCGTCTTTCGGAGGTACAAAGAGAACGCAACCATTATTAAAAAAGTTACTGCAATCCTGTTCGCCGCTTAAGTTGAGAGAAACCGGGTAGTAGTCGGGTGAGGACACCTTTATCGACCTGATCTTCCTTACATCTGGCAACAAACAGGGTGTGTCCAGTTTCATCACTGTAGAGCTAGATTCGCCTTTTGATCGCTTCAGCACCACTTCCACTGGCACTTTGTTCAAGCTTGCACCTGTCTTGGAATTACGAATCAGCAAGCTTCTATACTCAACAGCCATACTCCAAAAATGTTTAGTTTCCTGTAGATAGTAGGGCTTCATGTAAGTAGGGAGCACAGATATTGCGAGGTAAGCTAGAGACTCTAAGCTCGAAGTCTTGAAAGCGTACTGTCCAGATCCAAGAAACAAAAACCCAAGGCATAAGCTTGTCGCCATATATTTGCCAAAGTGATTTTCATCATCGTTCCAGTGATGTGTATCATCTCCTGCATCTCCTGCGTTCATGTTATCGGATGCGGTGAAGTTACCTTGTTCTTCGTCCTCCTCAACTCGATCATCTCCGATATCCAAATCATCTTCAATGTCTGAATCATCGGCATCAACTAATTCTCCACGGTTTGTATATTCATTTGTGCCTATATCCTCAGAAGAATCGACAGACATCGCATCATTGGCCCTGGAGTTCTTCGGTTTTGGCTTCCCAGTTGTCGTGCGAAAGAGGTCTGAGTATTTGCCAGTAATGTTTTCATGTAAGTATTTGACCCTTCTAAGCACGGAAAGATCTCCAGTACCGCTCATTACCATGCTCGACGCAACTAATAGCACATTGATTAAGATATCAATAGCTTTTATACTCAGTTGAAAGTCTAACCTCATGTCTACGGAGCACTGATATAGTGGCAGCATTTTGTCGATCACGGAGATGAGATTATCACGGACTGTCAAGTTACCTGTGGATGCAAATTTTAACCCCACGGCCAATGCCCGGCCGGCTATGCAATAAAATTGAGGTAAGGAATCCGTGTTGAGCGTTAAAGGCGTGCTGAGATCCAGTTCCTCGAAAAGCCATTGGGAACTGTAACCAATATGATCCCATAAGATCATATGACATGCCCATTCCCGGTACATAAATAATTCTGGCCTCATATAGAGCCTCGATTTCACGTTTATTTCTTCGAAACTGGGCGCCAGCCTTCCAGCAACAGTGTGATTGTTTGTTTTCAAGTAGATTAACATTAGTGCAACCACTGTCCCAATTTGAGAGTTTGCAGGCATCCAATTCTCTTCTGTATCATGAGAACCACTTATAATACTTAGCAGGCCAGCGGTTATTTTGGGATCTAACATACCATCGTTTGCCTTGAACTCAGTGTAATCGTTTATTACTTCATCTTCTTCGCTCCCCTTACCATCGAAATCACTCATCGGATCATCTCTTCTAAACTGCGATATCTTAGCGCCAGCGCCAAGATTGATCAGGCCTAGAGCTATTCCTGCTGCAAGCCTGTAACCTTCGTCTGGAACGGCTTCCTCATTAATGTTCACATATGAAGTAACTTGTGAGAATAGCATGTCAGTCATTCTTCTGTGTTGAGAGCTTAGGTAAAGAAGACCAACACCTATTAGACCCGCTGTTTGTACCCTGAAATTAACATTGAGATCACTTGAACCTTGTGGCAGAAGCGCGACAATGTGAACACTTAGAACTTTAGTTAACTTGAGATCCATGGTTCCCTTCAAACTTGCACTCATACCTAGCATGAGACCAATACTTGTATGTGTTTGTTTGGGGCTAAGATAGTTGTAAACATGCCATTCTTCGAGATTTTTCAAGTGCCCATTCAAGCCGAGGCCAAGAAGAAACCCACCATGTTGTGCATCAAGTTCCGGAGGTTTTGTGAAAGTTATCCAGCTACCAGTAATACCTGTTGATTTTGGAGAAATCTTGAGGCCTGAACTTACTCCTCCATGGAATTGACCCCAGGAAATCAAGTTGGGGTCGCAGGTTTTAGGATCCACGGTCACTGTCGTCTTGTCTGGAAATGTGCAATGGAGATTCAGTTTATTGCGAGGCCATTTTTGAGTAGCTAAAGGCCTTTCAGTAGAGAAAGCTACAGCACCCCAACCAATAGCTGAGACAAAAGTTCGCAGCGCCACTATTTGCGAATAAATTCTCTTTTTCTTCAAAGTTTTGGTGTAGCTTTTCTCCACAACATGCATCATTACCTTGTGGGGAATATTGTATACCAAAAGTTCGACGACATCATAAAATCTTCTATCTTCAGAGAATATCAAAGATGCATTTCGTTTCAAAGTCTGCCCGTCTCCGACTTCCTCACCACTTTTTGTAATTGAAACTTTATCATCAGAATGGTCTGTCGTCAAATCTATTATTTCTTTGACCATTGCTTTGATAGGCTTAATGGCTCGCAAGTCGCCAAAATTCCAATTTAAGTTTGTGTTGTGCTTTTCTTCCGGGAAGGGAGCAAAACACCTTGCGTTTTGATTGCTCTTGGTTTCCAAAAACAGGAGAATCCTTCCGTTTTTTTGTAGATCCAGGCGGTCGACTAGAGTAAAATCGAAAGCAGCATCGGAGTCGCTCATTTGTTTTTCAATTGACTTCAAAACTCTCCTTAAAGGGGCGAATACTCCCAATGGATAGGTCTCAAACTCATTTTGATCGATATTCAAGGAGTTCATTACGTTCAGCAAACTAGTTTCGGAATAGTCCATCGTCTCAAAGCTCTCAAATAGTTGCAGCATTTTGTGAGTACGAGGCGTAACTATGTTGTCAACGAAATACCCTTCTTCTAGTAACCTAGAGAATGTTATGAATGGTGTCACAGGTAAGGAACTTCCATCCGTCGCACTGTAAAGAGATTTCAGTATTGATGGAGGCTCGTCCAGCGGGTGCGCAAATCTTTTATTTGACAGCACAAAGTTGTCATCTATGGATTCCTCAGCGCCGTAAAACTCTTGCCAAAAACTGGGCCAGTTCATCAGGCGCGTAAGTAAGCACAAAAGACGCCCAGTTTGCTGTACATTGTCTCTCTGTAAAAGGTTGAGTTTATACTCCTCTCTGATTAAGTGCATTCCCATTACAATTTTGGGCAAATACCTAGCTCCATCAAATGAGGAGCTATAAATCGGACATTGCTTTATGGCAGACAAATGCTTCTTTGCATGTTCAGGACAGTCTTCAAAATGGAGAAAGCTCAGTAGTGTGTACTTTAGAGCGTCGAAATCGGCGTTTTCTTCCTGTGCATCGGAAAGGCTCTTACGAGCTACCTGCCAAAGAAGCAGCACATAGGTATAAGTGAACTGGTCACAAAGATAGCTTAGTGCTCGCAAGTAATGTTTAACGCTGGTAACCTCTGGAACAATGAGGAGTTGCACCGGCACTGAATCAATATTAGTCAGGACCGCGTTGTCTTTTGAGTGGTAGAGTGAAGTGTGGTTTTCGTTCGAGGGCAAGTGAAAGGAGCTTGAAGTCAGGTTTAGGAACGGGTTATACAAGGTGACCTCATTTCTAGCACTACCCAGAAGCATCAAAAATCCGCTAAGTAGCTCGCTTTCATAAACACTGAAGCAACTGACCAATGACCATTTGATGTCAATTATTTTTGTGAGTGAAATTGGACTACTATTCAACGCTTTGAACCTCATGTTTTCTGTTAAAGATGAATTTAGATCAAATATCCAGATTTTCCCCCATTGTGAGCCAGGATCATGTAATGTTATCGCTTCCTTATCCTCAAATTTGCAACTCGATATTCGCGTTTTCGAAGTTAACTGTATGGGTAAAGTTGTTTGAGATATTTTGGTCAAAATTACATCTTTGGTGAGAACGGCATGATCAAACAGTTCTTGAGATATGTGAGAAGCATGAGATGGTGCAATATCAAGGCCACTACCAGAAACCATTCTGTCCAACGTAGCAGAAGCACTTCTCTTTATAGAATCCACTCCTGTGTGGCCCGAATTACTGTTCGGTTGTTGCTGTTGCTGTTGAGGTTGATCAGGATCAGGTCCGACTGTTGCCGATACTGATCTTCGATTCATGATGGATATCTTACGGAGGTTATTAGTAAGTTCTGTTGAAAGAGAGTTTGCAGTATTGACAGCGTTGTTGAAAGGAGCAGAAGATGATGATGACGCTAAAGAACCATGTCCGACAGATGAGGTTCTCTTGGCAGTACCGTTTGCGTTCTTTTCATTGGCGCCATAGGATCCACCTAATTCGCTAGCAAGTGCGCCGTAGGCTTTGCTTTGAGACTCTTTATTCTTAAAAGCTGGATCTTTGTGGGAGCTTGACGCCGAAGAGTTTTTGAGGGCTGTTAAGATCTTGGAATTGTAAAAAGAGAGCCCCCGGGTACTGCTGTCGTATAACACACCGATATGTTGATCCCAAGTAGGCGGAAAGTGCAAAATCGTGAGTCTGGACTCTAGTTCTTGTAAGTTAGATGATATGACTAACGATCCAAATAGGTTCAATGGATCGGAAAGCGTTATAAAGCGATGCTTGATACCAGAGGAAGTAGGTCTTGACTGACTGATCAATTGATAGTCTACGATCTTGCGCTCCAACACTACACCATTCGCATGGAAAAATGCTTTGGAAACGGAGAATGGGAAGCTAACAGTAGTCGAGTCGCCCTTCGAAACATAATATACCTGAGCTCGATCTTCCAGTACTATCACAAGGCAATCCTTTACGGATTCGAAATCGACGAACCCAGCCTCGAGTACGGTTTCGCCTCGAAACTCGAATCTTCGTAGTGTTTTCGAACCCCATTTCCACTCCACAACGCATCCGTCATAAACCCAAACCTGGCCGTTTCGAGATCCCTGGAACTCAACACTCGCATCTTGTGGCATTTTGTAGCATCACCTAGAGTATTTTCCCGCGTCGAAGTCTTTGGTCGCCGTACAATATCTCTATTTTTTTGGCGGCTAACCTCTATTAGGTGTTGTTCTCAATTTAGTGGTTAAATTCACTATAAGCTTTCGCGATTTACAATGACGCACAAAAAGACAAATTTGAGATGGTGAGAAGTAGGTAGTACCTTGACATCAGAGTACCTAACACACTACATTATAATTCCAGAAGAAATGACGGTCTAGTAACACTACCTATATTTCATCGTCAAACTCAAGCCAAACGATTGTGCAGACGCGTACAAAGTGATGAGATTAAAAGCGACTGTTTACAAGAAAGCGTCTGATGCTCTTAAGATCTGCTGTCAACTAGTCCAAGTATTGCGTATGTCTCTGAGCAGCTCCACTGCTGTAATGAGGAGTTCCCAAAAAAAAAACACTATGTGCTGGGCTATAGAATACGGGCATGTTTAGCGAATCAAGGGCATTTACCCGAATACCTGGTCTCTCCAATCCTTCCTTCGTCTACCTCAAGCATTCACGTGTTAGACATATCAGCACTTCAAGATCTTATTTTGCAATTAGTTTCGTAATCCACCTTGATTTCTTTGGCGATTGAGACTTCATCAATTGGCGAGTCCAATAGAAATGTTGAAATGTGTAGAGTTAGCAGGAAGATCATACTAAAGTAGGAACCTCGTATAAAAATAACATTGTAACTCCCATGCACACTTTCTAGAATGTGCATAATTAATGAAAGGACCTGCAAAAAATAAAATCGGGGCGAGCTGGGAATTGAACCCAGGGCCTCTCGCATGCTTGTGCTTCATGTTCAAGTCAAGACTCGAACGCCGCCCAAAGCGAGAATCATACCACTAGACCACACGCCCGCTGATGAAAGATTGAGAATACCAATGGCTATCTACCACATTGCCAAACGCTGCTGACCTAGAACTAAACCGTTTGTTTGCTCGTTAGACACGCGAACTACTTAAGTTTCGCTGTAGTAGTCGGAGCAGAGCCCCAGATCACAGCTCTGACATTCTTTCGACCCTCAATTTGAAACTCTAACAGATTCCGTCCCAAGAATGTGCAGTTCATTTTTTTTGCTCTGGACAAGGAAGATTCCAATCAGATTGCCAGTAATATGGATGACGTTACTTCAAAAGTAGCCTTCTAACCCCATATCACCTTGAAGCAATGCACTTGAACTCCAATCCTATGAGTCTTCTCTCCTTCGAGTTCAGATCATTTTGTCCTTTACTGTCAACAAAGTCGTCACAAACGAAAAGAAAATTCATTACTATTTTAATAGTTTGAACCCCTGGACTTGATAGTAAGAAAAAAAGCCCCGGAGGAACAACTTGCGCTTAGACATCACTCAATAATAGTCTTAGTTCAGTTAAAGCTCGCCATTTAAAACCCCATTCACGATGGCAGAGTATACTTTCAGATGGCCGGAAGGCCCCAAAGACGTCGTAATTACTGGTGATTTCGATAAGTGGAGCGGAAGCTTACCATTGGTGAAGAGTCCCAGAGGAGACTTTGCTATCACCATGCCCATTGAACATACCTCGAGCGACAGATTCCATTTCAAGTTTATCGTGGACGGACAGTGGCAAACCAGTCGTGACTACAAGACGGAAACGTCAGACGAAGGCATTACAAATAACTGTTTGGTTATCTCGTCGCTCCCCAAGTTCGGTGCAAAATCGAGTTCCGCGGTTGCAGGAAGCAGAATTCCCGAGATTGGGCTCAACTTGGTTGCTCCTGAAGTTGCAGCACCTGTGTTGGGAACCCAAGCGCCACCAAAGGCTCAACCGGCGCCTCGTTCTAACAAGAAGGGTAAGAAGAAGAAGATTCAAATTAAGAGAAGAATTCGTAGAAACAAAAAGACCGGCGAAAGAACCGTCTTGTCAGAAGAAAGACATGAACTTAAATCCGGAACCGACACCGATACTTATGAAACTGAAGAAACTGCCACAGCAACGGCCACCTCGAGAGAGGAAACTCCTCAGTCTATGGAACTGGACCCTGCCGTGAACCAAATTCATGGTCAGGACAATTTCGAAAGCACTGTCATGCCTTCAACTGAGAACCAACAGACTACATTAGGCGAACCTGGTATCGTTGTCTTTCCAAACGCTTCTGAAATTAAGGAATTCTCAGAGGTTAGAGATGTGGATGCTGATGAACTTAACGAAAGGCTGAACCGTGAACTGGCGGAAAGTAAGTCGAAAAAAGAAGCCGCTGCCGAACCAAGTAACCCGGTTGTTGAAAAGGACTTGACTTCGCACAAAGAAACTGCGGAGCCCGAGTTCCCTGTCAAGGAGAAGGACTTGACTACGCACAAAGAAACTGCGGAGCCTGATTTCCCTGTCAAGGAGAAGGACTTGACTTCGCAAAAAGAAACTGCGGAGCCTGATTTCCCAGTCAAGGAGAAGGACTTGACTACACACAAGGAAAATGCGGAACCCGAGTTCCCAGTCAAGGAGAAGGATCTCAGCGCTCCTTTATTTCCAGTTGTTGCTAAAACCGAGAGTGAGCCACAAGCTTCAAGCCTAACTTCCACAAACGACGTCAATAAGCCAAAGTCTTCAGATGCTGACGAAGAAATTATGCCTCCTGTTAAGGAATTTGTTCCTTTATTCTCAACCGAAGGAGAAAATGAACCTTTGACTGGACACTCTTTGGAAGTATTGCCTGTTCCAGAAGAGTTCCAAACAAAGTCTGCTGGGATAGTTGAACCTGAAACCGAAACTGAAACTCAACCTGAAGATAACACCGCTATCCCTTCGGGTTTGGCTGCGACCGCTGCTGCCGCCGCTACAGCGGCTGCAGGTGTGGCAGCAGAGCAACAACTAACCGCTTCCAAGACGCAGAACGTCGATGCTGGCGTTGAGGCAGTTCCAGTAAAGGAGTCTCTATTGCAGTTCAAGGGAAAAGATGAAGAAAGCAAGGGAAAGCAACTCCCAGCTCAATCAGATATTGTCGGTACACAAGTTGAGACTTTACCGATTGACAAGTCTAGCTCCCTGGGAGAGGCTGGTTTACCTATTGAAAAGAAAATCGTTCCAGTCCAACCTGCCGAAGAGTTGGCGCTACCCAAAGCTGGAATCGTTGAGCCCACTAGTACTGAAGATGGCACTACAACGAAAGCAGTGACAGACAAAGAGGTTATTACCAAAGACATTACCAACAAAGACGCTATAGCTCTAGACAAAGCTACGCCAGAAGAAACAGGCCCAGTAGTTGTAGAAGGTTCTCTCGATAGCACTAAAGCGCCAGCCACTGCTCATGACGTGGACATCGTTATCGTTCAGGGTGAATTAGATCATTTACCTGCCAAAAACGGTGCTGGCGGAGACCCTATTGCACTACCAGATGCTCCAGCTTCTAAAGAAGAGCCAACTGGTATCGTTAAAGGTGTTCCTCAACCGTCTGATCTAGTGAGCAAGGAATCCGAGGACAATTTTGAGGCTGGGCAAGGTAAGGTGGATGAAGGCCGCATCATTCACGAAGAAATTGGTGTGATTACATCTCCTGAGCAAGAGGCCGAACTTATCCGCAAGACGTTGGATCCAAAGGTATCATTGCCAGGTGAAACCGAGGAACTATTAATCGTAGATGGTGACATTCCGCCATCTCAAGTTGCTGAGTACCAGGCAGCTAGTGATGCGGCAGCAGCGAAAGCCATAGCCAACCAGAAGCCCGAGGAGGTTATCGTAGGACATGAAGGCGTGTCAAAGGAAACTTCAAAACCAAAGAAGACTGTGCCCGCTCAACAAAAAGCTACTCCAGCTTCGCCTGAGAAGAAGAAGAAGAAGAAGGGTCTCTTTTCCAAAATAAAGAAAATCTTTAACTGAGGCAACAAAATGATACGCAATGGTGCATGAACTGATTATTGTCACACGTATACCTTGGTACTGTGCCTCACAGACTTTATTTTGAACAGCGACTCCTTCCATGAGAGTTTGTAATCATCTAATAAGAGATTTGTATAATTAAAATCCTATTAATCCTAAAATGTCGACAACACGAAAGCGCGGTTTTTGAAGCCATTTAGTGACACTAGTGTGAGAACTCTGACAGGACATTTCGGTACACACTTACGTTATAGCATGGCTCAAGATGTTGGACTTCGGATGTCCGAAGGTCGCAATCGCACATCTTGAATTCAAATAGTTGAAAGTATAATCTTGTAAGTTTTATATTTAAATGGAACTAATTCAACAGTATGGATTTCTGTCATTCGTATTGGATCACTTTGACATAATATGACACTATGTGTTAGGATACTTTTGAAAAAATTTGATGAGATGAGATGAGATGAGATGAAATGCGATGAGCTGAGCTTGAAAGATATCAAGAACAAGCTTCAGAGGTGGAAAGCTCAACCAGAACAATGACTGTTGAAAGCACTAACTCTAGCAAACAAACCGACACTGTGAAGGAGGAGAAAACCAGCAGTGTCGAGGACCAAAAGATCGAAAATGCATTGAAAGATCAAACCAAGAAAAGAAAAGCTGACGACGAAATTGAGATTGACTTGGACCAGACGGTTCCTTTATCCAAGAAGCAAAAGAGATTACTGCGGAGAGGCAAGGTCACGCTGGAAGAATTGAATGACAAATTCAACTTAGACCCTTCATCTGTGAAGGAGTACAAGAAAGAGGTGGCTGGGAAGTCGGAAGGCGATAAAGAAGACTCAGACAACGCAGAAGACAGTGAAAAGTCTAGCAGTCAGGACTCGAAATCTAAGAAAGACAAGAAATTCGGAGTGTGGATTGGAAACCTCACCTTTGACACTTCGAAGGAAGATTTGTGTCGCTTTTTCATCGCCAAAACCCGAGAGTTAGATGACGAAGAGTCGAGGATCGAACAAAAGGATATAGTTAGGATCAACATGCCACTAGTGCAAAATGACGGGAAGCGTATCAAAAACAAGGGATTTGCTCATATGAATTTCCAAACCGAAAAGCAAATGGAAGCTGTGATCGCACTAAGCGAGTCACACCTTAACGGCAGAAACATGCTAATTAAAAGCTCACAGTCATTTGAAGGACGTCCTGACAAAGATGACTTGATTTCTCTATCAAAGAATCCCCCATCCCGTATCCTCTTTGTTGGAAACTTATCGTTTGACACCTCAGACGAGTTACTAAAAAAACATTTCCAACACTGTGGCGAAATAGTAAAGATCAGAATGGCTACCTTCCAGGATACTGGCAAATGCAAAGGCTTTGCCTTCGTGGATTTCAAGAACGAAGAAGGCCCAACAGCGGCGCTAAAGGACAAGAGCTGTCGTAAGATAGCAGGCCGTCCATTAAGAATGGAATTCGGGGAGGACAGAAGCAAGCGTCAAGTGAAGAGAAGAGATCCTTCTGCCCAAGACTCGCGTCCTACTGAGCCGTCACTGCGCGAACAGATTGTGCCTTCCGCAGAAACTTCCGCTCCAGCAGCTCCACCAATTAGAGAGAGAAAACCTGTCAAGAAATTCAGAGAACCTTCTTTTAAAGACAAAAATAATCGTCTTAAGAGTAGTGTTGCGCTGGCCGGCGCTCAAAGGGCCTCTGCAGCCATCGTACCATCGAAGGGTAAAAAGACCACATTTTAGATTAAATGTATTTTTCGTTAAAGGAGGCTGATAACTGTGTTGTTGATCAAAAGCATGCCGAATCTCAAAATTGTATATTAGCAAAGTAATAAGCGCCAAGTGTCTTGCATCAACTGTGACAGCGTAAATCACTCTTAGACTTTCCTTTCTTTTCGCTGACGGTTTGTGTGAAAGTGATATCCGCTCTCTGAAAATGATCCCAGTGAACACTTCTCGAGAGGTATTCCGACACGTTAAAAATATAATAACCAATATTTTAGGCTAATAGAACAACGAACTCGGCTGATCCAACGTTGTTTTGGAATTGCTACGAGCTAGAGGTTTACTTTGAGCTTTCGAGCAGGTCCGAAAGTGCTCCTCAGTGAGATTTGAACACTAGTAGGAACTGCGTGCTAAAAAAAGATACCGCTTGATAATGATGTTTAACGCTACAAGAGTATCATATAAGCCACGGACCCAATCCTCGACGACGGCAGTACGGAGCTCCTCAAGTTCTAGTGCTAGTAAAAGTTTTTCTTTGCTGAGTGCGACTACTATTTGGGGCTCGTCGTCACGGAACACATCACCTACTGAATCCTCTAGTGCAGCTACGACGGAAAGTACAGTCATACCCGCGAGCACAAGCATAACGGCCCTCCAGCCAAGCAGCAGTACAGTAGACCTAACATCTTCTACCAATACACAGAATACGCTGACCAGGAGCCTCAAATCAGACCAGACTGTCGTGAGTTACACCAGGAGCTATGTGATAACTGAATCTTCTACTACGTTTACAACAGCATTGTCTAGGGCCACTGTGCTCGACGCGAGAACTGCAGCCACTTTTACAGCTCCAACAGCTGCTGCTACCACCGATGTAGGATTTTACAACCGCTGGCTCAGCGGGACCCTAGATTCTAACTCCTATCCTGGCTCTATTTCCAAACATCAGAGAACTAAGATAATAGCTAGTGTTGTGGGCAGTGTTGGCGGTTTTCTGCTTATAATGGTTCTCATATGGTTTTTTGTATTCCGCCGACGCAAGAATCGAAACTCTAGCACAACACAAAGCTTCAGTCATGATATCGGGTGCAGAATCGATTATCCGCTTGCTCCTACGGATCGCACAGACCTCGATGATAATCATTTCGTCACCAATCGTTCTTCCGATGAAGACGAGGTTTTTATGAAGGGCAAATATAAATCTTTTGGTCGGAAGTTACCACTGTTTCAAAAGAGCGATGCCAAGCCTGACACTACATGGCCCAGAGATCATCCTGTTATAAGCCCGGATTCGCCTCGAGGCAATCCATTCCAGGACGAGTTTGACTTCCAAAAGAGATTGCCACTACCACCTCCAGTACCGACGCGAGATGTTCCAATTCATTCCAATTTCTCTTACAACAGCGAGGATACCTCTTCTTCCGATATTTCCTCTGATACTTCTTCTTCCATCCAACTTTCAAGACCTCATGGAGCAGCAAGAAGTACTCAAAGTTTCTTACGTGAGGTGCTGTAATAAAATCTGAGATGTTAAGTCTAAGCAGCTAGATTCTGCGAGTTGATAACCATGTAATAATGTTGTGAGACACATAGCGGGCTTTGTTCGTCTGATCAACAAAAAAAAGGCGAGGTAATTTCAGGTATTAAATAAAGGTGGTAGTGGCGTTTTACTGCATAAAAACAGAGAGCTAGTACTTTGTACGGAATGCAACTATCTCTCTGACATTTGGACCTTCAAAAAAAGGAAGCAGGCGTAAGGCGATGCTGAAGTGTTTACTCAAGAGGCAAGACTATTATTGATGTAAACATACTATCCACTTCTGAAAATACCATGCATAGCAATGAAAGAGGACCTATATACTCATGTAAATCTTTCACGGTTAAGTTCGATTTTAAAATTGTAATTGAGGGCCAATTTAAGTCAATCCGTCTACTATTGAAAAATTTTTGGAAAATGTTAATTCACATATAGAAAATTACTAGATAACAAGCCAAATCACGGCATAGAGACGTCTTTATGATGTTTCCTACTCCACTTGTACGCTTTGTACGTGCCGTTCCAGTTTTGAACGTAAAAAGAAGCTTTCAAACGGCCTTCCTCGCGAGAAATAAGGATACAAATTCATCACTTTTTGGATCCATAACTCAGGGCATAGAAGAACAACCTGACGATCCTCAAAGAATCTCCAATAGACTCACTGCGGCTTCTAGTGTTAGCGAAAAAGAAGCTACGGATCCAAAGAAAACGGTGACAGTAGCCAATGATAAGTTATTGCAATCATTTATCCACAAATCGCAATCATCTGCGTCGGCTACTGATCTTCTTCTATCACCACTAAAGAAACGAATTTACGAGGAGAACTGCAGGAGTAATGGTGGGTTCTACAAGAAGGATTCAATAGTGACCTTGACCGAAGCGAATGGCCAGAAACTGAAATACAAGCTCAACTTGAGTCGCGAAGAGATAGAGGCTCTGGAACCAAGCATATATGTGAAATCCTACCGTCTCAAATCATCGATGAAGAAAGCTACACAATTCTTGCGACTACTGGGCGGAGCCGATGTCACAACAGCACTTTCGCAATGCCATTTTTCCGATAAAAAGGTTGCGCGCGATGTAGCCGAGGTTCTCACGCGAGGAGTACAGGATGCAGAGAAGCTGGGAATCGAAGCTGACAACATGTACATCGCTCAAATATGGACCGGTAGTGATGGATATTGGCAGAAAAGAATTGATATCAAGGCTCGAGGCAGAAATGGTGTCATCACACATCCGTACGTGCATGTAAGATGCATACTGAAGACCAAAGATGTAACAAAGCGTCGGATTGCTTACGAACAGCAACTTAAACAGGAGAGACGCAAGCCATGGGTTCAATTGAACGACCAGCCTGTGAGGGGCGCCATGGGGGGCGTTTACAAGTGGTGAGAATTCACAAAGCGGAAGAATCAATCTTGTATATATAACGTTGAATAAGAGACGATTTAATAGTTGAAACAGACGTTAGATAATTGTTGTACAAAATATTAGCAGGAGACCGAGTTAGGATGAGTGCGTGGGCTCAAAATTATCGTATAAGACACTCCTTATTTCTCTTTCTTGCCCTCAGTAGGTTGTGCTTCGGCAGGCGCAGCGGTTTCTTCGGCGTAGAATTTGGCCAATCTCTGTTGATGCTCCCAGTTCGAATACCATAAGCCTGCTTGCAAAACGACAACGCCGATGAACACCATTAACAAGAGAATATTCGAGGACGCTATAACTGCCAATCCTTGGTTCTCAGTGACCTCACCCCAGTTGCCGGAAACAGAGGATTCAATGCCGGTCTTGATATTAGTGATAAATAGACAAATGCCAACGACAAACATTATCATGGACGCATACTCAAACATCTGTAAGTCTGGGTTTGGCTTGTAGATTTTGATTAGACAACCGATGAGACCCAAAACGGAAATGAATCCCAAACCGCCAAGCACAGGTGAAGCAGTGTCGTACAAGGTTTGGTAGTGGCGCAGACTGTTGTCAAAATGGGATTGGTCAATGTTTTGACCAAACAAGAGGTGGTAGTCGTAAGTTTGGTTGGCGTAGAACACACCCATGATGAAAGAACTAGAAATGAGGATCAAGCCTGTACCAATGGTACACACATCTTTGTAAGCGAGCATTTTGATGAAGAGTAAGGTGGCGAGGGTTGGATTGACCGTTTATGTGGTTAACTTTTTAAAGCATGAGATAACGATTTAAGATTAGTTAGTTACATTAACAATTTGCAAATATTATTATATTCAACGATTTTGATATAAAATCGAATTTTTACTTACAAAATTATTTAAGCAGAGGCTTCAACTGGAGCAGATTCCTCAGCTTCTGGGGCAGCGGCGGCAGCTTCTGGAGCAGGTCTGTAGTCCTTGACAGATGGCTCAGACACACGCTCCTCATCCTTAGGGTCGAGGATTTTGACGGCGTCTGGCAAAGCCTTAGGACCAACTCTGTTCTTAGCTGGGTCTCTCATGATCTTGACCTTGATACCCAAAACACCTTGTCTCAATAGAACGTGTCTGGTAGCAGTGTCAATGAAGTCAGCGACTGGTTGACCGGAGTGGATCAAGAAACCGTCAGCGAACTTCATAGACTTGGCTCTGGCAGCTCTTAGCTTACCGGAGATAACGACTTCACAACCCTTGGCGCCGGACTCCATAACGTAACGAACAACACCGTAGGCGGCTCTTCTGATGGCTAGACCGTTGAGAAGCTTGAACTTCATGGATTCGGCTTGGGCCACGGCAGATAGACCACGGTCTTGGACACGCTCGGCGTACAAGACAATGGAACCTGGTTGGTACTTGAATCTCTTTTGAACGAGCAAAGTTAGCTCGTTGATTCTGCGACCGTTTTCACCTAGAACATCTTGGGTTCTGGTGGCACGGACGATGACCTCGGTCTTGGTAGGAGTGACACGCACTTCGACACCGGAGTAACCTTCTTCGGCCAATTCACGAGTGAAGAACTCGTTCAACTCGGCGTAGAAAACACCGTCAGCGACTAACTTTCTTTTCTTGGAGATAACAGCAACCATTGTGGAGTGGGGATTGAAGCAAGAGTAGATTCAAAGACTATGAGAGCACGTCAAATGTATAAGTTTTGATGAAAGTGGTATTGGCGAAATGCGATCTTGGTCTTCCCAGAGCATTGGAAACGTTGAAAAATTTCAGTCACTAACCACGGAAAACTTCACACACCAAAACGCTGCGACGCTTGGGTATCCCAGATCACCTCGAACGAACATTACACGAAAAAAAAATTTCAATATTTTTTAGATTTTTGAATTTTCGACATTAAAAAGTGTTAGATGTACGGATTCTTTGAAATAGCAGTCAAAAGAACGTTCAAACCTGAGGGCCTATGACAGTTTACAGTGGAACAACGAACGATTGTGAAGGTAATGAATGCTAAAGATGCTGGTGTTACTCGGGAGTGTTTCTGATGTTATCGTTTGGTTGGAAAGCGGCTAAATTACCTTCGATGAAGTGTATATCGGTAAACGCATTGTCGCGGGCAATCATAAGTTTGGCTTAACTGAACAGCTCCAGCAGACCCCTAGATGTGCTGTATTAATAGGACGTATCAGTTGTCACAATTAGTCTAGTGATGAACACTAATGATGCCACGATCAACACATTGTCAGTATAGTACAAAGTGACTTATGCCAGGTTGGTGCAATAGTTGAACACACCGTTACAACGCGACAAAATAAGCCCTCAGCAGACTGTTTCATAGCTTAGCGGTCGCGGCATACATCTTTATGCTGTAGTCTGCAGAAACATCACGGTAAGATTACCTACCTTGCGCTTTATTACGCACAAGAATTATGCACTACGTGTATTGGCAGTTTACTAGCAATTCGAAATAATCAATTGCGGCTTGTACAGTTCAATATCAGCATTGCCCCTGTGACTTATAAACCTTGACGATGACTTGATACTTCCCTGTCCCCTGTGTTACTCCTGATTTCTATTTTACTCGGCATACGTGTTGGCGTGGTTTTATTGTTCACAGGAACTAACGAGTCGAATAAACGGTCATAAATCGGGTCTCTTGAAATCGGTAAACTCAGAAAATGCTTTACGGCAGCGCGCTTCTGTTTACAAACTTCTCATGATGAACCCTAGACCAATAGTAACTCCGTCCGATTGCGACAGATAATGCTCAAAGTGCAAAGTTCCAAAATAAAACACCGTTCTTTGATTAGAAGCATACATACACACGAGACAAATGAGGACTGCATTGCTCCTAGAAATATCCATTTTGTTTATCTACACAACAAGTGCCAATATTTAGCAACCCTTACACGCTAAACATCTTTCGCTAACATAAAAACAAAAGTCGCGACTTCGTGAAATTACCAAAAGACGATACTAAATAAGATCCGGCCAAAATGTATGCTCCATTGCTGCTTTCTCAAGATCTGCAGAAATCTCATTACTTTATTCCACACTACATCAAACGTACGGAATCCACATTCCTTCAGCTAAGCAATTTAATGGTACGCGTTGTCTTCATTTAGGAAAACAATGAGCCTCACCTACCATAACGACAGTAACAACTCGACTCAAAGTAAGCTGCTGCCAGCCTCAAGTTTGTCTATTTTACAGCTCAGCAGTTGCTAACATGCACTAACACAACGAAACGAGTCGAATTCGTAACGAAGCAATTCACGACTTCAAATGCATCAAATCAAATTTCAAATGGGCCTTTTTATATAAACTTATTAAGCATCGAACGCCCACCAGTTATCTTCACTTTATTATCGATTGGTTATATCATTGATACCGAATTCTTCGTAAACTTATTGAACTTTCTATATCATACTTGTCATATCACGCAGAAACGCGACCGGCTGAAATTAAAACCATTTTAGAACCTTCACGGCGACCGAAGACTTTGCTCTCGTCTTCAGGCGTATAATTTTAGTCAGAACACTAGTAGAGAGTGACCCTCCTGATGTTGAAACTTGAGTAGCGCTTGCGTCGGTGTTCCTTGAAAGAGTTGTAGAAGTTCGAGATTGCACACTAGAACTTTCTGGACCCTTGGAACTTTCTGGACCTTTGGAACTTTCTGGACCCTTGGAACTTTCTGGACCCTTGGAACTTTCTGGATCCTTAAGGGCTTTGGTACCAATCGTGTTTAAAATTTCTTTCATGTGCGCTGCATAACTGTTGCCATCGACCTGATTTGAAAAGCTCTGGGAAGCATCCCATAACATGAGACCTCCAAAGTTTCCACTTCTACTAATTAAGTCTACAGTGGACTGAATTTTGGTCATGTTTGAGATGTACCCGGAAGCAGCGGCAGAAGGGGAGCCCGGTAAGCCTAAGTAAAGTTTAATATTCTTGTTCGACGTAGAAGAGGCAAATTTGGCCCAAGTGTCCCAATTAAACTGACGGTCGACGTTACAGTGGTTGTTGTAAAACTGAATAAATGCGAAGTCGATATATGCACTTTTCAGTAGATCACCGACGGAGGCATCCGGGAAAAAACATTGTGGAGCAGCGGACAGATAATAGCTTTTCGTCGAAGAGCTAAAAAGTTCTCTAAGCTTAGCTGCTAATGCAACGTAGCCGGCAGAATTTTGATTCTCAATGTCAAAATCGAAACCATCAACGATTGCGTCATTGAAGGGCCGCTCTAAAGTTGAGCCACCGGCAAAAGTATTCCACAAAGTGTCCGCAAATTCTTGCGCCTGGGTGTCGTCTGAAAGCCCATATGAACCAGCCGAGCCCCCCATTGACAGCAGAACTTTCTTGCCTAAATTTTGACAGGTTTTGATGTCTTCACCAATCTGGTCGCAGTGCAAGAGTCCACTGGGAAATGACGAGGTACAGGACGACGTAAAATCTAAACCGACCTTCTGTGGAAATGAATGTAGAAAAGACAGAAGAATTATGTCAATGTCGGATGACTGGCAATATGACGCCAAAGATTCTTGCGAACCGGCTGAAGCTTGCCCCCAATATACTGCAACATTTTTTTTAGAGCTGGCATCAAAACCGAATACTGGTGCGATCTCTAAACCTAGGATGGTAATCAACAATGACAACATCGAGGAAGAACGCCTGTTTGAATACGGGAAAAGAGATTGTAGCTATTTAACCAGCTGATAGGCAAAAGTTCCCTAAAAGCTAGCTGTCTCAGCTCTTTTGTACGGGCTACCAAAATGCAAACTCTTCATTGTAGCTACATAGGCAGGTTTTTGAACAAGAGCTTCAGGTTGCTTTCTCTGATCATCTAGTCCTCACATTTCACTCACATATGCTTCGAGAACCACTTCTATAGCTGGCGACTCCCAGAGCTAGCGAAACTTGGCACTAAAATAATTTTACTCATCGCAGAATCGATAAGTTTTGAAGGTTTCGAGAGTTCAGCGTCTATTTTTAGTGTGACACCAAAAGCTTAAGTTGCCAAATTCGTTAACAGTGAGCAAAAGAAGAGGGTCATGGTAGGATGATAAGCTTTTGATTGAAACTAAAACTCACGGTGTTACATCAGACGATGCTTCTCGTATTCTGGAGCGCTCTTGTCGTGGTGCGATTTATCTGTGAATATGATCTGGCTGGTTTTTTCGTCGGCTAACAGTCAACGAAAAAAATTAGTGATATCCCGTAGTTTTAGCTGGAAACAAGAGTTAAAGCGAGTGTTAACACAAGCGTCGAGACAAGGATTGACGTCCTTTCTCACCCAGTCCAACAACGGTGATCTGGATTGCTTATGTCCTTGTTCTTCTTCATTGCGTCTCTATGACTTTGATTAGTAGCCACTGTAAGAATAAAAAGCATTCAAATTAGCCTTCGATTATTAAACGTCCTCCACTCATACTTTTACCCAATCTTCCACCAGGTGCCAAGTCCTTAGACGGCAAGTGGCTACAGAAAAGTGTTCTCCAGTGTAAGATGGAGTCACGTGGCAGATACCAACGCTTGCTCATCACTGCACCATCTGCTTCCTTTCAAGGACGCTCTGCGCGACCCAACGTCCGCGCCCCTCCTACTTGCGGCATTCTTTTTTCAGATTCACGAAATAACCATATTCCTGTAAGGTTTCAACGCATTCTTAAGATGCGTTGGCCTTTCGTCTACAGCATGCCATGTCACTGCGTGGTGGTGTGCCGATTGCTCATTGAGACTTCATTCGGAACCAGAATTTGACCTGGGGCACTTAGTTCGAGCGCAGCATTCAGCTTTCACACTACTGTGCCAGATGGTGTGACACAATGGTATAAAGTGACAATAACAATGCGAAAAGCAGCTGCACCACAAAGAAATTCTAGGGGCATGGCGCAGTGCACTGTTTCAAACGCTGTCTTTGCGGACAGCAATGAACATGCTTTCCATCTCTTTCGACATCAAACCTTTGGTTGTCCACTATTCTGATCACTTTACACGCCAGAAATATTGCACTACCTAAAGGACCGGTTTCTACTGTAGAAAACTTGTCGCATGGAGGATCTGCTCGAGCTTTAACATCTCACGCTTCCGTACCAGCCGTGAGATCTTCTTGAGTGAGATTTCTCGGCCTTCATAGATGCCTTTTTTTTTCTCGGAGGAAGCACTCGGCTCGTAAGACATCCGATGCTCATAATACTGCTGTAATATGTCTCGAATTAATACTGACATGACGCTTCTCACTCATATTTAGCTCCATTTGGCAACTTGCTGAGTCTTCCCACTCTTGTGAAAATTTGTTAAGCTCATTTCTTCGCACTGTCTAAGTCTTACAGAATTTTGCAGCAGTACTGTGCTGAGCTGAAGTAAGTATTGGGATCTGCAATGCGCTTACGTCGCGATGAGTACACGGGTACGTGTTCTTCAAGATGTTCGTGTGTAGTGCTCTGAGAAGTTAACGAACAGTGACTTTACGAAAAGTACCGTTGAAAATGGTCCAACACGGTTTTCGGCCTTTATGTCCTGGATCCTGTCCCAAATATTTAGAATCGAGACATCGGGAAAACCTGGCCAACGTAAATTTTCTAGCGAAGGTCAAGAGTGAACAAAAGCATCGAAGTCGGAGATTTTTGACAGGCCTCACACTACGTTTTCGTTCTACGATCCATACAGTTTCGAGAAGAGCCAGAGAAGCCCATAAGACTGGTATTAGTGCAACTGCGTTGCCATTTCAGAGAACACCAACCCCCCAAAAACCCCCGAATTCCGCTCTTGAAGCTAGCTGTCCAGTGAAATGAGATCCGTTAAATGTGTGATTGTTGGCGATGGCGCCGTTGGTAAAACCTCGCTGCTCATCTCATACACCACCAACACTTTCCCGCAAGACTACATTCCCACCGTCTTCGACAACTACACCACGACGATCGCCCTGAATGACGGCAAGTCGTTCGAGCCTCAAGTATTCAGATTGAACTTGTGGGATACGGCAGGTCAAGAGGAATACGACCGTCTCAGACCGCTTTCCTACCCACAAACTGACATTTTCTTACTTTGCTTCAGCGTTAATGAGCCTAACTCCTTTGAAAACGTGAGAGATAAGTGGTTCCCTGAGATCAGACACAACACGAACTACGAGAATTTGGAACTATTCCGTTGTTGCGGCAAGTACCCTATACTGCTAGTCGGCACTAAGTCCGACTTAAGAGATGACGAGCACGAACAAGATCGTCTCACAGAAGTCAACTCTGATTTTGTCTCAAGAGCCGAAATCGATCAGTGTGTTGCCAAATGTGGCCTCATGGGCTATGTGGAGTGTTCCGCGGCTACCCAGGTAGGTGTTGCTGAGGTTTTTGAACGCGCAGTACAGTGCGTTGTAATCGAGCCCGAAAAGCTATTGAGTCAAAGTAAACAGAGCAATAACCTGAGCCACGACCGCTCACTGGATGTGCAATCTGGCTCGCAAGCTAATGGGGGCGCTGGCGTCGGCGGATCGAGCCCAAGCACCAATTGGAATGGTTCGGGCTCGAATCCAATGAAGAAGAGAAAAAAGAAGTCTCAGAAGTGTAGCATACTGTAAACCAGCAAAGAGTAACGAAGACGAATACTCTATAGACATCTTAAGAAATAAAGTGTAATTTAAATAAGTTAGAAAATACCTGTGCGTAATAAGCCTGCACCATATACCCTATTTCTTCTCGGTCTTTTTCTTACCCATATTCCTCTTGATAGCCATCGATCTTTCGAGTTCGAGAATTTTGCTCGTTGTCGTGTCGTAAAGCTTTGTTTGAAGCTCAGTATCGTCAAACTCTTTGCGTGAGAACTTAGACATGGAACAATTGACAACGTATTTAACCTTTTCGTCTTTCCAATTGACTTCTTCGAGCTCTGGACTCATTAGGGCATACAGCACAGATTGAGCGCCGCGATTTCCGCTTTTCGTCAAAAGCCATAGAAGTGGGTATAGTAGGGTGGTGTATATGAAGATTAACGCCAAGACAGAACCGTTACTGAGCAAACGCCTGAGACTAGTAGAACGCATTATCCCCGGTTGCACAAGCGCAACCGTGACATTTTTACCGGAGCGCTCATCTTTCTCGTCCTTTGTCAGGAGGCGTCTTTGTAATTCCAACATGCACAAACTGAGTTGAAGCTTCGAGCTTCCAAAAAACTTCAATGGTCGATTGTACTGAGCGTCTTTCCATAGAGGATCATCTATTTTAACCTCTCCCAAAGCTTGTAACATGCAGGTAGTGACAATGATCCTTACATCCCGGTCCGGCGGTTGTGCTTTGAAACTAGGTTTCAACAGGTCCAGCAAATGGAATGTGCCTGCAAAATTGGTGGCTATCTGAAGTTCTAGTCCATCCGCTGATGTCTTGCGTACACTTTTCCAGGCTGGTTCTAAATCCCCAGCCATTGCCACCACTCCGTCCAAGCGTCTTGCGGGTTTATTGTCGAGCCACTTTGTGGCAAACTTGCGGACTTGGTACAAATCACTCAAGTCGCACTGCTCCAAAAAAATCAATTCGTTATTACTCTTTACTCTCAAGTCTTCAAGCCATTCGGTCGTCCATTCATCAATCCTTCTCACCAAAATTACCAATTGAGCTCCTTGCTGCGCCATTTCTAGTGCTACAGCAGTTCCCATTCCCTGTGTTGTTGCCCCCGTCACAATGTAGACTTTACCGTTGAGCTTTCTTTGCCACTTGTTAGTAGTTCCTCTTGACCACACCTTAATTGCCAAAGCTCCAGCCACATAGGGCGCGTATTTCCGAATTTCATTCCAGTAGGGAATCTGATCCGTCCCTTCTATTAGAGCGGTCGCCAAAATATTCACTGGCATTTGTTTATTCAGTTTCAGACGTTCTCCTAGTTGGCTATTCTTAGCTAATTGATCTCTTGGATTTCTATATAGTAAAATTTTCTAAACCCAAAGTAGTTGCCCATCGCTAGCTCATCGCGGATAGATTTAAAATTTCAAACCCAAAGAAGACAACTTCAGCAGGCATCACAGACATGGAAGAACAGTTGTGCTTTACTACAGGCTCAACCTGTACTGTTGCCTTTCTAAATGCCGCGAAACAGACCGATTTAAAGCAGTGCGGTACAGAATTCAGGAATGGAAGCGTGCGCGTTGGACCTTCACACTTATTCGTGGCCCAACGTCGCAAAGCTCTGATAAACATTTACAAAATTAGCGGGACAGGATCCAGGGAATCTGTGGAGCAAAGATTGGCTTTGCCAGAGCCCGTGAGCTGCTTAGAAGTGGTGAAAAATGTGGAAAGTCAGGAGTGGCCATATCTGCTTCTGGCATCTACTCCAACAGGAAAACTGTACGTTTGGGAGTTAGGATCCGGTCAGCTGTTGACGGCAAAGTCACTCGCACACTACCAGCCAATAACAAAGATTCAGTCAATAGTGAACGGCAAGTATGTTATCACCTCCGGTTTAGACTCAAGGTTGATGATATGGCAGACTATGGATCTAGTAACGCAAGAGGATCCAAAACCTGTGTACACGCTGCATGACCACACTCTTGGAATCACCGACTTTTGCGTCTCTAACGCTCATGCAACGACACACTTGTCCGGGAAGCTATTCACGGTATCACACGACATGACACTACGATGCTACGATTTGAATATCGAAGTTTGGCCCCAGCCACATTTGCTTGCAACGTTCACATTTTCAGGTCCTTTAGAGTGTGTGACCCTTGATTCTGCAGACAGAGCGTGTTACGTTGGAGGACCGCAAGGTACTCACCAAGTAAATTTCTACTACCCATTGGGATCAACTAAGATTGTCAATTTGTTGAGCGCGGAGGGCAACAGAATCATGTCGTGTGTAGAATCGCAAGCACAGGAAAACGTACGTGAACTGTACACGATGGGCCAAATTGTATGCCCTAAGATCACTGGCGCCAGTAGCACGAAGTTGGCCTGCTCGATGGATGGGAGTCAGTTAGTCGTTGGCGATAGCCTTGGAAAATGCACTGTGATGGACATCTTTTCTAAACAGCCTTTGAAGGAACTTCATTCGATTGTAAGCAACGAATCCTGTGGAGAAGTGACAAGTTTGGTTCTCGATTTAATTGACCAAGATCCTTCCGAAAGCCTGTTGGCCACTGGAAAATCGCAAATAGAACACAAATTTCCCAATTTGCAGAAAAATGTGTTCACACGCGAAGGCTTACATGACGTGTACTGCCAAATTACAGCAGACAGAGAAGAGGCAGTCGCACCGTTGGACGATTTCCAATCTTACCTGAACCAAGTGGCATCAGAGGAGAACGCATTCATGCAATTGGGTAGCGTTGTATCCACAGTGAAGGTTGTGGGTCAAATGGAGCATCAAGAAGAAGCTAACATGGAGGCAAAGGTCTCCTCGGAGAGCGAGGAATTGACTACAATGAAGGAAACTGTTGGTCAACTAACAGGTGCTTACAAGGACCTGCGAGAAATGTACGAAAAGCTGTTCCGTGAACATGAGACTCTGCTCAGCAACAAGGAAAATTGAAAGCCTTCTGTCACGAATATAGAGTACAAGCTTTGATCTCGCCATCTAAGCTTATCGTGGCATGAAATGCACACTATGTTGCCTCACAAAGCCTACGTCCTGCACAGGGTCTCCTATATTTCTAAAATATGTACCATATTAACGTTCTCATTGCACTAGCTTCTTACTTTTCTTATTGACGTATTGTCTATACTTAGCATTTTTATTCTGCTTCTTTTGGACGCGCTTACCACCAGAGCTTTTGGGCTGAACTTTCTTGTTTTTGGTTGTGTCAAAGCCGGAAAATCCCATAAGAGACGCCATGTCCTGATGAAGGTCTTGCTTAGGTGCGTCAGGCTTGTCCTTATTCTTTTCTAAATCCTTGTTTGAAGGGACAGCGCCCTCGGGTAGTACTTGGGGCAGGTTCTGAGAACTTTTAGAACCGGAATTTTCAGCTAGCATTTAATGTGAAGCAAAAGTCGTGGTCATTGAGCTTAGAGGAGCGCTTTGATGAGATGGACTTTTATTACTCTTTACTTCAATTTTGTTGACAGTTTTTGTATATTTGAAAATTTTAAGAGATAGCTCATCGCATGTTAGCTCATCGCCTTTTTAACAAAACAAAGAACTAATATTCAATGGGAGACGAAGTTAAGCTAACCAAAAAGCAGCTCAAAGCGCAGCAGTTCCGTAAGTCTAAGGATACGAAAGAGGACGAAAAAAGCGCAAAACGGACTGCGGACGATGTAAAGGAGGCAAATAAAGACGTCACTTCGGGTGATGAAGCGCCTAAGAAGAAGCGTAAAACACGTAGAGGAAAGGGTGGCAAGGGGAAAAAGGGTAACAGATTCCTCATATTTGTGGGTAACCTTCCGAAAGGCACAACTGATGTTGAACTAAAAGCACATTTTAAGTCGAGCTCTCCAGATGAGATTCGTGTAAGGCCCGACAAAAATATCGCGTTTTTGGAATTCGACGCAGACAAGGACCAGAAAAACATTCAGTCACGTATGGATGTCGCGTTGCTACAACACAAGACCGAGATGAGCGGTCGAAAAATTAATGTGGAGTTAACCGTAGGCGGTGGCGGGAACAGTGAAGCCCGCCTGGAGAAGCTAAAGAACAAGAATTTAAAGATGGACGATGAAAGGAGAGTAAGAACTACCAAAATGATTCTAGACAGTAAAAATAAGGCTGCCAAAGAGGCGCCAAAGAATACGGAGCCGGTTGAACTTGCGAACGGAATCCACCCTGATCGTTTGAAAAACATGAAATGAGATTTTAATATCGTGGGCAAGCATACGGAGATGATCCCCTCTCTTTGCCGATTGCTTGCCAGCCGCTTCGTGTACCATATAGTTCGAGTGTAAGCAATTAAAACAATACGAGCACATAAAAAAGCTTACTTTTACATTCTTTTGAAGTTAAAGTTGCGGAGAGCGGTACTTGGGTATACTGACAAAGCAGCTCGAGGGTGGTTTTTTTAACATGAAGACTGGCGTGTTTTACGAGACTTGGTATTTGTCCTTAATGAAATTTATGGCCATTAAGAATAATACAAGAATTACTCTCTGGCTACTGCAATTGAATTTTTACTATTTTTTGACATGCCAGATCAGGCTAATTGCAACACAGAAAAGTTTGAAAACAATTTAGCTGAAACTTACGTCGAAAGGTTGAGCGTAGTTTACCGGAAAAACCGATAATTATGTGAAAGACAGATAGACTTTTTAGAGAGTATGAGCTCCAGTGTACTCTATCAAAAATGGATGAGTTGTAATTCGTCCCAGTGCCACCTTATTCGGATAATGAAGCTGCCCAGAATACCTTATAAGCTGCAAATGATATTTTTGAGTTCCTGCCATATCTTGATTCTATGTAATTCATTCAATGAACACCAAGCTAAGCTCACGCCAGAAAAAAGCTTTTTAGACAACAAATATATATGCTTCTTGGTGCTTTTATTAATTGGCTCTGTTATGAAAGCGGAGCTACAACTTCTTTAAGTGTCTTTCTATGGTGAGTGGCCTAGACTTGACCGCAGTCTAAATTTCGCGCCGGCAATACGTACAGCGAAAGTCCTTTGAAACTCATGCTATCTGAAAGGTGCAAGGCCTCCGGCCACATTGGCAGTTCTTTTTATTACTCAATATGCTAATTATTCCTGCCATCTTGAACTAGAGGTTAATTTTGCCCAAGAAGATGAAATGTATAGAAAACTATGAAAATATGCTCAAGCTGTCTACAGAGTTCGGAATTACACGTTCGTTACTTTGAATTTACTCGTTTCCGAATATTCTTATCGATTGGCACGGTTTCTCTTCAAAAAAAGCTTATCTTCGCCTCTACAAATAATTTCATTAAAAACTTAAACATTATACTCTGACAAAAAATCGTCATTCAAGCCCTCAGAATCGGCTCCAAGTGTCCCAAGTCCATAGAATATGTCGTCCCTGACCAAGCTTTTGCAAGAAAAGCGAAAAAATGAGGCGGGCGTCCCTTCTGGGCTCAGTCAATCGCGCTCACAGCAGTTGGCAAACTCCGAAAGCGAGGCCCAGGAGGAGGCCTCCGAGGACCCAAGTGTTTTGCTGGGACAAGAGCAGTTTTCTTCAAGCTTCTTAACGGCAAACTCGGCGCATACCGCAGCCTTCAGCGAGAGTTACAAAGAACGCGAGAGACCGGTTCCCCTTACGATCGAATCACGTGGTGGGCAAAATAAAGGCGCCTATTCACCTTCTGGTATGACACCCGGGTCTCAGCCAGGGCCCCAGACTCGTCCAAGAACAGTGCCGTCACTATCCTCGAGCATTCCTTATTCTGTGCCCAACTCCAACGCTAGTGGGGGCTCCAGTGCGGGCTCCAGTGGCGCCACCATTACTGGAAATGGATTTGGATCCGGAAACAACAACGCCGGAAACGGAGCTGGCAGTGCCGCGTCATCTGTTTCATCTTCCTACCTAGAGTCTTCGGGTTTGATGCCCCATAATGTCTCTGCCATCGATACGAATGTTATATCATCGCCCAAGGTCGAATCCGTGGAACCTCGATTCATCATATCAAAACAAAAATTTCAAAAGGCAACACAAGACAATGCTGCAAGCTTCCACTCTAACAACCAATCTGGCTCGGTGCCCAGATCAAACTCGATTTCATCTCAGCTGGGTAATTTATTCTTCACTAAAAACGGGAAAGATTTGAATCTGGCCACGCCTACACATGCGTCTCAAAGTAGAGATATACCGGCCAATCCTGCTACTTCTGCTTCCATGTATGGTTCCTCAATCCCCAAGCCCACTCGTGCCAGACGCAGCTCGCTTTATGGAAACTCAAGACAACCTTCGGGTTCGTATCAAGACTCCTTTATCGGGTCTCCATCGTCTCTCCAGGAAAATCATCCAAACCAATACATGCCCAGATCTCGTCATTCTTCAATCGCGGATCTCAAAAGATTTTTTAAGAAAGGTCAAAGTCAGCAATTAAGTGCTTCACCAAACACTCCTCCGGTTTCGGCTGGCGGTAACATCAGTTCCCATACCTCAAATGCTTCTTCTTTTGGCCCTGGATCTTATAGTAGCAATAATGGCGATACTATCTACACAAACTCTGCGTCGCCCACGTTGCCTTATTCGAAAAGATATGCCAAAACTGGTGAAAGCTTAGGTGCAGGGGCAGGTGGTTCAGTAAAGTTGGTAAGGAGAATTCAAGATAACAAGGTTTTTGCTGTAAAAGAGTTCAGAACCAAATTTGAGCACGAAGCCAAAAGAGATTATGTGAAGAAGATTACTTCTGAATACTGTATTGGTACCACGTTGCGCCACTCAAACATTATAGAAACGGTGGAAATCATATATGATAATAATCGTATTTTGCAAGTGATGGAATATTGTGATTACGATTTATTTGCCATTGTTATGAGCAATAAGATGTCTTATGAAGAAATTTGTTGTTGCTTCAAGCAGATTCTAACTGGAATTCAATATTTGCATTCGATGGGTTTGGCTCACCGTGACTTGAAGTTGGACAATTGCGTTATTAACAAAGATGGTGTGGTAAAGCTGATCGATTTTGGGGCGGCGGCAGTTTTTTCCTATCCTTTCTCTAAGACTTTAGTAGAGTCGTCTGGCATTGTCGGAAGTGATCCATATCTGGCTCCTGAAGTATGCATCTTCTCGAAATATGACCCTCGTCCTGTGGATATTTGGTCTGCGGCAATCATTTTTGCCTGTATGGTTCTTAAGAAATTTCCTTGGAAAATTCCTAAATTGAAGGACAATTCCTTCAAGCTTTTTTGCTCGGGTAGAAATTGCGATTCTTTAAGCGCTTTGGTGATACAAACTCCAGAAACTGCATCTGCACCTCCCTCTTATGATAATGCTGTTAAAGCTGAGGAAACCACTCCCACACCGCCCCCCTCGTCTTCTGATTCAAACAACAATCCAGCAGATCCCGATAATCCAAACATTGGTCCACAGAGATTACTTCACTCACTGCCGGAAGAATCTCAACATATCGTTGGTCGCATGGTAGATTTGGCCCCCGCGTGTAGAGTTAGCATCGACGACATTATGCGAGATCCTTGGATCCAGGGCATCGACATGTGTGAAGTCGTGGAGGAAGAGTTTTCTGTAAAAATTGTACCTGGGGTGGACCACAAGCACACCCAAGTGGACCAAAGTGAGGCCCATATCGCGGGCCTCGAGAAAAAGAAGAAGAAGCAGAATCGTTGAGCATTAGACGCAGGCGGACCTCACAATACGTTCTTACACCTATCTTCAGTGAAGTATGGAAGAGCTTCTAAGTGTGTCGATTCTTTCCCACAATTCTCATAAATGGGGGTTTATTCCTTCCGAATTTTTTATGAGCAGACTACTTGCTCATTTTATTTTACTTGTGATGTTTATTTGATGTACTTTTTGTAATAAAATCAATCCCTGTGTAGTATTTATGTAGCTTGGCATTGTAAAAGCATTGTTTTCATTCTGAGATTGAAGAAGCATGCAAATCACTATGAGGTGACTATTTCGTTTCAACTCTGTTGCGAAGAGCAAATGCGCGACAGATCAACTTTTGTAATCCGCTAGAAGTGTAAAAGAGACATTGTTGGATATACTACTGACACAGAGTACTTTCTCTATAAAATAATTTGTACCATGAGCGTAATTGAACGCCAGTTATATGAGTAGTTTGGTCTCAAAGTTTCAAGTTCATCTCCAGGATAACGGAGGGTATGTGGGCTCTCCATCAATTCAAGAATGAATATCTTACTGACAAGTTCTATCTTGTCACTTTGAATAAATTCTGTCATCATATATCATGTAATAAAATTTTTTAGATCTCAAATTACATATCCGCCCAATCCAGCAGTGAGTGTAGAGCCGGAGTGTCTCATAGGATCATGTCAAAACCTCTCAAAAACGTTCTAGTCAAGCTCATCGTTGGTGCTGGACAAGCTGCCCCATCGCCACCAGTGGGTCCAGCTTTGGGTTCAAAAGGTGTAAAAGCGATTGACTTTTGTAAAGAGTTCAATGCCCGTACGTCGTCTTACCAGCCTGGAACCCCTATTCCTGTTTATATCACGATAAAACCAGATCGTTCATTTAACTTTGAAATGAAGTCTCCTCCCACCGGTTTCCTTCTGCTCAAAATTTTGGGTAAGGATAAGGGCATGAGCCAACCGAATGTGAAGACTGCGGCGGGAACTCTGGGGGAGGTCTCTCTCAAACACATCTATGAAATTGCCAAGATCAAGAAAAGTGACGGCAGACATGCGTCGCTTGAGATGGAGAGCATCGTCAAGTCCGCGGTCGGTGTAGCCAAGAGCATGGGTATCAGTGTGGTACCATAATTCATTAGCATAATTTCAACATGACAAGCTAGGAACATCGCTGCCTATTAACGTCTTTAACCTGTACATAAGCGTAACATTTGTTTGGAAAGCGTACGACGCACCGGCGTTTGCTGCTTTTGAGTCAAAACTTTGTTTTTCAATTTTAGTGTACAATTATGGAGTCTGATGTGTCTGTCTATTCTACACGTTGATGCTAATTAGTTGTTAAACCGCCGTTTTTTGTTTTTCGTTTTGTTCTTACTCTTTCTCTTTTTCTTGGATAAGTTGGGGGCGCTTGTGCTTGTGCTAGTATCAGGAGCCGTAGCGTTAGAGATAGTTTTTGAGTCTTTCGAAAATGGGGCTAGAGGCATGCTCTTGTGTGTTAAGCGGGTATATATCAAATAGTAAGCCCCAGGCTCTTTCAACATTTGTCTTTCAGTGATCTTGTTGATATATTCGTCGTCGTAAGTAGCCCATGTGCCATCCGGCTGTTTACAATGAGCAATGTAGTGGCCTGATGATAGTGAGCGACCCTCATGAACCACCACGCTCACAAGCTGGTATTTCACAGGAATTGCAGATTGATAGTCTTCACAAAATTCAGTCAAATCCAAGAACATTGGATATGAGACGGCTTGCTTCATCTTTGAGGATGAAGTGCCATTGAAACGGAATTTCTTCAAGTGTACGAGCAAAGTTTCGGGTGCTCGCAAAATAAAATTATGCTTGATCGCATTCGTGGTTTTGTGACATTTCTCGCAAACATACCCCTCTTTGGTGGTTTTGTCGGCTTTGATCAACTCAGGATTGAAAAAATCAGCAATAGATTTCTCAATAGAAAATCGACGTTGAGGTGCTTCTTCAGCTTCCCCATCATTTTTGGCGCTGTCGCCGAGCTCTGTATTTTTTTTTCCCTTTAAATGCAATGAAAGATCGTAAAATGGCTGTTCCGTCTTTGAAATTTGTCCACAGCTTTTACAAGTCACTTCCTGCCGAAGAAGCCCACCAAATATGTCGTACATGATACTCTCCGTTAGTTTGTGACCGCGGGGAACACCGTCTTCCTGCAATCTCGACATCAAGGACATAAAGTACTCATGAGAATCTTCTTGCTGCCATTCGCTCATCATACAGTTGATGTCGTCTAATCTTCCAATCAACTTCTTAGGATTTACAAATTGACTTTTTGAAGATTCAGATGACCATATTTTCTTGGTGGTCTCTGCCAGTATTTGTGTCACCGATTGAGGTTGTATCGTAGACTTGTACTCACCACGAAGCACGTCAAAGAGATAATGCTGAATGGCAGGAACGTGAATCATAGCCTGAACCGCAGCATTTGTGTAGCAAGTGACACCATGATTCAAGAGACCCTTAGGCCTCATTTGCGATAGCTGAGGTCCCCAGTTTTTTAGCATACGAGTCGATTTATTGGTGCCTCGGTCGCCGAATTGTTCATTGAATTGGTAAAACTGGTCTATGTCTGAAAGAACTGTGGGAGGAGTAGGAGAAGGGAGTTTGCTGGAAGGAATTTTATGTTTCAAATCGTCTTCATCTTCATCATTGGTGGGGGCTTGCACATTCTCTTGGAGGGTTGATTCAGTGATTGCATCACCCACGGTACTGGGAACGATTTCACTCTTCAAAGCAGACATTTTAGCATGTTCTTGAGCCTCACGTACAAGGCCCAGCTTCTCGGTATCGGGGATGTCATTGTCGGAACCCTCTGATTCGGAAACTGCATTTTCGTCGTCTTGAAAATCGGCGTCATCCTCTGAGCCTTGATTTGAGGCGCTGCGGCTGCTAGCTTCGGAGCCCGGCGTTTCTTGTAGACTTCCAGTATTGGAATCCTCAGCAACAACCTCAGCATCTTCTTCTCCGATGCTTGCTTCGATATCTTCGCCTACATCTTCACCAACGTCTTCACCAACGTCTTCACCAACGTTTTCATCAACGTCTTCACCAACGTCTTCACCAACGTCTTCACCGATGTCTTCACCGATGTCTTCGCCGGTTTCTTCATCAATTTCTTCGCTTTTTTCGCCGCCTTGGTGATTATTACTGGACTCCGGCTCGACGTACTCGTTTGCCTCGTGAAACTCTTCATTTGCAGAGCCACTAGTCGAGTCGCTAGACCCATCCTGGCTGCTCGAGCTCTGATACTTGTCGTCGCTCAATGTCAGGTCTTCCGCGGCCGGTTTTTTCGCAGTGTACATTTCTAGCGCCTCTGAGATACTTTTAGGCAAGGCTTTCCAAGACTTGCTCTTGGAACTGTCGCCCTGAGGCTTTGAACCTTCACGCATCGCCGATGAGCTTCCTGGTTCGGTAGATCTCTGCGAGTCTCCGATCACTATGCACGAGTGTCCATTTTTCTCGATGCTATCGGGTTTTGTAGCGGCTTGAAACTGCAACGGATGAGCCAAGATTCGCTCCACTAGCGGTTTGACCGTCTCCTGCTGTTGCATCGTCACAACTGGGAGAAGCACTCTATGGTTACGGTTGAATCAAGTTGAGTTTTCCAAAAGTGCAGAACCATGAAATTATTCGAAGGGAAGAAAAAAAATATCCAAAAAGAATAAATGTCCCTGTTTGTCGGCAATTTGCAAGTCAGAAAACAAATTGGGGGGTATAGAAGCGTAGCTTGATCGTTCTGATGAAATCTAGTAGTCGACACCCTAGCCCCTGTCGAAATCTCCGAGAGTTGCTTATGCGCTATCGTTGCTTGCATTGCGGTTGTATCATTAAGTACGTGCGACGCTATTCTCAGGGCCACCATATACTGCCGCAACTTGCTTAGAGGGGCAACGATGCGGTAAATACGGGTTCGTCTCTATTTTGAAAAATTCGCGAATGGTTTTGTAGCGCTATCTAGGACAAAAGACAGTTTTTTGAACCCTAGCTAGCCACTCCGTGGCTCTTCCAGTACAAGACTCCCGTCTTACTTGGTCTACACAGTTCTGAGTTGTTAATACGATTTAAAATAGAAGCTGAGCGAGATTCAGCGGAAGTAACAAGGTATAGACTGTTTGTAAACCTCTTTGGTCAAGGTTCAGGTCGTTTAGCCTTCTTGTATTATTCTTATCACTTTGTACTATTATGTCACTTTGGCCATCTCATCCCCTCACATCGCAGCAAGTCACTAAGCAAGACTAGGTAGTGCTAAGTAATGCTAAGTAATGCTAAGCGATGCTACAATCCTTACTATTGCAACCACCTGATACTGCTTCAGCAATGCTACGACCTTGCTATTCAGAAATTCTAGTTACTCGTTTGCTAATTATTGCTACAGTTCTGTTCATTATAGTCGCTTGATACCGTTCGCGACTGTTTGGCAGCGCTATGATCTTTGTCCCACAATTTCTCGCTGGCGCTCGCAACCTTGTTCTTCACAATTACTCGCCAGTGCTCGCAAAATTTCCACTGCTTTCACGATCATTCGCGACTTGCCAAAATTGACAATAGGTGCCCGCGAGCATGCGCGTCACACTCTCAAATTCCGTCCTTCAACATCGTAAGCCTCAAGTCTCGTAACCGTTATCAACCTGTTGTCGTATGCTCCGTATGACGTGTATAGTGATCTCAATCACAAATCATCTTCATCACCCAATGACTCTTTTAACCCGCGCTTCTTCACGGCGTATTTTTCCGTCTCTACTGCTAATGACCCGAATAGCTTCGAAGTTGTGGCGCTGCAACTCTCTGCGTTGTTTATTCGATATTTTTCATCACGCGCCTTTTTAGTTAAGCGAACTTAGTTTTTCAGTTATCTTCCATAACTTATCTATCTGTAAACAAAATGCCTAAACAAAAGATTTTATTCTGGGCGCCAGCAGAGTGCTAAGAATCTAGCTAGTTGTTATGTTTACATCCCAATATCCTCGTATCAGGATTCTTATCGTTAGTTTATGCATCAAACTTTAGTCATTTTCGGAATATTACTATGACATTCCCATTCTAATCCCGATGTCTTCTACGGGCAGAGGTAAGACAGACACAATCTTGCCGCCAGGAGCGCCACCAGAAGCCTGGGATCATTACACAAAAGATTATTGGCACGGCTCGTGTCAGTTTTTTCTATGTTTTGCTTTGCAGGGTGCTAATCTGCTCCATTGCGAAGTAGCTTCATGAATGCCAACAAACAGAATTCGATAGGCGGTGGTTAAGAGCCGCTGGCGCTCCAAAAGAACAGGGAAGTCAGTCACACCCATGCCAGTTGGGAACCTGAGCCTTCGCTGAAGTGTTTGTTGCCCGCACTTCGAGTCGCACCCACGTCAATTGCGTAGGCGCATGATTGTTATAAGAACGCGGGCTCTCTGACAACAAAAAAGCTCGAGCGAACCATCTGCTTGATAGCCATTACAGTAGGCTCTTCTTTCAAAAAGCGACCGATACAAACGCCCAAGTTTGCCAAGTTGAACATACCAACGTGCACCTGTCACTGAGATTTCTTCGACACAAACCCACCCCCTTATTATTTTACATTGTACTTGCTATAAAACCCGACACAGAAGAGACACTTGGCTTTCCAAACGCCAGTATTCCATCAAATCTGTACAATTATTCCAATTTTACCTACAGTCGAGCAATGCTTTCGGTCAATAAATCCCAATTGCCGGATATTTCCTCACTTTCGATCTCCTCGATGTCGGATTATCACAACTTCGACTTCCCGGGAAAAGATGCACAGCGTGAAGCTGTGCTAGACTTGATCGATCAGCAAGGGTTCATTCCAGACGACGTGGTCGAGCACGAGGTCGAGTGGCTCTACGACGCGCTGGGGATCGACGATCTGTTCTTCTCAAAAGAATCTCCAGAAATGATCGCCAACATCATCCACACACTGTATGCGGCAAAAATAGAATCATTTGCGCGAATCAACATTGCTGGAGACACCTCTGACGAATCTGCGACGCCGCTTGCTGCTGCTGAAGCTGCCGTTGCGGCCGCTGCCGTGACAGAGGCCAAGCCAACGGGATTTTCCGTCAAGACGCAAGTCGTCACAGATGGCCATTCGGTTTTTATGGAGACTGGCCATGAGCTAGACGAGCAAATCGATTCCATGCTTCTCGACAGCCCTGACCATCGTTATCGACTAATATCGTATACGGCCGAAAACGCTTTGAAGCTTACATTTGTTTATCGCACAGCATTTGCGCAAGGTTCCCCTGCATATCCCACGTTGACTTCGGAACAGTTGTCGAATGGTGATATCGACAGCATCAGCGATGTGACCATGTCGCAAGTGACCTCCAACGAAAACAAGAGACTGTACGGACTGATTATGGATCAAATGCGCCAGCGAGAAGGTCCCATCATCAAGACAATGCACTCCGTAGCAGACCAAGATGAAGTGCGTATCGTCATAGGATTTAAGCGCGGAACTACCAAGAGCTACTACACTGCACTTTCGTCGCTATTACAATACTATGACCTCAAACCGTCAAAAATCTACTTGGAAACATTCGCCAACGATGTCATGATCTACTCGTTGTACTTGAAGCAATCTCAGCAGACAGAGAAGGTTTTAAATAGCTTACCAATGTCGATTTTACAAATCGAAAGAGAGGCTTCCTTACTTTACGCCATCCCAAGCAACTTCTTCCAAGATCTGTACCAGCAAAAGAGTTTCTCCCCACAAGAAGCTATATATGCTCATATTGGTTCCATCTTCATCAACAATTTCATCAACAGATTGGGTGAAGAGTATCAAGATTTGATTGGCCAAGTGAACACTTCGTTTTCATCAAACAATAACTCAATGCTAGAAGTTTTGGCTAGTCTCAAGAAGAAATTGAGAAACGAAACCTATACGCAGCAAATGATTATCGAAGTCTTGCACAAGTATAAGGATATTGTTTCAAAACTCTACAAAAACTTCGCCCAAGTTCACTATGTCTCTTCCATGTCAACGAAGTTTGGCAAGACTCTCTCATACCAACGATTGTCCAAGCTAGAGCCTTTTGAGGACGATAATGAATTTGAACAATACGTTAACAAATTCATTCCAAATGATTCTCCAGATATGCTGATTCTTCAAACTCTTGCTACTTTCAACAAGGCGATTTTAAAAACAAATTTCTTCATGACCAGGAAAGTCGCGATTTCTTTCAGGCTGGATCCTGCTTTGATTATGCCTAAAGTAGAGTTCCCAGAAACTCCTTTTGGAATTTTCTTTGTTGTTGGAAATACATTCAAGGCTTTTCATATCCGTTTCCGCGACATTGCTAGAGGTGGTATTCGTATCGTTTGTTCCAAGACTCAAGACATTTATGAAGTCAATTCAAGAATGGCTATTGATGAAAATTATCAGCTGGCTTCCACTCAGCAGAGAAAAAACAAAGACATCCCCGAGGGAGGATCAAAAGGTGTTATCTTGTTGAATCCTACTTTGACCACTCAACAGCAAACTTTTGTGGCCTTTTCTCAGTACGTCGATGCCATTATTGATATCCTTATTCAAGATCCTTTGAAGGAGAAGTATGTCGATCTTTTGAAACAAGAAGAAATTCTATTTTTTGGTCCTGACGAGGGTACGGCCGGTTTCGTTAATTGGGCGACATCGCATGCTAAAAGTAGGGGATGTCCTTGGTGGAAATCATTTTTAACTGGAAAGTCACCAACTATGGGAGGTATTCCACATGACGTATATGGAATGACTTCCTTGAGTGTCCGCGCTTTCGTTAACGCTCTATATGAGACTCTAGGGCTGCAGGAGACGACGATAAACAAATTCCAAACTGGCGGACCTGATGGCGATTTAGGTTCAAACGAGATTTTGCTGTCGTCAGTCAATGAACGATACATTGGGCTTGTTGATGGTTCTGGTGTGCTGTGCGATCCAAAAGGTCTCGACCAAGATGAACTCAGACGTTTAGCGGTAGAAAGGAAAATGAGTTCGTTTTATAACAAATCAAAATTGAGCAATGAAGGGTTTTTTGTATCCGTCGATGAAATCGAAGTTCAGCTGCCCAATGGAGTAACAGTAGCGAACGGTACAACTTTCAGGAATAAGTTCCATCTCGAAATATTCAAGTTTGTTGATAAGGTCGACTTATTTGTGCCTTGCGGCGGCAGACCAAATTCCATCGATATCAACGTTTTAAAATATTTTGTTGATGAAAAGACCAATAAATGCAAGATTCCATACATTGTGGAAGGTGCAAATTTGTTCATCACACAGCCAGCCAAGATTGCTTTGGAGAATCTGGGTTGCGTTTTGTTCAAGGACGCCTCAACCAACAAAGGTGGTGTGACATCGTCATCTATGGAAGTACTCGCCTCGTTGGCCTTGAATGACCACGATTTTATTCATGAATTTGTCGCTAAAGAATCGAACAAGACCACTGCCCTCTATGATAATTATGTGCAAATCATTCAAGACCGCGTTGTTAAAAATGCCCGCGCTGAGTTTGCGCAACTGTGGCAATTGAATCAGGCTACAGGAACTCCTATTTCGGAGTTATCTAATGTGCTCTCACAAACCATCAACAAGCTTAACGATGAGCTGATTATTTCTAACGAATTATGGGCTAACGACTTGGAGCTTCGCAATTATTTACTATTAAAGAAAATCATTCCTAAGTTGTTAATTGATGTGGCAGGCCCAAGTAATATTCTGGAAAACATTCCCGAGTCTTACCTGAAGGCTTTGTTATCCAGCTATCTGTCCAGTACTTATGTTTACACTTATGGGATTGATGTGAACATTGGCAAGTTTTTGGAATATGTAGGCGAGTTAAAAAGGGAAGCTAAGGGCTTCAATTAAAGTCCATACCGCTAAAACTTAGGCCCAGGGCTCATAATCAACATCAATGCACCGAAAGTACAGTACGTAGTCGATAAGTATTTATGGAACTGCTGAATCTTTTACCGTATAAGCTTTTCAACTATTGGTTTCTTAATGTTCTAAGTTTTATAAGCGGCTTAATCTCGATTTCAGGCAACTTACTGTTATAGTCATAGTTGGTCAAGATTACAAGTGACACTGGAAAAGTGAACCGACTCCCAATCTTTTTTTAAGATCTTGACGTGATAACTAAATTTAGTTATACTAAAATGTGTAGGAATTCAGCGAAAACATTAATTTTGATCAAATGATGAACAATGAACCCTTGACCTTTGTATATCCACTTCTGATCGCATTATGCACTACAAGGATGAGACCTGCAAGGCTTTGAGAGCTAACATAGAACAATATAGTTCTTTAGTCAAGGATATGGAACAGTCAAACCAGTTTTGCACCTTGCCGCAAGGCATGGAATGTCAAATTGAGCAACACCAGCTTTTATCAGATTATCTTAACCACCGCACAAATCGCGAACCACTTCAAGGCGATCTATGGAGAAGCGACCCCCGATACTTCAAGAGAGTGTCTCTTTCAAACCGAGCAACATACAAAATACTTCAACATGCTGTGAAGGGCGGGGATATTGAAATAATGGGTATGTTAGTGGGCAAAGTTCAGAAAGGAAACATAGTAGTGTTTGACTGCTACGCGTTGCCTGTTGAAGGAACCGAAACCAGAGTAAATGCCCAGCTTGAGTCCTATGAATATATGGTGCAATATATGAGTGAAGTGTATGATTCTATTCCTGGCGATTACCACATTGTGGGCTGGTACCATTCACATCCGGGCTACGGTTGTTGGCTAAGTGGGATAGATGTACAAACTCAAGAATTAAATCAAACATTTCAAGACCCGTATGTGGCCATTGTAGTGGATCCGCGAGAGAGTATCCGCGACAAGCGTCTTTGCATAGGCGCATTTCGGACAATTTCTGGTGAAAATTCAGAGGAGTTTATGCAAGCTAATGGAAGCACAAATACCGAAAAATACGGTCATCATTCATCTAAGTACTACGAGCTGGATCTCGATGTTTTCACGAGTACATTTGACAGAACCTTGGAAAAATTACAACTGCGACTTGATAGGCCTTTATTTGATTCTATGGAAGATGACATTTTGGTTGAAAGACTTTTAGAAAGTATCCAGCATTGGCAAAACTATCAAAGATTGCCTGCTTCAAGCCAAGTCATACTCAACGCACCGATACGGTCAGTTTTCACAGCAGAAGACAACGAGACAGATATGAGAGTAAGTTCCTTCTCGAATTCGTTGCAGAGTAGTGACTCGAGTTCTGTTACAAGCTCCGCTGATATAGCCGAAGGAAGCGATGTAGATATGGCAAGCAATATATTGAAGAGGGATTTCAGCACGCAAAGTAGTTTACTTCAGAATTCCTCGGATCACCCTCCTGTTATTTCGGGCCAACCATCACAGGAAACTACTTTAGAGCTTGAATTTCAATTGCATAAAAGAAGGTTAAACCTCTCAAAGCTTCGAGAGTACCAACATTTACGATACTATAGGGATGCATTTACATTATAAGTCAAATATGGACAATCCTGAATTTGCCTCGCAGTCCAAATCATCATGTTTATCTGGGGAATACGAAGCTGCTACGAAACGCGGGTCCGATGGGTTCGAAGTGAGTATGTTAATTTTGCTTGTATTATACGAGGTAGCAAATGTCGAACTCGGTTTGGACTCGGTCAAAAATTCCTCATTTGTTCTGGAGGAAAGTCCCCCAAATTCGACCATGCCGCTGGACCACTGTAGAATATGTCCGCTCGCGGTACCAATCATTAGTCCATTCACAGGGTCTAACGTTGCTTTGAACTTTTGTTTTTTGATGCTGAAAGGCAGAATAAATTCATTAACTCTAGAAAAGCCATTCCTGACATCTAGAATGTCAATAGTGTTGCTATTTCTCTTCACAACGTACAAATAATGTTTGTTGAGGCTTGAAAGTATTTGGACAATGCCACACGAGCCGTCTCTTATTCCTAGCGCTTCTTTGTCTGCCAGGAGTAGCGGACCTTTGGTTCTCGTGTCGACGCCGAAAATGTCACATCTGTAAGAACCCCCGTAGCGCATCGACGGATAATTTTGTGGATCGCTTGTTTCATCGAAACATGACACGATGCTGCGATGCATGACCTTGCCTGATGATTTTTTACCAAATTGATTGCCCACACCGCACCATATAGGATTCTTACGATTTATATCATATGCCAAAAATTTGTTCCGCTCAGTACCCGCCAGAAACACGGAATCCTGGCAGAAGCTCAACGCAAATATCGTTTCATAGCGTTCATTTTCTGCATTCATCACCGAATAATTAAATAAAGACGCGTGGTCTGTCGCATGCGGTGACAGCGAAAACAATTGAATCGGCAAATCTCTTGACGACGCGAGCATTACGTTTACGCCCTCGTTACCGTTAAAAAGGGAATATTGAGGATGGACACAGCTTTCCATTATAGACTGGGACCTGAAAAATCGCTTGAAGGGAATTAACGTTGACTCTAACTCTTCTGGCACCAAATACTGACGTACGCCAAAATCGTTGAACACTGCAACCAGGGATGTGCCGTCGACAGACCAGGTTAAATTTTGACATATGATAGGACTCGAGGCGTCTATACAACTGTTTAAATCTTTGTCTCTTTCCACATTCTGATATTTTGAATGTTCTAAAGCTGGGAAGTCATAATCACTGTTTTGAGTCTCTTGAATCCATCGTTCCTCCTCTGTTTCCCAAACTTTGAAAATGTTCTTACCATGAAACACATCGCGAGTATCGTGCGCCGATTTCAATTGGTTCATAACGCCATGCTGACACTTTACAAGGTGGTTTGAAGCTTTTTTCAGTAAGGCGATGATCTTACAATATTCAAAAGAATTTTCAACACTATATTATAATTCCCATGCAAGATAACTTAGTTCGCTAATAAAGACCCTTACCATAAGTTTTTGATCAGTTTCTAAGCGCTCTTCGCTAGACCTATTTCAAACCATGGTTTATCGCGGGTTTGGATTGGAGCAGGTTTCGCCTCCTAGCAATAAGCCCTTCAATGAAATGACACCTGAGGAGCAAGGCGAAAAAGGCGCCCAGATGATGGTTAATTTCATGACGTCTTGTCCGGGGAAATCAGCCATTAGTGGTGTGACAGGTTTTGCCTTGGGTGGTGTTTTTGGCCTTTTCATGGCTTCAATGGCCTACGACACGCCTCTGCACACTCCTACAGTGCCGGGATCGTCTCAGCTACCCAACGCCATTCAACATATATCCGATCTTCCTTTCAAGCAACAAGTGAAATTACAATTTGCAGATATGGGTAAGAGAGCTTATTCAAGTGCCAAAAACTTTGGGTATATTGGTATGATTTATTCAGGTGTGGAGTGCGCAGTGGAATCTCTACGTGCCAAGAACGATATTTACAATGGAGTCGCCGCTGGTTGTCTTACCGGTGGTGGCCTGGCCTACAAGAGTGGCCCTTCTGCAGCGTTTGTGGGCTGCGCCGGTTTCGCAGCTTTTTCAACCGCCATCGATTTGTACATGCGCCAGGAAAATGGTGCCCCACCGAAAAACGATTTTGATGAATAGTTCAAAGTTGCTCATACTAGAGACCTGCTGGAAACTGATAGATTCACCACACTACCTGTAGATACACCTGCCCTTATCACCTTGTATATTACATTGAACCCAAATACGTATACATATGTATCAGTTTTGAGATCTCCTTCATTACCCATCCTGTATACTACAAATCAACCATGTATAGATTGAGTCCAACGAGAATTATAATACAAATGATCCAAGCTGTGATCTCACGCTTGCTATCAGTTTTTTTGTGATCGTCCAAGAGAGCAATTATTTGATCCAATTTTTCAGTGTTTGTTCTTATGCTCTCATGTATCGTCAGAATTTGGCCTTCATGCTCCTCCAGAGAATATGCTTCATCTGGAAAATCCTGCAGGGAAGACCCCGAATCAGACTTATGCAATCTGACACTGCCATCTTCCGACGGGGATCTCGACTTTTGCCATGAAGTGTTCGACTTATGACTAGTTTCAGCTTCTCTGCTCGACAATATACGCCTCCATCGCGACTCCAAATCTTTCTTCTGGGACTGCGTGCCCCGCTCCTCGCCATTTTGATCCTCTGGGCTCAAGTACCCCAGAGGAAGCGGCTTACCAAGTCTCTCTTTCAGTCCTTTGTAAGATTCTCGCCTTCGGTCAGAGAAACCTCTTTTCTTAATTATAGTTCGTGGTTCATTATAAGTCCAAAGAACGCGAGGCTTAATTCTGGATTTGTGATTGTCGTCAACTGAAGGGGGAGAACCATGGCTAGGTGTTCTCGATGAGATAATGCTTCTTCTAGATCGTAGTTTTGGCGTGAACTGCAACTCTTTCTCCATTTCATCTTTTGAACGAGGTCTAACCTCTGTCAATCTAGGCCGGAACGGGTTTGATATCACCTCTGGCTTGATCGTAACTGTCTCTTGCTGCACCGGCAGTGGTAAATCTGGAGCTTTATTGTGGGGTAAATTTATCAGTGGTTGGCAATTGTCCTCCGTGTAGATACCATTGTGGATATCAGGAACTGATGTAGATGCATCAGATATGATTGAGTCTCTATGTATGTTGTGTTTCTGACTTTTATTGTACAGTTCGTTTATTCTGGCAACGCGAGATTCACTGGCCAATCGGTGTTCATATGACGGGAGGTTCGACTGATTTTTGCTGAAAGGATCCATTCATTCGTACAATGACTGTAAAGATTGTAATCTGACCCGGCAAGGGCTATTGATTGGGATATTTCTTTATGATTATTTTTGTTGTTTATTGACGTTACAAAATTATATATATATATATCTTTCCAAACTTGCATATTTTGAATTTCGACAAATTTTCGAAGATGCCGAGTATGCACAAGCTCGCACTGCAATTGAAGTATAAGTGAAGTGTTTTAAAGCTTAAAACGTTTTATAATAGTCCCCGGTAAGTCTTATATTTTTTTATTTCTTTTTTAATTGTTTTATAGCAGCTTGATATTAGATTTAGCAGATACATTAATTGAAGTTGAATTGCTGATTGACATTGGATCCGAATCCAAAGGTATTGCCTGCAGTTTGTGGGGCCATACTCTCATCCAATGCATCGTCGTCCTCGCCAAAATACTGTTCGATAATATTGAATGCCTTTTCGTAAATCTTCTCATTTTCATTTTGTTGACACTTGAAAATCTTTTCAACACCGCCAGCACGCTCTATGTAATCAGCGTTTTCATTGATGTGCAAGCCACGAGCTTCCTTATCAGCTTCACCCATCTTCAAAATGTTTTCCAATGCATCGAGCGTGACTTCGATTATTCTGTTGTCGGCGATATCTAGCAAGTCGCAGAGTGGTTTTATGCAACCCTGGGAAACTAGATATCTGATGATCTCTGGTTTTTGCAAACCTCCCGAAGAGGCGTTCGAAATGGCCCAACAAGCCTCTTTCTTAGTCTTGTAATCAGCTACTTCCAGGAGCTTAACTAGAGGTGGTATCAAGTTGGCATCGATCGCAGCTTGAATTTGGTCAGTGTTACCAGCCGTTATATTGGAGATGGTCCAACATGCCTCTTTGCGAATAGATTCTTTCGTTGATGTAAGTAAGTTTCTCAATGCACCCAGAACACCGCTGTTAATCACAACTTGTGTTTGCAAATCGTTACCGGTAACAATGTTACCAACGGCTCTTAGCGCTGGAGTTTGAACTAAAGTAGATTGATGGTTCAAAAGCTCCACGAGCCTCTTTGGAATTCTGGCGTCGATAACGGCCTGAATATTATTAGCTGGCCCATCAGAAAGGTAGGAAATTGCCCAACTGGCGTCAACCAAAGTTTCTGTGTCCATGGAGTAAATGAGTTTGGCCAATGTGGGCAGCGATTGTGATACGATAGACCAGTCTGGCTGTGGTTTCTTACCCCTGCAAAGATTAGACAAAGTCCAAGTAGCGGTTCTGATGAGCGAAACCTTGCTTAAATCAAAAAGTGCCAAGATAGGTTGCATTGCACCACAACTCAAAACGTAGTCCCTGTAGCCGGTAGAATCTCCGGCAACGTTTCCCAGAGCCCAAATGGCTTGTTCCTTAACTTCAACGGACCCTGAGTACAACAATTGTATGAACAATGGGACAGCTCCGGCTTCGACAACAATCTTGGTCTGGTCTGAGGAGCCAGAGGCAATATTTGTGAGGGCCCAGGCAGCTTCAAGCTGCAACATTTCGGGTTGGTTTTCGTTCATGAAATTGACCAAATTAGGCACCACGCCGGATTGAATCACTGTGTCAATAGGAGGGCGGTGTTCGCGCGATAAGATTTGTCTGAATTTGACGGTTGCATTTAGTTGCTCCTGCAAATCGGTAGAGTTGATTTGCTGAATCATTTGCGGTAATTCTTCCTGCAATTGCGCGTAAAACTGTTGGTCTGCTGTGCTGGTAGCTTCATCTTCATCCTCAGAGTCCAAGCCGTCAGCTGGAGCGCTGAAATTCCGCCTTTTCGCTAGCGCCTCATCTCTTTTAGCCTTTCTAAGTTCTACTTGCTGGGTATCTCTGCGACGACGCAACTCATCGGCTGAGAATCTGCCCTTATTTTTGAAATTGGTGCGTCTGTATTCGGGAACAAACTTGTTTGTGGAGGAAGAGTCACCGTCCATTGTTCTGGTTCAAAAAGTGTAGCCTTAAAAACAGGTCCTGAGTCCACTAAAGTATGGTAGAGGTTGCTTTCTGGGACGTTCAGCTAGGATTCTAAATAGTGGTAATTCACAAAATTTTCTCTGGGAAAGGATCATATCACAGAGAACGGGAACAACATTATACTCAAATGGTAAGACTGTTCAAAATGCCTTCAATGAGCGTCAGCAAGGACTCTATGAGAGCCGAAGCGCATTGCCCATCGTTTCAGAGCTATGAGGATTGTCGTAACTTTTGCGGCAAAATTCCGAGATGTTTCTTGTAATCTAAGCTCAATTTCAGCGAACTTGAAGATACACGAGTAAAGCATCATTCATAACTCAAAGAAGTCGCAAGTTTGCACGCAGATATATCTTCAAACAATGGGCTAACTTTTAGCTCAATCTTTGCTTGCATCTTCATAGATGGTTCTTATCAATATCCTTGATCAAAACCCGCTTACCATATTGTAGCTGAAATATGAAGATGTAACTCATATGGTCTTAACTTGGATTGTTATACTGACGAACATGGGTATTTCCAGCTGTAGTTTTCTTTACTGGCATGAAGTTAGTCAGTTGTCAGTGTCAGCATAAAATGCAAGAAATTCCCGATATTGTCAAAATGGAAGTTCGGGGCCCCTCCTAAAAGCCTATACAATTCTTTCCTCTCCGCTGCCCAGCTCAAGTGTTCCAGACAAACGGAGTGAGTTACCACGTCCACACATAAGGCATTTCTCCAGCTTTGGATTGCTTTAGCGTCAAGAGAGACATCACAAACGACAAACTAGTAGATTTACCTTCGCTAGTAGTGCGTCAAGAGTGCATGGCGTATAGCTTCCATCTGTCACTACGAACTGGTCTTTCGGGGTCCATAACCCGTTTCAAGCGAAGACTCGCCAACTCTAGTCACCACAAATGGCTGACACACACATTGATTATAAGGTATAAAAATTTATAGAGTTAAGGATGGAAGGACAAGCATTGGCACGCACATCGAGCGACACACACACTCAACACGCAGTGATTTTGCACTCACACACGCGCAACACACACGCGCGACGTTACGCACAAAACACACACACGCACACACGGGCACACATTGACATGCTCGGAAAAAGCACATCAAACTTTACACACACACATCACGCACGGGAAACGAAACACACACATTCCACGTTTGCGATCTGTAATAGTAACTTTTGAATCTGAATAATGTTTTGAAAGAACTCCTCATAACAACATGAGGGCACCAACAAGGGCAGCAGAACCAACGGTGATACCCAAGATTTTGTGAGCACCGTCAAATTCAGCTGGAGCAGCGTTGGCAGAGGCAGCCTTGGCGTACACAGTAGAGGTAGGGTTCTTGGTCTTGTTGAACTTACCATACTTGTGAGTACCGGTGGAGTCTGGTGCCGTAGTCTTTTTGGTCTTGTTAAACCTTCCGTAAGAGTGGGTACTGGTATGGTCAGATTGCGTCGACTTTTTGGTCTTGTTGAATCTTCCGTACGAGTGGGTGCTGGTATGGTCAGGTTGCGTTAGACTTTTTGGTCTTGTTAAACCTTCCGTAAGAGTGGGTACTGGTATGGTCGGGTTGCGTAGACTTTTTGGTCTTGTTAAATCTTCCGTACGAGTGGGTGCTGGTATGGTCAGATTGCGTAGACTTTTTGGTCTTGTTGAACCTTCCGTACGAGTGGGTCCCGGTCGTGGTCGTGATGGTAGTAGTCTTGCCATCGCCGGTTTCCTTATTTCCACCAGAGGCCGCGGCAATGGCCGACAACGCGGCCAAAGTTCCGACGGTCATTCCTGACACCTTCATTTCAGCAGTTTGTTGGTAAAACCAGTGAGGGACAGAAAAGAGACTGAAAAATACGATGAAAACAACTAGATAAGCAGCTAAAAGTAGAGCAGATCCTGATTGTTACAGTAAAAATGTGCTTTAGTTCAAGCGTGTGGTCTTCAGCTGTGTCGTACCGTTGTCCTCCCTGACCTAAATTTCCTGTGAACAAAATTGTTAAAATGTTGCCTAAGACACACTACCTTTTTCCAAAAAAACTTCCTGCTTTTAAAGAACCGGCAATTTGCACGCAATTGTCAAAAATTCCCGTTTATCACGGATATGCGCTCAATAATGGCACTGGAGAAACTTGGTATCAATTTTTCTGTTGTGAAAAATTCCCTCTAAGTAATCGCTCACGCTGTGTTCACGTTACACTGAACCAACCAAAACTGTGTTTTTTTTTCATCGTGTGTTTACTATCCGTTGTGGCCTTCCGAAAATCGTTTACGATTCCGTCCCAGTGACTCTCTCAATAGCTTAGATGATTGCTGAGTGGTTTATTGATTGAATGTCGGCAGAAGCTTTTTTTTCTTGCAGTAGCGGTTTACAAAGCAGCATAGTTGCGAGGCACCACGAATGAACAACGTGTGTTGTTGAAACCCGAATGGAGCGTTATCAAAACATTGTGAGTCGGGAGCTGGTACGTAGCCGACAGTGGTAAAAGGAGTGTTTGCCAAGTTTTGAAAGCGGAACATCGGGTAAGAGACTGCGGCATAACGAGATGTTGATATCGGGGTGAGTTTGCACGATGGGTTAAGCAGAAACACGGGACTGAGGTAGCAGACTCAAGTACGCGGCGGGAGGACTAACGATGTCAGGGACTTGAGCTTGGAGTATGATGGGATGTGAAATTGGAGAGGGGTATAATGCCTGACTTGAAGCGAGCTGGAGTAGACATCATCTGGGGGTTGTGATTGTAAGGTGGGGTCATTTTGGAATGGAAGGGTAGCGATCATTTGAGTATTGTAGTAGTGGTAGTTGTAGAAGAAGGAGTAGAGATCATTTGAGGGCTGAAGCGCAAAGCAGAGTTAACTTGACAGTTGAGATTGTAGGACGTAAATCTTTAAGAGTTGGAGTGGTCGGGTTACGCTCATTTGAGAGTTGTAGTAGTAGCAGCATTAGTAGAAAACATTTGGAATTATAGCAGCAGCAGCAGCAGCTGCAGCAGAGCTCACTTGAGAGTTGAGATTGTAGGACGTATACCTTTAAGAGTTGGGGTGGTGGGGTTACGCTCATTTGAGAGTTGTAGTAGTAGCAGCATTAGTAGAAAACATTGAGAATTATAGCAGCAGCAGCTGCAGCAGAGCTCACTTGAGAGTTTGACAGTGGCTAGGGCGGTACCGTTTCTCCCGTGGATAACAATCCCGGCTACCACACCCTGTTTTGGATTTCATTTGAAGGTAGGCCTGAAGAGCATCAAAACCTCCAGGAAGCAACATACACAATTTCACATTCTTTCATTTTCCACGCTCGGTGTGGAATCTCCACATATACCCAACCTTACAGATAGACTGCCGCTATATAACGCATCTGAGCCGATTTTTGTGGCGGTTGGAGCTCGTGTAGACATGGTGTTTCCATCGAAGAGGACGACTGAGATAACCAAAACTGCTACAGCTCTCGATTGTCGCAGCTCTCCTATTCCTGAGTTATTCTGAGTATCTCTTGACAAACCCAATGCTTCCAGCAGGCTCTCAAACCTGGCCTTTTACTTTTAAGTTTCCATGAAAGTGGTTATAAGTTGACTAGCCGCTCAAGTAACATAGTTAATTACATTAAAAATAGTCATATAACATTAGTACGAACTTTAAGTTATTCAAGAAACAAACAAGGAGAGCAGACACCTCGTCATATTAAGACTAAAACCTGTCTTGTTGACCGACTTCAAAATATCCTTATCGTAGTTCTCCATAGCTTTCATAATGTCTTAAACACGAGTGTCGGTTCCCATAGGGCGACGGCTCTCAGTGACTGGATTAGGAGATGGGTCAGTAATGATGGGCTCGTTTCTAGAATATGTGGTATTACTCGTTACTTTAGGACCAGTGGTAGATTGGGTCGCAGGTGCAGTATTATGGGTGGTGGTAGTGTGTGTAGGATTAGCGCTGTAGGCTGGGTTGTTCATATTAGGGTCCATATCCGTCGTGCCAGATACGTTACGTCTGTGGTCAGTCTCTGCCATCTTGTCGTGGTGTGCGCCGTTGTAGGTGGAATCGCCTGTCGAGAACGTGTGCTGGTCCTGTCCCACGCCGCCTTGGCCTGAAGCATGGTTTGCTAGCGCCTCCGCGTCGTTGCCTTCGGCACTACTCACACGCAATCCAGTCCATGGGTTAAGTTTCAAGCCAACATTCTTGTAAGGTGCCCACGCCGCCTTGGTACCGCCTCTGTTGACCAGGGGTTTGATGACCAGCAATCCGATCAAGATTGGTGTAAGCATGAACAGGATAAGCGTAATACCGGAGAACGCAATAGCAGCCTGAGAACTGTGGCAAGGTCTGGTATTGGCGTTGGAGGTGTAGCGGTTTGTGTAAGGGTCGTAAGAGCCGCCGGAGGATTGGAAACTTTGAAACGAACCATACTGAGAATTGTAGGAGCTGCTCTGTTTTAGCCCACACGAAGTTGAGCCATGAGACTTGGCAAGGACAACGAAGGCGACTAGCCACAGTATCATCATTATTAATTCCATCAAGAGGTAGAGCCCGGGCATCAAAAATACGTGCAGGACGGGCGCAAGCACACATAACAGCAGCAAGTAAAACACAGAGATGGCTGCCACTGCCAGCCCATAGTTGGTTTTGGTGCTGCCATGGAAGCTGTAGCCTTTCAAGACGTAGGCCAACAGACCCAGGACAATAACGCTGAAGACAAACTGCCAAAACCTGACGGAGATCAGGAGAAAGTCCATCAACGCAAGCCCCGCAAAGGCCATCGTCTTCTTTGTCTTCTTCTCGCCAGATTCGCGATGGTCAACAGCACGATCGTCGTAGCGCGTGTCGTCGTGTCTGTAGTCTGAGCTCATGGTTCCGTCGTTCCCAGTCGTTCTCATCCCTGGAACCTGGGTAGTTCCACCAGGCGCTGTGGCTCTAGCGTCGTTTTGGTACGTATTAGTTGCTGACATACTTTATACCTTAATGATTTTGCCTTGATTCAAGATTCAAGACGGACAAGCCAGATCAAGCTAACCCACACTCCTGCATCTTTTATACATACTTCTTCAGAAGTATGACACCTTCCGTCCATCTCCTGTGAATACATGAGAGCAATATGTCACTAAAGTTCTTCGCAATTAATTAGAAACAACCCTAATGGTCTAGTCTCCGTTCCCTTTGCCTTCCTGTTGCAACCCTTAAAGGATGCCAAGAACATAATATACTACTCGCCCTTGTAATTCATGATTTTTCAGCCCCCCTCAGATATGTGGAGAAGCGCCATCTAGCCGCAAGAAACTAGTACTACACTATAGAGCGCTGGTACCCCGTCGTTTGTATTCTGTCAAATATCAGGTAGTTTGATAGCTCATCGGTTCAAGTTCTGTCATTTCAACATTTTTCTGTCATCTAAATATTTCACCTTAGTTAAGCAGGCACATTTTCGGACTTTAAGCTAAGATGGCCTCCTCCATACTAACAGATTAACTAAGTAATTTTCTCTCACTACAAAGCTAGGCAGCTGCGGTGGATGTTTGAGGTCTGGAACGACCCTCTCTCTCCAGTGGTGGTACGTCCCTCTCCAGGGGCTTTGAAAGCGGAACAGAGCCCATAAGTCCCTTTCTCTCGGCCAAGGTTGAACTCCGTGCGTACAGTGGGTCTTCTTGGAAATATTCATCCATTATTGGATGCAGCAGAACAGTCTGGTTCTTGATGGTGAGTATGCTGTTTGTAGGGACGGCAGTCCAATCGCCTCTTTCAAAAGTTAGCGGTTCGGAGGCCACCATTATCACATCTTGGTTTCTGTCTAGACGCTCCATATGAAATTCGCCAGGAGCGTACTCGACGAAGCTGGATCCGCAGCTGTAGTGTAGTGATGCCGCCTCGTCGGTCTTGGAAGTAACGTAGCGCGAAACCACCACGCTGGAGCCGTCCGTGACGGCGAAGTTCAAAATGGAGGGTTCTGCACAGGGATCGAGCTTGTTGGCTTCTCCTGTCCATTCCTTGATGTATTGGATTGTTTGGACCATGCATTTGCGCAGCGTGGCGTGGCCAAAGTCGCCGTGCTTGTCTGAGGTGTTACATCCCATTTTCTGCAGCGTGTCAAGAAACAACGCGAATGCGCATTCAGAATCGGTGCTGCCCTGAATTAGGTTGAAGTACTCGTCATCCAAGTGCGCCAAAAACCGTCTTTTAATCTTCGGGAAGTTGGAGATCCCGCCGTTGTGCATGAAGGTGATCCGGTGGTACGTGAACGGATGGCAATTAGTTTCGGATAGGACCCCGTACGTGGACGCTCTGACATGAGCGAAAACGAGAGCCGATTTGGTCTTTTCGGCAAGAACCTCCAGGTTCTGGTTGTTCCACGCCGGCGTGATGGCTTTGAACAGACATGGCCCGTCTTCTTCGAGCTCCTCGTCCAACGAGTAGTATGCTACGCCGAATCCGTCACCATTGACCGGCCGTCTTCTGTCCAGTCGCAACCGGCTATCGAATGACTGTTTTATGATGGAATGTGCTGGTTTCGTTAACAAATGCGACAGCCGCACTGGTTCTTTTCCTGCCAAGCATATACGGTTAGTACTTAGGTTCATCCAAGTGTCAGTTCCACAGGTTTTACCAATTACCGGCTCGACATACCTTTAAAAATGAGAAATCTACACATGTCTTATGTGGCAAATCGGGTGAATCGACTCCAAAGGTTCGTGCAACAATAAGTATTCTAACGGGTGCAAGTCTTTACGACACGCTTTATATATTTGAAGAAGTCTGTTAGCATCGGTCTTTGACTTTGAAATGTAGCATTTTTTTCTAGCCTGCTGATCTCGGACATTGATAACGACAATCTGATTAGAAGAATACCAACATGCTAAGGTCTTTCCTTATTGGAAGGCAAACTGTTTACCAGACTACTATCAGACTGTCGTGTCTAGAATGATGGTTACCGGGCCTTCGTTTACCAATTCACAGCTCATCATGGCGCCGAAAACGCCATCTTTGACATTATCATCACCCAGATCTTGACGTAAGAGTGCCAGGAAATTGTCGTAGAGCTCTTTGGCCAGATGGCCCTTTTGCGCCAGGTGAAAGTCGGGCTTCGTGCCCTTTTTAGTTATCCCCATTAGCGTGAATTGCGAAATGGACAATATTTGTCCTTGAACCTCTTTGATGTTCTTCTTCCAGCCATAGCCCGTGTCATCGTCAAATGCACGCAACGTCGCTACCTTTTTTGACAGTTTCTCAACGTCTTTCATGGTGTCGTCGACGGAAATCCCTACCAGTAGCATGTAACCATCTTTGATCCTGCTGAACGTTAGAATGAATGCTTACATGATTTCCAGAGAGTAGCACAAAGCACTTACCCAGATACAACTTGCGAGTCCACGGACACCGAAGCACGGCTGACCTTTTGAAGTACGATCTTCATTTGCGTTAGTTGTGCTTTGATTTCAGGTCGAGTAAACTCAGAGCGCAGCATTTCGATTTCATTTTGGTATTGCTCACCTGATGTGAGCAACAGGTTCTGAGTTGGCATTCAATGACTTGGTCGTTTGATGCAATTGCCAAAATTATACATTAATCACAACGACACTTTCGTGCGTCCTATACTTACTTGTTGTACCTTAGGAACGGAACTTGAACCTCTGGAAAAATCTCTGCGTTAGGTATACACAGCAGCCCAAAAATCGAAATGCTGCCATGAATGCCACGAGCCATAGAATTACGGAGAAGTAAATCGTAGACCTTTGGGGCAAAATAGAAACAGTTGTAGTGACAGACGTGGATGAGCCACTGTTCTTGTTCAAAGACTCGTACTGACTGATACCTCCGGTCTCCAGCACTACAGCGACGATAACGAAGTTCGAAATGACCCACAAGATGATCACCAAAGACCGTACCATTGCATAATAGTTGGTTTTCTTCTCTTCGAAGGACACTTCTTCTTCTTGTTCTTCAGAAGGGGTTGACTTTAACAAAGCCCAGTGCTTTTGATAATTTTCATCGATTTCTTTAGCAGAGACAGGAATCTCCAGCTTTACCGTACCGTCCTCTTTCGAGTGAATTTTACCCAAGGGCTTCACAGCAAAGCCCTTGGTACCCCAAGAGATGTCATGCACATTGCAAAAGGCGTAGATGTTTAGCACATTAATATATGATGGACTCAGCAACAGGTATTGGACAAAACTCGTAAGCATATGCATGGGCTGTAAGTAGATGACAGAGCTCAACACGTACAGACAGTACGTTGAGCCCATAGAAACGATTAAATCGCGGAACGTCTCCTGCAATATCAAACTCTTGAACGTGATATCACCAGCCTCGATAATATTCTGAATGGAATGTACACTCATAAAGATGGAGCAGAATATCATGTAGACCATGAGTATTGCGAAAAAGATAAACGTCGACAAGTAAAATTTAGAAGTTCCTTTGGGCTTGTTACCTAGCGAAAGAATGAATGTTATCAAAATGGATACACCATAAAGCCACAGGAATACCACAGATAGAACCCGGAACACCTGTTGATCATTGTAAGAGACCGCGACAGATATGGTCAGAATTCTAAAAACCAGAAAGAATGAACTGAGGGAGAACCAGGATATTAAACTTGTCAAAAAAAGGTAGATAAATTGCAAGTTTAGCATCAACTTTCTTATGAATGAATGCCCGCTGCTCCAAATTTTGTAAAAGTGGAGAAACGAGTATAATGCCGCGAAGAACGCACCATTCATCCATCTTCTTCTCTGCAAAATAAACTCAGGTATTTTCTCCGGGACATCTGTGGATCCGTAAGAGCTCTTGGAGTACCTTAAAATCCAATTGCTATCTTTCTTCGTAACGATTTCAAAACACAAAATACGATCCTCTGCCAGGTACATGTTAGAAATAAACACCCTCGCATTTAGATCGTCACCCAAAAAATACTTCCGTAGAGGTTCTCCTCTGATTGCCTCAAACCTGTATGCCGAAAAGGCGCCCGGCAAAACGGTAATAAATCCAAAGTTTGATTCTGTTGTCTTATCTAAAATGTTGGACAGTTTGTATTCGAAATTCTGAGAAGCAACTAGTGGATTGAAAAGATTTTTGAAACCTCTCCCCAGATCGGTCTTAATCTCACCGCATGCACCACCGACTTGTGGATTCTTGAACTCTCGCCATAGCTCGTAGATTGAATCCTTACCAGGCATAGTACCAGCATCAAGAAGATTGACAACAGTGGGCTGCAAAACTTCGCCAAACGCCTCTAACGCCCAGCGGTGAGAGTTAATTTTTTTCTGATTGTTTTCCTTGAGGCAAAACAATAGCTGGATAGGAACCGTATTCTCTCCACACTCCAACTCCACTATACCGTCTTTTATGCTCCTGATATTAACTTTGGAAGTATGCTCGTAGACATGAGCGATTACCTTTTTGTCATTAATCTCACCTTTGGCGAATCCGTCCTGATAACATCCAAGCGCACTCATCAGGGCAAGAGAACGTTCGTTGATTTTGGATCTACCATCAGATACTACGCAAACAACAATTTTTTTCCAAGCGTCGGGTCCCCAAGTCGAAGAGTGCTTTTTCTTCGTGAAATGCCGAATGTTGTCCATAACACCTTTGAGAGTTCTTCCGAGCAAAACATCATCCTCGTTATACATGGTAATGACAATCATCAACTCTGTCTGACGTGGCAATCCATATTTGAGTTGACGTAGCGTGAAATTGTTAGACTGAAACATTAGAGGTTCGCATGTTACTGCCTGATATCTCATGAACTTAAATTCGTTCGAAAGCTTATTTTGATCATCCACCGCCTTCACGTATTGTGTTATAAGATTTTCACTAATGGGACAATCAAAAACGAAGTTACCCATACTCAATTTGAACTTCCGGACCGTTGTTGGTTTCCTCATTGGGTTGTGGCCTTGGCCTTCACTGGCGCCGAAGTTACTTTCGAATTTCTCCCTACCATTGTCGATAACGACGTCTTCGCCATCACCTTCATGCAGCAAGTTAGTTGAAGACTGAACCCTCGCTAGGGTGTTAGCGTCTTCGTTGGAATTGTAAGCGTAGTCACCAAGATCTCTGCTCTGCTGGTCATCATAGTCCATTGAACTGTATTCGTCAGAATACACACCGTTGTCTGCATATTCATTCAAATCAAACGCGCTCGAGTAAGGATTGGCCATTTGGTTGTTATTATCATAAAATGTATTGATCTGGTAGTCGTCTCCATTTTGGTCGATATAATCGATGGAGTTTTCGTGGTCGTAACTGAAAAAGTCTGTAGGGCGGTGGAAATCTGGTGCTACCGCGGTCGGACCTGAAGTGGGAGGCGGCCTACGATGGTGGTTTAATATAGGTTGCGTATCCTGTGGAAAGTCTTCGCCAACGCTAGATTGGGCGCTGGAGCTCCGGGGTTCGTAACCCATGTTATAGAGCTGGTCATTGCTGACTGTCAGGTTCGATGCCGGCATGGGCACCACGGTGTCTTCGGCCATAGGAATCGGCTGTGGAGCTTGGTAAACGTTGATACTCGGGACGTTGAATCGCTCCATGTGATTCTGTGTCTGATACGCGTAAGATCCAAGCTGCTCACTGGATCCAACAGCAGCCGCCTCAGATTCGTTCCCATAGGTATGTCTTAAATCCTGCTCATGATTTTGAGGATACTGATGTACAAAGTCGTTATACTGGTTATTATTTCTGTACCTTTCGTCAGGCCTTTCTTCTTGGCCATCAGCTCTGGGATCCATTAACGAGTTTTCACTACTATTTTCGTGTGTATAGTTCTGACCATGATTGTAGCGGTAATCCATAGGGACTGGTCCTGGTCGTGCTGGTTTTATGCTTTCGAATCAACTTGAAGATCTGTTTCGCGTTTGATTCATAAATACCATATTGTAGGCTCAGGCAAATACGTTTCAAGTGACTATGCCAAATATAGCTCAGATATGGAAGAGATGAGGCTGAAACCGATATAGATATATTCTTGATTGTTCTTGGCATACACACGCTTCAGGTAAAACGATGGCTACAGGCACGTCATTATAATTGCCTTACTGGGTTCTGTGCGTTGTAAAACGGGTGTTCTTGAGCGAGTTCCAAGATCGTACTGGTGGTTGCGCCGTTTTCCATGAACCCGAGACGCTCGGTAGCTTGCTTGTAGATGTAATTGCGTTTCAGCTTGTCTGAGATGTACTCGCGAAAACCACACGGTTGTTGAGCTATCGTGCTCGCATTTTTGAGAAGCACCTGAGCGTTTCGCAACAGGATGCCTGCGGTTTTCGCCGCGGCAGGGTCGCCGTGTGATGCCTCTGTGGCCTTGATCAAGTGCCTGTAAAGTTCGTTATCCGAGCGGCTTATCATGACTTCGCAGAGTTTGAAAACGACAGGGCTCAACTCGTTGTCGTTCTCTTTTAGAATTCCTGAGATCGTATCCTGCCGCTTCTGCGCCAATTTGGCCTCAACGGTGCTCAGCAGGCGTCCTGCCTCTGTGCATACTGCCCACAATCGTGCCTGGTTATGCTTAAGATTGTTTTTGGGGTGCTGACGAACAAGATGGAGAAGGTCAACGGCGATTAGCAGTTTGTCAACGCATGTATCTCTGCCACTGTCAGCGATCCCCGCAATAAAGGTTTTCAGACCTTCAAAGCCGGTAGAAGATACAACAATCAATCCATCGATTGACCATACGGCAAGCTGCAACTCATCGGTTTCGAGGGAACCCAGGTTTAATCCGGCTTCCTCGCGAACCACCGCATCCAGTTGGAGTTTGAATTGCTGAGTGTCGTCTTCCAAGTAGTTTGCTTGAACGTCATTGATTGCAGCAAAGGTGCCGTTGCGTGATTCTACAAGGAGCTCAATGAGCGTTGCAATGCACCTGTAGCACACGACGAGCGTGTCAAGTAGAGTCTTCGCGGTTATTTCGTCTTGCATTTCCATAACTTCTAGCTCATTGTCTTCTGACGCAGAATGACCAGAATTGCCATCTACAGTAGGAACGGCATCCAAAGGCGCAGGAGTTGCCGTGTCACTTGGAGCTTCCCATGATTCTAGTTCCTCTAAATGCAATTGAATCACCCTCCGTGCTGTACTCTTGAATCTTTCATATAATTCCAATATCTGGTCACCAGAAAGTTCTGAATAATCTTCCAGTTGACTGAAGTAACAGGTCAAAAGATTGAAGTAGATATCCCACGAGCACGCGTCTCGAAATTTCGCGATCGCAAGCTCAAATCGCTCGGTAATTATGGGTAGGGGCTTGAACAACATGTCGAGATTTCCCATATCTGTCAAGTCAACGTATTGCAAAATATTGACGCTTCCGTCATTGGCAATGTAATCACTGTACATCTTTAGCAACAGTCTTGTTTGATTGTAGTAAATGTGGTAGCTACCGCCAACAGTGCTACTGGGAGCATTTAGGCCTTGTTCGTAGGAGTTGAACGCCAGCGCGTACTGGCGTATAGTCTTCTTGACATCAGACAAAGCCCATCTTTCCGCCTGTTCTTCCTTCTCTGTAGCGTCATCGTAGAAGTCTTCCTCAGTTTCCAAGACTGGCTTTTTTGATCCATTTTTCTTTTGCCGTGGGGCCATTGCAGTTCACAATCAAGGATAAGCCGTAATTGTTTCCAAACCTGGAACTGTGAAGACCGGCGTTTAACCTTTATTTGAGAAGTAAGCGTGTATTTTACATTTGAGAAAATCGACATCGATACTGCATTGACCGAACAAAATAAATTCGCGTATGAATGAATAAAAGCATCTCTAAAGATTTCAAATACATTCAAAGCCCTTCAGGGCTCTCTGATCTATTCTCCGAAGGTGAAGTCATTAGCCAAAATATAGAATTTGTATCTGTGCTGACCGGCATCGACTTTGATCCAAAATCAAGATGTCTTCTACTTTTCAAGAATTTCCATAACAGCGAAAAGTCTGAAGCAGATTACATTGGTAGAATAACCTGCAATACGCCAGACACGTTGAATCTCACCAAAATGACCTTGTCTTTGTTCTCACAACAGTTTGATTTCGATTTTCCGGAACTGGACAACGAGAGCGGCTTTACAATGGATGATGTGCACCTGGAGAAGTTATGCTTCGTGTTTTGCAAGGGCACTTTTATCAGCTGTGGTGATAAAGGAGGCATTTTTCTACAAGGTCTGCGAGCCATTGACCTTCATGCATCTTTATTTAACGCTACAGAAGAGGATAAAAAAACACTAGTTTATGAATCAACCAGAACCATATTTGACAATCTTGTCAAAATCAACAGTAACTCTAAAGAGCTGTTCAAATTTGTAAAACTACAAAACTTAACGAATGAAATGCGACAGTACTTTCAAGCTCGCCAAGAAAGCATTTCAATTTGGAAAGAAAAGAACCCTATATTTGGACTCTCGCGGTTCCACGACGATTGCGACTCTTTGAATGATTTCGACTCTCAAGCTCCCGATACCAATCCCACCTTCAATTCACAGCAGTATTGTGGCCCTTCGAAGACGGCAATACATACTCGTGAGAAATCTTCCAATTCACACAGCAGCGATAGCATTCAAAGATCAGAATTAACACACCATACAAAATCGATTGAAAAAACTACCGAAGCAAGAGCCATAGAGCGAGACCCGATATCACCGCGTGATATCGTATCTGTTCATACAGCAGGCTTACACAATAACTCTGAAGATATCTCGCTCTGTGTAAAAAAATCTGATTCTTCTGTCATCAACATGGCAAGAGAAGATTCACTCATTGACTCTGATGATTCAGTCCTTTCAAACAGATCCATGGACACACAACCTGTCGATAAGCGAAGGCATTCAAAAGTCAGTCATGCTCAACCCACGGTTAAAAAGATACGAACGTCTGAACCAAAGAAAATCTACCAACAGCATGCAACAGACGTAATATCTTCCGCTTCATCAGATGAAGTAGTGACATTAGAAGGTAAAATAGTCGGCGTACGGATCAATCATATTTCTACACCCCCGAGCGTTGCGATATATTGTCAAGCGGATTCGATGAGAGTGGCTGATAATTCTGGCCTTCTGTGTGTTAACAACAACTGTATTGAGATTATGGCAAATGTCACAGATAACATCAAATGTAACACAACTCTTCTAGAGGCCAGCACCTCAACTGAACTTCTACGGGTTCTTCGTAGCCACATTGAAGACAAATTTGCTAGCATTACAGTGAAAAAAACGCCTGTTATTTTAGCTAATGGCTATTTCACTTTCTCACTTTCATTGCGCTCTTTGCGCGTGGAGCCATCTGCAATTACCAGCCACTACTCTAGAATCACGCCACGATCAAGCCAAGTAGTAGTGTCTAGCTGTGAATCGTCTCAGGAATTATTGGATCCCCTCAAGACATTTTCAGAAATCTCAGTTACTGGGAACCAAGTAGAATTCATCAGGACTTTTGGGCTTCTTGTCAGTGCCAAAAGCTTTGGTCGGAAAATGACCAAATTTGTCTTTACCGATTTCACATCACACCATCAGAACAAATTATCAGCTTTTGACTCTTTCTTGGGCTCGTACACAGACCGCCTGCCTCAAGACATGGCCTTTCCGTTCGTGATTTACAATGACCATTACTCTGTTTTTGCCCGCCAGATAAAGCAGAAAACTGGCATTGCATTAACGGATTGTTTCAACGGCAATGACAATAATTTGACCCCCCATGGAATTGTTTGCCGGTTGGAAGTAAAGGTTAAGATTTATGCTGGAGGTATTGACGGCATTATACGGACTTGTGAACCTATAATAAATGGAGATGCCACTTTGAGAGCCGACGAAAAGGCGTTTTTGGATTGCTTCTACAGAAGATCCATTGAGAAAATTCCACAGTATCTTTTAGTGAGTAGGTTCAACAGTTACGAAATGTTTTTTCCTATTACCATGTTCCGCGATCTCGTTGTTTTGGAGGGCGAAAGTGTCCACGATACATGTAGCACGGTTTCGACTCCCCGTATGCCTGGTGAACTAGAGCCCATTCCCTTTCGGGCATACCCCACATTGAGGCTTGATGGTGGCCAGTTCACTGTTGTTCGCGATCTAGACGTAGCCGCACTCCACTCGATCAACAAGCTAAGTAACACCGTGCTATACCAGGTCAGGGCCAAAGTTGTTGGCGTCTTCCAGAGTAAGGATTGGCTGGTTTTTTATTTGACCAACGACTTGATTTCGCAAGACATGCTGGACCCTAAGCGAATTTTACTACTCGACATTCCCGGTGCCGAAAACGTTGCATATTTTCTCGGGTGCAGCAACTCTCAAACTGTCAGTGGGCCTTTGAGAACCCATTTGCACTCGCTGATAGTTGGTCAAGAATTTACTTTTCGCCTCTCTGCCTTCGGCATTCCCGTCAGCCCGCACAGAGACTTACGAGCGTGGTATCCAGTTGAATGCACTATTCAAGAGATGGAGGCCGAGCTGGCTGCTCGTGCAGTTGGTGTCTCAGTGAGCGTTAAGCAAGAAGATATGGCCGTTGGGTGAAACTGGACTAAGAACACTAATATCTAGCCGAGGCGCATTGCAGCAGGCGCAGTCTCTTTACAGGCAGAGCGTCTCGTTTCACAAGGTACTATCTTGGGATCCCAATTCGAATGTGAACATGCCAAAGGGCCTTATGTCATGTTCTTGTCGCCTTACCTTTTTTTCTACGAATTCGCAATGGCAAAGCGACAGTAGGTGTTAAAATGACTGTTGTTTAAAATATTAGGGTGTAAGGGTAGTTCCATGAAAAGTTACACTGCCCGGGGTAAGCAGATATCCTTAATTGACAGGTACTTGTTGTAAAGAAGGGATACCTCTGAAAGCAATATTACTTGTGGTGCACTTGCGGTGCTCAGTTCTTGCGGGGAAGAAAACCCAACCAAATGGTCCAGATGTGTGCGCCAGAGCAAAGATGTGAGTGTACTTTGTTACTGCAAGCGAAGCGGAGAGGGCTGGTGGCTAGAAAAAGTATAAATTGGGACAGAATAGTAGCATTGGCTCAATGAGTTGATTTGAGTTTAAATGGCTTTTTCCAAATATCATTTTAAATCCTTCTTTGAAATAAATCAAGTTTGATTGACATTTTGAACTAAAGAGAGGAAACTTACTATTGTAGCTTGAGATGCGTTTCACACAGTCTGTAACTATTTTATTCTATGTGCTGCTACTGGGGGCAGGACTGCTATCATTTTTTGTGATTCTATCGGGAGGACGTCAAACGGGTGTTCTCAGAAACTTCTATTGGCTGGAGGCGGACACTTCAGGATTTAGTAATGCGCCAGCAACGACAAGGTGGTTCAACTACGACTGGTGCGGCTTTTCTAATGGTGACTTAAGCAACTGCTCGTCAACTCAGGCCGCGAAACCTTTTTCCCCACGAGACAATTTCGGTGCGAGCAACAGCATGCCCGCGGAATTCGTTGATCATAGAAAAACATACTATTACCTGTCGCGTGTTGCTTGGGCTATGTTGCTGGTTGGGATTTTTTATATTGTCTGTGCCCTTGTGCCGGTCGCAATTACTATTTTCTCGACCTCGCTGCTGGCTTCATTTTTCGCGGTGCTAGCACTATGGTTGGCTTGGTTCTTCGTGACGCTAGCGGCCTGTCTTTACACGGGATGCTACGTCAAGGCACGCAATGCATTCTCTGACAATAATCGCAGGGCCAAGTTGGGTGACAAGAATTTCGCTTTCATCTGGACCAGTGTGGCCCTTTTGCTGGCGTGTGCTATCTGGTCTTCAGTCGCCGGTGCATTCTTTGGTGTTGAGAAGTATAGGAATTCACGTCATGGTCACCACCACCAAGGCCTTGAGTCGGGGATATCCTCTGATACCTATGGAGGTGACAAGACTACTTTGGACACCACCGAAAATAATGCGCCAAAAAGGAATCGGGTTAAGGTTTTCCATACTTGGAAATACCGCAGCAACCGTGGAGCTCAAGAAGATTCTTTAGGAGTTAATCCACAGCTTACAACCTCTGAGTACGACAATGAGGGGAATCAGGTAGTTCACTAATTTCTTGCAAGTGCAAAACTTGTGCTCAGCTGCTAACCTTAAAACCTACTAGGAAATAATACGATGGCAGTCAAAATACCTACGCAGTAATTCATGTTCTCTGTTACTAACTCGTTTCAAATAGGACACTTATGGGCCTCGCCCACGGCCGTAGTGAGGACACATCCCAACATGCGGATAATGAAGATTCTAGCTCGAAGGATCATGGCGATGCTGTGCCAAATAGTGAAGGAGTCCAGCCGCACTCGAATAACCCCTTCAGGTCACAACAAGAAATACGTGAGCAAGATGCTTTCGATGAGCCAAAAGACACGAAAAGTACTACAGGCACTAACAGTGCAAGGGAACCCCTCATGCCGAAAGAGGACTTTCGGACTACCCCTCGAATGGAGAAAACTGGTCAAGAGCTGAATAGCGAAAATTACCAACTCACCGGTTATACTGAGCGTCGCCCCACTCGCGAATTGCAAGAGAAGAACATGTCCGAAGAGAAGAACATGTCCGAAGAGAAGAACATCTCCCAAGAGAAGCACATCTCCCAAGAGAAGCACATCTCCCAAGAGAAGACCCCAAGCAAAAATGTCAGACCAAACACTTTTAGCACTACCTTACCTGTCAACTCACCATTGCTTTTCAAAGCAAGTAGCACGCCAGCTACACCAGTCCAAATGGGAGAACAGCACAAGAGAGGTTTGTTTGGTTTGAGATCTTCTAAAAACTCCTCGGGTCCCATGGCAGAAGAGCCCTCAAACTCTGAAGTCAGAAATCATGAAGAAGAAACTAAGGGCGGTTTTGCTCATGAAGCTTCTGAGCTAAAGAATAAGATTAATGAGCAAAGAAAACATTTCGGCAGGAAGAACTCTGAAAAAGACCACGACCGCAATGCAGCAGCAAGGTCGGGCGTTAGCCGTGGCAATAAAGCTGAGTCAAACGAACCAGGTGAGATTTCTTCGTCAAACAAATTATCAAAAGATGCAGCGAACACCAGAAACTTACCACAAGTTCGGGAGAGCTCATATACCGGGAACACCGGCTCATTTAGCAAAAGGGATTTCGCGCGCGAAGGCGAAATTAATGACGCTAGCGGTAAAGAACATAACCACGGTTCAAGAAACAAGGGCGTGCCAGGACCAAAGCGAGGAGTATTTTCAGGCGAAATTGGTGACGTTAGCGACCAAGAACACAACCACGGTTCAAGAAACAAGGATTTGGCAGGACTAGAGCAAGGAGGAATCTCAAGCGAAATTTATGACAACAGTAGCAGAGAACATGAGCAAGGAGCATACTCAAGCGAAATTGGTGACGCTAGTGGCAGAGAACATAGCCACGGTTCAAGAAACAAAGGCGTGTCAGGACCAAAGTAAGGAGTTTTCTCCGGCAAAATTGGTGACATTAGCGACAAAGAATATAACCATGGTTCAAGAAGCAAGGGCGTGCCAGAACTAGAGCAAGGAGGATTCTCAAGCGAAATTCATGACACTAGTGCCAGAGAACATGAGCAAGGAGCATACTCACGCGAAATTGGTGACGCTAGTGGCAGAGAACATAACCACGGTTCCTGAACCAAGGGTGTGTCAGGACTAGAGCAAGGAGGATTTTCAAGCGAAATTCATGACACTAGTAGCAGAGAACGTGAGCAAGGAGCAAACTCACGCGAAATTGGTGACGCTAGTGGCAGAGAACATAACCACGGTTCCAGAACCAAGGGTGTGCCAGGACTAGAGCAAGGAGCCTTCTCAGGCGAAAACCCCAAAAACCGGAATGTTCATATCCCCGGCATGTATGCTTCTAATTTGGGGGATTCGAATACCAAAAACTATTCAGGTGAGGATTTCGGCACCAGCAATGCTGGCAACCCCAATGAATTTGGAAGTGGTACTGCACAGCCAATGGCTAAGGAGAAAAGCTCGGCAAAAAGTGTTCCCAAACTTGACTTTGCAGGAGAGAAGAAGCATAGCGATGTGGTGGGCAAGCATACTCATACATCAAGCGCCCAGACGGAAGGGACGTTAGACCCAAACAGCCAGGGTGCTTATCGGGCCACTAAAGGTGTATTTCCTGATGAAGGAAGAACTCAGGCTTACAGAAAAGCAAATATGGATTCAAATGATGAATCGGCTTTCAACAAAACCCCAAGGCATCAGGATACTGATCAGACATTATTAGGCTCGTCGGGATCCACCAACCTAGCAGCGGGAGTTTCTGATCACCGCCCTATGGACCTTTCTCAAGATGAAGAGACTGGCTATGAAGAGTACCACCCCTCGGGGTCCGAAATGGATCCTGAAAAAGGTGCGCTAGGGGCCTCGGATGCGGAGAGACGGAGGTCTTCCCTTGCCGAATCTACCGAAGGTAATTCAGAGCTCAAAGCCTCTAAAAGTAGAAGTATGAGTATGGGACATGCTCCATTCGCCAGTATTGGTCGAACGCTTTCTGGCAAATCCCACTCAGACACTCCTGATTATGACCAGGAAACTCCTAAAGAACACAAAGAACCTTCTAAGATTTCCACGACTTTCAAAGACGCTTGGGGTGCCGTGAAGGGAAGACGTCGTAGTAGCCACGCTGAACCGAATATGAAGGATCCCCATGATGTTGAGTCGAGCAACAAACATGAGTACGAAACTGTGATGAGCGATACTTCCAGTCGTTCGCCGGAGGTTAAATCCAAAAACCATGTTGGAATCACGAATGCCGAAGAGTATGAAGTTAAGCACCATCGCGAGGCCCTGAACCGAAAACTTATGACAGATCCTGAATGGAAGGAACATGAGGATGCTTATGCCCGCCAGGTGGGAAATAGGCCTAGTCTTGTTGATCCTAATGAACTAACGTATGGTGCGGTGGGAAGAAGAAAGTCTTCGGTCAGCGAGAACAACCCGGAGTATGTGACACGCGGATCGCATGGCAACCGCAATATCTCAGTAGGTTCTGAAGCCGATCACAGCCAAATGACAGATCCATCTCAAGTGCCAATTGTCGAAGAGGTCGGTGCCGCTCAAGAGCGTACGCCTCGCAATGCGCATTTCATCGAGATGAAGGAAAGTCACATTGACGATCGTATCCGGTCAGAACCCCATGATCGACCAGCGAATGCCGCTGCTACTTTTGCTAAAGGAGGGTGATTGAGAAGTGGCGAGAGCCACAGACATTCAACAATATATTCTCCAGATGAACGCTTAACGTCCTTTACTGACAAACTGTAGTTGTTTGTTTTTTTGCTTAAAAGGAACTATTTATTACGTTTATAAGCTTGAGCCCACACTACATGTGCAAATGTGGGCTCTCTTTCAATGTGTTTAACTGCGACCTACATTTTTCACTTCTGACTACTGAACAATAACTTGGAATTTTATTGGCCCTACTTCAAGTTCTTCCTTCCTCCCTTGTACTTGAACTGAACAAAAAAGACAGAAGGATAAACAAAGTTCGAACCTGTCTTAACCGCCGGTCTTACTCAAAGCTGAGTCCAGCATACTGCAAAATATCCGAGAGCTCGTAAGGATTACTGAGACGTTTGTTAAAGTGGGAAAGGCCATTCTAAAATGCGGTCGGCGGCTAACGGGCACAGAAATAACAAGGTGAATTCGAAGAAACATCAGCAAGAAGGTATGATACAGGGTTTTTGGTTTCCCAATACAGCCGATAGAACTACGTTGCGATCAAACCCGGGAGAAAAAGCGGATTCAGCGGTTGATGATCATTCAGGGAGCAAACCTGGTCAAGAAGCTAAATTTATGTTCAAGGAAGGAAATACAGAGCCAAAGAGTGCTGTTTTGACCGCTGCACGTTTGCTGGATGAGATGTTCCAGCGCCGAGAACCTGGAAATGAAGCCGGTAAGTATACCTGTTCTACTTCCACATTTGAATTTGAACCGATTCCCAACGCGCACAAGGAAGATGACATGAACATTAGAAAAGCACTGAGCTATCCGTCTTACAGCGACGTGACAAGCGCATTGTGAGCCGAACTAGCGGGAGATTTGACAGAACTTTCGTCAAGAAAAGAAGTAGCGAAGCCAGAAATTCGGTACAAACAACCTCGAAAACTCTCTGGTGAAGATAGCGTGTCATTGGATAATGTCGCTCAATAGAACACTGTGCTTTGGACAGCTCGAACAGTTCGAAATACACCATATCCGAAGGTATTATTTTGCCCTATCCCTCCTCGTTGCTGGTGATATCAATACCAACGAAACCAACTGATATCCTCTAATGCCAACCACCCTCCTCCTACCCAAGCTCATGTGTAGTCAAGCGGCTCCACTACTACCGCTGTCCTGTGTCTCTGCACTATTTTCCTTTGTTTTCCAGCAAAGTACAGCTCTCTACTCGTGCCACTCAGTCAGATCACCAAACCTCCTCAAAATTACCTACTCTGCCAATGCTGCTCTAATCCCCCTCTGATATTCCACCACGAGACAAGAATTATATCGCACGCCTAAATCGACAGCAACTGAATTAATTTCACGTTTCCATCGCGTCGCGCGTCGTACCGTTGCATGCAGCGTTCACATTATTGAATGGAACTCAGAGGTCACCGAGCGGAATCCACAGCACGCTGCTCTGGCGCCAGGCGTGCAATTCCTTGAAAAATTTTACGCCCTCATAAACAGAGGGTATTTTCGGACGACGAGATAGAGGAAAGGAGGTTTTCGTAATGAAAAAACACAAAAATAAGGAAATTTCTACGAAATAATCTACAAACAGGTGGTTTAGACGCTTCAAGACGATCGAAAACGGATTCTCCGCGGAATTAGAGCTTTTCTGCAGAAGTGCTGGACATTTGGAGACACGAATTTGCCCAGCCAGACAAAAGCAGCAGCAGCAGCAGCAGTAGTAGTCCTATTTCCCTGTAACTCTGTTTGCACACGCCACTGGCACTGATAAGCAAAACGCGACTGTCTGCTGGCGACCGGGCGCTTTACACAACAAACAAGACACCGCTACCACCAGGAGCTTTGCGCGCGACGAAACATAGGGCCCCGTTAGTTTTTTGGCCCTCTTTCAGCGCTTTCATTTGTGCAATTTCATTCCGATTTTGCCAGGACTTTCAAAAGTCAATTCATTGCTGATCACAGCATTCGTTCTCACACCAAGGCCACCACTCGTTCATATACCGCGACATGTCTGTGGTTAACACCAGTTCATCACCGTTGGAAAACGGCGGATTTGGCCTGCATCGTGGGTTCAGTTCCAGTTCTGAAAAAATAGGACCCAACACCACGCCTGGAAACTCCTCTCCAGTGCACCAGGGTTCTTTAGGCTTGGCTGGATCGAGCTCCAGCAATAACTCGCCTCTTCATCTGGCAACCATGCTCAATAACTTGGCCATGAGTGGTCCAGCGTCAACATCTCCCACCCAAGGTCCCTATGTGCTACAACTGAAAAATATTCCTCACGACATCACAATGAGAGAATGCCACGCTATATTTGCTCTAGCAGATGGCGTTAGCGACATCGAACTTTTCAATAGTTCCAAAGACTACAGCAATCTTGATCAAGCTACCGGACTATCAGCCAAATTCGATTCTTTTCATTTAGTAACTCAGTATGCCTCAATACTGGACGGAAAGTCTCAAATTTTTGGACCCGAGTTCCCTTACAGATCCCAGGTCGAAGTTTTCGATGAATACACTCAACAGCATATTCCTTTCAATCAAAACTTGCAATCCTCTCCCAAGCACCAGATTCAAACGTTACCACAACACAATCTACAGCATTCTAAATCGCAAGATGAAAGGCAGCAACAGCAGCAGCCACAACAACAGCCACAACATGACCAAAACGAACAAAACGCGCATCTTTCCCAACAGCATCAACAACAAAATGCATTTCAGCTACCTGGCCCATCCAACGTGGTATCTCCACCCCAATCTGCATCATCAGCTAAAAGGCCTGGCCTTTATGGTCAACGGTCTCGATTTTCGTTTTCTGACCCTTTCACTGCTGATAATGCTCAACAATCTCAACCACAATCGCAAGATTTAGCTACTACTCCTTTGAAGTCTCAAGACGCTGGGAAGTCATTTTTGCTGATGGAAAATGATGAAATAAATGAAAGCATATGGGGATCAAATGGTGGGATGCCGACAAGCATGAATGGCCTTGCTACATCGTCCCAGCCCGCGACGCCCTCGTTAGAGTGGGGCCCACCTCAAAGAAAACAAAGTTCTTCATTTTTCAATGCAGTCACTGCTAACAACGTACCTACGAATGACATGTCTGCTATGAATTTGTCAACTGCTCTGCCGCATCAAATGGGGGCCAACTTGCAACAACATCAAAATTTATCATTCAGTATGGGAGGTCACAATTCGGCTGCTAATACGGGTTCATCAAGTGACATGACGTTACCTCAGCAGCCCCAGCAAAGACAACAACAAACCCCAGGTCAATTAGTATCAGCTGGTCCACAACCCCAAGAGCCTGAGAATACTAATGGATCTCAAAAATCTCCCGGGCAAAGGTCAAGTACATCAAAAGGTTCCCAATCCAATCTTGTTACCCCTCAGAAGACCACTTCATCAACATCACTTCCGTCAACAGGTGGCATCTCTCAGGTGGACCTATCCTTGTTGGCACGTGTTCCACCTCCCGCTAACCCTGCTGATCAAAATCCGCCCTGCAACACTTTGTATGTTGGGAATCTACCACCTGACGCTACGGAACATGAGTTACGCCAATTGTTTTCTACTCAAAAGGGATTTAGAAGGCTTTCTTTCAGAAATAAAAATACAAACGGCAATGGTCATGGCCCAATGTGTTTTGTCGAATTTGAAGACGTGGCTCATGCTACTCGTGCCCTAGCCGAACTTTACGGGAGGCAACTTCCTCGTTCAGGCGCCAGTCACAACAACAAAGGTGGTATAAGATTAAGTTTTTCAAAAAATCCATTAGGAGTACGGGGACCCAACAGCAGAAGAAGTGGAAATGGGGGTAGTGTTAGTAACGGAAACTACAGTTACACTTCTGCATTTAACAAATGATTGGTGAGGCATATTTTATGGCTTTCTTTCATCTCATTTGCTATATACTTTGCGGTGCATTGTCCTGGTCATGTTTTAACTAGCGTTTGCGAGCCATCTGCTCCTCCAAAATCATATGAAGCGGCTAAAAAGCCCTTGCGCTTCTGCTCCTTTTATCATTTTTTGACACGCACAGCGTGCTCTTGCTTGGAATTCATCGAGAATTATCACTCAAGTGAAGTGATAATTTTTCTACAGGAAATCGGCTTACTTTCCAGTTGTAACCATATTCGCCGACTTCAATTTAGACGCTGTTAATAAAAGCGAGCAATCGAGATTGGAGGCCAGTATTCTAGGCTCATTTTTTCCCTTTTTTGTCTTCTCGTTCCTTCTCATTCTTCATGCTGCATTTCAAAACATTTCACCAAACAAGGGACTGTTCTATATACATATACTTGTGCGTTGTAATATCTAATTCTGTCATTATACTATTCAAAGCGTTTCAACTGACAATCGCAGGCTTTCAGTGTTCATGCTCTTCCGCTCACTATTGATGCCAAGTCGGTGACACTTTCCTCCTTTTTGAGTTTAGATTGCACTGGTAAGACATGCTGGGTCGAGGAGCTCTTTGAGGTCAGAGATGCATTCGAGCTGTTCAAATGTTGCTGGCGCAACAATCTCTCTCTTAATTTCAAGTCAGCCGCTCTTTTCTCTAGATCCTGGATACGCTTTTGCAATTCCTTAGCGGATTGAGCTTCCAGTTCTTCCAGCTTCTGTTGCCTGGCAATGATACGCTCATGCTTCAATACATAAGGCACTGTTTCAGAAATGTTTCTCAATTTGGACTTGTCAGGGGAACCGGGTGCAGAAGACCGGGGAGAGTTTTTGATATTATTTATGATTTCTTCATTCCCACGCCTTATACTTTGGGAAATCTGTCTCAATGCAGGAGATTCAGGACCCGATCCATGGCTTATTTCTCTGGAATCTGGAGTTGTTGGCGTTTCAGATTGTGGAGGCATTGCCAAAGAATTTGATGATTTGAACTGGCCTGTGGTTATCAAAGAGGCAAAATTTGACAAACTTGGAGCGGCAGAGTTACGCTTGTTGTCTATATGTTCACTGTTTTTGTCCATGTCCCATTCGGATACAGATGAGAGTTTTTCAGCTCTGTAGTTTTCATACAAAAAGTTTTGAGCAGTGTCCTTAAATTCTTGGAAATGGGATCCAAACAATACGTTTTTGAGAATACGCAAGTCGGACACATTGTCGTCATCCACTTTAATTTCACCCCAAGGATAACTTCTGACAAAGTGACCGTTTTCATTTCTTTCGTCTGAACACATAACTGCGAAAGGTTGTAGCATCGCCAAAGCTTGGTTTTCCTCCACAGTCTCTAGATCGTCTTCCTCTGGATCAACTTCAAATTTGTAAACTGGCACATTGAACCTCTCGATGTCGTCCATAATCTGCCTTTTGAATTTAATAAGTTCTTCCCTGGTGAACGAATCAGCGCGAGAAATGATCGGCAGGACATTAGTAAAGCGGGACAGCCTTTTCATCATCTCGACATCCATTTCTCTAAGTCCATGGCCCGTAGGTGGTATGAAATACAAGGCTAGGTGTACCCTGGTATCTTCAAACCGTGGATTTCTCTTGATACGGGTTTCTTCTCCCAAGACCTGATCGAATTGCTGTTCTAGGTACCCGGTTATCTCATCAAAGCACATAGAGTTGTCCAAGTTTTCACCGAGCCCATGCGTTTTTACTAGGTTTAATGAGATCTTGTCGGAGTTCATGCTACCATTGTGGGTCATGGCAGAGCTCTCACTCGACACAGAAGATCTGGACGAGGGCTGCTCTTGTCCCGTTGAAATCTCCATAGTAGTAGATGTTATCGTCACGCCCGGTTCGAAGTGCTCGCGACCGGCATCAAACTGGGCCATATGCGACGGAATTCCGTTCTTGGAATTGTAGGAGACGACCATCGTTGGTTTAATGACTTTCACGCGCGGATTTTCTGCCAATTCTGGCACTTCCATCGCGTATTTGTGGGGGAAAATCGCCATCTCTAATAAATTGTTGGCAAACGTGGTCTTTCCGGTTCCAACATCACCCACCAACATAAGGGAATACGAAATGCCTCGTTTGTGATCCTTCTTGCGGCGGTACATCATCTTGCAAGTTGTAGATGTTCCCAAATAAGCTCAACGAGTACTAGATTGGCTTCCAGAGCTATCAAATGGTATAATTCGCGAGTCTTTCTGACGATTGCAGATGTGTTTGTTCAAATATTTTGATCTCGAAGCATGTTGCAGATAGAAGACGAATTTTGAAGAATGTACTACGTGGATGGTGATATACTTAACATCTCTCCTCGACGCTCACACCGGCCGGGTTTCCTCTTGCGGCCAAGTGCTACATTGGCAAAGATGAGCAGTCGCCTCCACTCTACATATTTTGGTGTTTTTCTGCTGTCCGAAACGGAGAGTCTATTGATGCTTTTTCTATATGTCGACAACAGAAGTTTTAAATAAAGCTCACAAGAGTTTTTGTTTGCACCACACCAGTGTGAATACGCTATTTGTCTGAGGAAGTTTCCAGGAGCTATCAATGCATTCGCTTTTACATGGCCCGCGCTCATGGACAAATTAGCCCATCAAATATGTAAGTTTTATTCATTGTTCCATTTCCACCGAGGGCGTCTGAAGAAAACGGCAATTACTTGTACTCCTCAACTGGCAGATCATCAAGCTTCTGAAAAGCTTGTCGCGCGATCAATGGACATAACTTTCTGCTTTGTTGTTTCCAATCCGTTCTTATCATTTTGTCCTTGCCTGTCAGCAAGACAGAAAATGTTTGAGCGGGAACGTCAATTGTAAGTCGCTGAAAACGCAGATGAAAGCATTTCTTCACTGATACCTTTTAACATACCACGGCAGCTCTAAAACCTCTGCGCAAGCTGAACTGTAGTCGGATTAGAGTCATCTAGGCAATTATAATAATCACCACATATGTTAGGGCATGTTCATTAAAACCAAGCCAGTGATTCCCCTCTCATTCATGTAGTCCGTAAGTATCTTCTATTTTCCGCTTTCGCCCCAGTCTTACTTTAGGCCTTCTCGAAGTAACGAACTCGACGCGTAGCTCGCATCAGTCGTAATTGAAGCTTTTTCCCCAGATTAATTATTTATGTCTACAAACTTGAGAAGAAGCCCCAAAATCTGATATCCCCGCAAAACCTTAGCAGTGCTGCTCTATCAACAGCTACTCTTCTTACTCAATGATTCCCATATCTTTTGTTTATTCATCTCGTGTATGAGTATTGAGCCGATTGTCGTAAATTGCGTGATGGCCTTGGCTCATGTGAGAACATAAGCACATTGTAGATCAACTGCAATCAGAATTAAATTTAATTGAATTCGAGAACCGTCGTGTCCCGTAAGAGACTGCTGCTGGTACTAAGTTGGAACCGCGTTGGAGAATGAGCTACGTGCGTCGAGATTCCAGTGGGTCTATTACCTCTGCCGGAATCATGCACCATCAAAGTAAGCTGGACGTCTTTATCATAAAAGCTCACCGGCTACTGTCGAACGGTGCAGTGATCAACGGTGAAGACGTTAGCGTTTTCAACACGGCATCCAGCTCACCCAAGTCAGGCGGGCCGGTAAATGGAACGTCTCCTCATAACGATTTGACGCTTTTCCAACGATTGTCACAGCTTTATAATGCGACAATATCTACCAGCCTACTGGACGACAATTCCACGTCTCCCAAGTCAGCGATTGAACTTTACCAGCGATTTCAACAAATTCTGAAAGAGCTGGAGCTGAGCTACGAAGTGAGTCCGTATGGCAAGTACTTTCGCAAGCTCGATAATGGAATGTGGCAGATCAAAGATGATTCCGAGCTTCTGAGCGACCAACTATGGCAGCTAGTATCCGTGTCGATAAGCACTGTATATGATGCCAAAACAGGCCAGATGTTGAACCAAACTCGGCGGCGGGTTAACAGCATGGCAACGTCGTCCAAGAATTCGCCGTCAGAAATCATCGACAACACACTGCCACAGCAGTTACAAAAACGATTACAGAAATTGCAACAAGATAGTCGGCACAACTACTACTCGACGTCGCCTGTGAGCCCATCCTTGGTACCGAACGGTAATGGAATACGCTCAGTTCACAGCAACAATTCCAGCGGCGGAGAGGCTGCTTCTCTCAATTCTAACAGCAACATCAACATGAATAAGGTCGGTCCCATTAATAATCCTACAAACATCAGCAGCAACATCAGCAGTAACAACAACATCAGCAACAACAGTAACAATAACAATAACAACAGCAACAACAATAACAACAACAACAACAACAACAACATCAATACCAACTCTAACTCAATCAACAACAACAACAACAACAACAACATTAATGGTAACATCAACAACGCGCTCATGAATACTCAGAACAAGCGCAAATACATGGGTGTGGGCACCCCGGATGAAGACGCTGTCGAGGAGCTTCTACAGCTAGCAACCAAGAAAGCCAAGTCCGACCTCCCCACCATTAATGAGGATATGTCGCAGCCCTCACCAATGGGACATAGCATGGCTACCGATACTTCCAGTGTCTACGAACGTCTGCTGCAGGAGAAAGACTTCAGAATCAAACAACTCGAGACTGACCTTGAGACGCAACGGCAAGAAACGCAATGGCTGCGAAAGATGCTATTAGAAGATATGGCGTGCGTTAGAAGCATGCTCCACAAGATGAGCCGCAATCGCCCATGACAGTGTTCACCGGTTAGCAGCATTCGGGCCTCCAGTGTATTATAATGTAGAATTAGTTCATGTAGGTATATACCAGTCATTTTAAGGCCCGTGGCGTATGATGCCTCTCTTGTTCATATTAAGACTTGCACAGCGAAATACCAGACTCTGCCAAACAAACAGCTGAAACACATCAAGTCATTGATTCATAGAGTATGTCATTCAAAACTATTTCCTCGCAATTAGCTGCTCAATTGGATAAGGACCTTATGGGTCCAGAAATCGGGTTCACATTAGAGCAACTAATGGAACTTGCTGGTCTCAGCGTCGCTGAAGCTGTTCTAAAGGAATTTCCATACTCCAAGAGCAGGAAGTCCCAGGTACTGGTAGTAGCAGGGCCAGGTAACAATGGAGGTGATGGTTTGGTATGCGCTCGTCATTTGGCGCTCTTTGGGTTTAACCCGGTGGTTTTTTACCCTAAACGCAGTAGCAGAACACAATTCTATGGACAGTTGGTGAATCAACTTAAGTTCTTCCAAATACCTGTGTTAGATGGTGACGATGACTGGGCTCAATATTTGAACCCTAACGAAACGTTGTGTGTCGTGGACGCAATATTCGGCTTTTCATTCAAACCTCCTGTGAGAGAGCCATTCGGATCTATTTTGCAGCAACTACGGCAGGTTCAAGATCAGTTACCAATTGTCTCTGTAGATATTCCCACGGGCTGGGATGTGGATGAAGGACCCGTTGAGCCAAATTGCATCATCCCTAAAGTGCTGGTGTCCCTCACGGTTCCTAAGCCCTGTGCGCGGAAGATTGAGAGCCTAGAAACTCAACACTACGTCGGTGGTCGATTCGTGCCCCGCAGCTTTGCCAACAAATACGGGTTTGAACCTTTCGCTTATGAGAACGCATCCCAGGTAGTGAAATTAGCTCCAGAGTAGCACTATTCAATCGCTATACAAATGAGTATACTTATGTCCAGATTATTTCGAAACCATGCGTTAGTACGCCGTCATCGCAAGATCAGTGTACGACAGGCGCAGCTTTATTTTGCTCAAAAACAGACAACAGTCTATTTTGTCTTGCATTTGATTGCGTTAAGGAGTATGAAGATATTCTTCACAGATTTCGCCCAGTATTGACATCCCATCCATGGGCTTCTTTTGATGACACATAATTCTTATTGTCATAGTTGATTGCTGACAGTAATGTATTTTATGCTGGGGAAACAAGGATCAGTCAGCTGTGCTTAGTGCCAACAATCTGGATAAAGCGAGCAGATCTAATCATACCCATCGTGTTACAGCTCGTATAGCTCAAACCAAAGCGCCTCAAAATGTAGCCTTGTCCTCTGATGCCTTGATTCAAATGACAGCTTTTAATGGAGAGCATTCTCGAGACTTAACATAAAATCGTATGGCAAGAAAGCCAGATGGGAAGCGTGAAGGACAAGTGCTAAGATATGAATGATTTCCTGTAAGAGACTTTTTATTTATTGGGGCTTACGAAACGTTGCTGGAGAGAACTATCTATTTTTCGGAGGTGCCGAGTTTGACGTATTATTAATTCCATGATACTTGAACAATATTTCAATCACCCTAGGAATATGACATTTAGACTGTGTCATTGCATGTAGGCGGCTATCATTGATCTGGTCAAGTAGTATATTTTCAGAATTCCAAAATCCTTAAGACAAAAAATCCGAGCAAAGAGCCCCAACTTGAAGTCATGAATAATTCAGCAGTTATGCGTGTGTTTACTAAAAGATGCTCTAATCTTGAAAGTCTTCTATGAATATAAGTTGGATCAGGTGAATGGGGCAACCTTCGATATTTTTGATGAGATTAATTGTGAATTAAAATATCTTATTGGCGGCTAATGTTCGTGACATCCAGATGGCAGAAACGTGTGGTTTCAAGATCACTCGACGCTCATTATCTGAGTTTTAAAGAATGTGAATTGAGTTGTGTGTTAAGTTTTGAGAGGTTCTTACTCTTAGCAGGCGGGCGGCCGTTGTCAACACATTCAGCGGTAAGAAAGACTAAGAATTCAACTAACTAGACAATTAAGAGCGCAGATGAGCTTGTACAGGAATGAATGTTATATGGTACTCCATTAAGCTCTCAACGTACCTCTAAGACGACGACAGCAGTGGAATCACACAAAGACGAAGAATGGGACGAACGAGTGGCAGTGATAAGATTGTGAAAAAATAGCCTCTTCATTTCTGACTGGTAAAGTGCTTTCTGCTCCTCCTGGTGCAATTGCGTGGTGTCTACCGATAGGTTACTTTTCTTTGTTCACTTGCATGGAGAACTGGCCAGAAGTTATTTCGATTCGCGACTTAAAAGGTATAGCAGAAGGGCAACGGAAATGAAGTGAACAAACGCAAAGTCACAAACGCATGGAGCAATCGAATGACGGGATGCGATATGCAGGGTGGTATTACACGCTATCTTACTCAAGCAACTCGCCAACAAAATAATAGTAGGGGCAGCAACGCATCTGCCTAAATAGCCTAACATCAAACTCATTTGACTCACTGCTGCCGAAGTGCTGGTCAGAGAGATAAGCCAGCTCAGTATAAGCACTTGTGCTGGTGCTGGATCATTAAATTTCTCAGCGCAGAACACCCTTCGCGTTGATCAGCTCATGACGCTAAAAAGCTCTGAATCCTATTATTAATGTCCTATCGCCAAGAACATAGGGACGCACAGCCTCTATTTGAACGCTCATAGTCAGTCATTATTACGGTATAGCCAGTTCGATGACTACCTTTAAGCTTATAATAGTTGTGGTTCTTCAAATGTGTCACACGTGAATAGCATATGACTTGTTATAGTCATATGCCATGGTGGAGTTCTATTGTCTCCTGGCTTAAAAATTTGAAATTTCGAGTTACTTTTTGGCGTTAGTGATGCTCTTCGCCTACGACAGCTTTGATAGTTGTAAAAACAGCATTTACGTGACGGGTTGGATCCTAGTACTGCTCTTCAATAGTTTCAAACGTTCAAAGCGGCCTACCGAAATACGTTTTGAGCAGTTTTACTGGCCATCCTCACCATCCGACAATGGTAAACTCAAAACCGGATGAACTTCGAGAAACGGAGTCGAAAAGAGTTAAAGTGTATATCCTGGAGGAAAACGAGTGGAAAGACACTGGAACTGGGTTTTGTGTGGGTAAAGTAAATGGAGCAGACAATGACAAGGCCTTAAACGGCAAACACTCCGATTTTCATCGGGATTTAGCCGCTTATTTGGTCGTCAACGATGAAGGAATCCCGGACAAAACGCTCTTACTGTCGAAATTGGAGGGCAATATCGAGTATCAGCGGCAAGAGGAAACGCTCATAGTCTGGAAGGACCTTTCTGGTCAGGACATCGCACTCAGTTTTGAGGAGAGCACTGGCTGTGACGCGTTGTGTGAGTTCATCATCCAAATTCAGAAAACCACAGAAACCAATATATCTTTGGTCGCGGTACGGTCTAATGATGACGGCTTAGGGTCGGTGCATGAAATCATCACCGGCCCCGTGAATCTACCAAGCAACGAAGTCGATCAGGACGAAAAAGTGCTCATGGATTCGCTAAAGATTCTCAACGAAAATACTGCCTTCGAATACCTAAGATGTGAGACCATGGAGTTCGTGCTCAAAAACAGCTATATTGCCACACTTATTCAGGTGTTTGATAAAGCGGAATCCAAACACGCTCTTCGAAAATTGCTGCTCCTCAGTAACATAGTAAAGACTCTCACGTTGTACAACCACAGAGATATACTAGAACAAATGGTCGACGACGACCATATTATGGGTATCGTCGGAATCCTAGAGTATGACACTGAGTTTCCACTAAGTAAAGCCAACCACCGCGAGTATCTCCTCCATTCAGGTCCTCATTTCAAGGAAGTTGTCCCTTTGAAGAGTGAAGATATGAAAAGTATTATCAAAAAGACGTACAGACTGCAATTTCTCAAAGACGTGGTGCTAGTTCGATTTTTGGATGATCACAGTTTCAATTTAATTTCCGAAGTAATTCTGGATCTTCAGAATTGCATAATCGATTTCATACAAACAGAACCATTCCTTTCCAGGCTCATGGCACTATTTGCAGAAAAGAATCGAATAGAGAATAAAAGGGATGGTATACGGATGTTACATCAATGCGTCTTGATAACCAAATATCTCGAGCATTCGGAGAAGTCTAAATTTTTCAAAGCTTTGGTAAGGGCGGGCCTTTTCAGAATTTTTGATTATGCATTTGGAGTTGAAACGGATAGTGGAATAAGGATTTTAGCTACGGACATGGTGATTTGCATTATTGAGCACGATATTTTATTGATCAATACGGTTCAAAACGAGTTGTTGAATCAGCACGGAGTGCTGGATCAAGAACAACATCTGCCGAAACGGACTTCGGATACGTCACAGTCTGCACTTTCTTCAGATGTGTCTCTTTTGTCGATATTATCAAAGATTCTTTTGACCGACAAAAATTTGGGGTTGAAAGAGCAGGTTGTACAGGCATTAAATACCCTTCTTCATCCTGAAGGTTGTATGGGTATAGATTCTGATTATAACGATACCGGAAATATGGACATTGTAATGAATTTGAGCGACGGGCGTGGAAACGGAATTACAAACGAAGCACTTATGGATAATGTCAGCTTCCAAATGACGGAGTATTTCAATAATTTCTACAGCCAAGTTGCACCACTCCTGTTCGCGCCTCTTATAAACGATTCGTTTGGCAATACTGATGATGATATTTTACTAATTTACTTGGTGAAATTAGTGAGTTTTATTGCAACCGAGCATAACCGACGGATATCGCGGGAGTTTATCTTGGAAAATGATATCCTCGTAAACATTTCTAAGCTTATAGCGCCACGTCATATGCTACAACTACGACTAACAGTTGTGAGATGCTTGAAAGGGATTGTGTGCCTCAACGATGAATATTACCACAGGTACTTAATATCCGAAAATCTCTACGAGCCTATATTCGGGTTATTGCGTGAAAATATTCATGAAGACAATTTGGCAAACTCTTGTCTATTGGATTTTTTCAGAACGGTTTCCTCACAATGCCTGCAGGCTCAAGAACTCCAATCTACAGACAAAAAGAATTTTATTATTCTCAATAAACACCTGGTAAAGAAATACAGAGATGATCTGATTGCGATTGATTATGTGCCTTTTACTCAGGAAATGATCCGGATATATGATGAAGTAGAAGGCACCAATACTTTGACTAAAACTGAAACCCAGATAACGTTTAATAGCGAGGGAAAAAGGACGTTCGCGGAGCTGTCGGAGGCCAAAATCACTTCAAAAGAGAATAACGGTGAAGAAACATTGACTTTCAAAAGAGCTATGGAGAAACTAACTACTGCGCAGCCACCGAAGTCCATCAAGAAAGATTTTCTCAGTAATGAAAGTTAAGAGTTAGTGCTTTTGTGCATATATGTAATTATAATTTAGCATTTTCCTCAGACAGTAAATTTTGAGGATACATTTCGCGACCAAAATGAGTCCCAAGATGCCACATGCCACCATCAACAATATGCACGGTACCTGTTACATATTTCGCCGCATCCGAGAACAAGAACACTGTGGTTTCAGCGATGTCTTTGGTTGTTCCTAGGCGTTGCAATGGGATTTTGGAGCACATTTTTTCTTTATTCGCAGAACCGGAAAGTCTTGCCATACCTTCCGTGCCTTCGATGGCACCGGGGGCGATACAATTGCTCCTTATTCCAGATACTCCCAACTCTACTGCAAGTGCGTTAGAGAGAGCGTCGATTCCCGCTTTAGCGGCACCGACATGGCATTGGAAAGGCACACCGTAATAATGGAATGTTGCGGAAACGAAAAGGATGGAACCTTTACTGATTTTCAATTGCGGATGGCAAGCTTTGGCGGTGTTAAAACTTCCCAACAGATCAATTGAGACCACAGATTTGAAAGCGTTGGCCGAAAGATCTGCGAAGGGTGCAATAAAATTGCCAGCTGCCCCAGCGATCACAAAGTCAATTCTGCCAAACTTCTCAACTGTGGCCGCTACGGCGCGCTCTAGTTGGTCAAATTCTCGAACGTCAACTCCGGAAACGGGCAAAACCGAATCTGGACTTCCTGTTAGCTGTGTCATTTCTCTAGCGGCAAGCTCGGTCTTTTCTTTGTTACGACCCACGATTGCTGCTTTGCAGCCTAGTAAAAGCAGAGCCTCTGTCTGAACACGACAAATAGTGCCGGCTCCCCCTGTGACAAATGCGACCTTGCCCTTGAAAATGTCAGGCTTCCAGGGGCCTTCAGTTACGAATGTGTCATCTAGAGTATTTGGCATTATTCCTCGGGCTATATATTAGATACGTTGGCCTATAACCAATGATTTTGTGTGATTAGAAGATGCTGTAATAGCAGCAGTGTACCGATTATTGTTTGGAACCAGAACTTAGAACAAATACGGAGCAGTTGAACTACTTCTGATTGTTTTTGGTCGTCTTCGGCTTCAATTTAACCTTTGTCTCCTCGGTCAGTAATTTAATTATCTTCCCCGCATTAGTTTCAGAGTATACTTAACCATAATTAACGACATGATGACAGAATTGTATGAGGTGATGACAGAACCGGCTGGGGATGTATCCAGTTGTTTTGAGTATGTATGTAGCACATAGTCGGTAGCACACCAGCATAGCAGCTGTCACTCTGTCCCTGTATCGGTGATTTTGCGCACAACTGGTCGGAAAAAAAATACTCGGGTCCTGATTCAAGCTCGGGCATTTGGCCATGGGGCTATTCTGTTTATATTCGTTTGAGCTGTGGAAGCCTTCGAACGGTATGCCTCATAGCCTGCTTTCGAGTGTTCTTGTGATGTTTTGGCCCGCCACAGATTGCTGGCGAGAATTCTTACTTTACTGCCTTATCCGAACTATTAGGGCTTGTGCCATTTTACTGGCGGGGTGGCCGATAGATAGATGACGATAATAGAGGCTACTGAGCCTCCGTTTGAGCAAGTGGGTTATTCATGCTTTTGGCGCTCTTTGCAGAACTTGCGCTGTCAGCTAGCGTTTTTTTTTAGGAGTATCCCGATAGCGTCACCAGTCCCAGTGAATCCAACTAAATTTTCACATAGGCCAAGCTACGATCTCAGCGTCGCTGCGACATCCCTTGCGCGTAGTCGTTGGCGTCTCATATATAGTTTGTCACTTGGTACTACTGTGACGCGAGAAAGTTTTTTGACATATTCTGATACGATAAAGTCGGCCTATAATAGCACATTGATCGAACCGTCTCATTGACAGTCGTTTCCAGACTATGCCACAACTGTTTCGCGGGATTGTTCAGCTCCATGCCAAAGTTGGAAACAAATAGCATTATATACGTTGTTTCGTGTGTAGTGCTTAATGGTGGAACTACAAACAGGAAATAACTTGTCTTGCTCCTCCAGCCAAAAACAAGTGAATCAACCAACTTGCTTTGCTTGGATTCGCGCTCACGTTTACTGCAATATGTCCGAGCAATGGAAAGTGAATCCGGACAATAGAAGACGTCTTCTGCAACTGCAGAAGATCGGCGGAAACAAAAAATGTGTGGACTGTGGAGCTCCTAATCCGCAATGGGCGTCTCCCAAATTTGGGGCTTTTATCTGTTTGGAGTGCGCGGGAATCCACAGAGGTTTGGGGGTGCACATCTCATTCGTGCGGTCGATCACCATGGACCAATTCAAGCCTGAAGAACTCGAGCGTATGGAGAAAGGTGGTAACGAACCTTTCAACTCGTACCTGGCCTCGCACGGCGTGGACGCCAAGCTTCCGCAAAAGACCAAGTACAACAACCCGATAGCAGCCGACTACAAGGACAAACTCACCGCTGCTGTTGAGGGAACCGAATGGGAGGAGCCAGAACATCCAGAATTTGACCCCGAGTCTTTAACGGCTTCTGGTGACGCTTTCAAATCGAGCCACACGTCGCATGAATCGTCGCCAGCTGCGGCTACTTTGAGCGATTCGGCCGTATTAGAATCTCGCAAAAGCACCCCCCAGGTAGCGGATTCGAAGCGCGAGAAGAACGAGGCCTACTTCGCCAGTTTGGGCAAGAAAAACTCGTCGAAGTCCGACTCTCTACCTCCATCCCAAGGTGGAAAATATCAAGGTTTTGGCAATTCTCCAGTAAACCCACAACAAAAGGATCTGGACGGATCCATGGCTACCTTGTCCCTTGGGAATCTGCAAAAAGACCCATTGGGAACCTTCAGTAAGGGCTGGAGTTTGTTCTCCAGTGCAGTATCCAAGCACGTCGAAGATGTCAATGATTCGGTGATTAAGCCAGGAGTCCAGCAGATACAGGGCAAAGACTTGTCAGAAGAGACCAAACGAGCTGCTGCACAGTTTGGTCAAAAATTCCACGAAACGTCGAATTACGGTTACCAAGCATTTTCAAATTTCACTAAGAATCTACAAGAACAATATCAACACGGTTTTCAACAGGAGCCTGCAACCGAGAGCCAGTTTTCAAAGCTTTTCGACAGCGTGGGCGAAGAACACGAAGCTGCGATTAGCGCTCAAAAATCTAAAAAGTCCGAAGAAGACGAGTGGGATGAATTTTGACGACTAAAAGTATAACTAAAGCAATAGGTGCGAAGAAAGGAGGATATTCTTAGGTACTGCATCATGCATTAATTTTTTATATTTAAGTAACACTTCTACGATTTCAGGATTTGAAACTCAATTATATACGCATCGAAGTAAAATGGGTGTTTAAGCATTTAAAGGTCACGATTGTTAGCTTTAAAGACTATTACAAGCTTTATGTGGAGAGGGGCGGGGAGGATTCTAGTAACTGTCGCTGAATAGCTTCCTTCGCTTGCACAGTGGTGTCAAAAAGTTGAGATCTTTCGTGAATAGTGCTATCACCAACTTTCACTATTCAAGAGAACCTTTAAGTTCAAGCTGGATCGTTTTCATTTACCTAGATCAATAATCAGGTCGATGGCAGCATTGTTTCTTAACAGTGTTCCGCGAGAACTACGAGAAAAGATCGAGCAAGTGTGCTTTTCAAATCCCCTGGCTCTCGATGTCTTTGAGGAGCTTTACCAGTATACAAGAGATACTATAGAAGTTAGGAAAAAGACCAAAAGCGAATCAGTCAACTCTGAAGTGCTTGAAGATTCGGTAATATTTCAATTGAAAGATGTCTCAGTTCTTACGCCATTTCGCAAAAAGTTGAATCTAGTAATATCAGTGTCACCAGTTACTGGAAAACCTACTCTTTCGTTATCCAAAGATATGACACCTCAATTAACTATATCAGAACTCAACAAGGGCGTCAAGTTTGCAACATTTCTGCCGTTTCCCGAAAAAGCTAATGTGGTATACCTATTCATATGTTACAATCAAGGCCCGGAACCCAATGAAAATGAGTTTGTACTAGTGACTATGAACAAAGATGTGACCTTAAAGCAATTCGTAACCTCTGGCCTTTTGACTAGTGAAGTGAACGATTTCTCTTACTGCATTGATTATATTAGGAAGCAAGCTATATTAGTTGGGTTTCGCATATCCGATCCATTTTCTGTCTCTACCTCGGGGCCTAAATCATTCCATGTCGAAGCTCATCGGGGAACAAAAGAAGGTACACTCTATTTCTTACCAGATCATGTCTTATTTGGATTCAAAAAGCCCATATTACTATTTTCATCGCAAGAAATTGAGTCCATTACTTATTCATCTATTACGAGATTAACGTTCAATGTAACTCTAATCACAAAAAATGGCGACAAGTTTGAGTTTTCAATGATTGACCAAAATGAATTTACTCTAATCGATGACTACGTAAAGAGAAAGCAAGTCATTGATAATTCAATGAGTGAGGAAAATAAAGCAAAAACCGCCCACAAAGATCAGAATGCAGCCGAGCACTCCTCATTACTAGCGGAAGCCGCTCAACAGCTAAAAGGCGAGGGACAAGTAAGCGAAATTCCATTAGAGTCTGATGATGAAGAGGCCGATGTCGATTTCGAAGGCGATAGCAACCTATCTGACGGCAGCGATATGGTATCAAATTCAGAAGACGACGAAGATGAAATGGAAAACGAAGGCTCAGATGAAGATGAAGAAGAACAAGACGAGGGGGAAGACAGAGAGGATAATGGAGGAAGCGAGAATGCAAAAAAAGTTCAAAAAAACGACCCCAACGTAGAAGATGAAGATGAAGATGACCAACAATACGCCTTGCCCCAGGGAATGGAGAACACCTTTGGAGCTAACGATTTTGACGAATTAACGCATAGTATTCCGCTTACAATGGATAATGAAGACGAAGAGGAAGACGACGATTCGGGAGTTGAATACGATTAAACGTGTGCAAGACAATATCATTGTCTGCTTATTCCCCGCTGTATAAAATAATATCATTTATTAGTTATTCTTCCAAGACATAATTTCCAAGGCTGTCTACTTTCAAGTTGGCGACTCCGCTTGAAAGAGCTTCCACTATTCTCTCGTTCTCTTTTTCCAAGTCTTCTTCTTCTCCAGACTCTTCTTCTTCTTCATCTTCTTCAGAGTAATCAGAGTAGTCAGAAAAGTCAGAAGGCCCGTCCATAGATTCGAGTTCGTTATCGTCCATTTGCTCTTCAATGTTTTCGCTTTGGTCTTTTCTCATTTGCTCTGCAGCCTCTTCCCATCTTCTGTCACCAGGATGCTTCTTGCTAAAACCCGACGCCTGCACCAGTTCGTCCAAATTGTCGCACCTAGTTACATCCCTATTGAAGTCTGGGTATGCATACTTGTAGCCCTCACCATAACCGTCGACGTCCAACATTGATTCATCAACATGTGGGACATACTTTAGCTTTTTCTCGAAAAACTTGCGTATACAGTCAACATCCCTTTTGAAGTAATACTCCGCATCTTGATGCTGAATAGATACACATTGGGGGAAGTCAATCACGATAAAGCCGCAATCATCAGAATCGGTCACCTCATCCTTGATCATGATGTTGAACTCGTTGTAATCACAATGAATTAGACCGTGATTGGCAAGTTTTACGATGAACTTCATGAGGTCACTGTAAAGCTTTGGTAGATTCTTATGCTTGCGCATTCTTCTCATTGGATAGCCATTGATGAGTTCCATCAAAATCATATGACGAGAGTTGTCGAAAGGCTCCGGCACTGTGAAACCTTTGGAATGCAAGAGGGACATAAACTGATACTCTTTGTTGGCCGCTAAAAGCGACAGGAACATCCAATTCCCGGTTTGGTTGCGTTTGAGATAGTCACGATTGTTCTTGACAGTCGTAAATGAAGTGCGCCCCAGACGGTGAATTTTCAAAACCCTGGGAGTGCCGTCCTTGGCACTCACACGGTAAACATCCGATTCTTTACCTACACCAATCACATTTCCGATGGAATAAATGGTATCTCTGTTGAGCATGGCTTTCAAGCCCAGGTAGTCGAACCCGTTGTATGTTAGCCTGAACCCGTCGTATTTTATGTTTCTCATTCTAGAGACTAGTTTGAGTTTTGCTAAATCACCAATAGATCTGTTTGTGCCCGATGCTGATCTCATCCCCGAGATCTGATGGATTGTAGTGGTGGGAACCACTTCGTGGTTTCTGGAGCCCTGTTCCACTGCCTGCAAGACGCGGAAATCATCAGGCGTCATATAACGCATATTGCTAGTATCGAGTTTCATGTTTGCGGTCTTTAAACAAGCTAGATGGACGTTTCAAAGTGTGTTACTCAGTTTAGGTTTTTACCGATATCGAGCTCATCTCGATGCGATGAGCCAAAATTTTTTAAAGCATTTATTTCTACTAGATAATTAACAGGAAAGTTGCACGTGAGGGCGGAACCTTACTGGATTCCCGTCCCTTCCCAAAGCACAACCTGCAACCTTCTGAAGGAGCCGGTGACTAGCAAAGCGATTGAACAAAGCTCTGCGAGGTTCTTGTGCTCTTACCAAAAATACTGTTAATTTCGAATAATATTCAAGTGGCTTTACAAGATAGAAAAAACCGTTTGGGAAGCGGGTCTTCGTTCTTCTCACCACTGGCACACGCTACGTGGTAGATTTGCGAGACTCTGTATGATGGCGTAGCTTTGAACTATCAATGGGTAAAATTATATATTATATAGATCATAAAGTGGTAATTTCAAGTCCTGGCGTATGTAGCACATAGTATCGGGAGGTTGTTGGCCAGGTGGACTTGAATTCGTAGGCAGGGTGCTGGGTGCTGGGAGCTCTCAGACATCGGATGCTTTCTGACAGCTCCTTGCAAATCAGTAATAAGGGGGGTGGTCGTACCTGGCATATCGTGGATCGTAGGGTGCAGGACCAGGGTAGTTCATGAATTCTCTTGGATACCCAAACTGTTCATGTTGAGGGAAGTATGGACCTGGGTCATGGCGACGACCGTGTCGGTCGCCGTGCCGGTCACCGTGACGTCCACCATGACGGCCACCGTGACAGTGTGGGCCCCGTTCTCGATCTGAAAACGGGAAGGACCTATCCAAGAGCGCCCCACCGAACCCTGGAGCGCCGGAAAAGCGATCAAAGAATGGGTTGGCGGCGTGTTCGTGATGGTGCACATGGTGCACAACATGGGGCGTGTCTCTTCTGGCACCGCGATTTCCGCGACCCCATCCACGGAATGCATCGCGCCATCCGCCATGCACTCCACCACACATCCTGTCTCTGTACCTGTCTTCGAATTGGTCGTGCAAGCCTCGACGGTGATACCCACGCTCAAATTCCGTTTGAGGGTGCTCATGCTCGAATCTTCCATGGTGGTTTCTGTCATTCAAACCAGGAGCGGGAAATCTGGAATGGCGAGGAGTCTGTGATTGAAAGCCAGCATCTGGCCCGCCTTTGGAAAACGTAGTGCCATTTGCACCTCCGTTTTCAATTCTCAGCTTTTCTTTCATATCGCGCGAAATCTCATCTGCGTCAGACACATATTCTGGACTGTCCATGTTGGGTGGTAATTGCATATGAATCAAGCTATTTGAAAAACTACTGCTGCTGAGTCTGACATTGCTGCCGACATCTCTTGAGATTATTGGGATACTTATACGTTTTAGATTCGAGGTCAAAGCTGCCCACTTTGCGTTGCCATAGGTCCAATATTCATAATCCTAGTTCAACTCCGTCCAAATTCGTTTATCGACGCGCATATTCGGCCTTTGATATTGCGCAAGGCGATCGCTCCTCAAATCCCGAAAGCATAGAACCGGGTATCGTGCAATTCGTCAAGAAACAAGCCTCATGATCCCTTATAGAAGCTAGGCAATTCTTTTTCAGCCTCAGCGAAGGGCTTAGAATAGGCACGAAAAATAGGCTGTGAGTAGTAATTTGCATCAGCAGACGTGTTCAGGGCTTGAGAGGAATTTTGGGTCTAGACCACTTGAACATGCGATGGCGTAGCGCTTGCTTAGATTGCTGCTTTTGATCGATTTCAACAAGCCCGGAACTGTGCGTTAGCAAGGCGTGATTGAAAAATGTGCCCTGATTGTCAGGGGGATAAGTTCTACGACAAGTGACTTGGGAAACTACGGGACCCTCTTGTGGGCTAGTTGGGGCGGTGTCCTCACGTTAATTGTCGATAACAAGACATTTGTAGTTGGTGTTGTTTTCTGAGAGCGTATTCATTGTGGCGACAAAGCAGTACAAAGTGATATGGCGACATTAAGCTCACCAAGCAACACTTTATTCGACCCACTGTTATATTGTCCAGCTCTCTAGCGCAATAATAGTGCTTTTTGTACATTACTTATATGGGCGAAAAAGCTAAAAACCTATCCATATTTAAGACTAGATACACAGGTGGACGTTGATGAATCATTAAGATATGATTTTGGTTAAAATTGTTAATAAAAAATGCATCTCAATTTTTGTTCAAAAATCCTTAACGAGTGGCCATGGCCTTGGTCACAACTCTCTTCAAGCCGACTTCAGCCTTTCTCAAGTCGTCAGCGGAGGAGTCCTCGATTTCCAAAGCAGCCATGGCATCGGACAAAGCAGCCTCGATCTTAGACTTGTTGTTTCTCTTCATCTTGGAAGACAAGATTGGGTCAGTGACGGTTTGCTCGATGGAAGCAACGTAAGATTCCAATCTTTGTCTGGCTTCGTGCTTCTTGGCGAAAGCATCGTCAGCAGCCTTGAACTCTTCGGCTTGGTTAACCATCTTCTCGATTTCGTCGGAAGACAATCTACCAACAGCGTTGGAGATGGTGATGTTGGCGGTCTTACCGGTAGATTTCTCAACGGCGGTGACCTTCAAGATACCGTTGGCATCAACTTCGAAGATGGCCTCCAAGACTGGTTCACCAGCTGGCAAAGGTGGGATTCCCTTCAAGTCGAATTCACCCAACAAGGTGTTTTCGCTACAGTTGACACGTTCACCTTGGTAAACTGGGAATTGCACAGTGGTTTGGTGGTCGGCAACAGTAGTGAAAGTTCTTCTCTTGATAGTTGGGACAGTGGTGTTTCTTGGGACAACTGGAGCAAAGACGTTACCTTGCATGGCGACACCCAAAGACAATGGGGCGACATCCAACAACAACAAGTCCTTGGTGTCCTCAGAAGTGGATTGACCAGTCAAGATAGCACCTTGAACAGCGGCACCGTAAGCGACGGCTTCATCTGGGTTAATAGATTTCTCCAATTGCTTACCTTCAAAGAAGTCAGATAGCAACTTTTGGACCTTTGGAATTCTGGTAGAACCACCAACCAAAACAACTTCGTCGATTTGGGACTTGGCGATCTTAGCATCCTTCAACACTTGTTCAACTGGTTCCAAAGTGGACTTGAACATAGCGGCGTTGATGTCTTCGAATCTGGCTCTGGTGATAGAGGTTTCGAAGTCCTCACCATCGAACAAAGAGTCGACTTCGACGGTGGTTTGAGTGACAGAGGACAAAGTTCTCTTAGCTCTTTCGGCGGCAGTTCTCAATCTTCTCAAAGCTCTGGCGTCGTTGGAGATGTCCAAACCGGTCTTCTTCTTGAATTCAGCCTTGAAGTGGTCCAACATGTTGGTGTCGAAATCTTGACCACCCAAGTGAGTGTTACCGGAGGTAGACTTGACGGTGTAGACACCACCAGCGATGTGTAGCAAAGAAACATCGAAAGTACCACCACCCAAATCGAAGATCAAGACGTGTCTTTCTTTGTCAGACTTACCGGCACCCAAACCGTAAGCAATAGCAGCGGCAGTAGGTTCGTTGATGATACGTAGAACGTTCAAGCCAGAGATGGCACCAGCATCCTTGGTAGCTTGTCTCTGAGCGTCGTTAAAGTAGGCTGGGACAGTGATGACGGCCTTTTCAACCTTCTTACCGATCTTGGCTTCGGCGGTTTCCTTCATCTTGGTCAAGACCATGGAGGAGATCTCTTGAGGAGAGAAAGTCTTGGTTTCACCCAAGTATTCGACCTCGATGACTGGAGCATCGTTGACGTCGATGACCTTGAATGGCCAGCTCTTCATGTCACTCTGAACAGATTCATCGTCAAATCTTCTACCAATCAAACGCTTGGCGTCGAAGACGGTGTTTCTTGGGTTCAAAGCGGCCTGGTTCTTGGCGGCATCACCGATCAATCTCTCTTCTGGAGTGAAAGCAACGAACGATGGGGTAACTCTGTTACCTTGTTCGTTGGCGATAATCTCGACAGACGACTCGTAGGTCGCAACACAAGAGTAGGTAGTACCTAAATCGATACCGACAGCACCTGGGAAAACACCTTCAGCCATTGTTGTGTGAGGATTGAGCTTGTATGTGCGAGGCAAAAGTTCAAAAGCAGGAAAACTCAGAAAAAGAGAGAGAAAAGGTAAAGTACCAATAGTTAATGCAAAGTTTTATAACACGATTGAAAATTTTTCAGATTTTTTGTCAAAATTTTTCACAATTTTCACCACGCTCATCGTATGCTGTCCTCCGATGGCCTTCGCTTTTCTTTTGTCAACCGCGCCGTGATGAGTTAGACTACCAATACTGCGTCTCACAGGACGAAAGCGTGCGTTGTGCGGCCCAGGCCGTTCGCACTAGCGTGCTGTAGTATTCGCAGAGGCCATCTAAGACAATGAAATCTTGCGCACCTGACCGGGATATCTAACTGTGACACTTCATTGCACGCTTGCATTGACGATAGTTATCGTTTTCAGCGTCAGCGCTTAGACTTGCAGTTCGCATGTAGATGCTTTAACATGCGAAAGTTGAGAAACCATAAGCCGTAACTCCCGAAGCTTTCAAAGCTAGTGGTATTTCATAGTGGAACAGAGCTGTAGCACACACGTCTGACAAATGCAGCAATAGCTAGCCATTTTAGGCTAATGAACAATATTCAAAAGTTTGTTAGCCTTGCAATTCAGAAGTTTGCTAGCCTTTAAACATAAATAGGATCTCATCTCACGCTTTGCATACGGTAGGCAGATAATTGACTATCAATGAGACAAACTGCTTTTGTTACGGCCTCAATACTTCCGGTAATGCTCAATTGCTGACCAATGGAGGTTGGATTGTTCAGCTGGCCCACTGTCAATCGCAGTGCTATCGGTAATACCTTAACAGTTGCTCCCGATTGTTGTCTAAGTTCCTGTATCTTGGAGCCTTGACGTCCTATGAGGAAAGTAACCTCTGGCTTGTTGAGCGTCAACGTGTGCGTAATGACATTTGATTTTCGGGGCATGTACACTATGTGCTGGGTCCTTTGAACCTCTAGCATAGCACTCGGCGTTATCAGCCTAAGTGGTTTTTGAGGACATCGATAAAAACTGTTGTTGGCTAATTTCTGCAGATCCGCGAAAACTAACATGGGGTCTGCTCCATTTATAGTCACTGAACGAGAGTTCAGTTCCAAAATAACCGCCTGTAGCTGCACAGTCCCGGTGCGGATTTGATGCACCAATTCTCGGGACAAAAGCATGCATGCAGTCCTTGGACACAACGCTTGCAGAATGGCAGTATCCAGAGGGCATTCGACCATAACTGAGTGGTAAGAGTCGCTGGAAATTACAAGTCCCGTTGAGTGGTCACTTCCGAACACTTCAAGCGCGGCGGTGACCTCGTTTTCCACGAATGTACGGATTTGAAGCCTTGAAACCAAGAGTTTCACCCGTAAGGTCTCCAGAGACCTCAATCGGGGCACTCGCATACTGACACAGTCTGCGGTGCCCTGAAAAACCAATTCAAGCTGCTCCATGAGAGCCTTGTTTGTCTCGAGCTCGAAATCGCCATTTAGAGAACCGCTGTGTAGAAAATCTTGAACCTGTAAATGTGCATCTGAGCTCCTCGGCGTATATTCGTCACCTTCTTGAACTTCTTGCCACGATCCCACTGGATTCTTCAAATCGCCATAGGATGCCGTTTTATCATTCGAAATCGCTTCCATTTGTATTTGATTTACGCGTTTTGAAACTTCGGCGGCTAAATTAGTTTATTTATCGACGCGCTAGAAACGGCAAACGAAATGGCACGATTATTGAAAAACTCTGGCTTTCCAAACCTTCAAACTCTGGGGTGTTACTCGTTTATATAAAAGTTTTCAATGCTATACTACACAATGTTTGCACCTGTGTATTCATTTTCTTTTGTACAAGGACTATTTGTTTTAAGTTCAGTAACAGAATAATATGAAATCCAGCTTCAATTCTGTAACATCACACATCACGATAGCTTAAATACGTGATTCGCAGCGTGATAAATGAACAAATATTGATCAACCGCCTGGACCATTTTGAGACGCTGCGATCGCAACTGGAGAACGATCTGCTCAACCAGATCATGCTGGTAGCCTTGGACTGCTTGTGGCTGCGTAAAATCGCGGGTATCGTGGAATAAATGGTCGAGCGTTATGAACGTGCCGGTCCGACCCACACCTGCAGAACAGTGCACGATCATTGGGTTTTCGGTAGAGTTGAGACTGTGGGAGTGTTTGGAAAGCTTCAAAATAGGAATGATCTCGTCGGGCTTTGACATGTCGCGCCATTGATCGAAATAGAAATGGTGCACAGTTTTAGGCGGAAAACGCGGATCAGACGGTACTATTTTCAGCGTCGTGAGCGTGTAGTCATTAACACGCTCCTGGCCAACGTAGCGGACTTCAAAGCCTGTTTCAAAGACCGAGTCCTCGTCTGGAGATTCTGGCACTGTGACAAAGGATCCTGAATTCCTGGGCCAGTACTCAAAGCACTTTTGTCTTCGCTGTTCCACCAGCGGTGTGACCATAACAATTGTTATGTCGTCCCCGGGACATTGCTGGTAACACATCTGCCAAAAATGCAGGTACGAGCTCTCCGTGGGTCCTTGTGTCGCGATATAATAGCCCGGCCGTAAAGACTGAATGGGGACCTGGATTTTGACGTACGACGCGTTCACATAGTCATTGCCAGCTTTGACCCGTAGTTTCACTCGGTTGCGTTCATACGGCATTATGTTCACGTACCTATTGCGATTGTTGTTGGCATGCTCTACGGAAACTCCTAAACTCCATTTTGAAGTTTCAGGGTTTATAGTTGCATCTCGGAGCCTCAGGTCTTCTTGATGCTGGATGTACTGGAATTTACTCAGTATCTCTTGCTGTTTTTGATTCAGATACCACGGTAAAGTCTTTGAAACCATAAAGGGTGTTGTGGGTTTCTACTTTTCTGTGTTATCATCATGTATCTCGAATGGACATCAAGTGATATTTAAATACCTTACCACTTTGAAAATTGGAATTTGAAAAACCACGATGAGTTAGGTAAATATCGGCGACTTACCCATCAAGTTGCATTTTGTAAGCAATTTCGTGAAGCCATGGGTGATCCCAAAATATCTACGGGGTCGTACACGCAAAAGTCGTTCTTGTCGTTGAGAGATGGGGGTTCAGGAAGACATAAGTTAGGATCTCCCTCTTCTCGGACATCTTTGTCGCAACTGCAGCTGAATTTACTTGCTGACGGGAAACACTGGGAGTTTTTAGATGATTACGGGCTCGAAGAGCTAAGGGATGGGTTTTTTGATCCGATCTTCACAGAACACAAACCTCTCCTGTCACAAGAGTCCGACGACAACGCCGATGACACTATCAAACAACATCCAACAGATTCGCCTTCGATGCTGTCCCAACAATGGCACAGGAACCAGTGGAATAAATTAATAGAGTGCTGGCAACCTATGTTCAAATTCTGGGTTGCGTTTTTCGCTGCGTTCTGCATATGCCTGGTACGTCCAGCAGGTTCCTGGATCGGACATAGCCATCGTTATTTTTTACCGCTAGCAGTTTTAATACACCATCCAGCACGAAATGTGGGAGTGCAACTCGAGATTTGCGTCTGGTCGATTATAGGTGCAGCTTTTGGTATGGGCTGGTCAAGTCTTGCCTGGTACGTTTCTGTGGCAACGAAGCCCACTGCAAGCCACCAAGGAGGTATTCTCTTTGCTAGCTTGTTCATTGCGGTGTATTTGTCCTCATGGCTTATAGCTTCCAATCAAAGACTGCTATATCTTGCGTTGTCATATGGCATCGCAGTTACGTTTTTCCACACAGTTAGCTTAGTCGATAACAAAGCGTTGCTGCAATGGAATCTATATTGGGATTTTGGAATCTCATACCTTTTTGGACTTGTACTCTCCTTTTTGGTGTGTGTCATTGTCTTCCCACACTCGGGCCAATCTGAAGTAGTTGGAAAGTTTTCCATTTCTGTAAGTGCCATCAAAGAGCTTTTAGTCAAGTTTCTCGAGTTAGATGAATGCTCAAACTTGGACGAGCTTCATAAACTGAAAAAGAAAATTGGACGGACTATCGACTTCGATGTATCTGAGGGTGTGCGTGAATTTTTAAATCAAATTACTGTTACCAAAATTGATGAGAAATCGTTACTGGAATTCCGCAATAACATAACAAATGCTGCGGCTCCGCTGCGCTCTCTTCCTACTGACCACAAACTTGTCACTAAGTTAGAGCTTGAGAAATTTTACGCGGAGTGTCAAAACAAATATCGTGAAGGAAATGTAAACACATCAACAATGGAAACGCCAGTTCCGGTTTCTGGATGCGCTACTCCTCTTCCTAGGACTGGCAACTTTCCAAATGCCAATGAATTAACGGAGAAGGAAATGTACATTAGCGTGCTAAGATCAACTTTTTCGAAAGAAATAATATCATTAATAGTGGAGATGATTGGTCTTTTAGAGTGCATTGAGTTAGCTCTCAGACAGATAGGTCACGCTAAACTCTCCTCTCAAAACAGACCAGAAGTCAACCAAGCACTAAACGCTCATGTGAATAGACTACTACACAAAATTCGCAAACTTGATCAATCTTATAAGAAGTTCACCAAGTCAAACTTCTTTTGTAAAGAAATGCTTTCAGATCCTCAATCTATTGATTCTTTTCTATTTTTGAGATATGTGAGACAGAGCGCAAAGTATCTTATTTCCATTGCTTCCTGCACCATAGAAATCAGCTCTAAGCTACATTGGCAAATAACGCTCCCCCATTATTCGCTGCGGCGAGCACTTAAGCGGCTTCCGTACGAATGTAGCGTTGATCAAGGTGCAAAAACTCTTCTGCACTACTTTCAGACCAAATCTGATGTAGATGACGTTTTTGAAGAGCTGTACAACAGTTACACTTCGAGACATGAGACTTTTACCAAAAATGAAACAGAAAAAAATAAAGTTCGCACAACTGTTAGAGCTGTCGATCATAAAGACTTCAGCCTTCACACAACCAGCGATCCACTACGCTACAAGCTGTGGCTTTGGAGCTCTGAAATTACCTCAAATGAAAGTAAATGGGCACTTAAGATAGCTGCTGTTATGACTTTCTTGGCGCTACCAAGCTGGTTGCCAGAATCCTATCATTGGTATCAAGAATACCAATGTTGGTGGGCTCCGCTGTCATTTTTCATTCTCGTTAACCGGAGAAACACAGGTAATTGGGCTTCTTTTAACAGAAGACTTGCATGCACATTGCTTGGCATTTTTTGGGGCTGGTGCGCCAATCAGGCCCGACATTTTGGAAGCCCATACGTGATTGCCACGTTTGCCTCCATATTCTGTGCATTCGTTTCTTACAACTTTTTTGCCAACAAGAATCGGAAGTCCAGTTTTACCGGCTTCATGTGCTTTACTGTCATTGCTTTAGAGGGTTATAGTAAAGGAGAGTCCCAAATGAGTCAAGCTCTAATTTGGAAGAATACTTGGGTCACTGGCGTTGCTCTGTTGTGTGGTATTTTACCATCAATTCCTATCAATTGGGTACTTTGGTCGTTCACCGCTCGCCAAGAGTTCCGCGCTTCGATTGCATTCCTTCTAGCACATATAGGCCAATCGTATCAGAGTGTCACGGACAGATATCTATACAGGGATGCAGACGATGCACCTACGGAATTAACACTAAAATTTTCTAATATTCGGGAAGTGCGGATGTCTCAAAGTTTAATCGGTGTTCGGGAAATGCTCCGCAAAGCTCGCACTGAGCCGAACTACATATTTGTCTTCAAAGCAGACAAATACCAACACTTATTGGACGAATGTGAGATTCTCCTCGAGAAGATGATAGAGGCTAGAATCTCAGGCCAGCATTTTGAGGTGTGGGAAAATGATAATGACAGCGGTATCACAAGAGCCTTGCTGTCACTGCGTCGTGATAGTGTCGCTTCTGTGATCTTTGTGCTTTATATGCTTTCCAACTGCTTCACATCTAAACACAAGATCCCTACGTATCTTCCGAACTCCATTATGTCCAGAAAGAAACTCTTTGATTTTATATCAAAGTTTGACTCAGGCTCAGAGTCACGCTCGTCAACTGCGGTCGGAAGGGCTGAAACCACAAGCAAGGATTTTAAGGCTGACCGTCGCTCCAGTGACTACGATATTTCCCATTGGACTCAAATACACGGCATGGCGTTTGCGCGTGCGTTTACAGACATTAGCGAAGTAGTGCAAAGAATTGTTCAATTAAGTCGAGAAATCCTCGGTGAGGAAACATGCACCTGAGGAACTAAGGTGGAACACTCTACAGTAAATACTAAAGAGAGATTTAAAATTATAGACATCTTTCATATCATTTTAATAACGAAATTGGCTATTTGAATATTTCCCACATTCAGGACTTTTTTGACCACCAGTCACTCTTCCAAAAGCATCTTATAGACATTCGTTGCCCAATTCATCAGCATTGCTGCTGACCTGCGTGGCTTCGAGATTGGCAATTTAAGTAGCCTTCAGGACACTCTTCTTAGTGCTGGAAAATATGGCATGATACACAAGTATCAGGGTGAACATAACAATGCCACACAGTATCGCCAAGGAGTTCAGTTGCTCGTCACTGATCATGCTGCAAGTCCGGATTGTATTTAGTCTGCCGAAATCAACTCAATTAGTCTATAATACACACGTACCAGCATTTTCATCTACTGAGACGTGGAGATAAACCGTCACGTGACTTAACCGTGACACCGTTATTCTAGCAGCGCTGAACTTTTGGTCGTTGCGACTTCCGATTCTTGCACTTGTACATCTTTTCAATAACCAGACTGTACTGAATATTGTCAATTGAAACAAACTTTGGCTTATATTCTTCGCAAGTCCTAATGACTTGGATACCGGTAAATATTGCGCTTTCAACGACATGCGACTAGGAAAGCGCTCCGTCCCAAACGTAGGTCGTTATCTAAGTCAATATGTGGGTCTATACACATCTCAAGTAATCACTCGCAGACGTTATACATCTGGGAATGACTGCTAGAAATCTCAAAATATATTGAGGAAAATACCATAAATGAGCCAAGAGAAACAGCAGAATGTAGCCCAATATGCACCTCTCTTCCTTAGAGTATACCAACGGTATCCTTTGCCCTCACTTATGGTTTCCTCGCACCGAAATTCACCAGATCTACGACGAGCTATGCCAAGCATAATGATGTGGTATCGAGATGACCAAAATTCGCAAACATCAGCACATACTCGAACAATAGGTTACTATGATTGATCTAGGATTTTAAACGATGCTTCATAAATTACTGGTCTCTTCGTGACATTTGCTAACCTAACAATGTAAATAATGGAGTATCCAGGGACATATCCAAATTTCAGTACTATTGTTAGCAGTGAATCATTAAATTGGATATTCGTGGCCATCAACGGCCACAGCGAGCATTTAGTGATTTCTGAAAGATAAGAGAGGCCTTTGCTTTTGAAATTGATTCATTATATCTTCTAGAGTAAGCAGAATATCCAACCCTTAGCCTTAGAAGATGTACACACTTGATTATTAGTGACGTTCTTGTATCATCATGAGACACAACAAAAATAAGCACTTGATCTTCATGATCCAACCTTATATAATATAAATTCATTTAAGTATTTGGCGCATTGTTTAGCCTTAAACAGCAAAGAATAATGCAATAAAGGATGGTGTCATAGGTTGCATAGTAGTGCTAGTAACCGCCAATACCTATATGTCAACTGATTGATTTCCTTGCGAGATTTAAACTACCATGAGCGATTACAAAAGCGAATGCCAGTAAACTAAACATATTAATAGCTCTCTTGACCAAATAGAAATAATTTTAATAACAGCACTGGGACAACTGAAACTACGGCATTGTACGTAATGATGAAGTACTCAATAGCAACTACGTGCCGTCATGAGTGGTAAATACCGAAATTTCGTTTCATTATTGGACGTTGCTCATGATAGTGAATCGTGAAAGCACCAGGTCCTTCTTTCGGCTTCAGGCAGACATAATTATGATGGTGTGTACATTGCCTATGTTGATATCAATTGTGAGATTCTTACCAGATGATCCCCCCTCTCTGTTCTAAAAGGTTTCGGTGATACACAATTTTTCACAGCCCGTGAGTTTTAAGTGATTTAAACACTATTGCATAAACCGATTACTACTCTAATCTAAGTGATGATGTCCAACCCATGAACCAAAAGCAGGCCTTTTCCAAATATGAGAGGCAGCCCGAGAAGCGTCCAGGAACTGCTGTATCAGAAGTTGATGGAGAGCCCTGGCTTTCATCGCTTTGTGCGGAGGATTTATTACAGAATTAACGGACTTCAAGAACCGATGGGTAACGACAGCCTGCCGCATGCAGGTCAAAATTTCAGACCGACGGCGCTTCAGAAGTTCAAGGCGTTTCGTGTTTTGTTCTGGGATGAAATGAGATCTGTTGTAGGCCTGGAAAGAAGGTTTAACAAGCGCTTTTAGCTCTGTTTTAATGTCTTCAATTTGTCCCACTCATCATTTATTATATTATGACTATTTACCTTGTACATATAATGAGACTAGGCCTCTGATTCCTACTTTTACCGTTCAGGAAATGCATCGCTTGCAAACACTACACCCTAGCTTCGTCTTTTCGCAGCTTTATCTGAAAGGTCCAGAAAATCATTCCAATTGCTTTGCTGCTTCATCTCCGCGGAGGGGTTTTTGAACTTATTCTTCTTTGCCATCTTAACGTTGTCTTTGAGGGCTAATATTACGTTTCTATCGGAACCATACCTGAAGTTGTCTTCCATGATTAAGGAATTGTACTTCTTGATAAGGTAGGACATTTTATCACCCCGCAGTACTTTCTTAAGAGACCAAGTTATAGCAAAAGGACCGGTAGAAGTTACTATGGTCTGCTCCTTTTGATTCAAACCTGTATTGAAGAAAGCTTTAGAAAATTTTATTGGTTGGTTGGTGGAGGTCTTCATGTAAGCTGCAGTTTTTGGATGAACCTTAAGCACATGAATCTTGGGCATTTCATCTTTTGAGAATGACTTGACGAATCCAACGTTCCCAGCGTTCTTACCTTCCTTGATTGTTAAGTCGACCAGCAGCAAAGAGGAGTCACAGGTAGCTAATAACCACTTACCGTCAGCAGAAATGCAAATATGCTTAACAGGTTCCCCGAGTGCGGGAATAAGAGTTTTGGCCCGTATACCTAACTTGTCGAAAAGTCTAATCTCACCTCTTTCAGACCCAATAGCTACGTAGCCGTCTTGACTCGTACCCAACGAACTGAAACCGTAGTTTGTAGCATAATCTTTGTTTTCTTCTGAGACTAGTTTGTTTGCACCACTTATTCTCGGATCTAGTCGGAAAATACTCTTCTTTGAAATGCCCAAAAACGTTTGTTCGTTTGTGAGCTGGTCAAATTTCTTGGAATTCGAATACCTCAAAACGTCTTTGTCACCCGCGGAATATTCCTCAACAACCTTTCCTCGTTCGAGGTTCAATTTATAGATTCGGCTCGGATCATTCTTGTTTTGAATAATCATCGCCTGGTCTTCAGTGTATAGCATGGGATTCTCCGGCTCAAAAACTTGGCCCTTCATATTCGAGATTTCATTTATCGCAGTGACAAAATTTAGTTCATTGTTTTCGTCGTCAGTCTTAAAGACTCCAATTTTGTTACCCCTTACAACATAAGAACGATCATTTTTGAATGACACCGTTAGTGACTTGTTACCGGCAAGCGCAGTGGAATTTTTATAGTTTTCTTCAACAGCGTCTTCATCAAAAGAATCGTTAGCATCCCCATCCTCCCCGGCGTCGTCCCCTTCGTCTTCTGAAGAGTCACTGTGGTCACTGCGACTGTCGTCGTCATCGTCGTCGTCTTGCAAAAACAGACTTAGTTCCTTGACAACATCTTTATCGGAGTCAATAATGCAGTTTTGTTCCTTGTTACTGATATCACTCCACTTTCTCTGGTTGAGACCTTCCCACAGGGTTCTTGCCCAGTCCTGTTGGAAAGTCGCAAATGCCTTATCCGTCTTAAATTCGAGCATGTAAGAAAGAGTTATCTTCTCGAGAGTGTAGTTGAAAATGAAGCTCTTAGAAACATTATCAAGGAAAGGGTTCACGAGAGGGGTAACATCAACGGCTAGGTTGACGCATTTACTATCGACCGCTAGCCAATAATCGAACTTCCCATAGTTTAAAATGCAAACTTCACACATTTCATCCTGTAAAATGAACTTCTGCACGCTTGGGTCATAAATGTAAAGGCTAGCCTGCTCTTTGAACACGATCTTGCCATCTTTCTTTAGTTGTTCGTTGTTCTGTTGGGCCAAGGAATGACGGGTACTTCTGGGAGAATTTGGTGCATCTGAAGCATCTTCAAACAATTCGCTGTCTGATTCGCTTTCGCTATCTAAATTGTCTTTCAATGTAAGCGCACCTATGTTTTCTTGTAGTTGCGTGCTTTCAGTGTCTTCCTCTTCGTCATCTAGAGCTTCTTCATCTGTTCCATGCGAGAATTCAAACTGTTTCAGATCTTCACGGACCGCTTTACTAGCAGACTTTTTGTATTTATATTCGTATTCGCACAGATAGGCTGTATGCAAGAAATGCCCCACATCTGTAAATGGAATCTCGGAGTTGACAACGAATTCAAATTTCTCACCAGCATCACCCTTTGTGTTTTTCCAGACAAACGCCATGTCGCCTTGATCACTCCACGATTTGTGAAATTGTATCGACTTGTCCAGATTAAAGCTCCATTCCTCGTCCTTTTTAGATTGTCCTGATAGCACACTTAACCCGTCATCTTCAAAGTCTTCTGTTCCATCACCTGAAGCCAGCTCTGTATCGTCAATTTCCTTCCGAACTACAAGCTCAAACCTGTGGGTTCCACTTTCTCGAATAGCCAGTGTCGCCTCGTTGTACAAACACTCGAGAGTGGCCTTAGGTGAAGTTTTAGGCCTTAACAAGAAAAATTGCCCAGCCGGAATGGATACAAGTTCAGGTTTCGCGCCAGAATCCATAATTTTCTTGATGATATTCATGTCTTGCGGTATGAAAGCTTAAAGGCCACTTGAATGTAGTTGGCTATGTGAAATTCTTCAGCCAAGGGTTCAAATTAATCATTCAACTTTCTTGAAAGATTTCCAAAAAGTGATATAAAGCTCATCGGTCAACTTCGAGAAGTTTAAGACAGGAAAAGACTGTGAAATCAGCCGATTTTAAAACATCAGCGAGTGCTCGACAAGATAAGAGAACGATCCATTCTTTAGAAAAGAAAGGCGTTTTGATTCAAGAATCGGGAACATATATTTGGCAAGAAATTCCGATATCTTGACCTTCTTAAAGAGTGACGTCGGTCTGACCTTTTCAGTGCGGATCGAAGTGTCTTTTAATCGAGTCAAGCAATTAGTCTAGGCTGGCAACTTATTCTTGTACGGAAAGAGCTGGTTTCTGGCACACAAATATGAGATTTGCATGGTCTCAGTGTTTTGGCAACATGCGGCTTAGTTGGTGTCCTGCTCCCAAAAGCCCCACTTCATTAGTACGAAGAAGCTTTCATACCGGAACTCAGGCTATGAAATCAGCCAAAACTGCTAAAGATCTCATCAAACTGGTAAACTCCAGCTCGCTGACTCAGGCGGAAAATTCCGACAAATCGTTGAGACTGAACTCTAAAGCGCCAGCTTGGAAACTCCAGAAGTTAGCATTGAATACCAAATTTGAAGGTCAGCAATGGAGCCCGAAGAAGAAACTTTCGCGAGAGCAAATGGAAAGCATAAGGCTTTTGAAAAACCAATTTCCACAAATGACTGCTAGTCAACTCGGTGAACAGTTTCAAGTTTCTCCAGAGGTGATACGGCGGATTCTAAAATCAAAATGGCAACCTGACGAGTCTGAAGCAGTCAAGATTCAAGAACGATGGAAGCGCAGAAGCGAACGAATCACTCAGATGTTCGAGTCGTCCAGCATAACGGCACCGCCACCAAGAAGACTGGTACTGGGATCAGGGAGATCGAACACTGAAATATTGGTGAAAGGCGTTCGCAAAAACTTCAGGGCTCAAACCGATAAAAAGCCCACACAAGATTCAAGAGCCAAACACAAGCTAAATCTTTTATCCAAACTGATAGATTAATATCAATCATATAGCATTACGTATAATTACAAAGTATTTGTAGCATTTGAAGCAAGCTTCGTACTGAAGACAACTAATTCATTCTTCATAATTACTTTGTGCTGCCGTTAATAATCCATCCTTTCATCTCACGAATGGCTTGTACGCTCTTTCTAGCCATCTCCTCCGGGTCATAATTCCGTACTTCAAGCCCCAAAAGGCATGAATGTAACGATTGAACTTGAAATTTAAGGGGCAGGTACCGATCCTTTGGGGTGTCGTTGTCGTCTGAGCATTCTGGCTCGTTGAACGTGTTTAAAGCTTCACACGCGGACTTCAACCTCGCAGTGACTCTGGACCAGCCAGGTGAGTTATCGCCAAGTGAATTACCAGACGTTGTTTCTTCCGTTTGCGTACATCTGTCAGTAGATGATTTACCAGTGATGGAGTTGGCCCTTTCGTTGTAACCCAAAGCGCTCACTGAAGTCGTTTTCAATCTCGACTCCAGACCATTTATCAGTCCCCGGATTCGCAGCAAACAATCAGCATTCAACTGAAGCCTCTGGTCGCTTTGCGACTGTAACAGAGGTTGTAAAGCGAGCGCTGCTATCACGTACCACAAGCTCACAACGATACCTGCATTGTAGAACAAACTTTGTACAAATATAAATGACTGGTACTTCTTAGCTTGTCTTGCTATACGAGTCTCATCAGGCCAATCAACGAATTCAATTCGTTCGGGTTTGTTCATGCTTGTCCAGTAAGTTGATGTTGAGTCATGATCTTGAAAACGATGGGTACAAAATTCTTTGTTTCTAATGCAAGATATGAGTAAAACGTATGAAAATCCAAACTGAGGAATACTTGACTTTCCTCATTCGTCTCTTAAATTAATTTCCAAAGTCGCAATGCCCTTGCGTTGTGCTTTGGTATAGTTACAAAATAATTACAATAATATGCCTTCAATGCTCATTTATCGGAAATCAAATACCTTTCTATCATAACATAACCGTGGTATTTTTACCATAGTAAATCCTCAAACACCCTGAGCACATTAGCATATTTTAAAATTTGACTTTCTTGAAAGAATCCCCCGATGAGCCCTCTGAGGGATCTTGTTTTGGTGTCGAATTTTTTACTCCTGTGCTCAACGGAGAAAGATCACTTTGTCTCCTCTTCTTCGAGTGCGGTCTGCTTGAATAAGAAGTCCTGGTTCTTGAAGTTGACGATGCTGGGGCTGGCGAGAAAACGTTATTGCCGTATTTTGTTGGCGCGCCCGGCGGAACAGCTGCGGTTTTCTCGGCTTGCGACGACGCCACCAATGCTTCTAAACTACCTAGCGGGCTTCGGTAATTGTTGACTTTTTGATATACTTTCAGGTTCTTCAAATAGGAAATCACATCGTTAACTTGCAGAGCTCGCATAAAACTTTCTTGAACTCCGAAGCTTGATATGTTGTGGAAAACACCGAACTGAGCCCGTAGTTTTGTAATTGCTGAAAAGTTTGATGGCATTTGCGGATCCTGATCATCTTCAACAGACGGTGGATTGAGGGTATCATCTTGTTTTTCTGATTTTTTTGGCGGCTGACTGAGATCCTGGAAAATCTCATGGCAAATCGGCTCCGAGCTTATTAGTCGTTCCAAAGAACTCCATTCGATTCCTGGCACAAAACTGTAGCTGGAAATTTCTACCCACACCATTTTCAAGTTTGAATCGAAGATTCCTTTGATCTGTGAAAAGTTAGTCATATAACTGCCATCTGGGTAGTAGTAGGTTGTGGTACAGCGAGGACAATCAAAGAAGATTGTACCGTTACTCAAGACTTGTGCTCTTAGTTGCTGAGGAACTATTTCCAGCCGCACAACTCCGACGGAACCGAGCGACTGGCAAATCAAGGGAATGATTGGAGTTGTAAACTCGAATTGACGAGTCTCTTCACCACCTTTGGTCGAATAACGTAGTATACCGTATGGAGTAAAAAGGTCGTTGGTAAAGCGCTTCCAGTACTCAAAATCATCGACTATGCCAGTTGATACATTTATCAAATTAATAATCTCGTGTAGTCGCAGTATGGCCATATTTGAGAGATATTTGCGAATCGGATATGGTATTGTGTTGCTCGGAACATATCGCCGCACTTGTGGTTGAGGAATAGCAGGCACGGAAAGGAAAGGTTGAGGACCCGTGGTAGCGCCATACGGAGAGGACGGTAACACACCTGGACCAGAAGTCGAGGTTGCCATTGGAGCCGTTTCCGGAACCGCGTGCATACTTATGTTATTGCCAGACGTGGACATCGGGATCGTACCGAGACCTGAGCTTCTCATGCCGTTTGACAGTTGTCCCGGTCCCAGCCCAGGAGCCAAACCTTGCAAATTCATAGCAGGCATTGATGCAGACCCCGTAGGAGTTGGAATGGATGTAGTGAATGGCGATGGAATAGCCGATGCAGAATTCGAAAGATCGTTCGGGGGCAAATTTGGCGCTTGCCCTTGGCCTTGTTGTTGTAACGGAGGCTGAGACTGGGGTTGCTTTCGGGCTTGTCCTCGTTGACCTTGAACTTGCGAATGTTGCGAAATCGAAGCGATACCCGCGTCGTTGGATCGAGGTAATTGATGCGGTAGTTGCTGGCCCATGCTGGAAGTGTTATACGATGCTGTCATTTGGGGCGCCATCATCAAATCATTGGCGTTCAGCGCAGGCACAAAATCTGGCCCCGGTTTTCGTACCAGATCTGGATACCCGTATAGCTGCTGCGCACTTTGCTGTTGTTGTTGTTGAGGGTGCATGGACTATGAATGTTGCATGCAAGTATTTGAGTGTGTTGTAGATCGATGGCGAAAAAGCGCGTTCTAAAACTAACTGAAATCGATCAAACGCGAACCGCTCAATTATCCTGTCACACTCACTAGTATGAACCGGATTTAGAGACAGAATCGCTGTTTCACAGATTATTGTGTCAAAAATGTGTTAGATATTTTTTTTAAACATGAAGTGTTTTTTGACAAGAGAATTCAGACTGGTCCATGACTTCAATCTAAGAAATTTGGTGTGAAAACGTAGATCAAGCTATCCGAACTTGTTAAGTGTTGTAGATTTATGGTGGCGTTCGAAATAAATTTGCTTGCAATTTGGACGACATTAGAAAGTAGAAAGGGCTCTACCCTTGCTATATAAACCAAAGAATAACTTGAAAAATCCTTGCAGAATGTTGTTATCGGATCGGAGAGCTGGATAGTATAGTATTTTACACAGCGTCTGCTACTAAGTTAGCAATATGCTCATGAAATAAACAGGTTGTTATGTGAGAGATCGAGGCGCACCTTAATCAGATGTAATTTGCCATTAGCTTGAATTATTTTTGGAGTTCCCGTCTCTCGCAGACGGCCATTCATGTTTCACAAAGTCAGAATGTTGCATATAGATCTTCCTCCTTGTTTCTAAGTATCCTTATCAAGCCGTCCGAATTATAGGCTCTTCTTGGCTTCACGAAAATCGAATCTTCGTCCTCTAAACTTTCAGAACTCTGCTTGTCGGCTGGCACAGGACCCCTCGTTCTCCCTGCCCGCCTTCGCAGTAGTTTATTGATGGTGTCCTGTTTTTCCTCTTCCAGCTTCTTCTCACTCAGGTTCTTACGCTTACGCGCGTTTTCTGCTCTGCGCAATTGCAATTCATTTTCGGTCAACTTCGAGTTTCGACGAGAAGAATTGTCTAAAAGCTCCATCATCATTTTGTTGCGGCTATTGAGCTTCGATTCGGTGGAAAGTTCGTTGCCTGCTTGTTCACCGTCGTCTTCATCTTCGTCATCGTCCAAATTTTGAAGATCAATAGCGCCGTTCCTGCGTACTTTCTTTGCAGGACTTGATCCTGGTTCTTCCGATTCATCATTGGCAGTTCTCTTCCGATTGAAGCCTCGCGCGTCAAGATCTTCTTCTTCAATAGCTTTGGAACCTCCTCTTTTGGACCGGCTTGCGCTTTTTAGCCGTGCCGACTCGTCATCTTCCTCATAGTCTGGTGTGTATTGGTATTCATCATCTTCCTCCGGCTCTGAACCTACTGCCTCTTCTTCAGGAACATCAGGAGAATCTTCGTATACTTCCTCATCTAATTCGACTGAAGATAAATCGCTGTCCATACTTCTGGGCTTTTGATTTTATGCCTGAATTTCAGTTAAGTTAATTCTCGAATTTGAAGACATAATGAGAGAGGACATGCACTTACCATTTTCGACATAAATTAATAAAAAGATGTGAAAAGTAAAAAGGGTTCAAGATCTTTGAAGTGTTCTGCAATTCTAGAAAAGAGCATGGCCTGTTAAATTATTCCGTAAACCAATTTGCTCATTCATTTCTTTGTCTGTAAACGTAGTTTGTCGTCTTGGTGTAGCAGGATCCTAATTTTTGATGTTTAGGAAAAGACTCATGACAGCTATAAGTGTTTGCCGGATCTATCGAGCATACGCATAAAGTGCGTAACGCTAATAGAACAGTCCACATCATCCGAATAGTATTTTGGACAGACCACACTTTCTTAACTCACGGAACCTTCCGTGTAATATTCCAGAATCTCCTCAATATAAAGTGCTTTTCATCTATGCTGTAATATCTCTCATATAAGCATAGATTGTGCTATATCTTATCATCATAATACAACTGCACCCGCTCAATGTACGTCATATTATTCGTCATATTAGTCGTTTCACGCCCTGAGATTAGAGCTTAAACTTTAAAACCTAATTTTCTTTAGTTCGCGCAAATTAGAAGCCGAGGTCATAAACCCACAGCTGCCGGGATGGTCTCTCAACTCCATTACGATAATATTATAAGAATACAAAGAAAGTGCATCACTTTGTACTATTCTGTCTCGACCTAACGTCAGAATCTTACGACCACGGAATTAATAGTTTCTAAAGCTCTTCGGTTTGAAATTGAATAGATGCGAGTGGCGAATGTTCAGAGAGTCCACAAAGTCTCTGTAATTGTCTTTTTGAGTCTTTGCCTTCCCCGAGTTCTTCGTGTGTAGTGCCCCAGCACCCTTTGGCATATATAGAAATCAAAATTACGGAGTAACTGCTGAACACCAATGCCCCCCCCTAGCTAACCACAACGATGTTTACAGAGCTGTTGTTTTGCAAGTCTAAAGTGTTTGTTCATTGTAGCTCGAAAGCAGACGACAATATTGCTGGATTTCTCCTGATCACCAGGGATGCTCAACAAACGGCGTTGGACGCTACTTTGACGTGGATACCCGAAAAAGAGCTGGACAAGGCGCAAATAAATGAGTTGATGAGAGCAGACATGCAACTATCTTCTGAGACTAGATCAAATGGTAAATCTAGAGTTAAAAAGGAAGTTATCCTGCAGGCTCTGTATATTGCGTGGGCTTTTTCAATTAAGGTCAGCTCAATATACTCCATACAATTTCGTCCTCCAAGTCCCAGCGGCTGGTGGTTTGGATCCGTGGCTATCAACTCCAAGAATCTTCGGGAGCAAGACTCTATCCCTATTTTGTTCTTTCACGATAAAGTTTGTCCCTCAACCCAGGAAAAGCAGAAGCAACTATCAAAGTCGTTTGATCCCTTCAATGGGGCTGACATTTACTGGGGAGCAAATGATTTCCGCGATTCCTTGCTCGAAATAGTGGACCTAAAGCAGACATTGGTTGACCCCACAGTGTGGCTTGTGAATGCAACTATGGATGATCTGCGGAATTTCTCGGCTAGTAATCCTAAGCACGAATCTCAGGGCTTGAACGAACCTGCTGCCCAAGGAAATAAATTTTGGGATGTTGTTGACCAGGCCAAATGGAATGTCATGTCAAAATTCGCTGATCTAACTTCGAAATCAACAAACAAAATGGCAAACATGTTCAATCAGCATCCATTGGTGAAGTTCGTTGACAAACACAACACAAATCCGTATGTCAAACAAATCTTAGCGAACCCAAAAGTACAGGAAATTCAGGATGATTTTGACTCAGCTAAAATCTATCTAGCTAAATGGGCTCTTGGCGTTAAGGAACAAGCTGAAAAATATCAGACTACAAATGGACTTGATGACACCTACAGGCGCCTGCTGTTCAATGAACTTGGTAGTGATGGAGAAGATGTCAATTTAACTGACGAGGAAGTCAACGTCGCAATGCAAAGATCACACCCACTGACAAAACAAAAATGGGACTCTTTCTTCGACTCCAAAGGTCGTCTCGTCATCACGGTCCAAGAGGTCAAAGATTTTATTTTTCACGGAGGGGTGAGCGATGCTGATTTAAGGAAGGATATTTGGTTATTTTTGCTTGAAGTTTATCCTTGGGATTCCTCTCTCGAAGAGCGACAGATTTTGGAAAAAACACTTAGAGACTCCTACCGAGCCAACTATAAGTGTAAATGGGAATATCGTGAGACTCATTCTGATGAGGACGAGGAAGCATATTGGCATGATCAAGTTTTGCGTATCGAAAAAGATGTCAAGCGGAATGACAGAGACTTACCTCTATATAAGTACAATACCGAGGATGGAAATGCATCACCTAATTGTCAACAGGCCGAACCTCTAGCAGATGATACTTTAGACAATGATTCGTGGACAGTCAAAAATCCTCATTTACAAAAGCTGCGTAGCATATTGCTGAGTTACAACATTTACAATAACGATCTGGGATACGTGCAAGGAATGTGCGACTTATTGTCGCCTATCTACTACATTTTGAAAGATGAAGAATTGTCATTTTGGGCGTTTGTTAGCTTGATGAATCGCATGGAGAGAAACTTTTTGCGCGATCAGTCCGGTATTCGGGATCAAATGCTCACTTTGACCGATCTATGTCAGTTAATGTTACCCAAGATGAGTGATCACTTGGCAAAATGTGATTCTTCTAATTTGTTTTTCTGCTTTCGGATGCTGATTGTATGGTTTAAAAGAGAATTCGAGTTTGGCGATGTGTGCAGTATTTGGGAAGTATTTTTGACGGACTTTTATTCATCCCAGTTTCAGCTTTTCTTTATGCTAGCTATACTGCAAAAAAATAGCTTGCCAGTGATGCAAAATCTGGATCAGTTCGATCAGGTTTTGAAATACTTCAACGAACTCAAGGGATCGATGGATTGGAGCGATCTGATGATAAGAAGCGAGTTGCTTTTTGTCAAATTCAAAAAAATAATGGACATACTCGAAAGAAGATCTGAGTTGAATGAATACACCTTATTGACAGCCGACGGAAATGTGATTACTGAAACGTCGGCTATCACTGCAGATAATTCGTCTCAAACTAATCCTTCTTTAGCGACCGATAATTTAAAGCAATTGCTTTCAAAGAAAGTAGTCATACAAAGAGAACCTCCGAGAGAGAAGCATTCGGTAAGGTAATTATGTTCAATTTTTGGAGCGGGTTAATTTTTGGGTTTTGCTTATAGTATGTACACTATATTTTTTTAGCGATGTTTTCAGTCAAGTCTAATGAGCGATTGGGTGAAACGATGAGATGACCATGTCGTCATTTGGAACAAAAACTTAAACCAAGTCGCTGGCGATAAATCTTTTTCGCATTTCAATCCTTCCGGTTCCGTGTTTATCGGTTAAGATCTTCATGCTTTGTCCATCACCGTGCCTTAATGTTTCATCATCTTCTCTGGTCCAAATTCCTGGAACGTTCAAAGGTGGGTTAGCCTTGAAACTAAACATGCACAAGAAATATCGGGGAAAGACCATCAAATCTCCAGAAAGTGCGGTAAGTATGCTGGTGCTAAATGTTTTTCTTACACCTGCATCTTCACATAAGTCCTGCACGAGCTTCTCGGCTTGGGAAGCTTCATAATCTCTTGAAATGACATCGTTAATTTTATCCAAAAACGCCCTTGTAGACTCAAAACCAAAGAATTGGGGCATAAACAAGTCATTCGTGGCAAGAGGTGGAGGGAAAGGAATACTGTCTGGATCGATTTCATCAAATTGTGCTTCCTCATTTGTGAAGTCATTTCTGATAGATTCTGCTATTTCCTGAGGATATTCAAATGCGGTACCGCCTGCGGACTCAATCTTTGAAAGGTCTCTTCTGAGACCAGAAATGAACTTGAGAGTCTCTTCGTCTAGGAGGTCAACATCTGCCATAGCCAACGACGAACTAGGGTCAACTGCTCCACCACTTGCAGAGGTGAACGCTATTTGCCGTTCCTGTGGAGTTTCGCCCTGCGCTATTTGTTCCTCCTCAGATGATTTGCGTTTCTTGGCATTACCGCTGTAATTGCCTGGAGTTGGCACGCCAGGTCTTTTAGGTCTGTTTGTCAAGTTCTTCATTGCTTCGGGAACTCTATTCTGAGCCAGCTCGTGATCGTAGTATTCAATGTATTTGTCGATGCCGTAGGTTAGTAAAAACTTGCGGAATCTGTCCCTCCATGCGTTTTCTGTATGCGAAGGATTCATTTGAGCATACGTTTTGAAGAATTCTCGAGGGACAGGTCCACGTCTTTCACCAACCCTGTACTCTGACAACGTTGGTTCAGAACCCCGTTTGACGGTGGTATCCATAGTTATAGCTTTCCTAGCAGCTTCACTAGGCCCGTCATCTTCAGTAATTAGAGATTTCCCAGTATCAGGATCAACTTGGTAGAGATCGCGATAGAATTGACGTTTTATGCTAACCGCCAAACTATAGTCCTCGTCAGCGACAAATTTGTTTTTCAAAGACTTCGGTAGAACCGTTGTCCTTATTAAATTACCAGCTTCGTCGCGTACCAGTTTGCCTTGGTTATCCACTTGATAAACAAAATCTAGTCTTTTGGCAAGGTAGACCCGATAGCGATGTCTTATGGAATTTCCCGTATGTGTTGGAACAAACCGAGATATCTCGTCAAATAATGTGTGTGTCGTGCGTCTAGTTGGGTTTTTGCGCACCACATCCAAAATGAACTCGTCCTCTTCGGATGTGAAGTTAGCTTTGTTGTGCGCTGTAACGTATCTTTGCTTTGCAACTTCATCTGCAGGTTTTTTCTGCGTTAATGAGTTCATGACGCCCACCTGTGAAGCCTGTTCATCGCTTGTCGATGACAGCGCATGTTCTGATTTATCAACTGGGGGATCAGTAGGCGTCGTTGGGTTTTGCGGCGTGTCTCCAGCTTCATCCTGGTGGGATGAAGTAGTCACATCAATTTGGAGAAGATTTTCGGCACTGTCATTCTGACCGGTAATACTTCCCCCAGGTGCTGGCTTCACATTACCATGTTCATGAGAATTAGGAGGCTGGTGCAATTTTTTGGAAGTGCTGGGCTGCTCTTGCCCATTAGTGGTGGCACCATCGGCGAGAGTGCCGACATTAAGGGGTTTTGGAGCCTCAGTGGTAGTCATGTCATCGTTTTGAGGCTGCGTATCTGCTCCGGGCTCCTCGAAAGCCACGAGAAAGCCGCTTAGCTTCAGAAGTACATTGCTGGCACAGCAAGCTCGAATGTATTCCGCGGTCACCGTAAGCAGATCTGCGGTGTTGGACGACGAAACCACAAACTCTTTGCTGGATAGGCCCGAAGGTAGCTCTCGAAGCACCGTTCCGCCGTGTGCTTTAATCAAGTTTTCGACTTCCTGGCGGACGTCTTCCTGGGCTACGTAAAACGCCAAATCCTGGAAAATGCCATCTTGTGGGTTTTCATGCGACTCAATGTCACTCTTGCCGTCATCTCTTATGGGATGTTCCACGGCGTCCACGAAATCGTTAGTTGATGGAGTTTCGAAATCGTCCTTCTGCGACATTATGATTTTGCAAGTGTCAGTTTCTTTACAAAGCAAAACAAACAATCACAACGGGTACCCTTTTGCGTGTCTGGGTGGGATCAAACGGCTTTCTGAGAACTAGATCACTTGTTAGACTAGCCTGATTTGAAAACCCATGTACTATGTTGAAAATTCACCTGTTTTCACCAACACCCAATACCCAACCAGGTAAACAACTCGACTAGGAGTTTGAAACTTCGCGTCTTTCCGGTAGCGAAGCCTCTAAAAAGTTCGTTTAGGATGATAATATGCGATGTCCTCGGAATTATAAGTGTCAATGTCAGTAATCAGCTCGTCCAATTTGCCATAGTGCGGGCCACTTTGGCTAGTAGTTGCTAGTTATCGTTATTTGACCAATCCTTTGAAAAGTGTGGCGTTCTGGTTCACTGGTTTTCTTTGCCTCTCTGAATTACAATCATTTGTGGAAATATCCGGGATTTGGATTTATTATTGTAGGTGCCTCTGATGGTGGTGTTTGTCTCTTGAGTTATTTCAGACTAACAATTGACGAGCCTGATGTGCTTTTCAGCCTGGAAAAGTTGATCTTTGCGGCGCTTCTATCTGCAATTTTAGAGCCTATTGGTCTTTCCCTCGTAACTTAAAGCTTCGCCCAACCAGATGCTGGTTGTATGTCGTAGTGGAATGGAAATTTGCCGTCAAACTGTGAGCGTTTGTGCTGGCTAGCGCGAGGTTTCAGGTTTTTGGACAGTTGTAATCAATAGCTTCTGATTAGTTCCTTGTACGACGCTCTCATTGCTTAAATTGGGAACTGCTGATTTTCAATCAAATCAATCAGTTTCAGTTTCAGTATAGTAGTTGCACTTTTGTTAGCTGGCGCGGCCACTTGTGCTTATAGTTTCCAATATGACAAGGCATTCACGCTTCCGCTGTCCTGCGCGATTCACCGTTACTGTTTCGATTAGAAGCGTATAGGGCAAGTCAGGAATGCGATTAGCACCAGCTGCGCACCATTCACACATTGAATGGTGATTGCTCACCAACTTCGAATCATTCGTAGAGTTTTCAAGATGTAGAACCGAACTCTTGTAAAGCCAAGCGAGGAGCTTTCACATATGAGAAATGCTTCACCAGCTGTGCGCAAGCTGTATGTCAGCTATCATCGAGTTATAAATGTAATTGTCCTGTTTTTAGAAAGTAGCCGCCGAAGTAAATTCTGTTCAACTTGGAAAAGAAGCTTTTTAAATCACTCAAAAAAGATAAATGTAAAGCATTTGGTTCAGAGAGCTGAATTATTTCTCCTACATCTCAAAAGTATTCGACAGAAGGATTTTAGACCTCTCTAGCTTGATTAAGTTCCTGTGATAATCCAAGGTCATATGTAGCCATTCCGCCTACCAATACAACACCATGGTTCGTAAAATCGCATCCGTTGGGTCACCGAGTATCCATTCTTTAGATATTCCGTACCGTTAGTGTATCTTTACGCGAAAGCACCATTAAATATCCCATCGTACCTGATAAGGTGTAAAACCATTGAAAACCGATAAAAATCGCTTGGCAGCTCTCATAATCACAACCTCTTAAGGTTTAGACATAATATGATGATATACAATCTTAAAGTGCAGTAGTGTGATTCTTCTACGTTTGACGACGCACACAAGCGTAACTGGCTTCACGGCATATGCTCCACAACAATAAGATTGAACTCTGGTCAGCACTTGAAGCTGTAGGCCGGTTGTCGAGTTATGTACTTTCATTAAAATACTACTTAAGTACAGCTCGTACGGGTCACAAATAGCCAGCATTGATCGCCTTATTTGACTCGAAAGTGTGGGAGATGTAACGCACTCTCTCTTTATGCTCTTCCGGTAAAGTATTCCTCGCACATATTCCTTATAATTACAAGTTCGCTTATGGTTTTCTATACGCTGTGTAATACCTCACACAAATTCTCTGCAGTTGACGTGGTGCAAATACTCATGATATTTCCCGTCCGCATACACATATTCCAGCGCGGTAAGTTTGCCGCCTCCAACACAGCCCGAATCCAAACCTTTTGTCATTTTGCGAAGATTCAAGCCTCTACCCGCGTCATGACCATACAGCACAGTCACGCCCTCGGGTGCGGATTCGCGATCCCATAGTTTGTACCAGCGGCTAGAGTTTTTGAATTTGTATTTAGAGGTTTTGGTGTGGTCTTTAGGGAGCATGTATTTCATTGTTGTAATGTCTTTTACCTTGGGATATGGATAATCCTGATAATTTGGCGCTATTCCTGCATGAACAGCCAGTAGTGTTTGGTTTGTGGCCTCTAGGTGGATTTGAAGCTCAGCAGAGCACAACGACGCCAAGGAGGCCAGGTTCGCGCCTCCTAACTCATGGGCTACCTTCTTGTGCTTGTTGTTTACCTGATCATGTGGTGGTATGTAGTCTTCTGTACTAAACACCACTGGGTCCCAGTGTGTCCTACGATTCGACAACTTCCGCTTCAAGCCCCTTTGGTTCAAGAACGCAAACAAAACGTTGATCTCGTGGTTTCCCAACACACACTGCGTTGTGTTTTGGTTCCTTAGTAGATATTGCACCATTTCGCTGGACTGTGGTCCTTTCGCTATGAAATCCCCGAGCAAAACCACGTTTGTGTTAGGTTTTTCGGCGTCCACCCGATGCATCAGCTCCTGGAACTCATCATACATCCCATGCACATCCCCGACAAAGATCCATCGCTCGCTCTCATCAGCCTTGATAGCTCTTTGTGTAGCAATTGGCGGTAGCGTTCTTTCCGATGCCGTAAGAACCAGGTACGTATACCCAAGAGCCAACACAAGAAATACCGACGTGGCGACCGCTGTCCACAAATGTCTAGCCTGGTGAAACATCCTTGAATACACTCAAGGCAAAGTAATGGGAACTGTGCAATGGGAGCTGATTCTGCCCCAGATATTCGACCTTTAATACCTCGACCCGATGGGCAATATGGGCAATTTAAAGCCGGAACGTGCTTGACGTCTCTCGTGATGAGTTAAGCGATGACAGAGGGGGACAAAATGATGTGGACAGTCCGACGTAAACGTCGGAAGACTATCGTCTTTCTTGCAGTGTGGTTAGGTTTTGGATAGCTCGATGTCAGGACATGTGCATTTTTTCAACACTAGCTGCGCAGCGGCTTTCGACCCATAGAATTCGATTTCGATTGATGGCCTTTTTATCGCTTAGGATGACGGCTTTCCATGTCTGTTGACTATCAGTCTTCTGTATCACAGGGTCAAGCTCGAGCGCTTCGTTTTTCCCGCCATGGAGTGCTACTACAAGCAGATTTTGTTCGAGAAAGGTAAAATAGTCCAAGAGACGGTGTGTGTACGAGAGCTGGAAGATCCCAAATTAGAGCCATATGAGACCGGAAAACGTGCCTTTCTTAGGTAGCAAGTCAATGCTACGGTCAGATTCTTGGCGACGGCATTTATATTGGCACCGTTTTTTGGAGGAACTTCATCAAGACTTCGCACACCTGGCAATTCGCTCTGAAGCCTCTAACTAACGTCTCATGTAGGGGCACAAGACCGATATCGCAGGTCACTCACAGTAAACACTTATTCTGCACTTCTGGTGTTTTATCATGAACAAGGCTTTGCCGCGATCGCTATCAGAGGGAAACCCTGCAGTTGTGTCTGTCAGGCACAACAGGTTCTCACTTTCTATACATATGCCATAAAAAAATCTCAATGAAATTAGCCTTTTGATTACATTCTTCTCCAGCCGTTGGTCGTTGATCGTTGCCAGCTACGACCATCACTATCGCAACGCTCGCCAAGAGACAAACGAATCCGCACTCGAAAGATTCGTCAGCCTAAACCGATAGACTAGTTCACCACTATGGCGAGCTCCTTATAATCATCCTGTCTATAGCCATTGACCTATCACAATACGTATTGGCTATATAGGTAAATAGTATCATACTTTGTAGTGGTTTTCAGTTTTTACAAAAAAAGCTTGTATGATAAACAATAAAAATTCTTGAAATCCCGAAATACTGGACTTTATTGATCATCTCTCAGGCCTTGGGCACCTTAGAACCGCTGGATTTCTAGGGCAGTCGAGAATTTCAATCGAGAAGTATATCTGGAAGACTTTCGCGAAGTTTTTTCCCCTCCATAACCGATATTATCTCGCTCTTTATCAGTGAGAGTCGAAAACCACCAATCCGTCATCGTTCTCTCATAACGCTTGTAACAGATGAGCTCCATACCGACCCCCGAGGGAGTGATCAACTGGGACACCCTCAATGAAATCGTGTCAATGGACGAGGACAGCCCAGATTTCTCGAAAAACCTGATCATTCAGTATTTCGATCAGGCCGCGACCACTTTCGACCAGATTCAGGAGGAGTTGGACGGCAAGTGCGAACTCGAGCAACTGGCATCCTTGGGCCATTTTTTGCGTGGATCTTCGGCTGCGTTGGGACTACAACGGATCGCATGGGCTTGTGAACGCATACAGAATCTCGGCCGTAAGCGTGAAGGTTCTATAAGGGGCCAAACTGTTCCTGACTCTCACTACGCACAGCTCATCACTGAGGCTCTGGCTTATGCCAGAACTGAGTTCATCGCTGCCAAGGCCGAGCTATCTGCATTCTACGGAAGTGAACTCTGACCCCGCATGCAGCTCTAGTTGTTGGTCCATGACCCTCTATAAATAACTCTCACATGTAAACCATTCCGCGGGGCATCAATAAAAGTGCATTTCCATTACCTGGTTGTTATTATAAGCGATTGGGGGAGCTTGAGCTGCACCCTACTAATCATTATCTATAAAACAACTACATCGTCCACGTACGCTCATTATATTCCGCTTTACCTCACCATCACTCAAGTTATTGTGATCCTTATTTCTCGCTATCAAGCTCAAGATCTTCCATATCACCCAAGTGTGTACCAGCCATAAACTCCAAATCGTGCCGCTTGTTTTTCTCCAAGACTTCGTCAGGAAAGTATTCCTGATGCACTTTTCCCTCTTTATAGTTTGGATTGTACTTGTAATCTCTGGCGTAGCCTAACTCAGCCATGAGTTTGGTTGGTGCATTGCGTAGATGCATTGGAATACCACAACTTGCGAACGAGTCGCGATTTTCCCGTAACCTCGCATTCAGAGATTTCCAGGCCCTGTATAGTTGAATTGACTTAGGAGCTCTTGCGAGTGCCACAGAGCATTGTGCTAAAGACAGATCGGCTTCCGGAAGTCCAACTTTCATCACAGCGTCGTGCGCAGCAATAGCCAATGGTAATAAGGAATGGTCTAGAACTCCGATATCCTCCGAAGCGATCCGTATCATACGGCGCGCAATATACAGGGGATCTTCTCCGCCTTGGATCATGCGTGCCAAATAATATAAAGTGGCATTTTCATCACTTCCTCTTATAGATTTGTGGAAGGCAGATATAGTGTCGTAATGATTTTCGCCTTGCTGATCGTAGTATGTTCTTAAGTCAGATGAATTCCCGTGAATAATCTCACGAATCAATTCCTCATTCATTTCCCGGGTGTCATTTCTAGTTGACACTTCAATCATTTCTAAGAGGTTAAGTGCCCGCCGAGTATCTCCCATTGAGATGTCAACAATAAACTCCAAAATATCTTTGCTCAGTCTCATTGGATTTCCTGCTTTCCATATTAGATGTCGACACTTGTTCAGCATACTAATTCCACGAGATAACACCAAACACATCTCCGCTGTATTAAGTTTGGTCAAAACAAATATTTGGCACCTACTCATTAAGGCGTTGTTTAATTGGAAGCTAGGGTTTTCTGTTGTGGCTCCTATAAGTACAATATCCCCAGATTCTACATGAGGAAGAAGCAAATCTTGTTGACCCTTGTTAAAACGGTGAATCTCATCTATGAAAACTACCGTAAGTCTCTTGGTAAGAGTAAATTCACGCTTTGAGTTCTCGAAAATTTTCCGGAGCTCTTGCGTTGTGGCCTTGGTCGCACTAGTTTGTATCAGATTATATGATACGCCATTAGAATAACTTTGATTAACAGTTTTCGTTAAGAGCCTTGCCAAGGTAGTCTTTCCAACCCCAGGAGGACCCCATAAAATCATCGAGGGTATTGTGCCCTCTTTTACATACTTATAGAGCACACCGTGCTCAGAGGATATTATATGCTGCTGGCCAACATACTCGCTCAAATCTTTGGGTCTCAATTTTTCGCTCAAGGGCTGATGAAGAATCTTCTGCAACTGCTTTACTTCTTGATTGCGGTCTAACAGTGGTTTTTTTGTTTGCTGTGGCTCTGGCTTTTGATCTAATTTAGGTCGCTTGGGCTCTTCCTCAATCTCGATAACCGGGGGCTCTTCAATTTGTTTCCTCTTGCCTTTCAGGACACTACTGATGGTATGTTCTTTCTTGACGGATTTATTGGAAGTCGCGCATTTGTCGAGATGTTCATTGATGGCAGAGTACTTGATCTTGTTATTGCAGATCGGACATGAAATCAATTGCTCATTTTTTGACTTGTTCATTGTTCATGGCGCTCTGAAAGGATTACAATGTTTCTATTTCTCAACCATCGTGATGATTGTAGGAATTTTAATGAAATTATGAAATTGAAATGAAAACTTAGAGACTTCTCTGTTTTCGAAAACATCATTCTTCTTGATCTCCTCACATTTATATATTCATGTATTTATCAAGCACCTTTAGAGGAATGTTTCACATGAAGCACAAAGCAGACTACATGTTCTTAATTGATCAGTTCGTAGATATCACCCAACTTATCCGCGTAGTATTTGGGCAGAGGATGATCGCCAGACGTATCCAAGGCATTCTTTTCGGTCTCGATACCGGTAAGGACCAGTAAAGTACCTCCAAGTTTACCCTCGACGCCGAACCTGATATCGGTGTTCAATCTGTCACCCACCATACAGCACTTAGACCTTTCAAGGTTTTTAGCCGTAACGATAGCGTTTAGCATGTTGGGATTGGGTTTTCCACACGCAGCAGGCTCTCTACCAGAGGCGAAAGCAACACAGTTGATCATAGAGCCCGCACCGGGTAGAATATAGCCCTTGTTGGGATAGGTAGAGTCAATGTTAGTGGCGACGAATTTCACGTCTGGCTGCTGCAAATACTGCAATGTGATAGCAAGACGATGGTAATTAACTTTAGTGTCAAGACCAGCAATGACACACTTGACGCTGGGGTCCAAACCTTCAGTAATAAAGGGCGACGTCGTAATGTCAAACGCTTGATCCAACCTGGGGTCGTTGCAGCCAAGAGAGTCGAAGCCCATTAATTTTAGCTCTTCAGCAATACCAGACTCTCCGAATACCCAAACTTTGTCCTTTCCGGGCTGAAGCTTCAACGAGTCTCTCACATACAAGGCAGAAGCATAGCCGGATGTGAAGATTTGATCCTCGCTGACGGTGACCCCAAAGGACGCAAATTTCTTGGCGTAAGCTGCACGAGACTTTGTAGAGTTGTTTGTAACAAAGTAGAGGGTCTTTCCGTTTGCGATAAGCAAATCCAACGTTTCTTTGATGTGAGGCAATAGGTGTGTTCCGAGCCATAATACACCGTCGCAATCGAATAAGAACGTATCATATTGATCTAGCAGCGTCTGTGCCACCGCTTTGGAATCTATTTTCACTGGTCCATTGCTTTGAGTCATCTTAACTATTTGTTGATGCTAGCTTGTTGGTCTATTCTACTTATTATCTATCTCCTTAACTCGAACGTAAAAAGCTGATATCAATATATTGAGTTTTACGAAATTTCACTATTTTCGAAAGATATCTTCAGATCAGCCAAAACAAGCCCACATAACGTTGGGATCTATCAGCGCAAGCGCATTGGGTTTCGCCGAATATTCTCGAGGAACGCGGTTTCCGGAAGTTCCTAAAACTACCGTTTGAATGACTAAATACAGAAATATCAAACAAGTGCCTCACTAACGTACTACGACAAATTCCCGCTATCCGACTAAATGACTACGCTGATGGAAATATGAAAGCTCTGCGTAACTCGACTCGCACACAGTGTTAAATTTTTCTCAGAACGTAAGAGTGAAAAGGTCTTCAGAGCGACAACGCGCGGCCGTATTGCCTGAGCACGCTATCCATTCGAATCGAAATAGACATTTGGCAGTAAAGTATCCAGACATAGGTTCGAGATAAATTACTAGTGTAAAAACATCCGTAATGCGCGCGAGCTTCCTGCAAAACTTATTATGACTGACAAAAATACTATCTTGACGGCTCTGAAGAGATCGTTGGAGTAGCTAATTCATTGTACAGATAATAGAACTTGGAAGAGATACAGATGCTCGCAAGTTTCTGCTATTTGTACTATTCGAACACTGTAGCTACACGATTGTTCGTGCGTAGCGCTATTGTACATTTTGAAAACGGTTTTAAAGATGAGCATGAATTATATAACGCAGTGCGCTAGTATACAACAGGGCTCAATTTAGCATTTGATCTTCTGAACACCTATAGGTGGCCACTTTTGAACTTGGAGAAATTTGAGCGTATCGGAGAAAGTTTAATTGATTTTTCCAACCGTGTTTGATTAGAGTATATTCTTGAGTCACACAAACTGTATAAATACTCTGATAGCGTTCATGAAGTCGATAACGAAGCTTGCGCTAATCGGACTTCTGCTGGCATCTCGTCTGTACCTGCAGCCGATTTACTCACTGGTTTCCGATTGTGATGAGACATTCAACTATTGGGAGCCGCTAAACTTCCTGCTGCGAGGATTTGGTAAACAAACGTGGGAATACTCACCAGAGTACTCAATTAGGTCATGGGCTTTTCTGCTGCCCCTGTATACTAGTTTGTTACCCATTGGCAAGCTTTGCAGTGTTTTGGGACTGCCGCCGTACGTGTTGTTTTACGTTGCACGATCGATTCTCGGACTATACAGTGTCGTTATGGAGTGGCACTTGTATCGCGAATTGGAAGCTACTCTATCGCTCCAAACCGCTAATATGTGGCTCTTGTTTCAGATATTCAATCCAGGCTGGTTTCATGCCTCTGTCGAGCTTTTGCCATCATCTTTTGCAATGGTCACGATGCTCGGTTTCGCCAAATACGGTCTCCGTTATCTATCCACCGGCTCTGACACCGCATTTATTCAAGCCTTACTCTTCAACTTCGTGAGCGGGATTCTCGGCTGGCCTTTTGTATTGATCTTAAGTGTCCCATTAGTCGCGCACTATGTCATCACCCACAGAATTTTTGCAAGCATCAAAACCGGTTTCGGATCATTATTAAGATTACTAGCCGTCATCGTGGTTGTTTTCTGTATTGACTCCATTTACTACGGCAAAGTCACACCAGTTGCCTGGAACATTGTGATGTATAATGTTGTCGATGCAAACGAAAAGAGTGGGCCTAATATTTTTGGCGTCGAGCCTTGGTATTACTACTTCCTGAATCTTCTATTGAATTTTCCAATTACTGTTCTTGTGGGCTGTCTAGTTGGTCTTGCCACTAACTTTAGGTTGGCCTCAATTTGGGGTTCTTTGCTTGTATGGATGGCAATCTTTGTACAACAGCCCCACAAAGAAGAAAGATTCCTATATCCAATTTATTCGATCATTTCTCTTTCAGCCAGTGTTGGCTTTACAAAGGTTTGGGGGCGTTTATCTGGGTCAAAAGGTGTCCGTAATACCTTTTTCTTTGGTCTTTATGCATTGACAATATGTCAGAGTTCAATGAGAACATTTGCGTTAATCAAAAATTACACTGCCCCACTGGATGCATATGCACATATCCCTATTGTTCCAGGTCCTCAAAATGTATGTGTCGGGCGTGAATGGTTTCATTACCCCACTTCGATGTTTTTGAGCAATGACTACAGGCTACATTTTATCCAATCCGGATTTGATGGCTTATTGCCTGGAGATTTCAAGGAAACGCATAGCATGCTGAATAGCATACGAGAGATACCCGTGGGGATGAATAATGAAAACAAGTTTGATCCTTCCAAACTGACTCCTGTGGATCAGTGTGATTTCTATATTGATTTCATGCTTCCAACGGAAGAAAGCCAGGATGCCCTGGATCCAAATGAGATGGGTGAAGAATGGAAATTGGTTTACAGGACACCATTTGTGGACGCTTCTCAATCGAAATTTCTGGGCCGTGCATTTTCGGCACCCGAATTTCTGTTGAAGCTTGTACCAGGACAGAAGTACTGGTCTCGTGTTTATGAAGTCAACTTTCTCGACTACTGCGTATTTGAGAGACAAACCGAACAGGTTTGAGAATGTTGGCCAGTCGCTACGCTCGTTTTAGTTAAAGTTTTGAAATTTTACCGTTATATATAATTATTGAGCGTTTGATCCATCTATTTGATCTCTTTGTATACCATGCTCTCTCTGGCAGGCCCGGTACCGATCCATTCGATAGGAACACCAACAAAGTCCTCGATGAATTTCAAGTATTTCTTAGCGTTTTCAGGCAAATCCTTGTATTCAGTAATTTTGGTGATATCTTGTTCCCAGCCTGGCAAAGTAACGTACTCGACGTCCACTTTACCCAAGGCAATAAGGTCCTCAGGGAACAGGTCTAATTTCTTACCTCTGAGCGAGTATGAGATACCAATTGGGATCTCCTTGAAAGTGTCGAGCACATCCAACTTGGTGATGTTCAAGCTGGTGTAACCGTTAATCAAAGTAGAGTACTTGAGTACCACTAGATCGAGCCATCCACAACGACGCTTACGGCCGGTGGTGACACCAAACTCGGCACCAATGTCCTGCAATTTCTCACCAAACTCGTTCAATTGTTCGGTTGGGAAAGGACCCTCGCCGACTCTGGTAGTGTAAGCCTTGACAACACCGTAAACTTCATCAATGAGTCTTGGAGGGAGCCCCAAACCGGTGCAGACACCGCCAATGCCGGTGTTAGACGAGGTAACGAAGGGGTAAGTACCGAAATCGATGTCCAACATCAGGGCATTAGCACCTTCAACCAAGATCTTCTTGTTGTCGCGAACAGCGTTGTGCATGAAAACAACGGAGTCGACGACGAAAGGCTTAAGCTGCTCGCGGTACTGCTTGTAGCGTTGTAGCTCGCCTTCTAGGTCGTACTCAAAGGGCCCGTAACGCTGCTGTCTGGTTTCTACAAGACGCTTGTATTTGGTGACAAACTCATCCCAGGCCTCGGGCTCGTCGTTGACCAGATGGTGGACTCTGAGACCAGATCTCGAGGCCTTGGTAGCATAAGTGGGACCAATACCCTTCCCGGTCGTTCCGATGTTCTTGCCGTCCTTGGAATTGCCCGACAGCTCCGCTTCTCTGAGCTTGTCGGTGCGCTGGTGAAAATCGAAAACCAGGTGCGCTCTGGACGAGATGAACAGTCTAGAGCGAGCATCTGAAAGACCCTTGGACTCGAGCTGCTCCAGCTCTTGGAAAAACGAGGGCACATGTATCACAACACCGTTTCCGATAAGGTTCTGGCAGTTTGGATTGACCAATCCCGAGGGCAGCATGTGGAAGTCGTATTTGACGCCTTTGACCACGATTGTGTGTCCGGCGTTGTTCCCACCGGCAGCGCGTGCCACGATGTCGTACTTGCCGACCAGAAGGTCCACAAGCTTACCTTTCCCTTCATCGCCCCATTGCGAGCCGAGCACTACGTTAACCATTGAGAGATCTTAAAAAAGCTGGAAGATCAGTGGATTAGTTCGTTTGGATGAAGCTAAAGACGAATAGAGCTATACGCTTTAACTTGAAGTATTCCAAAGCATTGAAAATAAAATTAGAATGAGAAATATTAAGAGAGAAAGATGAGAAAGAGGTGGAAAAGTCAAGAGACAATTTTGTTGAAAGCTGTTCAAGTAGCTTAAATTTTTTCTTTTCGCTCGCGTTGTCTGCTTTCGATGACTGGTGGGAATCGGCAAATGCGTGATGTGCTTCTACTTCAGCAAATGTGGCTCTTCATATGGGACGAATCCAATATTTTCTTACTCTAATAAAAATAAATTGGGCTATCTTCAGTCTAATTAATCTGGAAAAAGGCCAGGTGACTCTGCAGAATCGCATTCCAGGCTTGGCATTATACAGGAGCGTGGAAAGTCGTGCGCTCCTGATAGAGGTGTACTTTGAAGGCATATTGGCGAGCTTTTCGAGATTGTAGCGTGTAGAGATGACTGGTGCTCATTTTAAATTGGGAAAAACCGATTTGTGTCACTTTGGTACATAGTGATCTGGCGCCGCCGAGTCAATTAAGAATTTTTTTTCTTATTGTGAAATTATGACTCGGTTTACAACGATGGTTGGAGCACTATGTACGAAAATTTAAGTGTGGAACATGTGAGCTCGTTATGTTATCGCTCCCAAGCATGTGATTGAAACATTTTCTAGTGAGGCGAGTCTGATTCAGCAAGCTTGCTGATGTTTTAGTCACGCTCTTCCGCATTCAATTTGGTATGGCAGCTGGTAAATAGTACACATTTGGCTGTCGTTCTTACATTACAAGATCAACAACGTAGGGTTTCCAAAACACACCAGTTGTTTTAGAAAATTCTGAAATGTGAGTAAGAAAGGCGCAAGTTGATTGCGAAAGTGTCTAGCACGTCGTTTCTTTTGAACATTGATAAGCACTCACTAGAGTCTAGACCACTTTCCAAGCCTCTAGCAGTTATCATGTCGCGCTCTCCTGATTTATTCATATCACTTTGTACTATTATGTCACCAGAGAGCTTGGCATTATCGCCACCCACGATTGAATCGGCCCCTCGTCCAGTGATGATACACAAAGAAACGCAGCCGCATCATTTATAAACGCCTTTCAGCTCAATGCTCTGGTCAGCTGCCACGAAAGGCTGTTGTCATTTTGCTAAACGTCGACATTCTTAATATCACTTGTTACTACCCTGACATAACTTCAACTAACGCACTACTTGACATGAATTCCAAAAAAAATATCGCTCTGTTGGCCTGAATAGAGAAGCCTTTTTATATTGCTAGGGAAAGCGCCATTCGGTTTTTGAGCAATTCCAGGACACCCGCATTCGCAGGAAAGTTTCAAAAATGTCTGCATCTCAACCTTACGAGAAAAAAAGATCCCGATTAGTCTTTTAATATAGTCTTATTTCTTCGAACTCTTCGCTTGAAAATCTAACACCGGTGAAGCCTTCTTTCGTTTTGAACTGTCTGCGCCGTAGGAATTTTATTTGCACAGTTCACGGAAGCTCGATGATGCCATTATGGATCATCTACAGCATTATTTAATTTTGGTCGTGAGTAGTGCTAAACATCCTAGGAAAGGTTGAAAAAACAACATTTACAGATTTCTTACAGCGGCTGTGAAGGTGTGGACTGGGCCTCGAACTTCTCTTTATCCCTTCTTCCATCTGTTACTATTTGTCATATGTCAGGCAAAAAGCTCAAAAACAAAAATCAGCTTTTCAAGCGTCAGAAGGTGATCGATGCCCGCACTATTAGAGCCGAAGCTTTAAGCTCGCTGCCCAAAGCTGCCAATGAGCTATCAGAAAGTGGCAGTATGCTGAAAGTGTCGGAGTTCATGGCCTCCCGTGAATTTGAGGTAAAGCAGCTCCAGTCCGCTATTCTTAAATCCAAAAGTACATCCTCCACCAGAGTTTTCCAAGCTCTTCCAAGAAAGCTGCGTCGCAGAACTGCATCTCATAATGTGAAAAGGATTCCTAAACGTCTCAGAAATCGAGCCCTTCGTGAAATGCGGAAAAGCGAACAAACAGTCACAAAGGGTACACAAACGCTCTCCAAGAAACGAAAATATGGTCTCACTGCTAAACAACTGTACAAAGCACGCATGGCGGTAAAACTACTGCGACTAGCTGCTAAGTCCAAATCCATGAAACTTGCACTTCCAGCAGACGCTACCGCGTCTCATCATAAACTGCGAAGTAGAATAAAGGCTCTCCAAAAGACTATTCGCGAGCACGCATCGGGCAAGCTGCAGTCTTCCAGGAACAATCGGCTAGGAAGCTATGATTGCACAGGATTTGGCGTGTTGGCACCAAAGCCTATCGGTCGCATTAAGTATTTAAAGAGACAGAACAAGTTCACCTGGCTTCCCTCTCATGTGTGGAATGCTAAAAGATCACATATGCTAAAAAGATGGGGATACCAAATTCCTTGGTCGCCTACACAAAAATGCTTCAAACTCACGCACAAGCTTGGTAATTCTGTCTCTACTTCTGATGGTGCCATGTGCAGCGATACCAGCTACATGGGGACTATGATTCTAGCATCGGACGACGCTGAGTACTTGAAGCAACTAATATCACAACTAACTAAAAAGAGAGGTTCACTCACAAAGTATAGAGCTTCCCATCATTGGTTTGAAGGTGTGGTTTTTGATGACAGCAAAAATGCATTGGGACCCATCAATTTGTTATGGCTCAGTTTCAACAAATGTATGTTGAGGCTCCATCCCGCGATATATCCAACGGTATTTGAAAGATTGACAGCCTCAGACAATAAAAAGCTTACTGTTCATGATTGTCGCTATTCTATAGCCAGTATTACGCTTACTGGCGCTAAATCTTTGAATGCACTCTCGCAAGTTCTGCGCAGCACTGAATTATCCCAGTCTTATTGTCAATTTAAAAAGGTTGCATACATCACAGATATCAACTTATTGCCTCAAAGAACGATGTTTGCCTTTAACGCTATGGATCCCAGGCACCTTTCTAATCCTAAGAAGCTTGCTAATTCGAAACCTGTGGCAGACGATATTTTACAGCTTCAGGATCAGTTTCCGCAGTCTGAAATCGTCTCGGTCTTAGAAAAGCTCGCCGATCCAATTGAGCGCGAAAAGACGTACTCAAATCAACTTACTCTCAAAGAGCTCGCAGCAAGACGCAGATCTCTTTTGGGATCGACTAAAAATTCAAACGTTATACCTTTCAACGCTGACGGCGATCCGTCTTTCCCTATCATCATTTCGAAGTTGCCTAAACAGGAATTATGGGTAGTAATTTTGCCTTGGTTTTGGCATCTTCCCTTATGGTATCAATTAAACCGAGTATCGAGAGTGCATCATATGGGATTACGTCAATTGCAGCAACTCAGCTATGAGCGTCATCGATTATATTTTCCGGACGATTACCCATTCACTCAAGTCGGTAATGATGAAAATTCATTGTACAAGAAGGCGGCTCAAAAAAATTTCTGGAGCCGCAAGCCGGTTAGTAAACGCGTCAACTACGCGAAAATTCCTAACATTCATTCAGAAGCACCAGCCATGTTTCCTGGAGAAGTCGGCGATCCCTTTTGCTGTGACTGGAGATTTTTGCAAATCCTAAGAAATGGTTTGACGTACCTAAAGTCGCAAGGCAACGAATGCGTCAAGATGTTTGACGCATCGCGCACCTCACAATTCGACGAGCTGAACTTACGCAAGCTGACATACGTCAATGATCTTGTTGAGCTGTACGGGGATGTTTGCAGCAAAAATCTCATTGCGGAAGGATTACCGTTACAGATTGTGACACAATCCGCTGCCAAAATTCAAATCGAAACTCCGGACACTGAGTCAGCGAAAAAGACGCCGCAGCAAACGGTTGTGAGCACAGCGCTCCCCGTTATTGCAGTATCTTGTGAATTGTTGGAAAGAGGCCATCCAAAAGACACTGCTCGTATTTATTCAATCCCACAGCAAGATCTACACTACTGGGAATCTATTGTGCAAGTGTCATCACGTCCCAGTGGTAGACGCAACCACGACACTGCGCAACCAATTCCTTCCCTGCATAATCTCATTGGATTTGCTACGAGTGGCACATTCCATCTAGGACAAGGCCAGGGCGTGTGCACGGGCTTCATCGATTCCCGAGAAGCTATACTCCCTGGTAACAATTATGTTTTAATCCGAAATGTGGGTACAAATGTCTACAGAATTGCCAAATGGAAACAAATAGTTATCTGAATAAACTTTCACTTATATAGATGCCTCAGAATCATTATTGGTAACCATTGGGCTGAAAACTAGATGATAATAGAATTGTAGCACCCTGGCTCTGTGCTTGGCGGATTCGTATAATGATATTACCCGACCACCACATTATTTTTTTCGTTTCTTCAAGACTTTTAAAAAAATTTGTATAAATACTCATCATAGATTCTCTAGTTCCTTAACTTTAGTTTGCGTTCTTCTTGATTTTTGAATTTCCTTCCTCATACTTACCTTAAGACGTCAGAGGAGATCAAGAAGTCTTTCTGGCCGAATATTTCTTTCTAGAGCGATGCCTGTCTTTTTCAGGAGTCAGGCTTGCTTGCTGGGTTCCTTGTGGACTACACATACTTGCGAAAGGTGTATTTGCTGACGTTTCGTTTTCCTCGTTCTGCTGATAAGCCATTATTCCTCTTTTGAGGGACGATGGAGTGTTTGTCAGAGCCCTTTGTTTCTTCTGCCTGGAGAAGTATGGTGCTGATTACAAGTCAGCGCTGGGGAAGCTGGACGTTGATTTTGGCCGCTTTAAGTGTCGAGGCTTCAGTTTTATGTGATAGTCGATTCCCACACGGTACTTTCCGCGGTTATTCTTGGTTATGCTTTCGAGCGTAGTCTTGGACGACCGTGGACATGTCAGTGTGGAGAAGGTGTGCTGTTGCGAAGTATCGGCATAGGACAAGATTCACGTTTGGTAGAAACGGGTAGGTCTTATAATTTTTGATGTCAATAATCTTTTTTCCTTGGCATTTTCTTCACGGTTGGCGATGAAAAAGCAGGAAGTATGAGGAGGAAACCATTAGATCGGTTCGATCTGGGCTTTTTTCTTCACCAGTTTAACTTATATCAGCAGATGTGCTTGAATTGGTGGACTTTACCTCAGTTTGAACTATCATAATTTATATTCAAGTATTGCTTCTTGTCTTAGGTGCATCGCTCGACACTTTACATGTTTCAAAAAACTTGTGACACTTCGAATAGATCGTCAGTATTAAGAAAGTCGATCATAAGATCGTTCGCTTGCTGGTCCCATAGTCGCATCTTTAACTTGTTGGGCCATGTCGGAACTCCCCATATGCGAGTTTTTAATTTCATGGAGTGAGCTTTTTCGACAAACGGCTTTATACAATGCAGTTCTTCCGGTGAAAGGCCATCTAACGTCACTTCGCTTGAAGTGCAGTCCTCGAGCAATTGTGATAACGAGGCAGATGCCACTATTGACAAAGACGCGTGCTCGTCTTTTAGTTGATGCAATGGTGCATCGACAAAAACGAATCTTTGGCCTGTATGGAAAATCCCATCATCGTTGTTACCGTCCAGTACGCGAACATCTGTCGGGTAGTCGCCAGTAAGAATAATTGTGACCGGATTCCATACGATTTCTCGAGATTCGATATCAAGAAAGGTCATATATCCCATATCAATCAAAGCTTTGAGGTAATTGTTTATCAACAATTCGTAGGTACTTTTACTGTCCTCAGATTTGAAATCGATGTACAAGTAAAGAGTCGTCTCTGGGGAATTGTAAAATACTCCGTATTTGTGGTCTCTTTCATTCTGGTGACAATTTACTTCGTTCAACATATTCAATAAAGGCCCAGTGTACAGAGAGTTCAAAGATCTCTCAAGGGGATTCAAGAATGCTCTATTGTGCCCAACTGCCAGCTCAGAATTATTATTGACGAGCCATACGTCTGCCTCAATACTCGCAATTCCATAGCATAAAGCTTCAAACATGGGCAAATTCCGCCAGTAATCGTTATGAGAGTGTACGTTCGTTATGACGTTTACATCCCTGGTAAGTTTGCTGATAATCGATCCTTCTGGGAAGCAAGTTGTCTCCTTTTGACTTTCTGTGACGTGCCCCGCTAAATACCGCATGAATTCGTCATAATACCTTGACACGTTTACATTGTCCGAATTATCTAAAGCCGAATTTGCAAAAGCTTTTCTTTCAAAGAAATCAAGTAGTCTGTAGCCTGTTATGCCGATGTTGTTGAATTCATGAGTATCGGGGTTGTTTTCTAGTACTACTTTAGACAATATTGGTGTTCCGCGCACGTTCACGAGTGTTCCGGCCCAAAAAGCTGCTGCTGTTAAAATCAAGCATACGAAGACAGATCTAATCATGGTAGGATGCGCGCAATGGTCACAGGACCTTGAAAAGTGTTGCACTTGTTTGGAGTCTTCATACTTCAATGATCTGGGTATATATTGCTTAATTTTGCCGCGCCGTTCTTTGTGATGCATGGTGCGTGCGCGCGTACTTAATTTATAGAGGACTGACAAGTAAAGTGACAGTCGTCAGATTAGGTATGAGAACTTATTGCTCCGTCATAGAAGCCTTTGACTTGCTTGCGTTGTGAAAGGATCGATTTATACTACTCGAAGTGAGCTTTCTGAGGCATAATTTGCTATGTATCTTAGTTATACCTATTGCCGAACCGTGAAACATATCACTCTGTGCTTTTTATAGATCGTAGAGAACAGAAGATCAACATCTGCGAAGAGAGCTTGAGCCGCTCTGAACTAGTGAAGGGCAAACAAGGCAATTTGTGCACGAGGTACACATATTGTCACTTTGTACTATTATGTCACAAGAAGAATAAAAAGAATGCGCCAAATCATAGACTTAGACATTACTATGCATAGCTACCTTTAACGCATTGAGACATCTTTTGAAAATATAGAGAACGGGTAACTATTCTGGTATTTATTGGTGTTTGAGAGGATTTAAGAGCCGGAAAAACAATGAACCAGGTCGCATCACCTTTCCTGATGTCGGTGAGATATGTGTTCCGCCGGTAGCCATAAGCAGAAAACAAGAAGTTAGATATTAACGACTAAGCTGCATCGTAATTTTAAACCTTTTAGTTGAACTCCACATTTGATTAGTCGAGGTTTTGACGTACCACATGACACTCTTTAATTAAGTTCGCTTTCAATACACCTCACCGACAGATGATTCGACCACACGCGATTCATCGTCGTCGAAACTTGACACCTCGGTCATTCTTATGTAAATAGGCCATGGACTTTGATGCAGCACAGCGATGTCTGAAGCTAGCAGCAGGCGTCGCAGGTGAAGAAGGTGATACTCAGGAAACAGATGGGGAATCATACTTGGATGAACATCGTGAATTTCCCATGACGCAGATACCGAACGATTCTAGTGCAAACGTGCTTATAAGCACACAGATTCAAAGTAAATTAGATGATATTGAGCTACAAAACGGTCTACGAAACAGTGTCTCGCAGTTTGCATTTAATACACCAACTCTTCCCACACAAGCGCGGAAAACCGCTCCAAAAAGAGAGAAATCTAAGGCTAATACTGTACGCAAAGCGCGTACCGGTAAAAAACGCAAAAAAAGCACGGACGCCATCAAAAGTATCACTCAATATAATACTGAGAGGTTTGGAGCCATAAGAGGTCAGCGACGCACGAAGCATGTAATGTCGTTATTATCAGGCAAGCATGGCAAGATAAAAGACATCGTCGACACTTTGGAAACTGATACGCGTTCTATCACGAAGCTTAAAACGGACACTCAGTTTTCAACCTACAATGCTCAAGAGTGGTCACATATTTTACAGCTGCTTAGTTCGCGATTTCCACGTTGTCCTGAGTCACAAGTAAAGGCAGTCTTTGATTATGTATATGGTGAAAGTGATGAAAACCACATCTGGTATGCCTCACAGCTGCCGCCACCAGACTCGCAGAACGAAGAATCTCGGAGCAGTCATGTTGTTCCCGATTCACCTCTAGTCTTCACTTTATCGCAAGCAGTAGAAGAATGCAACAGCAACGAGCCTCGAAGCAATGGTAATTCTCACCACTCTGCCACTAATAGTCAAACAGATCCACAAGGAGATCTTCAATGTATCTCAAACACCACTGACGAATTGGACTCGGAAATACATATTAATGACGATATGGCCCGTGCTTTTAAGGCGCAAATGCTTCGATCTGCCACACCAAGCCCAGCTGGATCGAGTCAGATACCTAATAGTGCGGACTCGCCAGATATTGTTCATCGTGAGTTGTCGCCATTTGATTTCACGCGACCACCGCGGCTAGCGAAATCTGAGAGCACAATTTTGCCTGCTCCATTACCTAGCACGAAATTGGAAGAGTCCTTCAAATCACCATCAACTGTCTCCTACACTCGTATCTCCCCTTCAAGGCTCGCTGGTCGAGACCAACTGATTGACTTAACACAGGAGTCTTTTAATGTTGTGACTTCGCTCACATCGGTAATAAAACACGATCTTCAAGTTCCTGCAACCAGGACCACTACACTGAACGACAAAGTCATATTTTCAAACTCCACGAACAACCATCTACTCAATCCCAACATTCATGCACCGCTGGACGAACTACATTTTCGAATTTGTCGCAACATCAACGCTGCAGATGTCTTTGCATCGCTTCGAGAAATTCGGGTCGCACAGTGGGAGGTTTTGAGTTCCCAAAACAACGATAGCGAAGAGGAAGAGAATGAGTATGACATCTTAAGGGTGACATTCGATCCCAGAATCTCCCGAATTTCTCTTAAGCCTCCTGCATCCGTCGCGGCCAACAGCGTGAACGAAGATCTTGTCTTCACTGGTGAAACCCAGCCACTGAAAGAGATCGTCGGCAGATCGCCCTCGCTACCTGCTTCTCTTCCCCCTTCCGCGCAGAATTTACGTAGGAACCTGCGAGCTATTGGTTTCAAGCCAAAGCGAACACGGTCTGAGATGCTGGACCAATTGGAATCCGCTTCCCAGCAACTTAAGGGTACGACAGAAGAGCAGCAGCGCCAAGAGATTTTCGACGACCTTACCGCAGTAGTGGAAAAGAGCCCATCACTTTTAGAAAGAGTCTATACTTTCGAGCCTGTGGTCTTCACGGAACTTAAACGATTTTTGGCCGAAAAACACCCTCTGGTTCTCAATCTTGAGGAATCAACTATAAGAGAGTGGGCTGATCGGATGGGGATATGTTTAAGAAGTGCTAACGATGGCCAGCAGTAATTGCTGCGGATTAGAAGAACGTGTGGATACTATAATCTCAGTCACGTGTAAGGTAAATCCTGAGCTTAAGAAGAAGCACTATATACGTTAATATCTAAGGATGTGAAAAGGTTCAACAAGTAAACAAACAGGATCTAATCAACGGTTCTGTACAAGCAAAGGGGGGTTTTAACAAAGGCCTAAAAGACTACACACATAGTGGAGCATGCCTCAGCCACGCGAGCAGGGGAAGAAGGCCCAAGAGACTGATCTCAGGTCTCAATTAGAAAAGATGCAAAAACGAATAGATCACGAAACAGAAGAAGCGCTGTCCAAAAGAGACTCAAAAAGACATGCTCCGTTCTCAAGCATTCTAAGCAAACGAGACAAAAGAACATCAATGCCCGTATTTGCTGGTAGCTCAACTCATAACAACGTGGTAAACAACAATTCGTCAAAGGATGTGAACTTCGTAGTGGGACTAAGCGAAAACCTTTTGCTTGAGTGTCGCCGTCTCCAGGCCGATAACGAAAAGAAATCGCTCAAATTCAGGTCTCTGCAACAGGAATACGATTCACTGCAGTCAAGATTTGAAGTCCTGTCTGCTAACCTACAAGGAACTCAGCAGGAGAGTTTGTCTTTGAAAGACACCAACTGGGAACTAGAAACAAAACTTCAAAACGTGTCACAGCATCTAAGAGATCTCAAGCAATTTTCTGAAAAGACTCAAAAAGAGCTCGCCGCGCAGCTGGTGGCTTACAAGGAAATACGGAACGAGTTTGACGAAACCACCCTTGAAAGACAAGGCCTCAGAGAAGAGCTAAAAAATGCTCAACAGCGGCATCTCATAAATATTGCTGAGTTAAAACAAAACATTGTTGAGCTGAATGAAGAAAATGATTCTTTACAGCAAAAGTTAGACAAAATGACAGTCAAGGTTGACCAGCTCACTGAACGCCTGAACAAGGCCGATTTACATACTATACCCCACGCAAAAGTAGAAAGCTCCGATTTGACAGCATCTACTGAACTCATACCAGAAACTTTGACTGAAGATCGAAAAACAACATTTTTGTCAGACAGCAAATCTAAGTTGACTCTTACACCGCATGACCAGTCGTCAATAAAGGACCTAGATGATGCTAACTTGATGATTGATAAACTGAAATCACAGATTGTTCAATTGAAGAGGTCACAGAAGGTTTTTTCTCCTAAGCAAAAGGAACATCACAAAAAAATCCGCTCCACTGCGAGCTTTGAACCGCAGGACCACAATTTGCCAGCTCAATTAGGAGCTTCTTCCGCCAAGCATGTTAAGCGTAGTTGCGAGGAGAAGTTACAACTAACAGAAGGCAGCTTCGACGATTCCAACTGTTCGTTCTATACCGAAGAGTTTGACTCACACAATAATGATTCTGATATTGAAGTCAAAAGCGATATATCAGAGACAATGGATGCTGTGCGAAATCCTATACTGGAGGACCTTGGCGATGATGACAGTGGTGCGTTCCAGACAGAATACAGTGAAGCTCAATTGTTTGCCAAAGCGCATAATTTAATATTATTACCCCAAGATGAGTATGATGCCATGATTGCCAAGGAGACCATTTCTGGTCGAGATAAAAGTAATGCGGGCTCGCTTATAAATGAATTCGCCTTTAATGAACTAAATGCTGTATCAGAATTGGAGCGAAAAGGTTATAAGGTTCACAATCCGACTGAGTTTGAGTCATTTCAAAAATCTCTTGCATGCTGGTCAGCCCCATCTATTGATTATTTGAAGAGCAAAGCCACAGAGCTTAACAGCATGATAATCTCCTATGACGAATATGAGTCCCTGAAGTGCCCGTCATTGGAAACACTCAAGGAGCAAGCAAGTGAGATGCAATGCACAGCTTTAAGCAATGAAGAATTCAAGGATCAACAAAATCAAATTAAAAACCCCTCTTTGAGTTACCTCGAAAAGAAGATTAATGAGCATGGCAAAGTTTTGGTATCGAAAGAGTCCTACGATAAACTTCAGGAACCTACGCTTGAAGATATGAACTCCCATGCTACGCTTATGGGGTGTAAACTTGTGAAATCTTCCGAATGGGAATCGATGAGGAGCGCTCTAAGCCATCCCACGCTAGAGTTCTTATCTGAGAGTGCCAAGAAGATGAATTACTCCATCACCCCATCAGAAATTTTTGAAAGTCTCTCTCAACCTTCATTGGCGATGCTTTCTCAACGTGCAACAGAAGTCAGCCACATACTCTTGTCGAACGCTGAATATCAGCGGCTCAACTCCATTGATCGTCAATGGGTGGTTGACAAGGCTTCTTCTTTAGATCTCGAGGTACTTGACAGAAGCGATTACAATAAGCTAGAGAATCCAACTATGGAATGGATTGAGCAAAAGGCCAAGAGTGTGGGATGTGTTGTCTTATCGGAGCAAGATCATCACGACCTTGTTAATCCAAGTGTAGGAGCTTTGAAATTAGCGGCAGCCGAAAGAGGTTGCATAGTCGTCCCAAAGCTCGACATTGACGATCTCCACGATAAATTGAACACTCCTGACGAGACTTTTATAAGGGCAAAGGCTCTTGATTTGGACTTGAGGGTCCTAGAAATTAAGGAATTTGAAAGGATCAAGGCTGAACTTGAATGTCCGACCTTGAATACCATAAAAAGCACCATTGAAGCTCAATACATGGACTCTATATTATCTTGGCTTGCTCAAGAACATCATCTAATCACCTTGCAAGAAAAAGAGCATCGTGATTTAGTAGCGCTCAGTCTCAATCCCACATTAGAGCAATTAGAACACTTAGCCGCCAGTAAAAATCATTCACTCATAAACAGTGAAGAACTAGGACGGTTAAACGGTCGTCTCAAGAATCCTAATGTCGACTACTTGGTGAAACATATCGAAACTCACAACAAAGCAGTAGTGGATACTTCTGTGCTTGCCGATCTCCGCGAAAAAGCCGAACATCCTAATATTGAATACCTTTCTAGCCATGCACGTTTGAACGGATTACATTTGTCAAATATCAATGAACTGGAGAACCTTAAGGTAAGAATTGAAGAGCCTGATTTCGCGTATCTTTTGGCAAAATCCAAGGCCTCTGGTTATGTCCTTGTTGGCGAATCCGATCACCTGAAATTTACGAGCCACATCGAAAACCCTGAAAAATCGTTTCTGGAATCCAAGCTAAGCGATTTGGGATATGTGTCGTTGAAGGAGGACGACCTATCCAAGCTACAAAACCAAATAGAGAAACCTGAGAGATCGTTCTTGGAATCTAAGCTAAGTGATTTGGGATATGTGGCATTGAAGGAGGAAGACCTTTCCAAGCTACACAACCAATTAGAGAAACCTGAGAGGTCATTTTTGGAAACGAAGTCGAGAGAACTTGGGCTCACTTTACTGCAAGAGGAAGATCTCTCCAAGCTACACAACCAACTAGAGAAACCTGAAATGTCGTTCTTGGAATCTAAGCTAAGTGGTTTGGGATATGTGGCATTGAAGGAGGAGGACCTATCCAAGCTACACAACCAATTAGAGAAACCTGAGAGGACATTCTTGGAAACAAAGTCGAGAGAACTTGGGCTCACTTTACTGCAAGAGGAAGATCTATCCAAGCTACACAACCAACTAGAGAAACCTGAAATGTCGTTCTTAGAATCTAAGCTAAGTGGTCTGGGATATGTGACATTGAAAGAGGAAGATCTATCCAAGCTACACAACCAACTGGAGAAACCTGGCAGATCGTTCTTGGAAGCTAAGTTAAAGAATATGAATTTGATTCCAGTAGCTGTTGATGAATATTCTGCTTTACAAAAGCGTATCCAAGGTCCGGGTCTCCCTTATCTCGAAGATAAACTGAAAAAATTGGGCTTTATTGCAGTTAAGAGTGAAGAATATCGCGATCTGCAAGACAATACCGAAGTGCGTTACGAGACTTTCTTCGACAAAAAGCTCAAAAACTTAAATCTTGTAGCTGTCAATGCTGACGACTACGAAATACTGAAGCAGCTTGCAGAAAGTTCAAAGAAAATCATTACGACCGACAAAAACCAGAGTGTCAAATCATCCCCAATCAGCAGCCAAGAAGCATCTGCAATGAAAGCAGTGGCGGATGATACTGAAACTTACATTTTAAGAGAAAGTGAAGGGCTCGACGGATTAGTTTTAATCGCGGTTGATGAAAAGAAATCCCTTGACTCGAAAGATCGTGAAGGCAAGTCCCCAAGCCTGTCCTTGCAAGACAAGTTGATAAGTTTTGGCTTTGTCACCATGAGCGACAAAGAACCCTTTAATTTCAATGACCAGGTTGCAAAACCTAATATGTTATTTATCGAAACCAAAGACACCAAGTATGGTGCAGCAGTGGTTGGCGCCAGTGAGCTTCGGTCGCTGAGAGACACGGTAGAAAACCCACAAATGTCATTTTTGGAGAGAAACTTGAGCGACCGGGGTTTCATCGCAATGCGTGAGGGCGAGCATGCGGGAATTCTTCAGAAGATCAATTGTCCGGATACAGCTTATTTGCAGGAGAAATTAGGTGAAGTTAGTATGGTTGCAATCACCAAATCTGAGTATTCGGAGCTAATGTCGTGTTTCGAAAGTCCCGATCTGTATTTTTTGACATCGAAGCTTAAAGACATTGGGTTTGTTCCTATAAAGGAAGACGAGCTCTCCGGTTTAAAAAACAGCGCACAATCTCCAAAGTTTTCTTTCATGGAAAGTAAACTGAAAGAGGCGGGTTATGTTTCTGTTACCTTTGAAAAGTATTCGGCTCTCGAAAAGTGTGCTCAGAAGCCTCAGCTATCATTCTTGGAAGAAAAGGCTCGAGACCAAGGCTTTGTTCTCGTTTCTGATTCAGAAAATCGAAAAAGAACAGATTTGATGGAGAACCCAACTTTGAGTTATCTTAAAGAAAAGGCGCGTGGGTATGAAGTGGTACCTATTGCCCATTACGAATCACTCACCACCCATGTAGACTCCCCGAGTCTGGAATTTTTGAATAGCAAAAGCGAAGCCGCCGGTTATTCTCTTCTTCCAGCACATATTCATAAAGAACTTCTCAGGAAACTTGAAAACCCCACTCTTGAGGAGCTGGAATTATTGGCTAGTGGGGTAGGCTTTGTTGTTGTGGCAGATAAAGAATTCTCCGACCTAAATGAGAAGATCGAAAATCCCTCTTGGAAATACCTTTCTGAGAAGACAAAGTCTTTAGGTCTAGTTGCCATTTCGCAGCGCGAGCACGAAGAGTTGATTGTCGCATCGCAGGACGACGCAGCCTTCAAGAAAATCGAAGAAAAGGGGTTCAAAGCTGTTGGGCAAAAAGAATTTGCCGATCTTATCGGTAATAACATCAGAGATGCTGGTATTGAACAATTACAACCTCGTCTTGAAGCTTTAGGGTATACATCTCTCTCTTTAGATGAGTTCAGTGACTTGAAAAAGCCCCTTGTTGAGAAACTGGACCCTGTCGTTGTCTCACTTTTCTGCGAAAAGAATGGTTACGTCATGTTAGAGCAGGAGGAACTCGATTCTCTCAGACATGCAGTCTCCAAGCTGTCGATTGAAGATTTAGAGAACCTTGCAGGAAAGCACGATAGCAAACTCATATCCTTACAGGATTTCAATAATCTTTGTGAAAAGGCTGAGACGCCGGCTATTGATGCCATGCAGCGTGCTTGTGGGACGATGGGCCTTGTTCTCGTATCTAAAGATTCTCATCAGAAAGACCATGATATGCTTGAGAACCCAACTGCTGATTGGATCGCTTCACAAGCAGAGCGTTCGGGGAAGGTTCTTACAGATAAAGGAAATTACGATCTTTTGCTGGAGTCCGTGGAAACACCATCATTGGAATATTTGCAGCAAAAAGTGGCTCTCAGGAATCTTCACTTAGTTGCCTATCAAGAATACCACAAACTTCTAGAGCAAGTGCGCAAGCCAACAATTGAATTTTTGAAAGAAAAAGCAGATGCCCTTGATCTGATTTTGGTGCATAAGGAAGAGTTAACCACCTTGAAAAATAGAGACGACTCATATACCGATGATGATTTGAAAACAAAAGCAACTGAACTGAAAAAAGTCGTCATCGATGAATCTGAGTACAGGAGGCTTCTCTACGAACTAGAACATCCGGGAAAAGAATACTTGAAATCTGCGTCGGAGGAACTTGGGTTCATGATGCTTGAGAAAGATGATTATAACTTGTTGTCGATTGCTGCCGATAAGCAAATGACCATTGATGACATTTTCCCTATAGCTGCAAGACACTCATATGCAATTTTGCCAGTAGCGGATCTAGAGGACCTAAAAAATGGATTAGCAAGGCCATCAGTCGAATATTTATCGGACAAGGCAGCTTTTCATGGTCAACAACTCGTTAGTGCACATATTTTGAGTTCTTTCGAAGAAAACTTCAAATCGATTCAGAATCCAACACTGGACTTTGTCTCTGACCTCGCCACGGCCGTCAATTGTGCCGTGCTACCTGTAGCACAGTATGAGGAAATGAAAACCAGTCTCGAAAACCCCTCCGAAGCGTACTTGAAAACTAAAGGGAAATCTCTGGGCTTTGCTGTCATTGATCAGCCATTGTATGAGAGCCAAGTCATGGAACAATCAACTCTTGAGTCTTTGAAAGACCACGCTGAACGTTTGGATATGAAAGTGCTACCAACTTTGATCTATGAAGACTTAGTCAAGTTTAAAGAGCATCCTAATCTTGAGTTCATCAAAGAGAAATTAGAACTGTACCCTGATTATGTCCTGTTGAGCAAGATCGATCATGAGGTTTTGAAAGCTTCTTTGAACAACTCACTCTCTGGAGCAATCGATCCTAATGAGAAACTTAGACCTGAGGCTCATCGCAGTACATCTAGCTTTGCAGCAAGGAAACAGTTCTTTGAAGATGTAATAAGAGAAGAAGGCAATCAACAGAGTAAGGAAAAGATTGTTAGATGTGCTAAAGCACTTGGGCTTGTAACGCTAAACTCTGACGAATATAAGGAGTTGATGGAAAATCAAAAAGAGACCCCCCTCTCGAAAAGCCAGCTTTACAACTCGGCAAAGTTATTTGAATTAACTGTTCTACCATCCCAGGAATACCTGGCTCTTCTAGAAGACTCAAAGAATCCCTATTTCAACTCAAACGAAGAAGTCGGACCAGCTACGGCAGTTTCGGAGCTTCGTGTTCCTTCGTCCCAAAGCTTCACCTGCAACGATTCACAAAGCAGAAACGTTGTAGAACCTGCTTTCTCCTCAACGTCGAGTAGGTCCTCTATTAGCGAAAGCTTCTACTACGATGCTTTACAATCCGCAGTAAGCGAATTACATTTCAATGAATCGGTCTCTAGCTTTGAGACCAATTCCGCGCACTATACCGATGCACTAGGTGAGCAATCGTTATCGCGAACTTCCACGGTTCGTGAAGGTGACACCATGCAATCGATATCTATCTCCGAGCTTCGAGAACAGGCCTATTCAGTGGGTTACGTCTTAGTAAGGCAAAACTCAGGTTTTGGGGGAACGGATCTCGAAAGCGAAGACGATGGCCTAGGTGTAGATGACACCGCTTTGGCGCTTACTCAAAGTGAGGACGATGCTGGAACACACGCAAGCAGCGTTTCCAGCATTGATACTGCCCAACGAGAATGGATACTTAAAGAGAAAGCTGCTAAGCTCGGTTTATTTGTTATTACAGAGGATGAGCATGCAGAGTTCGAATGTCTCAAGAAGCTCACAATGGTTGATTCTATCACCGACGGTTACATGGAACCACTGAGAGACGCTCATTATATTGAAAAAGACACTACAGAAAAACATTGGAAAACAAAATGTGATTGTACCAGGAAGCTTTCGGGTAATCAAATTGGGTCCATTGTGGACGATGCAAGTTCTCTGCCGCTTGCCGCCGCAAAACCGGGGTTTGGCCTCCTTCCAAAGACGGAAGACAGAGAAGGATTCAGAAGAGAAGCGATGGCTCATGAAAGCGAAAGCTTCGGTGAAAATAATAGTTGTCAAGCGCCTAAAAACGAAAATAAACAGCAAGACGATTCGTCAACTAGGTTTTCTTATCTCTACTCAGACAACGAGGAGCTGACTGTGCTCGGAAAGCGACGTGATTTCCCAGTAGCATGGTCATCGAGCACACCTGCCGAACGACTCAGAGTGAAAGCTGAACTGATTGAAAAAGCCCATGAGTTCGGCCTAGTGTCGTTAGAAGCGGACCAGTTTGCACAAATTAAGGAAGAACTTGCAGCCGGAGCCAAGAATTTGACTCTTGATGACATCATGATCAAGTCAGCTGAATTTGACTTGGTGCCATTACCAAGAGGCCAATTCGAGCAAATTAAAGCGGAGCTTTCTAACCCGACACTGACAAAGGAACAGATTGTGGAAAACGCTGCAGATTTTGGCTTAGTTGCAGTCGAGAAAGTTGAATTGGACAAATTGAACAGAAATAAGCATTTGGGCACAGAGGACGAATTTACATCCTCCGGTATAGAAGAAAGCGAACTATCTGAAGATAATGAAGACAGAAACCAGATTGATTCTCTAGCTAAGAAGTTGGGTTTGATGTGTATTCCCGAAAGTGCCTTCGTCGCGACCACAATGGCGAGCGTCGTCGACACTCATAACGTTGTTGTTCTTCCCTCCTCTTACTACGATCACATTCTCGCCAAAGAGCAGGAGGGCGTAAAAATGGCCACAATCGAGGAGCTACAAATTGAGGCCAGGAAACGTGGTCTAGTAATTGGACCTAGAAACTCCCCCGTCCAACAGAGCGTCGCCAACATGTCTCCACATCAATCAAGAGTTAGCAGGCAGGCTTCAATTCGCTCTAACGTTTCATCGGAATCGAACAGTAGAAGAAGCTTAGCTGAGGCCGCGGTAAATGCCGCCTACAATGACCACGAAGTGGCAACCATAAAGTCTCGCGGCCACAGACATTCGCTCTCCTCAAATAGACAAACCATTTTGAACATGGACGTAGACGTTACTACTGTGCGTCACGCTTCTTTTGACGGTGGCATATCACTGGCCACAGTTGCCTCGTTGAGTGAGCCCAGCATTATTCCCGCTTTGACCCAGACTGTTATCGGTGAATACCTTCACAAATACTACCGTCGTTTGGGCCCTTTTTCTAATGTGACCTCGCGCCACGAGCGGTACTTTTGGGTACATCCTTACACTATGACACTATATTGGTCGACAAATAATCCTGTACTTGAGAATCCAGCTACGAATAAGACAAGAGCTGCCGCTATTTTGGGTATAGAGAGTGTTGAAGACCCAAACCCATACCCTGCTGGTTTGTACCACAAGAGCATCGTTGTGAAGACCGAAACACGTCCAATCAAGATTACATGCGCGACAAGACAGCGCCATAATATTTGGTTCAACTCGTTACGCTACCTCATTCAAAGAAACATGGATGGCATTAACCTCGACGACACAGCTGCAGATCCCGCCGATGCTAACAAAATTTATCAACTTCCAGGCGAAACTCCAAAACTCACAAATCAAAGACTATCTTCCACGAGACGTGGAATGTCAGCTGGATCAACCAAGCGTCCAGCATCAACAAGAACGCTCAACAAATGATCTCATATAACTTGCTTCGATTCACTCATTAGAGCTCCTGAAAGATGCGATTGTAGTGTGTCACGTGAATCGGGCGAATCCGTGTCTCTATCTCATAAGATTAACTAGATAGCTTATCAACAAACTCAGGGACCTATTTAAATCATACCGTTACCAATAATGAAGCTGCACTCACGAACAATAAAGCCGCTGTAAACATCAAAAAGCATGCAAGACGAGGAAAAGCTCATTCCGTCGCCAGAAGGAAATAAAAAGCGTACAGGATGGCTGGCTCAAAATGTTTGGAAGGCCATTTGTACATTAGCGCTTGTTATCTATCTATTCACGTCGCTAGGGCATAATTCCGCCGCCAACCTTGCGGACGTCGAGACAGAGGGTCTCGGAGTAGCGTCGCCGCTGGAAAAGTCATTTTTGACAGCTCTCGATGAGAATCTCGCAGGAAATTGGTCCGAAAAATACACTTCAGTGCCTCATTTGGCTGGTCAAGGCATCGAACTTGTAGACTGGACAGTTAAGAAGTTCCAGGAGTATGGTCTAGAAACAGCTACCGAATCTTTCGACATCTACCTCAACTACCCAGTCGAAAATGGGCTTAGCTTATTGAGAGAAGGCAAAAACGGGAGCGTAGTGGAATATCGAGCAACGCTCAAGGAGGACGCGCTACCTGATGATCCTACAACTGGCGGTGAAGATCTCATTCCGGCTTTCCATGGTTACAGTGCATCCGGAAACGTTACAGCGGAATATGTCTACGTCAATTACGGTACTAAAGAAGACTTCGAGCTTTTGAAAAACCTTAAGTTCGATTTCGCTGGTAAAATCGCCATTGTGAGATACGGGAAGATATTCAGGGGGCTGAAAGTCAAGTTTGCGCAAGAAGCAGGATGTGTTGGGGTACTAATCTACTCAGACCCTGGTGATGACTTCTACCAAGAGGCTAAAGGCGATAAGGCATATCCTAATGGGCCCGCCAGAAACCCATCTTCTTTGCAAAGAGGCTCCGTTCAATTTATAAGTGAAATGCCTGGGGATCCCACCACGCCAGGCTATCCATCTCAAGGTGATGTGGAAAGAGCGGATCCTTTCGATAGAATCCCCTCAATTCCAAGTTTACCCATATCTTTTAAAGAAGTGACGCCTATATTGAGGAAGTTAAATGGCCATGGGTTCAATGCAACGAAGGTTGGAGGAGAAAAATGGGTCGGTGGTTTGAAGGGGTTTGACTATTGGACGGGTCCTGCTCCGAGCTATTCTTTGAATCTATATAACAACCAGTCCTATGATATTCGGCCCATTTACAATGTTTACGGAAACATTACTGGAACGGACTCCAGCGAGGGCTACATTTTAATTGGTAACCACCGTGATGCCTGGATTAAAGGCGGTGCATCAGACCCCAACAGTGGATCCGCTTCTATGCTCGAGGTGATACGGGCTTTCCACGAACTACAATTACAAGGTTGGAAGCCTCGCAAGACGATAGTATTTGCTTCCTGGGATGGCGAAGAGTACGCTTTGTTGGGCTCAACCGAGTTTGGAGAGAAATATGCTGATGATCTGCAAGCTAATTGTTTGGCGTACTTGAACGTTGATGTTTCTGTAAGCGGAAAGCAACTAAACATTGGAGCTTCTCCATTCTTGAATCAAGTGTTGACCGAATCATTGCATCTTGTCGCGTATCCTTTTGGTGGGACTCTATTTGATCATTACTTCAAGAAATATGAGAAGTTTGGTATTCTTGGCAGTGGTTCGGATTACACTGTCTTTCAGGAACACCTGGGCATTGCCTCAGTGGATATGGGCTTTGATAGCTCTCGTGATGACCCAGTTTATCATTATCATTCAAATTACGACTCGTTTCACTGGATGAGCACAATGGGCGATCCAGGTTTCAAGTTGCACAATGCTTTATCGCGGTATCTTGGATTGGTAGCACTAAAGCTTACAGAACGTAAAGTTATTCCAACCGAGGTGAAAAGTTATGCCACAGAGTTGGAACTATACTTCCAAGCTTTGCTTACCAGAGTTCCCGACAAGTGGATGAGTATTCCGACAGGCGGGTGTCATCGCACGATCTCTAGTGCCTTGGCTAATTTGGAAGCAGAATTCAAGAAATTTGTAACAAATGCCGATGCTTTTGACGTTCGGGCTAATGCTCTGCAAGCCGAGTGGGATGTATCTGGTAGCTTACCATTCTGGAGGCGCATTGCACTGCACTACAAAATTAAGGGATTGAACTACAAACTTAGATACCTTGAAAGAAGGTTTTTACACCACAAGGGATTGGATGGAAGGTCATGGTTCAAACATATTGTTTACGCCGCTGGCAGAGATACTGGCTACAAAGGATTCGCATTTCCAGGTTTGAAAGAGGCACTAGATGATGATGACGTCTATAGATTCACTAAATGGTTGAGGATTATAAGAAGGAAAATGAAGGACTTAAATGATGACTACGAAATCTAGTGATCAGTTTGGTTGAAGTTGTTGAGGTGACTAAGCTTTGTATGTCACAGGCATAATATGTCTTTGCCCACGCAGCTGTGAGGGTCCTCTAATGCACTAAGACTGAATGATACATGCTGAAAATTGATGAGAATTGCGAAGACGGGGATTTTTATTATTGTCCCAATAAATAAGTACATCTAATGTTATAAAGTGAAATAGAACGTAATAGAATGTAACGTGCTAGCAAGGACGAAGGGCCAAGCAAGCAGTAGTAGGTTTCACCATTACCAGGCCATTCTTTGCAGTACTTGAACGTTGGCGTGATGGTTTCTACGCGACATATTTTCTTGATTGTGACCTGCCCGCAAGTACACTTTAATATCGCTGTCGTTGCCGTGCTTAAAGCAGCATCTTTGGCCGTATGGGCAAGAACCGGTTCTCATCCAGTTGGCACAAGGTTTTGTTCTAAATTTGTTGTTGCGTTCTTTAAACTTCAGTTCCTGAAGTCCATGTGCAAACTGGCAATTGGGCCCATATTTGCAGAGGCCCTTAGTGGAAAAGGACTCGCAAAGCTCCGTCTTGTAAAGTACCTTGTTGCATTTTTCGTGGCCTTCATTCTGTTGAGAGGTATTCGTAGAGGTAGTGTTGGAATTCACTGGTGCTGATGCTGATGGCGTGGGTTCTGGTGCTGGCGCCAAGCATTCTGGTCGTTGAGGCGCCAGTTTGGGGTTCTGTAAAAGCTTCAAGTTCTCACTGGTGAGCGGCAACACTCCGGTTGCAGGCATGTAGTGTGGATTAATCTCGACCTCTAGCTGCTGCTGGGACGAGGCAAATGCTAGCCGAAGTTTCTCCAGGTCGTAGGTGTTGACGGCAGCAACCGCTGGAGGCGCCTGGCGCTGTTTACTGTACTCATGGGGCAGCGCTGGCAGCTCTTCGTCCAGCAAAGTGCGGATATAGTATGCCTCGATCTCTTTGATTCTTGCGTCGTAGTCGTCTTCCTCTGCAGAGAAAACCGACGAAGTCTGGGTGGTTCTGGAAGAGATACTGCCGTGGTTGTGAGTAGCGTGAGAGTTCATCGTGGGTAGTGTGACTAGTGCTGAAGCCAGACTACAAGGACCAATCCACTAACGCTAACGCAGCTATCCACATTATATACTGAAGTCCACCAGGGCTTACTTTCTGCACCCTTTATGGTGCAGTTTCTATCTATAACGCCCGTTCCCACAGCTTCTGCACCCAGCATAACATAGCCGCAGGGTGTGGAGCCCGGAGCGCGTGGCTTCAAGGCCGTTGCGATGTCAAATCAAGACGTTTCTACAGAACCATTTCCTTCTGCGGCGATCTCAAGCTCTGGTCGAGAACATTTGCAGTGGCTTCCTAAGCGTGGCGATACGGGTGTCGCTGAAAAAATGGGTGTGTTCATGTGCCCATGTGGTTTGTAAGTTTGGGTGTCTTCATGTCTCGGATATTCGTAGAAAGGCCCATGCGATGAATTCGCTGGGTGCAGTTGATGGGCGGAGAATACGTGGCGATAATGGCGGGGATAAGCCAGGAAAAAGTGCCAGCAGTTTGACGAGCAGATTAACAATTGTGAGCGAAATTCAGCGGAAGCATAACGACGGGACAATCAGGAGCGATAGCGACTAAAATTGTCAAGAATGCGAGTTTTTACTACAGAGAATTTACGAGTGATGGCAAGTTCTCACAAATCGTGAGGTTTTAGAGTGATAGCGGAAGAACTCGCAGAGATATGTCAAAACCACAGGAGATTTTGGCATCGTAGAGCAAAGACTCGAAGTTGTTGATATCAAGATTTTGAAGCATTACCAAACAGCTGCGGCATTTGGTCATCGTTCATGAAGCCTTTGACATTAACAGGTGTACTGAGCAATTATGGGCGATGGTCTGGCCATCGTGATAAGGCACTCTAAAAAGCTGCAAAATTGGATTCTTTTCCTACATTTCGAGTGACACTTTTTTGACATGCGTATTGATGAATGTAAGAATAGCACCTGGAAAAATGTGAAAAGTTTTTGTAGCATTTTTCACGAGGGGGTTTCGACAATGTCCGTTTTACGGCTCGATGTCAGCGATAGCCTTGGGTTCGCGCTTCGCTTCCAAGCCCCGTTTTCTGGTGCAGTGTTTTGGTTAGTCGGTGCTGATTTAGGACTCTGTAAATTCTTGCTAGCAGCTGGTTTGGTTTTTTAATTTCTCAAATAGTTCAGCGGTCAATCTGGCGTCCGCGCAGTGGATACCGCTGTTGAAGCCTTCTTGGGGGTACGTTAAATGCCGGGCTCATCTCACAATGAGGTAGGAAGTAATAATGTCTTCTAATATTTTTCAAGATTTAATAGTTTTGGGAGGTATTTTCGACATTGGAATTGTAAACTAAGCTTTATGCAGAGAATGAAAGAAAGAGGCTCTCTATTTTAAATTCTCGCTTTCCATCGTAGTTGCCGCCAGACCACACTGAATTAGTGCCTGTTTTATGAATTGTAGTCTGTTTTATCAGGAGTTTAATTTACTTACCTATTCGGTCAATAGATTTGTCCAAGTCTCGTTCATCTTAATTTGAATAACGTGTGGTGTTGACTGTATATATGCAGCAACGTTCCGAAACGCTCATTCATCTATCTAAACGCAGCATCAACAATATTTGGGCTAGAAACCATCCAGTCTTAAGATCACTAATAAGACACTTGGTTTCATAAAAGACTACCGATGCATCGAACTATCAAACTTTTGGGTTCCGCAATAAACTTTGGTCCAAGATAGTTTAAAACAAGCGCTATTCGAGTCTAAGATAAATTGCTTACGCTATTAACATTGAGTCCCTCACTAGTAATTGGAACCAATTCTTGTTTGAATACATAAAAACACACGAAAGGACGACGGTAATTGTTTGTTGATGAGTATCATTCATTTGTGCTAACTAGAAAAATGTTATTTGGTCTCCTGTTGACCCAGGTACAGTACGCAATCGATTTGTAAATGAGTAATAACGAAACTACTTATTTTATATCTTCTTCAGAATATCAAAAATTACTCGATGTTGCTACTAACAGTTCAAGTTTTGACTGGGCTGCGTGAGCAATGTCAACCAGAATCCGATCAAAATTCCAGAATATGTTATGGTGCTTTCTAGACACAAACTATCGAAGAAGGAGGACGCTAGCCGTGTTTTCAAAAAATCACTTTTTACAAATACGACACTTGTGCTCTCAACTTCGGGTAATATATTGTTTTTTACTTCAGTATTCACATCCATACAAATAAAACCAAAGCAACAGCTGAATCCAACAACCAAATAGACGCCCTTGCCCTATTCTCCTACACTCCATGGACTATCAAGAAGAGCAAACTCAAGAACTGGAAGTGCTCGAGTCTATATACCCGGATGAGCTGACCATAGTGTCCAGTCAATTCCCAAAGATTCAGTTCGAAATTAAGCTGCCACTCGACCTGATGCCGTTGGATAGCTCGTCTTTCACAGCTGATGCACTTACGAAGGATCACTGGATTGTTCTAAATATCAAGTTACCTGAAACATACCCCGACACTGTTCCTGTAATAAGAATATCATGCGAGCAAGCTCGGAAGTCGGGGCCCTCGGGCGCCGCAGGCGACAGCGATTCAGACGAGGATAGCGAATCAGACGAGGAAGTACAATACGATGACAATGGCAACCCCCTCGACTCCAAACTAACAAATTTGCCTGACCAAGTCGAATTTGAGGACTACATCAAAGTCTTGGAGTCCCAGGTCGAATCTCAAGCAGATGAGGATATGCTTGTTGGCATGCAAATGTGCTTTGCACTCGTCTCCTGGCTGAAGGAGTCTTGTGAGCACTATTTCCAAGAACAACTAGCAGAACTTGAACGCGATCACGAACGCAAGCTTGCTGCGCGTGAAAAAGAAGAACAAAAGAAGTTTCGGGGAACTAAAGTCACCAGAGATTCCTACACGGAATGGAGAGACAAGTTTCGCGAGGAGACCGGACGTAATGAAAGAGATGCGAGACGCAAGGCCGAGGCCCACGGTGGCAAACTTACGGGCAGACAAATATTTGAGCAAGGATTGGACGGGAGCGAAGATGTGGAAGAGGACTAGACCTCTTAAAAAGCTTTTTCGAATAACTCACTTCTCTTTCCAAGACTTTCCTCCTAGCATTCGCATTCCATACAAAATTGTAAATTACAGACTAAAAATCACTATCGAATAGAGACACAACAAGGCTTTTATAATTAATAATGATAAATTTATGCCCTGCTTTACATCAAGCATGAGCTTTGGAATACGAAAACAAATCCGCAAATGCATCTTTTGATTTACCACTGGATCCTGTGGTTTCCTTATTCTTTGATCCTGATCCCGATCCATCCCAATCCAACAAATCAATTCCACCCATTGTGCTAGTGGTGGTATTTGTTGAAGTTGTCTTAGGTTGACTATCGCTCTGAAATTCTCCAAAATCATCTTCGTCGTCTTCGGCAGGTGCTGTAGAGGCCCGGTATCCGTTTGGGGCCTGTGGGACTGGTTCGGCATCATCAAAGTTCAACAAGTCAACAGGAGGCTCTTGGGCCTTTTTTAGGGACGCTTTGCGCTGTAGCTCACTGGCTTTAATTTTTTCTCTGAGTATTTCCCGTTTCTGGCGTCGCTGTTCATCTACAACAGAGGACCTAAGCTGCCTCGCGGATGGGACATTCGTAGGGGCTACACTGCCCTCCACCTCGAAGTCGTCGTCGTCGTCGTCGTCGTCGTCTTCGTCGTCATAAGATCCATAGACGGGATCCTGGCGTCCTCCCGCGGCAGGCGTAGATGTAGTAGTTGAGTAGGCGCTCGAAGATTGATGGATCTTGGCCACATTTTTAGTATGCTTCGCGCGTTCTCTTTTCAAAAAAGCAGGATCCTCCAAATACTGGATCATGGTTTCGCACTTCTTCTTGATTCCACGTTCATGAACTTCCATCTTCCCGTCACTGCTGAAGTCCACGCGGAAATGCATCACGTCACGGGTCAAGATGTGTTTATGCGTTAGCAAACAACTTGTAACTTGGTCGAGCTCCGAACCGTTGTCCACATTCATGAGCAGATAATCGAGCACCACCAAGCATTTAAGAACTACGCGCCATTCATTTCCGTAGTTCACATATTGCTTGCGCGCTTTCTCGTAAAGGTTTTTGGGCCTCGCAGCAATATGGTCCACCAGTCTTTTCAAGGTGTACTCGGTCATCAAATGGAGCGGAACTTGGTATTTATTGCGCATCACTTTGAAAAGGTGTTTCGGAGTAGGGCCCCACGAATCTGTATTCGTCGCACGACGAATATCCACCTGGTAAGGCTCATATTGCACAATTACGTTCTGGGCAAATCTAGCAGCATTTCTAATATCATGAATCCCCAGATTCTGGATCTTTTTAGACAGGGAATCCATCTATTCAACAGCTAGAAAGTTATAGTAGTTGATGACCGCGACAAGTTCCTCCTACCAAGCTAGTTCAAGCGACGTAAAGGCGATAAGACAATCTATTGATATGTTTAAAGATCTGAATCTGTTTAGTGGGAAGCGAGTTTTTTGATGACGAGACATCGGTTTCCGGAGCACTACGTACGGTGATATGTAGGCTTCCTATCCGGTTTTAGCATGATGATATCTGCTATTTGAAAGCTGCGAACTTTGGCTGACAATGATAGCTAGTACTTGACAACAATTCGAAACATTCTCAATGTTGTTGTACTCTTCGCCAATCCTTCTTCTCTCAGGGACAGAAAAGTATAAAGTGATGTTGGCGAACGCTACCGATGTTTGCTGCACTATTTACGCCATATCATAATACCGAGACGATATCTTGAACAGTCTCGAGAGCTCCAGACATTAGAAATTACTTATTGGACTTTTTTGGCTTTTACTAATATCGGTAGATGAATTTTCATGTTTCATTTCCGTGTTTTCCGCTAACTTTTGACATGCTTCAATGTAGAGACCATGCTGACGGCTGATAGTTATAATTATGCAATTGATTCAATAAAAAATCTAGCTTTAATACAATACAATATGCCGTTTGATGCTAAAGTCTGATGATTGCGACAAGCAGAGTCTGGCTTCGTTGTTTTAATTTTATCGCCGTAGCCTGTAACTTCATAACTCGCAAAATGGTCAGTAGCTAGCATCTCCTTGATATCCGGGTGTGCAATCACCAAGCTCCTAGAGAATCAACCTGACACTTACAAATCAAAAAAAACATTTCGCTTAACACAGTGATCAATTAAGTTGGATCTGAAAAATCGCCCAACACAGGCACTGAATCCATTCCCAAGTTTGATGACAAACAACAAGCCGAATGGCAGTGTGTCATGGAAACTAAACACGTACTGGTCCCCAAGCAGAAACAATCATATTTTCACTCGTGAGTGAATTGACTAACACTTTTCTATCTTACGTCTCTTCTGTCCTCGTAAAAGGTTTCTTAAGTCATATACATGTGTACGTAAAACACAGACATAAAGGGGCTTTAAATATTACCAGTCTTTTATTATAATTCACCAGACTTGGCAACCACGATGCGGCCTCTGGTGGTACCGTGTGGGGAACCTAGAGACTCGACCTTCTTGACAATGTCAGCACCTTCGGAAACCTCACCGAAGACGACGTGCTTACCGTCCAACCAAGGGCATGGAACAGTGGTCACGAAGAATTGAGAGCCGTTGGTGTTAGGACCAGCATTGGCCATCGACAACAAACCTGGCTTGTCGTGTCTCTTGACGAAGTTCTCGTCTGGGAACTTGCCGCCGTAGATGGACTTGCCACCGACACCAGTACCGTGAGTGAAATCACCACCCTGCAACATGAAGTCTGGGATCACTCTGTGGAAGGGGCAGCCAGCGTAGCCGAAACCCTTCTCGCCAGTACATAGGGCTCTGAAGTTCTCGGCGGTCTTTGGGACAACATCGTTGTACAAGGTGAAAACAATACGACCCAATGGTTGGCCGTCAACTTCGACGTCGAAAAATACTTTAGACATGATTGGTAATGGAGCTTGTCAATTGAATTGATGTGGGAAACTGCAAAAGAGCAGAAGTGAAGTTAAGTGGAAAACTTTGGTGGCCAACGTTCTAATATATATTTAAAGGGCCATTTAAAAAGACGGGTAACTCAACATTATTATTGGCAGGCCCTGACAGAAATGAAAGTAAACGCAGCAAGAACGAAGAGTGCCAGATGTGGTGAGCAAACGACGAATAAGGGGCCCGGTGGCTAATTCCTTGTGACAAACAAGCTGAAATTCTGGTTCTTCGGTACACTAAAACCACCAGATAACTACATACGAGTAATATTAATTCACAGTTTCTAGCCCAAGCACCAGCAACGTGGCGTAAAGTCCCACTCTCTCAGCACATTTTGGTGAAGTAGCGAGACGATTGAACGAATGCATATTTGCGCATACATATTTGCGTGAATTGTATTTTAAGATTCTCCCTCTTTTTTTTCCAATTTGAGATTACTTCACCGCCTGTGTGCTTGACTACAAAACATCAGACGCGAGAGACGGGTGTCTTTGCGATTATGTTATGGTTACTGTGCAATTGATTTTCAAAACATTGAAGGCCTGGAACAAGGCTTATCCAACCATATCGCAAGCGAGTAGGTAGGCTGCTGTTTCAAGAATTGAAGCTTGATGCAAAGGCAGCTTATAGTGCACGACATCAGGACGGCAAAGAAAAACATGTTCTCAACTAGGGCAATAGGGTCTCACCGTTCCAGAGTAGCAGAAAGGGCCCTGTTTCCGCGTTCTTTCTTTCGCAGCACCAGGCGTCTTCTGATCAATTATCTACAGGCAGATAGATAATCGAATGGAGGCTGGTTGCAGTCACGTGCGTCAAGAATGCGCCAGCCAGCACTGCGATGCTTTTCCTGGCCAAGACGCCTCATAGTTACCGTCATGTCCGCAGTCTCCTCGGTACATTTTGACCAGCAGAAATTTCTGCCTCGAAAGATGTAGGCTGACTCTTCCTATTCTTTTGTACTCGTTTTTTACTGACGGCCCTCCAATGCAGCACCCTAATGCTTGTCTGGAATATCTCACTCAAGATTACCAAGAACAAAAGTAGTAGTGCACTTTAGCAACGGCATGGTTTCGTTACACCGCATCATAACTTTTTGCGGGACGAGCTGGTGTGCACGGCGGAGCCATGCCAGTACAGAGTGATATTATAGTAACTGCCGAACAAGCAACCTTCCTCATATTGGGACTCTACGCAATGCGACCGTCGTAATTTCAAACACAACAGCCCTACGCACAAGTGATTCACAGTAGTCGACAAATCAAAGAGCGCCGCGGATAGAGACACATCACAATGTACGAACATAAAAAGTCACGCATTGTAAGTAAGCCTGTACAGTGGTCCACTGCCTTACTTGCCATTTGCTACAGTTTCTCCCGCTAACTACTGCCTTGCCATCCTAACGTTTTCATTTATGCTTACTTTCCCAGTTTCGCGCCATGCTCAATTTTTTTTAATATTTCGTCATCTCATTTCATCTCATCTCATCTTGTCCATCAAATCATTCCATACACTGAAAGCCTGGAATTAGCGACGCCAAAAGACACTATGATGAGAAGCAGAAGACCCCCTCACAACACTCTGGACCGTCCTGTAGTACTGCATGCCGGCACCCGTGAGCACGCTTCTCAAGAACAAGTTATGCAATTTTTGGGCCGGTTTATTAAAGAGCGCGAGGAAGAAGCAGACGCCGAGGCCTCCGGTGCGCTCGCACAGCTTCGCCGCGTCGAGCGAGACTTTAAAGGACTTCCACCGGCCGTGTTAGACACCGAGTAAGTGTGTTTGTCCACAGAAAAAACACCAGCATAAATACGAAACAAAGTAACAATAATAACTTCATAAGTACAATTGAAAAACAAGAGCCAAACGTCTCGAATGCTTGAAACTTGCATGATGACACCAAGCTGAGCGGATGCCCCGCAAATGTTAAGAAATACTACTTCAAGCTGCTTCAAATCTCTACTATCTCGCTTTCTCGCTTCTTTTTCACACTTGGATATTTTACATTTCGTGAGTCACGTCAGGAAAGAAAAGATTTCTTCAGTTCACGACATATATATCATCCATTTAACATTCGAGAAATCACTATCGCACTTGTAAAAATTGATTTCGAGCTGTGTTCATATATACTTCATTGAAGCTAGTAAAGCTATTCATTACTGAAAATGTGTGCAAAGAAGATTGTTGGTGTTTTGGGAGCCACTGGCTCTGTTGGTCAAAGATTCATCTTGCTCCTGGCTGACCACCCAGATTTTGAGTTGAAGGTCCTAGGTGCTTCTCCCAGATCAGCTGGCAAGAAATACGTGGACGCTGTAAACTGGAAGCAGACTGATCTTTTGCCCGAGTTCGCCAAAGATATCGTGGTTACCGAATGTAAGGCCGAGGCTTTCAAGGACTGCGCTGTGGTGTTCTCTGGCTTAGACGCCGACTTTGCCGGATCTATCGAGAAGGAATTCAAGGAGGCAGGTTTGGCTGTTGTTTCCAACGCCAAGAACTACCGTCGCGAAGCCGATGTTCCATTAGTCGTCCCTATCGTCAACCCAGAGCATTTGGAGCTCGTCGGCCAGAAGGTCGAACTTGCCAAGAAATCTGGCGCTGCCAGACCCGGCTTCATCGTTTGTATCTCAAACTGTTCCACTGCTGGTCTTGTTGCCCCTCTCAAGCCTTTAGTCGACAGCTTCGGCCCAATCGATTTGTTGACCACCACCACTTTGCAAGCTATCTCTGGTGCTGGTTTCTCCCCAGGTGTCTCTGGTATTGATGTGCTCGACAACATCGTTCCTTACATTGGCGGTGAAGAGGACAAGATGGAATGGGAAACAAAAAAGATCTTGGGTGCGCTTTCCAAGGACAAGTCTGCTGTTGACATCCTTTCTGATGAAGAAATGAAGGTCTCTGCTCAGTGCAACAGAGTGGCTGTTTCGGACGGTCACACTGAATGTATTTCTTTGAGATTCAAAAACCAACCTCCACCATCTCTAGAGCAGGTGAAACAAAGCCTACGCGAATACGTTTGCGACGCATTCAAGCTTGGTTGCCACTCCGCCCCAAAACAAACCATTCACGTCCTAGAACAAAATGACAGACCTCAACCAAGGCTAGATAGGAACAGAGACAACGGATACGGCGTCAGTGTCGGAAGAGTCAGAGAAGACCCTGTTCTAGACTACAAAATGGTTGTCTTGTCCCACAACACAGTGATTGGTGCTGCTGGTGCTGGTATCTTGATCGCAGAAATTCTGCTTGCCAAGAACTACATTTAAAGTAGCAGTTGTTGATATAATGTAATTACGCAAGGCTTTATAGAAGATCAATTTTTTAGTAGATGAGATCAATTCCATCAGGGCCCATAAGCTCTTTCTTTCTCTAGCTGTGAAAATGATAGCCTTAATAGTCTTTGTTGAGAGATCCATAATTACAATATTTGGTGACTCTGAGGAAATTGAGGATGGACGTCAAGCTAAAACTTTTGAATGAAGATACTATCTACGAGCACTTATTTGAGCGATACAGCTTTCTGCAGAAGCACGCCGAGTCGCTTAAACAGGATTTAGGCATTGTTTCACGTTCGGATGCCTCTTTGGAGCTGAACTTCGAACCGCCAGATAAAAAAACCTGCCATAGAGCTGAAACATTCTCGTTTGAGCTCTCGCAATCATTGTCCGCTCTTAACTCTTCTCAGGACAACAGTAATTCCACAACAGGCTACGTTGTTTGGACCACAACGCCTTTCTTCCTACAATGGCTGCTATACTCGGAAGCTGGACGAATTTTCACGATCGGTGGCTCGATTGATTGTGAGGATGAGCCTTCCTCAAGCACTTGTGAGATACCTGCCATGTTTAGTAGCTCAAGTATAGAGATTGAAGATCAACAGTTTCATCAGGTCATAGAGCTAGGATGTGGGGTGTGTGGAATTTTGGGAATTGCACTAGGAAACTACGTTGACAAATACGTGTATACAGATCAAAAAGCGCTCCTGAACCGACTCAAGAACAACATTGCCCACAATATCGACGAGCTCAGGCTGCGAAATGTCACATCAACTACTCTAGGCTTCGATTCACGCCGGAAGACTCCATTGCAGATCCAAATTGACGTCTTGAGTCTTGACTGGGAGACGTTTAATGCAAACCCTACCAAAATCGATTCTCTTCTGAAACCTAACCGGACAGCAAATGTGTCAATAGTATCAATGGACGTGGTATACAATGAATACCTAATAGAACCGTATCTAAAGACTCTCAGTAGCCTTTTGGAATACTACGAACGAATGGGCCACGTACCGAATGCACTTTTAGGAATACAGCTGCGTGATCAAGATGTAGTAGAACGTTTTCTGGAGTGTGCAATCATCGATTATCATTTGAAAGTCTATGTTATCATGGATCCTGTCATAGAAGTTACAAGGTTTGGCCTATACTACATAAAGCTACAATAATCAAAGCGATATCAAGAATAAGAATGTGTGTATTCTAGGGTGGCATACGCAGGCTTTTGTATGTGCCGATATATGTCGCACCATCAACTTAGTTCTTCCAGCATGAACAGCTTTTCATGGCCGAAAATCAACTAATCAGTTACCATAGCTGAAGATGTATCCCAAAGAACATCTGGTTAACTTTGTAGAACATCCTACTAAACCAAATAGGACAGAAACAGCTGCATACTCATGCATTTCGATTTAGCCGCTGATATTTTGGATGTGAGTTCAAGAACAGAAACAAATTCCTAGCATTTATAACTGTTAGAAGAATAATTGTGTAATGCACTGAAAAGCCAGATTGAGATTGCAATCAAACGTTCTGAAGGCGATCCAATCATGCGAAGAACGTCGACACATATTTAGAAATCAACGTGTAAAGTGCCTTAATTTTGATGATTCTTAACTAGATTGTAAACGCACTTATAAGTTATATTGAAAAAAGCTAAACAAATTCAACTCATTTCCAATCAAGCAAGAGCCACGCTGTAGCATGAGCTCCGCTGTTGGGTTGTCGGCACCATCGCTGAACTTTCAGTTCTTTAACAATAATGAAAGTCTCGCCGGTGAGAAAGGGGAGTCTCGCAAAACCAAAAGAAACAGAAAGGATAATGATCGAAACCAGCAGAGACCAGTGAAACCAACATTCAATGAAAATTTCAGGGGTCAATTAGAATCCCCAGCACCTAGTCAATTTGATGAGACTCTTTCTTTATCAAAATCTCAGCCAATGGCCAATGAAGCATTGTCGAACACTGCCGGGTCTCTTCTCAGCACAAACCCCGAGACGCTTGGCTTTCAGCCGATATCTCACAAGCCAAGAGGTGTTCCCAAATATTTGATAGAACAAAAACCTAGCTTGAAACCACGACCTTTTTTACAAGATCCATGGGACCAAGAAAACCAAAGAAAAATGCTTGCTATAGAGACTCAAATCTCGGACTCTACTGAGCTATGGGAGACATTCAAAAAAATGCGCGAGGTGGAAAGACGGGTTATGGAAGACAAAAAACTAGTCGACCGTGCGGACTCCGCAAAAGATTTGAACGACGCCATTGTGTTTCAAGGCACCTGTCAGGATATGTGCCCCATATTTGAGCGTGCGCGTAGAAGTGTGGAAAACAACGTTGTACGTTACGAAAAGGAGGACCAAAACTCCAAGAAGATATCCAGATTTAAAGCCCTCAAAGTTTTTGCAAGGCCAGCAGCAGCTGCTGCTCCACCACTACCTTCGGACGTGAGACCTCCTGAAATTCTTGTAAAAACATTAGACTACATCGTCGCCAAAATAGTTCCAAACTTGCCTGATTGCGAGGGGTTTTTGTGGGATCGTATGCGGTCTATACGGCAAGACTTCACTTTTCAGAATTATAGCGGCCCCGAGGCTATTGATTGCAATGAAAGAATTGTTAGAACTCATTTATTGATATTGCATGTCATGGCAAAGTGTGACATAGAATATAGCCGACAGCAGGAACTGGAACAATTACACAAGGCTCTGATTACGCTTTCAGAGATCTATGACGAGGTTCGTGCTAGCGGTGGCCAAGCTGCAAATGAGGCTGAATTTCGAGCATACTCGTTACTAAGCAGAATAAGAGATCCTGAATATGATAAAATGGCACAATCCCTTCCTCAACAAGTATTTGATGATGATATGGTACAATTGGCTTTGTGTTTTCGCAGAATAGTAGCCAACTCCAATTACTCTGAGAGAGGTCACATAAAAACTGAGAATGGACTTTTCTTGTATAAAAGGTTTTTCCAGTTGCTCGCATCTAATCGTGTTCCTTTCCTCATGTCTTCATTTTTGGAAGTGTATGTGAATGATATACGCTTTTACGCGATGAAATCGTTATCCCATACTATAAACAAGAAGCACAAACCTATCCCCACCACTTACTTAAAGGAGGAACTGCTCTTCAACAGCGACGTTGAATTGATGAATTTTTGTGAGCATTACTCGATTGAAGTGAACATAGAAGGCATTAAACTTACAACGTTGACCCACCACTCTCACATAATTGCAGAAAAAAAACCGCTCAAACAGAGTTTTTTGCAGATTGTAGATGAAAAGCTACTACAATTAAAATCAGAAGACCTGATCAATTGCGGAAAACCAAATTTTGATACTATCCCACAACTTGGCCCAGGAGCTGAAAAAAATTTCTCAAGTCCAGCGTTTAATCCAGTGAATGCAACCACTCTGGGAACAAATGAAAAGACCAACCATCAATTCAATTGGAATAATAATCTCGAAACACCACAGTCAGCTTTGCAAAATTTCGCAGACAGCCACCAATTTGGAACAACCCTAAAATTCGGAATCACACCGAGTAATAATAGTATAGCCCACAATGTAGAGGCATCAAAACAAACAGAAAAAGACAGTGAAGAAAAAAGCCCAATTATAGAAAAACAGAATAAAATACAACGCAGGCTTGATGAACAAAGAAGGATTCAAAAAGCTAGGGAAAAGGACATTTCATCGAAACAAAATCAAGATGAAGTTCGTTTAGTGGAAGAGAAGAAACGGGAGGAAAAGTCAAGAAAACAATCGCAACTGATAGCAACTACTTCAGTTGCCGAAGTTTTGGTACATGATGTGGTCAGAAAGCAGGTCTCATTAATTGCCAAAAAGCAACTCGAGCTGTCTTCCCAGAGAAAACAGAAAACGCAAGCTCTCGTGGAAGAGTTATACCAGGCTTTTATACACGAAAAGCTATATCTTCTTACGCTCGAGACAAAGGCAGACAAGGTTTTTGAGTCAGGTTGCTTGAAACATACCTGGAAAAACTGGAAACGTCATTATATAAAGAAGAAAGAACAGAGAGAAATTAAAAGGGCTAGAACGGAGGAGTTAGCTCGGGTCAGTAAGCGGCTTGGCATTCCTGAGTTCAAAAGGGCCAAAGTTGAGGTGTCGCCCGCAGCTAGTTTTTCTTACATCATACCTTCCTCATCCCAGAGCCAAGTCGTCGACTCGCCGATCACGAACGAGGAACGTCAATTCAAAACTCCTGTGCACAAAAACACTATAATTTGGAAAATTATAGATCTCGATGCACTCTACCTCCGGCCAATTATACAAAATATGGAACCGGCATATTTGGACAAGTTAATGCACTCTTCCGAACCGATCAAGATTGGAATACTCATCTTTGCCAGAAATTGGAATAGCGTTTCATCCCGTTGGCTTTTGAGCAAGTTTGGTCTACAAAAGTCAACAAACCGAACTGTCAAGTCCAGCAACCTGAAAATGAGTTTAGAAGTTAACGCTGTAGTACCAAGCTATTCGCCCAGAAACTTTGAGGATTTACAGCTCCTCGTTTTCAATAGCGGTGTGACCGAAAATGACATTTTTGATTTGGAAATGAAGCTCAAACAAGATGGCGAGAAGCTTATTGAACTGACCCATGGTATTGCTCTAAATACGAATTACCAGTTCTCTATCTTAGTCGTCTATTGGGAATCTACTCAAAACCCGCTTTCCCTGGACCAGATTGCCAAATTTTTGAAACTGAATAACATGTCGCGCATTTTCGCCAACGTCCTCAAGACTATCGATGTTGTGAAGCTGACCAGCGACTGCCCGCACAAAACGCTAGAGCAGCATTTGGCGAAAGTTGCCAGCTCGTGTGCGCTGAAACTAACGGAGCGCGGCTTGTACAACGAGTCCCTCCGATCAAGGAGCTTGCTGGCAAGCTCCGCGACCCCGCACAGGTACCAGTCATCTCTGGAAATAGACGCTAAGCTGCGCAAAGCTCTGGAGCAAGAAGAACGCAAACACCAACAGGAGCGGGATCACAACAACACCTACGCCTACTTACAATCACACGTCGCTGCATCACCTCGTGCCCGCAAACGAAAGTTACCTGTGCTGCTATCAGACTCTAAGAAGAATAAGTTCAAGACGCCGTTGGCGATGCGGCCGTTTGTCAAACGCACTTCTTCTACGTGCTCGACGTCTTCGTTAGCGTCGTCTGAACCGTCTCATCTGGCTGCCAAAATCAAGACCGAGCGGTCTTTGGTCGAGCCTAATACGCCGTGGGCAACTCCGTTGCCCTCCCGAACTCAACACAATACTGTAAGCGACCTCGCGCCACTACGCACCCCATCCATCGCCGTTTCTACAAGTCGTTTGGAGCCCAACACCAGCGGCATCTCTAACGTCACATTTGAATCTCCGTTTTCTACACCCACTCAAACGTTGCTTCCAAACTCAAGGCCGGCTTATCCGATTCATTCGCAGGAAGCTAGTGCGAACATATTGGAGCTCAAGCATCTTATCGCCTCTGTGAAAAAAAATCTGAGCACGCACACCATTGCTAGGTCTGACAGACAAGGTTGACGAGGTGGTTCGAAGAAGAGAATCCAATCGGAAACTGTTCGTGAGAATCGAGATTATTTTGACACATTCGGAAGCCATTACGGTCTTTGTTACCCGCACTTGCTTATCAAAAGGGTCCAAAGTTTAGAATGAGTATTTGCAGCAGATCCGTGTGCTGCCAAAGGAAAGCAAGGAAAAAAATATCATTTGATATCTATCTCAGTATAACATTAGACCTCATCGATCATCTATCTGCATACATAAGAGCAGAGTATTCCAAGCTTAAAGCCAATACAGGTGGCTAGCAGATACTATGGCTGTGTGGGAACACTTAGCGGTATGTTTTTGTAATAAAACCGGAGGGCTATGAACCTTGTATCGTCGCAGAAAGTTGCTTTTGCTTCGGGTACAAAAACCGAGATTTTGGAACTGTCACTAACATCAAACGTTTTATGAATAGGTCTCAAAGTCGCATGTCGCATACGCCTGCGTAGGCGTCTTTTCGGCGATTTTCTCGCTGGCGTCGCTGTTTGCGAAGGAAAAACTGTACATCGGAGAATCTACTGTGGCTGTCATTTTTGGGCTCATCGTGGGTCCTCACTGCTTGAACTGGTTCAACCCACTGACGTGGGGGAACTCAGACTCGATAACACTCGAGATCACACGGGTTGTGCTGTGTTTACAGATTTTTGCGGTCGCAGTTGAACTGCCTAAAAAGTACATGCTCAAGCACTGGGCCTCGGTTGCGATGCTGCTTTTGCCCGTTATGACCGCAGGCTGGCTAGTTGTTGCTCTCTTTGTTTGGATTGTGGTACCTAATTTGAACTTTCCTGAAGCGCTTTTAATTTCTTCGTGCGTTACAGCTACCGATCCTATTCTGGCTCAGTCTGTAGTGTCCGGTAAGTTTGCGCAACGTGTTCCAGGCCATTTGAGAAACCTTTTGTCAGCTGAAAGTGGCTGCAATGACGGTATGGCCTTTCCTTTCATCTACCTTTCTTTAAACTTGCTTTTCTATCCTGGTAATGGCAGGGAAATTGTGAAAGACTGGTTCTGCGTAACTATTCTGTACGAATGCGTTTTCGGGTGCATTTTAGGTGCGGTAATAGGCTACACTGGCAGAAGAGCCATTAAGTTTGCAGAAGAACGCAAGCTGATTGATCGTGAGTCGTTTTTGGCGTTCTACGTCTGTCTGGCTTTTATATGTGCCGGTTTCGGTTCCATCCTTGGCGCAGACGACCTACTGGTCTCATTTGCGGCGGGTACTGCTTTCGCGTGGGACGGTTGGTTCTCTAACAAAACCAAAGAAAGTGAAATCTCCACTATTATCGATTTGCTGCTAAACTTGGCTTATTTTGTATACTTTGGAGCCATTATTCCGTGGCAACAGTTCAATGATGCCGAACTTGGTCTTAACGCCTGGAGACTCATCATTTTGGGTATTGTGGTTATTACTTTGCGCAGAATTCCGGCTGTACTTGCATTCAAAACGATGATCCCTGATATCAAGTCTTGGAGAGAAGCCATTTTTGTAGGCCATTTTGGGCCTATCGGCGTAGGTGCCATTTTTGCTGCTATAATGGCTCGTTCAGAACTTGAAAGTCATGCTACTGGCGAAGAAACGCCATTGAAACAGTTACCGGAAAAGGGAACTAAGTACTGGAAATTGATTGCAATTATTTGGCCCATTACATGCTTCTTTATCATCGTCTCAATTATTGTGCACGGCTCATCTGTGGCAGTTATAACATTAGGGCGTCATTTGAACACGATCACGTTGACAAAATCTTTCACTACTCATACAACTAATGGGAAGGGTTCTTCTTGGATGCAAAGATTGCCTGCTTTGGACAAATCTGGCCGTTCATTTTCACTGCAAAGAATTGACACTAAAGCAGACCCTGATACCCTTGCTCGTCAAGATACGGTAGAAACTAGTGGAGTTCCCGCAAAGCCAGCTGGCGGCATGAAAAGAAAGCGCAGAAACTTGAAGAAAAGACTCAAGAGAGATTTATTTAAATCGCGCGCTACTTCGTCGGGCGGAGCATCTGAAAGCCCAGATAGCGCTGATCACGAAAGAATTCAACGTGAGAGGGAAGCGCAAGCAGCTGCTTTTGCTTTAAGCTCTCAACTGCGTCCTCACGAAAGCGATGCTTACGATGAAACCAACATCGACGAAGAAGATGACGCTGATGCCACTTTAGATTCCATTGACGTGATGAGTCCTGCGGAAGCCTCTGATGCGATAAATCGTCTAGATGCCATATCTGGTCATTGTACTGACCCTGAAGCCGAACACTTGGATGATGACTTGAACAAAACGCAGCATTCTCAATCTCAGTCTCAATTCTCAGAGGATCAAGTAGCTCTGCCGGGTGCTACTACTACTTCGTCATCTAACTTCGATGAAGAAAAGTTCGAAAAGGAGTCTCAGGCTGGATCTGTTGACAGTTATTCCAAGGATCTAGAAAAGCTAAAGAGGGAAATGGAACAAAAGGTGGAGGAAGAAGAAGGTACTGTTGCATACGCTGAAGGAAACAGAATTATTGTCGAAAACAGTCAAGGTGAAATCATAGATCAAGCAGAGCTCAATCGCGGCCCAAGAGATGAGGAGGAAGGCTCTGGTCATAAGCTGAGTAGAAGCTCCAGTCGAGGCGGTTCCAAAATGAGTGCTTTGAAACGTGTCATTACCCCACCACCACTGAGAAGACAAACTCTTATCGATGAACAAGCCAACAAGAGGTACTTTGCATACAGAATCGACGGCCAACTAATCATCGAAAATGATGACGGGGACGTGCTCCGAAGATATAAGATAAATCCACATGAAACGATAGGCTCACAGACCAGTGGTAAGCAAAAGGGACCTGGAATGGTCGCCAAGGCCTTATCAGCCGTGGGTCTGTCTAAAAGTACATCCGCATCGTCTTCACACCCTGGCAAGGATCAATTGCCAGACCCAGCTGCTAAAATTAGAGGTCGCCGTTTGACGCCTGTACCAACCACAGGGGCGTTGGCGGAAGCACCAACGGACGAAAATGAGTTCAACAGCAATGAGTACGAAGATGATGAAGAATATGACAGCGATGGAGTCCCAGATTCGGAGGGTGATGACTACGAAGATGGGTCCGAAGCCGCGATTGGATCGGACGCTGAGTCGTCGGGTAGCGAGGAGTTTAGCGACGAAGAACCCGAGACTGCGATTGAAAGAAGCCGACGGTTAACAGCTCTCGGTCATGTCGCGGCTCCGAGACGCGATGACGATGAAGAGGAGTCAATCGATGCAGCTGCCATAGCTCCTGTGAGGGAGCGCGATGCTTCCTCAAACAAGGTAAAATCTGCTTTGGGGCGTACATTTCGCAAGCAGTAGACATTTTTATTTCAATAAATATGCATTATAGAGCACTCGAAAGTTAATTTAGTTATGATACTTCAAGTATCAGTTGTTTTAGTTTAAATTAGTTGTTTTTGTATTTACTTTAGTTTATAATAATTTTTGGTAAAGCTTAAATGATCGCCAAACCATCAAACAAAGAGATATCGCGAGACTTTCATAACCTGACTGCCCAAAATCCTTATGAGCTGGCTGACATGAGTCCTTCTTTGTTCCATTAATCAGACCTTTAGATGACATGAACAATAGAAACTTCCTTTCCGGCCTATTCCCAAGCCTTCAAAGTCTAGATGATAGTAGAGGTATAGAGGCAAATGCTAAGACGGATGACCATGTGCCCGAAGAGCACAGCGAAGACACCATTGGTAGCTCTAGACAAAGCCTAGAGACAGTTTTCTTGCGAGAACTACTTTCAGACTTCAAAGTTGATGATCTGTCAGAATATAAAGCAAAGTTAGCAGAACAGAAATTCTACTTGAGCGATCGGTTTGTCCAAAAAACAGGTAGACTAACCACGGAAAGTAAAAATTTACCTGCTTGCAACAAAGATGCAGAAGAATTTCAGCTGTATAACAAGAAAGTGCGAAGGGAATATGCTTTGCGGAATAAAATGGATTCGCTGATTCAGCGGCGAATCGCGCAGCCGCTTGAAGTATTGAGCTCGGAGGACCTTAGCACCCATTTTATGGCAGGTAAAGAAAACACTTTAACAATACCAGGAATTGCCAAAACTCGCCAACGAATTGCTAACTTAGTGACTTCGCCACTGAAATCCCCTACTCCTATACCTGAACTTTTGCTCTCTAGGAGTCACTCTTATGATACCCAGATTATCGATATGGAGAGAAATCTCAACGGAGTCATTGATGACCGACAGCCAGGAACATATGAATACCATAAGACGAGCTCTATTTCATCTGCCCTATCCTCGAGCGGCATTAGAAGAAAATTACCAAAATTACTATCGTCTTCTAAACGTGGCTCTAGAGACGTTTATTTTGTACAAAGAAAGCTGGAAAGAAGGCACTTGCAATCCATTGCTATTGGAGCGGCAATGGGGGTGGGACTTTTTCTCAATTCCGGTAAAGCACTTTCAATTGGTGGTCCTTTGGGATTTCTCATTGGTTTCTCAATATGTGGCAGTATAGTACTAGCCACGATGTTATCATTTACTGAGATGGCCACACTAATCCCAATATCAACCGGAGTCTCAGGCTTGGCATCGCGATTTGTCGAGGACGCCTTCGGATTTGCTTTGGGCTGGACCTACTGGCTTACATATGCTCTCACATTGGCTAATCAAATAGTTGCCAGCAACTACATGCTAAGCTACTATGGGAATATGGATATGTTTCCCGCTGCTACTGCCGGTTTTGTTACACTCTTTCTTGTTGTCTCAATCGCAGTGAATTTGTTAGACGTTCGGATTTTTGGAGAGATTATTTACGGCTTTACATTTTTCAAAATTGTCATAAGTACGATGATGATTATCGCCATGATAATTTTGAACGCTGGAGCTGGTCGTCGTACACATCCTCGGGTCGGCTTCAGGTATTGGGATGCGTCCAAATCACCAGAGAATTTGACTTACGGTCTATTTAGGCCGACGTTCGATCTCCGCGACACTGGAACTGGAAGTCTTAACGGCATTGCTGGGGCAAAAGGGCGGTTTCTTTCAGTTGTGCTGGTAATAATCTTGTCCTCGTTTTCTTACAGCGGTGTTGAGGTTGGTTTTGTAGCCTGCGCAGAAGCTATCAATCCAAGACTTTCACTGCCCTCAGCTACTAAGAGAACATTCATAACTGTTGTGAGTCTTTACCTCATCTCTATTTTCATGATTAGCCTGAACATTTATAGCGGAGATCCACGATTATTGCGATACTACACATCCGCTGCGCTTAATACGTCAGACACCGCAGTTCCCGCTTTCAATACACATTGGCAAATAGATCAGATTTGCACAAGTCACGATGCTGTTGTCACGAACGGTTTCACAAGTGGTAGTCAAAGCCCTTGGGTGCTGGCGCTAGAGAGCTTCGGACTCTGTGCCTTCTCGTCAGTGTTCAATGCATTTTTAGTGATGTTTGGCGTCTCCTCTGGATTTTCATCGCTCTATGCCTCAAGCAGAACCTTGTATTCCATGGCTACTCAAGACAAAGCACCATCTGTATTTAAAAGGTGCACGAGCCGAGGAGTGCCATATGCTGCGGTTACGTTCACTGGACTGTTTGGTGCCCTAGCATACTTGGCGCTAAACTCTAGGTCTCTTGAGATCTTTCAAGCTTTGGCAAACATATCTGGTGCAACCATTTCTATTATATGGTTAGGGCTAAATGTCTCCTTTCTGCGATTATACTACGCTCTAAAGAAGCGACCGGATATCATATCCAGAGAAGACCCCTCGTTTCCGTATAAATCGCCGTTCCAACCGTTTACAGCGTGCTACGGACTTTTTGGATCCTCTTTAATTGTGCTCCTTATGGGATTCTCTAACTTCCTACACGGTTTCTGGAGTACTAAGATGGTATTCTCGTCTTACGGGGGCGTGATATTTTTCGTAGTCACTTTCTTTGGATACAAGCTATTGTCTAGCTCAAAGCTACAAAGACTTGATCAGCTTGATCTGGACACAGGACGCCGCGAAATGGACCGCATGCGCTGGACTGAGCACCGAGAATACTCAAATTCATGGCGTGAGAAGATCTTGAAACTGGTCACGTGGATGATATAACTTAAGTTTTCTTTGCCGTTACTTCAAAAAATTTGAACTGGCGATGAGCTCAGGAAGTCGTGAACAATAGATTAGAAATCGGTTCGATGGGCCAATTGGAAGCTGCTATTACCACGGCAAGGAGTTCACTTGCTGAAAACAATGCCAAAGACGCTTTAAAGGTTCTTAAACCGTTCAAGAAGTCTCTAAAGAGCACAAATTCGTCAAACGTTGAGTTGCATCAAATTTTCGCAGACATCTACTTAGATGACGGTCAACTGGATAAGGCATACCCACTTCTTGTTAGAGCCTGTGAACTTGATCCAGAAGGCAAGGTCGGAGGCAGTGACAAATTCTTTACCTTAGGTCAGATTGCTGGAGGTGAGGACGGTATTTCTCTTTTGATGCAAGGGATCGAGATCGTGTCTTCTAACGCTGGCGATCTATTGAAACAGGATCAAGCTGACAAAATTGTAAGCGGGCTTTTGTCCATGATCGAAATTTGGATGACTGATTTGTGTATGGAAGCCAATGCAGAAACTCAGTGCGAAGAGCTGATTGCCAAAGCCATGGAAGTATCTGAAAGCCAATCTCCAGAAGCCTGGGCTATGTTAGGCTCTATCAGAATATCTCAACAGCGTTTTGCGGATGCAGCCGAAGCGTTTACACAATCATGGCGGTTCTTTCGGGACAAAAAGATGTCAATTGAAAACTCGGCTCAGCAAGAAGCTAGTAATCTTCACTCAGAATTTGTGGAATTGCTACAACCTCTTTTGAATCTGGCTAAGATGTGCATTGAAATGGGCCTATACGAGATCGCTTTGGAAATCGAAGGTGCCATCAAAGACATAGATGAGGATAATTTGGAGGGTATATATCTGGAAGGGTTTACTCATTATCTGATTTGCAAGCTTGAGCTTTTCAAGCACAAAAACCCCAGTTTGCATTTGAGTCCAGAAAACGTTTACGAGTTCAATCAACACTTTCAAGAGCTTCCTATGGAATTATCAAACGATTCTATTCAGGAGCATGCATGCGAGGCACGTTTAATTCTCTCGTACATGATTAAACTTGCCGAGAATAGTGATTCTAAAGATGAAGTAGCGATGGAATTGGTAGAAGGTGCCAAAGGACTACTACCTGAATTGGGAGGTCCTGCTGACATGGCAGACTTGATAAAATTTAGAAAGGGCGAAGAGATCGGAGACGACGAGGAGATCGAATTCGAAGACAATGACGAGACATAAAGAGACCAACACCAAGGGAAAACTAACGGCCTGAAGTTGTATAATAAGTAGCGGTTCAATAAACTACCTTTTTAAAGAAGCAAACTCCCATTAGATGACATATTTCATTACATGAAAATGCTTAAGCAACAAAGGATGTAAAATGCACAAACGTTCTCATTAAAGATAGTATACAATTGTAGAATTAAAAAATAACACCTGCGCGCATTTCGTTTATCACTGAACCATTGAAACCCACGTCTTAGGAGTTACCTCCGATGTGTCACGTGTCGGAAATTTTGAGATTTTCGTTAAGCTTCGACTCTACATCGTCAATATCCTCCCATTCAGCATCAGTCTCATCCTTTTTGGCGCTTACGCCCATGGATTGTGCGATCATTTGCGTAAGGTAAAAAGGCCTCGGCCTCCCGTCATTGTCATCATTGTCATCTTCGTCGTCGTCGTCATCGCCGTCGTCGTCGTTGCTATTGTTATCATCATGATCATCCGCGTGGTGATTTTCAGTACTGCTGGAGCCTGTGCTCTTTATCTCGATAATTGAGACATATTCCTCCGGCACCAGTCCAGTTCGGGTTTGCTGCTCGTTTTCTGCCACGAGCCACCCTTGTCCATGTCTGTAGCCTATGAAAAGCTTGTCACCTTCCCGAAGTTCCAATTCGTTGTCATTTTCAGGCACAAAGTCATACAATGCCACAGCCTGCTTATTCACTATGTAATCACTGGGCAGTATAATGCTTTGTCTTTTCGTGATGGCATCCTCCGAGTTATCTGTGCGTGATCCATGCGACTCTCGAGCTACACAACCACTCTCCGGCACAATGCGGGTTATTTCACGATCGGTATTTTCGTTCTGACCGTGTAGGGATTCTGTATCACTGTGCTCAGGGTAGTCTTCCTCGTCAGAGCTTTCGCCAAAAAAACCGTAATGAAGAGCATTGGACTTGTCATACGCAAAGTCTTTGATCGAGATAATGCCTGTTGTCTCTATGACGTTGTCGTAATCCTGACTGGAACGTTTCATTTCGAGCTTGAAAAAGTATGTCAGAAATGAGATTCAAATGCTATTTTAATCTCAAAGTAAAGCCTTATTTTTTCTTCCAAAAGCTCGCTACCAGCGGAAAAGCTTAGGATATGCTTGCGGCTGGTGTTGCGCACAATAATCACGGTCACAGATCAGTTGTTCACGATTTGAAGGCTGAAAGATCAGACGTATTCGAATATTAGTATTTCATTTAGTATAAAAAACATATCGAGAACTGACCGTGTTATGTGATGATATTTGGCCTAAAATAGGTCTCAAGTAAGGGATCCCATATCCATCCTAATCGAGGACAAAACACGTATTAGAATAGCTTCATGAGAACAAGGACCTACTGCGCGTTGAAATTTGGAATACAATGAGTGTAATAATGATTGGGTTAGAGTTTGTGCCAGATCAGTTGCTTTCACAGATGAGGTATGGAGGTATGGCGGTAGCAGAAACCCAGTTATATAGCACAGAGTTCAAATATCAGCCAAGGCCACTTCCTTGGGCTGTTCAAGATTCGGCAAGTGTTAAAGTGCCAATATACTGTAGATCGCTAACAACGAAGAACGAGTACTTTCCAGATGAGCATGCCAACTATCTTTAAAGACCAGCTCTAAACACCAAAGTCCATTGAAAAGACCGTGCTCATCCCACAAATAGCGCAAGAAAATGACAACCTCACATAGACCTCAGTTGGAGGCGCGAAATGGTGCCAAGGAAAGCTATGTTCCAACTAGCATTCAACACGCCAGGCTTCTTCCTGGACATACCAAGATGAAGTACAGGAAGCGGAAACTAGATGGTATAGCGGATGCTTCAATCGATGGCAAGCGAAGGAAACCTCAACAACCCTCTACGATCACAGATAACTTAAGGAACGAAGCATCACATGAGCTCGAAGCCAGTTTGCGTGAAGAATCAGGAAGCGAGGGAGACGATGACGATGACGATGACGAAGAGGAAGAAGACGAAGGAAAGAGCGATTACGAGGACGAGGATGAAGAGGAGGAAGACCAAGAAGCTCTGTTGGAAGAGCTACACAAAATCCGGCAAGAGCGCATGGTTCAAAAGCTCAAAGAGGAACGAGAGAAACAAGAAGAAGAAGGTGAACTCAACACCCCGGTAGAACTCCCAACAGTTCGCAAGAGCTGGCGTTCTCAGACAGTGTTGGGTCGCGAAAAGTCGAATAAAAACACTGAGCTCACTTCAAAGGATCCAAAAGATGACTACACCAACGATATGACCAAAAGTAAGTTCCATCATGATTTTCTGCGCAAGTATGTCAGGTAAGGCACGCGGTGGCTATCAAAAAAAAAAATTCGTCATTCGAGTGTTTTGTCAGATTCGCGGCTGCAGCTCACATTGACTTTTCTGAAATTGTCTTAATGCATACATTATTTACAGGTCAGACTCCTTATACAGAGTCCATGCAATTTTTGTGTTTTGTTCATGCTACTTTTACTTTCAGATGAACTCGAGCACGTCTTTGATAAAATCACCAAAATCAGCTCGATTCATTTCATTTGAATCGGTATTGATGAAGTCAATTTGCGTGTTTTTACCACCACGAAATCCACCGTTCACGTCCGAAAACTGCACCAAATATTTGTCCTTGTATTTCAATTTCAAAATGCGGCGATACTTGGCGTTCACGTATTCAAATGTAATGGATTGAGGCTGCTCACTGTCTTCAAATTGCAGGTTCAATTTGAGATTATTGGGAACGGATAGTTTTTCGCTGCCTTGAAAAGTCAGTTCAGCTTTCAGCAAAAATTCTTTCAAGCCTGGCTGGTCTTTTAGCCAGCTCTCTGGATCCTCCTCATATGGCTTGGTGACTTCCAGAGTGCGATCCACGTTAACTTTTATATCCTGGGGTAGCTGAGGAGTCTGCAGTAGCAAACTTTTGTCTTCAGCATGCAACAAGCAACGGACGCTACTATTAATGGCTTTGTCATCGTCATCTAATTCGAACCACAATTCTAATGGTGGAATGTTTTTTGTAAAGTTCGAGTCACTTAACTTGGGGATGAGTTTGAGTTGAACGTAGTACTCATGTTGGTCAACCGTGTATAGCTCATCCTGAGTTGCCATACCGTCGTAAAGCGGCAACTCTAATAATTTCGAAGTAACTCCTGGAACTTTGGGCTGAAACGTCATGGTTTGGCTATCGTCAGTCATCAAAATTTGTCCTAGCGTAATACTCCACGTCTTGGACGTCGTTTTAGCGTTGACGTCCGACACGGCTTTACACTCGGAGTTGCGCAACAAGCTATATAATTCATCAATTTTGGCTTCAGACAACTTAAGCGGAGTTATATTGTCATCGCTGTCAGCATTTTTTTTTATAGGTTTTTGCAATCGATACCAATCTTTGTTCCTTTCTATCCAATCCAAACAATTTACTTCAGTAAACGGGAATTGGGCATACGCAGATTGCTCCTGAGTTCCAAGAAACAGAACTGTTTCTGAGATTTGAGGGCTATAGTTTAGAGCCCACAGCAGTAATACTTTAGCCTTTCTTATTCTTTTGGCGCCTAAACCCGTAACCGCGTATGTGTTGGAGTCTTCTTCAAGCACTCTCTCAAAGTACGTTGCGCTCTCTTTTTGAACCATACTTACCAGCTCTTGCGCCTCGCTGGTTGAGCTGTCTAAAGCAGTATGGTCTCTAATAATGTCGTTAATTGACAAGACTTCGCGCTGCAGATTATCCAATATTTTCCTCAGCGAAACCTCAACATATTTAACTAAAGCACTCGTTGCTCGAACAATAATTTTATTTTCGCTTAGCGCGACAGCCACCGTAGCGCCCAGGCGCGCAAAGTTGTGTAATATTTTACCATTGTTGGTCAACAACAGTAGGTAAATATCTCTCGTTTGGACGTCAATAACCCGCTCGACTACCAGATCTTGTCCTTCATTTATTGAATCGTCCACTTGGCACTGCCAAAGTTCATGCATTATAGTAGGGATGAGCGTTTTTTTTGGTACTTGTTTGGCAAGAGGAAGTTGGAAGTATTGTTTGACGTACTCCTTGAGCTGTGGCAGCGTGTAAGCAGTTTCCAATAGTGTCTTGAGCTGCTCGTAACGTTTTGGCGACAACCGCAGAGCGTCCTGGCTCGGCTTTAGATTATGGATCGATTTCACTACTTGTTCCTTGGGGACAGAGTTCTTGAAAACGAGCAGCTTGCGCCGCTGCGACTCAATCTCTTGCAAGACGTCACCCGAGCAAGTTCCTGAGAGATACGAGTCTCGAGAAGAGCCACTATCGTCAAACTCGACGCCCTCCAAAGCACTTTGTCGTCCTCTTAGTCTGTAACGATCATTGTGTTGGAAATGCGCTGGTGTTCTTTTGCGCTTGAAGAGACCTGCCTCCTGCGGATTGAGTACCACTATTTGGGCCTTCTGGGGCTTCAGCTTCTTTCCTCGCGTGGATCTGAGGTCGAAACTGTCCTCCGTTTGCAAGCTGTACTTACTACCCGAAAAGAAGCGCTTAAAGACAGGCCAATTTGCGCTCGATTGAGGCAAAAGTTTCGCGACAGCTATCGTGCGCCGAAGCATTTTGTTTAAGTGCCACGAATCCTAATTGAAGAATCGCGTATTGTAGCTGTTCAAACTAGTTTAATCGAACGCTTTCGAGTTTACCGCGATGAGCTTTAAATTTTTCAAGTCGTGTGACGTTACGAAATAATCTTTTACTAAATTGGTCGCTAAGGTGTCACTATGTTGAAAAGTGAATCAACTCAAAGACGAGATGCGCGGCTAACAAATGGTCCACAATGCATCAATCGAGGCCCATAATGTGGCTGCGGATTACTACTTAGTGTTCAATAATGAGTTGAAACGCTTTGCTGATCCATTGTGGTGCAAATCGCAGCTTGCAAGCTCTTACGTGCACGTTAATAGCAGGGTGAAATGGGTTGACATGCTTGGGCCAGAAGAAAAGTACAGAGACTTCAGTGATGAAGAGAGTCAAGCGAGTGGTAATGAGAATGAGGGAGAAGGCGAAAATGAGACAATTTACGCGGGGGTGTTTTGGAGCCCTGAGGAGAAAGAGGTTTTTTTTCACCACTTATCTAGATCGTCAATCCATAGGCTCGAGGAATGGGCCAAATATCTGCCGCAAAAATCCAAGTTCGAAATACTCACCTATTTCCAAGTGCTGAGCAGGAATCTGCGAGACCTCAAACGCCTCAATAGCAAGCGTCACGGCGGCATCTTGACCAAGAAGGAGTTTCCCATAGCGTACGAGATGGATGAATTCTTCACGGACCTGGAAGAAGACATGAGTAGAAAGGCGGACCAAAAGCTTTCCATATTACAGGAACCCGATAGCCAACCCAGCTGTGCACAAAATCCAGACTACGTACAAATGCAAGGTAACCAAAATATGGATGCGACCGCGCTCATAAGCGTTGAAAATTGGTCGAAACGTTGGAATCCAATCTATTCTAAGACCAGAGCACCTGAATTGAGCCCAGCTTCCAAAATTGCGCTGCCATTTTCTCAAGAGTCTCTGGACTTTGCAACTGTTTGCGTTAAATCATATTTGCGCAAGGTTCTGTGGTTTACCGTGCTGCCAAATTTAGATACTAAGCATGTTGCTAGACATAAGCTGTCAAACGAAGATTTTTTTGCAAATGATGTAGTTGATGAGAACGAAGGTGAGCTCATGGTTGAAGGGGATTCAAAATCGCTTTTCCCGCATGTGGTAACGAAAGAAGACGTTTGGAAAGGCTTGGCAGTCATGCGACAAGAAGGCTTGGCCGCTCCAACTTTAGCAGAAACTGTTTTAGCGACCTTGAAAAAGTTTGAACTGAAACACGAGGAAGGGCGGCTGTTCAAAAGTTCACAAGTGGCAATGGGAATCATACCGCGGATATTGGCTCACGCTGAAGTGGCGCACGATTTGGATTCATTTGCGCGTAGTGCCAAGAGTCAGAAGAAGGATGTGGACCAAGAATGTGAAAACGATTTGAACCACATACACCAAAAGCTATTTCGAATAAATGGGAAGAAGACTGGCGTTGATCGTTTTGTAGTAGACGACGAGTTTGACCTATTGGAAAACCCTTTAGAAGAGGCCCTGTGTGATATAGAAACTAGGACTCTTGAAGAGCACGATGTGCAATCTTCACGGCTATATCAGCACATGCTGCTCACATTCTTGCAGGGCGAGGCAGGCGTATGGGAAGCGCTTGATGTGGATCTGCCCGAGAAGGCCACAGAAGCTAGCATAATACCAGAGCCCATACAAAGAGAATTCCAGTACCAATAAAGGAAGAGTATTTATCACGCTAAGCTTTCCGGACGCCTCAAAAATTAGGTATAAGAGATTTTGTTCTAGTTCAAAGAATTTACAAATTCCACCTTTTTTTATTGTGGTAGATGACGCAAAGCTCCCGGCTCGGGATTCCAATCGAGCACTTGTTTAGCTGGCAACGTAATGAACTCTTTTGCCAGCCAAAGATGTGTCAAGTAAGGTACAAAATTGCGAAGCCTGATAGATTCCTTTGAGCTAGCATCGAGCCGGAATGCTTGGAGTTATACACCATCTACAGCTATGGATGCAATCTTGATTTCCTGTTTGACTCCATGGTACATTTCTTACGCATGAAATCAAAACACATCACAGTGATGGATCTACTGGAGTTTCGAGGGTTTCATAAACGCAATTGGATCATGACGCAGGTACTTTTAGAAGCTTCTAAAAGAAAAAAAGAATAACTAATGGAGCTTAACCCTTAGTTTTCTCAGTGAGTGAGGGAATAAGAGGGACACATATACGACTTGATTGAGATTTTGAAGGGTTTGAACGTACGACAAAAAATTGGAGGATAAATTCCAAAAAAACGATTACCAAAACCAAGTATTTAATGGGCTATGTAAAGTAGATAATTTCCCACAAGTCAGCCTTTTTTCTCGCCAAACGATCGCGCATGTCTTCGTAAGATTGGCCGTCCAAGAAATAAATCACTGATATGGAACATTGATGTATCGTAGAGCGCGTAACAATTATGTGCTAGAAAGACGTTTAAATAGGATTTGAAACTAAAAGTGCAGATCAGAACATTATGCATTTCAAGGCTGCGACCAAATTGTCAATGCGTCTTATCCGAGGTCTAGTTAAAGTGAGAGAAAAAGGCTGTATCAAAGGGCTAGCGAGTTAGAGGCGATATTAGAATAAGTGTGGAACACAGGTCAAGAGCTTTGAGGTTCGCGGAGTAACTGAGTATCGGGGCAAAAATGCTCGGGCCAGCTAGATTTCTATACAGTATGCAAAATGAATATGCAACTTTTTTGCATATTTGCAAAATTGATCTGGATGCGGGTCAGCACCGTGGTTGTCACCAATATTGTCGTTATTTAGTATGCTGACGCAGCACCGCCTATTATCTTATACTAAGTAAGCTCTAGATATTTAACCTGAGGAGCAGTGTCTATTCATTGGAAGGAGCGAGAGAGAATTGGAAATACACATAAAATGGCACAGCATGCATGTTGAGGCATATCTGCGTCAAAAGTAGTAGTTGGCTTGCTGAATAGGCCGTCCATTCATGGGGTGTTGTCTAGTTAACTCGCATCACCATCTGGGACTCTACTCATCCCTCCTTGGTATATCCAGATGTGAAGATTCGAAAACTCGGCATAGAGAGCAAACCATCGGGCTTGACTGACGCATCTTGGTAGTGTTTTAAACTACTCTTGAATATACCAACCCCCAACCATTGGACGCAATGACACCGAAACAGTGCGACTAAGGCACTACCATTAACGTCAAAATCTCTTAGCCTTGTGAATGGATATGCAGAATTAGGCCCAACCTTGTCACTTTGTACTATTCTGTCGTATCACTTCATGATGCATTTGACGCTGTCTTGCAATAGCACAGGGATCCTGACAGCTCCGATGCAAACGCACTACTCAAAGCCCATTAAAATTTAAGGGCGGCAGAGCACCAAGAAACGCTTTCTGTACCCAAAAACATAGGTTTCACGCCATTTTTTTTAAAAACTGCCAACTATGTTTTCCCGTGTCCCGTCCAACTGCAGAGCTCTCGATGGTGAGATAACTAGCAGCGAAATAAACTTACAATCTACAGATATGTCAATGCCTTGTACCGTATTGACACCATCACAATACTGTTCAGCTTCTCTCAATAGTGTATCGGGAATCCGTTTCCGAAACGCCCGCTGAAACACCGTATACGATGATACGTGTCGGGCCAGGATTTCCGTGATTCGTTTTCCACTGCCTTTAAAGGTGGAATCGATTTAATGATAGCATAGTAATGAGTTTCCAACTCACTATCATCAAGATATCTCGGCACCACATCTCTTGTGGTACAGAGCGGAGAGAACGTATATAAGCAATGTGTGTTGCAGGATAATTTATCGGGTCGAAACCAGACATATCAAATATCAGTGAATCTTTAGCTTGCAAAAGTTCAGGCCTGGTTCAAATCGCAACTGGACAAAAGAATAACAGTAACACACTGTTTTTTGAATCGATAATCAAATAATAGCATTCGAGAATTCTCTATGCTTGGAGGAGTTCTAATAAAAAGCGTTGGCAAAATGCCGCGCTACAATGCAACTCGAATGGCCACAAGGCTGATGGCTCGGACATCTTTGAACAGAAAACCGCTGGAAATGACCGCTTCGAACGCTGCAGCATCAAAACAAGACGCTGCCAAACCCGCTTCCGACGCTCATTTACAGCAGCTATCGATGAAAGAGCTGGTCTCGCTCGGTGTCATCGGTTTCGCAACCATCAATAAGCCCATGCTGGACCTGGTGCTCAAAATCTTTCCCTTTGTTCCCGTGTGGGCCATGAAACTGCTGGTTTCGTCACTTTATTGCGGCGGCGACAACTTCCAAGAGGTGCGGGACACTGGCAAAAGATTGCAGGCTCGGGGCATCAACAACGTCATGCTTTCACTTACCATCGAAGATGCCGAAGGAACCAAGAACATAGACATCAATCACATCGTCACTGAAACTATTTCGTCGATCCATAATATCCTCAAACCTCATCTTCAAGAACAACTTGCTAATGTCTCTGACGTCAACAGCATTCCTCCAGGCTATATAGCCTTGAAGCCCTCTGCGCTGGTGTCAAACCCTTACCAAACTTTGCTACATTTCAATGACCCTCAGTGGAAAGCGCAGCGTGATTCATTGATAAACAACTGTTCTGCAATTACCCAGGAGGTCTACAACTTGAACCAAGAATTCGGCAAGCTGTACCCACAACGTAAGACTCCATTTTTTGTGTCTGTTATTGATGCTGAAAAGTACGATTTGCAAAAAAGCGGAGTCTACGAGCTACAGCGCATATTATTCAAGAAGTTCAATCCAAAGTCATCCAATATTGTTTCTTGCATCGGGACCTGGCAATTATACCTTCAAGACTCGGGGGCTGACTTACTTAAAGTCTACGCACAAGCTGAGAAAGAGGGCTACAAGTTGGGCCTCAAAATTGTTCGTGGTGCTTACATCCATTCGGAACCCAATCGTGAAAGTGTAATCTTTCCTGATCAGGCCAGCACCGACAAGAATTTCAACTCTATTATGTCCAAAGTTATTGATGATCTTCTGACTAAGGGCGAAGATTCTATTTATGGCCACTTGGTTGTGGCCTCTCATAACTATCAGTCGCAAATTTTGGCAACTGAGATGCTAAAGGGCCATGACGGCAAAACGGGAAAATTCAACGTTGTCCTAGGCCAGTTGCTGGGCATGTCCGATAATGTCACCCACGATCTCATCGCAAACCACGGTGCCACGAATTTGATCAACTATGTTCCTTGGGGACCACCTGCCGAGACAAAAGATTACCTCCTTAGAAGACTTCAAGAGAACGGTGATGCCGTGAGGGCTGATAATGGCTTTCCTTTGGTAATAGCTGTTGGAAAAACTATATGGCGGACCATACTTGGAAAATCAGCCACTGCATGATGAAATAGTCAGCTACTCTATCGACAACTGGCATCGCCTCTCTGGAAACTAGACAATGATCTTCAACACCACAATGGTGAACCAAGAATATTCACTTGGGCGCTCAGGGAACTCATGAGTTATGCAAACTATGAGAATGATACATCTTTACCTTTTGCTGACATGAAACAATTTGATATTCACACAATATAATACACAGCCTATAAATAAGAAACGTCCTATTATGATCTCGTCTTTTCGGAATGTAATGATGTGAAGATCAATTGTTCCATATACGAATTATATCCTTGAATAGCGCAGCTACAGCGAGCGGTTGTTTTAGCCAGAGCAAGGAGTGCTCGTAGAGGCTTAAGTACTTTCACGAGCTACTAGCACGACTTTTTTGGTCAAGTATCCGTTGTTTAACTACATATTCTAAGCTCAAGATTCACATGACGAATTGGCATCTTAAATCTTGTCTGAAAACTCAACTGTTATTAAATATGATTTCATCAACAAAACAGCCATGAAGTTCATTGCACTTGTTTCCGGAGGCAAGGATTCGTGCTATAGTATTCTTCACAGCATTCGTCAAGGGCATGAAATCGTAGCGCTGGGAAATTTGCACCCAGTAGATGAATCGCAACAAGAGCTGGACAGCTATATGTTCCAAACTGTGGGCCATGATATAGTAAAATGGTATCAGAAGTGCACAGGCTTACCATTGATTCGTCGCGCTATTCGCCCAGCGACGTCCAAAAATGTTTCTTTGAACTACTTTCCTACAGAGGAAGATGAAATCGAAGATCTATTGGAGCTGCTGAAGGAGGCCAAGCGACTAATTCCTGACCTTGCAGCTGTCAATGCCGGTGCCATACTTTCTTCTTATCAAAGAACGAGAGTTGAAGATGTGTGCTCAAGGTTGGGTCTTGTGTCACTAAGCTATCTATGGCAGCGCAACCAGAAACAGCTAATGACAGAAATGTGCTACATGTCCAAGTTAGACTGCGAAGAGCATGCTCAAAAGATGGATGCCAGGTTGATAAAGACCGCAGCGGTGGGTTTAGACCAGCAAGTCTTGGGAAAATCATTGCCACAGATTTTCCCTCTTCTTTTAAAACTCAACGAAAGGTATGACGTTCACATCTGCGGAGAAGGTGGTGAATTTGAAACTATGGTATTTGACGCACCAATATTTCATCATGGCTACCTAAGAGCACATGTTTTGGAAACTGAAGGAAGCGACAACTCTGATGGTGTCTATAGTGCAAGAATGGAGGTTGAGTTTGTTGAGCGTGAGAATTCTCAAACATTATCCAATCTTTTGAAGGACTTGCCAGTTCCGAAAGTCTTGGAAGACCCGTGGATGGAGTTGCTAGAACAAGTTACTATTGCTGTCGATGACCCAAATGATATAGAGTATCCCTATAAAGAAGAGATACCCCACAGTTCAAATACATCGATTAATGAAATCAAAAATTTAATGTATGTTTCGAATATAACACCAAAAAACGGCGACACAGTGGAAACCAAAACTCGAGATGTTTTTGCTCAGCTCAACGAAATATTGAAAAAGAGAAGTTTGTTCCCAAGTCAAATCTTGGCATCTTCCTTATTGCTTGAAAAAATGAGTAACTTCGCCTCAGTCAACGCAGTCTACAATGACTTCTTCCAGGTTACAAACAATGGGCCGCTACCCCCCTCTAGGTCCTGTGTGGGTAGCAGCTTAGTCGGTAGGAATAAGACTCTTCAATTATCTGTTATTGTAGACACAGAAGGAAAAATACGTGAGCAGAAAAACATGGTCTTTAACGAAACGAAAGGCGGTTTACACGTCCAAGGTCGCTCTTATTGGGCTCCTTGCAATATTGGTCCCTACTCTCAAGCGATTTGGAACAAAGACGATGCTAATCAGATCTCCTACATCAGCGGTCAAATTGGTTTGATCCCTGCTACCATGATTATGACAGGTGCGCTGGACGAGAAAACTAATGATAATGTGTCGCAAGCAGTCTTGTCGTTACGTCATTTCGATACGATCAAGATTGCTATTAATGCCCAGCATCAGCTTACAACTGTATGTTATGTGTCTGAAGAGTTTATGGTACCCATTGTTGCCAAAGTTTGGGCACTATACTGTAAAGAAATGGCAGCTTCAGTTGATTCATGGTTCGAACGGCCCACAGAAGATCCTAGATCATTAATCATAGTCAAGATTTCAGAGCTTCCTAGAGAAGCAAAATGCGAATGGGGCGGTGTCGCATGTAGCCGACTAACGGCAGAATCTGATGACTGCTACGAAAGCGATAGCGATGGGAATGCATGCGACATCTCGAAGACTTCGAATGCTCCACATTTGCCTGAAGGTTTTTCTGTTTCTGTCCAAAATTCTAAGAAATGTAGAACGTACTACACGGGATTTTTGGATTCTCAAAAAGAGCTTGAAAGGTTTATTGAAACTCGCACAATTTCGCAAGCAACAATATTTTACCAACCGACATTTGGGCTACCTGTAAACATTTCGCAAAACGGAATCGAGCTTTTCCCTGTCGAGAAAGTTTACGATCACAACGGATGCGAAAAGCTCGTAGGAATACAAATGGTGTGCTAGTGCTCGCTCATCCACTTGGTATTATACACGTAAAAGCTTTTTATTTCATCCAGACGTGGTATAGGCCCCCGCGTGCATTTGATGTACTTAAGTCTTTGTCGAGACAGTGAGCAAAATCCCTCTACAAAATGCTCAACTAGAGATGACAAAGAGAGTTTAAATCGTCATAATAGATGACTTTACAGCTCCTGCGTTTGTACATCTTTTTTAAGCGAGGTTGATGGTCTTATCGCGATTGGAACAGATTTGGGACCACAATCTTCTAAGACTGCAATGACTTGGATATCCGTAATTCCTGAGTTCTGAGCAAAAAGCAACGTAGAATAAAACAGCGAGCAAATTGCCGTGTCGTTTGCGAGGCATGCCATCAAGTAAACGATACTTGAGTCGCAGCATATGGATTTTTTGCCGTTTTGGCAAGTGTTCAGGTCTGGTCTTTGGAGCTAGTACACTGCTGAGGCTGACAACTTACCAAGTTTTGTCCGTCTAAGCAAGATTGCAAAGCCGTATAGCTGTCGTTACCCGTCAGGAAGGGGAGGCCACAACGCTGGATCATAAACAATTGACTAAGCTTAGAGTGGCGCACAGGTAATACTCACCAGGAGGAATACACAAGGCACAAAGACTTAGCAGCGAAATAACTAAAATAGCCAAAGTGAGTACATATTCAAAGGCTCCTTAACAATACGTTTAAGTTGATACCTACCAATTTATGTTTCAAGTAAAGGTTGTTCTTGTGACATCGCCAGCGGCCCAACAATGCTCAGGCGGAAAACGGTCCTATAGTTTTGCTACATAATTACTTGGAGGAACTATGAAAGCGAAAACAATTAAAAGCTTTTGAGCCGAGTTGAACTTGACCGTTTTTTCTCTTGCTCAAATATTACGATCGTTAAGAATTGTATTAATTTATATTAAAATGCCAATCATAACATTATTTATCGATGGGAATGGCATCGCACCTGAACGATACTGAATGGTCAGAACAGGCTGGAATGCTTCTCAACTTTCGAGATAAAAAAGTTGCAGAACTCCGAAGCGATGATATTACTTTAAAACGAATTATAATTGAGCGACGGATCAAGAAAGCAGCTAAACAACATTTACAAAATGAGAGTGCCTTTGCTCGTGGCAGGCTTGACAAGGTGAGTGCGGAATATTTGAAGAGTATGTGTATGGACTATGATGAGCTGAAAACGGCGGGGGTCGCTTACAAACATGAAACGGATATGCGAGATGAGGAGCTTGAGACGGAACGAATGTCGGATAAAGAAAGATCTGAAACCCCAGACCGCCAAGAAACAACCATGGATATTCTGATAACAAAAGAATTGAGTTCAGATAAACCCAACGACACTGTAATGCAGAACCCAAGGGAGCAGTACCTTTTGGAAAATGCTCTCAAAAATACAGAACTTGTCAAATCTATGTTGGATTCAGAAGCGGCTCTTCAGAACCCGCGTAAGCACAGTATATCTGAATCAGACGAATATGATGTGCTCGGAAATGATTACGGTACAAGTAATAACACGAATGTACGTCCTACGGAGGTAAGCACTAGCTTTCCATCGCACGCAATAAACGCACAGAATTCCGTAGATTACCAAAACTTTGCATTCAATAGTCATGGTGGTATGGCAGTCTACCAACCAAATGCGCCATTCAACTTAACGCAGTCAAATCCACCTATTAACGCAATTCCTACCACCACTACTGGAATCAAGAAAACTAGGTCGGGAACATTATCACCGCGAAAATCTCAGTCAGCTCAGCAACCTCAAGCGGGGTCTCGAAACAAAGCGCCAAAAGCCCTAAGAAGAATGGAACATGTGGCTCGTAAACATGGTCTTTGAAAGCATTTGTACAACCAGCATACACACTGAGGAAAGTCTCATATATACCTTTTATGACTAAAACAACTACTTGGACCTCAAAAATTTTGATAGCTTGGAGCGCTTCTTTTCCTGAGGTGGGGGTGCGGGCATTACAGGTTGAACATCGGCATTAGACTTTTGATGAGACGTTTTGTGCACATGTTGAGCGGCTACCGGCGCAGCCAGGGCTCTATCGAAAAGAAAGCCCGGAGGCGATTCTTTTTCCTTTGCATCAACGCGTAAGTTAAGCTGCTCTCTTGGCTCACTGAGCTTCTCGATACCTTGCATAACATCCAAGGGTGTCAAAATAGTGTCCGTTCCAATAAAAACGTCTTTGTTTTTTAATTGAGATTGAAGATACGCCGCCCGAATTTCGCCATATGTTAAGCCGCCAATGCTGTAATAAAAAAATCTTTGTCTTGGTGCTCTGTTTTGTGTATTTTTCCTAGTCCACGATGCCTTGTGTCTAGGATTTCTGAGAGATGTCGACGAGTAGCTGAAATTTGCATCCTCCACCGTGCTCTCTTCCAAAACTTCTATTGGTTTGTCCTTCACATATGGAAAGGCCTCTTCACTCAATAAGAGCTGGTTAGTAATGACCTTAGATAAGTTGTTGCTCACTGCACAAACAAATCGCGATGTGTTGTAAACACTGGCATCATTTACTATTGTCTCATGATGCCACTCTTTCTTGAATGGCTTGTCGCTGGGCTTCGACTTGATCAGCGGAAAACCTAAACTTTGAAAGTTTGTAATTAGAGTCATAAAATGCTTGAAAAAAGAGTGGCCGGAGCTCACCCCAATAAACGCCAATAACTTAGCAAAATCTTGTTCGATCAGGCCTCCACGAAATAAGGCATATATGAGGATAAAGCGAACTTTGTCAGTGATGTTAGCATTTTTACTCATAAGAGTTTCTAACAAATTTTCCGTAGCACCCTTGTATCTATTCCCATCTGCGTCTAAACCAAATCCTACCATTGCTTGCTCGTAATCTGCGAGCTCAGCTAAGCGTCTCTGTTCGTTCACGCTTAAACATTGGTCTATTAGGGTTCTGTGCAAAGTGATGCGTCTTCTATCTTCGTCAAAGTCCTTCAGATGAGCAACGACACTTAGTAGATCCGTGGTAGTTTTGACATTTGCACGGTCAACTAACAGCGGATTTTTGGCAATGAGTTCATTGACTTTGGCGTTAAGGTAGTCGGTAGCATCCATAATATGTTGATGTCTTAACTCTACCCAATCTGGATCATCAATCTCCCTTAATTTTGCAAGTTTCTCCTCTTTCTCTCCTACCTCGTTCTCTGCAAAGTATTGGTATGTGTCGGTTTGGGTGTTAACTTCGGGTACTAAGTCGTACGCCATAGCTTGATAGGAAAAGTCATGCAAGAGCAGAGAGAACGGATCCAGAGAACGCTCAGTAATTACTAAAACCGCGCGGGGTCTCGGAGAAGGTGGGGGGAAACTCTCATCTTTCCGTGCATAGTCGTCAAGGGCTTCTTGAAACTCGAAAGCCAACTTTTTCGCCAACATGGTGGATGGGCTAGTCTCGTAGGTTTCAGCGGAAGGCTGTGAATATCTTACAGTTGGATATTCACCGGTTACGATGCAGATATTCAGTAAACATTCGACAGTCTTGGTTATATTTCTTTCAATCAAGTCTGTGCACCTTTTGTTATAGAAAACCTGTAACGGCTGGTCTAAACCAACTGTCTGAAACAATATCGATTCCTTGGGTATAAAAGCGCATTGCACTTCTGCAAGTGTGCATATGTATTGCGGAAGGTACCTCTTGGTGTCGAAAAAACGAACCAAATGGTCTTTGAAACCAGGGAGAAAGCGAACATGCGCCCGTTTGTATTTTGGAGGCCTATTACTAAAGTCCGCGTCCATGCAATTGATGTTGAACTTACTTGGTTCAAGCATGTAAATTGCTTCTACCGAGGGCTGGCCCTTTCTTTTAGGAGAATCAATTTTGTCCACCGCTGTTACAATACGGAGGAGTTCGTTTCTATCAGCGAAAACACTATTCAAAAGCGCATCAACGGTTTCATCAATAATGAGGAACTTAAGATTGTGTTCCGTTTGAATCTCATTGATAAACGACAGAATATCTGGAACGTCAGTGTTAGTAAGTTTTCAGTATTGTTTTCGCCACGAAGATATCTCAAGGCTTATGAAAACGCGCTCACTTACAATTCCTTTGGAGTTCAATAAGATTAGACATTGATCTAAGCTCAATTCCCTTTCTGCTTAGACACTGATAAGGTACGGTTCAGCTGTAGGCTGACTTTCATATAACAGTTATAAGCGGGAATACTGTAATTGCATTCCTCATGTACATGAGTACCAATGCACTCGAGTACACAATTCTCAGTAGTGTCAACGACACTACCATACTTCAAAATGCGTTAACCGGAAGGGCTCGATTAAATGACTACAACCTTATGAAACAATACAAACTTAAGAGCAGCGTTGTTGTTGCTTCGATGACCATTTTGGATCATGACCAAAGCTAAACTTTTGGGAGCGCTAAAGTAAAACCTATTAACCATAATCAGGAGAACGCACCTGAATACGTTAGGGACCAGGTTTTACTTTGTCCATTATCCAAATAATTTGTGCTAAAGGTGCTGCCGACAAAAAAACTGTAAGAGGATAGTGGATCACTCAAAGCTCTGTTTAACATTAAAATACCTCTCCAGCCGTCTTCTACGTTGTTGACGATGGCAGCTAGCTTCTCAACCCATTCTTGTTGAACAAACACGGGAGACCGTATGAATCCAGACATAGGAGTTATAGGAATGGCGTGAATCATTTGAATGTACTGCAGCTCAGTTCCAAAATATGTTGTGTGATCGATCTTATTCTCGAATAGAATTCCACTTACTTTGTTGGGAATAATTTGAGAAGGCTCGACTGTGTTGTTGTCCAGATACAAAAAGTAGCTGTTGAGCGATCCGTTCATGATCCCGAGCTCTAAGTTACCAATGCTTTCTAAATTTTGATTTCCTGTTACATTACCCCATAACTTGATGGCATACGCGGCATTGACATCCTCAGAACTGGATTCTTCATCTTTACCATCCCCGCTAGGAAATAGACCTTTGGCCCACGAATGGCCTGCAAACCAATCGAAAGATCTAAACACTGGGAAATAGGAATCTGAGGAGCTAGGGTTAGAGTAATCTCTGACTAGATTGTCGACCCAAGTTTTATTTTGACTCAACCAGTTGCCACCATTGTCGCGATCAACTTTGGCAAGAATAGCAGCGGCTATAACGTGATATCCGTAATGGAAGTGGTGGTCGTTGTAATAGGAGTTACCAAAATCTTGGGTTGATTGGCCAGAGGAAATTATTCCACCCCAAGTGGTGTCGTATCTCAAGGGCAAGATCTGGGTGTTTCCAATAAATCTTCCAAAAGCATTCTTCAAATTACTCGTCAGCGTCTGTACCAAACTGCTATCCTTTATAACATATTGACAGCAGTAAAGAATCCAAGCATATTTAGCCAAAATTTTACCGCCGAAATACATGGAGTCAACGTTAGATTCGTTTACAACATCGCCTAAAGCTTCAGTCTGAGCTGCTGATTTTATGGCATTTAGAACGTCATTTGAATAATTGGGAGACGATTTGCCTGGAATTGCAGAGTACGGATCGAAGCCAATGTTTGAAGGTACATTAACCTGCAATTCAAAAGTGTCAGTTAAATAACCTGTCATTTGACCCATGGTTACAGAGTCCACGCTGGAATTGATTCTCTTACTTGACATTGCGGATGTAAATGACTTGACATGATGAGGACAAGCGTACATCAAAGTCTTGCCACCATTACTGGAGCCGCTTAAACCGTAAGCAATCGTATATTGGCCAGTGCTTCCAGATACAGAACCTGACAACGTTCCACTGTTGGGGTAGCAACCAGCAGCAGCATCAATAGCTGAGTTCGTATCTGGAACAAGTTGGAAGATACATCCATTTACACTTTTGTTTCCGACAATCTGATTATTATTAGCAAGTGCTAAAGCCAAAGATTGGCCTGATGGGACGGTAACATATAAGGACCAAGTAACATTGTTTTGTAGGACAATTTTGTACTTTTGAATGCCGGAGCGAGGCGAGGTTGCGCCAGCAACACTCTTGTAACCCACGGCAGAAAATAATTGAGGAATCATGTTGTAATAAACCGCTGTGGCGAACCCCATACCTTGGACCAATGGTATCAAGATAAACTGATTATTGTTTTTCTTTACCTGAACATGGGCTTGCAAATGTGTCAAATTTGTAAAGCCTAGTGACATCTGATCCGCGGAAGTGAAGTCGACAGCACCAAACACAAATGACTTGATACCGCCTGGACCAAAGAAGTACTCAGGTGGGCTATTAGGTCCAAAAACTCTCTGGGAAGCGTTAATGTACGAGACAGCCATACCAAAATAAGAATCTTTGGACCAGAAAAACGAGTAAGGGTGAGTCCAAGCGGGATTTGTTTGGTCGCCAATCATCATATTACCGTAGAACTTGTTGGTTTCGGTGGCTTTGCCATTTGTAGTGGTGTTAGCTGGCAAAGGTACAGGATGCGAGACTCTTGAAAAGACACTAAGGGGTTGATCGGTGGAGATGGCAGACTGAAAAATGTTATCGGCTTGGATTGAAGCTGGCATTCTTGAAATTAGACTACACAAAATGTCCTCATTGTTAGTAGATGTTGCTGACGGCAGTGGCCGAGGCGGTAAAGCTGGGGCAGAATTGTGCGGCTTGCTCGCGACGTAAGGTGGAGGAACGGGCGGCCTATCAAAGCGTGCGTTGCGCATATTGTTTGGCAAAGGCATGGCAGGTCTGTCGTAAGACATACTAATGAAGGTAGGGTTGAAGCCTGATTTTTTTGTTGGTTTTGTTTTGTTTTATTGAATGTTAGGTGCTCGGATGAAGCAGACTGATGATATTTCGGAAAGGAGAATAAAGCCTTGTAATTTTACTCACTAGCCTGCTTTTATACTTTCTTGGACGTTTTGTGCCAGTATTTATTCAGTCCCTCTATCAGGTCACACAAAAACGTATGGTAAAGAACAGCGGTATCGAGTCAGTTAAAAATCTTATGCCACATCAAAGACGTTTGAGACAGGTGAAGGCTTTGTGGAAGAGTCAAGTCACACGCGATGAAAAGTCCTTTACTGTTTACTTTTCGACGATCGCCAATTCGAAATATTAAATTGGTTATATCAAACTAAATATTTATAACATCATTAAACTCATCGTACAGCCGAAACTCAATAAATATAACTAATGATACCATCGGATCGAACACTGACCAATAAACTCCACCAGGAGTTTCGGTATATTCAACTAATATATCACAGAAATAAAAATCAGCACAAAATGGCAATTTGGTGGCGGAACTTTAATGAATTGAAAAGAAGCGCTGCGCAAGCTTTAATTCTTGTTCAAAACGAAAAAATGCCGAAGTCTGGACTTGTAAGATTATTTCACATTATCCAAAAACTGCGAAAACATCAAGTGTCTCGGATGTTTTATAGTTTCAACGGGGTGGTAGGCCTGGGGCAATTTGTAACGTTGGGAGTTGTGCTGGTTGGGATCTTGGCTAGAATACATGCTCTCTACACTGAGGTCTACCAAATTTATGAGCAGGATTTTGAACAGTTAAAGCTGCTAAGATGTCAAGAAAAGCCAGCTACTGCTCTGATCTCACATGCCCAGCTGGAATCTTTAGTGGAAGAAGAGCTGGGCGAAGAAATAATAGATAGCGCTGAATCGAAACCAGTAACATCTCTGCGAGACACTTCAAATGTCTGTCCAAGCGCTGAACCGACAAAGGTTCCAAAAAAAAGACTAAAAAGAAGAAGAAAAACGCCATGGACGACATTTTTGGGTAATTAGAATTTTAAATCTCTGGGAGTCTCACAATTGTATTCTATCCTTTTATTCACTAGCTTCCTAAGTTGATTTATAAATTCTATGATACGCCCAAGTAGGAAGTATAAAGGACGCTGAGTGGATTGCGGTGTTGTAGTACCGCATCTGAGACTGCTCTTCGATAGTTGGCTCTCTAATAGCATGCTCTAGATCACTTTTTTTGTTCTTAGCACAAACGATTAAGCCAAGTTGGCCTGACGTGTACGTTGGGACTGTGGTGTAGCAGTATTGAGCCCTGGGAAATACCGCACCTGCGCTCTTCACCAATTCTCTAATATAATCCAAATTCAGCCACACGTTTTCGGAAGCTTGAGCAATGACAATACCGTTGTCGTTGAGAGCGCTATGTAACAGCTCGAAATACTCCTTCTGGAAAAATGCCTCTGCTGGTCCTTCGGGATCAGAAGAGTCTGTAATAATAACGTCGTATCGCTCATCGGATGCTGCTACATTACGAAGGAATTCAAACCCGTCTTGCAGCTTAACCTGTACCTTGGCATGGTTGAAAGAGCAGGCCATGCCAGGGAGGTATTTTTGCGCTAATTTGATCACAGTTTCGTCGATCTCAACTAATGTCGCACTTACGACACCTTTGTGTTTCACTACTTCACGCAGCACGCCACCGTCACCACCGCCGATCACTAGCACCTTACGTGGATTTTTGTGTGCATACAGCGGAATGTGAGTTATCATTTCCTGGTACGCAAATTCGTCTCTTTCGGTTGCCTGCACAATACCGTCGAGCACCAAAACATTACCATATGCCGAGCTTTGGAATACCAAGATGTCTTGAAACTCGCTCCTCGAGTGGTAAAGCACCCTTTCAACTTTTAGCATCAGTCCTTGGCCGGGGAAACCTTTTTCGTTGATTTCACGAAACCATCCATCCTCTATCAATTCCGAACCCACGGTATCCATCTTTGCAAGTAGCTAAACGCGAGTTTTGACAATTATGAGCTCGAGAATCTATGCTCATCGCATTCCATCTGCATACTAATTTTCACTGCCTGTACCGTAAAAAATTTGGATTCCCGAGATCTGTCATCGGAAAACAAAGTCGTATCCCAATCTGTCAGTTCCCACCGGTCTTATGGGAGCAGAGCGTTGAGACTGAAGTCAATATCATAGCTCGTAAGCGTCCTTTCGTCGAGCTAAAGTGTAATCTCTTAACCAATTGCCGCTCGTGACTCGCGATCTAAAATTTTTCGACAGCATTCGGCTCTTTCAAGCATCTTCAATATGCGATGAGATGCGATGAACCGCTAGACACGATTGAGCAAAACAATACTGAGATCGTATCTTTTCGCGACCTTGTAAGCTGACTATACTAGCTATCAAATAATGATTCATCCCCTACAAGCAGTAGTTGCCAACAGTGATGGCTCTATAGTTTTTTGCGTTATAAAGAACATGATTCAGGTGTTCCGGTGGGAACAGACGAAGGGTGAGTTTGTTGCCGCCGGACGGTGGATTGACGAGGAGGACAATACAAGCGCTATCAAGACTAAAGTTACCGAGGAACAGCACCGTCAACGGGCTGAAAATGATGCGAAAAGACGCAAAATAGAGGAAGACACCAGCATCAACAAGTCAGAGGACAATGCACAAACCAAAAAGGCCAAAGATGCCAAGGTCCCTGTCCCGGGAGCAGGTGCACCACCTGTGTACAACTATGTTCGTAACGTTTCGCTTTCGCGCGATGAAAAGCTTCTCTTCGCTTGCACAGACTCGGACAAGGCGCTAGTGGTGTTTGCACTTGATTTCAGTGACCCCAGCAAAAATTGCTTGACAGTTCAGAAGCGTCAACCACTACCGAAAAGGCCCAATGCCTTGACGACCACCACAGATGGTCAAAAAGTACTTGTTGCTGATAAATTTGGGGACGTGTATTCCGTGAACGCCCGTGACCAAAAAGTGATAGGAACCACTGAAAACGGATTAGAACCTATTTTGGGCCATGTCTCTCTGCTGACAGACATTGCCCTGACAACGGATTCCAATGGTAAGCAACTTTTGTTTACAGCTGACAGAGACGAGCACATTAGAATAACACACTTCCCACAAACTTACATCATTGACAAATGGCTCTTTGGATCTAAACAATTTGTTTCTACGCTATGCTTACCACAATGGGGATCCAACTTGCTTTTCAGTGCAGGTGGAGACAACTTCGTATCTTCTTGGAACTGGGAGTCTGGCCATCTTTTGGATTCCCTCGATATCAGTGAACTGATAGAACCATTTCTAGGTGACGCACAACTAGCACCCGAGAGATTTCAGAACGAGACCAACACGTTAGTTGAGTATGCCGTTACTGAAATTGTTACTCTTTCAAACTTGCCCTACATCGCTTTCTGTGTTGAACAGACCAAGGCTCTTTTCATTTGCAAGATAGATCCCACTCTGGGTACAATCACGCTAGCACAAACCATTGAATTACCTTGCAACATTGTGTCATTGACAAGCGCCTCAGCCTCTAATACCTTTGTAGCTGCTTTGGATAACCGTGAATCCGGAACTTTCAATTTTGCCATTTTCATTTCTTGGGATGAAGTTCAGTTCACCATAGATGGAGAGAAAAACATTTGCTTTGACAGGTGCATAACCGAAGAGCTTGGCGGTAACTCAATTGCAAATTTTGAAGGTCAAGTCATATATCCGCTATATCACATTGGATCGTTGAGGAAGCGTGGTGAACTATACGCTTAATTCTTTTGAGCATAGTAACTCTTACAAGAGCGATGACTTAAAATAATGTAATGTCACGGATGAGCGCTTATATAATGATTTTTCGATAAATAGATATTCTCGTGACAAACAAGTTTCGTTAAAATTACAATAAACCACTTTAGCTGAGCTGAAAACCTGATGTCAAGCTCTTCTCCTGAGTTTCTTCCCTCGTTCAAGGACAACGCTGTGTCTGAAGATCCAAGTTTTCAATCGGAAGTAAAATCAGGCTCTCAAATCGAGGCGGTATTTGATGAGATTCGGAATCTACAGGATGAGATCTTACAGCTTCATAGTTCTCTGAAAAAAGGTAATGAACAGATTCGTCGTGACGTTCAAGAATTTTGCTTAATTGGTGAAGACAGCGCCAATTTGACGCCAGACAGCTCGAGCTGCGATCATTAGCGTAAAGCATAGAGCTGAATTGACCACTAGGTAAGTACGAAACAATCTGCTTTAATGGACGAGGCATCCCACATTCCATAGGTGAAGGCATTCTACAAAGTGAAGCTAAGATGCCTTTCGATTGCGATAACTACTTTCTGAATTAATATATGTGAACCACTCAGGCAAAATATCATAGCATAAGAGCAATTTCACCACTGAGAGATTTGGTACTGCGCTAGTTATTTTGGGCATGCATAAAAAGACTTACAAATCAGGTTCTACACATTCATATTTGATGAGTTACGATTTCAAGACAAGACTCGCACATGAAAGCATCGGCAAAGTAAATTAAAATTCCTGACCGCCTGGCCACGTTCATATGTTCTAGCTTTCATTAATTATAGACTAAAACTTGAATTCAGTGTCGAATCTTCCTGAAAATCGGCATAAACCTGCTTCCTTTTGCATTGGACCGCTCAAGAGTACTCAAAACAGTAAAGGCGTGTAATAAAGAGCTCCAATCAGGTTTCTATTTACATAATTAGATCAAACGAGTGAAGAATAGAATCCCAGACCAATCTTAATACTATCTAAAAGATGCAAACTGTGCGCTGGCTTTTTTCAGATTCGCCGATACTATTGGCCCCGTTTCTGTGATACATCTTTGTAGTCTACTGCTATCGTTTTCAAAGCAGTTTTCAAGGCAAGCCATCAAAGTGGCCTCTGTGTCTCTCTCTAGCAAATTTCCAAGGACCTTTAGAAAGAACTGTAAATCTACTACAATTTGCAGTAAAGCGTCAGACGAAAGATTGCCAATGTAACGCTTAAAGGCTTCAAACAAGTACTTTGAGATGAAAATTTGAGACTCCTTGAGAATGCGGCCGATTAGTTGCGGTGCAATTCTGAAGCAATCGCTGTGAACACTTACTAATATCATCAGAGTCTCGATCATGTAGTCACCAACGCGAAATGAATTTGAGCTATAGGTTGCCCAATTTATTTCATAAAACCGCTCCTCTAAGATATCTCTCAAGCTCACTTTCAAGTCGGAAAGGTAATTTCCAAAAATAGAAGACTCCATTTTACCTAGTAAGTTGAATATTTCAAGATTTTTCTTCCCCAATTGCGTTTCGAAACTCTCATCAAAAAACTGCAGTACTTCCGGAAAGATTCGCTCGCGAGTATATTGCAGATTGGTTAGTGTAAGTATTGTTCTTGAGGTTCTTGGGTTTTCTTTCTCCTTTGCGGCGTCTTTCAGAACAGATTCCAAGACAGCTTCCATGGAGATTATTTGTTGGACTTCAATACCAGTCAAGAGTTGACGGGAAGGATGAGTAACAACGTAGATGCCATTTAACACAGGGAGCTTTTCATATGAAAACAGCATATTTCTAACCGTCACTATGCTCAATTTTTGAAACATGCAGACAATTTCTGGAAATTGTGTGATTCCATACTTTTGGTGACCTGAGCTTCGATACATAGACCAATCTTCAAGCGTGTGAAATGCTGAAAGATCTCTTAATTTTGTCGCTGATATAGCAGCAACGGCGCGATCAAGAATCATGGCGTCACATTTTCTCAAAATTTCTATTGAATTTGGCGAGATGTTTAGTTGCGCTATTTCAGTAGTGAATTTTAATATGGGTTCCACAATTTGCGGTAAGTACCGTAAGCAGCTTAAGCAATTGGCAGCAGGTGGTATAAAGCCGTAATCAATAGGTGATCCTGTCTCCTTCTCTACTTTTGCCTCCTCGCGTAAAGAGGTTTGAGAGGCCGAAAATAAACTTGAAAGACCATTGCACAACCTTTTAATATATTCTTCACCCCTCAATCTTATGTTGCTTACTTGGCTCTTTTCAAATTTCAAAAAGCGCATGTAACTATCATGACTCTTAACGTTAGTGCCCAAAATATCATCTTTTCTTTTGTCGTTCAGCAATGAGTTTTGATATGTGCCATCCAAGAACTTTTCAACATGTTCCCAGAATTCAACAAAAAGACTAGACTCCATAGATAGCAAACTGGTGAGCTTTTGTATTAAGAGCCACATCTCAATAACGACAACAGAGTCACAGAGCCCTGGATTTGAATGAGTTATTTTGTTAGTGGGCAAAAATTGGGCGTCTGATGCGCCAACGTTTTGATCAACAAAATGGCCAATAGATAAATAAAAAGTCAGATCTTCGCCCTCGCTTGATGTACTTCTTATGACTTTTTGCTGTGCTGTAACTATCTTGGCATGCATCTTAGTTACTATTTCTTCCAGCTTTGACTCATACGTTGTCAGCTTAGAGCTTATCCAGGTAAATATGGGGCTTTCCTCAGAATTCAGCTCTAGTAGTTTTGAAATTAAAGGTAAGAGCTGCACCTGTATTTCTCCAGCCACAGGATTAAGGAGGGCTTCCCAAACAAAATCTCGATAACTGTTAATTGTACTCTCAATTTGGTCCCACATTTTTAAAAGGATTGGGAAGCTATGTCCGCTGGTTGTAAGATCTTGATATATCCGTTGGGCGTCGTGATAGTGTCTCATGAGTTGTGAAAAATCTCTATTCATTAAGCATTCTCTGAGCTTCTTGGGTATGTCAAAGAAATCCCGATTCTCTTGAATGAACGTCATTGTTGTCTGTATGTTTTTTAGTTTAGCATTGGTATCAAGAATGGGCTTTGCCTTTAGTGTGACCTCTTGAATAGTATTGTCAACTGATGCACCTAGTTTTTCAGTACCTAGCTCCTTATCTTCTTCGAGCGAAAACCTATTGAATTGTTCATAGATACGGTCTAGATTGTTTTTAGATCTCACGTATTTGGCGAAGTTGTTCTGTACCAATTTCTTTAGGTCGTTACTTTGCGCTTGCAAAGACCGATCCAGAAGATCTAACGACGAACTTAGGTCTTTGAAGCCATCCTGAGAATGTAGACCTCTTAGATAAAGCTTGGAGTTGAACTTTTTAGAGTTAATGTAGTATTTGTGGCGCTCCTTTGTAGATATTTGGTAGCTGTCAAGAAGCTCGTCAAGCCCCAATCGAGGATTTAGCGGATCTTGTAGCCCTGCAGTATCGATCCCACTATTCCGGTCTGTAATGTGTTCATGTTCCTGCCGCAGTAACTCGTTAAGCACCGCGTATGAGGAGCCTACCGATTCCAGACCCTGAGGTTCCCGCAAGGAGTATACTACGGTCGAGTCCTTCAACCATGAATCTTTCGGATTTAGTCCTCTAAGCTGATAAAAATCGCATAATTCGTTACTCGAAAAAGCAAATGGTTTGTTCTCCATAGGTTTGATAAAATGTCTGTATGTGGTTTCGATGTTTTTAGATTGAATAAAATGTCTTCGAACCGATTTTAAAATACGAAATACAAATTTAACGCATAAACGCAGAATTTGAATTCCATAACTTTTGCACCTCGTGCTTTAAACTACATTGTAATACTTAAAATAACTACTTTCTCTTAGGCCCGCGAATTGGCGGAGGGGGTCTCGACGATGGACCCTGTTTGAACATTGGAGCGTTCTTGAGGATATCCGGTACCACGAAAAATCGGATATGCGATCCACGTACAAATATGTGATCCATTCTCGTCACGCTCCCATCTCTCGCTGTAGCAGTAACGTCTCTAAGCTGCACGTTCATATTTTCTTCGCTGTCTACTAGCTTTCCACGATATACTTCGCCTGTGGTGAGTTCCACTGACACGACATGTCCCTGGGATTCTGTCAGTAGCTTTATGGGTATTCCGTTAGCACTCATTTAGCTTAAAAATGCAGCTAAAGGCCCCACTGAAATGTGTTTTTGCTTAGTTTTCTGCATTTTGTAATAGACGAATTCTTAGATGAGATTTTGATATCGATTTCAACTTATGAATGGAAATAAAACCTTGCAATAGTCACTTCTCCTTAAACAACTCATCCAAGTGCGATGAAGGCTGTTGTGGAGCATGTACAGCTCCAATTCATACCGGAGATAGATCAAAATGTGGCCTCGCTGCGCGTGGAGCAGAACATTATGTGCTTTGCGCTGAAATCAGGGTACATATTTGCGATAGATCTAGCGACACCTTCCAAGGTGATCAAATATCGTTTCCCGTTGCTGACGGTTCCCCAAGAAAAAATACTCAAATTATGGATGGATCCAAGTGCCAGTTCTATATTTTTGAAGACAAATTTCGCTAAATACTATGTTCTTTCTAGAGATTCAATGGAAAGCGAGGCTGCTGGAAATGTCGTTTCATTAAAACGGCTCAGCAAGAAAAACTGTGATATTATAAGTGTGAATTGGCTCAGTGAAACTGAAATGTTATGCGGTTCAAATGAAGGAAACGTGTATTGGATAGACCTCAAGAGTGAAACTTCAATAACCAAAGTTTACAAGTCGAGTGATGCCGTTGATGGTGTGGTTTTTTCAAAAGGCAAGGGTGCTCTACTAACAAGTGGTGATACTATTCGGTTTTGGAATACAGCCCAAGACCCTGTAAAAACGTTTAAAGGAAGCGCGACAGAAATAGAACAATTTGAGCATACTGAGAAAGCCTTAGGTAAAAGACTAACATTTTACAATAGCACATTTGCTTGGATAGCTGGCTTGGGAGTCGTGTTTGGAACCTTAACGAATTCAAATGATGCACTGAGTACCGTAGGAGTGTTATTGAGTGCTGAACTCCCAGCGGCGGTACACAGAATCAAAGACATTGTTCTCAGTAAATTCCACATTTTAATACTACGGGGTAACGAGATTCTCATCGTTAACAAGCTCAATAACGAGGTAGTAGCTCAAAAATCCATTTGGGTGCAAGGCTCAGAAAAAATGCTGGAACTTACAGTAGATTACTCTCAAGATCCTCCCACTTTTTGGTGCTATTCTAGTAGCAACATTTATGAGATTATTGTCAAAGATGAAAGCGCTGGAATATGGAGTATACTTACTAAGCTCGGAAGATTTGATGATGCACTGAAATTAGAAACTCTGAGCCCTCTCGAAAAAGGTCAAATATACTTGCAAAAAGCAAATTTTCTATTCTCCCAAAGTCATTTCATGGAAGCGGCCAAGTGTTACGGAAAAAGTAATTGTGTCACAACCGCTGAGGTCACCTTAAAATTCTTAAATGACTCCACAAAAATGAGCGCTTTACAGACCTATCTAGCGACGAGGCTGGACAGTGTTAAAGCTTCCAAGAACAGTGAAGTACAATTAATTTTACTCACTAATTGGATTGTTTGGAATTACATGCAAATGCTCAATGCGATTGATGAGTCAATCTCATCTGAACAAGACGTCAAAAATTTGGAACCTTTACATGCTCAAAAAAGCCATCTAAACACAGAACTCTCAAACTTTTTTGAAAAGAATATCAATATTTTGGATAGAGACACTATTTACCAAATCATGTCTCACCAAAATAGAAAGTCAGAAGTTTTGACGTTTGCAAGACTGATTGAGGATTACAAATACGTCTTGTCTTACTGGATAAGATCCAAAAATTGGTACGAATCCTTGAAAGTTTTGATAACAACGCAAGATTTGGAATGCATTTACAAATATGCCACGGTTCTTTTAATCAACTCACCGGACTCTACAGTAAACACATGGATGCAAATACCGACCATAGATCCATCAGAGCTTATCAATCCTCTTCTCACGTATTTTGCCAAGTTTCAGAAGACTAGCACTGACACGGGGAGGTCACGATCCAGTGTCAATTATGCATTAAAATATCTCATGTGGTGCATACATGAACAGGATAGTACCAAACCATTAGATACCATCGTTTTCAGTGCGGGTATATATATGATGATTGCCGCCTTTGATGCAGAGGACAAAGAAAACGAGATTATCGCTTTTATCGAAACTAACGCGGGTCGCTTTGACAACGAATTCGTGCTACGACTGAGCACCAAATACAAGAGAAATAAAGTCTCAACATACCTATACTCACAAATGAAGTTATTTGAAGAGGCCGTTACACTTGCCATTGAGAAAGATCTGCTTGATGATGCAAAGCTAGTTGCTAGTAGCCAAGAGCTAGATGGCAATTTAAGGTTAAAACGTAAACTTTGGCTGAAAATTGCGAAACGAATGATATGTGAACAACATGATGTTAAGCAGACTATCAAGGCAATTCTGCAGGACTCGAATGAAACACTATCTATTAAAGACTTACTGCCACTTTTTGAGGAGCTAACCACTATCGCAAACGTAAAGGAGGAATTGATACGGAGTCTGAAAAAGCACAACACGGTAATGACGCAAGTCTCGCAGGAGATTCAAGATTCCATCAAGATCAAAAAAGAAATAGCTGAGGATATCGAACTTCTCAAGACGCGTTTTCAGATCCTAGAACCAGGCGTGTCCTGCAATGTATGTGAAGAAGTACTGCAAACTCGAAAGTTTTACGTGTTCCCTTGTGGTCATTCATTTCACACTGACTGCTTAATGAGGGAGATATTGAAATCCACAGACTACGCATTACGAAACAAAATTGAGGCATTCCAAAGGGCCGCTAGCAGATCGAAAGCAGCCGTTGACAAGGGCGAGCTGGACCAGCTATTGTCAGCTAAATGTTGTTTTTGCAGTGATATCAAAATCAACAGTATTGACGAACCTTTGGACTATGAAGAAACAGAACGACAAGCGTGGAACGTTTAAGAACCTCGGGATAGCTCCTCTTTGCCGCGCAGTATTTCGAACAAAGCGCTGAGGAAACCTTGATATATAGATTTACGTATTAAGGGATGTTTTGGATTGAAATTAGACCTTTCATATTTTTGGTTTAAGAGAAATACTCACAATTTCAAAATAACTGGGAATATCACCACGAGAACGAAAAGCATTTGCAATGACCGAACAACAGCTGATGGAGGATGAGAATTTTAGCGTAGATGAAGAAATGAATGAGTTTGATGACAATGAAGAAGCCCCTATCGATAACGCTTCCTTATTCCCAGAGTCTGGTGTCAAAAACGATGAAGAGCCGAGATTGGAAAACGGAGCAGGAAACCTATTTGAAATACCCGAATTTACACGAAAGGACAAAACGCTAAATGAAATACTCGATATGATGGAGGACAATCCGCCAATCATCCCAGATGCGGTAATCGACTACTATCTCACCAGGAATGGGTTTGACTGTGCTGATGTCCGAGTAAAAAGACTGCTGGCATTGGCAACTCAAAAATTTGTCAGCGATATTGCCACAGATGCCTATGAGTACTCTCGTATACGCTCTGCGATTACCGTTCACAACTCGAATAATGGACAAGCCCGAGCAAGGCAATTGATTTTGGGACAGCAGCAACCGGGGCAACTCACACAACAACAGCAACAGCAAAATGAAAAGACAAAGGCAAACAAAGTTGTACTTACCGTCAACGACCTGAGTAGTGCTGTCTCCGAATATGGTTTGAATGTCTCAAGACCGGATTTCTATCGTTAAGCATAAGGGCCTTCGAGTTGCACTTGTAAACTCAACCTTCAAATTGAAAAATCCATGGGCACCGGGTCTAGCCGGAAGGGTTATGTGCATAACGCTGTATAAATACTCCGGACCCCAGCTGGGCACAATTTTGTTGGGGCATGACATATACGGAGTCGGCACACATTACCTAGTGAAAGCTCTAAACTAGAGCAGAATGAGGCTTAGCAATTATTTCATGGTCCCTAAGCTGCCAAAATACTCTCAACTCATCAGATTAGGTGTATTGTCAAAGAGGACAACCTTCGCTCCAACTTTCAACTGCTCGCCTAATGATCACATCTCAAGGCGTCCTTTCGCTTACATCAGTGCGTGATTCGGCCGTTTTGTGCCGAATGAAGAAAACTGTCACTATTACCTGATATCACACTGATCAGGCGGCTTGTGAGATATCCTGACTTGATCCGACTCTCACTATGGTTCAAATAGATTATGCTATGTCCGTGTATAATGATACTTTAATTAAGTTAATGCAATCTTGAATTTATAGTTACTTGCTACAAACTATGCTACCCAAGTAGACGTGTTTTCGAAACAAGTTTAGCCGCATTAATAATGCCAATTGATTACTCAAAGTGGGACAAGATCGAGTTATCGGATGATTCGGACATTGAGGTTCATCCAAACGTTGACAAGCGATCTTTTATAAGATGGAAGCAACAGAGTATCCACGAGGAACGTGTCAAGAGAACTAATGACATCAACAATCTGGAGTTCCAAGTAAAAATGAACTCCAGACTCAACCAAAGGGTAGACAAAATGCTGGCACAATTAAACGATGAAGATCTGCTAAATAGAGACACAGTACGAAAGTTTCTAAATGCTAATTTCGACAAGAACGAGAAAGGTGAAGGCGAAAATGTCGACCCAGACATGCCTCCTTACAACGAGATGGTTGAAGATCTGTTCGAACAACTCGAGATTAACGCAAAGAAAGCCAATAAAGATCCTAAAGATGGCTCTGTTATCCGGGAAATGATTATGGAACACAGACAAAAAATTGATGCTGTTACCAAGCAAGCCCAAGAAAGACTTGTGCAACTTTACAAAGAGAAGGCCTCACTTATTTCGTCTGATGATTTCCACACTGGTTTCGATAAAGGCTTCGTCAACTCAAAATCTCAAGAGGATGTTGATGCTGCTAAATTTCTGCCTAATGCAAGCTCCTCTTCTCAGTCTGACGTGACATTGCCTTCACCAGTGCCTCAATTTATTAATTTCGAGGACGATGTCATGAAATTGGCTCCAGAGACAGTTGAATTTGGTAAAATCTCTCCGAAAGATATTAAAAAATCGGAGGCACACATGTTGAGATATCTACCAATTTTATCTGAACAGCAAAAAGATGCTTTAATGATGTCCGCTTTTGAGTATCAGATTGAAGGAAATAGCGAACGTGCCTACGAAGTTATACATCAGTCAGAATTGATTGCGTACGTCAGAGAAATATATGACATGAAGAAAATACCACATTTACAAGTGAATGAACTTACTGAGGTAATCAAAATGTTTTTCCAAAAAGTTTTCTACAACCGCGTAAACGATCAAGGCAGGAAGTCGTTTTTGGATTCGGTGCAAGCTAAGTTTGACCATGTCAAAAAACGCGTGGCAGTTATGGAAGAAGAAGAATCCCAAGAAGGTGTCGAAACCATACAATTGAAGTCATTGGACGAATCCACAGAGCTTCAAGTACAGTTACCTCAGTTTGGGTCCACGGATCCCGACGAGATAAAAAAATTGGAAGCCTTTAACAAACTGCCTCTAAAAATGCAAAATGCGGTAAAGACTCAGAATCTAGACAAAATCAATGATGTTTTTGCCGAAATGCCTGTAGATGAAGCCGAGAGCGTCCTGGACATATTTAATGAGGGTGGAATTATAGGTATTAACGCTTTGCTTGAAGATGAGAGTGAGTTTCAAGAATTGCAAGAACAATACCAGAGTGAATCTCAAAATAGACTTGAGCCAACTGAGCAAAACCCTAATGAACAAATCCACGAACCCTACGAAGAAACAGCTGAAGTGAACACTTCAGACGTAGTGGACTGACTAAGTTATGAGTTGCTGTATGGCACTTCGCTTATCATTTGCTTTCTCTAACTTAGAACTTTTGAAAACTATTAAATATGTATTTGACAAGAAATCGATGCTGAAATCAACAGAAGTCGTAACTTGGGAAAGACCTGCGAGCCCAAGAGTTGATATTCCACTTCATAATTCCATAATCAGTACCTATAACTAATGAGCTTCCTTCTTCATCATCCATCCAATCAATACCCGAAATACTGTTTTCATCAGTACCATTAGTAGATAAGTCACTCCCACGCGTATATTGTAGTACACTAGGACTGGTCCGTCTTGCCTGTGATCGCGAACCTGGTACAATAGTATGAGATAATTCATCATTAACGTCACTATAGGCCTCCACCACTTCAACATCGTTAACGAACAATGATTCACTATCCGTGTGGTGGGGTAGGTGATTCTGACGATGAAGGCTGAATTCGCTTCCTCTACGGCTTTCTCCGACATAATTGTAGTTATCAACTGCTCTATAATTTTGAGCGTTATATCGTGAATCTAAAATTGATGGATCAATAGACTCTAGCGACAATACAGGCGAATTGTTGGATGTCGAAAACCTTCTGACTCTAAATGATGACCTCCTTCTTTCTCTACGCCCTGTAACAACTGTCTCAGCAGACTCCTCGTCGGGACGACTGGCATCCAAGTTATTATTCATACAATTGATGACCTTCGGATAGGGAATCAACTGCGGTTGAAGCTCACTGACAGGAATACTGGCCGCGAACGTGGTATGAGGGTCATTGAGCTGAGCGGGCATAGAACTTCGTCTGGCCGTAGCGGGGGGTTGCTTATCATCACCTGAACTACTGTTTCTGTCAGGAATCATGATCACTTGATGGTTCATGAAATTTCGTGTATCAACAACATGGACCCTTCCATGATGTTCGGAAATGAACAACAGGTCATCCATTCCTTCACTGAACTTGCAGACTCTGAAAGCGCCATTTTGAGTGTATTTGCGAGTTGAATTGATCTCCGCCAAAGGTGTCTCCATTTTTCTTGCGTCATATACCCAGCATGTCCCATTTTGAAAGACTGATGCAAATAGAAGATCATTTTCACTAAAGCTCGTATAAAATCCATGATCTCCACCGGGGACCTCATAGATGTTATCAATGAATCCCGACCTGTCGGGCATTGCGTAGCGAGGAATGCGTTTGTTTCTAATGAAAGAGCTACCCCATTGAGGCTGGGTGTCGTATTTTAAAGAGAAAAACCCTGTGATTTCGTTCTGGTGGTAAATGGCAAACTTGCTGGAATCGCCAGACGTGATCAGAGTCTTTCCGTCGTGGGATAGCGTTGCGTTGTTTAGCGAAAATTTTAGATCAGAATACCTTCTTGTAAGCTCGACACCTCTATTGCTTATATCGCACTGATACAAGTGAGCGTCATTATTGCAGGCAAAAAGATCAAACTGCTGGGTTGACTTTGGATGAAGTAACACGCAATTATTAATATATTGGCCTAATCGATAGGTTAAGCTAGTGTCGTTTTCTTCATTGTAGACTGACAAGACACCCTTCCAACTTTCCGGGTTGCTATAAGGATTGTGATCGGATAAAACGGCACCATTTGCGATTTTGATAGGTTCGATTTTAGAATTTGAACTGTCACTTGCGCTGTTGTCAGCAGTAGAAGATGACTGTCGCGAAAATTGTGCCCAATTACCATTATCGTCCGGTCCCATGAGTCCGCCTGATGCAAGTAAGCCGCCTCTTTCCTGAAAGCAACGAGACTTAAAGTCAAACTCAACCAGCTTCTGAGAGGGGGAGCGCAATTGGCTTTTGACGTGTCTCTTAGGAGATGAACTCCTTCTTTTCCGATCTCTAAGACCCACTTTTTTAGCATCAAGCTTTGTCCCGGAGTGATTTGCTCTTGTATCGAGAACACGGATGGAGTGGTCATAGATGTAGTATATCTTGCCCGGCTCGCGAGACGAATGCTTAACACAATCTCTCAATTGCCAATGATTGATAGATACCCTGGTGTCATAGAGCTTTAATGTCGGCATCAAGTAGTTTTGAAACACTTTGTTTGACCCCCAATTGGAGTCATTTTCCAGACCCGGGCTTTCAAAGTCTTCGTCAATGGTCATTCTTATTCAGCGAAACTATGCAACAAGTTTTGTTCAAATTTCTATGATAACAAACTGTCAGTAAAGGACTCGTAACGGAATAATACCTGGCTGTGATATCGGGAGTGCAGCAAATAATAAGTACCCTTTTGATAAGAGCTTCGCAAAGCTTATTTTGTTGATATGTCCCCTCGTTCACTGTGAAAGGAGTGATACAGCAAATCGAGTGATTTATATGGTCACCAGCTTATTACCACCTCGATATTCGCCAGACGACTCTAGGTAGTATGCTTCAAGCGATACCAACGCAGCAAGACTAAGAAAAATCAAGTTATCCTGTCTTAGTGCCGCTCAAACAACAAAATCTCTATATGAGCAAGCGAAACTAAATTATCCAGCCAGTTCTTGCTATGCTCGCGATGCTCCAAAATTTGGCCTCTAAAAACAGGCAGATAAAGGGCCAGATCTCAGTCTAGAGAGCCCGCCAAATGAATGATAATGTGAAACCTTCCTGTGCTTCTCAAAAGTCTTTGTAGATTTCACAGGAGCTAGTGGTAACGCTTCTCACTACAAGTCCATTCAAATAGCCCTTATATTCATCACGCGCTCCCCCGTTTTTATAAATTGGGAAAGGAAAAAAAAAATGATCAATCCTAAATACTCCGACCGTGCAAAGTCACTTAGAATGACACGTGATTACTTGTAAAAGTCGTCGATTTAGACGGCTATGACATTATATCTTGAGCTCTAAATACCTGGCGGGTCTTCAGATCATGACTTTAAACTCATTAGTAGGAACGCGGCATCTTGGGTTTCGCCTTGTGCCTGCGGTTCTTGTTTTGGACTCTTTTTAGCCTCTGATTTCGGTACACTTTGGGACGCTTCGTGCAACGCAGATGGACTCAAGGACAAATGTGAAGGATGGTGATCCAATAGACTGTTGTTTATAGCAGGGGAATGTGGCGATCGTACTTGTGAGGTGGCCCGGCTATTCCTGAGAGACTCTGCTCCAATTTGTTTCCAGTCCTCTTCATCGGTGTCGGAGTGATCTCCGTCTCCATCTTCGTCGACGACGGCGACGTCATCTTCGCCATTAGAGCTTGCTACATTATTAGCGTCAGGCGAGAGGCTATTCAGTTTGTAGGCCAAATCTTTGTGTAAAGGCAAATCGATGGGACGTTGTATAGGACTTGAACGGTAGCTAGCATGCGACAAAAGTGTTGAGCGAAGGCTGGACTCCTTGGAGAAAGAAAGCCGGGGTTCTCGACCACGCGTGTGTTTGTCAATACCGTCAGACTCTTTGTTTGTTTGTTCGTCACCTGCATGCGCGGGCGAAGATAAACGCCTGTTGGTTGTGGCTTCCAAGCTGACGTTGGAGCCTCGAAACGATCCGCGTTTCCCAACAGAGGGAGATCGCTTCTTTGACCACGAGGAGCGGCGATAGTTTTTCAAGATTGGACGCACTGTTTTGGATGCATTATCTAACTCCGAATCGTCAGGAGGTGAGTTCTCGGCGTAGACAACGCTCGATTTGCGTCTCTTGAAGAAATCGTAAGGCAAAGTAGTTTGGTGCCCTTGGTCGTTAAAGTCATCGCCTTCGTAAAATTCGCCGGCTTTTCCATTTGCCGCAGCCCCATTGTCCTCGTCCTCGTCCTCTGACGCCAAAGCGTTTTCGTCCAAATAAGTCGGCCGGTTGCCATTTGGGATGTCCAACTCACGCTTCAAAGACAAGGAAGCTTTCCTGGCTTGTGGATGTTGTACGCTACTGCTTTTGCGTCTCTCCTGTGAGACCATATCTTTAACCTTACTGTTAGCGATATTAATGACTTCCCGTTCGCTCTCAAAATTCTCTGGAGAGTCGACTTTTTTAGCGGACCATTGACCCCATCCTATTTTCGCAAATACTACGCAATTGTTTCTGTCTCCGGTCTCGAGCGCGCCCATTATGAGCCTTCTTTGCTTCGACGCGGACAAGTCTTCGAAACCGGCCATTTGTTTGCACAAAGCTTTCGTAATGAAACGAATTGCCAAGGGTCCTTCCGAAAGTAGCAGCTGTGACACTTTTTCCGGAGAAACATGTTGAGGATTAGGCATGCTGTTGGTGGCAGTGGTTGAAGCAGGCTTATTCTGTTTGGTTTCAGTGGTTGGCACGATCGGAGCAACTTCAGATTCGGTTGCTTCACCCGCCATCTTCAGAACAGTTTTAAAGTGCGGACTTGGATTCGGATTGATGTATTTGCAGCTGCTTCTGCTCGTTTTGGGTTTAGTTTTGTTACTTTTAGTTTAAAGTTGATGATTGTCCGTTGTGTCATTTAATAGAACATGGGCACTAATTAACGCGATAAAAGGAGTGGTTCATAGGGAAACGAAAAAAGATTAGGGCGACCGTTGAGATTCGAATAGGAGATTTGTCACGTGCGGTGCTAGTCCGAGATAGGGCCATAATCACGAAGTAGTTGGACGTGTTACAAGAGCTTTTTGGGCATGCCAGAAGCGGCGGTTCCACGTATGGGAGCAGCTTATTGGACATGTATCCAGGATCGACTGCCAGGTCGATTTGGAAGGCCGCTCATATTCCGGGAGTGACCCTGCGATGAGCACATCGTAGGAGAGCTCTACAAAAATTGCTGGTGGTTCATTCAAAGAGCGTTTGTCCCATACAGCACTTTGGCTTTTTCAAAACAAATGCTCTGTATAACACTCATGCTTCTCCAAAACAAATTCCCCATGTAATACTCTCGCTTCTGCAAAATAGATGCTCCATGTGATACTTTTGCTTCTTCATGAGTCGCGAGCCACTGGTTCGGGCTCTAGTAGTGGTATGGAGATTGCAGTAACCCACAGCGTTTCACTAGAGCTTCATATCGATGGGATTAACGCCGGTGCGAGCTGTGCAGGCAGAAGCATGCAATATCCCGGGAAAAAAAAGCACACAAGCGTGGGTGGGTATGCTACGATGGTGGCATGTATGCCCGCCCCGCATCGTATATTCCAGGAACTACAAAGATCTGAAGCCCCATTTAGAAAAACCGCGAAAGAGGACTGCGCAGTGACCGAACCCTACAACGAAAGACATCCGAACAACACGACATTACAGTTGCTCCAAAGCCCTCTGGCGACGATTTTCAAGCCCATTTAATTGCCATACGAGTCCAGGGTCTTCGCTGGAAGCTCCAGAAATCCAAACGCCAATCCTGTGCAGCGACGCGATCCAACGGCTCCACAGGGCTCTTGGACGTCGATCGACTCGTCTCGTTTCCCACGACTCACTCCCCTGCTTAGTCACCGTTTCCACTAGCGACGTTGCTTATATGCACGCCTGCATGCATGCGTGTGAATAATTCGAATATTCAGCTTTCACTGTCATCGTGGAAATGGTTGAGACTGGAAACAGACCGGAAACAAGTGGGAAACAAGCGCTGTGCACCTCGGTGGTAGCTTCGCCGGCTTCGCAGGCTTTGAATTTGATACCATTGCTCGTCTTTTTCGTTTTCAAGCCGGGTGCGACGGTTCCAAGTGACAGATGCACAGCTGGCTCCTGTTTGTGCAGTGCAACCGAAAGATGGCGACGTTTTGGTACAAAGTGATCACGGCCGGTATTTGGTTTGGCACTTAAGTTCTGCCAGAGGCCAGCTTGCACGACTATGCGTTCACCTTGCTTGCCCTTGATGTATGCGTACACTTGCAGTCCTCAAAGTCCTCCGTAATACGATAGTTGAACTTTGTCCCCTTGCGGACTGCGGTGTGCGCCGGCCAGACCACGTTTTGCGCTGAAAATTAGGCTCAGCCCACGCGAAAAGTTTTTTCCACTGGGCCTAGCCAGCTGACTAGCATTGCTGTCTGGTCACTGGCTAGGCTCCCAGGCTGCGGGCTGGTAATTGGATTTGGCAAAAGTAGCAGTGGTGTAAAGGACCTAACATGTTTATGGATAGTTAGTGACTGGGATAATATCGTTCAGAAATTGATCAGGAATCAATAGTTATGTCTGTACGTATTCACAATTGCATTACTAGGGAAAGGATAATTGCAGGAGGAGCTTTTAGCCGGCAGAGAACGAAGGGGAATTGAGATTTCAAGGAGTGCGAAGCGAAATGAGAGGATTAGAGCTTATGAATGCTTGAAATTTTTGGCATTGGCCAAGAGTCTGAAGTTGAAACACATCCCCAGCAGGGCCCAGCAGAGGCAATGCTAGTGGGGTGCTTTGAAAGCGCTCTCTGCAATACCAATTGGAATTTTCGAGTTTTCTTGCTCAAAGAGCTGTTCCTGTTCCTTTGTCGATATTGAGATTCAAAAACATACTAACTGGACACCATGCAGAACCCATTCGACTTGCTAGGTAACGACGTTGAGGACGCCACTATCGTGGCTCCTCTTCCTCCAAAGGAGATCGTCAAGCACACTACTTCTTCCAAGAAGTCAGATGTCCCTCCTCCATCTGCTGACCCATCCAGAGCCAACAAGAACAGACCCAAGCCAACCGGCAACGAAGCTGCCTTGAAGGACAGAAACGGTGGCAGAAAGAACAACAAAGCCAGAGATGCTCCAGCTGAGACCACCGACGCCAAGAAGACCAGTCACGCCGCCAGAAGAGCCACTGACCGTCAATCCAGATCCGGTAAGGTCGACACCGATAAGAAAGTCAGACAAGGCTGGGGTGACAACAAGAAGGAAGTGAGCGATGAAGCCGCTGCCGAAGCCGATGCCGCCGCTGAGATTGAAGCCGACAAGGCTACCGAAGAGACTCCAGTCTCTAACAAGAAATCTTTGCAAGACTACTTGAACGAAAACAACAGCAGCGAGTTCAACAAGGCCCCATCCGCCAAGAAGGTCGACCAATTGGAAAACGCTGAATTGTTGGTCAAGAAGGAAGAAGTCTACGCCGAGCCAACCAAGGTCAAGAACTTGAAGTCCAAGCAATTGAAGTCCAAGCAATACCTAGACTTTGACGTTTCTTTCGCCGACGACCAATCCGCTGCCAAGCCAAGAAAGTTTGACAACAACAAGGGTGGTCCAAAACGTGGCGGTAAGCCAAAGGCCTCCAAGAACGCCGGTGAACAAAAGCCAGCTGTTAACGCCAAGAACTTCCCTTCTTTGGCTTAAAGAGTTTGACCCGTCAATCAACCTCCTCCAAATTCAACTAGAGGAAAAATCTAACGTTGTCTTTGTAACATCTAATCAGTTTTACAAAAAATATCTATCAGCGATTGTGTGTAAGTCTCTCCTACTGAAGCCCTCAGGGCAAATTAACGCATAGTATTGTGATGTATCATTATTTATGCATGTGAACTGCCTACGTGTTTATCGACATTATCAAAAGTCCGGTTGTGTGTTCGACAGGCTGTCCAAGTAGAATTTGGGTATCACATCTTTATAATTAACACCACGCTTGTTCATTATCATGTTGCTCTCCCACTCAGACCTTTCATGCCCGTGTAGTTGTCCGCCCAATTCGTGTAGTGCGTAAATTAAGCTTTCGTGCCCAATTGTCTTGCCAAAATTGAGTTCGCTAAAAGCTATGTCGCAAACTTCCTGCAACATCTTTGCTGTGAGGCCCCAGACATCTTTGCATGGAACACCCTCAAGCGCCTCATCTCCAGAACTGGTATCGATAATATCGTTGAGCCATCTTGTGTCTTTAACATTTTCGTTCGGATAGTAGTAATGCTGAATGAACCATTTTAGGCCACCCCACTTTGCCCAGTACTCCTTGCGACTCACATACTCGGGGTGGTAATTGGTCCAATTATACCGGTGTGCTATGAGGTCGCTCAATGGTATGGAAAATATGGAGGTAGTCTCGCCAGGGTTTAGTTTTCCAAAGAACTTAGAACCATCGAGTGGAATCTTGTATCTATTCTCTAACGATGTTTCAGAGTTGTGTAGGAAGGATACAATAGGCTTCACGCTGAGAAAAGTCCGCGACAGGAAGTGTGGAACATGGGTTGTAAGCGTTTCGATCTTCATTCCATAATCTCGACGCAGAATTTCATCGTCTCTCGGAAGACCAATCTCCTCCTCAGATTCACGTCTAGCAACAACTTCGGGCGTTTCCAAAAGAGAGTCCGACTTTCCACCGGGCAACGATACGTGGCCTGAAAAGCTTCGGAGATTTCGACATCTTTTTGTCAATATTACTCTAAGCTCTCCATATCTGCCTATGAATAGAAGAATTAATACGGCGCTTCGTCTATATGCTGGCCAAGTAGTATCCAGTGGTAAAGCTGACTTTACCGAGAAGCTCTTGAGATTCCTGATGAGTTGAGCCGCCTCAAGCATTCGGATCCTCAAATAATCTTGGCAGAGGACGGAACAACTCAAAAAGGGTATTAGTTAATACAGAAATACAAAAAATGCGGTTCCTAACTTTGCGTAATATTAAACATTAATATGATTTTGTGTCTGACGCCGCGACACTGTGTAATGTGTTCTAGTATTTGTAAGTGCTTAAACCTTTAGATCAGCTTTTAATGCATAACTAACCACCACGGATAGTGTAATAAATAATACAGCATACTGACTCAAAAAGAATACCGACAAACAATCCATTTGAGTGTGATCCCCATCCAGTGGAGTATAGAAAGCAGTAAAATAAACCTGCGCTGTTGCACTGGGCATGGCCCAGGTGAGAATCACGACAAATTTAGCTATCTCATTGTCAATCCAATTTATGTTGTATAGCTTGTTGGCCCAAGCAATTCCAATTATTGGAAGTATTGCAAGTCTGAGCACTGTCATCATTAAAGTCGTCTTCCAAAACCCGGGTGGCAAGCTCTTTACTTCTAGCCGTGCCAAAGTGCCACCCAGCAGCAGCAACCCTAAAGGAACACAAGCATTACCGATATAGCCCGTAAAATCCATCAAGAAATTGAGAACGGGCTGGCCATCAGGAGCTTGGTGAACATGTACGTAGGTATGCACAAATAAAGCCTTGACCCAGGGGATCATAGAACATATTATACCCAAGAGGGCGCCAAGGGAAGCAGGACGGCAAAAATTGATTAGGATATATACCAGCCATCCCAGCTTATACTTGTCCACAAACATTGAAAATTTAGACGGAGCATTTTGTGACCTGTTGGTTGCTGTTCGCGATAGGTTTGCGCATAGTGGGCCCTCAAGGTGCGAGCTATGTGTCACTCCACGTTCCAAATCCGAGTTCTCGATTTCGTCTCTGGTAAATGCATTTTCTTCTCCCACCTCTTGTGTCAATGACAATGGTCTTGTGAGATCCATCTCACCACTCTTGATTCTGCTAGCGACGCTATATTCGTTGATCACATCATTCATGGACTGAGATTGACGCCTTGGCCTCCCTCTCCTTTTACCATCGACATTCGTAGATAGTTTGCTGGATCGTGACCTTGTAGAGCTTACTTTATGCAAAGACTCTGTAGCTGATGTAGGAGCTACAAATTGGTCATAGCCACGAGACAGCCTTGAACCTCGGGATTCGATGGGCGGTAAAATATCGGTCCCATACTCGGAAGTAGAGCTTAAACTACTAGTAGTTTCAAAGGGAGCCACAAAATGATGAGGATTTTCACATTGTTCATTACTGCAGTTTTCGTTACTTAAAGCATCGCTGCTTAGGCTCTGAGAAGAACCTGCCTCGTTTTTATGATGAGACATCGACATTTTAGCTTTGTCACTGTCAGAGCTCCGGCTTCGTCTCCAAGATTTAGAAGATGATTTTTGAGTTTTTGCAGTTTTTCTCTCCTCCTCAGTCGAATTAGATTCAGAGTTGTCAAGTTGTTGTTCCTCGTCTTTTTTAGCCTCTCTGAAATCAAGCCCTACCAGTCTAAACATCCCAAAGTTCATCATTAGAAAACTTTGAGTGCATAGAAATATGCAGCAATAAGCAACACCGCGGTCAACTTGATCAGAGGTAAAAATTGAGCCATTACTCATACTTTGAACATATGCAATTGGCAGGTCCGATATGTTTGGAAAAGTTCCCGCAAAAAGCAGCCCCCAGTACCACTGTCGTGGTGATTTTGTTACTACCTTCGTAAGATAAGCACAGGCACCTCCAGTGACAAAAATCAGAAAAGCTGTCAAAACCAGGACGCCCACTTCTTTTATATCTTTGGCTGAAATATTACCGACGATTTTATTGAACGTTAAGCATGGCAAAATAGCGTTTACTACCATATTTGATACACCTCTGCTTGTTTCCACGGTTGCCAGATTATATTTCGCCAGTAGAAATCCAACAAAGATGATCAAGTAAATCTTCAAAACAGGTTTCACTGCTGCGTAAATCGCCGCGCCCAGCCCAATACTCATATTTGCGCAAAGTCGGTATCGAGGGAAGAAGATGTGTGATTTGATTTGAATTCAATGTCAATTACGACATGGATCGAATCGAGTTTTAGCCGTGAGAGTTATACGACTCTGTGATGCAGGCTTTGAGTGAAACTAGACGTGCAAAACCTTTTCCAGTTTATATGAATGGTATAGTGAACCCTATTAATGTGATGAAGAAACCTAAAGGCTATATTTGTGGCTTTGTAGGCTTAAGTTTTGTTCTTAATTCCAATTTTATTTTAGAGTTGTGGGGTTACTTGATTTTGCCTTTCATTGGCCAAAAAGTCAAAAAAAAAATACAAAGGGAAGTTCACAATAGATCACAATCGTTACTTTCAATGCTGCTAGAAGAAGCTTCTGCTATTACATTATATATAGGTTTATCTTTCATCGGGCTATCTGTTTGCCTCATTTCTTCTTTGGGGCCAAGAATTGGTTCTCAGTCGCGGATATAATCGAGGGGACGCAGTCGGGGTTGGCCAAAGTCGACATATCACCCAACTGATCGGCTTCGTTTGAAGCCACTTTTCTCAACACTCTTCTCATAATCTTGCCAGATCTGGTTTTAGGCAAATCGTTGACAACAACAACCGATTTGGGCGACGCGAAAGGGCCGATCTCACCTCTAACCTGTAGAATCAATTCACGACGCAAGTTTTCTGGAGTGATGTGGGCAGCATCACCTTCGGAGGCATTTTCTTGCAAGTAACCGTCTTTCAAAGACACGAATGCAATAACGGCTTGACCAGTCAATTCGTCAGTGATACCAACGACGGCGGATTCGGAAACACCGTCGTGTTCAACTAAAGCAGCCTCAATTTCTGCAGTGGACAATCTGTGACCAGAAACATTAACAACATCATCAACTCTGCCTCTAATCCAGTAGTATCCGTCGTGATCTCTTCCGGCACCATCTCCGGTGAAGTAGTAGCCAGGATATGGTTTCAAATAGGTCTCGATGTAACGGGAGTGGTTGTTCCATACGGACCTGGCCATCGAAGGCCATGAGTTCTTCACGGCCAAAACACCTTCAACATCATTGCCCTTAAGCTCTTCGCCGGAGACAGGGTCGATAATACACGCGTTGACACCGAAAAATGGGACAGTAGCGGAACCTGGTTTGGTGTTGATGGCACCTGCTAAAGGAGCGATCAAATGTGAACCAGATTCAGTTTGCCACATAGTATCACAAATTACACAGTTCTTGTTACCAATCTTGTCGTGGTACCATTCCCACAGATCAGGAGAAATAGGTTCACCAACAGAACCCAATACTCTAAGAGAGGAAATATCGTATTTGGCAATCTCGGATTCACCAACACGTTTGATGAGTCGAAGAGCTGTTGGAGCCACGTAAAAGTGGGTGGCCTTGTGACGTTCGATGATTCTCCAGTATCTACCGTAATCTGGGTAGGCAGGGGTAGACTCAAAAATGATAGAAGCGGTACCCAAGGCAAGGGGACCGTATAGGGCGTAAGTGTGACCCGTAATCCAGCCAACATCACCAGCAGTGAATAACACATCTTCTGGATGAATGTCGAAAACGTATTTGGTGGTCAGCGCGGCACCTAAGAGATAACCTGCAGTGGTGTGAACCACACCTTTTGGAGAGCCAGTAGAACCCGAGGTGTACAATAAGAATAGTGGGTCCTCAGAGTTAACGGGAGTTGGAGGCAAGTAACCGCCATGCTTAGCGGTTTCCTCGTGCCACCAGAAATCACGACCAGGTTTCATTGGGATACCGGGAGTGCCGGTTCTTTGGAAGACCAAGATATTGGAAACTGAACCGACGCCAGCCAAACCTTCGTCGACAATTTTTTTGGTGTGAACGGTTTTACCACCTCTACGACCTTCGTCGCAGGTAATTACGATTTTACAACCGGCATCGACCACACGCTCTTTCAAAGAACCAGCCGAGAATCCAGCGAAGATCACGGAGTGAACGGCACCAAGTCTTGCGACAGCAAGCATGGCGACGACGGCCTCGGCGATCATTGGGAGATACACGGCGACCGTGTCACCTTTCTTCACACCCCAGCTTTTCAAAACGCCGGCGACTTCGGACACTTGGCGTAAAAGTTCACCAAACGTGATGACACGGTTCTCCTTCTCGTCGTCGGCTTCGTAGATTAAGGCTGGCTTGGATGGGTTAGCGAAAGCATGTCTATCGACACAGTTGTACGCGGCGTTCAGCTCACCGTTTAAAAACCAAGCGGAGTCGCCATTTTCTAGCGAACCGGCACGTACCTGCGTGAAAGGGCGATCCCAGTGTAGGTGCTCGCGAGCCATTGGTCCAAAAAAGGCTTCTGGGTCTTCAATGGACTGCTCGTACATCTCACGGTACTGAGCCATATCTGTCACGTGACCTGCTCTTGGTTGAGAATTGTAGAAGTGTTGTGGGGCTTCACGACTTGCCACGTTCTGGGCTTCGTGGACCACTGTATGATGTTTAGCCATTTTGGTTTCTGGTAGTTTGTGTGTGCTTTGTTATAGTTGCAGCTCTGTGCAATTACCGCTGGTCACTTTGTGTGTTCTGCGGAAAACCCAAGTTTAGAATTCGGGATGGTCTGCGCGAAATGTGCTTATTTTAACTGCCTGTTGTACTGTTTAGTGCAATGGTTAGCTAGGTGTCTAAGTTGCTGAGTCTCGACTTTGTTTTTCTTGTTTGTGTTCAAATTGGTCGTATACTTGTGAAGTCTTCTGAAGGCCGACTTTCAATTCTGAATATATCCTTTTGTAATCGATCAAAGAAAAAAGGGTCCCAGTTACACAAATTCCAATGTTAGCTGCTCAATTGCGATATAAATTAACGAAAGTACCTCTGTCTGTTCACTTAATCCAATAGCTAGGCTCAAATCTCAAACTGGAGTATATCTAATAAGATCCCTTTCGATTCACCGTTTAGTTTATCCAAATTTCTTGATTTTTTCATTTTCTTGTATACAATGTCTGGAGATTTCCGCGCGCTTCTCCTGGCACACGATCCATTGGGAAAAATTTTTTGTTGGATTCGAGATGATTGAAGCGCCGGGTGAGGCCAGGCTAAGGAAGAAGCGGCAGAATGCGAGAGTACCTGGAATAAACGGTAGAATGGCAATTAGCTAGCATCCATGAGCTTGTTCTTTTTGAAGTCGTATCGGGTCTGGTAGAGAGGTCTTTTTTTTCAACACGCCTGTGTGGCTAAGGACTTGTGTGTGTATCGGTTGTTGAGATTTTGAGCAGTAACCATGCGAAAGCGAAAGCGACAGTCTAGGATGTAGTTCTCATAACAGCAACACGTTTTTATGAGAGCGAAAGCAACAGCTAAGGATGTAGTTCTCAAAACAGCAGCACGTTTTTGTAAAAGCGAGTCTGCGACGTGGGAGACATTGCCAGTAAGGTTTTTCTCGTATGTGTGATGATGTGATGGGGGCGTCGGATGGATTGGGTTCTTTTCGGTGCAGGTTGGACCAACGTCGCAATCCTATATATGTCCAGTAGCGGTAGAGGTGGGTTTGTGTCGGCGGCTTTCATAGGTCTTCCTGTCAGAATAGTAGGAAGTGATGGCGCGGCATTGGCAAGCTCACAGGCTGTAAAAACCAGCGCCCAAAAACCAGCGCCCAAAAGCCGGGCCTGTTTCATTGCCGCACGTCAGTTTTTTGGTGAACAAACCCATCTCCAGTCTTTTGCTTTCTGCACGATCAGGCTTTTCGTGCTCCCACTAAAATATCCCTTGTTTTAGACACCATTTAGTAGTGCAATCTGTAACCCTGCTTCTCCTTCCAATTGCAACCGCGATATTATGGCAGCTATCCGTCTGTTCAAGACATCGCTAACATGTAAAGGCAGCTTAGATTACTTTGCTCTTTCATGTAAAGCCCCCCTCTTGGTCTCTGGAAAGTATATGCAGGAAATGCTAAGAAGTTTTCATTTTGTCGTTTGACCTCTTAGTGTGATGTGTTCAGCCGAGTGGTCAGTATATCACTGTGCTTGTACTTTTCATCCCACTTGGTACCTAAAGTAACTTGTAAAGCTCTCACGCTGCGAATTAATTTGAGGAGACCTTTATACTTAGGAAGTCAGCGGTTATTTCGTGTATTGTGATATTTGACCTTACGACGGAAGACTCTAACACGTCTCAACAGTTTGATAACAATTTTTCAATTGGATTTCTTGAACTGTATCACTTTGAGTTTAGTGTGGTCATCCGAACTTGTTTCAATGGGCAGATTGTATAATTCGATTGATTAGTGCAAGTTATGGCTCGTTAATATAAATCCCTCCATTTTTTTCCCAGATGTGGAAGAGTTATCGCTGACACTGTAATGAAGCATCAGTATTCATACGACTATCTTACTTCTTAGGATCTGATAACATGAAATGTTTAGACCAAATGCTAAATCGCGCCAATCAAATTCCTCAGTATGGTTTTACAGACAATTGATTAAATGTGGTCACATCCAGACTGTTCCTTTACATCCATGCGCTGATTGGCTGGACAGGACAGTTTCCCGCTTTTGCCAATATATATAAATGTAGCATATGTCACTTTATACTAACGCGTCATTGTTCGAATTTGACGTAAATATACAAAGCGATGACAACAAAAAATTAAATCTGGTTAGTGTGATTGCAGGATAAACGTATAAACGTCTCGACAATACAGGCAATTTCAAAGAATTTTGCACTGCGCGACATGGCTGAACGGAATCATCATGTGATGTTCGTTATTGAATATTAGTACTTGGGTTTTCACAATACTCGCTGAGGGTCGTATTCCTAAGTGGAGCACGGGGCATGTCTTGGTTCATTTTGTCTAATTTTAGACAGTTTTTCCAGACGTGCATAGACATGTATACGAAAAATATCAGACAATGGCTAAATATCTACAAGCGATAGTGCTCAACGCTTATGACGCGTCGTAGAGATTCGATAGCTTTCTCCACAGCAGCTCAAAAAAATCAAAGTTTTCCTAAGATCCTGTATAATCGTATGGGTATATAAGTAAAGTTCTATGATTAAGCTCACAAGCTTTCTTGGACATGCCTCACCTGTGATGCCAGCTAGTCCGAAATCTTGCAATGGAAACTTATCAGAAAAGAGAATTTTGAAAAATGGCGTTTAATGTTGGCATCCTGAGCCATGACCACCTTTACCGTGACCGCCATGACCATTTTGACCATGGCCAGAACCGTGGCCAGAACCGTGGCCCGAACCTCCTCCACAGCCGGAACCAGAACCAGATGTACATCCAGAACTAGCGCTGGTGGCAGAAACTGTAGCAGAAGTAGGAGAAGTTGCAGCATCACATGCATCACAAGCAGTGGTGGAATCAGCAGTCGAAGTAGCGCTAGCGTAAGAAGTAGCCACAGAGCTAGAATCGCAAACGTCACAGGCAGTAGTAGATCCAGAACCGGAAGCAGATCCAGAGCCAGAGCCACAACCAGAGCCGGAGCCAGAACCAGAACCTGAGCCTGAATTAGAACCTGAGCCTGAACCTGAACCTGAGCCTGAACCAGAGTTAGAGCTAGAGCTAGAGCTAGAGCTAGAGCCAGAGCCATTCACAGTTAGCCCTGGGATAACGAGAGAACCCACGTAACCTTTGCTGTACGTATAAGAGGTCAACTGCTGGCTGCCAGATGTGAATTCAACATTCGAAACACTTGAATAAATTCCGCGCTCTTCAACAACAGTAGCCCCATAACTTAATCTTATACCAGCACAGTTTTGTGGAAGGTTACCGGAAAAGGTGATTGAGATCTTGTCTTCTGAAGAAGAATCGGTGAACGAAGAACTCGAAACTTCTTGTTCATTGGAGGTCCCGTCAAAAGAATTGGTCGAAGTTGAGTAGTAAAGCTTGTTTTGGCCAGTAATGAATTTGTACCCATCTTGCTTATCGATGGTGATACTAAACTTGCCATCAATGAGGGAAGCAGGAACGTTGACATCAAATTCCAAGTTGTTGCCCTCTTGTTGCGTACCGCAGCATCCACAGTAAATCTCAGAAGAAGGAGAGTGATCGAACTGGACAGAAGACTTGTGCTCACCAGAAGAGGTGAGAAACGAAAAGGTGTCGGATTTTCCGACAGTGACTGAGCTTCTGTAGCTTTGGTCTAACTCGGTGAGAAACCCGAGTTTAACATTTCCACCTTGAGGAACCTCATTCAACTGGATGGAATAGTTATTACTACCCTGTCCCGCGGTTACTATACCATGGTCCCATGAGAAGGGACATTCCGGGAAGTTACCAAAAACATTGGAGGGGGCCGAAAACCAGCATTCACCTTTCTCTGCAGCAGATATCGTGAGTTCGACATAGGCCCCAAATTGAGCGCCCCAAAATGAAGAGGAACCGTCATCGGCACTGACGACATTCACATTAGAGATAGAAGGGCAAGCAGCATGTGCGCCTACGGCAGCTGTAGCTAAGACACCGTACTGCAAAGTTTTGACCATTGTAGCGAGAATATAGGGTTAGTGGATTGAGCACAACTCTTGTTTAGTGGTGATTTAAAAGAGAAATGATACCAGGTAGCCAACAAAAAGACTCTTTATATACTTTTGTGTTGGCAAACTGGCTGATAATGGATTTGTAGCACGACCAGAGAACCGTTCGAAAGCGGCAGTTACATCGGTTTGGTCTCGGATAGTCGAATAACATTTTTTGATGCTAAAACAACATTCCTTTCTCCAGATTGAGAACTTCCGAAACCTCGAGATTGAGCACTTTCAAAGCCATGAGATTGAGCACGTTCGAAACATAGGTGCTTCCCTGGCGTGTTTATTTTCTAATTTTATCAGTTTGACTTGACACCTTAGAATAACATGCCATGGAGATAGAAAACCCTGCATTTTTCCGGCATCTCTTCCGGCCAAGCACTAGACGCCGCGCAAAAACATTAGTTAGGGAATACTTGTACCGGAGTTTTTTCAAGTCCGATACCCTTAAAGCCGATTAAAGCTTCTTTAACGTAACCCAAGGAGAATTTAATGCATCGAAAAACGGATCATTCTTTACTCGTGAAGGAAGAATTAAGCTTCTATAAGACGCTTCAGTATACACGGACTAGTTTCGAAGCCAGGAATGAACACTTGGCAAGCATCTGTGAGAAACGCAATGGTGATATGTACTGAACTTCACGGCTTCTATGCAATCAAGGAACCACACGACCAATTTCTTTCTGCGAGTGAAGCAGAACGGTTAGGTATATAGACCGTTAGAAAAGTACACCAAAAGAGTTTCTAAAAATGTACGAAAAATGCTCACAACAGCAACTCGTATAAAATGGAGTTCTACCCAAAAACACGGTGGGTTTTGGTGATAGCCGCTCTCTAAACCTTTTTTTAGCACTGAGTACACTCATTGTCACTCTTGCCGCATATAATGAGTATACGAGATTCAGAGCGCAATCTTTCTGACGTTGGCCTCTTAACCACGGGATTATGATCAAAGTCCGCAGCCTAATATGAATAGAGAAATTGGGCGTTTTCGGATTTCTTGCGGCGGAGAGAACCCAACTCCGGGACTTAAGAAAACTCCTTCAGAACGAAAATCCTTGACGGTATTCACACCCAAAACTTTCAGTAGGTGCCATTTACAGATGTCTCCTCAAACACACCATTTGAGGGCAAAGGCAACCTTTCAAGTTTTTAAGACATTACAATAATTCTCCTCTGTTGATGTCAAATTACCCCGCTGTCGTGTCACGAAAACGGCTGAGTCTTGCGTTGTAACTTTCATTAAAAATGATAGCGTCGTACCCAAAGTGACATTGTTTGGCTAACATTCTTGAAGTAAGTTCTAGACCACGGGGAATGAGAGAAGTTCCGTAGCATGTTTGTTCCAAGACCATCAATTTTTATTTCAACAACAAAAATATCCTCGTAAAGGTAAATAGCTCTGATGTCGTGTTACCCGCAATTCGACCAGCCTGGATTGTTAATTCAGTATAGTTTTGCGAGATGAAGTCTCAATCACACGTTAACTAGTATATATGAAGTGTGTCTCTCTGCCCGGACATGCTCAAATTAAAAAATCTGATAATCACTTATGCGAGTCTGATTCAGCAGAAATAAACTTGGTAGTACTTTATTTTTGTTTAGCTCGTCCATCAGCAAAGACATAAACTTAGTTTGTGAATGAGGGCTGTAAATATATTCCTCTGGCTTTCTACCTTAGTTTTCTCGTTACTGATGTAAACCATTAGTCTCTATTTTTGCGGGATGTGAATAAATTTAAGAATAAGTACGGGATGTGAACAATATAAGAATAAGTAATGATTAAAACGCAGTTTAATCAGGCGCCTCGTTTTCCTGGGCCTCGACGATAAGTTGTCGTTCAGAGCAATTTTTTTTTAGACCGCTAAACCGCGTTGGTCACTGACTCTGTGTCTGGGGCTACCAAATATTATTTAGCGCTCTTGTCATATAACATCATTTTTTACTATCCTGACATTGTTTAACTTGGCACATTTATCACTCACATTTCAACTTTTTATTGTCTCCAAGGGCGGTATTTCTAAGCCGACTACATTTTATGCTTTTTTGGTAGTTTCTTCGAGCTCCAAACCTCTAGCCAGAGAAATTCAAACGCGTTTCATTTCCAGTCTTGACCAAGACTCGCCTAATTTATCAATTTTCCCGTTCAAGCATTGACGGAAGAACTGCACAGTCAATGGTACATTTGAATTCTATTTTGCAATTTGTAATTCTTTTTGCATCATTTACGTTACCATACTCAGAAGGACAGTTTGTTTGCAGCGGTATCGATTTGTTCAAATATTTGGTTATGTCGGTTCTATTGCGAATGCCACGCTGCTACGGAGAAAATAAACTCTAAACTCATTTGAGAGGACCCGAAACGTAGCCATACGCCTTTTATAGTCTAGTGCAGTCTAATAAAAGCCATCTGGCGTTAGCAGTTGTTGTCACTGCCTTTATCAAACGTGCCAGCTGCTGCTAGTCAGACTAAACAAAGATGTAAGTGTTATCGACAAGGTTGTTTCAATTCGACACGGCTGTCTGAACATCACCGTTTTATTCTTCTAGCTGATTTGCGACATTATAAAAACGACCAAAGAACTGACTCCATTTTGCTTAAAGATGGTAATAATCAAATGTATACAATATATTTCTCAGCAACATACCAACAATCTTTTAGATTAAAAATATGCTAGAAAGCCCACTTGGAGGGGAATATTTCATGTTTCAATTGTAATTGTTGACATTTGCGAAGTTTAAGTAATCCATTTTTTTTCGTACATGTGCCGATTTCTATTAATGACACGTCGTTATGAAGTGATATGGCATTGGTGCTAGCTGAAAACGGCCAACGTAATTAATGTAATAGTCCAACACCAAATTGTACTCACTTTGGGTGATAGCGATCCTTAATGTCAATACAGACATTACACTTGTATCAACGTCCGAGAACAGGCGACAATATGAGAAAATGTTCACTAGTTTGCTCTTTTGACTTGCAATAATTTATCTTATCATGATTATAGTGTCAGTGGGTATTGCGGCATGACTCTCAGAGAAACTGATCAAATGGCATCCCAGAGCAAGGCACTTGGAAACATCAAAAAATCTGCAGGTATCGAATTTTGCGCATATGGTGTGATCCATCATATCTGACATTTTTAAGAATGACGAGGGTGGTGGTGAGCTCTTTCCTGTTCATTGAATGGAGTTGTCCTTGACATTGGTAAAAAAATAGTTGGGAGATTGAAGTGGGGCGTATGGGGAGGTGGTGGTGAATATGGGAATTTGTGGTGCTTGTGGCGATTTGTGGTACAAATTTAATAGATAGTACTAACGCGTCGTAAAGCTTCAGAAGTTTATCGATAGTTTTCGGAGTTTACGGTTAGCTTACTAAGTTTGAAGATAATTCACAAGGGTTTTTCATAGATGATGAAAGGCTGCTTTTTTTAAACGCGTCAATCTCGATAAACTGGGCAGCAGCCTAGAGGGCTACTAAGTGTTATCCGAGCGATTTCATCATTGCACTATTAAAATGTGTCTTTTATGAGCAATACGGGAGAGAAGGTAGCACTATGTGAAGGGCGAGAGAGAAGGTAGCGCTATGCGAAGAGTGAAAATGGAAAGTAGCACAACTGAACAATACGAGAGAAAAGTTATGAGAGAGAAGGAGACATTCATGTAAAGGGTGAGAAAGGGATATTAGTATTGGCCGCGTGACAATGCTCTTTATTTAGCTCGCGCCGTGCTATTATTTCTTCGTTTCTTGGTGCAGAGCCTTGGTTCCGCCGTGAGCCGCTTGTGATGTATTTCCTGCGAGTGGTTTTCAAGTTATGGACGAGTGAGGTTCTCACCGATTTGCATAAGAACGGTGTTTTGTCTTGCTTTACTGAAGTAGCCAGTCACCGTGTCCTATGGTCATTTTGCTTTTCTGTTCTGGCTTCAAAGTTGTGAGGCTTGTAACCTTAAACTGAATTGATATAGGATTATCTAGCGTGGACTTTGCAATGTATTCAGACATATCGGCGTCTGCCCGCCATTCATGGCGTGTCTAATTGATCCGTATTAGGGTCTGGGATTCTACTTATGTCTCCGTGGCCTTCCTAGAAGTGAAGATTCAAGATAGAGTATAAATATCGCTATCTTTACAATCAGGGCATGACGGGTATTGGTAACGAGAAGTGTATCAGCCTCCATTACTCGGGCGGAATGGATCTGAAACAGAGTGACTTTGAGCACTAATCTACGCCAATATATAGACCTCAGCAGTCTATCCACTTTTGAATGGACACACTGGATTAGTATCTAGCTCTGTCACTTTTTATCATTCTATCACTAGATACTAATCTGTCATTTTCGCAATGCATTTGACGCTATGTGGCAGTAGCACGGAGATCCTTACATTTTTTGTGTCTTTGTGCTTACGAAAGGTCGAGTCATCGGGAAATGTCAAGATCCGTGTGGTATTGCAGGAAGAAACCCATTTGGCGAATAGATGAGAATTGCTCGACTTAATGTTAGTAAGAAAGGCTAGTAAAATGTCAAGTCAAGATATAACGACGACGACGATGTCTTCCATCAGGTTACGAAAGTGGCAGGTTTTTGCCGTTCATTACGAAAGTCCTGAACTAATTACGAAAATTGAATCTCAAATAAAACATTCCCGATTATAATGGTGATTGTACGAGGGTGCCCACTACAGGCGAAAAGAGAGCAATTGCTCAATTAATGGAAACCTAGGTGGATTACGAGGCTTATCCAGTCACCATTACACTCCCTAGTGGCGGTATGAGCGGTTGCAAGGCTTTTCGTGAAGCTGCAATGCTGGTAAGCGCTGGTGCCTCTGGAGATTCAATTGATGAAAAGCGGAATGACGCAACTCTTGACAGGAGCATAGTTTACATCGAGGAAGTTAAAATATTAATGGCAGAACACGGGATATTCAAGAATAAAAGTGAAGCTAAACCTTGAAGTATGGACCCAATGTCCTTGAGTGACATTAACTTTAAGTACATAAAAAATTGATCGAGTGGGGATTAGTGTCGTTGAAGACGTAGAGTGGAGTGATAGGGACTACTTCCAACGTGAATCATGTTCATCGGGCAATCATAGTACCAACTCTAGGAAAATAAACCAACAGTAGTAAACGAAATTAGAATTTTTGCATACAGATATGTTTGGCCCAATGCACAAGATGCCAAAAATTTGGACAGCTGTATATGTTACAGGGCTTAACGCTCGAAGTGTCCTTGAATCAGAAGAATCTTTTGAATTTCTAATTTACATGCCCAGTGCGCGGGTGGGTGCACGCAGTTTTGTCGCAATCGACAAGCACAACGAAATGCCGCTGGAGAAGAATCGTGACTTGGATCTATGTATACCAAAGCAAATAATGAATCATAGGAAAGGATAGCACAGAAATGGCACATTCAGGTGGTGAAGACACCAGCGCTGGCGAGCCGGATACTGATGGATCAATACAACACAAGGCAACGACTACAGCCAACAGGGCAAAACTGTCCGACGACTACAGCCAACAGAACAAAATTGTCCGACGATTACAGCCAACAGAACCAAACTGTCCGACGACTACAGCCAACAGGACAAAACTGTCCGACGACTACAGCCAACAGGGCAAAACTGTCCGACGACTACACCCAAAGCTCATTTTGCCGAAAGGTAGGGAACGGAATTGTCCATAAGCTGTCCGATAGTGCTTGGTGGTGCTTAATTTTGCTATATTGTGAAGAGCGCTGGTTCAGTAGCTGAGGCTCGTATTGTTCGACAGTACTCTACCTTTACACTCTTACCTTCACAATACTCGCTGAGGCTCGTATTGTTCGACACTAGCGCTCTCCACAATACTACTCTCACTCTGATATTACTCTGATACTACTCTAACTCTGATACTACTCTTAATTCACAACACTACTCTAACTTTACACTCTACCCTTCACAATACTCGCTGAGGCTCGTATTGTTCGACACTACTCTAGCTTTACACCCTAACCTTCACAATACTCGCTGAGGCTCGTATTGTTCGACAGTACTCTAACCTTCACAAAACTCGCTGAGGCTCGTATTGTTCGACACTACTCTAGCTTTACACTCTAACCTTCACAATACTCGCTGAGGCTCGTATTGTTCGACACTACTCTAACTTTACACTCTACCCTTCACAATACTCGCTGAGGCTCGTATTGTTCGGACTACTCGCTGAGGCTCGTACTCAACAACAACACCACCCTCACGCTTGGCATCTGGCCCTCCCAACAGTTTCAAAAACTTGCACCTGCAGGAAAAAATGTGTAACAACCATTGCCAACGAAGATGAGATACGGGCCATCACGCTCGACGGAGAACATGTTTGCGGGGGGGATGCGCGCGTCCAGAGTGATATGCGTGCGGTTGACACCAACCGCAGACTAATGCGGTTCAGCGGTGCATCGCTAAAGCCCCACGCCCCACGCCCTTGTTCCAACACTAGTGCTTTGTGTTATCGATTGTTCGATAGTAAAGCTGCCTCCCTCGGGTGCCCTACCAAAGTCTCCATCCGCTCACGGTTCCCTCTGCCAAGGCTTGTCTACTTCCTTTCCCGGAAAAACCCTTTCCCCGGAAAAAATAGTTCTTCCGCTCCCCCGCTGTGGTTTTCCCGCCAAGCCGGCCGTCCCCACCCCCTTTTTTTTTTCCGGCTTGGCCGGAATCAAAAAAAATTTGTTCCGGCCATCTCTCCACTCGATCATGCGCAGGCGCGGGGAAACGGAGAGAGCAGAGCAGGATCGAGCTGGCAGAGACTCAAAGGAAAAAGTATAAAAGCAAAGGCATCGGAACGTATTTTGGGAATATGCAATTGGTATTGTTTTAGGGACTTTCACATCTATAGCTTTTCCTGTCCATCAATCAGATCTGATTCTCGTTTGTAACAGATCTTACAGTTAAGAAAACTACTACGCATACACACATACAGAAGATGAATTCGGGTTCTCGCTCTGAGAGCTTGGAGCTTCACTCCGTGGATGTGTCGCAGGACGACATCAAACCCGCGGCGCTGCACAAGGAAGACGTGTACGAGGATCCCAGCGGGCGCAAATATGACCTCGAGCTGGACGGCCCACGTGCCCGCGCCATGCTCGACGGCAAGCTGGATCTCGACGCGGAAATCGCGGAACTCGACCGCCAGGGCCTCGAGTTCCAGAAAGAACGCTCGCTGTGGCAGCGCGTCCGCTCGCTCGACGTGGGCACCGACTTCGAAAACAAGCGCAACATGGTGTACATGCTGGGCGCGTTTGCCTCGGCCGCCGGTATTCTTTCCGGGATCGACCAGTCCATTATTTCGGGCGCGTCCCTTGGGATGAACCGCATGCTTAATCTCAGCACGCACGAGGCCTCCCTGGTGTCCTCCCTCATGCCCTTGGGCGCCATGGCCGGTTCCATCCTCATGTCGCCTCTCAACGAATGGTTTGGCCGTAAATCGGCCATCATGATCTCCTGTGTCTGGTACACCGTTGGCGCCATTCTGTGTGCCGCCTCCCCCAACAACCAAGTGATGTACGCGGGCCGTTTTATCCTGGGTGTTGGTGTTGGTATCGAAGGTGGTTGTGTCGGAATCTACATCTCTGAATCCGTGCCCTCCACTGTGCGCGGTAACCTTGTCTCCATGTACCAGTTCAACATCGCATTGGGTGAGCTTTTTGGCTATATCATCGGTATCATCTTCTTCGACGTGCATGGCGGTTGGCGTTTCATGGTTGGTTCCTCATTGGTGTTCTCAACCTTTTTACTCGTCGGTTTGTTTTTTCTACCGGAATCTCCACGTTGGCTCGTTCACAAAGGTCGTGTTGGCGAGGCTTGGAATATCTGGAAACGTCTTAGAGATGTTTCCGTGGACTCCAACAAAGTCGAATTTTTGGAGAGTCGTCAAGCCGCTTACCAAGATCAACAACTCCGTGAACACGAATCTCGCTTCCAAAACTGGTTTGATCTCGTTCGTATTCCTCGCAACCGTCGCGCTTTGATTTACGCCGTTATGATGGTTTCCTTGGGCCAATTGACCGGTATCAATGCTATCATGTACTACATGTCCACTTTAATGGCCAACATCGGTTTCGACGAAAAGAGATCCGTTGCCATGTCCATGGTCGGTGGTGCCGCCTTATTAATTGGTACCATTCCTGCTATCTTATGGATGGATCGTTTCGGAAGACGTGCCTGGTCCATGACAATAATTTTGTTCTCCGTGGGTTTGGTTCTTGTAGGTGTCGGATACCAGATCGATTTGAACACCAATAGACCCGCCGCGGAAGGTGTCTACTTAACCGGTCAAATTTTGTACAACATGGCCTTTGGTTCTTATTCAGCATTGACATGGGTTCTACCTTCTGAATCCTTTTCGCTTGCTACCAGATCGGTTGGTATGACTGTTTGCTCTACCATGCTATATTTGTGGAGTTTTACCGTTACCTATAATTTCGAAAGAATGCAAAAGGCTATGACTTATACCGGTTTGACCTTGGGTTTCTACGGTGGACTGGCAATTGTCATTGGTATTCCATACCAATTGTTGTTCATGCCAGAAACTAAGAATAAGACTTTGGAGGAGATCGACGATATCTTTTCCAGGCCAACCAGAGAAATTGTCAATGAAAACATCGTGAACATGAAGAGAAATTGTTCCAGATGGTTAAGACGTTCATGAAGCAATGTCAATATTTCATGCCCTCCCCCACTACAAGATTGATTCTGGAAATTGACTTGTAGACTCAAAAGAAGAAAGAATTACATACATTTTTGTCGAAATTAATTCCGTGTCCGGAAATTAGAAGTTAAATAATTAAAGATTTTACGAATAAGCATGAGGCATGGAATAAACTCTCTTATGAGAAGTTCGTGTACATTGGTTGAGATGTGGGTTATAGTGACATAATAGTACAAAGCGATAAGAAAAGAACGAGCGATTAACGCATTAACTGGATACTTTCTCAGCACCGGAATATACCAATATATTAATATACCAATAGATTAAAGAGTTCATTGTTTGATGAATCGGGATATTTTACACATTTGGAGCTAAATGATTTTAATATTGAATGATTGGCGCTTAGCGCGCTCAGGTATATGTGATTTTGTGCTATGACAGTAGAAACGACATTTTCTCTTTATCGATAGATACATAAAGACAGTCCAAAGCCGGCATGTGTCCGACAGGCCTCCGTTGTTTGGGATGCCATGTTTTTTACACAAACCCACGGTGGTGCAGTAAGCAACGCCAGGGATCTTGGTTACCTCCTAAGGCAATTGAACATCTCATGTGGTCATTCAAAAGATGGTTCGAATGAACTTAATGCCGTTTATACCAACGGCTTGATAGTCGACAAAATTACATCTAAAGAGACCTCGAATGACGAGCAATTGCTTAAAATTGGACGTGGGCCTCACTTAACGGGATATAGGAAAACCACGATTATAGATAAGTAATGAATCTGGGCGAGTGTAACCAGTTTCGGGGGCTTTGTATGATTCGCGCCATACGCAAATTAAGAGGAAAGGAGCCCCTCATGAGAATTTGTTAAAATCTAACCACAAATCTCACGCATGTGTTGCTGAAGTTTTATTGCGATTTGTCCGAAGGAGTCACAGATGGTGCCAAATCTTAAAGATTTAAGTTATCAGATCGACGAGGTCGAGTGGTCCGCTCCACTGCGAGCAAAACTAGATCTTCCATGATATTGACACACAAGGGCATAACGAAGAGGTCTTCAATGCGAACAGTGCTGATAAAATTGAAGTGACAAAATATGTGTATCGCGTAAACAGGCAAAGATTTCTCAAACCCCGGAGTGGATCCCAGAGTACGCAAAGCGCCCGTTTTTCCATCTGCACCAACGACAGTGTTGTACAAAGTGATGGGTGGCCGCCAGGTGATGAGATGCATGTTGGCTTCGACACGTAGGGAGAGAGTGGCCGGAGCTGTAGGCCACATTCATAATCATACTTGTGTTTCAATTGTCACGGGAGCTGGTGCCGGTCCAGGAGCCGCACCCGTGAACTAGGTAAAATCTTCACCTGCATGCCTCATCCTATGGATCTGAAAAATGGAACTGAATGCCAGGTACTGGGACGCTCTTCCGAAACTCCCGCCCGTCCTCAAACTACTCTCCACACTGTCCTCAAGTCTCCCGGGCCAGTTTCACACACGTAGAAAGTGATACACAATACCCACTTCCAAGAAGCCTTGATAGCTCTACAGAAAGCGACAGCAAGCCCAAACTCGCACGCCTACACTAGCAACTGGCCCCAAACCTTCGATCTCTACGTTTCAAGCCCCAGGTTCCAGGTTCCAACACTCACATCACGCGCCACGAACGGGTTTTTGCCTTCCAGATTTCATAAACTCAGACCCCCTTCCAAGATCAAGAAACGGTCGATTCATGGAAAAAAAAGCGACCGACGCAAACGGCTCAAACAGATTTGCAACAACGTGCGCAAGATGGCTCAAACTGTGCCTTGTAACGACCCATACCTCTATCGCTACCAAGATGCCCCAATTCTCGTTCCTGCTCCTTCTTTCCCCTGATTAGCGCGCCGCTACAATCCTACGCTCCTCCAAGTCTACTAATCAACCAGTAACCGAAGCATTGTCACTCCAGCTGAAGCTTTTTCTTGTCTTGCTCAAACTCTACCAGCTGCAACAATTCTCTATAAATCGAGCTTAGCTTTTGGCTTTGTCGCTCTCCCTGTCTTTCCCTCTCTCTTTATAGCACCTCCCATCTATTTGTAGTTAAAAATTTTTCTGCGATTGGCTCTGTTCCGGTGGCTAACGATTCTCACAATTAAATAGGAGTTTTGAACTTTTCAGGTTTTGGGATACTGTTTGACAGTTGGTCACAATTACAAGGATCAAAGAACTCTGGGTCTCGCACACGGAAAAATTTTCGCCCCGAGACTAACAAGGATCCAGTGGTGCACTTATATCACAACTGTCACAGCACATTACCATGTCCTTGGCAGCACTACTGAATGAGGAAGATGGAAATCAGCATACTACCAGCCAGGCATCGTCATCGTCGCCGTCGTCGCCCAGAGATAGGTTTGTAAAACAAATGAACCGGGACTTCCACGTTTTGGGCGCCAGAGACATCAAAGAACAGCGATACCAGGACTGGAGAATGCTGAGCTACCAAGAATTCGAGCTTGTCACAGAGTGGAACAACCAGTCCCGCGAACTGGGTTCCAACGGGTGCGAAAAACTGCTCGCAAACATGGACTCGACTCAACAAGAGTGGGATCAGTTCCAGGAATACACACGACACAAAGACGAGCTGATTCGCCAGCAGCGCGAACTGCGGGACAGACAGCGCCAGCAACGGGAACAAGAACGGCTGCAGCAAGAACAAGAGCGGCTAGAGGCCCAGGAACGCGAATGGCGTGAGAAACGGGCTCTGGAACAGCAGCAAAGGGCCAAGGCCGCTGCTGCGAGCCCTGGCGCCAGCAAGGCCAAACCAAAGGACAAGATCGTGCCGAAGAAAAACGATTCGGGATTAAGAGCAACGCCGAATGGAAACTCACACAACATATCGCTCAACGGCAAGAGCCCGATGAGCCATGATAAGAGTCTAAATTCAAGCTCAGATGCCGCAGTGGCTCATGCACACGAAGGAGAGGCTCTAGTCGACGAAGACATCGAAGAAGACGAAATGGAAGACGAAGAAGACCACGATGAGGACGACGATGAAGACGACGATGCCGACGCCGAAGTGGACGACGACATGGACGAAGAAGAAATAGACGACGCAGAAAACGACGAAGAAGTTGTGTTTGCGGATGATGATGACAATGACAAAGATTTCTTCCTAGATGACGACAAGGGCGATCCGCTCAGCAAAGCCAAGAAGTTGGACATTACCTCGGAACGTGCGAAAATCAGACGCGAGATCTCCCGCATGGTCAATAAAAACAAGAACGTCAAGGCTAAGAAGCGGCGTTTCACAAACTGCACAATTGTAGAGCATCTACAAAGCGAAAAGCTGGAGGTCAAGCTAACGCTCAAACAATACCACGTACGACAACTGAAGCGTTTAATCGCCGAAAAGCAACGCGTTCAGGAAGAGGAAGTTTCTGGCGCCGAACCTGCTCTCAAGAAACGCAGACCCGCACCAAAACCCGAGAACGCCGCAGTGCCGGAGTCAATTGAAGGGCTTCCTACTTATGGCCTTAAGATGACCGTCAAAGAAGCCCGAGGCATACAAAGACATTACGATAATACTTATTTCACCATTTGGAAAGACATGGCTAGAAAGGATTCGGCCAAAGTGGCACGTTTGGTTCAGCAAGCGCAATCCAGCAGAAACGTAAACTTCAAGAAAACTTGTTCTTTGGTTTGCAGGGAAGCTAGGAAATGGCAACTTAGAAATTTCCGTCAAGCTAAAGATTTTCAGTCGCGAGCTCGGAGAGGTGTAAGAGAGATGTCAAGTTTCTGGAAGAAAAACGAACGTGAAGAAAGAGACCTGAAGAAAAAGGCAGATAAGGAGGCCCTCGATCAAGTTAAAAAGGAAGAAGAAGAACGTGAGAACAAAAGGCAAGCAAGAAAACTGAACTTCTTGATCACGCAAACGGAACTTTATTCTCATTTTATCGGTCGCAAAATTAAAACTGATGAGTTCGAAGGAACCATGGCTGACGCGGCTTTTACATCGGAGGAAGACATCAACAAACAAATAGACCTATCCAAGACGCAAGCTTCGAAGACTGATTTCCATTCTATCGATTTCGACAATGAGGACGATGAAGCTCTAAGAATGAAAGCCGCTCAAAATGCTTCTAGCGCTCTTTTGGCTAGCAAAACGAAAGCTAAAGAATTTGATGCTAACCCTGATGAAGACGATGAGTTAAATTTCCAAAATCCAACGTCTTTGGGTGATATCACAATCGACCAACCCAAGCTGCTGACTTGCACGTTGAAGGAGTATCAGCTGAAAGGATTGAACTGGCTAGCCAATTTATATGACCAAGGTATCAACGGTATCTTAGCCGATGAGATGGGGCTCGGTAAAACCGTTCAATCTATTTCTGTCTTGGCTCACCTAGCAGAGAACCATAACATATGGGGTCCATTCATAGTGGTAACTCCCGCTTCCACTTTACACAATTGGGTTAATGAAATTCAAAAATTTGTACCCGGCTTCAAAATTTTGCCCTACTGGGGTAACGGTAATGATCGTAAAATCCTGAGAAGATTTTGGGACAGAAAACAATTTCGCTACGGCAAAGACGCCCCTTTTCATGTTTTGATTACCTCATACCAAATGGTTGTATCAGATGCAGCTTACATTCAAAAGATGAAATGGCAATATATGATTCTAGATGAAGCACAAGCCATCAAATCCTCCCAGTCTTCCCGTTGGAAAAATTTATTGAGCTTCCATTGTCGTAACAGACTTCTTTTGACGGGTACTCCCATTCAGAACAATATGCAAGAGTTATGGGCTTTGCTGCATTTCATCATGCCTTCATTGTTTGATTCACACGATGAATTTAGTGACTGGTTTTCGAAGGATATTGAATCTCATGCACAATCCAACACAAAACTCAACCAGCAACAACTACGGCGACTCCACATGATTTTGAAGCCATTTATGTTGAGGCGTATCAAGAAGAATGTTCAATCAGAATTGGGGGAGAAGATCGAGATAGACGTTATGTGCGACTTAACAAGACGGCAGCATAAGCTGTACCAAGTTTTAAAGACTCAAATGTCAGCAGCCTACGACGCCATAGAAAATGCAGCTGGTAATGACGATGCCTCTTCGGATCAGAACATTGTCAACACCGTCATGCAATTTAGAAAGGTATGCAATCACCCCGATTTGTTCGAGAGAGAGGACGTTAGCTCTCCATTTGCATTTACAAATTTCGGCAGAAGTGGATCTCTTCTGAGAGAAAATGGGGTACTTAACGTCAACTATTCTACAAAAAATTGCATCGATTACAATATACCTCGCTTGATCTTCGACGAAATGCTTGTTCCTAATTATGAAAATGCCATCAAAACTACTAATAAACTACTCAACCACACTTTCAACGTTTTACACCCAGAAAACTCTAAAGAATTATGTGCCGCTCTGTCTTGCCTGACTGGCCTAGCGCCGGGCAAATTTTACGAGCTATCTAATGAAAACATGATTTACAAAGCTTTAGGTTTAAAGGGCAAGCAAGCTTCACAACTCACAGCAATTTACGATGACGAAGACTTGAAGAATAAAAGCCAACATAAATATACCCTGGAAAACTCTTCAGACACCCTTACAAACCTAAGCAAGAACACTACCGATGGGGTGTTAGCCTCGCTTCTCAACATCAAACAAGATGTATATGAAAATGAGTACATGAACAACTGGCACCCTGCATACTATCCCGCTGCAAACGCTCCTCCTATCAACCTGGAAATATCTAGTTCGAGCCAATTTTCTCAGGAAAAACGTCTTGAGCTCTTTGATCCATTTTTGTGCCAAGCGCTGAGTGCCATACCAGCAGAGGTTCAACGCGACTTACGCACAAAGCATAAGTTGCCAATATACGAATTTCCCAAGTCAGAATGCTACCCTGAGGCACTCAATAAAAATTTCACTTCCGCCATATCGATGCCATCAATGGATAAGTTTATCATGGAATCCACGAAGCTAAAGAAGCTGGATAATTTGCTTGTCGGCTTGAAGAAGGGAGACCACCGTGTCTTGATTTACTTCCAAATGACAAAGATGATGGATCTAATGGAAGAATACCTCACCTACAGGCAATACAAGCACATAAGACTGGACGGCTCATCTAAACTGGAGGACCGCAGGGATCTCGTTCACGACTGGCAGACCAAACCAGAGATCTTTATATTCTTACTCAGCACGAGAGCTGGTGGCCTTGGTATTAATTTAACAGCCGCCGACACTGTCATATTTTATGATTCAGATTGGAACCCGACCATTGATTCTCAAGCAATGGACAGGGCACACAGACTTGGCCAAACCAGGCAGGTGACAGTTTACAGATTGCTAATTCGTGGAACTATTGAAGAAAGAATGCGTGATAGAGCCAAGCAAAAGGAGCACGTTCAGCAGGTAGTGATGGAAGGAAAGACCCAAGAAAAGACTATTCAACAGGTCGGTGCCAACGATTAAGATTTCACAGCGATTTGTAAAAGTTATAGGTGTTATTTCCAAATTATATAGAACCTAATGATGTACGGAAGTTTAGCAAAAGCTTTGTGTGAAAGTCAGGACCCACGCTAACATTGGTAGTGTCAAACCGCCTCGGACTTCAAAACTTCGGTGTATTTGTCGTGATAAAATTGTGCTTGTTGATAATCTTCTTGACGCGAGTAACCCTCTTCGTAGGAATTCTTTTCGGCCAACAATAAGGTATGAAGTACAGCAGCGAATGAATTTTCGAGAAAGTCGAATGTTGTGTGCGTAATAATACTGTCTGTTTTCCAGTCGTTTGATACAATGTCAGTTTCATTGCCTGGAATACTAGTGTCCTCGCCAAACAGCATATCGAAATCTTCCTCAGGAGCATGCTCATGTTTTGCGGTAAAGTTAGATTCGTTAGTTACTTTTTTGTTATCAAGGTCGCTTTCTGCTGAGGATTCCATATATTGCAAAAGGTCCGCTTTGTTGGCTGTCTTTTTCAAATCGTGGGTAACTAAGAAATAGAAGAGGTAGTCTAGGCTCACAATGGTCTCTCTATCCAATTCCTTCACGCGACTGCTGATGATCGCCCCCTCAGATGACTTTGTTTGTAGAGCAGACAGCACATCCTCCAGAAAAGTACTTGGTGTGATAATCTCAATCAAAGAAAACAAGTAATCAAGATTATAGTACGTGCTGCTGTGCAAGTTCCAAAAAGAGTTGACTTGATTGGTTAGTATGCTGTTAACAGAGTTCTCAGCGGTTATAGAGAATGGACAATTCCCTATTTCCTTTCTAGGGTAGCCGCTATCTGAGCTTAAAGAACCGGGGTCGACGTTGTAAAGATTGCCTGAACGCGCCACTTGCTCTAAATGAGATATGAGGGACTCCAATTTCGGGTCACCTTCTGATTCTGAGGAATATATACCATAATTTGACCTAGACTGCGTTCGGAAAGCTCTGGCAGATTTGAGAAGATGAATGGCATTTAATCTGAGAATCAAAGTGTGCAACGGTCGTGACTCATCACTCAATGTCGGAGGGTCTAGAACAGAGTTTAACATCTCAAAAATTGAATCCAGCAATTCCCTTGATATTTCTTTGCTTCTTAATGCGGTAAGGAATTGCTCAGCCCAGAAAACGATACCGATTAGTCCCACAATCAAAAATGGTTGTAGAAAGTATTCGAACCCTCCAGTTAACGCAGAAATCTCACGTATCGCCCTTGCTTCAACGCTGAAAACGCTTTGCTTGAAAATAAAGGGAATCATAACCGCCAAATCCTTAACATTAACTTCTTTCATCAATGAATCTGAAATGGAGCCGTTGATAAATAAATCGCAGACCCAACTTTTTAGCAATTCAGTCGGCTCGGTATTAGTTTTGAGGATAAGTTGCGGTGAAATGTTGCCCAGACCAGACATCAATTTTATGGTGAATGATTGAGGCGAAATATGAAAACTGGCAGTGTTTGCCTCTACCAAAGATATGTTATACGTTTTTACGATATTCACAACGAATATCAAGGCGTAGGTAAAACAAACAAATTCTGTGTTAGGTTCAAAGTCGTCGCTTATGTCACTGGCACTATTCTTCATGTGGGATTCCCATATATCATCAATGAATTCGATGGCCACTGCCAGAAACTTCGACGGAGATACGAATGCAAGCATCGTTGTTAAAGAATGCGAGATGTTGAAAGACACGAGGCAGCATATCTTTGATAGGGTCTTGCATTCAAAATTTCTGGCAGACTCACAGAAAAGCTCATAGAATACTTCAGAAAGGTCTCGCTGTTTCGTGGCCGCTAGTGTGTCAAATTTACGCAAAATCTGAATAATAGCATTGTCAGCGCTCCCCATGGTACCACTATTAATATCAAACATGGATTCAACGTCCAGGTCACATATTTTCTCCTGAATGAAACGTGAAAAGCTGTCAATTGTTTCATTCACACCTTGCGCATTCTTGATTATTACCGAATCTGTGGATGGAAGCGACTTTATCTCCACAATTTGGTCTTCCCGTAGGTAGTCATTCAAAACCGCCGCCGGTTGAAGTCCCATTAGTATTAGGTTTTTAAGAAAATCATGTCTGATGTCCATGTTTTTATTGGGCAAGTCCTCGAATAGGTCTTCGCCACGATTTTTTGAGTCATCTTTATCCGATGCATATGATTTGAGCGCCTTGATGACTTTGTGATCTATGTTTTCCAAAGCAGTGGTAACAGTATCTGGTTTTTTCGGGATATGCTCCATAATATATAGCGGTAGCTGCTTGGTAATGAAGATTGTCCATTGGCGCTCCAACAAATTGAAATCCGAATTTGGTTGATGATAATGTTTGTTGCTAACAAATTGAGCAAATGATGTGAAAGCGGTCTCAATAAGATCCAGCATTACATTTTCGACGCTGCTGTGCAGCGGCTTGGTCAACTTTTGAACAGCAGCATCAATCGATCCATAGTTAGAAACAAAGTCTTTTTCGTTCGTTGACCAATTCAAAATCTTATTGTTCAGCCATAGATTTTTACAATATCTAGCAAGCTTGACGGTTTGAGAAGGAGATGACCCCGCATTAGCGGAGGTCAAGTTCTTTGAGCTGGCTGCAAGGTTTTCGGTCAACTTTGGTGATATAATTGATGGGGAATCCTCGTCCGACCTATTCTCTTGTTGAATGTTCGGAATAGGCCCCTTGAATTTGAGCTTTGTTTCGAAGTCTAATACAAGTTTGCGGTGAAGAAGTCTGTTTGTTTTCGAAAGTCGGAAAAGCAATACACCAATATTCTCTTTGACACGGTTGCTTGTGATAGTGATAGGCTGATTGGAAAGATGTAATATGTTATGCATAAATTTTGCAACCGAATGAACTATTCGATCATCTTGAGTGTTGAAATCATGGTTGAAAATGGAGGGAATGATAAGTTCACTTAGGTCATCGCATATTTGATCAATGACCAGCTTGTCGTTTAGATTTAGGAAAAAGGCGCTGGCTCTTGAGAAAAGGAGCGCCAACTGTGACGAATTGTGACAAGTATAAAGTAGGGGAATAAGTCTTTGAGCTAGTTCGGTGTTGTAATTGATAAACAAAACCTCTGTGACATAATCCGCGATCAAAACGTTGGAGTCGGAGTCTAGAATTCGTAAGAGACTAGCGGAGAGTTCGCCATAGACGTCAATATCCTGAATTTTGGTATCTGTTTCCTCCGAATTATTAACTATCGATCCATACTGTTCGTTAACTAATTCGTTGTAGAAATTGAGAAACTGATTTGAAGGTAAGCGCCGTTTAAAGCAATTGAGTGCTAGAGAGTAGATCGTCTCTCGCTTTTCATCCATAGCAAAAAAAAGCTATACAAGCTTATTCAATGACAGCTCGAACGTCCCAGAGTCCTTATGAATTATTGTTACCTCTTCGTATTGTACTTTTTAAAGAGATCATCAACATTTTAGTTACCATGACTTAGCAAAGAGATTGAGTTCGTATAAAATGATACGCTAGGACAATGATTCCGGATCTACTACAAATGTTTAGGCAATGAGGTTCTTAGATTGTGTCATCAGGACTTGGCGATTCCGCATTAAGCATGGCTCTTTGCCACTCTGGGATTGGGGTGGGCTGTTTTTCAGCAGTAGATTTCTGCCATTCTGGAATTGACTTATCATTGATGGATTTGTCTCGAGATTTCTTCCACGCCGGTACCTCTGAGTCATTCTTCTTCGGTATATTCATCTTAGACAAGATCTCTGAAGCCGAAGGAATAGCCTCGGCACCTGGAACTGGCGATTTGATGTGATCAGATGGAGTGGAAGGTACTTTAAGAAGGTCGCTGCTTTTAAAAAGAGTTTTCAAAGACAGGATTTCATCGTTCAACCTCCTAATAGCAGGGCTATCGCTGTTTTCAGTGATGAAAGTGTCAAGACTTTTTTGAAGACCTTCTATTTCAAGACGCATAATTCTCACGTCGTCCTCTAGCTTTTCGCGGGTCCTGGATGTGCTTTCCAACGCCCCTTGGAGCTCCACAACAACTTGATCCACATCTTGGAATTTCTCATTCTCTTTCTTGACGTATGAGGAATGCTCACTTTCAATAGTTTGGAGTAATTGCTCCATGCGGTCGAACTGTTGCATTATTTCTTGCTTATCCTGCTCCAGTTTGGCATGCGATTCAGGAAGAAGGTTTGGAATCACGTACCGTTTCGCTAGTTGGTAGACACCGTAACACAAACCAGCACTTGCTGTGGCCATCACAAAGTAGTCCTTCCAGTCCCTTTGCGGGAGAGGAGGGGGAACTGCTTCGTACTGGGCAGATTTTTCATTTTTGAATTCACGCTCTGCTTTATTAGTGTTATAGTCAACTACATGGTTACTTTCGGCCTCCTTCAATGCCTTATCGATTTCCTCCTGGGTCAGCCCTTTAGATTGTAGAAATTCTATTTTCTTGCTTAACGGTGCATCAGAAACGCTCTCATCGTTCAGGAAAGCTATGGCTGACTTATACAGCTCAAGACGATCAGAAGATCCCGTCTGCGACATTATGAAAGCTTTACAGAGGCAATGAAAGTTAAAAGTATAATTATTTTTGTTCAATGTTTAATATATCGAAGTTGATTAGATCACGAAATTTGAGGATGAATTCCATCAAAATCCGACCTACGAAGTAATGGCTGTTAAACCAATGCAGTTTCCAAAAGGAAAAGACGTGCCATGTGTTTTCATTTGCGACAGTCGGGACAACATTTTGAATGATGATTTCGAATTTGAGGGTATCTTGAGGCTGTTTCCATTAGTCAAGCAACAACACATCTTGACTAAAAAGGTCCGGAGTCTAAGAAATGTTGCATTGTGCAACCAAATCCTACAGTTGGCAGGCATATCAATGGTTACCGGGCAAAACTGGCGCACGCTGAATTTTGGACGTAATATGTACGGCAAGCCTGAATGCCATGAAATCAAGGGCTTAGCATTCAACATGTCAAACAGCAATGGTAGAACGGCCCTATACCTAGACAACGTTTCGGATGTTGGGATCGACTTAGCAAGCACCCAAGACTGTAGCCAATTTGATGATGAAGACTACGTGTGTACGTTCAAAGACATTTTCGCTGCTCGTGAGCTCAGCAGTCTCGAGCAAATGACGCCTGGAGCGGCGAGAGATCAAAGTTTCACTCACTACTGGTCACTCAAGGAGTCGTATACCAAACTTACAGGTACGGGACTCAATTGTGATCTATCGGAAATTGACATAGGCGTTTTACAACCTTTACGACCTGGAGACGCTGTTCAAATAATAGTCAGACAAATAAGCAATGAAACAATAGTATTCCAGTCCGAATGGCTGGATGACAGCACAGTAGTTTCCATTTGTAAAAGGAAATCAGCTTACGAGGAAGAGCAAATAATACCTATGTTCGAGCTGAAAGTTGCTGAAATTGTGAGCCTTTTGAATAGTACGAAATGATTCCAGGAATATCGCCTAATTTTCCAGGCACATAATAAAGGAAAGGTTGGGTTTCTTCGGAGAGGCAACCCTTTCAAATCCCGGACTAATACTAATACGCACACTCGTTCATGTCTGATAAACCTAAAAAGACTTCGCATCTAATAGGTGGATTTGTTGGTGGATTGACATCTGCAGTGGTTCTGCAACCATTCGACTTATTGAAGACAAGACTTCAGCAAAATACAGGATCCACTTTACTAGGGGTAGTGCAATCCATCGACTCACCAGCCCAATTATGGAAAGGTACGGTACCTTCAGCACTTCGAACATCTGTGGGAAGTGCTCTGTTTCTTTCGACCTTGAACGTGGTAAGGTCGACAATATCTGAGCGAAGGGCAACTGCAGCTGGTCGCATAATGAGTAACAGTAGTTCTTTGCCTAAGCTGTCCATGTCTGAAAATCTAATATCTGGAGCATTGACTAGAGCAGCAGTTGGAGTTGTCACAATGCCAATAACTGTACTTAAAGTAAGGTTCGAATCAACGATGTATGACTACAAGACAATTGGCGAAGCCGCCAAACATATTTATCGCTCAGAAGGCATAAAAGGTCTTTTCAGCGGATGCAATGCTACCATATTGAGGGACGCTCCTTACGCGGGGCTCTACGTCTTACTTTACGAACAATCAAAACTACAACTGCCGCAATTGTTGCCGTCCTGGCTGGTGACTAGCAACGACCAAGGTAAGTTCTCCACTACGACTTCGACTATTATCAATTCCATCGCAGCGTTCGGCTCCGCAAGTATGGCCACAACGATCACCGCACCATTTGATACTATCAAAACTAGAATGCAACTGAAACCGACTCAATACTCCGGGTTCCTGCAGACGTTTTATTCGATTATCAGAAATGAGCAGCCAAAAAACCTCTTTGATGGACTGAGTCTAAGGCTCGCAAGAAAAGCGTTCAGCGCAGGTATAGCATGGGGTATCTACGAGGAACTAATAAAAAGGATCGTTTAGTTTAGACATCAATCAATAATTGAATTTTGCACTTATCTTCAAAGGCGATTTAGTTTCATAGCTCTCGAGATGTTTTGTGGCAAAAACGTCGTCCCGTCAAAATCTCCAGATATTGTGGCGAGTGCAGCTAAGCCAAGGAAAGTATGGTATAAATCTGGATCATCTTCGTCGTTTTTGGCAAATCCACCAAGTAGCTTATTTTGAGTATTGTTCAATAAATAATCCACAAGGAAGTCATGGCCCTCAAACCTTGCCGAAGTTTGAGGCCCAAGGATCTCCAAAGAATTGAGACACCAAAACCCGTAGCATGTATCCGCGAACTTGTTCTCTCTCCCTTGGAACCCCCCATGATCTTCTGGATCAAAGCCTTCGTTGTTCGTCATCAAAGTCATTGGACCGTCGCTTGAGATTTGACGCTGCAATAACCATTGGAAAGTCACTTCGTAGAAAGAAGATGGCAGGATGTCCCACCTATCGTTGATCAATTTGAGTATCGAAAGAGCGCATGATGTGAACCCTGCATGGGGTTCGAAATACTGACCAAACCCGCCCTGAGGGCAAGCCTGTTGCTTGATAAACTCGAGAACACCGTCCAAAGAAATATATCTACTGAAGTCAGTGGAGGTTCGACAGCCCATCAGATAGAGGATAGCAATGGCTACATATGTATGTCTGAGATCCGTTGGATCGATTGAGGAATAATGGAGAGGTTTCGGAGGAGTCACATCAAAACTTGATACAAACAGACCATTGTCAGACACTTGACATTGAGCCACAAATTGGCACACTTTTTCGCGATCTATAATTTCGAACAATCTATCTGCGTTAACGAGACACGCTAAACTCCAAATTCCAAAGAGTGTACTTGTTAAACTAAGAGATGGCACACCTTTCACATGCGTTGAAATGCTTGGGACAAATCCAGCAACGTAGCCAATCTCATTCTCTACTTCCTGGTAGTGTTTCTTTAAGTACTCTGTACTGCCTTTGTATTTTTTTGAAATATCAACACCGAGAATGCTCAAACCCAACAGCGCATACGATACTATGGCGAGCTTATTGGGCTCATTATCTTGGAACTTGGAGGGTAAGATGTGCAAATGCCGCTCCAGAAATTTCTGATGTTTCTTAGCGACAAACCTTTCATCGTTTAAAGGCGCTGGCGGCTTCATCTTGTTCAAATTTTTGTAATTTTCAAATGTCCCTTTCAATTGAGTCTGTGTATCTATCTATCTATAAACTCACATTGTTCATAAAATTTAAAAAAACATATTAAAGCCATACATATAATTCATAATGTCTAAAAGACAAACCTGTAGGTGCCAATCTCAAAAGGCTTCAATTTGATCCGGACTTGTGTTTGGCCCTTGGCTTCCTTGAAGTCTTCTCTCGTCAGGTCCAAGGCGACGCCACCGGTGAGCTCCAAACTATCGATCTTCAATGCACTTGTTAAAGGTAGATCAGTTGATAATGTTGCCGATGACTCTCCACCCAAAGCTTCATAAACCCTAATCACCATTGATCTTTGGTCCCACGATTTTGAAGAGTACTCAGAGCCCAGCTCTTTGTCGTCCTCACCACGTTTAATGTTCATTAAAATAACGTTCGGATCACCTTCGATCTTGATTAATCCTCCGAAGTCCTGCGCAACAGAATCTGGAATCTGATACTTGTGGCAATAGTTGAAGTCTAAAGCCTTGTGAACAGTCTCGTGCGATAAGCTGCCTTTGTGTGGAAATATAGCATATTTCATGTGATGCGTTCCCATATCGGCGTGCTCATCTGGTTGTTTTGGAGAACGCAATAACGACAAACGCATTAAATTGCCGTGGGTGGAGAAGCCATATTTGCAGTTGTTGATCACGGAAACTCCTTTACTGAATTCGGAATAGTCAGCAAACTTATGGTGGCAAACTTCAAATTTGGCTACGTCCCAGGAAGTGTTATAATGGGTTGGTCTCTTCGTGATTCCGAATTGGGTTTCATAAGAGGCGTAATCGTTGCGAACATTTACCGGAAATTCAACCTTCAAAAACTTGTTCGTCAAGTTCCAATTTTTGACAACGGTATCAATTTCAATCATACTCCCTGATCTCTCTTGACCTTCCTGTTTTAAAGAAATGGTTGTCACGATATCACAGTCCGCTTTCACCTTAAACGTCAATTCAACAGCGCATTTCTCCGAGGAGCTGTCGCTTACGCGAATGCTCTCCAAAGTACTGATGTATTCAAATTGATCTAGTGAATAAACCTCAGTGTCCCACGCTTGCCATCCAAGAGGCTTGTCATCAAACAGAACGAATTGGTTAGCACCAAGTCTGTTTTTACCGCTTTCCAAATCCAGATATTCAATGTCCCTCTCGGTTTCTGTTATAGAGGAGATAACACCTTTTTTTTTGTCAATAGTTACCTCAAGATTCCCATTGATCATTTTAATTGAAATTTCGCTTTCTTCAATAGTCACAGGTGTCTTATAGTCCGAACTCACAGCGTCCTTACCGCTGTGAAATGATTGAAGAGTGCCAACAGTAACCAATTTGCTGCCTTTCTTTTGGAGAACTTTCAAAACATGGCTTATCATTTTTTCAATCTTTTCTAGAGCTTCGCTTAACATCGGACGCGCCTCATATTTGTACACCAATTCAATACAGGACCCAGGCAATACATCATGGAATTGACATAAAAGAATATCTTCCCACAACTCATTGATTTTGTTTACTGGATATTCGTAGTCTTTGGCGTAGAGTAGAGAAGCCTTCGTTGCCAACCACTCAAGGTCGTGAATTTTTACTTCACACAATCTCATCAAGCGCTTTAGTTGAGCTTGCGTTGTGTAAGTTCCTCTGTGAAACTCAAAATAAAGTTCTCCTAACCACGATGGTAAATTTTGCCCGTCGTTGGTTTTCTTCAAGATGTCATTATAGAAGTCATTGATGGTTGAGCCAACATGAAGTTTAGGAATAATGTTTCCGTTACGATTGTTCATGGATCGGATGCGACGCATTTTCTCCAGCATTTCAGCAGTTGGTCCACCTCCTCCATCTCCTTTGCCATAAAGCATGAGGCCTGATTGATAAACAGCAGAATTTTTGTTACCTTTCGCAGTGCGCATGACATCTCCAAAGTGGGAACTGGCCGTATAGGTATTGCCGGCTGGCATATGAGTCAACAATTGGGAGCCATCAATACCAACCCAGTTGAATGACGTGTGAGGGAAATTGTTGATGTTATTCCAGGATAACTTCTGCGTCAGAAACTTGTCAATTCCAGAGATTCTTGCAATTTGTGGTATCTGAGACGAGTAGCCAAAGGTGTCCGGAAGCCAGAAAACGTCAGATTTTTTGCCGAAATGCTTGAGGAAAAACCGTTGCCCTAAAAAAAACTGGCGACACAATGATTCACCAGATGGAATGTTTGTGTCGTTTTCAACCCACGAGCCGCCTATTGGAAAGAATTGAGACTGCTGGATCTTGGGAATGAGAACGTCTTTGAAGAAGTTACGATGCTCTTTTAAAAGCCACTTGAATTGCTGGGCTTGAGAGGCCACAAATTGATACTCCGGGTATTTATCCATCAAAGTGCACTGGGAAGTCCAAGAACGTACAATTTTTCGACGAGTTTCCGCAAAAGGCCAAAGCCACGCAGTGTCAATATGACAATTTCCCATACTAAAGACATCTGTCATGACGTTAGTATCGCCCTTTTGGTACACCTCTGGACTGTCGCTATATTTGTCAAAATATTCCTTGTGTGCCAAATCCCGGCATCTCTGAACGCTGGTAACGTCTTCAGGATCGAACAAGTTCATAACCGAGTTACCGACTTGCCTGGCCTTATGCTTTTGCCAAGAATCGTTAGGTAACTCGCGTGCTGCATCCGAGAGCATCCAAAAGTCAATAAAGAGGGCTCTAGCGTCCCAATTCGGCCAAACGATATCCGCTTTGTCCAAGTTGAAATACCGATTATCATTTGGTGGACTCTCTCCAAATCCACATCCAAACATGCCGTTGTTACCGCACTCGATGTAGAAGGAATGGTGTTTGAGGCCCTTTGGTAAAAGATACTCATTTCGTTCGCCACCTCCGGAGAACGCAGTCTTCGGAATTAGAGTTTCGGGGTCAATCACGATTCCCTCGTTGTTGCAGTCCCACTCGAACAATAATTGCTCATCGGAGTCAACCCACTCTTTGGGTAAGTCCAGCTCGACTTTGAACCAGGTAGTAGACCAGCTAGGGCCAAAGGGCTGGTGTTTCCAAGCGTCGCGAAACAAAAGTTCGTTGTTCTTGTCACGACGGGCAATCTCATCCCAGGGAGGTCGTTTGTCGGGTGAGACCGGCGACGAACCCTTTTCGAATGCAACCTGGTACCATTGGACTTTGACGTGGTCTTGGTCCAGCGATATCCGTTCTTTGTCATAAAATTTGGGAAGGTTCAATTTCTGGTACTGGCCTCCGTCATCAATAAATTGGCGCAACCTACCCTCGTAGATACCCTGAACGGGCGTCAAATGGGGGTCGCTGGACCTTTCAGCGTAGCCCATATTTTCCAACTGGCAACCCAATGACGAAGCTATTTAAACTGCGCACAACACGCAAGTTCTGATATAAGGGGCGGTCTCCCAGTAATTTCCGAGAAACTAAAGACTAAAACTAAATGCACAAACGAAACCTGTGCGAAGCCAAATGTAAATGAAATCCAATGGTAGTGCAAAGCTCTCCTGGCAGGTGCTCTTTCGATACTTATACGTCTTCAAGAAGGTGCGACACACTGGAGTTTATATCTGTTCCCTCGATCTTTTTTCCCATTTTGCGGGGTACCAGGGAACTGGTCTAGGCGTATATAGTTACCTGCTGAAGGCATGCTGTACGAATGCTCGAGACACATTTTTATTTCCCAGCGTATAAGTTCTTGGCATTAAACAGCTTGCTAGCCTGACACGTCTCGAACGTGAGTATGGCGTGTATAGCCTCCAAAGTTGCCTTCAGGCTTACAAAAGGTGTATAGTGTTTCAATCTAGAGGTTTTATGATGGCCACTTGTTAGGTCACAAACTTATGTTGGTGGTCATGTAGGGTGGTTGAAAGCTGGCATTACTTAAAGCGACACTATAAATAAGCTGAAGATTAAGTTTACGGTGATTGACGACTTGTACAACGACCTGTCTCATGTGTGAAAGTTAGGCATCGAAGTTGAGAGTAACTGTGAAGTGGAGGAAATTCTTGAATCGGCCAAAAATAAACTCGGGAATTGAACTGTCTAATAATTTGGAACTCAATCTTTTATTTATAAATCCTCAAGAAGGAAGTCCCGGTTGTGATTTACTCGTAACGTTTTTATGAAGGTGCTCGCAAAAGCGACTAGCAATTTGTCGACGAGCTCATGGAAGCTTGCCCAAACGCCTAATGATAATATTTACAAGGAATAAGGCTTGTAGATTTCGGCAATATCAAAGAATTAGCACGACATATCTGTAGACGACGAAAATGACATTGTAGAGAAAAGATTCTTTGATCAGATTTCGGAATTGAAAGTCAATAGAAGCGTCTAATGGACAATCAAAAACAGGCGGGTTCGGCTCAGCATAGTATATAAAGGCAGGAAAAACAGAACATTGTCAGTTTGTTTTTGGTAGAGAGTTCTCAATGTTCGAAACTGTGGTTACCAAGTAGCCCCTTATGACATTCGAGCAACGCAAATGTCTCTTTTTATGAAATGTATCAAGCCAATAAGCCCAGAAATCCACTGCAGATGTTTGTGTATTGTTAGTGACTTCATAAAACATGAATTGGCTCCGAGGCTGTAACGCATCATTAGACTGCTTTTTGCAACACTGGCAAAGCTTACATTAAAATTCGAAGTTTGCCTTCCTTCCATTGATTTACTGGCAATGTTCTGTAGCGCGACCACTGCGGAAGTCAAAGTTTTTCGTTGTATAACTGAGCAAACAATTGCAAATATACTAGAACTTTGACACGATGCACTTCTTGAGGTAGTCTTCATTGTTTCAGTTTCCATTTGTGTTTTGAGGCTTCCAACAACCGTATGTAGGTCAAGCAAATGAAGTCAGCAAAGAACATAATACCATTATAGCAAATGGCGTTTCGATAGCTGCCACATGAATTGGGGTTGCCTTTTATGAGCGTTCCAGCAATAGGTGATCCTAAGAAAGTACCAACACCACGACTAAAATACAGGAAACCTGACGACGCTTGGTAATTCTGAACTCCAAATAACTCCACCATACATGTAGGAATTAGTGAAATCATAGGGCCTGATGCAACCCCATAGAGAATCACAAAAGAAATGAAAGTCCCGCGGGTAGGCACTAGCCACAGAGCTAGAACAGTTACAGTACTAAAGAAACTGCAAACCACTAGCATGTTTAGGCGTCCTACTTTGTCTGCAAAGTAGCCTACAGCCACTTTAGAACATGCGTTGACTGCGTTATTAACTCCGATAAACATAGTACCCTGAGAAGTGGTGAATCCCAACGATTTTGAGTAAGTAGACATGAAAAAGCCCGGAATTAAATAGCCGCCTGACTGTAGTCCAGCTCCAAACATATGCAAAATGAATATTTTACTTGTGGCAAATTTCAGACTTACATTTCCCTCTTTAGGCAACCGACTCAGCTGCGATGCCAGTGAGGTGGGATGTGGTCGGACCAGGAAGCTGGTTGGAGTTATGCAAATCAAAGATACGAAGCCAAATATTCTTAGAGCCCACTGCCACCCCACTTTTGATATCAAGTATCTGGTTAGGGGCGCTAGCGCCAAGCCGCCAAAACCGGTTCCAGAAAATAGTAAGCCCATGGCAATACCTCTGTGGGCAGAAAAATAAGGAGGGGCATGCGTCACTGGTGACAGATATATCATCGAGCCCCCAACACCAAACATTACACCTTGGGACAAAAGAAACTGCCAGGTCTGCTGTGCAAAAGAGGCACAGATGAGTCCAAGCGACATCACAAATGAGCCGAGAATCATGGAGTTTTTTATTGACATGTACCGGGTTATTAATCTATTGGCAATGGTGAATAAGTATGTTGTACCAGTGGCCAAAGATCCAATGGCAGTGACGGCAGAAACAGGCTTGCCGTAAAGTGGCCCCGAAGGACTGAGGTAGTAGTCCTGGAAAACACCGAATGTGAAAGCGATGCCGAATATGATAAAGTTTGCAATAAACCCTGATAGCACAATTAGATATCCCTGAAGCGGAGAAATATTTGTTGCATTATCACTTTCGGTTAGACCTTCGGTAAGATCTTCCGTAACATTCTCAGCCCCATCGGTATTTGATGAATCAACCGAGTTATTCGCCTGACCATTGACCACCCTTTCACTTTGCAACCTCTTGTTGGAACCACTGAAAAGCGGGACGACTCTACTTGCGAAGCGCTGCTCATTCAGCATATTTGATTTTATTTGAAACAGTCCTGATGCTTGTTTCGCGTTGTCGCTCTAGCCCGCTCTCACAATTTGAACTCAGTAAATTGATGGCGGCTTTCCATCAATAGTGAATTCACTTTCGTGCAATTCCCTGATCGATATATACCTTCAAAAATATGTTACATGAGGAATGAGTAATATACGTTCTAGAGCGAGATCGGTCACCGCATGCCAACTTTGTACGAGCAGCCATAAATCACGTACCGTTTTTGTCCTCAAACTACTCAGCCGAATTACAACGGATGCGATGCTGTCTTTCCGGCTAAAGGCACTCCTTCAACCTATGCTCATACACTTCTACTTAGCCTTCCACCTGAAAACTTTCGAAGCGACATACAAATAGATAGTTTAAAGAAGACGCTCAGAGTTTACATGCAATCCGGTTGTCAAAAGATTCAGTTTTATACCACATTCATCAAACATTGACCAGTTAGAGTGAAATTGAGTGAGGATCCCCGGACTATTGCTTGATAGCGTCAATTGCATAGTCAATTACATTGAAATGCAAGCCAAAACAATGACATTATAGTACAAAGTGATCCGGCCAGTTTGAACCTTGCAAGTGCTCACACCGTGTTCAGCCTCTCACAGATGATCTTTATCAAGTGCCCATGGCTACAGCGCACCGAGTGATGGCAGCAAAACGAAATACCTAGGTAAGTGGGAACGGCAGGCTACCAGACCTGGCTTATATTGTCGCAGGCCCTCAACGTCTATAGTCATGCGAGATCACAGAAGACGAAAATGGCCCCCGCCCACCCCCACGAGTACAAAAGTACCCATAACCATTGACGAGTAATTACACATCGCTAACCACGGCATATCACATGCGATCGCCCGGCTAGCCCACGAAAAAAAAAGGGTACTCGAGTCCACTAGGTGATCAAGTCTAATTGTATTATAGCTATAGAGCTAGTCTACACACTTATTTCTTGATGGAGACCTCCTTGTCTTCCTCGATGTTGGCAATGGCGTCCGAGTGCTTTTCCTTGACGCTGTCGATGCCGGCCTCGGGAACCTTCACGGTGAAGCCCTTGATAAGCGAGAACTCGTGTGTGATCTCGCCTCCCAACTGTGTGAACGACTTCTTGACGGACGAAATGTCAACGTCAGCAACGTGGTCTTTCAGTGTGACGATAAAGGATTTGGCGGCCATATTTCTTGTATTATGTAGTGTTGTGTGTTTTCGTTCCCGTCAAACTGGTTTGTAGAATGAAACTATCAACTACGTTAAGTCTTCTTATTTATACAGCTTGCTTAACAGAGCAACATCGTCTCTTACTAAGGGGGGGGTCGAAACGAGGAAAGCGGATCTAGATAAATACGTATGGAGGGATCACGTGGGGGGTTTTCCCAACGTGTTGAGCTCTGGCAGCTGGAGATGATGAGCTCGTCTGGTACAGGTTCGGTCAGCTTTCAGGCGTCCAAAGCCACGGGCTCTGGAATGGCGGTGCTCAGCTCGCGATTCAGCAATTCCAAGAGTTCCTGGCCGTCGCGTAGCGATACCCATCGCTCCTGCACCAAATCGAAACGATTCGGCCCGGAAATGGGCGACGAGAGCCATATCTGCTTGTTTGGAGGTTGTTTGTTGAGCACGTAGGTGCCGAATGCGGGGACTGCTACTGTCATAACGCCTTGGTTCAGCTCCACATCCGGAAGCAGCTGTGGGTAAAGGTCGCTGATCTCCTCGAGCTGGTCTTGAATGGCTTCCAGAAAGGCGTCTGAGCGTGTGTGGTAGACGTCGGAGCTGAGTTCCAGCACCTCGCGTGGGATTTGGTGGCCATCTGTGGATCCAGGGCCGCCGTTCGATGCCAAGGTTCTGATCGAATTGAAGCGTGCGGTAGGCCGGCGGAGGGACACACAGCCGGAAGACTTCAAGAGCGGTACTCTAGCGCATTTCCTGGCCCCCAAGAATATGCTTCTTCTTACCAAAAACATGTTGTGATCGATATCGCTGTGTAGAAAAGTATGTTCGGCGGTCCCAGAATTTTTCACCTTACTCAAAGATCCCTCATCTTACAAGCTTTCCAAACTGTGTTGCAAAAGACTTCAGGACTTAGCCGAGACACCATGAATTTGTTTGCTTACTTCGTGCTGTTCGTGGTGGTTATAGCATTCATTCTGGTGCTACCGCTTTTGTCGGGCACTTTCACCTACAAGTTGCAGAAACCGGGCGCCAAGACATCATCTCGGAACTCAGATTCCAGTAGTTTGTCCAAAAGACAGAGGTTCCGTGAGAAAATGAGGTTCTCTAAAGAACAGACGCCATTAAAAATCCAGTTGAGCCACGAAGCTCACTCTTCGAGTCGAGGGAATGAGTCTGAAAGCGACAGTAAGGTGGGTCTCAAAAAACGCACTATTAGAAAATTCGATTCTGACCCAAACACTTTCGACTATGACATTGCAGAGCTGATGGAGGAAGACGAGCGGGAAGAACAACGCGAACGCGCGCTACAATTTCAAAAGTTTGCTGGTAAAGAGCAGGAAACGCACGAGTCGTTGGTGTGATGTTGGAATATTTCTTGGGTTGGATAGATAATATGTACTCGGAAAAAACAGAAAATGTATCTAGAAGCTATGCATGGAGTCGAAACCCACTATTCGTCGTCTGCTTGGCTTGACCATTCGATGTCATCGTTCAATTTTTGAGCAACGTCGTTATAGTCGTACTCGTAAAACATCATAAAGACGCCCGGTGTAGAGAGGACTTCCTCTTCTTCCACCACATACACGGTCTCGTCAGAAATTCTCCACCACAGACCTCTAAACTTGCGGAACGCAATATAATGCCCATAGTTATGAGTTCCGTAATGAACAATAACGGAGCGCAGCGCATAAGTCAGAGGCCCTACAGGAACTGTTGAAGAGCTTGGAACTGAATCACGCACAGAGACAGCACGAAGGGCTTTCCTGTCTTTTTTATCCTCGTCCAGGCTTTCGATTTCGTCCTCAGACGTTTTGGCATCTATTTGGTCCATGGCGTCAGGTTCCTGTGCCACCACAGCATCATTATCAGAGGTGTCGTCACCAGAGTCTTCTTCCTGATCGTTTGTTTCAATATCCTGTTTTGGTTTATAAATACGATTGCCCAGTTTGTCAACTTCGAAGTCACTCTCTTCGGACTCTTCGCCGTCTTCACTTGACGAAACTAATTCGCCTTTTAATGGATCATAATCTGATACGTCGCGGTCGGCGTGTTGAAAACTTTCCTCTTCTTCATCACTGTCATCAAACTCCTCTTCGTAATGGCGATGTAAGCGGGCGAAGTACTCGCCCCCCACGTTTTCGTCTTCTGAGGACTCCATTAGCTGTTGATCTTTCTTGGACATCGGAAGACGGGCGTCCAAGTTTATTTCGTCAATATCGCAACACCAAGGTGCTAGATTCAGTTTTGACTTAAACAGAACCCTTGAGTTGTTTTTCCGAATGGTGTAAGTTCGCGGGTCAAAAACTGATCTGTTGATATGAATGCAAAGTAACGGTGGTGGGCGAGAGATCAAAATTTGTTTCGATTTCGAAGTTCTCTTCACCATGTTTTCGGTGTGCAGCTTTTTGTAGTCTTCATCGTCAACTACCGGTTTAGATAAAAGGTTTTCAAGCTCATCTATCCTTGTCTTCACAGCATCCACTAACTTCTCAGAGACGGTTTCGGATGTCTCGAATTGAACCAGGGTTTTATTTAAATGCTCCAAAACAGCATTGAGAGCGCATCGATTGCATTCGACACCTTCGATTATTTCCGGTTTAGACCAGTTTTGCAGAAGCTGCGAAAGTTTCAAATTAGATCCTATGTTCTCAGAAGGCAGATTCAAACTTAAGCCCGAAAATACCGAATAACGAATACCTCCGTTCTCACCGCATTGCAAGCACCCGATTCTTTCTGCTGTTATACCATCAAGGGGTGTAATAAGCTTGAGCGGTGTGTAAGATTGCTGGTCATCACCTTTCGAAACGGAATTCGGGTTAATTTGGTTAGTGGGTAGATAAACCGTCCCGATAGTTCCTAGATGATTTTGCCCAACCATCGCCTCTTCAGAAAGATCACTGGCCAAAACAGGCGTGTTGCTCCTTTCTGCGGGTTTCTCATGCAAGGACTTAACGTTCGTTTCCAACTCAGATAGGATAGTCTGAAAAAACTCTTGTGCATCCTCTTGATCATATCCTAAGATGAGGCTCTTATTTGGAGCTTTCGACATGGTTTTTAAAAGCTTGTTGGTTTTGAAAAATGGTCTATCTCTATGATGTTTCTCGTTCAGCTTATCTAGGAGCTCTTTTAATGTAGCACTAAAAGCCACGTTAGCAGGCTCTTGATCGCTTGCTGCTGCCTCTTTCTCAGCATTCCTGGTCAACTTCTTCTTGCGCTTTCCATACGTTTTCATCTTTGAGGGTTTAGCACTCGCTTTTTCTTGACTAGACTCTGTGACTTCTGAAGCTTGCTCCTGGTCTATCGCAGAATCTTCCGATGTCATGTTTTCCAATTCTTTAGTGGACTGGATAATCTCTTCATCAAGGAACTGAAGCAAAGTCTGAGACGAAGCCAAGCTCTGCAAAACAGAGTTCATGAAGCATGTGTTACCGTCGTTGACCAAACCCCCCACGTACCCGCCTCGCTCAAACATAACTTCTTCTTGGGCTGGGTTTTTGGATCCCCATTTGCTGAACATGCTGCTTCGATAGTTGTTTCTGAAACCTCGAGTTAGGTCGCCTCCGACCATTCCGGAGTTTTCCATTATTTCCCAGACCTTTCTTCGATTCTTATATAGCAGGATTCCTGTGGATGCAAGAAGTACTAAAAGAGTGGTGTTATTTTGATCGACCTTAGTCAAATTTTTGATCAGAGAGTTCCAACTAGCGAATAATGCACACAACTTCTCCAATACAAAATTCATATAATATTATATGAGGACCAGATTTGTGCTTACGACCTTAAACGCCAGAAATATTAGTCTAGTGTGCCTTGCGAAAAGTCACTTTGCTGCAGGATAGTAAGATCTTTTAATTTTCTCCGAAGATTGAAGGAATATTTTTTCAGTGCCACTAACAATGGTGATACAGATTTTGAAAGGCAGTCTATAAACAATTTAATATATATTTCCTGATAGATAGGTATAGCACTGATAGGCAGATACCCCCTCAATCATTTTGTTGAATATTTAGTCTTACGAGCCTTGTTTTGATTAAAGGTGGATTTTCTCCCAGCGATTAAACGTCTTTTTCAGAAGCTCTATGGTGGAATCGGGACGGCGTGGCCGATCCTCAATCAATTTTATCGAGATCGAGACAACACTTTTCAGTTATTTTTTGGCGTTCTTGATGCAGTAACACTCGAGTGCCAGTAGCCATATTTTTTAACAACAACAAATCCTTGGATCGATTTCTATTTGTTGTCTCTGTACATAAAGGCTACAAATGAAGTTTTCATTACTGGCTTTCCTCTTGCGTTTGTTCTGTATTCATATTCAAATGAAGCTCTTGCGCTTCAGGCTGAACATTTTGAACAGGTATTTGCCCCATTGGAAGCTCCGCAACCTCAGACTTAGGTTGCGGAATATATGTTGGCTTTTCCTTGCCCCAGCCGGTTCTGAAATTCCTACCTTGGAACGGAAAGTTACCAAGTGTCAAAATACACACAGCAGCCTGTTCGTGAGTGCCATACTTGACAAAACAGCATCCCCTGTCGGCATAGTGCTTGAAGTCCACAATGAACCCAAAGTTTTGTAATAGTGGGATTAAATCTTGTTCTGATGCAAAGTGCGGAATGTTACCAATGTAAACAGTTGTAACTCTTAAGGGTGCACTTCTTATCATTGCTTCCACGGCTTGCGGAGGAGCCTGTGGTAGCATAACGGGGCCTTGGGGTTGCGGGCCTTGAGATAGCGGAGCCTGAGTAGGAATTCCCATGGCTGGCATTGGAGCGCCACGGGTAGGAGGCATACCCATAGGGGCCATTGGATTTCTGAACTGGTTGTTACTGTGACCACGAAATCCACCACGGCGAGGTCCGCTGCCGCGGCTGTTCATTTGATAAGGGTCACCGTTGTTGTGGCTGTTACTGATGTTGCTGTTATTATTGCTATGTTCACGCTTTGACGCCCAGTTGATGCGAATGGCTCTGCCGTTTACTACGGTGCCCTGACTATGTTCCATGGCTTTTTGAGCCTGAGATTGATCGCCGAACGATACGAACCCGTAGCCTCTTGACCTTCCAGTCTGCATGTCCCACATTACGTGCGCTTGAATAAAAGTAGGGACATCTTTAAAAGTGTTCGCGAGCTTTTCATCGTCAACGTCAACGCTCAGATCGCCAACAAATAGATTAAACGTATCCTCGGAAGATACTTGTTGGGATTGGAACGCCCAGTTAATCTTGACAACGCGGTTTTCGATCTGTTTGCCATCCAGAGTTTGGAAAGCGACATTAGCGTCATGGGGTTTGTGAAATTCGACAAAAGCGTAGTTGGCCTCCTTATTGTTTTTGTCCATCAGAATCTTAACGTTGGCAATTGAGCCACCAACTTGAAAGTATTGTCTTAACATCTCTTCTGTGACAGTCAAATCCAAATTTCCCACGTACAAAATTCTGTCAGAAGTTTCTCTACCGCCTCGAGACGCATTGGCAGGCGTCACAGCCGGTTCGTTGTTTTCCAAGGCCGGCACAGCTTGTGCAGGCTTTGTAGAAGTATCGTAACTTGTTCCGGAATTCTCATTAGTTGTCACAATTGGAATACTTTGTTCAGCTGAAACTGGCTGTTCCAGCGCCACCTCCTGGCTTTGATGTTGTTCTTGTTGCTGCTGCTGCTCTTCAGACATTGTGAGATCCTTTATCAGATTGTTTATGAGATTTCAAAAAAGACTATCGTTACAAGCGAATCCAAATGATGTTGGCGCCCCGTCTTCGAAATGGATGCAGATTGTATAAATCCCTTTAAAGGCTTCGCGTGGTAGGGTACTGAAATTTGTTCGAATTAGCGTAGTTCAACTGTAAAGTAAAAAATAATCGAATCAAAAGTAATCCTTAAATGCTTTAAGCTTCCAACAAACAACGTTTGAAACTTTCGGATCTTTCACAAACTTAGTTATTCTACAATGGAATTTTCGAAATGAATTCTGAGCGACTAGTTAAAAGTTGGACCGCTATCAGAAAAATTTTCTAGTCAAAAATAATTAAATGGCAAAAATGGTCTCTAGCGGGATCGAACCGCTGATCCCCGCGTTATTAGCACGGTGCCTTAACCAACTGGGCCAAGAGACCTATTTATGAATATGGGTAATAAAGAGTCCAATACAGCATTAATTCAAATCATGTGCGCGGGTTCTTAGCTGCTGTGTAACGACTAGAGTAAGGACAGGAATAAAAGATAAAAACACCAAGGCGTGAGTACTCGCAGAACAATTCTTGAGCTTTCCTTGGATGCTTTAGATCTGGTGAAAGCAATTGAGGCGTAAGTCGATTTTCGGAGACTTAAATAATAGAGGAACCTTCTTAAAGTCAAGATATAAAAAAAAGACAAATCAGGAATAGAAGAAGGCACATAATCAACGAGGCCTTGAATCACGTCATGGTATTTGTGCATGATTACTCAATTTGTTTATAATCCTGTGGTAACGCCTGTAGTCTTTTGTTCACTCTCGAATTGTCTGGTTTGATCAGCTTACTTTATTAAACCATACTAGGAGCAACCAGAAGTCGGTAATGGCGACCATTGTCCTTAGGAGGGGCCCTTCCGAGCATAAGATAAATGTTAAAACAGAAACTGAATTTTCAAAAATTTAGCAGGCTTGCAGTTTCGTTCTAGCACTACATGGCTCGTTCCCCGATAGTAAGACTTGAGTGCGCTCAAAATTATGAGCTACGGTCAGCCGTTTCCAAATGAATGTACTGACAAACAAATCTAATGCACAACCAATTTTGATACCGTAGCAGCAGTGAAATTGTTATCATTTTGTACTTTACTGTCGTTGAAGTTTGTGCGATAGTGGCTCTCATTCAATGATGAACGCTCAACAAAAAGAAATAGAGCCGTATTTCAGCTTGAGTTATAGCTTTCCAGTCATCTATACAGTGGTGCTCATTTTTTTAACGAGACTCAAAGAATTTTCAGGTGCGCCCCGGTCACCATGACTTTTACTCGATTAGGTCTTACCTTTCTTGATTCGCCTTAACGTATATTTTGGACTCTTACAATTACCACCTAAAGCATCAGCTTTCTCAATTCAATGATAGCTACTTTAAACTTTGGCTCCTGATTGCTTGGCGATTGTTCACCTAAAATTCAACAAATGCAAACTTATGCAATATGTACAAAGTTTAGCATTGTATTGAGACTTCCAGCTTTTTCTCATGCAGACCTAGTGAGTCGCTGCGACGAAGCTCGATTTTTCAGGATTCTAACGGTCTAAAGACCAAATAGTGTATTTCTCACGTGCATCTCACGGCAGGTTCAAGAGCTTACCTTAGCTTTTGTCAATATGCTCGTTCAGTTGTTGATCATTGAAGGATCCTAATATCAGCAAAAGACACCCATAATATGCCTATTCACACCTCAACGACTGAAATTTCCCGAGCTATCGATCGAAGTTTTGATCTGGATCTTTTTCCCCCCGCAGAGAACAGTGATGAAGAGAAGTTTTTTATTTCTAATCCCCGGCCTGAGTACCTCGACGATCTTATACAGCAGGCTAGCAAATTCATCCAATTGCAGTTTTCGAAAGGTCGTAAACGCATAGTACTAGTCACCTCGGGAGGTACGACGGTCCCGCTAGAAAATAATACCGTGCGGTTCATTGATAACTTTTCCGCAGGCACCAGAGGAGCCTCTAGCGCCGAGCAGTTCTTATATAAAGGTTATTCGGTCATTTTCCTCCACAGAGAGTTTTCTCTCACTCCCTTCAACCGCAACTTTACCCACAATAGCGATACTTGTTTTTTGGACTATTTCGATCAAAGTGGAAACCTAAATCCACTATACAAGAGCGAGCTTCTGAAGAACAAATTACTTTACGACAAATATCTTTACGATGAAGAAAAATTGCTGCTACTGCCATTTACTACTGTAAATCAATATCTGTGGTCTTTAAAAGCTGTTGCCAAGCTTTTGAACCGGAGTGGTAGCTTATTCTATTTGGCAGCAGCAGTTAGTGACTTTTTTGTTCCTCACTCAAGACTACCTGACCATAAAATTCAATCGCAGGAGCTCCACCGGAGTATTCCTGATGCAAATTCAAAATCGCATCCTGCGAGTGACGGCAAATTGATTGTGGATTTAGACCCAGTGCCCAAGTTTCTCAGAAGATTAGTTGTATCGTGGGCGGCCCAAGCTATGATTGTATCGTTCAAACTTGAAACAGATGAATCCATCTTGATCAAAAAAGCTACACAAGCATTAGATCGATACAACCATCAACTGGTGATAGGAAATCTACTACAGACCAGGAATAAAGAAGTGGTTTTTGTCTCAGAACAAAACCGCTCCGGAGCCTGGATCAAAACCAATCAAGGTAATCATATCATTGAAGAGTTCATTATACCAGAAGTCATCAATTGCCATAACAAGTGGATTGACCAGCAAACAGAGCAAAATAATCTATCAGTATGACCTATCTACAATGTAACATTTTGGAAATTGAAAGTTCAGCGCTCTAAAGGAACGAGAGTCCAATTCCGTACTGGAGACCTTTTCTGACAGAGTCGCTTGTGTGAGCTGATAGCGGTATCGTAAAATTGAGCTCGAATCTTGCAATAGGATGACCAAACACAATACCCACACCTGTAGATGTAGAATGTTCGCGTGACAGTGCTCGCATAAGGCTATCTGCGGGACGTCCATTAGAATTTATTAACCTTCCACCATTGAAAAATGCATGTAGTCTGAAGTTAGAATCTGACCAACGATTAATAGGTAAACGACTGAAGACACTTATCCCGTATGACACAAACGCATCGCCCCCTATTGAGTCATGAAGGTCTTTTGGACCAAGCCCCATAAGTTGGAAACTGCGGACATCATTGCTACCACCACTTTGGAATTTGTCGCTGACGTGGATTGATTGAGTCTTGGGATTGAAATTTTTGATGTAACCACCCTTAACAGTTCCACTTGCGGTTATGAAGTTATTGCTTAGCCAGCTTTTAACTTTCGAGCTTTCAAACGTGAGCTTCCAGAATTTTCCGAGCGCCAATTCATTAGATACCTTGACAAAGCTTCCTGAAAATGGGAATATAGGCTTATCGCGCGAGTCCCAAAACAACGAGTGACCTAACGAATTCTTGACATCGTGGCCGCAATGTGCTAGCAAAGTATCAGAGCTGTGGTTTGTGCTTGCCATGGTGCTACGCCATACGCTTTCAAAGTTCAGTTCGTGATTGGCATTAGAATGTTTCTCGAAGGAAGATTTGATAGAACCCCGTAAACCTCTTAATAAGAGCTCCGCATTACCTAGAGCTCTCGAATTCTTGTAAACGGATGTATCCCATAACCACCAAGGGGAGAGAGGCTGTGTGTAATCTACTAGATAAGATGAATGCGTTTTTGTGCCTTTCGTGGCATCGAACGTGAATCTCTCGCCACCACCTAGGGCATTGCGCCATTGAAATTGAAGATAGCCATCACCCTCACCGTTTCCTACATTTGTTCCCGTTTTCGCAGTGAACTTTTTCAGTGATTGAAGGTTCACGATGGATACCACATCCAGCACAGAGATTGCCTCATTAGAGCCACGAGGCAGAGCATAGCTAGGCGCGAAATTAGCATCTTTCAAACTGTAATGAAGGACGCCTCTGCTATCGACAGTTTGAGTACAGTTTTCAACTAGACCATTGGAGATGAGCTTCATATTCAAGATATCAGATTGGGAGCAGAGTTCTTCGAATGTAGTGGCTTGGCCTATCGTTTGGTCCAAATAAGTTTGCAATACAGCTGGACGAACGCACTCAGCATTTTGAACTATGATGTTGGACACTTTTACCGGAGTGTGTGAATTTTGAGTAATTAAACTTGTGGCATACAAAATCTGTTGATTCTGCAGGAGCTGTTGGTGCTTAACGTCAATCTCTTCAAGTGCCGACGAACTTTCGGGCACTGCAAGTATCCGTGACTCTAAAGGATCGGCATTATGCGTGAACTCGTCGTCCATTTTTGTGATATTTTGTATTTCCAATAGCGCTAATCGTAGAATATATGAATCGTAAATCGGTTTTCAAGAAATAGCTAATATCACTTATTCGCTAAATGACCGTAACTGACCCAGCAAATGCTTACCAGAGTGAGGAGCATATTATGCGTCGTGGTAGGCTGGCCTCCAGAGCTGTCGGAACCTATGCCTTCGATTTCTAGCTCATTTTTCCGATTTTAAGTGAGGCAGATATGCCGCTTGGACTCTTCGGCACATACAACTCGATTGAAAGTAGTACCAATTATTCTCAACATAGGATCAAGAAACAAGCGATTTTTGTCCTTAGACTAAGGCACATATGTCGGTATCAGTACTGCAAAGAAAGAGATGTTGGAGGCGATAACATCTTTAGAAAAACAAAGCTCATGCGATCTTGACAAATACTATTGAAAGCCAACAGCTTCTGTTCAGGACCCGACAAGTGAGCGCGTTAACATAGAGAGTATACAAGCGGTTTATGCTGATATTTTACTTTCTATTTTCTATTCTAGTTGCTGCTGTGAGTAATTACAGCAGAATGTTTCGATGCGCCAACTTGGAGCTGGATGCTTGAAGAATCGATGTTAAAACTACGGGGACGCATAAACTCCGGATAGCGCACTCGTTTTGCTGTTCAAAGATATGACTGCAGTTAAATTAAAGCTCCTGCCTCACTCAACTGTTAAGCGTTAACGAGCGTCAACTTATTCAGAACGTGAATTGGATGTGGGATACTTCACATACCAAAGAACAGAAATCGCTGTTTCATGAAGATGGGCCTTTCTCGTATACTGTAGAATAGCAAACTCTGCGACGCTCCGCGTCAGAATGAGACGGTTTTCAATATGGATTCTGTACCAACCTCCAAGCTCTAAATTCAAAACTCTTAATGTTACAATAGGAAAATTATACACTGTCCATACAAATGCGGCTCCAATATCTATCAACTTACTCATATGTCAATGGGTAAATCCAGTTCCAACTTTCGTCCTGCAGCCCTTTCTCGAGATATCTCCTCGTATAATGGAGCAATGCAGCGTTTTCCACCTTCAGTCTTGAAATGTCGACCCAGTGCATCACTTCTAGCAAACTTCTTTCCGCAACCCCATTGCGTGCTGTCCTTGAGCTTGCCCAGACATACATATCGTTTTTTTCCGGTATGTAGATCCTCGTGGCGCTTACGATCGTGCTGCCGTGCGAAGGCTTTCCCACATATACCGCAGATGAATGGCCTCTCATCTGTATGAGTTCGCAGATGTGATTTGAGATTGTAAGGTCTCGTGAACTTTTTGTCACAAACATGGCAACAGTACACTGCTGGATTTTTTTGGGCGCCCTTCGACCACGTCGTATCATTCGGGTCAGCAGTCACAGCGCTTTCATTATCAGTAGATTCGTAGTCCACAGGGTCGTCCGTATGATCGTTGTAGGATTTCGAGGGTTTAAGAGCAGCCAGCTCCAATAGCTTTTCGCGGTCCTCGCTTAAGGAGCGCGCCTTTTCATCCACGGACAGACTTCTTCTGGAAGAGCTCGAACGCCGCGACTGTTGATTTGATTTGCGTCTAGCTTTACGACCCTGACGCATCAAGTCGTGTGCAGTTTCATCCTCACTTGTGCATGCGGCATCGTCTGGGTTCACGGAAAGAAAGTCCGTATTCTGTCGCGCTGTGTGGAAAGACATGGGGGATGACACATTGCTCAGTATATGATTTCCTCCTACATCTGCGGGTGAAAGAGCCTTGAACTCTTCGATAGATATTTGTGGCGTCAGAAAGTTGGTATTCACGACACTAGGGTTTCGAAGATCAACTTCTTTTGGAGCAAAAGTATTAGTGAAGTCGTCGAGAAGATTATCGGTTGGACTGAGAAAGTTGTCCGTGTTTTGCGCTGGCAAACTTTGTGCAAGGGGTTCATACTCCACGTCATAGAATGGGTCGTTGCCAGAATTTATGCTCAGAATTTCGTCGAGCTCATCGTCACCTGTAGTAAGCCTGGAGGCAGCTGGTGAGTGCGCCACATCGTGCTGCTGCCATCCACCAGATAAATAGCCATTATACGAGACAGCAGATTGCATTGAATGAATTGATGCAGATCGCGTTGACAAAGAATCCTCATGCGGATTTGGAGAGAGCATCGAAAGAGAGTTATTAAAACTCGTCGGCGACGATACTGCTGGTCGGTCAAGTTGGTGCTCGCCTTGTTGTGAGGCCAAAAAAGGAACAGGGTGTATCTCAACTCCAACACTGCCATATTTGCTAGTCAAGAGCGATTGTTGCTGTGCCTCGAAGTTAGCTGAGTCTTCTGGGCTCTGTTCTATTGTTATTGTTGGAGTTGCCAAATTAGACCCTATGGGGAAACCCTCAGGTGCTTCGTCGCTCATTGGCGACAAGAAAAAGCTTTCTGCCTCATTGGCCTGACTTTGAGACGTTCCTGGTAAATTTGCGAAGCCTACGTCCAGGCTCAAACGCGTATTTTTGCCGCCAAACTCTGGATTTGGGAATGAGCCTCTCTTTTGTGTTTCTTTGTTATCTTTTGGTCTCAAATTGTCACTATCGCTCTCATTTCTTTGTTGGTAGCTCAGAAACTGATTAAAGTCCATGTTGGTGACTTGAAACCCGTTCTTGGTAGCCTGTGTACTTGAGATTTCTCTTTCTACCTAAGTTCTTGGTTAGAACACATTTTTTTATATATATTAATTATATCGGGGTGAGCCTACTTCAAGAGATGGCTTATAAAAGAAAGAATTGGCCAAGACATAAGGCAGTAAGCAAAACCGGTCTTATAGTACAGTCATGTACCTCCTTGTTTGAGGTTCAGAGGAGTGTATCTTTGCCTTGTACTCGAAACCCTGAAAATTTCTATAACTCAATGATTTATAGCTTGGAACACCACGAGAACGAAACAGTGCGCCACACCTTGAGGTAATCAACTGACAATGTTAAGCTTGTCAAGCTGAGAGAGCTCCGAAAACTAGCCGTAGAGATAGCGCTTAATTACTACTTATTATGCGCGACATCTACATCTAATACGCAATGCCACACGTCAGGGGCGAACGTCTTTACCTTTTCAAGATGCGTTAAAGTATACTTAAATTGGGGCTTCACTTCTTGCAGATGCCGCAGAACGTTTCTGGAAAATTGACCACTGGCGATATCATTGACATGTATATTTTCATGAATATGTAGCGTTGTCACCGGAGAGACGCCGTATCTTTCCACAATTTCTAGTGCCCATGGGTAGCCTTGTATGCTGCTGGGTAGAAGTCCCAAGTTAATATGGCGGACGTGCACTGCATCATAATTGGCTAAGCGCTTCAGACAATTTTCATTTGATTCTTGGAATATATGGCAATTGGTAGTAAATTTATTAAGGATGGCACCACGTCTAAGACCCTCTGTGCTCCAAGGATTAAGCTCGAAACAAAAAGCTCTGCTGGCTTGGCGCTTAAGGTAGCTCAACGTGAAATATCCGATACCGGCATATAGGTCCACAACATCGTAACCTTCGATATCTGAGAAAGATTTCGGATCGAGAATACGCTTTTTCTCCTTTATATTACCGCGGCTGAACATTGTAAACACTGGAGACCATACTTGATGTATGCCGTTTTGTACCACATGGCACCACACAGAAGATTTGAAATCTTGCTGAGTGGGATGGTCCCAAGTTTGCTGCACAGCTTGTCCGTCGAATAAGACTCCCTCTAAAGATTCAATATGAAACGGCCTGCGCATGGCATCGTACTCCACAATAGGCCGATTTGTTGCCACATGAGTGAAGTTGGGAAACAATTGTGTAAGCATGGACTTCATGAAGTCTTTGTTTTGTGGTCGGCTAAGCGCCTCCCTCCAGTTTTCTTTCAAAAAACTGCGTTCCACGGAGTTGTTAAACAGCACGACGGGTTCGTATAACGAGTAACGTAGGGGCACATGTTTTAAGAGCACATCGATATCTTCTGAATCTGCGCCATTGATCTTCAGAAACCTCTCGGCAAACTTTGAAATGCGATCCAAACATATATCAGGAGTACCATCTTTGTATTCCCTCATTTCAACACCGTTGTACTGAGATAAGATATGTTTTATTGTAATATCATCCTTTGCTAAGCTCGTTCTAACGACTTTCAAGCCATTTTCATATCCAATTGGTCTCACATAAGCGCTTCGTTGCTCTAGAATGGTTTTGATTTGTTTCAAGCAGCCTACATCGGCGACCAGAAGCTCTGTTTTGCTCATTGTTCCGAGCACTTCACATCTTGAAGTAATGCTTTTTTTTAAAAGATGGATACTTAATTTTAACTCAATGTTATCTAGCGAAAACCATAAAGACACTAGCTTGGTCTAATTGCAAACCATGGCTAATACTACAACGCATTTTGAAAGTATGTTCGACAAGGGGGTGGTATTTGACATTGCTTCTTTACAGGAAAATACCCACTCTTGATGTTAACCATTGATCTCCGGGAATTTTACTAACCACAGAATTCAATTCGATGTACAGCCATATCAAGAAAGGATAAGAGACGGCACAACTTTGAATCGAAGGTCAGTAAAATAGCGCATAGCTTTGCTGTAGATAAAGACACACACTATCGTGATAGACTCACTTCTTTACAGACAACTCTGACGACTCTACATCAAGGAAATAGCAGCCAGTTCTTGCGACAGCTACGAGACCTGGAAGAAGAACGAGACTTTGAGCTAGTACGTCTTCGACTCTTTGAGGAGTACCGCGTCAACAGGTCGAGCATCGAGTTTCAGGAAGATATCGAAAAGACCAAAGTTGAACATGAAAAGATTATTAAATTGTGCAAGGAGAAGCTGTACGAGTCACTTGAAACCAAAGTGAAGAACCTTCAAGAGGAGCGGCTACTGATGGACGTAGCCAATGCCCACTCGTATTCTATGGACTATTCTCGCACCAAACTTCAAAAGGCAACCAGGAGTGCTACTGCTATCGCCTGGGATTCATCTGCAAACGAATTCGGGAAAGAGGCCTCGGCTAATGAAAGTGCGACTGACACTGGAACAGAGCGTCGGTCGCTGAGACGTCGTCTAGCCACTACTGCCACGTCCAGAGCCATGAGTGACGAACAAGACCCAATATCTACCAAAGAGTCACCTGCTCCTCTAAACGACCCTAGCGAAAGCTCAGATTCGATGTTTTTACAAGGTTTGAGTAGCTCTTCAGAGCTACATACACTTTTGTTTGGTGACAAAGAGCGCGAAAAGAAGAAGACAAGAGGTACCAATAGACTTTCAACCAAAGCGGCGCCACCGTTGCAATCTTTGAAGCAAGAAGAGGTTACGGAAGATATAGCGTTGATTAGGTCGCTTTCAGGTCAACCACCGGCACCATTCAAAAACTGATCATTTCAATATCCAAATTTGCGCGTTATAATCGAAGAGATCTTTTAGTCGTGTGATGCGACTACATGACTTTATCCAATTTCCACATGAATCCTGCAAACCATCATCATGTACCAAATTGTTACGGTTAGCTTCTAGAAGTACTGGGCATGGAACTCTTAAGGTCAAGTTGGTCTATTGAAATATGCAACCAAGGCGTTTTAGGGAAAGAATACGTTGGAAAATCTTGAAAGCGGCGGGTTTTTGCTGCATACTGGTCGTGATTTGGGCTCTGTTTGGAAAATGGACAGCGAGGTTGAGAGATGATTATTCCTACGCCCATGTTGACATTGGCACTGAAAGAGACGCTGTGTTTGTTGAGGGGTGTGTAGACCCTCAATCGTATCAGCAACAAGCTGGATATGTCCCTCAAAACGCGACATTTGTAATGCTGACGCGAAACGAAGAACTTAGCGGGGTCTTGAGCACGATCCATAGCATAGAGCGGCATTTCAATCAATGGTATCAATATCCATACGTATTCATTAATGACGAGTCTTTCACAGATGAATTTGTCCGGCAAGTCAAAGCCGCAACAAGGGCAGAAATTCGATTTGGTGTCTTGAGCGATCTCGAATGGGAGTTTCCTCCTGACGTGCGAGAGAAACTGGTTTTCAAAGAAAGTATCGAAAACCAAGGTGATCGTGGAATCATGTACGGTAGCTTGGAATCCTATCACAAAATGTGTCGATTTTATTCGGGTGCCTTTTACAAGCACCCGTTAGTTGCCCAATATGAATGGTATTGGAGGATAGAGCCTGATGTTGAGTTTTTCTGCGACTTGACATACGATCCCTTTTACGAGATGAGTCGTACAGGTAAAAAATATGGTTTTACAGTGTTTCTTGAAGAACTTTATTGGTCAGTACCAAATCTGTTTCGATATACTCGAAGCTTCATTCGTCAAAATCATATCCAGACAGGTAATCTCTGGCATCTTTTTGTGAAGGACTATAATATAGTTTCCGGCGATAGTGTCTTGGAAAGTTTTATTAACCATGAAGCTGAAATTGAATCAGAAGTTGTAACCCAGATGAAAATTCAAGCTTTGATGGATGCAGCTAAGAAAGACGGTTCCGATGATCTTGATAGCGAAGCACTTGAATTTTTGGTCGATCGTGCATTAAGGAGAGTACCTATTATTGAGGACAAATTTGACAACGAAGAATTCAACCTCTGCCATTTCTGGAGTAACTTCGAGATCGCCCGTGTTGACCTATTTAATAGCGGCTTATATGCCAAATTTTTTGAGTTTCTGGAAAAGAGTGGTGGATTTTGGACAGAAAGATGGGGAGATGCCCCGGTTCACTCCTTGGGACTAGGCTTGATGCTGGATGTCGAAGACGTTCACTACTTTCGCGATATTGGATATCAACACTCTACGATAATTCATTGCCCTATGAATAAAGCTGATGCGCAACTGCCATATGTTGAAAACCCTGATTATTCGAAAGTTTCCCAAGTTAACAATGATATGTACAAGATATTCAGCCACGTGACTAGGACGAAGGGACAGAACGAGGATGTCGGTGTTGGCTGTCGATGTGTTTGTCCGAAGGACGCAGATATTGAAGATTCAAATCAGTGTTTTGGCAAATGGTATGACATCACGAGGGACGACTATGAATCTCCCACTGCTCTGAAGCTTAACCTTGATTTAGAGGAGGACTAGTGAGGGGCTACAGCTGGATCCTTCGCCAAAACTTACGGGATTGACGTTTAGAGAGAGGGCACCAGCCAAAAAGTGATGAGGTTCCAATTAAATGAAGCGAGCACTAGACAATTGAAACTATTCCACATCTTGGTTTGGAACAGAGTGATCTTCTTGCTATTGTGCCTTCAGGGCGAGATATAAATCATGAACCGTGGTGATGCAAAGTAACGACTCAAGTTTGAAAGCACGTTTATGCATAGCAAAGGTTGTTACAGGTTGCCAATACTTTATAGAGCTCTAATATAGATTTACATACGTCAATTGGCACGGCAGCCTCCTGAAGTTGCTCAGGTCCACCAACGGCAGTACCTCACCAGCATGCTTTTGTTAGAATTTGTACCGTGTCATGGTAGTACACAGTGATATGGGGTGTTTTGCCAAATTGCAGCAAGCATCGCGCTGTCTCAACATTCGATAGGCTCTCTGATCAAAACACAGTATATATGTATCAGTTGCTAACGGCCGTCGGTTAATTGTTTCAAAACTGATGGTTTTCCAGCTAATTGGTATGATAAGCTCGACTTGAAAAAAACTTAGAAGTAAACCCCGTCCCAGCGTTTAGATACTCTTACTCAGCGTTGGTCACCACATCGCACACATCTAGTCGGACTCCAGTGGCATTATGCCAAAGGAATAAGATATCACTGTTCACGAATATTCTCCCATGACCTACCATTTCAAGCCCCGTTGCCAACCGAGCTGCAACCCCGACGCAAGCGTATAATTTAGAATACTCTGTTTCATTACTATATAATACAATCGAAATATAACCATACCTTATATCAATTTCCCAATCAACCTCCGAAACCGTACAAAGTTCTGCCTTGTCTCTTCAAAGCGTAAACAACGTCCAGGGAAGTAACAGTCTTTCTCTTTGCGTGTTCAGTGTAGGTAACAGCATCTCTGATCACGGACTCTAGGAACGACTTAAGCACAGCTCTGACCTCTTCGTAGATCAAACCGGAAATACGCTTGACACCGCCTCTTCTGGCCAGTCTTCTGATCGCAGGCTTGGTAATACCTTGAATGTTGTCTCTAAGAATCTTTCTGTGACGCTTAGCACCACCTTTACCTAGACCTTTACCACCTTTACCTCTACCAGACATGTTTTGATTGTTTTGTGATTGTTGATAGTTTATAATCAATAAGGGTCATTACTCATTCATCAAGAAATCTGCTCTTCTTTTATATGATTTTCAGCACAAGCATTCTCCTTTTTCTCTCAAGAAATCAGGATGTCCCTTTCAGTTTCTTGCGCCTTGGGTTTTCCCGTTTACTATGGCGTTTAGGCCATTTCCACCACAAGCGCGAAAAAAACTTAGAGAACTCGGCCTAAATTAATTATTGAGACACGCGAACTTTCTGGTCCGACATCGCTTGCTCTAAGCTGCGCAGGATCGTGAAGTTGGATAATCGCGCGAACTTCAGGGTCCGTGTTCCATATTGGGTAATTCTTTAAGTTTTTCATAATGTACTTTCCGGGCCGGTAGCCGGCCCCACTTTTGCACGCTTAAATACGGACCATCCAATAATCAATTTTCGTGGACCGGCAATGAAAGTACGGAAAACCACGGTAGCAGACCGGCTTGCCCAATAATGACAAGTCGTGCGCCAAACGAGGGGCAGTTTGAAGGGAGATAGTGGAAAAAAAATCAGGAAAAGAAAAAAAAACAGAGGCAAGACTTGAGCTCAGCAGTGTGTATATAAAGAGGAGGGGTGGAACCGTTTCCATACCTCAATTCCTAAAGTTCATTTACTTTAATCTACCAGTCCTCCATCCAATAATCACAATGGCCAGAACCAAGCAAACAGCAAGAAAGTCTACTGGTGGTAAAGCACCAAGAAAGCAATTGGCCTCCAAGGCAGCCAGAAAATCGGCACCATCCACCGGTGGTGTCAAGAAGCCTCACAGATATAAGCCAGGTACCGTCGCTCTAAGAGAAATCAGAAGATTCCAGAAATCTACCGAACTTTTGATCAGAAAGCTTCCTTTCCAAAGACTGGTGCGTGAAATCGCCCAGGACTTCAAAACCGACTTAAGATTCCAGTCTTCTGCCATCGGTGCCCTTCAAGAATCCGTCGAAGCCTACTTGGTTTCGTTGTTCGAAGACACCAACTTGGCTGCCATCCACGCTAAGCGTGTGACTATCCAAAAGAAGGACATCAAGTTGGCCAGAAGATTGAGAGGTGAAAGATCCTAGAGCAGGTCTCATCAGATGTGTATGTACAGTATGATAACGTCCAGGTAAGTAGATGAAACGTTTGCCGTGTAATATTTGAAAGAAAAACCATACCTTTACGAATTATAGCATGTCCAGGCATTTTTGCTATGGGAACTCGTCAGGGCCTTATGTGTGTCTCTTTCTCAAGTAAAAGTCAGATCACTGCGTTTGTCAAGAAAAAAAGGCCAGCTATTCGAATTTTACGGGCCTCATGGACTTTCTTAACGATTTAAGTGCTACTCCATACCTAGCGATGGCCAACTCACTCATGCTGTTGGCCACTCCTGTGGTTTCACCGGCAGTTTCGTCACCAATCGGAGTTGGCCAGTCCGGCTCTTCTCTAACACGATTCTGGTCCCGTCCCAAATTCGTGGGACCTTCTACCAAGACTGCGCTGTTATTCGGAGGCGCACAAGCTCTGGGCTCATGGATAATCTACGACGGGGACTTAGAGAGCGGTTCAGGTTTCCTAGGTGCCTGGTCCGCGCTGTACTTAATTGTTGGTGGTCGTGGCTCGGTCAAAGCCCTCAGATATGGCAGAGTGTGGCCTTTGGCGCTTTCTACTTTGGCGCTTGCCAATACTGCGTTTTATACCAAGAGATTTGTATCCGGTGGGTTTAAGTAGACGAACTAAGTAATATTACAAAGCGAATAAAGTCTCTTCTTCGTTATTCAGCCAATTCCAACCCGATCGCTTCCTTTCAGTCTATCTCGTTACCACTTGATGGGTAACCACTTCTTCTCGTGTGCAGTTTTTTTGATCTTTTCTTCATCATACATCTCAATAAATTGTTGGTCCAACGCTCTGGCTTTTGGAAACGCGAACCGTCGGTATTCGTCAAAAATCATTGTTAATGACCAGTTTTGCAATCTTCGAATGCACCCGACAAGGCATCCTGTGCGATGTTTTCCTCGATTGCAGTGTATCAGAATAGGGTGATTTTCTGGATTTATGGCTACCTCCAAAGCACTTGTTAGCAAGTCAGAGGGAATGTTGACAAAAGGTTCTTTATTGCCACTCATGCCAATTTGAAATAGCTTGATTTTGGCTTGAGACATAAAATCCAGGTTTTCCTGTGGATAATCTTCCGGTATAAGAACCATAATAGACTTAAGCTTTATGCTGTTCTGCAAAAACGGGAAGTTTTCCGGTCGCGGAAAACTTGACCGGTATATTTCGCCTACAATGTGGCTGAAATTTTCCGGTGGTATTACCTCCTCTTCGGTGTCTACGATTCTCAACTTTGCGTCCGACTTCACTCGATGCTCATCAGCATCGTATATATCATCAACGTCTTCTTCATTATTTTCCTGGCTCTTAGCATTGATGTCATTAGGATAGAACCTATCGAGAATTCTTTCAATGCGTTTCCTAAGCCCTGGATCTTCGTTTATCACTCGGTGTAGATTCAGCATGCCATTGTTCAAGCCCAATTTGGATTCTATTTCTTCGTCTTCTTGTTTCAGCAGTTTCAGTAAACTCTCTGGCTCATCTGCCGCTAAGCCTTCAAGTCTATCTCTGTAGCTCATACTCCCATTTGATGCACTCTCGAAAACTAGGTATTTATTCAATTTACCTTGTTTTCCTGATTTATCATTTCACTTATCTATATATCATAACTCATTCCTCTAAAGAAAAGAAGAGACAAACAAAACAGTTTTGAAAGAAACATATTCTCGTGATTTGATGGAGGCTAATGCAACCCGCTTTTCCTCAACAATAAACTTGGTGAAGACCATCGTGGGAGCTGGAATGCTGGCCATTCCATATGCTTTCAAAAGTGATGGTATCCTCGTAGGATCAATTTTGACGCTCATGGCAGCCCTTACCTCAGGATTTGGGCTCTTTGTGCTAGCAAAATCCTCAAAGACGCTGAAGGATCCAAGAAGCTCTTCCTTTTTTACCCTCTGCTCCATAACTTACCCAAACTTGTCCTTAATTTTTGATCTCTCCATGTTTGTTCAGTGTTATGGTGTGGGTTTGAGTTACTTGATCTTGATCGGCGATTTGTTTCCCGGACTAGTTGGGGGATCGCGTCGCGGCTGGATCATAGGAAGTGCTGTTGCTATTGTTCCGCTATTACTCCTCAAAAAATTGGACAGTCTCAAATACTCTAGTATCTTGGCGCTCTTTGCAGTTGCTTATTTGGTGTGTCTAATACTGGGATTCTTCGTGAGCGATGTACTTCTTACTGACAACTCCAGCGTTATTAGAGGGGACATCTCGTGGATACGAGTTTACGACTTAAAAGGTCTCGTTAGCACCTTTACCATTATCATATTTGCATTCACTGGATCTATGAATTTGTTCAGCATCATCAATGAGTTGAAGGACAATAGCATGAGCAATATTGATAAAGTCATTTCTAGGACGATGTTTATATCTTCGGTTCTGTTTTTGATCGTGGGAATTTGTGGGTACTTGACCTTTGGTAGTAACGTAATGGGAAACATTATGCTCAACTATGATCCGGAATCGAATTGGACGATAGCAGGAAAACTTTGCATGGGTTTCATGGTCGTATTGTCGTTCCCATTGCTGTTTCACCCTTGTCGTATTTCCGCTAACAACATGGTCCACTGGATTAATATTACGTACGGCAAATGCGAAGACCACCATATTCCACGCAATGAACACACGCACCCAACTTCACCAATATCAATGGTAGTTGAAGATGAAGAAGACAGGTTAATACTTGGAATGGAAAACGGATACCAATCTACCGCATGCCCAACTTCAGAACACGATTTGGAGGTGAACCGCGTAGCTAGACCCACAGAGTCAGTGCCTTTCTCTAACAAAAGTTTCTATATTATTACTGCGGTTCTTGTAAGCTCACTCTACGTCTTGGCCTTGAAGGTCACCTCTTTCGCGCTCGTGCTTGGTATAGTAGGCGCAACTGGTTCAACCTCGATATCTTTTACGCTACCGGGACTTTTCGGCTACAAGCTAATCGGATCAGAAGCTGCCAAAAATGGTCGGTTGATGTCAAAGTCTGATCGATTTTACAAATACTGCAGTCTCCTTTTGACAATCTACGGGCTTTTTATTATGTGCCTGTGTCTGTATGTAACATGTTATTTTGGTGCTTAATAGGAAGTTATGTCGACTGGACATTTTGATCATATAAAATTCCGTCGACATTTTACAAATAAGGAACAAGCCTCTCTTTCTGCCATAACATTCTAAACTATGTTTAGCTTCCTTTTCATTAATGCTAGTGTTGTCTATATATACCGCGGATTGAAAACCACTTTTCAAGTCAATACGCTATCAAAGTTCAAATTTCCATCTTGACCTGTGCTAATTTTAATTAATTGCTTTATCGGGAAGCAGAACAATTCGGCTCTATTCGCTGTCATCGGCGTCGCTTCTGACATCCTCGGCACTCCCACCTTTTATGATTTTTATCAACACTTTTACAATTAGAGCCATCCAGATAATGGTGATAACTTGTAGCCCTCCCAATAGCCATAAAAACACGTCAATGATGAAAGGTGTCCAACACCTCTTTTGATCAATGAAAGCCAAGCATTGCCCATTAGCCATAAGACCAGGAGCTTTAGTGCCGGCGTGGTAGAAAATATAGTTGTATGCAATGTGTCTGAGTAGAACCCAGAACACCAAAAAAATGGCAAACATGTAATCGCAGGCGGTTGAAAAGCCACAATATTTGAGCATCTTGGCACTAGACAAAAGCACATCTACAATGTCCATCATGATCAGTATAACGTGGCCGATACGGCTGAAGTAGTAGTAGTAAGATCCGAGTGTGAGTAGGCAAGTGATGATATGATGGGCGAACATTTGCCAGTGATCTTTCCGCCTCTCTTCCACATTCAAAACTAAAATCTGTTGGAGCCATGAGGCCATTTGCAGCAGGTAATATAGCTTGAAAGTGCCAGAAAGGCAGTCATGAGGCCACTCGAGATAAATGTGGTCACAGTTTAGAAAATATGGCGATTTGTAGTACAAATAAAAACCATAAGTCCATGAAAATGTGTAGTACGCAAGCGACCAGCCTTGTTCTGCATACCGCTGCTGTGACTTGTGTGTTCGAATGTGGAACTTGGTCAATGCTATAGGTTTAAGCACGTACTCCAAAAGGCAGGACCGGACGAGAACTAAGGCCACTATGCACGTGACAACGATGTAGGTGTCATCAATCCCGATATCGTATGCGTCCAGCTTGCCAGGATACTTGTATTGTAGCGACGTAAATTTGCGCGTGGCTTCCGGTTTAACCAAGCTTACCAAATACAGTAGTAAAAAGAACGTAGAGGACAGCAGAAATGAGTATTGATCCACTCGCGATGCACTCTTCTTTGGCCGACGTAGGGCATGTGTCTGTCTTCTCGATGATTTCTCTCTTCTGTTTTCAACATTATCTTCGTCATTTTTGCATGGCTTCGGCTCTACTGCAGAGCGCACACTGCGCTGCTTCATTTCACTACCCATCACCACAACTGGCAAAATCTCTAATCGGTCCTATAACTCTCGTTTTTTTAGAAAGCAAGGCCAATTAAACCTGGAATCCCAATGGCAATTTAGGGCAACAATTTCGCTGAGAAAAAGCGTCTTTGAATCTGGAAGGACCGAGTTTCTCTGTACTGACGATCGTCTAATTATGTATCCAGATCCCACCATCATTTTTTTTTCAAATGGTCTGGCTGAACTTTGTCGCGTGAGCTTGACTCGTGGTAAGCGAGCCAATGATTTGGAACGAGCGACAGATCAAGTGGGTAAGCATTTATTCTAACAGCCCCAAAAAAGAATGATATGAGCGTTGAACAGACATTTAGTCCATGCGATCTGACAACAGTAACGCATATTTTCTGTTTTGTTGATTTTTCGCGAATCAAGTAGTGCTTTCAACGGCTCACATAAAAACGGTGTCCAAAGAAAAAGGATTTCTTATTTTCTGGACATCTGCAACACCCCCGGATAGTTCGGCCCTCGACACTGGGACATTGCAGGGACTGTCCTCGAAGCATTTTCCTCAGCTTATGATTTCATCAATATGGTCACTTAAACAGTTCAATGAGATCAGGAAACTAAGATCGAGGGTCTTCAATAGTTGAACGTCATTTGTCATTCTTTATCATTCACCATTTCTCTATCAATGTGAATGAAAATATTGTGCAAGATTTGAGTTCAACTCTATTTTCGATTGACCACTGATTCGCTGCCATATTCTATTTTTAACATTTTACAGTCAAACAACCTTGCACAAAGTAGAGCTCTATTTCTTACCTCCTGACGTGGTCGCTCCAGCGTGCCTCCGAGATGATCTGTAAGTAGTCGGCGGTTGAGCTGTTTGCTTTATTTTCAAATCAACATTTTGCATTGTAGAATGGCGTCGACATTGCGCCTTTGGCCTGGTATCTCTCCAAATTCTCCAAGATATTATGCACAATGTTGGACTCTTGGCATCGAGGGAGTCAAAATGCGGCAAAATTTTGCGACCTAGTAAGTTACATCAAGTATGATCTCGAGCAGCAGTAAAATCATGTTGAGTATTCCTAGGCTATACCTTGCTTGAAACTCTCTTGTTAACTACCCTCTTCGCAGATATAAAGAGTGTAGTAGGAACTTGATCCAAGGTTCGTTGTACTTGTCCCAGCAATCATACAAGGCGATCAAATCCTGAATAGTGTTCATGACCTCTGCCAAATCGACATGTGATTCAGCCATGAACTTGTTAAACGTCTCCTGGTGAGCAGTCCGTTGCGGTCTTTGCAAACAAACAATAACAAACAAGCACGCCATCGCTATAACGTGTGGCGGGAAAATTAGGTGCACATCGGTGATGTAGCTATCATTAATCAAGGACCATGTGTTTTGTAGGTCGTCCGCGGAGAGCGTCAGAGCATAAGGCTCCAAGCGCAGCGCTTGTACAATTTGCTCCATAGAACGGTAGGGGTGGTGCACCACAAGATAGCTCTGGAGCTCTTCTAGCAAATAAAATTCGAATTCGGTAACCTTGGTTGGGTCCGGTGGTACAAACTCTGGCCATAATGATCGCGCTTCGTTCACTAAGGACCGAATGTGCTGTGGACACTCCTCTACTTTGCATGCCAGGTAAATACACGTAGTTACCAGCAAATACAGGTTGCACTCACGAACCGAAGCACGTAACATAAAGCGCGACAGATACACATGCGCTGTGGCAAGTGCGTATTGTCGAATGTTCATTCTGCGGCCTAGCTTCATGATCAAAAAATAGCAGTAAATCCTTAAATTAAAGTCTTTGCCGTAGCGCATATCTAGATTTGTAATTGGGATATTGCGAGTCACCGGCTCGCCAGATCCCTTGCTATTCTCCATTGTCACTGTCAAGCCTTGAGGAAACAGTTGGCATTCCAAAAGCCACAATTGGTGCCTCTCTGTGGACAGACTCTCCCTGGTGTGTTGCCATTTCAAACGTTGGGTCGATTCCCAGTAGCTAGCGGACATAAGTCCTTTACTTTTGCCTTGCTTACTACTACAAATCTTGCCCTTGGTACTGTAAAACCTTAAAGTTGTAGGATTGATATAGCATTACACACGATTTGAACTAATTAGCAGTGAACAAGTCGATACAACATAGATTAAATGTCTGGGGAAACAGCCTTCACGGCGCTTTTGACAAATGGTTTGTAATTTCTATGTTTCAAGTGGCCAATTTTGAGGCATTTGAGCTAGATATTTAGACTCTCACATTAGCTCAGCTTGTCTAAGCGTCAGATAGGTATCAAGCGATGAAACAATAGAATATAATATATACTGGGTAGTACGGAAGCATGAAAAACTAGTGTTCACACTGTTCACACTGTATTAACACCCTAAAAATATTCGAAAAGCATGTGGCTGGTCGCATAGCGTAATTCGTATTCGGTTTGCGTTCTTTCATATGAAGTTCAAAAAAAGACGCAGCGGAGCACTTTCTGCTCTTTGCAGTGTGCGGTCGACCCGCTTTGTAAGCGCATGGTCGGCGCTTAACAGAGATTATTTGTCGACTTCTGACGATGACACGCTGATGTAAAGTGACAATGCTCGTGCCATCAATCTCGAACATCACGGGCCCGTTTTCATTGCCAAGTTCATAGTGGACAGAGTTAGCAAAGTTATCCGATGATTATGTTGACATAAACACAACTAGTTTCATTGTGCCCAAGTGATGTGATTACAGTCAGGAACCGGGTTTGTTTTAGTTGTTCAATTTTACTCCTGAGGCATTGTTTTGTATGAATCACTTTGTACTATTATGTCACGGACTTTCAACATAACCACTATATGTAAGTCAATAACACACAGTACCTGTTTGAGCCCTTTGAACCACAAAGCTATAAAGGCCCGTATCCATTAGTCTTGTGCTTTTATTCAGGCCGAGAAATGGAGACTCATTATAAATCTGGAATTTTGTCAGGGAGTAGTCTCTATTATCTTTCCCCGTTGACCGGGTGGGCGTCTTTTGCTATGTGGTGGTAGCTGTGTCGTTATTTGCGGACCTCAGTATCCCATCGAGTTGTGTTACTAGTTATCTCCAGGATATACGCTAGCCTCGCGAAAATATCAAAAAGCGCTGGATAATTCTTAAGGTTATGGAGCAAGCTTAATCAAGATGGCATATTTTTTTCTGGCTAGACCCAATCCTACCTGGTTTTCATCCTCGAAGCCTTGAATGCTCTTCGTTTCTGTAAGCTTAACAGTTGTGCCCTGTTTTATTTGATTACGGCTTGGTCGGGTAAGCTTTAATTTTTTTCAGCATATAAAGCACAAAATTTGTCTCAACTGGCTAATCCTTTCACTGTTTATAAGACGCGGATTCATAGCTGAAGAATCGTCACTGATCGAAGCTTGCACAATGGACTTTGTTCCAGGTAATAATCCATAAGCTTTGGGTAGAAAGTCTCCCACCAGACCGTATGCGGAAAACGCAATGAGATTTAAAAATTTTTACAAAACGTTTAAATCAACTCATTAGAGCTGGGCTTCGGGAGAGGGAGGTGAGCGGCTCGATTCACTTATCGTCTTTTCCTGAGGTTCTTCATCTCCTGTCCCCTGGAATTCTAGGAATTTCGGTGGTGTCTTCGGTAAGGAAACCCATAAATGGGTTTTAAACCATAGTTATGACGATTGTGGCGGTGACTTTTCAGTCCCGCGATAACCCAATGGAGCTTACTTTTCTCTGCTCATGGATCCGCCACTTTTTTGTAGCAGTTTGAAACCGAGACATCAGTCTGCGCGTTTTTGCATAGTCATATATGCCAAACTGGGAAAACCCACCATATGCTCAGAAGAGCATGGTTAATATTAGTGGAATGTACTTGCGCGACAATTTTCTGATTTCCTTTTTCAATCAGGGACATTTTTCTCTCTACAGGATGATTATATTATGCAACATTGAGTCAAGCTCTGAGCTCCGCAAAGCGGGCGTGGACGAGAACTGCTTTAAAGTCTGAAACGAGAAAATTGTTTTTGAAGAAGGGAACATGAATTGAACAGTCAAGCCGTCCAAGTACGTTGGCATTAACATTAACAATCCGTGAGTAAAAGTAAACATTCTTAACCTGTACAACACCAGTAACATCTTGAAGTCTATAAAATTATTAAATCTGCCTAACCTTGCAAAAAAAGTCATTGATCTCATCATGAATTCTAACCGAAAAGCTCGGAGGCATAAATTGCCATAGTGCAAAAAATATTGCACCAATTCCAAAAACCCCACGAATCGACCACAATTTTTGTACTTTGCTCACTAGACCACGGAAAACAACCCCATAGACATAAATCGTTACTAATCTGGCCCGAGTATTGCAAGATCAAATGCGTATACATGGCAATCACGATGCAAGGACTGTACAAGTACAACATTCGCATAAACCGACGAGATCTACGCTTGTGTTTTTTCTGTAGCGCCGGTATTATTCTTGTGGCGGAATAGAAAATCAAAATTCGAAAGCATAAATTGATAACAACCGCGGGAGCAATAGCTTCCTTAGCCATACCCCATGTCAGATTAAAAACTTCTTGAATCGAACTTGGAACGCTCGAAGTAAAATGCTTTGCAAAATTCCACACGGGCTTTAGATGGTGCCACGAGACCCAAACTGCTGGGTGAGTTGAGTTAGAAGTAACATTAGTTGTATGTTCAAGAATAGCGTCCCAAACCATTTCACCATTGGTTAAAATTCGATCACGGTAGTAAGCCAGGAGGCTATCAGGAGACCGTAAGTTGTGGTTCTGATTTTGCCAAGTTTCTTTGACCAAGTTGAATATTTCATCCATCGCACTGGTCGCCAACTGAGGTGATATCTCGTACAGACACCGCACGATGTACGCGAAAAATAACGATGACTCAATCGTTGATCCGCGACCTGACACAATTCCGTAGATGCCTAGCCCGCAAACAATAGAAAATGTGAACCCTAATAGTGATGCGGTTTGAACATCTAGCTCCCAAATGGGTGTCACGTAAATCCGGTACAAATAATATAGTGCTGCCGTAATAACTCCTCCTGACGCCATGAGACCCGTTATCACCCAAGAATTGGAGTTAAGCTGGGTACGTGAAAGCCATCTGTTGGTCTCACCAACGGCTTGAATTCCCAGAACAGTAAAAAATCCTTCTAAAAGAGTGAAATACGGGGTCGACCTCAGTAGCATATATTGCCACGGGCGTACAACGTACTGGTAATAGTAATAGTAAAATATCCATGATTGTGTCTTAGTCGCGCTGCGAAGTAGGTTAACCAGAGACTCATCTGGCCTCGTGTTGGTGTCAATCTGTTTTTTGAGCTCGTCGTGGGAAAACCCAGACAGGAACAAAAACAAGAGTGATGGGATGAAAAAATGCTGTGCGTAGTATGCCACCGTTGCCAACTTCGCAAGACCACGCGCCCCAGCGGCTATCTTTAATGTAGTAGTCACCAAGTATAGGTTAAACAGTGTTACGGTGAAGGAAAGTCCGCAGTAAAGTCCTCCGACTTGGAACGATATCGGAATTGTAACGAGTATTAGCAGTAGATAGAAAGTAGTAAGCACCACCCTTGCGCTTTGTAATAGTCCCTTGGGAATCATTTTGTGTGAAGTTGTGCCGACTTCCAACCTTGAACGCCCACTGATAAAACGCTAAAACCAACGTGAAACAAGATAAAGTTGTCAGGTTTTCTGCTGGCAATTAAGTTAGAAAAAAAACTGTAGGCTATCAGACTGCACAATTGACGCTTCAAACCACCGCTCAAAAGATTACTGACACCGCTTTTGTAGCTCAATTATCCGCTTGTCTAGCTACGTTTTTGATAAAAGATCATTTAGCTTTAACATTGGAAAAAACCAACCCACTGAAGTTCATAACCGTTCGACTGCCCCGTATCGCAATATACGAGTTTTTACATGTAAACTGAGAAACAACTGACAGGACTAGCGGCAACGGCATCAATATAAGTGACAACTGTCCTCAAGTTTCTGGTAGCTTTGAATATCAAAATATTCAACTCTGCGATATTTGTGGTTCGTTTTCAAATTTGATTTTCCAACTTGATTTTCCAACCTGCAAAACTGAAGCTCTACAAAATTATTGTGGCACGCGGAGTTGTGAAGTGAATACACTCAAGAGTAGGAGTGTACGGTCTCGCTATTCTTATCGTATAGAGTGGAAAAGTACCAGTATATTCGTTGACTTTTCATATCACTCTATACTATTCTGTCGACGATAGAACATATTATAAGTAACGTTAGCGAGACCCAAGTTTATATCGGCTGCCAGAATGTCAATCTTTTGAGGTCAAATTATGAGAATTTAGTAACGCCCATTCTGCGTACCGTGAGCTATCAACACCTGCTATTTTTGAAACTTAATTCGTTTCCTTTCATGCTCTATATCCCGATCGCCGAATGAGTTATTCGACCTCCCTTTGACATGGGGTCATGCTCTGCAGAAGTTGGCCTGTTTGAGAGCTGAAACAGATTTTTAAATTGTTGTACGTTAACTGATCTTGCCCTACAGATGTGAGCTTTTTGGTATCTACTGTGCTAGTTAAGCTAGTTGTGGCAAAGAACAGGGCCGCCGACCTCATTGACTATTCAAAACCTCTGCGTTTGTCTTTATCTTCTTACTAAAAGGTTCACTTCTCGCGAAGTCTTGGAAATGAGACTATTGTAGCACATATTTCAACAGTACCTCCAAAGGATTATAACTGCTATACTACTGAGGTCCGTTAATCTTAAACGACACTCCAAAATATTTAGCTTCCCAAAGAGACACATACAATGATTATATCACACCTTGCCAGATGCGCGGCTATCGCGATACAATGATATTTGTTAGCAACTTCCTGGCCAACATCGTCAGCTACTTGAAACTTCATGAATTTTATAATACAGCGTTACAAATCTCGATAGCAGGACTTGAATAATGCAATCTGAGGAATTGAGTCTTTTTTTTGGTCATTTCAACTTCATTATAATCACTGCGACCCATGATGGTACCGCGTGCATCGGGCAGTAAATAAAGAATCAAGCCTTTCGAGTTCCAGCATGAAACCGTTTGGTTGTTGCTGGGAATTATGACATGCTATTGGCATTGGATTAATAGTGCTGTTAACATGGTTTAGTAGATTGCTTCAAATGAGGCTGTTCTGTCACTTTCAATGTCCTACTTAGCTTCTCTCACGTGCAATGCGCCCTCATCGATCATTGAAAATTCGAGATGAGCTTAACAGGAAAATTAACGATGAGCTCACAAGCAACAAAACTTGCCGTTAGGAAAATTAAGCGCCTTGATTATAGAGTAATGAGCAGTACAAAGCGATCCTCGAGCTTTGAAGCTCATTCCGAGCGACAAAAGCCTTCTAAAGGCGGGAGGAAACAAATGAGAACCATCCGGAAGGCATCGCCCAAGCAAAAGGACGACGATCTGGTTGAGGATAAACACGACAGTGAACAAAACGAAGCAAAAGACGATTTTTCAACAGAAATAATCAGTCGGGACCCTCGAGAAGAACCTGAAAAAACATCGGATCAAGGAGAGGCATATGCGGCCCTTTTGACGCTGTTAAAAGCTGAACATGGAAGTAAAAGAAGTGTTCCCAAGAAATCTGAGAAAGAAGCCGAGGCGGGATCTGAGGATGATGCGCAAGATTTAGAACCAGAGCATGGAGAAGAATATGAGGAAAGCGAAGAGGCCGCTATTGAACATGGCCTTTCTAACGAGAAGGAAGAAGATGAAGAAAATGAGGCCGAGGGCATTGAGGATGGCAGCATGGAGGATGAAGAAGACAAAGCGGACCCATTGGAAAAACACTTTAATTCAGTCTCGGAAAAAAATATTGATGAACTAGACGCAGCTTTCAAGTCCAGGACAATCCGTTATAGATCAACCAAACTTCCTGTGGACCAAAGTCAAGAATTCATTTACTCTCGTCCTACTTTACCTAATGATTCGTTGGTCGCTCCTCCTACGCGTAGTCAATCTCTGGACTCTTACTTCATTAAGCAAAGGTTGAAAATTCAAAACGATCTTATGGACTCCAACGGCGATAAATTGACACCACTGCAAAAACAAATTTTGGATCCAGTATTTCAGTATCAAGATTTGCTCTATGAGTATGATAACTATAACAAGGAATCTGAGTATCGCGATTTGTATACTCTTCACGTTTTAAACCACATCTATAAGACGAGAGACCGTATCTTGAAAAATAATCAACGTTTACAAGACAATCCGGACCAAGAGTTACTAGACCAAGGTTTTACTAGACCCAAGGTCTTGATTGTAGTCCCCACTAGAGATGTTGCACATCAGGTTCTCACAAAAATAATCGAAAAATCCGGCATCGATCAAGTTGACAAAAAAGGCAAATTCAAGGATCAATTTTACCAAAACTCCACAACTCCTAGCTACAAGCCAAAGTCCTTCAAACATGTCTTCCAAGGCAATACCAATGATTTTTTTGTTATCGGAGCAAAATTCACAAGAAAAGCCATCAAGCTGTACAGTAATTTCTATCAGTCTGATATTATCATTTGCTCTCCACTTGGTATTCAACTAATTTTGGAAAACACAGATAAGAAAAAACGGCAGGATGACTTTTTATCATCCATCGAGCTTTTGGTGATAGATCAGCTGCATAGTATCGAGTTTCAAAACGTCTTGCACTTGTCTTCCATATTTGAGCACTTGAATAAGATCCCACAACAACAGCATGATGCTGACTTCAGTAGAATCAAGATGTGGTATATTAACGATCAGGCCAAACTTCTACGTCAAACCCTCATTTTCACGCGTCATTCTTCTCCGTTTGCTAATTCCTTGATCAACGGGAAATGTAAGAACTATGCTGGCAGATGGAAGAATCATTCAATAGTCAGCTCTGATAAGTCTAGTTTGGGTCAGTTAGGTATGCGCACGCGCTTGGTGTTTCAGAGGTTCGACCTGGCGGGAAATTCTGCCATTGATGAACCAGATTACCGTTTCAAGCATTTCTGTAGTGTGATTGTTCCCAACATTGTGAAATCAACAGGCTATGAAGATGGTATTCTACTATACATCCCCGATTACACAGATTTTATTCGGGTTCGGAATTATATGCGGGAGAAGACTAGCATCTTGTTTGGAGATATCAATGAATATTCAGAACAAAGACAGCTAAATGCTAACAGATCATTATTTCAGCAAGGTCGGATCAAAGTTATGCTGTACACCGAGAGATTGCATCACTTCCGGAGATACGAAATCAAGGGTGTCAAAACTGTTATATTTTATAAGCCGCCTTCTAATCCGGAGTTTTTTGAGGAGACAGTGCGTTATTTGGGTAAAAGCGCATTCTTGGGTGTTGCAGATCTGAACATATCGGTAGTAAGGTGCTTGTATTCTAAATTGGACGGACTCGCGTTGGAGAAGATCGTTGGTACGGAGAGGGCTGCTGTGCTTACGCGCGGACCGAACGAAACGTATGAATTTAAGTAAATATAATTCTACTCGTGTGATAATTTTAACTACCAGACAGATCTCAATGTCAGTTTCTCACTTTGAAACAATAAATTCATGGGGAGAAGCTGTGGGTTTTGAAATAAATATTCTATTAACGCATCTCCCTTGCACCAGCCATATCATTGAAGCGAGGCCATCAGTTTGAATCCTTTTCGTTTCTCGCAGTTGACATTCATTCACATTAATTATTATGCTATTATATAGGATTCAGGTTTGAAACTGATTCACCGCCATGACTATACAGGCGACGCTAACATAGGGGCTAGCTCTTTCGCCAATACGTGCACATTTCCAGAAAGCGCCCAACATACTGTGATCTTTATATCTATCCAGCAGCGAAGGCCATTGAGAGTGGATGTAAGTGCATGAGCAAACCAGCAAAAGCAGCACTTGTAAAAGTGCCTGAAAATTGAAAAGAGCGCTCATATGAACTTATTTTGATAATACTCAACAACAGTGGCTGAATAGCAGGTGGCAGGAGGCGTGTAGATAGCTAGCTACCTTCTTCGTAAGGGTTGTTAGTGAATACGATTGCAATATCTGTTATTTTGAATAATTAGTTTTCAGTACTCACGAATACCACAAATAATGGCGAATGCAAAGTACAGGTAAAATGTATCACCACAAGGCATGCCGACTTTGACTGATCGATCTCTGTCAGCGTAGATATATAAGGGGGAGCAAGTTCGTCTGAATCAACGATAATGATCGGAAGAAGCACTACCGCATATTCTTGAAATTTGACACAGTCAAAACATTACGTTTCCATAGTAGTCATATTCCAGGTTCGCATCATTGTATCCTAAGCACCGCATCTAACTGTTATCTTTGATTGCCCAGAGGTAAAGCATGCAAAGTAACCGCGGCTTTTTAGCTCATCATCGCGAATACTACGACATTTCGCGAAAACATCGAGAAAGAAACCTCAAGCTTTATGAGAAGAACACATTCTCAAAGCATAAGAACTCAGCGCTTCATTGCGTCTAACAAAGCTTTCGATTTGATTAATTGCCCAAATCTTTGGTATTGGTGTTCCTCGTGACCTTGAATTCTCAGAAAATTTTGACACACTTGAGTAGAGTGAGATCATACATATCGTCACGGTAATCCAGTGTGTAGATTAGCCTTTCTGGATTTACCTCCCTTCCAAACACATCATGAAGGTGCAGCAAAACGCAGTGAATGTTTTGGAACGTACTTCGTCGTATTTGAAAGCGGGGCTGTTAAAAAACACCCCAGCTTGGTACAATGTGGTTGCTGATGTTCCGCCTTCCAAACGTTTTGTACGCGAACCTCGTTTGGTGAATCCCGCTAATGGTTTGAGAACAGCTCATCTGTCTGATTTTGACGAAGCCTTCAATTCTCAAAGCGGGGCGTACAAGACTCGAGCCAGTCGTGCAGACAAGCAGGGATCTGGAAATAAGCTGTATAAGGCACCAAAACTGAAATATGCCGAGGACAAGCTACGCGAATTGTTTTATGAACAGCACCCATGGGAACGCTCAAGGCCTAAGATGCTTGTGGAAAATACGGGTGTGCAAAACTATGACTGGAGCACTCTTCATCAGTTGGGAAAACCTTTAGACGGCGAAAGCGTTGTTCAAAGAACGCTGCATCTCTTACAGACCAAAACTCACAGCGAGCTTCTGGCAGCATACGAACAGGCGAGGTTCGAATTCTATCGTCTGAGAATACAAGAAGAAGTACAAACGCAGGTGGCCCAAGAAGAGGCAGAAATGTTTGGTAGTGTTTTCGGACCTTCTGCTATAGACTTTGGTTTACAGAAAGAACAAAAAATCATTGATATCTGGAAACAAAAGGCCATTGACCAATCCGAACTTCTTTCAGCTAGAAATTCCAACCCTGCTGAGTCGTGGTCCAGCTCTCAAACGCAGTCAGACGCTGATTCGAAGACACCAGAGAAGCAAGAAATACAACTGTGAGTTCGGGTTCGGAAGATAAAGTATGAAATCACTATACTCTTTACATGTAAATATAAGGTGACAAGACTTAGTTGAGCTATTTTGTTAAGGATCTAATTTTGGATGCGAATCATTTGGAATAGGTGAGTTCGTTGCTTCAAATAGTGCTCATATCGAGCAAAGTCTTTAATCGTTACCACCACAAAATTCTTGCGTATCTGACGGAAGAAGTTTTTATCTGCCTTTCTTCGCTTTTTATAAGACATCAGCACTGTGGGTGGATTAGAACCTTCCGTCAGATCTAGCAGCGTCTTTTCTAAAAGTGGGAAAGCTGTTTCTAGGTAGACACAGTCTGCAGCTAATATCAAGTCAATTTTTTTTTTAGCGTCTGCTTCGAACTTTCCAGTCAAAGGTTGTCCCCACATCAAAATTTCGGGAAATACGAACTGATCCAAGTTATTTAATCTTACATTCGCATCCATGAGTTCCAGTAATTTCTCTATGTCGGTAGTATAAACTTTGGCATCAATTTCCTTAGATCTGGCTAAAAAACCTGCACATAAGCCTACGAGTCCGGTACCGCTACCCAGTTCCAATATATTGCAAAAAGGTTCTTCAACGTTGAGTTTATCCTTACTCATTGACAAGATACCTTCAGTGTTGCTTTTCTCTATCAAATAATCACATAGAAGCTCTCCAGCTATCCACACTTTACCTCCACATCCATTCTCACCTCCATCTTCATGAACCTTGAGTGGAGGTTCGATTTTGCCGCCAAATGAAAGGTCCGAATTACCTAAGTGTTCTACTGGCCTCGATGGCACCAGGTCACCAAACAAGGCCGTAAAGTCGAGTAATTCTGTCATTATTAGAAATGATTAGATTTAAGTAATAGGGTTAAAGTTTTATGTCCTTATATAATTTCCATCCGACAACTCTGGCGACAGTAAACAAAAAAATGATAGCGCGAAACCGTCATGAGCCCCCGTAAGCGCCGTCACACGACAAGAGTAGAAACGTAGCTAGAATTCGTCTTCTTTTCATAACTGAAATTTGCATTCTATTCATAACTAGAATCTGTTCAATAAAATTAGTCCACATCAGGGTTACTGCTCGCAGAAACCTGGGATTCAAGTACTTGGGCAACTTGACAAGGTTTGACAACTTCAGCGAGAAAATGGTCCTTGGCAAAAAGATTCAAATGACCAACTATGCGGTTGATATCAGATTCAACATTTACACTAGCTTGCTCGTAATTTTCGGTACAAATTAAAATATCGCCCGAGCTTAATCTTGTGTAACGTGGCTCTTTAAGTAGCGTGTGCTTCAAGATTTCCTGAAACTGAATCTCGATGGCCTTTTCGTCAACCCCAGGAAAAACCTCTTCTACCAATAGACCATTGACTTTTGCTACCGGTAAGTTTAGTGCATCTTCGTTAACAGAATAATTGAAGAGTCTTGTTGTTGTGGATCTTTCCAATTCTTTCAGCTTGCGTTCCTTCTGAGAAGCTTTAAATAATTGGTACAAGGGCAAAGCTTCTTGTAACGACAGCGAAGGGTTCGCGGAGTTAGCAGTTTTTTTCACAAAACACGATCTCTTAGGTTCTTGATCCTGAGACTCACAATACAGACTGTAAGCTTGCGCAAGTTCATGAATAAAATGACGCTGAGGTGGTCTCATGGGTTTGAAGTGTAAACTTGACTTGCTTTTGTCATCTATCAGTCTTTTCAGAATGCCTTCAATCTGATTACACCAGGTAATTTGCTTCGCGTAAATCGATATTGATGCTTCGCTAAATGGCAGCATCAGTTCCTGAAACGTCGATACCTTTTCAGCTAAGGTCTCAAAATTTTCCAATTTATCTTGTTCTTGAGACTCTTCACCTTTGATACCGAAGGCTTCCATTAATTCTGCATGTCTTCGAGCAATTTCACATTCGTCGGTACAGCTCAAAGTACGTTCAATTACAGGCCCTTCGCCAGTGTGAGCCCCACATGGCACCACTGCAGTTCGGCGTTCACAGGGACAGGTAATCGTGATATTAGCCGAACATGGCCCGTCTGGGCATGGAGCACCAGGGTGACACTTAAACCTGCACCGATGGCCACATGCTGGTTTAATTGCGCCACATACCTGCTTACATTCAAGCTGACAGTCTCCATCTTCATGGCAAGTTCGTTGACAAGTATGGGAACAGCTGGGCAATTTTTTGCCACAGACGCGGCCACAGGAGACGTTATTTTGAAAGCACAAAGTTCGAACTTTATCGTTCTTTCCGCACTTACACTTTTTGAAGACAGGTGCTGTACATGATGGACATGCTTCGTTTAGCGGATGACAAGGGTGAGGCATCGGTGGATGACCGCATTCCAGGGGCCCTTGAAGGGTTTTTATGCAAGGGTGCAAGCAGCGCGGAAGGGAGGTGCCACAACGTACGGGGGCAGGGACCACTGTTTTTCCACAAGGACAGACTAGATCATTTGAATCACTTTCAAGACATGGAGGGCAGCTCCCAGGATGACATTTTCTTTGACAAAAATGTCTCCCACATTTTAATTTGAGATTGCATTGCTTCAAGCAGATATGTTGAGCTTCCACAAGCGACTCATCTAACTTGTCGCGCGTCAGAAATACTTTTTTCTCTCGTTTGCTGGCGAGACTTCTACCTTCGCAACACCTCTCTATGCATCGATGGCGGCGGCATGACATCAAAGATTCGCATTTAGTACCGCACTTAGCGCGCTCGTTAAACTTGCAAGGCACCAGGAAACTTTTAGCATGGCAAGAACAATTTACCTTATCAAGACATACGCAGTCCTGCATACAGGCACCTGTGTGACATTGAAATGGGCAGTAGTGTTTCCCACATTTCAGACGTTTTCCGCAAACAGAGTCACACGTTGGGATAGGATCAGTGCAATTCAGGCGAGTGGTGTTCATTTCGCCAAGTGGATTTCTACCACACGGGCAGGTTTTCAGGAATTTGGGCGAGAATGGGCATGCAACTTTGTTATTCAGCGTCGGAGGTGCTATACAGGACTCGGTGAATGAGTGCTGTCCGCACGAGTATTCAACTGTACGCATTGTTTCACAGGGAAAGGCGCCTATCCATTTCTGCTGAGATTCGTCTTGGGACCGGCCCTGAATGACAACGTCCTTGCAAAATATCGAATTCTTCAAACTCGATCCGCAATAGCATTTGACTTCGTTATCTATATTTTCCGGACACTCTCCGCATAGCCCTGCATGACACTCTTGTTGACATTCGTGAATGCCACACGGTAGCAAAAGACCACAACGTTCCTTACAGCGAAACGATTCTCTATGCTCGGAAGCCTCGGAACAGAAAACTTCTTTTGATTGCTTCCCACATAAACACTTACTCTCGACCATCCGCATACAAGTCGGATGGGGTCCTAGATGGCAGGTTCTAGAACAACCATGAACACAGATCGGGGCATCGCAAGTTTGACCGCAACTGTTGGGATCTAGCGGATTAGCCTCTGGATGAACGGTTTTACCGCACCAGCATGTTTGTCGATTCTTTAATGGTACCTCTCGTTTTTCAAAGTAGCAATTTGGACACTTCCATGTGTTGCTGATACTTTTTTGAGTGGACTTGACGGCCCATTCTCGTATACATTCATAGTCAAAGACACGATAGCATTCAGGACATGCGTACATGTGGCACGTAAAGTCCATCTCGACTGTGCAAATCATGCAGGGATAGATGTCACCTCTAGCGATCTCAGTGCAGAGCTTTTTCATAATACGGTTCATCTCCCAGGTTGTCGAGCTCTTCCAGCGCATCTAACTCATCCAGCAATTCAGCTTCTTCGGAATTTTCGGAAGCAACGGGCGAAACCGCATCAACGACCACATATTCGTTGTCGATAGATGAAGATTTAGGCATAGTATGTTTAAAAGATACGTTGAGCTGCTAAGTCTTCACTGCTATGCTTATAAGCTTTTCATCAACCAGATCATAAGATATAGCACGTGAATTTCGTGTGACTATAATGTTAAAGCTGAGAGAGTCGAGCTATATCAATCGATGAGGTCCACGAATTATCTGGCTATTGTACAGCATTCAATGCGGACGATTTGCGAGCACTGTGTTGCCAATTTCAATTTGTGGTACAGCTACATCGTTGCTGGAAAGAAGGCTCCGCTCAAAGAACATGAAAACTCGACGCGTGGGTTGTTCCTGACTTCGCAGGGGACAAGAAGCAAGTACCTCTTTTGAGACTAAACTACTATAGTAAGGCATTTCTCCACTTTCATGTTACGAAGTGAGAGGATGCAGGGGAATAAGAATCGCACTTTCCCGTGGCCTGTCTCCGTAAAGTACCTAGTATGAATTCGGCGATACGCTAGCTTCCCCCGTGGCTCTGCAAGACGAAACGAGCTATTTATTTTGGTGGTTGAGCTTTCGGTATTAGCCAATTATTGTACTCGAGCATTTTTGATAAAAAGCACCCCCCCCCAGTTTTGGCTACACTCATGAGAATGCGTATAAGTTGCAGGTGCGGTAACGAGATACACGCCCTTTTTTGAGTACTCTCCTAGGCCACTGCGGCTCACTATGTTGAGCATGTTAGCACAGCAGAACAGCGTTTGTCATTTTGTACCAACGTGTCGTTCTCAAAGGTGGTGCAATTTTTTTAATTTGGTCTTACCTTCTCCTTTGAAGAATTTGCAAGAAGCCGCCTGCCGTATTCTTAATGCTTTCAACTCCACAAATCTAAGAGGGCACATTATTTGGACTATCTGCGAGCATGTGCAACTTTTCGAAACCAACTACTTGCTAATTTTGTACTGTCCACGGATTTTGTCTCGACACGGTCGTCGCATGAACGCTGGAAAAATTGGTATCCTCAAACACCTCGGCAGAGCTAACTTAATTCCACGGGAAATGTCTTTTACAAAGAGACTTCCAATTCGCATATTATGAATCTCACAACCATGGGCACAAGCCCGTGTGTAGTGCTAATGTGCATCTGATTTTTCATTTCAACTATGGCACCCGCTGATCTGACGATAAGATATATCATGAACAATTCATGATTGACTAATTAACCAACTTCATATCTAAAAGAAGTACCCATTCATTATGTTAAGAGCGTCTTTCAGCCAATTGGCCCGTCGTGCCTATACTAGCTCCGCGAAACCTTTGACCATCGGTTTGATTCCTGGTGACGGTATCGGAAAAGAAGTTATCCCAGCGGGTAAGTTGGTTCTGGAAAATCTTTCCAGCAAGCACGGCTTGAAATTTGACTTTGTGGACCTACAAGCTGGCTGGCAGACTTTCTTGGATACCGGTAAAGCATTGCCAGATGAGACAATTGAAATTTTAAAGAACGACTGCCAAGGTGCCTTGTTTGGTGCTGTTCAATCACCCACAAACAAAGTGGAAGGTTACTCGTCTCCCATCGTGGCACTAAGAAAGCAATTGGGTCTTTATGCCAATGTTCGTCCTGTCAAGTCTGTAAAGGGTACCAAAGATAAACCTGTGGATATGGTGATTGTTCGTGAAAATACCGAGGACCTGTACATCAAAACCGAGAGATCGTACATTGACGAAAAAACTGGCACTCGCGTTGCTGAAGCCATCAAAAGAATTTCAGAAACCGCCACCAGAAACATTGCCAACATCGCTTTAGAGATTGCTTTGCAAAGACAGAAAATAAACGGCAAAGCGACTTTGACCGTGACTCACAAATCCAATGTCTTGTCACAAAGTGACGGTTTGTTCAGAGAAGTTTGCAGAGAAGTTTACGAGGCTAACAAGGACAAATACGGCGTTGTTAACTACAATGAGCAGATTGTTGACTCCATGGTCTACAGAATGTTCAGAGAGCCAGAATGCTTCGATGTTATTGTCGCTCCAAACTTGTACGGTGACATCTTGTCCGATGGTGCTGCTGCTTTAGTTGGATCTTTGGGTGTTGTTCCAAGTGCTAATGTCGGTTTCGACTTTGTTGTCGGTGAACCATGCCACGGATCCGCTCCTGATATCGCTGGTAAAGGAATTTCCAACCCTATTGCTACAATCAGATCAACTGCCCTATTGTTGGAGTTCATGGGCCATCCAGAAGCGGCACAGGACATTCACAGAGCCGTGGATGCCAATTTACGTGAACAATCCATCATGACCCCAGATTTGGGTGGTAAGTCTTCTACTCAGCAGGTTGTTGACGATGTCTTATCTAAGATGTAAATATAAACGTTAGTATAATATTACGCCACAATGTTTCAATCACGCTCGAAGCATACTGCAAAAAAGCCGATTCCGCCATCTTCCTTTGGAAGCACCCTAATGCATCCTTCTGCCAAATCCTGCGCCACTTCTTTGTCATGGAAGACTTCTTCAAACTCATTCAAAAGTCCTCTTCTTGGCCACGCAGGAAGTACACCAGCTCTTTTTCTTACACGCCACCCCGACTCTTTGACCTTAGCGTCTAAAAGCAAGTCAATAACGATGCGTTCGTTTTCCTCGGCATGCACTGAGCAAGTGCTGTATACAAGTTTTTTGGCACTGGGGAAAGAAAGAGCATATCTCACAATTTCAAATTGAAAAGAAGAAAGTTTGGCTAGCCTGTTCTTGAGATCCTCGTCTTTTATGTCTTCATGCTCCTCTTCTTGTTCTGACGCTACAACGTTGGTCTCTTCTTTGCTTTTGTTGTGCTCATCCATAACTTTCCTTCCAAAGATGCCACTCCCAGAGCAACTTGGGTCCATAATAAATCCTGTAACGTTCGGGAAAGCAGATGGTTTAGCGATTTTCGTAAAATCACCAACATGAACATCAATACCCTTCGTGCATCCTGCTGCTTTGATCATAGTGCGCAAAGTCTTGGCTCTTTCGGGATCTTTCTCGAATGCGTGAATGCGTACTTCTTCAGGTTCCTGATCCTGGAAGATATGTGCTGCAACATGCGTGGTCTTATTACCAGGAGCCGCGCATGCGTCAATTATTACGTCGGATTGATTCGGGTTCAAAATATGCGCTGGGAAACACGAGGCACGATCTTGAATGATGATTTTTCCAGTTCTGTACAGCTCATGCGAGGTAATTTTGTCTCCCGGATGCACACCGAAAAGGTTAGGAACGTATTCATCGTGATAAATCGTGCCAGGTATGATTTCGCTCCAAGATGAAACTCTCGTTGGAAATTTTTTCTCTAATTCTGCTAGAACCTCTTTCATCTTATCGCGGGTTCGTACTGGATTGATCCGAATCCATCTCACAGGAGTAATATCAGCAGAGTCGTCTTTGATTAATTGTTTGACGTCAGTGACCTTTAGCTTGAGCTTAAGACGTACCAGCTCGCTATTCAAACGGGTTTTATGTTTTAATACAAATTCTTTAATTGGGTGTTTACCCATCTGAATTCGCTTGCTCTTGGAGAAGAGGAGGTCGTGAACTAGCAATTTGATCGTGATCTTACTGAAGGCCGGCTGTCCTTTCTTGTTTGGAATGTCTTTCAAGATCCCCGAGCGCTTAAGCACAGTATCGAGAAATTCTCTATGAAGCCAGCAAGAGCTTACCGCAGCGTAGATGTGTTTGGGATTTGTCTTTAGGTTATACTTCTTACAAGAATTCAGCACTAAGGTTTGCAATGAGCCAGCAACTCGACCTTCTGTTTCCACTTTTTCCACATACTCTAGCACCCACGTCGCATCACGGTAAAAGTTCATCCCCCTAGTAAAGACTCAAAGCTCTAAATTCTTGTTTTCTCTTCTGCAAATGCTTCTTCGGTTGAGCGATGAGCTTGAACAAAAAATGTGCACGAAATTTAGGAAAAATGTCTACAGTGTGACGGGCAGAGAAATAATGATCTGAAAATTCAGCGTCACTCATTGAGAACAAATAAAGAACTTTAGTTTATTTATTATTACCATTCTCTACCTTACTTTGGTTCTCGTTCTGTTTTGTAAACCAAATGAGGAACAGTTTGACGGGTGTGATCTCTTCCACAGACAGACGTGGAAGGGCATGATAAAATTGCACCGAATTAATTGATTCGTAAACAGTAAGATTACTCATTAGTGTGATCTGTTCCATAAATATCATTAGCCTTTCGACCTTTGAGATTGATTTCAAGGCAAGTCGGTATAAACAATCAGGAAGTGTGCACTTAGCAACCCTCTCTCGGAATCAGTTGAAGACTTGACCTTTGATTCTCTTTCTACTAGGAAGAGCAACAAGATATTCGGGTTCAATGTTTTTCCTGCTGTTGTCAAATCCGCACGTATTGTAAGAATATGATAATCAAGCTCTATTTATTGAACCGGGTCTTGGTGATTAAAGGCCTGTTGGCATACATAGTAAACCATTGCATAGCTCTGCGTCCTTCGTCTTTTTTGAGTCATCATTCTTTGACCTGTTGCGGACAATTATTCATATAGGATACTCACTTTGAAATTCAGAGTGATAAAGCTCGTTGCGTCGATAACTTTCCTAGACTTTCTATTTGTACAACAATTATCTACAGCATACAGGTACCATATCTAGCTCATGGTAGCAAGCTTTAAGACATTCACGAGAATGATGTTACACTTGGGATCATCTCATTAAGGAAATGTTTTTGAATACGTCAACTTGATGCATCACCAAGTTCATGAAAAGCTTTTAAAGAGTTCTCTAAAACTCAAGAACTGGAAGGTTTAAAATTTATTTGACACTCACCGAATTGAGTCCAGATGCTTTACAGTATAACAATCATAGCTAAAGCCAAGCTAAGTGTTATTCTTTTTCGAGCAGTTCTAGCGAAGTTCTAGTGAAGGTCAGCATTCTTCCGACGATTTCAGGATTTTTACATCATTACTGCAATTCGCACTATTAATTTCTTGATCAATGTATTGCAACTTCGAAGTACTTATCTTTTGTCGTCTTGTTGTTCATCACTTGTTCACCTACAGGTTTCTCTTCAACATTCGTTTTTTTTTCTAATCAAAATTCCGAATCTCGACACAACTTGTGGATCTTCAAAAGTAACTGACTTCATAGGTTTGCAATTCAATTGCTGCCGCTTTCCATTCAAAGTGCTTATTTAAATGACAGAAACTGTCGGAAACGAAGCGGTTTTGAAAACTCAGAATTCACTTAAAAGATCAATCGATGATGGTGTGGACAAAACTGATTCCCCATCAACGGCTGTGAAAAGGCCTGTAATCGTACCAGCTTGCCGGCCAAGACTGCAGTATACCCCCTTGAAAACTGGCCTATGCTACGATGTCAGAATGCGCTACCATGCCAAGATCTTCACTTCGTACTTTGAATACATCGACCCGCACCCAGAAGATCCTAGACGTATCTACAGAATCTACAAAATCCTGGCAGAAAATGGGCTTGTCAATGATCCGACGCTGAGTGGCGTTGATGATATTGGTGACTTGATGCTAAAAATTCCAGTACGGGAGGCGACCGATGCAGAAATTCTACAGGTGCACACAAAAGAACACCTGGATTTTCTGTCTCGAACTCCACAAATGACGAGGGACCAGCTCCTCAAGGAGACAGAGAAGGGCGATTCTGTTTATTTCAATAACGACTCATTTTTGAGTGCCAAACTATCGTGTGGAGGAGCAATAGAAGCGTGCAAGGCAGTTGTAGAGGGTCGTGTAAAAAACGCGTTAGCCGTGGTACGGCCACCAGGCCATCATGCTGAGCCTGAACTTGCCGGAGGATTTTGTCTTTTCAGCAATGTGGCCGTAGCAGCCCAAAATATGCTCAAGAACTACCCTGAAAGTGTGCGCAAAATCATGGTTCTTGATTGGGACGTACATCATGGAAATGGAACTCAGAAGGCCTTCTACAATGATGACAGAGTGCTCTACATTTCTCTCCATAGGCACGAGCCAGGAAAATACTATCCAGGAACTATACACGGAAACTACGATCGCATTGGAGAGGGAAAGGGTGAAGGATTCAATTGCAACATACCCTGGCCATGTGGAGGTTTGGGAGATGCAGAATATTTATGGGCGTTTGAGCAAGTGGTAATGCCCATGAGTCGTGAATTCCAGCCTGATCTTGTAATCATATCTTCGGGTTTTGATGCGGCTGATGGTGACACTATTGGTCAGTGCCACGTAACTCCTAGCTGTTACGGTCATATGACGCACATGCTCAAGTCTTTGGCCAAAGGCAACTTATGCGTTGTGCTGGAAGGAGGATATAGCCTAGATTCCATTGCCAAGAGCGCACTAGGAGTTGCCAAAGTACTCATAGGCGAGCCGCCTGACGAATTGCCTGTGATTAAGCAACCAAAATCTGAAGCTGTTGAAATCATTGACACCGTCATCCGAACTCAGTCCAAATATTGGAAATGTTTCAAAAGTACACATGCTAATGACGGTTGCTCTTTTAAGCAAAAGGTGACCAATACTATAATAAACAAGAACTTTCCGCTGCAGAGCGCCATACGTCAGCAACAAATGCGCCATTTAACAAGCGAATTTAGCTTTGTCACCTTACCTCTTTTCAAAATGGATCTTCCTGATGACACCGTGATATGCTCACCAAATATTTACGATTCTCAAGCAATAATCATCTGTGTCCACGACACACCTGAAATTTGGGCTCAGCGAAGTCGAGTTACCGGAACTATTGACCCTTCTATGTCCATAATTATTGATACTACCCTTGACGTCATTAAGTGGGCATTCGAGAAAAATTACGGAGTAATTGATATCAACATACCACAGTCTCTACATGAACAAGATAACTACTCTGCTGTCACAACTGCACAGGAGGTACTTGTTTTTATTTGGGATAATTATCTCAAGTATTTTCCTGTGCTCAACAAAGTGGCTTTTGTCGGAATCGGGGATGCGCATAGCGGGATAGTCCATTTATTAGGTCACAGGGATACAAGGAGTGTCGTTAAGTCCGCTATCTCATTTATAGACCAGAGACCTCTAAGACCACTGATACCTTTGGTTGATGAATCTCTGGCCGATTGGTACTATAAAAATTCTTTGGTCTTCGCAAGCACCGAGAACACATGCTGGGGCAGCGATGGAAACGAAAACAAAAAGCCTAGAAAGAAGTTCGGCAGAGTGTTGAAATGCGACTCAGATGGTCTTAATAATAATATCGAGGAGAGATTCAACGAAGCAACAGATTTCATTCTCGACACTTTTGAGGAGTGGAGTGACAGTGAATAAATGTGTATAACTGCTAAACTACATGGCGCTTGAGGCACCCATTCTATGGCACACCCGGTGACTGCTTTAACTGTATATTTAAACTGCGCTGGGGAATCTCATTTTGAAGTCCTTCTCGAGTTCTTCAATATCGGGGTCACTGAAATTTCTACGATGCTCACCATCGTTAGACTCTTTTCGCTTGTATACCTTGTCGCCTTTTAGATGAGAAGGCTTGGCAGGCCTTTTCGGTTTTGAATGTGCAGCTTTGCCAGCGGTCTTCTCACTGGGCCTTATAGGCTTTGAATCAAGCTCCGTGACCACTACGCTTGTCTGTCTTTTTGTCGGAGACAATGATTTAGGTGTTGACAATTTGAACTCATCAAAAGGTTCAATAACAGTTTCGTTCGTCAACTGTAAGGGAAGATCATTATTCTCGATTGTGGAATATCGACCATATCCGTGTGCAGTTTTATGCACTTGCGAATCTTCAGAGTTCCTCAGGAGATTTTGTACGCGCTTTTGTATAGAAGATCTAGAATCTTGACCGGCGCTAATTCTCATTGGTGAGCGCGACCTATAATAGTCATCAGCCCCCGTATTATCGTTTTCCAATTCGTGCAGATCAGATACAATGGATGTACTGCTACTACTTCTAACGTGGGACCGCCGTGGAATGTTTTGTTCCTCTTCTATCGAGTCTGATGAAGATACACGATACTTAGGTGCAGTAGACGAGTATACTCCAAGTGATAAATCTAAAGAGTTCCTTTTACTTGTGTTGTCTCCTTTAAAGCTCCCTCGTGATAGACCACGGCGAAGAGTAGCAAACGAAGATTTGACACTCTCTCCAGTATTCTGTCTCGATTTGATTGGGGACGTGGACCTTTTTTCGCCGGTAAAAACGCTTCTTAATTTTTGGCCAAATTTCTTAGCAATGCTGTCTCCAGTGAGCTGACCCTCCAAACTCTCTTCCGTTTCCAAAGAAGGTAAAGATCTGGCAGAGGCCTGCCTCTTTGGGGTAACGGGCACCAAACTGCTATCAAATTGAGTTGCAGATGGAACGTAGATAGAGGAACTCTCGACACTGGTAGGATTTGCGCTCAATATCTTGGATATATCGCCACGTCCTGCAATTATCGGGCTTGCTGAAGATCTCGATGGTATAATCTTTGGTGTCGAGAAAGTTTGAGGTCTGACCATTTGACTTTTCCGCTCGCCAGATACGTTCATAGACTGCAAGGCTTTCTCTTGCAACAGTTTTGACCTGTCGATAGACATGAAAGGATCGCCTTGTTTCATTGGTGGCATAAACTGGGTATCTTGTTTTTTCGATGTCGGAAGATATCCTTCGTATAATCCATTAGAGTCAGTGCCCGATGTGAAAGTTTTCGACTGCCTCAAGCTCGTCAGGTTTTGGTTTGCGATGGATGACGACCCAACAGCATTCTTCGTTGTATCAATTTTTGGTTGACTAATGGAGTAATGAAGAGCAGAAGTCTTATTCTGTTGCATTTGTTGCTGTTGCATGGCTCTAAGCGAATAGAAATTGGGTAAGGGACACGGTGAACCTTGAATGCGGGAAACCTCTTCGAGTACTTGACAAATGTTCGGTCTTTGTATCGGATTTTCTGATAGCATAACATTTATCAAATTTTTGAGCTTGTCACTGTAGTGTGGATATGAAGGAAACTGGAATTGAGAATGCAAAATAGCAGCTTCGCCAACTTTTTCGAACGGGGTGGTATAATAACAAAGCTTGTATAAAAATACGCCTAAGGCCCAAATATCGGCCTTTTCGTTTATGGGATAACCTCTAGAAAGATCGATCATTTCAGGAGACCGGTACTGGGCCGTAGTGTTCTTTAAAATGTCGTGCTGAACATAATTAAATTCTTGAGTATTTTTTGGCGGCCTAATGTTTCCGCATACCGAGCCAAAATCGCACACTTTGAATGTTCCGTCGCCAGATATCAACACATTTTCGATCTTAATGTCTCTGTGGATAAGTGGCGGCAGCAGTGCGTGCATTGCCGCAATGCCTTGTGATATATCACTCATTATTTTCAACACCTCCGCCTCTTGAAAGCGGTTTTGCAGCCTAGTGTTCATGAAGTCTATTAGCCCGCCACCAGTGCAGTACTCCATAAGCAGGAATACTTCGTAAAAACCGTCCTGAGCAATGGACTTTGCGGCGTGAGAGTCAATGTAGGAGACCACATGTTTGTTGCCACGTAGAAGCTTCATGGCGTCCACTTCTGCTCGAAGAACATTCAGACTTGGCTTGTCCGGCACCACAACTCTTTTCAAGCATGCTATGCTGTCTGAAGTTTTGGGATCGGGTGGTGAGATCTCGGTAGAATATATATGTGCAAAGCCACCACTCGTCAAGTATTTGATGATGCGTGCTTGGTGAGAACCAACTGTCAGTGCCGTTCCTGGTGGGTATAAATCGGGAAGCTGCTGATTCATTTCATGGAGAGTTCCTTGCTGTAAACGCTACTCGAATGATACACTCCGTGGAGGGGCTATGAGGCCTTGCAAAGTTCAAAACAAACAGCAAAAAGCCTGAAAAACCAAACTATTAAACAGTAGGTTCTGAGCCTCAAATTGTAGCAATTGAGAAGTATGGGACGCTCAAATCTCTTTATAAAACTTGGACCCTGTTCGATACGAATTTGGAAAGGGGCCCTTAGCCGAGATCAACTTTTCAGCAATGGAATTTGCAGTCGCATGGTACGGGCGATCATCGCTGGGCGGTTAACAAAAAAGACCGTATACCAATAACATTGTGTGCTGATAGTTGTGGTCCAGGCAGTTCCATCTATACTCATTTCATCCAATCCATTGCCTTAGTTGGTAGCATATCATGGGTGTATTAATTGCAAATAGCCACAGCAGCCCGCGAGGAGGGAAGATAACATGCAAAGATTTGCAGTCTATCTGTAGCAAAGTCGAGAGATACTGATGACCTTTTTCTTTATATGATGGTTAGTTTCAGTTTCTTAGGATTATAAATTTAGTCAAAATGGTGAGCTCATCTCAAAGTGAGTATGTTGTCTCTATATACTATGACTGGAAAAGATTCAGTTCCTCGCATGTACTATGACTGGTCAAGCTACTTTCATTGATTTCTCTAGGTGTACCTGTTCGTTTGCCCCAAGATCAGATCTTGTCATTGGCGGTCAAACTTTGAGAGCATAGGGTAGCTGGTATCTGACTTGTACTATTCAAGAGCTTTATCCATAGGACATCTACGTAAGTGTCCTTTCCTTAATTGCTAAACTGAAGGCTGGACTTCTCTTTGATTTAGAACCATATCTTTTGCTCGAGCATTAATTTGAAATGATGATGACCTTGACTTTTCCATTAAGAGCGCATCTTTTCAGAAATATATTCAAAAAAATCTCAAAAACTTTTAGACGGAATCCGTGCAGCATTTAGCTCCGATATGTCGTATTCCAAGCTAGGCTCTGTTGATTTTGGAGCTGATAACTGGTGTCTGAAGCTCCAGCCACTTTACAATTGTGGTCTCCTCGTTGCTTTAAGTAATGGTACAATTCAAACGATCGATTGGACCAAGAACGTATCAATTGGTCAGGTTCAGGCGCACGAAACGTGCATCAATGACCTGAAGGTTGTGAACAGTGATTGGGACAACGGCTGTTTGATAGCGACTGCAGCCGAGGATTCTGTGAAGATCTTCGACATCCGGTCGAATGATTCAGTCGCTACTATAAAGAATCAAAAGTCTGCTCCCTTTTTGTCCTTAGACTCCAGACACGGACTACTGGCTTGCGGTACTGAGCTAAGCGGTGTCGATGCAGAGCTGCACTTATACGATATACGATCGTGGCAGCAACCCGTGCGCTCGTTGGTGGATTCTCATCACGACGATATTACTACAATTAAGCTTCATCCCAGTGATCCAAACGTACTCCTCAGTGGGTCGACGGACGGATATGTTAATATCTACGATTTAACTCAAACTGAAGAAGAAGATGCACTTCACCAAGTGATAAATTTCGCTTCCATCCATTCCAGTGGATGGTTATCGCCTAATCGGATATATGCTTTGTCACACATGGAGACTTTTGGCTTGTTTGAGCTAAACAACAAATTAGAAGACTCTACAGAACCTAAGCCTATGGACTTTGGGGACATCAGAGCACCTTGGGACTGCAATTACGTCGTTGACGTTTATCCCGGATTCATCGCAACGGGTAAAACTGAAGAAGGCAAAGGCGAATTAAAATTAATACCATTTCACAACGAAGAGATATATCTGGAAAAAGCAGTGACCATTCCTCACGCTCATGGAGACGAAGTGATCAGAGACGTGCTTGCCTCGGCTTTGAGTCAAGAAGTGCTATATTCATGTGGGGAAGATGGATGCGTGAACGCCTGGAAGTCTAACCTAGGCTCCATGAACTTGCCACGCGAATTTTGGCAATACTCCCAGACCATGGATCTTTTTGGAGGAGACGCGCCCCATGTCGAGATGTCTGATGTCTTTGTTCCACCTGAAGAATTCACAGAGCCCTCAGTGACGAACTCAGAACCTTTGAAGACACGCAAAAAAAGTTCCAAGGTCTCGAAAAGTTCAAAAGGTAGCTCGAAGTCAACATCGAAAGACCGCAGATTCCAACCTTATTGAGAGCTCGTCTAGATGATTCCCGGCATCTCTTCCTTTGCTGTCATTGTACACGTAATAATGGCGATATGCCAATTTTTTAATATCAATGTTGGGAAGCAAGTGGTCATCTGTAAACTCATCGCGTAATTATGGAGCCGGTAACTTTGAAGCCATAAACCGAAACTTGTAACATTGCTGCAAACGTATGAGCAGTATCGTAAATAAGAGTGGGACGCGTTTCGCTCCCAAAATCAAGCAGCGGAGGGCTGTCGTCAATGCTCCAGAGCGAAGCCCAGTTGAAAAAAGCGGATCTGAAACTTCAAGTCAACTTGGTGAGATTCCAACCGTCGAAAGCTCGCAACCTATTATTGCTGAGTCACTCTCACAAACGAATAAAGCTTCACCTGCAGACATTGATCCGCTAAGCCAAAGCACACAAAAGGGTTCAGATAGCCAGGCTTTGACTCAAGACAATGTGCTTGGCACTCAAAGAAGACGGTCTAGTAGACTCGACTCTTTAAGCGGAACTAACGCGATGTTCAAAAGTGGATTTCTGGAGCCGCAAGCTGTACCGACGGGCCCCAACGAGACTGCCAAAAATCGGAGATTGTCTACCATTACTGCAGCACAAACACAACCAAAAAAAAAGAGAATGAGTAGTATTTCGGAATCTGACTCTTCCTTTCAAGCAATCAAGAAGAGACGAATGTCTTCGAGATCTTCCATATCTCGAAAACCCGGATCCGCTCAGCGAATTAGCATTGTTTCTCAAGTGAATAGTGATCAAATTGCTAGATCTTCCGGTGCAGATGACAATAGTTTGAAGAGTGAGGGTAGCGAAGACCTTTTTCAGCGGACCGATAGACTCTACGAAAGATACACTATCTCAAACGTCAAGGACATCCCAAAAAATATCGCTGATGGAGACTCGTCTCGCTATCTAGTAGATGAAGACAACTTTACTATCGCAGATCTCTGTAAGCCGAATCTTCCGATTGGTGAGACTTCTGATAATTTCTTAAGAGCCCAGGAGGCTTTGAGAGCGAAACAACAAAATCGGTTGAAGAGAAGAGCTTTACGGGCCAAGGCTCGCGAACACTTCAAACCGTTACATGAGCTTAACAAGGAAGAAGCAGAGCAGCTTTTGGAAAGTCGCAAAAAAGCCGCTGAAGAGATAATGAATGCTGAAATTCCAGAAGCGGAAAAAGGACATAACGCCATTCAACTGCGAATGAAACAGGACGGTACGTTTGCTGTTGATGAGGAGTCTACCGTTGTTGATAGGCACAAAAATGCAACTCTCGAGCACGCCCATAAGTTACGAATGGACGAAAACCCATTTGAGAATTTGTTCAATTCAGGTACCTACGGTCGTCAGCAGTATACGGACCCTTGGACAGTTGATGAACTTTTGCGCTTCTATAAAGCTTTGTCTATGTGGGGTACCGACTTCAACTTAATAGCACAAATGTTTCCCTACCGGACAAGGCGGCAAATCAAAGCCAAATTTGTCAACGAAGAAAAAAAGCATCCGGTCATGATTGAATTGGCATTACGCTCAAAACTGCCACCAGATTTCGATCAATATTGTACAGAGATCCGAAAAGAACTGGTCTCGTTAGAAGACTTTAATCAGAAGCTGCGGAACTTACAGACAGAACACGAAGAGCATTTGAAGAAGATCGAGCATTCAAAGCAAAGCGCTAAGGAAGAAGATCTTCAAATGCAAAAGGTTAAGGAGATGGACAATACTCACAAGAAAGCTTCCGGTGGTTTCAGGCAGGGCCAACTAAATGCATACAGGAAAACTGAAGTGGTGTTGGGTACAATTGACCAGATGAAAAAGCAGCGGGCTCAGGAGCCTGAGGAAACGACAGAGTAGCTGATTTTGTATGACGTTTATAGATATTTTATTTTTGGAGGCTCAGAAAGCTGGCATGGTTTTTATCTGCTTGTATTTTTTGGTACCAACCTTGGCTAACGAGATTCTTAATTTGTAGAAAACGAAAGAGCCGGAAACCAAGCAAACAGAATTATGCGCAAAAACTATATTGTGGGCATTACCAGCAACGATCAGGGCTCTCATACAAAGTACACGATAGTACCGAAAGATTACAAGCGAAAATGTTTGCTTAACTTGATGGTTTTCGCTGCAGTTAACGCCTTCGCATTCTATTACATTGAAATGCGTTTGAACTTGGTCGTCAAAAAGAAAATCGCAATCAAAGTAGTGTTTGGCTTGTTAGCGCTAGTTCTGATAAGAAATCCAACTGTCGAGACCTTGTACGTCTATAGAAGAGCCGGTTTTCAAATTGCCACGATGCAGGGATGCGTACTGTTGCCGCGTTCCCTGAACGACCGGTGGCTTGAACAATCTTACTTCATTCCTCAAGACAGAGTTGTAGATCTTATAATTAATGAGGGCTTTGTCAAGGGATTCCAGGTGATTTTCTATCTGGCAGTGATTCTCAAAGATGCTACCCACCTACGATTGGTGTTTCCTGTATGTTAAGGCTTCAAGATCCCCATTCTACTTTCAATTCAACAATTCAAGTACTAACTGTCGTTACAGACTACTCGGCCCAGGCTCGAGGACTTGGAACTTATCTACAATGATTCCAGGAGGTGCCTGTATGGATGAGATTTTAAAAGCATTGTTGATCACGGGTTCAGAAAATTTGATTAAACTGGAAGTTTATGAGATGAGATGAGATGAGGTGAGCATACTTATCAAACTTCAACCCAAATCGCTGTATCTTGCGAAACAAAGGCGATGGGACGTAAGCTCAAAGGTAAGATTGGCTCCAAGGGTCTAAAAGGCTCTTTGCTTCGACACCAAGCGCTAGAACAGTCGAAAAAGAAGACGAAAAGTAAGCAAGAGCATGCTTTGCATAAAAACCAACCTACCAAGGCTAGTTTAGAAAGTCGGGCGTCGCAACGTGAGGCGGCTGGTAAACTTATTCCGTTTGAAAAAGACTCTACGCTTTTGCTGGTTGGAGAGGGCGACTTTTCATTTAGTCGTGCTATCATAATGCAAGACTATATCAAAGCTAAAAATTTGATCGTTACAAGTTTCGATGCTTCTGTATCAGAATTGAACCTGAAATATCCACACAGCTTCCCGGAAAATTACGAATTTCTTGTACAAAACGGTGTCAAAATTTTATTTCGGATTGATGCCACCAATTTACTGAAATCTTTCAAGCTCAGCAAAAAGACTACTTGGCCTAAAGTAGTTGGTGCGGAATGGGCAATTAAAAAGGTTGAAAACATAATGTTCAACTTTCCACATACCGGCAAAGGTATAAAAGATCAAGACAAAAACATACGAGATCACCAAGAATTAGTAGCAGGATTTCTCGCCAGCTCCAAGCTATTTTTCAAAAATGTGAACCGTATTCCATTGAGCGGGTCCGCTCAAACATATACGCAGGGCTACGACTTAGATGAGAAAAAAGCCAATGATAAAGTAACTGCTGATGGATATGGGAATGTTTTGCTTACAGTCTTTACTGGTGAACCATACGATTCTTGGCAGCTAAAATCACTTGCCAAAACAACCGGATGGAAGGTAGAAAGATCAAGTAAGTTTCAATGGGAAAACTACCCTGAATACGCTCACAAACGGACGAACAGCGAGCAGGACACGACAAAGCCAGCTCTTGATAGAGATGCTCGTACTTACACCTTTGAAATCTACGATAAAACTAAGCACTCTAAAGCTGGTAAGTTGCAAAAGTTAGAAAGCGATGAAGAATGAACATAATAGAGCCAATATAGGCGTTAAGTTGGATACATAGTGATAAAGTCCTTTTCATAGTACACCTTTCGGTCTATTGGGTCAAGAACTTGATCTTGCTCTAAGCTGTACAGCCTTTTACTCGTTAGTTTTCCAGCCAGAATTTTAATCTTTTTGGAGTCGTATATGTTGCCGTTTGGTAGCATTACCGGGTTTTCAAATAAGTTCGACTGGATGTGATGTGCATACGGAAGATCGCCAGCAATTGGAGCAAACTCATCGCTACAGACAGGGCATTTAGATTGATTGAGCTCATTGTCTAGAAATTTATCCAGCATTGCGTCCTCTGTCTCTGAGGCTACAGGACACTGCAGACATGCCTTTGTTTTCAAGGTTGATATCCCTAAAGACAAATATATGAGTAGGGGATCATGTTGAGAAATCCCATACATGGAATAATACTCCTGCAAAAAGAGACGTTTGAGGACATTCCATCTTTCGTTGTCCAAGAGGCGCGCGTATCTTTCAAAGTCCCCGCCCCTGGGGATTCTTGTTCCAGAATCAATCTTAAACGAGTCTTCGGTAGATTGAAAGTCTTTAGAGGGAGCTTTACGAAAGAAGTAATGGCAGAAGCCAGATTTTGTACTCAAGTTATATGGATCGTTCTTGGTATCTGTTTGCTTCGTCATCTGTTCTTTGCAGCTCTTGATGAACACCAATAGTCCTGATGCAAGTTTCAATTCTTCAAAATTAGTATTAATAAACTTGATAAGATGGTTTTGAAAGCAAATTATAGCGTTGGGGTAGTTTTGTACCTTAACAAGTTCGACATATTCTTGGAGTCTCGTTTCAAATTCCAGCATTGAGGACTTACTTGACAAGTAAGTTTGATTTTCTTTGATCCAATTAACCAACAGAGATAAATCGTGGTTTACATCCAGACTTTTTGAGATTTGATTGGCAGTGATCAGAATATCGTAATCCAAATAGTGTTCCAAGCCTTGTGACTGTAAAAAGCGCAAACCTGTATTTACCTGCGGAGGGGTGAAACTAGGAGACGACATTTTTCGCTTAGACCTCAAGCTAGTATGAGCTCCACCTGTTGATAGTTCCTGCTCGTAGATATTGTTGTTTCTAGTGAGATAGTCCCCAATTAACAGGCTTGTATATCTCTGGTACCAGGAAATTAGCCCTTCTCGGTTGCGCGTCTTTTTGTAACCATCTAGTTCCTTGTAGTATTCAATGCGGTATTCAATGCGTTTCAAAAGTTCACATTCAACGTTCACCCTTTTTTCTAGCTTCCGCTCTAGCAGCTCAACCGCCCTGATTATCTCATTAAGCTTATCCATTGAAGTTTGAGTATCATGGCCAGCCATGGAAGAGCTCAACTCATCAAAGAAGTCACTCAGGCGTTTACTCTCTCGTTCGACTAGCTTCTGAATCTTTTTGATGTTGTTCTTGAGCAGCTCATTGGGTATATGGAAAGATTGCTCATTGAGTTTTATGTGGAAATTTACACTAGGCTCGTTCAGTAGCGACATGTTTGAGCGAGAAGTGACGGTAGAATTATACACCTCTACTACCGTTGTACCCAGTGTGAAGATAACTGATCAAACTGAACATGCTACATTTCTTAAAGATGAGGTATGTGAGGTCCCTTAGAAAGGCATATATTAGATGAGGACAAAAGTACTCGTGAATACATTCATGAGAATGCACAGCTGGTGTCACATAACGCACTGCCTTTATAGCTTCTAATCCATTTGTATGTTACTATTTATCTCGAGAAGAGGGATGTCAATTTAATCGCATTCCGCTAGGGATCCCGACTTCAAATTTTGTACAGATTTTAGGTTCATATACCTTAAAAAGCCTTCAATTTGTCAATGATGGCCTTGGTGAACTCGGTAGTGGAGGAAGAACCACCGATATCCTGTGTAGTAGCCTTGCCCTCGGCGATAACATCGTAGGTAGCCTTGGAGATTCTCTCAGCGTACGCGGCCAAACCAAGATGTCTCAACATTAGAGCAGAAGACAAGATCATGGCGGTAGGGTTTGCAACATTTTGTCCTTTGATATCCATACCAACGTGTCTGGAACCAGGTTCGAAAACGGCGAATTCTCTGCCAAAGTTGGCACCTGGAACCAAGCCAGGCCCACCGATCAAAGCGGCACCGATGTTACCCAAAATGGAACCATACAAGTTAGGGGTGACGAGAACATCGAACTGTTGGGGCTTGGCCACGGCTTGCATGGAAGCGTTATCCACGATGATGTTCTTCACCTCGATTTCGGGGTATTCTTTGGCACCGACCTCGTTGATGCAGTTTCTGAAAAGACCATCACCCAGTTTCATGATATTGGCTTTGTGGACGGCACACACAGACTTTCTATTGTTCTTGAGGGCAAAGTCAAAAGCGAAGCGGCCTATTCTGTCAGACTTAACTTTGGTCATGATCTTGAGCGACTCGACAACACCTGGCACAGACTCGTGCTCCAAACCAGAGTATTCACCTTCGGTGTTCTCTCTGATAACGACGAGATCCACGTTAGAATGACGGGTCTTGACACCCGGCACACTCTTGAAAAGCGCCACGTTGGCGAAAATGTCCAATTGTTTGCGAAGTGCGACGTTCAACGACCCGTGACCCGTCTGATCCATAGGGGTGTGCCAGATACCCTTAAGCCCGACCTTGTTTCTCTTAAGCGACTCAACGGCCTTTTGTACACCCTCCTGACTCTCCAGGTTGCCGGAGATCTCGACGGTTTCCCAGTCCACTGGCACGTTCTCTGATTTGAAAATCGACACTACGGAGTCCGTGACTTCTTTACCTACACCGTCTCCAGGAATCAGGGTTACGGTGTAGCGACCACCGTACTTCTTGGGCAGCAGTTGCTCTGATGCCACGCTGGCTAGCGTTCTCTTAGACGCACTAAACCCGTTCTTGAACATTTGCAATTGTTTTGGTGATTCGGAAACTCTCGAGCAAAAACCAATCTAAAATAATCCTTTGACGTGAACTGACTATTTCCAATTCAATTCCACGATATCCAAATGGTCTATTTACTAGCGCCTTATTTGTCTTTACCTGATTTCAAGATTTTTCGTCAAGATTGCAGATGTCTGCTATCGATCATTGCATATATCAGCTCTTATATATATCACGACAAGGTCATCATTATAAAACGTTCTAAACCTTCAATTTTCGGATCCGGTCTCGAAACTTCGGATCCGAGTCGGATCGTGATAGGTGATCATGAGAAGCGAAACCAGAACGAAATCAGAGGAAGATGAGCGACAAATGAGGACAAAACTACCGTCTGATCTATCGCGGAGGCAGTCTTGAAATACGAAGATTATGGTTACTACTATTTGAAGACCTGGCATTTTCTTTAACGCATATGCTCTTGATTCTGCGCCAATTGCATTGATCAATTCATGCGACTATGTCATGAACCCATTGCTTACGTATAAATAACTCTGTAACAGAGTTTACTATACATTGCAGCCTCTTAAATTTCGAACATTCAAGTGCTCGCTCACAATTTGCTCTGTAGAACCTTGACGGTGCCAAACGGTTTCAGAGGATTTGGTGCTGGGATCACTTTGTACCCGTGTGTCACCACTTGCGCGAGGAAGCAAAACGTTCTACAGATAAAGAGTGTTCAAGCCTCGTAGAGTTGTCGTTACAAGCTTATCTCACGTTAATTTGAAGCTCGTTCTAATTTTGATCCTTCTCTTTCCTGGATTATTTGACTCTCTCTACGCTGATTGAAATTCCACGACCACTTTTTAGAATGACAGACCACAAACAGTGCTGCCATGGATGTTTGTAGCTGGACTTTAGGCCTCTTGGGTCATCTCATATATGAGATAATAAGAATGCAATTGTGGTCAGGAAGATCACGATGCTTTATTTTGATTTAAGTTCGCCATAGCAGCTGTTACCAAGTCGGCTCTACACCTGTTGCTATAAAAACTATCAGCACGGGCCCCAATTATCTCAAGGTTCTATGCTCATTGTCTCTGGCTTAAGTTGTCTCATTGCAACCTCGATCATGAGCAGAGACCAAGCAGAACACGGATGCTCAGTGCAAGTATTCAACGACTTAACCAAATGTTCCCCAGTTCTATTCTCCTTATCACTCAACTATCAAGCAGGCTTTCTGAGGTAAGCTCTCCTCGGCAATTGATGCACCAGGGCTACGTCGTGTAGGAATGGAGTTTTAAACACGACTCTACTCATGTGCTTTCCTCCATCAAATCTTTGCTATATATAAATCATGGCGCGCAATTTACAAGTACGCAGTACTCAAGATCTTATGGAGTACGTTCCTAAGACGTAGTCGTTGCCAATTGGACTCCTCCGCTCAAACATATTTTTGAAGAGCTAACAATTGAAAGGTGTCCGCTAACAAGCACTTAGCACATTAATCATGAAGTCATAGAGGGTACTAACTTATCAACTGTGACGTCAAATTGCGTCTTTATACTTATTTGTAAGGCCATTAGCCTCATTATTTTCCCTCAGGACAAGTTTGCACTATGGTAAGCTAATTCCTCATTTGCAGTTGCGCGCCGGCAAAAAAAAATTCAAGCGCTTTGATCATCTCATCAACTAAAATAGAAAATCGGAAACAGACAGACAGACAGACAGACGTAAGCCAAATGACTGTCAAAGCTCAATTTTTAGCGTCATACAAGCAGCTTCTGAGGTCTTTGATTAAGTCCAATAGACGCTCAAAGATTTCGCAGATAAATGAAGACAACAAGAAACAAATCGCTCTTTTAACTTACAGAAAGATAAATCTCGTCAGACAGCAAGCATCTGAAGTGGATTCAAAGAAGAGGTTGACACACCTTCAGCAAACGCATGAAATTACCAAACTAATCGAGAACTTGAAAGCTAATGATCCAGTCAAATTAAAAAGTTTGTATTTCTACGACAGCCCTAGCCGTTTGAGACACACTGTGCTTCACGATTTCCCCTCTGATCAAGCTTCGATCGATAAGAGGCTGCAGCATCTGAGAGACATATCCGGCTTCATCAAAAATCAGATGGAATATGAACAATTAGTTGAAAGATACAACCCAGGACTAAAAATGGACCAAGAGGAAAAAGTGAAGCGAACCGCCGCTAGAGTCGGTTTGCGAGTACCTGATTGCTAATTTATCATTAGATTATAAATTACACAGAAAGAAGGAAGGTTATACTACTGTAGACCCACGTCTTGATACAAAAACGCCTAAACTGCATTGTTGTACATGTTTGCGAAGACTTTCATTCTCCAGCGACAAGAATTCCAAAATGCACCATAAGACCATGTCAGATCTTTTGCGCCTTGCAAATAACCGGTATATTTGTTGAACTGCTCTGACATGTCCCCTTCTGTACTCACATGCTCCCTTACTTTATCCAAAAATGAGTCCCCCAGTGTAAATAGGGAAACCATAGTTTGCTTGTAAGCAGCTGAGTTGTAGGGGATTACCAGTTGCCAGTTATCAGACTCTCTTGATGCATTATCGATTTTGTCGAAAATGAGACTCCAAAACTCAGATTGCCAGCCATCCATTGGAATTACCAAATCCTTCTGCGACGTGTGATAGTGCCATATCACCTTGTACAGAACTTCTGCTGCGGCGGAGGTGGCCAAGAACCAAGGATTTCCTTCTGATTCTCCAGTGCCATCATAAATATCCTCAGGGTACCGTCCTAATGCCACACCAAGGTTCAGGTTTGCTCTTTGGTGGTTTACGGGGTACAAGATTTCCATTTGTTTGACCAATCCATGCAATGTGTTCAAAATACCGCTGTCGTCGACATCGAAGGGAACATCATCATTAGATGTAGACCTTCCATGATCGTCGTGTGTAAAAATTGATCCTATCAGCACCGCGATATCTAATCCGGATCTCCTACCCAAGATTGTTGGGGTCTCTATGATATAGTTTTTATTTGCGTCAAGGAAGCCGCCGTCATTCATCAAAAAAGTCAGAACATCTTGAAATTTCCCCTGCAAAATTGTTGCCAACGAATTAGACTTATCGTCAAACTCTGGTTGAATATTCTTGAGGTAGTTCCATCCCAATTTTATGGCTTTCAACTGGCTTAAAGTTGTAAAAAAGTGCTGGCCATTGACCTCTTCCCACAAATCGAAGCTATCTGCCTCCCAATTGGATGCTACGAATTCGAGGTCTAATTTCAAAATCTTTTCATAGAGATCTCTTTCGTTGGCGAAAATCAAATTCAAATCAACCTTAGCTGCTTCTTGATACAGCTGGATAGCTTTTTCCAGCGGCATGTCTAGATTTCTCAGAGTTTGCAAGAAGTTGAAGGTAGTTATAGCTCGAAGCGGGGGCCCATCATTTTGAGGACGACCCCAGTTACCAGTGAACGGAGAATTGTCCACCATCCATTTAGGTTCTCCCAATCCCTTATAATCTGGGGTCAATGATCCTGAAGGGTTGTCGGTTCTTTGTAGAATAAAAGTATTGTTGAGATATTTCAACACAGTACCTACAAGGGTTATATTGATCGTCGATTGGGGAGCTTGGGATGATTCCCACACTTGATTAACAACGGTGTTTGCCGTTATAGCGCCGTCTCTAATCCAATGATAGAAGTAGTCCGGCGCTTCTTTGGATGGAGAAGCGATGATGGCACCTTCAGCGACATTGTCGGTTTGGTGAAGTTGGTTCAAATTAATGTCACCAATGTTAGCCAGGACTCTTTCGAAACTTAACGTCGATTGTTGTTGAACCCAATTGGTGAAGTTTTCACGGGACACCGTGTGTGAAATTAGGGGTTTGAGTTGGATACGCTGCTGGTAATAAGATGATCCGGGGGCAGACGTTGGCGAGGCTAAGGTACGGCTATAGAAATCAACAATAGTGACATTGTGAGTTGTAGAACTTTGGGCACTTGTGCCAGGAAGACCCTTGTCCCAAAATCTTTCGTTCGCTTGGTAGTGATCGTGAGAGGAGGTAAAGCACGACCATAGAAGAAAACTAGCACTCAAAGTCAGAAAAAGGTTCTTCGTCCACTTATGACCAGAATCAAAACTCAGCGACTTTTGGTGATGATCTTTGACCATGGTAGTCGATCTGATCGTACTATTTGAGGCTTACCTAAAGTGTTGCCGAATTATTCGATGCCCTGATAAAGCCCGTAAAAATGCGTTAGCAACATAAAGAAACCTACACAGAGAAAGGATCAAACAAGATCAAATATATTGCGCTTAAATAGTTTGAAAGTAATTTGGGTGTCAGGTCAGTTTTTGCCCCTGGTACTGTGATATCTTTTTGGCACAGACACGAAATTGACGTCGCGGATCTGACGACGATCAGTGACAAAGTCAGACAAAATTGTGCTTATCACACAGAGCCGCAATTGTGTAACGTTTAGACTCTGATACCTTTATGTTCAGCGCCTAATAAAGTTAAAAGTCGTCCAACACTGACCATCGTGGCATGTAATGAGTACATAATGGACCAACGATAAGGTCCTAAACCCAGAAAAAATACGGGAGAGCCAGCTAAGGGACGCTTAAGAAATCAATCGTTTTTTCGTGTGAAATAGAAATGGGATACGTTCAAATGCCCTTTTAGCGTAGCTGGAGTGAATGTATCCTCGATCACGTGTGTTTTCAAGGAGTGGGTATGTTTGACACAACATTGTGGCGACTCTGGCACCGGTGATGAGTCGTGTTTATAGAGCAATTGGTGTTTTCTCGAAACCGGTTTTTGATATATAGTTGTTTGAGACTATATCTTTTACTCGTCATTCCAGTACGAGAGGTCAAGATGGGGAGTGGTGGGGCCACTTTCTGTGAAAGCAGCCTCAAGTATGTTGGCATATTACACTTAACATACTTTAGGCTGCTCTTTTATTTAAGTGCTTGTTCTTACTACCCTTGGCTTTCATTTTGATTTGGATCTCGCAAGATCTACATTCTGTGACTCGAAAGTACAAAGTGATTACAAACATCTGGTTGGAAGAGGGAACGGTTGAAAATTGGCACATTGTGGCGCGCTAGTGGATATATGCACGAGACATGTTTACTCCACAATATAAGCTGATCGCTATACCATTTGTATCACCTTAGTTTTTATCCTTGTCGTAAAATTCAATTTCTATTTACAATCTTTATCCTCCTTAATTACACATTTCCGAGGGGCGCCCAGAGCCCCAGTAATATTATTTGATATGAGCCCGTAAGCATTGTATCCAAGTGTGTCTGAGTCCATCACTTAGGCCGTAGTCTCTGAGATTTGCTCTACTAGACCGGTTCCCACATCGTATAGCAAACCGTACACTTCGATTTCGCCGCGGGAGAGAGCATTCTTGACGGTGTCGATGGCCAAAAGCTTGGTCACTTGTTTTTGTACGTTGAGTCTCGAAAGCATGCGGCTCTGCAGTTTGGTGTCCTTGGTGGCCGCCATCACTTCGCTCTTGTTTTCGTGATACAAGTCGTCCAGGTCTTGCAAGTACTGATATAGGTGGTTGCACTCGCCGTTGTTAAGGGCAGATCTTTTGTGCGTCAAACAGGTGTTGATTCCGCCGCAATCGGTGTGGCCGCACAACACCACCTTGTTGACTTTCAAAACGTTGATGGCAAACTCCAGCGTGGCACGACAGGTCAGATCCTTTTCGCTCACGATGTTGGCGATCGTTTTCCACGTGAAGATCTCGCCGGGAATGACTCCCAGACAGTTTTCGTTGTAGCGCGAGTCGGAACACCCGATGAACAGCGTGTGCGGCGCCTGGCCGTTGGCGTTGAAATCGCGGAACAAAGTAGGATGCTCTTCCGTGGTCTTGGCATTCCACTTCTCGTTGGTCTCCAGAAGGTCTGGGAGCTTCGAGTTGTGGGTCAAGGTGAAGATGTTCGTGGAGGCTGGAGACATTGTAAAGTGTAGAGTGTGTGCGTGTGTGTTTGGTATGTTTGAAGATCGGGATGTGATCGACGTTTGTGATTGTCTTCGAGCTGTTTCTGGCAGTCTCTCTGTTTTTCCAAAGCTTAGGTTCAGTGATGGAGTCTTTCTTCCCAAATCTGTCTCGACTGCTTCACTTTGCTTCCCATTATATACTTGTTAAAGTGTGGCACGATGTATCGGTCCTGTTCTTGATGTAATAGTGATAAAACCGCCAATTTGTTGAAAAGGCTATCGTTGGAACGTTTTTTTCACCAGCTAACCATTACTCAAGCTTGACGTCAACTTTGGTCAGCGATGGGAATACTTGTGAGCTCGATGATTAAGCCAGATATTGCAGAAAAGTCGCATAATCATGCGTATTTGTGCATACCAACCGCGAACGAGTGATTTGCTACGGCGAAATGTGGTTTTTGCATGGCCAGTCATAGTCACACTCGCTATTTCCATCACTCGTCGTCGTTCTCAACATTTTGCGCAACAAGCTGCTTACGTCAAGTTGATGGCAGCATGACAATTTTTTTTTCCACGGCTCAAGTCATCTGACGCGGAAATCATTTCCGACGGAAGACGGTTCGGCTGTCTACGGTTGCCCCGAGTACAAACGTATTTGTGAAGGAGACACGAAGCCCGGGGGGAGGTGGGGAAGAGAATATAGTGGATTAGAGAGGTTTGGGCGCATCGAGTGGGGCTTGAACTGTACGCGGGACGTGAGATGCTGAAAATCGCTGGTTTTCTATTTCGTCCTCAAAGCAGCGATTTGGGCGGAAAACATGTATGTTCTTTGGGTATGTGAAGACGTGCCGCTTTTCCACGAGCAAAGTCACGTGGTCCAAAATGCTGCGGAAGAGAGTGGTTGGAGAACTGCTACGAAGCTGCACGCAAGGGTGCGTATTCAAGAAGGCACATTGCTCAAGAGCGGTTACCGAGTCGTCCTACCTGGACTCTTAAAGGCTCATTTGATTGGACTTGCGCTGTTGCACGTGACGTGCTATCGATTGATTTGATAAATGCAGCCTTCTCGAGCACGTGAAGCCATTTATCCCAGGGGGGATAATATGTCTGCTAATGTCACACAGTGCTTCGGGATGACTGGCTACTATCGTGTTTGCATTCTGAGCGGCAATACTATCGGAACCCCTCGCCGCCTTTAGACATAAAAAAACGCGCAAATCGTTGGACCTTTCTTCAAGCAACGTAGTGACCTTGTTATGCATTCTTTGCATTCATTCGTTTTACTCCGTCTGGCTATAATGACTTTCCTAAACGTGAAAATCAAAAGCACGGAACGTAACCTCAAAAAGGCTTACAGGTATCTTTTGTGGACCAAACATCAGCAATTGAGGAAAGAATTTAGGGTTCTGCATGCCTTAATGCGAGACTTGAATTTGTAACTGCGCTGTATCGAAGGCTCGCCGCTTTAATCAAATGTCTACGCTGTTGCCTAACGACCGGGCTGAGGTTTTTATCGATGTGAACGTTGTCAGTAGCACTGCTTCATGATCAGGCAAGAGGATTGAATCGATGTTAACGTTGTCAATAGTACTGCTTTATGGTCAGACAGAGGTTTTTATCGAGTTTAACGTTATCAACATGATCAGGCAGATCCTGATCGTAACAATCTTCATCCGCTGAGAATGCGCTTGTTCTTTTTATAGAAGAACCACTACATAAGTATAGGCACAGGACTAGAACCTTTTGCAAACATTGATTGGACAACTTGTATGCCGGAAAAATATCACATCTCCGCCACGAGTTGGATCTTGTTTCGCGAAGGAATTTACAGCGTCACCGCGAACTGCAAGCGATTTTATGGGCTCACAGGCACTCGAAGAATCTAGCTCGAATTTTCAGATGCACACACAAAGAGCTATTAGAGAGGCAGGCGAACTCTAGTAACCTTTGGACATTATGTGGGTGACGGCGAAGACCTTTTTAAATGCCCGAGCCTCTATCACTCAAGCTTGTGATGTAAATGCCACTGTTTTTGAAGAGAGAACCTTTCACAAGAAAAAAAGAAACCATGAGTATCTTACCATAACACTTTCGATGATACTTGCACTAAACACCAATTCTCCATAATTGGAATTATTTCCTTTTTGCCGACCTTTACCATGGTTAGCATACTTTGCGAAAGAGGCCTTGTCACCTTGAAAGCTCAACAACACACTATCTGCAAAAGTCTACAAATTTCCACCACGCTGTTGTTATCATTTGTAGATTGGTCTGTCGCAATTATTTAATTAACTAGCTATCCTTGTTATTGAAAAATTATAAATACATGTATTACATAACACACAAGCGGAATCATCACCAAGGGTAACCATATTATTCACCAAAAAAAAATAATATCGGAGCAGATTGGGTTAGCGGATTTAATGTGTCGTTGCTGTTGAGCGGGATGAAAACATTAGATGAAGGAAATGTAACTGGAAGCTTGATAATTTATCTTTTGCAGACGAAGGTTGTAATAAATCCCCGTAATAAATCCTCGTAACTTAAAACCAATACCATAACCACTATTTGGACATTGACAGTTAAACTAACCGAGTAACATAACACTTACCCTAGATGTGTCGAGCTTTCGATTGAGAAGTCATAAGCAAGTTGAGTGTTGCGTGGATGGTATAGTAGAACAAAGATAATCGATTTTTTACGAAGATGCAAGCTATCATGGCTATCTTGTAAACAGATTTACTGGATTAGCAAGAAGGTAACTTATAGAGAGTGCGCTCACACCAATGTTCAACCGATAGACAATATATAAAAATTGGCTTGATTACATCAAGGACAAAGATTTCGAAAGGGAACGCCAAGCACTTTATTCGAGATAGATGGGGTACACCACTTGACTCTAAGAGATCAGAGGGCAATTGATTCCATTTTTGATAAATGCGTCTATTGAGTTTTTTCAATTAGCCCGGAAGAGCTTGAAACGTCATGCTTTAGATATAGTCCGGCGATTGTGTAGCGCAAACTAAGCAAGCGTGGAGCTTATGCGTACGTTCTAAGATAAGGGGACATTTCATTTGGTTATTTGTTTTATGTTCCCAGTAAGCATAAAGTGATTGATAACAAGGCTTGATTTCTTACAAGAGTGCATCCAATCACTCAACCTCTAATGTGCTAAGCTGGTTTGAATTGGTTTTAGTAGGTCGACGGCAAGACATTGATATAGTGCTTGCTGAATGCGATCTTTTTTGCTCTCCTCGATTTAAGTGTCGAGCTCGGTTGAATATGTCTGCGAGTCATTGCCCAGTAACGAAATTGCAGCTCTATACCTAGCCGGGGAAATTATCCTTTTCAATGCAAAGTCACTTGTAATATACCGTCTTCAATCTTCACCAATTATAGCAGGGAACGGTTAATTCGATTCATTGCATGTGGGGAATATGCCAACGAGAAACACATCATATTATAAGTTTAACTGAACATTGTGTATCTACGTAATGTTCGGCTAAGTCTTGCGTATCTTGTGTGAGGGTGAAAGGCCTCAAAGCCCTTGAGCATCATCGAGCATAACCAAAACAAAGACTGGGAGGGGGGAGCGAATTCGGTGATTGTTTTCAGAAGAAAGCACCAATTGCACTAAACTAGGCTTTCGCCATCACGTTCAAAACCTGCATTGCTTAATTTTGCGAACGGAATTAGTTCGGGGGGCAAAAGTCTCTTTTGCAAGTTTTGAACTGATAGAATGCTTGTCAATATTGATTTGAACCTTTCACGACAGTCATTTCCATCGTAGAAGTATTCACGGTCTTGCCAAACTCTCTCTCTGAATAAGTAATTATTCATGAATCTTGCAATGTCATCCCACTTCTCAACCTCGTTTTCTGGTTCAAGACGTGCTTTCATTCTCAAAAATGTTAACACTTGTAGGACCTTACTAGGTGTATTCCTTTTGATGGTATCCATAACGAAAAACAATATTGGCAGCGAAAAAGCAGCCCCAACCAAACATCCTAGTAGGGCATCCGTCCCCAACCTGAGGCTCACAAGAAATGGAATAAGCATGAACCAAGAAGACATATTTCTTCTTAGAGTACTTAAATTCCACGTGAAGCGACATCGGTATAGCTCTCTGGGTAGTTTTTGTTCGTATTCATCATTAGCCAGGGCCACGAAATTCTCGTCCGAGTTCCAGTAGTCTTCGAGGCTAGTTTCGTAGACACGAAAAGCATTTTGAAATCTACGGCTATCTTCGTCATCTAGTACCTCTGACACATTTTGAGGGCGAAGACAACGCCTAAAAAATTCAAAACATTCCTCTCCGTTGAAGATACAGAAGGCAGTGGGCCATAAGCCCTTTTCGTGTAAGTAAGCATTGGTGTGAAGCGCTACTATATCCCAGTCCTCGAAGCGAGCGCTTGGCTTTCTCTCAATAACTTCCTGTGCCATAAAAGACCTTACCTTCAAAAGCGCACTATACTTTTTAGCTATGAACATGACGGGCAACAAGCACATAAATAGCTCGACAAAAACTATCTTACCATAGATGAATGAGGAGTGAGATTGTAATACATCCCAATAGGCGAAATAGGTGAATGCAAGTATGGTAAAGGTCAATATCCATGCATAAAAAAGTGGACCCCTGGCACACATGTGAAGCATCCATGTGCGGCGGTTTCTAAAATGGTTCGCGGGCAGGGAATCGAGACTCATGCCTGGTTTCCGAGTGGTTTCTCAGGGCGTTGCATAGACGATAATCAGTGCCAAGACAATTATTTCGAGTAAACTTTGAAGTGTTATCACGTGACGGCGATTTAGAGGGGGAGATCTAAGAGGGAATATCAGGACTCTATCAAAGACACACGAGCATATCACAAACCTTTACTCCTCTGTGTATATCTGCAACCTTGGGCCCGCAGATGATCTATCCTCAGACAAACGGACGTGGTGATCTGCTATGGCAAGGACACTAAAAGTGCATTGAATAGAAAAACCAGCGACGCCTCAGAACACCACACACACACACACACACACACACACACACCATGGCAAACCAATTTCCTAGGGGTGCCAAATGGTGGGTCAAGGAAGCAATTTCGGACCTGGGATTCTGCTTCTTCCGCGTATCTGCGTCATATCACCTTGTACCGGCATGTCATGGTTCCTGGTTCCCGTAAAGATCGGGTTCCAGTGTACTTCATTGACGCGATATGTAGAATTCCAAATATCACTTTGTACCACCCTGGCGTGGCATACATTCCGAAAAGTCGCTGACGATCGTGTCGCTGGGGGGGGGAAGCCGACGGTCTCGATCCGATGAACCATGGCAACCATACGGCTCTCCCAGGGCTCCTTTGGCCACACTGCCGCTGCTGACATACATATTCCGCCCGCTTCGCCCACCTTAGCGGTGGATGGAACACATTCCTCCCTCCGTAGGCAAACAACCCGGTTGTGTCGCTCGATTACGTAAACCTGCGCGACTGACTCACAAACGCAATCGACTCGGACGTCGAGCGTTCCTGACTCGGGTACAAACAACCATAGCGTGGGGGGCAGGGAAAAAAGCGACCCAGCTCTAGACCATCCCATCCCATGTTGGTCTGGAACCGCCTTCTGACGCTCGTGTTGCTGCTTCCACAGCAATCGCTCACCCACTGCAATCTGTCACCCCCTGCTACGATCCAAACAACCCTCGCCTTCACCATTCAACAGCATACCCGCTACTCAACTTGCCCACCGCAAAAAAATAAACAAAACAAAACCAAAAACACCACCCTACCTCCGCTATATGAAACTCCTCCATCCGCCGCGCCTCCCCCCTCAGGATCACCCTCCACGACCCTTGTCCTAATCCGGGGCTGTGTGCACTGTACGTAAATCCCACCTTGCAAATCAATCAACCAATCTTCCAGTCTTCCCATCATTCCATTCTTCTTCGAGTCACCCATCCTGTCTACTTCTCTTTCGAGCGACCAGACCCGTTTTTGTTCCATTTTGCCCCTACTGCCAAATCGCATTCCACAGGTTGTTGAGGAGACAATGGCAGCGGGGAAAAAGCCGGTTGCTACGTGTCACAAGAGGGGCTCAGAAGCCGTCTGCCCGCATTAATGCAGCTCGACGGCTCGTTGGCAACGCGAAACGCACGTAGCAACAAAGCGATAATGCGCGTTTTGTGCTCGTTTTGAGCTCGTTTTTGTGCTCGTACTGTGCATAATGCTGCGTCGGACGTGCAGCCGGGCGGGATGCGGTGCCCCGGCAACCTCGGGATAGCCAGAAGCAAGGAGATCAAGCCCTATTTGTGTGCTGCAACACATAGCAGCAACAGCAACAGCAACAGCAGCGAAGGAAACATTGGGAAAACCAAAAAAAAAACACCCAAAAAAAAAACCTAAAAAAAAAGTAAGTGCCAAGCTGGAAACGGTTTCCTGGCCCTTATACATCACTGTGTCGTCGTCGTCGGTCGCCTTGTCGGCTCGCAAAAGCATATATAAACGAAGCCAGAGGCGCGAAGGAGGGAACAGCAGTGGCGTGCTACTTGAGAGGAAAACACGCACGTAGTATACCCCCCACACACACACACACATACCCAAACGCGCCGTTTTCTTCCCGCGCCAGTGCTATTCCCACCACCAGCCATAACTATGAAAAGAGCCAGACCAGCGGGCGAACCAGGGGATGGGCACGTGACGCGCAAGATCACCAGCGACGACCAGTTTCTCTCGCGGCGCGGCTCCCTCGCCACGGGCCAGCCGTCTCCCTCCTGCGCGTCCAGCTCCTCCCACGTCTATCCAGAACACCGCGTCGATCCCACCGCCGTGCGGCTCTCGGAAAACCCGGCCGACGACTACCAGCGCACCTGGGTCTCCGCCGAGACCAGCCGTCCACGTGACTCAGCGGGCCTGCTGCACGTGACGCGCTCGCGCTACCGCACGTGTGCCGTGCAGAGCTTCCACGACGTTTTGCATGGCGTCTCTTCGCCCACGTCCAACTCCACATCGACGGCGTCGCCCACGACCACGTCTGCCAAGCGGGCCGGTCTCGATTGCTCCGAATACCAATTTCCAGACGTCCTGGCCACCAGCGACCTCACTCCACACGCGACCGGCGCACAACCGCCGCAATTGCTCGCCAATCGCGACGGCCCTCCCACGGATCTCAACTCCCTCACCAAGAACCAGCAGTTTCGTCTGCGCAAGATCCAGTATTCCGACCAGCGCGTATCACGTGCTATCAACCCGAACAACTGCGTGCTCTGGGACCACCACACCGGCTACGTCTTCTTTACCGGGATCTGGCGTCTGTACCAGGACGTGATGCACGTCCTGGTCTCGCTGGACCGGCCCGATACCCCGTCCTCGCAGCTCAGTGTCGATCGCAAGGCCCACTGCCAGCTCGAGCTTGACTACGTGTTGTCCAAGTGTCTGTACGAGCGACCACAGCCCGTCGACTCGCCAACCCATTTCTCGCGTCGCAAGCCCTCTTTCAAACGCACCTACCGCCATTCCAGTGTTCCCAACGTCACCGCTGCTCCCAACACTACTCCAGCAGCGACGGCATCATCGTCGTCGTCGTCGTCGTCCTCCTCCTCCTCCTCACTCCATTATTCTGATATCCACTGGCACAACCTTGATTCTCAACTCAAGGACTCCTTGTGTCGCGCATACCGCGAGGCCTATCACCACGATCAGGATTTCGAATTCCAAGACCTAATGAAACGTATTCGCGGTGGCTACATCAAGATCCAAGGCACTTGGCTGCCATTCGAAGTGGCCAAAGCTCTCTGTGTGCGGTTCTGTTTCCCAATCCGGTTTCTCCTAGTCCCCATTTTTGGCCCAGAGTTCCCCCACGATTGTGAACTGTGGTATCAAACATACGTGGGTCTTTTCCCGCCCAAACCTTCTTCTACCTATTCCGTACCCGCTCCGTTTCCAGCCCATCCATCCACTCCTCCTGTGCATCGCCATGAAAGACCCCAACAGCTGGACTTGTCACTTATGAGGCCCCTGGAGAGACCTCGTGTCGATGTAGAGTTATTGGACGCTTCTCAAAACTTGTTGAAATTATCTCGCAACAACCCAAGCCCCCAAGAAGCTTCCCAATCTCAAATTCCGGTGTCACCGTTCTTTAGAAACAGGGCTGCCTCATGGTCTCCTGAACTTTCTTCCCCACATTCGAACTCCGGACAATCACATCAACCCCAAGCGTTGCCGCCAATCAGACCTTTACTCGACTCTTTGGAACGCAACTATCACTCTCCGTCAAAGTCAGCCAATTTCAACAGTGATTCCGAATATTTTTCATCTCCCTTAAGCAACGATACCCGGTATTCCAGTCCTCCTATATCTCCGGGCTTCAGTACTCTAGCGACAGCTCCAAAATCGTATGGCATGGATCCAACGTCCAATACGGACAATAATTTCGTAGCAGTGCCTGCCTCATCTACCACAATAAGAGCACAACCAAAACTAGCAATCAGTCATCCTCATTCGAGCCCCATGGCTCTGAATAATTTTGCCCATTTTTACAATTCTCATGGACACAAGTACACCTACCCAGGTGGCATGCAGGTCATGTATCACACACAAAATACTACTCCCTCTCTGGAACAAAATTCACGTAAACCAGCGTTCTCGGGAGAAGGGGAATTTCTCAGGTAGGTATTTAATATGTATATTCGAGTTTAATCAAAGTTTATTTTCATATGTTTCAGTCTAGCTTTGACATCAATATCCAACTTAGCATGTAAAAGTTCAAGTACATAGTAAAGCTACAAAGGTGAGACTAGCTATATTCGATGGCCATTAAAGACTCACCGCACACACAAATGAATGCATTACATTGAATTAGCCGCCGAACCTGAAGATGAGTTCGAACGCAAAAGAATTCTTGAATGAGCTAGATTCGCCTTCTCAAAGCTAAATCAGACGTAGAAAGAGCCTATAATAACTAGAATTAGAAGCTTCAAGCCACGACCATTGCTGAGTCTCTTTCAGACCTCAACGTATACGGTGATTGAACCTCCCAGGGACGTCGTCAAATATTCAAGATTCATCTATAACAACAACTAATATTTATCTGGATTTAATCAAAGGGATGGTGCCAAAAGATGGACTTTCTTGATTATCAAACCTATGCTCTAGATGATACCACAACAAATGATACACAGCTCCCAGAACCGGCGAGCAGAATAAGTTTTCAGTCGCAGCCATCCTTCACGGAACCTGATAAAACCTTCCAATTGCCTAGCTTAAAAAGTTATAATACCACAAGCGAGGATAATGCGACGCTTCAAGAGAGAATGCAAAGATATGCGTCTCTATCACTGGAGCGATTGTCTTTGTCAAGCACCTCTCAATATACCAATACAGAGTTGCCCACCAATTCAAATGGAACTTTACCAAGAAATGACAATTTAAAGCAATTGCTACAAAGCAGGGAAACCGCTGCAAATAATGCAGATACTTTACTTTCCAAAAAACTCTCTCACGTTTTGGACAATTACAACCGGGGTGCTGCATTGCCAGACGTTCAATTAAGGAATTCTTTCAAGGTTCTTGAAGATAATGAAGAGTGTCTCAATTTCAAGAGTCAAACGCTTGTTCGACCCGATTTTGTGGGATCTCTAGCTAGAAAATCTCTGCGAAGTGATCTTGAAAACGAATTGCTGCGATCCCACTTAACCATTATCGAAGACATTAAGCCGATTGTTAGACGTATAAAAAGGCTCTCTGAACCTATAAAATCCATACAAGAATTGGGTGCGGGTCTCCTGCAAAAAGGAGATCTAAAGGAGGATGGTTCGAATTTAAATATGAACAAGCTACATGATCTACGGCAAAAAGTTTTACAGTTGCAACTTCAAAAACAACTACTAGTGATAATTCGTGACAAGCTTACGCTCACTCAAGTAGAAGAAGAAGTTCTTGTTAGTGCACCCATGGATGTCGAATTTTTCGCAGTAGTGAATAAACTAATGAATATAAAGGAAGCATCGTCCTACCTTCTTTCTCTTCAAAATCCGAAAGCAGGACAAACTCTGTTGAATCAAACTAATCTGAAAATTGAAAATGCTAACAAACGGATTTACAACTATCTCGTCAATTTTTTTTACGACCTGCAGTCTGCTTCGAGGACGTTTGGCGAGCGTACGTTCGCGTCCGATGACCGATTCCTTCTTACATTTCAAAAAAGTATGGTGTACTTATCCAATGATCTTACTCTTTTCAATGAGGTCTTGAAGAAAATTGTCAAGCTTAGATCGCAAAGAATTTTGGATGAATTTTTGTCACAATTTGATATCGATCCCTCGCTTAAGTCTAGACCAATAATCATGTCAGCTCACGACCCTTTACGGTACCTGGGCGACGTTCTTGCACACGTTCACTCGCTTATTGTCGATGAGGCCGATTTCATGGACTCCATGTTCAAATTTAAGAGTTTAGACATACAGGGTACGCCAAAGTCGGTTCTTCAAAAAAACAGCGAGTTTTTAGATGGCCTGGGTGTAAACCTACTAAATGAAACCTTCAAACCTTCTGAGAACTCTATAAGAATAAGGTTAGAGCAAATTATTAGGTTTGAGGATAACCCAGTCATCAACTTAGAGATATGTGAGCTGTTGAAGCTATATCAAATGATGTTCATCAAGTATGGAATTATGCCAACTTCTTCTCTTATACAACAGCTAATAGTCCTGAAAGAAACGTCCAAAAATAAAATCCTTTCTGGATTGATAAAGCTCATGGAAACTTCTGAACCAGAGGGGAAAGCAGGAATGGAGCTGCTTCCCCCTTATTGGCTATCAAGCTACATGGCAAATCTATGTGATTTTTTTGCCAAGTTGGAAAAGAGCGGGAACCCTGATGGGCCGGATAAGTTGTTGGATTCAAACTTTATGGATGAAGCCGTGAGCCGATTAGTAAATGAGAAGCTTGTACATTACCATCAAACCAGATTTCCCCTGGCAAAGAAAAACAAACACGAAAAAGTTCTTTTATTGGTTTCCGAAATCAATTGTCTAGACCTAATCCTGACAAGATTATCGCCTTTTAAAAACACTGTTTTGGAAAGCGATGATTGCAAGCAAGTTTACAATAGGATTAATCAACAACTAGACCATTCGATTAAAAACTTAGTCGCGTTACAGACAACTTTGTCACTGGACAAGCTAGGATTGGGACTCTATAGCAATCTGTTCAACATGATCTTTCCCGTTGAATCTGTTCAGGATGAGCTAGACTATGACATGTATTTACCAGTCTCGGAAAATCCCATTATGAAGAAGGAAACAATTGCCTCAAATGTGCACGACAAGCTCAATGAGTGTCTGCCGGAGTTGTCGAGTGATATACAGGACAATTTGGTGTTTAATGTTGTTTCACCAAAAATAGCGGAGCAAATTTCCCAAGCTTGTCTAATGGAGGTGTCAAGATTTTACACAGTCTTTAGACAAACACTATTTCACTTGTACCCTGATTTTGTGGAAGATATATCCACGACTTTGAATTTTACTGAGTCAGAGTTCAATACTTTGGTTGGTTTAGAATAAAATTGTCCTTTGTAATTAGTTCCTTAAATATTAATTTGACGGGTAGGAATCTTACCCCGTCCATACCCGTCTGCTTCATAGTAGTCCATTGGGTAAAAGTTTTCATTGAACATTTGATCTTCCTCCAGTAGTACATTCGCTTCATATGGTGTAAGAAGTGGTTTATTGAAGGCATAGCCCCAGTCTATGGATAACCTTGGACATGCTACCTGAACGAAGACATCTATATCATCAAAGATCGCAAGCTTTTGAGGAAATATTTCACTTAGGATGATCCTGCAAACATTTTTACCAGCGGCTTTCAATTTTTGCTCCAAATTGGTAACCGTGGCAAGATTACCTTGGCGACCTAAGGCACCTAAGATCAACCCAAATGTTTTGCCTCTTTTGGAGATGCTTAGCGCTTCTGTTCTCACTTGTACTAATTGTTTTTGATTGTATTTCTCAATAGTGAACTTTCTGCTGTAAGGGTCATATCGATAAGCAGGAATTTCAGGATTGTGTATCATAGCACTTTCAAGATGAAACCTCCCATCTCCAACATATATCATAGCATCAATTTGGCTCTTGTCAAGTCTTTGAGAAGTGCATCCGAGGACTTCCCCTTTGGAAAGTGGCTTGATTTGTGGAGGAATGATGTAAAGCATTTTCTCTGCATCCAGAAGTTTGTCCTTTATACTGTGAATGGTGGGATTAAACTGAATTGTCCCGAAGGTAGCAATGCGGGAACCGCTGGCAAAGTTCTTCTGCAGAGTCTTGATCAAATGGGATTCGTCGATGTTAATAGTCACGAAAACATATAAAACCTTTATTTGAGTCAGGTCAATGGGGACCAAGCAGGAGTGTGCATAGTGAACGATGAAATCACAGTCTAAAGCTCTGGCAGTAAAGTCGTCAATACAGCACGCCCCGTACGATACGTCACCCATGACTATAGTTTCGCAGTCGCAAAATTGACCCAAAATATCGCTGATCACTAGCGCATATATCAGCAGGCCTTCGGGCATTTGAAGTGCAATCCTTTTGGCATTGTGCTTTCGGATATTCCATACTGTTTTGTGAATTTCAAAATTATAATTTGACGGCAACAACTTAATGGCTTCATTCAGAGCCTCATCTTCCATGATTTCATCAGGAATTTGGTTGATCGCACGTCTTATGTTTGTTCTTGCTCTAGGTTTTGCTACTATTTCATCTCCTCGCTCGTTCTTCGTAGTGTTAACCTTTTCGCCCGTTTTGGACCCCACAAATCTCCTTCTAGGTTTCTTGACATTATCATGGTCTGGTGTCATATTTGAAATAGGCCTAGCTACCAAGAATACTATATCGATTAGAGTAGTATTGAATGAATATGTAGGTTTTGAGAGTTTTGTATCGAAGGCATCACATAAAATCATTATAATTTTTCACCTTGCCAACTATAAAAACTTATCTTTTAAGAGAAGAGCGCTTAATTTAGTCTAACCGCAGCCAAGGGCCCTGCTACTGTCTCAACTTCGCTGTAATGCTAACTCCTAGATTTAGCATCACTCAAGATGATGAGTTTCTCTTCATCTGTATAAATATCGCCACTGTTAGATTCAACGCTTCGAGCCTAGAAATGGTCGCTGACGACAATCTCTTCATATTTCATTTGTCACCTTACTATTTGAGACTTCGCTTCTCCAAAGGCCTGATAGATGACGAGCGCTCCGAAGCAGAATTCAAAGCGCAGGACGAAAGTATACGTATTCGAATCCCCAAAGCTAACAAGGGTGAGTTCTTCGAAGACCTTGATCTTCCGACCAAATTGTTGGCCCGTCAAGGTGATCTAGTTGCTGCAGATGCTTTGGAGCCTGCTACAAAGAGCCACAAAGGCCCATTAATCCAAGAAATCGAATCTTCGGAGGACAAGAACGAGCTGCAGCAAGTAGGTGAAGATTTCAATTGGGAGATTCAACAAGCACCAGCACTTGTTTCGGATGCTGCTAAGATCTTAACATCAAAATATGGGTTTGATGATAAGTATGATACGGCTATTGGTGTTTCAGTGGCAAATGGAAATGACATCAACGAGATAGACCAGCCAGACAAGTGTAACGGCGAGGAGCGTATCGAGGAAAGGTTGAGAAAAGAGAACTTGAAGTTTGATCCTGAATACTACGTTTCTGAATTCATGACAGCCAAGTATGGAAATGAAGATGATTTAGAGATCAATGGGATACGAACATTACTCAAGTTCACACCACCATTGGCTAAAAAGTTTTTAAAATGGTACAAGCATGCCGCAGATAAGGACTCCATCATGGACATCGAATTTTCTGAAAAAGAACAAAACCAAATGCAAAATAATCTGCCGAAGAAAACATACCTTGTCGACGACGTCAAGAGACTTTATTTGACTATCCTTTCACTACTTTTCGCCTACAATTTTGAGCAAACTGAAAATGAAGGTATTCATAACTCCGAGTCAGCGTGGACTATCGGAAAGCTGGCACCGCAATTATCATTTCTGGATCAATTGATCCTAAAACCGGAGGATGCCGGAGACTTTTCCATAATTAAAGCACTAATTGTTACAGGAATTAGACGCAGTCTAAGCTACCCCCTGCACAGGAACTACGAGCTGTCCATGAAAGTATGGGATTACGTTTATTACATTCTTCGTGGTGGTAAAAGGCTTGTAATACAAGCACTTCTTGATATCCATGAGGTATTTCGTTTCCACGATGTCTACTATGTTTACAACACCATTTTACTCAATGACTTATGCGCGTGGTTCATACTTGAAGGAAACGAAAACGTAATAAGAAGCCTTGCAATCACTTTAAAGAAAGAACTGGATCATACGAAGAAGGAGGACATCGAGTTTGATTGCGTTTGTGGCGTTGATGAGGAGTCAGGTCAAGTTTCTTGGGAGAATTTAACTATCAAAGAAATGGAGTTTTTATCCGAACAAGAATATTTACAAGACAATGCGTCTGCTACACAGACATAGATCCATTAATAGCGTACGCGGATAAGATGTATCAATATAAATTCAAATCTATTCAACTATTCAACAAATTGTTGGCAAAATTAGGCCCCTTCGTAACTTGAGGAATTGGCGTAGTTTCTTTACTACTGTGCTCGCTACAGGTTCGTTGATCGTCGAACTCATTCTCGTCTTCATTAGGATTGTTTTCATTGTTTGGAAAATAGTCTCGAGTCTTGGGTATATCCGTTAAACGGACTTGATTGGGCACGTTAAGATCAATAACTCCAAAGTTTGGAGTTGTGCTGGCTGACTTGGTTTTGCGATGTTTTCTGACAGAACCCTGTCGTCTCATCATCGATGGGGGAGCTGGATCATAACTCTGCCATGAGCCAAAATTTATCACTGATGTCATTGGTTCTTGAGGCTTTCTAATAGGGCACACTGTCGGATGTTCTTGCTGTATATGATGGGTTGGTTTAGCAAGCGGAAGAGAAAAGTTTCTGCGATGTGCTCTAAACTGCAAAGGTGATCGCTGGTTGGTTACCACTGGAACCTGGCCCGACACTGACTCATGCAAGTCATTGCTATCCTCCTCTTTCATTTGGTTATTTTCGGCCAAGTTAGCCACTGCTGCTGCACCAATTCTCGCCGGCGAGTTTGTTCTTCGATGCAAATTTACAGAGCTGTTTTTGGGAGGAAACTTGTAGTTCAGTGGGGCAATATCGTTCTCTTTTGACGGTATGAAAGAAGAACTGGCTGTCAGCTGAGTTGCACTGGAGCTCCGAGAGACCGAATCCTGCGGTTTTCTCGAACCGTCCCCGGAACCGTCAACACCTGATCCCGATCCTTGAAACAGATTAGCTATCATAGGGCCCGGAATTTTGGCGTTCATTGCAGTTCGCAGCAGTTCTATCGAGCGGTTGACGCATTCGAGTTTGTAGAACTGTTGTTTGGTCTTTTCCTGCTCCGTTTTGAACACCAAAGCTTGGGTTAACGAAGCGTCCGAGAACGGCCATTCCGAGCTCTCTGCACCAAACAATGACCACATCACATTTTTCTGGGACTTGGGCGGATCGCCGGGACTGCCCATAGCTGTCGAAATGGCCTATATATACTACAATACGTAGTTATCAGGAGTTTTCGGTCGATGAACTTTGCGCGATTCAGAGAATTGTAGATTGACACTTTCAAGAGTTATTTCAGACGAGGACTAGTGACAAAAGAGGTAAAAGCTCATCACGTCCATTGGCTAAAAGAAGTTTTGATAAGTAAGAAGAATATCAAACTGGTCTGTGTGTATAGTCTTGAGTAGTTTACATAAAGAAATAGATGACGAGATGTACACCTTCTGACAACTTGTATTAGAAAGAATAACGAAACCAACTGATAAAACTCTGATATATAAGTCTTGTTTGTCTCGGCCCAGACCTCCGAGTCTTCTAAACTGTCTCTTCCTCGAAAACCGTTTCGATAGGTTTCTCCACAAATGAGGCGTGGCCAAGGACAGACACCGCAGAAGCTCCAATAAGCCACATCAATGTGGTAAATGGCGAAGCAAAAAACCCGAGAGGAATAGCAACACACATGAGACCCGTGTAGAGCTGAGAGCTTTTGAAAGTACCGAACGGAGTTATCAAGTCCTGGCCCTCCAGCTTGTTAATACCGTAAAGCCCGAAAAAGACGAACACCAGCACAAACAGTAACAAGAGGTTTGTTAGCAGCGTGTAGATGCTCAGCAAGCCTACAATTAGCGCGTAGTTTGTAGAAAAGTGCCTGAGGTTGTATGAGACACGCGACTGTAGGTCTCCGAAATTCTGAGGCTTCGACACCTTTTTCACATTAAAAAATTCTTGTACCGGGCGCAAAGTCGCAAGTTTGCTGTGCATGGTTTGCATCTCGGCCTTGATACGGTCTATGGACAAGTTATCCGCGTAGCGTGACAAGTTCTAAGGATTTTTTGTTAGTCAAAATAGAAAACTTCGGAGGCTTGGCTTACCAAAAAGACGATACTCTTCAAAATCCTTCAAGAGTTGTTGTCTTCTTAGTTGTCTTTTGCATCGTCATCAGAGCTAAACTTACTGAAAGTTGGGAGAGCTGGTTCATTTTCAAAGTTACTTCAGATCGGACTTGTCTGGGATTTGTTTGTGTTGGTTTACGTGTTTAAAGTTGGTTGTGTATACAGAACATCGCGGTTTTTGATTTTTTTAGCTGAAACTCGGAACTTAGAAAACCGGGGACTACGAAAATTATGCTTCCAACAGGATTCGAATGGGATAATCATCGTGGTAATTTTAGAACCTCGAGGAAAATTCGATGTGCTAAGAGTACCGATCACTTTCAGATCAAATGGACTCATATATCAAGCACTTATATGCGCAGGTCTTGTTTAACCATGGCCCGGCAGATGGGGTGGTATATATCTTTGAATTTTTCGAACGTGTTGAGTGCGAGCTCTCTATCAACCGAATTTAAGAGACGGTAGCCAGGGCGTACAAACTTCATTCTTCCGACGGTTCCAAGCCATTCGGCCAATTTAGAGTATGACTGGCTAATTCTTGCGTTCACCTCGAACCGGAAAACCCGAAACACGACCTCAGCATTTTGAGATTCGACTGATTTTTGGCGGTAGATATTGAGCAAAGAGTGCGCAGCAATCTGATTTTGTGACCAGTCAATATTTTTCGATTGAACGGAGGGGCTTCCTTGCACTAGCGTATCAAACAATAAAACCATTTGATTCGAGTTAAACTTTACGACATCATCTGCAGAGAAAATCTTCTTGAAGTCCTCCTGGGAGTGACACACCGGAGCGTTCGACACCCACTTGTCGGCCAATTCGTAGACCTCGTCAGCTAAGGTGGTGATAAGTTTAGGTTTAGGTGGCATGCCCGGTGTAAATAGCCATGTTTCCCAATCAACGCTCTCCAGCAGGGACCTCTTGTCCGCGTAGAACTCGAACAACGTATCCAAGAACTGCCAGGTATCGAGGGATTGGCGAGCAAATTTTTTGAAATAGTGCTTAATAAATGGGTCGAAGGCCTCCTTACCTCCCACCAAATTCTCCAGATACAGTAAAAATGTAGAGCCCTTTTCGTATGGCACAGTAGAAAATGCCTCATCAGGATCTGTTCCATCTTTCAGGTTCTGAACAAGCGTAGAGAATCTATTTGGATTCCTCATGGAACTTATAGAGTTTTCAAGATCATTCCAGCCGATAAGAGCACTAAAATGACGAGAAGGCTCTCCATGAATAGCAGCCATTATCCTCCTCTCTAAGTATACGGTCCAACCTTCATTTAACCAAAAATGATCCCACGAACAGTTAGTGACTAAGTTTCCCGACCAGGAATGCGCTAATTCGTGCGCAATAACGTCCACATTACTTTTGTCATGTGCAATCAGTGTAGGTGTTGCAAATGTCATGTTTGGAGATTCCATACCTCCATAGGGGTATGAGTTTGGGTTGATTAAAATATCATAGGTGCCCCACTCGTACTTATAAATGATACTTTCAGCAGCTTGGATGAACTTTTCGACATCACCATCGAACTCCCATTGGGCATCTTCCAGACGGAATGGTTCAGTGTAAACTTTTGACCGAGGCCCCACATCTGCCGACACCAAGTTTCCGGAAGCAATTCCAATTAAGTACGCCGGGATAGGAATATCTTGAGCAAAGCAATATGTCTCGCCAGGTTTGTCCGTGGGAGCCGCAATGCCAGAGAATACAGTAGGCAAGGGAGACGTGATATTAGCGCTGTAAGTCGATTTCACGGAAGGTGTATCAAAGCATGGAAACAGCGAGCGTGCGTGGATTGCCTCCAATTGCGAGAAGACATAAGGTTTTCCAGAGGTTTGATGCCCCTCGAGCCACTGCAGGGCAGTGCATTTTTCCGTGGTCGAAAAACCACATGTAAGTTTGAACACTTCAGGCAAAGTGCCTTGGTAATTCACCACTAGGCGAGAACCAAGAGGCTCTTTTCTGTGTTCCACTTTGAATTCGACTGGATTTCCGTCAATACACACCTTGGAAACATCTAAAAAGGAAGTGTCAAGCCAAATTTGATTTTCTTTCTTCAGACAACGCATGTCATAGCGCACCTTACCACTGATAGACTTGTGCTGAAAGGATATGTGCAAGTCTAAAGCCGAATGCTGTACTTCGAAGCTCCTATAGTTAGATAGAGTAGAATAGTCAATTTCGGGGCTTTGCTTTGGCCTCCGGCTTTCCAAAACCTTGGGTAGCTCTTTTGGTGCCGCGAATTTCACTTGCGACGCAGACATTGATGTGTAGAAACTTCTTGCTGTTCTAATACTTTTGAACATGAGTAATACGTCGGTACCATATTTTTAGGGTTGAAGCTGAGAACAATTCTTCAATTGTCCACTAATAGAAGTACCTTTTCACGAAAACTAATATGATTAGCTGGGCTCGGCGGCTAAATGATATTATCATCAAGAAACTCAAAGATCCCGTATATATATGCCAATATTTCAAAAAAGTGAGAAGTGCCATATTAAGCGCTATGGAATGTACCCAAGAGGGGCGCGGATAGTCCGAGGCCTTTTTGAGATACATACAGGGTGGTGCACTATTGGTGGACAATTTAACAAGAAGCAGCTGCTTTGAGTTTTCGATAGACAACTAATTTGGCTTCAAAGATGGGCCTTTCAAATTTGGTGAAGCGTATGTTTCGACCATGAAGCCGTTCAATCAATTGCAAAAGATCATCCAGGTGACAAGCTGAGCTTCTAAAGTCCCACCCCCCTTCATTCAATGCGAACCAGATCGGCTTCTCCATTACCTGAATTGTCAAATGTCTATAATCATATACAATTAAAAACAAAATGCGAGCGCGACGAAACCGAGGGCAGCTTCAAGATATTAAGCATGTTTTCTCGAGGAGGGTTCTTCTAACGGTTAAGATATGAGACAGCTGAGAGCATGACACAGTCTTAAAAACAGAATTCAGCGTTATCTAGCGACGAATTACAGCCGCAATTCCATCTATGATTGTTCCGACTTCACGCTCAGCAGCCTTCGTTTGCTTAAAAACAAAAATGCAAATATTCTTGCTCGAGCACAATGTATGTTTAACTGTGATCCGCTGGGGCGCAGTCTCTTTTAACGTGAACTAGGAAGCTATGGCAATTACTGCTGCAGTTTTTCTGCTCCCAGCTCTTGAATCACTCGTTAAAAGCGCAAACAGGCCTTCCGGGAATAGCTTTCTCAAACACTTTTCTTATAGATTGAGCACGTTTTAGAACACGTATAAGGACCGATGGATCACTTCTAGATACATGGTCCTAAATGTCAACACTTAATATGCACATGGGCCGGGGATCGTAGCCCAGTTCGAGAGGAACGCATAACTTCGCTACCTCATGCGAAAAAAGCTACCTTGCTTGCCATACTTTACGAGACAGATGGCGACCTAGCTTTACAACTGAATTTCTTTTGCCTGTAGCTACAAGTGTCCAGAAATCCCACTTAACACAGTGTCGTGTTGTAAGTCCAATCTCGCGTATGATCATCAGCAGAATTGTCATGGCAAAACAAAATACCAGCGCCGTGGCCAATGAAAGCTCCACGCCATATATGACTTTCAGTCCAGCCTCAGTACTTGGATTATCTCCCGCATCTTTCTTTGACCAATTCTTCCAAAAGGATTTACTTTTTGCCGGGTGCGACTTACCTACTAATTTGTCCTTCTTGCGTTCTGAAGTGGAACGATGTTTCAGTAGACCGCGAAACGCTCTATATCTATGACTTTCACCTCCTTTAGCAAATTCCAAACCCATCTATATATTTTGAGTACTTAATCGTCCAAGCATGAGCTAGATAGGTAAACACTGTTCAAGACAGAAAGGGGTGGTGATCGAGAAAAGAGAAAATGCTAAAATACAAACTCAAAGACGCAAGGCCGTGTGTAGTAATAATAAGCAAGAACGACACGACCATGGCGAATTGAAATAAGGAAGCTTGCCATAGTTGTTAGGAATAAGCAGGTATGAGTGAAATCTGACCGAGAAAAAAAGTTACAAAGCTGGCCATAAAAAAGTGTTCATGAAGTCCAGCCTTTGGAGAATAGGAATCAGATGCATGTTATTTGTATCCTTGGATTTTGTTTGTTCGTTACCAGAAACTCTTAACTTGCGAATTCTACAAAATAGAACACCGTTACAAAACTACAGGAGCAGCCGATTGCTTTGTCAGATTGTCAATCACCTCAAGTCAGCAAGGTAGAGCCGAGATCGTGTGTTAAGCCAAAAACTGAGCCAATGTCATCTACGTTTTTAAACATGGTCTTATTTTGTATTTGAACTTTTCTCATTTACACCTGTACCAGCTATCTTTAATGCGATATCGCAAATCATAAGAGTGATGATGATCCCATGAAAGAATTCGCTCGAGTTTTGATTTTGTTCTTACTTTGCCGCACATCGATCGTCATACTTTGTTTACTCCGCAACTTTTCAAAAGATTTACCAACGCGCTTAAACGAAAACTCATTGTGTAGCTTATCTGCCAGCAAGCACATTATAAGATGCAAAAAAAAAATCAATGGTCAAACAATGAAACACGGACTTGCCTCTCATGCGGAACGTTTGGCTTGCTTCCCGAGAAGTAGATACTTCGTTGATCGGCTGCCATTACTAAAAATGTAATCTGAAGGCTTGAAAGAAAACATGAGAGCAGGCTTTAGCGCCTGCGCCGGCAGCCTCGATTATTTTTTTGAACAGCGTCCCTCATGGCTGAATTAAAGCGTGTTTAGAATGGTGAAGCAAACAGGCAATTTGTTAATAGTATAGGAAGAGTGGACAAGAAATGGGCTTAGAAATGAATAAAGATAGAGCTCTAGTTTTTAGTCTTCCTCTATTCGTGTAGAGTTCCCTGCTGTTGAACTTCTGCCAACAATCGCAACTAATGGGCGCTGGCACGTAATATGGTTTCGAAGCCGCATTATTCAGAGGTGAGTTGTGTTAAACAATTTCAGAGCTACGTTCAAACTTCTCTGCCTGAGCTTTCGAGAACATTACAGAAAGCCTTCCCATCCCGAATTTGCAAAGGCTCCAGGGAGTTAAGAACCGAATAGCTTTGTTTTGCAATACACGCTGTAATAATATAATACTTTTCGTTCCATCTTCGCCTATCCGCAGAATTCCAACGCAGAGCTTCAGTTGTTTTTCGACCCGTGCGTGAATAATGATCTCTACCCCTCAACAAACAAGAATAATAATAATATTGAAGGTATTAACAGGTCATCATTCCATGAGACCAATGTCGATGAAGTCTGACGCTGCCGAGCGGCCTACAAACATGCAAGAGGATATGGCCAGAATGGGAGTTAGCTACGTTCAACACACTGGAGAAGCAGGCATGAAAAGCTTTACTTCCAATGAACAAAGTGTCAATGCTCGTGCCAACGACGACAGAAATTTGAGTAGGTCCCAGCCACCGTACCCTACGGACAATGCCTCTTCTGTCGGCAATAATCGAGAGTCGATGAATAATGGGCACAGCACTACAGATATACTGGATAACTTCTTCCAACCGCAAAAAAGTCACGCATCCTCCGTTACTAGTGCCTCCACCACTGGTTTGGCCAAGTCGCGCATATCGCAACAGTGGGTCCACAATCCCACTAGGCAGCAAGACCCTCGTTCGCCACTTGTTACTTTGCTTCCCACGTCTGCGAATCCCACTGAAGTTCTGGCGCAACGATTTGCAGCATGGAGACTTGTTATTCGGTCGATATTAGTTTATATGACCGAAACCGTCTCAATTCAAGACGAGATTGTCAGACAGCAACTGCGACTATCGCATGCAGTTAATTTCCCATTTTTCGCTACTGAAAACAATTTGCAGCCCGCGACACCAGAAGAGAGAGCCATACAAAGGTTCTTCTTGCCCTATGGCAATGGCTCCATTCAAGATCTGCCCAGTATTTTATCACAATATCACTCTCAAATGGCCAATGGCGCTTTGAAAACTTCTAAAGAATTGGCGAATGAGGTCATTCCCCGACTGGAAGACCTCAGAGGTGACCTATTGATCAAAATGAAAGAGATAAAAACTCTTAATACTGATTTCAAAAACGATTGTGGCAAGGAGTTGCAACAAACAAAGCATGATCTAAAACAGTTTTACGAAGCTGTGGAGTCGGCACGTTACGGTTCACCAAAACAAGATCCATATTTGCTCAAGATTGCGCTTGAAAAGCAAATAAAGAAACAGATTAGTGAGGAGAATTTACTTCACGAAGCTTTCGACAACTTACAAGGTTCTGGTCGAGAACTAGAAAAGGTAGTTGTCATGGAAATTCAAAACGCATTGACTATCTATGCGCGTCTTCTAGGTCAAAACGCTCAAGTTGTTTTTGACTGCCTAGTTTCCAAGCTTGAGGTTGGGTTTTTCAACAAAGAACCAGTTTTCGAGTGGGACAACTTTATTGCGAAGGATGCAAACTTCATACCGCCCAACGTACCCAACCGGCGTATGAAAGATATCGTTTACAAGTATCAAGATGATCCGCTCACTTACGAGGTAAAGTCAGGCTTTTTGGAAAGACGCTCGAAGTTTCTCAAATCTTACTCTAAGGGGTTTTATTTATTAACACCAAGTTATTTGCACGAGTTTAAAACACCTGACAGGAAAAGAGACACAATTCCTGTTATGTCCCTCTCGTTGAATGACTGTACTGTTGCAGAACACTCCAAGAAAGGTTCGTCTGAGCATAAGTTCATTTTGCACGCAAAACAAAATGGCATCATTCATCGTGGGCATAATTGGGTATTCCGCGCGGAGTCTTTTGAATCCATGATGATGTGGTTCGAAGATTTGAAAAAACTTACCTCAACTTCTAGTCCAGTTGAAAAAGCCAAATTCATCATGGGGAAACTGAACTCAGACTCTGACAAAAAAGTTCGACAGAGAGTTTCATCAGTGAAAACAAACGGTAGAATGACCGGTCAACGTGTTTCAACCCCTCAGCAGCAGCAGCAGCAGCAGCAGAGCGGCAACTTCCAAACTCCGAACCTTGACAATCAAACAAATACTAATACGTCTGTTTCCATTCCGGAGACGGAATATACTAACCATAATATGATCATCAATCAACCCAGATTGTCAGAAGGAAGCAGAGACCGCGCATATGATGAAGGCGTCTACGCTGAAAAGGTCAGGGACTCAAGTCACTTTCGAACAAACAAAGCCGGCGATTCGGGACATTACTAAAGTATTTTAGTGTTCAACTTCAACACAGCTGTTGAGCCAGATGGCTCTTTGTAACAATACCATCTTAGTCTACTCGACCAAAGTCTGATGCGCGTATTCAGTATTTCTACACCCTATATATTCCATAATCATAAATAAATCTGAAAATGGAAATTTGTTCTATAGATTACAATTCGAAGAGGCACTTAAATCTTTTATAGATCGTTGAGCACTTCATTCCACTTCTCCGCGAAAGTTTCGTCGGAAAACTTATTTAATACGCATTGCTTGCTTCTTTGCGAAATGTCAATCTTTTCCTCCGCAGTTAGTTTGGTAATTTCTAAAAATGTGCCTCCCAGAGTATTGTAGTTATCGCTCTCCCCTTTGGCGAAATCAGGATCGCTCGGATCTTTAAAAAAGAACCCGGTCCTATTCTCCTCGGTTGCTTCAAGGACCTGCTTATTGGCTTTCAGATTCCACGGTACAACAATATCTAGCAATGGGCCGGCCGATGCATGTACCAAGGGTATTAACCCAGATGCAGCATATTCAACGACAGCAATACCAAAATGCTCGTTCCACATTGCATTGATCCCATACGTTGAATTTTGTAGATGTTTTTTCATCGTTTCATAATCGCAATCGGTTTGAAACTGTACCATATCCTCGGGAATTTTACAGTTTTTGAAGGTTAACTCTTTTAGCTCCTCAACATAATCACGGTCGTTTTGACTTCTGGTAGATCCAATAAAGATCAATTTGGGTAACTTCGATTGATTTTCAGGAGCAGATTCTTTCAAAGCAGCAGCATATGAGCGAATGATAAGTTTGTGCCTTTTTTCAGGTCTGAACTGAGCAATAATTACTGCCTGATTTTGTCTCGACCACAAATCCGAGCTTTCTTCAAAAACTAGGTTTTCTGTCGAACACGGAGGATATATTATTCTTTTTACACTACTAGGCCAAATTTGACTGATGTGTCTTTGAGTCCAAGTAGAATTTGTTGTCGCGATATCGACATAGTTTCCCGTAAATCGATAAAACATCATGAAAAGTCTCCAATAATAGTATTTGATCTTGAGTTTCAGATTGGTTTTGAACCCAGGAGTTAACACAAGCTTCTCTAGCATGTCTGATGATATCACAGGATAATGGGTGTAAGTTATGATCGGGATCCTGGCGAACCAATGGACAACGGGATACGTAAACGGGTACCCCATAGTTTCGCACCAAACGTCTGGTGTAAGTTGGTACAGTGCTTCAATAGCTAGAATGACAGATCCCAATGCTTGTCCCAAAAGCGTGAGCCTGGGCCAGGTTATAGGGTCGACCAAATGTCTTCTCTTCAGAAAAACGAATACAATTCTAGAGCTGTCGAGTTTATAATCAAATCTCTTTGTAACATTGTTGAGGATTTCTGCGCCGGATACATCGTTGTCGCCGCTGTAAACAGCTACGACACCTTCGGGATCTCTTTGTAGTGTAGCTTCAACCGCTTTCCAAAGAACTTTCTCACCACCCCCACCTGCGTTGCAGTAAGGATGAAAGTATCCGTATATAATCCGATTGTAATTTCTGTTATGCGGCACCATGCGGTTGATAAATGACTCTCGGTTTTTGCGGTCCTCAACACCCACTTGGATCTTGGATTCAAAACCTTCATTGCTGTAAGCAGATGGTTTATATGAAGCTAAAATTAGTTGCCGCCTAACGCTTCCGGTTTTCCAGCCGAAGTTCATGGCCGGGATCTTACCTGTCGTGTCCTCTGCACCCTTGATGGCCTTATTTACTCTTAATCTCCATTGCGCTGGTGGAGCAGTCAAAAAATGAGGCAGGAACCCACTAAGAACCTTAGCGACGAATGCTGTGGCTGCCAGCAAGGCTAGTAATGTACCAAAGAATTGATTGGTAGACATGAGCATCTTTTATCCCAAGTTTGTTTACAAATTAAGAGTTCGCTGCATCCATAGACTGCATTTCTTAGAAAAAGATCAACAAACTTTAAGCGAAGGAAAGGAAGTAAAATTCGCGGCCAACTGCACCTTAGGGTTATGTTACGATATAGAGTGATCATTTTGAGTCTGTCCCAATAATCAAATGTCCTGTACATCTTTTTGGCATCACCAAACCTCTTTGGCGATTCGATTATATATCTAAAAAACACCAAATATTTAAACCAGCATAACGAGAATGAAAACGAACATTGAATTACCTGTCCTTTAGCTCTTGTACGAGTTCAATAAGTGGCCCATAGTCCTGCTTCTTCAGTAATTGTAACTCTTGAGTGAAAAGACAGAAATGTCTGAAACTTGTGTTTAAAACTGTTTGTAAGTTGAGTTCGAGCATCTCGTTGAAGTGGTGGCAGTATATGTGAGCATAAATCCGGAACAGTCTCTTCAAAATAGGCTTGGCATTTGTATCGATGAAAGATGAAGCAAATGGGACATTCGGTTTAGAAGGAAATACTTGTTCGTCGTCAAATTGATCCTGACACCATTTCATTAGAAACTCAACGTATTTGGGGGCCGATACTGAAAGTGGTGGAGACCCCGGTTTAACATACCACAGATATTCATATTCGCTAGTAGCTATCATGCGAGGACATGACTCGGGTGAACAGAATTCTGTGACAGCGCCGTACAGCATGTTTATTTGATTGTAAAAGTCAACACAGTGTACTGCAATCCATTCGCTGATATCTTCACCCTTGGGTAGTTTTACAGCCTGGTTTAGGACACCCTGAGACCCTAATGTTGTTTCAACTATCTCTTTTAAATCTTTATGTGATGACACTGCAGTTCCTTGCGATGCGTTCAGGTACGGCTTTTGATGAGAAGGTGTATAATTGAAGTCTGTTATCGGACCATTTGGACTCTTTTGAGGTGTGGAAAACATGGGGCTCCCCTGTTCGCCCAGGTTTGAGCTAGAGAGTTCGTTGTCATTTAACGGGGTCTTGGTAGTATTCCACTTGAAGCCTCTTGTAGACCGGATAGTCTGTCCTGGACTTAGGTGACTGTTGCAAGGCTTGATAATTAGTATAACTGAGCTGAGTCTGTCACCCGATCGACCAGATATGACTTTGAGGAATTGGGTATGGATACCTCGTTGGAGCACAAAATTGCTTTGTATAACAAAAATAGCAATGAGCCCGGAGTAACTTACAAATTTTGTAGAAATGCCATCGATGATTTCACTATATTGGTTCGTGAGCTAGAGATATCGTAACTAACCTGATAGGTTTCGCACTGTTACTTACAAGACCGACCATACTTCAGTTTGTCTCTTTAGCTAGCATTTTCGCAGTGTTTGTATTTTGCTAAAATAGGCTATCAACTTCGTTAACAGCGATGATATGCTAATGTATCCAACAACAAGTCAACAAAGAGCCTGTGTAGTATGTTGTTTTGAGCAGTGGGTTCAACAGTTGACGGCATGTTTGTGCCATTCTTGAATTGGATGTTCTCAGCTTACTGCCTTACTGGCAGTTTCATCGTTTCTGACGAAACGTTGTTCTGAGAGAAGGATTTACATCCTTTTTCTAATTAACGAAATGTTTACAATGGCTAGTAGTACTAGCTAGAGATTGTTCTTTCCTGTTCAATCGGGTTTTGAACCGGGTAGCAACCTTTCAACGCCGTTATCATTTGTACTGATTTTGACTAATTGAATGGAAACTGTTGCTCCGGCTGTATATTTGTTCAGTAGACGCCTTGTAGACACCTTGTAGACACCTCTTACGAACTGTAGGCCCACTCAACAGTCAAGAAAAGCTTCAAAGATCTTTTATTGCCTCTCAAAATTACTAGTTAGGTTTACAAAAGTAGCTCGGCTGCGTAAAGTGATAAAAGGGAAGTGGAGCATCCAATGTCGTCGAAGAGCTCCCGCCTAGAAGAGCTCCAATGATGTTTTACGATGCATGGCACGATAATTCGCATTTAAAATGTTGGAACTAGTAGATTTTGAGTGAGTTTCCAGCCCTAAAAACTTGAAACGGAAATATAGTTGCCTCGATCAGCTATGTAGCTTTTGTAGCTAGACAAATTAATTGATGCAGGTTGATTTGATTTGTTTTGACCAAAAACATTGAACGGACTATTGAATCACAAATTTGTCAACCCCAACATTGCAATTGTAGCTCCACCGACACTGTCCACAAGCTTCAACGCGCCGTCAAAATCCTGTTTCGGAGAATAACGTAGAAGTGAACATTTCCAATCACGCAAAACGCACATAGCCATCACCAGTGCCTTGCACGCCTGCAAGGGCCGAACTTTAGCAAGTAGAATTAGTAGCTACGTTTAAGATTCCATATAAATTATAAGCTCTCCATCCGCACTTTCGAGTCAAAGTAGTACGCAATCTGGTTTTTTTGTTCTTCAAATTTCCTCCAAAGGGTACGCCATGATATCTTTATTGCAATATCAAAAAGTACATCCTTTATTAGATGTCGAATTTTCATAAACTACAAATTTATAGCAAAACTGATTCTGAAATTAGCTGGCTATCATTGAGCTTAGTCTATTGATCCCGTGGCATGATGTTCAAGCCAGTAGAGTTCTCACACAATGTTTCAGCGGCGAGTTCAGATTCGGAAGTGGAGCCTTTAGAAAACCACCAGTTGCAGAATCATGAGCCAGAAAAACACGTTCGTCTTGATGTGGGTACAAAGTCAGGAAACCCTGTGTCACCTAATGACCAAGATTACGAACTTCCTGTTTTCCAGAAACGTCCATTGAGTGATACTCCAGTAGGATCGTATTACAACTCCCCCAGCGACTCACAAGAAAATTCAAGCGATACGACACCTGTTCCTTCGTCTCACAACAGTTCCAGTGATCTTCGAGACTTGCAGAAAACGCCTGGGGTAAGCGGTAACTCTGAATTGCCCAATAACTCCCAGTTCATACATCCCAAGGTGAGACCGACGACGATAGACGTTCCGGGACTAACCAAATCTAGAACATCGCCAGATGGAACAATTTCGAATAAAGACCCCGGATCCAAGCTTGTTATCGTGATGGTAGGGCTGCCAGCTACAGGAAAGTCGTTTATCACCAACAAGCTTTCTAGATTTTTGAATTACTCGATGTACTACTGCAAAGTATTTAATGTGGGCAACACTCGTCGTCAGTTCGCCAAGGAACACAACCTACAAGATCAAGATTCAAATTTCTTTGACCCTGGCAATCCAGAAAGCAAAGCGTTGAGGGAGAAATGGGCCATGGACACTTTAGATCAGCTTTTAGATTATCTTTTGGATGGACCTGGCTCAGTGGGAATTTTCGATGCTACTAATTCCAATAAGAGTCGGAGAAAGAAAGTACTAGAAAAAATACACTCACGGAATACACAAATCAAAGTACTATTTCTGGAAAGTGTGTGTTCCGACAAAGCAACGGTCGAAAAAAATATTCAGCTCAAGTTGTTTGGTCCCGACTACAAGGGCAAAGACCCAGAAACATCTCTACAGGACTTTAAAGAGAGGCTTTCGAACTACGTTACAGCTTACGAACAGGTTGAGGATGATGAAGACTTGCAGTATATCAAGATGATCGATGTGGGTAAAAAGATAATATCCTACAATATTCAGGGCTTTTTAGCATCTCAAACCGTGTACTATCTTTTGAACTTCAATTTAGCAGAGAGACAAATTTGGATTACGCGTAACGGAGAAAGTGAATACAATGTACAAGGCAAAATTGGGGGAGATTCCGGTTTGACCCCACGCGGTAGGCGATATGCAAAAGCTTTGGCGAAGTTCATCGACGAGCAAAGAGTTGCATTTACGGAGAATGAAATGAAAGCACAGCTAGAGAACAGAGTCGATGGTAAAAATTTCAGTGCTACAGAGTTTTTCGTCTGGACATCCATGCTCCAAAGAGCGGTTGAAACCGGGAACTATTTTAACGAAGACGACTATCCTAACAAACAAATGCGAATGCTAGATGAGCTAAGTGCTGGAGATTCCGAAGGCTTAACGTACGCTGAGATTCAATCCAAATATCCTGAAGAGTTTGAAGAGAGACTAAACGATAAGCTGAGGTATAGATATCCAGGAATTGGTGGCGAGTCTTACATGGACGTGATCAACCGCTTAAGGCCGGTTATTACGGAAATCGAGAGAATAAAAGAAAACTTGTTAATTGTCACTCATCGAGTAGTAGCTCGTGTTCTTTTAGGGTACTTCTTAAACCTAAGCCGAGACATCATAGCCAACCTTGATGTCCCACTCCACTGTGTATATTGCCTGGAGCCTAAACCATACGGGGTAACGTGGTCTTTATTCGAATATGACGAAACAAAGGACACGTTCTTCAAAGTTCCTCACACAGAGCTTAACACTATGAAGGTTAAAGAAGTTGGACTCGTACATTCGGAGAGACGTTACTCGATTGTTCCGACGGCGCCTCCCAGTGTTGCTAACACTAAAGGTGAGTTTATGACGAGCAATGCAAGCTCCACCAGTCTAACAAAAACTGGCTCAAGTGCTCCTTCGAAACCCAACCAAAGTCAACGATTTCCGACCGTAGGAGGAGGAATGACGATTGCAAGGCCGAGTTTGAGGCCACAAACTTCTCATCCAGCCAGTTCAAGTAGATTTGCGAGAAGCGTTTCAGGCAGTAAAGACGTTTTTGAAAATCGGTCCATATCCACCCCACCTCTGCTCGGCGGTCACCAAGAAATTGAGTTGAACAAATTGAATGAAAAGTTGGCTCTTTTAGGAAAGCCTGATTCGCGCAGAGGCAATGCGTCCAGTCCAACACACATGAGCAGAAGTCAAAGTGAAATTTGATCTCGTATGATTGTGAATTGACCTAAGGCTTTGAGGAACATGCAGCTTCTATATTTGTTGTGAGTTATACTTCTAAATAGCCGTTATTTTTAATGACATGAAATGAAACTATTCTCAGCTCGATCCGTAAATAATACCAATGGCGTCTACCCATTGGCCTACCCTGCCATAAATGCCTAAAATATGCTGACCACTAGGAGCAACAGCTTGGTGCTGGCTTCCACCATTTGAGTTTCCGAAGTAGTTACTGACGCGACCTTTACTTGTAATAATCGAAATGCCATCAACCCAACAGCCGGATCTAATGTTGAAGCCGACTAAGTGCTCGTCAGAATCTAAAGAGACATCTGAATACGAGTTTGTTTGATTACCAAAAAGTACACTGGGGCCGTTAGTATCTTCGATACTTACAGATTTTAGAGCGCTCGTGAATTTATCCATGTAAGATCTGGGTGGAATGGGAGGTTCCGTGCTTTCCCTCTTTTTTTTGCTCAGAAATATTCTCACACCATCCAATGCCCCCCCATGGTAGACTCTCACACCGCTGACGTTTTGTCCGTCAAACGGAATAATGCCAACATCTTGGCCTCTGTCAGCGCCTCCATACATAATTGACCTCATGCCAATGACATTATTAGGGAACCCATATTGGGCCATTGCAACATGGGACGCCTGTAAGAATTCAGGAAATTTTTCCCATTCTGCTTCTGGTGAGTTGACAGCCGCAACTTTTACCTTGAAGGAGTTTCGGTATTGCTCGACTTGCTCTGGCGGTATACGAGATCTTAAGTCGTCCAAGGATAGCATCACTTCCTTTTGAGGCCCATTACCGCCAAGAGAAAGAGGCAGATACTCAATGTGTGCACGAGCCAGGTCTCCGCAAATAATTTGGATGCAATAAATTCCAGTCTCGGATTTGAGAGCACAACAATTATTTGGAAGCACATATACGGAAGGTGACGCAACCGTGTAACCACCTATGCGAGAAGGCTTCATCATGGAGCAATCGTAATAATCTTGAGGAACTGTAAAAGAAGGATGGTACAAAAACTTGAGAAGATCCAATCTATGCCAGGTGCATTCTTCTCTGGGGTAAACAGGAGGCTTGGCTCCATAAGAATTAGTCCTTGTGGAAAACGCTTCCTTTGTTAGAAATGACCGATTTAATCGAACGTAATCCCGAAGCATTACGCCACTTTCTTGATGAGGTGAACCGAGCAAATGACCAATTTCATGCATGAACGCACCTAAAGTAAGTGTAAAACATTCCCAATGAGTTCCACACTCGTTAGCGTCATTCGCAACTTCCGATTGGGAGCAGCGCGTTTCATCCATAAAATAAGGAATCACATCGTCGATAAAGGCAGGCCAGGAATACAGGCCGTGGGATCCGAAAATGGCTAGTTTTATGCGATCGTCGCCTCCACCCAAAGCAGCATGAGCAGTGATCAAATTTAGTTTCGGGTCCCAGTGTGTATCGAGAAACATGACAGCGGCTTGGACAGGGTGTTCAACGGTCGAGTCGAAAGGACCCCCATATTTGCGTAAAGCATCCATCGCTATACCATAGAGGCCACCAGCATCTGTTGCTTTTGGATTCTGTTGAGCCAAGTTGGGGTCTCGCAGTTCCTGAACTGATTTCTCAGAGCGCAGGATGTGAATCTTGACCCTATTGCGCATTTCAGGCTCCTTGAATGTGCTATCTAGGGCGCGTTCCTCTACAAACTGGAAAGTTCTTTGCCCAAATCCGTTACGCAGCATTTGTTCGTTGGTGAATGCCTGCATGAGTCTTCCGCCAAGCCTGAGCTTTCGACAAGCCAGCTCCAGGTCGTGGCCTCCCTCTTTTTCCTGTTGCGAGCGAGGAGAGTCAAAAACCAGAGGCGAATCGCGCGCGACAAGAAGGCACAAATGGATCGGTTCGTTTTGTATAAGCGGCACGTAATGGTATGTGATAGTCTTGCGCTCATTCTGATCTGTGATAAACGTCAGCCGATTTTCGCCCGGACTTAGCATAATGACACACTTGAACACAGAATCGTTGACGGGAAATTTCAAACTAGGCATTTGCATGCTGTGTACTTCCACAACTGAAGTACCTGGTTTGGAGACTTTGCCATGCACGATACAACAAGCAGTGTACGTTTCACCGCCATCTGTAATATTGTACAGCACTAATTCACCCATTGTAAGTGCCTGTGTAATGATTCGAATGCACTAAGGTGTGATAAAACACTGTTGAACCACTATTTTTATATTTTGGTAAAGCTTTGACAAAGTGTGAATGCTTTAAGAGAGCTAAGTGTGTATTTGTCTCGAGGTTGATTGAGGTAATGCAGAGAACAGTCCTCTACGAAAGCGTGCAGATTGAAAAAATGGGCAACGGTTGATTTGAATAATAGCACTACACACGAAGGTGTATTACTATGACGATGATAGCTTGAGGGAATTTACGAGAGGTTTGGCCCTCGACGGACAAGGTATGACTCGCAAAGTCAATATCGGATGTACGCACAATTTCAGGATTCCGCTGTACTCTCTTTTTTGCTGAGAAGACAGATTCAAGAGTTGAAACACGCGGTCAGCCAATCTCGATCCCAGGGGATGACAGGTGGTCCTGAACGAGTTTCGGAGCAATCGGAGGTCGCAGCTGGAAGGCCTTTTTGATGGGAATAACCTTCATCGTCGATTAATGGTCTCTTTCAATTGTTTTCGGTGGAAAAAAAGATGCGGATTTTAATTCTCCATAGAAGTCGACTGTCTTATTACAATGCCACTGAGTTGAAACTTCTGGGCTGGATTGGTTGTCTAATGGGCAAGCTTTCCTTCCAATTTGAGATGTATCATTTTATACTATTCTGACACGGTAGGAAGTCCGAGACACACCTTTGTTATTTGTCTTTTAAGCCCTTCTTCGATGCATCTTTCCTAGGAGGCGGGTAATGATGGTCTTCTGATAAGGTACAGATGTAGGCCCGATGCCTGCTAGTCTGATATATGACACTGTATCGCATAGAAATAAAGGGACTTCTCTAACAGAGAATGGTCGACTGAGTGGGTAGTTACAACAAGTAACATGTACGGGACAATTGCTAATCTTGCCTGGATTTATATTGTATAAAAAATGGACACATATATTCTGTCAGCAATAAAAAGACCGCCGTCCCTCTCAGCTACTGGCTTTTCATAATCAAATTTGTTCATAAGTATATTTTTAAGGTGATACAGAATATATTTCGTGAGTTAAAGAATGATAGTAGCACGAAAGGTGAAGGTTAACAAACCACAAAAGTGCATTCTAATGACTAATTCTTTTTACAAGTCCACTATGCCCATTTGACCTTTAAATCGGCTGTTATGCTTAGACGTCAGCCATCTGCTTTTCTTTTCATTCCTCTACTCAGTTGCTGTATTCCGTCCGAGATGATAAGGTTTTTGTAGCGCTCTGTACGAATCAAAGTTCACCGCCCTTTCAAGAAAAAAGACAGGTGGCAAACCTAAACAAACAGCAGTTGCTTCATCATTAGGAGAGATAGAAAAGTCGCGTAAAAAGATAGTAACCGGTCCTCGAAGATGTCGCACAAGAAGCGTGTGTATCCACAAACACAATTGCAATATGCACAAGGCGCAGGACCTGGCAATTCGCCCGTCATGGCGCCCAACTATCCGTCGCAAATCGAGACGCCCGTGACCAACCAGCAACCGCAGTTTTTGACGCCAGCGCAGCAGCAATTGCAACAGCAGCTACACCAACAAGTGGACCACGCATCGCAGTCCATGTCAGGCCTAAATTTGCACAATGTCCCATTCATGGACCCCAATATGGCGCAGAACGCTGGCGCAGGTGTTCCGCCACAACAGTTCAATGATCCCAACGCTCCGGGAGCGGCTAACGCCGCGATGTACGGTCAGCAAGCAGGCCTCGCCTACGGGCAGCAGCAGCCAGTCTCAGTGGGCAGGCCCATGAACCAGCTGTACCCGATCGATCTCTTGACAGAGTTGCCGCCTCCTGTATCCGATCTGGAATTGCCTCCCCCACCGCTAATGGTACCTCCTGAGAAATTTGTGGTTCCTGTTGAAACCGCTAATGCTTCCCCTGACTTTGTGCGCTGTACGTTGAATGCGGTGCCCAAGACCAACTCGCTGTTGAAGAAATCAAAAATGCCGTTTGGCTTAGTGATCAGGCCGTATTTGAAGCTACAGGACTCTGACTGTTCAGTTCCTCTAAACACTGACGGACTGGTGGTCAGATGTCGCCGGTGCCGCTCTTACATCAATCCTTTCGTGACTTTTGTCGATGGAGGCCGCAGGTGGAGGTGTAATTTCTGTAACTTGGCTAACGACGTACCAATGGCTTTTGATGCCTCGCAACAAGGCCTACCAGTGAACAGATACGAGAGGAATGAAATGCAGCACGCTGTAGTTGAATATTTGGCTCCAAAAGAATATGCTGCCAGACAGCCACCACCTTCCTCTTATGCTTTTGTGCTTGATGTTTCTCAGAATGCCATAAAAAATGGTTTATTAGCTACTGCCGCGAGAACGTTACTTGAAACTTTGGATTCTTTACCTAACCACGACCAAAGAACCAGGGTTACTATTTTGGCCGTCGACAACTCGATCCATTATTTTGCAATTCCATTGGATGAAGATAGTGACCAAATTAAGATGATGGATGTAGTAGACTTGGATGAACCATTCTTGCCCATGCCAAGCTCCATGTATGTGTCATTGCAAGACTGTAGATCCAATATCGAAAAGCTCTTGAATCAGTTACCCGAAATTTTCCAGTACAACATCATGTCCAAGTTGGCCCTCGGACCTGCCCTAAAGGCGGCTTTCAACCTTATCAAGGGCGTGGGTGGTAAAATCATAGTGGTAGCTTCAACTTTGCCTAATTTGGGAGTTGGTAAGTTACAAAAGCGTAACGAAACAGGTGTAGCCAACACTCCAAAAGAGGCATCGCAGCTGTTAAATTGCCAGGACGCGTTCTACAAGAATTTCACTATCGACTGCAATAAGAACCAAATTACCATCGATTTGTTTTTAGCAACCGAAGACTACATTGATGTTGCGTCTCTATCTAACCTCCCACGGTTCACAGGTGGACAAACACATTTCTACCCAGGATGGTCAGCTGCTAAGCTTACAGATGTTACCAAATTCACCAAGGAATTCTCGAAGCACTTGACAATGGATTTGGCTATGGAGGCTGTCATGAGAGCTCGTGGTTCTTCTGGTTTGAGAATGACCAGATTCTACGGTCATTTCTTCAACAGGTCATCAGATTTGTGTGCTTTCCCTACTTTCCCAAGAGATCAATCTTATGTCTTTGAGGTAAGTATAGACGAGCAGTTGGTGCGTGATTACGCGTACTTACAAATTGCTGTATTGCTGTCTTTGAACACAGGGCAGCGTAGAATTAGGGTTATCACTCTAGCTATTCCTACAACGGACTCCTTGGCAGAGACTTATGCATCTGCAGATCAATTGGCTATGACAGCATTTTTCTCCCAGAAAGCTGTCGAAAAGGCATACACTAACTTAGAAGAAGCCAGAGAATCCTTGAACAGATCAGTACAAGAAATTTTGGCCACTTACAAAAAAGAAATTGTGGTTTCTAATACCGCCGGAGGAGCTCCGTTAAGATTAAGTGCCAACCTCAGAATGTTTCCTCTATTAATGCATTCTTTAACCAAGCATATGGCATTCCGTGCTGGCCTGGTTCCAAGTGATCACAGAGCGGCGGCACTCAACTTTTTGGAATCTAGCCCGCTTCCTTATGTGATCAAGAACATATATGCTAAAGTTTACTCTCTGCATGATATGTCCGACGAAGCGGGATTGCCAAGTGAGCAAGGTGGAATTATACTTCCCGATCGCATCAATGCTACCTCTTCCCTACTAGAGCGTTACGGTTTATACCTCATCGACAACAGCACCGAACTCTTCTTATGGGTTGGCGGGGATGCTGTTAATGAACTAAACATGGATGTTTTTGGCACCCCTGACATTCTAGAAATCCCAATCGGCAAGCAAGAATTGCCAGTGTTGGAGAACTCGGAGTTCAACAGTAGAGTGAGAAACATAATCTCGAAGATTAGGGAGCACGATGATGTCATCACATACCAACCCTTGTACATTGTTCGAGGTGCATCGCTAAGTGAGCCAGTCAATCACCCGTCCGCAAGAGAAGTGGCAACGTTAAGATTGTGGGCTACCAGCACTTTAGTCGAGGACAAGATCCTCAACAGCCAATCATACCGTGAATTCTTGCAAAACATGAAAACAAGAATCAGCAAGTAGAGGTTTTCATTTGCTGCCGTCTATCAAGAGAGCCTTGGAACTCGTCGGCGCATTGAAGGTATCAATTTACATAGACAAGGCAAGACAAGTATAGATAGACTCTGTATTTTTACGAAATGCTCAGCATGAAAGGCAATTCAAAAGTTAGATGCCAACTCAAACAAAACGGTGTTTGAGATACGTGGTTTTGATTCAAGTTTTAAAGTGGAAAGCGTATACAGATTTGCGGACCTTGATCGCTCGAAAGTGAGAAAAGAAGTTGCGGACAGACATCATAGGGACAACGGTCATACGATGGCCGCAATATGTGGCGAAAAAGCACGTAACTTTCGCGACAGCTGTGTAAAAGATCTGTCTTCTCAATATCTAAATGTAAAACGACAGACAAGTGCCAGCCAATTGAACCAAACAATCAACAGCAGTTGAAGGGAGTGCGGGGCATACACGATAGCAGAAGAGAGTATTTCCGTTAACAGGTGATTAACATACAGCTCTAGATGTGTGTTGCTGCAAGTTTGGGATATTCATAATTTTTATTTATCTATAAGGTACGCCCTTCAGCTACATGGACTCCAAACATCAGTATACCGCCAACTATAATTTGATGTAGCCACGCACTCTATGAATGCTTTTTCCGCTATCACTTATCTCATCCTTCTATTTATTAAGGAGAGTGTGAATACCCGCGAATCTACAAAATCGACCGCCACTCGCTGCATCCGATTGTATTCATAACTAGTTGTGAAAAGAATACGACACATAAATGACTGGTTGATTTCCAATTAATTGGTCTCATGGTTCTTGATTAACATCGTGTTTTTCCATTAGTACATCGAAAAATGACAACAAAGATTTAGTAAGCAACTAATGTGTTTCAAGCAGCTGGAAATAACTGTTGAAGCAACGAGGTTGTGACTGATACATTGCAAGTTAAATAACTCATATGTGAATCTCTTGGTACTTATTCATTTGCTGGTGGCATGAAAGGTTCATCATTTTCGAGTCATTCGATACGCTTTAATTCTTTGTTCCACATCTAAATCTCCATGTAGACGCTCAAACGTAATAAAATACCAATCAACGGCATTCCTTAGTGGCCACGATGGACACTTTTAAGCAGTAAGTTTACCGCCCTATACTCTTTTCTTCTATATTTGATTAAGAAGCTCTTTTCTAACATTACAAATGAAGCGTCTCAAGAAGCGAGTTATACGGCGAACAAACCGCCGAACCTTCGTCAGATAGTGGCGATTTGCAGCTACCCGACTTCGAATTTGTTTCAGTGACCAAAGACGATACCGGCAGCTCAGCAGATCCTACAAAAGCCGCCGAGATTGAAGATGAATTCGACTTTCCGCTGTTTTCTTTTGGCGTAAGTGAAGCGCCAGAGGATCATTCAGAAAACAAAAAGCTGGAAAACGATGGCTCTAGAGGTAGATCTGCAACGCGTCTCATAAAAGTTTCATTAAGAGAACCTTCTCCTGACATCATCAGCCAGGAGCGGCCGCGAAGCTATTATTTTGCGGAGCACACCCCAGAACAGACAGCTGAATTCGAGAAAATCGCTATTGACTACAATTTGGCTACCAAAGAAAGCAGATTGACACCAAGCAGCAGATGGCCTGAGTACAGGGGTCGTTTGTTGGATGCTAGAAAATATAATGAGCAATTTGAGCTCGAACGCCTGCGAGAAATCAAAATACGGAGGAGAAAACCCGGTAAAAAACAGCGAAAGGCCAAACAAATTGGAGCTCAGAGAGAGCTAGAACGTTTAGAAAGGGCAAAGGAGCTCAAGAAGCTTGCAAAGAAGAAATTTCACAAGCGCGGGGGTAAAAAGAATAAGAAACCAGTTGAGTCGACTGCAAAGGCGTAACCGCAGTTCCTGCTGGAGCAAATATGCAGAGCATAAAATAATACTGTACGGCTTTGCATTAGTAGTAGTACCGTTGCTGTCATTATGTGCGTTTCATTTATAGATTTTTTCATCAGGTTGATTATTTCGAACTTTGAGCACTTAGAATAGATATAGAATCGAGCATCTTGTCGACGTCAAAGCTCCTATCGCCCACACCTTGACCATCGCCGGCATGAACGATGCTTTGCCTAATCATAGAGGAATTGGATGCCAAAGACTTACCCACCGGCCCTCCTCTGTTGTATGATATTTCAAAGTCTCTTTTAAAAGACTTGGCAATACGGACCCAAAACAATTCGGTCAATGAGTTGTATTTTTTGTGCGATAAATACTCACTGAGAAGACTTAGATTGTCAATGGTGGTTGCTCGGAGCGTTTCCTCAAAAAAGGAGATGCTGCGTGCTTCTTGTATTATTTCTTTCAAAATGATAGGGAAGTTCCTGATTGAAGTAATGGTTTTAGACAGCGCTTGTGTACTGTAACTTACTCTCGATAATACTATTTTGTCCACGGTGCCAATGAAATCTTTTTGAGAAATTTTGCGAAGGGCAAACAGATACTGTCCAACATCTTGTAGCTCTGATTGAGACGTTATTTTGCCAGCACAGTCTTTGATTAATTTTTCAGACATTACCCTAAGGGTTTCGTGGCGGCTAGGAACGATAATCTCTGTTTCGTGCTTTTTCACTAGCGTCAGAGCTCTTAAATTGGGATTTGAATCTAATTCTACTTGAATTTGAGAGTGGAGTGAAGCTAGCGCTAACATGTTTTGATCCAAAGACCTATCATGGGAACTCAAAGATTCGCCGCTGGATATCTGACTTAGCAAATGTAAGAAAATTAGTACGTCTCTCAATATACTGGCAGTTTGATGAATCTTACTAAGTGCCGATTGTAAGTGCAAACAATCTTCGTAAGGCTCAAGGATATCTTTATCAAGTCTCTTATATGATATGTTCAGATATTCAAAACTGGAACTCAAAGACTCGCGAGTTGTCGACTGCGTTAGGTTTCGTTTATCAAAACTATCAATTAATTGAAGCGGATTTGCTCTGATAGCATCTTCGGTTCTTTGATCAACGTCATCTATACTGTATCTGATTTTTTTTATTGATGTGACCAGATCGAGCTCGGTAGATTCGGAATCGACGTTTGAAGTTTTCAGAAGCTCTGAACAGATACGAGAGGCATTGAAGTCATTGCCCAAAAATTTCTCAAAGTCCCTCAGATAGTTTTGGTCGGTCATTGCAACGCATAAGTTAGGCTAACTTGATGTATATAATTTATTTAATGGAGTTTTTTGGAAAGCACAATTTCTTAAATTCACGAGGTCCAAAATAATTCAGTAACTATATTTGTGGGACGGATTGAATCTAGCCTTCGGGTTAAGGCGTCTTCCAATCAAGATAATCTGGCCTTGTGGGAGACAAGCGATTGAGCTAACAAATGTGTACACGTAAAACTTGACTACGCCCGCTTCGTGCTGAAGCAAATTACACCTAGTGTTACATATGGATCGCTTCATCCTTTCGATGTTCTATCGAAACTATAGATCTTTTCAGTCCAGCTTGAACTTTGAAGGTCTGATGAACTAAGTTCAAGCTGTCCTTTGCTATTCTGTTCTCAATATAATTTTGAAATTCGATGACGCTTCCTCCGACTCCAAAATAGATGTCTTTTGCAGCTACTAACGCTTTTGCCGTGTAGCTTTGTGATTGGCATGATGGTCGCAGTAGTTCTAGAATAAGTTCGGAGATTACTGGAAGCGTTTCTGGTTGGTAAATGGTCTCTGACGACAAAATCAGCAATTCAGCAGATTGTTGGAGCTCAGATGAAACTATGTCGTAAAATTGGCGGCCCCATGTTCCTGAAAGAAGTTTTAAATTGATTCCTCTCTTTGAAGTGTCATCTTGGAACTTTTCCAGTAGCGAAGAAGTTAACAAAAGCTCGTTTTCCTCTACTGGGACGGTCTTGTCACCGCATTGCTGAATGTCTATTAGCTCTTGAGTCTTTAAAGTCTCTAGCGCCCATGTGATCACCAAGTTTGGCAAAGATACCAAACGCAACACGGATTCGTTGTAATCAGTCAAGATTATATTCGCACTGCAAGTTTGATGCTCACCTTTCAAAAGTTGACTGAAGAGAAATTCTGAAGGCAATGACGTCCCACAACCCAACTCCAAGATCGTACCTGAACGAATAGTGTCGCTCAATGAGCTCGATAGCGCGTCTACAAGGTCGATAGAACATTCCCACGATTTTAATCCACCCTCATAAATATTCTTTCGCACGTCTTCGTTAGTCTCGCCCATTAAAATCTCTAACTCTGCATTGGCCCCATCGTCTGCCATTTCGTCTGCTTCCGTCATTAGCTGATGCTTGACATCGAAGAGTTCCCGTCTGTACAGAGGTATACCCATCTGAGGAGTCAAGATCTTTTCGAAAGATACTCTGACATTTACCAGCCCTTCTAAAATACCACTTAAGCTTTCCCATTTAGGCTGCTTCAGTTCTGGAGAAGTGAGATGAGGCAAATCCAATGGACTAATCGATTCACATTTTAAGTCATTATTCATATCAGGAGCAAGCAACGACGCTTTTTGAGAGCTTTCGAGTTCATCGTCACTAAAATCTTGGCTTGAAAATCCAAATTGGAAAGACATTCTCTGCTTGTTGAATGATTATTTGTTGTTTTCCATGAGAGTAGCTCAAATGTGCGATGAGCTTTAAATTTTTCAGCTGACCTCATGATATCGAATTCAGATCATACAAGAATCACATATATAAGATTGCCAGGGTCGCCAGAGCTTCATAATTACAGGGTTTTTACTTAAGATTTTCAGCCTATTCGTAAGGTATAGTTCCTTGATTGTTGTTTATTCTTTCACTTAAATAGAAATATATGTGAGTTCGACCTAGATGAATTCATGAGTCCTTATTTGGCCCTTCTTTGAAACCAGCCCCTAGATTGTATGAATATGCGCACTCAGATCGTTAAATAATGAGTAAATCCTTCGCATAAAGAAATGTGATAAGTGACATGCTTATTTGGATTGGACTTGAGAGTAACCACCCCATGGGTTGGCATTCTTCGACTTTAGATACTCGTCGGATTTCAATTGCCATTCTTTGGTCATGGTCTTTGACTCTTCGCCACCATATTGTCTGATGAACGCAAAGAGCGCAATGGATCCGATCAAGCCAACCGCAACACCTTTGGCAATGTAGGAGCCGTCACCCTTAGCGTGCACGGGTCTTCTTGGTCCCCACTCGCCGTAAGAAATATACCAGGAGGCTTGTTTTTCAGTTTCGGTCATCTGAGACCATGGGAGTTTCTGGCGTTCGGTCAACTTGGAGACTAGGTCCTGCTGTTCGGAGGCTGGGAGATCTTCCCATCTGCTGTGTAGATCAACGATAGCAGCCTTAGAGACAGCGTGTGTTTGTGCGAATCTTGAGGGCGTTACACGAGCCACTTTGCTCAACGAAGAACGCAACACTGCATGAAGTTAGTATTGTAAACGATATAAACGGCAAACGAGAGTGTGGAGAGCATAAGTTGGAGCAATAAGGGACCATCTAGGAGGATTTTCTATTCGCTATCGAGGCCCTTGCGTAAAACTTTATTGACTTTGTATGAGCGCATTTTTGAATAGGCCCACCCACGACTTTTTGTACATTTTATAACACGAAGTTCACCAATACGTTTTGACATAGAATCTTTTTACAGCCTGAGAGCTCTCTTTTTAATTCGGTTTCCTAAAATTTCGTTCTGCTGTTCTCTCCCCTGTCTTACAGTGATCCTGCTCTCTCTATGTCACTCTCCATAAACGCCTAAAACCAAGGTTAAGCATACTTGTATAATAGTGTTAGAGTTGTTCACTTTTAGACCTGCTGCAATTCAAAATCTTATTTGTTAAGACAAGAAGTTCAGGATCTATGCAATCGATAATTCCATAGTTTAGCTATTTCAAAAAAATTTTAAGAGTCTTGAAAAATACAACTATAGCCAATCATAAAGTAGGAAATAATAATCATGTTGAACGAATAGTAACTGGGAATCACCAAGAAGCGTTAGCCGCTTATATTACTTCAGCTCAAGCTAGCAATCTTACCAAGAGGGAAGTGGACCTTTGAGAGCATTCAGTATGTTAGGACGATGCCGAAGTCTTGGCGGAAATATTTCCTGCGTTTTTTGTCTTGCACTTGGCGCCAAATTGGATGCAGAATCAGTGCGAAAATCAAAGCCTGACATGCCAGTAGAGGGCGCTTTGCGGTCCAGACCAGAATCGAGAGTTTCAGAAACAGTGGCTTCCGGCCATAGACTTATTTCTACCATCTGCTCTTGAGCTGCGATTCTCTGACACTCAGAATTGTCAGGAAACGTGACCGCGTTCCATGGAATCCAATGCATTGGGAGCGCTAGGAACCGTCCTTGCTCCTGGGACTCTAGCTCGGCTCGATTTCTGAACGGCATAGCCTCTAAGTCTGTGTAAAGCTCGGATTCTAGGTCGCGGCCGCCATACATGAAGATGAACTTGTAAATATTCCAAATCTGCGCCTTATGAATACGAGACACTTCAAGGCCCTCATGGAATTTTGACAGGAAAGCAACGTCCTTCAGAAAGACACAAACTTGTAAATCTAGAACATGTCGTTGTCCACCCAGCGTTACAAAATACATTGGGAGAAAGCGTTGAAAATCGTCGGACACCTTAAAATTCACCAGCCGTAGTCCCAGCGGATACAGCGAGCGAATCCTTCGGCGGCGGTCGATCTCAGCATGCGTGCGTTGTAGAGCTTGTTTCTCTTCCTCTCGTGATTTCTCCTCCTGTAGCTTCTGTAGTCTTTCAGCATTTTGACGTTCCCTTTCCTCTGCGCGTTTCTTTTCATCCTCGGCAAGTTTCTGCAAGAGTTCCTGTTCTTTGCGCTTCTTGGTAAGCTGCCTTTTCTGTCTGTATTGTTCTTCGGCTTTCAGTCTTTCCTCCTTCTCCGATGCGGATTCAACTGGCTTAGGAGTGTTTGAGCTTCCAGGTGTCGCAACTTGACTTCTTTGCGACTCTAAAAGCACGTCCGTAGCTCCTGGGCTCAAAGAAGCTTCTAATTTGGGTCTCTTGCTTGATGCAGAGAAGGCATATGTGCTCATGGATTTTGAAGACGCCGCTAAAGTCGTCCCAATTCCAATTTCTGGAAAGGGTCCTTTTTTGGCCAATGTATCTGGTGGATCGTCGGAGTCAGCCAAGCTAGAGCGCTTTCGAGGAATCGCTGGTTTTGGCGACATAATGCTAGCTTTGCGCGGGGGCTCGGGGGTTACTGCTTTGCCCTTAAATTCGCGAAGCACGTCCTCACTATCCATCTTATCGTCCCTTAGCTCATCATTTGATAAACCATCGTCTTTAGTAACTGCTTGCAGTGCACTTTTTATCAAGCCAATCTCGTGCTTACTCACAAGACCCAGTTCACTAACCTTTGCGTAGCTGAGGACTGTTCGTCCTTGTTTGTCTCTCACAGTTGGATCGGCTCCTGCCTTCAAAAGAAGCTTGACTGTACCAGTATGCCCGCGTCCCAGTGCAATCATTAATGGAGTTTGGCCTTCGCGATTCGTCATATTAGCCGGAGCACCAAATGCAAGAAATAAACTCGTGATGTCTTCATGGCCAAACCTGACTGCTTCGAGGAAAGATTTGAAATCTACACGACCACCATTTTCAAAGTACGCGCCAACGTAAGGAAGCTTTCCTTCCTTAGAAGCTCGTAAAAGTTTCTCCCGTCCAACTTTAGACGTTATATCAGTCCAGTAAAATTCATCCTCCATCCGAACATTGGATGACGACCTGTCGCTATCCGAATGCCTGTTATTTGATGATGACCGTACACGTCTCCCAGCGTCACCGCTATACTTTTTCATAGCTCTTTTCAACTCTATTTTGATACCGCGGACAATTTTTTGTTCATCGTCATCCAAGTCAGAGTCTTCTTCTATCGATTCTATGGCAGTCAGACCTTTGGAATTGACGATTGTGGGATCTGCATTGTACCGCAGTAGTAACCTAACCACATCCAAATGGCCATTTGCTGCAGAATCGATCAAGGGCGTATCTTTGACGGGTTCAAAAGACTGTACATTAACATTTGCTCCGTTTTGAAGAAGCAACTCCACAATTTCGAGGTGTCCGTTCAGAGCAGCTTCGTGCAGTGAACAATTGCCGGCGTTGTCTTGATCATCCACGTTGTACCCTTCCTGAATTAATTTTCTAGCAGAATCATACTTGCCCTTGTCGCAAGAGACTTGTAGTCTCGTTCTACCGCCTGCATCTCGATGGACTTTGTTCTTTTTGGCATTCTGCGGCTTTCTAACGGCGACATACTTTTTCATGTGAGCAGGAGCATTATCTGACTTCTTTAAAAAGTTTACTGGGGATGAGTCTAAAGCGATATGAGCAGATCTGTTGGGCGGTGAGTCCCCGTGTAGTATGCTGCTTGAAATTGGTAAGTGATTCAAGTCCTCGAGGTCAGAAAGCTCTGATTCTTCACTATTATTTGTGTGAAGGCGTGGAATCCGGCGTGAGGGAGATGATCGAAGTTGGTCACCGCGCACTAATCTTCCCAGTCTAGGTCTGGGAGGAGACGCCGGCTCAGTTGGCGCATCACTTTCAACTTCACTAAGCTCGCTTTCTTCATCTTCCGAGCGCTGCCTTATAGCGATATTGTCTTGGTTTAAATTGATTGGTTTTGAAACTGTTGAACTTCTCTGCGTTTTCGCCTCTGCTTCGTTTGAACGATCCTCCTGTGAGACCTTTGTTTTGTCGATATCTTGCGCACCAGCAACGATATTTGAGCTAACGGGGAGGTCTTTTACCAACCCGCCTTCGTTTGTACTAGGTGGTTTAACGTCTGTATTTTTTTCTGCACTTTGCTCCTCATCTGTCTTTTCTACAGGTAAGGAACTTTCTTTCTTATTCTCCGAGTTCCAAACCTTCTCTCGTGTGTGAGACTCTGTATCGAATGTTTTTCCTCCAAGCTCGCGACCAGATGGTATGTTCACTTCCTCATTTTTGCTTTTCAATCTAGCTACAGAATTAGCATCTGCTGGCAGGGACACTTCTATTCCTGAAATGTCGCCTGCGACTCTTGGGCAGCCATATAGCGGCTTCGGGGCTTTCTGTATCTGTTGAGCAGAAGCCTCTGGTTGATGCAATTCATTATTCGTTAGCATATTTGATTCACCATTTTCCTCATTTACAGAAGCCTTGTCAGCTTTACTCTCAGAATTTTCCTCGTAGTTTGTTGAACTGTTAATCTCCTCTGCAGGTTTAGTCTGTTGAGCTTTAGCGCGCTCTTCTAACTCCTGTCTTCTCTTTTGAATATTTGACAGGTAGTTACTGAGCGATCTTCTCTTTACCACTAATGCATCACCACCTTCATTCGAGGTTTCTAAAGCATCGCCCATGGTATTCAGAGTTAAGGAAGACCCCAGTGTGATACAGATCTTTGGTTCTTAATTCTTATGCTTGACGTTTTCTTGAAGCTCATCACTTCAATAGACGTCGCGAAATAATTAGTACAAAGTGATGAAAAGTAAGAGCTGTTGAGGCAAATAACAAACTAATAAACAAGAGATGAGCGACTTCATCGTTTACGACTTATGATATCCAAACTATAATTACATGAAAATTACAATAGCTCAATAACTAAAAATATCTTGAAAACCTGGTGATGGTCGTTTGTGTCGTAAAAGTATCAACGCAGTGAATTATTTTAAATGAATGGGTAACGCTGAAATTTGTGAGAATGCAAATGGATGAGACTTGTGAATAAGTTGAGTAAAGTTAGCCCCACCTTGTGTGAGTCTTTTCACCAATCTCCACCGGGGATGGGATGAAAGATTCAAAAATAGTAGAATACTGTGTCGGACCGGATACCATTGGTCTCGAATCATTGGCAGTCTTTCCATTAGCTGAAGGATTCGAAGTAATTTGGTGGCAATTAAGAAACTCGTTGGGCGTGCATGGGGTATTATCGGTAGAAATGCTCGAGCAATTGGGGCTGCAAAGACCCACCTTTGTCATATCATGTGCATTTTGCTGAGAAATGATATTCGCAATCTCCAAGGGTTCCAAGTCCGGCTTGTCTGCGTTCTTACTTTTTGGGTCTATTTGAACTGCTTGTAGTTCTTCCTGAACCGAGCGTTGTCGCTGCGTGCTCAAGGCTTCGTTCCATTCCATCAGTTGAAAAATGAGGCTCATATTGGGGCTAATATCCTTAGCTATAGTCTTTAGCCTATTATAGGCGTCATTCAGAGGTAGGTTTTGATATCGCATGATGTATGCAACAATAAGTGAAGCAGACCGCGATACACCGCATTGACAGTGAACCAAGACCTTCTTATTGGCCTGAGCGGCCTGATGTATTATTTGGGTCAACCTTGGCAAATCAGCACATATCTTCGAGGTGTGGGACCACTCAACGTAGTGATAATCGGCTTGTTTATTCAGTTGAAGCTTAGATTGATAATTGGTAATCTCTTGAGCTACGTTGACTATAACATCAAATCTCGTAAGTTCCTCAAAAGTAGGTTCAGAACACAGGTAAATGCAAGAACCGTTTACCAGTAAAGGTCCCTCTGGGTATGCGTTTACTTGGTAGCCTTCGTTATAGCTGTAGGCGCTGTTGTCATCTTCTGAAGAAGAAGAAGATATTGAAGCATTGTTCTTGTGACAAACCCAAGACGTGGTAGTTCGTGAAATACCTCGTTGTGGTTCAAGTGACAAACTTTGGGACTCGATCGGCGAGGACATACGACCTATATTCGCAAAAGATTGTGAGTCATAGCTGTTGCGCGATGAGGAGGTTTTGAGCTGTAGAGGTAAAGACATGCCCCTCCTTAAGCGACTTTTAACATCATTGGGCTCTGTTGAGCCCGAAAGCCCTGCAGAAAACGATGTGGAGGTAGGGGAGACGGCGGTGTTGCTCAAAACGTTTGAAAGTGTAAAAATATGCGCTTCATTGGGGGCCTGCTTGTCACTAGAGCATGAAACCGGCTCCTGAAGGCGCACCTGCGAGGACTGTGGGTTCTCAGCGTGAAGAGCACTTTCCAAGCCACCAACTCTCTGCGTTGGAGAGTTGCTGATACTTAGCGACAAGTTCTTCGTATTCCTGTTGCGCGTAAAGCGTGGCGATCTACTCAGCTCTTGATCAGCCCCTGAAGCGCCTAGGCCGCTAAATGAGGTAGCGTTTCCAGTTTGCATGGAAAAATCAGATGTGGCCTCGGGAATTTGGCTCCCACTCAATCCGCTCCCAGTAGTGATACAACGGTCAAAGTTCAACTAATGTGGAGCCTCCAAAGCCAGCTTGGTTTGCCACGATGACTATCTGCCAATATAGTTCGACCTTCGATGGGTTTGCCGCAGAGTTGAGTGGATGTTCCGAGTGTCTTGATTTCACCACAAGTCCAGAGAGATCCCAGTATTATATTTTGTGTTCGCTAGCCTCTTTCAACGTTCTTGAACTGGTTTCAGGTATGATTCTTGATTAGAAAAGAAACTAAACGTTTTCGTGCCTAGTGACACTTGAGTTTTTCAACCTAGCTAGTTGTCAATGGAACCTTTTCGAATGTCAACTATGATCGGAAGATGACCCAAAGCTTGACACTCGGGATATTGTTGGTTTCGGAAGATCGAAGTTGAGCATGCTTATATTAAGATCAGAAAACCGTATCTTGTCGTCTATAGTGACTCGCACGCGCAAAGAATGTGTTACAATGGGTAAAACGTAAAAATGTGTTAGGCCATCTGTCAAGTTTATGGAAGTCTCGGGTTCGTCATGACGATATTGGGGACCCTTAAAAATTGTGTGCTTTCAGCACCATGTTGCTCGTCTGATCGTGAGTGCAGGACAGCTAAGCGAAATCATTGACCTGTGATTGGAACTCAATCTGCGTTTTCCGTCATACGGCTTGAACTTCGACTTAGGTTGTGACTGGCCTTTCTTGAATAAATCGAATTTATCAGCTCGACACAGCCTTTTCGCACCGCACCACGCTTTCGTGCCTCCCCTCATTGCTTATAAATACTACAGTAGGCCTTAGCATTACACATTTTGGTGTTCAGCTTAGAGCACATTTTCCCTGTAATTTATGTGTCAGATCTTTACGTCCAGTGGCGCACTCAGCTTATTTCGACGGATCGTCTTGTCAATTGGTGAGTTTCAGCACCTGCTTGGTGAAAGCTCTTATAGCGTGCAACGTATACTATCCTCTGAGAACTTTTATCATTTATCTCTGTTAAATTACAGAATATCTGAATTGCTACTTTATTTTTCATTCTCTCCGGCAAGTTAGCCGCCGAGCGCTAAAAAAGTGGCATCCATATATATTTTATAGGTTTTGCATTATGACCTAGGCATTGTCTTGAATGCGTCAAGGGACTGCTAGAGAGTGTTGGTGTAGCCCTGAAACTCTGCTTTGAATATAAACTAAAGTTCATCGCATCCGCAATTATTCGAAGGAAGCGCTCCACTCCTTTTCTTCACTGGATGTTTCTATGTCAAGTACGGGTGCGTTGTGTTCGTAGATTCTTGATTAACGCTCTTCGAAGGGTTTAAAAAGTAGTCTTCCCCTCGGGTACTTCTAAATGTGGAAATTCAGCGTCAAATCATGAATAACAAGTCATGACTCAGGTTTCGCCCAGCTTCTTATTCCGTTCTGTCTCCTGCTCCCTTGTGTATTTTTATATATCTATACCATAACACCTATGCATGTGGTTTCTAGACGGATCAAATAATTAAATAGGCCCTGCATCAAGCTTTACCGTCGTGGAACACTGAACACCTATACTCTTTTCGCTGTTGAAGAACGGCATTCTGTAGTACATGTTGCCACGGACAATTAATTCGAAGTCGTAACGAATCAACTGTCGCCACTTGTCAAGACCGTTTTCAATTTTGCTTACCTGGTCCCATTGCTTATCTCGATCATCCACGTTACCGGGTCTCAATAACTTGACACTCGACCTTGAAAGATCGTAATTCCTGCTGAAAAAGCCGCCTTGGAATTGTAATGAGGTTTCCATATTTTCTACCGTGCCAAGCAAGATAGTTTGGTATGGAGTGGCAGAAGGATCTCCTTCTGAAATCAAGTGTGATGTTTTGGCAAATATGTCTAGTTCCACTGTATGAATCTCTACCGTGAAGAAGCCGGGGTTGAAAGCGGTGGCAATGACGTCAAATACCAACTCATCAGTGCTCACTAGCACGGAAGTTATTTTCGAGATCTCCAGATCATGTAGCTCTTTGTTAGTAGCTAATAGGAAACCCGAAATGAATCCCAGCGTTAGTAGAAAAGAAACCACAAATGCGAAATACACAAAATTCCTTAATTTTGTCCAAGTTGTCTTCGTTGTATAAAAGTTGTGGGGAGAGTATCCGGTGTAATGCGAGGTTTTTTTGTTCAGCGGTGTAGCTTCGGTCGGTTGGTAAAAATAGTTGTCGCCGTAGTAATCGATGCCGGGTTGGTATCCTAAAGGTCCCGCCCGGTCATCCTCTTCGTGCTCTTCTTCTTCATCGTAGTCTGATAGACCATTTCGAGCCTCCAAATCGACTTTTGGGTGTGAGTAATAAAACATAGAATGCGTGTCTTCTTCATCATCCCCATGATGTGCGTAACTTATATTATCGTCTTCGTATTCTGAATCACTATGGTATGCAAACTTCTTTGGGGTTAGTTCTCCACCAGTTTGTTCAATGTAGTCTTCTAAATTGACGTCGTCAGGAATACCGGAATAACGTCGAAGTGACGCCCCATGAGCATCAAATATTTTGGAAGCCGTAGTTCGTAGCTGTCTTTTTTGAGAGGCTTTACGTCTCGCGTTATTTACATTTGAATTGCTTGATATTTTGCGAGAGGTTCGGCGGGGTGCCGAAGTGCCACCATTTTGTGCAAGTGATATCAGGGACAGTCTTTTACCAGGCGATTGTGGCATGGTTGTATATGACCTTACAGATCGGATTTCTTGGGGATTGTTTCGATTTACAAATCTGAGACTGTGGAGATCATCCGATTGTTCTGAAAGGGGCGGCGGTATCGCAGCGATACTGGTGTGACGAGTGGCTTTAGCTCGGTTCAAGAGTTTGGCGTTCGCAACACTAGGAGAGCTCTGATTGAGCAGAGGGGCACTCATTTTGCCCGCAAGACCGTGAGATCTTTGTTCTCCGGGCACTGCGTTACTGTTAGAATTACCGGTCGATTCGTACACAAACGTTTCTTCGGAGTCGCTAATCTCGTTTTCACCCACTGCAGATGCAAGCCTTGCGGCAAAGAAATCGGATTTTTTTGGAAGTTCGCGAGTTTTGCGTGTCGAATCTTCATTTGTATGTTCACCAGAGGTCGGTACGAGGGCTGCAGAACTGCCGGTTTTCTCTTCCGATTTGTGGTCCTCGACTGGAGGTGGCCGAGACGGAAGTGCCGATTCTTCGAGTGACTCTTTGAATGGTTTGGACGCTGGATTACTCGTTACGAGTGGCTTGCTGGCACCACCAGTATGGGTCACTCCCGACGCAACTGACGGCGATGGCTCCTTTCCTAAAAACGAGTCCATGAAGAGACTGGACTTCTTGTTGCGGATGGCACCACTACAGTTGTGGAGCGACAACGGATTGTGGTCGATGAGTTTCGCAGACGCCTCTCCTTGTGCAATTTCACTCATCGAATCGTCTTCTGCTTGATCTTCCGGTTGTACAGGTAAAAGGTTCTGTGCCGGTGTCTGCACAGTCTCCGTCTCGACTGTGATTCTCTTATCATCCTCAGTACTCATGGTCGTAGCAGAGTCTTGTGTTGTGATGAAGGCGGTTCGGGGTACTTGAGGTGTATAGGTAGTTTTGTAGATGAAGTTTAATTTCGTGGAGCGCGATCCAATATTGCTGTTAAGACGAGCGATATGACACCAAAATCTAAGGTGGTACGAATTCTTACGCAGCAAAGGAAGTTATGGACGAGTTTAGACAATTTGAGGAAGGCAATATGGCTAACGCGTATAGCTTAATAGAGAGGAGCGCTATAAGCTTTAGATTCCGGTTGTGATCTCGTTGGAAAGTTTAAAGGGCGACGACCAGGCCGTCAAAATTATATGAGGGTATAAGTGAGTACCTTTTCAAAGATCAATTAACATGCAATTAAATCTTCAAATGCGCAGCTGATTATGTTATGAACCACCGTTCAATTTTAATTGTTGCGCTTAAACAAACAGGAACTCCAGATAAAGAAATGGTCTGAAGTTTTCAACAAAGATTTAATTAGTTCTGTAGAGAAATCCGTTACTTTGCGGTAACGACATACCAAATTCATTTCTTTTATGGCCCTTCATTATCAAGTGAGATTTTGGTGTGCTAGTTGAGACTGCGTCAATAGGTATATTGTGTGACTCAATCCATGGACTATTAATTAGGCGGCATATAGTCCTACGTTGAATTTCAAGTGTAGAGAGTGAATCCTTAATACAAAAAGTAAACATTGGTATATATGAGATTATTAGATTGGAGAACTTTTGATAGCATGCAATATTCAAGATCGAATATTCAATGTGGCCGGCTCACGCCCGAATGCACGATAGGACGCGCTCAAACATGCGTCCGTCTCACAGTTTTCACCATCTATTTAAGCCAGTGTGACATTTTGACATATTCAGTCAGCATTTGAAATCACTTTATACCAACGTGTCGGCGTACTGGAGAACCGAATAAGCGATCGACGTAGCTACCAACAGCGAAAATAAGCGAGGCTTGAGCTAGTGTGGGAGAAAGGTAGCAACACCCAAACGTTTTGTTTTAAAGTTGATCAGCCTGTCGATGGAGCCGGATATAGCAGAGGAGGTAGCAAGATTACACTCGTCGCTGCGATTTTTGCTACTCAAATCGCTGACATGAGCCTTGTAAAATATGTGGCTCATAGCTTTAACAAAGAATAGGAATTCGCTGATCTCGTATTCAGTAAGAGTTTCACTAAGAGACCGCTCTGCCAAAGATAAATTAGTCAAGTAGAAGCAAATCAGCAAAAGTGATCTCTAATAAAAACTTGATTCAGAAAAGATGATCGGAAGTTGGACGGAGGCAGCCAACGACATACTTCAACCAAGATCAATAGAACGGTCGCACAAGAGTCTCTACTGATTGTCAGCGGAGTTTCCGGTTATGTTTTCATCATCGAGGATTTACAAAGCAATCGAAAGGTTGATAAGTATGAGATATTTGACGCGCAGCCCAACGCCTTTTTGAGAAAGTAATAGGCCTGTTGGGTTGCGAGTGATGACAGTGCCTAGTTGACCAACGACTTGACAATTCAAAATGCTGTGAATAACACAAGAGCTCAAAATGATCGGGTGGACAATTGGTATTTATATAAAATTCGCTAAGCGTGAATATGCTTGCAGAGCATTTCGTCGTACGAAACACCGAGAATTTCCCAATTGGTCGATTGCGCGATAATTTCGTAGTATTTTCTGATACCCACCGTCACTTCGGAATGACGCATCGAATATTTTATCGACCGCGTATGTTTTGCTGACATCACTTTGTACCGGGATGTCATTATGCAACTCGCCACTATCACCCCGCGCATCCCAACTTATATTAACACCGTTATTGAAAAAAACAGCCGCATTTTGACGACTATGACAGAGTGATATATATTGGTAGCAGCCGTGTTGCATCGATGCGAAGGGCATGCTATACAAGCGCCTTCCCACCTTCTTTTCACCGTGTTGAGGGAAATCCCACTCAGCGCTAGCTCACTTTCATGTTTTGTTGATAGCTCCCAAAATCGATTGAGTACCTTGATTCGTGGACGAAGGTTGCGAAGATCTCACCCTGGTTTTACTGGTGAAGCGTAAAAGTCTTGCAGATGTGATCTCAATAGGATCAATCATCAACCCCGAGAATCTACTTCTGATACAAAAATGGGGCTGCGTGGTCCCCTCCACAGACATGTACCTATTTGAATTGGCCACTTCTGCACCGGACGAAATAACACGTTGTTCTTGAAGTGTTACGCACCAATGCTCATTATTCGAACACAGTCATACTCGGTTACCACGTGAAACCTGCCGGTATATTGAGAGTCACAGCCCAAGGGCACCTGACATGCCGCAACAAACATTGAGCCCCTCCCCCGAGGTTTGAACTACCGCCCAAAATCAGCACTTTTACCAACTATACCACGCCACCATACAAAAACCTAAAGTGGCCTTTCCCGTTTTCCGGCCACCCCTGTCTGCGCAAATATGCCGTGCGTGGTGCTCTACGCGACCCTCCATTTCTATTGGTTCGTTTGTCACGATTTTGAGAATTCGCTTTGTCTCGGTTACTTAGCCCAACAAATTAACCACGACGACTGATTTGAGTGAAAATAGTACACAATAATACTCGATATTCGTGACCCACGGGAAAAAAAAAATACTGGAAAAATTATTGGATCCAAAAAAAAGCCGGTGTGGATATAAAAAGGTGGGATAGTTGGAAGTCGGCATCGTATCGTGATTGGTATATTTACGACTCCAAGGTTTCATCGATCTCGGATTCTTAAAAACACGGCGTTCGAAGCTCCTAATTTCGCAACATTGACACAATGGCTCCTCCTTTCTTCAACGACATTTCCAAAGACATCAACGGGCTTTTGAACCGTGACTTCTACCACGGGACGCCAGCAGCGATTGACGTCAAGACCACGGCTCCAAATGGCGTCGGTTTCACAGTCAAGGGTAAAAGCTCGCCAAAGGACGGGTCCGTCAGCGCAAACGTCGAGGCCAAGGTCTCGGACAAGGCCACTGGACTCACGTTGACGCAGGGCTGGTCCTCTGCCAACGCGCTCGACACCAAGATCGAGTTGGCTGAGCTGACGCCCGGTCTCAAGTCGGAGTTGGTCACTTCTTTCGTGCCCAACGCCTCCAAGGCTGCGAAACTCAACTTGAGCTTCGTCCAGCCCTTCTTCACCGCCAGAGGTGCGTTCGACCTATTGAAGGGTCCTTCGTTTGTCGGTGACTTGACTTTGGCCCATGAGGGTTTTGTTGGTGGAGCCGAGGTCGGCTACGACATCGCTGCCGCCGCCGTATCGCGCTACGCGGTCGCTTTGGGCTACTCTGCAGGCGTCTACTCTGTCGCTTTGTCCATCAACAACGCTCAATTGACCACCGCCTCGTTTTTCCAAAAAGTCAGCCCATTGCTCGAGGTTGGTGCCAAGGCCATTATGAACCCTCAAGCCGGCTCTAACGTCAACATTGAGTTTGCCTCCAAGTACACTTTGGACCCAACCTCTCAAGTCAAAGCCAAGGTTGCCGACTCTGGTATCGTTGCTTTGGCCTACAAGCAGGCCTTGAGACCTGGTGTCGACTTGGGTGTTGGTGCTTCCTTCGATGCCCTCAAGTTGTCCGAGCCCGTGCATAAGCTTGGCTGGTCCTTGTCGTTCGCTGCTTAAGCCAGTTGTGAGATAAAAAAATAGCCTTTTGTTCTATTTTGCAAGACCGTTGGTCTGCACTCATTTGCCACATTCCTATTTTTAATGTCTACTAAATAACAAGTCCATTTTATGAGAAAGATACCCTTTAATGGAGGATGCCTATGCTACCATGTGTAAATATTCAAAGAAAAAACTCTGCTATTGCGGTAAAAACTCAATGCGTCGCATGCATGTAAAAGCACCAATCTGGAATCGCAGCCTACATTTTTACATGTCTCGCAACTGATTGGCAGTACGGTATACTTTCACTTGTCGTGTTTCTTAAGCTCTCGTACTACGAGCTCGCGCTTGACGATTGCTACCTTTTTTTTTCTTTCATTTCACGAGCTACAATTGAGATGTCATCTCATCAAAAGTCATAAATAAATATCAATCCTCAGTCAGTAAAGACACTCAATCACACGGACTCCTCCTATCCAAATGTCTATTTTAGGCGAAGAGCTGCCTACAACAACTTCGGAGGATTTTGGCTTCAAACCTTTGGGCGAAGTCTCAATTTTACCCAGTTTCAACGAGAAGTTACCGTTCTCAAAACTGCATAATTTCGCTATCTCCAACAAGAAAAACGTGTACGTAGCTGCTGGTAAGGATGCTGTCATCGTTGGCTCATTACAGAGCTTGAGGGATCAGGTCTTACAGGGGGATACAACGGCACCTGCTTTGGAATTCATAACCAACAATAGCCTCCAAAACGTCGTGTATGTGGGATTTCATGGTAATAGCGATGAAACAATTGTGTGTATCACCAAAGATTTCCATTTCCATGTTTACAACATATCTCGAAATGAGTGGAGTTTACTAGATATCAAAATTACAGATTCTGATACTACCAATGTAATAGCAGCGCATCGTCTCAGGGCAGAAGAAGACTTATTTCTCATTCAGTTTGGCAATAAGACGCTTTACAGTATAGAAACGAGTGGAACGGCACAACTGCTGTGCAACGATGTCGTTGCTTTCGACGTCACGTTTGAGAGTTGGGTGGTCTTGCATTCCACTGGTACCGTTGAGTTGCACACCTCGGAGGGAAAAGAGGTCACGAAGACTTTCACGCTTCCACAAGAAATTTCAGAAGAGATTAGCGATGATTTTCAACCTCTTTCAGTTTCAAGCTTGTCAGATTCTAGGTTTCTGCTTGTGTTCGGAAACACGGTTGAGGAAACGGATCAAGATGTGATGTACGATCAGAAAATGTATGTGGTTCAAGAGACTGAAAGCAATGGAATCAACTTTCAAGAAAGCTTTGATATCGCTCCTGCTTTTGGAAGCGTACTTAGAAACCCCAGCTACTACAAGCTAGTCCTCAGTGACCTAGTGCCGTCAACTCCACACATATACATCATTACGTCCTCGAATTCTTCGGAGATAACGCTTCTCAATGATGAGACCGTGATCCAACCAAATCAGGATAGCGATCGTGCAGTTTTACCTATTAACCAAACTACCGATAATGACACGAACCCAATTGGGTTGGCTGTGGATTTGACCTCGAAAGATCAAATTCCAGAGCCTTGTCAAGGTGTAGACTTTGCTGTCGGGCTACCACTGATATACGTTCTCAATAATGAAGGAAACTTGTCGATTTTCGCACTATTCAATAGCACAGGCATAAAGACTAAAGAATTTTCTGTTCAGAGAAGCTTGGATAAAATACAAAACACTGCACAGGCTCACAGAGAAAGTGTAGCAGTAACTGGGTCCAGCCCAGATAGTTCAAATGAGTCAAACTCAAGTAAGGAAAGCAATTCGATATCATTAACAAGTACAGAGACCGCAACCAAAGAAACTGATTCAAATCCCTCATCTGACCAGGAAAGATCATCAGAAGAGGGGCTCGTAGCTTCACTTCCCAACAGTGCATCAACAGATCAAAACTCAATCGGCGAGAACTCATTTGGTCAGAACTCATTTGGTCAGAACTCATTCGGTCAGAACCCCTTCGGTCAGAACTCATTTGGTCAGAACTCATTCGGTCAAAACTCATTCGGTCAGAACTCATTCGGTCAGAAGTCCTTTGGCCAGAATTCTTTTGGTCAAAACTCCTTTGGTCAAATATCTCCCTTTGGCGCAGCGTCTACTACGTTGGGAAAAAGTAACAATGATAGCTCACCCTTTAGTTTCAATTCTGCTGCTAATGAGTCACAGCCCTCTGGCGCTAATAAACCAACTTTTGGACTTGTTTTGAATGAAAAGAATGACAAGCCTACATTTGGAGAGAGTCCATTTGCTCCTAAAGATAAAACAAACTCCAGTACAGCTTTATTCACCCAAGAGAATACATCTTCTGCTTTTGGAAAGCCTGCTTTTGGACAGTCCACTTTCGGTGTGCCAGATTTTGGGAAAGATAAGTTTGGCGCCTTCGGCGCAAAAGGCAACTTAAAGAACGATACGGATAAAGTTAAAAGCTTATCCGGGGAGCCTCAAGTTTCAAAACCATTATTTGGTAGTACACAATTCGGTAGTGCAGGTTTTGAGGGAATTGGAACCAGAGCCCCTCCCTTTCAAATTGATAGTTCGTCTAAGGGTGGGTTTGCTCCGTTTGCTAAAGGAAGTTCCCCATTTGCAAGTTTGAGCAACGGGCCGTCACCTTTCAGTAACGAGTCTCATTCATCAGGTGGCACAGCTTCTCCTTTCGCCAATCTAAACAATAAATTAGAGGAACACAAGCAAATAAGCAGCCCGTTTTCACAACTTCAAAATGCAGAACAATTGTCCTCAAGCTCCAATGGAAATGATGGTTTTAATGAAGGAAATGCAGGCAAAAGCATGGAACAGAGCAATGCTGGCAGCGAGGAGGACAGCTCAGACGATGGGAGTAGCACAGCAGAAAGTAGCGACACCGAATCAGAAGCCTCCAATGATGAAAACAGCAGCCTGTTGGTTTCTGGAAGTGAAGGTATTAACAAACTTGAGAGTCCAGGGAGCGATGAGCCAAATGATTCTAATTTAAAAAATTCACTGCCAGCAAACACCAACGAGACTCCTGGGGAGAGTGACTCGAACAGTGCCGAAAATTTAGATTTCAATTCTCTAGCAGAAAGAATCAAGAGAGCTGCAAATAATTCCTCCGAGAATTTCCCAAGTTCCTTAATGAAAGAAAGTAAACCAAACGAAGCAAGCTTGCCGAAAGTGGCAGATTCAGCATTCTCAAAGTTTTCGAATAATTTGAGCACCGAAACGACACCTACCTTTTCTTTCGCTGACATTAGAAAACAACTGCCAAAGGCGAATGAAACTTTTGCTGCCGATGAAGACAAGAGTGGGAATGAGCACAAAGATGATATCACAAATCAATCGAGCGCTACAAAAATCAAAACAAGCCTAAAAGCTTCTGAAACAAGAAATCAAAGCTCTGAGGAGGAGCCTATCATCAACAAGTATGCAGAAGCCGAGGAGACATCGGCAGACAACTCAGATGGCCAAGATGTGCAGAGTGACAGGGAAGACATGTCCTTGAACCGCACAGATGAAACTCCAGAGGAAAACGAAGAAGAATCTTCTCTTGCGGCTAAAGATAAAGGTGTCCTCACAACAGACACTGAGAGAATAGATGAAAAACGTTCTGTTCAAGAGGGTGCAAAGGAAGGAACTGAGTCAGTGGACAGTGATGAGTCACCTATAAACGTGCCGGACGGCGGGTTCTCCACTAAAAAGTCTGGCACCAGTACAGAGAATGAATCATTTGATGAGTTGGACGACTTAAAAGAGGAATTAGATCAAATAAAGAGTGGCACGGAGAAAGTTTCCAACTCTCAAATAGACAATGTCGCTCCAGAGCCAAAACTTCATAGCGCAAGCACGAGCACTCAAACTTCCCCGGTAAAAACCTCGAGTAATGAAACCCAGACGGCATCAACAATGAAGGATGCAGCGGTAGAAACAGAACCAATCGAAATGGAGGAGATCGAAGTTCAAACGTTTGAGCGAGATGAGGCATATCAAGCACAGGAGTACAAGCCTGAAGCACTTAAGATGTTTTATACAGGAGCTAAAGCCTCGCCGAAATGCTCGAAGCATTCGAATGAAACCCTGAATAGAATTGAGGATACGTTCAACGTCGTTACTGCTGAAATTGGAGTTTTGGAATCAAATTTGCAAAACATCAAATTGTTTCTCAACGATCAAATTCGCAGACCTTTTGAGAGGACCGATCAGACCTTATATCAAACATATACTTGGCGTTTGGAAGAAGCTGAGGTTCTCAATTCCATTGTTGATGACAGTTTCACGGCTTATCAGCCTATTTTTAAGAGCGTCTCGTTGCTGTGGTCTGAAACAGAGCGTCTTTCAAGTGAGGATCTCATGAACATAGAAGAAAGTCGCTTTTCAACGAGGAAATACTACGATCAGCTGGAGAGCTTAAAGGACGAAAACAAAAGGTTCAATAGAGGACTGACCTTGCAACAGACCCAAATGCAACACAAACTTCGGAGCAAATTGTCATCTGCACAAGACCGAATTCAAACTATCGAAGCAACTCTCAGACTACTAAAGATCCACATGTCGAAAGAAGACATCAATAAGGCCCCATTAATCACCAATATAATGGAAGACAGTAAACAGAGAGGCGACTTGCTTGAAGCGATTAAATTATTAAGAAAAGAGGTTTCAGAACTGAGGATTAAAGATCGAGATATCGTCAAATACTCTGATTTTGATTGTACCATACAGACTGCCCCTATCAGTGAGTTGAAGTTGAAGTTGGACACTAAAAAAGAGATGGGAAGATTGTTTATGAGCAGGACTTGGTAGATAGTAATGGTTAGAGATAATAAAACAATTACATATTACACGCTTTCTTCTTTAGTTAGACTTGAAGTTCTCTAAGAGTTTTGGCAAACTCTTCGATTAACACATCGTTCTCCTCTTTTGTGCCGATAGTGATTCTGAGGCAGCCCGTACACCCATATTCCGTACCTCTAAATCTGGTCACAACCTTTGATTCGGAAGCAAGTTTATAGTATAACTTCTTGGCAACTTCATTAGAGGGTTTATCACCATCCAAGATTCTTACCATGATGAAATTAGCATCCAAACCACCAACGTGATTGTTTTCAACATTCTCCAACGATGTTAGCTCCTTGAGAACGCGGGCTCTCTGTTCAATGATCTCTTTGACTGTAGATTTCATTCTTTCGATAGAATCTGGTTCCATAGCCTTCAACATGACCTGCGATGTCAGTGAAGAGATATTGTAGGGAGCTTTCATTGCGTTCAGAACTCTTGATAGAGGCTTCGATGCAAATGTCATCCCTAGTCGAACGCCTGCTAAGCCAAAGGACTTCGATAAAGTTTGACAGACTGCTACGTTGGGGTATTTGTTTACAAGAGGGGCTGCGGATCCACCAGAAATGCTGAAATCAATATAAGCTTCGTCAACAACCACAATACCAGATTGCCATTGCGACGCTACCGTTTCAATGCTCTTAGAGTTTATAAGTGCTCCCGTTGGATTCCCTGGCGACGTGATAAAGATGAGCTTAATGGCAGGATCGTTCCGGAGAGCCTCAAGGACCGCGGGCGTGTCCATTTGGAAGGAATTGTCTTCGACAACAAGAGGTACCTTGACGTAGTCTACGTCGTTAATATCAGCACAATTGGTGTACATGCCGTAAGTGGGAGGCATTATTAAAATCTTTTCCTTACCTGGCACACAGCAGGCACGAATCAAAGCGTCAATGCTTTCATCAGATCCAACGCCGAGGCAAACGTTTTCAGAAGTTAAAGGATCCAGGTTTTCACTTTTATAAGCTGAGTTCGAATTCCGTAGAGCGGTGATTTTCTCTTTGAACTCCACTTGATTAGGGTCTGGGTATCTGTGTAATTGGGAAAGAGACTCATCAAGTACTTTCAACGTAGGCCCATGTGCATTTTCATTGGCGTCAAGTAGAATCCCCTCCTTGAAATCATCTCTAGCACAACGGTAGGCTTCCAAACTGTAGATTTTGGGTCTCACAATCTTTGCGAGGTCGAACGTCATCTTTGACTCCTTAGTATTATTTTGTATAGTCTATAGCGTGTATTCCAAAAGACGTTATGAATGTTTCATTCACCTTTGATATCTCTGATATATATTAAAGGTGAAATTATTTCGTAAAAGCGTGAGTCACAATCGCTATTTACGTTGAGATGGCTCTATCAAACAATGACTGGATTTAGGCAAACTCGGGGACATATGTGCCCCAGCTAACTCATAGAATTCCCCACACGATCCAAAAGCGCCTTCTGTTTTTCTGAAAGTGATCTGGAAGTTTGTTTATACGTTTGGGTTGTGTCGTTCAAGTAACTCACCACAATTTAGACAACCTTCTAGAGCGGGGTTCGATTTCACTGTATACCATAGCTTTCTGTCAGCTTCTCTAAACGAAAGCATGTTGGTATTGCTGTAAGCCAACTGAAAAACGCAAATATGCAGGTTTCCCCGTTTGTGAGGAACAAAAAACCTAACAATCTAGGCATCGAGGACCCCTCTCAGGCCTATGGCGGATAGGGTGTGCTATCAAACTATCAACCGGATGTAAAACCGTGATGCACTTGATGAAAGGGGGACTAGGGTAGATTTGAAAGTGTGACTAATAGCAATACGCCAGCTAAGGTTTATTGCGGCCATCAAATTCTCTGTAGTCCCCTCCATCGCTTGGTAATTTAACAAAATCTGGGACACCGTCCCTTCGCACCACTAGCTGAGTGTCAAACATCGTTATGAACTCCAGATCCACTTCCCCCTTGAGCCCTCCACTAAAAATACCGTATTCTTGGTAAATGCCCGTCGTCGACCAGCCCTGAAAAAGTTTTCTAATAATGCCGACAACGACCCCTACTCTATGTTTGCCCTTATTAGAATGAATGAGAATTGGGTAATTCTTTTTATCCAGCACTTTTCGCAGTACTTGGTTCATTTGCGTGTTGATATTTGCATCACGGCACGACTCAACGTGCACAAACTCATAACGGATTCCCTGTGAGTCCAAAAACTCTTTATAATCTTCTGAAATGTCTTTGTCGCCAACGTATATTACGGTCTTCAGATGCAATTGATCAGCGATAAAATGATAATTCAAGGGCATTGGATAACCCGATCTATATAGCGAGACCTCGGTGCTCACTACTGGAGCGAAATTTAGAGGTGGTATGTACACCATCAGATCAAGGCTAGCTTTGAGCTGTATTTCATGTATTTCCTATTTTTGTCAGTCACACCGTGAATGTTTAGCTATTTTTGTATTTATTTCAAGATGATGCCAGATCAAAAATTCTTGAAGCCTGAACACTACCTCAACAGAATATCAGCAAAGTAGATCCACAATGATCCATGTTCCAGTCGTCGAGCGAGATCTTCCGACTTTGACAACATCGAGTTCCGGATCCAGCTCTAATACGTCGTACCCGACCCCCAGCATCACTCCTCCTTCCATCAAAGGCAACCCGTTCATATGGTCTTCTGACAAACCGTCAGGAACCATCTTTATTGCTGTAGGATCCATTGTGGGCTTCATTCTGATAGCTATTATTCTGGCGTATTTCATCTCGGCTTACATTTCCCAGAGACAGACAGAAAAACAGCGTTACGATGCCGTGGACCACGAATTCAACTCGCATGTCAATGGCGACGGTGGCTTTTACGAAACCGAGAAGTCTCAGTTCATTGCTAAGAATCCACCACAAAACTCTAAAAACAGCGTTATTCGTCTGCTAGACGCTCAGGAACCAGGAAGAGCATCTCCCATCCTGACAAACCAAGCCTCGAACAGCTCATTAGCACAAGAATTCTACTCCTCGATCCAAGATCAAAATGCTGCTCAGAACAGGAAATCCTTGTTCATATCTCCCACGGTAGAGGTCATCAATCAGCAACGTAAGAGCATGCTGATGCAGAACATGAACACTTCATCCTCTTCTTTATTATCTGAGTCAAGCCCCGAGCTCAACAAACCAGAAAGAGCAGCATCTCCAGACAGGAAGAAAGGACATCAATCAAGATCAAAATCAAATCTGAGCTTTAACGTTACGTCGGCAAATAGCAAGAGTACTTCTCCTGACAGTGCCGCCTTACGCGAAACTCCAGTACAAAGACCAAAAGCTCCGTCAATGTATTTGGAAAAAATGCTCGAGGACAACTAACAAATTAAAGGCTAAACATGCCTTGATATGTAAATTACAATTAGCATATTGACGATCTAAAGAAACAGAGGCCCTTCCCGTAGGCCTCGTAGCATAAATTAAACCTTCTTTCAAAAGCCGTTTCTCTGTGACTGATGCGGCCTGTTACTTAACAGTTTCGAATCACCGACATACTTGGAGCCAAATGCTTTCAGCATCGAGGATTATTGTAGCCGTTGAGCTTGGACAGTGTTAGCATCCTGAAATTTCCCTTTGCCATTTAGTTCTTATATTTATATTACTGTATTAGCACTTTGAATACATGGAAGGGCGTTGTGTTATGGTCACTGAATTATTCCTGCAACACAGCGGTTTCACATAACAGTACAGTTGCTACTTTTCTTGCTCTCCTCTTGATTGCCCTCTTTAGCACCCCTCGGATGTGCTGTCAAAGCACACCTTGCGGCCTCAGTGAATGCCTCATTTACGCCGCGGTTCATCTTGGCACTACATTCGAGATAGCGGAGCGCACCAATCTTCTTAGCCATGGCCAGCCCTTCATCATAAGAGATCAGTCTTGACTCGTTACTAGAGTTGCCCATTTGCTGCTGCTCTTGTTGTTGCTGAATGTTTCCCGGTGTGATAGCTGAATCAAGGGCAAACTCCTCTGTATTGTTTCTCAAATCGCACTTTAGAGCCACTAGCACCAGTTTTACACCCTCACAATGGTCTGCAATCTCTCCTACCCATTTGTGCTGCACGTTGTCCAGCGAGTCTCGTGAATCAACTGAGAAGCATAGCATGATTGTATGAGTGTCAGAATACGACAATGACCGTAGTCTATCAAACTCTTCTTGGCCTGCCGTGTCCCATAGACTCAGTGTGATATGCTGGCTGTCCACGAAGATGTCGTGTATGTAATTTTCGAATACCGTTGGCTCGTAAACCTTAGGAAAGTACCCTCTTGTGAACACATTTAAAAGCGATGTCTTACCACACGCACCATCTCCTAGGATGACGATCTTACGCTCGATGGGTTTCTTTGAAGAACTCGATCCACCACACAGCGGCATATTCTCTTGATCTGGTTTAACTACGAATACTTTTAAAAATATATTTTACTTGCTGTTCTTTCAACTTGTAAACAACCATATTCTTAAAGGTTTCTTCTGATTGTTTCCCGTTCTCGCCACGAGAACAACAGTCCAAAAATTTTTCGTGATTTCGTGACACCCGTTACCCTTTCCAAAAATTCTACCGATGAGATGAGCTCAAACAGAGGTGAGCGCTTAGAGTGCACGGTCAGTTGGAGTTCGATATCATATTGAAACAGTCAACAACGGTGCTACTTCAAATTTCCAAAGTCGCTCGTGGAGTCCTTGAAAATTTTCCGAAAATCAAGTTCGATATAATCAGTTTTGGGGTAAAGTCGGTGGCAGAGCGATTCGATGGTCCAATGTTGGACCAATATGCACTTGGTCTCGTCTTGATATCAATTTGTTTTGCCCCAAGCGCACTTGTAGAACGTAATACGAATGGGGCAATGTAACCTCATTTTCAGCCAACAACCGATTCTGTCCTTGTGACCGCACCCAAACTCATCTAATGACTTGCTATAGGGTCAGATCGTTAGAGTAGTGACACCTTTATAAAATACAAGTGGCTTCTCCTTTCAGTGAATAAGCTCTGCTCATTGTAGGGTAGCTCGCAGTCTTTTGAGACAAAAAAAGAGGACGCTTCAGCTGCTATTGTTGCTAGAGCTGCTAGGAACACAATGTTCCGTGAGATTTGTTTTGGTGACCATCCATTTGCTTTTGGGTCTCAGTACTTTTTTGATTGGTAGAAAGCGGGAATCGTTGGCAGACACACATCTCGTGCGCTCATCGAACACTAAAATTGGCTAGCCGGCTGACTTGTTTGCTACCTCTCCATTTAGGTTTAGTTGCGTTAAGATACACTAAGCTTTTGAAAAATTGGTCTTTCACGGGCAAGTAGCCTAAAAACTTGATAGAGCTTTCACACGGTAGACGTACCTTTGGGAATGTCAGCCATCGTGTCGAAGCTGTAACATACGCGTCATTAACATGCCTGTGTCCCTTATGCATTTAGCCGCGGAGAGCTTTTTCTAATCCAGAAGTCGGTCTATACTTGTAACTCTTTTCGATCATTAAGACATGAAGGTGCCTCCCCTGGTACACTTATTGAGAAATGTACCCAAGAATAATGTACGTTTACCGCTGAGTTCCATGGCTTGTCAGACTTTTCAGGTGACACGGTGGTTGTGTAGCTATACGACGATATTGTAAGCTTCGCCAGTATGGAAAGCTTCAAAAATTAGACCAAAAAGTATGAGCTTTTCGCGTTGCTCACTACTGTAGGCTTGATTATCACTTCGCAAGGTCTGCCGATGTGGCATTTATCAGATTTATAGCGTTGTCGCACATAAACATACAGCAGCGAGATGACTAGAATTCACCAAAGTAACGAGATATCCGAATGCTGCACAAGAGTAAAATTAAGTACACCCCTCACATGGACATCTTATAGACTGCGGCTATTTTTGTGATGCAGTCAACCAACCCAACAATGTTGTCAGAAGCCATGCCGCGCCAGGACAGTACGAAGTGACATACAAAATATCTCATACGGCATCAATTCCACTCATAACGAGAGATTTTTGGGGAGAGTCTGAATTAGTGATAGGTAGTTTATCAATGTTCTTATTTCGCTATTTCATAATGAGGTCAGTGCCTTGATTTGTTGATGAAGACTGTAAAAATTTCTCCTCTATTCTATCAGCCTTGAGTTTGATCCACCTGGTGGAACAACTTTTGGTGTCTATATAGAAACTTACTGTGCGTGAAGATTCTTGCAAAATTTTGAGTAATCGCATGATGTGGCGTATGATATATCATGATCATTTTGGAGCATTGTCTGGTACTTGTCATCACTTCGAGAGAATGCATCTAAAATCTCACAACCAATTTCTGACATCACTTTGTACCTTTATGTCATCGCGCTACTTGGCACTATCATCACTCACATCGCCACAGGCTTACGTTCTGAACGGGATTGCGCTTATCAGAATAGCTGCGATTGGTTTGCTTACATGGGTTGATAAGACGTGGCGCGTCCGGCTGTCCAAAAAATGTATGAATAACGACGGTTTTTCGGTATAACGAGATCGCACTCTCAGTCACAAAAAGCACGGAGAAATGTGACATGCCAAAGATCATTTGCTATCAAAAATTAATCACTATGTCCACTGAAATCGTAAGTAGCAATATCTAGGTTTCAAATTTATTCGATGTAAGCCAAGATCAGTAAGTGTAAAATTGGAAGTGCACCACAATATTTACGTAAAATACACGAGTAATGAACAAGGAAAGTTATGCGACAATAACACCGTTAATTTCAAATACATCTAAAATTAGCACGAGAACAAATCTACAGCTTTTATCGTGGAGCGAGTTGATAGATTGGCACTTCAAAAGAAACTGTTCAATAGTTGGTTACTGGCGAAAGTTTCGCAGTCTGAAAAGGCTAAGATGTTCATCGATCGATATTGACTGGTCCAGGTCACTCGATTTTTGGGTGAGGGAATTCAAACACAAACAAGGTAGTATTGATGAGCCACTTATAAGACTAGAAAACTTCGATTTTTCGCTCCTCTTTAAGTTTTATATTCTCATCCTTTTTATTTCACCTAAGCTTTCTATTGAATACAACACCAATAATTTGTACGGTCAAGAAATTCAATATTTTTGCAGGAAGTAGTTTCAATTCGTAATTCTGGCTTGTCATGAATTGTTTTTAAATTGGCCTTGGCCAAAAAGCCTGATTTCGAGCATAAGAAGTTGTCTCTATCGTAGCAAACCATCAATACATACACTACGACTTTCCAACAAAACCACTGGTATCATTGCCATACGATTCAAGTTCAAGTGCTGCCCAGTTTTAGTTTCAATATCAAGTGCTGAGAAGTGGACTCATGTGACTTGAGTGATCATGAACCCAACAGGTAGGTTATACGAAGCATAAAAAATCGTATAGAGGACCATCATTGACTGGGTGTCACCGCGACTCAATTAGACCTGCATTCGTTGGAGCGCTTTAGTTGTATTAAGGCGAAAGTCGTTGCCATATTTGATTGTTGGAAAGCCAACACAGAATAGGGTCGGTCGTTTAGCTGTAGGGACTTTCGATGGAATCTCAACTTATTATCTTGGTTGAATAGATATGCTTACTATCTCTCACATATATATAAACATTGCCCTTCGTCTTGGAGACTGTATACTTCAATTTTCAAGTACCAACGTCAGTAATATTACACCATTTGTGGAATGTCGCCCGAAACAGAAAGAGAATTATGCCATACGCTACTGACAGAAATCCTAGCGTACCAATTTGCGTGGCCCGTGAGATGGATTGAGACCCAAGACGTCTTGTTAAATCAATATCGCGCCGAAAGGTTTATTGAGGTGGGACCCCAACCTATCTTAGCAAACATGGCCAAGAGAACGCTCCAGCAAAACTCAGACTACGAGAATGCCACAACCATAAGCACCCATAGAGAAGTGTACTCAGTAGCCAACGATTTAGATCAAATTTGTTACAATTGGGTTCCGCCCGTACAAGAGCAGCTGCCAAATGCCGTTGGCATTCCAGAAACAATCGCAGCAGCGGATAATGGCGAAACAAGATCTGCACAGGTATCGACTATTGACTATCTTCCCGTAGCGGCAAAAGGCCAGCAGCAGTTTGAAAAAGAGCCAAGCCTAACGGCTGACCTCGTGCTGAGATTTCTGGTGGCTCGTAAATTAATCGCCTTCAATTTGAGATCTTTACCGGGAGAGAAATCTATAAAAGAAGCGTGCAACGGAAAGTCAACGTTACAGAATGAAATTGTGGGCGATATTAGTAGAGAATTTCCCTCTTTACAACACGTTCATCATCTCGAGGAATTGTCTCTCAATTCGATTTCTCAAGAACTAGAGGCTCCTAGCGATTTAGGCCCTCTAACGATTGATGTTGTCACCAAATTTATTCCTCGCAGGTTTGCTGGGAATTTGAGCAAATTAAGTGCTGTAAAGGAATATCTGAAACGCTCATGGGCTGTCAGTAATGCTTCAGCTCTATTACTTTTTATGGCATCAAGAGATTTGGAAAAAAGACTTTTGAATGAGTCAGAAACACAACTGTTCATTGATAAAAGTTGTATAGAATATGCCAAAATGTTCAATATCCCTTACACTATGGCCGACCCCGCGGGCGTGAACTCCGAAATTAATGGCAATAATGTCGACGATGAAAAACCAAAGACAGTAGATATTGAAACTTATCACAATTTCGAAATTGAGCTGATACAGCTGCATGAAAATCAGCATCGAGTTATGAGCACACACCTAGCTGTTTCAGATGGAAAGTCTGAGATCGAAATATTGAAAGAAAAACTCAAAAACATGGAAGGAAGGCTGACTGATATTGAGAACGAGTTTGGATCTGAATTTATCGACAATTCATTAAAGAAATCGTTTTCTCCACTCAAGATGCGTACCTTCGATTCCGCATGGAACTGGGCAAAACAGTCGATTCTAAAGTTGATGTATGCAGCGTTACACGAACCTCAGAAAATAACAGAACTTATGTCTCCCAGCACCATTCAAAACATAGCGAATAGGGCGGACTTAAGTGTTACTCGTATTATTCAACACATGCTGAGTTGTAACGAGTTTGAACCCGCTGTTAAAAGGAAGTTTGAAACTATAATATTCATTTGCCTGAAAGGGATGGCGAATCCACCGTCCTATTGTGCCAACCAGTTCAAGTCCCAACAACCACTGTCGTACAATCACGTCGATACAAAGGGAGCTCAGACAAAGAATGCGTCTCATTATATCAAGGAAATGTCTGTGGCAACAGCGGCTTCTTCAACTGAAGTCTCGGTTATTTCAACTAAATTGAATAGCGATATGAGCAGCTATTACAAAATCGAAAAAGAGTTATTTCAAGTCTATTCAAAAATCATACAGTATTCTTTGGCATCAAACAGCTCGCCCTCAAATATTCGTTCACAGTTCGAAACTGTCTACGAGCAATTGTTGATTTTTCTCAGAAACTCTGACCATGTGGCTTCTTTCTTCAGAGGTATTGTTAATGAAGCAGTCCGTTCGGTTAACAAACCCTTAATTACCACAAAGTATGACGAGCTCGACGTTGTAGTTAGTGATTGCGAGATATTTACGTCAGATGATGAGGACGATGAGCTACGTCCTCTCGAGAAGAGACCTTCAGTACCAGATATCACAATTCCTACAGGTATAGTACCATTTTTGCATCTCAAAAAGAGATCAAACGTGTCTGGAGGGTGGAACTATGACAAATGTCTGACGCAAAGGTATCTCAATAGTTTGCTGAAAATTAGTGAAGACGGAATGTCGTTCTTGAATAAACGATCCCTGGTATTGACTGTGGATGCGCAAGACAACCTTACTCTAGAAGTTATACGCGCCCTGCTTCAAGCAGGGTCGGTTGTTATTGTAGCCACGCAGCGTTATGATAGTGAGACAAACAAGGTTTTCCAAAATTGCTACCAAAATTTTGGCGCAACAGGCTCCAAACTCATAATTTTACCTCTCAACATAAGCTCAAAGATTGACGTATCAAGGTTCTCAGAGTACTTGTTCTCTAAAATAGGGGACGTGGATTTCTTTTTGCCTTTGCATGTCAAAACCACACCAGGATCAATATTGGATTATACCTCTAGTGCTGAGCTCGCCCACAGATCTTCGAGCGTGAACCTTTTGCGCTTATTGGGCAATATTGTCCAACAAAAAAGAGCCCTTGGCATTGAAACCAGACCCACGCATGTTCTTCTACCACTATCACCAAATCATGCAAACATATATGAGAAGTCCAATTTCAGGGACACTTTTATGGCTCTTGTCCTCCAGAAATGGTATGACGAGGACTGGTCTGCAGAGCTCAGCATCTGCGGTTGCGTCTATGGGTGGACAAACGATGATAGCGACGACCTCGTAGCGAAGGGCCTGGAAAAATTGGGAGTTAGACCGTTTACAAATAGTGAAATGGCTTTCAATATGTTGGGTCTCCTGACCTACGATGTAGTGTTGAGCTCTCAGGACAGTCCATTGATCGCGGATCTTAACGGTGGGTTACAAACTCTTCCAAATTTGAGTTCGCTGGTATCCGACTTGAAACTTCAATCTAAATCTGATCAAGAATTGAAAGCAGCTATTCGAGAGCAAGACTCAGCGGAAAGAAAACTCAAAGGTATCATAGAGAAAGAATTGAAAGAGGTCGAGCCTAGAGGAAACGTTCAACTGCAGTTTCCTCAACTTTTGTCCTACGACTTATTAACCAAGAATTTCAACGGTGATACTCTCTCTGGACTTTTAGACTTGTCACAAGTCGTTGTTGTAACTGGTTTTGCAGAGCTAGGGCCATGGGGCAGTGCACGGACACGGTGGGAGATGGAAAAAAATGGTGAGTTCTCACTCGAAGGGTGCATTGAACTGGCCACCATTATGGGATTAATTGAGTATGTGACCTCAGATAAAGTTACTGGTTGGATAGATAGTAAGACTCATTCTTCAGTTCAAGAGTATGAAATAAAAGACAAGTATGAAAGTCAGATTTTGGAACACTGCGGTATACGAATAATCGAGCCCGCATTATTTCAAGGCTATGATCCAAATAAAAAGCAACTGCTTCACGAAGTCGTTTTAACTTACGACTTGAGCCCAATTCAGGTGTCATCTGAACTGGCCTCGCAGTACAAGCTGCTTCACGAAGATTTTGTGGAGATATACCCTGTTCCAGACACAGATAGCGAGTGTTTGGTAAAATTCCTAAAAGGCTGTAACCTTATGATACCTAAAGCATTGAAATTCGACAGATTCGTGGCTGGTCAAATTCCCACCGGGTGGGATCCAGTTCGCGCTGGTATTCCGGAAGACATAGTTTCTCAGGTTGACCCTGTTACTCTGTACGCTTTGATGGCCACAGCAGAAGCATTGATATCTGCAGGAATAAAAGACCCTTACGAAATGTACAAATACGTTCATATCTCACAAGTGGGAAACTGTTCAGGATCAGGAATTGGTGGTATGAAATCCCATCGCGAAATGCAAAAGGTGCGACTTATGGATGGTAATGTTCAGACAGATATTTTGCCGGAAACTTTCACCAATGTTACTGCAGCTTGGATAAACATGCTACTTCTCTCATCTTCTGGACCCATAAAAACTCCTGTCGGTGCATGTGCCACCGCTGTAGAGTCGATTGATTGTGCTGTTGAGACAATTCTTTCTAATAAAGCCAAAATTTGCATTGCTGGCGGATACGATGACTTTGAGGAGCATATCTCTCACGAATTTGGTAATATGGGAGCAACATCTAATTCTCAAAAGGAGGTCGAATGCGGTAGGGATGCCAAGGATATGTGTAGACCAGCAACATCTACGCGTAATGGATTCATGGAGTCGCAGGGTGCCGGAATTCAGATACTAATGTCTGCAGAACTCGCAATTGACATGGGAGTACCCATTTACGGTATTATTGGTATGGCATCGATGGCATCTGATAAGATCAGCAAATCGCTTCCTGCACCAGGAAAGGGAATTTTGACATGTGCTAGACAGCTAAACACAAAGCAGACCATTAGAAATCCCAAACTTGACGTGCGCTTCAGAAAAAGACAATTAGGAAACCGCTTGGCGGAGATCAAACAGTGGGCCGAAACCGAGCTATCAGAGGGTATGGATTCTGACTATGTTGAGCAACAAGCTGCAAAACAAGAAGCAGATGCAAAGAAGCATTGGGGAAATAATTTCTGGCACAAGGATCCTAGAATATCTCCAATCAAAGGCTGTCTCGCCACATTTGGATTGACAATAGATGATATAGGCGTTGCCTCATGTCATGGAACATCGACGAAAGCCAATGAAAAAAACGAATCTGCGATATTAAACACCATAATGGAGCACTTGGGAAGAACCGATGGCAACCCAGTTCTTACCGTTTTTCAAAAATATCTCACAGGACACCCTAAAGGTGCAGCTGGCGCGTGGATGATAAACGGACTGTTGCAAATCATGCAGGATGGATTAGTGCCTGGAAACAGGAATGCCGATAACATAGATGAAGCTTTTGCTGAGCATAAACATCTCGTGTATCCCTCTGAAAATATAGAAATGAGAACGGTGAAAGCAACCTGCTTGACTTCTTTTGGCTTTGGCCAGAAAGGTGCCGTAGCTGTTTTGATTAATCCCAATTTCGTCTTGGCGGCACTGTCCGAACATCAGTACTCAGAATATGCACAAAAAGTTAACAAGAGAGCAGTTGAAGCTCAATACCATTTCTCTGATGCATTGATCAACCAAAAGCTATGCCAAGTTAAAGATCGGCCCCCGTTCAGCGCTCTTGAAGAAGAGAGTGTTTACCTGGAGCCGTTGGCCAGAGCCAATGGCCAGCTTGAGATAAAGTCAATGGAATAGAATGACCGTCAGTCTCTATCATGTTCTTCAGCAAGAAGAAGTCCCTCAGGTGCGTGGCGATTTAAATAACTTATCTGATAGATATCTAGCCACATAATGACATTCGTTGCACATGTTTAGAGCTGGACCACCCGCTATGTATATTAGATCGATTTGATTTTTTTTTATAAATAATCAGATTTTAAGAATCAAGACGCCTAACCCAAATTTTAAAATCAACTTTAAGCTTGTGTCAACTACGGTAAAGCAGTCCTTTCGTGAATTCGCTGCCCAAAACCATGTCTCGGGACTCAAGTTTAGTGCCATTGACAGCTCAAGAGCTCAGAGAACCAGCCCTTGCGGAGCAACCAGAGCCTTTTGATGACCCAACTGGGTATAACCCTGATGTACCAATAGCCATCGATTTCGGTTCGAGTGAAGTCAGAGCCGGCTTCGGAAATCAGGAAGGCCCTTCTCACATATTTACAAATCGACTTGCAAGATGGAGAGACCGGAAGCGGAACAAAAATCTAACGTTTATTGGAAATGACACAAATTTAGACTTAAGCGTGCGGCTGCAAGCTAGAAGCCCTTACGATGGCGCTATCGTATCAAATTGGGACTATGCAGAGGAGATCATGGAGTACACTTTTCATCATCTAGGCGTAAACAATCAGGACGGCGTCCCAAACCCAATTTTAATGACAGAGAAACTCGCTACACTCCAATCGCAGAGAGAAAACTGGTATCAACTGCTATTTGAATGTTTTGGTACGTCACAAGTCACTTTCGGTTTAGACAGCCTCTTTTCATTCCATGCCAACAATGATTCGTCAGCCTCCGGGCTCGTCATTAGTAGTGGTAACGAAGATACGCACGTCATTCCCGTTGTAGACGGCAAAGGCGCTTTAAGTGAAGCTAAGCGGATAAATTGGGGAGGCCGTCAGTCCGTTGATTATTTAGCGAATTTGCTGGCTTTGAAATATCCGTATTTTCCAATCAAACCATCCACACAACAGTTTCAGTCGCTGTACCACGATTACTGCTATATCTCTCCTGACTATCAGCAAGAAATCCAAAAAATCCTATCTATGGAAGAATTAGAAACAAAAAACGTTGTCGTCGAAGCTCCCTTTTCAGAGATAGTGCAGCCAGAGAAGAGCGAAGAGGAGATTCGCCTGCAAGCTGAGAAAAGACGGGAGACTGGCAGAAGATTACAAGAACAGGCCCGACAAAGACGGAAAGAGAAGCTAGTTCAAAAGGAGGAAGAATATGAGTATTACACGCAGCTCAAAGAGCAAATGAAGGATCAGCCTAAAAAGACAATATTATCAACGCTACAAAACGCCGGATTTGACGACGAACAAGACTTTAGGAAATACGTCAACGGGCTAGAGAAGACTCTAAAAAAAGCTCAGGTCCTCGACGCGGGTGATGAGGATGAGGAAACCTCTTCAAATAAATTCGAACTTGTTGAGGTGCCCGATGAGCAACTTAATGAAGATGAAATAAAAGAAAAGAGGAAGCAGCGGCTCATGAAAGCTAATCTAGATGCTAGGATCAAAGCCAAAGAAGAGAGGATTAAAAAAGAGCAAGAAGAAGAAGAAACAAGAATAAAAGATGAAACATGGCGCAAGGAGGATTTACATGGCTGGATTAAGGACAAACGAAATAGACTTTCCGGCCTAATTAAATCAAGAAAAAGTAAACTAAAGATAAAATCAGATATGAAAGACCGGAAGTCTCATGCTGCTCAGAAAAGAATGAAAAACATTGCTACATTGGCTGAAGAGGACTCGCGGTCCAGTACTAAAAGGTCCAGACAACAGGCCACTGTTGATAACGACCCAAACGATACATTTGGTGCGAATGACGAGGACTGGCTTGTGTACAACGATATCACATCAAATGCAGAGGCTCTTGACCAAGCAATCGAGGAAGAGTATAATGTCATTGTCGAACTAGAAAAGCTACTTCTGGAATATGATCCGAACTTCACCGAAGAGGATACGTTAGATGCACAATACGATTGGAGAAATTCAACCCTACACCTTTTTTTGAGAGGTCCTAGGCCTCACGACAGTGAAGATATGAACCAACAACATCAAATGCATCTCAATGTCGAGCGTATTAGAGTGCCGGAAGTCGTATTTCAGCCATCGATGGGCGCTCTAGATCAGGCAGGTATAATCGAAATTTGCGAGACGATCCTTTTGAAAAAATTCGACTCTAACAGGAGAGAGCTTAGTCCCATAACTCAAAACTTGGCCTCGAATATATTTCTTACCGGGGGTAATATGCGGGTACCTGGTATGAAAGAGAGGATTGTGCGGGAATTCACGGGACTTCTACCCATGGGTACTAATTTAAATGTCAGATTGGCGAAAAATCCAGCTGTGGATGCATGGAAAGGAATGGCGAAGCTTTCACAGGCAAAAGATCAGTACAAAAAAACCTACATCACAAAGCAAGAGTACCAGGAATATGGTGCAGATTATATAAAGGAACATAACCTTGGTAATGTTTCGTATGTGTAGCCTATATATAGTATTGGCAAAAGAATAGCATTAGAGATCGTATTATGAAATGTCGTTGATGGAACGCAGACGACGTCGATTGAGACTATTTATACAATTATACAGAATTCTTGAGAGGGCTTATGCAGATTTGTTAGTTTTGTTTTTAGGCGCCTTCTTGTTTTTTTCAGCCTTAGGGTCAATACCCTTCTTTAGAAGTCCAATTTTCCTAGATTTTTCGATGTACTTTTCGTCCTCCTCAGTAGCGAAATCAGCGAAATCGCCATGAATGATACCTTCTTCGAGAGCTTCTTGTCTGGCAGCATTTTCTTTTTCTCTAGCATTGGCTTGATTGTCATCATGCTTGGATGAAGCAACCTTCTTAAACTTAGCTACGAAGAAACCATCGACGTTATAGACATGAGGATAGTATCTTCTTGCTAGCTTGACACTGGGGTGAAACTTCTTACCTCTATAACTGACAAATGCTTCCTTACCGATCGATAAACCAGCATCAACGAGTTTGACATTTGGTCTCTTCCTAAGGGCATAGTCAATTACAGCTTCATTTTCTTCTACTGCAACCGAACAGGTGGAGTAAACGACAATCCCGCCAGTCTTAGAGTTAGCGTCGACTGAGTCGATGGCCGAGAGGAGCAATTGCTTTTGTAGGTGAGGGATCTGCATAAAATCCTTTTCAGTACGAGAGACTTTAACAGACTGATCCTTACCAATGACACCGGTACCTGAGCAAGGGGCATCTAGTAGAATTCTGTCGAATCCACCAATAACCTTTGGAAATTCACGGGCATCGTAGTTGCAAACTATAGTGTTTGTGCAACCCAACCGGTGAATGTTAGCAATAAGGGATTTGGTTCTGGCTTTGTTGGCGTCGTTGGCAAAGATACATCCAGTGTTTTTCATCATTGCCGAGATGTACGTTGTCTTACCACCTGGGGCAGCTGCCATATCCAAAATTCTCTCATTTTCGTGAGGATCTAATGCAATTACCGGTAGGAAAGAAGAAGCAGCTTGTAAAATGTACTGACCTGCCAAATATTCTGGAGTAGCACCAATTGGTACTTGAGAATCGAAAATTTGCAAACCAACTTTGGTCCAAGAACCAATGGGTTGCAGGTTTACACCACGATTTACTAGTGTTTGGGCCAGGTCTCTTCTTCTAGTTTTCAAACTATTGGTTCTGATTGTAATTGGTCTTGCAACTTCATTGGCTTCGAAGAACTCGAGGGCTTCCGTAGGTGAAAAGAGATTGAATAGTTTATCAGCCAAAAATGGTGAGTAACCGAAGTATTCGCAGATATCTTTGATCAAACGGTCCACGTATTCACTCCTCGAACGACCCTCAGCACCAAGGATCTTAAAGTTTTCTAGAACTTTGACGATTTCGATCATACGCGTTCTCACGGAGGTTAGATTGACAGGCTGGTCGGCTAGAGCTTCCTCTTCTTCTGGAGTAGGCAAAACTTGAGCTCTTGGCTGCAATTGCGCGGCATCCGCAATTTCGGCTTCTGCCTCTTCTTCTTCCAATGCTTGTTCTTGATCCAACTTCACGGAAAGTGCTTCCATGTTGGCAGCATTTAGTTCATCCACATCCGCATCTTCATCATCTGAGAAAATAGGACGTTCGCCTTGTTCTTCGTCGTCATCTTCACCTTCATACTCCTGTTCTAGATCGAACTCGTCTTGTAGATCTTCGTCGATGTCTTCACTTCCTTCTTCTTCATCATCGAAAAGAGACTTCTTTGCTTTAGAAAGTGCCTCCAGGTCTACTTCTGGAAGCTCCACCTCTTCATTGGGCACTATCGACTGTTCGACTTCTTTTTCTTCTTCGACAACTTCCTCTGGCGTTTCTTTCACCACTTTCTGAAACTTGCTTCTCTTGCTCTTTGTGGCAACTCCATCGTCAGCCTTTCTCTTGTGTTTCTTTCCGCTGGATTCGCTATCCTTTCTCTTGCCCTTATGCTTTTGGTCTGTTTTCTTAGACTTTCTGGATTGAAAGTCGTCTAGACTTGGTGGTGCGGCTTGCTTATTCTTAGCACGATTACTACCCATTGTAAACGTGGGATGTGTTTCAAATGTTTGGTAATGGGACTGACCTCTTCGATGAAAGAAAGTTTTAGCCGAGCTAGAATTTTGAGATGAGATGCGATGAGATGAGCTCCAACTAAAAATTTTCCAGTAAATTGAAAAGAAAAAAAAATGACAGGAAAGACAGGAAAGATACGTAATTAAAGAAGCCATCGAAAAGCATTAATGACTAGATGGAGCATACTATAAGTGTTTATATTGGACACTGCATTTCAAATTTTCGACCTCGCTTTATTATATTAATTTAAAACTCAAATTTAGCCCGGCAAGAGATGGTTGATAGTCCAGTAACTTGATCCTTCGAATGTTTTAGCACATATTGAATAACGCCATTCGTATAAAAAACTCACAGCGCTTATTGATACTCATCTTCCGGATGTGGAATGAAAAACAGTTTAAGAGCTAACGAGCGAAACTATGTCTGAACATCTCATAGTGATACGATACCATTGTTCTACTTTTATTAGGAGCGCAGCACTCTTACCGTAACTTATAAATGCAAATTTAGTGTCGTTCTGACTTCGAAAGACGAGTCTGTTGGCATATATATATTCATGTTAATCATTCACCTTTCCTTGCGATGATTTGACATTCACTACATTCAAAACTGAAGCATAATATGCAACTAGTCGGAGCTTGACCTTAAGTACGTGTAAAGCATGGATTTGAACTTCATACAAAGCCGCACAACTAGTACGAACTTATTCGTGATACACTATGCAGATCACCATCTCACTCTTTGACGCGCGACACAAAGGTGAAGAGTGATCAAAAAATCGCCCGTGTTTGAACAAAGCACCGTAGCTCCAGGCTGTAAGAACACACGGCAGAACTACGCTACAATTTAATTTTGCTTCAAACAGTAGGCTTCTTTGAGGGTACTCCATGCCTAGTGAGCTTCTAATGGCGCCACGCCACGGACCTTATAGGCACGTTAAACTCTAGCGATGTTAGTTTTGACTTCCACCTTGTTTCAATTGCGGAGCAAAATAAAGTTGTAATCGTTTTGTAAATCACAATTATGAAATAAGATTCTGCACAGATTCAACTCCTTCAAGGGTGTATGGAATTCATAGCCTTGCCTCATTCGCGAATTATGAATTCTATTCGAAATTACTATTATTCAAGATTCGATTGGTCGGTAAAGCTTTTCGCTGAAGCAGATTTCTGGTTAGATGAATACTAGTGGAGTATCTCAATATAATGAATTGCATGAAATTACAAGGTTTATTTGTTTTGAACATGCTCAGACCCCATACCAAGAAAACCACCGCGAGCTCTGATTATTTTGGATACTCCTTGGTGAAATGGTCGCTAGTTAGCAGAATTTACTGCGACATGTACCTCATAGATATTAGACGTGAAAGCTCGTGTTCTGCAGTATTGACACCAATTTTGGTCTGCGCCTGACATTTTCAAATCGCTTGGTGTCCAAAACAAGCAGTGCGTAGCAGCAGACACGAATATCTCTGACAGCCTTATATTGAACTGCACGAACCAAATTTATACACTTAATATCATCGTTTATCAGCAAAGAGTGCAATGAAAGTCCCATTTTCTAGCTACCGGGAGTATGAATCTAGCGACATCATTTTTCGTATTCAATTATTCAAATTTTTTGGACATACATCAAAAATGAAGCTCATCGGCTAAGACAATAGAAACACCAATAATTCAGAGATTGGCAGTGATTTGTTTCCTTCCTTTGTCCACAAATTGCTTTGTTTTGGTATTACCATTCGTCAGCTGGTCTCAAAAATCTTCATTGCCGACTACTATGGACCCTATTAAGCACATCACGTACAATACACATGTATTGTTAAGATTGCCTTCAAACAATATCAAATTATGTGAACTGAGACCCAATAGCGATATATCGCTAGGAAAGTTTGGAGCTTTTAAAACAAATGATATTATTGGTTATCCTTTTGGGACTACGTTCGAGATCCACTACGACAATGCGCTAGAGGAAACTATCCCCGGTCCTCAGGATGCGGCCGCCACGAAAAACTCAAAGAACAAGTTCAAGATACCGGTTGGTACTTTGAGCGTCTTGGAAAGCCGCCTTACTGCTAATGGGGGTACAAACGGTGCAGCTACCGGGTTGGGATCTGAAGAAGAAACCACGCCGAATCCCGAACTCCAATTGATAGGAAACAGCGAATCGAACAAGAATCTCATCAACGTCGGGAACAGTATCCAGAAACTGAGTATGGCAGAAATAGAATTACTCAAGAAGCAAACTGCCACCGGTGAAGAAATTATCAACAAAATGATAGAAGCGCATGGTAGTTTCCATCAAAAGACAGTCTTTTCTCAAGAGAAGTATCTCAAGCGCAAGAAACAGAAATTCGCTAAATTCTTCACCGTTGAGTACCTGAGCTCATCTGGACTTTTGCAATATTTACTGGACAAGGGAGATACTGTGCGTGCTATGGATATGTCGGAAGAAAGTATAGGGATGATACTCAGTTTAGGCAACATCAAATCTAATGGCACATACTTGTGCGTTGATGAAACTGGCGGCTTGCTAGTTTATGCATTGCTAGAGCGGATGTTTGGCGGTGAAAATACTTCGAACGCTGTTGGAAAAGTGATTGTAGTACATGAAAATGAACATGCGAATCTCGATTTACTCAAGTTTTCTAATTACAGCGAGGATTTCATTCAAAATCATGTTAAAACAGTGTCTATATTGGACTATTTCGAACCTCCAGTTTTAGCAGAAGTACAGGACGCATTTACCCCGCTATCTGATGATCAACTAAAGTTGATGAAAAGTAACAAAAAAGGGGCCTATTACCGCCGTCTGAAATGGTACAATAGCCAAATTGATATTATCGATTGGGCCACCAAACAGCACTATGATGGTCTCGTGGTTGCTTCCACTTTACATCTCTCCTCGCTCATACCGCGATTGGGTGAGAGAGTTCATGGTTCGCGGCCCATCGTCTGCTATAGTCAGTTTAAGGAGACGGTGTTAGAGCTATCGCACACTTTGTACAGCGACTTAAGATTCCTTGCCCCTACTATAATGGAGACACGCTGCAGACCATTTCAAACCATAAGAGGACGTCTTCATCCACTTATGACCATGAGAGGCGGCGGTGGGTATGTTATGTGGTGTCATAAGGTCATACCCGTACTGCCTTCAGATGTAAGAACACCGGCTCCTCTTGTAGGTGAACCTCTTGACGAATCTGAGGCTAAGAAACAGAAGATAGAGTAGTTGTATATATATCAAGTTTGCATTAGTTCTTCAGCTCTCCGAATTCTTCAAAGATGCGCGGCCAGTCAAGAGTAATCGCCACTCTTCTGTAGCCATATACCACTCTTGGCTTGGAATTGGCGTCTAATCTAAATCCCACTCGCCAAACTTTGGACAGTATGGGGTCTTCGACTATTCGACGGCACACATATTCACATTGTGACAGTTCCCCAACCTCATAGACAAAAGCCTCAGCTCTGCTGATCTGATGGTCAATCAAATCAGCATAAAACTCGAAGCACCCAATTAATGCGAGTTTGGGCTCAAAAAGTTTGACCGATCTGGAGGTTTCCTTGACAAATGTGGATTGAGAAATATATGGAGGATTGCAGGTGATAAGGTCTACCTTTTGTGGTTTTACAGTTGAGTTATGTTCGAGAATATCTCCTTGAATTACTTGTATCGAGATGCCGAGGCTTTTTGAGTTCCAATAAGCTAGTCCTGTAGCTAAAGGCGAACAATCAACAGCTTTTACCACGGCATCGGGTCTGATATGCTTGATTAGTAGCGGAATACAGCCTGTTCCAGTACACAGATCCAAAACGTGAATTTGACGGTTTTTGGGCAATCTATGCGCCAAATCGGTTGCCCATTCTTCGGTCTCCCATCGCGGTATCAGCACACCGGGCTTGCATTTGATGTTTAGAGACTCGAACGGTTGTGATCCTAAAATATATTGCAGAGGGTAATGGCGGTATCGCAGCTTGCAGCGTTTCCAAACCTGATAATCATCATTTGATTCGTCTTGAATCCATCGTAGTTCTTGGCGCGCTGCATGGATACTTCTGCACTCAGGCAACAAAAAGGGCAAAAACCTGTTCAGCTTGGAAGCCTGCCAAATTGTAGAAGGTTTAATCCTTACCATTTTGAACAACTGAGCTCGCAGTATGTTAGGCTAAAAAAAATCTGGCAGCAATGACCTTTCATTGTTGGCATCGATGCCGAATGTGATTTTGACAATTTCAGAATTCGATAATCGATAAAACAATGATCATGTTGATATGATTCGATCCAAGCATTTGTTCAAGAGATAGATTAAGCTAAACATAGGGTATAGTAATCATGTTTAGTAGGCCGTATTTGTGCTAATCGCAATTAATTTGAATATACGATGCCTTGCAATAACCTACCTTGCGGGTTAGATCAAACACTCACTCAGTTCGAGCGCTATAAAGTCTATAAAGATGTTACACTAAAGGGCTGACGTAAAAACTAAAGGACAGAGTTGATATTGGCCATCCCTCTCTCCTGGCAGACGATAGAGTGTAAAGTGTACTTCACCAAAATCTGGAAATTGTAAGCGTTCATGAGTGAGGCATGGTCTCAGATAGTTGATAACCGACGGAAGAGTCCGTGTGATCGCATAAAATATGCGAGCATTGCTGCTGATCAATTGAAAATGCGAGCATTGCTGGTGATCAATTGAAAATGCGGGTTGCGCGGATCTACCCTGTGATAATTATACTTTGTTTACACGTGGCTCTGGCGAGCCCAGAGGTTAACTTCGATGATACTACCTCAAGAAATGCTCGCACTAGTTTATTGGTGCAAAATTGGTTGATGAATTGTTTAAACACAAGGCCCGCCTCACTGATGTTTGCAATGCAAACGAGCACCACCAAGATTTCTTCAGACTATCGTAGTTATGGCCTGCGAAGCATTATCACCGTTTCACAGGTATACCAGTATTTGAAAGTTTGCAGGCATTAGTGTTAATCAAAGGATTAGTCTAGCTGTGCACGAGTTTTAAGCTTGATCAGCTCTCATAACCCCAAAATAATTTCGATTTCAGAGGTTTAAAGCGCAAAGTGGCTTGGTGGATCTATAATATGCGCATTTGAATATGTCTCATTGCTGGTGGGTCAACCCCATACCTGAAGTCAAGGTTACCACTGCTTTGCCATTGTAACTTCCATCACTTTTTCCCAACCTGACGTGTTTCTCATAATATTTTCTTTTCTCTCCTTTCTTACTCGTATCCAGCGACTGAAAAAACTTTTCGAGAAGTTTCCAAATTGAAAAAATCGAATCTCTAGGATGCGATGCGATACAGTATAAATTGTTATTAATCGAAGCAGTTAGATCGATTGAACTCTTAAGGTTATTGATCGTCGTTATCAAGCATTTGATAAGAACTTCTAAGAGAACTAAAGAGCATCGACAGTTTTCCCAGAGGCAATTTTCCGATCAGTATAAATTACACAAATTATTAGTGTTTTTATTAAACTACTCGTTACAAACACAGACATAGACACAAATGGTTAAAGAAACGAAGTTTTACGACCTTCTAGGCGTTTCCGTGGAAGCCGATGAAGTACAGATCAAGAAAGCTTACAGAAAGCAGGCCTTGAAATACCATCCCGACAAAAACCCTAGCGACGAGGCTGCTGACAAGTTTAAAGAGTTGACCGTAGTTTACGAGGTGCTGAGTGACTCTCAAAAGCGTGAAGTCTACGATCAAATGGGTGAAGAAGGTCTCAGCGGTGGCGGTGGTGCTGGCGGTTTCGGCGGCGGTGGGTTCGGTGGTTTCGGAGAAGACATTTTCTCCCAGTTTTTCGGTGGCGGTGGCGCTTCCAGACCAAGGGGACCACAGAAGGGCAAAGACATCAAGCATGAGATGAGTGCCACGCTAGAGGAGCTTTACAAAGGCAGAACTGCTAAACTAGCCCTTAATAAGCAAATTCTGTGTAGAACATGTGAAGGGCGTGGTGGTAAAGAAGGTGCTGTTAAGAAGTGTGTCTCTTGTAACGGTCTTGGTATGAAGTTCGTTACCAGACAAATGGGACCTATGATCCAGAGATTCCAAGTCGAGTGTGACGCATGTCAAGCGACTGGTACAATCATTGACGCCAAGGACCGCTGTAAGACTTGCAATGGTAAGAAGGTTATGAATGAGAGAAAGATTCTGGAAGTCCATATCGAGCCTGGTATGAAGGATTCCCAAAGAGTTGTCTTCCAAGGCGAAGCCGACCAAGCTCCCGACATTATCCCAGGTGACGTGGTTTTCGTTATTTCTCAAAGACCTCACAAACACTTCGAAAGAAAGGGTGACAACCTGCACTACCAAGCTGAAGTCGATCTACTCACTGCTATTGCTGGTGGCGAATTTGCTATCGAGCATGTTTCTGGTGAGTGGCTAAAGGTTGGCATTATTCCAGGTGAGGTCATTTCTCCAGGCATGACAAAGGTCATTGAAGGCAAGGGTATGCCAATTCAGAAATACGGTGGTTACGGTAATTTGATTATTACTTTCAAAGTGAATTTCCCCACAAGCCATTTTGCCGACGAAGAATCTCTAAAGAAGCTAGAACAAGTTCTACCACCTAGAACCAAGCCAAGCATTCCAAAGAGTGCTGAGGTCGAGGAATGCATTTTGAGCGATTACGATGTTTCTAAGCATTCCGGTAAACACTCTCATGGTAGAGGTTCCAACTATGATTCTGACGATGAAGAACAAGGTGGTGCCGAGGGTGTCCAATGCGCGTCTCAATAGATGGGTCGCTCTCCATATTTTTAACGGTTTTCTCCTATGGTATTATAGCTGATTTCAGCAACAGTGAATCGACATCGATGTTTTTCGAAGCCATAAATCGTTTTGCTCCCTTTTTGTACAGTAAGCTCCACTTTTATCAATGCAATCGTCCTATTCATGCATTGACTAAAAGCTTGAAGTCATAGAATTTCAAACAACTATGATATTTTTGTCGTCGAAATGTTTGCATATCAAAGTTTTCGTACCGTGGATTATATTTTTATGTAGGACACATTACATGCATCAAATGTACTATTAGATTCGAAATTATGTTTACATTTCACATATGTTTTGATTATTCTGTCATCATGGCTTTCCTTTCGGCCTTGAAAGCTCTGTTCTCACGCCACTTCATTCCGTATATCATTGGAATGAAAGTGACGAAGTTCCCAATAAAAATAAAGCCACTAACAAGAGTGAATGTTCCACCTACTGTGAGCGCTTTGTTCATTCTTGCTAAGCAAGCCATGAAAATAGCACTCAAAGAGCACCTAATGAAATTGTAGCTGCTTGTTGCCGTAGAAGACCGGTTAGGGTAAAGATCTACCAGCAGCGTGCTCGACGAAGACAAAGTGCTCATAGCGCAAAATGACCCAATTGCCGATGTAATTAACGGCACCGAGATGTGCCAACCTCTCTGAATACTCCAACCAAATAGCGTAAAAGCTACAACCGATACGAAATTTTGAGGGATCGAAGTATAGAGACGAGCTCTCAAAGTATTGAACTTTGCGTCAGATGCGATCAGACCTTGTTGTTTCTTTTCCTCGAACCTTTTCAGGGCCCTTTTGTAATACACATCGATGATTTTACCTGTGATGAAGGATCCCACCAAACCGCCAATACCAGCCGGTAGGTAACATATACCGATGATTGTCAGCTTGTAGTTATAAGGGGCTATCGAAAGTTGCGATGAGATGGATGTGAGAGTCAGAGTCCATAGTGCAAACTGCAGGCCAGCCGGCATCAATGACATCAGGATTTCGGGATGCGATAGGATTTTTAGGGATGAGATTAAATCGATTTTGGGTACGTTAGGGTCCAGAGTTTCGTAATCCGGATTATCGTAGTGAAATTTGTGTCTAACTGATTTCAAAAGGAAAATCGGAGCTCTATTTACCCAGTGCTTGGGCCTTATTGACATGTTTCCAACAAGAGTTCTCTTGGTTTCTGGCAAGACCAAAAAGTTGATTATCATGCAAGTTCCACAACCAATAGTAAGAAACCAAAAGATAGCTCTCCAGTCGAACGCTGCAGTTAAAGCCGCACCAATAAGTGATCCAAACGCTTGTCCCATCAGTGTAAATCCGGACACTGCCCCTACAAAAGTACCACGTTCATGCTTCAAAGTGAAATCGCCAACCACTCCTGAGTTGATGGCTATAATGGGAGAGATGCCTGCACTTTGTAGACATCGCAAAAAAAGAATCACACCATAAGATTGCGAGCATGCTAGCCCGATGGATGCGCACACGTAAACTAGCATTCCAAAGAGAATCACTGGTCTGCGACCGTAGACGTCTGCCAAACTGCCACATATCGTGGGGGCTACACCTTGAAATATCAGGTACACCACTACGGTGATGTTGACCAGCTCCTCGCTGACATCGAACTGCTTTTCCAGCTGTTTCAGTGCCGGATAGTAGATCGGGGAGCCTAACGACGACCAGAAACCCGCCGATGTCAGCAGCCCAACCATTGTCCATTTTTGTGCTGTGTTCAACAGCGTGTGCGGTACGCCGAGGCTGGTTTGCACTTTCCCAGCATCGAACAGTGTCAGCGTGCTGGCGGAGTCCGGTGTCGAAGCGGCCATTTCTCGCGTGGCCAACCTGGAAGCCGTTTCCAAGTTCCCTGTGTGTTTGGCGTGGATTTCCCCAGCCTTATCTTCGCTTCCACTATCGTTTTCGCCTTCGTATCCATGAGCCGCTTTCTCCAGGTACGCCCGGTTCGGTATGCTGGAGTGGAGACTGCTATCGAAACTCATTATGCAGTGTAGTATTATCGGACTTCTATCAACTCGTGAAAAACCTACTTGAGTAGTAGTGCTTGCGTCTTTAAAAAATGTATGCTGAGTTTCTTGAATACTGCTTGGCATATTTATTCACCAGCCGGCAAGACTTTTCCTTGTTGAATTCCTCGAGCTTTTTAAACCACTGGAACGATATGCGTCTCTTGAGCTTTTTCGCTCGTGTCATCCAACGTCGGCGGGTGGTAAGTTTTGTTAAGCGAGCAATCCTGCAGCTAAGTTATGAGTCGATCAGACAGACAAGAACCTTTCGGGCTCGGAAAAACTCGCCGGAAAAACCCGAGTGCCACATCGCGTTCGAAACGATCTTGTACCCGTTTTTTTTTCTTTTTTTTTTTTCCTTCCTTCTTTCTATATTGACTCTTGGCTGCCCGAGTTTCTCCGGAAGTTTCTCCGAGATTCTCCGAGATTCTCCGGATTTTTCCGTCACGTGGTTGCGGCGGCTGTGGAGTGGGCCGTGGACATTCTTCGAATAATTTCAATGCCACGGCTACTGGTGTCACTGCCGGCGTTAGCCTCTGGCTGGTAGAGGTGTTCTTCGAGCTCTTCATGCTCGGTGTCGCCGCCGCCGCCGCGGTGGCACTCAGGGTCTATTTCAGGGACATTTTCGGATTCGGCCAGCGCCTTGAGTTCCCGCTTGTGCATCAATTGCAAGCCATATTTGATCGGGATGACAAGCGTGGTTGTGGATAGCATGGTGAGGCCTGCCATGAGAGTGAAGGTACCGCCCACCGTCATCGAAGACATCATGCTGTTCAGTGCCGCCACGAAAATGGCGGCCATAATGCAACGGGAAAAGTTCACACAGCCCGTAGCCGTTGACGATTTCTGTGGGTACAAGTCCACTACCAGGGTGGTAGCACACGCGATGACACAATTGGAAAACAGCGACGCAAAGCCACTGAAGAACAGGACCAGTGCCAGGCTTTCATGTTGGCCCAAGCACCAGCCAAAAATGATAAAGCCAGCACCACTCAGTAGTAAAGGGATGAAAATGATCTCTAGTCTGGCGCGGAAAATGTTGAATGCATAGGCCAGATCTTGGGTCAAGATTGCGTCCACTCGCTTCTCATCATGGTCGTACTCTGCAAGCAGCTCTTCTCGTGCTTGCTCAATAAACCGTTTGTGTTTCGAATACCGGCGTCTATAGTTCCAGTTCAAAACTCTTCCGGCAGAAACAACGCTTATCAGGGTGCAAATACCGCTGGGCAAGTAGCATATTCCGACTTTGGCGACTGTCAAGTGATAGTCCTTCTCCAACAGAGACGCCAAGGCGGTCAAATGGCACACCCAGAGCGAAAATTGTAGCCCTGTCGTTAGGAGCAGAAACGCAATTTCAGGACGTCTGAAAAGACCAATGGGGGCCAGTAGATTTAGTTTTTCTTTGGGGATCAGAGTTTCGTAGTCAGGATTGTTGAGATGTAGTTTTCGTTTCCAGGTTGGCAGCGCCAGAATAGGTGCGCGAGACCAGATGCTTTTTGGTGTGATAGATCCGTTCCCTACAATTGTCCGCTTGGTCTCGGGCAACACCATTGAAGTGAATAACAAGCTAACACCCGACCCAATGGCCAAAAACCAAAAGATGGCTCTCCAATCCCATCGCGATACGATGCCTCCCCCGATAAGGGCTCCGAAAGCAGATCCAACTATTTGAAATCCTGCGGTTAACCCAACGTAGCCCCCTCGCTGCTCTCGGGTGGTGATATCGCCCATAATGCCGCTGTTTACGGCAATTACCGGCGAGATACCTGCACTTTGAACGCATCTTAGAAACAAAATCTCGCCGTATTCTTTACAGCACGCTAAGCCAATGCATGCTACAAAATACAGCATTATTGACCATAATACAACAGGGCGACGTCCGAAAGTGTCGGCTAAACCGCCCATGAGTGTTGGAGCCAGGCCTTGAAAAACGAAATATAATACCACTGACACATTTACCAGCTCTGTGGTGATGTGAAAATCATTTTCAATCGTGGTAAGCGCTGGAAAATAGATTGGACCTGCAATAGTGGAGAAGATGCCGCTGGACGCACATATCAGTACCATGAGGTATTTCTCGCGAGTTCCAAATCGCGAGTAGGGAGTCTCGTCATTTTTGGAAGAGCCTTTCGAACTTTCCTTCGTGGCTGACTTTTTGAGCCTCTCGTTATCGGTATCCAGTGTTTGCTGGTGATCCACCTCGTCTTTTGGCATATTTCGTTCAAGATTTATATGCTTAAAAGATAGAGATCAAGAGCGCTAATGTGTTAATTCTGAGGTGTAGGCTGAAGTTCTCATAAGGTCAATTATTAATGTCTTATACTTGACGCCGTATCTTTACTCATTTGTAGAAATCCAGTAGGTATCTTCAAGTGATAGCTTACCAAGCGTATTTTTTTTTCTTGGCAAAAAAATCGTAAGCCGATATCGGCCATAGCGGGGATAATCGGACAACGGCGGGAAGAAGTTGAAATAGTGGAACTAAAAGCATTTATTAGTATCTGAGCCATCAATAAGCACTGAGGCTATAAGCAGTCCAACTTGATGGAATGAATAGGGGGGGTTCCCGTACTTTAAGGAATGAGTTCTGGAGCACATGATCTGATCTTTGATTCTCGTATATAGTGATGTATGTGCACTGCGACGATCTCCATTGTTTGAATATGAAGCCTTTGAAATGTGTGGCACGCTGGTAGTAAACTTGTGCTTTCAGCAACTTTTTTGTCTTGTGGTATCACCAACCCCGGTCTATCCGTGGTGTTCGATAGCAAGCTTCACAAATATCAGTTTTGTCTAAACTCTTTTAGTTCTTTGCAAGTAGCTCAGATAAACCCCAAGAAATCTCTACAAGCTCTACGGACTGTGGTGCTTCGGTCTTCAACCTTAGCAAGCTCTACAAGCTCCCTGTAATGTGCAGCTGAGTCACTACCGTTCACTGCCATTTACACACTGCACGATAACACCAGCTCTGCCGAGGAGGCTGATCGTTTTTCATAGAGACGAGCCTGAAACTAGCTGCGGCCATTACAATATAAAAGGAGCAGGCCTGGTGCCGTTACGAGGGGAATCAAATTTGTATGAGATAATCACGTACCGACCATGTCACTTCGTACTATCCTGACGCCGCATACATACTAACGAAAAGGTGTACTCTTTACCATTGAGCATAGTGAACCTCTGCTAATAGGAACTAAGAAAGGTAATTTTTAAATTTGCGTGCGAACATAAACGAAAACTTGCCGACTTAAGCTGTGGAACTCATTTAGCGCTATTGTGATTCATATCACCTTCTACTAAGCTGTCATAATACATCTTCGCACTATTGACTCACATACCTAGGTTGATAGCGTCGCCACGTAATTCGAAACGTTTGTATGCAGATTCCATGCCAAGAACATCGTATCTTGCGAATCCGACCTAGAGAAGTATGGCAAGCCGCATTGCTATGTCTGAAAACTGCTTCTGTCAAACAACGTGTCTGGATGTTCACTTCTTTCAGAGGCGGGTACAAGTACGTGGGCGATATGCCAAGTTGTTGGATGATCGGTCCTTTGATCAGGGCGATTTATTTGGGAGATATGGCGTTATTGGTCTCCTCTTGCAACTGAACAGTGAGAGAGAGTCGCACTGATTAATAGCATCACACTCTACAATCCTGCACTTATTGATAGTACCACATTCTACAGATTCACACTGATTCGTCGAGAACACAGAAATGGCATGTTCAAGTGACAATCAATGCACCAGACGGCATCAGCACCGATGATCACTCTGCAGAATACATCAGTACTGGCGAGTCCAATACTGATGAAACGAAAGATCAATATAGCACACACCATGATAAAGCAGCACCAACGATTACCGAAATGCACACGCCAAATATAATAGTTCAAGTAATGGGCTATTCTCGTATTTCTTCTGAGGGTAGTAATGGTAGGGCAAAACCAAACGAGTCTCTTTTGGCAAAGACACGGAACCACTGAATGATTCCGGCACAGAGAGCGAAAAATCGGTACCAAAGATAGAATAGTCAGCTCAATGTTCATATTTACTACCAAAAGAGATGGTAGAAGAAAACGTAGATGCGTGGCGAGAGGAGACAGGCAGAAGCCGAAAACGTACGATCCGGACGCAGAAATATATACGATTGCTCACGAAGCATCAATTCCAAGTCTGGCCATTGCCTCAGAACAAGTATTGGCCATGAAGCGATTGGATATAACACCCACGTACCTATACTCTCCATTGAAAAAAAGAGTTGTATATTAAAGCACCATCTTTCTACGAATTGAGAGACAAGGTCTTCAGACTAAAGAAATTCTTATATAGACTCAAGCAATCGGGGTCGAACTGGTATGAAATCATGAAAAAATACTTAACTGAAGTATGACACTTAGAAGAAGTCGAAAAATGGCCTTGTGTGCTAGTGAGAAGAAATGAAGAAGGCACCTTCATAGTTGATCTTGACATGATAGTCATGACAAGTACAGACGAATTGTATGGTGATTTATTGATTCACCTACAGGAAAAGTTATGAATACCAGAAAGTGACGGATTCGCTAGTTACTGACATGATAGGCTTGGAAATCAGGTACAAAAGACTTGACAAAATGCTAACAGAAATGGAGAAGACAGTCATTGAGAAAACCCCGAAATTAAAAATGCCGCCGCAGGGCAAGAAAAAGAGATTTGTGTCGCGACAGCCGGTTTAAAGATTAGATGTATCTGACACAGGACTAAACGTGTTCAAAGAAGAGTTTAGTAACAAAGTTAATCAGTTGCAAAAGATTGTGGGGTTACTATCATATTTTACTTACAAGTGCAGATTTGAGTTGTCAAATTTTGTACTATATACGTTCCCAGAAGTACTTGATTTAGCGGAAAAATACTTACAACACTGATGGAACAAAAATGGGTCAGATCATAAAATCAAGATAGATGCAGTAATAGATGCATCTCATGCTACACAAGTCGTATAGAAATCACAGCTTGGATATTACTGCACGGTTTAAAGTATCGAGGCACATCTGCGTCAGTAGTGGATGACTTGCTGAAGTGGTCATTAAAGTCGTTCGTATTGAACATTTTTTATTAGAATTTAGGATTTTACTTATCTTGGGTATGAGGATAATTTGTCGGGGGTAGTAACTGGTCGGTGTTTATGTAAAAATCGGCTGGGCAGAGAAGCTACTACTCAGCCTATAATAATCATAAGATACATCGTATGATACATTGGTAATATCCAATGATTCGTCAATCAATTATCATACCACTATAGGGCTTTGTCTGGTACTTGTCTTCGATTTCAGGGGATGAATCGATTAGTTTATCGACTGATCAATGTTTGATGATTTCTTTTGTACTATTATGTCTTTTTTTCATGATGCAATCAGCAATAGCACATAGATCCTGGCAAATAGGCATTTCATATATGCTACATCAGCAAAGGTGGGACTCGAATGGTAAGCGACTATATGCACCGAAAGCCAAAAATTGATATCATCAATCACAAAGACAATATTTCAGGTGCGGAATAGGTTCTTTGGCAGTAGGGCTTGGACGAGAATATGAAGCGCAGCGGATATTGAGAGACCGCTGGCTTTAAATCTGAGAAAATTCGAGGAAATTGGCGCAGCGCATATTGAGAAACCGTAGCACTTAAATCTGAGGAGATTCGAGGAAATTCCAGAAAAACATAGCGGATATTGAGAAACCGTGGCACTTGAATTCGAGGAAATTGGCGCAGCGCATATTGAGAAACCGTAGCACTTAAATCTGAGGATATTCGAGGAAATTCGAGAAAAACATAGCGGATATTGAGAAACTGTGGCACTTAAAACTGAGGAAACTCGCATGGCGGGTTTCTGACACCTAAATCTGAGAAATTCGCATACTGAGAAACCGCTGACAAAAGGCTGGATGATTTGATTAAGAACTGACTCTATAGGTGGTGTGGCAGGATCCGCTATTGCTAGATAGCGCCAATTGTTTGATGAAGCAGATCGTAACGGGATCGTAACGGGATCGTAACGGGAACCAAGAACTACGACAGTTTAGTACAAAGTGATATCATCGCACGTTCGTTGGTCGACGAACTCTTCGATACTCCATCGTGGTCCGATGATTGACTCATTAAAGTTACTCCTGTATCATACGATGGTTGTATGGCTATGCCAACTGAGAGATACTCTGCTCAGCGGCCACTGATGGATCACAGCCAAGAGAATCACGGAGAGATGCGTGAAAATGTCCAATACATCATGAGCACCTTGAACGACGAGCTGAGCAGGTTGACTATGATCCAGAGTCGCGCTGGGTAGTAGTCACACACTACAAATCTGCACTGGTCGGTACTGCCACTCTACAATCTTGCACTAACCAATAGTACCACACTACATTCCTGCACTCTTACTAGCACTTCGCCCAACTCTCAACTAGCTCTTCGCCCAGCTCTTCGCCCAACTCTCAACTAGCTCTTCGCCCAGCTCTTCGCCCAACTCTCAACTAGCTCTTCGCCCAGCTCTTCGCCCAACTCTCAGCTAGCACTTCGCCCAACTCTCAACTAGCTCTTCGCCCAGCTCTTCGCCCAACTCTCAACTAGCTCTTCGCCCCAACTCTTCACAACTCTCGCAGATGCTCGTCTTGTTCAATAGTGCTTTCCTCTACTGCTCCTACCCTGCGCGGCACTTGTCGAAATCCGCTAAAACGCCCTTATCACTTTGTACCGCCTGACGTAATCAAAGGTCAGCAAATACCTGCAGTGTTTACTAATCTAGCACAGCAGTTACAAGTTTGAGATTGTGAGCAGTGCGATGGTGGTTGCGGACGATGTTACAGTGGCGATGGGCGGCGCAGTGCTGCACCCTCCCAGTACTACAAGCACCTACAAGCACCTACAAGCACCTACAATACCCACAACCATCTACAAGCACCTCAGTAATAGAGTCAGCCAACGATTAACGACATCCACCCACAAGCACCTACAATCAGCGACATCCACCTTCAATTTACGACACCCACCTACAAGCGCGTCAGTAACAGAATCACCCCCCCATCAACCTTGGTATTACAGTCTGAAGCTCGCACTGCTCAATGCTTATGCTCTCCTCGCGCTTCCCTCTCACTCTCCTGCGCTTCGTCCAAGATGACCCGTCTCTTCGCCAAGCTGCTACCATCGCAGCTCTGGCGCAGCCCATTGCGAGCGCATCAGCCATGCTCCTCTCCCTGTTACAACGCATCTCTACAACCTACGATGGGGCTCCCTCAATTCCAATTGCTCGAAACGTTTATATCTCTCGTAGCTCGACTGCTTCCTATTTTTCACGCAGCATGCAGTACATTACAGTGCTGAGTAAAGCCAAATTGGATGCTCTCAGCGGGATGTGTTTGTTGGGTTCGCCAAGCAACTGGGCACGCGTGTAAAACGGAAAACTAATTACTCATCGCGAAGATTATTAGCGCTGGGCATCGAGTAGGCTTGATTTGTAAAGATAGGTGTGTAGCGTTTGTCAGAGAAGCGCAGGCAGTTAGAGCCCTGGTGATGTGGTTACCAAGCTGAAGCGTGGGTGAGCAGCGTAGGTGAGCAGCGTAGGTGAGCAAGGCCGTAGCGAGGATATAGAGGGAGAGTGCCAGGACGGCGAATTTGTCATCTGTGGAGGCGCGAGGTAATGGATATATAAAGGCCCCGCTTCGAGCAGTGGAGGTAGCGAGTAGCAGTAGCAGTAGCAGTAGCAGTAGCAGTAGCAGGAACACCAACACATGTACACCGACACCTACAGAAACACGTTCGTCGTGGACGCGCTCGAGCGGCTCCGGCTCGTCAAAGTAGCTCACAACTACTCACCCCAGCCGTCGCAGCAGGAGAGCGACAAGCTGCCCTCCGACTCCCAGAAATCACAACTCGACCTCGAGAACGGCGAGCTGCCCTTCGACTCCCAGAAATCACAACTCGACCTCGAGAACGGCGAGCTGCCCTTCGACTCCCAGAAATCACAACTCGACCTCGAGAAAGCCGGCTCGGATCGCGCGTCGCAGGAGCTCGCGCGCCAGGACGTCAGCGTCAGCGCTGCCGCCTCCAGCGAGGCCCCCGACCCCTTCCTCGTCGACTGGAACGGGCCCAACGACCCAGAACACCCGCTCAACTGGTCCAAGGGCAAAAAGGGTTTCGTGGTCCTCCAGATCATGATCCTCACCTGTGTCACCTACATGGGCGCCTCCATCTACACCCCGGGCCAGGAATACATCCAACAGGAATTCGGCGTCGGCCACGTTGTCGGCACCCTCAACCTGTCCATGTACGTTCTGGGCTACGGCCTCGGTCCCATGATCTTCTCCCCACTCTCGGAAGTCGCCAGCGTGGGTCGCCAAAACATCTACATGATCACCTTGTTTTTCTTTATGATCTTTCAAGTCGGCGCTGCCACGGTCCACAACATCGGCGGTCTCATCGTGATTCGTTTCATCTCCGGTGTCCTGTGTTCGCCTCCACTAGCCACTGGTGCCGGTAGCATGGGTGACTTCATTCAACCACAACTCGTACCAATTTTCATCGGTCTATGGGCCGTCGGCGCCGTTGCCGCCCCAGTCATGGCGCCTCTATTGGGTGCCGCTATGACCGTGGCAGAGGACTGGAGATTCATCTTTTGGTTACTCATGTGGCTTGCCGCTGCTACTTTCATTCTTTTGGCCTTATTCTTCCCAGAAACTCAACACAACAATATTTTACACCGTCGTGCGGCTAGAATTAGAGCCGAGACCGGCGATTCTCGTTACTACACCAAGCAGCAACGCATCGATGCTGAAATCCACATCAAAGACTTTGTCGTCGATATCCTATACCGACCATTTGCTATCATCATCCAAGAACCCATTGTACTGGCCTTCGATGCCTATATCGCCTTGTGTTACGGTGCGTTTTACCTGTTCTTCGAGGCTTTCCCCATTGTCTTTGTCGGCATCTACAATTTCACTTTGGTCGAGGTGGGTCTTGCTTACCTTGGGTTCTGCGTCGGTTGTGTAATTGCCTACATTGTGCTGCTAATCTTCTTGGCTAAAGTCATCGCACCAAAATTCCAGAACAACACTTTCGTACCGGAATCCTTCTTACTTTTGGCAATGGGCGTTTGTTGGTCGTTGCCTCTCTCGTTGTTTTTGTTCGGCTGGGGCGCTGGTACCCATTGGATTGTCCCAATTATCGCACAAATCTTCTTCGTGCTTTGCGTCTTCAACCTATTTCAAGCCACATTTGCCTACTTGGCTATTTGTTACCCACGTTACATGGCATCCGTCTTCGCTGGTAATGGTTTCATGCGTGCTGTCTTTGCATGCGCCTTCCCACTGTTTGGTCAGGCCATGTACAATAACTTGGGTTCCGAAAAATACCCAGTTGGATGGGGATCTTCGCTGATCGGATTCTTCTGTATTGCTTTAGCAGCAATCCCATTCGTTTTCTACAAGTACGGTCCTCAACTTAGAGGTAAGTCTTCCTATGCCAATTGAGAACGGGCAAAACTTCCTATATCTATAACACTAATGTGCGTCACACTGCATGCAGTTCGTGGGACTCAAACTCCTATACTCTATTAATTTAATTTACTTGTCTATAGATAGACTCTTTAGAGCGATCAAATGGAAATACATTGATTTTTGAAACTCATGGTTCTACTACATATGATGACTGCAACCGTCTCGAGAAATTATGGTGATTATTCTCTTGCCGCTGGGATAATTGTGTTTCCTGTCTGTTAGCAGTTGTGGAAGATCTGCACGATTTTCTGCATCCTTACAGGAACATATACATGCATCATGTTTCCTTTCTAATATTACAAACTATAAAGTGCCTCCATGTAGGCACCTAAAGAAATAAAGAGTCAAATCTTGAGATGATATAAAAGTAAAAAACAATCTTTCAAAGCCAGAGCAGCGTTCTGTTTGAAGACGGTCCCATAATCAGGGAAACGCGATTGATTATTCAAAAATCAATTGTACAACACAAAGTTCGCTTTACCCTTGGTGACAGAAACAGTACAACCATCGGAACCACCGTTGTTGTATTTACCGTTTTCGTATTTGCAGTCACCCAAGACAACACTGTTAGAGTCAGCAGCAACAATCTTGACGTTGTAGTTCAAAGCTTGGTAGTTGTTAGGGTTTGGAATCAAGGCCAAGTAAGCAATACCGTCAGTGTAACCACCGCCAAAGTTCAATGGTGCCCAGTTACCGACACCGGAGCCAGAGGTACCCCAAACACAACCATCTTCCAAAGAAACACCAGCGTTGTTGACGTAAAATTGAGCAGAGGTCTTCATACCCTTCCATTGGTAGTAGGTGTCTTCGTCAACAACAGTCAATGGCATGGTAGAGCCAGATTGCACGTAAGTTGGGATCACCATGTTTTCGGTACCTGGGTAGTCGGTTCTGCAGATAGCAACGTCTTGGTCCAATTCAGACACGACATCAGCCATATCCATACCCCATTCACACAAGTATTGAGTGTTAGTGTTGGAACGGTAAAGGAAACCGTTCTTACATAGCAACCCGCCGATGGAGACACCACTGGCAGGTTGGGTGGATGGCCATTGAGTCTTGGACATACCTGATTGGCAAGCGTAAGAGCAGTAAGCACCCTCCTTGCAGTCACCACCGGTGGAACCGTCCGAGTTTTCAACACCGGACCAGCCACCAAATCCTAACCAGTCAAGAGAAATGACACCTTGACCAGATGGGAAGTCGCTACAAGCAATGGTACCATCTTGGAATCCTTCAGATGGAGCAGAGAAAGCAGACAGATCGCCGTTGATACCGCCAGAGGAAGCCGACTTGGAAGAAGTGGCGCTAGAAGTAGAGGAAGAGCTCGAGGCAGCAGAGCTCGAAGCAGCAGAGCTCGAGGCAGCAGAGCTCGAGGCAGCAGAGCTCGAAGGAGCAGGGCTGGAAGTAGCAGAGCTGGAAGTAGCAGAGCTGGAAGTAGCAGAACTCGAAGGAGCAGAACTAGAGGAGAAAGCTGACGAACTCGAAGCGGAGCTCGAAGAAGTCTGAACAGCAGAGCTCGAGGAAGCAGTGCTGACAACGGACGATGGAGAAGCAGAAGATGCGACAGCCGAAGAGGTAGTGCTGGCAACGGAGGAAGTTTCAGCAGCTGAGGAGGAAGCACTGCTGGCAGCAGCAGTGGTAGAACCAGTCAAAGTAGTGGTTGGGAAACTCATAGTTTGGCCCTGGCCATCAACAGTGACAGTTTGGTACACATACTCAACGGCAACGGCACGTTTACCGGCACGGTGAGCATGAGCAGTGGAGCAAGGCGCTTCTTGGGTGTTTGCTCTCTTGTGGACGTGGGGCAAAGCCTGAACGAGTGTGGAGCCAGCCACGGAGAGGGCTAAGACAGCAGAGACCTTCATAATAACGAGTCTGCTTTAAGGGCGAAAGTAAGATCTAAAGGAGTGAATGCGCTTTCGGTAGCGGGATAGAAACTGAACTTGTAGGTTAGTAAAACAGAGCTTTGAACTATTCGTTGAAGTGACTTGAGAGAGGATGAATTCTGATTATTTCGAAGGTTTGAAGTATTGTTTTGACATTCAGCACCAGAATGGACGCTAAAGCCTTCCCACAACGCGACGAGATCCACGTTCGCGGTAAGCACCACGACCGTCCGCGACTTTCGAGATCCATGACCTAAAACAGAAGTCGAGCCGCGAAAAAAAAATTAAGATCAAAATCAGTGTAAACGGAAACAATGATGGATGAAAAAAAAGGCGGCTTTCGCGCTTCTCTAAGATCTTTGGAGCGGCCGTTACAGAACCCAAACCGCGAGCTTAGATTGTATGACATGTCACCTCACATTCTCTGATCCCATAAATGACGACACGTGCTCGATCTATATGTCACTGTTCACGTAGATGTCGCGGTTTCGGATCTGTTTCTTCGTCTACTGTGATGTGACTATTACTGGTATTACTTCTTGGCGGTTCTCTCTGGATCCGAGCCAGCTGGCACCGCTGGTGGTGATTTCTCCTCGTCTCTCACCCACGATTAAAGTTAAAACATACTTTTCTATGCTGGCTTAGAGTCTGACAACTTTTTGCCTGGTTTCAAAGAGTGAACGGAATTTGGAAAACGACGAAGTCTTCGCAAAAATTAAAGGAATGAATGTAGTTAGGACGAAACCTGTGCAAAGCGTGGAAAGACCCTGAGTTTTTGAAGTACTATGTTCTTTTTCGTGTGAAAAGTTCTTTGTTGTTTCAATTTATCTGCCGATCGCGCCTGTTGTAGTTGGCTTTCTCCTTATATACCTGCCTCGAGATTTGAGATTGACCTAGTCGAAAAAAAACAATGGCGGGGCCAACCTGGCAAAAAAAAATCCCGTATTTGGCAAATCCAAAATGGGACGGGTGATAATAAGCATTAACAGTCATGCACGTATCCTTCATAGTTGCATGCAGGTTGGGTGCCAAACGGTTGAAACACTTTACGCAAATGGAAATCTGAGAGAACAATCCAGCGTGCCACCCAGAAAAGCGCAAAGATCAGGCCTGGCCGGAAGCTGTAATATGCTCGAGAGTATAGATAAGCAGCGCGACGGTTGGTATTTTGGTAATACGGGTGCTTGCCACTGCAGACCTGTAAAACCGATGATCTCGAATTGGGATCGCGATGCACGGTAGTTAGCACGTTGATAGTCTTAGTATGGAAACTGCCACGGATAAGTGCTCCTAGGAAGCTGGGATCCTTCCGAGCCCCAACGAAGGTTCGATCTCTGCTAATGTGCCAGTTCGTGTTGGGGGAGCAGGTCGGCAACATGATTCTTTTGGTTTCTGACGCGCCAACAAAAAAGACCTCAAATATTTGCGACGTTTTCAATCGGTATTTTGGTGTCTTGTCTATGTGACGAGCCTCGCCTCGCGCATACCGTCAGCTTGCTACCTTCTTCGCACGTCGTCTGTTTTTCCACATTCATGGCATTGCTCCATGTTTTATTTCTCCCTTGGATGTGAAAGAATGGGGGGAGGGCTCTCTCGGTTCGAACACTTGAGCGAGTTTCCTCTGTCTTGAATGGTGTCTGAAATCACTCACGTTTGGCATTTTAATCCTCTTCAGTTATTTATTTAACGAGGCCCGTATGAGAGCTAGTTCCTAGGCTTCGCTTTCGTAGATTGTCTCTCCCTGAACTAAATCTAGGTTGCTTCCGCGGTCTCATCAGCATTGAAGATCTCAAAGCGATGTGCTAAGATTGTGTAAATGGCAAAGGATCAATATTGCTCTAATTTAAATATTTCATGTGCAAACCTTCGGCGGCAAAAGAACTATATTCATCAATCAAATGATCTTCGAACAAAGTTACGTACGCTTTCGGTATTGTTTTTATACACGAGAAAATAAAGCGCTCCAGTGTGTTAAACGAACCCCGCCTCAATGATAATTAGGACCCTTTCCAAACCCGTATGTTTGTTGAAACAGCGGATATGAGAAATGCAAAACACCATTCTCCCCCACAGTAATTGTTCGTAATCAAATCTGCATGGTTTTTTTGTGATCTTATCCGCGTCAATTCTGAGTGTACAGCAACATGGCTTTTCACATCATAAATAAATAGAGTAGTATAGAAATCTGCAGAGAATATATGTACATTATGGCGTTCTAACTTGGTGAGATCTTTTCATTGACCAAAAACTTCTTTCAAGAATGCTTGTTCTTCGGCGTTGTGCAAACTCTTCGAACCAGCAGCGACTGCTCCGCTTGGGTTTCTGCCGGCATACCTGATCTTGTAGTCCTTGTACTTATCTGTCTTTTGCAGAACGGTTTCAAACCTAGGCGCCGCGTAAGACCATGAACCCATGTTCAAAGGTTCTTCTTGGCAGAACACTATTTCGTCCAAGTTTGGATAGGAGTTCAAAGAGTCACGCAGTTGAGCAAATGGGAATGGGTGTACCTGTTCGATCTTCAAAAAGGCAGTGTTCTTATCTTCAAGCGATTCACGTTTTTTGTGCAAAGCAGTGTAGACTTGACCAGTGCAGATCACCAAACGTTTAGTTTCCTCCTTTGGCGCAATAGTCTTACCGTGAGCGACATCTTCGATGATCCACTGGAAGGCACCGTCTGTGAACTCAGATAAATCTGATCTTGCCAAAGGATGACGTAGAAGTTGCTTGGAGAAGAATAATATCAGTGGTTTACGGAATTGGCGATGTTGTTGTCTTCTCAGAATGTGGAACAAGTTTGCGGGAGTAGTTGGGTAAACAACTTGATAATTACAATCTTGATGTTGTCTTTGCAATTTCTCCTCGGATGGGAAGTATCTGGGATCTTCGTTAGCCATTTGTAAGAATCTTTCCAATCTACCAGAGGAGTGCTCAGGACCTTGACCATCGTAACCGTGTGGTAGTGACAGCACCAAACCGGAGCGCTGCTTCCATTTAGCTTCACCTCCTGCTAGAAATTGGTCAATGATGACCTGTGCAGTGTTGGCAAAATCACCGAACTGCGCTTCCCACATCACCAAGTAGTCAGGTGAGGTCAAAGAGTAACCGTATTCGAAACCCATGCAACCGTATTCAGACAAGGACGAGTTACAAATAGTGAAGTTCGCTTGCTTGTCACTCAAGTTCTGTAGTGGAGTGTAGGTTCTTTCGGACTTTTGATCGTGCAAAACTGCATGACGTTGAGAAAATGTACCCCTTTCAACGTCTTCACCTGAAACTCTGACATGGTAACCTTCCATTGCCAAAGATCCTAGCGCTAAAGCTTCACCAGTAGACCAGTCAATACCTTCGCCGGCATCTACAGCCTTGCCTCTGTTGGTCAAGATTCTCTTCAAGTTTTTGTGAACCTCGAAATCTTCAGGCCATGACGATATAGCCTTACCGATACCTTTCAACTTCGAAACATCAACAGTGGTTGGTTCGTGAGGCAAGATCTCCAATGCTAGCTCTTTAGGAGACTTGAAGTTTGCCCAGTCAGCGGTCAGCCATTCTCTGGATGTAGGCTTGTAGTCCTTAGCTTTGTCAAAAGCTTGCTCAAAGAGACCCCAGACCCATTGTTTGTGTTCATCGATATCTTGCTTAGTGAAAGAGCCTTCAGAGATCAGTTTCTCAGTGTATACGTCGATGACTGACTTTTGCTTGCTAATCTTTTGGTACATTAGCGGCTGAGTGAAAGAGGGCTGGTCAGTTTCATTATGACCATGTTTTCTCCAGCCTACAACATCAATGATAACATCGGTGTGGAAGGTAGCCCTCCATTCAGCAGCTAAATGGAAGATAAACGTGAGTGCTTCAACATCGTTGGCATTGACGTGAAAGATAGGAGAGTCAATTGCTTTCGCAATATCGGATGGATATGGAGTAGATCTGGCAAATCTTGGGTCAGTGGTGAAGCCAATTTGGTTGTTGGTGATGATATGAATAGTACCGCCGGTAGAGTACTCTGGTAAATGGAGGAAACCCATAGTTTCGTAAATGACACCCTGAGCGGCGAAAGCGGCATCACCGTGCAACAAAACACCCATTGCCTTTTGGTATTTGTCTAAATCATTCTTGGAAAACTGGATAGCTCTAGTTCTTCCCAAAACAACTGGATCTTGGGCTTCTAAATGTGAAGGGTTTGCAACTAATGACAAATTCACGTATTTACCGGAGGTGGTTGGTCTTTGGTAGTTCATACCCAAATGGTACTTGACGTCACCAGAACCTTCGTACTCTTCTGGAGCAACAGAGCCGGTAAATTCGGAGAAGATGGATTCGTTTGGTTTACGCACCACGTTGGATAAAACATTTAGTCTACCACGGTGTGCCATACCTAACACAACATCTTCAACACCCAATTCGACTGATTTGTCGATCAAAGTCTTGATACCTGGAACGACACCTTCCAGACCTTCCAAACCGAAACGTTTATCGTTGGGGAACTTGGTCGACAGGAAGGTCTCGAACGAAGTAGCCCAAGTGAGCCTATCCAAGATCTGCCTCTTTTCGTCAATTGTGTAGTTATAAGGTTTAGCAATCTCGATTCTTTCTCTGAGCCAATCACATTGGTTTCTGGAAGGGATGTGGATATATTCGACACCGTACGAGGAGCAGTACACTTTTTCGAGGGCAGCGATGATTTCGCGCAGAGTCATAGTCTTCCTGCCCTGACGCGTGAAACGGGGCAAAATACCAGGTCCTAGCGTGATCTCACTCTCCAGATCGCGTTCTGTAAAACCGTAGTACTCTAGAGTGAGTTCTTTGGGTAGCGGCTTCGACTTGTCGTCGCCAAACGAGATCTGTAATGGATCAATATGAGCCTTTTGGTGGCCTCTAACTTGATAGGCACGGCACAGTAGTTGCACTTTCAAATGCGTGAGAATACCCTGATCCATCGAACCAGAGGTGGCGCCCGAGACACCCATGGCCATGTCCTGAGGGATCTGACCACCCGTGTGGTGCGACGCCAAAGTTGGAGGTGCTATGAATGCCGACGAAGCCGGCATTTGGGTGTTCCCCATATTTTTGAAGTATGCGTTCCACGACACGTGGACAGAGTTTGGATCCTTTTTCCACGCCTCAAACATTTCGTCAATGTAACTGGCATTGGTGGTCAACAGAAAGTTGTCGCTGCTCCCACTACCAGCACTTGCCAGGCTTCTGACAGCGCCTAGCCTGCTTCTGACGCTGTCGATACTGCTACGGCACGCGATGCGTTGTAGCACAGACTGCTGCGAACAGCGGCTAATACCTCTGAACATCTTGTGAATTTGGTGCGATTTTCGCTTCTTTTGCTGCGATCGACACGACTAGAACCGTAAACACAAAAATGCACTCACTGGAGTTCTGTCTTCGCGTTTTTTGATTGACCCTGTTTCTCAAAAGTGAGTTTCGTTAAGACAAGGATAGTTTTAATATATATATTTTCTACTTACGCCCTAGGGCTTTTCCCAAAACCTCTCATATTGAAGCCGTATTACAAAACATTTTTAAGGTAAAAAAAATGTATCTCGGAAGCGACATCGGGATCGCTAAAGACGTTGAAGCAGAAAACACGAAGTTTGTACGCATTGAGGGGCATTCCAAGGGTACAGCAGATACAAAGTTAAGTTACCCAGATACTCGACTCAAATCTGAATAAATTTTGACTTGTTGGTTATGCGATCTTGACTGTATAAAAAGTTATGCTCAGGCGTGGCAGGTAGTTAAAGTTCGTTGACAGCGATGGTCATACGAGAGTGCCATCAGGACTGTGAATAAGCGACCAAAGCATGAGTGGGGTCACTGATAACTATCTAAAGTGCAAGATCTCATGGATCCAATAATTCGCGGTTGCGAGAAAACGAGACAGCCATGTAGTGTTATTATGCTGACCGACGGGCTGTTTGACCGCTAGTAAGCCTAGTCACCCCAGTCCAGCCTCGGCACTACCTCAATTGGCAGTCAGCATTCTTTTATCGATCCTCGCCACTAGTATCTTTCTTCTTATTTTACTTATGTTATAATTACATGGTATAGCAACGTCGTTACTGTAGTTAGGTCACTTTCTACTAAATTGTCACCAGCTGCTTCAGAGACATAGAGTTTCGCTTATCATAACGAAGTCTGCACGAAATAGTGCTCGCAATTCTAACGATAATGCTCGTAATTCTAACATTAGTTCGTTGTCCCGCAACTATCATCAGCTCTGCTTTGGAAAAACGCTCGCTGCTGACCTCTCGCGCGATTTTCCTCAGTCCTGTCAAAGCTTCTAATTTAGTTTCCTTTGATCAAAGCGGAAGGTGCCCTGAAATAGCATCAATTGAATCGTTTCTCGAGCTTTTCCCTTACCCTTATTCCTGTATAATAGTCGCAGTTTCGCCCAAATAAGCCATATGCTTCTTTGTGCCAGGCGCGACACAAAAAAATAAACTGCTAACAATTTCGCCAAAACACAATTTCAATCCTCAAGCCATTGGATATATCAATGGTCCATCACTTCAGCTTGCTTCCAATAATATCTCGTTTTTGCTAACCATCTTTGACTACGTGCAAGAGAGATAATCAAATTAAAACAGACCGTTTTACTCGTTTCTAAGGTTTCTTCCACAACCTAAAAGGGAAAAGGTTAGAATAATCCAAAAATACACTCGCTCCCCGTAGGCATCCATTTTAGTTTGTCCTAGGATATTTCGCTAATTAGCACACACTCTCCGTGTTTATGTCACTTCTCTCGATTGAATTACAACAGCCTCTTTGGAACAACTTATCCCAGGCCTGTTTTGGAAACACTGAAGAGCTCGAAGAACATTCACCAGGAGTTTTGGCGTATAACTCACTGTTTGACGGCTCTGACGATTGCGAGACTCCAGAATTTTATACTGATAAGTCCAATAAAGATCCCGTTCTGTTGGAATCGAGTGCGCGTGAAGAGCAATTACTCCGGAAGTTTGACTCTTCTATGACGGGTTCTCTAGACTCTCACAGTTGGTCGATCGATGATATTCTGGCTGAATGTACTCCTGAAAAAAGCTCGCTTTGGACTGGCGCTATAAGCGGAGAAAACAATTATCAAAGAGAGCTCAGCGGATCTTCACTTACCACATCCTACAACCAAAATAGGTTCCAGTCAGATTCAGATGTTGTCATTGACCAAAGATTTGAAGTTGGTTTGAATGGCGATTTGGACACCGAAGAAAACACGCTTGAGGCTGATAGTATTAGTGATCGGACAAACGATGACAATTACAAAGCTACTTTCAGCGCTAATAAACCATTAATAAAAGTCAACACAAAAGATATGAAAAACCACACACTTCCGTCACCAAGCAGGTTATTTGTCGAGCCTGTTAAACATGAGTTTGCTGGTAAAGTCAGCAAGCCAAGTACGAAAAAAAACCGCGGTAAAAGAAGTTCCAAATTTAATTTTAACGCTAAAAAAGCATCGCTTCAAAAATTGATAACTGAATTACAGTCAAAGTGCGATCAAGCTCGCCATGGCGAGAACGGCTTTCTGATACGTCGAAGTGTTGCCAAGGAGCTTGACATCGAACACCAATGTTCACCGACAATCCTTAATTTTGGAGGAACGTTGTTTTCTCATGTTATGCGATACCTGGAAGAACAAGCACTCCATTTTCAACCTGCAGGCCAGTTTAGAACAATTTGGAATTATCATAGAAAACAACAAGGATCCAGAATTGTGTTGTCTCTGACTCCTTATAATGGAGAAACCGATTGTGATGGGACTAATTATCAGTTCTCAGTAGTGTCCCGACTATTACCTCACGATTGCTTTGGAAATCCGCAGAGCGTGTCAAAAAAGAAAACAAATAAAGTTCAGGATGAACTTGAGAGAGAGAAAAGAGCTAGCAGAGGAAATATGTTCCACTGGCGTCATTTTTTGACCAGTTTCGAATATTTCAAGCTCGTTTCCTTTATGCTTGGGACAAACTATGATTTTGGCCTTAACGACAATCAAATTGGTGAGACGAGAGGAAGCGACGGAAAAGTGATATCACCGGAGAAACGACATGACATGAGGACCAGGTCTCATGCTAAAATCTATTTTGAAGGCAAGGCGGTTAAAAGTGCACACGAGTTGGTTAGCAACGAGACAGCTGGCAGACGCAAATCGTTCATCGTGGGGACCTTCGGTCAAATTATGGGGTATACGCACATGAAACCTTTTGGCTCCGACTCTTCGCTTTCAGTAATGGAGTTCAGATATCTCGAAGAGGCTCTTTCAAAGGAGATAAATTTCCACGTTTCTCACAGTATTTGAGTAGTTTAGTATTTCTATTTTGAAAATTTAAAGGGACGTCTTCATTCGAATTGCGTTTTGAATACATGATACGGGCAAATCAAGTAATTTGAATTTTGAAGTACCAGTTAACCATCTCATCACCCAAGGCTCGTTAACTCACTTAGACATTACACAAAAGTGACATTCAGCTGAAAGATCAGATTTTGTGATTTTCGAAAGACTAGCTGATTTAGGCTACGATGATATTACAACAAGAAATGCAAATGACAAAAAGGCGGTCAACGTAAGTAACCTGAAAATGAGGAACGTCGAATGGCTCTTTATTTTGACGAGCACTAGTAACGTTCCTCCCGTTGTGATTGGAGGGCGACTCCGAAAGCGGGGTGAGACCACCTATATACACCCTAATGTACAGCTACTTATAACCCTTTTCGAGTTGTTCTTAGTTCATAACTTAGGATTCTTCCTCGATGAATCCCTTCTCGGAAACGTAAATACCATCCAAAAACTTACGGATATCCTTGTTTCTGACACGACAGATTTGTTGGATGTCGGCGGCGTTTTGAGAAACGTTCTCAATGGAGTTACCAGACAGGACAATCTCATCCTTTTGGTTGGCGGAGAAATCGATGGAGACACCCTCTCTAACTGGCACCAATCTGACGAGCTTGTCACCCAAGAAGTTTCTGATCTCAACGAACTTGTCACCCTCCTTCTCAACAACGTTCACGTTGATGGGGAAATGCGCATACACGTATCTCATCTTGTACTTGAAACCCTTAGTCACACCAGTGACCATGTTAGAAACCAAAGAGTTGACGGTTCTCAAAGCAGCAACGTGCTTTCTGTCACCGTTGTGGACAGTAAGCTTGAGTTGCTTGTTGCTGACTTTGGCGAAAGTAACATCGATGTGCTTCAAGTTCTTAGTCAAGACACCTCTTGGACCGGTGACCTTGATCTCTCTGGCCTTGATGTTCACAGTGACACCCTCTGGGATGTCTAGGGTTTGATCAGTTTGAATGTACTTCATTGTTGCTTGTGTTCTTTGAAATTAAAGAGAAACGAGTGGAAAACGAAAGGTTGTGGAACGTTCTGCTTTTCTCTGACTTATATACCTGAAAAAAATTTTCACCCACTCTTTTTATTTGAGTAGCTTTTTATTCCCAAGTCGTGGCTCATGATTCAGAGCGTAAACGAATTAATGACGGTGTCAGTTCGATTGTTACGAGCGTCTCAAGTCCCTTTTCATATAACACATTATACTACAAATCTACGTATTACTTGCTGCAAACCAATTGCTAACAAAAGTGCGGAGCTCCCCGGCGTCATTGAATATCCAGGACCCTTCTTCATTGTAAAATTGGGCATTGTCAAACATCACGTTAAGATCCGTGTGAACATCGCTCATTGACTCGTATTGACCCCTTTTGCATTTCTTTAGGATAGAATCAAGTGCTACCGGCGTTTTTATCAGCGCATAGTAGTCGGGATATAGTTTCTTGGATGGCAGGGTCTCAAAAACAGATGTGCGTGGATGTTCGTCCTGAGGGTCAAGCATGCCCCGCATTTTTTCAAACAGCTGCTCAACACGGGGCGTGAATTCGCATGCCACAGGCTTCTTCGATGGCTTACTTTTGGGCCGAGGAACAGCAGAAGACTTCTGGTCTTTCTTGCCATCTGCGACATCATCAGGCTCCCCAGACTTATCTGAAACATCTGGCGGCAGCTGCTCCTTCTTCTTCAGCGAAAGTTTGACCTTGAGTTTTTGCTTTTTAGGGGCCGGTTCCACCTGGCCATCCGGTAGTCCCAAGTTTTCTATCTCATCTAAGGGCTCCTCTTCCTGTAAATATTCATCCTCTGCGGCTTTTCTTTTCGGTCTTGGCCGTTTCTCGGCCTCTTCGATGATTTTCGCACCGTCCGTTTCTGGCGTGGGTTCTAGACTATTTTCAAGGGTATCGATTTCATCAATTTCAGAGTCTTTCGCGAGTTTGTTGATTTGTCTACGCTCTCTTGTTTGACGCTTTCTGGAAATGACTTCTTCCAGGGAATCATCATCATCGTCGACAGCTTGCAGCCATTGCTCCTCGGTCAACCCGTCATCGTAATACACTTTCTTCCTCTCTCTGATCCTTCCTACCGCGGCAGGTTCAATGTTCAAATGATCGTTGATGTCTTCTGTCAAGACGTCCGGTAGCTCATTCGTTTCAATCAGTCTTGGTAGAGGTGCTGATAAGCCTTGCGCTTTCGCCAACTTAAGCTCTATAGCAGCGCGTTCTATGTCCATTTGGTCGAAAAGCTCTCTTTCCTTTTCACCACGAGCCAATATTTCGTTGAGTTCTTCGTCATCCAACTCGGCCTTTTCGTTTTCATCTTTTACGGTTTCATTTTCAAGTAGTCTTCGCAAAAATGCCTCTTGTTCTTCTGCTGTCGACTTATTGTCAAACTTACCAGCTTGAATAACTTTTCCATCAATGTCCAACTTCTTCAACGCTCTTTCTAGAATGACCTCCTCTACTGAGTCGGTAGTGATTAGTCTCAAGATCCGAACTTCATTCTTCTGACCAATTCTGTGAGCTCTGTCTTGAGCTTGTAAATCCTGATGTGGGTTCCAATCTGTATCGAAGATAATAACAGTATCAGCCGTTTGCAAATTCAGCCCCAGACCACCAGCTCTAGTAGACAGTAAAAAGCAGAAGTACTCGGAGTCGGGTGCGTTAAAGTCTTTTAGCATACCAGTACGATCTTCTGTCTTGGTGGCACCATCTAATCTTAAGTACTTGAAGTCCCTCATTCGCAGAAAATCTTCCATAATATCCATTACTTGTGTCATTTGAAAAAACATCAAAATTCTGTGGCCAGTAGCTTTGAACTTAGGCAAAATGCGATCCAGTAACTCAAACTTACCAGCGACACGATAAAGTAATGGACTGTTGCTCCTTGTTGGATTGATGATACCTTCTACTTCATCAAACACAAAAGGATGGTTGCAAATCTTTCTGAGCTGCATAATCTTGTTGTTTAGCCCTTTGATACCACCTTTAGTGGCACCTTCCGTACCAGCTCCGACAAACAAGGCATTGTGTTTAAGCATTTGCTCGTAGAGCTGTTGTTGTAAGCCAGAAAGTTTACATTTGATGACTTTTTCTACCTTGTCAGGTAGATCCTTTTCCACTTCCTTCTTCAAACGACGTAACAAGAATGGTCTTAAAACTTTGTGCAGTCTTCTGATCACCAGTAGAGTCTCTTCTTCAGTTAGCTCCAACTTCTCTTGGCCACCCGTATTGGCGAACGGTGTATTAAACCATTCATCAAAAGTTTTAGCGGAGTTGAAAATTTTGGGTAGTACAAAATTTAGCAAAGCCCAAAGCTCTGGCAGATTATTCTGCAGTGGAGTACCTGTTAAAATCAAGCGGTTCCTCGTTTTGTAGTATCTCGTCAATGTAAAAGAAAGTTTGGACTGCGCATTCTTCATTCTATGCCCTTCATCTATGATCATGTGGGACCAGTCGTGTTTTGCCAGTAGGGACCGATCTTTGATAATATATTCGTAGGTCGTAAGTAGAACTTCAAAGTTGCCAAATCTAATTTGATGCTGCATGGATTTTCTTTGATTTGGTGTCCCCTTGTAGATGATGGTCGAAAGAGTTGGAGCCCATTTCTCAAATTCCAACGTCCAATTAGTGATAGTCGATAATGGAACAATGACCAAAAATGGACCTGGTTCATTTTTGGTTTCACGCAGGTAAGTGATCAGAGAAATCGATTGAATGGTTTTACCAAGACCCATTTCATCTGCCAAGATACCATTCAAGTGATTATTGTAAAGCGAGACCATCCATTCTAAACCCTTAATTTGATACTCTTTAAGAGTGCCACCAATCAACATTGAAGGCTGCTTTTCAACTTTTTCCTTGACAGAGTGAGCAACTTCATAGTAGTCAATGTTTTCTCTTTCCTCATCAGTCATTGGCATAGCTTCTTCTCCACGCTTCATCTTGGCTTCATTCTGCTGAACCTTAACTGCCTGAGCCAAGGAGTCCAAAAATGTGTTAGTTTGTCTAAGCAAATGTGTGATTCTTGTATCTTTTGTTTGGTCGAGCAATTTGAGGTACGCTTCTTCATCGTTGGACTTCAAGGCCTGCAAACGCTGCTTGGCAGTTCTCTCTACTCGCTTTTGTTCATCTTTCTCAGTTTGATTATGCAGAGATGCGCACAATCTACCAAACTGGGCACTACGTTCTCTTTGTGTGGATTGTGTGACCTGTTGCTCGTGGACGTGCTCAATAATCTTATTGACTTTATGCATATGAAGATTACGCTCCTTTCTACGCTTCTCCAGAAGTTGTTGCCTCTCTAGTTCCTCCGCTAATCTTGCGGTTTGAGGAACAATTACTTTGTTTCTAACCTGCACCGATCTTTGGGCAGCCATAGTGAAGGGAGAGTCTCGGAGACATGGGATGGTGTGGTGGGCTTGGCTGGTGACGTTCATAATAAGCTTCTGTCTCAAAGACTTTTGCTTTGTCAACATTTTGAGAGCCTTCAATTCAACGAGCGCTCTCAATTTAAGGTCGTCGACGCTAGAAGGAACGTCATCCTTAGCCGTGAACTGCAAGCTGTCTAAAAGGGAATAAGTACCAAGGCTTGCAGGCAGCCTTTCTAAATCGCTAATTCGTTCAGCAATCCGGGAAACGATTGTAGCTTCAACTACAGGCACGCCAAGACTTTTTTTTCCTCTAGCAACGCCAAAATTGAAGAACTTGTCGCGCAGTCCAAAACTCTTGGCATTTTCGTCAAAATTCAAGGAAACCTTCAGCGGCTGAAGACATTGGGATATCGTGCTAGTTGTGTGTTGTACACTGTCGGTTGGCGATGTTTTGGGACTTTCAAGTAAACCACTTGGGACATCCATGTCCTTGCTCAGGAGCTGCAGCGCGATGAGCTGATTTTGAAAAACTTGCTCATCATAGGCGGCTTCTTTCTCCATAGCGTGCCTTAGTTCTTGTAGTTTCGTAATGTACTGGTCTTGCTGTTTTGAAACGGAGCTGAACACGCGTTCCAGAGAGTTGATTTCAGCGCGATTCGTGTCTGAGTCCTCGAAAATGGCCCGGTACCTATTGAGAAGCTGCTCCAGCTGAGCTAGCGTTTCTGGAGCCGGGATATCTACCAGTTCTACCACTTCAGGCTGCTGCTTTGACGGAGGCGCCGTCAACGGAACTTCGGCCATATCCATATTTGTGCCTGAAATTTGGTGAGTGGTTGCCTTCTTCTGAGTCTTTGGCTCAAATTGAACTCCTTACGCTACAATGATATTGTGAAAAGGCCTGATTGCCGCCCTTCTTATGCCTCTGTATCTTAGATTTTAGGACTGTATCGGATTGAGAGCCCTGATGCCAAAGTACAAATAATCTTCCCACTATGTCGTGAAAATTAAGTCCTTGTTTATGTTTTCCACTTTACAGGCCCTTTGAAAAATAACAATTGTCTGTAAGCTCTAGTTTCGGTCCTTGCACGCTGCTTTCGTGCTTCAACAATCCTGTAGGACTTTCGCTCTATTTACTTTCATATATTGTAGAAACCATGATTTTTTTTGAATCTCTGTGGCACTACACACGACAAATGTGGGTAACTCAGTTATTATCCTTAGTCGAAAGGTATCCCACGTACCATGGTGTTCTACTAGTTTTCTTGTAGACTGTATCCTGCTCTTCGTTCTAGTTTGCAAACAGCATTTAATTCGTGTAAATTTTGTTCGGTTACGAAAGTGGGCTGTAACCCTTCCTCCTTTCGAATGGCATACCAGATACGCTTTCAAGCAATTACAGGAGCAATCGCATGTCACCCATCTCACACTTGATGAAAAAATCCTGATCATAGTCGAAATAAACCGTGCAGTGTTTCATCCCCGTTAACTCCAAAGACTTGAAGCATCCAGCAACTTTTCTTGATATTTTGTCCAAAAGGTAAACAACGAAGGCCCTGTCCGTCAATGTGATCATATTGCTGTCTTTAAGGATACATAAGTCTTTGATATTGCATCTTAGCTATAACGTTCTCCTTATTTTGACAAATAGTATGTGATATCTTTTGGAAGATACAACAGTTGAAGTTCAGCTTTTATGAGCAGCATGTACCGTTCCAGCACGCCTGCTTTGAACTTCTTTCCGCCAGCGATTAACACCTGTACCCAGATCGTAGTAATCTTCGAGAGAGGCGTTTTTAGCGAGGAAAGCACACAATACTGGAATAATGAAGAGTAACGCGTCCGACTGTGAGGTCAGCACCACATTATTTCAATCCGAAAACTGTGCGCGCGAAATCGAATCTTGTTTGAAACGCTCGTTAAAGCTTTCTAGGTAAACGCCATTCTATAATATTTGCGCAATTTAGCCCACTTGCTCGTTGATCTAATACGGAATGCCAACCACAAGCAAACGCCGAAAGTTCTGATTCTCGAATATCTATCTGCTTCCGACCTTTGATTAATTATTTGGCGTTTATTATCGGATGAACCAGTCTGGGAGGTTGACACACTACGTAGGCATGCTCAGAACCGCTCTTGCTTATTCCTTAAGCATTCGCAAGCAGCTTATTGAATAAGTATGCACTGCGTGTCCTTCAGCTTTATAAGGTTAAGATAATTGTCAGATTAGAATGGAGGAAACTATGACCGATGAGTTCTCTTTAGCCATGGACTCCGTTGAAAAATAATCATATCATCATTCCCTGTAGCTAAAACCTGATTTATGAGTCGATTATTCGAAGAAAGCTTGAATCTAGCGATGATTAACTCCCCGAACAATTATAGCTGCCCAGTCATTGGTTAAGTGCTACTGCTCGAAATAGCTTTTGCTTCTGCGTTTTTTAGCCGCCGAAGTTGAAAAATATGTCATATGACCTCCATGTTTCTTATATATCGTATGCGACGAAAAGAAAAATTCGAGGTTAGGCGATGAGCTATCTAGTAAGAGACAGTTCAACTAAAGACAGCTTCGATAACTAGTTTGTGTTAAAGCCCAGAGTTCCAAGAAGTTCTTTATTTGACTTAAGCCGGTACTGAGCATGGTATCTATTAAATCAAGAGAACAGGCCACGGTTGCCGTCAACAACGTTCTGTCGTTAGTGCTTCCAGGAAGTACTAAACTTGACGCTTCCAATCAAAAGCTCCGCAAGGATAAGACGAGTAAGGGCTCGACCGCACAACTCATTAATCAGAACTTGAAGAAAGCGGTTAGAGTACGAGAAAGAGACGCTCATGGCATCAAAAAACGAGACTTGAAGGCCAGAAAGAAGCAGATAAAGGCAAAGCAGATTCTGAACGACCAAATGGATCAGAAAGCCAAGCTGGACATTCTGCAAATGCATCGTGAGCAGGGGACTTTGACCCACAAAGAACGTAAATTTCTCAACAAAGTTATCAGCAAAAATGTAAGGGATCTCAAGAGTTGGGATCTGCAGGACGAAGACCTGCAAGAACTTCAGGACACGGTACTAATCAACCAAAGCAATAATGGAACTCAAAATAAGCGCAGAAGCAGAAAAGACTTTCGCGAAAATGTTTCGTCGAGCACTGGTGCAGCTGACCACCGTTATCCTGGTCTGACGCCTGGCTTGGCACCCGTGGGCGCCAGTGACGAGGAAGAATCCGACGAGGAATAGGTTATTAGCAGTCTTTTCATAGTCCATTTTTCTGTATAGTATTTTAAAAAAGTGTTTCTATTTGCAAATTAATCAAAAGGAACCTGGCCTAATTCAAAATATGTCTGTCTGGCATCAGTACACAACTTGCGCACATTTCTCTTCTTATCGTCAAGTGCTACGCCTAAGCCGGCGATTATGTCGTCTTTGAACGGTAGCAAATAGTTAAGCGGGACATGTTCCGTGAAGTCCCGTAAAATTCCAAGTGCTGTTAATCTGACCATGTATGAATTATGTTTGGTAGGGCGTAGTAGGTCAATGAGTAGGGGAATTAAACTGTGAACGTGCTCCGTTATGAACTGAGGAGCCTGTTCAACGGTACCTCTTATTGTGCTTAAAGCAGAAAATCTGACCTCACTGTTGTCTAGTGTCACTGCTTGCAATAGTAGCGCTAATAGTTTCGGAATGTAATTTACAGTAATTCTGTTCGGAGTATTCTTTAAAACGTAAGAGAGTGCCATTAAGTAGTTTGCTTTCACCAGCATGTCATCCGTTTCCCCATATGCGATCACCAATTGAGGGGCCACGTCACCAAAGAGCTTCTGCTTGTAGAGCAGCATGACGTTGTTATCCCAAGGTATTCCCTTGATTCTATCCAGTGTTGGTATATCCATTACGAAAATCTCAAACAGACTGGCAACCTGGGATCCTATAGCGACGTCAGCAAGTAGTCTGATGAGCTCTTTGATGAACTTGACAGCTAGAGGGGAATTTTTCATTGCCAACCCCTTAGTGCACCAGGCAATAATCTGCAGATTATTAATGGAGCAATTCTCAATGTCCAACACTGTCTTTAAAAACTCATCGCTGCACCACTTGTTGGTCAAGACTGCTAGCAACTCCAAGTAAGACAGCTTTTCAAATTCAGAAATTTCAAGTCCTTGGGTGCCAAGTAAATTGACACACTTGGATACTAAGTTTTCGACATCTAATTTACACGTCTTGTCGAATGCGGATAGCAGCTTAACGAAGAGCATAACAGATCGCTTAGGGATTTCCATCACTTTAGAGTCTTTGACAAACATGTGTTGACACCTGTTTATTTCAGCTTGGTGTGTGGACCTGGATGTATGAACATTGATGAAAAACAACACAGATGAGATCAGGGTCAAGTTGTGATCATCATTGTAGATTGATTCCTCCATTGCAGCCGCTAATAATTTTGCTTCAACTGTACTTTTTAGCTTGGCAGCAACATCCTCGACCAAGATCTCCTGGTTACTGTCTAGTAGAGAATAAAGGCATGACAAAAGCATGAAACAAGACTCGGCCTCTCCTCGATCTTTTGAATTTTCGAAAATCCTTTCTGTTACACCTATGATGCTTTCAACAACGAGTTTATGTCTTGACGACGTAAAGTCTAATAAGACCTTTAGGACCTTTTCCGCATTGATTGCCTCTTTGCCGCTCAAAAGGCTTGCACTCAGACCCTTATTTTTTAAAAGATCCAGCATCTGATCTAGGGAATATTCAACAACAGTAGATTCCCAAGTTTCACTGGTAGCTTTAAGACCTTCGAGACAAACGAAATAGAGGTTCTTGTTGTCGTTGGTTAATATTGTTTCCGTCAGATATTGAACAATTAATGAGACTTCCTCTTCTATTAGATAACCGGGCATTTTGACAAGTTTTGTCATTTGAACCACTGATAAGGTCTTGAGAGTTACCTCGCTTTCGGAACTTCCTTTTAAACCTTTACTCAACAACATGAGTATTTCGTCTTTATATTCTGCCAGTTTGTTACCTGGGACTTTTTTAGAGACTTGAGTATTATTATTTTCTCTGAAAACCTCAATGTATGCGTCAAAGAAAGATGAAAGGTTGAGCATCAATAGTTTCTGCTTGTTCAAATTTAAGTCATTCACATCTTGAAAGAACAAGACTAAAACGTCGGATAATATTTTCTCGAACGTAACGGTATTGACTTTAGACATTGCCGAAAGAACTGCACAGCTCTGTTTAAGATCTTTTTCATATCTGAAGTTAGGCTTTAACTCATCAAAGATATGATTGCGGAATTTATCGAAAGCGCCCTCTTTATACCCTATCAATTGTGCTGATAGAGCGGTCAGGACCCTTAATGAATCCTCGTAATTATCGAATTCGATTAATGTGCTACCAGCATTAGATCCGTCAACATCTGATCCTTGCATTATTTCGAACTTCAAAGCATTCCAAATGGGCATCCAGTTTTTGAAGCAGGCCTCTCCACCAAATTTTTCAATACAGGCCTTCATAGTTAACAAGGTATCGTTTTTAACAGTGGGCGAAGAGGCTGTCATTTTATCAACCAAGTTTCCAAAGGCGTCCTCCTCGTATAAAACATTGGAGGAAATAGCGTTTCGTAGAGCTAATTTCAAATCATCGTTGCTTATCTTGTAAGGATCATTTTTGGGAGGTTTGAAAGTGATTGGGAAATAGCAGAACAACGTGTCAAATAGATCCTCTTTGAAATGAGATATTTCATTGAGAGTACCACTTATTTTCGAATTAAGTTGGAACGAAATCAAAAGATTTCTAGGATCCTTTTCGCCCGCAGCAACAGAAAGAAAAGTCTCGACGAAGAGATTATTCATATTCACGTTCTTTAGGATATCTGTTTGGAACCTTTCCAAGACGTGATCTAGAATCAAGAAAGCATAATAACGAGTAGCAGCTAGGTGTTGGGTAGGCTGATAGTCGTCCTTTAACGGGTTCAGTACGCTTGCAATTTGATTGCAGTAAAAACATTTCATTTCGATGATGCTGCTTATTCCATGCAAAATTTCCTCAAGGCAAGATGTGTCATCGAACTTCCCCAAGTAAAAGTCCAAAATCACAGAAACATCATTCTTGGATAAGATTTGCTTAGGCAGCTGGCCCAAAATGACAGATAAAGAGCACAAAGCATTTTTCCTCTCAGTGTGATCGGGTGAAATTATGAAATCGCGTAAACAGATCACTAGTTCTACCAATTTGAGTTCTCCATCGCTGATCTTGGACGCAATATGAGATGCCACTTCAATCGCCTTGGACTCGTTTGCTGCCACATTTGCAATCACAGATATAACATCTGCATTAAGCATTTGCGTTGAGTAGCTTTGTGACATTGCGGGGCTTCGTGACGTTGGTGCTGCTGATATGCGTAGTACGCTTTGGAAGCACAGTTTCAATATATGACTACAGCGATCGAAATGGTGGAGTTCTTGGTGTCACATGATACGCTAGTGCTTTATTAATTACTTTGAGGTATGCATTTGATAGTCACCAACAGCATTCTCTTGGCAGTGCCGTCTTGGGTTTGTGATATTGGTGTGGATCGGTTAAGGGCTCCATATTGCTATGCTCGCATTGAGACCTTCTGGGGCTCTTTTTATATTATATCGATGACCATGTAGCCGTACCGAACAATCTTCCTAAAGAACCAGCAGTAAGCTGCCCACCCCAGCTAGCTTGTATGACCTTACGAAATTTCACGACGATAAGAAACTAATTACCTAGTCTTGAATAACTTTTTGTTAAGTTGTTTGACCCTTCATTTAATGTTTGGCACAGTGAGATGGACATTGGACAAGAACGTAGGTGCAAAGATAATAAATAAACTATACAGCCCAAGCTTTACCAAAAGGACTATTTAAGACATGTTCGACTTTCCAGTTGTATTACCAAGATAACTAGTTGACCCACATGAAGCAAATCGTTAGCTTATCTGATCTTAATTGACCACCCTAGATTGTTGATCAATAATTCACTAAAGTGTTAAATACACGCTCTGTAAGGAATCTTGCTAATAGTTCGACGAGTGGAGTTGGTATCAAGCTGGCACGGTTTCCGCTTTACCTCTGGTTCCCAAGCTATATATAATTGTGCTTTTGATTGACCCTTTCTTCGCGATGAGGTTTTGATTTTCGACAAAAAAACACACGCTGAAAGAGCTATTATTATCAAAACAAAACTCATTGAGCAGACTTAAAAACTGCCCAGAGAAGCGAAAGCGAGGATTTCAGAGCGCAGGGTAAGACTCAGCGCCAAACGTATCGTTCACCTGTGAGATTTGCTGTTGTCTCTTGATCACAAATGAACACAGGATTCACATTCCCGCCTAATTCAGGCGAACCGAAGATCGACAATTTTAAATTCCCAAGAGAGGCAGAACAGCCAGCTGTTGCGATTCCGGATGACTCTCCAGACGTTGAACAGGCACTCGCTAGCCCACAAGTGGCACAAAGGGATCCACCTGTTGCAGTAAAACGCAGTGATACAAATCATTCAAAATCAGAATTGCCATCTTTAGAGACTTCTCCGCATATCATTAGATCCTCTACTCCTCTCATAAGCGAGCAAAACGAACAGCTGAGTGAGCCTGCCGTAATCATACCTGCTGCGAAACGTGAGAATGCGAATGTCGCAAGCAATGAATCATTTACCAATGAGTATGCCAAGAACATGCGCCAAAACTTGGCGACTGATTGGAAAAGCTCTTCAGAATATGCGCTGCACATCCTTTTCACCAAATTTGTACGACATGCTGAAAACAAACTAAATCTTTGTCTACAATACCCACTTGATTCAGAGCCTCCGATTGTGGATCTATTGGGGGAGGGTGTTGATCTAGCATTTGACAAGATCATAGAATCCCTGGGATTCATTTCCAAAAAAAAGCCTAAGCCAGTAATAGACGCCATGATGTTCTGGAGAAAAACAAAGTCTGAGGTTGCTGCCGTGGCGGCAGAAAATGTTGAGAAACTAATTCAAGAGAACGACCTACTAAGGCACAGCAGCGTTTTTCAAGAAGGAACACGGACACTTCATTCTGGAACCGCAGCGCTACAAACTCACACCAAGACATTAAGCTCAGGGAGCAAGAAATCCCACGGACGAAATAACTCTTCAAAATCATACACAAGCACAAGCAGCGCCGTCGAGGTGAAGCAGCGTGTAATGGAAGACCAAATAGAAACAGCCAAAGAAACAGCTTTTCAGGCAGATAGAAAGTCGCTAATCAGCATTTACATCCTATGCCGTGTGCTCATCGAAATTGTCAAACAAGGTTCCGGTACTTCAGACGATGACCTAAGTGACAAACTTGAGGAGATTGTATTCACTCAATTAAAGACAACAGACCCAATCTCTATTTCTTCAAGCATTATCAAATCGTCAAACTGGAATTCCTTTGCAGAGCTTCTAGGTTGCATGTCTGCCTCTAAATTCGTTACTGTAAGTGATCGCTTCATAGCAGATCTGGAAAAGCTGCCATCATCTTTGCCAAGAGAGCTGGAACCCTCTGTTCACCTATTGATATTAGGTATGAGGTATTTGAAACTCAAGAACTATCCTCTGGACTTGTTTGAAGAAAGTGCAGACTTTATCAAGTCATTAGCCAAGTTTCTCGTTGCATCCCAAAATTATTCTATTTGCTTGGCTTATGCGGAAGTCATAAGCCAACTACTGCTGCCCTTAGCTGGATCTTTGACAGCAGAAGTTAATCACCCAACTTGGGTGGAAGCGATGGCTTTAATTCTAGAGACTTGCCAGAAGTTTCAAAATGACAATAAATTCTGGGCAAGTTCTTTTAAATTGATGGTGACTGTGCTTTGTGTTTCACCTCAAGAGTTGTTTTGTGAGCAATGGATGAATCTTTTAGAGAAGAATATAACCAAGGTAAAATCTAAAAGCTTGAATGACAGGGTAGTTTTTGCCACGGGCCTCTCGCGTTTAGTTTGGGTCTACCTCTTCAGATGTACAGAAACTTTGAATAATACCGAAAGACGTTTGAAGAAGCTTTTTATGCTTTTCCTCACTACAAAGAAGAAAGATAACTGGATAACAACAGATATGGATCTCATTAATCCCCTTACCGATGTTCTTGTGACAGTGGGATCACTTCATCCTGGATTTATTATGGAAAATGTTATAATACCACTGATCAAGATGTCTTTTAATGGGTCTACCTTGGAAAATTTAGGGTTTGAGAGGCTAATCTTAGCCATTGATGCATACAAAGGTCTGCTCGTCACAACCGATCGCCCAGAATTTCCAGAAAATGACTGTCGCTTTTATGACATGAATTTGAACAAAATATCTGGTAAGATGATGAATGCGGTGTCTAGCGACCACGAGGAGGCATGCAAGTCATTTTATAAGCTTTTCATTCTTTTAGATTCCAGTATTGGATCAGAAGTATGGTCTCCGGAAAACGAACACCAACGCCAAGCTAGTACGCCCTTTGGTGGAATTTCGTCTTTTAACTTTGGGTTTTCGAATGAAAACGCCAATAGCTCCAACCGTGGTCTCAATGCGGCGTTGTTTGCTGCTCTCATTGAGGCGCTGCCATGTTGCCTGACAGTATCTGGCCAGATCCCGTTCAAATCAACGATTGAGATTTTAGCTAGAAATGCTGTTCATCGAAATTTACTGATCGCAACCAGTTCTCAAAGCGCGTTGAAGGCGCTAGCTTTGAAAAGGAACCCATATACATTAATTACCTGGTTTGCGAAATATTCATTCGATTTTGATGAAAAGACTCAGTCTAGTTATAACTTGGCCTACCTTTCATCCTCTGAGTATCGCAAACTACTGGTTCTCTACATTGAACTTTTGCAATGTTGGTTGACTGAATTTAAAATCTCCAACGAAGTGAAGTCAGCTAAGGAATTAGGCCTTGGTGGTAACTTCACTGCAGCGGCCGAAAATGATGCTACCGAAAGTAAAGATACTGAAAAGTATGAGTGGAAAAATACTGTCACGGTCATCGAGGATGTGGAGGGCAATGGTTTGTTTTTCCTTTGCTCTCACGACCATATAGTTAGGCGCCTAGCGGTACAAATACTGCGTATTGTCTCTAAATTTGATGAGGCGATGCTGGAGAAAACTCACGGATTGGAGAAAGTGCACGCACGCTCTCTATCCAGGTTCGTCGCGGAGCGTGGGACACGTCTTATCGATTTGCTTCAAACTTGCAATTATACCGTGCTCGTTGAGAACAAAAGACTAGCTATGAGCGTAGCCGAAAAAGCTCGACTCGCGAAGCTAAGCTCCAAGTATAAAGGTGGAATTTTGATCAAACTTGCTGAGTCGGACTATGGTGTCGACGCCGCACTTTGGATGCGAACTTTTTCAAAATTATTGTCATTGATCTTTGAAAGATCACCGGTGACTATGGCTCTTTGTCGCTCCATAGTATGCATAAGGCTGGTCCAGCTACATGAAATAATTCTATCCGTTGCAAATAACGCCCAGATTGAGTCAAGAGAGATTTCACCTCAAGCAATTGTAAACCAGTGGAAACTTTATTTGATTGTCGCGTGTTCGTCACTGACATCGACCAGCGATCAAAAGCTTCACATTCCCACAACAAACCATCAGCACGGTAGAAACAAGTCACAGCAGATATTTACCGTTCAGCATCAAAAAATCAAATCAGCAACTTCTATATTCAAGATGGTTTTACCGCTGCTTAATTGCCAAAATGCCTTCGTCAAAGATGCAATAATAACAGGTTTGAGCTCTATGAATGTGAACATTTTTAAAGCATACTTGCAAAGTGTAGACATGCTTCTCCACAGTTGGCGGGTAGACAGCTCTTCAAACGGCATGAGAATCGAAATCTTTCACATCTTGGCAGTTTTGGCGTCGTTTTTCACCAGTCCCACAGTTCTTGATGACGAATGGATATTACGGAAATTATCTCAATATTTGAAAGACGCCAAAAGATTTTTAGAGATCAAACATGTGCAGTCTTCTTTCCAGTATCAACTGTTGCGCAGTTATTTTGCTGGTTTATTGTCGAATTACTTTTTGGCTGTGAAAAAGCACCCCCTCGTAGATGAGTTGTTCCCATTTGAAGCGCGAGCATCATGCTTTAATTTTCTTAAGGAATGGTGTGGATATGGCCAAGATAGCACGACATCAACCGAGAGATACCATGATATGAGGGAGAATCAAAGTCTGAGAGACCGAGGAACTCTTTCCACTGCCATGGAATTCCAGAAAACCCGCTTGGAGCTCATAGCTCTGGAAGCGATGGTCAATTTATGCTGTGACACTATTACAAAAACTATAAACGAGATTCCAGATTCTCCCATCTACATTTCATTTGATATTTCAGGTCTTGTAAGCTGGATAGATTCTTTGTTTAACTCACACGATGAAAGGGTTCGAAGATTGGGAACTGTCGCTCTGAAGGGACTGCTTGAGAATAATAAACAAAATTACCAACTTCACAACGACACCTTAATGCAATACTCACTGCATAACCTTGATACTCGCGTTGCAACGTTTTATTATACGGCAGTATGTGATTCGCTTCTCAGAATGGAGTCCTTCATTCTCCCTGAGGACGATGTTGTATCTCTTGGCTTGAGCGGGCTTTACAACGAAAGCAATGAGGTTCGATCTTTCTCAATCGACATACTATCCGCTATTGAAACAAAAAATTACAAGTCTTCGTACACTAAAGTTTTTAAAGAGCGGCTGGCGAATGACTCTAAAACGGTATACAAGTCAACTGCAAAAGAGATTTCTACAATTTTCGCTGAGCTCCCCTCTGGTGAAGTACGCCTCAAGATTTTCTCGATAATGTGTCGGAATATCAACTTTCTGAAGTCTGAACTGAAACAAGACATATTAACCTTATTAGTACCATGGGTTCACAAATTCACTCTAAAAAACATTGATGATGCTGGAACTTTTATGGTTTTGAACAACCTTTTTGCCATCACTGTCGAGCACAATAATAGATACCCGATGGAGATAGAGCAGCTTTGGATATCTTTAGGCAAAGGCAATGGTTTCCAAAATATCCATGTGGCTCTTGACTACATCTTGAGTACGTCAATTTCATCACGCAATCCGAAATTTGTTAAAAGTGCGAAAGATGTTGTTCTCTACCTGGCCAATGTTCCCGGCGGCATGGGAGTTATTGATTCTTTTATGATAAACCTCGAACCCAAACATATGATTCCCGAAACAAGCTGTGCAAGACTTGAAATGCCCACAGGTGAAAAGTATGCTTTTGTCGCTAACGTTTGGAAACTGCTGGCCTACAGAGGAAAGGAAGTTGTATTTTCCAAGGCTCAACTTTCTATAATCTACCTGGTAAACCTTTTGACAATACCTAACGATTCCATGAAAAATAAGGTTCCTCTGCTGCTTCATATCTGTTTTTCTCTCATCGATCATTACGTGCCCATCATTCATGAAAGCGCGGCAAAGATTTTGTCCGATTTGATATTTGGTCTCGTCCCGACTCATGAGAAAGCGGAAGAGACTGTTTCATTGATCAAAGATAGGGCTCAAATTTGGGCTTACGACAACCTTGTCAGAGATAAGAATGGAGCCCGCTCCCCAAAGGCAATGGATTCATTGGTAAGAAATGTTGTCTCACTTTTCTCCACCTTTGAAAACCTGCAAATAGACTGGCAGAATATCGCTTTGAAGTGGGCAACGACGTGTCCGGTAAGGCATGTAGCCTGTCGTTCATTCCAGGTGTTTAGGTCACTATTAACCTTTTTAGACAAGCAAATGCTTCGAGACATGCTACACAGGCTCTCCAATACAGTTTCAGATGACAATCCTGAAATTCAAGGGTTTGCTATGCAGATTCTAATGACTCTGAATGCTGTGACGGCGGAATTGAGCCCCGCTAAGCTGATTGATTTCCCTCAGATGTTTTGGGCTTTAGTCGCGTGCTTGAGTAGTGTACACGAACAGGAATTTGTTGAGGTGCTTTCAAGTCTAACCAAGTTCGTGTCTAAAATCGATCTGGACTCTCCGGATACAGTTCAATGTTTGATTGCTACATTTCCATCTTCCTGGGAAGGAAGGTTTGATGGTTTGCAGCAAACTATCATGGGTGGTTTGCGATCTCACAACTCTTGGGATATAGCATTGGGATTTCTTGATCGATTGAATTTGTTCAAAGATAGCCGAATCATCGCCAACAGTAATTCTAGAGTCTTATTCGCTTTACTGGCCAATTTGCCACGGTTTCTCAATGCCATGGACGAGGAAGAATTTGATAGCGACATAAAGAAAGCGGCAGAATCTCTGATAGTGCTTGCCAACTCTAATAGTCAGCCATCTTTGGCACGCTTGGTTGACTCATTATCCAAAAATAAGTTTAGGTCCAAGAAAGACTTTTTGAGTCAGGTTGTGAGCTTTATTTCCCGAGTTTATTTTCCCGACTATTCAGCTCAGACATTAGTCTTTCTTATGGGTCTCCTCTTTAACAAAACTGATTGGGTTAAAACGCAAACATTGCAGCTTTTGCAGCATATAGTTCCACTAATTGATTTGAGCCGCCCAGAGTTTACCGGTGTGGGGGCTGATCTAATTTCTCCACTCTTGAGGCTTCTCCTGACCGAGTATGAGTCGCAAGCGCTCGAGGTACTGAATTCTGTTAGGAATGTTTCGGGAAGTAAGATGGACAAGGATGTCCTACGGATAAGCATGGGTAATAAAGATGCCAAAATTTCTTACAGCAGAACTGCGACTTTATTTGGTATACCCGAAGAAAGTGGTTGGTCAGTTCCCATGCCAACAATGACGGCAGCTACCACGAGACACAACGTACATGCTGTTTTCACGACTTGTTCTGATAATGCTAGCGATGATCCTGTTCAGCGTGAGCCAGACAATCTAGCCGATGTAGTTGAATTTCACGCAGATGGCGGCTATGCAGCAGCTACGACTGCTGAAATCAATGACACAACTTCAATTGTTGAAGATAAAGATGGTTCTTTAAGCCATATGTGGGCGGAACTGGACAACCTCGACACGTTTTTTACCACCGAAGCCGGTCTCCCCGAAGCCGAATTTGAATCAAAAATGTTCGAACATGGTCACTCTAACTCTGGTGACACTATGCACGCCGAAAATCCAAATGTTCTTGAGTCTGCCCCACAGATTTACGACAAGAAAGTGTCCGTGATTCTCAATCACAGCTTGACGAGAACCCCTTCTAACGTATCTTTCAAGACCAACCTGGCAGATTCATTCGGCACAAGTATGCATGGCGGACCTCATGTGTTGAAGGATAATGTTAGCTCTCAACACAGTCGTGTTGGCTCCAACCCAGCGAGATCGGTATCGAGTGGACAATTCCAGTCAGGAAAAACTGCTCCAAGAGCATCTCAGATTGCAGTACATCACGGCGGAGACACAATTTCTCCCACTAAAATAAAAGGTGCTGAGAATCCCGAACTCTTATTCAGATTTGAAGGAATCCTAAGAAATCCCAATAGGACAAAAAAAAAGTGGCAAAAACAGCAACACCAACAACAGCAACTACTTGCTCAAACCTTTCAAGACGAGCATGGAAGTTACAGTTATGAACGAGATTCTTCAGCAAGTCTCTCTCCCGTAATTGGAGGAAAAACGAGCCCTCCATTGTCCCCTGTTATAATAAGCAACGGAAAACACATACAGCCTGCTTCAAAGGACGTCACTAAACAGAAAGGCGCACAGAATAAGTCCAAAACACAAAAGCATCATTACCACTTACCACATTTTTCTAGTCGTCTATCAGATGGGAAGTTGACACCGCCTCTTTCAGGCTCATCTGCTGGCTTTTCCCTTCGTTCTTCTCCTTCTCCAAGACCGGCCAAGGTATCAGCGCCAAGCCTTCCATTGAGCGCACAGAGCCAGCTTTCAAAAAGGGTGAAATCTTTTCATGGTAAATCGAGGATGAGCACTGGGCTGGAGGGCACCTCATTCAGCCAAGAAACGCCCGTTCAAAAGCTGATGCAGGATAGAAATTTGGAGGACGATCTGATGATTGAAAAACAGCTTCTCTCATTACAAGACGAACTTCAAAATAGAACAGCGAGTGGGGACGTTAACTCTCAGTAGTTAACCTGTGTCGATATATACAATTGCCAAACATCGTCAATTCATTAAATTTATCTACATTACAAAAGCCCAATCCTGCGATTCTGTCAAGCTGCTGAGAAGGATAGCTTGAGGCGTCAAAGCTAGTCGTCAAAGCTAGTCATCTAAGTAGATTCAAACGTATGACCGGAATTTTTCACTTCACTGAGACATATAGGGAGGAAGATAACGTCCAAAAAGTTGAACGTCAAGCTGATCAAACGCCCCTGGAACATAGGATTCCGATGCGTTAGCATCAATTGGCGGCTCATACTCTTCTTTCGGAAGTGTATTGGAAGCCTGTGATATTATAGGTTTGTCTTCAGAGATATTATTATTACCTAGATCGAAAAAGTTGTCCATTTCCAGCACGTCGTTGTTCGCCCCACCGTAATCCTTATTCATCAGCATGCTTGAGCTATTCATCGTATTCATCGTGTTCATCATATTTACTCCGGAAATAGTTGAAGTGGTTTGTAAAGCGCTGTCTTGAGGATTTTCGAAAGCTAAGAGGTCCATATTGTTATTGTCTAAATTGTATGAGTTAGGTTCATTACCGACATTGATAGGAGGACTTTTAACGGGCACTTGGTCATTGGAATTAGGCATAGAAGCATTGTATTCATCTTGTTTTACGTGACTCCACTTTATTGTCTTCGAGTTGAATTTTTCGAATAACATGTTTAGCAGGTTGTATGTTCTATTAGCAGCCATACTCGTATCTTTCAAGTAGAGCAAAACGCTTTTTCCCATTTCAGCATCATTTTGTATTTCTCTGTATTCCGCTTCCCCATCGTCGTCGACAGGAGTAACTTCGTGAAGATAGAAAATTAGTCCCGCAACTGAAAAGAAAATATTGTAAATACTGAACCAGTAGGAACCCGTTAAGGTTTTCTTCTCCATCATCTTTTTTGCCAGCTTTACCACTGTGCGCGCAACTGATATACAGTTGCGTGCTCTTTGAATCGAAAGTGAATCTGTTGCTTTGGCCGGTAAAATTGCTGACAGGTAGTGGATAAACGGTCGATATAGAATGACCTGCACTTGAAGAAACGAAAGGTGCAAAAGTTGATTGGCCCTTTCATATTTGGAGGGTACATCACTCAACCCAGGAGTAAGCTCAGGGGGGAGATTGTCCAACCAGCGTCTCAGTTTGATTTCCAATTGAGTGACCACGTCGTGAGAAATTAGGCTATTTGTCTTTTTAACTGGGTAAAGCTCCGCGACTATGTTATCAAGTATCATTATCAGCCTCGTATGATGGTTAGCGATACCAGCAGATGAAAGAACGTCGCCTTGCTTATCATAGTCAAGACCTGTTTTAGTGATATACTCGTCGGTTAATTCTGCTGGAAAAGCCTGGTCAAAATCCCTTTGTGATACACTTCTTGGCAGTCCCAACATTGTATTCACGTAAACGTCCATTTTATAGATGGTGTAAAAAAGACGCTTTCGCATCTCAATTTCAATGGGATTGTAACCGTGAGTCTCCGTATTCAAATTGCGGTGCATTCCTTCCCGCAGTGCATTACGCATAGCCACTCCAATGTAAGTGTAGCAGGTAGAAAGCCTTGCGGAGCATTGTAGGAAAATAAACAGCATCACTATAGCTTGTAACGAATTCAAATCTCGGGCATTGGTTATATCAATTAGTTTGCGAGCTGCAACAAAATATTTGTAGCCCTCATCTTGCATGAATTGGTTTGGTGAGGATGCAGTATCTTCAGGAGTTGCATTTGCTGTCTTTTGCATGGACTTCGAAAACAATGCGCCGACGGCCATGACACTGTAACACAGAGGTAAGAAATGCATCTGCTCGTGGGTGTAGTCATGTGGATCTGTTTCATAAAGCTCATCGAGGTTAGCTATAAAGCTAGGTCGATGGTAGAAGCGGAATAGCACACAGCACTGCTCCCAAGTGACGTGAATAAAGTGAAGAGCCACTGGCTTAGGAGGCAGTATGATTTTGATTTCGCGGCCTTCCAGAGACTGAATAGAGCCATCAATGCCTTCAATTGCATCTGCCATAAACTCTGGCGTCATTGTTGCCGTTCCAGGATTTGTAACGGGAGATTCAGAGCTGTAATTGCCATCCTGTATACTGAGATGACGCTCCTTCAGGGCGTCCTGCATTGCCCTATTGGACGCGGTGAAGCTCTGGATAGTCTTTACAAACGCCGACACATCTAACTGCTCGATATTCGGCATTTGCGGGAACAGCTGGTTGAACAGGCTTTTGTATTTGGACAAGGATTGCATTTGCGCATTTCTATAAGTTCGGGTCAGACTGGAATTCGAGCGTTGCGGCCGTGGAAACGACGCCGAAACAGGTGCCCCGCTATCCTGTGATTTCAAGGGCCCCGTCGATACTGGTGTGCCAGTAGCCGGCTGTTGTGTCGAGACCCGCTTGCTTGGCTGGTTGTAAGTGCACTCGTACGAGTAAACAGTGCAATGTATGCACGGTTGCTGGCCATCGCATTTGACTTTCTTCTTTCGACATTCGTCACAAGCACGAGTCACACGGCGCCGTTTGTTTTGTGTGTCCGACATCAGCGGGTCGTTTTGGAGCTAGCTAGTGCGATGATCTTGCAAATCTTGGTTTGCTTGTCTTTTTCTGAAATTAAAACCTACAGGAACACCAACTGGTAAACCCACAACGCACAGTTGAGATCATTAGCACCACCAAAGAAACTCTTTGCAAGCACTGGTCTCTTATATTACATATCCTTAAAGGAGCGCTTTTCGTCCAGACTTTTTTACTTGAGGCATTTTCTTCATACATACAATGCGCTAGAAGGTACAAGTAAATTCCAGAGCTAGTTTACACGTGAGATTTTTTTGATGCAAAAGGGAGGAGATCAACAAGTTAATTGACGCATTGTTCCTAAATTACTGAATGCTACCATCCTTCTTGGCAATTTGAAATGATGCCGAGACATTTGCATCCGAAAAGATCTTCGGAGAATACTTGAAGATACATATTTGGAAATCGCGTTGCGGCAAGCTACTGAGATTGATGCGACACCTTACTGTCTTATACGTGAGCTCCTCTTCTTTACATTCTGTGCACTACTTGGACCGGTAATCCTACGAGTTCAGTTTGTAGTTAATTTTCGGGGACACTGCATATGGCAAAAAAAAAAGGCGATGGCGTGAGAATCGGCTCTTGAGAAGGCCCATACATTTGTGCTGAATATGTGTGACAAAACAATACACGCCTTAGTGCCACCACATCTTAAGATATTGTTGTTGCGTGCGGCGTGGATTATCATGATCACTTCGTACCGTTCTGTCGCGGTTGCGTGAAAAGCAAAAAAAACTCACACACAAGTTGACATATAGCGCTCAATTAGCGCGATGATCCGTCCGTGTCGCAAGGAAAAATCAATAGAATCCTTCTCGGCATCGGATTGGCGTTGTCTAAAAATCGCAACTTCATTTGTAGGTAAGGGTCTCGGCATCCGAAATAATGGCCACTCTGCAAAAATCTCCAGGCTTGGCGTCTCCGGTCTGGTGAAAAGATGAAAGCGAGGTAATCTCAGTAGATATGCCAAAAATTATTCGCTATGTAGTCTATTGCGCTGGCTGGGGTATTAGTTAAAAGCGCTGTTTTTTGCGGCGTCAAGGCGCGGTCTTCGAGTGGCTGAAACAAGACTCGAAAAGCCTGATCCTGTTCCCCTGCGATATCTACGTGTTCTAGCCAAGTACCAGGTGCTTTGGGAACAATACACACAGATAAATGAGCGAGCAAGAATCACCATATCACCACATACGGGATACGCTCGCCTCATCGCTATATACTAGTCGCTCTCCATCATGCCCATGCCGTTTTGGTGCGTGAGCCCTACATCTGAAATAGCTCAATTTTAGTGCAGAGCGCGATTTTTCGCTGCATTTAACTTGCGCCGTTTGACTTTCTGCAACCTGCGATAACTATTCCGTCGAGGAATAGTTATATGCTTTTAATCCCGCACTGGCCAGATGCGCCATGAGCAGAGCAGATCACTTTGTACCTTCGAGTCGTTGGATACCACATTCGCCAGTCCGGATACCAAAATCTGAATGCTGAACCTTGAGTCCAGTACAGTCAAACTGGAGGTTAACGTTCGTAATCGAAGTGAGGGAAATTTTGGATAGCTTGATCATTGTGAAAAACCTGCCGACTTTGCAAAAAGACCGTTGCATAGGCTCCAAATTCTGGGAAATCCGCCCTAAAATCACACGCCTACAGAACAATAAGGGCGTTGGCAACATGGTCTGTAACAAAGCGCGACAACTCTCAACCCTACGCAGAGCTGTTCTAAAGTGTCGAGTCACACTTTAATCACATGTCCTATCTATATATATTTCATGTAATATATTCTTTCTTTAATTTTGTTTGTTTTTTAATTTTAATTTAATTTAATTTAATTTAAATTTGAATATTTTTTAATTTTTCCCCAAAAACCTGCTTAGTAAGCATGTCATCGCCGACGGAGTACGAAAACTGTTTTGTCAACAACCTGTTCGTGAGCAGTGACTTCAGGACTGTCAACAGAAAAACAAAACAAAAACATACATCATCCAAAGAGAGTTAGTACAGGCCAAATCTGAAATTCAAAGAGGCATCGGGCGCTACAAACGACGTTTTGAGCAGCACCATCGGCGGCTACCGAGAAGTTAACAAACCGCGTGGTTTATACAAGCGGTTCCTAGAAAGTGACAATATTCTGTCTGTTTTGGAGAGAAGGTTAGCACCACAGTAATACTAAAAGCCATACTAACGGCTGTTCAAAGTTCGCCGCACAAGTTCTGGCATCAACGTTCCATCACGAACAATTTAGTAATTGTCACTGTGGAGCCTGAGAACCAGAGCGGAATTTGTCGTCTTATGAGTGCTCCCAAGGGCCAACAGCTGGGAAGCTCACAGCAAAATCAAGTATGTGTGTGATCGCGGCAAAAAGCGTTGAATAAGTGGTTTTTCTTTCAGCAAGCATGTTTTGAGTGACCAACGTAGCTTTAGAGACTTGGCAAAGCTGGAACAAGCACGGCTTGCGGGTGTGTGAATACGGCTGTGCTGACTGATTACCTTAAATGCTCCTGAATCATTGCTTCCGGAGTGCGGATCATGCGTTACGACCGCTAATGTCTGTCATCCAAAAGTGATATAGCAGCGCTAAGTCTCTAATCCATTCACATTTTAGAGCTTTATTGTCCCTTCTTTTCTGGCAATCTTACTAACATTTACACCCCGCTTTTTTTTTAACCCAGGATCTTATAAATGCGGTAATCTCGGTGCTGGGCACCCCCGAACAACCTACCACTGTGGCCAGCGTTCACTCCAACGAGCGCAACCTGGCAACAGAGGTACAGGCTTATGCCAAAATCGCCGGACGTGACTGGACTTTGTACGTCAAGCACCTGGTACTAACTATTGGGCGAAATACGGACCCACAAGATCAGACCGTTGACATAGATCTGGGACCTGCAAAAGTTGTATCGCGTAAACACGCAACAATCAAATACAATCTGAGTGGTGGATTTTGGGAGCTGCAGGTCCAAGGCCGGAATGGTGCAAAAGTCGATTTCAAACGTGTTGGCGCCGGACCGCAGGCCGATCCAGTGCAACTGCAGTCCGGATCGATCTTGGACATTGGTGGAACTCAAATGATGTTTATCTTACCCGACCGAGGACCTTTCGTCGAACAATCGGTGTTAGATCACCTTACTCCAAAACTCAATGCTATGTATGGCGCTACCACAACCAATCCACTGCTTCAAGATCTCCTGAAAGACGTTTCGCAGCCTAAGAATGCTGTAAAAGCTTTCCGCATGTACAACACTTACGAAAATCCGTACGGCACAAACTCTACGGGAAGCTCATATAACTCGCCTCAAATAGGCGCCGGTTATGGTTCCATCATGGACCCTAGCTTTTCTGGGGCCAACGACATGGCGTCAGACCTATCACGAGAAGAAAACAAGAATGTCAAGCCTCCATTTTCGTATGCTACAATGATTACACAAGCTATCTTGTCGAACGCTGAAGGAGTTTTGTCACTGGCAGACATCTACAAGTACATCTCTTCAAACTTTGCGTACTATCGCTACGCAAAGACTGGCTGGCAAAATTCTATTAGACATAATTTATCTTTGAACAAAGCGTTTGAGAAAGTTCCTAGAAAGCCAAATGAACCGGGAAAAGGTATGAAATGGCGAATCAGTAAAGATTACCAGAAAGACTTTATGGATAAATGGCAATCTGGCAAAATCTCAAAAGTGAGAAGAGGCTCGTCAGTCGCAAGACAATTACAGTTGCACATGACTAAATTCAATACTTTGCCTCTCCAGGGCTCGTCCGGCGGGACTGGCAATCATACCATTTCAAATAATCAGCCTGTCCAGGTTTCTGATCCATCGCAAGACCTACAACAACGGCATGATGATACCTCGCTGCTAGCTCAGGAAGATTCAAACTCTGGAAATAACAATCTAGAACAATTAGGAAAACAGGGCGGGCGGCAGATAGGAATTCCAGAGCACAAAGAAGAGCAGGATCAGCACGGACACCAACAGTTGAGGCCAGAACATGAGCGACCTGCTCCACATCTTCACAAGCAGCCCCAGGATCACCTACAACATCAACCTACTGCATCTGCGCAGCTTTACAAGTCCTTACATCCCCCGACCACACTACCACCAGCATCCTCACTGTCACCGCTGGCACCTCAAAGGCCCTCCTCGCCACAAATGCAGCCGCCACTGAATATACCTGTTAGACAATCTTCCTCCACATTTCCAACACTGCCGCGTCCTACAACGCGTCCAACGACTTCCCATATGCAAATGGGTAGCAGTCTGCCCGGTTCGGCTACACGACTATCTCCTGGCCAGGATTCCCTTTTGAGGTCGCCTACGCGTCCTTTCCACATTACGGCAATGGAGGCATATACTCCGGAGCGAGGCAGTGGGCAAGCTAATCGCTCACCAAATGGAACAAACTCACAGCAATTGAACATTGACACCAGAGCCTCTACTCGACAACCGCCCCAAACGGCCCAAAGCTCACCAGGAGTTTGGAATTTATTACAATTCAGCTCTGTGAATAATACGCCTGCTGGATTTCGAGCATTAGAAGAAGCTGCTCAATCTAACAGTTTAAATGAGGGTCCCAGGATCTTGCAGCCTGGACTTCAAACGGGGAGAATTTCACAAGATATGAACGGTAAACTTCCAACTCTACACATCAATGGCAACCCCGCTGCTCCTGATAAACTCAAGAGCCGAGATGATCGTTCGGAATTTGTATCTTCGCCTATTAAGAACCATAACAGGGATGGATCGAAAGGAGTTAAAGACCTCATGCTTGATATAGAGGGTGCAAAGGTCAGTGTAGTCAAGGACCGCTGAATGGTGTATAGTCGTTTGAAATTTGAAAACTGAAATTAAGAGTGAGAGATTTATTCGGACCTTATGGAACTGTATTAATGTAGATTTTGAGTATCGAAAGTGTAATAAATTAATGCTATAGTTGTTATGTGGGAGGCAATGATTGCCAAGCTGAACAGAGTGAGCAAAGAAGCCATCTTGAGATAAGAGTGTCGCATCGGTATGTAACATATAGTTCTTGCCAGCCACAATTAAAAAAATACTCAGTATCCTTCGACCTGGGCGGCTAATCCTATTTTTATTTATTTTTTTCGTTAATATTCATGGCACCCTACACGAATACTCATTAAACAGTATTTGATACACTAGTAACTATCCTCTAGATAGATTCCTGTGACAGCAACACGAGGAGCTGCTGAATCCTGTCTCGCTGTCACTTCAGTGCGAATCTTAGGCCATACATTCTTCGACAGTAACCTTATAAGAGGCATTGCCAAGTCCAAGACTGCGCGGCCACATATGGCAGAAACGCCATCAGAATCAATTTCCGCGGATAAAGTAGTGGTATGGTATAGTTCTAGCGAGCAGAGCATCTCCGCAACAATGGCCGATTTTCTCAATGACAATGGGGTGACCCCGAGCGTCAGAACGCTGTACTTCATTGATGCAATGGGCCGGTTCCCAATAAAAGAGTTCTGTCAGCTTTTACCGCCCCAGGAAAACGGCGCCTTGTTTGAAAACGTGCGCGTTATGGCCAGTTTAGACTTGGGAGAGCTGATCGATGTGGTTGGCAAAATCGCGCAGTTTACCCAAGTGGCACGGTCGGCGCATTCACGAGACCCTGTAAAATCCCCGAGCCCTCAAGTGCTAGTCTTCCTGCGAGGTCTGGACGTCATGTTCCGTAACACTGCATTGAGGGACCAAAGTCGGGCGCATCTGCTGCTCAGGGATATCATGCTACGTCTCCGCATGATTGCAAAGTCTTCAACTTCTACCACGAAAACTATTGTGCTTTTCCCCGCTTTTCACAATACAAATGAGAGTTCTGCAGACGCCTCACAACCGCCTTCCAAGAAACACAAAATGAATCCCAGCTCTCTTAACAATAACTCCCTCGCCGCCTACATCAGCAAATACTATGCGGATCGTATCGTAGTTCTTGGGAAGCCCTGATGCGCTAGGGCCAAACTCGTTAATAACGAGCTCTCACATTTTCTTGTGACTGTCTTTTCTGTGACAACATCCGTGACTTTTCAATAAGGCACAAAATTAATGGAAACTTTTCCAGAATGCAATTTTTTGCGTCGGTGCGTTTTTGTGAGTCTGAATTTATGTGAGCTCAGCGCAGCCCACGCCTGAACCGACTCGTCGCAAGGACTCTCTGCCTACACTCGGCCTAGCCTCGATGGCTCTCCGCCCGGGCTTGGTGACTGTCTCTGCCCAGTGCTAGACTGGTCCACCGTCTGGTTCCCGCTGAGCTCTGCCTAGCGGCCCTGTCAGCCCTGCCTAGCTCTCAGCCTGCACCAACGGTCGGCTACTGGCACGCTCTTGCCATCGATTGTGGATTCTGGCTCTCTGGCACTGGCAACACCACACGGTTGATTGGGAAAAAACAAGTTTGAAATTTGACCATTGGTATACTTGTTCCACAGCCAGAAGCAACTAAGCACAACCAATAGAGATGTCTTCTTTCGAGCCAGTTGTTGTTATTGATGGTACGTTACGCATTCAACGTGGGAACTGAGACTTTAAGGATGAAATTGCGGCAAATCTGGTGGGTTTGACGATTGTCAGCGGGAACATAAGCGTCTGGGACTTGGCTGACAATAGCGCTGAATAACTCGTGGTTTTACAAAGGAGCTATGGCGGGAGTCTTTAGGGAGGGTCCGATAGCGTCCAGATTTACTCAAGATGAAAACAAACGAAATGAGACCATCGCCACAATCGATCGCACCAGCTGTGCATTTTCACCGCGTCTCCCATATTGATCCATTATACTAACCGCATTTTACAGGTAAGGGCCATTTGCTAGGTCGTTTGGCCTCAACTGTTGCTAAGCAATTGTTGAACGGCCAAAAGATCGTTGTCGTTAGAGCTGAGTCTTTGAACATCTCTGGTGAGTTCTTCAGAAACAAGTTAAAGTACCACGACTACTTGAGAAAGGCTACTCGTTTCAACAAGACCCGTGGTCCTTTCCACTTCAGAGCCCCATCTAGAATCTTCTACAAGGCTGTCCGTGGTATGGTTTCCCACAAGACCGCCCGTGGTAAGGCTGCCATGGAACGTTTAAAGGTTTTCGAAGGTGTTCCACCTCCATACGACAAGAAGAAGAGAGTTGTTGTCCCACAAGCCTTGAGAGTCTTGAGATTGAAGCCAGGCAGAAAGTACACCACCGTTGGTAAGTTGTCTACCTCTGTCGGTTGGAAATACGAAGACGTTGTCGCCAAGTTGGAAGAAAAGAGAAAGGTCAGATCCGCCGAGTACTACGCCAAGAAGAAGGCTTTCAACAAGAAGGCCATCGCTGCTAACGCCGCCACCGCCGAATCTGAAGTTGCTCAAAAATTGGCCACTTTCGGTTACTAAATTTCATGAATTGTGTAAAAACAAATCTCAATCATCAATCCTACAGTTTTTTGTATAACTAAAACTAATAAAATTGGAAAGTTTTATTTGCCTCATTTTCGTTTGGCATATCACTGCAGATGCAGTGTACGGTAATCAAAGCCAATGCCGTAAATTCTCGTATATACAAAATGTTATACAAGTGGATGGAATAGCTCTAAGTAAGTTAGCCGACAATCCCTTGTATAGACCACGGATTCCATCTTTGCCGTAGATTGATTGGACTAAAGTCCATAATTTGTACGTCTTCCGGTTTTCAATAGCATCAAAACTTTGTAAATTGGATTTCAGTAATTGCAGAGGGTAGACTGCCGTAACTGATACCATTTTGCTTACAGAGGTGAGTCCTATGTTTTCGGCATTGCCCAGCTTTTCTTCTTTCCTTATTCCCTTTCTTGCGAAGTATCGATGTTTTAATGAATCATAAGCAGCAAAGTATATGGCACCTTGAGCAACACCAAATAACGAGGGCGTTAGCCCTCTCCAAAAACCTTGGTAACCTTCCTTTTCATAAATCTTAACGATCCCATCCCAAGTTGATTTATATCTTCTCTGGGCATAGGCGCTTGTGGACATTAATCTAGTCTTCACGACCCATAAAGGATTGGTGAGCACCGCAGTTGTTACACCACTCAAAGCCGCAGAAGTGAGGTAGAGTAGAGGCCCCATTCGACTATCATTTTGAAATGCATTGTGTTCTTGAGCATTGTTATCAATCCATAATTTGAAGACCAAATCCTTTGAATAGCGATATAGCCCAAAATACAACCCCCAGGCCAGTGAATTGCCAAGTAAGTTAACACCAAGTCCTCTATAGGCTTCGCGTATTACGTTGTTGTGCTTCTTAGAGTCTCCAACGATCGTTCTGATTACTTCTGCGTACCCAAGTGAAGAATTGGTAGTTGCCAAGAGCTGAAGACGTAATTTAATCAGATCCAAGGGATGTGTAGCGATCGTAGTCACAGTGCCTGCCGTTAAACCGGCCAAAATTTCCCTTTGCAAAGACGAAAGGCCATCGCTCATTTGTCGATTGTTCCTGTGACGTTGTCCAATTGAATTAAACGTTGCGATAATTAGTCAGTTAAGATAACTTTAGTGTCTCCAGAATCTTTAAAGTGACAAATAATTCGTCACGGACAATGTTCAGAATCAAATGACATCGCCTTGAGTATTTTCTTGAATAAAGACTCAAAGCTCCGTTTTTCATTCATTACTCATATATACAAGCAACATATTACACTATATGCAGACATAATCTTGTTCAATCCTCCAGAAAGTAAGCTGATTAAACGCTTGGCAGGGGACTCAATAGACTGAATAGGTTAGGTCTGTTAGAGGTATGAGCCCATCCTAAATATAGCACGAATGGCAACCAACCATAGTGAGCCACGGTTTGAGACAAACTAAAGATCTTGGTCATACGCTCTTTGGATTCGTCGCTTAGAATAAAGGATGGTAGGTAAGCCATTTTTGAAGAGGGGTAGTGCTTAAGTTCGATTGAAGCCTTGTGACGTTTAGTCTAATACGTGGTAGTTATTCACAACCTACTTCACTATTTACTAACACAACTTTTTCAATTTTGACATGATGAAAATTTGTAAAACTCGTGCTTATAAGAAATCAAGGCAATTGAGTACAGCCGTACTCATCCTCGGCTCTTAAATCCAATATTGGATTGTGACGCTTGTTGGACACCTTGCGAAAACCTCAATTATATGTAATGTATATGTGTGCGAATGGCATTAGGCTCCCAATTTAGTTTACAAGTTTTTAAAGAATATTTCGAAAAAAAGGTTTGGTTTACCGGTTTAAAATTAGCCTTTACAGCAAACAACCATCTTATAATAGCATTTCCAATGGGTTTTCAATGACCTTTTTCAACTCCCTCATGAAATCACCAGCTTTGGCACCGTCAATGGTTCTGTGGTCGAAAGTACCGGTGATGTTCATCTTGTTGTCGAAAGAGAAACCGTATTCGGCACCAGCGTCTTCAACGGGAACTCTTTGGACAGTACCAATGGCCAAAATGGTGGATTGTGGTGGATTGATAATTGAAGTGAACATTGAGACCGCGTTGTTCATACCCATGTTAGAGATGCAGATAGTGCCGCCTTGGAATTCTTCTGGCTTCAACTTGTTGATCTTGGCGCGCTTGCCGAGCTCTTTAATCTCTTGAGAGATGGAAATCAAACCCTTGGAATCGGCATTCTTGACGATAGGGGTTAGTAGCCCTTGTGGGGTGGCGACGGCCACGGAAACATCCACGTTCTTGAATCTTCTGATAACACCTTCAGCTGGCATCCAGTAGGCATTAGCATCTGGAACTCTTTGAGCAGCCACCGTGATGGCCTTGATCAACATGTCGTTCACAGATAATTTGTATTGGTCTTTGCCAGAGGCATTCAAAGAAGTTCTCAACTTCAATAGCTTCGAAACAGAAATTTGAGAAGACACAATGTATGATGGAGTACCAGAAGTAGATTCTAGTAGGCGATCGCCAATGATCTTTCTCATGGTAGTGATAGGGATGTCCTCGTATTGGGCGGAAGCTGGAGCGGGGCTACCTGAAGCTGAAGGAGCAGACGCGGCAGGAGCTTTCTTTAAAAATTCCTCTACGTCAGATTTGGTGATTCTACCGTTTGGACCGGTACCGGTAATAGATTTCAAGGAAATGCCCTTCTCCAAAGCGATGGTTTTAGCCAAAGGAGACGCAATGATTCTGTCGCTTGGAGCAGTAGCAGTGCCGGAGGACTTCTTGGCGGCTGGCTTAGAGGAGCCAGTGTCGGAGGAAGGCGTTTCCTTCTTTGGTTCCTCTTTCTTCGCCTCTGGGGCCGCTTGGCCAGCACTGGAGTCTTCGACGGTGAAGTCTTTAAAAGCGCCAACATCGCTCTCTTCCTCGACGTAGACAGCAATGGGTTTGCCGACTGGCAAGTCCTTTGTGCCCTCAGGAACCAAGATCTTGGCTAAGTACCCGTCTTCTTGGAATTCGAACTCCATCTGGGCCTTGTCGGTTTCAATCTCGGCCAAAACACAGCCAGGCTCCAACTGGTCACCAACCTGCTTGGACCACACGGCCACACTACCTTGTGTCATTGTAGGCGACAAGGCTGGCATGCCAATCACGGTGTGTGGGGGGTACGAGGCGTATGTTCTTAGTTGCAGTCTTGCAGAGCGCAAGATCGATGCTCTAACCCTTGGGATAGTGCGGATAAAGGCAGACATTGATTGCTATATTCTGGGCTCGGTCAACAAGCTAAAAAGGGTTCTCTTGTGTTGATGATATATTCTAACAATGGGTTTTCGATGGGAGGTCCTATTCTGGCGAAAATCCTCCAGTAATTGCTTCCTTCTACCTAAAAACTCTAATCCGTAGATTAAAACAACTCAAGTCTCGGATGTAGTGTCTTTCCAACTTCTATCTCCTCGTTTAAGACCTGATCTTCCTTTTATCGTTTCCAGGGTCGTTGTGTTCCTCCTTTTTATATTCACCTATCAATTTGGCTTATTCGCAGATTGAAAAATTTTAGATGGCCAATGGGAAGAAACTTCAGATTTCAGATCACGATTGACGTATTTGGCGGAATGATGCGATGAGAGCGGCTAATCTGGACTTGTCAGCGCGTGTTTGAGTGTTTCGCCAGCATACTAGATCTTTAAAAGATCGTGAAGCTGAACCATGCCGCTGCGAGGCTTCGGACGGGAAACAATTGTTTAGGATTGGACAAATTTTGTTTAAAAAGTCACAGATAGGACCACACGAAGCACGGTAGTTGAATGTGTGGGGTTTAAAAGGTGTTTTCATGGCTAGGTGAATTGCTTGCTTAAACCAAGACCGCGGCTTTCTCTCTCTCCCTTTCAAAACAAATTGTCCCTTTTTATGCTTGGTGAAACGGCGTCTCTTCTTGTCATTAACATCTTGAAAGACGATGCGCTGTCATTGCCGGGCATCTGCAATTTATTTTTCCGGATCGGATGTGCGACAGCACTAGGTTCCAGAGATTCCTGTCAGGCGCTCTCAACTCGCGACTAGAAATGTAGTTCTCCATGCTAGATCTTGCGCCTTGGTTTAAATGGCAACCAAAGATTCCTTACAGGTCCCTCTGAATTTTGACCAAAAAAAATGGCTCGGAAGCGTGTTGTCATTAGACCTGCACGAATCATATCGCATCTCGATTATTTCGTTGTTTACACTCTGGACAGCGCGTGGGGGTGTTGATTTGCTGCTTGGTCTCGAGCCTACTCCACCCCATACCAATTGTCCAGTGTCACTGCTTTGGGAGGAGCCGCAAACATGGCGGAGACTGACTGTGAACCCTTTCCTAGGTGATCGTCCTCCCACTCTATCGGAACGGCGTCTGGACTTTTATCCAATAAAGTCTGTGCAGTTTGCCAAGAGAATCTCACCATATTCGAAGGCCAACCGAACAGCAGAGTACGATTAGAACGAAGCCACGCAGTTGTTTTTGCATCAGATGGATACCCAGAGCCTATAACCTCATTATCATACCTCTTGAGTAAATCAACAAGTACATCACGCGTTACTTTCGCAACAACACTAGCCACACTCACCACACAGTAAAGAGAATCTGCTTTCTTGGCGACCGTAAACTTTATGTTGGGAAATATCGACTCGAGTTTCTTCTGGTAGGATGCTGGAGGTCCAACTGTATCAACGTAGACATGTTCTATCGAAACTCCTTTGTCCACCACACCTTTTATCAATGCGATTGTGACATCGTGGGCCTGCTCATTCAAATTGTAGTTCTTCTCCGGTGGAAATCGCAGCATGCCGCTAGAAATATCGCAAGCTGAAATACAAGTTGTTGCATAACCAGCTTGATCTATCTCGCCAGTGTACATTCGCTGAAACAGGTCTCTTCTTATTGGATCTGTGAGCCTTTTGGAGTCATCAAACGCGTACCGCTTTTTCAGCACTTCATCTTGGTATTCTTTTGTACAATAACTAATGCCATACACCATTGGTCCAATTACCGGACCACGCCCTGCTTCATCAACCCCCAGAATCACGGAACACCCAGATTCTTTGATGCTTGTAGGGACCTCGGAATAAAATGTTCGGGAGTGTAGCGAATCCTTCGCGCCTGCCACGGTCGGTGGCAAAACAACTATTGGCTCAGACGACTTGCTGCATGGAATTGATTCGGGAGTGGCGGCCATTACGCTAAATTGTCTCTGGTTCTCTTTCAATCAAAGTTTGATAAATTAAGTTGGAAATAAGCTTTTCGTGTCGGAAAATGTCCAAACGATAAAGAATTATATGGCATCGATGGCTCGAGACAGCTCGACATTTCAGTCATGAGGAATGGATGTTTCCCGAAAGTCGTAATTATAATTTATTACTGAATATGTACAAGAATTGGTGTAATTTATTGTCTACCGATATCATCAATAGTGCCAAAACTTAAGACCCGCTCTATCCTTGTGTTTTCAGTCAAAAGCATGCACAGACGGTCTATACCCAACCCAAAACCTCCAATGGGGGGCATGCCCCACTTCATAGCCTCGATGTAAGAATGATCGATAGCAAGGGACTCTTTATCCCCATACTTATCGTGAGCTCCCTGCTGCAGTTCAAATTTTTGTAACTGAGATTCCGGACAGTTTTCCTCCTCATATGCATTTATGTACTCTTTCCCACCAATAAACACCTCGAATCTTTTAGCGGTGAGTGCATTGTCCATTGGATTTCCCTTCGCCAGCGGAGACATGGCAGCGGGGTGATGATAAATGAGAGTAGGCACTATACCCATGCAATATTTTTCTTCGATGAAAGCAGCACACAGCATGTTCATAGTCTGCTGTGGAGACTTGCCATCTACTTCCATATTTATTCCTTTAGAGGCCATAGCTTTACGGATATGTTCAGAACTGTTCAAATCAATGTTGCTGAGATCTAGCGAAGCTTCCTTAACCAAAGTCGGCAAAAACTCTATCCGATTAAACTTCCCACCATTTTCAAGTAAGGCTTCTTTTAATTCTTTCGCTCTTGGCGTATCGACGCGATCCAAAACGTGGATGTACAGTTTTTCACTGAGTTCAATAAGGGCTTCCATCGAAGCATAGGACTGGTAAAATTCTAAGGTTGTGAACTCTGCGTTGTGAGTAGCGTCCACTCCCTCATTGCGGAATACTTTGCCTACTTCATAAACGCGGTCCATACCACCGATTATCAATCTTTTTAGCCACAGTTCTGGTGCGACACGTAGCTCCAAAGAAGTATCGGTGGCCTGTGCATAGGTCGAAAATGGCTCCGCAGCAGCCCCGTTAGCTTTCGGGGACAGTATAGGAGTCTCAACTTCAATAAAAGCGCGCATATTGAGAAATTCGCGAATGGCAGATATGACTTTATGACGAATAATTAAGGAATCGTGCCCATTAACCAAGTAGTCCAGCACTCGGTTCTGGTTGCGCTTTGTAGTGTCAGACAGTTTGGGTGGTAATGCGTGCATAGCAGGCGCCAGTATCGTGGTCAATTGCGTACACTTCAATGAGAAAGTGTGTTCCCGCTGAGAAAATCCAGGGAAGCCGCAAACCTGTATATGGTCCCCCGGTTTCAAGTTCTGGATGTGCTGAAAGAATTGGTCCTTGGTTGGAAGAGAAACGTCTGGAGCGTGGGTTTTCATGACACTATAGTTCAATATGAGCTGCATGGGGCTTTTGCCGTGGGTCACATCGAGGAAGCACATATTTTTGCCGGCAACGCGAATGGAATTAATACGCGCGCGCAGAGTCTCGATGGAATTCGGATCATCCTGCTGGAGATGTGCATACTTGTGTTTAAACTCAGCTACTGAAGTGGTAGCCGCTGCCAATTGCGAGAGCGATGGGTAAAAAAGACTAGTATTTTTCGAAATGATTCCATTTCTGCGTGTGAAGTCCAGCACTTGCGCGTCTGTGATGCTTGAGTAGCCTCGTACCTTAGACGCGAGCGACCAGCGAAGCATCGTTTTTGCTGAGTCGCGTTTTCAGTCTGTGCAGTCTGTATCTGCCACGAGGTTTCTTTGCAAGAGCTGTGGACGGAAACTTGAGAAGAAGAGTTCGTTTTGCATGACGACGACAAAATCCACACATTGTGCGTTCAGCGCGTTCAGTTTCTACATAGCAGTTACCAAGTTTTGTTTTCGCTCAGTCGTGTGTTAATAGTTGTTTTCCGGTTACTGTAGTTAAACAGGTATCAATACGATAACGCAGTATTATGATCATCGTTGCGAGAACAAGTTTCAAGAGACTAAAAAAATCTAATCGAAGTTGCCGTTGAGAGTCGCTGAACTTCTGTTCGAGACGAGACTTGCAATGACAGGTCGACGTGAGAAGCGCACTGGCTAATTACTGGAAACGGCCTTTCCTAAGGCCTCGGGATTGTTCGCTTCTTACGTGAGAGCTGGTATGTTTTTCACTTTTCTTGTGCGCTTTTATATAGTCAAGTTCAGCGGCCGGGTAATCCCAGCCATTGCTGAAAGACAAGTTGATGGTAACAAGGTATAAGGGCAACGGCTAGACAGAATCAACTAAACGTGCAGACCCAGACGCGGGCGCCTCACTATAAGCCTGTTGGTTTAAAAATTGATTGAATGGCTTTCAATTATTTGTGTAATAAGAACTGTATAGTTCAAAAAATAAAGGTCCTACCCGGATTCGAACTGGGGTTGTTCGGATCAGAACCGAACGTGATAACCACTACACTATAGGACCCGTTAGTTGGGATTAGAGTTGTAAGGACGCTATATATCGATCTGTTGAGGCTAAGATTGAGTAGTTGCCGTTGTTTGTGATCTGGGCAGATCTCTCTTTCTCCCCCGATAGACACACATAGAGGATAAATTCATCCGCTATGTAGATCTCCCCCACCATCGGGTGCCATTCTTAAGAGTCTATACCACAGGGAGGACAGAACCTGATGTAGCCGCCGACCGTTCAAGCTGTTCTTCTTGTCTGTAGCCCACGCACCGACCCGCTCTCGACCTCGGCGGCTAAATCTCGTTGTTGTGTTGCTATTTTTCCAGGGGCCTAACAAGTATAAGAACAAGAGACCTGGGATGTTTCAAGACATGTACACAAAGTAACCGCTGTCTCAGAGAGAGAGAGAGAGAGAGAGAGAGAGAGAGAGAGAGAGAGATGACAGGAAGGAAAAAGGTTCTACCAGGTTGGCGGCGCGAAATCATGCTCTGATACGTCCTCGTTGTGTCGGCCAATACCCACTCTGCCACAAAGAAGAAGCGCCAAACGACGCCCCCCTTTCGCACGTGATATACACGTGTTCTGCGTTTTGTCGCTATCCACGTGTCCGTTCCGGATCTTGGTTTTGTTATCCTTTTTTAGAACTGAACCCAAAAAAAAAAAGGACCGCGAGTCACTTCAGACGTTCATTCACCGGTATCTCGCTGGTGTCACGCTGCACGTTATGTTGGAACACACGTCGAAATTGAAACACAGGCCCAACACACGGGGCCTGGGTGCGCTTCCTCCTTTTCCTCGTCCCCTTCTCAAATTCGCGGCTTTTCGTGAGAGGAAGATGAGCGCATAGGCGGGAGCATTCCTGTTTTCTCATTCTGTAAGCTAGCGTGTTCCGAGGATGTGTGTGAGATTGTGCTTAGCTGAGCAAAACAACAGAGAAATACTCGCCACAGCCTCTCGCTCTAATCGCAGTGGTAGTGTAAGTGATCTTGCAGTTTCCTGGCAACCGAGGTCCTTTTTTTTTTTCTTCCCGTTTTGATTTGTTCACTGGAAACTTTGTGTGTGCGGTGATAATGACAATCTCGGTGACTTTTATTCTATTAGTGGGAAACATTAAAGTGGCTTTTTACCAGTTAAGACGTTATAATTTGCAACTAAGACGTTTGTTGTGAGTTGCACAGCTTTAGCAGGGCAAACACTAAGCGCACTTTCGTTCACAGCAGCAGAGACTCAAGTTCGACAATAAGTTGAAGAGATCGTAGAGAGAAACCACGGAAATTAGTAACGTTTTTTTCACTCTCCCCTTCGACCCCCGTTTTTTGAAAAACATTTGATTCTGGACGCTTTGAAGATACACAACTCCTCCAACAAATAGCGTTGACCATGGACTTTGAAGACCAGAGATACGAGGACGCCTCTGCCGAGCTGCCTGGCGTGGATGACAACGAAGAACAGCCGATGATCTTCGAGCGCAACGTGGAGGACCCATACCAGCACGTCTGCTCCCAGGAACGCGCAAACCGCCCCGGTTCTTCCCGCACCAGTTCGTTTGTCAGCTCACCATCCGGCCTAAGCTCTCATCGTGGATCGTTTTCCCAACAGCCGCTTCAACCGGCTTCACAGCAACATCAAACTTTGGTCCAAGACGGAACAAAACGTGCCTCCACTGGCGACGAAATCGCATACAAGCATTCAAGTCGCCACGCGCTGGAAGACTTGGTTGCTCCAGCGCTTGACGCATCTGCGTCGCTTGTCACTGACAAAGACACCGACCTTGACAATGTCGAAATGATATATTCCGGAAGACCACCTTCCACACTAGGCTTGGACCGAGCTTTGGGTCGCACCCGCACAAACTCCATCCAGAACTTGCCACAGCTGTCAAGAGCTAACAGCAATGCCAGTGCCGGTAGTATGGCCAGTGTCAATTCGTACGCAAGTAATTGCAGCAACTGCACTTCCACTGCCTCTGAAAGACCCCGCATCTTGCGTTTTTATTCTTACGCTGACATGATCTCCGATGAAAATGCGCATACCAGAAGACCCTCATTGACGCAATCTGCTTCGTCCACTTTGTTACGTCAATCCCCTCAACCGGCGTTTTCCAACCCTTTTCAAATTCCAAACAGACGCGGCTCTGGATCTTCGAATTTGGGTCCAACTGCTCCTTCGTTGAGTTCTCGTAACTTAACTTCCCAGTTAAGAACCACCTCTCGTTCCCCATCTACTCGGGTTTCTACTCCAGTCAATTTGACTTTGTCACCTGCAATTTCCACAAGCATCTCTGATAATGGCGGGAACCCTGCGCTACCAAAACCTAAAAATAAATTCTCTCTCGAGAGTAGCGGAAGTGATTGCTCCACAAGTGAGGGCGAAAATGAGGACGAGTCCGACCAAGAAATGGCTACGTCCCCTAACTCGCCCACAGCAATGCTTAACGCCACTAATCCAGTACATTCCCAAACGCTTTACAATACTGTCACGAGTCCAAGACTAACGAGAACCTCAACCCAAAACAGCTTCAAAAAAGCTTCTCCTTCTTACAAAGTTCGTACCTACTCCAATGCCAGCTCCGTTTCGCCTTTTTTGAGTGCCAATAGAGCCTTACTCTCTAATCAGGGTCCCGCTCAAAACATGAACGATGTTCTATATGATGACGGTCTACAAAGTAACACCGTAAGCAATGTTCTGCGGGAAAAAATTAGCAACGCAAGTGAGCTGTGATGCTCTCGGTAATAAACAAGAACATTTTCTCGATGGCGGGAGAGATAAAAGAAGGGGGAACGATGATAGTAGGAAACTCCACGGTTTATTTTTTACATTACTTTCAGTACAGAGAACATACAAAATATGGCGGCAGGCATCTTGCCATAGCTGGTCATGTTTGTTATAGTCCTCGTAATTCATTAATTTTGTTTTTTCACATTCGCGATTTCGGCGAATTTCATGACAAAGTGCTTAGCTTTAGTCTCGCTTTTATTACTATGGTAATCCTTGAGATATTCAAATTGATTCCACAACTATAGCAATTATATTTTTGATTTATTAGTCTAACAATTCTTCACTTCATTAAATGTGTAAAGATTAGAATCTTTCCACCGCCTTGAAGTGATTTGATTCAACCATGAAGTGGAGGAGGAAAAAAAGTATGTAAAAAACATGCACAATAGCGTAGCTAAGGCTTAAGTCTTTTAATGACCTTGTAATGTCTTGTTTATTAATATGCTGATTCGAATTTCTATAAGTAGTCCTTTCTGCTCGCGGTTCTCACGAATCTCCTGAGTTGCCATTCCAAGTCGGCGTCCTTGTTGTCTAAAGTTCCAAGTCTTAGTTCAAACAGTCGCATTTCGAATCTGGGTCCTACCTCGGCAAGCTCTACTCCTTCCCTGGTTCTCACGTAAACGTGCTGTCTTACACTGATAAAATCGCCACGATTGGCAAATGTGATAACCCTGGGAGAATCCTTCTTAGGTCCTGGAGGAAACATGTGCTTTAGAATTGTGGCTACTCTCTCTCCCAACGGAGTCGTGAAGTTGTCGAAAATTAGGTGAGGGTTCACTTCACTCTGATTTCCGGCATTCAGGATGTCGTGCTTCAGAACGACGTTGTGAAGCGTAAAGTACGCTGTAGGCCCATGTGGAAAATGCGATATAGTGAGCGATGTGGGAACACCTCTGTGCTCGTGCAACACCACCAGGTCCGAGGTCCCGGATTTCTTGCAGGCATCCACTAGGTTGGGCATGATGTAGTTACCTCTATTGAGCCGCACAGCAGTGGGGAACAGTAGTCTTATTTCTTTTGCAAACTGTGACAGCCTCGTGCTGGGGTCTCTCGACGTCGTGACTATTACTTTGGGCTCTGCCAGCCCGCTGGTCGCGCTATATTCGTCGTCTATCGTTTCTTGAATTGTTTGATCGTACTGGTAATCCTTCTGTAGCTGCTCATCGTCGGCCACATCTTTTGGCAGTGGCTTGCCTTGCGCCAAAGCATGCTTTATTAGTTGCCGTTTTTCCTGCAGTTGAGAATCCTGGAGCTCTTGAGCTTTCCGATATAAATACTCTCTGCGCTCACGGGCTTGTCTTCTAAGCATTTTCTGATATTGTCAATATTGTAATGAGAGAAGTGGTAATTCTTCGTTGATTTATCAACCAAAAGCTTAAAAGAACTGAAGCTCATCTCATCTCATCGCTCTGTGAACCAAAAATTTTTCACGAGAGAAATATTGAAAAGGAAACCTGTAATTCCGGCACGTGTTTATCACGTTATGGAACTGATTGGTAACAGGTCGGTCGGTCTTCAGTAAGCTCGCGATAAGCGACTTATGCGTACTATAGGTTCTAGCGTCCCACGTTTGTCTTCGTGAAATATTCTTCTTCAGACAATTCCATTCTTGTTTTTAGAAATGAGTTAGTGCTGTTTTTAGATGGAATATCCATGGATTCTCGTCTCTTGGCAGACTCCGGTCGCAGGCCCGATGCGTACTTCGCAATTCTCTGCTGGTGGACATTATTTGGTAAAAACATGTGTGTGGATAGTGCGGTCGGCAAAATAGTTTGCGCGGTGGGAGGTGCATTGGACTCGTGAATGTATCTTTGACGCGTGGAGTCGGATATGATGCTGCTGAAGCTACCCCTCTGGCTTGGAATGTACGCTGGAGTAGTGTGAGCGGAAAGCTGCTCGTGCGTTAAGGTTTGGTTGATGGTGGAGGTGTTATTCCAAGACGAAGAAGGCGTAACATCTCCAACTGCCACAACACTACTTTCCTCCAGAGTGGGTTGTTGAACACTCAGTGAACTCATGAGAGAACGTGCGGAAGGTGCGGAAGGTGCGGAAGGTGCAGAAGGTGCAGAAGGTGCAGAAGGCTTTTTAGCCATCTCGCTGAGAAACAATCCGCTCAGTAAACTTCTTTTTGGGTCGTGTTTGTCCGATGTTGCTGGCGAGGCCGTGCGGCTGGCGAGGTTCTTTTCGTTACGACTGAACATGAGCTTCTCCCACTGCTTTTGATAATATCGGTCGTCCTCTTCGTCATCGTAGAGCTCAGAATCATCCGATAGTGAGTTCCAATCGGACTCGTCCTCATCACTGCTGTTGAACACTCGGTCCTGTTCCCTTTGTGAATCCGATCTCTGGCCTGCTGGCGGCTGCCCAAAGAGAGATTTAGGTTTCTGATCGTGAGATACTCCGGCTGAAACTATTCCTTGTGAATGAGGTCTTTCGTCAGCACGATGCGCAAATAAACTGCTAGTAGAACCCGGTTGTTGACCCATTCTCTTTGTTGGCTTCTTCCGGTCCTGAGCGTCAGAAATATTTACCAGTCCTGTGTGGCTGGCAGCATGGCTCCCAATTGACCTGTGTTTCATGGCTGAGGGGCCATGTAGATCTAGTCCAGTAGACGAAGTTTGAACTGGTTCCGGCGACGAGACTTTCGAGCCATTTTCTGAGCCCAAAGTGAAGCGCACAGCGCCTTGGCTGTCATTTGACGGCGCTGCTTTGCTATCCTGGTCCCTATGCACACCCCTCTTGTTTCGTAAATCACTTGCTACCATTGGCGGTTGGTGGTGAGGATGACCATTATGTTGTTGACTGTGATGGTGCTGATGAACGTGATGATGTGAGTTAGTGTTTTTGGGTTCTATCGATGTCTTGGAATCGTTTACCGAGCCTCGCATTGCACTCATGATTTGCATGGGCTGCTTCTGGTCTGTACGCTTTTTTACGTTGTTGAGTTGTTGCCCATTTTGAGCTGGACTGATCACTCGATATAGATTTTTTACACCATCTCGTTTCTTTGACTTGTTGAGCTCATGGTCCTTGAGCAAAGCTTTGTTCATTATCCGCCAGCTAAGGTTGTGCAGTCGCTCACCCTGCTCCAAGGCTTTGCTGCTTCGAATCAACGTTGTGTATAGGTCCAGGCTTTCGAATAGAGGCAATTTTTCGGGCGTGAACAGACTGGGTGCTACTTTCAGAAATTTGTTTGCACCCCTTTCCTTAGGTTCGCTTGGCTTATTTTTTGAATTGCTCTCGCAACCCTGTACTGGAGGCTTCCTAGTCTCGGTATGATCCATCCTCGCCTCTTGTTGATTATTGTTAAGGTTTTACGAAATGCAATCTCTATAATGAATACTGTTGGTGAAATACCCGATGAGCACTGATAAGATTCGCTCGACTTAAGTCACTGATTGTCCTTGGGGTTCTTAGCGCTATTTGTAGAACTTCAAAGCTCATCGACAATTTCTTATTATGATTATAGTGATTTATTTAGTAGTCACCATATTTAATTAGTATCTTCGTAGTCATGTGATAGGGCAATGAAGAGACAGAACCAATATTTCCCAAACGGAAGAATGTTATCGTCATTGAATCTCGTGCGTGTACGTATCATTAATGTTGTTATTTACTTAGGTGCATAGAATTGGAGTGAACAGCTAGAGTGGTATTCACCTCAGTCCTTCTTTTCCTGGACATAGCTCTGAGCTGTGTCCAAACCTTCTTTGGCCTTAGAATGCAAAGTGTCGGCGGTAGACTTGGTAGCGCCCAAAGCAGAGTCGGCGTTGGACCAGAACCTGCCCTTGGCCTTGTCAGACCATTCGGAAAGTGTCTCCACAGATGACTTGTATTCTCTTTCGGCCTGGTCGTACTGCTGTTGAGCCTTTTCACGCAAATCCTCCTTCTTTTCTTTGCCTTGAGACCACCACGAAGAAGTGGTGTCATCCAGTTGCTTTTTGGCGGCATCTAGCTTGTGCTTGGCCATGTCTACGGCATCAGAGACACTTTGCGACGTTTGAGGCATCTTGCGGCGAGCTTCCTCATACTCTTCTTGGGCTAGATCGGATGCGGTTTCGCCCCAACCTTTCAAGGCCTTAGCGGCACGCTTGGCCAAATCTTCGTCGTTCTTGCCCTTGTAGGTGAACCAACCTTCCTGTTTGATCTTCTTTAGCTCGTTGAGACGTTGTTGGGCTTCACTAGGTCCGATTTTCTCGTTCCTCACTAATTCGTCAAGTTGTTCCTTGGCCAATGCTTCAGCGGTTTCACCCCATCCTAAGACACTGTGCGATGCAACTTCATCAACATCGTAGGATTTCTTTTGAGAGTTATCACCAGTGAGCCACTTGAAGAATCCCTTCTTGCGCAGGTTGCGGTCTTGTTCTTCCAATTGATCGGAAAGCTCGTTGATGTTTTCAGTGGTGTATTTTGAGTATTTGGTAGTGGCATCTTCTAGCTTATGCTTGTACTCATCGAGCTTAGCATGCGCCTCATCGACTTGCTTTTTCAAAGCGTCACTTCCGCCCGAGAAGAGACCAGACTCAGACTTGTATTTCTCACTCAATTCATTGTACTGCTTGTTTGCTTGATCATATTCTTGGATCGCCAAAGCACGTGCCTTCTCGGCCTTGCTGAAACCCCAGTTGAAAATTGACTCCGAGGTTTCCTTGGTGGCTTCCTTGGCGTCTGCGGCAGTGTCGCGAGCCGAATTTTCCCACGATTTGGCGGTCTCGTGACCTTGTCTCTTGGCGCCTACAAGCGCGTCCTTGATGCTGGAGGCGTCTTCTGAGACGCCATCCTTTATGTTTCTAATGTCCGACGAGATCTGGTCGCGAGCGTCGTTCACAATCCTCTTGAGGCGATTTTGGTTTGCGCGTTCGCGATCGTTTGTGGTTTCGACAATGTCGTTCAGCTCGCCTGAACGCTCTAAATACAGATCGCTGCGATCTTTGACCGCATCTTTGGCGTCACCGAGTTGGTCTGACACCCATTGTGTACCTTTAGCCTTGGCCCTCTCCACCTCGGCCATAGTAGACGTCACTTTCTCGTCTGCACCACGTGCCCATTCGTTCACGTGCTTACGCGCATCATCTGCGGCGCTGTCGAGTTTGGCGCCCGCGTGCTCACCCTTGTTTTCAAAAAGGTGTGCATCACGACCTCTGTTTATCGAGGCCGGTTGCAATGTTGATTGCTGCCGTTTCTGTTGTAGCTGGTACTCGTAAAGAGCATACCCAGCGGCCACCGTGACGGCTCCGCCAATAATCACTTTTGACGACATGTTAGGAATGTTGACTTGGAATGTTGCTAGTGAATCGTGGAAGTTCTGATCTGCTCTGTGGTAGTCCTTGTAGCTTCAAAAGAGTCTATTTCGGGCTGGTTTTGGCAAACGAAAAAAAACCTGTTCTGTACTGCGGATGACTCAGTCTCTAGAAAAACGATGAGACTAGTAATATACCCGGCTGTTAAAAGACTGCTTTGCTCAATTGATATTATCAAGATCTAACGATTCTTGAAATACTTTTGGGTATTGCCTGCCGCTGAGAATCGTATCGCTCTTTATATACCTTTTTTTTTGGCTCCTTAAGGAGAGCCGTATTGCTCCCTTAAATTTTTGCCATTACACAAAAACGAGCTTTATTGCGGTTTGGTTTTTGCTGTGGGGGGCAGTCGTAGATAGGTATCATAAACGAGTGCTTAAGGAAAGATCAAGACGACAGAAATCGGGACTTTTACCAGCTTCTCACGAGATTTGAAGCGAATCAGACGACACTAAGCGTTCAGGTGCTAGGCGTAGGTGCCCTTAAGGATATGTCTAAGAGCGCTGCGATCATGTGTGTATAGACCTTTATTTAGAGATCCGCTCGTAATGTTTCGAATGTATCCCGGCTGTGGGGCAACTGAAAATCTCATTTCCATACCTCTTGCATGCTGGCCGATTTTTTTCTATCCAGTTCCGGGATCTCAAGTGCTGCATAAATTACCGCTCGCTTTACACAATAAAGCTGCAACCTAATCAATTGTAACCGTACTGGTGTTGATCTCGCCGCTAATCTGAAGACAAATAAAAAAACTCATCGATTGCCAGTAATAAGCGACCAATTCACTTTACTTCTGTAAAAGTGGTTGTTTACGACAGAATACTAGGTTGAAGCCTGGAATTGTGCATGGCACGTACCCAACAGCTGGAAGATCAATTGTGTGAATGCTAAACTTTCTGGAGCCAATTTCAGTTATTCACTTGTCAAGGACATGCAGGTAGTACGGTTGCAATTAAAGAGTCGTAGAATTGGCTTGGTGAGTCAAGTGTTAGCCACCTACAAGAGCCCAATGGGGGCTAGTAACGACTGTTAAGGTCGACCGTCCTTGGAGTACTGATTTGTTTTTGTTTTGTACCAGTTTTTTCCCTTCCTTTGTTTTTTTACTGAAACGACTTATCTCAATGAGTACTCAGTAGAAAGAAACATAAAAACACAACAGTAATTCGTTTAGTGAAATTAAGAGACAGTAGTGGCCTTCCAAATACTCATAGAGTCGTTTTTCTAGCCCTGTAGCAATTGCCGATTTTCAATACTTCTGTGGGATAGCTTAGGTGAGCATTTGGCTGAGATCTCCAAGTAGTCCCGCTAAGTTTTTGTCACGCTCCAGTGTAAAGGAACTGGTGAGAAAAATCCTCCTCGTCTCTCTCTGTGTCATCTCACTTCTAGTTGGAAAGACTTGAATTCTGGAATTATGGGACACTCCGAAATTAATTGCTCATATGTGACATTTCAACTCCATGAGGTTTTCAAGAAGCTGGTATTATAAGTCCAATGCAACCAACTGCGATGGGAGGATCGCATTGTACAATTAGTTGTTCAGCAAAAAGCCTGGGCCTAAGAAAAAAGCTTTTTCTCGCTTCGAAGTTTGTTCAGCGGCTAATATAAAAAAACCGAATGACCTTCTCATAAGAGGTCAAAACTATCTCGCATATCTGCAACAAAAAGCTCACATCAATAAGACTAAAAACGGCCTCCGGTATCGATCAAACAGTCCACAAATGCAATGCTACCACATTTCATCTCTGAACGGACGTTTCGAAGCAACATTTCGATAATCAATGTTTATTTATAGAACGTGCATTCTGAGAAGGTATATCGGTAGCAGCATACTTAGGTGTTATATTACTGCTGGTGGATTTACAAAACACAATCAAAACAACGAGAGAGGCAACATGTGAATCAAGTAGGACTACAGAGCGGTTGAGCCACCAACAATTTGTGAAGACCACAACCGCCCTCCGACTTATAAGCCACAAAGTTATCCAAAGAAAATGTGCAAGAGAAGTTGAAATCAATGTCTTGGCCTCCTTCGATATCATGATCTTCTTTTGGAGTCTTAACAGACAGGAGCTGAAAGTAGAGTTTTACACTGTTACATAAGTAAGACTGTCAATTTAAACAGAAAAAGGGCCAAGTATTCGGCACGACGATCTCAATCGAAATACTAAAGCTTCGTTTTCATCCTTCCGACAATAGGGAAATAAAAGACTTGCCATGAAAACGACTTTGAAGCGCACAGTACTTTCTCAACCCTTGGTCCTTACAGATTTCGGAATCTAATTACTCAACAGGTCTACCAGGGAATGCCAGAGTTTTATACTAAAGATCGCAGTATTTTGCAAAGGTAGAATATATAATATGGCCCACAGCTGACGTTTTCGATACCTTGAAATATCTTATCAGAAAAGAAGTTATAGCCATGGAACCACGATAAGGTTTTCTGTATCGCAGGGAGCATCTAACTGTTAGTTATCTACGTGGGTGAAATGATTTTGATGTTACGATGTTCGTGTCCTGTGCTATTTGAGATAAAGTTTGTGTGGAACAAGACCAGCCTTTCCAATTTATGCAATACTCAAATGGGTAACGTATTAATTCTTAGGCTTTACAATGGCTGGTATCTACGGATTCGGTTGAAAAAGTAAAACTAGAACGATGTAACCCAGAACTTTGAACCGTTCTTCAAGGGTCGAGAATTCGCCCAAACGCAGCAGGTCTGGCACCCGAAAATAGAATTGAGTGCTGTCGAATGTGCTCCCAGAGCTCTTTTATGACTCAAGAATCCTTGGTCCTTGACCTCAGTGATCATAGTTCTCGCCAACGACATACCCTTCACACTTTTCCAGCAAGTAACTTTCGAAGTGTGCCAGATAGACCGCAAACTTTCTATCAAAGCTCATCACTACGATTTAGGTTTGACCACGAGGACGACGAAGACATGACTGACGACGAGGAGGAGCAATCGCTACTCAAGCCTCTGATTAACGCACAAAACAACTCCAGTCCGGCGCCAAGGGCTGACGTTCTTCCCGTCCCATTTAGGACCCACAGGCCTCAGCTTTCACAGACAGTCACAATCTTGGATGAGCCCGATCAACCGGCTGTACCGTTCACACAACAACTTACAATGAGTCAATTCGATCTACAACAATCACAAAACTATCAAACGCGTGCCAAGCTTCGACACGAAGCTTGGCAATCACAGCAGAAATCCTCTAATTCTCGTAAGGTGCTGGAGAAAGTCTGTAATTGGTCTCGGTATTCACAACCTCGACGAGAGCAACCCAAAAAAAGAGCTTCCATAAAGCGCGTAAACTCTCTTTCAAGGCGCAAAGATTTTTCAACTCGAGATGAAATGGCCTCCTTCGCTAAATCTGGTAACTTCGTCTTTCACCGCGGATTTTCCTTGCGACGGCCCCCGCACGCTGCCCAAAAATCCAATTATAGGAACCGTACAGAGCTTACTTCCGTCATGGACTACATTAATCCAGAATCTACAGTTGCCGCAGATTTTACTTCCAGCACTCGATTTATGGTAATGCAACTAAAACCACCCGCATTTTGGCAAGTTCTGCGACTTCATCCGAAGTTTATTTTTCGGACCTTAACCTCCAAACCACATTGCCAAACTTCACTCAGAAATACCCAACCTCAAAAGTCAAGACAACACAAGAATAGCATAAGACGCCAGTCGCCTTTGCGTATGCGCATCTCGACTGTTAGGAGGTCAAAGTCGCATCCTGGTCCATACCGTTATTCTTCATCACAACTACAAAATAAGCAGTTGTACGATGTATGGAAACATTACTTAATGGACGTAATTGTGCAACGCGCCAAATTTAGGCTTTATTTGACCAATTCAACAAGTCAAAGCAGTGCTTTTTTTAGTGCGTCCAGCTCTCTGACAACACCATCTGATGAAGATTATTTCCCTTCTGAATCTTCAGCAGCTGGTACAAGCTACAACAGGAACTCTCGTTATCGTGTTAACGAGAATCGAAGTGTCAAGTCTTTCAGACTAAGTAACGAAATTGCATCACTTTCCAGCAGCGAAGGAGTCAGATACATACCAAGTATGCGAAAGGTTTCTTAATATATGTACCGGAATGTCTATAATGATCTATAATTAATTGCACGCAGAAGAGATATGATTCACAGCTTTTAGAAACCTAAAAGCCCTTGGTAAATCTTCATCTTTGACGCTTGGCTACTTTTGAGTGATGCCCAAATATCATTTACGCGCAAGTCATTTTTGAACTTAGATTGCTTCGTGATGGCAAATGTGTCAATTTTTTCAGGCATATCCTGCCACATCTCGAAGACAATTATCGAAACCGCTATCAAAGTGTTTGCTATTTGTTGGTTTTCCTCAGTATTTGCTTTAATCGCTTTTTTGGCCCATTGATCGTAATGAAGATTGAACCAGTCCCACACAACATCCCGGATTTGCTTACTTCCACATGATTCTTTTGCATTATAAGATAGACCAAATAGAGCCTTCTCACTGCCCGTGGATTCGAAATTGGTTGATACGAAATTGAGAACTTTTTGTGCTAGTTCCAAAGGTCTGCAAAATCCTAAGGCCTCTAGTGCTGAGTCTTGGATGTCGAGTGCAGAACAGCCAGAAACATGTGAAGCTATTCCCTGGCTCGATTTAATTAATTCAAACTGCTTCTTCCATTCTTTTAGGCTGGAAATTTGGTAGGAGACAACGGTGAAGACGCTGCCGGCAATACTATAGGGTACAGATCCATTGGGGCCCTGCAGAATTTTTTTGTAGTAAGCTTTGCAGAGGGACTGTACTTCAGGAAGGGTTTTACCAGCAGACAAAACTTGAGACATTGTGAGCAACTGATATTCATCATAGTGGCAGCCCTGATACTCATCTGGCCACTCGATCTGCTTAAACAAAGGAAGGATTATAGTACTCAAAAACCCAAAGTCTCTTTGTACGCTACCGAATCTCAACACGCTAAGTTCAACTTGCTGAAGTATGGTTAGACCCAAGCTCAAACCGTGGAAATACTCCGGGTGCTCTCTTAAATTCACACGAGACGAAATGCTTCTGAGAAGTAGGAGCAGGCCATTCAAATGCTCTTGCTTCTGACTTGTTTGATTACCAACAAAGACCTCTAGGTCGCGAAAGATTCCGTAGAGATCTAGTTTCGACAAGACACCTCCAATAGCTGCTTCGCAAAGTTTTTCATAGCATTCTGCGCTTTCATAAGAAACTCTATAGTATCCTTGCACATCCGCATTGAAAAGAACGACGGGATACGTCAGTTTCAATGACCGATCAGTCATGAGAACATGCTTTTCATCCATAGAACCATCAGGCAAACGGGTAAAGAGCGGGATGTGATACGGAATGTCTTCATAATCGTGGTTAGCCTCGATGCCGAAACGATGCTGTTTTAAAATATTTGAGCCGTTTTCACTTATTACATGTAAAACCGGAAAACTAGGTGTTTGTGTCCATGAGTACATGAAATTGGCAATATTAGCAGACCCTAGTTGCTGTCCGAAGAAGTTCCAAATTTCAGAGGGTTTGATAGCTCGCTCGTGGAAACTTTTATCACATATAAGTTTCTGTAGCGTTGCTTTAAATTTCTCTTTTCCTATAGAGCATTGCAAGGATCTAATTAGCGATATGCCTTTAGTGTAACTGTGTGGGTCAACGGCGTCAGAGGTTTGGAAAATATCTCCTTTTTTGGCAGATTGGACCACACTTTGACATTCAGGAAGCGCGTCTTGCTTTAAACAGGTGTTCATTTGTTGCAAGTAAATGTTGGAAGCCCAGTGATCTTTTCCGGTTGTAATACTCAGGACCTCACATGCACACCAAGTGGCGAACGCCTCGTTAAACCAAAGGTGCTCCCATGAGTCAAATGAGATGTAGTTACCCATCCACTGATGAACAAGCTCATGAATCACAAGTTGCTGAACTTGATCTCGGATCGCATCGTCCGCCAAAATAGAGGGTTCCAACAAGAGATGGCCTTGTTGAACAGTGACTAATCCGAAATTTTCCATTGCCATATCACTTAAGAAAGGTAAAAGCGCAAAATCAAGTTTTGATAATGGGTATTCTTGTTTAAACACCTCTTGAAGGACTGGGAGGAACTCTCGAACAGTATCAAGACCAAATGCCGCTAGCTCAACTTGTTGAGCTGCAAAGAAACGCACGGCGATTTCGCCTTGAGGCAGTGAAACTCGACTTTCAATTGACTTCATATCCCCAAGCACAAAGCCGAAGAGTGAAGGTGTCATAAGTGGAGTTGGTTCAAAAGAAACCTGCTTTTGCAGGTCAGTGGTTTCTGGCGTTGCTGCTTCAAGCTCGACCAAAGTAGTTACCGCTGTATTAGAAATGACGTGGAACCTCTCCAAAGTCACAATGGTAAGTTGGAAGTGGGCTTTATGATTGATCTCGTCGACGCAGGGAAAGATCATCTTGGCAAAACCGGGCTGCGCATGTGTAGCCACAATGAAATTATCACTGCTTCCTGTTTCGGAGTCCATGAAGTTGGTTTTGAAAAGGCCCCTGGTGACATCCTGGAAGGTTTTGATGGAATGCATCTTACCCACAAATTCTAAGATCAAGCGGTCCATTTCCATATGTGTGCCCAGCATTTTAATTGGTGATTTTGCCTTGAGGTTGATTAGATCAAAGGACCTATCATAGCTGACGTCCAGTTTCTGATCACCCATAGTTGCCGAAAGCACAATCAAGTCCCTGCCATGCAGCGAAAGCTCTGAAAACTCTGAGAATTCATCACAGTGCGCCAAATTCTTATTGACCGTCAAATCGATCAGCGAAACACCTCTGAAGTTCGCCTTTCGTGGATCTATTGATAGAGTGATGTCATATCGCGTGGGAATTGCAGGATTGGACAATGATAGCATACTCTTCTCTCTTATTTCGAGCTCAGCGTTTGTAAACCTTGGAATTTCATCGAAAAATGGAAAAATCAAATTTCGATCCTATATAAATTGAAGGACGACTGACATTGTTATGAAGCCAATTATATTCCAAAAATAAGTCTAGAGTAATAAGCACATTTGACTTAGGACAACTGGTTATATTGTGGATACGAGGAAATCGAACATTCACAGAAAGATATTCATAAGGCCTAGAGAAATTCAATCCGAATTTATAAAATTGCTTTTGCGTTTACTTCGATATGGTTCATCTGCGAGACACCAAACTTTACGATATATTGGGCATATCTAGCGATGCTTCCGTCCAAGATATTAAGAAAGCATATCGTGTGAAAGCTTTGAAGTATCATCCGGACAAAAATGGTCATTCTGAAGACGCGAAACATAAGTTTCAGGAAATCTGCGAGGCATACGAGATTCTGCATGACGACTCTAAGCGAGAAATGTACGAACGTTATGGAACGACTGACCAGTCGCAATGGCCAGCGATGCAAGAAAAAACTCGCTATCGTGAACCCACTGGTATGTCAGCTGGTGATCTTTTCGCCCAGTTCTTCGGCGGTGGAAGCACCACAGTTCCCAGTTTTTTCGGCGACGATATGGATTTGCTAGGACGTCGCTCGCGAACAGCACGTCCAAAAGGTCCTGTGCGGGGCCCTGACATCAAGCACTTGCTGAGATGTACGCTGGAAGAGATTTACCGCGGAAAGGAAACGAAGCTTGCACTCAAGAGAACGAGACTTTGCCAGACGTGTGATGGAAAGGGTGGTTTGCAGTGGACTGCTTGCGAAAACTGTGACGGTCGTGGCATGAAAACTCAAACCCAGCGGCATGGCCCGATCATGCAATCGTGGTCATCAACATGCGGTGCATGTAGCGGGGAGGGTACGTTTTTGAAATCTAAAGATGTGTGCAATGAGTGTCAAGGACAAGGCTTCATTGGAGAGCGGAAAATATTCGATGTCAGGATTGAGAAAGGAATGGAAAGCGGACAAGAACTAATACTGCCGGGCGAGGCAGACGAGGTCGTCAGTACCAAGTATGGAAGTGAAAAGGTAGTTCCTGGTGATGTGATCATTACGATGGAACAGATTCCACATCCTTCTTTTAGGCGCCGCGCAGATTATGGATTGATTCTCGATAAGTGTCTCGTAGGATTGAAGACGAGCTTGTGTGGCGGATCAGTGTGGTTAGACTCACATCCAAGTGGAAAGACAATCAAGATCGATGTGTTACCTGGTGAGATTTTACAACCAGGTGCTGTCAAATGTATCGCGAATCTTGGGATGCCAACTAAAGATGGCGGTTTTGGGCATCTCTACATCAAATTTGAAGTTCTTTTTCCTTCAAAGCTCAACACAACAACTCTGAGTGCAATAGGGCCAGCCTTAGACAAAGATGAGAATGTCAGGGAGACTGAACAAAGTTCCCAGAGCTCAAAGCATGAATCGCAACCCATCGAGGAGCACGTTATAAGTGGGTTTGTCCCGAATCTCAAAAGAAGTTGCAGTACAGGCGGCGGTGACTTTCAAAAGCGCCAAAAGGGTTGAAAAACGAATTTAATGATAGAGGGTATGAAGGGCATCCTTAAGGCCTAGCGCCAGAAAGAATAAAAGGGATTTGTAGGTTTGGTTTAACGGTAACGAAGCGGAAAGCTTCCAGCATAAAAAAGGAGATCTCTACGATACAGTTCAATATGTAGGTGTGAACGCTGTGTAATAATATTAATGTTGAGAATTTTTGACACGGCAGAGGCGATAATGCGAGTGGAGGGTGTTTTGAAATACCAACAATGTATCAGCGACAAACGGTGATCATAAGGCACACGAACGCCAAGTCATGGAGTGCAACAGGGTGCGTATTAACCTTGTTCTTTTAGTGCAGAAGTAGCGGAAATATGGCGGAAAAGCTGAATGACACGAACTTCACAGTCTACGTTACGTAAAGCTTCGAGTCGGAAGAGAGTGTCGCTAACTTTATTGGCAGGTGATAAACTGTGCTTAAGGGATCAATACCAGCAAACTCTGACGACGTAATAGTATATAGTGATATGGGGCTGTGACGTGGATACAGCATGCTCTGAGATCAATCCCGACAAAATAAGTGGATCTGCTGGTCAAACGAGCCGGCCACCAATCAAACGCAAAGCGTCGAATGCCAGAGACCAAAGAACTATTTAGTGCCGAATGATATCAGACGCTTGTCAGCCACCTCATTACCAATCTTGTCCCGGACTCTAGGCAGCTGTCATATCTACCAATAGCATTCCTTCTGAGCACTCCTACCCCATTGCTCTCAAATCTCTTCCCAACTAAGCTAAACCCAAACGTCCATCACTCTTCACGCGGAAGGCCATACTTTCAACGGTTGAGAAGTCAATTACTGCTGGCCAACAGCCAGAATAAAGCTGACAGAGAATCCAATGCTTTCAACCCATAGTCTCGTTTTCATCCCTCTTTACTACAATACTTTCTTTCACAATGCAATTCGTAGTTCACTTCAATGTGATAGTCTGATACTCTCTCTTGCATCACTAGTAATCTCAAACTTAAGCTAAGACAATCTACGTAACGACAATCCTAACCGTTTTCTTCAAGGCTTTCGCTCCTGTCTTTCCCATTACGCTCTCTACGCTGAGCCCCAGATCAAATTTTCCGACGATCAGCCGCAAGCATGTTTTGATCTTATGCTGTAATATTTTGATTTTTTGGTGGATTCGCTACTGTATATGGGTATATAAAGGACGCAGAAAATGGACGGAACATTTGTGCTCGTTGATCCACTCTTCGTAGGGACACATATCAATAGAATAGGACCCAATCGACACAATGGACAAGATCAGAGAAGTACGTGAGGAATAAAACACGAGATATCGCACTGGGGAGCGATTGCAAGCTCTTTAGGAGGTTTTCTCGTGAGCTATCTTAATTTTCGTCGAAAGCACACGTATACTAACTAGCGCGCCCGTATAGAAACTCAGCAACCTCAAACTCGAAGCTGAAAGCTGGCAGGAGAAGTACGAGGAGGTCAAGGAGCAATTGAAGCAACTGGAACAGGAAAACACCGAGAAGGAGAACCAGATCAAGTCGCTCACGACTAAAAACCAGCACTTGGAAGACGAGGTCGAGAAGCTGGAGTCTGGCCTGACAGAACACAAGCAGTTGTCTGAAGACTCCCACAATTTGCGCTCGCACAACGAGAACTTCACCAAGAAGAACCAGCAATTGGAAGAGGAGCTTGAAGAGAGCGATTCCAAGCTCAAAGAAACCACAGACAAGTTGCGCGAAACTGATCTCAAGGCCGAAGGTCTTGAGCGCAAAGTGGTGTCTCTCGAACAGGAGCGTGACGACTGGGAGAAGAAATACGAAGAACTTACTTCCAAGTACGACGAGGCCAAGAAGGAGCTGGACGAAATTGCTGCGTCGCTTGAAAATTTATGATTTTGGCGCCGGGCATGAGCAAAGTAAGTCCGGACTCCCGGGGTACGCGACCCTCCGAGTCAGCCTCCAGCGACGCTACGCTCGTATTCAGTACGTCTACAACAGCTATCTTACCAACTTGCTACTTCAAGAAACCTCAATTGACCCACCACGACTCCAGCGATACCCTTGTCACGTTTGCAAGTGGCTCTCGTGAGTTCTTGCCGACGGGTTTCAAAGTTGAGCTGTTTGAAGTTGGCTTTTTCGTGGGTTTGCTACTGCTAACTTTGTTGAAAGTATACTTTCTGCTCTATATAAATGAATAAATACCCCAAATTACTATCAAAGTCGTAGAACTGTACTACGATTATGAGTGCAGTACGTTGGCAAGGAGATTGAGAAGAGATCAATGGATCAAGTGTCAAAGCTCTCCGCTACTAAAACTTGCTAGAAATGAAAAGCATCGCAGCCATTGATCTTTCATGTAGAATCCTTGTCCTACGAAAAGCCTCAAACTTAGTGCCTTTCAATTGGTGAACAGCAAGAGTTTAACGAAGAATCTCGATATCCTCAGGGACAAAATTTTTTTCAATTTCATTACGGGATCAAGGCCAACTCAAAGATCTGGAACTAAAAGCTCAATGCTGGTAAAACAAACATCTCAATATTTATCGGAAACATTGTTCGCGATGCTTCTTGAACAGGTTACTGGCCACCTTGACCTGATTGAAATACAGAACCTCCCAAAATGTTCGTAATCTAGCGCTAAAATGAGTGAAGCCCAAAGCTCATAGCGCACCAAAAAGTCTCAATCAAGGTTTCGGTCCCGCGACAGCCTCGGGAATCTCATCTTTTTATCGCCTAATTTGATGGTACGCTATCCGTGTCTTCCAATTAACAAAAACGAATAACCCGAATTTGTGGCCACTGTTGGAAAATTAGAATACGTACAAAGCAGACCGATTGCCGCCGCCAAATGAGCGATACACATTTGAGACAGGCGACAGCATTTTAGTGATTGTTTTGATACAATGATATCCAATTATCACTTTGTAACATTACGTCATGTGTTGAATATCCCATCAGCGCTCCAAGTATCATTGGGGATGAGATTGCTTAACAGATGCAAGTCTGAAGTTTCAGTAACAGCACACACTGTCATCATGAAAAGCAGGATCAATTTTTAAAGGGCTGTTGTTATTGCTGGTGGCTCAAATAGGGAATGAACCTCTCAAGACTTGTGCACTCGCAGGACCCGGAAAGCTCTGCAAATTTTCCTCGTAACCCGAACCAATGTCACACAGATTGCTTAAGCACTGGCAAATTTGACCTAGCAAAAGTAATTGATGGAAAGCCGATGATAGTTCAATCAAAGACGTAAATCTCAAAATTCGATGAATCCATATGAATTTCGACAATAAGCCGCCTCAAATCATTGTTAAATCAAGAATGTAGGATCTCTGTAGCCCTTGATATTTACCATTGTCTCTCTTGTTCAAAATGAAAAAAAAAATGGCGTCCTTAACTATCTTCCCACTTTATTTCTGACGATGAGCTATAAAAAAGTGTGATATAAAAGTAAGTTTACGAAAACTCCGTATCAAACATCAATAAGAGAGGAGCACCAGTTCGACTTTGTATAGTTACAACCCTAGCTTATTGCATGTCGGGTTCTAGTGCTTTACCGGTATCACTGGAATCGCGATCTTCGCAATCGCAAATTCATATCCACCATCATCATCATTATCATCGAAGGGCCGCTAGCGAGGGCAATTCGCAGGCAAAAAGAGAATCTTCAGGCAGCAGCAATGGCCAGAAATCCACATACCAGTCGATCAAATCGCTAACGCTCAACAACTTGGATGCTAAACAGCATTTTCTGATAGCCGTGTGTCGAGATGTTTCGTTACTCCCGCCTTTGCTCTCGCTGGCACACTCGCTAAAAAAAGCGTGGCTGTTGTCAGATCGCACCGATGCACTATACAATACGAAAGGACTTCTCCAGGTGAGCTTACCCAAGGCCTGGCACGCGTACCGGAGTCTGAAGACGCAGGCGTCTTCTCCTGACCAGGACCTTACATCGCAACTAGTCACAGCACGCGCTTCCGAATATCTTCTGTGCTCACTGTGGTGTGTGGTGGCAGCATACCTCACATACGCGATTTTGGACTCGCTGATGGTGCGGTGGATTGTAAAATACTCAACCATGGCAGCTATCTTGCGCATGTTCTCCATGTCGCTGCTGATCGTGACACTTGAAATGCTTCTGCTCTCATCACTCTCACCAAAAGGCGACTATTACCTTCATACCTGGATCTTAATCAGCTGCATGCTCACAGGGGCCTACATATGGCAGAGTTTTTTGACGTCAGATCTCAATTACGTCGAGCAGGACTCGCCTTCACCCACCCCATCACCTGTTTCGAGCAGCGGTAATATTCCAACGACAACGGCCGCGACGACTACCACCACTCACCGCTCTTCGAGTTCTGGTTCCACCACCACCAACCCAGTCACGTGTGATCCATCAGCTGACTCGGTTTCTTCACGTAAGCGAAAGCGGAGCCCACGATCGCTTCGCCTCACCAAACCTCGCCAAATTCACCTTTATAACATAACGGTGTTCTGCGTAGTCCCTGTAGGTTTCGCGAGTTTCATCACCATGATCGGGCTTCTCCGCAATCTCGTGATACAGCGACTCGATCTCGAGCAGCTTGAACGCATGATCGCACAAAGCTACACAGAATAAATGAGAGGCAGCGCAATCCAGACGTACAAGACACCCTTTGCAGGTTCGCCTAACTTATACGATTCAAAAGTTACCATAGCATTTCTCACGACATCGATTTTTTCATAATTGTTAATTAGTTCATCAAAAAGTTGTTAATTCAATGGTTTGTTGAGTAATTAAAGCTGCTAGCTCGGAAGCGCTTCTAAACTAAGATATAATGGTAGTGCACATTTTGGGGAAAGGTTTCAAGGGTAAAGAGGTTATAAAGATTGCGCTAGCGTCGAAGTTCTATGGTATTGGGCTCAAGACGTCAGAAACATTATGTTCAAAACTTGGATTTTATCCCTGGATGCGCATGCACCAACTATCTGAACCGCAAATCATGAACATCACAAGCGAGCTCTCGAATATGACTATTGAGGGCAATGCTAGGGCCGTGGTAAAGGACAATATAGCGCTGAAGAGAAGAATCGGCTCGTACGAAGGTATGAGACATGCTTTGAACCTGCCGGTGCGTGGCCAACGTACGAGAAATAACGCAAAGACCGCTAGACGGCTCAATCGGGTTGATAGACGTGGCTACCATACGAGCACCGGGGGCAATAAGGTAACGTGGTGGAAACGTTGGTTCTTCTAGCTATTTAAGTTTGAAAAATAGCAGAGGTGTTGAATTCTCTACCCTTTGGTTCGTTGCAAGCCATCATAATCGTCATTACGTTGCATTCATAACCTGCTACAATCCTGTACATAAGAATATATAAGATGCTTTCGCAGTAGTCTATAAAATAATTTAGCGTCGCACTTTATTATAGCGCAACATCATAGCGCAACTCTATAGCGCAACTTTCAAATTCTTTATCTCTGTCATAGGACGTAATCGTCATCAAATACATTCCAGTCACGCAGCTCCATTAGATGCCGCATTGTAGGCCTGCCATGTGGGCAGTTCCAAGGTTTGTCAAGCTCGCTCAAATTTCGTATAACGCGCACCATTGACTTCTTGACTAGAGGTTTACCAACCATGATGCTACTACGACAAGCACGCATAGCCAACATGGCTCTGACTTTAGAGCATCTAAGAGCGTCTTTATTCAGTCCGTCTGATTCTTTAACAAAATGGATTAATTCATGCAGATCGTTCATGTCAAAGACAGTTTTTTTCGAAACGGGCAAGCTGACTAGTTTGACCCTGCAGCCTTGCGGTTGGTTTTCATCCACTTCAAGTTTAAAACCGTTTTTCTCAAAGACATGCAAGTTCTCCATGGCTATAAGTTCATCCATAACGCTCATTTCCACAATTTGCGGAGCAATCAGGCGTTGTGATTTCAAAACTGTCGTTCTTTGAAGCATTTCAAAATTGAATTTCTCATCACTGGCATGTTGGTCAACGATAAACAGGTCGAATTTTTTACCCTGTCGTCTCGTTACTAGAATGAACCCTAAATTAAATTGTCCCACTATTTCCATCTTCTTAAAATCCGCTTTTGATACCGTCAGGGTCAAATATCTCTCCCCTTCTTCGAAGTTCTCCAGTTGTTCATTCTTTTGTATGTGATTCTTATGATTTCTCGAACTTTGTCGCTCTACCACCTGTGAAACGTCGGAAAATGCTTGACGTATCGCATCTGAGCTCAGTTGTAAAGTAGTACAAAGAATGTCAGATTCGAGCAGATGCGTACAGTCTTTTGGACTACTTCTAGGCGATGGAGCCCGTGCCAACAGAGGTGCATCAGCATCTAGTTCGACAATAGGTGGTAATTTTTCGTGTTCTTGGCCATTAAAGCTTCGTTGATGATCTGCCAGTTTTTGAGTGTTACTACTTGGATCTTGACCCCGCAAGGTGCCACCGCTTACGCCTTCACTCAAATCATCATCGCTCAGGCCTTCATCGCCTGCAGATGAACAGTTGCATGAGCCATGGGAACTCGTTTTTCCTGTTTGTTCAGGGAAGAGTAAATGATTATCGCGAGTGATCCTTGCCTTCTCTTCAATTCGTTCATCACCAATCTGTAAAGTCAGTGGCTCCTCTACCGAATCAAAATCGTTCACATACAAATCTGGATATTTCTTTTGTGCTGGGTTAATAAAGAGGTCCAACTTTTGTTGCGTTGGTATATGAGCCATTTCTTTACTTTGTTTGCTGTTGATGCCACGGGGCGGCAGCTTGCCAATGGCTGTAGGGTTTGATTCGCTTGTGCGCACCGTAATAATCTCCGGCATATCACTCCCACTTTCTTCACCAGAGGGCTCTGAGTCTTGAACAAAAATATTGGGCTCTCGCTCTTCTATTCCTACGCAATCAGTCGTAGAATCTGTCACAAACTCTGCAGGTCCAGTCTCTTCAACCACTTCAGCCGGAGTCTCTGGTTCACCCGATTCATCTTTTTGGAACTGGAAATCGAGTTCTTGGCTCATAGGCTCGATTTTAGCTCTCTTAAAGTCTGGCTCTTGCTGATCAGTCTTTACTCTTATACTAGAAGATAATGGTATCACCATTTCCTGATCAGAGTAGTAATCTGCCAAGGCATCTCTGAAAGCATCAATAACAGCGTTCTCAGCATGCAATATCACTGTCCTCTTATCTGGGGTAACATTGATATCAAGAAACTCCGGAGCCACTTCGAAGTTAAGAAAGAAGACTGGAAATTGGACATTATTGTGGCTACGATATACTTCATTACTACACTTAACAAGTGATGGGTAAAGGACTGGCCGGCGATTGATGAAGATAAACTGACGATCTTTGGTATTTCTTCCACACCCAAAGGAGTTCTTGGAAATGTAACCTGAAACTTCAACAATGTATTCTGACGGGTTCTTAAATTCACCTTCGAAAACTTGACTCGCCCATGATTTATTTGAGTTTATTTCAAGTCGTAGCTTGATATCAGAAAGACCTTGCATTGCAGCAGATCCAAAAACTCCAATAATTCTCTTAGGGATGCCTTGGTCTTTTGTAGAAGATAAAACTAACGTCCGACGTCCATTGTTCGTGATGTGCCATACTGATATCTTCATGCGGTCTTGGATTATCGTGTATTGTTGTAGCAGGGCAATGCATTTGTTGAACTGTCGCTTATGATTACGCGTGAATTCTTTCTTGCGCACTGGAAGATTGTTGAAAAGTTGCGAAACCTGCACAGTAGTGCCTTTGTTGCGAGAAGTGACAGTATTTTTTGTCAACTCTCCTTTAAAATTGAATTCCAAGCGTGCGGCTTTTGGGGGGTTCGTAGTTGTTATCACAACTAAATTGGCAATTGTTGCTAAAGACGACAAGGCCTCCCCTCTGAATCCCAGCGTTCTAACTTGCGAGACATCTTCGAAACTAGATATTTTAGACGTGTGATGCTTCAATGCTAGACTTCCGTAGCTATTCTCAGGGACGCCACTTCCATTATCGCTACATTCCAGAGACTCCATCCCGTAGTTTTTGAAAACACATTCAAATTGATCAGCCTTAGAGTCGATACTGTTATCCAGCAACTCTTTGACCGCCGAGGTCAAGTCCACAATTACCTGACCTGATGTGATCCTATGAACGTCTGCATCATTAATGGCAGCTATTTTGGTGCTCATGCTATTTTCGGCTAATGAATATCGAAGATTTCAAGTATTGACTTTGAAGGTCAAATAATTACGATACCTTCAAAGTGACTAACATGAAAGATGTACGGGGCTGCAGCAAAATGGCTTCGGGTCTTCATGAAAAGTTACATCAATGTGATATTGTACTATAGGAATGTTTATCCGAAGGAATCCTTTGATTGGATGTCTTTTCAGGCGTTTAATTTACCCAGACATTTACCGATGAATCGCCATCCGGAGCTTCAGACCTACATAGAAAACTTGATTTCTGACGTTCTTTTAAAGCTAGATTCAATTCGTCACTTTAATCTGCGAATCGTTAAGTTGGACGATGGAACTTGTGTAGAGCGCTACGCGCTAGATTTCAATGAATTTCGGCACGAGGAAGTTAGCGACCTACTGGAGACACAAGTGTTCGACGAGCTGCGATCTAGTTTGAACAGCTTGATTGCCCGACTAGAAAATTTGCCACAGATAAAGCCTGCTAGCGTCAGTTTCGAAATTGTTATAGATTCGATGGGGTTGAGTCTAGGTCATAAAATGAACCGGGTTCAAAATTCCAAAGAACGCCAGATTCAAGAACAAGATTCAAATTGGGTGAAATGCTCAGAGGAAGGATTTTCAGCTAATGCTCAAAGTTTAAGCACGCAGCCTAGGAATCCACGCATTAAAATAATTTCGTTAACTGGTTGTGACATTGGACCTTTAGTAATATTCCAGTTTATGGAAATACTTATCAGTCCTACTCACACTACCAGCTCCCAGGTCTACGAAAGTTCAGATGCATACCATAGTTCTCAGTCGGACCCTTTTCCATGAATATAAGTTTTACTCTATTATTTAGCGCTAACTTGGAAATGCATATATCATACAGGTTTTGGATGAAGGGTGCACTTACACTCATTCCAATTTCATACCTCTTTTGAGGTTTTCGTAACATAAATAGCTGATCGAGACAGCCGGGCATACCTTAGCCAAGTTTGGCACAAGACCCTTGAAGAGACCCGGATAACCTTCCCTTTGCACAGTTTTCGAGAACACATCTCTAAACCCATCGTACTGATAAGGATGAGCATATGTACCCTGAGCCTGTAGTCTGGTTCTCAAGAGATTGATGGGATAAACCAAAGTGGCACCAACAGTGCCACTAAAAGCCCCCATAAGAAGGACAAACACATTGCTCATAGTGACCTGATCCTCTGAAACGCCTGTCATTTGAGCTTTTCGCGTAATATACCATTTCTTGAGAGCAGAAAAAGTACCCAAATCCAATGCGGCGTAAGGAAAAATACCTGTCACGCCAACTGTGACACCTCGGTAAAATAGTTTCAAGCCGCCATCCCTGTACATTTGTTTCGCAGTCTCAATCATTAGCCGCGATCCCTTCTTGTGGGCATTCAGTGGGGCACATTGTACTCTGTATTTTAACGTGTCGACAGGATAGACCGAAAACTGTGCCATGACACCTCCCATACCACCAGCAATATAAGTTGAGAATCTTGATAGCTGCGATGTATCATTGGTTCCTTCTAGTTGAGCCATCATTCGCTTAGCGATTTCAAAAGACCCAAACTTAATTGCCGACTCGGGGAATACTTTTATAACATTCAGCCCATTTCCGACGTAAAAAGCACGGATACCGCCCTGTCTGTAGAGTGAGGTTGCCGCTTTCACCAATGGGGATTTGATCTTAGCTACGTCAGCTCCTGGATTATGTTTCAACACTGAATCCTTGGAATTTAGAAAAGTCGAGGTCAAATCAGTTCTTGCGATGAGGAAAACTTTTATTCTATCGAAGGGTGCAGTACAGGTTCTCGATATAACACCAGAAACACCGCCCGCAATGAAAAACCCAAAACCTCGAATGAAATCGTTGATCAACGTTACATCACCTTCGGAAGATAAATCCACATCTTCATTGAATAGATAGAAGTATGAGTATGCAGTATGCAATCGCGAGCCTTTTTTGCGAGGCATAAACAAAAGAAAGTCGCGCCATTGGTCGTATGTGATGTAAGGCGAGCTTTCGGCCTCCTTTCTCTTTGCTGTGAACGCCCAACGCAAGAAGTTTTTAAAGGTCGACGACTTTTCCGGTCGCGGCTCATTGTTTTCCGCCAGTTTACTCAGATACGTGGATAGTTCGCTAGTACGAATTTTACCATCCTGATATCGATCGAGCTTTAGGAATCCTTGCCGTATTTGACTTTCTGCGGTCAGCGCATATTTCTTGAAATCTTCAAAATCCACGATGGAGTCATTATTACAATCCAGTGACCGAAACATCTGTTCAATAGCTTCGGGCGATTTTTTGAGTGGGTGATTGCTCCTTTGAAATGCCCTTGTCAATTGTTCGAGATCGACTTTACCAGTCTTATCGATGTCAATTGAATTGAACAGCTTGTGAAATCGACGATCCCGCTGCTCATTTGTTTCGTCCGGGAGACCCATCTTCACAAACCACAATCGATCACAACCACCTTTACGCTCTTGCTGTTAAATAACCTCTACGCATGAGATTTTCAAGTTGTGATGAGATGGATCTCTCTTTTCAATCCAAAAAAATTTGTCTTCAAACAAAGAAGTAAAAAGTCGAGACCAGTGGGAGAGAAGCTCGCTGAACTTGGACACCGTGGGCCGTATGTGTGCTATGTGCGTTTTCAAATTCGAATCTATCCAAGTTAATGCCTTTCGCGTTTTTAACGTTAAACCTGCAACTTGAGCAATTGTTGATGCTTGCCTGCTCGTCTTAGGCTGCTATTTACGAGATGCGGAAGAGTTGAGAAGAAGTTCAGTCAACGTACTTAGCTGAGCTGCTGTGTCATACGCTCGATAAAATTGAGCTAACATCGAGGAAACGTTACACTCACATGGCAGAATCACTACGACCATCTTAGGGGCCTTCTTTGAGCTGTACAAGAGGAAAAAATAGATGCCCTTTAGCGTCATAATTTAGCGGATACCAAACCAATCTCTCATTTATTTAATGAGCATGGATTGTACCATGATAGTCTTCCAGGCTTGTACCATTTTTCAAGCGCGCGCATATCTTGTTTTAGGCAATGATTTTGATACATGACCTACGCGGAACTATATGTTGTATTTGTTCATAACATATGCAAAGTGCCGATACCACTCGATAGGCATATTGATTAAGTCTCAGTCGGATTTATTGTGTGGTTCAAGATATTGAGACATTGGCTTTCACTTCCATATAATCATCTGCGCCCACATCAAGATAGCTCACTTTGTCCCCTGCCTGGAGACCTTATGATAGAGCATCGATAAATTTTGTAGATGAAATGTTCGCAAAGTCAGCACGAAATTCAAGAATTTTGGCAAGAATATTCTGAGCCTCGCTTCTGGCAGTAGAGTCGGTAAAGATGAAGCAGGGAGAGGATGGGCGGTCGACTTGGAATTATAGAACATCATGGTATAATAATTTCTTGGATTTATGCCCTTTCTGGAAAATCGTTTTCAGAGGACGCTACTGTTGAAATCTCAGCTGCCGCATCGGCCTCTGCGGGGCTTACAAGACAGTGTATTGTGGCAAATCAATTGATTAAGACCAGCAAAGCGATCCATTCCGAGGCCTATCGAAGGTTATAAAATCACTTTAGATGATAGAGATCTAAAAAGCCAAAAATATGTCTTTGCATGTGGCCAGCAACAACTCGCACAAGTCACTTAGTGGTCAATAAATCCAAAAGTCAAATTAAGTTGATTAGCTGGATGAAGAACAAAATATTAAGAATAACGAGAAATTGCAAGAAGGAAATGTCGGAATGGGCACTTTTTGTTTGTGGGCAGGACCTCGAATAGTTCAACTTCGAAAGCCCACTTGATAGAGGGCGTCATAGTAACTTAAGTCACACGCAAGGTGGGGTATAAGCACGAGAATACGCGACGAGCGGTGGAACTTGTATTAACAAGTTGCGAATTTGATACTTTGGATCAGGTGCAGAAAAGACAAACTTGGCTAACGTGAGTTTGGTCTGGTCATTGATAAATGCTCGCAGAGACATATTTTTTGTGCTTTGCTTTTTTGTTAACACGACGATGTAAATCCTCCCATATTGATAGGTTATAGGTTCAAATCCTATATTTCCTAACAATAAATAAATCCTCCCATATCGACATCGACCACTGGAAGTGATCCACGCTGATTTCAGCAACTTGTATCCGCAGGTGTAATACTATAGATCGTGAAGTAATCTAGTCTAATCTAGACCGTCTATACCCCTGCTGACGTACCTAGCATATGGATGTCATTCAGCCATTAGCAAGTGTCACTCTATACAAAAGTGACATGTAAAAAAAAAATCAGCAGCGGTCTCATAAGAAAGGACCCATTCATTACCATCGAAGTAGCTGCGCTACTTGGTTTTCAATGCCGCATACACCGGTCATGAGCACACCATGGATTCACGAATGTAGAGTAGTTCTGGAGGTTCTTACCAAGCTGTAGATGGTGTAGTCGTTTGCTCCCGCATTCACGAGTGTCGACTCGTGAAAAGTCGTTATTCACCTCTACCTACGCGTATGGATACTCTTCAATACCAGCTGCTCCTCCTAAACCCTCTATCCTAGTTCGAATACTTCAACCACGATCTTTAGTCATCTGTATAAGACTCCACATAGTTACAACCTTTCAACAAACAGCTTCTATGGCCAAGTTGGTAAGGCGCCACACTAGTAATGTGGAGATCATCAGTTCAACTCTGGTTGGAAGCATTTGTTTTTATATTTTCTTCTCCCCTCGAAATTTCTCGTCATGTTTCACGAGCTTCACCCGCTCATTTTTGTTGGGCAGAAAGAATAAAGCGGGGCCGACAAACCTTTAAAAAAATAGATCTAAAGAGGGTTTCGACCCCCTGTATAAAGAACTACGTGCATTCATATGAACCCAGCGGTTTGAACTTTAAGGATTTCACCCCCCAGAGTCTTATCGCTAGCAATCGAAAAGAAGACGTTGTTATCCAAAGACATCACGTCAAGAATTGATACAGCAGGAACATTTCTGTAACGGGTTTTAGTGGATCTTCTGTTTGCCAAGAGATCGGAAATAGTGTCTGTGCTCAATCGCTTTGAGGACTGGAAACTGACGGTTTAGTCACAATCGCTGGCTGGAATTCTTAAATACAACAGCACCCGCTGTGGAAACAATTCCAAGAGGGGCACTTTCAAGGTAGGAGAAAAAAAAAGTCAGATCCCGTTGTTGTGGAAGCGTCTTTGATCAGCATCCATCGCAAGTTTATAAAGCGCATCGCATTCGCTCCCTAGGTTTGCTTGGCGAACTGTTTCAATCTTGTTTCAGCCGATTCGGAAAAAAAGGCGACAACTTCACCACATGTTCCGTTCCCTTGTGCTACGCCCAAGCTCCAGAGCTGCCAGGTTGGAAAAAACAACGCTCAGGTCAATTCCTCGCCAATACCAGAATCTCAGAATGCTGCACCAGAAGGATGATGGGAAATCTACCGATGCGTCAACTCAGCCTGACGCTGCTGCCACGACTCTAACCGACCAGTACGAACACATGCGGCTCTCGGGCACGCCCAAAACCGTTGGTGGCTACGAGGCTACCTGGCTCAACGCGCTAGCAGAGCGCGAAAAGCAGCTTGCGCAAGGCAAGATCATCGATTCGTATGTCTACAGTTCCGTGAAATCGACCGAGGTTGGTGAAAAGACTCACAAGGACTCGTTTGCGTATCTAACGTTGCCGTTCCGCGAGGATCCCAACGTGGCTGATTTCTACGTCAACGCTGCCGGAAGATTGAGAATGGGTCAAATTTTCCAGGATTTGGATGCTTTGGCGGGGAGAATCGCTTATAGACACACCTCACCTGCTGAACCGGTTATTGTGACTGCCTCTGTGGACCGAATTTATCTACTAAAGAGCATCGACTGTATGGTCGATTACAACGTCATTCTCTCAGGTGCTGTGGTCTGGACCGGTAGATCCTCCATGGAAATCGCTATCAAGGCCACCGCTATTAAAGGTGACCTGCCCAAAGAAATTACACAAGACAGCCTGGCCGAAAACGATACTTTTTTGACCGCGTCGTTCACTTTTGTAGCCAGGAATCCAGAAACTCACAAGTCCTTGGCTGTTAACAAACTTTTGCCTTTGAGCCAAAAGGAATGGATGGACTTCAGGCGTGCCGAATCGCATAACGCTGCAAAGAAACTACGTGCCGCTAGCGAAAGTTTGGATACTAACCCTCCAACTGAACAAGAATCTAGAATAATTCACAACATGTGGGCCGCTTCGAGACAATTGGCAAAATTGTCGCAGAAACCCCCTAACATCATGTTTATGAAAAATACTAACGTTAAGTCCACTATGTTCATGCAACCCCAATATAGGAACAGACACTCCTATATGATATTTGGTGGTTATTTGATGAGACAAACTTTCGAATTGGCTTACTGTGCTGCGGCTTCTTTCTCGCATGCTTTCCCCAGGTTCGTGTCTTTGGACTCTACCCACTTCAAAGCCCCAGTTCCTGTGGGTTCTATCCTACATATGGATGCAACAGTTGTTCACACCGAACACTTGTACGAGCGCAACTCTAAACCTAAGATCGCTTCCCTAGATGATAAATCCATTGATGGTAATACTGTGTTCCTTTTCGACCCATCTCCCGTCAATCAACTTTCAAGCAATGAAGAAGCCATGCTGTCTAAGCCCGGTACCCTAATCCAGGTTAGGGTTGATACCATGGTACAAGAACTGGCATCCGAGAAAAAGACCTCTTCGGGTTCATTCATCTTTTCCTTTTTTGCTCACAGGGACACTGATGATAAAGTCGGTAAACCTGGATATGCCACAGTGGTTCCAGAGAGCTACTCTGAAATGATTGAATACATTAGTGCTAGAAGACGTGCTATCGATACTGCAATGTATGCTAGTAACTTGAAGAGAAACAACAAGTTGTAAGCTATTATTTTTCACCTTCCTGCTCATTTTTAAAAATCTAATTGTGTCGGTCTGGATTATATATTCACAATGTTACCCAAGTCGAGATAGATAATTGCCATTGATGAATATACCTCTTTATAAATGTTTTTCTTTGCATTAAATGTCCGTTTTATATAGTATTACAATGATCTACATCGATCCCACGCTTTGCATTAAATGTTTGAGTCCATTGAGGCTTCAATTTCAGGAACCTGTCCCCGTATTTCGTTGGCGTCGCAAACGCCAACGCCGCTCCTGTTGGGTAAACTTACCAGTCTTTTAACACTCCTTTTTCTCTGAGGTTCTGTACCCCGAGATCCATCACGTTCCACCCATTTATAATTGTCTCCATTCTTAATGGGTACGAGATCATCAGAGCTACTACTTGACAAATGAGAATTTGTAGAATGTTGATCTTGGGGCATTTCACTCAAATTGGGTAATACGCGATCTCCGGAGAAGTCAATTTTCGACGCGTTGTTTGATTTACGGGGACTTATAGCGCTTGAGTGCATGTTTTCTAATTTATTTGGTTCTGCATTCGTTGGCATTGCCATGAATACAGAGTCTCGCAAGCCCAGGGAAGACTTTCTTGGATCCTTGGGCAGAGTCTTGTTGTTCGCTATTTGTGTGTTAAAAAGCTCTGCAGTGCTCACTGTATTCAGTGAATTGTAACTTTCTCGTACGTTACTGACGGGTTCATTATTATTTGCGGAAAATCTCCACGATTTTCGATTTGTAGGCTCGCTGTTTAAGTACACCGACGATGTATGTTTATTGGAATCAAAATACTGATCATTTTCGTTTGGCGGTAGAAGCGCATCTGTACTACCAGTCTGCATAGCATCCTGGTATAAATCAGAGGATGACGAATTCATAGTCGCGCATTCGGCCTTTTCGTCAAAAGTAGAATTGTCGGAACCAGAGCCTGGCTGTTCATCTAACTTCATTGCATTTAACACTGCCAATCTCTTAGCTGAAGCATTTTCATCAACTGAATATTCGTCACCAAATGGTGAATCTGTTCCATAAAATGCTGGATTATTAGCTGGATTACCTAGTTTTGGATTGCTAATTTGGGGAGAGTTTTCGCGATCTCCGGCGGAAGCAGATTTATTCTTTCTACGCCTCCAAAGGAGCAAAAATAGGATGAGAAGGGCTAAAATCACGACGACTGGGATTGCTACCCCACATGCAATGGCTACTGTCTTGTTGCTCTTGTTCGAAGCTTTCTTCAATCCTGATTCTGGAGCTGCCGACGAAGTCGAAGTCGCAGAAGCTGTACTCGTGCTCGAAGCTGATGAGCGAGATGTGGAAGAAAGGTGGGATGTTGACGATGAAGAAGCGGATGAGGAACTGGATGAGGAAGTATGCTTCGACTGAACAGCAGCTAATTTGAACGAAAGGCTTTGACTTTCAGAAGCTTGCTTGGCAGTCACGCGAACGACTAAATCATCGAAATCATCGGGTACTTCGCCTGTCAGGGTCATATTGCTGTCATGGTATGATAGCCACGATGTTGATTGTGACGTGTTTGTGAAATCCAAAGACACGTCAGTATTATTGTAGTCCGTGAATTGCGAGGGCAAGAGTTGGGATTGAAACCATTCGCCCTGTGTCGCGTTAACGTTGGGCAGCGATGATACGGCAAACAACTTGTGAGTAGATTCAACCAAGAAATTGAGGTAAACAGAATCACCGTATACATCTTCGATTTCCACAGTTAAATTTTGGCTTGTTTGACCCTTGGGTAAGGAGCCGGATAAGCTTTGATTGGAGACTGTGGCCCAATCAGGATCGCCCAAAAGCTTGATTGAGCTGACATTAGAGGAGGAAACGGGACTGCCATCTAGGTAAATATAGCTCATTGGTAAAGGATAACTGAACGATCCTGTACTCGAGACATTAACTGCCAAAGTGTTCTGGATAGAGGTAGTTAACTGATGAGCTCCCACAACTAGTTCGAATTTGACTTCAGCACCTGTATAATCTTGTATGTCTGAGGCAAGCAGTGAAAAGGAATATGAAAATTCCGGCGCTATCTCTGAATTCACTACGGGAGCGGTCCCACTGAACTTCAAATTTGCTTTATCGAAAAACACCCAGTTGGGTAACGGAGCGTGGTATAGCGTGGAACGACCATAGTATGAGGTAGAAGAGCTGGTATTGTCGAAGGTGTCTCTGTCGAAAGACACATTGAACACGCTGCCAGGAACAAGCTTTAAGGCATTTTTACCGTTTGTGTAGCCGCTATTTTTAAGCAAGCTGAGCAGGTTAAAATTTGCAGACACTTCAGGCAGAGCATCCTTTGAGAGCGCGAATTGATAGGTCTTGTTCAAAGACTGGTTGTCGTTGGGGTCTATCCCTTGCAAAAGGTAGGAGACACGAGCGGTCTCGGCATCGCCGTCGAAATCTGATTCTGACGGCGTTCCAGAAAACACACGCGACTGGGAGTCGAATTGGAGCCACGATGGGAGCGCGAATGCTTCGTATTGAATCTGAGCGTTGTCGTCTTCGCTGGACTTGAAAGTGTCGTTGGAAAGTTGAAATGAGTACTGAGCACCCACCACAGCGACTGGAGGGTACTGGCTATTGGCTCCGAATGCCTCGTAGGGCTGGCAATATGCCAGCGCTGAGCAAAGTGCCACGAGGAGAGGCCCGCCGATGCGCATGAGTTGTCAAGCTAGCTATACACGCCTTAACAAAAATTCCACGTTTCTTGATGAAAGACAGGACTGTTCAAAAACTTTATAATGGGGTTTCCCATCCAACGTTCGTTCTTTTAAAGACGCTGAGCCGGTCTCTGGAGATCTCATTTCCAGATGCGTTTGCCAGCTGGTTTTTTTTCCCGTCGTGGGCGGGTTCATGCATTTTTCGCGTTCCTTCATATCTTCCAAAAATGTGTGAAACACGAATTTCCCGTGAGTAGTTTGGCGTTTCGGTCCGAACTTGAACAGATTTTACCGAGCAACGGGGATTTTTGCAGGTTCTAAGAAGAACAGCTACCACAGTTGAGCAAATGAGAACGCAAAGCTCGTAGTTGTCGAATTCTTTGAACTTTTTAGTGCTTTCGACTGTATACATTTCTCGATTTAATTGATTAGCGATGCCATTGTGAATATTTTCGTTCACAGTGACTAGAATGTTGTCAATCGACGGCGTGAGAATTCTTGGGCCAAGAATGGTTTTATATATATATATAGTTGAATGGTGTGCACCTAGGCCCGAGTCGAGGCAGTTGGGTATGTGTGTCCGCGGTGTGTGGAGAAGATGGGTGAGTAATCATTGTGAACGAGAAGTGATGATTTTATTGAGCCATAGGTGCGCCGAGTTATAGACGATTGTGGCACTCAGCTATCTCTATACTTTTCGGCACTCTCGCTGTGCAAGAAAAGCTTTAGGTTTTGAAAGTCCGAACGAAAGGCACGACACGGTCGTGACATGCGATTTGGAATATATTGGAATGTGTTACGCTAGAATCCCGCTGCGAGGAATAGAGAAAGAGGGCCTTCTACGAGACTTTTGGCCATTTTTGGTGGCAAGTCATTTCTGTGAGTGTTTGGTGCATTAAATGGATGCCGACTTTTGACAATGACACATTGGTATAAAATGACATACTCGAAGTTGCCGGTTGGATATTTAAACGCCGGCAATACGGTTACAATAGCCGATCGGAGCTCTGCTAGGATAGACAAGTGATGCGGCCAGGATTCTGTGGGCAGCCTAGTTACTCTGCTCATAGCCGAAACCGATTCAACACAGAATTCGAGTTCATAATATTTCATCTTAGCAAATTTCGTAACTGTTCAAATAAAGATGATTTTATTATCTATGTCAAACTCTGTTCTTCCTATCTAGAAATATACTGCGGGACTTACATTACCGAGCCCCGAATCAGTACAGGTCACAAGTTGTCAATTGACGTTATTACACATAGCCTCACGCAAGTCACTTTAGGTTATAAATATCCTCAAAGCCAAAAACGCATGTTGTGACTAGGTATGAACTCAACGGTCAGTGATCTACAGGTTTTTCTACAATCACTGTGGCCGACCAGACGTCATTTGCACCTGCGTCATTTCTGCTTGCCGTCGTTTGGATACGCGATGCCTTAAGATTAGGCATCTTGCACCTGTCTTTCCATCAATGCCAATCTTTCGTTTGAGCCAGAGTGCCAATTCTGACATGGTCCGCTACTCGCACAGCTTTTGCTGCTTCATACCAACTTGTCATTGTCGAACGTTAGAAGAATCGCAGAGATTTATTCCATGAATATTAGTGGGTTGTCACACAGCGAAGTTGTCACACAGCGAAGTTGTCACACAGTGAAGTTGTCACACAGCGAAGTTGTCACACAGCGAAGTTGTCACACAGCGAAGTTGTCTTACAGCTAAGAACACGACTACCTGTGTTTTGTTAGGCGCCTTATGCTCGCAAATTTTCGAGATTATCAAGAGACAAAGATATTGTCTCTCGTAGTTTGACCACTAACACCCACTAATTTTTCTCTTGGCCCTAGATTACATGATATCCAACTTCCCAGTAGCGGATCAAGTGCCCACAATTAATTACAATTTGGAGCTGCTCAACTCACTTAGTTGGAACTTTTTACTCACTACAACCTTGAACGTTTGCATACCATCCCAGGATCAGCTCCCATGTAATCCTGTAGCAGATATTTGATAAGCCCCAGCCGCAGAGAATAATTTTCCCCTGCTCTCACAGTATTAACTTACGGACCTGTACTACCTCAAGCAGTCAAATTGACTATCCGCACTCGGTTTCTGGTGTTTATCGATGAGGTGTCACCCGCGTCTATAATGATATTACCAACTTTTTAGCTAGCCCCTATGAACTTCAAAATACAACAAATTGGACATTGATCTAACTAAAAAACCTAAAACCGTATCAACACGGCCTGGAATTCAGTCCTGTGAAGTTCAAACTCATAGCTCATAATGCCTAAACTGGAGCAATTTGAAATCAAGAAATACTGGCAGATTTTCTCCGGGCTGAAGCCAGTAGAAAGTAAACTGACGCATGACCAGGTACAACCTATTTTGTTCAACTCGAAGCTGGACTCCTCTGTTCTCAACAAGATCTGGTTCCTAGCAGACATTGACGATGACGATAATTTAGATTTCGAGGAGTTTGTCATCTGTATGCGGCTCATCTTTGACATGGTCAACAAGAACATCGACACGGTGCCAGACGACCTGCCGGACTGGCTAATTCCTGGTAGTAAAGCAAAGCTCAACGCTCAGCGCAAGTCACAAGCCGATTCGCCGGAGATCTCAGCTGGCCGTAGTGCCAGTTCTGCAGACGATAGAGGTGAAAATACTGTCCACAAAGATACAGCCCCTACGCCTGAACTCGATTGGTACATTTCTCCCTCCAACAAATCGCTGTATGGTTCAATTTACGAATCCTGCGACAAACTCACTGATGGAACTGTCGCTTACGGTCCGCTATCAACCGTTGTACGGTCAAATTTTCCCAACGCCAGCTCCGCAGAGATTGATCGCATGTGGGCGCTTGTGAATCCTCGGAATTCAAGTTCTATCAACAAAGATCCAGCAGTATATTTGATCCACGCGCTGAAGCAAAATCACGATTTTGGATGTGAGCTACCCACGGAGCTTCCTCACGCCATCAGGGATATTTGCAATCAACAACGGGTGTCTTACGATTTGAATTCATCTCAAGCGGATGTCAAACGCGCTTCCCCCCAGAACAGAGCAAGCGATATTCATGTCACAACTAAAAAGAATGACACCAATAATACCGCTGCTAAAGATTCAGACGGGGAGGTAGCGCAATTGAGGAGACAGTTGGCCAGTATCAACGCCGGCTCACACGATGCTGAAAGCTCCACTATTGTAGCGGGGTCCGATCCAAGTGTTGCCAGGAAACAATTTGAGGAGCTATATAATTATCGCCAAAGTCAAGTCCTCAATGCACAGCATTCATCTCGCGCACCATTAGATGTGAGAGGTATAACAGAAGATTTGGAAACTATAGAACAGCAAGTAGGCGTTCTGGAGCAGTTTTTGGCCAATAAGAAACAAGAGCTGTACCAGTTGCAGGCAGAATCTCAGTCCTTCCGCGCATAAATTTCAGTACCATTACGTAAATAACATCACTTCTCTGCATGAATAACATTGGTCTTTGAGGAAGCCTTCTATTTCTCTTACTTACATGACTAAAAAAACCTAGAGCTATCTTACATTTGCTGTCTGTTAGCAGTTCTTGGTTTAGCGCGAATGATGTTATCTACCCTCAGGAGAACCTCTGCGGCTTCAGATGCTGAGCTTACCACCGCTTTCTTCAACTTATAACTCTCGATGACACCCATTTCTCTCATATCAGCTATAGTCCCGTTATTCAAATCGAGACCAGAGGTAGTCATACCGTTGTAGATAGAGGATCTTAATTTGGACACTAATTCACTGCTATCAAAACCAGCATTGTCTGCCAAAATTGTTGGAAGTTGTCTCAAAGCGCGTGCAAAAGCTTCGACAGCAAAGGCTTTTTTACCATCAACGTTTTGAGCAGCCGTGTCAACGGCTTTGGACATGATCATCTCCGCACACCCACCTCCAAGCACAGTTCTAGTTTCTTTAGTAGTTTGCGATAAAACTGACAGCGCGTCATGCAATGATCTCTCAGCTTCATCTAAAACTTGTTCAGTCGCACCTCTTAATACAATTGTGCAAGCTTCGCCTGCTTTGCATCCACTAAATTTGGTGAAAATTTGCTCACCAATCATTATCTCTTCAATTACATCACACTCACCCAACTTACATTTTTCAGGATTGTCAAAAGTAGACACGACCTCACCACCTGTTACAAGAGCCAACCTTTCAACACCCTCAAAGTCTGCGTGTTCGATGGAGTTGATTCCTTGATCGGTAAATAGTTGCTCGGGGTAGTCGTAGATAAGCTGTCTGTTGATGAATGTGTTGATACCGAATTTGGAGATTTTATCAATTTTATTTTTCATTTTGGCCTTTTCTGCTTTCTCCAATTGGGCAAGTTTGGAAGTAGAATCAACCTTGAATTTAGCACCAAAGATCTTTACTTTGTCAGTATCTAAGGAGGTATTGGCAATTAGAATCTTGGCATTCTCAAGGCGCTTAGGCTGGTTATTGCCGAATCTTTTAGGTAATATGAATCCCTCATCTAGGAAAGAGTCAGAAAGTCTGCTACCAATAATTTTCAAAACCTGAATGTGTTCCAAGTTAGCTGTGACTCCCAATCTCATAATGGAATCGGCAGCTAGCTTGGAGAAATGATCTTTGTCTTGAGACAAAATTTTGGACGAGAGAGTAGTCTTGGCAATGGAGACCAAATCTTGGTAAAATCCTTCCTTGTTGGCGGAGTTGTCGACAGCAGTTTTCTCCAAAGCGCTCAAAGCGGCGCTTGATGCTATTCTGAAACCTTCGATGATAGTCTGAGGGTGGATTTTGCCCTGATCAATCAGTTTTTCAGCTTCTCTCAACAGCTCAGCACTCAAAACTGTTACACTCGTGGTTCCGTCACCCACCTCGTCGTCCTGCACTTTACTAATGTTAACCAGTACTTTGGCAGCGGGGTTGTCAAGTGGAATGGCTTTGAGGATGGTAGCACCATCGTTTGTAACCATGCAAGAATCGCTGCTGGCACTTTGCAGCAGTTTGTCCATACCCTTGGGTCCCAAAGTAGTTTTGACTAGATCGCCCACAGCGATTGCGCCGACGAACGCCGACATACGAGCATTTTCAGCTCTTTCCTCTGTGACTTGATCACCAAAAATCTGCACACTCTGCGAACAACATTAGTTAGTAAAATACTCTAAAAAGTCATAACGAATTCAGCTAGAAATCGTTATGTATACAACCTGGTGAGTGCTCCTCAACATACCATGTCTAAAAAGTGATCTTGATACTGAGACTTCGATGAAATCGGTCTACTTATAACTTTCCATCTTCAATATTTGATGGTTGATTTAAATTTGAAGGATTAATTGCCAGGGCGAATTTTTGCCACTCGTCTATGATGATATTGGTGGTAGTCGAGTAGTCTCGAGCGCCAGCTAGTCAGTGTCAATAATAGTAGAGTTGCAGTAATATTCGTGCTTCTTAAAGCTCCCTTCTAGAATCATATGCGTTGAGAAATGTTTCCGCACGATTCGGATTTATAATAAAAAAGTAGGCATTCTAAGCGGATTAACAAATTTATAACATATACAAGAAGCTAGCAGGTTTGTTCTATCAATTGAAGGTTATCAATACCGAGGCAGACCTAAAACACATATCCCTTACGCACCTTCTGATTCGACAACAAATAATCAAAGCAAACCTTTGATATTTTTTAACCAACAGTGGCAGCTCATCAAAGCAAGCTACAACATTGATGCAGCTGTCTGTCGCGTTTGATATAGCTGGTAAAAAGAAGAAGAACTACATGCGTTGAGCATCAGGCTCAAATCTCTTAGAAATATAAAAAATAAATGCTTCCAACCAGAGTTGAACTGATGATCTCCACATTACTAGTGTGGCGCCTTACCAACTTGGCCATAGAAGCTTTTTTTGATATGTTCAGGTCCTGGTAATTTCACTTTATATACCGCAACTCGTATTCGATGAAAGTCTGTTAAGGTATGTGCCAGTGTCAAGAGTCACCACTTTCATAGGGTTTCAGTGCCACTGCGTTGAGCACCAATTTATGCCATCTTTCCGCAGGCTTTATATTCCAGCATCTTGATTAAGCCGTCTTGTTAAGTATCGCATTGTATAGTGTTGTAGTAAGAAAGCCCAGACAGCGGTTATACATTACTGACTCAAACATTCAAAGAAACCTAACTGATGTATCACGGGTTTCCGCCATACATATCATTTAATACTATATTAAACAGTGATGCGCTGTATGGGAAAGCCTACTTTTGCATTTCAAGTCTGCACCAAGATTTTGGTATGCGAAGCATCGTTCACCTTTAGCTAGCATGTTGTCCGTAACATATAGAAGTTTAGACAGTTCTAATGGCATGTGCTCAATACCCTTCGACTCTGTTCGTCGAGGGGGAAATCCGAAAGTAACATAAATTGTTGTGTCCCTCTTCCTATGATCGGGATGCCTATTCCAAAACACTACAAAAGGTACTTTTCGCACCGCCAATGCATCAAGATATGTCCAAATTCTTCGACAACTGGAACTTCACCATTAAGCGAATAAGCTGCTTCAAGCTCACTGCATGAGCTTTACATATAATTTGCTGCAAGAGAGAGCCTCTAGAACTAACAAGTCCACATAATTTGTAAACCGTAAACTGACGAGCTTAGGAGCGCATCACATATCGCCCTTTGAAAGATCCGATAAAAAAGGTATCATCGGAAGTTTACAACTGCTTTATATTACGTAGACTGGTATAATTTTATAGCGCTTGCTTGGCAAACTCTACTGCCTCAACGAAGAGTTCGTAGTCTTGCTTCTTACAAAGACCAAATTCAGACATCTTACTTAACACTTGCGCAAACTGAGTCATGAATGTTACGGATCTCCGCAGTTCTTCCTGCAAATTAGGAACGGCTTTGTTAGTGTTGAACATTGTCATCACCAAAGCCAAAGCATCAGTCTTGGAATTCCCACTGTGTAAATATTTCTGCAAGTAGAACTCCCAAATCATGGCCATCACCGTACTGGGAGTGGAGAGCTTGAATGGCATAGCACCCACAATTTGTCGTTGCCACCCAAAGTTGTCCACTGAAAGTCTGTCGAACTCTCCAGCCGCTAAGCTCGAGACCACCGTAGTTTCATAGAGATCGTTTAGATTTTCCTTTATGAAATCCACATGGTTTCTGAAGATCAATGTCTTTCTATCAATGGGCCCATGGTAGTTTGAGGGTTTTTGCTCCAGTCTGAAGACACTCAATACCCTTGTAATTGCCAGGATAAACGAAGATTCTTTTGGGTAAGACCTGATAGTCGCTTTGGACAGTGCTGATGGCGTTGCAGGGACGGTCTCTTCAAAAAGGGATAGCACCCCAGTTTTAAAAAACACGAGCAGTACAAATGCGGCCTCCGCAAACTGCTCATCCAAAGTGTCTTGAGTCATTGATAACAGGATTTTACCCCACGAAATCGGTTTCAAGCTTTTTTTGGTTGTGTCAAACTCGAAGAACCCCAAGAGCGTCAAAAATCTCAAAAAGTTTGTTGCCAGTAAGTCGAAGGGCGTCGTTAGCTTTTGAGATCTTGGAACAGAGTTTGGGAATAAAACTTTATCTGTTACAAACGTCTCCGAAAGCCCGTTGGTACCACTTATAACCGAAATAAACTCAGAAACCGAAAATTTACGATCAACGTCATCAGTTTTGACCACTAAAAGGTTGATTCTTTCAAACAGTGGTGGTGATACTCTATTGGTCAAGCTGACGGAATCGTCTGGTAAGAACCACTTGACTTGCTTTATAGGCTTAATCTGGTAGTAACGATTGATTGGTTGCGTGAGTAAGTTGAGCTCTTGATTTTTAAAGAGTTCCACAGAGTCCTTCACCAGTTGTCTATAAGAATTTGATGATCCGCCATCTAAGGGAGGCTCTTCTGCATAAATTCCTGTGGTTATAGCATCCAGAAGCTTTCCACTGATAAGTCCGATGGACCGATAGAAATAGTATTCATGTGGGAGCCTCTGGGCCACCACGTCATGGATGTCGTTCGGAATAGCGTCCAAAGAACTCGTGGAAGAGGGAGGCGAATACGAGGAGCTTGATGCGTTTGACGAAGCATCTTCGCCCCTCTCGCTGGGTGAATAAAGCTCAACCTTGCCGTTTTCTTTCAAAACGGGCATAAATCTCAAAGCTGAGATACCTTTTTGAAAACGCTCAATAGATTGAGAGCTTTCTGTTTTAATCGGGTTGATCAATTGATATGCATAAAAATCAGTACCACTGTTGATCACCATCTCTAATGCGATCTCAAAGAGTTGTTGACTTGGATAAATGCGAAGCGGTGACAAAGTGTAAGGTTGAAGGTCATTACCCACTGCCATACTGATGTCTATGAACTCTTCTAGTGAGCAGCGGAGTTCATTTAGGACACGGTTCTTATCAACGAACCGATATTCCTTGTTTGGAAATTCCATACCTAAAATGAATTTCTCCACTGACTTTAGCATCAAAAGCTCAGTAGGTCCATAGATAGCATCAATATAGCCCGTATGCAAGAGATACGCCAATTGAAACCACGAAGAATATGGAGCTACTTGATAATGTATTTCTTGCGAAATGAAGAAACTAATTAAATCGCTCTGAAAACGCTTGGTATCCAGTGGCACGTTGTATCTGAAAGCCTCCGTAGGGGGAATGGGTTGATCAATGTACGTGTTTTGGTTGTTGGACAAAAGATTAGTCCATTGAGTCCAACCTTTGTGTCTTTGGGCCAATATTGCCTCTTTCGCGGTTCTCGTCGAGGAAGTCGATGACGAGCTCATCGGCCCAGTATTGCTTGCATTGATAGCTGCTGCTGCTGCTTCGGAGGCTGAGGCCGTATAATAGCCACTAGCCTCGGCCTGGTTGGCTACTGGCGATCCGCTGAAAACGAACACCGGGGTAATGTCGTACTCTTGGAACACTTGCAGATCTGATTCCAAATACATCTTCAGGCTAGTAGGAAACCCGCCAATTGCGTCCAAGTACTGTTCCCTTTTGGACGTCAGAAGCCGTGAAACGTAGTGATCCACATCAATCCCTAAAGTCGCATTTTTTAGTGATTCGATAGGATAAGTTCCCACCAAACCCCTTTCAAACAAAAAGGATTCAAGTGACTTGATCGGCATGCCTCAATTTGCAGCACAATGGCTCTACTAGGACCTCACTAACGCTTTTGTCGTCGACTAGCTAAAACTATCCTATAATTTTGATATAGTTGACGTTCGCCACCTTTTGCAAATCAATAATGACGGTGCCAAAGAAGTTCTAAGTCACGTGCAAAGGGCAATATTATTATATTTGAACGTTTTGCGAGTTTTGAGGTCTTGAGTGACTTGACTTGCTTGAGAGAGCAGCTAGAATCTTGTAAGGATATGCAGAAATGGTATGGGTCATGTGCGGCTGCAGCTGAATAGATCCGTATGGAAGAAACAGAATAAAATAGATAATAAATGATGAAGAAAAAAGATTTGAGAGTTCGTCTATCTACAGTTTAGCAAACCAGCAACTTGTGTGCTAGTAATGGGAAGTCGCTAATACATTAGGATGACTTTTTAAGAGCAGCGTACATTCCAACAATATGTGCGGTTGCAAGAAAAAGAGATAGAAAAGCGCCATCCTTTAAAGGCTTCGCGTTTGCGTTTAATCAAGATTGACTTGTATCGACCAGATTCCAATTTTTTTTGGGTTGTCAATAGACATGTTTTTAAGTGCTAATATTAAATAAGCTTCGGGTGTATATACCTCTCCGTGATTTGCTATACGCGAGTATGATCTGAGTCTAATGCGAAATCATCGATAAGTATAAGAAGTCCGCGATGTCAAATCATGTATAGCAAACCAATTGCGGCTGCTCTGATAAGAGAGCTGCTGAGTGCCGTAACAACTCGTTGCACAACCGATATTGGTATCACTTTACACGCGTGTGTCGCTGATTTTTGGAAAAGGAAATGTCTGAAAGCGAGCGTACGAGACCGCAAAATGCTTCTGTAAAGCATTCTTCTCTCCTCATGCTCGCCTTTTTTTATTCACGCTGCTTGGCAATTCACAGCATCCATGGATCTCATTGGGTTATTTTTAAATTTGTACGTTTCCCGAAAAAATCGCAACCTGCAGTTGAATGGAGTCATTCAGCTAGCAACTGTCTCCGCTCGAAGTCAACAACGGTGATGTTACTTTGAGCTCAATCGAATCGCTTATATTTCGTCCACTGGCGTCTGTTATCATCCGTGACGACTTTCCAGATTCGAATTTCAATGAAATACTTCTATCTTTAAGTTGAACACATTGCACGTTTGAAAACAAAAACAGTAACAATTTGCGCCGTTCCCTGGGTTCCAACTCCAAATGAAAGCTACTCAATTGGCTACTTTGATAGTAGTGACTTTAATATCGCTCACGTCTGCTCTTTCGAACCAGCTTTTAGCAAAAGAAGCATCCAAAAATAAAGGTACGATAAAACTAACCAATGGCAATTTTGAAAGGGTTCTAGGAGGTAAAAAGGATGCTTACATGGTCGTTCTCTTGACCTCTACTAATCCGCAAATTGGCTGCACTCTGTGCGCGGAACTGGAACCAGAATTTAGTACACTTGCTGACTCGTGGTATCAAGATCATCGTGACGGCCTCTCCGCAGATGGAGAAAAAGCTCTTTTCTTTGCTAAGGCCGACTTCGAGCCCAAGAAAAACAACGAAGTGTTTGTGCATTTCAAAGTCAACAATGTACCCAGACTTCTCTTCTTAAGCCCCGACCAAGATTTCCACAGCTTCAACCAAATTAACCTGCCGGGAGAAAGTGGGCTCACTAGAATTGTCGCTGTCTTGAACACTTTAAAAGACGCCACGGGAATATCTGACTTTCAAGTTCATCAACCCATCAACTGGGGTTCCATCGCGATCACGGCCGTTTCGACCGCCGTGGTTACGCTTTTCATCAAGAAATACAAACCCATTGCTGTTAAACTGGCGACCTCCAGAGCCATCTGGGGAGTTGGAACGGTGTTTGTTATTGTTCTTTGGAATGCAGGATATATGTTCAACTCTATTAGAGGTAGCCAATTTGCAGGTATGTCTCAAGACGGAGGCGCAGTGGTTTATTTCATGGAAGGACAGCAGCAAAATCAATTTGGTATTGAAACCCAAATCATTAGTGTCATTTACGGCATACTCGCATCCTGCACAGTGGGCCTCATAGCATTTGTTCCTTACGCAAAGCAGTTCTACTCTAAAGACAAAGCTGGCAGACCTTCACCTTCGAAGGCGTCACTGATCGAATTAGTATTGACACTTTCTTTCTTAGTCACATTGTATGTGATCTACAGTGCCTTAACCGCAGTATTCGGCTTGAAAAGCTCTGGATACCCATTCAGGCTGTTCAAGTTCCCTTCTAGTTAGCATTCTCATAAAAAGACTTTATAAACACGCATTCAATAGCGCCTTATATTTTTCCACCAATGCATCCGTCCGTTCTTTGAGCTCTTTCAATCGGTTGCACTCATCTCTGAGTCCCTCGCTTTCAGTATAAAAATCGTGCTCTTCCTTTAAAGAAGCTCTTATTTGCCTTAGTTTTACCACGAGAAGTGCTTGAGACTCTCTTAATTCATTAACAGATTGATAGATGCCGTCGAGGTTGTTCGACAAGACCGAGTAGACACAAAGCTCTACGGGGTGTACATTAGCTGCTGTGGATATGTCTTGTGGCTCCATCCCTATTGTTTACCTTTTTTGTTTGTCATCGTTATTGAAAATTGCCGAATATTTGATAAATTAAATGTTATTGTTAGCCAGGAAGATATTGAAAATCATAATAACGATCATTAGCATAGAAAATTTATACATTACATAGGGGTCATTTAGCATTTTCTTTATTGTCCTTTTTGTCACCACCAAAAATACCTTTCTTGATTTTTCCTACAGCACCTAACCCTCCACCAATTACGGAAGTACCGGCATGTAGACCGGAAGAGAGCCCCTTGGATGCCAAGTCAGTGACCTTCTTCTCCTGCTTTTGTACAGATAGAACATGCCTTGGGTTGAAACTGAAATTCAAGTGTAGCACTCCCCCATCTTCCCCGTCTGGACCGGTCAGTGGCACATCTATGTCGCTCGGGTTTTCGGGGTCCACGTTGGCTAAAGGCAAGATGGCGGTTCCGATCAAATCGTCTTTGTTACCAGCATCCCAATCCATCATGCGAATTCTGAGATAATTATTGACACGGTTGTTGATTTGAACTTCACACTTCTCGTTCCAAGTTGGGTCTAAAGTCTTCTTTTTGTGATGAGTCTTAAAGAAGGAGTTTTCGTTGTTATCCATGTAGAATTTGACAAACGGATCAGACTTTCCATTTCTGTCGGCAGAAATGAGATTGTTGGCGCTTACTACGTTAATGGTCAAGTCACCCGTGTTAGTAATCAAGTCCGCCTGGGGCAATTTTGTTGCGCCAATTGGAAACCAACTTATTTGAACCAACAATTTGCAGCTATTATTACCCGACAAATTTAAAATCGAGGGTTTGTAGTAACAGTTTTTTACTAACTCGATGGTTGGGAGGGTGACTTCGGCTAAACAATCTTCAGCTTTGCTTTTATCCGCTTTAGTGGCAACTCTAAAGGTAGTGATGGACCACTCTAGTTCCTTGATGATGACATCGCCCGTAGAACCATTCCTTATTGACCTTCCTGGGTGCTGCTGCGTAACATAACGCGCGTAGCCGTTAGAGTCAAAAAAGGATTGAACACAACAATTAGACTGAGGAAGTTCACCACTCAAAATAGAGAATGCCAATACACCACTCTTGTATTGCAACAGTTCGTCGAGATCTAACTTCATTTTGTTACTAAACAGATCTTCCATTTCTTTGATCTGAGACTCTTCTTCCATAATCTTCTTTTGAGCTATTTTAGAAAGAGACTTTTCATCATTCTCCGTAGCCCTAGTGTGCAGTTTCCTTTTATGCTCATTGATTTCGTCAACTTCTTGAATTTCTTCCAAGCTCAGAACTGGGATAGTTGGGTAGAATGAAACGTAATAAGTAACAGTACCTTTTGCCTTCTTCTTGCTCACCAAACGACTAATTTTTGGTTCCTCATCGATGTTTTCAACGTATTTATCATCGTCACCCTTTTGGAACAAGTCAGAGACGTTGATGTCGACCTTACCCAAGGAGCGGTCTGCGCCCATTGTCTCAACATCCATACACTCTAATGTTATCCTTTGATTGGGCGAAGAGACAGCAACATAAATACCTTGATTCCAAACGGGATTCAAAGTTGACTCACGAACATCAGTACGGCCCCTAGCAACACCATTAACTAGAACTCTGGCGTAAGGATCAATCTTTCCAAACTTCTCCAAGTTTTTGAGACCCTCAGCTTTACTGACGAAAACTCTGATGGCACCAATTGGAGGAGTATATGCTACGGCATTAGCACCCAGGTCCAACTCGACTGGTTTCCAGAATGTAGAAATCTTTATTTGACCTTTGCCATTTTGAAGGGGAACCCACAATTTGTCAACCTCCGTTCTGTCGATTAAGTCATTTAATGACTGAACTGTACTACCAATGATCTCGCCTTTGGCATTCTTAATGACAATTTTAGCTCTGGTTTTGCGACGATCGGTAATTGCGGCTTCGTATTCTTGATTCCATACTGGATTTTCCGTATTTTTCAATGTCCCGGTAGTCAATACCAATTTCGCATTGAAGTAAAGCTCCACATATGTAGAGACTTTTAAGCCCGGTTCTTCGAGTTCTTTGGCCTCTTCAATACAGATTTTGCTTATACCAACATTCAAATCTGGGACTTCCTGAACAGTGCCATCTGGTAACTGCTTGGGTTCCAAAGTTGGATGGAACTTAAGGTTAAAGTTCAAATCTCCAACAGGTTTTGAGTTTCTTAGGAATCGAGAGCTTAGGTTAACCTGAGTTTTTTCATCGTGCAAAGTACTCAAATTATATTCTATTCTTCCGAGCACTTTGTCCTTTACTTTCTCACGCCTGTCGTACAGTACAATCGAAAGTGGTTCAGTGAATGAATTCAGTAACAAGAAAAAAGTTTCGTTCCAAACAGGGTTCAAAGAATCTCGAACAGTTCTGGTCTTACCAACGGACACGCCGTTGAATTCGAAAGAAAGATATGGGTCAACAGACTTGTTCAAAATGTTGAGAGCCCGCTTAATATCTACCGCGTCCTTAACGGTTACTTCCAGAATACCGATTGATACAGCTGAGCCGGAAAGCAATTGCGGAACATTCAATTGTAGAGAGAATGGTGGCATAAAGATAGGTGCCATATACTTCCTCCCTAGTTCTCTAATCAATGGGTAAAGGCCAGGAATATTCATGATTTCCCAGTTGAAAACGGTTTCACCTAATAACTTTGCTACGAAGTCAACATCAGGAACATCCAATAGTTGTATGTTGACCGTCTCTATATGTGGAAAAGGAGTCATTAGCTTAAATCTCACTTTGAGCCTTGCTTTAAATGCGACGTCCGACACTGTGACAGAAAGTGGCAGTCCAAATACTTTAGCATTCACAGTCGTTTTTTGATTCACGTAATTTTTCAACTGTTTAGAGTTCAGATCCGATAAATCATGCGGTGTGAAAGAAATACCCCAATCCATCACTACCACGTCAGAATCAGTGTTTTGGTAAGTCTTGACAAGATCAATTCTGAACGGCTTTACACCTAATGTGAATTGATCAATCCACAGTGCTTTAACAAAACTAGGAACTGAAGGATTTGTAGCCAAAATCTCATTAGCTTGCTGCACTACCATTTGCGAGATCTCTGGTTCCAAGAGAGTCCAATACTTGTCGAGAAAACTGTTAAGCCACTCCATCGACTCTAGATCTCCCTCAACTTTTTGGACTGTGAACTCTTTCTGAACCTGATCCCTGATGGTGGCTCTATAGCGCTTAATCGTCGCTCTGTACAGGAAACTCATAGACAAGATGATGAAGAAAACAGGAGCTAGCGACAATCTCAGTTTCCCGACAAGGAAGGACAATGTCCCACCCACAAAAAAAACAGCAGCTGCATGATACCAGTCACCGTAAAGCTTATCGGGAATTAAGTTGTCAAGAAAAGTTTCGCTGTTGACGTCCAGGAGCTCATCTTCCAAGGTCAACTGATCCTTTTCTTCCCAACCTCCAATCTGTTTCCAGCCCACATAAGACGCATCCACAGCCGTTCTTTCGATTTCGGAAGCGTTCAAATTCTTGATCTTCTCTTCTGGCACATCTTTACTCGCTTTCTCCTCATTTGCGTGCGCAGGAGCAAGCTTGTCCACACCATCTACCACCGCCGCCTGGTCTCTCTCTGTTGGCAAGATAACCTCTGTCCCTGTAGTTGACATCCTCAGGTATCAATTGATCGCTCCAATTAAGGTTTTAAGCAGATGATAGGGCTTCTCTTAAATTGGTGAATTCTTAAGAAAGGGATACTTGATGGGAAGGAATGTTTTTTCATGCCTGAAGCACAGAACATTCTGAAAAAAAAAATTGTGACAATAGGATGAAAGCGCAGTCTACCTATAAAGTCCGAGAAAACTCAAATCAGGCTTTTCGAATAGACTTGAGAACATCAAGCGATATTGGCTGGCAACAAGTGTTGTTTATGTAGCAAAATTAAAGCTATATTGCGGCGTAACTTAAAAAATTAATGGGAAGATGCAAAGCTTAAATTTGTTTGTGATTTCGCGCAGTCCAGGCATTCTGGCCAGGCTTACAACGAAGACTAGCGAATAGGGGAAGTAGAGAAGAAAAGGCTGATTAAAGCACCTCCATTGCAATTTGTAGCGGAAACGTCTTAGCGCGTCGACTGTATTTTGTTCTACTCGGACTCATTAAAGGACTCGTCAGACTCATCTTCGCCGCCAGGGACTTCGAATGTGTCCTCATCACCACCCACCTCCTCCTGAGAAGATTCATCTGATAGCTCGATGGTATCTTTATAATATGCAGTAGGATTCATCCTAGTAGTTGCACGACGGCTTCGAGGTTCTTTGCGGACGTTCAATGCTTCATCCGCTGGAATTTCGAAATCACTTTCATCGTCAATTTCAACGTCGTCCTGACCTTTCTTACTCTTGCGAACTGGCTTTGGTTTCGGCGACGTGGCTTTTCGAATAGCGACTTTCTTGGGCTTCACATTTTCTTCCGAAGGAGCTGGGCTGTCAAAAAGCGCACTGGCTTGCTTAAACTTGCTTGAAAAAACACTCATAGTGTCATTTTCTTCATCCTTAGGCTTCTCTGATACGCTTGTCCCTGCGGAATTCTCACTTCTGATAGATCCAGGTGTGCTCGCCGGTGGTGTTGCAGATCCAGAAACTGATCTGGAGATGGCTTCGGATTTGAGTCCAGCGTCTTTTCCCTTCGGCTTACTCAACAAACCTTCAAGCGTTGGCTGTTTCTCATCTTTTACCTTCGTGGCTCGCTTAGGCTTCTCTAGTGCTTTCTGCTCTATTAAAACGGCTTCAAACTCGGGATCTTCAGCTTTCACTTTAGCCGCTGAAGAAGTCTTTGTAGTTTTGGATTTCTTTTTTTTGCTAGGATCGTAATCATCATCGTCCTTCTTGCCTCTTTTACGCTTACCCTTCTGTTTAACCGATGCGTCTGGGGTTACGCTACTGCGTACTACTTCATCGCGCTCCATGAATGCTTCGTATGCTTTACTGAAGGCATCAAGATCTTGGTTCCACAGATCTTTGGCCGACAATCGTAAAAGTGCCTCTAGTTCGACCTCCCTTTCTTGCTTTTGTTGTAATAGCCTTTCGTATTTTTCCTTGGTTAAGGACCAGATCTTCATTCCCAGTAAATAATCAAAAGTTCCGTATTTTTCCTGGGGACCGTTTACTTCGTGATCTGCTCCCTCGGATTCTTCTTCGTCGCCGTCACCAGTCGCCTCAAGAACCTCCTGCTCCTCTTCACTTTCGATTTTGCCATAGAACGGCCTACCCTCATTGTTAATCTTGGGAAAACCAAGACCTTCAAGTTCTGAAAAGAGGACTAAACGCGATTTGTTGCTCACAGTCAATTTTTTCTCAACAATAAGCATCAAAAATCTCACTTGTTGAGAAAGCTTTTCGACTTGCCATTGTAGTCTCTCAGACATATAATCTTTCCGCTTCTGATAGTACTCTAACCTGACGTAGTAAAAGTCATTTAGCATATCCCTGACATCCTCGTACTTCTTTATACGTCCCTGAGGATCGAAAGCAACCATATTGGCCAAGCTTATGCTGGAGATTAGTTTAAATCTTTCATAAAATCCAACTTTTCGGGTCTTGACCATCTCTTCATCACTTAATGTTATGGTAAATTTTATGGTTGCACCATGATTTTCTTGCATGTCTTTGATCCATGCTTTGACTTTGTCGCTGCCGGCCAATCCTAGAAGTAGGTGCTCTTTTATGGTCGAAATCCATGTCTTCGCTGGAAGTTCAGTGATCTCAAGTTTGTTAGGACCAACCTGCTCAATTCTTCCGTACATTCTGTAACGTTGTGCCTCAATTTTCTCCAAACTGCCCTTCCAACCTCTGTAAAATGGTGCCATACTTTCCATTTCCTCACCATTCATCAACTTTTTCAAGTTTTTGACGATGTCTAACGGATTGAAAGGTGGAATATTTGTGCTCCATCCAGTACCTATCCCTTCAGCACCATTAACTAGTAACATAGGGATTATTGGCAGATACCATGTAGGTTCGATGGTCTGATCGTCTTCTTGGAGATAATTTAGTAAAGGATTGTCGAGGGGGTTAAATAATACCGGCGTGATGTTGTTAAGCTCTGTAAAAATATAACGTGGTGCAGCAGAGTCTTTACCACCAGCTGCTCTGGTACCGAAAGCACCATTAGGTTTCAACAAGTAGATGTTGTTTGACCCCACATAATCTTGAGCCATACCAACAATAGTTTGAGCCAGTGACATTTCTCCGTGATGGTAACTGGTATGCTCTGACACATAACCAATTAGTTGAGCGACCTTGATCTCAGAACGTAATTTTCTTTTGAAGCAACTAAAGAGGACTTTACGTTGTCCCGGTTTGAAACCGTCTAGGACTGAAGGGATAGACCTTACATTGTCGGCTAAGGAGAAGAGGATCAGCTCTTTATTAATGAAGTCGCAAATTGGAATTTCACTCAAATTGGGGTCTAGCGTATTACCAGGTTCATACTGCCTGAGCCATTCCTTACGATCGTCAGCTTTTTTCTTTGAAAAAGCCAAGTCAATGAGTTGACAATCATCGCCTGCGAGAGCATGGAACTTTTTCAAATGAGTGTCTAAGTCCGAAAAATATTCTCTAGCCTCTTGTAAAGAGGAAGTACCTAAACCTTTGTAGTACTTTTGCTTCCAGCTTACTTTGTGGCTTTCGCTCTCCCTCCATTTTTCGTAGTCAGGCATAGTGTAGAAAGATTTCACTTCCCGCTTGGGTCTTGTTATCGTTACTTTTACAATTGGTGTAATAAACTCAATCAAAAAGCCAGGGATATCTAACAAACCCGGAAAGGAGCTTTCCAAAAAGTTTATTATCAACCCTTTAATATGGGAGCCATCATGATCTTGATCGGTCATAATCATGATGTGACCGTAACGCAAACTTTTGGTATCTTCATACTTCTTTCTATGCTGCAGCCCTACTATTTTTTTGACGGCTTGAATTTCAGCATTTTTTAGGATTTGATCGGCGCTTGCTTCTCTCACGTTCAGCATTTTACCACGTAGAGGATAACAGCCATACAAATCACGACCCACAACGCCGAGACCTGCAACTGCTAGAGACTGGGCAGAAAGACCTTCCGTCAATACTAACGTGCAATTTTGTCCGTGTTTCGTACCAGCAAGATTCGCATCTTCTAAAGTAGGATAGTCGGTGATTCTATTTTTTCGGGTACCATCAGATTTTTGCAAAGCTTTATCTTCATTTTTATCAGCGATTTCAAAGATCTTTTCTGCTAATTCAGTCTTCATGATCTTGTTGATAAACTCATCCTTTATGTCACATTTAGAGCCAAAATCTTTCACTCGGGTGGTAAGTTGCTCTTTAGTTTGAGAGGTGAAAGCTGGATTTTCAATTTGGCAGTTCAAGAAAACAAACATATGATTTTTGATTTGGAACGCTTTGATAGTTTTGCCCTTCTTCCTCTTTTTCAAATACTCTGTGATCTTCTTCACAATTTGATCTGACAAGTAGTTAACATGAGTACCGCCTGACGTTGTGGCTATTGAGTTGACGAAAGAAATTTGCTGAAATGACACATCTGACACTGCAAATGCAATTTCCCACCTGTCGTTGAGCCTTTCATGAAGAATCGTGGGTGTTTTAAAAGCCTCAGTACCTTGTTCTTCCGATTTTTTCTTCTCTAGGGATTTCAGGTACAATTCTACGTAGTTCTTGAAATTGCGAATTTTAAGACTTTTCCCATTCAAATGAACGCTAATATCTCTAACAGAACCATTGATATCATACGCTCTTCTCCGCATAACACCGACGATATCACTATCAAGACTCTCCATACCAAATCGTGAGAGGTCAGGCCGAAATGATACCTTGGTGTAGGAAGGACCTTTCTTGTAAGACGTAATCTTGGGTTTGTGACAAACACTCATGTTATTCTCCCATTTTTGAACGTATTTTTCGCCCTTCACAGGATCCGCCGTCTCTACAACAAATTCAGACGAGAAAATGTTGCAAAGCTTGGCACCGTACCCATTTCTACCTCCGGTGACTTTCTTTTCATCGTCGTCGTAGTTCGAAGACGTCAGCAAATGACCGAAAATCATCTCCGGGATGTAAATCTGCTCCTTTTCATGGATCTCGATTGGAATGCCTCTCCCATCGTTTTTCACCTCGATAATATTTTCTTCTTTGTTGATCGTTACTTCAATTTTCTTCATCGATGGGTCGCGAACCTTGTTGTCAGCAGCGTTCACTAGAATCTCGTCAAAGATTTTGAACAGCCCAGGAACGATCTTCACTTCCTTTTCCTCCATGCAATCAGTCTCTTCACTGTGAATCCATTGCGTCTGCTCCTGAATTTCGACCGACCCTACGTACGTATCGGGTCTTTTTAAAATGTGTTCCAGCTGGGATATCTTCTGATACCGCTCAGAGGCACTTTTGACAGCTGTCATCGCACCGCACTGGATACTTTCGTAGAAGAAAGCACAGTCTTCGCGTTACTTCAATATAAGAACAAACGTGTGAAGAGAAGATGTCTTTATTTTGATCCGATCCACGAAATTCTGTCGCGTAAAATCTTAGAATCCGTGATTAGTAGATTTGTACCTCTATGGAAACCACGTCTACTATCCTTCATCAAATTACATGACTTCGTGGCCAAGCTGGTTAAGGCGTGCGACTGTTAATCGCAAGATCGTGAGTTCAATCCTCACCGAGGTCGTTATTTTTTGGTGCTAAACAGAGTTATCTGCCGAAGGCTTCCTGCAGTCTAAACCAACGATGTGTGCCAGTAATACAAATTAAATTTGGTTAAACTACCTAAACTGTTGCCGCTATTGACCGACTTCCCTCTGCTGTGGGATCAGTTTTCATAACTTCGGCATCATGCATTATATGATCTTCTATGCCTCTTTCTTTCTATACCACGACACAGCAACTTCTTCCTGGCTGCCTGTTGACAAGCAGACTGGTTCTAGTGGCAACCTCAAAAACATCGTCTACTCCACTGCCATCAAGGGCACTACACTCCATGTACCTTTTCGCTCCTATTGCGAGGGCCACTTTTTCGGCTTCTTCGCGCCGCACAAAGCGACGAGTGGAAGTGGTCTTGCGCAAATCGCTCTTGAGACCAACTAGAATGATAGGCGAATCTGGACAGTAACGAAGAGCTTCCTCTGTCCATTTGGTGCGCGCATTCAGCAGTGAATCTGGGTCGTCAATAGCGAATCCTATTAGTATTATATTAGCTTTCGAGTACGAGAAAGGTCGCAACCGCTCGTACTCTTCCTGACCTGCCGTATCCCACAGAGCTAGTGTAACTTTTATTCCGTCCACTCGGCAATCTGTAACATAGTTCTCAAACACCGTAGGATGGTACTCCTGGGGAAATTTGCCCAGCGTGAACACATACAGAAGAGACGTCTTACCGCATGCACCATCGCCTATTATGACTAGTTTTCTTCTCACCGCATTTTCTGACATCTTAGTTCAGGTATCGATTCTGCTTTGTCGTCCACCTACCGTGTACTATTTTTAAACCCTTCAAATCACAATTATCTTTTATTCGACTCCAGCTTTCGCCTTTCAAATCTAACAACTGCGCTAGTGAAGATTTGGAACAGGAAGCAATCACTACCAAACAAAAGTCCGTTGGCAATGTAGACCTCAAATCTGAACTGTTTGAAATATTTCAATTTAACTTATTATTAAGTCTTCAGTAATGCAAGGGCCTCGAAGTGAGGAATAATAACAACATAAACGAGTACCCGAGAGTACTCGTGAAAATACGTTCGCTACATATGAATAGAATGATGATAAAAGCGATGGCGTCCGTTATGTGACGGCTCGCCTTCGCTATTTAGCCCCAAATGTTGTTCGTTCTCGCCTGCCCAAAGGTTTGACCGTAGTTAAATTGATTTGCGTTTGCACCAGGCGCCGCAGTGGGGTTAGACGATGAAATTGTGCTTGGTGTCCCATTATAAAGCTCGGAAAACAGCGCGTTTGGATATCCGCCATTCTTGTATGACGACTGTGCTGTCATGCTGCCTGCCCCGCCTAGGAATCCACCTTGAGTCGGTTGCGATTGCTGTTGCAAATAGCCGAAGGGAAACTTGGCGTGTGTGATGTTACCGCTAGCGTTTGTTAAAACTTCACAGCTATGCGTCGAGCGCATGTTGACCAGCTGGCTGATGAAGTTCGCGTAGTTTAATGTCGTGCCGTCTTTCAGTAAAGAAAAAGTTGTGCGATACAGGCTCTCCACGTCAACAAACTCAGAATTCAGCTCACGGCTCGACAGCGAGTGCGCTTTCAACACCAGGTTTGATAGCACGTCAATAGATGCCGATGGCGGGTTTGTATTTAACCCGCCCCATATATTTGGCGCAATGTTTCCGACGCTGGGGCTGGAACTCAGTGGAGCTTCGTTTTCCCAAATTGACTTACGCTGAGGTTTGGCTCCGCTGCTTATTGGTAGAGCAGAATTCGAATTAGGAATATAAGAAACCCCAGAATGCGCAGGTTGCTCCACTGCAGACCACAGCTGATCTTGTAATTGGAAGTTCGCCGATGCGGCATGATTACCACTCAAGGAGGCGGAGGACAAGAAATTGGTGAGGTTATCAAGTTCGTCATTGAAGGATTTCTTGCGGTCTCCACTTCCGTTTTCAAATTGTGAGTACGGTGGCATGTTATGCTGTGCCGAAACAGCAGCAGAATTGTCCAAATGAGGTTGTAGCTTATTAGGCGAGGATGGAAAGACACCTCCAATGTTGTTCCAAGAGTTATCCAAAGATTTTGCACCCGTAGCTAGGGAATCGTAGGATACATTTGAAAAGGCCTCGGAAGGTTGCCAATTGGTATTCGTTCCCATGCCAGGGAGTGACATACCAGTAGCAGAGGGCGACTGTAAATTTGTGCGTGATAGTTGCGGTTGGAGCAGAGTTTGCAAATGAGAGGACGATGATGAGAGCGATTTAGATGCGGCTTCGTTAATCATATGAAAGAGCTCGTTGGCGTTTTCGTTGCTATGGGGAATATTGGATACTCCATAAGGGACAGCCTCTGGAGGAGTGCTCAGACGCCTCTGGGAAGGCGTTCCAGAGCCTGGACGTTGGTCGAATTCTTGCTGCACGCCGGCAACTCCCTCTAACAATTTTTTCCGCTCTTGCTCTAATCTCTTACTCTCTTTCTGGTTTTTGATCTCTTCTTCCTTTTGCTTCTTGGCCTCGTCTTTGGAACGTTTCTCCTCTTCTCGTTTGCGCTTTTGTTCGTCTTTGAGTTTTTTCTGTTTCTGTTGTTCCTCCTCCTTACGTCTTTGTTCCTCTAATTTTCTTCTCTTTTCCTCATCTTTCTTTCGTTTGGCTTCCTCAACCCTTTGTCTCTGAGCCTCTCTTCTTTGCATTTCACGATCTTCGGCTTCTTTCTTTAATCTCACCTCTTCTTCTTCCTTACGTCTTTTCTCTTGCTCTTTAGCCACTTGAAGAGCACGCTTCTTCTCTTTCTCCTTCTCGCGCTTGCGTTGTTTTTTCTCCTCCTTCTCGCGCTTTTTCTGCTCCTCGGCTTCTAATTCTTGAAGCAAGCGTAGGCGATTGTTTTCAGCCTGCTTTTCGTGATAAGAATCCACCAACTTTTTCTGCAACAGCTTAGTGATGGCTATTTGAATAAGTCTACGTCCTTCTTCTAACCGTTCTTGCTCATCAATGCCGCTGTCATAGTCCCCTTCATTACCAGCGGTACTTACCTCGTCCTCACCGAGTTCGAGTTCATGTTCATGGTGATGATGCGGATGAGGGAGGTGGTGGTGATACCGCGAATCGTCTTGATCTTCATCTCCATAAACATCATCTTCGTATTCAGACTCTTCCTCATCTTCATAATCAGAGTATTCGTCTTCGTCATATTCATCTTCGTCGTCATAATCAATTTCCTCTTGAATCTCTTGACTTGCCATCATTTGCTCACCCGAGTGACCATTCTGCTTTGTGAATGACTTTAGCAACATGCTAATTGGATCTTCACCTGCGAGAAATTGCTCGAATAAACCCTTCCCATCGCCCTCCCGAACTCCTTGTAATTCTCGAGCTTGTGACTCAAAAGAAGCAGTCATGCCAGCGGCTATATGCCTTTGTATACTGGCGTATTGCTCGGGAGTCAAAGGAACTCCATCTGAAGTTAAAGAGCCGACTTCCTGTTTGTCTTCTGATAACGGTTCGTCGTGTGGTTCGCTACCCTTCTGTACCACATAGTCTTCCATGGCTTTTATAAAACTTTGTCCATTGTTGTACATCAGGTCTTCAGTTAACGCCCTCATATCCGGGTACATCATCATCCGATTAACGTATTCGTGTGCGATTTTGGGGTGCGAAGAAACAAAAGTCTTCGCAAAGTTCATGTACCGATCTTTGAGTTCTTCGTTGGATGGCGGGCTTTGATTGTTGGGAGGCGGTATTATCGGCAGCGCTTGAGATATTGCAGGGCCTACAGATTCAGGTAGACTATCTAGATCTTTGGAATCGGCCCGTGAATGCAGGTCTGTTGCGTTCTGAGGTCGCTGCTGCTGCAAAAGCTGGCGGATTTGAAACTCTCGCTCTCGAAGCTGTGACGGTGTTTCATTTGAGGAACTTTCAAAGGGGTTCTGAAATGTGTCAGGATGATGCTGCAAGCCCTGCTGATCTTGCAAGTGCTGTGGTGGCTGCTGATGAATTGGTTGCTCTGGGCTAGGTTCAACGGGAATTTGAACTTCTGGGTGATGTGCATGTTGCTGAGTTTGGTGTTGTTGTTGGTGCTGCAGTTGTTGTTGTCTTTGCTTATTGTGCTTGAATTGTAAGACTTCTTCTTTCAAAGACTCTACAGCCTTATTGGATAGGCAGTATTTAACAGCCTCATCGCGCATATCCTCAAGATACTGCGGTGAGGCGGCTTCGGGTTGGCTTTTATTTGTCCTTTCGCCGCTTGCAACGCTATGAGCACTAGCATTAGCCCGTTGAAGTTCTTTGATCATGTTAAGATGGAAAAGTACAAAGTCGGTATCCGAGTTGCTTTCTTTAGCGCTTTCATATAGCCGATTGTAGATTTGTTCCAGTTCCTGCTCCATAGCCACATTGCGACGCCCGCAGACGGAGCAGTTGCAGTTGTTGCTCGATTGATAGTTTTTTATCACTTCGAAGACTTCCTGCTTCTCAATACTTAGAATTCGTTTCTTCTCATCGCTGCTGAGCGACTCCCAATGCAGATCCAGCTTTGTCGAAATGCCAGTATCTTCCTTAACCGGTTTTGAGCGCTCTATCTCCTCTAGCGATTCCACAATTACATCTCCATTTGGTGCTCTTTTAATCACTCTTGAACTGGGATATTCGGCCTCATTGTCGTAAACTTCGGCTTCTGGTGACTGTCCTGTGGATCTCCTCTTGTTTTTGGTCTTCCGTCGCGCAGATCCTGCCAAATTCTCATCTGAGAGTTCGAATCGGACGTCGTTTCCGCTCAGTATGGTCGGCCCATTGTTTACAGGCTCACTAGTCTTCTTTACTTGCCGCTTCTTTCCCATTTTGCCCGTGAGTATCAGGTTTACCGTGCTTGATTTCATGTAATTGGTTTCTGAAAAGTTTTATACCCTGCTTAAAACACACAGTTAGTACGAAGTGACTTGACACTCAAACAACCAGTAAATTGGACTCTTCCCAGCCCAAGGCATCGTGTAAACACCACTCCGGGATGCGACGAGCACTGACTGTTCAGTCAACACCAAAGTGCCCCGGTTTCACTTTTCTGTTGCCATTATTGCGTGCACCTCACATTTCTTAATCCAAAAATGCCGAAAGGACTTCATTATCCACTCACCAAAAAAAAAGGGTGAAACTCGCTTCAATTGACATAGAACGTCCAGTGTATCGGCTTCTTAAGGGTGCTGCATGAATTTGGACCACTTATACATATATTTCTCTATTCAACGAAAACCACGATCGAAGCGAAGTAAGCATTTATTGTAGCCGGCTTGACGAAAATTTTTGACAAGCAATGGTATAACCCTATTGATTTATAGCTTACGGCTTAGGCTCAGCTTATGTTTGATTCTATGCTGTAGAATTTATCTGTATTTAGCGTTCAATTGAAAGTATCATTTTAAGATAGACCGTCATTGCGGAACGCGACAAAATTTATTGACACAACCTGATACATAAAACAAAAATCAAGAATCTAAAAATTGAAGTTTGTAGATAGTTAGTATATTGTTGCTCTAGTACATCTTTCAAAGCTTGAAAGTGGCATAGACATGTCTTCTTATCTGCTTCCGACGTCAAATGGCATTGATTGGGCAACCGGATGCCCTCCGGCCTATGATACGCCAAGTCCAAGACAGGTGTTACGAATTTGCCTCAATTTGAAGTATCTCATCGACAAGGTGGTGCCTATATTATACGAAGAGAAACTCATTATGTGTGACCACTCGCGGATCTTGAACTCGCATGTTATCTCTTTAGCTAGAGAGGCCTGTGGTGGGAATAAAGAGGACAAGAAATCCATTAAAAAGTACCAGTCGTCTCTTATCTTTTGTCTGCTACAGGTCTGTAGCTGGTACTGGGAATTAGCCGCCGCTGAACTACATAATGCCGAATTGTACAACTTGAGGGCGTCTGCCGCACAACAAATGTGCAAGCTGATCATAGAGCAGGAAGAAGGCCGCGACGCTCAGTTTTTGTTCATTCAAATGCTCTGCCGCCGCTACGTGATCAACGAGAATGATGTTGATAGCATTGCTGAGAATGCTCTGGAGCTTGCCATGGATATGCATTGCACTACCGTTATAGGGTCCAGCGGGTACCAGCGGTGTCTTAAATGGTTGTGGCGTGGATGGATCACTCAGAATAGGTTCGATAGCAGATCGTATGTAGTCTGCGATTCCATTTCCTCTTCCAAGTTTAGTAGCCACTTCCATCCCGATCGCTTGAAAACTCCAATGTATCAAAATATCATACAGATATTTTTCTCCTTTGTCTTCATTGCATTGTACACCGTGGTGGTCAACAGCAAAGATTCAACGGAGGTGAATGGCATAGACTTTTTTGAAGGAGTATTCTATTTCTTCATAGTGGGGAGCGTCCTCGACGAGGTCGACAAATGCTACCATGTTGGGTGGTCATATGTGGGATTTTGGAACGCTTTTAACGATACAATGTATTTTATCATTATGACCTCGATGGTGTTGCGAATTGCCAGCGTCAGTCCAATCAAGACGCATTACCCAGCAGAATACTGGGATAAAATATCTTACAGGGTTCTTTCTAGCGCTGCGCCTTTAGTATGGACCCGTTTGCTGCTCTACTTAGAGTCAAGCCGCTTTGTGGGCGCTTTGCTGGTTGTTTTGAAACATATGATGCAAGAGTCAATCGTATTTTTCTTCTTACTATTGTTGATTGTTATTGGATTCTTGCAAGGATTTATTGGTCTGGATTCCTCTGACGGTAATAGAGAAATAACCTGGCCTATTATTTCCAATTTGATGTTGACAGTTCTTGGGGCCGGAAAATTCGAAATGTTTACTGACTTTGCACCACCTTTTGCGGGGATCCTCTACTACTCTTACTCATTCGTTGTTACTGTCATTTTACTCAATATTCTGATTGCTTTGTACAGTACCGCTTATCAAAAGGTTATCGACAATGCAATCGATGAATATATGGCATTAATGGCTCAGAAGACTTTGAGATATATCAGAGCTCCCGATGATAATGTTTATGTGCCTCCTCTGAACCTTTTCGAGGTTATCTTGACGCCATTTCTGCAACTGGTATCGCACAAGAATTCCAAACGCATAAGCAACTTTGTGATGACTATTCTTTACTTTCCTATGTTGGTTTTTGTTGCTATCAAAGAAGTCAGGGAGGCCAAACGCGTTAGCTACAATAGAATGAAAAAGCTGGAGGATGATGCCAATGAGACAGACGTGGCATGGGACCTCACTGATGGGTATGTTGATGAAGCAGATGGATGGATTCCAAACAACGAAACGTCAGGCATGTTGGCCACTCAGAAAAAGAACAAGAACTCACTAAAGCTTCAGAGGGAAGCCGAGAATTCAGATCCTTATTTCAAGGTCAAGGGTCGGTGGTTCAAGAACGTGAATGAAGCCGTTCAACCAGTAGAGGACGGATTCAGCACTGGTATCGGATGGGAAAACTACGACGTTTACAGTGCATTAAAAGATCAAACCGCTAAGTCTGACGAGAAAGTTGAAAATTTGACTAAGATGGTTGAAGAACTGACTAAAATGGTGAAGGACCTCTCTACTTAAAAAGTATATTAATGCCTGGCTGTCTCGCCTTGATTTGTCGCTGATTTCTTACAATTATATCAACCGAGTGCTGTAGAATTGTTATATAGAGAAATATTTGAAGCATTTGAGCTGAAGTCACTCGTTAGCGTTGATAATGTCAATCATGCAGACATTGCGACCATCACGGTCTCTGAGAGCATTTTCATCAGTTGTGCATCTTCCCAGAATCAATTTCGATGTATTGTATATGCGTATGTACCGGACGCTACGGACTTTGAAAAGAGATTGCTCAGCAGTTGCAACCACTAGCGGATGTAGCTTGACCATTCGAGGCCCTTAGATCGACTCTTGAGTCGTCATTGATTCGCAAGCCGGACGATCCACGACCTCCGTCTTGAGCCTGATTCTGAGCTGTTTTTAGAGGAATTTTTTGGCCGATGCCAAGAAATACGTCGTTAACATTACTACCAGTCTTGGCACTAGTTTCGAAGAACAGGAGTCCTTCCTGCTGCGCCAAACTCTCTGCCTCTTCCCGGGCCACTTTTCTCTCTGCTCCATTTTCGATGATGTCGAGTTTGTTTCCCACAAGAGCAATAACTATGTCTCTAGAGGCCTGTTCGTGAAGTTCCTTAACCCAGTGACGAGCCTTGATGAACGATTGCGGCTTTGTCACATCATAGACCACCAAAGCGGCCTGCGCATTTCTATAGTACATTGGTGCGAGCGAAGCAAACCGTTCTTGACCAGCGGTATCCCATATTTCGAATTTTATGGTGTGGTCCCCCATGTTAACTCGTTGTGTTAGAAATGCAGCTCCAATCGTGGGTTCTTTATTCTCAGCGAAATCGTTGGAAACAAACCTCAACACGATTGAGCTTTTACCCACTGCTGCTTCTCCAAGAAGAACAAGCTTGATGGAAGTGACTGAAGTGTTCATCGTGACGAATCGTTTTCCTTGTCCTCAAATACAGTTCAAAACTTGATGCAGTCTAAAATCACCCTGCTAGTAGCGCTTTCAACAAATACCGAGTTATAACTACTTGCTAGTGACGAAATGAAATCAGCAGCTCTTAAAATAGGCTTTCTTAAAGCGCGTAACTTATGGTTTTTCTTGATTAATTAATTTAAGTTGAACTCTTCTCCCTTGCGATTCTTATTATCAAATTTCAAATGTTGGCTTTGATAACATACATTGAAGAGATGAGTTTCAAACTTATAGCAAGCAAAGCCAGCCATCACGATTCTAGCGTAGATCAGATGGGCATTTACTGAATTGGGCTGAACATTTGTCTTTGGCTTAGTGGTTGAAATGAATAGCATATCGATACAAACTCAAGTTGCGGATTCATTGTGTAGCATCAAAATAGTCGAGATTATTGACATAGATAGAGTTCAGAGTTGATTTCATTCATGTAATTGGATACTTGGAAACTGTCGAAGCAATCCTGTTATGACGAAGCGTAGAGTAGCGGATGCTAACATTTGGACTAAATAAAACCTATCGCTATACAAATGAATAAAATCATAAGAGGACGTGAGAAGGAAAAGGGTTTCCCATAACGATGGAAATGCAAATGAGATGGCTGAACAATCGGAACGACTGAGGCAGAATTAGGCGCCGACCGTTCCAATCAAGTACTATAATTTTGGTTTGGGTGGTGCCGTGGCATTGTGATTCAGAGAGAGTTCACCCGAAACTTGACTAGGATCGGCTTCGTCTCCAAAAAAGACGACCGTGACAGTCAGATCATCTCTGTATTTGCGACTCATAGGAGACGGAATGCTGACGAGGGTCGAGACGTAGTCGCGCTGGCCACCGGAGCTTAGCGCGTTCCGTATTAAATGTGTTGCTGCATTGTTATCTTCAATAAAGCACTTGGAAGGCGTGCTTTCAAACGTGCTCATAGCTTTAGGGGCTGCAACGACGGATTTGATATTGATATCGCTTCCTCTCTCTTTGTTCATCCATTCAACCACTAAATTCATGACTTCTTCATTGTTCAACAATTCGAATAGACCGTCTGACGCCAGAACCATGAATTTGGAATTGCTGTCTACATGCGTGGTTGTGATGACAGGCTCAGCAGTGACATAAGGAGGACTGTTGAAGTTTCGCGGCTCACGGCGGAAATATACCTTTAAATGATCAGGCAAGTCTTGTACCGTTTTACCAAACAGTTCTTTGACCTTGTAGCGATAATCCCCAAATGCTCTTGACGGTTGCAAAGATCCCAAAACACGGCCATTGCGTACCGCTCCGGGCTCTCCTGGGTGCTCAGACCTGATTCGTTCCACTTCTTCGGGATTGTCACCGGTTTGATCAACCGATAGCGCTTTCACCGACCATTGTCCATCGGGATCTTGAATACCTAGCAAAGCTCGCGAGTCGCCCGTGACTGCACATTTCAAACACGAGTTGCTGCTATCGAACATAGTGAGAAGCGCACATGAGCCAGATATGGCTGGCAATGCGCTTGCTAAATTTTTCTTCGAAGGGTCTTTAAAAAGATTGCCCAGGGAGCCTTGTACTAGATCGCGGTCTAGGTTCAAAAATGCCGAGGTGATTGCTGCATCTACAGCGCTCGAAGACGAGGGCCCAGATTCAGAAACAGAGTTGTAAACCTGGCCCAACTGATGAGCAACATATGGCACGAGGGTTCGTGCCAAGTTGGCACTGGTGTAGGGACCGCTGTGGCCGTCGAAAACGCCAAAAAAATACAGATCCTCGTCCGCACCCGGCTGTGTGCTAGGGAAAGTTATCACTTGTTCCACGCGAGTGTCTTCTATGGGAGCGTTAGACGGCAACTGAGCCGAATCGTAGCGCAAAATGCCCCGTCCCCTTCGTACAAAGTAGCTCTCTTCCATCTGCCGTAGGCGCTGCGTTACTTGACTATCTGACAGTAGAGATATAGTACTAGCACTCCCCTGCTCTCCCGGACTGGAACTGAACTGTTTGATGCCCTTTATGCTTTCACAAGATAGATATTTAGGGTCCCACAGCGCATAAGTCAAAACAAGCGAGCTTCCGGCGAAAACGGCTCCTTTTTTCGCCATGTTCTTTGCCCCAAGTACCCGAGACGCAATTCTTCCCGCAGTTCCTGGAATGACAGTCATTAACAGTTGCCAATTGATTCTTTATTGAACTCTATTGTGTCAGATGTCAAGGTAATACAAACTTAGATTTTAAAGATCTGATGATATTAGTATACAGTGATATTTCAGTTGAATTTTCATCTTTTTTTTTTGGTTCTTCAACTTGCTCTTCTCTGAAATTTTTGTAGACTCGAGGTTTGAAAACTTTTTAGATATTCAGTGAATAGTCGAGCGAAACGAGCGCTTTATCGAGCTCCAGACTTCCCCAATACCTTCATTCAATCTAGGGAATTACTATACGACTTTTGAGCTAGAAAATCCGTTAAGATGCCACCAAAGAAGAACCAGCAACAGCCAGTCAAGAAGAAAGAAAATGTCGACAAGACGTTCGGGATGAAGAACAAGAACAGGTCGACGAAAGTGCAGAAATTTATCCAGCAAGTGCAGAACCAGTCAGACCCCAAGAAGGAGGAGATGAAGCGCCAGAAGGCAGAGGAAAAGGCCCGCAGAGAACGCGAAGAAGCTGAGAAAAGAGCTTTGTTCAACCCTGCGATGGACCAGACCCTGAAGGCAGGCGTGGATCCCAAGACAGTGCTGTGTGCTATGTTCAAAATCGGGAATTGTAACAAGGGTATCAGATGTAAGTTTTCGCACGACCCGAACGTGGGTCGTCGTGTGGAGAAGAAAGATCTATACCAGGACGGAAGAGAGGAGAAGGAAGCAGATACCATGGACTCTTGGGATGAAGAAAAATTGAGATCCGTCATTCTTTCCAAGCACGGAAATTTAAGAACTACAACAGACAAAGTTTGCAAATTTTTTATCGAAGCTGTTGAAAACGGAAAATATGGGTGGTTTTGGGTTTGCCCCAACGGTGGTAACAAGTGCATGTATAGACATTCTTTGCCTGAGGGATTTGTGCTGAAAACCAAGGAACAGAAGCGTCTTGAAAGAGAAGCTCTTGATAGCCAGCCCAAAATTACTTTGGAAGAGTTTATCGAGACTGAGAGAGACCGTTTGGACAAGACCAAACTGACTCCAATTACAGTCGCTAATTTTGCAAAGTGGAAGCAAGACCACATTACGGAGAGAATAAATGCCGAGCTTAAAGAGGAAAGCAAACGTAAACCTTGTGGGCGCGAAATCGTTCTCAAGAATTATACGAATGACAAGAAATTTGCAGAAGCTGATGATCTCGATGCCACAAAGGGTTCAGCTTGGGATCTGTCCGAATTCACAACTGCTTTGAAAGAGGCCGAAACCAATTCTGGCGACGGTATCAAGGATTATGGTGATGGTAGTAACCCAACCTTTGACATCATCACGAAAAGTCCCGCCACTGCATCTGCATGAAGATTTTAATCTTCCTACATACACGTTATTCTTTCAAATCCATTTACGTAAATGGTTCATCATAGAATTCTTTAATATCACGATTAAGAATTGAATTTGTGTGTTCGGTTCGAACTCGTAAACTTGATTACTTACAATAATAACTACCTTTGTAACCGATTAAATGTATTATCATTATCATCATTAACTATTACCAATGAAAGGTTTTTGCTGTAAACTTTTCTCCTTCTCCCTCCGAATAATCTCTATGCTGTCTTCTAAACACAGTTCCGGTTGAGTAAAAAATTGAAGTCTTACGTTAGCTCCACTACTCTTGAGCTCCAAAATTGTATGCATCACTCTTTGACGCCAAGAATCTGCCCTGGAGTCGAAAAATGTAGAGTACGTTCCATAATCATTTTGCGATGATGGAGTACAATAAATTATGTCGTCTGTCGCACTGCGGTTGAATGTAAGCGAATCCTTATCCCGCACAGGAAACGTAGCATGCTTCCTTGGAGGTAACGAGGGAGCATTTCGTCTGGATCGATCTATGTCAACTTGCTGTGATTTACTCAATGTCGGCTTCTTTTGCGGCTTAATAGGAGCTCCTTTACTATTTTCATCGAACTGAATCAAGTCCGGAATGTTATTGTGATCAGAAGACTCTTGTCTTCGCACTAAGTTGGGATGAAGACCAACTGAATCTGATTTTATTTCCTTGTAGTATTTCGTTTCGATCATGTAATTTAACTCTTGGACAACTTTGAGGTCATTTATAACAACATCGCTCATCGATTGCTTACAGCAACGAATGTAAATAGCAGCAATTTGAGTAGGAAATTGTTTAACAGCCTCTGTGTACGCTTCTAAATCTCTTTCGCCAGAATCGCCCACTAGTATAAATCTTTTTTGGGGGAAGTCTTTGAGAATACTTAGTATTGATCCCAATTTCCGTTTAGCGCTGGATGACATCAAGCTAGACATCAAGTTGCCCGAATATTGTTTAAGAAAGAGAGGGCCTGGTGGAAAGTTCTGAGAAATATAATCGTCGAGAAGTGGGTAAATCTGGAAGGGAGAGTTCGAAACGTAGAAGAAGTCAACCTTTTCAGCATCTTTTAAGGTATTGTACCAAATAGGCATCCCTGGAATGGACCATGTTTTTAACTCATGCACAAAGACGTTGGTGAAAAGAGATCTCTTGTCTCCTGTCACGCCCGTATGTTTGATAGTATCATCCACGTCACTTATCAATGCAAAACCGCTGTTTTCAACGATATTGATAGGGCAGTTCACTAGCATTCCATCAGGAACATCAATTTTTACATCGATGTTCTCTGGCTTGAACTGCGTCACTACTTTAACGTTGTAGTTTCCCCAACTGTCGGTAGCAACGTATGTGCATTCCTCTTGAGCATAACCGTCGGATATGTTAATAGCAAGGTTGACTCCCATAATATGTTTTTGTAGAAATCCTGCTATCCTGGACCGGAGGGTATTTTCTTCACTGGAGTCCAGGGCAAGTGAGGAATGATTCGAGGCTGAATCAAAGGTGGATTGCGAATCAGTTGATCGCGTTTCCGACTGCTCATCAATAGCTGTTTTTTCGGTGGGAGAGCTGGGCCGAATAAGCTGTCGACATAGCGACAAAATCAGCCTGGACTTCCGGTTCATGGTCCCCGGCGTGAAGACCAGACCCCTAATATGCGTTTCGAAGCGTCCACCGTCCTCCAAGCGAGTGTACGACGGGTAGACTAAAGTTTTCATATCCGCAGGCCACAGGGGAGCACCTGAAGAGGTACCAGGGGCGCCAGAAGCGTCATAATAGCTCTTGATGGTGCTGCTGGCGTCCGACTTTAGTTGCGACATCGTCGTGGTGAAAGTCGGCACATAGACGTCGCGAGTGGTCCGCATGATGTTTAACAGCCGCTGTCGCTTGTTCAGCGATGGATTGGCTCTGGCATCGTCGTTGCCACTCATTTTCAGCTTTTTCTTGGCAAGTCCTCGACGTTTGAACCTTTTAGACAAAGAGATCGATCTTGTCTGGTACAAAACGCTTCTTAAATCCAACAAACCGGCAATTTCAATATTAATAAATCTTCACTGGACTACTTCCGATCGTAGTTCATACAATCGCGACTGCTGGACACGATATATATATGCTAATTTATGTTGAACTAAGGAGATGCTAACTTTCCTTTGTGATTAGAACGTGATGTATTTAATAAATCTCAAAGCACAGTATAAAAACTGACAATGAAGTTAACGCCAAGACAAGTTTGTCGCCGTGACAGCTCTTTGCTTTGGCCTGAAAGTGTATTTTGTGTATAATATGCATGTTTCTTTAGACCTTCATTTGAACCTTTAGGAAATAGGTCACCAGAATGGGAAGTGTAATGGCCATAATCGGATACTGAATCATCAAAAAGAAGGAAGTGCAATCGAGCTGAATCGTCTCAATAGCATTCGTAGGTGTGTAACTTGCGGTGAAGTAGATTTGTGTAGTCATGCTAGGAAGAGCCCAGTCAATGGCAATAACGAAAAGCAGCATAGCGTCGTCTTCCCAGTTAAGTAAGCCTGATTTCACCAGACGGTCGCACCACAAAACACCCAGAACTGGCATCAAGCATAATCTTAAAAGTACCAGCACTAAGGCACTTTTCCAGAAGCCTGGGTACAATTTCGTGATCTTGAGTCGTCCCAGAGTGGCACCCAGTAGAAGAAGTCCGAATGGGACCGAAGCAGCTCCGATGTAGCTGGTAAAGTCCATGAAAAATGACAAAGCGGGCTGCGCGTCCGGCGCCTGTTTGATTTTAGGAGTGTTGGAATCGGTGACAAACAGGGCCTTTAGCCAGGGAACGAAGGCAATGATGAGAGCGATTATCACAGCCATCGAACATGGTCTTAAACAGTTTTTCAAAAAAAACACCACGTAGCGAGTAGGCGAGAGCTTATACAGCCAAGGTGGTAGCGACTTGCCGGAGTCTTCGACGTCCTGCGTCCCAACACCTGCCTCCGACGTGACCATACGAGTGAGATCTGAAGTTTTTATCCTCTCGATAACCGAAGGCTGTCTTGAGAGTCCCTGTTGTGAGTGGCTGGCAGTACTACGTCTACGACCAAATTGGTCTACGTTAGAGTACTCTCGGATCAAATGTGCCATGTCTGGATGCTGCGCTTCTCGTGCGTCTTGAGTACGAAATGAACTAGAGTTCGATGTGCGCCTACGATTTGTGACTTTTGACTCGCCATTGAAAGGCAAGGGCCTGCGATCGTGTGAACATGGCGTAGCAGTGCTTGATTCGGCTTGCGATTCCTGTGGTGTGATGGATGCCAAGCTAGACTGATACGTAGGTAGATCAGAGGTATGTGCGGCTTCTGGTGCCATAATGCTCGAGCTGCGCGTACGCTTTTCATGTTTGTCAGTTATCTCGTAGTCTTCCTCAGGCCGAGCGCTCTCTTGGTCGTTGTACTTAAAGTCCATTTCGATCAGTCGAAACCCTCCTAGGTTGAAAACAACGATGAGAAACATGGCAAGAAAGATGATCACATTGGCAACACCCTTGTTGCCTTCCTCCTGTGTGAAAACGAGTCCCTGATCTAGTGTCTGCAGATATGCAATAGGAAGGTCGCTGATATTAGGAAACATGCCACCGGCTAGAATACCACCCTGCCATTGTTTTGGCACGGGTAGAACCAAGCGTACTACGTACGCGAAGAAAAGGCCCGTGAGGAAGATCAGCACGGCTGATAAACACACGATGCCCACTTGTTTGATGTCCTGATCCTCGATGTTGCCCACAATCTTGTTAAACGACAGACACGGCAGCAACAAGGTCAGCACAATGTTTGAGATGCACTTAGTGCCTTCTACGGTCAGAACGTCCACTCTGGCCAGTAAAAATCCACACCCCAGTATCAGGTAGATCTTGATGATGGGCTTTACAGACGCCCAAATCGCCTGTCCTAATGTTAGCGACATAACGCTAATATTACAATACTAATACCGATAGTATAGTACACGTTACTATAGCGTAGTAGAATAGTTCTAACAGTTATAAGAGACGCTATGCCCAGCTTTTCAGTCAACGTTTTATTCAAATCCTACCGCTTTGTACCTGAATTTAGTTGATTTTCAAAATCAAAATTATTAACATGCCTCTTATCGCCTCTTCTTCGCTTAGTTCACTTACCGATTCAGTTAATTTTGAAAGGAAGCGCTAAGAAATACAAGACGAAAGGCCAGCGGAATCTAGAGTCGAAGCCGGCATTTTGAGAATGTTCGTAGCGAAATTCCGGCGAAAAAAATTCGAGTTGCCTTGACAAACTTACGCAGGCACGTTATAGATTACAGACAATATTTATCACCTTAGTTGTTATCTTGGCGAGATGTATACGTGTGCCCTTCTCCTCCATGCACCGTAGCGCTTTCGAGGCCGGTCTTTTTTCGTAATTTTGTGTAGTTTCCCATAGTTCCTATAGTTTCCGGCACTTTTCTGTGCTTGCGGTTCTTGTCAGTGTCCTGCGACGCCTCCAGCGCCTCACAGCCTATTGTCAAAATCTGACAGAAGGTAAATGGCATTGTTTTCGCCATAATTGATTCCGAATTGTGTTTCGATCTTTAGTTTACCCTTTACCCAGTCTGACAGGATCGTCATGCGGTTGTTCTGCCAATTCTTGATCGCGTAATTTATAGACCGGGGCTTGATGAAGCAACAGAGATCAAGCACAACCCCGTTTCTTTCCAGCAGCGCGGCCACAATTAGTGGAGTCAAATTCGAGTATTCGTAAGTCTTATTGCCACGGCACTCCACCACGCAGCTCACCAAACCTCCTACTTTGGCCACTAGACAGTTATAGACGCACGCGTGGGCATTTTTAACAGTGGTTTCGAGATCTGTGACGAAATGCGTCAAGCCCAATACCTCGATGGTTTCATTGATACTGCCCAAAACATATAATACCGACAAACTCAACACGCTATCTCTAGAGTCAGTACATCTAATGTTTTTGATGAATCCCAAGTCCCCAGTTCTGAGATATGATAGCCCATTGTCGGCTTCACCACCAAGCTTGGACTTGAATTGGGCCGAGATGAAGGGCAGCTTGGTCAAGCTGCCTCTGCTACTTTTGTTTTTTGCTACTCCCATTCGCTGCGCAGCAGGCATGATTTGGCTAATGTTGTAGTCGTAGACGTTAGCCTCAGAGCAACACCAAAGCTCGCCTATTTCGTTTTCGTAACATGGCTGAAGCGTTTCTGGATTAACTATGGACAAGTCCGTGCATACTGGAACTATTCCGGAATCTTGCAAGTGTAAGTATTGATCCAGCTCCGCAATAGGCAGAGTATTAGGATCTACTTCCCTTACCATCCCTTCTCTCAATGACACAGGGTCCAAATATATGTCGACTGGTGGAATCCCCAAGTAAGACCTCAGGGATATTAGAGGGTTGAAAATATGCTGGTAAACATAATTCAACTGGGCGGGGCTGATCATGATGGAAGGATATTTTTTCAAAGTATTTTGAATTGCCATGGTGCGCGGCCTGCCCTTTGAAGGTATCATGATATTCATCACTTTTCGCAGAAAATCTGGTCTCACAACAGGTTTAGCAGATTTTGAATCTTTTCTACCGGAGGGCATACTTTTCCCTTTTTGAACTATGGAATTAGCTTGGTCCAAAACTGCGTACAACATCTCAGGACTTAGTATTAGGTCCTTAACATTCAAATTTTGAAGCGCAATCAAAAAACTTGTTGCATCGCTCAAAATGTCATCGAAATTAAAAAAGGAAGTAGTTGTACCGACGTATATTCCCAGCAAACAACTTTGAATAAAGCCGAGACCAGCTGTATGCATATAAGTTGAAATCAAAGGGCTATCGCTGGTCAATTGTAGTGTCTCTTTTATGATTTTGCACATATTTAGCAAAATTTTGTGCGTCATAACTACGTTGATTTCCTTTTGGTTATCACGTTCGCGATCTATCCAGACAACACAACCTTGCGACGTTACGGAGTTAGTTCCGTGCTTTTCTTTCAGTAAAGCCTTCAAACTGCTAAAAGACACATCGGCCTTTTTCTTTATTTTCGAAAACGTTGTAATTTTTGGAATCAGATGCTTGTATCGTTTAAGAGCCCTGCTTATATCTGTTCCGTCGTCCAAGATGGCCTGCATTTTGGAGTCAACGAATATTCGCCTGACTTTGTAGTTGAGCACTACACTTAGCAGAAAGTCAACTTCCTCTACAGGATGAGAGTCATTTAAAGTTGCGATTGGGATAACAACTAAGTTGCAATAGAAGCAGGCCAAGACCATGGCCACATATTCCACGGAATTGTCACATAAAACAATAACATGGTCACCGGTTTTTAATGGTGTTTTAGATTGCACAATCTTTTTCACAAAACACCCAATAATAGATAAGAAGCTTTTCCAAGAAACCTTGCTGTGGAAGCTATTCGAGTTCGCTGCTGAGGATGATGCGCTGGAAACTCCGTCGCTAAAAGCATGCTCATCACCGTGCTTTCTTGACCTCCATTCTAGTATTTCTAGAATATTAGGAAATGGAGTTAGATCGGTATTTGTTCTATAATCCAACGACTTTTCACGGTAATCAATACCAGACGTTTGCCAAGTATCCCCTGGAGCACTCCCAGTTAGATCCATCACATCCTGTGCTATAGCGTCGTGACGCAATGTCGATAAATGTTCAGAGAAAATGCTTTCATTCACAAAGCTTGAATGTGGTATAAAGTCAAGGATAACATTGTCAACCTGAAATTTCACGAACTTCGAGTTCAAAAGTCCACTCAAAAACCTCTTTTCAACAGTGCTATTTGCAATCTCGAGTGAGCAATACCTTCTAGGTAGCGATCCTGGCGCTACCAAAAGAATGCATAAGGGCTGAATTCTATGAAAAATCCACAAAATTTTGTATATCTGCTCTACGACCGCAGTCATCTTTTTTTCTAATTGCTGCTTTTGTTGCGTCGCCATTGACAGATTGGACTGTACTAATGCTGCTGAAGGGTTACTAGCCAAGGGACTTTCAATTGCCATTATCAGAAAATGTTCTTCCTTGTTTTGTGGAAGTTCAAATACTGATACTTCCAAAGCTTTGTCGACCATTCTAACGACATTTTCTGTTACATGTTGCAAATAATAGGTTTGGACAATTCTTTTTGACTTGAGTGATTCTATCTTTTCAGTCACTTCTTTTTTTGGAGCAGATTCTGTATTTCGTGCCTTATCGAGGGCTTTCGCTCTTGTCACATCTGATGTATGTGACCAGTTTGGTAGTCTTATAAGCTTGTTTTGCAAAAACATATCCTCAATCAAAGACAGAACATATATTTTCCCGTTATGCACAAAACCCATCAGCTTGGTCCTGATGAATGTTTCTCCCGGTGAGCAGATTTCCATAATCATATCAAGCCGATCAAAGGATTCTTTAATTGCTTGTGTGCTCGAGACAGTCCATTTTAATATATCTGTCATTTTTTTGAAGTTCAAACGCGCGTTAAACACAAACTCATTTATTTTGTCCATTTGGTAAAATTCATCTGTTATACTGGGTGATGAAATCCACAGCTCTCCAATTGTTAGGTCAGGGACCAGTGTGCTATCGTCTGGGTTCACGATACAAACCGTGGCATCAGGTATGGGAAACCCAAAACAGGACAATCTTAGGTAGTCTTTTGTGGAGCTAGAAGAATTAATCATCGCAGTGATACTAGGCTTCACAACATTTTCCTTCAATTGTTCTTTATCAATGAATAGCTCATCTTGTAAACGCAGCTTAGGGTCATGAATAGGGAAGTTTTCCAAATGACCAAGCTGATCCCTCAAAGAAATGAAAACACCGCCAAAATCTAATAGCGTAAGCATGGGGGAGTAGCATTGGGATGCATCTAGACAGCCTAAATTTTTGAGCCACTTGTGAACAATCATATCGGTAACCTCCGTGTCTATATTTGTACAAGATGTGAGACACCATTTGACACAGCACATGTCTATCTTGTTCTTTTTCGAGGTCACCATTGCCGGATTGTCCAAGTAGTTAATGACAACTTGTTTTAGCTGCAATTGGTCATTGAGTAAAATATTGACTCGATGTTTATTGATAATGTTTTCATAAAGCCCTGCCTGTTGAAGAAGGCGATCATCAACGGTCAACAAAAGATTGCCAGTAAAGATGTTGAAGAGAACACCAAAGATTAGCCCCGTGGATCGCGTAGGGTCCAAACTACTCAGTACTGTATACCGCGAGTTGGTCCTTCTATTTTTATATGACCTTTTAACGTCCCCTGTGGTCCAATGCGGTTGTCTTCTTGAATTCAATATGCTGGCCATCGTCTCTAGTTGCTTGGTTAAAATTTTGTGCTTAATGACAACACCAGAGAGACGGCCCAGTGGAGTTCTTGTAAATTCAATGTATGACACATTAGGTATATCAAATGTTGGTTTATTTTTTTTGGCCTTCGAGTAAATTCCCAAGTCCTCGGTCATAACGAAAGTCATTTGAGAGAGAAATCCATTTTTAGTGAGTTTGATCTTGGAGTTGTCACCGTATTCTAAATGATCAATTTGCTTGAGACAGTCCTCCGATATGAGAGACAAAGTCGCGCTAGTAAGGCCAACAATTTGAGTAATCTCACTAAGAGAGTAGGTTTGAAGTGATACTGGAACAGCAACCATGCCAGCAATAAAACAACCAAGAAGCGAGACCGTAAACTCAACGAGATCATCCTTGTTGAACCAGAGAAGAACTTTAGCCATTTTGTACAGTTTATGCTTTGTGAGCTCATATGCCACGCGCTCTGCTCGAAGATAAAGTTTGTCCCAAGTAATTGCATTTTCTTTGTTCTTGTAATTGATACTGATGAATGCAGCTTCCCGTTCATATAGCTGCGAGCGGGCCCTGAGAATGTAAGGCAATGAATCCGACATAGGTGCGCTCTCGGTTCGTGGCAACAGAGGGACCATCGGCTTGTAAATGGGGGAGGTAGGTTCGGCCGCACCGCTTTCCCCGAGCGACTTGATAGGGCTAGCTTTGCTGTTTAACGAGCTTGAGTTTCGGGTAGTGACTTTGTACATGGAAAGTGAGTTTTGTCGCGAACTCAGCAAGGACGAGGTATCAACGGTGTAGTTGTCTTTTTGGGGTGTTGTTTGCGATCGCCGTGATCGTACAGTGGAGGCCAAACTATGGTTTCTGGCATGGCCTGGATAGCGCTTTACATTAGAGGTTGGTGACCCGATAGGAGTTCCAGACAGTCCGCCTCTCTCTAATATTTCCTGTCTCTTCCTGTTGTAGCCTTTCATGGTGACATCTCCATCATGGTATTCCTGTGTGAGCTCTTGGAGTTTTGTGACTTCCTTCACAGGCAACCCTGGCGGTATTGAGAAGTCCATCGACTTGCAATGCAACTTGTATGTTCCTCTAATGAAGAATAATCAAATATTGAAGTTAAAGAATGCATTATTTTTGGTAGTGTTGACGAGTGCGCTTTCGACTACAGTTCATCACGTGCAAGATTGGACATAGAAAGAATCCGGGGAAGTTCAACGAGGAATGCCCAACTTTCAAATGGCTAGCGACTAGTTTGTGGCTCTGGAAGTATCAAATTACTGGTTCAAACATATCTCATATATTCAAAACTGTAACATCATGTTTGTGTGGGTACTCGAGCATCAGGATTGCAACTGGCGCGCAGAGAGATAACTATGGAATACGTGGAAAGACCTTCTTCCTGAAATTGAGTATAAAAATAGCAATATATTTGGCATTTGTAAAATATACTAACCCTCGTACTACTTTTTATTACATTTTACATTATTAATTGAATTAATATTTACACTGTCGGCATACTCTGCGTAACGTCCATTGTGAAATTTTCTGCATTTACGAGTCTAACTGCGGCGCGAAAAGATCCAAAGGTTTGCCGTACAGTTTGTACGAGCCTTGCCTCTTCTTTAGTACTACCGTGCTCGACTTTACACATCCTCTTACCAATTGAAATTACGAGCGTTAGCCGAGGCTTTACAAAGATTCGCTGCTAATGTACGTGATGCGAAGTCCGTACTATCATATCTTTCAGATTTAAAACCATTCTTCAATTTCGGGCGGCGCCAATGATAGAGGGCATTTTTATTTCGTTCTACACGCAAACGATGCGCAATTTCACGCTGCAGAAATGTCATTTCGAGGTTCCCGTATGAGCTTCTAAAATACGGCCCACAACGTGGGTAGTATCAACGTCGTTAATAATGGCCTTGGGAAGTAGAATTGGTTTGGATCTGCGGTCACATTTGTACCTCGTAACAGCTTTATCCGGCAAAGTTACTGATTATACGAATTCCGTTGGTTTCAATGTGACCAAGCCATGCTAGTGGTAACAGACGCATACCCCTACACCATTCGGGAAGTGCTTATTTATTCAACCAGGGAATCCACAAGTAGTTCTGTTCCTTCAGGTGATATTCACGTTGTCAATTGAATTTTCACATTAGAGCATAAAATTATGGACCGTTTGAAATCTACTATAAGATACAATTTGGGAATCGTGCCATTAAGGTCATACGAGCTTCGCTATTGAGATAGAAAAGGTTACGGATAAGACAGTCAATTCCTTAAACACCAATTTGAACCTCGAGGCAAAAAAGACCTCACTTCCTTTTTTTTTGTCACACTTGAATTGATACTTTGCAAACACAGAGATAAACACTCACAGAACACACACAAAACACACACATAACACGAGTCAAGATGGGAAACTCTATATCGAAGGTTATGGTCAAGATGTTCGGGTACCGTGAGATGAAAATCTTAATGTTAGGGTTGGATAATGCAGGCAAGACAACCATTCTTTACAAACTGAAGCTGAACAAGATCAAGACGTCGGCTCCCACGGTAGGATTCAATGTGGAAACCGTATCATTCAGAAACGTCAAGTTCAATATGTGGGATGTGGGTGGGCAAGATAGGCTCCGCCCTCTGTGGAGGCATTATTTCCCAGCTACCACGGCTCTAATTTTCGTGGTAGATTCCCAGGACATGAAACGACTCAACGAAGCCAAAGAGGAATTGTACAGTATAATCAGCGACAAAGAAATGGAAGACGTCGTGCTGTTGGTTCTGGCTAACAAGCAGGATCTAAAAGATGCCATGAACCCGCAGGAAGTTTCGGACTATTTGGAACTAAAGGATCACCTAAACAACCAGCTGTGGTGTGTCATCGGGAGCAACGCTTTAACGGGCCAGGGGCTGGTCGAAGGGTTGTCGTGGATCACCAATAATACGAAGGCGAAAGATAAAAAATGAGCATTAACAAAGAGTCTATTAATTAAAGCCCCGTTGGAGAACACTTTTAATGGGCCTGGCCCCAGTCTTCTGGCATCATTAAATGTAACATAATTTAGAAAATAGGTAATGGAGATGCTGGGGAGTCAACGAATGTAATAGGGTCAATATCAGATTCAAGGCGAATTTTAGGAATATGTAAAACGTCTAAAAAGAAAAATGGGCCAAGACAATGGCCACTAACTCTGACTCAAAAAAAATGAATAACTACTTGAGATGTTTAATAATGTACAGTAGAGAATGGATCAAACACCAATCGTACTCGTTGCGAAGCTTGGCATTTAAACTTGTAATTCGACGGATCCATCTGGGTTACCGAAGTAAGCTTTCGAGGCATTATCAATAAACAAACCGGTTTCCACCACACCAACCAACATCTTGATATCTTGGTGGAGAATTTCCGGATGCTCAATTTCGCCAAAATCGGCATCGATGATAAAGTTACAATTGTCGGTGACCACTGGTCCAGCCTTTGCGGGAGCACCTTGTCTTAGAATGGCGTTTTTACATTTGAGTTTGGTTTTCAGGTCGTGGAGCACTCGTATGTAACCCGATGGGACCACCTCGATCGGCACACCCTTCACCCAATTGGTACCTAGGTACTTTGGAGATCTTTTACGGTAGTCTGCCACCACTATAAATTTCGCTGCAGACGTGCTGATCAGTTTTTCCTGAAACAAGCAACCACCACCACCTTTGATGAGCTGCAAGTTGACATCCACTTCGTCTGCACCATCAAACACGATGTCTAGTGTTGGGAATTGCTCGATAGAGCCCAGTGTCAGGCCGTTGGTCAAAATGAGTTCTTTGGACTGAAATCCGGTGGGAATACACACAAATTGGGAAGCATAAATGGAGAATTTAGGATCCAAGAGGTACTGGCCCAGTCTTTCGGCAACGTAGATAACAGTGGACCCGCTTCCAACGCCAATGACACGATGGCGCTGATAGTCCAGGTTTTCGTCTACGGCTCTGTACGCGGCGAAACGTTTAGCCTGTTCCAGCGTACTGTGCAGCTGAGGCAAATGCTTGACATCGGGCAAGGAACTCATCTTCAAGGCAAAACGTCGCACACTCAAGCGAACCAAGCTGTTCAAGCCTCGAAACATAAACTTACATATAAGATTTAATCGGTAGGATTGAAAGAATTCTATTTTTGCAAGAAGGCCCAACACACCTGGAAAAGAAAAATTTTAGTTCTTGGGATTGGACCTAAGACAAGTAATTGTAAAGACAAAGGTTTGGAGGGAATTTAGTGTTGAGCTAGTGTAGATGAGCGCATAACTTGAAGGAGAGAATGGCGGGGTTAACCCGAATTTTTTTTTTTGTTGGTTTGACGGAGAGCAAGACGATCGCGCCGTTGGTGTGTTTCCCGCGTGGAAAGACAGTATAAGGTGCGAGCTACAGGGGAAACACGCGCGCTGGTGGAGAGCGTCAGCGATTGTCTTACTCTTACGTGGAACTGATCTACACCACTGAACAAAACGAACTGTAATTGTACGTAAATGTTTGCGAACTGCGATTGCACGCATTCGTGGGAGTGAAAGATGGATGCTTGAGCAGAGCTCATAGCTGCACACTGGAGTTCGAGAGCAAGCGGTGTCAGTATAGTACAGAGTGATATTGCGACTAGCAATTTCACGATTACATGTCATTAAAATCCTTACCGTCCCGTAGCAGACCTCTGCAACTGTCACGCTCGTTTCATCTGTATTGACCTTCTCAGTTCTCCACAGAGGAAATCCCTTTCTCACGCCTGGCTCACCAAAGCTCTCCTCTTCTCTTCTCTTGTACTGCTAACGTATCCGGCGTTCCCTCTCGAGACTGCTTTCAGTCACCCACACATCTTACAAAAATCCAAACATTTTGAATAACAATAATTTTTGTGCGTCAGATTTTTTTCTGAAAAATATATTTTACCTTTTTTTTGACGAGTCTCTTTTCAATGCCGGTATCCTCAATCTCGTATCGCCCATCACTCTAGGCCCTGTCTGTCTAGCGCTAGGCAGGGAATCTTCCTCTCTCCCGCCCAGGGACCAGTCCAGCACCTGCCTAGCTCCTGTCTGGAGTCTCCCTCGCATGGAGCCTACGGGCCACCGTCCAGGCTCGGCGGACGGACAGGCGTACAGGGCTCCAAACCAAGCCTCACGCTTCGATTCTGGAGCGTGTAGCATGCTCGTGCCGAAGCTCTCTCTGGATACTGGTGCATTTTTCAATATTGGAAAACAATATAGTAACTTCGATACCCTGTGTGTGTGATTCGCTATAGTCAAGGAAACCCCCACAAGATCATCTACACAATGTCTGCCCAAGCCAAGATTTTGTCTCAAGCTCCAACTGAATTGGAATTGCAAGTTGCCCAAGCTTTCGTGGACTTGGAGGTCGCTTCTCCAGACGCCAAGGCCGACTTGAGACCTTTGCAGTTCAAGTCGATCAGAGAGGTATGTAGCGTTCGAGTGCGCGCGTGAAAGGACAGTCAGAGGACAGTGCTGAAAGCACAAGGCGTGGAATAGGTAGCGCGAAAAGTCGCAAGGCGAAATACGTGGGCCAGCGTAGCCTGGCATACAGGACGAAATGGCTCGATTGGCGCCACCGCACCGCACCACACGCCTCTGTTTTCTCTCCTCTGTTGTTTCCGTCCCTTCCTCCTCTTCATTTACTAACATCCGTTTCCAGATCGAAGTTGCCGGTGGTAAGAAGGCTATTGCCATCTTCGTCCCAGTCCCATCTTTGGCTGGATACCACAAGGTCCAGACCAAATTGACCCGTGAATTGGAGAAGAAGTTCCCAGACCGTCACGTTGTCTTCTTGGCCGAGAGAAGAATCTTGCCAAAGCCTTCCAGAAGATCCAGACAGCAACAGAAGAGACCTAGATCCAGAACTTTGTCTGCCGTCCACGACAAGATCTTGGAAGACTTGGTTTTCCCAACCGAGATTGTTGGCAAGAGAGTCAGATACATGGTCGGTGGTAACAAGGTCCAAAAGGTTTTGTTGGACTCCAAGGACGTTCAACAAGTCGACTACAAGTTGGAATCTTTCCAAGCCGTCTACAACAAGTTGACCGGTAAGCAAATCGTGTTTGAGATCCCTGGTGAATCCCACTAAGCGAATAGGTTTCTTTAATATAAAAAAAATCATTTTCACTCCACTTACTCATTCACTTTAAACTCCCCACCCAACCCTTCTTCACTCATCAACATCAACAGATAACCACAACCATAACAAACTTCCTTTGACAAAACAGAAAGCCAAAATGTTTTAATAGGTGTATAATTTAAAGCGTTTTTAAACTTAGAGATCAACTACATTGTTGGCGTTGCCCCGGACTCAACGACTTGCTGCTTGCCTTACAAAACTTTCATAGGTTGTATCCGTAGGCCTGGTTTTGCGGGCTTTCCGAGGTTGTTTATCCAGAGTTTGATGGGACTCCTTATATCCCACGATATCGAAGTCGTCTGTGGCTCGTTGCACAAACTGCTCTCGAGCGTTGGGCTCCGGACTCTCATCTGTGATGCGTTTTGATGCCAATCCCGCTATCGGTTTTTTGGATACTAAGATAACCCCACACACCACAATCCCCCCTAAACACACGGCGTATTTTAATAGTGTCAATATGCTCACCAGCACCCCGCCTATAAGTGCCCTAATTACTGGCTCTAGTAAAATAAACAAAATTGTAGTTGCAGACCCCAGTAAAAACGACAATGCGTCAATTCGTGCGAATCCATGCTCATCCCACGATTGCTTTGCATGTGCAAAGTACGTAGCTATATGCTCTGAGGCTTGGTCCATGGGCAATCAGCGGCTGCGATGAACTAGATATTTTAGTTTCTTTGAATCTTTTTTTGATATATTGCAAGACTACTATTGACTCGATAAATGGGTTGATACATGACTATAAAATTCCTGGTTGCGCAGAGAAACAAACAGGCAGATATGAGCCGAACATCTGAATGATGGCCAGCCCTGAGGTTATCGGCAGGTCAGTGAACGGAGCAAAACAGGTAGTGAGGTTTAGGGAAAGACGTTGGATCAAGACCTTTTTCTTGCGTGTTATGAGGTAAACCTCTAGTACAGTTGCCAAACAGGCAAAAGCGATACGCTGTTTTGCGGACGGCAATGGTATACAGTCTGCATGAACGGTGTGATTTACTGCTAAGACGATCGTTGATACCGGATTTGGTATAGTATGGTCAACTACAAAGCACTCAATGGTTTTGTCCAATAGCCTGGGCAAAAAACCATGACACATATGTCGTTCCACTCTCAGTGCTTTAAAGCGCTTACGATCTAAACTTTGCCTCAAGATGAACGCTTTTGGACAAACGACATGCCTTGTCATGCCTTGTTACTACATGTCAAACACAATTCATGCTTTTGTAATCTCGGTAGCAACCTGCACCTCTGTAGATCTTTAAACTATTGTTGTTGAGCTGCAGTCGTGCCTTAACTGGCAGTAAAAACAGCAACGATGATTTTCCCTGTTTATTGGCAGCTTGGCATATCATATGGCAACAAGAGCTAAAAGTAAAAAAAAGTGCTGGTGAATATGAACCACAAGAGTTCAAACGATATCGAGCACGCAAGAGCCGAAGCTTGGGCTGCACGTCCGTTAGCAATACATATCGTGGACCTGGCGATCTCTGATTTTGGGCATTCACTTGTTGTCTGCTCTTCGGATAAGAAAATTAACTCACTCGCCCTTCTTCCCAGATAAAGAAAACTCATTAAGCTTTATTGTCTGGCAGCTAAATAATTCTCCCCATTCCACAACAGGCGCAATGCTAAATTTTCAGTCATATACAAAGGCAACTTAAAGTTTACTTTTGAGTTACCTGATAACGCGCACCACATTTTGAGACTAAAAGACTGAGTTGTGCATTGTCGTGGCCCAACAAACTGAAGGTAGGCACTTTGGATATATATCGGATGAACGCGAAGACCGAATTTAACCCTCACGCTCAATTTAATCAACCAGCACAAAACCAAGGCCTACTTACTGACTACCGAGACGTTCGTTTTCAAGTTAATCAAAAGTCCCTATCTAACCTTTCTTCTGCTTGTTCATCCAGTCTTTCCTCTACTCGGTTATATTCGTGCACGTGTAAAAAGCCATTAGTACGTTTGAAAATCACGATTTAGCGAGAAGAACCCTGTTTTAAGTTTTGAAACGGATACATCTAGTTTCTCAACCTCCGGTGATCCTTACTCCTAAGCTTTTTAGTTGGGTGTTGGTGAGATATACCATACGAAGGGCAATGGCACTAATGGGAAGAAAACCCTCAAGACGAATTGTCGCGGCAATTGTCGCAGTTGGACTTTTATGGATGATTCGCACCATGCTGCCTGGGCTAAATAAGCCGAGCAGAAAAAGCTTGACGCGTGATATAGGCGCTCAACTAGTTTCGGAGCTGTCTGCCAGGGCTGAAAACAAAAATAACGAGGCGCTTGTGCCAGATGAGACCTGTGGTGCTTATTTTGCCGCCCTCAAAGCCGCCGAACCGCTCTGGTGGAACAACTACCGGGAAAATTCAGAATCGTTTTCCGACGAGTATGAGGCCGAAAATCTACGGCTGATTTTAGAACGCGTGCGGGTCTATGAGACATGTCTCGCACAAAACGCACTCCCGGCACAGATCGCAGATCTTGACGCACGGATGTTCCCTTTTATTCGTCTGGGCGAATTTCCCACATTCACCTCTGGCGATCTTCAAAAACACTACGATGGTGGCAATGTACCCTTGATGGGACAGCGCGACACTTTTAAGTTCCGCTACGATTGCGAACAGTCGTGGCTTACAAATTGGAATCGTTTATGTCTCAAATCCTCTGCGGCGAATTCGCGAGGTATCGTTATGTCGTTTCCAGATTCGCATGTGTCACTGGCAATTCGGCTCATAAAGGTGTTAGCTCACCAACAAAACCTACTGCCGATCCAAGTCGTGCACAAGGGCGATTTATCGCTGGAATCGCAAAAGCAAATATCTGAGGCGCTCCCGCAAGGACAACACTTGTGGTTCGTAGACGTCAGTCCGATGCTGCACAAGACATTCATTTCAGATTTCCACACCTATAGAAATAAGTGGCTTGCAACGATATTCAGTACATTCACTGAAATTGTATTTATTGATGCTGATGCTATATCGTTACTTCCAATGAAAAACTACTTTGATCTCCCAGAGTACAAAGAGTCTGGTACTCTTTTCTTCAAAGATCGAGCATTTGCTCACAAATTCGATTTTCCTTACTGTGTTCCAGCATGGAAATCACTACAGCCAACATCTTTTGAAACTAAATATTTGGGCCGCAAAAGAACGATTGACATATCCCTGATGCTCTCCAGCAATCCTACTACAGAACAAATTATAATACAAACGTTGTTTGTGGGGCATCAGCGTCATCATATGGATAGCGGACTCTTAGTAGTGCATAAATCCAAGCATTTGATGGCTCTCCTGACAGGCATATTCATTAATTTAGCTCCGAACCTCTCCAAATGTACACACGGGGACAAAGAGTCTTTTTGGCTGGCATTTCTTTTGTCTGGCCATGATTACAAGTTCCACCCAACTATAGCGAGTGCCCTGGGAAAAGTTAATGAATATAACGAAATTTGCTCGGTACAATTGGGTCATACCACCACCACGGGGAACTTATTGTGGTTTAATAGCGGCTTTAGAGTTTGCAAATTCTCAGATGGTATAGATTACGACTGGGATGGCTATAAAAAAGATGAGCTACACGATAAGTACTCTTCGATTGATGACGCTCGAGAGTATTATCAATCCATGATTAAAATTGATTCAGCAATTTTACCAGATGTTTTTGTGAATCCGTGGGGTGGTGGGTTTACCGACTTATGCATAGGCTATACCTATTGTGCGAGGGTTACCGAAAATGATGGTCAAATAGTCAAATTTTCAGAGGAAGAGGTCGATAGACTTCAAGAAATCGGGTCCGTTTGGATGAAGGCTACCGACGTGGAGCTCACTTACTTCAACACTTAACATTTATTACACAGTTTCTATACTACTAATGAGATAAGTATTGATAATGCTTGAAGATCAACAAAAGCGGCAAATTAGAACCGCAACTCAGTTCCTTCTCGCTCTCATTCTTGCAAGTTTTCTTCCAGGCGGCAAGTTCATCATTGAACTTTGGTTTTGTTGTTGAGGCATGGCACCAGGGTTGCTACCTCCAAACACTTGTGCCGGGTTTTGAGGCGTGTTTCCAAATGACTGATTAGAATTCGAAGGTTGACCCCCAAACATTTGTGCGGGCGTTGAACTTGTCGTCCCTCCAAATATCGAGCTTGGTGCTTGTGATGCGGCACCCCCAAAATTTAGATTAACTGTATGCGAAGGGCTAAAAGGCCTACTTTGCGGATTTGGTGGCGCAAATGCAGGGACTCCCGTACCTCCAAAAGGTGGTGGCGTGGAAGACGCGCTTGTATTTCCCGTGCCAAAATTGAATGCAAGTTGTTGGTTGTTGGCAGGGTTTCCAAAAGCTGGCGAGTTATTGCTTGTTGTAGAGCCGGACGCGAAGCCAAATCCATTGCTTTGTGAAGGCGGTATTATTGATGACTGAGGTTGTTGTGGTTGTGGTGCGTTAACAACTGGTGGGGTGCCAGCGCCGAAGCTGAATGCAGGCTTTCCTATCCCACTGCTTGAGGCAGCAGAGAAAGGCGGCTTGGGTGGTTGATTACTTTGAATGGCGCCCGAATTCCCAGCGTTTGAATCAAATTTGAAGCTACTTCCATTAATTGATGAAGATGACTGGTTATTATTTTGACTGTTGCCACCAAAGGAGAATGCAGGTGGTGTAGAGTCCTTTTTTTCTGAAGGTACGCCGAAGCCAAACGACTTGGATGATGTGATGGAAGGCTTAGAGCCCAATTGTGGTGCAGTGGATGCATTTCTTGCATCATGTGCGCCTGTTGAATCTGATAGCTTGGTGAAGGAAAATGACGGTTTTGTCATGCTACCGCCTTCAGAAGACGCGGGCTTTGATGAATTAACGCTTCCAAAGGAGAAATTGTTTGGAGCGCTTGATTGAACAATCGCGGGCTTGGAGGATCCAAAACTGAAAGCAGCTGGGGGTTTGTCTTTGGTATCATTTGCTGCTTCTTTAGGTGCACCGAATGTGAACGAGGGGACTTTTTTACTAGATGGTTCGCTGGCGATATCTTTTTCGTTATCGTTTTGCGCGCCAGTTCCACCAAAACTAAAAGCAGGCTTAACAGCAGGCTGGGTTCCTGAAGTAGACGCAGATTCTGGAGTAGGTTTATGTACAGAGTCAAATGCAGGATTCGAAGGCTTAGACCCAAAGTCAAACACGGGCTTTGAAAGAGTGTTGGACCCAAACTCGGAAACAGACTTTGCGTCGTCTTTTGTCTCTTTTTCTTTGATAGCTTCTTGTTCAGGGACTCCCGGTTTGTTCTGATTAGGGCCATTAAATGTAAAAGCCGAGGGGCTAGGTTTGAACGAAAAGGGTTTGTTGCCAGACTCCTGTTTGTCTTCTGCGTCTTTCTCCTTCACTTGACTTGATGGCTGTCCGAAAGATAAAACAGGCTTAGATTCCCCGCCTTTGCTTGAAGTTTGAGATTTTCCGAAAGCAAAAGACGGTTTTGATTGAGCCGACCCGCCGCTGCCTCCTCCAAATGAGAAAGCTGTTCCTTTATCAGTTGTTCCGAATGACAGAGGTTTGGTTTTATCATGCGCGGCAGATTTTGACCCAGGCGATTGTTTGGTATCAGACAAAGACAGATTCCTATCAGAAGAGGTCGTAAGATCAGTAGCTGATGATTCTTTGACATTTGCGCCGCCAAATGTGAATTTTGGAGGGGAGACATTCTCTCCGGCTTTAGAGGAGTCCAATTCAGACGACGCTTGGCCAGATTTGCCGTCCGCTTTTAAAAAATCAAATCCGGAACTGGGTAAAGCCAATAATGGTTTCGACTTCTCACTCGCGGTCCCATTTTTGGTTGGCGTGCTGATCTTCGTGTCATCTTTGCTTGCGGAAAGATCCACTAATGACTTTCCATCAAGCAAAGTGGCTTGGATTCTTGATAGGCCAGGGCCTGCACTGACTTTTCCACCGGTTGTGCTCTTCTTCAAGACCGTGGGCGATAACCTCGGGGACTCCATTGTAGTGGAAGAATCAACACTGTCCTTTGGCTTTGAGTTCTTCGGCTTCTTAACAACATCGTATTCTGCCAAGTCATATTCTAGGTCTCCGCTCCAACGTTTACCGAGAACTGTCCTAGTCGGCTGTTTGGAGCGCTGTATAGCTTTCTGACTGTTTCTCTTGAGTGATCTTAGCGGAAGCAACTGTGTTTTAGCGATTTTGGAAGGCTTTTCGCTTTCGAAAGAGGAAGTTATGAGACTTGGCAAATATGAATCTTGCAAACGTCGTAGATATTGCTTGTGACGTAGAATTTTAAGTCTCTGCAAGGGCATTATGGGCAACAAAGGCGGCCTCTCACCATTTTCAGAGTCGTACAGCACTAAATCGGGTACAGATGGCAGCTCTGTGGTGTCCGCATCTTGAATATTGGAACTTACTGAACTGGCTTTATTGGCGTTTCGAGAGTCATGGTATTCTGTCGGAGTGTCTTTCTTGAAAAAATTCACAATCGAGGACGAGATCGAACGCTTGTTAGAGGGATGTAAAACCACACTTGACATGAGGAAACGGCTTCCGTTGACGTATATATACGATGTTTCTTCGATGCTTTAATATTCAAGAACTAGAATAGCATTAAAATTTGAGAACGATATTTACGGTCATGTGAATAGCGATGATGAGCAGTTAGCAACTAAATCTGGATAGAGTGCAGAGCTTCGGAATCGAAAATGTAGATAGAAGAGTGCAAGTGTGATCGCTATTAGAAACGTTTTCTATCCTGTAAAACATCCAATCTGCGATTGAAAAGTACAACTTTTATTATTTAGGTCGTGCTAATTCGCATTAAACACACTGAGGGAAAAGCTCGTAACAAAAGCCGTTGACGCCGAGATTGCGAAGAGAAAACAGTCACTTACATGGATGAGCTCTAAAATAACACCTCTTGCAAAAGAATGGTTCTGTGACGTCAAAATACAAGTGTACTTATATCCGTAATTTATATCCTGCCCAATTGCCTGTCTCAAGTAAGTCTTAGTGATGCTACAAAGGAGATGTGCTAGTCGAGCCTCCCAACCACTTAGCACTTATCCAACAAAAATTCCTCGATACGTGGCAGATTCCTCGTCATCTCATGCGTGCCAGAACCCAATGTCACAGGGTGCCAAAGTGATTGAAGGACGGTCCGAAAACTCCGAAACTCGAAAAGGGTATACTTTTCTAATGATAGTCGTTTGTAGAAGGCGTCGAGTACCGGCATGCCGCAGCCTCCATTCTCATCCATGTTATTGTTGTTACAAAACTACAATTTTTAGAATAACCAGTTTGCAAGAAACCTGCGCCGCTTTCAACAATTTTGTTACCGAGGTAGGATCACTTTTCCGTACTCGCGGTAAACCTGAGGTATTGTTGCCGGCCACAAATGAACAGATAAGTTCAAACAAGCTATAATTTTAAACAATCCCTTGCGGTTTTAGACTCCCAAATTTGAAGAAGGCGCAATTCCAACCTCTAAAAATTATCGATGCTCATGTCTAAAACCATACTTCAACCCACAACTAGGCTCTGTGATCAGAAATAGCAAGCAATTTGCCATCTTCTACGCCTTCTAATACGGAGTAGTGGGATATATTAAAATCATTCTTGTTTTTCGTGTCGTCGGCTGAGACAGAGAAAACCATCAGTCAGGTTTACGTGTTAAAACAAATAACAAATTTGAAGTTTGAAGAGTTTAAGGCTTTAGTTGGGTGAAAGTCAACGGAAGCATGCAACTGAACGTGAAAAGCGGCGCCTTCCGTGCTCTGGCAGCCGCATGTATCATAGCTACGACACTGTGGTTGCTGGTCCAAGGCTCTGGCTTCGGATCCGGCTCTTATGGGTTGAACATGAAGAAGTCCACGACGAAAGATCCTGAGAGTGGTTACGTGTATCGTAAAGTGTCGCGTCAGAAATACACTGGTCCCAAGGAAAAGGCGACATTCGTGACGCTTGCGCGTGACGAAGATTTGTACTCGCTATTGGGTTCGATTGCGAGTATCGAAGACCGCTTCAACAGCAAGTTCCAGTACGACTGGGTTTTCTTGAACGACAAAGAGTTCAGCGACGAGTTCAAGCGTATCACAGGGGCCATGATTAGTGGTACCGCTAAGTATGGTCTTGTTCCACCTGAGCACTGGTCTTTCCCCGACTGGATCGACCAAGACAAGGCCAAGGCAGTCAGAGAGCAAATGCGTGAAGACCAGATCATCTACGGTGACTCCATCTCTTACAGACATATGTGTCGTTTCGAGTCTGGGTTCTTCTACAAGCACGAGCTTTTGAACGATTACGACTGGTACTGGCGTGTGGAGCCCGACACTAGAATCTACTGTGACGTGGACTACGATCTATTCAAATTCATGAAGGACAACGGCAAAAAGTACGGTTTCACCATTTCGCTACGTGAATATGAAGCCACCATTAAGACGCTTTGGGACACAACTAAGGATTTCATAGGCAAGAACAAGGAACTCTTGCATCCTAACAACATGATGGATTTCATTTCCGACGACAGTGGCTCTTCATACAACCTCTGCCATTTCTGGTCAAATTTTGAAATCGGCTGGTTAGACTTGTGGCGTGGAGATGCTTACACGGCGTATTTTGATCATCTTGACCAAGCTGGTGGATTTTTCTACGAGCGTTGGGGTGACGCTCCTGTTCACACTATTGGTGCTGCTTTGTTTTTGGACCGTTCGGAAATCCACCATTTCGGTGACATTGGGTACTACCACGTTCCATTCCATTCCTGTCCTATCGAGGAGTCAATCAGGACAAAAAATCGTTGTAACTGTAATCCAGACGAGGATTTTACCTGGAGAGGTTACTCTTGCACGTCCAAGTTCTACACGGTTAGTAACACTGAAAAGCCAAAGGGCTGGCAGAAATATGCTGATTAAGTATGGTATTAAATTGATTGCTGATGCTAAGTAAAAAAACAGTTTTGGCTATCAAAACCTGCTCCATTTAAATATTGTATTTCTTGAACAGTTGATGCGTGAGTTCTACGCCGAGAAAAGTTGCCGCATTAGCTGGAAAACTTCTCATCAGAGCGGGTCCCAAACCAGGGAAAAAACCTTTGACTCCGGCACGACCGTAGATTTCCCGAGCTGCTTCGGACATGTTTCGAGCCGATGAGCTCGATTGCAGTTTCGTCTTGATGGTATCAATGGGGAAAACTCCGATCCACATGCTCATGCCTGCAATTCCGCCTGCAATACAAACATTTACAACGCTGAGCTTATCAGCGTCTTGGCTATTTCTGGACAAATATTCTTTCGAAAACTCATAAGATGCGAAATAGAGAGCGCTCCCGGGCCCATCACGAGCCAAAGTTGCCAAAGAGCCCCTGAACAACGACTGGACTCCGCCTTCAGCAATTATCTTTTTAGCTGCACTTACAAACGAGCTTCGCTCTGAAGTTTGCATGACGACTTTGACCCGTTCAGTAGGGGCCATGATCAAAGTGGTCGGAATGGCAGATATGAAGCCTGCAAGGGCCAATTGATTCGTGGTTAATGGCGTCAACTTAGAGCTTGAACCGGCGATATCGGTAACGGGGCTTGAACCCCAGCTGACAAGCCGTTTCCCAACGTCGTAGCCCCAAAATGACACTGCAAAAATGGGCGTTACGCCAACTAGAGGTGGAATCACGCCTCTGTAAAAACCGCGTAACTGGTTTAAGGGCAGCATTCCTGGTCTGGTCTTAGCCTCCTGCAAGATGCGGCGGATCGCATCGAGAGTGCCAGACGCCTGGCTCGACTGACACCGGACTTTCAGCAGATCGAAAGGGTGGCCTGTGAGCACCGCGCAAACTCCTCCCACGCCTCCCGCAGCCAACGACTTGAAATTGTCGAGCAATGTATGCGAGCTGGTCTTTTCAGTGAGCATGGTGTCGAAATCGGATGCATCTTTTTCGAATGTGTCTGACATCTGGCGTAGCTATTATGGACGTGTTCGATTTACTTATATACGTTGTAGCGGGTATTCCAAGGTGTGGTCTTGACTTGGATTGAATTCTGCTATTACGGCAGCAAATCTATCGAGCCAGAGAATTCATGTTGCAAGCCCAATGTGCTTTTATACCTGACTTGAGGATTTTCATTAACATTTGCGGTGTGTCGCGGTCTTGTTCATGTTGTGACCTATATAATATAAATTTGGGGTGCTTTGTCATTTTGTACCATCCTGACATTTTATGTAGTCCGACATTCATCAAATATGAGCAGAGTATTCGAAGATGTACCTAAGAGATTAAACAACGTTTTTCACAGCAGTATTGGATGGCTGTACGAGGTGCTAGTGTTAATGTACTTATTGGATCACCAGCATGATAATTACTATTTGTGAAACTGGCAATATGAATACCTCCGTGGCTTCTGTGGATACGAAGAGTCGATTCCCGATACAAGAGATAAGGTATTGATATTTACCGCAGAGTTGGCAATTTAAGAACCTTAAAAAGACGTTAAGGAGAAAGAGCTGTTCAGCGATTATTATTATGCCACACTTGCAGCGGGGAGAGCGACTATAAGAAGCGAACTTGTGTGATTCTGAGAACTGCGTGCGGTCAAAGGATTTTCTCGAGGAATTATACAGAAATCAGGACAGAGAGCAGCGATGAATTTGGAAAACGGCTCTGCGGCACACTGCCCTGCTATGCCGCACGAACCACGGCCTTACGCCTGAAAAAACAGACAACGGATCAGCCTAAAATTGAGATTGGCACAGCACGGGTATGCATCCATCATGCTATTTAGAGCCAATTGCTTGAAGACTAATTTTCTTGTGCGCGAGACAAAAATAATGGTTGCTAAGAGATTCGAACTCTTGCATCTTACGATACCTGAGGATTCCACTGTTTGACAGCGTTAAGAAGAAAACTTCTTGAATCAGGCGCCTTAGACCGCTCGGCCAAACAACCGCTATAGAGTATAAAGAGGTAGCAATGAAACTCATACTGTCTTCAGAGACCACCTGACAAAACACCTTTGGCTTGTGTATCGCTTACCACCAAGACGAGCATGTCGTTCGACTCTGCTATTTATTTTCCAGGCTGCTGGTAGCGTTCCAGATAAAGGTCAGCGTAGGTTCGGCAAAGTGCTTTGACGTGAATACTACTTACGTGCGTCGCTGTTCTCCTAATTCAAAGGTTGTGTTGACCAAAAAGAAGATTTTACAAAGTCGCAAAGACAAATCCAGTCTGCCCTGCTGCTATACACCAAAAGGTATCTTATCGAGCTCACCTGTTCCTATATCTTACGGGTAGCGTAATCGATCAGTTATTTTTAATGCTCTTGGTTGCCCAAAGTCACCCCTGACATACCGCCATTACTGAATACCTGGTCCCATATCGTTTCTGTGCTAAACTGATTCATCATATCGTAAACCCTTTGGCCATCCTTATGATTAGTATTAGTTTGGCTGTGATTGGCCTTCAGTGGTAAACCGGGCGCATCTCTGTTTTGCTCAGAGTCGTCGCAGTCTGTGGCCACTGAAGGATCTATATTCAGCGCAATAGGTAATTTCGAGTCCTTGAGCGTCAATCGGTCAGTTGCGTAAGTTTTCGCTAAATCGTCCAGATCATTACTTAAGTCCGAAAAGGGAGACAACTTGTCTAGCTCTACGAAGAATTGATTCAATGCTCCGGGATCAACCCCCGGAGCAAATACATCCTCTCCAAGGCTATTGACGCGGTTGAAATGAGACTGCTCGTCCAGTGTAAGTACGCTTCCATCACTCTCTCTCCGTCGTACTTCGTGGGGCGAACTCTCATGCACGTTTCCAACGTTTTCAACCCGCAACTTTAAAATAGCAGCTGATAGTACCTTGAATATTATCGATCCCTTTTTTGCCGCTTCACATTTCCCATCTAGTTGCTCCATAACATAGACCAACTTCAAGCACGTCTTTTGTAGTTCCTGAATAGTGTCTCCAATTACCACGCCAGCGTTGTGAAGCACATAGAGAAAGGTCATTCCGGACATGAAAAGGCTATGTACAGCAACCCATGTGTACATAATATTTTCCTCACGGCACAACTTGTAGTAGACATCTATAATGCCCTTTGTGTTGTGATATACCATTTTGTAACCATGTTCATTCAGAGTCATCGATTTGGGACACAAACCGTAAAGTAAAACCTTTGAGTGAAAAAGCTCCAATTGGAAAAGTTCCAATTTGAAGTCACAGTTCATTTTGCGTGACGTCTTCGGAACCTTCTTGTGATGCCATTCATCAAGTTGTCTGTTCATATGTTCTTTCCATTCATCTAAGTCTTCAAATCCGTCAGGGATCTCTTTTTGAGAATATAGTACTTGAACTATATCTGCCTGAACCTTTCTTATTTTGAAAAATGCAAGAGCAACACATTTGTAAGAGGCCATCGAACTTTTTACCATAGAATAATCCTCTATGTCGTCAGCTGTCGTAGTGATCAAAGCATCATCTAGAGAACTTGGAAATTCACTCGTTATGTTTTCGTCTGGAATACCGAAGGGACGACCAAAAAATGCACATATTTGACGATCTAGCGAGTATGTGCACCACAATAGCCTTCGTCTCATATCTCTGGTGAAAGGATCATAATTTCGGTTTAGCTTCTCCGCGTGTAGACCAAGATCTACTGCCAATCTCAAAGCAGATCCCATTGTGTACCATACGCCAGGAACGTTAGGCCGCATTGTCGAATACTGAGCAACCAGTAAAGTGCCTGCTAACGCTTCCATTTGATCGTCGGATCTGAAAAGGGCATCATTGAAAGCCGATGCTCGGTTTTTGAAGGCGACAGACTTGCGCTCATCTGATGTCATTACCTTTGAAGAATCTCCGATGGCCATCACTATGTTCAAGAAAAATAAAGGAATATGAAATTTCACAGGCACTTCCCTAGGGTCGCGTTCAAGTTGTGATAATGATGGCTCATACCAAACATCACCTTGTGTGTCCGAGTCATTTTTGCCTAGAGGTAGCTGAAAGTTGCTGTTGATAAGTGTAGTATCGGAACTCAACGAGACATCAGAATTCCAAAGTCCATAAATAGGTTCAAAAAACCTTTTCAGAAAATACTCACGATGAAGGATGGGAAGCTGTGCATTGCTGCACGTGAAATACTGCGACATCAGAATCTGAGCTTCCGGCTTGGGAGGTAAGTACGATGTATCGAGAAGTGAATCATCCTCCTCAGTAGGTTCATCTTCTACATGCTTTGAAGCCTCCTCAACCGCGTCAGGCATAAAGTTGATCGCTGTGAATATAAGCTTTGCAAAAGGAATACCAGACGAATCTCCAAGATAAGAATTAGACGCTGCACCCAACAAAGGTTCCCCAGATTTCTGATGTGAATACTTCATGGACCCGAGGCTTTGCAAGTTTTTGGCCGACTCACCGAGCTCCGAAACCGGTTCCAGCCTATCAGAATCATTCAGCCCAAGGGAATGTATGGACGCTACGGCGGGTTTGTCACTTTTCATGACGCCCTTCTTCATTGACGTGCCATTATTGATAATGTACCCCGCAATAGCATTCTCGTGTGGTACCTCGTGTTCTGCCCTCAATTTCTCTTCGAATAATCCTAGATCACACGGGTAGTCCCCTTCTGTTGCTGGAATATTTCCCTGAACCTGCGTCGGATCTACGCCGCACTCTTGGAGCTTCTTCACCATAGCTTCTAAGCGATCCTCCAGAAATACAACGTAAGACCGTGGTACGTCTCGTCCCGTCGCTGGATCCACCGAGACACAAGGCTCGTTCGACGTGGCGCATTTGGAACAGCTCGGAAAACGTTGATCACATTTGATTTTTTTAACTCTGCATCTTTTGCACGCAGCAATTGATCTTGTTATTCCCATAATAGCGGATGAAGGTCTCTTCTTTTTGATCTCATGGTCTTGGCGGCCATTTTCTGAGCCAGACCTCTTCCCCACAGACCCTTTCATCACGGCAGCTGCTTATCGGCAAGGCGATGAGCTGAACTTATTGTTTTTCCATATCTCAATTTCGCTTAAGTGACATTTCAAAATGGGAAGTACTCGTGATAGCGCAATGTACTCACAGTATAATAACACTACGTGTATACCAAACAAAGGCAGTACAATGCTCCCGATGCTTTGACAAATCCATTCGCTCGTCTTTTTGATTATAGGTTTCTTAGATATCCATGAGACCCATTTTTTAAACGATTGTGACAATTTCTCTTGACAGAGAGAAGGGTGATAAGGAAATAGTCCAAACAGTCATCCTATATTCACTATGCCTGCTTGTGTGGTGTAATTACTGAACAGATTCCGGTATCAAAAGCGTTCATATTGAATTTTTCCAACTCAAAGTAATTTCCACCAGCCAAAAGTAGACAGAATTCTTACTTGGAAAAAGATTTCTCTTTGCCAGTAGAGATGTTGTGCCCTAACTAATGGTTTATATCGCATAAAGCGTAGATTCTGTCAGATTGAGCCTTTGCAGACTTCGGCGGCCCTAAACTTCTTTTCACGTGAGCAGGTTTCTTAGTTTCTTTACACTCTTAACTCAAACAACACTGTCTCATCGACAGCCTAAAGGCGAGAAAAAGCAGTGGCTGGGGCTCCAATGAAGTTCGTCACTATACCATATCAGCCAGATACAGATTTTGTGAGGCGAGGGGAGACTTTAGATTCTTTGAGACCACACTTACCAGCTTCTTCAGAGATAGATGATAATTTGATAAAACCGGAAGATATACCACTTAACAGAAGAAACTTTATTTACACGCCATGCTCGGCCAATGTGCTATTTAAAACACTGAAATACACCACAAGTGAATACCCGTTTGATGTAGCGGGATTCAATTACATGGATAGGGCTGATGACCTTTGCGTTTCACAGAACTCAAATGAAATCGTTGGCGTTCAAGAACCGCTAGGATGGAGAACTGCCCGATGTGATGCCTGCATAAAAGAAGGCACCGTCTACTGGGAAGTTGAAGTCTTGAAAGATGGAGGTTTGGAAGTACCTCCCGGTGGGTCACTAAAACTATTAAAAGACAAAGTCAACAGCATGCCTCACGTTCGAGTCGGCATATCGCGGCGAGAAGCATCTCTGGAATGCCCTGTGGGGTTTGACTTGTACGGATACGGAATTCGCAACGTCAGTTTAGAGTCTATTCACGACGGAAAAATGAAACAAACGTTACCGCAGTGCCAGGTCAAAGCTGGTGATCGCCTGGGCTTTATCTTACATCTCCCGTCTATGGAAGAGCAAATTGAACAGGCACGGAGCTTTTCAGAATTCAAGATTGATGCTTTGTCGTCTTATGCCGGGAGCACAGCGGATGGACCTGTGAAAAAAAGGGCAAAAAAACTGAGTCGCGAATTTCATCAAGACCTTTTGCGGGATCAGGACTACAACAATGTGATACGAGACCAAATCGCAATTCGATACAAAAATCAACTTTTCTTGGAAGCCACGGACTACGTAAAAACCACGAAGCCAGAGTACTATACCTCTGATAAGAGAGAACGCCACGAGTCTTATCCTTTGAACGACTCATATCTAAAAGTGTTCCTGAATGGAAAAGAATTGGGGGTTGCTTTTGATCAATTGAAGCCCTTCCTGCCGCCTTTCAGCGAGCTGAAGTATAATGAAAAACTCTACTTTAATCATTGGCGAAATGAGGTGAGCACCAATACTGGACCCGATGAATTCGGAATGAGACCAGAGCCTCGCCTGAAGCATAATATCTTGAGAAATAAATATGTCAACAACGGCAGGCTTGGATATTTTCCAACTGTGAGTTGCTTTAATGGCGGTAGTGCGAAATTGATCTCGAGCGTTGGCGAACTGCGCCATTGGGATACTCTGTCCAAGGCCATACCAGGAATCAAAACTGTGAACGAAGTATTTCAGGAACAAGTCGCCGACGACATCGTATGGGATATCGTGGACGAGGTTGAAGCAGAAATACTGAGCGATGACTGAGAAATCGTGCAATCGCGGACACGAAAGCCGACCGTCTCTGAAGCGCCTCTTTTCACAGGGCATGCCATGCCATGCACACTCATTGACTTAGGTTTTTAACATCATCGAGATATCATGGATGCAAATACGCCGACTATTGGAAATGACACGCTAGTATAAAGTGACAACATGTGCTGTTGGCGCAACATGCCAAAAATGGTAAGCGGGCGAACTCGAATGCCCATCTGAATATTGATATACAAGCTTTCAAAGATTTACGCTATCGCATGTGTTTTCCACTGCACCCATGAATGAGACTTTTGCAATCAACATCCAGTTTAGAACGGATCCTGTTATCAGAGCTTGTCGCTCCAAAAAAGTTTATGAACGGCGGTGATTCACTCTGTGCGTCGAGATTTCACTCTTCAAATTTAGCAAAAACATGGAAAGGGGTATAACAACGAATTTTAAAACTAGCAGTTTGTTGGTATACTATTTTCAAGTCTGTGTGTTGAAGGAGCTACAATTGAGCTTGATGAACTCACCCGATGATATAGTTAACCATTAAGCAAATAGCGCATTCCGGAAATATTTGTTCAGGTTCTTCGAAAGAAGAGATATGGTAATGATTCGAGGCTATTTACTTTCTCAAGAATTGCTCACGCTTTCGTTGGCCTTCTCCGAATCGACAGCAGGCGGCACTTGACGAGTGCTCTTACTCCTTTTCATAGATTCATGCTTAGTTTATTTGGTCAAATTTCATGATATTTCTATCGTAATCATTTCTACTTTCCTTGCTGGAAATGGAAGCCACGGATAAAGAGTTTGCTATACTTATTGCTACAACAACAGTCGCTGTTGAGGTGAACAGAGAAAAATGTGCTCGAAGCCATCAATCACAAAACAATTTAGATCGGACAGTAGTTGATGTATGAAAATAAAGTCCGCACAACTCCAATTGATAACTTTCATAGCACGGGATAAGAAACTGACATCGAAAGCTATCTTTATTGTTTTCGTAAACTATTACCATGATGAAGCCATTAATATTTCAACACCTGATCTTCTTCTCATCTCCAGCTAAAGGGGTTTCCATACAACAGTAGCACATCAGCCCACTGTAATCCTTCCACAGTGACAAGCTATCTGTGCGGCATTAGTACCTGATTTTGCTTTTTTCTAAGCTGTGTCAGTGAGACGAATACTTAGCCTCCCCCCAGTTTTCGAGAAGCTTTGTTCGAAGTAGGGACTTAAAAACAAGGTTATTTGGTGATTAGAGCTGAATTTGGCTATGGTGGATACTTCTGGTAACGCTAGTCCACGCCGGCTTTCGATAATTGTATCTGATCCACAGAAGCAGAGAGATGATCAAGGAAAGTCGTCTTTTTACGTTACATATCAGATTTCAACCAAGACTGGCGACAACTCATATTATGAAGCATATCACAAACAACACAATCGGCCAGAGAACGAAACCGACGGGGCCGCGGTAGAAATAATAGTCGTACACAGGAGGTACAGCGACTTCTTGTTGCTGCAAAGCATTCTAAGCCAAGACCACCCTACTTGCGTTATTCCTCCTCTTCCGGACAAGAAAGTGTTTCAGTACATCGCAGGCGACAGGTTCAGCCAAAGTTTCACTCAGAAAAGATGCCACAGCCTGCAAAACTTCTTAGGTCGAATCGCAGAGCACCCTGCATTGTCGAAATCACCAATACTAGTTACATTCCTAACTAGCAGTGACTGGGATGCATATCGCAGGAGCCTTTCTGGATCTTTGAATGGTAAAGAAGAAGTGAGCGACACTTTTATGAACGCGTTCAAGTCTGTGCATAATCAAACCGAAGAGTTTGTAGAGATCAAGGAAAAAAGTGACAAACTTGATCATAATGTGTCCAAAATTGACAAGGTCTTTCACCGGGTAGTAAAGCGTCAAGATTCTATTTCTGACGATTATCTCAAGTTTAGTGCAAACCTGCAAGAACTGCAAGAACTCGTCTCCAATAGTTCTGCTGAGGATGAGACATTAAGGTCTAAAGTTAAGCTCTTCAATGAAGGGGTGTCACAGCTTTCCTATGGGCTCAAAGATTTGAGCAAGTTTTTGGAATACGAATATATTGTCGACTTGAAAGATTTGGAGCACTATATTGACAGCGTCAATCAAACAGTAAAAATAAAAGATCAAAAGCAAATTGACTACGAAGAGCTCAGCAACTATCTGACAAGGTCCGTAAACGAAAAGAATAATTTAATTTCAGGATACGGAGGAGGAAACTTCTTTACAAGCAAGCTAGAGGAACTTGCCGGGATTAACCAGGAAGGAGCTCGGCGCGAGAAGATTTTGAAGCTTGAAACCAAGATAACTTCTTTGACTAGTGAAGTTGACAATGCTAAGGAAGTAGCAGATGCATTTGAGCGGGAGGTTCTCAAGGAGGTGGCCATCTTCGAAGAGATAAAAACTAAGGAGCTGAAAACCTCACTAGCTTCACTGGCCGATAATCAGATCGAATTCTACAAAAAAATGGTCGACACTTGGACCAAAGTGGAGGACGGCCTATGAGACAAGGGTTTTTGTCAGTTAAATATTGTACCTCTTTATATCTTTTTTTAACTCACGGTTTGCGGTTTGGGTTTTTTCGCAGTTTGAAGGCAGAATTGTTCACACTCGTCCTTTAAATGAGAAAAAAATCGGTCTTGATTGTCATCAATGAGGCCCCAATTGAGAGTATCACTAAGGTCTGTGCTATCGTCATAATGTTTGAGCAGAAGTGAATCAAACACGCTTTCAAATTCATCCCTAGAGAGGTACAAAGTCCAGTCCATTGGCGGGAATTTGGATTTGTCTAGTTTTCGATTGGCCTTAGCTCGCGGCTTTGGAGATCTTTCGTTCTCTCGCACGTAAAAGTATCGTAACAGCATTATAGCCTCCTTTCTCAGTATGCCAGGTATTGACCAATGCTTATTTTGTGGAGCGGTACACGAATCTTTGTGTATTGACAGGATGGAGCCGTTACCTCCGAATCTCTCGTTGCCGCACCCGAAGACCACTTTTTGAACACCTAGCTGTTTTAAAGCGGATGCACACATGATGCATGGTTCTACAGTAACGTAGAGAGTTATGCTTTTGAATATTGATGTATCCTGGACCCCAAATTTCGACTGAATTTGTGCTATTCCCATGAATTCTGCGTGTGCAATACCCGTAAGTGATCTATTAGTGTCATTCATCCCATATGCCACTACTCGATTTGTGGGCGTGTGCACGAATATGCAAGCGACAGGCGTCTCGTCGTGGTCGAGAGCGTATTTGGCAAGCTTCGTGGCCATTCGCATATAATGAGAGTGTACTTCAAGACTCATAATAAAGCTTGATAGTTGATTTAGAAAAGCGATTGAATGAGCGGTATGAAAGCTCGATGTCCATTTCAGCCATCGATCGATCGAGAAGAAAAGCTAATTTTGTTTAAAGAAGGAAAAAACATTCAGCTTTTTATTTGAAAGGCAAAACAAAGTAAGTTGAAGCAAGTGATGTATCGCAATTCTTGGAATGGCGATAACACAACATGAATGATTTGAGGAACGTCGAAAGATTTAGAGTTTGCGTTCCGGAGAAACTTCTCAGATGCCATGGAAAAATGCAAAATGGCTCATTGTCGAAACCAAGGTAACAACGGTGTTTTAATCTCGATATTAACTTCCAAATTGCTAGTCTATCTTCAGTGTCTGTATCATTTGTACTCTTAAATAATTTGTATTGCGAGAAGAGCCAAGTGAGTGCCAAATAAGTACATAGTGATCTGATATGGCACTATCAAGTATATGAGAGATATTAGCTTCAGTAGCGTTCGGTATATGTATTCTGGCAGCTAACTACCGGGACTCTATGTATTCATAATCGATGGAAACACGAAGGGCGGTAAGCAAAATTCGAGCAGAAAGGTAGAACCAAGATTGTCGTTCTGAGTTTAAAAAAAATAATACCGACACACTCCGTAATGCTAAAGTAACTGCGTATTTCAATTTTCTCTGATCATCAGTGCGTCCTCGTAATCGATTTAATTTCAGTTAACAGACATGCAGACTGGTCAAGTTGATCAAGCCCATCCACACTTACTAGCCGACATTGGAGGCTCAAAGTAGCGCTAAGAAAGCTCAAACGAAGACGTGAAATGGATTCCATGGAGATAATAGTTCAGACATGTCTTCTAATTTTTTCAAGTGGTACACGTCGATATGTAAAAAAGTTCAAGTCTTGGTAGAAAGACAGAGGAGGTGGGTAAAAGCCTTCCAGCGGTACAGTAGTCGACACTAAAAAAGATTACTACTGCACGCTTCGAAAGACTGATAGATCGCGCCTAAAATCCTATAACATTTTTCAGTGCCAAGTAATTTGCGTAAACGGCTGTAATAATTGTTCCGGAAAAAGTGGGATAGCCTCGATTCACCTTAAGGTACTAAGAACAACATGTGAACCGGTTTTGTCCCCCGAAATGAGCTTTCGGGGCGATTTAGAATGCTCAATAATATATGTAAGTACGTGTTTTTACGAACTTCACGATATCGAACAGCTTGTTAAAAGATGTCATTATTGACATTCCATTAGGAGAGAAGCAAGTGCCACGATGCAAAACCGTTAGAAAGTCGTTCACTTCCGCTGACGTTTCCACTACAGAATCCAGCTGGCGTATATAATGATATTCTAGAATTTTCAATTGTTAACAACGTGTCTTTTAGATTTTGCCACCTATATAAACACGAAACACATTGTAGATCTCAGAAGGAAAATAGTGCAACGGTTAATTGATTCAACTGACAACACAAACCTTATCGGTTGACAAAAGTTTTGAAACACGTTCGATTACACTCCATAAGCGTGTTACTGTTTTGAGACTCTAGTTAGAAGAAAATGGTTTTTAATCGGTCTAAAAACGGAGGATGGATGATGTCCTTCGCGGCTATACTGTACGCGATGTTTTTGGTGGCTCTGCCACTGTCTTCGCAGTCTCGTTCATCTCATGGGTTTGCCAGGGCCACCGATGATGTGGATAACTATGGGACCGTGATTGGTATTGATTTGGGAACTACATATTCATGCGTTGCTGTGATGAAAAACGGCAAAACCGAAATTCTTGCCAACGAGCAAGGTAACAGAATCACACCTTCCTACGTGGCTTTCACCGACGAGGAAAGACTCATCGGTGATGCGGCTAAGAACCAGGTCGCTGCCAACCCTAGCAACACAATCTTCGACATCAAGAGACTAATTGGTCTAACTTACCAAGACGAGTCCGTGCAGAAAGACCTGAAACATCTTCCATTCAAGGTGGTCAATAAGAACAGCAAACCGGTTGTTCAAGTGACTGTGAAGGGCGAAGAGAAGCACTTCACTCCTGAAGAAATATCCGCCATGATTTTGGGCAAGATGAAGCAAATTGCCGAAGACTACCTTGGCAAGAAAGTGACCCACGCTGTTGTGACAGTTCCAGCTTACTTTAACGATGCCCAGAGACAGGCCACTAAGGATGCCGGTACGATCGCGGGCCTCAACGTCTTGAGAATTGTGAACGAGCCTACTGCTGCTGCTATTGCCTACGGATTGGATAAATCGAAGGAAGAACACCAAATCATCGTGTACGACTTGGGTGGTGGTACTTTTGACGTGTCCTTGCTATCCATTGAGGGCGGTGTCTTCGAAGTCCAGGCCACTGCTGGTGACACTCATTTGGGTGGTGAAGATTTCGACTACAAGTTGGTTCGTCACTTCATTCAGTTGTTCAAGAAGAAGCATGGTATTGATGTGACCAAAAATCCTAAAGCTATGGCTAAGTTGAAGAGAGAAGCTGAAAAGGCCAAGCGTTCTTTGTCTAGTCAAATGTCTACCCGTGTGGAAATCGACTCTTTCGCTGACGGCATTGACTTCAGCGAGACTTTGACCAGGGCTAAGTTCGAAGAACTCAACTTGGCTATGTTCAAGAAGACTTTGAAACCTGTGGAAAAGGTCTTGGCTGATGCTGGTGTCAACAAGGAAGACATTGATGATATTGTCTTGGTCGGTGGATCCACAAGAATTCCAAAGGTACAAGCTTTGTTGGAAACTTATTTCAACGGTAAGAAAGCTTCCAAGGGTATTAATCCAGACGAGGCTGTTGCCTATGGTGCCGCTGTTCAAGCCGGTGTTTTGTCTGGTGAAGAAAGTGTCGAGGATATTGTTCTGTTGGATGTTAACGCTTTGACTTTGGGTATCGAAACCACTGGTGGTGTGATGACTCCATTGATCAAGAGAAACACTGCTATTCCAACCAAGAAATCTCAGATGTTCTCCACTGCTGTGGACAATCAACCAACTGTCATGATTCAAGTTTACGAAGGTGAGAGAGCCATGGCCAAAGACAACAACAGACTAGGTCAATTCGAATTGACCGGTCTCCCATCGGCTCCAAGAGGTGTTCCACAGATTGAAGTTACCTTCGCACTCGATGCCAATGGTATTCTGAAGGTTTCTGCCACCGACAAGGGAACTGGCAAAACTGAAACTATCACAATTACCAACGATAAAGGCAGATTGAGTGCGGACCAAATCGAAAAGATGGTGGAAGAAGCTGAAAAGTTTGCATCTGAAGACGCTGAAGTGAGAGCAAAGGTTGAGTCTCGCAACCAACTTGAAAACTATGCCCATTCTTTGAAGAACCAAGTCAACGGTGACTTAGCCGACAAATTGGAGGAGGAAGACAAAGAGACTTTGTTGGACGCCGTTAACGATGTCTTGGAATGGATGGAGGATAACTCTGACGATGCTGTGGCCGAAGACTTCAAGGAGAAGTTTGAGTCATTGTCTCAGGTCGCGTACCCTATCACTTCTAAATTGTACGGTGGCGCTGGTGCTGCCGGTTCTGACGCGGAGGAAGATGAAGACGAGGAGGACGACTACTTTGACCACGACGAATTGTAAGAAGAGTTCGGGCAATTCGATGTCAATCATGCATGATTATAATTTGTATTCTTCGATATTGCGGAGAACGCCGTATTATACTGCATCCCGATAAAAGAAAGATTTAGGTACCTGTATAATAATGTACTCGCCGCTTATAAAAGCGATTTATTTGTTTGAATAATGGTTTGTTTAATAACTGTAAATTAAATGTAAACAAAATGCTGCAGCCTCAGGCCGATAAGAACATCAGAAAGTGGCCAGACTCTGACTCATTAGTGGAGAACCTCAACACATCCTCATTTTTCAGTTCGACATAGCGAGCTCTGGGAAGAGCCACGCCGTTTAAGAGCGTCCCGTTTGACGAGTCGAGATCAATAACATACGGCTTTAATCGACCCTCCCGATTTCTGAACTGAATTACACAGTGCTGTTTAGAACAGGTTTCTTCGGGAATTGGAATCTGCGCCAGGACTATTTCCCGACTGTCGTCATTCTCTTCTTCGAGCTTATCGTCAAAAGTCAATTTCCTGCCAACAAGGTAGTTACTTCGATCCAGCAAATCAAACTTAGCAGCGTACGCCTCATCTGAGTCGTCATAGACAATGGCCTGGAAATGAGTCTGCTTTCGCAGTGGGACCGAATTTTTGACGTAAAATGCAGTCGGAGAAACTGAGTCGTGAGGTTCAACATGTTGCAGTTGTATGCCTTCTTTGCTGTGAGAATCTAGCGCCAACAAGCCCGATGGCTCGAAGATAGGCAAAATGACTTTTCTGTTAGAAGACGTTTGATCACCTTGAGGCGATCTAAATCTCTTACGTTGATACTCCGAAGCTGGTGTCACTTCATGTGATCTCTTGCCCAGCGATTCTCTTAAACCCATTATATGAAGCCATTGGCTAGTTCGAAGAATTGGAAGACTAACACAAGTCAAAAATTCTTACCTATTGACTAGTTTATCCAAGACTGTTTGTTCAGAGAGAGAGACAGAAAGACAATGAAAAACAATGAGTACAAATGTACTCTTGGCTGACTATCTACTGATAATGAAATCTTCTAGCAGACGAGACATGCTCAAGAGCTGTGAAACTCTGGGGCCTAGTTGATTGTTCTTCAAGCACCGGACGCGATATTAAAACAATACATACACCGGCGCACTGGATATAGAATTTCTTCGTTTTGGTCGACGGCTTTTCAGTCAGACACATGTAAATCCTTAGTAGAGAAAACGATTGCACAAAACAAGAGTGAAGAGTCGATGTGCCATCAATGCCGTTGAGTGACAAAAGTCTCTCCAAATAATGTTTGGTCGAATTATTTCAGAGACACAACGTCTAAAATGATCATCTTCGACTGTATATCACTACACACGTAATTATTTACGTGAGTGTTGATTAGTTTTTTTTCTTTCTCTCGCATCGCTGAAAAGAAAATCGAAACTTTTCAAGCTCATCGCATGGCATCGCATCACGATTCCGTATCTTAACAAATCTGAAATAGCGAAAGAGTTATTCCCTGTTCTAGCCCAGTACATCGACACTGTTGACTCATTGCAAGAATTAAACCTAGTACGTGCTTAAAAGAGATCTAAGCTCACCAAGAAATGGCAAAGAAGAACAAGGTCTCCACAACGACCAGAAAACAACTCAGGCAAAAAGAAGATGACTATCTGAAAAAGCTAGAGACGCAGATTGAGGAGTATGACCTAGATAGCACGAAACACACTGTTTTTAAAGACCTGCCTATATGCCACCAAACGTTGAAAGGTCTGCGGGACAGCGCTTTCGTGAAAATGACCGAAATTCAACAGAAGTCGATACCGCTCTCGCTAAAGGGCCACGATTTACTAGCGGCAGCTAGAACTGGCTCCGGCAAAACTCTAGCGTTTCTGATTCCAGTCATCGAGAAGCTGTACCGTGAGAAATGGACTGAGTTTGACGGCTTGGGAGCGCTCATCATTTCGCCAACTCGTGAACTAGCAATGCAGATTTATGAAGTTCTAGTCAAAATTGGAAGACATTCCTCGTTTTCAGCTGGTTTGGTTATTGGCGGCAAGGATGTGAAATATGAACTTGAGCGTATTTCAAAAATTAACATCTTGGTTGGAACTCCAGGTAGAATATTGCAACATATGGATCAAGCCGTCGGACTGAACACCTCAAATGTGCAGGTTCTGGTTCTAGACGAAGCTGATAGATGCTTAGACATGGGATTCAAGAAAACGTTAGACGCAATTGTTACCAACTTGCCACCTGTGAGACAAACGTTATTGTTCTCTGCCACTCAATCACAGTCATTAGCTGATTTGGCCAGACTATCTTTGACAGACTATAAGTCTGTAGGCACTGCCGAAGTCAAAGATTCTGCTAATGTTTCCGCTACGCCAGAAACTCTGGAACAATCTTACATCAATGTTGAGCTTCCTGATAAACTTGACATTCTGTACAGTTTCATCAAAACGCATTTGAAATCCAAGATGATTGTTTTCTTATCGAGTTCCAAACAGGTTCATTTTGTTTATGAAACCTTCAGAAAACTCCAGCCCGGTATATCATTAATGCACCTACATGGAAGACAAAAACAAACAGCCAGGACTGAAACCTTAGATAAATTCAGCAGAGCTCAACATACCTGTCTATTTGCGACTGACGTGGTTGCTAGAGGTATCGATTTCCCAGCAGTCGACTGGGTGGTACAGGCTGATTGCCCTGAAAGTGTTGATACGTATATTCACAGGGTCGGAAGATGCGCTCGCTACGGTAAACACGGAAAATCTCTCATCATGCTTACTCCTCAGGAAGAAGAAGGATTCTTGAAGAGACTGAAACAAAGACATATCGAACCTAACAAGCTTACAATAAAACAATCTAGGAAAAAATCGATTAAACCACAATTACAATCTCTCTTGTTTCAAGATCCAGAGCTCAAGTACCTAGGACAAAAAGCATTCATTTCCTATGTGAGGTCTATCTACATTCAAAAAGATAAAGAAGTATTCAAATTTGACGAGCTACCCAATGAAGAGTTTGCAAATTCGTTAGGTCTTCCCGGTGCTCCCAAGATCAAAATGAAGGGGATGAAGTCTGTTGAAAGAGCCAAAGAACTCAAAAACACTTCGAGACAATTGCTTTCACTTTCAAAAGCCAACGAAGATGGTGAAATTGTGGATCGTAGTAAGGAAGTTAGAACCAGAATCGATAAAATGTTTGATCGTAGGAATCAAACAGTGCTGAGCGAACACTATTTAAACATCACTAAGGCACAAGCGGACGAAGATGAAGAGGAAGACTTCATGACAATGAAGCGTCAAGATCATCAGATTAAAGAAGATGACCTGCCTCAATTAATTGCACCTTCTTCTAAAAGAGCCCAGAGAAAAGCCACGTCCAAGAAAGCCTCCCTTGCCGGTAAAGGAAATCCATCAAAAATGGTTTTCGATGACGAAGGCCTTGCACATCCAGTCTATGAGTTAGAAGGCGAAGAAGATTTCCACGCCAGAGGTGGTGCTGAGGACCAAAAGGATGCTTATCTCTCCAAAGAAGCGCAGGTAATGACGACACGCGACGTAGAAGACAAAAAGCTAGCGAAAGAAAAACGCCAGGAGAAAAAGCGGAAGCGCCTGGAAGCCTTGAGACGCGAGGAAGAGGCTGGGGCTGACAATGACTCCAGCGCCGACGAGGCTCCTTATCAAGCAAGCATAGGAACTGGCAACTTGAGCGACGACATGAATTCATCTTCTGACGAAGAATCGGGTCGTACTACCAAAAGAGTTAGATACTCTAGAGACAATGCCAGCGACAGCGAGGATAATAGTAACAAAACTAGTTCAAAGGGCCGCGTTATTGAGATGGAGCATCCGGAGTCTCTTGAAGACTTAGAGTCGCTAACGGCCAAACTTCTACAGGGCTGAGTCTCAAAATAGTTACAGATGCATGGCGCCGAAAACTCGACCGCCCAACTACACCTTTACTCGATTTCACACTGAGCACATTATTCTATCTCTTGTTTAACAAATGCATATATACAGCTAGTGACAATCACCATATCTTTAATAGTCAGGAATATATAGCTCTTGTAAATTCTTATCAAACTCTTCTTGAGAGAGCGCGCAAAAACAAACAAGAATACAATTATACTGGCGCCGACGAGTATGTCTACTTAATTGATACGTTCACAATTTAGAAACTAGAAAACCGATCAAGCACTGCTTGGCATTGCTCCACTGCTGCATTGTTAATTACTAGAGCAAACATTTTTGATAGCATTGCATAAGCTGAACAGAGGAATTATAGCTTCTGCGTGACAGTAATCATAATGAACAGGTCGCAAGCAGTGTTACTTCTTTTTCGAAAAGCATGCTCCAGGAGCGTTATATATTGCACATCTTTTGATAGTTCTGAAATCAATATATAATAGCGCATAGGACGAGCATGCTCTATGTCGCCCAAGTTTCTCGTGATAAGTTTCTGAGCTTGCTATAAAATCAACGGGTCTAAGCTGGTTCTGGTTTCAAGGTTATGCCGCCAATATACCAAAGATATAGATTAAGTTGTTGGTGGTTGGACGTTTAATATAATCTGGTCTTGATCCAATTATGCTTTATGTTCAGACAAGTTTCAAAATGCTTAATCGCCGAGTAAGGTGCTTTGAGCGCTGGATGATACTTAGGATGCGCTCGCTACGCTGTTGAGCGTTCAAAAATTTGTGCTGTTTCCTTGGAGCTTTTGTTTGATCTGTATCCACTTCGGCGGCTAATTCAAAGAAAATACGCTTTCATATCAGTAGTTTTAGATTAAGAAAAACATTTGAATACTTGACGAGCAAGCAACAGAAGACTGCTTAACAAGAGAGCCAATGATGCTCGATTTTTTTTTTACTTGTTAGATCGAGAGTGACGTTTAACGCCTTGCTATGAAGTGCTACAATATTTTTTGAAGTTTTACATAAAGTACCAAATCTTGATGCATTTGAGTTCTTGCGGCCACTGGGTACGTTGTGCTATATGCGTATTCAGTTTTGATGGTGAACAGTTGCTTCGTGATAGAAAGACAACTTCTCGATATACATTTGAAGCTTTAAAATAGCCAATTCTTATTTTGAAACAACAGTTGAGAGCTAGCCGGCGCAAAATGAAGAAGAATTAAGGAAATAGCAATGGAGAGTTGATGAGATGTGGTAGAGATGAAAGGCTGTCAAATTATTTGCAACTATCTCACTTTTAAGGACACTGAACCACGAAGAGGGGTTGTGGCGAAAAGCTGAGCCTCACCAATATGAATGAACGCTCGAGGATTATTTTCAACAAGCCCGATTTCCGGCCGTAATTAAGACGGCAATAATGTGCACGTATTCATGGGCCCTGCACTTCACGCTTTTCGTACCTCTAATGAATATTCTGATATTTTGGTCGAGCCACTAGTAGCATCTGCATTAGCGGCGTGAGTACGGGTTTACCATGATAAAACCATTCATCCTTGAATAGTGAACAAACGCAGCTACAAATGAAACATGAACTGAACTGCCAACAAGAAGGAAGCTATGCGAATGTTTTGCATGAAACATCAACAAAGCGTGTGATTGTAGTCAATGATTGAGGCCTAGGGATTTTTCCAATGCAATCAAGTTGAGTTGCTATAATTCATAAGCATGTCTGTTGCATAGGACAGCGGTGTGCCGGACAATATATGAACCTTAGAGTCAATTTTCGCCGCATTAAGATCAATGAAAATTAGGAATGCTGCCAAGTTGCTACAAATCCCAGAAAGCATTCTCACTAATTCGAAGCATACTGAGCCGATGCGAGTTTAGCGTGCAAGGTGGGCTATGTCGAGTGTGAGGTTAAAAAAGTTGTTAGTTCTTCATTCAAGATTCGTGTAAGCTGCTTGAAAAATTTAGCTCAATGCTAGAGTCCAAATGCGATGAGTACTACTAGGAATTGAAATAAAGAATCACTAAGGTTGGGTGATCAGCGGCTCCAATTGACAAAATCAGTAAGTATAATAATGTCCGGTACATTTCAGACGCAAGTTATGCTGTCTCGGCCATATCTGACGAGAAGCCAGATCAAGAGAGCCCAACAGAACACTATACCGGACCGTCGAGTGTATAACCAAAAGAGACTCTCGGCGTTCAAGCTCTTATGCGATATGTGCGTACAGTTGAAGTTTCCACGCAAGACGCTAGAAACCGCGATGTATTTTTATCAGCGGTATTATTTGTTCAACAAATTCGAGACAGAGCTGTGTTATGATGTTGCAACTAGCTGTCTGTTTTTGAGTTGCAAGCAAGTTGAAACGATTAAGAAAATAGCAGATATTGTGGTAGCTTCTCTAAGACTCCGCAACGTGCTGAAAGTGTCTCCTGAAATGCAAGACAATTGTAAGAAACGCATAGTTCAATTAGAACTTCGAATCCTGGAAACTTGCTCGTTTGACTATAGGGTCAACAATTCCATTCACATTGACGGAATATTGGTGAAGATCGCCAAAGACCTGTCACTGAGCCGCGAAGTTACCCATTTAGCCTGGATAATCGCATTTGACGCACTAAAGCTAGAAATTCTGCTAATGGTTCCTCAGCATACAATCGCGCTAGCGGTTCTCAAAATTTCCTGTGAGCTCATAGAAGGGGCAAGCTGGCCAAATATAAGGTACTCGCTTTTTGAGAGCGACGAGCCTTCTGTGAGCGAAGCCTACTTCGACATACTGAACTTTTTTATCAACGTTTTCGACCTTTCAGACTTGAGAGGCAACTTAACCGAAAATCTACAAAATATTGGCATAGAGACGTTTATCGAGCTCAAAAAACACGCAGGACTGGAGAAAGGTTTGAAAGAACCGGACAATATATCGTCAGATGCTCTGCTCACTAACGAAAGAGACTTCACGATACGAGAAAGAAGGTACGTGTTATCAAGGAAACGGATTAATGACGAGAGGTCCAACAAGCATATCCAAAAGAAAGAGAAAACATAATTGAAAGCATGTGCAACAGTTGAAGGTTGCAGTCTAGGTAAAAACTGAAGTTACCATTATAAAAATGCATTGACCATTAATCTTTATTAATACGTCTACGGCCTCTGAGCTAGGTAGCGATATCTATTTTGTCTTAGGGGGTCAAATTTAATAAGCTTGTCAAGATACTCAGATCTCTTTGGAACTATGTCAAGCTTTAGCTGCGCTATTTGTATGGTCTCAAGGACGCAAAGTAATTTTAAGCACCACATATTCTCTTTACCCGAAAAGTCCTTCTCATCCTCGTTTATCAAAAGGATTCCGTTTTTAATTTGCTGTAGCAAGTTCTTATATTCTTCTGTGTTTAACTTGCTCACAATGCAGTCGCTTCTCACAAACCATTTGATGTAGTACCACACTGATTGATCTTCGGCGTCTGTAAACATAGCATTGATAATGTACTGAAGCTCACGGTTTATAAAGCTCTTTTCGTCTGGAATTTGTCCCATTGCAAACATCTTGGGCAGTAGGCTCGCTCTTTGATGCCAAGCCGAGAAATTGGAAATATTGGCATTGATTTTTTCTGTTGTATAGTCAAGCTCTTGCTGATTTAGATTTTTGCGCGACATCTGCTCCAAGCGCTTGACCACTATCTTTCTGTAATGCCAACTGTGGAAGTTTCTAGCATCCATGCTCAACAGCTTGTTTACAAGAGCCAGTTCCAACTGCCATCTCTCAATTGGCGACCCAGGATATTCATTAAGGCACCATAGTCTGTGATTCCAGATCCAGTAAACTTTTGGATATGCTTGCAGCTGGCGCGTAGTGAACTTCAGCTCGTTTACCCAAAAATCACTTCGCAATTGTTCCTTTAGAGTTAAAATAGCATCTCGACGATAGTTCCACACTGCATTGAATTCCGGGTTGAGTTCTAGTAACCTCGTTGTAATCTCTAGTTCATCAGGTGTATAGTACCCTCGTGCTTTGGAGGTCAAAACCCGCTCAGTCAATGTCCGATAGGTAGTTATCTTTTCGGCATCTCTAGCTCTCTTCTTTCTTAAAAGCTCCTGGGTTAGTTCACGCCTTTTTATGCCATGCTATTGAGAATTTGAGTGTTAGTTAAGTTTAATTTCTAAAGGCCCAAATTGTTCATATCTATAAACTCTTACCATTTGAATAATGTCTCTACCTCTTTAGCTTAGGTCTTTAGATTTTATCGAATCAAAGCTGAGTTTCAATTTATTTATCGTTTATGCAAGGAGATTAAATCGGGAAAAACTATTTGAAGCACAACAAGATCTCCCCAAGATCTTTACAGATGTCCTCACAACTCTCACTCAAGGGCTCTACAAGAACAGTTACCGAGTTTTTTGAGTATAGCATCAATTCAATACTCTACCAACGAGCAGTTTATCCGCAGGAGGATTTTATTACGGTGAGGAAGTTCGATCTAAACCTATTGAAAACTCACGACGATGAGTTGAAGACCTATATTAGACAAATTCTACAGCAAGTGCATCGCTGGCTATTGGGAGGTAAATGCAACAAGTTGGTTCTGTGCATTTTGGACAAATCGAGCTGCGAAATAGTGGAAAGATGGGAATTCGACGTCCAGCACACTGAACATAAGGACGATGTTCCCAATGGTAACGCAAAAAATGATGAAACTCAAAAGCAAATACGGACTCTGATGCGACAAATCACCGCCAGCGTAACTTTTTTGCCCGAGCTAAATGACGACGACAACTACACATTTAACGTGCTTGCATACACTGACGCAAGCGCCAAGGTCCCGCTCGAGTGGGCAGATTCAAGCTCAATGGATATAACAGATGGTGAGAAGGTAGAGTTCAAAAGCTTTTCAACTAATGACCACAAAATACGCACGCAAGTAAGTTACAGGATTAATCCCGAGTCTTGAAATAGCGTTTATTCTGCATTGTACATAATGAAGCGGCTTGACTCAATTCGAAGCCTCAATATAGCGATAAAACTGTTACCCACCTCTATTAAAGAACCCTGTGTTTGACATCAAATTTTTGATGTTGCCATTTATTTTGCTTGACGGTATGCGTTGCGTTGGTGACATAGAGCCCCCAGCTGAGCTCGGCATCGGACTTCTAATAGGTACTGGTTTAATACCCAGATCATTGTGAATAAATCTTTGCCAAGTTGCATCGTTTACGTGAGATAAATCATATTCGAACTGCACTAGTATGGATCTGCATCTTTCAAAAACTGGAAGTATGCTCGACTCTCCCACCTCACTTGAGTTTTTAAAAGCACTATGAAGAAGCTTCCACTCGGCCAAGTCCCACGGAAGACCTTTCAAGGCTAGTATAAAACACCAGGATAAAATATTGGTGTTATTAGCGGTGATTGCACAATAATTTTCTTGATAGGTCTCTGGCACCTCTAACGGAACAACCAAAAGTTTCGTAAACATAACCAAATGGTCGAATCCTTGCTCAATGTGCTTTTTGATTCTCTTCAGGGAAGCGTTACTCCCATTGATCAAATCAGCCATATCATCGGCCCAAAAATTCAGGGATTGCCTTAAGCATTCCGCATCCAATTGAAGTTGCTCCCCAATGTTAACAACCTGTGCAAGTTGCAAGACCCGAGCATTATTGAGATTTGCAAATGGAGGCTTTGGTTTCAAAAGTCTGAGGATGCAATTCAGAAAACCACTCAGAAGTAGTTCTAAGACTTTGTCCATAAAGTTCCAGCTGTACATTTCTCTGTTAAAGCGGGAGATAACTTTACGCATGATTGATTGGTCATCTCGCAGTACATTTTTTAATGTGATTGTGTATCTGCTATAATCTTCAACTACGACACTCTTCCAGTCGGTGTTTTCGAATTCCCTCCACGCGAAGGCCAGCTCCGGAGATACTAATAAAGTCAAAAGTATATCCATGGCACTCGATATTAGACTGCTATATCGCGATTGTACTTTGTCGAACAATTGTGTGAGATCTTTTCCTTCAGTCAAATACTCCGTCAGTTTCTCTTCGAGTTGCCGTATGGTAGCTGAACAGTAATCGGCCGTGTTCAAAACCAGCAATGTGTACAGCATAGCCTCTTCTTTATTCTCAATCTGAACATCAGGTGTAATCAGGATGGGCTGCAGTATCTTTTTAGAGTAAGTGGTGAGCCATGTATTGAAAAATGTGGCTAGTTCACACAACATTCGATCTCTGCCACTCCCAGGTTCAATGAGCTCCAAAGTCTGAGCAAGAAGCGATCTATAAGTCCTGAAAAGGTCAGCGCTGGATGGTAAAACCAGGGACTCTGAAGATTGCGACAGCTTGTCTTCCGCCATGTAATTGAGTATTTTGGAGTTCATCATAGACTCTTGATGCTGAATCCAAAGTACGAGGTACGGCTCGAAAGATTTGGAGATCTTTTCAATGCCATAGTCGTTACTTAAACGGTTTGCAAACTTCACATCCATGTATTTTTCAAATTCGAGTGTGGTTTGTAACGAACCCATAAAAAGATCGATTGACGGCTGGTCCTTTAGCTCGCGCTTGAGCAAAATCTCCAGATCCTTTCTAGTGGTGGCATAAAAGCGGGAGGTAAGTTTGATTGGTATGTCCCAAGATTTAGGGAAAAATTGTGAAAAATCTGAATTGAAGCTGTTTAGAACTTTTTTGAAGTAAGCATAACGCCTGGACAAGTTCTCTAAAGAGCCTGCTTCATCATTAACTTGGAAAATTTCGGTTATTTCGTAGAGGAGTTTGTTCACACTCCAATCTATCAGTTCGGCTTTGGCTCCAGAATTTGTCTCTAAGAGTTCACACGCACCATCTTTCAACATCGATTCACTGGTATCGGCCTCAGACAAGGATGGGGAGCTGAGAAGCTTTTGGTAGGTCTTCTTTATTCTTGCAAGTGTCTCTGTCTGTAGACGAGATATCTTTCCCATGAATATCCCAATTTCTTCCACAGACTTGTAGTTCTTGAAAAACTCAAGGAGGCCGCTCATTAGACTGTAGGGCGAGCGCATTGCTTTGAAATCGTTACAATCGAGCAATTGCCGACACTGGAAATATGCTTCACTCAGCAGTTGTAGATTTTGAAATAAAGTCATGGACTGCGTCAGATTTCGTTTCGCATTGTCTAGGTACGATATGTCTCTCGTCAGCTTCGAAATTGTCGCTTCTGTGTCTCGAGAAAGAGAAGTGATACCGTCCACTTCGCTCAAGAGGCTACCGAAGCTTGCACTCAGATCAGACCTCTCGTCTATCTTAGCTCCATCTGCTCGTGAGACAGAGCATGCCGTTATTTCGTCTTCTAACTGTACTTTTGCCGTTTTTGTGGCATGAATCAATTGATCTATATCTAAAAGAGATTGGTCTGACCCTAGAATAGCTTTTAAAGCTTGTTCCGTATCATAATCTGGCAGCTCGATTTCCATTGATTAGCTTTTGAACCAAATGGCAGCTATTTCTAAGATCAAGTGTCCTTAAAGAAACTGACGGACCGCGATTTGTCAAATGGCCTTAGCAAGTCTAGCACGTAGTTCAGTATAAAACTGAGTAATTTCAGTATGTTTTGACAATATCAAGAATAAAAGGTCTTATTCGACATTTAAAAACAAAAAAATAACATGCTCCAGGGGAGGTTCGAACTCTCGACCTTCAGATTATGAGACTGACGCTCTTCCAACTGAGCTACTGAAGCCAGTTATAAAGAACAGGATGAAATGTGATATTTATATGGAGCTTCATTAATTCTGTGCCATTATCGGTCTTCCTTGTATTAATGTGTCGGCTTGACCTAGTCGCCGCACAGCTCTGACTTCACCAAGTACGTACTGTCCCAGCGTTGCAACGTGCTCTACTCAAGGGCTATACTAGCATATGATCATCATCAGTTACGAAATTTTGCCCATCATTTAGAAAAGTTTTCAGAATAATAATACAACCTGGTGGCAAACACGGACCTAATCTTGAGGCACTTCAGCAGTTTGTATCGCGATTTGTGATTCACTTACAGATTAAATATCAATTAACTGCCTCGTGCATTAAGCTATGTCTTTGAAGCTTCCTCAGAATCCAAATGCGGGTCTTTTCAAACAGGGTTATAATTCTTATCTGAATGCCGATGGCCAGATTAACAAGTCCATCGCGGCAATCAAGGAGATTCACCAAATGTGTCTTACATCCATGGGGCCTTGTGGACGTAACAAGATCATTGTGAACCATTTGGGAAAAATAATCATCACAAATGATGCAGCTACCATGCTAAGAGAATTGGACATTGTGCATCCCGCTGTCAAAGTACTTGTTATGGCCACTGAGCAGCAAAAAATTGATATGGGCGACGGTACTAATTTGGTATTAGTTTTGGCAGGTGAACTGCTGAACGTTAGCGAAAAATTGATTGGATTGGGTCTCTCGCCTATCGAAATTATTCAGGGCTACAACATGGCCAAGAACTTCACATTGAAAGAACTAGATACGATGTGTGTGCAACAGATAACCGATAAACACAGCAAGGACGAGTTGGTCAAGATTATGAAGCCCGTGATTTCGTCTAAACAGTACGGCTCTGAAGACATTCTAAGTGAATTGGTCGCCGAGGCGGTTTCGCACGTACTTCCCGCTAAGTCGAATAATTTCAACGTCGACTCGGTAAGAGTGGTAAAAATTATGGGGGGCTCGCTCATCAATTCGGAAGTCGTAAAGGGTATGGTTTTCAATAGAGAACCTGAAGGGCATGTCAAATCGTTGTCTCCAGGCAAAAAACACAAGGTGGCCATCTTTACGTGTCCAATTGATGTTTCCAACACAGAGACCAAAGGTACTGTGCTACTGCATAACGCCCAAGAAATGCTGGATTTCACGAAAGGCGAGGAAAAACAGCTGAACGAAATGATTAAAGAAATTGCAGACGCCGGCGTCACTTGCGTTGTTGCCGGAAATGGTATCAACGAGTTAGCGCTACATTACTTGAACAGATACAACATCTTGGTACTAAAAGTCGCAAGCAAGTTTGAACTCAGAAGGATTTGTCGTGTGTGTGGTGCCACACCCATGGCCAGACTGGGAGCACCAACCCCAGAGGAGATCGGTGTTGTAGAAACCGTAAAAACAGTAGAAATTGGAGGTGACAGAGTCACTGTTTTTAGACAAGAGCAAGACGAAGTCACTAGAACTGCAACAATAATTCTAAGAGGCGCTACCCAAAACAATCTCGAGGACATCGAAAGAGCCATCGATGACGGTGTTGCCGCTGTCAAGGGTCTGATGAAGCCAGATGGTGGCAAACTATTGCCCGGTGCAGGTGCCACGGAAATTGAGTTGGTATCAAGAATCACACAATTTGGTGAACGTACACCTGGTCTGTTACAGTTAGCTATCAAACAATTTGCCGTTGCTTTTGAGGTTGTGCCCAGAACGCTCGCTGAAACAGCCGGGCTAAATGTTAACGAAGTGCTTCCAAATCTGTACGCTGCTCACACTAGCGCCAATTCTAAGGAGCAAACAAGTAGCGATGAAGGTGCTTCTAGCAACGATGGCGCTTACTTTGGTGTTGATATCGAGGGCGAGAATTCAGAAGGTGTCAAGGACGTTAGAGAGGAAGGAACATTTGACCTGCTGGCCGTCAAGAAGTTCGCTGTCAATGTGGCTACCGAGGCCGCGACAACAATTCTTTCGATAGATCAAATCATCATGGCAAAGAGAGCAGGTGGGCCACAAGTGCCTAAGGGCCCCAAACCAGGTAACTGGGATCAAGATGATTAGTTAATTCGAGTATATAGTATCCAAGCATTACCAGCTATCATTTTATACCCGTGTGTCATCTGCGTCTTGAAAGTTAATAACTTGAAAAATTTTGAGAAAATCAGCGATGCGATGAGCTATGGATGTACGTTTTAAGAAGTCTACTGATTGACCTTGAAAACCCATTTGTTGAGTTCACCGTACTTCTCAAGTTCTAAAAATTATCCAGGATGGGTAAACCAAGAGGCAGAAACTTCTCTAAGAAGCAAAACAACGAGGAAGAAGTTCCACGGGCGGTTACCGGATTCTCGGACAATGCAAACGTTCAGTCCGAAAATTCTATATTGTCCGCCGATCAGCCAAACACTTTCTTTGGTGTATTAGATACTCAGGAACTTGAGTATTTTAAGCAGGCGGAGTCGACTTTAACTGTCGATACTTTTGAGACGCCCGAAGAGAAAGTACAATTCGTTACAAGCGTCATCGAGGAAAGTAAAAACAAAGAACTGAAATTAGCCACATCGCAAATTTGCTCCAAACTTATGGAAAGGCTGATCTTGGTTGGGACAAACCAGCAGCTAAAAGCGATTTTTCAAAGTTTCAATGGGTTCTTCTTCAACATGGCTTGCCACAAGTACTCATCACACGTACTCGAAACTCTTCTAGTCAGAGGTGCCGCCGTGGTTGAGAAGGAGCTCTTGACCCCACAATTTGAAGGAGCTGGTTTTAGCGAAGGCGATGATGAAGTTTTTGCATCTATGGAGACACTTTTTTTGCACATGATGAATGAGATTACACCTAATGTGAGGACTATGCTAAATCATCGGTATGCATCTCACGTTCTGCGAATGCTGATCTTGATTCTTTCGTCAAAGACTTTGCCAAGCACAACGATGAGCAACTCAGCGTTGCGTTCTAAAAGATCCAAAATTGCACGTAAAATGATTGATATCAAGGACAACGAGGATTTTAATAAGACTTACAAGACCCCAGACTCCTTCAAGGTACAGCTTCGCGAGATGCTTTCGTCTTTGTACAGAAGCTTGACTGGCGGGGCCGAACTGGGGTCCTCAAATTTTAAAAACATCAGCATGACTCATATCACCAAGACCAGAGAGTTGTGCATTGATGCGATAGCTTCTCCCGTGTTGCAACTTATCATTCAGGTCGAAGGTATATTTGACAGAGACAGATCTTTCTGGCATCTCATCTTCTCGTCAAGTGAGGAAAAAAATGCTAAAGAAGAGGCACTGGTCGAGTACCTACTCTCGGACCCTGTTGGCTCGCATTTCCTCGAAAATGTGATTTCCTTCACTCGTGTTAAATACACCGAGCGTCTATACAAGATGTACATGAAGGATCGAATTGTTAAGCTCAGTAAAAGAGACTTGACTGGTGCCTTTGTTGTACAAGCCCTGCTAAAGCATTTACGCCCCAATGACGTGAAATCTATTTTGAATGACATTGTTCCCGAGTTGAGCGTCATTGTGAATTCCAATATGGATTTTTGCACTAGCATCATCGAAGCCAGTATTCAGCAAGGCGACTACATGAAAGAAACGGTACTCAAGCAATTGATCAAGAGGTTTTATCCTGAAGAATCCGAAGACAAGAACATTTTGGAGAGCTGCTTGATGCTAACCTCATCCACTTTAGGGAACACAAGGGATGACTGGCCCACTGCCGAGGAGAGGCGAAGGTCCCTATTTTTGGAAAAATTGATAGATTACGATGATAAATTTCTTGAAATAACGATTGAAAGTTTGTTGGCGATGCCACAACACAGAGTTTTACAAATGTGCTACCATGGCGTGTTTTCGCACGTTGTAGAGCATGTGCTACAGGTAAAGAGAGTCGATAAAATCCAAAGAAAAAGGCTACTGAATATTTTCTGCACCGATGTTGTTAATCTGTCATGTAACGCCTATGGCTCCCATCTTATCGACAAACTCTGGGAGTTCACAACATTGCTGCCAATGTACAAGGAAAGAATAGCGACGAGTATGACTGGAGAGGCCGAAAAGGTGAAAAATAGTGTATATGGAAGACAAGCCTGGAAGAATTGGTCGTTAGACACATTCATGAGAAAGCGGTTCGATTGGAAGCGACTTGTAAAAGAGCAGCAACTAGAATTATTTCCGGATGCGCAGAACACACCGCAAACTTCCAAGCCCTTCAAACGTAAGCCAGAATTCAGCTCGCAACAAAGCGATAAACGACCAAGAAGGTAAATTACATATCGGACTATATCATGTACCTCACATTTAAAGTTTCAATCTTTCATCTAAACAAAGAGTTACGTCAGTATATAAAGTAGAGGCAGGCAAAGAGATCTTTCATCCGAACTTTTTACCAAATATCAGTGCCTCTTCTGGACTTGACACCCAAGAATCTGGCCACATCGTTGAAAGTTTCGACCAATTGGTCGGCCGTGAAATTAGCCAACTCTTTCTTGACGTCTTCTTCCGACATGTCGTTGATGTGGAAGTTCTCTAGCTTACCCTCCAAGTAATCTTCGAACTTTTCTTGCTCTTTCAAGCTAGGGGCTAATAGCTCGTAGAACTTGGCGAGTTTGAACAAGTCAACATCGGAAACAGACTCGAAGTCCCCCAATGAGCGTGGGAAGAAGCTCTCGCTGACACTTGGGATCTCGCCGTCAGAGTTAGGAAGAGGCGCAAGATAGTCTTTTTTCTCGGTTTTGGTCGAGTTGACCAGTCTTCTAATGGACCTCTCCTCGATCGATTCGAGTTGACCCTGAAGCTCGCCCACCAGCTGCACAAGATCTTCATTGGTGGCAAAATCGGTCGTGTCGCCATGGGACGCTGCAGTCACGCTTGTTTTGCCACCCTTGTTGAAACCCGAGTATTTCGAGTCGAAGTCTTCAACGTCGCTTTTCTGCTTCGCCACTTGCAACTCCAGCACTGATTGCCCGGTCTTGCTGATGAGAAGATTTTGCTTCTTCACCAGTTGCTGCAGTTCTTCGACCTGGTTCCTCAATTTGCTAAGTTCGTCAGACATTGTTTGTGAAAGATATCAAAAGAGTTGTAGGGATGTTCAAGTCTTGAAAATGAGCTATGCTACAAGTTTCGATACTTTGAATGAAGTTACTCGAAATTAAATCATTGTTGTGCGTTCGCAAAGAACCCTTAACAGTTTCTCAAAATCTTAAAAAAAGACCAAACCTACCTTAAAATCACCTTCAACGAGATCCCATCACATTTTGAACCGCAGCGTGATAATCATGTGACACAGGACTATACGCTTCAAAACCTCAAGCTGTTCAAACTGCCTGTGATGGAGCCAACACCGCCCTCGCTGTTACGCTGTTTGTTCCTTCTTTGCGATAGCTTACCCTTGCTGACTTCATCGGCGGCCTTCTGGAACCGCGCAGCTTCATAGTTTTTCTTCACAAGTTTTCTGCCTCCAGACTCGAGTTCGTAGTTGTCGAGGAAGTCGTCCAGCATGGACTCGAGATCCGCACGCTCGTTGGCCATGTCGAAGGGCTGGTACTCTTCCTCAGCTTCTGCTCCTTCTTCTTCGTAGTTTTCGTATCCAGAGATGACTTGGTCGTACCTATCGTCGAGCACAGTCAGTGCCTCGGACCGCGCGATGGCGCTCGAACTCATGGAAAATCCGGACACATCTGACATGGCACCTTTCTTGCGACGATCCCTACCCTTTTTCTTCTGTTTTGTAGAGCTTTTCACACCAGCGCTGATCGAGGGCAGATCGCCCAAAGTGTCTTCTTCTTCCTGTACTTCAGCGGAGCCTTCCTGTGGTGGGACAGATATGCTTTCCAAATCATCGGCCTCACTGTTGAAATCCTGAACTGATTCCCAGTCTTCATCGTGTGCTTTCCGCGACTGTTGCTGCTTGAATCTTGTGACATCGGCTTGGTAATCGATGTTTTGCAGATCTTCGAAGTTCTCGATCTTCTCAAACTGCTGCATTTCATCCCGATAGTGCTCATCCTCGTAGTTTTCCAAGTTCTCGACATCCCACTCGTCGAACTCTTGTTCGAAATCCTCGGCGCCATCAGCTTGGCCGCTTGTTAATAACTGCTCGAACAAATCGTCGTCGTCTTCATCACCATCGAGAATATCATCCGCATCGCTTTCCTGAGACCGCTTGGATCCTTGCTTTGCTTTATTCCCGACAACTATGTCTTTGTTCACCACATATGCTTCATCTTCAAGAGCCTCGAGCACTTCTCTAAGCGCAGGATTCATGTCCGGTTTGAAACCACGCAGCTCATCGTCCATATCCTGCTGGTGTTTTAGATATTCGCGCTTAGCCGTACCACCACGCTCAAACATAGAATCATTTTTCTTTTCAGAGGATTCTTGGATTTCTAGTTGTGCAAATAGATCTTCCGCCTTCAGCTTGCGCGATTCTTGTTTGTTGGCAGAGTTCGCCGATATTAGCACTGCGTTTTGTGGATCCATCCCGACGGGTTTTAGATGCTGAGTGTAGTCATATTTCGAGTCGTCGAACCCAATTCCATACAATGCCGCTTCGCCAATATGTTCGTGACCTGGCCCTAGTCTTGGACCAGGACCAGTGCCAGCTCCATTTCTCGCGAAAGGGGACTTGGATTTCTCTGGATTTCTCTGCTTCTTGGCTTCTTTCATAGGTACCAACACATGTTCCGATGCCTCAGGATCATGATAACGTGGGTCATCGTGTGGTCTGTGCACAACGGCAAACTTCTTGGCCGTTTTACGATCAAATCCAGGCTTTACCGACATGGCTTTCTCAACGAATTTCGAACAGTAGCCGAGAGAGATACTCCAAGAGCTAAAAATGTGCTAGCTATCTCTATAATGCTTCAGCTTTTTACCGCTTCTGTTCAGCTCATCGCTTTGAAAAGTCGAATTCAAAAATATTTTTCAAGCATATTATATTTGGATGAAGGAAATTTAGTGCTAAGAGACAAGAAATTACTATTTATGCTTCAATAGTCCGTGATCTTACCCAAGAACTGCGCGCAAATACACTAGAACAGCTTTTCTGATTCAAAAGTTTGGTAGTACCTTGCTAATTTGAGAGGCAATTAAAGTTGCTTACCTAATTTCTAGTACATTAGGCTCATCTCGAAAATTTTCACAAGTTGATCACATCAACCCTAGAGAAAAGCGATTGGAAGCGGTTTTGCTTAGCCCTTTAGACCCAGATAGTGAGTGCCGTCATGTTTATCTTGACCAAAATTTCTGACCTGGTGCGGGTCCCGCCAGATCAATTCCATAGACACCCTAAAGCGGCCATTTTCCACCAAATGAATAATAAATTCACCAACAAGGTGATCCCACACGTTGGGCTTTGCATCACAATATATGACCTGCTGGCGGTTGAGGAAGGCCAATTGAAACCTGGCGATGGTGCCGCGTATATTAACACCACTTTCCGAGCGCTGGTGTTCAAGCCTTTTGTTGGTGAGATTGTGACGGGTTGGATCTCTCAGTGTACAGTGGAAGGCATCAAAGTATCACTGTTAGGGGTTTTCGATGACATTTTCATTCCCCATAAAATGCTTTTTGAAGGCTGTTATTATTCCCCCGACGACAGCGCCTGGGTATGGCCCACGGACGAGGAAACCAAACTGTACTTCGACGTAAACGAAAAGATCAGGTTCCGCGTCGAGCAGGAAATTTTCGTAGACGTGAAACCGAAGTCTCCCAAGGAAAGGGAAGCGGAAGAGCAAGAGCAAAACGAGGATCCTGCTCAAGACAAAAAACCCAAAGCCGAAAAACCTCCAGCTTACGCGCTTTTGGGCTCTTGCCAAACTGACGGAATGGGTCTTGTCGGCTGGTGGGAATAAAGGAAATGGCATATACTTAATAGTTATAGAGCATGCATTCACTGTAATATACGAAAAGTTTAGGGATTGAAACCCGTCTTGCTAGTTGTTGACCGATTGCGAAGACGGAGAAGTGCACTCATTAAAATGTTGAGGGTCGCTAATGTGAACGGACAGCCTCAATCTGTACAATTTGCGTCTCTCTACTCCCGATGTCAAATATTAACACGTCGTTATATACATTCTTTAATTATATTGCATGTACTGAGAGGTAGAGCTAAACTTCTTGTAACCGTTGATCACTTTTTCGACTGCCCGCAAGAAGTCCTTTTCCGTGGCCACCTTCCTTCTTGCTCTAATGGCAAACATACCAGCTTCCGTACACACAGATCTTAATTCCGCACCCGTAGAGTTAGGGCATAACCTCGAAATTAGTTCCCATCTTATACCGCGCTCAACGCTCATGGATTTGGAATGAATTCTGAAAATGTTGGCGCGGCCCTCAAGGTCTGGTAGCGAAAATTCAACTTTACGGTCAACTCTACCCGGTCTTAACAGAGCTGGATCTAGCATGTTTGGTCTGTTAGTGGCGAACATTACCTTGATATTACCACGAGGATCGAAACCGTCTAGTTGTGTAATTAGTTCCAGCATTGTTCTTTGTACTTCATTATCTCCACCTGCGCCATCGTCGAAACGAGCACCTCCTATAGCATCAATTTCATCAAAGAATATGATACAGGCCTTTCTTGTTCTGGCCATTTCAAAAAGTTCTCTCACCATACGTGCACCTTCACCGACATATTTTTGTACCAGCTCGGAACCGATGACTCTGATGAAAGTTGCATCAGTTCTATTAGCTACCGCACGTGCACAAAGCGTTTTACCTGTGCCTGGAGGGCCATACAGAAGAATACCCTTTGGTGGATCGATACCTAGCGTAGCGAACCTTTCTGGAGAAAGTAGCGGTAGTTCCACTACTTCACGTAATTTATCGATTTGCTCTTTACAACCACCAACATCGCTGTAAGTGACATCTGGCTTTTCTTCCACAGTCATCATGGTTACTGATGGGTCGATACGTGGTGGTAATGGCAGTTCGATGTGATACTTGGATCTGTCAACCCCAACACGCATACCTTCTTCAATATCTGTAGGTGACACACGTTCTCCTAGTCCAACCACAAACTTTGCAATTTGCTTGAGATTGATGATATACTTTGAATCCTCCTCATCATCCTCGCCTGTGCTTTCCTCTGTGGCCTCTGGTTTAATGATTTTCGTGCATCTAGCTACCTGCAGTGGATGTTCTTCACTGAGCCGCTGTCTGTCACCCATAATGTCCCACAAATGGGAGGGTGCAAGACCTGTATCGCTTTCTTTAACGCCAGCTTTTTCCTTGATGCGGGACTCAATATCTTTGAGATCTTTTTCGGTAACCTTCAACTTGTCTGCGTATGGAGCGGCACCCTATACACTGTTAGTAATAAGTTGTCAAACTGCAATGCTTGTAACGAGCACGTAGATGGTAGATCTTGGATTTAGATATCTTCGTTCCTGTAAGGTGACATCATTAAGCAAGTTCTCAAAACTATACCAGTTTCTGTTCATCTTGCCATACACTTCCTAGTTCATTGATGACTATGTCCTTCTCTTTACAATCACAATTCATCGCTGCGCTTCGTCACTCGCACTTGCACTGTGTCAACGTTCCACATACATATGTCTTTAAAACCTGGATATCTCCCTCCGAAAGCGGCACATTTGGCTTTTCCTCCTGTTGATCCTCCTCAACAGGAGCCTTGTACTTTTCCCAGTCTTGTTTCGATGCCATCGTGTAGTATTCAGATTGTTCTTGTGGGTGGCAAACTTCATTGCAGTGTGTTCCTTTATTTGGCTTAAAGCATTTCACCGATGTAATGATGAAAATTACCCGGACATGGACTTTACTGTGACATTACGAGAGAATAGAATAGAAGTGTCTATAAAAAAGCATTAAAGAGATTAGTGTAACGTTTGTACGTTTCTTGCCATTCGTTCAAGGTTTCGGGGACTTGACCGTTGCCTTCTGTGATAATTTAAAGCGTCTGAGAATTTCGAATTTGAGGTCTTTTCCATCAAAAGAAAAGCCATATTTTCAAACAAACCACAGATATACCGCTTGATAAGTGGTATAGGTCATGACACAAGTCCCAAAGATAGCAATTGCGAGGTCAATGGCCAGCAGTGACTTAGGGGCCTCACCCTTCGAGAAAGCCTTGTAGTGCAGCAGTGGTGGGTATATGTAGATGAGCGGAATGCAAGCAAAACTACCAACCAACGATACAAATTTGTCAAGATCGTTAGCACCAAGCCACGCGATCCCCATATTAGCGAGAACAACAGCCACACGAAAGTAATTCTTGAGCCACTTCACGCGTGGATTGTACTTGCCGGAGGCATTCTTAGGGAAGATGCTAGTCTCCAAGATTCTGATCGTGGGGAAAAGCTGTAAGGGTGTAGAGAGTAGAATTGCCAAAGCGTATAGCAGCTGAACAGTTGCAGTCATTGCTGAATCGCGTGGGAAATTTAGCAGGATAACAATTTTCACACGGTCGCCAAATGCCGAGTAGCACAACAAGCCGCACATAACAAATATTATCGTGACAGAAGCCATAACGCCAAACAAACACTTGTTAAATTTTTCAGGATGTTTCATCGATTCCTGGATTGGAATCAGAAGCCCAATGCCCTCGTAAGTGAAAATGGCAGTTCCAATAAATAAAGTCCAATCGTTTTTGTTAAAAACCAACATAGACTCTGAAGCGATACCATGGTGAACCACAAATTGCCCACAATAGTAGTAAACGTACAAAAGCCCGAGCAGGATGAACAAATCCGCTAACAAAGCCGTTCCGCTAAGCTTTGCAATATTCCTGGTGAGAGACAGTGGAAGGTACAAAGCCAATTGTACCAGAAGCCAGAAAGTCAACGAGTATTCCCAGTGGAAGACATTTGCGAAAAAAACCTGCAAGTTGGTTGCTGTAAAGACAGCGTATGCGGCAACAAATCCTATTTGTGATAGCACAATAGATCCTAGAATCGCAAGTTCCATCTTATGGCCATATACAGATCCACCGAGATCACCGTATCCTTTTACATTTAGTTTGTTCTTCGTGCTTATCAAAATAACAAAACAGTAGTAGGACACTATGCCACACAGCAGTAAGCAAAAAGTAGAGAAAGCCCAGCCACCATTGTGGAAGGCACGGGGTAGAAATAACACACCAGTACCGACGAACGACTTCACCAATAGCAGCACGGCCTTGAAAGTTGATGACTTGTGAGATTCGCGACGCGCAGCTCGTAGGGCAGCACGGCGTTTAGCAGGACTTTCTCCAACAAGCGCCGTTTCTTCGTCTTCTGCTACGTCCTGATCCTGGTCTATATCCTCGTCTTCATCTTCACTCAAATCCTGGCCAGCAAAATGGCCATACAGCGTTAAAAACTCGAAGAAATTACGGGCAACAAAAGTAGGTATATGTCCACCTTCTTGAAGGCTTTTTTGGACCAGAAAACTTCGGCGGAAACCCTGAGGAGCTCTGATCTGTTCTGCGGACATTTCTGTATTAGGAATCGAGCCGTGGGACCTTACACTTCCCGAAAAACTGATGGAACGTCTATGTCTGGGGGCTTCGAGTCGTCCCGGTTGATTGTCCGATACTGCAGCCTCTTGATTATGATCTTGCCAGCGATAGAGCTCGCGCGTAATGTCACCACCTTGTAGTTGTAAAGGATTGAAAGAGTCTGAAGACGGTTTGTCAGATGGATTTACCAAATGACGGGAAACAACGTCAGCCATTTGTTGCTCTGGAGAGATTGCAACAATGTTTGAAGCAACGCCCGAAGGACGACGACTGTGAGTTACAGACCGCGAAGCATCATCTGTTACAGAACTGCGGGTATTCAGTAAATTCACAGGCATCTGAGAGTCTTTGGTACCAGCAGCGTCTTGAGAATGAAGATGATGTTTTCGATAGAAAATCGTATCTCAAGTTTTATAAAATATTATTTAGCACGTGAAATACCACGGCAAAACTTGGCCCTGTCCAGCCACTTGGCAAATGATAAATTGCCAGCTACTGGGAAATTTTGAATACGGTTTGAAGACTGGTGCAGCATATTTCAGGATGTGGGGAAAACGTAACTTTGGGCAAATTTTTCACTGAAATCTGATTGCAATTGAATAGAGTAGCGTCGAGAGTGGCAGTTTTCGAAGGTGGTAAACTTGTTGCGAACAGACTTATCTAACACTGATCTTCGTTACTCGAGGACTATAATAGTGAAGAATTGTCTGAGAGTAGATGTCATCCGTTTCGAATTTTAGTGACGAATTTTGAACCGCGAGTTTTTAGCCGCAACTCTCGAAGAATGGAACTGTTGATATATGCCGGATTCTGTCGGAAAAGCTGCACTGAATTTGCTGAGCAACCTAACGTAAATCATTGATGCTTTACCTAAAGGCTAGAGAAAGGGAATTTCAAATTTGGCCTGTAGCTGCGATTTCTCGTGGGTGATGCCAACAGTTATATAAGCTCATGGTTTGATATGTGGTCTTTTAAACCGAATGATCAAAGCGCAGTGAACCGCTAATCAGGGAGCAAAATAATCCTGCGGAAGCACACTTTTTGGGCTTTTTGTCGTGAATGAAGCGGCAGAAAAAAGGAGCACTTTGCTACTATAACGAGTATCATTCAGTTCATCTGGATACACAAAGTTGGGACCTTAGAGTCTGCCAGGATGTGAGTGCTGGCAAGGCCAAGTAGCAAGATGACACACTAGTACAGAGTGATCTGGGAGCACTAAATGGCTGGTGCAACTGTACCCCTCTCATTTCTGAATAGCATCTCAGAATTGTGCAGCCATTGGCTCATTCCGGTACCAAACGTTGATACTGTGGTTGAAAACAGCAGAAGACATTAACCACTCACAGAGTCGCCTCAACCAATTCGGGAATAACTGAACAAAATTAGCAAGCTTGATATTGCTAAATCAGACTCGTCTCTCTACAGTCTTTTAGTCACTATATTGAGTATGAATTTGCGGTGAAAAGCGTTGTCCCATGAAGACGCCTTAATCGTTTCAACGGCATCGCCAAGTGTACAGATCCATCTAACGCAAGATGCATCTTGTCACTTTCTACTATTCTGGCACAAAAGCTTATATCTCGTGGGAAAAACAGAATACTCTCCGGCAATCGAAATGATGAAGCTTGGTAGCAAAAGCATCTTGATATTGTACCCAAGAGCCTGCCTGTGAATGGCCATCTCACTCCAATTCCATGAAAAACAAATCATTCGAATATTATGCTCCTGAGATTTCCAAACATCAATTAATATAGATAATCCAATAAGTCTAAGTTAAGACAGCAATATTGTATTGATCTACAATAAAAGCTACCGTCATTGTCAATGGTTTGTCCTTCTTACAACGTTCTTTCTGCTAAAACGTCTGAAATGACAAAGATTTCCTATCCCGAATTTCGGAGCCGCTCGGCTTTCATGAAAAATATAGTTGACCCAATTAAACGCTTATATATCTAAACTTGATTTTTGAGCGTAATAGAGGTTTCTTGACCTATCGAAAGACCATCGGATCAATTTCTTCAAAGAATACAAGGGTCACAACTTGGTTTGAGCACGTTTGAATAGTGGGATACCTAAGTACACACACGCACAAAGCAGTTGGGAATAATTCGCGGGATTTGAAACGCGATTTGACCAGTTTGTTGTGAAGAGACTTTTTGATACGGGAAAAATCTACCGTGAACAGCATACAAATCTTTGAACTAGGATTTTGTGGAATACTTTAAACATATCTGTGATACCTATTGAACTAGCCAGCGACATTCTTCGGCCGTTTTTGGAAATTCTTCTCTAGACACACTTATTGACACTAATTACAAATAATGCTTTCGCTCAGACAATTGAAGCTCTCGAGTGGTAGAAGGCTTTTTAGCGGCTCAAGCCGCGCTCTACGCGCTTCCGCTCCTCACGAGGACGTTAACGGTTCACATTCGACGCCATTTGGCGGAAAATACCAGGTGGTAGACCACGAGTACGACTGTGTGGTTGTCGGTGCTGGTGGTGCCGGTTTGAGAGCCGCTTTCGGGCTTGCAGAAGCCGGTTACAAGACTGCATGTATCTCTAAACTTTTCCCCACCAGATCGCACACTGTGGCCGCTCAAGGTGGTATCAACGCCGCGCTTGGAAACATGCACAAGGATGATTGGAAATGGCACATGTACGACACCGTTAAAGGTTCCGATTGGCTCGGAGATCAGGACTCGATCCACTACATGACTCGTGAAGCCTCCGACTCCATTATCGAGCTTGAGCACTTTGGTGTGCCATTCTCCAGAACAGAGGAAGGTCGTATTTATCAGCGTGCCTTCGGTGGTCAAACCAAAGAACACGGTAAAGGTGGCCAAGCCTACAGAACCTGCGCTGTTGCCGACAGAACGGGCCACGCTTTGTTGCACACTTTGTATGGTCAAGCTTTAAGGCACAACACACATTTCTTCATCGAGTACTTCGCTATGGACTTGTTGGTTCACAATGGTGAAGTCGTCGGTGTTATCGCTTACAACCAAGAAGACGGTACCATTCATAGATTTAGAGCTCATAAGACCGTCATTGCCACGGGTGGATACGGTCGCGCTTACTTCTCTTGTACCTCGGCTCACACCTGTACCGGTGACGGTAATGCCATGGTTTCCAGGGCTGGTTTCCCATTGCAAGATTTAGAATTCGTGCAATTCCATCCATCTGGTATCTACGGATCCGGTTGTTTGATCACCGAAGGTGCTCGTGGTGAAGGTGGGTTCCTTGTGAACTCCGAAGGTGAAAGATTTATGGAGCGTTACGCTCCAACCGCCAAAGATTTAGCCTGTAGAGACGTTGTTTCGCGTGCCATCACCATGGAGATCCGTGAAGGTAGAGGTGTTGGTCCTGAAAAGGACCACATGTTCTTGCAATTGAAGCACTTGCCTCCAAGTGTCTTGAAGGAAAGATTGCCAGGTATCTCTGAGACAGCTGCTATTTTTGCTGGTGTCGATGTCACTAAAGAACCAATTCCAATTTTGCCAACAGTTCACTACAACATGGGTGGTATTCCAACCAAGTGGACTGGTGAAGCTTTGACTGTTGACGAGGAAGGTAACGACAAGCTCATTCCTGGTCTTATGGCCTGCGGTGAAGCAGCTTGCGTTTCCGTTCACGGTGCCAACAGACTTGGTGCCAACTCTTTGCTGGATTTGGTTGTCTTCGGTCGTGCCGTGGCCCATTCCGTTGCCGACTCTCTACAACCAGGTTTACCTCACAAGCCACTACCTGCTGACTTGGGTAAGGATTCCATTGCCAATTTGGACAAGATCAGGAACGCTTCCGGCTCTAAGCCAACTTCTGAAATTAGACTTGCAATGCAAAAGGCTATGCAAAATGATGTTTCTGTTTTCAGAACTCAGGAATCATTGGATGAAGGTGTTAGAAACGTCACTGCTGTCGATAAGAGCTTCAACGATGTTGGTACTACTGACAGATCCATGATCTGGAACTCTGACATGGTTGAAACCTTGGAATTGCAAAACTTGTTGACGAACGCGGTTCAAACTGCCGTTTCTGCTGCTAACAGAAAAGAATCTCGTGGTGCTCATGCTAGAGAAGACTACCCAGATAGAGATGATGAAAAGTGGATGAAGCATACTCTATCGTGGCAAAAGGAACCACACGGAAAAATCGAACTAAACTACAGAAATGTCATCAACACTACGTTGGATGAAAACGAGTGTCCAGCGGTTCCTCCAACTGTGAGAGCCTACTAAGAAGATTCTAAAACTTAAGCAGACCCGATGTCTGATCCACATACACAACATGCCGTAAACCAGTTTACACGAAATTATTTATTCTATTTAACATTATCTACCGAAAGCTTATTTGCTAGCATTGATATTTTTTAGAACCAGTACAATCAAATCCTAAAGGCCCGAATGTCAACAAAACTAACGATTGCTGTGCAGGGATGCGCTCATGGAGAATTAAATAGCATCTATCGGAGTATCACAACCCAGTATGCCTCCAAACTACCGGATCTTTTGATTATCCTGGGAGATTTTCAATCTTTGAGAAGTGAAGAAGATATGGCTTCTATCGCTGTGCCAGATAAGTACAAAAAACTAGGTGACTTCCCCAAATACTATAATGGTGAGTTAAAGGCGCCTTTACCCACTATTTTCATCGGTGGTAACCATGAGTGTATGCGAGGACTGCTTGAGATACCGTCGGGCGGATTTGTGGCTAAGAACATATATTACATGGGCTACAGCGGTTCAATTGTGGTACAAGGCGTTGTAATCAGCGGATTGAGCGGTATTTACAAAAGACATGATTTCAACACTAGACGTCCGACTTTGGAACAGATCGAAAAAGAAGGATGGAGTAGATATGTGCGAAATTTATACCATGTTCGAAAGGCAGATGTTCTTCCATTGTTTATGTTGAAACAAACAGATGTTATGCTCAGCCATGATTGGCCCAATGGTGTGGCGCATTATGGAGATCTTAAGAAACTTTTGAAACTAAAACCGTTCTTTAAGCAAGATATACAAAACAACAATTTGGGCAGTCCTGTAAGCTGGCAGCTTATGAGAAATTTGATGCCCCAATGGTGGTTAAGCGCCCATTTACACGTCAAATTTGAATCTGAAGTCAGTATGAGTAAGAGAAGTTTGGAAGAAAAGAACCCTGACGAAATTGACTTAGACTTGGACCTAGACCCGGAAGCCTCAGAAACGGCAGTTCAGCCCAAAGTTACCAAGTTTTTAGCACTTGATAAGTGCGGACGTAATAGAAAGCATATGGACATAATAGTGGTGGATTCGAATTTGAATCATCCAACGTACGATCCTGTGACTTTTAAGATGTATTTGAATCCGGAATTCGTTGCCAACCAAAAATACCTTGCCCAAAACGAGCAGAACGCACGACTTGAAGATATAAACTTCGAGGAGGTGCGCCAGCAACGCGGCGATCTTGCAACAGTCAAATGGGAAGATTACGAATTGACGAATGTATGATTTTTACATGATCAGACTGTATACGAATATATAGGGCGTGAAATGAGCGAGAGTCGTCTGCGTGCACCGCATTCAAAATTTGAACACACGGTCCTTGGCATGACCAAGCTCCTTTAGAATTCCAACGAGCTCACCTTGATCCTGTGGCGAGGTCTTAGGACCCGAGTAAGCCTTCATGAATGGGGGAGGCCCACACACAAACACCTGGTGGGAGTCCGAAGGTCCTGGCGTGTTCTTTTCCAAATATTCCTTGGTAATAAATCCGATGTGGCCGTTGAAGTCACCTTCAGCCTTGTCGACAAAGTAGTGAATTTTGACCTGCTCTGGGTACTTGGCTTGGATGGTGTCCAACTCTTTCTTCAACAAAATGTCGTTTGGAGTCTTGTTACCAACCAAAAGATTGATTTTAGTCTTGTCGATTGGGTTTTGCGAGATGTGGTGAACCAATTGGTATAGGGGATTGATACCTGAACCAGCACCGATCAAAGTGATAGATTCGAAGGAGTTTGGCTTCCACTCCCACTTTTTGATGGGCCCCTTGAAAGCCACGGTGTCCGAAGGCTTCTTGTCGAATAGCATTTCAGTGAACTTACCGTCTTTGTAGTGCTTGATAACCAGCTCGAAGTGACCCTTAGTGGCCACGTCGCTGACTGGAGTGTAGGGTCTAATGACATTCGAGCCCTTAGGAGTCTGCAGCTTGGCGAGCAAAGCAGATGCGACCACTAGCCCACTGACTTGATCCTCCTCTGGCAAGTTGAAGGTGAAACGACGAGCGTCGTGAGAGACATCCTCGATCTTCGCAATGGGTAGTTCTATCCAAGCATCGTCACCTTTGAACGTCTTAAGAGGCTCATTTCTAATGGCAGCAGAGTTGAAGTAAGCAGCAGCGATGGCAGCGGTGCCAACGGCAAATGGCACCGTGGCTCTGTGTTTCAAGATTCTAGTTAGCATAGCTGACATTGGTATTGTAACTCAGAGTAGTTGAGCCTTAATTTACTGTAGTGGTATGGAAGAAAGAAGATTTGTAAACCAATATATTGATTTCACGAATCTGCCAGATGCCACTGTTTTTATAGATTTCCACACAGGTCACCTGAAGCTTTCGAAGGCAACACCCTAACGGTAACCTTTGCTCTTATTGGACGAGGATCCGTGACGAAAGCGTGATCTTCCTGCGACACAGTTGCGTGTACGACGGAGGGGTGGTTTTTTGGTCGTGGCAATGGCCGGACACACCTCGTTGTTATGGTTTGAACGTTCTTGGTCAGATCCATATCGAATAAGCGCACTTATACCTGGACCTTGAACGGAGACATTTAAGTACAGAATTTTATTTACATGAGGGAGCTGGCAAAACTCTTCGCAACAATTTTGGTGAGCTCTTGAATCTTGGGCAGTAACTTTAAATTTTCTCGAATTGTTATAGGACTTTTCATTGATGAGCTACAAGCCTTTTCATTGACTGACAGTTTGACATATTATCCTCTTTTCTTGACAAATTTTTTTTTTCGTTAGATAAGGACCGAAATTGGAAAATAGCAAACCTTGAGGGACTTCGACCGAGTTTTGCGAAAGGAAGCGGGCTTCTTGAGTAGTCTTGCCACGCCGATTTGAAAAATATCAGTCAGTGAGTTGCAAGTTGGTTTTTGAACGCAGTTTTTAGGGTCTCTACAACTTACAAACAATTTCTAATTGTTCACTAAGCTTCCCGGTGTTCACTTTACTTCAGTAGACTTGGTAAAAACAAACATACAGCATGCTTTCCCGTTTGTCGCACAAGGAAATTCTGCAACTTGCTAAGAGAGCTGTTATTCCGCCACTCAAGCCTGAGTTCCACAAGGGCCAATGTGGCCGAGTGTGTGTTATAGGCGGATGCGAGGACTATACTGGCGCTCCATACTTCAGTGCGCATTCAGCAGCGTTGTTTGGCGCTGATTTGACTCATTTAATGTGCGAATTGAATGCTGCTCCTGTGATCAAGAGCTACACACCCAATTTGATGGTACACCCCTATCTGCGAGAAGCTGGGTCCGGCAATGCGCCAATGAGTAAAATTCATAGCTTGCTGGATCGCATGCACGTTTGCGTTGTGGGTCCAGGTCTTGGCAGGGACAAAAATATGCTTGATTCCGTGGTCTCTATTTTGGAGTATCTGGCTACTGAGCACAAGGGCGAAATCCCCGTGGTGCTGGATGCAGACGGACTCTTTTTGATCTCTGACGAAAGCTACTCGGGCAAAGTGTGTGATATTTTGCGTGCATTCAAGCCTGGCAGAATAATTCTAACTCCCAACGTGGTAGAGTTCAAGCGCATCTTGGACCGATTTGGTTTCGAATCTGGTGCAGAGATAGCGCGCGAACTGCAGTGTGTGGTTTTGCAGAAAGGTAGCGAGGATCAAATATGGTATGATGACACGGTGCTGAAATGCTCAATTCAAGGCAGCAACAAGCGGGTCGGTGGACAAGGTGATACCTTGACGGGTGTGATTGCCACGATGTTGGCTTTCAGTCGGGCCACACACGATTTCAAAATCTGGGACCCTAACCAAAAGTTGGAATGGCTTGATATGGTGGTTACGAGTTGTTATGTTGGCAGCGCCATTACCCGTGAATGTTCTCGTTTGGCGTTCCAGAAGCATGGCAGATCAATGCAGACCACGGATGTAAATGATAGGGTAGGCGACGCTTACGATCTTCTATTGGGCGGAGAGAACTAAGTAGGACGAATTTATGATTATGATAGCTTAAGAATGGGAATTTACGAGTGAGGTGTTGAGGGATTCTGATGAGCAGTATAATAAGGTAGTAAATATATCACCGAAGCTCGGAAATTTGTGTGTGAGAGACGGGCAGTGTATGAGATGTTATGATAGAAAGACGAGTGAAGAATTGGGACGAGTCTTAATCAGCAGTATAGGTAAGTACATATTGGAGGACGAGAAGTTACGAGCGAAGAATTGAGAGGAAATTGTACAGCGCGAGGTAAATGTATCGAAGATAGGAAGTTGCGAGTGAAGGATTGAGAGCAAACTCACCGGCGCATGGTAAGTGTAGTGAAACGGGAAGTTACGAGTGAAGTATTCAGATGATTCTGTCTCAGCACGTGGAGATAGTAAATGCTCTATTCCCAAAACAAAATGTAAAAATTCTGAGAAGCAAATGAGCGAGGTGCAACCGAGTCACCAGAATACAGACCGTCTGTTTAACTTATTTGGGCGCAGTCTCGAGCTCTGCAACAACCAGATATCACCAATGTCACTTTGTACTATTCTGTCATGGGGCTCCATCTTCGCTTCCATCCAACATGGCGCCCTCATTAGTTGCATCCAACAAGGTGTTCTGCCATAGAAAATAACTGCAAGTACTGAGGATATGCAGGCTATCATTACGGGGATAACTACGATTTTGTAGCACGGATTATAATCAAGGTGGGAAGAGCTACAATTCTGAATGCCTTGGCTATTTAAAGAATTCGTGATGGATAGACGCCCCGCAGTATTTGTGAGTGCCCAGTAGCATGGAAGATCTTGCAAAGCTAACGCATGGGCTGTCGTTTTCGTGCTTCCGTGTCATGGCACCTGGGCTCGTCTTTTCAAGCGCAGCAAGATGCAATCTCTGGCTGAACAAGCTGGCGCTGTGGTGATTGCATAGTGCTCTTCTACTCTACTCTGCTCCTGCTGTGCTTCTGCTTTTGGTTCTACACCTAACACCCATACTCCATCTCCATCACTACACCACACCACTTTCGTCTTCGTTTAAGTCGTGTATGATGACTCCCGTCGGTCGCGATCTCTTTCCCTCCCGGCATCCTGCGGCTTCCTCGGCTTCCGGTCCGGGCTTCCTCTCGAACTTCGTCTCAGCTTCCGCAAGCTTCCTCTCATATATAAAGCTAACCGCTACTACACCACCACCATATAACGACGAAATAACCTGTTGATCCATCATAGTCGTTAAACTTCATCTGGTGACGGAATATGGTCAGACTACCATGGCAAAGTAATTGTAGCAAGCTATAAGAACATCAGCGTCGATGTAGAAGGAATCCAAGTTTATGAGTAGTTTGTATTTAGTTTGTTTTTAGCTTTCTCCATCTCGTCATTACACCAATAACGAATCAAACACTATCATAATGCCAAAGCTAGTTCTAGTTAGACACGGTCAATCCGAATGGAACGAAAAGAACCTTTTCACCGGTTGGGTGGACGTCAGATTGTCCGCCATCGGTGAAAAAGAAGCTGCCCGCGCCGGTGAATTGTTGAAGGAAAACAACGTTCATCCAGACATCTTGTTCACCTCCAAGTTGTCCAGAGCCATCCAGACTGCCAACATCGCTTTAAGCGCTGCCGACAGACTATGGATCCCAACCGTCAGATCCTGGAGACTAAACGAGAGACACTACGGTGCTCTACAAGGTAAGGACAAGGCCGCCACTTTGGCCGAATACGGTGAAGAGCAATTCACCACCTGGAGAAGATCTTTCGATGTCCCTCCTCCAAAGATCGCCGACAACTCTGAGTACTCTCAAAAGAACGACGAGAGATACCAGGACGTTGACCCAAGCGCTGTCCCAGCCACCGAGTCCTTGGCTCTAGTCATCGACAGATTGTTGCCATACTGGCAAGACACCATCTCCAAGGAGCTTTTGGACGACAAGGTCGTCATGATCGCCGCCCACGGTAACTCCTTGAGAGGTTTGGTCAAGCACTTGGAAGGTATCTCCGACGCCGACATCGCCAACTTGAACATCCCAACTGGTATCCCATTGGTGTTCGAATTGGACAACAACTTGAAGCCAACCAAGCCTTCCTACTACTTGGACCCAGAGGCCGCTGCCGCTGGTGCCGCCGCCGTTGCCGCTCAAGGTAAGAAGAAATAAGTACAATTGTGATTCGCGCTTCCTTTTACGGAGTGTGTCTGCTTTTTGACTATATAACGATAATGAGATAAACCCATTGTTTTGAAACATCTAAGTTTTGGACTAGTTTTTGTTTAGCCGTAGCCCCACCCTTCTTTTCAATCTTTCTTCCAATCTTAGACGATTATGATCAACCACCTGTGTTTGTTTGTCGTACCATTGGCGGTTGTGTACTTTGCATAAATTCTCGCCCAATCCCTCCATATCTGAGAATTGTTTAGTAACATATAACTCGTAAAGACTTGCACTCTGTTTCATCAGCTCCACACAATCTATTAACCTGTGACTTGGGTAATGGAGCAATAGTCCAATAACTTCACCCTGATCTTCACAAGCATAAAGGTCTCGCGTAATGGCTATCAACAACACAACAATGCAACACGCTACGAGATCCTCTAATGGGATCATGAACGTCAGTAAATGATCCCATATCCGTAAAACGTAGTTCAAATCAAATTCTCTAAGAAATAAAAGTCTAGTCCAACGTATAAGCCATACAGCGTTGTCTAAACCGTGATGTTTTGTGAGCAAATGGTGCAATTTAGGTACCGTAATTCTAAAGATTCGGTCAAACTTGAATTCTGCAAATTGTAGTAAAGCGGCTTCTTCGTAAAACACCGAGCGAGCCCGCTTCATGAGTTTATTGAAGATGTTCAAAGTGTTGAGTTTGCGCGTGTCGGGTACTTCGCGAAACATTTGCATGTACACCGCGCCACAAAGCTCGTGGTACCCTTGCTTGTAGCTAGTCTGATTGTAGAGAACGTAGTTATACAAGATCTCCACCATTTCCTTCTTGCATTCGGCAGATTCGAAGATTGGGTCAAGCAAAAGCCGCGAAACATCGAGTTCAATGATATCCAGTGTTTCTTGGACAGACACTTTTTCTTTCAACCGATCGTCATCACCGTCTTTTGAAATTGTATGCGCCGCATCATCGATAGTCATTAGCGGATGCGTGCTCGCTCGTTCCGAGGTAAGGTTCCTTATACCATACTGGCGAGTAGCAGAATGCACTGGACTCGAAGCGAGCGAGTTTTCGGGCACTATTGCCAAATCTGTAACCAATGGTTCGTCTCCATCACCCAGTAATAACGTCTTCCAACACCACCCTCTATCCATAAAACTAGACTCTTCGGCACGATATAGCTCTCCACGCCACACTCCATGCTTAGCTAGCTCTTCGCGTGTCCCATACCGCTTAATAAGGTGCTCTACCTTGCTGGAATTCTCCATTGACACTTCGTATTATGTTTCGCTACGTTTTTGACAGGCGATGAGCTGAATGTCTCTTTCTGGCCCTTTGATAAAAAGCGAGGTAAACTTTGAGAAAATAACTGTGATCATCAAGTAAAATAGGCGCGTAGACCTGATACGGCAAGGCAGGCTCAGTCGCTAACTCGATTATCTTGAAAGTTCTTTGTTCTACAGATGATTCGAAACTGATTTGCCTTTACTACGAAAGAGTAGGACCACCAAATCGACCTCCTCGACGCCGCACAGCAACTTGTTCCTTAGTAGGCCATACGAACCGACTCACAATCCATGCATTACCTAAAATATGTGTCAAGAATCTGTCGAGTACAAAACCTTTTGCTTCCCTTCCTGGTTTGACGGAGCCGAAATCTACTGAATGAGCCTTTGGAGAGTTTTCCGTGTTCCATTCGATAATACTGTTGACATGTATATAAGAACTTTTAATCACATCAAACCCAGGATAATCACATCAACTTAGAATAGACATATCAGCTTAGGGTAATCATCGACACAAAGAGTCCTGGCACTTAATGTATGCCAGTAAATGAGTCCGCATGATCCTCTCCAAGTTTCGCATTTTCAAAGTAAGCAACGCGGACAGGAGCCAGCTATTAGCATTACGAAAAGACCCTCGGAGTTTTTACAGTGCTTGGCGTCTGAGTTGTTTTATATCTAAAAGCACGAATCTCCATAAGCTAGCCGCCGGTCTTTGATCAGATATAAAAAATAATACAAGCCTATCGACAACAGTCTTTGTAAAGTTTTAGATGGTTTATTATGCCATCGAGAGCCACTTAGAGCGGTTTTTACACTATTTCAATATACGTTAAACTTTAATATTCGCTATTTGTTTTGAAATTAAATTGCGTCAACAATGATAATAGAAATTACAGGTCGGAACGTCAAAGGGAGAAGGGTCTCGAATTCTTAAAATCTTGACCCAGTCAACTTTTGGTGTATCAAGGGGCATTCAAGTATGTCTGAAGGTTCTCAACGATTGCAGAAGTCGGATGAGGCTGAACTGAGGAGAAAGAAGCATTTAGAATGCTGTAACGTGGAATGGTTGACGCGAAATACAAGCCCGGCTCAAAAGCGAGACATAAAAGTGCAAACTGGCGAAAAAGCTCAAACAGAAGCTAAAGATCCGAAACAGAAGCAAGTCAAGACGCCGGAGAGTAATCATGGAGACGGCAGTGCGAGGTCAAAGGAACCGAAGCAGCCAGAATGGTCCGGGAGACCAACAGACGATGTCTCGCGATCAGGATCGCCCGAGATCCGAGCTTCGAGCACCAGAGAACCGAGGCGTTATTCCAGAGAGCGAAGAAACTCTGTTTCAGAGCAAAAGTGTCTCAACGAAAACGGTCACTCGGGGCTTAATCCGCACGATCCGAGTCTTTCTATTCGAAGAACCAAGTCGCTATCATTGAATTCCAAAGGCCACATAGAAGAAAATAAGCCTGGGTTTCTGAGGTCGCTGTTTAGTCGCAAGAAGAAGGCGCCTCCAAGAAAAGAAGCAGCTAAACGCAGTAGTGGTTTTTTTGAAAGATCTAGCCGTCCTGAAGTCCCTAAGCCCCCTAGCACCGCACCATCAGTAACTCAAGAAGAACCGCTTAAGTCAAGCACTGTGCCTAATAATAACGATAATAAGACTTTGCTCACGGATCTTCCAATGCCTCCAATAAGCAGATCTAAAACAGTACCTATTAGTCCAGATGATGAAGATATAAAGTTGGAAAACTTCCTTCAACGCTTTAGAAGTGCAACCATATCATCTGGTAATGCTGTGAGATCACCACCTAGATCCATTCCAGGTAAATTTTCAAGACCAAATACTGCTAAGTCGAAAGCTACTTTTTCCATCGACGAAGACGTGAATTCAATCGACGACACTAGTTCACAGCATCATTTCGACGCCAAGGGAAGGCCAGTTCCAGCGCATCCAACAAAATCAAGTTTTCCGCCGGCATTGAAGAAGTGCAATCGCACACCACGCACAGAAAAATCGAAGCGCACCAGTATTAGCTCTCCCACAACAACCAACAAATTTGGTGCATTTCTCAAAAGAGTGACCTCTCATACCGATGAACAATCCTCGAGGACTTCGCTTATGGACTCGGAATCAGATTCTGAAGATGAAGAAGGCAGTGGAGGTTTTCAAAATGGCGCAAAGATAAACATTCCAGGCCTAGAGGATCTAAGGCCGCTTAGGAAAGTTTCGTTTGCTACAAACACGTATTTTAATGACCCGCCTCAACAAATTTGCAGCAAAAATCCCAGACGGGGTGAGGTCGAGGTCAAGTCTGATGGATCGGTCGTTATTCATAGGTTAACTCCTGAAGAGAAAAGAGAAATATTACAAAGAACAACAGCGGGAATCGTGGTCGGCGGATCTGGCCATTTAAAGCTATTAAGTAACCCCACCGTTAATGAAGATGATGTTAAACGGAACGAAGAAAGAAAGCCTGAGACTTCACTTTCGAGAAACGAGGAAGCCGATTCCACTAGCAATGAAGACTTAAACTGTGTTCAAAACGATGTAGCATCGAGTGCCCAAAAGAATTCTAGTGATCTGGAAAAAGCAACTGCCAATAATGAAGAGGAGGTTTCGGTGAATAAGGCTGCCTCGGAAGTCAAAATCGATAAGCCTATGATAAGTAGACGGTCAGCATGCTCTCTTGATTCTAATGTTTCTATTACTAGCGAAGACAACGATGAGCCATACCCACCAACAGACGTCAAGATTCCTCACGATGTTGTCTACACGCGTTGCTGTCATCTGCGTGAAATTTTGCCAATTCCCGCTATGTTGAAGCAACTCAAAAAGGGATCAACTGACCCTATCCCTCTGCTGCAACTAAGAAACCCTAAACCATCTCTGATCGAAGTCCTTTCATTCAGTGATTTTCTCAGTATTGCACCAGTACTGTGCCTGTCTTTGGATGGTGTCAATCTGAGTACTGAAATGCTGAACGTGATTATGTGCGCCCTCACGCACAAGAAGGAGTTCGAGAAGCTTTCCCTCAGAAATACACCACTAGATCACGACGGATGGAGAATATTGTGCTATTTCGTTTCCGGATGCAAAAGCTTGCGTGCAATCGATTTAACAATGGTTCCGGGCATTTCCATCAACGTTCAAAAACCGTCAAAGTCTTCTCAGAAATCGCGGGTAGTGAGAATGGAATGCTCATTGGAGAATAGAAAGGAAATGAACTGGGACTTGCTCACCGCATCACTCGCTACCAATAGTGGCCTTGAGGAAATCATTCTCTCGGGTGCTACCATGTCTCTTCCACAATTCAAGAACTTCATAGAGCTTGGTTGTATGCAAACTGAAAGGCTCGGGCTTGCCTATAATCAACTCACAGTTGGACAGTGTACCTTACTAGCAGAATGGCTGGTCCGATCTAAAGTGACTGGACTCGATATGGCATTTAACGACTTGCGCGGTAAGCTTGGCCGATTCTCTTCCACTTTAATCGAAAAAATGCAGCATAATAGCAATGTGTTCAAATACCTTTCGCTGAATTCAACAAATCTCGAGGTAGCAGAAGACTCAACATCGAGAAATAATGATGTTTTGAAGTTGATCAGCAGTTTGTGCTATTGTGATAACTTGAAGCTGTTGGATCTTTCCAATAATCCTCAGATTTTCCCTCATATTACGCGACACCTTACAAATTATCTACCGGTATTTGTTAATCTGATCAGACTCCAGTTAGACTTCAATAATATACCTCCAACATCAGTCGTTACTTTGGCTGAGGTTTTACCTATGTGCCAAAAGCTAAGTTACGTCTCGATGCGTGGAACAAAACTAGATTGCGCCGCAGGATGCGCGCTAGCTGCTGCGATGCGAAAAAGCTCATCTCTTTTGACCCTTGATTTAGATTTGGAGGGAGTATCTGAAAAGATTAGAGACAAACTATCTCTCTATGGTATGAGAAATCTGGAGACAGCACTTAACAAGGTCAATGATGTGGGTTCTACGGGAATGTCTGACAACTTGTTATGTTTGCAAAAAGAACTGTCTGATCTTTTGACTGAGAAGCCAGTCAAGAAAGAGGATGTGGCAGCAGCGACTCAAAGCTTTGTCGCAAGGCTAACTAAAGCTCGGAGCTTTATCAACAAAATGACCGAGGATCTGTTCAAGTTGCGAGTGGAGGGCAATTTGACCACAGGTGGCAAGGAGACATTGATCAGATTTTGTTTTATAGATGCCACTTTCGAAAGGGGCTTAAGACTCTTGGCACAGCGGTATGATAACTCTATTTCTTTACCCAGCCATCCTACTGATGATTTAGATTTCGAGGGTAGTGACATGAAGAGAGTGGGCTCTACTGCAACTCTGTCATCGAAGAATTTCTCAGAAAGTGGGCATTCCGCTCTTCTGCCCTTTCACTACCCGCCAATTGAAACCCAAGATCCCGCCGACGACGCTGTGGAGATTAAGGAAGACGGCCCCGATACTCTAGGCTCACATGCTCGAGACCAACTAAAGGAGGAAGGATCTATTTTGCGCAAAACGCATGGTATTAAAGAACACGTAAAAAAGAACAACGAGATTTGCAGATCGCAAATTGACAGCGAAGGGAAACTTGGATTTTCCAACGCGGGAGCTACAACAGACTCGTCGCTCGACCCCCACGCCTTGAAAAAAGCCGTTTCCGAGCTTGACAGCGACGAGATAAAGGACTTTATTCTTACAAATGACATCTCGTCGGTCGCTGAACTGCTAGAAGAATTGCGGCGCCGCGGCGTGAATCTAAACGATATTTTCAAAAAACGGCATGAGCAGTGTGCCTCTGGTACTCTCGGAGGGGTTTTATCCGATGGCTCAGTCTCCGATGTTAAGAAATCCAAAACTGTTACCGGAGTCCAAGCAAATCTTCAGGACGAAGTGGCTCGAAAAGAAAAAGGCAGTTCGAGTGACTCCGAAACTGATACAGACATCAGCAACGAAGGTGAGGCAATCGATCGCGTCTACGATGAAGTACTCGACAACATTGAGCGCGTCAGAACAAACAGTCACGTATAAAAAGGAAAAGTTATGTGAAGATTATAAGTGTGCGCGTAGAGAAGCCCGGATCAATTAACTCTACGCTGTGGCCGGTAGCAGGCTCTCTGCAATCGATTCAGAAACATAACAGACCAGTGATTCGAACTCTTTATCGTGTCATCTCAAGTTACCCAGCTTAAATTTATACAGCATTATATACTAAGGCGATTGATGGCATCTCCAAAATCAAATTTTCAGAAGTAGGAGCGTGTATAATACAGAAAACAGATCAATCAGACGCTGATCGCTGGTGATTATAGCGCTTTCAAACGACCTAGTACGTATATCCCTATCAATCTTATTAAGGAAAACAATCCTAGATAATTTCAGTGTTCTAACCATCATCAATGGCAGTGAGTTTCCAGTTCAACCTTAACAATAACAATAACGCGAACGGCACAACGGGAGCTGCCTCGCCGTTTGGTAGCACCAGTACGCCGTCAAAACCCGGTGAAAGCCAAAAGCCTGTTTTTGGAGGCTTCGGCCAAAACGCAGCCCAACCCGCACAGAATGCCGGCAGTCTTTTCGGGAAGCCAGCCCAGGGCACAGCTTCTGCGTCAGGAACCGTCGCTCCCTCGAGCCAACCATTTGGTTCTCTCGGAGCCAAGCCCGCCTCTTTTGGCCTCTCAGCAAGCTCAGCCGCACCAAGTGGACAGAATGCTTCAAGCCCTTTCAATTTCTCAAAGCCTGTAGATTCCACTAAGGAGCAAAATCAAACATCTGCATTCTCATTCAACGGTGCAGCAAGTGGTCAAAGTAATACACCTATGTTTGGTGGTAGTAACGCTGGCAATACTGCGTCTCCCTTTGGGCTCGGGGCCACAAAACCAGAAGATTCTTCTCAGAAATCAACAATAGGATTCGGGAGCTCAGAAACGAAAAATGGCTCGAATCCTGCATTTTCCTTTGGCGCCAGCAACAACGCAAACTCTAATACAATTGATAATGGTAACAAAGGTGGTCCTAAGCCTTTTTCATTTGGGGGTACCGCAAGTAACGATGCGTCCAAACCCAGTTTTTCTTTCGGAAACGCGACAAATAACTCTGCTCCAAAGCCAGCGTTTGGAAGCTTATCTAACACATCACAACCTTCCACTAGCAATGGCAGTAATACAGAAGCTAAAGCTGTACCTTCTTTTGGCAGCATTGCCGAAAACAAAAATGAGCAGAAGCCTAGCATAAGTTTTGGTGACTCGCTTGGTAATAAGGGAGATAGCAAACCTGCCTCGACCTTCAGCTTCGGAGCCATGGGAAAGAACGATGCAGCGAAGCCCTCGGCCATGGGCTTAAACCCACCAGCCGCAGAAGTGAAGAATGACAACAAACCCGCTTTTAACATCAATACATCTAATGTGGACAAAAAAGAAGAAGCCAAACCAGCCTTCACTTTCGGTGGTGGAGCTGCAAAACAAGACGACAATAAAAGTGGAAGCCTCTTCACCAGTACACAACAAAATGACGCTAAAGCTGTTCCATCATTTAGCCTACCAACCGAAAAAAAGGATACTTCGAGCCCGCTTTTTGGTCAAAAGGCTGATGGCGAGACTGTCAAAAAACCTGTCGCCACTCAAGATGAGAAAGAAAGTTCAAAACCTGCTTTTTCCTTTGGGTCAAAGACTGCAGCTAGTAATCCTACAACGAAAGGTTTCAGCTTTGGAAGCGCAACGACATCCAATGCCGACTCAAAACCTGCTGATACTAAACAAGCATTTACGTTTGGAGGCTCGAGTGACCCGAAAAAAGAAGAAAAGCCTAGTGGCAATCTAACGTTCGGCAAAAAGCATTCTGCTGATGATAAGCCGGAAGAAAATTCCTTCAAGGTTAACTTTGCAGCAGGTGCGACCGCGAATGAAAAGTCCAGTGTGGGGGGGTTTTCATTAGGTCAAGCGAAAAGCGGCGACACGTCGTCGAAGCCTGGAGCCTTCTCATTCGGATCCAACAACGCAAATAAAGAAACTCCGGTATCATCTGGCTTAAAGCTAGGTGACAAGAAAGTTAGCGAACCCTCGACTTCGAAACCTGGTGGCTTCTCATTTGGAGCTAGTAAAGAAACCGAAAAGAAGGAAGGCAAGCTCAATGAGACAACCCCATCGGCGACAACTTTAGACTCTCAGAAATCTGTTAACATTCAACCGGTTTCACTGGACAACAAAACACTTGACGATCTTGTCACGAAGTGGACATCTCAGTTAGGAGGGTCAGCCGATCATTTCAAGACATATGCGCAGAAGGTGAAGGAATGGGATCAAATTTTGATGGTGGGCGGTGAACATATCGGGCAGCTCTATTCAGAAATGCTTATGGCGGAACAAACTCAGAGCAGAGTTGACCAATCACTTCAGTACATCGAGAGGCAACAAAGCGAACTGGAAACATTTTTGGATAACTATGAAAAAAAAGCAGAATCTTTGCTTTCTGGGGTCTTTTCTTCTTCATCTGGATCTTCAGGTAACGTAAATGATCAGAAGAGACAACAAGCATATCAAACAGCCGAGATTTTAGATGACAACATCACGTCTTTGTCTATGAACTTGTCTTCGCTGATAACAGAAATCAACGGAGTAAGCGATACGTTCAATAGAGCTACCAACCTGAGTGTTACAAATGAAGACGAGAACACACAGTTGATTAAACTTTTGAACTCCCATCTAGATGCATTGAAGTCGTTAGACAATAGCTCTGAACTCGTGGAGCACAAAATAAGGTCTCTTTAGATATGTCATTCTATAAATTATACTTTTGATGCACAAAGAGGGGGCTTTTGAGACTATAGCACACCGGGTCCTAAGGTCCCCCACTGTAACCTGTTAATGTACAAAGCAATACCACAAGTTTGACAAGTTGCTGCAAACCATCGATATTGGCGTCTTCTGATCGTACCGCTTCGCTGTCCTCGACCAAAGCATCTCGTTTCAGAACACCCTGGACCAATCCTCGGAAGTGAGCCAATAAAGAACGAGTCTTTTTGACCACAGGTTTGTTTGCGCTTCCCATACTCAGAATGATAGACGCCATTAATTGGAAGACAGGCACAATTATTTCGAAGAGTGAAAGTCCACAAGCATCTTTGCTTAGAGATAAGGAATTATCGAGACTTAGGCTTACGTGAAGAGGCTCTGCATGATGAACATTAACCTCGCTGAATGTGAGATCTAGCCCAAGATCAGGATCCAGTTGCAAAAAGCCGCAAGATTCGATAACATGAAAAATCTCGTTTTCAACCAATGCCTGCGCACCTGCTCGAGTCTCGGCCACGCGAATAAGGAAATGCACTGTCGACTTGAATGCCGTGAGTTCGTATAGTAGGCTGTCCAAAGTCATGCCCTCCAGCCCTGATTTTAAAAAGTCATCAGTAGCTTTCATAGAGTGTCCAATCAGTAGAAGCATATTCGTCTTAACCAAGCTTTCCAGAATGAAATTTACTTTGTTCAACCCAGAAATCTGTACCAGTGAGTCCAAGAGAATTATTCCCGTAATTCTGGAGGATCCCTCGCCCGAAATAGCGTCATTGCAGATCACCTCTACCAACCTTTCGCTTGTCATTTTCAGAGTTTGGAAGACCTGTTTAGCTGCATTGTGGTCTTTCAGTACGCTTAAAAGGAAACGATTAGCCAGGACGTAAAAGTCTGATCTCAGGGAGAGCGTTGATAACGGAGACCTGATTCCGTTAATACAAGCCATAAAAAGTGCTAGTAGTCTGCCATCAACAGATTTCTCTTTCGTGTGCAGATGGTGATCCTTGTGATATATATCGTAAAGGAAAACACACAGCGACACCACTTCTTCAGAATACGCGACGTCGAGTTCAACATAGTCGTTGATTTTCGGTACGATGGCTTCAAATAATTCGAGGATAAAGTTAGAGCGAGCCTCCTGTGCTAATCGGCCATCTAACACAACTATTTGGATCAATTGAACCCAAGAATGAAGAACTGACAACTGAGAGGATTTGAACTGATTGAAAGCATGTATGTTTGTCAAGGATTCTTTAATTCGTGTGGCTTCGCTCTGAGTAGTTTTTAGTAATGCCTTTATATCTGATATTGTCGAGTCGGGCAGCGCAATAGGAAGACACTTACTCAATGATTGAGTTCTTAATTGAATCAAAGAGTTCAATTGATAAATGTCAAAAACAGCTTCGCTATTCGCTAGTCCTTCTTCAACTTTTAACTCAGTCAAGTCCAAACCAGCACATAATGTTAAACTTTTCAGATTTTCGCTAGATGGAGGCCTTACATCGAAATTCAAAACGTCTAGGAAGGAAAACATGCGCGGCGGCTGCATAACGTTGGAAATGAGTAAATCAATTCTTGAGCTAATTTTCGCCCTGAGTACCTGTCCGCTCAATCTGTGGATGTCCAAGCTTAGATATTGCAAAAAATATCCTCTGTACCTCAGAAATGACAAGAATGCTCCACAAGAACTTTGTTTGGTAAACCCGAGCAGATGCTTATTAGTAGTCTGACAAAAGCGCTCCCCGGACCATTTAGTACTGGCACCTACCTTGGGGTCTAATGCTAGTTGCTTCTCAAACAGATCCAGGTCGCTAAGATGTCTAAGCATCGATGTAGATGTGAGTGCATTGCGGCACAACTTGAGTAAAATCTCCATCGAAAAGGAAGCTATCTGTGTAGGAGCATGATCTATGTTCTCTGATGTCATTACTTCCAACGAGGAGTGTAAAAGATAAATAACTGAATCCAAAACAGAGTTCCCAGCCATTATAAAGGTTCCGAGTTCTGGGCCCAACGAGACCGTGCTCCCAACAAAGAATCCCAACAAAAAATGTGCGACCGAAGGTTGTTTATCTGTGTAAGAAAGATTGTGCGACAGGAACTTCAGAATGTTAAGCTTCAATTCTAGACTTTTCTCGTTGATAATTGGTGCTCTCAGTTGATAGATGAATGCTTCCTTTACTCGGGCAGACTCGTCAACCGAATCAAAAAGGCTCAAAAGTTTGTCTTTGACTATTGCTTGATTATCTCTTCCTTTCATTTCCGATGATAGCTTCTCTAAAATTTGCAATGATTGAGATGCTATCGAGTAATCTTCAAGTCCAACATAAAGACCAAAATGTGCGATTATAGGCAGATCAAAGAAAATGGCATCATAAAGTGATTTCAATCCGTGCAGTCCAAAATCTTTGGGGAGAAAATAACCCTCTTTGGAGTTCTTTTTGACAATTGGACATAACTCTTCAACGTAGGTCTCTTGATTATTCAAGGCTTCGATGATTATGCCTACTGCAAGACGCAGTAGCTTTTGCGATTCATTGGCACCATGCGCTGTGCAGCTTAAGTCATCAACACCTAAAGAGGCGTTATCAAGTACTACCTTAAAGATATCACCTTCAAAAAGATAGTTGATCACGGCTGTGGCGGGAGACTCCTGGACATAGGCAAAAAAGTCATCAGTGACTACCAGATCATTCAAGTTGGATCCAGCAGGTATCGAATTTAAGATAACACTATACTCAAAGGAGCGTAGTGCATTGTCTATGATCTGGAGAATTGGAACTTGTATGGCAGCTCTTTCTTTCAGATCTTTCAACTGACAAGACTGAACTAAAACTTTGTGGAAAATATAATCGAAGTAAGGCCAAACCCCTGTATTCCTATAGCCGTGGCCTAGTTTGGTGGGGAAAGGAAGAAGTCCAAACTCAAGATAGCCATCGACGCCCTTCGTGCATACTTTTAGGAGCTTTTGAACTAATTGTAGGAAACCAGTTACATCTGAAAAACACGTTAAAACGCTTTCAAAAGCTTCTTGGTATGAACTTTGAGCGATTGTTAGTTTGAAGCCTTTGAAGATCCAGGAGTCAATATAGGACCAGAATCCACTTCTTTCGTTTTCATTCTGCGGGACAAGATTGCTCAAAACCTTGAGAGCTGCACCCACCAGAGGTGTATTGACTTTAACAAATTCGAATAGAATGTCTGTGAACAATGCAGAAAATTGTGATTTGGTATCTTCTTCCAAATCATGAGAAACGCATCCAATCAATGTGTACAAAGATGACAAAAGAATTATGGCTTCTTCGTTGAGTCCATTTGTCAGAGCAATTGCTGCAGTCTCTTGTTCACCTTTTTCCTTCTGCTGGCTATCTTGCAGTTTCCTCTCTAGCTCCGAAATCTTGAAAATATAATCACTTATGATTTGCGCAATATTGCTCCACGAAAAGTTAGGATTAATATTAACATAATGGTAGACATTGAGCGAGTTCGTAGGGCCAAACGAAAGACTGGATAGCATAAGAAAAACGCATGAGCGCATTAAAGTGTCACTACACTTCATAGCCCATTCTATGAAGCCATAAGCGTTGGATTCTTTGTCTTGCCAGAAAATAGCGCAGTAATCCTGTCTGAATGCGTAAAAGTAATGAATTGTCAGAAAGAATCTTTCCAGGTCAGCCTTTGCAGAAATTTCATCTAGAAACAAGTCTTCGCCAGAAAGGAGAGAATCTTCTTCGGCGTCTTTCATTTTGGTCAAGAGGTAGGCGCAATCTGTTATTACCACCTGCAACAATTGGTTGAATGCAAAAAGGAAAAACGACTGGGCTTGTTGAGATAAAGTAACATATTCAAATACCGTCTCTCTTGAACTTTTTTCAGATGATAGCTGATCGCTGTCAATCAGCTGCCCCGGCCGTAGCCTTGGTATGTGCCTTTCCAATAGTGATCTGATGTCGTAGAAAAGTTCTATGCTGCCATCCTTTTCCAGCTCTGAAGTGTCGGCGGCAAACGCCATAAGCTGTTCGATGGCTCCCAGATCAACTGCCATGGTCATAGGTTCATCTACGGCCGTAGCAAAGTCAAATGAAGTGGCTCTGGTAGCTGGCGAGGCCTTGCACCAGCCTATAAAGAATGCTAAAAACGCGAAAATGAGCGAAACTTTAACTGGCTGGGTGTAAATAGTTTCACGGTGAAGATCTGCAACGAACTGCTTGTGAATATCCCGTACGTCATTATCGGGAAGCAGATGCAACTGAGAGAAAGCATGCAAAATTGCGGGAAGGAAGTAAATGATGAAAAAATCGCTGGAATCCATAGCAGAGACCCGGTCCACCAGCTCTAGTAACCTGTCCTTTGTCATTAAAGCTCCGTTTTTAACAAGGCCGTAAAGCACTTGGCTCAGTGTGTCATATTCTGTTAAAAGAAAATCTCGTCTGAAGCGCACGTTGTGTTTAGCGAAGGCATCGTAATTCTCTAATATTCTAGTTTTGTAAACTAGCTGCTTGATTTCCTCTAACTGATTCTCGATCTGCCCAAACGCAGAAATGATGTTTTTGACCAATTCGCCATCTGATACAAGGTCGATGTAAACTTTATCCGTTGAAGAGCAGCAGTTCGTGATGAAAGAAACAATTTGCAAGATATATTGCCGCCTCATGTAGTAGGCCACTTTGGCATCGTTCACCAAAGAGACCTCCGAGTTTTCGTCTTCGGACTCGACATCACAATTCTGCAACATGAGTTCCGCTGTTACCACCTCGTCGAGATTCAGTTCGTCCGACAGTATTATCGCAGCTATTATGAATTCTCTGTTAACTCTGTAAGAATCGCCTGAAGAAAGCTTGATTTCACCCTTCTCCAATTGACTTCTGCTGGCACTGTTCTTTGTTTTCCCATTGAGGACGTTCAGAGTCTTCAAGTCGGGTAGTATCCTTTCGTAGTCCGAGTACTTGAAAGAGTCTAGCTCGATTGAGTTGTAAACCGCATCGAATGGTGCAGTAGCCCATTCTATCATCTTGTGTAGCGCTGAATGCTTGATGTTTTTTGTCGCGTGGGTGAACTGAATTTTTGATTGTTTTTGATCCTATAGCACATAATACACTAATAACGTATACAATGCTTTGAAAGACAGGAGCATAATGAAAGTAAGGCCACCGTAAATGCGTATGATTCTCAAGCCCTTCTCGATGCCATCTCTTCGCAATTGTAATAGTTGCTTATGTCACTGTGGTCAAAACTTAACTCCAGTAGCGTTGAGCTCGCTCTCCTTCATCCTTCAGCAATTCTGAGATACGTGACACATTTTAGAGAGACTATAGCCTGTTTGTCAAATAAGTAGACTATCAGAATCCGCGGAGCAAATTTTAGATTGATGTTTTCGGTACCCGCAAAATCAAACGGGTGCTTTCTACGGACACTACGAACAATAGGCATTCTAATGAATTAGCCGCCGTTAAAAAAACATGATATGAACGACAGAAAGTTCGGAACAAAGCACAGAAACAAAACCGCTTGCCGATTCAACAGTTGAGGTTATTAAAATCTTGGATGGAGATCTGTTCCTGAAGCTTCAAGGGATATCATTTCCTGAACAACGATAATTTTCAATGCTGAAAGAACGACAAATATAAGTTAATCTTGAGAAAACGAAGACAAAAAAATAAAAGCACTCACGGTGGGGGTCGAACCCACAATCTTCTGATTAGAAGTCAGACGCGTTGCCATTACGCCACGCAAGCATTTGATGAGTTCCATTGGCAGTGGCACAGTTTATATAATTTAGAGACAATCACGCTCTCGGTTCTTTATGGCCATTTTCTTTGGATTTAGGTAAACTCGTAGGGTGTTATAGTAGTAGCGCTGTAAAGAAAGATCGTTCGGGCCTTCACAGCTAGAGCTTCTTTTGCCCTGACTTTCAATACTACTGGTCGGCTTTCTTGTGTGACAATTGATTAGTGTTATGAATAGATTTGCCCTTTTGACATTGTTGTTTGTCTATTACCTTGTCTGGCTCTTACTCCCGATCTTTCAGCTTGAAAATACAATTGTGGGGTTCCCACTGCCGTCTATATATGCGGTTATTTTGCCTATACTCCTACTACTAGCAGGCTTGTTTCTAGTAGTGTCGTTTCTAGGCATGCTAGTAGTTAGCGCCAAGGACTCTACAGAAAAAGCAGTGAAACGAAAAAGCGTGCATGCCTTCTAGTGGCTTAGTTCACGGACCTTTCGTCAATCCAGCATTCCCATTTATCAATTTGACTTTTCAAGACGCTCCCGTCAAGGGCGTCGATGTTTCCGTCTAAGGCGTCAAATTTGAAATCATGGCCCCCTTGGAACTCCAGTGAGTTAGGGTTGGACTCATCCTCATCATGCCCACTTAGATTCTTATCAGGTTTCTTCACAGCACTCAAAGATTTGGCTTTTCTTTCGATTATTTTGCCAATTTCCTTTTCCAGCGCATCTCGGATTTTCAGTGGAGGCCTTGAGCTGAACGACTCCGACTTGTTGCACGCGATCATGACGTCAACACCCTCTGGAAATCTTTCTGTAAGCATCAAGATCTCGTAGAAGAACTCTGCAGTCTCTGTGAGCTTTTGTGGATCTATCGTGGAATCGACAACGAATATCAAACCTTTCAAATACGTGGACTCCTTCAAGGTGTCAAAGAGACGGTACCGTAATTTGACGTGCCCTGGAAATTCCATAAGCTTGAATTTGAAGCTTTTGACGTTTGAAGGAAGCATGTAATCTTCTGCAACGTTGGGAACTTGAGACATCACAGTGGGTTTAAACGAATCTGTGGTCAGCTATGAGTAATAATATAGTTAGCAAAAGAAGAGAATTTCGTCTTCAAGGTATCAGTAACCCTGGTGGAATCACATACCATGTTAAACAAGCTCGTCTTTCCACTTCCACTGGGACCAGCGATTATGAACGTTGGATCCCTGTTGAGCACCCTGTGGCCAGGAATCACATTCGCAGCGTTTTTATGCACAATCAAAAATAGCGCTGTACTAATCAGGATGATCAACAAAGACACTAAAACCGCATTGCTTAGTTCAAACATTATGGATAGACGTTGTTGTGTCAATAGATTTTGACTGATCAAGACTTGGCGATGCAAAATGGGCTATTTGATTATGAAAAATCACTGAACACGCATCTGTTGAAAAATATTGAATGCGCTAAAAATGAGCGATGAGGTACAATACTACTCAGGAACTAAACCACAATAGCAGCCTATTCTACCTTTGAATGTTGACATTAAGCACTAGGGCAGCCTTTTTGCCTGCAAGTTTTTTTTGTCGCTCTAAAAGGATATACTCGTCGTTTTCTCGGCGGGATCTGGATTCATTCAATGTTGAAGGGCAGTCTACGACTAACGCTGGGTCTGAACCTCGGTTCGGTCATGTTGTAGCTGATGAACGAAACGAGCCAGGCTCTGTAGTTTCAAGAGAAGAAATGCTGCAGAGGCAGTCACCAAGTCCATTTCGTAACAACTCTGGTGAGCCTCTGCAAGGCGCAAATGCCAAAGAATCAAGACTTCTACCAGAGGCTTTGAAAGGACGGGCTCCCAGAGACCAGATTCAACTCAATCCTAGTGTTTCGGAAGCAATCAGGAACAATATTTTGAGTTTACACATTCCTGGTAATTTGAGAAGATCGGCTGGTAACAAGTTCGTTGAACTAAAGCAAAGTAGGCTACATCGGTTGACACGAACAAAAATGGAAGTTGATGCTCACGTTGCTTCCATATTCTTACAAAACTACGGTTCGATTTTTCAGAGTTTAAGCGAGTTAAGCAAACGGCTAGGGAACAAGTTCTGTCCCGATCGTGTTTTAGATGTTGGCTATGGTCCTGCCACTGGTATTGTGGCATTGAATGATTTGTTGGGCGATGAATATCGTCCCAGCGTGAAGGAAGCAGTTATTTTAGGACACGCTGAAATGCAGAAAAGAGCAAAGATTATATTAAGTCGACAGCTCAATGAGGTTCCAGACAAGACTCCCACTGACGCCGAAGAAACATCTCACGCAGACCAGATTGATGACCGCGATGATTTAGTAGGAGAGGTGATGACCAAGAAAATCAATATTAGAACGAAACTGCGGGATCAAGTTCCAGGCTCTCAGCAATACGATTTGATAATAGTAACGCATCAACTACTGAAAACAGAAGAGAAATTCCCCATTGAAGTCGACAGCAATATTGAACACTTTTTAAAACTTCTTGCTCCTGGTGGGCATATTATTGTTATAGAGCGTGGTAATCCAATGGGGTTTGAAAGTATTGCAAGAGCTAGGCAGGTAGCAATACGGCCAGAGAATTTCCCCGACGAGCATGGGAAGATACCAAGGCCCTGGGGTAAGGGTTACTCGGAGCAGAAAGATTCTGTCAGCAATAAAACATCTAAAGTGTCAAGTATTGAGCTTCACCAAGAAGTAAACGACAAATCCCTAGATAGCAAGGCAGAAGATTTGGAATTTGAAGATGAACCAATGGATGCGGTGAATTCGCAAACTAAGATTGAAAACTATCATCTTAAAGTAATTGCGCCTTGTCCTCATCACCGTAAGTGTCCATTGCAAATTGGAAAACCTCAATATTATGAGTACGGAGAAGGAAAAGACCTTAAATTCTGTAACTTTCAAAAGTCTGTTTTGAGGCCGAAATATGCAATAGAATTGAAAAAGGGAAGGACGTTGGCGACTCCTTGGCAGAATAACCTAGAGCCGGTTGGAATAAAGGGCATGGCCAAACCAGGTACTGGTAGACCCCAAGGGAGAAACTTCGAAGTTTTGAATTATTCTTACTTGATAATGGAAAGGTCGCCAACCGACTCGAAGACTATTGAGCAAATAGCACAAGAAAGGCTTGAACAAAGAGGGGAGTTCAAAGTCGGTTCGTTAGGAGACAATACTCCAAACACTTGGCCAAGGATTATAAAGCAACCTCTGAAACGGAAGGGGCATGTGGTGATGGATTTATGTGGAGCTTCTGGGTCGATTGAAAAATGGACCGTACCAAAATCTTTCTCTAAAGAAATCTACCATGATGCTAGAAAGGCGATGAAGGGGGACTTATGGGGACTTGACGCCAAAACTAAGACAGCAGGGATGGGGGGATTGAACGTAACAAAATTGGAGCAAGTGGAGCAAGAAAAGATTCGTGAAGCAAGGCGACAACTGAAACGTAAAGACCGAGAACTGAAGCAAGCAGTAAACGAATTAGATTATGGCCACCCCGTATCCTCGGAAGAAGGTGTTGACGTATTGGCTGCCATGTATGGAAGTGAATTTGACAGGCAAAAGAAGGAATAGTAGAGGCAATATTATAATTGTAGAACAGAACGTGTAAATATATAAAAGAAGCATTAATGGGCATAAAACAGCATTTATAATCCGTAGGCATATACAGTCGAAATATGTATCATGTGTAACCCTGAAGCAAAGTTGATGGGGTATCCCAATTTCAATGCTTGTGACACTTTTTGAAGATTGTGTGATTACCAAACAGTTCTCTTTGATAATGACTAGACTACATCAGAACTTGCGTATAAAAACTAAAAATGTTGTATTGTAGTGTGGAAGTAGGGTTGTTTTGCGTTGTGATTGTGATTGTGATTGTGCATTATGAGTTGACAAAGGAAACGATCGATCGAGCGTTTTATTAATTTCGTTCGTCAATTCGCTAGTTTGCTCGGCTCGCTAGCTCGCTTACTTTCTTCTGAAAGAGGTACCTTCAGACAACTTGGCCTTACCACCGGTTGGGGTGCACAAAACAGTGGCACAAGACTCGCAAGTGACCGCAGTTTGGGCGTGGGAGAACACAGTAGTGATGTTCAAACAGCCGGGGCACTTGACATCCAAGAAGTAGGATCTTGGGCCCTGAACGAGGGTCTTTAACTTGTGCTTTCTGGCCTCAGAGGCTGGGGTTGGGTGCAGCAAATCTTGAACTAAAACCTGTAAGGAGAAAAATGGTTAGTAACGGGCTAAAAGAAGGAGGGACACGGAAAACGGAAGAAAGTGGGTGACGTGGGCGACGGCGCGGGGGAGCGTCAAACGAGCAGAGCAAAGCCATGGCAGCAGACCGATCACAGTCTCGGCAGCACGGCCAGTACACCCAACAACTGTTGAGCATTACGACCGGCGAATACCTTGGTTTCCTGCTCTTTCTCGAGCCTCGATCTTAACATCCGGGCTCTATCTCTGCTGCTTGCTTCTGTCTTGTTCTTGCTTGTGCTTGTGCTCTTCTTGCTTTGCCACCGGTGTCTTTGTCCCTGTATTGTTGTTCGTCTGTTCGTCTGTTCATCTGTTTCTCAGCTCTGTGCTCATCCTGGTGGTCGCTTGTCTCTCATGTTCGTTCCGGTTTCCTCATCGTGTTGTCGTTATTGTCGTCTTCAAACATACCATGATGCGTTCTGTATGTGTATGGTGTTATCGATCCAACGTTATGCTAGAGCCAAAGAAACCTTCAAGTCTATATACCACCTTGGAGCTGCGACTAGCCATGGCTTTTTTTTTCACGATTTGCCAAAAGAAAGACCCAGAGACATTGAGACCGCTGAAAAATAAAAGGACGCAAAAAATATTTCGATATTTTTTTATTTTTCAAAGAAAAAGTCGAAATGTGAAATTTAAGGATGTTTGGGTGTTGGGAGCAGTCCAAGGACAGAGATGGAAGGCGGCAGTCTGACAACGGGGACTAGAGAGACTGGAGTACTACAGCAGTTGTGGTGCAACAGGCGTAGTGAGACTGTGGTGTTGAAACCATTGTAGCACTCTAACTTTATTGAAGAAACAAGATGGTCGTACTGTTACAACCGCAGTACTATGGAAAGAGTTAATTAGTAAGACTGTAGTGCTATAACAGTTTTAGCAGTGTGCCATATGCGAGTAGATATGATTGTAGCACTCTCGCAATTAGCACTCTCGCAATTAGCGCTATGACAATTGGCACTCTCACAATGAGCACTCTCGCAATTGGCACTATAATAAGTTAGCACTCTCACAATCAGCACTCTCGCAATTAGCGCCCTCACTATCAGCACTCGCACAGTTGGGACCAGACAAGCTTTTAGCGCATAGCCTATTGCCATATATCGCCAAGCCCAGAACTACGACATTCTAGTACAAAGTGACAAAGGTGGACATCGATGTTCAGTAGACGTACGGTCCAAAATCATTTGGCCGAGGAAAGAATGAACATTTCTCCTATACTCTTCATGGTATCCTCTTTGCTCAAAGATACTTTGCCACTGGAGGCAATCTGCTGAGGAATATCTTGAGGAGGCTGATACATTAAACACAGGCCTACAACAACTCTCGGCATGCAAATATATATTGACACCCTATTCTCGACGTCGAGGTCCTTCTCTTTACATCTTGAAACACTACAGAGCCATCAACAAGATGCCAGATCCTAATACTAATTATTACACACACCATGAACGACCAGTGCAGCGAGCTACTGACCCAGACATGCCTCAATAACACGATTGTCGCACTACAGTAATCTAAGCATTAGATAGTAGTTTTGAAAAGATTTTAAAAGAGGTACGCAATGGCCCCGGCGTCTGGTAGTTGCCGCGAATCACCGAGAGCACTTGCAAGTCCATGTGTCACCTTCGACGGCATAGTTGCAAACTTCAAGTATTCCCTGCCATACGTATAGAACAAGCTCAATGCAGCAGAAGTTGTGTTGTAAATCTACACGTTAGCGTGTCCTGAACTTTCTTCTTTTTTCATTTCATCTTTAATGTTTTAATGCGTTTTACTAACTTTTCTCTCTCCAGCAACAGTTTAAAATCGTCATGAACTAACCCCACCAAATAAATTCATTAGCATAGCTGTTTAACATCACTTTATTCCCATATAAACCTTGAAAATTCGTTGCTCAAAACTAAAAACCTAATTATAACCTATATGTACCCTAGCGCTATTTGCGCTTGTCTATCAAAATTGAGTGCCCAATGGGCAAATGCCAAATATAAGGGCATTAATTAATCGCAGATAAAATGATAATCTTGCCGTTTATCAATGTATCTATCCTGCGCACTGGCGGAACTTCTCAACAAATAACGCATCCGCAGGAGAATGCACGTTTGTTAGTTTCCGATTTTTGCGGCAGTGCCATTTGACGAGAGCGCTCTTTCCGCGAGTGTGAGTATTGGGAATATTTCTCCGTATCTGCTGACTCGGGTGTTACCGAAGTTTGAGGAGATTCATCAAGAGCGATCTTTGTAGTTTGGTTGGAATCGTCACGAGGAGCCATGAAGCTTGGCGCTTTATCAAATGTAGCTAGTTTCTCAGAAAGCCCGCATTGTGTGATTTCATCATCCTTAAGTTTACGCTGATCTCTCAGCATCTTCTTGTGGGCTTCGATGTCTCCAAGGATACGGTAAAACGATTCGTGGATACCGTAATCCTCAAACGCGGACACTTCAAAAAAAGTTTCGTCCATGTGCAGTTGTAGCTCATCACATAATTCCGCGACTTGTCGTAGTTCCACTTCCCTTTCCTCATGAAACACATCCGACTTCATAGCGCAAATCACAATGGGCACATCGTCTCCTCGTATTTTCCAAATTTGACGATACAACAACCGAACATATTCCAAAGACTCTGCGCGTGTGACATCGAAACACAACATGAAACCGTCTGTTTGATTGATCTGGAGAGTGGCCAGTTCCGAATAATCTGCTTGTTCAAAATCGGCGCCCTCCAGCACCTCGACGTCTAGAATATCGTTCCGTCGACTTTGCGGAATTGGCTCCCGATCTCCGAGGGAGTCAGAGAGCCCAGTTTCGCAAAACTCGACTACGTTACTGAGCAAATGCAGCTGCAGTTTGGAGTACTCGTTGTAATTGCTAGATCCCGTGAGTGCTGGGTAATAGATGCTACGATGGTAAATGTCTTCCACCGTACTTATGTCAGGACACTTCAGTAGAGGGAGACCGCCATGACACCAGCGCGCCGTGAAAGAGGTCTTGCCACAGCCTCGGTCGCCGATCACCGCTATCCGGGACGTGGTTAGGTCCTGATCACGTGGTATGCCCTGTGCAAGCTGATCAAGCGCGTACAACAGATGGGGCATGAATAAAAGTTTTAACTGCCAAAGTGTGCTGTGTGGTGCGAGGACTTTGTGTGCTGAGCCAACTAATTTGCCCTTCCCTTCAATGTCTTCCCTCTAATGTTCCATTATTTGTAGTGCCGGGGAATTTTCACTGCGAAAATTTAATCTCAGATTATGAGCAAAGAAATCAATGACTTGCACACATTTTGTGCCATAGCCGTTGAATTATGCAGCGTATCTCCTTCTTTTGTTATCGTTCCTTGCTTTCGACCCGCTCGCTACCTGCAACACTGCTATTTTCTATCCGGCGTACTTACTACCGTCTGAGCTGCATCTGCTTGTTTTCCGCATCTTCTTCTGCTTGGTTGTGTCGATCGACGGATGCCTTGAGCTTCTGACCACCCTGTAGTAAAAGAAACTAGGTGCATGATGAGAACAGCTTCGAGAAATATTCTTCGAGAGAAAAAATTCTTTGCATTATAGAAAAATTCTTTGCATCGGAAAAATTCTGCGCAGCGATTCTTGGAAGATAAGCCCTGAAGTTAGTCAAAAAAAACGAACATCCTACATTGCATGGAAGGACTTTCCAGCAGGTGAAGGGAAGGCTTCCATTGAGAGAATCGGATGAGAGTACAGAATCTGTGTAAACAACCCGCTTCGTATAATGCTTTAGAAAACGTGGACAGCTGTTGTTTTTCCACTTGGCTGAAGTGGGGGGGGGGGGGGGTTGGTTTTGTTGCCGTTCGTTCACCATTATGATTAACCTGTGCATGGAGCTCTCTGGCGATGGGATGTCGAGCGGGTCGGGTCGCGTTTCTTTTTAGGCGAGAACCGGCTGATTATTTTGATGTGCGACGCTCGCACATAAGCATTCACTCCCAGTCATTTGCTGACATAAGGACTCTCGTTTGGATGTCAAAGTCGGAGTTGTCAGTCTGCGGGCCCACTGTCCCGTCCGGAAAGCACGCAAACAGACAGCGGTCAATCCTCACCTGTTTGAGGTTGGGGCTTGCCCGTGCGAGAGCGATTGCGACGTGGATTACTCGATACCAGTTGTCCAGCACTCCGGCATGAACCACTTGCAGCGCCATGTGCTGGGGCCCACCTGCTGCTTTTCCGACCAGGTCTAGTTTTTCTAGGCCGTGCAGCTTGCCGATCAGTTCGCTTCCGGTCGGATGCAGCGAATCTCCGTGCAGTCGCAGGCTGCGCAGCTGCTGGCACCGCTGCAGCTGTAGCAGTACCCCACCGGGGATTCTTTTGGGCAACTCGTAAAACTTGAAGTCTTGGTGCGCGATTAGAGAAAGCTTTCGCAGCGTCCCTGCATGCATGAGGATGGAATCCATGTATTTTTGGGCCAGCACTCCCCAATTGGGCCAAAGTGCGAGCTTATTGTCATCCCAATGTACCGTTATGTCCAGTTCCCACAGCGAAACTTGGGCGTCCCTCTTGAGCTGAGAAATGAAAACATGCACGGAGTCCTTAATTGGCTCTCGAAAATCCAGCCTAAGTTTTTGCAAGTTGCGCAGATATGGGGCAAGCCCGCATAGAAAACTTGGTTGCATGTATTCCAAAGCCAAGCTAGTGAAGTCCGAGACTTCGTAATCTACCTCGGGTATCAATTGGACCTCTTGGACGTCGGAAAGGGCTAGAAGCGTCAACTTACTTAGGTCAATGCCTTGCACTACCCGTGTGCTATCTTCTGGTACTATGTTTACGGCTGCAATCTCCAAATTGCGCAAGCTTAGTAATTTGAAGTTCCGGTCGACTATCGGGTCTAAGAATTTCCAGAAATCCAAATCCATTTGGTTGTATCTAATTGCCTCATCGGTTTCCCCTACATTTGGCTCTTCCAAATTGTTGTTCAGCATGTATTTTGTCACGATCAGGGACTGGCGACTAGACTTGTTAATTACCGATGCACACTCGCGAGCCATCCTCAAAGTAGACAAGTTCTGAACCACGCTGGGGACCAAAATGTTGTTCAAAAACGTAGCTAGCTTTTCCGAACTCACAAATGGCGATATCGATAGTTTCCGCACATTTTCAAAGGCACCGATCGTCTCACAACCCTGTCGCAAATCTATGTTTACCGCGAGCGATTCAACATCTTGCTTATTGGGCAACAATTTTAGAATGTTTAATGGCATTGATAGCGCATCACTATCACAGTAAAATTTGCACAGACCACTCATCAGGGGCAGACTGTTGCATATCAAAGACCGCGTTTCGGATTGGTTCATGCCATCTGGCAAATGAACCACTTCCAAACATTTTATCAGCTTCCCCAAACTTTGACCCTCTTTTGCTACTAAGCGCATCAACTTTGTAAAGTTGTAACGAGTTTTGATGTATGTGGCGGAACGAGATTCTCGCTGGTCCGAACTTTGAAGGTAAGAGTGGCGAGAATCCACTACGATTTTGGCGAAAAGCGCCTGTACAGCGGCGACATAAAACGATTTCGAAGTTCTCGCTAAGTTCACAAGGTCGTATTGTGTTAAGCTTTTGGTTATTTGGATTTTGACTTCGAAAGGTAAATTGGACATCACGTCCGCCGTTTCGTGGAAGTCTATGGATATGACCTCGGGGGTTGCACTTTTGGGCCTCTGGTAATCAGCCTCTTCAAAGTAGTCGTGCGGAAGGGGCATTCCTGCGTGTCCAATTGGTGTCAAAACACTAACGTGTTCTGTCATTTCGTCTGATTCGTCTGATTCTTCCGTACTCATCGCGTAGCTGACAAAAAGCCTCAAATTGTTCCCTTGCTTTATATTAAGCGCTACAAAACCAATGCAACTGTATGTGCAGTATATGCACAATAATCAGCACCTTCTTTGTTAGCCTTTCTTTCCCGCTGGGTGCCATCTTAAATCGCACCTTAATTCTCTTTAGCACCCATATCACTCGTACTAACCGATTAGGCTCACGTGGAGGGAGTATTGTAGCTCTCACTTCGATCTAACACAGAGCTATGTGGTTCGCGCAGTGGTCATTACAAGTTTAATAACTGAGTTTCCTAGGCTTTAGGAAGCTCACGCGTCGTGACTTTCTAAGTGCAGAACTATGCCATCGATTCGTTATTTCGAGATATGAAGGTCTTTCTTCTTGAAGAGTACATGCTATCGTGCTCCACTTACTGTGCAATTGATGTAAAATGACTAGCTTCGGTTTAATGCTTCTGCGAAGCGATGCGAACTAGGTTTATCTCTGATCTTTTGCCGGGTGGTTTCTGGTCGGTGACCGATGCCATGCATGGTCCATGATTTTACTATATGTGGAAAAAGCAAAAAGTGATGCCTGGAGTATCAGGAAAGGAAAGTATCAGGAAAGCATCATGAGGGCTCCCTCGAGTACGCTTTTCATATGAAGTCGAGATATTCGATATTCGATGGTCACTCTACACGCATTAGCCGCCCAGCCCGTGAAGTCGAAATGTATACTAATGAGCACTGAGACTCTTCGAAACGCCTTCGAATAGGCCGAAAGACCCTCATCTGATACCTTAAGTGTGCGTTGGAAAGTTAACACCCCCGACACTGCTTTTTGAGAAGTCAATTTGATGGCTTTCATGAAAATCAACAAGCTACCGGCTTTTCCTTGACGTTGGGAGTAAATGTGTTGCTAATCTTCGCATGATCACGGACTGAGAGCCCTCTTTAAACTTGGTTTCTCTTCCTCGAGCTCTTGGCTGCGAATTTTCTGGTCGGCTGGGTCTAGCAAGCTCTTTCAACGCCAGCGACTCCTCGTCTGAACAAAAACTCACAGTTTATCAAATTCTTAACCCATTTACCAACTCATTGCAAGATTCCATTCTCGTTCTCTTGTCGCACACATGGCAAATAATTGATAAAAATCGACTTGAAGATTGTGTAGAGGAAACCTGAAGTCTACTCGATGTGGTGCTAAATAGCTGATTCGATTGAGGCTCTAGCTTGGTTTTTGAGTAACTTGCGCTTCAGTTTTAGCTTCTACTCTCTTTATTCCTCAAGTGTCTAGTATGGTTACCCGCTCATGGTCAACCTCCAGATCTCAATATCATCACAACACATAAACAAATGAACAGTGTCAGTTCTCGTATGGAAACGGTCTTAGCAACACTGAAAAAACCTGGTGTCAAGCATCAGTGGTAACTCTCTTAGCAGATGCAGGACGTGTGGATTCCAGATCCTGATCAAACCTTTGCGCGAGCGCAATTGGTGGAGGAAAAAACAGTGAGGAACAAACAGAACAAAGACGAAAAATGGGCCATCGTCAAAGTCAATGGGAAACAAATGGAAATCCCAGCTGAAGAGCTATGCCAGGTTAATCCCAGTACTTTTGACCGCATCGACGACATGTCGGAACTGACGCATTTGAACGAGCCGTCGGTTTTACATAACTTGGAAAATCGATACACAGACGACTGCATTTACACGTATTCGGGGCTGTTTCTTGTGGCTATCAACCCTTATAGCAATATCCGCATCTATTCACAAGACTACATCAATCTATACCTAGGATCCCCCAAAGAGGACAATAAACCGCATATTTTCGCAGTTGCCGAGGAAGCATACCAAAACTTGCTTACACTGCGCAGAGATCAATCCATTCTTGTAACCGGTGAATCTGGTGCCGGGAAGACGGAAAACACAAAGAAAATTCTACAATATCTGGCCAGTGTCACCTCGGAAGACAAGTTGGCCCCAAACTCAGAACACGAAAGTTTTGAGCGCAAGATTTTGCGCAGTAATCCCATTTTAGAGTCTTTTGGTAACGCGCAAACGGTACGAAACAATAACTCTTCGAGATTCGGCAAATTCATCAAGATTGAGTTCGACGAATTGGGCAAAATAAATGGTGCTCATGTCGATTGGTATCTTTTGGAGAAATCGAGAGTTATCAATCAAACTTCGCGTGAAAGAAACTATCACATCTTCTATCAAATGTTGTCTGGGATGACCGCACAGGAGTTACGTAAATATGGTTTGGAGTCAAACTCCATAAGAAACTATCGCTATTTGCGAGACTCCAATCCAAGTATACCAGGTGTGGATGATACCCAAGATTACCACGCACTTTTAGCATCTTTCAAAATTGTCGGGTTCACTGAGGCTGAGGTTCACTCCGTCATGACTTGTATTTCCATCATTTTGCATATCGGAAATATTGAGTTTGTATCAGAGAGAGCAGAGCAAGCATCTTTTAGTGGTAGTGTTGAACCTCTGTGCCAGCTGCTAGGTGTAGCAGAGGCCGATTTCAAGATTGCTATATTGAAGCCACGAGCAAAAGCAGGCAAAGATTGGGTGTCACAGGCCAAAAACGCGGAACAGGCACGTTTCATCCTAAATTCTCTCTCAAGATCACTCTACGAGAATTTGTTCGCACACATTGTTCAAAAAATAAATGATAATCTGGACCATGGGTCAATGACTGAAAACTATATCGGGCTTCTTGATATTGCTGGATTTGAAATCTTCAGGCACAACTCTTTTGAACAACTCTGCATCAACTATACCAATGAAAAACTTCAGCAGTTTTTCAACCACCATATGTTTGTTCTCGAACAAAACGAATACATTAAGGAAAACGTCCAGTGGAATTACGTTGATTATGGAAAGGACTTGCAGTCAACTATAGATCTAATAGAGAAAAAAGATAAAAATCCTGGCGTTTTACCTCTTTTGGACGAGGAGTCCATTCTGCCGAAATCTACTGATGAATCTTTTTACTCAAAACTGATAACTTTCTGTGATGAAAAGTCCCCTAAGTTCAAACGCTCAAAGAAAGACAAATGTTTCGTAATGAAGCACTATGCTGGTGATGTTGAGTATAATGTAGAGGGCTGGCTCTCTAAAAATAAAGATCCCCTGCACGCTAATCTCCTTCAAGTATTATCAAACTCTTCCAATGAACTGATAAGCGGTTTTTTCTGCGAAGGTGACCCTCGTGCCAGTTCTTTCAAGACAGCTTCCATTCGGCACAGAATTCAACTCAATTCTCTTCTAGAGCGGTTGTCGTCCACGGAGCCCCATTTTGTGCGTTGCATTATACCAAACGATAAAAAGAAAGCGCATGATTTCAACAGGAGCTTGATTCTCGATCAATTGCGCTGTAATGGTGTACTAGAAGGTATTAGAATCGCGCGCGAAGGTTATCCTAACCGTATTTTTTTTAAAGAATTCTTTCAGCGCTACAAAATCCTAACTGATGAATATCGGTTCTCCAATAACTCCAAAAAGAATTGTGAAATTGTACTGTCATCGTTGCACCTCGACCCAAGTCTTTTCAAAGTAGGAAACAGCAAGCTATTCTTTAAAGCTGGTGTGTTAGCTGGTTTAGAAGCCAAGAAAGAAAATCGTATTGCAACCATGGTTTCGAAACTAAATGCTAAGATAAGTGGTAATTCAGTGAGAACCAATACGTCAGATAAGCTGAAAAAGCTGCAAGCAGCTCAGGTGCTAAGCGTTGCCTTCAAAACTTACGATAAACTTATGAAGGACCATTGGTTTAGTCTTTATGTTAAAATAAAGCCTCTTCTGGAGTCGACGCAAGAAATATCCAAGACTAAGAAAATTGCTGAGCAAATCAAAGGTCTTGAAGTCAAATTGGAAGCCATCCAGTCACAAAATGAGAAACTTCAAGACGAAAAAAACGTTTTAGCTCAGGATTTGACAACCGTCAGAGAAAAGCTACAGACGGAGACACAAAAATTGGAAGAGCATCAAAACAGTTTGCTTTCGGTACAGACGAGAGAAAAAGAACTAAGCAGCTTGCTAGAAACGTCGAATGGTTATAAAGAACAGCTTTTGCAGGAGAAACAAAGTCTAGAGAAGAAAATCGAAAGCAGCAGCGATGACGTGGGACGAGTACGTGATGAAGCCGCCAAAACTCAAGAAACACTGGGAAATCTGGAAAAGGAGAAGGATGCTCTTGCCCGCAAACTGCTGGAAGTCGAAGGTCAATTGAAGCAGGTTAAAGGCTCCCACTCGCTCATACAATCTGAAAAGACTAGTCTCCTTGAAGAAGTGAAAGCAAAGGAATTAGAATTGTCTTCGAAGGACACGAACATCTCACAACTGAAAGCTGAGCTCTCAGCTTCTGACGAACAACTTGAAAGAAGTTTGCAGGGTTTGGAAAAAAAGTTCAACAGCACAAGCAAGAGATTGAATTCATTAGTAGAAGAGAACAAAAATCTACGCACCTCCCTCGATCGGTCTAAGAAAGAGTACACAGAGATTCAAAGTATTGTGCATTCCAAGGAAAAAGAGCTTCAAAGATTAACAGAGCGGTCTGAACAGAATCAAGCTCTGGTGGCATCTTTGAACAAGGAGCGATCAGAACTCTCTGTGGAGCAAGGAAACCTTATTAGTGAAGTCAAGACGTTACAAACGGAGCTTTCAAACTATAAGCAAAAATGCCAGTCGCTGGAGGAAACATGCTCGAGTCTGCGTGATGCTCTTGACAAATCGACCAAAGATATTGCTTCTGCCCGAGAAAACCCAACTCATAATGAAATTGGTGCAAACAAACTGCAATCTTTGACAGAGCAGCTCACAAGGGAGAGGTCCCTTACAAAGTTCCTAAACGAAAGGCTGGTTGATCAGGTATCGAGCCGTGCGTCCTCTAGAGCTTTAAGTGAGCAAGATGATAGTCGACTGATGCCGGCGGAAGACGTTTTCGAAGCTTATGATGAGTTAAGAATTGAATTACGTGGTGCAACGTATCGCTTGGAGAAAGAAATTAGCCAAAAAAAGGATCTCATATCCAAGCTACGTTTTACGGAAACGCGGTTGGCTTCTGCCTCTTTTGAGATTCAGAATATGTCCTCTCAACTGAGAGCACTCAAAAATGTTATTACCAACGCTGATCTCAACGTTAACGTGGAAGACATCATTGATCAAATTGAACCTGTCGAAGTAAATCACGAAAAACTTATCCTTGAGATTGAGCATCTCAAGAGTCAGTTGCATGCTGAAAAGCAAGCTAGGCATGATGCAGAAAATGCAGCGTCGGCCCTTCACAACAAATTCAAACAAATTCAACGATCGGATTCGTCGTCAGATATTTTCAGGCTTAAATATGAGGCAAGTGAGCAACGATTGAAATCGTTAGAATCAAAAATTACCTCGCACGCCTTGAGAGACAGGACCAATCTAAGTAACGGAGAGATCTTTACGCAGCGCGGTAGTATTTCAAAGTATGAGGAAGACCTAAGATTTTACAGGCTGGAAAATTATAAGCTTCAAGAACTATTAGCTGAGTCGGAAAAACAAATTAATACCTTGAAGAAAAGCATCAGGCAACACCAAACAGAAAGATCATCAATGGGAGAGAAGTTATTGAGGCTAAGAAAAGACTTAGAAGTCACAGAACGGCAAAATCATCTACTTTCCACAAGTACTACTAATCACAAAACTCAATATGAAAACTGTATCAACGATCTCCACGCATCGGAAGAGCAACTCAAGGAGATGATTCATTGCTTGAGGGAGTCTGAGGCGGATATTAAGACAATGGCAGCTATTATTGAGAGATTGAAAAGTCAGAATAGACACAAGGATAAACAGCTTTGGGAAGTTGAATCTCGAAACAATGAACTGGAGTCAGATCTTCAAGAAAAAAACATTGATGTTAGCAAGTTGCAGTCCAAAATCGATATTTTAAGCAAAGAGCTCTCACATTTTAAAGATCGGGCAAGAAAAGCTGGAGATCAAACGGAGCTTATCAATGAAATCGAGAAGCTTAAATCGGATATGGATGGCTCTTTAAGAGTGGAGACTGAACTGAAGAAGGAGTACGCATCCGTGAGCTACACTTTAGAAAGGTTGAAAATTGAGTATGATGCCAAAATCGAAGACCTGCTAAACCAAAATTCGCACTATGAAAAGGTTGTCGGATCCCTCGTAGCGGAAAGAGATGATGCTACGTCTGTCAAGAAAGGATTGGAGAGCACTTTGAACAATTTGCACTCGAAAGTTGAAAATCTCAACGATTCTCTAACGAAATTGTTGGATGAGAAACATCAATTAGAATTGCAAAGAGACAGCTACTTGACAAAGTTTGGAGAGTCTAAAAGAGATCTCGAAAAGTCCACAAGTGAGAGGGATAACATCGCGAGCAAGATTCTTTCGCTTGAAGAGGCTTTGAACCTTCAGTGCCAACAAAACGACCGAAACGAAGCATTAGTGCAGCAACTGCAATCTTCAGCCGCCGAATTCAAATCGCAACTAGCCATAGAAAAAGATAAAAGCATTGTCCTGCATGAAGAAAACCAATCTCTGGGCAAGTCGAACAGCCAGCTTCGACAGACAGTAAAAGTCTTGGAGTCAAAGATGGCAGATAACACTGAAAAGGATGCTTGGATATCGAAACTTCAGGAATTAGAAGATTTGCTTACAAAGGAGTCTGATGCCAAGTTTGAGGGTATAAAAATAGTCAAGTCCCTGGAACGGACGACAGAAGAACTGAAGCTAGTAAACAGCAAACAGGCTGATACTATCGCCATGGCCAATAAGGACAGGGAAGCATTTGCCAATGAGCTGGCGGACAAAGTTGAGAGATTAGGAATGCTCGAAAATCACGTCTCAAAGCAAGAAGTAGAGATAAGAAGGACAGAACGAGATAGGGCGTATCAAGAAGAGCGCATACTTCATTTAGAGAAGGAACTAGATCTCTGGAAAGAGAAGTACAACGAAGTGTCGATGAGGCGCAAAAGCACAGACGCGCGGTCTGGTGAGGAGATATTCATATAAAATGCATGATAGTTGATGAGATAAATTTATCCAAGATATGTACAAGGTTGCTCAAAGTTGTTTTGTTTTGTGCCAATGTTTAAAACCAGCCCTTTTTCTTCGGCTTTTTCAATGCAGAAAGATCTAGTTTTTCGTAGTTGCCTAATCCATAGAACCTCAAGACCGTCTCGACATCTCCGAACGCATCTCTTTCTCCCTGCATTACGATCGTTGCCTTTCCGCTTCCTTCGCCTTTGTTCTGGACCTTGCCAGTGAAAACGGTCTCCGCAGTCCTTCTTAGGTCTTCTATCGTAAGTTTCTCGATGCTGGCGATCATTTCCTCAATCGGAATTTTGCGATCATGCAGTTGAACTTGTCTACCTAGGTCCTCCAGCTCCACGAGTTTTGATTCCAAATTCATCAGAAGAGAGGACTTAAGTTGATTCTTCGCCCTTGACACCTCTTCTTCGGTAAGCTTCAATTTGTCATTTGAAAATGTGTTAGCAAGTTGCTGAGCTATGATTTCGGCCATATATGGTGCGGCTTGAGGAACGCAAGATGCAGAAATCCCGAAGATGCCTGAATCCGTATAAGAGTGGTTGAAAGCTACACAGTTTTCAACAAAAAAGTGCTGATTCAAAACATGTGTGTAAAGTCGAGAGTACATTCCCTTGCCTGGTCCTCCTGCACTGAATGAGCCTCCGCCTCCCAAGAGCGTCTGTAAAGTAGCCAAAGCGTAAATGTCGGGATGACCGATGGGCAATCCTTCAAACCCAATTTGAATGTGACAGAGCTCAGGTAAATTACCGAAAACGGGGCCTGAAGGTATGCACATCACACCACCGGTATATTTGGCTGGCTTGACTTCGCGAACGCTTGGCGGCGTAGTAGCAACCATGTCTGCAAAGTACTTGTCAGCGTAGTCTCGGGCCTCATTATGTGGAACTCCGACGAATGCTGCAACTATATTGTCCGGCGTGTATAATTTACGTCTATAGTCTTTCAAATAGTAGCCGGAAATAGATGGAATTAATTCTTTAGGACATAACAGTGGCGATCCTAAAGACTCGCCGGAGTACGCAGTGACGTGGAGAAGTTCTGGCAAGATCAGTTCTGGTTTACTCCAAACCTCGTCAATTTCGTACTGAGCTGTGAGCTTCTGTTCTTCAAGTTCTTCCGAGGTCATCTGTGGAAAGCGTACCGTTTCTGCCATCAATGCAAACATCTTCTCGACATCGCGATTGAATACAGAAGCTTGGTACATCATAGTTTCGCGTGAGCTTGAGCACTGATAGTTACCACCCAAAAGCTCAAGTGTTTCAGCCATAGCCCGGCCAGACATATGTTGAGTCGACTTAAACGCCAAGCGATCCATAATGTGCGTGCAGCCTTTCATATTTTGCGTTTCGTATCGCGAACCAGCTCCGACATATACTCCAAGAGCTGAAAAATGTCCTGGTAGGTTGCTGGTTGCAACACGCAAGCCGTTGGCTAGCGTTGAGATCTGAAAGTTGTCGTTACTTTTAGCGACCTTTGAGCAAAAAGACCGCACAAACTGCGTTTTGGCTCGCAACATATCTTGTTTGTATTATACTTGGTCGACTGCTAGTCCTTAAAGCTTCAAAAATACACTGCAGTGGTCTACTTTTGTTTAAAACCTGTATCTCTGGAAGTGTTGGCGGATGATCTAGACTATTGAAATAATGACATATATTTTCAAGTGAGAAAAGCTTAATTCAACGTGATAACTAAAGATGACAGGGTTCTGTTCCAATTTTGACGGCTGAATGAAGCCTTAGATCCGTCGGTTTGCTGTTGCAAAGGTTTCCGCTGTATGCCGCAATTTTAATGCATTTTTCAAGCCTTCGAAAGCGTAACTCTACACTTGGCTACGTCCAGATAACGACCAGCTGAATATCGACATTTTTGATTCCTGCGAGCAATGGCCAGTGGGCTCCAATTTGCTAGATGCGCGTGGCCAAGCACTAAACGTGTCCGAGCTTTTAATCTGAGTAGAGTATCACAGTGAAAATATATCCTGAGGCGCCATTTCAAGTGCTAAGATAACTACGACAAACTAGGTTGCCCGCTTGATAAGTTCTCTAAGGAGCTGATAATGTTTGACGGAAAGCAGTCTGGTTCAAAGACGGAAACACATTAGTGCATCACAACCAAAAGCCCTCGGCGCGGCAGGTTGCAGTGCGCGCGATTGCATTTTTTATTTGTTAGGCGAAGCGCTCCCGTCCAGCATCCAGCCGTGGTATTGGGTAGTGCTGTTTTCATTTGTGAGGTGTAGCGATTTTCATTACGCTGGATAGGCCAACAACTATCGTCGTGATATGTAAAGTGTTTAAACTCAGAAACTATGTAAAAATCGACATTTCGATGAGTAAATCTTCAAACTTGACGACCACACCTTAAGTCTCCTCAGCAACGCACCATTCTGCCCATTCTCACGAAAGAACAGTGGTAACTTTTTGCTTTTAAAAAAGTGTATTTGACGAAAGCGTTGTCCTTATCGAAAAATGAGGACACTGAGAGATATTGCAATTTGCCTAGCTCCAACAGATGTTAGAGTTCTCCTCCTCTGCGGTAGTCCAGAACATTGAGCTAGTTTTGACCATGGGTCTTTATATACTTTTCGCTTGAACTTCTATTCGATCCTCCAGTTGCTCAGGTCGAAAGTTTTGGAAAAAATATGTTGACTCACAATCAAAGTGGATTATCGTCAGAATACTTGAGAGGTCCACTGAAAAACGCAATTTAGCTTGTATCTTGGGACCAGCAACATGCCTCGGAGCTTTAAAATTAGCGTGCCTGCTTCATCGGCTAATATTGGACCTGGATACGATGTTTTAGGTATCGGGTTAGCGTTGTATTTGACGCTGGATGTTGAAATTAATGCCAAAAATGCCAACGAAACTAATGAAGACCCAAACAACTGTAACATTAGCTACACCGAAGATAGTGAGGGTTTCGGAAACGTTCCGCTCAAATCGGACGAGAATTTGATCACCAGAACGGCGTTGTACGTTCTTCGGTGCAACAACAACCGGACTTTTCCATCTGGCACTAAAGTGCATATCCACAACCCCATTCCTCTAGGTCGTGGTTTGGGATCCTCTGGCGCGGCCGTGGTGGCTGGTGTCATGCTTGGTAACGAAGTGGGTCAACTGGGCTTCTCCAGACAGCGCATGCTAGACTATTGCCTGATGATTGAGCGTCACCCAGATAACATCACGGCTGCGATGATGGGTGGATTCGTAGGCTCCTTTTTAAGAGACCTCACCCCTGCGGAGATGGAAAGACGCGAGATTCCATTGAGCGAGGTTCTTGGCGAACCAAATGGTGGTGAGAACACTGGTTTAGTACCACCAAGCCCTCCTATGAACATTGGCCGCCACGTATCCTACAACTGGAACAAGGACATCAAGTGTATTGCTATCATTCCAAACTTTGAGGTATCTACCGCTGATTCTAGAGGTGTCTTGCCCCAGGCCTATACCGCTAAAGATTTGGTTTTCAATCTGCAGAGACTGGCCGTTTTGACCACAGCGTTGACTCAATCACCTCCAAACCCAGAGTTGATTTACCCAGCAATGCAAGACCGTGTGCACCAACCTTACAGAAAGACTTTGATACCAGGTTTGACCGAGATTCTATCAAGTGTCACTCCTTCGACATACCCTGGTCTCCTGGGTATCTGTTTGTCTGGTGCAGGTCCCACCATTTTGGCCTTGGCCGTGGATAACTTCGAAGACATCGCGTTGGAAATCATTAATAGATTTTCAAAAAACAACATCGGTTGCAGCTGGAAATTGCTGGATCTTGCTTACGAAGGTGCCCAACTGGAAAATTGAAACACGATGTAAAGAATACGCCCTAGATAGTATAGACCGTAATCAGAAAAGCCATTGGTGTTCTCTGCACCTTTTATCTACGTATTTCGTTAACTTGATAGAATTTATACAACCGGAGAACCGCCAATAATGAGCCTCCAGATCGATACTTCAAGGGTAACAATTTTGACTATCCCATGGCTGGTGCTCCAGTACTGATGTATAACCCAAATAAAATGACGTGGGAAAAGAGATTAGTGCAAGGCAATACGTTGTAGAACCCTTAGCTTTTGTTGCGATTAATCGAGACTAGCCCGCCGAGGTAAACTAAATACTGGTGGTAAAAAAGGGCACCATTGATTTTACACTGTGACGCTAATTGTTTGATCACAGGATACTGTCTTCCAGTTTGAAAGCTCTTTGAATCTTAAGAGCTTTAGACCTAACATCTTGAAATTTAGCTATGTACCAATAAATGTGCCAATATGTGCGATGTGTCTTTTCGAAGCCGCTAAAGACCTCTAGCTTAATCAACAAGCAGCGCTTCGTGGAAAGTTTTATCCACCGCAATGTGCTAGCAAAAACCATGGGATTGTAGTTCGGCTGCATACCACCTTTCCTATTATTAGCAGCTGACAGTTTGCAAGCATCCACGACTCGGTTTGCTTGTTGATATCCAGTGTTAGTAGCCTCATAACATCGGCTTTCTACCCATTCCTCTACAGGGCCGTCAACGTCGACTAGAAGATTCACTCGAAGAGTTTTTCTCCGAGTACATAAGTACTTGTATTTATTTTTTATCATCACTAATAACGGTCACCTGGTCCAATTTCCTACAGTTAAGTTCTCAGATGTTCAACTTCAAGACATGTCTTACAACCCTAATCGCATAATAGTGTGAAAAATAGACCTAATAGTGATTTGAACTGCCATTTTACACTTCATGGCTGCGAAATCTGAATCGTCAATGGGCGTATCGGGCTTTTCCTACTCGCAAATGGGGCGCTACGTCGTCTTGGCAGTGGTCGTGTGGTATGCCGGCTACAAGCTGTTCACCGGTCATGGTGAAGATATTGATTTTGGCTGGTTTCTCACCAAGTCCTCGCCATACATGTGGGCTAATCTTGGTATAGCATTGTGCATTGGCCTCAGTGTTGTGGGTGCCGCGTGGGGTATTTTCGTCACCGGGTCATCGATTATCGGAGCTGGTGTTCGCGCGCCACGCATCACGACCAAAAACTTGATCTCTATCATTTTTTGCGAAGTTGTTGCCATCTACGGTCTGATTATGGCTATTGTTTTCTCTTCGAAAGTCACCGTCGCCTCCCCCGAAACCATGTTCTCGAAATCCAACTTGTACACTGGCTACTCTCTATTTTGGGCAGGGCTCACTGTAGGTATCTCGAACTTGATTTGTGGTGTTGCGGTAGGCATTACAGGTGCTACTGCAGCCGTCTCAGACGCAGCTGACTCGGCCCTATTCGTCAAGATCCTTGTTATCGAAATTTTCGGCTCCGTGCTGGGCCTCCTGGGTCTCATCGTCGGTCTATTGATGGCTGGTAAAGCAGTAGAATTTCAATAAAAGAGCAGGCCAATGACGCTCATAAAAGCACTTCACGTTATGTAGTCGTACATACCGTTTTAGACTAGACTATCATTGATAAAAGCTTTTCTGTCACGTGTATGTTACTATCTCCATTTATTTTATACATCTAATCAACGGGGCCATTCCCTGTTTCAGCTGGGCTTACTCTTCCTCGCGGTAATCTGGATTCTTCTTCAGAATGACCACGCCTTCGAGTCGACTGGCATAATTTATGTATTCATTCGTTTCAAGTTCTGCTCTCTCGCCATGACCAAGCAGGACGGGAGTAGAATGTGTGATCCATCCCGTGATCGTTTTAGGTTTACCAGCTTGCCCAACAGTGTCTACAGCCTGGCCAACTCTAACATTAACCTTGATAGGCTCTCCTTCCTCATTCAAGGTCATGATGTACTTGGGTCTCACACCACTGTTTAAGTAGTAAAACAGATAATGATGATCCAACATAAACGACGGTGTTACCAAACCCACTAGTACGGTTAGCAAAGAAGCTAATGTGACCTTATTGAGAACCCGAGCATCATTGAAAGTATCGAATGTCATAGTACCTTTTCCGAGATGCACCATACCTTGCGATAGTCTGGTAATAAATAGTGCATTTTGTTCTCGTGAATAGTAGCTTGCCAGTTGCCTCAACAATTGTGCAAGTCTAGCGTTGTTTGTTCCCGCTCCGGTTAGGCCCATTGCGAAGATAGAGTTCATGGACACATCTAAATCTGGGTCATGAGAGAATCTGGATAACGCGTCAAAAATTTTGACCTGAGGATCGGAAACCGATAAAAGACCTATGGCCAATGGGACAGTTTTCCGAATGTGTTCGTTACCGTAATGCATCAAATGACTGAAATGACGTAATGACATTTCTTTACCAATTTCCTCACCCATGGCAATCATAGCAATACCTAAAACGGCGTATGTTAACTCATCAGTCAAAGCGTATTCTTTTTCTTCCTCTTGCTGCTTCTTGTCCTCTTCTTCTTTCTTCTTGGCGTCTTCTTCTTCAGAAGCTTTTTCTGTTTTCTTGTCAGTGTCATCATCGACATCCATTTTATCCTCTGTCTTGATGGACTCATCATTTTCAGTTTCTTCATTCTTACCTAGGTTCAACGATTCGGTAAGCTCTTCATCGATGGCTCCCTCGAAGTCTCCTCCTTCCTCGTCCTCTTCGTCCTCGTCTTCCTCTTCTTCCTTCTTATTTTTAGGGGTTAAACGATGTAACAGATCTTGAATCAATAAGACATCTCCGGTTCCAGTATATGCACAAACATTGATCAGCACCTCGATGGCTGAAGTGATCGGGTGATCGATTGCTGATATTGTTTCAAGCACATCTTCGACTTGATCGCCTTGGCCCAAATACAAAATCCCCAGAGCCAACGTCAAAAATCTTGTCCATTCGGTCTTCAGTTCTGAAGCGGTGCGCTCCAAAAGGTTGTCAACTATAGCAGTGGTAATGTCACCGTTGCAAGTACCAACAAATGCATGCGATAACGCTAAAGACGCCATGGCTGATGTTTCAATGGGTGAGTTAGTGTCGGCGGCAATTGGCAGCAACAATCCCAATAGTTCGTCATTTCTACTACCAGCAAACGCGATGCCAAGACCTAGAATCGCAGCAGAGCTTATTTTCTTGTCTGAATTTGTGACATAGTCTTGTAACAGCAGCATAGCCGGTTCCACTTCGCCGTCGTGTACACCGCAAGCAGAAATACCGATACCTAACAAAGCACCAGCCTTGACTTCAGGCTCTTCCACGTACAAGTACTTGTCCAGTTGTTGCAGGCCATCTAAATTCCACTGATAAATGGATCCTATGCTGGCAACAGTGGAAGTCATACCGTCACCTTTGGTTTTATAGACCCAATTGTCGTCACCAACAATAAGTTTATCGCTTGAGTACCCAAGATTCAAAAATCCATTGACAAATGATGCTGCCAAATTTTGTTGGGCGGAATCAAGACCCGTGCCTGCGAAAACCCCTTTGGAGGAGTTATCCAAATGACTCTTGTATATGTCTTCAGGCACCTTTGGTACTGTCAAATTCAACTCCTTGGCCAAAAATAAGAAATGCTCGGAGAGCTTGGTGTTCCCAATGATATCCTGGACACCGTCGTACTCAAACGACGACTTCTGGGCCGAAAGAATATATGCAAGTTGCTTGTGAACTACCGGGTCGGAAGTGGCATCGAAGACTGCCCTAATTAAAGACTCATCGTCTAATCTGATAGCCAAAGCGAGCGCTTCAGTTAATTGTAATTCGCTCAGATAGATTGAGTAGGTGGTTTGTAGGAAAAAAACATCGTCTGGTGGAGGCAGCAAAGGAACGCATGCAACCATGTATTGACAGACGCGCTGAAAAGTGTTTTCGTCGACATATTGGGGAAGCTTGTCAATAGACTCTATCTCCAGAAGTAGATCAACAGCATCCGCTTCGCCGTTGTGTTTCAAAAAGTATGGTACTATATCTAGTGATAGTTGAATAAGGGACTCTTTCGAGGCGTTTTCCACGCCTCTGTGCCCAGCGGAAGAAGGCTCGGGAGACGTTTCCGACGAATCTCCAGCTTCTTTTTCTACTTGTTCATTGTAGACATCGCCAATTTCAAGCGCCAAGTGCCGCACGTATTCGTGGCCCCAGCTCTCGACATTTTTCTCGTCTGACAGTAGCCTGAAGCGCAAAGAGTCGCGCTTCCCTTCATCTGAGTATGTCATTGCAAGGACCGACAAAGTGTCCGCCATTAATGATTTCAGCTTGGGCACGGTCCATTTGTCGTAAACGCCGCAGAGTTGAGGGTAAGATGGACGAAGAAACTTCAACGGTTTAGGAACCGCTGTCATGGAGCTCGTGGAGTCCCGGATTAGCTCCTTCAATTGCGACAGCGATGGTTCATAGAGATCGGCGTCGTCTTCTGTCAGTCTTTCTACCAAACTTTCTAGGTTGTTCTTGAGCCTCAAGTCTTCCTCGGACAGTTCCTCTTCTTCTTCCTTGTTGTCGTGTGCTTTAGCCACAGGCTCTTCTTTTGCTGGCACTTGTGAGCCATTGGATGATTGGACCGGCTTCTCTTGCGATTGTGGTGTTTCCTCACTCATTTTCGGCCTTCAAAGTTGAGTTACAGCTCAATTCCAACCTTAATCCTTAGTTTAAGAACTTTAGGTAAACTGTTGTAACTATTTGTGAAGTAATAGGTTCGCCACCGAGATCTTTAAACCTTCAAATCATTTATAACGAAAATATCTGGAATAATCCCATTGAACTGAGATTGTACATTTCTGGCAGACTTCTATTTCTCTTTGGTATGTCACCAATTAGCTTGTGTGATCAAGATTTTGCTAGTAATATTCACGCAATAGACGGTGATGCAATATATTGAGGGTTGAGGTTGGATTAAGGGTGTATAAGTGTAGACTAGAGTACGCTAGCGCTATGTGACAATTACACAGGTCTAATTCTCAAATACAACTCTTCCTGAAGTTACCTTTCTCTGAAAACTACTCGTTGCAATTCTAAAATCTCTGGCTAAATCATCTTTCAGCGGGCATCAATAGCACTGAGAAAATTAGTCAAGTAATTCAGCAAAGATCGTCTCACCATGCACTGATACACTGTCGATATTTAAATTCCTCACGTCGTCAATGCCACGTGATAGTGCTATAGTTTCGGTATAGTGATAAATTCCGGCTCGTCAGTTTGAGGAACTCCCTCTCGCTGCTAGAAGCACAGTTATTGCGACTTTTACGGTGATCGGGATTGATTCAAGGTTTTTCTGTAGTCAGCGGCTTTCTCAGATCTTATTCATTGTAAATGCGTAAAGCTAGTGAGTCTTACGAAATGATGACAAAACTTAGAGACTTACACAAAACTCCGGTTCTTTTCAACTCTTGAACCAGCAGGTTTTTCAGCGCTGTAGCATTTTGTCATATTTCTCCTTCGTTAACTACAAACACGTCAGTGTCCAAAATACAAGGGAATGTGGAGGGGAAATCGTGAGTGCTTACCACAATAATATGTGGTATTATCGCAATCTGTTCTAATTCAAAAATCTTCCCTCGTAAGCTTGTCCAGCCCAATTCAAAAGTTTATCAAAAACAATATTGTTAGCATTGTGATACCGAATACTGTGATCGGAATCCGGGAACACATGCATGTCGTAATTCTCCACGCCTGCCAAATCCAGTAAATCTAAGAAGCGAAGAGAGTTTTGGAAATGTACATTGTCGTCCCCAGACCCGTGCATTAGTAAAAATCTGGTGGCCTCTCCTAAAGCCGTCGCGTTGTGAACTTTGGATCTTGCGTATCCGTCTCTATTCTGCTGGGGCGTATGCATATATCTTTCCGTGTAAACGGAGTCATACAAGCGCCAATCTGTTACGGGCGCCACCGACATGCCATACTTGAAAGTACGACCAGCGTCTTTCTCAAGAGTCTTAAGTGTTAGGTAGCCCCCATATGACCAACCAAACAAAGATATTTTGTTAGCATCAACGTAAGGTTTTTCAGCGTACAACTTCGCTGCTAAAATTTGATCTTGGGCTTCTACATCACCCAGGTTATTGCGTACGAGTGCACGGAATCTTTTTCCTTTAAACCCTGTGCCGCGACCATCTACAACGACAACAATCGCATTTAGCTGTGAAGCCACTACCTGATTGAAACCAATCGAAAAAATTTCGGCGACCTGTTGAGAATTTGGTCCACCATATGCATAGAAGAACACTGGGTAGTGATTTTTCAACTTTGGGTTGAAGTTATTCGGCAAAATCTCAAATGAGTTTGCCACAATATCTTCGCCATTTTCATCTTCACCAAGGCGGAGCTCGCTAAAAGTCTTCTGGGGGATGGAGTAGTCCTCAAGCCTTGCTTTCAACACTTTGTTCTCTTCTAAATAAAATAAAGTCTTTCCGATCACATTACCGTTTGTCGACGTATCGTGTTGATCTGACTTCAAGTCTATAATTTTCTGATAAGGCACTTCAGGACCTAGGTGTGAAACCAAAGCGAACCTGCATCCTGATGAAAAAGAAACAGAGAAGTATCCTTCCTCTGTCGTATCAGTTATTTCCTTCACCTTCAGAGGCTCGTGTAAGTTGACGCTATAGATATGTCTCTCCATCGAAGACTTTTTGGTCCCAATAAAGTAAACATCATTGGTCTCAAAATCAATAGCAGTAGGTCCATTTACAACCTCCCAGTCACCATCTGTCAACATTATAGGTTTTGTGGTGTCAGCTGGGGAAAAGTAAGCGAGGTGATTATATCCATTTAAGGGTACCAAATCCACATATCCATCTTGTTTTCTGCCTTTAGAAGAATCTTGAGACACATACATTGTATTGTGAGTGATTTCCCACCACCCGTCTCCTGATGACTCTGTCCGAGGTATTTGGTGGGCCCCCTGCCTCTTCGCGTCTGCTATTACAACGGATAACACGTCAGAGCTACGATCTGTTGTTTTAGCGAGTACCTGAGAGTCACCTACCCACAAAACCTCCGTAATCAATGTGGATTCATTGCCCGCATTGATACCTGAAATTTCTTGCAGCTCAAGATTGTAAATCATCAGCTGCACAGAAGGATTGGGACTCCCACTTTTAGGGTACTTGATCTTGCGCACCTCTGGATAAATATCTTCCTCCTGTTGAGAGAAGTAAGGAATAGGAAATTCGTGTACTTGCGTTTCATTAATCTTCAGAAAAGCTATGAAGTCACCCGAAGGCGACCACCACATGGCCGAGTCGCCTTCAAAAACTTCTTCTTCGTAAACCCAATCGGGTTTCCCATTAAAAACCTGGGGACTTCCGTCATCTGTAACCCTCTTGCTAACAGTGTGGGTTTTAGAGGAATAAAGATACAAGTCGTTCGCATGAACATATGCCACGTCTATTGAATTGGGAGACCATTGAGCTTTCGCGATATTGTGGCCTAAAATGCGAAAAGCGTTTTCAGTTACGTCAAACAGGAAGTACGTGCCAAAGGTGGAGTGCCTCCAATTTTTAGTCGTGTTTGACCTCACTAAAATCTGTTTTAGATCCGGAGATGCTTTAATAAATTCCACGCTGTAATTGTGGCCCTCGTAATCAAAAGTCTTATCGCTTAGGAGCACGCGAGAATACTTTTCATCAAAGACCGATTTTACAACGTAGGAATCAACCTCCTCTCTCAGAAATAACCCTTTGTCGTGATCAGAAGAATTGAAACCGCCTATCCATTGAACAGAGTGCAGTTTGGGGGTGAAAGTCGAATTTCGCACATTTTCGAAGGAAATTTTATTCAGCTGTGGCTTGAGTGATGGTAACGGCCAGTGCCAATTGGCAGTGTTAATGTCACCTTCATGAATCATGAAACCTAGCGTCTTCAAAAAAACTACCAAGCCCCAAAGAAATAATGTCCATAGTGCTGCATTTCTGAGGAAGATATCATTTTTGGTCCTTTTCGTTCTTTGGAGTTGTTCATCCTCGAGATTCTCCAAATCCTCACCTCTATAAACCATTGCACTGCTTTTTCTAGTTCGATAAGGATGTTATTGATCTACAGTGAGTAACTATTGCTGATTGTGGCCCTTACCGGAATGAGACTAGGCCATAATTATCAGGGTTGTTTTGCTCAAAAATCATGAATTTCAAGCGGATAGATAAAAACATAAAAGTACCAGTTAACAGCAATAGACTCATAACTAAAATATCTGCATTCAATTTTGAGCCATGAAATAAATATTACTCAATGACATTTTGAGGGTCTTAACAACGATACGTAGTTACCAGAAACGACAAGATCGAATATAGGAACTTTTTCATTAACACCCACATCTACGTAGATAAATGTCTCGACAAAACCTCAGCACTAAACTCACAGCAATGTGGGAATTCAAGTTCTTGACAGATTTAATGATTTCAGGACAGTCGCGGAATTCCCTGTTAGTCGGGCAGATGGTCCCCATTGTTCAGGTATCCTCTCTAGTTGCGAGTATACTATGAACGCTAAGTGTTTTTAAATGTCCTAAATGATTAGTATATATCCCCTCCCATGACTTCTTAGCGTCTCGTTCGTAGCGGTCTATCTTGAAAAGCAATGCCATTGATCAAAAACACCAGTGTTAGCGAAAAGCACATCATTTTTGAGATCTACTTCCGGTTACAGGCCGGCTCACACTTATTGAGGAGACTTCCAGTGAAGATCAGATCACCCTACTTTCGTCATCTGATGGAAAACCTGGACCTGAGGTCCTCTATTTCGCCAGTTAAATTATGCATATTTTCGATCGAGCCCAAACTCTAACTCTTTTTCGAGATCGAGAAAATCATCCAAAGAGCCCGCTGGCTCCAATCCATTCGTCTCGTCAACCATCGGTGAAACGAGTAGATTCTCCTGTGGACGTGGTGGGAAATCTGTGTCATGTCCAGGCAGGTTTCCAGAGTGTATGCCAATAAATTGGTCATGCATGTCGCCTACAGTGGCTGATGGTTGGGAAAACATTACGTGCGGCTTGAATTCTGCATCTTCGTAGTTCTCTGACATGATGCGGTCATCCTGCATGAATCGCTCTCCCCGCTGTAGCTGTTGCTCCTCTTTTTGTTTTGCTCGTTGAAACTGTAGCAAATTCTGTTCCTCTTCCTGTTGTTGTTGCTGTTGTTGCTGTTGTTGCTGCTGCTGCTGCGCTTGCTCTTCTATCAAAGGTTGTCTCACAAATTGTCTGAAGTCCCGAACTTCATCGAGTATCATTTGTTTTAACTGATCCATCTCGTTGACAGCTTCGAAATTGAAATTGAATTTCTCGCTGCAAACTGGCTCGTCAGCAGGATCATGCCAAATGCTCAAGTAAGGATGTTCAAGCGCTTCTTCAACTGTGATTCGCTTTTTAGGATCAAAAGCCAACATTTTTTCCAAGAGGTCAAGCGCTTGAGCATTGGCGTGAGGATACAACGTCACAAACGGAACTTTGGGAATGTAGCCTAGTTGATGAATGTACTCCTGCACATTTTTGGATCCTATACGTTCAAGAGTCTCCTCAGGTGGAGTCCCCAACACCTGTAGAATCCGGTTTAATTGATCCACATAGTCCTTACCCTTGAAAATGGGCTTCCCACCCAGAAGCTCAGCCAAGATACACCCACACGACCACATATCTATTGCTTTTGTATATCCTTGGTAGCTTAACATGATCTCCGGTGCTCTATACCACCTGGTAGCCACATACTCAGTCAAAAACTGGTTATTTTCAACAGGATTTTCGGAATACCCTCTCGCTAGCCCAAAATCGCATACCTTTAATTGACAATCCGCATTTACCAACAGATTTCCAGGTTTTAGATCTCGATGTAGAACATCCGCTGAATGTATGTACTTTAAGGCGCAAAGGATTTGGTAGATAAAGCTTTGATAGTGCGCATCCGTCAAGGGCTGACCGGACTTTATAATTTGATGTATGTCACACTCCATCAGCTCCTCATATAAATACAGTCCATTGAAAGACGTGTCTGGAGAAAACACAATGTCCATGTCGTACAAACATGTTATGTTTTTGTGACCTCTGAAGTGCCGAAGAAGTTTCAATTCTCGCAGTGATCTTTTGCATAGTAACGTCTTGGCAAAGATATTCGTTACCTTTTTGATCGCTACATTGGTCTCTTCACTAGCCTCTGTAAACTTTGCGGAGCATACTATTCCGTACGCGCCATGCCCTATCTCTTTGATCAGTTGGAATCTCTTATCGACAGTAAAGTCCTGGTTAAAAACTTTAAACGTGTGTCTTTCCAGAGCTTCTACCATTGTGAAGTCTAATTCGGTTTAGAGAAAGACACTAACAAACAGCTGTGTGGTCCTTAGTTGTTTCTCAAAGCTTACGTTGGCGTATCCCTTTGCACACGTTAGAGAAATCCAGGATTTTCCAAAAAAAATTTTCGATTAAGTAGATGACGACCAGTCAGCGCCAAGTCAAACAGGTAAAGCTTACTTGAAAAAGACACGATTCACGAACGCAGTTCTGAACGTTGGTGTTACTTGCACACTGCTTGCACACTGCTTGCCTCTTTGACACTGTTTAATTAGTAGTCAATTTCTCCAAAAACTCTTTGTGGACATACATTCTAATAAAGAGTCACCGTTTTTATCCCAATTATAAACGGCTGATGTAGTAAAGGCTTTGAAGCTTCTCGGACAAGGCACCGAATGATCCGCGATTCCCCAGCCTGTCGAAATAGTGTTGATGCTAAAAATAGGAGCTGAGATGCGACGTTTTTTTTATTTTCCGTCGTGGGCCTAATCGGTTTCGCGCCTTTTTTTTCTTACTCTAAGCACAAGCAAAAATGAACGGTCAATAGACAACTTGCGAGGCTTGGGGGCTGCCAAGCGCCAACGTGAGTGCATTGTTCGCGCTTAAAACGCTTATTCATATTCACTACCAGGCAATTTTTTGGAATAACTGCGCAGATGTGTGCACAGATGATGTGTGCAAACAGACTTAAGCAGACACGATTTCTAACGTTTTGTAGAACTTTTTGACTTTGTCGTTTGCCTTAATTGCTCTTGAATCAAAGTTTATGATTTGAAGCCGTTCTTTTGATACGGCTCTTGATAATGCCACGTAAACTTGGCCCTCTTCAAAAATTTTCCTGAGGTCGACTTTGAGTCGATCTATTGTTTGGCCCTGTGCTTTATGAATGGACAATGCCCAGCATAAAATTAGCGGCAGTTGTATTCTGCTAACACTGGTTTTTTGGGCCGGAACATCGACCGTAAACTCGGCCGGCAAAATTAGTTCAAACCGAAATCCGTTGGTTGGTGTTGTAAAACGGATGAGAGGGTAGGAACTGTGCTTGTTCTCGCGTTCTGCCAGTTTCAGTAACAATCGTATACTTTCTGCCCTGTTGAATGGTCTCATATTAATTTCCGCTTCGATGTCTTTGGGATAATTGTGTTGCACCAAGCCGATACATCGGTTAATAAGTCTCATATCTAGAACTAGATCCGGATCACTTAGGTTTGGGGAGGGATACAGTTCCAACATTTTATGGTATAACACCTCTGTAGTGAAAAACAGCAATTTTCCAACCGAGCCGTTCACCAGAGTCTCGTCAACGTTCTTGATCATCATTACCTGAGCATCTTCTTTCAGCGCCAAGTTTTTTTCAACCATCAAAGAATCTAAGATCTTCAATAAATACGGGTTGTCGCTTGTGGTTTGATCTTGGGCTTGAAATATCTTGACATCACCAGCCAGTCTATCTAGCATTCGCTTGTTTGATAAATCAACTTCCCGTCGCGTTGGGTAAAGCTCAGTAGGCATTATCCCATCAGAGTAATCGACCTCTCTTTCATATTTTTTAATTTGCTGTGCAATATGAGAGCTGACTTCACCAAATCTGATTTTATTTAATAAGTCCACCAGTTCTGGGTCTTTCTGCCGAAACACTTGTGTCAGGCAGATGGTATTGTCAATTGCTTGTTTCCAAACCTTACTTTCGAAGCAGAACGTAGGCTTCTCCACGCTTGGGTCTCTGTCAGCCACGGGAGGTAGTTGGAAGAAATCGCCAGTCAAAACTAGCTGTATACCTCCAAACGGTTTGTTTGGAACTCGCCTCACGTCTCTTGCAACATAGTCCATTTTATCTAGAAACCTTCCATCAATCATAGAGCACTCATCAATAATTAATACGCTGGTACGCTTCCACCGCTCGCTATTAGTCTTGTTCCGGTTGACCTGGGCGGCCAATTTTTGCACACTTCCCATTCCAATATTTATGCCTGAAAACCTGTTGACCGTTATTCCACCAATATTGACTGCTGCGAGACCAGTGGATGCCGTTATTGCCACAGCCGATTCACCATATCGGGCACGCAACTGTTTGACGAGTTCTCGTAGTACCACAGACTTACCAGTACCAGCGGAACCTGTGTAGAATACGTTTTTTCGTTCCGAAACTATTAGATTTATAACTTTGCGCTGTTCTGCAGTGAGTTCAATACTGGGAGAAGCTTTGAAAGAGCCTTTGCTGGAGTTCAATTGAGGTGACGCAGCTCGCACAGGTTTCAATTTCTTACTCATGGAAAATGAAAACTCAGACACAACGGATCTTTTAGCGGCCGTTCTTCGCGTTGATGACGCTGTATCGGAGACATGAGAGTATGTGAGATTCTCAGATGAGCTAGCACCTCTGATAGACTGCTGTCTGCCGGACTTCGTCGTCGCGAAGCCTGACCGAGGCGCCATGATTTTCGGCTGAGATTTGAAGTTGAGAAGTGGGGTCTCGTTCACCAGCTTCGAGAGTTCACTGTCACCGGGAGAGGACTCGTCAAAGGAACCAGAGGACTCGAAAATCGGTTTTTTGCTCGCCAAAACCGACCGTACAGGCTCGGCGGCTATTTCAGAGGTGCCCACTAATCGCCGTGTTTTCTTCCCGAAAAAGCTAGTAACCGTTTTCTGGCGCATCTCTGGTTTGAAACCGGCAAGAGCATCGCTTTTGGCGCTCTGCTTCTTATTACGCTGTGTGAACATGTCCTTCTTCTTCTTTTTGAAATTGTCTTTTCGCCCTGAAAACGACAAACGAGGTCTACCAATTGACTCGCAAGCTCTGAACGTCTATTGTAACTTCCAGCTACCCTTCAAGCACGCGCTGTCTTCAGTTCCGCGACCTGTCTAATGATGCTGAACGCGTCAAGCTCTGATCAAGTTACTGATATTTTCAAAATTTATGAAAAACAATCGTTAATCACTCCGGACGGAAACATAAGTTGAAAAATGAAATTTTGAATTTCACCGGTGAAGATGAGCTGCGAAAAGGTTTTATATCAAGCCGGAGTGACAAATAGCGGACTCATCGGTTGACGACTTGTTACACAGCATTCGAGGTTAGGCCAGATTTGCTTAAGCTGACTTTAGGGAACCAGGATCTGCCGCAAGATGACTCCACAGACTAAGCAGTTCACGCACACGGTGGGCGAAAGACGCTCATCGGTTATACATTCAAATGGAATCATCAAGGGAGGTATCTACAATCCTGTAGACTATCTCGGCCAGGACGAGGCTGCAGTTGAGGACATTGAGCCGTTAGATCGCGAGTCGAATGGTCACGACTCTCTTTTCGACACCAACAATTCTCGGACTTTACAGAGTAAAGCCGACCGTAACTCCTATGGGGCCATAGGGAGCCCGGATTTCGGCGCCCAAGACGTGACGAACCCTGATACCTCACGTAACTCGTATTCTCGCGATCTAATCGAGGAGGAACGCAATCTGCTCATTGACAACAAGTTGTTTGACGAAGATGGGCAGCTTACTAGCGTTCCCGAGGAACAACGCGAGGAGCAGATACGACAAACCTGGGAAGCTGCCATCGAATCCGGCAAGGCTATCACCACGACTTATCGTCGCGAGTGCCAAGTGCTGCTCAAAAACGCAATTCCGCTGGTGTTCACGTTTGTCATGCAAAACTCGCTTTCTCTGGCTTCGGTATTTACAACTTCACACCTAGGTATTAACGAGCTTGGTGGTATAACACTGGGGTCCATGACTGCTAATATCACCGGTTTTGCGGCCATTCAAGGTTTATGCACATGTTTGGATACTCTCTGTGCTCAAGCGTATGGTGCCGGAAACTACCACCTAGTTGGAATTTTGGTGCAAAGATGTGCGCTCATAACAATCCTTTTTTTCATGCCTTTCCTTTGCATATGGTGGTTTTGGTCTGAGTCTATTTTGACAGCGCTAATTCCGGAGAAGGAGCTGTGCAAACTCGCTGCTAACTATTTGAAAATTGTCTCAATTGGTGTACCAGGATTCATCTTTTTTGAATGCGGTAAAAGATTTTTGCAGTGTCAAGGAATTTTTCACGCCTCCACTATTGCACTGCTTTTCTGTGCTCCTTTCAATGCCGTCATGAATTATGTGCTAGTATTGGATAAAAGATTTGGAATTGGTTATATTGGTGCGCCTATTAGCGTTGCTCTAAATTATTGGTTGATGGCTTTTGGTCTACTCCTTTACACAATGTTTACGAAACACAAGATTAATCCCCGTAAGTGCTGGAGTGGTACTATCAAACCAAACCAAGTTTTTAGGAACTGGCGCAAAATGTTCAACTTGGCCTTACCTGGTGTTATCATGGTTGAGGCCGAGTTTTTGGGGTTTGAGCTTTTGACGATATTTGCTTCACATCTAGGAACCAATGAACTGGGAGCACAGTCCATTGTATCAACAGTTGCATCATTGTCGTATCAGATTCCTTTCTCCATTTCTATATCTACCAGCACACGAGTTGCCAACTTTATTGGAGCATCTCTATATCAAAATTGCATCGTCACTTGCAAAGTGTCACTACTTTTGTCATTTGTCGTCAGTTTGCTGAATTTATCAACCATCTACACTTTGAGAGTCCAAATAGCAAATGCTTTCTCAAAGGATCCTGCAGTAGTTGGCTTGGTTGTGAGCATATTGCCCTTACTTGCATTTATGCAGATATTTGACGGTTTCAATGCCTGCACTGCTGGCTGCTTAAGAGGTCAAGGTCAGCAAAAAATTGGCGGGTACATCAATGTACTTGCGTTCTACTGCATCGGAATACCCATGTCATACATCCTAACATTCAAGTACGAGCTGGGCATGGCCGGCCTGTGGTACGGAATTACCAGCGCCCTAGTTTTCATGAGTATTTTCCAGAGCTATGCTGTTTTCTCATGCAACTGGAAAGAAATCATCAAAGCGGCCAAATCAAGGACTTCCGAGCGCGATGGAGTGTGAACTTTGATTGAACCAAAAAAAGATAATTTAGACTATAATAAATTCACTTTTAATTTTTCTTTAATTACGTGCATTACGCATACGTCTTCGTGAGACTGGCAGCTAAATGAGCTAAATTAGCCGTAGTGTTTCAGTATCTCATTCAAGTTATTATAAAGCCATGGGACGGTTTTTTTATTTTGAACCCTTATACTTTCGAAGTATTTGATAGACTCATCAATACTAAATCCGTAGCGTGTTGAATACTTCTCGATCTCACAAGCCAATGCTCTTCGCCTTTGATACGTTCGAACTTTGGGTAGTCTGGATAGCTGACCTTTTCCAAATCTTTTCTCGAAATCTAAAATTTGAGGCCTTAAGCTGCATTCATACTCCTGGTACATATCCATAACTGTTTTCGGGTTGTCACTCATTCGAAACTTAAAATCCTCCTGTTTAACCTGAGTGGCTTTTGTCGGACACCCAAATTCTGCAAGGTTTTCGATATTAGGTCTCGCCAGAGGCTTTAGTTGGGGTCTCACTATTGGTTTACCAGAAGGAGACTCAACGATAAGTAGTTTCTGCGTTTTATGGTATTCTGTGTATTCATTTTCGTCTTGAGCTAACGGTACGCCTGGACAAGCCTTCTTAAAAGGTGCATATGGAGATTCAGATATTTGTTTTCTTTTCCACGGTGACGGTGAACAATGATTGGTAAAGAAAGTGTGCACGTTGAATGACAATGGATATTGGTTTAATGGGGACAGATCCTGGCTCGAATGTATATGGCGTTCGATGGTGGATCCAGGGCGGGGCAGTTTTTGTGAGCTTATCGAGGGAAGCCAGTCCGAAGGTCTCCCTGGCTTCTCCTTTGGTGTGATTGCAAATTCTTCTTCACTTGATGGTGGTAAGTTCAGCGTTCCAAGAGACGTGTCCACTATCGAGCTAAAAACGTTGTTAGATCTATCTTCTTCCAAGTTCAAGTATTTTTTGATCCGATCCAGATCGACAATGATAGTAGAATTTTGTTCTTGTACAATGTCAAGCTTAGCTTTCATAAGCCTAAGTTCGTCGTCTGACGTCTCGCAGACCGAAGAACAAATATGGTCCCAATCTTGCGTCAGATTGTCAATACGAACTTTGAACGAATCGATAACCTTGTCCAAACTCATCCAGCTCTTTGATGGCGCGCAAACTTATGTGAATAGATTTTCGTATCAAGCGTAATGGTTTAGTGCGAGGTATTGATATGATGACGATATAAGCGCAAGGAGCGTATTATTTGTATCGAATATATTTAATAACACCAACTTTTCAAATTTCCTACCGGGCACATAAACAACGCTACCAGAAGAGACTCCTAAACCTATAATGTGACCCAAAATAGTCCTGAAATAGCCTCTGTTTTACTGGTGACACAACTCTTTCCGAAATCTAGCTCAATAATTGTTTTTGTATTTTTTTAGAATACTGACGTTGCTGACCTACACAAACACAGCGACTCGTACGTAATGCCTTCAGATCTACAACATAGTGGGAGATAGATAGCCGCTATGAGTTTAGTAAATATGTTCTCTAAACGAAAGCCGCTTCTCAGCTAATGGCTTGGGAGAGGAGTCTTTACAACCAGCGGGGAAATCTTAATCAGATGCCATTGTCAGAGTTTGCTAACAAAAAGCTCGAGGTGGCTAATGCACGTATCGCGGTCACAAGAATGTAGTAGTAGTAGTTGTTGTTGTTAGTTTATCTGCGAGATGTTAATTTTAATATACAGGGAGTCTTATAACTTATGCTTTGGCCTTCTTGGCAGGAACAACTGGTTCTGTTTCCTCGGCAGTTCTCTTCTTTGCCTTGTTGATGCGAGATGCAAATACCTTGTTTAATTCATCAGGGTTTGCAATTTCTAACAACCCAGCGTCGAAATGGGATATTTCGAGCTCGGTGCCATCAATGGTGACTTTTTGTAAAGAAGAACCCTTAGATTTGTCTTCCTTTTGTTTGACCAACTCATCCAATACATTTTGGTTGTAGTACAATGGAAGCACAGGGGACTTGTTGACCTTCAAGAAAATAGATCTGACTTGAGAGTCTTTAACTAGTTGCTCTACAACCATTAGCACGTTTGTCGCTAGTTCCTCAACGGAAAACCATTCAAGGTTACCTAAGTGAGCATTTAGAGTGGTACCACGAGGCATCTTAACAGGCAGAGCGTTGAGGTAAACCTTTTTGATACTGTTGACCAGAGTTGTCAAAGAAAATGCTCCGTTCTTGTTGGTTTTGATAGGAACTGGTGTTGTTGAGACTTTTTCGTAAGCCTTACCACCTAGAATCTTTGGTAAAGCTGTCACGACGGAGTCGTCTGCTAGGATGAGGGAAAAATCTTGAACAAAGGCTCTTCTTTTCTCAAAAGCCTTATACTTAGTTTTTAGATCGTTGCCGGTAATCACAGCGTCAACCGTGATTCCAGATTCGTGCAATTGATCGTAAAGCTGGTCTTCTGTACATTTGGCCGCGTCTTGATCCTTCAATATTAGTAGAAGCTTGAAATCTTTCACGGAAGTCTCGCTGGCTTGTTTCCAAGGTTTGAATAGGGAATGCTCGATCTTAAATTGCTTAGGTTTGAAAGCTTTCTTGTTGCTGGAAAACGAGGTGGTGTTGACAGCAATTAGCTCTACCTGTTTGTCTAACTCATCTTCATCCTCTAGAAGTTGATTCGAGCCGCCATTCTTCTCCTTCTCACTATCAGTGAACTTTGAGAGCTCTTGCACGGCGCGTACGATTCTGTCCTTTGGAATTACAGTTTCAGGTTCTTTGGCGACTGGAGCAGCCTTAGACTTCATCACTAGCTTCTCACCCTGTTTCTCAGTTTGTTTCACGGCCTTCTTCTTCTTCTTGGATGGTGTTGATGCTGGAGTGGAGACAGGTGTCGCGTTTTTGCTTGGAGCCTTTTTTGTCTTCACTGGGGGCGTAGACACAGGTGTCCCACGCTTCGACCCATTATTCTTCTTTACAGGCGTTCCTTTGGCCATTTTGATGTTCTATAGCTACAGTACCGTGGAATTTCCTCTTTTGTAGCACTTCTTAAGAATATCTGATGAGCAGTATATGAGATGAGATGAGATGGAGATGAGATGCGATGAGATGCGAAGGTGAAAATTTTCAGATGTCGCCTTTAGAGCACACTTCACGACAACGTAAAAACGCACTTTGATCTATGGAAACATGAAGTGAAAGAGCTTGCAAAGCATAGGAAAGGGGCATGTCTCTTTCTGTTAACTGCTAACTCCATCGATTCATTTAAGATTGTGCAATTGTGATCATTTTTGTCTTTAGTCGATTTCTTGCATCAATTCTTGCCATTTTCTATTTTGTTTTCGCTAATGAAGTCTATTTAACTATGAAATCTTGTCAAGTAGACGATGACAACTATCCTTACCCAGAAAGTCGGCCTTTGAATTAACAAGATTTTTTTAGAACCAAGGGCTTGCTAATGCTCCTGCAATTCAAAGTGTAATATTACAGTACATGTGAAGAGCATAAAACGCAACAATGGTTGAGAACGATGATATATAAACAGGCATGAATAATGCTGCTACTTGCGCTGAACATAATGAGCCTTGTATTTTACACCTCAGATTGGAACATGGACTTCCAAAATTATTACGTCGGAAAAACAAAATGTGATGATAGGCTGATCAAAGTCAGTTCTAGGAACTCCTTGATGCTAGTCGGATAGTTGGGGATGAATTATAATGACCTAGATGATGCAAAAATAGACACTAGAGAGTAGCTCCTCACCAAATATCGTTATGGCACAGAGGAGCAATTTATGCGATTTGGGCCATTTGATTTAAAAAAATAGGCTCAACAACAGCTTGCTGTAGTGTTACTCTGAGACTGAGATTCTCTACAAAGCACAAACCCTTAATGAATATATATTGCCATAGCCTGTCTCCATAACCCTACATGTATACGCGAAGGATTTTCGCCATTACAATTTTACAAGGTGAGAAACAAATCATGGATTGTTTTACCACACAATTCATAAGTGAAGCATTGATACTAACAATATAAGATATTTTACCTGTATTAACGCACTTATTTCATTTAGGAGGGCGACGATACGAAAATCTTCGAATTTATAGCAACTGTACCAGCCACAGTGAGTAGTTTAGCAGAGAGTGCGTACACCGTAAGCAGGCCTCATCATTCACTCAGTTTTATTGCTCGACAACGGGGGGCAGCCTTTTAAGTGTAGCTTAGGAGAATATCTTGGATTTTGATAGGCATCACTTTATACCATAGTGTCATTACTAAGTATAGCAGCTCTAATATTTCAAAGCCAAGTTGTGGCAGAGACATAGTTTATATCAAGAGTCCAGAATCAGACAGAGACGTTCAACAGAGTTGGGCGCCTTTAGATCCTCATGTTTGTTTGTAGGAAACGCTGTATATATATTACTCCAACGAAATAGTGGTCGCTGAATCCTAGCCAAATTTGCCCCTCGCTTTTAATCCACAGCGATGCCAAAGCACTTCTGATCATGAACTATTAATAACCTAGTTGGACCGCTACTGTTATGCTTCTTCCTCAGTAAGAAATATTGATATATTTTGGCTGCCTTTCCCACATGACCAATAACATGAATAATAGTATTAATATTTTGAGAAGTAATCAAATTACACGTCTATCGTAGTACTCAGAAATCCATCAATAAGGTTGTCGAGGCCAAAATGGGTAAGAGAAAGAAGTCTTCTAGAGGTCCGGCCAAAAAACTGACACAGAGACTGGACTTGAACTTTAACTGTCTCTTCTGTAATCACGAAAGATCGGTTACATGCACATTAGATAAAAAAAACAGTATAGGATCATTGTCCTGCAAAGTTTGCGGCCAGAGTTTCCAAACGCACATCAATGCGCTTTCCCAACCCGTGGATGTATACAGTGATTGGTTCGATGCTGTGGAAGAGGTAAATGCCGGGAAAGTCAGCGATTCAGAAGGCGACAGCGATTCAGCAAGCGATTACGAAAGCGACTCTGACGCTGAAGAAACGAACAAAAGACGTGCACAAGTGGGTTCCGATGCAGAGGAGCTGTCGGAAGAAGAAGAAGCCATTGGCAAAAGAGCGCGGGGCCACATCGTGGATTCCGAAGAAGATGACGACGATGATGATGACGATGAGTGAACAAATGCACTTGTTCTTTTCTAAATCCCAAAATATAAATAATAATAATATTTTCCTACAGTTCTTAATTAAACTGGCACAGCTCGATGCCATTTTGGTGTTTGGGGTGATCTATTCATTTGCGTGGATGACGTGGACGTGACAAAATATGCGGAGGCGGGGTGCTGGAGCCCTCGGAGTCGATAGGACGCCAAGGAAGCTCTCAGATACCTGCTTTCTAGTTGGTAAACAATTCCTCCTTCAGAGGGATCCCCAGCTCGGCTCTAACGTCTTTCAACTCCTCCAAGTAAGCGTTGTACTGCTCCTCGTTCTCAACCTTGTACTTAAGAGCTTCGAACACACGGATAGCAGTAGGCAAGTCGTTCACTCTTCTGGCGGCTCTGAGGGCCTTTTCGACCACAGCTGGTGCAGGCACGAGATCGTAAGAGAAACAGTTGTTCAACACTCTCTGCACTTCGAACAAGTCGTAAGCCTGGTCAAACTCTTTTTCGTATCTTACGGTGAACTCTTCGAAGGTCTCTTCGTCGTGTTGGTCAGAGTACTTCCTTATGGACTGAAACTGGGTCATCTTTGGCATCGCTCTCATGGCGTTTTTGCCTGGAACGGCTAGCAAGCTTCTGTTCACGCGAACATTTCTAAAAAGGGCTCTGGAAAACATTTTTGGACACAACTGGAATTATTCTATAGCTATCTCAAAAAAGTGCTAGCAAATGCTTTAATACCACGGTTTGACAAAACTTCTTAGGCCTTAAAGTTCCCTCCTTTCTGAAATGTAGCTGTTTCGATCATTTTTCAATTTTTTTCAGATATCGGGTTAGCCAAAATTGAAGAAAACTAAAATCGAGGAAATCCGGGTCTTCGATTGGTTCGTATACAGTTACGAATATAATGCACCAAGTCCGAATATGATGAGAATATAGCTAGATGGGTAGTTTTGAATCATTCAACGTCGTCGAATATCGACCTAGGCGGTACTGCCGTGCGGAAACGAGCGATCTCGGGTGCTGCCGGCCCATTGGAGATTGTGGTACTCGTAGCGCTGTCTCCGTCGTGGGAAACACTGTCGAGGGTTATAGAGGCGTTGGAAGTAGTCAAGAGAACGTGGTGGCCCTCAGGCAAGCCATGTCCCGACTCGGAGGGGTTTACGCCGGGAAAATCGTTAGCACTGGGCACGTGACACGACGGCCATAGGCCCTTATGCTTGTTTGGCGACTCTTCGAGTCTTGAGTAGTCGAACTCGGGTGGTGGAGAAGTTGGGGGTGATATCAGGAACGTAGCTTCATGCTGTGGGAGCTCCAGGTACTGTGTTGGTCCCACTGGAGACGCGGCGTCAACCATAGAAAACTGGAAATGCACCTGATCTAGCTTGGGCCACTGGCGTTTAAGCGAAACTACATTTTGCGCAGTTTCGTGCGTTGGGCACACTAGCACAGATCTATGCAGGGCCGGAAGTGCCACCAGCTGCATTGGGTGCGCTGCAGTGACGGTAAAGCGCGTTAAAACTATAGTTTCGAGAAATTCGCGAACCTGCTCCAAAATTTCATTTCCAGCAGCATTTCCATGAGCAGACGTAATAATAACAGTGTTGGTCACCATTTCCGCATATCTACAGCTCGCAAAAGAGTTTATGAGATCTTATAAGTGAGTTTTTTTGACATGTTATTAGTTTGATGGCATTGATCTAAGTTATATTCGCATACTTCATTGAGGCATCGCTCCAGACGTAATTGATTTCCGAAGCCTTCTAACAGTACTGAACCCATCTACGCTTCTAACTTGTAATGTGCTGTGATTTTATCTCACTATTTACATATGTACATCGTTGCCTTTTGAGAAACTTGCTAACAAGTAAAAGTTTAGACCGGATATGAAGACCCACAATGCCACAGAGCATATTGTAGTGAACAGACTATTGCTCATGTCTACGTACAACGCATCTGAAGACTCGTTTGTAGAATGCTCGCTAACGGCATCTTCGCTTTCATCACGTTGGTTGTTATCTAAGCGGTTAAGATCTTGTAAGGGAATGCCCACGTCACGCATGTCGTAGTAACAGTTGTTCGCCAATTCTACACGCATGATCTTCTTGCTGCTGGTGAAATAGAGCAATGGCGCAGACACAAACGGCAGCAGTAGAGATAACACTACTTGGGAGGCGTTCAATGCACCACTGAGGCCCCGCCGTCCTGCGACTAAGACCAAAATTAAACATGGCGTAATGGCCACAGCCCGAGTCAGCGCTCTGCGGAACGCTGGTGCAATTGACCAATTCAAAAACCCCTCTGATACCATTTGACCACTCAATGTACACACTATACCCGCGGATTGCCCGGAGAATAGCAGTGCCAAAACGAAAATTGTCCCTGCAGCCTTTGATAGACTTTTGCACAAAAGCTCGTAGATCGAGAAAAGATCGGCTGTTGAGTCCTGAGAGGTTCCGTACAGCGTGGCACCAGCCACTATGAGAATCGAGCAATTGACGAACAGCGCGACAGTGAAAAGTGATATTAGTAACTCTGTGATAGTATACGTAAGAGTGTCATTGATCGCGGCATGCGAAGGTTTGTAATTGTCGTGGTTATTGTCAATGTCTGTCTCACTGGGTTTGTAATGACCATTATCGATATCGTAGTCCCTTAATCGCGGCTGTACAACACCAGAGCCAAGGTATAAACTATGAGGCATTACAGTTGCGCCCAAGATAGCCAAACTTAAGTAAATTCCATCACCCTCCACAACAGCCTTGCTTGGTAGAAAGCCACGAAATACATCGCCAATGTTATCAATGCTTACCGAGAACAGTTCCACGGAAAAACATATGACCGTGCCTATGACCAAAAGAGAGACGAACATCTCAAACCACCGGATTAACCGCAGTGAGCCGTTCGGCTTGTAAGCCATTAGGACCACTAGAACGTCTACAACTGTGAGAATAACACCCAGAGGCAGCGGTACGTTAAACAGGATGTTGAGAGAAATGGCCGTTCCAACCACTTCCGCCAAGTCAGTTGCAATAATGGCTACTTCAGCCAGGATGTACAGCATCATGTTCAGATTTGGAGGCAAGTGTCTCCTGCAATTTTGGGCCAAATCCAATCCGGTAACAGCACCCAGTTTGGCGCATAAACACTGCCAGAATGCCGCCATCATGTTAGCCACAAGCACCGAGAACAACATTTTGTATCGATGGGCAGACCCTGCTGCTACTGCCGTGCTGAAATTGCCCGGGTCCATGTATGATACCGATACCATGAGACCAGGCCCGATAAACCTACCATATTTGCGTAAAACATCAATGATTTTCCACGTCGATCGTGTCACTAAAGGTGTATGGTCTATAGTCGGAGCATTAGTGATGTCCACTTCAATCGATCCGGAACGTCGTACTCGCTGGTAATCAGACATATAATTCGAAGAGGAGGGAGTAAATGTGACGAAAGGCTCTATGATCGCTCTTGTTCTTATGATGGGAAAGCTCGAATATTGACAACATATTTTACATCTATCAAATGTCGTTCAAGATCACATGATTGTAGCATGCGCCTATATCTATATAATACTATGTATAGTCTAACTCAGTTAGTTTGCCTGAAGCAGTGTATCGTTTTTGACACAATGGCAGTAATCTATAAGTTTTATGCACCATTTGTCATTTGTTTTAGTTTTGGGTTCCCACAGCAGATGAAATTTCTTCAACAATAGGTCTGATAATATCCTTTTTGTTAGGAACCATGTGGCCGCCTGGGTGTTCGAAACATTTTGCAAGGTCTGTAGACTCCGCTCCATTAGTGTAAATGTTGTATAGGTACTTGGATCTCGTCGCTGGAACGGCCACATCGCTGGCGCCCCACACAAATAACATTTTAGTGGGACTGTCAGCGAGCGGGGTGAAGCTGTCTTGAAATTTCTCCGCGATACGAAGCTGGTCTGTGTTTTGAGGGTCCGGTTCTGTGAAGGAGTAGCCAGAGAATATGAGACTGACTTTGAAAGGAGGGTGGTCTGGAACCAGTTGTGTGATTTTGTTGGTGACAATGGCGGCTACAGCAGCACCCTGGGAGAAGCCTACAATTCCATCGTATGGACCTTCGGCCTTAATATGGTCTGACACGGTCTTAATAGCCTGCGACAAATCCAGATCTTTGGAGATTTCGGAATGGTAGAACCAAGACTTGTTCAGTTGCGCATCTACTGTGGCTTGCCATTTCTCGTCATCGATCTCGAAGGGCAGGTCCTTCTGTTCCAAAGTGGTTGGACCGTCAATATAGTCACACTGCACATTTGCTTTCTTCAAAAGTTTTCTAATACCAGAGGATTTCTCCGAAAACACTTTACCGTTCTGCAAAAAGCCATGTAGAAACAACAATTTAGGAGCAGACATTGTGAAAAATGTAAATCAAGTATTCGGTGAGCAAGGTTATCACGAATATACCCTGGGTTATCGTCAAATTCGTTTTGATGTCAAAGAATTTAAGTAGCCGCCTCAGTGAGAACATCTTTTATATATTTTCCAAGATTCGAGTTTTCTAAACGCCGAACTGAAAAAGAATAGAAAATAGTAAGACATATAATCTTGGTAAGCTCTAATCGACCTTATGTCTGGATAAAAGTACTCTTTGCATTGTCATGGGTAGGCAGCTTTGTCTTCCACAATTATCTGGGTCAGAAAGTACGCTTTAAATTTCGAGCGAACCCGAGTTGTTAGTTATCCATGTCGTGAATTATTATGCTAAATAAGTGTAATCGCGAGAAAGAACAAGTGTTAGTGTTCTGGAGCTGGCCAGATATATATACATATATCGTGTCGTTGCCAATGTCAGAATTCATATTTTTTGCCGCTAGTCCCATGCGTAAGGACTCTTGGATCTCAAAGAAGCCCCATATCGAGTGAACAGAAAAGGCACGGGAATCATGAGCATAGCGACCATTGCAAGCAGAAAACTTGCCCAGTTAATGCCCATGCCACGGTACATCTGCAATGTGAAAAGTGGGAAAACTCCGCCCATCACAGATCGTACAAACGAATTACAAGCCATTGCTGACGCCGTATACAGGCGGAACGCATCAACGGTGTAGCCGAAAACACCCGCAAACACGAAGAAAACACCAGCGCCGAAAACTCCCGTCCCTATTATTGGTGCGATCCAGTGGACGTGGCTGTAACTAGTCCATGCAAAGATCATCAGTCCCATGGGACTGAGGAAAGCACCATAAAACAATGGCTCGAATCTGAATTCTGGCACACTTACACCGTTATTTCTGCTCACGCGTTGTTGGTATCTTTTTTGAAACCATAAACTCGTCGGAGCCGCCATAAAGATGCCAACTAGGAGGCCCATATATGAGACTCCAACTTCAACTTTGGTGAAATTGTACAAAGTCGTAAAGACTAAAGGAAATGCAAGGAAAAACATGTAGATAATTGCGAGAACCAGTCCAGTGTAGAAACACAGGACACCCATCATTGGATCTCGCGTGAGCAAGCCAAAAGGCCGGCCAGCGGATATTGTAATGGCATTCCTGAATGAAATTTCGCGACGTTCAACTTCGAGCGGCGCATAGTAACGATCGTCACCGGTTTCACGCCGCAATCGTTCAGCTTTTCTCAGAAGCAAAACAGGTTGGTACGTTTCCTGGAAAGCTACCGTGAGTAGCCCTAAAAATATTACGGACTCAATGATCATTACGATGAAAGTCCAGCGGTACGAGACGCCCGAAAGCGCTCCACTGATCAAAGGTCCCAATGCTGGGCCTAAAAATGTAGCCGTTGTGTAGATGGTCATCGGAACACCAATCTGTTCCTTAGAAAACATGTCGCTGATGACACCTCCAGCAACACTTAGGAAAGAGCTGCCAAAAAACCCGGACAGATAGCGGCCAATGAGGAGCGCAGTAATATTCGTGCCCCAGGTTGTGAGAAACAAAAAGCAGGTGCTGAGCGCTAGAGACCATACGAATGTAGGTTTCCTGCCGTAGAGCTCGCTTAGCGGGCTCAACAGTAGCGGGCCAGTGCCCATTCCCCAAAGGTATAGTGACAACCCGAGGATCGACACCTCTTCCGAGATGCCGAATCTGCGCCGGATATCATCTTGCGCCAATGACCAGCAGCTGGAGGTCATCGTGATGTCTGCTGACGTGAACGTCACCAACATGGCTACGAACCACTTGCGTAGCAGTGGCATTTGCTTTTCCACGTTCTCCGGGTCGCTCGCTTCCAGCACCACTTCATAGTTGACTTTTTCTGTACCAAAATTAGGCCCCAACTGAGTAGGAGTTGCGCTAGATTTTTCCAGGTCGCTAAGTTGCGTTTGTGAAGCCATGAAACTAGTTTTCTTGCAATTAATACTCGAGCTGTGTGAAGAGATCTGGTAATCTATGTCAAAAGCTTCGAGCTGCAAGTATACCGTTATTCACAAAGGATGTCGTCCAACACAATGCAACTTAAGTCCTCTATACTTATACTGTTGGCAATATCGATCTATTCTATAAGCGCTATTCACATTACTCATACACTTTTATTGGGTTTTTACTTGATATGCAAGTTGGCATGCACTTAATGTCGTCTTGGCATTGATTTTTTGCTTGACAATGACAAATTCGAATATGCGGTAATAAGCGGCCGGGCGGCGGATAGGGACGGCCAAACCCGCCTAAGCATAGATTCATAAATCAAGCTCTGGAAACTAACGGATACACGAGAGAGAAGACACAGGGGAACGCTAGCGCAAACGCTAAAATTGATCGGCTGGAGAATCAGAGAGTGTGCTATTTTGAAATTAACGATAACTGCAGGAGCTGTTTTTGTCAAAAAAGATTCACAAGAGTTTCTTGTGTTTATGATGAATGCGATGGCCCTGTTAGGCGATGAAGAGACTCTTGAAGATATTCGAGTTGTTGTGTCGACGTCTATTGAAAAGAGTAGTATTAGTTTGTAATAAATCAGCTGCGTGCTGAGGAAGTGTCAGCGCTGCGTGCATCTAAAAATGGCACATGTCACTTCAAAGAGCACCGTCGTCGCTATCAGGATGGAAATTTGATGCTTGCGCTGGGGGATGACAGCTACGTTAATAAGTGCCTTGCTCTATTACAAAATTGATTCAAAAGGATCTGAAAGTGACCTTAGGAGTAGTTCAACCGGACCCCCATCTGCCGACAGCTATCAGATATTAATGCAGCGCCATCAGACTCGCGCTTTGTAAAGGTGTGGGTAATGACAGTGCCAAGCTTTGGTGTGACAGAATAGTACATAGTGATATGGTGCGGACGAGAGCACGGTAGTTCCGGGCCCAAAGTTAGCGGCCAGAGGTTCAATAAGGGGTTTATAGTTTGCTGATACAGTTGCGTTTCAATCACGTCTTCGAATGACATACATACCATTGGTTTGCTCCAGTGAAAAGTCGTGGATCTAAAACTAAGAAAACCACAGATATACTAAGACTAACGCAGACAAGAAGACTAGCACATAGAAGGCAAAATTGCCGACTTTTAGCAGTGACACCTAGTTGTATAGAGACGAAGCTAGGTTGATAAGGATAGTATTATTGATATTGGTCTCTGTCGACTACGCCATTCTTTTGAACAAGCGTTGGCTGGTAACCTTTCTAACATTTTCTATCTATTGTAAAATCGTTTGAATTCATATGTAATTTGAACAGCTGGATGCACTCATCTAACAGATCTGAGTTAGAGAGACTTGACTGACGCTGCTTTCTGCTTAGTGCCGTAACATCGCCCTACCAGTGGAGCCAATACCGTATGGGATATAATTACTATCTTTCATGTCACTTTGTACTATTTGAACGCGGCAAACTGACAACATATAAGTTTAATCCGTAACTGGGGGAAAAACAAATGCTTTGTTTCAATTTCTGCTATCTGACGCATGGAAAAGTGTCACGTCCCGAGGTGATCAATTCCACCGATTTATTATTTTTGTCCTTGGTCTTATCCTGGTCGCGATAGTTCCTATCGGGAAACCAAATTCCAGCATTGAGAACTTCAGAAACTCCTGATCTGGCTCTCAATTCCCCAGATATGCTCGTATCGTTGCGACAAGGACTGTCAATACGAGAAAGCACTAAAAGCGATCACTATGTACTAAGCGCTCGAAATTTCGATATTGACAAATCCAGCTGATCTCTTCGAATACATCGCTTTTCCGTCCTTTCATCATCACAACTAGCAGCGTTCATTTGATACCTAACGAACCCGATGGTACTGCTGCTGCCGTTCCTGCGTACCAGTTCCAGGATTCCTCTGCGGAAAGCAGCGTCCACAGCGCTTCGAACACGACTCTCAAGAGCCGCGTTTTCAATGCCCTATCCACCCATCTCTAGAACCAGAAACCTGATGACAGCTACAAGACCTCCTTGCGCGAAATGCGAGCGCATCAAAAGCCAGCTCACTACGAAAACGTATGTATAATCTGCCCTGTTCACGCTGAAGAAACGGCAAAAACATGTGTTTTACGGTTAGGGTCCCGAACAGCTCTTTTTGTTCCGACAGAAAAACTCTCAAGATCGCACTGATCCCGCAAGACTCGACAAGATCTTCAGAATGGCAGAGTTCGAAGTAATTTCACCCATTAAGTTAAACTTTGTCATATTCACGTGTGCTTTTTTTTAGCCATTTCAACAGAAGGCTCCAGCTGATTAGTTTGGTGGCAATATAAAAAATGAGAAAAAGGTTCACTATTTCGAAATTATATTCAACTGCGCATCCCTTTTCTGAAGGATAATTGGAAGTATTATCAAAGTACGGACGTTGTGGCAATTGAATTGAATTGAATATCGATTGAATTGAATATCACCTAGTTTTTCTGCACGAATTAAAGCTCACCCAATACAACCGTCAAGTTGAGACTCGTACTAACTAGACACCCGGATATGACCAGCGAAAATCCCGACCGCGAGGTTTTGCCTACAAACGTCACACCGGTGCATTATGATTTGAGCTTGGAACCCAATTTCGAAACTTTCAAGTTCTCCGGGAGCTTGAACATCGATTTAAAGGTCAACGACGCCAGCAAAGACGTGGTGCAGCTCAATACAGTTGATATCGACATCCACACGGCGGAAATTGGTGGTAAGAAAGCCCTTAAGTGGGACACCGATTCGGAAACCCAGGTCACCACGTTCGAATTTGCCAAGGGGCTCCTAAGTGATGCGGAAACCGCTACTCTGAAACTAACGTTCACAGGTATCCTTAACGACAACATGGCTGGCTTCTACCGTGCGAAATACACCGATAAAAAGACCGGCGAAACAAAGTACATGGCCACCACGCAGATGGAACCCACTGACGCTAGAAGAGCGTTCCCTTGCTTCGACGAGCCAAACCTCAAGGCTACTTTTGACATCACGCTGATCTCAAGCTCGCATTTGACTCATTTGTCAAACATGGACGTAAAGTCTGAGTGCATCAAGGATGGCAGAAAATACACTGCGTTCAACACTACTCCCAAAATGTCCACCTACTTGGTTGCATTTATTGTTGCTGAGTTGAAGTATGTCGAAAACAAGGACTTCCGCATACCAGTGCGGGTGTACGCAACTCCAGGCGAAGAACAGCATGGTCAATTCGCTGCAGACCTTACTGCGAAAACTCTCGCATTCTTCGAACGTACTTTTGGCATCAAATACCCGCTCCCTAAAATGGACAACGTTGCTGTTCACGAATTCAGCGCAGGTGCGATGGAAAACTGGGGGCTTGTGACGTACAGAGTCGTCGACCTTCTTCTGGACCGTGAAAACTCTAGTTTGGGGCGTGTCCAAAGAGTTGCCGAGGTTGTACAACACGAACTGGCCCACCAATGGTTCGGAAACTTGGTCACTATGGACTGGTGGGAAGGCTTGTGGTTGAACGAAGGCTTTGCCACTTGGATGTCATGGTATTCCTGCAACGAGTTTGAACCAGAATGGAAAGTCTGGGAACAATATGTCTCTGACACATTGCAATCTGCATTGACGCTTGACTCTCTCAGATCATCGCACCCCATCGAGGTGCCTGTAAAGAGGGCTGATGAAATCAACCAGATCTTTGACGCCATCTCTTACTCAAAAGGTTCTTCCCTCTTGAGAATGATTTCGCAATGGTTGGGCGAAGATGTCTTTATCAAAGGTGTCTCTCAATACTTGAACAAATTCAAATACGGGAATGCCAAGACTGAAGATTTGTGGGATGCATTGGCCGACGCTTCAGGTAAGGATGTCCGCAAAGTCATGGATATTTGGACCAAAAAAGTTGGTTTTCCCATCGTTTCCGTCAAAGAAGACGGCAACAATGTGACCTTCACTCAAAACCGTTACTTGACCACAAAAGATGTCAGGCCTGAAGAAGACCAAACACTTTTCCCAGTGTTTTTGGCTTTGAAAAATGGCAAAGAGGTCGACCACTCTCTGGTGTTGAACGAAAGAACTAAAACAGTCACCGTAAAGGATCCCGAATTTTTGAAAGTTAACGCTAACCAAGCCGGTATTTTTATCACGTCTTATTCGGATGAAAGATGGGCCAAATTGGGCAAGCAGGCTGATTTGCTCTCGGTTGAGGACCGTACAGGTTTAGTAGCAGACGCCAAAGCCCTTTCTACTTCCGGTTATACCTCTACAACAAATTTCTTAGAGCTTATATCTGGGTGGAAAACTGAGTCGTCTTTTGTGGTCTGGGAACAAATGATCAAAAGTTTATATTCTTTGAGAGCGACATGGTTGTTTGAGCCAAAGGACGTCAATGAGGCCTTGAATGAGTTCACTCGGCAACTCATTGCCGCGAAAGTCGAGGAATTGGGCTGGAAGTTCGAAACATCGGACTCCTTTGCCACTCAGCGTATGAAGGTTGAAATGTTTTCTACTGCCAGTGCTGCCAAGATTCCATCAGTGGTTTCTGCTTCTTTGGAGATGTTTGACAAGTACGTGGCTGGCGACAAGAATGCCATTCCAGCACTCTTGAAACCTTCCGTCTTCAGCACTGCGGCCAAGAAGGGTGGTCAAGAATACTACGAGAAAATGTTCGGCATTTACCAAAACCCCGTCTCGACGGATGAGAAGCTTGCTGCACTAAGGAGCATGGGCAGATTCGAAGATCCTAAATTGATGGAAAGAACCTTGGGATATTTGTTCGATGGTACAGTATTGGTGCAGGATATTTACATTCCCATGCAAGGCATGAGAATGCATGCTGCCGGTGTAAAGGCTCTATGGGTTTGGATCACTGAAAATTGGGACGAACTAACAAAGAGATTACCTCCAGGACTATCCATGCTAGGATCAGTCGTGGCTATGGGATGCTCTGGCTTCACTTCTCTAGAATCCATTGAGGAAGTGAAGAAGTTTTTCGGCAGCAGATCAACGAAAGGATTCGATCAAGGATTGGCGCAGGCTCTAGATACAATTACTTCCAAGGCTCGGTGGATCAAGAGAGATCGCGATCAAGTATCTAGATACTTGAAGGAAAATGGATTCCAAAAGAACGCTTAAATAATGAAAATAAGGGTATAGACATAAGAAGTTGCACCCGACCCAGAATTAACTAGTTCTTTGATATTTCGGATTTCTGGCTACCTAACGTCAGCTGAGATTTTTAAGTCACAGGTGATATAAAGGCAGTACTTTAATCTAAATTTGTAGAACTTCCGTCAACCCATCATCTATATCAACTAATTGATCACTCAAAATGGTTCAATCCGCATTGGATTTGCTATCGATTGAAAAATACTTATGCGAGCTTGCTCAAAAGCATGTTGGACCTATAATAAAGGCAAAATCGGGCACTCAGCACACTTATGATGCTAAGAGTGGATCCAGAGCCGTAGATATTGTTACTGCCATCGACAAACAGGTGGAGAAACTTATCTGGGATAACGTGAAGCAGAAATATCCAGAATTCAAGTTTATTGGAGAGGAAAGCTATGTCGCTGGCCAAACCAAAATCACGGACGAACCTACATTCATAATCGATCCAATTGATGGCACAACAAACTTCGTCCACGACTTTCCTTTCAGCTGCACTTCGCTAGGGCTAGCGATCAATAAGGAACCAGTAGTGGGCGTCATATACAACCCTCACCTGGATTTATTGGTCTCTGCTTCGAGGGATAATGGTATGCGTGTGAACGGACAAGATTTTGATTTCATGGCCAAAAAACATGAAATGGGTCCATTGCATTTGGCCAAATCAGTCGTGGCTTTGCAGCCAGGATCGGCCCGGGAAGGACCCAATTTCACTACCAAGATGAAAACTTACGAGAAGTTGCTGTCTTGCGATGGTGGATTCGTTCATGGTTTTCGAAATCTAGGATCTAGTGCGATGACTTTGGCTTATATTTGTCTCGGATACCTGGATAGTTATTGGGATGGTGGGTGTTATGCCTGGGATGTTTGTGCTGGGTGGTGTATCCTGAGAGAAACTGGTGGAAGAATTGTGGGAGCCAACCCCGGAGAATGGGAAGTACCGGTTGATAACAGAACCTACCTTGCTGTTCGCGGCTGTGAAAACAAGCAAGAACAGAACGAATACATTGAGAAATTTTGGGATTGCGTTGAGGGCAAACTGAATTATACATAGATAGAGGACATTGACGAACAGCAAAATATTGATTTTTATAAATACTAAACTACTACTTAAACTCGTAAAGACATCCGTCTTTACCCCATAAACAGAAGACCCCAACCATAGGCATCCACCCTTCTCCTCCGTCGAATTTTTCAACTATCTCAAATGCTGTCTTTTGACGGTGTTCTTCGACTGGTCTACCAATCGTGAACCCTCGTATACACAACATTCCTTGGCGGTCAGTAACCAAGTACTGTGGGCTATTTTCGGCTTTCACAAGCTTGGCCTCTAGCGAAGTACAAATTGGCCCATACTTTGTTAGTTTGGAATCTACTTGTGATGGAAACACCCTATAATCGAAGAAATTAGTACTCGCTATTGGCCCTAAGACCACGTAAGGACTGTACAGTTCCACCACAACTCTCGAGCCTAGCAACGCGCGCATGCGATTCAATGTTTCTGTCGAGCGCGACTTTTTAGGTGCATGGTCCGAGTTAATTGTAGTGAAATGCATTGTGATCACCGACTTGACGTCTTTTACCTGATCTGCGAGGTAGACGCATCTTAGGTTTTTTAGCGAGGGCCATGCAAGAGCAGAAGAAGTGAAAACCCCTTCACTCAACAAGTTTGATGCCCATGCTAACTTTAACCTCTGCGGCAAGTTCCATGACTGATCCAACAGAGAGTCAAGTAAAGGGGAATTTTGTGCAATTTGAAGTAGCGTTGTGCTCTTGTTCATGCATTGATCAAGTTGTTGCCCACTTGGTGGAGACAGGATGGAAGCTGATCCACCGTGTAGCAGTGTAGCAAGTAACTTGGGCATAATTTGAGTAGGGTCGTAAGAATCTGTTTTTTCTTCAACGACAATGCTAAGGTGGTCTTTGCCGCTCAACTCGTTGTCCATAGGAAAAGACTTGATATAAGCAGCAATACTACTGACCAACGCCATATGAGTAAAGCTGGAGTAAAACCCATAAGGTGAGGAGCTTAAGAAAATGACTTTTGAATCGTGACTGTTGTCTTTTGGAGGAGCATACTCGAATTGTTGATCTTCTTCCAACTCAGAGATCAACTCTTCCCAAGTCACAACATTGTTCAATTGTGCATTTGGACGTTGACCTTTTGTCGAATTGCACACTATAACCATTTTGTACCATTCGTGACTGCCATTCATTTGATGGAAAGTATCCCATGATTCTATGGCTAAAGCATCCAGATTCTGCTTCGAGCGAGGTACTGAATGCAAAATGACGGGAACGAGACCTCTGAGTGAGCCCATAAAGCCTGCAATTGTGAGAGCAAAACCGGGATATTTGTATACTGAGCTGGAAATACCGAGACGACCAGTTTCATTTTCAGGCATCAAAGTATGGCACAAGTGTTTCGCAATTGCATTCAGCTCGCCTAAAGAGTGTTTTTGATTATCAATTTCAACGTAGTTTTCATTAGATAGACTCATAATGCTGGACCAGATGTCGCCGAAGTTACCGTTCCTGAGCCTGTAGCCCATGCTGAGACCCATTCCAGTGGTCAAAGGAAACCCTGGCGGCACCGTGAAGTTACGATAAATAGCAGTTTCATTCTCTTTTCGCGTCGGTCCAACATTGGCTTGTTCACCTAATGCGATTGGATGCAAATCTCTTTTGGTTTCGACAATGACTTTGCATGCAATTATCGCTGTTGCAATCAGCAAAGCGACTACTGTAAAAACCACCTTCAGATCCAAATAAAGCATGGTCTGTAAATATGTTTGAGAGCTCTTTGAAGTGAACTTTTTTTTACCTAACTGTCCCTTTAGAGTGTTATATTATATACGCTTCCGTTAAACGATAGATGCGTAAGTAAACGCGCTTAGCGAACGTTTGAAAGTCTGGACAAAGATGACAGTAAACAGTACTTCTCGAGCAATTGATGTCTCAACAACTTAGATACCACAAAATGTATCGAACAAGTCTCAAAGAGGTTTTCTTGTATGGCTTTTCATTTAAGTTGATAGTAAATTTCAATGCCTCAAAGAACAATTGGTTGTCACTGATCTTCTAAAATATATAATCGCGAAACAGACGATCCCTTCAAACCCGATGACTGTAAGCCAGACTATACCTGAGCGTATAATAGCACTACCAAAAGGATTTTCAGGCGGCGAATTAAAGATTTTTGAACTACCACACTCGTCCAACATTGAATCGAAGAAGCCTGTTCGAGTGTTTGTCCACAATGGAACAACTTACCAGCTCAAAAAAAAAGCCTTCAGTCAAGGGTGCGAGTATCACAGGGCTCGCGATAGTGCTAATGAGAAATATCGGTACACTGCAGACTCGAAGCCCTTGAAATCCGGTATCTTGACCAATGCCGCTCAACGTCAGGATGGATGGCTTCTTCAGAGCGGAACATTTGAGTTTTCTACCAAGTACGACTTGTGCTTCAGCCTGTGTGGTGCGTTCTATTCCGATTTTGCTTGCAAAGATGAGAATCAGTTTCAGCAAGTGGCGCCCTCGGTCTCAGCAACCTCTCTCGAAAACCGTTTCCTCATGGCCCGTGATTTCCACGATAACTTGATCGAAAAGCACAGCACCAACTGGTCTCACGTTCCTCTAGAAACGTTGAGGGACGCTCTCACACAACTAAGCGAGTCAATTGAAGAGGCTGGTGACATTTACCACAATGTTACGCCTGCCAAAGTTACCCAATGGCTTGTTGGGAAAGTTCGCAAGATCATCGATGGTTTCCCAGCTTCAGTACCCTTGCCACGTAACCTACCTGAAGAAATTCACGCGTATGCGAAGATTACATTTGCGTGTAATTTGCTCATCTCACTGGTTCCTCGTCCAGCGTATCAGAACCTTACTCAGTATGCAGGAAGCGACCTAAACATTGCTAAAGCGATACAAGACTACAACAGCTACCAGACAGAGGCTGCTGCACGTCAAAAAGAACAAGAGCTGTTGATAGATTCGGCCATGAAGGTTGGGATGTCGAACGGAAATGGTAATAAGCCTGCTGTTAAGAAAGTTACGAAAGTGGTCAAAACTAAGAAAATTGGTGCTGGAAAGGGCGCAATTGATGGATTCTTTAGGAAGAAAAAGTGATGGCATGTACCACCAGATAGCCAAAGATGGTGGTCAAGTCTCACGGTGAGTTTTCCTCTGATGCCTTTTGGTGAGGACAAAATTTGGCCCTCTGCACGAAGACCTAAAAATTTAGACCAACTCGCCTAACTGTAACCAAAACGATGAGTGTCATACATCTGGTTTTAGTGAGATATCAAGCGTTTTGAGATGGCAAAAGAGATCGAAATATCAACCAGTGAAGCCAAGTTTCTTATAGAGGCTCTGAGACAAGGATTACGCTCGGATTCACGAAAATTTGAAGAGACTAGAGATGTGGGCATCAAATTTGGTAAAGACTATGGTGATGTTACGGTGACAATGGGAAAAACCAAGGTACACTGCCGCATCAGCTGCAACATCGCACAGCCATACGAGGACCGGCCTTTCGAAGGCCTCTTTTTTATATCCACGGAAACCTCGCCGATGGCAGGTCCACAATTCGAGAACGGTAACAATACCGGCGAAGACGAGGTTTTGTGTTCCAGAATCATCGAGAAAGCTGTCAGAAGGTCGGGCGCTTTAGATGTGGAGGGTCTGTGTATTGTGGCCGGCAGCAAGTGTTGGGCTGTGAGAGCAGATGTGCATTTTTTGAACTGCGATGGTGGGTTCATCGATGTTAGTTGCATAGCAGTGATGTGTGGACTGTTACATTTCCGGAAGCCCGATGTTACCATATCTGGTGAACAGGTAACAATCCACCCTGTGGAAGAACGAGAACCAGTTCCCTTAGGTGTCTTGCACGTCCCCATTTGTGTTACATTTTCGTTTTTCAACCCAGAAGACGCTGAGGAAAACATCAAGGGAGAATCAAACAACGAGATATGTTTGCTAGATGCTACTTTGAAGGAAGAACTACTAAGAGACGGCACATTAACGGTCACGTTAAATAAAAATAGAGAAGTTGTGCAGGTATCAAAAGCTGGTGGACTTCCCATGGACGCTCTGACTTTAATGGACTGTTGTCACAAAGCTTTCAAGATAACAGAGACATTAACTGACCAAATAAACGAGGAGCTTAAGCTGGACGCTGAATCGAGAAATAAATACGCCGCGTTGCTCAGTTCTGAAAACGCAAGAGTTTCTTAAAAAGCAGATAGAATTAATAAATGTGCACGGAAGCCGACTTTATCTTATTCACATATAAGCCTTTTATGCATTGGGACATGGAGATGGGACCAACCAATAAATAACAATGTCAGGAAAGCTTGCGGTGTTATTTAAACTAAAATTGAATTTTTACGTCTGTTTGAATAAGCTGAAATTATCCCACTACCCATCTTAGACGGAGAAGACACTAAATAAGTAGTAACGCTAGGTAAAATGCCATTAGCATGTTAAGGAAAGTTCGATATTACGATTACAGGTTGACAGTGAATAAGATTTTTGCTAGGACCGTATAGCACCAAAAACACAGACGGTAAGATTCCTAGCTGGAGGCATCGATTCTTGTAACTACGAAAGTGGCAAAATATGCCACGAACACTTATTTAAAAAAAGCTCGTTGTCCTCGATTTAGCAATTAATGCGCGATAGACACCTGTCTGACGATCGATACTCCTCCAAATAGTACAATACCATACAAGACGCAGAAAACAAGACCCCAGAAAACCGCTCAGCTTGAACTATCTACATTTTATCAAATAAAAGCACATGTTCTTGAGAACAGCTATATGAGGTTGTGTCAACTGATTATGACCAACATGGCCCGTTACCCAACCGTGCTTTCTGTGGAAAACTCTTGGTGGCACGAAGCCAAATAGATGCAAGACTGCCAGCCTGTCCAAAGTTACGTTCTCAATCATCTTTATCAAATCCCCTCACTGTCTAAAGTGACAATTGCCAAGGATGCGCTCTACTGTGTTGTTAGTCTAGACACTCGAGAGGCGACGTTTGCAGTCAAGAGCTTGCGTCACCAGAAGTATACTGTAACTTGTCTTAAGTTAAGCACTCTCGCTTCACTCAAAGCGACTTCAAGCTTCTAAATAAAAGCCTTATACGGCATTGACCAAATCTTGTCGCGATGCGCCAACTGCATCTCTCAAGTTTTCGTCGACTCTTACTGATCACGATGCGATTGTAACGCTTGTTTCCGATTCTAGTAATCAGCATGTGTTCGAGTACCAGATGGCCAATCACGGAACGTTCTCTTGAGAGATGGCATATCGTCAACTAGGATCGCATTGTTGTAGTTATTTTTATTAGGCTAAATTTAGTGGAAAAATGCCACGTACCTAAGACAGTCAATCATACAAAAAGGTTGATTTTTGTTAAAGGACGAGTGTGGTTGTAAATCCCTGTAAGTTACAAACTGGGAGTTTTATTAAGGATACATAATGACTCTTGGCAACAAGATTATCTTCGATGTGGATTTTTGTCTGTTTGATCTAGACGGAACAATAATAGAGACCACTGAGGCAGTGGAGAAAGCTTGGACAGCGTTGTGTCTTAAACATGGGGTAGATCCTGTCGAGTTATTCAAACACTCTCATGGAACCAGAACAGAAGAAGTAATCCAGCGGTTTTTCCCGAAATTGAATGGACAGCTCGACGCTACTGTCGAGCAAATGGAACTTTCAATCGGTCGTGATTACCCAGAGTCAGTCTCTTTGATCCCGGGCGCATCGAATTTGCTGAATCGTTTGGACAAACCTACGGAAGGCAAATTTGAAGACCGGAACTGGGCAATTGTTACATCAGGAGCCTACATAGCACGCACTTGGTTTGAAAATATTCTTAAAGAAATTGGTCCACCTAAGGTGTTTATCACAGGATTTGACGTAACAAAAGGTAAGCCTGATCCACAGGGCTATGCTATGGCTTCGGAGCGACTCAGCAAAATTTGGAATAAGGATCCGAAAGTAGTTCGAAATGTCGTCTTCGAGGACGCTCCTGTTGGAATTCAGGCGGGAAAACGAATTGGGGCTATCACAGTCGGAATTACGTCGTCTTATTCCAAAGAAACGCTTTTTGCAGCGGGCGCGGACTATGTAGTACCAGACTTGACAGGGATTAACGTCATTCAAAACACTCCTCGCAGCATAAAATTGGAAATCTCAAACCCACTGTCGAAATAAGCCGCAACAATATATACCAGAATCCGCTTCATCATGCCTCAGTTTGTTCAATTTTATCAGGTCTATCGATCCAATACCTTTCATAGTAGTGATGTAATTCAAAGCATACCTCGATGGTAATCAAATATATGATAATCCACTCAAGATGCGTACTCTTCTTTTCGTTAAGAACTGCCATGAATGCTCTTGACTCCTCAGCTGCGAAGTCCAACTTGGTATTGAGGATGCTAATTCTTGGTTGAATGTCCAGATTTTTGGACATCTGTTTGTATATCCTCTCAAGTCGGGGCTCACTCCAGTATAGATCTGGGGTTTCGATTAACTCTGAATACAAATTAAGCTTACCTCTTATTAGGAACAAACTTCCCGTAGACTTCAAAACTTCAGACTCTGTGAGATTAAGCTTCTTTCCCTTTGACAGCAGCTCAGTAAACTTCTTGGACTTCTCAATATGAGTTTTAAGGAGGTCTTCTAAGATGGCCAATCTTGTACTTCGAGACATTCCGCTAGATAAGGCTGCTTTATCTAGAAGTCCCAAATTTGGATCAATCGAGTTAACGAATATCATGTCGCCATCTATAAAACTTTCGTCTCCAGACTTGGTTGTCAGGCGCTTAACTTTTTCCAGATCCTCTTTTGACTCAATCTCTATAAAGTCCAGATCCTCGCTCTCTATTTCATTATCGGCTAGAGCATTTACTCTAGCATCCTGTATCAAGGATAAAATGTTCTCAGTAACGAATGATTCTCCTAGGCCCCACGACACTACTGTTCCACAGTTGCCCAAAATCATAACATCAGACATGCATCCGTTGTATAGGTATTTGAAGGAGATTATCTCGTCTGGTACCAAGCTAGCCGGATGATAGCCTGATCCTATCAGTAGACATTTTACCTTTTCCAAATCGTAAGCTTCACTTGTCGTGATGGTGGTACACTCATCAATTTTGAAGGCATCGCCAGATTGGCTATAATTACCACATCTTGACGTAGAGTTTTCAATTTTGGGGATCGTGCTTCTCCTGAGATTCTTAGCTGGGTTAGAAGACGTTTTAGGACCTTTAACCAAGCGGGATGGTAGTATATTAAAATTTTGGTGATTTTGAAAAACCTTCATGCTAGTGCAGAAGGACCGCTCAAAACTTCGCAGCTGAGTGGGAGTTGTGAGATTTCGTAAGAGCATATTAGAAGCAGATGTACCGATCTTATTCAGTTATTTGTTTATTTTCGAGTCTTGAAGTATAGGTTGTTTATGATTTCAGTCCTGTCGGCATCTTGATTACCTAGAAATATGAAAACAAAGTTGAAAAATGAAAAGTGTATAAATGAACGAATAGCTACAAATCTTTACCAGACATCTTCTTGATATCTACCGCTAGACTTCAACATTTTGAGCATTTCAGCGGCTTCGGATTCTTTGATTTGCTTGCCTCTGCTCAAGATTGTAACAAGAGCAGCATGTACACCTTGAGCCATTCCTTTAGCGTCACCGCACACATAGATGAAAGCGCCCTGGGTCGCACAAAGCTTGAAAAGTTCTTCTTCCTTTTCAAGAAGTTTGTCCTGAACGTAAGTCTTGGGTTTGTTTGGCAATCTAGAGTGAGCAACGACCATTTCAAAAACACCGCCTAGCTTTTTGCTATATTCGGGCCATTCCTCTTGATACAAGAAATCATTTTGATCCCGCGAACCATAGAATAGAAGGTGTTTACCTAAAGAAACGTTGGGTTGTTGCTCCGCAAACTTGACGCGGTCTCTGATAAAGCCGCGGAATGGGGCAACTCCAGTACCTGGGCCGATCATAATAACAGGGGTAGCTGGATTCGAGGGCAAACGAAACGTTGAACGACGAACGTGAACTGGTAGTTTGTGAGATTTGAACAGACCTCGAGGACCTGACAGGTCGTAATGAACCGGCAAAGGCAAATTCTCAGCACTTTCTTTATTTTGAGACAATTGAATGTGCCTCAAAAGATTTGTAGCAACACCAGTGACAGGTTCAGCTTTCTCAGAAGTTGGATTTAGCATATTTTCTACAATAGCGGTTATGCTGATGGTCTGCTTCTCAGTCAGAGAAGACGAAGATATCGAGTAATAGCGCGGCTGCATATGGGGAATGCTTTCTACCAAAAAATTCCAAGGAACCGAGGTCCATTTAGCACCGTTAGACAAGTACAAGAGCGCGTCGGCTAAGTTTAGGTACTTGACAGTGATTTCTTTAGCAAATTCATCTCTATCATTGGATAGCTCGTTCAAACGTTCTTTCAATTCAGCATTTGGCGCAAATTGCATGATAGAGCCAAAAAATTGTCTGGAGAGGGGACCCGTAATCTCTAGATAGTGTCTAACAGTGGCACCAATAGTCGTAGGCAGTGGGAAAGGATTTTTAATGGTTGGGTCCAGGGGCCTTAATGAGAAAACGACTTTGGGATCGAGACCAAAGCAGTTCAAAAACTTCTCAACCTTCTCATTCGAGTTTGAGGGCCAAACAGCCAAGTGATCACCAGTGGAATATTTAAGGTTCGAGCCGGAAAGATCAAAGTCTGCATGAATGCAGTTACGGCCATTAGATTTGAACAATTCTCTCGACTTCACAATTGGAGCCACATACGGGTGAGTTGAATCGAAAGGACCCGTCTGTCTTCCGTCAGGACTGAATGGTAATTTCTGACCTGGTAGATACTGCACAGTTGGTTCACCTAAAGAGACACTATTGTCGGTCTCATCCGTTTCCATAACAGAGTACTGGAAGTTGGGTTCAAATTTCTGTTCATGCTCATCGAGACCAAGTTCAGACTTCAAAAGTGCCATTAAAGCGTCTTTCCAGGTCATATAGTCTTCGTCGGTGGTGCCTGCACCATCATCTGCTTCGCCAGACTTGCCTACGAGAGTAGCACCAGCTTCAGACAAGTATTTTTGAGCTTTCTTACTAGCGCCGTTGAAAAATTCATAAGTAGAGTTTCCCAGACCGAAAAGCGTATAGCGCACGTTCTCAAGATCGCCACTGCTGAGACCAGTCAGAAAGTCTTCAAATGGTATGGCTCCATCTGGAAAGTCGCCCTCTCCGTAAGTAGACAAGAAAATTGACACCACGACATTGGCAGGAAGCTCATTAAGATTCTGCATGTCGTAATTCTCGATATCCGCACACATAACCTTGAGCGAGAATTTGGCAGAAAGCTCTTTAGCGAACTTCTTGGCGTAGTCTTCGGCCGTTCCTGTTTGCGAACCGTACAGGACTAGATAGTTCTTGTCGTTGTCGCGGAGCGTCTGCACTATATCCCGAGAATCAGAGCTCACCTTGATAGATTCGTTGGAGGCCAACATGCTCTTAAGCTTGTCTTTGCCTACGTAGGCCGCGACGGCCAAAGCCAGTCCACACAGAACCACGAAATCCAATGTGTCTAGACCAAGAGGCATTCTTGATGTGTGATGGAAAACAGAATTTTGAAAGCAGTAGTTCAGATGTACCACTTAGTTAACTTGTCGATGCTTGCGCTGAGCTTTCGGACTGAGTAGAAAAGTTTCACGGGTTTAAAAGTTCTTCCAACAAATGAGCAGGAGGAGCACAAACCAACAGAAAAATGAACGATTACTACTATTTAAAGCCTTGAGCCGTTACCGCTTGAGTTCTTGTGATTCTATCGTATTCAAAGAATAGCGTGAAAAGTTCTCGGAGCTCAAGTTCTTTTGAAAGACAATGGATGTGTGTCAAACTTCTTTCGAGATCAAGGTGTAGTAAACGAGCATCGATACGAGCTGGAAAAAAACCATGTGCGAAGCACGTGTTTATAGCGTGATGAAGTTGTATGGCTCGAGTCCAGTTTTGGTCCATCAGCTCCCGCTGTTGTAGGAGTCTCCGATGCTTAGGTCTATAGTAGTTTCTAGCCTTTGAATCTGCTCTGGGCCCAGTTCCATGAGCTCGCTACACATCCCAATGAGTGCAGATTTGTCGAATTCGACTTGAGTTCTGCTCCCCACGCGGAAAAACACGGCTTCCTGCGCTCCATCTCGCGCTCGTTCCTCGATCCTGTGCAAGTAGTCGCGCTTTACCAGTTGATTAAGAAAGTCTTCAAGCGTCATTTCGAGAACCGGAATTCGACCTTCGTTCACGGGCACACCAAACTTCTGGAGACTATGCGTGAGTTCCTGCAAAAGAACGTTGTTCTTTGAAAAGAGTACAACGGCAAGAACCACAAATGTCAGACCTTGGCTCACCAACTGAGCTTCTGTAGAGACTGATTTCTGCATTACAGACTCGGAGATCATCTGGAGATCACAACCGATGTACTCGTCGTCCACGACGCGCGACTTGTATATTTGACATCCCTCCTGTAGCAGCAGCGCTTGGAAGGCTGCTGGAGGTTCTGGAAGATTCGTCACCAGCATGAAAGCCTGTGCTTTGTCTCCCAAGTTGTTAGAATTCGCTGCCTCTGATTGCGAGTTTCTTGCCGACACGCCAACCAATTCGTAGCCAAAAGTGTCCTTGAAAATACAATTCATACGGTTATACACTGATGCAAACTTGAACCGTCCCCCAGCCTCTTTACTCGCCACTGTGCGAATCAGCAGTGACAATTTAGATCTCGTAATAACGCTTGATTGGCTTACGCACAGCGATAATACATGTCGCACTACTCCTCTAGATACTGAAAGGAGACTAGAATCAAGGTCACGATCGTAATCGACGTCAACCTGGCTCATGAAGTAACTAGTCAGGGAATGAACCTTGTCGCGAACGATGTTTCTAACCAATTCATGTCGTGACAGACCAAATATCATTGATTTGTGATCTCAATTTCTTGAGTACTGATGTACTCAACGTCTAACACGTTAAAACTTGGCACTTCCTGCTGATCAAGCAAGGACGTGTAGAGAAAGATGGGATTCTGGAGTGTTGAAGACCAACTTGCCGGGTTTGTGACGTTTGCACATTCCCAGTCTTCTGTAACATGACTTTCGTATATTAGCTAGAATAGGAATCAATGGTCCCTGGTTTTCCATTGAGATCCAAACTTTTGAATATATCTCTCCATTAGGCGCTCTCAAAAGTTGATACTACAGCTTGGACTTCGGATTTTGAAAATCAATCTGCTCTTCTAAATTTTACCTACGAAGCTTGTGTAAAATCCTCAGGATATAAGGCTCTACGATGAAACACTTCATAAATTACACGAATTATACATGGATCTAAATATCACTATTCGTCGAGGTTACTGACATAAACACGAGCACTAACTCGCTATTCCTATCCATTTCAACCTCCATTTGTCTACCAGTGGTACTTCAGTTTCCCAGCAACTTGGGACCAAAAGTTTTCTACAAACTTTTTTTGCATAGGCTCAGTACACCCGCCTCTAACGGCCAAATAACAACGGTCGTCCACAGGAACTTTCCATTCGTTAGGATTTCCTCCCACGACCATACCGCCAGCTTCGGTCAAAATAGACCAGCCGGCACATACATCCCAGGCCCAACATCCGCCTTCCCAGTAAGCATCGAGTTTTCCAGCAGCCACGAAGCACATGTTCATGGCTGCGCTACCACAACTTCTGCTACCGTGAATGTATGCACCCTGGTCGCTCAGCAGGTTTTTGTAAGTGGCTTGCTTGATGTCGAAGTTATCATCACCCGAAGAGCCAGACGAACGTTCAGAGCCAGCCTCGAGCGCAAGTATAGATTGTTGCAGCGTCAAATCGCGTTCTGTGACTTTGATTGGTTTACCGTTCAGAAAGGCGCCATTCCCCGCAGAGGCATGAAACATCATATCCAAATGGGGGTTGAATACTACACCACATACCGGAATCCCGTTTTCAACGAGCCCAAGGGAGGTACAGCTGTAGGGGTATCCGTGGATGAAATTCGTGGTGCCATCAATTGGGTCGATAATGAATGTGGGTTCCTTACCAATCGCGGTATCTCCGGGTTGAAACGTCTCTTCTCCGATGAACTTGAAGTCCGGATACTGTTTTGCGAGAGAATCCTTGATGATAGCCTCGATTTTTTTGTCTACAGCAGTGACTAGATCTACCTGGTTAGCTTTATCGTCAAATGCTTCAAACAGGGTTCCGGCTTTTTCTTTTATTATTGGGCCCACTTCTTTTGCTGCCAGTTCCACCAAATGCGTTTCAATGTCTTTTAGTTGTTGCTTAGTCAATGCCATTAGTGAATGCTTTTGTATTGCGAAATGGAAGTATTATATTGTAGTTCGGGCTTGGCGAATTGATCAATTTAGACAAATTAATCTCTTAACAGTTTGGGGCTTGAAATTGAGATTGCGCTAGCTTCTATAAGTCTAATTTAGTATTGATTCGTAACAATCCTTCGAGAAACACAGCCGTAAATGAATTATTAGGGTTTCAACAAGTTCTTAATATAACTACGTGGTAGTCAAATACCACAGATTAATATAGCAAAAAATATAGGGAGAAAATATTTGCGTATATAATGATTGATGCAAGTGTTGAGCGACGAGCATGGAAGAAAAAGACATCCGGTGCTTGGCATAGGAGTTGAACTGATATTCTGTTAGCTCATATCATTCTGTTCTAATTGTTCATTAGGCGGTAGCTGTAATTTATTTCGTCACATATATCTGTGTGACGAGAATGTAAAACATATTCTACAAATCTGGGCGCAGACATTGGGTGACTACTTTGTTTTATGACAGAAATGGTTGGGAGGGAACTCACACCAGCTTTTCTAAATACACATAAGAACTCCATTTTCCTTTCAATAGAAGAAGCTTTTGAAGCATATCTTTGCAACATGATGTGGTAATCATTTCATACTAGTCCGTCACCAATTTTAGACTACGACGACAAGCTGAAGACTGTTATTTGGGAGATCTCCGTAAGCGTTGAGAGACCGAATCATAGCTGCTGCCGACTAATCGAAGCTCTCAGTTGTAGCGAACCACAAAAGAGTGAGCAACTTCGTCGTTGACCACTTACAAGCATAATAGCGACTGCTCTGCATGACATTGTTTTCTTGAAGGGCCAATCTGGCAACTATAGGTAGGCTTCCGTGGTAAGAAAAGAACCTTAGTAAAAAAATTGGCAACCATGATATTCAAAACTGTTCAGATAAAAAAAAGGTCCTACCCGGATTCGAACTGGGGTTAATCGGATCAGAACCGAATGTGATAACCACTACACTATAGGACCATGTTTGATGCCAATTCGAAAAAATGGAGCTACATACTATGGAGATGAGACAAAATGACTATCATCTGTAGTATTTGGCGTCACATTTGCTGTTTGAACAAGAAGTATTCACTGGTATTATTAAATTAGCTACAAACAGTTTTCGACTATTGTCAATCCTCGAAAATGTTCAGACGATTCCACTCGGCAGCTCGGTTGGCTAATTATTCCAAAGTGCAGCTGACGTTGTTCTCAAAGACTAATTGTGGTCTCTGTGATAAAGCTAAAAATGTGGTGGATCAAGTGATGAGCGACAAACAGCGGTACAACGGTTTGCAGCTCACAGTTGTTGACATTGACGAACCGCAGAACAAAGCTTGGTGGAACAAATACTGCATGGACGTTCCAGTACTCCATGTAGAAAATGTGGAAGACACACAATCACCCTTAAAGATCTTTCACAGACTGGATCTAGACCAGGTGAAGGAAAAGATTGAAAGCTCGAAATAATTGACGGGAACCCACTTGCTTTAGCAATAAATGAGGACTATACTCAAACCTTGCGTTTCTTGCGCCCCGAGTGTTTGGATTCCATGTTGTCCAATCCCTCCAAGAGCAACAATTTCTTCTTTTTAGTTGAAGCGACCGTTTTGCCCAGGGACGTTTCTGTTCGGTTCTTGAAGGGTCTTGTGGTAATAGGCGATGGATTGGTCATCTCTAAGTCGTCATTTGGCGATGAAGAGAGATCGAACTCATCCTCCTCTCGATATTGTTGTTGCGCTGCCGCTATTCCTGTCGTTACCTCTGGAGACCCACGCCTCTGCAGATGCTGTTGTTGCTGAGTCGATTCCTGTCTATGGTTTTTGACATGAGGCACTTTGTGTCTCTGGTCTTTCAGACTCTGGATTTGCTTTCGCGCAGTCTGCAATTGTTGTTCTAACAAAGAAATTTTGTCCTGATATTCAAGCAGGTTGTTTGCTTTGGCACTCTGGTCGTCTTCCAGCAAGACAACGCGGCGCTTATATTCACGGACTTGATCACCACTTTCTCGGGCATCCAAATTAAACTGCTCTAATGTATTTCTCAGCTTCCTGTTTTCCTCATCTAATTCCAATTCTTTAGCCTTGAGCTGTATAACCTCAACGTTTAAATTTTGTATCTGCTCGTTGACTTTCTTGGCCTTATTCTTCGCACTCGATTTCTCCCTCTCGGCTTCGCCTTTACATGCATTGATTTCTTCAACAAAGGATTTTAATCGGTCTCGTTCGCATGAAACTAACTTCAAAATTTCACATTGCGCTCTCAGCTTATTTTCACTATTAGCTCTAGCCATATCAAGTTCTTGTTTTATTTTCGACAGCTCCTGGTCTTTAATTTCCAGAGCTTGCTCGATTCGCACTTGGTGCATTCTCAGCTCCTCTCCTTCACCGCTCAATTTGCCCAAAGAATTAGCTTTGTCAAGAACCTGATTACTTAAGTCTTCAATTTCCATGTCTCTGGTCTTCATTAAGGCAACCGCTTCACTTTTCTGTAGTGCGACAGTTTGTAATCTTTCTTGTAAGCCATCAATTTTCTTTTCGTAGCTCCCAACAAAATCTACCTGCTCCTTGTACTGTTTGAGGTTTTCAGCAACTAACCGTACTGCTTTGAGAACGTCCGTTACTGAAGTCTGAAGAGCATCATTAGGTTTTTGAGGAAACTCCCGCAAGTCTAAAGCTCCTGCGTCCTGCAATTTTTTTGTCAATGCATTCAAGCTGCTCTCAATTTGACTCAACTCACAAATTTTCTGGTTTAGTTTGCCGAAATCAATCGAAAACACATCCTTCAATCTGTCTTCTAGCGTCTTTAAGCCGCGATAGAAATTTTGATTGATTTCGTCATTGAGAGCTTTATTTTCACTGTGTTTTCATTATGTTAGCTAGCCGCCAGGCTTGGGTAAAAAATATTAGTAAGGGTCTTCCACCGTTGAACACTTAAATACTTCTTAAGTTCAATTGTAAGCAAAGAGCTCACAGTATCGCGAAACTGTCTCAAATCTTGTGGAGGGCATTGAGAGTTTTTGGCACAAGCTATCGCGACTGAATTTCCTACTGAGAGAAGCTCTTTCTTGAAGTCAGCATCCATTTTCTTCAGCACATTCTCCACCAACGCATTGGATTGTTCCCTCAGTTTTTTTATATCTTGCAAAAGATCTCTATTTTTCAATTTCTCTTCGGACAGAAGACCAGAGCAGTCATTGAGTTCTTTCTTCAAGTATTCTAGTTCTTTCACTTTCTTTGACATATTCGACTCTGACTTTTTGTGCAACGACCTCGTTTCATCCAACGTTCTTTTCACAGCATCGCATTCTTTATTGTAAGTGCGTATCCTTTCCATGAGACCGTCATAATCGTGGCGTAAGCTTGTTAATTGCTGTTCAGTGGTTTTCTTCTGACTTTGCAGCTCTGATGATCTTTCCTCGATAATTGTAAGAAGCTTTCTGTACTGCTCCATTTTATTTTCAATCTTGCTGACTTCGGACTTGTAAGTATTGACTGCTTGGCTCTGGTTCTGATTCTCAGACTTCAAACGTTGTAATTCCAATTTTAGGTTCGAGCATATCTTTTGAGTGTTGTTGAACGCTTCTAATAGCACGTCATTTGTTGAAGTATCATTTGAATCCTGCGCCAATTTTAGTTTTGCCACTTGGGCTTTAGGGGGGCTGTCGCTGTGGTTTGACAGCTCTTGTTTCAACTCTCTCTGCGAGACATGTCTGACCTCTGTTATCTCAAGTTCTTCTTCTTCGGAGTTCGACGCTGGCACTCGGCCTCTTGATTTTGCAACCGGAGTGCTCTCGTTTATCAATGACGATGCACTGGTGTCATTTGCAAGAATTCGAGAGTCAGAGAAATCCAGTAGTGAATTTTTGTCTGAGGAAAACGCCCCGTCGCACCCTAGATACACATTGTCGGAGTTGGGAAGGCAGTCTTGGCCAGCATCCTTATTTCGGAACTTAGAGAAAATGTTAGAACGTGGTTTAAAGCCGTGTGCGCTATCTCGGAAAAAATTGGACATTTATTATTGTTAGGTTTCAGTCAAGAATATTAGCCGCCGTCACTCGCAAAATCCTCAAAAGTTGGATGTCGATTGTGTTTTTCCCGACTTCGGTAAGTTAAAATGCTAAAGTAATTCAGAATACTTGTGGAATTCAAACTGGTCCTTTCAACGTTGATAACGTGCGTTCTAACTTCCTTGTCAAAGTTACCTTCAGTGTTTGAAAAGGTGAACGTGGAGTTAGGAATTTCAAGAAAATTAAGAAAACAAAACGTTCTCAAGATTAGAGGGTCATCAAAACTTGAAGAAACACCACCATTTAAAAAACGCAGAATGGCTATCAACAGGCTGACACTCGGTATGAACCGAGTCTCAAACTACGCCGTTTTTCAAAAATGGAAAATCACGGATGTTATGCTATGTGTGTTGCTTTACGTGATAAACATCCCAATATATTATGCTAAACCGTTCGAGCGGCAATTTTACCTAAACGATCCAACAATATCACATCCACATGCTGGTACACAGAGGGTCGGTAGTGTGGCGCTGTTTGTATACAGCTTGGTGGTACCTGTGGTAACAATCGTCGTGTTTTCGCTTGTTCTGGCGGATCCAAAACACAGAGTGTACCTGATGTACATCTCGCTGCTAGGTCTATTTCTTTCTTGGACGTCCACCAATTTGCTGACAGACTTTCTCAAAAACTGGATTGGAAGGCCACGTCCTGACTTCTTGGCACGCTGCGAGCCCAGAGAGGGAACTCCACTGAACGTCCTGGTGACAGCTTCGGAGGTTTGTATGACGGAAAACATCGGGCGCTTGATGGATGGCTTCCGATCAACGCCTAGCGGTCACTCCAGTGAGAGCTTTTCGGGTTTGGGTTACCTCTATTTATGGCTGACAGGCCAGTTACTCGCTGAAAGTCCAAGCGTCGGCCAGTGGAGAAAAACATTAGCGTTTTTGCCACTGGTTGGTGCCACTACTATTGCGATTTCTAGAACTGAAGACTATAGACACCATTTTGTGGATGTTATTTTGGGCAGTGTTATCGGCATGTTTATCGCTTACAAGACGTACTCCGCAAATTTCCCTCCAGTCTCGAGCGAATTACCATTTAAACCATTCCTCGACGATAGCGATATTGGACTAGTATACTCCGATACCGCGAAGTTGATTACCGACGAAGAAGCGGAGCCTCTCAGTTCTACATAGTGCTCAAACCGCAACTTTCAATTCGTATTTACCTTTTTCGTAAGACACTATAGCTACTTCAATCTATCGTACTCTTAACACACTAACTGATAAAGTTACGTTAAAGAAAACTAAAGGCTTCGATAACTGGGCTTGACAACTTGAGCCGTGCTATCTAGACATCCTAGATCTTTCCGGTCTGACTTTCGACCTTAGTTTCCACAACGATCTTTCATGAATTTCACCAAACTTTAATCAAAGCTTGAAACAATGCCTTCTGGTTATTTAAGCTTAGACCAGGATTATGAGATACAACAGAATGAATTAGAGGCAATTAAATGCATCTACATGGACGATTTCGTTGACAAAACAGTTGCAAAGTCCACTTGGGATAAACATCCTCTAATCCAGTTCGAGATCTCTTTGAGATCTACGAATCAAGAGCCTGCAGAATCCTCGGTGACTTTAGATGTAACATTGCCTGCCAATTACCCACAGCAACAGCCAATAATCACGTTTAAGAACGTTCGAAACGTTCTTGGCAGCTATTTAAACGTTTTGCAAGAACAAATCAAGGAAATACACAAGCGCTCTAAAGGTCGCGAGGAAATCATCTTTGAGATTACCTCACTTGCTCAGGAAAAGCTTGACGAAGCTCAAGGTTCAGCGAACATGCAATCTTTGGAAGATGAGAGGCTACAAAGGATCGAGGATGATAAAAGGCGTCAGGAAGAAGAGGAAAATAAGCGCCAAGTTGACGTGGAAGTTAACAGAATAAAAGAACAGGAAGCGATAGACGAAATCATTCGAAAGGAGCTTGAAAAAAGGCATGATGATGACCTTACCTTCAAGCACGAAAATGTCGTAGATTTGAATCCGCCGGCAGATTGGGTCACTTCGGGGGAAGCCACCGTTTTTCCTAAGGCTGTCAAGGCCAAGCTCCCGAACAACTCAATTTACAAATTCAAGGCTGTCGTCAACCCAAAGGAAATTAGCTTAAGTTCAGATTTGCTTGGATTTGCCAAACAAATGCTAGTCAAACCTTACATTCCACCTGACTCGCCTTTGGCTAATAACCTGACATCTTCTGACATGATGGACAACTTCTTTTACCTGCTCACTGAGGTGACTCTAGATAATGCCTTTTTCAACACTAGCAATGGTAAAAGAGAGATCTCAAACCTCGAAAAGGAGCTGGACTCACTTGTGCGAGTTAAACACGATAATGTAAACAAACTGTTCGCATTCGCGATTGAGCGCACTGGAAGAAACAACAGCAATTATGCTTGGAAAATAAAGCTACTGAGCGAATACTTCCCGCTTTCTTTAGTGGGTGACATAGTAGAGTCTGTCGGATTCGTTAACTTGGCGACCGCACGCGGATGGGTTCTGAGATTAATCGAGGGGTTAGAATGCTTGCATAAGCATGGTGTTGTTCACAAACACCTAAGTCCTCAGACGATCAATCTAGCGAAAGACGTGGATTTCGGAACAACTGTCCCAAAACTGCTACATTCTGGATACGGGTTTACTATTGTAAATCTTTTAGCCAATCATCCTAATAAATCTGGCCTTAAAGTCGAGCCCCCAACTCGAAATTGGATGGCGCCTGAATTGATAAAATTCGCTAATAGTAAACCTCAAAGGAAAACAGATATTTGGCAGCTGGGGGTCTTGTTCATTCAGATAATAAATGGGATGGACACGCTAGTCAACTTTTCATCCCCACAGGAATTTCTCGATAATACTGAAATGAGTGATAGTCTTACAGCTTTCTTAGGAAAACTATTAGAGCCCGAAGCTAAGAAAAGATTTGGCCCTCTTGAGTTAATCCCAATGAAATTTTTGAGGACTAATCTAGATCCATCTCTTAACAAATTTTGCGCAATAGATTCTAAGACAGATTCCAGCGTGGCGCCTTTAGCCCGCCGAAGTTCGAGGTCGAGTAATACTCTATCCCAATCTGCAGGCGAAGTCAGAAGACGAAGCTTTAATGTCAGGTCCAGATATTTATCCACGAATCCTTCCACCAACTCGAGATACGCGACCGATTTTGAAGAGGTTGCAGTTTTAGGAAAAGGTGCATTTGGTCAAGTCGTCAAAGCTCGTAACGCACTCGACAGTCGTTACTATGCTATCAAAAAAATTAGGCACACAGAAGAAAAGCTTTCTTCTATTTTGAGCGAGGTGATGCTTCTAGCAAGTCTAAACCATCAGTACGTTGTTCGTTATTACGCTGCTTGGTTGGAGGAAGAATTAGCTGAAGAAGATGCTGTCACATCAAGTGATGATGACACCGAATCTGACACTGATGAACAGGCGACTGACTTTACTGAGCCAGGTTTAACCAATAGCAGGTCGAATATTGCCAATAATAGCTGGGATTTTATCTCAAATTCATTTCAAGCTTCCAATTACCCAGAAATTGTCTTTGCAAATAGTGAAGATGAGTGCGAAGAAGACTCGGAAGAAGAAAGCAGTGTTTCTTCTTCAGAAAACCTCAAATTTGGTCAGACTGATCGAAGTAATGACTCCATTTCACTATTCGAGAACAAAGACCGAAAGTTGCAAGAATCACGGAGCTCGCGCTCAGGCATAGTGGAAGTAAGGCGTCAAGCATTAATCGAGCAGACGAAAGCTAGGCGAAAAACGAAAAGTACACTTTTTATTCAAATGGAATACTGCGAAAATCGTACGCTCTATGATTTAATACACATGGAGGATCTAAGTTCACAGAAAGAAGAGTATTGGAGACTCTTCCGAGAGATTTTGGATGCTTTGAGCTATATACACTCTTTGGGAATTATACACCGGGATTTGAAGCCAATGAACATCTTTATTGATGAATCAAGGAATATCAAAATTGGTGACTTTGGCCTTGCTAAGAATGTGCATAGGCCCACAGATCTGTTGCGCGTAGACACTCAAATGAGTGCTGGAAGCACTGACGATCTAACGTCGGCAATCGGGACTGCCTTATATGTAGCCACCGAAGTTCTGAATGGCAAAGGGAGCTATAATGAGAAAATTGACATGTATTCCTTGGGCATCATTTTCTTCGAGATGGTCTACCCATTCAAGACTGGTATGGAAAGAGTTAACGATCTCAAGATGTTGAGAACAAACCTCGTTGCCTTCCCCGCTGATTTTGATGATAGCAGGCTTAGCATAGAAAAGAAAATCATACGACAGTTACTTGATCATGATCCCGATAAGAGACCAAACGCCAAATCATTATTGCATAGCGGTTTGCTTCCAGTTAAGCATCAAGACGATGTAATTAAAGAAGCTTTGAGACATTTAGCCGACCCCTCGTCGCCTTGGCAACAACAAGTGAGAGAAAGCCTATTTGCGCAACCTTACAGTATCACGAACGACATTTTATTTGACAATCATAAACTTACTTCTACTCCATTTGACCAACTCTTGAAATCTCAAATGATGGAAGAAATAACGAAGATCTTCAAAAGACATGGCGCTGTAGAAAATAGCGAGACTTCGATCATATTTCCGAAAGCGCCGATATACTCCACTCAAAACGTATATGAAATCTTAGACAAAGGCGGTTCGATTTTGCAGCTTCAGTACGACTTGACTTATCCAATGGCCAGGTATGTTGCCAAAGGACCCAACTGTGCCAACAAACAATTCCGCGTTCAACATGTGTATCGGCCGCCGCAACAAATGCAGTCGAGTACAGAACCAAGAAAATTCATTGAGGTAGATTTCGATATAATTTCTCCCTCTTCCTCTGAAAGCACATTTCATGATGCAGAAAGCATTAAAGTTGTTGACGAGATCATAACACAGCTCCCTATCTTTGGGAAAATTAATACTGTTTTCAACATGAATCACGCTGACATCCTTGATAGCGTTTTCAGCTTTTGTTCCATTGATAAAGCACAGCGCTCTTTAGTCTCACACATGCTATCACAGGTTGGTTTTGCTAAGACATTTAAGGATGTCAAAAGTGAACTGAAATCGGTCTTGAACATCTCATCAACGTCTCTTAATGATTTAGAAATATTTGATTTCCGTCTCGATTTCGAAAGTGCCAAAAAGAGGTTGAATAAAATAATGGTCGACAGTCCTTACCTGGCTAAAGTTGATGAGTCTTTGCAGTATATTTCCAAGGTCTTGAACTTATTGAAGCCTTTGAAAGTGACAAGAAACATACTGATATGCCCTATCAGCAACTACAATTGGGCATTTTACAAAGGTAACATTATGTTTCAGGCAATATACGATGATGAAAGAACTCGAAGTTTGATAGCTGCTGGCGGACGATATGATAACTTGGTATCTCTTATTGCGAGGCCTTCTGGGGGCAAAATTAGCAATGTACAAAAAGCAGTGGGATTTAATTTAGCTTGGGAGACTATACTTGTAGTTGCACAGAGCTATTTTAAGTTGGCAGCTGGAAAGAAAATAAAGAAAAGAAGTACTTTCATCAAAGATGCTGCATTAGAGTGGAAACCTTCGCGATGCGAGGTGCTCGTGTCAAGTTTTTCCAATAGTATTCTGAACACAATCGGCGTAGAGATTTTGAATCAGTTATGGAAGGCTGGTATCAGTGCTGACTTTGTCCGGAGCTGCTATACTGTAGATGATGTTGTTTCTGTTGCGCAGCGTGAGGGTGTAGATTGGGTGATCCTGATCAAGCAACAAAAGTATACAGCTTCAAATCACAAACGAAAATTCAAGCCGCTAAAAGTGAAAAAGCTAGATAGCGAATTGGACGCCGACCTAGATTTTGACGAGTTCCTGGTAGTATACCATCAAGAAAATGGTTCAAAATCCAACTCAAACGAACCTCTACAACTTCAGGATGGAAGCCCAACATCAACCGATGATAAAAGATGGGAAGAGTTTGGAAGTGCAGAAGAAAGTCTAGATGGCAGCAGCAACGCCTCTTTCAACGGCCCCAGTGCGCAGAAAGTTGTCTACATACCGAACATGGCCACTCGTGCTAAAAAGTCGAATAAGAAGGACAAGTGGGTCTACGAAGATTCTGCAAGAAATGCTTCGCGAGGAATTATAACCAGCTTGTCCACAGCACCGATTTTTGCCGTGGATGCAATTCGTGACGAAACGCTTGAAATTATTTCTGTAACTTCGCTAGCACAGAAAGACGAATGGCTTCGCAAGATTTTTGGTGCGGGACAAAACTCTGCACCGCGCAGTTTTGCTACCAGTATTTACAATAACCTGTCCAAGGAGGCTTCCAAAGGTGGCAAGTGGGCCATCGTGCATTGTAACAAAACAGGCAACTCTTGCGTTGTAGATCTACAGCGTTGAATATTACAAGTAAGTGTTCGTAATAGCGCATCAACGCAAAATTACAGCATCGTAGACCAGGTTTTACTCACTCTGATGCGATGTCACCTATTATGTTTGTAGTTATGCTCGGCATGTGATTCACAGAATATCTACGCTTTCTCATCTGGATATACCTGAAAGATATACTAGAAGTAAACAAATAAAGTGTATAGAGCATGCGATCAACGTACGTATGATCATTTTCGTTCAGTCTCGTCTGCACCTACTAACTAGATTCAATGCTTTGATAACAGTGTCATATTTGTAGAAAAATCAGCTCCAGCAACCATCACTGAACTCCATGATATACTGTCGAATGATTTGATTTCTGTTAAGGAAAAATGGTCATTCGAGTTCAAAACTTTTCGATTGACCGTCAAGAACCTTCCGCCGGAAAGTCCCAGACTTATGCATTCAATTACTTTCAGCCATCGAGACAATAAAAGTGTGATCGTCAAGAACAAATCCGCCATAGTAACTTCAGCAATGCCAGGCAGTATCCCAGCTGCTCTTACACTCAATGGGTGCTCTTCGGCATCCTGCGAGTCTTTCGACCATCTATTGACTTCGAAGCTATCCAATCTTTGGACCCAAAGGCAGACTATCAAGGGAGATTTCGGAAGCACCTATCAAACTAGCGAATTAACAATACGGGCGACCAATGTATTTTCATATGGCGGTTTCAAAGGCTTATTAATTGAGCTTGAATGTGAGGAACAGATACCAGATTCGGAGTTCGATCAACGGATCAACAGAATACGAAACTACCTAAGAGACATGTCTATCGAAGATTATAAAATCTGCAGTGATATAATGGATCCACAAAGGCGCAACTTTCTTTGTGATCTAGCACAACAGTATGTGAAGGTCTTGGAACTGTAGCATACATAATAAAGTAAAACCCCATATCGCATTAATTTTCAACTAGCTAATTTACTTAATAAGTCCTGAATGCTAGAAGTAACAGCCATAGATGAATTAGCGGCTACTTCTGCTGGTGTGGGCTCGTACACCTCAGCTTCGAAAGCATTTATATCACCTCCCGAATCTGCAGCCGCCATCTTCAATCGCTTCATGTCCTCTTTCTCGGCTACTGTCCCAAAGGATTCGTGCCTCTTCGATGATTTCGTATCTTCTTCAATGTCACTCTTGTCAGTGTCACTATCACTTCCGTCACTAGCCTCGTAAGTTGGCAGCAAGTCAGTCTGCTCTGTTGTGGATGGTTGGGGTTTCGAAGGATCTTTCGCAGCTAGCACCGCATCTATTTCGTTAATCATTTCTTGATCCTGTTGTGCTTGTTCGGTTTGAAAATCTAGCATTATCTTGAGCTCTTTAAGTGCCTGGCTTCGCAGTTCCATCGACTTCTGAAGCGCGTCCTTGGCAACTTGACCGATCTTTTGTACGGTCTTATAATTTTCAGAGTATACAACGCTACTTGGGTCCAATGCCTCCAACGAAGAATCAAACCTTGTTTTGTTTGAGGAAACGCTGGCTTGCGATTTGCTGAGTTGGTCAAAAACCGAGACCACTTGCCGCAATTCTGGGACAACCGAAGCCACACTCGAATTGTCACTGCGTGAAGGTTTGATGGGGGTATCTTTCAACTTAGGATACACATCTTTAATCACCTTGTCAGAAAAAACCTGACGCTGTTTCCATATATCAACCACACGCCTTACTTTCTTCCGCATTTCTTTGTTTAGTCCTGGGTAGACCTCCCCCAAAACTTCAGGCATTATAGCCCCGAACGCGGTTCCGAAATCGCCCACACGTTTGTGTTTGGCTTGCTGAATCACATCATTGGCTAGATATATAGCTAAAAGCTTCCTGCGAGTGTTTATTGTTGGCTTTATCACAAATCTTTTCCAGCAATGCGCAATTTGATTAACCTCTTTGTATTGAGTAAGCAGCCATTTGGAAGCACTTACAATTGATTCCTGAGTTTCATCTAAAGCGTTCAATTTAGAAACGAATTGATCTTCAGAGAAAGACATAGTCGTAGTGTGCTATTTCAAAACACTAGTAGCAGATGTGGGTAAACTTTTATATTGGTTGATTTCTTCAACATCTCATCTTTAAAATACTTTCTCGCACACTTAATCGCATCCTAAAAATATTAGCAGAAATATGGCTAAAAAGACCTCTGAGTCAATAGACCATGATCAAGATGATCGGTGCAAGGAGCTGAAGAAGATCTTCTTCCGCCTAAACACGTTTTACACTTTTTTAATGTCTAGAAAGCATGTCGTAAGTACTTTTTCCACATTAAGAAAGCCAATCGAAAAGGACATTAAAAGGGAGCTGACGCCTTTAGACTTGGCCAAGATTGCGTACCTCCTTCCACGAGACATCGTTTTTAAATACATGGACGTAAACCAGTTCCACACGGAAACTAAAGAATTCGACTTCCGCAATGGAGGGTTTCAGCAGAAGGCCAATGATATCTTCGAGCTCAAACCTGAAAACAGCAACCTTAATGACTCAGATACCCTAGAAGACACTCAAATACTTGTATTTGAGTTTATAGATGGTGATATGTCACGGAAACTCTCACGACGTGAATTCAAAACGCAAGTAAAGATGCCAGAGTTCTCCCCTGACGCCATGCGTAAAATGATTTCACAGCGCACAAAGATCTTCGAATCAAGTCTCAAAAGGTTTTTAACGCAACAAAAACTCAAAAACAGGGACCCCTGGGAGTATTTGGAATCTGAAGCATTATCATTAGTACCGCAGAAAAAAGAGTTTGTAGATCCGATAGAGGCCATGATTAAGTCGCGAGAAGCACAAGGCGATTCCCGAGTAGTGGTTGACGCGGAAAACAATATGACTCGACTCACAATGCCCACATTGTTAAAAAAGCTTGAGATGTCAGAGCTTTACAATAGTCAAATAGTCAGCCATATGGTTCTTGATGAACGATCCGCTCAATTTAGCGACTTGGCCTTTGACTTGGCGCCAGAAGCTTTGGCAGCCTTCGAGCATAACACATTCTATTCTCACCAAGCGCAGGCGCTTAATGCCATTCATAAAGGCGAAAATGTTATAATCACAACTTCAACTTCATCCGGAAAATCCCTAATTTACCAGCTTTCAGCAATCGATCAATTACTTAAGTATCCACAAGCTACTTTCATGTACATTTTCCCCACTAAAGCTCTTGCTCAAGATCAAAAGAGAGCTTTTCAGGTCCTATTGTCTAGAATACCACAGTTATCTCACATTGTGGTTGACAACTATGATGGCGATACTGAAGAAGATAAACGTGGATTTATTCGCAAGAATGCTAGGGTAATTTTTACAAACCCAGATATGATTCATGTCAGTATATTGCCAAACCATCCCAATTGGCGACATTTTTTGATGCATCTGAAACTTGTCGTAGTTGATGAACTTCATATGTATAAAGGGTTATTTGGCTCTCATGTTGCTTTGGTACTAAGAAGGCTTCAGCGGCTTACTCACGGGTTCTATAACAATTTTGACATCAAATTTATTTCATGTTCGGCCACTTTGAAGAGGCCTATTGAGCATATGAAGAGTATTTTTGGCATAGAGCAGGTTACTTTAATAAACGAGGATGGCTCGCCAAGAGGTGAAAAGCACCTGGTAGTATGGAACCCGCCCCTACTTCCTCAACATGTTCGTAGAAGAGAGAACTTTATTCACGAAAGCGCTAAAATTCTAGTACAGCTCATTTTAGAAAATGTTAGAACCATTGCGTTCTGTTATGTTCGTCGTGTTTGTGAACTTTTGATGAAAGAAGTGCGAACTATTTTTCAGGAGATGAACAGAACCGATTTGTTGAATGAGGTTATGTCCTACCGTGGTGGCTATTCCCCTTCCGATAGACGTAAAATCGAGCAAGAGATGTTTCATGGCAATCTTAGGGCAGTGATTTCAACTAACGCGCTAGAGCTTGGTATAGATATTGGTGGTTTGGATGCAGTACTCATGTGTGGATTTCCTCTTTCTCTTGCTAACTTTCATCAACAAAGCGGGAGAGCAGGCAGAAGAAATAGGGACTCATTGACGCTTGTTGTTGCAAGTGACTCGCCTGTTGATCAACATTACGTTGCTCATCCAGAGGTGTTGAAAGATGGCGGCAACGAATCTTTTCAAGAGCTCATTTTAGATTTTGAAAACGTTTTAATTTTGGAAGGTCATATTCAATGCGCAGCATTTGAGCTGCCTATTTTAATTGACAAAGACCAGGCATATTTCGAAGCCAAAATCTTGACGAAGACATGCGAAGAGAGATTACATCACGACTCGAACGGCTATCATACGCATAACAGATTTCTTCCATGGCCGGCAAAACTCGTAAGCTTGCGCGGGTCAGAAGAAGACCAATATGCAGTAGTCGATATCACCAATGGAAGAAACATTGTCATCGAAGAGGTAGAAGCCTCCAGAACAAGTTTTACACTTTACGACGGGGGTATTTTTGTCCACCAAGGATATCCATACCTAGTAAAAGAGTTCAACCCTGATGAACGTTATGCCAAGGTACAGAGAGTAGATGTCGAATGGACGACAAACCAGCGCGACTTTACCGATGTCGATCCACAGGAGATAGAAATGATTAGATCTCTGGAAGAAAGCGACGTTCCGGTCTTCTTCGGAAAAATTAAGACTACCATCATTGTCTTTGGGTTCTTCAAAATTGACAAGTATAAGCGAATCATCGATGCTGTTGAAACCCATAATCCACCGGTGATCATTCAGTCAAAGGGATTATGGATAGACATTCCACCATTAGCAATAGAGCTTTGCAAGCGAAAGATTCTAAATGTTGCTGGTGGTATACATGCTGCACAACATGCCATCATGGGTCTTCTTCCTGCCTTTATTGTCGCGGGAGTAGATGAGATTCATACAGAATGCAAAGCCCCTGAGAAGGAATTTGCTGAGCGCCAAACGCTGAGAAAACGACCCGCCCGGCTGATATTCTATGACTCTAAAGGTGGAAAACATGGCTCGGGACTCTCCATCAAAGCTTTTGAACACATAGATGTTATATTAGAAGGAGCTCTTAAGAGAGTAGAAGAATGCCCTTGTGAGAATGGCTGTCCTGAATGTGTGGCCGCAGCATTTTGTAAGGAAAACAGTCTGGTTCTTTCCAAGCCCGCATCCTTGATCATACTTCACTGTATTTTGAACCACCCCGAGTCTAGTTTTATTGACAACATCAAGGATGGTCCAGAACCCAATATGCCAGATATACAAATTGAAACTATTGTCCCGGCGACCGGGCACGCTAAGTTTTCACCAGATTTACAGATCATCGAAACAAAGAAGACAGAGAAACTATCTAGTGCGCCGCCTCTAGCAATAAAAAAAGAAGAAAATTAGGCTGAAAAGTGTGTATTTGTGCAAATAAGTTCAATTAATATTATAAGTCGGGGTAGTTCTTTTCAAGACATTAGGGTGTCGACTGCCCATTCAACGCTCAACGTTCTAAGGTCAGTATAAGTTTGGCCGACGCCAACGAACAAAATTGGGATACCAGTGGCATATACCATGTTTACCATAGTACCCAACATTTCACCCACTGTATCGCACTTCGAGATAATGAAAAAATCCAAGTTTCTTTCCTTACCAAATGCAGCATTAAAGTTTTTGGCCTGTTGAACAGAATCTGTTCCTACTAAAGCTTCACCAACCATGATAATCTTGTCTGGTTTGGCCTGATCAGCGAACGGCTTCAAAGGTGACATCAGTGTTGGATCGTTATGCCTTCTACCGGCAGTATCCATTAGTACTACGTCAAAGCTTTGATCATTTGCATACTTGATAGCTTGCTTGGCGATTTTTGTGACCAGATCAGAACCTCCATAACCTGCTTCAAACAGTTCAACGAAATCATTACCAGTCTTACCTCTCTTATTCTTTGAGCCACGAGTATGCGCCTCGTCGGTTAGTTGCGCCAAATTCTCAACATGTACTCTTAGTTGTTCCACTGCACCAGACCTGAAGGTATCGCAAGCCACTATCAGCACTCTAAAATTATTTTGGAGAAGCCAGAAAGCTAGTTTCGATAAATTGGTCGATTTACCAACACCGTTCACACCAACTACCGAGAAAACATATGGTGCCTTCTTGGCAGTCGAGCCAGTTTTTTGCTGAATTTCCCGAAGTAAATCTACCGATACCCCGGGAGTCAAGATTTCAGTGAGAGATTGTTGTAAAGACTCCCTTGCAGTGATTTCAACACTAGTCCAATTAGCAGTGGTCGTGCCAACCAAGTTTTGGGAGATTCGAGAGGTGAGGTGATCAGCCGCCTCGGGTGCCACATTTTTGGTAATCAACTTATGCTTTAGTTTGTCCAAAACTTTGGTCAAATCATCTTCGGTAATCTTTTTATTACCCAGTAGATGTTTTTGCAAGAAACCAAAAGCTCCGGCGCTAGAACTGGCGTTCTTTGCCACATCACTTTTGTTTTTACTCAGTAATGCATCAATTTCCTTGATAAGAAATTCGCCTTTATTAGTTCTAATCCCAAAAGAATCTTTATTCACTTCAGTCACCGCGCTAGGAGTCGATTCGGAGCTTCCCTCGGCAGAAAAATCTAGTGCAGATGTGTCCCCATGATGGGAATCTTCCATTACACCATCCCGGCCCCATTTTCTTGATTTTGCGTTGGATACAACTTTCTTTCCGGGTTTAGTAGCTTGTAAGCCTGCTCTATTTACTTGCGAAGGCTCCTTTCCCTTTAGTTTTCCTGGTTTGATTGTGTTAAATTTAGCCTTAAAATACTCGTCAAATTTTGTAATTTGTTCGTCGCAATTCTCCAGAACCCAGGTATAGTTGTGTTCATTCTTGGGAGCCTTTTTCCCAAGGTTGAGCTCGATTGTCTCATTCAGACCCAAAGAAGCCCACAGTTTGGTGCCAAGGTCTAAGACCTGTTCAGCTTCTCGATTCAACTCGAGGTCCTGAGCCACATAGGTCGTTAAAAAGATGATCGGAGGCTGCTTTTCCAGATGGCACGCAGCCACAAAATGATCGAGCTTTAAAATGATGTATTTATGACCAAGCTCGTCTTTTCTCGCCGGAGTTGTGATCAAGTGAGAAACGACTTTATTGACCTGCAACTCGGCCAGTCGTTTGCCTTGCGGGCTAAAACTGTATAGAACTTGTCCATGAGACGTGAAAACTACGAATTGGTCAATCATAGTTTCTGGAACAGCCTGTGTCGTATAATGCAAGTGAGCTTGGTCGAACTGATTGTTCAAAGATCTAATTTAAACAAGAGTGAGGCTACCAGTGTGTCACTATGTACGCAGATGTTCGTTTGGACTCAATATCAATGGTATCGGAAGACCAGTTTGGCTGGCATTCCAGGAGCAGGCAGGTCTTCTTTCATAACTTCCTTTGCATCATGATTGGGCGCCTTCAGCTTCTGAGTCTTTCAGCTTCAAAGTTTAGAATGTCTGAAGTATAATTCGATGATGGCGGTTAAAAGACAAGTACCAAGCTGGCACATTAGTCAAGATTTTCATTCTGCTACAAAGTCACGGATATGAACTGATTCAAACTACGTTACCATTCTTGACTGTTTGAATCCGACACTATTTGATCAGATTAGCTTACAATTTTTTTCTTCCAAAAGGTTCAAACATATAACTTGGATATTTAACCGCGGCCAACAATATAAGCCCAAAAAGAACCTTAACGAACCTTATTTCGTGGACAAGCTCGTAAGTCTAAGGAGGAAACGCTAAGGATACTCTTTTCGTGCTGCCAAGTCTGCCTTAGCCGTGATTGGACGGAGGCATTATGTACGGTTTTATATGTGCTTCTGCGTGAATTGGCCCTTAGCAAGTTGATCCATGAGATCTCCAGGAGCACAAATCGGCCAATGGATAATATCTCGTCTTCACGCCTCGCTTACTGGGAAGTTATCTTTCGTAGGAATTTGAGAACCACTCTATCGGATCGTTTTTTATTAGGATGTGAGCTAAACGATATATCGTCTTCACATTTGTTGGGTGGAAAATCTATACCCACTTAAAGCACCAAGTGATAAGCTATTTTAGAACTTCTAATGGCCGATGAGAGCCGTTAAAATATCTATCGTTCCAACTCTGTTGGGGTCAGCTCGAGTTGAAATCGTACAAAGTGTCCTTAACATTGGTGATAATTCATATACCTTACTTACTGGCAACAAAACCGTTGACGATTGCAGAAGCTGCCAAAATAGCTTTGAAGCCGGTATTCTACTGCTTTTCTTCGGCCGTTTTGACAAGTGAAATGAGTGATGCTATTCCAGAATTTGATTTCTCGGATATTTTGAGCTCTAGGGAGGCTTCAGGTTCAAGCACCTTTGAAACTCACAACGACTTAACAAATGCAGCGAGTCGCTCCAGAGTAAGTTCGCCGGCCCTCAATGTTTTTGAAAACACGGGCTCCTCAAAGAAAAGAACGCGGGACCCACAAGTGGTACATTTGTTGAAGAAAGTTAGCGTTCAGACCACACTGCTGTCAGTGATTCTGCCTCTCTTCTCTTTGTTCAAGCTTCTTTTAAGTCGGCCTGAATGGAATGCGGCCATGCTCAAGTGTCTCTTAGTGTACATGTTTCTGTCGCAAGTTAGCTTGGTTGCAGGATATCACCGATTTTTCACACATGCATCGTATCAATGTGATCTTTCAGTACAGTCGGTGTTTGCGATTTTGGGGGGCTCCTGTGGTTTGGGTTCTATTCTCGACTTCTCCAGTCAGCATTTGGCCCATCATCATCATGTCGATACTGAAAGAGACCCACATGCCATTGTCGTACACGGTTGGCTGTTCGCACAGTGGGGCCATAAGCTTTTTAATGGAAATCGTAAATCCGCTCGAGCTGTTTTAGAATGTCGCAACACTTTGGAATCAACCGCAAGAGCCACTGCTGGTGACAAGACAAAAAATGATATCGCTCCTCCAAGTTACGCTCTCTTGCGTTGGCAACACGAAAACTATGCGGAGATTTTGTTCCTCACCCTAGTTATAATACCATGCATTATGGCTAAGTTCTTCGGTCTACCGTACTTGAGTGGAATTTTTTATTTGGGGCTAGTACGAATGTCTTTGATCCAACAGCAATGGCTAATCATTGGTTTCCTGTGCCATATGAAACATTTTCCCTTTGCGAAGCAACCCTTTGACAACTCTAGGTCTGCAATCAATTTACCTTTTGGTTTTCTTTGGGATCTAATCACTTTTGGGGAGTCCAATCACAACTTTCATCATGAGTTCCCTGGAGACTATAGAAATGGACCAAATAAAATTCAGTGGGATCCGTCGAGATATGCCATTTTGCTTCTATACTACCTTGGCTTCGCTGGCAAACTTCACTATACCAGCCAAGACCAAATTAACAAGTGCCTTATCCAGCAGCAACAAAAGAATTTGGACGAAGAAAGATCCAAGCTACAATGGGGTATACCGTTAGACAAACTACCCGTTATGCTTCCGGAGACTTTTGTTAGATTAGCAAAACAAGAATTTGAGACAAAAAAACGAGCTTTGGTAGCTATTGAAGGTGTGATTCACGACGTCACTCCATTCATAAATGATCATCCCGGTGGTGTGGCGCTTGTGTGCACTAGCGTTGGCAAGGACGCGACACAAGCTTTTAATGGCGCAGTTTATCTGCACTCACAAGCGGCTCGAAATCTTTTGGCAACTATGCGGATTGCAGTACTTGGACGCGGTCGTATTGGCATTGAACCAACAATTTGGGAAAAGCATATGTTGGAGAGCAACAATTTCAAAAATGATTCGAAGGGACGTGAGATTGTAAGAAATAAACAGCAGGTTACTTTCACAAACAAGAATCATTATGCTGCCGGTGCAGCATGATGAGTAACGATTTAATGATACATTAGTTTTATTCACCTTATTTAAATCTTTTTATTAGTTATGCAGATGGGAAATGTCTTAATGCAGCTAGGATCAGTCCGCTAAGAAATCTAATGAAATTCCCGGCGTGTAATCATCTTCATCGTCATCATGGTCGTCCTCGTCTTCTTTTTGATTGATGGAGCTGCTACCAGTCACCGACGTAATCAGTGGAGGCTTACTCGATGTTTCATCCGGTTCTTCATCTGTGTTGCTAGGGTTTTCCGAATCGCTACTATCACTTTCGCTACTTGAGCTTGTTTCCGAGCAATCATCATCAGAGCTCGCGTCGTTTTCCACTTCTGAGCTTGAAGCTTGCCCAACTAGGGAATAACCAGCGCACAATGAAGAATCGCCTTGGGCAACGAAAATTGTGGGGTACTCTATAACTGTCCTATCTCTGAAAAGCTCGCCTATAGGTTTAGTGGGATCCAACTGAATAAGTTTTCTGGAGTCAGTGAAAGGCTCCGCGTCTTGTGGAAAGCATTTAGTGTAGAGGTTGAGCCCCAATTCTGACAACCAATTCAGTCTTATTTGCATGTCGTTTTCCTGAATCTCTGGCTTTTGTTGAGATTCTGGATTTTGTTGTTGCTCTTCTAACTCCAGAGAATTTTGAGCCTCTATAGTTTGCTTTGGTTTTTCTGGATCCTGGATACCAAGAAATTGATGGGTATCTATGCTCTGCTCAATTTCTTGTAGTTTAGGCGCTTCTTTGTCCTTATCATTGAACAACTCGCAGCACTTTGTCTGCACAATCTTACCCATGCACTCAACGAGAGTGTCTGTTTCCTTATTTCTATGACTAGTATGGAACAGTTCAATTGTCCCCTGGGGTGAAAAAAGGCACCATTCAAGAGACCACACAAATAAGTCCAAACTCTTGTCCCATTTACTCTTATTTTGGAGTGACCTCTGCATACCTTTGGGTAGCAAAATACAGTGGACGCCTCTTCTGATAACTTTAGGAGGCTGCTCTAGTTGTTGTCGTTTCTTCAGATGGGCTTGGTAACCGTGCCCTTGTGCGGGAACCAAGGCCCTCTTGTTTCTGGTTTTTCCATCTCGCTTCAAGAGCTCTAGATGTCTGTTCACGCCCATTAGAAAGTTATAATCTCGCTGCACTAATATGTTGGTTTCATCGGCGGTATCAGCGCCTTTCAGCTTCTCCCGCGGCACGTAATTAGTTGGATCATCTGCTGTTCCAGAACACTCATCTTGAAGCTTGTGAGTCTTGATGCATGGCACTGAGCACGTTCTTTTCGTACATTTGGGGCAAGTATACCGTGCACTCTCGTTGGCACAGATCTCACACGTCGAAGAGCTCATTCTGTGTGTTGAATCTGCCAGTTAAAAGTTGCCGATGAGCTGCTGGCGCCAATGCATAAATTTTGATTAATTCCATGTTCCTTTCTACGGGACATTGACTTTTTCAAAACTAGTAATAGGTGCGAGATCAACAAGATGACAGAGCAACTTTCATTGATAGAACTGCCTCCTGGACGCTTTTCTGACCGGGAAACATTCATAGTCTTGATGATTTCCAGCTAGCTAATTAGCCGCAAGTAAATCTTCATCGAGCCACTAAAACCATAAATAAAAATAAAAAGGCACAATTTAATGCCAGCGAACGGAATTCAGCTGTGTGAGATACCATCAACTGCCTTAAATAGTTTGATGCTAGGCAGTCTAAAACCGCTAGCAACTACTAACTAGCTTAAAACACTGTCTTGTACTATCGATCAAGTAATAACTTCAATCCATTTTTTTACTTTCGACTTGTTCGGAAAACTCCATAGCTTTGACTATCGTCTTTGCTTGATTTCAAAACTCCCGCAAACAGACGATGCTGATGTTTGTATGAAACCAATTTTATTTTTCAGAGACGCCTGACAATTCCAATATAGCAAGCTAATTGAGAACAATTCCTCTTCTATGTTTCAGTCTAAGGCTTTTCGCCATCGTATATTTGGTTGAAGTTACTCTTTGCTCAATCTGGAAGTACACAGGTATCACTTTCGTGAGATGGAGGGGAGGGCACTTACGCAGCTTTCTCGAACCATTTCGCTACCCATTTCTATAGTATATCTTTTAGTCGCTAAAGGTCCGAAGAAAAAATGAGTATGGTGATGATAATCTTGAAAAAAATTATGAAGATTGAATAATTGAACTTAACACCCCTTTAGGGCAGAGATTCAGTGAACAAAAACAAGACTTTTGCACATTGGAACTCAATCAGAATAGCATATTTACTCACAGATGGTATGTCACAGCTCTAACCTTGTCAACTATGGTTTCATTGCACTATTGGCGACACGTTTTCAGAAGGGGAATAAACACATGAGATGAAATGGCCTGATGTGATCGGTGCTCAGAAATATCGTCGGTGGGTGTAGCGACAACTGCGCGACTTGTACTTGCTCTGTGTTCTGTTTGCAATCGGTGTATCCGTCCAGCTTTTGGGATATGTCCTACATTCCTACTTTATAGCCTGGATCGTTTTTATGAAACCTGTATTCACCTCCAAGATGCTGTTTTACTAACTTCGTCTACAGTCTCAGCCAAACGGAATTGCCACGCTTTTGAAAGCCGAGAAGGAGGCTCACGAAATTGTGTCCCAAGCCAGACAGTACCGTTCAGAAAAGCTCAAGCAGGCAAAGTCTGACGCTGCCAAGGAAATTAACGCCTACAAGCAGAAGAAAGAGCAGGAGCTCAAGGATTTTGAAGCCAAGAACGCTGGTGGTGTCGGTGGTTTGGAGAAAGAAGCCGAGGACCAGGTTCAGAGTGAGCTTAAGGAACTCAAAGAAATTGGCAAAAAGAAGAAAAGCGCAGTTGTGAAGCTTTTGATCGATGCAGCAACCAACCCAGTAGGTACTGTCCATGTCAACGCTTTGTGAGCACGCTAGGTTTCACGTCAAATAGAAATCTTCACATAGAGAAAGAATGTCATCCATACATTTGGGGGAATTCTAATTAGTAGGAGCTTTGGCTTATATTGTCAGTACTCTAAAACAACTTTAATTACACATTTGAATGCTAGTCATCAATCGTATCCGCGTCCATCAGCTCAGCTGGACACCTTTTCCGTATATCTTTCTATATTCTCACGTGAGATCTGTATCCGGTCTTTCTTCTACCTTGCATGTAATTAAACGACATACAATCCATCTCTGTGCGTCCTCATAGTCGTAAAGACACGATTCCTGAACAGCAAATCTGTTCTCGAAATGTCTCACATTTACTTGAATTCGTCAATGCTAAAACAGTTGAACCATACAGTACAGGAATACGTTTCAGATTGGATGCATTCCCAACAGTTCCATTTTAACCATACAAAGCTGGCTGCGAGCCCTGCAGCAATGAAAACCAATTCTACAACTTTTGTGGTGACGTTGGCAATTGCATTTGTCCTGTACCGATGGATATTTCCTGCGACTCGGAAACAGAAACTTAGCGCAGTCAAATTCGAACTATCTTTGCCAGAAGCAGCTCAGAAACACTGGAAAGGAAAAAGGCTTCAATCGTTCACGGGGACCAGCACGGATCCTTCACAGCGCATTCAATGCTATTGTCCTGCAACAGGTCAAGTTTTGGGTTCTTTTCCTTCTATGAGTGAATTGGATATCGACAACTTGGTTTCTAAGGCTGCCAAGGCTCAGTTGAAATGGCGTAAAACCTCCATAGAAGAGCGGATTAAAGTTTTAGTTTCTCTTCAAGACCATATTTTAGAAAACCAGGACTCAATCGCTCGTGTAGCTTGCAGAGACTCAGGGAAAACCATGTTAGATGCCTCCATGGGCGAAATACTGGTCACTTTAGAAAAGCTGCAGTGGATTATTAAACACGGTAAAAAAGCTCTGCAGCCCTCGAAGCGTCCTGGACCTACCAACTTTTTCATGAAGTGGTACAAAGGCGCGGAAGTAAGATACGAACCTTTGGGAGTTGTTGGAGCCTTGGTGTCATGGAACTATCCATTTCACAACCTCTTGGGACCAATCATCGCTGCTATCTTTACTGGTAATGCGATTGTCATAAAGTGTTCCGAACAAGTGGTGTGGTCCTCTGAGGTTTTCATCGGCATGGTCAAGAATTGCCTAGAAGCGTGCGGGTTTGACCCAGATCTGGTACAGTTGTGTTACTGTTCTCCACCCAATGCTAATGATAATACCGCTAATTATTACTCGTCTCATCCTGGTCTTAAACACTTGACATTTATTGGCAGCAAACCAGTAGCTCACCATGTATTGGCGGCTGCGTCAAAAAGTCTAACCCCTGTCTGTGTTGAATTAGGAGGCAAAGACGCTCTTATTTGTCTGGACTCCGTAAAAGACTTAAAAGCTTTATCTTCCATCATTATGCGTGGTACGTTTCAATCTTCTGGCCAGAACTGTATTGGTATTGAGCGGGTTATAGTGTCTGCTAAGCACTACAAAGAAATGGTTGGTATTCTTGAGAAAAGAATTGGAACGTTAAGACTTGGCTCGGATATTGACAACCTAGAGGATGTGGACATGGGCGCCATGATATCTGATAATAGATTTGAGCAACTGGAATCGATGATACAAAATGCAGTCGGCCAGGGTGCTCGTCTTCTACACGGGGGATCGCGCTACAAACATCCCAATTACCCTCAAGGCCACTACTTCCAACCCACCCTTTTGGTTGATGTCTCGCCAGATATGGATATTGCTCAAAACGAAGTTTTTGGACCCGTATTGACCGTGATGCGCGCGGAGGACACGTTGGATTGTATCCGTCTAGCAAACTCAGCACCTTTCGGACTCGGTGGATCTGTCTTTGGTAACGATTATGCGGAGTGTAACTATGTTGCCAATCATTTACAGACTGGTAACGTAGCCATCAACGATTTTGCCACGTTTTACGTATGCCAATTGCCCTTCGGTGGCATAGGTGGCTCTGGTTATGGGAAATTTGGCGGTGAAGAAGGATTGACTGGTCTCTGCAATGCCAAAAGTGTTTGCTATGATAAGCTGCCCTTCGTCTCTACTCAAATACCTAAGCCTTTGGATTATCCAATTAAGAGCAACCGCTCGGCTTGGAAGTTTGTGAAGAGCTTCAACACCGGCTCTTACACAAGATCAACGTGGGTGAGGATAAAGTCCTTGCTATCACTGGCAAAAAATGCCAATTAGCCTGCCACTTTATTTAGTTATAGAACACAATTGTGCAAGTAGAGATATTAATTTCAAAATTATCCGAGTACACTTTTTTCTGCCTGTTTGAGACTATCTTGGAGCTTAGTGATGTAGTCTTTGTGAAGCTTTTCAAGATCCTGAGTGATCTTTTTAACAGAATCGTTTTTTTTGTCAATCTTTTTTAGTTCCTTCAGTATTTCACTCCGAGCATGGCCAAGAGAATTCTTGTTAGCTGAATTCTTATACTCTTCAAAAATTTCCTTCAGTTGTTTACACGTCTGCTTACGAGTCTCGGTGGTTGGGGGTGGAAGCGATATTTTTAGCTGCTGCTCATTGTTAGGTATTCTTTCTGGATTTAAATTCAACCCAGCTGCCAAAATAGTACTAACGATCAATTTGGTATCTTTTGGATCGAAAACGGTGACAATGAGACCATTTCTGCCTTTGGTAGATGTAGTGGCCAAGTCGGTGAATTTGGAGCCATCCTTTCCGACTTTTAGCTTATCGAATATCGCTGGATTAGAGGCGCCAGACTTCACTTCGTTCAAATTCTTTTTGTGAAGTTCTATAGTCTTGTCAAAATGATCGGTAGCCTGTTGGATATATCCTTTAACGTCGATTAGTTCTATGATCTCTTCCTCGTCTGCTTTCTTCCCCTTGGCAGCCTTCTTGCCTGCCTTTTTTGAATGCGTAGCGCTGTGATGGAATAATCGGGCTTGAGAACCCAATCGGGCTTGAAATCCCAAACCAACGAAATGTGTTCTTACCGCGAACCTTGTAAGCATGTTAGGTGGTAGACCAATGAAATATAAACAAAAGCGGTTAAGTTTGTTAGTCACTGCTAGAGAATTCCAGCACGCAAACAGTTAATAACGATCTTTCTTCAGGCAGACGACTTTAATTTTAGTGTCGGTTAAATATTAAGTGATAAGAATCTGCCCTCGAGCCACGATGTTCAAAAGCGCAGTTCTGGCTCTGAAAACCTATAGACGGAGGTAATATCTCGAGAACGTTAAAACTAATATACAAACAAGTAAGACATTACTTACTATTGGATGATAACGAATGGATGCAAATTTGGTATCGGTGTATTTGTTTGGCTCATCTTGCATGGAGTTGATGACGGCTTCTCAAGCCTTTCTTGAAGTGAATGGGTTTAGGACACGAACCGTCAAGCAAGGCAAAGCCATGCCGACTTCAGCCCGTAACAAAACGGGTACTTGTTGCAGCTCCCGGATTTCCTGAATATTGTTCTCGTTTTCTTTCCGTGTTACGACTGAAGATAAAAAGCTTTCTAAAGGTTCATATTCTTCACCACCGTCTGGGAGCTTTAGAGAAGGCGGTTCGATGTGCAGGTCGGTCAGTTGTCTGGCTAGGGAGTCAGTCAAGAGGCCTTGACCTTCCTGGGTTTTAGCGAATTGAACACTCGCTATTTCGTTAGAAGCAGACTTGAATTTGTTTCTGATTGAGTTGCGGTAGGATTTTGGATTTTTCTCATCAGCAGGCACGAAAGTTGCACTATCTACTCCTGCCTGCCAGTACAGCTCAAGAGCACGCTCATTACCGTCGTACTCGGCCTTCGTTAATGGCAGTTGGTCACCATGGACTCTTTTTTCTATACCAAACTCAGGGATGAGCACGTCAAACGCAGACTCATAGACTTGCAGGACTGTGGCCATGGTCAAAATTTGACCAGTTGCATTTCCCATGTCATTAATCGTTTTGCATAAAAGCAGGTGAATTGCTTGTTCTTGGGCATGATGCGCACAGTCCTTCTTGAAGTTACAATATTCGGAAGTGATCTTTAAAGAGTCATCACTTTCTTTGTATTGAGCTCCACTCAAAACAGATTTCAATTGACGATGAACAACATGGTCGGCATATCTTCTCAATGGAGCGGTGAAGTGTGTGTACAGAGGTAAGTTGAGAGCAAAGTGTTCGTATTGATCTGGCTCGACTTTGCCGGCCACGAAATATTTGGCGCGTCCAAGACTCTTGAATAACAAAATTTCGACACCAACTCTAGCACCTTCATCGTTTATGGAAAGAATGGAACTCAGAAGAGTTTGAGAGTCTGTAATATCAATATCATAGCCAAGCTTGGCTACCTTCTTCTGGAAGGAATCCAACTTGGTAGCAATTGGCTTCGATTGTCTTCTCAAAAATGTGAGGTCTCCTAATTTTTGATAAATAGTTTGTGCCACAGTACTATTAACTTGACGTTCAATTTCAGTTATGATAGATGTGGCGGCGCTTGCTTGAAAAATGTTCAAGTCGACCTTGACTTTCTCGTCATCCAGACTTTCTAGCAAAGATAAGTCTGGTTTCAAGTTAATAGATCGGGAGTTCAATCGCTTCCGGCAAAAAGCCGTTGCCACATCTTGGATAGTGGACACAAATGACGAAGGGGAGTCAGATGCAAGTTGTTCGTTTAGTTCTTGGAAGGTGATCGACGATGAAGGGGTTATGATGGTTTCGCCAATCCAAGTGGAAATAAGTTCATATCTTGGATTGAAACGATATACCACCGATATTGTGGCAGAGCTTCTTCCTTGCTTCAAGGTCAAAGCGTCATTCAAAGTCAGTGGTAATAAGTGTACAACTTTCTGCGGTATGAAAACACCTGACGACCGTTTTCTAGCTCTTCTATCAAGAGAAGACCCCTCATCAATATGTGCAGTAACATCGAGAATATGACATCCCACTTCGAAAGAGCCGTCATTGAAGGCATCGATGTGAAGGGCCAAATCTGAAAGAGACTTGGTTTCATAGATGGCAACTGCGTTATCAAACACTTTTCTAGCTTTAATATTATCTTCCGACAGAGCATTTGGTTGGAATGTTGTTCTTTCCCTGCTGCGATCTTGAGGATCCAGGTACTCATCGGACAAAAAGTTGTTGTCTCTAAGTATAGCATCTATTTCCGTTTCGGGTTCGTTAATCTCACCTAATTGTGAAACTAAAGTTCCAAAAGGATGCAAAGATGTGATGGGCCAACGCTTGATGGATGCAACAAAAAGTTTGTTGGAATACTTGTCCGTATTTTCGACAAAATCTTTTGGAGCTTGTTCAGTTGGAATGGCAATCAGAGGAACTTTCTTGTCTGTTGGCTTGAACCAGACAATTTTTGGTTTGTGAGGCTTGTTAGCATCACTGTTGGCCTGTTGTGAAGGTCTCAACAAGCCCAAAGTACCACTAAATAATTGACCTGGAATACGATCCAAAACAGCGACGACATGGCCCGCATACAAAGGTTTGTAGCTGTCGCTAATTTCTTCCTCCTCGACCAAAAGCAACGACTGACCTTCAACTTCGACATCATCATTTTTCTTCTGCGTGGGACGCTGCTTTAATGAACCTTTCCTCTTGACGCTGCTAGATTTTGATGGTGATAATTGATCACCCTTTTCAGTAGAGTTGAGAGAGGAAGACGAATTTGAAGTGGGTACAGTACGTGAGGACGCATCATTGTGATAATCATCGTTGCTGTTTAGCGGAATGTCCTGCTGGCTACTAGCATCCTTGCGTCTTTTTTTCTCTTCCTTTTCCTTTTTCGACCCCCACACATCGTCCACCATCAAAAGTTCAACCGCTACGAGATCTCCCTCTAAAGCTCTATTACGGTCTTTCGATCCACAAATATAAACATCGGCATCTAGTACCCCATCGGTGGCAACCCACGCGTCGGACCTGTTTTTCTTGTTGACTCTCAGAATACCACAAACTAGTCTGCCTTCTTCAATAAGCTCAGGAATGTTGGATTGTGGCAAGTAGGGCGCAAATAAAGATTTACGACCACTTTGATTACCACCGTTGTTGTTAGAACCAAAACTGTGGGTTGACAAATTTGAGTTACGTGATCTATGTCCAGGTTGAAAAACAGCGGGAGGCTCCAAACCCCCATAAGATGATTGCTCGCGAGATTGACTTTTCTTATGGAAGGAAAATTGCTGTTGCTGAGAGAGCGGTTGAGGTAGTTGTTGTTGCTGTTGAGGTACTTGCTGTTGCTGTTGTGATTGTTGAGACGAGCCGCCAAGAGATGAAGTTTGCTGTTGCGAGCGCCAGTTGGCGTTTATGCCAGAGACATCTTTGTCTTTGGTGTTTATACCTCGATGGGGAGTTCCAACGGGGGTGAATTCATCACGATTTTCCTTGCTGGCATTGGGCTTAGAGGGGAACTGAAAGGACTTCTGTGGAGAAACATTTGAGCTTTTCGAATCCTGAGGCGTAGCTCCTTTTGCGGTCTCAACAGGCGAGGCTGGAAATTTGAAGCCGGATTGTTCAGGAGGGTCCGATTGTGAAGTTCCAGCAGAATCTAAACTCTCAGAATCGTCAACTTTGATAGAGACGCCGGAACCGCTAGTAGCTCTTTTGGCTTGCTCTTCAGCAGCTGCCTTTTTGGCCTCGTTAAGAACTAGCGAGTGTCTTCTATTATGACCATATACCCCAGATTGGGAACCCGTCTTACGGTGACCACCAGCAGGGGGAGCAAACTCGTTGCTATTGTAGTACCCCGAGCTATTTCTTGAGTGGGATCTGCTTCTATTGCCTTGGTTGTAGGGAGATGGCGAAGCATTGTTGTTGTATGTTGGGTGTGGAGGTTGGGGCGTAAACGAGTTCATGGGCCCGCCAGAGGTGCCCATGGGTGCCTGATTTGATGTAGACATACCTGACGCGGGGTATTGGCCGGATTGTTGCGCCAATTGTTGTTGCTGTGCAATTAGTTGCTGCTGTTGGGCCTGTACAATCTCAAGTTGTCTCTGCAGCGTGAACTGTTCGATCATGAGGTTGGTCAGCTCGCTGGCAGACCTACGATGTGCAATGTGAATCTGCTTAGGATTATTTCTGCCACCTGAGGTGGCGACGAACTTGTCGCTGCCACTTCCGCTATGGCTTTTGTCAGAAGAACTCATTTTGGAAAGTTTGCCCGCGAAAATCTATTTTCAGACTATTAATAGCTCAATATTCCTATGAACACTTACCAATGCTTTATCAAATGGCTCTTGGTTTGCGTTGCTTCCTGTAACGTCCTAATTTGCACGGAGAAGTAAACTTTTCTCCTAATTTTCCCTTAAATCCACGTTACCAATAGAGTGTGACTCTTGTATCCGTTGTTCTGAAAAACTAGCGCGCTTTCTGACCTGAAAGAACAAACACTGGGTTTCTTCAGCTAGCCGTTAACGATTAAGGAATGCAACTTGTGACGCGAGTTCCTTGTCCGGTTTGTCCTTCGCAAAGCTATATTTCGGGTGGTTCTAATAGGAGAGTAGCTGAATATTTTTTTATATAAGAGTTAATGAACAATTACTACAAAATGAGGATTTCCCGTACGACAGCACAACTTGCTAGCAAACATGTATCTCAGGGACTGAAAAGGTGACGGAGCGACAATTGTTACTGTGAAATGGACCGCATAATTCAGAATTAATTGACTTGAGCGTTGCTATTTAGTTACGAATTGTGCTGAGCCGAGAGTGCTTCTTATAATTAACGATGATGAATATTTGACATGCTATTTTGCATTGGATTTGGCAAGTGCGGCCGTGTCAGCCAAGACCAGTATGGGAGGTGACTGCTACGATTGATGCTGGATCTCTTTGGCTCAGTCTGAGCTATCACTTTTTTGAAAACAAAAAAACACTTTACATTGAAATTAATTTATTATAAAAAAGAATCTAACTCTTTTGCGTTCACAGCCCTGTGTGTCGATCCTTTCTCTTCCGAGACGCTTACTCGTAGTTGGATGGATATTTGTAGTCGGTCAACTCGTAGAAGTTCTCCTTAACGTTACGAACACTGACAAAACGGTTCAAAATGTTTCCGCTACCAGCCTTATCGTCGGTACCACTCATTCTAGCTCCGCCGAACCACTGTTGTCCCACGACCGCACCGGTACACTTGTCATTGATGTAGAAGTTACCTGCACTGTACTTCAAAGCTTCATCTGCGACATTGATGGCTTCTCTGTCGCGAGCGAAAACTGCGCCAGTAAGGCCGTAGCTGGTAGTCTTGTCCAGAGTCTCGCAAATTTGCTTAAATTCGGCGTCAGGGTATTCGTAGACGGTCAAAATTGGACCGAAAAACTCTGTGGACATGTATTTGTGAAGAGGGTTTGTGGTTTTAATGACGGTGGGCTCCACAAAAAAACCATTAGCCTTGTTGTAGTTACCTCCACAAACAATCTCTAATTCTGGATCCTTTTTGGCTTCCTCTATAGCAGCTGCGAGCTTGTCAAAGCTCTGTTCATGGATCACAGGGCCCATGAACCCGTGCAAGTCTCCTCCATTGATCTTGGAAGCAGAGGTGTTCACGGGTTTCACTGATCCTAGGGTACCAGCTAGATCCGCAAGGAATTCGGCACTTTTGGATTGGGGAATGTATGCTCTTGAAGTTGCAGAACATTTCTGTCCCTGATATTCGAAAGATCCTCTTAGTGTGCTGAGAACGGCGTGAGGGATATTTGCGCTAGGGTGAATCAAGTGAAAGTTTTTACCACCCGTTTCCCCAACAATACGAGGGTAGTCCCGATACACGTCGTTCACCACGCCTTGCTGAATTTGGCCATAAAGCTTTTTGAAAACCGCGGTGGAACCAGTGAAGTGCAAGGCGGAGAACTCCTTGTCTGCAAGTACTTTGTTGGTGATCTTGACTGGGTCACCGGGAATAAAGTTCACAACACCGTGAGGCAAACCTGCTTCCTCCAAAACTGTGAGCAACAAGTAGTTGGAAAGCGCGGCAGTCTGAGATGGTTTCCAGACGACGGTGTTCCCCATGAGAGCAGGGGCTCCAACCAAGTTTCCTGCAATAGCAGTGAAGTTGAAGGGAGTCACGGCATACACAAATCCCTCCAAAGGTCTGTATTCAGCTTTGTTCCAGACACCTGGGCTGGACTCGCAAGGTTGCTGGTTGTACAACTCTGATGCGTATTTGACGCTGAACCGGAAGAAATCTGCCAATTCCCCAATACAGTCGATTTCTGCCTGATATACGTTTTTGCCCTGGCCCAACATTGTCGCAGCAAGCATGTCGTAACGGTACTTGGTGGAGATCAAGTCTGCGGCCTTAAGAAACACAGCAGCGCGATCATAGAAGGGCATCTTGTACCACTTGGACTTGGCGTCTTTCGAGGCCTGAATGGCAGCGGCCACGTCTTGCTCCGAAGCCTGAGTGACGTTGGCTAGCACCTGTGAGTGTTTGGCCGGATTCACCTGCTGGAACGAGGTGCGATTGCCCTCGTTGTAGAAAACACGCTTTCCGTTGATGACCAGCGGTACATCTAGCGACGCATTGTTGAATTTGGACACAGAAGCACGAAGCAGGTCCCAGTCCATCGTGTCTTTGCTGGAAAAATTCTTCACTGGCTCATTGGTGATCTGTTTAGGAGGCTTGATGTGCGACAGCTGCGAGAAGCTGCGTCTGTACTGCTTGAACAGCAAAGATCTGGTCAACATATCTGTGAGGTCTGAATAGTGCTTCTGACTAGACGAGAAACTGTACAAATGCTATTTTCACTGCTGGAAGATGCTTCGAGGCTTCTTTCTGCTTTGACGAAATAAAGACCGGGCACTAGATGTTCTGATTAAGAAACTCAAGAATCTAAGGCGTCCTGTTGCTGGTATAATGACCTGTACAAATCGATACGACGAATTTCAAATTTGCAGCTCTCAATTTGAATATTCAATGGCCATTATATATGCCAATCTCGCTCTTAACAGCTCTACGGGTATTTTTCACTCAATTTCGAACTCGGCGATTTTTTCCCACTAATTTATTTTCTGGAGCGGAAACCCAAGTCCGATACATAGCAGAGATCAACTGAGTATGAGAAGCTCGGAAAAATGTATAAAATCCCGAGCCATGACATTATCGAGCATTGAGCAGAGGAGCTGTTGGGAGTGAATATGGCAGTGAAAAGCTATAGCCACCAGCGAACTTGTTCAAAATAATGATCGTAGAACTTTTAACATAGCATCATGTAATTGAATTCTTTTTACTGTACTCAATATATCACTATATTGTTTCAATTGCATACTACTGATTTCCTACTTGGTGCCATGAGTTGGGCGCCATGACTTTAATTATACTTTTATTATGATGGTTGTCGCTGTCGCGTATTGAATTATAGATTTCTTTTGCACTGGTGAATGCCAAATTGCAGTACGTTAGGAAAGTTGTAGGCCCAGCATGTTGGAAAGATGCTACAATTGAAGCATTGGCGAATGCCTGGCCTTTCGCGAAGCGTCGTGGTTATTTCGTGGCTTTGATGGGAAATTGTTCAGTTGTTCATGAGCCTTGATAATCGTTAACTCGCGCTGTCTGCCAGCTCTTATTCCGCGAATGGATTTATATCGAACGCAAGTGGTTTTCCAAAAGTGCGCATCTATAGCTCCTGACGACAACCACAGGCGCTGTTGTTTGTTATTTTCTGAATCCTTCCGGAGGCACAACGATATGCTCAATTGATGTAAAAAGGAATCCTCAAGCTGGATTTCTTGCGGCACTGAGTGTTCAGTGTGTAAGAATTCACGACATTTTGGTTTCGGGCCTTTTGTTGCCCCCCCTCTCTTGCTCTTCTTGCAAGCTCCACAGCGAACGAACGCGGATACGGTCCTTTTGCTGGTAAACTCAATCTTGTCCACCAGCTTATTTACAATACTTGAAACAAAGTGCGGCGGATTCTTACTGACGCTCTATGTGCCAGCGTAAAGCTATTTCCAGCCTTCGTCCTTTTTTTCAGCACTGTTTTAATGCTACGAAGTGCTACTCTTGCTATTCCATCAGTTCATTATCATAGTCTTGGAGCATAATTGACCTTGTCCTGTCCTCAGTACGACCTTTTTTTAATGACCTGTCAAAATGCGCATCTCCATAATAACTCTTGGCGCGAGCGAACCCTAAAATGAAATTTGAGCTGAAACACCAAATCGCCAGTCCAGAGAGAACAACTCCCAATGTCTTCCAACCCAGTGGTTCTACGAAAGAATTCACAACGTCTCCAACAAGTTGAGCGCTAATAGCTGTCCGCGCGCCAAAAAACAAGTCATTGTTCCGAGCCATGCACTTTTCCCAACGATTACACTGGGCTTCCATGGCTTCCACTCGTGTGCTTCTATCACAATTATTAACGTCGTACTGTACCCGACATTGCGAAGACTCGCTGCTAAGCTCCATTTTCGCTACGTGCCAAGCAGATCCTAAATCAGCCTTGAGCGCGCGCATGAAGATCAGAACAAATGATAGGAATGCCAAAACCGTGAATGCATTTAGTGATATTTGCAGGTACGACGTAAGGTTGTATGAGACACGAGAAGCCGGTCTTGAGTATACAGACCATGGGTTTGGTAGTTTTAAAGAATCACCATCGTGGTGAACTCTTTCTGTTTGAGGTTGAAATCCAGGAGGTGGATAGTAGAAGTGATTGTTGTTAATTGATATCTGGATTGGTTGGTGCTGAGATCTTTGTCGCAGCTCGTTCAGATCCGCTGGATTCAGAGCAACACCGGTACTAGCATCTTTTAGTTCATGCATAGGAGTTGAATTATGCTCCGAGGCATTCACCCCATTGATTTCCTCCTGGTCATCTAAATTTCCAGCTGCGTTTTCTAACTTGGTGGCTGCGGCGACACCCAGACTTGTTGGGGATAAAAGAGCCCTAATAACAGCTCTACTATTCGGGGATGCTAACTGCTGCTTTTCCTCGTCTTCGGATTCTGTTTCAACTAACAAATCGTTTTCAAGAGCAATATTCTCAGCACTTGGGCCTTGCGAAGTGCTCTCTTCCACTGGGTCTACATCCATTTCATCATATGCTTCGTCTATAAAAACGGATTGTCGCAGTGGTGACGGGCTCGACGGTGCGTGCGATAAAAGCCTGTCCATTACTCTTTGGGATATTTGCTTTTTAGTAGAGTCGATATTAGTGCTGTCATTTTCGCAGATGTTCAAACCTAAGATTGCTTGTAAATCTTCTTCTTGTACTGCAGATCCACTATCAACCAGTGATAACTTACTAAACTCATCCATACTATAGTAAAGCCTATCTTTTGATGTCAAGAATTGATATTTACTTTAAGTTGCTCATATATTCCAGTCAAAAACGCGTCGAGATCACTTCGTCCCCAACAGACATTTGCAAGCTCCAAGTGCTTTAGTTCACATGGGCTTCATCAACTTCTATTTCTTGTCGAGCCGACCCTGCAATGTGCTTCAAAGTTATTTAGCGTTTATTTAGTACTAATTGCGTTATATAGTGTGAGGCTAGAACGAGGTTCCTTTAAAAATCACGCTTCGTCTTATATAGTGTGTCAAGAAATCCTACCAGCAGTCGATCTACGACTCCGCTAGTTTGGACACTTCCTGCCACACCGTAAAGGGCACTGGTTCCGTCAGAAGATGGCTTTTTGGTTCCGTTTTTTTTTAGTTCTTCAACCAAATCACGTAGTGTTTCAGTTAGCTCAGATATTACTGGTCTTGTAAGCCAGGTAACGGCCAAATGCAGGGCAGGAGGATTTTGTAGAGCACTCAAATGCCAGCCTTTTTGCGCTAGTTTGTCCGAGAGTTCATGCACATCAATTTTGTCCGATGTAAAAGCAACTACAGAGCATTTGGGATCGCCTATAATCTGCAGGTCCGGAATTCTATCCTCGATGTATGTCTTCAGCTCCCTTGCAGTACTGATGATTTCTTTGCAAGAGTCAATATACCCCTGTTCTCCGATGCGAATCATAGTTGCCCAGCAACCTACTACCAGAGCCCCCGGGCGACTGCCAGCAAGAGTGGGAGAGCCATAAAGCCCGCCAACCCAATCCGCTAACAAATAGTATTGATGCATTCGTAGTTCTCTGCTCCTGTACAAAATAACAGAGGAGCCCTTTGGCGCAAATCCGTACTTGTGGGTGTCGCATGAAACAGAAGTGACACCTGGCACTCTGAAATCGAATGGAGGTATGTCTTTGAAGCCAGCTTTTTCCATGTGTGCGATGACGAAGGAACCTAGACAACAGTCAACGTGTAAGGGAATATTTTTTTGTTGGGCTAGCATACCCAAACCCTCAATGTCGTCCACAATACCGTATGGAAAGTTTGGTGCAGATCCCACCAGTAAAACAGTGTTCTTATTGATTAATCTGCGAACTCTCTTGAGGTCGACTTTAAAAGTCTTGGGGTCTAATGGCGCATGCCGTAAAGTCATACCAAAGTAGTAAGCTGCCTTATCAAATGCCGCGTGTGCAGTAACGGGAGCGATGATTTCTGGATTCTTGATTCCTTTGTGGTGTAAGGCGTACATCTTGGCACTCAAACACGCCAGTAACAGCGATTCCGTGCCTCCTGAAGTTGTGGTACCACAAGCAGTTGATTCGGGGGCGTGAAACATGTTGAGCACCATGGAGACCACTTCCGCTTCCATTTTCCTGACGGCAGGAAAGACATCAGGATGTAACTGGTTAGCAACGCAGTACTTTTCGAACGCCTGACTCTGCAGGTGGATCAGTTCCTTGCCACCATGGTACACGGCGCCGGAAACTTTGCCACCTTCCCAGTCTGAGTGAGCCAATACCCTCTGAGAAAGGTCAAGCTCCTGCAACACTTGTTGTTCTTCCAAACCGGTCGAAGGTAGATGCGAGAATTGCGTCAATCGCTCGTCACCCTTCATCAGACTATCTTCAATACTGATCAGCGATTTTTTGACCTCTTTGTCGACTTTGGACCTCAGCAGGAACGAGGACGTCAGAGAAAGGAAGAAAGGCCGGAGTGTGTGGTTTTTGAGCATTTTTAGGGATTCGTTCAGCCCGAACCCTCCAACATAGTACCATACCCACGTCAACGTCTTAACAATGGCGATGGTAGCAAAAGCCACCAGTATTTTGTTGTTGCTAAGGCATGTGAACAGACTCTGGCACTGTTTGAAAGCCCAGTCGCGGTAAGCAGCATTGCCCTGAGAAGCCCAAATGAAACCCTCGCCAAGCATAAGTAGTAGCAATAGTTCGAAAGAAAGACCTATACACGCGCTTAAGCAGACTAGCACACTGCAAAATGATGCGCAATTGGACCTATAAAGACTTTTCAGCGTTAACTTAAAACGTATTGTTCCTGAAGCTTCATTTTCCGAGTGATTTGTTTGACACTTATAACTGTACGAAACGACAACGATCTTTTTTGACAGTATTCGAAAAAGTGACAGATTTAAAATATAGAGGACAACAGACTACACATCGCAAACTACGCTACTTGATAGAGCAACGGATAGTGCGTGATCATAGTACATCCCATCGCTACGTTTTCGGCATGTTTGTTGGCCCAAACTTTTTTTCTTGTAAAATCGAGAAAACCGCATCACCAACATTAACATCTTACGCCTCAACTTCGCACTACCCTCTACTCTCAAATTATGGCCGATGGCGTGTATCTAAGCTATCTTGTCCACAAGAAAACTCTTCAGTTTGTCATTGCTTCTGACTACGTTCAGGGTCCAAGCCACAGTGTATCTCTATATACGTATCAATTCAAGAAGTGGAAAAGAAACATAGCAACATTTAGCGCCTATCGAAACTGTCAACTATAAAGAGACCGAAAAGACTTCACTTCAGTCGAAAAAGACCATCTAGTAAGTCCAAGACAATGATGCTAAAAATTGCTATATTCAATTGTGATGCTCCTAAAGAGCAACTCGTAAACTGGGGGAATTTTTCCGACATGGCGATCACCATGTTGGAACAGTCGTGCGACGCAGCAGATGAAGCGGAGTACGATGTTTATCAAGTTTATAAAGACGAGTTTCCATCGTTGGAAGAGTTGAAGTCGTATTCGGGGATCTACATCACTGGGTCAGAATTCGATGCTTTCGACAACAGTCGCGCTTGGATCGTTCACTTGAAAAAGATCATCAATGTGGTGCTCACAGAAGATGGCTATCCGCCAGTCACAGGTGTATGCTTTGGTCACCAAATCGTCGCATCAAGCTTGGGCTGTAAAGTAGACAGAAATCCGCAGGGAATGGAGGGAGGTATTGTCCCCCTTCAATTGACCGAAGATGCAAAGCGCCTAGGCTTGCTTCAAAAACCGCACCCCAGCACCACGCATACGTTCTCTATTGCAAAAATTCACAACGATATCGTTTATGAGATCCCAGAAGGTTATGTGAATATAGCGAGTTCGCAAAAATGTCCTATCCAAGGGCTGTACAAGAAACACAAAGCCTTTACACTCCAAGGACACCCGGAATTTGTCACGCAGGTCTCGATGCTCATGATTCAAAGGGCCTATGAGCATGGCAAAATCGATGCTCATAGATTCGAAGCCATAAAGGCAGAGTCGGCCCAGAATGAAAACGATGGAATCTATGCTGCCAAAACGATGTGGAAATTGTTCAAGCGCGAACTCTGAAAAACCATAATAAATTATAGATCAGGGTCAGTTTGTAATTTCTATCTTATAGACAATTCCGTAAGACTTCATCAATTGAAAGCATCAACGTTTCGGTCCCTGAGAGCTATTAAGCGGCGGATGAAACAGCCATAGAAATGGTTAAATTGTGTGAGGAGAAAACCAGTATCTTCGCAGGCATAAGTTCTGGACTTTTCAAGTACAAAATATATATATCAGCTTCTGACTGTACTTTTTAATCTTGTTTTTCTGCAAGTTTCCTCAGCAAAGCTGTACGCCTTTTTTGCTGCGCAAGCCTTTCAAGTAAGGCGGAACAATCATCGAAAGCAGACGAAATTTTGTAACTATTTCGGCCAAAGACCTTGTTCTGACAGTTAAATTGCTTATGTGTGTGTTCCAGCTCTGTTAAAAAATCAAATAAATCAAAGCTTCTTACACAAACGAGAGACTCGAAATGCCACTGAATGTCATCTTTTGAATGAGGTCTCAAGCAACGGTCTGCGTATAAGGTTTTAAAATTTTGTAGTGCAATCGCTATATAGAAACAATTGTAACCTACTGAACGTTTTTTATTCTTACTCCAGCGTTGTGTTTCTGCCTCGCCGGGTGCGTGCGGCGTTGGATGATACTTTCTTCGATCCTTGCACGCCATTGAGAGAGTACTGTTTTTGAACTCTTTTAATGTAACCTTGAATGAATTGCGACTGTTGAACCACACGCACTAATTCCTTGCGTAGGCGGGATTCCTCCTCTAGAGTGCCGATCGAATGCAAATTAGTCGCGGGGCTTTCAAGACGAGCCTTGAGCTCGTCACGCTTTTCTCGCAGAGTCTTCAGTACTAGAGATTGGCTAGCGGCACGGGAGGACTCAGCCTGGTACAGCACTCGCAGCTCATCGTTGAGTGTAGCCTTTTGAGAGTTTTTAGACATCTCGGATGCTAACTCGGATCTTAGTTTCGCAAGCTCTTCCGTCAGGTGGGTGATTTGTACAGCAGGCACTTTGATGTCGTTGAGGATTGTTTCAAAAGAATATTTTCTGTCCGATAAAACTTTTAGACGCTCAGAAAGCTTTTGCTGATCAGATTGTGCCTTATTTAGTTTTTTAACAGATTCGTTAAAGGAAGTCTCCTCCTCCTTAGTTCTTTTGAAAGTAGTAGCAGCTTCATCTTTGATCTGATCGAACTCGTCTTGGCGCATAGTTTCTCTAAGTCTCTGTCCTAAAACTTCCTTTTGATGCACGCTGTAACCTTTTTCGCAAGCAGTTAGTCTTCGCACGATGAGCTCCATGACGATACCTTGATAAACTTTCATGTCCAGATCCTGGTTGACAGGCTTTAGCTCAAAATTCATTGTTTTCATATGCGAAAGACCACGATACGTCGTCAGGCAATCGAAGAGATTTACATTTGTGGTCTCCTTGGCCAGATGGCAAGGCGGTAAAGATGTTGGATTCGATGAGACGCCTTGCAAGATATCTTCGATAAGCTGGCCCGGCCACTCAAGAGCATCATCACTCGTTATAGTATGTCTATGCTTAATGAAATGCAGTAATGAATCCAAAAAGTGATCGTCTTCACTTTTCATGTTACTATGAGCCAAAACGTAATGATCCGGGGAGTCCTCGACCATCAACTTTATAAGAGGTACCTTTTTACCAGTCCTCCGCATTCTTTGGAAGCATTCCAGCCCGGCATCGATCAGGGGATCAAAGCCTATCACGATGTCAACGCAAAATTCGTCCATCAAAGTGGGGCTCCTTGCGAGATGTGTGGCAGTGGCAAGAAATACCCAGTCACTTTCATCTTTTAAAGCAGGTACGGCTCTTCGTTTACCATACTCATATTCGTCTTTGATGTATCCGGTCGGGAGTACTGGCGTGCTGGATCTAGTTTCAGATTCTCCGTAGCAATGCTTTTCATCGAAGAGGCTGGTCCCCGAAAGCCGCCTCAGTTTCACTGGCTTACCAAGCAAATATCCTTCTATGAGATCCAGCTCTTTGACACTATGAGATAGTATTGTGATCTGTAATGCTTTGGGGAATTTCGTGCGATCTCTGGAAAAGAGCGAATCAAGAAGTAGAGCCATTTTTTGAAACTTGTCGCTAGCTCCTATAAGCCTTTCACCTGGTTCCATAAGAAGAAGCTGACGCGGCATGTAATGCTCAACCAGGAGAAATGGATGGTTTGCTATTGCGCGGATGTTCGCGGCAAGCATACTTGTTAGCTGCTGTGGTGACAGAGCCGGCAATGTCAATTTGGTAAATCCCTTACTTTCCTCGAACTTGTATACATCTTCATTGTTATAGAACTGCAGCAGAGATCTTGCATGAATTGAAATCAGAATTTCGATGAGATCTTTTTGAAGAATCGTCAATCCTACTGGAACACAGTAATTGGAACTCTGATCATCAACCGTACCGTTCATAGGTAAACTCAAAATCTCGAGGTAAAGAAACAGATATCAATGTACAGAAGTATCTGCTCTGCGATGAAATGACTGTCAGAAGCCAGTTGATCTGCTATTATTTCAGCTCTGAAGATTTATTTCTTGGAGTAACGCTTTTTCCAATATACGATACAATGCTGCCAAACAAATCTTAAGCTCGACAATTAAAATTAATGTTTGCAACGAGATAATGGGAACTAATACAGTTGATAGTAGGCATTTTAAGCACGGGCTTGTTTCGGACGGTGTGGCTCGACTTGAAGTATCGTGACGACTACTTATATACAAGGATACCTATTAAACATGTAAACATTGAGCCATTTTTCGAATTGTTCCAGTATACTCGCATAGTGAAGTATCTTCACTGTTAATCTCACGATCTGGGATGAGTTTAGATATGAAAAACCGATCTTGGCTCCCTTTGAGAAAGGTTTTTTCAATTCTGACCGGTGATGTTCGAGCAGCGATCAAAGAGTGTGCGTATTCTTCGGCCTTGGAAAGCGCGGGGTCGTCATTTAAATATCGCAAAAGTATTAAGGTCCCAAAATCAACGCACATGGCTTCGTTCCGCTGGAGCAACCGTTCGTTCAAAGCAGTCACTTCTAACTTTATATCCTCCGTGAATACCATTACTCGAGGCTTACATAGAAGCTCAGCAATTGTAGCGTTTTCGAATAATATGGTGTGCTGAAAGCACGCAGCCTCGTCTGGTGAAGTATTGCGTTTTTGAAGCAGAGTTGTCCACTTGAGGCGGTAGAGTAGTTCGAGAAATTTTGAGTGGTTTCTTGACATAGCTTTGAGATGCCTGGCTGCAAGCCGGTCGATCTTGTTTTGCCACTGCTGTAAATCAATGGCGTGAATATGGCCTTTCATCAGCTGGTCGTATGCGATTTGTTTCATCAAACAAGGCAATGCAATCGAAACATTGAAACTCTTTGGAATGGATCGCGGATCTGACAAATTCTTATTTGTGGTTGATAAGACAAGGCACCCTACCTTCAAGTATTTCTTTCCGCATTTGTAGAAAGTGTGTTGAAACTGTATTGCTAGGTGTGCTGGAACGACGTCCAGGGTTTCTTCTTTTGTTGCTGAAGTGTTAATTTGAAACGAAAACGCTAAAGATGACGTTGCTGTGTGAGATAACCAACGATTGGTTCCCGAAACGCCGCATGGTGTGTCGCTGTATATCTGTTGCGAAGGTTTTAGTTTGGAGACGGGTCCATAACATCCATCAACGAGTAGTCCTTTTGAGGCAAAAACAGTTATTTCATTGACATGATCTTGAGCGAGACTAAATACTGGAACCAGGTCTTGAAATCGTTTTTCCTCATAGGAGTCAAATTGCTGAATACGCTCACACATGGGAGCCATTTCGACGACACCAATTTGATCTAAACTTGCAATCATTAAATGAACAGTAACTTTTTCCGAGAGATGTTCAAAAAGTCTTCTTGCAGACCGGAAATACTTGTCTCTTCCAGCATCTAGATCGTGATGTTGCCTCATATAAAACTTTTTGTTCTTGGCTACAACTTTTCCGGGTCCTACGGTGCAAGGACCGGTAATAAAAGCAGTAACTGGCACCTTGAAGTCATCAGCAGAAGGGTAGAGACCCGCAAGTAGAAACGATAATCCCAAAGCTCGCTTGGGCCTTTGATCTTTAGCCTTGTTTTCAGAGAACGAAAGTTGACCTACAACGTCCATTGCTCGCTTCTTGGCAATACAAAGCGGAGAGGTCTTGGCCAGTTTACTGAGAAAATATTGATAGTCCAGATTTTTGGCTTTTGTCACAGTGCTAACGTCGTTACCCGAGAAACAGATCTCACTCGAGTCTGAGTGCAATGTGACATTGCCGTCGGGTCGCAGCGTAATGAGACCAAATTTCGCTTCAGAACGACACCGCTCTAATCTTGAGATCAAAACCCTCTGTAGTGACTCCAGCTCTAGTTTGTTATGGGTGCACAGGTCTATAATCAAAACTGTGTGAATATCTGAAGCTTCGAAACTATCGGATGTGTTCGGCAGCTCAACTTCATATGGAGTTGCAACGGGTTTTTGCACTAACGGGTTGTGATTTTGACAGAATGGGCAGATCCACTGGTCTTGTATGACCGCACAGTTATCTATAATCGCAGCCCCACATGAAAGGCACGCTTGAAAGACCGGCTTGGCTCGGGTTTCATCAATGTGATCGTTCGTCTCGTAGAGCACATCCACATGCCCTGGCTCATGCAAATACGGCAATTGAAGTTCTGACTCAAGTCGCGAGGTTGGTATAACTTCAAAGGTAGGCCCTATCATTTGGACAGTTCGTTGGAGCAGATAGGTAGTTTGAGTGAATGAGTTGAACGGTACAAAGGAAAACGGGCAATCCCAGAAAGTAACCTTCAATATAGCTCAGAGAATGAGACTCTTGAATCGAATTGCAAAAAGGGATCGCCTAGTGCACAATATTTTTTTGGAAGTCCAGAGGATAATTAAACTTATTTAGATCTTTACAACTTGAGGTAATCACTAAGTTCGTGAAGCCCTCATGTCACCCCGATTTCATAAGTACGATCAACAAACATTTCTTGTCTTTACGCAGTTATCAAACTAATGTTCCCACAGCGGAAGTATGTTTTTGTAGTGGTGCACACATAGATCATACACTAATTTACAAACGATACGAAGAAATAATGACAGCAAGAAAACCTGTGCTGAGATGTGCCCGCTTTACTACAAATGATCACTGGTGATAGCCATGTCAATACAATAGCAGTACACTTTGGTGCTCTCTTCTATATGAGTTTCGTTATTAGTGACCGTTGACTAAAGCTTAAAATTGAAGCACTTGGTGTCTGTATTTAGACTAAACTAACGACCACACTTGTACTGCAGTCTCGAGCACGCTTGTTCATTACTTCTCTGCTATTTATTTGGAGACCTTTCTTTGGCTTTCCCTTCCTTTGCAGAAATGCTGAAAAATTTTAGTAAAATGAAATTCAAATTAGCTTCCATGTTTACGATAAAACAAGGTCTTCAAGCTTGTAATGGTTGCACCAACCCGTTTCCGCACTGCTAAATGGTTGCATAAGGCCGGCTTTGCTCCACAGGTGTTCTTGTTCAGAAACCTTGAAAGTGGCCAAGTCATATATTCTCAACTGCCAGTATTCACACATCACCAAATTGATTCATTGTTCAAACGCCCAGACTGGGCCAACAAGAAACCCTCCACAAGACGAGACATTTGGAGATGCATGGCAGTAGTAGACCTGCCTAATTACGAACAGGGCGTGCAAACCTATCAAAATCTGTGCCGTCTTCGGTATCTAAGAGACGTCGCTGAGGTCAAGAAGGCAGACTCGCTACGCAAGAAAAACGAGTTTGGCCACGTATGGTACAGTGCACAGTTCCGCCCCACATATACACAAGAAGCCGTTGCGGACCTCAAGGAAGCTTTGCTCAAAGCCCAGGTTGGGTCTGCTCAAATCCACTGGGAAGACCAATGGAGAATGGGCGATCTAGAAAAGCATTGGACCCCCATCCTGCCGCAACTAAAGCACTCTGTTCTCTCCCGGATTGGAAATTCCGCGAGAGAGGAATCTGCCATTTTACGCGAGCTAGGAGACCGTGCCAAGCTCGAGTTCGTCAAGCTTTCCAATCAAGAGACGGCCGCCAGCGAGTTGTCCGTCTAGAAGCGGAACGGCTGGTCGCGGAGCACAGGCCAACTGGAGACCCTTGTAAATAGACTGGGCAAGCAAACAAAGCAAAGCAAAACAAACAACTACATAAAATTCGAAACGCGATGTTCTGAAGCGGCCAAAACGCACCATTATCAAGTCACCGGGTGAGAATTTCCGTTATATTCGGCTGCCTGTAATAATAAACAAAAACTCTCACCATTTATCATGTCATGCCATTCCAAGCCAAGCAAATAGTCATATGATCTCCGGGCTGCTCTGTTCGAATTCTAAAACACGGATGATTCCGCGAAAGATAATGTATTACCCTTTACAGCGCACTTCAAGAGCATCATCTCGTATCCGCTTAGCTTGACGAATTTTTTAGTATTTTAAACATCAGTACTTCAACTGCACTTCGTTTTGTTATGGTGCCTTTCTCTTTCTGACACTATATATTGTTATTAAAAAAAGGCATAAAAATTAACGTTCCTTAGAATTTCACCATTTAGTCACCAGGATAACTGAAAAGTACCAAATGAACTGGAATAGTAGCACTCCAAGCCTCAAAGAAACGCTATCGTTTCTGGGATCGACTGTTCCACCCTTGGTGCAGAATTCGGCGCGCAAATCACTCGTGCCTTGGCTTACTGATGGTCAACTAGCACTGGTGATGCCTGTCATTGCATATTGGTCGTTTTCGATGCTGTTCCACGTCATCGATACGTTCCAGTTGGCAGAGAAGTTTAGAATACATCCTTCTGAAGAGGTTCAGGCCCGCAACAAGGCCAGTCGCAGAGAGGTCCTCGGCGAAGTTTTATTTCAGCACGTCATTCAAACCGTTACGGGAGGAGCGATGCTATACTTTGATCCACAGCCCTCTACGGGCGCTGAGCTACGTGCCATGTGGGATATAAGGCGTACTCTTCCATCCTGGGTTCCCAACAGCTTTATATACTTTGGTTACACATATGGAATATCGTTTGTCAAAGTCTTTATCGGCTTTTGCATTATTGATTCATGGCAATATTGGCTGCACAGATTGATGCACACAAACAAGACACTTTACCGCATGTATCACTCGAGACACCACCGGTTGTATGTGCCTTACGCTTACGGAGCTCTTTACAACTCGCCAATAGAAGGGTTCTTGCTCGACACTTTGGGAACTGGTATAGCGGCTATCGTGACTGGTCTTTCACACCGTGAACAGGTCTGTTTGTATACGTTTGCAACCCTCAAGACCGTTGATGACCACTGTGGGTATGCTTTGCCATGGGACCCATTTCAATGGATTTTCCCTAACAATGCGGTTTACCACGACATCCACCATCAACAGTTTGGTATCAAGACTAACTTTGCTCAACCGTTTTTCACATTGTGGGATAAAGTTTGCGGAACAAAATTCCATGGATTTGAGAAGTACGAAAAGGCTCAAAGACGCATAACGATTGATAAGTACAAGGATTTTCTGAACGATAGGGAGGCTGAAAAGCAGGCTAGGATTAAAAATGGTTTTGGAACCAAAAAAGAAAACTGATTTTCAAGGTGATTCGATGCTTCTGGTGCATCTATGTATAAGGTTACGAGATTAGATCCTCTCTGGTCAAGTCATTAATGAATATAAAGATAAAAAAACTTATGTGCGTTGTTTTTACTCGTCATACGTAGATCCCCGTTTTGTAGTGCGCAGTAAAGACGCGGTCGCAAAACTTGTTCCGTTTGTGTAGCTTTATCACTGTCTGCTTTAAATGGCTTCCTTCAACAGTTGGTTGAGCTTGTTGATCTTGGAGCTAATAGACATGTCAACTGTTCTATCAGCGAGTTCGACAACTAGACCACCTTGGATTTCTGGGTCAACAACGTTTTCTAGCTTCAAGGTCTTGCCTTGTCCGACGAAACTGGAACCAGCTAGCGCCTTCTCAACTCTCTTGAACAATTTGGAGTCCAATGGTTGAGCAGTGGTGACCGTAGCTTGGACAAGTCCGTTGTAAGCGTCAGTCAATTTGGCGAATTGAGCAGAAACACCGCTGAAGATGTCTAGTCTGTTGTTTTCTCCCAAAACCTTCAGAAGGTTGGCAACGGAAGCGTCCAAGTCTGGCTGCGATTTGTTCAATGTCTCCACGACAAGAGCTCTGTCATTGGCGGATAAAGCTGGGCTAGCCAAGATAGTGGCCAATTTGGAGTCTTTAGCGACGGTTTGCGACAGCTGAACAAGCGATTTAGACGCAGCCTCTACGGAGGTGGTCTTTGCAGCAGCCGTGAATAGAGCAGTAGCGTAAGTACCGTCTAGTCCAAACAATTGGATGGGTGGTTTCACGGATTTAGCTGCAGTAGCTAAGGAACGAGTGAATAGGAATCTGTTAAACATTTGGGCGAAATGCGGTGCTATCAAGTCAAATCAACTCTAAAAAAAATAGGGAACACGAAAACGAACTCAGGGCCTGAAATGCACAAGTTCCACACTGATTTTCTTCAAGAAAGCTCCTGAATTGAAAATTTTTGTATATGGTGTGTGAACCAGATTAATTAGCACAATGTTTAACCTACTTGATGAAAAATCTAAGGATGATCAAGTATCATTGGATATAGGTCACGTGCGCGGACGAACATAAAGAAGATGTAATTCGAGAGGTAATGAGAGCATTAACGACTGATGGGAACGAGCGGCAAAGTGCTACGGCAATGTTTTCATTGGGCTTTGTCAGTCGCGTTTCCTGTTTCTGTTGAAAAATTGTGAGTATGTAATTCTGACAGTTTTGGATGCTTCAAGAGCTCTGATATGTGTTTTCGTTCTCTGGTGTGCAGTACAATCAGTGCATTGTAATCTTTTTGTATCGTGTTATTTATTTTGTTAATAGTGGACCTTTTGTAGAACCTAAGCAGCTTTTACAAGAAGGTGTACATTTCCTGAAAGAAAAGCACGTCGATTTGGCTAATTATAGGGCCTGCAGCTTGGCATTCGCTTTTGAATTCACCAGTATTTTTTGTGTTCACTTTTTGTTCACGACTTGGGACGTCTTGTCCGAGCACGCGTGCAGCTGGTCTTAACATTGTTTTAGGTTATTAGGCCACCTTAATTCTAAAACGTTAGTATTTTAAGGCCAGCTTGCTTAAATTAGTGAACTTTGGTATTAGTCACCGTGAGTTAAAGCGCTTATTCATAGCCCACGCTGCAAATGGCACGTCTTTTGTCCTGATTCATCGATTTGTTGCGTGATAAGGTCATGGCATGTTTATCGAAAGTACTTTTGGTTTTGGCTTGTTATCAGCTTCATCTTTCGTGGACATTGCCTGTTGAAATTGAGTACTTTATCATTTCCCTGACTTTTCAATGGGCAGGATGCTTGATAACACCGTCACTTTTATCTCTCTTGTGCTATTACAAGCAACGAAGTCACACTCGAAGACGTTGAAAGTATTGGTTTTCCAGTTATTATCTAAAGTGAGTTCCGTGAGGTTATCGGTAGTGTACAATAGATAAGTATTTGAGGGAGTAGATGGAAGTCTGATGCAGAAAAAAGCTAAGCAAATAATCATCACAGCTTTGCAAATAATGCGAATTGGTTTGGTTCTATGGGTAAGTAGATTCCCAGATACCTTGACTCATTATCCTTGGTGGAAACATTCGCTACATTGATGTCGAAACTTGCTACAAACAGGAATATGCAAAACTCGGGATCATTAGACGGGGTGCTTGATACCGAAAATTAATGTGGCCGACTAATTCTTTGATCTGTTCTTGCTTCATCATTTCGCAATTAATGCCGTGCATTCATTCCACGAATCATTTATCTAGTCGCTCTTCAAAATACGTCTGTAATGACTACAAAAAATAATGAAAAAATTTTTGGTAAACTTTATGATGCGATGAGCTAGCTAACCATAGCCGATGAGCTAAGTAATAGAGGCAACTTTAAGTTGAAAGGAGAAATTCTACGACAAACGTTAACTGAGGATCTTTATACAAGCTTCTATTATAAAGGCAAACGTTATTCATACTGGGTTTTACTTTCTTTACGCAAGAACTCCACCTTTTGATCTTATCGAGCCATGGCGAAATCGTTATCGGAGCAAATTGCCGCGATTGCCAACAAACCAGCAGTTGAGGATTACGATGTAGAGGATAGCGAGCGTAACGTTTTCGAACATCGCGACGATAGTGGTGAGGGTTCCGAAGACGATTCTGAAGACGAAAAATTAGCGAAATCGCACTACGTAAACGTCGGGAAATCACAATTGAGAAACGAGGGCATAGCACTGCGAGACGAGAAATACGGAGGTGCTAAGGGCTCTAGAGATGACATGTATGCAAATGCTACGGAAGATGTTGAAAGTGAGCAAGAAGAGGGCGAAAGCTTTGGTGAAGAAGACTCGGAGCAGGACGAGGAGCTTGAAAAAGACGAAGACGAGTCTGATAGTGGAGTATCAATGAGGACAGACTCTGAAGATGAAGCCGAGGAGAAAGAGCAAGACATTTTAGAAGATGACGAAGACGTAGAAGTTAAGCGTCAACGACTGGCAGAAATGGTGCAGAAAGAGGCTCGCTCGGCAGCCAGCAAGCTTTCTGAGACGACGCATAGAGACGCTGTGAAAGGATTTGCCGTACTTGAACAATACCGTACATTTGACCATATCCTAGACACCAGAATCAAACTGCAAAAAGCCGTCAATGCAGCGAATCAGTTGCCACTTAGCACATCCTCTTGGGACCAGTCTCTCCAGGAATCTTCGAAAAATGAAAAACATCTATCCAAAACAATGAAACTATTAGAAAAAGTTATGGGTCAATTGGTGGACTTCCGTCAGGATTTTCAAGTCGCTGATAAAATAAACCAAGTCACTGATGACTCTAAAATGTCCTATGGCCAAAAGAGAAGCTTTTCGCAGTTATGTGACGAGACCGCCGATTTGAACATGCAGCTGAAATCCTATAGAAATGTGGTCCTCAATAAGTGGTCCACTAAAATATCGTCTGCATCCGGTAAATCGGTCATGTCCTCATCCAAATTCAAAGCCATCCATCAACCTGCAGACGTTCAAGTTGAACATCAACTGGCAGACATTGCGAGATTACTGAAGCGTACAAGGCTCAACAGAAGGAATGTGGTGTCGCTCGGTTTTAAAGAAGATCTAGAACAGGGCGCTTTGGAAGAACTTAGACCTCTGACTAACACTGAACCTGACCAGTCCGATAACGAAGATATAGACGTGCCCAAAGATTATGATCCCAGAAAGAAGGATAACAAGAACATTGACACCAGCGAGAACCCATATGTTTTCGATGATGAAGATTTCTACCGCGTTTTATTGAATGACCTGGTGGATAAAAAAATCGCTGGCGCTCAAGGTGAAAACAGCGGCGCTACGATAGCTATTACTTCTCGATCTAACAACAAGCTCAAGAAAAATGTCGATACAAAAGCCTCCAAAGGTAGGAAACTAAATTTTACGATACAGGAAGCTATAGCAAACTATGAAGCGCCGGTTAATGGAGGGTTTAAATGGTCAGATGAACAGATAGACGAATTTTGCTCAGGGTTACTGGGCCAACGCATTAATTTTGATGAAGAATACAAATCCGAAGACGAAGGACATGGTGCACAGGAATCTGTGGACACAACCGGTATTCAAATTTTTGGGTAAATTGAATTGTTTATACGGAAATATGCATTAGATATGAAATCATTTTATCGATTATTAAAGTCTTCTGTTCCTGACACAATGTCTAATCAAGTCGTCTAGATCAGGTTGTGTAGCGGTGTGAGATAGCGCTACCAGTGTCGACACTCAACAAATCTACCTCCATTTCATCATCCTCACGCGCCAAGAAATCATTGTGGATCTTGGTCCAATTACTTTTGTAGACACAGATCGACGACGAAATGGCTAACACTAATATCCCGACACCACAACCATACCATAAACCCTTAAGTCCTAGCTGAAGAGGTCCGAATGCAAACCAACCACTTAGTGGTAACCCTATGAAATAATAACCAACCACATTAAGAACGCCTCCAAGACTTTGCCTACCCTGTGATCGTAAGATAGCAGCCCCAAATGTTGCCACAGAATCGTAAAGTTGATTTATCGCCAAAATTGGCATGATGTGATATGCAATAACAATAACTTCCTCGTTTTTTGTGAATAGACGAGCTAACCATTTGTTACCGAGCAGAAGAATTAAACAGTTCAGAATTCCAGCAAAAAATGCAATGTAATAGGAGGCTTTGACAGTGGTCTTGGCATTCCTCATGTTCTCCATCCCAATATATGCTGCAATACGCGTTGACACGACGCAGCCCATTGCGAACGGCACCTGGTATATCAAAGAACCGACATTGGCCACGACCGACTGTGCGGCAATGGCTTCAACACCGAAATGAGTAGACATGATAGTTAGAACCTCAAAGGATAAGTATTCTGATTCGATCATAACGAGGCCTGGAAAGGCCAAACTCCACATTGTGCCCCAATGTTGAAAAACATGCTTAAAATGATGCCAACTAGCATTGAACGGATACCAGCAATTGCGAGTACTGGGCTCAAAATACCGACAATATATGAACAGTATCAGCGCCATAAGCCAGTCAGTAATAGCCAACGCAGTAGGTGCACCAATATATCCAGAGCTTTTGGTCAAAACGATGCTAATGAGAATGTTTAGAGGTACTGCTATAGCCAGTACCCACGTACCAGCATCGTAAAAACCCTGCGCTTGCACATATCTTTTTCCCGTTTCGAATAGGATTAAGCCTGGAAGCCCGAAAGAGGTTACTTGCAGAAAGCTTTGAGCGTCGTCGAGTAATTGATGTTCTGGAATAACAAATCGTAACCAAAACGCGCTAGTCCACCAAAATAAACTGATTGGGATTGCAGCGATTGCGATCATAGCAGTGCAGCGTTGAAAATACAGTCCAACTTTGGTATATTTTTGAGCTCCATAAGCTTGAGCACAAAACGTGTCCAGAGATGTAGCCATCCCTTCGATGACCGCAAGTCCTGTTATATTGAAAGTCATCGCTGCCAGCGATGCCGACGCTAAATGCTCAGAAGTGCCAAAATGACCCACAACAAAAAGCGAGGTAACAGTCATTGAGTACTCCATGAAAAACGTCATCGTAAGCGGACCCGATTTAGACAAAATAACACGGGCCTCGTGTTTGAGCGTCGTGGCATTCATTTGAGCTGCCAAAGGGCTACTAAGTTCCGTCAGATCTGCATTTTCAGGATCCTCTATGTCTGGACTCATAAGCCTGAAGCGGCTCATGTGTACCTCATCTGAGCCTACCGATCGCCCATCACTAACATATCCATTGTAAGACTCACTGTCCTGCTTTCTATCCGCTAAAAGCGGCGTTGTTTCCATAGTATACTGAAATGGTGGTATGCAAATAAAATTTAAAGTCTCCGAGAGCGCATGAATTGTTGCAGACCCACTTCGGAAAACTATCAGCTTTCAAAAACAAGGAAAGGGAATCTTCAAGTTCGAGCTCTGCTACCTATTCACCGAGAGAAGTACTGGATTTGACGAACGGCCTTTTAAATAATTTCAATATCTCCGTTAAGCTCATCGATCTAGTAGCTTTTTTTTCAATATTGTCGCTTAGAGAAAAAGGCTTATCGGCAGGTAAGATTTCATCGAGCTCATCGTGAGCCAAGACACTCTAATATAGACCGTTAACTCTTAAGCGGTTCGGCAGTCGTCTATTTATAATCGATTTGCTGTTAGTATTTAATAGTGAGTGTTTACATAAGTTTTGCTTTCCTCGACATATGAAAGATCTGTGGAAACACACTTTGTCGTAGTAACACTTTGGGGCCACGCTTAATTAACGACTTCTGATGTTTATGTACTTAATGACCTAGCGTTTTAATCTTTGGGACATGAGCCTCTGCATTCGATGGTGGTGGTGTAAATCGCATGCTGGGGAGTTTTTTATTTTATTACGAGCTCATTAAGGTTCACGTTAATCTTACTTGAACCTGAGTGATGTGTTAGCACGGAATATGAACACCAACAGCAAGAGCTTACAGATTTCAGCGATAAGAAATTTGGAAAACTACATAAGACGTCAGTGAAGCACGGGGCGATAAGAAAGATCCTATAGGCACACTTAAGAAACTATTAAAAGATTTCACCAGCTTTTCTTGAGTCAATGAAGCGCTCTCTTGAATTGATATTCGAGCAAGTAATCAGGTAGCAATTGAAACAGAGCACACAGTCTTCACTGCTGTCTTCATTAATATTTTCATTGCTATCTTCATTGCTGCCTTTCAATTGATGATCAATGCAGTTGCCTAGGTTCGGCAGATTAATCACCAAGTGGACGAACATTTGAAGCTGAATGGCGCCACTGTCGGGGCTATAAGTTGACTTTGACAGATAAAAGTGTTTTATTATGCTTAGCGTCAAAAAAACGAAAACAAAAAAGAAGTATATAATACATTGTTCAATGTCAGCCGCATAATTGAGAAATTAGGCAGAATATTAGCTGACTTATGTGGTAATATCGTGATGCTTTAAATACGAGTAGAATACAATTGTGTGTAACTTTTTTTGAGCTTCTGGCTGTCTTCTTTTTGTAGAGACGTCCAGCTCCATAAACTCATGATCAAAGGTGAGCATCTTAAGATTCAGCCATCTGAAGCTCTTTTTGCACAGCATATATATATGTGTGTACATATGGGATAACTAACACTCTCCAGGCATCTGTGATGGAATTTCATCATCTGTATCACTTTATACTATTCTGTCGTTCCTTAGTTTCGTCCTCCCTTGAGACCATTATAACGGTTACATTGCTGAGAAGCTAGATAGGTCAATTGTGCGTTCTTTGCAACTACTGTGCAGAGAGACCAATTATGAGCAAACAGGGATTGTCGTGTGTTTGTTGATGGCTATCAATTACACAAGCTAATCGTGCTTAGTGCTTAGTTTATGAACTCTATTCCGCCAACTGAATTCGAATTTATAACAGCTTCGACCTTATTAGAAGTGGTCCCAACCGCGTCTTTCGATTGTGCACCTATTGCTTCATTCACTCGCTGCTACCATTGCATTGATACTGAACTATTGTGATTCAGCTACCACTTACAATGACATTTATGCTGCGTGCTATGGGAGATGCGAATTCGGAAAGTGAAAGAGTGATCCTTGTTGAACCACAAGCCGGATTCGCTATCAAGACTAAGATAGAGAATTCTGCCAATGGGGAACTGGAGCATGGGGTAAAGTATTTTGTCAACATATGCCACGCTGCCGAGGTACCCATGCCAGAGGTTCCATTTGAGCCGGCTGTGGTATTCCCTCTGATCATGGCGAATAGGTGGGAGATTCCAATTGTAACATCTACTGCGCGTCAGGACCAGGATAAGAAGGGCTCGATATGCTACGTCAGCGATTGTTGTGTGAATACAAGTTGTTTGGAATGGGTTAGGTGCAATCCACAACTCAAGGAAATCCTAGTAGAGTGGTGCTTAGAATCCTGTGAGCTGCGACAAGGAATCGAGTTGAGCCGAAAAAAGTTGGCTTATCCTAAATTACGCAGTAAAGGCTCACACATCCCAACACTGGAAATTTTGAAAGAAGATTTGCATGCCGATCCAGAGCGTGAAGCCCGCGAACTTTCGGCACAGGATCGTAATAAGGATCCGCAGGCTATCCTGGAACTTAGAAGAGACCTAATCAATGACGAAGAAGACCTTAAATCAAACAACTCACTTCCTACCTTGTTTCCGCAACCTTCAACAAATCGAAAACTGGTAGAGGAGATCGACTCGGTAGATCTTTCACTGTTGAAGCAAGTGGAGAAGCAGAGATTACCACAAGCTCCCAAAGCTCCTTTAACCCTTGATGTTAGTATCGGTCGCGCTACATCTCATCCATGGGCCAAGCTCAAGATTGAGATTCACTCTCAGTTAACATCTCAAGAAGACTACGAAGTTGAATATAATGCGCAAGATAACTCATTGAACGTACGGACCAAAGATGACAATTTTCAATATAAACCTCAAAATCTCAGCATAGCTTTGCCCTCAGAAGTTGCTGCCCCTGACGCAAAACTTACTTTGACGTTCGATTCGGAGGCAAAAAAGCTAACTATTCTGCTGTGACAATACCTTATTAAACATAGTACCTCTAGTTACTTCTACTTATTAAGTTTAACTTTTTAATTCTATTTGCTAGATTTACTTAGTCTTTAAGCAGTGACTTAGCGGGTGGGGAAGGCAAGATTTTCACGATGCGCCACATATTCACTGTCAGCGTATCCCAGTATGCTCTCAATTTTATCGCTTTGCATACCTTTAATTTTGAGCAATTCCAAGCTTGTGTAGTTGCAACGAGCACGTCCAATTGTGGTCAGAGGCTTCTTTGTATCTAATTCTCCCGACTCGAGTCGGTGACCCAACTTGAGATCTACGCATTCGTGCTCATGAAAGTGACCCTCAACATCTATAACACCCGCAGGTAAAAGACCTGCCTTTTCCTTTCTCGTCAAGGCATTGAATGCTCCTTGATCTATTATAACTGATCCTTTACTCATCAATCCATGCAACATCCAAAATTCGCGATTTTTCAAATGCATTTGGTTCTTGTCTGCAATGAATCGTGTATGAAGTGGAACGCTTAGTTGCTCAAGTCTTCTAAGCTCTTCTTGCTGTAGCTGGGCCAAATCATCGCAAGAGTTGCTTGGAGTATCGAGGTTTTGCACGTAACTCACCACCTTCGAGATATTGCTAGGTTCCGAACTTTTCATGATAATAGTATTGACTCCAGCATTTGTCGCAAGCTCTGCAGCAATCAGTTTGGTGGTCATGCCGCCTGTCCCAACATCTGACCCAGAACCGCCGTTTGTATTCACTCCAGGCATACTCTGCGACATATCTGGAACCACCAATATTGGTTTAGCATCTGGATTTGTACGTGGATTGTCTGTATACAAGCAATCAACGTCTGTTAGAAGAAATAAGTAATCTGCACCGCAAAGGGCGGCCGTGATGGCAGACAAGGTGTCATTGTCACCAAATTTGATTTCGCTGACCGATAAGGTATCATTTTCGTTCACGATTGGTACAACACCCATTTGCAGTAGCTCTTCAATAGTGTTCTGTGCGTTTTTATATTGTGTCCAGTCAACAATGTCATTTCTCGTAATCAGAATTTGAGCAATTCGTTGACTAAACTGAGAAAATAACGAATCCCACCGCCCAATTAGCCTGCCTTGCCCCACAGCTGCAATGGCTTGTACCTGAGCTAAACGTTTAGGTCTTTTTTCCAGATTAAGAGTCTTCAATCCAACTGCAATCCCACCGCTGGAAACCACCACTACGCGATGACCCATTCGACGAAGTCGCACTACAGTCTCCACCACCATAGACATGATCGACAGTTTAGGCTCTTTGGTTTTCTCATCGACAAGGGAAGACGATCCTAACTTAATCACAATTGTATAGGTCTTTGACATGATCGAATCCTCGTCTTTTCCTCAAATGGGTAGATTTCAAAGTTCTAATCAGCCGTTTTCTTTGAACATCATTTTATCTACAATTCAAAGCATACAAGTAAGGACCATAGAGATAGTAAATGTTATTCGTATGTTGCAGTCCAGTTACGATCGATGCCCGTAAATGATAAGTTTTCCAGCATTAAGTCTGGAGCTTGGTATTAAACGTTGCTACTTTTGATTTAACGTAGCGTTTTCCGTATAAGGCTACTAGCCAGTGCTCTGGAGCTCAAGAGCCACTGGACAACTATTAATTGATAGCATAGCATGTTCATATATCTGATATGGTCAGATATGGCTTCTAGAGGCACAATCCTTACAGTTGGCTTCCAGGTCAGCGGAGTATATTGGTATGTTCGTAACACATGCTAACTCTCTGATTATCAAAAGTTCGACTCTTCAATTTAGAGTTAACAGATCCATCCTGAAAACAAACCCACGAAGAAGGCTACTGAAGGCTGGAATGAATGTGTACGATGAGGTTTTTGATGCTACAAAGGTCTCGCATGCAATTCTGGGCCGATTCACGTCAGAAAAGGTCGATCAATTGATAATTGCCAGAACTAACGTACTCTCAGTCTTCAAGACTGTTCATGAGAAACTAGTGCTTTGCAATGAGTTCAAGTTGCATGGACACATTACAGGCATAGCTGTGGTACCACAATTGCAAAGTCGTTTGCAGTGTTTAATTATTAGCACGGGAAGGGCAAAACTTTCTTTAGTACGATTCGACCCTTCGAAACCAATGCAACTCGAAACGCTTAGTCTACACTACTATGAATCCGAATTTACCAAAAAGAGTATGCTGGAACTCGCAGAGCAGTCAAAAATACGGATTGATACCGAGAGTCGCAGTGTCTTCTTGTGCAACAACGATGTTATAGCGATTTTACCTTTGAAAGTCAACGAAGACGAAGATGAGGATCCTAATGAGGGGTCTCAACCACAGACGAAGAAGCAAAAACTATCAAATGAAGCGTCTTCCAAACCAATTGCGGGGCAGAGTACCATCATGAACGTTTCTGAAATCAGCACACAGATGAAGAACGTAGTGGATGTTCAGTTTTTGAACTCGTTCAATAAGCCCACCATAGCGGTGCTATATCAACCACGACTTGCTTGGAGTGGTAACGAAAAAGTTTTATCGAAGGCTTCTATGCGGCTTATGGCCATTACATTGAATGACAAGAAGCACACTACTATCTATCATGTTAAACAAATTCCACACGATATTCACACTATTATTCCGCTCAGCAATTCATGCGTACTGATGGGAGTCAATGAAGTTATTAGCGTAGATAATACAGGCGCACTTCAATCGACCATTCAACTCAATTCTTTTGCATACAAGCTAACGGGCTCTAAGCAGGTAGATCAAACGTCTTTGGAGGTAATGTTCAATGAACCTGTCGTATGGACCGCCGCAATGGTGAGTAAAGATACAGAAATCTTGATATTGATGGATCATAAAGCTGACATGTACTCAATAACTTTACAATCGGAAGGAAGGTTGCTGATGGATTTTTCCTTAGTAAAACTACCGATTACAAATGATATTTTCAAGTCTCATCACTTGCCAACTTGCATCACTGCCTTGACCGGTGGCCTAAGCCTAAAAACATGCCAGCTTTTTATTGGATTTTCATCTGGTGATGCTCTAATTGTCAAGTTTAGTAACCTGCGCTCGGCATTTGAATCAAGAGAGACACGCGAAATTGAGCTACAGCCAGATGAAGATGAAGATTACGCTTCTCTATATGGCGACGATGAAGGCTCGGCAAGAGTCTCAACCGATAACAAGGTTTTAGTTGAAACAGTTCTTCCATTTGAAATAGAAATTTTGGATCGACTTATCAATGTTGGGCCTATTACAAGTATGGCGGTAGGCAAGGCATCGTCAATCGAAAATACAGTCGAAGGCCTGTCTAATCCCAACAGAAACGAACTTGCCATAGTCAGCACATCTGGCAACGGAAATGCTGCTTTTCTAAACATAATGGAGCAAAGCGTCCGTCCGTTGGTTGAGCAAGCCTTAAAGTTCACGTCTGTGACAAAAATTTGGAATCTCAAAATAAGAAAGAAGGACAAGTACTTAGTCACAACCGATTCAGGTGCTGACAAAAGTGATCTCTTTGAGATTGGACAAAAAATCACTTCCATCAAGCCAAAGCACTTCATGAGAAACGTTACAACAGTCGAAATCGCCGTGATAGGAGGCGGTAAAAGGATTGTTCATGTTACCACGAAAGCCGTTTACCTATTTAACTTAGGGTTTAAAAAATTGATGACCATCAGCTTCGATTTCGAAGTTGTTCATGTTTCTATAAGGGATCCATTCATACTTCTCACTAATTCCAAGGGTGAAATCAAGATATATGAGCTTGACTCCAAACATAGAAACAAGCTGGTAAAGGTGCGATTGCCCGAAGCTCTTGAAGAAATGATTATTACTTCCGGTGTCATATTGAAGAGCAATATATGCAATGAGTTCATGACTGATCTGGACGACTTGGAAAAGGAAAGGGACCAGCTTTTATTTACCTTTGTGGCAGCTGATAACCAAATCATATTTTTTCCACGAGAACATCATGATCGCATTTTTCAACTAAACGGTGTGGATAATCTTGGCGATATGCTATTCATCACTACATATCAGTTACCAGAGGAAATTATTCCAGATCCTTCCATCAAGCAAGTCATGATAAACAGACTAGGTAAAGAAAACAAAGAAGAATACCTGACTATTTTAACTTTCGGTGGTGAAGTCTACATGTACAAGAAAATAGGAAACAAGTTTTTCAAAGCGATGAATTGTAATGATCTTCAAATTACTGGAGCTCCGGGGAACGCTTACGCAAAAGGCGTTAGTTCAATCGAGAGGATAGCGCACTATGTCAAATACTACAATGGTCACTCAATTATTTTGATTACTGGAAGCGTACCATATATGATTATCAAGGAAGATTGTTCCAGTCCCAAAATATTCAAGTTTGCAAATATTCCACTTGTATCGCTCACACCGTGGGGTAGAGAATCAGTATTGTGTGTGGATGATATCAAGAATGCAAGGATTGTAACGCTAGATACATCTTTTTCTTACAGCAACCGGTTGCCTGTCAAAAGGATTGATGTTGAGGACGCATTGAATAGTTACGGGAATTTGAACAATGTTGCCTATCATGAGAGGACTGGTATGTATATCGTGTCGTACAACAGAAAAATTGAGTACGAAGCAATAAGTGAAGATGGCCAAAAAATGGTGGGATACGATGATGCTGTTACTCATGCCCAGGGCTTTCAATCTGGGGTTCTACTGCTCAATCCCAAAACGTGGCACATAATCGATGTTGTTGATTTCGAAAAGAACTCACTTATAAACGACATGAAAACGATGTTGATCCAAACTAACTCAAGAACGAGGCGAAAGAGAGAGTACCTAGTTGTGGGTAACACTTTTGTAAGAGATGAAGACTTCGGCACCATGGGCTCCTTCTATCTTTATGACATAACGGAGGTCGTCCCAGAGCCAGGCAAACCGGATACAAACTACAAATTGAAAGAGATCTTCCATGAAGAGTTTAGAGGAGCGGTATCTAGTGTTTGTGAGGTTAGTGGAAGATTCTTAATCAGTCAAGGTCAAAAAGTCTTAGTTCGTGATGTCCAAGAAGACAACTCTGTTGTACCCGTAGCCTTCTTGGATGTGCCCGTTTTCGTTACAGACTCTAAAAGTTACGGTAACCTCCTGCTCATTGGCGACGCTACGCAAGAATTTCAATTCGTTGGATTTGACGCAGAGCCATATCGTATGATTCCCCTTGGCAAAAGTGTTTCGAGGTTGGAAGTCATGAGTTTAGAGTTTCTGGTGAATAATGGTGAAGTTAATTTTCTAGTTTCTGACAGAAATAATATCTTACATGTCTTGAAATTTGCACCAGATGAGCCTAATTCCTTGTCAGGCCAAAAACTGGTGCATTGCACGAGCTTCAATTTGCACAGTACCAACACTTGCATGAAGCTTATGCAAAAAAATAGCGAATTTCCGTCCAACTTTGCCGCCCCAGATTTTCAAGTCATTGGTGGGCAAACTGACGGCTCCATATTTAAAGTGCTGCCTTTGAGTGAGAGCGCATACAGAAGACTGTACGTGATTCAACAACACCTTGTTGAGAAAGAGGTGCAAGTTTGTGGCTTGAACCCAAAGATGGAACGCTTGCAAAACACGTTTTACTCTCTGGGCCATGCCATGAGGCCAATGTTAGACTTCACGGTAATAAAGGGTTTCAGCTCGCTACCTATAAATAAAAGGAAGCAAGTTGCTGCTAAAGCAGGTCGGCAAGCAGGCTTCGAGATATGGAGAGATCTGATCGATGTCGAATATTCGACTCGATCGCTATGCCACTAACGAAAAGTTCGAATGTAAAATTAAATAAAAAGGGATACTCTAGTCATTTTAAAACGTTTTTGGATGATGTTCTATGAAGTGGGAGGCACTTCCAATTTTCAACGTAAGTTTTCGCCATTCGGAATTAATATTAAAACGCCTTTTATAACATTAAGATACTCAAAAAGTCAAAACGCAATGTCATAAGTAAATGATTATGGCGAGATTAAACGAAAGGTTACAACTCATCTTGAGTACCTGATGTGCTTATCAGTGGCTTATTTCTTACCTCAGACAGCTTTGATATGTCTCTTCATAAAAGTAAAATCATCACAAGCTAGCTACATTAAACTTGCTAATTCTACGATTAAAGCGCTGAAAGACTGACCTGGTATAGTCTAGAGTATTCGAGGATTCATTTACACATTTCAGTTAAGTTTTTAGTTACTAAGTCTTGACATGTTTTTCAGTCAAGGTTATAGAAAAATTGTAGTCCGAAAAGAACTTTCGCTTGACTTCTTAAACTTGTTGCATTCAGTACAATAGAGGGCCATCAAGCCTCTGCAGCGACACAATGCCTGTTAAAAAAAGAGGAATGAAGAAGAGCGTTTCGTTTTCTGACGATGAGACGCTCACAAGGGTTCGACAATCGAACGACAAGAAGCATAATGCTAGCCCTGATGGTCCACCTGTGTACGTCAAGAAGACTGTTCACACCGTGCCATTGCACTTGGTTGGACTCTTATATTATTTCATCAAGCTTTCAGATAGCTATGACTGCGTAACGCTACTGTACCTGCTAGTACCTCTACAGATAGCGTATTTGGCCTTACAGTTCAATCGAAATACTGTATATGGGCACAAGGTCTTGAAGTTACGGTTGAGCCTAGTGCCAATTAGTCTGGGAGCGGCCCTAATTTTGACAATCCCATGCATGTTGATTATCATCTTGTTGGGTGCTCCAATTGCTATGCTGCTTCAGAAAACCTGGCTGTTAGCTGCTCACTGCTGCTTTCTTGGCTTACCAGCCGTGTACTCTGTTTTCAATTGCAATTTCAAAGTGGGCATCTTTAAGAAGTACTTTGTTGCCATTGCAGTGGGGTGTTGGATCAGCTGCGTTGTCATCCCCCTAGATTGGGACAGAGATTGGCAGGAATGGCCTACGCCTTTGGTTGTGGGCGCATACTTGGGAGCTTTCGTTGGATACACAGTGGGTCCATACATTTAAGAATATAATTGGTCTTCGAAAGTTATGTACAGTAAATGCTTTTAAAATCATTTAAACGCCTTGGAAAATTCGTCGTCGGAGTAAGACTTTGCGGCCGGCATGAATGACGTTTGCAGAAGCACTGTTCCAGGCCCTGTTACCTGACAATACACTTTGTCTTTATCAAATGACTTGTGCCACAGCACATTGAATCTTTCAAGGTAGTTTCCGGCATAGCGAGAGACCCAATTACGTATGAGCCCCGGAAGGACGGTTCGAGATGTAAACCCCGCTGCCTCAAGCCTCACATGTCTATTGAATCCGAGTATCGCGTCAGGGTTCAAAATGGCAGTCTCGCCTTCCTCGAGTTTTAATTGGTATACAGGTCCTTCTCCACAGAGCGCAACAATTCCGCGTCCCACAAGTTGCTGATCTGCCTGAAAACTGAGATCGCCACTGTAACACATCAAGCTTTCTTGCGGTTTTGTAAGAAACCATCCTTCTTTATAGTTATCAAACCCGACGACCAGGACGTTTGACATGGGTGAGCTAGAGACGAGCATTGCATTCACGGGTTCTTCACAGGTAGATATTTTCGAGAATTTAGAGTTGGGGTCGACATCGTGGTATATTAGCTGTTGATTTGCCGCCTTGGAATTTACTGTGAATGCATTGATTTTGTCCGTCTTGGTGTAAAGCGAACATGAAGCCGGTAGCGATACCAAAATGCTATCTTGTAATGGCGTAAACTCTGGTAGTTGGGAGAATGGTCCACCTGCGGTTCCTGATTTTGTTGTAGTGAAATTTGAGATACCGCTGAGCCTCCTAAGTGCAACACTACCGGTGCATCCTTGAGTGTGTCTGAGAGTAGTCTTCAGCATTTGATCAGCCCCAGGAATGCACATCTTCTTCCTTCAAAGAGTATTGGTTCTTCTGTCACCTATAAGTTTATGGCACTATATACGAACAATTTTAGCTTTATTACAAGTGGTACCTACTCCTACAATGACTTGCCATCGGCCTGTAATTCGAGTGGGATGTTCTCATGGAAGATGCATTATATGAGCGTTGGCAAATTTTATGATATCTTTGTTTGTATGAATTTTGTCTTTATACAAAAATGAATACGTTTACGCACCTGTTGCAGTCTTCTAACAGCGTTAGTGGCAGAGGAGTTGCACCTAGCTTTGCTGATAGGAGTACCGTCGCTTCGATGCTGTTGAGGAAAACAATAACGCGGGTACAAGGCTTTTTGCATTCCTAGTAGTAAGTAATCGACAATGATGTTCTAAATAAATGCGCTACTGAGATGAGTACGATGGCTTCTACAACTCATCGTGGTCTTCTCCAGAGCTCAATTTCTCTTTGATCTGCTCCTTAATAGGCACAGTTTCGACCTCACCACAAGAAACGATTTTCACGGTTTGTTTGGGCTTCGACATTGAGCCAGTTGGTACGGTCTCGACATATTTGACAATATCCATGCCCTCTAGAACTTCGCCGAAAACAACGTGCTTACCATCCAACCAAGGGGTAGCCACAGTAGTTAGGAAAAATTGCGATCCGTTGGTATTACGACCTCTGTTGGCCATCGACAAACGGCCAGGCTTGTCATGCTTCAACTCGAAGGACTCGTCTTCGAAAGACTCGCCGTAGATTGATTTCCCGCCGGTACCCGAATGATGAGTGAAGTCACCACCTTGGATCATGAAGTTTGGAATAACTCTGTGGAATGTGGAATTGATGTAGCCCATTGAAGAATCTTCAGAGGTGCTCAATTCGTAGAAGTTTTGAACAGTCTTGGGGGCTACTTCGCCGAACAATCCTATGACAATCCTGCCGACGTTCTTATCACCATGAGCAATGTCAAAATAAACCTTGTGTGTGACGACAGGGTCGGCAACGGCATGGGCACAAACCAAAAAGGCAAACAAAGAAACAACCAGACGAGTGATGAACATTTCAAAAGGTTCGATTGAGCTGGTATTCAAGAAGTTTCTTACTCTTTACACATATTAAGGTTGAAGAAACGAAACATTGGCTGATGTGTAGCCACCAAATCAGCCAAAAGTATATTAATCACATAATACGTAGCGAATGGAAACCTCGCTACAAGTACACAGGACTCGACTTCATGCTTGTGGCTAACAGCTTGTCCATGAGTGCCTCGTTGATAGTATTGGTGTGGGAGCCTATAGAATTTATAGGATCGACAGAACCCGTGAGACTTGATTGACCATTTGCGGTAGCAGGCCCCGTGTTGGCGGCCGAATTAGTACCACTAGCAGTACTAGCTATCGTAGTCGATTGTTGAGACAGTGAGGGAACATTTTGATAGGCTGTTTTAACAAAACCACCCCCTTGAGAAGGCTGGAAGTGACTCATGCGTCGCAAACTCGAAAGTGCTTTCGATAAATGTAAATTTGACGCCAACAATCGGCTCTGAATGATTTTGAAGACCGTTGGTGATTGATAGACATTGGCACCTATTATAAAGTACTCTTGAAGAGCACTTACCTCGTTTGGGCCTGTCCTATTTTGCTTTCTGATAATCCAAAAATCAGGTTCTCGTACGTAGGCCAAAATGTATTCCACTCCTTTCAACTTGCGCAGCTCGGTTTCCCATAGAGCATGAACCATATATGTAGACAAAATGAATCTTCTGTGCGGATCCGGATCCTGTATATCAAGAGCGGGTCCTCCTCGCTCGGCAGTTCGAGGTTGAACGAACTGCTGTTGCATTTTCGCAACTTGGTTGTTAGAAGTCCTGTCAAAAAACGGAGACTCGGCAAAATAGTCTAGCACATTATCGGTTCTAAGGCCAAAAGACTGAATCCATTCTGGTGATTTCCATTGCAGTTCGTCCAATTGAGGGGCGCTCATCTGCTTTCACAGTATTAATGTCTGAATTTCCAGTTATCGATTTTCAATTCTGAAAAAACATTGGCATTTACCCAAAAAAACCTCAGAACTATAATCTCAACCGTTGTAACAGCCAGATACGATCAGAGCTTGTATATATTTTGTGGAGCGTATTAAGCACTGCACGTTGATATATTTATTTCATGAGTACACAGAACAATATCGAGCGGGTGGGAGTTCGGCAGAGCCTTGCTGCTCGGATTCTCTTTTGAGCCTCTGTTTCTATCTAGCGAATTAAGCATTATTGACTAGGGTACGAGTTAAAATGTCGTCTTACCCAGCCTGTAGGAGATTTCTTGCAATCGTAGCTTATCGTAATACTTTGAATCATTTGGCAAGTATCCGCAATATCGCGACAGTTTATGGGAGATATACTGGACGAAAGATTCTTCCGGCGAAAGATAGACAGGCGGAGCCTGTACATGCACACAATTCTTTGGCTTCACTAGCTGAGTAGCTGCATCTATTAGGTGTTGAACCTGAAAAGGTGGGTTTCGTGGTATCTTGGACGCGGGATCCACAAAGCTTGTGTCTACAGGGCCGAATTCCGGCACTGAATCGTGTAAATGATCCGAAAAAGCGGAAAAACTCGGTGAGAGCGACCTAGACTCTAATTCCTCGAAACGATCTTGCAATCTGGATGTTGAAATCAAGTGCATGGGCTGCGTGTGCACCAGCAAAAGGTTTTGAGGCTGGGCAGGGGCCGCAGCGGAAGTGTCGGCCATGTCCCATTGTAAATAATCATCAAGGAAAGATGGGGGTGGGCTTGACGATGGTGCTACTGGATCCGTTGCCGTTGCCGTTGTCGTTGCCGCTGCTGTTGCTGCTGTCGTAGCCGTTTTTGTCGCTGTCGATGTGGTTGTCTTTATCGTTGCCAAGCTCCGCAGATACTTGGATTCTGTCATCTTGGCACGTGACGTTTTTTTCTCTATAGTGACGCGTCTTTTTGGCGACTGAGATGTAAAGAACGCGTCTTGGGCGCTAGAAACGGCGTCTTGGCTGCGCTTCTGGGATCTGAGAGTGCGTTGCGATACCAAACGTGGCACTAATCCGCCAAAATTGTCGACTGAGCCGTTGGGCGTGGCGCTTTGGCGTTTCGACGACTTATTGGGCTTTACCTGGCGTTTCGATGGCCTTTTTCTCCCGCCATGGTAGTGTCCTGTGAGCATGTTTTTCGTGGCGAATGGCTGGATTGCGATATATGGCTGGAAACTGTCGCGAAGGCTTTGTCTGTAATTGTCTGCAAGTGTCTCAAAATGTCTCCCAGAAATCCGATGCTAGTTTCTTGGCAGTGTCAAAAATGTTATCACACACTTGCGCTGCGGATATGATTGGAAAGTATAGTTACAGAGTGTGAAGTATCCGATTTCAGTCCACAACGACCTATATGTTCTCGTATGTGAGCCTTTCCTAAATATATAGTAGCGGGTATTCCTTTCTATACGACAATCTCGGCTCTGCGATAAAGAACAAGGTCTTGCAAGCTCTGGCGGCGACTTTTTATAATTACCACAGCTTTTTTATAAGATGTGACATATTATCATTTAATTTAAATCATGGATGCAGCTTTGAAAAAAAGGTCTGAGAGGCATATTTGTGCAGTAGACTGCGAATGTTTCTGAGGCGACGGGGTCGACATTTTGCATATGTGTGCATAAAACAGAGAGAAACAATTTAAAATCGGCTTGGGACAAGCCAGGAATAGCTTTAAGTGATGAGCACCTTAGAGGAATTAAGAGGTTTGAGTTTGGCTGGAATCGTATGGTTCCCGAGAGATTTGCTCGTATTTTCGTGAATAGTGACAAAACTTATAATCTCGAGATAGCTAGGAGTGTGAAAACAGTCTTGAGCGTGTGGGCATGGTTTTGGTAGTTCGTTTGGATCAATGAACGGGAAGCGATCAAGTTTGTAGCTGGCTGCTTGTTTGCGAGTTTTATCTAGACGTATTGAGGCGAGTCCGATCCTGCGATAGAAAGCTGGCCAGATATTTTGTTTTAGTGTTTAATTATCAAGGCAAGGCTGATTCAGCGATAGAAAGCTTGCTAAAATCCTTGTTGAGATCAGTCTCTGTCGACCAAGCTCAACTCTCGTAGGCTGCGAGCCATGTTGTCAATAGTGCTAACTTCGTCTATTTTCGCACATAAATCGTAAATTAGTTCTCCTTGACAGAAAGTCTTACGTTATATAGGCCTTATAACAATGTTTGGTGGGCAATCATTAAATGTTTTCTATGAGGTTTGTCAGTATAGTACGTACGGTCGCAGCTCGCACAACTTGAATTGAAGGTAAACTTGGAAAAGTCTCACCCCACGAGCAAAAAGTATATAGCAGGAAGTATATTCTGAAATGGTGACAGACGCATGTCCTCACCTTCCATATCAACCGACACTGCACAAAATGACCATCCACTTCCAAAAAATTATGTTCCTCTTTATCTCCCTCGCCTGCTGGGGGGGGGGGGGGCATCTTATTTGTTAATTGATTGCTCTCGCTCAGAAGCATATAGGGAATTTAGGCACTGGCACGATGGGAAGTACTGTCTCGAAAACGATTGTCCAGGAAAGCTGCAAAATTTTGTAACCACTGCGCGTTTCTTTACCGCTTTGAGTACGATAATGAATACCCACTACTTTTGGGTTTTTTGGGATATGAGCATCAGAGGAAGTGGAAGTGGAAGTGGAAGTGAGCCTCTAAGAATACTTTACAACATTGTTGTTCCTCTTGGGTATTTTCAACTCATATTTCTGAGCGCATTCTACTTTTGCCGGTGTAAAAAGCTGGCGCACAGTCTCGTCGAGTACCTTATCATGAGGAGAAAGTTAATAATGTCTAAATCTCAACATCGAGTTGGACATTTCAAACGCAAGTTATCGTTCATGTTGGTATTTTGCTGGTCGCAATATTGAGAGACTGCCACGCGCCGACAAAACACCTGAGGTATCAAGAAAAGATGGAATTGTCCTGGATTCTTGTTGATGACAAGTCCCCTTTTTCAATTTGTTTACATTTGAATTCTACTGTGAGGAACACCTTGAAAAAGATTATGGAGATTGGTCTATATCGACCAAGTTCTAGTCTTTGAGGTTGTTAGTTACGTCTTGGATGAACATAGTCAAGTAGATCTTAATTGAAAGTAAGCGTTAGCTGGATAAACATCTCCGTAATCTTCTTTATGAGAAGATGATCTCAATATACTGAAATCGTCGTTGTTCATGCTTCTTGGTCGGCCAATGCGCTCGTGTTACGGGCGCATTTAAAAAAACTGATTGAGGGTATTTTGATTAGTGGAATACTGCTTAGTGCTGTAAATCACATTGTGAGCTGAATCAATGCCGTACGAGATACTCAAAGTATCTTTCTTGTTTCTCCTTACTATCCTGACGCGGTATAAATTTTCGCCGCATAAAATGTGTCTTTAATTTCTCTAGATAATAAGAAACCGCGAGCTCGGAACTTCTGTCTAGATGTAGAGCAACCATTTGAGAGTCTGCGCTACTTAAGTTACGGTAACTGATCAAAGCCGATGTGCTCAGGTCATATGCTTCCAAATCACTCTCTACCTTACTGACACAAGTAGTTTCAAACAAAGGCAGGGCACTCCCCACAGCGTTGTAATTACGGGCAGTAACGACTTGCGAATTATGACGTTGTAGCATCCGATGATTGCGATTGTCACTACGAGCAGCTGTGGGAACTCTTTGAGAGTAACGTAACATTGCCATGGATTTCGTAATTACTTGCTATCGCTAACTGCGCTTCGACTCTGCGGTCCGAGCTCGTAGCACGATTTAGTAAAACAATCCGGCTTTTTTGCTGGCATCTTCTACTTTACAATGATAAAACATTAAAATATCTAGATGCTACACAGGGTACAGTTGCGACGCGCTTAGGCTTCAGCCATGTCTCTCAATCTTCTGATAGTGGATCTGACAGTGGCGGCAGCAGCGGTGGAAACAGTGTAAGCACCACCAGCGACAGTCTTCTTACAGCTGGCGCAAGTCCAGATACCGGCAGCACCTCTGGTGACAGTCTTCTTACCGCAGAACGAGCAGTCGTATCTGGCGTGTTGTTGGATTTCCAACTTCTTGACCTGTCTTCTCAAAGACGAACCGTAACGGACACCGTACTTACCGGTGATACCAACCTTCTTAGTTCTCTTAGCCCTGGAGATGAGTTAGTAAACGTGCGCAATGAAATCTGGAAAGTAAACTAGCGAGCCACGGGCAAGACGCCTTCAATCCTATCGGAAAGTAAACCTGGGTATTTTAGCACTGATAGTCCCTTTCTGCAAGCATTCCATGCTTTGTTTGAGTAACTTTCCCTGCCCTCAATCTTCCCCTTCAAGTGCCAGGTTTTCGATAGACGGGCTGTCTTTTCCCACACAGTTCACGGCATTTACACTAGGCTTCTAGCACTCCCATTATTGTTATGTTCCACACTATACCATACATTTTATTGTCCTTGAGTTGCTGGAGACTTCAAGTAAGTACTAGTAGGTCAAACTTGTCAATTTTGTTCAATGTGTGCTGAAAAACTAACGAATTGAATATCCTCCACCTCGTACCAAGTGCCGTGTTTATGAACTGTTTGCGTTGTGTTTCTTCAATTTTGCGACTTTAAAAATGAGATTTTTTCAAAACTGAAATAATTTGAGAAGATGTATGGATGTAAGAGATGAATGATGTGACTGCGATTTAGAATCAGAGGAAAGTAGGTAGATCTGAGCGTGCGGTAAGAAGAGTACTCTTTATTCTTCCGGTGCGGATGCGCCCAATTCATGTAAATAAACCTATTGCAGCTATTCTCGAGAGAGAGCTGGGTTACTGCTGCTGTAATGGGTTGCAAGTGGATTCAATGCACTATAAGATATTATTATAATAATACACCTTAAATGTCAGTTTGTACTAACATGATGTAGGGTTCCGACAAACACAATATTCACCATTTGTGTGCTATACCAAGTTAGTAACGTAGCGCACTATATAAATCCAGCCTTCGTCTTCATACAACTACGTATACTTGCCGAGAGTTGACGATTTTCGTCCTTTCTGTGCTAGTCTTGTCTGCGTTGCACTTAAATTCAAATATGGTTTTCTTCGCGTTTTTATAAGCAAGAGATTGCACTCTCTATAGTCCGCATAATTGTGTTTGACGCTATTTTTGAGGGCTTACTATGAAGTACATCGAGCCAATTATGGTCGCAGTTTGCCAAAGTTGGACTGGAATTAACCTTGGAAAAGTTTCACCCATGCGCAAAAAGTATATAACAGAATGTGTACTCTAAATTGGTGAACGACGCATGCCCTCACTTTTCATACCAAGCAACGCTGAACGAAATGACTGTCCACTTTCAAGAAACTATGTTCTTCCTATTGTCCCTCGTCTGCTGGGGGCATCTTATTTATTGATTGGATGCTTTCGCCCAGAAGCATATCCAAATGGTATGCACTGGCACGATTAGAAGTGCTGCTTCAAAAACGATTGTCCAGGAAAGCTGCAGGCTTTCGTAACTACTGCGCGTTTCTTTAATGCTTTGACTACGATAGGTAATACCTATGACTTTTGGGTCTTTTGAGATATGAGCATCAGTAGATATGGGAGTGGGCCTCTGAGAATACTTTACAATATTGCTACTTCTCTTAAGCATGTTCAAATCATATTTCTGAACGCATTCTACTTCTGCCGGTGTAAAAAGCTGGCGTACAGTCTCGCCGAGTGTCCTTATCGTGAGGAGAAAGTTGACCTAGCCTGAGTTTCAACATTAAATTAGGCAATTCAAATATAAGCGATCGTTTATGTTGGTATTTTGCTAATAAACTGCCACATGCGGAGACTCTTTCTGAGATATCAAGGAAAGACGTAGCGGTTCTCGATCTTGGTTGATGACAAGTTTCTCTTTTCTTTCCAATCTGTTTAAGCTTCAAATTTACTATTATGAAAATACATATCGCGTCACGGTAGTACTAAGTGACATTTGATGTGTTACGAAAATCTCATACGGTCTTGACTCCACGCGTAACGTATAGTATTACAGCACTAAGCAGGACCCTTTCTATATAACAGCCGTAATTAGTATTTTTAAATGGACCCATGAGACAAGCGCATCTGGTCGACCAAGAAAGCAGCCTGGATACCGATGATTTTCCAATATCGAGGTTGACTTCTGTTACAGGAAACCAACGGGGATATATAACCAGACAACGCTTATGTGATATTAAGAACTATCTAAACATGTCTTCTGGCAAGACTGCTGCTAGCTCCAAAGGCTTGAGTCTGGTTGATCGAGACAAATGTCAATATTTTACTCAACAGAAAGTTTCACTTTCTATAATCTGTATCATTATGTTTGAAGCAATTATTAATATTATCCTATGGAGTTTTGCCAAAGCCAGTATAGTACAGTCGCAGGTCGCCAAAAGTTGGATTGAAAGTAAAGTTGGAAAAGTTTCGCCCACGGGTAAGGATAAGTTTCGCGTAGGTATAAAGAGTATATAATAGAAAGTGTTCTCTAACTTGGTGACCGACGCGTGTCCTCACTTTCCATATGAAGCAACGTTAAACGAAATGGCAATCCACTTTCAAGAAACTATGTTCCTCTTAATGTCCCTCGCCTGCTGGGGGGCATCATATTTATTGATTAGATGCTTTCGCCCAGAAGCATATCGAAATGGTATGCACTGGCACGATGGGAAGTACTGTTTCAAAAACGATTGTCCTGGAAAGCTGCGGGGTTTCGTAACTACTGCGCGTTTCTTTACCGCTTTGACTGCGATAGCTAATGCCCATGACTTTGCGGTCTTTTGGGATATGAGCATCAGAAGAAATGGGAGTGAGCCTCTAAGAATGCTTTACAACATTGTCTGTTCTCTTGGATATATTCAAATAATATTTCTGAGCGCATTCTACTTCTGCCGGTGTAAAACGCTGGCGTACATCCTCGCCGAGTATCCTTATCATGAGGAGAAAGTTGATTTAGTTTAAATGCATAAATTAAGTTAGGCATTTCAAGTCCATGCGATCGTTCATGTTGCTATTTTGCCACCTGTCATATTGAGAGATTGCGACGCATCGAGAATCTACCTGAGGTAGCAAGAAATGATGGAATGGTCTTGGATCTTTGTCGATGGCATATTTTTTCTTTTCTTTCCAATTTGTTCAAGATTCAAAATCCACTATTATGAGAAATACCCAAAACTGAATAGATCGATATAGTCTTATAGTTCAATACACATATCTAAGTAATTATTTTCATCTACTAGTCAAAAATAAAGTGCACAGTTTTCTGCATGACTTTGGCAGGATGATTTTGTAAGAAAATAAAGGCCAGGATAGAGTGCGATGAATCAGTGTCCCTCAATATCACTTTCGGCTGTAGAAGGCGTTTCAACTCTTGTACTAGATGACCCACCTGTAATGATGGTATCATCTTCAGCTTGTCCGCATTCCGCTGTTCCTATGCTAATGATACTAACATCTCCTGTTTCTATGTTTTCAGTTGCCTCAGCATTCATCTCAGGATTACCTTGCCATCGTGTTAAAACTATTATGCAGATAATCACACCAATCGCCGAAAGAGCTGTTGCTATTACTTCGGAGAAGCAGCGCATTCCATGGTAATTTTTAAAGCAAATTTCAGGAATGTTAAATACCCCATGATAGATGATAAAAGCGCCGGCTACGATTCCCAAGCAATAGAAATCCTTACATTTCATACTTTTTTTGATGTGATATTTCAACCTTCGCATTCCACCGAACCATCCATCTACCATTTGCTCACTAAAAGTCATATTCTTACTGACTGCGGCTTAATTTTTGGTCTTCGTAGCTTTTGTGAGTAGCTTTGCGAATCATTGTCTGTGAGCTATAACCTCAATTTACTTGAATCTTCTCTGAACAAGAGCGGCTTTGTGTGATGGTTTCTCTGACGTTGACATTAAAGAACAAAACAAAAATGTTGCAGCGTGTAGGATTTTGGCTTGCTAGCCACGAGTATATGCAGAAAATAAGGGAGTAAGTCTCGTTAAGCATAGGACATTATTTATTGTTTGGATCTCACACTTGAATTGAGTGCGTGAGTTTATCTGTAGCTACTTCCGATAACTAATTAGTACCCTTAAAACACTTGTTTAGAAACTCGAAGAGAGATTTCCCTTCGTGGCATGTCTACATGTAAAAAGTAGCGCCTTGACACAGCGCATAAACTACTGGTTGTATGTCTATTCAGCGCCGGAATCCGTACCGCGTCATGGTAGCACGAAGTGACATTGAAGATATTATGAATATCTCATACGGCATTGTGACCACTTATAACGGCACGTTGCAGCATTAAGCAGACTCACTTCAATTATAGCAGCTGCAATTAGTTTTCATACTTGGGCCCGTGAGATGAGCGATCTGATCGACATGAATACCGATGATTTCAGTATATCGAGATTATGTTCTCATACAGGAAAGCAACGGAGATGAATAACAAACAACGTTTACGAGTCATTAAAAACTACCTCAACATGTCTTCAGACAGCACTACTACCGGCTCCAAAGGCTTGAACTTCGTCGATCGAAAAAAACGACAATATATTTTACTTAACAGAAAGTTTCACTTTCTATATTCCGCATCATTGAGTTTGGCGCTGTTATTCATAGCTTACTATGAAGTTCTTCGAGGCCAGTATGGCCGCAGTTTGCCGAAACTTGGACTGGAAGTAAACTTGGGAAAGTTTCACCTACGGGCAAAAAGTATATAACCGGAATGGTACCCTAAACTGGTGACAGACGCATGTCATCACTTTTCATATCAAGCAGCGCTGAACAGAATGACTGTTCACTTTCAAGAAACAATGTTCTTCCTATTGTCCCTCACCTACTGGGGGGCATCCTATCTATTAAGTACAGGCTTTCGCCCAAAAGCATACCAGGAATCTCGGCACTGGCACGATGGGAAGTTTTGCTTCAAAAACGATTGTCCAGGAAAGCTGCATACTTTCGTAACTGTTTGGCGTTTCTTTACCGGTTTTAGCATGGTGATTAATACTTATGACTTTTGGGTCTTTTGGGATATGAGCATGAGAGGAAATGGGAATGAGCCTCGAAGAATACTTTACAACATTGTTGTTTCTCTTGGGTATTTTCAACTCATATTGGTGAGCGCATTCTACTTCTGCCGGTGTAAAAAGCTGGCGCACAGTCTCGCCGAGCATCCTTATCGTGAGGAGAAGGTTGATTTAGTTTAACTTTCAACTTTCAGTTAGGCATCTCAAATCTAAGCCATCGCATGATGCTATTTTGCTAGTCGCCATATTGGGGGATTGCAAAAATTCGCCTAATGAGGTATCAAGGAAAGATGGAATAGTATTAGATTCTAGATGATAAGTCCCCTTTTCTTTACAACCTGTAAGATTCAAAAATTCAAAACGACTGTTATAAGAAATACCTTTTAAAACATAGATCGCCATAGTCGTAACTCAATACACATAACTGGATAATGCTTTTCATCTACTAGTTAAAAATTGTGTGTACAGTTTTCTTCATGCCTTTGGATTTTGGAAGAATGAAAATCACCAGCAAATAGCGCGATTACGCGAGGCTCCTCACGATTGTATTCCCTTTGTAGAGGACGTTTCAACTCTTGTACTGGATGACACACCAGTAATGATGGTGGCATGTTCAGGCTGTCCGCTTTCCGTTATTCCTATACTAGGGATACTAAGATCTCCCACTTCTATGTTTTCAGCTCTCTCAGCACTCATTTCATTATAAATTGGCCATAGTATTAAAATTAATGAGCAACCAAATGTACCCGTCAGAGAAACAACCGATGTCATCACATTCGTAAAACAGTGCTCTAGTTGGTGGTTTGTGAAGCAAAGTTCGGGAATTTTCATTAGTGAATGATAAATTCCATAACCGCCAATCAGGATTCCCAAGCAATAAGTTACCTTCAAACTAAAAATATTGTAAAATAATTCTCTGAGATTATTATCCAATTCTCTGAGATTATAATTTAACCTTCGTATTCCACCTAACCATCCATCGACCATTTGGCCATTAAAAGTCATATTCTTACGGACTGCTGCTTAATTTTTGGTCTTCGTGGTTTCTGTGAGTAGCTTTGAGAACGATTGTCTGTGAGTTATAATCTCATTTTATTTCAAGCTTCTCTAAAGAAGAGCCGCTTTGTGTGGTAGTTTCTCTGACGTTGACATCTAAAAACAAAACAAAAATGTTGCAACGTGTAGGATTTTGGCTTGCTAGCCACGATTATATGCAGAAATGAGGGAGTAAGTCTCGTTAAGCATAGGACATTAATTATTGTTTGGATCTCACACTTGAATTGAGTGCGTGAGTTTATCTGTAGCTACTCCCGATAACTAATTAGTACCCTTATAACACTTGTTTAGAAACTCGAAGAGAGATTTCCCTTCGTGGCATGTCTACATGTAAAAAGTAGCGCCTTGACACAGCGCATAAACTACTGTTTGTATGTCTATTTAGCGTCGGAATCCGTACCGCGTCATGGTAGCACGAAGTGACATTGAAGATATTATGAATATCTCATACGGCATTGTGACCACTCATAACGGTACGTTGCAGCATTAAGCAGACTCACTTCAATTATAGCAGCCGTAATTATTTTCCTACGTGGGCCCGTGAGATGAGCGATCTAATCGACATGAATACCGATGATTTCAGTATATCGAGATTATCTTCTCATACAGGAAAGCGACGGAGATAAATAACCAAACAACGTTTATGAGTTATTAAAAACTACCTCAACATGTCTTCAGACAGCACTACTACCGGCTCCAAAGGCTTGAACTTGGTCGATCTAAAAAAATGACAATATATTTTACTTAACAGAAAGTTTCACTTTCTATTTTCCCCATCATTGAGTTTGGCGCTATTATTATTGGTTTACTATGAGGTTCATCAAGGTCAGTATGGTCGCAATTCGCCGAAAGTTGAATTGAAGGTAAACTTGTAAAAGTTTCACCTATGGGCAAAAAGTATATAACAGAATGTGTACTCTAAATTGGTGACCGACGCATGCCCTCACTTTCCATACCAAGCAACGCTGAACGAAATGACTATCTACTTTCAAGAAACTATGTTCCTCTTAATGTCCCTCGCCTGCTGGGGGGCATCATATTTATTGATTAGATGCTTTCGCCCAGAAGCATATCGAAATGGTATGCACTGGCACGATGGGAAGTACTGTTTCAAAAACGATTGTCCTGGAAAGCTGCGGGGTTTCGTAACTACTGCGCGTTTCTTTACTGCTTTGACTACGATAGGTAATACCTATGACTTTTGGGTCTTTTGGGATATGAGCATCAGAAGAAAGGGGAGTGAGCCTCTAAGAATGCTTTACAATATTATTACTTCTCTTGGGCATGTTCAAATAATATTTCTGAGCGCATTCTACTTTTGTCGGTGTAAAGAGCTGGCCTACAGTCTCGCCGAGTACCCATATCATGAGGAGAAAGTTGGATTAGTCTAAATTAATGAATTGAGGTAGACATTTCAAATCCAAGCGATCGTTCATGTTGCTCTTTTGGTAGCCGCCATATTGAGAAACTGCCACACGTAGAAAAAACAACTGAGGTATCAAGAAAAGATGGAATGGTTTTGGATCCTTGTTGATTACAAGTCTCAATTTGTTTAAGGTTCAAAATCCACTGTTTTGAGAAATACCCTAAAATAAATAGACCGACATAGTCTTAGTTCAATTAATACACATACATAACTAAGTAATTATTTTCATCTACTAGTCAAAAACAAGGCGTACAGTTTTCTCCATGAATTTGGCAGGATGATTTTGTAAGAAAATAAAGGCCAGGAGAGAGTGCGATGACTCAATGTCCCTCAGTATTACTTTCAGCTGTAGAAGGCGTTTCAAATTTTGTACTAGATGAACCATTTGAAATGATGGTACCATCTTCAGCCTGTCCGCATTCCGCTGTTCCGATGCTAGTGATACTAAGATCTCCCAATTCTATGTTTTCAGCTCCCCCAGCACTCGCCTCATTATCATTTGGCCATAGTATTAAAGTTACTATGCATATAATTGCACCAATCACCGAAAGAGCTGTTACCGCTACTCCAGAGAAACAGCGCACTGCGTGGTAATTTGAGAAGCAAAATTCGTCAATCTTAAATAGCGAATAATAAAGGATAAAAGCGCTAACTATGATTCCCAAGAAATAAAAATCCGTAGATTTCATACTTTCTTTGATATGGTATTTCAACCTTCGCATTCCACCGAACCATCCATCCACCATTTGTTCATTAAAAGTCATATTCTTACTGACTGCGGCTTAATTTTTGGTCTTCGTAGCTTTTGTGAGTAGCTTTGCGAATCATTGTCTGCGAGCTATAACCTCAATTTACTTGAATCTTCTCTAAACAAGAGCGGCTTTGTGTGATAGTTTCTCTGACGTTGACATTAAAGAACAAACCAAAAATGTTGCAGCGTGTAGGATTTTGGCTTGCTAGCCACGATTATATGCAGAAAATAAGGGAGTAAGTCTCGTTAAGCATAGGACATTAATTATAGTTTGGATCTCACACTTGAATTGAGTGCGTGAGTTTATCTGTAGCTACTTCCAATAACAAATTTTTTGAGGCAAATCTGCGTCAGTGGTGGTTAACTGGCTGAACTGGACATTTAGGCCGTTGATGATGTCTTGAACAACTTTTATTGGAATCTGGGATTTTACTTATCGCGGGTATGAGGATAATTCGTCGAGTGGAGTAACTGGTCGGTGTTCATTTGAAATCCGGTTGGGCAGAGAAACTACTACTCAACTTATGATAACCGATTGATGACTCATTGGATGTTACTAATGTATCATCGAACAGCTCATCACTTTGTACTATTATGTCATCTCAGGGTGTGTGCTAAGGATCCGTAAGCGTCAATTAGAGTATGACAGAATAGTACAACGTGATAAGCGTCCAACATGAAGGGTCGATGCGTCATCTCGAACTGAAGACAAGTACCACATAATCGGCTGGTGGGCATGGCCTGGTGTATCGTAAAAACTGTCAGGTCCATCTGCTGCTGCTACAAGCATGTCAGATCCATCTGCTGCTGCTACAAGCATGTCAGGTCCATCTGCTGCTGCTACAAGCATGTCAGATCCATCTGCTGCTGCTACATAGCGCCAACGAAGCAAACGGGTTCCAAGAACCATGACACAATGGTACAAAGTGATATCGGCGACACACCTCGCAGAATCCCAGTACGAATTCACTAGACTCAGTCGTGAATGGCTTGAACACACACCTCCGCAAGCTAGCTTCAGCCGCCGCAGCCGTGGCTCGGTGGCCCCTCTCGCCCCGCCCATATCACTTTGTACTCGCGCGGCGCGCACGTGCACACCGCCGCTCCCCCCTTATTTCGTACCCAGTGACCATTTTACAATTCGTACACCGTGATCTCATCGTCCGCGCCCAGAACTCTCTCTCCCAACCTCCTCCAGTCGCCTCTCTATATTCCCCGTGCTTTGCCCACCTATCCTCACTCTCACCACTCCCTCTCCTCCCACGCTTTCCTCCTCGCTCGAAATTGCAAATTCCTTCAGTCTCGCACCAATGGCCCAACCGCCCATGTGGTTCGGTCCATTGGCCCTTTAAACTTTGATTCCCACGCTGTTTAAAATTGTATGGTAAAGGAACATGGGCCATGGCTCTATGGCAGCAGTGATTGGCATATATATATGTATCTAGAAAAGTATATATATATATGGGGTGGGTGGAGCTGGAGAGGTGGAGAGGTGTGTGCACTTGGTACAAGAAGTGAAAGTGGCACAAAGGTTGGGGCAGCGAAAATCAGAGACATCTGGCAAACAAACAGCCAGACAGAGCCAGAGCCAGAACCAGAGCCAGAGACACGTAGTAGCGATGTCGTCCAAAAACAACTCTTCGCATCCGGCGATCAATCTCATCGCGGGCGGAACCGCAGGGCTGTTCGAAGCGCTGTGCTGCCATCCGCTCGACACGATCAAAGTGCGCATGCAAATCCAATCGCGGGCGCAGAACCCGAGCGCCTCGTCCACGGGCTTTCTCGCCACCGCGCGCCAGATAGCCCACAACGAAGGGCTGCTGGCGTTCTACAAAGGCCTAGGCGCCGTCGTCATCGGGATCATCCCGAAAATGGCCATCCGTTTCACCGCCTACGAGTTTTTCCGCACGTTGCTCGCGGATCCCAGCACCGGGGTCGTGTCCACGGGGAGCACGTTTCTCGCTGGTGTGGGCGCCGGCATCACCGAGGCCGTGTTGGTCGTGAATCCCATGGAAGTGGTCAAAATCAGACTCCAGGCCCAGCACGTCCAGTTTGTGCCCTTGGTGGCCGAAGTGGCAGGCGCTACGGGGCCTGGAGGAGCCACAGGCCCGGCCGCGGCCACTTTCTCCAGTGCAGCGTACCATTCCGGCCAATCTGCCACTACCAACGTCAAAGCGGCTGCCAAGTACAAAAACGCAGTGCAAGCCGCGTATCTTATCGTCACCGAGGAGGGTCCACGAGCCCTGTACCGTGGTGTTTCGCTCACCGCGGCCCGTCAAGCTACAAATCAAGGTGCCAATTTCACCGTCTACTCCACTTTGAAAACTAAGCTCCAGGACTACCATAACACCCAGATGCTCCCGTCATGGGAAACCTCTTTGATTGGGCTCGTTTCCGGTGCCGTTGGCCCATTTTCCAACGCTCCACTCGATACCATCAAGACTCGACTTCAAAAGGACAAATCCACGTCCAAGACCTCCAGTTTCACCAAAATCGTTGCCATCTCCCGACAATTGATTCAAGAAGAAGGTTTCCGAGCTTTGTACAAAGGTATCACTCCTCGAGTCATGCGTGTAGCACCGGGACAAGCCGTTACTTTTACCGTTTATGAATTAATTCGCAAACAGCTCGAGAGTTTGAGAGACTAACCAAAGCCCAAAAAATGCCACACGCGCATGCACACACACACACACACACACACACACATCACCCATCACTCACAAAACTTTATCAACTGCATCAATAGCACGCGCGCATATGTGTATGTGTTTGTTTTTCCTTTCAGCATTTAGTAGAGCAAGTAAAATATCCATCATCATCATCATTTAAAGTTTATCATATGATCTACCCTATAATAGCAAATAACTCTTATAACTTCAGCAGCAATGCAAAGTATATAAGTAGCGGCATGGATTCTGAGGCATTTTCCATTTCTACATTACAGTTCTTGTTATTCTTTACCCAGCAACTCAAATAATGCCAACCATTCCAAAAACCTATAAACTTTCCAGTGGCTACCTTTTGCCAAGCTTAGGGCTCGGAACTTACGATATTCCAAGAGCTGAAACCGCGGAAGTGGTCTATCAAGGTCTCAAAGCTGGATATCGCCACCTGGATACTGCCGTACTGTACGGAAACGAGAGTGAAGTAGCACAAGGTATTCACAGATGGTTACAGGAAGACCCAAAAACCAATAAACGCAGTGACGTTTTCTACACTACCAAGTTGTGGAACTCGCAAAACGGCTACGCAAACGCCCAGCGTGCCATCAAAGAGTGTATGGAGAAGGCCCGGCCTTTGGGTTACATCGACATGCTTCTGATCCACTCTCCGCTGAGTGGAAGTAAGCGCAGACTCGAAACCTACAAAGCCATGCAAGAGGCCGTGGACCAAGGCATAGTCAAGTCGGTGGGTGTGTCAAACTACGGCAAACACCATGTTGACGAGCTGCTGGCGTGGCCAGAGCTCAAGCACAAGCCTGTGGTCAACCAGATCGAAATATCGCCATGGATCATGCGTCAAGACCTCGCAGACCACTGCAAGTCGAAGGGCCTTGTTGTCGAGGCATTTTCGCCACTCACGCACGGCTACAAGCTCAAACACCCCAACGTCTTGCAAGTCGCCAAGGAAACCGGTTACGATGCAGGCCAAGTGCTTATCCGCTGGTCGTTGCAACACGGCTACGTGCCGCTTCCAAAGTCCCGCTCCGTGGCCAGACTCACGGGCAATTTGAAAGCGTACGATTTCGAACTCACCCCAGCACAAATGTCGTTCTTGGACCAACCAGAGGCCTATGAACCCACCGACTGGGAGTGCACCGATGCGCCTTAAGTCGCACGTGCGCGGAGCTCGCTCGACCACTAGCGTAAATTAGATAACCCGTAGATTTTTACAAGATATTATGAACAAGACACGATAAATCGATAGCCTGGGGGAGTATCCTATCAACGCTTTCAACTGTTGCAACGACAGCGTATTTAAAACTTCAATGTTAATGTGGCCCTGGCCTATCCACATATTTCGTTACCCGGGCCCAATGATCTTGGGTATAAAAATTATAATATGTACTGGAAAATCTTCAACTACTAATATTACTTGGTCGGTTCTTATAAAACCAACATATTTTAAAAACATCTTCTAGTATACCAGCTGGGACGCGATCTTGATAAATGTGTGCCTGGCGCAAATGGCTGGAAGTAGATGAACTGATGTAAATATACAATCTCGCCCCTTTATAATCCGGACGGCTGCGAAAACTTATGGGCTGTCCGGTTCGCTTTGGGGAAACATGTGTAATTTGGGTGTTGCGGTACGTTTGCGTAGCGCGGGTATCGCGGTACTGTCTTGGAGTGTATCTTAAACGGGGGAGATTATTCTGATAGCTTGTGGCGACAGAATAGTACAGAGTGATGACCGTGGCAGCAATGGTGCTATGATTGTCATGAATACTAGCGAGTCGATAGCGAGCTCTGCCTTGGAAATCAACTGACACACCACGTACTGATTTTATATCGTGCTTAACCCAACTCACGCTGACGAAGAGGATCTATCAGTTGACCTTTTTCCATTACGTTGGCGCACGCTTCATCAGACTCTTACGATGAATGGTGATTGTTAATCGGCCCAAATGTTAATCGGCCTGATTCTCAAATGGCTCTAGTGTCGAAGAGCCTGAATCTTAATTGCCTGAATCTTAATTGCCTCGTTTGTTAACTGCCTCGTTTGTTAACTGCCTCGTTTTTAACTGCCTTATTGTTAATTGCCTCGTTTGCTAACTGCCCAAATTCTTAATACCCTTGTAGATCAATTGTCATGCCGAGAGGCCCTATCGGGAGACTCATTTCTGGATTTTGTCTTGTAAGCCTTCCCACCAGCCGATACAGCTGCGGCCTGGTGGTGAACCCTCCGAAAAGGCCCAGTTTGAAGGCCTATTCGTTCGCGCACTCAAATTCACACACACACACACACACACACACACCCGCGTTGTCAGGGACATTTTGTGCCAGCCCAAATCACTCTGTACCCGTCTGTCACGAGCTTTTTCTTCAGCACCGCCAAAAAACTCTGCATCCCGTGCGATCGACCCGCACGCGCCCCCACGTTCAGCCGTCCCGCATCCTTCCCCGAAATTACCACGTCACCTCCCGCCCTCTATCTCTCCTAGCAATGCTAAGAAAAGAAGTTTTTTGTAACACCCGCGGCCCATCATTCTTCCACACTACCGTCGACAACCGTCTCCTAGCGGTTCTCTAAACCCTTCCCGCCCACTTCTATGCCCCGTTCTGGCATCCTAACGAGCTATACCGTTCGGCTCCCATGCGAAACAAAAAAAACTCTGCCCTCCGATTCCCAGCTTGCACCCTCCTCCTCCCAGTCATTGCCCGCCAGCTATCGATTCCCACCTCGACCGTATGGTTTGAACTGCTCCTCCACGAAGACACGCTTCGAAACTGTAAATTCCAAACTCTCTTTCCTAATCCAGAAAGTCAATATTGTCGACAAACAGTCCGTATTTACTATTTGGGACATCCTGACCGTGAAAATGTCTATTCGGTCACTGTTTACGTGTCGGGTTTTGTGACGACATCAGAAAATGCATCACGTGTGTCGTATTTATCCGGTTACCGGTGGCAACGGTGCCTGTTACGGAACATTTGACGCGGATTAATGCACGCTCGAGGCATTGGAAGTTTCCGTGCATTTTCGCGCATGTGCCCAGCGACTGGTACCGTTACAATATGGAAAAGTTGAGAAAGATGTCCGATGCAGAGATAACCAGGCGTGTTTGGCCACGATTTTCCGAAGGAAGTGGTCAGGACGTGTGTGTGTGTGTTGTATATATATATATATGTATATGAGTGTGAGTGGGATTGCAGATTTTAGGATGTGGAACAGCTGAGTTGAACAAGCAGCACCTTTGGTCTAATTATCTCGCAGTGTGATGCTTCTTGGTATCGATGCGCTTGCTGTAGAGTCGCCAGACAGTGAAATGCGCGGGAAGTCCCGGTTGGCCGGGATCCTAAGATCGTTCAGCGGGCCGGCGTCTCCCTCGCAGCGTAAGAAGCCCACGATCTCGAACCCGCGGGCCGAGTTCCCGATTTCCAATGGCTTGGCCAGCTCCAAGCGCGCACAGGTGTTTTTGGACGTGCTCCAGGACTACCTGCCGCACGAAAACGACCACAAGCATGCCAAGAGCCATGCCCCGTCCACGTCCGCGTCGGGCCAGCAGCCACAACAGTTTCTAAATGTGCATCGGGGCGAAATTGTGCAACTGGTCGAAACCGCCCCCAACAACCTCGTCAAAGTGCGTCTGGTTAACCGTCTGGGGCAAGGGCTGGTCCCTGCCCGATGCCTCGCGGTGAACCCCAACCTGACACCGTCCCGGCTCTCGTCTGCTCTCAGACAAGAAAGCATAGGACCCCGAGCCCCCACGGAAAGTCCATTCCCCACCAAGACCCCGCTCACCCCTCCTTGTAGCACCACTCCCTCGCGCTGTCAAACGCCTGTAACGAACTCAGGTTTGCTAGCGATTGAGAGTTGTCAAGTGAAATCCATCCAGCTTTGGGAAAACCGCATCTGGTATCGGGTCGATTGCATTATGACTTCTGGCCACCATCGTGCGCTGTCTCGCTTCTATCAAGATTTCTACTCTTTGCAGCTCCTGCTCAGAGACGAAATGATGAAAGAAGGCCTGGAAAACGTCCAAGATCTTCTTCCTGGTCTTCCTACGCCTTGCAGATCAGTGGACCCATCTCTGGTTGAAACCAGAGTTGAAGACTTCAACAAGTACTTGCGCGAAGTAATTCAATCATCCACAATCCCTCAAACCATCAAAAGAGATATTGTTCAGAATAAGTGGCTATCTCCAAGACCTGGAGATATGGTGAAAACTCCTCGAGGGTCCATCTATAAAGTGAAAAAGGTAGAATCATGGGATTCTGAAGAGTTTGCCTGGGAGGCTGTCAATAACGTCGACAACATAGACAACACTGATGGCTGCTTCAGCCCTATTCCATGCTACAATGCTTTGGAGATCTCAAAAGAGAACGCCAATAGTATCAAACGTTCTTCTTCCTTCTCAGAAATGTCAAGCAAACCAGAAATCAAACATACACCAGCAACAGCCAGTTCTGCACCAACGACACCAGCATTTTCACAAATTCCAATTTTCAGGCCACTTATTCCAGCTTCGACCTTAAGTTGGGACGAGAAGTCGGTTAAATTGAAATTGTTATACAAGGATGAATGTTTTGTCGCGAAATGCGCCCCATCTGAACTCAACTCCTATCAAGACTTAGATTTTTTATGTCGCACCAAACTGAAAGGATATTTTCCCGACTCGGATATCCCTTTGACCATTTCTTATATTAACGACAAACAAGAATCTGTGACGGCAACAGAAGAGTCATTCAATCAATTGTTCATGGGCTTGAAAAGTTCCAAACTGACCTCCTACAATACAACTTGCCCACCTTTGAAAAAGTTGGTTGTGCGAGTCTCTGCATAGGGAAAGACCCTCACTATCATATGTACTATAAATCACTTTAATTGAAATGGTCTTTCGTCTATCTTACGATTTATCTAGCTACAACTGTTGGTTGTTTAGGGTTTGCAGGCAAACGAGAGCTGGGTAGCTCTTCGTCTACCTCGGTTAAATCATCCTCGATTGTTGTATCTGTCGCGTTCGATAGCGAATCTTCTCTATGCAATGATGGGAGCGATTGGGCATCTAAAATGCTGCAAGGTTGCGTTCGGGCCTCTTCGAAAGCGAGTTTGAGTATGATGTTGCTTGTCTCTGCTTTATGATCTCTAGTTGCTGAAGCATCAGACTCAGTATCTTCGGGGCTTGGAAGAGACTCGATCTTTACTGAGTTTGACTGCTTCTTTTTGCGGGGTGTGGAAGGTGGTGTTAGCTTTCTCTCCTCGCGCTGACGTTTGCGGAGCTCGCTGTTTTCCCTTTTCAGCTGTTTAGCCTTTTCTATCTGTTGTTGAGTCTTGAATAAGTCGGGGATGCTGTCTTGCAAATAATCAACCCACGTATCACAATCGGAAAGTATTTGATAGTCAATGATGCCATGCCAATTACAGTCTCCGATTTTGGTCTTATTAATTAATATGACGAGCCCGTTTCGTTCGTGGACCTGTTTGCTGATGTTTCTTACGAGCTTTTTGACACCGTCCACTTTTAAGCTAGTGCCCATTATGAAGAATAGGTCGGGCCTTCCACGAGCCATATCTATATTGAGCCCCTGGGTGATGAATTCACAACTAGGATGGTTCTCACCATAAAGCACGATGTTAGGCCTCAGAAGTCCTATGGAACCTGTGTTCCTTTTTCCTAAAAGGCTCCTTTCACGGTTAGAGTGCTGGCAGCGGGGACAACTGGGTAGCTGCCCACTTCGCAGAGATCTAGATAATCCCCTGTTCCAATTATATGTTTCAAAACACTGAGTGCAGCTCAGTTTGTTAAGGTCGCCGTGAAGCTGAACCACGTCCAAATTTTTCCACTGGTTTGCCATGGTCGAATTGCTGTCTCGTTCTGAGGAGACCTCTAGCCCTAAACTCTCTTCTAAGCCGTCAATATTTTGTGTATAACAACGTAGGAGTTTGCCACGGTTCTTTAAATGAGCAATAAAGCGGTGTGTCCTTGTAGGCTGTGCCAATCTAGCACTGCTGTACAGTTTCTCCATGAAGGTCGCAAATACCGGAATTTTAGCCTCCTCGCGAAATAAAGAGATGTCGAACATTTCCTGGCCGGATCTGATACTAGCTTCCGGATGCTGGCGCTTCACCAGCTCGTAAAGACCGCTAGAAGATCTGAAGTCTGGAATACCGGCATTACACGAAATTCCGGCGCCCGTTAAGATAAGTATTCTGCGCGAGCGGTTGATTTGTTTGTTGATCGATTTCAACAACAATTCGTCTTGGTCACACGTTTCAAAGAGCGGTAGGTGCCTAAGCTTGCCAGTTTGTAATTCCGCTTTCGTGGCACTGCTTCTGCTCAAAGAAGACGGCAGTTTCTCGTCAAAAGACTCCTGGCTTGAAATCAGACTAGGCATTAGTACTCCACAAATAATGCTACCGTCAAGTAACACGCCGTTGTTAGTGTAAGCTCTAGGTCCGCGACTCCCTGATCTTATGTTCTCCTAATTTATTTGGAGAATTTCAACTTTCTTCAACTTTGATCCAATTTCATCGGGCTAGTTGATGTTTTACCTCATAAGGAAAACTGAATTTCTTTGAAAATAATCACTACCTAGAGAGTTAGCTATGTAAGTAATGTTATGGGTTCGAGCAATGACGGTGGAGTGACCTTTACTCACAAATTTTGAGTAGAGGTCTGTCCCTAGTGCCAATTCAGTAGGGCTGAGACAATATGGTCGTAGAGAAATTGCCCAGAGCGGATTATGCGTCCTTGTGCAGCTTGAATGGTCGAGATCACCCAAAAGGTAACTCTTGTAATCCTGCGTCTAATGATTTGTAGATGTGAGGGCCTGTCTTTCTAATGTGAAACTGCTTCCCGTCACTCTTTTATCCACCTTGACTGTTTACTGCCAATTCCATGATGAGCTTGGTCGTTAAGTGTAAGAATGGATACGCAGAAAAGGTGCTCATCTCGTCCTCGTTTCCGGCCGGAGTTGTTTCGCCTTGACTATTTTCCCAACCATCAAACTTGAAGTCAACTAAGTAGTTGTTAGCTTCTATTTGAAACAATTGAATGACCATCTTCATGAGATCCGGAATCTTTTCGTTCGCCGGTTGTCGCACATCGTACTTCCACCTAACGCGGATAGTCCATAGATCATCCTCCGAGGGCTTCGCCCACTGTGCACCTAGGTTTTTCAACGCTATGTAGATTTCGCCCATCACGTCCAGCGGATACGAACGAGACCTGATGCCGAAGTGCCATCTGGTTTTTGATTTCTTGGTGCTGAGAGGAGAAATCTTAGTCGCTGCCGGTGACCCCTCCGCCAGCATGTTAGCACGATGCATTTGGGGCAATGAGCTAGGCAAAATCGCAATCGTACTATCCTCGTCTTTTTCCTGGTCCACAAATGGAGACTGGTATGTACGGTGTTGAGTTTTCTTGATGTGGCGATGATGCCTGGAGCCTTGGGTTGCTGAGTTCGAAGGTGATCTTTGTGGTTTTTGATCATAAGTAGGAGGAGATTGTGACAAAAAAGTATCCAGGTCATTGCTTTGATCTTTGTTACTTTTGAGATCGTTAATAAGAGATTTGTTTTCTTTTATCAACGAGTAGGCGTCCCGAATTTCTTTTAATGCAGAGTTGTCTTCCTCCGATTCTAGAGCCTCGTAAATCTCGTCTCGATCATAGCCCATAGTTTTTGAGAGCATTGCTACTAAAGAATCGTCTACTTCTTCTTCCTCGTCTCCGCGATTATGTTCGTCACCATCCTGGTGGTCATCGGCCTCGCTTCTCAAATCTGCCGGTAGTAGGTATTCCTGCATCTCAACCCTAAACCATTCGTCTTGCATTATTTCATGAATCGTAATTCGATTTAGTGGATTGACAATTAGCATTCGCTTTATCAAGTTGGCTGCTCCGGAAGACAAAAATTTTGGTAGCGTGTAGATACCGTTGCTGATGTTTTTGAACAGAACAGGGATACTCTCATCATCAAACGGCAGGCGGCGGCACAACATGACGTAGAGAATCACGCCAGAAGACCACACATCTACTTCAGGTCCCGCGTACAGTTTACCACTAATTACCTCTGGAGCAGCGTAATTGGGCGATCCACACGAAGTTCTGAGAAAGTTTCCATCGGTCATAATGTTCGAGAGCCCAAAATCCGCGATTTTGACATTCAGGTGCTCATCAAGCAGCAGATTTTCTGGTTTCAAATCTCTGTGCACAATCTTGTGGCGATGACAATATTCCACAGCACTGATGATCTGCTGGAAAAAACGGCGAGCTTCGTTCTCACTCATTTTGTCGCGCTGAACAATGTAGTCAAAAAGTTCGTTCCCAGCATACTCAATTACCATTACGATTTCGTCTTTGGATTTGATAACGTCATATAGCTTGATGATGTGAGGATGTCTCAACAACCGTAAATAAGAGATTTCCCGCTCAATACGTCCTTGCATATCGCTCTTAGCCAGTACCTTCTTGTTGATGATCTTTAAGGCCACTTTTTGACCCGTGGTTACATGGTAAGCTAGCTTGACTTTACCGAAAGACCCTTCACCCAGGGTCTTTATGATCTGATATTTGCCGATTCTTTGGTCTTGTGAGTGATTTCCATGATGATGGTGGTGGTAATGGTTCCCATGGCTCGTATGGCCTGTTGACTGCGCAGACATGCTTTCTAATGTGCACTTCTGGAACAAGTTGTTGGGCCGTTTCAAGGTAGTTTCTTTAAACATAAGAACTTCATGCTTTTAGCAAGAGCCCCTTTTAACTTCTATAGCACTATACACGAGCTACGCAAATCAAGCATCTTAATCAATAAGACGCTAACAAGATGATCGGTATTGGTGCTCGTTTATGAACTGTTGTATGTAGCATTTGGCTGCCTCGAGCTTTTCAGGAGCACTGTAATAGCACACATTTCGCTGGGAGTTCAAAATAATTGATAGTCCCCAAATACAGAGACATTCCATTCTTAAATAGAGCACAGGGTGTTGTATGTATCACTTTAAGACCTCAACTGGATGCGACACTAAGTGCGGGACTACTCGTCACCAAATAATTGCAATATGATTTTTCAAAAATAGCACCCGAGAGCTATTGCGAGTTGTAGGGCAAAAGCACGGATAAGAATCAATTGGCAGGACCTAAATTCTCCCGATATGAAACTTGTCTTTACGGAAAACGAGCGTTGCTGGCACAAAATGTCTTACATTTCAGGGGCCAAGAACCATTTGAAACGACAGTTTTTTGCAAAACGACAGGGCTGCGGGGGCGCTGCGAGGGCACTACTAATGGAAAGCCCCTCTCAAAGTCTGTGAATTTCGGTTCATAGCTCTTGGCCGTCGCTTTTCCGAAAAGCTCTAGTTTCTACCACCTTTCATTTGACATGCACTGCAGATATGTCCTAATATCTATTGTGCTCTCGAGCTCCACTACCCGTGACATGTTTAACGACTGGGAAAGCACAATTATGATATAATGTATGACTGACGAATTTCGAGCATTTCAGCACTCATTTGCGAGACCTTCACATCATGGCTAGAGTTTTGTTCTATCTCTATAATTGACTTGACAGTATCTTCAGACTTGTCATTCTTGCCCTGACACTCTTGATCTTGGTATATCCTAAGTGCTTCCAATCAGAGTTCAGCCCATTCATTAGCCTAGTTAATTAGAATGCAACGGTTACTCTCTTTTACTCATAGTCACGTCTTCAATCCTTTTTGTAGGCCTTCTGTTCGCTCGTTAAACCCAAATAAAAAGTCGACATCCTTTAAAAAATCTTGAACCTCGAAAAACCATTACTAGGCCACGACACAAGCACAGCAGCCCAATATGACAGCTACTTCGTCGCCCGAGGGCATTGTTGCTCACATGAACAAATCACACAAACTTGCTTTGGAAGACTACCTTTATGCGTATGGAAGCGTACGCTTTACTGATAAAATAGCACATGTAAGGCTAGAAAACATAGATCTGACGCATATGACCCTCCAGTTCAACCACTTCGACGTAGAATTCGAAATTGAAAAGGTTATTCTGCTCGAGCCACCCCTCAAAGATTGGTCAGAAGCTCGCCCAAGGCTGGTGGAAATGGCCGAAACTGCGGCTGCTAAGCGAGGCTACTCTCACGTCCAGATTAACGAAATCAGTCATCCTAAGGGCCTTGGCGACTATGCGTTTATTATGCTGGTGTTCTTCCCGCTAGCATGCTATTATTACCGAAGATTGCTCGAGTACGTCCCCTTCATAGGTTCCTATTTCAACAATGGGGCACTGCTTCTTGGAATCGAAATCGCTGCTTTTGCCATTCACATCGCAGAATGTGTCTATGTTTTGAAGCCCAGGCTAGAGTTTTACAGAGTCCCCACAGATTTCCTCATCGAATGGTACTTTTTTGGCATGTTGGAGGGGTATCCTGCAGTTAGAAGGTTTGACCAACTAGTAAAGGAGAAAATTTAAGAGGCATATATACAAACAATTAATCAGGTTCTTTGTGTTTGAGAATGGGCGTCGTCTTCTTTTCAACACAAAGCTCCACAGAGTATGTAGGCATTTAGGAAACGATATTGAATGGCTTACATTGATTTTGAAAATCGATCGAACAAAGACTGGTGTCAGGTTACACTTTACTGACATTCTGAGCCTCTCCGCCGGGATGACTTATAGCTTTCAGAGGCTAACGCTAAGATTTCAAATTGACACTTTCTTCCGTACTTAAGACCCTTCAGTTCCGCGAAACTATTTCAACGCCCTAAGGACAAACTAACTATACATTCAATAGGGAAAAAAATCAAGACTTCAGGCCATTCACAAGTCGAATGCTCGGCATACAATGCTTAACACAATGGGCACTGTCGTGGTGGCAGTACGTCTTGTCAATTTTTTATCAGAAAGAAGTACGACCATAAATAGCGGCTTACATTTTAAGATTTCGAAAACTATACTAACGCTTACGACAGCTCAATATTGTGATTGTGGGTCTACAAAACTCCGGTAAAACCTCCTTGACTGATGCACTGACGTCAAAACCTTTTGAACAAGACACTATACCAACTTTAGGGATGCGCATGGAGCATTTTCATCTGGGACTCAATACCGTACGAGTATTTGATTTGGCAGGCCAAGATCGCTTCCAACATATGTGGAAACGCTATTTCGCACGAGCTGACCTATTAATCTACGTGATAGATCTCTCAGACTCAACAAACTGGCCCCAGGTCAAACAAAATCTGCATCAGGTCATCTGTGATACCAACCGCGATAGCATCCCAATGCTCATTGTGGGCAACAAGATCGACCTTCTCATTGCCCTGGAATCTGGCAGTACCATTTCTGGACGCAAGTTGCCCAAGAAGACGGCAGCGGATCAAAATGCGCTGGAACAATGGAAATACATGGCACCTCTGCTCCGTAACTACGAATACGACGATATTCCTACGTACTCGCTGGATGAAACAAACCTCTACGTACTAAGAAATGTGGAAACGCTGTCAAAAGAGCTGGGTTTGGATCTCAAAAACGGTATTTTGCACATGCCAGAATCTCAAATTTACCTCGACCGCGATTTGGCTGTCTTCACAATAAGTTGTAAGAATGGCGACTACGTCAGAGACATAATAGACTGGATCGTACAATTATAGATAATTGAAGCCGTAATGTCTATGCTCGGTTCAAGTGCTCTATAATTATACAGATTTGGTTTGATCACGTTGATCGTTATCAACATGCTACCCATAAATTTCGCAGTTAAGCATAATTAAACGGATCAAGGTAGAGTTGAAAGAAGCCAACTTCAATCGGCCTCTACCCTATAAAACTTTGGATCAACTGCCACTGTAACTGGTTTACAGTAACCCGATCTATCTAACGCAGTTTTTATTGAGCGTCATAAGGCAACATGAGCACATTAGTGAAAAAAGACACAACGCGATCAGAAGCCGAAATCGAAGCTGTTGAAGCATTTGAGAGCCTAGAAGAAAAGGACTACGTTCCCAGTGTGTCTTTTGATACAGTCCCGCTTCTTGCTGGGATTGCGTGTGAAGAGTCCGACGAAGAGCACGACTGTGACGATCACATCCTAGAGTATACCGAAGACGAGTATTACAATGACGAAACATATGCCGAATCTTCGATCTACTCTGACCGGAATCGAGGCTACTCGCCTCCTCCGGGATCAGGAAACTCTATGTCTCTGATAGATTCGAGAATAGACGGTCTAGACGGTTTCCACATTGGAAGAGACGGGAAAATTACCAGGACGGACTACCCTACCCGGCCCACCATTGTTAACGAAGCTCTTGTACTGAACAAAGTGCATAAGGACTGGCTCTCTCTGTGGCGTCAGCGAAAAAACCTTGTCGAGTCGAGGCTCGCAGCTCCTACTGGTCGTTTTGTCTTTCCGAGCATTTTGTTCCCCCCGGAAAAGAACACCAGACCAAACACGTTTAGCGGGCTCACTCCATTAACCAAAGAAGAGAGGAGGAAGGCGCTGATAATTGGAAAGAAAGTCGGCTTTCCCAATTCACCGCGAACTATCGTGTGTCATATTAGTGGAAAAAAGCACACTTGGATAGGATTAGATTGGCTTTTAAAGCGGTACGCTCAGGATGTTGATCATCTGGTAATTATCGCAAATATTCCAAAAATGTCCAATCACAAATCTCGCTCGAGATCTAGGTCCCGGTCGGCCGCTCCTAGAAGTAGATCGGCGGCCCCAGCTAGTCGACATTATCGTGCATCCGGAACACTTCAAAGGTCATTCCCCTCTGAAAATGAGGGTGAGCAAAGTCAGCAAAAAGATGAACGGTGGTTAGAGTGGGCATCCGGATATGACGCTGGTCACATCAAGCGCGTCCTAAAAAATATTCTGGTTTATGTTGTCTCAATAATGCCAAGAAACCGTGCAGTGAAGGTGACTGTTGAGATTGTAATTGGGAAGACTAAGAAAATTCTAGTTGACTGTATGAATGTTTATTTTCCCGATCTGATAGTGCTAAGCTCGTTGCGGTCAAAGCAAACCGAGAGCATGGTGAAATGGAAATCAAGATATCTCATCGACAAAGCTTGTCAAACCTTTCCGGTACCTATTGTGTTAGTACCTGTGAAGCAAATGATGGAATTGGAAAGCAAGGTCAGAGATGACTTGGATGAGGAGATCAAGAGGAAAGGAAAGAAACGCTCAGAATCTGCAGATGAAATTCCTCGCTTACATCACTCGAAGACGGCGCCCGACGTTATGGACCATACAGAAGCATCTAGCCATTCAGCATCAACTAACTCGGTAAATGGTGATCCCACTACGTCTGTTGAAGATCAAGGCACTGACGGTGAATCTGTGGCATCATCGTTATCCAATAAAAGTCCATTGACGGATATGCGACTGCGTGACGAGCTAGTGGCTCTTCGGAAAGAGACCAAAACAAGAATATGGAAATTTGAGAACGATAACTCGATCCCGCAAGACGAGCAACTAGTTTTAAAGGTAGATACTGTTCTCAAATCTACGTTAAAATTTGCGGCCAAACTGGATGAACTGAACCAGAGCACAGAGTCTTTGGTTGAACTCAAACGAGAGTTTACAGGCAGGGCAAATCCAGATTCGTCAGGAAATAAAAAGTCAATGCTTGACGTTGCCAAACCCTCCAAAGTTGCACACGTTAAGCCATCGCCAAATCCTGCGCGCATAAGTGTCAAGGATGACACGATACCGCCCAAACCCCAAATTAAGTTCGCGCCAGAAGTAAAAGGTAAAGATGGCAATAAAACGACAGGGATCGACAGTATCGAAAGAAGCATGTCTCACGAAGTTCCTCTGCGACCACAATCTTCTCAGGGTGTTGAGAGCTCACCCAGGGAGACGGATCTGCGGAAAGTGCGCAGTGCAAGTGGTCTTAAGCCTGTCAAGTCTGGAAGCTCTCTGAACAGCGAGATCAAGAAGAAAAGCAAAAGCTTCTTTTCATTCTTCAAAGGATCTGATAGTCCACCAAGTAGTACCGTAAGTAGTGGGTCATCCAGCAGGAGAAACAGTAGTGGTAGTGATGCCAGTGGCTTACTGTTAAACACTCCGTCCAAGAAAAGAAGATCTCGATTTTTTGGTCTCAAGAAATCGTGAAGAGATGGACATCGATACTATGCGGGCAAACTTTAGTCTGGTGTTATCGGATCTTCTACCTCTGATCCATATATACTGTAAAGCTTCTTTCCGTTTTTAGAAAATTATAGATGATTAAAGTGGTTGAATCAATTGTATAAGCACCTTATTGAAAAATAAAACAAGCTCGTAGTTTATTATGGCTTTCTGAAGGAGAATTCGCCGCGTTCTCAAGTTGCTACTACCGTACTTGTTGTAGTGAAGCAGTTGAACTAACGTGTTGGTCGCACAAGTCTTAATTCATACCTTCGTATGCTGTGCTACGGTCATCTTACTATCTTAAGGTAATTACCCCAGCGCAGTAGTTTACTATACGGATTCAACAACAGCTATTTAGCCTAAGATGAAGTCAGAACCTAGCTCAAAAAGGACTGAAAATAAAATCGCGAGTGGCGAGAATAGCAACTCGAGAAAGGGCCTGAACGTAGAGATTCATCCAGCTTTATTGTCAGAAAATGTTAACCTAATAAGGCATCAGGACAATCCTTATCTGGAGCATGAAAAGCTATACAAAATCACTGGAGCTTCGAAAGTTGCCAAACGATATTCGAGAGGATTGAAGTTTCATGAACCAGGTGTTTTATCGAAACAAATCGAAGAGCAACGAGCGCAATTAGCAAAACAAGAAGAAGTAAAGAAACAAGAAGATGAGATAAAAAAAGCCAAGGTACGAACCGGGGAACTACCAGATAAGTCAATCGGGGAGCATAATTACTTGATAACTTCTGTTCCACAAATAGAATGGTGGGATGTATCTTATGTGGAAAATACGGATACTTGGGAAGTAAAGCAGAAGTACGAGGACTGCACAATTGGGCTTGAAGAATCAGAAGAAGAAGACGAGAAATTGAAAATCCCGAGTCTTCGTTATGTGCAGCATCCTGTGCCGGTTACGATATCCGAAAGCACGGAAGGTCAGCAAGTCCCGAAAGTGTATCTTGTTAGAAAAGAACAGAAAAAGATCCGGCGTAATCGCAGGAAACTTCTCCGAGAAGAGCACGAGGAAAAAGTCCGGCTGGGATTAAAACCAAAGCCTGTCCCTAAGGTTAAACTGAGCAATATCATGAACGTCTACCAGAATTCCGAAAATATATCAGATCCCACGAGTTGGGAACAAACTGTGAAAGCCCAAGTGGAAGAGAGACACCAAAAACATGTTGAGACAAATATAAGGCGGCATTTAGAAGCGCAGGAACGCAAGCAGGAATTGAGCGCTCATCATGGCGCTTCATCTACAAATTCGGAATTTCATTGTAAAGTATTCCTGCTCTCCAGTCTACGAAACCCAAAGATCAGATACAAACTAGCAACAAATAGCAGGCAACTTAAACTTCGCGGAGTTTGCCTTCGAGTAGGCGAAGATGGGCCAGGTATTCTCGTTGTGATTGGATCCGAAAAGCACTGCCGGTTTTACTCAAAGTTGGTGTTGCAGAGAATCAAATGGACAGATTCTTTTTTGAACTCAGATACGGGTCAGCTCACGGACTGTAGCAACGATGTAGCTTCATTAGCATGGGAGGGCATACTTAAGGAAACGAGATTTCACGGATGGTTTATGAAGGAATGCAAGTCGTCAGCTGAACTAAATGATATATTGTCGCAATACGATGCCGATTGGCTGTACCGGTTATTTGAGCAAGAAAATTCTACATTGTGTTCGACAAAGTAAGCAATCTTACTCGATATACGTTCGAATTGTTTTCAATTGGCCGTCCTACTTTAAGTCCTGTGGTGGTGTGCTCAGAACACGATGAGTCTAAGGTATCGTCTTAAAAAAGCAAGTCGCCGCGGATATTAGATGTATGAAGATGTTTATCTGCAATAATATATGGTAATGGCAGCTGTAGACTTTCAACACTCTAGACTTAAATGCTGTAACCCAGATAAAGGTTTATTTGAATGCTCGTGGTCGCCTAGTCAGAAATATGCGCTAGTAGCATCAATGATTCAGCTTTATTGCATTTCAAACGCATTTGCTGTGAATTAGATAGAGTAAGGTCTAAATGGCTTTCTTCAAGGTTAGCAAAAGGTATTCAAGATATCGTGAAATGGTTTTTTCATTTAACATATGTAAGTGTTTGAACTGATCTTGCAAAGCCCCCCAGTGCTCCTCATATTCTCTACCAAGTACCGAATATCTGTAATTGTAAGATAAACATTAATCTGAAGTGTAAACGAATTAGTAAAAAATCAATCACGAACAAGCTAAAATTGCACCGTTCACGTTACTACGAAAATCGAACGTTGCGTTAGTAGTTTCTAACCTTATTGCGATAGCTCTTGTAGCACTGTCCAGTTCTGTAAGATGAATGAACATCTTCGGAGAAAAGGGGATCAAGAGGAGCGATCATAAATCCAAGGCAGCTATTGAAGACCAGCATAAATACAATAGCGAATGTACGTACCTGGATACAATACTGACATTAGGGCAAAAGAAGTTCGACTGGATATGAATGGAAGCTGCACATGCGTCAATAGTGATAAACTAATAATTTATAACACTGGGGTCTCATTGGAGGCGTTACCTCTAACAGGACTTCTCAAAATCTCTTTAATGACCATCAGTGCGCTACAGAGCGTCCTCTTGTCTCCGTCGCCTCCTCATTCCATCATTTGGGCAAGCTATATTGCAAATGTCTAAAAAGGGAGCTTTTTGAACAGCATCTTGCCTTTCATATTTATTTGATGGAAGCATCAATCAGTCAAAGCAGTTCAATTGAGCCTTAGTGTCATCGCCTACTGTTTCGCTTTAGGTCGCGATCTGGGATCGAATATCATATCTCACGGAATCACGTTCACAATTGCCTAATTGAAGTCTTGTTAATAAAGCCATGCACCCTTCTTGACCAATTACACACTAGCATCGCTTGATTCTAATCATCGACCATGGGTGCCGCTTACACTATTTTTGGTAAAACAGTTCAACCGCATGTCCTAGCTTTAGCCACAATTGTTGGCACTGTTGGTGGAGCAGCTTACAAAATGAGCGGTGGTTCCGAAGCCAAAGAGACTACACCAGCTCCTCAGGCCCTGACCGTTTCTCAAGACTCTGCAGACTTGGACGTAGAGAAAATGCTGGACAGTTACCTCAAGGAAACCGAAAAGAAATAGTCATGTCACTTTAGCCATGAATTTTATGCTCCTATGTACATATATACATTTTGAATATTCTCCATGACTCCCCGAAAAATCATAGCAAGTCGTCCAAGCTCTGTTCAGAATCTTTTTTGATGAGGTCCAACATTCCTTCAGGAAGAATGGGTTTTTGACTGGCATCCAGAACATATCTGAACGGCATCTCCGTGGCCTCATTTTTGTTGAACCTGAACTCGGGGTAGTCAATGAATTTTATCTGGTCGAATGCCAATTGACGCTCAATAATTAGCTGCGTGGTTCTGATAGCAGTATCCGTAGTCATCTGCTTGTCTCCAAGTCTCTTTCCGACCAACAAGTTTGGGTACGCTCTAAGCAATTCCGTAGTACGGTCTCTTGGAGGATGATCACCGAGAATACCACCAAACACAAAGTAATCGAATTCTTGAGCATCCTGAGGATTCAAATCCTCCTTAGCACGCGGGTCTAGCAAACAAACACGTTTCTCTTGCAAACTGGGCAAATTGGGGAAGACTTGATTTATATCGGTCAGAGGCTTCGTAGTCCATTGAAGACCCATTTCCCGCAGCTTAAGCGGAATGTCTGATTCCCGAGTTTCATCAGGCAACGAAGACAAAATAAGATTTGAGGCGCCAAGGTCTCTGATGATCTGCGCATATTCAAGAGTCACCCACTCACTGAAGCCCTGCTCCATGTGTTCGATAATGTACTTCATATTCGAGCTGCTTGATGAGTGATAAAACAGTTCCAAGGGTGGTCAGCAATCCGGCTGTATTTGAGCTGAGTTTTTCGTCTTCAATTGAAAGCTCATCGCACTGAGAACTTTTGACGAGAGCTAGTCGAAATATTTTAGTCAGTTTCAACGACACTTCGCTTTTGAGCCAATAGACCTGTATCGACTCTGCGATGCTGCGATAATAGTTGTTTGAGAACAAAAGCCGCAAGATCCATATCTTCGAAGTAGCTTACATGTGCTTTAATCGCGGAAATCAAATCCACTTCTAAAAAGTTCGGCAAAAAGGAGTAGTCAACTCTGCCGGAATAATTGAGCTTATTCAACATTTGAATTTGCCGGTCAGTCATGGTAGTTGTAGAGTTTTCTTTTTTAGAATCGTTGGCAATCAGCGAACCTCCAATTTCTAGCACTTTAGATGTGATATCGTTGCTTGTCCAGTGCGGCACATAGGCCGGTTGTATATCTGTGAAAGATCTGTCAATCAAGGGCTCGACTCTGTAAGCCACAGGGTCGCAGACGTGAAAAATATTGAAGAAATTCTGACATTGCGGGTGCTCGACTTTCTCTGTCGAACTGGCTTTGAGATGACCGATCTTAGTCTTTTGAATCAACTTGAAAACTCCTATAGGAGAGCCAACAGAGAAGAAATTTTCTACTTCAAAGTCCAGCGGGTATCGATCTTGGTTCGACAAAATATCAAAGGCTAATAGGCTTCCGAGAGAATGACTTAGAATATGCACTTTACCATCGAAATTAGGATTCCGAGCTCGGTACAAACTGTAGAGATGATTCAGCTGGCCTGCCACCTCTTGTAAAATGCGATGCTTGTAGTGCGACTCTCCATAAAGTAGAAGATCTAAAACCACGTCCCCGAGCACTTTTCGCAAAGGTTTCACACCATCTACCGTGATATCACTCAATGTCGGAAGGTCCGGGTCCTCGGTATTAACCTTTAAATCGTCGGTATTGAAACCAATCTTGTTCCTCCATGTAATTGGTATTACTTGCGTTCGGCAATTTTCATCCCAATCTGCATGTCCATTATCCTTACTGACCTGTTTGAGCTTGTCACTGCTGCTGTACATCTTTTTGATGTTATTGCGGAGAATATTAACAGTATGAGCGAAGTTCACGTATTGGTATTTCTTTCCAAGGTTTTGGCCGATCCCATGTATACAAAAAACCAAGTGATCCACATCTCTGTGATTTGAACGCCATTCCTTATCCGCTGCCTTCTCTCTTGTGTAGTCAGTTTCAACTTCCCGCTCCATTACCTTGTTTGTTGAATCCTTAGAGGAGTTAAGTGGGTTAAGTCCCGTCAGCAAGCCAAAAATCTGCCAATTTATCAAATCCGTCATCTTTCCAAGGCTCTTCGAAGTACCCTGGACTTCTGATGCGACGTTTTTTTTTACGGAAGCGGTAAGAGAGCTATCAGCTTCTACACCCCGTACTACTCTATAAGCTCCAAATTGTACTGCTTGAGCTAAATTGCTTCTTAACCAGTTAAGTTGCATTTTCCCTCCATAGAGCTCAGGAACTACGAAGGCTGTCTGCTCATCAGCATAAAGAACCATTTTGCCTTCTTTGTATTTTTTGGACAAGCTAAAAACATCCCGGTATCCTTGTTCCCCGTCGACATTATTGCTCTCTTGATGCTTGCTCTTGTCCGCCAAAAACTCTTGACGATGTTTCTCAAGTTCCGAAGCAAGATCACTCCTCACTGGAACATGTTCTGAGTTAAACCACAGTCCCCGTCGTACTTCGTAAACAGGTCCTTCCCAGTAAGCTGGCTTCATTTCTTTTCGCGCCAGATCCACTTCAAACAGATGATCCTCATTCACCATGATTTGCTTTAAGTTGGAAGCACTACCGGCACACAGTCCCAGCTGAAACATTCTTTCAAGTCTCATAGAGTCATTTTTGGAAAACGGAATGAATTTCTGTGGTTCTTTATCGCCAATTGAGTACGTAGGTTCAAATGGCTTCCGGATCGGAACGTCACTAGCATAAAACCACCGAACGTTTGTTCCTTCAGCTTTGGTTGTGATAAATCTGCAGCTCTTGCAGAATGCTAATGTGACCCTTCCAAGCATAGAACCCGAGCTATTCAACTTACAGGCTGTGATCGTGAATGATACCATGCTAGACTTCCGTTTCCTGTTTTAAGATTGTCATCATTTGAAAGTCATCATTTTGAATTTCAAAAAAAGAAGGTAGACTTTATTCACCTTCAAAGTGCATCCATTTTTGTCCTCCATTTCGTTATTTAGTCGTATCTACTATGTCCCCTAAGTTTTGATTTGGCGCGCAAATTGTAGTGCGACGATCTCTTGTCTCTCTCTGGTATTTTCATCAATGCAATGGCATCAGGTCTTACTTTTTTCTCGGCAGCTTTGAAACGCTTCTTGGAATCAGTGTCAGACGATCCGCTACGTTTCCGTTCATTAAGGTCATCTGGGTTAGGCGCCTGGTTTACCGAGCGGTCCCCTTTGGTGCATCCTGAACTCGATCGCTCTGGTGAAGTGAGCTTGTCATCGCAGTCTTCATTGTCACTTTCTTCTGTATCTTCATCTTTTGAGGGTTGTTTGAGTATGGACTCCAGGTCTTTGTGTGCTTCGTTAACATAATCCACAATTTCCTTAAAGTCATCATTTTGGTACAATCTCTTCAGGTGCTTGGTGGACTTTCTGGAGATATCAGGTCGAGTATCTGTAGTTGGGGATATCGCTCGAGGCGAAAGTTCTCTAATGCTATTATTTCGATCTTTTTGGCTTACCGTTTGGCTGCTTGTTTGGATATTTATGACGTGCGGAAGGTAATCGTTAGCGGGGTTTAATTGTAATTCTTTAAATTGAGTTATGATCTCGGGAGATTGCCTGTCGTCAGCCAGCACTTGTTGATTCTTGAGAACGGCCAAAGGCTGACTTGGGTAGCTCGTCCCATGTTTGAGTCTAACGTGGTTGACAATGCCTTGTGCTGAGGTAAACCCGCTGCGTTCACAGAATGAGCACGCAATGATGACAAGAATGCCATCGGGTCTTTTAAAAATAGGTTCATTATTCTCATTGGATCCCACGATCCCGCTCTTGCTGGTAAGACAAGAGCTACTATAGTTGCGTTTGTGATGCTGATTGAGCAGAGAAGGTCGTACGGGATCTAATTCGCTCCCGGACGAACTAGTGGCCATCGGCTGCTCCAAGGGCTGCAGACTCTTGCCGCCTACCAGCCGCATACCTATGGTTTTGTTACTCGCGGGACGCAGCCGAGACTGGTATGAATTGCTGTTATTGCCACCGAGGACATTGTTGAGGTTGTTGGTAGATTTGCTGCGGGTGTGGTAGAAGAATCCACTGTTACTGCTATCACTGGCGCCGTGGCTGACAGGCCCTAAATCGAGTGAGCCTCCGCTGTTCAGTGAGCCGTGTGATGCTTCCATTTCTTTCTTTCGTAGAAATTGTTCGCGATGGTGAGCATACAGCTCCTCTTGGTGCTGCTCAACGTGCGCCAGGAGCGCGGGATCTTGGTGCATGTGTTCTAAAACTCGCATTTGGGCTTCGACACGACCCAGTTCTGCGTTGGCGTTGTTATATTCGTTGTTGTTGAGCATGATGTGAAGATTCAAGTTCTCCAATATCTCTCTCTTTGCAGTTTCGTATTTTAAACGCTCGGATTCCTCACTTTCCCGATGCTGGTTATTAGACGATCCCGGATGATCTTCTTCCACCTCGTCAGTCAACGAAAGCTCGTGGGGTGACTTTGGGGTCGCTACTTGATAGTAGTTGGGCGGTACATGACCTGTCCTGCTTCCTACATCGTGTGTATCCATGAACAAAACCTGTGGGCCGTCTGAGGGCTCCTGATCCGAGTGCGCTTCATTTCCAGCCTCAGATCCCACGGTTTTTGTGCCGGAGTGAGTCCTACTGCGTAAGTTCGAGGCAACTGTCATTACGATCAGCTCTCTGGGCTTCTTGAGACTTTGCTTCTCAAGTTGGTGCGAAGAGATGTCCAAGAGAAAGAGATGATCTTACTCATACTTACTCAAGAAAGTAAGCTAACGATCATGAAAATCGTTGAGACCTATGATATCTGCTAAAGCTATATAGATGAAAAGACTTCAACATTTCAAATCAAGGCAACTTGGCCGAGTGGTTAAGGCGAAAGATTAGAAATCTTTTGGGCTCTGCCCGCGCAGGTTCAAATCCTGCAGTTGTCGTTATTTTTTTCAATATCAGGAGAAGAACTTGGGACATCTTTTTGACTATGGAGCTTTGCTCGATCTCCATCAGCAAGGCACCATATGTTTGACAAGCAGTTGGCGGACAAATACCTTTGAAAATTTGATGTTACTTGTATGTTAGTTAGCTGTAGATACTCGAACCCTCAGTGTCATAATATTTTTGAATAATAAAATCACAGCAAGAAAGACCCATGAATACATGCTTACTCTGCTCATGTCTCTGTGCTCGTGACAGCTGCTCGCTCGATGTGAGCAAGGCTTGCTCGGTAAGGAAGCCAGAAGTTCGTAGAAATGTAGGTGTACGTTCTTGAAAATAGCATAACGTTGAAGCGTCCACTAGAAAAGATTCCTTGCCAAGGCACCCGTGTGCTTTCGTTTAATGACATCAAAGAACGATATGGCACCCACTCATTATACAGAGATTTCGTCTTGCATGTCTGGAAATAACCTGCAACGCTGCCCAAAGATCATTGAGGAATAAACGCACTCGCTTGCTCAATAACAACACTAACTAACGGCTGATAGAAGGACAAGTAGCGTCGCCGCCGCTTGACTTGAAGCTTGACCGACTAGAGTTGCGACTTCTCAATCCGCCATGTTTCTTTCCGACTGTTCCAGCTCTGGGAGATTTATATGTATCCCCCACTGAATACCAGGGATATGCTTCGGTACTAGGACCACCCGCATAGACTGGTGGATAGAACATGATACCCCTTTGCTTCAGCGGCGAATCGTACTCCTTTAAGAGCACAGAGCTATTGCCAGGTGGCGCCGATCCGTGTGCCATAACATACCCGGGAGCCATTGGAATGCCATACGACTGCCCAGGATGCCAAACGGGTCTCATGTACGGCTCTACTGGAGCAGTGGCTAGTTCGTGGCGTAGCCAGGAATCATCAATTCCCCAGGGCTCTTCCACAACCCAGGGCTCGAAATTCGTCGATCCAGACCGTGGACTTCCCAAAAGCGGAGTCGAGGTAGAGTCGGGGGGCTGATCAAAGTCGTCAAGTTGTATCGAGCGGTCTGCGTCCAGAAAATGCTCTTGGAACTCTATTCCCGTGGTTTTAATTTTTAGCCGCCGAGGCGGTGGCACTGATTGTTTTTGCTTACCTGCCAAGTCTGACGGTAGGACCGCCGCCCGCGTCTCCTTCGCCTGCACGACTCTATCGTTTTTGGGGGCGACGGATTCCCAATTATCGTCGGCTAATCTTATGCTAACGTGTTCATGGTCAAAAACACTCTCTGGCTCTACACGCCGTCTTTTTTGCTGACTCTTGGCTCTTTGAGCTCCCACGTTCACCGACTTGCTTTTCAAAGGTAACGTAGTCTCACCAGGCTCGTCCAGCTTGAACCGTTTGCGTCTGTGACTTTCTTGCGCCATTATAATCCTAGATAGGTCGAAAAGAATTCAAACTTCACGGTGTGAAAGCTACCGTTGACTCTTTATACACGTATCCTAGGATCTAAGCGCTTCTCTCTCGAGCACTTGTGGTTCAAATCGCACCACAAAGACCACTTTTTGATCAAAGTTTTGTTCTGGCACTGAATGTGCTGTGACATTACAAGGAAAACTAGCAGAATCTAATATACCTTCAATGATTCCACATACAAAAAAATCACATTGCACATTTGTAGAGCTTATGAATCGCGTGAGCAAGGGCGAGTTGTCAATTATCATGAACTCGTTCTCGCGCTCTGAAGATTTCACAAGGTCGTCACCAACACGCCCAAATAAGTACGACCATACCGTACCGTGTATAAATTGCAGAATTTCGACCATTCTGAGGTCTCTACGCTTCATGTTAGCGATTCCTTGAGCCAGCGAGTCCTCCTGGAATGCAGAAGACGCAACGTTGACGCCCTGAGACGAGTTGCCAGGCTTGAAGAAATTTTTTGAGCCTGGGCTAACACTGCTCCTAAAATTGAGCAATTCTAACAGACGAATCCCCAGATGGTATCCGTTGCGATGAAGTCGAAGCTCTATCTCGGACACGGATTTGCTGGCATTGCGTGCCTGAGTTACGAGTTCTTGAAAGAGAAAGGCATACGCAGCTAGTGATACCTGGGGATTTCGAGCACTGGCATGGAGTGATTCGTTGTAGACTGACGGAAGAGACGTGGTGGCTTTAGACAGACTGGGAGCATTGGGCAGCGTTTGCTGGGGCCCAATCGTGTAGTCATAGCCCGTTGAATCCGAATGCTTAGCTGGAGCCACAGAAGTGGAAGGGTTGATAATTTTCTGGCTCATGGAGAGGGAATTATACTTCGAGATTTGGGTTTTTAGAATAGAGAGATCGTTGAGAAAGAGACAGAAGAATCTTAAAGCAGACCTTTGAAGTAAAGAGTATAGGATACGAAGGTGATTTATGTGAAACAATGACGTTTAGTGCAAGAGGAAAACTACTGTAAAATGAAGAAGTTGTACTATGCTTTGACGTCACAAAACGTAAGGTGCGTAAGACGTGGCCATTGACTAACAATAACTTGTGAGCCGGCCTGTAGAATCAAAGCCGTGTAATTATGAACCTGGTAGGAAACCCTCACAGCTAGAACACCAGAGGGAGCATAATTTCTGACACAGTTCCCGGGCTCGTGAACATCTTTAGTATCGGAAAGCCTGTCTTTGGCAACTTCAGCAGCAACGAATGGTCCGCAATCGTTTATGCAGGAGCTTCCGGCATATCAAGAATCAGCCCCAAGGGCTTGATATGAGCGAGCGAAGCTTCACTCCCATGCACTCCACGTATCGCAGTTGTTCTTCGCGACGCCAAAGTCCCGATCATAGACAACTTCATGATTTTTTGCATTTGTATCTCTTTTCTCTCATTCTGAGCATGTTTCGGAGGAACTACTCCTCGAACACTTCAATGACTTAGGAATTAGTGAATTTTGGCGTTTTCATCCACCGTCGATCTAAAAATCCACAACGAGTCAACGCAGCGGCCTGAAACGATGCTTGCGAGACTAAATGTCATGGTTGTGTCAGCAATAGACTTCTGAGATGTAGATTGTGATTTTAGAAAGTGCATGGGGCTGCCTTTTCTAGCTGATTCGCGAGTGCAGTTCACGAGTCGTTGGATTATTCTACTCATGGTTATGCGTGGCTTTGGCCTCTGGATAGCGCTTTTGTTGTCAAATCCAAGTATGTCAGCTAGGGTCATTGCCGGTAAGGAAGGCACGCAACGCTGAAGCGAAACCCATCGGTTTGCTAGTTTCTGTAGGCTGAGACCTTGGCGTCGCAGCGGACACGGATGTAGTATTCATTGGTGCACGAAGAGTCTTACACAGCATGACCATTCAGCAGCGACATGACCAAAACTCGCCAAACTATCTTGATATTAAAAAACTGCAAAATAACATGATCAATCTGAGATATCATTTAGGTGTATTACAAGGAACGACCAACATTGTGACATAGCCGCCCACCTATCAATGTAAACAAATTGAAATTCTCAAGAGGTTGCTAGAGATCATTAGTTAAAAGTAGCAATGTGGACGGTGTCATAATTGATAAATGTATAAAGACCTATGTCCCTTAATGAAGGCAACCAACTACTCAAAATGTCTGGAAAACTCACGGACTGATTTATTTTCACGTTTGTTTCATTACATCTGTCTGAGTTGAATAAATTCATTTAGCCACTCACACTAGATGAAGTGGATTCTGAACAACGTTCTGTGTTCTCGCCCTGTCCTTCATGTTTGTTTTGACCATCTGGTCATTAACCTGGGCATAATTTTTCAAATTTATGAATTAAACGTTTAAAAAATTTGAAACTTCTACATATATACACAAATTCATCATAAGCTTCCAGTGGACCACTCAATCCCTGTTTATAACTACGCTGTGAAAGCTCCAAACTTGGAAATGCCAGTAACTATCAGAAGAGCCACAATAGAAGACATGCTTTGCATGCAAAATGCGAATCTCCATAATTTGCCAGAAAACTACCTTTTCAAATACTACATGTACCACATCTTGTCGTGGCCTGAAGCATCTTTTGTGGCGACCACAACAGACAACGTGGGAGATTTGGAAGTGGGCTTCGAGGAATTAGCTTCTTCCTCGAACAATTCCACCTCATCGTCGATCGCAACCAAGTGCGATCCCTGCTATGTGCGTTCCGGAGAGAAATTAGTGGGCTACGTTCTCGCCAAGATGAATGATGATCCTTCCGCTCAACAAGATGCAGCGCTCAACGGTCACATCACATCGCTAAGTGTCATGCGTACCTACCGTCGCATGGGGTTGGCCGAGAAGTTGATGCGCCAGGCGCTGTTTGCCCTTTCGGAGGTTTACAAGGCACAATACGTGTCTCTGCACGTTAGGCAGTCCAACAGGGCCGCCCTGCATCTGTACCGCGATACTCTCGAGTTCGAGGTTCTTAGCGTTGAGAAAAGCTACTACTTGGACGGCGAAGACGCATACGCCATGAAGAAAGTACTAGACACTGACGAGCTGCTACCCGCTAACTTCCAGGGCAGCAAAGTTCAAGATGATTTGGAATCTGACTTGTTACAAGAAAGCCCCGAATCCCTGCAAGAAGGAATTCAGCAGATAACAGTCTAGCCGCAAGTACAAGGACACATCTCCGATGCATATATAATTCTCATTTGATAACTACGATAAATTTACGCACCGCATTTCTCTAATCAGACAAAAAATAGTAAGGTAGCTTGGTTTTTTCCACATCGACAAAAACGTCTCGAGCCAAATGCACTCGTGTTCATCATATTGAGAGAAATGCAAGAGTGTGAGAAAATGCAGAGCAGGCACGAAATCGTACCCTATCTGTATTTTCCAGGAGAAACTTCTCCTTTTGTTTTACGTTCGGCTATCCAGTTTGAGACCAAATCTGGACAGTGCGGTTGTTTGGTTTCAAAACTGATTCTTGATATTTTCTGATATATTTGAGGTGACATTAAGTGGAGGAAACTGATCTGTTTATATAGGTTTTTTCCCAAGGTATCATTGTAAACGATTTGAAGCGGCCACTGCTTAGGGCTCACTTATCAAATCGACATGAATGGCCTTGTTATTAAACAAATGTCGATTTGGAGATGCGGAGGACAAGAACAAAATGTAGACTGGTTTGTAGTATCGCAGTGTGGGTGACTACATCATTCTCTATAATGCACTCCAGAGTTATCAGCATGCAATTAGTCTTACATTTGCATGGAGTCAATTCAATAATCAAAGGGTACCTTTGGCCTCTATTGATCTTCTGTTCCCTCATCCTTCAGCTTTTGTTATATATAACCTTATCGACTTTGACCTCGCCGTCAACGTAGGCGTAGATGTACAACGTGCAGGTGGAGCCCTGAATGTCTAAGAGACAAAAGCTAGGAGCGCTCTTGTCCTCCTCGTCGTCCGTCTCATCTGCATCGGCTGCCAAATTTTCCGTGGGTTGCGAAGTTTTGGCATCCGCTGCAGCCGTTTCGGTAGCCTCTTGGTCTGTACCAGATGTCTCCGACTCCTGAACTGGCCAATCGGTGCTGAAGGCACCCGTACAGGTTCCTGGATTAATGAAGAATTTCCCTTCGAGCGTGTAAGCCTCGACGTTGTGCGTTCCACCCCATAGCACTATGTCCACATCGAGTTGACGCGCGAATGTCAGAAGCGACAACGGATCACTTTTGGGTACTATTGTGTATCCATTGCAGCACCCAATGCTAAAGTTTCCTTGTTTGATAATCGTGTTAAGTGGAATTTCTTCTTTTGCGTTTCTTGTAGAAGCAATGGTCTTATTGTCGAATTCCCCTCTCACAACAACTACATTGGATGATATTTGATTTACGAACTTCATGAAACTGTAACTCTTAGTGCAGTTGCCCAAAAGAACCACTTGTTGTATCTTGTTGGGTACGCCTATCAGCTTTTTAAACTTGTGCGGAAGATCCTATGCAAATTGGTTAATGTGCTGAAACAAACACGCAACTAAACCAAACGAAAAACATACTACTGCTCTCTCAGGAATATGAGCATCACTTAATGCCAGAAGAAGCATACTCAAAATCTTATCTTGTCTATAACTGTTGATTCTGATCAGATTCTTTCTGAGCTGTGTCAATTTAGGTCATTTCCCTAACTGTAAAACCCATTATGATCATTATGATCATCATGTTCGACGGGAAATCGAGAATTCGATGTTAGATCGATACTGTAATAGATCTTTAGTTCCAATTGTTACGCATTGAGCTGGCGTGTCACTTATGTGGCTTCTCTTTTAATCTATATGTAGGATTTACCGTCCATATATGAAACTAATGGTTCAGGAATTTTGATCAAGCCTGTTGATGGATCGTAGAAATTCTCCACAATGGCTACTATAACGCGGGGCACTGCTATGGCCGTGCCGTTCAAAGTATGCACGTACGAAGCTTTGCCTGTGGTTGAATCTTTGTACTTAGTCCCCATACGACGACTTTGGAAATCTGTGCAGTTCGAGGCGCTGGTAATTTCACCAAATGATCCTCTACCGGGCATCCACGCTTCAATATCGTATTTACGGAACGCGGGAGCACCAAGGTCGTTGGCAGGCATGTTCAGAACTTTGGCACTTAGACCAAGATCCGCAACTAAATCGATTTGAAAATCAAGTAGTTCTTGTAGAATTTGGTCACTCTGATCAGGCACAGCCCAGCAGAAGAGTTCCACTTTTGTAAATTCGTGCACTCGATAAAGTCCCCTAGTGTCTTTACCACGAGCACCAGCTTCCGCGCGGTAGCTTCTACTAACACCGCATAGTTTCTTGGCGCCCTTTGAAAGATCCATTACAGTATCGATTCCCAGCCCTGCAAGCGCAATTTCAGCTGTGGCGGTTAAACCCAGATTAGTGTCTGTAATATGATAAATTTGTTGTTCATTATTCATATCGCGTGGTCTAAATCCGCAGGCATCTATTACCTCGTTTTTTGCAATACTAGGTGGATTGCACATACTAAAACCATGATTGCGGGCGCGCTTAGTAGCGTAGGATACCAGAGCTTGCTCCAAGAGGGCCCCATCATTTATTAGGTAGTACCATGAATTGCCCGTGAGCGTAGAAGCGGACTTGAAGTCCACAAGGTTTTTACGGACCATGATATCATGATGGTCCCTAGACAAGTCCACGGGATAATCTCGGAGGGGATGGATTTCTTGTATCTCTTGAGCATTAGTTAATGGTACATCTTGGTGAACAAGATTCGGTAGCGAAAGACATGTTTCGTGAATTTGGTCTTTGATGGTCTTGAGATCTGAAGTAACTGTCTGGAACGAGGTTTTCAGTTCTACCAATTTGTGCTGCAGTTCTTTGATTTTACTCTTGTCTAATTTGATCTCCCTTTCAATAGCTTTGCGTTCGGTTTGAGTTTTGGCGATCTGAGTGTCCAGACGCCGAGCTTCCAACTCCTGAACTGGCAAATTTTCTAGTTCCTTGACAAGCTGGTCGCTAGAGGTTAGCTGTCTAGCTTTGATGGAATCAGCATGCAGCGGCAATCGATTCAAAATGGACTTGACATCGAATTGGGCTTTTTTCAATTGCCGGAAGGCACTTGTAGAGAGATATCTGACTCGCATTACGGTTGTACGATAGGTGTAGTAGATCATCAAAAGTCCCTTCGCTGAAATGTTTGATGATAGCGTCTCTGCGAGAAGGGAGTGGGGCAAATTTCCCACACCTCCAAAAGTCACTTGGTAACGATGTAAGATTATAGAAGCTTAGTGGGTTGTGTAGATTACATACGGATCCGCCTTTATTTTTGTTATTTAAGAGTGATGAAAGTCCAATGCAAAAGTTGAGATGCTTAGAAGTTCAACTTGGTGAAGAACCATTGGTTCTTACCGGCTTGGTGTCTTTCTTCAAAGGCCTTCTTGATAACCTTCTTGGCTTCTTCACGTTGGGAAGGCTCCTCGAAAGTCTCGGTGGAGACCACGGACTTGAAGCCCTCAACGTCCAAGGTGTATCTGGTTGGCAACAAATGGTTGTAGTTGATGACCTTGATGAAAGGCTTGATTCTGGTTCTCTTAGCAACCTTCTTGGCGCCTTGTCTCTTGGTGACCTTCAATGGGTATCTTTCGATACCAGCGACCAAGGCGTGACCGAAAGGGTGGGCCTTGGAGCCTTCATCGTGTGGCTTGACGATCACGACCTTTTTACCGGCGTAACGACCGCGAACAACGACAGCTGCGGAACATAGTTAGTATGGGATGCAAAAAGACGACGTAAGATCCGGGACGGGGACAAAAAGCGCGTGCGTGACGAGATGAGCAAACAGATGAGCCATGAAAAGCAGGCGCCTTCGTAGCGATGCTGGAGCCTTGGAGTCTGTAGGCTTGTTCGTTGTGAGAGCTCAATGATCCTGAATTTCTTCCCTGGGTGGTTTGAGCCTGCACATTTACGCCGCATTACAGCGACCAAATAAACGCCATTAAGCTATTCAGCAAAATTCGACTGCTCAGCATTTTGTATGTCTCAAAGTTACTTCAAATCCGCCGCTTTGCGCGAACAGCCACGCTATTCATCCCGTTCTGGAAATATCCTGGGGATTGTGCTGATACGTACCAACTTTACCAGCTTTCAAGAACTTAGCCATTTTTGGTGATGTATTTCTATCTGTGTTCGTGAAGTGCAAGATCAACGGGGGCTCTTGAACCTATAGGTATATCATTCAAAATTTCCTACAGTATGAGAACGATACCAAGTTTCCAGACAGAGCGCTACTGGAAGCCACACTCACCGCAGGCTGGGCACTGCCTGGAGCTAGACAGGAACTGAGCAGTAGCCAGGCGGGGCCTGGAAGGAGCTGGGCAGAGTTCTCCCACTAGCTAGGCAGAGCGCGACACGCCTCCGCCCTGAGACTCTCTGTCTAATTCTGAAGCGCGGCTTATGTCATCCAGCCCAGCGACTCTTTCTACACTTATTGTTTTAATCTCGACCCACGCAATATGAAGTCGTGAATTTTTCAGCATTTTCAGAATTTTTCAGCTGGAAATTTTTCAAGATTTTAAAAAAGTCTAAAAGCAAATGTATGGGCGTTAGGGCTGCTATTAGGGCTTCGCGGGAAGAGCAGTCCAGTCTTAGGCACATAGGCACTTTTTTGAACAGTCGAGCATTGGCACATACTACATAGAAGTGATAGAGATAATAGAGTCTCATGAGACGTAACGATATAGCTCAAGGCTTACCGGCGAACCGTCTTTGACTTGAAAAATATGTACTGTGAGCTTGCTGAGTCTAGATTCGCTTGGTGTAGCGCGCGTTTTGACGGCTCTCAGGATGAAAGTTGTAGTACTGTCGTTTTAAACGCAGCGCTTACGCGAAATATGCCGTTAGGTTTCTCATTCCTCTGGGTAATCAGCGGCAAAACAGAGCCTTGGAAAGACACACGCCATCGCTAACACGCACTAGTTGCAGATACTTCGATCTCAGCACACTTTGCAGACAAGATGTTCGATGCAATTCGAATCGCCAACGGAGGCGCTAAAGAGGTCTCGAGGCAGACGAGTTGGCCGGTAATTCAGGCGGCTAAGGACGCAATAGAAGAAAACGCGCCTCATGAATCGCGTGAGGCGTTCAGACTCATACTGCTTGCAACTTCGCTCAACAGCTGTAGTGTTGGCGACTTGGAAAAGGCAGAAGTTTCCACGTTCGAGATCGTGCCAAGTAAAAGTCGGGGAAGTTTGATCCGCGTCAAAGTGGGTGAAACGAACACAACAACACGCTACCTTTACTTTCCTCCCGGAGAAGACGAGCTAGACCTTTTGGTAGCACTCCACGAGTTCTTTTCCGCTGCTGATCCGACTAATTTTAGTCAGGGGAGTCAGCAGCAGTGTCAATTATTCGCAAAATCCACAGGCGACTCGTATTGCAAATTTATTCAAGCACAAGACCTCAGTGAAAAGTTGCGAATTCAAGGCTCTCATGAGACAAGAAGCAATGCAAATTTGCTATCAAAAATACCTTTCTCATCTCCCAAAATCTCCGAGAAGGTTTTGGCGGCCGCGACAGGTTTTGATGATCGCAACGTCCAGTCCAGCGATCTCAAGAGAAACTCTGAGGCTGACAGTATTCTTGTGAGACAGGAAAGTAGACATGGTCACGATAGGTATGGAAAATGGGCAGAAGTGGTGAATCGAGAGGTACTGAATTACTTGAATTCCTATCATTCTTTCAAAAACAAGGCTACGCGAGTGGCCTCCGCTGCGGGCTCAAATGATAGTAATGTTCCCACAAATGCAGAAACCGATTCTCTCAAAAATGCTACAAGCTCGGTGGGCAACTTCTATCAGGGGATTTCAAGGTCCGCCAACATGGTTGATCAGCCGCCCCAGACTGATGTAGTGTATCACGACGACATGAACGAGATCATAGTTGGAATCAAGCGCCTAGTGGTCAGCCACGATAGCTTGAATACACAGGTGCAGCAAATGGACACCAAAGTTGCCCGAACACAGATAGATCTTGACGGATTGGTGACTCGCAGCACTAACAACAACAAACATCTCCAAAGTCTGCTGCTCTCGACGCAGGACGTTCGAAAACTCCAAGAACTTCTGGAACAACTCAGTGAGCAGCAACAACATCAGCAGCAACAAAGTCAAAGCATAGAGTCGAAGGTATCATCCGATCAAACCTCTTCAGACGAGGTACAACGCCTGAGACAAGAGCTGGATCTCTATAAACAGCAGCATGGGAATCTCGTTAATATCACGGCTGAATTATCTCAGAAGCAACAGGAGCTGACTGTTGTGAACTCAAAACATGAGCAAATGATCTCAAAACTCCATGATTCGCGGAAGGAATTTGAAAAATTGCGAAGTGAGCACAAAGAGCTTGATGCTCAGATCGATCATGCACTTTTCTCAAAGTGCAAAGCTGTTGAGACAAACCTCGCTATTTCCGCTGCTAATTTTATGCCGCCCAACAACTCATCAGACATGCCAATGACGAAAATGAACCGCATTACCAACATGCTACGCAAGAATAACCCCAATGGCAGAAGAGTTATGTCACTGAATGTAGCCGGTAGTTCAACCAACTATACACCGTCCAACAACTCCGATGATAATAACGAAGAACCGTAAGCTCGTTGGTCCTCTCCACCAAAAATCTCCCTAAAAATCACACCATGTTCCAAATTCACATCGTACCTGCGCGAAACTCTTGACAACAATAGATCATAGCTGCTTTAGTTGTTGCGACCTTCAAGCAATACTTCAGACTTCTATTCTGCATAACTTCGCTAACCGCCTACCGGCTGTGCACTTAGCACGAAAGGTCATCGATTTTTATTATTCCCTATGTTATTAAGTCACTAAGAGCATAGTCCACCAAATTCCATTCAATTTTTGCTCCATACAACCCTAACGATGGACGATGTCAACACTCATCACCATTTGAGGCCCTATTATGATGCAGATACGTTTAACGCTGGCTATAGCTCAGTCTTCAAACCGGATCAAGGAGTTGTTGACAATCATGGGTTCAGCATAGCATCAAAGTTGAACATAATGTCACAAACCAAGTCCAAGTTCTCGAAGACACTAAGGGAACCGGGTATTCTATCTCAGTTGACCACGGGATTTAAAGCTCAGGTAAGAGATGCAGATACTACGGCAGAAGAAGCCCAGAAAACCCTCAACGACATGGAGTGGAACGATCTTTTGAATTGGAGGTCTTGGAGAAGCATAGGGACCAACCTGCTGGAACAATTCCTACGGCGCTATTCTAGGCACCTGTTCCAACAACCATTTGAAATCTCGAGGTTGCTATTACAAGTTGGCGAGTTTCAGTTAATCAAAGTTGACGATCAATCCAAGATCGCACTAGAGCTAAGTGATCGCGGAAGTGGGTACGAGGAGAGAGAGCAAGACGAGGATGATGACGAAGAGATCGAATACTTTCCCAGGGCTGACCCAGATACCTCCAGTCTATCCGACACACCACAATCGCCAAACAAGCACGCCGAGCGTGAACACACGGCACCTACCTTAACCAAAAAGATCCTACCAGATTCTTTGCACACCATGGATGTGCTCAATGCCGTTATGGAGGAAGAAGGCACACGCGGCCTTTGGAGAGCTAACAACACCACTTTTATCTACAACTTTTTATCAGTGACGCTGGACGCCTGGTTCACAGGTTTGATTAGTCCTTTTTTGCAAATACCAGACCCGTACTTCATCGATATTGTTCACTCTACAGACACACGCAAGTCCATTTTCCTCACTATTGGCGCTAGCGTCTTTACCGGATTAGTGCTGCTTCCAGTGGACCTTATTAGAACAAGGCTCACTATCACGTCCGTTAAAGTTGGGAATAGAAGTCTTCGCAATTTGCTAAGCAAATGGTCATGGAGAAAAAACGCAAGTGAGCTTCCCCTGGACATGGTACTACTGAATATTGGGCACTCTTTAACATCCACCGTTTTTACGAAACTCACTGGGGTTTTGTTGTATCATCAATTTAGGATCGACAAGTTCTCGCAGACGATGTGGTACAATACCTTAGAACTTTTGTCGGAGATGCTAGAACTGTTTGTGAAGTTACCTGTGGAAAACTTGTTAAGACGTTCCCAGACATCTTACTTATTAAGGAACAGACCTTCGGATCCGTTCCCAGTAGTGAGAGACAACCTAATTGTCACTCCCAGAAATTACAATGGAATTTACAGCACGCTCCAGGACACAAACCGGGTGCACGAATTGTGGCGTGGATGGAGACTGGGTCTCTTGAGCGTGCTTTGCGGCTATGGATTAAAAATGATGAACGTCGAAGCTATGGAGGAGGAAAAATTCTGAGTTGATACGAACCAATGAAGGCCGAGTGGGTCAAATTAAAATTAATGTCCTTTGTATATTTACAAGTATTTAAGGTTTCGGTGATGATGTGTTCTCTTTCTGGGTGACAGGCTGCTGGCTCTCCTGAATCAGATACTCACCAAGGTATTTGAGTGGATTTTCAGGTTGATGTTTAGCGACTAGCCGCATACCTCGAAGTAACGCCGGCGTTACACTTTTATTTAGGTATTTACGTGTCTGAGAACCACCAATCGTCTCTGGAATGTCAATACGGTCCGATTCCAGCGGTTGCGGGGTCTCTTGTTTGACAGTGTGCTCTGTATCCATTGGGTTTGTGAATTTCAAATGCTTTCAAATGTTTATTATTAGTTAAGTGGAATTTATTTTGATACTTTGCGTAGATTAGCACAATTACAGCTAAACAGAAAAGGGATGGCGGCTATGGAAGACCCGTTTGATCAGGTCTTGACGGACACTCGTGAACAGGCAAACAGATTAATTCAGTACCTTGATGCTGGTCATGATGTCGACGAAGAAATAAGAGACATTATGGCAGATTTGGAGGAAACGGTTCGAGAACTGGATTCTAGTATCACCGTCATGAAAAGAGACGGGTACGTAGAAGATGGACTAGTTATGGAGCGTGAGACACGGATGCAAGATTTGAAGAGAGACGTGGCCAGGCTGAAGGCCCAGACCCCACACACGCCAGCGTCAAATCAAGCAGATGATTCCGACTTTGAGGTGTCCTCCACGACCAGTAATTCGCAGAATAACAACCCCATGCAGCAGCAGATGCTACAGGAACAAGACCAGCATTTGGACACTATTCAGCAGAGCATGCAAAACCTACATCTACAGGCCTCTACCATGGGGCAGGAACTTGAGGATCAGGGCGCGATGCTTGGCGAAATGGACGGCGGAATCGATAACGTTATGGGAAAGCTGTCGCGTGGAAGGCGGCAGTTGGAATGGGTGTACGAAAAGAATAAAGAGAAATATAACGATTGCTGCATAGGGCTTTTGATTGCTGCGCTGATAGTGCTGTTAGTGCTTGCGTTTGTGCTGTGATGAGACAAGAGAGAGAAATCTACGAATGCTCGGGCGGAATAATGAGGCCCAACAACGAACACAGCTCTCCGCAAAAGCGCCAGCATTAGCCTTAAAGGATGTGGTTTCTCAACGTACTCAGATACTTATAAGCTTGAGGGTTTTACGCATGTGACATTATTTACCCGGCCAAATATATTACTACAAGAAAAGGTTGGTAGGGGCGACTACCGTTTTTAATGTTTCCTCTTTAGCCGCCCACAACGTCTCTCACGTATATAAAGCAGCACAAATAACCAGAGAGTCATGGAATCCACACGTCAACCACAGCTTCATTAATGCGGCACATCTGCAAATTACAAAGCGCTATCAAAGGTCAGTGAAACCCTTTTTTTACGCGAGAAATCGTGTCTGGAACAGGGGTGAAACGGCCAGAGAGACGCTTTCACTGGTGCAGTGACACGCGCACAGTGACACGCGCACAGCCTTACCAGGTCTGGTAACACGCAGGAATTCTACTGTGAGTGCTAACACGGCGTTTTTGAACACAGTTGATACGCCAACAGACCCCCCGACTCACACGTGAAATGAACGTGATACATATGGAATAACACATCACATGACTGCGTGCGAATCATTTTCCTCACTGCCAAACGGCCTGCTGGCTGCCTAAACCGAGGTCGGATGTCGTTGTAACGCAACTGCGACGCTGTTGCCCATCGCAGCTCAACTTTTTTCGTTCTCGTTCCCTTCGTTCCGTTCACATGATCGTCCTGCTTACGTCACGCTCATTCGTTCCTACCACACTGGCTTGTCTTGTTTGAAAGCGTCGGAAAGTGGTACCATTTTGAAGTGGAAAGCAGGAGAAACAACAAGCAGCAACAGTAAGAGAGCATTGACAGAAGAAAAAAGACTCTGAAAAGACCAGAGCGCAAGAGTGAAAAAAGGACAGTTCCCTAACTTAAGAGTGAAAGCGGACATTACAACCCTCGACAAAAGCCGGCGAGGTTGGACATTTAAGTGCAAAAGCACGATAAAATAAAACTGGAGACGCAAGTGACGATTTTTGAGTTTTTCGACAGCGGCGACTAGTTATTTTAGCAAGAAAGTACCAAGCACACAGTGTCTGATCCTGAGACAAGCGCTGTTTCTCTAAAAACTGCAAGTATAGAACCGTTTGAGCGCCGTTGAAAAGCGTGTTCAGAGTTCCACCCAGTGACGTTCGCGATAAGTTGCACCACCGTTGATACCTCTGCCAGCAAACTTGACCTTCCAGCAGGCAATTTTCTTCTAAGATCACCAGATAAAGAAAAATATGGACTCCCCCCAAGCAGTTGACCAGATCGAGGTCCTGTCCCGGCCTTCTGGAAAAGCCGAGGGCAAACACCACATCGTCATCGTAGGAGCTGGGATCATTGGCGTATGTACGGCATACTACTTGACTCGCCATCCTTCTTTCGATGCATCCAAGCATCACATCACCCTACTGGAGTCCAAACGGGTCGCTGGCGGCGCGTCCGGCAAAGCAGGCGGTCTTTTGGCAACCTGGGCTTTCCCACAGCAAATCGTGCCCCTCAGTTTCCAGTTACACCAGGAATTAAGTGATGAGTACGATGGTGAAAACCAGTGGGACTATCGCCGCCTCACAACGGTCTCCATAGAGGCTGACGTCCAAAACGTAGCGGAGTCCATAGACAAGGGAGATTCCGAATCGAACAAGAGCACAAATAGTAGATCGCATACCTTAGCCACTCGCAAAAAGAGCCGCGACCCTCACACAACCACACCTACTAAGAAAAAGCGGTGTGCTCAAACCAACAGAAGTGATCGCACGGGTAGCGATACAGATGATACCGATAGTGATGATGAGCGTGACGACGATGAGAGCGAACTTGCAGAGACTGCGGAACCAACAAGCAAGGAAGCAGACCTGGACGCAGGTGCAGATGCAGATGCAGATGCAGATGCAGACGCAGACGCCAACAATTCAGCATCTGATTCTGACGAAATACAAGAATCCTGCGGTATGAGTAGTAGCGGAACGCCAAATTCAACGGTGCTTCCTCCTGATCTCAACTGGATTAGAACTCAGCTAGTGCGTGATTGGTCGTCTTTGGGTGGTACCGATTCGACCGCTCAAGTGCACCCTTACAAATTTACGCATTTCATATTACACGAGGCCATGAAAACTGGTGCAGTCGATCTTATTTTAGGTAAGGTAAATGAGATCAAGTTTAATGATCTAGGATGTGCGTCAGGCGTTTCTTATTCACCAACCTCTGACGAACTTGAGGGAAGTTCCGAAACGATAGATATTTTAGAAGCTCGACAGGTTGTGTTGGCCATGGGACCATGGACATCAAAGCTTCTACCCGATTGCCCTATATCCGGCTTAAGAGCTCATTCGATCACCATCAAGCCCTCTACTGGCACAGTATCACCTTACGCAATATTCACAGAGCTGAAGATTGGCCGCAATAATTATTTCTCGCCCGAAATGTATGCTCGTAAGGATGAAGTCTACGTTTGTGGTGAAGGCGACACTTTAGTTGAACTTCCGGACACAAGTGATGCTGTTGAGGTGGTGCGTGAGAAATGTGACGAGCTTTATCACTATGTTTCTAAGCTATCTCCAAATCTGTCGAAGGGTCATATTCTAAAAAGGCAAGCATGCTACTTACCAGTACTTAATGTGCCAACGAGCTCGGGGCCTCTAATTGGAGAAACAAACCTCGAGGGCTTATATGTTGCATCAGGCCATTCTTGTTGGGGTATCAATAACGCTCCAGGCACTGGTAAAATTATGAGTGAGCTGCTCTTAGATGGTGTTGCTTCTAGTGCCGATATTTCTGCACTTGACCCCGGTTTGTATTTTGATGCAAGCGTTTTGGAATGAAGGATCGGACTTTTACGGCCCGAACATGCTGCGACAAATGCGATAAAAAAAAGTCTCTATACTCATTAAACGTAGCTACTCACCACAACAGCTTGATGATCACGAAATATTATGTACTCTTTTGCATTACCAATAAGCCTAATTTTGTAAGAAATGCAATGCGTCCGTTGTCTATCTTTTCCGCAGGCTGTTAAAAGCAGCACTTGCGCCCCTCGTAGCGTCGCCACTTTTCATACCCGAACTGGACAACGCGTGAAGTACCTCGTATCTACTTGAACTGACAAGCATTTTTGAAGGTGTATGCTTGCTTGTTTTGGGTTTTGCCTTTGCAGGATTAGTTGAGGAGCCGGTAGAAACTGTGCTTGATGAACTAGCAGGGCGCAACCTTGTTTTTTGAGCTCCCTCCGCATCAGTAACTATTTTTCTTGCAGTGAAGAAACTGTCGATCCAAGATTTATCTTTATTCAGTGGCCGGAAGTTCATTGGATAGCCATGCTCTAATAACGCCGCGGATAGAAACCATAGCTTTGATTTGTATTTCTCAAGTATTAGGAATCCTGAATTATTTGTTTCGTCAAACTCAAAATCATACATAGAAAGATCTGGATCCGAGACAGAAACCATGTTTCTAACTGGCTGGCGCGGGCCTTGGCTTGAAAGCTGTCCTTTAACGTCTAAGGCCATGATGCAATTTAAAGATCGCTCCAAAATAGCACTCTTATTACGAGCCACAAACTCCGTAATAATAGAATCATGCACATTAGAGTAGCTATTGAGAGAAATGGAACCTTCGGAAGCATTGAATGGTATCTCTAAAATGCTAACGATATCTCTTTTGATGAGAGGTGTACTGGCAATAGCAATCGAAGGAGCTGAGGATGATGATGATGATGATGGTGATGGTTGTGGAGATGATTGGACAATATCGGTAGACTTAGGTCGGGGCAGATGCGAAGAAGGAACCTGACTTTTGGGTGTAAATGCTAAATTTCCAGCAGAGGGAGGAGGTGACGGCAGAGAACCCAATCCTAGTTGTTTTCTCCATTCAACAATGGCGCTTGTACTTTTTGCGGCTGCTGGTTTTCTCCTGGTCACTCTAACGCCGCTCATAGGTGTTTCGATAGCAGGGGAAGCGCTTTGTGTTGGGGAGCGCCTGCGGAGGGTGAACTGTTCGTTCTTTGCTCTTTCAGGTAGCTCCCAGATTCCTTTCCATAGAGTAGCCCTGTCATTCCAATCAATGGAGGAAAACCATGAATTTTGCTTCAATTGCTTGGAACTCGGTCTCTGCATGGGGTCTAGTACCAAAATATTTCGTACTAAAGCTGTAATTTGGGGTGTCGTGGGTATCTTCCACTTATAGTCTAATGCCACGATCTGCTCGAATGTTTTTAACTCATTTTCACCTCGAAAGGGAGGAGCTCCTTGAGTCAATTGATACAAGATGCATCCTAGAGCCCATACATCAGAACCTAGGCCACATTGGCTGTACAGCAGAAGTTCTGGAGCGACATACTCTGCAGTTCCCACGAAAGATGCCGCGCGATCTTGTGCCGAATTTGAAAGCGCACAAGCAGCTCCAAAGTCTGTAATTACAATTCTGCCCTCTTGTGATAGCAATACATTTTCGGGCTTTAAGTCACGATGGATTACGCCTTGCGCATGCATGTAGTCCACCGTATCTACCAGCTGCGCAAACAAATGCTTGGACCAACTCTCTGGCAAAGGACCGTTTCTGCGAAGCAACGACAAGAGCTCTCCCCCGCTCACGTATTCTAGCACGAAATATAAATTTTCTGCATCATGGAAGGTGCAGAATAGTCTCACGATGCCAGGATGCCCACCTCGTGCCAGATTGTTCAGTAGATCCTTCTCGATGGTGACGTATTTGACCTTTTTCTCTCTAATGATGTGCTTTTTCCCACACACTTTGATTGCATAGTTTCTACCACCATTGGTACGCTCTACAGCCCGGAAAACTGTTGAGTACGAACCCTGACCCAATTGTTCAAGAAAAACATAATCCCCAGGCGTTCGTTTGCCACTCATTCCTTGGTTAAGCGGCTCTCTTTGGCTAAGAAGACCGATAACGTTACCTTAATGATCCTCTCGAGTGCTTAGCTCAATTTAGTTGCATGTCACTCGTGGTAAGCGATGTCAAAAACGAGAATCTTATAAAAGCTAGGGCAAGCGCAATGATGACCACACAGTGAAGGAATACAGAGATTGGATTCTACATATGACATGCGCTACTGATCTATCGGCGAAAATCCATCGCGCACTGTAGAACTAATTTTTCCATTTTCATTAACGTATGAGGCGAAGTTGTACGAAACAGGCTCAGGTTCCTGACCCATTGGTGAACGACCGCATCATCTGGTTGGTATTCGAACAAACTTCAGTGGAGCATCATGAATTGATAGTCCGCTTAGCAACTGCTAGTATGTTCCTTAAGTTGTAATGAAATAAATATCATATCACTTTATCCCAAACCGTCGCATGTAGATCTTTCGGAACTTGAAAACTCGTCCTGTCTTAAAATCGCGAGTTGCGAGCGAGGCCAATCACGACCTGGCAAGCGAGTATATGATTGTTTGACATTGATCCAAAAGTTGTGTTATGCAAGAATAAGAACTACAAGCAACCCCTTTTCCGATTTAAGCGTTTCTTGGCGCACGCACAAACAAGCTGGTCAAACAAGCATTCCAAGCGGCAAAGCTGCAAACTCGGACATAGTTTATATCAAGCAAACCATCAAAAATCCTCCAGCACCCGAGAACGAACGTGCTTCTATGATATTTAGTTCAGCAAAGAAACTTGAAAAATGCCCCTAGACTTGAATAACTCAAAAAATCACAACCACTTATTTACGTCGACGATTAATCTCAACGCAATTGAATTACTTCTTTCGGACGTTGGTTAAGTTCCGCCGTCCCTAGTATTATCCAAGACTTACTCGCTTACAACTCGAAAATAAAATTAAATTCGCTGTTTTTCCATCCTTACAAGCTGTGCAGCTTGCAACGTTGTTATTGGACTAGTACTGAGGCGAATCCCCTATTGCTGGGTTTATATGTTAAAGAGCGCCCTTCATTGCGTCATTTTTATTGACTTTCTTTATTGGCCTATTATTTTTCAATCTTAGCCCAATGGTATATAAATTGTTACTTAGTTTGCTCATGTAAAATTTCGGGCTAAAAGTTATACTGCTGTCGAAACTTAGGTTACCTGGTTTTAAAACTCTGAAACATTGCTTGTAACTCTCTTGTAAAACCACAGAAATATGTTTGCTAAAAGATTTGCTCAGAAAGCTCCCGGACTAGCCCATGTCATGGCTAAAAGAACAAAGGTGACTTTGCCTGACTTGGACTGGGATTTCGGCGCTTTGGAGCCACATATCGCTGCCAAAATCAACGAAGTGCACTACACCAAGCACCATCAAACCTACGTGAACGGTTTCAATGCTGCTTCGGAGCAGTTCGGGGACTTGAAATGCAAGTTGACTGGTGATCCCAAAGCAGATGTAGCTGTGGTGAAGCAACTGGTGGCTCTACAACAAAACATCAAGTTCCATGGTGGTGGCTACACAAACCATTGTTTGTTCTGGAAGAATTTGGCCCCTTCGTCGCAAGGAGGTGGTGAGGCTCCCACGGGGTCCTTGGCCAAGCAAATTGAGTCCCAGTTTGGTTCTCTCGACAACTTGATCTCCCAAACTAACACCAAGTTAGCCGGCATCCAAGGTTCTGGGTGGTGTTTCATTGTCAAGAACGCGGAGAATGGCGGTCAGTTGGAGGTGGTCCAGACTTACAACCAGGACACCGTCACCGGTCCTTTGAAGCCTATCGTGGCCATCGACGCATGGGAACACGCCTACTACTTGCAATATCAAAACCGCAAGGCTGACTACTTCAAAGCCATCTGGAATGTGATCAACTGGAAGGAGGCCGCTAAGAGATTCGACGCCTAAATGGCGAGAACAGACGCTCCGAGACTATTCTATTTAATATATTCACGCTTTATGGTATAAGAGCCGCTATGGCTGTGTTAGTATGATGATCCATTTGTGTGCTTCTTTTACGTTTTTGTTTTGTAGCTTAAGCAAGCAAGCACGCATATCAAAAATTTTATGCGATGAGCTAGCGAGCATAATTTTGATTTGAACCTTTAGTAAATCTAAAGCCATCATAACACCCAAAGTATGTCAAACTTGCATGATCTGCTCACGCTCGAGACTTCACCAATTGATGAATCCTACGTTGAGAAATTGACGGCACTTTTGAAGAGTGGAATCCCTGCGACTTATACGATTGAGCAAGTAGCTGCCCATGAGGCTGGTAAAGATGACGTCGAAGATACGGGATCTAACACAACGCCATTGCACGTTTTGATAAGATCTTTACCAGACGAACTAAGCCGTGAGGAAAACTTAGTGGTCTTGAAGTTGATGGATGTTTTGTTCGAATATGGCGCTGGCTGGAACTTCTTAGACTACGAGAATAAGAGTCCAGGTGATCTACTATTTGAGCGTGGTATGAAAAACGGAAATGCGTTGTACGAACGAGTTGTCGACGCTGGTGTGTCTGCTGAATTGCTGCTGCGGAAATTGAATGATGACATTGAGTTTCTTGACGAGGAAGATCTTGAAGATCCTGAAGACACTGAAGAGACAGAAGAGCCAAGTGAAGACCCAGAAGCGTCTACTGAGAGTCTCGAAAGTGCAGGCGATACGGCCGAACACCAGGATACCTATCTGAAAGCGGACTTGGAGTACACGGCGAACGCGCTCATAACTAAAGATAACAAAGATGGCGTAATGATGGACTGGGAATCGGATATCATGCGTCTGGCTCGCGATTCAATGTTTAAAAACGCAACCTCGGATTCCGTCGTGCTGAACATAGGGTTTGGGATGGGTATTATCGACAGATTTATTCAAGAACGCCAACCTGCCCAGCATTACATTTGCGAAGCGCATCCAGACGTCTTAAAACACATGCGTGATGAGGGGTGGTTTGAAAAGCCCAATGTTGTCGTTCTTGAAGGGCGCTGGCAGGACACCTTATCGACGCTATTAGACGATGGGTCAGTGTTTTTTGATGCCATCTACTATGACACTTTCAGCGAACATTACAGCGACATGTTGGATTTATACGACACAATTGTCGGTTTGATCAAGCCAGAGGGTCTATTTTCCTTCTTTAACGGTTTGGGCGCCGATAGACAGGTTTGCTACGACGTGTACAAGAAGGTTGTTGAAATGGACGTAGCAAACTATGGCATGAAATGCAACTTTACGACAATTCCACTACCTAGAGACCCCAATTGGGAAGACGTGCGGAGGTCTTATTTCGCGTGCGATAGATACTATCATCCTGAGATTCGTTTTGCTTAGGTGTCGGTAGGAAACGCCGCAGCAAGTGACAACATACAATAAGATTGGTGCCTAATTGCCCACAAACTTCGCCTGTTTTCAAGGCAAAACACCATGCGCACTACCATTGGCGCTTCGATCGCATAAAAATTTGGTGACAGTTGAAAAACGCATGGCGCAAGCAAGAGAGAATTCCTGCTACCGAAAGATTGTTTGAAAAGTTTCTTGAAACCTCGATGCTAGTCGCAGTGTTGAACGGTCCCATTTTGTGTTGTTATTCTTACAGAAATCACCCAGCAACGATATCTTCAATGTAACGAAAATAGCAGCAACAATTGTGGTCGATTCGTGGTCAAAATAGTCCGCAACAGGCTCTATTTTCCCCCAATCCTAATTTTTAGGCTTGATTCTCTACTGACGACCCCACTACCTATTGTTACCATGCGCTTCGCCTTCAACCGTTTAGAGTTTCAAAAATACTCTCTAGATTCTTAATTTTGGTACGCGAAGACCAGGATTACGCGGAAAAAAGCCCCGCGAACGCTCGTTCCTACAATCATCAGTCCAGCATTGTTCTTACACGCATTAAGCGCCGTTTAGCTTCGTCCAAGTCGGCTTATATCGGGTTTGGCATTTAGTCGTCGTTTAAGCATCGTTTAGCATGCTCGAGCGTTTACATATAAAAGATGGGCAAATTTAGAGATTTATAGATGTACAACAAACAAACTTCTCCATAAATTGAAAGGTGACTAAAAGACAACAAGGAAGCCGTGTAGACTCTCAAAATGACGTCTGAAAGCTCCTCGATGGTGGGTACGCTCGTTTCCAAGAGCATTATGGTCGGAACCATGGCTATGGACTGGTTTTTGCAGCTTTCTTTGGCGCAACAAGCATCCATCGTGATAATCGCTCCTTTCATATACGTGGCGGTATGGCAGTTGTACTTTGCGATGCGCAAAGACCGGGTGCCAATGGTGTTCTACTGGGTTCCGTGGGTCGGTAGTGCGGTCGCTTACGGGATGAGACCTTATGAGTTTTTCGCCGAGTGTCAACAAAAGTACGGCGACGTGTTTTCTTTCATGCTGCTGGGCCGCGTCATGACCGTGTATTTGGGACCCAAGGGTCATGAGTTTGTGCTGAACGCTAAGCTTGCCGACGTTTCCGCTGAAGCCGCTTACACGCATTTGACAACACCTGTCTTCGGCAAAGGTGTCATCTACGACTGTCCTAACAATAAGCTAATGGAACAAAAAAAGTTTGTCAAGGGCGCTCTGAGCAAGGAATCGTTCCGCTCATACGTGCCTCAGATCGCGGACGAAATCTTCCAATATTTTCGCAACTCTAAAAACTTTGACATGAATTCCAAGAGTGATGGTAGCATCAATGTCATGGAGACTCAGCCCGAATTGACCATTTTCACCGCATCCCGCTCTTTGCTAGGAAAAGAAATGCGCGAGATGTTGAACTCTGACTTCGCGTACCTATACTCAGACCTGGATAAGGGTTTCCAACCCATCAACTTCGTATTCTCCCACTTGCCATTGGAACACTACCGCAAACGTGATCATGCACAAAGAACCATCAGCAGTACTTACATGAAATTAATCAAACAAAGAAGAGCTGACAAGGACATCCAGGATAGAGATTTGATTGATTCCCTGTTGAAAAACTCTACTTACAAAGATGGTACCTCAATGACCGACCAAGAAATCGCAAATTTGTTGATTGGTGTTCTCATGGGTGGACAACATACTTCTGCTGCCACATCGGCTTGGTTGTTACTACACTTGGCTGAAAAACCAGACCTTCAAGATGAATTATACCAGGAACAAATGGAAATTTTGAACAATGGTAAAGAAGAATTGACTTATGACCTATTACAGAAAATGCCATTGTTGAACCAAACTATTAAGGAGACTTTGAGATTGCATCACCCATTGCATTCCCTATTCCGCAAAGTCTCAAGAGATTTAGCTGTCCCAAACACTCCCTATGTGATTCCAAAGGGTCACTACGTTCTCGTATCACCAGGTTACTGTCATTTGCAAGACGAGTTTTTCCCCAAGGCCAGTGTGTTTGATCCTCATAGGTGGGATAACGATTACCAATCATCTTACGCTACTGGTGAAGAAGTGGACTACGGGTTCGGAGCTATCTCGAAGGGTGTCTCTTCTCCATATTTACCATTTGGTGGTGGTAGACACAGATGCATTGGCGAACACTTTGCGTATTGCCAATTGGGTGTTATCCTTTCGGTTTACGTCAGAACCATGAAGTGGAAGTTTACCCCAAAGATGAATGGAGTTCCCAACCCAGATTTTCAAAGTATGGTTACTCTCCCACAAACACCTGCGGAAGTTCAATGGGAAAAGAGAAACCCAGAACAGAAAGTATGAGTTGAGCCAGGTCTACTTTTGTCTTCGAAATCAGAAGTATGCTCCTTTAATTGATACATTTTTATATTTCCCGTTTTGTACTTAATGTATTTATGCAATGATCTAAATTATTATTATTATTATTATTATTATTATTATTATTATTATTATTATTATTATTATTATTATTATTATTATTATTATTATTATTATTATTATTACACTGTTATTATTATTACACTGTTATTATTATCATCCCGGTCGTGGCTATGCCTTCTTCATGCTGAAAACCTAGTGGCTCAAGGTTCTTCATTGTTCTCTGAGTTTAGATAAGTAGGTCTCTTCAGTAAATTTTCTTTCAATACTTTATGAGTCTTGGCACGCTTGCTGTCTTTTGCTTCAGAATCTTGTTTTTCATCTCTTGTGCGCTTCCCAATCTGAGCGAAGATTGGGTCAATTAATTCACTTGAGGCTTCCATCAAATCGTGGCCCGTACTCCTCAGAGCACTTGAAGGCTGCGCATCATCAGCTGCGGAGGCAGTGGTATCTATTTTCACTGGCTTCTGTGGAGGTGCTCCTGCCTTCTTTTTTGAGGGTTTTTTGCTGGGTCTGAGCATGTTCGCCTCATCGTTAATTTCTTTCTCAATCGCACGAGATACGTTTTCTTTATCGAAAAGGCAGGCAATCATGTTCAAGATCTCTAAATCTGAGATGCTAGTAATCAATTCCTGTATTGGTTCCTGAGAGCCCTTTTCCGGTTCAGCCTCTATCTTTACGGAGCGCTTTGCATATTCCTGGGTAAACCAGTCAGATTTAGCTGCAGATTCACAGTCGCCAAACAGAGCGTTTGCCCTTTTTCTCAGGCGTGCCCGCAAATCGTGGTCTTTATTTTTACTTGCGTTCGCCTCACGCCATTTTCTCTTGCGCTCATTTGTCATGCTCTTTTTCAATTTGGTTAATTCTTCAGCATTCAGGTAACTCTTAGCTCTTCTTAGAATAGGAATAACTGGTAGAGATTCCCCTTTGATGTTTTTCGTTGGGATGCTGAATTCAAACTTGGCTTCAAACCCAGGCGCAGGCTTCGCGGAGCCTGCCTTGCTTCCTGAAGTTCTGGCGCGAGTTTCTGTCTTTCCAATAGACAATATTGGAGACTCTGAGCTTTTGGGAGTTAAGTTCGTGCCAGCACGATGTTCCTTTTTAACTGCCTGCGCTTCAGACTTCGGAATCAAAGGTTCGATTTTTGAAACAGGTCTGGGAGGCACTAGACCTTCGAGGTTCAAGACTGGTGTTGATCTCTTTGTGTACTTTTTGCGTGGATTTTCCTGAGGTTTCATTATGTCATTTATTGCTCTAGTCAATTCAGCTCTTACTTCAGGAGGAAGTTCATCTGTAGCGAAGTGCAACTCTTTTGACAGATTTGAATTCGAAACTTCTTTCGGGGGGATCCTAATTGCTTCTTCCAGTTTGATGTTTGTGGCAACTTTGAGTTTTTTTAATGGCGGTTGGGCGTGTTGATCCGAGATTTCTTCCACTGGCAATTCTTTTATGGTGATATTCGCATCAACTTGATCGTCTCCGCCCTCTGAATTATTAAGCTGTGTGTCGTTTCTATTACTTTGCTTGCCATCTTCCGTTTGAATGTCTTTGTCGCGCTGAAAGTGGTCAACTGTTGATACCTGCGTTGTGGCAGCGACTTTCGTGCTTATACCTTCTTTCCTTTCCCTTTCAGGACTATCTGATGCGTGAGTATCATCCGAAGTCAGCCGCTTTGGTAAAGCTATCAGTGATCTAGACATGTTGGGGCCTTCTTGATCTTGGCTTGCAATGACTTTGGAGGATGATGTCGTCAACTTATCTTTATCTCCTTGCTTTCTCTGCTCCTCGTCATCTCGACGCTGGTTTGTAGCCAAATTGGCTGAATTTTCCTCCTGGTCCTCAATCGCTTTGATGGTGCTTAAGCTGAAAATAGGCTGCCTCCGCATCGTCTGCTGCACCTTGCTCGGTTGAGAACGTTTTATATCATCAATAGTTTTTATTATCCCATAATTTCTTCCACTTTGGCTTCTTCCCTTGGCTAGTGTTTGAGCTATTGTCTGTCTTGCGTTGCGGAGCATTACACCCAGTTGCTTGCTCGCTTCCTGAGGAGTGGCTCCTGCAGCTGCCTTAGCCCTCGCTGCCGCTTTTAAAGTGTTTATAATCGGGAATAGAGACGCTGGTATTATCTTGTTCCCAGAGACAAAAGTGGCTGCGGAACTACTCAAGCCATTGCCTCGATCTAGTTGTGGTTTTTTGACGCGTTCTGCCCTCGTTCTATTCCTTTTTCTCCTACGCGCAATGGGCAAAGCGATTGGTGGACGGTCCGGAATCATCCATGGAGGATGAAAAATTGTCTTTTCGCGGTGCACGACTGTCTTCTGGCTTGGATCAAATTCGTCTGTCTTACCATGCTTGCGCCTTTTCTGTTTTACTGAAAGAATATCAGCTGCAATTTGCTCTACAGTGCGTTCTGATTTTATCATCCGCCGATGGTGATGATGATATTCTACTCCTTCTTCTTTCAGTTTTGGAATCACCGTTAAAGGAATTTGGGCTATCGTTCCGTCGATATCGTTCAACCTACTTCTTAGCTTCGTGGAGCCTTCATCTCTAGCAAAATTGAATAACGGAATTTGTTTCAAGGCAGAAAGCGCCGTCAGCTCTTTGTGTGGCATTTCCTGAACTTCCTCTTTAATCCTACTGTTAGTATGCCCTGTGGGCATTAGCTCACGCCTCTTCATTTCATCTGCCGTATACCGGCGATAGGGTTTTTTTGGGGTCCCTTTTTTAGTCATACGTAAATCTGGAGGGTATGGGGGACCTTTCGCAACTATAATTTCCAGCTCCTTTCTCTCCTCTTCTTCTTTCAACTTGCCGATTTCTTTCTTCAAATGTCTCTCTTGGCGCCTTGCGTGACGCTCCTCCTTAACCTTGCTTCTTTGTGCTTTGTTTCTATCCATTCTTTGCCGTCTAGCCTTTGCTGCTGCAGCTACTGCAGCGAGTTTGTACCTTTTCTTCCAATACTTATTAGAAACAGGAGTGGGAGTTGGAGTTTTTCTGGGTCGGCCAGGTTTCCTAAGGCCATGCAGATCGAGAACCTTCGGCAGTTCCTCGATAAGCTCCGGTATGGAGCCAGCACTAGCATGCAAAGCGGCACTCAGTTCCTGACTCGAGATTCCTTTCTTTTTCTTGCTTTTTGTCTTCTTCAGTGACTTAGCTTTGGTCTCTGGAGCTTTAGTCTTGATGATTTTGGGCTTCAAAGATTTAGTTTTGGTTTCCTTAGATTTTACAGTCTTGACTTTTGGATATTTAATGACTGGCACCGCTGAGGGAACCTTCTCTAACGAAGTCTTGCCATTCAGAGCTTTGGCTTTGGAACTCTTTGACTTCTTTTCCCCAGTCGATTTCCTCTTGGATGACTTTTTTTTGGCTTTTGTCGGTCCAACTGTCCCTTCTATTAGCTGTGACACGTTGTAGCCTTGCAGTTGTTGATTGAAATCATCGAGAGCAGACTGGCTAATTTGATGACCAATTTGGCCCTGAAAGGCCATCGCCATAGCGTTTTGCATAATTTGATTTAAGTCAAAGCTGTCGTTAGTTTCAGCAACACCCTCAGCAGAAGAGCTCTGCTTGGCATCAGGAAAAGACAGGAGCGGGTCAACATCCGCGGCCCCTGGCATGGGATCGGTGGACTTCTCAGGAAATTGAAAATCAGAATAGTGTTCATTGGTTTGAGCCGATCTTGGAAAATCAGGAATTTGAAAACTTTGTAGCTCTTGTGGTAGCTGACTCGATCCGGTGCTCTTGGTACTGGGCAGCTCCTTTGAAGGATCGAAAGCTTCGGATCCAAATGTAGTGGACTTCTGTAACCTAGAGGGTGTGATTGGTCTATCCGTGTCAATGTTCTCAATCGGAACGTCAGAAGCTGAGGCCGGAATACTGTCAAGTTGCGAAGCAGGCGCGTTTGTCAATTCCTGGGTTATGGGAACGATACGACTGTCGAGGTCAGGATATGCTGGAACAGAAGGTTGAAGGTCTGAGAGTGATGTATTAACAACCTGATTAACCATCTCTGCCAAAGCCTTCGAAAAATCGTCCTCGTTATAATCACCTTTTGATCGGTTACTCTTCTTGAGGCTTTTCTTCTTCTTGGAATGATCACTCGATTTAGTCTTCTTAGTCTTTGCTACTGGTAGGGACTGTGAAATAGGAATTATGTTTTCAGATGGCTTGGCCATTGTAGGGGCAGCCTTACTTCTTGTTGAAGTGCTTTTATGGGTACTCTTGTGCTTTGTGCTAGGTGCAGCTTTTGAACTCGACAAGAGCTCATTTTCGAATGCACGTAGAGTGGCTTCAACAAGTGCCTGAGTTTCTGCATCATTCGCATCATTACCGTTCGAACCATTTTGATCTCCGCTCGTTCTACGAGGTGGTGAGCGGTCATCATGAGAACTTTGTTCCATGAATCCCTTAATCACGTCTTCAAAATTCAAAAGGTCCGCATCATTATTAGCTTCGCTAGCGTTTGCAACAGTGGAGGGCTTCGGCAGGTCTTTTGTTTTCTTTGAGGAGTCTTTTTTCTTCTTGCTGGATTTCTTCTTGTTAGACGACGATTTATCGCTCTTTTTAGCATCTTTCTTCTTGCTCTTTTTATCTTTATTTTTCCTGTCTTTACTCTTATGATGTGCTTTTGAAGGGACTGAAGGTTTCTTCGTCGGCAGCGGTTGAGTTTCGCCAACATTTAGATTCTGTAATGACTCTAAGATAGCTCTTCGCAGTGCCTCATCTTCGTGATCTAGATTTTCTACTCCGCCCATGATGAGTGAGTCATCTATCTGTTCGTGTGGGTTCAGCTGGCTTTCTTGCAGAAGCCCCTGCTGAAGTATTTGTGCCCATTCTTCCTCTTTACTGCTTGGACGGTCCAGATTTTCGGCCAAAGCCTGCGACCCTGCACTGGCATACTGATTTTTCGTGGAACCGACCGTTTCTCCTTCTGTGCTGTTGTCCTCCATTCCACCAATAGCTTGGGCCACAACAGCTGCTAAGTCCTCGTCGCCAAGTTCAGCATCATCGTTTTGATTTTGGTCCGGGAATTCTGGAATCTCATCCAAATTTCTCAACTGGCTATCGCCAAGTTGTGACGGTAGTTCTTCTTCATTGTGTGCTGATAAAATATTTCCAACAAGTTCGTTCAAGTTCAGCTCTTCCTGATCTTCTGACATTACTGGATCATTAAACTAGCACAGCTCTATTTGATTTTTGCACTTTGCTCGCAGGTTTACAGCAATTTGAGTCTGTTCGATAACAGATATGCGCTTCCAGTGGTTTTCGTATATATGTTGTTTACTTGATTACCAGTTGCGCAGCTCATCTCAAGTTTAAATTCTGATAACGAAATTGAATAATAATCACGTGGTAGCTTAAGCTCAGAAAAGTATGATCAAGTGTCTTGAAGTCGCTCAAAGCAAATGATTCAGCTTAAGCAGCAGGCTGTTGAGGTAATAGCGCGCTCCTTGGTTGAAATAAAATTAACCTTTGTTACTCCCTGTAATTAAAATAGTAAAACCGATATATAGAAAATGAGCCGTTTGAGATAGAAGTATAATAAGTCCTTGAAGTCCGGGACAATGCATGATAGTTTTTGTTGCTCACCGCAGAAATGAGAGTATCATAGGTGAGAGTTGAACGTGTTGTTGTAAAAGTTCAGATACTGCTGATTCTCCCGCAGATTCCTTTCATTGAGAGCATAAGCTTCCATTTGCTTCTCTAAAATGTCCGCGAACGGCACCCCCCCTTTGACAGTTTTGCTGTCATAGCTGTCGCTTTGTTTTGTGGCAGTTGGATTCGGAAGCACATTGCACATAGGAGATTGATCAAGGTCAAGTGGAAAATGGAAATAAATGTCTTGAGCGTCAACAGGCTCTGAGGAATAGAGCATGGTATTGTTGTTGCTCATAGTAGATATCTTGGCCTGATTTTCTTGGTAAGAAATACGCGAAGATGCTGATGATGATGAGTTCACCGCCTCGAGTCCTGCATCCTCGGTAGGCGAAGGGTCCACTGAAAAGCAGGCCTCGTCTAGAGACGTCTCTTTCGAAGGTGTGACGTAACTAAACGCATATTGAGGCAAAGAGTATTGCTTCTGTACTTGTTGTCCTTCAAGAGGACTTGAACCGTAAAATTTTCGAGGGGCTTCTTGGCCTTCGTTTCCTCTCCGACTAAATGCTACTTCGTTTTTTGAGATTTCGGCGTTTAGAGCTACTTGGCTGCCCCCAGCCGTTACAAGGCCAGATTTCGATGCTTCCGATTGAAATCGTTTCAAGTCGTGGGCTATCGAAACGGTGGTCTCGAGATCTTCTTCGATTTTCAAAGCATTTGCCTGTATGGCACTTTGGTCGGTGGAAATGAATCGTGAGTGTCCATTAGAGGTTGTTATCATCTTCAATTTGCCTGTTCTGCGCCCAGTCTTCACTGCGACTTTGAAACCATCGGGGAGGCCCTTACATTCACCAGTCTCCACATGTTTCTTTATCCATTCGTTGCTGCTCTCGAAGTGAGCATCACAATGGGCACATTTACCGGAGCTTTTCGCTTTGTATTTACTTTTCACACCTTTAGGATAGACAAAATGTCTTGACCTCAAGTGAGTCTTGTACGTGTCGCGTCTAGAGAATCCACCATTTCTGTGACAACGCTCTTCTTTGATTAAATTACAGTTGTAATAAGGGCAATGAAAAGCTTTCTCCACAGCATGCTTTTTAATGTGCCGCGTCAAGTATCCTCTGATGCTGAATTCAGCACTGCAGTAGTGACAGACATATTTTTTGGCCTCCTGGTCAATAGGTTCCTTGTCTTCGTCCTCCGTTTTGGCACTGCTTTCTGGAGAAATAGGCTGCAGACCTGTCTTGGCCCCACGGACTCCCGTTGAGGAGTCTGTCAGCTGCCATTCAAAATGTCCACTGGGAGTCTTGAGCATCGACAAGGGGTTTTGAAGTGTCGAGAAATCTAAGGAGCATGGAACAGCGGAAGATCCCACACCGAGCGACCCATCAACATTGCCTAACTTTGGGAAAAGCGATTTGGAGCCCTGTGGATCATTGCGAATCTCTTCCGAGCTTCTCTCATCCTCAGCTTCTGTGCTTTCTTCATCGTCATTGGTAACCACGAAATCAATCAAATTTTTTATTATCCACTCAACCTTGCCCGCTAGGCTTTTTACAAACCTCGTTTGCGCCGTGTAGAGGAGTGCAACAAATGGCATCTTGGCTCTCACAGCTCTCTTTAGCGTTGATCTCTGTTTTATTGATCTAACACTTTTGTGGAGAGATCTAAATTCTGGTTTCTCCTAAATTTGAGCAAGAAAATTTTTATGAGTAACAGAATACGACAACTGATTAAAATATCGAACTTATATGCTCTACGCCAGGGTATCGTGATACTTGACTCCCAGGTCGCAAGAAGTGCCACCTCACGACAGATTTCTTGGATGTAATGTAAAGCAAGTTTGTGAGCGTCGCTTCCAGTAGACAATGGATTTGTGCAGGGTGGGAAAAAGAATCACTCTGCTCTAACGAATCGGAATCGTATCTTGATCTGTTTCTTTATATAAAAGGCTTACATGGAGTTATCATACGTCTTCAACGAGTTAGTACAAGTACGGGTATCTTATCTGTCCCTTCGGAAACAGACGTCGTAAGTCGTTCGGTAATTATTTGTATTATTTTCTCATTTGTGCCTAGGCATTTATCAGAAGAAGGAATTAAATTGTTTGAGGATCCTTTCTCACAATCCGAATCTGTTTCTTTCTTGGTATTGATATATTAGTCGGGGAATAAATTCATTCTCCAGAGGGCTTGCCTCGTTTTGAATATTAAAATTGGAGTAATGACGAGTTTTAGCGGATCGCAGTAGCATATTCAGGACTGTCTGACAAATTCATTACTACTGAGGAGCATAAACTGACGTCTCGCAGTTGGTCTTCATTTGATTCAAAATGCGCGGTCAAGTAAAATCATACAACTCAACCAGAAGTTAAATTTCTGGGTTTTCGCACTAGCTTTTCCATAAGCGATTGAACTGATCGCTTCTTGCTATGAGCTGTGCATTACAAGAATCCAGTCCGCACTGTTGGTCAGTTGCAGAAATATAGGAGTGGATTAAATGTGGTCTAGTATTATGTGCTCGTGGTAGATGCCCTTTGTTTATTAGTTTCAAGTTCAAATTCTTGGATGAACTCGTCTGATTCTTGATCGTTAAGTGGCATTGCAGTCTCTCTTCTTTCGTTGTAGCGATAAACGTTATAATAGCTTACATCCAGTAAAATGATGAACATCCCGAGCCAATTATTCAAGCCTGTAAGTTTCTCCCGTAAAATAAGCATGCTGGCCGCAATTGTTAGTAGCTCCTTTACCACACCTGCAACCGACAATGTCAGTACATGTGCGCGTTGTAGTATTCCAAATTCGCAAATGGTCATCAGGAAGACTAAAACGCCCGGAACTCCGATCAGAACGACTCCTCTTAAAACTGATCCGATGGATACGCTGTCATTTATCTGAAACAAATGTGAATGGAAAATGCCTGGAAAAGGTCTCTCAACAATGAGCGACGTGATTAATAGTGTGAAACCCATCACAGGAGCTAATTGATAGATCGTATCTATCGGAGTCTTTTTGTCCGGTTCGCGCGGCGAATTTGTTTCTCCCCTCTGCAAAATCAATTGTGTGTAAACCCAGCGCAGACCGGACAAAGCACTACTTCCGAGAACTAAAAGTACCCCTAGCACTTCATGGTTGCCGTCGGGTTTTTGCGCTGCCATGTCTGGTTTGTAGATCATCATCAACACGCCGAGGAACATCACCAATACAATCACCATTAGGCGCCAGTGGAATTTTTCGGTCTTGAATATACATCCAAACAGCAATACGAAGGCGATGCTAGATGACTTCACGATAGTATAGATTGCAAGAGCAATAAATTTGAACGAGACATTCCCAAGGCCGATATCACCAGCTGATGCGAGTGCAGTGGGGATAATGAACTTCAAATAGAATTTCCATGTTTGGTGGTTGATGCTCTGATCTACTGGTCTGTTGGACTTTTTCATCCTCAAGTAGGTCCATGCAATAGCCCACAACAGGCATTGATGTAGTGAGGTGACCAAAATAGGGTACGGTACGCTCAGTCCAAGTTTTGGGTCGAACATCCATTTGTTATAAAGAGACAACGATATGGAACAGATATACCAGCCGCCAATGTATGAAAGGATCGATTGATTCATGATCGCAGCGTGCTAGTCTGTATGCCGTTGTGTCCGGATGCTAGGACTGAGATGATGAGATACACATTCCCGAGACTTACAGCTTTAATCAATATTATAAACTGCCGCATTAATATTCTGCACGTGACAACTCGAGAATCGATGCTCATCACAAGAATAGCGCGGTGAGCCTCCTTTTCACTTCCTTTTCGCTTCCTTTTCGCTTCTTTTCGGCTTTCAATGCTGCACAGTTATGTTTTAGAGTTCTATATAACTGTTGTGAAATCTAGATTGCTAGTTTCCCCACGTCTTATGTACAGGTTGGGAGGTCAGCGATAGGGCTTTCAGAAAACCCTCACGACCTGCTTGCAGTTGAGCACAACACTGTCGAAACGAGCTTTATCAGTTGCGCTTCAAAGTGATTATCAAAGTTTCACCGCCCTGGCCTACTCTGACTTTGGCTTATAGTTGTGGTACCATATTTGATTTGGAGGGTACTCCGTAGGTACCTTAAGTTCCAAGGGAAACCGCTTGCCCGCCTCGGAGGCGTTCGCAGCTTCGAAAAGCGTGGGATCGAGTTGAGCGAGTAGTTCCATCGCCTTTTCCGTGCTCTTGTACTGCAGCCTCAGCTGCTCGCTACGCTTTTCGCGCAGCTCTTTCTGGTGCACCGCCCAGCAGTTTTGGATCGTTTGGTGCTTGATGAAGTCCTCCCGCGAAAGCTTCAGCATTTTGGGTTGTTTTCTGCTAGCAGACATCACGCTCAGTTGCGTAACTACTCTTTGCACTGCAGGCGTCAAATTGCCTTTAGTCTTGGTCCTTTTGCCACGAGCAAATTGGAGAACCGGCTGTCTCGCTGGTTTAAGAGCTGCCTGTCTGAATGAAATCATCGAAAGTAGTTTTGAAAGGACAGCTGCAACAGTTTCAATCGTGGATCCTACGAGTATTCTTAAACAAAATAATCGTACAATTTTTCTAGTATATCCATTTCGTTACAAAATATCACTTTTGACGTGGTGGTGTAGTATTGTCCATAAGTGGGCTTTACGTAGCTTGCGCCAAGCTTGTATCATAAGTTATCCAAAGCCAAGCGTGCTCTGCTGCTTTTGCTTTGTGACTATTGGTTATACTGTGCTTCTGCCCATTAATTTTGCAGAAGTATTCAGCCTCTGCACATCTCCCCTTATCGAATTATAATACCAGTCGAGAATTGGCATATAGATATGATTTCAGACTTTCAGATTGGGCTGGCATATTCCCAGTGTCTCTAGCACGATTAACTGTGGCCAGCTGCTATATACTTTGGCGATTCCTTAGGAACCTTCAATTTTTAGTATTTGGGCATTTATTAATTAAGTTTTGATTAATGTGGGGTCTTGATCATTTCGCAAATTCCTTAACAAGCTCCAATACCAATCTCTATAATGGACTACAGAAAAGCTGAACCACCCAGTGAGCCTCCCTCTTATGAAGAAGCTTTGAAGCAAGGCCAAAAAGAGGCAGACGGCTCCAATAACAACGTAAATAGCACTAGGACAGGCCCTAACGATGGCGATAAGCCGAGTAAATATAATTTGAAGCTGCACAAAGCACGCGGTCACATTTCGTTCCCAGGTAACAAACCTCTGACTTTTGGGAGACGCTTGTGAGTTGCTTCATAGTTACGGTTATTACAATTATTTTATATGGCTAAAGGGATATCATGAGATGTTAATTCTTCCTTTTGGGCTGAAGTGGTGTAAATGAATTCATCACAGCACCCATGGTTTCTTTGTTGTTGCTATTATTTGAAGTCACTTCTTGTTGTTGCACGCAAGTATCGGATACCGGCTGCGGCGACACGGCGGACTCGAATTCACCAAAAATTGAATCTTCGTCCTCGCTCGGTTCATCGTTATTTTGAAGTATCCCTTCCTGTGTGCTGCTCGACTGTCCCGTCAGGAGGCTTGGGGAGTTGTCCAGGTCTTGTGCTTCTGGTTTAGGTGCGTTTAGGTCTTCGACGTCCTGCGCTATAATGTGGCTATCAGATGCGAGCTGCGCTGAGACAGTTGTTCTTTTATCTTTAGATTGGTGCACTGGAGCTTTCTCGGTATGGGAGGACCCCTTCCAAAACCATAGGATGCTCGATCGCTTTTTTTGCTGTTTCGGTTTCTTCTTGCGCTCCCTTGGCAATGCCCGAGCTTCGAATTTTTGTAAGGGATCAACTTTGAATGTGCTAGGGGCGATCGGCGTGCTGTTAAGAAACGATATCTTCTCTAGTTCGCGCTGCCTTTCCTGGTCTCGCCGCTGGGCCAAAAGCTCGTTTATTCCTGCGTAAGCTTTTTTGCGAAGTGTTTGGTTCAGTGAGTGATGATATAAGCCACGACTTGAAACTCTTTTCCCATCTGTTGAACTGGGCTTCTTTTTGTCTTTGTTTGCAGAGCTCCACGAAAAAATAGCAGACGAATACTCTCCCTGGGACACAGCGCGGGAAGCTCCAGTATCGCCCGAAAACTCCTCTTCCTCTACAATCCAGCTATCTACCTTCTCCACCAATTGTTTATGTATAGCACTTTTTTCGTAGTGCTGAAATACGTCTCCCCTGCCGCGAGGCCCTGAAAAGAGCTCATTCAACAGCTTTCTACCATGTGGAGCTATATCTAGCAAATCGTATAAGGTTTTATCGTTGCCTTCACGGTCTATATGTTCGTTTTCGCCTCGCGGAAGTGCTTTGTTCATCAGTTCTTTGAGTTCATCAGGTACTTCAGGCTTGGTACCAAAATTCTTGGAATGCTTATGTTCCTCAATTGGGTCATCCAATTTCTTCTTGCTCAGTTCCTCGGCCCAAACGTCGACCGTATTATCCATAGCTCTGGCATTTATTGAAATGCTTCTATACAATACTTTGTCAATTCATTAGACTTGTTGAATTTTGAATATAAATTGATTTGACTTCTTAATTTCGTCGATACAAGAATAATCCAAAAATCACCATTATCAATTTTCCATAGATCAGGCTCGCCTAAACAAGACACCCTCGATAATGCTGCGCCATTCAATACCACAATTCGACTCCTATCAAATATGTGCCAGTCTTTTCACTGATGTGGAAAACACTCGAGAACTACGTACTGAAGTAGCCTCGATGCCCTTTGCCATGATTGATGCATCCTGCATTGGTTCATTGGAACAGTTATTTTGCGCTGTTTATAAGGCTATACTAGAGTCCACCTATAATAGGTTGAGGACCAAAAATCTGAATTCCGAATGCATTTTGTCACTGTCGCCCACTTCCAACATTGGGGAAGCGTTCAAAAGATTCGGCATCAAGGAAGATTCGAAGGACATATTGTGTTTGACAGTCGTTAATAATACAGAAAGTATTCCAGACACACTCTTTGACGACGTGAAAGGTCAGCAGATTGAATTGTCGGATGAAAACTTGGAATCTAGGATCAATCTAGATTTAATAAAAAAGGTTCGTTAGTTGCTAAACTATTTTATTTTATTGGAGCATTAATCGTGAATCTTTATACTAACACTCGATGCAGAACTATAAACTGAGCGGAGATTGTACTCAGCTTACCACACGCGAACTATCGCAGGCGCTGGTAAATGCTATTCAATTGAGGGGCCTGTAAATAATAAGCCTCAAGCCAATCAACTTCTCTACCCAGTTACAGGATTTAGCTTAGAAGCTTGCAACTCTTCACTAATGATGCACCCAAGCCCCATAAATGCTTCTGTCAACATGCGGTCGTACACAAAGTCTGCGCGAAAGCCAGACGCGATATACTCCTTCTTGCCCTGCAGGCTCTTGATAAAAGGATCATTGTACTGGGACTGTGACAGTACGTAACGTTTGTGTAGATCCCTGTCGCCATTGAAAGGTGTGAAAGGAACTGACTCTTTCTTCTTCATCAGTCCATTCGACACTGTCATGTAAGGATTATTTTTCAAGACCTTGTTGAGGTCCTCCAGCTTTCTACGAGCCGACGATTTCTTCAGCTTCACTGTCTTCTTTACGTGCGCTATCACATCTTCAGGGTCCTCCGCGGTCGTAAGTTGGTTCACGATCTCTTTGCGGGCCCATTCGCGATTCGCGAGCTCTTCCTCCTCGATTTGACGCTCCAACTGTCGTTTCTTCAGCTTCATTTCTTTTTCGAATTTTTGCCTTTGTTCGAAATTGTCCATGTCTTGTCGGCTGCGCTTCATGTTCGCCATGATAAGCTGTTTGTTTAATTCTTCGTAAGTGCGCAGTTTTTCTTCTGTGCTGGCCACATCAATGCCGTTATCCAGGTTGTACACTATGTCCTCAACCTCCTCCAAATACCTGTTGTGGGCCTGTATATCTCCGTCAAAGTCGTCAAGCGTCTTATTGAACACATTGAACACCCTCTTGCGAATGTCCACTTCTTTCTCGACATTCACGTCATCGAAAATCTGCGTCTTGAATTTGTTCTTTCTCAAGATCTTGTCGCAGCCCTCGTACGGACATTGTGCTGGACCCAAACTGAAAATACGGTCTACGCATGACTCACAGATCTTATGATAGCATTCTGGGTTAACCAGAAACTTCATGTCTGGCGATAAATACCGATCTGTCTTACAGATCGGGCACATATCCTTTTTCTCATCATCGTCAACTACCATCCTTGTAAGAACTATTACCAAAGAGTCCAGGGACTTCTCAAAACCGTAAAATGTTTCTTACACGCTTCTAACGCTTTTGATGGCCCTTTAAAAGCTATGTTATGATTGATCTCCTGGCTAATCCACTAAGTTAACATCTTCAGCTTCTTACTCATGATGTAGAGAACAATAGCTGCACGTGTAAATCACGGGTTTTAGAATAGTTGAAAATGGCTTATGTGCTGAAGACCATTACAAGATCACTGGAGACATTTTGTTGATCAGTTCGGCCTTCATAGTGTTCTCATACTCGTATGCGGCTAGACCGGCATTTATGGTCCAGACTGGCTATGCCGCTGATCATGTTCGCCTTACTTTGCTACGCCAGCTGGGCATATTGCCATCTATTGTGCTACAGAGAAATATATCGTAAATTTGGACACAAATCTACAGCTGTGGGACTAATGTGCGGTGAAGTGGTGCTTGTTATTTTAGTTGTGTCAATTTGGGTCCAGCTGTTTGCATTGGGACCTGGGAAACAACCGAAAATTCTGCCATTCCGGATTTTGCCCGATGGTGCTGGCACTGACACCGAAGAAGGTGATGGCAAGAACTTAAGTCTGGAAATTCCAGATACGATCATACCTCCGGAGATCTACCAGTGCGATCCACAAGGCTACCCTCTGTGGTGCACGGCATGCAAGAGCATCAAGGCTAATCGCACGCACCACTCTTCAACACTGGGCTACTGCGTACCGAGGTTCGACCACTATTGCATGTGGATCGGTACGGTTGTTGGCCGAAAGAACTATCGTTTGTTCGTGCAGTTTGCGCTGTATCTGTGGTGCTTCTGTATTCTGGTGATAGCCTCCACCGCTAGCTTCTTGTCACGCATTATTGCGTCACGTCAAACCATTCCAAGAGTCAACCCAAATATTCTCATCACTTTTGGGCTTTGTTGTATGGCGACGTTGATGGTGGGTCCTTTGTTCATGTCACACTCATATTATATGGCAGTCAACCTCACATCTCTTGAAGTGATAGCAACTAAACGCAGATCCAAAGCCACCAAAAATTGGTTGTGCTTTCTCAATCCAGTCGATGGGCTTCGCTATGTTTTCGAGTTTAAAGCGGTCGACGCTCAGAATTATTGGGACAAAAAGGACATTTTAGTCAACTTGAAGGAATTCATGGGCACAAGTTACTGGAGGTGGTTTCTTCCTGTTGGAGCCAATGTAAGCTACCATAGTCCGAAGACTTTCGAGTTCGAGGACGTTTTGGGGTCCTACAATGAAATAATTTCCGATCGTTTACGAGAATTATTAATGGATAAGATTTCAAAAGGAGAGTACCTTGCCACTTTTAGAGCCGAGGGGGATAAATTTCAGTCAGGCAGTTATGAATAACGATATAGTTACCTAATTAATTTGTGGCTGCGGCATCTCTGAACCTAGCATAGTGCTCAACGAGTTCAAGTTCGGTACACAAAGTCTCATGACGGTAATTAATTCTGATGTCTGGCACATTAGTTTTCTCCACATCATTGCCGTGAATTCCCTCTAGTTCAAAGTCCTTGCCAATCCAGTGCCTTTTGATTTTAGATTCCCAACCACTTTGTATAACGGAATTTCTAGCCAGTTCACACATATCAACGTTGGAAAGTTTGTATATCTGAGCAGCAACGGAATACTCCTCAATCAATGGCTCTCTGGTGTACGAGAACTGTAGAGGGTCATCGGTCGATAAAGAGACATTGAGCCCTCTCTTGAAATAATATGGTAGTGGATTCTTATCGTACGTCAAGAATAATGCGTTGTTTGATAAGGGAGACATTGCTATCCCTACTTGGTCCAAATAGTACAAGTATTGGACAAATGGAACTTTTCTGAGCAAGATACCATGAGAAATTCCTTGTGCCAATAAGTAAGCAGAGATGAGATGTTCTGGATCACCTGCCTCACCACAATGAGGCCTCAAAACGAATGTGTTGAATCCACGTTTGGCTCTCCATTGGTTTAGAGATGCCATACTCGAATACAAGTAGTATAAGTAATAAGAGTAAGGAGGGTTCTGTGCAGCCTCCCACAATGATGGTTTAGGGTACTTCTGATGGAATCGGCGATCAACTTTGGATTCGTCGTCAACTGAATCGAATCCAATCACTCTCTGTAGAAAAACGTGTAACTTAGGATGAGATTGTGGGTTCTTTGTGACTTCGAAAAGTGGTTGAAACAAATTTCTTGTGATATCGTTGAAATTTGTTACGAGTCCTGTTTTTTTGTAGATGTCATAAAGCCTGGGCACTTGTACTAGCCACCTAACGTTGTGCGAAATAACTTTATTGTCGACTACCCATGCGGCTAATTTGTCCCATTCGTCAAGAGAACGGCCATATATGGATATTCTGTATTCACACATCTGATACTTCGAATTTTCCAAATCGGCAATAACCTGTTTAGTAATATCTGCGAGATAAGTACCTCTGATGTAATTGTCGGTCTTGAGAAAGATTTCTCTCAGACGCGACTCACCAATGGGGTTGTATTTGAGATTGAACTTGTCAAATCTGTGGAAAGTATCCTTGTGAGCATGCATATCCAAAGTGTCAATGGATAAATCGTATCCCGACAAATTTAAAGATTCAAAAACCTCGTCCAGCGTTAAAAGTTTGTTATCCCTGAAAATCACTTTCTCTTCACCAGAATGTCTTAATTTGTACTTGATAAAGCGGAGCAAATGTTTTTGATTCATGCAAGCCGAGTGATGGACGTGAGTGTCCACTTTACGCACGTTATAGAAGTCTCTGTGGGGATTTTTCTTGGATACCGCAGTCTCCTGGTACTCATTGAGCAAAGAATATAGATTCCATCGAGCTTCCAAGTATTGAAGTCTTCTGAAAGCAAAAGACTTGGCAGGTCCGTCAGACGATATAGTGACCAGAGCGTCCAAATCCTTATAATATTGACGCAACGTTGGAACTTCTGTGAGACTTTTACTTGGATTTTCAGTGGACGACACCACGTATACGTCGTCGTCGTTGGCTTTAAAATCCCAATCTGTGTCCTCGCCAGGGATTTCCACCTGCGAGAAGCCAAACACTTCCGAGTCGGGTTTGTTGTCAACCTTTTTCACCGTCTTGGTCTCGGAATTGTACGAAGGTTTAGGTGGACCTGGATAAATCTTCCAGCCTTTTTGATTTTTTGGATTTTGTTGAGCGTTCTGTTGCAACGAAAGCGTTTGGTATTTGTGTCTAAGGTTTCGGCAGTCATGTACTTTGGCATACAAATCAACCAACTCGGCCGAAGGCACGTCCAAAAATTGTTGGTCCTCATCCAACACCATGCCCATCTTGTATTGGGCCGAAACATGTCTGTCGTTTTGCTGGGTTTGGTCCTGAAGAAACTGCAGCGACGGAGGCTCTGGCACGGCAATCTGCGCAATAGTAGAGAGCCGGCGTCCTGTCGTGGGCGAAGCAGCTACGGATGCTGAACCAGACTGGTGTTGAACATGCTCTAACGCGATTTTCTTGCTGTCTTGTTCGAAGAGCGATTTGTTTTCATGGAAAGAAAAATTGGTAGGCACACTTTGGATATGATCATCTTCGTCATCATTCGTCGCATCTTTCAAAGCTAGCCCCTCCAGTCCAAGTTCTCGTTCAGTTGGTTCCTGATCGTTGAAACAATCTGGGTTCGAGATTTCATGCGACAATTCTCGTACCACAGGTAAGTCAGTCATCGAAAAGACCAGAATGTAATCAATCTATCAGTAGAAACTCAAAAATCTCAAAGCGCAATTACTAGTCTGCAAACGTTAGATCTTTTTCTTCTATAACGAATGATAAATGCTGGAGTGGGTATTATTATTTGATCGAATTCTGGAGATCTTTTATCTTAAAGCACCCTTCACGAACAACGTGGATAAGGAAATTTGATCGATTAGGGCGTAAGTCATTCGCCTTCAATGTGTCGATTACGTTTGTAGCACGGCTCAGTTCATCATTTTTATAGTTGCTCAAGCGAGACCATCATTACTCCTCCTGAAGCATTCCATACCGTGCATCATTTGAAGTTCAAAAAATGGGGAGTATCTGGGAAGTTCACAACTTGGAAAGTCGAGCCGTCGCAGTAGTCATGTATTCTTATGGTCTAGCCTTAGTAAGTTTATTTAAGTCTTGGGTTTCTTGAGGATCAGCCCGTGGTTTGAAGTGCTCCGACGACTTTGCTGTAGGTATCCTGCGAGTTTCTTAATGATTCAAAACATACCAACCCACACTGGCTACTCTTGACGGTGTGAATACTAAGTCATTGTTGTCGGTTCTGTGGCATTTTTGTTGACTGTTTACAATGACACGTTGGTATAAAGTGACAAAGCTGAAACTTATTGGTCGAAACTGCCAAAACCGGTGAGCCGGCTGAAATAGTCATTCAGATCATTGATGCGAAAACATTGATGAATCATGTAGCCGCGTATTTATAAAATCGCTCTTTTCAAAAAACAATTGGCGAAGCAATACTGTGAGATTCGAAATTCAGAATAAGAGGCATCGAATCTGAGATAGTTGTGACGAACTTACTCGAAATGATGGAGGTAAAGAAAGCTGATTGTGGAAGTTTGCTATTGGATAACATTTTACGCATGATGCCTTCAGATATGCACTAGCCAGGCTGGTATTTTACTGTGTACAAGTTGAGGATAATGTCCAGAAATGCAGAAATATCAGGATGGGTGACCAACCGTTTCTGGTTTGCCATAAGGACTACTTAAACTCGAACGCAAGCATCAAAAAGTTTTGGTAGCGTGTTCAGGCCTCAAGTTTGCGCATCGAGCTTATTTACGCGTTTCATCAATAGTTGTGACTCTTCATCCGCCCTCCCTTCAAGCACTACAGCTGCTAATGTCGGACAATATTTGCACTATCTTAATCTCAATTTAACGTAACTTGATAGCGTACGTTGTGGGGATGTGAATGATTATATTGCCAAGGTGCACAATGACACATTAATACAAAATGATATGGGTAAAACACTAGCGCAAAATGATAACAGGTTTCTCTAGGCCCAAGAGGCTCACCAAGTGGTCTAGACTCTACTGGTATGTTATCGGCGCTCAAATGAAAATTGACGATACGTTGCAACCCCATGGAGAGATTTTCACAACTTTCATCCTCAGATCAACGTAACTCAATTAAGTATGAATGAGCCAAACAAGAACATTAGAATGCTTTTTCTCGCCTCAGTGTATATGGAGTCACATAGCCGTGGTTCAAGAGAGAGACACCAAGATAGCGATTCTCTTCGGATGTAGCTTCAATGCAGCAGATGTTTGAAGACTCCCGGTCAAAACATAACGCATCACAGATACCATGTATCGTATCATACCCTTCAAGTGACCTGTGACGAATGTCCTAAATGCTCGTCGTGTGTACAAATCGTAGTGTTGGTATCTGCTCCAAACATATAACGTCCACAATGATCTTTTCTAAACGCCCTGGTTGAATTTTAGATTTACCCGCTCATTAGGAAATTTAGTCGCTTGTAACGAAGTTCACAAACAATCACAACAATACTATTATTCAACGTAATAAACAAACAAATATATGAATCTGAACTGTCACTTAATTTCGAAATCTACAAAAAACGCTGCTTAAAGTCACTCTTTAAGGCATCTACCAATGGATTTGGAGTACCTAGATGAAGGGTTTGAACCCAGGATGGTAAAAGTGGCGCGATTGCGTCGTATCCTGGTAGAAAATGATGTGGAGTTTGCGAATGGACTAAAGAAGGCAGAGCTGTGTCAGCTGTTTGAGAAGCACATAAGGCCCAAAAGAGCACAGTTATTACGCAAAAGTGAGAGCAAAGCCGGGAAAGATGAAATTGAGCGGGCCACACCCACAGACTCGAGTCTATCGCTCGACGTTTCTTCGTCGGAAGAAAACTCTGCGTTTTCCAATGTGAACGACTTTCAGAAACCTGCGAAAGCGACCAAAAAAACGTCCAGAAAACGGAAAGTCGAAGAAGCAGAAGAGGGCAGCGGAGAGAGTTCTCGTTCAGAGGCGCCAAAGCTTAAAAAACGGGGCAAGAAACGGGCTACAACTCCCGCACAACAAGTGGAGGGTTCATCATCGAAGCCAGTAGCGGGATCACCGCTTGTGGAGAAAGTACGCACAAAGAGCCCCTTAAAATCTTCGCCTCACAAGTCCTTGGTGATCGACAAGTTTGAGTCATCGTCGTCTTCATCATCGTCGTCACCTGGACGGCCTTCTTCCTCGAAAGCGGACATCCTGGATTTCTCTCTCAAACGTAGAACGGCATCACCAGATTTCTCAAAACTCAAAGTAAGTCCAGAATTTGCTCAACAATTGGCCCAGGCCTCCTCATCCGCTCCTCACGATACTCCAGTTAAAAATCGCAAATTTGATACGACGAAGAGCCCCGCGGAGGCTTCGTTTCAGGATCTGCCTTCATTTTCTGGTGCTCAAGGTGATGCAAAAGAGAAGAAACCAGAAAAGAAATCTTCTGTATCTTCGACTCCTTCAAAAACTCCTTCCAGTTCAGAAGCGTCTTCACCAGAGGCCGACACAAAATCTTCGAAACCACAAGAAACTATCTCAAAAGTTGAGACTATTACCGCAGAAGAAGAAGCATCAGAATCTGACCAAGATGAAATCAAAGAGGCTTCTGTGTCCGTAGACGATGAAACTATCGAATCTTCGGAAGCCGAAGACAACGACGAATCGATAGTCCTTGATGATTTAGAGCGTGACGTTAGCCATCCTCACATTTCGACCCCCGAATTGGCGACTGAAGACGACGTCAAAGAAATGGAGAAAGAAGTGGAAGGGCAATCTACAGTCCAAGATACGATTAAAAGCGCCCAGACTGTAAAAAAGTCTAGAAAATGGGCTAAAAAGCTTGCGATAGGAATGTGGAAGATTATACTAAACCTAATGATCATGATCCCAATTCTTTTCGGTCTCTGGTATCGTGAAGAAAGAATACAAATAGGTTATTGCGGCTACGAAATCAATTTACCAACTTTTGAAAACCCTAACAACTTGCCATGGTTAAGCCGAGCGGAAGAATTTTTGGATCAGCAAAAACCCAAGTGTCTGGCGTGCCCAGAGAACGCAATTTGTTATCCATATATGAAGATCAAATGCAAACCCGACTACGTGGTTTCAAAATCTAAATGGAGTTTACAAGGCTTATTTCCTGTTAGTGATTACTGCGCCAAGGATTCCCGGCGGGAGAAACTCATCGCTGAAGTAATAAACAAATCATTAGAGCTTCTCAGAACCAAGAATGGAAATGTCAAGTGTGGAGAAGGCTCGGATGATTTTGAAAGTGGCATAACAGAAGAAGATTTGTACAGAATATTTTACGAGTCCCGTGCACCATCGATTAATAGTGAAGAGTTCGAAGAGCTTTGGTCTCAAGTAGTTGAAGACTTAAAAAGCGAACCTGAAATAACCTGGAGGCAAGTGAGTTAACATTTTACGCTTTAGGAATTTGGTACCATCTTTAGATACTGGATCTCCTCCTTTTTGACCAATACTAACAATACATACAGTCACAAAACGTTGAATTTGACCCTACAGAAAACAGCAACTATGTCGTTGAAACCAATGACGTTCCGGAACAGGAGGAATATCTTCACCACCACAACAAAAACGGGGTTTTTCGCTCGGCATCCAAGAAATACATTGGTCTCAGATGCAAATTCGAAAGAGAAGTTTATCAAACTTATCAGAGATTCAAATATGTGATTTGGGCAGTACTGAGTCTCGTCATCGCGGTCAATACAATTACGCGTAAGTTGCGCATGTATTTCAAGAGACAAGAAGAAATTGAGCAACTAACGCGACAAGTCATTGCCAAATTACAAAAGAGCGCTAGAGACGCTCAAGAATCATCATCACCGGCATACTTGAGTACTGTTCAACTAAGAGACGTATTGCTTTCCGACATCGTGGATTTGAAGCTGAAAAACAAAATGTGGAGTTTGGTGGTGAAAAAACTTGAAAACAACAATACTAATGTCAAAAGCAGACTCATGGAACTGCACGGTGAAATCATGAAGTGCTGGGAGTGGGTTGGCCCGCTTCAGGACTAGTGAGCTCATGTCGCACATCCCTCACCATAAATAAATCTAATATAGTTACGTGTAAGTTAATGAATAACAATATATTACTGTAAGCAGCTTGTCCTCCAAGCCATACGAAGGCTCTCGCCAGCCATGATTTTGGAACCAGCACATTGTAGCTATTTCAATTCATATGTAAAAGTATCGGTTGCTTGTGTTACCGCCAACATAATGCCTGTTTTTCGCCGCCAGGAAATCTCAATCAGCTCAAAAGAGCAACGACGTTTGGACTTCCGATTAATCACCCTTTTTGACAATTGTCGCATGCCATAACAGCAAAATTGTACACCCTCTCGATTCAAAGTTCAGTTTTACGCAATCCTAACGGAGTTTCGTCATATGTCATCGCTGGCAGCTGACCTTGAACCCTTACTAGCAAAGTTGGACAGAAGGGGCTAAAACAGTATATAATGAGGCAACTGCTCAATCTACAAAGTTATCTCCATCCTGGAACTGTATTAATTGATTAAGCATCAAAATTTAATGGAGATGTCGGACCCTGGGCAACTAAATAGATTATCGAGAACAGCTGGAGCAAGACATTTCAAGAGCGGAGCTCTAGGATTTGTTATTGGAGTGTCATTGGCATCTTTTTTGGCAGTGCGGATCGTAGATAAGACTAGGAAGGAAATGGACTGGGCCGATAGTGTGTCAGACCTGAGTCGGTCCGTGAGAACTCTGGAGACGCACGTTAAAGACTTAGAACGCAATTCCTCGAATGGCAAACCTTGAGAAGTACCACACAGCCGTAAGCATTGTTTCAGGACTACTAATATGGTGCATTTCAGATTTAGGGATATTTCAGGCCAAAAAGTTCTTAATATTTATTTATTTTGTTTTGTAGCTAATTGATGACATTTAACGTTTATAAACCAGTAGCGTTGATCACAAGAAATGGGACTCCAATCAACACGAATACTAAATTGTTACAGTGTCTTCATAAAGCCTATGTATGAAATTAGTTGTTTATTGTACATACCACTTACGCTATACCAAATCCTTCATGGCCTTCATTGATGGCCAGTAAGACCGATCCTCTTAACTGCTCATACGAATCATAAGCTGGTAAATCTAGCTGATTGAAACAGGTGTGGGAAGAAGGTAATCTGTCGGTAGCACCGTAGTCTCTATGGATTGAGAATTTACTGATTCCATTCACACCTGTTAGCTCTTTGAAACCACTGAGCGGAACTTTACTGGTACCAGTCACGAACTGAAGCAACTTGGCACGCTCCTCGCAGTCAAATGACCGCACTGCCCTCCAGAAATAGCTAATCTGTTTGCAGGTTGGAGTGTAATTGATATAGTTTGTATTATTCTTCCAATCATCCACATCTATGTCCGGTAATCCGCTGATAAGTAGTTCAAGTTCCTGTTCGTCAAAAACCGATATCAGTTCTTTTGGAATGATGGCGTAGAAACCAAGTAGAAAATTATCCATTTGCTCTTTCACTGAAGTATGAAGCTTGAACTCGACAATTTTTTTCACATAGTCTTGTTTGTTTTTCTCAGTTACTAGAACGTCGCGCCCGTTTTCAGTTAGATCGACAATCGTATGCTCGCCATAGTCGTCTGTTTCAACCGAGAAAGTCTCCTCAATGATATCAGTAATGTCGTTTTCCAAAATCCATATCAGTGACTTGTAATAATCGAGATCCAATGATTCCATGTCTTTAAGAGCGACAGGCTTACTCAAGATATTCTTGTAGACTTCTCTGCTGAAATGGCAGTCCAAAAAGCATTGGTCACATATAGCTTTACCAATGATCATACCAATAAATTTGAAAAACGACAAATGTTCAGGGTTGATGCCAGAAGTACGGTTCGGATGGAAAGTTGTCTTATCGGAGGCAACAGGCAAAAACAAGGCATAATCTGGATTAAACATCTGGCGTGACAAAACCTGATACCATTCCCTCGTTACACCACCTGCATCAACACCTGCTTCGCCTTTAAACGTAATCTCCAATTTGGAGTTTTTAATGTCTTCATTGGATTTGAAGAAAAGAGAGCGATAGGAATCCAGGAAAACTTGTTCGCGTCGAACCGAAATAGAAAGTTTCGGCTTTTCTTGGAGATTAGTACGCACTTTCGCAATAAAGTAATACCTCTTGTTATCGAAGTCTAAAATTCTTGGGTTTTTGACAAGTAAGGCAAACGGGCCACTCATGAGTTTGGGATTTGACCTAATCATTTGGTTCAAAAGCTTTTTGTGCAGATCAGTGAAGGCAAAGAAGGTATTTTCAGCAGCAATTTCACTAAAGTCAGACTTCTTTTCCTCGTACTTTAAGGTATCTTTTGAGTCCCGCACTTTACTGTGCTTGCATACAACCATGAGAGATTCTATCAATGGAAGTAAAATATTAGCGGAAGAACTCAGCGTGGGTCTCTTTTCAAACTTTTCTAAACAATGACCCAAAGAGGTCCAAACACCTCCAAGTCTAATTTTATCGTAAAGGCCCATCAATTTGTCAACGTCAATCTCAGCAGCTTTCTTCTTGTTGGTGTAAAGATAATCGATTGCGGTCAAGACCTTCAAAAGTTTCGCTTGATCTGAACTATGCACGGTGAACTTCTGTATAGTCTCATAATTGATTTCAGTCCCATTTTCTACTTCGCAAATTTCAGAATTTAGTGCATTTAAATCAGGTTTCAGAATGTCGACTGTCTGAATAGCCAAAGCACAAAGTTCTTCAGTGAAGATGTCTTGTGTGCCCTTTAACGTCGACAAATTCGTCATAATATTCAACGTCTGTTGGAAAACCTTCGTGTTACAGGCATCCAGTCTAATTATCGAAACAATCGCCTCCAAGTGTTTCCTTTCGATATCAGGGATGGTGAACTTCTTCTGAGATCCTTCGCTTGCACTTTTTGCAATCGTGGAAATTGGCTTGGTAATGATTTGCAGAATTCTCGTGAGCAAATCTAACAAAACAGATTCATCGGTGATAATCTTTTTGTCAAAAAGACTGAAAAGATAGTTAATAGGCCATTTCATATTCCTGGTAAAAATGTCCTTTTTGCTTTTTAGCGGTGACTTGTTTATCAACAGGTTTTCATGCTCCGTGATAAAGAAGAATTTGAGTCTGTTTTCAGTTTCCACGAGGTTTTGAAGTACTTCTATTGTTTGATTTGCCACACTCAAAGGAGTGCAATCCACAGGAAGCATTCGATTGCTTGTCGATTTTGCTATACCCAGAGCCCGGTTGGAAATCAGGTTGTAAACTTTCTCCAGAGATTTATGGTCGTTGATACCCTCAGTTAAGATGAGCATTAAGATATTCATAATATCACTTCTATTTTGCTTGCTAGAGCACAAACGGAAGAAGAGCTCATGGTAAGCTTCCCTCGCAAGATATGGCTGAGAGATGAATAGTGATCTCATGAGTGCCGAAATACCGGAACGGTCAACGAGAGGAGAGAAATAGGTCCTTTCAGCCTTCTTCTTTACTACACCCGTGTCATCCTCTTGATCGACATGAGCATCCTCCGTTGCACTGTTGTCATTTTCTCTCCCACTGGCGTCGCTCATCAATCTCGAGAACCGCGATTCTGCTGCTTCTTGCTCCAAGATTTCCTCGCGTAAATTTTCTGGGATCGTATCCAAGAAATCAGTGTCAATTTCTCTCGAATCAACTGTCCGCTCAAATGCTTCAGCGCGACGCTCCCGGATGTGTTGAGCGAAAACCTCTGCTCTCATTTCATCTGGTAGTGCATTCAGAAATTCAGGGTCAATATCAGTTCCTGCAATGTCCACTTGTTCGCCAGCAATATCAACCATAATAGGTTCTAGGTCTTCGTGATTTTGCTCGCCTTCGCTCTCGCGATCGCTATCTTCAGAGTCATTAGTAGTCACTTCTTCAACTTTCCTTTTCTTAGATTCTGCCTCTTTAATACCCTCCTCCCGCTTCTTTCTATGTTCTTGATCTTTCTCTAAAGCCTCATTGCGCTTCCTGAGATATAATTCTGAGCTTGGTGGGAAGATTCTTCCAACGATAGTGGGAATGACATTATTGACATAGACTTTGGAGTCGTAAAACATCTCGTAAATATCATTCCATCTAGCAGTAGTAGACTTGAGAACAATACCCGTCGATGACTTCTCGTCAAAGAATTCTCCACTGAAAAGCACGTCAGAGAGGTAACCGGAGTCATTTCTCAAACGGTTCGTATTCCCAGAACTATTCAATTGATTTATTATCCCATTCTCGATCTCTTCGAGCCCTGATGGCCCCAATGGATTCATTAGAATACTTTGTGTACGTCTATTGCCATTCAAAAGACTGATTGAAGGCGCCACCATTGAAAAGTCGGAACGGCGACTACCATGGTTATGCTGATTACGATGACTGCCGTGATTGTGTCCATGAATCCTGAAGTACTGAGGTTCGGGAGAAAAAACGTGCTGAATACCACTGAAAATACCTCTACCTTCCTCATCGGAATCATCTTCAATATTGACTTCATCTGCCAACCACCTATCGCCACCATTTGCCTCATCAATATAATTGTCCTCAGAGCTTTCTTCGTCCGACCCCGAGAGCTCCGAGAGACCAGACTCCCAATCACTCTCATCCAGCTCTGAACTGTTAAGATCCACATTAGTTACTTGACCTCTCACATCGTCATTAATACCAGCAAAGTTCATCGAGTCCTCATTTTCTGTGTAGTACGATGAGTCTTCGCTGCCTATATCATCATGACCACCGCGTCTGTCGTAATTGGAGGATTGTGGGCCGGAGCCGATATCGATATCAACATCATCTTCGCTATCGTAATCCATACTCTCGTCAGAATCGCTGCTTTCATCGACATGGTGGGAATCGGACCCATCGCTTTCGTTATGATGGTGGCGATGATGATGATGATGATGATCATGCTCGTCTTCGCTGAAGACGACCTCTATTTCTCCATTTTCGCCCTCAACAAATGCTATGTCTTCGTCTTCGCCGATAAGTGAAGCGTCATCATCCTCGTCATCTTCAATGTCTTCCACGTCGTACATGCCGAGCGCCGAGTTTTTAAACATGTCAGAGTGCTCCTCTTTCTCAGATTCGTCCTCCACATCATCATCTTCTTCAGTATTCTCGATTTTGAAGAGTTCAGAAAATCTGCTGCGTATCTCATTCATGGCATTCAAAGGTTCGATGCTTTTGTTGAATAGCCTCTTGGAAAAAGGATAGTTCAAGTCCAACGAGGCCATACAATCACCTATGGCCGAAGGCACATTCATGTCAATCATGAGCTTCCCTATTTGATATTTGTCAACATACGTCTTGTTGGAATCCAAAACAGAATGAAGGTAGCTTCGATCGGTCAATAGGAAAGATGTTATGAGGTGTAACCAGCCATAGAGTTTCCCCACGTTAGCTTCTAGGCTCTTGGTTGTCTTGGTGGTAGTTTTTAAAGCTTTAGTGACTGATTCGATAGTGAACTTTCTAATGTAAGTCATATCTGGATCCGTTGTCTTTGGATCTTTCTTCTGAGTTTCTTGGTCTTGAACTGAGGACACGAAACTAACAACTAGGTCGCGAGCGAGTTTACCAACAACTTCCTTTCTCTCGGTATAGTGCTTGTCCTGATCCCGGCTCTCAGTATCTAACAGTTGGTAGAGAACAAAATTGAGAGCGGTGGTGCGTGGCTTAGGCGATTCCACATACAGGTTCCTCTTGTTGAATGTCAGAAACTCCAGTTTGCTCTGCTTGTAGCTCCCAATGAGCTCAATTAAGACCTTTAACAAGAATATTATGTAGGCACAGACCGGATTCCTTCCAACATTTACCACATCCTTTTTTTTCACATCTTCACTATCCTCCTCTCTAGGCGGCTCAGAAGTCCAATCTTTTTTATATGCAGCCATTAATTGAGACAAAAGAAGGTGAACAATTCCTGTCCTATTGCTCAAGGTGAGCTTATCCTCAGTTTGAGAAGTAACGTCGCTCATTTCTTCATCGCGCTCGGTCATAATCCTACGAACGCTTAAATTTTGCAGGGATTCAGGGTTTTCGAAATCTTCAAAGCGAGCTGTTTCGCAAACGCAATTCACGAATACATTAGGGTCCCGCATAACAATATTTGCCTTCTCTGAAACTAAACCAGAAAGATCTCTTGGCTTCTCTTTAGAGTCTCCTATCGCTCTTGTTGTGAAAGCACGCGACAGCTCGTATTGTATCAAGCTCTTTACCGTTTCAGCATTTTCGAAGCATCGCCTTGCTAGAAGCAAAAACGATGACTCAAGGTAGTTTATCTTGTCAGATCGTTGAAATACCCCAATAGTTTTCAGCAGCTTTGAAAGAATGCCCGATTGAGTTACCTCATAAGCGTAGTGCTGATCTTTCGTGTACAGGATCAGTATGCGGGATATTGCAAGAGCGGAATAAAAGTCGGTAATTTCGTCAACTCGAATTAGAGAGTTGAAGATTTTCCCTTTTGCTTCAGGAGATACTTCGAAAGCTGTGAATATTGGTGGGCAGGTAACATTGTAGTTATTTTCAAAGACTTCGGCAGACTCATCTGACTTAGGTGCTTCTGATTTCGCAAATACTATTTCATAAACATAAAGGGCTTTTGAAAACCAAGCAGAATTGACGTACTCGGGGCGGAGCGCGTCTTTCAGATAGGTAACAAAGTCCTCTATGTTGTGTTCGCAATCGTCATAAATACCCTTATTATTCAGTAAGATACCAAAAAGATGGATGATGGGGGCCAGAACATGCGCGTTATTGAGCTGAATATTACGCATCATATCCATCAACTTTCCCACTATGTTCACAGGCGACTCGTCTACCTCTTTTAGGATTTGAAGAATCATATGCGATATAGCGTTAATGAGTTTAGGATATGAAGGAAGCAGCTGCAGAATGCGATCTTCGAATCCACTAGAGTAGAACTCTAGACGTAGGTTGTTTAAATCACTAACAGAGGAAAAGTTTCTGTACTGTGGTTCCAAAAGTCTCAAGTCTGTTTTCCAATCACCGGACTCTTTTAAAGCCTTAAACTTGTCCCATTCGCTATCGGAGAAGATATCGGGCTTGACGTGTATTGGCAAATCGTCTTTTTGCTCCTCCAGATACCCTTTTGCAATGTCCTCTGTGACACCACAAGCTTTCAGCATCTCAATTTTTCTGTGCGAAGGGGGCATGAGATCCCATCTCAGCTCATATAGATCGTGATCTTCACCTTCAGAGCTGCTGTTAAAAACATTTCTAACAATGCTCAAAAGTTGTTTAAAGACGGAATAGGGTAATCTGTTACAGCTATGATCAAAGATAGAAAAATCTTTTGTGACTTCGTCAACCATTCCCAGTGCTAGAATCTTGACGGGCACAATCGTGGCAATGGTCAAGTTGTAGTATACTTCATCATAAGGGTAGTATTCCTTAGTATTCCGGATGTTCTCCATTGTGTCCATCTGAATAGATTTGTTGTAAAAGGATAAAGCGTTTATGAGCGCACTGGCCGTCAAAACTTCATCAGAATCTTTGACGTAGTCATATTTTTCGATATCCTCAACATTATCGAACGTTTGTAACTTGGCAAAGAGGGATTTTATAGCGTCAAAGTAAATTTTGAATCCACCGGCTTGGTAAAACAAAAATACAGGAATGGTTTGAATAGTCCCGCCAACCGATGTTGTTACATTGGGGAAAGTGAAGACAAATGTGTTGAAATTGAATATCACTAGAAAGTAACTCAGATGCGATTCCAAATATTTCAAATCCATCATGTTTACTATTTCGTTCACTGTAGTGTCAAATATTCTGATCTCGAGCGCCCTATCTGGTGCCTCTATTGTCATCTTTCTGGCGTGAGTCATCCTTAAAAAGCACCTAAAGAGCATGGACACCCAAGACTGCATTTTGACGAATAGATGGCGCTCTTGAAGAGTGTTTTTGAATTTAGCTGACGTTTTATCATCAACTGTGTCTGATTTTTTAGGTTTGTTTGCATATAGAGTCAAGGGAGGTGTGTTACCAATCGGCCTGACAGTTGTTTCACTGGCAACCTGTTCTGGCAATCTCTCACGAATGTACATTTCCTCTAATGAACTTCTTTGAAACAACAAACGTAGTTTTGATATGAGATCGAAGCCATTATGCTCGAAAAACTCCATTACTTGAAGAACCCTAATTGGAAATAATGATGCAATATTGATATATATGTCTGTTATGACATAAAGTATCACATTGATAACTGAGAGCTTTCGTAAGGTTTCTTCGAGTTCATCGTAAGGAGTTGAGAGGACATATGACTTTTCAAACTTGCAATCCAAAAACTCCGTAATTCCATTCAGTTTTTCGGACAAAAGGCTCAATAAAGCGGGAAGAGCATAGTTTCTGCGTTCATCGTCAAATAGTTTCAAGATGTCAGAAAAATTCAATAGCGTCTGAGAACCCACGTAGTCGAAGGGTGGTCGCTCCGGAATTACAACGGCAAGCATTTCTTTGATATCGATTTTATCAGCAAGACTGGCCCACGAGACATTTTCAAGTGTCATCCCATAGAATACAGCTGAAAAGCAGTCCAAAATTGAAGATGGTAGCTCTGCCGCGCCTCCCTCAATCTCAGATGAATTTTCCTCATTATCTACTATTTTGTCCTCTTTCGAATGATAAAACTCTCCTGACCCCGTCACTGACTTGTAGACATAGGGGTGGCTAAACTTTATTATAATCGGCAGAGTCTTGATGGTTTCCTCAAAGTTGATTTCAATTGTTGGCTTCAGATCGGGATAATGTCTTGCAAGCTCATCAATAGATGTACCTATATCAATCGCAGAATCCTCCCATGACAAAATCTTCGCGAGTTCCGGCGTTTTCATGATGTCAAAGAGGTAATTGATTAAATTTTTGTCTTTAACTTGTTTCAAACCATCAGTATTCAAGCAAAGAGCCGAAATCACTTCCGGCAAAAGCGACAGAAGTTCTCCTGATGGTCCCAAAAACTCTTTAAAGTTATCAAAGATATAAGGAATAGTTTTTGATTCAACCAAAATTGGGTAGATTGTGGGCTCAGTATTAATGATAGTCTGAACAACATCTAATGCATATGTGACGAGCGTGTAGCCAAACACGGGTCTGTTTTCGAGAATCTTATTCAGCGAAACCAAAATGGGAGAGTCGATTAGATTTCTGATCCTGTCCCCCGAATCTGTCTTTAATAACTTCAATACAAGCTTTAACAAGCTCCTAATGTACCCTAATTGTCGGAACGAGATGGAGTAGTAAACGACAGGATATTTTGGTGGTTCGCCAAACTCGGGATGGTCTAAGGCAAAGTTCACTTCTTCGTTAACGCATTCAATCAATATGTTGAATCCGTTGTTTGATATAAATTCAGTAGTAGCGTCTGCGTCATCGATGAAGACTTCAAGAAGATGAGTTGCAGATGCCAATGTGCGCTTGAAAGGAGAGTCCTTTATGGATATTACTTCTAACAAGTTTGGGATTAAACCTGCAGTGAGCATAGATTCTTGTAAGGCCTTTACATCTGCCAAATTAGAAACCAGGTAAAAAAACCTCACATTGTACTCTTCGTCTAGCTCTTCGGAATTTTTGTCCCTCAGCAGCTTGGCAATATACCTTAGAATTTGGAAAAGAAGCCCATGAGACATATTACCACCCAAATTTCTCACAATGTCGGAACACCAGATGTGTTTGAGAGATACGCACTCCAAACAAAACAGAGCATCCATTCTTAAGTCCTTCGGTAGTTTCCGCTCAGAGAGTGAAATAAAATCCGTTAAATTGTTGAAAGCATAAGGGTCAATCTCGAACAATTGAGAACTCACTTGTGCCGGAATGTAGACAGCATTGACGAATGCCATAGCGTTGAATTTCGTCTGTATGATTAGATTTCTCATTTCCAAATTTTCGAAGTTATTGTCGCAAAAGGCTTTAGCGATTGTGGCTTGTAAAGAAAAGTCAAACCACTTTTCTGATGGGATCTCAGACATGCCTCTATCAAATAGTTGCTGAAGGGAAAGACTGGAAATCTCTTCCGAACTAACCACAAACTGTTTCAATGAGCCACTACCAGGTTTATTGGGTAAATGAGGCTTGGAGGTGCTAGTATAGTAACTGAAGTTAAGTTTGGACCACTTGGATGGGAATTTCTTCTTGTCGAAGTATAGATCTACTAAAGCGAAATGATCCATGCTATCATCAGTAGTAGAGGAGGGAAGTGCTAAAGCCAAATCTAAGGCTTTTCTTTTCAAATCTTTGTTTCCTAGAAGGTTTTTGTTGTCGATTTTTTGCCTGGCGATTACTTGCTGTTCACCCATGATGGCTATAACTTTCATGGCACCCAGCTTGACTCTGTAATTTGGGCAGTTGAGTAGGTTACTCATAACGTCGAGGGAGGAGTATAAAGAGCGATTGCAAGTATTGTTGAGTAGGCGACAGCTGAACCACAACAATTCCTTTGTAATCATTTCATCTTGGTAGCTCATAATGGTCAATTTGACCGGCTGCGTTTTGCGATTAGAACTCTTGTAAGAATAGCGATCTAGAATTTTGTTCAAAAAATCGTCAATTCGATTTAAAACTGGAATCCAGGTATAAAGGTCATCTCTCGATCTATCCCAGATTACGATCTGTGTTAGTTTCTGAATGAAGTCCTGTTCTGAGCATTTCGTAAGATCGTCGATTAAGGGCTTGAATTCTTTGGCCCTCTCTTCCTTACGGACTTTTTCCAATTTAGTTAAAGTCACCATTGTCCAGATGATCGTCCCTTTTGCTAATGGTGAGTTGAAAGCTTGTAATGAGAAGGAAAAGAATAGAGCAAGAGGCTAGTAGAAGCACAGTTTGTATGTGATGGCTGAAATGCTAGCACTGCGGTCAACTCGCTTGATTGATCTCAAATGGAGTTTAGCTCGTTATGGTGGTTGTCTTTAGCAAGATGGGCCTTCTTCATATTGAAACAATTTCTTCTGAAATGAAGCTCATTGCGTATATAATGATATATAAGTTCGCCAGTAGGACGAGCTTCACTACATGATATGAATGCAAACGGTAATGCCTATAACAGGGATCTCCATGTTCAGCTAGATTTCAGTTACATTTCCATGAGGGTCGTATTCCAGGAGTATTTAGATCTCTCATTGTTCGTATAACTTCAATTTCTGACATTTGGAAGCGTGGGATTTCCTTTTCCTACTGGCTTCATGCTGGGCAATCTCGCCTGAGCGGGTACAGAGTTCCCAGATTTAGGAGGCTGCTGCCTGGCAGGTTGGTTGGCATTAGGTCGACTTTCGTTGACCGCTGAATTTTGAAGAGTGTTAGTTGCTGACTGAGGTTGAGGTTGAGGTTGGGGTTCCCGATTCAGTGTTCGCGAGTCTGCAGAGGTGTTAGTGTCATCGAGTAACTTACCCTTCGGAGCAAACCTATTATAAATATCACTTCTGTGATTCGGCAGTCCCTTTTCTCTAAGCATGCTAGTCTTGATGTGCGAAGATGTTGTTTGGTCCACTGTATGTCTTATTGATTGAGCTTTAAATTTTGGGTCGAAGATGCCGCCTGTTGGAACTGGAGCTTTATTTTGTAGATTTGGCGCAGCTTTAGCCGTCACGAAAGCAACGGGAGCAAAAGGTTCAGAAGCAAGGTCAGTGGCTCTTGGTACAGACAGGACATGTTCAGTTGTGGGCGCAGCCTCAACAGTGCCTGCAGCAAGGATGTCTTCATCTTGGAGTTCGTCACTAAACATGAAAGAATCGTCCAGCAATTCATCAGGGTCGTGCTCAGGTTGTGGTGGTAGTGGCTGTGGTTGTTGCCGCGATTGTTGTTGAGCATGAATACTTCGCTGCTGATTTTCGCCCAAGGGAGCGGCAGGGGCCAAGTTACCGGCATTGGTCGAGTTTGGTCTGGTGTCATTCATGTTTCGCCTCTTTGAAGGAGGTCCTGCCCCGTCATTTTCAACTGTATGAGACCTCGCCGGTTCGTTAAGTTCGTCTGTAGCACGATACAAGTTACCTTCGTCGAAGTCTGGGGGATCAAACTTAACTTTGTCTATCTTGGCCAGAAAAGTCTTATCGTAGAGGCAATTTCCTAACGCGTTTCCGAACGCGCGTAAACTGCGCTTCAGCGCGTCCGTCACGGCTGATTTTTTTGCCCGCTCAAACGCCGAAGATTTGCGGCGCTCATTCTCTACCGTCCCGTATCCAATGTCTTCCCTGAAGGTGCCATCTTTCAAAGTAACTCTGATAATCGCGGTGCACCCAACGCAAAACTTGCCTTGGCTTTCGTCCATGAAGTCGATAGTGATATTTTTGACCTCAGTGCTCCAGCCATTATAGCCGAAAATCTGGTTGGCCAGATTTATAGCTTTCCACCCTTCAATATAAGCTACGCGGCTTGCCCCAAAGCCAATCCTTTTTGAGATATACTCCGGTCCCAATTTCTTGTCTAACTTCGTTTGAATATCCTCTGTGTTGAGGGTCCCTACTTTTGAAACTTCCATTTGAAGGTAATCAATTATAGAGCTTCAAGAGCAGACGTTGATGATACTTAAGGCCTGTAAGTACTGTTTTGGTTGACTTTTGATAGAATAATCAATTGAGATCCGAGAACTTACTTAATTTCGGATCTAGTCACGAAGAACGAAACTTAATGATCTAAAAAAACCAATCTCACAACAAGTTCACATCTCAGCATAAACATACGTCAAGTACGCGAAAAGAATCTTTATTGATAGCATCTCACCCCGACATGAATGCTCCCGCACCTCTCAGCTCGCGGTATAGCTACCATGCGGTATTCAGTGATGTCTGTAAGACGCGATTCAACCATTTGGCCACTAGACTGCTGCTGAGTATGGCTATGACCTTGGGCCTGTTTTTAGCTGCAACTGGCAGCGGCAACAACACCAAAGTAATACAAAAAATAGTTCTGTGGCCCTTGAAGGGCTTTTTATGCTATTTGGCTGTGCTACTAGTTGTGGTGACGCGCAAAAACTATTTACACGTTGACTTTCCCGGATACTCAAGCCTAGTTACTCAAATCTATGGACAATTGTGCTCCGTGAGACTCATCGTATATTTTGGAATTCATTGTGTGAGTAGTCTCTGTCTTACCGGTGCTGCCAGAGATGCTGTTTATGGGACAATCCAACCACAACACCTTTTTGTCTATCGTCTGACAACTTGGGCTCTGATACCGGCCTTGTATACACTGCAGCATGTGGTATTCGACCTTGATAAGTTAACCTTCCAGTACGGTGCACAACACCAGCACCCACAGCAGTTCATAGCCTCAAGGGTGAAAAACTCACTGACGAAATGTGTAGTCCTCACTTTCTGTCTTATCCTCATTCTGCCAGTAAGTTCCTTTTACTTTGCTCCAAGAAACAGTGCTTTAGGCTGGAAAATATCATCAAAATCAGCGGCAGCAGCTATGCTAATTTTCATCACTTGGGATTTTGCAAACTTGGCATTCAACGCTTATTTATCCATAGGTTGTTTGCACAAGGGAAAGCCCATCTCTTCGCTTTCCTCTACACCCATGGAGACTTTGATTACCGGTCTTTCATCCATGAAGCATTTCACGAAATTGACTGCATTTCAGGAACTTTCATATAGAGCTACTTCACCTGACATGGAACTTAGATTGCCAATTTACCATACTCGATACAAAAATGCTTATGTGTGGCCAAGCATATTAAAAGAATGTTTGACTACCATAGACAGCACAAATAGCGCTACATCAAAATTCATTAAGAGCCTGGAAACTCAACAAGGGAACTTTCGCGAGGCAAAGCCACCGGCAAAGTCAGAGTTTTCCGAAGACTGCTTTGAGCAGGATGGGCTTTTTGGAAATGACTATGTTATCACTACCAATGCACAATCAAGAATCCCAGGTACTCCACAGCCACATGATTCTCAATTGACTCACAGAATTACGGTCCAAAATAACAATGTATTCGCGAAAAACCATAGCCTTCAGTTCTCGAGCCCTTTCCAATTTTCAAATGTTGCAAACAATCGTGTACTCACACATCAAACCACCATCACTAATGTCTTATATGATTGCGTGAAGCGGCTCAAGGAAGCTTTTGTTGCCTTTTTCTTTCCCACTCAAAATATAGGCTCTGCTGCTCAGTTATCTTCCTTCGAGCTCTGGCGGATCTCAAAGAAAATGCAGGCTGAGAAGTTAGCGCCCCTGCCCATTTGCTATGCCGAGTGCGTCGTTTCATTAATGGGCATACTTATCAAATCACTAAAGGAGGACCCTAAGGGTGCAGTAGTCTCTTCTGTGGGGGAGGTTTTGAAAATTTTAGAGAGGTCAGTTGGTTCATTAGGTGCATTTGCCGAATGGAACGATTCCTTGGTATCCAAAGACACTTCTGTTCCAGATGTGATTACAATTCTCTACGATCTTTCGATCAATGCATTCTTAGAGATTGTACTTAGCTATAATGAGTTATTAAATGACGTTTATCTCGACGATGACGTCGTGAAGTTGAGCAAATGGGTACTTGAAATCTGTAATGAATAGGCATAGTATATATATAAAATGCATGTAACAAATTTGTTCCAATTTCTACTAGAAAAGGCTCTAAAGATTCACGCACGCGACGCAGACAGCAAGCGTTTCATCTCCTGCTCCCTAAAAAATTTGGTGTACTAGAATCGCTTTTCCTTGATTGAGAGCCATCTGTAACATTGTCGAGGAACACAGGTTTAAGGACTTGCTCATCGAAATTAGTGAACCACTGAGAATCTGCAGAAAATATAGTACTCAGGGTTTCTCTAATATGTTGTCTCTCTAAAGACAGTCTCGATGATGGCTGCACAGCATCTGGTGAAAGTAACTGTCCACCACTGTTCGGAGGTAGAGAGGTAGTCATTGCTTGATTTTGTGATATCTCATCTGAATAGGTAGGAACTGAATTGGAAGCGATATTGATAGGCTTGGGCATTTCAATATCAAATTCGTCATCGGAGTCATCGTTTTCGTCTATACAGCCCATTTGAATCCCCAAGACTTCAAGCATACCCGCAGTTGTACCACCAAAGATAATCACCGTCAAAACGACGACAACGAGCACAGTGGCCAATAAAGTAAATTTAAAATCACCTTGTAAACCCATTGCCAATGCAACTCCAACCGCACCTCTCAAGCCCGCCCAAAATGTCATCATTTGATATTGGTATGGAATCTCATCAGGAATTGCTGCGTCATTACCATAGACGCCCATGGACCTCTGAGCTTTGACCCTATAAAGCCAATTGACAAAGTTAGAAAGCGGAAACACAGCACACCAACGTGCTACGCAGATTGAAATGGCAGTAACTATGATAAGCATCGGTTTGTAAACCAACTCGACCTCAGTGAATAAAGAAAGTCCCAAGTAAATGAAAATGAAATTCTCAGAAAGTTGGGCTAACAGCTGGAAAATATACTTGATTGTGATTTGAGTTCTTCGTGACATATTGTAGTAGGCGTAATGCTTCAGTGTGATTCCACAAAATAGCAGTGAAACAATACCTGACATATGACAACCATTCGAAAAGAAGTAAGACTCATAAGCAATCATTAAAACCAAGCAACTCTCAATTCGGGGGTAGCGCCGTATCAACGTGTGTTTGAGTAACAGTGCCACTAGGACACCGATCATCACACCAATGAGTAAAGAAACCGTAAAGTTCATGAGAAAGAGTCCTATACCTTCGAAAACTGACGAGAACGTTGCAGGTTTCCCGTGAAATTTCTGACAAGTTTCGAACATTACAATGGATATAGCATCGTTCAGAAGAGATTCACCGAATATAATGGTGTACAGCTTTGGGTCAACCTTGTAGGCATTGAAGATAGATAAAATGGTGACGGGATCTGTTGCTGAGAGAGTGGCTCCGACTGATAGCGCGTCCACAAACGATATATCAACCTTTTCAAGCCCTAAAGCGGTCCAAAGATATAATATAGCCCCAAGGACTACTGCCGAGATGAAAGTCCCGGGAATGGCGAACGTCAATATTGACACGATGTTGTTGAAGAAATTGACCTGATTCAGCTCATAACCGGAATTCAAAATGATTGGTGGTAGCAGGATATTGAAGAAATATGAGGAGTTGAAAGTCACCGCGTCCTGGATGTAGTGTCCCGGTGATAGACGAATTATCAGTCCCACAACCATACCGTAGAAAATTGATAGCACGGTTTCATGAACCGCTTTGATACGTCTTTGCGCTAGAAAGTAGGTTGACCACAGTGCCGATATCAAAAGAAATAGCATGATGAAGAGAGCCCATGACGAAAAGATCTCTTCAGTTACCGGACTAACGTCATCTCCGGGTCCCACAGGGGAGCTATCGTCGTCTGGTGAGCCTGGCGTTGGCAGCAGATCGTCCAGGTCATCGGGATCAGAGTTAGTACTTTTTGCCCAGCAAAAAGCCGCCTTGAATGCCAAGCTTAGCAGAATTTGAGTGAAACCGCTCATGACCTTGGAAATTTTAGGTGTAGTGTGTGTTTTTGAGCAGTGAGTTGGGACTCAAGAGCAGTATTTGACAATTTCGCACCCGCAGGTATGGTCGGTATAGAGAAGCTAAAGACCCAGTTGCTAGAGCTTGCTGCATGGAGCTGATTGTTGTGAATTCATGGTAATAATAGTATATATTCAATAATGCGAGAGAGCTGCGGTACGGCAGATCGGAGACGTAGAATGTGATAAGCGATCGAACGAGAGATCGAATGAGAGGTGCACTAGTGAGCATTGCCAGTACTTGCCTCACTGTACCTTCTACTAGTTCGCTGTGAATGCGACGGGTTCAAGCTGGAAGAAAGGAGGTTTTTCGTGATATTTTTGAATTCAGGTAGAATTTTACCGATCAAAGAAGCTTTCAATGAGTTCTTTGCAATTGGTCATTCGCTTTGAGCTACTGCAAGGCAACTGAGACCTTGCAGGCTTTTCGCAGTGGGAAGAGGGTTTCGAGCAGCCCGTGTCTCCCACTGAAGACTGTCTTGATCAGAGATGTTTCTCGAGGAGCACATCAAGGATATCAGGACGGTGGCAGTAAGCTGTGGATCGTCGCAATGCATGTTGTCGCAGACCGAAATCATAGAATAGCCATTACAGAATAGCCGTTACAGAACCGCCATCACAAAATAGCCATTGCAGAATATTCATCGCATCCATCACCTATAGCCATCGCAGAATATTCATCGCATCCATCACCTATAGCCATCGCATGTATTCATCACAGGCTCTCCGCCAGAGAATATCTGCCACAGAATACCCCACACTCAGCTTCCATCGTGGTCGACGCCCAGCTTAGCCCAGCATGAACTCGACAACTTCTGTACAAGCTCAAACACACGCTCTTCAAAACATTTTCTTCTACTAAAAAGCGCGTCTTTTCGAATCTCGATCCACGCCTTGTTTTCACTGGTCTCAACATTCTTGTCGATGGCTCATAAATGCAATAGTAAGAGCTTTGTTCTTTTACGAGCCACGGCTCATCACGGCTCTTCGTTCGTGTTATTGATGCGAAAAAAAAATTATTAAAAAACCACACATTGTTGTTATTTTGGTTAATTTCGATGCTTTGTCTTCGGGCAATATCTTCAAACTGCAAGAGTCTATTACGCTTTAGAAGTTGTTTGCGACTCTATAGTCACCCTCGTTCCATAGCCAGCCTCGTGATGTCGCGTCCAATCATTCTTTCCGGCCCCAGTGGATCTGGTAAATCGACTATTCTGAAGAAACTGCTGGAGGAGTTTCCAGACAAGTTTGGGTTTTCGGTGTCTTCGACGACGCGTAAACCCAGAGCGGGCGAGGTGCCAGGTGTGCACTACAACTTCGTTACGGTCCCGGAGTTCCAGCGGATGATCAAGGACGAGGAATTCGTCGAATGGGCCCAGTTCTCGGGCAACTACTACGGCACAACTCTGGCCTCTGTCAAGGAAGTGACAGAGTCTGGCAAAACGTGCATCTTGGACATCGACATGCAGGGTGTCCAGGCGATCAAAAAGAAGGCCAACTTCAACGCGCGCTACTTGTTCGTGGCCCCACCTTCGATCGAAAGTCTTCGGGAAAGACTCACTGGCCGCGGTAGTGAGACTCCTGAGTCGCTACAGAAGAGGCTTGACGCCGCTACTGCTGAGATGGCGTATGCCGAGTCTGGAGCTCACGACCAAATTATCGTGAATGATGTTGTCGAGGACGCCTACAAGCAACTGAAGGCGTTCATCTTCTCCGAGTAAGAAAAGCATTTGCAGGCAGAAGAACAAACAGTTTGCTTAGCCATCCGTGTATTTACGATATAAACTAAATACTGACGAAAATTGCATATTTACGAAGAAACGCGTTGACACTTATTCACTGGCATCTGCTCGGCGAGACTAGCTACAGTCGCACTCTTTCGTAAAAAAACGAAGCTTCCTGCTTATGAAAAGCCAGACTGGAAGCGCCAACACCGAGGGTGTTCGGATGCTTTGAAGTTGGCTACCAGCCGACATGGGCCGATCTCCTTTTCACAGATTTCTCTGAGGTTTAGACTTCAGCGACTCGCTAAACTGGGTTGATAAGAGCGTCTCTACCTGTGATTCAGACAGGAAATGGTCTCTCACGCACAATTTAGGTGTTACAACGTATGCGATCAATGTGCGCCTGTAACATATCTGTAGATACGAGAAGTGCTCTTGACACTCAAGGATTGTGCCATTAACGTAAACTTACCGGTGAAGTCGGGAAATCACAAACCATATTTTTGGAACGCGATCGAGGACACAGTTGCACCAAGCTCTTCTGTTGAGTTGTCAAAACATACTCGTTGAAAGGCGTGCTATCAGGGTCAATTTGTGTGAAAGAGCGTAACTTCTCACAAACCGAATAAGCCGCAACACAACATTGATCAAGACAATGTCGTAAATCGCACACCGTTCAAGCACTTTTGCCAAGATTTCTCTCACGTACCGTTAATTCCGTTTTATATTATTTAGGATTTGGATATACTCTCCGTTTCTTCATATTTTTGTCTTGCTTATCAAAAGTCCGAAAGAAAAGCACACTTCAACCGGATCCTAGTCTCAGTATTCTCCCAATATGTCACATCTGCCTTCCAGCTTTGATGGCGCCGAACAGGATGTCGATGACATGACTTTCTATGAGAAGATGGTGTACCATTGCAAACAACAACCTTTGGTACCATTAGGAACCTTGGCCACCACCGTGGCCGTCATTCTAGCAGCACAAAATGTGAGAACGGGCAACAAGCGTAATGCGCAAAAGTACTTTCGGTGGCGTGTGGGTCTCCAAGGAGCCACTCTGGTGGCTCTAGTAGCCGGTAGCTTCATCTACGGCAAGTCTGAGAAGGATCGGATATCCAAAGAAGACGAATTGAGAGAAAAGGCCAAGCTCAGAGAAAAGCTATGGATACAGGAACTTGAACGCCGTGACGACGAAACGAAGCAACGTAAGCTGAGAGCCGAAATGGCCCGAGCCAAGGCCTTGGAACTGAACAACGAAACTCTGGGTCTACAGGCAGAACTAAAGAAACTACAATCCCAAAATTCATCGACTCCGCCATCTGAGGGACGAAAGTGAGGTCTGTAAATAGCCAGGTGTCGCTACTGCCTATGGCAGAGCATGCGCGAAGGTGTATATCTCTATACGTATAACGCGATAACACATCTACAAGGTTTCAGTATAAAGGATGCTTGGTGGTTTGAATATAGGTAAGCGTTAAATCAAAAACCTAAACCGCAACTGGGGGGAAATACTCCGTGTGCATTAATAACAAAATGCGGTATTTGGCTGGATCTGCTGTTAACATTAGTGTATGGTCGGCAGACCCGCTATCTGTAACGGATGGTCAGGGTCCCCAAACCAACTTCTTTGTAAGGTCTCACCAACAGGCCTCGGTAGCACGATTACTACAATACATACACTGGCAACTGTATCAGCGTTGCGACGGCCAAATAGAACCTATCCAGCATTTTTGTATGAGGTTTCAAGGTCGAACTTTGGATCTAGAGCAGCTGGTCAAGGACATTGATCCCAGTGCTGTGGGAGCCGTAACGCTCAAAATGGAATATACAACGCAACAATCGGGTCCTGCAATTAACCTGGATTATGACTCCAGTGAGGATTTTAGCTACACGAACGTAGAATTCCAGCTGAACGTTTTGTCCACGGACAAAGTCATAAGCCGGATGGAGCTCAAAATACCTTGGAATCACACATTGGCAAAGCTCAAAAAAAGTGCGGTCAGTATTTTGAATGACTACGAGATGCAAAATTCTCGCAATATTTGCAGTTCTCGTCAACATACTCCTGAGGATTTAATAGGATTTGACCTACTGGGCCGCTCACATCCGATTTCGCTAGACATTGACGACTCTAACAACGATTTGCAGCTTTGTGACCTTATGGGGCTAGACTTTGCTCCCTCTACTGCTGGCAGCTGTTGCATAATGTTTAGAATTAAGCATGTCCAGGATTCCGAGGACGGCGTCATCATTCGGTTTGTGTCTGATGCTCAATTAACAATGGACCATATGACTGTTCAACCGGAGTCTACCGTACAAGACGTAAAAGACTTTATTTGTTCCGTTTATGGGCATGCTCTGCGACTTACACCTGCTGACGTTAGATTGATTTACAAAGGTCAATTACTTCGCGACACGAAATCATCGGGAGAGCTTTCCAAAGTACTGGATTACGTCTCTGAGAGTAGAGGCGCCAAAGTGCACGTTCACATTAATCAAGAATATACTGAACCTGGGCCCGGATTTTGGAACGAACTATTCAATAACAATGATAGGTTTTCATTCATGAACAGGAGCTCTTCAGAAAATACAGAAAATACGCAAAATACCCCTGTCGCCGATGTCGCACCGGAAATCAATACTACACAGACAAGTGCTGAGATTCCGAACTTATCAAGCTCCCAGAATAGTTACTTCACTGAATCGGGTACTCAAATTGAACGCACGGGTCAAATTTATGAGAAGGTTCTCATCTCAGGGCAAGAAAGCTTCATTCAATCCACTTTATTTGAGCCCACGCAGACGTTCTTAGAGCTCAATGACCAGCAAGTTGAAGTGTTTCCGGACGAGTTCGTTGAGCTACAAGGCGTCGTTTTACTGTCACAGCGTGCGATATCAAGAATTGAGAATCTAGTTGGAATAAAGGTAGCTAATACCATAAACTCAGCGGCTTCTTGGACAAACGTCAGTTCCAGTCATTTAAGCTCAACGTCTACGGCGGTGAACGATAGCCCAGACCGGGCCGATGATCTGGATGTCGAAGAGGTGGGGCGATTAGCTCGTGTGCGTCAGTGGACAAGAGCAATCATGAGGACAATTTATTTGATATTGCGAAACTCCGTATTCTTTCTTGTAATTTTCTTTCAGGTAGCGTCATATGTGAAACCCACCTACTTGTTTCTTGCGGTAGTTTTGATTGTTCTGAAGGCTATCTGGAGTACTCCAGAAATATGGGAAATGTGGCGGGAGCTTCTATGGAAGGAGCAAGAAGGAAAAATAAGCGACGAGGAGCTTAGCAACTTGACTAATTTGTTAAATGAGAGTGAGCTTTCGCGGCAATTTTACAATAGGTTTGCATCCAAATTGACAGTAATAGAGGCGTTGATCGAACGTTTGCAAGAGAATAATGAACTGAGACTTTGCTTGATCGATCGCTTCAAACTGGATGCCCAAGACTCGCTGCAAATCATGGTTCCTAAACTACTCGAGGAATGCATATCCACGCAACATGATGAAGCAAATCTAGCACCTTTAAGAGAATTATTTGATCCGCTTTTAAAGGACGTCATGGATCATTTCCGGGATACTTCCGGACAAAGTCGGGCTAGCAGAGAAGTTCTAACAGAGTTGCGGAAATACTCATATCAACAATCAAAACTACCATGGCATCGGAACTGTTTGCGACGCATCGCACAACTATACACTAACCTCTACAGCGGTGGGTTAGTCCGTGGACTTGTTCCCAGAAATAGGGGACATCCCAGGGGATTACGATTTTTGCTACGTGCTTTAGGCGATATTCTCAAGTTAATGGCTCTCTTTTTACTAACACTAATCCCTCGATTCCAGCGACAAGCCGTGAGAGAGGCAAATCGAGTTGCCGCGAGTGCAAGACATAGAGACTAACCTTCATGCAGGAGAATTCTGGGAAAGTAATTGAATTGGGTCGAAGCTGAAGGAGATGTTAGCACTGGTAGGACTTTTCTGCCTATACACGACCAGTAGCAACCAAGGAGACGCTGATTTGGAATTCGACGAGAAAGGGGCGTATCATCAAGCTACCAGTTGCTCTATTTGAAAGACGTCCAGTAAACTCGAAAACCAAATTTGTGCTGATCAGATATAGCCATTGCTACCCAGTACGACATAGCGCACCAACATGATCATAGCAAATCCTCAGCCCTCAAAAAACACTTCATATCACTATTTTCTATTCCTTGCGACAGCACAAAGTTTTCGGTTGATGTTCATGTCGCTTCATAGCGGCAGGGGCCTCGATTACAGAAGTGTGAATATTTTATTGAAATCCCCTTGTAGCCTTGAGCTGATTCAGTTTTACTGACGTGCGCTTCCAGCTCGATGCTGTTCTTCAAATGCTCGCTGTTTTGCAATTGAGTAGCTGTAAGTAGTACCTTATGGTGGTCATAAAATTTACTTAGTTTCAATGGTTCCTTTGCCTACAAAACATCTATGCGGAGCAAGAAATTCGGCTGCGTCGTGCGGATTCATAATGATAATCTCAGAAAATGATGCAGTATATCTATACACTAACGTTGGCTAAGTCAATGATCTTGCGAGCCCACAACATGTTATAAGGAGCCACGAGGAACGTCACAATGGCTTGAATATTCTGGCCAAAGTTTCTTTGCAGCTGACATAGAAAATTTGTGGAATGCACCATGATGAAATCAAGTTGCTTTTACGTGAAATAAAAGTGCTAGAGATATATCTGCTGAAACATGGCAACTATGTATTGTAGACCCATTCGCAAAGCGATTACTGATAATCAAAATTGTATCGATACAAATTGCCACGTTCGATCACTTTTTACCAATGTGTCGATCAATCTAGCAGGGTGCAACTTGACGAAATAAAAAATATACGAGTGTTGAATCCCCTCGCAGTTCTAAGGCAAGAGCGCTCTATTTACAAGGGCTTACTGGTATTCAGATATGTACTTGGAGGATTAAGAGTGATTTATCTCATGAGGCATTGCTAAGTGGGGAATTGTTTCTGGGTAGTTTAGATACTAATGCGGCCGTTCCAACCTGAATCCTTTTTCATATCCGTATGCGAGGCGCAAATATGTGCTCGCTATCACGACTTCTTTGACGTTCTTACAAATGGATTATTATTCTTTCCCGTGATTACATGCTCGAGAGTCTCGACCAGAAAAGGCTTTAGATCATCTTTGCCCAATGTGTCGCCGTGGTGTGACTTGGTAAATCGGGACTTTGAATTGAGATACGTCCATGCTGTATGGAGCTCAATGCTGTTCACAGGGGAGACTAACACTTTGAACTGGGTATAATTAATTTCGTGCGTTGGCGCTTCATCGAAACCCTATGGAGAGCGTCAAAGCTGCAGGTTTTCAAAATACTTGTCGTATGAATCAATTCTTACAGTGGAAGCCTATTAATGGCGAAAACTCTCACTTGTTTTTATGTGAAAGCACCTAGTAATGGGACTGATTATTTGTAATCGTGCCACAGAGATACAATTCGTCTGTGCTCATAATTCTCGCACAGACTGAAGAAAACCAATTTATTTTAGTTCGTTCGCAGTTGCCGATGAGTAGCCAAGCTTCCTAAATATTGGAGCTGAAATCTACATTCGCTCCCCAAAGGCCATTGAGATTGTCGAATTGTACAAGCTCAAAGTTTTCATAATTATCCCATTAATCTTACAGCTTCCATTTTTTTAGACACACAGATTCGATAGAGCCAGCGGTTTCGATCTCTGAGTATCTCGAACTGTCACAATTAATCACCAATCCTAACACTAAGCTATTACTATTGGCGATCTCGGCCTTTCACACCATCTTAATAATATGTCTCTTTCCTATGCTTTGTCACCTTCCTGGCCAGACCTCGAAGGTCATACGAAACGTTTAGTAATTATCAAAACTTCTGGATCATCTTCAGCGCCCCTGGAAAAAAAGTATATAAGGGCCAGCGATCCACAGATTACGATATGGAAAGTAAAGATTAATTCAATTGTAGATTATTTCCGCATAGAACATCATCAGACTTCCGGTATCTCTGTTGAATCTCTAAAAACACTCCAAACAATACACTTATACAGCCAAATGGTCGCCCAAGTTCAAAAACCAGCTCCAGCTTTCAACAAGACCGCCGTGATCGACGGTGTTTTCGACGAAGTGTCTTTGGACAAATACAAGGGCAAGTACGTTGTTTTGGCGTTCATCCCTCTCGCATTCACTTTCGTGTGCCCAACCGAGATCGTGGCCTTTTCCGACGCCGCTAAGAGATTCGAGGACATTGGCGCTCAGGTGCTATTCGCCTCCACTGACTCTGAGTACTCGTTGCTCGCCTGGACCAACATCGCCAGAAAGGACGGTGGTCTTGGCCCAGTCGACATCCCATTGGTTGCTGACACCAATCACTCTTTGGCCAAGGACTACGGTGTCCTTATCGAGGAAGCCGGTGTCGCTCTCAGAGGTTTGTTCTTGATCGACCCCAAGGGAATCGTGAGACACATCACCATCAATGACTTGCCAGTTGGTAGAAACGTTGAAGAAGCCCTCAGACTTGTCGAAGGTTTCCAATGGACCGACAAGAACGGTACTGTGTTGCCATGCAACTGGACCCCAGGTGCCGCCACCATCAAGCCTGACGTCGATGCCTCCAAGGAGTACTTCAGCGCTGCCAACAAATAAATAGGCTAAGACGTAGGAGGGCTGTGGCCTTCCTGCAGGTATGTATATCTGCCTACATGAATATAGAATGAATATCGGCTTTATTCCGCCAATAGATTTACCGCTTTTGTTTGTCTTTATCCATTATTTGTGTAATATTATTGAAGTTGATACTCTAATCAGTATATCCGGTAGATAAAAATGCCCTCTCAGTGTATTTGTCCCATAGTTCATCATACTTGGCCAGCTTCACGGCCAGTTTTATATAGTCCTTGGTTAGCAACGATTTCATTCTGTATGGTTCATCGTCCGAGGAATACTCCACTTGATATTCGAACGCCGTTGTGGCAGCATCATCCTCTGTAGATCCATCTTTCAGTGCCTTTTTGTAATTCTTTTCAATGGTTTCAAGATCAGCATAGTACTGTATAAATCGTGTTGGTGAAAATAATTGTGGTGTGTAACCAGGCCCCGAATTCAAGTCTGCAGGCATTCTAGTTGGTATGCTTTTGTCCACCTTATTATTTATGCGATTGTTTTGGAAAATGTTGCTCCATTTCTGATCCTTTTCCTCGTCCCGAAGGTCGCGTTCCATATTGACCTCCAGCTTTTGGAAAAAATCATCCCAGCCTTTGATTTGAAAACTTCCAGATTGGAATTCTGAATCCAGTCCACTGATGTTGTATTCCCAAACCCGAAAAGCAGGATTAAACGTCGGAATGACCGAGCCGGCGATGTTGACAATACTATAACGATCAATGCTTCCATCCTTCTTCTTTTTCTTCTTACCATTCTTCTTTTTATTTTTCTTATTCTTTCCACTAGTAGAGACATCCGCCATTCTCGACGCTATTTTTTTATAATACATTTCGCGCACAGAATCCATGTACGCGCCCTTGTTCACAGGCTTGGCGCCCATTATTCTCACGTCACTGGCCTCCACGGCACTTTCCAAAAGTTTATCGAATTCCACAAAATCATCCTCGTCTTCAGCATAGTCAGGTATCTCTTGTGTTTTAGCATTAGAGGTTGCATCGATTGCCTTCCACGATTTTTTTCCATCGACTGGCACAAAGTGGTCCATATTCATATGCCCATATAACCCGCCTATTATGACATCACGGTACTCATTTGTCCATAAGGTATACTTATGATAACAGCTCTCCTCATAATTTTTTAATATTGGTGGTACATGGCCTGTGAGCCAAACTTTCATATTTCTGCTTCTCAGCTCTTCCAACACATATCCTAACCATAGTAATAACTGGTAACCCGGTTGTTTCTTAGAATTACAACTGTCAACTAAGGGATTGGCCTTGTATAGGTAAAGAGTTTGTATGGACAAAACGGCCAATTTGCCAGGAATAACTTCAACGAAAAAAGAAGTGCCCCGCGCAAACGCTCGCTGTTGTTCCTGTGGGACGAAGTTCGACCACATGTTGTAAATTTCACGCGTTTGTAAAGTTGGACCCAAAGAGAACAAGTTATGCGGGAAAACGTCATTGTTGCCAAGACTCGGCACCACATCCACCGCAAAATCTCTTGGGTCTGCGCTGTTGGGCCTTCTAAACATTTTTTCGAACTTATGAGCCATCTCTTCATTCAATTCGAAGATTTGAGACTCTGTTCTAGGAATTTTCCGATCATTGTCATGCCTAATATTGTCACCGGTCCATACCACAAAGTCAATTTTATCCTTTAGATTGTCCTCAACCCATTTGAGCGTGTACTCCATGAGATCCATGGAACTATCGCAGCCATTCATGGCCACACCGAAACGGGTGGCCGTATCTTTCTTCTTGTCCGGCTTGCCACTATGACATACGTCTGCGGCTGAACTCCCAGTCTTGTAATGGGGATCTGGATGTATGTCGGTGATGTGAAGAAACCTGCCATGTAGAGTCTTGGATTTTCCGCCAGGAAGTTGCAATATCTTGACTGGGGAATCTTGACTCAGTCCTAACGCGGCCAACATGTCACCCATGATTGCCGTTTGTGATGCATCCTGCACAAGAACTTCACTGATAGTTTCGGAGTTAAAAAACGATGCTGATGGAAGTTTGGTTTGGCCAGCGATGAATCCTAGAGCGAGCACGAGTGCCAATGCAACATAGGCCAGCGCTCGAGAGCCCCAAAACCTGGGCGCATCAGGTCCCTGCTTTTCTTTCAGCTCCTGCCTCACTGACATCGTTCAAGTATGCGAAAGCGGAACGGTGTACAGAGTCCAGAAAAAAGACGAAACGCTGCAACCACGGCTCCCAATGCTGACTAGCTTCTTACCAGTAGGACCGAAACCTTCAATTCCACTGACAGAAGTGTTTTTTGACGTTGCATGTGTGCTAGCTGGGAATAATTGCATGGTGCCCTGTAAACTATTGAGAGCACAAGTCACCATAAACGAAAAAGCTTCAAAAGAGAAGATCACGTGAACATCAGCTGATAGACATTCCCAAGGAATTTTTTGGGAACCGAGCACGTCTTGAGCCCCATGGTGGCATAGGGCGCGGTTCGTGGATCAAACGTGGCTCGCCTGACATTGATGCTGTTCAGAGGCCTTATTTTCGTCCATATTATTTCCTGAGCTACTCTGGTCGCGTTTTGCGAAGCTGCTGAAGTGCCTGCTGAGCATATTTAGTGCCTTCTATTCGACTCTAGCCACGTCCTGGCTTCGAGGTTGCACCGATGGCTTCGCCAAGCGTCGGTTACTGTAGTTTACACCCTTTTGGCACCCGGCGGTAGACAGCCGTACAAAAGGCTCCAAGTATCATCGGTTTATGGAAAGAGCCGGCTTCTTGGGCACACATACCCATCTGATTATCGAAACGTTACGCTATGCATCCCAACAGACCGCGGTTCTCTCTAGCTCAACGAAGCGAACCGTTTTACTTTGGTGAAGTTCGCGTTTTACCATTCTTCACGAACGCGCTTGCAGACGCGAAAATTAACGTGCCTAATTGCCTTACTCGACAAATAAACACACACGTCTCCAAGAACAACATTGTCCAGACGAAAGTGTGTTGGTAGCGCGTAGTAATATGCCATTAAAGTTAAGTAGGAAGTAATCGCCGGAAGGGGCAATGCCACGTCTTGGAGAGTCTCGCGACTGGCGTATGTTTACCACTTTAGATGCAGGTTTTGTCGGTAGCAGTTCTTGAAAGTAGAGTGTAAAGTAGTCGGCCAGCGCTCTGGCTGAATATATATGGAGCAGGTCAGCCGTTGAATGCTCTAGCATACCTTGAGGGGACACTGAAACAATTGAACTATTTCAGCCCAAGTGTTAGAAATCCGATTGTAGAGCCTTTACACTATGCTTCCGCCTATCAATATTCTCTTGCAAGAGCACGAGAACCAGCACGAGAACCAGCACGGATCGCTGTCAGAGCCCTGCTCGCCGTTTTTTGGCCCAGCCCGGCTCCCGTCATTCAAGACCAACGCTAATGGAACTATCAGGCTTCCACCTCTGCAGGCGCTCCAAACGGCGAAAGCTCCAGCTGCTATTGCAGTGCCGAGGTCGATGTCGTCCACTATAAAAATAGAGTCTCAGGTTCTGACTACGCCCAGAAGCAGTTTGAAAAGAGCGCGCTCGTGCTCAGGTGCTATTGAAAATTCACCCACTGTAACCAGACAAACAAACGGCTGCACCGCATCGGATGCACCCATGGTCGTCGTGGAGTCCCTAGCGACCAGAAAAGCTAATTCGTCGCGGGCTTTAACGCCGACTTCACTCGCCAGAACGCCTGCCACGGATCACAGGAAGGCCTTTGCATTTATATCTCACTCTCAGGACACTTTTCCTTCTAAGGAACCATCTATCGACAACGCTCCCTTGGCGAGACGCAAGCGGCGTAGGACTTCAAGACGCGAGCTTAACATTCTGCAATCCGAGTTCGAGATGTGTCCCACTCCGGACAAACAAAAACGTTTAGAGCTGTCAGAGCTGTGTTCGATGTCGGAAAAAGCTATTCAAATATGGTTTCAAAACAAACGTCAAAGCGCCAAGAGACAGCACAAGGTAGTCAACCAACATACTACCAACATTTACGCCGGCTCTGTTGAAACAACACCTGCACCACGTCCACAAACACTAGTATCACACACTATGACTCCATTAGCCATCAAGCCTACCATATATGGACAGGAAGACCCAGATACTCCTCCATCCGCACTCTTCGATACCTCCAATATTGTTGTAGACACTATGATGTCGACTTCCAGCCCCACGCCATCAAAACAATCGAGTCTGCAACAGTTGAGCCGCGGCCAAGCATTAACGTTCCGTTTGAAGAACGATACTAAGACTTTGACACCCATCAGAACATCGCCTAACAATCGAGTCAATAAATTGATCAATGGTAATACCAAATCACCAAAAGCACTACGGACAGGAAATGTATCGCCAACGCGGCAATCGAAGTTCACAACGAAAAGGTATCACGACCAGGATCGAGCTCCACTGCGGGGAATTGATGTGAACATCCTGGGAAATTAAGGAGATGATTTATGATGTTTATGTATGTTTTGGACTGTATTTAGGAGTTAGACGGCTCAGGTAATTAATATCTAATTTCTTTGAGTTGCGCAGACTAGGAATATGCATAGACGATGACGATAGTAATCGAGGAATCGTCACCGATCATGTAAAGGGATTCAATTCGTTTCTCGCATCTTTCGTCATATGGCTAACATTGAGTTTCTGAGTTTAAAACAAGTACTTACACTAACTAATTGATCTTTAAAATACAATCAAAAATAAAATTAGAATCAACACATTTTTGATAGTGTACGATTGGATTAAGCTCTCTTTCTACCGGTGGTCTTAGTGTGTTGACCTCTAACACGCAAACCCCAGAAGTGTCTGATACCACGGTGGGCTCTGATCTTCTTCAATCTTTCCAAATCGTCTCTCAACTTGGATTCCAAGTTGTTAGCCAAGTTGTGGTAGTCCTTACCGTCGTTGACGTCCTTTTGACGGTTCAAGAACCAGGCTGGGACTTTGTATTGGGTTGGGTTTTGCATGATCTGGACGATTCTCTCCAATTCTTCTTGGGTCAATTCACCAGCTCTCTTTTGCAAGCTGACATCGGCCTTCTTGCACACCAAGTTGGCGTAACGACGACCAACACCACGGATGGTGGTCAAGGCGTACACGATCTTGATGTTACCATCAACGTTAGTGTTCAACAAACTGTATGGAAATGTTAGTAAGCAAATTAAATCTTGGTGGAGCGCCCTGGGAACCCAGATACAAGTCGACACGAGGAGCCACCGACAAACGTGAGTTCTACCACTTCATGCACTCCGAGCACTTGGTGAGCATTTGTTCTGTACCTCGTCGTGTTTTCGCTGCTGGCTCGCAATCAAATCGGTTGTTATTCATTTCAATTCAAAGTGGGTCCTTTGTCGGGTCTTGGTCGTGTTTTCACTCGTTTCTGCTCTCAGGCGCTCGTTCTTTCATTAGTCGTGCTGCACATACCGCAAAATGTGTTGGAAGGAACCTTGTTCTTGGACAACTAGAGACATCTTTACCGCTTTACGTGAGCTAATCCTAGATTCCTATCACGATAGTTGCTCTGTTTTGACAAAAGTTCCAATTCCCAATGCCCAGGATCCCAGCATGCTGTAGAAACTCTCACCATCCCTCCGGCCCGTCCGCCACCATTGGGCGTCTGAGCAACACGAGTCGGGCTCCAGGGCGGAACAGAGCTGACTGCTAGGCAGTACCCAGGCGGGAGCCCAACGGGAGCCTGGCGGGAGCTAGACAGGAAGGCTTGCCGAGGCTAGACAGGAGCTAGACAGGAGCTAGACAGGGATACTGATTCCGAGCCTGGATTCTTTGTCTGTTGCATATATGTTTTTCTCCACCGCAAAAAAAACACGCAAAAAATTCAGAAAAAACACAAATGACTTTGAAGTTTTATATTTTGGAAATGTATGGGTGCGAACTCTATCTGTCGAGACTGTTTTTCTTGGTTTTCAATTTTGAGACGGCACTCACTTTTTCGGTATATTGATTTTATTTGGGTTTTTTTTGACCTGGGAGATATATCTCTAAAGTCATAGATTCTGTCCCATAGGCTTCAGACGTGAAGTTCGGTAGACTTAAAGTACGAGCGTGTAGTTAGGGAACCTTAGAGGGTAGAAGCGAAAGGTGTGCTAGAATGGACTTTCTTGGGTATATATATATAGCGAAATTACGTTCCTTTGGAGAAACTTCTAATGCCACGTATCCACAAATGGGGCATACTGGGAACTATGCCTGGATGCTTGTATATAACGTCCGGGTTTTCAACGCACAGAGTCCTGGGTCCAGATATTGAGCTTCAGTAGCTTTCTGTACTATCACACATTCTCCCGTGTTTGGTTTGGTTTTGTAATTAGCCGCCGAGAGTCGAGGATCACGTGACTGAAGACCGTGTCGTAGCGGCTTCGAACGTTCTCCCAAGCCAGGCCTTGCTTCTTGTCTGCTTGTTACTATGTACAGGGATATGTGCGGCTATACCGTATGCGTGACAGCCAAGTATTCCAAGGCCTCTAATTCGACGAAAATGCGACGAGCCTTTAGAATATCGTTCACGTCCACAAACTCTTTCTGGACAATGTTCACGTCGTCCTTGAAGGGTTCCGTGTACCTGAAAAGACCGGCGCGGGGTGCGTTCACGATAAACAACAAAGTGTCACGCGTCAGGTCGTGCGTTTCTAGGAATTTTTCAAACACGAGGTCACCGTTGTCGTGTTCCAGCGATGTGGGTAGTATCTCGAGCTCGTTGAGGTCAAGGTCATGGGTCTCGCATAGTGGATTGGCACCGCCGATCACGTAAATGTTGCCCCGTCTGTACTGGTAGCTCAAAGCGTTTATGATAGCCTGGGAGTAAGCCTTTTGCGGCAGTTTCGTAGTATAGTCGTTGGGAGCAGATCTGGCCAAAGCCCGGGAACCGTTATGTCTGGTGGGAGAGTTGGCATCACCGGCTCTGGCTTTACCAGAACCCTTTTGAGGCAAAAGCTTACGCCTGGAATAGCCGTTCTCACTTCTACTGGGAGGGTTCGAAGAACCCACACGCTTGTTGTCGTTTTCGTACACTACCGCTTTCCAAAGCAGGTCTCTTCTTAGGGGCGCATCAAACACTGTCGCGGGCACTGGAACGAAAGTCAATGGTTCTAAAGACGGAAATGAGCGAAGGGTCGCCAAAGTAAACACTGGAGGCAAGCTTGCATGAGGCAAGACTTGTGCGGCCGAATGCGACGACTGAAATCGAATGCTCTGGATGCTCTATACAAAAAAAAGTTAGTACCAATAATCTTCGCGCATGCGACATCAAAACGCCCATTCAATAATAACATACTCTTAGCAGAAGCCTGCTGGTACCACAAGACGACATAGGACCAGCTAAACCGTTTTGTGAAGGCACGAAAGGTTCCAAATGTGTCTAATTATGTTAAATCCAAAGTATTATGGTTATAACAATTAGAAAAATTTTGATAAAACAGTATTTCGTTAATGATGATACATGCTATGTTCGTTACACATATTTTGTATTTGCCGACTGCTATAGATTAGATGCAGAGTAGTTCTCATATATCCAAATATCAATCGGACGCCTACAACAGTTGAACTGTAATTTCTATCGAGTCTTGGTGCTCCTATCATATAAATTTATTTCTCTACACGTGATATTTAATAAGAGCTAAATTATACTGGAAAATTTTCTAGCTCATCGCAGCTCATCGCAGCTCATCGCATAGTAATATAAGTCATTAAGCCGGCAAAACACTCCATTTCCGGCGCTCTATACTCATTCCTCATACTTTTGTCAGATGTCATCGAAAACAAGATACTATCTGGAACAGGCTCTTCCAGAGGTGGACGATCTGGTACAGAAGGGTCTCTTTACCAAAAATGAAGTTAGCAGCATTATGAAGAAAAGAACGGATTTTGAGCACAGGCTGAACTCCAGAGGCTCTAGGATAGCCGACTACGAAAAGTACATTGAGTTCGAGTCCAATGTCGACAAGCTACGTCGGAAGCGTATCGAGCGTATCCTTGAAGGCTCCAAGACAAGCAGCATATCAGATTGGTCGATCCAACAGCGCATACAATTTATTTTCCAAAGAGGGTGCAACAAGTTCCCCAAAGAACTGAAATTTTGGTCTCTGTATCTCAATTACCTAAAGACCAGAGGTCACAAGACCTCTTACCGCAGAATCCACAGCGTTTACAACCAGTTACTCAAACTTCATCCAACCAATATAGATATTTGGGTGAGTTGCGCCAAGTACGAATACGAAGTGCATGCCAATTTTAAAAGTTGTAGAACTGTCTTTCAAAACGGTCTACGGTTCAATCCAGATTCCCCCGCGCTATGGTACGAGTATGTCAAATTCGAGCTCAATTTTATTACCAAGTTAATCAACAGACGTAAGGTCATGGGCCTCATCAACGAACGTGAACAAGAGCTAGATATGCAAGCTCAACAGCAAGAAGCTAAAGCACACGAAGGTAGCGATACTGAAGACAAGGAAGACACCGAGGATATAGACTTCGCTGGCCCTTCGACTGGCGACTCCATGAAGGACAAGTTGAATGAACTTCCGGAAGCAGACATGGATATGCTTGGGGACGAAGACACGAACCCAGCTTTACGTGGTGACATTGCGCTTGCAATTTTTGATATTGCTATGGAAAAACTTGGACAAAGCTTCTTGAATAAACATAGAGGGTACTATGCGGTCGCAAACTCGGAGCCAGATCACGAGCTCATTTTATCACAGGTGAACTATTTGTTCAACGTTTCCTTGAGCTACATTGCTCTATTTTATGATTTTACCGATCTACAGGGAGATTACCTTACAAATCATATTGTTCAATACTGGAGAAATAGCGCGCATAATGTCAACCTCGAAAAGGAACTGCCTGAAGTGTATGTGAAACTTTTGGTTTTGGAGATTACTTTGAACATTAGATTCAAAGACGTTGCTCAATTGGATGTCGATCAGCTACAGTTGTCCGTTAACAGGTACATTGCATATAAGGGAAAAGTTGGTGAAAGCATTGGTAAACAACTCAGGGATTCTTACATCACTTTCCTTCAAGACCAGATTCTTTCGAAGCTGAACGAGGATGACCCCAGATTCAACATCATAAGCGCTATCATTAAAAAATTATAAGTACTACTCGCAAAAACTAGAGGAAAGATTTTCATTATTACAGGTTTCAAGTGATGCCCATATATAGTCCGCCTCAAAGCCAACTTTGGGATTGGAAAAATTCGTGAATCTTGTTCGCCTTTGCCGGATCAATATTTAGCAGGTCGCGGCACGTCTTCTTTGTTAAGACACCGCCAGCCCTTAATAGTTCCCTAAACATCACTTCCTTGATGGCCAAGTAAGGCTTTGGTAGAACTTTCAGTTGCATGCACAACTGCTGTTCTTCTGCGGAAAGCAAGCCATAATCAGCACCATGTTGTATATCGCTGATAGTCAATGCTTTTCTACGCGAACCTTGATCATTATAAGCTTGTCCATAGTCAGCATTAGAGCGGTGAGCGGATGAGGTTCGATAGCGGCCATTACCGTTACCATTGGCGGAGGAATACATAGACCCGCCGAACCTTTCTAAAGTCATCATACGAGCCTGTTTGTCACGTTCATACTTGAGACCAGCCTCAAGTGTGGTAATGCCGTTACTTCTCCATTCCTGCAATTGATGTATTCTAGATCGGCATCGGAGCTCTTCCAGAATATCTTTACTAAAATCTTCAAAATCAGAGGGGGTCATTATCCAAGCTAATGCCTTCAAGTTGTTGTAGAGCTCTTTGGCCTCTTTGCTTCTCTTTTTATCTAGACCTTGAAGCTTACGGTACTCCATCAACCCATTTTCAAATAACATCCGCTTCTTTTCGGCTCTAGTGGTGAGCCTTGAATTATAAATGTCCAAAATTATTAGTTTGACCTCGATATCCAGCGGCTGGTCATCTGGTTCAAACACCATATCTTTAACGGGGCCTTCAGCTTCATTTTCAAACTCATTTTCAAACTCAAGTCTTCCAGGCATGAACCCTTGAACTTCGTGACAGCTCGGTACCGATGCCATAGGTTTGCGAGGCGGTTGCAATGGTTGTTCGCGAAATCTTTCAATTCTGCGCTTACGATCGGCGAGAAATTGTTCTTGCGAGATGTCAATAGTCTTCGTGATATCTGGAATAGGGTAGTGCTCGCTGTTGAGATAGTAGTCCGTGTAGTGCTCTTCAACTTCTTCTTTCGACCTGCTGCCGATGTGATCAGCAACATCTTGCCAGTTTCCAAGACCCAACGTTTGAGATCCTTTGATGAGTGCCAATTCTTCGTCCGCCCCCCAATCCGCGCACAAAACTGGGTATGAGTTGGTTTCAATAATGCGATAGTCGTGGTCCGGCCTGTGATTGCCGCTATAGGATCCTTGCGAAAAACATGGCACGCATAGATCGTACTCTGCACAAACAGCGCACGATATCCTGACCCTGTTGGTACAGTCCGCAGAGCAGATGTCACAGTGGAATTTGTTGGACATGTGGGAACAGAAAGTACCAGGGTTGAAATGCTTGACTCAGCACGCGACGGGACACCTGTCGAATGACTTTTTCCATTATTAAGATGAGAAATAAATAGAAGAGCACTTCGTACGAGCATATCAAGAGCCAAGAACCAAGAATCAAGTGAAATCACGAACCACAGGTTTCGAGCAGACACTGGTGGGCCATGCTAGACTCCACGGAAACGGAGCGGGCGTCCCCAAGAGCCACGTCATTTATTCAAGCGAATAACAGAAAAATCGAAAGCCCCGCATATCTAGGGCTGGGCACGAAGAAGTCTAATCGATGCTGGCCACAGCATAGCGCTGCATTTTTAATGAGCGACCATAACTCCTGCAACGTTTCATGAAACAACCTCCTGCTGTTTTTGACAAATGATGATGTTCATTTTGCAAGCACGCATAACCCGAGGTAATAACATGTCGGTAAGATGACAGAGACAATCATCGGACTTTTCCAGGTGATCATTCACGATTAGCATATTCGTCGGAGGTGATATACATCCGAGTTGTGACTGCTCACTCCATACACCATTTATTTTGTTAAAAAAACCTACGTGAAAAATTTCTGAAAAATTACAAAAAACACATTTTGCGTCGCTTGGATGGTAGAACAACAATGCAGAAGCCGCTGAATGCGGGTTGCCCGATTCACCTGCCCGGGCCTGGAGGCTCTCACCTTTGCCAGCCTGGAATCTGGTCCCGCCAGCCAGGGATGAGGTACTCTCTAGGCTCGACGCTGGTCGCTCGGCCACCCAGCGGCAGTCTGGCCTCTGCCTAGCTCTGGTGAGCCTCTGCCTGGCCGTTCCTAGCGTGAATCTCCAGGCTTCCTTCCAGGTGCCAGGCCCCAAACCTAGGATCCGCGAGTAAACACCCGGGCCAGAGCAGTATATTGAAAAAACTTGAACATCGGGTTTTCGACACCAGTAAGGACCTCAGACATCAAGACCAGCAATACAAAATGGTACGTTAAAATATGATTAAATGGACGATACGAGAGAGTGGATATTCCTGAGACATAAGACTGCTGCTGTTGCTTTGTGCGAGGGCGAGCGCAGCTAGTTTGAGACTTCAGATAACAGCAAATATGGTTAGCGACTGAACTCGCGAGAAAAGTTGTAGGATACGACTATCCTGGCGGCCACTTAATTCGTACGTGTCCTGTTGCTGTACGCCTCTTTTACTAACGCTAATTGCTTCATTACAGGGTAGAGTTAGAACCAAGACCGTCAAGCGTGCCTCCAAGGCTTTGATCGAACGTTACTATCCAAAGTTGACTATGGACTTCCAAACCAACAAGAGAATGTGTGACGAGATCGCCACCATCCAGTCCAAGAGATTGAGAAACAAGATCGCTGGTTACACCACTCACTTGATGAAGAGAATCCAAAAGGGCCCAGTCAGAGGTATCTCTTTCAAGCTACAAGAAGAAGAGAGAGAGAGAAAGGACCAATATGTTCCAGCCGTCTCTGCTTTGGACTTGTCTCACTCCAAGGGCGTTTTGAACGTCGACAACCAGACCGCCGACTTGGTCAAGACTTTGGGCTTGAAGTTGCCATTGTCTGTTTCCAACGTCTCTGCTCAAAGAGAGAGACGTTTCAGAAGAAGAATCTAAGCGCGCTCGAAAAGTGCCAGGGAGGGTTAAAGGATGTTACGATAGCCATTCTATGCCATCGGCTCTCTTTTCCCCATTCTCCTTTCGCCGTTTTTTGAACATTGTATAGCTCTTTCCCCCCACATGTGTACAGTTAAAATAACATCACATCAATACGAAGGATTTCAATTATATATTATTTTGTGGTGCAAAGTGTTATTGTAGCGACGAAAAGTAATGCAAAGGTACTTCTATGCATCCAGTGATCCTAGGCCTGTGTCACAGCAGCACAGCTCATATTATGTCCAAGATCTCTTTTCCCAAATCTTGGATTTTACGCAGTTTTTGATCCAAGATTCGTCCTTGGGCGTTGAGCGCCAGGGCGCGGTCGTTGATCAAATCGGTTATCACCTTAAACTTTTCGCTCAACCGCATTCGAGCCTCGATCAACCTTGCCAAGATCAGTTGATGCTCTTGCTGTAAGATTTGCCCCGTCATTATCCATGTTTTCAAATCCATCTTGGCAAACTTAACACAAGCATTCTTCTCTTCGGGGTCTTCGACTTCGCGAAAGACCTCATCGTAATATTCACGGGTTTCGGTCTTGGCATTAGCCTCGTGTAATGTCGAAGTTACAGGTTGGAAAGAACCTGGATTGGAAGGTGGACTTGGGAGTGTTTGTGGTTTCTCTACGTTCCGTGCCTTAGGCGAGTTTGCCTCCAGAGGTGAGGTAGACGGTAAGTCTGCTTTGATGCTCAAGACTTTGCCTTGAAGCTTGTCCACCTTCAACTTCTTTGAAACTGGCGAATCGTCGCTTTCTAAATCGTTCTTCGTCTTCTTGTTTGCAGAAGCCTGTGCGGTTATACTCTTTTCAACCGATGGCATCGTGGAGGTCTCAGTCTTAATCAAAAGCTTATTTTCTTGCGGAGATCTCCCAGTTCCCTGATCGGTCGACTGGAAGAACTGCGAGATAGTTTGCCTCTTGATCTCACTAATTGTTCCACTGTTCTTGGTCACTGGTCGTAAGTTGGCTATTTTCTCTTTGAGGGGTGGGCGGCTATCTGATCTTCGAGCAGGACTAACGTTCTTATCTGGAGTTTTACATGGAACATCCGTCAATGGGATTTGTTTGCTGCCTGGTTCAGATTTGATGACATTCATAGTGGCGAGTGTCGGTATGCTGTTGATATCTTGTAGTTTTTTTTAAGTCGGAGTTTTTTAGAGAGTCAAGATCTTCAATTGGAGATCTAATGTTCAGTACATACATATTTGAAATTGGATTTTATATCGAAGAAAGCAAGCAAACGGTTCTCAATTGCAGTCTGTTGGCTTAATATCAGCTTCATCTATATCTTACTGCATTAGATAAACAAGAAATGTAATATTCACTACCTAGCCCATACCTTTAAGCTGCTTTTTCATCCAGTTCGCGTTGTTAACAAAGTATCTGACCAGGGCTCTTTAATGATGATCATAGTGCTACTCGAACAGCATGCAACGAGCCTAGTGTTCATGAATTGAAATTATAGACTCTGGCTGTCCCAAGACAGGAAAACGCCGGGGTACACAATCTCACGTTGGCAGCAGGGCGAATTGTTCATGACTGTTGGACAGGGAATCATCTCATGTACAATGAATGATCTTCATTACATAACATGTGTGAGTGATCTGTTATTCACCAAAGATCTCTCAACTCGACTCAGGGAAAGCTCTGTTGCACTCTTACATCCTATGTTTTTAATATCCCCATTATTCGAAGGAATGATCTTGGAAGTATGGAAACCTCAAAGTGTTTACGATAGATAGTGTTTACGATAATGAGACGATGGCAGTTAGTATGTTGATAAGAGCGATCATGAAAATCACAAGCTGTAAAAAAATGTGGCTCCAAGACAATTGATTTAAAAGAAGTTGAACATTTATTGCAAGAAAATCAAGTAGTATGTTCGAGCTGCAGCGACAGGAGCATATTCCATGATATCAAAGTTCCATGTTTTACCCAAGCAGGGTATGGGACATGCAACAAGAATGATGCGCCAGTTGAGATGTTTCAGCACACCTCCCAAATATAATGAGGGTCTCCGCAGGTCCACTGGTGCTCTTGCTGCATTATCTCTCGGGGTTGGTGTGTGTTTGGGGCTTTACATCTCATATGTACCACACTCATCAAAGCAAGTATTTCCTTTGGCCTCCATTACTCCCCTCCATGAGCTGAATCCCCCACAGTATGGCAGTGAAGAAGATTTAAAAAATTGTATTATAGAAATCCAAAAGATCATTGGTGATAATTCGGTTGCAGACAGCGAGGCTGAGATCGATCATCATACAGATAATGGATTCAATCCATCTAAGCCACTGCCGCATCAAAAGCCTAGATATGTGATTTATCCAGAGTCTACCGAGGACGTGTCTCACATTATGCAGATCATCAACAAGTACAGTATTCCTGTAGTGCCTTACTCCGGGGGGACGGCATTGGAAGGTCACACCTATTCTACGAGGCCAGGCATCGTTTTGAACACTTCCAGAATGAACAAAATCCTGCAAGTCAATGTTGATGATCTTGATGCTGTTGTTCAAGCAGGCGTTGGCTGGCAACAACTGAATGAGCATCTATCAAAGCAGAAGGACATGGAAAACTTGATGCTCGGTTGCGATTGCGGTCCTGGTGCACATATTTGTGGAATGGTGAGTACTAATGCCTCAGGTATCGGCGCTACCCGCTATGGATCGATGGCATCGAATGTTATCTCGATTAAAGCTGTCTTAGCTGATGGAACAGTAATCAAAACCAAACAGAGGCCAAGAAAGTCCAGCGCTGGATACAACTTGACAGGACTACTGGTTGGAAGCGAAGGAACATTGGCTGTTGTGACTGAAGTTGTAGTAAAGCTTCAAGTCAAACCCGCCTACGAGGCTGCTGCTGTGGTTCAATTTCCTTCTGTAAATGACTGCACCAGGTCTATGGCGTCTTTTTTCAAAAGTGGTCTTCCCCTCAACGCGGTAGAGCTTTTGGACTCTGACATGATGCGGTGTATCAACTACAGCGACTTGGTGACGAAGAAATTTGAAAACATGCCAACTCTATTTATCAAAATTGGAGGGCTGAACAGGATAATTGTGGAAGAATATATTAAGGAAGTAAAATCAATTTCTCAAGCAAATCATTGCAGTTCTTTTGAGTTCGCCAGATCCGCTGAAGAGGCCGAAGAGCTCTTTTCTGCACGAAAGAACGCTTTGTATATGATGCTGGATTATGGATTCAACGAAATCAGCCCTGATGCCAAAATGTGGATTACTGATTGCGCTGTACCGCTTTCTCGGTTAGCATCAACCCTGGAACAATTAAACGAAATGATGAAGGAATACCCTATGCAGCACATGGTATTAGGGCATGGGGATGCCAATTTGCACTATGATATCTTTTACACGCCAGATCAATATGAAATGTGTAGAGAGGCTGTTGATAGGATGGCCAAGCTCACTATTGCTAACGAGGGTACCTGCTCCGGGGAACATGGTATTGGTGCTGGAAAAAGGGCACTTTTGGAAACCGAGTTGGGCGAAGACACTATTTCAATGATGCGCAAGTTGAAGTTGGCTCTCGATCCCAAACGACTACTAAATCCGGATAAAGTTTTTAAAACAGATCCTCTCGATGAAAACACCAAATGATGATATTTTGTTAATTAAAATTATATCCTTGGCTTCAGCATGGGGGATAACCTCTCAAGATTTCGAAGAAAGTTTCTTACAAAGGGATATTGAATTTAAATTGAACTTTTATGTGCCTGACTTTTCATTGAAACCTATACAAGCGTGGTTATCCTTTTGTATTCTTCGTATGTGAGCGGCCCTCGGGGCCAAAGTGCTCTTTAGCAAGGTGATTTACCGCGACCCACCCAAAAGCATTCACGAACTTCCGACGCACGACAATATTGTTATGAGAGTCCGGTTCTAAGCTGACTAAAACCTTCCTCCAGTTGGAATCTTCCTGCCATTGCCTTGCAATTCTTTCCTGTACCCTGTATATACGGTCATGGGGATAAATAATTTTTTTGAAGAGATCCCTCTCGCGGTAATGAGGTGGAGGCAATTCATCAGGATGATATAATTTATCATGTACTATTCTGTCGCCTCTTTGATCTGGATTTCGTATGTAGGCTTGAGTGGGCAATGGGGCGATAATAATATTAGCCGCCGATGTAAGCAGGTTTGCATGTGGAAGTGGAGTTATCGCATGTGCCTCATCAGTCGCAACATTGCCATCACCTGGAGATGAGGTTTTTTTGGTTTGTGTTCTTTGATACTGCTTGTAATTTCGTCTCAAAGCAGCTTGCGGTAAGATATATTTGAGTGCTGACTTTTTGTCCATCTTTTCTTCAGGAATCTCGCCGGTAGTGTTGTTTTTGCTAGAACTTTTTTGAGTTCCTTGGTCCTCTTTCCCGCCTTCTTTTCTCACACCTCGGACGTCACCCAGCCCTTCCCAATCCAAGTAAAGCAATGCGGCTGTTCTAAGTGGCACGATTCCATCATGAAGAATATTTGCATATGTCGTCCGATTTTTGAATCTCTGTATAAGTTCTATTACTGGATCAGAAGGAATGATTTCGAGAAGAGGTTTATACTTGTAATGGCCTAGAGTATCGCCCTTCTTGACAATCCCATCTTTGGACATAAAGAATGTACGATTGAGGTTGAGATCGGCACCTGTTTGTCCTAAAATTCCCAGATCCAGTGCGAGGGTAACGAAAGGCGGTACTTCCCCTGCAATTCCGAGGTATGGGCTAGCCAGTGTAATAAAGTGAACAGGCTCAAGACCCTCCATTCGATCAAAAATATCGGCTCTTTCAACACAGATATAACGCAATGCCATGGATTGGGTAGGACCTCCAAGTGAATGACCTACGAACGAAATGTATTTCAAATCATAATGCCGTCTTAGTTCCTCAATTGTTTCAATTACAAATTTGCCCATCTTTATCCCGTTCGTCTTGATGCCTCTAGAAGACTTGCCTTGATTTCCCATGTAGCCTCTTATAATTACATTTGCTGTATCACTATCGCTATCTTCTCGGGCGGTGGCCTCAATCTTGTCTTTAAGGTACACTAGATCGCAACCTATATTCGAAAAAATTCCGTGCGTTAGAACCACGAGATGAACGGGACGATTTGGAAAGCGTGGAGGCAGATTCCACAAGCTATGCGTGTCCCATTTTTCGCAAGTAAATCCTTTGACTGAGTTGATCGGCACCTGTGGCATTTCTTGCAGCTCTTTAGTGCTGACGCAGAGTCGGAAACTCAAAGTCGGGATTTTAGTGACGGACAATTGCGAAACGACATTGACCTGCCAAACAAACGTGGAAGTGCCTTCAAGTCTGGAATTCTCATTTAGTTTCAAAATCGCTCGATAAACGTCACTGGGTTTAACGTCATCGAAAAACTGAATATCCTCGTCAAACTCATCAACCTCATTGTATCTACAAGGTTGGACATCAACATAGAACGAGTAAGGTCCGGTCAAGTAGATTGGCTTTAACAAGGCATTTTCTGTATTCTTGAACGTCAAATGAATCTCTGAACCTATAGAATTTCTCCACTCCTCAAAACTTGTGTCTATTGAGATCCTATACCGAAACAGTTCGCCCAATCCCAATTTCAATTGATCGTCGACCAATAGTTGGCCGTCTTCGTTAATCTCTGGCATGGGTCAGGGGTTCTGGAAAGTCCTTAATATATTTTGATCATGCATATATATATTTATTATGTCTTACTTGGTCAAAATTGACATCTGCCACAAACAAACGTATTGAAATCTCGCCAAAAAGGCAAAATTGGACTGCTTTGTCAAATTGAGGGAACTGTGTTCACTAATAAATGGAGCGCAGGGAGCTTCCTTACCGGTTGGAAGAACTTCTGACGAGTTTCTACAGGTTGGAAACTGTGGAAAGAATCAACTACGTGCAATATGTTCCAAGCAAGTCGGACGCTCAATGGAGTATTCAAGCTGAACTAGCATTGAGAAAGCACAACCCAAGAATCTTGGCGTCGCTATTCTCGCGAGAGTTATGGTGTTTCAGCATAAATAGCGACTCGATGCCCAGTTTAGAACTAGATCAGCTAGGAAACGCGCCAGCGCCAGAAAAAACAGGATATTTTACACCTGATATTTCCAAGCCTAACCTCCCTACTGCCTACGCTGTTTTCTTGAAGGCATTGAGACGAATGATACACATCAACCTGTGTTTGGAGTCTAAGCAGCAGTTAGTGCCCTTCGGCAATTCCTGCTTGTTCAAAGCTAATGAAAATGCAAGCAAAGTCGTCCATTTCGAGCCTCAACTTTTTGAAAATGGAGATCTCTGCATGTCCATATGTACCAAAGAGATGCGGCTGTGCAGCTTAGATGTCAATATGATAAATGAGCCCTTCCTCAAAAAGAATGCCATCTATTTGGCTCCCTCAGGTATTCGTGCTTATCTGGTCTCCCCAGAAGTTAATAAGTGTATTTCACCGGCACCAAAAAATGCATCAGTACTGCTGATAACACTTTTGGTCTCACACGGTATTGATCTCACAGAAAAGAAAGATCTCACCTGGGTAAAAGTAACGCCAAATTTGGATCATCTCAATGGGTATACCCCGTCTATTGCTGGTTATCTAGACCCTCCAAAAGCCACAAAAACTGCCATTTGGCCCTTAGAATTGTGTTTTTCACAGCCTTCTGCTACGTTGGTAAACTCAGATGACTCACTGTCGTTCGAGCCTAATTTACAGGAGACTTTTGACTTTATTGATGACTTTATTCAATTAAAATTGACCTCTGCCTTCAAAACACCTGGAAGTACATCGGGTGGACTGGGAACGGGGACAGTGACTGGCAATAATGCCTTGAGTACCGGCGGAATTTATGGCGATCACTACCCAGCCTTTCACAAACATACACAGAGTGGAAGCTTATCTACTTTAGGCATATTCAACTCTCAGACTGCATCAAGACAATCTCCAAGCATCGCGTTTATGAATACAACCCCAGTTAACAATAGGTCGGCACCCCAGTCAACAGAAACACTGAACTCAGGGTTCTTAACTACACCTAATATCAACCAAAACGTCGAGACTGCGAATGACGAAATGTCAACTATTGGTTCTCCGCACAAGATGAGAGATATACCTTGGACAGCGGAAAGTAAAGGCTCTATTAATGGAGATGAAATTTCAGAACCCTCAAATGGCGGACTTTCAGATGTGTCGACGTCTCAAACCTGCGAGGGAGATTCAGACTTGGACACAGAGTTGTTCGGAAATGACAATGAAGAAGAGAATGAGGAGGCAGTGAACATTAATGAAGTTAATGCAGAACAGCATGTCAAGGACATTACAGATGATATGTTTGATATAGATGATGAAAGTGACAGCTCCAGAGAAAAAACAGCACATCTCAAGGAACCCTCCCCTTTCAACATCGAAGAATCACCTTTCAAACGAAAGTATTTAGACATACCGCTCGATGAGATGACGCTACCTACAACACCCCTTTATATGGATCCTGGAGCCCCTTTACCAATTGAAACACCAAGAGACAGAAGGAAAAGTGTTTTCGCTCCGTTAAACTTCAATCCAATAATCGAGTCCAATGTTGATAACAAGTATAAAAACGGGGGCAAGTTTTCTTTTGACGGAGGTAAAATTGAAGAGTCACTTAAATTTGACGTGTCCACTGCCAATATATCGAGTTCTGAAGACGAAGAATCGGGGAGTAGTGTTGATGATTTTGATGTATTGAGTGGAGGCAACAATATTGGTCCATCTTTAGAAGGGAATCCCCCTTTAACAGTCTTTCCCTCAGAAAGCCAGCCCCAAACGACGCTAGATGTCGCCCAACTAGGCGTTTTCAAAGAACCTTCTCCTCCCCAAAACTTCGATAATAATGGTAATGTGGAAAAAAGTGCACGCGAAAATCATTTCGACATGTGGAAGTATCCAAGAGGTGATACAACGCGCAGCTATAGCCCATCGAAAGGTCATTCCCAGCCAAGGAGCATGAAGCTTGGCCAAGTGAATATCGGTAGTAATGACCCTGATGACCTAACAAAAATCAGCAGCATCACGCCTTTATTGGATCAGCCACGTAAATCCCCTGCTATCAGCAGCTATTTCTCTGACACGAATTCTGAAGGAGCGGAAAGGTTGGATAGTAGTGAAAACATGTCTACCGAGTCTATTGCAACACCTGAATCCTCAAACAGCTTGCCATTTTTACTGCGACATATGCCATTGTTTTCAATACCTGGCATCTTTTTTCACCAGAATCCCTCCTTGCCCTTTAATGACAATTTTACCAGCGTATTAAATCTTCTGAGTGAACAGATTATTTTTGATAAGGGTCTACTAGGTGACTTGAGCTGTGAGCCTATCACTTACAATAATTTCATTGGCTGTGACAGCGGCATTGTGAAAACAACAGTTCAGAGCATATTCTCCAAATTTCAAAGACTGAACGGCGGAGAACTTATAGAGGAAATTAACTATATCAGACAGCCTGCGGTATATGTTAAAAAGAATGACGAATTAATCAAAATCAAGGGGGATGCTGAACCCTTTTCGTCACACCTTAACCTCAAACCCTATAAAGGTATCAAAAGCTTTAGATGTCTATTTTTGACTACGGATCGTAAAGATGACTGTCTCGAGTTCCTTTCTTCAGTTTCACAAATTTATTCGAGACAAGAGTTGGGCTTTTGTGAACTGGTAAAGCTCACATCTGCAGATACCCCAGGTTTAATCTATCTGATAAATTTGGAGAAGGACACGCTGCTCCTTCTTTCCGCTCAACTTGTATCGTACCTCTCAACTAACACTTTCAACACGAAGTCCGTCCCGCTAGTCATATTTTTGCCGATACGAAACCAGAGTTTGAGAGATGTCGTGTCTACCACACTGAAGTTTGAATTTTTACAGAAAGAGGTGAAATCAAAGCTCCCTAATGTCAATATATTCCTAAAAGTCATTCCAATGAATTTTATCAGCAATCCTTTAACTTCGGTAGAGGACTACTACGACTTGTGCGTCGGGATATACAACAGCATTCCTCCTAAAAACATGAAGTTTACCGCAATTGCAGATGAGGTGCCTAAAAGGATAGAGTTTCGAACCAATCAGCAAGCTAACGGGCAAACTTCTCATTTTGACATGTACATTCATTTGGCATATGCCAGAAGCATAGACAGAAATTGGATTTGTGCTGCTTGGTCAAACTCTTCTGGGAGCGACAACGGTGTCGAGACATGGTATATTGGTAATTCTACCACAGCATTTGAAGATGCTTGCAATCAGATGTGGCAAACAACTTCCAAATGCGCAGCAAACAACTACGGAAGAGTTTGCTTGGTCCTAACCAGATTTGATAGTGTTTTACCGGATGACGAGCTAATGCACTGGCGAAGGCTTTCATCCGCATCCAGAAGCCTTCACTTGGCTGTCGTTTGCGTCGGAGATAGTACAAAACTATCGTTATATGATGAGGATAGAATGTACCCGTCATTCAAGCCTCTTTTTGAGGATGACAGACTTTCTAAAAAAATTGAAATCTCAAACCTTGACAACTACGAAATTGTTGATGCTGGCAGCGAAGTCCACGGCATCATTTTTCAGAACCCTCTTCAATTGGCAAACTCGCAACACAGGTGTGCTATCATCACAGGAGCACTAGTGAGATTCAAATCAAATAGCGGTCACGACATCCTTGACAAGCTAGAAATAAATTTATTGAATTGTCCTCACTCAGATAGCACAAAGCTTTTGAAGATCATTTTACAGGAGTTCAGAAATCTGGCAGTTTTGAACACATGGTTTGGGCTCTCGAAATCTGAATTCTCATTTATACCTTGGCATGTGCTTGCTGTAAAGAAGATGATCAAAACAGTGGTACATTTGAAGGTTACGGAGTCGACTTGACAGAAATGAACGATCGACAACCATTTCCGCTTGCCTCGCTTTTCAACGATATAACTTTTTCAGATGCGTGTAGAGAAGCGGGATTGGCAAATCTTCCCATTTCATAATCATAGCAAACTCTTCCCGTCTCTGGTCATTTAACTTAACAGATTTGATGAACTTTTTCGAGGATTTACAAGCCTTCAAGGACTTTAACTCGTTGTCGTTCTCCCAGTTTCTTAGAATTGCTAGCAAGCAGATGTCGCATCTTTCAAGCGACGTGTAAAAACTCTCCCGAGATTTTTCCCAATCTTCATCAAGCGGAGGGAAGCCTGAGCTAAAAATCTCGATCAACGGTTCCAGTATCGATCCGCCGCTACGCAATTTTTCTACAGAAGCTATACTTTCATGAAGCCCGAAAATTTCTATACTCTCACGCAAAGTAGCTTGAGCAATGATTTGCATGTAGTTCTGATCTGATGATGGCAGTACTCGTACAGAAAAAAAGTGTTTCAATTGGCAAAGGTCTTCAATTTTGCTTAAAAATCTCCCCAGAGTGCAACTAAAAGTCGAGTCCAGCAACACATGATTATGACCTTCGCTTTGTTCTGACATTGGCCTGAGAGATAATAAGAAAAGTCTTAATAGTCGATGGCGGAACTGAATTGATTCTGCAAACTTGGAAGATTTACTTTTTGCATTTCTCGGTACATAATAATCTGGCCGTTTCGTTTCCTTGGGATAGACTGGATGTACAACAAAATTTCCGGCTATAGAATAATCGAATCCAATAAGAAGTATATCGCAAAACGCTGTGTTTAAATCGCGCGATTCTAGAGATTCGAAAAGGCGAACCAAGGGGCTATCTTTCTTGTTAAGCACAAAGGACTGGCTATCAAATCTGGCCTTATATTGAATGTAATAATCGTGTTGTAGCTCAAATACGTCGAAAATTATTCTTAGAAGTTGAATCCACTGTTTACTTCGCTCGTAAAGATGCGTGTCCTCCGAGACTGAGGTAAGCAACGCCCAGGCCACGCAATTCCAGAACTCACCTTCTTGGCAAAGCCTGCTAGTCAAAATGGTGTTTTTTAAAATCTCTGGTTTGTGCTCTAAAGTACTAACGTATGAAGAGTACAGGTTTTTGAATCCGGGTTTAGAGTATACTTCGCGTTCTGCAAAAGTTGTCGTTTCGAGTCGAACTCCAGAGTTAGTTTTTCGGCGTTTTTGTGGGTCTCTCTCATGGTTACGCATAAATGTTTGAGAGCCATTGCAGTTAATGTGGTCCAGAACGATGAAGAATTGACTGCGCAGCAATTGTATATTGTGACACTTCGAAGCCTTTTTGTCTTGCAAAAGTTCGACAAACCCTTTAAGAATCTTCAAACTCCGCGTATCAAAAGATGCTCTTCCGACATTGAAAGGGTCGATTCTGGCGTTTATTCTGGATGTTCCATAATCTGGAATGACTGAAAGCGTCATTAGGACGATCAAAATGTCGGCCGGAGGTATGTGAAACTTCTCGTCGATTTCATATCCCTGTTGCGCCTCGAAAGAAAACAGCAGCTGATCGTAATTTTCTACAGCGCACAATGTGTTGACCATTTCGAAAAACCTTACATTTTCTACTGTCAATTCGACTCCGTAGGGTGCAGGTTCTCCATCTTGCGAGGCTCTAGGTGCCGTTCTTGTTTCATTTGTCATTTTTGAGCTTCAAGCTCACCGTGACAAACTGAGAACACCAGCTTTGAAGGCTCACTTTGCAATCAAACAGATGAAACTGTGATGGGCCCAAAAAATATCCCTTTTACCGACTCTCAGCTTCAATTTGCATATTGATTTTTTGATCTTCGATCTCAGATGCGATGACAATCAAATGAGAGAAGCTTGGAAAAAAAATTTGAAACTGGAATACTTCTACAAATGTGGCACTGTATCAAACCGAGAACTATAGCTCACATTTTTCAACCTCAATGGAATCAACGGCACAAGAGCTGAAATCAGCTCTTCACCAATACCCAAATTTCCCAAGCAAGGGTATTTTATTCGAGGATTTTTTGCCAATCTTCAGATCTCCTCAGCTGTTTGGTAAGCTCGTGAAAGCTTTCAAGGAGCATTTCGAGCTCAAATTCAAAGACACTAAGATTGACTACATCGTCGCCCTCGAGGCGCGTGGGTTTTTGTTTGGACCAGCGGTCGCCTTGGAAATTGGCGCTGGGTTTGTGCCAGTCAGAAAGCACGGCAAACTACCAGGTGAGTGTATTCAGGCCAAATACACGAAAGAATATGGCGAAGACCTCTTCGATATTCAGAAAGAGTCGATCCCAGAGGGCTCTAACGTAGTCATCATGGATGACATCATCGCTACAGGCGGCTCTGCTTTGGCTGCGGGAGAGCTGGTGGAAAAATTGGGAGCCAATCTCTTGGAATTTGCCTTTTTCATGGAACTAGATTTTCTGAAAGGTAGAGAAAGACTTCAAGCCCCCGTTTTCACGCTCTTGACTGGCCAGGAACACGCACTTCAGTGAAAATAGCGAACGTTGGTTCGCGTTGCTCATTATTATTCAACAAATTTATATAGTATAAGATTTGCACTTCAGCAGTCCTAAGGAATTATGTACACTTGTCTTGTTCAACATCGTGTATTTCGTAACAAAATAATTGCGTCTCTATTTAGTGTACTTAACTATACGTCTAGCTCTTGTTCTACCCTTAGAATGTGTCGTGAAAATCATCTCATCAATTTCTTCCTGCACAGTCGAAATGTAATATTCCCCGCCGCGGTGCGTCCAAGAGACACTATCTTCCATAAGATCGAATCTCTCGACCTTCAATCTGTTCAGAATGTTGTCGGCGTTGTCGTAGTCAATTGTGTACCCACACGGTCTCAAACTCTTTAAACTTATTATCTTGCAGCCAACCTTCAATGGCTGTATCAGTTTGCGTACTAATTCGTTCAGTTTAGCATCGAAAATAAAGTTATTGATGAGTAAGACATCACACTTCGGCAAGAGTCCCTGCACTGCAGGATTATCCACGAAACTTTGCCTCAAAGAGAATTGAGTAGGTCCCAAATTAAATCCGTACAGCCTACAGCGATTTCTCAACTCTCTCTCCTGTGCTTCAGTAAGGGTGCTTGCATGGGGCATGAGCTCACATCCAAAACTGAGCTGGCACCCAAACTCAAGGGCTGCCTGAAACACACAGTTTCCTACTCCCGAACCTAGATCCATAAAAATGTGGTCAGTCCCAAGATTGCATTGTTCATAAGCTGTTGTGAGAAACTGAGGTAACAGCTCGCCGTAAACATTATTACTGAAAGCCTGATACTTTCTTAGTGATCCGGCTTTCGGATGTATAGTTCTCACGTATACCATATGCAGAATGCTATGCAATAAAGAAGTAGGAATCTTATCAAGAGACTTGAGCTGCTCGACAACTTCTTGCTGAGGAATATTTTTGATGAAGTCGTTGTAGATTTCGATTATCCGGATGAATTGTTCTTGTAGCTCCTCATCGAAAGCCTTATTTAGCGGCTTGATTACTCTAGATTGCATTCTGGGCAGATATTTGGGTGGCAAATATACGAGACTTGTGAACTCTATGATTCGACCAATTTCGCTCATTGAGTTATACCTCGACGAGTCGGCTTTAAAATCGACAACAAATTCCTCCTGATAAGTGGGATATAGGATGTACTGCAGTTTAACAACGCTCTTTTGTACACTTTTGGAGCGATTGATTTTACAAGAATGAACGAGTTCTTCCGTAAACTTATCTGAAGCATCCGGCCCAGGAAGGTTGAACGAATAGGGCATCCTCGTGAAATGGAAATCCCAATTAGACACGAATGATTCTGGGTGGCGAGTTTTAGCTTGTTTACTACCGGGTCTTATCTGGTTGGTGATTTGATCTTTCTGCAATTCTTTGGTGTTCGATATTCTTGGACTTCTACTTTTGCGAATTTTGCCTTTCGGAAGTTTAGATGCTTTAGGCACTTTAGAATTCAAATCGGGCGTCTTGTTGTCCTCTTCCTCATCGCTGTTCTCGGCGTACCCTACCCTCGATATATTACGCCGGGGTTTTCGAACCTTTATGCTTCCAATTACATCTTTTGACTTCTTCTTCGTACCAGCCGTATTAGTCTTTTTCGCTAGCCTAGCCTTCACGACAACTTGGGTCTCTGCGACTTTCTCAATCGTGCCGTTAGCTTTTTTGTTTGTTTTCGAGAAAGAGGTTTCCTGTTTAATAGTCGCAGCTCTTCTACCCTTTCTCCTCAAGAATGCGTCAGGCATTGAAAATTCATCATACGCTGAATACCTGCAGGCGTCATTCAACAGGGAAAGCAGACTTTTGTTCACTCTTGCCTTTTTTTTGGTGACTATTCCATCGTCGTCGCTTTTGCTCGATGTCTCAGCAGTAGATGATCGGGATGCCTCGGACATTAAAGACTCCGCGGCAGAAATGGATTCGTAAGCCATCTGCAAGATGACGACCACCGTCGCGCTTGTTTTATTGTTCTTGGGATGGTCTAAATTACTAGGTTCAAGTTTATTAACGTGCAACATCAACATCGACATCAACACTTCGCCAAAGAGTTTGTCACGTGAAATACTTTATTTTGGAAGCTACAAGTCTAAAACCAAGTTTTTGTTTTCTATCTCCTTGATGGAGCTTCCAGGAAGCACACTCCACTCTATCATTGTTTGGTTTCTATCGTAGAGCCAGTCATTTATCTTTTTAAAATGTTTGTTGCCAAAGAATCCTCTGCTAGCCGACAATGGGGAAGGATGTACGGAACTGAGTACCAGAAAGTTTTCTGGCGTGTTAGCAAGAAGACTCTTCACAAGATGGGAGGCATTGTTTCCCCATAACAAAAATACTAAGGGCTGTTTGGACCGCTTGCGATCTTCTATTATCGCCTGCACCACTCGCTTTGTGAACTGTTCCCACCCTCTTTTGGAATGCGAGTTCGCATTGTGTGCTCTCACGGTAAGACATGTATTAAGTAAAAGTACACCTTGCTTTGCCCAATTTGTTAGGTCGCCCACTTTATTGTCGACTTCAAAGTCCGGATAATTGTTCTCTCGTAATTCCTTGTAAATATTTTTTAAGGATGGCGGAGCAGGTATAGGCGCTCTAACGCTAAATGCCAACCCATGTGCCTGGTTGTGATTATGGTATGGATCCTGACCGATGATCACGACGCGTACCTCATCGAAGGTTGTCAATCTGCTCCATGAGTACACGTCGGCTTCGGGGGGGAAAACCGTGAAATCCTTCTGCTGTTCCAGCACAAAGTCTTTGAGTTTGAGAAAATAACTTTTCTGAAATTCAGATTCTAGCTTGGCAAACCACGCGTTGTCCAGAGTGTCGAGTTCCAGTCTTAACAAAACTAGTTCGCGATCAGATAGTTTTTTGCGAAATTGTTCTTTATCAAACTCACCAGTGACTTCCAAACTGTTACTATCCGCTTCAGTAGTTCCATTAGCCCCATTAGACACTTTGCAGCTCTGAACTGACTTGATCTCAGCTTTCTTTCCATGAAAAAACTCCATCAACGTCTTTTGTTTCTTGGCACCATCGACAGCTATTTCATCGGCCCTCGAGCGCTTGGTTTCTGTCATTTATGCTGTTTAGTATCGACTGTTTTCTGAAACGAACAGGATTAGTTGCTTTCTTTTCAGCTCTCTCTTTTCATTAGTCGAAAGCTTCCATTTCGATCGCGATGCATTAATTTTAAGTGAAATATTAAAATAAGGGCTCTTAAAACATATATACAATACATTATTGTGAAAGATACAGAATCTGACACGATCAACACTCTGAAAAATATCGCATTATCTGCATTATCAGGACCTGACTTTCTCATTTCGGGACGCTTGCATCACAGAATCAGGCAAGAACAAGGAAAAGGCCGGTTCTACTGTCAGGGAGACGTATTTGAAAGAAATAGACAGCTCATGGGCTCAGCATCCAGTAATAAGTCTTCCAACTCTTCCGTAAAGTCAAAAAACAACAGGATTCTGTCGGAAGATCTGATAAGCGCGCCAGACGAGAACCCAGAAATCAGAGCAGCCAGTTCCGCCACGACTTGGACTCTTTGGGGTGGGAAATCAGGAGGCAATACTGATATTTTTAAAGACACCAGCAAGCCAGGCGCATCTGAAGTTGACAATATTACTAAAGACACTCATAAATACTCTGAAATTAATAAAACGAGCGAATCAGGCTGGTGGAGAAAGTCATCAATTAGTTCTCTTAGAACATTTGCCAAAAATGATAGTGCCGAACCGGAGGCGAAGAATGCAACTATCCCTAAAAAACAATCCCCAGGACCTCAAGAACTGGGAATGCTGGCCGAGCCCAGAAGAAGGGCGTGGTCCTTTTGGAATCGAAAAAGCGCGGAAAGTGATGAAAATCCCCCGGCAGCGGAGGTTATTGACACCCCGTCAAGTACCGCTAACGCTTTGAAACCCATAATAAATGAATTAATAACTGGAGTACCTGATGATGCTATTTTGTACAAGAAGAAATCGAAGGACGACACTGCTGGGGAACAAAATCTGGAAAACAAGAACGAAGAGCAAGGCCATTTATTAAATATTCTCACTCCGTCTTTCGATATTTTGCCCAAGCTCACTACCATGGCCTCGATTTACTCTAACGTGGGTGAATACGGGCGTAAATGGCACATATTGTCCAAGGACACATTGAAACCCAAATCCCTTCATCAAAGAAAGGCAGTAACTACTTTAAACGCGCTTAGATCTGATGCGGAAAAGCCTGTCAGAGTCTTATTGATCGGAATTCATGGGTTTTTTCCGACTCGAATGATTAGACCTCTTATCGGTGAACCCACCGGCACATCTACCAAATTTATCACAGAGGCTGAGAAAGCCGTAATCAGGTGGTTCCGAAATCAAGACACACAAGTCGAGATCAGTAAGATAGCCCTCGAGCGTGAAGGTAAAGTAATGGACCGCGTCAATTTCTTTTTCGAAGTCCTTACCAAATGGGTCGATGAAATTAATAAGGCCGATTTTATTTATTTTGTTGCACATTCCCAGGGGTGCCCTGTGTCTATCATTTTGCTGGCAAGGTTGATAGAAGCTGGTGTTATTCGCTTGGATCAGGTAGGACAGGGCTCCGATGAGCGAGATGTTACAAAAGGCATAAGGAAAAATAAGGTTGTAAGCATATTAGCTATGGCTGGTGTTAATAATGGGCCCTTTTACGGTGTGGATCAGACGCTGTTTGTGAGAGCATACTCTACAATAGAAAATGATTCATTAAGGGAACTCTTTCAATTTCAAAATTTCCAGTCGGTTCTGGCCAGGAAATTTATTCAAAGTCTCAGAATAATAATTGCTAGCAATGTCAAAATCACATTCGTTGGTTCAATCAATGATCAATTGGTGCCGTTATACTCTTCCACATGCTTATTCGCCCATCACCCGAATATTTTCAAGGCGACTTTTATTGATAAAGACTCCAAAACCCCAGATTTTATTACGCGCATAGTTGGAATCGCGAATCATTTGAATAATCTGGGATATGATGATCATGGAATAATAAAAGAAATCAGTGGGTCTTTAGCAGGCACGTTAACTGGCGGGGGGCACTCTAAAATTTATAATGAGGGACACGTTTATGATCTGGGAATTAAATTTGCATTGGAGACTTCGAATATCCCCCCTGATCAACCAGTTGTCTACAAGACCTACCAAGTTGATGAGCTAGGCTCGAACCCATACCACTTGCCGTGGTGTATGAGAGGGCTATTGTACGAGACTGGCTTACATGTAGGCCGAGAACAGATTGTAGAGCTCTTTCGAGAATTTGAAGAATGGGATCCTGAAACCAAATTACTCAAAGATGTGAAGTATAGACTTAATGGTTTAAGGTCAAAGCTATGATATCGCTGTGCTTAAGTATTCGAAATCTCCTAGAGAAAAAACCTCATAGAGCCTCTACGCAAGTAGAAGTAGTATTCGCTTTAAAACTAAGTGCTTTCACTATCAGTGTCAGCTCTTTGTATTCTCTTTTTTATAAGCCTCCGTTTTTTTTGTGTGGCCCGTGAAGTTTCGCGGTTTTTATTAGCATCGTGTCGTTCGTTATCATCGTTCACATTATTATCATCTTCTGCATCACTTGAAGACGCTATACTTTCTTTCGGAAGCACTATGTTAGCCAGTTTGTTCTTATCTTTGATGGACGTCAAAAAAGAAGCCTCGTGAGAGTTTTCTGCGAATTCGTTCGTATCGTCATCAAAAAGCGTAGGCTTGTTCTTACTGATAGCATTGCGCAATCCTTCATTCTGGCTAGCAGGCGACATCTTAGTGGCTCCGCTAAGTTTGCTGACTCTGCCATGTTCGAGAACCATCTCGTGCGATTTCTTGTTGATAGGGCTTAGCAGGTGTACTTCTTTCCGGTGTTCTTCTCCATTGTCGGGTGTAGTACATTTTGGCTTAGGTGCAAGCTTCCGAGCATTCTCAAGTTTGGACTCGAGTAATGCTAATTGAGTTTTGTGCAATTGCTTGTGTTTCTCGTTCTCCTGTTTTAGCAGGTTGCACTCGGTGGCTAGCTGCGCAATTTGCCGCCGTAAACTTATTGTTTCTTTGACTAGCATCGAGTCTTTCTGCACCACATCGCCGCTGTCAAACTTTAACCGACCACCATTGACATTCTCGTGATATATCCTATCACTCTCAATAACAGCTTCGTAGTAATTCGTCAGCAGCTGCAAAACTGTACTCATCACTCAATTGCAGATAGTGGGTAATATAACAATTGTTACCACGATCCGATTTGAATTATAGAGTTTTATAAATTTACAAAATATGTTAGTTTCAACACAACCAATTCGTAAAGATTCGAAAGTATGAGATTTTTAGCCGTGCTCTGGCTATTCTCGCTGGCACGCTTGGCCAGATCTTTACAATGGGCCGATATTATCAATTTAAGGGACCAAGACGGTATTATAGAGGTGACGGATGCAAATTATCAACTTCTCGCTAAGGGCCCTAGAGATTTCTATTCAGTGCTCTATGTTACTGCGTCGCAACCAAACTCCCAGGGTGAGTACTGCGATCTTTGTGATCTGTTTGAAGCTAATTTCCGAAAGGTCTCGCTTGCTATGCTCAGTCAGTTGTCTGAGGAAGTCAATCAAGAAACATTTTTCTTCAAGTTAGATGTCTCGCACTGTAGGTCCTTTGTACAAGAGTTGGGCCTCAAAACAATTCCACACCTGCTGATATATCCTCCCAATCCAAACAACGAGAATTTTGCATGGTCTAAGGACCAATTCTACCAATTCCATGTTACTCGCGAAAGCGTGCAAGATCCAGTTTTGTTCGCAGATTTTTTGGCCAAGATTCTGAACGTGTACATTCAAGTGATGCGCGATTTTGATATAACCGAATTCTCGTACTATTTTCTGGCATTTCTTGCCTGCTTCTACGTGTTAAAGAAGAAGATTCTGCCGCTTATACCTGACAAATCTCGATTTTTCTCGCTGTTCTTTTCATTGGCGCTCATCTTTGTATCGATTACGGGCTACAGCTTCACGCGGATGAACAACATTCCGCTGATAGCTAAGGATGAGCAGGGTCAGATCATGTATTTCAGCGGTGGTATGGGTTGGCAATTTGGATTAGAAATCTTTACGATTTCGGGCATGTACTTATTTTTGGGCTCCTGTACGGTTGGTATGATTATGCTGCCTAGGTTGAATCTGAGCTCCAACGTTTTCAATGCAGCTTCAATAATATTACTTGCTTGTGGCCTTTACGGTTTCGTGTATTTTACAGAGTGCTTCAAGATCAAGCAACCCGGATACCCATTTGCACTTTAAGTACCTAATATAGATTTGATGCAATTGATTTATCGACTTTATTAAAAATGTGAGTATTACTACATGCAAAGATTGTTTTCAATCATTAGCTGAAATTTCTTCTTCATGGAATTCGCCTTCGGACTGTTTGTTAACAATGAAGAAACTGCCACATATCAGCACTGCCCCTGACAGATATATGAATGACATTGGTCTATCTTTAAAAAGAAAATCGCCTAGCATGGCGAACGGAATTGTAGTGCTCAGACCTACCGTTACAGTCAACGGAGATGTGAGTAGCATGGCCTTTGCCCAACAAAAATCACTAATAAAGGTGATGATGCAGTTGAAGATCACGATGATAAGAATTCGAGGAGTGCTGGGTAGTTCAAAAGTTTCCCAACCCATGATATGCAAAAATATAACTGTTGGCCATAGTAACACGAGTGTGAACAAACCCACGAAACCGAAAAAAATCTTCATGTTTACCTTGTTCTCATCCTTGATTCTCCATTTCAGAAGCGTACAGTATAATCCGTAGAACAGAGCACCTGCTAACGCCAGTAAATTGCCACAAAAGATGATGAAAGCTTCAGTATTGCTGGAGGAAATTCCGTTGTGAAACTTATAAGGTACCGCGGAATGAATTTGGCTGGCATTGGCAGAGTTGTCCGCGTCGGATTTAGTAACAAGCACTATCCCAACAAAGGAGACCAGTGAGCCCAATAGTTTGGTGCGATTGACTTTTTCGACGTGAAACAAAGATCCGATGAGCAAGGTGAAAAACGATGATGTGGATGAGAGAATGGTCTGCGAGGCCACTGAAGTATATGAAAGCGAAGCATTAGTAACCAGGTTGGCCACAAACCATAGAATGCAGAATTGTGCACTAAGTTGAATGGTAGCAGGCAATGACAGTTTTGCGCCAGTGAGAGCGTCGTTCGGAAGGTCGTTGCTGTCCTTGGGTACTAAAGGCGACGAAGAGGTAGTGAGATCTGGGCCGGTGTTGAAGCCATTTTCAAGACCACTGCCACGCTCAGATCGGAGTGCCAGCTGGGCCTCAATGTCAGAGAGTGTCCGGCCCTCTTCCTCGATCACGAGCTCGCGATGGATGTGGAAGCTTCCCGTGTTCCAGTAGTTGGCACATACCGCCTTGAATGTAGGGACCAGGTAAAACACGAACGAAGCCGTGTTAATGTACGTGAGCAGGAACGGTTTTCGGTACGATCCGTCCTCGAAAATCAGATTTATCAGGAACGATGACAGCACCCATAGAACCACCACGATCCCGAGGAAGATGAGGCCTAGCGTCCATCGACGATTTGCGAAACGGGACATACTAGATGCAAGCAGTCTTCGAAATATGCGAATCACCTTGTCGAAAGATATCCTTTACTTTTTCTCGCCAAAATTTGATGCGATGGGTGGTGCGCTGAAGCTGTGTATTCTGCCGCTCTAGATTGGCACTTTCTAAGCTTTTCTGCCAGCGTGGACGTCTTTCTGAAACCTTGAAAGATGGTTGTAGGTCGATTGAACTAGCTTCTGGTTGGCATCAACAAGCTTGAATTAAAAAATTCGTGCTAAAATGGCGAGAAATGACCAAGTACCGGACCTGGAGATATTATTTATGATAAGGTGGTGCTGAGCATCCACTGAGTCGAATATCAACACAGTCACTGTTCACGGGTAAATTTTTTTCAACTCCACCAAGGAAAGCCACAGTAAAGTCAGTCGGGTAAATAAATGTTAGCGGCTTGTTGAGGGCGTCAGCGCTGGATAGTTATTCCAAGCTCGAGAGGTCGATCATTCTCTTGTGGAGCTTGGACGCGTACTTAGTAGGAGTGAATCCTAACAAGTGCGAAGATTGAGATATGCAGGGCATTTTATATATGAGATTTATTTTGGAGAGGTAATTGGGGGGCCTTAAAGCAAAGCCTAGTGAATACAACACTTTAACGCAAAAAACAGGCGCTGCGGCTCGTTTTTAGGAGTATATTATCAAGATATCTATAACAGATTTTACATCGGTTATGGTTGAGCTAATAATGAAATAAAACACTCTGAGTCGCCGACCAGGTCCGTGCTGTTGGGATTTCGTTGCATAGCTCGAAGACTGAAATCTGGGGGACTGGTGCCTGTGTCTTCGACCGACATTAAAAAAATTGATAGTGTCACAATAGTATAAAGTGATATAAAATGATTTGTCCTGCGAGGTGCGGCTTGATACCTACTTTTAGGCCCTACAATCCCTCGGAACTCTGTAAATAATCGAGCGGAAAGTGCAAGCGTCGGAAGTGGTATATCAATGGCTTTGTGATGTCATTTTATTTCACTGAAACAAATCTTCTTCGTTACAGAACAATACCCATTGGTTTTCTGGAACTTTATCTGCAGAGGCAGACTTGCGTCAAATGTAATTAGCTTGCTGAACGTATCTTTTAATTCGTTCCTGTTGCGTCTAGTCATATCTGCGACAGCTGTAGTTAGCTTGCTAAACCTATCGATTAGGTCGTTCATGGCGTGTCTAATGAATTCGTATTAGGAATTTGGGTGTATTTATCTCTTTGTAGTTCTCTCAGCTTTGAGCATGATCCATCGAGTGAAATAACTAATTGGTATCATATCAAACAAACTGAGCATAAAAATCTTTGCACAATCTCGAATAATCGTAAGATACATCGGACATTTTCCATTGGCCAACAGCAAAATATCGGAGTATCGTGTGGTACTTGTCTTAACTTGGAGATGATGCATCAAATATTTCATCTGCCGATTATGTTTTTGTTAATATCACTTTGTACTTTTACGTCATTGCTCTTGGTTCCCGTTATGATCCTATTCTGATCTATTTTATTTTTCAATTGCCGCTATCTAGCAATAGAACAAAAATCCTAACACTCTCGCCTAAGGTGGGTTCCGTTAGAATGTCGGTGGTTGCACTCATGGACGTATGGTATCACTTAATTGATGACTACTGGCAATAAACTAGGCGGTGAAAATCTTTGCGCGTTTTTCTCAAGATGTGAAGAGTACAGTTACTACATAGAGAATAGATAACCGGTATCTGTACAGTCATTTTGGCTGACAAATCCTGTCAACATGAAACGTTCCAAATTGTATTAGTATTGCATCAGCTTCATTATTAATCGCAGTGATAGGAACGTTTAATGAGTAGAGGCTTTGTCACTTATATTCGCCCCCATCACAACGCTCTGATCAGCTACTCAATCCGTGTAACTCTATCACTGGCATGTTCAGCCAGTGATAAAGTTTTCATCACTTCATACCAACGTGACATCGCCAAGAGTCGACAATACCCGTTGGTATCCTCAATGCGAGAAAAATCCCTGGCTCAAAACTAAGGGTTTGCAAATAGTCAACACCATCAATTATATCGGTTTACGAGCCTTTATTTAGGATTTGGGACATACTACTAATAAGACAAAGCGTTTCTGTGTGTTTGAAGTAATCGTAATTGGGCAATCGACGACGTGCGTGTATTTCCAAATTGGATAAGGGAGTGCTTTTTTTTCAGAGCACAGTAGTTTTTCCTGAAACTGAAGCTTTTCGTATGATGGGGGACCTCTGCATGGTATACCCATTGCCAATTTCTCTTGTACACACGTGTAGCAAATGTTTTCGAACAGAACATTTAGCATACTTCAATGATTGTCACTTTCAAGAGCATTTCACAGCCGGTAATCAAACCTTTCAAGTACTCGCACCTTACTTGAGGCGCCATCTTGTTGTTCGTCTGCCCAATTTCTGTAAGACATATCATCTGCGAAGAAAGAATGTATTTTACGGTGACAAATACAACAATGAAAACTTCAAAGAAGTGAAGCGAGCTTTTCCTACTGGCCTTGCTCCGTCGGTTCTTCTAGTTCATCTCAGTTGATGTTTCTGTTCGTGTGCTGTGACTCCTTTTCTCTTAAGGGAAACTTCAGATGTGTTTTCATTGAAATAAATGAATGAATCACACTGGAACCCACAACCAAAATCAAAGAAATTAATCCTTCGCATAATTTTAAACGCTCATCTAAGGCGAAATAGAATGGGTATGTTTTGAATTCAGCAATAGAACTGCGTAATGTGATCCTCAGAGGAGCGATTCTGCTCTTCGTGTGGCTTGCATCAGCAGCAAGAAGTCTCTTGAATACTAACGTAGGATGGCCCAATTGCAACAGCTTCAGCAACAAATGGCGGCTCTAACAAGAAGAAAATGTCTCTAGAAGAGTTTTTCAACGATAATTCGTTGGGGGACTCTGTCTGGAATGAAGAAGATATCAACCTGGAGGCGATTTCGTCGCCACTAACAAATACGACGAGTATTGATGTATTGAAACATACACCGATAAGACTAGCGACTCGTGGATCCGAAGAACCATACGGTAATTCTCCTGGTGCCACTCAAGGTGGGTTTCCAGGCTCTGCACAGGCTCAGGGCCCACCTTATATTGTTAAGTTCGCCCATTTGCCTTCGCAATTTACTGGGCCCGAAATCGAGGATCTTTTCCAAACTAAATGCACCAAGTTCATCAAGTTCAAACTGTTTTGGGAGCTCAACAAAAAACCATCTGTTGGTGCCGCTTTGAAAAACTCTAGTTTTTTTGATCTCAACTTCACACGCGACTCTAAAGTCGCTTTTACGGAGCTGTACTCCGCTCGGGACATGGATAAGATTTTGAATAATTGGACTGAGCCTTTGCGTGAACTTTACGATATTGTTGTTACCCCGGCTGATTTTGCAGATTTCAAACACTATATTGAAAAGACTAAACAATTGAACGAAGCGGATGATCCCGCCAAACCATTTACTCCTAAAAAAACTTCCACCAAGTCACAAAGTGATAATCTAAAATCCAAGTCAAATCCATTTGGGTCTGCTAAGCCTACCGACACTCAATCCATTACCAACGATATCGAAGACAAGTTCAATAAGTTGCATGTCGAAGACACGAAGACGCTCAGAAGACTATCGAGTGAAGGTCAAGTAAAACCTGACATGGGTACATTTGAAGCTAAACCAAAACCATTGAGCTACTCCGCTATCTTGAAAAGGTCTGTCGATGCTGCTGCTGCTCCACCTCCAGTTCCTCAAGTTTTAACTCCTATATTAAGGGAAGCCGAAACTAATGAAGACGCTGTAGACGACAGTGATGCCCAAACCAATAAAGATGATATAAAAGAGGATGAAAACTTGGATGAACAAGGACAAAATTCTGAGGGCTTCACTTTTAGAGACTCTAATCACAGAGGTTACAGTGGATCTCGCGGTCGCGGCTCTGGTCGTGGAGGTCGTGGCGGACGTGGTGATCGTAGTGATCGTGGAGGTCGCGGAGATTACGGAGATCGTGGGAGTTATCGTGGTCGCGGAACTGGTCGCGGTGGGTACCCAAGAGATGGGGAATCTGGTCGAAAGTACGACGAATCGCGTCCTAGAGGCGGCAAATTTCAAGGATCAAGAGATGAAAATCCATACTCGGTTTTCCGTCCGGCTAGTGGATTCTTGAGAGAAAGTGTGAACTCTACTGGCTCTAGAGGCGGAAGAGGCGGTCGTGGACACTCGTCTGGTGGCGATCGTGGATACTCTTCCGGTGGCGATCGTGGTAGAGGTGGCCATCGTGGTGACCATCGTGGTGACCGCCGTGGGTTCACCGCAGTGTGAAAAAGGCCGAAAGCTAGAGAGAAGAAAGAAAAGTACTCCGCCTTGGGGAGAAGTAGATATTATTTACTCTGTTTTGTTTTGCATGTGTGTACATTAAACTATTAGATCACTTTTTTTTTATTGTGCTTCATAGAGAACCTTGCAGACTTCTGTAATGGGCAAATCCAGTACCCCGCTTGTCTCTTGATATGCGTATTTATCGAGAAATTCTTGGTGCGAAGAACACTGGACGACATTGGCACGAGAATCTGTAAATGTTCTCATGTCGTGAAGGGGAACAGTGAGTATGTCTTCGTTATAAGCTAATAGCCCAAGATAACTAAAGAGCATACCCATGAGTATTATGCACTCGATCACTGCAATCCAGTAACGCGACGGCAGTAAATCAACTAGTTCTTGTGTAAAGGTGATAACATCGTTTCTCACACTATGCTGACTTGTTTTGAAGACTTCCAAATCTGGCAGCAAAGACCAGACTAGAATGAAGCATAGTGTAAAAGTAACCGCAATATATTGGGAAAATCCGAAATACTCGCGGTAGGGAGACTCGTTTATCATTTGTATGTATACTTATGATCTTTCAATTAATTTGGAATTTAAACTTAATTTAAAAATATGTGCACACGACACGGAATTTCGAACCAGCAATGAATTATTATCACAGAGCTGTATATTTACATTGTATAACCAGAAATTGTATATATATATATATATATACATATATTTATACATATCATTCTTGCGAGAGCTGCTGTTGATTGGCAATTTTTCTTTCTTGCCTTCCTTTTTTCATGACCTGCTTAATAGCCGCGCTGTCCAAGGGATCCAACAGCTCAAAACTGCAAAGCAAGCCTTCACTAACGCTCATAACGGCTCCCCAGTTATCGAATTCACCGCAATAGTTTGGAGCAGAAAATACCGTGACCAAACTTCTATCGTTGAAAAATTCGTATCCATCTTCCACAACCATGTGTGCCCTGCACACCAAATCAAACCCAAACTTGTTTAAAAATTTATTGATAGCAACCTTGTTGTAACAATAACTAACGCCTCGTTCGTTATCTTCCCATTCATTCGGTGAGTCCGTAGGATCCGACCACAGCAGATCATTGATTAAACCAAAATCAGGTACATCGGTGGGCCTACTAACGTGTCTTATTTCGTCCATAGAATTTAAAACTGGTGATAGTCCACCATGCACGCAAAAAATTTTGCCTGCCACAATAGCAGCCAAAGGCAAAGTATTGAACGTGTCGATGAAAATTTTCCAAGTTTTAATGTTACAACGACGTTTGCATTCATCGTAAAATCCATAAACTCTTGTTACATTGGCACATTCATGATTGCCTCTGAGAAGAAAGAAGTTTTCGGGATATTTGATCTTGTAACATAGCAGTAGAAGAATAGTCTCTAGTGACTGTTTACCTCTATCAACATAGTCACCCAGCAACAAATAATTAGCTGCTGGTGGGAACCCACATTTGGTGAATAGTCTCAAAAGATCTGCGTATTGACCATGGACATCTCCAACAATCTTAACGGGAGGGGATAATTCTAATAAGGAAGGTTGAGATAAGAAAATTTCACGCGCTTGGTTACAAATCTGGGCAATTTCCGAATTTTTCAAACAAACGTTTTTGGTACGTTTGGCAGAATAACCTGCATCTAAAAGTTTTTGAATAGTCTCGTCAATATCGATGGGTCTAATCGATTTTTTCCTTTTTATGGTCTTTGTTGTAATCGAGTTATTCGTGTCGTCATCTACATCGATACTATGTGAAACTTCATGTGGATATTCGTCTAAAGAATTCCTTCTGGATCGTGAACGTGGCCCTTGAGGGCTGTCAGTGCCTTGAGTATCCGAGTTTTCTTCAAAATATCCATCCTGGGATTTCTTGAAAACACCTGGAGAATTCATAGGTGTACTGTATGCGGAATTGCCCATGGAGTTGCTGAAAGAGGATTTCCGACTATGATTTCCCGCTGATGAGTGTGAAGAAGTCCTGCTGGGTTGTGCTGCGACTGAATTGTCAGATACGTCTAAATGCGAGGTGCTTTTCCTTCGGGAACTGGACGCACTATTACTCCTGCTTCCTGCGCTAGGCGATTTTTGAGAGAACCGTTTCGAGTCATTACTTTTCCGACGATGGTGATGGGATTCATTCTCATCATTTTCGTCATCCGTTATTGCACTTTCATGATATATGGTACTGTTAGTGCCTCCCAAATTACCAACAGAGGTTGAATTTTTCAAAATCGGTGATTTGGGCTCCATTTGAATCATGGACGGTGGCAAATCACCACTTACATTGGCGATGTTTTGTAATTGTGATTTGTTTTGAGGAGTTCCAGTACCACTTGCAGAGTCCCTAAAAACGCTAGTACTACTGCCGCGTTTGGAAAGCGGTGGTTGGAGTCCGGACAGGACACTATTTCGTCTTGAAAACGAGTTTGTGGCCTTGAGTGGTTCCTGTTCAATACCTAAATTGTTATTGTTTTCAGGACCCGAACTGGTCCCAGGAGTTCCGGGGACAGAAGAAGATTGAGATCGCCTGGATTTTGAGGATTTTGCTGATCGTGAAGATTTTGCCGATTTGGCAGATTGTGATGTGTCGGTACGTGTAAAAACGGGCGCATTATCACTACTGGATTTTTTCTTCCTGGACGATGGTTTAGAACTGGTGTTGCCCATTTTTTTTATTTTTTATTATTCTTGTGGATGTTTCAGTTAGGATATCAAGTGTGCTTAACAGGACTTGTGTGCAGAATACAAAAAAAATTAGGTGTCAACCAGTGCTCCTTGGGTAGCGAAAGTATATTCAAAAGCTTTTAAGACCAGTTGAAAGCCAGTTTTTATGTGCTTTTTTGTTGATTTGATAGGGTTTTGGGCTCCATTACTAGCAACAATTTTATATTTCAGACTTGATTCTTCTTTTCCCTTTAACAAGAATCGTCGTTGTATACGAAGACGGATTATACAGGCAAGCCAAGCGTGAGACACATATCACTGTCAGAACCAGGATAATATAGTGATGAATAGGGTAATTGGAATGATGATGTACCATGGCGTAGAACCGGGAAATTCTCTAAAATGGAATTGTAGTCGGGTGGATATGAAAAGATGTTAATTGAAGACGTTACAAGATAGTTGTGTAATGTGTGAGGTTTAATATATGGAAGTGTGTACAGTGAAAGATAAACAGTTGGGAAGGTTTATTGAGGAGAGGGTGTTAAAGGCAAAGAGGTGTTGCGAAGGAAGTATGGTAGGAAGTATGGTAGGAAGTGTGGTACTACGACGTGGAGAAGGAAGTATAATATTTGCGGATACGAAAGTTAATATAAGGATGATTATGACGATAATATAACGGTACCGAGAAGAAAGTATGCATCTGAGTATAAAGGAAAGACAATGAAGAACAAAATGGGAGGGATATCAAGATATCGAAGTATTCTGATCCGTCTTAGAGGCCAGGAAATTATATTATTCAGATTGACATCATATTATTGAGGTTGGTCTATAGGTATTTAAATATCGAAAAATTCTGATCCGTCTTAGAGGTCAGGAAACTATATTATTCAGATTGGTCTCTTGACATCATATTATTGAGGTTGGTCTATAGGTATTTAAATATCAAAAACTTCCGATCTGTTTTAAAGGTCAGGAGATCATTTTATTGAGATCGGTCTCTTGACATCATTTTATTGAGATCGGTCTCTTGACATCATATTATTGAGATCGGTCGCTTGACATCAAATTATTGAGATTGGTCTATCGGTATTCAAATATCAAAGAATTCCGATCTGTCTTATAAGTCACGATATCATTACTTGAGATCGGTCTCTTGACATCAAATTATTGAGATTGGTCTCTTGACATCATATTATTGAGATCGGTCGCTTGACATCAAATTATTGAGATTGGTCTATCGGTATTCAAATATCAAAGAATTCCGATCTGTCTTATAAGTCACGACATCATACTTGAGATCGGTCTCTTGACATCATATATCAAAGTATTCCGATCATATTATTAACATCGGTCTATATCAAGAACTCATCTTATTATGAATGGTCTCCAGACTTCCGATCGGTCCCCAGACTTCCGATCAGTCCCCAGGATATCGCATTCTTGATACTGGCCTCGAGATATCAAATTAATGAGATTTTCCCCAAGACATCAAGATATCAAAGTTTTCTCAATAACCCCTAGATATCACGACATTGAACATGCGATAGTGTACCGACAGCCTTTGCCAGTGATGCTGGAGAGGGTATGTAGTTCGTAATGTCAGACTGATTAGTACAAAGTGATATCGAGAAAACAAGAGCGCCCATAATAGCACCAGATAGAGCGCCAAATAAGAGCACCAGGTATGAGCTCCAAATGTACCTCATATCTCTCGATCACAGCTTCACGAACGCTCTGCACGCTTTCAAACATAGTGTCTATACAACCAGTGCACAATTACTTACAGCCTTGTTCACGAACTAACAATTTCAGTACTTCTCACTGGATAAACTAAATAATATACTTACTACACCCCGCCCTGACAAACATGCACAACTTCCACCCTAATCGCACCCTTCCCAGCTACATCCAGCTCACCGTAACCTATTTTCCGTGTACTCTCGATCTTTCCCCCATTCAAACTCCCACTCTTCCCAAAATCACTCCAAACCTTGAAAACATAAACTACACAACCCTGCGTTTCCACCATGCTTTCATTACACTCCCCCCACCTACTACACTCCCCCCTCAAAATTACACACTCCCCCCTCCAAGTTGCACACCCTACTTAGCCGCCGAGGTCCCTCCTCCCTCGAGTCCGCCACAAAAACGTCATTCCTTCCCCTTTCTTTTCTCCCGGCTTCCCCTTACGTCAGCACGCCGTCGCCCTCGCCGCCGCCCGCCGCTGCCGCTTCCTCTTTCCCGGCTTCCCCCGGCTTCCCCCGGCTTCCGCGGCCCCGCCGGAAGCTCGCCCAATTTTCCCTCTCCAAAAAAAAAAAAAAAAAAATCTCTCCCAAACAAACCTTTACACAACCCAATCTTTTTTTTCTTTCACTTTCTCACTCTACTTCTCTAATTCTCTCCCCATCACGAGAGGTTCCCGTACCCGGTAACCACTGCTGATCCAATTTCTCACACTACTTACTGCCATCAAACCATGCTCTGCGTGGTTCGCTCTCACTATCGCCCCATTGCGTAGTTTTTTCCAAAGCAAAACGCCCTTCCCAAATCCCTATATAAACTCCTCCTTTACTCTACCCATATCACATCCTCCTCTCTCTTGCCCTTTAATCTCCCACTCACACATATCTACATATCTACAATAATGGGTGTTCAAGACGTTCTAACCAGAAAGACCGGTGTCATTGTCGGCGACGATGTTCGCGCTTTGTTCGACTACGCTACCGAACACAAGTTCGCTATCCCAGCCATCAACGTCACCACCTCCTCCACCGTCGTGGCCGCTCTAGAGTCCGCCAGAGACAACAAATCCCCAATCATCCTACAAACCTCCAACGGTGGTGCCGCCTACTTCGCCGGTAAGGGTGTCTCCAACGACGGCCAAAACGCCGCCATCCAAGGTGCCATCGCCGCCGCTCACTACATCAGAGCCATTGCCCCAGCCTACAACATCCCAGTCGTCCTCCACTCCGACCACTGTGCCAAGAAGCTACTCCCATGGTTCGACGGTATGCTCGAAGCCGACGAAGCCTACTTCAAGCAACACGGTGAACCTCTCTTCTCCTCCCACATGCTCGACTTGTCCGAGGAGTCTGACGACGAGAACATCGCCACCTGTGTCAAGTACTTCACCAGAATGACCAAGATGAACCAATGGTTGGAAATGGAAATCGGTATCACCGGTGGTGAAGAAGACGGTGTCAACAACGAGCACGTCTCTCGTGAAGACTTGTACACCAAGCCAGAAACCGTCTTCGCTGTCCACAAGGCCCTAGCCCCTATCTCTCCAAACTTCTCCATCGCCGCCGCCTTCGGCAATGTGCACGGTGTCTACCAAGCCGGTAACGTCATCTTGAGACCAGAGATCTTGGGTGACTTCCAAAAGTACGCTGCCCAACAAGTCAAGGCCCCAGCTGGCTCCAAGCCATTGTACTTGGTCTTCCACGGTGGTTCCGGTTCTTCTCAAGAAGAGTTCAACACCGCCATTGAGCAAGGTGCTGTCAAGGTCAACGTCGACACTGACTGTCAATTCGCCTACTTGGAAGGTATCAGAGACTTTGTCTTGAAGAACAAGGACTACCTCATGAGTCAAGTGGGTAACCCTGATGGCCAAGATTTGCCCAACAAGAAGAAGTACGACCCAAGAGTGTGGGTGAGAGAGGGTGAGAAGACCATGTCCAAGAGAGTCACTGAAGCCTTGGAAATCTTCCACACTACCAACAAATTGTAAGTTAGCGATAGCTTAAGTAGTATTTTTTATGTCTAATGCGAAACGTCCGAGTGATATTTTATAGAGAAGAGTGGTATGCTAGGGTTGAAGTGGTGGTTTACTTGCTGGTACTTGCTGGTTCTTGAATAATTTGAATGTTCACGTATCATGTGAGACGAAAGAGACGTAATTTATTTTTCAGCGAACTGAATAGATTATATTAAAGTAAATGAGCGGCTAACCTCATGTCATGCTTAACGAATTTTGAATTTAGATGTTTTAGACTTGTTCAAAAGTAGTTACATGGTGTGTCATGAGAGGTTTCCAGACTCAAAATGGAACGAGAGTAGTTGTTTCGACATGACACTACGAGGTGGCTCGATGCTGTTAAACCGCTCTTTCTTACAAACAAGGTAAGCACTGTTGCATAACTTTTCTGTAATATGTCTCATAAGGCAAAACAAGCTGTCAATGCGACTTCAAGCGGTATCTTGTTGTGGTTTGCTGACACAGGAACATGAATGACTTATAAAGGACTCTCTCAAGCTGCGACACAACATTGTATTTGCAGGATTTGCTCTCAGTAAGCTACGAAAATGTCCAACCCGATTGATTTCCTTGGCGGTTTTGTCAAGGGAACAAAGATCATGATGGCCAGTGGGGAAAGAAAAAGTGTTGACGGCATTAAAGTCGGGGATTTTGTCATGAAAGAAGATGGCACACCCGTGCAAGTAGTCGCTACACCGAGTAAAGTCACCGACACAATAACAATTCATCAAGCTACAAACCATACTGCTCATCTTAAAGATCCGACTCGCTCACCTCCGTGGGGAGTTTTCGGGTTCACATGTGCCAAGCGTCAGTCTTTAAAGTTTGAGACATATCAAGTCAAGAAGGATTCGTACAGATCTAATGGCAAAAGAGTTATTAGTATCCATCAATTGACAGCAACTCAAACCAGGGATGGCAGAGAGATTGTAGTTGTAAAGAATAAGGACAAGCTATACAAGCATGCTGGCGATGAGGAAGCTGCAAATGAGTACATCAGTAAGGTAATGGGCCCATACCCTTACCGTATAATAGATTGGGAGTGTGAAGTTGGGGATTTGGATTATCTCACTGGGGGGCCTCGCACTTCGACTGACTTGAGTTTTTACCCGCTAAATTTTGAGAATCCAGTTTTGTTACCTTGGTTAGAAAATCATTTTAGTCGTGCGGTCTCGACCAAAGAAATAGAAGGAATGTCATGGTTGCTTGGGTTCTGGGTTGGCGATGGGTACCGAAGAGGCCCGATTTTTGCTTTACACAATGAAGACAATGACGTCAATGGTCGTTTGAGAAGAAATGGTGCACTCTGGGGCATGGATTTGATTATCAAAAAAGTTGGACCGGAATCCAGTAAAAAAGCAACAGGGTACTTGCACACATATACTGGAACATTGCGTAATTTGTATCATAAGAGTCCAATTTGCGAGGTTCTATCTGGATTAGGATTTTGGGAAAACGGGCGTAGAGGCGCTGCAAAGAGGGTTCCTATGTTTTTGAGTACTGACCAGGTAATTGTCCGCGAAGCGTTTCTGGCTGGACTGATCGATTCTGATGGGTGTTGTCGAATCCAGAACAATTGTCTAAGAGCTAAAATAGTTACTGCGTTGCCTCCTGTGCGTGATGCTATAAGTGCTATTGGGCGCTCATTAGGTTTAAACGTCACGGTATACTTTTATCATGAACGAATCCATAAACTTGGTTACCATGAAAGCGATGCGTGGACTTTTAATCTTTTCGGAGGCCCTAACCTTGAGATTTTGCAATCCATCCTTAACAGGTGCTCTTGCGAAAGGAAAAGGGATCCCCCCATTCAGTATGAAAAGGCTAGCGAAGAGTTTGAAAGTCAGGAAGATCGTAGTTCTCGCATCCGCAAAGAAATGTTGGCGGAAGAAGATTCGGAGGAAGGAAACGATGATACAGATGATACTGAGGATGCGCTGCTTTCGGAAATAGATGAAATGTCACTTGTAGAGGCTAAAGACCTGAAAGTCGAAACCCCAGACACATATTTTGATGGACAGCAAGGAGACGAGCACAAGGATATTGTTTTAAATCCTAACAGAGTTAGATTCACTACCGAAGATTGTGGTGAAAAAGAAGTTTTCGGGTTAATTTGCTCGACCAAGACCAATCTCTTGACTGGAGACCAAATTGTTGTTGGGAGCTCGAGGTATGTTACAGGGGAAACAACATCACGGCCGGAGTTTGCTATAACTTGCTTATCGTGCAAATGCAAGAATACCATAGTGTGGTGTCGAGTGCCATGGGATAGAGCTGGATGCCATCGGGTTTGTCACCCATGTGCACGAGCTTACACACGATCGAAGCTGAAGTGCTACAAAACAACATGCAATCACATACTAAAACCTTGCATTTTCAATCTTTTCCGTAGTCGTGATCTTGAAAAGAGAACACGCATTAATGCGGATGGTACGTCCTTGGAAGGGTATCCTTGCAAGAAATGCGTCGGCGGAATATACGTTTCCAATTCTCGAGATTAAAAGTTTCGGATATGGAGCAATCTAATCTTTTCCTACAGCTTTGCAACTTTCGACATCTCATCTTATTTGCTTGTAATAAAAATGCACAGCGGAAGGTCTCAAAACTTTGGTAACTGCCACGGTGTCTACAAACCAGGTAACGTTATCTTGAGACCAGAAATCTTGGGTGACTTCCAAAAGTACGCTGCCCAACAAGTCAAGGCCCCAGCTGGCTCCAAGCCATTGTACTTGGTCTTCCACGGTGGTTCCGGTTCTTCCCAAAAGGACTTCAACACCGCTATTGAGCAAGGTGCTGTCAAGGTCAACGTCGACACTGACTGTCAATTCGCCTACTTGGAAGGTATCAGAGACTTTGTCTTGAAGAACAAGGACTAACTCATGAGTCAAGTGGGTAACCCTGATGGCCAAGATTTGCCCAACAAGAAGAAGTACGACCCAAGAGTGTGGGTTAGAGAGGGTGAGAAGACCATGTCCAAGAGAGTCACTGAAGCCTTGGAAATCTTCCACACTACCAACAAATTGTAAGTTAGCGATAGCTTAAGTAGTATTTTTTATGTCTAATGCGAAACGTCCGAGTGATATTTTATAGAGAAGAGTGGTATGCTAGGGTTGAAATGGTGGTTTACTTGCCGGTTCTTGTCGGTTCTTGTCAGTTCTTCAATAAATTGAATGTTCACGTATCATGTGAGACGAAAGAGACGCAATTTATTTCTCAATGTTTACCAAAGCTAAACACCAATTATGACATTTTACTGAAATTATAAACCAAAATAAACCTAATTCGTGGCACCTCAGTCATCATGATAACATGCTGATATGAAGTCACCTTAGCAATTTTATTGTGCCCAATGGCTCACCGCCCCTTGACGCCCTCACGCATGATAGCGCTTCCACACTTTTCGCACGGAAATCCTGTTATGGGAGTACCATCTTCCAGTTGAGTTGTCACTTTTCTACGTCTCAATGCCTCTAACCTCTTGTAATCAGATGGTTTACAAACCAGATTGCATGAACCATTCGCGCATCGGGATTTTATGCGCACGTAGGAAGCGTAACATGCTCTGCACAATCTGTCAAGGCTCTTTCTTTTCCAAGGTATCCGATGCCACAAGGAAGTGTCAAGAGCGTGGCAAGAAAGACATTCTCTCCGATACGATTCAATTGATGCGGTTTCCTTTGTAACAAATTTTGAGCTCCCCACAATAATTTGATCCGCCGTGATAATTTTCGAATCCGTGGCGCACACCACGCCGAACAGCTCTTGCTTTTCCGCGGGGACTATACCAAACCGCATCCTACCTAGCTCGAAATTCACGTCCTTGTGTTCGTCTCCCTGGCGATGTTCAAAGTAGTTATCTGGTTTCGCTTCCAGCTCTTTGAGTAGCGAGTCACCATCTGCCGCTTGACTACTGGCATGCTCTTCGACAACAGATTCTAGTACTTCTTCTGCTTCCGCCAATAGATTCTTTCGGACTTGATTTCTTTGTTCTTCGGTGTCTAGCTCGTCCGTGGCAGTTTCATCTTCAGAAGGGTTCTCACAGGGTGCGCTTTTATCGACCACATTTTCTGCATCGAGAGTGCCATCACTCTCCGCAGCGTCATCAGCGTCTTCAAACTCTTCCGAGTCTCTGTCCTTGGAATATTGAGTTGGAGGATTTCTTTTTCTTTCACAAGCACATCTATTGAGAATAGCGTACAAGACCTGATGATTTCTGCCCGCGAACAAATTGAAGATCCATGTGTCGCTTGCGTGAAGACCCTGTTCAGTGATATGTGCGGGAGATGAATAGACAGTAACATTTAGCCCCAAAGAACGACCAATGGCAAGTATTGAATCACGAACGGGCGGTAAAGTGGTGACAATCTTGATCCTTATACTGCTGTGTTGATTTCTGGAACATCCGTCGGAGTCAATTAAACCTGCCAAGAAGGATTCGCGAACAAGAATTTGTTCAGTGGTCATAAATTGGGGTACGTTTTTGGGATCATTCCAACCACCATTCTTCCAAAATTTGAGGCCTTTCAGCACCAGAGAGAATGGGTTTTGGTAATTGAACCTACGAACAGGCCCGTCATAGGTTTGTAGATAGCCAATGGCACCTAAAGAATCTGTAAATGGTTTAATTCTCAAATCCATTCCCCAAAGTTTAGCGTTTTTTCTGAGTCTGCCGTTAACATCTTGATCATGGACGTGCAGTGCAAAACTAGCACCTTTGCGAAACCCGTCTCCAATCCAAAAACCCAAGAGCCACGACATCGCCTCGAGTTCCTGAAGTGAGATTTTCCGTTTGAAAAAGGCTTCTAGCCATGGTAATATAACGGGTTTCTCAAAGGACAATGGAAGTGTGGCAATCTTGGATGAAGCAATTACATCTTTATTAATAAATTTCAAGTCTGCAGCTTCAATTTTCCAATATATTAACTTCTCGGGATATTGTTTACTACAATCTGCAATGTATTGCTCTATTTCGTCCTCGTGGCCTGTCGAAGGAAATGTTTTTCCAGCGGCCATGACGATCTCGATGTCCCTACCATCGGGGGTTCTAAAGGGACGAAGCTGGCTGATATTAACTTTATGATTTCCAACTGGGTACTGATGCTTGAATATCTGGGTTGTCAGAAGCCATAGCTCTTGTCTTTGATCGCATGCGAATTTAACCAGCCCCCATGGATCCGGGCGACTTGAACGATTCAAATGAGCTCGATGGTTTGAAAGCTGTGTAACCGTGGAACAAGTGGCAGATGCGCGTGGTGTGGCGATAACCGTTGATTTAGAGCCGTCAGAAGTCAGAACTTGATCTCCAGCTTGAATAACCTCAACGGGTACTTTTTCTCCGGATGACAGAAAGATTATAGTTCCTTTAGGGAACCCCCCAATGAAGGGTTCGCTTTGCGCTAGTTGAGGTGTCTCAGGTGTCAGCATAGATTGTTACTAAGTAGATGTCACATCTAGAAGAAGTGAGGCCAAATAAAGCCAGCTACAGCTCAATATATAAGATGTAAAGCTTTGAGGTACTACAAAAGGTGTGTTCTATAACATTTTTAACCGCTGATATGATGTATCATATTTACTTACATAAGCTAAATGGTTTTGATAAACCTTCAATCTCAGCATGGGTAACCCTGAGGGAGATGACAAACCTAACAAGAAGAAGTACGACCCAAGAGTGTGGGTTAGAGAGGGTGAGAAGACCATGTCCAAGAGAGTCACTGAAGCCTTGGAAATCTTCCACACTACCAACAAATTGTAAGTTAGCAATAACTTAAATAGTATTTTTTATGTCTAATGCGAAACGTCCGAGTGATATTTTATAGAGAAGAGTGGTATGCTAGGGTTGAAGTGGTGGTTTACTTGCTGGTACTTGATGGTTCTTCAATAAATTGAATCTTCACGTATCATGTGAGACGAAAGAGACGTAATTAACTTTTCAATGTTTACCAAATTTGAGCATTCTTGATATTTTACTGAAATTATAAACCAAAGTAAACCTAATTCGTGGCACCTCAGTCATCATGATAACATGCTGATATGAAGTCACCTTAGCAATTTTATTGTGATCAATGGCTCACCGCCCCTTGCCACCCTCACGCATGATAGCGCTTCCACACTTTTCGCACGGAAATCCTGCTATGGGAGTACCGTCTTCCAGTTGAGTTGTCACTTTTCTACGTCGAGTCGCCTCCAATTTCTTGTAATCGGATGGTTTACAAACCAGATTGCATGAACCATTTGCGCATCGGGATTTTATGCGCACGTAGGAAGCGTAACATGCTCTGCACAATCTGTCAAGGCTCTTTCTTTCCCAAGGAATCCGATGCCACGAGGAGGTTTCGAGAGCGCGACAAGAAAAGCAGCTTCTCTGATACGATTCAATTGATGCAGTTTCCTTTGTAACAAATTTTGAGCTCCCCACAATGATTTGATCCGCCGTGATGATTTTCGAATCCGTGGCGCACACCACGCCGATCAGCTCTTGCTGTTCCGCGGGGACTATACCAAACCGCATCCTACCCAGCTCGAAATTCACGTCCTTGTGTTCGTCTCCCTGGCGATGTTCAAAGTAATTATCTGGTTTCGCTTCCAGCTCTTTTAATAACGAGTCACCATCTACCGCTTGACTACTGACATGCTCTTCGACAATTGATTCCAGCACTTCTTCTGTTTCTACCAACAAATTCTTTCGGACTTTATTTCTTTCTTCGTCGGTGTCTGGCTCGTCCGTGGCAGTTTCATCTTCAGAAGGGTTCTCACAGGGTGCGCTTTTATCGACCACATCGTGCAGTGCAAAACTAGAACCTTTGCGAAATCGTCTCCAATCCAAAAACCCAAGAGCCACGACATCGCCTCGAGTTCCTGAAGTGAGATTTTCCGTTTGAAAAAGGCTTCTAGCCATGGCAATAAAACGGGTTTCTCGAACGACAATGGAAGTGTGGCAATCTTGGAAGAGGCAATTACATCTCTACTAATAGGTATGACCTGAGGTGGATGCGTGTGGTGAGGCCATCTTTACTAATTAGTATGAGATCTGACCTGGTGATAAATGCGCGTGGTGAGGCGATAAAAATTGAGCTAGGAACGTTATAAAGGGTGAGAAGACCATGTCCAAGATAATCACCAAAGTTTTAGAAATCTTCCGCTCGAAAGATGAATGACTAAGCCGTTATTGTCCCAATCTTTGAAACTGCCCGGCTACTCCAAGCACAAGATCCCCAATGGTAAAATCGTCTCTATCATGTCTACATATCTACCAAGACTAGAAATGGTCATTATGTTTCTTATTCCACGTTCTTTCCAGTTGTAGCTTTGATATCGCTTTGCACTTTGGAAGTCTTTAGTTGAATTCTTTTCAACTCTACTTGGGTTACTATACAATTGATATATATTACATGAGAAACACCGGGAGCTATTATTTTTCAACCGCTATTGTGTGCCTTTTCCTTTGCCGTTGCAATCTGCATTGTGTTGCTGATTGAAAACCTTGGTCCAATTGCTCTCGTAGCCGTTACTGTCCTAGTGGCCCTTTTGGCTTAGCGTTTGCACGTCTCCATTTGAAATACGTGCTTCAACTCCGTCAAGCCAGTCATTGTCATTCACCTCCAAGTTTAATATTATAACATTTTACATCTTCAGTATCACACACACTAATAGAACTAACTACCTGCAACCCAACTGGGAAAAAAAAAAAAATCTCAAGTCATCCTATCATTAAACTATATCAAGTTCTATACATCTAAAGCTCCTTAAGGCTGAGCATTGATAGCTGCAGTCAATTGTGCTTGTTTGACCAATGAAGATGGTGCATCCATGACTTCCAACATCACTTCGATCAAACGAATGCGATCGTTTTTGTTGAATTCTGGGTCTTCAGCCAATTTGTTCCATTCACCAGTGGTGGCAACACGAATGGCTTCAAAATCGGTTGCACCGAAAGTGGGCAACAACTTCAAATGTTCCCAGTTTTGAATTTCGTTGTAATCCGCAGTTGGACCGTGGATCAATTTCTCAATTGTGTATCCGTCATTGTTCAAGACAAACAAGTATGGTTTCAAACCCCATTTAATCATAGTAGAAATTTCTTGAACGGTCAATTGCAAAGAACCATCACCAATAAATAGAATAACTCTCTTGGCTTTGTTGATTTCTTCAGCGGCCATGACGGCTCCCAAACATGCACCAACGGTGAAACCGATGGATCCCCACAAAACTTGAGAAATACCATACGTGTTGTTTGGGAAATGAGTTTGGTTAATACCGAAAGCAGAGGTACCGGTCTCGGTAATGACCACATCACCTTCCTGCAAAAATTCGCCGACTTGAGTCCATAGCCATTCTTGAGCTAGAGGAGTCTTAGGATCACACTTGGCGTTGACAGCTGGAGCCTTAGGGACTGGCAATGGTTTGTAGTCCTTGACGTATTGTGGAATTTGCTTCAACAGTTTTTGAAGCACAAACTTCATGGCGACCTTTGGGAAGATGGCATTTCTGATCTTCATGTGGTCGGAGTGGAATTCAACAATGTTTTTGGTCTTGTAAGAGTACGAGAAAGAACCAGTGTTGAAATCGGACAACAAAGCACCAATCGACAAGATCAAATCGGCAGATTCCACTGCAGCTTTAACCTCTGGTGAAGACAAAGTACCCACGTAAACACCACCGAATCTTGGGTGCTTCTCTGGAATAGAACCCTTACCCATTGGAGTGACGAAAGCTGGGAATTGCGTAACATCAATCAAGTCCCAGGCTTCTTGCTTGACATCGTGACGGGAGCAACAGGCGTCGGACAAGATAATTGGGTTCTTGGCCTCCTTAACCAAGGTCAAGATTTGAGCAAGGACCTCTTCTTCGGCGTTTTCGTCGTTAGCTTCTAGAGACAAGTCAATAGGGGTATCCAAACGCTTAGCATCAACCATTTGGTCCACCAAGTTAGCTGGCAAACCCAAGTAGACTGGTCTTTGACTCACGTAAGTGGTTCTAATACAACGGTCAATTTCCTGACAAGCCGTGGCCATGTCAGTGATCATAGACGTGGTCTCGGAGATGTTTTGGGACATGCGGTGGAACACGGAAAAATCACCGTTACCCAAAGTGTGGTGCAACAACAATTGCTTGGCCTGGGCCGACAAAGATGGCACTCCGACAACGTGTAGAACACCAACGTGTTCGGCGTAGGAACCGGCCACACCGTTCAAAGCCGAAAGTTCACCGACACCGAAAGTGGTGATGAGACAGGCGATTTTCTTGAGTCTGGCGTAACCGTCGGCAGCGTAGGCGGCGTTCAATTCGTTGGCGTTACCAGCCCATCTCATGCCTGCGACCTCGTAGATTTCATCCAAAAGTCTAAGGTTGAAATCTCCTGGCAAACCAAAAATGGTGTTACATTCCAATTGTCTTAATCTTTCGAACAAGTAGCGACCTAGTGTGATTTCGGACATTGTTATAATGTGATTGTTGTCTTGATGGGATTGTATCCGTTGGATGAGTGGATGGAGAATAAACACGACAGAACTTTTTGGGTATCAAAGAAGGGGCCGCCTATTTATACAAAACTCAATTCTTCCTCTCGAGCACTTTGAAACGTCATGTTATTCATCAACTGAACTCGTAAGAGCTTCGGCGCCGTTCGCATAATCGCGTGTTGGCTAAAACTCTCATCCAAGATGGCCGCTGACACTATCCCTCTAAATGCATGCTCCCACTATTCGCATATTTCTCTTATGCGTTTTCAAGGCTATGCAACTAGAGGTGGAGAGACTATTTCAGATCATAAAAGACAAAAATATTATTCCAAATAGTGAAGCGCAAGAGCAGACTTGGCCAACTATAATACAAAACTCGCACTTTAGATGGCCGTTGTCAGTCGCGGACTTAAGTTCAGAGCCTGAAAGGAGCCCAGTGCGCGCATTTTCAAATCAAATGCAGATTCATCAGCATATTTAATGCTGCGCTCAGCTTCTCAGGCGATAAGCGAGTTGGACCCGATTCGTCGTTGTAATTGTCTCACGAGCCATGTAGCTATGGCCATATTAATTTGGAATATTTGAGAGGCCTTCTTGGTAAATTGGGTGAATTCTTAACACCTCATGGCACAGGGCCTCAAAATCGACGATCAGTGACAAATTTGGCGATGGTCAGCCACTCTGAACGGTTGATTGAGATATGAACGAATTTCAACGTAGTTAGCTTCGAAGTCTGGAAAATCCCAATCAAGCAGTGACCGTGGAGCACTCCACCCCGCAATCAGTGCACCTCAATGGCCTGAACTAACGGCTTCAGCTCGAGGTGTTGGTGTTATTGTTGTTGTTCACACTCTTACATTAGGAAATGCCCGAGCGGCGGGTAACGCCCTCGTCTGAATCTTCAAAGGTAGCCCGCCCAAACTTTCTTAAAATGCGTTCTCCATCTAAAGCTATCTCATCCTTGCATCTCAATCGTAGTTCTCTTGCCTCACAGTATTTGCACGCCATGGCTTTACCAGAAACTTTCAAAAACAACGACCAGGACACCTTCGGTGCTTACACAGCCCACTCCAGATGGCCTACCATCATCGGAAATGCCATCAATGACTTGCAGGCGGAACTAGACACGCTAGACTCCAGCACTAGCCATTATCGTGACGGAACGCTGATCCAAAACGAGTTGGCCAGTTTGAGAGACGAAATCAAGGCCGACAAGCCCATCAGGCCCTTCACATCCAAAGAAACAGAAGTCGGTCAAGTACCGGGCTCCTTCAACGAAGTGATTCTAGCAGGCCACCAGACATGGCTTACCGGTGGCTGGTTGTTTTGCGAGGTCTACTTGTACCGTCGTGTCAACGTAATGTTTCGGGCTTACAAGTCCTGGGCTTCGTTCGATATCTTCAACAAGGTCAAACAGTCTACTTTCCAGAGTTCTATGGTCGGGGTCGTGGAGCTTGCTGCTCGTTATCAGAAACTCGAGCATCAATTGGGACTAGCAGATGCCGAAACATTGGAAATACTGTTCAAAGAGTTCGTCGAGATCTCGCTGTGGGGCAATGCCACCGATTTGTCGCTTTTGACCAATGCCACTCTAGAGGACATCAAATCTCTACAGGGTGAAGCGGCCAGAAAGGCTTCTGAGTCCAAGATTCTAATTAACCACACTTCCAAAGCATGGAATCAACTGAAATCGTCTCAACATAAGCGTGTCGATTTTGTCTTGGACAATTCTGGCTTTGAGGTTTACGCCGACTTGATGCTCGCATTATTCTTGCTAGACACGGGAATCGCTAAACAATGCGTTTTACACGCGAAAGATATTCCATACATGGTCAGTGACTGCATGATTAAGGATTTCGAGTTGCTTCTACAGGATATGCAGTCTTCGGACTTCTTCGACTTGAAACAACTAAAAGACGAAGAGCAATCTGGCCGTGAGTCCTTGGATTTTTTGGTGAAAACGCTGAAGCAACACGTTCAATCGGGACAACTCACGTTTACACAAGATACCTTCTGGGCACTTGACCTTGACTACAGTCACATTGATCCATCAGAAACGAAATATCACGGTGCGCAAATTCACCAAGAATTACTGCAAAGTGACTTGGTGATCTTTAAAGGTGATTTGAATTATAGAAAACTAACAGGAGATAGAAAATGGGCGCGCACAACTAAATGGGAGACAGCTATTGGCCCATTAGCTTCCAATGGTCTAAAGACGTTAAGTTTGAGAACATGCAAAGCTGACGTTGTTGTTGGACTTGAGCCAGGCGTTGATGAGAAATTGTGTTCCGAATGGACATCAGTGAAGAAGACTGAGCCCGGTTCATGGTGGGCCTCTAGTGGTAAATACGCGGTGATATGTTTCTGCGATGGCCAAAGTTAAACCTCTTTCTATAACATCAAAATCATACATACCTTATTCACAAACATAAATACGTGATAAAAAACCAATTACTTATTTGCAGGATTCATATTCGGCAGAAATGGCATTGGGAACATCGGGAATGGCATGCCAAAAGGTGGCACAGGCATAGCTACTTTAGGTTTTTTGGTAGCGCCGCCTTCTTCATCATTGTCCTTACGCTTTACACTATGCTCGTCCAAGAATTTCTGTACTTGCTTCTCTTTGTCCTCATCGGGTATCAAAGAATCCAGCAAAGTCTCTTCCGCATTGCAGCCTGGACATACAAAATCATTCTCCACTAGTAAGTCTTCTAGCGCTTGCCGCGAAAAATGTTTCTTGCAACATTTACTAGTCTTGACTGGACTTTTCAAAAGCCCCCCAGTAATAGGACATTTCAAATCTTCAGGTAAATCTGAGAAATGGCCCTTCATCCATATGGCATTGTCTTGGTTCAAGGCGCGCGATTGTTGTTTCCGTTGATAATCCTCCCAGGAGTGCTGGTCTGCAACTTGAACTACAAAACTGCCATCATCTGTGACCATGATTTTCCGTTGGGCCATTTCCTCCGGAGTCATAGTCGAGGGGTCAACATCAACTGATTTAAGAAACTTCTTTGGAATACCCGTGGTTCTGCGTATGCGCTTGCCTTCAAAATTAGGATCTGAGTTTGTAGGACAATTCTTTATCCAATGGTCTTTACCACCACAACGGTAACACATATAGCCAGGTGGTGGAGGTCCATCGTCTTGACCGGCAACAGCGCCAGTCCTGTGGAAGATAGGCGTTGCGCTGGACATCTCTTGTTGCGTTTGTTGCCATTGATTTTCTTGGTTTGCAAACATGCTCGCAATGGCATCGTCTTCGTTCATGCCCTTCGTCGAGATCTGGGAAGTCGCGGATGGTAGACTGTTCATTGTTTTCATCACTCTAGGCTTTCCGGTAACGTATCTGGTGGCGTTTCCGAGTGATATGCGACCGTTCAATCCATTGACTTTTATTGCCGGCGACCTCCTCACCTCCAAGTTCGACGACCGCGGAACCACGTACGAGTCGTCTTCGAGTTCCTCACCACTATCAGGGTTGTAAAGACGCAGTTGAAAGTCCATCCCATCTCCCAATCGGTTTTCCTGGATGATTTCCCGCTTCAAGTCGAAAACCGTTATACCGGTACCATCAAATAGAATTCTCGAGGTCCCTTTTTGAGAACGAAATTTATAAAAAATAGTACTTGACATAAGGACTCCAAAGTGCTGATCTGATTAAATTGAAAGCCACTTCAATCGTCTATTGTTCCCAATTGTTGCGATCTCATCGAATTTGGTAAGTTTTCCAATTTTACATTTCTTAAAAATATCAAAATTAATTACTACTCCGTCTAACACAGAGGCCTAAAACCAAGAAGCTCTAAAGTCTTTCGAGAGCGTATTTACTCGGTGGCTGTACACTTACATATATTGCTAATTCATTAAATGAGTGCCTCTGGATTTTACGAACTATATCGTCGAAGCACCGTAGGAGCTACACTGGTGGATTCACTCGACACGCTGATAAGCGACGGTAGAATAGAGGCATCGTTGGCGATGCGGGTGCTGGACACTTTCGATAGAGTCGTGGCCGAGACACTGAAGGATAAAACACAAAGCAAGCTTACGTTCAAAGGTCACCTGGATACATACCGCTTCTGTGACGATGTCTGGACATTTATCATTAAAGACTGCAGCGTGAAGCTGGAACAAACTGAGGATGCACAGGGAAATACTGTCGTGGTTGACAAAGTGCGGATAGTGGCGTGCAATTCGAAGAAAACCGGCGAGTAGGGAATATTTTGTTGTAGTTTGTATATTGGAAAAATAACGTAATAAACAGGGCGATATCCATAATCAGTTAAATACATCATTTCAAAGAAAAGATCAGAAAACAAGACACATGTCATCAGTTAAAGATCAGTTTAGGTATCTAGTGAGCCAGTCGGAGACTCAGATCGGATCTAGCAAGCTCAGACAGGATTCCAAAAAGTTTCAAGATCTTTTGATTCATAACATTGCTCAGTTTTTGGAGCTGAAAACAGTCGTGTATTCAAGGCTGGCGCTATTCAGTGATAATGAAAGCCTCGAGGACCTCAGCACAGCTTCCATGCCATTACTGTCGATCGATTTTCATCTTGCGTGGCTCATCTCTCGAAAACAGGCTGTTCAACTGCAGGATTCTAAAGATCGAAATGTTGTGCGGCTTAAATTTCTACGCAAAGCAGTTCAAGTTTACATGCAATTCTTAGTATCGCTGCAAAACTATGAGATACTCGAAACGGGGTTTGCAAAGAAATTGGATCGCATAGAAAACGTTTACGAGCCCAAACTCGAAGAACTATATTCTCAGCCCTCTGACGCCAAAGATTTGACTTCCGCACACCTGAAAAGGCAGCAAAAAATCGAAGTGTATCAGCAGAACAAGGAGAATGAAGCGCAGATTAAATTACTAGACCTCAAGTACAACGAAAACTCCAGTAATGATGAGGTGTTAAGGGATTTACAAAAAGCTCAACTGAGACAAACTGCGTACCGCGCAATAAACGAAATAGAACAAGTACTCTACGAGATTGAGTTACTGTCAAATTTTGTTGCATCGCCAGAGACTCCTCCTAACTTCGAAGCGAATCTTGAAAGCAAGGATCCTCTTGCCTACACCGAAAAAGTAGAGGCTCTAAATACTCCCCTCATCTCCAAGGCAGGCAAAGTGCTCCGCAATTTCACATTGGTTGACAATAAGTCACGGATGAAGCAGAAAGTTTTTGGATATGGCCAATACGGACCAACAATGTCAGTGGAAGAGTTTTTGGAAAATGAATTTGAAAGTGGTCGTGTGCTGCAAGGCGGAGAAGAACCAACTCCAGAGCAGGATGAAGACAACGAAGAATGGCAGGATCGCGAAACTTACAAGGCCAGAGAATGGGACGAGTTTAAGGAAGCAAACGCTAGAGGAAGCGGTAACACTCTAAACCGGGGATAGTCAGTACGACGCGACTGTTATGGAATGTAAAAAAATCAAGTCCACATAGATACACAAATAGCCCTTTCTATTCAGTTAATAATTTTATAAATTGTTCATTTCCCGCTTGAGATCTTGCAAAGTCACCAATTGACCGTCTGCAAGAATCCAGCGGTCGTTTTCTGCAGAGAAAGAGGTCAAAATGTTTGCTATCATCAAGTAGCATTTTTCTTTAATGCCTATGTCGGTTCCCTTCATGAAGTACTTGTACAGTATTTCAGCAGCAGCTCTGTCTTGAGCATTCATTAGTCTGAATGCATACACTCTTTTATAAGTGCACCAATCCTCAGCTGCTATCTCGTCACACAATATTTTATCTATAAGCCTATAGTCCTGGGTAGGTAGGTATAAGCCACTCGATTCTTTGCAAATTTTCAAAAGTGTGGAAAAGAAGGCATCTCGGTGATGTAAATTTGAAATCATTTTGCGGTAATAAGAGACTTTAACGTGCTCTGAAATAATTTCGGGACTGCAACAAAGAACGTCCAAAATTTCCTCGTATTTGGAAAAGACAATGAGAATATTCAAATACTGAAGCAACTGCGCATTCTTGAATTCATGTGTTTCTTCAACGTCCTCAAGCTCAGTTGAAAGCTTGATAGATTTTTTGGCACATCTTAGAGCATATTCGTAACTGTTCGCAACAGAGAACAGCTTTGATAGATTAAAATAGTAAGCAGGATGTTTATTGGGCAACTTGAAAGATCCAATAACATCGCGCCACAAATGACCGTCCTTTTGGAGTGGCATGTAAAGGCTATCCGGCAACTCTTGAGGCAGAGTATCTGGATATGGGTGCTTTTGAAGAAAATCGAAGGCTCGGTCATAAAACCCAGACATGAAGTAAGTTAGTCCTAACATGAATTCGTGCGCAACGTTAGAATGAATGTAAAACTTCTGCTGGATATTCTTCAAGTAAAGTTCGCACAGTTTAGAGCTCCGTGTGCCCGAGATCACAAACGTGTCAAAACTTTCAATGAAAAGCGGGTTAGGCGAAATAGGCATGCCATACAATACTTTCAGACTGACAGTAAGAGCGGAAGACCAGTCCGCATACGTTTCTATTTTGTGTCCATTGCCAAATTTGCTGGTTGTTGCAAAAAGTTCAGAGGCCAAGAGGCCCTTGTCCAACTGATACAAATGAATCCATAAACTTTGCTTGTAGTGGAGACCTAGTAGCGTTTCAATTTGTAACCGGAAAGCAGAGTAATCGAAATCCATAAAGGCAAATATGAGCAAAACCTTTGAAACCAAGTTGTTGTGAATCAATATTGCTTGATGAGTGCTTTCCAAAACTGCGACGTTCATGAGATAGTTGGGATAAACGGAGTCGATTAATGAGTGATCTAAGTCGGCACTTTGTAAAGTGCTCTTGATGAAGTTGTCAAGGATCGCGACAACATCAAATGAACTCAGATCATCAAAAAGCTTTCTTAGGTTAGCCAAATGAAACTGCCCCTCCAAATGCTTCGAGAATATGTTTGTGAATTTATCTTTTATTGGAATATCCGCAGGAAAAGAAGATGTCACAACATCGAGCAGTGAGTCAGAGACATCCGTGAGAACCTGTGTAGGAATAGTAGCTGCGAAGCCTTCAATTGTTCGCAGAAAGCCACCCAAGTCATCACAAGAAACTACGTTCTCGCTCATATTATAGAAGCAGGTCTCTAAAGTAGAATTGGCTTTGTAAAGAGAATGAGAATAAAGTGAGAGTGAATTTACCAGCAACAGCTCGTTGTGATACAAAGTGAGTGACGACGGTTCGTCATTGCGCTTTTTCATATCCTTGAGAACCGACTCTAAATTCAAAAGGTACTCGTGATTGTAAGGAGACTCTGGTAACATTAGTATCCCATTTTCACTCAAAACTTCTTGGGCTTGCTGAAATAGCTCTGGAGTATAATGCGATTTGAGATTCATTAGTGCCCGATTTGTATCGCCATTCGTCAATAAATTTAGATCTGCACGAAGATCCATAAGTGACTGATTGGTCGCTTCCAGCCATTGATACTTCTTCAAATCATCTGAGAGAAGGTTCAAAACTTGGAGTTTCATGACCCGATTGCTTCTCCAAAGGACCACAATGTTCAGATAACTAGCGGACTCAAGTATATCGATAGGCTTTATCAGTTTCATATCGACTAGTGACCATATAGATGAAGAAGAAAGGTTGCTGGCGTAGATTGAGCTAGCGTCTATGACTAGATCACCTTGATTGTCCAGGCGTAGATCCCATAGTTGGAAAAGCCCATTTTCAAAAGGTAAAAATATGGCTAGTTTATCTTCGCATACAGACAAAAATTGCCCCAAAGTTTCGTATACTCTGTTGAGATTTTTGTCATCAGCAGCCAAATGTTTTTCAAATATCACGGTTTGCTTTTCCAGATCCCATATTTTCAACCTGCAGCCTTGCGTTAGAGTTATCAAAAAGCGCTCTCTGTAAAGCGTACAACTAACCACATTGTTGTGCTGCGAAGTGTGTCGATTAGAGAAAAAGAGCTTGCTCAAACTCTGTAGGTAACTGTTGTCGTTGAACAAGGTTGGTGTAACGTCAGGTTCGCCTTGATCGTTTTTAATCTTGCGAAGACCCAAAAGGCCACCGTCTTCTAGAAAAACGATAGTAAAAGTTTCCGACGCAGAATATGCGTACTGAGGTTGTCTTATCGTAAAATCGTAGGGGTTCAGCACTCTGAACCAATTTTCAGGCACCGCCGATGTCATATCCAATATGCAATTGACCGGAAACGCCAGCACTAGATATAAGCCGTCTTTTAAAATCATCTCAATAGCCAGTTCGTTTTTAACCTCCCGTATTGTAAACGTGTGATGCATGTTCAACATGCGTTCTGGAAGGTGCACTTTTAACGTCCTACCTGCGAAGGCGTTGCCTAGCGAGTAAAGAGCAAGAACGGAATATTCGTGCGAAAATTGGTAGCATATGTATTCCTCATTCGCTAATTTGAGCGTGTTTGAGTAGTCCCCCAATGTATTTTTCACCTTCAACGATTTTGACCGCGAATTTAAATAAAGGTCCACCGAATTTCCAGCTTTCGCAAAGCTCTTGAAATCTTGCAAGTTTGCATCAATTTTAGAAAAGTACGATGCAGAAGCTGCCATTGTCGGTGCGAAAGCTGACGGTATTACTTCTTTGAGTTGTAACTTTAAATTCAAACATGTATATACAAGCTTGAACACTTAAAAAATTATTAACACTTTGAGAGCACTTAACACGTGGTTTCGATTTGAAGTGCGAAAGCTAAGAAATGTCTCTAGCTCTTGACTTGCCCGAATGATGTAGTTGTCATAATAATGAAGTTGGATCTTAATTTTAGGAACATGCTTGTCCATGTTTCTTCTCTTGGATGTAGATTCACTATGATAATAATTTAATTTCGGCGGCTAATTCAAAATTGTAAGCGGCTTAGAGCATATTAGCGCGAGCTTTGATAATTCTAATCAAAAGGCGGATAAGATACTGTGCGACTGACAGTGTTTGGACCTAGAGTGCACTAACATCATGCGATTGTCTGGAGTCCTACCTTGTAGATATGCAACACGCTACCTAAACCTACCAAGCACCCTGGCAAGATCAAATTCACAAATTGTGTTAAACGCGCATACCGCTGCTTTCAATAGCGGGGCTAAACGAAAGTACCTTAGCCTTTTCATTTTGTTGGTAAAGCTTCTAATTAGTTAATGTTTTAAAGGCATCTTGTGATTTATCGTTCGATTTAAGTAGATACTGATGCTGAGTGCAGTTTCATAAATGCAATGGCCGAGGACGCGGGTGTCCTCTGCTGAAAATTCATAGGAAGTTGGGTTACTAGACACATTCAACAGCTCTTTCAAATCTAATCATACCGTCGTCCCCTCCAGAGATTATTACGGTGGTCAAATCGATTTCCGCCACGTCGACTACTATGCCCTTATGCGCGTTCTGCCGCATTTCGCTGAGAGCTTTATCTTCATCCCCTTTTATGGTCTCACAAATTCTGGAGCTACTCTCATCTTCATATTCCGTCTCATCATCGTAATGATTGTATGTCTTTAGGATCGTTTGAAATTTGTTTATATTTCTGACCTCTACGGTACCATCATCAAACGCAAAGACTGCATAGTCAATAGAGGAGCGGAATATGATGCTTCTAGGTACCATTTCAAACTGCTTGGCAACGATAATCTTCTTGCGGTCGAAAGAGTATACTGCCACAAATTGCCCTAACTGAACCATTAGCTTTGAGCTTTGCTTATTGAGAAGCAGCTTACAAGTTGATTCGTCAATCTCTTCTTTAGTTCCTTTGAACTTGTTGATTTCTTCTTGAAGACTAATGCTCTGCAAGAGCTCGCCTTGAAAGGAATATATGACCAGTTTGTATGGCTCTCGCTTGAGGACTATCAACGACTTCTCAGTCATTCCTAAAATAGAATCTAGTATCCGTCCTGAATCTTCTAGCTTATGCTTGCTGCCAATATCGATAGACTTTGAGTCTACGATGACTTCCCAAATGTGAATAACATTGTTACACGTTAGCACTAACCACTTGTTTTTGAAATCCACGCTTTGAATATCGGGAAAGCTAACTGCAGATTCATCGTCGAATGCATCGAGCGCAAAACATGGCGCACTTTCTGTGATTTGCCAAACCTTCAGGCCGAAGTTGTCTACCGTGAGAAAACTTTGATTATCCAGCCAATGCAAACTCAAGACAATCGGGGCAAGGCCATGAAAACTTTTGGTTAGTTTGTCATTGCAGTTCAAATTCGGCTCTATCATCCAATGTTTCATGAGACCATCTCTAGCATATGAAAGCATGTTGTACTGGGAAACTACCAACTTTTCGATTCCTGCCAGGTGATATCTGAGTCGTTTGCAACGCAAGACCTTGTTCGGAGAAGGATTGCTGGAACTAGACGCAAACAACGACGATGCTCTAGATCTACCTGCAGAGGGGAGTTCGTCTGCAATAATTGTGTTTACTTCTGATCCGTGATCGGAGGCGGCTTCTAGCGGAACCTCGATATTGGTTTCAAGAGGTTGTACTTTAGGTGAGAGTTCGGGAGTAAAAGACGCCACAGGCGCCTTGCGCAAATGCAACTCCCCCAGATCTTGTTGGAGGTTTCTATTGTTATGAGAGCTTAAATTTGTTTGTTGCAGCCCTTGTTGAGAGAGCGCCGGCTGCGTTTTTGAGTTCAAGTTCATAGCCTCGAGGTCATGTACAGCATCCTTGGGATCCCGCAGACCGTGGAGCTGTTCTGTGACATTAGGACTCCGCAATAGGTATACTATTTCTTTCACGTTTTCCTGAACCGCAAGCTTCGATTTCAGCAACAGCGGTTCTTGTATAGAGGCGTCATCTGGATTTTCTCCAGCAGAGTTCTCAAGGTCACTAATTTTTGCTAACTCATATCTCAAAGATCTATTTTCACCCTCAAGCTGTGCAATGCGAGTCTTCATTTCACTTCTTTCCAGCTCCCAACCTATCCGATCCCTCTCATTTCTAGTGAATTCAGTTTGCAAGTAATGCATTACCCCTGGCAAGGTATACATTGTGGATGCAGGAGAAGTACTCATGGCAGTCAATCGCCAAAAAAAGGTTGTCACTTGTGGTTTGATGTTTATTTCAAATTAGATGGGTGGCCTTGGAATATAAGGAAATAAATGCTGTGTAAGTAATTTAAAGACCTAGGCACGCTATACGAAGAGACTGAAAGGAGAGAAGCGATTCTTAAATTCGAAACCGGTATAATCTGGCATCCGCATCGTAGTTGATCAAATTTGGTTATGCTTATGGCCTCCATTAAATTGTTGATTTTGGACCGATATGCTATAAACCCTGCAATGTCACTTTAACATTCATCTGTCACCTTGGCAAACTTTAATCACGGTAACATACCAAACAGGAAAGTTTCGACTTTTCGGTGAGGAAGCGACAACTACTCTCCTATTAGTGTGACTCATTGCTTGCCAGATAAATAAATAATCGTATACGTCGACAGAGGTCAGTGCTCACTGGTACCCACAATGTGTCACAATCGCCTAGTTATTAGGATTCAATTGTTAAGAACTTCAATGGTGATCCTATCTGTGTATTTGCATATCCTAATATAACTCTCCAATTGGTTACTGGCAACCTACGTAGCTGTGGTCGATACGACTCTACAAAAAGGTTGGGCAGCACTTAGTCTACCCAGCGCCAGCAGTGACGACGTTTAAGGCTAATATTATTATGGTTATAAGCTGTGATACACCTCGCATCTAATGCGATAAGCTAGATATTCCGGGCCTGGTAGAAAGGAAACTCGGTTCCCCCAATCCGGCCGTGGCTCTCGAGGGTCCAGCGTCCCGAAACACCGCACCGTCTTGTCTCGCTGCGCGCAGGTCTCCTTAGATCTTCTCCTCTTCGGCACCATGTTTCCAGATGGCCACGAATGGAGTGGTACCGTCTTCACGGTAGTTCAAAAGAACCAACATTCCATCGGGGTCCATGGACTCACCGGTGAAAAATTCCCAGTCCTTGAAAGAGCCAACAACCTTCTTGACGTAGGCTTGAGCACCCTTCTCGAAGGTCGAGATCTCGTCTGGGTTGGTCTCCTGCAACTTGTTCTTGATCTCCTTCATGTAGCCCTTGATGTAGGTCAAGAACGACTTCTTGTCGAAGGCGGTCTGTTGCAAACGGAAAGAGTGCACAACGTTGTTGACCATCTCAGTACCTTCTTCGACGTCCTCGTCACCACCCTCGGAAGATGGGTTGGCGCCAATGTCGACGTTGTCACCACCAACCTTGACCATGTCACAGTTGGCTTCGTAGATGACACCATCGACCAATTTTAGGTCGTAAGCATCAGACAACAATTCGTCACCAGAGATAATGTCCTTGTAGATACGCATTGTAGTACTGAATTTCCAAGTTTTCCAACGTTTCAAAGAAGAGCAAGACCACTAGGCCCGCATCAAAGATGCCCATCGCTCTGCATCGCTTTTATATCTTTGAAAAATTTTTTAACACTTTCAAAAAGAAAATTCTCATCGTGGTCTCGTGTCGATTAACTAACATGCTTAAGTAATCAGCGGGCTCTAAATTATTTGAGAGTTGAGATCCACAATTGAGAAACGTGTAGCGCCAGGAGCACAAGACTGGTCAATGGCTCGCGTAGATATCCCATACATGCTTGGCAATCTGCTGGGGACTTTGGTGGCTTTTTTCAGCGTCAAATTGAGCCTCCAGCCGTGACCGTGCCATGCTATTCAGATTCTGAATCATGTCCGTGCCAGGTACCAAGGATGGTGAGATGCAATGGACGGACACGCCAGCGCGGCTGAGTTCCGCAGACAAGACCCGCGAGTACTGAGCTAAGGCTGCCTTGGAGGCACTGTATAGAGACGTCCCGGGCATTGGGTCGACGTTTGGGTCCCCCAAGACGGAGGAAATGTTGATTATGCAGGGCGCGCGAACGAGATGTCTGCGAGACCGCATCATCCGTCTGGAGGCAATGTTACACATGCTGATAGCACTCAGGAGGTTGACGTTCGTCAGACGCTGCATCTGCTCGGTCCCACACAGCACGGACGGCGACGCTTGCACGATGCCCGCACAATTAACAAGCATTGCGAGGTCGTACCCGTTGTCCATCTCCAGAAGCGACCACTTGCCATTTTTGTGGAGTGTTTCATTAGTTCCGGAAAAGTGAACGCCAGAGAAAGATGTTTGCTTCGTCCAATAGGGCCATTGTGCTAGATCAATGGCCAGCCCGCGATGCCACTGGCTATCTTGCGAAATTGATAGTGGCTTTTGGCGCATCAAATCGAAGCTTTCCATGCTGGAACCCACCATAATGCAACATAAGCCTTTACTAGATAACTTATCTACAATGGCACGTCCTATCCCGCGAGTAGCGCCCGTCACAAGTGCAACCGGTATTTTAGACATAGTTCACAACCGGGCAAATATCTCTGAGTGAAGTAGTAAAGCGCTTATGAAAAAGCGGAGCTGTATTCGTGAACTCTAACAGATTCTGTAACTTCCGGCGCCAGGCTCATAGTTTTTCATTAGTGCTTCAACGTGCTATAACTTGTATTTAATCGATTACGCTCTTAATTGTTCAATCCAAAGTCGATCCACGTTAGATGTGATATCGAAAACTCGACAGGATCAAATCAAAGCTTCATGCTCAACGAGTGCTTCATCGTATCACATTTTAACTCAATACTGGAAATTAGAAACACATCTCTTGACGATTGAATTGTTATTATTAATTTGATTTTATTTACACATGAAATTTCTAAGCGTTCCGTGTGAATTTCACACCTTCAGTACCATTGGTTTTAATAGAAACCTCTAGTCCCTTGCGATGAAAAATCGTAGCCCGAGTAACCGTAGGGAACACCTTGTTGAGCAGCGGCAGCAGCGGCAGCTGCTTGCTGCTGCTGTTGCTGTTGCTGAAACTGGTAGTATTGCTGAAGTTGGGCCTGCTGCTGGGCAGTGACCTGGCTTTGGCCCTGGCTACCGGAGCCTTGAACTTGTCCTTGGGACGAAGCACTTTGGCCCTGTTGAGCACTTTGCTGAGGCTCCTCACCTTGTTGCGATTGCGACGAGGAAGGTTGTCCTCCTTGTTGAGGTTGGTATTGACTCATGTAGTTGCCGTAACCCTTTGGAACCTGGTACGGATACTGACCGGCCATCCCATATTGAGGTTGGCCGTATGGGAAGGATTGTTGGTAAAAGTGGTAGTAAGGCATAAATGATCCACCATATGGTTGTTGCTGTTGCTGTTGCTGTTGCTGTTGTTGCTGCTGTTGCAGTTGCACATGAGCAGCCATTGGAGATGCAGCGGTTAAATCTTTACCCGCGGAGCCGTATCCAGGTGGAACTCCGTATTGTCCTGATTGAGACTGAGCTTGCGACTGCTGCGCGGAAGCCGATTGAGGCTGAGACCCGCTTTGGCTCTGTGGCACGTATTGCTGGCCGTAGCCAGCAGGATAACTTTGGTTGTCGAACATGCCAGGGTAGGAATAGCCCGGAAATTGGTTCTGGTACATGTAGTATTGCTGTTGAGCAGCCGCGGCAGCAGCAGCAGCGTTTTGTTGCTGCAAAGGTTGTGGGGTTTGTTGAGGAGTTTGCGAGGCGTATTGTTGCTGTGGTTGAGATTGGTAGAATGATTGGGATTGTTCAGCAGGGGTTTGAGCCTGAATGGATTTCTCTTCTGAATAAGACCCTGTTTGTTGTTGTTGTTGTTGCTGTGGTTGTTGTTGCGATTGTTGTGGCGAGTAAGAAATAGGCTCTGGTTCGGAAGAAACTGGTGCTTTCTCTTGTGGAGCATGAGATTCTACAATTTGCTCACTAGTAGTGGCCTCAGGAACATGCGCTGATGTTTCTTCCTGTTGTTCTGGTAGCTCCTGAACTTGCTGAGATGCTTCTTCGGGAACAACAGTGTTTTCCGACTGTTCTTGAACCTCAAGTGGTGATTCATCCACTTGTTCCTCTACAACGGGATACTCTTCCTCTTGTTCAGCAGCCGTAGTAGCTTGCTCTCCTGTGGAAATTTGAGCTGCTTCCTTCTTCAAATCTTCGAGTTCTTCCAGGGGTTCTGATTTTTTACCCGTGCCAGGCTTTGGCTTTGGAGTGGCAATAGCAGCCCATGTCATCCTTTTAGGCTTTTCCAAGTCCTCTACAGATGCACTGTTGGCGGCAACAGCAGCAATTGTAGCATCATCAGCGGCTAACTCGTCGTTTTGTTCTTGATGATGCTCTTGATGATGATGGTGATGATGGGTGGTTTCCTGAGAATCACTCTCAGGTTCTGACTGCTGTGGTAGTTCTGGCTCTTGAGTCTTACTTGTGAATGAAGCAGAAGCTGCATTAGCGGCTTGTTTGGCAGCCTTCCTATCCGAAGCCATGGCAGCCCAAGAAGTTGAAGATGCACTTTTAGCGGCCGCAACAGCAGATTTCAAGTGTTCTGGTTGTACAGCAGAGGCAGCTACAGAAGCTGCTGAGCTTGCAGACGTCGCAGCAGCTTTCCCAGAAGCGCCACGTTCACCCCGCTCCCTGGCAGGTTTCTTGTGGAACCTAGAGCCGGAATTGGATTCTCTGCCGGCCCTGGAGGATTTAGAATGCGAATGCTCAGCGTCACCAGAGGCTGCTGTGTGGTTGTTGTTGTTATTGTTATGCGAATTATGATTGTGCGAGACGTTGTTGCTGCCGTCCGCTGTTACAGCTGGATTTATGTGTTGTTGCTGCTGCTGCTGTTGTTGCTGTTGCTGTTGTCTTTCTTTCTTGGATGGCTTTCTGACTTCATCCCACTTAGTAGCCGCACCAGATGTAATCTTGTCAATTATTGTCTCCAGATCATCGTATTCTTGCACTAGGTCAATCAAGTCGTCATTGGTCCAATCTGGAAACAGCTCTGTAAGCGTTTCCAGTTTGAACTTCAGTTCCGGATCTGCTTTTTTATGCGTGCTGTGCGGTTGCTTGCTGTGATTAGACTTCCTAATTTGCGTAGACATTTTGTGTGCTTAATGTGGCGGTAAAGTTGTTGTATATGTGGATTGTACTGTCTCAAATGTATTGGGTAACCCAGAGATGAAAGCGTTCAAAAGCTGAAAAAAAACTAACTGGAAAACGTTCAAACAAGTCTCTAAAGGCTATGAATTGTTCGAAGAGAGTCTTCCTGGTTCGAGTTCTCTGAATTGACCGTCTTTAAAATCACTTAAGGTTCCTGAAGTTCAGACTTCCCGGCTAAATTGTTATGAATCGGTGGCAAATTTTTTTTGATGAATGGGAGGGGAACTTGGAAGATTTTCCTTAATACGTGAAAGATGACATGAGAAGTGCAGAATCAGAAATAAGTGAGTTTAACCTAAAGCGTTGCTAGTTAAGAGTTCGAACTCTGCCGCTTCTACTTTCTCGAAACTAGTTTGGTGTTGCAATTTATGTTCCTAAGTGAAAGGGTTTTAGGTGATCGACCATGCTTTTCGTATGAAATTAGTCAAAAGGTCAAGTGGTCCGCAGCGTTCTCTTGAGCGTTCGATAGTTTTATGGATAGTGCCGAAAGCGCTACAAAGGGCTGAATCGAACAAACAAGTACCCAATCGGCTCTTTTGTGGGGCAATTACTTAATGATGATATTTGTATATTTCTTCATATCCTAGATCTTTGAGCGCCCACGACAAACTATTCGGCTGAGATTCCATTCTGAAGATAGAGTGGAAGCCACAACAAAGTGTCAAGCGTGTTGAGTATGCCTGCGAGCTCTCCAAAGCTTACAGCTTTACGTGAATGACTTTATACTATTATGACGCAGGGTCAGTCGAATGAAAGTATATGTCTTGATCGGTACCTCCATGCTCGAGAGGGCGGAATCATAGCATTGTATGCCTCGAGCGGCTTCTTTCATAGATGTTGTAAGTAGCACACGCCTACTAGTTCATCGTGCATTTCGTTTCGGCAACAATTTTTGAGAGCTCAGCATGGCTCATACTAGACTGAAACTATCCAATAACAAAGCGCACGTACTATCTTAGTTAAAGCATGTCCTCCTCAACCCTTGGTAACCTGTAAAATAATCTTGATGATCTTTTTTCTTTCAAACATCGTCAAGTGTGCATATGTGTGTTCGCTGTTAGATTTCCCTCAGTTGAATTCTTTTATCCATGCATCGAAATTGTAAAGTTCCTGAACACATTCCTTGCTTGGATCTCGCTGCAATGTTACTTAGCGACAACGTCAAAAGCCTCGTAGCCCTTTCAGATAACTTTTGATCGACCACGAATTACAAATAGTAACCCTTTAAAAACTATGTACATATGTGATTCCCTATTTGAGTTCTAAGGCAAAATTAAGAATTGAATTGGCCCCGTACGTGCTTAGCTAGACCATGAAGTATGACTCAAATCGAATCTTGAGAAGCAGCGCGCCAGCCTGCTCATTATTATCAAGCATTACTTGGCATCACTCGATTCGCCTCCGTTCTCAAAGGGCGCCTCTTTGCGGGCTTCGTCCAATGCCGGTTTGATCCCCTGCTTAACAAGTGCAGCCTCTACACAAGTCGTGTACGCATACCATTGCTTGCTGCATTCATTTTCCATTGACAGGCCTCTCAAGAACTTTTCGCTATACCACTGGTTAAAACAATTGTCATACTCCTGTTTTAGATCTGTGCACTCTGGTGCGAAGCTCGCAGACATGACGTTGCCCATTTGCTGTTCTCAAGTACCACTACAACTCTTCACCGGTCCGAGTTCCGTAGACCTTAGACGAGGGCAATTCGACCAAGAGACGCTTGAAAAATCTTGAGCATCATAGAAGCACGTGATAAATGCACACATTAGCGTCTAAGGTTCATCTCTGGTAGGGAAATAGATCACTGTACCGGGCTCGACGGGGTTGTGCTTTGTACTTTCTATTTGCCCAGACGCATCTTTCCGAACAGGTGAGCTGTCAAAGTTAGACGTGGTAGGGCGTTTGAGTTGAGCTGGAGATGGCGCTACGCTGCTAGAGCTTGATCCAAATTGTTGTTGTAAAAGTAGTGATAGTTTGCGTTTGCGTCTCTGGCGTTGCATGGTACTCCCATCTGGATCTGTCTCCTGCTCCGCTTGCCCTGACTGTTCGGGATCTTGGCCTAGGGTCCGATTTTTTTCTGAAGCTTCTCTTTCATTCTCGTCGTCGCTAGAGTCTGGCAGCTGAAGAACTTTTCCCGTGGTAGTTGTGGTGGTCACTTCCGGGGTTTGTGAAGTCTTCTGGAGTATTATGGGAGGGGCCATCATGCTCGAAGTATCGGGGCTCAAACGAGGCTTTCCTGGGAAGAGCGTTTGTAGGGAGCTCTGATCAGTTGTTTCAGCCGGGGGTTGGTATTTAGAAGCAGCTACTGGAGACTCTGTTGCTGCAACAGAGTCGATTTGTAAGTTTCCAGCTTCTTGAAACATAATTTTTAGCCAATTGGAGCTGTCCATGACTTGATCACACACAGTGCCATATTTCGTGACATGTGGAATAACATCTTGAGTGATTTTATTGAAACAATAGCTTAAGTTTGAGTCAATTTGCTGCAGGTGAAGGGTGATCTCCTGATCCAATCGTTCCAGCGACTGCTCGGCCATTCTTTGTTTTCGAGGAGCATGTAAATTCTATCCCTCGAAACGTAAACTTATTTGAGTTGAACTTATTTGAAGATAGCGTTTATTATTGTAGTGATTTACTTGTTAGAGGAAGGAAAGGGTAATGAGGAGAAGGAAGCGGGACTCTGGCTGGATTAAAATAGACGGGTGTAGCGCTGGGAGCTGACTGATAGATTTCTGGCGATTGCAGGAGGCTGCTGGAACCGGGAGCCTTGATTGCGTTACAACAGACCACGTGACGCGCGATATCGTCGATCTAACATGCTACTAAAAGAGCTTGAGTGGGCGTTAAGGTTCGATATTTGCCGATGGTTGTATGCTGGCCTTGGTGTAGATATATTCAGATAAATGCCTGCCATACGGAGTTACGTCCGGAAGACCTGGCTTTTGAGCACATCTGCGCAAGTTCAAGAGTTGATAGAACGGATCTCTCCCAGAAACGCTTTAGAGTAGAGCTTTCTGGCCTCTTTTGAATTGAAAATACGACAAGCAGCGGACGAATCAGTGGGCACTGGCTATCGAGAAGGTTTCCCATGTGACGTGATCATTATTGCATATCTGCGTCAGTAGTAGCTAGCTTGCTGAGGTGACTTGCCGAAGTGACTTGTCGCAGTGACTTCGCTACGCAATTGGCTATCTAGCAATAGCACAGGGTTCCCGACAGTAGCGCAAACCCGCACAATGACACACCCGTACAACGTGATTTGGAAGCACGATAGCACTACAATCGCACTCTTGAGAGGTCTACAGTATTCGGCGCAACAAAGCTATGCAGCTGCTGGCTCAGACGTGTCTACTACGGTAGGAGCTTGGCTCAACGTTCTTCTGCGAAACTCTTCCGACTGCTCTCCTCAACTATACGTGTCCCTGCGTCGATCTATCTACACTCACCGCCATCTCAATTACAGAAGCTCCTACGTCCCCTTCCAGTAAGTAGCACTACTACCACCACCGACCGACCGCGACTGCTTGTCGACTCTTGTTTGGGTAATAACGGCCCTTCGTTTCGTTCGTTCGTTCCCTTTGCTCTCCCGCGCTTGCACATCACTCGCAATTCCCTCTCGGCTCTGGAAAACACTGCTCCCTGGAAACAAACCGCAAACAGTCTGGAAACACATCACTCCACACGGACCAGAAACGCCTTCCGCAAACCTTTCCTTTTCTTTTCTTCTTTCCTATTGCCCAGCCTGCTAGTTGGCCCTCCACCCGATTATCCAGTCGCCGAATGTCTGAAGGCTCCTCTGCACCTGGTTCCAATCACCACCACCAGCACCACCACATCCTTCGGCAACTCGGAACCTTCTTCTGGCACCCGCAATCGATTTCTCCACGTATCTACAATTCCACGGCTCTCGTCGCGCCGAACAATACAAGTAGCCCGTGACGTATACTCGCTGAACAATTGCTCGTCTACTGACACCGAAATGCCAGGCATTATTTCCTCCGTAGATTACGGATGTAAACTGCAACTACTACGTCCTTTCTGACAGGTAAAGCTTGCGTCTCTGCAAAATTTGCGTGGTTTAAAGAAGTTCCGCGGATTTGTCTCCAGATGAGTACGAGAACAAGGCTGGAGCCATCGGAGGGTCTGTTACTAAGTGGCTAAGCGTGCAAGTAAGTAAGTAAGTAAGCAAGCAAGTAGAGAAACTACTATTAGCGGAAGCATGAGTAAGTAAGTAATTTTTTGGGCGAACGCTGGGCAGATTGATAATCGGGATTTTCTGCCTAAGCAATGGATGCAAGGCTGTGTGCGAATGCTGTAGCAAGAATGACAGCGCTGCTCAAGAGTAGGAGCGATTTTATAAAAGAGGAGAGCTAGCCGGGCTGTGGAGTAAATTCCGGCGCTCAAGCGAGTAAGCCAGCTGCCAGAATCAGGAAGTAGACTGCACAGACTGTACGTACACACTCTCTCATACAGGTCAAGCTGGACATCTTCTCTTGCGACCCATCATGATTTACAAACCCGGAAACTACTTCTTTCTGGTGCCTTGGGTAGCGTTCATTCCGTGGTACGGGATGCTGGTGGCCATGCTGGTGTGCTGGGCAGCCCAGGGCCATCCCATCTACTGGTTCATGAACACGCACCAGTTCCCGGTGTACATCTCGGACATCGGAGCCACGAACCTGCGGCCGCTGTTCATCGCGTGCGCTGGCTGGCAAGGCCTGGGATACTGCATCACGATAGCGTGCGAGTATTTCCAGCGGAGCGGTCGCTGGCCGTTCCGGCGCTCTGCGCTCACCAACTCTGCCGTTGCTGACCATGGCTCGGCCTCCGCGTCCCAGGACTCCATCAAGTCCAGCTACAGCGACATGCTGCGCTCCGCCAGATTTCTGATGCCCCCCTACTACACTCGCCACGAACGCAACTGTATATTCGCCAGTTTTGTGCTGGGCGCGTGCGGCGAGATCTGCCTGTTGATGTGCAGCATTTTCACCACTGCCCTGTACCATCGGGTACATATCACCATGGTCGGTTTGTTCTGCGCTTTCATGTTCTTGTCGGTGTGCTGCAACATCGCGGAATACCTCATGATGGGCAGACACTACGCCCAGCTGCATCCGCTGGCCAATCCGGAGGACAAGCTCGTCGAGACCCGCTGGAACCATTGGGTCGGCTATCGCTTCAACAAATACACCATAAGTGCCATCGCCAAGATCATTTGGCTTGCCGCGGCCCTCGCATGGGCCATTGCCTTCGGCGCTATCAGCGACAACTCCAAGAGCTCATGCTTCGAGTGGCTTCTGGCTTTCTGGTTCGGCATTATATTCATCATCATTTCCGTCGATTTCTACCTTGGTGGTCGCTACAAGTTCTCAAAGTACTTCCATCAGGTTACGTCCTTTGAGGGTTTTTACAAGTACGATCAATTGGTCCCTGCTCCTCATCAAGCCGAAACTGTAATACTGTGAATGAATGTCTTTATATACCCAATATCGTTTATATGAATTAATGCATTATCTTCGTCTCATTTGTGGTGGTAATCTATATACCATTTTGAACATTAACAATGAGTGAGAGTAAATTATACAACGTGCCCATGCTTTTATTGGGTCTTTCGAACGTCTCTAAAAAACTTCTTTGAAAAGGCTAGCTTTTTTGTCGCTTTCAGGGGCATTAACCTCCCCTGGTTCGCTCGAGTCTGGTAGTTCGTCGTCATCCGAGTTCACGAGAATTTTGGCGTCTTTTGTGTTCTCTGGAGCGTCCAGAGGAAATTCACTGGACGAAGTGTTCAATCTGGGAGATGCGTCGTCTGAGGTGGCCTTGACAGCTTTCACCTCTGGACTTGCAATAGCTTCGGGCTTGGAAATCGCTTTCTCGACCGTAGGCTTCACAGTAGCGGGTTCAACAACTTTAGTAGCGGGTTCAACATCTTTTGTCTCGGGCTCTTCTTGGATGGCTGGTGTTTTGGTGGTATCCTTAGGAGTAACAGCCAGCTTTGGGGCAGCGGGCGTTGCGGCAACAGGCTTCGCCGCTTTTGTAACTGGCTTGGCCGCTTCTGGGGTGGTTTTAGGGGAGTCTTTGTATACTAGACCCTTGATCTTGTCCTTGAGCGAGGTTGATCTCTTGAGTCCATTTTTTTGTGCTGCAGGAGTTACAGCCTCCTTTGCTGGGCTGGCTTGTTTCTTGGTAGCCTTGGGTGTAGCTTCGGGCTTGAAATCAGGGGGCAACACGGCATCTACCATGCTAGGCTTTGCACCTGCGACGGTGGTGGTCTTGGGCTTTGAAATGGTCTTGTCAGAAGTTTCTTCGGTCTTGCCGGAAGGTTCTTTGGTCTCTAACACGCCCTCCTCATGATGTATAGTTTCTGTTGAGGTAGATTTCTCGCCAGTCTTATCATATTTTGTCTCATCTGCGGCAGATGCAGCGGACTTCTCGGATGCCTTTTGCTTGGCGATAAATTCGTCAGAAGTCATGCCAATCAAAGCTTTGACCTTATCTTCGTCTAGCTTCTCCTCACCCTTCAACTGCGTAACATCTCTCATGGCGTCTAGCAACACAAGTTTTTCATTCTTTAGATGCAACTCAGTAATGTTCAATTCACCTTGACGCTCATTTATCATGGCGTCTACTTCTAATTGCCTCAAGCGGGACTCCTCAGACGATTGTAGCGCTTGTTCCTTGGCTTTTTGAGCCAAGACAACAAAATGAGTATCGATTTTCTCATTAAACTGCTCCTTCTCGGTGGTCAGATCTTGCAATTTGGCCTCTTCATCCTCGTGTTTAGCCGCCGTGTCAACCAGCTCCTTGTCCAGCTCTTCGATTCTCACCTTGTGGTTTTGAATCGAAGTGCGTAGGTCAGCAATGGCTTGAGCGATAGCTTCACGTTCGGCAACAAGTCTTTCGTGTTCTGTCTCCGCAGCTCTAAGGTCGTCAATGTATGGCTGCAACTGTTCGGTTTGCTCGGTACGCGCCAAGGCCAAATCGTCTTTTTGCTCTTGTGCCAAGTTTACCAATTCGGTTTCGCAGCGCTTCTCTTCATCAATCAAGGCTTGTTCCATTTGTTTTTGAAGAGCAGCATAACTGTTCTTGGCATCTTGCAAAGCTTTCTCCATCTCGGCAACCTCGGAGTCCTTAGTGGTAACCAGACTTTCGAACCTTCTTTCGGTTCTGGTATGAAGGCCTTCAGTTTCACGTTTGTGTCTCAAGCGAGTCTCTCGGGAATACATTTTGTCGTTACCAAGCTTGTTGCGTTGCAATTCGATCCAAGCTGTATTTTGATCCTTGTAGTCGATTTTTCTCTGCTTTATGTCCTCATCCATAGCTCTCTGCTGCAAAGCTCTGCTGTCGACTTCGTCTAAAACAGGAGTGATCAAACCTTGGGCAATGTTTTGGACATCCGCTTGACTCAACCACAAGCCACCACCCATGTTGATTTTACCGGAGTGCACCGAACGCTGTGACGAGTTCTTCTGGGCTAAGGCGACGGCAAGTTTGTTGAACTCTGCATTTCTGTAGAGGCTTCCTGGAGCAGCTTTGTCCATAGAGTCCAACTTGAATTGAGCATTTGTTTTGGCCATGGCCAAAACTTGAGGAGATGTGAGCATTCCAAAATATGCCTGCTTCCTCTTCTCCCGTTCCAATAGCTCCTTTTCGGCTTTCTCATTAGGGTTAAAGTCGCGCACTGCATAAGCGGCTTGGGATGCGTACTTTTTAGGGTCAGCTTCAAGTTCAGCCTCGGCTTCTAATTGACCCTTAGTAGAGATTTTGTCCATAATCTCGGGGGTTAAAGAGAAACTGCGTTCAGCCGCTTTCGCGGAGTCTTTCGAATGGACATAAACAATTTTTTCGGGGTTTGAACGAATTCCCATGCGCTTCCCAGCGGCAGCTTCAGCGCCAGAGAGCACTTTAGACATGTCCATACCAAGTTTGTTAGTGGTCACGGGAACTTCGACGGGTTTAGCGGCCAAAGCTTTGGTAGCTGCGCTTGTTGATCGTTTGTCCGAAACAGCGGTGACATTTGAAGAGACGCTTGAAGCACGCGAGCGGCTCGAAACGGCTGTGGCGGCCTTAGAGGCATCAGAGTCGACCATGAGGCGTTTGTACGCCTCAATTGTAGTTCTGTTGTTGTTGGCTAGGTTTGCCGCAACGTCAGAGGCCATCTTAGCATCCGAGACGCCTGTTCCCGTGCTTCTTGCAGGCGATTGGTACACACCATACTTTTGCTTGGCTCTGTACAGAGCTTCTTTTGAGAGTGGTTTGCCGTCTTTGCGGTACACTTGCGACTGTCTTGTCGACCCATTGGAAGCCGTTGAGCTGGAGTCATTAATGTCAGCTGCCGCTGATATTAAAGACATGATTAGAGCGCTGGCTTTGTCGAGTGTCTATTCGAAAGTAGGAGCAAAATGAAAAACTATTTCAAACCGTTGTAATTCAGGGCCAAAAAAATACGCGTTTGTGCTGATAATTTCTATGCCAGATCGAGTTCAATCAAGTACGATTGTTCAAACAGCTTTCAAATCGATTAAAAGAGCTTATATCGTCGTTTTCGTTGCGGGAGGAAGGGTTAAAGAGTCTAGTATCATACACGGAGCTCATTTTCTCCCCTGATATAATTTAATCTTAAAATTTGTGAACAGCAAAGAACGTCCAATTGGCACAGAGAAGATTTCCTAATACGGAAAGAGTAAAAACCATGCTCCGTATGTAGAAATTTACTCCATAAATGGTAAGATTTCCTAATTGGTAATATATAAACGTCATTTCCCCAAATAAGAGATCACAGCCATAAAAGGAAGTGGTCCCGAAAGAGTAAGTTGAAGGTTGCTGCCTAAAATGGAACTGGCGCCAGGATCAGCGTCAGGAAACTCGGATTCTGAGGAGTGCCCAATTTGATGCTTTTTTTTGGAGTGCGTACGAAGGGCGAGTGTGTAAAAATCAGTGAGTTTGGGATTGACTGTTGGAACTCGAGTGGTTTAAAATGGTGCTTCTAAACATGCGCGAATTTTCATCAATAGTATTACTTATGGGGCAAAACATATTTTTTGAAATGAGAGCGATAGTTGAGAACTTTATGAAAGTGCTGCAATTATCAAGTGGAGAGCACATATTATTACTATAGCAAGAATTTATGTGGGGCGTGCGGCATGGCGAAAGTCCGGCTTTAACAGGACGGCGCATCGAGATTGAACGATCAAACGATAGACTTGGAAACCAAAAAGGGATTGCATCAGAAGAAGAATTTGTACGCTTGAGACCAGACCCGCCAGTTGAAGCTGTTCATTCATTCTTACCTTCACTTCTGTAAGCCAAGCATCTAAGGCCTGCTGTACTTGTCGGGAGTTGGTATTACAGGAAGACATTGATATGCCAATATATAAAAGAGCTATCAAAAACACTCATATAAAAAGCCTCACCCAATGCTTAATGCGCACATCTCAAACACCTATTAGCATATACTTTATTATCGATCTTTCAATGTCATTTCGTACTATAATGACACATCAAGAATTACAACGCGGTTGAAATGAGATAGTCGGTAAGAGACCATTTTTGACGGTATTCTACTTCCAAAAGACTTTGAGGCACACACCATGATCCAGCTGCTATTAGTTATTACTTACTTGCTTGTTGGTGATTCTTGCTTAATCCGAGCTATGCCTCTTGAGACAAACTTTTGTCAGCTTAACTCAAATACTTCAGAGATAGAATCGTGCAACGATGAATTTATTAAATAACTCTTTGTGGGCGACATATCACTTGCAAACAGCCTCCAGCTCCAATTTCATACTCTAGAAACTTTCTTTATGTGAACTCGAAAAAAAAAACAGACAAACTACAAAGAGAAATGACAGGTTGGCATCGAATAAGTCATTGCATGACCAACTTCAATGAATTATGTCAATATATGGAGCTTAATTCAATAACTAATCTTTATTCAAAGAACAATTCCAATTGAGCACTATGACCCATGTAGATATTTGTTTACCGCATTAGGATAATTGTCAACAACATCAAAAATATCGACATAGTCTAGCGATATCAACACCTACAGTTCATTCAATGAGTCTGATCTCATCCATCCAGCATCATTTTGAGTCGACACTTCAAAGGATATCAATCAGGGCCGCGATTACTCATAAAATTGCGTCTCAATGTCTCAAAACTATAATTATCAGTTGAGCTTTTGGGACGAGCAAGATGGGGGTGCTCGAATCCTTCTAGAGCACATAAGCAATGGTCTAGAGTCCTGTAACAGCTTAGTTACATTTTTTGAGGAGCGGAGCAAGCTGGAAAAAGATTACGCTCGAAGACTTAGTGCCATCACCGGAAAATTACATGCGGGAATACAGCAAGCTCCGGATTATGGAAATCTTGCCAAAAGCGTCAAGACCTTGCACTCAAGCCAGGAGCGCTTAAGTCAATCCCATTCGAAAGCAGCTGTAGCCATACACAAAGACGCATATGCTGAACTCAAACAGTTCGTGCAAGAACTTCAGGCGCGCTACAAGACCGTTGACATTAAAATCCGCAGCCTTTGCAATGATAAAATCACCAAACGTCAGCTATGCGATATTTTGAAAGAAAAGCTGAACAAAGCAACCATTGAGCTACGAGACTGTAAACTCAATAAAGACAATTATCTTGGGAAGCGTGACTCAGACCAAAATGATAGGCATCTGCTCAAGTGGAAAAGTATTGCAGACGAGCTACAACTGAAGCTAGACGTCTTGAAGCAAGAATACAAAGCATCTTCAAAGCATTGGCTACATGAATGGTCACGGTTGAGTCTTGAACTCCAAGAGATGGAGAAGTCGCGCATACAGTTTATTCAATTGAAATCACAAGAATTCGCCAAACACTGTTCTGAACTGGCCATCCAAGAACAGATCAATATGGAAAATTTGACACAGCAACTAACAAAATATACGGCAGATCAGGACATTTCGAGCTTCGCCTATAATCACGGCACAGGCCGCATAAGGGGAAATATTGCTTCTGCCTCATCTACAAAGGAACAAATTCAATCTACCTCGAGCAAGCATGTTCAAAACGTTCGGCTGTTATCTTCGCAATTACAAAAAACTAGGCTATCATCCCATTACAACGAAGACAGGGCTTCTGTTCCGCAGTCGATCCCCCGACCAGTCTCGCGAATTGAGCCAGAACCACTGACTCAGTCACATCCGAAAATCCATGGTTTGGAGCTGTCAAACTCAGCAGTACCCAAAGTTGAACAGCTGGAAGCTCCACCAAACTCTACCGCTGTGTACACAACATCAGAATCATCTAATGATTCCTCGAATCCAACGGACTTTACTACACACAGGAGGCGGCGTACAAGCATTGAATCAATGAATACCTCAATTTCATCCTTGGCACATAGTATTGATGACTCCAGAAGGTTTGCGAAATCTTGGAATTCTCAGAATAGACGGAAATCCAAGACTAGGTCACAGCTTTTCGACTCATCACAGGTAACAAGCATGAACGAAAATTCAAGATCCAGCAGTATGGAAACAACCCGTATCCACGGAAATCAAGAATTCGCTACGGACTCGCAGTTGAGTCAACGTCGCAAATCCATGGTGAGAAACGATTCAAACTCCAATCCATTTAAGCAGGCGCTTGATGCAATGAGAAAGAGCTCGGAAGAGTATGAAGCCAGTGTTGATAGTAGGCACTCGTCGCAAAAGAAGCCATTGATACCTTTCCAGCAATCTCATAATACTACCACAATTCACAAAGCTAAGTCACTTACTCAACGTGTGATGGACGGAGATCACTACGTGGAACTACCTACCTACAACAGTAAAGGCGAAGAAGTTATTCAGTATGCAAAAGCGCTTTACACTTTTATGGAAGCAAATGAGCAGTCTATTGTCAACTTTCATGTCGGTGATTATCTGCTTTTAACTGAGAAACTTGACGATGACTGGTTCATTGGAGAGGTTCTTGATACAGCACAAATTGAGGCCCCTTACCGCTGCGGCATAATACCGAGAAACTATATTGAGCTGCTGACGTAAAAAAATTGACGCGATCTCAAGAATCTCTCCCAACAGGAGTTCTCAATAGAGTCCGTTTGGGATAAACAAGTAAAAGTTCGTTACCACTTTCATAACAGTTCCCATAATCCCGTCATATAAGCATACAGAAAACTGACTTCAGGCAACCGACAGACGGCATAGACAACTGTAGTTCTAGTGATAAGATCAAACTACTTTGAAGTGGCACTTGTCAAATCTTCATCACTTCCTTATCGTTCCGCCGCCTAACACAGTCTTTTAACCCATTCCACAGGGGACTTCCAGATTTTAAATAAATTGGCCCCGAATCCTACGTGCCAGTTGCATATCTTTCCTCATAATAGTTATTCTCTTAGCGTGAAGCGCTAACAAATTCGTGTGCTCCAGGAGTCCAACTAAATATGCTTCGCTAGCCTCCTGTAGAGCCATAATTGCCATTGACTGCCAGCGTAGCTGCTGTTCTTCGGTCGTGAATTGATCTGTCACCTCTTTGACTAAGCGTGCGAACGGCATCTTCGAAATCAAAAGATCAGTGCTTCTCTGATATTTTCGTATTTCCTGAAGTGCAACATCGCTTGGTCGATATCGTTTTGTGCTGCTTTTGCGCCTGCGTATGGTTTTTACCGCTGACACCGGGCTTTCAATTCTAGAAGGCTCTTCTGATGGGATATAACGCCTGCGGTCTTCCTTTCGGTTTAGCAGCATCCTCCGCTGTCGGTTTTTCTGTAGAAGTGACAAGGCTCTTTCATTTATATCATGTGCAAGTCTGTTCGTGTTACTCAAAGATCTGCCACCAGTGTTGCTCGCTATGCTGGCGTTCATAGCCTAATATTTTGATCTTGGTGAATCTTCCTTAAAGTATGTCAACAATGTGACGATGTTATTTATTTATCAAAAGTTTTAATAAAGAGATCTCGTCGAGTAAAACAAAAAACCAAAGCCCGAAAGCTATGGCACCCTTCAGACAAGATAGCTACTTCGTATGTGACAAATCTCGATGCTATGATGGTCTCTGGCAATTGATATACTAACTTATTGTATACAGATCATATATCCTGGATCTCAACATGGGTTGGTTCAATTTGGTATGAGAGAGGAAACTTTATATCCGGCCCAGTTGCAAATTCCTTCTACGGTGTATAGAACCACTGAAGGCAAATTCACAGCTAAGGAAGATGGTAACCAACCTGTTAAGCCGCTGCAGGATGGGAAAATCATGGACTTGGACGCGTTCCTATTTTACATTAAGCTGGTTTACAGATCATACTTAGCACAGCGATCCAGGTTTGGAGCCAGTCCAGAGGTCTTTGATATGGAGCTTTCAAATATTCCGATGCTCATGTTGAGCCACCCTTCTTGGACTCATTTCCAGCTGGAGGCAATTACGCAATTTGTATTTGAACAGTTACAAATCAACAATTTCATGTTCTTGCCATCGAACTTGGCCTGCTCCTATGCGCTCGGCTCCTTGCAAAACTGTGTGGTCATAGATATTCATGCCAAGGGCACCGATGTAACCCCAATTTTGGATTATATTCAGTTGACACATTTGTATACGAAAGTGAAAAATGGTGGTGACTTGATCAACGAAGAGCTTGCCAAATTACTACCTCAATGGACACCAGAACAAATAGAGGACTTGAAAAGATCGCCAATTTTTGAAATTTTAAGCGAGGACGTTAAGAAAACCTCTGCATTAAATTTTCAACCCGAGGAAGACGAAGGAACCCTGGACGTAGCAGCGCTAATCACAAGTGACAGAGACCCTAGAGAAATACTAGAAGAGCGGGAGAAAGATAAAGCCGGTCAGCAGGAGTCAAACAGTGAATTGGAAACGAATGTATTTGAGGATCGTCATGGGAAGCAAACTATGGTTGGCAAACAAAGATTTAAAGGCTGTGAAAGTCTGATTGCTGAGATCTCCAAAGCGGTAGGACGCGTTTTGTCACAAATCGATGACTTTCACAAGCTCAGAGCAATTTGGGAGAATATTGTGATCATCGGAGGAACTACGTCTATAACAGGACTCAAAGAAGCCCTAATCCAAAGGCTAATGGAAGATCATCTAGTTGAAGAACCAGATGCAGAAAAGGCGTCTAGAGAACAAGAACATCTGGTCCAGGCAACGAATAAGAAAAAGGCAAAAGCTGCTAGCTCTTTCTTAAGCACGGTAGACTACGTGCAGATACCTACTGTGATCAGGTTAGCGAAATATCCAGATTATTTCCCAGAGTGGAAAAAGCATGGATATAGCGAGTTGCCTTTCTTAGGTGCACAGATTGTTGCTAAACAGGGATTCGGTCACGCAAATGAGAGTTTTTATATTACCAGGGAAAGATATGAAAAGAAGGGGCCCTCGTCCATTTGGGATGTAACCTTTTAGCTGAGATGTGAAACGTCCAGTAAAACTTGTATTAAATTAATATTAAAAAGATGCGTCATTGTAAAATATAATTAAAGCTTGGTTGACCGATGCAGAATTGGAACTTAGCTCTAAGTCACTTGATTTCAGATGAAGAGTCTGTACTGTCATGGTGTGAATCTGGCCTATCCTGACGTGAAGAGAGCCCGCCACTCTCCAAATCTTGATCTTTTGAAGTGTCTTCGTCCTCACATTCGTCGGACGCCCATCTTTTTAAAAAGGGAACCAGGAGGTTAGCAGTCATCACTTGCTCGCTTTGATACAGTACGAGAGGAACAAGTAATTTGCCCAAATGAGGGGAGTCACTACCATATTGCGAAGAAACGAGAGAAACTCCAAGGGCTGCAGTCTTGGCAGCACCACAAAACATGATGGCTATGCTATCTTTTTTTGAGCAGTAGAAGGGCTGGAAAATTCGGTAACATAAATTGTAAAATGTTGACGAACCTTCGCGTGGCTTCTGATGGAAAATCTTTTGCAAGAACCAAGGCCTTGCCCAAATGTAGCAAATGACAGTGTAGAACAGATATAATCCAAGATTGAAAAATACCACAAATATGATACAGGCGTGAGATACGCTCCGGAACGCGCGCTGGTAAAAGGCCGTGGAGAAAGAGCTCCACATAATAAGAATCAAGCAAAAACTGCCGACTTTATTCAATTTGAATGTGGTGAGAACCCACGACACCTGTTTTGGAAAGACATTTTGTAGAACCTGTCCCACGAAAAGCGGGATAAAGACAGACAGTCCAATCTGCTTCATAACATCCGCATATAAATGCGAGATGCTGGTTCCAGCTGCCGGGTTTCCAAATTCAAAAAGTCCCATAGAGGTGTACATCTGCACCAACGCGGGCGTAACAAATGCACCTAGGACGTTTCCTATGAATACCTCACACAAGCACAATAGATCGTTGCCGCCTGCCTTCTGCGTCATTACCACATTTGAAGCTACGGTAGTGGGACACGTAGCCGTCACTATCAACCCCATCAGAACCCAGCTATCAATGGCCGGGTCGTTGGCCTTTTGAATCGCACAACAGAGGCCAAACATGATCGAGCTCGTCACCAAAAAACTTATAGTGAGAACTGACGTGTGAGCGCGCCAGTTGCCCAGGTTATAGCATAGCTTACGCGTTTTCATGCTCAACCCGCTCTGCAGGAAAATTGCAGCTACGGCGCCATATCCAATGCTGTACTCGGCCCTAATCGTTCCGCCGTGTCTCGCAAAGTTGGGAAAGAAATTCGCCAGAACAATGAACACGGCAAGCGTGATGAAAAACCATTGCGATATCAAAAACTGTACAACCTTATGCCGGTAAAAGGCACTCCATAAGTTTTTGCACTTTTCCATTTCCAAGTAATCTTCGACTTTATAATTAATTCACACCAAAAGACTTGTAAGCATTATCGGAGTCTCTTTTTAAATCCTAACAGCACATATACAGTACGAGATACCTCTTTCTGGGTCAGTTGCAGCTCTATTTATTCTATTGTGAATATTCTGTCGCTCTCATCTTATGAGTGCCTATCTCTTAATTTATTGCGGAATGTCGGCCCGAGGAAGCGAAAACGCAATTAAAGAAAGTGTTGATGGCACTCAGGACGAAGATCCTGAATGTAGTTGAGGCCCCGAAATCAGGAACTTTTGACCTCATCAGTTAAGGTTTAGCAACGGTCCTGTACTGAGAAAGAGGTCAACGTTCCCGAAAAGATGCGTAATATCAGTGGATCGGTCTTCGGTACAAGAACTGTGCTCATAACGATGTCTTGGATCCCTGTAATGTTGGCCATCAACAAAAATGTATGTTATGTAGCTAAGATAGAGGGCACTTCGATGAGACCGACTCTGAACCCGGACGAAATAACACATACAGACTGGGTTTTGCTGTGGAAGTGGGGAGCCAAAAACGCGGCAAACCTGCGTCACAACGACGTGGTGCTTTTCAAAGCGCCAACAAATCCAAAGGCGGTGTACTGCAAGCGTGTGAAAGGCGTGCAATACGACACAGTGCAAACGCGCCATCCATATCCACGAGATATCGCCAGCATACCGCGTAGTCATATCTGGGTCGAGGGCGACAATGCATTTCACTCCACAGACTCAAACAATTTTGGTCCGGTGTCAACCGGACTTGTGCTAGGAAAAGCCGTAGCCATTATTTGGCCTCCTACACGTTGGAGCTCAAGTTTGAGCAAGAGTTTGGGACGGGAAGATATAAGAGTTAATCACTTCGAACTATAGGGCACCTAGACCGCTGGTCGTCCGCATAACCTTAATAAAAGCTAGTGGCATGGACAAGTTGTCATATTAGAATGGTGGCCAATTTTTTACTTGTAAATAGGTCTCGCATTGCGAGTTATAGATAATTTATGCTAGCTTTTTGGGTAATGCAAGAACTTTTGGGTGTTTCTGTTCCCGTCTTCTTTTAAAATTGAGCCGAACAGTGATCTTTTCGTGCTCTTGAATGCAAGTGCGGAGTCGTTGCTACCGCGACGTAATTGAGTTTCCTCGCCATCTTCTTCAAAACTTACGTTATCGAGGTCGGTGCTTCCAGTGTCATCGCGAAGCTCGTCCAGTAGTAGTAGCCCGCTACTTGCGTTGCTACTGCTCACGCTACTGGGACTTCCACTCTCTCCTCCGGTACCGTAATTGGAGAATGATAGCTTCGGTGGTGCTTCATACTTGAATGATAAACTGCTGTTTGTAGTGAAGTGGGAAGAATAGGAAAGGTCTGGTTTCTCTTTGTAGTCGGGAAAAAATGTTTGACTTCGAGAACTTGAATTGGCGCGTGCTGGAACCAAATCTGGACGAATATTCGTGCTACTCTTGCTGAATGTTTGAAATGAATTGCCTCGAGTGGTGATGCGCTTGGAGTCCTTCCGAAATTTCTCCATCTTAGTTTCGCATAGGTCAATGTGTTCTTGCGAGTTCATTCCAATGTAACGGGGAGGGAAGCATCGATCGCTGTATTTATCAAAGAACGATTTGTATCCCCCCTCAACAATAAGAATATCGGGATAATGTAGCTTAGGATAATTGTCGTAATTTAACATGCGGTCGCAATTTCGTAAATGTGACGCCATGATAGGACCTCTATATGAGCTGAATTCACAGTGAAATACCATTAAAGGCGGTAGTTTGCTCTGACAGATCAAATGCCTTTCATGAATGAACTTTGATTCTAACGAGTTTTGAGTGTTGATGTTGACAGCTTGCCCGATATGGCCACCTTGATACTCATATTCAAATCGACAGTCTACAATGTAAACATCCTGATAGTACTTTCTGAATCGACCGTCCATGATTTCGACTAGAGTCTCCACACTAATACGCGGTAAATTGTCATCTGTTGAATTGTCAAAATAATAGGAAACTCCGCTCTTTTCTAGAGTGGACTTGAACGTTGCACTTTCAATATTATCGTCAGTAGTCTTGCACTCAATCATATGTGAGGCTTCTGCGACGTCATAGCCTTGAGACACCTCTTTCTCTGATGCAAACATCGAATGAATTCTTCTCAGCTTACCTCTCGAGGCCTGAACAGATACAGTTTCTTTCTTGACACCATTGGGCTGATTTCTGAGCGCTTTGGAACGAGCCACCAAAGGCTCATTCTTCTTAAGAGTAGCAACCGAGCGAGAAGCGGAGTTGGTCCTGCTAAGGCATCTTTGTGGTGTTCTCATCCGGGGCTTACGCTCTTCAGAATGAAATTTTGTTTCAAAAGGGGATTGAGTTAGATGCAGTGAGGATTGTCTCACCACAGGAGAGATGCAGTCTCCGTCCCCTCCATCCTCATCGCAGGACAACGAAGACTCTGTCGAGCTTATGTGTACCAGCTGGGTCCCAAAATCAGAGTTTGAACTCGATTGGCCTGTAGTAGCTGAGCACGGAGGTGTCAAGGGCTTACATTCCGATTCCGAGCTAATAGTGAGCGACGCCGGTCTAGTATTCTTGCTGTGCTTGCGACTGATTCCCTTCAATAGGTTGATGTTTTTGAGGAAACTTCCACCTTCTTGAAAAGTATTCGCCAACCCGGATCTTTTGGCTTTGCTCGTCAAGCTCTTAGGGTCACTCATAGCTCAAAGCTGCACTGGATCAGGCAGTCCGGGGGTAACTTGTTTTCAATTGCGAGCTAACTTTTTCTCTTATTGCGAAAGGTAAATACAGAGAGAAGATCTAGTTCATGTGCAACCGACTTATAATAGAGCATGAAATTTAATAAGCTATAACCTCAAATCAAATTATTTGTACATTTATTTATACATCTATCTGTATACCTACCATTTTATCGTCCAGTCTATCAATTTGTGAAAGTTTTAAGAACATTCGATCTTGAGTTAAGACGAAACATGCTCATCCATATTGTAACTAGCCATCCGCATATTTAAGGTACTTGCGAATGTCCTCCATTGTGTTAGAGCTGTGCGATGACCTGTTTGTGCGGTCTTCATAAGATTTCCCGCTCTTCGAAGGTGAATTAAAGTATTTTTTAAAATCTAGTGTTCCCCGCGATGCCAAGATGTTGGTATTATTATGTTGCGGATTATGTTGCGCATTGGCTTTACTTCTCAATTTCGAATTCGGTGTCTCAGCAGACTTGCTGATCCTCTGAGATTCTGGCGTATTTTGAGTTCGGATTAAATTCTTGAGCGGTGTATCGATCTTGATGGGTGACGGGCTGGTGTCGCGAGTGTTGTGCTCGTGAGTTAGTTTCAGTCGCGGCGGTGTACTCGTCGCATCTTGGTACGAAGGTTCTGAAAGGGAAGGGTTAGTTTCTTCGTGCGATGCGTGAGAGTCAGTGTCCACTTCAGCGGTTGTAGTCTTCGTGTCGGCGGCCATGAACCCGGGAATTTGTACCGGCTCATCAAACGATGATCCTGCGAACGATAAGTCAGAGTCTATATCGGAAAACTCGATTTCGGGAGCAGTCGGTACTTGATCGGACTGCCTGTCGTTGCTACACTTATCTTTCTTTTTGCTCTTCATACTTAGCTTTCGCAGTTTCGATACGAAGCGTCTAACACCGGTTTCTTTCTTGGGATTTTGCAGAAGAGCGTAAAGCTCGTTGATTTTTATTCGTTGTAAAGGGTCTTTATGCAAGAGCTTAGAGACAACCACTTCGTGCAGCCAGTCGCCACGATGCGACAACTTGTTGCTTACGATCTTTTGAAAAGTATCGAACTCGTTCTCACCCCAAAAAGGTAAGCTGTTTTCGAGCAGGCAATATATTGTGATGCCGAGAGCCCAGACATCTAACTGAAATCCGTCAATGTTCACGTCCTGTTCCTCGAAATTGCATAGCTCGGGCGCCGTGAAAGCGGGAGTCCCTGCAATCTTATGAAGCTCTTCTTGATAAGCCGGCTTTATTCTGGTGTCTTTAAAAGGCAACTTGTTTGGAAGTAATACACAACTTCCAAAATCTGACAGCATAACTCTGCCGTTTTGCCCGTTCACAAGAATGTTGGACGGTTTGATATCACGATGCACACATCCCTGTTCCGATAAATACAATAGTCCATCGCATAAACTGCGTAACACGTATTCGGCGAATTCAATTGTGTTTGTCTTGTGCTGTAAAACGACATCCCATTGCTCTAAGGTATCCAATTTAGAGCGCCGCTTCCACTTCAATTCACCCAAAGTCGCCCAGGGAGATACGATCCAGATTTCTTGGCTCATTGGAGAGTCAAGACATTGAACTATTTCTAAAACGTTGCCATGTTTTAGACGGCTAGCGACAAATATTTCCCATCGTATTTTATTCATGTTCATTTCTATAATTGCTTCATCGCTGCTCATAGATCTCCTACCTAGAGATTTTTGACGTCGCATCTGTCGCATGACTTGATTCATTGAATACTGTTGGGGCTTTTTGGGTCTTTTCGAAATACATTTCACAGCGACGTGTTCTCCAATAGCGGATTTTGCCATGTAAACATCGCCATACTGACCCTTACCGATGCGCCTTACTAAAGTAAACTGACCGAGTTTCCTCTTGGAGTCCGAATCGCCAGTATAGGTGACGAGTGGTCGCAGTTGTTGCTCAATCGACCGCTGATGAATTTCCACTATGTGATGATATGACTTTGGTATATCTTCATCTGTAGTTTCTTCGACAACAAGTTCTGATTGACCTTTGAGGTTATCGTTGAAGTTTATTAGTGTAGGTGCCAGCAATTTGATAGAATCCGCACTCAGTGGAGCCGTTTCGTCCATCAAACACGTTTTGCCTTTCCTTCGTTCTATTGTTTAGTTTAGAACCGTCAAAACAATTATTACCTTCGCGATGATCTATAGAGAACAAAGCGATAAGTAGCTAGCGATAAAACCTTCAAGATTTTAGGGTTGAAAGAATAACATAGTTACTAATTACTGAGTGCATGAGAACGAAGTAAAAACAAATTAGAAGAGATACTTTTCAATTTCTATCAACTTAATTTCCGAAGTCTAGAAATCACCATGTTTCTTGTGAGTCTTTAGATGCTGCGATAGGTTGTCGCTTCTGCTGAATTTCTTGTCGCAGTAACAGCAATGAAACGGCCGTTCTGAAGAGTGAACTGACCGTATATGTCTTTTGAGATGTTCGCTTCGCCGAAACGCCTTAGGACATTCCTGGCACTTGAATGGTTTTTCATCTTCTTCAAGCGGCGAAGACGATTTACTATTCTGGGGGGGCTTGGAAAATGACTGTCGCTTGCGAGGCTTGCTAGAACTCTGGCTGTTGGTATTGTAGTTTGAATTGTACGACGACGGAGAAGTTGACGCAGTGAGTGGCATGTGTAATGGGTTAAAATTGCTTGAACCAGCAGATCTTGAAGAGAGCGCCGCTGCATCAAGAATATGATCCTGACTATTCACAAGCAGATTTGGTTGTACAAACGTCGCATCCTGGACGCTGAGGTTAGGGTTGAGGTTATGGGAAAGAAAGTCGGTGGAGGCACCCTGAGAAGAATGTTCACGCGTTATCTTTTCCCCTTCCTCTTCGTCGTCTACAACACCAGCATTTGAACTAGTGTCGATAATCTGGGCACTGCCGGGGCCTCTTATGTCGTCCTCCTCTTCATCTTCATCTTCATCTTCGTCATCTGAGATGATGGCGTTTTCCCACGACAAACTCGTGAGCCTAGGTCTAGGCGCCTTAACATCTCCATATAGTTTAGCAATCAAATCTTGATTATTACCGTCCACCAGGGACATAGAAGCACGTTGTTTTTGAACGCGATTTTGAGGCTCTGAAACCGACGATCTACGCGGGTTGTTAATAGTATTGAAGGATCCGGTCCTTTTCTTCACCGGTTTTTGGATTGAATAACTGAGATTATAGTCGTCCAGAAGTTTGGTAAGTTCGTTGTCGATCTTAAATGGCGATGACGATAGACTTAGAGGCCTCAAAGACTCAGAACGTTTGCCCGTACTAGCGGGGCGTACAGTAGTCGTAGATGAGGGCAAAACTCCGCCAAACGAGCGATGGGATTTGTAGTTAGGTCTTTGATTTGACGTTGAGCTTGGTAAATTCCAGAAATCAGTGTTGTAGGAAATGGAGTTTCGGGTATGGAGTTCTGGATGCGTAGCAGTGCGGGTCGAGGTAAGTTCGCTCGGTCTTCGCTGAAATGTAAAGTCATCAAATATCGAATTCGTATCATCATCTTGGAAATTATCTGGAGAAATACGGTCTATAGGGAAGCCGGAGTCGACAAAGTGAGAGCCAGCGTTGCTAAGCAAGTTGGGGTCGATGCAGGGCTGTTGTTGTTGCTGTGTATGTTGCGGTAGCGATATCGGTAGGTTTGGGATATTTGTAGGATCCAACGCCCGAAAGTTCAAAGAGCCGTTGTTGTCCAATGAGCGCGAGAGGATGGCCAGAGGATCATCTTCTGGGGCGAAGTGTGTGGAGTCCTTCAATATCCGCTGCGGCGAGAGCCCGGATGAATTTGAAACAGAGTTCGACTGCGAATGCGACTGCGACTGCGCCATAACGCGCGGGTCCATCGGCAGATTCGAATCCGAAGAGTCTGTGGATTGTAGCTGCGCGTGAAGCGCCACATGGTCGTCGAGCATGGCTAGCAGGTCCGTCACAGCCGTGGGACTGGCCTGTTTCTGGCCCTGCGCCTTGCGAAACGAATTAGGAGTGTTTCCGGTGGACGCTGGAGCTGAATGTTCGGCAGCTGCCGTGGCCATGCCGGTGGATGAGCCCAGTCCACTTTCGCTACGAATATCTAGCGAGTTGTTCGAGTAAAGGGCTAGGTTTTGCTGGAAATCCTGCTGCGTCATGGTCGACAGAAGTGTGGATTTTGTGACGAAAAGGCGCTCTTGACGAGGCTCCAAGTGTGCTGTCTCTGTTGCGAGTCCTGCTATTTTTTCGCTGTAGCTTTTGGCCGTCTCTGAGGGCTTATAGTTGGTCTGGTCGTGAACCGACGTCTATGTCTTTTGTTTTTATCGGTTTGTTGGATTATTCAACGTCTTACCCACTTTTATGTCAAAAGTCAAAATAAACAGCTTTAAGGTAACAACAACCTAATGTAATTGAACCTAAGATCACTAGAGCGAATTTATAACTACGAGCCCGACTACCCACTGCACACCCCACTACGCTTGCAGCACGACCTCTAGCGATGCGATACTGCTTGAAGCCACTTGAAGCCACTTGAAGAGGTATTAGTCAAGTGCATGTGATGGCGTTAGAGGCGGTTCTAAGATGAGTAACAGATGTTTACGCTATGAAATATTAAGAAAGGTAGCGGGATAAGCTGGACAGCTTTGTGATGTTCAGCGTCGTGCAGTTTTGGTCGCTTGACCTGCAAGCATACATTAAATAGAAGGTCAGCATGTCCGAGATGTAGTGTTTCTAGTAGCTCAGTAGTAATAGCGCCGCAGAAACGGCGTTAAGACAAGACACATATGTGCGTGTGTGGTTAGCAGAGGTCATATGCTCAAATAATTAGAATGGCTTGTTAGGGCGATCTTCGGTTCGTGGGAAGAGAGGCAAGGGAAATACATTCCAGCGCAGAGCAGGATTAGCCCTGCTGCGGTCGGGAGCCTTGTGGGCGTCTCGGTGTTGGTAAACAACTCGTGCAAGAGCGAAATGGGTAGCCAGGAGACGGATGGTATTGGTGTATCACTGGATACGGTTTACTAAAGTATAGCGAGGAGTTCCTGATTTGGGGGTAGCACTTATAGGTGCGGCATTTCCGTGCTTTGCAGCGAGTTGTAAATTCAAGGCACAGCCCAGTCGGTTGGCCGACTCTGAACCATCAGCAAAGAACATTTGAAGGTGGCACATCTTTTTTGTCACTTGATACTATACTGTCATTTAACTTTGCATCCCAGCTGGGATGCTGCTTCTACTGGCTCAAGATGGCAGGGCTCCAGTTGCTCGGTAGAAACGCATTTCAGAACCATGCAGTGACTTATTGAAGATGGGTGGCTTATGGCAGCCATGAAAAGGGGAGTTCTGATAAATTCATTTGGGTCGGCAAAATGAGAGCCAGTGATTTTCGGCCCACTTGGCTAGAACTTAATTTCGCTCATGCTGCTCTCGGTAAGTCGTTTTCCATTTGTGATGTGAATGCAACACTCGGCAGCTGTTATTTTTAAGCTTGATGGCCGCTCTAGCTCCCACTTGTCCTTTTGTCTTGCCTTTTTACTGCGACATGCAAATACTACGTAGCTTTGCACTTTGTAACAACACTCAAAATATCCCCTCCTATCAAAGACTTACAAACTGTAACAAACGCTTTCGTATTTACTATCTCAACCCACTATGATACCCCGGGAATGTCAATTCATAGTTCCGCCGTGAGCTTTGAGATTATAATTTGTCGAGAGTGAAACCGTGTCATGGTAGGTAAATGTGAGGCTATTAGAAGTGTTGCGACAGAACCATCCGGCACCAAGCAGGCTCCTTCTAGTATGAACGAGAGTAAACAAATTTGTTTATCGGGCTCCAAGATGTTGTGTAGGTATCTGCAAATTTTCAGTATATCGAGACTGTGTTCTCACCTGGAGAAAAAGGCATATTTATCCACCCGTCGCCTACTTGTTACTTCCTGTCGGATTATTGTAGTTTCCATCCAAAACACACTGGTGGACGTAACCTTTGGTTGACAAAGACCACTTCAATGTATATGTCAACCTCGAACAAATGACACTTTGGTGTAAAGTGACATAAGCGACTTAATATGCCGAAGGATGGCAAGCCGGCTCGAACATCGGAGTACTGATATGAGGGCACGAACGAGTGTGTAAGTCATCGAGTGATGAAACATGTACACGGCCGCCCAGCAATCGCCAGTTTTATCAAAATAGGTTATACAGTTTTGAATCCCGGTGGACTGGTTGAAAAGTGTCTAATGTGCCACTTTGCGTGACAAATGTTATTTATAGACAAAATGGAAAGTTGTGCCTTAAGCGTCGCCAACTAATGTCACTTCTACAACGCCCATGTCTCATATCCTACCAAGCTGGTAAGGTTCTCTTTTGTTGTAAGGCCAAACCATAGCACAAACAACGACATCGACGTCTCAGAATTATTTGCGTGCTTTTTCACTAGCAAAATGAGATCCTGATACCCATGCCCCCGTTGATTACCGGGACCTACCTACCACGGCTTAGTCTCCCATCATTGTTGATTTTTGGCGCCACGTATCAATTACAGCTCATGATTTCTCGTAAAATTTACAAAACATTGCCAATAACAGAACTCGACAGCACCTATCGTTATTCTGATTGCCAAGCTCCTCAACCTATTATCATTCGTCCAAGCCAGATTAGCTTTTTCTGCAGTCCTACAAAATCTGTAGCGTCTCAATTTCATTTCCTGATACTCAAAAATTTTCAGCTACGCTTGTAATTTCAACACATCCAACCGATCATTCACACTGGCTAATGACCAATACTACTGCCTAGTGCTCTCAATAGGAATTGTGTTCATATCGTTATTACACCTGTCTTTCACGTGCCTTTTTAACCTTCGTTAAAACGCTTTAACGATCTACGTTTATCTCTTTCTTTGTTCTGCGTCTAAAGGTTTTCCTGCATTTGACAACTAAACATCGATAACAAGTGGAAAGACATTTGATCCAGGAGTGGCAACAGCTTTATTCGATTCGTACACACCAACAGACGCACAAGTTAAAGCCAAATGCAAGGAGGAGTGAGGCGCAAGAATGATTTGCTTCCCAGATACCGTGGCCAAGGTGGGACAGGCGCCAAAAAGTCGTTCCTGACTACGCCAATGAAGAAAGTGCTAATCTACCTTGTGATGCTGGCGATGGTGTATTTTTCAGCGCGGACTTTGCTCGAGACGCGGAACTCGAACCCTGGATATGAGCTGGAAAACGTGAATTCTAACACCGTCTCCGGAGTGACTGACGACGGTGCGATGGAGTCGCCGCAAGATATTGCGGACTCACAGGCTATGAGCCCGCAAGGGGTGGTCCCTCCACAGGGCAAAAAGCCAGCAAACGCTAAGGTGCCGAAGGAAAAGTTCAACAACGAGGTTGCCATGCAGCAAGAGGTGAAAAACCTCGAGCGCGAGCAAGACTACCAGAAAAAGAAGTCTACGCCCATCGAAGGTAAGCAAGAGGTTGGCAACGATGTCAAGGCCGTAAAGCAGCAGGCTGAAACGAAAGACCAGCTTCCAGTCGACGAGCAAGCCAAGATGATCAACGATAAGGCGCCTTACAAGAAAACAGATAGCGCAAAATAGATCATCGACAGTCCCAAGCTGACGAACGACGACTAAAACAACAAGGTCATGTAGCTGCAGACTTAGTGATTTCACGAGGTTCTCGAACCCATCGAAACATCGACTAATTCTACACAAAAAACACACACAAACTATTCTGATTTGAGATTTGAGCATTCGTTAATTAAATAAAAACTGTTTCGTTATATAAAGTCGAAATTGATAGCGACTGGTAATTCAGTGGGCTGAGCCAAGAAGCCCTTTCTATCTACTTTGTGATGTTCCTGTTCATCGCATCTAGTCTTTCTTGCCACACCGTTTTTCCGCTGCACGCACAAACCTGTTTGTCATTCTGCCATACTCCTGCACTGCGCGCTATGACGCCACAAACCTCACTACCATGCCCAGGCCTGTGCTCTGGGTCAGTAGTAACCATGAAACTACGTCCCAAGAGCTCCCACACTTGCAGTGGAGCGCTTAAAAACGCTTGTCCGCTATACAAGTTCTTACCCAAATCGCTCTTGGATTTACACTCAATAGGCTCTGGGAAGCGGTAGATGCTACCGCCCGTAGATGCGGCACCATTGGAAATGTCACCGCATTCTCTGATGGAGGCATAGTAATTTCCCTGATTGTGTAGTCCATTCAATGTGATATCGACCCACGTCTTGGTATCACTTACGCTTACAATACGAGCCAGACCTCTCACAGGTGTGTCGTTGACGCCTACGGGCTCGAAAGTCTCCAGAATTGAGACAGCAGCGCTGTCCGCCTTCCCTGTTCCTCTAATAATGGCATCGCGACCACACTTCTGCAGCGTTGATATGATAACAGAAGGGGCTACAGCCCCAGTAACAGCTAGCAGTTTCTGCTGGACGTGGAAATCTAGTGATATATCTGGAATTGACGAAAGACATGAGGTAATGTCTTTGACACAGCTGTCACAATGCATTTCCACTGCGTAGGTTGCTTCAAAAGAATCCTCTGGAGTTGTCTTTGTCATCGTGTTTGTGATAAAAATGTAATGGATAAAGCCCCAAATGGCTTATTACAGAGCGACGTAGCAGAACAGCTTTGATTGGCCTGAGTTTTTATACTACTGTGGACGGCTTTCGACCCAAACGATGAGCTTTAATAATCACAACGACTGACTCTGAAATACATCAAAAAACGTGATTCGTACAACCACCCAGCATGGGTTCAACAAGGAAACCAGAGCGCCTCTTGCGTATTTAGCTTTTAAAGTGTTGACTATTTAGAGCTGGCTTTCAGATTATAATCCGAAACGCCGCTTAGTGTAAAAGTAGGCGATAGATGCAAATATTACCATCGAGGAAGTAATACAGGTAAACCAGGTTAAAGAGTGAATATCCTGACCAGGAACCAGCACGTTCATACCCCATAGACCTGTGATGATATTCATCGGCAATACCACGGTACCGAGAATGGTAATCTTACCCAAGACGTCATTCATGTCGTTATTGACTTTGGTCATGTCAATGTTGATCTGCGCCAGGTAGTTCGAGTGTGATCTGCTCAGTAGCTTCTCATAGTGATTTAACGACGATACCATAGTGACGATATGGTCCTGTATATCTCCCAAGTACATTCCTATCTCGGACCGGGGTGCCACCTCCCATTGTTCGTTACAACGTTTCGAAAATCCTTTTATGACGTCAGCCTTGGAACCTAGCAAACGCACTATGCTCATAACGCGCTTCCGGCATTCACCGATGCGTCTCAACATGTCGCCTTTGCGCTTCCATCCAATGATGTTTGTGTCTAAGCTCGAACTCGACGATGTCGAGCGTGTTGATCTGGAACGCGACGAGAATGTGGCATTGTCATCCACTGCGCTTCCTCTTCTCGGGTATCGGTTAAGGGCTGTGTAGCCGCGATCGCGTGTTTCATCATCTGAACTGTCGTCCTCATCGGAAGAGTCATCTGACTGATGCATGTTCAGTATGGACTCCTCAATGTCATGAACCTCATCCTCGATGATTTCTATCATTGGTGCGAACGCATCGGTAATGTCATCAATAAGCGCATATGCAATCCAGTCGGCAGTGACGTTCAAATAGTCCTTTAGAAGACGAGCTCTTCTACGTACATTGATCGGATGTGGCGTAGGTGCAAAATGAAACGTTAATACACCTGTTCTGAAAACGATAATGTAGACATTGAGTGGTTCCAGTTCTCCGCCACGAGGCTTCCGCCTGTCACCCGATTTCCGCTTGTACTTTTCGTTTTCCTCAATTTCTCTCCTAACCTTGTTTCTGAAACTTGAGCCCGAGCTCGAAGAAGTTTTGTTAGTTGATGAATGTCTCCGAGAACGGAAAAGCTTGGATAACCAGCCCTTCGAGCTTTCATTGTCAAAAGAAGTACCGCTTCCAGACTCATGTTGCGTCTTTTTGTTACGAGTGTGGCGCTCTGCTACGATGTCGAAACTTCTGAAGCACACAAGATAGTAATCCTTGAAAAGCTCAACTTTTTCGCGCACTTCTCCCAAGAAAATATCTTCTGTAGTTAATGGATGAATACCAAACGCTTTACTCAAAACTTTCATCTCTTCCTCAGTTGGATTGGAGACATCCATCCAGAATGGCTCACACTCAAACATATCCACAGAACCAGATTGTGTAGTAGTTAACTTTTGCAAAGGTGTTTGCTGCTGAGGAGTACTGGGCTTCGTTTCACTTGGTGTATTTCCGGGATTGCTATTGTTACTATTGCTGTTATTATTGTAAACGGAATTGACGAACAGGTCCTCGAATTTCTGACCTGGTTGCAGGAGTCCAGAGATCGTAGGAGAATGTATCGTGGAGTCGAGATCCTCCCTGAAATAGGTGAACCTAAAGTGCTCTGGATTATTGGATACTATATGTGGTGGGTATTGTACTCTGTTCCCCACCAAATAGTCGTCTTTTTGCTTTTGGTCGTTATTTGTCACCAATGTGACATTTTTAGCATCAGTTTGACCTGTAAATCCAGGTATATTGTTGGCCTTGCGGCGTAAATGCCAAGGAGTGATTTTCTTAGGTCTTAGGCGACCGGCCTTCAAATGTTCTGCTTCATTTATTCTCGTGTTACCTAATTCAGGCACGTCGATATTGGTGACAATGGGTTTCGAGAAAAGGACGCCATCATTATTTTGGCTGTCTTCATCGTAGTCATCTTCATCGTCGTACTGAAAGTGAAAATTCTCTGCATCCTGCACAGCTTGGTTTCTGAGTCTCTCAGTTTCCTCCTTTGAATACTCTTCCAATACAGCAACGTCGGGCCAGACTTTGGTACCGGCGATATCCTCATCGTCGAGCGGCAAGCATACATCGTTGATTGAAGAGCTATTTGATGAGCGTCTAGACGAAGGCCGCGAGTTGTACCCACCCTCAGAATTGTGCAGTGAAGACGAATTAGCCGACGATTGACTGCGGTTGGAACGTTTCACGTGATCCATAAGCGCATCGACGTCAATGACAACGTCGTCGCCTCTGGATCGTGCGTCGTGCTTTTCGTGATGCTTTCTGGGTGGTCTAGAATTAGCCTTGGCCCATCTCTCTGCTTCCTGAGTTGTCATACGAGGTAATCCAGAGCTGGCGGGTCTCTTATTCGAACTATGCTGGTCCGAATTGCCGATAGAGCCAGAACGGTTGGCCCGAGACATGCTGGACTTGCGACCTCTTCTGATGGTTCCGGATGAATTTATGGCTTCCATTACTGCAATAGAGGGCCTGTGATCAAAGTAAGAGTGTGGGAAATGCGACGACAGGTTCGCATCCGATGAGTCGCGCGTGTTAGAGGTTTCCTCATCCGTGCCCTCGTGCAGGATGCCCCATGAGTCGGTTTTGTCAAAATCGTTAGCGGACGACATATGGTGGTCTTTAGAATCGTGGAAGTCTGCATGCGAATTCTCGGGCGCTCCGGAGCTTGAAGGGCCCTTAAATGCTGACTTCCGCTTGCGTTTTCTGTTGGCGCTTTTTTTAGACTTAGATTTTGATCCTTTACTACTGTTTCCCAGCAATGGCGAGCTTTCAGCTTCATGATAGTCACTCATACTGTCCTGAAAACTGTGTCTAATGTAAAGCGCCTAACTTGAGGAGGGGAGGACCGTAGTTGTATCTTCAATAAACTTGTTCAAAGTGAAATGAACTTTAAACTGTAAGGAAAAAGAGCTTCAGATTTGCTATGCGCATAGAAAAACATCTGACACTTCGTGGAACATGAGTCACGGAAGTTAAAGTCGAGATGCCATTAAAGGTGCCCGATATTGAGCGAACAAGCTGCTTCTTTCTTGGTCTGACAATTTTCTTAGGCGAGATATGTCGGCTAAGACAGCCGTGCTCCAACTTCTCGATTGACTGTGACTTCTTTCTACAAAAAACCGAGAAAGGTGTTCCGCTAGATAATTTCGTTTCGCTGCTTATTCTTCTGCCAATACAAACTGCAATTGGTGACGCTGTACTTAAACTTTCGGCTCTAAGGAGCATGGAATGTTCTTTCACTATCGATTTTAGTGGGATTTGAGCTGGACTCGTAAAGAATATGAACAAGACTCATCTACAATTTAAAAGTACACATCATATAGGTCACAGTTGTGTCACTGATAGCTATTGGAAATGTTGCTGGAACCAGCTCTGTCTGTGATCTCTAAATTATTTACGATTCCATGAAGAAGTTGTCATCGCCGAGTTCTTTGTAGGCCACTGCGCTCCAGATATCCCTCTAGCCGTCTTCGCAAGCACCACGGTGGTAAAGAAACGATTCGGGAGGGCATCATTTTAGATAGGCCCGAGCTCCGTTCAAATATTATTTAGCTAGCGTTTAGATGCCGTGTAAATGCCCATGCTAGCAGATTACAGATGAAAGTATTCAACCAGCATTGAACGTCCCCAGTCAGACTCATCGACGCCAGTGAAAAAGAACGTGCTTCTGGTTGATAAGTTTGAACCTCATGCAATTAAAACTAACTCACTGATTGCACTTATAGTACTCTAGTTGAGAAAAAACGTATCCTCCAACAAGTTAACTAATCAGCCAAGTTTGTTCGCAAATTTTTACCGTACTCACTCTGTAGCCAAGTGCTTGCAAGGCTGTTGAGTCAAACAAACTTTTATGGAAATTGTCTATATATCATATTGTATCAATGCTAACTTTGGTGAGAGACCTACTTCTACCACATGGCTTTGCCAAGGTGGAAACTACTGCTAAGAACCACAGGATTATACGAATTCCTGCTTTGCTTCTGACCTTGTAGTTGTTGGTGAAATGTACATAAGTCTAAAGCGATATCACGATTCCTCACTTATGTTGCCATCATCCAGATCCTGCTCTACTGCACTGTGATCTTCGTTCTTGTTAAATTCCGACTCTAATGCCAATGCAAAGTCTTCGTCGCTCGAATCAAGGCCGGAATCGTTCTCTGGTTTTGTGGGGGGTGTTAGTTTATGCAAATGGTCGTCAAGTCGTGGGTTGCTGATGGCAGGCAGCCTGGGTATATCGTCAAGCCTTGGGTTGCTATTGTCGATGCTCTTCTTGTTTGCCACTTTTTGAGTTGATTGTTCAGTGCCCGATGCTTGCACGCGTGCTCCACCTGGGATCACAAGTTGTGCTTTGGCCTCTAGTTCATCAATCCTACGTCTCTTCTCATCTGGCTGTGCCTGCGGTGGCGCAGGAGCTTTCTTCTTGCGCTCCTTTCTGGGCTTTTCAGCCCGACTCGGCTTAGAATCCGGAATATTTGAAGAGCGTTTCATGGTGGCTTCCATATCCATGTTCGAATCCTCGTTATCAGAAAGAACATTGACAGTCTTTGTTCTGGGCCTCTTGGATCCAAATCTGCGCAATGCGTCGTCAATATTCTGACGGTGCTTCAATAGCTCATCGTACACCTCTTCCGTTAAAGATATGCCCTTTTTGCCCGGCTTCATTTCTCCCGAAGCAGCGTCTGCGTAGTACTCCCGAATATCAATCAGATTCATGTTTCGGAACTGCCGAACTGTGACTCTTTTGTTCTTACCCAACTCGAAAATGGCATCTGGTTCGTCAACGGTTCCACCGGAGTCTGTCTGGGGCGTATTATTTCGCTGATTTTTGAATCTATTGTAGTACGACATTGATCCTGATTAGCAACAGTAGGTGCTAAATGAATATTTAATCTTTTGGGAAACTTTTGAATCTTGTTCTAAGATTTGTTGGAACGAGTTTTCTCTTCTCGTGAGATCAAATTCTTTTAGATTTTGTCAAAGGGTATATATATTAGGACCCTTCCGTGCTCGAAAAAATCACTTGAAGGGCAACGGCATTCAGGCTAGCTTTACATCAAATCACGGCTATGGGTCTCCAACCAATCTGCCCTGTGAATGAGATTGTTCGCGGAAAATCTATTGAAGAACTACCCAAGCTGATTTTGGGTGGAGCAACGCTGAACACACAATATAATGACGATCCACAATCTATGCCAGTGATAGATATGCTGAGGTATGCTTTCCACCACGGGATCAGAGCAATCGATACTTCTCCTTATTATGGAGATAGTGAATTGCTGTACGGAGCAGCATTAGAGACGTTGCGTACGGAGTTCCCAAGAGAGTCCTATTTCGTTTGCACGAAGGTTGGGAGGATACGGCTTGAAGAATTTGATTACTCGAGGGCTGCTGTGCGGTCCAGTGTCTTGAGATCTTGTCAAAGGCTGAAGACCACGTATCTCGACTTAGTGTTTCTGCACGACGTGGAGTTTGTCGAAACCAGCCAGATTCTCGAGGCTTTAAAAGAGCTGCGAAAGCTCAAAGACGAAGGAATCATTTACAACTTCGGGATAAGTGGATACCCAGTAGATTTCTTGCTTTCGGTTGCTCTGCAGAGTTGTACAAACCGTGAGATTGGGCCGTTGGATTCAATCTTGTCGTATGCTAACCTGAATTTGCAGAACTTGACCCTGCTGGATTATACCCATCGCTTCAAAACTGAAGCGCAGGTAAAGACGGTTGAGAACGGCTCCATCTTAAGCATGTCGTTGTTGCGGTCCCAAGAAACCAAATCTTTCCACCCGTGCTCTGCAAAGCTTCGAGACCTATCCAACAAAGCTGCTCTATATGCAGCTTCTGAAGGAGAGGATTTGGCATGTTTGGCTACAAGGTACGCTTTCAGCAAGTGGGTTGGCGAAGGTCCTACGGTGCTTGGAGTGAGCGATGTAGATGAATTGAGGACTGCCCTTCAGAGTTACTGGGATGTGGTCAACAACAACGGCAAGCTGACGGCCGAAGATGCACGCATTGCCGGGCACATCCAAAAATCGATCTTTGGCTCGCATTTGAACGAAACTTGGAACTCAGGGATCAGTCACTGATTTTTAGAGGGAACGGGTGCCCTATTGACGAATCGTGCAAACCTTCTAAAAAACATATACAGATACATTCACATATTTTTATCGTCAGCTTAAATGCCCTTTTTTTCTTCAGCTGACAAGACATCAGAGCCCTTGGGTTTGGTAGTCTTGTCGAAATGAGCCTCCAAGCTGGCCTTTTGCCTTTCCAGGGCTTTGATCGAGGCCTTTTTCTCTGCCAATTCCTCGCGCAACTGTACAACCTTGGCGTCTTCCTCTCTGTCCTTACCACTAGACTTTTCACCATTAGGACCGCTTTCGTTACTGGCTTTTTCGCGAATCAAAGTCTCATACTTGACTAGTCTTCTCACGACGCTAATCACCGTGGGGATGCAGAAAGCAAAATAAAGAATGAAACCCGAAATGTAAATGTTTCTTTGGTTGTAGGCTCTGGAGGCCAAAGCTTGGACCGAGGTCACGCTCCCGGATCCATTGGGATCGGCACCAGCGGAGACTTGATGGTGGTGCAAAGAAACGGTTATCTGCGACCTTTTCCAGGAGTCCACAAATAGCAGCCCGACAAGGCCGCCAACTATGGCAATTACAGTTTTAACCTGTGTATAGCTCATTAACCGGAAGTAAGTGCTCGCCATGGCCTTACGAATTTTGTAATGAAGTGGCAGGACTAGAAGGAACAGACAAGCCATTTCCGTCGTCAACATTGCAAACAAAACGCTCAAATAGACACTCATGATGATACGATATGGGGCAAATTGATTTGTAGGGTATGATCTGAGTTCTTTTCCACACACTTTTTGTACCCCGGGAATGTGAGTCGTTGATATATATATATATATGATATGCCAGCTTTCCAAAGGGAGACTTATATTTTTCAAACTTTGTTATAGCAATGGGTTGAAAAAATGCTTGAGAATACAGAAACACAGTAATTAAACAGGTCAACGAACTCTATGAATGAGGCGAGACCACCGCTAGAACAGCATGAAATACGGGGCTCTGCCATAGAGCAACAAATGGTGTGGATTCCCTAATCCTAGAAAAACCAAAAAAATAGTGGTTGCTAAGAGATTCGAACTCTTGCATCTTACGATACCTGAGGATTCCACTGTTTGACAGCGTTAAGAAGTAAACTTCTTGAATCAGGCGCCTTAGACCGCTCGGCCAAACAACCGTAATTAATAATTAGAACGACTGCCTTCTGTTCATCCTAAAATGAAAAGTCATGTGCTACTTGCAGTATCTAACTTCACGATGAGTCTTCAAAGTCATCGTGTGCTTGTAATGCTGGGAAAAACGCGTTGTTCCAGGTTCCACACACAGATGGGGCGCTTTAATATGTGATATCAGCAGTGTTTTGCAGTTTTCCATTTCGGAGCTCCCTGATGCGTCCGAGATTTCACAAATAGATGTGTCAATCGCTTAAGAGCTATCCAAAAGCTCTTGGGGCGACTTGTAGTTCCCATTGGCCTACTTTCTACAGACTTCCCTGTCATTTTGGATCAACAGTCACTATTGACGGATCATCTTGAAGCAGGCCCTAAATTATCGAGAACTAGCTGGCTCAACTACGAACTCTTCACACAGCAGTTAGCGAAACACACGGCTATGGCGGCTCCTGCTAATCTGTATCCCGGACTCAACGAAGTCTCCGATGTGCTGGAGGAAATGCCTCTGGAGGTTTCTCGGTACCTCACGCTGCTACGAGAGATCGACGCCAAATGCGTGCACACGGTTCCAGAGCTGAACGGCACCATTGAGGAGTTTTTCCGTGAAGAATCAGGCATGAAACCACTCCAGAAGATGAACGGTCTGTTCCAGGACCTAATGCCCTCGTTAGAAGAGAAGATGCACGTCTCTGCGCTTGCATATGAGTCCTTGAGTCGTCTTACTGGGCGCTTGGAATTGGCGTACGAAGTCGCCATCAAAAACTCCGAGATTCCTGCTAATCTCAGGCTCGGCAATGACAACCATCCGGCGATGCACCTGCACCACGAACTGATGTCCAAAATCGAATCCAAGTCCAACAGCAAGTCGTCTCAGGCTTTGAAGAGTGAGTCTCGCCGAGAAGCCATGGCAGCTCGGAGAACTGGTCCGGCAGGTCCGCTGCCGCCGATTCACGCTAGTGGTAACCCGAACGATCACCATGCGGGACCACAACCTACTATTGACGGACGCAAGAGAAGGGCGATGGCTGCCCCGGTTGTCAGCACCAGCCAGACTACCAACCCCGTGCCACAAACTTCAACAGTAAATGCTGGGTCTACGAGTCCCAATCCAAGCTCTTCCGAGCTCAAGAAACGCAAACGCAAGCTAAACACCAAGGAGGACTATTCTCAAAGACCCAAGACCAATGAATATGGCGAAGCGCTTTACTGTTACTGCAACCAGGTTGCCTATGGTGAAATGGTTGGCTGTGACGGAGACAGCTGCATTCTAGAGTGGTTCCACTTGCCCTGTATTGGGCTGGAAACTTTGCCAAAAGGGAAGTGGTACTGCAATGATTGCAAAAGAGCCCTGTAGTATCTTTTCTTCGAACGGGAACGATCTTATTATGAAAGGATACACACAATGCGTTCGAGCGTGTTAAACAATGGTCCGTGTTACATGACACCGTTGAAACTTTGAAATCTTTTCATAAAATGCTCCAACTGCAATAATAACAACCCTTAAGTGGCAACCGTAAACCAATTTCAAGCGTTTAACAAGAACGTCTATCATCGATAATGTCGCTGAATAAAGTATGTTAGTTGATCTAGTGCGCAGTCACCCGAGCTAGCTTGTCAAAATCAAAAAACTTTCCTGTCCGGTACCGTTTAAAGCAAAAACACCGAAGTCAAATTTGGAACCCGGTTTCTCAGGTTTCTCAGGTTTCTCAGGTTTCTTAGGTTCGTTTCTGGTGCTGGTTTCGCTTGTGCATTGTACCCGTTGAACCCAATAGCCGGTTGATGTGGGGTGCATTGAAAGAGCCTCGGTTCGCATCAACAAACGCGTGCGTCGCACGTCATTGATCTCAGAGGAAGCGAAACTGAGAAAGCCAACTGTCGCTTGCAACGCGGTTAAGTGACCTTTTTCGAACTCTTCAAGCACTCGAATATACCCCTGTAACCATTTCACACACTAACATTCTTGTCATCTACAGAATAATATTAGGGAGTACAAATTGGTTGTTGTTGGTGGCGGTGGTGTCGGTAAATCCGCACTCACTATTCAACTTATCCAATCACATTTTGTGGATGAGTATGATCCCACAATCGAGGACTCGTACCGGAAACAAGTGGTGATCGACGACAAAGTATCGATTTTAGATATTCTAGACACAGCAGGTCAAGAAGAATACTCAGCTATGCGCGAACAGTACATGCGTACCGGAGAAGGGTTTCTATTGGTGTATTCCGTTACGTCCAGAACCTCTTTTGATGAACTTATGACATACTATCAGCAAATTCTGAGAGTCAAAGATGCCGACTACGTGCCGGTATTTTTGGTTGGTAACAAAAGCGATCTCGATGATGAACGCCAGGTATCCTACGAAGAAGGTGTGAGCCTTGCGAAGCAGTTCAATGCTCCATTTAGGGAAACATCAGCCAAACAGGCTCTATATGTGGAGGACTCTTTCTACGGACTGGTCCGTTTAGTGAGAGACGGCGGCGGATTGTACAATTCCGTCAACAATCTAGAGGTGGAAGAAAAAATCAAGCAAAATTCTAAGGTTGAAGCTCAGAGCCCCGTCGTTGGCGGGCATAACGCTAACGCCTTGGATGGAAACATGGGCGCTGAAGGTCGTGGAAATTTAGTCACGGAAAATGGTACTGGCAAAGGATCTGGCAGCGCTTCTATGCCTAACACCAAGGAATCATCTGGCGCTGTCAATAAGACTGGTGCCGCGCAGGGTCGCGTAGAGCGTCGTAACGACAAAGCTTCAGCCAAAGAAAAATCTGGCGGGTGTTGCGTTATTTGTTAGGATGACAATTTAAGAGCAAGAACTAATAGAGAGTATCGAATACTCTAAAGAAGTAAGATTTAAAAGTAATTGTGCTAATATCGAAAAGCTGTTCTTCAAATAAAACATTTAGAGGAAGTTGGGGTTGAGAGCCGCAGGGCGTTTTTTATAATTTGGGGAGAATGAAAGCTTAGGGCATTCATCTGTTTATAAGCTACATTTCCCGCAACAAAATAACATATCAGTATCAAGTAGCTATCAAATATGTAGGCACGAATTAGCTCGGGAATGCCATTGAGTAGCGACCTACGCCAGTAACGCATACAAATAGCCACCAAACCAGTACAGGTGGCACTTATCATTTGTTATGCTTATAGTACGCGGAATCCAGTGGAGAGGCACCCGGGCTCACAATAATTAAGCTGGTTTTGACCTCCACTTTGCGTAGCGATTCACTAGCATAGTTGCACAAGCTATTGTTTTCCAAATGTAAGTTATATATGTGTATCATTCGCCAAGGACAAGCCGCCGGAGAGTTAAACGACAGAGCTTGGTTCTTGGCATTCGAGAATGATTGGTGAATGATACATATTGCTCGCAGTAGCCAAGGTCGGTCTCTTACCTCCTTGCGAGCCAGAAACCAATTCCTCCAGTCCCATCTTCCCTTATGATATCCAGCTTTCTAATTTACGAAATGCAAGCATACAAAATGCAGGACAAGACTTGCTCCCACAAACTCCATGAATGCCCTTTCTCTCTTGATTCCTGCGAAACTATCAACCCACTGCATTCTCAGACTCATCAAGAGCACGAATTGGCCCACACAGGCGCTGAAACCAGCCAGAAAAGCATTTAACGGAAAGCTGTCACGTACAACACAAATGAAACCAAACTGGACTACTCCCACAACCACCAAAAACGTCAAAAACGCATCTATCAATTGCAAACGTTTATCATCACAAACTTGCTTCTTATAAGCACCACAGGCTGCAGAAATCGAATCTGAGAACAACGAAGTCGAGCTCAGAGTCTCGGACTTCCGCACAGTTGCTTTGGTGGGCATTTCGGGAGTTGATTCTCTGCGTAAATCGTAGAATCGTTGAGTTTTTTCAACTTTGACAAGATTTTTCAAGATTAACGGGAACCTTTTTATTACGCCGAACTTATCAAATTAAAGGACTCGCTATTCAGATCTAAAGTATATACAATGGAACCCGATTTTGATGATGAAGACGATCATATTTATATCAACGAGGAAACTGAGCTTGGAAGGGGCAACGTGCTGGTTTCGCACGCACCCAAACAGCGTATAGTGCCACCTTTAAACTTTTGTCCTGTGGAGCGCTATCTGTACCGGTCTGGCCAGCCTTCGCCCGTAAACTTCCAGTTCCTGCTGGATCTACAACTCAAGACGATCATCTGGCTTGCCAATGAAGAGCCTCAGGACACCTTGCTCGAGTTTTGCGACTCGCATGCGATCCAGCTACAGTTCGCTACGATTAATCCAGACGGCGGAGAGGATGACAACCCTTGGGACGGCTTGACCGAGCACAGCATAATCGCCGCACTTCAGACAATTGTCAATGCCGAAAACTACCCTTTACTCGTCTGTTGTGGGATGGGCAGACACCGTACTGGCACTGTGATTGGATGCTTACGTCGTATTATGGGTTGGAACCTGGCGTCGGTCTCTGAAGAGTACAGGCGTTTCGCGGGCAGTAGAGGCGGTCGGATCCTTGTCGAGCTACTGATAGAGGCCTTCGACACCCAGCTCGTCGAGATTGATCGTGTCAAGGCTCCGCAATGGTTACTTCAAGATGCGCAGTAACACCATTTAAGAACTATTTTTCACATTTCTGAGCCACTATCTAACACTTTTATCAGCTGTAAACCGCTTGCAACTGACCTATTCTACATGTCTAACGTCTGTTTGCGTGGTTTGGTGGCGCGTGGGTTCACACAGGACGTTAAAACAACTGCTGAAAGCTTCAAGACCTGGGACACATGCATGGACAACAAAACATGCAAGATCGTGGCTATCGTAGGTATAGTATTGGCATGTATCGTAGCGATATGGATCGTGGGCTCGCTATTACGATGCTTCAAGCAGGGGGCGTCTGGATGCTGTGAGTTTTGTTTCTGGTGCTGTGGGTCTCGAAGATCAGCAGGTCCAACGGCCCCGCCTCCTCAGTATATGCCACCGCAGAACAATCCTCCAATGGTCATCTACCAGCCAATTGCAGAGCCACAAGGCTCACACAATTACTACAACGAGCGCTCCAATGATAGCGTTAAGGAGGTCGAACAAGACTTTGACTTGGAAGCTCAACGACAGCGGGCCAGAGGTGCAGAATCGCGACCACTGGTATCAGACGAAGAACACGAAATGTCGGTGTATCACCCCCGTACCCAAGCCGCGGCGCAAGCGCCGTACCCAAACGAAAATACTGGGAACCTCTACTACCAATCGCCGCAGTACAGGCACGGAAACTATTAGTCGTCTCTTTTCTCATCTTAACAGGAATATATATAAATATATATAGATCTAGCGCATATACAAGAATTTGCATTCAGATTCCAAGTTTTTTCACCAGGAATGTTCTGCAATGACCTATGTTACGTTGCAAGCTGTCGTCCATATACTCATTGAGCTCTTTCCACTTCTTACCAAGCCCGTTCGTGTGGAGTTTGTCCCATACCTCATGGTACTGGGATACCATACTAGCAGGAAAGATATCCTTCTCAAGAGCCTGCAAACCATTAGACCATGTAACAGGTACTAGTTGCGAGAACACTGTGCCAGCCAAGACCCAGGGAAGCACAATTCTGCTAGGAATACTGGTCAATAATTTAGCTGCTAGGGTTGGGTTGCGAGCTAAGACTCCAGTCTGATTATTGAAAGGAGACACAAACCCCCAATTGTTGCGGTTGCTGAGAACGCGCCCACTGAAAAACGCTCCTAGAGCTAGAGCACTTGCTGGGACTAAGAGTTCTTGGTTTTCGTAAGAGTCTGTTAATATATTATCTGAAGTGTAATCTTTGACGCTGTTCCATTCGTTCGAAGCGGCACTCTTTTGAGTCTCCCATTCGGTCTTGTAAACTTGATATCTGTTGATCAAACTGCTTCTCACGTCATTGAACCAAATATTCAAAGTCTTGGAGTCGTAAATTTGATTTCCCGTCGACAGAGTTGTGGTCGAAACATCTGTGGGAATAACGAGATCTGGAACCAAAGGACCTTCTGAAGAGGCCACTGTCGGTTCCTTGTCGTCGTAAAAGTGACGGGGCATGGCGGTGTTAGTGGAGGATTTTTCGGTAGCGACGATTTACAGATTCATATTAATGGATATTTTCAAGAAGGAAATTTGATAACTTATGCAAAATGGAAACTGGGTTCCGGACGTTAAAATGATCGCAAAACCTCGTGCGTGCTGTATTATGTATATCTATATAGACACGATGTTTTGAGAATCTATTCTATAGTTTATCGTGTTTGTAGACGACTCAAGATGTCAGGGCTTCTTGCAACGCTAGTCTTACTTCCATTAGATCTTTTGTCTTTAGCCCATGATACATTGGTAGGACGTGTAGATCATACCAATACAACCGAATAAAATTAGCACATAATCTAAGAGCACAGGCCACTTTTGCCAAACACTAACGGCTTCCAGACAATTGGGTTTGCTACAGCTTCTCAGGTGCAGCATCGGAGGATAAATGTAGACCAAAGGGATACATGCAAAGGACCCCACAATGGAAACAAAAGTGTCTAGATTATCGGCCCCAAAATAGGCCGCCATTACTGTGGAGGAAACGATTAGAGAGCGCACAAAATTCTTGAGCCATTTAACACGCCAATCAAGCTTACCGGAGTTAGGCTTATACTGAACGTTAGTTTGGTTGTTACGCTTGACGTAGATTTTAGTGAACTTGGGGAAGACTTTATTCTCCACGATAGCAATGGCTGGGAACAGTTGCAGTGGAGTAGAAAGCAAAATTGCCAAACTGTAGAAAAATTGAATTAGGTTCACCAAAATACTCTCTTGTGGCAAGTTGAGCAAGATGACTGTTTTGGTATGTTCTCCATAAGTCAAATAACCTAAAGTGGCAACTGAGATGAAAAGCACTGTCGCAGTTATAATCACCATCCCCAAAACCACAGGGAATTTCTCTGGATGTTTCATGGAGCTCTGGACGGGAATAATAAGCCCAATTCCTTCAAAAGCAAAAATTGCCGTCCCTACAAATAGAGTCCAGTGCTTAGCATCAAAGCCATAAGTGACTCCGTCAGCAGGTACACCGCCGAGGTCCATAAATAAATGCTTACCGGTCAGGGCGATGACAATGACAATTCCTCCCATAACAAAGAAGTTCGCCGCTAAAGAGGGAAGGGACAGCTTCGCAATATTTCTTATGAAAGATAATGGCACAAATATTACCAGTTGCAGGAGCAGCAAGTGCATTATTGTCACCCCTGGCCAATGAAATACGTTTTCAATGAACGCCATAAGGTTTTTGGCCGTAAAAATCACATATGCGCCGGAGAACCCAAGTTGGGTTAAAACCAATGACAACAATATTGTGAATTTCATCCAGGGGCCATACAAAGTAAGTCCAATATCCCCAAACGACGAGACTTTAGTTGCCACTTTCGATTGCGTCAAAATGTAATAGCACCAATATGAATACATTCCGAAGAACGTCAACATCACAATCGAGAACAAAAGTCCCCCGTTTGCGAAAGCTGCAGGCAGGAACAAGACGCCAGTACCAATGAAAGATTTGAGCATCAAGAGAAACGCTTTGGCAGTCGAGGTTGTACCCTTGGCCGATTTTGGTATAAGGATCTTCTTGCCTGTTTCCTCCTCAGTTCTAGCCAGCAAGGGGCTCCTCTCGTCAACACCATGTGGGCCGACTTCCTGTTCTCCGTAAAAATCGTCTTCGAATGATTCACCGGCAAAATGCCCATACACATATAGGAACTCCAGGAAATTTCTGGTGAGAAAGGGAACTTTATCCAAGTTGTTTTGATCTGATTGCTGCGATTCATAGTCCGAACAGTAAGTTCCAGACTCACTGACGGAGGAACCTACCGTGTCCTTCCCATTCTTATGCTTCTGTAAAATAAATTCCCTTCTAAAACCACCTGGAACATTCAAAGCGCTTGCTGTGGACTCGGGTCGCGGCGCTTCGTGCGGTATGTCCAACTCTCCCGTGGAGTGTATTCTTTTCAAGTTACTGTTTGCCGACGTCATTCGATATAGCTCTCTGGTAATGTGTCCACCCTGACTCTCGAGATTAAGATCGCGTTCAGGGATTTCAGAAACCTGCTCTGGACCCAAAAAATCTTGATCGGCGAGGATCGGGTGCTGGTCTGACGGAAATGAGCTGGTCGTGCTCTTTTTTGGAGCCATATAGTCGTTCAAGTAATTGGTACGCAAACTGTTGAGAATTTCATCGTGCTGGTCCTGCTTGAGCGTTTTGAAGTTGGGAGACCCTGCATTGATGAAAACTCTCGAGTCGACACTACTGGGCTGTTTTGGACTGTAACCAATGTTTCCTGGTTTAAGAGGCCTGCAAGAGTCTCTGCCAGTCTTGGAAGATCTTCTGCTGGCTACCGACTCTGAAAGAAGCAAGATCGAATGTCTACGACGATCTTGTTGTTGTGGGATGCTGATATTGGTTGACAAGGCGTCAACCTGATTACTCTTCTTCGAGCCCTTGGCCATCGACTTCTATTGTAGGTTCACCAGCACCTGTGATCAAGTCTATAATTACTTTAGCGAGCTAAATTGTTGATTGAGATTCAAACTCCTTGATGGGTTTGGAAATATTTAATTTCGCTGATTCAATTTCTCTTCAACCTCATACGAAAAACTAACGGGCAGGTGAAACCGATAAAAAAAGTACTGAGATGTGCCATGATCAAGAAGGACATCGAGTGTTTTTACTAAGTATTTATACGTTCTTGTAGTGGTGCCGTTATTGAGTGATATCTCACTACTCGAAGTCTCGAGTATTTGAGTAAGAAGGACTGACAGATTGAAGAAGTTTTGCTCCACAGTACTGAACTATCTATATTGTTGTAGATACTAATCGCATGCTGCTGTAGTGCGCTTTCACGTATCATTAGCAATTGGACACGATAAAGAAATTGTAGAGCTACCGTAGGCACGAAATTGCGAACCGCTATTTTGGCTCGTTTCGAGTTTCGTTCGGTCGTCGTTATCTCGTAAGTTCAAACAACATCGCGACCGACGTGGGGTGCCAGTCAGTCTCTGGTAGTAGTAGATTTGAGTTTACCGCTCGGTGATCATTCTTGCACGAAAAGATCGATAGAGAAGACTTTCAAAAAGTTCAGGTACAATGTAGTCCTCGACCAAAAATTCGAATCAAAACTTCCAAGGTGTCCTCCAACATGACTCAATGGGACGCATTAGGCATCAAAATTGCCTACGAAGAAGCTGTGTGTGGATTTGAAGAAGGCGGTGTGCCAATTGGCGGGTGCTTGATCAACAATAAGGATGGTGCTATCTTGGGCCGTGGTCACAACATGCGTTTTCAAAAAGGCAGTGCGACACTGCATGGCGAAATCTCGACTTTGGAAAATTGTGGTCGCATGAAGGGTTCTGTTTACAAAGACTGTACGCTGTATACCACGCTGTCACCCTGTGACATGTGTACCGGGGCTATACTGCTCTATGGCATCCCTCGGTGTGTGGTGGGGGAGAATGTGAATTTTAAAGGCAACGGCGAGCAGTACCTCACTCAAAGAGGTTGCGAAGTGAGCGTCATGGATGACGCCAAATGCAAAGCATTGATGAAAAAATTTATAGACGAGAGGCCTCAAGATTGGTTCGAAGACATCGGAGAATAATCACTTCTTGTCTAACATAGGATTCACAATTAATTTCAGGTAATTCACCAGACAATATAGAATAATTTAGTAATTCTAGTTTCATTTCGCTTTGGCAGCATTTCGCATCATTTTAATGTGTCACCATAAAATCGAAAATGGTGCCCATGTCAACGTAACGACGGGCGCAGTTGTCTAGATATTTTTGAACTACTTTTTCCATTGTTTGGAATAACTCTCGGTTTTGCTCGCCCAAGGCTAAGACTTGGGATGTCGACAGTTTCGTCTCTGGAATGTCAGGATGATCTGGTCGATAAAGTGGTTTCACGAGCTCCTTCTTGTTTTTATCCACATCAAAGAGCGACTCGAAGTACAGTAGTTGATTGTAAAGTTGCTTGTCGGTGTAGAGATAGCTCATAACACCCATACAGTCCTCGCTTAGACATCTTTTACCAAATACTGAAATTTGCCTGGTAACAATCCCACAAGTGCTGTCATCACACTTTAAATTGCCAGCGTAGTACATTGAAATGTGAGAACGAATAGCTCTTTCAAGCTGAGAGCTCACCTGTAGAGGAGTAAATTGATGTTGACATAGTTCGCATTGAATACCAGTATAGCTCATTCTATAACGCTTAGATGCCACAATACCGCCGAAGGGAAATTTTTGATGACAGCTAGAGCACTCCAGTATTAGAGGAGCTGCATTTTTGAATCTTTCCTCATCTGAAATAGAGCTTTCCAATGGCTGCAGACCATTGCCACTGCTACCATTAAGTTCGCCATTTGCTCCCGCGCGATTGATATACTTTCGGCTGTCAAGCCCTAGCGACTGACTTAATCTCACAATATCAAAACTTTCGATCCGCTCTAACAGCCTTTCCACTGGTGAGAAAATTTGTTTCTCCAAATAGTAGTGAGGATCCGGCCGCAGGTTATTATTTTTAACCATAACTTCATTCAAAACGCGGGCGCGCTCAGCTGGAGAAAGCTGAACATCGTTGTCGTCCATGCCATCTTGTTTTGTGATTACAAAGGTGATCACACTGCCGGCTTTGACCACGCGGCCAGCTTCTCTCATTCTTAAAGCAACTTGCACGGCTGGCATGTTCTTACCGCCAGGATAAGCTTTGGGGTCCTTTGATAGTCTAGTGTTAATCTTGTATTTGTCCACACGAATGGCGTTAGCTTCTACCTGCTCCTTGATACTTTCAAGATACTCGTAGACTTCCTGTAGAGCTGTTTCTGGGTCTTTATCGGAAAGAATAGTTTCAAGTACGTGGATTGAAACCTCTTTGGAGAGTGGGCAAAACTCACGTCGTCTCATATCCAGACCCTTGACCTCTAAAGCGGTTCCTTCATTACCATCTTTGTCAAAAACAACTGTTAATGCAGCATATTTCTTCTTGGCATGTAACAATAGCTTTCTGAAAACATTGTCGATGTCAATTTCTAAAAGACGGTACCTTTCGTTCACCAATTTCTTGAAGTTGTCACCAATTTTAATGGCATCGCTGTAGCTATCGCATCCTGTATTAATCATTACTGAGTCTGTGTCACCATAGATAACAGCCAACGCTAGACTTTCCGCAAGTTGTCTGGTGTTCATTAAAATTTCTCTACCTTTGTTTGTTACCAGCATGGCCAATGGTTTAGCGTAGAACCGACTATTCACATAACCTAGACAACCATACATGGAATTTGCCGTCAATTTCAAGGCTTGCTGTCTAATGTCACACTGAACTCTTTTGTGTGGGTCTGACTCTGTCTTGAGGAGCTTCTTCACTTCTCGACGTCTTTGGACCAAATTTGCTAATAGCCTGGGTAAAACACCTTGTTTAATCTCCGAATCCGGTACGTTGGGAAGCTCTTCAATATTGTTTGGGTCTCTTTCCACAGTTGTAAAGCAGATATTATACTCTTGAATGATGGAAGGATATAGCGAATTGAAGTCCATCACAAGAACATAATCATTGTGCAAACCTTTCTCGGGCTCGAAAACCAAACCACCCTGGTATTTTGCTTTCTTCGAATTGACTTGTATTTCTTCTCCTGCCTCTTCGCCGGCTTCTTCTCTAAGTTTCTGCTGACGCTGATTTCTGGTATGCCTTGTTTCCTTATCCGGTACAATGTAGTTATTCCTTGCGAATTCGTGAAGTAAAATATATTCATTTCTTCCAGCTCTTGTTCCGCCTAGTGTTTGGCACCACGCATTCCCTGCTAAAGTTGTTAGTTGTTTAGTGAGTGACATTATTTGAATTCTAAAGGCAATTTCAGCAGAAATAAGAGCACCTGTAACATTCTCTTGAAGAGCCAATATCATTGAATTAACATCACTTTGATACTGGGGACTTTGATAATTAATTTCCATAGCTTTGTGTTCTTTTTGGCAGGTTACTTGGTACATTTCCGCCAATTCCCAACTTTGACATTTAGGTGTGAGAGACTGACCCATTTCATTAGATATATCACATAATAAGCGTCCCCCAAAAATGTCCCGAATGTAAAATTGGTTCATACTGGGGTTTTTTCCAAACTTATCCGGCCACGATTTTCTTGAGCGGCGCCCGAGACAACTGAAGGTTGGAATTTTTAGCTCAAAACATCTGTGTGCAATAACGTCAAGCGACATATTTTCTAAACGGTGTCCGATGATTACATCGGGGTCAGAAGACTTCATCATTGCACAAAAGCAATTCAAAAGCGCCTTTTCGTTATTAAGTAGCCGTAACTGTCCTTGCAAAGCTTTATTTCCGAGGTGCATCAAACCAGTTGGAAAGCTGGAGCCAGTTGGCGGTCTAATCAGAGTTATTGTATCATTAGCCGCGAGGTCCTCGGGTATTGGCAGATCTTGGGCCAAATTTTCGTAGTGCGCAAGCGTGATACTAACAATTTCTTGTCTATTCTCTCTGGGATTCATAACCGTCTGCACCGCAATCGCAACGCTGTTTAACTCCGGAACTTGCTTCTCTGTCAATGGTGTGACATTAGCCGGTTGTGTGACCTGAACCTCTGCGGAGCAGTGAGATGCATTTGACAACGCCGAAAAGTCCGCATTTTTTATTTCGAGCCAACAAGGCCCCATCACTTTTCTTTGAACCACAAAGCTTTCAAATATGTTAGTGTTCCCGCCGAAAACATGATAGAATGTATCACCTTCAAGATCGCTTGGTATAGTAACATTTCTGCTCTTTGGCGTTTGGTATGGTAATAAAACTTTCAAATATTCTCTTTCATGAGGAATCCCAGGCAACTCGAATGCATATTTCTTAATTTCGGGCTTTGCTCGAATATTATCGAGGCCGTACTTGTCCAGCAGAAGTGGGATTATCTCTTCATGAACGTCTGCAGCAGTTTTTTGCTCACGAGGCAAGAAGTAGAGTTCACGAGAAAGGTTCTTTATTTGTACCATGGCAGAAATTAACTTATTTTGAGATACCAAAGTTTTGCCGAATAACAATAGAGAGTTGTCGACTTCGGCGTAATCTAACCAAAAGAACTTGAACGAATTGGTGTTTAGATCAACAATATCTTCGCGATTGTATTTTTTGCCGAAAGTTTGAACCAAAGGTAAAATGGGTTCTTTCGTTTTCGGCTGACTTGTCACAGGTGTTCCTGGAGCAGTCACGAACGGGGATGAACTTGAGTTTGAACCTGCATTGATATTTATCCTTTTAATCGCTGCTGCGTTTCTGACTGTTCTTCTTCCGATGTTAATTTCTTCGTCGCTCTCCTCTTCGTCATCTTTATCGCTGAGCCTTTCAAGATCATCTTTTCTAACTTCAGCATTCTTTGCAGTTCTATTTTTGATAATTGTTGGTGAACTTTGGACATCGTCAATCATGGCTTGCAACTCCGCATCGTCGACAAGATCAGCCTTCATCTTTATTGACCTTAAAGGAGAAGAATCAACGGGGTTATACGTCTTTTCGTCAGTTTTCTCAACAGCATCGATTTTGACTCTCTTCACCTTAGGTGCAGGCGATTGTTCAGGGTTGTCTCTCTTCCTCTGATGAATATCCTTAGAAGTTTTGGAGCTGAAAGAAGTAATTGTTGGCAGAGATGTCTCTTTGTCGTCATCAAATTCCTGTAAGATGTCATCAAATTCGTCAGCAGCAAGCTTTTTTGGCACTTTACTATGAGCGCCCAGCTTTTTCGAATTTCTCGAGTGTTGTGCAGTAATCATGTTACCGATAGAGTCTTTCACTGATCCATTGTTTTCATTTTTATCATTCTTACCACCGGACTTTGTCGTACTAGTTTTAGAATGTCTACCTTTCACCGCTTGCTGTCCTTCCTCTTCGTCTGAAGAGTATTTATCGTGATGGTGTCGATTGTCCCACTCGTCGACACCTCTATCAACATATCCTAGGCCGTCGTCGTCAACCACAAAATCGTCCCGTAGTAATTCTTGGCGCTTGCGGTTTCGAAACTCATTTTCATCTATGAGATCGTATACCTTATGGTCCTCAGTATCGTCATCCTCATCGTAAAGTTCCTTCGATGATGACTTGTTCTGGCGCGCTCTTTGAAGTCGTTTCAGCACTTCAAGTCTGTTTTTAGAGCTCATGCTACTCTTCGAATGAGTAAACTCTTGATCGCGAATGCTCAATCAACGCCTTTTCAATTGATCTGAAGTTTCAAAAGTGTTAGACTCAATGTGTGGAAACGCGTTAATTTCGAAATTAAATTAGACGCGTTCTTCCAATTTTTTAATTGTGAACGAGATCAAAAAACCAAGTGACATTTTTGTAATTTTGACAAGGAAAAGTGCTAGTAATCAGATTGAAGAGCGGTTTGCAACAGCAAATCTACCTTCCAGTGAAACAAAGCTCACTTCAAGTTTACTTGGATACTCATTGGACTAGCGTTGGGTTCTTTCAAAGTTGCTAGTTAATGTCCTTTCTGGACTCTATTTCTCAGACTGCAAAGGCAGGCAGCCAACAACAAGATGGAGCTTTAAACAAGCTCTTTTCTGATTTCACGCATAGCATCAATGAATTTCAGAAGAAAAGCGTCCTTCTGGGCACTAAACGGGACTCACAAATTGTCAGATATGCGATCGAAACTGAACTTATTCCTCAATGTGAAACACTTAGAGACGAGATAGAACGTTCGCTAAAAAATGCAGAATCGAACGGAAAATTGGTGTCAGATTTTGCCGGCCTAAAAGATGAGTTGATCATGAGCAAAAGAAGATTTTACGAAGGCAAGGCTAAATTTCCGATGAAAACAAAACCAGCCAGAGCACACTCGTCATCGCAAAACTCCGGCTATGTTTCCATGCCTCTGACAGGCAATACAGAGAATACTCCCCTGCTGAAAGCTTCAAACGAGCAGCTGCAACAGGAGCAGCAGCTCCAAACGCAGTCTCAACAAACACAGGAACAGATATCTGGAGTATCACAGGATGAGCTCAACTTTCACACTCTTATTCAAGAAGAAAGATCTGAGGAATTAGGCCGAATACATTCGGCTGTTCAAGAGGTTAATGCAATATTCCACCAATTGGGATCTTTGGTACGAGAGCAAGGAGAAGACGTTGACAACATCGATAATAACATTTCTGGGCTTGCTGGGAATTTGCAACGAGCGAATGAACAACTAGGTAAAGCTGAGCAATCGCAGCGGAAGAGAAACAGATGCGGGATAGTCGCACTGATAATAATTGTGGTTGTAGTTCTAGTTGTTGTCTTAGCGGCTCTTGGTTAAATCATTGACTGATAAGCCACCACCGATCAAAATTTCAATTATCTATTAATTACATTACTCATCCCACCAACACTGTTGAGCAGTGAACCACATACGTAAAATATCTTAATACGTCAACTCTTGGGTTCGTTCTTGACTGGCCCATTGTTGTCATCCTTCCTATCCTCTTTAATTTTTCGCAGCAATTCGCGCCGAACATTTTCGACCTCTTCAACGGCCTTAAGCTCCCCTCTTTCCATTACCAAATTCTTCAAGAGTCTGTTTTCCATCTCCAACGTGTGAATGCGTTGTTGTAAGTTCAACGCAAGCTCGCTTAATTCTTGAATTGAGCCTTCCATTTCTTGCTCCTTTATCTTTCGTTTCGGATGTGGTTTGGTACGTTTTTCCAGGTGTTTCAACTCTTTGGATCCGCGATCAACGTTTGAATTTCTAGAATCCAGTGCAACTTGGTCTGATCTCGTATATTCTTTATCCGGTGATGAAGAGCGTTCTGATCGCCTGCTGTTATTCTGTAGCGAAGCCCGTCGACTGGGCTCCCTTTGCGCAGTACCCGCTTCGTGCTTCACAGAATCTGTGTTGAAGAAACTATCGAATAAATTATCTGCAGTTGCCTCAGATCCTACCGTCCTGTTTTGAATGTTCGCATCACGATTTGAGATGTTGGAAGACTGTGCTTGCTGGATTGGTCTCTTGTGATCCGATAAAAATTGTAGTAAGAGACTGGCAGCATTATCACTAGTGAGCAGATTTTGAAAATTTGAGAGAGAAATCTCACTACCTGCATTTGGATTTGCGCTTTTGTTCATTTGATGGTAAGCGATTATTGCAGCAATGGAATCAATTTCCTCTGATTGCAATCCTGCGGCACGTAGTGCGTTTCGAGCGCCTGTCGGTACTCTCGCTTTCGGCAGTAGCGTCAGTAACGTGCTAGTCGGTATTGAAGAATAGTTTGGCATGTGAATATCCGACGGCAGGTTTTGATTGGATGAGGGTTGTGATAGACTGCCGTTCCGCTGTGTTGGAGGAGTAAAAAATGGCGTGTTCGAACTATTAGACGGCAGTTCAACGGTTTGTGAGTTCGAATCTGAAACCAAGTTGTTAAGCGGAGAATTTACATAAGGGACTCCAGGTTGGGCGAACGGTTGAGGAGGACCTTCGCCGATATCGACGTTCGTGAACCCACCATGATCATCCGAAGGTGATCGACTTGATTCGAACTGCCGATTTTTAGAAGAAAATCTTTGTCGCGAGTTGTCATGCTGAGATGCGAGAAAGTTGTTGCGACGCTGTGACAGAAATCTGGAGCTACGATTTTGAGGCGGAGGAAAGTCTGTTCCGGCGCCAGTGTCTGTGGTCGTCCCCACGGCGTATATGTTTGGGCTCGATGCAGATGCTGAAGCCGATGCCGAAGCAGAGGCGGGGGTGGATGCAGCAGGAGCTGAAGAGCTTGCTCGCGAAAAGGGATCGTTGTCGTTGTTGTTGTTGTCGTTGTGGTCGTTGTTGTTATTATTCCCATGATCGGCGGGTTTCTCCTCATCAGGAAAAATGAAGGTTTCATCGGCAAAAGCGCTGAGCTCGGCAGCGAGCCGATCGTCGAGTCCCAAACCGGCGGCACCCAGCTCTGCTCCGTGAGCCGGACCATCGAAGGAAGTAAGGTCGCTTTCGAAATCGGGCATGAAGTTATCAACGTACGCCAGTTGTTCCAGCAAAATGTTTGGAGTAGCGTTGGTATCGTTGGAGTAGAAATTAAGTGAGCCATCCGAACCTTTCACCACGTCTTTTTCCTCACCGAAAAGGTTGTTGAATCCGTCATTTTTGTCGAAACTCATCGCTAAAGTGCACTAACCAGTAGTGACTAATACCGATGGTCGCTGCAATCAATAATGGAGACTTTCAATCTCTAGTTTACCACCGCTGATCTTGCGATGAGTGAGGGTGTCAGTGGTGAGCTTTTGGAAGAAAACCGGTTCCAAGAGAAGCGTAGCTGGCTGTGCACATGATGAACAAACAATTTGTTCAAAAAGCTTGATGCTCAAGTTTTTCAGCTGGTGACGCCACACATATCACGTTGTACTGGTTCGTGTTCGGTGACAAAATGGTCCCCATCGATCTACGAGGCTGACAGTTGTATCTCCACGGTGGAATGGTCTAAGCAAAGTCTTGGTGATCGATTTGCTCGAACTGTTCTGTGAAGTCCTGCTATGTCTTCTGAAAACTTCGGCATCTTTTGAATTGGATCTCAATTCTTGCCCGAAAAAAAAAAACATCGTCAACGGAGGGTTGTGGTCGGGCATGTTGTTGAGTCAGTTATGCTTATGATACTGGAAGTTGGAGAGCTGGTAAATGGCTCCAAGAAGGTGGGTTACGACGCTGTTTTTGGTGCTCTTTCTTACGTGCTGTTCCATAATTAGCGGCTATCACAAAGTTTAATTAACCGCTGTCTGTATTGTCATCTTGTACGATGATGATTGTGCCGTCGCTATAATGGAAAACCGTAAGAGCAGTGTATCCAGTCTTTCAGTGTTGGCCAAATTAATCTGCAGGTGGACGGACAAGCAATAGATAATTTTGGATAGCTTTGTTTCGATTCGATGTCTGTGCTATGAGTGCTTTGAGCTAGCCAGGCATGTGGCTCTTGTTTTGGTGGCAAACGGAATCAAATAGCGACTTATCAATGCAAAATAATCTGATAAACCGAATGGTAGACTTATTTTATCAGTAATAATGAATCTTAAGTGAGCAATTACCCAACAATGATTAAAAGTGAGCAATTTCGCAGCAAAATGAGGCCTTATTTTATGTCGCTTGTATATCTCGGGAGGACTTGTAACCGCTCTGGACACCAATGCGTAATTACGTGCTGGGTAGTGGAAATGCAAATCGTGTAACTATAAAGTGACATAACAAGGAAGAAATCGAGTACTCTGTGCAGAGCAATCGAATCACGGCCGCAAGTGGTGGGGGTGTATTTAATGTGAATATCGGTATTTCAAGAAATCGAGTACTCTGTGCAGAGCAATCGAATCACGGCCGCAAGTGGTGGGGGTGTATTTAATGTGAATTCGGTATTTCAAGAAATCTTTGGTGTACGATTCGCATGGGAAGCAACAAGATTATTCTGTTGGATGATTATGGCGGGCAATTTTGCATGAGGAGATCGTGATTTATTCTCACGGGCTTAAAACGCCCAAGCAAACATTTAGAGTCTTGACAGGCTCCTCTATCTCTGCATTTGGACAGAGTTCATTGTGTTTGGACACTACTTGTTGAGGCACAGCTGCGTCAGTAGTGGTTAACTTGTTGAATTGGTCATTCAAGTCGTACATGATGTATCAAACATTTTTTATTGGCATCTGGGATTCTACTTATCTCTGGTATGAGGACTTCGAGTGGAGTAACTGGTTGGTAAATAACAACTGGCAGAGCATGATAGCTATTGCTCAGCTTATAATATCCAGTGCGCCATGGATCAATTATCAGACCACTATAGGGTATTGTCTGGCGCTTGTTAGAGCGGTGTATCGAATAGTTCATGTTCAGTGTCACTTTGTACGGTTCTGTCATCAGTCCTCATGACGCTATCTTAGCAAGTCGCAAGCGTTTGTTTCTGCATCAAGTTATGAGCGTAGGATGGTATTCATCAGGTACTTTCTTCGTGTGTAGGCTTCAATGCAGAATGAAGAGAAAGAACATATTGAGCCATCGGCCAGGTAGTGTCGAGCATTGGCGCTGTAATAATTTTTGTGTTATAAGTTTGACAGTACAATCACCACCGTGTCTGTGCTTACCAGCTGCGCCTATGGCTTGAATCGGCCGTGTGATGTCGTCACTATATACCAATGTGTCGCCTTGCGAAGAGTCAATGCGTGATAATATTTCTAGCGAAGAGCAGCATACGGAGGAGTGTGTTGTCAAACAATACTCACTGAACGAGAGTACTATCATTGAGGCACAGCTGCGTCGGTAGTAGCTAACGTGGTGGGCTGGTCGCTTGAGGACGCACGGTGGTCGCAGAGAGGCTACTGCTGGCTTGCCCGATGCGCGCCGTTTGAAGCGAGCTGAAATAGAGCTGGCGCCGGTTTCGAGACGGCTACGATGTGAGCTCCGGACCTGAGCTCCGGATAGGACATTAGATAGGCTTGAGATTAGCCTTGGACTGGGCCTTGGACACGGGCCTTCGAGATACAGTTTTAGATAGCGAATTTCTTTCGCGATAGTGGAATTTTTCACATACACCTCATCGACGATAGATATCCGATAGCACATTTCTTCAGAGAACAAAAGCTAGTACAAATGCTAAGACAAATGCTAAGGCAAATGCCAATACCAATGATACAAACGCTAGCACAAGTGCCAACGCCAATCCTGCGCCACACCCCCTCCAGCGACTTTCCATCGCTGCAGGCCCCAACGATCCACCGCTTGCATGGCGTCGGACTTTACTCTGCATCCTGCAAATCGTAGTCTTTTGCACAACACTCCCACGCCTCATTGACCATGCAGAAGCTGGCCGGCTGGACCTTCTTGAGCATATTGACCCATGTTCCTTTTCAGCACGTCGTGCTGCCAAAACGGGTCCCTGCTCTCGCACACAAACGCCGACTCTTGCATCCCATCTTGAAGACCGCTTGCTTCACAACAACTCTCCTCTCCCCCCACCCACCCCATCACCTGACTCTTTGCTCTTCTTGGCACCCACTTATCTCGAGATAATCCCACCATCACCAGTCACCACGCCTCTGCAAGCCACGATACACTTTTTCGCTCTTTCTCTTAGCCCTTCTACACAATGCAGATTTACGCTGGAAGCTGCCAATCGGGCGCAGATACAGCGCGTAGTACGTAGAGTAGAAGAAACATTACGAACTTCGGCCGCGTCCGTACTGTGGTGGGTACAAGCCCAACGTTCCGATAGCGGTTGGCGATAGCGGAGACACCGAGACGCAAGAGAAGAATAGAAGACGGTAAATAGAAAAACAGGCAGGGCCTGGCAAGCTTTGTCACAAAAGAGAGTATTTGTAGAGCAGCAAAGTGGCAGCGAGCGAGAGCGAGGCGAAAGCGAAGGAAGCGAAGGAAGCGAAAGCGAAGTTAGCGAAAGCGAAGTTAGCGAAGTTAGCGAAAAGCGAAGTTATAGCGAAGCAAGCACAATAAGCACCATAACACCATAAGCACCATAAGCGTAGCGCAGTAGACCTCCGCGCATCCCCTCCCGTCTTTTCTCGTCGCTTCCAGCCCAGTCCCGTTCAAAATTCTCCCGTTGTGGCCCAGGTGAGCACGGCGAAAACCTACTCGTCTGCACCGCCGTTGTTTCGCAAAATTAGCGGCGAAAAAAAATTACAGCGTCGAGACTAGCCAACCGCGAGAGCACACACGTCGCGTCCTCCAGTGCAAGAGCAGCGTGCCGTCCCAGGTTTGGATCTCTGCCTTCACTCCCTGCCTTTGAGCACTCTTTGTCGCCGTATCTGTCGCCGTATCTGTCCATGAGCTCTGGAGCGGACCAGCCATCGCTAGACGCATTGCTGGAAACTGCGCGCAGACTGCGGTCACGTGCCGGGCCTTCCAACGCTCCTGGCGCTCGCCACGAGCGTCCCGGCGGTGTGGCAGCGGGCTCGACGGGTGCAGCGCACGCAGCGCGTGTCAAGGAGCCCTGCCATGCCTTTTTCGAGTTTCTGACGCGGTCGCATTGCGAGGAAAACCTCGATTTCCTTCTCGCCACGGATCCGTACGTCGACACCACCAGCGAAAGCACCGACAGCCAGCGCTTCGCCCGCGAAGCGCTCGCCACTTGGCACCGCTACGTGTACCTCCAGTTCATCCAAACGGACTCGCCCCGCGAGTGCAACCTGCCGCAGGAAATCCGGCAAATCTTTGACCAGTGTGCACTCACCGATGTGGTGCCGCCGCGCGCCAGCATCGAGGCGGCCCGCCAGCACGTTTTCGGGCTGCTGCGCGACGCCTACTTCAAGTTCATACATCTGCAGCGACGCTGCTCCAATTCCTCGTGTCCAGTGCACGCTCACAAGCAGCGGTCTCACGTTAGGTCAGGCTCGGGCTCTGGTTCTGGCTCTGGCTCGGGCTCAGGCTCGGGCTCAGGCTCGGGCTCTGGTTCTGGCTCTGGCTCAGTTTCCGGCTCAGTTTCCGGCTCTGGCCCTAGTTCCCGCTCTTTCTCCCATTCCCACTCGCTCTCTGGAACCAGATCCCAGAGTCGATCCTCAGCGTTCGCAACACCGGTCCAATCGCCCTCTCCTCCGCTCACGCCGTCGTTGCTATCGCCCGTCGCCCGTGTTATCGCAGCTACCTCCTACCTCGACGACTACGCAGTCGAAGAAGAAGAAGACGACGTTGATGACGAAGATGATTTCTATGACGATTTGAACCGCGATTCTTCTCGTAATCGCCACAGCCGTCAAAACGACAATTCTGCCACCAGTAAAACCAGCGCATCCACATCAACCTCAACGTCAAATTTCCCGCTTCGAAGTTCTCCATCCCAAGCCGGAAATTCAATCGTCTCTTCCAGTGCCACGGATCGGATGGCAGAACGCGCGGCCGTCCCAAGCAGTATATCGTCTACGGCCTCGTCATTCTTAGCCACCACCTCCATCGCTGGCACGAGCGCGACTTTCAACTCTGCGAAACTCAAACACACGGGCAAGAAACTCGTGCACAAGTTCAAGTTTCGCAGGAGCAGTTCGGGAAGTTCGGGGTCCTCATTGAACCCGTAACCACCGTCAGGCGAGGTTCTGTCAACATTTTGTCGCTTCCTCCAGACCACCATTTTTAGCATTCACAGCATCCGTTCGCATATTTTCTCACTCCTCAGCTACATCGTTTGCGCTACAAGCAAGTTTACATATTTACTAAAGCGCTTATAATATTAATCAAAGTCATTACTTCATCAGGAATTTAGAAAGTCTGTTCAGTGTCAAACCTATCTCACGATGGGTATGCAATCTTACTTTTACGATCGGGCTTTGTTGTCTCGTCATTGTAGCACCCTCTATATAGTTCACAAACTTCCCAAAAATACACAAGGTCAAGTAACCAAAACATCAACTACTCGAATGCTTACGTTAGTGATACTCAAACTTGGCAATCGGTAACCTTAAGGTGCCAGCGTATTGTACAGATCATTTATCAAATATTATAATCCCGTCTCCCAAGCTCATTGCATCATAAAGCCAAAGTAACCAATAATTCCGAGGTTTTTCTCCGAATTAAAGACGTTTAATACTCAAGCAATGCTCATATTCTTGAGCGCTACGCTGTGTGGCCTATACATATCAAGATTGCCATTACTTTCATACCCGAATGGGTTGTCACTAAGTCTACTTTTCAATCTGAACATCTTGCTTTTTTTCTAATTGAAACTGCTCCAAAAGCCATGGCTACTCCGCACTATTACATATCTACCTCTATCCGCTGTCCCGACGCTCTCCTATTGCTCGTCGTCCACTTCTTTCTTTCTTGCGTCAAAGTTGGACAAGATGACTGAAAAATTTTAAAAAGTTCCGTGGAAAAAGCATCATACCAAGAAAAGAATGGAAAGATCAAGCAGAATTCATGACTCTTCGTGACTGATTTGCTTATTCTGATTCTGGAGTTGTAACGTGAGTCTCGTTAAATATACTTATATATATAAACGACTTTGTTCAGCGGTTGAGATTATTTTTTTTGACGATCAAGAACTTCGCCCCATATCGAACAGCTATTTATCCGCTATGTTTAAAAGAACACTTGCGGCGCTCGCTCAGAGCACCGGGAAAGCCGTCCCCCCGGTAAAACTTGGGTACAAATATATGCTCAAAGATCCCTCGACGAAATACAAGCCATTTGCTGCGGTAAATCTTCCTAACAGACAATGGCCCGACAAACGCATTACGAAAGCTCCCCGTTGGTTATCCACAGACCTTAGAGACGGTAACCAGTCGCTTCCGGACCCTATGTCGGTGGAGCAGAAGAAGGAGTATTTCCACAAGCTTGTGGAAATCGGCTTCAAGGAAATCGAGGTTTCATTTCCTTCGGCCTCGCAAACAGACTTCGATTTCACCCGCTACGCTGTACAAAACGCTCCCGAAGACGTTGGCATCCAGTGCCTTGTGCAGTCGCGTGAACATCTCATAAAAAGGACCGTTGAGGCCCTCTCTGGTGCCAACAAGGCAACCATCCACGTATACCTAGCAACTAGTGACATGTTCCGCGATATTGTGTTCAACATGTCTCAAGAAGAAGCCGTCGCCAAGGCCGTTGAGGCCACCAAACTGGTACGGAAATTAACCAAAGACGATCCTGCTCAGCAAGCCACTATGTGGACGTACCAGTTTTCTCCAGAAACTTTCAGCGATACATCACCTGAATTTGCCGTTGAAATTTGTGAAGCTGTCAAGGCTGCTTGGGAGCCAACTGCCGAAAATCCAATTATTTTCAACCTCCCAGCTACTGTAGAAATGGCCACTCCTAACAATTACGCAGATCAGATTGAATACTTTTCTACCCACATTTCTGAACGTGAAAAAGTGTGCATTTCCACTCACGCTCACAATGACCGTGGCTGTGGTGTTGCCGCATCAGAGTTAGGTATGATGGCTGGTGCCGACCGTGTGGAAGGTTGTCTATTTGGTAACGGTGAACGTACTGGTAATGTTGACATTGTTACCGTTGCATTGAACATGTACACTCAAGGTGTCAACCCAGAACTAGACTTTTCCGACCTAAACTCGGTCGTGGAAGTTGTAGAACGTTGTAACAAAATCCCAGTGGCTCAAAGAGCCCCATACGGTGGTGACTTGGTTGTCTGTGCATTCTCTGGTTCTCATCAAGACGCTATCAAGAAAGGTTTCGCTCTGCAGGAAAAGAGACGTGCCAGCGGCGATCTAGAATGGAAAATACCATATCTACCATTGGATCCAAGAGACATTGGTAGAGATTACGAGGCTGTTATCAGAGTCAACTCGCAATCTGGTAAAGGTGGTGCTGCCTGGGTTATCCTCAGATCTCTAGGTCTAGATCTACCAAGAAATTTGCAAATCGAATTTTCCACTGCTGTCCAAACCAAGGCTGACGCTCTTGGGAGAGAATTGAAGGCTCAAGAAATCACCGATCTTTTCAAAGAGACATACAACTACAGTGGCACAATTGGCAAAGTTACCCTAGTGGATTACGAAATTACAAAACTTGACAAAGAACGCAGGTCCTTGACTGGTCAAGTTGAAATTGATGGTAAGCTATACAACATAAACGGTACAGGTAACGGTCCAATTTCATCAGTCGTTGATGCTATGTCCAACCTCCTCAACCTCAGATTCAGTGTTTCTAACTACACCGAACACTCGTTGGGCTCTGGTTCCGCCACTCAAGCCGCTTCATTTATTCATCTCATGTATAGACGCGAAGTCGACAATGAGAATGCCTACAAATGGGGTGTCGGTGTTTCCGAAGATGTTGGTGAAGCTTCCACCAAAGCCATCATGTCTGTCATTAACAATATTGTCCAGTCGGGTGACGTTGCTTTGCCAGACTCAGCATCAAAGGCCTCTGCCTCCGCATAATCAGAGACTCGAAGAAAGGTTTGTAACTATTTAAGACATAAATATGCAGATACTGGTTATTAATAAAAGTTTAGCATCTCCTTCGATTATGTACGATTGTGACCGCATACTTTGTTGCTCTTATTTTCCTTCATACGGTAACGAGATCGCAGAGAAACATTGGCGAGGGACGACAAAAAGCGTCATTCTGGGATGAGTAATTGACAAGTCTGGCACAAATAAATTTATCACTCTTGAGGAACTTACTTTCTTTCCTCACCTGAGAGGCCTGAAAGACCTGAAAACTTCTCGGGTCATATTTGAGTTCCAGGGTACTACGAATGCGACGAAAGATGGACAATACATTCAAACCTTAAGTTCGCCGAGCTCATTTTCGATGGCAGTCGCTTACAATATTACAGTGTACATTTATCATTGAAGTTGAACATTGGCATCAGAGATCGGAGAAAATTATACCAGAAACTTAACAGACTACTTAAAGTGTTAGGGTCGTAATGATTCTGTGTGTAATTTGCCATTCACAATAAACCCTGCAGCAAGATAGTTGCAACATGTGCAGACGGCGCTGGTTTCCTTGATGAAGTGCCCCTAATTGCCTAACGAAATTCAACCACTTATACACAATAATGGTGCAATCAAGAGCTACCATTTTCTCTCTCTATTAGTACACATAAACACGGAAATGAACCTACTAATCTTGCTATTTTCGTCATTTTAATCGAGTGTGTCCTCAAATTCTTTTACCGAAATGAAAAATTTGGTAAAGGGGTCCTAAACCGCTGCTATGTTCTGCGTTATAAAACCAGATCACGCTAACATCTTGTTGGAAAGAGCATTGGATTTACTCATTACGGTGCTTGATACTTCACCAACTGAGTAAAATGCAAATTTTGGTTCAGAGAAGTGCTGAAAGGAAAGTTGCACTTGTATCAGAAGGCTATGCATTGATTTTTAAAGCAGTGGAGAATGAAGACGATCGCACAAAGCCGCAGTGTGCGATCGAGTTGATACCCAAGTCCAGGGTTGGGAAGTCATACCAGAAAATGACGTCGCACGAGGTTCACGGCTTCATAGGTTTGATCGAGCTTGATGGCCTCATCTTCATCTGTACCATTACCGGTAAAACCAAAGTAGCACAACCTGTTCCAGGTGAAACCGTGAATAAGATATTTGCCGTTGACTTTTTCTGCTTGAACGACCCTCACTGGGATTTTGTGGAACTTGACTCTAACGGCTATCCTGTGACATCCGATGACGATTACCGAGGGACCACAGGCTCCTATTCAGGGTCTAGCGGCGATCAATCGCCGTCTGTGCCGGGTCATCCATGTCGCGAGTTGCGCAAGCTTCTTTCCAATGGCTCGTTTTATTACAGCTCCAATTTTGATTTGACGTCGATCTTGCAGAAGCGAGGCATGAGTGCACATTCTTTGAGTTTCGACAACTACGAAGAAGAGTACATGTGGAATTCTTTCCTGATGCGCGAAATCATAACATTCAGAAACCGCCTTGACGATACAGCTCGACAAGTTTTAGATGACGAGGGATTTTTGACCACAGTCATCCGCGGTTTCGCTGAGACTTTTGTTACATACATCAAGCAGTTGAAGGTCTCTCTTACCGCGATCTCCAAACAGAGCTGGAAAAGGGCTGGGACCCGTTTCAACGCTCGTGGTGTTGATGATGAAGCGAACGTAGCAAACTTTGTTGAAACGGAGCTCATCATGTATTCCCGCGAATATTGCTACGCCTTCACACAGATAAGAGGCAGTATACCCATTTTTTGGGAACAAGATACAGCGTTAATAAATCCCAAAATTCAGATCACTCGATCTCTTGAGGCCACGCAGCCCATTTTCGATGCTCATTTTACGAAACTGATAGATAAGTATGGTCCGGTTCATGTGGTGAACTTGCTCTCTACGAAATCAAACGAAATCGAACTCTCCACCCGCTATAAACAACATGTGGCTAGATCAAAAGTCCATAAATTGAACAAAGATATTTTGTTCACGGAGTTTGATTTTCACAAGGAAACTTCTCAGGAAGGTTTCGCGGCTGCCGCGAGGATCAAACCTCTCGTAACACAGTCTTTATTAGAAAGCGGTTACTTCTCCTACGATGTAAGAGAACATAAAGTGCTATCGGAGCAACATGGAATTTTCAGGACGAACTGTCTAGATTGCTTAGACCGAACAAATTTGGTTCAACAGTTTTTGTCCAGATACGCATTCGCATTGTTTTTAAATGACTTCCATTTGATGTCTACCACCCAGGGTACAGCCTTCACCGATAGTGATCTCTTCATCAAGCACAATACACTGTGGGCTGATCATGGTGACCAAGTCTCTCAAATTTATACGGGTACCAATGCATTAAAATCATCATTTTCACGTAAAGGTAAAATGTCATTTGCGGGTGTCCTATCAGATGCAACTAAATCTGTTAGCCGCCTGTACATCAACAACTTCATGGACAAAAACAAACAGGTCAATATTGACACTTTGTTGGGAAGGCTGTCAAATCAACGGCCTGTTTTACTCTTTGATCCCATTAACGAATACATTACCACTCAATTGTCAAAGTCATCTTCTCAATTCACAACTTCTTCAACTATCAACATATTCGTTGGTACCTATAACGTCAATGGCTTGACCAAGAAAGTCGACATCTCAAATTGGCTTTTTCCCATTGGAGATAAGTTCAAGCCTGATGTTGTCGTTCTCGGTATGCAGGAGGTCATAGAATTGAGCGCGGGTTCAATTTTAAACGCCGATTATTCTAAGAGCTCATTTTGGCAAACAATTGTCAATGATTGCTTGAATCAATACAATGACAAATACTTGCTTTTAAGGGCAGAGCAAATGTCCTCGTTACTGATTTTGTTTTTCGTTAAGTCAGACAAGGTAAACAACGTGAAACAAGTAGAAGGCGCTTCAAAAAAGACTGGTCTTGGGGGCATGACAGGGAATAAGGGAGCTGTTTCCATTAGATTCAATTACGGAAGTACATCGTTTTGTTTCGTAAACGCTCACCTGGCAGCTGGCGCCAACAACGTAGATGAAAGACGGAATGATTATGAGAGTATTTCGAAAGGCATCAACTTTACCAGGTCTCGACAGATTTCCCATCACGATGCCATCATTTGGCAAGGTGATTTGAATTACAGACTTCAGCTACCAAATGAAGATGTCAGGCGAGAATTGAGTAATCCTCCGAGCGACGATTTTCCGGATAAACTGCTACTTCATGACCAGCTTACTCAAGAAATTAACGCTGGCGTTGTATTCAGAGGATTCAAAGAGCCAACTGTCAAATTTCGTCCGACTTATAAATACGATCACGGCACCAATAACTACGATACCTCTGAAAAAGCAAGGACACCCTCTTGGACTGACCGTATTGTTTACAAAGGTGAAAACCTGCGGCCATTGGCCTATTCTGATGCTCAACTCATAGCAAGCGACCACAAGCCAGTTTATGCTGCTTATCGGGCTCAAGTCAATTTCACTGACGAAGATATCAAGAGTAATTTGACTAAAAAGTTATATTCAGAGTATAAAGAAGCGCATCCTGAAAGCTCCAATGATGCCACATTGGCGCTTGTTGACCTTGAATATGAGGAAAAGACACGAAAATCTAGAGTTTCTGATCGTGGTACGAACGGATGGGCGGATGTTAATTTGCTAGACTTTGACGCAAACAAGGCTCAACCCGAATCACCACCTCGCTCGTCATCTGCCTCATCCTCGGACATTTCTTCAGTGCAATCTGCACCATCGCAGCCCGCAAAGAAGGAGATGCCTTCTGTGTCCTTGTCGTCCAAGTCACTGAACCGAGTTCGCGTTCCACCACCACCACCGCCAGCACCTCGAGTGAGCTCTCAACAGTCCATTAGCTCATCCCTTACCTCCAGTGTGGAAAGCAAAGAACCCTCTAAGCTTCATTCGGAAGGTGCTGCCACTAACTATATCGTACCACCGCCACCACCATCTAGGAAAACCACATTTCCACCAGGATATAGTGCATCGATTTTGACCCCAAAAAGTACAAGCGCGAATGGTTCGAGAGTTACATCTCCTGCGCCAACCCCTGCATTGACATCTGCTGAAAACAAAAATTCCGAAAACAATGAACCTCTAGCTAACAATGAAAAAGCTAGTAGCAAAGCAACAAAAGTGGCGCCGCCTAGACCAGTTAAGAAGCCGTCCTTGGATAACTTGTCTATGGAGTCGTGGAAGCCGCTAACTCCCAAATAGTCAGAAGGAGATGTCTTTAACACATATACTTTTTAGAACGGTGCAGTAGTACCGGTTGATACAGTTTCTTAGCATAACATATATGGCACTTGCAAAACTTCACGCTACTACGTTTGTATCAATTCTGCTAATGTCTCCTTTAAAGCATCGATCTCCTCGTCGACCTTTCCAATCCCAATTTTGATTCGATCAATCTCCTCTCTTTCCAGCTGCTTGGAAAACATAATTTTGTCCGTCTTATTGGATGGTAGCAGATAGCCAGGTTTGGCCATCAGTACCTTGAAGAAGTCCTCGTTGGGTTCGTTAAACACAACTTCATCATAGAAAATCGACTCTACCTCAGAGCCTTCAACATCGTTTTCAGTTTTAACTACATTAGTACCCACGTTGTGATACTTGTGAAGCCGCAAGTGGTGGTAGAAGCTGAGCGTCTTTTCACCAGCAGAATCAACAAAATTGATCTTTACATTAATTTCAAACTCACCCCAGCCGGTTTCGGTTAGTTCGAATGGTGGAGCCTCTACAGTTCGTGTGGGATTCGGGTACGTTTCATGTAGTTTGTATACCACGCTTTTAATGATATCTGAGAGGTCCTCCCCATTGGGGCCTTTCACAAAGATAGTCCACATATGTGTATGTTCCACAGGTGCATTGGGCGGCTTAATCTCACCCATTTTTTTCGCCGTATTACCATAAATTATAGGACGTGATACTGACAGAGTCTTTATCCTTTTGGCAGGTATAGGGGCCATTTAGTATGATTAAAGATTGGTTTTCACTCAAGTTGCTTAATTTCCCAGTTTAACGATGAAGTATTGTCTACTTATTTTCTTGATTAATTATTAGCCAAATCGAATAATTATTTAAGGAACAACCATCAACAAGATATTGCACAATACAAACACTAAATCAGGCTTTGGCTACTATTATGACGATCAAAACCATTTACATAGCAAGGGTATGCACTACACGCTTTTTCTGAAGATACGAAGGGACGATTTGAATCACTAACAAGAATTACTGGTACAGCATGGCTATCGATCAAACTGGCTTCCAAAAGGTCCATATCCACCCCCTCCAACGGGTGTAAACAGCGATGTTCCATTAGCAGAGCACGGTGTGAAGCAAGCCAAGGAGCTGGCTCATTATATTATGTCTATTGAGAATCAGCCCGAAATGATATTTTCATCGCCATTTTATCGCTGTCTGGAGACATCTCAGCCCATTTCAGATCTTTTAGAGGTGCCAATCCAAGTTGAACGTGGTATTGGTGAGTGGTACAAGCCAGATAGAGAAGTTATTCCAGAACCCGCGTCCTTTGCGGTTTTAAATAATTTCTTTCCGGGGAAGCTGAATATGGATTGGCAGCCAACTGTGATTCCAAGCAAAAATGGTGAAACAGAGGAGGACATTTTCAATAGATGCCGAGAGTTCTGGCCCAAGTTTGTGGCTAAGCTTGAATCCCAATATCCGAACATCGAGACCATTCTGTTGGTGACACATGCGGCTACCAAAATAGCTCTCGGTATGAACTTACTAGGATTCGATAACTGTCGCGATCCAATTGATGGGGATGGTACTATTCTGAGGAGTGGTAGCTGCTCTCTCGACAAGTACGAGCTTATTGTGAGCGATGACGCTACAGAGGAGCTTCAGCATATACCCTTTTGGAGTAAAAGATGGAGACTCACTATGAATGGTAATACCGAGTTTTTGAGCAAAGGTGAGGAAATGCACTGGGATTTCCAGTACGGGTTTGAAGCCGGTTCTGACGCCGATATTAAAGCCAGACAGGCATTGGCTGAGAAAGAAGCGCTTGACACCCCAGATTCAAATGCAGCATCCCTGTCTGATGGCTCTCGGCCCGTGGCAGATTCAGACGCGTATGAACACGTTTACTTTAGCGTTGATATCCCAGCTGACAATGCCAAAACCAAGAGCGAAATAGAGCCCAATGCAACTATGCAATATTCGGGTTTAGAGACTGAAGCGCCTTTGATCAAAGTTGGCAACAAGTTATATGAAGGTCAATGGCAGAAATTGGTTGGTACGGAAATGGTACTACCCGACGCTGCAGTTGTGAATAAGAAGGCTAAAGAGAAAGAAGATGAGCAAGAGACCGAAAACGAAGATACTGATGAAATTCAAGAGCAAGAGCCTCTGGAAGATAGCAACTCTAGGTCCGAAAAGATTTACCGCATCACTGATAGACTGGTTATGGAGAATGTGCATCCCATGTAATACATAAGATAAATGCTTTCGTGAAGAACGGATAGTAATTTCGAAGTGAGACTAAATTCACATACGTTTATGATTATTCACGCACGGCACGCTTCCGAATTTGATAAAATCGTATCCCTTCTTAATTTTGTAGACCTCAGGCAGTCTTAGCAATCCTTTCTCGAGTAATACAAACATTGAAGTACCCGTGCTATATAAATACCCTAATCAAAAAGTTACAACAAAAGTCCAGCGCCCAATTCCTTCAAAAAGAAGAAAATGTCCCAAGTTGTGCAACAAATTCGCGACAAGTTTGAAGTGGTGCTTGCTTCTTCATCTCCGAGAAGATATGAGATAGTGACGGAGGTTATGGGGTTCTCGCAAGTAAAGTTGATGAAACCATCATTTGAAGAGAACCTCGACAAATCGTTGTATGAGGGAAAGCCAATCAAGTACGTGCATGACACGAGCAAAGGCAAAGCTTTGGGAATCATTGAGGATCTGGGAAAGTTGGCATGCGGCTATGCCCAAAAACCGAAACTAGTTATCTGTGCGGACACTGTTGTAATTGATAGCGATAATACCATTCATGAAAAGCCTCAAGTACCTCAAAGGCAATTGACCAATTTGCTGGACTTCCGCGACAGCGACGATCCCGTAAAAGTTGTTACGAGCGTAACTTTAATCAAGTGGCAAGGTCCTGATGACTACACGTTGGAACAATTTGAGGAGATATCCGAAGTATACTTCGATCCCGACTTCCCGCTATCTATACTGTATGACTATGTTGACTCTAAAGACGCTCTGGACGTAGCTGGTGGGTTCAAAGTACAGAGTTTTGGCGGAGCGATGATTTCTAAGATCAATGGCGACTTTTATAACGTAGTGGGACTTCCCCTAAACAAGACTTTTAAGGCATTGTACAAGGCAGCTTTTCCCTTGGAACAATGAGGCGGAAGGCTACAAAGTGGGTAGAAACATCTGAGTTTGTGGAGACACAGTCGAAGTTGCGAGGTTGTGTGCAGACAACTCCTTCGATCAAGAGTATTGAAGAGAAGAATATGGATTGCTCACGTCACGCACGTTATTACAGTAACCTCCACAAAGGCAATTGTACCGCGCTTACAAATTTTACGAGCACGAGTTTGGCAATTCCGTTTACGCTGGCGCCAGCTGACAGCCCTCAGAGTATCTGACATCCTTTTCGACCAACCTTCCACTCGCTAATATTTGTTGAGACTGTTATCTAATAATTTTCAAAACGAGCACATAGCCCCCACATAAATGATTCAGGATGCCGAGAGCGCCTTCTTAAGCTCTACTAACTCACAATTTGATGTTTTCTATCACACGTGAATATCACAGTGTATTGTTCAAGTTTTCCAACTAACTTTGTTTTAAAGGCATTTGGCTGAAAAATTTTTAGCTCATCGCATCTCATGTAGGTGAAGCTGCAATAGATTTGATCAAAGCTAGCAAAACACAGGATGGCCAAATCGACCAAGAAACAAGTGGCTAAGGTGCCAGTAGTGGAGGAGAAACCGGAGGAGCAACTTCAGCTGGAAAACTCGTCTTCCTCGGAAGGTGAGTTGGAAGGACTATCGGAGGCCGAAGAGATGAGCTCTGAGGATGAAGTGCATTTGGGAGCAGAAGATGATGAAGCCTCTAAATCCAACAGCGGAAGCCACACAGTCAAAAAGCTGGACGTCAAGAAGACCGGCGAATCGAAGACCGGCAAGCAAACCAAGGCCCAGGCCAAGGCTGAAGGTCTTTCTGGAATCATTTACATCAGTAGACTGCCCAAAGGGTTCCACGAGCGTGAACTGGCTAAGTACTTTTCGCAGTTCGGTGACTTGAGAGAGGTGAGACTGGCGCGCAACAAGAAGACCGGAAATAGTAGACACTATGGGTTCGTGGAGTTTGTGAACAAAGAGGATTCGCTCGTAGCCCAAGATACCATGCACAATTATCTGCTGATGGGCCATCTCCTACAGGTGGTGGCGCTTCCCAAGGGCAAAAAAATCGAAAAGCTGCACCACTACAAGCAGCGTGCGTTTCAGGAAACGCCCGTGACCAAATCGAGCGCAGAGCTCAAACAGCGGGCCATGGACAAGCATGCGAAAAGAGAACAGAAGCTGGAAGCCAAGGGTATAACCTTCAAGTGGTGATTTTTGGCCAAAATCGCACTGCTGCCCCGGGCATGTTGGTCTCCGGCGAACCTGGCGCGAGTGCCAAGTTTCGTTACAAGCTGCAAGCCTGCGGTAGATTCCATATTCCATAGGCTCTCTCCGCGCTCCTATGACGCCCAGAAGTCCCGGAAAATTGACCCCCAACCACCGCTAGACTAAAATAACTCGCCCTCATCTTATGTACATTACTCAAATAAATACAAAGCATCGAAACCAGCATACTCAGGAGCTCCAGAATTTCCTGAATTTCCTGGAATTCCTGGATAGCGCCCCACCAGACGACTCCACGGCTCCCATCTTGAACAGTTCGTCGCTGTCACATGAAAACTTCCTCGAGCAGTAAACCGGCCATATCGGCGTGTTGGTCGATGTCGTTCCTGTTGTCACCAACAAAAAATTTTAGAACTTTTACGAACCTTTTCCATTCGATAAAAGGGCCCTATTTTGTCCATTGTGCAGCTTCAGATCAGAGTATTCGCTTTTGGCTAGTACAATCACAGACACCTCAGTATTTCGTTACATTTCATAGCTTTCCGTTCCTACAATGACCAAACTTTACTCTTACAAGGAAATCGCAGAACACAACTCAGAGAGCGATCTGTGGATGATCATTCATGGCAAAGTGTACGACTGCACAAAGTTCATGGAGGAGCATCCAGGTGGTGAAGAAGTTTTGCTGGATCTCGGTGGCCAGGATGCTACAGGTCCATTTGCCGATATTGGCCACTCTGACGATGCCGTGAAGATGTTGGAAGATCTTTACGTCGGAGACGTCGACAAGGACAGTGAACCAATAGTGAGAGTCGCTGCTGAACCGGCATCTACCACCACTGGTGGAGAGGGCAACGGTGTGCTCATTTTGGCGCTTGTCGCCGTTGCTGCTGCTATCGTGTTCTACTTCTTGAACCAGAAATAGACATCATAGCGCGACACTTTGTAGAATAGAGCTAGAGGTTTATTAACTAGCATATTTATGTAATAGATAACAATAGAAACGGCTAGAGTTTTCAGCTACGAGGACTGGTTCAGATTTGCTGTTTTTAAGCGATTTCAGATATAATAAATCCAGTAATGTGGTATCTTGTTTGCACATTTTAGACACATAAATGCCAGACAAACAGACACAGCGAAAATCACTTGTGCTTGGCTTTCATGAATTTTCTATTCAAGTCATTCTCTGGATTTCAGTTTCCGTATTCGCTTGAAGCGGAACCTACGGTTTCGACACCGATCTGGCAAGCCGTGGACGGCCATCGGAAATCTGATTCTTTGCCGGTGACTGTGTTTAGCTTCGAACGAAGCAAGGGCAACAGCGTGCTGGAGGGTCTTGTGGCAAACGCAATTCACCATTTCAAGGTCCTCAAGCTTCCTGGGATCGTGAAGGTTCTGGATGTTTTAGAGACCAATCCGGCTACTAGCTACGTCGTCACCGAGAGAGTATCGCCATTGGTAACGAAAGGCTTAAGCCAGCAAGCTTTAAATCTCGGTATCTACCAGCTGTCGGAAACCTTAGAGTGTCTCCACAACCAAGCTCAAGTTGTCTTGGCTTCGTTGACGGCGGGAACGGTTTTTGTCAACCAACGTGGAGAATGGTGCTTGTTTGGTTTAGAGCTGTGCTCCAAAATCTCAGATCTGTCCTTTTTAAAACGGAACGTGGGTCCCTACACTTCTCTGGCTGCGGGAACCGTTCTAGAGGTGCCAGTGACTACCACTTCCAACGCAGATTCGGTTTTGTTGGCCAAATTCATCTCTGCGATCTGTGTGCGGATCCCAAGCGAGTGGAATCAATTGTTAGCAAGTCTGGAGCACGGCAGATTGACCCTCGCGCAGTTTGTTAGCCGGGCTCGCGAAACGCGACCTTTTCAGAGTACATTGATTGCCATTTACCAAGACTTGAAGGAGTTTCACATCAAGGATCCGCAAGGAAAATTATTGGCTATGACCGATCTACAACGAAAGATTATGGATGACCCGGCAGCCTTGAGAGGGTGCACACCAGGTTTTGTGGAGCACTACCTAATTCCTGAAATAGCGCATTGTATCAGTACAGTTCTCGAAGCGCAGCAACAGCAGCCAAACACCACAACAGCGACTACCGTAGTATCTTTCTTGGCATCTTTGCTTGAGCTTACATGCTCTGAAAGCTCTGTGACAGATTCCAAGCCGGTGTTCGATAAGTATGTCAAGCCGATAATTTTTGAAAACTTCAAACAATCTGATCGACAGTTGAGGTTCTTGCTACTAGTTTATCTCACAAACATCCTTCCCAAATTGACCAATTCTGAAGTATCAGATCGTATTTTTCCTCACTTCGTGCAAGGTCTTGCCGACTCGGATGGAACTATGAGAATTCAAACCCTGAAAAAGATACCTGACATTGTCCCCATGATTACCGAACGCCAGCTCAATAATGATCTCCTGAGACACTTGGCCAAAACCCAAGTTGATTCTAATGTTGAGATTAGAACCTGGACTATACTGACAATCTCGGGCTTATCGAAAAAGTTGTCGGCTTCCAACAATAGGTCAGGCATATTGGCTACTGCATTTACGAAGTCACTTAAAGATCCACAGATAAAACCTAAGCTTGCCGCATTGTATGGTCTTGAAACTTCGCTTGAATTATTTGATACTGATACTATAGCCAATAAAATTTTGACTGTGATCGCGCCAGGTTTGCTTGACAAGAATAGACAAGTTAGAAGCAAGGCTAAAGAACTATTTCGGTTATATCTCACCAATTTGGAAGAAGAAGCTGATAAAATCCCTACAGATAATAGTGAAGAAATATCTGTGGACTTTGGAGCTTCCATAACTGAAGATGAAACTAACGTCGTCAAACAGTTCATGGACACTTTGAAGCTTTCCGCTCCACCGGTGATGCCCCAAAACGAAGCCGAAGCACTTTCGGCAATCCATGGTGATGGCGAATGGGTAACGGAAGATGCTGGATGGGAGGAAACCGAAGACTGGGACAACGAGTTAGCTGCTGAGAAAGACACGCATAACAGCCCACAACCCACTGATAGTCATCAAGGTAAGAAGGTGGCTAGTAATATCGAAAAACCTTTTGCCAAGAAAAGTCCGGGCAAGGGATTGGCAGGAAAAGTCAAGATACAAAAGTCGTGGAACGATGAACTAGAGGACGATGACTGGGATTCCTGGAGTAAGCCAGCTAACTTCCCATCAACATCAAAGGAAAAGCCCAAATCTACGCTAGCCAGAAAATCCGCGCTGAAAGGAAGCTCAAACAATGGGCAGAACAAAGACAATACAAGCGTTAGTAATGGCATAGAGGATGACACTAACGAAGACGGCTGGGGCGATGAATGGTGAATGGAATACGCGCTATGGCATAGTATGAAGCCTTAGGCTGGTAAGTGTGCTATGTGGACAGTTATATCCCGAATTAAAATAATAATTTATAATGTAAAGCTATTGTACAAGTAGTTTCCAATCTGCTTAAAAGCAAGTATCCTGATCTAGTAGATTCTGTCACCACCCCAGGCACCGTCTTTAGGCTTGAATCCGCATTACCATCTAGGCTTGAATCCGCCATTACCACCACGGCCACCACCGTAACCACCACGGCCACCACGACCACCGCGACCGCCGCCGCGGCCTCCGAAGCCGCCACGTCCGTATCTTGGGTGGCCACCATATTGTCTTCTGTCAAATCTGCTCAACTCTGGAGAGATTTCTTGCTTGGCTTCTCTCATAATTCCGATCAATTGAGAACCCAAACCCTTGTTGGCGTCAGTAAAGAAAGAAACGGCATTACCGGAAGCACCGGCTCTACCAGTTCTACCAATTCTGTGCACGTAATCCTCAATGTTACCTGGCATATCATAGTTGATAACGTAATTGATACCCTTGACATCTGGATAAAAATGTTAGTAAACTGGTTTCAAGATTGATATACTACAGCTCTTAAAATGAGCATACAACGGTCACAGGGGTAAATCAAAAATCATGCAAAAAATTGTTCGATTAAAATTCTAAGCAGTCTCTCTAGCTTAATCCTATCAGTCTGTACCAAACTTGTGGTTATGACCGCAAGGATAATAGAGGATCCAATACGCGTGATAAATACTACACATAAAAGCCAAAGACAATGTGAGTGCTTCTAAAAAGAAACAGCACCGGCAGCTAGAAAAATAAAAAGAATACGCGCAAAATGACCACTATCAGTGTCATTTATCTTCAACTTCAACGAGACTACAAAACCTTTTTGTAGCATCTCCATATGTAACGCGTCATCCTCCATTCATAATCAAGTTTATTAGCAAATAAACTTTAAGCTGCCCATCCGTTCATGCCGATACCCCAATATAGAGTCAGAAAAAATCCATGCCAGTGGCTGGTATGTTCTGTACATTAATTGAGGCAGCAGTATTAAGATCATCTTTTAACATTTGTGTAGCCGAAAAATATCATAGTTCGGATCCCTTTTGTTTGACATAAACGTATGAAATTCAAAAGTGTGATTTCATAAGTATTCCCTGTCCCTGTAAGCCATTTGTTAGATGTAGAGTCCTGCCATTCTCTTTAACTACTAACAGACCAGCTGATTGTAGTTAAATCCGATTGACAGGAATGCAATTGCAAAATGACAAAAAAAAAAAATCCAAAAACACATACCAATACCTCTGGCGGCAACATCAGTTGCTACCATAACAGGAGACCTTCCTGTTCTGAATTCTTGCAAAACCCAGTCACGCTCGTTCTGAGCTTTGTCACCGTGGATAGCCAAAGCGGGCCACCCGTCCTCTCTCAAATATCTGGTAACCTCGTCACAAGTCCTTTTAGTCGAAGCAAAGATCAAAATCTTGGAGTCCTTGTCTTCCGAAGCCAATTCCAAGTATTTTAGCAAACGATCGCGTTTTTCCATTTCAGAAATAACTTCCACGATTTGCTTAATGTTGTGAGAAGCAGCCAGTTCCAAAGAACCGACGTTGACCTGAATAGGGTCGTGCAAGTAGTCACTGGCCAATTGCTGCACCTCCTTAGGCCAAGTAGCAGACCACATAAGAGTTTGTCTGTCTGGTCTAATCTGGTCAACAATCTTTCTGATTTGAGGTTCGAAACCCATATCCAACATTCTGTCGGCTTCATCTAGCACCAAGTAGGTAACTCTCTTCAAGTTAGTCTTACCAATTTCCAACATGTCGATCAATCTACCTGGAGTAGCGATGACGATCTCGGAACCTCTTGCTAGTTCTCTAATTTGACCACCCTTTGGAACACCACCATAGACACAGGTGTTTCTGATTCTTGATGATTTACCAAACTTGGAGCATTCTTGTTGAATTTGAACGGCCAACTCTCTGGTTGGTGACAACACCAACACAATTGGACCATCGCCTGGCGATAGCAAAGGTTGGGCATTGATGTGCACAATACCTGGCAAACAGTACGACAAAGTCTTACCGGAACCAGTAGCAGCGACACCAATCATGTCCCTACCAGAAAGAGCCATAGGCCAACCTTGACATTGGATACCAGTGGGCTTCTCGAAACCTTCGGCTTTGACCTCAGTCAAAACGTAGTCTGGGAACCCAGCCTCATCGAAGGAGGTAATTGGCTTAGGAATGTCCTTACCGTAGATGGTCATTTCGTTGTCCTTTCTGAATTGAGTGACTTCCGCATCAGAACGATCACGGACAGTGTCGTGCTCGACGTAGAAGTTTTTCTCAAACTTGGACAAGTTTGGTAGTTCTTCATCCCAGTTTGGTGCAATTAGTTCTTGAGGTTGGTTGAAACCACCGCCACGGGAGAACCCGCCACGACCTCCGCCGTTCGACGAACCGCCGTCTCTGCTCCAGGAGTTTCTGTCAGAGGCTCTTCCGCCACGGAAGTCGCCGCCACGAGATCCGTAGTTGTCTTGGTTGTATTGTTGGTCTCTAGATCCGTAAGTCATAATCGATAGGGCTTCTAAACTGCTGATAATTTACTATTGAACGAAAGAAAAGAGGAAAAGATTATTACAGTTGCAAACAATTCTCGATGCGCGATGCCCTCTTTATATAAGTTAAAATTTTCCATTAAAAGAAATTTTGAAGCGATGAGCGACGTGAAAATCAAAAGTGATAATTTTGAAAGAGCCTTGCCGAGGGCTCTGAGAGCGTTGATTCAGGACAGAGATGGTAGTGTCGGAGTGGCAGCAGGACAGCGTTAGCATTATTAGTGGGGCTAGAGGTCTTGGGATCTAGGGGTGCAGTGTCGATTTTACATTTCGGTTGCAGGAGAATCAGAATGTGTTATGGTTTTGATCTTACACTGATCTCCAAGATCGTTTTGCTAGCTACAAATTGTGAGGGTGCTTTAGCACTTACGCATAAGTCTTGAAAAGATCAATCCCTCTGACATCCGTTTTGTAGATTTTGCAGGTGAGGAACGTTGAACAACACCCGCGTTAGACAGTTTTGGTATTAGCGTATCGCTTGATTTTTGGTTAAGTAAGATAATATCAAGATTCTATGTAATTGTGAAGGCAAAGGGGTAATGGGGTAGTTATTTATATTATTTGTCGGGTGGGGACGGGCAGAATGACAGGGAAATGGCACTTTTCAATTCAACCATGGTCTACCCAACCGACCTTCAGTAGAAGTACTCAAAAACTATTTAAAGCGAGGTTCTAGAAACCCAGTAGGCAAGCTTTGAGGGTTCTTTCTACAATAATATCTCTTGAAGTGGTATATGAGTACATCGATAGTGCTGATAAATAGACCGGTACCATATCAAGACTTCTACACTGCGAAGCATTCATTACCAAAAATTCTTACAAATTACATCTTTATATCAGTGGCTGACTCTCTCAACCAAGGCAGCTGCATCACCACACCCCGAAATAAAGCGGTATTCGCTCTTTTCCTCTCGGCCAGCTTGTTGTGCCAGCTCGATTATGCTGTTAAAAGACCTTTTTCGGCTTTAATTATTTTACATTGTGCATGCCACCTCCCGCTACATCTCACGGATGCGCTGGGTGAACTTGTCCTCGACAGCGTCGCACAGGTCCATCAAATCTTGAAGCCCCTTTTGAAGCACTTCCACTGCCGTAGAATCTCCGTACGTTTGTATTCTAAGATTTAGCAGGGTTTCACTAGGGTGTGGTATCGAGTACCCACAAAACTCAACGTCTGGGTTTTTCATTATAATGTAGCGTAAGGCGTTTCCCAACGTGTGATCTTCCTCTGAGATCTGGAAAGACGCACATTTACCATCTTCCGAAGTAGCACTGGAGAGTATCTTTATCTTTTCTTTATCAACCTCCTCTTCTTCCTCTTCTTCTTCCTCGACATCTTCATCGTGTTGACCTGCTAACATATCAACGTCCTGAGCTTCATTTTCAGCACCTTTTTGGTCGGAGCCGTTTTCTTGAGCACCACCGGTGCTTACGTGCTCTTTGATATCTTCACTGGCCATCTTTTGGGAGTGCAATGTGGAGTTTTAGATGTGTATTCTAAGAGCGATGAGCTTGAATTTTGAATTTTCCAAAAATTTTCCAGCTAGAATATCTGTGGAATAACGTGCTAAAAGATGGAACAGCGCAGACGACATATAGAAATCAGCTTAGCTTGCTACTTCATTTCCCCAACTGAGTTTCACTCACCTATCGTGAATTCTCGTAGAGGATCCCAGCATGCCTGCTATTTTGTCTTTTTAGTTTGAATAAACCTTCGACTGTACCACTACTAGCTCACTCAGACACAGACCTCAACCAGAAGACGTCGTCTTCACCTTCAAAGACATTCTATTTTACATGACGTTATGCTTATGCTTCTTAATTCTGTAGAATATTTATTCTGCTATTTACAATAGGGTTTCGCCCATAGCACATCTGGCAACCGCGCATCCGGCGGATATCGTGTCTGAGATGTGTATGTCGTGAACGGCTAGCGATGGATTACACTCGACAACATCTAGAGCAATGAGTCTGCCAGTTTCGGCGACTCTTTCGGCCAAAAACAAACTCTCTCTTAGCGTTAGTCCGCCTCTCACTGGAGTACCGGTGGCAGGAACGAAAAGTGGATCGATCGCGTCAACGTCGTATGACAAATGGATGGGGCTTGTGCCATCTGGGTTGATTGCTTGAAGCGCCATTTCAATGACACTGTTGAGACCATAGCGGTCAACGTGGTACATGGAGAAAGACTTAATGTTGTGTTCCTTGAGGATCCTCTTTTCGTCACTGTCCACATCTCTGAGACCGATGTAAGCGATCTTGTTGGGCTTGACACACTTTGGAACCCATTTGAGAGCAGGAGGGGTGTTTTCTGGCTCTAGACCCATCAAAAACGAAACTGGGCACCCGTGCAAGTTACCGGACCCTGTGGTGGAGGGGGTATTGATGTCGGCGTGTGCATCGATCCACAGCAAACAGGCATCTGGGTGTTGGCTGAACACGCCGGCAACGGAGCCCATGGCGATGGAGTGGTCGCCACCTAGAGTGACTGGCATTTCGCCGCGGCTTATCACGTCTTTTACTGCGTGGTAGATCTTTTCGGTAGCCTCACCTACCAGTTGTGGTCTTTTTACCTTCTCGTACACGTCAGACAAGTCCTGGTCGTTGCGTTGTTCGTAGTTTTCGCCAGCCAAAGGATCGCTGATGGAGACGTCCCAGCCGAGTTCTTGCAACTGGTCGGAAAGCCCGTGCTTCAACATGTATTTGGGCCCGTCTTCGACGCCGCTTCTGCCCTGGCCACCGGAAAATGGCGCCAGCACGAGAGTGGCCTTCTTGGAAGCAAAGAAGTCGTAATGTGGTCCTGGAAGCATTGTTATGTGGGGTGATGTGTTGTGTTTTGCGTGATCTGATAATCTACTGTTGCTGATAAGTATAAAAAACTAAATCTAATATCGAAAATTAACTGGCTCGAATGCACTTGTAACTCAGGCTTTATATACTTTTCTTGCTTCTCCGTTACTTGCACTTGCGGGAATCGAGGCGATGCCGGTGAGTTGGTTTACTTATCGTGCTTTTGCTTGTAGAAACTTTCTCGAGAAAATATTCCTTAAGTGAAAAAACTAGCGAAATTGGCGTATATGCTATGCCGTCGTTTTTATCAAGGCTGAAAGAGGTCTTGACAAGAGAGCCACTGGTTACGAGGGTTCGCTTGAGATGACTAAATGGACGGGAAATATCCGCCAGTATTGATGCAAGCGCAGGAAAATATCCGGGAGAGTGGCAGGATTGCGTGTCATTGTGTACGTCTTGCGTCAGAGAACCGTGGACAATCGTCGACCTGCTTTCATTAGCTGACTTACCTCTTCACAGTGTCCTTTCTACGGTGTTTACCTACTATTTGGCATGCTCTGGTATGCTCGCACCTTATGTTATGCTGGGATAATCTTTTCACTTTGCTTAAGAAGAAATCCAATTTTGAAAGATATTTCCGTGGTGATAACCATATCGTGCCTACAAAAAGTAGGATTGCTGGAACTATGCGAGCTTGATAAACCAGCAGCATCGCGACTAAGTGCTCTCTTTCGGAAAGCATAGCAACGTACGTATGGCTCTCGCCCGCATATTTCAAAGCTTACTCGATGGTTCGGACCATCGCCGTGGTGAAAGCGTGTGTAGCTAGAAAAGCGCAGTTCTTTGAAGATAGCCCCATGTAAAATAGGAATTGGTATATGTGGTCGCAGCTCTCGAACACAGCGTTGATCGCTGCAAGACCAGTTACAAAGAACAGATGGAATAGTACGAATGTGAGCAGCAATGACCAGCCGACCTGGATGCTGGTTTGTGTACAACATTAGCCCACCACTCTTTCATCAAGTTATTAGCGCCGTGGCGCAGTGGAAGCGCGCAGGGCTCATAACCCTGATGTCCTCGGATCGAAACCGAGCGGCGCTAGAATTTCTTATTTTTTTTAGATTAGCTCTCCCAATGAAGAATGATAAAGGTCACACTCGTCACAACTCATCTCAAATCTGTCAAACTGCCAGTTGTTTCGGATCGTTTACGTGATTAAACGTGAATCTTAGCATCCGCGATGGTCCTAGATACGCCCTTGTACAGCGGATTTTACACTTCACAAAAGCTGGTGGACGAATTCAACATGTTAGATGACAACTTGCCGATCGCGCTCAAAGAGAAGGACTCCACCAACAGCGATGACGATAATGATTACGGCAAGACCAGTAGTGCGAGTCTGATTGACGCCAACGGGACACAGCATACGCAGCAGGTGGAAAACTCGCCGTTGTCGCCGGCTGTGACGGTCGATCAGCTGAATGTCGCAGTGGTTCGAAATATCGACGTTCTACAACACATTTTTGGGACGCTTTCGGGCAAAGATCGCCTGGCCAAGATCCTGAAATACGTTTTGGATCTGCTCAAGCTGTTCGTGGGTCGCAGTCGCGCCAGCATCACCAAATGGGACCCGCAGGTTTTACAGTACTACTCTAAAGTGCTCGCGCAGTTCAACTTGCGTCTAATCCTCAAACACCCCATAACCATCATCAAGATAATCACGGTGGCGGGACTACGGAACTTCGAGGCTAAGGCCTCGCTTGTGGGCACCAGTCTGAGTCTTTTTCGTCAGATCCTCAGGTTTGGGGGCACGCCGTTCAGAGTCGCCAATCTGTGCCATAAGATTGGCACAACCATGCATCAGATCTCGCGCTCCAAGCAGGTGAGTGTGGTGTCCCCGAATTCGAGTACTCACGCTCTCTCGGTGGTCAACAAGTTGTGGTTCAATGAGGCCACTCTTTCGGAATTGATCGACTTCTACTATGGGGTTATGGACGAGCTCATGCTTTTGCACAAATTCAAATTGTGGAATCATGCCGGCATGTACCAATGGGTGGCCAAGCACGAGGCACTTTCGTGGTATTACGACATCATGCTCGGGTTGAAGAAAAATTGGGTCTCTCTACAAGAGCTTAATCGCGCCCAACTTGAGCTTGAGATACAAATCCAGGTCAAGAAACGGGCTCTGGAGCTATCCTCCAAACTACACGGCAAAGCTGCGTCACCTATAAAACAGCAACTTTTAATGGACCTGCATGCTGGTAACAACGGCAATTCGCAAGTTCTGCTGCGCATCCAGGAAATTGAACGGGAACGCAAAGTTGTCATGTTGGATCTTATGAGACTATCCTTCGATTTTCTTGCTGATACCACCGATGTTTTCAACCTCAAAACTCCTCCAGGCACCTACGCCGTATTATCGCTAGCATCAGGTCTTACCGGCTTTACTAAACTCTGGGGTAATGCCAAGAAAGAACTCCAAACGTAAGCCTAATTAATATTATGTACAGTAACCACGAAATCACAGTGATTTCATTGTTTTTGTGCGTTTGAATCAAGTCGTTGTCAGTTTTACAATTAGGTCTCGAGGGGTGACTTTTGAATATACTAAGCTGGTATCGGCAGAGAAGATGAATATTACTAGCTCCCGGTCAACTTCCACCGGTTCTCAGTCAGGTTCTCGAGCATGCTTTCTGAAACAACGCTGGAACGTCAAGCAGTCCTTGCAAAAGCACTATTCAATAGGGTCTTGTTTACAAAGCCAGAAAACTCGCACAAGCGCAAACGACGCGAAGTCTAGAATATGTAAATAAAAAAACGACATGCCGTGCTATCACTAATGCTAGCAAAGCGAGAGCTTACCTTACCGTTCAATGAGAAAAGAATGTTATGATTTAGCCGCCGTTCCCAAAATGCACTCTTCACAATGAGGAATAGTGAGCAGAGAAACGGGAATAACTACCTGCGCCGCCAATAATATAAGATGCTACAAAACTCAAGCTAAAGATTTTAGTAAAGAACATCAAAGTGCATGATTCTATCGAACCACACTGGCACTTGACACAAAAGCGTGCGTATACAATGACTTCAGAGTGCATTCACAGCAGCACTGGGGACGAATCACGAATCCACTTGACGAATCCATCCGTCTACGGTGATGTTGGATTCGAATCCAACGTTTATAATGATTAAATATTTTTAAGAATCCGACACGAATCTGAAAAACTAAATGCTAACGCGTTTCGCAAAAGCATGAAACCATCCTTTCTCAAAGCTTCTCAGACCTTTCGAGCTCACGATGTTATCCAAAAACCACTTCCTTTATCTCGGGTATCATTTACAGAACTATGTACAATCTTCGAGAAAAAAGGAGGAGAGACTATAAAGAGTTAAATAATGGTCTTTGGAAGAAGCAGAACCTGCAAAGCACACCATCTCTCTCTGATGTCAGCTCTGCTGATACACTAGTTAGTGAGAGTTTGCAATCGCTGTCAAGTCACGAAGAGTTGATTGATGATAATGAAGCCTTATTGAGCGATGACGGTTGCGAACAGACTGATGAAGATGAAGGGCTAATTAGCGAGCATGAACAAGGACACGTTTCTTCTGAAGTCCCTAATGAAACGGATCCTCAACGTGGTCGGTCACATATCCAGGCTGATTCGACTACTGATCTTGCCGTCAGCGCTCGGCAAACCTACAACAGAGGCTCCAGTGAGGACTCAACCCCCGCAATAAGTCAAACATTGCAAATACCTTCTTCTACATATGCCAATGAGCCCATTATTTGTCAAAATATGTCTGGTCAGCCTTTACAAAGAGCCAAAACAGCAACTATCAACCAGACTATAACGATTCCTACCCATGACTGGATCTACCCTAGTGGGCCTAAGAGAAGCGTTCATGATTCTAGCCTTCAGCCCGAGCATTTCTATCATCATAGTGGGTCTAGTGACTCAGATGAGCAGCATACAACCAGGCTTAACGATGACTCCTTTAGAAGTGTTCTTGAGGATCAAGGTCCGAAACCAGAAAGGGCTTTCATAGAAAAATTCGGATTTGATTTTGAAGAGTTTTCCATAAATCCCTTTGCTAAACCGTCCATTAGCGGAAGCACACAGCAGATCGGTATTAGCAATCAGGACAAAAAAAGGTTTGAGACTTGGCTAACCACATCTCCATGGCGTATTTGGGTTACTAAAGTTTATAGCCAACATCCATTCGCATTGTGCAAATTTGATAAATGCGAGCACCGGTTCACTTTACATGGCAATCCTACTTCGTCTAATATCATTAGGCATCTTAAGCGACAGCATAATAACGACTATGAACTCTTCTTCACAGGCCTGAAGGGTAAACAAAAAACATTGGAAGCATTTTCAGCTGTTCGTACCATCGTTTCGAAGCCCTTCCCCTTTGCGAAGAGATTTCTCAAGTTCTTGTCCCTTAACAATTCGAAGCTTCATTTACTTAACGTCTTTATTGAAGGTTTTATACCTTTCAGCTTAGTGGAAAGCCAAGGGTTTCGACTTCTTCTCGATAACTATAACAGCGTGGGGCGTTCTTCAATTTCATCTAGGAAAGGTTTGGTTAGCCTTCTCGCACAGTATGAGACCGAATTTAGTTTACAATTGAAGCAAACTCTTCGGCAATCTTCCAACTTTAACCTTTTGATAGATATGTGGACTTCCTCAAACCAAAGGAGTTATTTGGCTGTTATGGTCTGCTTTTGTCCCAACTTGAACGGAAAATCAAAGTTAAGTAAAGATGATGTGAATACGGGCAAGAGACCTAATACTCATATTCTCGATTTCATCGATTTGAGCAGTCAGAGACACTCGGGTGATAACATAAAAACGGCTTTGTTAAGCTGCCTCACAAAGTATTCCATCAGTCATAAAGTGAGCAGCATTACGTTGGACAATGGTTCAAATAACATCTCAATGCTTGAAGACTTGGATAAAGAAATTCAAAATGGTTTTGGATCAAATGGTGTTGGGAGTATTGTCAAGGTAAGATGCATGAATCATGTGTTGAATCGAGTTTTTCTCGACTTACTGAAGGGCTTTGAAATGCACCACAAACAATTACTGTCAAGAATTGACAAACTAACTCACTTTACAAAGAGTAACGTTTATATTAGGAGTAAGATCCAGACTTACATTCCGTGCACTATTCCAAAGCACAATAATACAAGGTTCATCTCGCGTTATCGTCAGCTAGATGCTTTTTTGAAGGTTTCAAAAGGTGCCAAAGAGTTTTTTTTCGAGAATCGCTTCGATCCTGAATATCAGCTTACACAGGAAGACTGCTCTATATTTTGTTATGATCAAGCAGAAATAGAATCCATTCTGTTTTTGCTGCGGCTCACTCGAATCTTTTATGAGTTCACGATGTTGTTACAAGATGATTCCATGAACTCTTTATATCATGGAATTGAGTATTACATGCAACTCAACCAGTATTTTGATTCTTGTGAAAGCATTAAAAATGGTTCAATGGATAGCGATCATTTACAATCCGCGGGACTGAAGCCAACTCATTTTAGTGCACCCAAAGAAACACAGGATGAGATCCTAGGTGCAATTATAGCGGCGCGTCCCAAATTTGAAAAATACCTGAAGGTCGCCTATGAAGAACCTGGCTATTGGGCAGCACATATCTTGCAACCGCACTGCAAATCGCATTTGTTAACTAATGTTTTTGATCAGCCGTTCTCAAACCATGTTTTAGAATTGGTTAATGGGTATGTCACCCTGTATATCAAAAAGTTCAACGAAAATTCCGATTATCATTCAAATGATGAGCATCTGATTCCAGCAAGACTCAGACCCGTCGAAGGCAAGAAGTTCAAAATTATGAGAAACCTGTCTAAATTTTGTGAACAGAACCTGGCAACCTGTAGCCGTGCAACAAAGAATGAATGGCAGATTTATTTGAACGAGCCATTAGAAACTGAAAATAGCTATTTGGATTACTGGCTCGCGAACCAAAACCGATTTCCAGCTCTCTGCTCTCTAGCGCTTTCTTTTTTCCACACAAAGATCTCGACTGCTGACGTTGAAAGGTGCTTTTCTATAAGTAAGAGGGTTCTGGAGAGTAGGTTTTCACTTGCGAGCGAGAATTTAAGACGGACCATGATTTTAAGAAACCGGATGAAATGCTTCAATATCTACTCAGAGATGTTAGTGGCTAAAGATATTGCATGGGATGCTTGGACTGAGGATGAAGAAGCATTCGAATCTACCAGTGATTTAGCCTCAAGTTCCAAAAGACCTTCAAAAAATAATTCAAAGCCAATTTTGATGGTCTCATCTAGTGACGAAAGCGATAATAACGAGCTAGAAAAAACGAGCGATCTATATAAGAGTGATTAACAGAATGTAAGCAGATTGATGGTGTTAAATGGCCTATATAAGTACGTGAAATCTACAGAACGACTAAATCATATACGCTGACCACGATAAGGATTTCTATACCCGTACACAGTGCCCAGATTCGTAAGTCTTCGCGAATCCGGACCGTAGTAAGCTACTGGATTCGCGAATCACTGGATTCGTGGCCCAAAAATGCGGATTCGCCGGATTCGTCCCCAGTGCTGATTCACAGAAACTAATCAAGAGGACCCTGTTACTAAACCAGCCTCAAATTGAAGTCTGCATGTTCCATAACTTAATCTCTTCGCACAATGACCAAGGCTAAGGTCATCATTCCTTACAAGAACCGTATCGAACTGGCTGAAGAACTGCCCGATTGGAGTCGTTTGAACAGCCAAATTGAGTTTGTTAAATACAAAATTACCACACAAGAGGCGTTTCGAAAAGACCTCAAAGAGTCCAATGCCGATTGTTTATGGATCACTGACGACTTCTTTGCATTCTTAAATGGACCCTCGGCTTACTACGACGATTTCCCTACGAGTCTTAAACTAATTGTCGTTCCATGGGTAGGAACAGATTTCTTGGACATTTCGAGACTCAAACGGGAAAAAAACGTAATAGTGTGTAATATTGGACCCAACGCCGCTAGCAATGTTGCCGAGCTTGCTCTTTACCTCACCTTGAGTTGCTTCAGAATGACCTCTTTCTTCGAGCACTGTTTCCGGTTTGTCCATACTGGGCAATGCTTCACATGCGCAGAGTATATTGGCGGTAGCAAACATGTGTGCCAGAAGACTTCAGGTCTCAATAATAGCATGCCTTACCCATTCCCGGAAAAGCTAACTCACGAACAATCTCAAAATGTAGAGCTGTCCAAGAATTTCACAATTGCTGGTAAAAGTGTGAATTCTCCATCAGGCAAAACCGCACTGATTCTGGGGTTTGGATATATCGGGCAAGCCATTGGGAAAAAACTGCATTATGGGCTCGATATGAAAATAGCCTACCACAGAAGATCAGGGCCCGTTTCCAAAGAGGTGTTGGGGTACGACGCAGAGTATTGCAAGTCACTCGAAGACCAGAGTACTTGGACTAAGGCGGATGTAATTGTTTTAGCTTTGCCAGGACATTCGTCTACCAACGATATCATCAATCGTAAGACCCTGGGCTTTTGCAAGGACAAAGTACGGATAGTTAACGTAGGACGCGGCTCTTGTATTGATGAGGACGCATTATTTGAGGCTTTAGAGTCAGGAAAAGTATGCAGTGCAGGTCTAGACGTTTACAAAAACGAAGACACTAAAGTCGACGCGAGGTTTTTCGAACGATGGGATGTAACGCTCTTGCCCCACATTGGAAGCGCAATCGCTGAAATGATCAGTCGTCAAACCTTGATAACACTGCAAAACATCGAGGATGTATTACTGAAAGACGGAAGGGGCGTATATCCAGTGAATTGAAGGAGCACTACTGATTTATTTTTGTAATGGGACACAAAAGTCAGTAAGATATCATATCGTGGCACTTCTAGTGTTGTCATGTGCCGTCGAGACTCAAAACTATGGAAGATACTCGCTGTTGCACACAAAATGGAACGCACTTATGTATCAGTTTATGAATTAGCACCGATCACTTAATATTTGCATTGAAGACGTGCGATTAATTCGTTTTGGCTTATCTGTCGTGGAATGTAAGGAACTCTTACTATCTCGTGTTTTCAATTTGGCTAAGCTTGCGTATCAACATTTCATGGACGCTCTGAAGCTCTAAAGCCCTGAACCTCAGAGCAGACTTTAATAAGCACACCATATTGATGGGGCTACTAGAGAAGTCCATCATATAAAGGCACCGGAAGTGTGAGAAATATACTCGAAAAGACAATAGGTTTCAGTCCAAAAACAATTAGAATAAAAAAATGCGCTTTGATGGAAAGGGCGCTTTATTAAACGCCTTTACTGTCACTTTGATATGATTTGATAATTGAGATTCAAGCCTATATCGGCCCGGCAGGTCGCAGCAGGTAACGGCGCATCTATGGAAGAGAAAAAAAAACTCCAGTGGAGAGAACGGAAATGCAGCTTAAGATTTGAATCTCTTCAACTCAATCATATGTGCTATTCATGAGAATGTCACAAGCGTATTAGGTTAAATAAGGTTTGCACTTTTCTTACGTAAATCATTTTTTCTATTATTTTACATGGTTTTTCAGCTTTGCGCCCTGTATGATTTGCCCTCTCGTCCTTGTTCCTGCTGCTCACCATTCAGTTTCACCTTGAGCCTTCTGGAATGCGTAGTCCTTATGATTTATGGTCGCCAGTCCGTCTTTCAAGTTACATTTCCACTTGTTCTTTACCCGAAGCACTTTCTCGTACAAGCACAGCACAATGTTTTCGTCCTGGCCCTCATCATCGCCAGATGAATTCAAATAGTCGTCCTCAGAGTCGTCCAAGTCAGAGTTAATTTCGTCGGTTTCCAGGAGCGCACTTTTGCGAGCTTGTTTGGCCTGTAATTTCAGTTGCTCTGCAATCTGCCCGTCCGAATCACCCATAGTTAATTCGATTTCATCCTTCGGCTGCTGATCGTGCTTAGTCTGTGTCATGAGCGACTGTTGCTGCGGCGTTAGTCCCGATTTGTTGTCATCGCCAGGCGACAAAGCTGGCATTGCCAGACCCTGTGATTCCATCAAACTAGGTGCTATATGTGCATTGTGTAACTGAGAGTTTAGTGCATCATCGTCTTCGGGATCCCACATGAATTTTGCCACACGACTGTCCGAAAGCTTTGTCTGCCATACCAGTCTTAAGTCCTGCAACGTTTGCTCGTCGATGCCAGCGCTTTCGAAATCTTCTCGCACTTCATTGATCACACTCTCCACAATGGTTTCGTATGCTCTAGCGCCTTCCAGATTCGACATCTTCTTGACTTTTGCTCGAATTTCAAAGTTCCCTTCCCTGGGTATATAAATCGTAACGACTTAAGATGGCCTATTTTTTTTCACTTTTAATTATCACTTATGAAAGAAATATCGAAACAGAGCTTAACGTAGACTAAAGTAGCCTAAAGTAGTCCTCAATACCTCTGGAGCAAGCTCTGAAGACGCGTATTTGTCTCCGTTGCGTCTACGATTGGAATACCATTATATATACGCTTATCTTAGCGTAAAACTGTATTTGAGAGACCAAGAAAGGCTAGAAAAGAAAGAGTCTGGCGTATTCAAACGTTAGGCCTGTTTCTTCAAACTCAATAGATCTCGAATGGCGAAAGCTGCAGAGAGGTTCGCGTAAAATTATATGATAAGCAAGAGAGCCAGGAGTTTTGAAGTTCGCGGGCATAGTATCGAAGTCAACCTCTTATATGAGGTAACATTCCTGTTTGATAAAATATATAATGATACTCTTCTTAGATGAAGTCGAGAGCTTTATGTGTGTCTCGCGATCTGTTGATACTTATTCGTAGCCTCCGCAGCCTTACGAAAGATCAAAGTACGTTCTAGATATTGATCGTGCGTTATGCTTGAAAGGTCGATATCACTGACCTGACGTCTCCCACGCACAAAACAACCTGTTCTATAGCCGCTCCTAATCAATGGATAACCCTGAAGGTGGCAGCTTCAGTACGCCACTTAAAAGACGAGAGCCTGAAACTCGTAAGCTAGGTTCCGTATCTTACTCGAACAGAACGCATCCCATTTCGCGCCCAGATGAAGACAACGTAAACAAAGAGAATGAAGAACAATTCGAGACCTCTGGAAGCCGGCGGATTACAGACAACTCGCCATGGAAGCGAGCACGACTAGCTCGCTACGCTAGCCTGCCGAAACAGGACCTGTCTCGCAACAGCATGGACTCTTCGCCTGCTGTGATAGAAATGCTGGATCGAACTGTTAACGGCCAAGACCAGCAACTCCATGATGAAGGAATGGACGATGTCCAGGAAGAAATCTCGGAAGCTATCAGCAGTGCAGTGAGAGATATTTCCCACAGCGAACTCCCCAATCACGAAAATGAGCATCAAACTTCGTTGTTCCGCAACTTGTTATCACCTGCAAGCGGAGGCTCACCAGAGAAACGCCAACTCACACCTGAGGGAACTCGCGATCCAGATATGTCCAATTTGGATAGCTTAACGCCGCTCAAAGGCTACGTCCAAGGCTCGGAAAATGGTATAATTCAAACGCTACAAAGTCGCTTCCGTCAAGAGCTTAGCACGTACGAGCAGCTATTACGCACAAAAAATCAGCAAACAGATGAATATCGCAAAAAAACCGTGTCCTGCTTTGAAAAGATCAAGACACTGGGCGACAAGTTGGACGATCAGAAACTAGCATTTTCCTCTCTTTGGGGAGAACACGAAGTATTAAAAGCGTCACACGCCGCCCGGGAATCCAATTGGGATGTTCAGGCTCAAGAGCTAAATAAGGTATCGGCGGATAAAATAAATCTCGAGGAGAGAGTCATAAAATTAAAGTCGAAACTGTCAGAAGTACGCAATGAGATGAAGATGCTTAATCAAAACTCCCAAATACTGCAGGGGAAATTCCAGGTTCAGATTCAAGACAACGAAACCTTCAAAAAACAAATTTTAGCACATGAAGAATTCGATAGCAAGCTCCAGTCGAGGATGGAAAATATCAAAACCGAAAGGGATCATCTGAAAGTTGAAAAAGATCAACTGGAAATTGAAGTAACGACTTTGAAAAATACTAAGTCTGAGCATGAGCTTGAAAGCCGAATGCTTCGCCAAAGATTGTCCAATCTCGAAAACCAGCTCCACGACAAGGAAAACACATGCAAGGAACTACAATATACCGTGGACTGCTTTGAGGATACCAAAAGACAATCTACGACGGAACTTGAGAACCGTGTCAGTGAACTGTTGAAGGATAACAAGCGTCTACTTGGAGAAGTAGATGCTGCAAATATTTTACAGATCGAGCTCAACGAAAGCATGTTAAAGCTCAATACTTCAGAAAGCGACTTGAAGGTGGCTGATAATAAACTAAAAGAACTCCAGGAAAAATATACGGAATTAGAGACACACGCGGTTCACCTCGATGATCAGTTGAAAGATGATCAGGCTAAGCTAGAAAATATCACTGATCTAATGGCTATAAAGTCAGCCGAGCTCGAAGAAGCAAGTCACGACGTCGAAGAACTGCGACAAACGAACTCGCACTTAGAAGAGTTTGTGAAAATCCGCGATGCCGCGGTGGAGGAATGGAAGTCTAAGTATGACGGAAAGTGTGCGGAAAACAACAAACTTTCTGTTGAAATTGAAAGCTTTCAGTTCAAGAATGGAAATTTGGAGTCGGAACACTTGGTGGAACTGGAACAGCTGCACCAGCAAATGACATCATTGCAACAGACTCTGCGATCAAATTCTGAAAAAATCGATTCATTAGAGAAGGAGAAAAAGGCGCTCAGATCCCTACTCGACACCGCAGAAAAATCTGCAAAGCTGGATAATACTACTGAGCCTTTAGTCAGTAAAGACAACATAATTGCAGATTTAGAGCAGCAACTACGCGAGAAAGACTCCGACGCCAGCAAAAGGTTACAGCTACTTGCAGAAGATCTTTACATACAGTATTCTTCGAAGCACGAGCAAAAGGTCAAGATGCTCAAGAAGGGTTACGAGGCCAAATATCAAGACAGATTCGAAAAACTGAACTTGGAGAATACGGAACTTCACGACGAGCTTAACCAGCTCAATAGCACTCTGCGCGCGGAAAGAGAGGAGAAGCAGCGTCTCGTTAAATTGCTGAACAAGTAGCCAAAACGCCAAGTAAATAGCTTTTTAAGTTCACGTGTTTTGATTTTCGCGTCATTCTACATATTATAAGGTCATTGTTAATTCAACCAGCAAGAAGTGATAGTGCTCGTCTGATCAAAAGTAGTGGGAAAAAGGCCCGAGAAGCGCATCTGGTGTTCTTGCTATATTTCTGAGCCTTGTTCAATAAGCAGTGCTTCTTGAAACGGCTTACAAGCAATATAATTTGGAATCAGTTAGCTCTAACGAGCCAAGAGCCACCGTCCACGGATACTACCTTAGTGTCAAGGAAACAGAAAACAGAGTTGGAGCAATTAAGTCATGGTAAGTCACTCTTCAAGCATGAACTTGAGGGATGATGCCAATGAGTTATCTGCAACAATGCAGCTTCTGTCCAGCTACAACGACCACACGTCCGAAAGAGATAAGAGCTTGGAACATATTGAAAAGAGAAGTGAGCTGCCGGGCCAGCCGAGTTACGACGAGCTCTTCAAAGATAATCTTAAGTTGAGGCTACAACTCCAGGAATATGAGACAGAAATTGCAAGTCTGAAAAAATTCGTCGAGGCCTTACAGTCGAAGCGAGAAGCACCAACCGACTCCTTTCAACAACAACTTGTCGTTGCAGAGAAACCACAAGAACCAGCGCTTCCGCCTAGGTCAGCAGAAAGAAGGCGCAACGCGAAAAACTTGTCACTTCCAGCAGTTAGTGATCTGGAGACCTCTGAACCCAAATATCGCAATTTGCTGACCCCAGCGGATGCTGGCTTCAAAAAGAAAACTTCTAGCAGCAATAGTATTTCCGCAATTCAGCAATCTATTGATCAGGACCAGTTATCACCCAAGGAACTCGATCGAATTCGAAGATCAAGCTCATCTTACTCGAATGCTATTGCCGCAAGCCCTGCTACCTCAGTCGCTTACACAACATCAAGAATATCGCCCTCCAAAAGTAACAAGCACTTTGCTAGAGATGACGAATGTGCAGCATCAAATGCAGAAAAGAGCGAGTCTCTCGTTCAAGGTATCAAAGGAAGCGTTGCAGCTATTAGTTCTATCAACGATGGTTTTATGTCTCCGTTGAGGCAAGTCTCAGGCAGCAGTAGCCACCAAAATCTTACCGAAACGTCTTCAAGAAAATCATATCCCAAAAGCCCTGTTCCTAATTTGTTGGCACGGGAGGAGACAAGCACCGATTTCTCCCCGTCCTCGAAGCAAAACCTAAACAAGTTCGCTGATATGCTTGATACAAGTTTCGAGAGCGAGGAACCTGGATCTCCCAAAATTAGACCCTCAAGTCAACCATCAGAAGTACTAGGCTCACCCAAAGATAGATCGTCAAGTCAACCACCACAAGTACTAGGTTCACCAGTCGCACTGAAGAAGCCTGGAAAGTCGCCAATTATGAATATAGTTCCTCAGAAAATAATGAGAACTGTAAACTCTCCCACGGAAGAGCGTCCTTTCATGGGCACGAGCTCTTCCACTCTATCACAAAATGCATCACTGCAGGACCAACAGTCGCCACGATCTTTCACAAGTAGAGGATTTCCACCGATGTCAAATATAAGCACATCATCCACACCACAAACAGGGCATGAAAAGACAGCAGACTCTCAGAGTGTTATCTCAGACATCCCGCTATTTTTACAACCTGGAGAATTGAATACTATCAGAATTGAAATCATTAGTACACTTCACAGGGATCAAGATAGTTTTGCCAATGAAAACTTCATTTTATTTAGTGTCATCGACAGGAACTCGGCCAAAGAGATCTTCAGGTTTGCCAAAAGCATCGATCGTATCTATGAACTGGATGTCTATTTAAAATGCCACATGGACACGATCATGCTGCCACCTCTCCCGGAGAAGCACTTATTTGACTCGATTTATCCAGCTAAAGTGGATTATAGAAGAGAGAAGCTTAATGACTACTTCAATTGTCTGTACAGCTCTCAAAATCTTCTCCCTTTGGTTGCGTTGAAAATGGCCAAATTTATAAGCACAGACACAGTAATGAACCCAATAACCGGGGAATTTGCGAAGGAAGGTGTTCTTCTAATGCGTAAAAGCAAGGCGCTAGGGACCCCCAACAGCTGGCGTCTCGCCTATGCTATTCTAAACGGCGGCCTACTCTCGCTACTTGACAGAGGGCAGCTAACTGAGAGTATAAAATTACAACACGCAATAATTGAGCTTCAAGCTAATTTACCGGACGATAAACATGGCACGAAAAATGGTTTTATTGTCATAGTACCGAAAAAAAGTGGGCTCTCGAGTGGTACGAAATATTACTTTTGTTGTGAAAGTCCGAAGGAAAGAGAGTCATGGGTTTCTCACTTGACAGAAATCGTTGAGGGATCGATTATCTCGAATCCTTCATATCATAGCAAATCTGAGAGCTCAAGTATGTTAGAGCATTCATCCACAGGAAATGATACGACTGTGGAAACGGCGCCAAGTTACATCGGCCCGATGGTAAACCTTCAGGCTCCTGCAGCGGTGGTACCCACTCAAAATACAGACTCTACTATTATAGATGATGAAAGAGATATTAAGAGGAGTCGAATGAGAAGCTTTTTTCCTTTTAAAAGAGTCAATGCCTCTCAGATGCCGGCAGATGTCGATCTTCCTAACAATGCCGAGAACTACCAAACAACCTCGAGCAGTGCGACAAACGATTTTTCTATTGCTAAGTCATTGCAGTCGATGGATTTAGCGGCAGAGGCAGTATCTGACAAAGTCTTCGGCTCAGACTTAAAGCAATGCTTGTCATTGAGCACTCAACTATATCAGGGAAAGTTTGCCATACCTAGTGTGGTGTATCGGTGCATGGAATACCTGTATTGCAATCGTGGAATAGAAGAAGAAGGCATATTTCGCATAAGCGGCTCGAGTGTTTTGATTAAATCATTACAAGAGCAATTTGATAAGGAATACGACGTCGACCTTTGTAATTACAACAAGACAGTTGTTTCTAACGATAATCAAAGCAATTTCAGCACGGGCCTTGTGGACGTTAACACTGTTACTGGCTTACTGAAACTGTACTTAAGAAAGATGCCCCATTCGATATTTGGGGACCGCATGTTTGCAGCTTTCAAAGATGTACTAGACTCCAATTCTGGGAGTGCTAGTCAAACAGCATTGGAATTCCGTCGGCTCGTTAATTCAGATCAACTACCAAGCGAGAATCTATCATTGATGTACGTTTTGTTTGAGCTTTTGCTTAAGATAAACCAAAAGAACTCAATCAACAAGATGAATTTGCGAAATTTGTGCATTGTTTTTTCGCCAACCCTTAACGTACCGGTAAATGTGATTCAGCCATTTATAGTTGATTTCAATTGCATCTTCAGAAATGAGGATCCATTGAGCGACTCCTTGAGGGAACAGTTGGAAATTAGTATACCTCAAATGTAATAATAATAATTGATAAATAGATTATTTCCCCTAACGCGTTATGAAACCTCCGATCTTAAATAGTAGAGTAAAAACTTGAAAATGAATGAGTTGTTTTTTATTTATTGAGTACGTCTTTTCCTCAAAACATTTTCGATAAAAGCCTCGCCAGCTTTGTAGGACGACCTAACCAATGGTCCCGATGCACAGTATAAAAATCCTAGTTCAAGTGCTTTTGTTTTCCAATATTCAAATTTTTCTGGATTGACGTATTCCACCACTTTCATGTGTCTCTTGGTAGGTCTCATGTATTGCCCAAATGTCACAATGTCACAGTCGATGGCACGTAAGTCTCGTAAAGTTTGTAGAATTTGCTCATCGGTTTCACCCAGTCCAAGCATTAGCGATGTCTTTGTAAGTAAGGTGGGAACCGATTTTTTGGCATGGTTTAGTACGCTCAGCGATTGTGCATATGTGGCCCTTCTGTCTCTGACATGGGGAGTAAGGTCTCTCACAGTTTCTAGATTGTGTGCGTAAACGTCAAGTCCGCTCTGAGCCATGACTTTGACCATGTCCAGATCACCTCTGAAATCTCCAGACAAAGTTTCGACCAGAATTTTGGGAGCCTTTTGTTTGATTTTCCGTACCGTCTCAGCTAAATGGTGGGAACCGCCATCAGGCAAGTCATCTCTATCAACTGTTGTCAGCACAACGTAACCAAGACCCCAACGAGATATGGCCTCGGCAGTGTTCTCTGGTTCCATGGGATCCGGCTTTGCTGGCGTCCTGTTGGTTTTTACTGAACAGAACCGACAACCACGAGTGCAGGTATCACCGAGAAGCATGATGGTGGCGGTAGCTTTGGCTTTGTCATCTCCACCCCAGCACTCGCTGATATTGGGACATTTGGCTTCCTCGCACACAGTGGTAAGCCCCAATTCGCGCACGTCCTTTTTCAGCTGGTGAAAGCTCGTTCCCTTTGGAATGGGAACCTTAAGCCATTTAGGAAGTCTTTTGGCTTCTTCCACATTGCTCCTAGCCTGCTGCAGAGGATCTAGTACTACCTGCGCGGCTTTCCCGTTCACGAAATCTTCAAAAGAGGGCCCTTTGTTCAAAGCGTCTGAAAATGTAGTATTTCTGCGTCTTTTAGGCTGCGAAGGAGTAGTAGTTGCAGCTTTGGTACCGGAGATGGCCCTTTTTTGCAGGTACAGACAACTTCTTCTCGAGAGCATTATATGGATTGTTTACCTAGTGAGAGCGTTGTTATTTTGCCGATCTTGTCTATCTAGGCCAATTCCAGTATTGGCAGTGCGAGTAGCTCTTTAATCCACCAGTTCTAGCAACTTCTTGGAGCGGGACTGGTGAAATGAAGATCGATGGATCGGTAGAGAGCTTGAAAGATAGAATTACACAGCGATGATTTAGCCGTTGAAATTGTGGGAAAAAACATTCCGTGATAAGCGATACCCAAATTTTTGGTGCTCCACAGCAATCACTTTTGACGACAAGCATTCACATGACTCATGACAACCGAGTGTGTATTTATGTATCGATCTATATTATGGTCCAAGCGGCTGATTGTCCCGGACGCGACTCGCCGCTAGCTCGAGAATGCGTTTAGGCGCGTGGTTCTTGAGTTATCAAAAAAAATTCATTGGAATCTAAACATTTATAGACCGTTAAAAGATATCATTATATTAGTGTGTGTCATTAGCATTGGTTTCCCAAAAAATCATTAGACTTATTCGTCTCTCAAACCAATGAACTCGCCGTTCTCGACAACTGCAATTTGGTGCAAGTAGCGATCGTTCAAGGATACTTCTCCGTTCTGGATTCCGTTGAAGCTGCACTGGCCACCGAATTTATTCAAAGGTAGAATCTCGATGACCTTGTGTTGCCATGGAGAAACGATGATGGCTTTGTTACCTGCTTGGATGGCGTGAGATGTGTTGCTAGCGGCTTTACCCATTGTATGATATTTTTGATAGTTTGGAAGTGAAAGTGTTAACTGGTAATCAGTGTTTGGTTTGATGTAGAAACAAACGTAATTTCCATCTATCAATTCTCATTTACACCTGGTCTTATAACAAAATTTGTGATGCTACACACTTGATTTTTGATTGTATTTTGCGTACGTTGACATGCGTAATGCTTGCTATTGGCTCTGCTATTGGCTCTGCTATTCTCTAAGGTTTTGCACTAGGAAGAGTTGTTCTTCAATCACATGAATTAAGACCAAGAAGAAGAAAGAGCCCAGTGCAAATATAGGGTTCGGCTAGATAATGACCAAGGACGATGAACGTCAGTGAAAGCCAAATATTGTCGCGGTACTCTCTACTAGTCTTTGCAGCCTCCGAGTAGCATTTACGTAGTCTTGGAAGATAAGCTCACCGGCCGCAAGCTAGCGTAGCAAAAGAAGAGGGCTCGGAACGCTGGTGTGAGGGTAAGGCAAGAAGAGAGAGCTAGGAATACTGAGTTCAAAGCGAGTAAAGCTGAGTTGGGCTGAGAGCGAAAACAGAGAGTGATAACGAGAGCGAGAGGCCAAGTGCCTAACCGTTGTTTATGAGATAGATCTGCGCTTCGCGCAGCTTCCATGCCTCCCACCTACAAGGTTACGGTTACGGTATGTTTTGAAAAATCCGTCATTAAAGTATATATTCCAGTATAAAACGTAGTCTAGAGATCCAAGCATCTAGCACTTGCTGCACTTGCATTCCTCTTTGGACCCGCACTTGCATGTGGTTCCACAGGCGCAGTCCTTGGTTTTGGAGCATGAGCCAGTGGAACAACAAGAGCCGCATTGGCCCTTCTTGTCAGCGCAGCTGCATTGAGTCTTGCTGCATTCGCACTTGGCCTCACAAACAAAGTTCTTTAGTTCTCCCAACATGATGTGTCTTAGATGAAATTAATGGTATCTAATGATTTCTCTTTTGTTGATTTGCTATTGTGCCATCTCAGCTGTAAACTGTTCTTTTATACATTTTTTTTCGCCCGCTGTAATTCCAATTTTTGTATACTGCGATCTTTTTGCTGACGCTGCGACCTTTTTGCTGAGTCTGTATAATGGGAAAGCGGTACTTTCGCTGGCCACCAGGGACGCCAGAGATGGTGGCTTCTAGAGTAATAGAGAATATGTCACTACAAACAAGCCCTTACTTACACTTGACATTTGCATGTATTATTCTTTACTTTACTTAGGAATATCGGAATTAAAGAGAATGAGGGAAAAATAAAGAATGCCAGCCAAAACACCGCATGCTTGCTGCAAATGCTACCACTTCGTCTGCCCACTTCGCGTGGTGTGGTGGCCCTTGGCTGTAGAAATATGCGAGATCATGGATATGTCGCTGTCGTCAAAGTTCATCAAACGAGAGGTCCGGCTGTTTCGTAGATGGCGAGTTGTTGAACCGGACGGGATCTTGTAGTTCTGGGTTCCAGACGCAGACAGCGGCCGGCGGTTCTCGGTGGGAGCAGAAGATTCGTTGCGGGTCGTGGCCCGTGTATGCGGTCTCGTATCTGGAGCACCGCCCGTGCCTCGAGATTTGGTAGACGTAGAAGACGAAGACGACGAAGAAGAAGAAGAGGAGGTGCCTGATAAAGAGGTGGCTGCAGGCAGAACTGGTTCAATATCCAGAGTCTCTAAATGTCTAGAAATATCATCGATTGTAATATCTTCGACCGTACGGTTGAATGTCTTATTGAGCTCCTCATCATACTCGTAGTCGTCGTCGTCGTCGTCTTCATCGTCTTCATCATCTCCACTGCCCAGATTTTGCTGCACGAACGGCACAGGCTCGGACTCCGAGTTCTCTTGTTTGGTAATGTAGCGTTTGTCGTTCGGCGTCGGAGTTTCGCTGCGAGGCAGTGATGTAGGTGTTTTCACCACGGCGATGGGTTCCGGGATCGCGGGCACAGCTCCCTTCGCGGATCTAGTCACTCGCTTTCCCGAGCTAACCTTAGTTTCTTCCTCTTCCGGCTGGAACAGAACTCGCTCAAACTCGGGGATCATGGAGCGCCCCAGTTTGATAACTTCCTCGGCCCAGATTCTTATCACATCCCGGGCTCGCTTTGTTTTGTAAGGTTTCCAATTTGGTTTACACCCTCGGGTAATTTCTTTCACAACTTGGGCAGATCCCCATTCATTGATCCAATTTTGGTTTTGTAGCCCTATTAAATGCGCAAAAACTCCGGATGCAACGGCCCCATCGGAATAACCTCCTTCCATCACAGACAAAACTTTACCATGAGAGTGCATTTGAGCCAGCTTCAAGGCATCTTTGGTGAACATATTGTAAAAGAAAGTTGGAACATTTACTCCGTGTCTTTGCATCGATGCCTGTTCATACTCGGATGCATCAAAACCAGCGCTGATTACCACTAGACCTTTGAAAGGCTTTCCGAGTGCTTTCATGGTGTGCTTCGCGGTCCTGAAAAACTCATCGGCTTTCGCAAAAATCGTTCTATATTTGGTTTGGTATAGCTTCGTGAAAGCTTCTTCGCTATCGTAGCTCTGTAAATGAACATTCCAGATGTTCACGTCGTGCGCATCCATAATACAAGTAGCAGCATTCCGAATATTATCTTTAGTAGCGTATCCAAGCTCTGATGGGAAGGAATTGATATCGTGCAGCGAAAAATATCCCACTTTGGGGTATTCTGCAAACTTTTTGCCAAATTCATTGTAGCTCGGGTCTGGATCGACACATTCATCAGGTTTAAAGCCTGCTCTTTTCCAACAAATGTCCTGAGTGCCATCGCCATGGTGTAGATCGAAATCTAAAACCACCGCATGCGTCACACCGTAGGTGTCCGCGGCGTATTCGATGGCGATGTGTGCGTTATTCAATAAACAAAACCCTGACGGGGTTGATGCGTGCGAATGGTGGCCTGGAGGCCTCAAAGCCACAAAGGCACGATTGCTCGTCTCTTCGACAGAAGGCCCGTGAAAAATGGAGTCAACACCAATTTCCAATGCACCAATAGAACCCTGAACAGCGTCAATGGTTTGCTGGGACAAGTAAATGTCACCCACATTCCAGGACTCCGGAACTTCGACCTGGCATCTATCTAAGGCCTTCGTGGAATTCTGGCATAGCTTCAACAATTCCTGGGGCCAGTCTTTACCATGAACTTTCAGCACATGGTCCGCAAGTAGTGAGGTTTGCCGGGTATGTGAGGATTTGAGCGTGAAAAGTGCCGGATACATAGTTATGGCAGCTCCAATTCCCATGGAGCAGGCCAGTAGCCGCTCTGGACGCTCTACAATGGTTTTCCGGTACGATTTTGAGACCCAGTGCCGCGAAAACTGGTGCTCTAAAGACAGCGGCGACAAGACCACCACTGCTTTGGCCGATTCTGGGATCTGCGAAGCACTGTGAGCTGCTGATGCCACATTTGGGTTATTTTTCACAAACGCCTGAAACTGCTGCTCAAATTTATGCAGAGGGTCTTCAGCTTTCGACATCACGAAGTTCCAGCAATAACGATAACAATACCACAGGTAGTCAGTCCACAACCAAGCCGCAAGAAAATCAGACGAGGGAAAGATACCAAAATCAAAAAAAAGCCCTCTAGCTTAATAGCTAAGAACTCACACCAGACCACAAAGGATTTTCACAGCGGTTCAAAAGGCTTAAAGATACGCAAAATATTGATATTTCTATTCAAGGTCTGGTCAATTTTTCATCTTTAAAGATCCAAAATGAAAACAAACCATATTCGGAGCCTTTCGTCAAGAGAGACAGCAAATAATATTTGACATATCTGGAGGCGTGTAGCCCGTGAAAGCGAGTTCAATGGGTTCTGGTAGCCTGGCAATGGGAATTCCAAAGCGTGGAAGAGTTTTTGAATGTGGTAAGCGCTTTTTCATCCTAAGAAACGGCCCGATGTTGTGGAAGTTACCTGCCTCTTCCGGAGTTGTCTTCTGCATTGGAGTCAAGACCGGAGTTTGTGAAGGTGCGATCAGGGACGCGGGAAAGGTTCTAGCCGTTTCAGGATAGAATTTTCACCCGCGGAAGAACAAGAATAGCCCAGGGTTCTCGTCCAGAAGCCGAGGGAAGTGCATCGCGATATGTCTTCTTGCGCAGAGGCCCAATCAGCGGTGGCGCACCGACTTTAACAAGCTGTCTGTGACAGGCCGTTTGTGATGGTTCGAGACCTTCAACTTTGAAAGTTTGGAATCAACCACTGCTTAACGCTCCATATCTACTCGAAACTGTCAGGTCCAAGACGCAGACTAGTACATATGGCAGACCACCGTCAACTACGAAAAAAAAAGGCGCTGGGAAACAAGATACAAGACTTCAGCCTGCCAGCTTTGCACTGTCTTTAGTACTCTTCTACAGCGCTTGAACCTCTTTGTCACTCAGCTCGAATCTGATCCTGATTTCACGCACTGAAGCCTAAATTCAAACAGTCGATCCGAATACGCGCAGCTAGTTCATCTCACAAGTACGCAGAGTTTCATTTATATACCGTTCCATTCTGGTTCTTTTCTCTTCGTGTGCATGCTATGCATGGAATTTCCAAAATTTCAATTACCGTTCATTACAGATATTCCCACCACGCACGGTAAATAGAGAAGATTTGACAGACTAAAACGAGGTTTTCGAGGCATCTCAGATCGGATTTAGTGATATTACGCGACTGGAGTTGACCAGAGGTTTCTCATCCAACAATATCATCATGTTTCCCGGTGCCGGACGTCAATCCTACGCCAATCAAGAACAACAAAACCAGGCTCACTTGCCAAGACCCAATGGACCACCCCCAGGGTTCGGACAGCAGCAGTACGGCAGGCCTGGCGCACCACCTCCAAATATGCAAAACAACAACTCGTACGTTCAGCAAGGCTACGAAAGGCCTTACCAGGCACCTCCCAACAACAACGGCGGGCAGAACCGCAACGACATTCAAGCCAACCACGCTCAACCTGGCTTCGTGAATGGTCCCAACTCGTACCAACAGCCTCAAAACCTCTCAGCCCCTCCGCAGCAGGCCCAATTAGCCGGCAGCGGTAGTAACAACGAGTTTTCGTACCAGTACTCGCAATGTACCGGGAGACGCAAAGGTCTACTCATCGGCATAAACTACTTCGGCACTCAAAGCGAACTTCGTGGCTGTATCAACGATGTTCGTAACATTCACGACTTTTTGACAACTCGCTACGGGTACAACCCTGACGATATCGTGGTGCTTACCGACGATCAACAGGAAACTTCGAGAGTTCCTCTGAGACAGAATATTCTTCGTGCCATGCAATGGCTTGTGAGCGGAGCGCAACCCAACGATGCGCTTTTTTTCCACTACTCAGGTCATGGTGGACAAACTAAAGATCTTGATGGCGACGAAGAAGATGGAATGGATGACGTTATCTACCCAGTTGACTTCCAATCACAAGGCCATATTATTGACGATGAAATGCACGACATTTTGGTCAAGTCTCTCCCGCCAGGAGTAAGACTGACCACTCTCTTTGACTCCTGTCATTCTGGCACTGTTTTGGATTTGCCTTATACATACTCTACTAAAGGTGTCGTGAAGGAGCCCAATCTATGGAAAGATGTGGGCCAGGATGGGTTACAAGCTGCTATGGCCTATGCCACTGGTAATACCGGTAACATGCTCAACTCATTGGGATCTATGTTCAAAAGTGCAACCAGGAAAGCTACAGGAAACTCCAACCGCGACTACGTGAAACAGGTCAAGTTCTCCGCTGCAGATATTATTATGATTAGTGGGTCTAAGGACAATCAAACCTCTGCAGATGCAGTAGAGAATGGGCAAGCCAGTGGTGCTATGTCCCATGCATTTGTCAAGGTATTGAGTACTCAACCTCAACAGACTTTTTTGAGTTTGTTGCAAAACATGAGAGCAGAGTTGAGTGGTAAGTACACTCAGAAGCCGCAATTATCAAGCTCCCACCCCATCAACGTGAACTTGCAGTTCTTGTTATAGAGCTAGATTTTTCATACGTTAACAGGTTATCATTTTTTATAACAGAGAAATAAAACGAACAGTTATATACAAGGCACAAATCAGATTATCGACTCGTGGCTTTCAAATTCATTCCTCGTCCTCTTTGGATTCTTCTTGTTCCTTGACTCTTTTTTGTTCTAGTTCCGCCTTAACAGCTTCTTCCTTCTTAGAGAACTCTAAATCCAATTCCTTTAACTTTGCCTCAGCACTGGCAATGTTCTTCTCAGTTTGCTCTTCTTGTCTCGAAACAAAATCTTCATGCTTAGCATTGAGTTGTTCGATAGTCTTTGGCACTTCGTCTTTGTTCAAAGGAACAGAGACGTCCAATTCTGCCAAAGTAGCAATCATGGTTGGTTCCAAAGAAAATTTACCATTTGAAGCAGTAGCCGAATTGGAAGGTGAAGCTTGTTTCTTCTTGTTCTTCTTGGACTTGCTGCCACCACTGAAAAAGCTTTCGGCCTTTTCTATGACGATGGGCACCAAGTCGTCAGCCTCGACCTTTCTAACAGTGAGCTTGGTTACAGCTGTAGAGTCAGCTGGGACCTCTAGCTGGTGCTTAGCAGGCTTGACGTAGGTGGGGTCAAGAACACACAATACGTTTTCAATGGCGCCAATCTCGTAGGTGAACGCAGGTTGGCGAGCGTGCAACAATTTTTCTTGCAATTTACCCACGACCGCGTCTTTTTCTTCCAACAACTTAGAAAGTTTTTGGTCTTCTTCGCGCTTCAAGCGCTCTTTGTCCAGTTTTAGCTTGAACGACTTGAATTCGTTGTCGAAATCAGAACGGATTTGGGTGATTTGAGAGTAAACTTCATCACGCTTTTTGTAAAGAGCAGAACGCTTGTTGAAAAGGGTTTGACGCTTGTCGTAGACGGTTTGGTTCTTTGATTGGACCTCGTTAAGCTTTTGCTGAGTGGTCTCGAACTTGTTGGAGACATCCTTGGGGTTCAAGTCGTTGAGTTCTTGCTTCAAAGCGGCTATAGCAGCTCTGTCATCGTCCATGGACTTGCGCACGGGCTCAATGGCTTGCAAATCGCGCTGCAGCTTGTTGAGTGCTTGCATTTCTTTGACCATGAGCTTTTCCTCAACCAAGGAAAGGTCCCCAGATGAAATTTCGGAGTCAATGGTTTGCTTGCGCGCAGCAATATCCTCAGTAGATTGGTACTGGCCTTTACCGCCAGTCTTGGTTCCAATTTGGGCCTTCTTGCGCTTAAGCTCGCTGTCCAAAGCCTTGATTTGGTCGTGAATCGCCTGTCTGCGCGACTTGAGGTCGCTCTGGGTCTTGATGATCTCACGCAGCTCATTCTGGAGCACTTGTCTCTGATCTTGACCATTGCCACCTGCTTGCTGTTGGTCGATCTGCTTTCTGATTGCCTGCACTTCGGTGTCAATCTTTTTCAATTGAGTCTTTAATACATCCAGCTTTTTATCTCTGGTACCCACATCTGGTCTTTTGATGTTGCTGGTTCTTTTAACAGGACCTGCAGTCGACATTTTGGATGTTCAATTGCCAATTATTGCCGCTATACCTTGCACAATGGCTGACAACTATTAGTTTTGAAAAGGTACGAGACCGATCGAAAGTATCAGTTGGTCCAATTTTCTTGTTGACGTGTTGAAAACCCGAAGAAAGTGCCGGGTAACCAAGACTGAACAACGAAAGAATAGCTTACTGAGGTATCCTGATGTGGATCTTGAGGCGCCAGAAAAGCTTTGATTGCAGCATTGTATGGTCATTAACCTCATTTATTGTAAATGTGAAATAATTGGTTTCCGATTGAGGGTGGTTGATATTTAGTCAATTGTGATCGAAGTGTTGTGATCAATTATACTTGGTACGCAAAGAAGCGATAAACCTGGTTCTGATGGCCCAAAAGCTGTGTTATAAGCTACAGTCTGCTTTAAGCTGTCCCTTATATGGAGTCCAGTATCACTTTTAGCAAACTAATTCAACGTTTGGACATGTGCAGCACCATGATCCTTCGTGACGCAATTTGTAGCAGTAATACAGTTCAGAAGTTCCTCTAGATACGCTACTAGCTAATACTGGAGAAGAGGTGCGACAATTGATCTTCTGCCTGGCAGCGACTGAATATTTATAAAGTGATATAGAGCAGGAGCTCTTGTCTAGGGTCATCATTCACACGCGTATGCCACTATCAGTCACGTATGTGAAGCTTAGACTCGATAGCTAACACCTCTCTTAATGGAGCATAAAACACTGTTCATTTCTGGAGGGAAACAGTGACATTTAGAGTGCGCCTATAAAACGGCAAAAGTGTCAGTATAGTACAAAGTGATATAAGTAGAATCAAGACATCCACCACGGATACCTAGATTACTGGCTCCCATCGAAAGGGTGCTGTTGCTTTGTTTTACGCATGCAACATTCTGTTTCATCGGATACGCGCTGTCCTCAATTCTAGGATGGCAACATTCCCACTATAGCATTCATCATCCGGCGACTTTAAGTCTACTCCAATTTAGAAAAAGATGAACTCTGATAATCGCGGTTCACTATATTTATTTTGTACTATTCTTACAACTTTGACCATTTTGGCCAAACTTCCAGCTATCTACAGCTCATTCCAGTCTGTACACGTTCCAAGATTCGATAACTTCCCATCGATTTGCTGAAATTTTCAAATTTGGTCAAAATAAAAGATGAAAAGCTGTTGTCTACCTCGATAAACCGATAAGACTCCATCCGGGTCGTTTATCAACGATATAAATACTCTCCAGTTCTCTTTCTTTCTTCTCTTATCTTGTGAGAATTACCGGGTAATACCTCTTATAACAATGTGGATTTTTCGAATTTCACAACGGAACTTTAGCTTAATCGCGATGAGCCAAACGACAGTTGTGTAAAAGCTGAGGATTCAACATTACAGACAAGCAAATGAGTCCTTACGCAACCCTAGTGGAAAATTTAAATGCTGAAAGTATTCTGGATAAATTTCCAGAGGTGATTCCGCTCCAGAAACGGCCAAACACCGCCTCCAGCGAGGGCAGTGGTAATGAGAAAGGTGACCTCGTGTTCGATGGCCACGACGAAGAACAAATTCGCCTTATGAATGAAAACTGCATTGTGCTCGACTGGGATGACAGCGCCGTCGGTGCTGGCACCAAGAAACTGTGCCATCTCATGACCAATATCGACCAAGGGTTGTTGCACCGTGCATTTTCTGTGTTTCTGTTCAATGCGGAAGGCCAGTTGTTGTTGCAACAAAGAGCGTCTGAGAAAATTACGTTTCCCGACTTGTGGACCAATACTTGCTGCTCCCACCCGCTCTGCGTGGATGACGAACTAGGTCTATCGGGCTCGTTAGATTCCAAAGTCCGTGGTGCCCAAACCGCCGCGGTTCGCAAATTGGACCACGAACTCGGGATCCCCATGGAAGAGAGCCGAACTAGGTGCGATTTTGATTTCCTCAATAGAATTCACTATAAGGCGCCCAGCAACGGGCCTTGGGGCGAACACGAAATCGACTACATTTTCTTCTGCCAGTTGCAGCCAAAACAGTCTTTAACCGTCGAGCCAAACCCTAATGAGGTTCGTGATTTCAAGTGGGTCAATGCGGCTGAGTTGAAAGCCATGTTTCAGGATTCTTCGTATAAATTTACGCCTTGGTTCAAACTAATCTGCGACAGCTATTTGTTCCAATGGTGGGAGCAGCTATCTGACTTATCAAAGGTCAAAAATGATTCCAAAATTCACAGATTGTTGTAAGCCCTGAAGGGTGAATTGCAAACATCACAAAAAGTTCAATCCGGAGAGCGTGACGCTACTGTCTGCATGTAGCCACGTATGTTTCTTGGGTTTCTGTACCTCTTTTAGTCTGATAAACCTGTTATTAAATATCTATAACTGTATTAAAGAATCCTGTCATCTCGAACTTTGTCAAGCATGTACAATGTTATATCAACTGAGCAACGAATTTAGCAAAACGGCTGTGGCCACACTAACGTTTAAAGAGTCTACTGAACACGTACCAGACGTTTCGCGGCCCTTTGGAATTTCTACCATAAAATCGCTTCTCATTTGCAAGTTCGTACGTACTCCCGTGCCCTCGTTTCCGACCACGAGCACCACTGGTAATTCCTGCAACATGCCGTGCAAGTCTTGGGGTGCCATTTTCTTGTTTTTGGTGAATTTATTATCCGAGCATACACCTGCGGTGACAAATGTCCAGCCGCCTTCTGTTTGAGATTTTGTGAAAAAGTCCAAGGGTTTGTCCACGTTGAAAATTGGCAGAAGCTCAGTAGCACCACTACTTGTTTTGGCAACAGCTGGTGATAATGGTGCGCAGTTGCGACGGGACAGTACTATGAAATCAACGCCTAAGAAATATGCACTCCTAATAATAGCTCCCATGTTATGTGGGTCTACCACCTCATCTAGAAAAAGGCCTAGAGGAAACTGCTTGCCCTCTTTTAATAAGTAGTTTTCACTCCGTTCTTGGGACTCATCGAAGAATGATTCCACGTAAGAAAAAGCTTGACTTTCCACATTGCAAGGACCAAGGTGTTTAATTTCCGGCAACTGTAGTGGCTTTGTCTCTAGCACAATATTGTTATGAATTGCATAATTCGTCAAAAGGTTCAGACGGTGTTTGTCCACCAATTCTAATTGGATGTCCTTCTTTTTGGCAAGTAATTGGACTTCTTGAGCCAACGGAGCATGATACAAAATTCTGGAAAAGTACTCTCTTTTGTCTGCTCGTAGAGCGGAAATTACACTGTTGGTTCCGTAGACATACTCCATCAACGGATTCGGCCTGAGACCAGATATCATATTACGATTCCCAAACTTAGCCCTATGATCTTGGTACTGACTTTTAGATTCTCTCTTTTCAACATCTTGTATTTTCCGCGACTCTTCTCGTCTGTTCTCTTTCGCGTGAACATGCGCGTATTTCCTTTTGAACCAAGAGTCTTTATCCTCTCCAGCTCTCTCCCAGGCTTTGACTCTACGTTCCTTCGGTAGGTTTCTGTCAAAATTTGATGCTCTGGAGCCTTGGTGCGCTTCGTTGGGCACTTTAACAGCAGATTTAACCACCTGTGCTACCGAGCGACTAAAATATGACTTATAACCAAGCTTAAGCATTCCGTGTGGACTTATAATTTATCCAGCTAAAGGATTATTTTTTTGGTAAGACGAACGATGCGCTCAAAGTTTTCTAGATTCTTAACATTCACTTAGAAAAGCAAACCAAATACGAGATATAACACAATGAGCTACTCCGATACCCAAGATAAACCAGAGCGTCGTAGTCTTGTATGCAGAGATACGAATGAGACCAAAATCCAAATTGCCATGTCTTTAAATGGAGGACATGTCGAAATCAAGAACTCGTTGTTTCCAGACAAGATAACAGAGGATGTGGCAACCCAGGCGACGAGCTCGCAAGTCATCGATATACACACTGGTGTGGGATTTCTTGACCATATGATTCATGCCTTGGCCAAACATTCTGGCTGGTCCTTGATTGTCGAATGTATAGGAGACTTGCACATCGATGACCACCACACAACTGAGGACTGCGGCATTGCTCTTGGTCAAGCATTCAAAGAAGCTATGGGTGCAGTGCGCGGTGTCAAGAGATTTGGATGTGGGTTTGCACCTCTCGACGAAGCACTTTCGAGAGCAGTGGTAGATTTGTCGAATAGGCCTTTCGCAGTCATTGATTTAGGCTTGAAAAGAGAGAAAATTGGCGATTTATCAACAGAGATGATTCCACACTTTCTAGAAAGTTTTGCCGAGGCCGCTAGAATCACCTTACATGTCGACTGTCTGAGAGGGTTCAACGACCACCACAGAAGCGAAAGCGCCTTCAAAGCGTTAGCCGTGGCCTTGAGAGAATCCCTCTCTAGCAACGGTACAAATGATGTTCCTTCAACAAAAGGTGTGCTGATGTAATTTGGGATCACCCTGCAGAATTAGATAGATGTCAAGATGCTGAGCAGATCTTTTGAATAAATGCTACTATTCTAAACCATTATTTACAGAATTATTTATGAGTACGTTATTTGTTTTGCCATGATGCAGAAAACAAAGTAAAATCGAACCGAGCCTATCTCAGTTTCTTACCTTTGCCGCTGTCGAAATTGGTTAATATGTTCAGCAGCTCTTCAGCATGCTTTGTCGATTCTTTTGCAGATGTGCTCCTCATTGAGCTTTTTCTAGGAGGACGCTGTTGATAAGTTCTACCGTTCATTTGTATCCTTGCTCTGGAACTCATTCCACTTATTGCATTTGCTCTCAAAACAACTTTTCCGTTGTCTTGAACAGTGGCATGGTTAACTGCAAATGGAAATTGCAATTGCCTAACAAAATCACCCATTCTGTAGTCCATTTGAGATGTGGAGACGGAAGAAGAGCCGGCATTTGCCACAAACCCACCGATAGCGGCCAATCGGTCGTTACCTTCGACATTGAGGAATCTACCAGGTACCACGGTTTTTTGCACAACACCATTTGGAGAGTTTCTTAGCCTACCATGCAGGTTGTATGTTAAGCCACCAGTACCAATGGTCTTGCGTAGAGAGTTTGAATCTAGACTGACATTCGAATCGGTAGCTTCCGTCAAAAACTCCACTGCACTATCAGTCATGTCTTTGATGGTAAAAGATTTGTTTTTCAGCACCTCCGGATCGCGTAGCAAGAGCCACTGTTTGAACGTACCGCGCATATTCTTCATTTGGGCAACCTTCCTCTCAATTTCAGCCTTAGGAGTGGACGAATCCACATTAAGCAGGGAGCTTAGCGGTACAAGTTGATTTCTGGATGAAGCCGATGCTTCAAAAAGTGGATTGGCCTTACCAGGGTTGTATTTAGGAGCGACGCCTAGCTCTTGAAATCTAATACGGTTCCATTGAGAACCTCCATTAGGCTCAAATGTTGTTAGGCGCTCTAAAGTGTCTAGGTCATTATAAACAATGTAACGGGTCTTGACTTTGGAGGGCAACGAGCTCTTAAGACCCCATTCTTGACGATGCAAAGTAGAAGGTCTTGTTTCGATTATTTGGTGAGTTGGAGCATATTTTGGAGCCGTTGAGGTAAGTGGATTCTTTGATTTTGGAACTTGAGCAATACGGGAGTTTCTCAACAAGTGAGATAAGTTTGACGACATTGCTGAAGCCTCCCGATGACAATTTGCTGAGCGTGTATTTTTGTAGATTCTGTTATTAACTATTTTGATTTGGAAAATTTTTTAGAGAAAGTACAGGGGACAGAGATACACATAATGAAGTTGAGAACAGAAGTTCGAAAAGAGCAAAGATACTAATATCATGCCTTCATAATCATTTGTTGGCCAATTTTCTGCACTACTTTGAACATGCATTAATTAAAGCAATATTTTTCATTCGCGGTTTCAGCGGGATATAATTACTTGTAGAGTTAGGCATCAGAAAAATTGTCCAACAGCAAGAAAGCAGCACTAGAGGGCCTTCATGGCTCGAAGCAGCGTTTAGTGCTAACATAGTTATGAGGTAATTGCGATGCACAAATACAGGATATAAGCTCTAATGCCGAATTCTTGAAATTTGAAGTGGTTGTAATGTGCATGACATCCCAATATCTAAAATACGTCCAGTGATAAGATTTTGAATGTATTCCTGCTACTGTTCCGTCTAATAAACGACAAGCGCGGTAGTTCTCAAACATTACGTCACTCTGTACATATCCGTCGTCCCAGGAAGTCTCCATCAACTGACGTTGACTGATTTTAACTCATTAAAGGACTTCGAATACTAGAACGTTGCTTTTACTTTGATGAACACAAGCTCAACATTTTTACTAGTACTTCTTCTTCATCAGTGTTAGAATAAATTTTTAATTTTGTCCCAATCAGATACATTTGACAGTTCAACCGCACATATTGTGTGATTGTGATGAAATCTCATTTAACCAATCCGGCGGTAATTCGACGAGGTAAATTATTATTATTTGTATCCGGCTACCATCAGATATTTATAATTGTTGGCGTAAACTGATATGAGAAGCAAACAAAATACACAGCTACTTTCAACTTTTTGGACCTCGAAACGGTTAGTCTTATTTACGCTTTTCGACATTCAGGATAGGTCAAGTGCCATCAAATACCAAAAAAAGCTTGGAATTAACTCGAAAGAATAGAAATGTCATCTCGTTACTGTATGCGTTGATTTTGTCACTTACTCTTTCAAGTGCGCGGGCACACATGAAGAACATTAGGTGGTATAGAATAGCAAAAAATACTAGTCAACAGTTTGTGAATCAGCGCTACGGTGCACAACTATCGCGCTTTGAAGCAGGCTATAAACTGCTTATCAAGGTGATTCGTTTCCTTTGCGCCATTTGGAAAATTCGTCAAGAAAAAACCAGACGTTGTTCTGTTGCGTGGTGCCGTAATTAACAAGTAACGTTTTCAGGCTTGGCAGATGGGGACTCCACATTTTAATTGCCTCAAAGGAATGTAATAAAAGAAGTTGGATCTCTTATGAAGAGCGCAGAGAAATGTTGGGAGCGAATCTAGCCAAAACATCGAATGCCAATGCTTGTCCTGGCATCTCTGTCTGACTATGCGGGCCCATATATATTATCAGTAACTAGTTGCCCAGATTTTTAAAAACGACAAGAACTCGGAAGGTGGCCCTGATAACGTTTCGTGAAGTGCCAGGTGAAACTGCTCAGTCAGGTCGAAGACGACAGCAATAAAACCGCTTTTTCAAGCTAAATTGGCCCTGTAATATACCGTTAGCGGTGCACTACAGTGCTGTGCCAAGAACTTAAAGACACAGTTGCTGGCAACATTGGGGCTTCAATGGCTCTGTGAAATCACGAAGTGCCATATTCACTTTTCAACATATTCACGGTTTTGATACTTTACACCCATATTATCATGCAAATCCACCCAGAGTTACATCACCAAACCCTTAGGGGGCTGACCGGATAATGGCACTGCGCTTGGCTTGCGGTTTGTCCAATATATCCTTCCTGTAACGTTCCTCCGGGGAAGCGACGACACAATCGTACGGAAGTACCAAAATATTCGCTTGCGCAATTATACAACCTGTCATTATTTGATCTATGTATTCTCGTCATATGCTACCAAAAAGCGCGTGCTGTACCTCACCAGCTGTGTCTTGAAGACTCTTCTGTTAATTCCAACACGTTATTTCCAGAAATACTAATTTCAGTCGTCTCTAAAGCTTCCGTCAAAAAATTCAAGCGCTCATTTACGCAAATATATTAGTCTCAAAAGAATCCACAGTGATATAGGCTAATTACACGTATCCAAACATCCGTAGTATTAATTTTGCACCCCCCCATTAGGAGACTGCTCAAAAATGGTCTAAAAACCTCTGGGAAAAAAGCGTTCCGCATCTCAACACGCTGCTCATCTTGATAAACCTGTTCTAATTGCCAACATTTAGCATGTTTGCAGCTGTAAAGCCTCGAACCTTCCCCGCACTGTTACCCGTCTCTGACCCCAGTTGCTTTCGCGTGGTCTTTCTTCTTTTGCACGAAAAAACAATCTAAATCTAAATAGAAAAAATTTTCTACTTCTTTTTTTCTGGTATATATAAAGTAGAAGATTCGGATCTAACAACGAAGAAAATCTCTTCTTTGAAATTCGCATCGCAACTAACCCAAAAACAACATCTAAAATCACATAAAGATGTCTGATCTGGCTAACAACATGGAAAATTTAAGTGTTAATGACAAGAGCGGTTCTGGAAACCAGACTGCTAGCTCATATGTTCCCCCACACATGCGTGGAAAGAGAGGTGGCAGCCGCGGCGGATCGACTTTTGCCAACAGCGACAGAGACAGTGGCTCGTACTCTTATTTCAGCGGTGGTGGCAGAGGTCGCGGCGGCAGCAGAAACGGCTCGTCTTCGTTTTTCGGAGGCAGAGGTGGCTCGAGCGGCGGATTCGGCGGCAGAGGCGGCGTACCTCGTGGCGTGGGTCGCTGGGTAGGTGGCAAGCACGTTCCATCGGAAGTCGATGAGGCTTTGGAGCTCCAACTCTTCGGTACCGCCGAGGATTCGAGCTTCCAGTCCTCCGGTATCAACTTTGATCACTATGATGACATTCCAGTCGAGGCTTCTGGTAACGACGTTCCAGACCCAATCACAGAGTTCACTTCACCTCCACTCGACAGCTTACTGCTCGAGAATATTATCAAGGCTCGTTTCATCAAGCCAACACCCGTGCAGAAATACTCCGTGCCTATCATCGCTGCCAAGCGTGATTTGATGGCGTGTGCTCAAACTGGTTCCGGTAAGACTGGTGGGTTTTTGTTCCCAGTTTTGTCCGAATCTTTTGCTAACGGTCCTGCCGAAGTTCCTGAACAAATGGCTAACTCATACATCAAGAAGGCGTTCCCAACCGCCGTTGTTTTGGCTCCTACCAGAGAATTGGCTACTCAAATTTACGATGAAGCCAAGAAGTTCACCTACAGATCCTGGGTTAGACCGGGTGTTGTGTACGGTGGTGCCGACATTGGTGGTCAAATCAAAGAGCTGAACCGCGGTTGCGACTTGTTGGTTGCCACTCCCGGTCGTCTTTCGGACTTGCTAGAACGTGGTAGAATTTCGTTGTGCAACATCAAATACTTGGTTTTGGATGAAGCCGATAGAATGTTGGATATGGGTTTCGAACCTCAAATCAGACACATCGTCGATGGTTGTGATATGCCATCCGTGGAGAACAGACAAACCCTTATGTTTTCCGCCACTTTCCCTATGGACATTCAACATTTGGCCCGTGATTTCTTGAAGGATTACGTGTTTTTGTCCGTTGGTAGAGTGGGTTCCACTTCCGAAAACATTACTCAAAATGTCTTATACGTTGAAGATGGTGACAAGAGATCTGCACTATTAGATTTGTTAGCCGCTTCTGAAGATGGTTTGACTTTGATTTTCGTCGAGACCAAGAGAATGGCCGATGCTTTGACCGATTTCTTGATCATGCAAGATTTGAGTGCCACTGCCATTCACGGTGACCGTTCTCAAAGTGAGCGTGAACGTGCTTTGGCTGCTTTCAGATCCGGAAGAGCTTCTCTATTGGTCGCCACTGCTGTTGCCGCTAGAGGTTTGGATATTCCAAATGTTATTCACGTTATCAACTACGATCTTCCAAGCGATATCGATGATTATGTTCACAGAATTGGTAGAACTGGTCGTGCCGGTAACACCGGTGTTGCCACTGCTTTCTTCAACAGAGGTAACAAGAATCTTGCCAAGGAAATGATCGAATTGTTGACCGAAGCTAAGCAAGACGTTCCTGACTTCTTGGAACAACTTTCCAGAGAAAACTTTGGTGGTGGTGGTGGCAGAGGTGGCAGAGGTGGCTTCTCTAGCAACCGTAACAGCAGCACCAGAGATTACCGCCGTGTTGGTGGTGGTCCAGGTGCTCCTCCTGGTGCTAGCAGAGGTGGTAGCTCCATGGGTGGCGGCAGAGGCGGCGGCTCTTGGGGCTCTTCCTGGGGCAACTCTGGCAGTTCTTGGGGAAATACCGGTAGCACTGGTAACTCCTCTGCCAGCAACTCTTGGTGGTAAGCAATAGGCTAGAATTTGGTTTTAGAGATGTGCCGCAGTCACTCTCAACCAATGCCTATTTGTTTTTGTTTTTGTTTTGTCACTAGCACCCTATTTTTTTCATTCAAATGTTCCATTATGTTTTAATGATTTATCCTGACTATTTGGTGTTCCTATCTGAGTAACTTTACTCAGGTAATTTTTGTTTTCCACTGAAAATTGTTTTTGTTGTATTTTTTCCATTTGACAAGGCATTATACAATTGTACATTATTATGAAGTTTGTTTACCGCGGTAAACAAGCTGGGAGCCACTTTAAATGTTTTTAAAGAGTTGGTTATATCCTTATTTTCATATCCGCCACTTTGTGGGCTCATCGGATGGAATTTTTTCTGCATGGTTCACTTCGCCACCTCCAATGTTGAGCATTGGTATGGTTGTGTTGATAGATGAACAAACATGGTCCAACCTCTTTTTCATATCTTTATTCAAACCTGCGTTTCGATGCGTTTCAATTCTACTGGTTATACTATTTGCAATCCTCGCTTATATTTTGCATCGAAATTCAAGTTTGATCTAATCAAATCTGCTAGTCAATTACGATTCTGGCTAGCTTGAATAATGGTTTGATTTTCTTTTGTAATATGAAGGAAGAGAAGGACAGCGAATTGTAGATGGTACAGTTGTATAATAGTTGACATTTAATCGATATCACATTAAATAGATCAAGGCGATACTTTTATTCTAGTCCAAGTCCAGTAGTACTCCAGACATTTCGCCGCTCACGCCCCACCACACATTCTTTATATCATGAACGTCAATTTAGCAATGACAGGTGTCGAAACTGGATGCACCTGAAAATTAATTTGAACTTTGTAGAAGGGGTCGCTTCATTGGACAATACTATATAAATTTATGGTGCTATATCTTGAGACCACTCAATGCTCCGTTGATAACTGCTATTCGGCCTCCATTTGTTTTCCATCGCTAGTTTACTTGGACCTTTATAAGAGCTGCCGGAATTCCGTGTCCTGAATTTTGGCTCCCAATTGTTCAGTACTTATCTTTCAATTGAAAGATAAGCTTTTTGAGGTTAAGGAAAGCATAAACTTGGATTCTCTATATGCTATTCGCAGCAATTCATCTTTCATTTAGGACCTCTTAACCCTCCTCAGTGTCGCTTCGCTACAATAGATGGGAAACATGATGCCAAAATAAAAATCTTATACATTGAGTTAGCAACAACATTCATAATCAGCTTGTGTGGCGCAGTGGTAGCGCAGCAGATTGCAAATCTGTTGGTCCTTAGTTCGAACCTGAGTGCAAGCTGATTTTTTATCGAGTCTATTTTTATGTCAATAGGATCAGCTGCAGCTTGTTTAACGTAGGTTATTTCTTACTCACGATATTAATTCGTTGTATTCGGGATATTATTTAATGCACTATTTCTTCTTCAGCTTTCGCTTAGCATAATCGATGACTTGAGCGTTTCCTTCTTGCGAAACAAAAAATCTTCTTTTCTTCTCATCTTTCCACAACAATGCTCCAATATCACTCGCATAAGTGCTGAGCATGTTATACTCCTGGTAGTTCTCAAAATCTGTGAAGAGGTAGCCATCGTAACTGATAATTCTGTCAAGCTCCAGTTGCCAAAGCTTTACTTGGTCAACTACCGTAGGTGGGAGAATCTGCAAACCCTCTTTGCAGTTTGGATCAAGCTCCAACTTCTTATCTAAGGTCTGCTCTGCCAGCCTTCTCATTTGTGGATGAGCATGAGTCTCCATGTATGCAATAATTTGATCGGCTGTAATGCCGTTCAGCAAAGCTCGCCTGATAGATTCTCTGGTAATTTGCCCCGTTACCATATTTGAAAACCTTGACTTTAAGTGCACAAACAAGCTCAACACAGCAATTTGCAGTGGTGAATTTGAGTAGGAGTATATTTTGAAATTTGTTTCCAAGATGACTGCTCCATCTGGAATGTTCTGAGCAATTGTTCCAACTTGTCCCGTCTCTGGATCAATGTCCGCCGTAGGTGTTTCGTCAGTAGCCGCGTTAGTAGATGTTCCTTGACTCAAAACACTGTTCATGGCACTTGATGCTGAGCGTATGCTCATGCTATCCGATGTGAGCATTGCCGCTAGTCTTGTCGGGTAGAATTTTGAGGTGTTCGAAGCCTTTTGGAAGACTAAACCGTAATCTCGCATATCCTGTAGCATGATTTTCTGTGTATCACTTAAATTCGTGTCACTATATGCCTTTCCTAATTCTAGAGCTCCTAGCATGAAGATGAAATTCAGCACGTCAACTGGGTCCATTTGCAATGTTTCGGCAAGCCGAAGGTATTGCAAGAGTAAAGCCCAAATTTGGGCGTTGGCATCCTGAAGCAAGAATTGAAATCCTTCGTTTGTGATTTGCAACTCTCCCGAGGAATTCTCCTCCATCAGCTTACTGTGTTGAAGCAATGAAAGGACGTTTCTTGATGGCGTCTGAGTAAGTGAAGTACCTACCATGAAATGTAGAATTGATTCCCACTTGTTTGCGGCGTATTGATCGAGCATGGCTGGTTGAACTGTCTCATTTTGATCCTCTACCACGTTACCAAATGAATTGTTGACTTCTCCGCCTGTAAGTGCGTTTCGAAAACTGGCTCTGAAGATAGAGTTCAGATTAATCATGAAGGGTTGCCGGGAATGCCCTTCAATTAGTAGATGCAGGGATTTCATTGATTTTATGGCTTCATTGAACTGAAATTTACCACTAGATGTCACCCAACGGTCCAGGTCTCGCAGGGACACGTCGCATTCGTTGAATACCATTGACATTATAAAGAACTTCGCCAGTTTCGGCAATAGTCTGTATATCGCTAAACATGTAGCAGGAGATGTATAAAGCCGCGAGTGTACTTGCGGAGGCAAGTCTTCTAAGTACTCATTGACTGTAGCCTTGAATGGAGTACCTGACATAGCCAGATTCTCCGGACTGTGACTATTACAGTTTAACTTTAACACCAATTTTTCAAAATTTAAGATTCACAGCAGGTTTTTTCGACTATTAGGTTAAAAAAGATGAAGAGTTCGACGATCGTGTTCGCTGATACAGCATTTCAGTTCTTATTGACCATGTTTACCGACAGTTGATTATTAGCTCTCAGAGATATCAAGAAGACTTCAGCACGCAAGAGGTACCTTCATCGGAGAGATCTCCAAAACTTTCTTCTACTAATGGCAATAGCTTTGCCAAAAGCCAACCAAAGCACAGTCATTTCATTTCCCGTTTTGATGGTTGGCTCTTAAAATGAAGTCTAGTCATACTGATGCTGACCACGTCAAGCTCCTACTTATATAAACTTGCCAACCGACAATAACCTACTAATGCTGTTGATTTTATTTTGACATTTCTAAAGATCTTCACGATAATATTCCAGTATTCATTAAGACAGCACAGCTTAGAGACAAGATCGGGTCTGTGTAGAGTCTGTTGCTGACCTGCCTTTTTTCTGATCTGCTATATTTCATGCTTTGTAACTTCGGCGCATTATAAAAATTTTTCGAGATGAGCCTGATGACTTGAAAGTAAATCAGCTTGCAAAAATGGTAACAAGCTTCCTTCAGATACTTAACACGCTTAGTGAGTATATCGGGGATGTCAAGTGTAGGCGTAGCAGCTCCTCAGACAGTTTTGGAGAAGGATTCAGCATTTGAGCCACTTTTGAAGCCTGTTTACAAGGGCAAAAAGCTTACAGATGAGATCAATACGGCAGAAGACAAGTGGAACCTGCTACCAGCCTTTCTCAAAGTGAAAGGTCTAGTCAAACAACATTTGGACTCTTTCAATTACTATGTGGATGTCGATCTGAAAAAGATCATTAAAGCCAACCAACTGATCCTCAGTGACGTGGATCCGGAATTTTACCTAAAATATGTGGACATTAGAGTAGGCCACAAATCCAGCTCGTCATCCAAAGACTATATTGTTCCACCTCACGAATGTCGACTCAGAGATATGACCTATTCCGCTCCAGTGTACGTCGATATTGAGTACACCAGAGGTAGAAACATCATTATGCATCGAGATGTGGAAATTGGGAGGATGCCAATCATGCTGCGTTCCAACAAGTGTGTGTTAAATGGGGCTTCAGAAAGTGCGATGGCAAAAATTAATGAGTGCCCCCTCGATCCTGGTGGTTATTTCATTGTAAACGGAACTGAAAAGGTAATTTTAATCCAGGAACAATTGTCCAAAAATCGTATAATTGTTGAGGCTGACGAAAAGAAAGCCATTGTACAAGCTTCAGTCACCTCTTCAACTCACGAAAGAAAATCGAAAACCTATGTGATTACCAAGAATGAAAAGATTTATCTTAAGCACAATTCTATCGCAGAAGAAGTTCCCATCGTGCTAGTGCTAAAAGCGTGTGGTGTTGTATCAGATCTTGAAATCATGCAGCTGGTGTGTGGTAATGATAGCAGTTACCAAGACATTTTCGCCATCAACTTTGAAGAAGTTGCGAAAATGAAGATCTACACCCAACAGCAGGCTTTGGAGTATATTGGCGCGAAAGTGAAAACCGTCAGACGTCAAAAATTGACCATTTTGCAAGAAGGTATCGAGGCCATAGCTACCACTGTAATTGCTCATTTGACAGTCGAAGCATTGGATTTCAGAGAAAAAGCTTTGTACATCGCTGTGATGACAAGAAGAGTAGTTATGGCAATTCAAAATCCTAAAATGGTTGACGACCGGGATTATGTCGGTAACAAGCGGCTGGAGTTGGCAGGTCAGTTAATGTCTTTACTGTTTGAAGATTTGTTCAAAAAATTCAACAATGACTTCAAGGCTAATATAGACAAGGTTTTGAAAAAGCCCAATAGGGCAATGGAGTACGATGCATTACTGTCCATCAACGTGCATTCTAATAACATCACAAGTGGTCTAAACAGAGCAATCTCTACAGGTAATTGGTCGCTGAAGAGATTTAAGATGGAAAGAGCGGGTGTAACTCACGTACTGAGTAGACTGTCCTACATTTCAGCACTGGGCATGATGACAAGAATTTCTTCCCAGTTCGAAAAGTCGCGTAAAGTCTCTGGACCAAGAGCACTACAACCATCCCAATTCGGAATGTTATGTACTTCCGATACACCAGAAGGTGAAGCATGTGGTCTAGTCAAAAATTTGGCGCTTATGACGCACATCACGACCGATGACGAAGAAGACCCGATCAGGAAGCTATGTTACTTGTTGGGTGTGGAGGATATCACGGTTGTAGATAGTGAATCTCTTCATCTTAATTACTGTGTCTATCTGAACGGTACAATTGTAGGCGTGATAAGGTTTCCAACTAAGTTTGTTTCTCATTTCAGAAACCTGAGGAGATCTGGTAAAGTCTCAGACTTCATCTCTATTTATGCTAACTCACATCAAAAAGCTGTTCACATAGCGACGGATGGTGGTAGAGTATGCCGACCTCTGATCATTGTCTCCGGTGGCAGTAATACGGTTAAAGCTGACCATTTACGAGCCCTACTTAAGGGCAAGCTTCAATTCGATGACTTTTTAAGACTGGGATTGGTTGAATATTTGGATGTGAATGAGGAAAATGACTCTTTTATTGCCTTATATGAAAAAGACATTGAATCAAGAACAACACATCTAGAAATCGAACCTTTCACGGTTTTGGGAGCTGTGGCTGGCCTCATTCCATACCCACATCATAATCAGTCTCCCCGTAATACATATCAATGCGCCATGGGTAAGCAGGCAATTGGTGCAATTGCCTACAATCAATTCAAGAGAATTGATACCTTACTTTACCTCATGATTTACCCACAACAACCAATGGTTAAAACGAAAACTATCGAACTTATAGACTACGATAAGATCCCTGCAGGCCAAAATGCAACTGTTGCGGTGATGTCATACTCTGGTTACGATATTGAGGATGCTTTAGTACTCAACAAGTCATCAATTGACAGGGGTTTCGGTCGCTGCGAAACGAGACGGAAACTAACAACCGTTTTAAAGAGATACCCTAATCACACTCAAGACATGGTTGGTGGTATGAGAGTCGACGAAAGTGGTGAACCTATATGGCAACACAAACCTCTCGGCCCAGATGGCCTAGGAGAAGTCGGTATGAGAGTTGAAAGTGGTCAAATATATGTTAACAAATCCGTCCCCACTAATGCTTCCGATAGCGTTTTAACACAAACCCAGGCCCAGTATAGAGAAACTCCAGTTGTTTACAGAGCTCCTGAACCCTCTCACATCGACCAAGTTATGATGTCTGTTTCTGAAAACGATCAGGCCCTAATTAAGGTGCTACTGAGACAGAATAGAAGGCCCGAACTTGGTGATAAATTTTCTTCGAGACATGGTCAAAAAGGTGTTTGTGGCATCATTGTGAATCATGAAGATTTGCCGTTCAGTGACCAAGGTGTGGTACCCGACATCATCATGAATCCCCATGGTTTTCCATCTCGTATGACGGTTGGTAAAATGATTGAATTAATTTCAGGGAAAGCTGGTGTTTTTAACGGGACCTTGGAGTACGGTACTTGTTTCGGCGGTTCTAAGTTGGAGGATATGTCGAGCATTTTGGTGAACAATGGCTTCAGCTATTCAGGTAAAGATATGTTGTACTCTGGTATCACTGGCGAGTGTCTTCAGGCATACATTTTCTTTGGCCCCATCTATTACCAAAAATTGAAACACATGGTTCTTGACAAGATGCATGCCAGGGCAAGAGGCCCCAGAGCAGTTCTTACTCGTCAACCTACGGAGGGTAGATCTCGTGATGGTGGTTTAAGACTAGGGGAAATGGAAAGAGATTGTGTTATTGCATATGGTGCTTCCCAACTATTACTGGAGAGATTGATGATAAGTTCGGATGCATTTGAAGTGGATGTTTGCAACCAATGTGGGTTGATGGGTTATAGCGGGTGGTGCACCACTTGCAAGAGTGCAGAACACATCATCAAAATGACAATTCCATATGCTGCCAAATTATTATTCCAGGAACTTTTATCGATGAATATTGCTCCTAGATTGAAGCTCGAGGATGTATTTGAACAGTGATCAACGCATCTCAAGGTGATATTAATATAGAATTATGAACTAATCAACTAATAAGCAAATTATGTGTAAATAGCCACAGGAATGAATAGAGCATTAAGAAACGAAAAGCCAAATATTTGCACTTTATGCGTCAAAGATCATATCGTGATTGACTTTGAGACGCACGGCGAGTCCCTGCATGGTAAGCTCCGAGTTAGAATTTTCTTTTAATTTAGCATCGAGTTTCTCTAATTCTTTTCGTTGAAATCTATCGTTTTCCTCTCTTTTTTGATCCATTTGTTGCCTGAGTTCTTCCTGATCGTATTCAGTCATCAATTTAAATTCATCCGAATCCATGATGTCGTCTATCTGATTTTGGATTTGGTCAGAGAAGTGGTATTCAAGTTTTCGCTTTTCTGCCTCTGCTTCTTTTCTCACCAATTCTTCATAGCCGCCCATTTTACTAATTTTAAGCAGCGTGGAGTTCAGCAAATATGACATCCCTGCCTGGCAAATTGATCTCCATTTTTCAATCAGTCTTAGCACCTCCCGTTCTTTCTCAAACTTTCCAAGGATCTTTAGTGCGCTCTCCAGTGCGCTGTGTTGTTTTCTGAGTTTTCGGATCTGTTCAACTCTTAGTCGTTCTTCGATAACCTCTTTACTCATCTCACGCTTCGCGACGCCATGAGGGATTATTGATTTTTTTAGGGAAATGACTGAGCTCCTACAGCTCTTGATTTGTTCAGTAGCAGTAGAGGTGACAGCCATTGCAGTAATCTGTTTCCTTCGATTCTGTTCAACGTTTACTTTTGCCGCCCAGGTTCAGATATGTATGTAATATGTTAAAAATCGAAAAGTGAAGCTGACGCTTGATATTTCTGGAACAAAAAAAGTTGAGGAAGTACGATAATAGTCACTCCAGCTCAGGTAAAATAATGTACAGTAATTATAATCTCCCGTTTATTTATACAGCTCGTTGGTCAAGAGTACCTGATGAAAATATCAGTTCAATTGTCGGAGGCGTCGGACATTTCGACATCTTCAGCATCTGGTTCCGAAGGCGACTCTTGGCGGGTATCCTCCTCTTCCTCTTCGGCCAAACTCTCTCTCAAAATTTTAGCCTTTTCCTCCTTGACTTCACGATGAACCTGGACGTAAGAGCCCAAAGGAGTTTTGTTCCATGGGACGTCGCTCAAAAAGCGTTCCACCTCGGATCTGTTCGTAGGACCAAAGTCAATCTCAGTTCTCTTGTTGAGAATGAAATCAGAATTCTGCTTTAGTTTCTCTAGCACGTTGCTCACTTGTTTGTTGAATTTGCTGTTTTTAGACGTCTTGATGTAACGACGTAAAGCAATATAAGCCGGAGTTGTCAATTCTGGGAATGATACACTCTTGCAGTAAAGAACAAAGTACTCGCATATCATTTCGATAAACTGCTCACCCAAACCATCTTGGTAAACTTTGGTGCCCAAGTAGCCTTGGTTACACTTGATATTGTGCTCAAAATCGAAAGCTGGCAGAGTGGACTGTTTCTTTGGTGCTTTAGTGAAAGCTGTTGATGACAAGATTTCGGAAAGAAGTGGGTAGATAGGTATGAATACGCCAGTATTTTGAGAAAGTCTGATGAGCGATTTGATAAGGTAGAATCTCAAGGGGAAAAATTGGGCGGTTGGGATTAGTCTTATCACACCAATCGTAACCTGCACCAGCGGATAAATTAACTGTCTCAAATGCGATTCTTTACCATTCTCCTTTTCAGGATTACACTGGGAGCACAAGACTCTGGACCAAAAGTCAAGAGAATGACAGAATTGCCAATTGTAAACAATTTTGTAGGCATCAGCAGGGTTCGTTTTGGCGGACTTTTTGGTCGCAGCATTAATGCTATTTCTTAAATGAATGGCCAGCTGCCTGAGGTACTCAAAACCAATTTGGTAGCCCAGGACCTCGTCTATTCCAAATAGCTCAGCCGAGGAATTTTTCTGGAAATTGATCAAAGGCATAGTACGAATGTTGGTTTTACGACAACTCTTGATGAAAGAAGAATAAGTTGTTTTTAGAACAGTGTCCAACACAGATTTTTTGAACTCACGCGAAGTGTTATTGAGGAAAGCAAAAGCGGTGATTTGGGTGTCCAAGTCTCTTGTTGTGGCCCCCAGTTCCACAACGCTCTTGATGATTTCTTTTATAATTCTTCTATGTGACAAGAAGTATGGCAAAATTTGATCCAGCGAGTGCAAAACAAGGGCGGCAGTCTCTGTGTTGGTAATGTCGTGGAGCATTGTAATCATGGACCCAGCGTGAGATTTCAACGCACTGGAAATCTTTGTGACGTTCGAGTTGTTCGGAAGAGTTCTTGCACCTTTGGAAATCTGGTATGGGTGAGATTTAACAATTGCTGTAGGCATGTCCTTGAGCGCAAGAAACATGAGCTCTTGGAAAGCTTTTCCGTCGGTAACGGCAAATTTGTAGGTGTCCACTAGGTCTTCCTTGTTGGCATTGGCTGCAGCCTTGAAAGCCGAGACAATGTTTCTAATGAGCTTAGCATTGAGAGATGAGCTATTCAATTCTTTTTTCCATTTTTTGAGGAGTTTGAGATCAACCTCGACAGTTTCCTTAACAGTGCCGTTGTTGTCTGACGCTTTCCCCTCAGCCGCCTCCTCGTCCTGGCCCTCGTCCTCATCACCGCTGATTGCATCCAGCGGATTGGTACCCTGGAAGTCCAATAGAGCCTTGTCATTTTCCTGCAAGTACTTGTGGAACTCTGGATCTTTTTCCGCCAAAGTGGCCATGCTTTCTGCCATTCCAGCCTCATCCTCGCTAGAAGATTCATCTTCGTCTTCCTCGCCAGCCTCAGCTTGCTTCTGTTTTTCCGCATGCTTGGCAGCTTTGCTCTTTTTAGGAACCTCGAACCCTCCTGCGAAGAAGGCCTCCACGCTCATGTCTTTGAAGACCTCTTCCTTCGAAGAATTACGAAGCTGCTGTTCTTCCTTCGTCAATGCCAAATCCTGTTTCTCTTGCTCGCTCTTGTTACCCCTACGGCCCCTAGTCTTATTTGCATGTTCTTTCTGTTTCTTTCTGTGGTCCAGTGTGTGCTTCAAATGCTTCGTTTGGAACTTCTTGGTGGCTTTGGACGCTTTTCCCATCTTGAAAACGATGTTTAGTTAGATCGGACACTTGAAACCTCGAGTAAGCAGCAATACTGTTGTTGAAAAGTAACTGAAGTTCTATTCAACGTGTTTCTTCAACTCTGACAACTTATTTGAAGCTCATCTCATCTCATCGCATCGATATTTTTTCTTCTGAAAATTTTTCTAATCTGTGCACATGAACTTTTCGACACTTACCGCCCAAACGTGATGAAGTTTGTAAAAGAGAAAACCTGAATTCAAATCGTCGATAAAGCAGAGTGATCGTGGTAGCCTGATTTGTTAGGGCATATCAAGAAAACTTTGGCGTTTATCGTAGTATTAAGTTGTCTTTTCGATCGTATTTTTGGCTGTAGCGTCATGTTCTGGCGGCTCGGAAAGTTGGTGCTCAAAAATGGAGCCAAAAGTATTAAACGCTTCAAATCATGCCATGCCTGTGGCGTGCCACTACAAAGCAGAGATTCCCTAAAATCTGGATATTACACGCCACCCAAGGCTTCGCCAGTGAGCTCTAAAAATGCTCAATTAGGGGACTTAAGGGAACTGAAGTACCTACTTTTCAGTCAAGATCTGCGCAGCTTGCAGCGACCAAATAACACATCCGATTTTATGGCCGAAGAGACTGATCACCTAAAGCCGACCAATAAGCTAGTGTGCAAACGGTGTAGTGACGCATTGCACCAAAACAGGCACAACGCTGAGGATTTCCGCCCATTTTCAGCTCCAGAGGTCTGCAAACACATCCCAAAGGATGCAGATGTCTTCCATATTTTACCGCTGGCACAATTTCCTTTGAATTTCGACAGTGGTCTCTTTTTGGATCCTACATACAATGCATCTCTACTGCTGTCCAAGGGCGACCAAGTGACACCCGACAAGGCAGTTTTACAGCGCAAAGCTCCACCATTTTTTAATGATTTCCTGCGAACAACGCTAGGAGTTGTATCAAATAAGGCGGTGGCATTTTCCGCCACTCAAAATTGGAACGTTCAAAGCGTTTATTCTATGTTGCGCGGCAAGTCTTATTTGCTAGGAAGTCCCAATTCTGGGAAATCTACGTTAATCAACGCACTTTTAAAGCGTTACGGGGGCTACAAATACTCGGAGTCTGTAGCACCTCGCGAATTTAAGAGCCCTACAAATCTGGTTCTTCAAGAAGGAGCTGGCGTTTCGCACATTCCCAATATGACCCGAAACTTACAAACATATCAAATTGGCGAGAAGAAAGTGAATGACCTACCTGGCTACTCCCAAAATGTCGAGAACACACCGCTAGACACGTTCCTTGAAGCCAAAGTTCTCGAAAAAATACGAAAAACACATCTTTTCACAAAATCTAAGCTGGTCAGACAGAAATATACTTCCGTTAAGGGTACCGATTATGGTCGTTGTTATACAGTTAGCGGCATCTTCTACCTTGTTCCACCACCCGGGACAATAAATCAAGTGGTCAATTACATCCCTGGGAATGAAAAGCAGTACCACGATATCGATAAAGCTTTGTCGGTAGCCTTCAATGAACTGAACTCCAACGAGGGCGGTGCACTAAAACAGTACGTAGGAGTTGCGAAACACATGGGTTCTAAAGACAATTACGTTCGCCATGTGATACCTCCCTTCCAAGGCACTGTTGAAATTGTGATGAAAGATATTGGCTATTTCCAACTCAAAGCAACAGGCAAATATCACTTTTCGGGCTTGTATGAGATTTGGCTACCGAAGGGCATTGAAATTATCATTCGAGAACCCATAGTTCGTCTTATCGAGCAAGGTTTTGAAACACATCTCGAATCCCAAGGAAAGAAAAGTGCTTTTCCAGAAAAACGACCGGTATTCAGTTCTACATATCCAATGGACGTAAATGAGCCTGACACCCTGACTAAAATGAAAGACATGTTTTTGGAACGAACGAGTAACGATATAATGAGCAGAAGGCTGATACATCATGATCCCATGGATATCGTCGGCCAGCTTCAAAACAACCTGCCTAATTTGTACTGGTACTATAAGTGGTAGATCTAAGTAGAGAATAGGGCTATCACACGATTTCAGTATTTTTCCACCCGAGAGCCATATCGTCCGAGCGCTTCTGCTGCCTTAAAAATTGGCCATTTCCCTATACAGTAGCTCACTTGTTTTTTACCCGACACTCGTAAGTTGATCGCCGAACGAATCGCAAATGTGACAAATACATGATGGATTCTTCCAATAGTCAACGACCAGTGCTAGTGGGAAGAGCAGGAAGCCGCGCGCGTCTCTTATCATGAAATCAAATGGTATATAAGACGTATAGATTCACTGGCGAAGCTCCAGACATGTTTGAAGCCAATTAATCATCTTGAGAAAGATAGCAATCACAATGAGTTCAGTTTTAGTCAGACCAATCCAGGATTCAGATAAAGAGGCATGGTCAAAACTGTGGGATCAATTCCTCACTTTCCACAAAAGCAGCGCTAGCGACGAAGCAAAAGATTTGACTTTCCAAAGGTTTTTGGATCCCCACGTTAAGATGTGGGGGGCTCTTGCCATCAACGAGGACTCTGGCACACCTATCGGGTTAGTGCACTATCTTTCCCACTTCCACACTTGGGATGTGAAGGACAAGATATACCTCAATGATTTATTTGTTGACGAAGGTTCCAGGGTTAAGGGCGTGGGCAGAAAACTAATTGAACACGTATACAGACATGCCGATGATCTCGGTACTCCAGCAGTGTATTGGGTAACTTATGCTGATAACCATAGCGCTCAAGTGTTATACAATAAGATTGGAAGGAATCAAGGCGTCAATAAATACGTTAGAGATATATGACTTTACATCAATTACTTTACGCCGAAAGCGTAGTACAAAGGATTATGTACTTCAGCTAATCTCGCAAACATCTGTCTTGCGAACTAATTAGGACGTTTTGTAGTTTTGATTAATTCTGCAGAGATGGACGCTCAAACGTTTTTTTTACCTACATAAAAAGCAGAACGGAGAACTAACACCGTCTCATCTTATAATCTTGTAGCGGGCCAAATGAAGCCTGGTACAGATTTATTTGATGTCCGAAAATAACTTCTTCAATTGTGTCTTTATTGTCTTCAAACCATTTTCGAAGTCTAAACAAACTTCTTATTCCTAAGCTTTTACGGCGAATAAGGGGCACAAGCTAGAATGGGTGATGCTGAGCTCTTGAAATGTCAGAACTGCCATATTCCTTTGGAACTGGACAGCTCTTTGATGGAGTTAAGTCTCGCACAACGAAACCTTTTGATGAACTCTGCTACCGAGCCCACAGTGCCAGCTGTGCAAATTCCAGCAGATCGACTCAAAAGACTCAACAGCGTCAGGAAAGGTAGCGAACTGAATTTACAACCCTCAGTCTTGAATAATCTCGACTCTTACGTGTTCCTTACAGGTGATTCAAGTACACTACATACTACTCGTTTGGACGGAGAATCCGGGAGCGAAGATGACGAAGACATAAGATCGAGGACTCTTAGTTCTAGGATCAGCACCTTGACAAACATTTTCAACATACTGTCTTCTAAAAGTAACATTGAGTATCCTGTCTGCCAAGACTGCTGCGACCTACTGATTCAAAAGCTCAAGGGCGATTATGAGGATGCTTTGAAAGAAAGAGATACTTACTCAGACTTTTTGAAAAGGCTTGAAAGACAACAAGAGCTGGAACAAGACAGATCACAGGAGGAAGGGGATTCATTTGAAGAGGAACGAAGAATAGCCGAAAAGGAGCAAGAAGAGCTTTTACAGAAACTCGCGAATCTAGAAAAAACAGATGCAGACCTGGATGCTACGATTGAGAAACTGGAAGAGGAATTGGAAGTCAAAAAACAGCACGAAATGAAGGAACTTGAACTTCGGAATATCCGAGATCTGGAGAAGATGGAGTTTTCGAAGGAACTGCAATCACTAAAGAACCAGTACGAGTTCACTTTAAACAGTCTCGACAAGCTGCGGAAAACAAACATATACAACGAGACGTTTCGTATCTCACATGACGGGCCTTTTGGGACCATTAATGGACTGCGCTTAGGCGGTTTAGACGAAGCACCTGTTCCCTGGCAAGAAATCAATGCGGCACTTGGACAACTTGTATTGTTGCTAGCCACAATATGCGCGCGCTCAGAGTTCAAATTGACGGGCTACATTTTGAGGCCGATGGGTTCGTTTTCCAAGATTGAACAATTCGACTCTAAAACTCAAGAATGGCATAGCTGTGATGTCTTCAACAACGGAGGTTTCAAAATTGGTAGAATATTCAACAAGGGAACTAGTTTTGATCGGGCCATGGTGTCAATAATGGATATCATCGGTCAAATTATATCTCATCTCTCACTCGACAGGCCAGTAGACTCGGAGGAGATAGAGCTGCCCTATACAATGGAGGCCGAAAAAATCAATGGACTATCAATCAAATTGAGCGCAAACAAGCCGGGGCAAGAATGGACTACTGCTTGCAAATTCCTTCTTACCAATGCCAAATGGTTACTTGCTTTCTCGTCGAGTATGATTACAAATTCGTAATAATTGCAAAACCCTGCAATAATGGTTAAAGTAACAAGACTTCAAGTTAGCATAGATGCAATAGCGCGCTTTATGGTATCTTCGTGCTTGTACTATACTTTTAGCAACTTGAATATAGGCACCTTTCGAAACCCTCACAATCACCGAGAAATCATCCATGAACGATCGAATAGGGAGTTCGACAATTCCAGATGGCGATGAGTTGGCGAAGTCCTTAAAAACGCTAGCCAAAGGCCTTTCACTACAGTCGGCCGACTACAATGCAATATCACAGAAGATTATGAGCGCTCTGCCGCCTTGCGTGAAACCCTCGGATCTAGTGAAATTTACTGGAGAAGTTCTGGTAGCCATGACTACGAAACACCCCGATTTTGCCAATCTAGCTGCAAGGTGGGAAATATCCAATCTACATGAAAGACTCAAGGGTCTGACATTCACCCAAAATCTATCTGTTATCCGAAATTTTAGATCGCTGGATGTAGCCACCCAACCTACCAAAAGGCGTAAAACAGAGGCGCCGCTCAGCTCGAAAAAACTGATATCTGACGAATTTTACGAACTCGCTTTGAAGCATAGTGAAGTCCTGGATACAGCCATTGCGTTTGAACGAGATTTTGATTTTTCTTACTTTGCCTGGAAAACAATGTGCAAATCTTATCTCATAAAGCGAGACAACAAGGAAATCCACGAAACTCCACAGTTTTTATTTATGAGGGTAGCACTTGCTATTCATGGTCCACGGGATGATATAGAAGGTGTTCTGCAAACATACGATTTAATGTCGCGCAAGTATTTTATCCACGCATCCCCTACTCTCTTTAACGCGGGGACGGTAAATCAATATTTATCTTCATGCTTTCTGGTGGGAATGATCGAGGATTCGATTGATGGTATTTATCGCACATTGCACAAAACAGCAATGATTTCAAAAGCCTCGGGCGGAGTTGGTATTCATGTGTCCAACGTCAGAGGATCTGGATCTTATATATCGGGTTCTAACGGTACATCTAATGGTCTTGTACCTATGCTGCGTGTCTTTAACAATACTGCAAGGTATGTCGACCAAGGTGGTAATAAGAGACCTGGGGCTTTTTGCATTTATCTAGAGCCGTGGCATTCAGACGTTTTTGATTTTTTACAGCTGCGTAAAAATCAGGGCAAAGAAGAGCTCAGAGCTCGCGATCTCTTCTGTGCGCTTTGGATTCCAGACCTCTTCATGAAACGTGTACAAGAGAATGGAAACTGGAGTCTTTTTTCACCAGACGAAGCACCAGGTTTGCAGGATTGTTTTGGCCGACAATTTGATGATTTATACGAACATTATGAACAAACTCAAACTCCCGCTAAAACTGTGCTTGCACAGAGTTTATGGAGTGAGATCTTACAAAGTCAGGTTGAAACGGGAGGGCCATTTATGCTTTATAAAGACGCTTGCAATAAAAAGTCAAATCAACAAAACCTGGGGACAATAAAATCTTCGAACCTATGTTGCGAAATTGTGCAGTATAGTTCACCGGAAGAGACCGCTGTTTGTAACTTAGCTTCTGTCGGGTTACCATCATTTGTGAAGGTCGAAGATTCTATTGCAATATTTGACTTCGAAAAGCTGCACCAAGTTGTGAAAATAATGACCACTAATCTGGACATAGTGATTGACATTTGCGACTACCCTGTAAAGGATGCTGAATACAGCAATAAGAGAAACAGGCCTCTAGCGATTGGCGTACAAGGGATGGCTGACGTCTTCTACATGCTTAGGATTCCCTTCCAGTCCGAAAGTGCTCGGATTCTTAACCGCCAAATTTTCGAAACCATGTACCATGCTGCTGTCGAAATGTCAATTGAGCTATCAAAAAAGTACGGACCTTACCTCAGCTTTAAGGGGTCCCCCATATCGCGCGGAAAATTCCAATTTGATCTATGGGGGCTCGATGATAACAGTTATCAATTTCTGTACACTGACTGGGATCATTTAAGAAACGAGGTTCAAACGCACGGTATGAGGAACTCATTGCTAATTGGTCCTATGCCCACGGCGTCTACATCACAAATTCTAGGATTTGTAGAATCTTTTGAACCGCTAACATCTAACATATATGTTAGGAGAGTGCTGAGTGGTGAATTCACGGTTGTCAATAAATATATGATTGACGACTTTTACCGTCTGGGTATTTGGGATGAGAAGCTGAAAAATCGCATAATTGCAAATGACGGGTCTATTCAAGACATAGAAGGGATTCCAACTGATATGAAAGAACTTTACAAAACGGTTTGGGAGATTCCACAACGAGTGCTGATTGATTTGGCAGCTGATCGCGGCCCTTTTATCGACCAGTCTCAAAGTCTCAATTTGTATCTAAAAGAGCCGACCATGGGAAAGCTCACCAGCATGCATTTCTACGCATGGAAAAAAGGCTTGAAGACCGGCATGTACTATTTGAGGACGCAAGCTGCGTCGCGCGCTATCAAGTTTTCCATCAACGCTGAGAACACCTTGAATGGACCTGTGAGTATACCAGAGGGAGCAAAAATACCACAGGTCACTATAAAAGGTAACTATCTCCAAGTTTGCGATCCGCAAATTGAACTCAAAAGCCCCGAGCCCGGGCCCGTGCTGCAAACACCAGGCTCACGCACTAGACGAGAGAGCTTCGCTGGTCGAGGCGACGTGTTTGGAATTCACGATTCCACCCCTATCGCGTGCACAACGACCGAAAATCCTGGTGCCAGTTGCGAGAGCTGTTCTGGTTGAGTATGGGTTGGTTACGTTTCCGAAACAAATTGAAGCTTGTATATAAACATCTGTAAATACGGGACTACTATTTCCAGAACCTTGTAAATAGATGGGAAACATCGAATACGCGATTTTGCAGTTTTGCAGAATCTATCTGAAATTCTCGTGTCTAATCAATCGCACTATCAAGAGATTTTACTAAACGTACTAGTTCTCATTGCCTGGAGCCACTTCTACTATATGCTTAAAATCATGCTTACCAAGCTATCGCTTCCTATTGAAGTAGTCGTAAATAATCTTGCATGTTTCTAATTAGGCGCCATTAAGAACCCCCCCTAAAATAAAAATACTTGGACTATATAAAGGGGATAATTTTATGGTGGGAGTCGATATAGAGATAGATAGCATCCTCTACCTTGCGCTTTTATATATTTCCAGTTCGCAGCAAACGTAGCGAAAGGTTTTGATTGAAGAGCTTTGAACACACTCTGCGTGCGCTGAATAATGAGAATACCGTTGGAGTTATTGCCGCTGGGCGGCTTTTCTGTTCTTGATCGCTTCTTACACACCACAGATGGTACAAGTCCCGCATCCTGCCCTTCTGGCTTACCACTGACGTGTTCCAATCACACAATTATCGATGATTCATGCTGTTTCGAGTATCCTGGCGGAGTAATGATGCAGACACAGTTTTGGGACTACAGCCCGCCAAGAGGGATGGAGTCCGGGCACTGGAGTGACGAACTGGAGAAGCAGTTAGGGCCAAATACCTCCTTTACAAATCATGGACTCTGGCCAGACAATTGCGACGGCGGATACCAGCAGTTTTGCGACAATTCGAGGCAAATCGATGATGTGTACAACTTGCTGAAGTCGAAACAATTCAACCACGAAGGTCTCGAAATACAAGGCGAAGAATTGTTGGATCGAATGAGCAAGCTCTGGAAGAGTAACACCGGTGACCACGAGTCTTTGTGGATCCACGAGTTCAACAAACACGCCACTTGCATCAAGACGTTGAAACCTCAATGTTACGCTCGGTGGGACGGGGACGAAGCAAAAGTCACGGATGACTACAACAAAAAAGGGGTATATGACTATTACAGAATTGCAATGAAGCTATATGAGAGTCTAGACAGTTTTAAAGCACTTGAAGACAATGGCATTACTCCATCCACCACGAAGAGTTATACTCGCGACGAAATCAGTAAGGCATTGAGCTCTGCATTCAACGGAAAGAAAACGTTCTTCAAATGCGATCGTAATAGAGGGCTGAACGAGATTTGGTACTACCATTTACTGCAGGGAAGCTTTCTGGGCGAAGAGTTCCATGCCATTGACGCTATAGGCGCTTATTCTAACTGCCCAGCCGACGGAATCATGTTCTATCCCAAGGGTTACAGACCAGGTAGTGGGGGCCAGCCAGGAAGACCAGGGAATGGTAATCGCGGAACTAGAGGCATCATTCGCGTGAGCGGTTTTCAAGGTTCTATTATAAGAAACGGACACTGGATGTCAGGCGGAACTCCTGCCAACTTTGACCTTATTAAAGCGCCTTTTGGGAACTTTCATCTAAAGTCTAGAACAGGCTACTGTGGACCGGACAATCGTCATAATAACGCATTAGTTTGTAACAAAGGTGTGGGAAATGCTGCCCAGTTCGAGTACGACGAATCGAAGGGGTATTTGGGTCTTTCGGGCAGCTATGAGTGGTACGCTGACGAATACCCACGAGGTCGCCAGCAGTCATTGGTGTATGCTGGCCACTCTGAAGAATCGAAATACCCAATGAAACTAAAATTTGTAAAACTACACTAAACTTTCCAATCTCAAAAATAATTGTACATATACCCAAATGCAGTCGCAACAAGCCCGTTACCAGCGGTTCGAGTTTTGGGCCAATTGAAGAAGTTTCGTAGTACTGTCGTCATAATTGGAAATCTGTCTTTTGGCTGGCTTTTCGCTGTCCAGGTTCAATAGCACCCTTGTATTTTCGGAATCCTGAAAGTCTTGTGCTTGGGCGAATCTTGAGGGAAGATGATCAGCAGCCTGATCTATGTGAGGAGTATGTGGTCTGGCTTTAGAAAGTTCGGCTTCCAGTTTGGATATGGTGCGTTCCAAAACGTAAAGGCGGTCTTGTAACGCCAAATTTCGTGCTCCTTGTGTATCCAAGCCACGCTGCAGCTGATCAATCTGTCGTTGCTGATCATACACCATTCTTCGCAGATTGTCGTCTTCATTGTAATGTTTCGGTACTGGGTTTCTCGGTAGTGAGCGGAAAGATGAAGCTGACACAGGGGCTTCATGCTGCAACCCTTCTCTTAGCTGCTGCCGCAGACGATCATCATTGCTATAGGACCTATTAAAAAGTGGGCCATCAGTTGGAGGTGTGGGTACTTGAACAGGTCGCGTTCTTGTTCCTGTGGGACTGGTGACCAGTAGTTCTTGTAGATTTTTCTTGGATGCCAAATACTCGCGCCTTATGTTCTGGAGAGTATCATCTGTTTCAGGGTCATTGAAAAATCCTGTCGCTTTCGTTCGACTCATGAATCCAGTATGTTATGTCGATGGTTAGGAAACAGTAATAAAGGTGACGATCTGTGTTTGTTGATATTTTTTGTGTTCACGAAATTTCAGTGTAATTTTATATAACTGAATCGAATATACACTCCGAAAACAGAGAAGCGATGAGAGGCTACCGAATTGAAGAAAAATAAGTAACAGTTTGAAGAACTGAACAACTCATTACGCTCTCGATCTATAGTGCTTTTGAAAAGATGGGAGGTCTTACTCTTAGGACGTAAGCTGAATTTTATCAGTGATGAAGAAAAAAGTTTACGCGGCCACCCTGATATTTTTCGAGGCCTTCGATACAGCAATGATCGCTGTAATAAAATGCAATCCCAAGGATAGTGCCATGCGAAGTTAACGTGCAATCAACACTAGTGGTTTGGAGGAAGAAGGGTCTCGTTCAAGTTTTTATAACTCGCAAAAACTATACGATGGCAAGCTAGATTGTGACCAACCGTTTATTGTGCTTCTAAGTTGCTTGGTATGTCACTCGCTCGGAAATCAACGTACTGTAAAGGAACAAGAAGCGACTTAAATTCATACATCACTTTGTACTATACCGTCGCGCGCTAGGAATAGTGACCGGCGGTGTTTGTGTTCTTCGCCGATTTCAAAGCCAAAAATATGTTGGTTGGTGTTACGTCTCTTTTCATGAACAGGACTCTCTTTGTACTTGCTTCGATCAAAAAACACCGACAATCTAAACCGTAAATACTCAATTGTTTCGGTAGAATTTATGATATCGAGCAGTAGCACATGTGCACCGTTATTCCTCGAAAGTTACCTAGCGTATACACATTTTCTCAATGTACTCAACCAGCTGCAATAGGTAACTCTTTCATTATTATTCAAAAGGAACAAAATTTATGAAGTTCACGCGGGTCTAGCCGAAAGCCTTACACCATAACACATATCAAGAAAGAAGAATGAAAGCAGGCAACACAACCATGAACTAGGAATAAATTCAAAGCGCCCTCTTGGTTTCTCTTTCCAGGCCTGGGACAAAAATTTAACGTAATACGAGTTACACTGTCTCTAGTTTTTGCAATACAGATGAACTCAGCGGCCACATCTCAAGATAAGTAGCTACAAAACTTGCCATATTCTTCAAAGGTATCACAGATTGAAAAGCCATCACTAACTGGCCTGCGACGCGTGCGTTGAAAGTGATACATTTCTTTTTTACGACGAAACCAACCGTTCCTGGCTTGTCAACGACGCGTACCTTCCGTTTAATAACTGAAACTCTGTTTTCTCAACTATATATGTGTCGCCTTGTCAATTACTCTTCACATCCCGTTCTTTCTCTCTCTTCCGTCTCGTTTCCACTGGCTCGTAACTTGCAAGGCCCAGAACATTCATTTTTTGGTTTTTAATTAGAATTTAGCAAATATCTAAAAAGCAGCTTAGAATGCAAGAGACCAGTGCCACATTATCAAGGTTGACGTCTTGATACGCGTTTTGTCAACGAAAAGACAGTTGTAACGTGGCAAAACTTGGCAATAACGCTGGGAAACAATCTTCAAAACAAGCTTGGAGAAGACTTTACGCTCTGAAACGACGTAACAGGTCAAAATAAGGGCTTCGATTGTACATATACTGATTGCATTGCAAAAGCCGTTTTGGAAACAAGATCGGCACACTTACTCAGCGCAGGATATAAGAACACAAGGTGGCTGAACAGAAACTTTTTGAGAGTGTGCAACAGACCCAGCACCTCTTTTCTACAAGTACCCACCATTCCCTCTTCTTAGCGTTTCGCGATTAGTCGGAAAAACCGCGCAGAAGCATTTTCACTGGCATTTTCACACTAGTTCAGAGGACAGTTTCCTCAGACACTCAGATTTTGGACCTACAAGCCTCCAAGCTGTCACGGCGCATCGTATTTGCACTTTTACTTTTTCTTCACAGTCATTTGAAGTGAACCATTAGCTCAGCCATTTTTGCATCCTCTAGCATGTACCAAGCTCGTCTTGAAACACATCACCAGAGCCCCCCTGCACATATGGGGCAACCCGCGGCTCCAGTAAAGTCTCCAGCAATGGCGTCTCTACCTCTCGTCGACCTTACTGCTGGACCGCATTCTCTTCCGCAGCTCAGTGCTTGCGATTCGGTGGCAGATGTACGCACCTTGGAATCACCGTTGTTTCTAGACCTTTCACAGTGCGGGATGTCGCTCCCGTTCCAAAACTATACCCGTGTGCACTTAAAGTTCCCATCGACTTTACTGCGGCGTCCCAAGTTCCAATTCTCTCAGCTAGTTCAGACTTTGGATCACAATACCCGAGACTTATTGACGTCTGCAGTTACCTCGCATTCTGTCTTTGTATTCTACGATGAAGGAAGTACCTTGCAAAGCTGCTCTTCTCATACGTCTAATATTTTGACCAAAATCATTCCCTATTTAATACAATTGAAAAGCCAACAACACAACAACACCAAGTTTCTGTTTTTGCAAGGTGGAAAAACCAAATTGCAGGAAAAGTTGCCATTACATCAACCGGTACCATTCCCACGTCCACCACATTTGAAAAATTCTAGATCTGCCCCCAATGTCAACAAGCCAGCTACCAAGAATGGCCTCAATAAGCATAACATGAACCTGAAAATTACAATTCCATCTCGAAATACTCGCGCGGATAACTCAGATTATATGTTTATACAATCTTTCAAAAAAGACTCTATTCACTATTCTCCAGACAGTCTCCAAAAATATTTCAATTTCCATATGCCTCCCAAAATTGAACCGGAAGATGAGATTCTACCCGCCTGGCTGAAAAACTATTCAAAAGACGGTAGCAAGAATCTACTACGTATACTGAATGCGTTTGAATGTTTGGAAAAGTTAGAGGTCCAAAGGCTTGAACGCTGCTTGCAATCGTCAAAGGAGGAATTACAGAAAGAGGACAAATCCAACACCCAGATAGATGTTCAGACGGCTTCAGATGAAAAAGCGGGGCCTACACAGAAAACAAGACTACGAAAGCCTTATTCTTTCCGTAAGATGCAGAAACAATTCAAGCCAGATAGGCATGACTACGACTCTGATAACGATGGCTATCATCAAGCAGAAGAACTCAAACTTAAGATGGATATACATGAGGAACTGCATGGCGGTGAAAACCAAGAGTTGATTTCTAAACTAATAAAGCTTCAAGGCAATGATAACCTGAGCACTCGTGAAGCTAACCGTATCAACAACTCGAAGAACAACCACACCGAAGTACAAGATGAAGACGAAGACGAAGTTGTGGAGACTCCAATGGATGACTATTTACTTACCCGTGGAATACAATCATACACCAAAAATAGATATTCGAACATTCTCCCTTATGAACACTCTCGGGTCAAGCTGGAGCCTTCGCCGGTGTGGTCCGACAATAAGCACGGCCCTCTTTCATGCACCGTTACTCCTGGTTCTAATTCACCTCTTTCAAATAAGGCCATTAGAAAAAGACGAAACTCGTACTTCTCTCAAGATTGTTCGAGCCGTGAGAGATCTTCCGAGCACTCAAGCGACCAAAAGCCAGAAACAGTTAGATCATCTCTACGGCCTCCTCTCACCTCTCATGACTCGATGCGTACCACATTAACGCCAAATACCGCCTCAGATAATGACACGTTCAATGACTATTTCAATGCAAACTATTTGAAGATGCCTCAAATCAATCCCGATTTTAGTTATATTGCCACACAGGCGCCACTTCCTTCTACTCTAGATGATTTTTGGAAAGTGGTCGTCGCTAATGGCGTCAAAGTCATTCTGTCCTTAAATTCTGATGACGAGTTGAGCATGCGTAAGTGGGATATTTACTGGAACTCAACTTCCTTAAAAAAATTTGACGTAAGTGTCAGCGATAACTTTGAGAATGTGGGAGGTGTAAAAGGCTGTATCTTAAGAGTTTTCAAAGTTAGGCGTAAAGTTACAAAGGAACATAATAAACCAGGTGAAGCCAAAGTGTCGAATAACGTCAAGATCGTGGAAACTGAAGCAAACGGCACCATTGCGAAAAAGACAAAGGCAGAGATCATGGAGGGAGAATTGCCTACTTGTAAAAACGGAAGCGAAATTGAAACAGCTGTCCATACCATTTGTCAATTACAATACACCAAGTGGCTTGACTCTTGCGGAATAAACATGAGTGATGTTCTAAAATTGCATCGCATCAAGAATTTACTGCTCAACAACGCGGCTTTCTTCATCGAGAGTATAAGGCACGGCAAGGTTTATGAAGATATTATGAATGCTAAAGATTCATCTCCGAAGGATACTTACACAAGCGATCTCACAAAAGCGCCAGAAAAATCGCCTTTGCTTGTACATTGTTCCGCAGGATGTGGTCGCACAGGAGTGTTCATTACATTGGACTTCCTCATCAATGTATTCGAACGTCCAACCGATAATGCGAATCGTATAGATGTGTGGAATATGCCCCAGGACTTGATATTTATTGTTGTCAATGAGTTGAGAAAGCAGAGAATTTCTATGGTTCAAAATCTGACGCAGTACATTACGTGCTACGAAGCTATTTTGAAATACTTTGAATTACGCAAGATTACTGGGAACTGTGATCGTGTGCACTAAAATGATCTGGATTTTGAATAAGGGCAATGATATTTATGTTTTTTTCTAGCTACTTTTATTTTTATAGGGTATAGGGCTGGTAATAGTGTTTGTCTTTTTGGTTAAAAACCTCAGTTCCCAATGCATTGTTTTTATTTTTGTGACGGTATGGACAAGAAAATCTGTAAATTTTCCAGTATAGCGCCGTCGACGGGCGCTAAAAGATTCTGGAACTGCGGTCCTAATTTGGTCTCCAAGAATTGCAGAATTTGCGCTATTTCCCCTTTCAAGCTTACGTTGTGAGCAGGATCTCTTGTTTTCGATAGAATTTTTAATCTTGATTGTTCGCATGTTAGTACGTGCTCGATCCCAGATTCAGAGTCATCTTCGACATCTTTAAGATGAAATTTCACGCAGTCGCCATCAGAAGTTTCGTTTGTCTCCTCTAAAAACTCCACCCAGATCGAGGCAATACTTGGAAACTCTGCAATAATTGGTATAGACAAAGTCCGAAGCATGCTCGATATACCAAGTATGTGAATTTTCCTGACTTTGGGGTCGTAAAATTCCTTAAAACATAAAATCCACAAGGTCATGAATTTATCAAGTAATTTCTCAGAAGGCATATCGCTTGTCACTACCCTCCTCTGATCCAAGGGTAACAAGGAATTTTGTTGAGCGGTTGGAAGCATGGACTTATATTCTTCGAGAAATTGTAGAACAGAAGTTGCATTGTAGTAGGCAATTCTTGCTATTATTCGCAGCAATTGACCTGTTTGATAACACGAAATCTGTTCCTCACGAAAAATTGCATCAAAAATGGAACTCAGCGCACCAGTTGTAAACAGAAAGTTGAGTAATGAATTTATGTTTTCCGGATTTTGAAGCAGTGCTAGGGTGTCGACTATTAGAAGAAAAATGTCGAAAGAGTCATCACGAAGCTTCAGAAGATATCTGGACATGTGAGAAAACACGAATCCAAATGTGGTCGATCTCATAAAATCATCGCTCCCCAAAATCAAGACATAGCTCTGCACAATCTCTAGAAGCGTTGGAAGAATTTCAGTTTGATTTTGTATAGCATTCTCCAAGAAGGGTATCATTTCTAGGAAAGTGCTGTCAAGCTTTTGCTCTTCATCTGAGTAATTTTGCAACAAGCTTTGCCAGAGATCAAATCCATCTTCGTACAAGAGCGAGTATTGGGGCGATGATGCATTACAGGCAGCCTGTGTCACTGGCAAGGCTATCTGCCAGGTCGCTGTTGAATTTTTTCCTAAAGAACAGACTGAATGTCTCAAGAGTCTCAATAAAGCGTTTGCCAAAATTGACTCACTTGGTTCGTTAACTGAGAGTTCCCATAAATTAGGTACAGCTTGTAGAATTTCTACGAGAAGGTTTTTGCTGATGAGTGGCTTTGTGTAAAATATGATTTCACTCAAAGTGTTGAGGACATACAGACGTGTTTCTGTAAGTGAGACAACAGGAAGAATCTTCTTGAGTAAAACAAACACAAAACTATCGAGATATGGCTGAAATGACTCTTTGCTGAAGCTCCAATCATTTATTAGCGTTCTCAATGTCTGCACACAACTTAGCTGAATAACCCTATCGTCCTCCCCCGTTAAAAGCTGCAAAAACAACTTGTAGCAGAGTTGTTTACTACTCTCTGAGCACTTCACCCCACACCATTCATTTATTACTAAGGCAATTCTTCTCTTTAAAATCTTCGATTGCTCCTGGGATACCTGCGGATTGGTAGCTTCTGGCAAAAATACATCAACAAGAAGGGAATCAAAATCAACCGCTTCACTTATAGAACTTGCACTCAATTGAAAGCTGGCAAAAATAGCATCTTTCTTTAATAAATCACCAATGGTATTGTTTGAAGTTCCCACATCCGTTTGAATCTTGTTGAGTAAATACGGTACCAGGGTTTCTGGAAATGTGTGTATGAGGTCTTGAAAGAAGTTCTCTGCACAGGGTCTGATTTGGTATTCGTAGCTTGCAGCGAGTTGCTCATTCATCCACTCCTCGGGGTCTATTGACCAATTTTCAAGGTCAGACAGTCTGAGCTTGATATACCAATCCACCAAAAGATCAACCCAATTTTGTATCAACTGTTCGTTCAAAAAATCTGTTGAAATTCTTCTTATAGCTGAATCAATTTCTGCTTTATCGTTTTTAGCCCTTATCGTCATAGCGCCTTTCTTGTGTATGAAATTGATTAGTTTCTTCAATAGTGAGAAGCCGCGAATGGCAACTTGTTCCCAAAAATCGCCGCTGAGGTCAGGATTTTCATTGTAAACGTCTGGAGCTCGATCGAATAAAAGCTTGGTGAAAGTAACGAGAATCTGTAAGGAACAAGGGAGCAGAATGAAGTTTGAGGGCGAAGCGCAAATTAAATTGTGATACAGTTTGCCATAGCATCTCACATACTTTTCGAAAAAGTCAAACTTTTTGTAATTATCATACTGTGAGAGCAAAAGCTCAAGGTGCCCAATAGATATTTGTAAGAACTCACGAACAGGCTCTTCTCTATGTGGAGACTCATACCCTTCAACAGTCAAACGTCTTAGCACCTTAAGTGCGATGTAAGAAACTTGAATTTGTGCTAAACTATCTTCATCAACATTTTCCGCCGTCGTCCACTCATTGAAAGCCTTGAGATATGTCCTTACCATGAGAGGAAAGACCAAGGGAGTTTTGCTTTGCATTGCAGGACGGCATCTACCAATCCTTGCAGTAGCTAAGATTTTGACGACCTGGTTCATAATCAACAAAAGATTATAGATTTTGACGTTGTCCCGCCAAATGGACTCATTAGCCAGCAGTTGCTCCAGCTGTTCAAAAAGGTTTGGCCATTCGCTCGGGAAGTCCAGACGGGCAATTCGAGCGGTGGCCTGCGAATTTTGTATGCAGAGCTGGTTGTTACTTTCGTCAATCAAATCGAAGAGCCGAGCCCTGATAGATGTCTTTTCCTCTTTTCCTATAGCATTGACCCTCGTCGACCGCCAGTGCCTGTCAACACCGTTCTTAAATTGAATAATGGCGAGCCATCTGACGTTCAGAGGGCATGATAAATCCAGATAGATGGATTGAAGCAGGTAATGATAACCCTTTTGAGCACTCCAAGCTTTCAATTGTTGTTCGGCGAGCTTTTGAACCTGTAACCCTGCATGCCGGGGATCACTCGCTTGTTCCAGAACTTGCGCCAAAGTCAGCTCGTTCAGAATTGATGCATCTGCCATTGCAGTTCGATGCTCTGCTCAATCTATATATCGAGTATCACAAAAGGAGCTAAACAAAATAGAGAGATCTTCGCCTAGCCAATTAGTCTTGCAAAGAATACGGGCATCGGTTAAATCACGTCCCTTTCGATAAAATTTAGGAGTCATATCATACGACTAATCAACCTAACCTAACGTTGACGGTGACTTTTGAGAGAGCTTCTATTAGGTGCACCAGCACTGTGAGTTACTTATCGTCCTCAGGATGTCCACCGATGAGCTTCATTGTCACCTACCCACGTCCGTTCAATGTACCCCAGCTCTTCTTTTACTTTCCGTACGGTGTCAGGGTCACCCATGTTCTTGCCCATATTGTCGGAGATCTTTATAGCGTGGTTCCCGTTCACCTCAAGCAATTTTATAACAATATTCAGAGGCTCACTCTTCTCGTTCGGGTTCTTTGAGCTGTAAAAATCATTGGTGAAATTCGTGCCGATGCCAAACGTTGCCTTAAGGCCAAATTTGTGGGCAGTTTGGGCGTATCCGATAGCCTTCTCTGGGTTTAGAGAATCTGAGTAACATATGACTTTGGAAAATCGTGGATACTTTAGAACATCAATGTAATGGTGAGCTATTTTCTTCGTATACTGCTCTGGGTCGCCCGAATCTTGTCTTACTCCAATGTAGTAGTCCGAATATGGGGGATTAAATGACCTCAAGAAGTTGTCAGTACCGAAAGTGTCTGTTAAGGCAAGCCCAGCATTTTCTCCCCCGAAGGTTTTTATCCAGTAATCCATCGCATCTTTGTTGGCGTTTACGTAGTCCATCGTGATTGACGCTATTGCCATCATCCATTCGTGAGCGACAGTACCGATGGGCTTCACACCATATTTTTTGGCGAACAAGACATTGGATGTACCCGCGAAGCATTTTCGGCCTACTTCGCCTTGTTCCTCCACAGCCTTCATGATTCCTGTCATGACTAAATCCTGTGTTTTTCTGGACCTCCTTCTTCTGCTTCCGAATTCGCTAAAGTTGATGCCATTTTCAATCAAGGTCCGTGCTTTTTGATAAGCATTTTCGACCTGGTTGTCGTAATTCCAATCAGTATCAACAAATCTGAAATAAGCCTCTGAAATCAATGACAACAGCGGGATTTCATACAAAATGGTGTCCCTCCATAAACCACGTATTTCTAGCTTGATATCGAACCTTCCATCTTGATCTGCTGGCTCGCTTGTTAACTCGATCTGTTCATCTGGGCGTATGGATAATCTTCCATTTGAAAGGTAATCCAAATACTCCTCAGGCAAAAATGGAATTGCCTTCTTCAAAAATTCAATTTCCTCAGTCGTAATCTTTAAATTTCCAAGAGACTCAATCTCTTTCTTCAGCCAGTCCACAGCTTCTTCGGTGAACGTTAATTGTGCAGACCTATTAGTGTACTTATAAACTGTCTCGACATCAGGGAAGTTTTGAACCACAGCAGCATGCATAGTTAGCTTGTACATATCAGTGTCCAATAAGGACTCTATGACAGGCTTCTGCATTGTGACGTTGAGGGATATGACCTTACAGAGGTGCTATTTGTCGTTTGGCAATCTCTGTTGTACTTTTTTTGATATCGACTAATCATCATATCACTTTCAAATTTTAGCGTCATCCTAACTCACTTCAACATTTGTTTTTGAAGATTTGGCATTACTACTACAAAAAAACTTGTGACGCTACACTTCCTCGGGCATGCCTTCGAAACTGAGTGCGAATACTATGAAGAACACGTCATGATATTGTTTAACAGAATATATGGCTAATGTTGTATTGCATGTGATATGCTAATGAGCTTAATAGCTACATTTCTAGCTTTGCTTTTATTGACCTTCCGTCGTGCATTTTGGTTTATGAAATTACTTTTAATACTCTATCAAATAGTGTGTCCATTTGAGCATTTTCTATGTTTTCGAACATGCTCGTAAAACTGTTCATGTTGATCACTTTTTGAGATCTTTCGCCGTTAATGAACTCAAACACTGAGTCCTCGTCGACATCCTCAACTTCATCAGCCTTTCTCCCATCGCTTCTATGAGAAGTGGTCAATTTTTGTAGTTCAGACTCGAACTGATTTGGAGACAACTGATCCATGACAGCATCTCTGTCAACTTCATCCAACATTTCAGGGCTAGTAGTGGTGCTAACAGCACCCAATCTATTTTTGATATCCAAGAAAATGAAATCTGTGTCATGGTTCCATCTGATACAGGAAATATATTCGTCGTGCTCAAAATTGCCTAGTCTTTGCGACAAGTCCGCATTGAAAATAAGAACATGGGACGTGTGATTCAGAGTGGGTAGCTTGTTCTTGTCGAGCGCTTGTTGATTTATAACAAGAGCGACACGGCCATTTTTTTCGTCGCAGCTCATCATTCTTGCTAAATGGCCGTTCTTGTAAATGCCATTGACATATGGGAACATGTCAAACGAGCTTTCAACTTGGCCTAAAAGCAAGTTCACAGAATTCAGAGTTGTCTGAGTTGCGACTATGAGGTTAGAATCATTAACCAGCATGATCGATTGAACTGCAGAATCCATAGTGAGTTCGTTGAAAGCTTTTTCTGAGCCCTCGTGGAATTTTTTGAAGGCATTGAAATCTAACACAGTAATTTTGTCATCAAATGCATGAAAAATCAAACTTCCGTCAAAAGACCAAGCCAATTCCACAGAGTTACTGAAATGATTGTTGTTGGGTATTCCAACTTTTGACAAGCGCCAATTATTAGTAGTTTCGTCAAAGGACCAGTATTTGATACCGCCATTATTATCAGCGGTCAAACAACCCTGAGAGTTATTAACAGATCTTGGTGCGACCAAAATGCTACTGACTGGCGCTTTGACACCATGTGGACTGAGTACCTTCGTTTCCAATACCCATTGTCCATTTTCAGACATGCGCCAAAACTTTAAAGTATGCGACAGATCGTTTGAAGATAACAAGTTATCTGGTGGGTACTCGATCTCATACGAAATCATCCACTTACCGTCTTTGGTAAACTTAACATCAGCTATTATCGGATCCTTCAAATTCAATTCAGACCTTACTTTACCCATAGAATTGTTAACACCAGATGCTAGATATTGATAGGAGACTTGCTCATTTTTGTAAAAATCATAGGCTTGAATCGCCGAGGTGTGGGGGAAATACAAATGCTTTGTGTTGGGTTGAATCTCTAAGCAAGAACTAAAATCTTGTCTCTTGCGCTTCAATAATTTTCTTTGCTGTTTTTTGGTAGACTTATTCATGTCCGACGATGATGCAGATGATCTGGATGAGACTGCTGAAACTGGGAAAACCACGTCTTTGACTGGAGTTTGATAAACGCAAAGTGGACCACTAACAGACACTCTAGAATTTAAATCAGTTGAGTTCAACAACAGTAGTTGATAATCCGAATTGGTGTGGTTGTCTGTAACTTGCAAACCCAAGGAGTAAAATTTATCATTAATAACACTGCAATCGACGACAACGCCGCTTAAACGAGGGAGAAATTGCTGCAGGTTGGTAGACAATTGCCAGAAACTCAACACCTTTTCCCAGCCACCAGACAACAAATATGAGCTGTCCGATGTGAAGCACAACGATAAGACCGAGTCAATATGCCATTTGAGCAGTCGACTAGATTTATCTTGTAGGTTAATGAGGTTGATAACACCAGATGCAAATCCAATGGCCAGCTGCGAACAATCATTGTCCAATGCCATAGAAGTGGCGAAGTGTGAGTTAGTTGAAGTAGTAGATGCTGATGTTGTTGAGGGTAATGGGAATGTTTGGACCTCGTTGTCACTTTCCGAGAAAAGCGGTTGAATATGCAGATTTCTTTTTGAGTTTAGATCTCTAACCAGAACGCATAGGTACCTGTCGTTGGCAGACCATGCTGACAACAAAACGTGCTGGAAAGTTTGACATTCTACAAGCGCTTGTTCCGAACGCCTATAGTCGAACAGTCGGTACGTGTAAGAAGCCGAGGACTCTTGAAGCGACGTAAGGACTTTTAGTTCATTATGTTCGGGGTCTTGAAAAACTTTAATTACAGTCTCTCCAGGCTGGAAGTTTGCGCCCAAGTTCAGAATCTTTGGCTCTTCCACAAGTCTGCCCTTGTAATTGAGCACTGCGACATGACCACAGGATGAGAAAACGCTGACTTCGCGCTCTTTGGTCTCTTCAGCGCTATCTTGCCGTGTGACATCGCCCAATGCGATGTGGCTCACTTGAGCACTTCCTTGCGCCAAAAACAGCTTTGTAAGCTGCTCGTTGTTCGCATATTTCAAAGTCTTGACGCACTGCCGGGTCTCTAGTGAATAGACTTTTAGTTGGTTATTGAAGGGAACAATCACAGCGGTCTGGTCGTGTGTTAGAAGCGTAACTGTTTTACCGCTGCAAGACCTATTTTCGGCCCTAGGAAACACCACTTTCCCGCCTGAAACTACCCCCAGCTTGTATTTTTGGTGAACCACCGATTGGACCATTTGATATTTTAGCAGTTGGGCCGCTCTTGCCAATAGTTTCACGTATCAATCAAACACAGAGCTCTTCTTGCAATCGTCAACTTCTAGCTCATCGCATCGCATTCCAAAAATTTTTCAACGAAGAAGAAATGAAAATAATCAAGTTTATATCATTTCGTACTAGAAAAAGTTCAATCTTGTAATATCGAAAAACTTTTCTAGCGATGGGAACTTGAGATGAGCGTTAGAACAAGAGCAGGAAGCGGGTAGGAAAGCTTTGGAGGAGCCAAATATTATAGATATAGCAAGATTGAATTATGATCGTACCTGTGAGATGCTTTTCATGCGGAAAAGTAGTCGGTGACAAGTGGGAAGCCTACTTGAACATGTTGCAAGAAGACGAGCTGGACGAAGGTACCGCGCTTACAAAATTGGGACTTAAGAGGTATTGCTGCAGACGTATGATCTTGACGCATGTGGACCTGATCGAAAAGTTCTTGAGATACAATCCATTGGAGAAGCGGGATTAGGAAAACCGCTGCAATGAGCGGCAGCACGGCAACGTGAAGATACACTAACGTCTACGGCTTAAAGCTTGAGATTCTGGGTCAACGTCGCAAAATTTGATAGCATAACCTGTATAATAACGATGAAAAAAATATGAATGCCAACTTACTTGGATGAATCGGATGGGGAGGAGACGGGATCGGGGACCAGTAAAACCTCTTGCTGTGAACAATGGCGTGATATACTTATAATCTCTGGTATTCGGAAGTTGAAGCCTCTAATGAACTGTGCGTCACATATTCTGTGAAACTGCAAGCAAGGGAGTAACTGCAAGCAAGGGAGGAGCCGCAAGACTGCGAGAAACCAGTCATCATATTTACGTTCCTCAAGTATCCATCTCGAATGATATTTAATCAATAGAAATGAGCTTCGCGTATCGCCTGAAGGAACGGCATTTGAACCTTTAAATTATCGTTATTACCATATATACAGAACTTTGTAAACAATAACTGGCGTCACTATTTCATATTTTTGTAACTCTTTTTGAACAGCAAGATAGAGTCGATGCGTTCTAGTGCCAATTCCAACAAATCTTTGCGCTTTTGTAAGTCGATGTGACGCGCAATTCGAGGGTCTTCCTTCGCAAACAGCTCTACCTGCTCATCTGATAAAGCCGTCAGTTTACGATCCAGTTCGATAGGAAAATTGTAAAAAAAGTCACTCAGCAACTCCACATTCAAAAAAAGTACTGCAGTAGAGGTTAACTTGTCGCTCACAGCATTCAAGAAAACCTCTGGGCACAAATCTTTGTCCGCAGTAGAGTGGCATCTATTCTTCAAGGTTTTGAGCCGGAAATTCAGTAATTGGGACCTATTCTCTAAGAAAGTAGCTTCCCTACCACGTTCCAGCAAAAGAGCAGAAAAGCCTAGCGTTTCTTGGCGGCCAGGATCTTGCTTTAAATATGACATAACTTGTGATAGCTTGCGGCCTCCTATCGAGCTTTTAATGGCTTGCAGTCTGTCGGTGCATTGTCTCAACTCTTCACGCATGAGTTTTGTAGTGTGATCATGAGCTACTGACCAATCACGTTCTTCGAGATCGATCTCATACTTGAAGGGTTTGATACAGTTTTCTACTTGGTCTGCCGTGGCATAGTATTTCGCATTCAGCACATTTACTGCTGTATTATTCACGAGTTCTTTGATCAGATCGTGGTTCTTTAGTTGTGTCAAATCGAGAACATTCTCTAGCTCCTTCAAAATGGCATTTGTTACCAGTGTTGTGGATACTCTTCCTACACCAATCTTTGTTAGGCTACCTGAAGATAGTTCTAATTTCTTGTGCCAGTACAGAGCTGATGAGTCGTCTTTTTCATTACTTTTGGCTGAAAGCTCTTGTAGGTTTGCGTCTTTCCAGTAGCGAGTAGCTAATAAGTCCAAAACTCGCTGGTCTAAGTCAGCCTTTAAGATAGACTTCAATTCATACCTGTTGAACTTTTCTTGAAGTTCTTTGATAGCCAGCTTTAATACATCCACATTGTTCAGTAAATACGATTTTGGTGTAAGCTGACGGTCATTGAACTCAACCTTGAACAAATAGGATGTGTCATCGAGCTCTTGATGGATCAGCCTCGAAGTGGGTTCGAGCGCATCTGACATGGAAACCTCTAATATGTTGATTAATTTTTCTCTCAGCTTTTTGGTTGACACCTGGCAATTGGCAAAGTAACTTTTGTTATTTTTGAAGTAATCACGTTCAAATGAACGAGTATGTTCAACTTCAGTTTCCTTAGTATTTTTACGCGTGAATAGCCCTTGTTTAGAACCGCTGTCAAAAAACTTCAAAGGAGTGCTAGGTGCTTTAGTGATAACACCCACATACCCCATTTTTAGAGGGTATTTCTTGCTATTCAAAATTTCTTTAGCTCGGGCAGGTTCAACTAAATCCAATTTAGTGATGACACCGATGGTTCTTGTACCTTTAGGGTCCGCCACTTTGCTTGCTCTCAAGGCGCTGCTATTTGCTAGATCAACATCGGCTGATGATATCGCCAATATGATGTTCGGTTCTGCCAAGTAGGTTTCACACAGCTGACGGATTTTGGACTTCAACTCTAAGGGCTGATCAGCGGCTTCCACCTGAATATAGCCGGGCAAATCAACCAAAGATAAATCAGGAACGCGAGAAGACTTGATTGTAAGCTGAATTGGGTCTGCTGATACCGCTTCAGTTGAAGGCACTGCCATATTGAGCTCCATTAAAATTCTTTTTACTTCGTTGAAATCCTTGATGTTGTACGCACGTAGTGAGGGAAAGTCTGCAGTCGTTTCGCTCACGCCAGCTGTATTGACCAGAGTTAATTCAATAGGCCTTCTTGTGACCATATTAGACCCCTTTGGTAAAAACTCCTTACCCACTATAGATTCAAGCACGGAGGACTTACCAGAAGATTGTGAGCCAATCACCACAATCGATGGCAGGGTTAGATTTGCAGACGACGAGTCTACTTTGTTAAGAATGGCTCGTATCTCGATCATTTGCTTGGTCAGGTTCAGAATCTCATCTTCTGTGTTGTCTTCTTCTTCTTCTTCCTCATCCTCTTCTTCGTCAGAATCTTGCGCTCCTTTAGACCTTGAGTCGTCACTGCTCAGAGACGCTAGTAAAGCGCCTGTGGCCAAGGGTTCCCCACCGTTGCCGTCCCCGTTCTCGTCTCCATTCCCGTTGCTACTTTTACCAAAAGCGCCGCTCAATTTATCCTTCATGTTATACGCAAAGTCCTTGAGCTGTGAAAGCTTCTCGTGCGAGAAATTGGTAGCTTCTTCCACTTTGTATGCCACGTAAGTACTCACAGCAGCTGCCCCTCCGCCGATATAAGCTGGCACTTTGATCGCCCTGGCGATGATTTTGGGGAAGTACGAGGCAAACCTTTTGTGCGTCAACTGATGAAGAAGCTCTGATGATAGATACATTGATCTGGAAGGGCGTACAAACGAATGATAGTATGATGTGGGGTGTACCCTTCTAAGAGGGCCATAGTGGAAAGACCGCAGCGCGGTCGTCCTGAACAGGAGCCGCGAAGCCGGTACAATCCTTTCTGACACTTTAAACATTAGTATGGATCAGAAAAGAGTCGGGCTGTGGCTTCCCGTTTGCTGTTCGAATCTGAAGCAATGATTTCGATACAGGGTTGAAGATCGATATGTTATACATCGGTAATCAAATAAGACTTAGGTACCTAGGTACGACCCTGACAGAATTGAACTCTGGAATGAATTCAATATCGTAAGAGAAGGCTCGTCAAATCTAATATCACAAACGTTATTCAAGCCTCTGTAATGAGTTCCCTGGACATACCTGGTTCTTTAAAAAAGAACTATCTATGTTTTGTGTGCTGATTGCGACGGCTGAATCAAGCTCTATAGTTACCCAGCAAGATACCCAAAAGCACGAAAGGGCCACCAAACATGCTCTGTATGTGTATATATATTCTATAAACCGCCGCAGCTTGTTCAATTGTTCACAGTAACCTCTGTTGCAGCTGTAGCCACGGTAAATAATCATTGCCAAAGACGACATTGACAATTGAAGTTGGCGCGATCAAAAAAACGAAAACCGCACCAATCTAAGGCAGTACACTTTGGCTGGGAGATCTCAAACCAGTCCATGAGCCTTCTCATAATTTGCGTCGTGAGAATTGAAAGCTCACTTTTTCGACGCCAAAACTGACGATGAATCTTGGTTAGAAAGGGATGGTCTTGAAAAAACAAGGAAACTGACACCCCCTTCACCACTTTTAAATAAACAATAATCAAAAAACAAAACACACTGATGCCTACGCGATTGGCAAGCAAAGCCTCAAAGGCAGATTCCAGCTCTACAACAAACAGCTCTACAGCGAAAGAGGGCAAAAAGAGCACTTTAAAAGCTACAACTAAAAAAGTCGCGAAACCCACGCCAAAGAATAAAAGCCCGCTTCCCACTTACAAAGGTATGTTGAGACGCTCGAAGCGGCATTTTTTAAGTAATTAAGCCATAGTACTAACTGTGTTTCACTCAGAAATGATATTGGACGGTATTGCATCGTTGAGCGAGCGCAACGGATCCAGTCGTCAAGCTCTCAAGAAACACATTCTAAGCAAATATGCGGTCAGTGAGGACGGATTTGAAAACCGATTCAATCTTGCAATCAGACGTGGTATCGAGTCAGGTGAGTTTTCACAGCCCAAAGGCCCTTCGGGCCCTCTTAAAGTGGTGAAAAAGGCCCCTCAGGTTAAACCTGAATCTGCCACCGAATCCAAAACTGCTGTTACAAAGGAAGAGCCCAGCAAGCGCAGAAGAGAGTCTACTAGCAAAAAAACGAAGGTCAAGACGGACGACGAAAAACCTCAGGCCAAAGAGAGAAGACGGAGCTCGGCTTCTGCCAAATCGTCAGCTGCTGGCAAGACCGCCAAGAAACCTGTCACAAGCACAAAAAAATCAGTAGCCAAGCCTGGCGCTAAACCTGCACCCAAGTCGTCTGCTAAACATGTCGCCAAGCATGTTGCCAAAACAGTCGCTAAACCTGTTAGGGCCACTACTAGGAAAATAACTGCCTGAGCTGTGCTTCGGGCATTCCTCTTGGTGTCTTGTGTTCCTGTTTTCTCTTTTAGCTAAAAACAAGCTCGAGTCTTCGGTTTATGTATCTGACTTTTATAGGTGTAACACTATAGCTATGCATGTAGCGCTGCTTCATGCTAGTGCAATTATTATTGATTAAAGAATTACAGTACCTGATAGCATTGATAGTGCCGCCTGACATGCACTCGCTGCTTTAAGAAATACTAATTGCGTCTCACCACCACTGACATGGCTGTATTTGTTAATATTGTCGACAGCTCTCAGTGTTGATAGTACTGATGATACATACTTTTGGAAGGCAAGGTCTTGATACTGGCGGGTACAAAATGCTTCGTATGGTGATGTTTATAAGTAGCCGCTGAGGTCATGTGACTTTGTTTATCTTTTATAACAGCTGTCACCTTCATCAGAAAATTGGCAAGCTTGGCGGAGATAGCAGCTGTATGTGTTTAATGGTTAATATTTCAACAGTTAGTCCAAAAAGATATGATTTTACCACATCGCAGCAACCACTTTGGATTAGGTGTTAATAACTTCGCATTGTCCAAATTCGTGTGTTTTTATTGAAGCGAGTGTGGTTAAGCGATATAAAACTTACTTTTATTTTCTCGCTCTTCCTATATCTGATTCGACCTTGTTCCGTAGATGAAGGTTATGAATATCTTTGGGTAGTTTTTTGAGTACAAGATAATTAACTTTTACTGGAACAAACCGGTATTGGTGCCTTTCTGATATGTTAACCACAAAGTCAAGTGGGCCCCATTTTTGTAGGTAAAACTATAGAAGATATGTTTCAACCCCTTTGGTCACTGTTTTGGGTCTGGAACAACCAAACATCATTTAGCGCTCTTTTATATATCACTTTGTACTATTCTGTCACCATTGAAGCCGGCACTATCCCCACTCACATCCCAACTCTCCTATCTTCGCTTTATTTTATGATGAGTTGTAACGCTGTCTTTATGGAGCTTGTATTCTACTTACAAGTTTTTTGCAAATACTAACTAACTGACTTACAGTGCTAAGAAATAGGGAACCTATTTTTGCATTTAGCCTGGAACAGAAATCCTGCTCCAAAGCGAGCTATTCATATAAATTTGCTATATGCATCTTGCAGCGGTCGTCGAATGCTTTATCTCAATATTTCAGTGTTCGGCGTCAGTAAACTGAAATATGATACGATCACGCGTTGTAAAAATATGGTGATGCTAATTTTTTAGGGCATTCAACGATTTTAGGGCTAATATCTTCAATCATGCATACCTACTCCAGATCTTCATGCAAAGAACCTGGCTTGAGACGACGCTACGAGTGAATGTCAGAATTGTCGTCTTTGACTAGTCAAGAACCTGCAAGTGGCGATGAAGTGAGGCCTGGTAGAGCCATTGGGGACCTCCCACCCAAAACTCAGCTTAACATCAACTCCGTCGCTCTGCTGGAGAACGTGTCCAATCAGCTCCTAAAACTACTTACCACGAGTAGTATCGAGACTCTTACAGCACTTGCAATACCAGGGCAGGATTTTTACGAGGGAGAAGTTTTCGAGACCCTTTTTGCGCTTTTCAAGCAGGTGAAAAAGGTCTACACAGAACTGCCGCTCTTGAATGTGAGAGACGTTGCGCCAGGCCTCTGGCTGGAGAGCGAGCAATGTCCTTACATTTTGAAAACGCAGGAAAACTTGATTTTAGCGGCTATTCGAAAAGCAAACATTGTAACGTATCTCCTGTCCATCATGGGTCGATTTCAATATGGGTTTTCGTTCCTGGATGACAACTTCATCGACATTTTTTGTCCTGAAGGAAAAGACCTCCCGTTTGAAGCAGATCGGGCTTTGGCTACATCTTTGGGAAGACTTTTAAAACCACAAGCCGTTCTGTATTTAAATCTCAAAACACAGGCTTACATATCCGCCCTAGAACCTTGGAAAGATAACCCCCATGAACTACCCCGCGTAAAGCAAGAGACTCTAAACCAGGTTTTCGCTCCAGACGTGAAGGATTTTTTGCTGGCCAAGAAACGTTTACGCAGCAGCAGATTAAGCCCTTCCGAGGAAGATTTTATCAAACGATGTGCGCATAGAAGGGAAAAGCTGGCGGAGCAAACTTCTCTTGAGCAGCTCATTTCTGAGTACGACTGGCTGGATTTCTTCAAGGAAGTTTTCTTTTATGTGCAACGCAACGTCAGCGTACTTGTGTGGGGCAAAAAAGGTATTGAGTTCGCCAGCCCCTATGGAGATTCCGACCCGAATACCAGTAATAACAGTACCACCGGTACAGAGCTGAAAATGCAAGATCAAGATCAACTATCGCAAGAGACGCCCGGTCTGGCCTCGGACTCGCTCGCAGAGCCGTCAGGAGATTCGGAATACTTTTCCTCTAGTCGAAAGCCATCACCGACACCACTGCGTGATTCCAAGACTGAGAAGAAACCTAAACAAAAAAGACTTTGGACCAAAGATGAAGAGGCAGCTCTTGTAGATGCTCTCAAAAGCCAAGGTCCAGCCTGGTCTAAGATCCTAGAGCTGCACGGTGCGGGTGGCAGTGTTTCCGAGCTACTCAAAAGAAGAACACAAGTTCAACTGAAAGACAAGGCACGTAATTGGAAAATGTATTTCTTGAAAGGTGGCCTGCCAGTTCCTGATTATTTGACCAAAGTTACTGGCGATTTAGAAAGAGACGAAAAATCGAGACAAAGATTCAAAAATAAGATTGTGAAAAAACCTACACAATCATCGGATTCTTCAAGTGCTTCAAGTCCGAGCCATAATCGTGAACTAAGACGCGTGGCAACGCTGAGCGTGGTACATCAAGAACCAGCAAAAGTATCAAAACATTCGCAGGACAGCGACAACAATAAAGACATGGACCCTGAGCTACAAGCGTCTTGATGAACCAGACGTTGAAAATGCAGTAAGCCAGAAATGTTTCCATTGAAGTGGCAATATTCCTCATCGCCGTGTCCGTTTCAAGTCACTTTGATACAAAGTGACGTTGTTTTCATGTAAGGTTCAACACACACACCTCATCGACAATTCGACATTTTGAGGTTCCATCACAGCCAACGGATCATGAACCATGAAGGGGTGCGAGATGGAGCTTGGCTATTCAATATGGCTGTGTGATTTTAGGTCGGCGTAAGTGACACCAGGGTCGAACAAGGTGCATCTTGTTCAAGCAAGACTCCCAGTGGATTGAATTCACTTGTCATAATACGAGGTTCGAATTTATAGGACTTGAATCATAGGACCCCTTGACGCAGATAACGACTATGGGAGCCTTAAACGGACAAGGCTATGAAATGACAGCTTATGAGCACCAAGTCTCGCCACATTTGACGAACGTCGAAGGTTCAATCCAAGACCAAATTTCATTAGCTAGAAGCGAGACGACTCAGCTTTATGGACTCATCGAGCGTGTGAAGGCCAAAGTCCGCGATGCAGACTTACCCCATATGTCGAAAGGGGTGCCGTCATTGCGAAATGGAGGCGTGAACCTGTCCACACATCTGACTCTAAATGGTCACAACAACAAAATATCAGACTTTGCATGGTCATCCGACTCACGAAGCATCCTTAGCGCAAGCCAAGACGGCTTCATGATAATGTGGGATGCAGCCTCCGGTTTCAAGAAAAACGCAATACCACTAGACTCTCAATGGGTTCTAACATGTGCCATCAACCCAACCGGTAACCTGGTTGCCAGTGCTGGCTTGACCAATAACTGTACCGTGTACCGAGTTTCTCAGGAAAACCGCGTGCAGCAACAAATTGTATCAATATTCAAAGGGCACACCTGCTACGTCTCCCAAGTAGAATTCCTTGATAGTAGTAACATTATAACAGCAAGTGGGGATATGACGTGTGCCCTATGGGACATCCCAAAGGCTAAAAGAGTGAGTGAGTTTTCCGACCATCTTGGAGACGTTCTGGCGCTAGCGCTACCGCCCGAGTCAAGTCACCGAGGTAAGACTGTTTTTGTCAGCGGTGGATCCGACGGTTACGCTTATATTTGGGATATCAGAACGCGAAGTGCCGTTCAGAGTTTCTTTGTGAGTGAAAGTGACGTTAGTACCATAAAGTTCTTCAACAACGGAGATGCCATTGTCACCGGCACAGATGATGGTGTGGCTCGCATGTTTGACTTGCGAAGTGATTGTGTGGTAGCTAAGTACTCATTAAGTCAAGGGTTGCACCAACAAGCTAATTCTCCAACGCAACAATATGGCGCAGCTTCTATGGACTATGCTGTGTCACCAACCACTAATCCTTCCTTGTCACGGGCTGCACAAAGCGCAAACTCCACATACCTCAACAACCAGGGTCTGGTATCGTTAGATTTTAGCGGGTCTGGACGATTGATGCATGCGTGTTATACAGATTATGGATGCGTTATATGGGATACCCTTAAAGCGGAGATTGTTGGGAAGCTGGAGGGACACTCCAGCAGAATATCGGGCGTAAAAACTAGCCCTGATGGAATGGCCGTATGCACTGGATCGTGGGATGCTACTTTGAAGCTGTGGTCGCCAGCATATATGTAGGGCCCTGCATTTAAAGAACCGATTTATCGGTATTGTCCTCCGTTTCCGCTTGCAATTTCTTGACAAAATCCATGAGTTCTTCTAATAAACTATTGGGAAGCTGCCTCAGATCAAGAACAAACTGTTCAGCAAGCGGAATCTGGTCGATTTCCCGGGATATGGCAGGATGATGAATTATTTTATTGACAACCTCTGTGGCTATGTCTTCATCACCCGCCACAAGTGTCCTTATCCATTTATCTAGATCTAGCGTCATCGATTCTAGTTGTGATTCTTCTGTATAGGACGGTACAGTACCGCTGCGCTCTAGAGCATGCCTAAGCTCGGGTATATGAATAGGCACTTTAATACGCACATCGGAAAAGTATATATTCTCGTGGAAGGAAAGTTCGTGCAAGAAGTCCACCTCTCCACCGCCCTGCAGGAAGAAGCATTGTATAGGGTATGAAAACTCACCCCATCCCTTTTCTCGCAGCGTGAATGGTGGTTTTGTCTTGATTCTAGTAGGATTTGTAAAGGTGGGATGAAGACGATATATGCACTTTTCGAAAATGTTAGCAGGTATTTCCTCTCCATCTGCAGTCAAAACCCACAAATCCACCTGCCACTCTCGCATTGGCGATTCCCCATCTATAGGCTGTTCATCCACTGTCGATTGGCTTGTTTTTATGCGTATGATTCGTTCGATATAGGGCTTCAACAAATGAAGGTTAGCAGTGTACAAATATGTAATTCGATAATGAGTTCAGCAAAGACATACGATAGCCATTATATTGACCGAAGCAAGGGTGGTAAGGACCGCGATAAAGCCTGAAAGCCTTCACAGTTCAATACTTGATTTACATATGCGTTCAGAAAGTCGTACCACATGCACGGTAATTTTCCTTTCATAACTATAGTATACTTTCAAAGCTGGTACCTCAGTAAAGGCTGGCCTAACTGGTGCAATTTCTTGGATGTAGTCCTTAGCATTTCCTAGAGTCCTATAATCCAAGATTCGTTTTACTTTTCTATCTAACCTTCGTAGATAAATTTACACAGAATCTTATGAGCTGTATATGTCTGGGTAAACCGCATCTAACGGATGCCACTTATATACTTCAATCGGTATTCTTTTTAACGTACTCCCACAAACTTTTCAACAAGCCCTCCGGCAAACTGTAAAGGTCGATGATGAATTCGCCCTCTTCAATGTTGTTTGTAATGTTCATGTCTGAGGTTCTGTTGTCCGTGACCATTTGCACGACCCCGACAAGATCATCCTCATTGAGCTTAGTAAGGCCGAAAGCTAATTTCTCTAGATCCACACTGCCCTTAACTGCGCTTCCAGTGCCAGTTTTAGCTTTTTTACTCTTAGACTCCGCTACAACTGCTGCTTTACGCTTTTCCCCTCCACCAACAACGCTAGCCGTAGGAGTTCCTGCTACTGACACAGCAGCTTCGTCGACAGGTCCAGTCTTCAGTAGCTCGGCTTTGAGAAGCGGTTTATTAACAGGAATTTGAATTACATGGTCCGCTTCGTAAACCTCTTTCATGAAATGCAGATCGTGTGTTAGCTTTCTTTCGCCGCCCTTTTCCAGTAAATGACCGCTTATAAGTAGTTCAAAACCACCCCAGCCTTGTTCCTCGATTTTGAATGGGGGATCTGTGAAGGTTCTGGTTGGATTGGCAAAGGTTGGATGTAAATGGTAGACAACTTTATCGAAAATTGTAGCTGGAGTCTCATTCCCTTGCTCGTCCAGCAGAAAGATTTCAATGCTCCATTTGCGCATCGGAAAATTCTCTACGGGAGGCGGGACATCTGGCAAGATGGCCTGGTGTGTTTTGATTCTTACGGTGCGCTTCACCGACTAAACCAACGCAAATTAGTTAGTATAAGTGTTTTAGGATAGCTTTATTAGCAAAAGACTATTCTTGTCTCATCGCGAAACATACTGCTACCATTGGAATGTTTATTCTCGAGTCCTGCTAAGTAATTACCAGATATTGGCTATTGATTGACGAATTGTCTTGTGTGGAAAATTGGTTTCGCGTAGTGAGTGATGATTACATTTTACAATAAAATATCTACAGATAATATACAATCTATGCAAAAGAGCTCTGATACCCTGTGATAGTTTGGTATTAGCTGAGCAAGTCAATACTGAATGCCAGAGCGTTTGTAGAAACTACTCGTTAGCAGCAACAGACCGACATCTGTTGCGTCGAACGAGTTTTTCTGTGAAAAAAGTACGCTTGGAAAGCAGCCCTTACGCCCCCCCCCCCCCCCCCCGTAACCCTCGGCGTAGTGTGGCCTCTTACCGTTGGTCCCATGTCCGTATTTACAAGAGGACCGATGGTGGGCCAGAGGGCGTTTGCGCGCTTCAGAAAACGTTCTTGAACTGCGCAACAATACTAGCTCTAATCATCCCAGCAGAAGCTTTCCAGTCAACAGGCACTGACTTCCAATCTACTTTTCCGAAAACGTCCTTGAGCTGTAAAGCAGGCTCCACACTGTGCAACTGTCTTAGCAGCTCAATAGCTTTAGCATCAATTTCAGCCTTTGAGGCCACAGGCAGTTGATTCAAGTAGACCTGGATTACGCCAATTTCACTCTCCTCCCGCTCAATCAGTTCTGGCCTGTTATTTTGCTTGAACTCCTTAATCGACTCATTTCTCTGAGCGATGAGCTTCGAGTATAAGTCGTGGAGTGCGAATTCGTCGAGCGGCTTGCTTTTGTTATCTATTTCTTTGTTCTTGATTCCAGACAAGACACCTCTGATAGTAGTCTTTTTCAATTCGTCTCTTGCCAACATTGCTCTTTTGAGATCTGCTTTCAACATGCCAACGGAGTCAATGTAAGCCTGGGTGTTGATATTTCTTGCGAGCACAAGTCTCAGGTTTGTGAGCTGATTTAATGCTCTGAATGTGGTTCGGGTACCGAGCATGCGGAGTCTATCTATCGTATGGGATTTTTTAATACTAAGAGATCAAATTAACCGTGGGGATCTTCGAATTGTGAGCTTTTGATATTCAATTTTGGATAAAAAAACGGCACGTGAACAGGATTTAATCCCAAAGCATTGTGTAAAGAAAAGCTCTCTTTCGACTTAGTAGCTGTGAGTCTGGAAAAGCGAGTTAAATTATCCGATAAATTTGCAATAACCCCCAAAGGTTTCACGGTCTTCGACAAAAACAAAAATCTTATCGACTACAATTTTCTTATTTTTCGCTCTCCTTTTCTAAGAACTCGGTCCATAGTGACACAAAATTTTGGGTTCTGGACCCATTAGCCGTTGAGTTAATCCCGTTGGGTGCATTTATTAGACCGGCTTGTTGTTTCTTGTCATCGTCCCAGTTCAGAAAGCTCGAAATTAGCTCTAAGACTTCGAATTTCTTGTGGTCACCGCGAGGGATGGACACGAATGAAATAAGCAGGTTAGAAATAAGTTCTTTATCAACATTTTCTGAGTCACTGCTTTTCTTTAGCATTGCTAGGGCCTTGGTTAGGTGTTCATTCAGGATGATGGCTTCGTGGCGCAACTTTCCAACCTGTAGCACTTTTTCTTTGCATTGTTTTTGAAGTTCCTCCTTCTGTGCCACGTCTTCCTTCATAGTTTCTACCTGAGACTTGAGTGACGCCAATGTCACTTCCATCTTTTCGTTTGAGGTCCGGCCTTCCTGGACTTGCTCCTCCAGACTTTTAATGATTTCGTCTTTTTCAATTGATCTTTTCTGACTGCTAGCAAGTTCTCGCTCCAATTTGCTTTCTGATTCAGCCAGCTTTTCCTCTGCCACTGACTTTGATCTTTCGCTTGTTAGCAATCGCTGCGTAACATCTTCTAACTCTTCTTTCAACTCCCTAGAGTCTTGCTTCAAGTTGTCAAGTAAGAGCTCCAGCTCTTGAATTTTTGTTTCCAATTGAACATTTTCTGAGGTATGTTGCGACTTCAGTCTTTCTATATTTGCTTCAAAAGTAGCATTTTTGTCTTCGGCTTGAGAACACCTGTCCGAAAGCCGCTCATTTTCAGAGTCCAATCCCGAAAGCTCCTGATTGAGTGTACTTGTCAGACCACGGAGCTCTTCATTTTCCCGTTTCGTGGAATCCAGCTTGTTTCTCAAACTTAGGTTTTGAGACTCATACTCTCGCAACTGCTCTTGGCATGACTCCAATTCCTCCTGTGACTCTCGCATCTTGCTGAAAACCGATTTCATTGACGACAACCTACTCAGTAGCGAATCGTATTGGTGTTCGAAGTGATCTCTTTCTTCCTGAACCTGTGCCAATTGTGTACTTAGATCCTCGTCCGCAACCGCTACCACTGGTTGAGACTGTACTTGCGTCTTTAAATCGGCGATCTGCTTCCTTAATTCCAATATTTCAGCGTTTTGTTGTTTCATTCCGTCCGCTTCGTGCATTTCAAGCACCGCTTGAGGTGAATCATTAAGAATTGTTTTTTCGACGCTGGGGCTCACGGCTGATGTTTCTGGAACTTTTGAACTCGCTGGAGTCTCAGAAGTGTCTGGTGCCCGTGGTGCTTCTTGGACATCCAATTCTGGCTCAACTGCCTTTTTACTCGCAGAACTGGCCTTAGATGCCTTCTTCTTGCCTTTCGCCATTGGCTTGTTTAGCTGATTCTCTTGGTTTGCATCATAAAATCTCAACTTTGAATATTTGGTGTTGGTGTTTTTTGAAAGCCTTTATTCATTAAAAAGCTTTAAAGAATCTGAGGATAGGATAGAGAGTAGCATCAATTGAACCGTCATGGTCAGCATTGATAACTTTTTCAAGAAGGGGACTTCTGGAAGACATCCTACCAAAGGTCAGTCGGCGACAGCACCAGGTTCGAGCTCATCTGTGGAAAAAGACGGTGCATCGAAATCAGTTATTGATCTAGTTGATTCAGATAAAGAGGACCTTGGGGCCTCTGAAACCCAGAGTAGTCAAAACAATCAAGACATGTCACTGGAAATTTTAGATGAGGACCCTCAGCCCAAGAAGCGCAGTCGGGCAGCACCAAGTAGAGCGCAAATTCCAACTAAAGCATCGCAGCAAGACAAGCAAAAGGCATCTGCTTCTCCTCAAAAAAAGGCCAGGACTACCAAACCTACTAAAGCACAACCTCCTGGGTCTGGGTCGTTGGAGGAGCTTCTCTCGAAGATTCCTTCTATTGATTTGGACGCCGTTCATGTAAAGGAAAGCGTTGGGTTCGATTTTCGAGCTAATGCCCAGGGTGATGCCTCTTCTCAAGTACCAGCAGATGGCTCAGACTTTCCTGAAGGTGAACCCAATTGCTTATTGGGGTTAACAATCGTGTTTACAGGTCAATTGCCAACTTTGGAGCGTGGGACAGCTGAGGCCATAGCTAAAAGGTACGGTGCTAGGGTTACGAAGTCCATATCCAGCAAGACTTCTTTGGTGGTTCTTGGAGACGAAGCAGGCCCCAAGAAATTGGAGAAGATAAAGCAACTAGAGATCAAAGCCATAGACGAAGAAGGTTTCAAACAACTTGTCTCTGGGATGCCAGCAGAAGGTGGAGATAACACGGCTGCTGAAAAGGCTCGGCAAAAACTTAAACAACAAGAAGAAGCTGCTCAAGATGAGGCCCGAGAAATGGTTAAGCGTGAACAAGAACAGCGGGAGAAACTCAAAAACTCGCGGCAGGCTGATGGTACTGTGAAAGATTCCAAACATGTTACCAGAGAAGAGGATAAATTATGGACTGTCAAGTACGCGCCGACCTCGCTAAATCATATATGTGGCAACAAAACTAGTGTCGCAAAATTGAGAACATGGCTGACCAACTGGAGAGGCTATCAGAAACAAGATTTTAAGCAGCCTGGAAAAGATGGCCTTGGTGTCTTTAGAGCAGCGATGCTTTATGGCCCTCCTGGAATTGGAAAAACAACCGCTGCACATTTAGTTGCTAAAGAGCTAGGCTATGATGTGCTAGAAAAAAACGCATCCGATGTGCGGTCAAAATCCTTGCTGAACGCAGGTGTGAAGAATGCGCTAGATAACACCTCGATAGTAGGATTTTTCAAATCAAAAGAAGACGGAGACGTGAATCAAAGGAAGTTTGTTATTATCATGGATGAAGTGGATGGTATGAGTGGTGGTGATCGCGGAGGTGTTGGTCAGATGGCCCTCTTTTGCCGTAAAACTTCTATGCCCATGATTTTAATCTGTAACGAAAGAAACACTCCAAAGATGCGGCCTTTTGACAGAGTTTGTCTCGACGTGCAATTTAGGAGACCTGATGTGAACAGTGTCAAAGCAAGACTCATGACGATTGCAGTCAGAGAGAAATTTCAGCTAGACCCAAATATCATTGAACGACTTGTCGAGGCTACTAGAGGTGATATAAGACAACTGATAAATCTTTTATCGACCATCTCGACTACTACGAAGAAGATAGGTCATGAAAATGCTCAAAAAATAGCTCAAGCTTGGGAAAAAAACATAGCATTGAAGCCATTCGACATAGCCCACAAGCTATTTGATGGGCGCATATATTCGGACATTGGGTCCAAGAGTTTTCCATTGTACAAAAAAATGGAGTTATACTTTGATGATTTCGATTTCGCGCCGTTGATGATACAGGAAAATTATTTGCAAACAAGGCCCTCTGTTCTGAAGCCAGGTGAAACTCACTTATCGGCAGTAGCAGACGCGGCGGAGAGTATATCACAAGGCGATCTCGTCGAAAGAAAAATACGAAGCAGTGAACAACAATGGAGTCTGTTACCATTTCATGCGATTATGTCGTCTGTAAGGCCTGCCTCTGCAGTAGCTGGCCAAATGGCCGGAAGAATTAACTTCACATCATGGCTAGGTCAAAATTCGAAAACTGGAAAGTTCTTTCGTCAACTGCAAGAGCTACAATATCATACTAGATTGAGCACATCCACAGATAAATTGGGACTGAGAATGGACTACATGCCTACTATGAAACGTAGATTATTAGATCCCTTAGTGAACGATGGAGGAGATGGAATTTCTGAGGTCATTCAAACAATGGACGACTACTACTTGTCCAAAGAAGATTGGGATTCTATCATGGAATTCATGATTGGAAATGACAAGACTGACGCACAGATCAAGAAGATCCCTACTGCGGTCAAAAGTGGTTTCACTCGCAAATATAACGCAATGATTCATCCTGTGGCAATTTACAAAACTGGATCAACGACTGCTGTTGGTGCCAAGTCAAAGGCTACGCCAGACTTCGAAGACATCGTAGACGCTGACGATGAGGTTCCTCCGGCCGATGACGAAGAAGAGCAGAAAGACGACACGGATTTTAAGAAGGACAAATTAATTAAACAAGGCAGGCCAAAAGCCACCAAGAAGAGGCCTGCATCTGCGGCTAAGAAAGCACCAGCAAAGAAACGTAAAGCTTAATGATCAGATCATTGCTCAAGCATTTAGTGTGTTCGTAGTTTTTAAACGGATGGTTTATAAAAAGATGCTTTATAAGGAGTAGAGACATGTAGTAAGAGTAAAACTTCATGTTTTATCACTCTAAGTGATCGAAATTTCCCTCGAATGCGTTTTTCAACCAGTAATAAATCTTCTCGTATATCAATTTTCCAGCGTTGTGGAATACGATCGAGTGCTCAGAATCTGGAAAAATGTTCATATCATAATTTTTCACGTTGTTGAGATTCAGCTTGTCCAGCAGCCGCATCATGTTCTTGAGATGGACGTTATCATCTGCACTACCATGCATCAACAAAAATCTGTTGACTGTTGAGAATCTCGAGACGTTTTCGACGACTGCATTTTCCAGGTAGCTATCTTCATTACTCTCGTACAACCCCATGTATCTTTCAGTGTAAATTGAATTATAATATCTCCAATCAGTGACAGGGGCAACCGCGACACCGTACTTGAAAACGTCGCCGCCATCCAATTCAAGTGTCTTTAAAGTAACAAACCCACCGTAGGACCACCCCCAGATAGCAACACGCTCTGTGTCAACATATTCCGCATGAAGCTTGATGTACTCTTTTACAGTAGCGATAACATCTCTGGGTTCCCAGTATCCTAGTTGGCCCTTAGCAAAGCTTCTATAATTCCAACCACGACCTCCCGTACCCCTTGGCTCTATTTTCAAAATCACAGCTCCCTCACTCGAAGCTAAACTTTCTTCAAGAGACATAGCGAACTTTGAATCCACAGTTTGAGAGCCAGGACCACCATAGACGTGAACTAAAAGAGGATGCTTCGATTTAGAGGCCATGTTGAAAGGTAAAGTTTCGATATAATCAATTTCAACGCCATCATCTAAAGTTAAGCTTTTCTGACTTGCAAATGGTAGATCATATCTTTCCAAGTCATCAAGCATTTTTGTATTCCTCGTCAATTGAGTTATTGCCCTTGACTGATCATTTTGGAGTAGAGAGGTGAGGTCTCCTGCATCTGACATGGGCTCTTTCGGGCCAAGATATCGCTTGACTCCGAACCTGCAGCTCAAGCTAACTTCAAAATCATAAAAAGAGTCCTTTTCTTTGGGATCTTGCAAGGTCTGTATATTACCATCAGGGTTTGTGCTTATCGGCACAAGAAAGAGATGCTGAGAAAATCTGTTCTGTGAATTACAAAGGAATAATATTGCATCCGTTCCATAGTCGTAGCCTATAATCCCCTTGCCGGTTACCTCCCAAGGCCCTGAAGTAAGCTGATGGCCGGACTGAGAAAAGACGGTTGGGAAGTAAAAAAGGTGGGAAAATCCTTTGTCATCGACTTGAACGTCAACATAGCCTAGTTCTTTCCTTTCCGTAGAATCCTTGGCAGGAATTACTTTCACATCACGGCTTTTCTCAATCCACCCTGAATAAGAAGTAGCGTCTATCGTTCGTACCGTCGAGACAAAAAATGTGGCCATATCTAGAATTTTGACGTCCATGATTTGTGAAGCACGGTCTGAGTCCTTGAACATGAAATAGTTGGAGCCCAGCCATTGTGCATGGTATAAGATTCGATCATTTTCTTCTGCTTGTGGAATTACGTGTAATGCGCCTGTCATCACATTGTAGGAAAAGAGTGAAAATTCAGGATTAGGCGTTCCAGGTTTCGGATAGGATATTTTTTCAAAGTCATCGTACGACTTATCGTTAATGTAGATAGGCAGTGTTTCTTCTTGGACCTTGGAATCATCGAAGCGGGCCCAGACTAATTTCGAGTCGTCGTGTGCCCACCAAACTGCCTGATCAGTTGCAAGAACTTCTTCCTCGTAAACCCAGTCCGGTTTACCGTTCGAAATATGCTCGGATCCATCGAATGATATCTGCATTGCATTTTTGCTGAACACATTTCGAATGTAAAGGTTATGGTTGTAAACAAAATAGAGGAAGTTCCGAGACGGTGAAAACCGTGCATATGACAGTTTGTAAAGGTCATCATCGTCTGCAAAAGGCTTTATTGGTGTTATTATGCTTTTTTTAATATCTTTCAGCCAGTAATAAGCCTGGGAAGAGTGTCTATACTCTTTTTCCCGATCCGATGTAATGATTGCAAAATCTAGCCTGTGTGACACCTCAAGTTTGGAAACTTTAAACTCTTGCTTGCGGTATTTGAATTCCATGCCTCCCAAATCCTCGTAAAACCGTCTATCGACGAGTTGGCGAGCAACATACTTCGGAGTTCCATTACTGTCGTCCACGGTCAAATACAGACCCGGATCGGTATCTTGAATTTGATAAAGGCCCCCTTGAGAGATGAAGGAGAACGGCACATCATAGTATGAGAAGTCGCCGTCAAGGATATTGGACATGCTAAAGGTTCTATTTGGCGCAAGCTCACGGTCCGGCTCTGTTGGCTTGGAAAAGGAAACCCGACCACTTTGAAATTGCCATACGGAGAGTCCCACAATCAACCATGACAGAACTATTGCCAACGGTAGCACTATTAATCGCTTGGAATGGAATTTGAAGCTAAGAGACGGCGAGTTGGGCATGCGCTCTACGTCCGGCGCTAACTCGCCAGCCGTCTGGGACCCTTCGCTTTGGGGTTGCAGTTCGAAATCCTGAGATGGCATGAACTGAACGCTTGAGTTTGTTTTGAGCAAATACAGCGAAGGGTGCCGTTTTTTGTAGGAGGCCATCGACACGGAAAGGATTTGTACTGATTAAAGTTTGAATTGGGAAATCTGAAGAAGATCACACGTGAAGGAAGGTCAACTGCACAACAACTGATATACTTGAATCAAATATGTATTTACTTGTTCATAGGCCTTACAATTGAAGACCTATATGATTTTGGCCATTTAGCTTAGTTCTCAGTTGCGCTGTGGAAACCCGCTTGAAAACTTTCCGATATATTTCGTCTTGAGCAAAGAACGATTTCAGTGCCAAGAAAGGCCGTAAGTGGTTAACCGCCCATTCTTTTGACCACAGGGTTCCGCAGCTTGGCATAAAAGCTAAGGGTATAGTCCAGATGAATAATGCTTGGCTGCGCGGCTAGCTAGTTAGTTGATGTTAAAAATGGCTCTTTTTTCAATTACTTAAAATATACAAAGAGAGCCCCGAGTACAAACTGTGCTTTAAAAACGACGCTGTCCCATTTATTGGGCCAAAGCGGCAATCTTGGCAGCAACACGTTCTTTTCTTTGTTCTCTGGTCAATTTAACTTGCTTGTACTTCTTGGACTCAGCAGCGTATTGTTCCTTGGTGAACTTCTTCTCGGTAGCCTTGAAAGATGGGTCGGCACGGATTTGCTCGTGGGCTTCCATGTAGATGTCCTCGATGGCATCGGCATCGATGTCGTCAGCAAGGTAACCTTGGAAAAGCTCTCTGAAACGTTCTTCATCATCGTCAGCCAATTCTTCCATGTATTGAGAGACGTGACCACCGAAGATGTAGGTTCTTAGAGTGTCAGCGTCAATCTCTTCGGCTTCGAAGTCCCAACCTGGGAATCTGCTCTCGGAGTGAGGAACGTACAAACCACCGTCAGAGGCACCCTTTAGGGCACCGAAGACACGGGCACCAGTGGTGGTTCTTTGCAAACCAATGTCTAGGAAAACCTTGAATGGACGAGGAGCATCTTCGACGGCCTCGGTCAATTGGTATTCACCTTCGACTTCCTCGACACCCTTGTAGGTCTCGTCTAGACCGAGCTTTTGCAAGGCTCTTCTGGCGATCAACAAACCGGTGGCGTAGGCAGCAGCCCAGTTGGTTAGACCGTGCGTGATACCGTAACGAGGCAATTCGTGCGAGTAGGCAGCGGCCAAAACGATGTCACCAGTGATGGTGGAAGACACGATTTGGCAGACAATGTCCTTGTTGGTGAAACGCACCACAAGTCTGTACTTTGGAGAGTTGTACTTAGCCTTGTGTTGAGCGACGAGACGCTTACGTTGGTAGTAATCGGTCTTACCCTCACGTCTTCTTCTGAAGGGGGTTTGGAAACGCGAGTGGTACGCGGAGCTCTTAACGTCTTTTAGAAAGGCCATTTTGATCGAGGGGGTTGCTGGAGAAGATCGAAAACTCTAAAATGTCCTAGTCAAAGATCACTGAAGTTTATCTGTTTTGTCAAATCCGTGCAGTTCCTCCTCCGATGCCATGCCATCCCAAGTTTCTGAAATTTTTCACCGCTGGAAAGTAAAAGTTGCGTGGGTCTGAATCAAACAAATTGTTTCGAAAAAATAAGATTTTTTCAAAAAAGTTTAACAAATGACTAGATAGACGACTAGATATTTGGGTGGAAGTTAAGGGAAAGCAGTCAAACGTTGAGTTCAAGGCGTTAGTGAACAGCGAACGACAAGCTCACGAGCGACAGCGCGTGGTTGAGACGAGTTTTGAGACACTGTGCCGAAGATCGGACCTTCAATAGTGCTCTACAGATAGAAGTGGTTTGTTTAGTGAAGTTACCGTTATCGTCGCTAAGTAATATATTGCAAGAATTTTACGATATAAGTAAGAGAGACGATAGTACTCTATTCCACGACGATAGTAGCCTGTTCCACGACGATTGCTTATACGCAAAATATGATTGGACTTAGCAAACCAGCCGCTGCTTTTATTTGTCGGCCATAGTAAGAATTGCGCATCATATGTCAAATTAGCAGCGAGAAACTGAGTCGCTTCAGGGAACACTGTTCAAAGCAAGGAAACATTTCAAGGCACTCGGTTGTTGACGTCGGGTTCTGGAAAGAAGAAACTAGCTCACCCAAGCATAGTTATTCTTCTGGACATATATTGGGGCTTATTGGCTTGAAAATGACCAGAGTGCTGCCAATTTGCAGCACGAACACTTGGATTCTCGCCACAAGCGAGCATCTATGACAACCAAGCGCCCGTTTACGGTATGGGCAACAAGTACTTCTCATTTCCATCGCTAGATCATCACTTTGTACTTATGTGTCGTCGCAGGCTTCTAATTATTCCACCGAGGAATTTCCACGGCATTCAGCTTTGTTATCTACAATTTTTACTTGGACCCTTCTTCAAGATCCCCGTACCAGTGCCTTGCAATTACAAGCTCCAGTCAGTTATGACAAATGCACTCGCTCGACACCCTGTCTCTTCTAAAACAGGGTGTCACCGGCTCTTATTCCACGCACTAATCTTGAATCTTTCACTCAGCAGGATCAGTTTCCAGCTGAGTTTACGCATTTTTCAATCTTACCAGACGTTTCCTGCACAACCACCATCAAAATGCGATAACTTTCATGTGTTCTTCCGCTCGAGGAGTTGGCTTTTCAATTAGGCACAACGCTCGTCGTCATGATTTCACGCACTAGGAACCTCTCAAGACCATACGTAGCCTAGTCTGGAAACGCCAATGAGCGTCTTTGATTCGAAGTTATCTACAAGACACTGATTCCGTAAACACTAAATTAAAAACAGTCCCTGATTATATCGGCACAAGCCTCTTTGTGGGATGCTATGTGTCAACCAGCTAATATTTATCATGGTCTCTGATAACTATCACTCGTACAAAGCGTATCTGGGCTTAGTACCAAAATACCAGGATGTTTGAATCAGGATTTGCTTTAAAAGACAAGGCTCGGATTGAAGACATGTGGTTAATCATGAAGATTTGATTTGATTGCAAAGTACAGATTAAGGTTGAAATATATAAGATAAGTTTGAAAAGCTCGTAACTACACAAGTATAATAGAGCTCCTGATCGTTTCATACTGATATCTCAAGATCCATCGCTGGAGATATGACTGAAACCACGCAAAAAACGCAAATCCTCATCACAGACATCCCACACCAGGAATTCGACAACGGCTGGCCCCAAACGCTTCAAAAGCAGTTGTTTGATGAAAAGTTCCCGCACCTGAAGAAACACTGTCAATACTACACTCCGCTGGCGTTCTTGCACCGTGTAGTTATTATCTTTGACCAAGAAGATGCAACGCTGGCGGTGCACTCGTTCCTGGTCCAGGACCTGGCGTCCAAGCCGGTAAAGGTGTATCTGACAGAATCGCTTTTGTCCAGGTCCCGTTCCAAGTCAGAGGACTCAACCAAAAACTCAGAAGACATCGAATTCCACACGTTCAAACGTCCACAGCTGTCTTTGGACACGCAGGGATCCCAGGGAATATCTGTTGCACTATCACCCGAGCGAGCAGACACTCACTCGCCCACGGCCATGAAATTCCCCAACGATGGCAAAGTTCATTACTACCAGGAGCCACTACCCAAGCCAGAGTCGCCAGAAAAACAGGACACAACTCCAGGATCCACCAAGCTGCTGTATCAACCACACCTGACCCTTAACACAGCCTACACGGGCCATAGCTCTGACAGTATCTCGTCGGTGCCCGTGAGTCCCAGTATAACTCTGGATGAATTTAGTACTTAAACATCCTTATTGGACTTGGCCCTTTGTATCGTACGTACCTGCACTCTAAAACACACTATCTTGCATTAATTCATTTACTTTGCTGTTATCTACACGGTTTATATATATATCTTTGTACTTGACTAGGCCTCTGTGGCACTCTCCATAACTTCGGGACTTGCACTTTCACTCACGGCACCGCCGTTTGCGTAGTGGGCTCTGAAGAATGTGTAATGCAACACTATATCGTCAATATTCCGCATCTTTGGATCGCTGGCGAAGTCTGGATCTATAAAGAAGAAAACAGGCATGTCGATTTCCTCGCCGGCTGCCAGCCTTTGTTCTTCAAAACAAAAACACTGGATCTTGTTGAAATAGGGCGAAGCATCGCCTGGGGTGATACTATAGGTAGCCATGCCAATAATGTCTTTGTCGCCTGTGTTTTTGGCTCTATAGAACGCCAGAGCTGTTTCGCCTGGTAATACTCGCACTTCTCGTTGCTCCGGAGTGAACTTCCAAGGCAAAATTTGCGACACTTCACTGGTAAAAGCAATCCGAATTCGTTTGTCACTCTCCACAGGGATGAGCTTGTCGTCTGTGAACTTACGCTTATCTGTAATGGGTATACCTCCCCAGCCTGTCCTCGCGCAGATGGCTCTATAAAGCGGCACAGCTGCATACGCCAATCCCAGAAAGATAACTGCTATACTTGTGAAATAGTAGGCTGCCGTACGATCTTTAAATTTCCTCTCTTCTTTAAACTTCAACGTCCGGAGTTGCTGGATTTCACGCTGTGTCATTTTTGAAAAATCTATAGGTTGTTTGGTAGCGTACAGTCTCGAAGACCGAAGACTTCGGCTCGCAACCCGGAACAGTAACTTATGCAGCATGATTTGACCTTTTATGCTCACTCAACACAAGCTCATCAAAGAACCATCAGAATCTTGAATATTCAACTCACCATAATAATAAATCAACTAGTTGAAATAATTACACGTCTAGATCACGTGGTTCAAAAACTACCAGAAACTGAAAGATCAGAAACGTCCTGATGAAACTGATACATGGAACAGGCCATGCTCTTAGCGCCCTTCGTGATTAAGCAATTCAGCCACTGCAACAGGCTTAGTCTCGATTAAACCGCGCTATCTGTGATCATTATCCACGCTGCAAGGTTGTAGCGCTTCTAGAGCTAAACCTCTGCTTCTTGAGCTCTGAACTTAGATATTACTGTCTGGGTTTCAACAGCATTCTGTGCTACATTTCTAGAAGTGCACCCTCTGATTGCTGTGCCATAATAGTACAAAGTGATTACTTCGCTGGCACGCCAACGGTGTGCCAAACCTCATTCAACGCGCTGAAGAATACCCAAAGGCGATTTTCGTGGGTGTGTGGAGCTAATAACGGTCGTGGGTGCGAACAAGACATTATGGGGCGATCTCCCTAAATTTTTGGAATACAAAATCAAAATTCCCACTTGTAGCAGCTCCATGACGATCATGGCCGAGTACGTTTGATTCAAGGAAGCACGTATTCTTTATCAACCAACTATGCCTCAAATTGCAGAGTGCGCGAGCCACGCGATTTTCGGGTTTAAAAAGAAGAAGTACTCGTACTCATATGAAGTTTGTTTACCACATGTAAAGCTCATCGCAGGACGTCAAAATAGAGAACTACTTCAGCGATCTGGTTTGTAGCTGCCTGAACTGGCCCCATAATGGGCGACGCGCTCCAATTGAAGCGGAGAAAAGTGACCAGGGCATGTGTCTATTGTCGACGCTCGCATATGATCTGCGATGAGCAAAGGCCGTGTACTAGATGTGTGAGACGCAACATTGCACACCTGTGCCACGACGAAGAGTCTGGGCATTTGCAAGTTGAAAAGACTGGTTTGGAGCCAAATCCTGGCAAAAATGATGCTGTGGGGGCCGTAGGCGGCATTTTGGCGCGACAACCGATGTTTGCATCTGAACATGTAGGCTCAGAGTTTTCGTCGCTCAACGAGTTTCTAAACATGTTAGAGGACCCGCTAGTTCTGGATGCAAACCTGGCTCCCAATGCAGTACCACAGGTCGAGCAGCGTGCACAGGAACCAATACAGGAGCAGTTGTCCTCGTACCAACCAACTTTGAAGGAAAATTTCTTTCTGACTGCGGCAGATCCGTCCGCAGAAATGACACCCGAAGATAGGCTCAAATCGGTTATCAACGCCAAGTTGGAGGCCGGACTTTTGAAGCCTTACAATTATGCCAAAGGTTACGCCCGACTGCAGACCTACATGGACAAGCACATGAATTTCGCGTCCAAGCAGCGAATTCTGAAACCACTCTCTATCATCAGACCAGAGTTTCGAGCCATTGCACGGTCTTTGAAAGATGTAGATTTGATTTTGGTCGAGGAAAGCTTCGAGCGTATGTTGCTCTCGTACGATCGAGTCTTCACGTCCATGAGTATGCCCGCGTGTCTGTGGAGAAGAACCGGTGAGATCTATCGTGGAAACAAAGAATTCGCATCCTTAGTGGGTTGCAAGGTTGGTGATCTTCGAGACGGTAAATTGGCAATATACGAAGTCATGACTGAAGAGAGTACAGTTAGCTTTTGGGAGAAATATGGGTCCGTAGCGTTTGACAAGAACCAAAAAGCAGTTTTGACGCATTGTAAACTTTGCAGATCGGACGGTTCTGGCCAAACGACGTGCTGTTTTAGTTTTACTATTCGCAGGGATAGGTACAACATTCCCATATGCATTGTAGGTAATTTCATTCCGCTTTGATGCTACTAGTTTGTGCATCGCCCATGTATTCATTCCATTCCAGATTATTCGAGATTGTATGACAATTCTTGATTACCAGCTTACTGATGACAGCTCCAGGTCCGACATTAATTGCCTCGTGAAGGTTAAGTAAATTAACGCTTTCGCAACATTTGACAAACTCTACAACGTTGCAACTGCTGCGAGCAAAATTTTCAAGTGCCTCAGGCACCGCACAAACTAGTTGACCCGTTAAGTTGGAAATTATTGGATAATCCAGTTTATCTTGAGTGTTGGTTCCTTGCGATTTTAGGTTTTGCCACATGAAGTCTAATAAGGGCTCCCGGATTTTTGCCAGGACGTGATGGTTGTGGAAGGGGATTCCGTAAGGGTTTTCCAAACTTTTGATTCTGCAACGGCCTATGTGTCGGCGTAGTTCGCTTTCCCACGGAGCAAAATCGGCGGGTGAGCCTGTAACAACACACTGCTGAAGAGTATTGACATTCGCCAACGCTAGGGACGTGCCAGTCGTCGCGGCTGGCAACAACCTTTTTACGTCCCGAGCCAAGTCAAGCGCCTTAGGCGCTGATAGGGCCCACAAGCCATATTCCTGACCTCCTGCAGCCTCTATCATTAGCTTATTGCGGTAGGTCGCGACTTGCATAGTTTGAGTAAGGCTGAAAAGCCTGTTCCCAGCCGCCAAGCACGACAATTCCCCCAATGAATGGCCCAGGAAGACCTGGTTGGTCTTATCGGCTGGCAGCAGCTGGTACAGCAAAAAAGAGCACGCTGCGATGGACGCAGGGTCTGCAGGGCTTCGTTCCATAAGACCCATTGCAAGACGTGCATCTTTCGATGCAAGAATTGCGGGGCTACGCTGCGCTATATACTTTTTAAGAACTTGAGTCAGAACTGGGGAGCCTTGTCCAGGGAAAGTGACGAGTCTCATTAGCGATAAGACCAAGCAAAGAATTATGCAAATGCGAAGTCGTGAAGTGCTCAAAACACTGCGCGCAGTTATGGAAAGTATCTTTAACGCCTGTCCAAGATTGCTCGAAAAAAACTCGAATACAGAACGAAAAGACCCAAACTTGACTCGTACAGACTCACTCACTCAAGCTCGATTCAAAAATCTATCGCCAAACTCGCTCAACGCGTTAATAGTCTCGTCTTTGTTTGTTGTCCTTTTTTCAAGTGCCTCGATGATTAGATCGAAAACTTGCCGCTATCGGGAACTTGACAATGAAGCCGCCACTATCGCGTTTTGTTCGAGCTTTCTAAACTTTCCAAATTCCACTGTCAAATTAATTCCAATGAAAAATTATGAAATTTTAAATTGAGAAAAATCGCTTTATAAGTGAACAAATCTTGTTTGAAGTATTATCAGCAAGTGCATAGACCTCCTATAGGTGGAATAGTACATCAAGTCGACTCTTTATAATCTACTGTATTTCTTAGCGATGTCTGATGCTCTGCCTTTGCCATTTAGATATCAATTTGCCGCAGGAGCAGTTGCTGGGATCTCTGAGATCCTGGTGATGTACCCGCTGGACATGGTCAAGACCAGAATGCAGCTGCAGGTTAAGGGTGGTGCAGGTCCCCACTATAACGGCGTTTTGGACTGCTTGAAGCAGATCGTGGCTCGCGAAGGTGCCTCGAGACTGTACAAGGGAATTTCGTCGCCGGTGCTTATGGAAGCACCAAAGAGAGCGACCAAGTTCGCGTGCAACGACGAGTTTCAGAAGCTTTACAAGCGTGAGTTCGGCGTCGAGAAGTTGAACCAGTCGCTGAGCATTTTGAGTGGTGCCTCTGCCGGTTGTTGCGAGGCGTTTGTCGTTGTTCCCTTCGAGCTGGTGAAGATTCGTCTCCAAGACGCCAGCTCGAGCTTTAATGGGCCCATCGAAGTTGTGCGCAAGATTATTGCCCAGGAAGGTGTCATGGCGATGTACAATGGGCTCGAGTCCACTCTGTGGCGTCATGGTGTCTGGAACGCGGGTTATTTTGGAGTTATCTTCCAGGTTCGCTCTTTGTTACCTCAGGCTCAGACCAAGTCTCAACAGACGCGTAATGATTTGATTGCTGGTACCATCGGTGGTACTTTCGGATCCATGTTGAGCACGCCTTTCGACGTGGTCAAATCTCGTGTCCAGAATACCGCTGTTGTTGCTGGTCAAGCTCGCAAATATAACTGGTCGTGGCCATCGCTATTTACCATCTACAGAGAGGAAGGATTCGCTGCGCTTTACAAGGGTTTCGTGCCAAAGGTCTTGAGACTCGGCCCTGGTGGTGGTATTTTGTTGGTGGTTTTCACAGGAGCCATGGATTTCTTCAGAACTATTCACTACAAGCAGAATTGAGGGTCAATTATTTTGTAGAAACGGTTGAGGTATACAGAGCGGTATATAGACGTGAGCCATAAACTTTGCTAATATTAGAATAAAACAACGAGCGCGAGCAAGTGATTTTGAGAACCACGAGATTGCAGCAGGAAGAAAAGAGCGAAATGCATGGCTACTGAAATTCTGAATGTGAGGCGACGAATACTTGCGCAATCACAGGTTGCAACAGACTTGCAGAATTCCAGTTGAACTGTAAATTGTGCGCGTATTATATCGATCGTAGCGACAGCTCACACAGCACCAACAAATACTGAGAACCGTGGTCTCTGCCCGGCGTCCAGATTTCAGGTGCACAAGACTTCAAGCTTATATCCTGTTTCCGCATTTTCCACGACTCGCCTGTTCACTACTTGGCGCTTGCATTTTTAACAATCTAACAAGACTTACACTACAACTCAATAATTCTGTACGTTCTGCCGGCCCTCGCAGTTCGATAGGACATGCCACAAGAGCCTGTCGTCGAACTACAAAAGAGCGCTAAGATGAACGAGATGTTCTCTCCGGTGGACTTGACGCTAGAAATACGCCATAGCTTTAAAAAAGGGCATACTAGCAACACGGTTTTATAGTCCTGGTTGTATAATCCGCACGATTATTGGTTTTTTAAGAAAAGTGTTAATTCAATGTTATAAAGTGGATTTAAGTCAAAGTTCTTGACTCTTATATAGTTTTCCTTTTTGTTACCCGGAGTTTATTTGATGTTAGCTTGCCAAGGGCAGAGAGATGATCAATACAGAACTACGAATAGTACACCGTCAAAACTCAGGATTTATCAAGCAAAAGGTATCAAAAATGGCTTCTGAAGGCTTGGCGAGTAGCTCTGCGCAAGAATGGACTGTGGTTGTGCGATTTGCGGTAGAACAGATGGAAGATCTGCCATTGAACGTGAGCAATGTTGATTTGGATTTAGTTACGGTTCCATGGCTCAGGCGCATGTGCAGACAGCTACGAGGCAATTACACCAATAATAGACGGCTTCGGTTTATCAGAAATGGTCGTTTTCTGACAGTGAATTCAGATCTGCAGCTAAAGCGGTATTTCGAAGAGAATCGTGATGAACCGGTATTCTACGTGCAGTGCATTGTGGGACAAGAACTGAGCGCCCAGGAGGCGGCAAATGAAGATTCGCTGGACGAAGCGCAGCCTAATTCCGAGGGCACCACGACGCAGGCTATCGGCTTTGACCGGTTGCGGTCTGTGGGGTTCAGCGACGAGGAAATCGAGCTTCTGCGACAACGGTTTCAGAGCACATACGGGGATTTAGAAGACCTGACGCGAGCCACAGGTGACTCCCAGGATATCCGGCAGCTCGAGGAACAATGGATGGAAACGGGCGCTAATGACGACACGACGCAAATGGGCGCTGTCGGGATTGCCAACTATAAGCACAATACCGACTTGTTGATAGGACTGACTGTCGGATTTGTACTGGGAGTATTCTGCTTCTTGCTGATGGCTCAGGAAGGTCTGTTTAACAAACGCCAAAGGATGGCAATTGTGGGCGGATTGATGATAAACGTTTGTTTCGGCCTCACAATGGGCTTTGCTAGGGGTTGACAAAGGTGTTATGAAAAGTGCTGGTTAAAAAACCAGCAATAAACTCTGTGAGCTTCTTGCGCCATGATGAATAGAAGTAAGAGGGGACGCGAGTTGTGTCGGTATCTTTACAATTGGTTACCCCAGCTCTCTTTATATCAGTGTTTACAAATATTTACAAGATAGTATAAAGATCGAGCACTATGATTCGAGTTCCTTACAGCTTCAAAGCAAACCGTCACTCTTGTTTTGGGTGGTTTTGGAAAACCTGGTCCAGCAAATGCTCGATTGGTTTATCAAATACATATGGCAAAGCAGGTACGATACTCAATCCTAACCCAATAGGGCCCCAAGTTCTTAACAAGGCGTTCTTAGGAAATTGCTTGTTGAACCAAGTGCCTGAATACTTTACTGCGCTGTGAATTGTGAACGCTGGCAACCCCATGGAGGCAACGCTCTGGAAAATCGCTCTTTCAAGGCCTACCATTTTCCAGTCTGGCAGCTTGGCCAGCTCGCCGCTTTCAAGCAATTGAGTGTCGACAGGAGGAGTTGGATCCCATGGTTTTAATCCAGTTCTGTATCTTCCCTCTTTTCTCAGCTTGGCCATCCAGGACATGTACGATACGTCCCCTAATATGTAGGCCCACGAAATACCATACCCGTATTTCACCATCGCGGGGGGAAAGATTGGGCGAAACGATTCGCCAATATCTGAGGTATACGCCACATATCTGTGGGAGGCCATTGCGATTGTTCTCAACCGACTGGCATAGGCAGCGTACCGAACGCTAGAGTCGGTACTGTCTGGCAAAGTCGTTTCAGCATGGACTACAGCAGTAGGGGGTGCGTCTTTGGAGCTCATTGATGGGGTTAATTGTGGATTTATTGGTAGTTTTCTGAAGGGTAGAGTGGGAAATCGAGGTTAGTTTTTCAAAATCCCACGATCCAATTAACTTATCTAGTCATATCGGAGCAACTCGAAAATAATCAAACTAGATTATTTCATTTATCAAATAGCTCTTTGGCACATTATTCGTTAGTATACAGTGTATTTATAGGGGTTTTGTTTTTATGCAGACAGTGGAAAGCCAAGCTGGCGTTAAGCTGGTGTAGAATAGACACTTACCAGAAACTCTGGACTGCGAAAACCGCTTAGCAAATAAATCCTAATCAGTATCAATAGTAGTAGCAGCAAAATACTGTTTTCCAGCTCGAACGAAGGTCTTCACAAGCGCTCAACGACGGATTAGAAGATACGCATTTTCCTGTTTTAGGTTGCTCAACCCGCGGTAGTTGCCCTCCAGACGCATCAACAGCCCGCCGAATGAGTAATGAACGGCGATGAGGTCCTTTTTGCCAGCCACTTCTTCGAATCTGTAGGCGGTCCCGTACATCACGTAGTCGTAGTCATCGGCCAACGATCTCTCACCAACTTGAGGTGCCCTCCAAGAACCCCCCTGTACTGGCTCCGTACCATCGATTGAGAGACTTGAAGAAACCATAACAGTCAGAGTGTCATTGGAGCGGATTGGGAATAGTTCGGTATTGACGTCCAGTGTGAGTTGGAACTCTTGTGACGTAGAGTGCGCCTCAATACGCGAAATCTTGTTGTAACGGCCTTGATCCACCTCTGTGACCTGGAATATATCGTCGAATAGAGTCGTGGACATTTAAATTGAGGTTAAGAAGCGCGATGGGCGTTATAACAGAAGAATCCTGAATGGGTCTGTGTATCCAAAGCTCATCTTACTAGTATTAAAATTTTTCAGATTGTAACAGCTTACGAAAAATGCTAGCGCAGCGATGCGATGCCGTTGACGTTCCAAGGGGAATTTCAAAGACGACTTTTCTGAGGCCCGCGCAGTCTGTTCTTCGTCAACACTCAACAACTCTTTCGCCTCCAGCGATCTTCTCTCTTTTTTCAAATTCCTCTTCTTCAAAAACTACAAATATGTACTATATACTACTATGCCTGCACCTGGGTGAAGAGAAGCACCGACCCCGGGCCCTTCTCTATTCCTACTGCGATATGCCTTATTTTAGCACTGTGGTCTTTCTCTTGGATCTGTAATCCTGGATGGCCGCTTTGATGGCGTCTTCGGCTAACATGCTGCAATGGAGCTTGACAGGTGGTAAGCTGAGCTCCTTGGCTATTTCGGTGTTCTTGATCTGCGAGGCCACGTCCAACGTCTTGCCGCGTACTAGCTCGGTCATGTAAGAGCTGGAAGCGATCGCAGAGCCGCACCCGAAAGTCTTAAACTTGACGTTTTCAATGACTCCGGTCTCGTCGTTGACCTGGATCTGCAGTTTCATGACGTCTCCACATGCTGGAGCGCCTACAAGACCGGTGCCGACGTTTGAAAGTTTCTTGTCTAGTGACCCGATGTTTCTGGGATTCGTGTAATGGTCGATGACTCTTGGATGGTATGCTCTTTTCGTGAGAGCAGGACCTGCGATCTGTGTAGCTCTCAAAGCAGAAACTCTGGGTAGCGTGTTACGTGGGACTAAAAATCTGAGCATTTCGGATTTATGTTGGTCTGGTGACGTTTGGTCTATGTGTTTCTGTCCTTAAGGTACACGGGTTTTTGGGTTTCTTAAATATATTCGAAAACTAAATTTTCAAATCCTTCCCAGGTGACAACGATGATGTATTAATGACTTTCTCCACAATCGCCAAGAAATTGGGTGTAAAAATTGTTTTTTGTAGGAATATGATCAACAGAGGATTGACTTGCTCGTAGTAAGTTTCGGCCTTGTTTTGTGTGCGGATTCGCGGAAAGATGATCTCTGCGAAAAAAGATCGTTTCAAGCTTCTTGTCCTTCTTGCGGTCCTATCTGGTTGAACTAATGATTCAGGCGGTATCTCTCTTCTGAAAGACTCGATTTGTGTATGACTGTCTGGTTTGAATTATCTTTATGATTTTGCTGTGATTGACGAGTGTTCCCTCTTTATATTGGCCAGACCGCATTGTCTTATAAATTGCCTAGCGGATATAACCGGAGGAGAAAAGTTCATGATATTGCGAGTACGAGTACAAGTACAAGTACAATACGGGGGGACGTAAGCGTGTTGGGCGAGTGAGTGAGCGTAATTGTTATCTCTATCGGTTTCAGCAAACGTAGTTAGCGGCCATTGGTACACATGTCCGCCGAGAGAGTATCGGAAATTAGGCGGGTCATTTCGCTGCTTTCGGATTTGCTCGTTCGGATTTTGTACGCTCTGCTTCTGCTGGAGACGGGACGTCGAGGTTTGTGGAATGAAGGGTTCGCTTTGTTCGCGGGGAGTCAGAGCCGGTGCTAGTGGAGCAACCACACAATGGTGCTATTGAATGTTTAGCTAGCCGTTTGCTTTGCAAACCAAGACTTTCTGCCGTGGTTGCCTACGGTCTTCTTGTTGCGTTGTCGTCGTAGTTCTGTCAAACGGCACAGGCTGCAATCGCCTTTTGGATGGTCATATACTTGCAGATTTGATACCTCTGGGGTGAATCGCAGAGAGCGTTGTATATCACTTCGTACTATTCTGTCGCTGAAGTATTCTGCGAAAGCAGGAGCTGAAGAGAGAAACAGAGCGAGCACCCACTGCTATTACGCGTAGCATCGCATTTCTGGTAGTAGGCCCGGCTGTCACCTGTTTCGTGGGACAGTTGCAGGTACGTGCGCGTAGAATTGAGGCACATAGTCGAAAAACGATGCTGATTTGGAGGTACAGTCTCGACCGGGGCTCTCGCTTTTGTCTGACATACGATGGGCCCTGGACTTGGTATCCGCTCAACTCAACACATTGGGGGCGTGGCGGCCCGAATACCCGGTCACGTGCCAACCAACGGATGTAGATCCCACATCGCCACGCTAAGCCCTATTGGTATCGCTTGTCGTCCATCAAGCGCCATTGTCCGTAGTATTGAGAAGATTACGGGTACATCAACACGATCCTAGTGCCAATTTGAACTACTATATGCATTCTACAAAGACCGGTTTTTAAATTTAACGGTTTTTTGGACTTTTTGGCGCCTTCGCTACCATGCTCGCTATGTCTTAGATAATTGCAATTTGTATGGCACCTCGTGTCTCCGAAGATCCAAACCAGTATACGTTGTAAGCGTCTATTGCACTGCTTCGGTATAATTTTGTAAGTGACATGTCCCAACTTCTTTGAAAGTGGGATTCAAATCCTACTCTCTCATGCAACTTATCATAGAGCCTTTTTTGTTTGTTGTAGGTTCTCTTAATTGCTAGAAAAAACGTTGTACATGTTGAGGTACAAAGCAAAGACCTCACATTTGAAAGACCCCACATTTGAAAACCACCACTGTAAAGCTGATAATACTCAATTTAACACAACCCGCAGCCAGAACACCAAACTGGTAAAATTACAAAGTGTTTTGTCGATCCAATACTCATTAGTTTTCACCAAGACCTCAGCGGCTGTTCAAAAAAGAAAACGAATACAAACCAGACAAAACTAGACAGAACAAATTTGGATTCAGAGATCTATCAGCTTGCGCCTTCAGAACATTGCTTATCCAGTCAATATACATACCTACTACCAATGATCTGTGAAAAAGTGTGCAATGCTGATGGTGGCGGCGAAGGTGGAATCCATTTGACTTCCTACTGAAAAGGATCATTGCGCGTTATGTCAGTTAGTGTACAAAACCTCTAACCTGCAAGACGAATGATCCACAAAGACACCAATAAGTGACCAGAAAAAGCTTACAGATCTTATTCAAAGCACATTGAGGGTCGTGCTCTACCATGTCGTCACGAACGCAAATTCCTGCAGAGATTGGACCACGCTCGTGAACCATGGTCCCCGGTATACGTCGAGATCTAAAAATCATTGTATGCGTTTTTATCGTCTGCGTAAAGTAACTCTGTGAATTACTATGTTTTACGCGCAAATTTGTCGACCTTTCAACACGCGCTCCTGACTGATAGCGATCTCCTGAGGGTAGCGAGGCCGCTGGTCATTAGAAGCTAAACCCAGCCTAGCTAGGGCGTCGGTGAGGGGGCGGTTTAAAAAATACGAATCGCGGGAGTGAACCTTCTGTAGCATGATTGGTACTAGACAGATAGATTGGAAGCTTCAACTTGGTGCAGTAGTGACTATGAGCCAAAAACATAGCCGAGTGCCCCATCATCACCATATTACGGTTGCCAAGTCCTGTAAAAATGATTTATCATTGACACACAATACATCCCGTGCCTCCGTCATATTCACGCCTTGAGTACTACGTTGAAAGGAGACTTCATTTCCAAAGGACTGTTATCGAGATGCTAATCATTAACAATTAACAGGATGGTGTTGACAGCAATTCAAATGCAAGACTATCTTGGCTAACTTTTTTAATTGAGCTTAAAGGAATCGTAGCCTGAATACGCAGGTGAACGCCTCTTGTCAGTTGCTGAAACTTGTAACAAGTCCACACGCAACTAAACTGACTTTCGAATTAATTAAGGATATCTTGTAAAGAACGTGCCGTATACAACTAGGTGAGAACTTATGATTTGAAATTATGAAAGAAGCAGACAGTCTTGAGCTCCAGGTCAAAAAAAAGGCGTCACATTAAGAACATAAAGAGTTGAGGGATTGGGCACTGGAACCGGACTTGAGTAACGCTATGGTCATGTGTAACTCGCTGGACGTGGATGTAGATGTTGATTGGCTCTACAAGGGTAAGAGAAAGGCCAAAACTCAGGAAAAGACCGGTCGTCGGGAAAGGTCGTCTTCCGTCTCCAATGGATCTCTCGGTCACCTTTCGGCGCAGTCGGAAGGCTCAGAAACACAACCAGCAAAAGAATCCAAACCGGCTAAAGTCAAGAAACAACCAGCTCTCTCGGGAGCTGAAAAGCCGGCGGCTCCTAATTCGCCAACTCCGCAACGGTCGAGTTCGGTCAACGAGAACAATACAAAGTCGAAAAAATCTCTCTTTGGCTCTATTTTCAGAAGAAACAGTCACGGCTCTGGAGAAAGGCCTTCTATTTCTATCCCACTGCCCAGAAGCAGGTCCAGTTCGGGCTCCGGCGGTGGGCCGTCGCCAACTACCACGGGCGCGCAACCAATACCATCCATGAACATGGCTGTTTCGCAGTATTTGAAAGAACCTTCATCACCAGAGGTCAAAGATACGGCCCCAATACACGAAGAACGTGTGATTTTGAATCGCAACCCTCATAGAAAATCTCTTCCTATCGAAAGTCTATCGAACCTTTCGCTCAAAAGAGTTACTTTCGCTGTCGACCGGTTTGGTATGGATCCACCGCAGCAAATTCCCAGTCGCAAACCTAAACGAGGAGACGTTTTGGTACCCCAAGACATGATTTGTCCTACCCCCTCTATCTCTGTAGGAATTACCAACACTCAAGGTAGTGTCGAACAAGCTGCCTCACCCTTAAATGAGGAGTCCAAAGAGTACAAGGTGGCCCTGGAAGATTATCGTAAAGCTCTGAAGGAGTCCGATAAGCATCAACAAGAGGCACATTATGCTGCTCAACGTATTGCACACGAAGTTATCAATTTCAAGTCTAAGAATGCACCCAACGCTTTAAGTGCACAACCTAGTGCCAATGCTAGTGTTTCTCAGGCTATGGGTAATTCTGACTCAACGTCGATGGCTGCTAACCCTACCAATACGCCAATTGACGACAGAATTAAAAATCTAGAGATAGATAAACCTATCCACATGCATGAAAACCACTTTGATACTGAGCCTCAAACTCTATCGGAAAATGACGATAAACTGACTTTAGATAAAATCTACACTCGGTGCTGTCACTTGCGAGAGATATTGCCAATACCATCTACACTAAAACAAGTTAGAGGAAAATCGGCTCCTCTTCAAACACTCAAATTCTTAAATCCGAGACCAACGCTCATAGATGTCCTATCATTTTGCGACTTTATTTCCATTGTGCCCATCCACAATGTTATTTTTGACAACGTTAATCTGACCCATGAAATGTTGAAGATAGTTATCAGGTCTCTTGTTAACAGTACTGTTGTCGAGAAGATTGGGTTCAGAAACGTTGTATTCTATCCAGAAGGGTGGAAGTTGTTGTGCAAATTCTTGTTGAGAAATAACTCCCTAGTGAAACTAGATATTTCGCAGACTAAAATAAAGCCCGACCTTCCTAAAGACTTAAATCGCGCTAACATGGACTGGAACTTATTCATAGACGTTCTTCAACGTCGTAACGGGAGGACTTTAGACGAACTGTTGGTGAATGGTGTAAAATTTGAGAATTTTGATGTTTTTGTCAGTCTGCTTAATACATTCGCTTCAGTAAGGTCTCAAACAAATAAGCGGCTAGGTATTGCACAATCAGAAATAACTGCTGAACAGCTGAAATTTATAATGTCTTGGATAAACGATTATCAGATCCAAGGTGTTGACGTGGGATTTAATGACTTAAGTGAGCTCGTGAAGCCATTAGTGGGAAAGTTAACTTCGCTACCATATGAACATTTGCATTACTTTACATTGAACAACACAAACATTTCAACCGCTTACGATGCTGCTTTAGTTTTAAGAGCACTATCAAAATTGCCCAGTCTTTATTTCCTGGATTTGAGCAACTTACCCCAAATCTTCCCCGAGATTTTCCCGTATTTGAACAAGTACCTGCCTCGGATGGCAAATTTGAAGAGAATGCATCTTGACTCAAACGATTTTACTTCCAGAGAAGTTCTGATGGTGACAAGTGTACTACCGAAATGTAAGGAGCTTCTTCATATTTCTCTCTTGAACATTCCAACAGAATCTTTCACGAAAGGAATGAGTGCTAACGTTTACGATTGTGTTCGCCAGTGTACAAAACTGACGAATTTGGACATAGCCTACGGCAACATGCCTGAGGAGATTTCATCTCGCATAGCACTTTGCTTAATGCGCAGGATGCACCGCGACTTCGAGCTAGATGATTTGACGACTCAAGACGATTTGCTGTTTGATGGTACTTTGCTTTCAGAAACAGCAGAGAACGTTTTTGAGAAATTGAACAGCTTTGAAGACCTCGAGACAGATGCCACTAGACGTTACCTTCTCAAAAAGTACTGGGAGAAATTTAACCGTGTGCATGATAATGTGCAGAGCACAATTGATCAAATGTTTGAAAAGAGAAGCACAGGTGAATTGAATCTTCAGAGTAAAGAAAATCTGCTGCGGCTTCTGTTCCTGGAGAACAACCTATCTAACATTTTGAGCGTGCTCAAAACATATCCGCAAGTGGCAAACGTTGCAGGCATAGAGTCTAGCACTCGACAAACAAATTCTGAGCAGGACTTTTCTAATTTTGCGGAAACGGAGACCCCTACGCATATAAGACCCCATTTAATGGCAACTGATTCGGGAAGGACAATTGACGTAACTACTGGGAAATCAATCTTGGTGAAACCACCTTCACATGTGGCTCTCGTCGGAAAAAGACAAGAAGAAGAGGAAGGAGAGTTCCACAAATGGGGATTTTTTGTCCAGCAACAAAATTCTATCTACCCTGACCACCACCAAGCTAGACCTCCAGTTGAAGATTTAGCGAGTAAAAGGCCGGAAAGTGCATCATCTAGTGAATCTCCCAAATCGTCCCAACCTTCCACCACAACGCAAGCGACGCACAGTTTGATTTCAAAAATTCCATCAGGTACGGAACTTCGAGACGCAGTGATGCGTGCCAAAGGTATCGATTCGATCGAAGAGCTAATTGAAAATGTTCATGGCAATCGTGTCACGCTTGATAAAATTTATGGTGTGCCGCTTCATCCGATGACGCCCGCTGTCAACGATACAAGCGGAAACCGTAGAACAATGCCTATTTCGCAGCTCTTAACGTCCAGTTCCAACGTGTCGATTACGTCCTCAGAATCGGGAGATGAGGAAAAAGTCGACGAAACCTACGATAAGCTCTTGAATAGCTTGAGTAAAGTTCGTTCAAATAAATAATATTTAAAGGATAATCTCCTGGTGATCTTCTCGATGGAGCATTATTTACGCCGCCAGGGCTCGCCTCACTCTTTAAGAATAAATATGTAGTTAAGAATGGGGTTACAGCCTAAGAAATGCTTTTCTCAATATTAATTGGTAGTCGGCAGCTTCAAAAACCGGAGCGCTCTTCGCCATTCTCCAAAGACCAAGTACGCCCGTGGTAGTAAGACCAAAGATTAACGTGGTCATGGCTTTTCTCCCACTCAAACGTCTAATCCTGGCGTATTGACAGATTCCAGCCCCGAAATGATAACTAGCAGCCCAAATCAAAACTGTTAGCGGAATGATGCCGCCAAACCATTTGACAATTGCGCTGTCGTTCTGCAAAATCCACTTGACGAAGTCAAAGTCTACGTCGAATCCTTGAGCTTGCGGTATCTTCTTCATGAGCCGCGTGTGGTAGAAAAATGCGGGAGCTAGAATGAGGCCTGATACCACTTGCGGGTTATAAGATAACTGTTTGCTGATTCCCACAAAATATCCGGAGAGCCCGCCGATCAATCCTATTTTCCGCTGAGACTCGAGTTCTCTCGAGTCTTGTGGTACATTTTTGCCCCTCTTGGGCTGTCTCCAGCGAGACGCTACAGTCCATGCTCTGAGAATTAGTCCGCTGGCTAAATGCGCTGTCACAGACGCGGTGAGCAAAACGCTGGTAAAGCCAGGCAAAATGGCACGTACCATCATCAAAACATCATTGGGAGCGCTCTCGGGCGAAATCGATGGCGTTATGAGCGTATTTATGGCGTGAAGTGGGAAATAAACCACCAACGGCCAGATCGAATATTTTTGTACTTTTCGCAGTGAAATCTTCACAATTCGCGGATTTAGCCAACTCAAATTCCCACTAGGTTTCTCGATACCTTCTACAGGCTTGTAGTGAGCCACCGGCTCGGGAGCCATCTCTTTAAGCTCCATAAAGACGGATATATTTTGATTCTCGATAGTTCTACTAGTATGAATTCCAAGGGTAAGTCGATTTCGATATATATTTCCTACAAAACTTTCTAGAGTCCGAAAAATCCATAGAAACATCAACTTGAAAAGCTTCAATTTAGCCATGGGAGCTCTTCCAGACTGGTGTCCGACGTATAGCTCACGCAAGAGAGATAGCTCCACTGGTGAAGAGGTGTTTTGTATATGTAAAAAACCCGATTCTGGAGAACTCATGGTCGGATGCGATGGATGTGACGATTGGTTCCACTTCTCGTGTTTAAAGATTCCCAGAAAGTACAACAAACTGGTATTCTCGTTCTACTGCCCGTATTGCCAAGCGGGAGTTACTGGGCCTGGGAGCAGGGACGGGAATTTGCCCAAAACGCTATGGAGACGTAAATGCCGAGTCCAAGATTGTTTCAAGCCAGTGGCCGATAACAGCAAGTATTGCAGCGAGGAACATGCTCGAGGCTACTTGCAAGGTCTTGCGGACCGTGTAGAGGTGCGCGGCTACGATGCAGCGCTCGTGCTGCGACAAATGCTTCAAAATGCCGATTTGGACGCGTTCAAGAGCCTAGGACAAAACGGTGTTCCGAAGCCATCAGACGCGCTAGCGCCGCGCTTATTCGAGGACGATGCACGTCTCTGTGATCTAGAGTCGCAATTGCGGGACCTGCGCGATCGTGACAAGCCACAGGTGGAATCGCAGCTGGCCACGCTCGTCCAGTACGTAACATGGGTCCAGGCTGTGAACGAGCTGTTGTTCGACGGTTCGAATGTACAAGCTGCCGCAGCTTTGTCCCAGTCCCAAAAACGCAAACGAAACATCAAACCCAAAGCCATGTGCGGCTACTGCCGCGACCTGAGGATCCCGTGCTCTGCCCAGGACTTTGCGCCCCGATTCGACGAAGAACAGCTCTCAATAGAAGGCGTGTGTTGCAAGCTCAGATGCTCCCGGCACTTAGACTGGGCTGGTATCCAGGAAAACGGCCTGCGATTCCAGCTGGAGACGTTCGAGTCGTCCGAAGAACGCCTGACACTTTTGGTGAAAATTCGAGAGGACCAACTTAAGATGCAATTCTACCGGAAAATGGTTGACCACGGCGTGGATCCACAGCCTCCACTACTAGCTAATGAATAACCACGTCGTCTTGTTGTCTTTACCAACCGTTATCGTCTTAGCCCGCCGCTGTCGCCGGTACTCGAGTCCGTCAAATGCGGGTAAGCCGTGTGAAAGATCAAGTGATTATTATTAGGTCGTTTATCTTGAAGTTCTGTAAATGGATTTGCAGATCCAGATTATAAAAGGGACTATCGAAATACGAAAACCGTAGTGATCTTCTTGCGTTTCCTCGGTGATACGATCCAATTGGCAATTTACAATGGGCGGTATGTGGTTTTGGTAGCCCTGAAACTCGAATTTGACTACTAACGGGCTTTGGGTTTTCTGAACAGGCACTGCTACGAACAAGATCCGGAACGAGGAGTTCAAGTTATGGAAGAAAGCGGTACCTTCGCTGTACCAGCACATCTCGACTTTCAAGCCATCGTACACGACGCAGTTTGAGTCGGTCGAAAAAATTCCGAAGGTGGTAGCGTTCACTCACAAAATAGCACCAGATCGAGACAATGGCACCATGACGGCGTCGATGCTGTGTTCCCAGGGTAGCGATATCTACGAAGTCGAGTTCCAGTTGCCGCTCGGCTTGCAATCTACCAGTGAGAACTTGAAGGACCCGCAGTACGGCGCTGGGTTTGCACGGGCATCGCAAACCGGGAATGCGGAGCCCAAATGGACCTACCAGGGCGAGACCATTACAAAACTGGAATATGTGGGCGGTCCGCACGCCGATGCCGTGGTGATGACCGCTAGCGGGTCCCTGGCGTGGTTCAAAGAAGATTGCAAAGTGCCTGTGTATGTGATGGAAGAGCTAGTCGGACCCTCAACGAGTTTTTCTCGAATTCACAACCAAAGTCAAAGCAGCAGACCAAACGCGGACTTCGCAGTATCAGAAAACGTCGAGACTTTAGTGAAATCCCAGCCGAGCGCATCATCCGGCTCTGGGGATGACGAACACAGTCTCTTGAAAATAGTCGACAATGCGCAGTCGCCCGGCCAACTGATCCGAACCATTGCCATACCGAAGACTTCTGTTACTCCAGTGATACGATTTCATGACAACCACATGTTCAGCACTTGCTCGGACGATAGTACGGTGAGGTTCTTCGACGTGAGGGGGGATGGCAAACCACTTTGGTCAATGACAGACCCACACGATGGCAAACTTGGGTGCTTGGATGTGTCGCCGGTCCTGGAGACCTTATTTGTTACTGGATCTGATACTGGCACTTTGAAGCTATGGGACCTCAGAACAATAGTAGCCTGTAATGAGACTAAAGAGGAGCCTAAAGAAATTGCGAAGCTATATCATTCTGCAGCCGACCCGGTAGTTGACGTCAAATTCGGGACTTCCTCGCCCACAGAGTTTTTGTCCGTAGGTGGTTCTGGAAATGTTTACCACTGGGATCTGGAGCCCATTTTCGTGCGAGAAAACGACGAAGACGACGAAATGGTTGACCAAGAAGAGTTGCAGCAGCAGTGTCTGAAATTCATGCACACCGGCGGCGGGAGAAGGTTTGCAGATAATTACAATCAGCGAGAAACAGTAGCATGGCACCCGATCATAAGCGGTCTCGTGGGATGTGTTGACCCAGATGGTCTTTTGACTGTCTACAAAGGATTTTACGGCAGGGAACAAGAATCTGGATCCCTAAGCGAGAACGAGGATGAGGCCTGAATGTATAGACTAAGTACTAGCCGAGACGAATAAATAATTGAGGTTGAGGAGTTTTGTATTAAGTGATTGTCAAAGCAGGCACTTGACTTCTTAATGTCATACACCGGCCTATAATCATTAATGCATGATATCATTTTACAAACATAACACTTGAAGAGTTAATTGCAACTGTTACTGAGCTACTCTCTGATATGGTTGAAATTGAGGTACACATCCTGCGCACTAACGCGCTGTGACTATGCCAAGCAAGATAGAATTTTCTTTTCACGATTTTGGTTTGATGGCAACGCTACATTCAACCAAGTCTTGAATTCGAAATTGTTTACATACCATGTCTTGCACGCGTTCTCAATCATAATAATAACAGCTTCTACGAACACTGTGGTTTCTTATTAATTTGAAGTCTTTACAAATAGTTTGGATATAATAACAATATGTTAGTTGTAAAGTCAAGTAGCTTGGAAAATTTCAACCTTCATCACAGATTAAGTACAATTTGATAAACTGGAAAAAGGTTGTCAACAGTCGCTAACGCTTATCTGGAACCGCCGCATGGCTCCGTAAGTGTCAATCGCTTTGATCAACCGTTCACCGTTGCTCTTTTGAAGCCTCGCTATATTTTATTCGACGAGTGAAGCTCCTCCACTTATATACACAGACAATAATCCACTAGGCAAAATGGCCTCTATGTTTCGACCTCCAGAATCTGCCAGGGGTAGCTCAAAGTCTCCAAAGCTGACGCTACCTTCTGCACTCAAACAATCGTCTAACGAGGCTCCATCTTTACCATCGGGACACACCTCGAGCATGGCAACTCCAATTTCATCATCTTCGTCGCAAACATTGACGTTTCCGAGACCCATGAAATCCTCTTCGTCATCTTCGTCAATCAACACCTTGAAGAAACGACCCGTACCACCGCCAATGCCACCACTGGCGATTCCAAGTAGCGCAGGCGCAGGAACTCCGGACAATTCTCTTTTAACAGATTCACTGGAAAAGCTCAAACTTGACGAACCACAAATCTGCCATGGCAGGACTGGTTCCCGAGACACCTCGAGCGAAGAAACAAGTGAAAGTGGGATATCTCCAGCCCCAACTCCACCTTCGGCTTACGCTATAGCTGATGTAGACGAACTGGACGAAGAAACGTGGCAATCCGGTATTGTCAAGGGTCACATAGTTACCATGGGCGTCCTGGGAGAAGGTGCTGGTGGCTCCGTGGCAAAATGCAGGCTCAAGTACGGAACCAAAATCTTTGCATTGAAGACAATCACTACTGTGAATTCGGACCCGGAAACCCAGAAGCAAGTCTTTCGAGAGTTGCAGTTCAACAGAAGCTGCAGCTCAGAATATATTGTGCGCTACTTTGGGATGTTTACGGACAACACTAATTCATCAATTTACATCGCAATGGAGTACATGGGGGGTAGGTCGTTGGAAGCCATATACAAACACCTTTTGAGCAGAGGTGGAAGGATAGGAGAAAGAGTGCTAGGAAAAATAGCAGAAAGCGTTTTGAAAGGCCTTTCATATTTGCAAGAGCGCAAGATAATTCATCGGGACATAAAGCCCCAAAACATTCTACTGAATCAGATGGGACAAGTCAAGCTTTGCGATTTTGGTGTTAGTGGAGAAGCTGTTAACTCATTGGCTACCACATTCACTGGAACTTCTTTTTACATGGCACCGGAACGAATTCAGGGACAGCCTTACAGCGTGACGAGCGACGTATGGTCCCTAGGGTTAACGCTACTTGAGGTTGCTCAAGCACAATTCCCGTTCGGTTCGGACAAGGTGGCCGCAAACATGCCCCCAATCGAGTTGTTAATGCTAATTTTGACTTTTACACCGGAGCTCAGAGATGCGCCCGAATTGAGCATCGTTTGGAGTAAATCCTTCAAGTCTTTTATCCAATATTGTCTCAGTAAGGAACCTCGGGACAGGCCCTCCCCACGCCAAATGCTTCAGCACCCATGGGTTCTGGGACAGATGAAAAAGTCTTGCAACATGCAAAAATTCATTCTCAAGTGCTGGCAAGAGTAGTGTGATACAATGGCATGACAACGAATATAGGGAAGCAAGAATTGCAGCTAGGTAAACTGCACATCTTTGACAACTCACATGCTGCAAGGTCAGCTGCGGGCCTCAATACGTTGATGAAATCTCTTGGCGATGCAAAGGAGCGGAGCAAGATAAATGAAAATAAAATGTATGTTGATACAAAACTGTAAAGTAGCCGGAATCGGAAAACCGGATCTCCAGAGATGGAACTCAAAGTCGTACGCATATGCGGTAGATCCGCTACGTACCCATGACTCAATCATGGATTAGCTATCATATGATCCTCATATGACCTCACTATTCACGGATTTCAAATTTTTCACGATTTTGATTAATCCGTCAAGTTAACTCTGCTAGCTTCTTTAAGTTCTTGCTTCGATTGCAAATAATACTATCTTACCTTGTAAATCTCCAGCGATGATTATGAGACCTGCCATGAGATATTTGCCTACCCGTCTCGCCAGTAGTGTGGGTGTGAGAAATGCCACCCTGGCGAACTTTTCTAGGCCGGTCGTTGGCTTCAGATATTATTCTGACGCCGCTAAAGACGCTGGCGCCGAGGCATCGAAAACCGAGACTACTCAAGAATCTCTAAGTGAAGACCAACTGAAAATACAAGAGTTGGAAAAGAAATTGGTAGCGAAGGACAAGGAAAGTGCCGAGTACAAAGACCGTCTGCTAAGATCCGTTGCCGACTTTAGAAACTTGCAAGAAGTAACCAAGAAGGACGTCCAGAAGGCCAAAGACTATTCCTTGCAGAAGTTCGCCAAGGACTTGCTGGACTCAGTCGACAACTTCGGCCACGCTTTGCAGGCTTTCAAGCCAGAAACCGTTGAGGCGTCAACCGAGATTTCAGACCTTTACACCGGTGTCAAAATGACCCGCGATGTGTTTGAAAAAACCCTCAAGAAACATGGCATTGAGAAGCTTGACCCCATGGGCGAAACTTTCGATCCAAACAAGCACGAGGCCACCTTCGAGCTTCCTGACCCTCAAAAGGAACCTGGCACCGTCTTTCACGTCCAGCAAGTGGGCTTCACCTTGAACGATAGAGTGATCAGACCTGCTAAAGTCGGCATTGTCAAGGATCCTTCCAACTAGAAGCCTATCAAAATAAAAAAACCTCGTGCTATGTTAAGACAAATTTCACTAGAATTTTGACAGCACCGTAATGACACCCTTTCCCAAGACCTGCTCACGACCCTAGACACCATGTCTCGTACGTATATCTTGTACATATCCCAATAAAATCACATTTTTCAGAGTCTATATTTTTACTCTTCACGGACTCTGCATGAGCGCGGCGCGTGGCATTTGTGTCTAGAATAGCAATACGTAAGTTAACGGTGCCGTATAGTCCGTGTTAAATTCACTCAATGCCGTTGTTAGCATCAAGAATCCGCTATATGGACGGTTCAGGGCTTTTGTCTCACTATACACGTGATATGCGTTCGAGATTCTGAAACGAAACCAGGAAAGGTAAACAAAGATTGTTGATCTTTCTCATAGCTCATGAATCCGTTAAAAGAACGGTAAAGGAGGAGATATTGGAGCTTGAAAGGGACACTACTAGTACAATTTTACCGTTTAGAAATACGGCGAGATACTGGGTTCTTTTCTTGGAAATTGGGAGACTGGCCATTCGGTGGTTTGTGACGGCAAATCCATAGTTGTCGAACAACACATCCTGAACCTCTGGAAGAAGAGCTCGATCGGGGAGGCTTTAGGAGCACTTAAATATTGGAGAAAACTGCATCAACCAGCAGTTTCAACGGGAAGACCTTGTAATTGAGAATCGTGGTCTAAAATTAGCATACGTCTAATCCAGAAGGAATCGTGGCTTGAAACCCCTGTTCTAAGTCTAATAGATTTAGATCCCAGCGAAAGCGCACCCTTCTACAATAATCGATGACCTCTGTTCCGCAAAGACACACTTACTATGGTGCACCCTCCTCGGCTTACACACAATCGCGACAATCCGCGGCATTTGGTACCCCCAAACGCAAGCATGTCACTTTCGGTCCGTACATCGTGGGATCTACTTTAGGCGAAGGCGAGTTCGGAAAGGTCAAATTGGGCTGGTCCAAAACCTCTGGGTCGTCATTGGACGTGCCCAAACAAGTTGCCATCAAGCTTGTGAGAAGAGATACGATTCCCAAAAATTCTGAGAAAGAGGTCAAAATCTATCGCGAAATCAATGCTTTAAAACACTTGAACCACCCTAATATTGTGAAATTAGAAGAAGTCTTACAAAACTCGAAATACATCGGGATTGTACTGGAGTATGCATCCGGTGGAGAGTTCTACAAATACATCCAGAAAAAGCGAAGACTCAAAGAAGGAGCCGCTTGCCGTCTTTTTGCGCAACTGGTCAGTGGTGTTTGCTATATGCATTCCAAAGGGTTAGTGCATCGGGATTTAAAGCTTGAAAACTTGCTTCTTGATAAGCAAGAAAACCTTTTGATTACAGATTTCGGATTTGTTAATGAGTTTAGCCCTGAAGATGAACTGATGAAAACCTCATGTGGTTCACCTTGCTATGCAGCGCCCGAGTTAGTCGTGACTACAAAGCCTTATGAAGCTCGCAAGGCCGATCTGTGGTCATGCGGTGTCATTTTGTATGCCATGCTAGCTGGCTATTTACCTTGGGACGATGACATAGACAACCCCGATGGTGATGATATTGGTAAGCTTTACCGCTACATTACAAGAACACCACTCAAATTTCCAGAATATATTACTCCTGTGCCACGAGATTTGCTGAGAGATACTTTAGTGCCTGATCCCAAAAGAAGAATATCAATAGACAAGATTTTACAACATAGATGGCTACAAGCTCATCGTGCCTTTTTGTCTGTTACGCCTGAAGAATGGGATCATGTATCAAGAAACAAAGACATATTGAGGAGACCTCCACCAAAAAAGGATGCCTCAGACTCAGCAAGACCGCGCTCAAACTGCTCGGTTTCGTCATCTAACTCTAAAGGTGAAAAACGTGATTCATTAATCATGGACTCTTCATTGTATTCGCAGCCAGTACCGCCTCACCAATCGCAATCTCACGCCGTGGCAATGCCATCATCACCATCTCCCAGACTTCGTCAATCTCCAGTCAAAGGGGCCCGTCATAGTCGAAGCAACTCTGCAGCATCTGTAGCATTACAAGCGGTTGTTGATGCTGAAAAGGAATTTCATGCCACACACGTGTCTTTCCCAACTTCGGCTTCAACGTCAGCTCTCCAAAGTGAAAGCTCGCCTCCAGGCTCACAAAATCCATCTCCTAGGCTTTATTCGTACGCACTAACGAAACCAAGTCAAAACACTATCTCCTCTTTGAGAGACAGCGTTATAATTGAGACAAGTCCTCAAAAGGGGTCTGCAGCATTCCTTCTTTCTGTACCACAAATTGATGCTAGTACTGGATTGATTGTGCCCTCATCATCGGGAAATTCAGCAATCCCTCATGTCAACACGGGGTACAAAACCTCACACTCAGCCAATAATCATACAAACCACAACCTCTCGCAGCATAGGAGGCCAAGACCAACGTCATACCATCCAACATCTTACACTGCATTCAATGATAAGTCATTTACAAATCAAAGCCCCACACTGAGCGAGATTAATACGATGGAAGTAACACCTTTGAAAAATGAAGGAGCAACATCTGTGGAAAAAACATCTCCGCAACTAATTCAAAAAGATTCATTTACGTTGAGTAAACCCTTCGTTGATATGCAAATAGTTGCTGGTGACTTGATCAAGACTGGTGACGACGGAAACACAGTCACTAAAAAAATCCATGATCAAGTGGAAGATGCGGATAATAGATTAGATGTTTCACGGCAGAGAAGGCAAAGTCAAAGGTATAGTGTGGTTTACGATAAACTTTTTGGAGCCGTAGCGGAACAATCCGAAGACACGGCAGTGGCGGATGATAGGGAAGCAACTATGTCACCAGAACCACTTACTGACGTTGTTCAAGATTCTAAGAAAATCACTGCATCACCATCGGTAAAGAAAGAAAAGAAGAGATTTAGCATAATGTCCGTTTATTCGTCTTACAATGCATCAAAATCTAGCATAGAATCCGTCAATCCCAAGTTCGAAACAAAGGATAAAGATACGAGTACTAATGATTATGAAAAACGTTCAAGAGTTTCGAGTTCCAGGCATAGTTCAGCTGCCAAGGAGAGGAGTACTACAGATGCGGATACGCGCATAAAGACACAAAGAAATAGTTCTAAAGCGAGTAAATCGGAAGCTCAAGTGGAACGACAACCAAGTTCGAAAGTAACAGATTCTGCCAATAGTCATACAAAAGGTTCCCAGGCTATTCAAACGGAAGTTCAAGTAGAGCGGCAACCCAGTACGAAAGCGCCCAATTCTACAAATATACAAAGGATCTCATCACTACGGAAAACGAGTAAGAATCCGCCAACCAAGAAAAAACCCAATCGGTCATCAGTAATGGTTTCTTCAATACCCAACAGCGATAGCGCTGGTAGCACAACAACAGACATTAGGCCCCGAGAACAATCCACTGCTAAGAAGGTCATGGATTTTTTCAAGAGACGAAGCATGCGATTATAACTAGTAGTTAGCCTTTTTTTAATTCAGAGACCATACGAAATACAAAGGACACTTTTAATATCTTAGATTAAGTAATAATAAACTAATATCGTCCTTGAGCTAAAATGCGCATGGTTTTCCTCGCTGGAATCTCACCCTAAACTTATCAATTCTTTGTTATAATTGCATTAGTTATAAAAGCGTATGGTACTTATACAGAGCGGCTTTCAACATCTAAAACGAAACCCAATGCGCTTAGATGTTAGATGGGTACAAGAAGATTCTGACGGAAGCACCGAAAGTCTTGGCTGGCAAGTTAGATTTGAAAGTAGCTCTAACAACACCGGAGTTACCGTGGGTTCTGTTGATCTTTCCCCAGATGACTCTGATCTTGGAACCTCTAATTTCCTTGGAGGCTCTGTAGACGTAGGCAACACGCTTACCCAAGTAAAACTTAGCGTCTTCTGGGTTGGCAACGCCCTCGATCTTGACCAAGGAGACGTTTGGGTTGTTTGTCTTCTTAGATCTTTGGTAGGACAAGTGCTTACCTTTGACGTACACTGTAGGTGGAAAAAGTTAGTAACCGGTAAAAGAAATAGAGCGCTGTGAGTACTGGAGAGGGAACAAAGGGGGTGCGAAACAGACGCTCAAATGTGTGAGCGAAGTGCTGGTCCTTGAACTGAGTGGAAAAAAGGTGAAACCAACGTTGTGAGTGGAATCTGCACACCATAATTTCGAAATGTCATGCATAAGCGTGGTCCGCGGTCGAATACCGCTTCTTCTGATGCAAGACTTGCTTGCTCATCACAATCGATCTCAAGCAATCATTTCTCCCGCCACTTCTGCGCTTTCAGCTAGTTGTTTCCATTTTCCTGGTATCATTTCCAACAGCACTCCGTTCTCGTCCATCGCACCATCGAGTTCTTCTTGTCTCCTCTGTCGTTTGTTTTCACATACATCTGTGGGATTCAGCCATCGTGTTGATTATCTGTGATTAGCCCTTTCGAACACAATACCTTCGGCAGGATAGTGGTAATTTCAACACTTTAGTTTTGTCCAAGTTCCTGGAGCCACGACAGGGACAGACTGAGAGGCTGGGAAACGATTTGCTAGGCAGACACCTGCCTGGAGCCGAGCCTGGAGCTAGGCTCGGTGGCTCACGAGCCTGCGAGCCTAACATTCCGGGAGTCTAGGCAGAGCGCGAGTCTACGAGCAGAACCAAGACCCCATGGTTCGAGCCTAGCTCAGAATACACACGGTGAGCTTTGTTGCCTGGAGACAATCGCGGCAACTGAACACCGACTCAACGGAAAAAAGGACGCACAGCAGAAAACAAATGAATATTATTTTTTGATTTTTTATTTTTGTAAAAAATTATGAGGAATTGACAAGATATTTTTATCAGGTATGTATGGGTTTTACGAACAAAGGAAGCAGTCCAACAAGACAGTTTCTTCCCTCTCATACTATTCGTACTTCATCTATAGCTATGGCACAGCCATAACGACTACGGTTTTTGGATTTACGAGAAGCATATGTATAGTAGTGGGCCTATAACAACTTTTGTGACGTTCTTCAGATGCACGAAACTGGTCCATGTCAGAGTAATTAGAACAAGGTATAAAAACGACGCGAGGCTACAGTCATGCATGAAGGATGTCGACTTTTGTCTATGACACGTTGGCGTAAAGTGACGAAAGCTGGAGTGAGACTCAGCAGAGTTTTAGCAGAAACCCTGAGGCCTGGGTGTTGCTATTGAGTAGTGCCTCGCTTAAAGGCTGGTGTAATCAGTGACCCAGTCTAGAACAGACCTGCTGAACTAAACACAGCAATGGTTTCATCCCTGTGCCCATGGTCGACTCCCTTCAACCCACCGAGGGGTCGTTATCGCCGGCTTCATCGCCAGCAATATTCACTGAGGCATATCTGCGTCAGTAGTAGTTAGCTTGCTGACGTGGTCTTTTGAGTCGTGTCTGATCAACTCGTGCTGGGACCTGGAATTTTTTTCAATCTTTTCGTGATTCTCCCAGCTATGAGGTCGATCCATCGGGCGCAGCAAGGACTCTGTTCATGTAAGATTTTAACTGAGTGTAAAAAAGTCTTACAGTCTTGCACAATCCGACGATGAATCGTCTGCTATACCAGGGAATCCCTATCGAGCTATCAGTCGACTATCATATCATTTTAGGTATCGTCTGATACTTTTCTTCACGTTGAGAAGATGCATCGAATATTCCATGGCCCGCCTACGTTTTGTTGACATCACTCTGTACTATTGCGTCACCGCGCTTGGTTCCACTTTGTGTTCCTATCTTGATTAGCTTTATTGTGCAATTGACGCTATTTAGCAGTTGGAACGCGATTCCGGTAATTATAAGGCATGGAAATGCAAGAAACCGTAGATACTTCTTGCTTCAAATGGGAAAGTGGTCCAAGAATCAGACACCCTGAAGCTGTAAACACGATGCGTTCCCATGCATACAAGATTGATAGCGGACAAGAATTGCAAAAATATGGCAAGTAAAAAAACTGGTTACCTAAAGGTCTGAATCCAGGATGTTCTGTGATAATAGAAAAGAGAGACTTTCTGCCACAAGTAAAGTGGATACGGCTGGCATTTTACCTGAGGGTGTGATCTGCGTCTAGGATTGAATACATGAGGCTCAATGAGCGCAAAATGGCAACGCCGAACTGATCTAGCGGTACCATTACAGATGATCAGAAAACCGCGGTGTAGCTACAAAAGTGCTACAATTGCGAAACTGAAAGGCTTGCACAACGATGGAATAGAAGATGCCCTGGGCTATGCTGACAGCAACTATATCACGCATCCGGAGGTCATTGCTCATTATCGTCACGTAAGCCGTAGGCTTGATTTCATAAAAAATGTTGACGGGCTGTTCTTAAGATTACTTTAAGCAGCTACAATACACCCATACTCGCATGTGCAAAAAATGCGGCACTGGAGATTGCTAAAGATTTGCCAGTTTCTATATCAAAAGAGCACAGAGGCAACAAGCCAAGCACCTACGCCGTGAATTCACGGAGTAAGATGCTTCTCCATTCTTCCAAAAACTGAAAAGCATCGTCAGACGTCGGTTTTTTAATAGTAAGCTGCTTTGCTTAGTCAGCTCCTCTTGAATTGTTTTTCTCTACCAGATCAGAGCCATATTCGACCCAGCACCTTCGGTGGTGATACTATTTTATATTCTGGGGCAGACAAACTAACAACCCTTCAACTTGTAGCTGGCTTACCCGTAAAGTTCTGCGCAAACCTTCTTATCATCAGCAATGTAGCTGAAATCCCTGACGAAGAAGATAGCTTTTTGAGACATCGGTCAAGGAAGCGTAAGCCGCTTCTAAGGTGGCCTTCAGAATTTACGAAGCGTTCATACTTTGGCCTGCAACTCTTCTGAAATTATATGCCATCCTTAGGGTTGTTTTCAAACATCCTGGTGTGTGAATGCCATCTTCTTTGGGAACAACAAAAGCCGGTGAAAAGCCGTATCAGACTCCTGTTTGGCACGATTCGATTCTTCCAGGCATTTATATTCGCTTAGTGCGTGCAATCTTGATTTGAATATCCCTTTTCAGATAAGCTCGAAGATACCAATCGACTTTCCCCTTTCGTAAAGATAAGGAAATCAGTTCGCACCCTACTCAACAAACGCGATAACAACGAAAATCGATGCCACATTATTGATCCTACCCTATAAAACAAAGTGAGCCTGTGGCTCACTTGACCGACCCAATTAATGCACCTTATTTCAACGAACACACGCGCTAAATACTATACTATGACAGAAAAAGCCAAGGCTTTACTTGTGGGTTCGGGAGGTGTTGGGACTTTTGCCTCCTACGCGTTAAAATACACTGGGAAAGCGGAAGTGACATCAGTGCTTCGTTCAGATTATAAAATGGTGGTCAAAAATGGCTTTCATATCAATTGATGCGACTATGGAACCATCGACAAATTCAGTCCTTCTCACGTTGTAGGTAATGTCGAATCTGCTGTAGTGTATGTTTTTTCGATTTCGGGCTTGTAGTAACTAAATGTCTACCAGAACTTGCGAACCTGATCGACATCATCGCGCCTGCTGCTTCGAGTGGGACGGTCATAATTCTCATCCAGAATGGTTTCGGCATGGAAAAAGGTGCGCTGGCCAAATGTCCAAGAAATGCTATTTTGAGTGGTGTGAGCCTGATCGGCTCAACTAAAACCGACCAGAAAATAAACACGAAGTCCTAGATGTCCTATCTGTGGCCTATTTCGAAAGCCCCAATTTCCAGAGCGATATTTTAGAGACGACCAGCAAGAAATTTGTTGGTATTTACTCGAATGACAAGAATGACGACAGATACGACCGCGATGTCAAATCCTCCAGATGGCGCAAACTAGTATACAACGCAACGCTGAACTCTGTTTGCGCGTTAGCGGAAGTAGATGTTGGTCGCTTGGAACTATTCGTAGGAACGAACACAATAGTCCGCTCAGCGATGAGAGAGATTCTTGCTATTGCTAAGTCCGATGGTGCCGATCTACCAGAAGACATAATAGAGTTCATGATCAGATCAGATGAAACAATATATTACAGTCCATGTATGTTAGTCAATAAAAGAAAAGGCAACTTAATGGAAATTGAGGTTATTTGTGGTAATGCTGTAAGAGTGGCTAAGGAAAACAACGTTTCTGCGCCGACTCTTTCCTCAATTTATGAGCTACTGAAGATTGTTCAATGCAAACCGAAAGAGGAAAAGGGTATGTTGTGTGTTCCTAAAGAAATACCAGTTCCTAAAGAAAGACTAGTTCCTTAACAAAGACCTGTTCCTAAAGAAAGACCAGTTCCAAAGTGAGTTTATTGTATTTTGGAACTTAAGCATTCTTAATCCCCGAACCTAGCTACTTTGGTATTGAAGGACGGGACCGCATCCGTCGGCTACTGGTGTAACCGCCGGGTTCCAAATCTCTACAACATTGAGTCCATTTCCTGGTTAAAAGTAGTGTCAATGAGCAAAAGCATACTTCAGAAGCTTATTTTTAACTCCATCCAAGAGTATTAACACAATGTAGAGGTTCTGAAACGCGCTGGTCGAAGAGACTGTTAGTTCATATTGCGAAGCAAACATCGAGATTTTTGTCTTTCAGAACCTGCCACCATGACTTCTTTTTTTCCCAACACTCCCGCATAATGGAAAGAGCTTGATCGGCACAACTGACACCTCTACTTGCTAAGTAGCTCAAATGATTAGAACAAAAAGACCGCTTAGATACGAACTCATCATCAATCAACTCACAGCCAAAACTGAAAATACTAAATAGCATACCTGGCCTTATGGACTGCTCATGTGAAAAATCGGTTTCAAGTAATGAAAGTATTCGGTAAAGCAGATTTTTAATTAAGTCATTCGTATTAGAAAAGCCAAGGATTCTTCTTCTGAGTTGCAGAACTGCACTTAGTCCAAACAGCAAATTTGTCGAGTGCAAAGAATGTTCTGAAGTATACCTCGGGACCTTGTGTAAACTGGTCGCAGAATGCTGGCCGCCTATCTGCTCTTTACTTCGAAGCTCAAAAGAGTTTTTAAGAAAGTCCATTATTCGATAATCGAGCTCAACTGCTCTGAGAAAAATAGTGCTTCCTCCGTTGTTATCACCTAATCTCTTCTCAATTATCAAAGACGCAACATCTGCCAAATATGCAAATACGGATACTTCCATTCCATTCAGATACTCTGCCTTTTCAATGTTCTTCATCGATTCACCCATGGTTTTTTTCTTCTTGACCGCACTAAAATCAAGTTTCAAAAGATTCTCATTGATTGCGAGACCGAAATCTCCAGAAGATAAGGTTGCCATAACTTTCATGTAGAAAAACCATCTTTCTAGAAAAGGACGAGGCCCTTCGTCAACGCTAAATTGTAAACAGATACTCTCGTTTATCACTTCAGGGTTAATGGATTTAAGAATAATCTGTTCCGCACCATATAAATGTGTGCGCCACATATTCTCTTGATCTCCAAAGAAAAAGGAGAAATTTGACAGAACCAACACCGTGGCCAGTATCAAATCGCTCACGAGACCTCTTGCCAACTTGAGGTCATTGGCTAATTCCATAACTGTAGTTGATAAGAATTCCCTTGCTGTCACCTCAAAATCCGTGCGCTTTATAATGCATTCCTCAAGAGATGCATAATCGTTGCCTTCTTGACGAGATAATAAGTGCTGTTTGTGTCTACCTCCGAATGCAATGATAGCCTTCATTAAAGTAGGTGATTGTAACGCCATTTGTGGCAGTAAGTAATGAAATGGATTTGAGTCGCGGCGCTTGCTGTACACGACAAAAAGGCTAGATGTGTCCTTGACATAAAAATCAAAAGACTCCGAGAAGCGCCACGAACTAATCATCAGTCCCAAGGCACTTACAGAAAATTGGAGTCTATTCGACCCGGAGGATGATGAATTCCTATGCACAGTCCTTTCACGTGCGGACTTACCATGAAGAGCCAAAGCAGGGCTAGGATTCCCTGGAGCCTCTTCTGAGACCCCAGAAGTATGATATTCGTGTTCTTTAGCAGACGCGGGTCGTCTCAAAGCCATATCCTCGCAGCTTAGAAAATTCGGCTCATTGACTAATGTATATCCGTTTCCCACTTTGGAAACGCTCCAGCCCTTTAGCACGCTCTTGTCCTTGATAACAAGCACTCCGTTCACCATTTTAGTATTTGGTGGGATTTTCGGTACTTTCTTCTTGTCTCTGTACTGTCTGCCTCCCCATTTGAGTAACAAGGGATACGAGCACTTTAAGCGCGAAGATTCGCATCTCTCACATCTTGGTTTGTTCCTATTACACCTGATAGCATACTTCTGACAGATCAGACAGTCTTCCGTTGATCTAACTTGCGTTTTTACTTTTGCGAGCTCAAATTTCATGGTATTTTCATTATCATTCGATTGCGTTCGTTGAGAGAGAAGCGAGTGTTCCCAACTGAAGCAATTCTTATACCATAATTGCATACCTATCAACTATTACAATAAATAGATTGATATTTGATTTAGCCCTAAGCTATAATGGCATACGAAGGGATCGAAAAAGGTGATCATTGATCTCAAATAGATAGCGTATTTTTCCGGGCGCTGGACAATGAAAGATAGCAGCTCGCTGTCACAAACTATAGAAACTAGCAACTAAGTATGAAAAATCGGCTGCAGGATCCAAGTTGCCGTCTCTAAAACGAGCAACCATCACTTTGTTCAAAATTGAATTCTACTGTGAGGAATATAATAAAATAAACTTAGAGATTGGTCTAAATCAATCAGGTTCTAGTCTTTGACTTTTGGATGCTGGTTATGTCTTGAATGGACATAGTTAAGTAGTTCCCAATAGTTAATATGCGGTGGCTGGATACGTTTTTCAGTTATTTTCTGTACGCTGAAATGTAATCGGTAATGATACATTTCTTGGACGGCTGGATGCGCCCGTCTTGTCGATTCATGTAAGCAAACTAACCGCGACTGTACTGATAAGAGAGAGTCTCTTTGGTTTCGTAAGATCGCGTTGCGGGCGGAAATAATCTCGTGTGTGATTTTCATAGCATAATCAATCACTTCGAACTATCCTGACGCGGTCTAGATATCTACAACACAGTGATTGGTAGAAAAAGAACTACTCGCCACTGAAACCAGGTCTCGCAACTAATTTATAATCTTTCAAACTAATATACATATCTGTGGTGTACGTTCTGCTTATCGGTGAAGTCATCATCCTTAGTAACTTTCTGTTCCGTTTCGAATTCCACGCTATCTTTCTTCTTGTTTTCTCGAATTGCCTTGAACCTGTACAATACAAGCAAAATAACGAGAATAACCCACATTATCACGGTGACAATAAGACCGCCGCGGTAAGTACCAAGCCACCATTGCGGGTAAATTATTGCCGCCAAACAGTAACCAACGTAAAAAGCATTCGAACACAAGGACTTCTTGGTATTACCTCTAACATTACTGGCGATTAAGCTAATCATAATTGTCACTAGGCATGTGATTACTGACCCTAACCAAGACCCAACAATCACCCACCATCCGCTACTTTTCTTTAGCGCTAAAACCATAATTGTACCCGTTAATGGGACTGTAACGAGGCAAGCACATATCACAGAGCGCTCCTTAGGGAAGAACTTAACAGCTAACACTCCGATCCAAACAAACAGAAGTTGAATAGCGCCTGCCGGTGATCCGTACTCCATCGTCTCATACTTATCGTACCCGAAACCTGCCAGAATCAGTGACTGGAAAATAATGGGACCACTAGTCACAGTGACCAAAAATCCGAAGAAAAATGAGCTGTAAAAGAGCCAGTCAAAGTTAAGACATTCTTTGAACTGGCCTAAATCGAATTTATTGATGGCAGACCGGTCGCTTTCTTCGTGTATCCTACCCATGGCGATTTGTTTCTCTCTCTCGCTAAGGAACCACGCCGCGCTTGGGGAGATTGGCACCAGAAAATAGAAAAATAATCCGGCAACCAATGAAATACCGCCACAAGCTAAAAACATCACTCTCCAATCTTCTAGTTTCCCACTGTTTGTTTTTCCAATACCGTACATGAGAAAACTTCCGAAAATCTGCGCCAGCGCGTTCATGGAAATCCAAACAGCCGCTCTCATGGGCTGCTCTCTCTTCCTATACCAATAAGAGGTAATCAAAACGCAGGCAGGTTGTACAACAGCCTCAAAAGCCCCTAAAAAGAGTCTACCAACCCAAAAACCTTGTTTTGTGTTTGGGGCTGCCAAACACATACAGCATACCGACCACACGACGACACAGGCACCAGTTAGCGGAACTCTTGGGATGACCGTCATCAAGTAAGTGAATAGAAAACTTGCGCCCAACTGTCCGAGGTAAAAAATAGTTGTGCACCATGAGAAGTCATGGCCCGCCATCTTCAAGTCTGTTTTCAAACCAAAAACCGCCGCATACGTCAAAGATTGCTTATCAAGATACTGTGCAAAAAAGATGGCGCACATCAGAGGTAAAACATGAAGATCAATTTTGCGAAGAAGTGCTCTTTCTTCCTCGGGAGTGTACTCTAGCCGATCAGTTTCTTCCACCTTTATAGGTTCAACTTCTCCAACATTTTCCGAGGAGATTTCGTCAAGCTCAATTTTAATAGAGTTCTTTTGTTCCTCTTTCATAACTTGCTGAATTTGTGAGTATTCTTGTCTACCGACCTTTCAACAAACAAGAAAGCACTGTTACAGAGTTTAAACGTAGGTAATATCTCGTTCTAATATACAAATTTGCATTACAGTCCAAGGATTCGCCCCCATTATTGTTGTCGGTGAGCCTGGTTGACGATAAGCAATATTGCAAAAATAATCAGGAATCAACCACACAGGCACACAGTCTCGAGAATTATCGCAGTTTTTGTCAACTGTAATTTGGATGATAAGCCTTTTCAGGCAGGGAGAACGTCTCGAAACATGACATTGATGCCAATCTGTGTTGATCAGTTCTGATAACCTTTGATTGCATTTGGCAAACGCTTGAACTGGCTATTCGATTTTATTCCAACTACCCCGTTTGTAGCGTATGCCAACTTTAATTTCCTTATCTTGATTTTCCTATTCTTTAATATTTGTCCCAATTACCATATCCGTAATATAACTTATCTGAGCTTGTTATCACTCTCACCAAAACAAAAATGCTCTTAAATAGTAGAAAGTGCAATTGTTAATCCGATCGGGGAAATCACCTCCTCCGGGGGCGACAGTGATGAGACCTTAATCAATGGCTTGTTAGAATAAAACCAGATCGAAACGAAACCCTGTAAAATGAAGCTTCGTGTCTCTGTTATAAGAGGACGAACGCATGAGGAGAGAGAACGCAACATGTAAAAACTTTGCCCTATAAACTATTCTAGCGAGAGTTTTGTGGAATCCTTAAATAATAATGCATCTAAATATGGCCAAATCACTGGAGATTGACGTCAATGAAAGAAACTGGAAAAGCCTAGAAAACTTGGTCACTCCATGGGGAATCCAAAAGCCTGAGAGGTGCTGTTTTAAAAATACCAACTTAATCGACGTCTTCGATGGTCAAGTAAGAAAAAATGCATACGTCTACACAGAAAACGGAATCATATCAAAGATCGTATATTCCGATGCTGCCCACGTCGACATGGTGGGCTACAGAGTTATAGATGGTACTGACAAGTATTTGATGCCAGGGCTCTTTGACAATCATGTTCATGTAACATCTGTTCCCGGAGAGACAGATCTTGTACGCACTCTTGACACTGCAAAAAGCACTGCTTTAATGAGAGTCAGATATAACCTGGAAAGTGCGCTCAAAAGAGGGTTTACTACTATGAGAGATTGTGGTGGTGCTGAAAGCTACATTAAGAAAGCTGTCGAGGAGGGAAGTGTCAGAGGGCCTCGCTTAATCACCTGCGGCCATGCAATTTCGCAGACGGGCGGCCACGGTGATATGCGTAGAAACGATATGCCTGGCGAAGCACTTGATAACTGCGAGTGCCACATCAATAACCTGGGTATTGTTGCAGATGGAGTCCCGGAGTGTTACAAAGTGACCAGAGAAGAATTTCGGAGAGGCGCGGACTTCATTAAGATAATGGCAGGTGGAGGTGTCGCTTCTCCGACTGATAAGATTACTAACTTGCAATTTTGCAAAGACGAAATCAGCGCTATTGTTGCAGTTGCGGATACTTATCACTCTTATGTTACCGCCCATGCGTATACACCTGAAGCTATCAGAAATTGTATCAGCTTGGGAGTTAAAGGTATTGAGCATGGTAACCTTCTGGATGATAACACGGCGAAGCTTATGGCTGAAATGGGCTGTTACTTAACCCCGACCCTAGTCACTTACAAAATACTAGCCTCCGACCAATTCGGATCATTTCTGAAAAAAGATAACGCTGAAAAGAATATGAGTGTCTTAAGGCATGGCATGGAAGCCCTTTCCATTGCCAAGAGACATAAGGTCAAAATTTGTTACGGTTCAGACCTACTAGGATCTTTGAATGGCTATCAAACTCAGGAATTCTTTATCAGGAATAAAGTACTATCGTCACATGAAATTTTGCTGTCCGCGACCGTTACTCCATCCGAGATGAACGGAATGGCAGACAAGCTTGGCCAGATCAAAATCGGTTTCATCGCTGATTTGCTTCTCATGAATGCAAACCCATTGGAGAACATCTACGTTCTTGATGAACCGGAAACAAACTTACTTGTTGTGATGAAGGATGGTTGTATATACTAATAGGTCCTGTCATGAACAATTTGGGCTACTTCTCTCTTAAAATTGCTACTCCATATGGAGATGGGTACTTTTTCAACAAGTCATTTACTCTCGTTAGCTCTATTCACAAGGGACCGTTTTCCACTTCTGACTGCATCTTTCATTACGGGGTGAAGTCTGAAGAGCATAAATATTGTTCGACGAAGCCACACAGTTTTTGAAATGCTCGTCATAGTTAACTGTAATTGATATTAGCGCTCGTGTACGTCGTGAGACTGCTCGGCGAGCGGAAGAATAGCCAGCAATTAATTGTAAAGCCTCCATCTTAATTTTCATGTACTGAGATTGGTTTTCATCAGCCATATTCAAGTATTTGTGGCCTGCTGGTGTTATTGTCAATGGACAGTGTTGAGTATTTTTTTATAGTAACTGAGCGTGGCTGGATATTTTTCCGTTACTTGATTTATGAGAATATATTAGTGATACGCTGAGATATAATCGATAATTATACGTTTCTTGGAGGTCCGATGCGCCCGTCTCATCGTTTTATGTAAGCAAACTAAGCGCGACTGTTCTAATTATTGAGAGCCTGCTTAGTTTCGTAATATCGCGTTGCGAGTATAATTAATGCCGTAGGTGATAATCATAATATCATCAAATGGTACTTTGAAGTACAATGACGCGGTGCATATTCCGACAAGCTTCCCTCAAGGTCCCACGTTTTGTCGTTTTGATCATCATCACTAGAATCACTAGGTGGGATTAAATATGACATATTTAAATTGTGTTTGCAGCCGGCTATCGGGCCCTGGGACGTGGGAACTGCTGAATTTTTGCTTATTAAACAGCACTCAGTCTACACAGCTATGACTCCAATCGGTCAATCATGATGTCACATCACGACAAAATGATATTGAACATTTTAATACATACTATTATCATTACTATTGTGACTACGAGCACCATCAATGATAACCTTGATGAACTCAAGTTGCTTGAGGATGGTTCGAAATCGCAACAAGTCATCAATAGTAACTATCGTGGACTGAAAGCTAACTCCAGTTCTCTTGCACACGATTGAGGAAGAAAAAAAATGTGCCTACGTTATCATGACTGAAATTTGAGCTCCCACATCGGGCTGATACTCTGATAGACAAGAAAGATGGTTTTGTCAACCACGGGCTTAATAGCGCATCACAACCGCTGCTTTCGTGGTTGGAACAAAAGGAATACTCGAAATACGTAAGGTATCGAAATCCATACTGCGTCACGATGGTACAAAGTGATAATCACGATATTGTCAGACTTACCCATGCGTATGCATCTTGTACTTGACCTTTATCTGTCATTACCGACCGTAAGCATCCAGATAGAGCACCGATAACGGAAACTAGTGCTCAGTCATAAATTACGAGATTACCGATAAGTTACCGGGTGGCCTACAGTTGGCTTCATGTGAACGCAAGGAAATCCAACTACAGCCACGCTCGTAGTTGCTTAGACTTTGGTGATGTTTAATTAGCCTGACGTCTCGAGGTTCCATCAAATTGCCACGACTAAAATGACAAAGTGTAAGCTACAAAATATTTTTGTATATGTTACGCTACTTCCTTTTCTGCGCTCTATCATGATGGAGAGATATAATTGAGGCAGCACATTAAGCCAGATCTTTTTCCCGGCTCTTCTATTTTTCAAAGGCTCCGTTCGTTAACTCCTTCTCCAAATCATATTCAGGTTGAAACTCCGTGTACAGCGTTTCTGGATCAGAAGTGTTGAAATAAGTGAAGTTGGCTTCTTCATCACCAATGACTTTTTTTTCGAGACCTGCTTTGGAAGCCATTTCGACCTGCAGCTGAACTTCGCAAGTACGCTCTAGCAAAGTAAACAAGTATGCCGCCTCGTCAATCGTCTCGCCAACGGTCAGAATTCCGTGGTTCTGTAAGATTATAGCCTTGTTGTCACGCAAGGTTTTGGCTAATCTCTCGCCTTCTTCGTCTTCCAGCACTACCCCTCCAAAATTCTCATAAACTGTGTGCTTTTTGTAAAATGTGCAGGCGTCTTGATTCAACATTTCAACTTCACGGCCAAATGAAGACCACGCTTTACCATGTACACTGTGTGCATGGCACGCTGCGTTCACATCTGGTCTAGCCCGGTGTAGGTGTGAATGAATTTTGAAGCCAGCTCTGTTGATAACAGCTTGATTTCCGTCCGGTAGTATATTACCCTTGCCATCGATGTGTACAAGATCGGACACGCGCATCAGAGAAAAATGGCGTCCTAAAGGATTGATCCAAAACGTTTCAGGGTCCATCGGATCCCGAACCGAAATATGGCCTGCAGAGCCCTCAGAGTACCCTTTCCTACCAAATACACGAAATGCGCAAGCCATGTGCTTTAAAATATGCGATCTTTCTTCAAGTTTACTCTCGAAAACTGGCCTCTTGTTTTTGTACTCCAAGTTTCCCATGGAAATGTTATGAACACCTTGAGAGCTGAGGTCCTGTGGAATCTGGTCCGCGATGTGCTTAGTAGCCGTGGACGTAATCGTTGACATGATATTAAGGACTGTTTACGGTTTGCTCCTCCTTTTGCCTAACTTAAGCTTAGATTGAATGAAACTTACTAGTCGGGGCTTTTTCGTCTGTAGGCTTCCTTTATAATGTGTCACACCTAATGCCGAATTTGATGACCGTGAACGTCGGTAAGTTGCAATCGTTCAACTGCGGGCAGTTCTGTTAACTTGTCGTTTTGAGTTGCTCTCGAAATATTTCACCTCGCCTTCAGTTCCGCATCGTGATGTTCAAGACACGTTAAACTTGAATGACTAGTCTAGAATATGAGAGATAAGAGTTTCGGAATTATTTTTAACGTATCAGCGGGACGAAAAACGTGACATTTGAAGTGCTTGGCTTCTTGTTCTCAATTTCCTCTTGATGAGTGCAGTGCTGTTTGGGAGTGGTAAATTGAGTATTACAGGCAGACGTTTGTTTTGAGGCGAGTCTGGCGCAATAATAGAATTCCTTCTTGTATTTTTATTTAGCTCTTATAGGCTTCTTGTTATCGGAACAAATCCATGGTATTTAGGCAATCAATTTTCTGGGATTTGAACAAGACACATAAGACACAAACGAGGTTGTTTGCATGAGCAAAGTCTAGAGCAACCGTTTGGTCTCTTGATGTCATTTGGGAGATCTAATATAGTTCAGATCACTATGTAATATTCTGTCATTATGTTACTTCGGTCAACTTCACGCACCACCATCACTCAAATTACCACAAGTCTAAACCGTCTAGCTTATACAACATATAGACTCGACTGGCAACAGTTTCGCCTAGATAACGTTAGGTGATTGAGCGTTAGTTGAACAAGTCGCCGAGGATAAATGCACACAACATCGCTACACAATTAAATGTTTTTTTCTCAAACATTAACTTCGAAATCCTTTACCTTGTTGTCTAAAAGTTTCACCATTTTACAGAACCTCCCGCTCGCACCAAATATCGTCATGCTAGTACAACATATTTTTGAAACTACTTATCCGACAACGACAGCCACTCATCGTGCCCCACAATTGATTATTCAGTCGCACCATCGTAGTTAATGACTCAAACAATTTCCCGCCCGTCCCATCCATCGCTGCCATAATGCTCACCTGTTCTGCAGAGACTCTTAATTCACACCCACGTCCCGAAACACCATGGCATCCTACAATAGCGCGTCACTCGGCCTCTAGCACCCGATTTCATCGCGGAGCTCTACTTTATTTCAGCCCTAACGGGTTACCCGTATGAGCTCCATGTGGCCGTCTACTCCTTCCCAATCGGGAGAAAACCAGGTACTCCCAGCCCTAATCGCTACCTCTTGCCTTACCCGCTACACCTACAATTAAAATTTTTACGTCGCCTTCACCACTAGGGCTAGAAGATTCAGACCGGGGAAAAAACTATAAAAGGGCACCATCCAACTTAGTTGTCTTCTAAATTCTCTACTTGTATTTTTTTTAAAAAGTTGTCGACGTACTTCAGTATGCAATCCCCCTACCCAATAGGATCCAGAAAGCAAAAGCACTTCCAATAGCATTTTTTGACATTTGTCAAACACTGTTCTTATTGGTGCATTATTGCCACTTCCACATGTCCTGTTTTTTCATTGTCCATTCACTAACACCTGCAACAGTAGGATCATTTCTATAGTAATCGTCACTCTTTGACTCTTCAAAAGAGCCACTGAATCCAACTTGGTTGATGAGCCTATAACCTTTGTGCCCCAGAGTGAGACCAAAGATGTTTCCCTAGCTTGGTCCACAACCCTCAGCGGTTTGGCCATCTACCCACATTTTTGTTTTGCCTTTTGCTTTGCAGTTGTTTATCCCACTTTTGTGGGCATTCTCCTGTGCTAAAAAGGCGCGATGATCTTTGCCCAGTTCGTGCACTTCTTCGTGAAGGGACGACCATATTGGGTGGGCGCAAACGGCAGTCTGACAAGTCTTTTTATTTTTTCCTAGCTGGCTATTCAAAGGTTTGAGTAGTGGATTAGAATTTGAATAAGAAATGGTACCAACTGGTATGTATGCAATTTGTATATAGCTTTTAATGCTATCCTCCTATCGTCAAGTGCTAATATTAAGAATGCTAGAAGACAGTCTTCATATTTGGCTTCACTGCTTAGCTATTAGAATAAACCATCTTATGGCTAACTAATAATCATCAATTTGCTTAAGCGTAGCCGCGACGCTCTCATTGCAAACTCTTTAATATTTATCTTCTGCATAGCATCAACTCGCGTCTATTAAACCAACACATTCTTTACACAGTAACAATTGGTCCATGCCTAAACTTTCGATACTCGCATTACCTGCCATTGTCAAGTAGCAAGGTCTTTGACTCTTCTTCGCGCATAGTTTGGAAACACGAACGGCAGTTTCTCGTACGGCATCGTCTGCAGTGTCTACCAAAACTGAAGTTAGCACGTCTCTTGCGGTGGGTATAGCGTAAACGTAAATCATCAAAGCTTGATCCGCTGCATTGGAGCCTGTCATAATAGTCATGGATATTGGTGATTTCGATGTGTTAATCTCATTTTCCGGGATAGACACCAATACCTGGAAGGACGAGCCCAGAGGGTTCTGGATTGTGTGTTGAATAGTCTTCACCATTTTTCGCAGAAAGCCCTTTATGTATGGATGTTGGTTTATCCGTCGTATGTCTTCATTAGTACGTTATGATGATTTTGATATTCTTTTTCTGAAATAGTGAGATCTATTTCTTGAGAGCTCATCTCATTCGTCCCTAAACCGAAAGAGTTTAAACTAGTAGTAATCCTGGAATTTCTCTCAGCATGTCCCCAAAGCCACCAATTGTGTCAATTGTGGCATGCTTGATGCCCGAAATGGGAATCGGGTTTCAAGGTAAATTGCCGTGGAGACTTAAGCAGGAAATGACATATTTCAGACAGGTAACCACAGGTACTTTTACCGAGGGAAAACAAAATGCGGTAATCATGGGTCGTAAAACATGGGAGTCAATTCCTCCAAAATATAGGCCCCTTCCTGGCCGTGTCAATGTCGTTGTTTCGCGGCAACATCCAGCAGAATTGGCACTTGATACTTCTAGCTCTAACCCAGCGAATAAAAGTTCCATATGGCTAAGCAACTCGCTTACCAAATGCCTAGAATTACTACCACAGCAAATGCCGAACTTGGAGCGCATATACGTGATCGGCGGCGGTGAAATTTACGCTCAGAGCAGCAATTGGTGTGACTATATGTTAGTGACAGAAATCCAACACGAGGACCCCGCCCAAAAGCCCACTATGGACACATTTCTTAACACTAGCACCATTCAAGATTTGTTTCAGCGTGATGATGGCCTCGGCAACTTTGTTCCACCGAACGTCACATTGCCGGAAGAGCCGCATATAAGAGAAAATGGGTATTGTTACAAATTTGCACTATACAAGCGCCGCGGTGAACCCAAGTGAAAAGCATACTGTACCTCGTCCGCATGATAAATGGCAGATACGTAAGTGGGACCTGAAACGTGCAAAACTTTCAGTTACTGTAGATCCTGCTCGAAAATACTGGGGATGAATTTGGTAGTCCAGTCAGTATAAGAAACAGATGCGTCAGGCTCGGCATCCGAACCCAAAGCTAAACCAAGAATCAATCGGTAGCTTTTCCTGAGCGAGACCAGCATACTCCAGATAAAAGTACCATCTAATGTGATAATCTCAGAAACTAGAATAACAACGCCCGAAGCCATGCCTCAACTGCATGTTGAATATTTGATAAAAATGTGGACCATTGCTGAGACAAAGTAATGCCAAAATGCAGATGGGAAGCGTGATTTTGTCCGGGTGTCAAGACTTACTCTATATAGAAAAAACTCGCTCATTAGTCTAAGTCATTTGGAATTCAACGATTGGTTCAACCAGTAAGTGAGAAGTATGGAGTATCCTTAGTTTGAGCTCTGTATATAGTGAACGGCTTTCTTATTCGCACTACGCTTAAGTGTCGCTTTCGACGTGAGAGGTGCTCGTTAATAATCCCGCCTGATAACGACTGAGGTTTTCTTTGAAAATGCTGAATTCTTGAAATGGTGAAATCGTCGAAAAAGGCTGATCAAATAGGCTTATTGTTGCTTTAAGGTAGTCGGCGTTCACACAATTGCATTGTCGAAGGTTTGTCAATTGACTTGTCAATCGTTTGGGCTAGCTCGTTTCATTTAAGGGGTCTTTACCATCATATTATCGAATCATCGTTCAGCATGTCAGGCTACGCTAACTCCTCCACTTGGACGTCATTTTTGAAGTCGATCACCTCGTTCAATGGAGACTTGTCGACTTTGACAGCTCCGCCATTCATTTTGTCGCCCACGTCTCTGTCAGAATACTCTCAGTACTGGGGCGAACACCCCGACTTGTTTTTGGGGCCAAATTTCATCACGAAACCGGATGCTGATGGCACCAGTGTTGAACATCTACGGATGCTAGCAGTGGTCAAATGGTTCATTTCGACTCTAAAGTCACAATACTGCTCGCGGAATGAGGCTATGGGTACCGAGAAAAAGCCTCTAAACCCATTTTTGGGAGAACTGTTTGTGGGGAAGTGGGAAAACAAGGAGCATTCGGACTTTGGTGAAACCGTCTTGCTCAGTGAGCAAGTCTCGCACCACCCTCCGGCTACTGCCTACACTATTCTCAACGACAAGAACAAGACGTCATTGCAAGGATACAATCAGGTCAAGGCATCAATCTCCACAGCGTCTTTGAGCGTGAAACAATACGGACATGCCTTGCTGGAATTCGGGAATCTAGGAGAACAATATCTGATCACTTTGCCACCGTTACACATTGAGGGCATGCTTGTGGCATCCCCATTCGTAGAACTCGAAGGAAAATCCTATATTCAGGCATCCAATGGACTTTTCTGCGTGGTCGAGTTTTCTGGCAGAGGTTACTTTTCGGGTAAGAAAAACTCCTTCAAGGCTCGCATATTCGAGAAGGCTTCGGACGCAGCTGTTAAGGAAAAGGCTCTTTACACCATCACAGGGCAATGGTCCGGTACCTCTACCATAAGCAAGGGAAGATCGAAAAAAGGCGAAGAGTTGTTTTACGATGCGTCGAAGGTGAAAGCTGAACAGCTACATGTCAAGCCAATCGAGAAGCAAAATAGCCTTGAAAGTAGAAAGGCCTGGAAAAAAGTCGCAAGCGCCATCAAAGGTGGAGATTTCAACCAGATTCACGAGGAGAAATCTGCTCTAGAGAATGGACAAAGAGAACTGCGTAAAGAAGAGCAGGCTCAAGGCACCAAATGGCAAAGACGGTGGTTCAAGGATGAAGATTATACCCAGGGCATCAACGATGCTTTCACGAAACTGGCGGACGGCTTCAAACTATCTACGAAGAATGTGCCAAGTGGAACTTTGGTGGGTGACAAAGATGACAAGAAGGCAACTACCGCAATGCACTGGCGTTTCAAGCGAGAGTTATGGGATGCCGAGAAAGAAATTGTGGTGTAGCGGAAGTCCAACAATTGGGAAACAATAATCTACAGAATTTTTTCTAAAGAGAGCCTTGGGTTTTCCACGGGCATTCCGAAACCGTACCTTGGGCCTTTTCAAATCTCTAAGTAAGATATATCATGACCTAACATCGACATTGATCTTATAGAAGGTGTCATCAATTTCTTGAGTTGACTTTTTTATTTTTTCAGTAGTGAAAAAATTTATATCGATGAGCTTGAGATGAGCATCTCATCGAGCCTTCAAACCTCAACCACGATTACTACACTGGCTCAAAGACATCCATAAAATGGCACCAGTATCAGAGAGGCCAGCACAATACAAACAGTCTTCTCGTAAGGGTAAGAAAGCGTGGAGAAAGAACATTGATATTTCAGATATTGAGAAGTCTGTTCAACAACAGAACGATGAGGAGATAACGCACGGTTCGAAAGACTTGGCGAGCTTAGCCAATAAAGACTTGTTTCAGGTGGATACTAAGGGTGATGAGGTGCTTAAGCAAAAGTTGATCAAGCGGAAACAAATTAAGAAAAACGTCAAGTCTTCTGAAATCTTAGAATCGATTAAGTCTAATTCGAAAGTTGCTGCACTATCTCATCCCAAGAGCCGTTCTAGCGATGAATCAAAGAAAAACAAGATCCAAGGTGTATCGAAGAAAGAGCTCAAACGTTTGATGGCCCTGGCCGGCCGCATTGACGGGGAGAGTAAGCTCAAGAACGCAGTAACTAAGAGAGGGTTGGTTAGAGCTGGAGCCAACAATGACTTGTGGGGCGCCAAAGAAGAAATCAAAACTCCATCGGGTATTAAGATGGTCTATAAAGAGATTCAAGAGGTTCCCGAAGAGTTGAAGACGCTTTCTACCACGGGCTGGTCTAAAGCGACTGTTGCTCCAGACACTATCACCAGGGCTCCTGTTCACGTCAAAGATATTGATCAAGCTCCTCACGCTGGTAAATCTTATAATCCAAGCAATTCCAGCTGGACTCAGCTGATAGATAAAGAGTATAAAGGAGAGAAAGTCAAAGAGGACGCCAGGTTACAAATGGAGGCCTACAAAGTTAGGATAAGTCAGCTCATGGAAACTTTAGACAGAAACGAGGAGGAAGAGTCTGAAAACGACAGCACTGCAGATGCGGAAGAGGCTTCAGATGCCGAAGACGATTCAGAGATCAAGCTTTCTCTCAACAAACCTGTTGTCAACAACAAGAAAACCAAGTATCAAAGAAACAAACAGAGAAGACACAAGGAGAAGTTGTCACTGCACTCAGAACTCAAACAGCTAAAAAAACAGTTGCGCGAGTTAGAGCGTTTTGAAGAGCTTCAAAAAACCGTTGAAGAAGCTCATGCCACACGCGAGGTCGAGAAAGCTAGCAAAGCTGGCAAAGTAAGTAAACCGAAAGCCACCAAGAAACACAAGCTGGGAACCAAACACTCTGTCATGGAAGACAATTTAGAGGTCAAATTCTCCGACGAATTGTCCGATTCGCTGCGGAAACTAAGGCCAGAGGGCAGTCTGCTATATGATACTGTACGGAAGCTTCAGGGCTCTGGTAAAATTGAGAGCCGTGTACCAGTCAAGAAGGGCAGAAGATACACCCCGCGGATCACAGAAAAGTGGACCTACAAAGACCTTAAATAAATTCCAGCTCGGTCAAGGAAGAGCTTTGTCAGTAATTTCATTTCGACCTTGCCAATCTCTACTCTGTACACTATCAATAGACCAACAAATCGGGATATGCAATTTTTTAATCGATGGTAACTATTTCATTCCAAAGTTTTCTTAGTTTAAATGTTAACATGGAAGCTACTACTTTCTGCCTGTGTCGTAATCGTTGGTCGAAAAGCCAAACAAAAGATTTTACGAAAGCTAGGTGAATATCGTTGTTATAGGTAGCCAATGATAGTGTTCACCCGTGAAGAATATGAAGTGGTTGAGATTACTGTGACACTGACATTCGATAAATCCATCTAACTATCACATGGGGCTTAGTATAATATTGAAAACTAAAAATTTTGTCAACCACCCTTTCTTGTATCTTAGCTCTCCTAAATCACTTTGCGCGTGTATAGAACAATCTATGATCAAGACTCATCTCGTCATAGTTCCTTGTCACTCAGTATGGAAAATTGACCAAGGACTTGAGCCAGACAATTATGGCCAGTCTTTCAAACAGTGGCACTTGGCGCCTTTCCAGCATGAAGGCCGTGATCATCTGTCCTTTATAATGCACTCGCTTATGGCTATCGATGCGCTTTTAGAAGATACTACTGGATCTCTACTGCTTTTCAGTGGATCTTGTACGAAAGAAGAGGCTGGCCCTGTTTCGGAAGCGCAGTCTTACTTCTTGCACGCTCGTAAGCTTCTCAATGCAGTGGCCAATGGGTTTGAGCTTCCAGCAGCACTCTCGAGCCATAGAGACATTTCGAAATATTGTTCACGTATCACTAAAAAGATGAACAACCAGAATTTGACGGTCGACGAGCTCTTTGCCAAACACATTGCAACCGAAGAGTTTGCACTCGACTCCCTCGAGAATTTGCTATACTCGATTGTCAATTTCCAAGCGGCGACTTCGAATTGCCCTTCGAAGGTGACCATCGCAGGCTTTGGCTTCAAAAAAAAACGGTTCCAAGACTACCACACAATAGCAATCGACTATCCAGCAAGCCAGCTCAATTACTTATCGTACGAGCCTCAACCCATTTACACCGATGTAGAACAGCTCGAGGCGTACAACCGCGATCTCGACATTCAGGAGAGCAGAAACGCGCTAGATTTGTACAAGGTCGATTGGTACGGTTCCAAGGATCCATTGTTGAGCAAGAAGCTAAAGCGCAATCCATTCAAATCAAAGGCAAATTATACTCTACCGTTTTCTATTAAAAATCCTATTAATGATGATCAAGCATTTTTCAGAAATACGATTCAACACAAAATGCCGTGGTCGGCAGGTGCTCAAATATGAGCTAACTTCTTTGTTAGTGCTGAGCGCTCTTCTTCCCAGGTGTTGACATTCTCGAGCTTGTCTTCGAGCGTTTCGATCTCCTTCTCGATTGACGTAATGGCCTCATCTGTTCCTAAGTCCTGCAAACGCCAAGACTCGTCTCCTCCAATTTCTAGCGCCAGATCGTGGTACTTGATCAGCGATGGACGCTGCGATATGGTAATGAAATTGAAGCGATATCTTTTCAGTAAGTTGAAGAGGTAGTCTTCCATATCTCCGCTGATTGCATTGGTCGCTTCATCAAGAACGGCAAACCTTGGCTTGTGGAACATAATACGAGCAAAATTCATGCGCTGTCTCTCTCCACCACTCAATACATCTTTCCACTCTGCTACAGCATCCAAGTATTGCCAGCCTTTACCTCTCTTAAGCAGGTAGTCCAACTTCACCTCTCCCAGGACATGAACCAACTCTTTGTCTCTATGGCCTAAATCGAAGAACGTATCCGCTGACATGGGGTATATGATCTGTTCTCGAAATGTACCTCCCTGAATGAAGTAAGGTTTTTGAGGAATACAGAACAACTCAGAGGCACCCGGAACGGAAAGCAGACCATTCTTATTATAAATTGGCCAAATTTCCGCAACTATTCTTTGTATAGAAGTTTTGCCGCACCCGTTGGGCCCCAAAATTAGCATGCTACTTCCAGGACTCTGAAACATCAATTTTTGACTAATGTTTAGCTGGGAATCTGAATTAGTATTATCAAGGGTAATAACAGGTGGTATTTGAAAGCGCAGCTTGTTAATGAGTTTCGTACCTTCTTTACCATGTTTAGAAGGGATTATGACGTCAATGTTCTCGAGTCGTATACCGTTAAAACTTCGCTGGACAGTGCCACGGACAGTCTCTGTATTTGTTAGCGGGCCGCTCGTGATTTTCGAGTCTTTATCCTCATCAACTATGGCGCCATAGTTAAAGTCCGCGGAATGAACTCTGTGTAGTACAGCTAGCAGTGTGAAAATCCTGTTGGTATATCCTGTTAGCTGAGCAATGTCTTTGAAAGAGTGCATTAATCTACTACCAGCATCGGCCAGCGATAACATTAGTCGCTTGTTTACAATAAATTCACGCATATTGACCTCTTCATTGTTTACTCCGGTGGTAATAGTTGTGACCACAATGGGAATGGAAGCGAATATATAGCCTAATGCAGACCAAGTGTATTTTAACACGTAATCCTCTAGGATGTTATAGTTGATTTTCACTCGATCCACCAAAAGCATCTGGTCCATGAGATAATCGTATAGAGCGTTCACCTTTGTGCGCTCCACTTTAGTTCCATGGTAAAACGCAATTTCTTCGGTGTTGTTAATCAAATTTAGGTGATAATTGTAGTAATCCCCTTCTGCCGCCGAACGCTTACTAACAAGCATTCCAAGAGGTGGCGTCCAGCGCTTCAAAATATAACCTGTGATAAAGTAGTTCACGAATATACCACCAATACCAATTGTACCCAAATTGTCTCTTAAGTAGACGGAAAAGAAGATCAAATCTATCACAGGCTTAGCAATGTTGGCGAAAACTGAGCAGATAGCGTCGCAAAACTTAGTCACATCGCTAGTGATGGAATTATCAATATTAGCAATGACTGAACTTGAAGCCTGGCTATCAAATGTTAGTTTGTAAAACGCCAGTCTTTTGTCCAAGTACATGTCATGAATGTAACGGGTAAGGTTTATTCTGAAGTTCAAGCTCAGCTTGCGTTGCAAAAACTTGATAGCGCTATTGGTATATGACGCTGGAAATGCAATCAGAAACCAACAAAGCAAATCGACCAGAAATTTCTTTCCCTTACCTGAAATGATGTCCTTGACTATCTGGCCGTCCAATCTGGCGACAAATAGCGATAGCCAGGTCCTCATAATGAGGAAAAAGATCTGGAAAGTGATCAAAAAAGAATTGCGATCTGTAAATTTGGGCACGAGGATTCGGTAAATAATGCTCAGCTGGCTGATGAATTTGGAGTAAAAAACCTGAGACACCTTGTTCTTGCCGAAATACTTGAACAGAAACTTGTCATGCTCGTACATGTCGTCATTTTTGGGTCTTATAAGGATTCTTTTCTTGTTGTTAACATTTTCCTCGTAGGGCACGTACATGACCCTGGCGCCGTTATCGAGCATTACCTGAGACCGCGTCCGCCTCATGATTGGTTTCCGCTTATTGAAGCTGTCAGCCCTGAGCCTGGAAATGAGCCCATAAACCACGTACCCAAGCCCTGATGCAGCGGTAGTGGCTGAGAATGCCAATGTGATCAAGATGACCTGTGCTCTTTTGCGGTGATTCAGAGCCGAATTAGGGTTTCGTATAAGTCGCCATAGGTGCTCCAAAACAACCCTGATGTATTTCCCTCGTGCCACCCCGCTCAGGTCCAATCCCAAACACTCATATGGAAATTTCAGCAGCAGGTGGCCCAACCGCTGTCTAGTAATTGAGGTTTCAGCCATCTATTTTGACCTTCAACCCCACAATGCAATAAATAATTTAAAAACAAGCTAAAAAACCAAACCTAGCTTTATCTGGATGTATCCTCTTTACCGTGAAACAATCCAAGGCTTAACGAATGTGTTGTTCAAGAAGATGAAGAAATTAGCCAGGTCTTCAAGCTCTTGGCTGTTTATATACTGGGAGATCAGGCAGCCTTTATGACCTGTGTCACCTTTTTTACTGACATCCCCATCTTCTTCCGCACTATACACGAATATGAATGTTTTTATTCTTGAAACATCGGGAAATGGCTAATAAACGCTCACGATGTCGCTTACCGATTATAGCTCGAAACCAAACTCTAAGTCATGTCTCGAATTGGTGGTTCAAACACCGCTGAGTTTACAATTTCAAAATCATTGTGGGATATTTCACATTTTGAGCACCTCTGACGATTGTAGAGTGTAATTGAAATATGTCTTCGAGAGCAGTTTGGTCGAAAGAGCAAGTAGTTTGACAATTGTAGGTTATTATGGCATTGTAATTTGGCGCTGCTAGTGTGGGGTTTCTTCAGACGGGTTGGGGCCACTTTTCGTATGGAAAGAAAGGCTACAAAGTCGTTGAACCAAAAATTCGCGCCTGGACGCTCAATGGAGGACACTGAAAATCGAGTGATGTTAGTACAGAGACTATGGGACGGCTTGGAATGGAAAGAGCCAAACCCTCTACGAAGAATAGTGGTAATCTGGCATGTCTGCGTATATAGTGATCTTCAATCGAGATTATTGAAGATATACACAATAGGCGATCTCGAGGATCGCATGGCAGAGAAGAGAGCGGGGTGGTGAGTCTGTTAGATGCTGAGTTTAAACGTCTAAAAAATGCAGCAAACGATGGGAGCGCATCGAGAGGTATGAAGTGATACTTTGTCTCATTTTTCAGGTTTTAGATACCAAATAGGATATGATAGAAATGTGGGTTCGCGAGTTGACTAAACTACCCATACTACGGGTGAATTCCCAGCAAGTGAAGAGGCCGTTTGTATCAACAAAAAGGCTTTCTCTCCTTATCCAATTAAATTAATAATCTCTTGAGTCATAAGACTTGAGAAATCTAAAATGCATTAATGCTACCCTGAAAAAAGACCTGAAGCCAGTCGAGTAGGCTGATAACCCTTACTAGAGCGCAAGAAAGCTAGGATCGTCAACACCATCGGACATGTCCAATCCAGGCATTCTGCACAATTATGCCCCAAAGAAAGTGGCTTTTGAGTTCACGCCTACGTCTTTAAAGAAGGCCGTAATCTTTATTGGTGGCCTGGAGGACGGTCTTTTGACTTTGCCTTATGTACACAATGTGGTGCAAGAATTGGCTCCATTGGGGTGGTCTATAATCCAAATCCAGATGACCAGCAGCTACAAAGGCTGGGGCCTTTCATCGCTCGATAAGGACGCGGAGGAAATAAACTCTCTCGTAAGATATTTGCGTTCTTCTGCAGGCGGTTCGCGCGATAAGATCATACTTTTCGGGCATTCAACAGGCTCCCAAGACACTATGCACTACCTTCTTCGTTACGGTGAAACAATCGACGGCGGCATCATGCAGGGATGTGTCTCCGATAGAGAAGGCTTCTCCCAGGGTGTTGATGAAGCGCAATGGCAGAGGCTTAATGATCGGGCTAAAATGCTGGTAGGCAAGGGCCAAAAAAATGATATATTGCCCTCAGAATATTCGAATGTGATGATGGGAACTCCCATCACTGCTTACAGATGGTGCTCGTTAACTTTACCGGGAGGAGACGACGACTATTTTTCGTCTGACCTCTCAGAGACGACGTTGGAATCTACCTTTGGTAAGATTAAGAAGCCGTTTTTGATAGCGTATTCGGAGTTCGATCAGATGGTGCCGCATTTTGTGGATAAACCGAAAACTATACACAAGTGGGCCACTTGCAGCAACCCCCGGTGGCTCTCAAAGCACTCGGGTCTTATTAAGGGTGCTAATCACCGAGTCGAACAGGAGGATGCAAGATCTTACCTCTGCACAATGGTCAAGAATTTTATGGAAGAGTTCGGGCTTTAGATTTCGTAGTTCTAGTACGACAAATAGCCAGGTATATACAACATAAATCAACGAAATAGAAAGCTTCAATATCTCAATTTTCCGCAAGTTGAAACGAATTGCCGATTGTGGCAAAAAAGTTGGTCTTATCTAGAGCCTCTTTCCTCCGTTATAAAAGAAGACGATCTAGATCAATGTGTGCAATCATGAATTTTTTAATACACCTCGAAGATCGATGATAAAGACTCTTGTTAACGGGCCCGACCTTTACAAACCACTGGAGACGCTCGTACCTCTGCAATTCAATTTGCTAGGCTCAGAATCCATAGCCACTGCTTTCCCAGTATATACCTCCGATGATGTCCCGAATACTTTAATCGATTACTTGCACCAAGAGTTCAACAGTGAGCTCGAAGACGGTCTGACGTATCCACACCTGAAGACTCTCAATCGCGATGAATTTGTAAAATATTGGTTCCATTCATTCTGCGTTATTGTGCTCAAGACAGACAAGATAGCGATTGACAGCAGCTGGACCAATTGGCGTGATCTTCTGCTTGGAACTTTCTACATTAAGCCAAATTACCCAGGACGGTGTTCTCACAATTGCAACGCGGGCTTTCTTGTCAATTCAGCCCAAAGAGGTCAAAAAGTTGGTATTCGCTTGGGCCAGATATACCTAAAGTGGGCTCCGTTACTTGGATACAGATACTCGGTCTTCAACCTAGTGTTCGTGACTAACCCAGCAAGCTGGAGGATTTGGGACAAGCTGCAATTCGATAGGATTGGGTACATCCCCAAGGTTGCTATACTGAAAGGTTACGAGGAGCCCGTTGATGCAATCATGTTTGGTAAAGATCTGACGACCACTGATCCCAAGCTCATAGAAGGCCTACATATTTGAGTAAATAAGAAGTAGATCATCAACGCCGGTACCCGATAACATGAATAGTGTGTTTAGCTGTCCCGCAAGCACTTTAAAAATATGTACTGATTTTTAGACACTTTTCATAATCCATGGCGTCGCGATGCTAAGCGGAATAAACAAGTGCGACAGCAAGCTCTTTTCTGCATGTTTCGGGTGACTTTACGCAGCATAGCCTCCTTGGACAGCAGTGCATTGCTCCATAGAACAGTTTTGGGGATTGGAACTGATCTCGTTCATTTGCCCCGATTTACAAAGATAGTAGGCAAATGTACACCTATCCTAGAGAATAAAAGGATGGATCGATTGCTGGGCAAGTTCATGCATACAGTGGAGCTATGTAGGCTGAAGGAGATGCTCAAAGATGGGGATGGCGTCCAGAATATGACGCGCTACATTGCTGGTGTTTGGGCCACTAAGGAAGCTGTTTATAAGAGTCTTGCTTCCCAGAACCTGGCGAGCACAATGCCTCCGGCTCGAATTATTTACACAAAGCTGTGCTACAAGATCAACGACACTGATGGTAGTCCGAAGGTCATGATTGACAAAAACTTTGCAACAGCTTACCCAGAGTTCATGCGCTGTCTTATCGCAGACACGGAATTTCTCATCAGTCTCTCGCACGACCAAGACTATTTGGTGAGCTACGTTTGCCACGTCAGAGTGTAATACGACCCAAAACGTCACTTTGGTTATTCAAAGACTTCTCAAAAATGTTGAAGCGACATGGGAGTGAGCAACAAGTATTCGCAACAACAGAGACCGTATGCTGATCTCGATATTTGAATTTAACAGTGAGTCATGTGACAGAATGGGTGTTCGTTTTGTTTACGCTTGGATCAAAATAAGATAAGTTCAAAGTTGACCAATCTTGAAAAATTTTTGGATGGAAAACAGAATATTCATTCTTTCACGGTTAAGCGCTCATTGATCAGTGCGAACCAACTCATCTAGTAGTATCCAATCTGTTATAATGGGAGTTGCAGACTTGATCAAGAAATTCGAAACATTTGCTAAAAGTGATGATTCACTAGAGGAAGGTTCTCAGACCGAAACTGTCGCGGAGACGAAGAACGAAGGCCAAACTGACAGTAACAGCGAGAAAAATCCAAGAGCGGAATTGAACGAGCAGCAAACTGGACCGAAGGTTGAAGAGACTGAGGCAAGCCCCATTCCCGTGAATGAAACAAAGGATGGATCCGCTGCCCTCGCGCCTGTCGCTGCAAGTATCACAGAAGAAGCGCCCGTTTTGTTGGACGAAAAGAAGGGAGAGACGTTAACAAGTTCAGATCTTGAAAATACGGAAGATTCGCGCAAAGAGCTGGAAGATAAGCCAGAGACTGCAGATGATGACAACAAAACGAAGGTCGAAGATCAGGAAAACGAGCAAGATATTCCTGACGATGAGGAGCCTGATAAAGATGCTGCTACAGAATCGGTCGTGGAGGAAAACAACACAGAAAGCGCACCAAGCAAGAAGAACAAGAAAAAGAAGAACAGAAAGAAGAACAAAAAGACAGCGACAGCAACAGCAGCAAGCGAACCCGTCACTGAGGTTGTGGCTCAGGAGACCTCGGATTCGCTTAGGCATCCCTGAATCCCCAACTAAAGAACAAGTTCAAGTTTTGAACGCCGAAGTTCAAGAACAAGAGGCTGAATCTGTAAAGCACGAAAACACCACTTCTCCGGAGTCGACGCCAGATACACGTTTTGGCCGTGATGATCCATTCCAATTTGGCCAACGGCAATTGACGGAGGACTCCGATATCTGGAACCACAATGCATGGGACAATGTAGAGTGGGGCGAAGAACAAGTAAGCCAAGCCGAAGAAAAGATCTCCGAACAACAAAAGAATCCGGTGTCTGATTTCGACCGCAAGCTGTACAACTCAAATCCCGCAAGATACTGGGACATTTTCTACAAAAATAACAAAGAGAACTTTTTCAAGGACCGGAAGTGGCTACAAATTGAGTTTCCATCCCTCTATGAGGCTACGAAGGAGGACGCGGGCCCCAAGACTATATTTGAGATTGGTTGTGGTGCTGGTAACACAATGTTTCCAATTCTGAGTCAAAATCAAAACGAACACTTGAGAGTCATCGGTGCTGATTTCGCACCTAAAGCTGTGGACCTTGTCAGGACAAGTGAGCATTTTGATTCCAAGTATGCGCATGCGACCGTTTGGGATTTGGCTAACCCCGAGCATACTCTTCCGGAAGGTGTAGAGCCTCAATCGGTTGATATCGCAGTAATGATTTTTGTCTTCAGTGCGTTGTCTCCAGATCAATGGACACATGCAATGGAAAACTTGCACAAGATGATGAGACCTGGCGGTAAGATCCTTTTCAGGGACTATGGTCGCTACGATTTGGCCCAAGTTAGATTCAAGAAAAACAGACTACTTGGTGAAAATTTCTACATCAGAGGCGACGGTACTCGTGTTTACTTCTTCACCGAAGAAGAGCTTAGAGACATCTTTACCGAAAAGTACTTCACTGAAAACCAAATTGGAACCGATCGCAGACTACTTGTGAATAGAAAAAGGCAAATTAAAATGTATCGGGTGTGGCTCCAAGCAATTTTTGAAGTTCCTTCGTAATGCATCTTATTTCAGTAATCATTTTAATGGCATTTGTAACCTGTATACAATAGTAGTGGCATTCGTGTAAACTAAACGGTTTGATTTTCAGCTTGCAAGCACAGCGAGATGTGCAAAAACCCATCGAAACTGGAAAGTTGCTGATATACTTCCCAGACTAGTGCACTCAAAGGTACTTCAATTCCTTGAATGACGGGCTTGGCGATATTAGATGATTCTTCGTTCGCCTCAAACCATTCGGGAAACTCTCGAGCTAGCACATCCCCTAATTCAACATCCCGCTCGTTATCAACAGCTTTACAAATTGGCTCTACCAGTCTGACATCTGGCAAAGCCACATGAATTCGCAATGGAATGAACCTTACGGCGTTTGGCATAGGTATAATTTTCTGTCGTATGGGCTCAAATTTAGTTAAATCTCTATGGATCACACTTTGCCAAAATGTTAAAGTGTCAGGCTTAGAAAGCGACATGACTTGCTTTGCGGATCCGTTCAAAATATAGCACGCTTGCTTCCACTGATGCATCCAAAATTCTCGAATCTGATCAATACCATTCTTTAGTGGTATGACGCCGTTGGGAATATGTTGTCCATGCCGGAGCATCAAATGCCAGACATGAACACTATTCTCTTGATGGAGAGAAGATCTATTACTTGGATTTAGACCGGTAGAGGAGTCGTAGAGCGCGCCAACAGGAAAATTCCATGGCATGCGGGCACCCTCAATTTCGAACCACCAGCCGCTATAGTAATCGCTCACACTGATTCTCAGCTGCGATTCTAATTTTTGAATAATGTTTGGTAGGTAGAGAGCCAGGTAACAGTCTCTCGGTACTATGATGTTTACAAACCCTAAATTGGTATCTTGACTTTCACTTAACTCAGTCAAGAGTAATTCTGGACACACAGAAACTCGCACATTTAGCGAGCCTCTCCAAACTCTATCACGCACTTCATCCATTGGCTGTTATAGCTCTTGTGATGGTAAACTGGCTTTTTAACTTATTTTGAACAACAGCTTTCAATCTACAATATTTTCAGAAGCTCATCGCATCTTGCCAATTAGTAGAACTCACTACATTTGGGATGGACGAAGTTTCGACAGACTACAGCGACAGAGCAACAGAGCTGCTATGGCTAAATGAATCAGAAGCTTACCTCGATCTTGTCGAAAAGCCGCAATCATCAACATTATTTTTCGGTATTTTCCATCTTGATAAACTGTATGACCAATCTTCAGAAGAGCTGCTAAGTATAAAGAACAAGCTACTGAACTTGATAAGCGTCTGGAACAATTACTACCCATGGGGGAACTACGCCTGCATTGAAGTGAAAGTAGTGGAAAACCCAGATGAACAATCATATCTGTTTGGCTTCCTAAACGTGGAAGGTCATCAAGAAGAGGAGTTTCTGGTAGTTTGTCTCCTTCGAAAGCTTTCCAAAACGCTAGGTCCCAGTGTGTTTATCAAAGTTTGCAGCTCGGAAGGTGAGATCCTAATTATGGAGTGCCACGACATCTTGCCAAAAGAGTACGAATATCCTAGGGGAAACAACCGATTGTGGATTCATGAGGGCAACTTCAAGATTATTCCACTAGAGCTGGCACCCTCCCGTGGTCTTAGAAGGGAAGAGGCTCTGAGCTTCCTGATGAGCTCTTATTTCAAGCTGACAGAAGTCCCGGAGATCAGTAAAAGGCTCGCAGAAAGAACAAATATGGAGAACTTCCCGCAATCGCAACTAGAAAATCTTATTTGGCTACCATTGGAAATCAAAGATGAGACCTGTTTCAAACTTATCTACGACAAACCACAAATGATAAGCTTGGTGCTCAAAAATATTTTAGAAAACGGGCTCGATCTCGACATGGCCAATATCAAGGAAAGCGGGAACTGTCGCTCATTGACCACCCTCATTTCCCTACCACAAGGCAAAATACTGTCGAGTTTTTTAGTAGATTCTGGCGTCGATTTTGCTAGTTCAGACCTTCCTTTCATTAATGGTAACATCGTCTCAGCATCCTTGCAAGAGTTAATAAGAAATGGAGATGTCAAAGACCAGCCCTCTCCGATTTACACTACGGACCAACCGACTCTCTTGTCGGAACTCAAAAAGGAGACTTCATTGAATGCGGATTGCAACATTCGAGAAATTGACTTTGCAGCGTTGCAACAGTCAGGAAATTCCCAATCTACAGACGAAGATGCTGTTTCTCGGATGCAGCGACTGTTTACGAACATTCGTATGGATCTAGCAGGAGGAAAAGAAGACGAGAATGTCGCTGAAGAAGTTGATAGCGAAGCGGACAGCAACAGTATCGCAGATAGAGAAGCTACAAATTACTTTACTAAAGAGAACGTCGATATCGATGAAGACGACTTCTTTGAGTTTTTCTTGACAGAGGCTCTTAAAGTCAAGAAAGAGGATCTCGAAAGCTACCGTCAAGAGAATAAACCAGAATCCGATGCAGGTTCTGCTGATGGGCAAGAAGATGAAATGTTTGAAGAATTGGAACAATTTCTTAGCCGAAGCAACGGTGAGGATGATAACAATGCTATTAAACAGCTTTCGGAAGCGTTTAAGCTAAATTCTTCTACTGGGGGCCATCTTGAATCGTTCCTCGAAAGCTTGGATGAAACATAAACCTAGCTCGTTAATAGGTGTTTAATGTCTAGGTACGACGGAGTTCAGGTTCTCTCAGAATTCAGGTGAATGCAAGTGTTGAATTTATATCTCAATTATGTATGATCAATCCTCCAAGGAATTGTCCTCGTCATCAGCAATGCCCAATTCTAAATGCTCATCATCTCCACGCGGCGGTGGTAGTTGATCTTCAGAAAAATTGTGTGACCATCGACTACTACCGCCACTCAACGACCTACCCATTTCAAAAAGTATAGGCCGACGATCTATTAAAGGATGCTCAGCTTCCAAATTTGGCGTTTGTGGTTTGGACGGCGTATCATTCAGTTCTTTCATTATGTCGGGACTATCCAGCTGAGGTACAATGTCAGGTTCAGCCAAGTCACCCGCATTATCGTCATCAAATGAACTTTCTTCTTGAATGACAGATTGGGCTGCTGACGAACTGTGATTGAGAAGTTTTCGGCTAATATTTCTTTGAGGCAGCCTCCCTCTTCTTCCAACCGGCGACCTCCCTCTTTTTGCAAGCCAGTGTGATCCCACACTTACACGGGGTAACGTTGTGTCGGAATTCGAGTATGTGCTCATGGCTCTCAAATCCATAGTCTTTGGTGAAGAAGCCGTTGAAATGTCATAAAAAGAGTCTGTGCGTGAGCTTTTTTCTGAAGCGCTTGAGGCGCTGGACATAATACTCATTGATCTTTTCGCAGTAATGCGTGACTGTAGTGAGCTGTTGTCGTAACCGTCGACATTTGGAGATAAAACTACATTGCTGGCGGTTTTATTAGTGTTGGAACTCAGACTGCTATTAGCTTTGGAGTTTGACACATTACCATCCGTCGAGTACTCTGAGTTATAAGTGTCGTTCGATATTTCGGATTGTTGTGATAAGATCGATATTGGTCGTACTTTTTGAACTCCATTCTTGCTTTCATCGAAGGAAGGTAAGCCAGTGACAGCAAGAGGCCTATGATCAAGCTCACTATCGTAGTTTCCCAGAGAAGTTTGACGTGACACCTCGCTTGAGGAGTTCGATTTGAATTTCTTTAACACTGGCTCCTCTATCTTCAGTTTTGCTCCACCCTCCTTCGCATCAGTAACATTATGTCCTAAGTGAGGAACGCTCTTGGTTGTTTTGTTCCCCGGGCGAGGAGGAGACCTTTGAGGGCTAGATTTTCGTGATTCGAAAGAAATTTTATTGTGGTTCCTCTTATCAGCAGGGTCAGACGTGGGACTTGTCGATCTACTCTCAGCAGAGCTTCCAGTCTGTTTTTTATTTTTGAAGAAATTTGACATCTTGTTGAAGAAGTTAGGTTTTTTAGAAGACTTTCCGCCTCCATTAGACAACTCCGCATTCTGAGATGGACCCTTCTTGGCTTCCTTGGATTGAGAAAGATTGGTAGGCTGCCGAATTGAGGCTGAGTCGCTCTTCATACTTATAATGCGTTTTAGAGAAGTGGCCTTCGATAGAGGATAGTTGCTTTTGTTATCATCTGTAGACTTTCGACTTGGTGCTGTGGTATCAAAGACTTTTTTCACAGATAAAACAGATCGACTTCTCCTAGGGTGTCGCAGTACTTCGCACCTTTTCTCTTTTTCCAAAAGGAGATGCCACATTCCAGACAGATTGTCGCATTTCTTCTTGTTGACAGAATGCTTAATCGATTGGGTGTCAAAACCAGTCTGTTTCAACTTTTTCAAGAGCCTCCGTTCCAACTTGGTGTGAAAGTTCTTGGAACCATGACTTTGACGTTTTATGATTTTCTCGGTTTTATCAAGGATATCACTCCCATATGATTGAAGGAACGGGTGCTGCAAAACTTGAGTGAGAGAAGGCCTCTGCTGTGGATCCTTTTGTAAAAGTTTTGTGATCAAGTCTTCCCCTTCGGCGTTGATTAAATTGCAATCAAAAACCGGAAAGCTGTTAACAATTTTATACTTTGTCTTCAGCTCATCTTCTTCATCGAATGGCATGGTACCATGAATCATTGTGTACAGAATAATCCCTAAAGACCATATGTCGATCTTATATCCCTCATAAGGTTTGCGTTCTATCAACTCTGGTGCCATGTACACAGTAGTGCCACAAACCGTTTCCAGAATGCCCTTGGTGGCGCATTCGCGCGTAAACCCAAAATCGGTCAATTTAGCTTGACCTTTCTTGTCGAGCAGAATGTTCTCCAATTTGAGGTCCCGGTGAACACATTTCATCGAATGCGCATAGTATACTGCGCCTACTATCTGAGAAAACAGTTGGGAGCATTCCGGCAGTGGAATGTGCTTCTTAGTCAAAAGATACTCATATAGTTCTTTGCCTGGACAATACTCCAGAGCCATCCAAACGTAGTTCTCGGTGACAATAACCTCGTAGAGCCGTGTGATGTAAGTATAGTCGAATTGCCGATGATAGAAAACCTCTCGAACCACGTTGGGGTCATTTTTGGAGCCCATTTTCAGAACAACTTTTTGATGCGTCAAGCGATGGCTCGCTAGATAGACTTTTCCGAAACTGCCCTCGCCGACAATCTTCAGAATCCTGTAGTTTCCAACCTCCTGCAGCTCATTGAGTGAGAACTGACCGTATAGTTTGTTGTAGGATGCTGCTATGCTGGCCTTGAGCTGATTCTGTTCTAGTCTCGACGGAAACATCTCTACTTTTACAGATAACTGCTACACTACAGCTAATATATCTTGCAGTTTAAAACAGAGAAGGGAATGGTCGAATAGAATTAAAGTGTTAAAACGCGTCGTTTCAAGCGTGTGTTCTCACGATTGAAGGGTTCAAGCAAGGAAACTTGTGTGGCATGAGTGCTGATAAGTTTCCACTGGAACCTTTCCGGAAATATTTTGACTGCAAATACGTATGTACTCGACGTGACGTGATAATTCTAAAAATATGAAGCTAAGTTCATCACAGCTCGCTTCTAGCACAACCCAGCGAGGCACCACTGCTACGCGGAGATAAGTGCTAAGTACGTGTCTTATATCTGGAATCTCATTTGCCCAAAAGACGGAATAACTTGTTTGTTGGAACAATAAATTCACGCTTAGCATTGGCGACCGACAAAGCAAGCAAGAAGCTCTTCCTGGATCGGTAAATTAGTCCATGTATTCCTCAAACAACTTTTAAACGTCGCACTCTGTTGCGCAATTGATAAGACTCGTATTAGTCTTCATATGCAATAGAAGCCGTGTGGGCTTTAATAAATTACGGTTCGTTGATGGTGAGGTTAATAAGAGCCGATCTTAGATTTATGTATTTAATCAGTGAGTAAACGCAGCGTAATGTTCAAGTCCCCGTGCAAAGTACATCGACGCGGGGTAGTAAGACTAATTTTGATAGCTGGCTTTTAGATTCGCGGCTCATTCGCCAATAATTTGGACATCTTGCAATAAGTGCTGCTTGACGTTAATAGCAAGTAACATTACAACCCATAAGTAATCAAACCAATAAGACACTTCTATATATAAAGCTTCCAATTCTATTGAGCTATAAACTTAATCAGTAATTTTCGGGACACTTTTGAACATGTGGAAAGTAAAATAACTTAAACAACCAAGACCTCGTATACGTGTTCAACGAGTTTGAGGGGAAAAAGGAGATTGTAGACCAGTGGTGATCAGACAAGCCCGTATCTTTTCTGGAATAACGACAAGCGTTAGCGAATTCCTCTAGAATGGCTTCCTGCCCCGCTTGAGGAAAAACAGCTCGCGATAAAAGTATGATAAGGATTATAAACTCATCGGTTCAAGCAAGAATATGTTGGCACCATTCAAAGCCTCCATTTCCGCTACCCGCTCCGTTCATCATGCTTGATCACTTTTTAATTAGCTGACACTGTTAAATACCATAGCTGACAAAAGGTTTCGGCCTTATGCCGTAAACCCATGATTAACAGAACCCAAAACCAACGACGAGCACTACTTCTCAGCCGCTAGCTTTTTCGCTGGAAGTTACTACTACTTTATCGGACTAATCGCTTTACTTTGTTCATTGCAGACCTGACTCTCAAATCTCATTATAGAAAGTGAACGAGTATCTGGTCATTCTAATGGCTCGTTTTGAACCAGAGCTTTAAAGCTAGATCAACTGGACAGCCCCGCTAGACATCTCTAAAGCTTCAAGATTACATAGAATAGCGCTTTCGTTTGATCGAATTTTTCACGTGGATATATTCAGTTAGGTTGAAATCGGCTCAACACCACAGCTCCTTCGACGATCAAATAATTTCTGCAACATACTGTTTTCAGTTCTCTTCAGCTGTACTTTTGCGCACTCTTATGAGACTCAATTGGCCGCTAAGAATGTCTGCCAATGTATCAAGAACCTACAACGATGCCATCTCGGCTTTGAATTCCCTGCAGTCTAATTACGCTAACATCATGGCTATTAGAGCCTCGGGAGATCGTAAAAACCAGATGAACATATGGGAAATGCAAGAATGGTCGCGCAGAATTGGCTATGAGACCTGCGAATTCGATAAGCTCAATATTGTTCACATCACAGGTACTAAGGGCAAAGGCTCTACCGCAGCCTTCACGCAGTCTTTGCTCCAACAATACAGCGACAAGATCTCTAGGATTGGGCTTTATACGTCCCCTCACCTGAAATCCGTGCGTGAGAGGATCCAAATCAACGGCAAACCAATCTGCGAGGAGAAGTTTTCTCGCTATTTCTTTGACGTTTGGGACAAGCTCGATAATACAACGTCCTCGCTGGACAAGTTCCCACATATGACCCCCGGCAGTAAGCCAGGCTACTTCAAATACTTGACATTGCTTTCCTTTCACGTTTTTGTTCAAGAGGGATGCGATTCCTGTATCTACGAGGTAGGGGTTGGCGGAGAATACGACAGTACCAACATTATCGAGAAGCCCACCGCATGCGGTGTATCTCTTCTCGGAATCGATCACACTTTCATGCTTGGCGACACGATTGAGGAAATTGCCTGGAATAAAGGAGGCATCTTCAAAAAGAGTGCAGCGGCTTTCACGATTGCATCCCAGCCAACAGGAGGACTCAAAATTTTACACGAAAGGGCTTTGGAGCGTAAAACGACGCTCACAGAGGTGCCCATTTTTAACGAGCTGAAGCATTTAAAGCTGGGTCTTGCGGGAGACTTCCAGATCACAAATGCGTCTTTGGCGGTTGCCCTGGCCTCTCAACATCTCTACAAGCTCGGAATTCTTTCTCACCCTCCAAAGTTGGATGCGGACATGACATTTTCGCCTGAGTTCAAGAGAGGACTCACAACAGCGGAGTGGAAAGGCCGTTGTCAGACAGTGCTTGATAACAATGCTACATGGCTGATTGATGGTGCTCATACTAAAGATAGTATTCAGGCCGCATCGACATGGTTCAAGTCCCAGATGACTAAAACTCAAAACAAGAAGATACTCTTGTTTAATCAACAAACCAGAAATGCAGACGCTTTAATAACAGACTTGCACAGCTGTTTAAGCCCTGAAGTGCAGTTTGATCATGTCATTTTTACGACGAACGTTACGTGGAAGTCAGGAGATTACAGCGCGGATTTAGTGTCAATGAATACTTCGAAGGAGCAAGTAGATAATCTTGAGGTACAAAATGCTCTTCGAGAAACGTGGCTACAACTAGAGCCTGATGCTCGTGTCGACGTGGTCGCAAATATTGAGTCCGCCTGTGATCTGATCAAAGAGTATGATGAAGCAGTTGAGATCGCGGTTACGGGATCACTTCATCTTGTAGGTGGACTGTTGGTTGTCTTTGACGGCAAACAGTGAATATAAACCACTTTTTATTTAAACGATTTTTCATTGAAACGTACGCAGGAAAGTGTAGATAATATAGAAGTTTGGCTGTTCTAATTTCAAATAATCATGTAGCATGGGCGATCTGTAACATCGCGGCCATAGGTTATTGACCAATCTCTGTTATATTTCAGATTCATGTACGAATTCGGTTTCTCGTAGCTTTCCAAAACACTCATCGCAGATCGAGTGTCAAAAAAACTAATTGAAACACAGAGCTTACGGGATATCATTGGAGTAATTTCAACAATCTTCCCGAATTCTTCGAAATCTTTTCTCAGTTCCTTGACATCAAATTGGCACAAGCTTTGTCGACTGGAGTAGACATGCCGCGACCTAGAGTGATTCGAGTGTCCGGTTTTCTTCACTATTAGACACCGTCGTACCCCAAGCCCATCTAAGCTTTCCTTAACATTGTTTTCGTTTGCACTGACTTTCATCATTTCACGGTTCACGTCGAATAAGTCACTATTGTGCTTTAAAGCCCATTCAGGTTTCAGTATGTGTCCGTTTATATTTAGATGATTAGTTTGTCCATATAACATAAAACTCTTGGCAGCTTGACTTGAAGCAAAATGCAACTGTACACCGTTGATAACAGACAGATTGTGAGGATCGTTACAGAGATTTATTTTCTCAAGCGGCCCTCCGTAAACTTGAGATATCAAACTCTGTAAACCAAAGTCTTTGGGCAAGTTGCATAGCTGCACTACTCTCTCTGCACTAGTCTCTGAGGATTCTGAATTAGTTTTAGAAAGAGCTGCTGGAGCCTGATCCCGATGTAGAAAGTTCAAATCGGAGACATTTGTACCCCGAGTTGTCTTGGTGTCCATCAGTTTAGGAAAATCACCGCTTAGGTCGTTACCTACCGTATGTCTTGAGTTTTTTGTTATCGTAGCTTTTTTCCCTTGATCAGTGAACGAGTCCATTGATACTGAGTATATATGTCTCTTTTGTGGCAGTCTATTGCTGACTTTAATCATCGTGCCACTAGAGGGATGATTTCCATGGGAATTATGAATTTTGGCGGTATACTTGTTCGTTCCATTTTCAGGAGCTTCCTCTTTTGTGAAGGACCCACCGCTCTTGAAATACGCTCTAGCTAGCCTTTTCAAACCAAAAAGGTCGTGAGCTTCTTGTCTCCATTTTGAGGCCGAATAGTTTGAACCAGCAAGGCCCGATCCAAGCATAGATGATACAGAAACAAGCCTTGATGGTCTGACCCGAACGCTACCTTCATCCACACATGTCTTCTGTACGTTAATCGCCCAATCGTTCAAAAAAGATTCTTGTGGCGCCATCGAATCTATTTTTGATTGATTCGTCTTTAATTTAAATTATTATTGTCTTCTCGTGAAGTTCTGCAGTTATATTCTTTATCTGTAAGTAAAATTGTTGATGGTTGGTGGTGCTTAGAGTGAGGGAAGACTGCTATTGTGTCCTGAGCTTTTTTATACTGTGACGCCAATTATATAAATATTTTGACGTCGCGACTTTTGATGATATAGTGATATGTGATGTCGACGATTGACGAACAGGCATGGCTGATAGTTGGCTTCGTTAATTGTTGCTCTCGCCCAATTCATGTAATATGCGAGCTATAAACCCTAACTAGGCTTTAACATCGCACATATCGCCGCGGCGTGAAGTCTCAACTTTCATGAGTTCACGCAGAAGCATAGTGGCGTATGCAGAGACTCCAAGCTTGAAAGTTAGTATAACAGCAGTACTTTCTCCGCCTTTATCGTCGGGGAATCTTTTCAGTTTATCTTTCATGAATCTCTGACCATTTTCTTTTCCTATCTGATTGTTCAAAATTTCAAAGTCAGTGTTGATAAGTTGCTGGGTAGGCGATGTGTAGTGCAGTACTTTGAATTCGAGGTTTTCGGGTTTGTGAATAACATTTCTGTACGAACCAGCTAATGAGAAGTCACGAGCTTTTCTGCGCATGTCAAAAGGGTCCAAACCATCTTTCGACATCACCTCAATGTAAAGCTGGCGCAAAGTCTCGTTGCCTGGGTAGACAATATCAAAACCAGGGGTTGGTAAGACAACATCCTCTATGCTAAACTTACCAGAGTCGACTTCTTCTTGCGTGACTGGTCTGGCTCTAACAAATTGAGCTGTACGTAAATCTTCAGCGAAGTCATCTTCTTCGTCAGTTTCGCCGTCCTCCGCCTTGGTCGCTCCAGCTGTTTTTTCATTGCCTTCGTCTAGAACCAAGTCACCAGCAACAATATTGAGACCGAAAAGCTCTATACGTTTACTGGCAATGGCGTTCCAAACATAACTCTGGTAAGCATGACCGTACATTGTCCTCAAATTTCTTGGAATCTTGTTTATTGCTTGGAAGTAATCAACAGGCGAGGATTCGCTAATGGATTGGTCAACCAACGCATTGAGAATGGCATTTTCCGCCACGCATTGGCGTGGCATTTTCTTCAATGCGGCTTCCGCATCTTTAGTTTCGGCCCAGATTTTTCTAGCCTCTTTAGAAATTGGCAAAACGTTCTCTTGCTCGGCAAGAATCAAGTTTGTGGTCTTCTCCCAGTCTTCAAGCAAGATCCACTTCCCAACTTCGTGAGTGGAAACGCTAAAAGTACCAAAGCGCTGCATTCCGAAGTAATTGATAAAACCGTTTTCTCTGATCGAAGCACAGCCTTCTTCCAAAATGCTTTCAAGAGAGACACTTGAACCCTGGAAGAGCTTGACGTCTCTGATTGCGATAGTAAACTCATTTCCGCGCAAATCTCCCAGACTCAATGACTCATTTTCGTACTTGAATCCACCTAGAACCACGCCCTTGAGAACTCTATTGAGAGCATTCAGCCTCTCAACACTGATCTTGGAGATCGACATACGCTGGCACGTTATAGCTCTGCGGTCTTTAGTACCCGCATATCTTATAAGTCTTGTTGGCACCCGCAAATACCTGGCTAACACATTTGCAACATCCATGGTGTCTTTGTTTTCCTTATAGGTGGTAAAATGTACGAAATTTAATGACGGACCGTAGCCCCAGTTTTCAACTCCATTAGCATCCTTAGTACGCTCTGCGAGATCTTTCTTGCTGACGCGCGACCTCCGGTTGGCCAAAGCTACATGGAAGGTATTTTCTGGTGATGTAACTGATTCTAACTGGTTGTTGAAAGCGGCACGAAGCAGCTGGTGTACTTTAGTGCGTTCTGCCTTGTCTTCAAACTTTTTAGAGGTCTCCATTTTGGTAACATTTTGGTAAACATCTTCAATCTTGGCTACGTCGGTTTCACCTAGCACTTCGACGAGCTGTGCTCTGAGTTGCTCATCCACTTTGAATAGTTTCCGTTTCTCCAATTCTTCCTTCTCTTCCTCTTGTTCTTCCTCCTTGCTCTTTTTGGGAGCCTTGGGCATCTTGAAACCCTTATCAGTCAAATGAACAACAAGGCCTTGGTTGTCGATCTCATTCACCATAAAGTCCGTGTACCTTTGCTTTATTTGACCCGCGAACCCTGGTAGTTCAGATGATATAAACTTCGTAATACCCACATCACATTCCTTTATTCCATCAGAGGCCTCAGCCCGACTTTGGTTGACATGATCAACTTTTGTTTTCTTGTCATGATGCTCCTCATTTGCGTGCTCTGCTGACCCACTTTCGCCTATTCTTTCGGCAGGTAGCTCTCTACCACGTTTCTTGTCCTCCAATTCAGCCATAGCGGATCTTTTGCTTTGAATAAAGTGCCTTTGACTCTAGTACTTTTGTGAATCCTGTCTAACTCTGAGGAGATGAGATGCGCTGCGATGAGCTTAAAATTTTACCAACTTATAATATTTATTAGGGCATCAATATTGATTTATCAAAAGAGCTTAACAAGCCTCGAGACAGAAGGATAGCCCCATGTTGCTATGTCAAGAGACCAATCCCTCGGTTTAGAGGATTGTCGCGAGACATACGTGAACTTCCTTTGGGAGAAAAGATTCAAACATTTGGCCAAAGTGCCCAAAGATATAGAAAATCAGATCGAACAACGAAAAACGGCTTTCGAAAGACATCGTGAACTTCAAGATAGCGCAAAGCAATTAGAACCGTCAAAGAATAATGTTTTGACTGAATACAAAGGTCAGGGCTCTGAAAAAAGCGCCGCTTCTTCACTTGTAAGTCAAGTTTACGGCGAAGATGATTTGTTTTCCAGTTCTCTTGCAGAACGCCAGAACAGGCGGCTGGCACTACAACCTTCTTGGCATGCGCCCTGGAAATTAATGCGGGTACTGAACGGACACAATGGCTGGGTTCGTTGTGTATGCGTAGACCCGGTTGACAACGAGTGGTTTGCCACGGGAAGTAACGATACCACCGTGAAAGTCTGGGACTTGGCTACTGGAAGGCTCAAACTTACGCTCTCTGGGCATGTAATGACTGTTCGGTCCATTGCTGTATCCACTAGACATCCTTTCATGTTTACTGCTAGCGAAGATAAACTTGTAAAGTGCTGGGACCTCGAAAAAAACACTGCCATCAAAGACTTTCACGGCCACTATTCAGGCGTCAACACGGTCGATGTACACCCAACACTAGATTTAATTGCGAGCGCCGGTAGGGATGCCGTCGTTCGGCTATGGGATATTCGGACTAGGCAGCCTGTGATGACTCTGGCCGGCCATAAGGGTCCTATCAACCAAGTTAAATGTTTCCCAGTAGATCCTCAAATTGTGAGCTGCTCAACGGATGCGACGGTGCGAATGTGGGATATAAGAGCCGGCAAAGCGGCTAAGATCCTAACGCATCACAGCAAAAATATACGATCCATTGGTGCTCATCCCGCCGAATCCTCGCTGGCGACTTGCTCTACGAACGACGTCAGATCATGGCGGTGCCATGACGGTCAGCTTCTAACCAATTTTCAATCAGATGATCTAGGGATTATCAACTGCTTGACAGTCAATCAAGACGGCATTCTTTTTGCCGGTACAGACGACGGCAGACTATCATTCTTTGACTACAAAACCGGTCACAAGTATCAAGATATGCCGACTACCAAAATTCCTGGTTCTTTAGATAGCGAGCGGGGCATCTTGAGTGCTTCATTCGACCAGACCGGTTTGAGATTAATTACAGGTGAAAGTGACAAGAGTATCAAGATATGGAGGCAGGTCGACGAGGCCTCTCCAGAAACTCATCCTGGGCTGTCCTGGAACCCTAATATTAATTCACAGAGATTCTGAAAGGAAAGGTAGACTATGTTGTGCTTTATAGTCGTAGGGTACTTTTCATCGTTAGGTAATATTAAGTATATCAAAAAATAATGTCAACGGAAAGATCATTCATCTGAGGATTCGTCGATTTCCAAAGTCAAAACAATGAGTCCTGATGAAGATAAAAAGCCTGTGGTACCTCGGGAGATATCAGATGTTTCTGAGGTTATCATAGGATGTAAATGCTGGGTTGAAAAAGATGGAGTGGAGAGACTGGCTGAGATTTTAAGCATAAATAGTCGTAAAAGTCCGCCCAAGTTTTATGTGCATTACGAGGACTTTAACAAACGGTTGGACGAGTGGGTTTTGACTCCACGGATCAACCTATCCAAGGAAGTCTTCTTCCCACAATTGGAGAATGGTAAAGAGACAGAAGCAGATAAAGCAAACAATAAGAAGAAGCAGAAGCAGAAGAAACCTTCAGCGGCCAACGAAGAACCCGCACAAGGTGAGAATCAAGATGGTGCCGATATCATGGACCTGGACTCCTTAAATGTCCAAGGTATAAATGAAGAAGAAATATCGCGCGACGACGAGATCAAAAAGCTTCGAACCTCCGGATCCATGGTACAAAACTCGCACGAAGTGGCCAGAGTTAGAAATTTAACCAAGATTATAATGGGAAAATACGAGATTGAACCATGGTATTTCTCCCCATACCCCATTGAGCTTACAGACGAGGATGAAGTCTACATCGATGCGTTCACACTTCAATATTTCGGTTCCAAGAAACAGTATCAACGATACCGCTCCAAGTGTACTCTGCGACATCCCCCGGGAAACGAGATTTACAGAGACGACTACGTGTCTTTTTTTGAGATCGATGGAAGGAAGCAACGAACCTGGTGTAGAAATCTATGTCTGTTTTCTAAGCTGTTCCTGGATCATAAGACGTTGTACTATGATGTTGACCCATTTTTATTCTACTGCATGACTAGACGAGATGAATTAGGACACCACCTAGTCGGCTATTTTTCTAAAGAGAAGGAATCCACTGAAAATTATAACGTGGCATGTATTTTGACACTTCCTCAATACCAAAGAATGGGTTATGGGAGACTTCTAATTGAATTTTCCTATGAACTTTCCAAGAAAGAGGGCAAGCCAGGTTCTCCAGAAAAACCTTTGTCGGACTTGGGGCTGTTATCCTACAGGGCATACTGGGCAGATACCTTGATCAAGTTGCTAATGAATCATGGTGCCGAAATCACCATAGATGAGATCAGTTCTCTCACATCCATGACAACAACTGATATTCTGCATACTTCAAAAGCTCTTAATATTCTGCAGTACTACAAAGGCCAACATATTATTTACATGAACGAAGATGTTGCTCAGCGATACGAAAAGATTAGAGAAAAGAAAGGGCGACGAAATATAGATCCTGCAAAATTGATTTGGAAGCCACCTGTATTTACAGCTTCGCAATTAAGATTTGCGTGGTAGTTTAATGTCTATGTAATCTTAATCGAACGGTAATCTTTTGGCTCCACTTTTTTGACTGCCTGTGGCAGCTACGGCGCTAGGAACTCTGATACCACAACAATCCCCCCAAGTGTTCTGTAGAGGGCTGTGCTTACAACCTTGATCATGAGCGCCCACTTCTGTACCAGACGGGGACACCCCCTCAGGGCATTGCAAAAAAGATCCAAAGAAAAAATGCTGCATAATGGGTAATTTTCCCAAAACCTCAACTTCATACATTTTCACCATACCCTCAGCCACTTTAGCCCATGACTTGACGCCGCTAATATCATCTAGCATTGGAGAATGCCATCTTAAAGAAGCCGTAGTCTTTACTTTGTTGATGAAGTCTATGCAGCCAAAATAGAGATATTTCTTGGCAAACATTTCGACGACCTCTTCGTTGTGAATAGATTTGGGCTTCAAATGCTTATGTGTAGACAGTTGGAACGCGCCAAATAAAAAAGGTATAAAATGGTAATCATCGAGACCCCATACCCCGTGAGATCCGGCCGGTTCAAGCCAGTATTTAGTTTCGAGTAACCTCATAATATCAAGATATTGTGCAAACACTTTCAACACAATGTTTCTGTCGTAACTCTTCTCTAACACGCCATACTCTCGCAGTCCGTACAGAAAACACATAAAATTAAGCTCATGTCCTGAACCGTAGTCAATCCGGTTACAATCACCCCATGACTCTGTTAAATACACTGCAAGCTCCTCTGCTTGTGCTGTACTTAAAGTTTCGAATCTTTGTAATATCAGCTCTTGCGATTTGGACTTCAGCTCACTATAGAAATATCTGAATTCGATTTTGCCAAATCTTGACGTGGCTGCATCTTCCTCTACAGGATATTTCTCAATCATTGCACTTATTTCGTCGAGCAAACGCGAGCAGTGCTCCACAGGCTGCTCTATGGGCTCGTGAAGATTGTCATTTTCTAGCCCTTTAATCGACTCTGCTAGTTCAACGATGAATCCGAGAAGACTTTTGCGAACTGAAGAACGTGTCCATATTTCAATATCACCTTGGGTGAGCAAGCGCTTTTCGGGGATCATAGCTTCACTGAAATTTGTTAAGCTGTTGTTTTGTCGGACACAACCCTTTGAGTTAACTTAGAAAAGATAGCCCAAGGAAAATATAGAATTAACGAAAATTCAAGCAAATTCTCATCTTTGAATTTGAAACGGACTGTGTATTGGCGTTTGAATGCTTAATATCTATTCTACAAAATTGATTACTTGGTCTTCACAACCAAACTGCTCCTTATAAGTATAGAAAATTCTTTTCAGCTCCTCGATGTACAAGTCTTGATAATAATCGATATCCTCGATTGACGGAGTTTCGAACTTTTCCTTGACATAAATAGGTCTTCCTGTTACCACGTTAATTGGCTTGCGAAAGGGAATCAAGCCAAAGTCGTAATTAAAGAGTCCGCGCGCAAAGAAAAATGGGATAGTGAACCCATAAGACTTTTTGAACCATATTTGCATCTTGCGCAGGTACGATTTCTCATCCGTCTGCAGAATGTTGTAACAGTCTGTTTCTCCAAAGGCAAAACAAGGCACGAGGCCGACGTTTCCGGTCTCCAGGGCCAATTTTATGAAGCCTTTTCTGCGTTTAAGCACCAAGTCGGCAGAACCGATCTTACTTAGAAGAGCCTCCTGAGCTCCTCCGACAACAATACAGGTGGAGTAGTTTTGTTGCAGCACTCGCAAAGCATTTTTCTTGGAAACCGTTGTAATCCCCAGAGACAACAAGTAATCCCTATAGAAAGGAATTTGGAACTGGTTGATAAGAGTCATCAAACACATCCGAACTCCAGGAAATAACATGGAAAAATCTGCACCTTCAGTTGCAAATGCGCCAAAAGCACCCAAAGCTGCCACACCATGTGGATGATAACCAAAAATGTAGCGCGGTCCAGTTGCCTCCAACTCCGGTGAGGCGTTGTTCAATTTCAAGATGTTAAACTTGAGCGAGTACTTGAAAGGCCACAAGCGCACTCTGAAGCTGATCAGATATCTATCCTGAGCTAATCCAGGCTTGCTCTCCGCTTTTTCCGTGAAAGATGGGATTAAGTCTGCCGTTTTGTGCAAATGAATAGGATAGTACTCACAATAGTAGCGCCAAAAAGGTAGGCTCCTAACCCAAGGAGAGTAGCGCTTGGTAACGTTGCCGTTGGATGGCGACCTGTCCGTTGCGTAGTAGACCATGTAGGGAACCATTATGACCCACATTATCGGGTTGGCAAGGGCCAAAATAGCGAACGCCAGGATGTACACAAACGAGCCTACATGCCACGCGACGGCTAGCGTCTGAAGCCGGCGTTTCCAAGGAGTTTTCACCGAACAAAACTTGGGTTTTTTGGATTTCGCAAGCCCTTTGTGCCCATCAGTCCCGACTATTTGGCTCAGCTGTTTGCCATCTTTGCAGTTTTGCCCATATAGGCGAATATGCTCCAGCTCGTGCTCCACAAGATCCTTTGTTTTGTAGTGAGCTTCGCCCTGTTTTCCGTTGAGTTTCCCGTTCACTTTCCCGTTCACCTTCCCGTTCGCTTTCCCATTGTTGTTGTTGCTAACAGCTTTCCCGTAAGCTTCCTTCCCATTAGCCTTTCCTCTGAATTTCATTCCTGTTGGCGAGTCCATTCTTCTAGATTGCCAGCAATTCTTCCAAAGCCCTCAAAGACGTCTATCCAAGTCTCCCAATACCGCTCGACACTTCTCCCGGTCTTTGAACAAAAGATGCGAGAACACCGATACCTTTCTCAAGGGATAAAGTACAAGAAATAGAGAATGTAGAACTTTACCAGGGGCTCACAGGTGATGACAACTCACAAAGGTGCTCTCCGAGTAGCAGCAAATATCAATTAATGAGCCTGTGAGGCCTCCTCCCGGCATGTGACAAAAAGGCCTTGTTGTGTTTCTTTGTCTTTATGGCTTTTCGTGACATCGGAAGGTGTCAGAATGTCAAGTTGGCAGAGACTGAAGATGACACCAGGTCAATTGTGAACATGGCACAAGATACCTAGAGGCTAAGAATTGGTTGCGTTTCTGAGCTTATTGATCCTGTTCGAGAGTTGGGCACAGAGTGAATATTTATGACTTTCTGGTCAGGAAGACATAAGGTTTTTTGGCGGGAGACAGGGAAGTAACATGAAGAAGGAGAGATGTGAGTACTTCAGAAACGAATAGGAAGAAGCATATGGTGTGGCCAAGTCTTTCAATTGGGAAAAATTTCTGATGAAATCACTGAAAAAGGTGTCAGTGTGGATATCTATCACGATAGAAGCTAGAGGAAGCCAGATGGCAAAATAGCAATCTCCCAGACTTGAGTCATAGCGTCCGATGGCTCCATATTGTCGAAAGAAAGATAGGCCCGCTTCCTGAGAGCACAAACGGCGCGGTTTATGATGCTGGCGATGGAGCTTTTAGTGACGCACGATATTGTGCAAGAGATGCAACTTTTGAGGGATGCGAGATACAGCGCGGGAGATGATGGTTATGATACGTTTTGATAGTTTTCAATCATGGAGCCATCCCCCGCATATCATCGGTCTGTCTGTTTGCGATCGCTTTTTTAAATACTCAACTCAACACCCCATGATGCGTGGAACCAAACATAAAGAGCACCGAGCACAACCGGCTTGACTGAATACCACGACACCCCGCAATGCCACATTTATTCAGTGCTTACCGAATGCTTGACGATCTTTTGTTGTCCAGTTCACCTTTGACGACAGAACGCGTAAATTGCTGGAAAGTTTCGCGTCGCATGCGCATCAATCTTGAAATCAACGATACATAGAGATCAAGCTGATAGAACCACAGAGCCGACACTCTTCAGCTTTCCACAATGGACTACGTTACACAGCCGACACAACAAGCAACCCAGGCTACCCAGAAATACATAATAGAAAAGTTTTCGCAAGAACAGATAGACGATGATATCGTTTGTCGAATAATTTGTACCAGTGGCCAAATACCCATTCGAGACTTGAAAGCCGAACTTAGGGATGTTGTTCACAAGAGCGAAGCTATCAAGAAGTCCTGGACCTTTGGCAGAAATCCACAATGCGACTACCATCTCGGAAATACTTCTCGGTTCTCTAATCGGCACTTCCAAATTCTATTGGGTGAAGACGGGAATCTCTTACTGAAAGACACGTCAACAAATGGAACGTGGCTGAACGGCGAGCGCCTGGAAAAGGATAGAAACCAGCTCTTGTCGCAAGGGGATGAAGTCACTGTTGGATGGGGAATTCCACAAGACGTGGTGAGTTTAGTAGTGTTCATCAACGATAAATTCAAGCAGAAGCTCGAGCTGGCCACACTACAAGGCTTTAAGTCAAGCAAGGGCAAGGGCTCGAAGCATTCCTCTCCCAACGTACAGCTAACGGGAATTCATAAAGACTACTCGATCAAGGACGAAGTTGTAGGTCAAGGTGCATTTGCAACGGTGAAAAAGGCTATTGAGAGAAGAACCGGCAAAACTCATGCTGTTAAGATTATCAACAAGCGCAAAGTAATGGGTAACATGGACGGGGTAACTCGAGAACTCGAGATTCTTCGAAGACTAGATCACCCAAGGATTGTTAGTTTGAAGGGCTTCTACGAAGATAAGGACAGTTATTACTTGGTAATGGAGTTCGTCTCTGGAGGTGATCTCATGGATTTTGTTGCCGCACATGGATCTGTCGGAGAAGACGCAGGTCGTGAAATTACACGGCAGATTTTGGAAGCTGTAAAGTACATTCACGCAATGGGTATAAGCCATAGAGATTTAAAGCCTGATAATATTCTCATCGAACAAGACGACCCGGTATTAGTGAAAATAACAGATTTTGGATTGGCCAAAATCCAGGGAAATGGCACATTCATGAAGACATTCTGTGGGACCTTGGCTTATGTTGCGCCAGAGGTGATTAGCGGCAAAAATTCAGAGGAGAAAGAGGGCAACAAATACTCGTCTTTGGTCGATATGTGGTCAATTGGGTGCCTTGTTTATGTCATTTTGACCGGCCACCTTCCGTTCAGCGGCAGCACCCAAAATGAGCTCTACAAACAAATAAGCGCTGGATCATACCATGAGGGACCACTCAAAGATTACAGAATCTCCGATGATGCCAGAGATTTTATAGAATCGTTTTTGCAAGTTAATCCACGAGAACGTATGACAGCCGAGCAAGCATTAAAACACCCATGGATCAAAGCTGCGGAAAGCTCCAGCTTCATGGATTCGCAAGTTTGCCTATCGCAGTCAACGTCTCAACAGAGAGCCGGAGAAAGCATGAGCGATGCGCAGCAACAGTTTATAAACATGAGAGCACTTGAAGAACAGAAAAAAGAAGAGGATGGACAGCAACAGCAGAGTGAAAATCACGAACCGAGCCAATCTCAGCATCCAGTGTTCAAAATTCCCGGTAAAGCACCCGTGAGATTTACACAATCGTGCGTACCGGAAAACTCCCAACCGGACAGCTTGAGAGAAGTAAGAACTGCCAATTTCGACCCGATTTATTCTTCTTTGTCTAGTCACGAAAGCCAGCAGTCCGTGGCACCACAGATACCGACAAGCAAGATGAACCCGAGTCAAATGGATCGGGATCCCGACCATGAGGTATGTATCAACGCGGAGGGAGCGCCAACTATGGGCGGCAAATTCATCACACTGCGATCTACCGCGGAAAGCTCGATAAAAGGCATCATCGACATAAAGCAGGGAGTGAACCCGTTTTACATAGGCAGATCCAAGGAGTGCAGTTGCCAGATCGAAGACAACCGGCTGTCGCGTGTACACTGTTTCATTCTCAAGAAAAGGCACCCGATCGGAGACAGCATCTACGAGTCTCCCGCTCAGGGCCTGGAGGATCTGTGGTACTGCCATGCCGGAACTAACCTGAGTTACCTTAACGACGTTCGTCTCACACAGGGAACAAAAGCCCTGCTGCACGAAGGCGATGAGATAAAGATTATATGCGACAGAGCAAACAATTTCGTTATTTCCTTCGTGGTGGATATCAACGACGCTACCGGGCTTTTTAATAACGGCAAACCATTACCAGGCCAGCAGCGTAGCGTAGAGCCGCAGGCCAGTGATGAAGTGGCCCTAGCCACGAAACCAATTCTGTCGAGAGATTCCAGCGGAAGTCAACTGACGCACAAAAGAGCGTTGTCCACCGTTTCGAGCCAAGAGTCCAACAAAAAGGCCAAGAGAGCGAAGCTCGACAAGGCTGATAATACCTCGGGCAGCTTACAGTTCATATAAAGCAAGAGACATAGAGACAGACAAAGACAAAGAGAAGAATCAAGAATCACGACAAAATCTTCCAAAGTGGACGGAAAATCGCCGCAACTTCGCCCAAAGATACACAAATCGCACATTAGACGTACCCAAAAGCCTCTCGGCAGCGAACACATCCGTCCTGTTCTCGATTTATGAGCTTTTTATCCTCTGCCGCTCATCGATCATTAATGTTACCCGCCCTCGGGTCTCAAATTTCAAGGGGTTCTTTCTCTAGCTTACACAAAAGCGAAATATATCCCAAAGGGCAATATATAAAAGGGTAACGACCCTAGGGAAACAATCTGATTAAATTGCCACCGTTTTTGAAAGGGGGAAAGCTACAACAAAAAGGCTCAGCGGAACAGTAACAGACGGGAAGAACCATCTGTAGTTTCGATACAGCTTTATTTTTGTGGAGATACCGATTAGACTTTTTAAGAAGACCAAATAATGCATTTGCCATCGCTCGTATCACTGGCAACTCTGCTGGTGGCTAGCGTGAACAGCGCTCAAGCCAAGATGCACACTGCCAAAGTATTCAAGCAGCCTCCGCTAGACGCCGAAACCAACGATTTCATGGTTCTGCAGAGCGCAGCGCACCTGGGCGACAAGTACTTACAGCAATTCGCCAAGGCGTATCCAGATGTGGAGTTCAGCAGCGAAATGCCTGTGACAGCAGAGTTCAACGACAAACGCGCGATGCGGGCGCTGCAGGGCCACGACGTCCCGCTCTCGAACTACCTAAACGCGCAGTATTTCACCGATATCACGCTGGGCACGCCGCCTCAGAGCTTTAAGGTGATTCTAGACACTGGGTCTTCGAACCTATGGGTTCCAGGTGCAGAGTGCGGGTCGCTAGCGTGCTTCTTGCACTCCAAGTACGACCACGAATCCTCGTCGTCGTACAAGGCCAATGGCACCAAGTTTGCTATCCAATATGGTACTGGGTCCTTGGAAGGCTACATCTCTCAGGACACCTTGAGCATTGGCGACCTGACCATCCCTAAGCAGGACTTTGCGGAGGCCACGTCGGAACCCGGATTGACCTTTGCGTTTGGGAAATTCGACGGTATTTTGGGTTTGGGTTATGACACCATTTCCGTCGACAAAGTTGTGCCCCCTGTGTACAAGGCCATTGAACAAAATCTTTTGGACGAACCAAAATTCGCGTTTTATCTCAACGACGCCAATGAAGCTGAAGAATCTGTAGGCGAAGTCACTTTTGGAGGTATTGACCACTCCAAATATAAGGGCAACATCACCTGGTTGCCTGTTCGTCGTAAGGCCTACTGGGAAGTCAAGTTCGAGGGAATTGGGCTTGGTGATGAATACGCCAAACTCGAAAACACCGGTGCCGCTATTGATACCGGTACTTCCTTGATTGCCCTCCCATCGGGTCTTGCGGAAGTGATAAACTCTGAAATCGGTGCCAAGAAAGGATGGACTGGTCAATACACAGTGGACTGTGAGTCCAGAGATCTACTACCAGACTTGACCTTCACCTTCAATGGTCACAATTTCACCATTTCGGCTTACGATTACACTCTGGAAGTGTCGGGATCTTGTATCTCTGCGTTTACGCCTATGGACTTTCCAGAACCCGTTGGACCTTTGGCTATCATTGGTGATGCCTTTTTGCGTAAGTTCTACTCCGTATATGACTTGGGTAACAATGCGGTTGGGTTGGCTCAAGCCGTGTAATTATAACAATTTGTTTTATTATTCCTAATGAAAACAATTCGAAAAAAACAAGGGAAGGCAAGGGTTTGAGAAAGCTCTGTTGATTAAAGTAGGTGATTAAAAAGGTCTGGGACATTTCAACTAATTTTAAGTTTGGCCTAGTTTCTAAAGGCAACTCAGAAAAAGTAAGTGTATACGTACTCATATTACACACACACACACATCAATCACATACAAAGAAAATAAAATATAATTACTGTATTTCATGACAATTTGTGAGTAGCTAAACTCAATCTCAATCGTTGTAGTTGACGACTGCCTTTGAGTCGTCTGTTTTATGATAATCGTTTATCTGATCTTGATCTTGTTTTCAATTTTCCTTTTAAAGTTTCGAAGTAAACGGTCGAAACAAACATCAAAGTAAGATCGATGAGTTCAAATTATCAACTTCATAGAAAGGCGGCTCGAATTGGCTCCATAAGCAATATATAGAACGCAGACATCAGCAGCTACATCGATCGACGTGCTTTGACTATACTGGACTACTCAGTCTCCAACAATTTACTTCTAAAAGTATCTACGATCTGAGAAGATCGATATATGGTCATGATCCATAAGAGTCCTACTCGAAGAAACATGTCAAGACCCTACAACCATCCACAAAGTCCAGCTCTAAGTAGCGGCATTTCACTATCATTCGGAAAACGCAAGAATTCCGTCACACCCCTAGCGACTCCAGTGTCGGTATCAAGTTCTCAAAGAAGTCGACATAGCTCTCCATCGCGCTCCTCGGCCATTTCATCTCCAACAAGAACCAGCTCAGGCTCTAGTAGTCGAGGGAAATCGTCTGATGGCTTGGTGAACCTGGATAGCGTATTACAGGCGGGAAACACTCAACACTATCGTGGTACTATCTCGGTCTCAATTCGAATAAAGCCATCGGAAAGCAATGCCAAAAATCCGTGGTCAATTGGTGATGATGACACCATAGCTCACAATGACCTAGGTAAATTTAGATTCGATAATATTTTTCATCCAAGCAGTAATAATGATCAGGTTTATGAGGAGATTGGGAAACCATTGATCGACAAACTATTCCAAGGGTATAATGCAATCGTGTTTGCCTATGGTATGACAGGATCGGGGAAGACCTATACCATGAGCGGGACACCAGATGAAGCTGGACTCATATTGCTTTCGGTGGAGCAGATCTTTGCACAAATTATCGAGGCAAGTCGCGAGAACCAATCGTTTGCCGTTAAAGTATCGTATCTGGAAATCTACAATGAAAAGATCTATGACTTGTTAAATTACCAGGATTTCAAACCACCGACTTCGAATTATGGATCCTTCAATTCAAAAGTATCACAGGCTACCGGGGCCGAACTACAAATTAGAGATGACTCCAAACATGGCGTGCGAGTTGTTGGACTTACAGAACAAGAGGCGAATTCTACTGAAGATGTAATGAAATGGATATCTATGGGAAACCGTAATCGCAGAACTGGGGAGACAGATTACAATACCAGAAGTTCACGGTCACACGCTATTGTTTCTATTACTTTAACCTGTACGAATTTGATTAGCGGGTCTGAGTCAAGCAGTACTTTATCTCTGTGTGACTTGGCTGGATCCGAAAGAGCTGCTGGTCAGCACGAGAGACGGAAAGAAGGCGCTTTCATCAATAAGTCGCTACTTGCTCTTGGTACAGTAATATCAAAGTTAAGTGCTGGCAGCACTCATACAAGTTCAAATTTTGGGAATAGTCATATTCCTTATCGAGACTCTAAACTAACGCGAATTTTACAACCAGCTTTGTCAGGGGAAAGCATAGTTACTACTATTTGCACCATAGATACCAGGTTAGATGCAATGTCAGAAACCGTTAACACTATCCGATTCGCATCTCGGGCAAAAAATGTGTCGATGACTGTCAAGAGGAATGAGACTGAAACGAATCATGATAGAGAAGGCCTAGTCAACAATCTGAAACGTCAAATAGATGAGCAGCAGGAACTTATATGGGAACTAAAAAGATCACAATCCGTAAGCAATCATGAAAGTATCAAGGTCGTCAACCCCACGTTGCAATCGCTGCGACACGAAAACGACGCTTTGAAAGACAAGTTGCAGCATTGCGAAAGATTGCTGGACAAAGACGATGCAGCTGTACACGACGAACAGTTTGTGGAAATTGTGGAAATGCTACCAACTGCCATCGGCGCAATGCTAGAGAGTAAGATTCAGGGTCTAGAGTCGCAATTGCGGGAGCATAGCAGATACAGTGCCCAATTGGAGCAACGACTGCAACTATTCGAAGGACATATAGTGCCATGCGAAAAATCTTCTCGGGATGAAGACCTGCAGCAGCTCTTGAAAGAGCAAGAGGAAGAAATCATAGAGTTACGGAAGGGCCTGACCCGGAAAAACAAGATGTTGGATGCTCTACAAAGTGCGAAAAGACTGCGGGAAGGTGCTCTGAGGCCTCTTAACAATCGTGAAAATCGAGTGTTTGAAGCAGTAGGGATTGCGAAGACTTTGGAAAATTGAAAAGTGAAGTAGCAGACAAGCCTGCGACGCGACCCTTCGTAAGAGAAACCGCCTCGTATCACCACCACCACGTCCGAACGTACCGCAGCATAATTGCGTGCAATCCCCAAACTGGGGTGCTGCCACCTCCAGATGCACATCACTTTGTACTATTCTGGCACGACCGCGCAGAAATCCTCGCCACCTGGCGCTGCTCAAAAATATGCATCCGCAGCCCGCTACACAGCCTCGACAACCTCAGATCTGCCAGTGGCTATTTTTTGAACCGTTGAGCCACCCGTTTAAAATAGATCCAGAGCACTTCTCGTTTTTTGCCCGTTCTAGGAGTCCTCCGCGCTGCCAGGCACTCACTTGAGCCCGCCTCGAGCCTTTGCTTAGTCGTGGCAGTCCTAGTACACCTCCCGGAACGGAACGAGGCGCCTCGCATCAGCCCGTTGTCAAGCATCTTTTTTTTTCACTCTTATTTTTTCGTGGTTCTCTCTTTTCTTAATTCTCTTTTACCTAGTTCGTAACTAATATAGAACAACTCTTGGCATATTGAGGAGTGATAAAATTCACCTCACACTGTTCTGGAACCCCGCTTCGTCTCCAAAACCCTGTAAATCCAGCTCTTGTAACTACAGACAAGCCTCAACTCTCGTTCGTGGCCTGCAGCCAAGGCTGTATGGTCCTCACAACCTCGTTATTCGTTTTAAGTGTCTTATCTTGGACTTAATCCTGTAGGCTTTGTAGGCTATTCATAGCCTCATTCGGACTTGAATTTTCGCAGATGGCTGGACGAAGTGGTTTCTGAAACCGGTTTGAGGAATTATGGTGGCCAATAGGAGGCGGAACAGACACCGCGGAAAGCTTTGCAGCTCGCGAGACATATGGAGGCTGGCAGGATGCGGGAAATTATTATTATTAGAGTGTAGCGTCAGCGAACTTCTTTCGTGCTTGAGTTAAGAAATACCGTTTATGGAAAGTATGATTTCAGTAGGTGCAGCTGGAGTTCGATCGGGCTAGATATGTTTCACGCTGAGGCGGAGCGGAAGGATTGGTTGGTATCCTGGAGAAAGTGTATAAGAAGTGTGGAGAGCAGATTCCAGGCAGATGACGGAAGACGGAGCCAAGAAATACGTTTGAAACAGATTGCTTGTGAACAGTGTCGTTACAATATCGAAACGAGGACGCTCACTTGCACTCACATTCCCACTCACCACACATTAGCATTGGAGTAGTTAGCCATGGGCATCAAAGTCGCTAATACCAAAGTTTCGTCAAAGTCGTCGAGAGCAGTGTCCTCGGCATTAGGATTGCTGGTGATCCTGGCATTCGTGGCATACACCAGTCGTGACGCCTGGGGCCTGTACGCCTTGTCGGAACAGACTGGCCTCGAAGCAGAACTAGACGACCTAGTGCTACCAGAACCAGTGCTGGAATCCGCAATCCCACATACATCGGCACAAGCTTCCGCTCAAGACGATTCCCTGCGTGTGGAACAGATATTCTCGGGCATCAAGCTCGAGATCGAGGACTCCGGCAGCTCCACAAGCCTCAGACGGGCATCCGCTACGCGTGTAGCGTCGTCTGCCGAAGTGGTCAAGGCCGACGTCGTACATGGATCCCGCAACTACAAACCACAAAGCCCAAGTTTCGATCCCGAAGTAAACTTCCAAGAGATCCTCAGTACATCGCCTGTGGTCATCTTCATAGACTCCAAAGAGAATTCCCAGCTGCTGCGCACGCTTTTGCAAAGGCACTACGAAGTGTCACCACCACCGGTCTTGGTAGACCTGGAAAAACACTCAAGCGGTGCCCAGCTGGAATCTTACATCGAAGACTTCAAACTCGAGCGTCCAGACGGTACGGCTAAGAAAACATCCGCCAAGTCGTCCCACGATGCTCCTTACTTGTTTATCAATGGCCACTCGGTCATCAACACCGATTTCCAAACCGACATTCAAGACCTGCATGTCCACAACCAACTTCTGGATAAGTTAAAGTCTGTGGCCGAGGGCAACGTTATGTTCACTCGCAACAACGCACCATCCAACTCTTGAGTGGAATTCAGAAAAGTAGCCCAGCATGCTGAGCTGCGGTTGTACTTTCTCTGCCCTCTAGCATATATCTGCATTATAAAACAGCTCCATCATTATGTACAATTAAATTACGTTTATTCACCCGGGACCCAGGAATTCTCCATAGTTTTACCCATCAATAGCGTAATCTATGGCATTGGTGTGACTAGGATTGGGCGCCGCCGTAACTTCAGTTGTCGTCTGTCCTCCATAATTGTAAAACTTCTCGCCCCAGAAACACAACATTCCTTTCAAAAACCCATTATCCTTGACTAAAGAACCTTGCAATAAGCTTTGTCACCCAACAGCTCCCTTGTCACTTGTGCAATTTGCCCCAGATCCGAGTTTCGCGGCAGGAACAATACCACATTTGCACTTACTCGAAGAAACCCTTCAAGCGTTTCTCGCAGACCTTGCGGCAGCAGAGCCGCTTCTAAATCGTAGACTTGACTTTTAAGATATTGCGGGCCGCCCCAAGGTGGTGATGAGAATACGCAATCGATTTTAAGTTTCTCGAACCGCCGTTTTCGGCTAAGTGTTGGCCAATCTCCGTACTTGAGCCAAATTCGATCTTCCACGTTGTAAGCCTGTGCGTTACGATACGTGCAATATAAATGCTCTAGAGAGTTGTCCACGCCATACACTTTGGGGAAATATTGTGCAAGCTGTATTGTGTTACCGCCTCCTCCACAGTATACGTCAAGAATCACTTGAGCTTCCGGCAAACAACTCTTGATAAATCTTGCGGCAAATTTTGCAACCGTTTCGGGCGTTACGCTGTACCACAGCTCCCGCGTCATATACAGATCCTTGCATTGCATTTGCGAGAACAGAGACATTCTGTTTTTCCAATACTTAAAGATAGACCTGTCCGCCATTTTAACATTAGGTTCAATGCGAAAGGAATCTTCCCTAAACAGTCCTTTCAGGGCTTTTCGCTGCGTCTTATATTTGTGCTTGGACATATGTATAAAATGTTCGAGCTCGCTCGTCTTCAGTCGCCGCCGTCTTGCCATTTTGCTGTCTGAAGGTTTTCGCGATGAGCTTGAAGTTTCGAATAGCACTTGCCAAATTTTCTGCTGAGATCTCAAAATTCAAAAATCTGTGTAAAGCAGACAGCTGGAGTTTGATTATTTTGTTCTAAAACCATTATAGGTATTATGAATAGTCCTGCTGTATAGGGTGCTGGCTTCGTTCACTTTAGTATTTTTTTAAAACTCAGTAAGGACTATATTTAGCGTTTTCAATCAGAAGTTTGCAGTGAATGTACTTAGTTGACCTCGACAACCACTATCAATCATAATATGATTTGAAAAATTGTAGACCTTAGTTTATAACTCTGAAAGTCTCTAAAGGTCTTTCTTAAATAATCGATGGAGTCACTTGGCAACCTTTGTGAAGCGAGCATGGTACGCGGCCTATCTCTGAACTTCTCGAATTGAGCAGTGTTCGCCAGTCAGCACATTTATTATTAAAGACGCCAAGTAACTTAAGAAAGGCTGGGAATTGGGTAACATTCACTAACCTGTACTTTTGATTAGGCCTGAATCCGCTTGATAAAAACTCCAACTACACGAAGGTGACCAACGCACGCTTCTCAGCACGGGAGGTGAAATTGTACAAAGTTTGGTCTCTGTATAATAGATTTGTGTTCGTACTCGCAATTTTTATTCAAAGCTCATGTGTAGAGACACGATCATATGGCCCTTCAGCCCTTTTCAAACTAGTTAATGTTCATTTTGACTGCCAAAATATTAAAATCCAGCAGCTACGTACTGCAAGAGGTTACACGCTACTCAACTCGCGGGCCGCATGCTTGGGCTGGAGAACGGTCAGATCTACAAATGCTAGTATAATTACACAGAGAGATCACGGTCTTTTTCCCACTCAAGCTCTCCTCTATAACTAAACATTTAGACCCAGCTAATACCCGCGAGATACATCAAGTACAACTTTGAAACTGAGTACGAATCTGGCACTATTTTTTGCATTTTCAGTCTTCTCCGAACTTGCGAATTCTATAACTAAAGCTGGCCTCATGGTATGCTCAAAAATCTTCCCGCAATTGCTGGATGAACCTACAAGATCGGAGATTTACATAGGGTTGGCTGATAATTGAGGATCGAACGAGAACCCCATATCAATCACTTTTTTTTGACGATTCTTGGCAATGATTATTTTTTCGAAATCGAGCTAGCCTTGTCATTTTAATATATATTGGAATTCATTAAGCTCACCAGCCATTTATATTATCAGATCAAATTTATAGCGCATAGGGAAGAGCAGCCTGCAGATCAATGATGCTACTGGATATTGCTGCAAAATTAGCCAATATATGACTGAGTTCCCGTAGCTTTATAAAGCTTGGGAATTTAATGGAACGGTATCCGTTCTCAATAGAACGGTAGAATATCATCGAGCCCTTGGTATTACAACATCTGTGAAGAGTTTTAAAGTCCAGTGAAAATTGACTTCCGTCCGACTCGAGGAATTGAAAATGATTAGGACTCCAACAAGAACCAAAACAAAGTCGTTTGCTGGCTCGCAAATAGACTTTCAATTTCCAAGCTCAGAGAGTGTGCCGGAAGAAGCTTTGGACAACTACGACATGTCGAATCACCACCTCCTCAACAACACGCTGGCAGCACGCGACAATGTCTCACACATCTTTTCTGAGAATTCTGCGGGGTCTTCCAATGGAATCGACAGCGGCATGTACTCTTTTGCCAACATTTCCGATAACACCACGGGTCGTAAGGCTGGCCACAACGGCCTAAGACCTTCTCAGACTTCATCCTGGGGTTCCAGTGCGTCGGTTGCTCGTCACAGGTATCCTGCGACCTTGGCTCCGCGACCACACAGCAGTGCCTTCGAAACGCTGCTGGATACTCAACATGCCGTCAAGTCAAGAGAGAACGCCGCTTTTTTGAGCAGAAAGCGGTCGCCGGAAATGAGCGGCCACCATTCAATCTCAACCGACGCCTGCACAATACCCACCGCCGACAACGTCTCCTTCCAGATCACCTTCAAGTCTACTCCAAGTGAGCAATCGCTTCTGAGTTTTGAAAAGCGAGCACAACTAAAGCGCTCCAAGTCCGCAGTTCGTCAACCATCTTTGAAGTTGCGCAAGTCACCATCCCTTAGAAAAACCACTGCATCAACTGGCTCCAATTCCAAACTCAAAAGATCAGAAGCTGTACGCTGCAAAGGCGGTTTACTCCAGTTCTTCTCTCAATTGGGGGATCGGGCAAAGGCTAGAGTTCGCCGATGGAGACAGGCTGTGAGGAAGAAATTATTTACCTATAAGTCGAGACGACTAGCCAAGAAGAATAAAAAGCAGACTACTTCTCATTTGAAAAGAGCGAACGGCTATGTTTCCAACATCAAAAGAACAATATCTAGCACTTCATTAAGGAAAGCAAGCATAAATGACCCTCGGCATGTATCTGGATATAATGACCTTAATCGGGTCCAAACTCCGGTTCAGGATGCTCAAAAAATGGCTCAAGGATCGCCCAAGAATATTCGCAAATCTTTGAGGCGGTCGCCATCCTCCATTAAGAGAGCTGCATCAATTCTCACTCGTACCAATTCTCTCGCGACTACCAATTTTGACGGAACCAATGGCGGGAACTCTACAGAAGGCCTTCCGAGAACAAAGCTTGTCAGATCTGACCCTTTAATGTCACTTAGCTCGATAGCTCGTCAGCCTTCAATTGTTGTTAACAACAAAGTTATTCCACTTTCCAGATTAAACGGCGAGATCAATGAATACAGCATTAAGGAAGAGGAAGAAGATGAATACGTGATTGATACCGATTACATGAGAAAAAGCGATGACAATTTCAGTGACGTCTCGAGTGCCGACGAAAACGAATACAGAGATTCTCTGGAGTACCCCAAAGATGATAGAAACTCAGCCGTTGGCAATGAAGCTGCAGCTGTACCGGATGCTTGGAACCACTTTCTGCGGGCAGTAGTGGCACAGAGAATTTTAATGAGACTTCAAATTCATAAGTACCAAGAAGCCGGCACTGAATCTGAGTGTCAAAAACTCATTGATGCCATTATTTCCGACTACGAAGAAAATTCATCAAGCCATTATGAAAGTGAGCAGAGGACAAATTCTACTGCGATTACATCAGTTAGTGGGTCAGAGCATTATATTACAAGCCGTCAGACATCAGACATGTGCTCAAAAACAAATGACAGTGTGCTGTCGCTGAAGCCTTTCCAAACAGTTTTCCAAACGAAGGTTAAGAGATCTCTGACTTTGCCTGTAGGGTTTCGCGTGTAATAATATCTATCTAGATCTAATATATAATAGGTAATCGGGAGAAGTTGTATTTTTGAATATTAATAGTCTCTCACAGTGGCATTGACAAGTCTATCGCCGACGAATTTGTTTCTATGAGGTAGCGTCACAGAATGAGTATCTGCTTTCAATCCTTTGGCGCAAATTTCATTGTGAAATGCATTGAAAAACCTGCAAAGTGGATCTTGATGCCAACGCTCGCCCTTGGAGTCAAACCACGCAATGTGTCCGCCTTTGCTGGTTTCTATCAGTAGTGTAAAAGGATTTCCTTCGATCTCGCGTTTGGGTAGCGACTCCTGTCCAACAATAGGGTCATCTGTTGCGCTTATGACTAACATTGGAGTCCGAATTTGAGGGACCCTATTAGAGCTGGTACCATAGCGGTAGTATTCATAAGATGAGTTGAAGCCGAACATTCGTGAGGTAAACCAGTTATCAAATTCTTCCACAGTCTTGACAGTTTCCAGCTTTTCGGCGTATAGCTTGGCCATGTATGGATCTCTCTTCAGCACGTCCAAGTTATCCTTCACCATCTTGACTAAGCTCTGAGAAAAATGAGTTCCGTACAGTTGGCGTCCTAAAAGGGTGCGGTTCATGTAGTAAGAGGCATTGCACAGATCCCATGGGTTTCCTAAAATTGCAGCACATTCGATTTGCGAGTCTTCGCCTTCTTGACCCAGGTAATTGGCGGCAATTGAAGCACCTAGTGAAAAACCAACCAGGTAAAACTTGCGGTGTGGGAAGAGCTCGCGTAGCTTTTTAACGAAATCACGGGTATCGTCCGTCCACGCACCATTGTACAATTGCGGGGTGGTGATACTTGATTGACTACAACCACGAGAATTTAAGACACATGCCTCGAATTCGTATTCACTCGTGATCCTGTTTACCAGACTACGTACATATGCTTCATGAGACCCACCTGTGAGTCCATGTAGAACAATGAGCAAGGGCTTCGAATCGGCAGCGCCGAGATTCTTTAGTTCATCAGGTGAAAAGTATCGGTACCGTGGCAAGAGTTGCTTGGTCTGATTTGGAGGAACATAGTCTGGTTCCGGTAGATCTGAGCCCCATGGACTCACTCTGAAATCAGCAGTAGCCTCACCCCCATCGCTGCAGTTGACAACCATGCGTTTGTAGTAGACCTGGTCGACGTCCTCAAACGTCTTTACCGCAGCACAAACGGTCTGCAGATGGCCATTGAAGTAAAGCGGATGGAACAATGATAAAGCACCGTCATTGAACTCGGGACTGAATCGGTTAATTAGTTCGATTAGATCCAGTTTTCCACCAAATTTCAACGATTCTAACGGCCTGGTCTGCCTAACGTGTGAATAAAATGGGAGATTGTGCAGTAACGTGTCCATTCAAATATTGTACTATCTCAAGTTATCCAACAATGCTTGAACTGCTGGAATACTCAATTTGCTTAAAAGTATTTATATCGGTCTCGAGCACTTCGACACATTTAAGTAATTTTTGACAGTTCCGAGATTTGAGATAGACACAACATAAAGCTCATAAAGGGCTAATAGATGGTTATTAACCAGTAAGAACTATTCACTATTACTAATGAAGGTTATAGGAAGCTTCAACGTTCAGTTGCCAATAGTGAAGCACTTTTCAATAATTAAAATGGCATAAATAAACCCTGGATATAGGCACGAACCTACCATTCGGACATTCACTAAAACGTTGACTTGCTACCGATGAAAATTACCTCTGAGGTCAGACCCTTCCTGGCTGTGCTTGCTCTCACATCGGAACACAGGTATATGTCAATGCGCAACATAGTAGAAAGTGGTTTGTGCTAGTGGGATGTTTCAGCGCGGCAATCATCACTAAATACCACGAATGGGGCATGCATTTGGCTGTTTAGCAAGCTACAGAGGCATTTTATTTACACGTCATTAGGCAAAATTTCCTCATTGCAATACAACGGCGAGAGACTAATTTCACCAGCTGTTGTTTATCAATTTCTGACGCTGCAATAGTTTAGAACACTCACGAAGTATCATACTGAGCTCACATTCTTGCCACACCTTGTCTGCGAACGTCGTGCCCTCTTCCCATATAAAATCTGATGTTTAAGTTGATTGCAAATACGCTCTGCGCCAGACCCAGGGTTCCAACTCGATGCGCTGCCCATTTTCAATTGTTGTTCTTTGCTCAACTCACGACAATCAAGTAAACGCAAACGGACCTAGCTCTCACCTTGAGTGCCGGACATCCAATCAGTTACCTAGTCATTTGCACAGTTGTTCATCTACTCGGCCAGAGAGCACTTTTGACGAAATGTCTAATTTTGAACTGGATTACGCCGTTGATGAGATATCACCTTCTATTTTACTAAATATCTAAAGTAACTCGGTTTACCACTAACTCAGGGTTTCGTATGCTTAAACAAAGCTTGCTACAGCACTTTGGTCGAGCCGGTCTTAGTGGCTCATTTGTTGCAAGAAGATGGCAGTCTTCATTTACGTTTTCAAGTAACAAATCGCTTTTACAGAAGGATCAGTTGAAGAACGAGAGACGCAAGAAAACTACCGATAAAGATACAAAAACAGGCAGTCATGGTACTAGTATGGATAAGACTGGCACCAAGCGTACTTCCACCTTGGAAATACGCGCTAAAGGGCGGAGAACAGCAGATTACTCATGGCTGCCCAAGGCACCTTCCACGGCACATCTCAAACATCGTGATGTCTGCACTTCAGTCTTGTATTCAGGCTATAGACCATTCTTCCTGAAGCCCGAAGACCAAAAGCAGAACGACAGTACGCTCTACGAGTTTGCCATGAAACTGGAAGGCTTAGGCGATCCATTGCCTTGGATCTCGTCTGCCACGGGTACCGAGTTCTTTGGGGAATGGGATGGTGTCCCAGCCGATGTTATAAAGAAGTTGAAGCCATATCAGCCACCAGCCCAAAATCTGGTAGACAAAGATCGTGAGGCTCGCAAACTCCTGCACCAAGAACACGTTGAACAGGAGAAACAAAAGCTGATCAATAGATCTAAGGGCCGGAAAAAGCCAATTCTAAGATTGCTACAACTGAACAAGAAGTTTGATGATCAGGATGGAGACTAATGTAACGAATGATATGAATGTGATATGATATAATTATAAATGCGGATTTTGCTGCTGCATGCAGACTAGTGTGGAGAAATCATAACGAAGTTTACATCTCTGGTGTGGCAGTGTCTAGCTTTTGCACATGCTCGAATTCTAGCTCTGTCCGTGCGATTTCGGTTTTTTCTTCGCTGTTTTGGGCCGTTAGCTCTTCGTTCAACAAAGCCACATGATCACACAATTCCATGCATGTATCGAGGTCAAAATCCTGATCTTTGGCGTTAAGCCAAAATTGTTCAAGGTTGCTAAAATAGTCTGCCAAGGTTTGATCAAAATTAGAATCCAGTAGCTCAATGGATACCTGGTCTTTCATATGAGTGGCGGATGGAGGTTTTTAATGCGAATCAGCGAAATTTTATCACTAAGATATGTATAAATATATCCGCGCTACGATCCCACACCCATAGATAAGAAATCGAAATACGAGTTATAGAATTGTTTACGTTGCGTGACATAAAGAGTAGTCACAGACTCCTACGTATTGCGTGAGGGTCACAGCCCAAAAAAATCCACCGCGCTGCACACCCACAAAGTAGTGGATAATATGACCACAATACAATGACAGATTCGTAAAGCGCTTCGTTCGTTGGCTGTATCGTTGTCTAAAGCTTTTAAAAATATCGTAAATACATAATTGAATCTATAAGGTGAATCGTATCATTTAGATATTGGAGATAATAATACCGGGGGCGCCGGGAACGGCGTTCTCCACAATTTTGGCAGCATTTGGAATATCCACTTGTTCTCCGGTGAAAATATCGGTACCAACCTTAGCGCCATATGGGAATTTGATAAACTGGAATTCTTGGCATTTCACCGCTTGGCAACATTTCTTTAAGCTCTCTACTGTCGACTTAATCGTAGCAACTTCATCAAAAGGCAATTCTCTGTTGAAAACAGTCTCCACGGGCTCACTGGCGAGACGCTGTTTGAGCATCGATATGAAAGGCATGGCACGTTTCATATCCTTTGGATTCACTGCTTCCTTGATCTTCTTGTTGTCGTTAAGATCTTGAGCTTCAAAAAGTTTGCGCATCAGCTCAATGTACTGGTTTTGCCATTCTGGGAAGGACTCAGAAACGAGCACGAGCAGCTTGGCGGGTTTAGTGCTATCCACATCAGCACCCTTACCCTTCTTTTTCTTTAAAGCTTGACCCTCAGTCTCTCTGATTCTTCTCTGTAGATCTCTCAAGTATTCCAAGGAAGACAATGCACCTAGATCGACAGGCTTAGACGCACGGGGGAATTTGGCACGCTGCACAGAGGTAGCGTTTCCCAAAACTTCGCGCCATATGTACTCAGCAAAATGTGGGGCAATTGGAGTCAATGCCAAAGCTTGCAGCTCAATATAACGTAGAACTAGATCTTTGTGCATTACTTCACAAGATTCACGATAGTAATCTCTCGCAGTTTGCAAGTCGAACAAACCAACCTTCAAGGCACTCTTGTAGTTAGTCAGCTCGTACTGTTTGTAAGTTTCCTCAATCAAGAAGTTCATTTCATTTTCGAAGGCAACGTCGAAAAACTCACTAATTGCACCAGTACGGAAGGTAGAGCCGTTTTGAACAACCTCATCAGCCCATTCCTTAAGATTATAAAGTCTCAAAATGGCTGCGTTAGCATTCGTTTCGTCCAAATTGGCGTCCTCAACGGTGTCGCCAGCGTCGGCCAAAGCAATACGAGAAGCATCGGCACCAAATTTTGCGACAATCTGTTTCAAAGTCATAAAGTTACCGGTAGATTTGGACATTTTAGCGTTGTTCAACATTAAGTGACCGTTTGCTCTGATACCTCTTGGCCAAAACTTCTTTGGGAAAAGAGCAACATGAGTGTAGATAAAGAAAGTTAAGTGATTGGTGATCAAGTCCTTACCAGACACCGAGACGTCTAGAGGATAGAAGTATTCAAATTCCCGTCTAAGCTTTTGCAGACTTTCGATAGGTATATCAGTTTTGATATCATCGGTGTGTTGGAAGACGTAATCGAAAACAGCTGGTGTCATTTGGTTAGCCTCAATACCTAGTGGTCCGATTTCGTTACCGTAGTAGTCCTTGAAGAGCAAGTGAGCGATAGTGTAAAACGCTTGATAGATGGTAGAGTCAGACAGAGATTCAACCAAGTATTTTTCGTCCCAAGGTAGCTTGGTACCTAAACCGTAGGTACGGCATACAGCCCAGTTTTTCAACCAGTCTAAGCAACCCTCAAAAGCGTTTCTCACTTCTGGAGCAAAGAGTTGCATTTGGTCCAAACATTCAATTGCTTGTGCTTTCCAGCTCTCTTCACCATAGTCGACATACCACTGGTCTTCTAGGGAGACGATACAGTCGTCACCAGAACGAGACACAACCAAAGATTCTGGCTCGTTGTAGACAAAAGCTTCGTTATTGGCAATAAGATCAGCTTTCAACTTGTTCTTCGCAATTTCCACTTTGTCGCCCTTGTACTTACCGTATATCATAGTACCGTTGTAAAAGTCTTCCTTGTAGGCAATCTTTTTGGCCTCGGCTAAAAGAACAGAATCTTTGGGGGATCTAATCTTAAGTTCCTCACAAATCTTTTGAGCCGTCAGGTCGCCGTATTTCTCAGAGCGAATAATTGGAACAGGTTCGTGTTTCACCCAGTCGGCGTCAATCCCGTAGTATTCAGATTTGTTTTGCAAATCTTTCGTAGTCATCAAATCATCAGGAGAATTTGAGGGAACACAAGTGACAACACCGGTACCCTTTGTAGCGATAACCGTTTCCATTGGCAAAATTCTCAAGACATCGTAAGCGGAAAGCGGAGCACGAATCTTGGAGCCGATGAAATCCTTACCGCTGATGGTGACCAAAGGTTTGTACTGTCCTCTGACGGGTGTCAATTTTTGGTAAGACATGTTCTTGAAAGCTCTTTCTGTAGTGATGTAATAAGAGTCACCAGCGTCGAACACTCCGTAGTCGATTTTTGGTGAAACGAAGCAGCATGTCTGACCATACATGGTCTCTGGTCTCAAAGTAGCAGCTACGAAGTGAATCTTTTTGGATTTGTCAATTGCCTCAGTGGAGTCAATGATTTTTTGGGCTGGCTCAGCAAATTCCAAAGTCTCAATCTTGATACCCACATATTCTTGAGGAGTCACACCTTCACCCGATTGTCTGTCGTGATCCATACAGGCTTGGCCATCTTTCTCAGAGTAAATAGTATAACGCTCACCAAACTTGATTTTTCCAACTTCCTTTAACTTGTTCATTTGCCACCTAATGAAAGCATCATAGTAAGGATTCATGTCAGTTGTGATAAAAGAACGTCTCCAGTCGATACGAGAGCCAATTGAAGAACAGTCTTCTTGGCAGAGAGGTGGGAAGTAAACGAGCCAGTACTGAGGATCGGCGAATTTGATCACGTCCTCTCTTGCAATTCCCAGTTGCAACATAATTTCAAACTGGTATTTACCACGGCCTTTCTTGGCGGCTGCTTTGGATTTCTTAGCTTTGAATTTCGTCACATCTTCAGATTCTGCTTTAACTTCTTCCTTAACGCTTCCCGCGTCTGGGTCTTCGTCCTCGGCTGGGGCCTTAGCAAAGTCAGCACCAAAAAGTTCTACCTCTCTCTTAAGCTTGTCAGCACATGCTAGGATCGGCATACCAGTGCAGTGGAACCCCAATGGAAACAAAGCTCTTTTACCCTTCATTCTCTCAAAACCAACGGAAAACTCCACTTTGGAAAGAGTGAACAAATGCCCAGCGTGCAACACACCATTCATGTAAGGATAAGCAATGGAGGACATGAATTTGGGATACTTCTTCTGCAACTCTGCAGAGTCTACACTCACATTTTCCTCTTCGAGCGATGGAGCATCAACCTCGAACATATGCTCTTCAGCCCATAACTTTTGGTACTTCTTCTCAATAGCAATTAGAGCATCTCTACGAGCAGTGTTTTCCAACACTAAACCCTTAGTTTCGGTCTCAGAAGACATCTTGCAATCTGTCTTTTAAGATCGTTTTTAAATGTGAGATGAGTTCAATTATCAAGTACTTTTAAAATTTTTTTCGATATTCGTGGAAGCGAGTGATAACCTGATGCGACGAACTACTACATCAGTTGTATTAGTATTGATAAGAGATCTTTGACTCTACAACCCGTAAGTCAATAACTTGATATTAATTAGTAGCGGCTGGCATTACACTTGATTACCGGAGATGCAACACTATTTGTTTCCCAATTAGTGGTGTCCTTTTCAGGGCATTTTTGTTCGATTAGCCGCCTATAGCTTGGCTTATCTCTAAGTCCAGCCGCTAGTAAAAGATTACATAGGTGAGGACTCTCTTGAATTGAAGTATCAATACATCTGTTTTGTGCTTTCTAGTGCTGACCTTGGGTTGATGTTTCTTTGGCCAGGCATTGAACTCTCAAGCCTCCTATGACTTGCTGCAAACGACACATTTTTCATAGTTTAATTCTGAGACACAAGCACAAGTGTTTTAAGTGAACAGCTAGTACCGAGGGTTGTTGCATTCCCTGTCGCTCGAATTTATGAGTGGTAAAATTATTCAGGTAGAGAAAACGAGGAAAACACAACCTACCAGGCCACTCCTGGTGCTCATGCCGATCAGCCGTCATCGTTTTATCGTTGTAGTAATTTCAAGAACTTACAATGGCATGAGTGTCAATTAATAACTATAAGAATATTTACAAGGCTTGTGAGTTCTGCCTCGCGCGCTACCGACTCAGGTAACTGATTGTCTATTAACTTAGAGCTGTTTCCTCCAGATGTTCAGAAGTCTATTATGGGGTTAGCTGCAGCTTGAACAAAAATCGCACGATTATAAAGTATTGTCACCACACGCTCATTGGGATCGCCTCTTCCAACAGTGTGCTGGAGGAGCGTCAAACATCATAACCCCGATCGCGTAGCTCGTGAACGGTCCAAAGCCAGGTGGAAGCTGCATTATCGAGATTATTAGCCACGTAGCTTGGTTTGGATTCTTTTCCTCCGGTCGTTAGGTACTTCCCGTTGTCCCACTCGCGCTGTAACTCTGTAGACAAAGCAGCTTTGAGCGTGGCCACAGAGCCCTGTTCGTTCGAGACACCAAAGAAATAGCCCACCAATTGAAAATAAAACCAAAAAAAGATTCCAACGATGGGAAGCCGCGTCCAGTAGCTGAATAAATTGGTTTTCATAACTAGGCCTGGATGGACTGACATACAAAGCACGGTCGGGTGCTTGATAGCTAACATCTTGGCAAACTGGATGGACGCAGTTTTAGCCATAGCGTAGCGCATCCAAGTGAATATAATATTGGGCTTGTAATTGAAGCTCTGGGCCAAACTGAAATAGGACAACTCTAGATTATGCCCTATTGATGAAACAGAAATGACTCTTCCGCGACACCGTTTGATGCTAGGCAAAAGTTGCATAGCAAGCAAGAAGTGGGCAATGTAATTTGTCTGCAGCTGGATCTCAAATCCGTCCTCTGTTACGCTGAATGGAAGGGCCATGACACCTGCATTGTTTATGAGAACATCGAGTGAGGCCTCTAAACTACGAAACTTCTTTGTCGCCTTCTCAACCGTTTTCAATTGTGTCAAGTCGAGAGATAGAAACCGTAGCTCTCCCACGGAATGGCGATCTTTGGGATCCAGTTTTTCGATTCTGGCCTTGGCCTCTTTCTTAATGTCCTTTATCGCTCTCGACACCCGGCTACTGTTTCTTCCGGCTACATAGACGGCAAAACCGTGCATGTAAAGGTGCAGTACTGTAAACCATCCAATACCACTATTTCCGCCAGTCACCAAAGCCACTTTCCGGTCTTTCTGCAGGTTATAGTAAGGCAGGGAATTGAGGTCGAAGTCTGCCATTTATGTCGAACAACTCTATAGCAAATAATCCGCGAGGACCGAGAAGCAAAAATGACAGTCGATAAGAAGCTCCTACTTGCTGGTTTAAGAGGAGCACATACGCTTGAGTCTCGAAAAGGCGCTTCAATCGTGGTTTTCCAATAGTTTGTCTATCTTGAATTTACGATACATGAAGGAATTTCACTATCGTAATAGTCGAAATATAAGGCGATGAGGTGATACGGTACGAGAAACAGACAAAACTTTGAATTGCAATGGGGCAGGCAATGGATTGAATTGAGCAGGGATGAGAGGCAATTCGGAGTTGAGACGTTAGTGAAGCTCCAAATCGAGATTAGATGCGATGTTCCAGCTAGCGTGGGGAAGGCGCTTGGATTAAAAAAGATAAAAGGAACCTATAGACATCTTTTGAAAGTTTAAGAAGACGTGTTGGCGCTAATTTGACTGCAAGGGTTAAGCTTGGAAAACGATAAGCGAGGAATGCGATATCTATTAATCTCGTTCCAGAATGCGGACATTGAGAAGCGTGATTGCTTTCCACAATGGTCTGCTAGACCTAATTTGCCACATAATGGTAAAGCTTCTACCTAAACGGGTAGTGTAACTTAAGTGGAATAAGTTTTGGTGTCTCATGCTCAGTTTCGGTCAACACACGGAGCGGTTTGGACTGGATATCGCGTTGGGCGTTGAAACGGAAAAGAGCCAGTGTGCTCCATAGACATGAACATCACGTCGAACCGAAATTCCTGGAGTAGTGTAAATGTCGTATGCGACTCTAATCCCAAGCACCTTGTCCCGAACTAGCGTTCATACATCACTACACACGAAATAACAATTTAGTACTGAAAGCGCTGCTTTGAACGTGAAGGTCAGAGCTGAACTGGTAGCCAGGTAACTTACTGTTTATTCAGTACATATCATTGGACTTTTGGAGCTGGTGGGCAAGCGAATCTCTCGCAATATTTTTCTCATACTCCACGGCAGAGTCTTTCTTCAAGGCCACATATATTTGATCTCTTCTTCTTTCTATCATTTAACCGCTTAAAGAGTACAGGATGGACTTCGAGAGCGTTGTACATGGATTACAACCTCTATTGAACAACCAATTTGCATCTAAGATAACTGAAGATGAAGGTCTCGCTAAGCAATGCGCATTGAAGCTGTCTGAACTAGCTATTAATCTTCGTGCACCTTCTAACAGAGACATATTAAGAGAGTCTGGCGTGTTGAAGGAACTTTTGAATTTGCTACTATCAGCTCTTAAAACCACCATAGAAAACGACTTTTCATCAATTAATGGAGTTGCAGTGTGTTCGGAGTTAATACGCTCTCTCGCCAATTGTTTGGCTGACAATGACGAGAATAGAAGCCTGTTCATGTCCGAGTACTTTGAAAAAGGCAGTGACTTAAGAGTACAAGCTGCGCAAGTTCTCGAATTTGATGGCAATAGCGGTGATTCTACATTCGACCTTAAATTCAAGACTCTGGCCTTGATTAAGAACCTTTGTTTAGATAGTGAATCCTACACTCGGGACTGTTCTTCGGATCTGACTAGCAGTTTGATTAAACTGCTTGAACGATCGCCGTCAAATCCACAGTCTGCAGAACAGCTTGATGCTGTCACTATGGCATCGGATCTACTGTCAGAGTTTACCCAGTTTTCAGCACCTGCTGTGTCAGCAGAAGAATTCCAGTCTTTGGTCCACCGACTGCGACGCATAGCACCCAAAGCTGGCAATGGAGCCACAACGAATACCGAGAGTGATGAAGAAGACCCTTACTGTGAACTAGTACAGCTGCTGACTGAGACTTTGGAGCGGGTTGTCTCCACAAATGAGCACATTGACTTTTCAAATCAAGAATCAACACATAAACTACAAAAAGAACTCGCCGAGACATTGGCTACCCTCGAATTGAAAGAAACATTGGAAAACAAGCTAATAATAATGCGCCGATTAGTTTCTGTCATGGGTTTGATTTCTGCAAACACCTCAAACTCGAATTTACAAGATCGATCCATGTGCTTCGAGATCCTCTCACAAGCTAATGGCGGATACGTTGCGGCGGCCGCCCTTGTAGTACTCTCCAATTCTATTTCTTCTCGCGAGGCCGCCAACGATGTATGTCGTCACTTAAAACTCAGCTCGATTATCCAACGGTGTCGCGCCTTCCAAGACCCAGTGCAGTTCCAAGGATTTCTCGATCTCATGAAGAAATTATTAAACCTGTCGAATATTCAGGAGCTTGAAGAAGCGGACTTGGTAACCTTGTCTATGGAATTGAAAGTCTGTCACGACCAGTGTCAATATTTTCAAAATCTGGCACCTTTACTGGATGCGTTTCTCACCAAACTAGTGGCTGTACTACCGGGTTCTATGCTGCGAAAGCTTCTCTCAAACGGCAATTTCAAAACAATGATCGTAGAGCGTGGTGGCATTGCTGCGTGCCTGCTTATCGATAAGCTTGCCGTACAGCATCGAAACGTTGATGATGAGATTGTAGTAGAATTGTGGACGTCCGTTTTCCGCTTACAAGACCCGTCTGTCACACAAGAAGGCCTCTCGACGCCGTTTTTGTTTCAACTCATGAAATCGCTCGGAATTTACTTGCGCAACAGGAACAAACTAGACCCAAATCCGGTGTTTGAGACACATTCCCGCCAGCTATCGTCGTTGTTCGAGATAATAGAGCCTTTGAGCGCCAACACCGATTCTGCAAGCCAGAGTATTCTAAACAACGCTCGATTCGTCGCAGGAATGGTGGTTGAACTACTCAAAGATCAAGCGTTGACTTCACAGGAATCGCAGCTGTTTAACACTGCGACCAAACTTCTATTGAGCAACGAACCGCTAACTATGTCCTCATAGACGAAAGGGTTTTCATAAAGTAAGGACGACATGCATCCAATTTATCTTGAGAACTTGAGGAACATCTACAGATCCTATAGAGACTAATTTCGTCCGTATATATCGTTCAACCCAAGATGACTATTGGGGACGATCAATCTTGTCAACTGCTTGGGCCAGTTTCGTTGTTTATTCAGTCCATAATGGGCCTTTTGGCGATTACCGGAGTGCTGATCAAACGGCGCTACGAAAAACCCAAGAGACGCTGGAGAGTATGGTGGTTTGACGTAGGCAAACAGGTGCTAGGGTCGCTGATCATGCATTTCCTAAACGTTGGGATCAGTATCTTGAAGCAAGGCGATCGAACCTTTTTTGAAATCGGTTTTGAAGATGCCACCAGAGACGATTCTGGCGGCGACCAGTGCGATTGGTATTTTCTCAATCTGCTGATGGACACTACGGCCGGGACACTAGTGCTGTGGCTGATACTGCGACTCCTGGAAAACGGGTTTACGAAGCTTGGAGTGGAAAATATTGAGAGTGGGAACTACTACGCGGAAGTGGACCCTGAGCGGGCTACGGAAGAGGCCCAGCAATCTCCAGTGCATCGCGATCCTCTCTTTAGCGCGTTCGGCAAACAACTCATGGTCTTTGTGTGCGGATTGTCGCTGGCCAAAATCTGTGTTTTTTTGATCTTGACCTATTTCGAGGTCCTGGCCGTTTGGTTCGCTAAGCTGGCGTTGGGCTGGTCCAACCCGTGGCCCAATTTCCAAATATTCCTAGTCATGTTTGTGTTTCCAGTGCTTCTCAACTGTTTCCAGTACTTCTGCGTTGATAGCATTATCAAGTTGCATCCCAAGACTATGTCGTCGAGCGAGCTCGAGAATTTCGAGGCTGACCAAAGGGCAGCTCAGTCGACAGTTTTCAAGTCAGCCTACGGCGCTACTTCCTAGACAGGTTGTTTGCGTCAATTTTTCAAGTCAAGTGGCTTTGACCCGCCTGCGATCCTGATGAACACGACCTGAAGATGTGTCGCAACAATATTCTGCTTGCGCACCTCCTGTTGAACCGTACTACGTGGCGGAATCAATCAACAAGATGTTCATATATTGCAATGTTTTTTTTTTTTGGCTCGCATCACCTCCACGGTTAGACACCTGTTTTGGCAAAAGCTTCTGTCGGTATGCGAAAACACGCAAACGAAGCCGTTGGAATGCCGGAAACCACTGATTCAACGTAATCCAAAGACGGAGAACACAGCGTGGGCAACGCTCAAGTTTTAAAGTTTTGCAGTAATTTTAGTGCAAGGTTTTTTTTTCGCGATGTCGACTCGAACACTTTTCGTGGTATGAAGGAACAATGCTCAAGAAAGATAGCGTAACATTCTAAGAACGACCCACATACACGAAGATCAGACATTTCGCGTCTGAGACACCATTCCTGTTACAGGTCAGCTCGATTTCAGTGCCATCGAGAGTGTAGGTATAAAAGTTGACAGAAATCTGGAATTCTGAATGTACTTTTCGCGCACACGCTCTTTTTCTAGTGAATCCAGCCAAACAGTGTTAATACTACCCATACTCTCTGAGCCAATCTTCTGGTCTCGTCCATTCATTCAACGCAGTTTGACCACTTAAGCCAACCACTCACTTTCAGTCCCTCATTAGCCTACTTTCCATGAAGATTTCCAGTATTGCCCACACTTTGGTCGCCGCTTGCGGCTTGGTTTCGGCCTACGGTTACGCCAACCAAACCGTAACCACTTTGACCCCCAGCAGCGGTGCTGTGATTACGGAGACCACCGAGTACACCAGTAAGGGTTCCGATTACACCTCTACGGTCACGCTAATGACCACGATCACGATGAGTGGAGACAGTTCTGCTTCTGTCACATCGGCACCTGCTTCGCAAGCCGCCACAAGCACCGAGAATGGTTCTAACGAGAACAACAAGGGCGTCGGTGCTCTTTCTGCCGGCAGCGAGTCCACCACCTCTGAGGTCTGGTCCACCATCACCTCCACACTGTACACTACCCAGAGCGTCACTCTATCAAACAGCCAGGTGTCCACTTCCGTCAGTGCTTACGAAAAGCAAATCGTTATTGGAACATCCATGCCATCGTGTACTCCTCAAACTGTCACCGTCACTCAGGATAAGACCCAGTACGTTACTGTCACTGCTGGCGCTGTCTCTTCCTCTGGTGCTGTTTGGTCCCCATCCTCCGCCACTTACGCCAACACTACCCTCATCCAGTAAGTATTGGATGTTTTTTGTGTGCATGGCGTGGACCTTGAAATAACATGGCTACTAAACAGTCGATCTACTGTTCTTTTAAGTAAGGTGTTATTTCTAGTTCTGAATTATATTTTTATAGGCATTCAATCTTCCTGTTCTTGGGATCATATCATATTCCAATTACGATATTTCATGATTTATGAGTAGTTAAGTACCGTTCGAGACCGCTTGGAGATACTTTATAGAGTGCTGAGAGCAGATTTAAATTTGAAAGGTTGACCTTAGCTATTTGTATAAACAACGCCTTGCTTTCCAAACACTTACTACTTGCAGAGCAGACCGGTTAAAGACAATTGTTCATGGTCGTAATTATCATTTGGCTTTTGGGTTCTTATAAGATTAATGTTTTATTAAATCCTGATTTGAATCCAGAAAACACTTCTAAAGGATACTGATCAGATATATCAATAAACATTGAAACGTATTTGTAAGATGCCATAAATGTGCTCTGGTATCCGTAAATTGGACCAGGATACCACAGATCTGTTGACGTCAAGTCGTTCCATCGAATGCATCACCACAGCTGTCGCGCTGATTTTACAGAATAGTGTTGATTCTGGAGCGGCAGAGGTCGAAATTGTGTTAGATCTCGCAAACAGGGCCTTCACAGTGATAGACGATGGTTGCGGAATGAATAGGAAAGATCTAGTTAACTTTGGACAGCTGCATTATTCTTCAAAGATCTCCAATGTAACGAATCTAAGTAACAACTTGTCAACCTTCGGATATCGAGGACGCAGTGTATTTGACATCTCAAATGTGGCGAAAGTAACTACTCTTTCAAGAACAAAAAACGAGAGTAATACGTGGTTGAGGAAACCTGAGGGGAATATCGAGAAAATCGATCCAGCATTACCATGGGGTACGTCAGTGATTGTGACGGATTTTTTCCACAATCTGCCTGTTCGTCGCGAGGCTCTGGAAAAGGCATCGTCTAATCGTCTATGTGACAAGTTGCGTTTCCTAGTTTTCGACGTATTGGTGTCACACCCGGAAACTAAGATAACTGTGCGTTCTGATAGCCTGTTAAAACACGGCTTTGCTTTATTTGAATCAAGAGATGTGCATACATCGCTCTCAAAGAGTCAAAAACTTTCACTTTGTTTGTTTAATGTCTTGGGAATATCGACCGAAGACTTCTCTCCGAAGCCTGTCCACGCGCGATTCCAGAATTACGTCGTAGAAGGGTTGGTTTCCACAAAATTAACTACCACAAAAGACATTCAGCTTGTTTACATCAACGGTGAAAGGTGCCAAAATGAGATTATCTTGAAGCCGATAGCCAAGCTTTTCTCTGATATAAGGTCCCAATCAAGAACAAAGGCAGACCTCGGGGGCACACGTCGAGGATACTACCTTTTTGTCTTGAAAGCTTCAACGCCAGTATCAGGATACCACGGCTCTGGCGAACTATCTGTAAGGGACTGGAATCAGATAAAAATCGTCCATTCTTTGATCATCAAAGTTGTTGAAGCCGTTTTTAAGACTCGAACGGATTTGCCACACTCTTTACCGTCATCGTGCTATAACAAAAGATCTCACAAAGAAACTAGCTTGGACGAATCAAGGCTTGTGCATTATGTATTTGAGTCGACGGACCCACGCGGGCTAACAACTGTTGGATGTTCACAACAAGCTATCAAAAAACTACGAACCACTGTAAACGATTGCCAAATACGGCACAATACTACGGCTTGTGATGTACAAAATATGTGGGGACTGACACCGCATGCACGTATTCCTTTTGAAAACCAGTCCAATCCCCCCGCAGGTTCACCTGTACCTGATTTTGCAGGCCTTAGTACACATCGTGAAATCGCTCTGACCAAATCGTCACTTCGGTCTTACGTTCCTGTCAGCCAAATTGACCTAAAATTTATTCTGTTGAGATCCTCTAAACCGGCACTCAATAGCCAACCTTCTTTGATCATGGTGGACCAACACGCGTGCGATGAACGAATTCGGCTCGAAACTATGCTAAATGAATTCATAGGTGAACTTTTGATTTCACCTTCGGCTCCATCAGTTAATGTGCAGATCGAGATCGCAAGCACTTTTCGCGAATTTCAAAGCTTTGATGATTATCAGCATGAGTTTGCGAGGTGGGGCATACGGTATGAGGCTCAGAACTTTACAGAAAGACAAGTCTTAATCAAAATAATCACAATACCGGAACTTCTTCAGCGAAGCTCAAAACACCTATTGAAAGATATACTTATACAGCATGCGAGTGACTTGCGGAATTTTAGAAAGACGCGCATTGGACACATAGACGCAAAAAACATCAACTTGAGTGTCGAGGAGCCTTTTGCTTGGTGGAAACACGCTAAGTCGATACCCACAATTTTAATGGACCATATTCGAAGCAAGGCGTGCAGATCATCCATAATGTTTGGACAACCCTTATCAGCTCCAGAATGTGTTCTGCTAATCAAAATGCTTAGTGATTGCAGGGATCCCTTTTATTGTGCTCACGGTAGGCCGTCACTGGTACCTCTCACAACTTCTGATGTCGACGGATACAGTCAGATGGCAGGCGCATTCAATAACAAAGATTACCAGATTGACAACTAGATAGCACAATAACATGAAAGGCACATCTCGCTATACAAGTTTGTCTTGACTGCATGGTGGCGTTTAGCTTTCCAAAACACATAATGATTGAATAGCATGTTTGGACCGTTAGCAAGATCTCATTGTTTCTCGAGAGGCAAGAAACAGATCGACCACTGGGCGCTGAAATGACGGATTAGAAAACTTCAAAATATGATGCATCGTGCCGCTCAAGAGCTCCTCACATTCTTCCCGTTTTCCTAAAGAGAGCAAGACTTTTGAAAGAAGAAGCACGCTTGGGGCTAACAGGTACGAATTTCCGGTTAGTGTTGCATGTTCAAGCACCTTTGTCAAGATTGGCAGACATCTCACTTCTAAGCCGCAAGTAATCATTATTTTGCATTTCGCCAATTTAAATCTTTGTTCGTTCTCGGAGTCTATAGATTCAGATTGACACTCATGAATCTTCAAGTTGACGAACCGCATAGCTTCATCATAGTCGCCAATAGCGCTAAGATAATCGATGTTTAACTTCTCTAAGATTCTTTTTTCGTGGTACGTCAAATATGGACAATCCATCGCGGTGAGATACTCATGAGAAAGATTCGAGTCTCCTGAGTCCATAAGGTCTTGCCTCTGAACCATCTGGTAGTTGCCAGTGGGCAGCCGCTCTTTGGCCAAACTTTGATATGAATCGCGAAGGGCCGAGGAGCCCAAATAATTCCAGACTTGAGCGTTGTGCGCAGCTAGTAGCGAGAACTGGACTCCATTGGCTGTGTTTTGTAGCGCCAGCAGAGAAGATTTGAATAGAGACTCTAAAATGGCAGGAACCAAGCCTGTACTAAGCATTGCCCAGAGGGTTTCGTATCTATACCCCATCTCAAAGACATAAGAGCTCTGATTTCCGGAACAAGTTTTCAAGTAATTAATAATCTGCTCCGTGGTGACGTGGAACCGATTGGCGAGGCTAGGATACTTTCCAATGAATTCAAAAACCCACATCAAGATGAGGTTGAGGGTCTTGGTGTCTTTATTCTCCCTGGCGACAGCAATGGCTTCTTCAAACGTTTTTACCGCAGCTTCGCTATCGTTGAAATGCGCATGAAATGATGCTAACGAAAGAAGGGATAAATGAAAATTAGGCTCGCTGTTCTGTCCTAGCATGTAGTCAAAGTACCTGTATAGTAAATTCAAAAAGTTATCATAACGTTGTTCGTTAAGGTCTTCAATGCCTCTAAGAATATGCACTGATGGAAAACGCGATGTATCTTCCAGGGACATGCAGTCCATGATTAGTCGTGTGCGCTCTCGCAGCCGCTTGTTGCCGGCCAGCATCAATTTAGTTTCCTCCATCAACAACGCTTGTAAATGATCCCTAGACAACATCATTAGAACGTGTCTTTCAATTGAAATCAAGTCCGCGTATTTAGAAAATACCCCCGTTTCTTGAAGCTCCCGCAAGCTTTCTAATTCTTCTCCATTTCCATTGTCTTCGAATATAAATGACATCAAAGGATCGAGTTTTGGTAGCTGTTGGTGTTGGAAGGAAGTCGACATCTCCTCGGCTTGCCTAAACTGCTGTAGATAACCCTGTAGATTACGCCAAAGCCTCTCACTATCTTCAAAATCCTGTAATTTGTGTTTTGTTATGCAATGACACACGTAACTACCTAGAAGGCTTGTCTGCGTTAGCTTTCGCTTGATTACGTTTTTCTCGCTTCCGCTTGACACTTCTCGATATGTCGCTCGAATGCAATGCGCTTCAAGTGTATCAACAAGCTTGGTAATGCCGTTGATAGTAGTTATGGCGTCCAATGCCGCTACAAGTCTTTGCGCCGCTCTTCTCTGGTCGTGTTCCACTAGTAGTAACACAAGATCCAACAATAAAGGCGGAAGAACTGGATGAGAATCTAGTGTTTCATGAGTGTTATTGAAAGGAACCTGAAGAGACTCTCTAGGGCTCACTGGCGGTACTAGACTCATCAATAGCTTTTGATCGAATTGCTCAACCTGTGAACAATAAAAGGTAATAACGATTAGAATAGATATATCATGGGGAGTTAGAGTGTTTGTGATCACTACAGATTGTTTGCAATTCATCAATTGACTCTACAATCAACAGTGTGAACCTTCTTTGCTGAAATTTTTAATAATTGTGTCAGCGATGAGCTTAATGTTTTGATATTAATGCTACACAAGAGACTAACCAATATATACATAACTATCAAAATTCAAAGTCTCGAGCTTCTGCAACTGCTAATATACTATACTTTCCTACCATCCTAATTTATACTACTCTAAGTATCTAAATGCTGTTAAAATCATGGCCATGTCGGGAAGTCGACCTGGCACCGGAAGTAAAACCTTAAGCTTCTTCTTGGCGTCGTTGACATCCATAATCAAAGCGTACCCGAGAATGGAGCTTTTCAACACCTCGTCAGCAGAGGCTCTTCGGGATGAATAGGTGATAGCCACGACAGCGTGTTGTAGATTACTGGCGTTGACTTCCACGGGCATTAAGGCTTCTGGAGAGTCATTTGTGTTGAGAGCACTTTTGGGCTGCCACACGCGCAGCATATCGAAATCGACTCCAATAGTGTAAGGGCTAAGAACTGTTCTAGAATCTCCATAAAAGTACTCTCTAATGGCATTGCGCTGCAACGCCCGTTTGTAGACGTCGTCAGTTTTTACAACACCGCTAGAAGTAGGTACCCTAACAATGGTCAGAGCTTCAACTGGCAGAACCCCATTTAGTCGCATGGCCAGTGAGTCGTCATGACCACATACAATAATGGCGTTAACTTTAAACAGAGATATTATTTCCTTAAGCTCTGAAAAGTCGTCAGACAGTTGTTCCATGGCAGGTGTGTCAATAATGAGTCCAGAACGGCGAATTGCAGCGTCATTAGATAGTCTCAAGCGTACCGAATCTGCTAAACTTCTCATTGTTGTCATGTAAAGCTCTCGATTTTCATGAATATTTTCCAGTCCAAAATTCTTGACCAACGGCTGTTTGTTATGTAGCCTGGTGGCACCGCTTGTCATACTCTGACCCCAAGTATTGTAGGTAACATCTATCAGATCCGAAATAGGAGTAGCAGTTAAGCAGCCTGGAGGAGAATAGATACATTCCTGAGGATTCAAATTTATCATGAGCGGCTGATACGCTTTTATCTTGAGAGCATATGCACAAAGAGTCTTGGCCAACGTGGTTTTTCCAGTACACGAATCACCCACGATTAATACACGCGGCCCTTCAAAGCTCGATACTCTCATTTTCTCCAGTGCAAAGTGCACATTGTAAACAAATGGCATGTTTGTATCGCCAGAAACCGTTTGAGTGATCAATTCGGATGAAGTCCACTCAATCTCAGCATCTTCAACAGCATATATCGCAAGATTAGTTCCTTGAAACACATACGAAACGTCTAATGCCAGCTCGGTTCCAAAAATCTCAGCAATGCCCGACAGTATTTTAATAGTAAGTCTTGCGTCCTGTGGGACTTGAACTCTCCATTCAGTTCCTACAGTTAAAGAGACAAGCAACGGCTGGTCTGAGCTTTCTCCTATATTTAGGGGCTCTAACGAGTCGTTAAGTCCAGGCAAAGTAGCCATTATCCTGGATGTGAATGTTTTTACTATTTTTTCTGTAACTCTAGTAATATTTCATTCTTACACGCTAACTATGACAAAGTACATTATTTCGACCGTGTATTCGAGAATATCCAGGTTCGCCGTACACAGATGATATATAGATCTAACTAGGAAAGTGTGCGAAAGGTGACTGGATTATTGGTTTACTTACGCCCCTTGGCCAAATATTTAGGATCTGCTCTCATCGCCCATTCAGTCCAACTACCGTCATACAGTTTTACGTCTTTAACGCCCGCAAGCTCTAGAGCAGTCTTGATAATCACACCAGAGACCCCTGTACCGCACATAGCAATGGTGGGTTTTCTAGAGTCCAATGTACAATTAGCGGATTCCAGGTAATCTTGAAGCCTCTTCTGCATCTTTTCGGGGCTATCCTCAAAGCATCCTTCCGAAAGAACTGCGGAATATGGCAAAGGCTGTGTGCCAGGAACGTGGCCACTTGGGAGGCCAGGCCTGGGTTCGGAAGCTTCGCCAGTAAATCTGGGGAGCGCACGAGCGTCGAATACGTTGTACTTGAGGGCAAGTTCTCCTGATTCAACAAGTTTAAGCATATCTTCGTAGCTCACCACTTCTTGCGACGTGAGATCTACGTTGGACTCGTACGTCGATGGTTGGAATGGCGAAACTGCAGTTCTTTTGGAAGTGTCGAGCGGAAGACCTTGTTGTTTGTAAGCTATGAAGTTGTTGAGCAGGTACACTGGCTGATGGCCAAATACGGCAAGCGTCCAAGCGCATCTGGGGGCAGAAAAGTTGCCAATGCGATCGTACACGACCAAAATGTCGGAGCTGGTGATCCCTAATTGGCTCATTCCTGCATTGAAAGTGGCCAGATCCGGTAGCATGTGCGGGTACGGAGAGCTGTGGTCTTTGACCCCGTCGATATCGAAGTAGACAGCATTCGCAATTCTCTCAACATCCAAAAACTCCTGTTTCCCATCTTTCTTCGTGTTGGGCATGTACCATGTCGAGTCCACTGGAACCACTCTGCGGCTTGTTTCTTTCCTGACAAGGTCGGCTAGCGACTTTGGGCTGATAAGCTTGTATAGCGACATGACAAGTTCCGGGTATGATATTCTGGCTGATAGATGAATTTGATAAGAAGCACGCAATTATCACCTACAAGGTTGCAAAAGTGTTGTGAAATTGGCTTTTGAGCGGAAAATATATGACAAAAGGTCTAAATTCTGATCCGAAGTTAAGCACAAGCTATTTAACGCAAAGTCAAAGCTTTGACAATGAATTTACGACCTTTATACCACTACTTCATTTATTTTCCAATACGACGGACCTTCGGGCTTTTGATAAGTCAATAATGAAAAAAAATACTCAGTGAAAGCGATGAGCTCCGAAATGCCCATAAACTATTTGTTATAAAATTGGATAACAATGCAAGATGAAGCCAAATGATATAGAGTTTGAGCTCTCAGAGCTGTTTGAAATTCGCACAACAAAATACGGTGGCCGCGCTTGTTTTGCGCGACGTGACATACCAGTAGACACTGACGTTCTTGTACTGCATAGAGCTTTAGGATCTATAGTTTGCCATGAGTTTCGCAAGGAGGTCTGCTGTGTATGCTTCCTCTATGACAATGGGCGCACCATGAAAGTGAGGCTCATGGAAAAATGCCCGAAGCTAGCACCCAAGGGCGCTGGGCTGTGGTTTTGCAGTGAAAAGTGCCGGCACGACTTCTTGAGCCGGGACCGCATCGAAAGTCTTATAGAGGCCTATGAGCTATTCGAGACAAACTGGCTATCCCGTGCTTCCGATCGTGCAGGGCTTGAAGATTGCCAGACCGCTGATCCAGAGCATCAAATAAGCAAAACCGACATACAGCGCATGTGGGACGGGTTGGAGCATAGCTGGGTCCCGATGATTGACCGCATGAAACTTATACGGCAGCGATCACAGCTTCCAGTACTCAACGAAGACGAGTATGGCTGTGTTAGATTCGTGGCGCACTGTCTCTTCACGCTCGCGACTGCTAATAAAAGCTGCGTACAAATGCAGGCGTTCCGCTCGCTGCAATCGAATGAACTTGTAAAGATTCAACAATATCCGATACTGCTGAAAGTCCAGGAAAACGTTTTTAAGACCTTGTACGTTTTGTTACCGCCTCAACTGAAGCCGATGCTGACATCCGCTATATTCAGACATATATTGGGCTCGGAGTACGGCAACTCGTTTGGGATATGGGAATCGGCAGAGTGCAGCGAAAGTAGAGAGTACCTGGGATATTGCGTTTTACCGGAAGCGTCGTATTTCAATCATTCGTGCGCTCCAAATCTTGCAAAACGCCGTCAAGGCGAACGAATGATTTTTACGTTGAATTCGCCAGCTCAAAAGGACCAAGAGCTTTGCATTGACTACAAAGGAATCCTGGGCCTGCCAGTTAAAGAAAGACGCTGCATTTTACAGGAAAACTGGTTTTTTGACTGTGGATGCGAGAGGTGTCTGCGAGAAATGGTCGAGGGATAAGTTTACAACGTCACTTCATAACTGTAGTCTATCGAGTAGGGCCTCTTCAAGTGCCGACTTACTGACACTCAAGTTCGACAACTCGCTCAAGGAGGACTCGGCCGCTCTAGCGTCTCCTGGTACTTTTTGATTCAAGATTTTAGATGACCGTAGATTTTTGAGACCCTCCGATGCCAGAAATTCATCATCTTCGCCACCATCGTTATCTTCAAACTCCTCGTTATTGTTTGCACTATCTGTATCCTCAATTTCACTGCCAGCTGTAAGACCTCGAGTTTTGGTCTCTATTTCTTGTTCCAGCATTTTCAGATGCTTCGCAAACAGCCTGTAGCTTCTTTTACGCAAAAAGTACTCAGGGGTCTCAAAGTCCCGACTTAACCGAACCCAATCGATAGTCTTCTTCTGATTGCCAAAGCGCGATACCTTGGACCAGAGTTTTTTGTCCTTTTCTAGGTCCCATTTGAATTTTGGAGGGTCAACAAATCCATCCCTAGTCCTACCACTTATCTTGACGTAAACTATAGTGTTTTCAGCATTCATATTTATGCGTTATCACACCGTTTTTGTGGGCAAGTAGAACTGAGAGCGTTTTGTTTTCACGAATTGAGATGTCAAACATTTGAATTGATTATAATATGAATCTTAACTCATCGCTATAATTCTAGCATCTTACATATTCTTTGACCAAAAATCTGAAAAAAAGAGGGGAAAGATGGGCGATGAGTCACGGCACAACGTCCAGTGAATCGTTTTCGACTCTTTCAGAAGGCCTGATCCATCTTCAGATCAACGCTTATGACTTTTATCAAGAAGTCCCTGGTGATTTCGACCGTCATCGGGGAAATAGTCTTCCAGGCGCCAAATATGATGCTGTTCCTGTTATCAGGATCTATGGCTCACTCCCGACAGGCCACAATGTGCTTTGCCACATTCACGGCGTGTTCCCTTACGTGTTTGTTCCATATGATGGTCGAGAACACGATACGCTTAGGACAATGAACACGCGCTGCTCAACGCTACATACCAATCTAGAAGAGAAACTTAAGGCGACGTACGCTCGCAAACCCAACGATAGTCCAATAAGTAATACCGACAATTCCGAGACATTGAAATATATAGCGGACGTTTCTCTTGTAAAAGCAGTGAACTTTTACGGCTACCATAGTGGATATTCTGCCTTTTATAAAATCTCGCTGCTAAGTCAGTCTTTCACAGGAAAGCTTTCCGATTTACTAAGGGAGGGAAAGGCTACGGGACGCAAATGTCAGGTTTTCGAAGCCCATATACCCTATCTGCTGCAGTTTTCTACGGATTTCAATCTGTTCGGGTGCGCATGGCTAAAGCTTGAAAAGTGCTATTTCAGGACACCACTTTTGAATCCAGACTTTGCGCAAGATACACTTTTGATGAACAATGCCCTTGAAGAATTTTTGGCAAGGTTTTATCATGGAGAGAGGAATGAGGCGGGAGGTAGATCTCAACGTGTGGGAAACAGTCTTCTGGAAATAGACATAGTCCCTCAGTTCATCAAAAATCGTGACGAAGTTACATTCAAGGATTTTCATAGTTCTGTGTTCGAAAGATCTCAGAATCAAGGTAAGGAAACGCTATTCATTCCATCTATAAAGGAACTTTGGAATCAAACGTCTTTCTTGCGCAAAGAATTTGGTCTCGATGTTTACGAACCAATTGTTGAAGGAGAGCGGTCAGATGAACCACAAAAATGGCAAAACCGCGATGAGAACATGTTGTTTTTCCAGAAAGCCAAAGAACGGATGTCTCTCCGCAACAAGTTGCCTCGAAGCGATTCCAGCTCTAGGGCACTCGAACAAATAGACTTTCCAAATTCGGCTTTGAAGTCATTGTGGCCATCAATAGAATCGAGCGAAGAAAGCTATCCGAATACTTCGCCCGTACAGCTCGAAATTGCTAACAGCTTACCTCCTTCTCCGTGCTCTTCATTAGATGAAAATCCTGGCTCCTCAGTAGAATCTGATGTTGTTTCAAATAACGAAGATCCAGCCGAACTCGAATCCAATGAGCAGGATCATTTTCAAGATAGCCAAAATTCGAGAAACTCAACTAATGGCCGAAATCAGTCTCCCGTTCTGAATTTATTTAGCGACCGTGCGTTGACACAGGTGATGATGCATAAGAGAAGCACTAATAATGATACTCATAACATTCACTTGCCCGTTAAAGTTCGAAAGCTGACACCTGGTTCTTTAAACATTTCCTGTTTGCCAAATTCCTACAGATATCGAGATTTCCAGCTTAGCCATACTTCAATTCTCCGAGATCTGGAAAATCAAGGATATCCAAAGACGGACTACAGGGATCCATATTTCACTAATCCTGAAGATCTTAAAAAGAAAGACTACATTTATTCGGGACGTAAATTTAATCTAAAGTCAACCCACTTATCGTGCAGGCGACCGGTTGATTTTAGTGGCGAAACAATCCGTTTGGATTCAGAAAATTATTCTGAGCTGGAAAATACATCTTGGAAATATATCCCAAACCCTCCAAACTATGCTTCAGTAAAGGCATACACCATGTCCAGGAAACGAAAATTCCGCTCTCAGATTGATTTCAAGACTTTAAGCAACGAGTTTGGTTACAAATTTAAAAGTAATAATTCTCTGAAAGGAATGAATGCTGGAGATTACAACAAACTTTCTCATTTAACCCTTGAAATTTTTGCGAGCACAAGAGGTGTGCTTTTATCTGATCCTGCCAAAGATCCAATATGTCTTATTTTTTGGAAGGCTGAACCGGACTCTTTTTCCATTGATATTGGTCTGTCAGCTGAAGGAGTTATGGCATTTTCTTTGGAAAATGATAGTCAGTTTGCATCTCGCTTAGAACTAGCGGCGAAACCAACACCAGTGGCAGTATACAGATCAGAAGAGGACATGATTAGTGGGCTTATAGATTTGGTCCTGCTCCTAGATCCCGATATACTGTCGGGATTCGAGGTTCACTCAAGCGCATGGGGCTACCTTATCGAAAGATGTGATCTGGCTTACGACCGTGATTTTTGCGAGGAGATATCAAGAGTAAAGCATAAACCTCAAAACAAAAGAAAAGATGTTTGGGGATATTCCCACGATTCTGGAATTCATATTGCTGGCAGACATGTTCTCAATTTGTGGCGTCTCTTGAAGTCAGGACTAAACCTCCTACAATACACCGTTGAAAACATTACATTCCACGTTCTACATGAAAGGCTTGCTCATTTCCCACCGTCTGTTTTAACGAAGCTATGGGAGTCCAGTTCTGATATAACTTCGCTGACTACCCTTATTTCATACTGGAAAAAGCGCACGGATGTTAATATCAGGCTGCTGCAGAGTCAGCAATCTGTCAATCAGATTGTTGAACAAGCGCGACTCATAGGCATAGATTTCTATTCCGTAATTTCAAGGGGCTCGCAGTATAAGGTCGAATCGGTAATGGTGCGGTTGTGCAAATCAGAACATTTTTTGGCTTTGTCGCCGAGCAAGATGCAGGTCAGGAAACAAAAAGCATTGGAGTGCATTCCACTTGTCATGGAACCAGAATCTGCATTTTATAAAAGCCCTCTAGTGGTATTAGATTTTCAATCGCTGTATCCATCAATAATGATAGGTTACAACTATTGCTACTCCACAATTTTGGGCAGGGTTCAAGAGCTGAAACTTAGAGGTAGCGAAATTGGTGCAAGCAGAATAAATATTCCCAAAGGGTTCGTGGAGCAGGTTGAAAACCATCTCACAATCTCTCCGAATGGTACAATCTTTGTTAAAAGTGACGTAAGAAAGTCGACGCTTGCAAAGATGCTAACCGATATCCTTGACACAAGATTATTGGTAAAAAAAACAATGAGCGATTTGAAGTCAAAGAATGAAACTATATCGAAGCTTCTCAACAATAAACAGGTAGCTTTGAAGCTACTTGCCAACGTTACATACGGTTATACCTCTGCTTCTTTTTCAGGACGGATGCCCTGTTCAGATGTTGCTGACAGTATTGTTCAAACTGGTAGAGAGACTCTTCAGAAAGCCATTGCTCTGATCGAAGCAAAGACAGAGTGGGGTGCAAAAGTTGTTTATGGCGACACCGATAGTTTATTTGTTTATCTGCCTGGAAAGTCGAGAGAGGAGGCGTTGCTGTACGGCAAAGAAATGGCTGGGGTCATCACTGCTTCGAATCCATTCCCAGTAACCTTAAAATTCGAAAAGGTGTATCATCCTTGCTTGTTGGTAAGTAAGAAAAGATATGTTGGATATTCTTATGAAAAAGAAGAACAGAAAGAGCCTAAGTTCGATGCCAAGGGTATTGAAACTGTAAGACGAGACGGACACCCTGCTCAACAGAAAATTGTCGAAAAGTCCCTGCGTATATTGTTCGAGACTAAAGACTTGTCAGCTGTCAAAACTTACATTCAAAATCAGTTTCAACTAATCACGAAAGGCCAGGTTTCAATTCAAGATTTCTGTTTCGCTCGTGCAGTAAAACTCGGCTCATACAAAAGCGAGAAGACAATGCCACCGGGAGCTGTGGTTGCCACGAAGAAGAAAGAATTAGACCACAGGGCGGAGCCTCAACACCGTGAACGAGTTCCATACGTTGTCATAAAAGGCAAACCTGGTCAAATTTTGCGCGAACGCTGTATTCCTCCTGAGGTATTTCTTTCCAATGACAGTTTCGAGCTAGATTCTACTTACTACATTACGAAAACTCTCATTCCGCCCTTGCAAAGATTTTTTAATCTCATGGGAGTTGACGTCGCGCAATGGTACAACGAGATGCCGCGGATCCAAGATCTGAATTATCATCAAGCAAAGGAAGGAAAACTCCCGGATTTCATGCGTTCAACATTGTGTTTCAATTGCAAAAAAGAGATAAGAGAGCGAACGGAAAGTGTTTTGTGTGCAGAGTGCTTGAGTCAAAAGTCTGCAACGGCAGCAGAGTTGCTAACGGAAGACATGGAAGTAAAAAAGCACCTCAAAGATGTCCTGGCGGTGTGTAGAAGCTGTTGTCAGCCTTTGACCAAGAACTCACAGGACGATATGTCTAAAGTGGTAACCAAATGTGACTCTCAAGATTGCCCCGTTTATTATTCGCGGATCAAGTACAAGGGATATACTGACACCTTAAAGGCTCGGCAGAGAAATGAAATACTGGAGCAACTGGACTCATGGTGAGATCCACATTCAAGCTTCGATTTCCGAATAGCGTTGTTATCATGTGTGACGAAAATAGCACTCACATTGGTTCAGGTTGGTAAATTTTTGATGCTCATCGCATCATGGTGGAAGTATTAAAAAAGCAGCTAAAAGTAAATTGTGATAGTGTATACTCGGTCAAACCCCATCGCTCGTCTTTGGACTCCTTACTATACAGCTCAACTCTGCTAGCTCTTCTAATTAATAATGCCCTTGTCGAAATCTTTGTCGAAGATTCAAAAGAATCAGAAGGGAAAGAACGTCACTATCCATCCAAAAGGTCGAAAATTCCAGAAGCTGGCGACTGCCACATTACGTGAAGACAAGATTGCCGCCAAGAAAAAAGCATACAATGACCGTAGATCCCATGAACTTGGTCGTGTAAAGTTCATTCAAGATGTGATGAACTTGGATTCTTTCCAAGATAAAGCCACCTTTTCGCTAGAAGAAACTGTCATATTCATAAAAGAGTTCATTTCTCGCGACGATGAGGAACTGGAGGAATTGAAGAAGAAAAGAAGATCGAACAGGCCACCCGCTAACAGACAGATCATTTTGCAACAAAAAAGAGACTTCGAAATGAAAGAATTGGAAACTGGTTTTTTAATACCAGACCTTAGCGATGCCAAGAATGTAGAGTTTCTCAGAAAATGGAACCAGACTTTTGGTTCTATGAGCACCTTAAGGCAGATCAGAGTCAATGATAAGGCTCAAAAAGTAGTTGGTGGCAGTAAAAATGTTGTCGACTCCTCGATTTCGAAGTCCGCGGACGTTGAAATGAAGGAGTGAGCGAAAGTTTGCATCGATTAATTGGTTGACTAGGATAGGATATTCAACAAAAGCCACATTTTCTATCTGATGCTAATGATACTCTCGCTCTCTAATCGTTTCCGCCTTTGCACCACTCCGTACGTCGTGAATCCGGTGAGCAACGCTAGAAGACTGACATTGCGAATTTTAGATGATATACTACCGTGACTCGACTCGTTCCCCTCTCTTTGAAAAACAATCTTTCGACTACCGTCCGCTCTTGCATCACCTATCAACTGCCAATTGTCATTTTCCAGCTCTGTTATGATCTTAAGCAGATGTTCGGGTGACTTATTGTTGCCATTGATCACCGTGAATAGGTCTCTGTACTCTATATGTAAATTAGCCTTTTGGTTTTTCCACTTAGTGATAAATTTTGAATCATCTTCCAAGTCATATATTAGTAACTGTACCGAGTTGGAAATCGGCGCCTGATTTCCTCGATTGGCTGCTGACTTGGAGCTTAGGCTTGTCTTCTGGAACAATTTGGACAATTTTGACCGCTTTGTAAAATTGTTGTTGTCAAAGATCAAAGTACCCGGTGAAAGAACGCCAGATAAATTACCGTTATTCCACTCGTATTTCCGATTTTGCTCCCATGCGAATTGTCGTTGTTCCATTTTCGATCTTTCTGCTGTTTGCAAGAAGGTTTGTAATGTATTTAGATCAATGTCTTTACTTTGTACCGTAGGTTGAGAAGTGCACCTATTAGCTGAACTTGAGCGAGACATTGTCATTTCAGGACTTAGGTTATCTAAAGTCTTGTGAAATTCCCTTGAAGTTGAGGGGTGAATTTTCAGCAAATCGGAATCTGCCAATCGATCGCGATTGACTTTGAAATTCCTCTCATTATTGGGTTCTAATACGTTCACCATTTCCTGTTTGGCAAAACTCGTTTTCCAAGCTTCATCAATCATAGTTGTACTGACTTTACCCTGGAGAATCAAATGAATCAGTTTCTTTGCCTCCTGCAAAGACGAAGAGCCTTTTTTGAACCCAAGATTCTGAGATAGAGAATTAAAGGCCCTTTGCAATTGAGTTCCCTCAAGAGGTAATTTGCCGAGTTCCACTTGTAGTTGCAGACCTTGGATCAGAAGATCTCGACTTCTATTACTATTTCCCATATTTGTAACATCGAAACGACTTTTCACTCTCCTCGAGGCTCTACTTGAGTAGCATCTACCATGGAGGATGAGATTGGGATTCGAGAAGCTCTGCACTTTCATTTCTCGATCTTCGGAAACAGCATATACAACTATTCATTTTTCGAGTAAACTATTCTAATTTAAATGCAGTCTTTAAGAATTGCCAAATTTGAAAGCATAATCATCAACAATATGTCCAAAAGCCCTGTGAATCTTGATAACGTCTACTCTAACAATGTGGGTACATTTCAGAAAATTGCAAACACAGTTCTTCCCGTGAATTACCCAGAGAAGTTTTTTCAGGAACAATTTGACGACAACGTCAAGAACTCTTACTTCACGCAATTGGCGTACTTCGGCGAAGTCGCTGTTGGCGGAGTTAGAGCCGAGCTCATCTCTAATAAGACTGGCGGAGTAAAAGCTACAGGCGTCTATATTCAGATTTTAGCGATCCTAGAGGCTTACAGAGGAAAAGGCATCGGGTCCCAACTTTTGAACTATATAGAGGAGCAGTGCAAGTCGCACTTTCAGCATAAAATATTTGTGCATGTTGCTGTCGACAACGAACAGGCATTGCAATGGTATTCAAAGAGAGGTTTCAAAGTGGAAGGCGACGTGCTACAAAATTACTACAAAGACACCTCAGGATCTCCTGACGCATATGTTTTGGCTAAGCAAACATGAAGATTGCAGTATCTGATAAATCACTAAATAAAGCTTTCACGACTATGTACTTTTATCATTACATTTTATCCACACTGATAGAACTACTCCTCCGAAATTGATTTCACGGTATCGTCTGCCTCCCTCTCGTCATCGGTATCCGTATCAATATCGGTGTACTCATTCTCATCTTCCTCAAGCTCGTCATTACTCTCTTCGTCCTCTTCAAGGTCACTGTCATCATCCTCAGACTCTGACGCCTCATGCACAGCTTCTTTTTCCATCTCCTCCACTTGCGAAGGCTCACGAACAGCCATTGATACCGTGAAGTCTAAATCTGGACCAAAATACTCAGTACTCTTAATGATGACTCTAAAGAAATAATCGCCCTTCTCTTCTGGAGCCGGTTGACTGAATGGTATTTTGATAGTACCGACAGCCCAATTTTCGGGATTGAAATCCTTGTCTAGGTCTTTGACTGTTCTCTTGTCGAAATCTTGGCTTAAATTGGCAAAAGATAATCTATCAATGAGCATGGGAGTCTGGATAACTTTTCCGTCCTTTTGAAGCACAACAAGTGCACACCAGCATCCACTGCGCTTAGCGGGGAAATAAGGTGCAAATGATTGTGGTAGTTTAGGCTGTTCTGAAACAGATGCAAATGGGTCCCTCAAAGAATCAAAGTCTTGTTCGTCTTGACACATTTCATCCGGAATCATGTTAGGACTGAAAAACTTGTGTTTGGCGGAGCGCACAAGTACTTTAAGCGAGATATGCGGAGTCGACAGGGGTGTGATTACACTTTCACCGGGTACCTTGAATTCAGCTCTTATCAGCTTCAAGTATGGGATGTTCGATGCAACAGTTAGGGTTTCTTGTAATTGGGTAGCATCCTCGATCCCTAAAATTTTACCGATCTTGGCATCATCGTAGGTAAATAGTTTACCCAATGTACGAATATCATCCACAGATCCCTCGACAAAGCGTTTAGCATCAACATTTGGTAGTTGAAGAATTTGAGAATATGGCGATAACGGAATAGCTTGCACAAGTGCTTTCAAGGTATCGATAGCCGCGTTGGAGATTTCCAAATTGCGGAAAGTGGTGGCGATGTCAAGTAAACCAAAGAGCAATATATGACTTTTGGCCACGATTCTGAATTTTGTGGTTTGTAAGTTACCACTGTGCTTGCGGTTGATGTGGTCATGCAGCAGCGTTTCAAAAATATTTGGAGCAAGCGCAGGGAACATCAATTTGAACTCTTCGGAGTGAGAGATCCACCTAATCATGAGCTGCGTCGTTACTACTTGAGAAGGTTTGAAGTTAAACAACCGGTCTGAAAAATATGAAGCAGATTTGACGTGGATGCCTTTCTTAGTCATAGACTGAGTCTTAGACCACCATCTACTGACGAAAAAGGGTAAAATAAATCCCAATAGAGCGATATATCCCACAATCATCACCAATGATGCCGAACTATCGACCAAAAACTTGGGTAGAGCAATTCCATGAGACGTAGCTTGAGGGCCGTCAGGATGACCATATTTCAGGTAATTTTCGCGGGTAATCTCGTCTGTGAGAGCTTTGTACGCCTTTGTAATCATGACATATTGCTCCTCGAGAACAGATCGTTCTTCAGGCTTGAGATCTTTGGCCAATTTGTCGGGGTGGAATTTGATTGAGAGTTTGCGGTAAGCAGATCTGATTTCACGGTCCGTCGAGCTAGCAGAAATATCCAGAAGCGCGTAAGGATCAAATAAGAGCGTCGCGGCATCTTTGATGGCATCATTGGATCCGATGTGCTGCACCAGGTAGGCAACAATCGTCCAGCCAGCGATAATTACTAAATTCCGTTTGGCAAGCCACTTCGACTTTTTGGCTGCGTATTTCGCTCTGAAGGTCCGAACATCATTTCCAGTGTAGCGCTCCGACAGATCACCAAGCACATGTTGCTGATGCTGTGAACTTCTGTCTTTTTCTCCGCCTGCAAGTGCTTCCCACAACTGCATGATGGTCAACGGAACCAAAATCACACATAAAACCGCCAACATGAAGAATGGCCAGGTTTCAGAACCTTCATCATAGTCGTAGCTCTGTGTCATGACAAAGAGCAATCAATACTAAATCGATGGATGCAGTTCAAGCTCTGTAAAGTAGAATTAAATGTTCTGATTTAGGTGTTCAAAAAGTTGGTTACCATAATAGAATATCATACTTCGCCAATATTATCCTTTTGTACGAGCCTAACTATATTTCCGGTATTGCCTTGCCAGGAGCCATCGGCATTACTCGCCTGACGATTGAATACGTTTCCTATGGCCAACTACGAGGTCTAAAATTTGGAGAAACCCTTCAGCTCGTTTTTTCAGGTAGAAATAACAGTAATATGTCAAATATTAGAATATTTTTAATGCGAATTTAAGACTCTCGAGGAGAAAACATGCCAAAGGAGTTTAAAGATACTTTGAGTATCCATAGACTAGCGCCATTAATTGTCAACACTTTACTGGTGTGCCTATCTTGAAAGAAAACAGTCCACGAAAAGATCATCGAGAGACAACGACGCGATCGACGGTATTTCTGTGAACTGATGCACATATTGATTGATGTAGAAGTCGCAATCTTGGGTTAAACCTCCACATTTACAGCTTGCCTAAATATTTTAATAAGTTGATCGTGACACTCTATCGCACTTTGATAGTTGTGAAGGTACCACAACGTGAAGTGGTAATATCTCGCACCGAGGCCAGACTGGACTTCGAGTGATACTGCTTGATTGAGGAAACAAAATGGATAGACCTGTAGCTTGTTATTTTTTTGACGGTGCATAATGTTACTAGTCAAGACCACGATATGGGGACATTGAGCAGCAGCTATTAGCCTGCGGCTCTTTATTTATGTAATATACTAATTTTATGATCTTCTCGAGAGATCTATAGCAATAGATGTCCCATTATTTTCAAACAAAAAGTAGTCGGACATACCTAAATGAAGAACCGAAGAACCGATGCTCCGGAAACGCGCCATTTTGTTTTAAGATGTACAAATTATTTCTACTGTATGCAGTGGAATGCTCAATTCATATACCGAAAACTGATGATTTTCATACGCTACTAGAAAATCATTACAATTGGTTTCTGTTAATAATAGCGGTGTGGCTAGTTTCTGATCTACTCACTTGACATCCTTTGTTTCTTTTGCATTTGACGTTCATCTCCTATATTCAAATATCGGGCTTGTGTCAAAAACCGCAGCAATTTTGCCAGCACCCATATTACCGCGACGTACTTGAAAATCTATATGTGTAGTAACAGAACGCTCCGGATGTACAATGTAACTAGCACTCAATCCCCGGTGACATGATAGTACAGAGTGATTTTGACTTTCTGTTTAACAGCAGCTTCTTCTACTCGTGCAAACATGCAGTGAAGGCTACAAAGGCCGTGGCAAATCCTTAAATCTGTATCCGCCAATTATCCATTTCACAATTGACCTCTTTTCTCTCTTGAGAAACGAGTGAAATCACTTCATCAAGAAAGTGTCATTAAAACTAGGGAAACAAACACAATTTGGCAGTAATTAGGACTCTTGAAGCAGGTAAAAGAAGCCTTGTCAGTACTAAATGCTTGCTTCAATATACGCTTTCATTGAGGTATATATCGCGTCACTGTATACGGTTTCCTTTAATTGGACTTTACAAAATTTTATACACTACAGAAACGTAGGACAGAACAGACAGCGAGATTCAGACTGCAATTGGGATACTGGCCCTTTTCCAAGGCATTGAACGGTCATTAGGTTTGAAGTAGGTTGCCGTGACTTTCATTAGCTATGCAAAACATATATCAAAATCCAGCTGCACTGGCACAGCAGACCGCATTGGAAAGAAGAGTGAAAGTCAGCGTGAAAGGTTGGCAAAATGCTACTAAACAAGACCTTGTCAGTTTCGTAAGCCGCAAAGCACGGATTGCCATCATGGACTCTACGGTAGAAGGCAACTTAGTCGTGGGGTTTGTAAATAACCGTACTGATGCACAGTCATTACTGAATTGGAATGGCGTGCGTTTTGCCGGAAACTCTCTGAAATTCGAAATTCTGGGCGACAATTCGGGAGCTGCTGGCACTTCAAGCACCATAACGCTATTAAAAGCATTCCTGTACAAGCGGTATAATCCACAAGCGAAAATGTTGGATCTGGGCAATCTTCGGGAAGATCCGGATCTTATTACCAATGGGCTGTTCTCATCGCCTTCTACCCAGGCTAAGATTTTTCCCGCCATGATGAAATTAGCTTCCAAGGAATCGCAGCTAATTGTTGAATCCGTCAATTTATCGAATAATCAACTAAGAGACTTGAACATGATCTCGTCATTGGCACAGGCATATCCAAATTTGAAAAACTTGTGTCTAGCAAACAATCAAATCTCGCGGTTTAGAGCTCTCGAAGTTTGGAAAAACAAATTCAAGGAATTGCGCGAGCTTCTAATGATGAATAACCCGATCAACACAGAGCCACTATACCGATCCGAGATGCTGAGACTTTTCCCCAAACTAGTAATATTGGACAGCATTGTGCTCCGGGATGAAAATAAGTTACAGCAAGTTTATTCTATTCCTATGAAGCTTCAACAATTCTTTTTTGAGACGAATGAACTAGGTCAGTCGTCTATTGATTTTGTATCCAATTTCTTGACACTTTGGGATACCAATAGAAGTCAGCTAATGGCTTTGTATACACCTCAATCACAGTTTTCAGTGGCCATTGATTCTTCAGTTCCAATCTCCAGTGTACCAAATTCTGATCAAAATCCCACCTTTGGACATTATTTACCGCTATCCCGTAACCTGACTAAAGTTTCAAGCGACAGAACAAAGCAGCAAAGGCTTGCTCTCGGCCAAGATGCCATTGACAAAATGTTTAAGTCTTTACCTAAGACTAAGCACTTTTTGCAGGAACAGGCAACAAGTTACTCTGTGGAGGCTTTCTCTTATGCGCAAGTACAAGGATTCATTATTATCTTGCATGGGTTTTTTGAGGAAACTGCTGCTCCAGAAATTGATGCAAACAAATCCACACCCAATTCGGCTGGTGGCAGAAATAGACGTTTCAACCACGGTCACACTAATGCCACTAATAAGTTGGCCAAAAAATCATTTGATAGAACTTGGGTCATCGTACCTTCTCAGGGTAGCGTGATTGTTGCTTCAGATTTACTTACTATCAGACCATACGCCGACGGATCCTGGGTACCACGAGAAGTTCCACAGCAGGTTCCGCAACAGGCCCATCCGCAAAACCCACAACAGCCGATTCCAGCAACGGTACCACAGCCCCAAATGCAACCTACAATGACAAATATTCCTGCACAGGGCTTGGCCGCACCTCTGTTACTCCCACCTGAGGTTCAGGCCAAATTGAACCCACTTCAGCTGGAAATTCTCAACAAACTGCATCAACAAACTAAACTCAATGCTGAATACACCTATATGTTAGCAGAACAAAGCGGCTGGAATTTTGATGTGGCTATTAAGGGATTTCAGGAGAGTGTAAACAACATTCCAAGAGAAGCTTTTGTCTGATAGAGAAATCAAAAGCCATGCATGAAGACCGGAACAACATTCTGTCTTCCCCAAACCTTATCCCTATTTAGAAAAACAATTAGTTTAAAAGTAAGCGTCATGTTGAAATACTTTGATGAGCTGTCTAACTTTTGATTGTAAAGCTCAGTTTTATTCGCCTTACGTTATTTGGCTATGACAGCTTTGTTCGACTTTTTCTCTGACGACAGCATCAGATTTTATTTACAGAACGGACACAAATAATTCAAATAAATCCGTAAACTCTGTAAACACAATAACATATAATAGCTATACTTGCTCCTATCATCTAAGTCATTAATGAGGGCTGTGCCTACGCCAAGGAAGTCCAAGTCTCGTTTTGTGCGGCGAAAGGCTGGCCAATTGTACCAGGTTGTTTCGTGTCGTAAGATTCGGCGCAAATACAATCTCCACCATTTACATCAGTTGCACCGTAAAAATACTAGATATTCAAGACAACAGCAAGAACACTTGAATGCTCTCACGACACCATTGACTTTGGAAGATTTTATTAATTTAAGCTCGGGGCCCGAATCGCCTACGGCTAAACACAAACCATTATTGATAGCATCATTTCCAAATGGATGTGCCAGGTCTCCCAGAGTTAAACTTCTGCAGAAAAATATCTTTTCAAAACTACGGATTAGTCGTCGACGTTATCGTCTTCGTAACTATAATCCTGGTTTGGTGAAGTTTCATGCTCAGGACCCGCCTAGTGTTGATGAAGATTGTTTTCGAAGCTCTCGCCTCATCAAACGACAAGCTTCCAAGTACGCCGACGTCAAATTTAACTTCGAGAGGCAGAACGTTGTGAAAACAATCTGCATACCATTTGAGAACTTGGAAGGTCATGGACCTAGATTTTTGGAATTTGATCCCGAACGTAGCATTCGACTGGACGACTTCCCCTCTCTTCGTTTCGCTGGGAATGCAATACATGATGACAAGCGACCTCAATTGACTCAGCTCGAAGCTGGGCCTGGGATATTTTCACTAATGAAGCGTAAAGTTAAATTAAAGGTGGAACAATTGCAGTGGTGCGTAAGCGAGCGCATGCCTAGAATATCATTCTTGGAGTATCCGGACGTTATTATTATGAGCAAAGTTAGTCTCCCTAATGATTCAGGGCCCAATCTAGGGGATGCTGGAGTACAAACGCTCCAGGAAAAGCTGAACGCACTAGTCGAGGCCTCAAGGCTGGCAGGCGTTACTCTAAATAGTTACACGCGGATGCTGCAAAAGTTAGAGACAGTTTCGCCTAGTACCACTCGGACGCTTCGATTAGCCGTAGCCAGACACATCGTTAAATGACGGATTCAAATAAATACAGAAACATTACCCATGCGTACATAAGTGTGTATTGAAAATAACATGGGGACTCACAACTGTTTAGACATTGACGCCTGGTTCTGGTACTAAAACTCCAATACAAGGATATTTCTTTTCAAAATGTTCGAGCCATCCATTCAGGGCTTCCAAGTCAGCCTTTTGCAGGTCACTAAGATCGTCCATAGGTTGGTTCCAGTGTTTGAGAGTGTCGAGCTCAAACGAGTTAGTCGCAAGACCGCGGGAGGCATCATGACCCGCAAAGTTTGAATATGGTCCGCTTGGACCATAAAATTGTCTTCCTTGTGTGCAATCAAAAACTTTTCCCTTGATCGCTAGAAAGATCTTTTCGTCGTCATGACCATTGAACTTGTAAAGTGTGCGTGGGTAGAATTGTCCCTCCACAATAGGCTCTTTGTTTTCCGTTTGTTGCGAATCTTTAGCATCACCAGAGACACCCGTTGGGTCTTCGCTGGTCTTGACCCCTCCGAATAATAGATTCTTGACAAAAGACATACTTCAAGCTGATAAAGTCCTTGCGTCTCTAGTGGTTGAAGCTCTAAACTGCTGTCAAGTGAAGAGAGTTTCAGCTGGATAAATATTTGATATGGAAACTCAAACGAGATTTTAGGTTGAATTAAAGGTAAAGGACCTTTAACCATCAAATTAAACGAACTAAGTTCGAGAAAGAGTTTGAACAGACATGACAAAAGAAAAAGACAGTAGCACTTGTCCCAGATATTTGGTTATATAACTGAACTACATTTTTAACTGCAGCGCGTACAGCAATTACTCTAGATATAAGATGCACTTGTTCTCATTTACGGACTTCAGAACTCTCGACAAACATATGAGCACCTTCTTTGAGCAAGCTGGCAATGTGATCAATCTCCTTCTGGGCCAAAGCCTGATCGTGATCCTTTATGGCATCTCTAATGCTAGGAAAACTCCAGGAGTCATAGGGGGTTTGGTCTTTTAGTGTCGGTCCAAAAATACCATTTGTGTAAAAGGGCCGCTGAGGGATGCCGGTCACCTTCATAGAACGTAAGACCTCGCCAATTTTTTTATTCCAGCTCCATCGATTTACTGATAAGAGGGATGGCTCTAGACCTTCGTTTTCGACCATGACAATGTTATTCCAAGCCTCTACCCAGGATGAAGCATGCTTTCCAACGATCGTCCACAAATCTAGTGACTCTACAAGTGGCTGAACATCAAGGTTCATTCCGTCGGCACTCTGTTCCAGATCCTGTAACAAGTGAAAGAGTTCGCTAGAAAAATATTTGAAGTCGAATGGAATCATTGGCTCGTCTATCAACTTAAGCGTCATTTGGAAGACATACAAGATCAATTCTGATGATCTTTCCCAGTAATCATCTCCCGCTACTTCTAGTAATCTTTCAAATGTATCATCACATGTGTAAATGGGGTACTTCCGCTCTAAAATATGAGGCGCAGAGATGATTGTTACCGGTATGTTTTTGGCCAAATAAGCGCTCCAGTCGCCGAATTGCTGCACGTTTCTGACATCTGTTTCAAACCCCATTTTTAGTTCTTCGTCCTTAAAAAGCTCGAACAACAGAGGATTAGTTTGGATGTCAAGTTTCTGAGAATCGGGGTCGATACCCAACTGACTTATGTCCACGACGGAATAGATTTCGTTTTGAAACTTGGGAAGCTGTGCTTCCAAAAGCTCAGTAACACCTGCATGTCCGAACTCAGAGGCATCGTATGACATGAAGTGAATATTTCGAAGTGGTTTCCAATCGTATTTATATTTGGCTTGTTGAAACAACTGAGCTAAGGATAAAAGCGCAGCAGTTCCGTAATTGGGATATGTACATCCAGTGCACGAGGAGTCTCTTGCAGAACAAATAACAATGCCCTTGTCATTTTGTTCTCTGCCCTCAATTATCCCGACAGCATTCCATGTTATGTGTTCAGATCTCTCCACAGGACTCAATAAAAAGTCAACTGTAACATCACCAGCACCACCACTATACCATCCGTCATCAAACTGCACCCCTTGGTCGTTTGAAAATAGGCCTCGAAGATTTTCAGCTTGCCTTCTAGATATCGGTATGCTAGGTATTTTGGGAATTATCGGTGACTCATCTATAGTAATTTTAGCGCCTAAAAATGCAGACCAGCCAGGCGTTAGTGGATCACCCATACTATAGCGAAAGTTATGGACTGACATTTGTTGAATACTGTCGATTTCGCTTTCACCGTAACCGTCAGAAATGAAAATGACGCCTTTGAAACCAAAATCTTGGGCTCTGTAAACCTGTTCCCCTGGATTTGAATCATAACGCAGTAGCACAATTGTTTTCTCGTTAATCAAATCATTATCGGCAAGCAACTGAAAGTCCTCTTGAGAGCCAAAATGGGCATACATTAGTTGCGCACCGATAATTTCACCTTTAGCACTTAGCGGATTGAAGTTTTCGTCCGTAAGGTTCAATTCGAGACTCTGTCCTTGCGAAGAGTGCGCTATTAGATTTGACTTTCCTGGGTAGTTTAAGTAACTTTCAAAGCCACCGTAACTCGCTTCCCGCAGCCCATTATTATCAAACGCCTCCATTATGTACTGGGCCAACGCAAGGTCGCCTGACGTCCCGGCCATATGTGGCATACTGCTAAGAAACTCCAGATCCTTTTCCATCTTGGAGAGATCTAACGCACGCTTGGCATAGCTCATCAGTTGCTCTTTATCCGAGAACATTCCTCGACTCCCCGAAGTCCTTGCGTTAGGCATGAGCCCACTGGATGAAACGTAGTAGATGAAGGCTGAAATAAACAGCACATAAACAAATCGCCGTAGAATGAGCGGGTTACCAACTTTGCTGAGGTAGTAGTCAACCTTATGGGAAGCCATTGAAATGAGCATCGCCAACGGATCCGCAACTCGTTCACGGACGGGAGTCACCACATATTGCTTGAAATTTTGCTTCAACTGCTCAACTTTCCCTACCTTATTCGAACTGTCAGTTTCTTCAAATTCAAACGGCACCATAGTGCTGGCAACGCCTTCATCCTCACCTTCCTGATATTCTGGAGGGTTCTGTGGTATTTCGGCTTCATTTGAACTCTCAGTACCTACAATACCACTCTCATTCAATTCCTCTTGATCGTCTTGCTCGACTGGAGCGTATCCGAACGACCAAGGTGGCATTACGAGTTGAGTTTTATCAGTTTTTACTCGTGTTTATATTAATAGTCAAGATTGAAATAATGATTACTCACTAGAAACAAAACGTAACATTAGATCAAATATAATGAATTTGCCAAAATGGCGTATAACATAGCGTATGTGAGGCGTCCTTAAAACACTAACGTGTTTCGAACTTGCCTAATTAACTAACGGAACCTTTGAAGAATGGTTTGCGACTTCTTCTACCCGCAACTAGGCGGTGTAGAGTTCCACATCTACCACTTATCGCAAAAACTGATCAAGTTGGGACACTCTGTGGTGGTAATAACGCACGCTTATGGTGATAGAACAGGCGTGAGATACTTGAGCAATGGATTGAAGGTGTATTATGTACCCTACGTTGTGGTATACCGAGAAACAACCATCCCAACCGTCTTCGGCAGTTTACCAATAGTAAGAAACATCTTAATTCGTGAACAAATTCAGATAGTACACTCGCATGTGAGCGTGTCATCGCTAGCACATGAAAGTCTGCTGCATGGCACGGTAATGGGCTTGGAGACAGTTTTCACAGATCATTCGCTCTACGGGTTCGATTCTGTGAACTCGATTATTGTAAATAAATTGCTTCGGTTTACTCTGACCAACGTAGGAGCTGTGATTTGCGTTTCTAACACCTGTAAGGAAAATATGGCACTTCGGGCGCGAATAGACCCATCCCAGATTTCAGTCATCCCGAACGCGGTAGTGAGCCAGGATTTTACACCTTTGCCCAAGAAGTCTACCAGAGTTCCAGGTCAAATAACCATCGTGGTGATAAGCCGACTTTATCCCAACAAAGGAGCAGACCTTCTCACACATTTGATTCCAAAGATATGCAAGATCCAGCAAAATGTTAATTTCATAGTAGGAGGCGACGGGCCAAAGTTCGTTGACTTTCAACAAATGATTGAAACTTTTCGTTTGCATGATCGGGTCCAACTCGTGGGTGCGGTCCAGCATGAGAACGTACGGGACGTTATGTGCCAAGGGGATATCTATCTCCACGCGAGTCTCACCGAAGCTTTCGGCACCGCATTAGTCGAAGCTTCTTCCTGCGGCCTGTTGATAGTTACTACCACAGTGGGCGGCATTCCAGAAGTTTTGCCCAAGCATATGACTGTTTTTGCCGACAAAACATCGGTCTCTAGCCTAGTTGATGCGACCCTTCGAGCTATCAACCTTCTTCAAGAAAATAAAGTTGACACCTCACTCTTTCACTCAGAAGTTGCCTCCATGTACGATTGGACCGACGTAGCAAAACGGACTGTTGTAGTATATCGCAACTTAATCCAACAATCAGCTTTCAAGGACAAATCGTGGCTGCAGCTCTTGAAAAATTTCAATTATCGAGATAGGCCGTGGGCGCGATGTCTGTATACGCTATGTGCACTTGTGGAGTACATGTTTTTCATAGCATTAGAATGGTGGTACCCGAGAGATCAAATTGACCTGGCGTGTAAATGGGCAACTAAAGAACACTAAAGTGTTATATGACCCCTGTTTTTAGGGTTCTACTAAGTTCTCAAACAAGCTATTGGCTCGCCGTTTTTTTTCCTCCAGCTTATTGCAGTAATAGGAAAGCACGCTGCTATTTTGTGGTTTGAAATTGACTGGTACAACTTCGGCAGAGCTCAGAAAGTGGGAGAAGCTCCTCCTCGTTAGATTTAACTTATCAAAAAAATCATTTCTCAAAAAGTGTGCATCTGTCTTCAATGGCTCTATTAGCCATTGGTTCTTTTCTAAAACGTCAAATACTTCTTCCTCTCTGAGAATCGTATATTGTAAATCACTTATTTGGGATATGAGATCCAATTGGTTAACACCATTCAAATCCCGGGACAAGCTCAATAACCTCTGGTTCGGGAGCAAGAAATTATGTCTAACACGCTCTGCCTCTAAGGTTTCTATCAATTCGGCGTTTCTAGCTTCAAGACTTGAGATTGATGATTTTAATGTTTTTTTGCACTGCTTCAAGTCGAGCAATTCATTTTGCAGCTCTAAGATCGTATTCTCCTGCAGCATTTGCCTCTCAATTTTGCTTTCATACACTTTGAGCTTCAACTCCAACTCCTCAATTCGTAGTTGCTTTGAGTATACCACTTGATTCATACCATCAAGCTCTGCATTAACTTCATTCACTTCATTTTGATATAGTTTACCACCAGGCTGATCATAGCTGTTGGGACTTTGTGTGTGATGGGGAATTATTTCAATAAATTCGAGTAGGGAAATTTTGGAGTTTAAATCGTCCACAAAGGAGGCCACTTTATCTTGGTACAGATCATCATCACTCAAGGGCAGTATTACTCGATCGAAAAACGATGAAATAATAGTGAAAACACAATGGGTTTCTATCAGCCCTACGGCTGCGGGAGCCAGATTTATCAGTTTTTCCTCGCATACGGCACATAATTTAAGCAGTGCAGATCGTAGTGTCTCGCTCAAGCGCTCGTCTAGATTTAAAATGTTTGCTGATGAGAGTTTTAAGAAACCAAACAACAAAGAAGCATCTCTCCCAACAACTTCAGTTTCTTGGTTTAAAAAAGGGTTCATAGCGTAATCCAATAAATCTTGCGGTGTCTGGCCGTTGAAAACAATTTCTTTCCAGTCCTCAATCTGGTTTGAGCCATAAATAGTAAACTTTTCTGGCGCCAGGTTCATTGATCGAGTCAATCGGTATACTGATTCGTAGTATTGTGCTGCCAAGTCTAAGAAAAAAGGTCCCTGAAAGTGTAACGGACGCTTTTCTTGTACTTCTTGCTTAAGAAGGTGGGATAAAAAAGAAAGTCGTCTTGATAATTGTAACGAGCTTTCAGAGTCAGAAGTCGCCAATCCCTCGCGCAAATATTGTTCGTTTAGTGCCTTTTTATAAAGTTCTAAATGCAGATCATTTACTTGAGCCGTCAATTCTAGCAGTTGACTTTCGTTTGCTCCAGCTTCTTGCGATGTCAATTCTTTGGAGAGCTCAAGTTTCTCGGCCTCGAGTATACTAATGGTGCGTTGTGCTTTCTGTATATCTTCGCGTAGAATGTGTAATTGCTCAGAAAGCTCATCTTCCAGGTCATTGTAGATACGCTGGAGATCGTTGGCTACCACACGCTCAGAGCTCAGCTCATCTATAGTTTCTTTGAGAGAGTCGAGTTTAGTGCTGAGATCCGTATTTTCTTGCGTCAGCTTGTCGACGATGTGGTCGTAACTAACCTCTGAGTCTAACTGTGAGTTTAGACTTTCAATCATGCGGTGAGAATTCTCGAGCTCACGCGATATGCTCTCGAGCTCTGAAATTACTCTGTCGTGTTCTTTGCTAAGCGCCTGATTTTGGAACTCAAGATCATCGTTGAGTTCTCGCGAACTGTCTAGCGAACCTTGAAGCTTGACGAGAGTGGCTTGGAGAAGCCTGTTGCGTTTCCAAAGAGTTTCTGATGAAGCTTGTGAGGTCCATTCTTCGACATCAATACTTCTGCGAAGGTGGATCTCTTCGCGAAGCTCGTTAAGCTGTTCTAAAGCATTCCCATGTTCGTCTTTCAGAGTTGAGAGCTCATTTGCCAATTGCTCACTTTCAAGAAGTAAAGCTTCTTTATCTATGATACAGGATTCCAGCTTCACTTCCAGATTTTCGGTGTACTGAAATCTGTTTTGAAGTTCTAGGTACTTAGCATGCATATCATAGATCTTATCCTGCAATTTGAACACGAGTTTCTGTAGTTTGGTGTTCATTTGAGCGTCAAAGAGGCTTTCAGGATTCTGCTCTTCTGAATTTAGACTTTGCACCGCTTCAAGTCTAGCAAAAAGACCGTAGAGCCCATCTACTTTGGCGGTATAGAAATATCTGGCCCCGTTCACAGATCCGTCATTTTTGCCCGCTTTATCGTCAAGGTCCACACCACACCACGTCCCAGCAGCAAAATGAGTCTCGCCGATAAACTTTACAGTGCCATTCAGACCACTAACGCTCACTTTTTGACCCACTTCCACCATTTAGGCGTTGATCTTTAAAAGTGTCATCATTTCGTGATATATTAATTATTTAGATACTTATATGATATATCATCAACACATCGATAAATACCTAAATTCAAACAAAACTCTAACAAAGCAACGGACCAAGTGCAATGAACCATAGACGAAGCACACCACGAGGCCCGCTGAATGGCTCCAGCACATTCAAAAGCTCTAACGTGGAGAATGGAAATCTGCAAAAGGAATTATTAGAGGAAAACAAACAAGAGATATTTGAAGCGTTTTCGCTTTTTGACATGAACAACGACGGATTTGTGGACTATCATGAACTCAAGGTAGCGGCACGCGCTCTGGGATTTGAGCTCTCGAAACAAGAACTACTGGAGCTGCTCGAGAAATACGACAGGGACGGCAGGCGTCTGATGCATTATGATGACTTTTTCGTAGTCATGGGCGAGAAAATCCTCAATCGGGACCCATTAGACGAAATCAGACGCGCGTTTCAGCTTTTCGACGACGACAACACGGGCAAGATTAGCCTGAAAAATCTAAGACGAGTAGCGAAAGAGCTCGGCGAAAATCTTACCGAAGATGAGCTACGCGCAATGATTGACGAATTCGACCTTGACGATGATGGAGAAATAAGTGAACGTGAGTTCATCGCTATCTGCACGGATACTTAAGGTTCAAATGGCGTTAGAAAGCTATGTAGTTGTATTATACGTTGGTCTGCTCTAGGCCTTGGAATTGTCGAGAACATAAGTGTTTTAGTGTGTATCATGTGGATCAAAATACGCTGACGCGAGCTTCGTTCGGCCAATTCACCACAGATTTTCACAATTTTTTATATCCAATAAAGAAATTGAATAACATCTCTGAATAGTACCAGTTTATACTGCGTCTATTGACATCACATGAGGTGGGCACTCCATAGAACTTCTCCAGGCCTTCGCAAATGGTCAAAATATCATTAGTATCATTGTTTTTGGAAATGCAAGCTTGAGCAATTGATTTTATACGGTGATACTGTTCTACTGGGTGCAAATAGGGCAACAAGTTTCAGTTTCAAGAGAACAAAGATATTATAACGTGGGTAATAGAGCTTAAGTGTTTTGAACACTTTGTTTATGTGATTTTGTTTGCTACAATGACATAAAATGAGGCAACAAGCGACCTTTGAAATTTGATTCGGCCAGCTAATACTCGTTTGGAACAATTATTACTGCACCGCACTCAAAGTAGCAAACTCGATCGAAACTACTCAACATTCGACCATATCACTCCGTACTGGCCTGTCGCTATATTAATATCGCCGAGCTCTGTGCAAATGTTTTGTTTAGGGGAAGGCATCAGAAATCAGTACAATGATGAACTCACGTTAGAGAGAGGGTAGTACCATGCCCTTTTTAGGCAGGCCTAAACAATATTGCATGTTTTCCTATAATAAGCCAAATTTGAAAAGTTTCAAACAAAAAATTCGCAACACCTGCAAAGAATAAATTGCATCGAAGATCTCATCTAATCAACTATCTCGTCACAACTTGTGGCACACATGGCTCTTGTTTGTGGTATGACTCGCACTGATATTAAGATATTTAGCTAGCTTACCCGGTTCCCTAAGTATCAAATTAGTTTCTTAGAAAATTTTGAAAAATCAATAAATACTGAGAGATGATACCAAACTATTTGACTAAAATATTCCGGTAAGCGTCAGAAAATCCCTAAAGCTGCATTCTACTTAGCAAATAAGGCTTCTAACCCAATCCTGAGCTTCAATTTAGCATGTCGGGATATCAGCATCTTTCAAAGGCCGGAAGTCGCTTCCTGAAGCAGGTGGAAACCAGACCAAAGCATTTAGTGGATCATTTTAAGAAATTCGAAGAGAAATCAATGCCATCTTTCCTAGTGCCATCAATACCGCGTGTGGAGGACAGTGAGAAATTTCAAGACGTTAAAGAATGGAAATACATGCCTGGGGACAGAGTTGTGGTAACCAGAGGTAAGTGGAAGGGACAAGTTTGTCTAATCAACCAGCTGGATAAAGAAACGAACGGTTTTGTACTAGACGAAAATGGACCCACCAAGACAGTTCCCGTACCCAAACAATTCTGGTCTGAGGGACAAAATTCGCACATGGTAACTTTCCCAATGGCTGTGCCTCAAAAAGATGTGAAGCTTGTGGCTGATATCGACGATCCACTAGTTCCAGGCATGACCAAAACCGTGGCTGTGCGGGACATTGTATTTCGTGGCTCTTACTACGACGATAATTATAAGAAGGCTATGCCGCTGAGGTGTGTATCGGGTCAACCAGATTTGGTGATACCCTGGCCCAGACCTGAGCCTAAGCCCGATGGTTTGTTGGCCACTGCTCCTGAAGTTGCCAGGGAACAATCATTTTGGGTCTCAAGCATAGCAAAAAATCCTATTCCCCAGGGAGCTCTACTCACTATTCGTAACCCTAAGTCCAAGTTTAGAAGAGGAACGCTATCTATTCGAGATATTGCCAAATTTGTGGGTCCTAAGATGCCTCTGACCAAGACAAAGAAGGCCTACATCGCAGAAAAACAAGAAATGGCGTCGGCGCCAAAGCGTAAACTGACTGAAGAGGAGAAAGAGCGTATTGGTACCAAGATTTACGAGCACTTGAGCAAAAAACTGTGAAGGACGAGGTTTAAAAACGGTTTAATATCTCGCTGTAAATATCTTTTCGCATGTAAATAGGGCTGCAATACATAATGTCATCACGGACCAGGTGGTATGTGAACAAAAAGACAAAGTTTATAAAATATATCAAAGAATCAATAAAAATCGAAGATATGTCATTTAGGGACGCCCTCAAGAGCTATATCTTAACACCAGAGGAACATTCAGAAGATGTCATTTTTCATGATTCGCAAGTTGTCATAATCAAAGACCGATTTCCAAAGAGCAAGCGTCATCTCTTGGTACTGCCAAGAGATCTTAAATTTACAAAGACAAAGCCGTGGGCGCTGAGCGTCGAAGAAAGAGAGAATCTACAGCAGTATATTGACTTGGCGTTAGACCATATCTTCCAATCGTTTACTAAAGAGCATAAATGGAGACCGACGAAATCGATGCCATTTGAAACAGAAGCTCAATATCAAAATCGACAATTCTTCGTCAGTAAATTCACTCAGGTTGGTGTACATTGTGTCCCATCGCTAAATAATTTACACATCCACGTCATGACTCAGGACTTTCATTCTGACAGACTCAAGAACAAAAAACATTTCAATTCTTTCACAACGGAGTTTTTTGTAAAATGGGAGGAATTGCCTTTGGTTAGTGTCGATACTAAACATATGGAGAACAATGTAATAAAGAAAAGCGACCTTGTTTGCCCTTATTGCAGCGAAAACTTTAAAAATCGATTCTCGCAACTTAAACTACATTTGGACCACGAATTTAGGGAAAGATTTAATTAAAAATGCTGTAAGTAAAATCGTATTTAAGTTGAGTTGCTGATTAAAGCTTTTGATATTCGATTTTACCTTCAAGCTTCTTGACCTCGGCCACTTTTCTAACCGCTTTCATTAGGTCATCCTGGATAATGTGGTCACGATCGTCACGAATTGCAAAAAATCCGGCCTCTGTGACACAGTTGCGGATATCCGCACCGTTGAATCCATCACTCATCTTTACTGCGGCTTCAAAATCAAACTCACCAGCCTTCTTGACTTTGGCGCTATGAATCTTGAAAATCTCCAACCTGCCAGTTTCATTTGGCAAGCCAATCTCAATTTTGCGATCCAGTCTACCGGGTCTAAGTAGGGCCGGGTCTAATGTATCGGGTCTATTGGTAGCCATGATAATTTTGGTTTGTCCTAGATTATCAAAACCGTCCATTTGTGTCAGCAGCTCCATCAACGTACGTTGAATTTCACGATCCGCGGAAGTACCTTCGCTGAATCTACGACCACCAATGGCATCAATTTCGTCCATGAATATGATACAAGGTTCGTGCTCCTTGGCGTAAGCAAACATCTCACGGATGATACGTGCCGACTCACCGATATATTTGTCAACAATACCAGAAGCTGGGGAAAATATAAAATTGGTTCCGATAGTTGCGGCAACGGCTTTCGCCAATAGAGTCTTACCAGTACCGGGTGGGCCATACAAAAGCACACCTTTGGGTGATTTGATTCCTACACGTTGGAAAATCTCGGGGTTCTTTAAAGGCAATTCTATAACTTCCCGAAGTTCCCGAATCTGGTCGGTCAAACCACCAATTCCATCAAAGGTGATCTCCCCGGATTCGAAAGAAGTCATATTGTACACAAGAGGGTCAGTCTCGCGCGGCAAAACACGCATGATGGTAAGTGTGGTGATATCCAGGGTCACACGGACACCCTTCTTTAGTTTTTTGCGGTCGACGGAGTTCCGGACTCCAACGATGTAACGGGGGCCTGACGACGCCTTCACGATGTATTTCTCCTCTGAAAGTTCCTTCATAACCTCTCCTACTAGCTGTCCAATGCTCTGCAACGCTCTAATGTCTGCTTCGGTGCGCTCGTACTCCCGCTCCATATCGCGTATGCCCTGGCGTCTGTTCTTCAACTGGTCTTCATAGCGCCTGTGTTCAGCAAGCTTTTTGCGGAAACTTGCAAGGGCACGCTGGCGCGCTTCTTGAGCCAAGTCTTGGGGCGGTTGCTGAGCCGATTCCTGAGGCTGTTGCTGAGCCGAATCGGCCGTATTACCACTATTCTCGTTATTTCCATTATCGCCTGTGTTTCCTTCAAATGCTGCCAATAAAGGGTCTTGTTCAGTGCTCATGATGTCTCAATTGTATCTATGATGTACTGCACACTTTCGAAACGTCTAAATACCGTGTCTAAACCTTCGTTTGCGCCTTCTGTAGCTGGTTTTGTTCGGTGGCAATTGAAGGTTGTGAAAGGTACTTTGATGAAATTAATATATCATTACTGAAAATTATATGACATATAAGTGAAGGAACATTATATGTAAAGAGACCAGTAGAATAATGCTTGTGAAGACTTTTGGGTTTCTGGCGTAATTTCCAGGGTGTTGAGAATTACTTTGAAGCTGGTGAGAGTTTCTTCTCGCATATTCTTAGGAGAATCATGAAGTATAGCTTCACAAATATGAGCAGAGGCGACAATTTCGATGTCTCAGCATTACCAATTAATGCTGACAGAACGAATTGTAAAGTATGAGGTTGGATGTACTTTTCCCATCCTTGAGTACAGGTCAACGCTTTTGAACTTTAACGAATAGCTGCAGAATTGTGTGTTGAAGCGGATCATGTGTATGAGGGTTTGGAGACTTTCGAGTATAGGCGGAGTTGATTGCAGCTGCTGTTTTGCAGATGGGTACTGCTTCAAGCTTTGGTATATTTACAAGATTTCACAAGTCTGAAATTCTTCCTAACTTCGACATCTGATGTTGGGTTATTGTTTCCTTGCTCTCTCGTAGCAAATAGGCTTCAGTGGGAAACTCTCTGCGAAGTGGCACGTAATAGTTTAACTCGTGAATATTACAGCCTCTGTATCAACCAAAATCTCTGCAGATCAGTCCATGGTACTCTTACGAATATGCAGGACGTCATAATAAGCCGAGCTGTGTTGGGGCTTGGTTTTAGCTTGTTCAAGCGTCACGAATTCGCTGTTATCTGAGCTTTACAGATCTCTTCGATCTCTATATAAAAAGAGGCGAATGTGAGACAACCTTGCAGTGCAAAGTTTATATAAATTAAAACATGCAGCAGCGTCTGGAGAAAGCAGAGAATAGGAACTAATAGGTAAAACGCTTTTCGTGCTAGCCAAGTTCAAAAATATCCAACTTTTACTTTACATGACAGAAAATGGCATAGTACAGAAAGTGATCCTCGAGCCTTCACAGGAAAATTAGCATGTTCTCGCTGCAAAAATATGGTCAGCATCAAATTCCAAACCTCCGGCGTAGATTCAGGTAGTGGAAAGGTGTTTGCCCGCTTTGCTGGTTAAATACGAGATGTGGCGAGCGACTAGAGGACTGGGTAGATGAAAACAAAAGTATATAATAAAAGCGATACTCAATCGTATAATAGCATTTAAGGACTTTTGGCAGTTCTGGGCAGTCTCTTCAGGTTATCATGAGTGTTATGCCCAGGCTCAAAAGCCTTCTGGATATTGATCGATTAAGTGTAATACTGGATTGTCAGGTAGATTATTTTCATATCACTGATATTTAGAAAAATTGAAAAGAGCAAGCGATGAGCTAAATTGGTAAGACGAAGCTAAAAATCTTGAAAAAAGGATCGGTAAAACTGACGATTGAAGCTCTATGGACTTGCAAGCATTCATTTTATGTGGTCAGGGGACGGCTCTATCGCCGTTCACACAAACCAGAGGCGATACGGGTCTTCCTAAAGCGCTTTTGCCAGTAGCCAACAGACACATGATAGAGTACGTCCTAGATTGGTGTGAGCAGGCAAGCTTCAGGGAGATCGCAGTCGTGGCTGAACCGGAGGAGCTGGAGCAAATTCAAAAAGCTCTTAAACCTTATATGGAAATTCGGAAAAGGCAACACGAGCTGCTGGCTAAACACGGCCCAACCGTTAGTGGGGTCACACAACGCCAACCAGTGCCGCTCCGCTTTGTAGAAGCTCGCTATGATACCACAGGCGCCATATTACAGCGAGAGCTTTTGCCGTGCATCAAGGGAGATTTCGTACTTTTACCATGCGATTTCGTTACTGAGATTCCGCCTCAGATTTTCATTGATCAATTTCGCAACAAAGACCCTGACAACTTAGCAATGGCGGTACTTTATCGCAACACTTTTGAGATCATTGACAAGAAACCACTTGACATCTCGTACACAGTCTATTCAGAGAACGATGATTCCGTGAAACAGCCAGTTCTACTAGATTCCTACTCCAAAGACGATGTTGACAAATCCAAGTACTTGCAAATTCGTTCGCATTTGCTCTGGCGGTATCCAAATGCCTCTGTGTCTAAAAAACTACTAAACGCTTCAATCTACTTCTGTTCCAAAGAACTTGTTGAGTTATTAGCCCCTGTTGGTCCCTTCAGCGCTATATCAGAAACGGAGTCTGATAATGATGAGGACACAGCTGCTCGTTCGCAAAAACAACAAGCTATTCATCCTATTCAATTCAGAGCAAAGAACGAGCTTATTAAGGACCCCATAAACTGTAACAAATCACTTTCAAAGCTTTTTAGAGACCTCGCAAGACGTTCATGGCAGCATTCGACACCTCGCGAGACAGTAGGTCTTTTCATCCTCCCTAGCTTGGGTTCTTTTATTCGTTCCAACATTTTGAATGCATACATGGAGGCCAATCGTTACATGTTGAGGGTCAAGTCTTTACTTTTCGCTGCCCATAGTACTCCTACCATGAATAATGCTGTGGGCGCCGATTCGATAGTTGGCGCCAACTGTACCATTCTGGAGAGGACGAGCGTCAAACTCTCCGTTCTTGGCAAAAACTGCCAGATAGGGAAACGCTGCCGAATTGTGGGTTCAGTCATTTTGGACAATGTGGAAATCGAGGATGAATGTGTTTTGGAGAATGTCATAGTTGGAAGCACTTCGAAAGTGGGCAAAAAGTGTAGGCTTACAAACTCGTATATTGAAGGATCTTATACTGTTAACGCAAAGACAGTATTGAAAGGTGAAACTCTAACGCATATCTACTTGGAAGAAAGCGATCAAAGCTCCGAGTCGGCTGGGTCATCTGAAGAAGAAGATTCTAGTGACTACAGTGAAGCAGACTATGACGAAGAATTCGAGGATGATGGTCTTTTTGAACGCTGAAAGAAAGAAACCACAACACTACACAAAAGCCTAACAGACGAAAAAGCATTGGAATATCCCTTATGAGTTGCCGTATTTACAAGAATCTTTATACACGTAATTTCTTTGCATCGTCTTTTGGTTCAAAAAACCAATCCCAGCGGCCCTTCTTGTGCAAAATTGCCAATATTAAAACTGCTGGTAAGTGCAAAACGCTTACCCAAAACGTTTTTCTTGCATACACATTGGCCAATGCGAGTCCCTTGTTGAATTTCATTCTATCCTTTATTATTTTAGCGGAGTAATTGTATCTCTGCTGCCACCAAAATTTAAATGCCCAAAACGAAAGCCATGCATTAGCGATGGCTGAATCCAATTGATAATACCAATCGGTAACGTTGTAATAAGATAGACCATAACATAATGGGAACATTAAAAGTGAATATCTGAATGCAACTCGGGCATTTAGTCTTGGGTTTTTCCAACATGTCATAACGTAGCCTGCGTCTTTATATTCGTTCCTGATGTTGTGACTTAAGGTATTGAAATGTGGAAATTGCCACGCATATAAGAATCCGGCCAGACACCATCCACCTGGGTCGCTTAGCGGATTGGCCGCAGTCCATCCCATTAAAGGCGGTATAGCGCCAACAAGAGCCCCAACCCATGTATTTATTATGTGCTTCCGTTTCAAAGATGTGTAGATCCAGGCATATAGGGCGATGTTTGTGGCTCCCAGAGCTGCCACCGTGGTGTTCACTCCAAGATATAGTACTGAAACACCCATAGTACCTGCTACAAGAGCAAATTTATAAGCTTGTCTTGGCGTTAATAGACCACGAACCACAGGTCTCGCCTGGGTTCTAACCATTCTCCTATCAAAATCTGGTTCTCGGCCCATGTTGATGGCATTAGCCGCAGTAGAGCAAAGTGCTGTGCCGGCTGTTAGCGACATGAGTTCCAATACTGTTGCAGCTGATGGACTCAACGCATAAGAACATATGCAGCTGAGCATTACTAGGACTGTGAGTTTCGGTTTGGACAGCTGAACGTACGTTTTTATCAGCTTTTCAGTGCTCATTTTAGCAACCCCGTCGGTGGTCAGCCGTAATTTCTGCCGCTGTTCGCGACCAACGGCTTTCACTTCAAAAGGCAAGTTTTGGGATTTTTGGGCCGTAGTATCATCGGTGCAACTGAGAGCTTCCATAGCAGTCTGAGCCATCTTTTGGCGGACTTCTTTGGCATCGCGTGCAGCGATATTGGACGCAAACTCAATGGGCGATGTATTCAGTGGTCCTTCGGTCTTGTCACCGTCCTTGCTGTTGCTGTACTGTCGGATGTTTCTATGGACTATGTTTAGCCCATTCAAAGTCAGAAAACTGCTGGAACTCGGCCGCAGCAGAACGCTTTTGAGCAGCAGACTGTTTGCCACATGTATGCTGGCCATTGCAGAGCTTCAAGACCGTTAAGTGACTTCAATGATGGCACTTTTCGATCTGAACTCAGGGTATTTGGCTTGAGATTTTCGAAAATTTAATTCAAGATTATATCACATGAAGACGAGACCTACAAATAGTGACGAAGATGATGTAAATGATGATATTGTTGACGTTTTGTTACATTTCTATGAAGCAGATGGTTGGTTATCAGAAGCCGCGGTTGTCGTCGAAGGATCCTCTTCCGCCTTCTTGTCATTCGTGGCTTCGGGCAGCTGCTGTTCGTGTTGGCGATGCAATTTGGTATTCTGAATTTTATTCTCGATCAGGTTGTCAAACGCGATGATTGCACGAACGAGGTTGCTGACGTAAATCACCATGAGCTCATCGTTCGTCTTGACAGCCAGCGCCTTTTGCAAAGTGCTTGAGGCAGCGGCGAGTTGTTGATCTGTTCCAGACATTTCGTCATCATCTGGAACGCCCAGGTTGGGTAGTAGATTAAAAACATCCTGAAGCTTACCCAGAATCGTATGGTTTACAGGCAGCTGGCGGAGACTCACTTTCTCCAGATATGCAGCAATGTCTGCAAGTTTCTGTTGTAGACCCTTGAGGGACTTAAGCTGATTCGTGAGCTTGATAGAAAGTCCGCCAGCGGCCTGGTCACGGACATCGCGCAGTAGGTGCTCCACACCGATCTCCTCGGCCTCCTCGGCCTCTATTGACGAAGGCAAATGTAGAAACGTTTTTTCAGTGGAAGTACCGTCATCTTTAACCTGTTCTACGGCCATGTACGCCGTTGTAGGTAGACCCACGCCCTGTTGTTGGACGTCAACGATCAGCAGCAGCGGTTGCTGCTGGTGGGCAGCGGTGTATTTCTTAAACAGGTCGTTAATACGGAGATCTGCAGCCTTGAGTTTTGGTCCGCTGTGGTACCATCCAATGAGCTTTTCCTTGGCGTTGATCTTCTTACACATATCGTTCATGTTTTCAATGTAATTGTGATCCAAAAACCACACATCTGGGTTCTTCTCATCTTCTTCGAAAGGCAATGCAAAGGAATTAGTCACTCTTAGAGTGGATCCTTGGTCGTTCCCCAGAATGACTCCCACGCAACGTTTATGTTGAGGTGTGTTGATACGTTTATAATGGTCCAGAATTGAAAGTAACACCAACGGCGCTACCGTCACTTGTTCGTAGTTAACTGACATTTTCAAATGGTGCAGCTGGAGAGATAGGAGTGGTTTCCGAAGCTTTTTAGAGCACTAATTGTGTGTTTTCCTAAAAGATCTTTAGTGTATTTCAACTTTGAAGTTGGTTGGTTTGCCACCTTTAAAATAGAGAAAGAGCTACTCTATAGCTTAACTATGACGTACATAGTGATATACAATTTTCATTGCCTTCAGAGCTTTAAACAAGTAGCCTGTGTACCTCAAGATTGTTCGCCACTTGCAGTAGGATATGTCAAGTTCTAAGAGCATTTTGGCAACCCTTTCTTTGAGTGTTCCGGCCTAAGCGTAGTCGGGTTGTCGAGTTTACAAGAAATACCAAGTAGGTGACATGAAAGTTGAAGACGGAATGATCTTGAAAGGTTATATGAGTCCTAGCTCTTGAAATTCGACATGCTTAGAGACGGTACTGATTCGTGCCCTTTTGTTTGTTTCGTCTTAAAGATGGCTGAATTAGAGACGACGCAGGAGTACAAAGTGACAAAGTTGAGGCGAATCAGGCAATAAGCCCAAATAAGTAGCCGACGCTCGGGAGTTTTAACATAGTACGATTTAGAGCCTTTATTCCGTTAGTAGAATGGCAGAGCTCATCCTCGCCATGTCAGATCAATCATTCTTAGTTGCGCGACAATATCAAAAAATGTGCGATCTAATTTTGCCATGGCCGTACATTCTGGCCATTGTTTACGATAGTATTTGTGCTCGAGGAAACCGTTTCGGCCATTTCCCTAAGATCAGAATCTCATGTGCACATCGCTGAAGAAAGGCTTCCAAGCGATGCTCAAAAAAAGGGCGAATTGGTTTCAAAAATAGTACGATTTTCATCCATCGTAGCCGAACCGCTACAGATATTGCGGCATCGAACTGCATTCTAGTTCTGGATTTGCCACTATCAAGAGCCGATCGTGCGAATTCCTATTTTCCATACAAGTCCAATTAGGAGAGATGCATGTTGCGTAGAAAATTTTTTGAAGATTTCACAGGTGTAGTGTCAGCTCTATGACGAAGAAGCTCTATCCCGACCTAAATATCGACGGTATTGGCGTTCACTGCATCGAACGAAGAAGTCACTGTTCCGCTTACAATACTACATTGAACGAAGAGGTCACTGTTCCGCTTACAATACTACGTCAACGCATTTCATTTGCTATCAATGTAAACTACACGCCGCTAATAGAGTAGAAGAGGTAGCACTAGCATAAAACTGTTTTTCATACGATGAATCGAAGTCTTTCAACGACGACTCGAAGTTTTTCTACAAGAACTCGAAACGTTTCTATTCAACGAAATAAGAGCGCTCTAGAGGTGCTCGTTTTGCCCACACCTATTTAAAATTCCTTAATATTCTGGTTAACATCGTTGATTAGACGGTATAGTCACTAAAGGCCGTTTGTCGGTCATTTAGTCAGCTTTCCATCCTGTTCCACTAATTAAATTCAAACTAAATTCCCTTAATGAAAACTGAAAAACTTCGATGAGCATAAAGTCTTCAACAAGTTCGAAAGCAAACAACACGCTATAAGCCATTTAGCAAGCCAATGTCCTTTGGTCAAATTGTTATAGGCCCACCTGGTTCTGGAAAGTCGACTTATTGCCACGGCTGTGTGCAATTTTTCAATGCTATAGGACGACATGCTCAAGTAGTCAATATGGATCCGGCAAATGACCGTGTACCGTACCCATGCGCGGTAGATATCAGAGATTTCATCACCCTCGAGGAAATTATGGAAGAACAACAATTGGGTCCCAATGGAGGGCTCATGTACGCTTTGGAGTCCGTAGAAAAGTCGGTGGATTTGTTTGTGCTCCAGGTTAAGTCGTTAGTGAAAGATGAGAACGCATACGTCGTGTTCGACTGCCCTGGCCAGGTAGAGCTCTTCACACATCATTCCGCGCTGTTCAAGATTTTCAAGCGCCTCGAACGTGAACTGGATCTCCGAATGTGCGTCGTCAACCTAATCGACAGCGTGTATGTGACATCGCCATCACAATACATCTCTATCTTACTGCTGGCACTCCGTTCCATGCTGATGCTTGACCTCCCCCACATTAACGTTATATCCAAGATCGACATGCTTAAGTCCTACGGCCCGCTGCCCATGCGTCTCGACTACTACACTGAGGCTCAGGAACTTGAGTATCTGCAACCGTTCGTCGAACAGGAGAGCTCCAGCGTCCTCGGCAAGAGATATTCGCGTCTAACGGAAACTATTGGAGAACTGGTTGCGGACTTCAACCTGGTGTCTTTCGAGGTTCTGTGCGTGGACGACAAGAAAAGTATGATTGCGCTGCAAAGCGTGATCGACAAGGCTAATGGATACATTTTCGGCGCATCGGAAGTCGGGGGCGATACCGTTTGGGCTGAAGCGTCCCGTCAGGGTACCGCCCTTGTCAGCGAAGATGTCCAGGAGCGCTGGATCGACAACAAAGAGCTCTACGACAAGCAAGATCAATTATTGCGTGAAAAACAGTTGCAGGAACAAAAATTTAACGACAAAGAAATTGACGTTGATGAAGACAGCGAGTGGCAGAATGCTCTCAAGGATTGGGAGGAAAAAAACGGTGCAAAATCAGCCAAATGAAAAGATGGATCTACAATGCTAATCGTACTTGATCAACCCATATATCGTGTCCTACGATTTTGTGCCAGCCACTTGGTTTTTTTTAATGAGCGCTGTCATGCCAGTATTAAGTGCCAGCCTTCAATTATTTGAAAAGGTGGAACATGGCGCGGACTTTGATCGTTCGGCACATGCTGGTTCAGAAGCGTGAATCAGTTTGCGGTTGATTATTTCAATTAAGATCAAATGGCTTGCTTGCCCTTGTTGGAAAACTGAAGCTATAAAATGACAAGCCTCAAGAATGCGATATTGGGTTGGTGAAAGCAACCTGGCGCGACGTAAATTTGGTACTTGCTGGACGAAGATTGCGGTTGCAATAATTCGAGAAACTTCGGAGTCACAGGAAAAGTATGCCCAGAAAATTTTTGGGCCAGAGATTGAGCGCTGGAGCCGATTATGTGCGGCCTGCATCCATGTCAGTTACTAGCCTAGACCTTGATAGACTACCGGAAATTCCCTGCTGGGACTTTCCAGATACGGATACGGAGGAATCTGTTTTAGTACTGCCAAACACTAGGCGTCGCATTTCGGGGGCATTTGGAGGCACTATAAAACTGAAAAAGCGACTCAGTTCTGTGCCCGAGCTCTTGCTTCACGATTTGGACCAGCTGCGTCGTAAAACAGACACTAGCACAGACCGTGGCCCTGAAGACCGCCTGGCGGATCAGGAAAACCCTACCAGGAAACCAGTCAATGAAGAGCAATTACAGAACTCACAGCGCATATATGTCAGACAGCGGCCACCTCTAGTTAGCAATAGGACCAGGCCGAGGCCTCCAAACCATAATAGCATGGCTCATGTCTCATCCCCGCTTTCTGCTCCGCCAATAGTAAATCAAAACGTCAGCGTCAATGCATTTCCTATCATAACAACCGATCGGAATTCAAAACAGGTTGGCACACGCCCTTTGCATAGCCGTCAAAAGTCGGACGGAGAAATGTTGTTCGATGAAATTCTGAAGGCATACTGCAATCTACCCGAAAAAAACAAGCCGGCATCTTCAGCGATCAGAAGGGAGCTCGAGCAGTCGATTGGGAGGCATTTTGACTCGAACGGATCCCTGAGAGCTTTTAAGAGTAGCAAGAAAATGTCACAGAACGGGCATTTTGATCCCATAATTAGAAGCAAAGAAGCTATGTCACATCCTCAGAAGGAAGAGTTTAGTACCCCAGTGGGGTCTGCTGTTTTGGAAGAGGCTATTCCAGGCCCCGAATATACCAATTCTAGCGGCTCTGATCCGTCAAGCTCGGGAGAGGAGTTTTCTGACCTTGGCAGCATAATGGATAGTTTGAGGTCACCTCAAAGTACAAGGTCCAACGAAGAAGCCGACATATACTATTCTGCCGATGACCATATGTCGAGTCCCAGGAGCATCAGCCCCCAACAGAACTTGGCGCGTAGGTATTCCCTGCGACAAATTCGCTCAAGCAAAGTGATTCCGCACAAGCTTGCATTTGAAGACTTTGTGGGTGGATCTGAAGACGATGATGACAATATTTCACAATTACAGGATGAGCTAGCAGACTTGGATGTCATGGATGTCTCGAGCTCGATTTATGAAGATTAAATAGATGCTGGGTAATAAAGTTTGAACTTAGGGTATATTAAAAAAATAGGTTTGTCATGATTTGAATTACAGGGCTATGTGGCACGGTGGAGACTATTAACTTGATTGAGATACAGCTTGATAGTATGTATTGGTACTTTACGTGCATCGTGTTTAAGTACTCGCGGATACATTTTGGAATCAAGTTATCCGAAGGCACATTGAAGTAATACTTGGCCCAAAATTACAAAAGGTTCATCTTTGACTCAAGCATTAGAGTATTGGGTCTTCGAAACAATAAACCAATCACCCACACGATAGTTTCACTAGCCATGGCCCCTTCACAATTAGAAATCAAAGTGAGATCTTTGCAGAGACTTGTAAAGGAAGAGAAATATTACCAGCAGGAGCTGGAGGACCAGAAAACTCACGTACAGAAACTAAAATCTGAAGGACAAGTGGATCCATACGACTTGAAAAAACAAGTGGAAGTCTTGCAAGATACCGAGAGGCTTTTGCCAGCGCTTTACGGCAAAATCGATCAATTCAAACACGACCTAGCGTTGTTTGTGGATAGCTACAATGGATCCGAGGACCTAGACAGTGCTAAATCTATTATCGAAGATGCGGAGAATCTTCTCAAGAGTAAATCGTAAAGGGGACGAGGTGAGCAACGAGTAAGCAACACACGATGCTGCGAAGTTGACTTGAAGTGTAACGGTTGATACCAGGTCAAATTTCAAAAGCTGTAATTATGCCAGTTAGCAAATAGATAAGTAGCTCATGATAATTAGCCCAAACTGCGCAGATTCAGCTAATGACATGTTCAAGAGTTTTTAGACATTTCATATTTTTAATCCTTTGAATTTCTGAGATGTGTACATTTTCCAAGCACATCTCCGGACGAAACTAACAGCCTCCGTAGCACTGGGAGTTGAGTACAGAATTAACGTTCAGCCCGTGTTTCGGTGATGTTGTATAGCTTTTCGTCTAATGTAAAGCGTTTTGAAAAATAAACCAGTCAGCTCATCACTAAAAATTGAAAGTGACCATTGTTAGATGAAGGTTGGCTGGGATCCTAATGATACGACTAAGATGCCTTCGAGCTCACTACTCGACTAATAAAATTGCAGGTCCAAGCTTGATTTCATTAAGCAGCTCAAAAAGCTACAAAGAATCGTTGTCGGCCAATTCAACTCTTGCTCAATTGGTAGAGGCTTATCGATCTGGCAATTTAAGGGTCGCAGAAGATGTTCAGGGCAATTCGGCAGAGATAAACTCCAACAGATCATTACCTATGACCCTATTTCCCAAAGTACAGGTATTTTCCGATGTAATGAGTGATCCTAAAGTGGGCGATTGGAGGAAGCCAATGACAAAATGGTTTCGCCTGGGTAAAACCGTCTTGAAGATGTATCTTAATGGCATACGAGATACTTGGAATGTTCACAAGGAATCAAGGGAAACTCTTGACAAGTTTGCTAAACACCAGCCGCTGGTGACACAACTGTATAGAGACCTGGAGTTCCGAGAAATCGAATCACGAATAAAATCAACTGGGCCTGTTCAACTGGCAATTACCAGAAAAGAATTCCAGGAAGTACACAGACGAAAAGAATTTTGGAAGCTGCCATCATTTTTTGTTCTCTTTATTCTTTTCGAGGAAGCTCTGCCTTTCATTTGTTACTTCATTCCATCCATCGTGCCTTGGAACTGTTTGACACCCGGTGCGTTTAAAAAGTTATCAGAAGTCCGTATCTCCTCACAGAAGTTTCTTCCGTGCAAGAGTTCCGAGACGCCGGCTCCAGATTACGTTTCTCCTTACGCAATGCCTTTGACGAACGTAACCGAGCTACTTAGAAGCTTCAAACTATTGCCAAGGTGGAAATCAATAATCTACAACTGGTTTGACAATAAAGTTGAGCCTTGCGAATCTTTGGCCCAGTTTCATCAATATTTGGTGTTGGACGATTGGTTTCTTCTACAAAGCATGCTAAGCAAAGAAAAACAAACTACGCTTACGGAGAAAGAGCTCATCAATGCAATTTTGGAAAGACAGCTTTATGAGCCCGGAGAAAATTTGAATAGTTTGGCACGCGAAGAAGCAGGACGCAAAGTGTTGTTATGGCGTCTCTTTATCTATTGGGCCTTCAGGTTTCAAGACACAATAGTGGCGGGTGGTTCAAAGACATTTTCCGAAGTATGGGGCGTCAATAATGTAGGAATTCTAAATTTTCCAGGCTCTCAAAAACTCTTGAATAAGACAAGTTTAGACAATCTTGAAATTTGAATGGCATATCATCAAATAATCTATTCGTTTACTATACACAACATTATGTATTCGTTATATGTACACATCAAGGGTTGACTGCAAGGTAGTTCCGACAACGTAAGAAAAATTGAGTTCGGAAGAGAACTTCTTCGTCTTCACGGCTTGTAATGCTCTAGATGGGCATCTTCCTCGCAAACAATTGTATGAGAATGACCAGCGCCTCTGATTATTTTCTTTTTGGCATCCTTAGTGCAATAAGGGATGCTTGAAAACCATGGGTCATTATACAGATCTTCCACTGTAGCCCTTTGTTGTGGGTCAATCATGAGTATTTTGGACATTATGGGTCTAGAAGCGTGTGGTAGTAAACGCAGTAATCGGTAAGGCCCATGCATCACCCTTTTGCCCTTTCCGTGCTCACGAGGCTTCTTTTGTTGAATTTGTTGTTCCCCTCTCGGAGACGGAGGTTGAACCTGTTCATCTTTTGCGCTTGGCTGATCGTCAGGCTTTTTGTTATGTAGCGTTTCCTCAGGTTTGGAATCTGACTGTTCCTTGGGTTTATTATGAGCTATTGCCTGATCCGTAACAATTTCTTGCTTCGAGGCCCCTTCGAGAGGTGTTTCTGGATGAGAAATCTGCACTTCACTTAATTTATCATTCAAACCTTCGTGCTCTGATTCCATATGTCCATTTTCCCAACGCGAAGGTTGTACACTAGTTTCTTTTTCATGATTCGGTACCTTATGTTCCGACATTTTTTCCATTATAAGACCCTCTTCTTTCAACTTCCGTGCCTTGTGTTTCTCTTGTCGTCTTTGCTTCATCAGAGTTTCATGCTCGATAGCAGATTGAACATAATCATGTTCGACATCGTCTGGTAAGCAAAACAATCTAAAGTTGTCGTCAGAATCCTTCGGAGTTTTCCATGGAAATCTTTTTAACATCATGCAACAATAAATGATACCAATTGACCAAATGTCAACATATTGTGGGTCATAGCATTTGGTTGATGTCATAACTTCAGGAGCCAAATAAGGATCACTACCTACAATTCCATGTGCCATAGTAACATTTGAATCAAAAGGATATTTGAAAACGACAGCACTGCCAAAATCGATCAATTTCAAGACACCGTCTATAGACATCACACAATTGTCAAGTTTTAAATCTCGATGAGCCAAGCCCATGCCGTGTAAATATTTGACACCCTCTGTCAATTGGCGTAAACAGCAGTTTATTTCACCGCGTGTCATTTTGCCCGACATGACCACGGCAAAGAAATCGATGGGGCAGTACTCCATGACTTCGTAGTATTTGTTTTGCTTGGCATCGCTGAATATGTCCAGCGTTTCTATTATGTTTGGATGATGTAAAGTGGAACCTATGCAGAATTCTGCGGTACACTTCTTGGCGTAGTCTTTAACCAATTCGTTCGCTCTCCGAGGACGAAATTCTTTTACGGCGAAAGTAGCACCATCACTGGGTCTTGTGATAACGCGCACGGATCCACCTGCACCAGACCCTAGTATTTTCCCAAGTTTACCATATTTCTGTGCCAAAATAGCATCATCGTGATAGATGTTGACACGGTTGGACAGTGAAAGTGTGGAATCCGACGAAGGGGGGATGGCCGATTGCGAGTGGGACTGATGATCCGGCGACCCATTTCGCAGGTTTGTTTGTGAAGGTTTGCGGTGTAGAATCGCGGGCCGGAAAAACCGCTTCAGCTCGTTCATAGACCCACCGGAACGCTTCGGGTTGCTGTTAGACTCTTTCAACGTATCGCTGCCGGCTGAATCTCGGCTACTTGTGTGGTTCATGAATCCAAGAAACGAACGGCTACTGCGAACGTTATGGTCCGTATGTGCGCTGTGGTCTGGAGGTGCATGCGAGCCCTTGGAGTGATGAAAGACATTTCTGCCTAGAAGCGTTGGCATGATCGGCTGGAATAGACGAATTCGAAAGAATCGTTGGTAGCAGTGTGCTAATTATGCTTCGGTCTATCAGTTGTAAAGACGAAAAGAGAAGAACTGTGAAAGTTTCCGTCCGACGGGGTTCAAATTCACGAGATCCGGTAAAATATACGGATTATTTTTGGGCGAAAACTGGCACTGTGTGCTAGTCTCGGGTTCCGCAGGAAGAGGTGCTGATTGTTTGAGACGTTCAGCCGTTTGCTTATTCTCACCAAGCGCTGACAACTATGTACTCGACGAGTTGTTTTATCCAAGTTTCAAAATTCCTTGAATTAAATGACTCACGGCTAACGTACCCCTCGTGCCGATCAAATCCACTGGGTGATTATTCAGAGTATCCCAAGAAGCTCCCAATAGCTTTTGAACAAATTCCAAAGGGATCCGGAAGCTCCAATGTAGCGTTGGTGTTATAAACCTTGCAACTCTTTGACTAGGAAACCTTTCAACTTTACTTGAGATGTTTTTTTTTTGGTAATTAACGCTTTGCTCTTTAATTAGCCGAGCCTAACATATGAAATGTAATTTTCGGAGAGATAGTAAATTATCAGAAAATGGCGCTATGTGGCACGTTAGAAGCCTGATCTAATGGGTACGGTTATTGCAATGGGCTAGTGGCTTCTTTCTCTCAATTCCCGCCGCGAGCTGAGTGAGACTACTTGCTTCAAAAATGTACAGAAAATAATATCTATTAGCGTAGTTACGATGGACTTGAGAGCCGCAGAGCTTGTACGAAAGTTTTACGGGCCTAGCTGGGTTCTTACTGGACAGTTTGAAGTAGATACGAGGACCCGGTTTGATCGGCCTAGGGGCGGCGCCAGGGTGTGAAAAGTATACGTTTTTATAACCAAAAAAAAAAAGAGGGCTCGGAGAATGATGGATAATGCTTGGCAGGCGCATATCCCGGAGACTTACAGTGACTGGCAGATCAACAGCTCTCAATGGTGGGGAAAGTTATCGGAAATGAGCACCCTCGTCAAAGCTTCACTCACTGGCTACGGCAGAATCGGGACGATCCTTTGAAGATCGCATTCCGGTGCGATAGCAAGCGTAGCGGTTAGCGAACGGCTGCAAGTGAGCTTGATATACTACCAAAATTACTGGAGAGGGCCAGTGTCTGATCCGAGGCCCACGATGGTTTAGGTCTTCTATCTGTTCAGCAGTCCTGGATAGCGACCTCCTCTTGTTATTCGTCTTGACTGAGCGCGGCCATCACGCGGGATCCGCTGTGCATGCTGAGCATCGAACTGTTGGGAGCTTACCTCACCCAAGAGCTTTCCAACACCTATGGCTGTTCAGTTTCAATGCCAAGAAGGTAAAAGAAAAAACAATTGAGTCTCGTTAACAGATACAGGCTTAACAGCCCTCGCTGGCGGAACCACGACTTAACGGACAACAAGCCAGAGAGTCTCAGCCCATAATCCGAGCACTGGATTTCGAAAGATAATGTGTGAAGTATTCATTGAGATTCAAGATCACTAGCTACGAAGGAGAACAATTTCGAGGTTTTCAGCAGTAAACACACTATTAAGATCGACAATTCACGTTTGCAAGCGTGAGCCAGCTAGATGAGCTTGTTACCCAGCGATCAACGCCAGCTGCTACACAAGTGTATATTGAACTACGTGCAAAATCAAATACCACAGGAAAAGCAGGAAACCACTCTTAATGAAGGCGCTGATGGCTCTGACCACGTGATCTCGACTCTAGCTCACTGGCTCAAGGTGGATTTGGACACTGCAGATACGGATCGTCCTGTTGACGGGTCTCTACTTCCTCGTAAGTGGAGTTCTATAGTCAGATTGCAGCGCCGGATCATTGAGCTCGAAAAACAGATCGAAGGTCTCACGGAGGAAAACGAAGTCCTAATGGAAAACGGGCCAGCGTCAGGTGCCACCAAATCGTCTTTGAAGTGGATTCCTCGAGAACGCAGCAACTTCAGTATCAACTGTGGGGCGTCTGTTACTAGTGCAAAGCTTCACCCAGAGCTCCCGCTACTTTTTGTGGCGACAGATGCAGGAAAATTACAGTGCTACGATCTGATGAACTATTCCATGCCAGTGGCCTCGGTCCAAGCGCATATGCGTGGAATTGTCTCAATAGACGTACAGTTAAGTGATAGCTCAGAATGTCTAATTGTGACTGCCTCCAAAGACCTGTATTGCAAAGCTTTCCGGCTGGTAGATTCGCAATTACAACTTATAAGAACATTTTCCGGCCACGAACATGTTGTATCCCAAATCAAAGTGTGGAAACGCGGCACTGACACACTTGCAGCAACATGCTCTCGTGACTTGTCGTGTAGGATATGGGATGTCTCAAATGGGTGGTGTTTGAAGTCTTTTCAGCCGCATACAGAATGGGTACGATGCTTGGATATTTTGGGTGAGTATATAGTAACTGGTTCCAACGACTGTACCGTAAGACTCTCGCATTGGCCCACTGGGAGAGGGCTGTCATTTGGGATGGGCCACAATTTTCCTGTGGAAAAGGTCAAGATAATACCAATGCAAAAATCGGCGGAAGCGGCCGATGATCAACAGAATAAATACAACTTATTCAATGAAGAGTACGCGGAACTTGGTTTCTCGCACGTCATATCCACATCTCGGGATAACACAATTCGAATATGGCAAGTTCCACTGCCGAGATTCGTAGCTCACCGACCTCCTCAACCGAACTCTTCGCGACAACATTTTGAGCTAATAACTACTTTGAGTGGGCACTCATCATGGGTGCGCGACATTTGCGTAAGGGGTGACTATTTACTGAGCTGTAGCGATGATCGCAGCATTAGAGTATGGGACCTCACAACAGGTCATATTGTTCGTGTTATAGGTAATGCTCATGACGGCTTCGTAAACTGTATTGACACTGACCAGAATGGGCTGAATAGACAATTACTAATATCAGGCGGGACCGATGGGAAATTGAAAGTCTTCATTAAGTAGAAATTTTATACTCTATATCGACGAATGTTCATGTATCAAATTGGAATGATGGATGGATCTTTCGAAATAGTTTCCTACTTTTACTCAATTACCTCAAAATCAGCAGGCTGGAATTTGAAAGGCTGGTATGGCGTACCTTCACCTTCAAAAAACTTGGACATCGACTCGACCCAATGTAGACGCAAGGAGTGTAACATAGCGGAAGTACCCTCCATAAGAACCAGGATGACACAAGTTAGGACGAACCACATAGTGAATAAAACAATTGTCATAATTACACCTGTCACACCTCTAAAGTTGAAGGCAATTTGAATTGTCATAGTCCACAACACTGTAGAAAGCTGGGCGTGAGCCAGGGACAAAGCCCACAAACGCAAGTAGGAGGCAGTGTGTGAAACGGTGTTCAAACAGAACTCGATGGTGTGAATGACCTGGTGGATAACCACGTCTCCAAATTCTTCTCCATGACCACTTCCTTCCTCTTCATCGTCGTCATCATCTTTCACAAGCTGGTCGTTATGTTCAACTAAACCTTCACCTCCATCCTGTGAATCGGTAGCAACATAGCCGTTATGGCTTTCCTTGCCTTGAGTGAACTTGAAATGTAGAGGCTTGATTAATAACAAGCAAGGGACACAAATCAAGGCTACGATGAGAAGTATCACTTGAACCTTGGCCTGATGGGGGTAGAGCTCTTCGGCCACGTTACCTGGTGACAAAAACATGTTGATCAAAGTGTTAAGTAGACCTGGTGCAACCCTTTCGTCTTTCACCCAGTCGATTGTCCACTTGTATACAATACAGATGGACAAGTATCCGAAGATACCTTGCATGAACAAGAGACCTGGAATGAAGTTACCCACAATGTCAATCCAGTTCTTAAAGTAAAGGGCGTTGACCAACGAAAACATGTAGGAGTAAGTCATGTGAATGAAACCAAGTAAAACCGACAATTTCATTTTGTAAGAGTTGCTGAACAGTAAAGCGTTTTCAGTTCCATGCCAAGCCCAATCTAAGCCCATGACATAAGTTCCGATCGCCTTAGCCTCAATAGCTTCACCTTCTTCCCAGTGAGATGGCCACTTCCAACCAGACTTGAACAAAGTCAAAGATTTGGAGAACATATCATTGTACAAAAACCCGGTGTAGATCGAGAAAAGGCCCATCAGTAATAGAATGTACCTACCCGAGAAAGCCATGTCAAAAATTTCGTCTCTCTTCATTCTACCGAGGGCTTTTTCGTTGAAGACCAACAAAGCAGCAACCATGGACATCAGCATACCATGACCCATATCACCAAACATGACGGCGAACATAAAGGGGAAGGTAACAATAGTTGGTAAACCAGGGTTTACTTCGCGGTAAGTGGCGGTACCATAACAGTCGACGATGTTTTGGAAAGCATCGGTGAATTTATTGGTCCTGTGGAACGTTGGTGGAGTCTTGTTAGTTTCCAATACCTGGATAATGGAAGGAACGTCAACGCCCAAAGAGGCGGTAAGTCTTGCCAATTGACCTTGCAAACTATTAAGCTCGTCCTTAGGAACCCAACCCTCACCAATCAAAGTTTTACGATTGGAGTCAAAATCGAACAAATTCAAGGTTTCAAAAACAGCTTTTTCCCTAGCAATCACCGTGTTCCAACTTTGAATCTCCTTGGAGATGGCGTAGAGCTCGGTCTTAAGAGTCGTGTTAGTGGTTTCCAACACGGTGTAAATATCAGCGAGGCGAGAATTAATCTCAACAAGTTGTTTCGAGCGGGCATTCCCGTTGTCGCTAATATCGTAAAGGCTGGCGTCCAAAGATTCGGCCACTTTTTTGACTCTTTGCAAAATGATGTCACCGTGAGAGAAGACAATAAACGCGTTCTTGAGAACCTTCGTCTTGGATCTAGAGTCATATAGAGGTTCTGGCAACTCTACATGCTTGAAAAACAAATTACCTCTCAATACTCTCCACAAAATTTGTTCCAGAGTACCAACTTTGGTACGAGGGATTGTGCCGGTAACAAAAGACACAGAATGCGGGAACGTCTCATCCTGCGAATCCGGGTGAGTCAATCCTGTAGCATTGGCGAAAAATTCATCACCAGCTTGCAAGACGTGGCGGAACTGCTCGAGGTCGGATTTTTGCAATTCGAGCTGTTCGCTGGCTTCGGCAAGCTGCTTCGTGCGCTCTTCGATCAAAGTCCCGTTTTCAATGTGGTCATCAATCTTGGAGGTACCAGGAGCCATTTGGAACCCGTGCGAGAGTTCCTCGTCCGCTTCTGGGAAAATCTTGATGTGGTGCTCACACAAAAGTTGGTAGAGATAACGATACTGTCTCTGTAAGTTGTCCAGACGTCTCACCTCAGGCACAAATGTTCTTTGGAAAGCCCGGATTTTGGTGTTCAAGTCCCGGAACTGAACTAGTCCCTGATCACCCAAACTGTAGACTGCGTCCCTAGCAATTTCCTGAGGAATGTAAACCTGCACTAGGCTCATTTCCGCAGAGCGGAACATCGCCTCATACTTTTCGACCATTGATCTCAAGCGTTATAGAATAGCAAAGAAGCTTTTGAGCTGGTCTTTATATTTAGTTAACTGGTCTTCAAAAGAAGTGAAGGTATTATGAACAGTTAGGCCCCTCACGTTGTGTGATTTTATTCATTCAGAACCAGGCAAAAATATATAGCGTTACCCGGTGAAAAAATTTTGGCGTATATGAGAACATTAAACCGTGACGGTTCCGGCTCCCCAAGTGTAGTCTGCTTAATGGTATTACCACATCAATGCTGTCACCTTTCTGGTCAGCACCAAACTGTGGGAGAGCGGTAAAAAAAATTGGTGAAATTACACTACTAGTAATTATTGGTTTCTTGCCGAACAGTAAGTGGTGAGTAGATCTCGTTGCTACGTTACAGAGCTGGATTTTGCACCGCTTAGTTCTCAGCTTCTAGGACATGGGTTTCTTGGCATCACTGAATGACTGTAGGCAAGTAACTTGCTTCTAAGTTTTGAATTCCAATAAAAATGAATTCGATACTTTGAAAGAGAGTAGGCATCTGATAGAGAGCATGGAGAGTATCAAAACGGATTTAGTTTGCATTTTGGAGCTATCACATCAGTTCTGTCCAGAAAGTTGCATTGATCTGTTTATATATCACTCTGTACTATTCTGACACAGTAAAGCTTTGTCACTACTTATCCGGTGTCATCTAAGGCGCACTGAAAAATTGAATTCGCGCACAGCTAGTATACATTTGGTTCCTTCAAAATCGAAGGTAGTATGATATGACTGCTCGAAGCAGGTCTCCCAGAAAATTATGAAATAGAAACCTTCTTTAAGTTCTGTACTCTCAAAAAAGATAAGTTTCGAGTAAGCGAATCACAAGTAATTTGGGCCTGCCAACAGTATAAAAATTGCGGGTTAATAATGGTGGGAGAGGGGGCTGAATTATCTATGTGAAAAAAAAGTCAAAGCATCTCTGGGACCTTGTCAATGGCAGCCATTAGAGGTGGGTTCATGTGTGTTGCGGTTGAGTTGGCTATCTGGGAGCTTATGAGATCTTTGAGATCCTAAGTAGTATTTTAGTATATGCCTTGTGTTTGTTAAATCGACTATTGATGAATCATGCGACGTAAAGAGTAGTTACTCAATGCGCCAATTCTTATGGAATATTTTTGGTGGACAAGTTCTGATAGTAGTTGACTATTTCGGTGGGACTTTGATACGCTATAGCGGATTTGAAATTACTTGTCGCTTCGTCCGTTTCTTAAGCCTTCAAACTAATGTTATAATCAGCTATTTGTGCCTGCCTGCCATTATTTGTCACGTTTTAACCGATAGTATGGATTCTGTCACTTTATACCAACGTGTCGTTGTCTAACTTGGACAGACATGAGAGTTGTCTTCTGCAGTCATATAGAATTTGAGCGCAATGAGTGCTCACATGAGATTCGGGTACAGTCGAAATATGTATGTACCCCATTGTTTTAGACTCCCAAGTTGAATGGGAACGTACGCTTTTTCACGACTGAAGGGTAAATTCACTAATGATGGCAGTACATATTGACCGCTGAAGATAAAAGTAACTGTTCTCTGCTTTGGTATATCTTGAAAACCCACTGCTATGCTAACTATCCCACTTTGGCTCTGGCAACTCATTTCCAAAACAAAGCACTATGTGCAATGTTAATGTATCCAAATGCAGGAGTAGTCATGAGCTATTGTATCACGAACCGTAGGAAATAGTCACCTCGAGTTTGATGTCTAAGAATTTCATGCAGTCTACTTTCCTTGTACCATTCATAGTTCTACGCGTTGATGTAACATTACGGGCATACTTTTTTTTTAATCTGCTTATCCGTTTAAAGCTCTGGAGAATACTACATCAGCAATCACATTTGTCGCTTTCAACATTTCTTGCATAATACATGCCTTGTCCACTTCGCGCGCTACTATTTACCAATTAACTTTCAAATAATACTTTAATTTCCATACTATTTTCCAATTCAAGCTCATTGCACTAACTTGACACTAGAAATACATGAAGCAGAACCGAAAATAAATAAAGAAACAGCTCAGACGTGAAGTCCGTTGGCCTAAAGAATCCCTCTCTTTTTTATACCTTGCCATTGTTCTTACTTCACGTGGAAATTGGGAATGGACATTTCATCTCGTTTAAAAAAACCTTTAGAACCGCGAAGCTATAAAAGGTCAACACTTTGTTCATCAACGGAAAGTAGGGCTATTTGAAAGTCCGTTGAGCTTTTCAAAGCGCATCAGCCATGTCTCTCCCACTTTTGACATCCGCTCCCGGAAAAGTTATAATTTTTGGTGAGCATTCAGCGGTTTTCAACGAACCAGCAATTGCAGCTAGTGTCGCGTCTTTGAGAACCTATTTGTTTGTCACCAAGGCAGAAGACTCCGATGTTATAGAATTGGACTTCCCGGATATCAGTCTGGATCATAAGTGGCACTCGGCAGAGTTATCCAGCATTTCCATGGCAGCGATGGCTGATTCCGACAAACACTCCAAAGAGCTGAACGCCGAGCTCAATGCAGCTTTAGAACCACTCTTGAAACCTCTCCATGGCTCCTTGCAATACCACGCTGCTTACTGTTTCTTATATCTCTATTTCAGCTTGTGTGGTCTACGTACCGGTGTGAAATTCACGGTCAAATCGAGCTCGCCTATAGGCGCCGGCCTCGGGTCAAGTGCATCAATTGCAGTATGCTTGGCATTAGCGACTGGTAAGCTCGGAGGTCATTTGAACTCCGCACCGGAACGCTTGACCAAACAAGAGCTGGATTTCGTTAACAAATGGTCCTTCATTGGTGAAAAATGCATTCATGGTACTCCGTCCGGAATTGATAATGCCGTTGCAACATATGGCAACGCAGTACTGTTCCAGAGACAAGCCAATGGGGAGACGAAATCTGAACAAATTCTTGACTTCCCACAAGTTCCCATGATCTTGACCAACACTAGAATTCCACGCTCCACGAAAGTCTTGGTGTCAGGCGTAAAAGACTTAATTGTTCGTCAACCAGAAATAGCACATCCGATCTTGAAAACAATGGGCCAAGTTGCCTCTCGCGGCGCCAAAATTTTGGCTAATCTCAACGAGACGAACTATGCAGATTTGTGCGAACTGATACGAATCAATCACGGTCTCTTGGTGGCTTTGGGTGTGTCGCATCCAGGACTAGAAGTTATCAAAGCACTTGCTGACTCGATGTCAATCGGTTCCACCAAATTGACAGGAGCTGGTGGTGGTGGATGTGCTCTTACTATCTTAAATTCTAATGCGTCCCCGGAAGACATTGCCAAGTTCAAAGATACCCTAGAAACAAAGCATAGTTATAAAACGTATGTGACGGGACTGGGTGGGCCTGGCTGTGCTTACATGGCAAAAGGACAGATTCAAAATCATCTGGACTTAATCCGTCCTCTGTTTGAGACGAATGCTTCCGTTTCTGAGCTCAATGATGTCTTGCTACCGGGGAAAGGGCCTCTACAATGGATACACTAACTACGTAATACTTATTTTTCATTTTAAAAGTTCCAGCAGACTCGAGACTGTGCACTTTGCTTTAATTAGTCTATCAAAAACGGCTCACTTGATTATAAATATTCTACAAATAGCGTTAAATACCTCTGTTGAACCAGACCTTCGTTATAGGCTGATCATCTTGATCTTTTTGATCGATCAAATGCTTCTCTAACTTGTGAACGTCAATTCCTTGATATTGAGGGAAAACTCCTAATGCAAATGGAAGCGCGATCAAAGATGTACCCAAGATCAACCCCAAATTAGCTAAGGTTTGGATACCAAGTGATTTGCCCTTCAAAACACCCTTTTGAAGTCTCACTAGGATTAAAGGAGGAAGCACCATGATGGGGGTGGCATTGATAACTCTGCTCAATGCCGTTTCACCAACAGCCAGTAGAGCCGCTTTCTTAGATTTGCCCACCTCATCACCATTTTTGTCATATACTGCAATACCTTTACGAATTTCGCCACCTCTCATTAAAAAGACGTTGATGACACCTGCGCTCACAACAGCGGCAAATGGGACTAGGCGGCCCAAGATCAACTTAGTATTGGCCGAGAGATGTTGTAGACGAGGCACTAATTTGTTAAGACCCACAGCAACACCGCACGAGGCACTCACAGCCATTGCATAGTTGCCAACTAGTTGAAGTGTCGACATTGGATGCGATTTGTTGGCATTGGCCGAATTGATTGCAACGTTCAAAGACTGGTTGGTCCATTGCCAGAAGATCGTACCGGCCGTACCCAAACCAGGTGTTAGCATACCTGCAGTAACTACCAGATTCGATAAGACACAACAGGACATGCGAAAGGGTAATAAAACGGTTTCACCAGTATCTGGATGCACAGTCGAGTCCAATTTCTTCTTAGCATCCCAGAACTTAGGGTTCGTGCCTTTCAGTTCACCGCGACGATAAGATGAAATAAGGTTACGAGCCTCCTGAAGTTGTTTCTCTGTTGTTAAAAGCATAAAAGGGTCTGCGATTTCAGAGCAGTGACGCACTCTGCCCCAATACGTCGACAAATCGTATCTTGATTCTGGCAGAGGATAAGGGCCAGGAACTGAAGAAGCCATTTGATTCTTTGCTAATGCGAAGTTATACTACACAGGTAAGGTGGATCCAAACGCTCAAGTTGAGGCAAGGCGGCTATACACTGGTTTTTGATTCAATTTTTGATTCAAGTTCAAATTTACATCATTTTTTTCAATTCTTTGGTGGTAACTCAAAAAATTAGAAGCAGACCGGTACCGGCCAAGATACTAAGTAATAGAGACAGGTCATTGTAGAGACTATTTAGCGATTGACGTATACTTCGGCAGCTTTTCTCTAGTACGAGAAAGGAGAGATTGTTTCACGGTACCGATACGAGGATAGTCCCGGTATTTTTTTTGGCGTAAGTGAAGTTATTACTCGAATGTTGCGGGCCCGAACTCGTTTTAGATTGAAGCGTTTGGCACTATCACATATGAGATATAAATCTTAGGCAATACCTCTTATCAAAATTCATGAGTAAAGAGCGCAGTCTTATGCCAGGTGAGACCCCAAACGTTGTGTATGCAAGCACGGGCGTTTTCCAAAGATAGTTCGCACAGTTGAAGTACTAGATACAGTGTGTACCGGGACACTGCACTCAATGGACATGCCGTCAAAGCCCGTCTAGCATATGTAGCGCTTTGCACATTGTGATCACTTTTTATTTTCCTGGCCTTAGAAAAATGGAATATATCAAATTTCAGGCCGCCAAGTGGTAGACTCGGTAATTCTTGTACAACATTATGACTCTATCACTATGGCTTAGGTAGCGGGTGTCGTTGCGACCGTTTCACCCCCAATACTTCTTAAATGTATAACACTGCGGCATTCAGTAGAAGGGTTGGATATACTCGGATTCAATTGATTGCGGTATCATGCAACACATCTGATGACCAAACAATCTTTTGGATGCTTCAAATAAACTTTCAGAATCGCAGAGAGCAGCAACATCCTCAAACATGCTTTGCACAGCGTCTGTGTCACTTTGTACTAATGTGTCACTCGACTGCAATTACAGGTGCTGTAGACCAAGATGGAGCATAAAGCGTACAATTAGCGGGCGCTTTGATGAGCCGGCCTTCCCAGCTTCGGAAATCGCATTTCCAATAATTATACCTTTCTGCCCTAACGCCCATTCTTTCTCATTTTGTATTTGTTACCCAGCCCAGGCGAGGTATAAATAAGAAAAACTGTACCATCAACTCTTCTCATAATAGTCTTGATCCCTTCCTTCGCTCAGTGATACGAAATATTTATAGCCTTCTATTCACTGTGCCATCTAAGTAACCGTAGATGATCAGAGGGGAAAAGAACGGCTAGAGGGAATTCGCCAGCGTCCTCATACTGTCCAAATCGAAAATTTAAATGGGTTCGGTCGGTAACTGCGCTAGCGAGACATGCCAATAAGTCAAGTAGAATATTTGTAGGATCTGTAGAAACAGCAGCCGGATACTGGCTCGTGATTGTAGACGAAATTGGGCTCGAGATGCTCTCTGTTCGGTTAGTCAAGATTAACTTTACAGTTTTGATGCTAGTCCTACGGGCAGAATTGACACTACCAAGTGTGTCGGTGTAGACTAGCGTGAAAGCATATGCAAACGCGCTGTCGAAAGTGTCGCGATATCGCTGATAAACGTTCTTGTACCTTGATAATTGCCTCTGTTTTGAAGTGGAGCTCATCGATTTTTTCAGCTAGCGCTTGACAAGTTGAAAAATTTTGATTATGCTCATCGCTTCGAAAAAGCTAGCTCATCGCATCAACAAACAAACAGATCTCACAGCTCCAACAGACGGTTATAATGGCCGAAGAAGCGCAAGTTAAGGTCCGGTTCTTCACTAGAGAACAGGATGAAAGTCTAAGGGTAGAGGACGCAACTCTTTTTGCTCCAGTAACGCTTAAAAGATATGGGCTTTCGGAAATTGTGAACCATTTGCTGAGTCTGGAAGGTTCAGTGCCGTTCGACTTTCTAATTGATGGTGAGCTGCTGCGCACTTCCTTGGAAGCATACTTGAACAAAAAGGGTCTTTCGTCCGAGACTCAGCTGAATGTGGAATACACCCGAGCAGTGCTTCCTCCATCGTATCTGAAAAGTTTTGACAACGACGACTGGGTCAGTGCTCTAGACGTTGGTAGCTCCAGGATCATTAGCGGCTCCTACGATGGTATAGTCCGTACTTGGAACCTTTCAGGCAAAATCGAGAAACAGTACGCAGGCCACTCCGGTGCTGTCCGTGCGGTAAGATACATATCTGGCACCAGACTTGTCTCGGGCGCTAACGATCGTACTCTGCGTTTGTGGAAAACCAAAAATGATGACCTCAAGAATAATCTAGATGTGGAAGAAGATGACGTCGAGGAAGGTAAGACTTTGGCTATCTTAGAGGCTCACAAGGCCCCCGTCGTAACGCTAGATGTGAACGCCGACCGCATTCTATCTGGTTCTTATGATCACTCTATCGCGTTCTGGTCAACAAATCACAAGGAAATGATGGCCGTGGACCCCATGGATTCCTTAGGTTCCAATGTTTCCTCTGCTGCCAAAAAGAGAAGAAAGTTAGCTCTCAAAGACGGTTCCGTGAGAAGGCGTTCTCCATTGGCGCTTTTAGAATCTCATACCGCCCCAGTAGAGTCGGTTTGTTTCGATTTCAGTGACAAAACAGTTGGTTACTCGGTGTCTCAAGACCACACAATCAAGACCTGGGATTTGGTAACTGCTCGCTGCGTTGATACAAAATCTACTTCTTACTCACTTCTGTCAATGGTTCAACTACCGCAATTGAATTTGTTAGCATGTGGGTCCAGTGCCAGACACATCACTTTGCATGACCCTCGTGTTGGAACCTCTACTAAGATTACACAACAACAGTTGAACGGCCATAAGAACTTTGTGGTGGCTTTAGACACCTGTCCCGAAAATGAATACATGCTATGCTCCGCTTCTCACGATGGAACTGTGAAAGTGTGGGATGTGAGATCAAATACAGCGATGTATACTATTACGAGAGAGGCCGAAGTTACTAAGGGTATCAATGATAAAGTCTTCGACGTCAAGTGGTCTAAAGGTTTAGGCATCATCAGTGGTGGTCAAGACAAGAAAATTCAAATCAACAAAGGAGACGACATTTTCAAGAAATGAGGCGATTCCGCCATCACATTTGTAAATTAATTACCTGTGTATACAGAATGAAACTTAACTAAGCCGTAATAACCTTGATAAAGCGACTTTTCGTTTGTGAGATAGCCACAAAGTTCTTTGGGGTTACAACTGTGATAAAGGTCTTTCCACTTCCTTGCCTCTCGTAGCTTGGAGAGCTCTTCATCTGTTAGTTGAACCTTGGGTTGAGTGCCGTATTTCAACGGACCGACATTCAACCAGTGGAGTTTTGAGCAGGAGGACTTTAGCCCTTCGATTGCATCAAAATAATCGAACAAATTTTCCGCTGTGTCTATGAAATATGCTGACAGTACTATGATCTGATCATAGTCATCTTGCGGTTTGAATTCACAAAAGTTACCCAAATGTATTTTGAGGTTCGCTGGCCGATGAACTTTGTTGAAGTTTATGTTGAAAGGTCGAGTTTGTAGTTCTGTGCTAAGTTGACCGGAGAAATGTTGTGTGAAGGGTTTAATAGTCGCAGAGCCTTCATAGTCTAAAGCGAAGTCATTACACAGGTACATGAGTGTGGAAAGTTCAATAGAATGAACTTCGTGGCTCGCAAAAGCGGTGGCTATTTCATATGCGAGGCCGCCTGCGCCAGAACCGGGAACCACAAGCAGAGTTTTTCCCTTGAGCTTTAGTTCACGTACTCGGGAGATCATAAACTCAGTCAGGGGCCTTCTCTCGTTTTGGAAGCTCTGATGCCAGTCTCTGCACATGTGTGAGATCGCCTCACTAACACGACCCTGGTTGGACTTCGGGCTGAGTGTGATCTTATGCACTGGGATACGTTTCAGTACCCCGTCCTGCTTACACTCGTAGCCCAAACCTTTGCAAATGGATATCAGTTCTTTCCCGTCTCTGCTGTCAAGAGAGTTGTTACGCAATAGTTTTGTGAGTGCGTTTTCCACTATAAGTTGCGTAGTTTTGACATTAACAGAAATAGACTCATTGACCTGCTCGAGCTTTTCGTAGTAGTTTAACGTACGCAATTGCTCAATTTGTGTAGGCTCTAGAGCTCTTGCTCTATGGTAAAGTATAGCATTTTGTTGGTAGGCCCTAGCGCCATATTCTTGCAATTGCAACAACGAATTGTAAACGTCCACAAGTCCAATTGCATTGCTAAAGTGCGGTGATTGACTCAATTGGAAGCCTGTAGAAATCGGAATGTGTCGATTAAGTTTTGACAGGGAATTTTGAAGTTTACCTGCCAATACCTGTTTTATAGCGTTGTTATTCTTCAGTACCATGACTGCCACTGACAAGATCGTAACAAAGAGAGTAGAGACCGTCGAGCCCATGATTTCGACGTCCCGCAGAATGGATCGACGATTTGATTTAAATCGAAGATGAGACTAAGTTCAAAAGTGAATATTGTTTAATGTCGCTAGAAAATGTTTTCAAGGTAAAATACATATAAAACGGTTACACAAATGATCCTTTCAAAACTGGCTGTGAGATATTAGAGGCCGTGCTGGGGATACCATGGCTGCGGATAGAATGATATTCAGCATCATCGGCGGTTCCAGGTTCCATACTCTTCTTGTCAGTATCGAGGTCAATTTGGGAGTCCCTGTGAGTGGATATCTTGTGAACAGACATGGATTTATTGGATTTTTCATCTTGATCTTCTTGTTGCATGGCATTGAACCCAAATGTTGACCTTTTACGCATGTCTTCGCCGTATCTTTCAAAGATCCACGGCAGTGGGATCATTGCGAGACATACAAAGCCAAACAGTGAGCTCGCCCATCCAATCGTCATCTTTTCATACATTTGAATGGTGAATAGCGGAAAAATACAACTGGTAACATAACGCAGCAAGTTGTTTGCGGCTAACGCCGATGCAACGTATAATGGCGGGTAGCAGCTGGAAAAATACATGATAACGCTGAAGAAAATGAGGATGAGACCGAACCCGAAAGGCACGCCGGCAGCCATAGGCGCCATCCAATGGATACTGGCTTTCGAAGTCCAGCCAAGCCAGAAAAGACTGATGGGTAGGGCAACAGAGCCTATTTTGCAAATGTCAAGTAGTTTTTCTGGCTTAAGAGGTAACAGCTCGTTTGTAATAGGGTCCCGATGTCCTCTGAAAGGCCTGGTCCTTCTGCAAGTAGCAGACGACATTGGTTGAGTCCCCTCAGGGGCCTCGGGGAAGAAATAGCGACGGTCGTAAAAGATGTAGAATAGCGAACCGATCCATAGCCCAATCCCAATCCCAATGAATGCAAGACCCGAAACACCATATCCCATATGGTACACACCGCGGAAGATGACTGGATAGGCCTCAAAGAACGCGAACAGCACCGCGAAGATGAAAGCGACGTAAATGGAGAATACCAAGACGGTAGGTTCGATCATGAGCATCTTAAAGGGCCTGAAGACGGTAATAGTCATGGTTAGTTTGAGAAAATCTTTCTGGTCCTGGGCAGAAGGTTGAATGAGATTCAGCTTACGCTTTTTGGCACGATTTCTCAAAATGATTGTCTTGTGGGTTTCGGGCATGAACACGATAAATGGCATAATGATCCCGCCGGCAAACAGCTGGATATATGTGGCCCATCTCCAGCCTTGCGCTTGAGTGGCAAAGCCAGCGATTACGGGACTGATAACAGGACCTAGGAAAGGGGCGAGACAGAAAAGAGACATGGCAATGGAAATTTCGTCCATGTCCCAAATATCAACGATGGTACCGGACGCTACCGACAGAGCTGGAGAGGCGAAAACACCGGAGAAAAACCGAACGGGCAAAACAACGCGCATTTTGCCCCCCGACAGCGCTACACCCATGGTGAAAAGCATGGACATGGGCAAAGAGATGAGGTAAATAGGTTTCCGACCAAAAACCTCGGAAAGTGGAGCCCCGATCACCGTGGAGAGACCCAGCAAGTAGAAGGTGAGGCCAGCCAACGCCAGCGTTTGGCTGTAGCCGTATCTTTGCACCATTTCAGGAACACCAGTGACGTACAGCGAGGACCCCATCGTGACGACGAGGCACAGGATAGCCGCGGTCATGGTCGTGAACCACTTGCGCCACACGGGCCAGTTGTGCGGGTTGTCCATGTCCAGCGGGCCGTCCCACTCGAGGCTGCGAGGATCGATGGGTTTGTCGTCCTCCTGCATGCAATACTTGCTGCGCGGGCTGTTTATCGAGACCATGGCTGACGCTGTGCACGAATATTATACGAATGTAGACAACAAAAAACGGTCTTGTGACAGCTTGTAAGCTTAACTCTTGATGAAGGCTTCGAAGCAGCTTGGGTGAAGTCGCCTGGAGTTTTTGATCCACGCCGTTCTTGTCAGATATCGAAGTCTTGGCTGAACAAAAAAGAATGCTCGAGGCGAGTAGATTGCCGACTGGATATTCGGGTAGATGTTACACTGGATTTTTAACTCGAACTTCGACTGTACTTTCAGCTCGAGGTTTTTTTTCACTGTCGTTTCAGTTGTGAGAATTCCAATATTACTAGTGTTTCCCGACCACTGTGAAGGTCAACTGCGATCGCTTAGTGACTTGGGTTTTAAATTCTTGCTACGCACCGTCTTTTAAATCTCTGTAGGCTCCCCATATTTAAACCTCTTGAGGTATTCGTTCAAATACGAGCCATTACGGAGTTTATCACAAGTCGTCCGAACGACGAGAAGCGTTCCTGTCGCGGGGTTAGTAATGTTCATGCCGAAAGTACGGAAGCAACGGAACCCGCAACACGAAGTGTAATTTACATGCGCCACGAGAGCGAGACGAACAGATGATGGAGCACGGCACGCTTCGAGAGACGGACCAAAAAACCAGTAACGGCAATTTTGAACGGTTCGTGATGAAACTGTCACATTTCAGAATTCTAGAGAACGGAGAATGGTGGAAGGGTAGCACGCAAGAGATGGCACACGTTGGGCCTGGACAATGGAGATATGGCGCCGTACGTGAGCCTCGCGAAATCTTTCAGAGATGTGGATCACGCAGGGGAGTCGGAACGCCGTGCTTGGGCATTTGGCAGGAATGGTGGGTGCGAATCTTGAACTGGACGAAACGTTGTAGGTTGTGCTAGTCGAGTCAACTACGCTCTACGCTTCCCTGAATTTTCTTGTTGTAATTTTTATGTTTTAATCTCAACTTGTAGCTTTTGAAATATAATTCTTTAATTCTGAGCAGAAAAGTGAGAAACCTTTCTGGGTTCGATAGTCGTAATCCAAGTCCAATCAACCAATCTTGAACCATTAAATGCCCTGTAAGCCCGACTCTTAGACACCTTGACTTTCATTCTCGTCTCAGCCAGCTTGTTTCCATGTGATCACATCACACTAAAAAATCATCGCGATGAGCTTCATCGAGTTGACGAATCTCGTAGCGCCGCCTAACAAGCTCATACGTCGTCAGGATGCGTGAAGTAATCAGTATCAGTGCTTCGCATAGGACCAATCACTTGCTTACTCAATTCTACAATGGACAGGAACAACTGCTACAGGACGTCGATGCTGAAAATGAACCCGGGGTATTCCTGAATCCAGTGGTCGACAGGATCTCCAAGACCGTGTCGTACACGCCTCGGGCATTGCTGTGGGATGCTAAATGCGGGACCGGTGCTCTGGGCACTCGCCAATACGAAAATACACATGATTACTACTTTGATCCAGACCACAACCCTTCGGAAGCCAAGCAAGCAGGCGTGGAAATTGTGCAAACGCACAAAAAGATTCCCAAGTCAGAGTACCAAGTGGCTCTCGACTCCAATGGCCATCTGCCAGTTTTGAGCGATTCAAATACAAGGTATTGGTCTGATTACAGCAAGCTGGTTTTCGGCCCGTCGAATCTCAATACTTTGAATGATTGGTACCACGATGTGGATAATCCCTCTGCGCCCGATTTCCAAGATCTACATCAAACATACTTCAGCAGCTACGACGTTGGCTACCAGGAGTTCAAAACCAACTATTGTGCGGACTTCTTTGACGATAAACTGCATTCACAGCTGGAGTCTTGCGACGGACTGCAAGGACTAAATTTGCTCTCCGAAATGGACAACGGTTGGGGAGGCTTTTCATCGTGTTTGCTGGAAAACTTGCGGGACGAGCTACCCAAGACTGACGTTATAAGCTGGGGGTTCAATAAAGACGATGCGTTAAGTCTGAACCAGCCAATCCGCTCTACCAAGACCAAATTTGAGTTGATTTGCAACAAAATCCGTTCCACTTTGAGTATTGTCCGTGACTCCAACCTCTACTTCCCACTGTATTCTGACCCCAGTCTATCTTTATGGAGGTCTGCGGGATGTACCGACCTTTTGTTTGATGCGGTAAACTCTGCATCATCCAACAGAGATGCCAAGAAACGCACGTCGTTCAACCATATCGTCGGACTTTTAACCCAGGGAGAGACTCACCGAAATGTGGTGTCCAAACTCGATATAGAGGAATTGGACTTCTCGTTCTACTCTCGAATTCCGCGCCAGAAGACCAGCGGCACCAAGACCTACGGCCAACTCTTCATTTCTCGAGACCCGCAGAGCACCATCGAAGAAACTTCCACAATAAAAACATACGCATGGCAGCCGTCAGACACAATCCCTGAGGAATACAGAAACAAGACGACATACACAGCCAGCCTCGCTGTCACCGAAAAGCCTAGAGATGTTTTCAAAAACTGGCTCAATTTGGTTTCCCGGTACTTCAAGTACGATGCCGATAGAGAAGAGTTGAAAGAAGAGCTTGGAACTCTCGTTAATACCTACGAAGAAGGTTGGTATGATGATGACGATTCCGGGGACGACCTATAACAAGTTTTTGTTTTGTTGTACCCACGTACGATCAGAGACAAGTTAGTTGAGATTTGATGATTTTCGTTACTGCAGGCGATGAGCTAGAAAAGTTCGACCTGTCTAAGGATGTCCGAATGATTAGATGGCTGGCCAACAAAATATATATGCCTAAACCTAAAGTTATTGTTATTGCCGGAACTACAGGAGTAGGCAAGTCCCAACTGTCAATTCAACTCGCATCTCATGTTTCTGGCGAGGTAATAAATTCGGATTCCATGCAGGTCTACAGAGACATTCCCATCATCACCAATAAACACCCAATAGAAGAGAGGTGTGGAATCCCGCACCACGTAATGAATCATGTTACCTGGGATGAAGAATACTATCTGCACAGGTTTGAGAAAGAATGCTTGGGCGCAATCGAGGATATACACTCAAGAGGTAAGGTCCCAATAATAGTGGGAGGAACTCATTATTACCTTCAGATTTTACTCAGCAAGAGAGCTATGCAGAAACACAGGAAACCTACAGCTGAAGAACAAGCTATTCTAGAAAGTGAAGGGAACGACCAAGTTTATGCTGCTCTTCAGGAAATGGACCCTGTGATCGCGGCTAAATATCATCCAAACGACACCCGGAGGGTTCGAAGAATGCTGGAAATATATTTCACCACAGGCCAACGGCCAAGTGAGGCGTTTGCAGTGCAAAAGAATTCCCTAAAATTCGACACTCTGTTTTACTGGATTTATAGTGCTCCAGAGACTCTCGATCTGAGATTAGATACCAGAGTTGATGACATGATGAAAAATGGCGCACTGGAAGAAATACAGCAGCTTTATGATTACTACAAAGTTCATAGTTTTACCCACGAGCAATGCGAAAATGGTGTGTGGCAAGTAATTGGTTTCAAAGAATTTCTCCCTTGGTTAGAAAATATTCCAGGGGCCTCTTTCGATTTGTCTATAGAACGCATGAAGGTCAGAACTCGTCAATACGCCAAGAAGCAAGTTAAGTGGATAAAGAAAATGCTATTACCAGACGTCAAGGAAAATTTGTATGCATTAGATGCCACTAATCTCGAACTGTGGGACAGAAACGTTTTGGATAGGGCCATTTCTATAGCGGATGATTTTGTTTCCTCGCAAAAGGTGAAAGAAGAGCATGCACCTCCGGAACTCAAGTGTTTATTGAACAGCACTTCAATTGGTGATAATAGCCCTAAAACTGAAAATGATTGGAGCCGTTATACCTGCCAAGCATGCCGTGACAAAGACGACAAGCCCCTACTGGCTATTGGTGAGAAAAATTGGCAAATTCATTTGAAAAGCCGGCGACATCGATTAAATCTAGGTCGAGCCAAAAAACAGGAAAACCATGAAATTTGGAAGAAAAGAAAACTTGATACACCACCTACCGCTTGACGGATGCTGTGGCGGTCGGCAACAGACATCTATGGTTCCTATAACTTATTAATAATCTCCTCGGATTTTCTCTTTTCTTCTCTCCTCTGCGCTTCAAAGAGACGGACATCATTTAGCAATGAGCTCACAGAGCTGACGAGATCCTGATAAAATTTAGACCCACCCTTGACGTTTTCTTTGACGCTCTCTAAAAGTTTCAGAGAGTGCCTGAAATCCTGTACAAACAAATCTCTTACGTCCAAACGTTGTACTTTCGTGTTATTATGGCTTTCTATTTTTAAAAGGCCCAAAATCTCTTTGTTGGACCTCTTTTCATTTTCTATCTGGCCCAGGTCATCACTAAACATTTTCAAGTGGTCAGCGAATAGATCTTCGAAGTCCAATTGGCCAGTGCGCTTATACGCAGAAATGATTTTTGGCAAGAGGACGCTATCATTTGCCTTCTTCCTAGTTGTTGCAATGATGCTTTCACGCCGCCTGAACGCAGCTGAAACTTCTTTTAGTAATGGATTGTTGGACTCAGGCAGTTTGATCGGAGCTGTCAAGAGATTTTTATCAATAGAGTCAAATAATTGCGTAGTCTCTTCATCAATCGATTCACCCATTTTTAAATATGACTGAATTTTAGCATATCTAGACCAGTATTCGCTGTTGACCTTCTCGGAAGGTAGCATAGTCCATTTCAGCGTACCGTATTTAGATCTCAATAGTTGATCAGTGTCGCTTTCCTGTGCCAAAAGCTCAGAAGCTTGCTTCAACACATTACTAATTTGTTGAGAGTTGAGCTTCCCCTCTTTCATTGAAAGTTGGCAAGTGTCAAGCTCTTCCGAGCTGATGGGGTGAAGATTACCAGTTATATCATTCTTTGGTAAGCTATCGTTAAGAATTCTATTCAAAGCATCAAGTGGATCAACAATGTGCTCCTGGATGTACAGTTCCTGACGTTGGTTAAATGCATTTGAGCTCTCCATTACAGAACTTGGCAATAAATCTTTGAAGAGAGTACCGCCTCCCGAAACTCCTACCAATGCGTTCAATGGATCTTCAAGTCCTTCAAAATAAATGGGGCTAGCCATTGGAGCTGGCTTAAGATTGGAGGTGGAGGCAGGAATTGCTTGCAGGTATATCAAGTCGTTATCTCTTTCTGCGCTCTTTAAGCTGTCTTGTATTCTATCCCGCAAGGACCGTGTCGAGTTTTCTTGAAGAGTAGAGAGTTGTATTAAGTCCATCGCATCTCTTAGTGCTTTTACCTTATGACCACAATGTGTCTTATCTTCACAGCTCAAACTGTACCTATACATTGCAACCGCCCTGAAGTATTGAAATTTCTCTTTGAATCGGTTTTGCCAATCTGATCTTATGAGTTCACTCGTTGAAGCACATTTAAAGGCAATATCGTAATATTCTGACACTTGAAGAGCCAGTCTGGCTATTAAACTGTCCTTGAGACCGTCTTTGACAGCCTTGAACCAAAAGATTTCCTGAGCTTGGGCTAACATGAGATATTCCAGGCATTTAACGGACTTGGGCTCCATAACAGGATCTTGCATTCCTTCTAACTGACTGCAAATAAATCCAAAACAGCCCGCGCTGCTTCGAGAGTAAACACATGCTGTTTTGAGGCCCTCAGGAGTGCCATTGTTGACATCTGCACTTAAAAGCGAGTAGAGAGCCCCGATATTGTAAATAATGTTCAGCTCTTCAAAGAGAAACCGCGAGTCTTCTCGACCATAAGACTTCAAGCCCAAAGTCTCGAACCATTTGAAGGTTAATTGATGATCAGGGAACTTCTTCTTGAGCTGACTAAACTGGATATAGTAGTCCTTCAATCTTTGAAGGCCGCTAAGAGAGACTTCTGCTTCTAAAGCTGACTCTCTGAGTTTTGCAATTATTGCCATGTCATCACTGAACACTGAGGCTACTTGATAAAAAGTACCATCGATTACCTTTGAGAGCTCACTCTTCAAGTCTACGTTCAGACTTCTCTTGAATGGAATGCATAACAGCTGTGACATGCTTTACAGCTCGCGGAACGCTATGTTTTTCGAAGTTGAACTTTACGCAACGATCCTACGTAATTTATTGGCGGTATATTAATTGAATGATATTTAATACAAATTACGTTGGTTTTTCCTTTATGCGGTAAATAACTTTCCTCTCGTTGAAGTGACCTGGAAGTCTTCATTAGCGTCTTTAAATTCATCACCATCCTCTTGTAGTCTTAAAGGTATACTTAGTCGCTTAGCGCCTTTGGAAGCGACGTTCAAAAACTTCAGGGACTCCGATCTTGCGAGATCAGCTTTTTCCAGGCCGATAACCTCCTCTTCGTCTGGATCCGGAATCCTGACTTCCTGAGCTTCGTCGCCAAGTTCAGAAAGCAAAAAAGTGATGTTTGTAATGTGGGACTTGACCGACTGCGACCCACGGGAAGCGAGATTGCGAGTAGGATTGAGCGCTCCACTACTCTTGACCGCTTTAAGGTCCCTGACCTTGGGCGATAAATGCTTTAGAGTCTTTAGAGACCTCGCATCAGACAAAAGAGCAAATTTTGGTATGTGGTTGCTGTCTTGCGACAAAACTGGGGGGACCGAAAGGTCACGACCTGCTATGTGATCATTATCATTAATATGACTGTTACCGTTGGATATCAAGTCTGTAGTAGAAACATTCGATCCCTTGGACATGATTATTCTTCGTCCTTTCTCGGAGTATTGATTGGAGCCAGCATCTGAATAGTAGTTCAGAAGATCTTCTCGGGTAAACTGCTCACAGTTAGTGCTTTTGTAGTCCGCTTGAGATTTATAGTCGCTCAAATCTAAGAACCTAGCTGCACGCTTATGATAGAGGAAGTAGCACTTTTTGTTGACGTTATCGTACTCCAGGTAGTGTTTTAAACCTGCAAGTAGTGCAATGGCTCTAAACTTGATAAATGTTGCGGACATAAACTTTTGTTGCTTCTCTGAAGAATCCAGAGAGTCTATGAGATGAAATAGTTTTGAGATAGAGAAGGAACCACTCAAGGAACTGCTCACAACACTAAAAAGTTTTAGCGGATCTTCCACGAATACGGTTAATTCCAAATAAAGGTCCAAACTTAGCGAGGGCGAGAAAGTGGATGTGGCGAGTTCCTGCAAGTCGCGACAGAAGATGGCAGTGAGATCCGAGTTTCTGACATCCTTGAGTCTTAGTAGTACTTCTGAAAACATATCAGATGTTTGGTCTTTGTAATACGTTTTGCGGTTAAGATCTCCGATTGTGGTAGCGCATTGATTGCTAACGTCTGAAGAGACACCGGCGGTAGCCTGTGTGTCAAGCAATTTTCTCATTACATCAATGATACTCAAACCAACTATACTGACTTCAGAAACCAAAAGACTGGAAATAAGCTTCAAAGTAATGACAGACTGCTTAGGGTCCTGCTTCAATTGGTGAATAAAAATTAAAATTACAATGTACCGCAGATGAACAGGAATGCCATTGCAAATAAACTGCAGAAGTTTCTGGTTCGGTGTTTTCAATAAAACTTTGAGTAAGGCTTTTATAGATAGAGTCAGCTTGTCAGTTTCTGAAGTATTGAAGAATGATCTCAGTGCCTCCACTGCAAAATCCTCGCTATTTGTGAGATCATCCAGGCCCAAGGCATGAGTTTGCGTTCTCGTGAGTCTTTTGGTCATGGGGACATCTTCTGTAGCTTCTAGACTCTGAATATTGTACTGCGGATTTTTCTCTTGAAATTTGATAAGGGTGCGTTCTGCTGCTTGCGAGAGCAGCCTACTGGCTTGTGGATTTAGAGCTAGATTCTCAACTGTTGAAATGTCGGCACATCCTTTAAGCAGTAGCTTGTCGTCGTGAAGTCTTTCAGTGACGACTTGGAAGTAAAGGTCTACGAACACCTGAAAATTATCGATGAACTCGGCATCCCCGTTACACAACGCCCCATCCAAATGACGACAGATACTGCTGAAAGTCTGCTCGACCTTCTCAACAACGCCTATGTCATTGTTAACATTATTATTGGACAACGTCTTAATCATTATCTGTAGGAAATCCTTTACGAAAACGTTCAGATTTTCTTTGCAGTGGTTCACGATTTTATCCATCAGCTCTAATGTCACTGTGATATTGCCAATGCGCCTGTGGTTTAGGTCTGCATTGCATTTCCGTACCAAAAACGTACTAACCTTTTCGAGCTTTGTTCTTCTGGAATTCACATAATACAAGAGGTACGATGTCTCCGATGATTTAGGCTTTTTGTCAGGAGTTCGGCCACTTGGATAGCATTGATTGACTAATTTCTGATGCTTCGGAGTGAACAAAAGACCCATCTTAGGTCTGTATCTATGCTATTCTTAAAATATTAAAATCAATCCTAAGGTGTTGAAATCATCAATTGTTTTTTAATAATTCTAAACATCGGGACGAACAATTCGACTGACGATAAGCCCCTCGCAAGTCTTTGAACTTTTCCGGCACGCCATAAGCAGCTTTACTTGGTATCAAGAAGTGTCACAAGAGCATCACCAAGCAGTGGCTATAGATTTTTTTTGGGACTGCATCGGTTAGTTGGCAAGAACAAGAAAGCGATTTCAGCCTTAGCGCCGACTATTATAGAGTCGTAATCCGATTTGATTCGAATCAGCACTGAAAGCAAACTGACGAAGACGATATCCGACCACATCTCAGTATAATTTACGTCCTCGAATTTGAGAAAACTCCCCAAATTTAATAAAGCATCACGACCAAAGTCGCCTCAAACAAACAAACTCTCAATGCCACCAGTTCCCATCTATGTTAAAGGAGGCGTGTGGTCCAACATCGAAGACCAAATCCTAAAAGCTGCTATTCAAAAGTATGGTACTCACCAGTGGAGTAAGATTGCCTCGCTTTTACAAAAGAAAACTGCTAAACAATGCGAACTGCGATGGAGCGAATTTTTAAACCCTAGCCTCAACTTTACCCCATTCTCAAAAGAAGAAGATGCACGGTTATTAGAATTAGTAACACGATTACCAAACCAATGGAGAACCATCGCAGGAGCAATGGGTCGCACCCCGCAAGTGTGTGTTGATCGGTATAACGTTCTTTTGGAGGCAACAGACTCTGACGTCAAACTTGGGAGTTCAACCGACTTCGAAGTAGGTGATATCGATTTGAATGCGGAAAGCAGACCTGCAAGGCCAGACGCTGATGAGCTCGAAAGTATGGACAAGGAAATGTTAGCTGAGGCACGGGCCAGGCTTCTGAATACACAGGGTAAAAAAGCCACGAGAAAGATACGAGAACGTATGCTGGAGGAAAGTAAAAGAGTTGCTCGCTTACAAAAGAGACGTGAATTGAAACAAGCTGGCATTGACTCGAAGATTAGGGCTCCGAGGAAGAGGTACGGTACTGAAATCGATTATAATGCTGACGTTGTTTACGAGCAAGAGCCTGGACTTGGACCTTACGATACTACAGAAGAAGATGAACGCGCTGCACGGGCTGTCAAAAATTTCGAAGGTTCCGTTGACAGAAAAGGTTTGCGGGAAGATGAAGAGAAGAGCAAGCTCAGGCGAAAAAGGGTCCGTGATGAGAAGCCGGCGGTAGTTAGTAATTCCACGGTTTTAACGAACGACTACAAGAAGCCTAAATTAGAACTTCCGCCATATACGAAAACAGATTCAATGATTCAGGCCCTATCAAAGCGTTCTAAAAAGAGTATCCTGAGACTGTTCAAGAAACTTCCAAAACCTAAAAACGATTTTGAAATAGAATTGGATGAAGAAGAAGAAGAAGACGAAGAGGAAGACGAAGAGGGTGACGAAAAAAAGGCAGAGAACGAAGTGGAAGGTGATAACAAAGACGCCAATCTCGGCCTCGAAGACAATAATGAAATTGCTGCTTCTGATCAAGTATTTGACAATCAATCTAAAAGCGAACTCTCTTTCGGATTTCGAGACCACTATGGTCCCACCAAATCTACTGCCCAAAACCTCCCACTACCAGACCCTATCATAAATGCATCCAACCAGGTGGATCGTGAGTTTAACGAATTATTAGCATCTTCACTTATAGCTAAGCCGGCTATAAAAGATCCCGAGTTTGCTGCACTGAAGTCGAGCTTAGGAGCATCGGTGATGGAACCGATGCCCAAACAGAAGCAGACTGTTTACCAAAACCGCGTAAAAGTATTATTAGAGTCTACTTTGGATTCAGGACCTAGTATGGGTGGTATTCAGGAAGCACAAGCCAAACTGGAGACTTTACAGAGGGATCTAAGTGCAGTAGAAACTTTGGAGAAGAGAAACCAAGAATATCATCATGAATTATTCTCTGTTCTGCTTCCGAAGTTGTTCAATTCTCAACAAACGTACTTTTTGGACTACAGAAAGTACCAAAACGAGTACTACGCCGTGGCAGCTAGACGAAGTAACCTGGAAAAACACCTGGACGAAGCAGGTGCTAGCAAAGGTAAGCGTTATTCATAGACCTCAAGACGGAAGAGACATTTTGTTAAATGATAAAAATAGCCACTCCAAACCGCCGCATAGAAAGAGTAAGGCACTAATCAGCATTGTGCATCGTGGGCCGATTTCTGACGAATCACAAACTTCAGAACATCCCAAGGCTCAGTCGCGATGAGCCTGATATCTCAACCCACAAAACGTCAAGCAGCTTAACCGCCCTGGGACACTACGCCTTTCTCGGTTGTTGGCTATGAAATCAAAACACTATTTCATTATGATAACTGTTTCAATTTACAGGGCTTACTCTACAAAGACACATTCGCATACGTCTCGCGGCTCGAGCACGGTGTAATTTAAGCGTGGAAACTGCACAAATATTAGAATATCAATGCCTCAAAAAAAGTTTGTTCAAAGTAAAACGTCGGGTCGGGAAAGGCCTGTGTCACATAGAATGCGAGTGTTCGAGCCTTCTTTATCCATGTTCATCATGGCTAATTGAATCCAGAAGTACTGTGAACGGCTCGTACATAGTGCTATATGTGCTGGTGAAAAGTTCGAAGAAGTTTAATGAACATGATAGTACACCGCCAAATTATTCATCGTACATAAGATTGTCCTAGTTTACTGTCGCGCTAGCTCAACCAGTTACATAGCTCATCAAGATGGCCAGATACACAGAGGAAGAACTTTTCCAATTGAAACCAGAAAGCGATGTTCCAGTGAACTTTGATATCGATTCTTTCAGAGCTGTCATCGACAAAGTCAAGGAAATTCAGGGCCTGCAAGAAGAAGAATTCCAGCAATTTCACCGCAGGAGATCGTCCCACCACCATGGTAAACCCAAGATTAAGCACACCAAGCCTAAGATCACTACTGACTCGGACGGCTGGTCTACATTCGATAATGTGACCAGAAGGAAATCCAGCGTTGCTGCCGGCGGCTCTGGTGTCTTCAACGGAAGCGACGATGAAACTCCAATCAAAGAAACCCCCAGCATTGCACAAGAAACCTTAAAAGTGAAACCCAACAAGAACATCTCCTCCACAAAGCCAGCTGACTCGCGCGACATCGTTACGGATAAAGCTACCAACACCTTCAATGCTTTTGCAGCGCTAGAGAGCGACGATGAAGATGATTAAATACTCTTACAAAACTTTCCTAATTAGTTAAATATAAATCGTTCAAGCTTCTAAATGTTCGGGAAGTTCTTTTCGCAGGCCAAATATGAGGCCGATGCGGCATTTTACTAGCTATAAACGTCACAGTCAGTGCGAGTTCAATTAAGTATTACTTGTGGTCAATTTGATGTCCCCTGGACCCAGAACTGGGTCCCATCGCGGTTTACGAGCATAGTACTGGCTTTCAAAATTTATTACCATGCCTTCAATGATTATCTGGCATTTACTGATTCAACTTGAAAAATTAACAGTCTAACGGCTGATTGTAATTTTAACAGAACACAGTTGATCAGCACATTGTATCATGGAGCTGTCGTTATTTCGAATAATAGGTTTTCTGTCACTGTTCCTGCTCACCGTTGTAACAGCCCAAGATTATTACGGTATTCTTGGTGTTAGTAAAGACGCCTCTGAGAAGGATATCAAGTCTTCTTACCGGCAGCTGTCCAAAAAATTCCATCCAGACAAGAATCCCGGCGATGAGGAAGCGCATCACAAGTTCATAGAAGTCGGAGAAGCTTACGAGGTATTGAGTGACGATCAAAAGCGTAAGATTTACGACCAATATGGAGCCGATGCATTGAAAAATGGTGGACCAGGAGGACAGGGTGGTCCACGCGGAGGTTTTGGAGGTGGATTCCAAGACCCGATGGATATTTTCGAGCAAATGTTCGGAGGCCATCATGGAGGTGGCAGAGGCAGACCTCGCGGCCATAATCTCGAAGCTAGAGAAGAACTCACACTCAAAGAGTACTACCAAGGGACTACGCTAGATTTTACACTGAACCTGAACGATAATTGCGACAATTGCCACGGATCAGGTTCGCAAGATGGAAAGACTTCCCATTGTCCTCAATGCCAAGGCCAAGGTGTTGTTATTCAAGTGGTAAGAATGGGTCCTATCACGCAAAAACTGCAACAGATATGTGGCGCATGCCAGGGCAAAGGCCAGGTAATCAAAAACAAATGTAATCGCTGTAAAGGGGCCAAGGTTGAGAGAAAGGCTAAGCCTTTCCATGTAGAAGTTCCCGCGGGCGCTCCTAGAGACTTTGTCGATGTCAAGTCTGGGGAAGCGGACAAAGGACCCGATTTTGATGCCGGAGACGTTTTCATCAAGTTTTCAGAATCTTCTAAATATAATATGGGCTACAGAAGACGAGGTGCGAACCTCTTCCGTACTGAAGTTTTGAGTTTAGCCGAAGCGCTGAAGGGTGGATGGGAGCGAGACGTAGACTTTTTTGACGAAAACAAAAGAGTCCATTTAGCTCGCAAACAAGGTGTCCCTGTAAAGCACGGCGAAGTGGAGCGTTTTCCCGGGTTTGGGATGCCTCTGGACCACTCCAATTCTTTTGGCGATCTTTTCGTGGACTACGTCGTCGTAATGCCTCACAAGTTGAACGCACAGCTGATAAAAGACGAATTGTAATCGTGGCATTCGAGCTCCATCATCTACATAAGTATTCAGTAGAATTATAGCTCACAGTAGCATTAGCAAAAGACAGACGAGAGGTATGGGAATCCCACTCAGCGCTACAGAATATTATTTTGTCGCAAGAATCATGACCAACTGTATCAGATTTATAGCGACGGAAAGAAAAAAGGTCTTCCGTCATTTTCAACAGCTGGAGATACATCTTAAACCGTTACTCTCCCATGCATCGTGTAAAGACCACTTAAGTTACCTGAGCATCAAACCGCGGCCATTGGAAAGAACTGCAGTGACGCCAGTGGAATGCATGGTTGATATTTGGTTATAAAAAAGAGTGGTCGAAAAGTTGCCAACTTTCCAAAAAACTTTCTTGTGCTTTTATAGTTTTAAACTAAAATTTTGACACATACAAATTTATACTGGAAGCAAGTAAGATCTCATATTCTCAAGCATCGCAAGATGTAGCTATAGTGTTGTCAACGCAAACGTAGTGCGATGATAGAGGATATAAGTAAGAACTACTTTTACTTGGTAAAGGCCACTGACAGCACTCCAATTCAAAATACGTAGTATTCAAAGTCACCGTAATTCTCGAGCTACTAGCCTTATACCGCCAAAGCCACAGTTGTAGCTAACAATGAGCGTCTCTTGGTATCTCCTAGTTGTTAAGGGCGAGGTGATCAACGTTGAAGGCAGAAGCTACAACAATTAAACTATGCGTGTGACATCCACACGGCAGAGTGAATTCCAACAGGCGACAAACATTTATTTCTATAATTATTAAACGCTACACATTCGTTACCCGTAATTTGTGGATCAGCTACCTTGTTCCAGCCAACAGCTACCACTTTACGCCGATTTGGAACCTCTGGCCCTAATAAACGTCTGTGCCTTCGTTCTCTGCAATCTGTACCAGTAACTAAATGTCACATCAGCAGCAACATATCCCATTGCTAGCAGGGATAGATTCTTGGGTGTAGAAGCGAGTTTGATGGTGTTGATCATTTCAATTGTTTTTCAGATGTTATTTCACGGTTTATTTCACCAGAAAATGCCGATACACCATGCGTAGGAAGACAGAAATGGGTCTCCTACTTATACGTTTCAAAAAGGCTTCTCGCCCTAAAGAATCACTAACGCGAAGTTTGAAACTCTGGGTGTGTCTTGAACGAGGGTTGTGCAGTTATGCTTACGAAATATCACCACAGAGATTAAACCCACTGGTCTACTAACGCCGCGGTTGCTAACATCCGATTTTGAGGATCGCTGGGAACATATCTCACACATCCGAACTTCTTTCTTCTATAGCGATCTCTCTGTAGAATAATTAAACGAACCCGGATTCTTGATAGCTTATGGGAAAAAAAAAAAAGCGGATTAATTTACCATCAAACGAGAATAATCACAAGACATTGTAAATCGTTTTAGCCAGGCCACAAAAATGCTCGCAGTCCAAGAATGTTAACTATGTTTTTCGCAGTGAGTTGTTGGGCTGTCAGTATGCAAATTCATCTCTTCCTCTCGCATGTAGAAAAAATAGAAAATTAACGATTACCAAATTCATTTCTCCGATTTGCAGCAGTAACAGCATCAGTGTAATACTACCTTTAATGTCTAGGTTGGCCCGCGACTTCCTGGCACCAGCCCGGAATATCCACACCACTTTCGTATAGTTTGCGGTCGCTAAGTTTCACGGCTTCTAGGCCTACCGTCCCATCCAGCCACGGGTGATTCACCATGCCTCCCGCATCTGCTCTTCCTTGTGGGTCGAGACTCAACATTGGGAGAAGAAAATCCGAAATGTTGTGTGCGTCTTCATCAGAAAACTTGTATTTCTCACGGAGAACCTCTTTTAGCGGCCAATACTTCAATTTGGAAATATTCCTCAGTTGGCCTTTGGAATTGAAAAAGGTTCTAGCGTGGCGGCCTGTATTCAATAATCGGGACGGAATATCGCCAAGTAATTCTATCATCTGAGCGATATGGTCGTCATCTTTGGTGTAAGAGTGTCCCTCATCGGGCTCAAATAGGAAATCACCTGTGAGTAGTTCAAAAATAAGACATGCAGCAGACCATATATCGGCACTACATCCCCACTCGCTCCCTAGAATGACTTCAGGAGATCGATATTCGCGAGTTTGGATGGAATTAGTGTAATGCTCGTCGTACCAACATGCATTTCCTAGGTCTGCGATTTTGATTTGAATAACGTCTAGCTCTCTTGACACTTCGTCCTCGGTACGCTCGTCTGTGAATGTTGAAATTTCCAGAGAGGATAAGGAATTAGTTATTTGCTCTTCTTCGCCACCGGACACGTTTACATTGTTGACATTGTTCTTCGTCGAAGGGGGCATTGGCCTAGGAAGTGATTGACCCATCATTTGCGCCTTCATCTCGAAGAAATTTGTTGAGCTTATTGGAGAAGGTAGCGGTTGCGAGCCAGTAATGAGTGTGTGTCTTCTCAGCCTGCGAGTAGTACTTCTTTCTAAAGACGCAGAGGTGCTACTTCTCGAAGAGTTAGCAGTCACGGTTGGGGAATCGATCGAAGTCTTGGTGGCTCTTCTTTGAAACTTTCTTTGGTCTCGCTTCTGTTTATCCAAAAGCTCAACCATTTTGACAATAGCCTCAACATCCCCGACTTCCATCAATACGTTTTCAGGCTTGATATCGGTATGAATAACCCCACACTTCCTATGCATATAATCCAGTCCCAGTAATAACTGCTTGGCAATCTGTTTCACGTACATCACCGGGATGCCGCGATGTTCATATTTCTTAATCAATGCCAGCAAATTCTCCCCCAAAACTTCAAAGACCATCACTACGTGTTTACCGTTTGGACCGGAGTGATTAAAACTGTCTAGAAGGTTTAATATGTGTTTAGAGGCATCGTAAAACCCTTCGACAGAACCATTACGAGTACTTACGCGCCGCAGTAGTTTGATCTCATCCAATGCAGCTTCTGTGTAGACCTTATCGCTACGTACCACTTTCATTGCCACATGCGCGTTGGTTACCGTATCTCTGGCAAGCCAAACCGTGGAGAAATGGCCCCAACCTAGTTTGCGCACCAAAATGTACCTACCATGGTTATACGTTTCACCTCTGAAGGCCGGATGGTACCCACCTGGTTTATAGTCCCTGAGACTTTCTTCATTTTTTTCGTCACAAGAGGAATAGTCGGTGTCTGAATCAACCTCTTCGCCACTGTTCTCATGTAGAGAGCTTACTCCATCGTCTGTCTCATCTTTTTGAATCTGCAGAGCAAGTGAAAGCTTGGACTTTGCTGTTCCTTGCTTCGTATGAACGTTCTCCCGGGGGAAGATCGGGTTTCCAGCAACCTTTTGATTAGGTTTACTGACATAGCCGGGATAGTTGATCGATGAACCCATCAGAGTTGCGTTGAATCCTGCCCTGAAATCCTGTAAAACCTATGCGTAAAGTTCAATTATCTCCCTTTTCCACTCTTGAGCTGGTAAACAATTTCACTTAAAAAACTCCCCACAAATAACACCGAAATTACACTAAAGCCCCAAAGTTCACGCTATTGCACAACAGCCACCGATGAATGCTATACTAGACACGCTAAGCTGCTTGTACTGTTTCGCTAAAGTCCCCTTGAAAAAATATCAAACGTTCAGAGTGGTTTCTGAAATCATTTAGAATACTATATTTATTGCCCAACCTATTGTTGAACAGAAAATTTGTAAGAAAACCTGGATCACGTGCAAATACTGTAAGAGATGGATTCGACGACACCGGGCGCATCTAGTATCTATGAAGCATAGATTATACTGCTAGCAATCATCAGTACATTAGAAATAGGACCAAGACTGATGAAGTTTATCTAAAGTCGTGGGGATATGAACTTTGTCCTTTATTGTGTTCTTTTGGTGGAAAGACGGTGACAGGAAAGTTAAGAAATTAGGATAGGTCGTGGGTACTTTTTAATGCATGGCGCATAAGACTACGGCCATTGAGTGCTCATAATTTAGGTCTTTGATTGACTATTGGAAACCATTGCCTTGATTCGGAAGTAAATTTATATATACAAACTGTGACAAAAAGTTGAAGCAGCAGGCAGTAGAATCGTATATCCAATATTGCGGAGGTAGGGTTGTTAAGAAAGAGTCTCGAAAAGGAAGCGAGGGTTGTCGCAATCAGTGAGATCCTGGTAGTTCCCCAGAGGCGTTGGTGGACTCGTGAGAGTTTTCTGTTTGAACAGCAGGTGTGGTCTCGTTTGCTTCAGTATGCTCAGGTACGGAAGCCTGGTTTTCAGTTGGAGATACCTTCGAAGCTGCGCTGGTGAGGTCAGCAGCAACAGCCGCATCAGCGGAAACTTCTGGAGATGGCATCATTTGGTTGGTTTCAGTAGGAGCCGGTGGAGCAGATGGTGCCTCCGATGATACTGGAGGCGCGGGAGGTGCTGGGATAGGCGCTGTTTCGCCTGTAGAAAAACCAACGTCTCCCGAAGTGGATTCTACGGGCTGTTTTTGTTCCACGGTTTCCGTGGGCACATCACTGGAAACTAAGGTACTTGGCGCTTCAGTAGCAGTTTGACTGGTCATATCCACGTCTTTCGACTCCTCAGGAATGTATTCATCCTGTTCTTCTCGTTTTTCGCGCGACCCTTCATACCTGGGCTTTTTTAAAGCCGCCGCGTTGTTGTGCAGCACGTCTTGATATGGTGCTGGCCCATCGTCAGCACGCACTCTGGCGGGCGACAGTTCGCGCTTGGGGGCCGCGTAATCAAGACCTCGGTGACCTCTGTACGATCTGGGACCATAGGTACCACGAGATCGCGTTGAATCCTCGTTGTATGATCTACCTCTTGCATGGAACTCGTCGTCTTCGTACGAATCTCTAGATCTTCTGCGATCGTAACGATCGTCATCGGGTGCAAATTCAGACCCATAAGCTCCAGCCCCTCTTGAATGTGCGTGCTCCTGACGAAGTGGACCGCCACGAGTTGAACGACGGTCAGAAGGATCTGAATACCGCGATGGTCGTGCTTCTGAGCGTGCGAATTGGACGCTAAGCGAAATCTGAGAATCAAACGATAATGGCCTCTGATTCAATTGATTCAGCGCATCTTGCGCTTCTTCTGGCGTTTCGTATTCTACAAAAGCAAATGGTCTAGCAAACTCTGACCTCGCAGGTGGCATCTCAATTCTCACCACTCTCCCAATGCTAAACAGCACATTGTTAGTCCCATCATCAATAAATGGCAAATTTTGAAGTGACACCCTCTTGAACATACCTTTCGAAATCTGGAGCCAGATCTCTAGTTCTGACACCTCGTGGAAACCCACTGACATGTAATGTAGATCCATACGCCATCCTGGCAGTCTGCTCTTTCCTTGAACTATTATTACATGATGGATTGATTATTCTTGGCTTTGAGAAGTGGAAACCCAATATGAAGAGCACGAGACACGAATTCTCAGGAAACTTCAGCACGAGAAGAATAGCTAGTCATAACACTAGGCATTGTACTTCAATCTCGGTGCCGAGTGTAGAACTAGGAGAAGAGCTCCACAATTATTTGTTCTTTGTATCATGACTAAAATCTAATAAACCTCAGTCATGACAACGCGATCTAGCTTAAGAGCTCGATAGTTTTGGGCTGTTGAAAATGCTACTATCAAAACATAAAGCGGCAGATACTATTTCTGGTTTTGTATTCCCCCTTTTGCTGCTGTAGACAATATTGAGGGCTGAAGATTTAAGACAAGTAACAATAAAAAACGACATGCTACATTTACACTCAAGAAATGTGGAGCGATAAACTGTTGTAGATCTAAATATGCCAAACGCACTTCAACGCATGCGCTCCTAAAATAGTGCGGGTCGCTAATCCCTGATTATGCTCTCAGGCTTGGGCGATGTATCATTCTGTTGGGAACGTAAACGTCCCGACAACAAAAAAAACGACAGCGATGATATAGAGATCAAAAGAATCCCAGGCAAGTGCGAGTGCCAAACGAACAACTACAAGAGCGTACGTTATTGTCGTAACGTTCACTAAGCGTGTTGGCTACAACAGGTCAGCATGCTTCATAGTAAAAGACCTGTGCTAAGGCTGCCCCACTGATAAGAGGTAATATCCGTCCTCAGAAAATGTGCTCTGCTTGGCCATCCTGCTGGATCAATTGACGACGTAAAAACTATTGACTTACCAAACACCGCGACAGGATAGTAAATAGTGATCTTGAATAATTTCCTACATTTGGCTATCTGATGAGAATTACCTCGTCGCAGCTATCGAAATAAACCGAAACAAATGCTCCACCGTGTCTGTTTTCATCCAATGCTGGTATTTCCTTACGTTTAACCCCGTGCATCACCTACCTCATTTTTATTTGGATTTCAATGTATTCCAGCTAGCACCTCGCAATACCCATTCGGGTCTTCCTTTTCAGATTAATTACCTAATAGCTTAAACTATCGCTACTCTGCTCGCTGTGGATGCTAAAGACCTTATCTTCACTGAGTCCCGCCATTTCCGGTCGGAAGTTCCATCAAAACAACGGATAGCTTTTTGATCCCGCAAATAGCAGCGCAGAGAGCTGGCAACTTCCGGCAAACTATTGACCAATCTTAACAATAGTCACATCGCAACCGCGGTTAGGTAGAGGCTTCGTAAAGTTTCCATCTTTGACTCTTTAAGCTTTTACTCGCGTTATACGGCTCATCAAAAATTTTTTCGAAATACATCGATGCGCTGAGATGGAAATATAAATTGGAAGAACTTCTAGCTCTTGGGAAATTTAGATTTGACAGACACTGGTGGATTTAAGTGGTTTTAGGTGCATCATCTAACAGCTTTCAGCAGCTTCAGGTACCTGATAATTTTACTGGAATCCTTTGGCTTTTTTCACCCGTTTTTGCCGCTTAAAAATGTCTCCTGTTGAACAAGTTTCTAACGTCTTTGACACCATCTTGGTGCTAGACTTTGGGTCCCAGTATTCGCACCTTATCACTAGAAGACTCAGAGAGTTCAATGTGTACGCCGAGATGCTTCCATGTACCCAAAAAATCTCGGAACTGGGATGGAAACCAAAAGGTGTGATCATGTCTGGTGGTCCATACTCTGTGTATGCTGAAGGTGCGCCCCACGTCGACATGGACGTGTTTAAGCTCGATGTTCCAGTCTTGGGAATCTGCTACGGAATGCAGGAGCTTGCCTGGATCAACGGAAAACAAGTTGCTCGTGGTGAGAAACGTGAGTACGGCCCAGCCACTTTGAACGTCGAGGATGCCTCTAGTCCTTTGTTCGAAGGCATGGACCACTCGCGCGTGTGGATGTCGCACGGTGACAAGCTACACGGCTTGCCCACTGGCTACAAAGTTATCGCCACATCTGACAACTCTCCTTACTGTGGTATTGTTCACGAGGAAAAGCCCATTTACGGTATTCAATTTCACCCAGAAGTGACTCACTCCACGCAAGGTAAGACTTTGCTCAAAAACTTCGCCGTGAACATTTGCAAATCCAATCAAAACTGGACTATGGAAAACTTCATCGACACCGAGATTAACAGAATCAGAGAACTGGTCGGTCCTACCGCCGAAGTTATTGGTGCCGTTTCCGGAGGTGTCGACTCGACTGTGGCTGCTAAGCTGATGACTCAGGCCATCGGTGAAAGATTTCATGCCATCTTAGTCGACAACGGTGTTCTGAGATTAAACGAAGCTGCTAACGTCAAGAAAACATTAGGTGAAGGTTTGAAGATCAATTTAACCGTTGTTGATGCTGCCGACGAGTTTTTGGACAAATTGGTAGGTGTCACCGATCCAGAGAAGAAACGTAAAATTATTGGTAACACTTTCATTCACGTTTTTGAAAGAGAAGCCGCCAAGATAAAGCCTAAGGGTGGTGACGAGATTGAATTCTTGTTGCAAGGTACATTGTACCCAGACGTTATCGAATCCATCTCTTTCAAGGGACCCTCCCAAACTATCAAGACTCATCACAACGTCGGTGGTCTTTTGGAGGATATGAAGTTGAAGTTGATTGAACCTTTGAGAGAACTGTTCAAAGACGAAGTCAGACATCTCGGTGAACTTTTGGGAATTTCCCACGAACTGGTCTGGAGACATCCATTTCCTGGTCCAGGTATTGCTATTCGTGTCTTAGGTGAGGTTACCAGAGAACAGGTTGCAATTGCTAGAAAAGCTGATTACATTTATATCGAAGAAATTAGAAACGCTGGCCTCTACAACAAAATCTCTCAAGCTTTCGCTTGTTTGTTGCCAGTCAAATCTGTCGGTGTCATGGGTGATCAAAGAACCTACGAACAAGTTATTGCTTTGAGGGCTATCGAAACCACCGATTTCATGACTGCTGACTGGTATCCATTCGAACACGAATTCTTGAAGAGAGTTGCCTCTAGAATTGTGAATGAAGTTGACGGCGTCGCCAGAGTTACTTACGACATCACCTCCAAACCACCAGCCACCGTGGAATGGGAGTAAGTATTGTAGTGTATTATAGTAGAATATAGATTATCGGCCATTTTTTGCCATTAGAAATAAAATTCAGAGTTGAACTTCGGGTTTCTGTTTAGAGCTCACTACTGACCAATTGGTCGAATCCATGACAAACACTAAGAGAGTGCTCTTACTCAAAAACAAGACAGTTCCGATAGACCCATACGAGTCTAATTTTGAGCAGAATGACTTCGAACCTGTTTTTATTCCCATGATTCAGCACATGCATTTGCCATTAGAATGTTTGCACCTACTACAAAATGATGCTTACATGACCCAACTCAAACACATCGTGATTAGCTCCCAGCGTACTGTTGAATGCTTGAATGAATCAGTAGTACCGAACCTCTCGGTTTCTCAACAAGACGCATTACTTCAAAAGACAGTTTACACCGTGGGTCCAGCTACAGCTAGCTTTCTGCAAAGATGCGGATTCAAGGACGTTCGAGGCGGAATCGACGCTGGAAATGGTAGCATATTGGCTGATGTGATCATTTCTGACTTGAAAAATGACGCTACTACTGATTTTAGCAGTATGCCAACACTGCTGCTTCTGGTGGGCGAAACCAGACGAGACATTATTCCCAAAAAACTTGCGTCAGCAGGCCTAAAATCTCAAGAGGTTGTTACGTATAAAACGGAGATTCTTGACAATAACTTGCAGCGGTTCGTGTCGCTTTTTAACTCGCAGTGTTGGGTTGTGTTTTTCAGTTCTCAGGGAACTGATGAAATTATTGATTATTTAAAAGACAAAAATGCCCAGGTTGCTAGTATTGGTCCCACTACTGATGAATTTTTGCTATCCCGTGGAATTCGCTCTCACGTTGTTAGTGCAAAACCAGAGCCCGTTTCTTTGATTCAGTCGCTGAAGTCTGTTTGACGGTTCCGCTGCTATTTATTTATTCTTTCTATAAAAAATCTATCAAATAACCAATGTAACTTCATGCATGTTCAGATAGTGAAGTTCTGAAACTTTTCGGTCGCTCTCTGTTATCTCGACTTTGGGAAATTTCAAATAACCTCTGCGTAGTGGAATAATATTCACTCGATATTCCTCTGTTGAAGGCAGTAAGCAAAATCTTCTTTTGCCATCTATGAGCCATTCGTTAGAGTTAAACAGCTCGAAAATATAATCTCTTCCCGCTGAATTTTGTGTTTGCCAGTGACGACTCAGATTTTTCACTTTTATAGTATATGGAATAATATGACCCAACTGTGATACCGAACCTTCGCTATCATCGCGAGTTAAGTTAACAGAAAAGAACCGTGACAAAGTCGGGAGACTAACATGCACCACCAGAACTGACGGTAAAATATCTTTGGTGTACTCCACAATCTCCAAATATGAGAATTGGAATCCTTTTTGCAGAACACGAAGGCACCTAGAAGACGCCTTCAAAAAGTCTTTGTCTTGTATTTTAGATTGTAAGAAGACTTCGAGTTCATTGATACAGCTCTCCGGAGAAATGAGCTGCAGATAAGATTTATGCTCAAACAGCTCGTAGTCGAACACCAGTCGCTTCAGCACCATTGAGTTCCATACATCTCGATGTGATTCCATCTTAGCTGCAGTTTGGGGGTTTCCTTGAATAAGGATGACATTAGTCACAAGATGATCGATTTGATCCTTCAATATATTGAACGTAACTCTCAAGTGAAAAATGTCCTTGCTGTCAAATAATTTATGGCCTTTAGTTTCCACCTGGAAAAATGTCAAACATGTGTCGTCATCCCCATTTTTTATCAAAAGTGGGATATCTGGAGCGAAACCTCCATGGACGTTGTACTTGTCAGTATTATCCGCTAGAAGTTCTGAACCATGTAACAAAATTGGCTCTTTAGGCGTGGAAGAGTTCACTAAGAACTTAAAAAAAAAACATCCATCACGGGCGATGTCTTCCACTGACACACTCACTGGTAAGATGCACGATATGGTCTTGGAGTCACACTGATAAAATTCTACACCGGGGCATTCACGAGTCTCAAACGTCATTTCTTGCTTTACCATGAAGTTGTCGCAAGAATGCAAAATGAAATAGTCCAAAGCTTTAACGTTAAAATTATCAATGACTATCGAGAATTGATCTCCTTCTTTGTTGAACGATACATTCGAATTGGATTCATTTTTCATGGGGAGAGCGGTTAATACTAACTTGAATGTCGAGATGTCATCTCTGTTAAAATAATTCAAAGTAACAGAATTCTTTGCAGTTTCTAGGTGTCTTGAAGGTGAGACAATCAATTCGAAGCTGTTGCTTTCAATGGGGCGCTCAAGCTCAAGAAATTTTTCTGCGTCTTCCGTAAATTCCTTGCAAAATATCGTGTTCCCCACTGTACTTTCGGTGCTTACGAGTGAAAAGGTTCCAAAAGAAATTCTTGCAGACTCGAGGAAAAGTACGTTTTCCCCCGGTTTGACGCAACAATCGAGCAGCTGAAAAATCATAGACTCTCCATGGCTGTTCCTCAGTAGCAGCTGCATAGACTTCACGAAAACTTCCTTAGGAATTTTTTTGTTGAACACCTTAATGCACAAGCCAAAAACGTTAGGCCTCGTTACAACGAGCTTTCCGTCAACTTGAATATCGAATAGATTATCCAATGGATACATCAAACTTCCATTATCTTTCTCATTCATAGCAAGGAAACGATCCCACCAGTATTCTTTACGATCATCAGGTTGAGCCGAGGTTAATAGATCTAGAATTGAATTGCTCAGAATAGTTGCAGTGGGAACTTGCTCTCCGCAAATGATTAGCGTTTCAATGCCGGGACTTTTCACCAAGCAATCAATAAAGCATTCCAACAAAGGAAATGCTATGGTACTCCAATTGGACTCTTTATAATATTCGTGACAAGATTGAAGTATGCTAATGGCTTGTTCATATTCGTTGCGTTGATAATGAAGGAGCCCAATTTCAACGGACAATAAGTCAACAGTTCGATACTTTTTTGAGTTGGATTCGCTGAGCAATCGAATAATGTCTTTTGTCATGGAAAAGATTGTTTGATGGAATGTTTCCTCATCTTTGAAAGTAGAATTTATATGGCTCAGTTGTGATTTTCTTGTGAGAGAAGAGTAATTTCTTCCAAAGATTCTGAAGTTGTTTGAAGCGAACGCCATATCAAGAAAACAATCTCTTGCGATCATTTTGAAATCAGCTCCAATTTCGCGAAAGGTTACTGATGCTTCACGATCAAACATGGAAATATCGAATAAAGTCTCAATGAAAGAAGCTTTGAACTCGGCGAGTAATGGCGAACTCTTGAAAGCCCTTTGAATCGTCCTCAAGAACGTTTTAGCTAACTGATAAAGCCGCACATTTCTAGGCGCTTGCACATAACTTTTCTGTATCAATTCACAATGTTTCAAGAAAAAGAATTTGTTCAGCTCGTATGTGGTAAGGTTTTGGTTTGCGACCTGTAGTGCTATGGAAGAACGATTTGTCTCCTGTTCGTTTTGTAAAAACGCAAATGGGATTTCCAAATTGCCTGACGGTAATTTAGGTCCCAGCTTCGAAAGCAGTTTAGTCCTTAAGGACTCCAGCTCTCTGGAAGCCTCGTCATTGAGATAAAAGGACAAAAATAGGTTGAGTATTTTTTCCTGTAGAGATGTAATTTCTACGATCTTGTCGCTGGGGACCTCGCGTAGCTTTACCTCTAAAAGGGCCAGCCGCTGTTCAAAGACCTCCATTGTGTATTTTCGCAGCTGCGCCAGAGTACCATTCCAGAAATCCGTTTTCTGCTTCTCTGACCTGTAAATGGACTTGACCTCAATTGCTGTAAGATAGGGAAAATCCTTGCTGAACTTGTCAAAAAACGACACGGTCTTGAACAAGTTGGTTTCCGAAACGTCAGAATTTGAGTGTAGTAGCACAACTCTTTTTGCTGGCATCAATCTAGTGTCCAATTCGACATCCGGCAGCCATTGTCGCACTAGGGGCCTTACTTTAGCTCTGTATTCATCGATTGAAGTGCAGCTTATCACCAAAAACATGATGAAAGGTTTGCTGCTACTCTCTGGCCCCTCATAATCGTCCGCCTCGCCAACAATCTTTACAGGAAGACTTGAAATTGTTCGCAGACTTTCATTTAGCGGTTTCCAATGCAAGTTTCTAAACGGTAGCCTATCTTCTAATTCTTTTCTTACACTTCCAAAGACATTGAAAGGGTCAAAATAGCTGAACTTAATCAGGTTCTGTGCGGTGTTGTTGCCCATATACAATGTTTACAGCGTAAGTTATTTAGATTCTTGTTTGAAGCACGCGTAATCAAAATCAATGAGAGTAATTTGAAAAATAACATAATTGAGAACTAATAGCCAAAGGTATTCAACCTACAGTCAATAGTCGCCAAAATGGTTCCTGAGAAGTCAAATTGCTCGAAAACTGAGAAGCAGGCTAAGGAAGGGAGTACCAGAGGGTCTAACGTTGCCAAAGGACGCCTTGTTAGATACAGTTCACTTCTCAGAAGACGAGAGCCCTTAAAAAGAACTCGGGTTTTGGAAAAGAAAGTGTCAAAGCCCCTCAATGGTTTCCAGAGTGCTGACAGTTCTGAAACGTTGAAATGGGCTCAAACATTTATTTCAAGAGGTCGTACTTTGCTCAAGTCGATACACAATGAGGACTTGAGGTTTCGACAAGATCTTGACGAAAGCAGAAGGCGCTCTCAAGTACGAGAAGACTATGTCAACGTTCTTTTGAGTACTCCCGATCCAGTAGATTACGGTTCTTTGGAACCTGAGTTAAGCATGGTTGATACTAATCACGGATATGGCACTGACACATCATTCAAAAACTACGAAGATACGATGAACAACAGCTTGGCTTTTACGGAGCATGCACTCTCTCGAAGTATGTCTGAAGCAAAACTCACGAATTCTGAAGAAAAGGAGAAAGAGGTTTTCGAAGGGCTGAATAGTGACGCTTCAAGCGAGAATGAAACGAGCGAGGAAAAAAAGTCCGAACATATCGATCAAGAAGACGGCAATGACATCGTTGTGATACTTAGTGACGATGATGAGGATGCTGCTGTTCCTTTGTCAGCTGCTACACAAATGGATGAAACGCAATCTGACGAGCTCAAAAGTATGGAAAGCGGCAACTCAGATTATGACGACAGTCTTATATCCAGAGAAACCGACGAAGCTGCGAATTCTGCGATTGAGTTTGAAGAATTGGAGGAGGAAAGCGATGATGTGCAAAGTGACAGTGCCGAATCAAACATTAATGACAATGGGGGCATAGAAAGGGGTGTAGAACTAGCAGAAAGTGAGGATTTAGCAGAGAGTAAAAATTCGGAAGAGAGTGAACAACTATCGGAAAATGAGGAAGTTGAAGAAGGTAAGAAGCTGGCTGAGAGCGAAGATCTCGCAGAAAGTGAAGACCTCGCAGAAAGTGAAGACCTCGCAGAAAGTGAAGACCTCGCGGAGAGCGAAGACCTTGCAGAAAGCGAAGATCTTGAAGAAAGTGATGGCCTGCCGGAAAGCGACGGAACTAGGTACAATGACAATATTTTAATAAGCGGGAATGCTGAAGAACACACAAAGGCTGCGGCTTCTCGTCAAAGGCTTCGTCCGATAGCTCTCCAATCTCACGAGAATGAGCAAGCAGTACAATCTCAAAATTTTGACAGTAATGATGTGGATCAGTCGAACCTTACTGCACAAAGCGTTGCCAAAACCCCAGATTTGCCTCAATACGAACATTACGGAAACATTTTCGATTTTCAAGGCATCGCGAGAGATGCTATCGACGTAAGTTCAATACCCTTGACACTACCGCAGGACGCAGTACATGAGTCCATGGTAAGTGAGTCTCACAAAACGAATGTTGACGATAGAGATAACAGCATCAAGAATATTCATGAGGATGACACTCGCGAGAACAACGATGATCCGTATAACGAAGAAAGCATTGAGGTGCCAAAAAACAGTTATGACTCAGAGGGCATTTTGATTGAAAGCTTGGGTGAAACGGAAGAGAATAATCAGAGTAGACAAAAGCCCGGTCCAGTCAACATATTTCACAACGATGCGATAAATTGTTTGATAAACAGAAATGAGAGCTTTTTGCAAGAAAGTTCGGTGGACAAAAACCTGGAAAAGGTGGATGGCTCTTGCGGTGGGCAGGAAAGCTTGATACATAAACAAGGACACGAACAAATTATCGAGAGTTCTGCTATGGATACTACTACTACCAATGCTATTGCTTTTGCGAAAGATGCACACGATCTTCTTTCAGTCGACGCTATGAACTCAAACTATCAGCCAAGAGAGTCAGTAGAGTTAATTCCGAAACAAAAGCAATCCGATACTTCACTAAGAAATGAAAGCGCAGCAGAAAGTGCATTAGCGTCAGTTTTGAACGATACTGTGTACCATTCTTGCGAGAATGAATTAAGTGTTGACGCTCTTCCCTTTTTATCAAATCACGAGGAAAAGCCTGTTGGTAACTCAAGGTATCAACTGGTTTACTCTGAATCCTACTACAGTAGCGATCCTGAAGAAGAAACTAGCTTCGAGGCTACGAGACTTGGCGCCGCCGATTATGTTTCTCCCTTTGGAGAAAATCCGTTCTTCAGCGAGGACCCGGAAGCTGATCTGAAGAAACTCAGGCATGTCATGCAAGCTGTTGGAATTTCTCAACGCCTAGACAAGAAAGTTCAGTGCTACAATCCTGAGAGAGAATTAGGTTCACAATTCGAAAAGGTAACGGATTCTATCAAAGACTCAGGCTTGGATCTAAGAGAATCTGCTGAGGAAAACGGCAGATATAAAACGGAAGCATATATCGCTTCCACAGAACTTGAACGTAGTCCAAGCGAATCAATAGGCGCAAAAGAAATCGACGTTCTTGTTTTGCAAGATAATGTAAGCAAACAAGAAGTCAGAAATGGGGAACCCGAAAAGGAAGCTGATCAACTTGCAACTATCTTGCCTAAAGATGAAGACCTCAACAAAATCTCCCACAACATTGAAACCGAACTTCAAGCTTTAAACGATCTTGAAGAAAGCGAATCATTTAATACAAGCAATCACAACGCTGAAGTGGTTCATACAGAAGAAGAAAAAGCAGACAATCGCGCAGCAGGCGACAAGCTGCAAGTTTCAAATTGTACTGAAACAGATAAATCCCTGAAGAAAGAATCTTGCTTGCGTGAGGCTCCTGAGGCTCCGCTATTGACGAGTGATGTTCGCATGACAAATAAAGAGCTCGCCTCTAGAGAGGCTCTCGCCGACATTATGAGCCCGTTAATTGGAAGTCCCTCGATACACTCACCGAGCCCTAGGGCCCCTGCAGCATCCAAGATCTTAGACGGGGGCACAAACAAGACGCAGCTATCTGAAAGAATAAGCGGTGAAACACACATGTCAAGCTCGCGTTCATCAAGCCCCTTAGAATGCGTGAAAATAGAAGATAGACTGAGAGAGACCGTTCAGTCAGTTGTGATATCAGAAGAGCACGAGTCTGAAGATTTTTATCAATCTTTTGAAGTAGGAAGCAGTGTCATATTAGAAGAAGTTGATGACCACAGAGAGATTTCAATATGTGAAGCAATTGATACAGAACCCATGATCACTTTCCCTGACAGCGAAGACGAACATCACCCCTTTCCATGTTCTCTAGGGGACATGATCGGATCTGAAATCAGTCTACCGGAAGCGTCGACCATTGACACAAAGTCTAGTTCATCAACCGAACCTACAAGGAGCTCGGAATTTGTCTCAGTTGAAGAGCTATCGAACGCTCATGGTTTTACTTCTTCCGAATCCTCAGAGGACTCGGATTTTGCATCTGTAGAAGAGCCATCAGCTGTCAATCACGACAATTCTCTAGCTGCGGAAGAAACTTATCTCAAGAGATCATATTTCGAGGAATTTCCAGACAATTCCGAAGCTCCACGAAAGCGGGCACTTGTTGACGAAGAGCAGAGCACAGCCGCGAAATTAGACTTTCGAGCGAACGTAGCGGCTAAGATTAGCAGCATTTTACCCAATGTAGCTGAAGAGGTACGAAGACTTACCCACATTCCAAAAATTTCTTCACTCATGAGGAAGAAAGTCATAAGTGGGGGCAGCATCCTATTATCTAAACCGATACACATTGCAACCGATGTCAAATCTAACTTTCGTCAAGTAGCTAATTCTGCAAGAAATCGTGTTGCGAGCAGTATCAAAAATGAGCTCAACGCTCTCAAAGCAAAATCAAACAATGATAGCCTCATGCAAATACTAGAACAGTTCGAGGAGTCGAGCTTTGAGGATAACAGCAGTAGTACAGAGGACGAGGCGGACTCATCTACATCTAAAGAAAACGACAAAAGACAAGGCGGAATGGTCACTTTTGATACTGATTCTGATACATCCATTGACGGCAATGACATTTCTTCCGAAAACACTGACAGCACTTTTCGTGGCTTTGATGATACATTTGTAGGCACTAAAAGTTCAGACGATGATGAAGGATCGTGTGATGAAAGTGGCTTGATTGCCACAATTTCGAGGACTGGCAGTATTGGCGCTGAAGAAGGCCGAGAGTCTTTGCGTTGGCATTTTTCAAGCAAACCGACCGATAAAGTGGCTTCGGACGCTGCAGCCAAAGCGTCCAGAGAGAGCACTGTTTCTGATTCTGATTCTGATTCTGATTCTGAATCTGATTCTGAATCTGATTCGTCTTCGTCTTCGACATTCGTTCAGGGTAGAAAACAATTCTCGGCCAATAACTCACCATCTGCGTCCCCCACAAAAACAAGCGAAGGATCTCACGAAACATCCCCAACTGCCCTGGAAGTAGACGAGACTATAAATTTAGGAATCGCGGCCGATGATGCAGATATTTTTTCTGATCAGAGTAGCTATAGCTCAACTTCTAGCTTTAGCTCTGAAGACTCCTTGAGACTACGACAACCGCTCTCCAGACGAAGAGTGCGTAGAAGAGTCAGCAGAAAAGGACGGAAAAGTCGCATTTAAATCAGTCTATATTTACCAAATAGTTCTTACCTATAAAATCCAGAATAGGCCTATGCTACGTGTATTTGAAAGAAATGCTTTAGGCCTTGCCCGTCGTGTAACTGTTTTGCATTGTCAAATCAAACTGACACTGGACGGAAGAAAAAGCTGTTATAAACGAATATATCTAAGAAAAACGGTTACAACGCTACCTATTGCAGTGAAATAGATTCAAAGAAGCCTCTGATGACCAATACTCGAGCGTTCAGTGCCCCTGGTAAAGCCTTATTAGCTGGTGGGTACCTAGTCCTGGATCCTCAATACCGTTCATATGTGGTAGCGCTGTCTTCTCGAATGCATGGTGTTGTGAGAAGAAAGACGAGCAACAGCGAAAGCTGGTTTATAGTCACCGTGAGAAGCACACAATTCAATGGCGATGAATGGAATTACAAAGTTTCTAAACCTGCAGGTTATGAAGTATACGAGGTTAATGGTCTGAGAAATCCATTTGCCGAACAGGTTGTGAAGGTAGTAGTGAGCTATTGCCAACCTAATGTATTGAACATGTCGGATGTGGCCGTGGAAATCTACTCAGATCCAGGATATCATTCAGTAGGCGAAAGTAAGCTCAAGAAGAATGAAGAGAAGCAGTTTCGATTCCATGACAGTACCATCACCGAAGTTCCGAAGACTGGGCTTGGATCATCGGCAGGCTTGGTGACCGTTTTGACTACTTGCTTACTATCAGTGTTTTGTCGAGGACTCGATGTAGGCTCTGAGAAAGATCTGGGAATCATACACAATATATCCCAGATTGCGCACTGTCAAGCGCAAGGCAAAGTTGGAAGCGGATTTGATGTGGCAGCAGCCGTTTTCGGCTCTATCATATACCAGAGATTCGATGCAAAGCTGATAGAAAATTTGCCAACGAGTCAATCAAGAGACTATGATGCTGCTCTTCGGGATCTAATTGATACGACTAATTGGAATTTCACCCATGATAATATCACATTACCTAGCGGCATACGCTTAATAATGGGTGACGTGAGTAGTGGCTCTGAAACAACGAAACTTGTAGCTAAAGTCAAGACTTGGTATAATGAAAACTACCCAAGAAGCTTGAACGTATATCGGGAAATAAACGACGGGAATAGTAAGTTCATTGACGGTATCGAAAAGCTGACAGAGCTATCAAAAAAAGACCCCTTATCTTATGAGAGCTTACTCAAGGCGTTAGACTCAGGTAGTGACACCAAAGCCATTCCTGTTATCTCGCAAATTAGACAGGCGATTGATCAGGTTAGGCGCAACTTCCAACTCATGACTCAGGAATCCGGCGCTGATATCGAACCACCCGTTCAAACTGAACTCTTGAACCAATCCATGCAGCTGAAAGGCGTGCTAACTGGTGTCGTACCTGGCGCAGGAGGGTATGACGCGATTGCTTTAGTCACTACGGAGTCTGCAAACATCCCAAGCCAAACCCTTAACAACGAAAGATTTTCAGCCGTAACTTGGTTGGACTTGCGCCAAGAAAACATTGGTGTTATAGAAGAAAATCCCTTGCATTACGAAGGCTTGCAGTAAACCTCGCCTCTCCAAAAATTACACTTTTTTTTTTAGTTATCGTTACTTTACTATAAGACCTATCGTTCATCCGCTAATCTTCTCAGCTTGTTGTGGCTCTGTAACGTACTCCCAATCCTTTTTCCGTACGCCAGCTAGCCCTCCCTTAAATCTTTTCATGATTTTACGTATTTTACTGTTGTGAATAAGGTCATTGATCTTGATTTGTTCGGGTGTATGCTTTACCGGTGCAAATTTCTCCGGTATGAAGCGATTCTTGTTGGGCAACAGCCAGTCAGATCTTCTCACAGGTTCGACCATTTTTGGTATAATCGACTCGAACAAATCTAATATTTCTGGAGCTGCCTCTTCTGGCTCGTTTTCCTCTAGGCGATTTGCCTTGTTTTCTAGAATTTCGCGTTCTCTTTGAGACAGCCGAGAAGACCTCCGAATATTACCATCGGCATTCTCGGACGGTATAATGCTGCTTACTGATATAGTTGTATCAAAGAATGCGGTGGTTGGATCCATCCGTCTTCCAGACGGAAGTGCTGAATCGGATGATTCTCGTTTCAACTTACTTACCTGAGAGCGAGTCGCTCGTTTTTTCGTAGCAGACGCAGTTTTCGGCTGATCTCCATCGCTGTCCGAAAGACTGTCATTTTTGTTCTCGCCATTTTCATCTCTCGATCCTCTCTTTATCTTCTCGTAGTAAACTCCGGTACTCCTAGTCTTGCCGTCCTCAAACCCCACTTTTCCACTAACCGAGACACCCTTTTCAAACTTTGTTAATACGAAATAATCCTCGTATGATTCGAATTCCAGAGGTTTTATTGTTGTCTTGAGCTCTCTACTTTCCTCAAATATTTTATCTCTGAGTTTCTTGTTTAAAGCCATCTTTTGCTCCACGCCCAAATTTGAATGCTCGTTAATTGATTCGATTACTAACGTTCCGTCATCATTTTTAAAGTCTGTCTGCGACTCTTCCAAATACTGGGCTTCAGTTCTAAAGATATCATCGTCTGTTTCCTCCACTTTTAATTGGCCATTCATCAAATTCATTATCGCAATTGAGGACACACTAAATCGAAAAATTATTCCCTGGATCAGCAATTTAATACTCCGGTGTCGCAGTCGCGGGGGCCACTTTCACTGTCTGGCTAAAAATGCTCTTCCTTCTTAGTCTTTCTTGTATAAGCAGATAGGCAAGACCTTTTCATCCATCTGGACATGTAATATATGTGTCCACGTGGTTTTCACGTGGCTTCTGAGTTCTTAACGGCGGTATAATGTCTACATAATTCTTAAACGTGTCGGCCTCTCCTCTAACAAAGTTCTACTCGGGGTTCCTTTCATTGGAGCATGCTTTCTGAGTTTAGTTTCTGTCCACTTCAATTGGATTTTAAAAAGCCAAAAGAGCCAGTGGAATGTACCTCAATTTATGGCTTCTTTTGATTGAAAACAAGCTTGTCGTAAGTTCTGTATTTAGGGTTTACTTGCACTGCTCAAGATTTGCTAGGCCTACGAGAAGTTATGCCGAGCATGAGAATTATTGAGATTTATTCCTATCGACAAGCTTCAATTCTGAGGGGCAGCGAGTGAGGTTTCAAATGGGTGTACAAAGTCCATTTCAACAGTTAAATAGCGTAGGCTACATATGTCTCTTCATCATTTTCATGATTAAGGATATAATCCAGTGCTAAAAACATTTGTAGGTTTCGTGAACGACAAAAAGGCGGCGGTGTTATCAAAAAGTGTACGGCAATAAACTGCTGCTATTCTGGCAATACATTGTTTGCTCGATATTACAACAAACGCGATGCGATTAAATTCGCGCCGTATACATAGCTAATAATATCCGTCTATCACGTTGTACTATTCTGACACGGCATGCACTTTGACTTTGAAAGGACCGACACTCCAAACACAATATAGGAGTGTGATCCGTTGGCAAGCTCACACTGTGCGCTATAAACGACGCTTGGTGCTGCTAGCTAGACACCAAGCGTTGAAATTTCCAAGGCCGACACAAATGCACCGCCAGGATTTTGGTATGACATTAGACTAAGAGTCTCTCTTTATTCATATGACATCTAATCTTTTTTATCTAACTAGCATTCAATGTACCATATTGGGCAGATTCTTCTGCCGGAGCTTCAGGTGTGGTTTTAGTTGTTGTCTCCATTTGTTCGAAGACCTGCATTCTTTCTTCGCGAGCCTTGCTCTCTTTGTAGACGTAGACAATCAACGTGGTTGATGTGACAGCCGTGACAGCGACTAGGATAGAATTAATCGGTGTGGGATTCATGTTAAAAGTAGTATGAGTAGACCTATCCAAGACGCTTTGTCCTAGGTTGAAGATACCGGATAAGCACATCAGCAAGCCATAAACAGTTCCAAACGTGTCGAAGCCAAACACCTTGGCACAGTAGTCTGATACAACAGTGTAATAGAATGGTCTGTATGCGACAAGCATAAAAATTCCGAGGAGGTTCAAGCTGAAGGAGGGGATGAGACCCAGGATACCAATGACGAGTGAAATCGATGACACTAAAATGATTGCAGTCAAAGTAGAACAATGGTCCAAAACAAGTCCAATAAAAGGAATAGATACAAGTCCACCAACTGGCAATGCAACGTCAAAGATAGAATTGACTTTCAAAGCCAACTTATGACTACCTAGCAAAAACTCTTCCTGAGATCTGACAGTTGCAACGAAGTAGTTTATTCTCAGCATGCAAATAATCACAAATGCCAGCATAAGCACAAACCAAGGACTTTTGATTTGTTCACTGGCAGAATATCCATGCATTACACCAAAAATACCCTTTGTCTTCTTCTCCAATTTGGCTTCCACGTAGTTCTCCCACACAGATTTGCGACGAGAGTCGTTAGAGAGCACTGGATGAACATTAGAGTGACTAGAAAGCAAAGACTGTCTTTCGGTTTCATCGGGAATGATTCGAGATCCGTCTTCACCTTCTGGAAGGTTTCCATTCATGTCCAAGCCTTCAATTTCTAGTTTCTGAACTGCCCCCAATGACTTATAAGACTCTTTAGGCATGATAAAGAGTTGACACACAAAAATAAAGAGCGGAACAATTAAATAGCCAGTGAAGAACTTCTTCAAGGTTAGGCTAGGCATCCAGTTTTGGTAAATCAGACGATAGATAAAGAACAGCGCGGAGGATGAGTCGAAAGCCCCTGTGAGTAACGCCAAAATTGTTCCAGACTTATTGGGGAACCCGTTTGCCAGTTGGAATGTTGAGATGAACACGAACGGTCCTCCAACGGCCAGCAGTACATAACCTGTAATGTAAGGGTCGAAGAACGATATTTTCGAGCTCAAGGCAAGACTGAGTGCTCCCATAGTGAGGAAGCCAGATCCCGCAAACACGCAAACGCTTGGACCATATACATCCAGCACGTAGCCAACCAAAAGTGCAACAACATTGGTAGTTCCAGCGCCTAAAGTAAACATGAAATTTAGCTTTAAATCTTGCGCTGTGCACGGCTTCAATGAGCCTTCCTTGAGGGGCACAAGATTCGAAGCATTGGCAAGCAGTGCTGTTCCATCAACTGGTGTGCAGAGTCCGGAGTAGACGCCCTCCTGGATCAAAATGGGTTTCAACGCAGCGAAGCCAAAGATGGGTCCTGCCGCGAAAAGACACCATGTTATAGCGCAGATCACTTGGATCAATTGAAGTGACACTTTTCCCATTACTACGTGGTGCTTTCGTATGTTACCAGTTGACAGGGAAGCAACTCTTATAGTTTTTTTTCGACTCTGTGATACAATTGAATGTTCTTATCTGCTATCGAACCATAACGTTCACATGTTTCTTCACATTTAAATGAAATTAAAGCGATCATCAGATAAAGCAGAACACTCGAGCGGACCTTGTGATTGGTATTTGCCTACTACTTGATAAGTGTTTAGCACGGTGGACGGATGTACCTTATCCGTTTTGGCAGACAACTAACTGAGTGCCAAGATTCACGTAGAGTTCATTAATTAGTCTATTCTATTAAATCTAAAACTAAGCTACGCTTTACCCAAACCGTCTATCATAGCCAGCAAATCGTCATCTAGATCAGGCTGGGTTGAATTTTGAACGGTTGCAGTGGTATCAGAAGTTTCGGGTTGAGAATCTGAGCTGCCAAGCATTTGTAGCCAATTAGTGACTTTAGTCACAAAGCCTTTACCATTGGGCACGAAATGCCCACCTGGGTGTTTAAGCAGAGCTCTGCTTTCTGGAGAGCAGGATTCGTAGAGTCGCATAACCCTGGAGCTTTCCACCACAGTATCTAGTTCGCCCAAGACGTGCAGTGAGGGCACTGTTATTGGGCTCTTATTGTACTGTTCTTGGAACCATTCGGGAGCCATCCGGAATCCGCTAAAGCTGACGAAGAACTTGAAATCAGGCTGCTGTTCTTCGGTCAAATTCAGCAGCTTACGCACGTCACTACATAGATACCCAGCGTAGCCCGCGCCCTGGCTAAAGCCCATAATACCGTCGAAAGGCCCATTCTCTATGATGTAGTCGTGTAAAAAATCTATCGTCTTCTGAGGGACCTTGTACTGATCGTTAGGATCTTTGAGCCACCATCCAAAAATATCGTCGGTTCCAGCTTGGGTGTTGAAAGTAGCTGCTAGCTCGCTCATGTCTCTTATATCGGCACCTGCGATTCTATTTGGTGCACATGGATAGTACAGCTCGTAACCGAGCTTTGCCAGGCTCTTACGAAACCCGCTGCTTTTCGCATAAAATATCGATCCGGACTGAGCATACCCATGCAGCATGAGTACTTTATTCGCCATTGTTTCTGACGTTCTCTGTAGACTGTTCTAACAACGATTACCGTGTTCAATGCAAAGTTAGTATCGAAGCCGTAATATACAGGTGTCTAGTAAGTTTCTATCTGGTATCTTGTTTTGTAAGAATCTTAGATACCAGACTGTAAGCTCGAAAAGCGAGCCGTGATAAAAAAATTGTTTCTACCGGCACCTCTAGAAATTTTAAGGACCCTTGCCACCTTGTTAAAAGAGCTCTATTTACTGATTCACACAATGTCTGGTTTTCATGTTTGCATGTCTTCTCCAGCGAGGAGTTTTACAGGAAAGCCAGCCAACCCTTATACTGCAGATCTTCGGAGACAATTTCAAATCTAATGGGCTATCTACTATGACCATGAAGCTTGGCCTTTCAACTATGTCCGAGAAACTAGCACTGCTTCATTCTGCCACACATTTTGACAACTGATTCGAAGATACCTACAAAAACTTCAACCTTGTAAAAAAGGCTCTTAAAAGCGCAATTTTGAAGTGGTTTAGTAGCGTCTTTCTCAAGTGGCTAAGAAAGCTGGCAAGAATCGTGTCCGGCCTTCTCGCAGAGCTGACACGTCTTGGAGACTTTACTCTTGGTATTGTTTTCGTGTGTGGTGCGTAGAGTAGTAGTAGGTAGGTTATTTGATCTCAAAATTTCCATCTTGGCACACGCTCAGGCTCAAATGAAGCTGTAAGCAAGCTCAGCTGCGTGCTCTATTATATACCACTCTACTTTGGTAATGAGCTGCCAACACTTGAATCAAGTTTTTCGGAGTGAGAAGACCCGAGATGGCGTCCTCAAGACTTACAATATGATCCGGTACATTATTGCTCATAGCACATTCCAAAATCGACATCTTCACTCTATGAGATGTTCGGAATGCCACGAAGTGAACTGCGGGGCTACTTTCATGTGTTTGCAGTGTGGGTTCTGCGGTTGCTGGAATTCACAGCATTTTCTGATGCACAGCAAGAAGGTTGGCCACGTCTTCGGCGTTAATTCCAGCAACGGGCTTTTGTTTTGCTTCAAGTGCATGGACTACGTGAGCGGCAATGAAATGCTAACCAACTCAATGCTTATCAAGTACTGGGACGATGTTTCAGTGAAGAGCTCACTGCCCGTTGCGCGTGGAAGAGACGGCTTGTGCGGCTTGGTGAACATGGGTTCTACGTGTTTCATGAGTAGCATAATACAAACTTTGGTTCACAATCCTTACATTTTAAAGTACAGTATGGACCAATACCATTTCGCTCGCTGCGACATAGAAAGCAGCGTATCTTGCATTTCGTGCGCCTTGGATAGTGTTATTGAAGGCTTTTACGGGCCAGCAAGTGACAGTACATTTTCGTCGCGACAGCAAGGTTTCATAGATCTGCTTATGTGCGCGTGGAAAATTGATAAGAATTTGGCAGGTTACTCACAACAAGACGCCCATGAATTTTGGCAGTTCCTTCTCAATCAACTGCATTCTGATCATCTAAGGATAACGAAAAAACCATCGATAAAATCTGAAACCTGCGATTGTATCGCACACACTGCATTTCAAGGTACCCTACGAAGCTCTATTTTTTGCACCGACTGTCACGACGGCAGTAACATTACATTTGACCCCATGATGGATCTGTCCCTCGACATCAAAAATAAGTCGACCTTGGTCGAGTGTTTACGTAGCTTTCACGAAGGTGAAACCCTCACAGACTTCAACCATAATTGTCCCAACTGTGGATCAATTCAAAACCCAATTAAACAAATGACTATAGCGAAGTTACCACCAGTACTAGTTTTACAGCTGAAAAGGTTTGAGCACCTTATGACCGGCACCAGTGTGAAACTCAATGACTTCGTTGAATTCCCTGCATATCTCAACATGACGCCGTTTTGCCATCGAGATGAGACCCGCACAATGCCAGATATCGTTTACGAACTTGTGGCCGTCATTTCCCATGAAGGCTCTGTGAATCAGGGCCATTACACTAGCATGTGTAAAATACCTGGAGGGAAATGGTTTCGTTTTAACGACTCCATGGTTGTTAGCATCTCGGAAGAAGATGTGTTAAGACAACAGGCGTATCTAATTTTCTACGTCATTCGCCAGATTGGTTAAATCTCCAAGCTTAGCAATCATCCATCACGTCATCTGCATTTAAACTCATTTATTAACATCTATCATCGTGCAACTAGCCATTACAAAGCTCTTTTTTTATTTTTGTATACTTCTCGTGGCACTTTTATTCGCTAATCAAAGAAATCTTCATCCTCACTGTCTCTACCTACACCGACGTTAAATTTGCCCGATACGCCCGATTTTATACCCTTTCTAGAGTAACGATTAAATCTCTCCTCTCTGGACTCTTCATCATCCAAATTTACCACCAAACGATCATCTTTCTGATCTACAGCGCCTACCTTAACCATTAGTTTCTCTAGATCGCTCAATGTTGTGTCATTACCACCGAGCTCCAGTAAAGTGACTAAATTTTTGAGCACTTCGCCGCGGTAATAGACAATCAGCGTCGGGCAATTGCTATCTGGGTAGTTCTCGATTGCTCTGTTCGCCGGAATGTCGACGAATTTAATCTGTGGGAATTTGATAGCTGCCTGGCGGAAAATACTGTCCAACAGTCTGCTTTGCAATTTACTGCTGAGCGACATATGCACGAATACATAAACACCACCATTTTCTTGGTCCTTTGGGCCCATGCTGCACTCCGTAATTTCTTTGTTATATTCTGGCTTGTTGACATGATAAATTTGGCCATACTTTGCCTTTTCGTGTAGCTTCTGGATCTCCGCCATCCTTTTCCGTTTGTAAATTTCCAGAAACTCCTCGTCTTCGTCATCCTCTAGTTCTTCAAGATCAGACAAGTCCTTCCCATCTAAGCGGTTTTCGTGCTGTTTCACCAAGGCCTCTTCTAGCGCTTCTTCCAGCTGAGCCGTGGGCGATGGTGCTCTTTCTGGAATAACGCCATGCTGCCTCAAAATATCGTTCCATTCAGTATCTTCAGTCTCATCGACATCTACCTTGACTAGTGGATCATTCTGCATCTCTGAACTAGTAATGGGTCGCTTATATCTCTTTGATAAAAGAGTGTATGCTTAGAATCTATTGAATGTGCTTATTCAAAAGTTCGATTCGAACGTCAGCGACGTATTTGGTGATTTTCATTAACCAAAACAACGAAAGCGCCCAGATCTCAAACTCCTGTTCATCCTCTTTTGCTTGCTAGTAGACTATTCAGGATATCCGTTTTAGGCGTCTTGGGGTGTTTCGATTTTGGTGCTGTTTTTCTGGGTTTTTTTGCGGCAGAAGACTTTCGGCTTGACCGTTCGTCGACAGGAGGCTCCAAGGTATCTACGTCTCGATGTCCGCGCGAGGGCGCGTCTTCTAGCTCGTCATCTATTTCCATCGATGACACACTGGGATCGCTATGATCTGAATCGATTATCTCGGCACTAAATGCTGGAGGCCTCTGTGCTTGAGATTTCGCTTTTCTCGCTGCTCGTGGTCTCCTATCTAATTTGGGATGGTTCTCTCGGTGTTTCTCAGCTCCTTTGCTGTGCATAGAACTATTAATGGTACCATTTGGAGCATCTAGCGTGATGTTCAAGGCAGCTGCTGTTTCCTGCGCCTGAAACAGCTCCCTGCTGGAGTCTAAAGTATTTGCAGATCTTACGTCTCTGACAAGTTTCTTGAGATCGTGGATATCATCAACATTGATAAGCTGTTGATTAGAAATCAGCAGTTTGACTTCGTTTTCAATCTCGCGGTCAATATAATCTTTCAAAGCGGTTTTCTCATCTTTTTCCACAAATCTGCCAACAGCTTCGTTCAGCCCCAATTCGGGAAGCAACGATAGATTCATTGACTTAAGCATATTCTGTACCATGGTTTGCACACCAAGATCACCATCGCGATCTTTGGCTAAGTAATCTACATCCATCTGATCATATAATTTCTTCGTTGTTTGCTTCTTTCTTTTATAAAGCTGAATGACGTTGTTGGTGTTGGCTACTTTGCCGACAAACCTATTGCTGAAACGTCTTGCATTTTCTACTTGATAGTCGAGATCTTGGTCATTTTTGGCACTGTAGTCAATACGAAGTCTAATCAAAGGTAACATCGATGAAGGAATAATCTCTTCAAGCCCATCTGCGTCTAAATTTGCCCTTTCGCCGATTCCTTCTTTGATCATAGCATCAACTTCCCCTTGTAGAAACTTAGTAATGGATTCTCGATCGTGAGGCTTCAATCCTGTTACGTCCTTGAGAGAAACGTCTCTCATAATGAAACGTCTCACCGATTTAAGAGGGATGCCAGTAAGTTGTGGTTGCATGCCACTTTTACACTCCAATATGAAGACTTGCTTTTCTTTGGATTCCGCTTCGCAAAGAGATGTAGCTACTGAGGAGCCTGGCTGAAGAACGTCAAAACCTTTGGTCGGGTTATGTACCAGGTGCGGAATACACTCGTGTTCGTGTCCCCACACAATGAGATCGAAGAAATCGGGCAGGAATTGTTCTGGTAAAAAAGCTGTATTAGTATGGCCCGTGTGATTTTGATGCACACACATGAGATTAAACCATTCTCCATCGCGAACAGTAGGGACATTGAATTTAACCTTGCCATCTTTGAAAGTTCGAAATAGTCTCTCGTCTCGTACAGACGCAAGGCCGTACAGCGCCAATTTCGTGCAGCCTTTTTGAAATAGTAGTGGTGTTACCTCGATATTGTCGCTTTCCATCACCTTCCCAAAATGATTTACCAAACCACTGATTTGAAGAATATCGATTGGACTGAGTAGGGCATCGCCTGAAGCATCATCGTGGTTTCCGGAAATTCCAAATACTGGAATAGAAACATTCATATTTGGATCCTCGTAATTGACGTCTGTAAACTCGCTGTATTTGAATACCATGGAAGGATCGCTCAAGAGTTCCAATTCACACGGTTTATCGCCCATACAGTTGAGACGCAGGCTTTTCATAACATGGTACATGGACTTATTTGACGGCTTGTTCACATGAAACAAGTCGCCACCTTGCAGTACCATATCCACGTTCTTTTCGCGCGCTATTGACATAACTTCCTCGAATGTTTTCCAAGAGTCATCTCCAGTAATGGGGTCGTTTTCATTATAGCCAACATGGTTATCCGAAGTGATCAAAATGCGGATCGTGTCGGGATCCGGGTATTCGAGCATCGCAGACGTTCTGGAAATAGCGCAATTGAACTCAAAATAACAATAGTTCAAGCTTTTTGTCTTGCATTTGAAAATGCTTTAATGCATGTGGAGATCTTGTCAACTATCTTGAAATCTGGAAAAGTGCTTAGTTGGACAAAACTGAGTTACAAGCGCAAGGATAAATCTAACTGAGCTATACCACTCACTCATAATGACCAGAGAGATTCCATCCTACACGACAAATTGTGATGCCAAGATACTGCGCATTTTTTTAATAAGACATGGCCAAACTGCTGAAAACTCCAAAAAGATTCTACAGGGACATCTTGACACTAATTTGAATGAAACTGGCGAGGAACAGGCTCAGAAACTGGGCCAGTACCTGTCGCAAGATAGGGGCATCAAATTTGACCAAGCTTTTAGCAGTGACTTGAAGCGGTGCCAACAAACGCTGGCAAAAGCACTAGAGCAATACCCTGCTAAAGAGAGGCCCGACGTGGTTCTTGACGCGGGTCTGAGAGAACGTTCGATGGGGGAAATCCAGGGCATGTTTTTAAGCGATGCTGAGGCCTATGCTACCAAGCACGGAAAGGCCTCATTCCGAGACTTTGGTGAAAAGCCTGACGCTTTCGAGCGTCGACTAACACAAACCGTCTCTAACATTGCAAAAAGCTGTGCGGACTCTCAGAATATCGCCATCATGAGCCATGGCGGATCGATTCGCCAATTGCTAAAATGGTTCAACTACACCGAGCACGACATGCACCGTATCATTGTGTTCAACACATCAGTCACCATAATCGATTACGTCAAGGACTCCCATCAATTCGAAGTGAAGCGGGTCGGAAACACGCAACATTTGGGTGACGGTGAGTTCATAGTGAGTGATTTGCGGTTACGCTAGTCAACTTGGTTTGGCCGCCAACTTTCCAGATTTATACAGCTTGAGATATATGAGATATACAGTTATTCACTAGAATATAAGACTCCGACATCTCGATGGATTAATAAGACGTCTAATAAAACCAAATCGCTTGGTGTTCCCTTTGACGATTACCTACCCTAATATTAGTATTCTGCCAGAAAATAAGTATTATCATGAATACTCCGGATTCTTTAAACGTTGCCAAGACGGAGAGAGTCAAGTAGATTATTCAATTTAACCAGCAATGTGGAAGGCTATTATTGACGCATTAAACGGTGATGAGGGGAAACTAAATAACGGTGACGGCCAAAACTACGACTTTTCGCAAGTCAAGTCGTTTGTTTCATCGGGCGATAGCTCTAAAACTTTGATCGATGTGAGAGAGCCAAACGAATACGCAGAAGGCCACATACCTGGATCCTCTAATATGCCTTTCAGAAGCCATCCATTGGCACTGCGCATACCATCTCGCGAGTTTGAGAAAGACTTTGGATTTCAGAAGCCTGACAAGAACCAAGAGTTGGTTCTTCTTTGCGCTTCTGGTCGCAGGGCCAGCCAGTCAAGAGAAGAGGCATTGAAGGCTGGTTACAAACAAGTCAGTGTATACCCGGGCTCTATGAGCGATTGGGTTGCAAAGGGCGGCAAAACAATTTAAGCTGCAGGGTGTCTAAGAGCTTTGGACTAAAACGAATCGTCTGCATGAAAAACATGCTCTCCAGTCCAGAAATTTAAGTAGTTTTCTATATGGTTACAATGTATGCAAGCTAGTGATCGTACCTGTCCGTTTTAGCCCTGTGACAGAATCATCAGAGGGCGCAACGACTTACAAAGACATTCATGAGCCAGCCTCTGGAATTCACCGCTGATTCAAGTTGAGTTCCACTAGAGATACAATAAATGTTTCAGATTGTGAGAGCGTTTACTGGCCACATCCCTTGCTCCGCTCTACTCAGCGGTCTGTATTGTAGGGAACGTCCAACTCATTCGGTATTTTGTTGTGTTTTTTTTGTAGCGGGAACTATCAGCACCGATACAGGCCCTGCACTAACTCCTTGATTTTGACAGCGGTGTCTTTTATGAGTTTGGTCATTTTCAAATTCATCACCCTAGCTCTGTCTTTCAAAGGGTGGATCGCAAATATATAACGTCAATTCAAAAGTCTACAAAAGCGTTGACAACGGCCAAATCAAGAAGGTCTCGACAGGATTTAATCAGAATTCGAAAACGGCAGTTTCCAGAAATGTCGATCAACTATAATAATTGTAGCACGAACTGCCCTAAAAATACACTAATTCCGTTAGCGAGTATGAGACATTGATGCTTCAAGCACTGGAATTGTGGCAAGTAAATAGTTGACCAAACACGGCTTGAGACCACACCGAAGCAGCGTATCACTTGCTATTATCTCCAGCATTTTAATTGTAAATTGCCGATAAATAAGATAGTGGTTCAAAATGATCAATTGTTAAGAAACTACATTTAGATGAGTGTTCGGTTCCGTTGTATTTATAAACACTTTATCTATAAGAAGAAAATCGTTGTAAGAGTATTATGCTAAGATCAGTGCTTGGCGTTTCAAGTCGTGCCGCTCTTTCCAGAAATATGGCCACCAAAGCAACTAAAACATATCAATTTGAGGATATAAAATCGTTGGTTCTAAAACCAGATGCCCGTAGGCTTCTGGTTGATGTCAGAGAGCCAAGCGAGGTTCAGCAGTACGCTCTGCCCACGGCAATCAACTTGCCTTTGAAGTCTGCTCCCGGTGCTCTAGGGTTGTCTTCGGAGGAGTTTGAGGACGTCTTTGGCATTCCAAAACCTGCAACTGAAAACGAGCTAATTTTCTTCTGCGCTGCTGGTGTTAGAGCCAAGGCAGCGGAAGAGCTTGCTAACTCTTACGGTTATGGGAACACGGGATTGTACCCTGGATCTATCCACGAGTGGCTAGAAAAAGGTGGTGACAAATTGAAATAATGAACTGGGGAATATTTCATGACGAGCGGTCACCCCCGCGAGTTGTTATGTACTCCTGTAAATAAAATTGATATTCCTATATGTAAAATCAAGTACAATCCTTCAAGTTCACCTGCTATGGAAAGAAAATTGTTTAAACTCTTTACCCAATCTCTTCTTACGCTTTCTATCCATGACCTTCTCTCTTTGCTTGGCTTTCATATGGTCAAATTTATACTTTTGTATCACCTTACGCTTCTCAGATTCCTTGAGATGGTATTTGGTTTTATTGCCTTTGTTGATGTCAGCTTCATAGTCCTTCAAAATTTTGCGGTCTAGATCGCGATTTTGCAATGTTTGAAGCTTAGACCTCATACTCGTAAGCCTCTGATCCATGTCCTCTCTTTCATGGTCGCTGATCTTACTCAAAAACTTGCGATCTCTCAACAGTGATGAAAGTTCATTAATCTCTTTTTGTCTGTACTCGTCTAAGAATTGATAGCGTTTCCTGATACCTTCATAATCCTCAGAAGTTCCCACGGACTTATCAAAACGGATGTCCTGATACAGGTTTTCGTTCATACTCTTAGGTGTCTCTAAACCCGGAATTTTTCTTACTCTGGGGGCCCTCTTTTTTGACGATTGCTCTGTAGGAGCATGGCTCTTCTTTTTCTTGATCGTCCTGTTGGCTCCTGAGGCATTTGGACGGACCCTTTCTTCTTCAAACAGCCCCTCTCCTTCTGAAGACGCGTCAGAATCCTCTTCGAACGACTCTTCCCTGAAGGTCTTGCCTCTGGGCTCGTCCAACTCACGACGCCTTAGCTCTTGAGGCTTTAAGGCACGAGTGCTGCCTTTTGGTTTTTCGTCTCGTGTTTCTTGCTCCAACTGAGCCTCTGCTTTTCTCAAGGCGTCAAATGACAGAGTTGAGAGACCGTCATCGCTAGAATCGTCGTCTTCCTGAACATTACGTCGGGAAAGAGTTTTTAGAAGTTCATCATCCTCAGCTTCTTCCTCAGATTCGTATCCTGGCTTCAGATTTTTAAAGTAATATGACATGGTGAAGAAATACTCAGGAGGCTTGACTAGTGCCCGAGAAGGCTGCTGGTGTTACTATTTGGACTCTAAACTTAAATCTTTCTTCTAAGTCATCTCATCTCATCACATTTCACCGCTGTTAGTTTTTCATTGTCCATTATCATTTTTTGCTAAACAGACGCCGGCCAACTTGACAAGAAATACAGCAATGTTGACATGGTTCAAGAAAAAAAGGGAGTTATCATGAAAGTATATGATAGGCTTTGGACCTTACTGGACGCCATCAAAACCGTTTGATTGAGTTGCTATGTACAGGGATTATATTCGGGCCGAAAAAGGTATAGCGATACATCTTAACTCGCTACTGGGATTCGATGCTCTCTTTGAGACTGAGTTTACGGGAGTGTCTATCAAAATAGTTGCCTAGTTCTTTGAATGTCATGCTAGAGGGATCAGCTTCCATCTCTGTTTTATCCTTAAATGTAATTTTCACAATCGGAGATTTAGATGAGCCATTCACTAGCAATTCATTTTGTATCGATGTTCCGCTTGTTCTTTGCGCGGGGGGGATAGCACACAGCAGTAGGCGGGCGCTCTTAGCTGTACACTTTCAAGTTAGTGATCATGAACATTGAGAAATTGTTTCAAAAGATTAAAAAATTCATACCTTCTTTGCCGAGTGGATTGAATCTGACAACTACCTTTGTGAAATATTTTGTGATCATAGTGTATAGCACCGATTTCGGAGGCTTCTATCGAATTCTGAAGCGGCTTTGCTTCCTATTCAAAACTGATTTAGCGTGAGATAGCTCATTTTAAAGTTCAATGTTGAACATCGAAAAAATCACTAGTGCGGGTAACCGACCTTCGATTAGGATACAGCTCTTCAAATGAATCTAATTCAAATACTTAAAGAATACTTGGGCCACTAGGAATGATATTTCTTATTCTATAGTTCGTCGTGCAAATTTTGCTTTTGATTCGCGGGTGCATTGGGCTTCTTTTTTTGAGGCTTTTTGGCACCAGATTTAATGTCATCCAAATACTCTTGGCGCTTGGTAAAGGACCCCTCATTTGGCTCTGCCCACTGCGACAAAAACTTCCATACACTTGTTTTATCGAAAGAACTACTGTCGTATGTGTAGTATTCTTGAGACTTGGGATCAAAAATGACCAAAAGGCTAGATTCAGAATCCGCTTGCGTGTTTTGTAATTTTGATAGGTATTCCTTGAAATTACCATCCAATGAATCGAGTGCGCTTACAGATCCTTTCAGCTTCGAATTGAGGAAAACATGAAAGTCTATAGCCCCCAACCAGTCGAGAGCTAAACTCTTATACAAGGGCGAAATCTTATCCTTTTTGGAAAATAAAACAGCCTTCAAACGAGTCTCGGAATTATCATTTAACAAGGTTGCTAGTTTCTCTAGTCTTGGCACACGAGTCACATAGTTTTTCACCCGAGAAATACAAAAATCCACGATGGGTCTGAGCTTCCTTTCCCCTTTGTAGACCTCGCTCGCATGATTTCCGAGATTAATCCTGTCTTCTGGGTGTTTTTTTAGATCTACTTTTGGTGGCCGAAATACCATTAGCGTTGGAAATCCTTCGACTCGGTGCTGTGCGCACAGCTGTTTGTTCTTGGCCAGATCGCAATTGACACCGACCACTTGAACTATCCCATCCAGGTTTTTAGCCGCTTTCTGCATGATTCCTTTCAGCTGCTGACAGTAGCCACACCATGGGGCGTAGAACTCTACCAAAGTGGTATAGTTGGTCCGATGTACCACTTTGTCGAAATTCTTGGGTGTCAACTCCATAATGTTAGCATTTTTATCGTAGAAGTTCTGAGCACTGACCGAACAAAGTCCCAAAAGGGCGATCCAAAGGTGCTGTATTTGCATGTTTTTTGGATAAAAACAAGAAATTGTCTGATCGGTGTGTATCTCAAGTTGAACTCAGCGACTAGTATTTAACATACTCAGTTCTATACACGTATGGGCTTTTCGTCCATTGGTACATGAAGGGTCTACACGTGTATATTTCATGTGTCACAGTTGTTATTCAATCGTTAACAATGGCGATGGCAACTGACGTCCACTAGTTGCCAGGTTTTTGTGAAAGCACGACTTGAAATAAGTTCAATAGCTTCGAGATTTAAAATTTGGTAACAGTCTTTTTTCCGGGCATCTTCCCGCTCGATTTGTAGCTGATAAGGAAAGAACACAATCCTATATCAAAAACATAAGCTCATCGCATTGTAAGACTGGACTTGATCATGGGGATACGAAGCACGGATTTATTGAATCGCGGCGAATTATCTGGAGCATGTGCATACAGCAGGGAAATTATCGAGATTTGCCAAAAAAAATAACCCTATACCCAAGCCCTCCGTAACACTGTAACAGTATGTTCAATTTGAAGGGACATGATAAACTCTAGCTAGAGACGCTTTTGATATCTCAACGATGCATATTTTGGTCCTTGCCAAGTCAGCCATTTTTATTACAGTCTCTATTATTCAAAAGATAGAAAGTGTCACCACATTTGCTGAGACATGAAGCCTCATTTTTGTTCAACGTCATATCGTAAAATTAAGTAGTTATATGAATGTACATAAGAAGGTGTAGTATAGCGTTGCCGAAGCACATGAAATAAAACAGTGCGAGAATTAGCAATTCCCTTATTCATTTCAGTTTTTGATACTTTCCTAACGCACACGGTATAGTTTGGTTTCTCCTCTCCCTGCGTCTCCCTCTAGAGGCCGATTTACAATTCCATTAACCGTTTGAATTCCTTATATTCTATTTGGCTCTTGTCACCCTCGTAACGTACAACCTCGAGGAAATAGTCTTCGTAGTGATCCATTAACGAATCCACATCTTTCCAATACCCTGCCTTCTCTATGAGGTTGCTGAAAGTATCCTTTTTATCCCACCCCTGTTCAGGCATTACTTCGGGCAAGAATGTGGCACTCAAAACCTGGCCAGTGGTCGGCTCCTTAAAAGTGAGTTCAATGCCGTGAACACCCACTTCCCAGTCGAAAATATCACCTTTCTTTCCGCTAAAAATCGTCTGGAAGCTGTGCAAAATATTGCAGCTACACTTCAAAGTGGGTAGTTCAGCCTGGGATATGGGTGGAAATCTATGGTCTTGCAGTGCTGCGATTAACGAATACTTTTCAATCCCCCGTAGTAAAGGGAGTTTGGCAAACGTTCCGATGCAACCTCTGAGATTGTAATCTTGGTGTTTCTCGCCCTTTTTCTTCCAGGTTATAAACAGCGATGTTTTCTCAGTGGTCCTACTACTCTTCACCACATAGTTGGGATACAGTTGTTTGTGGATAGCTTCGAAACTTCTGCGTTTCGAGTCTGCAGAATTGTGAAAATGTGCATACAGTTGATAGAATGCGTAGAATGCGAAAGGCGAAGATGCCGAGTCCTCAGACATGATATTTGCCACAAGAAGTTTGGTAATGTAGAGCCCGCTCAGGCTTATTCATGTGCAAGTCTTTTTGTTCGATGAGATATGAGGGGACCTATCTGCGTGCCCCACATGTGTCGCCTTCACAGGATCCCATTACAGCTCAACTATGATATGATGGGCTAAGTCTGAAGCTATTTCAATTAACTTGGGTTAATGGCGCAGTTGGTAGCGCGCTCGCTTTGCATGCGAGAGGTCATCGGTTCGACTCCGGTTTAATCCATTTATTTTTTCACATTTGTCCAGCGAAATATTTCACCATTTTTTTTGGGTTAGTTGAAAAATGCGTTGATTGATAAAAGTGATCGCGATAAGCCGAAGGAAGGTAATAAACACATCGGGTTTTTGTCGAGAGTTCTGTTCTCGGTGCTCTTACTCCGCTAAGCGCTGGGAGATAGATAGTTAGATAGGTAAAAATGGCGTTTTTCTGGTTTATTTCCGCCTAAGATCTCCACGATAGCCCAATCGCACGGTTTAGCATTAAGTCACTTGGGAGTCACAGCTCACGTGGAGTACTTCGGCGATTGGTTTAAATAGGAGCGAGCTAGGTGAACCGATTGATATGTTTTAACCAGAAAGCTAAAAGAGACCGGGTTCAATCACTAATTTCTCATATCAACCACTTATATTTTTTCGATGTCTCAAGGTAGGAAAGCTGCAGAAAGACTTGCTGGCAAGACTGTATTCATTACAGGTGCGTCGGCCGGCATTGGCCAGGCCACGGCCCTTGAGTATCTCGATGCCTCTAACGGTAACATCAAACTTGTGCTAGCAGCCAGAAGACTAGAAAAATTACAGGAAATCAAAACGCAGGTCAACAAAGACTTCCCAGAGGCAAAGGTTTTCATCGGTCAGCTTGACGTCACGGAAACCGACAAAATTCAATCATTCGTCGACAATTTACCCAAGGAATTTAAGGACATTGATATTTTGATCAACAATGCCGGAAAGGCGCTCGGATCGGATCCCGTGGGTTCTATCGACCCCAAGGACATTGCAGGCATGATGAATACCAACGTTCTCGGGCTTATCAACATGACCCAGGCCGTTTTGCCCATTTTCAAAGCTAAAAATTCCGGTGACATCGTCAATTTGGGATCCGTAGCTGGTAGAGAAGCATACCCTACAGGGGCCATCTACTGTGCCACAAAACATGCCGTGAGAGCTTTCACGCAGAGTTTGCGCAAAGAATTGATCAGCACCAACATTAGAGTAATCGAAATTGCTCCTGGCAACGTTGAGACCGAATTCTCGCTGATCAGATACAAAGGTGATGAAAGCAAGGCCAATAAGGTCTACGAAGGCACCAAGCCATTATATGCCGATGACATCGCCGACTTGATTGTTTACGCTACCTCTAGGAAAGAAAACACCGTAGTTGCGGATGTTTTGGTGTTTGCATCAAACCAAGCTTCCCCTTATCATTTGTACCGTCAATAGTTTTCTCAATAAAAACCCATAAGGCACGATGAGCTGGATCTCGACGCAGAGAGAACTCTCAAGAATACGTATTTAACATTAGTGTTGCCTATCGTTGTTGGACTGAACAAAAAATGCTTCCAACCAGAGTTGAACTGATGATCTCCACATTACTAGTGTGGCGCCTTACCAACTTGGCCATAGAAGCTTGCTGTTGGGTAGCAAAGCCTGATTGCATGATATATTCTCCACAAGAAATGTCGTTTGAAATGTGACCTAATATGCCTGGTCAGCTCAACCCTCACTTCTCTCTACATGCTAATCAGTTTTGAAAAGTTGATTAAACTAGTAAAGAGTTATACCAGTTGGCTGGCACTAGCTCTAATTTCGTTGCAATACAGTTCAGTTTACTAGTGCTCGAGTTTTGGAGCTAAAAACAGAAACCTTTTTAATTATGAAATGCTTATTACACTATAGAGGTAGTGGTGATATGTCCTTAGGCCCGTCGACCATTGTGGTCACAAGCGGTTGCGTGGCATACTCTTCGTCGAACGTTGTAAAGTCAACATCTCCTTCTTGTCCCGACATCTCCTTGTACTTCTCAATTATAGCATTTTCTAGCTCGATAGAATCGAGATATATCAATGATTCTTCAGTATTGTAAATTCTGGCATTTGCAAAAATGAGATGAAAGTCTTCGACCGCATCTTTTAAAGTGTCATACGCGTGAGACTCGATGTGAATCGATACGTTCTCAAATGCCACTGGATACTTTATCAGTTTGTAGTAGTCGGGATACAATTTTTTCGAAGGCTTGACCAGAAAGATGTCCGCTAATCTCCTTTCATCTTCATCCTTATACGTGACTGCGTAATCATACAGCTTTTTGGCTTGCTTGGCAACGAGTGCTCTCTCCTCTTCAGAATGAACTAAACGGGATATGTCACGAAGAAAAACCCTACCCTTCTTATCGTTTGGACGACTAATGCGACTACGAGCTCGAGCCTTTACTTTGGCGTTTTCGTTGGACTTCAGAGACTTTTGTCCAGCAGTTGGAACTGGAGAAGAATTTGTAGTCTCCTCTTTTAGCCCCTCCTCTGAATTTTGGTCCAGGTCAGAATTGTGATCTGGATCAATATCGGATTTGTCATCTAGAGTCATCTTAGGTTCATGATCTAGGTTCATCTCGGGTTTGTGATCTAATTCAGCAGGTTCTTCAGTTTCCAATTTGACCTTCTTGGTCACGGTATTAGTTTCGCCAGCGCTACGTTTTCTGACCTCCATTGTTTCATCAAAGTTGTCATCCTCATGATCGCTGACCTCGAATTGTTTCAGCCATTGTTCTTCACTAATCTCATCATCATATTGCGCACTCCGTCTTTCCCTTGTTCCCCTACCACCAACTGTCATATCGTCTTCGTCTTTCTTGTTGAGTTCAGCTTCAATATCTTGATGATAAATATGGGGAAGTTCCGCTGTCTCCATTAGTGTCGTGGTTATACCATTTTCCAAATGCCTCCGGCTTCGTTCTTCATCAATGTCTGCAAATATTTTGAGCTCATCCTCATTTCGCGCCAAGATCTCATTTAGTTCACTGTCATCGATTTGTTCATCCTCTTCCAGTCCAAGCTCCCGTTTCTTTTTTTGGTCTTCTTCAGCCTCTAATAGTGACCTTAAAAGGGCCTCTTGCTCTTCAGCTGTGGATTTATTGTCAAACTTACCAGCCTGAATAACTTTCCCATCGATATCTAGTTTCTTGTGAGCACGCTCCAAAATAACTTCCTCAACAGAGTTTTCGGTTATTAATCTTAATATCCTAACCTCATTTTTTTGACCAATTCTGTGAGCTCTATCTTGCGCTTGTAAATCTTGGTGTGGATTCCAGTCTGTGTCAAAAATTATCACGGTATCAGCAGTTTGTAAGTTTAAACCAAGGCCCCCAGCTCTGGTAGAAAGCAAGAAACAAAAGTATGGCGAATCGGGGGCATTGAACTCGCGTAAAAGTGTACTACGGTCGTCAGATTTTGTATGACCGTCCAAGCGCAAATACTTCAAGTCAAGTAACCTCAAAAAATCTTCCATGATGTCCATAATCTGTGTCATCTGAAAGAAAATCAAAATACGGTGGCCTGTGGCTTTGAGTTTAGGGAGGATTCTTTCGAGCAGTTCAAATTTACCGGCAACACGCCATATATTAGCATTTGTTTCCCTGGTAGGGTTAATTTGATCTTCGACTTCCTCAAACACAAAAGGATGATTGCAGATTTTTTTGAGCTGCATGATCTGGTTATTGAAACCACGCATCCCGACCACTTTGTTATTAGCGGTTATATCGCCAGCAAATAGACGGCGATGTTTCAGCATCAATTCGTAGAGCTTTTGTTGCAGACCACTCATTTTACATTTCAGCACCTTTTCGACTTTGTCGGGAAGCTCCTTTTCCACATCTTTCTTTAAACGACGAAGTAAGAAAGGTCTTAAAACCTTATGTAGTCTTCTAATGACCAGCAGTGTCTCTTCTTCGCTTAATGCGATCTTGTCTTGTCCTCCTGTATTAGCGAAAGGCGTATTGAACCATTCGTCAAACGACTTCACAGAATTGAAAATTTTAGGAAGAACAAAATTTAACAGAGCCCAAAGTTCTGGTAAATTATTTTGTAAAGGTGTACCTGTCAAAATCAAACGATAATCCGTATGATAATAATTGTTGAGAGTTAATGAAAGCTTCGACTGGGCATTTTTCATCCTGTGACCCTCATCTATGATCATATGCACCCATTTAATTTTGGATAGTAATGCTCTTTCTTTGATAATATATTCAAATGTTGTCAGTACAACGTCAAATTGCCCCGATCGAATTATGCTTTGTTTGGACTTCCTCTCGTTGGGTGAGCCTTTATAGGCCACTTTTTTTATAACTGGAGCCCACTTGTCAAACTCAGAATCCCAATTAGTTAGCGTAGAAAGTGGAACAATTACCAAAGATGGACCGCGTACATTTTTCGCCTCGTATAAATACGCCAAGAGGGAGATTGTTTGAATGGTTTTACCGAGACCCATTTCGTCTGCTAATATACCATTCAGATGGTTATTGTACAACGACACCATCCACTGCAACCCCTTTAATTGATAATCCTTCAAGTTACCACCAATCAGAATTGAAGGCTGGGCTTTAACCACTTCCTTTACTCGGTGTGCAACATTGTAGTAATCTATGTTCTGTCTCTCTTCTTCGTCTTGTATATCTAGCGAGGAAACAGGAGCTTCTTCCTCAATGTCATCTTCGTTGATGTCGACGTCGACTTTCAGGTGAGAGTCAATCTTATCCTTAGTGTATTGTTGTTGATCTTTGACAGCTTTTGTTAAGGAATCCAAGAATGCATTAGTTTGTTTCAGTAAATGTGTAATTCTAGTATCTTTGGTTTGATCCAGCAATTTGATATAGGCTTCCTCATCATTGGCCTTCAAAGCTTGTAAACGTTGTTTAGCGTTTCTTTCAATCCTTTTCTGCTCTTCTTTCTCTATGTTAGCATGGAGTGACACTAACCGGTGGCCAAACTTTACCCTTTGGGTTCGTTTACTTAGTCTTCTGTTATAGCATGTTATTGCACCATCCGCAATGTTCTTTAGCTTGGTAAAGTGCTCGTGCTTTTGACGTTCACTTTTCAAAATTTCGTGTCGCTTGTAGAGGTCGTCGGTAAGTAAAGCGTCTTGCAAATTAACTCTTCTGATCTTGGACAAGAAATTAGGGTGCGTGTTTGTAAGAAGAGCCTTTTGGTACCACTCGAACTGTAGTACATGACCTCTAACTGCCTTCTGAAGCGGTAAAAGCTGAAGTGCATAGTAATCAAATTTGGCAAGTTTCTTAATCTCCTGATCGGCATCATCATTGAGCATATCGGTAAGGCAGGAGTCTACCGCAGTATCAATATCGAGAGCTATCAAAGTCTGATAAACTTCCATAGCCGAATGAACATCGACGCCAGGCGGCAGGGTTCCGGGCCTCAGAGTCAGTTGTGGCAGCAGCTTGTTCGGGAAAAGCTTATCGTATTGTAAAGGTTCTTCTGGCAATTTAGGAAGAGAATAGCAATCGACAATCATATCAGGGACATTGATGTCTACTATTTTCCCAATCTCGGGATTCAACCTTTGAAATTCTTCCAACGGAATTGGTAGCTTTTTTTTCAACTCCTCAGTAGCTTTGCCGTTCTCCACTTCACCCAATCCAGCTTGGTATTTTACATCATTTGTCGGCGGCGAACGGCTATTAATGCTTGTAATAACTTCTTCGGCTTGGGCTGGAGGTGCATTTAAGTTGCCATTGAACTGGGGAAGAACTTTCGACGGAGCAAGAGGTGTCGGTACGCCTGAGCTTGCATACTGTGGCGAATGAGACTCAATTTGTTGTGGGTGCGGTTGGGTATGTGATTGTCCATATTTTTGAGGATAAGCTTGTGGATGAGCTGGCAATTGCGCTTGTGAGTACACTTGTGGTTGAGCTTGTGGACTCACCTGTGGATGAGCTTGTAGGTGAGCTTGCGGATGAGCTTGTAAGGGAGTCTGCAAAGGAGCTTGTAAAGGAGCTGTTGGGTTTTCATGTGGATGAGCCTCTGGGTGAGCTTGTGGGTGAGCATGTGGATAAGCTTGTGGATGAGTTTGAGGATGGACTTGGGGATGAGTTTGGGGCTGTTGCATTTGATCCGCCAGACGTGGTACATTGTCCGGAGTAGGCGGTTGTAGTTGGCCTTTTTGAGTTTGTTGCTTCTTTTTTACAGTTTCGCTAAGAGAAAGAAGCATCTGTTTGAAGTTGGGCGGGCTATTCAGAGATCTTTGAACTACTTCTTGAATATCTGTTGGGACAGGCTGTCTACTGAGCAGAAATCGAAGAGAAGTTATCTGCGCCTTCAGCAATTCCGATTGTTCTGGGGTGAAAAGTGACTGTGTAGGTGCACCAGGGCCAGCAGGCACATCTCGGGGGCCAGCGCTCATTGAGCGCTGGTTCATAAGTGGAGACTGGCCAGCAGGTGATTGCTGAATTCCGTTGTTGGTAACCGGCACATTGCCATTCGAATAAAGCTGCTGCTGTTGTGCCGCTTGCTGCTGTTGCGGTAGTTGCTGCTGCTGTTGTGCCGCTTGCTGTTGCTGCTGTAGTTGTTGTTGACGCTGTTGCTGCTGATACTGCTGCTGCTGTTGTTGTAGCTGGTGTTGCTGTTGTTGTTGTTGTTGTTGTTGTTGTTGTTGTTGTTGTTGTTGTTGTTGTTGTTGTTGTTGCTGTGGCGGCCATTGTGGTTGGGGGATTGGGCCTTGATTATGAAGTGGCTGTTGGGACCCGTTAGCTGACTGCAACGGCATCTCCTGTGCACGCTGCAACAATTCGTTCGACTGCTGTTGTGGCGGTTGTTGCTGTTGCTGTTGCTGTTGCTGCTGTTGTTGTTGTTGTTGTTGTTGTTGTTGCTGTTTGGCAGCGACTCGAAGGACCTTGGTAAAATAAATAAACTCGGGGATGTTGGACGCATTATCTCCATGTTCATTGCGAAGTTGTTGCCAACGCTATATTGCTTTAGTTAGTACAAAATCCAAGCATGGACCATTTCGCGTAAGCTTCTGCTTTCACTTAAAATGCAATCGAAAATGCAGTCGGAAGACATACCAAGTAACATCGATTAACTTCCTCCCTTGTGAGTTGCCTCTGGGGAATCTCCATGTTCTCCATATCCCGCAGTTTGCGCTTTTACCGCCTTTTGTTCTTGAAGCTGAGACCGATGCAGTTATATTTGACAAGTTCATAACAATTAACTTACCACTTGGCACTAAACACGAATCATTCGTATTTACCAAATACTCATCGTCGCGCGCAGATTTTACAATCTACATCTATTCAGGGCCAGTATACTATTAGAATCATCTGAGTTGTCAAGAGAGTGTCAATCATACTACGCTTTTGTAACCTTTTAGCACCTTTTGATAAATCCTGCTCTTAAACTTTCTGCGATTTATACTGTATTATTTGTCCCCTCAAATATTTGATGATGTTATCGGAATTCCCACATTCAGATCATGTCTAAAAGTGCTATGCAGCTGGATACTACTCACGAATGGTAAATGGAGGGGATTCTTGCATCAAGAGGGAGAGTCGGGTAAGATGACGTTTGATTTTGCCCTTGCAAGATTTAATGGTATACATTGAAACCCTTTCACAAATTGCGATAACAAGCCCTTTTGAAAATGGACTGTTTTCATTGTTCCGTGCTTTAATGGCTATGAAGCTTATTTTGCTGTGGAGCTTATACAAATGTTGACTTGTGATAGCAAGTTAACTTTTCATTGACCAGCTACAAGTTTCACTTCGGTAGATCTCGGTGACATAGATAGCAGTTCCGGACGGACACTCAGTAACCTAAGTCTACACAATATCTGTGATTATTTAGCTTCAGGAAATTATGCCTGAATTTATGCTTGGCACTTACAGACATAAAGGCCGGTCGCGAGTGCCAGCGGAGATAAGAATATAAAGGCAATGGTTTCCGCAACAAAAAGCTCAGAAGGAAATGTTGCAGGCTGTACGGCCAGGCACATGCCATCAATATGAATTGGTGTTCTTTCGATCTTAATTTTGTGAATGCTTATGGCAGAAGAAGTGAAACTACAGGACAAACATAACCTGCTACCAAATTCACTGATTGCGGTATATATAGTCTACTGAAAACCTGAATTACCTTCACAGGCTGATTCACGATATATCGAAATGGTTTGGTAGCTGGTGACCGAAAATGGCTCACTGCTTATTCGCGACAACATAACAACATATCTGAACTCTGTAAAACAAAACACTGACCGCCAGTATACGTAAGACAGGTGGCTCGGCATCGTTTAAACTAATCTCTATTCTCTGGACTATTACTGGATAAAATGAATTTCGTATATAACTAGGCAAACTTCTGTAAGGTAAACCTCGCTAATTAAGGATATTCAATCTGTTTTCGCTTCCTTATCGCTATCAACAACGAAATTTAGCGTTTAGAAGTCCTGAGACCAATCATAACTGCCGAACTGGTCGTTAAGTTTCGATAGAGGCCATTTTGGCGCACATTCTGGTAGCTTTTTCTGAAGTACCAAAGTCACACATATAGATACTCTCATATAGTTCCATGTCTGTCAACGGATTAACGCTTCAAAACAGCGCAGGTTCGCTACCCTTCGTGCCGCTAGGCGATGAGGTAGTTTCTGGTCCTACTCCGGTGGTAAAAGTTCGATTGTGGCCCGTTACGGAGGACCGGAAGCCTTTGAGGAAATCCAGTACCCCTGATCTCGAGTTCCCGGGTCGTCTATTCATTACATCGCAGCGACTTGTGTTTCTCAATAGCACCAACACGCACGCAGTGCGAAATTTAGTCATTTTATATCGGCAGCTAACCCTTTCAGGGACCGAACAAACTCCCATCGGATTCGGTATGCCATGGTTTGGACCCAATTACTTGAAATTTTCATTCAACGTTCTGCCGGAACAGAGTTTACATAATGGGCCGTGGCTAGACCCTATACATGCGTGGCAGTGTGAACTTACTTTGCAAAATGGGTCTGGCCCTATAAGAGACCTTTTCCAGCTTCATGATTTGATCAATGCTGTCATGGCGAGCTCTAGAACTAGCGTCCCACCCGAAGACGACGAGCAGCTGCCACAATACACACCTTGAATGCCTACTCATCGCCCTCGCCACCGAACAGCATCATCATGTCCATATCGTCCTGGTCAAGTTCTTCGATAGGCTTTTGGTCATTGGCGATCACATCTGCAGTGTTCGTAGCATCGTCATCGTCGTCATCGTCGTCCTCGTCTTCTACATCTTCCTCTTCATCTTCTTCATCTTCTTCACCTTCTTCCTCATTAGCAGCCAAACTCTCCGAACGACTGGAGGAAATTTCACCGGTCGATTTGAGCTGCTTCCTTTTTAAGTCAACTTCTTTTTCCAATTTCTTGATGCTATCAATGAATCTCGACTTCAATAGCGGGTTGGTAGCTTTTTCTAGTTTCTGTCTGTTCTGTAGTAATGTGCTCTGTAATTCTTCTAGTTCGTCTCTCAGTAATTCGCTGTGTTGTAGTTCTTCGTCTACCGGTGGCTTGGCAACATTAGTTACCAAATTACTCTCAACTTCATCTTCTTCTTCAATCTCATCCTCAACGTCATCGTCGTCCTCCTCCTCCTCCTCCTCTTCTTCTTCCTCGTCATCATCATCGCCATTGTCCTGTTCCACGTCATCCCCCGTTTCTTCAACTGCCTCTTGTCGTATTTCACTGGAGATATGATCCCCAACATGCCGGTCTTCTTGTAAAGCCTGCTCTAGTTCCATTTCTAAATCTTCGTGGTCGTCTTCGCCGAATAGATCGAATCCGCTATCTACAGATTTTTGTCTTTGTTCGTCATTGCTCCCAGATCTTTGCTGCAAGAAATCTTCATCGACAAGGTCGTACGAGAAACCTTCAGCTTCAGCATCCAGTTTCAGCAGATGTTCCACTGTCTTCTCCACGTAATCTACCTCTTGATTGGCAAGCCGGCGACGGAATCTTCGGTTTCGTACGTTATACAGAGGAGGAGTGAGTCCATGCTTGTAGTCGTAGCCTTTCTTAACAATTTCATCTATATTATTAGCCTCTGCGTCTGTCAAAGGCCCGTCATTATAGCCCCGAGTCACTATTTTCTTGAGCTCCTCAATTTCATTCTTATAAGCGCCAAAATGCTTAGTAACCAAGTCCTCCGTATCAGGCGGCACTACTGAGAAAACCTCTTCTTCGTGTTCAATGGTTTTAACGCAAAGAAGCATTTGAGAAACGTCAAACGCTTTCAGTAAATTCTTACGGTCAATGCTCTTATTCACTTCAATGATGGTAGGTAAATTTACAAGTACTGCCCCATATTGATGGCCGTTGACCCTCACCACTGCATGTCTCTCGCCTTTCCATTTCAAGCTCAAACCTGAAAAGTCCCCGCTTTCGATGCAGCTTTTTACGAATTCTGTCTGAACGTCTGGCATTACTCGCAGTATAACACCTTCCTCGATCAAAGGGTCGTCCTCAATGTCGGAAGCCTCTGAATCGTATCCTTCACCAGGCACTCGGACAGGCTTTATTCTGAATCTGGGAGCTTTGGGAGTCGCCGAAGCTGCAGAGCTCGACTTCTCCTTGCTATTGAGGTTTATCTTCAGCTTCATAGGTGCTGACCCCGCTTTCTCAAGCTCACATTTGGCATCTTTCCTTGTCAACTTAACCTTGAGTGCACTACCGTTCTTGGCGTTTTCAGCGGTGCCTTTTGCCTTAAGCTTTACTTTTTTGGGCTGTGGTTCAACTGCCGACGTCTCGAGATCCCTAGGCTTCTTGAGTTTGATTTTGGGCATCGGCAATGTATTTTCTATTCGTCAACTTAACAATTTTGGTTTGTCATATACCTATCTATACAATAACTATTTTCAAATTTCAATCAGAGCGATTGAAGCTCATCGCTATTCCAAGACTTAAACATCACTGGAAAATTTTAAATCATAGTGTTGACTCTATGTCCTTAGCGGTGAAGTCGCTTGGCGAATTATCCAAAATAAAGCATTACTATGGATTCCGGTATCTCTTGAATGCAGCAGTTCACGAGCAAATCTTCGACAAATTAAAGCTGGCCACAGTATATCCCGAGCCAAACAAACTGAAAATACTCGATCTTTATCCAGGCCCATCGCAACACTCTGCAATTTTGTATAATCGCTGTAAACCCGCCCAGCATGTTTTGATGGACGCTCGACCAGACTTCGTCAAGCACATTTCCCAATTTATCACTGAGAACAGCCAACACGCTCAAGGATTCCAGCTAGTTACGCTTGATCCGTACGATTGGCATTCGTATACAGAACTGATAGATAGAAATAAAGTAATGGTTCCCAGCCATAAAGGTCGTGAAGCCATTCACAACGAGTTTCTAGTAGTGGCTAACCTTACCGGTATGATCGGTGAAGGGCTATTTATGCAATGGCTAGCCTGTATCGGAAATTGCAATTGGCTCCAACGGTTTGGCAGAGTTAAGATATTAGTTTGGGTTCCGGAGAGTACAGCTTTGAAGTTACTGGCTAAACCCGGAGATCACCTGCGGTCGAAGTGTTCAGTAGTTACTGAAGCGTTTACCGAAACGAAACTCGTGGCCGTTATGAAGAACAAGACAGAGACAAGCTTCAACTCTAGCTTGCTAGAAAAACATCGTCCTGTGATGTTTGAGTCCAAAGATGTGTGGATGCCCAGCGGAAAGCCCATCAGTCTGCTTGAAATCGACCCACGCGATCACAAAGTCGACCTAGACAATTTCGACTATGTTACCAAGCATTTACTCATCTTAAAAAGTACACCACTATACGATGCCTTAGAATCCCTAGGCCACGGTGGCAAGGAATATTTCTGTAGTGTGATTGGCGATGATCGCCTGCTACAAAAGTGTCCTAAAGATTTAACAGTTTCAGAGTTTATATACTGTACTGAGATTTTTGATAAGTGGCCGTTCAAACCCGATATTTATTTGGACTTTATTGACGTCTTTCAGGACAACGATTGAGCTCAAAACTTCGCGGGGAACATACAGCTCTGTTGATTGCTTTTTAGCGGACGTATGCAACAGCTTCGAGGTAATTTAGAGCTGTTGCTCCAGATATTTTCGCCTTGATATCCACCCGATGCCTGGAACGCAAACTCGGCGTAACGGCTTGCCGTGTTTATCATACAGGGGCACATTTTGCAAGGCAGGGTCTAGCTCGATGGGCCGTACTTTCTCCGCTTTTGTCCAGTCCATTAAGGCACTGTTAACAATTGCCTTATTCTCCAGAACGCTTTCCTTAGGCGGAAGCATTTGTCCTTTGTCTCTGTTGATATAGGCTTTCCACTCTTTCCTACCTTCTTTCGTGGTCAAGTCGAACACAAGGCCATTACCTTTGGAAGTCAAATTGACAGAAAGCTTTCTAACTTGAACATCTGCCGCCACGGCATCTGTGTTTTCGTCATTGCAACAAGCGGGTGATGCGTTTTCCATGAAGTCAAATACTTCAGAAACAGTCTGAGAGTCAGTTGACGTCACTACTTCTTCTCCACTTTCCATTATATTGACTTGCTTCCTGGTTTTGACGTCTTTCTTGATTCGTCGATAAAGCTTGCGGAGCGTATTGACAAGTTTCGTTTCTAGATTTAGAAAGTGAACGTTCGCCATGTTCGTGGCTAATGGAAGAACTCGCTGAACCCATTCGAAGTGTGACGGAGTGTGGATCCTCCTGTCCCAAAAGGTACTCTTCAAGCATCTATTCCATAGTATCACAACCGATGATAAAATACAAAGCTTTGAAAACGTCCACGCAGCTCTTAAAATTGAGAGTTTGATCGACATCTCAAGGCCAATTGTGAAATTCGGATTAGCCGACACTTGCCTTCTGTCGATCAAGTAAGCGAGTTCTGCATTCAAGACGCAGCTGTAATATTCGAAAACAATCTCTTCGTCAGGCACAGGCGTGCCAAGCAGACTCCTGTATTCGATTTTGCGAAGACAGAGCTCTATATCTTTCCGAATTGTCACAGATGTCTCAAAACTTGATGCCTTTGGGATGCAATTGACCCATTGATTTCCGCTCTCTCTCTGGCGGACAAGACACCGGCTTAATTGACCAGGCTCTAACGTCTCGCTCAATCCGTCAGATAGATAAAGGCTTTGGTGGACCGGCTCAAGAGATTGTTCGGGCTTTCCGATGCAGTAGCAGCTGCGAAAATGCAACAATAAAAATAGAAATGTAATGTGCATTAGTATTATCTGATTTGATATCGACATTCTTAGTTGTTGTCCTGTACCATTGTTTTTGTTTTTAATATATTTTGTGACATTTGTTTTCTGTCACTTACTTTTGACTCCATTGAAGAAATTGTACACACTTAGTTAAAACCTATGTTGCGCGTCACAAATAGAAATCCAGACACTAACATCTCTCTCATTATGCACTGCCAGTATAAAAGTCAAAATATCTTAGTGTTGAAGATACTTCTTTAATCTAATTTACATAATATGCTCCTTGTTCATTCTACAGCTGCTGACTTTTGGTTTAGTTTTGAAACAAACTCAGATGCCTTTGCTTTCACGTATTCTGCAGTTTTCTGATCATCGGCGGCCTCTTCAAACTCGAGCCACTTACCGAAGAAAAACTTAGCCTGTTTTTTGGTGAGTTTTCTGTTGACAATTCTCTCGAAAAGACCCTCTACCTTCTTCTTATCCCCTGCTTTAATCTCCTGATCTACATAAACGTTCCACAAGTCGATTCTCTTAGGAGTGTCAGCCAAGAGACCTTCAAACAAAGAGCGAGCTTGTTCCCGATCACCCTTGGCAAACTCAAGCTGTGCGAATTTGCGCACGACCTCGACATGGCTGCGCTTGGGTAGAGACTTCAAAGCGTTTGCGAGTACTTGGTGAGCTTCATCGTTTTGGCCTTGCTCGATCAAGAAGTCACTCCAAGACACCCATATACCAACCTGCTCTGAACCAAATTTTTTACTTGTGGCCTTGAACAAAGCAGCAGCTTTTTCAATGTTGTGACCCATTTGGTAAATGTTGATCAGCTTTGTGTGAATAACATAAGAATCCATATATTGACATGCCTTGGAGAAGGCCTCGTCCAAAGAAACTTCATTTCCGAACGTATTTTCCAGATTGAGTAACCCAATCCAAATATTCAGTTTTTCTGTCTCCTCTCTGAAGTTGATGGTTTTCAAGGCCCGTTGAGCAACTTCGCGAGCCTTTTCAATCTCGCCCAGTTGTAGCTGAAATGCCATGTAGTTCATCCATACTACAGACGAGTTGGGGCTACCCATAATCATACGCTCGAAGTCGCCGACCGATTCAGGTGCTCTAGTGTTGATATCGATTGTTTGATCCTCGACATCTTGTGCTGTTTTCTTTTTCTTATGTCTCGATCTCTTGGTATCGGTGAAATCCTCCTCTTCCGATGATTCATCCACTTGCGCCTGATCCAGAATGCTTGTCGTCCAGTCGAAACCAGCACTCAAACTGAGGCCACCCGCGGACGATGAGTGTGATTTCATTGCAGTGTCTTCAGCTTCCATTTCATCATCAGAGACTTCTTGCTCGCTTTGATCAAGGCCACCTTCCACAAGCTCTTCTTCGCTGTCAAAAACGTGTTCCTCCACAGCCTCTGGAACGGTTTCTTCTCTTTCCTCTTTCTTGAAATAAGATGCCTTCAGGCCCAAAGAAAGTTGTTTCTTCTCTGCGTTGACTTTCAACACAATAGCTTTTACTTTGTCACCAGCTCCAAAAATTGAGCCAAGATCATCAACTTTGGTATCCGCAATTTGGGTCTTGTGTGCTAAGCCAGTTACATTCATAGTATTGCTTAGCTTGACAAACAAACCGAAATCGGTTACATTTTTGACTAAACCTTCATAAATTTCACCCACCTTAATGTCCGCGTAACTTTTCAAAATATTGAGGTCTCCATTCACTTCAGACTCTTTTAAAGTTATCAAAATGTGGGAATCATCATCACAATTAACAACTTTGCCAACGACAGCCTGCATTGGCTTGTAAAACTTCTTCCAATCTTTAATGTAAGAGTCGGTCAGCTTACTAACAGGGACAAATGCTTGTAAAGAGCTGCTCAAGTACACGAAAATACCCTTATCTGTAGCTTTTTTCACAAAACCACGGACAATGTCACCTCTCTTCAGATCTTTGTAACTTTTTGCGTTACCGTCCTTCGCATCTTCAGAGCGCAACGACAAGTTAATTTTGGAATCTTTTATGGACACGACTTCTGCAGAAACGACATCTGTTTTTTGAGAAACGTAAGCATCCTTGAGTGTGCCAGTATAGTCATTCAAAGCGTCGGTAATGAATGCAACTCCTCTTACACCTTCACCTAACTCTAGTAACAAGTAGCTGTCGGCAACGTTCAAGATGCGAGCGGGTAGCTTCTCACCCACGCTGATGTCTTTTATGTCATTAATGACATGAGATCTACCAGACACAGTTAGGGTGTTGCGGTCGTGATCAATATGCATGATTTTGGTATTCAAAGCAGATCCTAGGGGAAAAGATTCTTCAACCTTTATATCGAATTGAGGACCTTTGTCAGAAAGTTCAAAAAAGGCTATCTTAGCTTTGATAGTTGGCGAAACCGTCAACCAGACAATATCCTTCAAGATATTATTCACGAAACCCACAACAGAATCCCCAATATTGACTTCATTTATTGAGATGTGGCCAGCTCCCTTCAAGTTTGATGGTTTAGCAGTGAGCCCCAAAAGAATGTTCTTGGAGGCTCTGTGTGATATTGGTAAAAATTTGTGAGTTTTCACATCGTGGTACCCAATCACTTTGACATCTAAGATATCACCCTTCTTGAAGTTCGCTAGTGGATTTTTGACATCCTTGATGTCCTCAAATCTGTCAAACACTTCTGATACATCAATCGCCCCGTGGAGGTTGTCAGCAACGACGACATTAAGTTGGTTCCTTTTGACAGCCTTGATCATGGCCTTGGTAATTTTGCCAATGGTAAAGTCTTCGAGGTTTTTGATCGTACTGTCGACAGGATTGATCGCGCTCGTAGGTTCTCTCAAGACTTTCGTGGGCATTTCTGTCTTTGGTTCCCGGAAACTGAGCAAAAACCTTTCATTTTCATCATCGCATCTCAACAAATATGCTGTAACAGACTGATTCACGAAGTACTTTGACGATAGGTTGACATCTCGGCTGTCTGCAGCGTAGCTAGGTAGCACAAGACCAACAAATTGACCATTGAAGGCTACGAATACACCTTTTTCAGAGACGGACTTGACGTAACCATGCATCGAAGAATGCGTACCTCTTTCTTTTACATCTTGGTAAGTCAAGGGGAGTAAATCCTTTTCAGCATCTTTCATCAACGATTTTTTGCAAGACATGTTGAAAACTCTGGTTCTGGAATCTTTGTCAATGACTAAACCGTCAAATTCATTTCCAATTTTGATTTTCTTCAATTGTGCTCTATTTTGTTCAATTCTAGAGTCGGATAGATGGCCGACATAAATAACGCCTCTCAATCCGCTGCCCACTTGTTCTACGACCACCGAGTCTTTAGTTTTTTCAACAACGGCAGCTTTGATGATAGACCTGCCAATAACCATGTTGTCGATAGCATCTTTTTGTTGAGATGCAGCTTCGCTTGAAACTTTGCATGTTACTATCACTCTGTTGTTTTCTTCACTGTGCTGTAGTACTTTGACAATTACAGTTTGTCCCATCCTTAGATGGTCCTGTGGATTTTTGACAAAGGCTTCAGAGATTTCACTGTTAGGCAAAAAACCTCTCAATCCACCCAAAAATGAAACGACACAACCATTGGTCTTAAAGATTTCCACGTTAGCAGCCAACTTTGATCCACTAGAAGCTACTTCTTCAATTTCTCTAAAGGTTGAAGCTAGTTGTACCTCACCTCTGTCCAAATTAACAAGCGACTTTTTCAACGTCATAAACAGATGCCCTCTGTTGTTGATTTTTATGAGCATTGCTTTGATCTTGGAGCCAATCTTGAACTTTCTTTCAGGGTAAACAAGCCTAATATCCGAGATGTGGATTGGCGGAACTGTTGCTCTAAACTGGCCGCCTAAAATGTTTAGTTTTATACCTTTGTCTGAGACCTCTGATATTTCACAATTGGGGACAATAGTACCAAGCGGAATATCAGCGGTTCTTAGGTATTCCACAGATAAGGTCTGAGGATCTGTAGACAGTTGGTAGTAGCCGTCAAGATTGTTGTAGCCTAGTACGCGAGCTGAAACTCCTGAGGTAGGATCTTCTGGTCCCGTTTTGGAAATGTGAACTTGGCCGAAGCTGTCATTGTTGAGCTTCAAGTAGAAATACTGAGAGTCGCGACCGTTGAGTTCACAATTCTCGAAAGTGTGACCAATATGGAAAGCTTCTAAAGCCTGTGTCTGTAAAGCTTTCTCTGCAAGTAACAGAATATGAGGGAGCTCAGACATTATGACGAATTTTTCACCGGACTTATTAACCAAAGTAGCGATAATCCTCGCTCTAATGTTGGATCCTACAGAATATGCTTGATCGTTTTTCTTGGTAGCTTGGAAATCTGATTGGTGTGCAACATTCAGGAAGCCATCAACCAAACCAAAAACTTTTCCGATAACGCCGTTAGAGGTCTTTTTCTGGCATAAGAAGTCAACGGCTTGGCCTGGGATAATAGCGTCAACTGAGGAAATATGAGATACTTTACTTTTCTTGTTCTTAAAATCAAAATTGATAGTTACAGTTCTGCCTGATCTTTTGGTAACATTACCTAGGAAAACAGAACCGGTTTGCAAAGTGGGCAAAAACGCATAGTCCTTTTTTGATATGAAGCCACTAATGCCCTCAACACCAACGTCTAAAATGGCACCGTGATCTTCTATACTTTTCACAGCACACTGAAGGGTACAATTTCTTGACAAGTCTTCTTCTATCAGTTTATTAGTTGCTTGAGGGTCAATAGCTAACTCTATTCTTTTCGATTTTTTATTGTTCTCGAGGCCCGAGTTTGATTGGACAACGCATCTTAGCCATTGGCCTGCGGAAAAGAATTGATTCAAGTCCGGCAGATCTTTACTCTTTGCTTGTTCGCGTTTTTCTTTTTTCGAAACGCTCTCATCACTGTCGTATTCAGCATCTGAAGCATCGGCCTTGCCTTCGGGCTCCTCGTCACTTTGCATAGTGTCATCCAAGTCTTCCAGTATTTGTGTGAAAGGCTCTGAAATGTTTGGTAAGGTGACAAATCCACATAGCCCGTCAGATAGTGACACACAGATGTCATGTTTGTTCACCTGGGAGATCTGGCCTAACACTAAAGTTCCTAGCGGTAGATTCCTGAAAGTCAAATGGTCTACAATAGCGACAGAATCTTCTTTCTCGGCGTCCGCCTCGGTTGCGTTGGTACCATTGGCAGCTTTGGTTGTTTTCTTCTTCTTCTTGGGTCTTTGTGTTTCTTTGGATGCGGTGGCACTGGGTGCTGATTCGGCTTTGAAAAGAACGTCACTAGCCGCTTCGTTGGCTACTTGTTTAAGTTCCAGCGGAGTCAAAGCACTGGCACCACCTCTAGGGAACGACGTCTCCTCAGAGCTGTTCAGTAAAGATGATCCTGATGGCTGTTGCGTGTTATCTTGTCTTATCAGAGGAGATTCCTCGGATCTTTTCCTCTTTTGACCCGCAGAGGACATGTTGAATCTATATTCTGGTGTGATTGCGCAATGAATTCTTCGAAAGAGCCAGTTCAATATCCAGGATTTCGACCTGAGATTGTAACGAGGGTGACTTAGATCAAAATTCCAATACACTAGAGCGATTCTACACCTTTGATATTCAAAAACAGTAGCTCATCGCATCGCATCTCAGAAAATTTTTTCAGATTTTACCAGTTAACTACCTACCTGCGATGACTAGTATAACTATAGACGAGAAAAGTAAGTTCGCCGGCAAAGTCGAGAGGACGAGGAAGAGGGATTTGAGTAGCTCATCATAACTGCGGAATAAGCGCTGGATTCTGATTCCGTTATAACACTAACGTTATCAGTTACTGATGTTAATTTCGTGGACGTCGCGCACTAAGTTAGACCACAAATAAGTTATGCGTTTGTTTAGCAGCAAACTTCCTACGTGCAGGCCACGAGTATTTCTGATTACAAAATCAAACTAGCCCTTCATTGGCATTGAAAGAGCACTATATATGGCAAACAATATTAAAATCACTTTTTCCGAGTCTGTCGCTGAGTATTTTTACTGTCTTTATTACATGGACTATGATTCTGAGTACAAGGCTGGCTTGATTGGAGAAGAAACCTACTCACTAATGCGGTAAACCTCAGATAGTCACTCAATCGCGTAAAATTGGAGTACCTCGCGCATTTTTTTTGACAGGTGGACTTGATCTTATTTTCGCTTTCATTCAAAAGTGTGTTTGTCGCACAAGTGCCAAGAAGTGTATGAATGAATAGAAATCAAAGGCACTGGCTCGCATCTCTCCATTTCATAATTGAAAGGACAAGACTGCTGCTTTGAATAATTGTTAAAGATCACATTCTACGAAATAACTTTTTGTCACTTGTGAGACCACCGTTCAAATTAATCGTCAGAAGTAGAAAAGCAGTCAAGTTACAAGAACTTGGTAAGGTAGAGGTCGTGAACCTGAATGCCTCATCCGAATGTCTCAACCGAATACTCCAGAAAATCGTCACGTACAGTCATTTGCTCCAAATTCATCACGAACGAGACCGTCCTTTTCGTCTGCGAGAACAGGTTCAAGTTCCAACACTTTAACGTCGGCCACAGTTCTGGATACGAATTCTACCGAGGGCTACTCAGGAGCTACCTTTGAAACCGTACCTAGCTCTATCGTCTCATTTCACCATCCACACTCATTTCATTCCAATGCTGCCAGCAACCTAGGAAGTCCGAGAATCTCGAACGAAAGACACGGCCGTAGATCCCACGAGACCGAGTCTCTGCTCTCTGGCCGGAACTCAATGTCCAGATCTCGAGCTTCATCTCGAACGCCAAATTTTCGCTACTTTTCCGAAGAAGAAATCGAACTCGCTGAAGGTGTCTCATCGACTCTGGAAACTGCAGATTACGATATTAATTGGGACGGGACCCCTACATACGAGCAAGAACGTTTGCATTACCACAACTCTTCTGGAAGGTCATCTTTACGTAGTGCTGCCGGATACTCCTTAGCCTCGTTCCGCTCTCGGTCTTCTAATCGCTCAGGTGTCTCTCAAGGCTACGGTGGGACCAGTAATAGCCCTCCAAATAGAAGTCACAGTCAAACTGATGGCTCTCAGCAGGCTTTTGGTACGTCGCCACACTCATCTTCAAGCTCGTCTAGATACAGTTATAGAGATAGAATTCCAGCTCAAATTGAAGATGAGGCAGGTCAAATGTCAATGCGTAGCCGACGTTCGTCGGAAAGCAGCTCAAGTAATGGAAGCTTCCTGGATGACGTTGATCAAGCTTCATTACCTGACCAAGCGCTGGACCGCAAGAAAAAAAGCTCGTCCTACCACGCTGAATATCTGAAGCCAGAATACCATGATAGATTTTTCCCCCAGCACGTACCACATCTTCACTTTCAGCGCTTTTACATTGCAGAAGAGGATCTAGTTGTAGGAATTGCTGGGTTCAAAACGTCAAAGATTGGTAATTTGATCTATTATGCTCTCTCTTTTCTATCACTTGGTCTCTTTTACTTAACTCTCAGGTGGGTACCTCGTTATAAAGTAAGGCTATGTGGTAACAAAGTCCATTTGGCAAAAGCCGAGTGGGTTGTAATCGAAAACGAGTTTGGCGAACTTGTGATAACCAAAGTGGATAGAACGTGGTACAATCGACCTTTAAGCACTTTGTTACCTCAGGAAAAGAATCACGAAAGCGACGAGGCCCATAGTCACCGCCACCGCCATCATCATGAAAGTGAGGAAAACCCTAACATCCCTATCATGATTCAATTCTCCTATCGGTATTTTAATCTCATCTATAACCCTATTGAGGACATTTTCAAGACCAACAGTAATTGGACAGACGCCGATTGGTTGAGCCTTGACGCCAATAATGCTGGGCTTACCACATCAATAGTGGAGGATAGAGTACTGGCTTTTGGAAAAAACAGTATCAACTTGAAGCAGAAAACAACAGGCCAGATTCTGTTTGATGAGGTGCTCCATCCCTTTTACGTCTTTCAAATCTTCTCCATTTTTTTGTGGCTTGCAGACGATTACTACTATTATGCGGCTTGTATCTTGATTATTTCGTTCCTTTCGGTTGGCGATACTCTACTTGAAACCAAGAAAACCTCTCAACGGCTTTCAGAAATTTCACACTCACACTGCGAAGTAAGAGTCTACCGAGATGGGTTTTGGGTCCAAGTTGCTTCATCAGAACTTGTTCCAGGTGACGTTTACGAAGTTTCTGACCCTTCGTTAAACTCTTTCCCTTGTGATTCTATGTTACTCTCCGGGGACTGTATTGTCAATGAGTCGATGCTAACCGGTGAATCTGTGCCAGTTACAAAGTTACCAGCAACCGATGACACGATGTATCAGCTACTTGACGATTTTCAAAACACTCAAATTTCTAATCTTTTAGCCAAGTCGTTTCTGTTTAATGGAACTAAGATTATTAGAGTTCGAATCGGAGCTGGACAATCAACTGCTTTGGCGATGGTAGTGCGTACCGGGTTTTCTACAACAAAGGGCTCCTTGCTCCGTTCGATGATATTTCCGAAGCCTACTGGTTTCAAGTTCTACCAAGACTCCTTCAAGTACATTGGATTTATGACAGTCATAGCTATGATAGGGTTTTCCGTTAGCTGCTACAACTTTATCCGACTAGGCTTGGAATATAGGGTAATGGTCCTGAGAGCCCTTGACATTATCACGATTGTTGTACCTCCCGCCCTTCCTGCGACGCTTTCAATTGGTGCTAGTTTCGCCATGTCCAGATTGAAGCGTAAAGGAATATTTTGCATTGCTCCTACTAGAGTGAATGTCGGTGGTAAAATCGACATTATGTGTTTTGATAAAACTGGTACGCTGACGGAGGATGGATTGGATGTATTAGGTGTTCATGTCTCTGAGCTGAAGGGGCATCAAAACTCAAGATTTGGGGAGCTGATTACCAACGTGAGTGGTCTATTTGACAAATTTTCCCTCAACGACTGCAGTTCACCTTTAGACTTTAAATCGAGAAATTTCTTGGTTTCTTTGCTAACTTGCCACTCACTTCGTGTGGTCGATGGCGAGTTACTAGGCGATCCACTTGATTTCAAAATGTTTCAATTCACTAAGTGGTCCTACGAGGAGGACTTTCAAGACTATAAGTTCCATTCATTGAACGAGGAGCGTAATGACAGTAGCACTCTCCCAGAGAATAGCGGTATCGCGCCGGCTGTTGTGCATCCTAATGCTGATGACCCTAACAATAAGTTTACTGACAATGATCCTAGCAACTTGTTAGGCGTCGTTCGTAGTTTCGAATTTGTCGCCGAATTGAGAAGAATGAGTGTTGTTGTAAAACCGTACGGAGAAAATGTTTTTTGGAGTTTTACCAAAGGTGCTCCTGAAGTTGTCTCGGAGATTTGCAATAAATCGACACTACCTTCAAATTATCACGAGCTTCTACAATACTACACACATAACGGCTACAGAGTTATCGCATGCGCCGGCAAGACTTTGCCTAAGCACACTTGGAGGTACGCTCAAAAAGTTACTCGAGACGAAATTGAATCCAATTTGGAATTCTTAGGCTTGATTGTATTTGAAAATAAGCTGAAGTCTGCAACAATTCCAACTCTCTTCAAATTAAGGGAAGCTGCTATTAGAAGCGTTATGTGCACAGGTGATAACGTTTTGACCGCTATATCTGTGGGAAGGGAATGTGGCTTGGTGCGCGAAAAGCATGTGTTTGTCCCTCAGATCAACGATAATGTGGGCACCAACGAGGACCTTATTATATGGCAAGATGTTGACAATCCTGATTTGATGCTCGATGGCATTACATTGAAGCCGACGAACGGCAGTGTTGATTACACTATAGCTGTTACAGGTGATGTCTTTAGGCTGCTTTTCAAGAACAATGAAATTTTGCCCGATTCTTACATCAACGAGGTTCTGCTAAAAAGTTCAATTTACGCTCGAATGTCACCCGATGAGAAGCATGAACTTGTAGGACAGTTACAAAAGCTGGACTTCGTCGTCGGGTTCTGTGGTGATGGTGCAAACGATTGTGGTGCGTTAAAGGCCGCTGACGTTGGTGTTTCACTTTCCGAGGCAGAGGCATCTGTGGCTGCTCCATTTACGTCCAATGCTTATGACATAAGTTGCATGCTAGATGTCATCAAAGAAGGGCGTGCATCTCTGACTACCTCGTTCTCGTGTTTCCAATACATGAGCTTGTACTCTGCAACTCAATTTGTTACTGTAACCATCTTGTACAGCCGAGGAATCAACTTGGGTGATTTCCAGTTTCTGTACATAGACTTGTTTTTGATTGTACCCATTGCTATCTTCATGTCATGGTCAAAGCCATACCATAAACTAGTGAAGAAAAGACCCTCTGCCAATCTGGTGTCGCTAAAAATATTGGTGCCGCTGCTCGTAAATATTGGAATCATCCTAATTTTTCAAGTTGTCGCATGGCTTGCGTGTCAGCGTATGCCGTGGTATCAAATTCCGGTAGTAGGTGGGGACGACGCAGTGCAATCTTCTGACAACACCGTGTTGTTTTTTTTTGCGAACTTTCAATACGTGTTCACAGCAGTTGTACTGTCAGTGGGACCGCCATACCGTGAGTCAATGTCAAAAAACATTGGATTTATTACTGACGTGATCATCTCACTGTTACTAAATGTGGCTTTAATGATGATTCCCCCGGACTCGTGGTTAGGTGAAGTTTTTCAAATAACTCAAATCTCAACAGAGTTTAAGATTTTTTTGTTGGTATGGTCGTTTTTGAACTACTATGCACAACTGCATATACCTGGAAAATTCAAAAAGATGTTTCCAAAGAAACAAAGTAGTAAAAGATACAAGAATATTCTGAACAACAGAAAGCTGGAATGCGTGTAATGAGTAATATATTTAATGAAACGATGCTAGTTATTTTCAAAGGGAGTTAGATGCATTGCGTATCGATAGAAAACAATTCCACAAAACTCCAATTGAAGAACTGAAAGGTACCTGAAAATGCTTTGGCATCAGCAAGAAGTTGATGAATTGCACAGGGGGCCAGAGAACATAATTGAAGCCCAACGTACCGAGGTAAACTCTTCCTATCTTGGCTTTGAAAGTTGTCGAGTCACCTTTCTCAATGACATAGTTGGAATACATAAAAAAGCAGTAAAGCGAGATCGGAGAGTAGACCAGCTGGTCCGATAACACTCGCTCTAAGGTTTGTACGACGGTGGGGTCTTCTGTATATAGAAAATTTAGGATGCGGTACCAAGGTACTTGGAAAAACGCCAACCCAGAGCCCCATGCCATGAAGCAAAACCAGCGGTAGAATCCAAATCCTGATTTTTTTGTGAAAGAGACTGGTCCTTCTTCAGAGTTTATGGTGGTAGATGGCCCGTAATCGTTGAACATTGAAACGTTATCTTCAATATCGAGATCCAAGCTCTCTGCGGGTTCGAAGGACAAAAACTGCGGCAGCTGCATATTAGTGGACCCGTTATACTGGCTGATACACTGGGCCAGAATGTCGGAAATGCCAAAGAGGATAGCATTGGTGCACAGGGTTGTCAGTATTGCTGAGCGCGCGTACCAAGGTGCGTAAAGGGTCGAAAATTTGGCCAGCAACACCAGCCAAATAGTCAGCATGGTCCAATGAGTAATTCCGATGCGCCAAATCGACATATCTGAAGCGCTTGCCGTGAATCTTTGCGCTCCTGATTTGACCTTGTGGATCAACCCTGATAACCCGGGACGTTGAAAGTGATTACTATGTTGTGCACTCCAGGGTGTGAAATCGTCATTACGGTCTTGTTCGTAAACAACTTTGATCTGATCTTTACCCCATAGCTGGATTGGCATCTCAAATTTCAAGGCCAGTAGCTCCTATGGTTCCTATTTTGTAGTATTGTCTAGCAGTTCAACCGTTTTATTAGAGACCTGCCAAAGATTTGAGCGACAGGTTACAAAGGGTCACTTTGTACGCCGATTGTCTCTGTAGATGGAAAGACTGGTGATAATTCAAGAGTCAGCATACGCGTTTACGACTGATTTGAGCCTGGCGAGACTAACTGTGGTAGCTTCAATGGCCGAAGTATGCCACTTGTTTGATGAATACTAACAATGAACTCAACGATGCAAATCCCTCTGTGGATATTTTTAGAGGTGAAGATTAGAACATCGACAGAGGGAATAAGCCATCTCATACACACGAACAATCTCGGTTAACAAGCGCCGATAACCAAAAATATTCTTGATTGACTGCTTAATCGCACCAGCCTATTTTTAGGTGCGGCAAGCAATGGGATGTGACCTATTCCCTACCTATTGCTTTCTCGAGGTGCTCTGATCGGACACTGGCGCTGTATTGCCGTTATAGGCACGCTCACTAAAGTAACACAATTGTTGTCGCTTTTTAACTTTTTACGATACTCAAAATATACGTTCAGCAGTTTTGGGGCCATGAGCTATTGCCAGCTCAGCGGGCAAGAGGGACAAGAAGAAAAGATCTCCATGATCTATGTGAATTGCAGTGTGCCGGATGCTGCTACATGCACTAAGGAATCTTACGGTGGAGAGTTTCGAACTACGCTGTAGAATGAAGACTACGATCACTTTATACCATTCTGACCATAGCGACAAAAATCATGTATTTGCTTTGTGACGAATAACATCGCTACCGAATTCCCCAGGGTTGCTTTACCGCTAGTGCTACCAATATTTGCAGTTGTTATGGATCCCAATCTCGACGTAAGCGTTCTGCGAGAAAATACCCTTCCAAAATGCCCATATTACTTCGCCAATCGGCGCTTATTGAAAGCTCTCTCTTCTGCTTCTCTGCGTAACGTCCTGATGACACTAGTCCTCTTAGAGGCAGCTCTGCCCCGATATCTCAATGTCCAGCCGCAGTGGCCTTCCACTATTCGAAGTCTTATTCGAATAAAAGCCCTAGGGCTTTTATTCCCACTTTGGACTGTTTCTTCCCACACCAGTACACCTTCAGTCCAGCCAAAAAATATGTCATCAAAATCTCAAAAATTATTTTTTCGAAAAAAACCAACTTTCTATATCGATTTTCGACCCACGCACAACAAAGCTCACTATTGAAACTTTCCATCCTGAGAGGGAAACAGGCCAGAGAGCCGGAATCCAATCCATCGGGAAACACTGGTCAGTGGAGTAGTGAATGGTCATTTCGTAGTCCATATTATCACTACATTTGGTTTAGTTACGTTTGGGAACGCGCTTCAGCTCACGGTAAATACAGACAAAACAGTTCAACATGTTGATTCCAAAGGAAGAAAGAACCAAGATCCACAGACACTTGTTTCAAGGTACGTTGGCAAGACACTAAGTGAGAAAAGAGATTGCGAGTGCGAATGCGAGGAAGTTTGGCAGCGCACGAAACTGCGTGCGCACTTGGAGGACCGAGAAACACGGCAGACACGAGCAGAGACCTCGACGACAGGAAAAGGACCCGCAAGATAGGGCTCCCGAAGCGAGAGGACCGGTCTTGGAAACGACGCCATTTTCGGTCTGCAAAGCCAGCAACTGCAGCATGACATCGCTCGCTCAGCTCTCAGACTCCTACAGCTTACTAACTCCCCCCGAACAGAAGGTGTTGTCGTCGCCAAGAAGGACTTTAACCAGCCAAAGCACGATGAAATCGACACCAAGAACTTGTACGTCATCAAGGCCTTGCAGTCTTTGACCTCCAGAGGTTACGTCAAGACTCAGTTCTCGTGGCAATACTACTACTACACCTTGACTGACGAAGGTGTCGAATTCTTGAGAGACTACTTGCACTTGCCTGAAAACATTGTTCCAGCCACTTACTTGCAAGAGAGATCTCAAGACCAAAGACCTCAAAGAAGATACTAAGCGGCTTGCTTTCCAAAATCTGCACACAGCAACAGCCACCGTATCGCTCCCCCTCACGGGTCTTACCAATGTATATTGTTTTAGTATAAAGCATTATATCCAAATATAACACAACATTAATTGGGTTTAACGCTCTAACCAACGCTCAAGTTGCCAATAGGAATTCCAAACAGCATACGCATCGATCGTGCTTCCTGTTGGTTTTTTACTACTTTCTACTCGGTACTCGGCATTCGGTACTCGCGCCGGTATTTTTATAATAATATCTGATCTTTTTATATCGCGATGACTTGACGAAATTCATAAATAGGAACATACGCTCGCACAGCGACATACACATACAACAAACACTCTTTAGCAAACCTTGTTATGTGTGCCAGAAGGCTCAATTATGCCGGCGGTGATAATTTGCCCGTATGTTTTTCGTCGCAGAACCCCAGCGCCAGAGAGCCAGATTACTAACTCGAACGCTCTTTAGCTCTATGCCACGCCCGAAGAATCCATGAAAGCCAGCCAGAGACGAGAAGAAGACGAACAAAGGAGACGCGTCAAGAAATATGAGCGCCTGCCGCCCATTCACCAATCTGCCAGACAACATTCGGCCCCTCCAGTGCCCATCCCTGGGCAACGTCCCTTTAACCCCTCTTTCAATGTCGCAGCCGCGCAATCCATGCCACAAATTCCACAAGCACGCTACGCTCCTTCACAAATAACTCAAATGGGCCCTGCAGCTGTTCGTTATAGTTCAATGCCACAACAACAGTTGCAGCAGCCCGTGACACGGGCTCCGAGATCCAGGCCGGTGCCTGCAGCCGTACAAAGTCCAACACAAACGATGGACCCAAACCGTTCTCGGACTTCTTTAGACAGCGATCCGCTACAGGACTCCAAGGACATGCAGATCGCCACGCAATTGTTTCACAATCACGACGTCAAGCAGCGAGGCAGACTCACAGCCGAAGAACTTCAAAATCTTTTACAAAACGACGACAACACCCATTTCTGTATATCATCCGTCGATGCACTGATCAACTTGTTTGGGGCCTCGAGGTTCGGCACAGTGAACCTTAACGAATTTGTGTCTCTGTACAGGCGAGTTAAGAAATGGCGTAAGATCTATGTGGACAACGACATAAATAGCAGTTTCACAATCAGCGCCAGTGAATTTCACAACAGTTTGCAGGAACTGGGCTACTTGGTGCCCTTCGATGTGAGCGAAAACCTTTTCGATCAGTACTCGGAGTTTATCGATCCTGCCAAGAATGGCAAAGAGCTCAAGTTCGACCGGTTTGTAGAGACTCTGGTGTGGTTGATGCGGTTAACCAAGATGTTTCGGAAGTTTGATACAAACCAGGAGGGTATTGCAGCGGTGCCTTACAAGGACTTCATAGACGTGACACTGTATTTGGGTCGATTCCTGCCGCACTAAACCACACATGCGCTCCCGAATCGATGCCACACTTTGTAACTATTAATAAAAGCATTAATTAGAGTGTATTACAGTTCCAATCAGCAACTCAAGGTGGTCTGTCTGCTTCTTTCCGGCAGGACCTACAAGCCCTAGGTTTGTCGTGAACTTTTTGATTCTTGAAGATTACTTAAGCGATCCGGGTCCTATAAAAAAAGCCATAAACGTTTAAAAATTGTAGTCGTCTAACAAACTCTTGAAATATACAAAGAAACACAACCAGCAAACAATCGTAACCTCTTTCAATACCGTAGTAAGAAATACCGTGCGGATCGAAAGTATTCGTTCCGGCTAGTGGTGTATCTCCTCTATCGTTGCATAATGATGAATCATTTTTAGCTTTTTTTTCTGGCATCTCTAATGTTAGGGCAGGCGTTTAAGTACTCCGTTCGATGAATACAATTTTGACATAACTGACAACTGCAACGATATTGACTCTTAAAATGTTCTTGACTATCGCAACAAACTATGTAGAGATGTAATATATCGACGAAACTCGATGACACGCGAAGGGCCTGCTAGGCTTGGAGATCGCAAGGTTGTGAATGTTCCACCACTCTGGCGTTCTCGGGATTGTTTCGAGTGCGAAAGGAAATGCTAAAGTTCCGAAACTCGAGTACGGGCTGAGCGTGATGTGAAGACGCCGTCGTAATTACAAGTGGGAGCTTGCGCTTCCACTTGGACGAATCCTTGCGCTCACCTAAAAGGGTACAAGCAGTATTTTTTTCTCACTAAGGTGACCAAAGGTCGCCCGGGCCGCGAGTCGCGTACATGGCTTGGTCAAACTTAGCGCGGTACACTTCTTTGCCATTGGACGTGTCTTTCACACTTTTCTTCTTAAGATAGTCGCTGAATTTGACGTTCTGCTGAAATGCCCGCTTGTCGAGGTTCTTGCAAATTTCTTGGTCCGCAGACACCAGTGAGCAGTGTGGGATGGCAAAAGCATCGGCCAAATTACGAACCTGGGGGTCTTCGGTGATTAAAGTCCAGACCTGGTCGTTACTGCCCTCTAAATGGCACTTATACGTACAGCTTTTGAGTAAATTTCTCAAACGGCGAGGTAGCGAACGAGAAGTGTTAGGCCTCAAATCAAAATCAGTCACTTCTGCCACTTGACGTTCGAGTACATCGGACCACAGAATTGTATCCAACAGTTCGGGGAACTCGATCAGCAGATCCACACTCTCGGGAAAATCAGCGCGGTCGATGAATCGCAGGGCCTCCTTGGCCGTGTAGCTATTTCTGCGATACTTGAGAAAGTCCAATTCTTGTAGAGTAAATGTTGGAATATACAGGCTCAACCGCGAGATTTTACGAGCCTGGTCCGGCTCACACCATCTTTTGACATTTCCAATACCTTTTTCAAGACACGATGCGTCTAGAATGTAACATAAATGAGCCATTGGAGTCGAAATGCTCGTCACTTCTCTGGCGGAAGAGGGCATCGCGCTGAGAAGTAGGACTTGGAAGAAATCTAGGAAGACGTCTTATTGTCGTTTGGGGTGATATGGTTCCAATGAAAGAGCATATTGAATTGACACGGGGCAGGGAGGCACCAATGTTTGTATGTTTGAGGCCTCCACTTTGCGATAGTCTCGGCGTTATATTGGTTTGCTCTTTTCGTAAAAGTTCAATTATTGTTTGTATTACATTAATGTGCTTTGGGCAAGATCGTTTCAACACTTCAACTGATCGAGATTGAGTGGGCGTGAAATTTAGTGTTAAAACCCTCCAGAGACTCAATCTACATTTCATCACAGAAGCTGTTCGTTTTTCCGGCCGCAACGCTCAGCCAATAATGCTCAATCAAAATAAATCTATAAATGTTATCATTGTATTATTCTTCATGGTTACTCACTTGTAGCTTTCTCCGCTATTGAAAGCTTTCCAAGATGAGCTTCGAGACGACTGATTAAAATGTCAAACTTGCTGTCATGCGAAACCTACAAAAGCTGCCACGCCAAACTGTATATGTTTGGGACGAATAAAAATCTATAGTGTCTGGTTGCGACATTGTCCTCAACATTTAAGAAATATTATCATAGGCGCATTCTGCGGTCGGGCAAGAACTCATCGAATGCATGATCAACTCTACATAATATAGAAACATTTGTAACCCATCAAAAATACCAAGGGGTATTGCCCAGCTACCGAAGAAGAATAACAGGATATATTAGACGTTTTTGGACATGAGAATTTTATAGAGTAAGCACTCGGATGATAACGTGCCCATGCTTGCCTGAAAGCTACATGGCACATACGTATAAACCTGTGGCACAGAGATCGAATGCAAGCGGTCCCCTTTTATTTGCTCGAGGCGCAGGAAGGTCAAAAAAGACAAGTATACAATTGCATAAAGTTCTTTAATGATAAGGACTTCGGCATCAAGGGCACTGGGATTTTAGGAACTGCTTATTGAAATGCTGAGAAATTGGAAAGTATCTTCGCAAGTCATCACCTCTGGTGAAACGGTTATGACATTATCCTCAACTTTATTTTCCCGCTTTTATCAATGACAGTGGGATCACCAAACATCCTCTAGCGCTTATTATTCACCAGTGCCGGAGGCAGCTCAATTGATACAAGATTCATATATGACGATTGAATATTTTAGTGCTGAAAAGGACTCAAATTATTTCCTTGCCTATTAGCACTTTGGCTTTCATAATTTGCATGTAGATACAGATTACAAAACTCACAAATTCCTATTACTGAGGTTCAGAATGTAGCACGAGAACCCAGAAATGCTTTATTTTTGACAAGCGCTAAGCTACGAATAGCTTAGAAAAACAGTTGCGAACGTCTTCCACTGCTCAGTTTTCTCTTGTATAAGGCCAGAATCCCTAAATTTGCGTGGGCATTTATCTTGGGCTCAGTATAGGGCTATGCAGTAGTGGCTGTCACAGATTTTTTCGATAAATATAGCTTATTTGGATCATCAAACAATAGCCATGTCGAGACCACCAAAGATCTGCGATTATCAAGTACGACCTTGCTCAATAGCGGGACTAATATTTGTAGTAGCTGAATGCTCGCAATTGTGAAAATTCTTGTCGCACAATCACCGCTATCGTTGCAAGCTTGGATAGTGACCAGTTCCTATTTCACAGTACTGAAGGTTTGTGATTATGAGAGCACGTTTCGCACAATTACTGCTATCACTTACGACTCAAGACAGGAACCACTTCATATCCCAGAGCAGTTAAGGTATTAAACCATGAAGACCCTATTCGCACAATTACTGCTACCACTTGGTAATTCTTAGCAGTGGTTAGTTCAGTATTCGCAGTACTCAAATCTCAGGAATATTAAAACTCTTTTCGCACAATCAAGAAGCAGTCGTTAAAGCTCAGAATGACGGATTTCTCTTTTGCACAGCGTCTTGATGCGTAGTTCTAAATCGTTTAACCACACCATTGGCCGTATGGCACCATTGTTACTGAACGACACATCCGTCCATAACGACACAGAACCGTTCAGAAGCCCAAAACGTATTCTCTACCCCAGCAGTTTCTCAGAAACTCACACAAACAACCGTTGTTCAGTAATTCATTTACATATTCGCTCACGCACTCGCTCATGCTCACACACGTTCACGTCAAATCGTATGCGTATGAAACGACACATCTCGTACAATTAAAATTTCTTCTTTCCGTATGGGCTATGTCGGCTTTATGGTGTGTTCTGTAGTACCTTTCAATTGTTTGCTCGTTCGCGCCGATGTATTGTCCTATCTCTTTCTTTCTCTCTTCCGTCTTTCGCTCAGTCTTTTTCCTCTCGTTTACAATCTTCGAGATTTTCGTTTAGCACTTTAGTTTTTTCAGCGATATAAAAAAGGCGGATGGGATGGTCGAGAACTTGAAGATTAAATGATGGCTGAAGACGAAGAGTAGTCGTTGTGGTCGAGCTAAACACTGAAACACGCTAGCTGATATATTGCACATACGGTTTCGACTCGAATACATTCTTAGGATTGTTTTACAGAGCGTTTCGCCATCGATAAAGACGAAACACAAATAGCAGTATCACAAGTACTAGCATTCGCTTTACAAGCACAAAGCACAAGCACAAGCGCAAGACTAGCGCAAACTCACACATGTCCGCTGTCTTTAACAACGCCACTCTGGCAACTGCGCTGGCGCATGGAAAAACCTACGCGCAAACCCTCCACAACGTGCGCGCGTACCAGCCGCAGCTCGGCTTCATGGAGCAATACTGGGCCGCATGGTACTCGTACATGAACAACGACGTCCTTGCTACCGGTGTCATGTTCTTTCTGCTGCACGAGTTCATGTACTTCTTCCGGTGTCTGCCCTGGGCCATCATCGACCAGATCCCTTACTTCCGTCGTTACAAGATCCAGCCCACCAAGATTCCTAGCGCCAAGGAGCAGTGGCATTGTCTCAAGTCCGTGTTGCTCTCGCATTTCCTGGTCGAGGCCATTCCTATTTGGACCTTCCACCCAATGTGTCAGAAACTCGGAATCTCCGTCTCCGTGCCCTTCCCTTCGATCAAGACCATGGTATTTCAAATCGGTCTGTTTTTCGCTCTCGAGGACATGTGGCATTACTGGTTCCACCGTCTGTTCCACTACGGCGTCTTCTACAAATACATCCACAAGCAACATCACCGTTATGCCGCTCCCTTTGGATTAGCAGCTGAATACGCCCACCCTGTCGAAACCCTATCTCTAGGATTCGGTACCGTGGGTATGCCTATATTGTACGTCATGTACACCGGGAACTTGCACTTGTTCACACTATGTTTGTGGATCACTTTAAGATTATTCCAAGCCGTCGATTCCCATTCCGGTTACGACTTCCCATGGTCTTTAAACAGAATTTTGCCATTCTGGGCCGGTGCAGCTCACCATGATTTGCATCACCACTATTTCATTGGTAACTACGCTTCTTCTTTCACCTGGTGGGATTACAGTTTAGACACCGAAGCTGGTCCAGAAGCTAAAGCTGAGAGAGAGGAAAGAATGAAAAGAAAAGCTGAGTTGAGAGCCAAGAAGGCAACTTAACTGTGTCTTTATTCATTTTTGAAAGCATTTCGTATTGCTTGTTACATACCACAATTACTTTACAAATTCTTTATGGTTACTTCAAAAAGTAGCATTTTATACTATCATTACTATTAATATACACGTCTTTATGTTGAATGGAAGATCGCTTCCAACTCATACTTCAACCAACCCATTTCCTAGCAGATCTAAACATTCTGATCCAAGGTCCGTATCCTTGCCACTCGTCGTACTTCTCTTCAGGGTACCAAGAATTGGCCTCCAATCTGCATACTCTTTCTGGATGGGGCATCATCGCCAAGACTCTACCGTTTGGAGATCTAACACCAGCTATACTATTAGTGGCACCATTAGGGTTGAAAGGGTATTTGTTGGTGACATTTCCGTAATTGTCAATGTATCTGACGCTGCAGAGTCCTTGGCCTTCAAAGTCATCCGTCTCGCGTTTAGATTTGAAAGCTGCTCTACCTTCACCATGAGCAACAGCAATTGGTAGGCTCGATCCAATCATACCGTTAAAGAACACACTTTCATTTTTGCAACCGTCATCTTGGGTTACTTCTACCATACAAACACGAGCTTCGTATTGTTCGCTTGAGTTTCTTTCAAAGCTTGGCCAATTCTCACATCCTGGGATGATGTCTTTTAATCTGCTCAAGAATTGGCAACCATTGCAAGCACCAAAGGCAAATGTGTCTGATCTTTCATTGAAAAATCTGACGAACTGTTCACGTACACCTTCGTGATATAGGACAGATTTGGCCCAACCGGCGCCTGCTCCCAGCACATCACCATAGGAAAACCCACCACAAGCAGCAATACCGACAAAATCATCTAACTCAAATCTTCCTTCCAATAGATCTGTCATAGTAACGTCAATTGCAGTAAATCCGGCTTGTTGAAAACACCAGGCCATTTCCATTTGACCATTCACACCTTGTTCCCTCAAAATGGCGACCTTTGGCCTTGAGATAGCAGCCAACTGAGTCACCTTCAAATCATCAGTAGGATCATATGCTAGAGAGTAGTGCAAGCCAGGGTCCTTATCATCTAGAATATTGGAGAACTCTTGATCAGCAGCTTGGGGATTGTCTCTCCTCTTTTGAATTTGATACGATGTAGCAGCCCATGTTTTCTGTAGCGAAGCCCTGGTGTTTTTGTATTTCACAAGACCAGATTTATCTCTTATAGTCACAACTTGAGATTTGAGGTTAGGTCTTCCCACGATAGATATGTGGTCTGAAGAAACGCCGTGCTTGGCGAATATCTCCACAAACTCTGGGAGCGAGTTTTCGGAGATTTGGAAAACGCAGCCTAACTCTTCATTAAACAATGGAGTGTAGACGTCAGTGTTCTGGTCCAAGACCATGTCAATACCGCATCTGGAAGCAAATGCCATTTCTAACAAAGTGACAAATAGACCGCCATCTGATCTATCGTGATAGGAATACACAAGATTTGTTTGATGAAGCATCAGCAGCGATTCCAAGAGGCCCTTAAAAATTTTGTTGTTATGAACTGTAGGCGAAGTGTTACCGACTTGGTTGTAAACTTGTAAGAGGGCTGAACCTCCAAGAGAGTGATTCGCTTCCTTGGCTGCCATATCAACAAGAACTAAAACAGTGCCGTCTTTTTTCTTTAAAACCGGAGTCCAAGTTTTGGATGTATCATTGACGGGACCGAAAGCAGTAATGTTCAAAGTCAAAGGCGCGGTTACCTCATTTTCTCCCCATTTCATTTTCATAGACATCGAGTCCTTGCCAACGGGGATAGAGATATCCAAATCAGGACATAGGTCCATACCAATAGCTTGAACGGCTTCATAAAGCTTAGATCCTTCACCTTGATGCGAGGCCGGAGACATCCAGTTTGCAGATAATTTGATATGCTTTAGAGACTTCACATCAGCAGCAAACAGATTTAACAAAGACTCAGCGACACAAAGCTTGGCAGAAGCTGCCGCAGAAATCAAAGCATTTGTTGGCCTTTCACCCATTGCCAAGGCTTCTCCAGTTCTACAAATACCATCACCAAGCGCGGTACCTGTTACACCAACATCAGCGACAGGTACTTGCCATGGCCCCACAAACTGATCTCTGTCGATGAGTCCGGTTACGGTTCTGTCACCAATAGTAATTAAGAATGATTTAGAACCAACTGTTGGCAGGGACAAAACTCTCTGAACAGCATCCTCAAGAGATGGGATAGTGGTCAAATCAGCTGGAGGTAAGCTTAAGGGTTGTGTGATGGCTTCTCTTGTCATTTTTGGAGGCTTTCCAAACAGAATAGACATCTCTAAATCGATAGGAGTGCTCTTCAGCAGTGGATCCTCGACAATCAATCTCTGCTCCGCAGTGGCATGTCCCACTATGGCATATGGCGCTCTTTCTCTCTTGCAGATCTCTTCAAATAAGGACACGTTTTGTTGAGAAACACCGAGAACATAACGCTCTTGCGATTCGTTACACCATATTTCAACAGGTGACATACCTGGTTCCAACGATAGCACCTTTCTGATGTCGAACTTAGCACCAAGATCATTATCATGAACTAGCTCTGGCAAGGCGTTAGACAACCCACCGGCACCAACATCATGGATCGATTGAATTGGGTTACCAGAATCTAGGGAGACACAGGCATCAATTACTTGTTGACAACGGCGCTCCATTTCAGGATTTCCTCTTTGGACCGAGGCAAAATCTAGAGCAGCAGAACCTTCACCTGAGTTTATAGAAGATGCGGCACCACCACCTAGACCGATAAGCATGGACTCACCGCCTAGAACAATTAAGCTGGAACCTGGAGTAATTGGCTTGTTTTTCAAAGCAAACTGTGGTCTGACGGCACCAAATCCACCAGCCATCATAACTGGTTTATGAAATCCTCTGACTTCGTCTTTGTGGTCTGCATTTTTGACCTTGGTAGTCAATGTTCTGAAATAGCCGTTAATACATGGTCTACCAAACTCATTGTTAAATGCAGCAGAACCCAATGGCGCCTCTACCATAATGTCCAAAGCGGAGGCAATGTGGTTTGGCTTGCCGACATCTAGTTCCCACGGTTGCTTGAAACCGGGAATTAGAAGATCACTAACTGCAAAACCGCTCAAACCACACTTGGATTTAGAGCCTCTACCAGTGGCGCCTTCATCTCTGATTTCACCACCTGAGCCAGTGGCCGCACCTGGGAAAGGCGAGACGGCAGTTGGGTGATTGTGCGTCTCAACTTTCACTAACATTGGCACATTTTCCTTGATTGCTTTCCACTCCTTGGTCTTATAGTCAGGAGCAAAGTAGTACGAATCATTGCCCGTGTCTAGGACTGCAGAATTGTCAGAATAAGCACTGATTGTGTAGTCTGGAACATGCGCGTGCGTATTTCTGATCATTTTGAAGAGAGTTAGCTGCTTCTGAAGGCCATCAATGGTCCAGTCAGCGTTAAAAATCTTGTGGCGACAATGCTCCGAATTGACCTGTGCAAACATGAAAAGTTCTACATCGGAAGGATCTCTCTGAAGTGTGTTGACAAAAGCGCCGATTAAGTATTCTATCTCGCCCTTGTCTAGCGCTAGTCCAAGATTTTTGTTGGCTTTTTCTAAAGTATCTTTTGGAGAAGCAGATTTATCGGAAACCAGTGGAACATGAGCCAAAGGCTTAGGAGATTCATGAGAAAAAATAGCTTCTAGTTTAGGACTTTCGGTCAAAAAAAGCTGCTGCGTCATTCTGTCGTAACAAGATTTGAGAGAGATATCGTTGAGATTCTCCACAAGTGGGAAACCAGGAACGGTCTTGATAAGAAGGGCCAATCCACGCTCAATTCGCCCGATCTTGGATTCTAAGCCGCACACACGAGCAATATTCGTGGCTTTTGAAGACCATGGGGAGATCGTTCCGGGTCTGGGGAGAATTTTAACCAAGTACGTGTCCGGGCCTTGCTTCTCGCTCTCAGAAGTCACACCTGCTTTCAGTTGCTGTGCGTAAGAATCTTGACTATCCAAAGCCTGGTCGTACGTTAAAAGCACCTCCAAAAGCTGCTGTTCCTTGTCTGACAAAGGTTCTTCGCCTTCAATGTCAACGTAGTGGACGTAGCACGAACGCACTTCTGAAATCACTGAAGAGCTGTTGCAGTGTGTCTCGATCCCTTTGACCAAGTTTTCCACACGAAAGGCAGAAAGAGCTTGCGGCCCCGGTAATATAAGAATGGACATTGCTCAATCAAATGGAAATGTCTGGTCTTGAAAACTCAACCCCAGTACAAATAAATTTGATATCTGATGACTTGATTTTTATATAATTTTCAACTTCGAATGATTTTTTTTTATTAGGCCAAGAATATATGCTAATATACATGATAAATGACAATATGACTCAAGAGCTGGGGGCGTCAAAATTACGGTAGTTCTTCCTTTACGTCGGGCAATATGACAGGAATGAACAACCGGTATTCCAGCATTTGAGAAGTTCCTTCCTCTACCAGACTAGTGACTACCAACGAAATAATCAGATCGATATCGTATTTGACTCTAGCCTTAATATCTACTAATAAATTAGATTTTACAAATCACGTGAGAAAAGAGAGACTCAAACCCTTGATAGCCTTAGGGCCACCTGCTGGTCGTACTCAACATCCTGACAGCGTCAGTACAGTCTCGAGACAAAAGGTTAAGGTAGACTCATTCGCATTGCTTGCGCGCCTCTTTGTGTTGTTGTGCCAAAACAAAATGTAAACATCAACTTCAAAAATAAAGTCAGATCGTTTATTTTTTAGACCGCTCTCTGTTAAGCCCAGATACAACTGTGACAGTTGAAAGATCAATACCAACAATCCGCCACCGATGTGCGCTGACCTTCTTAGCTACTTCGATTGCAGTTGGTATAAATCACTTGTGACGACACCCAGCTGACAGCTTTCGCTGTTGAAAATCTTTGAGTTTAGATATCAAAAAGCTCATCGCATGTCATCGATCTCGTAAATTCGGTTATACTCAACCCACTGAAACACCAGACATGCCACAAAAAGCTCTGAAAGTCACGAAGAAGACCAAGGACCCCAGAAGAGTTACGAAGATGCAGAAGAACCTCCGGAAAGCGGCCCCTTTGCAAATCAAGTCCAAAAAGAAGTCCCTGGCTCACTTGAAGAAATTGAACAAAGCATCTTCGCTCACAGAGACAACTGAAAGGCTTATATCCAGTAGAGTAGGCCATTTGGAATTGCTGAAAGGTACTAGGAAAGAATTGGAGAAAGAAAAGAAGAAAGAGGGCAAATAAGCCTGCATATGGATATTTTTCCGTCTCCGTTGTTTCGTGCCCAGACACTTTAGTTCCATGTATACTAGTTTTCATTTAACACTATCTTTGATAAGGCCACAGCCAGTTGAGGAATGCATTCTGTAGTAAGGAGTACAATTGCGAGCTGATCCAGTATACAGACAGTAGCAAGGGAGCCTGCGAAGAGATTCCCATGAAGAAGATGCAACTCAATCTTGATATATTCAGAATGCTCTGCATACTTTGCGAAACTTTCGAGTTTGGATTTGGAGCCTGTTTGATGCCCATCGCTTCCGAGGTGGTTGCGGTCATCATTCGCCCGTTATGTTCTACGTTAATCAAAGCCAATGTGCCTAGAACGAGCGGCGCGAGCATGGGCAGGCTGTCTAAAGGTAAACTCAAGTCTAAGCTGGAAATTTGAGAGAGAAAGTCCAGAGTTTTGAATTCTTGTATAGGCGGCACATGCGGCAGGTTCGAGTCTAGTAATCTCTGCCCAGCCAAATTTCGTAGCCCCATGGAAACAGATACCCATAAAGGAATCTGGACTATTGGCAGAATCGCATTTTTCCAGAGGGCCACATTATTCGCAGCAAACAGTTTTTTCTGGCGATTTCTTGTTTCCTTAAGTGCTAATAGAGTAATTTGATCTGGCGTTAAAGCCGGCTTTTGCACCAAATTTGTGTCTTTCCTGTTGCGCGATTGACTTTGCTGTGTTGCAGCTGCTAGTCGGAGTTTAACAACTGGTGGTATAGCCTGCACCACTTTACGCAACTCCTGTTGTTTTACGATGCGCTTACGCTGCCATATACTTAGTGGTAGTGTGAACAGGGTTCTGAGTCCAAAACTGCTCAATGGAATCAATACCAGCCAAGGCAGGGCGCTGACCTCATGCAGAGTGACGAAGGAATCTGTGATACTCTGAAAAAAGGCCATCGATCGAGTTTGAACCTGCCGCGAGTTGAGTTTCAGCTGCGAGCGTCCGCTTCCTATGTAGCGTATGCTACTGCGAGAAGCGCTGAAGGCAAACATGATCGAGCGATTGAAAGAAAGACTTGATGCTTTCGAGTTCGGTAACGGCCCGCTGAGCTTCGAATAGTTCAAATAAAGCGAGAAAAAATATAACACGTGACATATATCGTCTGTCAATTGATTGAGACAAGTGGGTGCGCGACTCCACTACTCCTACTTAGTCTACATATGCGCTATTGATCTTCTTCTTCGTATGCCTATTAATCTACCTGCGATCCGTCTCGTGGCTTGTAATGCGGCAACAAATCAGACACTTCCACCGGCAGCCGACCATCCACTTTGATAGCATACATGCCAGGAATATACGCATCTACACTTATCCACTTGGCTACCCATGATTTGGATGGTTTGCACATTCCCACAAGTCCTTCAAAGGACGGAGACGTGCATTCCATGGTACTCACACCAGCCTCGTCAAAAATACCTTGGCAATTCGGACATCCATCTTTTGTAAATTCGGCAGTGGTAAGTACTAGCCCACACAGCATACAAGCTCTTTCGGCAGACATGTTGGATAAAAAATAGTATGGATGTTGAATCTAACAATCACAGGTGTCTCCGGTGAAGTAAGTCAATTTAGTTAGCTCGCTGAAAATTAGACGTGGTTACATCATGTGACTGTGACTATAAGACAAAGGCCGGAATTGTCAATATTTTGACGTTCCGCGGATACTTCAACGGTTTGCTTGGCCAATCCGCCTGTGTCCGAATGATTCATGGCCACCACTTTTGGCCCGAGTTTGAATCTTTCGGCTTCAACGTATCTTATCAAATATATTCATAGATTCTCATATAAAGATGAAAATAATAATTTGAAGACCTGATATTCGTCGCACTTGGAACCCACCGCAACTCGAAACTATTACTTCATTAGACTCTTGCTATGTCACAATACGCTGCTGAAGTGAAGCAGATCATTAAGTCCCAAAAGTTCGTGCAATTGACGGCGAATTACTGCCCAGATTGTGTGTACGCCAACAACATCTGGCAAAAGTTCGGAGTATTAAACAAGATCCTACAGTTCGAAATCGGAGGATTTGACAGAGCCACCCAACAGAAGTATAGAGATGCTTTCGAACAAGTGACAGGAAGCAGGAACCTTCCTACTATCTTCGTTGACGGAAAAGTTTGGGGCACAGAACATGACCTGCACAAATATGAAAGAAAGGGCACCTTGCAAGCGGAATTGAAGAAGATTGGACTGATTTGAGTATTTTCCGGCTACGTAGAGTACCACTTGCGGAGAGTGTGATATATTCATCTATCTAAATTAATTAAAAGTCATTTTTGTATGAAGCCTCGTTTTCCTTATCTTTGACGTAGTAGTACTCGCCCTTCTTTTCCATCTGCGTTTCGATGAAAGCTGGGGCCGCCTCACCATTATCGCTATTATACAGAATAATTCCATTACCCAAGGCATTTTTCTTCTCGTTCCTCTTGTAAAAGTATAGGACAACGAACGTCCATAGACCGTACACCGCCGAAAACACCAAACTCACTGTGTAACCAGTTTTAAACCTTGGCTGTTCAACTGTTTTCCACGCTAAAGTTGGAATCCACGCATACGTGGACTGTGAGAAACTGTAGATGGCTATCCATGTCACAGCTCTCAGTTGTGGGTCTAATCTCAGAAAATCGTTGATGAAAGACCATAAACATGGCGACGCTGCAACCGAAAAATAAGTGATCAAGAATGCGAACCATTTAGTACTGTTCGCAACATCCCACTTGATAAGTATAGCGCACGACACACAATTCATGATTTGAGAAAACACCATGAAGACCCACTTGCAACGGAACAAGTCGGCGCCCCAGGCGCACAAAAATACAAACACGAAACCAAGACAAGCCGGCAAGACTGACAAGTTGTTGATTGTAACCACTGAATAATTATGGTCGTTTTGCAACCAAAACAGGAAACTTCCACTAAATGCCGTCATATTATTCCAAGAACAGGTATCGAAGACGACTAAAACCCAAAATGCTGGGGTGAAAAATATCTTTTTCCAGATTTTCCACGACAATAGCGGTAGTAGTTTATTTTTGGCGACACCGTCATTGATTTGATTTCTTCTGTTACGAGCACGAGCAACTCTGATCTCTTCGTCGCTCAAAAACAAAGAGTAGCACTTTGATGGGATACCTGGGATAACAAAAAAGCCAATAATAGCACATGGTATCGAAATGGCGATCCCATCAATCAGGAACATCCATCTCCATCCAGATATGCCATGAACTCCGTTCAGGTCTTTGTAAGTCCTGGCTTGTAATAGACCAGAAGTAACACCACCTAGTAGTTGGCCACAGAAAAATAAGCAAACTCTGGAACTGATTTCATCGGGTGCATACCATGAACCCAGAACATATTGTGATACAGGGTAGTAAGCGGAACCAAAAGCACTCACCATGAATCTATACGCCCTAAGCTCGGCTAACGAATGAGCTCTGTAGCACGCAAATGTGAAGAAAGACCATCCCAAGTCCATAATAGGCAGAATAAGATGGGCTGGAAATCTGGGTAAAATGTACATGAAGGGCAACTGAAGCACAATAGCACCTACGTTTGAGATGGCAACCGTATTGATATAATCGTTTTTGGTCATGTTAAGCTCCTTTTGCATTCCAGAAAAGTACGCGTTACTGTAGTTACTGGTGTCTAATGATTTACACCAACATAGCATCAAAAAATACACTCCGATCATGAGATCCAATTTGTACAGCAGCCTGCGCTCCGATTTGGTTTGCGTCGTGTGGTTTGGATACAAAAAGGTATACCAGTTGCGCGACTTCTTGTACTCCGAGTTAGCACGGTATTCGAACTCGTCAAAGTACTTCCACCACTTTCGACCCTTTTCGTCACGAAGTTCGTATGGGATTCCGCTCTGAAGCGACTGTGGTTCCTGGCTCTCATTTTCCAAAGCCTCTGTCTTCGTCTCTTCGTCTTTTTTAGCACTTTGTGAAACTTCTTCGTGGATGTCCACCGAGCTCAGAGACACATCGCTGTGGTTGCGTTCCAATTCCTCTGGGAGAACTCGCAGATGTGGCAGGAACCCTTTCATTCTACTCTTAAATTTATTCAATTGACTCAGAGATTAAAAAGGTTGGGAACATTAGAAGAGGAATTCACTGAAATTCCCTGGTGTTTAAATATGTTTTTCCTATCTTCTTCATCTTGTTGAGCTCAGTGATTCTGATCAGCGGTCAAACTTTATATTTTTTCTTCCATTGTACTTCTGACTGTGCTCGACGACTCAGGAGTCATCTTCCAATGACTCAAATAATAACTAACGCTCAATCATTTGTAAGAGACTCAAAATTGGCGACTTGTAGATCAACACTGCATGCTAAGTTTGGATTCAGGGGTATAAATTTCCGAATTGTTGGATGAAAACCATATCATGGTTAAGTGCATTAGCGTGATGATCATAAAGAGTTGCGTTTTCTGTCGATAGAGGAAATCACTGTCGAAAAAACTGTTTCAGCTGATGTGTGATTGTGGAGAGTCACCAGCATGAAATCAGCGAGATGCGACTACTTCAAGCTCCTGAATATTGACGTCCTAGTGAGGTTTCGGTTGATACAACTATGAAGCAATCTCAAATGTCAACGAAGTACAAAGAATTGGGCTGGCCAGAGAGCATTTCAAGTGACAGTTAATTCAGCTGGATTTTAGATAAAGCTGGATTTAATTGCGCATCAATACAAGGTCGCAGTTATAGCAAAGAAGAAATAATCACTCGATTGTTGGCGACCAATGTTCATGGTATATCAGCAAGATACCCGAGCTGTATGATCAATTTTTCTTGGCAGATTGCTACCGGATCGCTTGAACTTAGAGTGCATAGTCAATGCTGCTGAACATACGCTGACAGCAGTGGAAAGCTGCCAACAAACTACACGAAGCCGAATCGAATAGTCACATTACAAGAGAACTACTAAATGAGAAGTCATTCACGTAGATTAAAGAAGAAATTGCGAGCACCGATGTAGTTGAGATTAGATTTGGCTTTTTCTGGAAGCTGATCGTTTTTATTCAGACGTTGTCGTATCCGCGATGTTTAACTTAAGAAAACCATAGTCTTCTCTTGATACTGTTGAGTTCACGTAACATGTTCAGAAGCCGAACACGTACACTAACTCGAAGCCCAATTGATGTCCATACAATCGCTATTTCAAGGAACGCATTTCAACTCTTCTTGCAAGATCTCTCAATCATGTTTCCTTCGACCTTGTCTTCCACGTGTAAAACGATAAATAAAATATTATAAAAGAGTAGAAAATTTTTCTAACTCTCCATTACCTTGCCTCACCTATTTCTTAAAGACAAATCAAAGCCGATACTAATTAACAGTATGTTAAAATGTCTAGTTTGATGCTCAACCGAGCTGTACCTGGCAATTTATAACAGGTGGTTTATTTTGAAGAAGACATGAAAGTATCTTATAGCGAAATTTTTTGCTTGAGAGCTCTATTTTCTTTAAAAATTCTTAGCATTTGGGAGTATTTGTTCATCAACAATCCCTCCTTTTGGGTGCAAGAATCGAGTGTCAGTGCCTCTCTGATGTTGGAACTCCTTCACTGGATGAAATTCGAAGTAATAGTCGTGCTGTTCTGCTGAACGCGCGCTATTATGGAGTTGTACGCCTCGATACCCTTTGCATTCAGAGTTCCAGGACCTTCCTATGAACTCGCGTCGTGACTCCAATCTTAGTTTTTGGATACTCATGGTGCTTCTTTGAATTAAAACAGCTGGGCCCTTTATTCCGCATGTGTTAGACCAACACTCAATTCGGACTAAGGGCTGTAGAGGAAGCGTACTAACTTTTTTAACAGCACAATGACCCGTGCCTCCGTTCTAGCTGATGCTCTAAACTCCATCAACAACGCCGAAAAGACCGGCAAGCGTCAAGTTTTGATTAGACCTTCTTCCAAGGTTATCATCAAGTTTTTGCAAGTCATGCAAAAGCACGGTATGTCTCTTTCCTGTGATGGAATACTATTGACGCTCGCTAATTTTTTGCAAGACTCTCTCCCCTTTCATTTGAATCCCGGACTGATAACTGGATGGTTTGATCGGACAGTGTAAAAACTGTACAATTTCAGTCCCATACTGTCTTTTAAGTGTCCGGAAAATTAAAGACTTGAAAATGCTTCTTACACGACTTGGAACTATCAATCAATGTTCCTTGAGCGTTTACTTTTTCTCAACATAAACACAAATGAAAGTTAAAGGATGGATTGTGAAATAGCGAATGGCCATGGTTTGTTCTAAAAACAAATGATCATATACTAACATTTATTCAGGTTACATTGGTGAATTTGAATACATCGATGATCACAGATCTGGCAAAATCGTGGTTCAACTAAACGGTAGACTGAACAAGTGCGGTGTTATCTCTCCAAGATTCAACATCAAGTTCAACGATATCGAAAAATGGACTGAAAACTTGCTACCAGCCAGACAATTTGGTTACGTTATTTTGACTACGTCCGCTGGTATCATGGACCATGAGGAAGCCAGAAGAAAGCATGTTGCCGGTAAGATCCTCGGCTTTGTTTACTAAATATTTTAGTTCTAATCAAGTAAGCAACTCTAACACAATGTACAATATAACTGAGCTGGAAAGAAATGATGCACAAATACTTGGTGAACTTAAGTTTCGCCTTATGTATTAAGACTAACCACTTGATGCTTGTTCATTAACGATTTGTCATACCTGGCATATATAAATAGTAAAGAAGCGAATGGGTGCATAATCGGCTTGCGACTCCGGCTCAACGTCACTAATAGGTTGAGGGAAATTAACTTATTTGGTGAGATTTAGGTTCTATTTGGCACGAGAAGTTGCGACTTTGTTCACCGCTCGATTTAAACTTATCTCGAGCTTAATTGTATGCCCACCGAGCGCCAAGAGCAGATCTACGCCAGAACGGAGTACCTAAAATGTTAAAGGTGGTCCTTTTGAGAGGATTGCCAGGATTCCATAAACTTGCCAGCTAAAAGAATGAATAAGGTCAGTGCAGAGGGCTGGTTTCGTGCAATAAGCGAGATGCCGACCCTGAAGTAGATCCCGGTGCAACACCGGATGAAGGACCTGATACACTAGGAGAATCCTGGTTCCTGGAATGACTGCGCACAAAATGGGCTAGCCCACCATGAAATACATGACCAGGTCGGCGGCCCGTCACACTTATTGGTTGGGGCGACACATGTCCTGATGGAAGAGCAGAACCCGTGTTGTCGTACGACGGCGTAAGCTCACTTACGGGCAAAGCGGCTTCATCCTCTGCGTCATCGCCAACTTGGTCATAAGATGGCAGGCAATTTAGTTTCTCCAGAGAAAGGTCTTGCATGGGTTCCACTAGATCTTCAAGCATCAAATGGCTCTCAGTGGTTGCCCTCATTAACGGATGAGTTCCATCTGGCGTGGAGGCTCCACTGCGCAAGAGGTCTGCAGCTTGGTTAGTCGAATCATCGTTCCCGCTGTACAGTTGATCATACATATGTTTCGCGTAGGTTGGTGGCGCTTCAGTATCTTCCTGGGGAAAATAGCTTACTGCCAGCGAGCCGTCTTCCAGTCTTTGCAAATTGTTAAGAGATATCGAACTGTTGATGGCGCTCTGCGTATTGTGTTGTTGTTTTTCGAATAATCGTACTCCATCGCCAGAGCGAAAATGAATCTTGCCTGCATTGTCCAGCAATACAAGCCTGCCCTCTAATGGAACATGCGGTGACACGTATAGAAAAACCGGAATGTTTGCTTTCACTTCTGTGCTTTTATCCTCAGTACCAATTTTTCTTTTTAAAAAGATCTTTATGCTCAGTTTATGCCGCACCCGGATGGCATCACCACCGATGTCACAATCCTGTGTAACTTGCTTGAGATTTTGGGGAAATTTGAGAGATGAGTTCAGCTCCACTTTGTCTGTGATTAGATTATCTCTAGATGTATCGCAGCCAGGTAGATTATCGAACGTAGTTATACCTTGATGTAGGACGACACTTTCGTCATCGTAAAGTTGACCACTTTGATCTTTGAAAGCGTAATACTGGATTAAATTTGCATCTATTTTGGATAATCTGTACCCCTTCTGGAATGGATACAGGTTCACGGTGACAGGGGTCACACCACCTATCGGTATTGCTCGACTGGGAATAGATATCTCGTATTGTAGTCTATCGGGCCAACTTTTGCCAACACTCATTTCTTCACCAACGGCCAAATTGTTGGGGGATAGAGTACGGAATATACGCAAATATTTGTGCTTCGTGAATGAGTTTTTGAAGCTTCCGCGCTCCATGTGAGCTTCAAACTTGTAGAGTACTGATCCCGCCTGAAGCCCTTCTATTGTCTCAGAAGTGTAAGGTGGTAGGGATACCTTGAAGGGTAGCTCGTAATTCCCTTCTCGAATTACGAAAGACTGACCAGGGCTAGCATCGATACCATCGTAAGGTGTACAGCTCGCACCATTTGTTGGAAGGCTATGTGAAATGGAGGAATTGCTTTTTTTGATTGGTTTCCATAGGTTGTTGAGGGATGTGCTAGACAGCGCCGAACTTGCTGTATCCTGCGTGGCATCACTCGACCCTGTAGCCGAGCTCCCCGGCCCTCCAATGGTTATAAGGCCCTCTGACGAAACCAGAAGGTTATCCCAAACACACTCAAAGATAGTCCTACGCTCCTTCACAACACTGGCAAGACTTGAATTCTTGTGCTGGCCGACCTGCAGAAACTCCAATTTGAAGGTGCCCACCAGCTTTAGCGATATCTTTTTTACACTGATAGACTCTGGAATCGAAAACACTAAGTGACCCGAGATAGGAATCGGCGGAGCCTCCAACGGCGTCCCATGAATTAAAACAACGTTCTTATAAGGTGATTTGAGCCTTATGTCAAAGTAGACAGGCTGGGCTGGCGAATTTGACAGTTTTGCGAGAGAGAACATTGAAATATCTTTTCACAATGAACCTTGAACTGACTCTCAAGGGCAATGTCGCCTCAAATGGTCGTTTCCTCTCGATCTTCTCGTAGGGCCCCTTCTATGTTTCACTCAAATATACATCTAAATCTAATTTTTTGACCAAGCTCATCGCTTGCTCGGGACTTGCCAAATTTAAATTACAAAAGGATCCAGAAGTTGAGGGCACGACCTGGCCAACGAGTCCATGCAATGTTCCGCGTATAACTTGCCCAAGGAAGTGTGGTTAGTGGTCTTTGAATACCTAGAGTACGACGATCTTCTACGCCTCAGAACTTGTTCACATAAATTTAATGATTTAGTGAAAATTCAATGGGTTTGGGGAGCCAGATGCCACAAACGATGGCTTCAGGTTGAAGATGAGGACTTTCTGGCATCGCAGCTGACTAATGGCACTCGCGGTTGCTCAAAGGATGATTGGTTCTATTATTATAGGTACAGAAATCGTGTGGACAAGCACACATTCAACACCTTGTGTTTAATCGCCGCTTGTAAGCAAATCGGTAGCTACAAAAACAGATTAGAGAACTTATTGAAATACGGCGCTTTGATCGTCCCTTTGCTACGAGATTTGGAGCTTAGGGGCTACAGTAATAATTTGCCATTCGACGTTACCTTTTTGGCTCGGCAACTGCTATTGACAATGCGACATAAAAGTTTATTTGCATTCATTGAATCTTCTATTGCTAGTAAAGCCAACCAGTGGGTACATTATGCCGAAGAGTCGGTTTTTTTACCTCTAGCAGCCATGGATTTGGCCTTCAACCGAATTTTACCACACAGGGCCAAAATAATACAACAGGTACACTCAATGGTTAAGCACGACTTTCAGGATTTATCCGAGTTTATGCAACTACCGTCCACATTGAGACTGGATAAAATTATGAAGTACTTGTTTCAGGCTCTCAACGGCGCAAGACAGGAACATTTACGCCAAGCTACAAGATACTATTTGGACGACTTCATGCTGTTGCGCGTTTATGCCGGGGAGGCGAGAGGACACTCCATAGTACTGCTTGCCATTATACAGGCCGTATCCTCTCACTATAACGTTGAAACCGTACTTTGTGAAGAGTTTCTAATAGTTCGTGATTCGCGGATTCGTAGCGGAGAGACATATGTTACGATATCTGTCGCGGGAGCCCCCAGGATATTCACTCGCAAAAATCTAGTTGACTCCATGTGCCGCGTTTTCCCGGACAGACAAGTTGTTCTTAACTCTATAATACCAAAAATGCTGCAACCGTTGCGGACTCACGACCTAATGTTCAAGATCTTTGACGAGTGGTCTCCGCATTGTAAGAAAAGCTATTGGAATGTTGTGTCAGAAAAAAGCATCAAAAATTTAGAAGCCCTCATGCCTCATAGCAGATTTCCAGTGCGGGTCTCGGACTATGAGTACTTCCAGGCTTTTTGGAAACTTAAAATTGCTTCGATTCAAAGACAGTTCCGAAATTTAGGCGGTGCTCATTTTTTACAGTTCGTGGAGCTTCAGTATCCCCACGATACTATTTTAATAGGTTCCGCCTTAAATCGGCCGCATCAAGATGGAGATAGTAATTTCTTGGGTGGGCCACAAAACTTCAAACCATTATACGAGAAATACTCTTTGAGCAAGAGCCCCTCGCCTCTTCTTGGTAGAATAGTTTGCGATAGGAGAATCGCGACTAAGTATATTGTTTTGGCAGCGAAGATTGCGGAGAATGGATCACATTACCTCAATTTATTAGACCCATTTGGAGATGTTCATGTTCTACTCAGGGAAGACGTTGAAGTTGCCGATGGTCAAATACTGTCTCCACAAGACGTTCAGCATCTAGTACATTTACTGTCACTGTCAGATTTAGGATTGTTCTTTTCCAAATTCGACACACAAAGTAATGCATTTCAACCAAGTCAAATGTTTGCGACTTATTTGGCAGATAAAAACGAAGAGAATTAGACTAAAAATGTAGTATCTGCTATTACGTAGTACCTAAAGTAAAACTACCACAGTGACAACGTCTTGCAGGCTATCAAAATATGGATCGAGCTGCCGATGTGCGAAGACCAAGAATCACACCGGACGGTCTTCAGCTCAAAGGTTATACATATATCAAGGCTAAATCAACAGATAGCTAATTGATGGAAAGTATAGAGTAAAATTGGTAGCTACTTTATTCTCTACAGCTGATTTGATTTGGGCATGTTTAGGATGTCTTCACGGCTGTATTCCAGTTCCATTATGCGCACGCTAGGCAGAAGATATGCGAGTTCTAAGGTAATCGGTATTGATTTGGGAACAACAAATAGTGCAGTTGCGTATATCAGAGATCCACTGGACCTAAAATCAGTCACAATAATTGAAAATGATGAAGGCAAACGTACAACACCATCTGTTGTAGGGTTTAATACGAGGGACGGAAGCTACATAGTCGGGGAAGCTGCTAAGAGACAGGCTCTTATAAATCCTGAGAATACGTTTTATGCCACCAAAAGGCTCATTGGGCATCCTTTTGAAGACAAAAATATTCAAATGGATCTAAAACATCTGCCTTTCAAAGTGGTCGAGAACCCTACAAATAAACAAGCATACTTGTCGACCTCCACCGGAGAGATCAAGTCCCCTAGCGAAATCGGCTCTGCTATTTTGACCTATTTAAAAAAAGCAGCAGAGAACTATCTAAACGAGGAAATAAACAAAGCTGTTATCACGGTACCGGCCTATTTCAACGACTCTCAGAGGCAGGCCACAAAAGATGCAGGAACAATGGCCGGCTTGAAGGTTCTCAGGGTGGTCAATGAACCTACAGCAGCAGCCTTGAGCTTTGGACTAAATACTGAAGACTACTCAGGTATAATTGCTGTTTACGATCTTGGCGGAGGTACTTTCGATATTTCAATTTTAGATATCGAGGGAGGCGTCTTTGAAGTACGTGCCACGAACGGCGATACTCATTTGGGGGGTGAAGACTTTGACAATGTTTTAGTCAATTATGCGGTAGATAAGTTTATTGAAGCCAATCCAGAAGTTGGTAAAGAGACTCTTTTGAAAAATCGCGAGGTAATGCAGCGGATTCGAGCTGCTTCTGAACAAGCTAAGATTGATTTATCTCATGTTAATGAAACTAGAATTGAAATCCCGTTCATTTACAACAGTAAGCACATCAAACTACCCATAAAGGAACGAGAGCTGGATAATATGACCATGGACTTAATCAAAAAAACGATTCCTCCCGTCAAGAAAGCTTTGAAAGATGCAGAGATCGAGCCCGAAGAAGTGAACGAAGTTATCTTGGTTGGCGGCATGACAAGAATGCCAAAAATCAGATCCGTTGTTTCAGAGGCGTTTGGCCAAGAACCTAACGCCAGTGTTAATCCCGACGAAACGGTTGCATTGGGTGCCGCCATTCAAGGCGGCGTTCTTTCAGGAGAAATAAAAAATGTACTACTACTTGACGTGACACCCTTGACATTGGGGATTGAGACTTACGGGGGCGTGTTCACGCCGTTGATCACACGGAATACCACGGTACCCGTAAAGAAAACTGAAGTTTTCAGCACTGGCGTTGATGGGCAAAATGGTGTTGATATAAGAATCTACCAAGGAGAAAGAGGGTTGGTGAAAGATAATAAGTTGATTGGTGATTTCAAACTTGCAGGCATTCAACCAATGCCAAAAGGTGTGCCTCAGATTGGTGTTACATTTGATATTGACGCCGATGGAATCATAAACGTATCTGCATCCGAAACGAGCACAGGAAAGGAAAATTCAATTGCCGTTATAGCAAATTCAGGACTAACAGAAGAAGAAATAAGCAGGATGGTGGATGACGCCAACAAAAATAGAGAGTTAGACAACTTGATACGACAACGGGTGGAATTGATAACAAAGGCGGATATTATGGTCTCTGACACTGAAAATGCGTTTGACAGGTTCAAAGACACGATCGAGAAGAGTGCGTTATACCCAGAAGTGCTCTCAGAACTGCAAATGGTGCGTGGGTTGATTGCAGACTTTAAGGCTAACGAGTCCGATCTAAGTTACGACGTGAATGATGTAAAGAAAGCAACTGACCAAGTACAGAAGAGATCTATGCAACTATTTCAGGACGCATCTAAGAAATAGAGATATGTACATTTTTCTCAGATGAGTTATAAAAAATGTGTAAATATGGACACTAAAAAGACGAAGGCCAGCAGATAAGCATTCTCTTGAGAATTGAAGAAACGACGTGCGTTGATCACAAAGACTTATTCATAAACCGTCTTCTGGTAAACGCCAACCAAAACTTCGAAGGTTTCTCCTTCGACTCCATGTATAGCCTTTCAAGCAGGCGCATAGCTAATTCCTGGCGAAATTGTTGGATATACGACTTCAAGAGGTCCATATCAGCGTGATTCTGTACTGGAACCGAATACACGTTGTTGAGAGGAAATCCTGGAGTCCCTGGTACCGCGAAATCATCGAGAGCAACATTAGTGAGTAGCTTGAGTGCCTCGTTGTAGGATGTGGACGGTCTTAACTGGGACAAGCATTCGTTGACAAATAAAATACCATAAATCAACACACGGTCTGCGGATGACCGGACCTCGAAGTTCTTGAAGAACGAATTGGCACGAAAAAGGTCCAAACACTCGTCAATAATATCGTAGTCTGAGTTAGCCTGGTACGCGGGACCACGGAAGTTCGTCTTTAGGGGCAGAAGGACCACGTTACCTACCATTCGGTCATTTTGAGCATCTGCAGCAAACGTAGAGTTATACGCCTATCAATGATTGGGTTAGTAAGGTTGATGAGAACTATGGTTGCGACGATCGATCTGGGCATGTTACATACTGGCATGTTTCTGAAAGGGGTGGGCCGTGTAATCTTTTTAGTCGGTAGCTATTTTCCCTCCAAGGCCGTTACGCTAGTTTCGACAGTCTATAATAGGTTATGGGTCACAGGTAAACGTATTTGAACGTTTATGGCAGCTGAACTCGCTTTATTTGGCTTTCTCACTTTGTAGTTATGGAGGGTCAAGTATAACGATAATTTCGGTTTTCTAAATCAAATATCATATCACGGAAGATAAACTAAGAGGCTCATAACTTGTCTCTCAGCGTACCGGCACAGCTTCTAAGGCCTGGATCGGAGTCTGCATACTGAGAGTTAAGCGTGAAGAAGTTCTTCAGCTACTTGAAAAGCGCACTATCCGCAGCACAGGGATACCTTTTTGTCAGTACACCCTCATTTAGATATCTTGGAAGCTACTAGATAGCAAAATCAAGGACTCAAATAGCATGCCAGAGGACTTTAAGAACGCTACTAACGGACGCCAAATCTACTGCGAGATTTTTGGGGTCGAACGCTCAGACTCTGGTCTCCAGCCGGACCTGACAGAAGAAGGAAGAACAACAGTCCCTGACCGGTTTGAGCACATTCGCTCACTACAAGAAGCTATCTTGGGAGACATTCAAGAAGATATTGTGCCACTAGAAGCTCAAAACTATATCCTGGCCCGTCACGCAGATTTACGGTCCGTGTCGGATACCCAGAGTCTGTCTAGCAATGACGATGGCACTTCGTCGGTAGACAGCCCACAGAAAGCAGGACAAACGGCATCGCCAGTTCGCAAGTCTACTGCTGTTAGTTCCAGACCACCCCCGCCCCCACTTAATACCACTTTGGGTCCTAACTTGGGCCCCCATAACTCAGTGTCCACTTCACAACCCGCCAACTACTCACCTCAGCGATCGCACAGTGATGTTCCTAGGCTAAAATCTTCCTTTAGCCAGATGTCTATGGGTGTTCATGCGCCTAATAAGAAGCAGCAGACGAATTACAACTCAAACTCAAATCTCTCGTCCTCTAAGAAGTCCCCGCTACAAAATTTCGCATTCTTTTCCAGACCTACGTCAAAAGACAACATCATGGACAATCAACCGAACTTACCACACTCAACTCCACATGGCAATACTATGAACTCTAGGTCCCTATCTTTCACCTCTTCATCTCTAAAGAATTTCGCATCTTCATTTCAACAAAAAACCTCCAACGGTAGAACCGTCCCACAAAACTATCAAGCGTCATCTAATCCGTTTTTCGATAGTTACAATAATCATCATCCACACCACCACCAAAACCCATCTCAGTCGACTGCAGGGCTGGGAATCAAGGCTAGAGGCTCGTCTGCGTCCCTAAACAGTAACCAAACGAACTCGATATCGAGGAAAATGGGCTCAAATTCATCTCTGCACTATCATCGGAAGAGTAGCACATCCCTACATTCGAAACCTATTTTAAGCACGACCTCTATGAAAAGACCACAAGTTTATCCCGCTATGCTTTCCAGAGTCGCTACTAAATTCAAAAAGGTCATGCAACTCGGAGAATACAAAAAAGATGGGCTTTTATACAGAGATGCATTCACAGGTCAACAAGCTGTTGATGTGATCTGCTCTATCGTTAGAACTTCTGACCGAAATCTAGCGCTGCTTTTGGGTAGGGCACTTGACGCTCAGAAACTATTCCACGATGTGGTTTACGAGCATAGACTAAGAGATTCCCCTAACGAAGTCTACGAATTTACCGGTAACTCACGTATTATCGGCGGAGGTGCCACAGGGATGATTCCTGCAACTTCACAAGACCCCCTTTTAATGGGCTCACATCATAATTTGATATCAACTCACCCTTCAAAATCCACTCTTGCCACCTCCACATCTACAACTTCCGTCACGAGTGAAGCGTTCGATAAACATGTGGATCTAGCAAAAATTCATCAAGTTAATGGTGTGTTTACACTGCTTGCAGAGTGTTATGTTCCAACATGCTCGCGAAATAAGCTGTGCTACTCGATTTCATGCCCGCGTCGTCTGGAACAGCAAGCAAGACTCAATTTGAAACCAAATGGTGGCTTAAAACGGAACATTTCAATGGCCGTAGATGACGAAGAGGAAGAAAAACCATCGTGGACGAGTTCCGTTCCCGAAGAAGTTTGGTCGTCACTTTCTAAAAAGGAAATAAAAAGACAGGAAGCAATTTACGAAGTGTTCATTACAGAAAAGAACTTTGTCAAGTCTCTGGAGATAATAAGAGACACCTTTATGAAGTCATTGGCCGAGACTAACATCATCGCTTCTGATATCAGGAAAAACTTTCTAAAACATGTTTTTGCACACGTCAACGATATTTACTCGGTCAATAGGCGATTCTTGGACGGGCTCAGTGATAGACAAAAATCGTCGCCAATTGTTGATGGTATTGGGGATATTTTTCTGAAGTTTATTCCATTTTTTGAGCCGTTCGTCATGTACGTTGCATCAAGGCCTTATGCAAAGTATCTGATAGAGACACAGAGATCCGTGAATCCTTACTTTGCACGGTTCGACGAAGATTTGATGAACTCATCGTTAAGACATGGCATTGACTCTTTTTTGTCGCAAGGTGTATCCAGGCCAGGTCGTTACATTTTGCTGGTGCGTGAAATCATCAAGTCGTCTGACTCAGAAAAGAATAAGCGAGATTTGGAAAATATGAACAAAGCTCTAGAAGCACTTCGTGACTTTATGACAAGAATTGATAGAGCTAGCGGTGCATCTCAGGATAGACACGATATTGAACTTTTGAAGCAGAAAATATTATTCAAAAACGAGTATGTGAATTTAGGCCTCAATGACGGGAAGCGTAAAATCAAACACGAAGGTGTGCTTTCGCGAAAAGAACTTACCAAGTCGGATAATAGTTTTGGTGGTGACATACAATTCTACTTGCTAGACAACATGCTCTTGTTTTTGAAGGCAAAGGCTGTCAATAAATGGCAACAACACAAAGTTTTTCAAAGACCTATTCCGCTCCCGCTTCTTTTTGCGTGTGCAGGAGAGGATATGCCACCCATTAGAAAGCACGTTAACCAGTCGCCCGAAAGTTCAGGAACTGTTATAACACTTGATGGACATTACAACAATCCCAAAAACGCCCTCACATTCTTGTATTATGGTGCGAAACACAGATATCAAGTAACACTCTACGCTGCACAATACGCAGCCTTACAAACACTTTTGGAAAAAATCAAACAAGAGCAGGCCCTTTTGTTGGCCACTAACGACATTTTCAACATGACCAAGATCAGCAGCCGGTTTTTTGATTTCAGCAATAAGATTAATAGCGTTGCATCTTGCGACGGGGGGCGAAAGCTGCTGTTTGCTACAAACCTTGGCCTATATGTGAGTGACACCAAACGAGAATCATCCGCGCAGGGTCAAGACGCCACGACATATTTTGGTACGCCAACAAAAATTTTGCACAAGAGTGTAACGCAGGTAGCGGTGCTTGAGGAATTTCAGTCGGTACTGCTACTAACGGACAAAAAACTGTACAGCTGCCCACTTACATTATTAAAGGAGCTTAAAGACGGTACTCAATTTTTCAAAAAGCATGCCAAGGAACTTGTTAATCACGTCAACTTCTTTTCCGAGGGCGACTGTGATGGGAAACGCCTGGTAGTGACCGCGCACAGTTCATCACACTCTATAAAGTACTTTGAGCATGACCACCCAATGCTTATGGAGGGCAAAAAGAACATGAAACGCAAAATAACCGAGATTACATTTGAGTCTGAACCGGTGTCGATTTCCTTTTTGAGAACCAATCTTTGCATCGGGTGCAAGAAAGGTTTTCAAATTGTTTCAGTATCACAAAATGTACACGAACCGCTGCTAGATCCCGCCGACACTTCATTGGAGTTTGCATTCAAGGATGTACTAAAACCGCTTTCCATTTATCGAGTGGGATCGTCTATGTTTTTGTTATGCTACTCCGAGTTTGCATTTTTCGTTAATAGCCAAGGCTGGCGGAAGAAGGAGTCGTACGTAATTCACTGGGAAGGGGAGCCTCAAAAGTTTGCTATCTGGTACCCATACATTCTAGCCTTCGACACCAATTTCATCGAAATTCGGAAAATCGACACCGGAGAGCTCGTGCGCTGCGTTTTGGGTGACAAAATGAGGCTATTGCAGGCCTCATCACAGCAAATTCTATACGCATATGAAGACGAAAACGGGTTTGATACCGTGGTAGCGTTGGATTTCTGGGGCAAATAGACTGGGTGAGCAAACAATCGATCTTTCTGCTACTCATGTCTGTACTCGTTTAGCTACTCAGATTCCATTTTCACGTGAAAGTTCCCTCGAACAGCTTATTTTTTTCCTTCGACTTTTCGTGGGCACAAAAATTTTCCAGGACATCAACACTTACAATATCGAAAACTGTTCGTTACAATTCCGGAGTACTCTTATTTAGGACGAATTTAAAGTCAGTTACACTGGATATTTTGCATCGCGGGCAATTTCAAACTCTTGCCTTCCAAAGTTTCTCGCAAGTAGTTTGGGCTATCCGAAGCAGAATGGAACAAATCAGGACTCATATTCAGCCTTTGGCGGAACAGCTCAAGACTCAGATGCAGCCTTTAGCGGAGCAGCTGAAGACTCAAATGCAGCCTTTGGCGAATCAGCTGAAGACTCAAATTCAACCTTACGCCGAGCAATTGCTTCAAAAAACTGAAGCTTATTCTTGGATTAACTTGCATCTGCCTTCCGTTCAACATCCGTTTGGCCTTGAACTATGGCCCATCTTTAGCAAGTTGTTTGAGGGATACGCAGGATACCCAGCCGAAGAATTTGACTTCATTCATAACAAGACATTCATGGCGAATGGACATCATGCTATCGGCGTGATAGTCACTTATTACATTGTCATCTTTGGCGGTCAAGCTCTTTTGCGCGCCACCAACGCTTCTCCTTTGAGACTTGGTTTCCTGTTTCAATTGCACAATCTGGTGTTAACTTCCGTCTCCTTGTTTCTACTGTTGCTAATGGTCGAGCAATTGGTTCCCATGGTACTTGCAAACGGTATATTTTGGTCGATCTGCTCTAAGCAAGCTTTCGCTCCCAAGTTGGTAACTTTGTACTACCTAAACTACTTGACCAAATACCTGGAGCTGATTGACACCGTGTTCTTGATCTTGAAGCGCAAGAAGCTTTTGTTTTTACACACTTACCATCATGGTGCCACTGCTTTGTTGTGCTACACTCAGTTGACCGGCAGGACCTCTGTTGAATGGGTTCCAATTTCCTTGAACCTGGGTGTCCATGTGGTGATGTACTGGTACTACTTCTTGAGTGCTCGTGGTATCAGAGTTTGGTGGAAAGAGTGGGTCACTAGATTCCAAATCGTCCAATTTCTGATCGATTTGGTTTTCGTTTACTTTGCCACTTACAGTTTCTATGCTTACGAGTACTTTAACAAGTACCTACCCAACATGGGTACATGTTATGGTACAGAAGAGGCTGCCGCTTACGGTTACTTGATCTTAACGTCTTACTTGGCGCTGTTCATCTCTTTCTACATCCAAAGCTACCGCAGAGGTGTTTCCAAGAAGAAATCTGCCACTCATGCTGCCGCCAAAGTCGCTGCTGAAACATCTAACGCTACTACTACGGGTAAAAGCGTCCACACCACTAAGGCTACCTCCAGAAAAGCCTAATTCCTCCGTGGAAGCCAGCTGCAAATATGGAGCAGAATAGAAGATTTGGAAGTATAGCTACTGACACCTTGCATCATGCGGCGCCTTATGTAAAATATTACGTTTTTTTACGAAAAGATTTCACTTAAATATAAAGCAGCACGTATAGCCCTAGAAGGCCTTAAATATTTCAACGGAGGGTGGTGAGAGCATTGAAGAGTTTGCGAAAAAGTTGCAGGCATTTTGAAAAGTATACACCGTCGCTCTGAAATAAAATCACATGCAAATAATTCTACTGCTACGTTAGCGCTGCATGTATGGCGTAAACGATGGACTGTTGATGAATTCATCAATATGATTAGAATCGGCTGATAATATTGTCACGCTAGTACAAGATGATATCTCTCTGATGTCTGACATTGAGATCACTTTCTTCTTTACTGTCGCTAGCCACAATAATTAGCGAATGAGAGGAGCGAAGAGCTGGAACATGCTCAACGGAGCTTTTGTACCAATTCACAAATTACGCTCTTTTAACATTTTGCAATTTCTCATTTGATGAGTAGGGAAATCGGTAGTTCAACAGTTCATGCATGGTGCCCAAAAAAATCACTCAGTAACTTTTAGAATGCGTGCCGGCCGAGGAAAGGCAAGCCTATCTGCACTCGGCTGGTATCGGACACGATCTTGCATGCTGCCTCTAAATTTCACTTCAATATATTGAGCACAATTCAATTGCTCTGGGAAATTTTTCCGGAGTCTTCCTCTGAATGCAATACATATGTATTGCATAACGGAAAGATTCGCCAACTGCGTGAGAGCATGCTTGTTCAACGCAGAATGCCAAACAAGAGCCTCCGAGTTTCGTTAAGCCCGATTCTGTACTCTTTACTTCGGCTGGGCCCAGTAGCCATGATTCTTGTTTATGTACATTGCTTAAATAATCTACGTGCCAGGACGGCTCTGCATCATGCCACTGGTTAGCTAGCGTCTTGACCAATATTTTCAGCTGATCTCGAATGTGCCTCAGCTCCCGCTTCTTAAGATGCCGATGATTTGACCCTCGATGTGGATCTCTGCGGTGCCAGCATCTGTGCTATGAGCCGTCCCGAATTCTTTCCGTCTGGGAGTATACCCACATCGGTGAATATCAGTAATGTCCGAAAAATCAAGAAGGACTTAAGATAGTGTTTCCCTTTCAGCACCTACCTGACTACAAGCTGTCAGTTCTCGGCAGCTGACGGCTATTTCGACGCAAGGGGGAGATAGAGATTGGACGGACATTTCACAAGTTGTTGTTTTTTTTCTTTCTCGCTACAAATTCAATAAGCTGCTGGACTGAAGTGGGAAAATTATGCGGTTGACAGTTTCTGCAGAAAGATCCATCTGCACTGTCGTTCTACGGAGTTCTTCTTTGCCTGGACTTGCATTTACCCTCGCGCGGCTTGCGACATTTTTCCCGCTCACGGACGGCGTCTTCGCTACGGTGCGACTGGTGGGATAGTTATATCAGGAATATATATATCCATGTATACACTCGGATGTGCGAGAAAGAGCCATTCGAGTGGTAAGAACAGATAGGCTTAAGGTATGGGTCCCGATGACACCGCGAAGGACCCTCGCGCCGTTAAACTTCCTCCCATTTCGTCATTCGACCATCTCATTTTGCAGGATGGACCATCGCACGTGACTAATGTCGACTTTCAATTTAGACCAAGGTCGCGTGACTCAGGGCTACGGCCCGAGCACTCGAGAAGCCAAAGATCAGACTCAGCTTCTGTGAGCCCAACAACTCCAATCTCAAGCTTAGCAGGGACAATCTCTCCCACGCGCCACAATTGGCACTCCAACACTGATAGAGCTCAGAACGGCAGCGCGGGCGACCTGGAGGCGCGAACAACGCCACCTCCAGTCTCATCGTCCTCTTCTTACACTCCTCCCACTGTAGCAAAAGCGTCCCGACCTCGTCGCAAAAAAGAGTGTCCCATCTGCCATGGGCTTTTTGCAAACTTGTCGACCCACAAATCGACACATTTATTGCCGGAAGATAAACCTCACAAGTGCCCGACTTGTGAGCGCGGATTCGCGCGCAGTAACGACTTGCTGCGACATTTGAAGCGTCATTGGAAAGATCAATTCATAAACAGCACGTCTTCGGAGCTGGGCAGTGACTCGCACGACATCTCCACGGGCGGTAACATTTCACCTTCGCACTCTATGCATATGGTTAAAGGCACATTCAGGTGTCCTTATAGCGCCAAACTTATTGAAATGGACATGCGCATGAATCCAGGCCACCACCAGAAACACTATTTCAATACGCTGGACTGTCATCAAACTGGAATTTTCTCACGCTGCGATACGTACAAAAATCATTTGAAAGCATTACATTTCGAGTATCCACCCGGAACTCGAAAAGGCGATCGAAACGCGGTGAGCGGAAAATGCAAGCATTGCGGGCAAGAGTTTGTAAATGTTGGTGACTGGGTAGAGACGCATGTGGGCAAAACTTGCGGCTACGAATTTGATTAACGATAAGTGACGACGTCCAGGCCAAAACAGAAAACAACACTGAGGCCTTGGTTTTAATGAGCAAAGTTATACGAGAGTCATGATCATACTTGATATTAATACCATATATTGTTGGACACGAAATACAAATGGGACAGCCTGATAGCAGAGTGTCGCTGACTACGATGATGTCAGTCAAGCTGCCTTCGATGAGTTTGAGACCAAGCTTTGCTCAAACCCAGTGGGAGTTGAGAGCATTGCGCAAACACTGATGAATGAATTACGAAAATTATGTCGAGGAAGTCTTTAGAATGGAAAACCAGGAATGCAACAAATAAAAAATAAATTAGTACATCGCTTCTTTCTTTCGAGATTCTAAATGAATGCCAATATTCACAAACATAGAGAGCATTACAACTAAAATTTGGAGTAGGTTAAGAATTGCCAACAATGGTATAAGGGTTTAGATTCAATCAAGTCTTGCACAAGTGTTTAACTATGGAAGCCCGCGACCCAAAAATTAATGGCTTTTCCTGTTATTAGTATATGTATCTACCTTGTATATAGAATTTGTGAATTTGTAGCTATAATATATCAGTACTTGATTTCAAATTCATGATGGGGGAAGTAGTAGGGGACATAAGAAAAAATGGGCCCTTATTTCAAATAAATTTAGCTTGATTCTTCAGCAGCACCTGTACCAATGCCAACGTTGTTGACATTTCTGAACATAAATAAACCGTCTTTACCATCAACGTATTGGCACGAACGAGCCACTTTCCAGAAAGACTTGAACATGTTTTCGTCGCAAGAACGGTAATGCTCACCCATCACTTTCTTAATAGCTTCAGAAGCCGGGCGAGCATTGTAAAATGGAATACGACTAACGAAATGGTGTAGAACGTGAGTTTCGATGATGTCGTGGAAAATGTGAGGTCCCACAAACGCCAATTGTCTATCAATGGTGGCGGCGGCACCTTTTGCGAAACTCCATTCGGAATTATCGTAGTGAGGTAAAGTTTGATCGGTGTGTTGCAAAAAAGTGATGAATACCAACCAATGATTGACCCATAGATAAGGCACGAACCAGTTGATGAACAAAGACCAACCTCCAAACTTGAGATACCACATTCTGAGCACGACACATTGGGCCAAGACCCCGAGATCGCTCAAAGCGATATACAAGGTATCTTTGGCATCGAAAAGTGGGGAAGTGGGCCAGAAATGGTTACGTTTCCAAGCGGGAGCGTCTGGGTACTTTTGGCCGGTAACATTGGTGAACAAATGACCAATCCAACCGCCGAGTTGTTGCAAGACCAGCTCACCCAAAGTGCGAAGTGGCGAATCTTCGGTGTACTCGGCGACATTGGCAGCCCAGCCACGGTAGGACCAGAACTCTTGTTTGGTGGGGGGCAGAAAGACCATGTCTCTGTGCAAATGGCCGGTGGCCTTGTGGTGCTTGGAGTGGGAGTATTTCCAGGAGAAATAGGGCACGAGCAGGTAGGAGTGGAGGACCCAGCCGACGAAATCGTTGACGGCGCCGTAATCCGAAAAGGCCTGGTGGCCGCACTCGTGGGCGAGAATCCAAAGACCTGTGGAAAAAAGACCAACGGCGGCGGCGTACACGTTCCAGAACAGGAAGCGCACGAACCAGGCAGACTCGGCTAGCTGCGGAGCCACGTACAGGTGGGCCAGGAGCCCGAGCCCGACGATGGCGGCGATGTCGCGAGCGACGAAGGCAAGCGATTTGGCCAGGCTACGCTGGTAGCACTCGGGAGGGATCGCGGAGAGGATGTCTTTTATGGAGTAGTCGGGCACTTTGAAGACGTTGCCGTGGGCGTCGCGGGCGACCTTGGGTCTGGGCTGGGTCTGGGTCTGCGTCTGTGTGGCGGAGGAGCCGGCGTGGCCGGCGACGGAGCGCTGGAAACCTGACATGGGCGACGGCTGTGTGTGTGTGTGCTGGCGTGCGAGAAACTTGTGTCGACGTGTGCTGGTCTGCAAACTGCGTCTTCGCTGTCGTAACTGCTTTTTCGTGGGAGTCCTTGTGCTGACTGCTGCTCTCTGCGGCGCTACAAAACCAAATCTATCGTCTTCCACGCTCGATGGCACTAATCTCAAAAAATTCGGCTCACCACAAACTAATCCTGATCCCAGTCCGAATCTGCCCCAAGACCCTCCTGATCCTCGCAGCTTTAATACTTCCACGCGCCCTGCGCTAGCACCAACGTTTCTGGATCGCTTACACCGACATAAGCGAGTCTGAGTCTGAGTCGCTCAACAACCACCACCCACGCTGCTGCTGTGGCCGGTGTGCTCTCATCTCTCGTTGGCTCGAGCGATATCTGAAGATTGGGAAAAAAGCAAGCGGGAAAAAACCACGAAAAAAAAGAAAGAATGTTGGGAGAGGGAACGAGAGAGGGAGAGAAGAGTAGAGAGGAAAGTAGCACTACTGAACAGTACGAGCCTCAGCGAGAACTGTGGATAACAAGACCCGAGTATTGTTGAACAATGCGAGACGAGGGCAGCGATACGGGGGTAGCGAGACGGGAGTAGCCAACATGGAGAGCACCCCACTCGTACTCGTACTCGTACTCGTACTCGCGCTACCACGTCGCGCCGCTCCGATACAAACCCCCCGCCGCCCCTTCGCTTTCGGCCCGCCACAAAAACAAAGAAAGAAAGAAAAAAACAAAAAAAAAACCGGGCCCAAAAAGGAACGTGGGAAAAGGAAACCAGCCCGGGACGCGCAAACTTGTCGCTTTCGCGCGAGTACGGGTTGCGAACGAGTACGGGGGGGCAGGCCAAACGAGGCGCGTGACTCTCGGTCGAAAGACAAGGCGCAAGCGCAGTAGTAGCAGTAGGAGCAGTGGTAGTAGCTAGTAGTAACAATAGTGGTAGTAGCTAGTAGCAGCAGCGGTAGTGACAGCGGTAACAGTAGTAGTAGCAGCAGTAACAGTAGTAGCAACAGCGGTAGTGACAGCACCAGCCAATGACACAAGCTGGGACCCAGGCCCTGGCATGGCGAGTGTCGAGCACGCTGCCCCAGCAAGTTCAGGCAGCTTACGGGGTGGGTCACGGGCCTCATAGCAGCGGCGCTTGTAAAATACGCCTCTTGCCCATAGAGAGAGAAGCGAGTCTGCGCGTCGATAGCCTTGCGCAAGAGCGTGGGGCACATGCCAGGTGTTTTGGAAACGCAAAGCCCATGCGTTCCAAAAAAAAACAAAGCTCCTGGAGAAATCCGCGTCTCCACCCTCTTCCCGTTCGCTCTCGACTTCGAAGCTTAGCCCTAGCGCCATGTTTACCCCAGACACGAACAGTCCATACCGCTGCATCGAATCGCTGGCTGGTCACTGTTGACGGCGCCGGTTCTTTTCTGGCGCCGTCAGTAAAGTAGAGTGTCAGCGTCAGTATCCACGAATATCAAACTCCCCGTTATGGGTCCTGCTACATCCAACACCCTTTACAAAGTCACAGACCCGCTCAGCTCTCAGCGCCTGGTGGCTGGCAACCTCATCTTTTTTTTTGCGCGGAAACTTTGATGAGCTCATAAGTTTCACTTTCACTGGCAGATACGTTGAACTAACTACTCATTTAAAAAACATTCTCCTCCATATACCTGCCAGCTATCCCGACGACACAAACATATTGACCCACTCAGACATGCTAATCCCCGTTCGACTGCTACTACTCCAACATTTTTTCGCGCTTTTGCAGCTTGCAGTTGCGGACTTGAGCGTCGCAAAACCAATCGGTGGGTCTGAATACTCCGTCTCGTCAAATACCGTCTCCATCGAGGTTGAATGGACAGACGTTGGCCGCTCGCCAGAATTGGATACGGTAACGCAATACGTGTTTACTCTCTGCACTGGGTCCAACAGTAAAATCCAAGCCATCTCCACTTTAGCTACGGTACCAGCAACTGAGATCACAGGAAACCGCTACACGGTGTCCATCGACCGCGAAGCAGGAGCCAGTGGCTCCTACTTTCTCCAAGTCGTGGCTGTGTCTCCCGAGTGGATTGCTATTCATTATTCCAATAGATTCACGATTACTGGTATGCAAGGAAACAAACCGGCCCCATCCGTTAATGATCCACAGGGTCCTTCACCAGAAACCATGAAAATAGGACCAAATGGGGGCCCACCACCAATAGATTCGGCCTCCTTCTCTATCCCATATGCGTCGCAAACAGGTTCCTATCGCTTTGCGCCTATGCAAACTCAGCCAGGTTCGGTGGTTACCGCAACCGCTTGGACTAGACAGAATCCTACCAGTACCTGTAGCTTCTATGCTACCAATACAGCTACACCTGAATGGTACACGACCATCACCGCAGGTTGGGACTATACCATCCTGACTCGAATGAATGATGTTCATCCGAGGCCGTTGCCCGAACACAATGGCGGGTGGTATAAACCTGCAGAAAAAATGACCTTGACGACAAGAAAAGTAAATAGATACCAACAATGAAGTCAGGCGAAACAGAATGCAATTTATAAGATTATTTTTTGAGGTAAATTTTTGTAATATGTAGCGATCCATGGGTTATAACGCAGTTTTTAATTCAAAACAAACTCGGCTAAACCTCATGTCGCCCACCTGTACCTACTCTACTGCAGATTCAGATGCGGATGGCTCTGCGACGTTTTGTGCAGGCACTTCTGATTTGTCTTCCACTGCCGGTTTACTCTCAGCAGCCTTAGCCTTGGCTTCGTCTCTGATTTTTTTTGGCATGTTTTTTCTGTGACCAGTGAAAGAACGAGAACGCTGGCCAGAGCCGCTGAAGTTCTTACTGCGCGTGGCCTCGCGTTGTTGATCATACTGTTTTTTAGAAACTACATCCAATTTGCGCCCTTCATATGATAGTACCTCCTTGTCAGGGCCGTAGGATTCAGTAAATTCTTGTGCGCTTTTCTCGTCTGCAAACTCGACAATCACAGTCCCGTTGAAGTTTTTACGGTGGTCTTTCTTCAAACGCGCTTGGCTGATGGACCCCAATTTGCTGAAGAATTGTTCCACATTTTCTTGCAGGTCAGTTTTCTCTTGTTCACTCATTTTTTGGTCACCGCTCTTAGTAAAGTCGAAGTTCATAACAGCTACAGTTCTTTTACCTCTTTCGCGTCTGGCATCCGTTTGTAGATCTAATGGTTCACGTCTCTTGACGTTCTCGCCATCTTCACTAACTTCGAGAATTTTCGAGCTACGCAATGTGTCCACGACTTTGTCAACAGGACGGAACTTTTTCATTCTGTTGAAAGTAGCGATGGTCGAAATGGGGACCCATCCTTCGTTTTTCTCCGCTGTGGTACGAAGGAATTTGTCGTAAGGAAGGTTAAATTCAGAGAAATAGAACTCAACTTGTTTCAAACATTGTTTTTCGATTTCTTCAGTGAATTCCACTGGAACATAAGAGCCGCGTCTTGGGGTAGCCTCCTCAACTGAAGTAGCACCACTCATAGTATCTTTTTGGTTGAAATCTGTGTTGTAAAGGTCGCCAAGTCAATAGCGGCTTTCAATCAAAAGTGGCTCGAAGCTAGTCACTCAAATTGTTTGCGAAGCGTGATTTACGATTGAAACTTTCGTTGCCCTTGGCCTTTAGTTCCTCTCTACTTTAGTCGGCGGAAAACTTTTCAGAATTGAGTCGCCGATGCTCATCTCGAATTAGTTGAGTTGATAAATCATTCGTCCAACGTGATAAAGATAGACACAGTCTTCTACAGGTTAAACCAATGAGTTCTTGACGTAAACAACCCTAGCATCTTTATCAGTATCCCTAAGGAGAACACAATCCATGTTTTTAACGTACGACATCGGGAGGCGAGTCGGTATATCATAGCTCTGGCGAACACTTGATAATTGTTGTTCAACGCCACTATAAAAATCAAGGCCGTATCCGACCGTCATCACGAAACAACCGTATTTGGCCCTCAGCATACGTAGAACCTTAAATAACAGTTCGTATGATGCACCATCGTGTGTATAATAGGAAATATTATCTATGACGATGCCAGCCAGTTGATATTGTAGAGTAGAGGCGTTCTGGCATCGCGACAATGCTTCTTTAGGGCTTTCATTCAACTGCACCAAGAAGTTTATGAGGGATTCAAAGTGTAAAAGTGACGCAGAGTTCATATACGTGACGTTTTTGTCTTCGCGATTCAAAGTTGAGAGATATCGGTCCCAGCACGACACTACGTCTATTATTAAAACGAAGCTCTGGTTTGGAGATGCTTCAACAAGTCTCTGCATCATCTTTTGTTTGAACGCGGAGACCCGAAATCCATGCTCAATCAAATGCAAGAAACCGATGGATCTAACATTTTGTGATTCAACACCTTCTTCTGAGCCCAGCACAACATTACCGAACGCATCTTTTTCAAGCCAATCTATACATATCGCGGTCGCTTTATAGAACTTTTCTAGTTGTTAGTCAAAATCTTGGGGTTGCCTAATTCATACTTGAAGCGCACTCAACCTACTGTAGAAAGTGGATACACTCTGCAATGAGCCAACACGTTCATGGGCACAGCAAAACGAGCATTCTGCCTCCTTCTCCAAGCTTAAGAAAAGGTTACTCGCATATGTTTGAGATTTCATACCTCCGAACATTAGATACGAAAGCGCATCAGCCGCGCAAGGAAGTCTGCAACAAATGATGCTTTGATTTGATGTCGTTGTAAGCGTTGAGCTGTGGTCCTTAGTATTTTGCATGGTATCTTAACTGCAGCTACCGAGACCTATTCGAGGTAAACATCAAATCGTTAGTTGAGAAGCATGTTGGGTGTTTCAGTTCAAAATCGTGTAGTTACTCAGGGAAACCAAGTAATAGATATACGGTATTAAAGTTCTGATATTTGTAAGTTCATGACGTTTCTCATTTACTTTGCTCATGACTCGAGCATTTTGTTGGTCATGTGTACTTGATATCTGTTAGAGTTTTACAGAGTACGCCTTAGTCAAAAACAAGGCTCTTAAAAATTATACTATCGCGGCCGAGCTTATCGTGACAGTCATATTCTGCCGCTACATTGATTGAATTTTAGCTCGATTAATGAAAACAAACTTGGGCATGCGCAGTTGTCGAAACTTTACCGCGTAGTTTTTACCCAGGGAAGCATCGAGAAGACTTCGGCTTCTTTCTCATTCATACAATTTCACTGAATGGAGAAGCTGTTAATCCTGCCATGTTTCAAAAAATTTTGAGGGCTTGCGAAACTATTATGCTCAAAAACTGTGGTGATAAAGGAGGTAATTTGAATGATGTCGTGGAAGTCTCTTTGTTTCATTATAAAATCTATCGAGCAATTGTTCATGGTATCACAATTATCAGAGGTCTTCGAAACTTCCAGGGACATTTTTTATTGTCCGTTTCATATTCGCTGTTTGACCTTTTTTAACAGCATCTCGGAGAGCCTTACCATTGAAGAACAAATATATGAAGCTGGCTCATCTAGTAATTTAGTATCATCACTACTATAAATTTGATGTTTCCGTCTCATTTAGCTTTCATTAAAGTATGGAACATGTCTCAATCTTATGAAAATCCCTTATCATCTAATTACGCTTGATGAAAACATATTGACAATCTTACCTACACTTACGTTATAGGAGATATTTCTTGATTACTTGTATATATGACGCAACTGTATGCCAAGCAATGAATAGTTGATATTAGCAGTGACCTTGTTTCAGTAACTCATGTTAATTGAAGCGAATGGAAGTTTCGGCGAGGAGAGAAATTATAGTTCAAAGTTCCATCTTTGTAAAGCTGCGATCGTTTTTGTATATAACATATTGGTTCTGGTTGAACGACTGGAGAAATAAAATTTAAAGCCTCCAACATGTTGAATTTCTTTGAACAAACGCCGCTTTTCGCACCTCGGCTTTTTGGCTCTGGTCGACTGTTGATATCTGAGCAATAATGCCTGTAGCAGCTTTCGCCTCGTTTCATATTTATGATGTCTTAAATGAACCTCCATACGCGCCTATATACATGAATAACACTAAGCGACTTCATATCTGTCACCTTGCACCTGGAAATGCTTAATAAAATCATCAATTTTATCCAGTTCCTGTTCGGAAAGCTCCTTGAGGGTAAAGTTCTCCTCGACACGCTTGGCAGAGGACCCACCAGGAATAGGGATAAAATTAGTTTTTGGATACTTTGCGTTTAGAGCCTTAATCCAAGCAAGAGCTACTTGTGGTAAAGTAATAGCACCCTTATGTTTGGCCACAATCTCTTGTTGTAAAAATTGTGGCAAGAGCAAGTTGTGTTTAAGCGCATCACCATTGAATTTCTTAAGACACTTCTTGAAATCACCATCTGGCACGTCATCCGAGGAGGTGACATGGCCTGTTAGAAGACCACGACACAGTGGTGAATAGCACAACATGGGCAGACCCAGCTCATTGCAAGCGGCCGCAATCCCATTCGACAATATGTGGGGCGAGAAAAGCGATAGCTCGATCTCAACACAGCAGACATACTGGTGGTACTTGGCATCAATGGCACGGATCTGCTCTTCTGTGACTTCGCTTAAAGAAATGGCTCCGATGAGACCCTTTTCGATACACTCGACAAGCGCATCGAAAGTCTCTGGAGCGTAAGGTTTCGAGCCCGCTAGCTCGGTATCAATTCTGGCTGGTTCGAAAACGTCGATAGGGCCTCCAAACGCGCGAACGCAGTTTTCCACGGAACTTAGAACTCCCGCGCGGTCTCCGCGAGGTGCGAGAGTTGCATTGTCCATACAGCCTTTGCAACTCACGATAACCTTTTCGCGGAGTCCAGGGTGAGTCTTGAAAAATTCACCAAGTAACCGCAAGTTGCTAAAGTCAGGCCCGTAAAACTCACCCATGTTGATCAAGGCCGGCTTTTTACTCATTTCGATTGCCTTGTGTATAGCTGCAAAAGCCTGTTCCTTGGGGGCTGGCTTTGGCGTCCAAGTAAGGCCCATGGATCCGTAACCAAATTCGGCATTGAAGTGTGCTTGTCTGATTTGTTGAGGGGATAACATGTCGGAAGTGTGTTCGAGGTTTTGAAAGTTTTGAAAAATGGCTGGGATGATCCTTCTCAGTCAATTGTTTAAATCGAATCTAACTTCGCTACTTGACTACTCTTCTAGCACAAGAGCCCTTTAAATACATATGTTAGCACGGACTTTCAACGCAAAAGACTTGTTCTCGCCAGTTAGTGATATTTCATTTCCGGCTGTAAACCGGAAAATTTCAAAAATATCCAACTTTGGGGGACACACTTTTTGAAGTAGTTCTAAAATAGCAAAATGTGTCTTAAGTCCATTCATTGTCCGCTGTTAAACACGAGCGCTGAAGGTTGCATATGAATACCCTTTGGTAGTGAGCTGCTTGCTTGCGTTATCGTGTTTTCATAGATAGGTGAGAATTTTAAACGCTCTCGAAACCTGTCTTGGCGCTGCCAAAAAAAAAAAAGTAAGTGTCTCACGGATGTACTCTGAATTCATCAATAAAATATGAGTGTGCATGGGCTTAGGATTATGGGAAATAGAAGGCGCGCATGGTCTTTGACAAGCCCCAGAATCGAGTTTTAGGTGCGTTTGCTAGTAGGTTTTGTGTATATGCAAACGGCGTCCATATAGCAGGATTCAAGCATTCAATTACTTCTTAAAGCTCGTCATAACACACTAGGAGGCGGAATCGCTATTGAATGAGGCCTCTAGCGATTTTGAACGCCTCACGAATTATTGATCTGTTGTCATTTTCTACTATTCTGGCACCATCACAAAAATACCTGTCTTGAGCAACTGGTAAGGCTTCTTAATATGGGCGGAAAATCGTTTTTTTCTTGAGCATTGGTCTCGAAGGTATTCGGCATTGTTAGACATATAGAATTAAAACCTACTAAATTCAGATCAGGGGTTCAGTCTCTGAGTGCCGAATTGCAGAGGTAGCTCCTCCAATATTCAAGGTCTATCGCATCGAATGCCTGGTGAATATTAAGAGTATCCAGTGAATTTTTCGTAGAAAATAGCTAGTCTAGAGACTTTCTCTCGCCCGATTTACAAACTACTTGGTATCTGGGCTTTCTCATTGCGATAGCAAGCGTGCGCAGTCTCGAGTTATCGATGCTCAGTAACATCCTCTATTGTTTTAGCTACTGCGTCGTGTCGTCGAATTAGACGTAATATACGTTAAACGTGATACGCCCTCCCAACAATTTACCTTACTCGCCAACAGCAGGGTGAACAAGCTTCAATTTGAAAACTTGAAGACTTGTGTGGTAGCGGAGTGATTTAACGCCGTAGCTGTACGCTATTAACGCAACCGATAAAGTTTTCATTCCAAGGGAATCATCTCAGTGGTTAAAAAAGTTTCACCCAATTGTAAACGAAGACGTCCAGTTTACGTTGCCAGTTTGAGAAATAAAAGAAACCTCATATCAGCTTTCCTGGTCTAAAAGCATATAAAGACCTTTAGCATAGTCTTATAGCACTAAAGAAGCTACTACCTCGGAAATTCAAGCAATACACCAATCATGAGTTTGTGGGGCAGAATTCTATACCACTCAAGATCACTGTTAGGCGTCGCCTTGTTGAGCACATGCGCCCTGTATGGAGTCATCGCGTCGATCGTGCTAACGTGTATTGGAAAACGCCATCTTGCACAGTGGACGACTGCAAGATCCTTCTACTATGTGATGGGTACATTTTTGGGCATTGACATCGAGGTGATCAACCCGGAAAACCTGGAAAAATTACCTGCAATTCTTGTGGCCAACCATCAATCAGCTCTAGACATTTTGATGCTGGGCAGGACATTTCCTAAAGGCTGTACAGTGACGGCAAAAAGCTCTTTGAAATGGGTTCCCTTCTTGGGCTGGTTCATGAGTTTGAGCGGAACGCTATTCCTAGAGCGCGGAAACCGCAAAAAAAGTGTTGAAACATTATCTAAGGCGCTCGACAACATGAAGACCAAAAAACGTGCTATTTGGGTTTTCCCAGAGGGCACCAGATCCCATTCCACCAAACCATGTATGCTACCTTTCAAAAAGGGTGCCTTCCACTTGGCGCAACAAGGAAAGATCCCGATCATTCCAATTGTGGTATCAAACACAAGCACCATCATGAACTCCAAATATAAGGTGTTTAACCGTGGTGTTATTACTGTTAAGGTGTTGGATCCAATCCCTACTGCTGACCTGAAGAAAGAAGAAGTAACTGCCTTCACTGAAAGGGTCAAGGAACTCATGGAAAGGGAACTAGAACTTTTGGGCTACTCTGAAGCTATTGTTGACACGGATTTACCGCCAGAGGCCAAGGCAGCCGTGGAAGTCACTACAACCGAAGAAATCGATGCTTCTGTAGAAGATCAAGATGTCTCCTCCAAGGATACAGTTGAGGAGGCAGTGGAGATCATTGAAGAACAAGAAAGTGCAGAAAATCCATCGCAGTCTTAATCTGCCAAAGGTTAATTCGTAGAGGAAATATAAGAGACTTTAGTTTAAAGTCATTGATAGCTCAATTTATACATTAATCGCATATTTGCCATTGCTTAATACGGGACTATTTGCCTATGTGCTTCAAATACTTTTCCACATCATTTTTACTTCCCAGCCAAATGCTGCTTTTGTCGTGAATATTTTCCGGGGTCAAGTCCAAGATTCTTTCTCCTCGATCATTCACGGCTTTGCCACCAGCTTGTTCTACCAAGAAGGCCATTGGGAAGGCCTCATATAATAGCCGCAATTTACCCTTCGGATTTTTTTGATCGCTGGGATATGCAAATAAGCCACCGTACAGCAGTGTCCGATGCACATCGGCAACCATGGAGCCAATGTAACGAGATGAGTAAGGTTTGTCCTTCAATTCCGACTTTGGGACCTTGAGCTGTTGGAAAAACTGCTGGATAGGCTCCTCCCAGTAAACCGAATTTCCTTCATTTACTGAATAAATTGGAAATTCCAAGGGCATTTTTAGGTCTGGGTAAGTGAGAATGAACTCCCCTAGATTGGTATCCAGTGTGAACCCGTTGACACCGTTCCCGGTCGTGAGCATTAGATGTGTGGACGCACCGTACATGGCGTAGCAGGCGGCGACCATTTCGCGACCACAGCGTAGAACGTCTTTGGTAGAACCCTGTGAGTCGGGTAGTAGCTTAAAGAGGGAAACAATGGTTCCGACCGATACACCGGCATCCAGATTCGAAGAGCCATCGATCGGATCGCAGCAAACCGCATATGTGGCAGGGTTGTGTCTGAAAACGAGCAGCTCTTCTTGTTCCTCCGAAACCAGGACCTTGACGTTACCACTGGCACGCATGGCATTGATGAATATCTCGTCTCCTAGCACGTCCAGTTTTTTCTGCTGGTCCCCGGTAGCGTTGGACGCCCCGGCTAGGCCCATCAGGTTGACCAGCTCTGCACGACGAATGGTCTGGGAAATAAACTTGAACGCAAACTGCAATGAATTCAACAGCAGGGAAAACTCACCAGTGGCATTCTTGGCATCGTAGCGTTGGCTCTCTAAGATGAAGCGCGATAGCGTTATAATGTCCGTATTGATGGACTCTGCCGAGTCTCTTCTAGGATGTGCTGACGCTGGCATCTTTACTATTTATGAATGAATTAATTAACAGTGGCCCAAAACTAGGGGTGGTTCGTTCTACTGCGCTGGGAGAAAATAGATTTATCCCCTTTCTGTTGCTTCATCTTCATCGACCTTTTATACCATTCTTCGCTTGCTGTTTTTGTTCTTGCACCGTTCTCCCGAAGCCTTTGATCCCATCGCCAGTTCTCGGTGCCAGAGGTATTAACGTCAACGTCCCCCTCGGGAAGACAAAGAAAGTCCGGTGAACATAGGTCCAAGAACACGGAAGTGCGGGCGACTACAAGTACGTAAGGTATTGCTGTAAGTACGTCCCTTCCGCACAGCCAATGAGGCTAGCGACATCACATCTGGTTCTTTTTTGATTAAATAAATTAGATTTAACAAGCGTAGTTACCGGACTTCCTAGCAGGTCTGGATGGGCCGTACTATCGACGCAAATTATACGTTATTGGGATGCATGCTCAGACAGGATAATAAATAGTGATCAGTTCGGCGGCGGGTTAGCGGACAGATGAAATTGTCGAAGTGTGAGGTGGAGAGTAGTGGAGTGTGTAGTGTTTATGAGCTTCTGTCTGAGAGAGACACAGCCGGAAGAAATGGCTTTTTTCCTGGCTTTTTAATTAGTCAAGTTTGAAAGAGAGAAGGCGAATTAAGTCTCTGCGAGAACGAGACCGGTTGCAGTGAACAGAAGGTGTTGGTGGCTGTAGATCTCTGGGATGGGATGTAAAGAAGAAGGAGGAGGTGGCAATGTCTTGTCATATGGTACGAAGATACTGATAAGAGATGTCTGGCTTTACAAAGCCACGCCAGCAGCAGACTGTATATTTACCATGTAGCGGCTCTCTAGGAGACACTGCCAATCATTCAAACCTAGCTACAGCTGCTTCGCAGCAAAATACTGCGGTCAAGTGCACCATTGTCTGTAACTCGCCCTTGCTATCGCATCACTGCGTACGTTAGACGCGAACGCCGAAATTCGTTTCAATTGTGATTCCCTAACATTGAACAAAGCAAATCGATAACCGATCACCATAGCCTGCCAGGCTTTTTCTTTATCCCAGGCCAACCTTGTACACTTGCACATTTCATGTCTACTGCCGCTCATAAGCCAAAACTAACGGGTTGGGCTGCAGCCGCTGCCAAAGCAGCGCCAAAGGCGCAAACTAAACCTACTGCATTTTCCGATTCTCCTACAAATTCTAGCAAGAGTATCAAGCCCAAAATCTCAGCACCAGTACGGTCTCCTCTTCCACCGTCACATCCCAAAGATAAAGACGTTGCCAAGAAGACCAAGAAACCTGCTTCTAAACCTGCATTCAATTCCGAGCAAATAACTGAATTTCTTCGGTCAAACTACACTGAGCAAGCAACGCTGCCCAATACCACGGTCTATTCCAAACCGAAAACCCGTGGCTACCCCGATTGGGGAACCACGACTAATAATAAATGGAAATCAAAAAAGTACGCATGTTTGAACGAAGTGGCCCGCTCTCTGAGACCTTGAACACGGGTCAGACCGCAAGTTCAAAAAGAAGCCTCACATACGCTGCTCTACTCCAAGTCTCCTTGAGAAAAAGGATCATCTTATTTGTATTCACTTCACTTTCCATATCTGCATCAACATTCAGTATTATTAATTGCAACTGTTTTTATTAATATAGTACATCAAACTTATTTCGAGCTCTCCAAACATTTTAAGGTCAACGTTGTTCGTACCTTTATTTCAGACGCTTGTTACATTAATTGTTTACCTCAATTTTGATCCAGTAACAAAGTCTATTTTTTGGTTTCGACGAACATTTTGCAACTCAAAGGTTCCCAGCACCCAGCACCACGACCATCATGACACTGTCAGCCGTTGAGCATTGGTTGACTATCCATATTCGCTCATATTTGCATCCCAAATTCCATATTACGACGCTTCGCAAGGCCGCGTTTGTTATCGCCTTGGTATCTTGTATAGCGTCAGGGCTTGTCACGATCATCTCACTGTTTACAAAGCCATGGCGCAATCATATGCATTACACTGCTCTGGAGATCAATCTTATCTCCAGTGCAGTAAACCTAGGTGGGTACCTCACTCCTCCCTTGCTGGGTATCCTATCGGACTCTCATGGCCCTGTGGTTTTGAGTTGGTTAGCGGTCGCAGGATTTGTACCAAGCTACGCCTACAGCTCTTACATTTTTGTGCATGGAGAAGTGTACTTTTCTATTACGCTTTTCGCTTTCTTCATCATAGGTGTCTCCACCAGTGCTCTGTTCTTCAGCGCACTACTCACATGCGCTAAACTGTATCCCAAGTACAAGTTTCTCTCCATCAGCTGTCCGACTACCTTCTACGGCCTTTCGTCATTACTTGGCTCTGAAGTGTTGAAACACTCATGGTTCTCGGAAGGGTATGACTACCTGAACTTAGGGCGTGTCTTCAAATCTTTTGCGTATTTCTATGCAATAATGGGAACCATGACCTGGGTTTCTACTAGCATAGTCACTATGTTGAAAGAACCAGTTGAGCAAGAAGAACACGAGCGTTTGCTGCCAACAGAATCGAATATTACTACCAGCGATTACAAAGATCGAATCAGACAATTTGTGCGGGATCCAAGCATGTACCTAACACTTTTGACATTCTTTCTAACCATCGGTAGCTTGGAGATGTTCCTAACGAATATGGGCTCAGTTGCTATTCTCGTATCGCCACAAGACCGAGATATTCAGCCTCGCGTCTTATCGTACTATGCTCTGTTTTCGACGATATCTCGGCTCATTGTTGGCCTTGTGGCCGATTTTTTCGCGCAGCACAAAATATCTCGCATGTGGATTCTCTACGGATGTCTCATAATCGGCCTTGGTGGTCAACTAATGATATTCAACACTGGCACTAGTAAATCCTGGATCACAACGGCTAGTGCGCTCTGTGGAACTGCATACGGTGGACTATTTACTATTTTTCCAACTTTGACACTTGGTATCTGGGGTTACAGTGTCTTCGGGACGGCCTATGGTTGTTTCATGGTTGCACCAGCCATTGGATCGACAATATATGGCGTTATTTATGCGCGGACCTATGATTCCCAATGCACCAGCCAGGTTGAAGGTGCGCAATGCATAAGACCAGTTTTTTCGCTCACCGCGATATCGTTTCTAATAGCCCTGACAATAAGTGTTTTCACTTACATGGGATTCTGGAGACGGAAGCGTTTGGACATATAATAATGACACGCGATTCATTGATTGTAAACAGCTGTACTACACTTTAAGTCAAGAGGTCAGTAAGAGCTTCGAGTAGATTGAATGGGAGCTGCAACCCAACAGAGACTACTGGAGACATGTTCAGGTGGAATGAAGACGCGCAGCCTTATTTCTACCACATAACGGATACATGTCTATCAAGAAAAAAAGCAAATTTCCTACTCACATAATATAAGCGCCCAACAGCTTTTCCAGTTACAGCGCGTCTACTCAAGGGCTTTCTAACTTTAAGTTTTATAAGAACTTCAATAAAGCATCTGTTCTTGAAAGGCGAAATCTTGATCCACTATTTGAACACACTAGCATGTTTGCTGTTCGAATTAATTATGCCATGAGAATTTAATTGAGGTACAACACAAATGGTTAGCGGCCTGGTCATCAAGACTGATTGATGCCAGCATTCTAGCATCCAGTTCATGATCATCATCCACGGTTTACGTACTAAAAGTTTTCTCCACCGTGTTCAGTATTTCGGATCTGTAAATGTTGTGAAAAAGTCAAGGTAATCTTGAACTTTTACCTATTGACAATTCGTAAAAAGCTGTATAAACAACCTCTGAACTAGTATCAACGCGTTTTCTCAGTTGCTGGGATATCAATTGAACTATGAGTGGCCGTTTACTGGATTTGTTCAAGCCATTCGAGGCGTTTTTGCCCGAAGTTATCTCTCCAGAGAGAAAAGTACCATACAACCAGAAATTGATCTGGACAGGTGTTTCGCTTCTCATATTTCTAGTTTTGGGGCAGATTCCGCTGTATGGGATTGTTTCTAGTGAAACGTCGGATCCTTTGTATTGGCTACGTGCTATGTTGGCCTCCAACCGAGGTACGCTTATGGAACTCGGAGTTACTCCAATTATCACCTCATCCATGATATTCCAGTTCTTGCAAGGCACACAGGGGATCCACGTCGACATGGAAAACAAGCATGATCGCGAATTGTTTCAGATTGCTCAGAAAGTGTGTGCCATTTTGCTCACTTTCGGTCAGGCCGTCGTTGTTGTTCTATCGGGCAACTACGGTAGACCTTCAGACATTGGAATTGCCATTTCGCTGCTCTTGATCTTTCAGCTGATGTTTGCATCTTTCATTGTGCTTTTGCTCGACGAACTACTTGCCAAGGGCTACGGTCTAGGATCTGGTATTTCTCTCTTTACCGCCACCAATATTGCTGAACAAATATTCTGGAAAGCCTTCGCTCCAACCACTGTTAACTCAGGCCGTGGCGATGAATTCGAAGGAGCGGTTATTGCTTTGTTCCACCTTTTAGCTGTTAGAAAGGACAAAAAGAGAGCTTTGGTTGAGGCATTCTACAGAGAAAACTTGCCCAACATGTTCCAGGTTTTTTCCACAGTAGCGGTGTTTTTGTTTGTGCTTTATTTGCAAGGCTTCCGTTACGAACTGCCCGTCAGATCTACAAGAACAAGAGGTCAAGTTGGTGTTTACCCAATCAAGTTGTTTTACACCTCAAACACACCTATCATGTTACAAAGTGCTTTAACTTCCAATGTCTTCTTGATTTCTCAAATCATGTACCAAAAATTCCCATCTAACCCAGTAGTGCGTCTGATTGGTGTGTGGGGTGCTAGACCAGGCTCTCCAATGGGTCAACAAGTCGCCTTGAGTGGATTGTCTTACTACATTCAGCCCCCATTCTCGGTCACAGATGCCATCTTGGATCCAATCAAGACTGTTATCTACGTTGCATTTGTTTTGGGAGCTTGCGCTATGTTCTCCAAGACCTGGACTGAGATTTCTGGGACCTCTCCTCGTGACGTAGCCAAGCAGTTCAAAGACCAAGGCCTCGTCATCAATGGTAAGAGAGAGTCCTCTGTCTACAAAGAGTTGAAGAAAATCATTCCAACTGCTGCTGCTTTCGGTGGTGCCACCATTGGCGCTTTGTCAGTGGGATCAGACCTTTTGGGAACGTTGGGATCGGGAACCTCAATTTTGATGGCCACCACAACCATTTACGGTTATTATGAAACCGCCGCCAAGGAAGGAGGCTTTTCCAAAAACTTGGTGGCTGGCTTCTCTGAGTTGATGTAAGTACGTCTCGGGTTTTAATAGCACATAGTTTCAAAAAGTTCAACGCCGTCAATTTCACGGCCACATCAGTTTTAAGCAGTGTCTCGGAGATGAAATCCAGTGTAAAAGCTCTAATCGGGAGGTCAAAGGGCTCGGAAAGTAGGTTAGGGTCGACTATAAGAATCCGCGAAGCTCTTGAATATGACTTTCAAGGCAAAAATGAATTAGTAAAAAGAAAGAACTCCTCATAGGGGGCTCGAACCCCTGACATTTCGGTTCCTTGCAAGCAACGCTTAAAAGCCGAACGCTCTACCAACTGAGCTAACAAGGACGAGTTCTTGGACGAGGAGCAAAGGAGTTTGCTATATCCGCAAAATGTAAAGTACGTCCGGGCTCTAACTGGTTATACAGGCGATGATAATGGTGGGAAATATCTCGTGTGATTTTCAGCAGCGAGAACAATAGTTTCAAAAGCTCGGGGACCTCCGCTACACACGTTACGTTCTTTCTGGTTCTCATTAAGTCGGGCACTGCTTTCTGATTTTCTATCAGCTAATGTGAGCATTCAAAAGTACCGTCGGACGCCTTGCCTTACTTTGTTTATCTTTGATGACTATGAACTCAGTGATACATACCTCTCTGTGATTCTTCTATATGTAAAGGATGGGAACTCGATATAAAGAAAAAAGCAGCGTTATGTTTAGCCGACGAGTTTTATCAGTCGACTGGATGTCAATTGCGCCAGCTTCGACTTTGAGTGTTGTGGTAGGGGGCGTGAGGTGCCTCACGGCTGGCTTCCTTGCCTATGCGCGATGCCCTCATTGGTTATCACGGCCTTTGTCGCTTTATACTAACGTGCCGTTCAAACAAGCGACACTTGAGGCGATAAAGAATTGAGTAAATCTTCAAGCATACATCAGCAGAATACCGCGCGTTTACCGCTATGAGCCAAACGTATTAAAATGTAAACTATGGAAACTGCTGGGTAGCAATAGCCGTTTTCCCGTTGACAATTAGTGGGCAGTACTCGGGCTTTGAAACTGGCAAGGCTGATACCAACGTCTGTCCTGCACAAGGTAATGGAAACTGCATGAGGCGACTCTGGTTCAATAATAGATAGCTTGCTGATATTTTTGCTTACTTCTTGTACAATCGATTAGATGAGTTGAAAGTTGTAAATATTCCCGTACTGTTCTGCCATTACTTGGCACTATCATCTCTCACATTGAAATAGACTCAAACGAACAGAGCTTCATACGTTCTATCGGTCGTCACTATATAAAGTCACTTCTTAAAGTCACAAATCGACTTCTTGAAAACTCTACACTTTGACCACCACATCTTTGGCGCGTAAAATACACTGTCTAAAGACACAAAAAAACCCCTCACACTTGTTCGATTCCATGACGCAAAGGCGATCGTTGTGGAACAACAGACATGTAGGTATAAGCTGTATTTTTTCAAAGTTGCTGTGAGTTAAAACCATGAAACCGGATTTTTGCCGGCCTAAAGCCTGCGAAAGCTGGCAAAACTTAAAAAAAAGGACCTCGATATGACCTCCATACGCAATCTAAACCACACTTTGTATGCGTGAAACAACACATTGAAACACTCACGATTGCTGTACACTTGCAATTGTTGTTACAGGGCGTCTGACGCCATGAGACCAACCTCTTCAGCAGCCCTCTACATGCTCTCCTTGATCGCTACTCCTGCATTCTACACCTCCCAACTACTCATACAAGGTGAAGTCACCAAGTGTTTCAGCATACCAGACTCCCAAACCTTGCTCAAGTGCCAACAAAGCTCTATTTACATTGGCGGCTAAAATATCTTACAAAGGCATGCCCTAACAGTTCCAATGAGCCCTGAAAATGAATTCAGAGGTCAGGTCACCATTCACGGAGACAGAAGGTTTACGCCCAAAAAAAAAGCAACGATTTTAGAGCCTTTCGACTATCACCACTGGTGCATTGCCGAAACCCACATACAGACAGAGTCGTACTCAAGATATCACCGCTCGCGATTAGTTCTGGCTCCAGCGTCTGGCACTCCAGAGCTAGTACACTCGCTTCGCTGTTTTGGCCCCGCTCGATAGCACTTCTCTGCTCCCGCTTCTCAGGTCTTGTTCGCCATCGCTTTTCTTTTTCGCCTTTGCCAGGCGGCACATACGGCAGATACGACCGATGCCGCTGAAGAGCCTGCAGAGAATGAAACCTAATCCACATCCAAAGCGAAATTTTTTTTCTGAAGCGCTCCCAGGCTCATCGATGCCAACTCCATCGGCACTACATAAGAACTTCAAGTTTGGCCTGTAGTTGGTTTGGCCGCATTTATCTCCTACGGTCCTCCTCTTGATTACCATTTTTCCTTCATTTTTCTTTCTCTCACTCTTTTTCTTACTATGTAGATCAGCGGACCCACATTTGTCTTGAGGCTATACCCACCGGTTTTATTTCGGTAGAGTGATAGAGGCTGTACGATAGTAGCGAGCTTATCGATACAACCCCGCAGGAAATCAATATTTCCAGCAAAACTAATCTAAAGACCGAAGGAAAGAACAGAGCTTTCCTCGATTCAGCGATATCGGACAGCGTGAGGTATCTGTATTAGCTTGGCGTTGTTTGATAGCGCCTACTACAGTGATTGTCGTCAGATTAGAACTTCGTTATCTTTCGAGCTAGTGCTCCTGCATAAAAGACAGCGGCTTCATTAGGTAAATTAGAGTTCGGTCACTTGAATTTTTTTTCAAATGTCCACCAACATGAATACGGCAAGCGACGCCGCGTCTGCGTTCGAAATTCTAACCCAACGGTCGCCCAACGATGGCCGTGACAGCACGCTGCAAAAAAGAGGGAACGTTGATGTCGCGATCATGGACTCACAGGGCAATGACAGCGACGAAAACATAGAGGAGGAGCCGCCCAAGACGCTCTGGCAGAGGTTTGCCCACGCCGTGAAGCCCAACCGTCACAACCAGTACGACGAGCCACCCAAAAATGTGGGCGAGAAAATCGTTCGCTTTCTGGAGGTGCACCAGCACAAGCGGGCATCTGCTAAAAGAGCCGAGGGCATCGTGGAGTCATTCTTGTTTAACGATGACTTGGCGCCCGTTGAATCCGAGAGAAGAATATGGGACTGGAAGCAGTACGTTTTCTTTTGGATCTCAGGCTCCTTCAACGTTAATACTTGGCAGATTTCGGCCACCGGTATGCAACTGGGGCTCAATTGGTGGCAGACTTGGATCTGTATTTGGGTCGGATACATCGCTGTGGCTTGTTTCGTCGTGATAAACTCGCGCATTGGTAATTTTTACCACATCGCCTTCCCCATCTCATCCAGAATCGCCTACGGAGTGTACTTTTCTCTGTGGATTGTGCTAAACAGAGTCGTAATGGGCTGTGTTTGGTACAGTGTTCAAACCTACATTGGTTCACAAACGGTAGCCTTAATGCTGATGTCCATTTTCGGAACTGACCTAAAGACCCGTATTCCCAACACAATGAACACCAAGAACATCACGACATTTGAATTCATGTGTTTTATGATCTTTTGGGGAGCACAATTACCTGCTCTATGGTTCCCTCCTCAAACGCTGCGCTACCTTTTCACCGTCAAAAGTATCATCACTCCATTTGCCGCATTTGGTTTCTTGATTTGGACTTTAAAGAAATCGCATGGTCAATTGGCTCTCGGGTCCTTGACTCAAATACATCCAACAGGTTCGGTTCTTGGCTGGAATTTCATCATCAGTATCATGAGTGCTCTGGACAACTTTGCCACTTTGATCTTGAACGCCCCGGATTTTTCTCGTTTTGCAAGAACAAAGCATTCTTCCATCTATTCGCAAATGATAATTCTACCATTGATGTACGCGATCATTTCTATCATCGGTATTTTGGTAACATCTGCCGCATTCACCATGTATGGAATTAATTACTGGTCTCCACTAGATGTCCTCGGTAGATTTCTTGACCATCAAACTGCTGGTAACCGTGGTGGCGTCTTCATGATTGCATTGAGTTTTGGTATCGCTCAATTGGGTACCAACATTGCCTCTAATTCCATCTCCGTAGGTACCGATATGACTGCAATTTTGCCGAAATTCATCAACATTAGGAGAGGTGGTTATATTTGCGCCGCAATTTCGCTGGCGATCTGCCCTTGGAATTTAATGGCTTCTTCATCCAAATTCACAACAGCTTTGTCCGCATATGCTGTATTTTTGTCCTCCATCTCCGGTGTCGTGTGTGCCGATTACTATGTTGTAAGAAAGGGGTTGATTAAATTACAGCACTGTTACACAAATAAACCAAACAGTCTCTACATGTACGGAACGCGGTACGGTACAAACTGGAGGGCCGTTTTGGCATACGTGCTGGGTATTGTTCCTAATTTCCCCGGTTTCTTGGGATCATTGGGCGTCAAAGTACCTGTGAATGCCATGCGTGTTTATTATCTTAATTACTTCGTGGGATTTTTGATTTCTTTCTTGTTGTACTGCGCATTCTGTTATTACAGTCCCGTCCCAGGTATGCCTGAGGGGGTTGGATACTTTGATTTCTCGCATTGGTTCGAAAAATGGACAGAGGTTGAAAACTTCGTGGAGCAGAGAAAGAAATTCGAGATTGACGGCGTCGATGGTGACGATGAGGATTACACAGATGAATTATCATCAACTGTGGTGGAAAATTTCAAGAACACTGAGAAGGTGTAACATTAATAATATGTGTTCGGTATAGATTAATTTTTTAAGTGAATTGAGAGAGAGTATTATGTTTTTTCTACGAATATGCTGTTACGATGCTCGGGTTAGCGAGCCTCTAGAGATTTGTTCTCCTGGTGATCACCAAACGACGAGAGTGATGAAAGGACAGGCTGGTGCAGCACACCCATGCGTGCTTGAATAAATGCAGGAGATCTTCCACCAGTCACGTGACCTAGCGAAAGTGTATCGTTGCTTATGTGCCCAACTCAAGAATGTCTTAGGACCGGCTTTCCATACGAGCACAGCCGACTCAAGCTACAGCCATCATTCAAACAAGACAAGCTGCCGTTGGCCTGAGAAATTCGATTTACTGCGCTTCGCCCCATTGGCAACGCGTCCTAAATATTTGTTTGTCTCTTCCTCGGCATGCGCCTTCTACTTGCATCTCGACTTACGACCAGAAGATCTTCTCGTTCCTCCAACCAATTTATTTTTTCGCCGCATGATAAGTGATGCCGTGATCAGCAGCCAACCCAACCTTCGCGCAAGCGAAGGCTGTCACCATTGCACATACACACCATCCCTTGCACGCAAATACTTGGCGTTTCAACAAGAGTTTGCTTCTGTCTAAAAACTCCCTACAGGCCTGTCTCACACGTCGCCTCCGTAAACAGCGACGTCGCGCTCGTCTTAGATTTATTACTTCAATTGCAGGGAGCTATCTTGTGCGAATGCACTGTGTCTCCCACGCCTATTTGCACGTCCACCATTCTCATGGGATCTGCTGACATTTTCGCCGAGCAAGCAATCTCCGATCTCAAACTTTCCCTAAACAGCAAGCCTCTTCCTTTATCGAGTGCCCAGCTCAGGCCTAGAACGCTTATTTCCCAAAGCGTGTGGCCGTGGTCGTAGACTCTTTAACGCGACAAAACTCCTATTCGCGAATTTTCGCGTTCTACGGCCAGCACCGTCTTCCCTTCTTCCCTTCTTCCCTTCTTGTTCTTCTAGTAAAAATTTTCACCTGGCGCCGCGTGTTACAGACACCCTGTCCAACACGTAGCATGGCATGCTAGCATACACGCACCGAGGTTTCAACTTGGTTACCTCATGGGCGAACAGATAGGCGCGTCTGTTCAGTGGAACACAGTTTTGAACGTGTTCAAATTTTTTGGCGCGAGATAGCCCTGCCAGATATAATTGAGACTGAGATATATATTTATATATATATGTATATATATATAAATGTTTTCATATATACAATCTAAAGACTTACCTCCTTTTTAAGAAATTGAGGTTCCAAGCCAGAAGAAATTCGTTGAGTAATCTCTACCACACTCGTTACTTCATATAATTATACACAATGAAAGGTCTAATTCTAGTTGGTGGTTACGGTACCAGATTGAGACCGCTAACTTTGACAGTGCCAAAGCCTTTGGTCGAATTTGGTAACAGACCCATGATTCTGCACCAAATCGAAGCTTTGGCCGCTGCCGGTGTCACCGACATCGTGTTGGCTGTCAACTACAGACCTGAGGTCATGGTCGAAACGTTGCAAAAGTACGAAGCGGAGTACGGTGTCAACATCACTTTCTCCGTCGAGACTGAGCCTTTGGGCACGGCTGGTCCGTTGAAACTCGCCGAACAAGTGTTGAAGAAGGACAACTCGCCTTTCTTCGTGCTTAACTCGGACGTCATCTGCGACTACCCCTTCCAGGAACTCGCTGACTTTCACAAGGCACACAGTGGTAAAGGTACGATCGTCGCCACCAAGGTCGACGAGCCTTCCAAGTACGGTGTCATCGTGCATGACATCGCCACTCCTAACTTGATTGACCGTTTCGTCGAAAAGCCAGTCGAGTTCGTCGGTAACAGAATCAATGCCGGTTTGTACATTCTAAACCCTGAGGTGATCGACCTCATTGACTTGAAGCCAACCTCGATCGAGAAGGAAACTTTCCCCATCTTGGTTGAGCAGAAATCCTTGTACTCCTTCGACCTTGAAGGCTACTGGATGGACGTTGGTCAGCCAAAGGACTTCTTGTCCGGCTCCGTGTTGTACCTAAACTCTTTGTCCAAGAGAAAGCCAGCTTCGATGGCCAAGGGTGACAACATTGTTGGCAATGTTATTGTCGACCCAACCGCCACGATCGCTCCAACCGCCAAGATTGGCCCTGACGTCGTGATTGGTCCTAACGTTACCATCGGTGACGGTGTCAGAATCACCAGATCTGTCGTCTTGTGCAACTCTCACATCAAGGACCATGCTCTGGTCAAATCCACCATTGTTGGCTGGAACTCCACTGTAGGTAAATGGGCCAGATTGGAAGGTGTAACTGTGTTGGGTGACGATGTCGAAGTTAAAGACGAGGTCTACGTCAACGGTGGTAAAGTCTTGCCTCACAAGTCCATCTCTGCTAACGTTCCAAAGGAAGCTATTATTATGTGAGGAACAGGAGTTAAAGATGAAGACTAGGCTTTTCTAGAATTTAATGTTTGTTTTAGGTTGATAATGAATCATTTTTTAACCCTTTGTAATAATTTTTGCCTTGTAGCTTGTGCTAACGCTTGCCCTGATACTATCTCTATTAAGTATACGCTTCTACTGGCTTTTGCTAAGACTTTGTAAGATCACGTCCAAACAACTATCTACTTCGTTGATATCCATCTCGGTTCCCTGAGAGATCATCTTCCGATATTTATAGATTTTGGAATTGTCCCCAATGATCTGCATAGTCTGCGAAAGTTTAGCCCTTCGCTGCAGTTGGAGTTGAGACAAGCGAAGAGCCAGCTTAACTTGTTCATTTCTATTACTTTTGCGATCTTCTTCGGAGTATTTCGAGATTTCAGATTCCTGATCTTGAACTAATATTGCCAATTGCTTGGCCTGTCGTCTCTCCAAACGCACATACATCTCCTTTTTACAGTGCGCCAGTTGTAGTTGTAATTCTTTGGCCTCATTTGAGCGGATTGAAAGCAGTTCTTCCACGTCGGAGTAGGGCGCATCAACTTCTAAAGCTTCCATAGTCTTGTACTCAACAGTTGAAATTGTCTTGGCCATGCTTTTTAGTGTTTTCTCCAAATTCGATACATCCGAATCTCTTGCTTGATGTAATCTATTGTAAGAATCAGCCATTTCTTTCATTATGTTCACAACTTCGGGAATTCCTCGACTTAGACGAGTTGCAGTCTGAGACGGGTACATGAGGAACTCCGAGGGTGACGACGGTGTCAAGTTTTGCTTGAATTTGCCATTGGTAGCGGAAGATGGTTGTGATGATGGCATGCGCTGGTTCATGAGTTCTGTTGCAGTTACGCCCTTTGAGTTTTTCATTGTGGAAAGCCCCCCATGCTGAATCAAACACTCGAAAAAATCCCGATCTCCGCTAAGGGCAGCAATGTGAACGGCAGTGTCACCGCTTTGGTCCTGCGAATTGAGCAAGTTTTCTATGCGGTATTGAGGTGAGAAATCTTTGAGTTTAGACAACAAAACGTCCAAGTAGAACACAGCCGAAGGTGTGGTAGATTTTCGCTTCACGATATGGTGTATGACTGTTTGTAACTTCGAGTCTACATCGAAAACAGTATCATGTAAAATTTGGAATATTCGGGGGTAAGTTCGTCTTGTGAAGGAATTGTGAAAAATAGAGCATCTTATGAGTGGATTCTCACCTTGAAGGTTGACGGCATTAGTACTTGCCCCCGCATTATATAGGGCTTCAACTATAGCCAAGTTACCCATTGCACAGGCCCAATGAAAAGCAGTATGGTGTTCGTGATCTATCCATGCATCGATGTAAGGGGCACTATTTTGAGGTGGACATAATAACTCCGATGGTACACTTTCTTCAGAATGCATTTCATTGGAGACAAAATATTCCACGAGTTTTGAAAGATACTCGTTAACCTTGGAGTTGATATCCGAAGTTCGAGAAAACGATTGGTTGGTAAAACGGGGAATCATGGTAGAAATGGGGGAAGTAGCACTGCCTAACTCATCATGACCAGCTGAACCAGCGATAGCGCGTTGGTCGAATGTATTGTCATCGGACAACCCACTAGGTGAAGTTGGAAGGGAAGACGATGAAGAGGAACCCATTTCTACTTTGGCAGCAGCTGGTGGCTCAATGTCGCTCGAGAGCCCGTCTTCGATATCCAGCTCCTTGAAATGTTGTGGAGTAACTCCGGATTCTCGCATTATTACGGGGTCCAAACTTATGGTTCGCTGTAGAGGGCTCTGTAAAGACGGCAGTTTTTTAGATGAAATTGTAGATACCGGGATTGCAGGGCGAGGAAATACCATGTCACTTTGCGATCTCTCCAAATTGCTAGCTGCCTGTTTTTTGTTTTTACTGGAGGGTGGCCGTCCCCTCTTCTTTGGTGCTGTGGGTGTCGTAGACCCACTGGGAGTATCTGAAGCTTTTGATCGCGTAGCATGAGTGGAACTGGTTGTCTTAGTGGCTCTTTTGCGAGTCGAGTCCACACGAGACGCGTGATGATGCTTGGGTGCTCTCGGAGGAGACTCTGAGCCTTCTACATGGGTATAATCAAAAAGAGGTCTGAGCTCATCCAACACTTCAAACTTCCCGGCCAGATTTCTGGCAATTGTTAGCGGCACCCAAGTACCCTGATATTTGCCGAAACCACCTTGGACTTTTTCGTGTGTGTCGTTTATCACCTCTTTTTCCAGTATCCTGGTTCTCTTGGCTTTGGCAAACTTTGCCGCTTTCAAGATGTGTGTAGCATTTACCCAGTCATCTATTTTCCGCTTCATTATTGAGCCTGTAGGATGAATAAACTCATAGACATCAACGCCGGAATATTTGGCAGAGTAAATTTGATCGGTTGACATGATTGAAATGCCCAAAAAGTGCTTGAAAAACCCACTCTTTGAAAGTCAGTAGCCCTGGGATGTCGTGAATATAATCAGACTTACGCAATGAGCTTCACCTTTATTAAACTTTTCACCGAATGGTCCTACACTTTTGAAAAAAAAGAGGCCCGAGACCTTCTTAGTTCTCTCAAGTAGCAAGAGTGAAGACCTCTGATAACAAATTGCCTCTGAGTAGCAGCAGCTTCAATTGGAACCTAACTTTTAGTGTCTGTCTGCTTCATGAAGTTAATATCAACGAAACTTTAGTCAAGAAATCATCGACTAACACGTGACTTAATACACGTTCAAACCTTTGTGAAACGGTTGCATGCCAACGTGTTTCGGAGAAAGACCTGGTAGCAGCTAACGGTAAGCCTATTCATGTATCAACTATAAGGTCTTGGAATCGTGGCTTCTTGCTAACTAGTAATGCCGTTGTTGCTTCTGAAATTCTCGAAACTCACAACTTTACAATTTTCTGCTTTTTAGCGTCAATAACTGTCCGCTACAGAATAGCTAGATTGTCATGTTCAATTCTTGTCTATTCCATTTTGTATCACTCGCCGATGATATGAGGGTCCATGTAACCCTTTTTCGGTGTTTTTGTCATTTTCACGATCTTGGCCAATTTCTTAACTTATTTTAGAGCTTACTGTCGCACCTTAGTTTGGTGCATATGCATCAAATTACTTGACTAATAACAAAGCAACTCTATTGAGTATGGAAGGCTATGTAAATAAGTCTTAAGCACGACAAATTCAGCGAAAAACAGTCATGAATTGCCGCTAAAAGTGCCGATTTTGGACAAGTTTTTTACACCTCTGTCGGCACTACGAGAAGCCGAAGACATAATAGAGAAGTTCACTGCAATTCGCGAAACACGGCTAGCTGTGGTGGGTTTGGTAACCTACTGAAGAATAGCAGTTAACTAAACATATTTCGCTAGATGATTATGGCATAAATTGTCTGCGATAGCATCTATCTTTTCAAATTGTTTCAATCCGCCTAATGATAATTGTCTCGATTTCCCTACTTTACACCAAATTATATACTTATATGCTCTTTGTGTCCTAAGAGTGTTGTCGCCTCCCACAAGTTTTGCAAGATTAAACCCTTTTCCCAAATTACTCCAACAACGTGCTTTTGATAGCTCTAATATCTGAAGTTGATAGCTTAACGACGTTCAAAAAAAAGTGATCAAAAGACTCGTGCAATACGCGAAATTGATCCAAGAATAAACGCATCGCTTCGTACTTTGAAGACACGAGGCTCCGGCACATTGATTCTGGAGTGGCCCGGTACTCTTGCGCCAATTTATCAGAATTCAACATCTGATAGTAAATATCTCCCCGATCTTCCAACACTTTGAGTAGTTTCCTCTCGGGTTGCAGCCCAATGGTAGTCAACTCAAAGTCGCGCGCTATTGTGTCGTCGTCTACTCCTAATAAGCCCAGAATCAACATTGCTAAAATCCCAGTACGGTCTTTCCCACCAGCACAGTGGAAAACTGCCGCATGAGACTGATTACAATGTCCCTCAATAAGATATCGACAAAACTGTGCAATGGCTGGTATACTATTTTGAAGCATTATTTTGTATGCCTGTGGAAACATGTACGGTGACAAAAACATGCCGCGATAGATCAAAGACATGTCTTGAGGATCCGCACTTTGTTGATTGTTGAATGGAATATTTGTTACCGGTACTCCATTTATTACCTTGTTTTCCTTCACTTCCTTGGCTGATCTTAAATCGAATACTTGCGATACTTTCAAGTTTTGGGTCATGTATTGCAAACCTGCCTCTGTAATTTCTCCAGGATTCGCACATCTGAATAGAATGCGCGGTTTTACTCGAAGGCCATTGCGTGTCACGAAGCCACCTACATCGCGGAAATTTGAAACGTGCGAGAACTCGTGAGGCAATGGCCAACGCGCTAACGATTGAGAAGGATTCCAAGAATCTTGAATAAAACTTGTACTTTTGTAAAACCTTTGCAGCTGTTGCTCAGGCTCTAAGAAAGATGCGATACGCTCAACAACAGTAACGTTGTAATTGACCAACCCCTTGCGAAGGGGCAGATCGTGGGCGTTTTTGTCATTGGCAAGACCGTAAAAATTATGATCAGCATACATAACTAGATCCGCAGTATGTCTACCTTGGAACAAGTTTGAATATTGAGCCAGAGCTGAGAGGGGAATGACTGTGTCAGCCGATCCGTAAATTGACATGACCCAACTTCTAGAGTCGATTTCTGCAAATTTGGACGTGTCCACTGACGCAGCGCTCACGGTTTCCGATTTGGGGATCCAAATATCTTGCATTTTCCCAAAACGCAGGATCTGGCAGCTAAACCCCCCGTCACGGTCCCAGTTTGGATTTCTGCGCAACGACTTCTCGTACAATCCGTGCGCCACAAATCTTCCGCATGCGTTGATCAGATTGGGCACGTACCGTTTGCGTGCAAATTCGAACATTGACATAACACCACGCGAGTGGGCCACAATGGTATCGAGCACCAAAGTGTAGCCAGTCAGTTTTCGACACTGCTCTGTAGCCGCCCATTGATATACCGTCTCGATGTCTTCACAATCCTGTGCGATGGTGCGTCCCAGCTTGGCGTCCCGATTGGGCTCGGAGTCGCCCATGTTGCGAAAGTCAATTCGCAGCACATAGTACCCCTTGTCGGCTAGTCTCTGAGCCAGCATCGGCATGTACACTGTGTTCTTGTGAGCAGAGTGGCCATGGCACAGCAGGACCAGCTTGTGCTGTGGGAAGCCGTACTGCTCTTCATTTAACACCTTTTCACGCAGGGATCCAAATTTCAGCGACGTTGGCAGCGTTAGCACGCATGCGATGCCCGTCGATCCATGGAACTCACTGTGCTTGAGATACAGAAACCGTTCCTGAGGACTGATTTCTTGTTTTTTTATCACTGTAGTTTCTACAATGTCTTGCTGAACCATCGTGAATGTAGTTGACGGTCAGCTTCTTGAGTTACGAGCTTCAAGTTTACAATTATGTTGAGATTAATGCAAAAGTTACTTGTACTTATTGGTATGACTTCGGCCTATATATATTTTTTATTTGTGCATACATGGGAGTCATCTTACTGGAGTTGTAGTTTGTACAGCGAGCTTGTTGCCAAAAGAAACCTGAGGCATTTTCCGTGTGTTACCGCCTTAGTACAGAGTGATGATAAGATTACAATGGGCGCAACGAGAAATTGTCGGGACGGGTTGTGAACGAGATTGAGCTGGTAAGCTACTAGGAGCAGTCCGATGAGTGTGGCAGTAAGAGTGGACCACCATTATAAGTCGTGATCGTTACTAGCTAGCTTTCACCATAGATGATGCATGGTTTGCTGCTAAAAGGCGGGGCAGCATTTCTTGAAAATAGAATCACTACACACGGAATGTTAATCTGGCGTGGCAGTAGAAAAAGAATAATTGAAAAGGGAAGCGGTTCGATTTTTTCCAGAGCTAATTGGTAGGCATAACCTGGGCCCATGAAATTTTGTGAATGTGGTCTCTCCAAAAAGCGAATGTAGTGTGGCGGAAAGTACTTTCAATTTGCTCCTGTTCGAAAATCGGCAGTGCAAGGATATGTTCCTTTTTTTTTTGGGTTTGTCCTTCTCGCTTCGGCGCATGTGATCGTGTTATTTGTGCTGGTGAAACTGCATCTGAACGAGATGATATGGACAAACATCCTTTTGAAAATCGAATACTGTTCCGAACTTGTCCACTCTAGTTAACACTTTCGCGCAACGCCGTTTGCTTTGCTTTCTATCCCTGCTCCTACAATGGAGATACCTAAAGGCCGTGTGCAGACCATTTCCAAGAGCGAAGAAGTCCATCTTAAACAACTATGGGCGCACCTATTTCAGCATTGGGGCATCCCAGTAAACAGCGAAATAGTCCTTACTAATAACGCGATTGTTGCAGAGTCTACCAATGGCTCAAAAACTGACGCGTCCTCGGAGTCATCCAACAACAAGGGCTCGAGCTCAAAAAACTCCAAGAAACCCGGCAAGCTTTTTGGCAGGTTTCGCAAGGCTACAAGCGGTTCTAAAGACTCTAAGGACTCTAATGATCGCGCCAGAACCGGGTCAGTGACCTCCCGTAGGTCTGCAGAAGACATTGAGCACATGTATCCTCCAGGCATGATACACGAGGCGCTCAAAGATCTCAAGGCTGAGGAGGTGAGCGAGAACTTCTGGGAAATGTTAAGAACGGACTACCCCGACAATCTGATTCTGAGATTTCTCAGAGCGCGTAAGTGGGACACCGATAAAGCTCTCGGCATGATTGCTCACACGCTTCACTGGAGACTCACAGAAGGTCATCCTGACGCGATTATTCGTGGAGGTGAACTTGCTGCCTACCAGAACAAAGAAACTGGACTAATCAAAAACATAGAGCTTTCTAAGGCGTCATTGCATGCGTTCGATCTCAAAAGTCGCCCTGTCGTCCTGGTAAGGCCTAAGTTGCACCATTCGAGCGATCAAACCGAAGCTGAAATGAAAAAATACTGTCTACTGATTATTGAGCAGGCTAGAATGTTTTTGAAGGAGCCCGTAGACTCCGCTACCATTCTCTTTGATTTGACCGGGTTTTCCATGTCCAACATGGATTATTCTCCTGTCCAGTATCTAATAAGTTGTTTCGAAGCCCACTATCCCGAGTGTTTGGGTCACCTTTTTATTCACAAAGCTCCTTGGATCTTCCCTCCCATTTGGAACATAATTAAAAATTGGTTAGATCCTGTTGTTGCGTCCAAAATTGTATTCACAAAAAGCACTGATGACTTGGCCAAATATTTGCCAATGAAATCGATTCCAAAGTACTTAGGCGGAGAAGATGATTATGATTTCGACTCGTTCAAGAAGCCAGACGAATCAGCCGATATCAAATTGAAAGATACAGAGACTCGCGAGGCAATCCAAAAGGACCGCAAAGTCATTATACAGAAATTCATCGATGCTACAAAAAACTGGATTGAAAGTCCAGACGATAAGACTTCAAAGAAATGGCTGGATGCAAAGATCTCGATCAGCAAAGAATTAACTGAAAATTACAGGAAGCTAGACCCTTACGTTAGGTCTAGATCTATTTACGATATAAACGGAACTCTAAAGGTCTGAATTTGGAGCTTGCGATAGCAAGATATGTTGATTCATTCTGTTGTGGTACTCAGTCAGTTCAGGCTTCAACTGGCGTGTATATTCTCTATATCATGCAATCTTCTTCAAATTTGTAAATAAACATAGTCATTTTCTTGTTCAAAATAATTATCTTTAATGTATCAATAGTTGGAAATTCATGTTTCCAAATGTTGCAGGCCGACCAGGTAAAGTTTGACCCCCCAATATTACGAAACTTTGAGTTGCACTGATCGTATTGATGAATGGGGATAGTTGATGATTGTTTGCAGTTTTTGATTGAGGGTTCTAATCTGACAACAGCTCAAATCCACGAACTCTTGACAAAAATTAATACAAATGTGAATAATGAGGGCATTTCCACCAGATTGATAAACCCATTGATTGACTTTTTGTGCGATACATCATTCATTTCGGTGTCTACAAAAATCTATTTTATTCGGGAAGCTTTGCTACCCAATGACAGAATCCCCAGAGATACTGTCCACAGAATAATTGGACGATTAGGGATACGGTCATTATCCACACCATTCAGAAAAGAAACACCTAGAGCCATTCAATCTGAGCTCTGTAGGTGGCTTGTTCATGTCTACATATATATGGAGGATGTTGCAGTCTATGAAGAAACGTTCTCTATTTGGTTCCAGCTATGGCAGTTAGATTTCCTTCAAAAGTGGATTACTTATCTATTATTTTGGTCAGCCACTACTTCTCTTGTTAAACCTTGGCGAATTAAATTTCTGGCTCTCGTTGGTAACAAAGGAGGATACTCCAATGCGAAAACTTCAGCAGCACTACTCCTAGAGAGATTCAGCACTTTGGTCCCGAACCGAGCTATTTCCGCTGAAATTTTAGGACTGAAATGCAACGTTAGACGGCTAAGCACTCTGAGAAGAGGGGCGTGGGACGAAGCTTTTTTGGCTAACTGGTCTTGTGTTTTGGATATCTTAAACCGCCTGCAACGTTCTGCGTTTTACGATCTTATCGAAGAGCTGAAAAGTCTATTAAGTTTTGGAGAACCAAAAAAAGAGGGCTCTACTATGACAACGAGAAGAAACAATGCTGTATCGCTCAATGACGTAGACACGTTAGAAAAGTTAGCTCAGAGTTTTGAACTCATATCGATACCAAAAGACATCGAAGCCGTTGTAACGAGTCGCAATCGTTGCTCTTTTGTTTTTCTTGCAACTGTCGACGCTGGTATTGAGTTTTGGAAGCGTGTCTCACAATGGTGTGTGCTTCAACAAGGGTTGTACACGCTAGGCGGTGAATTTCCCTTTATCGACAAATTAACTATGGGTGGACTACTATCAGCATACACGCTAAATCGCGATAAGGACTCCCAGTCATTCTGTTCTGTCAAAGAGCCACCTACTGAGATTGAAATCATCTGCAATTTAGCAAGCCCTGTACTGAGTGACATAACCTGTAAACGGATAACTTTTGCTAGAAACAAGGTCCGTGATCTCGGAAACTGTCGCTTTTACAGTATGTGCAGGTCCGTACTTGCAAAGTTGTACATTTTGTCCAAAGGCGCCCCAGGCATAATGGAATCACCACTATTATTTGAGGCTCTAAACCATATTAAATCGTTCATAACTGAAGATATGCGAGAGAGGCCTTCAGATAGACATGTCACGGCAACTTTGAGACTTGTGGTAAGAATATTGTCCAATTTTAGCTCAGTTAAACTTCGTGAGGATTTTGCTGCATCTGTTTTACTTTCAAAAGAAACGGTGAACATATCTATTCTTTCTACTGATCCACTGGCAATAGGCGTTATGTCAGAGTACCTTATACTTTCAAAGAACATCATTCAAGCTTGTAGCAAAAATCAGGAAGTCATTGAACTCCACAATGCACACGTTCTTGATCTAACTAACTACATGTGGAGGAACAAAGTGGCTGGTGGGGGGACCATTTTCGAAATTCCTCTGGTTTTTGTTCGCCGTATGATGCAAAACCTTACATTTGGAGATTCCGGTCCGGAGTCCAAATCATGGTTTACTGTCGTTAACATTCCGGCCCTCTCTTTTTCCTCTCGATGTGCTGTAAATAAACTGGAAAATGCTCTTTCAAGCAAATCGCACTTTTCAAATGTCCTGACAGAAAAATCCTTCAACGATTTCAAAAGAAAAGTGGGTGATATATCTTGGCTTGACACTATCTCGTCCTTCTACGAATTGAAAGTTGCGATTCTAGGTATGATGAGGCATCAAGAAATGTACAAAAACAATTCCAGATTTCTGTATGCCTATCTCAGAAGTCTGGCAGATTTTGAGAAGTCATGATACGCACAGCTCACATTATGTCAGTTTTCCATTAATTAGACAATTGCCGGAATTTATGTGGATTAAGTGGATTACAGACAAACTATTTACATGTAAAACTTCAGTAGGCGATCACTCTACAACGAAGCTTATGACCTTATTTTTCAGAATCAAATTTCTGATGACCTTATCACCTATATACTTTTTTCCAGCAGGTGAATCAGTCAGCGTCTTTATGACACATTCGCGATCATCTATGAACGACTTATCAGCACAGTGAGTGAAGCGCATCTTACCGTTGACTACTACATTGTATCTCACTTGGGCATTTTGTCGAATCGCTTGCATTGAGGGCCACTCGTAAAGATTCCAACTCCAGCTTAGTTTTTTGCTAAGAATATCGCAAGCCTCCTCAGCAACTGTCGGCGCAACAGGATACATTGAAGTGATCAGAATTTTTAGAGCGTTCATGATCAAATTTAGGCTTATATTTTGGGAATTGTGCGCAGCTTCTATCAAATTGGTGAGTTTCATGTAATCCGAAATAACTGTGTTTAATGAAAGAGAGTCTGAAAACGATAAAGTTATGCTTTCAAGTAGTTTTTGAACCTTATTATGAAACACTACCTCCTCTCCACTCAAAGTGGCTGGGACAACGTATTCTGAGTCAAATTCAAAACAGTTGGAACATATAGCTTCAGAAAGGTTCACAGTTCTTATGAGCCAGCGCTCGACTCCAACAATCTTAGTTTCATCCCAGCTCAAGACGTCACTAATTGGAGCTTGAAATAAAATGTGGGCTCTCGTTGCATCAGGGCCATGGCTCTCTATGCACTTATCGGGATCTGCTCCATTATATTTGGACTTCGACATCTTTTCATATGTAATTGTAGGCTTTTGTCCCGTTTCCTTTATAATGACGTCGGAACAACTTGTCGTTTCTACTTCGTCCGGTTTGAGAAAACGCCCCGTTGTAGGATCTACTAGCGTTTTTCCGTGCACCATACCTTGAGTCACTAACTTTTTAAATGGCTCCCCAGTTCCTTGCTTATCCTCCCATTTCCCTATCGAGGCAAGGAATTTTGATATAAATCTCGAGTAAAGCAAGTGCAAAATCGCATGCTCAATCCCGCCAATATAAAGATCAACCGGCAAGTTTTCTGAAGCGGCCTTGTGGCTAAATGGATCTTTGATATTCTTAGGGTCTGTATACCGGAAAAAGTACCATGAACTATCCATGAATGTGTCCATAGTATCAGTCTCTCGCTTAGCAGGTGAGCCGCATGACGGACACTTAGCGTCGACAAATTCAGCCATATTCTTCAACGGATTACCCTTCGTTGCCAAACTATGCACTTTTGGTAGCATAACGGGTAGATCTTCTTTGGGCACTGCAACAGGGCCACAGGATTCGCAATGTATAATTGGAATTGGCGCGCCCCAGTACCTCTGTCTGCTAATAAGCCAGTCTCTTAGTCTATAATTAGTTGTTGACTTCCCTTTCCCCACTCTTTCTAGTTCTTCTGCTATCTTTTGAGCAGCTTGGTTAACATCCATTCCAGCAAATTCTGCTGCAGAAGGACCTAAAATACCAGACTTCTTAGTGTATGGCAATTGCGAGAACCTCTCAGTATTGCAGCCATTGTGAGTGATACTTGGAAGGGGAGAGATCCCTGGCATACTCTGTTCCCAGAATGCAAAATCACGCTCATCATGCGCAGGACAACCCATGACGGCACCGTGCCCGTAGCCGCTGAGCACATAAGGCGCTACAAATATTGGTATCTCGAACTGAGTTGAATGAGAAAGAGGGTTATGAGCTCGAATACCTTTCAAGAGAAACCCCTCTTTTGAATCGTTCGGCAATGATTTTGCCAAATCCAGGAAGCTTTGGAGCTCTAAATCAGTTAGAGAAGCTTCTTGAACTAGCGGGTGATCGATAGCAAGCGCAAGGTACTGGACGCTAAATAGAGTTTCGACTCGCGTGGTAAACACTTTAACGGGTTGTAAAGCTCTTTGAGATAATGAAAAATGCACTTCCGTACCGTGAGACTCTCCAACCCAGTTCTTTTGCATAGTTTTGACATTTTGAGGCCATTCTTTTAATGTTCCCAAGTCTTTCTGGAGACTGTGTGCAAATTTAGTGATACCCAAAAACCACTGATTCAGCTTACGCTTCTCTACTATCGCTCCGGACCTCCACGACCTTCCTTGCGCGTCTACTTGTTCATTAGCAAGTACGGTCTTATCTACTGGATCCCAATTGATTTCAGCGTCTTTTTGGTATGCCAAGCCATGCTTAAAAAGCTCGAGAAAAATCTCTTGTGTAAACTTGTAATACTCGGGGCTACAAGTTGTCACTTCGCGATCCCAATCAAAGTTTGCGAGCATCGTGCTAAGCTGTTGTTTCATCTTAGCAATGTTTTGCTTAGTCCACACAGCTGGATCTATCCTCCGCTCTATGGCGGCATTTTCAGCCGGTAGTCCAAAGGCGTCCCATCCCATGGGATGAAGAACTTGGTAGCCATTTAAACGATAAAATCGATTCAAAGCATCTGTTATCGTGTATACGCGCAAGTGGCCAATATGCAGGGAGCCCGAGGGGTACGGAAACATGGTTAGTAAGTACATTTTTTTCTCTTCGTGCGTTACCTTTGGTGGTGGGACGCCTTTCAACACCTTAGCCTTCCATTTGTGTCCAATTTCCACTAGACTCACCTCTTTAGGCGCCAATTTGCTGTATAACCTTTGCACATAACTTGGTGGTCGTCTTACGACTCTCATTAACCCTTTAATGACCTCTTGCCCGATCGTCTTCACTGCTGTTTTTGGTTAGATCCGCTGTGATTTAGATTATGTTTTTTCTTCGGTTTTCTCAAGATCTTCTAACCGCTCAACACTTTCAAAACTTAAACTGGCATGCTTTAAGATATCATTGAACCGGACCAATCCTGTTTTGTGTTGTGAGCCAGGTCGATAAAGATCCACAAGTGCTCACGTCTAACCTTTGTAATGTACTGGCTATGCAATCATCACTGCTTTCAGATTAATAACTAAATCGGCCCACGCTCATGTGTTCAACCAGGATTACAAGTAAGAGTTTTGATCGTTTCAAGCTCCGCTAACGACGATTGGCAGTTCAAGCTATTTCTCAGATACTCTCCAAAAAAAGCATGCTCAATCTTGGACCAAGGGCGCATTTTGTCATGATAGATTATGTTTTAGCAGGTTCAAAGCTGTGCTTTATCTCCTTGTTTGAGGTTTAAATACGACAGCAAACATTTCACTCTCTTAGAACCCAAGAAACCTGGTGCTATGGGGTAGTGAGCACGATTTTTCCCAAAGCTGGAAAGCCGCTGATGTGACACCTCTATTGGTGTGTCATACCTATCCAAGCTTGCGGTCATCCATATTGTGTAAGTGGCAGCTGCTAGGCCATCAAATTTCTGGATTATTGCATGCCGCATAGAAGCGACGGATCAGTTTACAGATATGTGCTTGATTAATGTGTAAAACATGCAAGCAAACACTACGATAACATGGTGGGCATTTATTTTCGTGACAAACACAAAAACAAGCGCAAAGATATATATCATCCATCGATAGCCTCATCATAGTATTTGTGGTCCTCTACGCAGGTATATTTAACTGAGGCGCCAAAAACCTGTAAATTAAACTTTCCGACCTGAAAGATTTGCTTTGAATGCGAGTGTAATATGGAGGTTGGTTTTCGATGTTCTCAGCTAAGACCAAGGATTGTTAGCAGAACTGAAAGACAATTCACAAGTGGTTGATATTGTTACAAGGTTGTGTCTTGTGCGTATATTATGATGCACATCAAGGCCGTTTAAAAAAGTGCGCGTTTCAATCGCGTTTCTGATGAAATTTGTCAACATCAAGGGCGTGTCGAGAGGCAGATGGACCCACCTGCGCATGATGCAACTCAAAGCGGTACTAAACGGACCGTGGCGACGATGGACTCTGAAATAGAGTCGCTGGCGGCATCTATGGCTGGCCCTGTACTCACAGAACGGCAGAATAAACGCGTCAAACGGTATGCTCCGATGACGCAAGTCGCCTCCCAAATAGAATCGACCGAAGATGAAGCATCATCTAACTGGCACCCTCCAGGCTACATAAAGCATTTAAAGTTACGAAATTTTATGTGTCACGAACATTTTCAGCTGGACCTTGGACCAAAACTTAATTTTATTGTTGGCAATAATGGGAGTGGGAAAAGCGCCATCTTGACTGCTATTACGGTGGGGCTCGGCGCAAAAGCTACTGATACAAATCGAGGTACAAGTCTCAAGGATCTCATCCGCGATGGGTGCAGTTCAGCCAAAATTGAAATTGTTCTGAATAATGAGGGTTTTGGAGGCTACGAACAAGGTACATACGGGAATGAAATTGTAATAGAGCGCACGATAAAAAGAGATGGCCCTGCCAAGTTCAGCATTAAGGGAGAGAATAGGGAGGAAGTTTCTCATACGAAGCGAGACTTGCAAGCAATTGTAGAGTATTTCGCTGTTCCCGTAATGAATCCAATGTGTTTTCTTTCTCAAGATGCTGCAAGATCTTTCTTAACAGCAAGCACACCGGCTGACAAATATAAACATTTTATGAGAGGTACTCTTTTGGAGGATACAGAGATCAATTTGAACCGGGCGCTGGAGATTGCAATTAGTGCTCAAAACAATCTAGATTTTCACGCCAAGAACGTTAAAGAGCTTCGGCAAGAATTTGAGGGCTCTAAAGGACTATTAAAACAACTCACCGCCAATCAAGATTTAAATAGACGGAAAAAAGCACTGCAAGGCAAGCTTCTATGGTTAAGCGTTGTAGAGAATGAAAATTCACTCCTCAAATTGCAAGAGGGCAACAATAGTGTTCAGGATAAAATTATCGAAGTTGAGAAAAAGATCAGCGGCAGGAACACAACTATTGAAAGACTCGATAGCGACCAGACCGCGATGGAGCAAAAAACAGAAGATGCTCTCAATAATTGGCAAGACAAGAAAAGAGCTTTTGAGGATACACGTTTAGCTATGAACCGAGTAAAAGTGGAGTTCGATACTCAAAAGCAAAACCGAGCTGAAACGGCTGAACTAATCAAAGGAGCCGAATCCAAAATTCTCAGTTTTAATAAAATAATCGCAAATTTCGAAGATCAGTTGAGAAAGCAAATGGGTGGGGATAAGAAACAAATGCAGGATGAGGCTGAAGGTCTTAAACTTAAAGTTGAGGCTTCTAACAAGAGACTATCGACGTCGAATGTGCGGCTGGGGGAACTGAGAGAGAGAATTACAGCTCTTTCCGCACAGAATGAAGAGTTAATAACTGCCAAAAAAGACAGCATTGTGAGGAAGCAAGAATATCTCAATAGAGCTCTGCAAGGAAACAATAGTTTTCTTGCAAATTTTGATCTTAATATGGAAAAGGTGATCAGGACAATTGAACAACGACAAAATGAGTTCGCAACAAAACCTCTTGGACCATTAGGCGCTCACGTTAAGGTCAAAAACGAATTCAAGGAGTGGACGAGAAGCATCCAGCGGTACTTGCGAGGTACAGTTGGCGCTTTTGTCGTATCCACTGTTGAGGATAACGCACTTTTAAAGCAAATATTCCGCTCCTGTAATCTTAGAGTCAATCCCAATGTAATGACGTACAAGTTCGATGAATTCGACTTCAATGCAGGAAGTGCGAAGGTGAGTTACCCAACCATAGTTGATGCGTTAGAGTTCGATTCGAGGGCTCTTAGATGCTTGTTTGTTGATCAAAATAGGATTGAAAAAGTACTTCTGATCAAGAATAAAGATGAAGCTAGAGAGGTGCTAATGGGAAAACCGAGAAACGTAATTTTGACCTTATCCATTTTAGACGCATACAATGGTTTTCAGTGCTCTATGACTCCCGCCAAACCATTCGCCATTGATTCGGTCGCTTTCGATGAAAAGCTCAAATTGGTCACCGAAACCTCGTCTGAGGACGACATAGCTTACTTGAAAAGCCTTATAATTGGTGAAAAGGCTGATTTGGAAGAATTGATTGAAAACCATAAGCAATCTCTCGCAAAGCTGAAAGCTCATCGCAACGATATCGAGCTTGAAATGAAGTCTTTAAAGCAGGAAATCACAGCTTCCGGTAAGCGCGAAGTTTCCATCCGGATGGAGCTAGAAAGGGAGATTGATACGGGCGTTCGTGAACAAGCAGAAGCTGATAAGGATACCTATGAAGAAGCCATATCAAGCTATTCATTGGCTCTTGAAGAAATTGATAAGAAGTTGGATGAAATCAGTCAAAAAGCACAACCATTGAAGCAGACGCTTAGCGACTCCAAGCATGATGTTCAAGAAGCCGAAGATGCAATGACTGAGATTAAGCAGTCTTCTTCCTCCAGGTCGGCAAAGTTAGAAAAGCTACATGAGGATGTCAAGTACTACAATGAAAAATTGGTTGGCTACCAACGCAAACTCGAGGAAACTAGCAGAAAAATACAGGAGTTTCAGATTGGTATTGAGGGACAGATTTCTAACGCAGAAGTCTACTGTTCTAGAGACGTTGCTTACGCACAAGACATGCCTGGCACAAAAGAGGATGTTAAGGCAGAAATAGAAAGAGTCACAATACAAATTCAGCGAGCTGAGAGCAGGGTTGGTCTTTCACAAGATCAGGTGGTAGAACTGTTCGAAAAGGCAAAGTTGAAGTACAAAAGCGCAGAAAAGCGGTACGCCGAAATGGACAACGTTATCATACAACTTAACAATTCCATCAACAGACGTTTGCAATCACTAAACTATGGAAAAACTGATACATGCGGCACAGCGGATACAGACTTTAAGCAATCTTTGCGGTTCAGAAATTACTCAGGCGGGCTCAATTTTGACTTCAATAAGAGAACACTCAACATGTTCGTTAAAACCCCTAATGACGATCAACCCAGAAACGTTGATACGTTTTCAGGTGGAGAAAAGTCATTTTCTCAAATAGCACTCCTGCTTGCCACGTGGAGACCCATGCGATCAAGGATTCTTGCTTTAGATGAGTTTGATGTTTTCATGGATCAAGTGAATCGGGAAATCGGAACCAGATTGATAATGCGCAAGCTATTCGATGACAACAGAACTCAAACTGTAATTATAACTCCACAAGATATCGGCAAAATAGCGAGCTTAGACTTTCCGGGGATTTGCATACACAGGATGAATGACCCTGAGAGACAAAATAATTCAGATTTCTACTCATGAGCACATCCTTGCCTGAGCTCACTCTTGAAATACTTTTTTATTTCTTCCTCTTGGATTGCATACATGATATTTGGCATATAAAGACCTTTAAGGTAATTTGATTTATCAGATCGTTATTTCCTCACATTATTCTTCTTCTTCACCATCATCACCATCATCATCATCTTCTGAAGAAAGTTCGGCTCCCATGAGCTCGAGCTTTTTACAGTACTTGCTATTTTTCTCGTCGAGTTCAGTAACGAGTAACATCAAATCATCAACCTCTGATCTGTCTGTTGCTTTCTCCTTCCACGATGAGAGCTCTTTTTTTAAAATCACGAGCTCATCCTCGAGATTTGCTGTTTTACTTGCCAAGTTAGATTCGCAACGCTTTAATTTGCCAGAAATCTCTTCTTTCCCCTTGGTTATGGTATCTAATTCAGCTGTCAATTTTTCACTCTTGACCTGCTCAAATTGAATTGTTTCTGCCTGTTCTTGCGTTAGTTTTTCCATTTCGCTTAGCTTTCTAGCATTTTTATCGTTTATTTCCTCGAACTCTTTAAGTTTAAGTAACACCTTTTGGAGCCCTTCGGTTTCGGCACTCTTCTCGTTCAGCTCATTCTTCAGTTCCTTGGCTTCCAGAATCAAATTATCGCGCTGTTCCTCACTGCGCATCAGTTTTACATTCATCTCCATCGAGCGCTTATCTGTAACATTTTGAGAGCTTTGGAGAGCTTGCTTGAAAGTTTCTTCGGATTTCTTAGCATCTTTAAGAGCTTTGTTCTTTTCATCCAGTATATGCGTATGTTCACCAGCTTTTAGTTTCAATTCATCGATCTCTGCAATTGTGGCAGAAAGTTTTTCCTCTAATGAGGCGAGAGCATCAGTTTTCAGAGAACAAGCTAATTCTGCCTTTTTAAGTTGATCTTTGAGGGCATTGACCTGCGCATGACACGAGCTTTCCAGTTCACTCCATTTCTTTTTGTTAGCTTTGTGCTCTTCCTTCGCCGTTTTTATTTTTTGACTTAAAATGTCCAATTCTTTTCCACTGCTCAGCGCCGAACTTTCACATTTTCGGATAACAGTTTTCAGACTTCTCTTTTCGTTTTCAAACTCCTCAGATTTCGCAGAGTACTTATTTTCCATCGTATCAAGTTTTCCTTCCAAGTCATTAATTTTTTTTTGATAGTCCACGGTGATATTCGCGGAGCCTTCGCTGAACATGTTTCTCTCCCTTTCAAACTCTGCTTTATTCTGCTTTATATTGCCCTTCAATTGAACAATATCATGCAGCAGGGACTTCTTCTCTTCATTAAAGCTCATTTTCATGGTCTCATATTCTTTTTCAGAATAGTCAAGTTTATCACGTAATTGGTTTGCTTGATTCTCATATAATTCAGAGGTATTACTCTTCTCGTTCAGATCATTGCTTACTTCCTCGAGCTTTTTTTCAAGCACCACAATAGTGGAAGTTTTTTCGTCGCTTATGAATTTCTGCTCTTGGATCTCAGATCTTTTTTGTTTTAATTCACGATCAAGTCCTGCCAATTCAGCTTTCAGATTAGTCACTCTTAAACCACCATCTTTGACTTCGGATCTACAATCTGACAAATCCTTCAAGCTCTTGGCATAATTTCCTTCAGCCACTTTCCGTTGCGCTTCCGCTTCCTTCAAGTCAATTCCCAGATTTTTTATTTTATCTTCATGCTCGTTTTTGAGTACTTTCTTTGAGTTCTCTATCTCTGCTACCTCACCCTTCGACTTCATCAAAGATGCTTTGACGTCATCCCTGTCTTGCATTAAATCATTTATTCTTTGTTCAAGGGAGGCCTTTTTTTCAAGAAAATTCCTTTTCTCCTCTTGAGAACCGACGGTGAGATCTCTTATATTAGATTTCGCTGCTGCGTTTTCATCCGCAAGATTTGTTGCAGTTTTCTCAAGCTCGAGGATCTTAGTGTTGAGGTCTTTTATAAGTTCATCACTTGACATCCTGTCCGTATCAGTAATATCCAATCTTTTCTTTAAGCTGTCAATGGAATCTGATCTACTTTGAAGTTCTTTTACATTTTCATCATAGATTTTCTGTAAGTTCTTAAGCGCGTCAGTGTATTGGGTGATTTTGGCTCGAACGCCAGTAAGCTCGCTTCTGAAATCCATATGAATGGCTTTCATTTGTTCCATTTCAACAGAAGAATACTCAAGTTTGCTTTTCAGGTCTCCGTTTTCCGCCAGGAGTTTTTCGTGCTTTTCAGTAGTTTCATTCAAGGATTTTTCGAGTCTTTCAAGCTTGGACACTAAGTGCTCATTTTCACCCTTTATAGTAGTGTTGTGTTCTCGAAGCACCCCAATCTCCTTCTCGAGTTTTGAAATCTGTTCGTGGCTTTTTTTGGTGAACTTATCAAGCTCGGCCAAATTGGATCTATTTTCTTCATCTAGCTCTTTCCATTTTTCAGCAAGTTCTTTGAGTTTGGCTGTTAATCTTGATACATGAATTCCTTGACTCTCAAGTCTAGAGTTCAGAGTGGAGCGATCTTTTTCCAAAAAGATTTTGTCAGTCTCGAATGCTTTTTTCTCATTTCTTAGCACCCCCAATTCACTGAGCGCATTATTGATCTTTACTTCTTTTTGAGCGTTTTTTTCTTCGAGGGTTTTAAGATCGCTCTTCAAACGCTTTATTGAGTTTTCCAAATCAGACTGATTTTTTGAAGATTCATGCTTCAAATTTTTATGTTCTTTTGACAGCGCGAACAGCTCTCGACTCATCTTATTGATGCCGTCCTCGGCAATGTTCTTACTCTCTGTCAAACTGCTAAGCTCTTTATTTAGTTTTTCAACAAGCGCTTGCTTTTCTGAAAGCTTCGTCTCAAGGCTGCTAAGTTTGGCTTCGTGATTGGCTTTTGTCGACAAGAGCTCATCATTATGTGTCCTCAACGCCTCCAAACTTTTATTGATGTCTTCATTCTCACCTTTAAGCTTTTCGAGTTTCTCGTTATTTTGCTTCATGCTAGTGGAGGCATCATCACTTTTGAGTTGCATTTTCGTTAGCTCTTCTTCGACGTTGTGAAGAGACTCTCGTAACGCCTTTATCTGTTCTTTCGAGTGTTCTTCAGTCTCAGTCAGTTTTCGTTCTATCAGATGCTTCTGTTGTTGGAGCTCTTCAAAAGCCTGGAATGAGACTTTACTAACTATTTCGGTTGCGGGGTCTCTTTTTAAGGCAGTCTTGATCCTATAAAGGTTATCTTTTAAAAGAGCCTTAAAGTAACGGCTGAAGTAAATTTTAGGCAAGCCAGTAGCATCAGTCTCGAAAGTGCTCAAAAAATAGTTCGCGTCTATCGAGTCGGTGAACAAGGAATTTTCTTCGAACTGCTTGACTTTTGAGGTATAATTATCAATTCCAACGCTCTTGACCAGTAGTTCGTAGAGTTCTGCTCGGGGAATACTACTGTTTGAAGTAGAAAATTCATATGCTACACCTAATAGCATGCTAATCAGGCAACTGACGGTTATGTTGTCATCATTTATGTGCGAAATGTATGAGATGAGTGAGTTGAGAACCGCCTTATCAGACAGAAAATCGTTGACAGCATTTGAGTCTCCAAAGAGCCAGTAAATAAGAGCGCATAGGTAGGAGACTGGTATCCTCGAATCTTCTAAGGATAAAGATGTTAATAAAAGTTCCAAAATTGTTTGAATAGGACTTGTTGATTTTTGATCATCTTCATCAATGCCATAATCCTTGCATTCTACTCCTCTAGCTAAATCTCGAATATCACTGTTATTTTCTCCATCAAAGAGAAAAAGCAACAGATCCACAGCGTAGTACAGTTTGTACGGATTTAGTTTTAATTCCGGGTCGTAGTCGAGAATAACACTGAAGATGCCTGGGTTCCTATCACTATTTTTGTTTTCATTGCTTAAATCATTGAAATCATTGTAAAGCAATACCTGGTCTTTGACGAAAGTGAGCTTCAGGTCCTTATTATTAGTAAGATGTGCTTTCAACAGTTCAGATGACGCATATCTAATACCGAAAGTGTGGATGGAGTTCGCAAAAAAACACCAGCTCATTATTAGCTCTGTGACAGGCACAAGTTTTGGATTATCTAAAGTTTGAGGTCCATTCAGACTTGGGTCGAAAAAAGGAACGTCTATCTTTCTAAACTCCTGTTGAACTTCATGATTATCTCTTATCATATCAGCAGCGGTATGGAGCGCGAAGGGGCGCACTGTATTTGGTGTTGTTGGTAGCAATGCCAACCTAAGTACTATCATCAGAAGGTGTGAATTATGAAGAGCTCTTTGGTGCTCAGGCGTGGTGGTATGGTGCGGTTCAACTGTGAGCTTCAATATTTCCATAGCGGTCCTGATATTGAGCAGCCGCTGCTCATTCCAAAAAAACGCCTCATCCATTGGTTCATTCAAAAGCCTCGCCATTTGTGGTAAGTTGCCAGTTTCTAGAAACAATGTCTGGTTTGAAGTGTTATATTTCAAGATGTTGACAATTAGCAACAAACAATCGCTGACCGCTAAAGATCCACGTAGACCACCTTCTTCTTCGATGATTTTGAATAGTCTTTCAAAAATGTTTTCAAATGCCACCAATTTTTGTATATGCGTGCTATTGTTGGCAACAGCCATGAGAAGCAAGATTGCTTCGTCGCGGACTGGTTCGTGAATATCATCCAAAAGTGATACTAAAGTTGAAACGCCGATGGGTATCGAGATAATTGCTTCACGAGTTCGAGAGGGACGTGAAGCTACAAAAGCTTCTAGAAGTTGAACTGTATACAGTCTGATGTGAAAATGTTCCAACTCCAAAAGACGCACAAATAGATGCACCAATTCATCGGTTTGTGTCATGAAATCTGCTATCCATAGTGAAAACTGGTCTACAGATTCATGTTCTTGCTCCTGCTTCATGATAAGCGGCGACGGGTATTTCCCATTTCGAAGCCGCGACTCTTGTGAGATCCAATTGCGGGTCAGGTCTGCATTTCCTTCGCCTCGAATAAATAAGATTAGAAGTGTTTCCAAGATCGCCTTAACAGAATCCTCGTCCGCAACGTCTTTCTTGAGCGTACTTATCAGCGGCTTTAGTCCAGAAGCAATTACCGCTTCTCTATAGCCCCTGCTGAAAGACTTGAGACCTAACACCGCGGATCGTCTATCACTCAGTAGTGTAGCATTTTCGACTCGATCACATAATGTCGGAATAGTGTCATCTACGGACTGGGTTTTTGGCGGTTGAATAAGGCCTTGAATAAGCTCCATGTGGCACCTCCTCTTACACCTCAATGGCTCTCGACTTCGATCAAAATTCCGGAGACTTCTGTAAATTTTGGATTTGATCGAGTATTATGATTGTTTTTTAATTACCATTATTTTTGACGGCATATGATATTTCGACGACTGTGGATCGGGAATTTGAGGAAAGGTTGAAAAGTAGGACTTAAAACTGGTCTTTCACTTTGAGTACTGATTGATGTTTCTGAAAGTTCTTAATCTCTATAGTCAGCTTATATAGTTGGTATTTGTTAGTTGAGCGACTTACTTACGTGCAGATGAGTGCCTCGTTAACTAATTTGACGTACGATGGAGCCACTTATGAAACAGGGCCTGGTGTGGAAGAACTGGAATTCGAAGAACTACAGGTGGTGGAAAAATGGCTCAACAGACCAGCTAGCGCGTGGGCCGTACAAAGAATTGGCGTTCTGCAATCGAAGATAGAATCATATACCTATAAAATATACCATAGAAGCCGGTACGGCAAACATCCGTTAGCCAAGCTGATACCGGCTCACATACTTGTGCAGTATGCGAACGAGGCGCTTGGCTTCGACGGCTGGTCTCTAGAAGTCTTGGATATCCACGTTACCAGCTGCAGAGCGGTTTTAGCACAGGATACAGCCCAGGAACAGTGCGAACCGCGTCATGAGGTACTTACGGAGGCCAAGGTTCGTGTCAAATTGAAAGACGGCACTAACACAGAATCCTCTGGTTTTGGGAAAGCTGCAGCCACTTCGAAAGGTGAAAGTTTCAGCAGATCCAAAAAAGAGGCCGTTAATGACGCTTTCAAGAAATGCTTTCTGCAGTTTGAAGCTATCATCCTAAAACATGAACAGCGGGTTTCGGACAACTATTACGTAGACGGGCTCTACGGTTCCAAGTCCAAAAACGCCCCAAACAGCCGAAATTAACTGTGTACTCTATGCAATTTGATGAATATTTAGAAATCAATTATATGCCTGGTGGCAAAGTCCTTTATAGTTGGTACAGGAATTACCGGAACATGATAGACGTTGCCCTCTTCGTCGATTCTTTCTCTGTCTTTCTCACTGATGGTGTAAATCTCAATGACGTGCTCTTTCAGCATATTCATGACCTCATCATAGTGTTTTTGAATTTGGTGAGCTTCCTCCTTTCTTCCACGCCTCAACAGCGCTTCAATCAACTTGACGGCGTCAGCTTGTGTTTGAGTCAATCTGTCTATCAATCTACCAATAGATTGAACTAAATATTCCTCTTCATAGATAGTTCCCTTCTTACCACGGGCGCGTTTGCGCTCCTCACGACGTTTATTCTTCGCTGTACGTCTGGAGGCTCCCGTCTTAGCAGTTCCGCCGGTTTTGCCGGTATACCGTGTAAAAAAGGACTCCTTAGTCGACGTTTCTGAGGCAGCAATTGAGATATCGTCAGCCTGTTCTGTTTCCTCTCCATAGAAGGCATAAGGATCCTCATCCTTCTTCTGTCGTAGTTCGCGCAGTCTTTTTAATTGTGAAGTTACCTGGCCTTTACAGTCAGCAATCAGCTCTGCAACAGTTCCAAATCCATCTCCCAGTGCTGGGCCAAGGACTTCATCTATCAGTTGAGGAGATCCATGTGTAGCTCCCACTAGAGCAGCCTTCTCAAAGAAAAACGCCTTACAATACAGCTGCATGGCTTCTTTGGTATTGCTCAAAAAATTCAGCTCGATTTCAGCAGCATCAGCGTACTTGTGATCAAACGACAAGGCAGATACTAATTGCTCAGCGACCTCGGGTATTTTTTCTCTGAAATACAATGAGGCAAGCGTTAAGGCCTCATTCCACTTTTTACCTAACGTGTAGGCCTCCAGTGCCAGCTCGAATTGACCCAACATTTCATGAATGATGGCTGCCTCTCCATATTCTTGCTTCGACGATAAGTGTGGAGCGAAAACGTTGTAAACAGCATTTTGCTTCTCAGCTTCATATCTAAACAGAGCCAAGGCATATTGATACAAGTCGTGACCTTGGATATAGTCAATAATGTTGTCCGAAAGACCATTCGAATCTTTCTCGACTTCGGAAAGGTGATTTAGAGCTTTTTCATAACGCTTGAGGTGATCATCAATAACAAATTTGCGCATTAGTGGTTCTTGTTCATGAAGGCTCTGCAGGAATGGTAGGTACTCTCGAGGGTCCATCTGGGATTTCTGAGCAAATGCAAGTGTGAGTTTGACGTCGTACAAAGACAAAGCAACCTTGTAAAGTACGTTTACATCGTGCAAAAAGCATAAGTAGGTCAAGCATGATTCCTTTTTATCATCCTCGTCAAGTGATGGAATCAGAATCAGTACCTCTTCTAAATTGGGAGGGTTTTGACATGCATATGCTGTTATGATTGACTGCAAATACTTGTTCTTGTACTCTGCATCACTCATAAAAATTTCCAGTAAAGCGTTGCATATTTTGTTGACTTTAGATTTCTTTGGATCAAACATTTTCTTCTTCATATAGTTTTCCATCTCGGTCAGCGGTTGTGGTGTGGTTTCAAACGATTGGTCCATTGTTATACCAAGAGTTTCCCGGTATTTGGTGGCCGCCACATCTTCCTCCATCAGGCAAGATATGAAAAGGTCCAAATAATCACCCCTTTCAATGTCGTCAATAAAGTGTTTCAAATTCTCAATGAAAAGTTCAGGAGCATAATCATGAAGAATGTCTAAATGAATTCTGTGAGTTCTGCAGGTTACTAACGCATCGTGATACCGTTTTGCCAAAATGTCCTCTCTTATGCCAGCCAAAACCATAATTCGGGGACAGATTACTTCCAAATTACCACGCGCCGCTTGCAGTACAACTGATGATTTCGATGGAATGGCGGTCACCAACAGAGACCCTCTTTCAATGGCTCTAATCCTCTCATCGTCAACGTTTTCTAAAACAACGGGTAGTGGCTTGAAGTTGGTAGAGTTAAGATGAACAAATTGTAAGTTGTGCTGAGCAGTAGTGAACATCAAAAATTTGTCAGTAATCTCCATTGAGGTCACTGTGCTAGTAAGTAAAACATCATTAGCGTAAAGCTTACCATTCGCAGCAAGTCCAAACGCTACAAGTTCAGAATCTTCAATTATGCCACTTGCATTCGCACCTGTCGAGTTCTCGAGTCTCTTGACTCGAATATCCCGAACAAGTTGGGGAAACTTGACTATTTCGGTGATTTGTCCCTCTTGATCTAATTGAAAAACCCGAGAGTCTTTGGTCTCATAAACCATGTAGTTGTATTCGAAACCAGAACGTAGTAAAACAACCTTGTTCATAGTTTCAACAATGCTGAGAAGTGATGGTTGTTGCACGTCTGTCACATCTATCAGTGCAATACGAGATAAGTTATTGGCATCCAGTAAAACACCCACCACGTTATCGTTAATGAACGCAACCTGCCGTAAGTTATCATATTCGGTTGCAAATAGTGACTTGGGAATGCTAGAGGACGTACATGGATGCAGACCCCTCTTCATGTCCTCGAGACTAGGAACGCCAGCCAATATTAGTTCTTCTTTAGTAGTGACAATGTACAACTCGTTCGAAAGACTAGTAGCGGCATCTAAAACAGCATCCGGCGCCTCAAAATCTCTATAGTACATGGGAGGGGGAACGTTCGCTATACCCAGAGGTGAGATATTAAGCGTGCAGCCGTCAATCACAAGAACAGTGCCCGAATCGCAAGGCCCTAGAGTGGGGCCTAATGCAAGTTTATAGGCGAAATCAACAATATTAACGCAGTTTTCGTCCCCAAACATAAGGGTGAAATCCTTTTCGGGATGCCATCTGACAAATTTGATATCTTGTGCATATATTTCTTGCTTCAAATACCAATGATAGTTTTTTGTAGTCCATAGCATGATTTTATTAGAGAGAACGATCGCTAGCACTTCTGAATTAGAATTCCAGCTTAAAAATTTGACTTTATCTTCTAGCGGCAATCTTGTATCGAATTCGCCGTGTCTTAGACCATTTCTTTCGAAAAATATGAGGTTGATAGCTTCCTCACCTGGAACCCGATCCTTTCGTTGGATAGAGGCAATTAAAGAACCTTGAGGCTTCCAGCTCAGAAGGTCTTCTTGACCGTCTACGGGTTCTGACGCACTGTCCAGTTGTCCTTCACGAGAAAAAACTCTGAGTGCTCTTCTGTGCAACCTTTCTTCATTTTCTTCTGCGATATCTTCGATTGCGGACACCACAAAATATTCACAGTCGCCCCTCCATGATATAGATGTTCTCCCTGAATCCATGGCGCCTAACTCTCCGCTATCAACCACGTAAGGCATAGTTGGATCTCTCAATTCATTTCCCTTGAGGCCAGATGCCTTTAAGCTTTCGAGAGCTTCTCTTTCCATAGCACGAGCACCCTTACCTCGAAATTGAGTTTCCTTCTTACCCCACCCCACATTTACATGTTTCGACATTCTGAGATCGTCACTTGCCAATTTGTACTCTGTGATCGGCTCAAATTGTCTACTCAGCAAAACAATATTACGTTCCATTGTTGCTAAAGCCAATGTCTCTTCGTCGCACGACCATTCGGCAGCGGCAATGCCCCCATCGATAGAGCCAACAATCTCTACCATTGAAACAGATAGATCAAAAGATATTGGGTCATATGTCGCTGTCACAATATCGCCTTGCGCCATCACAAATACAAGTTGACTGAGGTCCGCAAAGTGCGCGAACGATAGTAATTCGTCGTCGAAGGTTTGTATGTTGAAAGATGCTAGAACATTACAGCTACCATCTTTCATGTACTGGTGTACTTCCAACGCGCCTATTTGTAGATCACCTGTGGCGCATGTAATGCTGTCAGACAAAGTATCGAAAACGCTGGCATACAATTTAAGGTCTGGTATTTGAGTTGAGACTGGCCGAAACCGACCTCTGTTGAGAGTAATCAAGTTACGCATCTTTCAAGTGACGCTAATAACGACTAGCTTTGAGAAAGTGCCAATTCTTCATTCTCAATTTCACTACTATGAAGTTCATGCGATGAGAGAGATTCCATAAAAGTATTGAAAATTTTGCATCACTTTTGACGAGCATGATAGTTATCATTGGCGTCTATTCGCGCGAAGACACTAGCAGGGTTTCAGGCCTCTGCCAATTTCTCCATTCCGTTGTGGAATAAGTTCGCTTATTTGCTTTTTCAGCTTGGGTATCTGTTCCTGCTCTAATTCTGCCACCCGTGTATAATAGTAGTAGTTGGCCAAGGTTACCACAGTGACTGGTGCGTTTTTATCGGGCAAGCCCTTATTGAACAGGCTTCTCACAATACCCTTTAGTGTTCGCAGCTGAAGCCCACTCAAACCTGAAGCGTAAAGCTTTACTAACCGGTGCGTATTAAACTTTGTCAAAATTATGTCATCAACAATGGGTTCCTGTAGTAAATCATCCAGTTTTAAACTCTTGTCAGCGTGAGAGAGCTCTTGCTGTCGATAAAGCACTATTTGAAGTAATAATAGTGCAACATTTGCTTTAAGATCCATCTCTAGTTGTTTTCTTAGAAATTAATATAAAGACATCGATTTGGAATCCTTTTTTGAACTTCTTGATAATTCGAAAATCTACAATTAAAAGCTCCGATAAAAACCCCTATTCAAGTCTACGAGGTTCAATGGGTATGTTTCTGGTATTTAAGTTTAGCGCTGTCTCACAGCTACTAACTTGTCTCTTTTGATTTGTTGTAGATAAAGCGATCGTGAAGGGTTTAAACGACAAGCTTTATGAGAAACGCAAAGCAACAGCGTTAAACCTTGAGAAGCTTGTGAAGCAATGTTTAGCAGAAGGAAATTACGAGCGTGTTGATCAGATTCTCGATGAGCTTTGCCGTGATTTTGCATACGCCTTGCACCAGCCTATGGCCAGAAATGCTGGTTTAATGGGCTTGGCAGCAGGAGCTATAGCTCTGGGTTCGACGGAGGTAGGGCGTTATTTGGACCGAATCTTGCCACCTGTTTTGGCTTGTTTTGGAGACCAAAATGATCAAGTGCGCTTCTACGCCTGCGAGAGTCTGTATAATATTGCAAAGATCGCCAAGGGTGAAATTTTGGTTTATTTCAACGAGATTTTCGACGTACTGTGTAAAATCAGTGCCGATACAGAGACCTCGGTTAGAGGAGCCGCTGAACTTCTTGATCGGCTAATAAAGGACATTGTAGCAGAACGAGCCTCTAATTACATCAGTATTGTGAATAACGATCCTAAAGACCTTCCGCCTTCCACGCGCACCGATCCCCAAACAGGTGAGGTTTTGCAAGAAGAGTATAACCAAGAACCAGAATATGCCTTCTCTCTACCCAAGTTTATTCCGCTTTTGACTGAAAGAATCTACGCAATAAATCCAGATACAAGAATGTTTTTAGTTTCGTGGCTTCAAGTACTGGAAAACATACCTGATCTTGAACTTATATCGTACCTTCCCTCGTTTTTGGGTGGACTATTCACATTCCTTGGTGATTCTCATAAAGATGTAAGAACTGTCACGCACTCTCTCTTAGATCTTTTACTCCACGAGGCACAACACATATCTGAAGTCAAGGCTCTTGCTAAAAAGAAGCTGATGGATAAAGCGCAAAAACGGCTTGTCTCGGAGGAGACGTCTGCTAAAAAGCAAGATGGTCTTTTGATTAGTGAAAGAAAGAAATCACTGCTGACCGCCTTTGAACAGCTTGCCATGATAGACCCATCCAGTCCTATAAAAAGCCGGGTTTCTTCAAACGGAGATGAAAGCAAGACGAATGAAGCAACTGCTGCGGTGGAGGAGAACTCGGGTGTGAGCACTACTGATATTCTTGAGTCCTTGGATTCGCGCAACGGGGACTTGTACTGTCCCGGGCAGGATATCCATTTGGATTATCCCAAAATCATTGAGATTTTGATTAATACATTAGGCTCTTCGGAACCAGAGATTCAACTAGTAGCGTTGACATGGATAGAAACAGTTTTAGACATTTGCCCCTTGGCATTTCTGCCTTTCTTATCAAGACTGCTGTCGTTGCTTTTGAAAATACTGAATGATGTTGATCATAGAGTGAGAAAGTTGGCTCAGACAGTTAATGGGAAGTTGATTGATTTGACAGGAAAACTTGATTACAAAGATGAACCGGAGGCTATAAACTACGGTCCCATTGTCAACACACTGACCTTACATTTTTTGGACAGTGATGTAGTTGCCAAAGTTGCTTGCCTGGATTGGCTGATACTCATTTATCAGAAAGTTCCTAACCAATTGCTAGAGCACAGTGATAGTACTTTCCTAACATTGCTAAAATCTCTTTCAGATAAGGACAACCAGCTGGTTTCCAAGGCATTACACCTGTTGAGTGATCTCTGCAATAATTCTAATGAAGAATATTTCAAGAAGTTTATTAGAGATCTATTACTGCTATTCAAGAACGACGGGAAGCTATTGAAAACTAGAGCAAATCATATTTTCAGACAACTTGGAATCAAACTTTCATCTGAAAAAGTCTACAATGTGGTCTCGTCTATTTTAGAGGGAGAGGAAGACATTTTATTTGTACGCATGATGATACAAATTCTAAACACCAATTTGATAACCGCTCCGGAACTCGAAGGTCTCAGAAGAAAGCTAAAGGCAGGTACTGACAACGAATTTTTTTCTTGTCTCTTCAAGTGCTGGTCACACAATCCTACATCTTTGCTTGCATTATGTTTGTTGGCAGGCAAGTACGAATTGGCATATTATATTCTTCAAACCTTCGTAGAATACGAAATTACAGTGAACGATCTTGTCCAGATTGACATTCTCGTTCAATTATTAGAATCACCGGTTTTTACCAGCTTAAGGCTTCAACTACTGGAACAAGAACGCTATCCATATCTTTACAAGTGTCTTTATGGGATTCTTATGGTTTTGCCCCAATCCAAAGCCTTTCAAATACTTAACACAAGACTGAGCAGCGTTAGCACATTGGCTGCTAGAAAAGTTCCTCCGAGCCCGTTCTACAAGGTAAATGATAGTTCAAGTAACTTGAGTGAGGCATTATCATCAGAATCGCTCAACTCTCCAAATTCATTTCACCAGAAAAGAACTAGATTTCAAGGCCTTCTAGATCACTTTAGGAATGTATGCGAGGTCGAGCTAAGCTCGCCAAAATCTACTTGTGTTGAAGAAGTGCATTTTGCACTTTTAGATCATGTTTTAACTCCCGAGCCTGTTTTCGGAAACACTAGCCAATCTCGCGATAGAAGTGAAGACGATAACAACGACACTGAATCTGTTATTTACCGTGGATAATAATCAAGAAAAACTTCAACGCTTAAAGTACAAGCGAGGTCGCATCAGTACTTGACATTTCAAGCTATGTATGATGTACTTTGGTGTGTGATTTGATCATGTTCTTTGTGCGCTCTTCTGATGGCATGCCGCTTTGAATCCATCTCTAGCTTTTTTATATGAGTAATAGGCATCCATTTGTACTAGTACCTCGCCTTTAAGTAAAAGCTCGAGTGCTGCAAAAGTTATATATACGTAGCAAGCGGCACTCGAGAAGACAAGTGAGTGCTATCTTTGGTTATAAAATAAACTCGCACCCAGTATTGTCTCATCTCATAATCAATCGATTTACTGTCGAAATGTGTACGATAATAGCCAAATTTGAGCTGAAGCAAAACTTGGAAAATGTTCACTGTAGAAGTTCGTCTCTGAAATGGGTTTGAAAGTTGCTCCTTCTGGTCTCGGTGCGAATCTTGCGATTTATGCTTTGCCTTTCGAGTTGGTGAACGTTTTTGTCATTCTTCCTGATCGTTTTATCAGTAACACCGCCCAAGAATCTCCGATCCCCGACAGCTAGGGTCCTATTTCCATCTGAAGCATCCGGTGGGAGTGGTAGATTTTGCCGGTAAAACCTTCGCATTGAGCGATGCCCCGCCCTTACTCCAGTTGGCAAAGTGAGCTCGACTCCGGTGTCATCGACTTCTGCTAGCGCGTAATTGGAATTCATGTCCACAGTTAAACTTGAGTGTGCCGTATCAGTGTCATCGGGAGTTATAGCTGCCACATCTGCATCTGCATCATCTCCAGTAACTCTAGTATCGCTCTCTTCTTCTTTATCGTGGATGTTATTGTCTGCTAGGGAGAAATCGTAAAATTGTGAAAACTTTGCTCTTTCTTCTTTTGTTTCATATGGTAGTCTAGCGTGGCTCTTGGAAGATATGTGAGCGCGGATACTTTCAAGACTGGTTCCTTGAAAAGAACAACATAAGCACCGGTTGGCTATAACTATCAGGTCTATTAGATCATCAAGTAGACCCGGCAGATCTATCAGGAAGGACGGTTCGGGGATGTAAAGACCATGGGACCGGAACATATGACTAACGTTGCGTTCGATGTCCTTATGCTCAGCAGTACAAAAAATACAATCTGTAGCAGAAGGCCGCTCTTCGGTCCCTTCATCTTCGGTTCCTTCATCTTCGCCAGCTTCGATTTCGCTGGTCTCGTAATCACTGGAATGGTATTCGCTGTTGGAGTCTGTTGTGAATCCATTTCCGTATGATCTTTCGTCGTCGAAATCGGTGCTGTTAAGAGACATTTTGGACATTTCTGACGTCACTGAAACGGCTGGTGACACAGACCTAGCATGGTTGCGACTAACTTCGACGTTGTCAAACTGGCGTCCCCTCTTTTTCTTGAGTTTGGTTTTAACACTTGAGCTTTTCTTTTGGTTATATTGCGAATCTTTTGACTTCAAGATCGGAAATCCAAATTCATCAACTTGATTGAGCTCTTTTTCTTTCTCCGAAAGTTGTACCTTCTCAGCAAAGAGATCGGCAGGAATCGGCCCGAGCTGGGCTAGTTTGCGCTTTAAGTTATATCTATGCCATTCAGTCTTCATATGATACCTTTGTTGGTCACTCGACCGAAACTGAATCAAACAAGCATTGCAAGTGAAAACATAAGTCATCTTTTATAGGGTTTACGCGTATCAATTGGTACAGGTCCTCTAAAAAGACTAAGGGTTTTTGACGAATGTTTGTGAGCAAGGCAATTCCTAATCTTCTTTTTTTCAAGATGACAAACTGCAATAAAACGATAATGCGAAGAGTTTGCTCAAAAAGTTTCCTTGAGATGCTCTACATTCTAGTGTCGAAAGCGCTTTCTACCATGGCCTACAGTAGAAAAGGCGATGGACTCGAGCATCTTCACACCCACTTGCAGTCTTCCGCTTGCAGTAAAATTTCGAGTAGTCTATCTTTTCTATTAACTACATGCTCCGCGTACATACTACTAAAAGTCCAAAGGCTGTGAAGTGCGAGGCCATACCCTCTTAAACAACGACATTGCCACAACGTCTTGTGCGGACAATTTTCCGTCAAAAGTGGCTTTAAAATATCCGTGAGTGCCCAAACTTTCCTTGATAAACCCAGATCTACCGCTCTTTGTGAAAAGTGGGATAGACTTGAACCATTCGACATCCTCTGGACGGAAGAACATGTAACGCACTGTAAGGACGTTCTTGTGGAATCTAAAAGGATCACCAGTAAGAACGGTTCTTTTGCTGATGATACGGTTGTGGTCTGCGTTGAGGAAAGAGCCATGGCCCACAAATGTGATTCCTTTAACGTCTTCCGGACAATCCTTGAAGAATAAAGCTGGGGATTGGGTGAAGTCGACTGGCGCAATACAGGTAGCAATCGAGGCCGAATCCTGATGTAGAAATCTCTCAAACTTGTGTACGTTGTTAGGTGTATTTGACGTGGATGAAAACAAAGGTTGAATCTGATACCTCCTCACGCCATATTGAACAAACAAGTTCTCCTTCGATGGGACGGGATCTTCGAAGCCCTCCCATCTTTGAATAGTAAAGTTCACAAGTGCATTCTTGTGTTCGTGCTTCAACAGCCCGTAAACGGCAAACACTTGTTGGCGAGGATCTTTGAGTTTTGTTAAAAGACCCTTGGCCATTTTGATATGCAATCTGATACGATCACCAGCAATAACCTCAGCGCCTTTTATAGCGTCTTTCGTAACCTTATTTCTGGTACACGTATAATTACCAATTCTGAGTAAGCGTTTCCATTCTGGGGTAGCGTTAGGATCGTATTCATTTACATCCCAGACACAGTTATGTAGGTTCTTCAAGCCTCTGTATCTTTTGAGTCTTTCAACAGCAGACTGGGAAGGATCTAGTTCGATTTCGTCAGGGAATTCTCTATCTTCTTTTTCAAGAGCTCGATATTGACTGAATTGGAATTCTTCTTCTTCGGGAGACAAATCGACAAACATCTCGTCGTCGACAGTTTCTTCGACTTCCTGGGGGGCCTGTTCATCTATTTGTTCAATATTGTCGCTCTCATCAATTACCATGTCAGCATCATTTGCATCTATCAACTCTTCCTCATCTGCAGCTTGAATCACATCATCCAAGTACCATCTTGCCTGGTAATCAGAAGTGCCCCTAGGGACCTTTGTCTTTTTTATTGGCTGCTCTCTGCTTGGCAAAAAGCCATGGTCGTCGTAACGAGCTGCGGTTAGGTCGTCGTATTGGAAATCCTCATCATCAGACTCAAACGCGGTGTCCATATCCTGTGGTGCATATTCCTCTAAAGTGTCTTGTTCTGCAGTCGGTGTGAAATTGGTGTTTAGATCGATGTCTAATGGGTCAGATTCAACTTTCTTTTGACGACTAGCTCTTCGGTTGGAATCGGCGACCTTCTCAATCTGGGATATTTGGAAATCACCTAAACCTGGAATATGAATCAAACGATTGGCATCAAAACCAATGCCTCGGACTGTTCCGTCTACAATTAAGATGCCGCTTTCTGGATCGCTATCGTCCGTGGATTCTGAAAAATCTACGCTGTCCGCAATCATGTAGCCTCTGTTGTCTCTCCAGCTAACCTGTCTGGGGTATCTTTGACACAAAGTACGAAGAGCATTGAGGGCTTCGGAAGGTTTTTCCAAGTTGAAAAGGCGATCTTCGCTGGGGAAAAAGTGCTTGAAGAAACTCTCGAGCGACTGTTTAAGGTCAAGCTGAAACTTCTCTTTTGGTTGCGACTGTGATAGGTTTGGGACACAGCCCATGTAGGAGGAAATTCCCTGTAGCTCAACTGCACGGATGACCTGCTCTCCAAACTCAGTATCAACCTCAGCGGCACCGCTAAGGCCAAAGACAGTGAAGTCGGCAACTTTGGTAGCATCGAGGATGCTGAAAAAGCTGTTCATGTCTGGAATGACAAATTTAAGGTTGGCTCTGAATTTCTTGATGGGAACGTTGAACACGCAGGGTGTGGGTGGTACTTGAAAAACGGCCTCGGGGTCTTCCAGCGACGGCGACACAAGACGCGCTACTAGATCCGCAACGTCCACGTCCGGAGTCAAGGGCACCACTGCGATGACCTTCTCAGCACCATTGGAGCCCTCAAACAGCCGACGCACTTCGAGTGCGTCCATCATTTTCTGATCCCGTGCTTGTCTGGCGGTATTTTTGCGCTGCAGTTTCGAGACTCCCTTGCTGAGCCGCTGCTGCTGCTGCGATGCGGGCCCTGTTTTTTCTACTTTGCCTTTGTACATGTTTTTTAGCGCACCTTTCGAAGCATGCTTAGATTTGAACGGCTTGTGGCCGTTTTTGACCGACGATCTATGGGAATGTCCTGCCATGCCACTGTATATCTTTTTAAGTGCGTCGAAGCTGTCAGAAAAATAGCTATAGTTCCCTCGCTTAGCCTCTAAATATCTGCTGTTGTCTGAACTTGTCTCTAGTAGGTGCGATGCGATGAGCTTTTCAACCATGCCTGCGTCTAAAATTTTCCAAATCTCATTAGGGCTAGATATTTCAAAATCAGGGCTTCAAATATCAGTCGTGACTGCTTGTCACCACCACCCGTAAATTTTAGAGAAATGACTTTTTTAAAGTATTTTTTGAATTTTCTGCTCGTATTACAAACAAGTACATCTTCTCGTCGACCCACGCAAATTTCAACTCTTGAAAAATTCACCAGAAACTCCCGCGGCGTGAGTGAGGCGGTGAGCGAGGGCAGTGTGGCAAGCGCCAGAGTAACTAACCCACAGACTGAGAATACTGGGAACTTCACCATTCTGGATATAGGCTTCTTGATATTTTGTAATTTGTAGGTTGTTCGCACGGATAGATCAGATTCACAAGACATATCGCTAAAAGTATGTTTGAAATGGTGCTATAAGCTAGCAAGATGCGGAGGAGGGGGACAACAATGAAAACGAAAGACGAGGATGAACGTGGTACACATGAGAGCGCGCAGAAACAGAGCTGGGACGATGAATAAAACCTTACACCTGGTAGATGGGAATCACAGCGCCAGAACCACGCTGGCATTTGGGGGAGGAGGTTGATTCCAGCGCATTCTGCGGGCGCAGAGCTTAGAGCTCATACAGTTTCGTCATAATGCATCATCAGTCCGGAACCCGCTTCAGCTCTATAACCGGCGCTTGCGCTGTTCTTGCAACTGGACTTTATACTAACATCTCGCTGCAGCAACATGGCTCACGAAAACGTCTGGTTCTCTCACCCAAGAAACTTTGGTAAAGGCTCTCGCCAATGCCGTGTGTGCTCTTCCCACCAGGGTTTGATCAGAAAGTACGGCTTGAACATCTGCCGTCAGTGCTTCAGAGAAAAAGCCAACGACATTGGCTTCCACAAGTACAGATAAATGGCATGCGCTAGGTGTGTGCGTGTTTTTGTCTCCGGGGGGTAGTCCAGTTTGACGAGAGTTGTACGTGGTCGTGAACAATCTTTCTATTGGAAGATACTCTTTTCGCCACTCGTTCGACCTTTGTTCAGTTGGGCCTTCTCCAGGAACCAAGCGCTATATCGAATTCAACTGTTTAGGCATTAAGAATAAAAAAATAAAACCCTACTCTAAATACGTGTATTTTCTGTTAATGTTTAGTGTATTGTAAGGGCCCGATGTTCGAGAAAGCTAACACGCTGCGGCCGGTGTGCACACTGCTCGTCTTTTTCACATTCGTTTGCATTACGCTCTACCGAAATCAGCAAAACGTAGAACCTTAACTACAATGGCTCAAAAATCCCCCGGCACATGGTTGTTAGCCTGACAACTAGTTGTTATAAGGACGATGGAGAGGTTATTGCATCAATACCTAACACAAGACGTAACGACACTATAGTCTTATATTATATCAAATAGTGGATGCCCCGCCACAATTCATTTGTAGCACTCTGTTTAGTCAATGGTTAGCTCTTACAACGCCTCTACGTCTGTAAGTCGCGAATGAACAGAAAGTAACTTAGAATCTAGCTCGAACTAACGCTGCATTTCCATTTAATAACTACAGAATTATGCATAGAGCTGCATTTGACCACGTAGGAAAACAGAAATACAGTGTTCAATTGTTTGCAATGTACCAATTCTGTGCTAACCTAATCCTTCCTCAAGTTACTTTACACCAGACATGCTAACGGACCTGTATCTATGTCAAATGCCAACCCCATCTAAGGTATGCGATTTCTCGAAAAGCGACGCTTACCCGGACCCCTTAAACTTTTCTGTATAAAAACCCAATCCTTGGGCCTCTTCCATCCACTGAAGATATCACTTTTGTTTCCTTCTTTCTCTCCTTGAATCAAAAATGCACGGAAACGATGCCACAGTTAGCTTTGTCTGTCTTCTAACAGCTGTTAATTGCCAATATTCCATCTCTTAATAATGATTTGGAATATGAGTTTCCCAGATCAACACAAATGACTGGATTTTAGGAAGTTCGCGGTCCGTGATCCCCTCTGGGACGATAGACCGGGAATGTCGAAGAAAGGCTACAAATTTAAAATCCGTAAACCAAAATGCTTAGTTCTGCTGGCATATGTAGCGAAGGAATCAAATCTCTTGAACACTTCTTGCGAAAATAGAATTATATATGTCACTCGCGCACGCAGCACTGCTACTCTGCTACAAGACCTGGCGTTATTTTTCGTCTTTTGACTGAAGCGCCAAGCTGTTTACCGGGAGCACTAGCCACTGCATCTGACATTCGATGCTAGGTATAATGGGATCTCTATTCTGAGACTGGCGTGCCTTTTGGCAGTTTGATTATTGTATTGAAAAAACAGTAAAGTTACTAAGATAATACTTGGAACTCGTCATTGCATGCGAAAAGCTTCAGCTGGCATGAAATACAATCACAATTGCTCAATGCTCAACCAGATTTCAATTTTATCTGAAAAGTACTTTTTTTATTTATATCAGTTGCCTAGAGCTTGGGCGTTACTTCTAATTCTTGGAGTGGCTGGCGCACTGGCGCTAAACTCATTGTACTTTGGAAGCGCCCAATGTCTCTAATCAGTTTCCCAGTTGGGTAATTCTCCACGAAATCTCTCTTCTCAGCGGCTTCATCTTGAACCTGAGACTTCAAGTGAATCACTAACTTAGAAGACTCCTCTGACATCACGTACTTGCGGTAAAATTCCAAAATTTCTGCTTTGGTCAACTTTTCAACCAGGGAGGCTTTTCTCTCCTTGTGCACAAAGTTGTAATCGCCAATGTAAATAGCAGTACTGAACCTCACGTATTCTTCGGACAAGTTTTTGTACTTCTGTAATAGGGTTTTGCAAAGCGCGCTTTTATGTCTGCCAAACTCCTCTTCAGTCATTGATTCTAAATCGTTTTCAGTCTTAATCAAAAATGCTTCAACTCTAGATTCCAGGTACGCCGTATCGCGTTCAGATTGGATTAAAAGTCTCAAATTAGTAGTACCGTGTGTATTCAAGGCAGAGCTGAAAACAACGTATCCTAACTGTTCCTTAGTCCTCAAAGTATCAAAAGCAGGCTCGTCGATCAATTGAGCCAATAGTGCTGCTTTTGCAGAACGCTCCTCAGAGTAAACGCCAAATTGGGTAATGTGCTGAATGCACGAGTTGATATTTTTTTCGTCCGCTAGCGTCTGTTCGAAACGGAACGTTTTGCCTCGTGGCAGCAAGATTGATCTGGGTTTTATGCTTTTTAATTTAACGGCTTGTATATCGACTGGGGCCAATACCTTTACCAAGTCGTCAATTTCGATGGCAACGTCGTTGTTGAAATTACCGTGCACCAAGGTCTCGAAGAAAAATTGCTCGTAGATAGTAGGAATGAAATTTTTCAAATGAGTAAAGGAAAACTGTTTAACAACTTCTAGTTTTTCATTTATAGTCCAAGACCTCTCGTTGATGACTGAATTGTAAATATCTGAAATCTGAGAATATGGCACCTCGTACAGGTGGTTGTTAAGTTTTTGAATCAGTTTGTTTTGAAAAATCTTAAACCGGTCCTCACTTGGTTTGAAATTTGACACGCCCTCCAAGTAACGCGTGAGTAAAATCGCCATCTTTTGGTTGTAGCCGCTAAGCGAAATGTCTAGACCCTGGTTGGTTTTTCTAAACGAGATGTGCAAGTTGGCTACTTGCGCGTCATACTCTAAATCTTTCAAAGAGTCATTAACTAGATCAACGTAAAGCGTGGTGAGCATGCTGTTGACAACACTGGAGAAAGTATGAGGCAATTTCATTGAAACATAAACATGACCCTTAGGAACCCAAAACCTATCATCTCTTTTGTACCACAGCTTGCTCTGGCTATCGTTTCTGAGAAGCAAAGGCTCTTGTAAAGATTCTCCTGTTTCTAGTTTATCGACTTGAAAATTTGTAGAGATGAACTCATTGGGGCGTGGTAGATGTAGGTGGGGATTGAGCCCTGGATCCTTCAACTTGGACAAAAAGTTTTCAGAGTATTTGGCAACACTGTATTCGGTGCCGTACCATTTCTCCTCAGAGTCAGTCTCTACATTTTTGTGGATCAATGTCACGCGAGAGTTTTCTGGCTTCAGTTCAGCTAAATAGCTCGTGATTAAGTCGGGTTCGTATTTCCTCAATAAAGATGTGCTCAGAATATCTCCCGTTGGAATGAACTCTTTTTCAAGTGCTTTTGATAGTGCGGATACGGTAGAAGAGGGATTTCCCTTTTGTTTGAATTTGAAATTAGCTTCGGCGGTATCGCGCAGCTCTGTATAGATCCAATCTTGAGGAAGCTCTTGCTTAAGTAGTTCGATGTATTGAAACACGGAAAGAACAACCTGTTCGTAGTTCTCAATACCATTGTCTGTCAAATCAACGTCCACAGAAAAAAGCGCGTTACCTGTGGAAACCGTGTGAGCGCCTGCAGAAAGTTCATTAGCCCAGCCTTTCATCTTTAAAAAGGCTAAAAGTGAGCCGGATCCTTCATGGCCGATCAAGTGGCTCAAGTGGTGACTAGGCTTGGACTCCCAATGCATTTCGGAGTCAGGGGATCTGAAAGTTAATTCTACCTTTTTCAGATCTTTGACGGGCTTGGCGTGTATGACTTGAGTTAAGCAGTCCGCAGGCAGCATCTGGACTGGATATGAAGGCACCGGAAGATTTGAATTAGGGACGTCCTTGAATAGGTCATACACCCACTTAGACATATCGTCTAAATCTTCTCTCCCAAGTATACACAGCTTCATGAGATTTGCCGAGTAACAAGAGTTGTAAAATTTCAGTAGCTCATCTCTGATGTTCAGGCCGTTAAATTTTGGAGTGCTACCGAGAGTCGTCATATTACCGGTTGAAAACTTGTGAAATGGATGTTCGGTGCTTGTAAGAGATTTGTCAAGCTGATAAAGTCTCCACAAGTCACTTTGAAGGTTTTTTTTGTTCTCACTGTCGACAGCGTTGATCTCCTTGTCTGTAGAACTTTTGTTGAATGATGGGCAAGTAAAGAATCCTGAAAACCTGTCCAAGGCTCCATAGAGATTTTCATGGTTTACTTGAAAGAAGTAATTGGTGTTTTGAGAGCTTGTGTAAGCATTGGATCCTCCGCCATGCTTGCTCAAATAACTAGAGTACTCGTTTTCGTTAGGAAACTTTGAGCTTCCCATGAAGAGAAGGTGCTCGCAAAAGTGCGCAAGACCAGGTAAATATTCTGGATCATCGAAGGAACCAATATTAACATCCAAAGAAGCGGCAGATTTATCCGTTTCTGGATCTTGGATCAAAAGTGCTTTCAGGTTATTAGGCAAACTAATGAAACGGTATTTCCTGTCATCCAGAACCGGTTTCTTGAAATCAGTATTGTGATTTACGTAGGTGGACATGTTTACTTGAGTTTTCTTGGAAATTTTCGCTAAGCAAAAGGGTTCAACTGTCCTAAAAGGCTTCTGTATTGTGCAAACGACTGTAGAGCAATTCGAAAATACTCTGTTCATACAATAGAGCCCAGATATAGTGCGGGGATGAAGAAATCGAAAATCGGCCTCGTTAAAGCAGTTCCGATGCTAGTTTTTCAGTCTTACCTTTTCTGATGGCGTTGGACTTTTTCTAAGAAACTTAGCTGAAGTGAAAATAAAACTCAAATAACTTCGAGAGTTGATACTTCCCAAGCAAAATCGAGATCGGAAGATGGCAAGAATTCGGATGTTTGATGTGATTGCATTCTCTTTGGTGGGTTTTGTTGGTATCTACACCGGAACTCAGTTCTTTGAGCCCATAGTCATTGATAGACTAAGGAAAGATGGGCATTTGAGATCTGATGTGGAGATTCCCCAATATGACGATGAAGGGAATCCGTTATCACCTAAGTCAATGTTGGAACTAAGGCAAGAACTGGACAAGGTCCAAGAGCATCAAAAAGTAGAGCAGGGAAGCAAATCGGAGCAAGGATGATTTCAATGTGTGGCATTGAAAATTTAAGTGTGTTCTCTGTCTTGTTAATAATATCCTTGCAATATTTGTACCGGGTGCGCAAAATTGAGAGTCCAAGAACGACACATGTCACAGGAAGTTCGTGAGAGATCGAAAAGCCTATACAGACCTTTCAAACGACAGCACAGTAGTTGCTGTTAAATGAGCCCTCTTCACTAAATATTGTTATGTATCTGCTGATCTTCTGTCATGTGTGAGTTTCCACTCAAGTCTCGCAACGTTCATCTCGAGTGTGTGATGAAATTCTGAAAGACATGGTTCTTAGCGAAATCATGAAATTGTTAGGTTAATTTTTTAGAACAGCTGCTGGATCTGCTATGGTACGCTGGTACCAAACTAGCGCTCGATAGCTAAATACAATATTTCTTTTTTTATCATGCTAAGGCTTAACACTATTTGTTCTTTTTTGCTCTGTGTAAATTTCACACCTCCACAACATGCTAGAACGATAGTCAAAATCTTGATTATTACAAATTGTTTAGCTGTTTGAGATATGTCTGCAATTTCTCACATTTGATATTTGACAATACAAGGGGCTGAGTACGTTAGCCGCCCAAATCGTGGTATTGAACTGGTTGATCTTGATATTTCGTGCCAGCTGATAAAATTTCGCGCCATCAAAAAATTTGAGCTCATCTCATGGTTAAATCTTTTAGCTATCAAGAGCCTTCTGCGACCTCAACCTTCCTAACCATTGAAAGCTACGGTAAAAAGTATGGGAAAATCTAAAAGAAGATCCAAAGCGTCTAGGTTTAATTCAGCACCACTGGGAAACAAGAGCAAGTCAACAGTGAAAGATGAGGCCCTAAGCGCTAAGAAAATACAACCTCTTTTAAAACAGCTTCAGAGTGCTGTTCCAAATGACAGGGCTATGGCACTTGGTAGTATTACAGTCTTGTGTGAAGATCCGCACATGAGAAAACTTTTTCTGAAAGAAAAGTTGGTACATATAGTTTTGAGTAGACTACTCTCTGACGACAACATGGACATCGTGGTTGAATCACATGGACTTCTCAGAAACTTAGCGCTCGACGAAGGCTATGATGTGTGTGCTTTTCTATGGAGATCCGACATGTGGACTAGTATAATATCTGGATTTGCAAAATTGCAAAAATCTCTAGAATGGGCACAATCTAATACTGCTCCCACAAACGAGACTATGCGCCAACTTTATGAATTTGGTGACAATTTGCTTTCTCTAATAGTTGCATTGGCAAATGGATCCGACAATATTCTAGAGGATATTTTGAAGACGAACAAATTACAAGAGATTTTTGGCATCATTCATTTGATCTTAGAGTATGGCCTTTCGAAAATAGACGGAAAAATGAGCTTGAAAATATCCGCGTCACTTTTCAATACTATTCTAGACCTACTCTATGATTTCAGCTCTGATTCGGTAGAGTTTATTGAAGCTGTGAGTCAAGATCCGTACTTATCTGAGTTTGTGAAAAGATTGCCCGATTTACAACTATCTGCCGCAAATGAACTGAGTACAGTCCTTACTCAAGGAATCTATCTTCAATTTTTGGATCTTGATTTGACTCAGGCACAAGCCAATGAAATTATAATAAAAGCATGTTCAGCCATTGAATCTATTGACTTAAACCAAATGCAGAAATGCTTATCTAGTACAGAATTTGACAATGAGCTGGTAAACTCTCCTAATGATCAAGTCTCTGGTAAAATCAAAGAATTTGCTAAACAACGAGCATTAGCCTGTGTGCACTTGCAAAGTATCGAAGTAACTCTTGATATCATTACTGCATCGCTGGAAATAATTGCCGCCAAGTTTGGAGATAGAAATGTTCCGTTGGATGATGAGCTTCTAAAAACCCTGACCGTTTCTCTGCCTGTTGTTTTTCAGTCGCTTTTCGAAGAGTTCAAATCTCGCGTTCTTATCGCTTGGAATAATATGCTATGGCTTTACTTGACACTCCGAATCAACTTTTTTGTATTGCCCAACAACATGTGGCAACAATTGTGGGGCTCACTATCAATGTCGAGCTCAGAGGAAAACAGCGACTTCGGCATAAAATTGGGTAAATTGGGTGTTACGTGGGCTCTGCTGAAAACATTACAGTTGCAAGAGAATCAAACTTTACTATTAACTGATTTGAATTGCGATAATCCCGGCTTTGTGGATGCAATCAAAGAAGAATATCAGAACGTAACAGGTCTTGATACTCATGAAGTTCAAGAGCTAAGACAAAGATGTTGTGGTATACTATCATGTCTCGCAATGCTTCCAGATCACATCGAGCTGAACCGTCAAATCGGCCATTTTCTAATAGAGCAGCTAGCGGACAAACATACTTCAGCGGCCACCTTAGTTGATATCTCTGACATGCTCTTTGATATTTACTCGGATGCCAAATACGACTACGATGAAGATGTTTTCGTGAAAGACGCATTTGTCAAAATACTTAGAGACACGATTGTGCCCAATATGAAGCAAACATTCAAGTTTGTCGACAAAAACAAGGACCATGAACTCAAGGCGAAAACAAAAGACTGTCTTGCAACCATGGAAAGATTCATTGAATACAAGTTAAGTGAGCGTAAGTAAATGTAACATAAAGAACTTTAGCATTTTTATATGAACGCTATCATTTGATTGGCCTCGTTGAGAAATGATTGATATTATATTAGATACAACATACGTCGATAACGTATAGTTATTTGGTATATTCCTTTGCCTGCTCTATCACGTTCCTCTCGTATTCCTTTTTGTTTTTAGAAAAGGCCCTCCATGCAGGCTCCTGCGCCGGTGAGTCGGGATTGGGACTGTCGAGCAAGTCCTGGATCCCTAGGGCGATTTGTTTGAGAGTGATAGCCGGCCTCCAGTCCTGGTCCTCATTGAGGATACTTAGACATACAGTACCACTAGGATAGATGTTCGGATGGTAGAAACCAGCTGGGAACTTAACCTTTGGGGGTTTTGAAGGGTAGTCGTCTGGATATTCGATTGTCACAGGGTAGACACCGTCTTTCCACAAAGTACCCTCTTTACCCGGAATGCCAGCTTCCCACTTCTGTAAATTCATTGATCCATCTTGCTTCTTGGTTGGTTTCGCAAAAAAGCCAAAAGGATGGTCTTTACGCCACTTCTTTCTTAGGAAAAGTCGTTAGTATCACTCATGTTATGATGTGAATGAGTTGAAGATCACCTTGAACAAGCAATTTTTGAAAGCTGATCCGGGCTACTTCACAAAATGTTAGAAACATACCTCTCCTCTTGCAGCCGTTGCAAGCATAGACTGCTCATTTTGTGTGTTTGATTACACTGCCTGTTTATGGAGCTGATATTTTGGATTCCGATGAGTATACAATAATTTTTTGATTATGTGCGAAAAACTCATCTCATTGCAAGCAAGCAAACTCGATAAAAATTTCCACAAGTAGCCGATCTGCGGCTTAATTAGACCTCAATTACTGTCGATCGCCTTTACTGTAATGGCGAAGAAGTCTAGTAAACCACAGCCTGCTGTGGTCGAGCCAGTTGTGGTAAAGAAAAAGGGCAGGAGGGGTGCCAGGGAAGAAACAGAAGAAATGAAGAAGGAAAGACTATTGCATCGCGCGAAGGTCACTTCCACATCTAGCTGGACGGGAAAGCTGCCTCAAACTCTGTTGCACGAAATGTGTCAGAAACGCAAGTGGAATAGAGTTGAGTACGACATAAAGAAAATAGGTCAGGATGGCATGCTAGCGGCAGCAGTACTGTCATATACAGATCCAAAGACGAAAGAAATTCTGGCAATTAAAATGTATGATCCAACGTTTGATAGAAAAACCGGAAAGGGATGTTTGAAGCCACAAGAGACACCTATGGAGGCTCGGCACATGGCGGCGACCGTGGCTCTTTATAGAATATCATCGAATTCTAACATGCAAATGATGCTGCCGCCCAATCACAAATCGCTGTGGTATGAACTTGACGATTTTCGAAAATCGCTGAAGAAGGAAAACGATGTCTTGGCAGAAAAGCTTTTCGACCCAGAGCCCTTCAAGTCTCTGATAGCGGAAAATAAGTCTAAAGATGTCAAAGATAAGGAACGCCAGGCCAGGCTGCAACAAGCTCAAAAATCGCAACAAGTACCGACCCTCATTACTTCAAATGGTGCCAAGCCAGGCAAAGACGCAATCACAAAACGCGTTCGTGAGCCACTTGACAAGAAAATCATAAGGTTCCCACAAAAAGTATGGGAAAATGCTACTTTTGTTGACTTAAAGGAGTCATCAAGAACCGCAATTGAGCATTCACTCAGATCACACATTGACTGGGAGTCAAAAAAATGGAACGGCGAGTTGACAAAGGAAAGGTGCCTCTTGCAAGAAAGCCTGCTGTCCCATGGGTTCAGAAAAAGGCATGCCGAAGAAGCCATTCTCTACAAAGATCCACTTTCCTTTCTTTTGTTCAATCTCCCTGAGGATGACTTGCCGCCATTCTTCCACAAAAGGCTAGAGGATACGAAAATGAAGGTAGAAATTAGTTCGCTTCCCCTCAATATTCAAAACATGATCAGCCGCTTAATGGAGGGCGGAGCCTCGTATGCCGAATCATTGTATGCATTACAATCTGCTGAAAACGACGAAAATGAAGCTGCAGGAAAATTGACGGAAAAATTTCTGATCGAAACGACTGCGACTCCTCCTGAAATTAGTCAAGAGGAATGTAATGAATTGTGGACTCAAGAGCTTGAAAGTCTATTGAGCATTTATGGAGGTGACGTCATCGAGGTCCTGAAAGAGGATGGAACTTGTTATACTATCAAATTGATGGAGGAATTCCATTTGAAACTCAAAGTCTACAAGACTAAAAGCTACCCTTTCACACTACCCGGGATGATCGTTTCAACATTTGATAAAAATTATAAATTGCCCAGCTACATCAAACAGACTATTTTGACAAAGCTTGTGACTTATGTGATTGAAGCTGGCTTACTTGGTGATATGCTTGTTTATCATGTCTTTGAGTGGCTTCAAGAACATCTCGCAAGTATTATAGATAACCCAGGTTCGCTTTTACCGAAAGCTCAAAATTCCATGCCTTCACATGATAGAGAGGTACAGCATAGTCAGTTTCCCAAGTCATCCAGAAATAGAACGTCAAGAACCGACGCCGTGTCCGCAACAGAGTTACAACAACTGAAATCAGAATACGCGAAGAGAATTACAAGCCGAAGGTATGCAGAAATGATTAAACAGCGCTCTCAACTTCCCGCATGGAAAATCCAAGAAAAAATTGTCGATCTGATATACAAGAATGACGTGGTGTTAATCACAGGTGAAACAGGTTCTGGTAAATCAACACAAGCGGTCCAATTCATTCTAGACTATCTCATGTCAAAACAAAACGATTACGGTCAAACTAAAATTATTTGCACGCAACCGAGAAGAATCTCTGCGATAGGGTTGGCAGAACGTGTTTCTGAAGAAAGATGTTCCGATTGCGGAAATGAGGTTGGTTATATTATTCGTGGTGTAAACAAGACGAAGGCAACGACTCGTATCAGATTCATGACCACAGGTGTCTTGGTGCGTATTCTTCAAGGATCAAGAGATTTCCTTGCAAATTCCATCGTCTTTATTGATGAAGTTCACGAAAGATCCGTTGATACAGATTTGATAGTCATCTTACTGAAAAACTTGCGCGGGAAAATTCCTGGTTTGAAAATAGTACTCATGAGTGCTACCGTTAATGTCGACGTTTTCAAAAACTATTTTGGAGACCTCAAAACCTGTCACATTGAAGGTCGAACGTTCCCTATTGAGGATTTCTTTCTGGAGGAAATTCTCGAGACCCTAGATTTCAAAATTAAGCGGAAAAATATTTCATACGATGACTTTGATAGAGAAGGCCAAAAGTCTCAAGGTGCCGATTCGGATTACTTGCGGCCAAGTGCCGACTCCAAGTTTTTCAAGAGTGGCCAGATCAATTACGACCTCATCTTATCTCTAACTATTCACATTGACAAGAAACTGGTATCGGAAAGCAACGATGGTTCAATTGTGATTTTCATGCCAGGTGTAGGTGAGATTAACAACTGTTGCAAAAATCTAATGAGCGGTAAAAACTCGGAAATATTTGTGGTGTTACCGCTGCATTCCGCTTTAACTCCAGATGCTCAGAAGAAAGTCTTCAAACGGTTCCCTGGGAAAAGAAAAATCGTGGTTTCTACAAATATTGCAGAAACTTCCATCACCATCGATGACTGTGCGGCTACCATTGATACAGGTCGCGTAAAAACCATGTATTACAATGCGCAGGAGAACACCACCAGATTAATTGAGACATTTGTCTCTAAGGCAGAGTCTAACCAACGTAGAGGTCGTGCGGGTAGAGTCCGTGCAGGTTTGTCTTACAAATTGTTTTCGAGATGCAGGTTTGATGAAATGTCTGCACAACCTCTTGCAGAAATAAAGCGGGTAGGCCTAGAGTCGCTGTATCTTTCGGTGAAATCTATGGGGATAAAAGACGTGATTGGATTTTTGGGTAAAGGTCTGGATCCACCCCCCTTGGATTCTTTGCGAAAATCTGAACAGCTGTTAACAGCCGCGGGCTTGTTAAGTGAAGATGATACTCTGCTCACGGAGCTTGGAAAATTCATTAGTTTAATGCCCCTCATGGATTATAAACATGGTAAAATGCTCATTTACTCCATTATTTTTGGATGCACCGACGTAGGTATTAACATTGCTGCCATATTGAGTTGCAACGGATCTCCATTTGCGATCACCTCTGACAATAGAGATCAAATCAAAGCTTTGTGTCAAAGTTGTACTAACGGAGGTGATTTGTTGGCGTACTTGGAGATAGTTCGTCGTTACTTGAAAATTGAAGACTCTGCATCCAAGAGAAGATATTTAAATGAAAACTTTCTTTCCTACAACAAGATGAAAGAAATTATCTCATCCCGGGCTCAATTATTGAGTATTTTAAAAGACGTGGGGTTTTTGCCCATGCGGTACAATATGAGTGGATCTGGATCTGGATCCGATTATTTGAATCGAAATGCCAAAAATATTGAAATTATAAAATCAATTTTGACTGGCGCTTTCTACCCTCAAGTGGCACGCGTACAACAACCAGATCAGAAATTCATCAACACCAGCGCCGGTGCCATTGAGAAAAATCCTGAGGCAAAGATGATCAAATATTGGATTCGAAATGAAAAATATATTGATCATTTGTACAAATTGGACAAAGATTCCGAGGTGGAAAATACCGCTTTGCCTGCCACCAGAAGCTTCCTACACCCATCTTCGGTTTTCTTCTCACCAAAAGATAACAACAGCATTGGTGAGCTTGTCGCTTTGGAGAGTTCCACGGAAAAATCCGCAAACAACAATCAAAATTACATAAAGGCTCCCTTCATTGTGTTCAACAGCTCTTACTCCAGTGACAAGCTATTTTTAAAAGACGTTACACCCACTACCACTTTAGCTCTACTCTTATTTGGTGGCGCCATTAAATTCGAGTTGCAAGGCACCAATCATTCCCCCGGTTTAATCCTAGACAACTGGTTGCCTATTCGTACCTGGTGCAAAAACGGTGTTCTCATCAAGGAACTCCGATCCCTCTTGGATAATGTCATACGACAAAAATTGGAAAACCCGCAATACAATTCTTTGCAACGAGAAACCTCCCATCTCGGTGATGACGTTTTGACTATACTTGAAAATATTCTCAAGTCAGAATCCTAACCAAAAGAAGACCCTACATGCATTTGATAAATATCCAAAATAAATACCAGCACTTTGATTTATATATATTGACACCGCCATAGCAATGCAATCACAAACTTTCATAGTGCTCAGTCAATCATGCATAAATACCGAAAAAAAAAAAATATTGAAGGATGCGAGGTTCGAACTCGCGCGGACAACCGTCCAACAGATCTTAAGTCTGCCGCCTTAGACCAACTCGGCCAACCCTCCGTACGAAGCGTACCACCGTCAAGGCGTTCGCTTGACATGAGTATCGAACCACTGAAATAATGCAGTGAGTACCACTGCACTATTACAACGGATATCTGATAATCTTCAAAAACTAGACTCGGCTTTGTCACATATGACAACTAGCATGCTTTGATTTATAAGCTTAGCAGTTCGAATATCTCCAGAATTAGGTCTTCTTTTCAATTTGCGAACCACATTTCGTACATTTGGGATCTAGCTTCGCCTTTTGTTGTCGCCGTATTTCAAGATTCGATAGGATGTACCGACAAGTTTGGTTGGTACAAATAGTTTTGGTAGTCAAGAATCTTTGACCGCATTTATGCCACCAAAAATTGGATCTGTGCCAAGGAATTGTATGCCATTTGATGCTTTTCACTGGCCCACAATAATTGCACTCTCTTGTTTCTGGCTCGACTTTCTTTCTAATTCTCGGTTTTTGCGCGGAATCAGAAATTAGAACCCCCTGACACTCATCACAAGAGTATCCTTTCAAAGATTTACCATCTTGTAAGATGTTGGTTACTTTGAGCTCTTTTGTTTGCGCCTTTTCATTCACGCGAGCACAAGTTGCCACTCGGTTACAATTATAACATCTCGTATGACTTTGAAGATAATAATCGTAACAAGATCTGCATAGCTTATAACAATTCAAGCCTTGCCATGGCACATTTTTCCAAGGATTCGAGTTTTCTCTACCACAAGAGTAGCAAGTTTCAGTAAAGATATCAATTTTCTTTGTTTCTCCTGTTTCCAATAATGATTCTTCAGTAATGATTTGATGTTCAGGGATTAATTTTTGTTTAGTCGAGTGTGTGATTTTGATTACTTTGACCTTTTGATTAAGTGGAATGCTTTGAAAAAATTGGCGTGAGTAATTATGGACTATCGACTCCGCGCCACAATCAAAATTGGTTTCATCACTTATAGGCGAAATTGGTTGATTTTCGTATGTGATACATGGTTCACCATTATCAGTGGTTCCGTCCAATGTTTCATCATCAGCAATTAATTCGTCGTCACTCCATTCTTCTGAGTATTCTTCATTTATGGCGGCGCGCTTCTCTCGGACAAATCTATCTTGCAAAATATCACAGGAAAATAACTCGGGGGTATCGACTCCTTCAGCCTCCGTATTATCTTCTCTCAAAATGTCAAGACTCTTCCTTTGGGTATAGCTTGCCTCTTTTGGATGTCTTTTTCTCTGCGCAGAACACCGATCCAATAAAGAACGTAAAACTTTGGGATTAGTTCCATTCGAAATCTGGAATTGCCATTGCTTCTTCTTAATGTAGCTCGTGCCAGCAACGGGACAGGCTGGCTGGACATGTGTCGAGACATTCAATCCCAGGGAGCGTGTGATAAATTGAATACCATCTCTAATCGGAGGATAAACCGTAGTTATTGATGTGCACAAAAATCCATCTACAAGTAAGGAATACCCGTCGGAATCAATAAGACCAGCCAGAAAAGCTTCGCGGACCATAAGGTGTTCTGTTCTCATGAAATGAGGCACGTTCTTTTTGTCATTGATTTTGCCATTTTCATAAAAAAGCAGACCCTTTAAAACGGCAATAAATGGGTTCCCTACGTTCCATCGACGGCGACCATTTTGGAACGTGTGGAGGGTTCCAGTTGCACCAAAAACCTTATTTTTGCAATGCTTTTTAACGTAAGTCATACCCCAGATTTTAGCATTCTCCTCAAGCCTGCCATTTACTTCATGATCTTCAGAGTGCAGTGCAAATGTTGCGCCAACTCTACAGCCGTCTCCTATCCAAAATCCAATCAACCACGCCATTGCCTCTAACTCTTTTTCCGAAACTTTTCTCATAAATTCTTTCTCTAAGAACGGTAGAAGTGTTGGTCTCTCGAATGCCAAAGGAAGCAGCAGCAATCGTGTTGAAGCACGAGCCGCTTCTCCTAGATATTTCAAGTCGCCAACCTCGCATTTCCACCGCACAAAACTGTTATTCTCTGTATGTCCTCGGAAACTTTTTATATAGTTTTCAACAACTTCATCTGAGGTTTCAGCTGGAAATAGTTTTTCCACATCTCTTGCCAGTTTGATCAACCTTCCATCTTTGGTTTCAAAATCATTAACAGTTAGGATCAATACCCTCCTTTGATTTTCTTTATCGCGTCGAATAGATCGCTTAAGACGCAGATATGTTTCCACTAAGAGAACTTGACCTTCAAAGCACGTAGTTTCGAAAAGGCCATATGGTAAGTCACGGCTTTCGTCATAAAAGTGTATGTAGTGATTTTTTTGTTGTTTTATTGTGAACGCTTCATCTAGCTCCTCGGATTTCTGTCTTACGACTCCACAAGAGCCATCCGCGGTTAAAATTTCATCGCCAATTTGTAATTCATCCACAATTTTACAATGACCATCATACATGAAAATTTCGGTCCCAGAGGTGTACCTTTCCGCTAATTCGCCACCATCTAAACCAACCACATCAGCAATATTTCCTGCATGGCGTTTCCGATTGGAAGTTGCTCCAGTAGAGCCCGGACGTTTGTTTAGAACAATTTGGCGGCTTGAAGCCTTGTCATTGACCTCAGCATTGTTCGTCAAAAGTTCCTCATCTTCAATTGTGATTATACTTCTTTGTTTGACTGCATATGACCCTGGGGAGATACTGGCACATCCCGGAGAGCTTTCTGCAAGCGGCTCAAGAACTGGAGGCGGTGTGACCAGATCAATTACCAAAGATTCTTTGCACGTTTCCAAGTTTTCAACGCAACGCCTCGGTCCCCGTCTTTGATCTTCTTCATTACCGCTTTTTACAACAACCGGCTCTGGAGTCAATAAGTCAACCATCTGTGGCGCAACCTTTTTTTTAGGCTCATCGTTTGGCCCAGTCCAATCAAATCGAATTGCTTTTGGCTCATTACCAGTTTCCGGACAATCCAAATCGATCAATTGATCTGCACGGCCCCTGAGGGTGAACTCCTCAAAGTTGGGCCCCGACCCCGACTGAAATCGCCATTCTATTTGTCCCCTGGAAGTATTTTTAACACGAGTTTCATTCATCATTTCCAAAAATTAGCCGCCGATGATACTCGTTCCCTAATGTTCTTATTGTGATAACTATCGAAAGATCTATCAGTAGTTCCGGTTGTGACCCCGGCTTTTATATTTGGTTCGCTTTTCCCTTTAAACGCCAACCTGTGCTATATCACATTGTTATGCGCGGTTGGTCTAGCAAGCGGTGTATCGCCTATGGGATATGTTGTATTCCCAAACAAGCAATATATATATATATATATGTAACTATATCACTACTGGGAGGAGCAGGAGTCGTCGCATCAAAGTACCTTCTCAAGAGTAACATGTGTATGACTAAATAGTACAGAATGACCTCGAAGCTACGACTTGAAACGCATCGCCACTTCAAACATCAGGGTGTTATTACTACAAAAATACAAAGTTCAACCAAAGCATTATCTTCTAGTAAGCAACAGCTACTTCCAACTCTATATTCTCGGTTTCGAATATCGTCCTCCCTTCAAACCTCATACTGGAACGCTGCCACATAATAACATTTCCTTAACTCCTAACTCTATAAGAACATCATAATCATCGTTACAGCTCAACTCTCCAACAGTCGCACCTAAACCATACGACCATTATGTTGAATTGCCGTGACGACGACACTAAAACTATTTCTAATCACAATATATAGATAAAAAACCCAGCACTATCAGAGATCCGCAGTACTAGTACTACGGTTTCTTCTTATCCTTGTCATCGGTTCGAAGCTTCTGACAAGCAGTCTGAAAAAGTGAGAGATCACTTTGAACGACCAGGGGAGGATTGGCCGAGTGGTCTAAGGCGGCAGACTTAAGATCTGTTGGACGGTTGTCCGCGCGAGTTCGAAACTCGCATCCTTCAATATTTTTTTTCATGGATGATAGACTGAGCATTATGACATTTCCAGCCTTGACATATTATTTTTCATACTTTTTCGAAAAATTAATAATATAAATAACAAATAATAAATTAATAATGATAGTTTGTCACATGTGATAGAGCCCGTAAATAAATATAATAAATAGTTAATTAATTTTTTTTTTGGTTTTTTTTATGTTGAGACCAATCAACATCAGAAGGCGGATGCGCAGCTAACGGATTTGGCATATTCCTCAAATGACAATGGTTCGAATTTAATTTCGAGTCCCTTAGCGATAGCGGCCCCCAAATCCTTGTTTAACAAACCAAAGTATTGACTCACTCTAGTTTGAATAGGCGCAGCAGCGGTGCTGACATGGCCAACGACGTTGTGAATGAATCTTTCCTTGGCTGCATCATCGTATACTTTTTCGAATAGAGCTCTAGGTTGCTCCAAATCGAGAGGAGTACAACCAGTGACCCAGTAGTATTCGTTGATTTTGGAGTTAATGATTTCGTTGTGCTTCTTGAAGTCTTCTTGTTGCACGATGGCGGCATCGGAGTCTTCCTTCAAGACCGTCCCAGTAAATTTGTTTTGGCAAGCTTTATCGTCTAATAGGTTCTTGTACTTGATTTTCTCGTCGTACTGAGTTGCAATATAGTTAGGATAGGAGTTTTGGTTGTAAAGAGCGCCAGGACCATCTCTTTGGAAATTACCCATCAAGAAAGGACATCCAGAGTTTCCGGCTGAGGCTGGGCACATGTTTCTGGGGCTGTTAACTGGCAATTGCGAATAGTTGGTACCTAGTCTGTGACGCTGGGTATCTGGGTACGAGAAGAGCCTGGATTGCAACACGGAATCGTTGGAGGGCTCAATGCCGGGAATACAGGTGTTGCTGGGACTGAAGGCAATCTGTTCAATCTCTTCAAAGTAGTTGTCAACGTTCTCGGACAAAGTGATTTTACCAAACTTGCGCAATGGGAATTCCTTGTGAGGCCAAATTTTGGTTAAGTCATTAATTGAGTAACGGAATTTCTCCGCCTGTTCGGGAGTCATGGTTTGCACGTAACAGGTGTAAGTAGGGCGTTCGCCGCTCTCTAACATGTTGAATAACGTATCTTGGTTAAAGTCGGGCTTGGACCCGCCAAGCTCTGCAGCTTTCTCGTTGTCTAGGCACGGGAATCCACCGTCTGCCCTGACGTGGAACTGCACGTAGGTGAGTTCGCCCTTTTCGTTCAGGAACTTGAAAGTGTGACCGGAATAACCACTCATTTTGGCCCAGTTAGCAGGCGTACCACGGTCACCAAACATGTAGGTTATTTGATGGATGGATTCGATGTTCTGGGTCAAGTAGTCCCAGTACATTGTGCTGTCGGTGCCATGGTTCAGATGCGTACGTGGGTGACGCTTTTGAGTGTGAATGAAATGGGGGAACTTGTTGGCGTCACGAATGAAAAAAACCGGTGTGTTGTTGAAGACCCAGTCGTGATTTCCCCACTCGGTGTAAAACTTGAACGAAAATCCGCGAGGGTCACGAGCGGTGTCCGGGGTACCAGATTCACCGCCGACGGTGGAGAAACGTGCGACACCAGGACATTTGTAGCCCGGCTTCTGGTAAGGCGCGGCAAATGTGATGTCCGAGAGTGAGTCGGTCAATTCGAATTCGAAACGGCATCCACCGCCCTTGGCGTGTACTACACGCTCTGGAATCCGCTCACGATCGAAATGCGCTATCGATTCCACCAGGTGCACGTCCTGTAGCAATATAGGTCCGTCGGGACGCGAATATTGCGCTCCGTAGGGATGGTGTGAGTAAGGGAACCCATTGGCGAGGGAGTAAGTCTGTTGACCCGTTGAGTTTTTCTTGTCAATCATCTTGTGTGTGTGTGTGTGCGTGGGTTAATGTCCTGTTGTAAGGTGGATGTCAGAAGTGACTTTTGACCCGAAAATACCACCTGTTCCTGTAACGCTTTATATAGCCCTCATCTCATCGAAAGCAATCGCCTAAAACCTCCTAATACACTTTGTAATCATCATACATCTGGACCATCCACGTACACATGCTGTCACCGGTATATCCGTCACCGTGCTTACGGATCGCTGAGCACAAATGTATCCTTGCTGGAAGGCTTGCATCTGCGTGTGTGTGCAGTCTCGTTTAGTCGTATGTAGGCAGGTTTGCTGTGTTGTTGAAATTTTGCTTTGCTTAGCATTGCTTAGCTTTGCTTTGCTTTGCTTTGCTAGGTGACTAGAAACAGTTGTGGAGACGTGAGGATACCAAGGACGTGAAGGGTGATGCAGGATAGCGTTAGGAGCTTAAGAGTTTGGAAGGGAAGTGGTGTGGTTGTGTAGGTGGTTCGCGAGGATGTGTTGAGTACTTTGTCATTTGGAACGCAGATATTTGTAGTTAGTAATAGTTTGTGGGCCAGGTGCTATGTATCGGAGTTGCAGAGCTTGTAGGAACGATGGTCGTATGAGTTTGAAAAGTGTTATGCGATTCAACAACCGCAACCGGTTAGATCCGTAGCATACTTGTCTTTTGCGGTCAACGGGCCGGTTTGAGGCATATAGAAAAGGTTGATCGACATGTAGCGAGTCTGGAATCTGGATTGACTAATCCTGGGTGGCGAGTGACGCAAAAAGCTGTTCGATGGTGGACTTTCCTCGGGTAAGAATTGTCAGGTATGGCTGGACGAGACGAATATGGGACTTTTGTGGGACTTTTGTGGGACTTCTGGGGCCACTTCTCTGAGCGCATATGCAACTTCTTTTAGGACCGTCTCTCTTCACATATGACACTTCTTCTAGGATCGCCTCTCTTGGCACATAGGCCAATTTCTTGGAACGACTTCTCTTCACGCATGCCATCTCTCTTAGGACCGTCTCTCTTCACATATGACACTTCTTCTAGGATCGCCTCTCTTGGCACATAGGCCAATTTTCTTGGAACGACTTCTCTTCACGCATGCCATCTCTCTTAGGACCGTCTCTCTTAGGACCATCTCTCTTAAAAACACCCCTCGTCACGCTCCTGGTATATCATGGCGACTGGACTGCCCTTCCGCGCTCCTCGTCGTTGTTCTAACATGAGTGTTCATTTTGTTAGAGTGCATTATTCCTCAAGAGCCCCTCAAGACATTTAGCCGCCGAATGACCAGGTGACACAAAACGCATTGAACAAAAACTCTACTACACAAAGTATTATGAAAATTCTCTCCCAAGTCGTGTCTTGACGTTTGCATGATTTGCTACAAGTAATTATTCGTATACAGCTCTAATCTATACCACGCGGTCGGCACCAGTGAGTCTAACCGCGGTACCGTACTTCTGCAACTTGGTGAGCAACCCATCACCTTGTTTTATCAGCAGATGGTATTGTACATTTTTGTTATCCGGTCTGTTGGTTTCAACAATGCCGTTGACCCTGTCAATAACACAGTTTAGTTGTTTGTTAGGGATAAACTTGCCCAAATCCTTGTCTAGGAAGTCAACAGATACACCAAAGGCGCTGGCCATGGTTTTGATCGAGAGAGTCTTGTAAGACTCCAGTAACTGCGCGTATACTTTGCGCCGCATTTCACGCACAAAAAAATCCGCGTGTTTGTTCAGATATTTGGATGGCATCAAGACAGTTTCGTAAGTTTCCAAAAGGTATGGGAAATAACTGGAATACTCGGAAGTGTATAGCGATATAGTCAGCGAGGATATTGACTGTAGTGCTTTAGTGCTGCCCATCAGGGATAAAACCTCAGGTGAGTCAACAATCTTGTCCTTCAATTCTGTTCTCTCTAGCGCGAATAGACCGGCTACAGAGGCGTAGGTTGCTATGTTTTCGTATGACGTAAGTTCGGAAGACGTGAAAGTGGCCAAGGAATCAACCAAAAGATCGGCCGCTTCTTTAAAATCCCGAATGGCCAATGAATGTACACCTTTGTAAGTTTTGTATCTGTTTCTTCTTTCCCAGTCACCGCCCTTCTCGATCATGCTGTTGGTCTGCTCCAGTTTCTCCTTCACGAACTCCTGGTCGTTGTAGAAAAATCCTAGCCTTGTTATAGTGAGCATGATGTCAATCTTGGAGCCTGTGGAGACAGCTTTGTCGAGCGCCTTCGCCAAAGTCTCTTCCGCGTTCGTCTTATCACCAATTTGCGCATAGTACTCTCCGAGTTTGACCCATGCTTGTGCTTTCTCCAATTCTCCTTCATCTTTGTCTTCAACTTCCTGGATGCGTTCCTTCAGCTCAGTGATTTCCTGTTGGTTGCGATCGAGAAGCGACTTGTAAAACGACTCGTCCCATTGGAAAGTGCCCTTTGGCAAGTAGTCGTCGTAGAGGTACTTGTAGAATGGTGCCATGGCCTCTTGTTGGACTTTCTCAAGCACAAACTTTAGGCTAGTTTCATGCTGGTCCTTAAGTCTGGGCTCTGAAAGTATAAACGCAGAATCTGCCACTTCATAATTAGGAACGTTGCTGAGGCTTGTCTCAATGACTTTAGATTCGTCGTCAGCCATTGTGTTACGACGTCTTTATATTGATCGATTGAACTTAGCTTCTTCGATTTAGAGGTGGCAAATACAGTAACGAAATTCATTCAAGGTACTACAATTCCTTGATTATATATCGCCTATTACGAACATAAGTTCCAATTATAAGCACAAGAGGGAGGTGACGCGTTAGTAGGGAAACTACTTCTATCCTTCTTTTTACCTGATTCGTGTTTCTAAAATGCTCTTTATATTCGCTAATACTCTATATTGGAGCGTGTGAAGAATAATTTTCGATATATATGGTTGGGAATGCAAAAGACGAGTGGCACTTTTGGCTAGAAAATAAAAACACAGTCGTTTTTTCGAAACAACTGGTCCATTAGCTCTCTTATACGTAGTTTTTTTGGCGGTCTTTGAACAAGAACTGTACTATGGTGGCTTGAATAACGCTAACGCCGACCATCAGCCCCATGGTCAACATGGAAAGCCACACTAGTCTGCTTTCTGTGGACTTGACGGTGTACATGTTTCTCCACTCTCTAGCTCTGAGGTAGTTCATCATCTTTGTGATTTTGTTAAGATTTCTTTCGATTTCCTCGATCGAGTGACTCGAAATAGCATCTTCAGGGGCGGAATGGGCCCCCAAGTTCTCTTTCTCCAGCTCCAAGGTCACTTCTACTTTTTTCAAAGCGGTGCCATAGCTGTTGGAGAAGCAGAACGAGTACTGGCCCAAACCGAACGATTTCAGTAAGAAGTCCGAGTACTTCTTCTGCTTTTCAGTGGCGATCACGGATTCATCCGGCGCCGTGATTTCGAAGTCAATTTCGAAGTTGCCACCAGTTAGAACTTGGTAACTTATAACAATAGAGTCATCGTTTGACACCAAATCGAAGTACAAACACTCTTTGGTGAAAGAGGGCAGTGTCAAAGCCACTGGTGAGTATGTGCTACCCGTGGCCGTCACGCCTATCGTGCACAATACAAAGGTGGTAATCAGACACGCAATCGACCTGAAAAACATTTGAATTGATGTCTGCTTTTCGTGCCGACCGAAACAAAACAAGAATCAATCAAGCCTTCAAACTTCAATTGCCAATTTTTTTTCATTACGTGGACACGACACACGAAAAACGTGAAAAACGCTTACAATAGAGAAAGTGGTTACTTACCGCCGCTCGAGGCGGTTTATGGTGATTGGCTATCTAGACTACTATCATAGTTTAAAATAAATATACCCCCAGATCCTGATGTACTCTAACACTCAGTTGCTAGCTCATCCTTTGTGTTCCTATTCAATTTGACTTCAATAATTTATCTTGGCAAATGTGAGGTCTCGAACTTCCGCTTGACGCCTCGATTAATTTAATCACCACTCCGAGCCGCTTCCCATTGAGCTTCTGCTGTCTTTGCTTCTTCGGTTTTCATCGTTGACTATTCTCTTGGTATTCTTATAGGCCCCACCGTACAGCCTATGTTTAAATGTGCATCATATCTGCTTCAAAATTTCTCTATTTCAATTACGGGCGTGTGGTCTAGTGGTATGATTCTCGCTTTGGGCGGAGTTCGACTTTCAAATCGGACTACAATACCTTCAAGCATGCGAGAGGCCCTGGGTTCAATTCCCAGCTCGCCCCTAATTTTTTTCAGATTGTTATTTAGGCGTTCAGTTTCGCCAAAAAGTATTCTGCGAAGTTGGCGCCATTGACAGTATTCATCTCTGCTTTTTTTTGGTAGAAAAGCTGTCGCTGTACTTCCTGAACTAAAGCATGCTTAGTTTGTTTCCGTAGGGTAGTTGCAGCGATTCTCTTGAGTAGATTCATGGCATAAGTTCGATCTCTGAACGACAAGTCTAGCAGTTGGAGTCCACGTGTTGAGCTCCGATTATCTATCAACTCTTGGATCAGAACACCTTTATAGACTAGCCTCGGGCATTGGTAGGTGGCTTTCAACTCATTATGCATGTATTTTACAGCAATGTCGATCCCGTACGGATCACTATCCGTGTATATTTCAAAAATTACGCTGGGAGGGCAATTTAGCATCATTTTGTATAGAAAGTAGCGCGTAAGCCAATCTGGGTATCCCTTTCCGGTAACAAGCATGCACCGTTTGCTTACCTGTGTGTTTTCAGCCAGCTTACTGAAGATAGCATCTTTTTCAAGTACAATCACTCGTTCAACAAGCGACCAATCTCCTGAGAATTCAGTTGCCGCCGTCAAGTACGGTACAAGCGATTTTTGATTCTTTAAGATAACCTTGTCCACATCGAAGTTCAAGTTCACCGGAGTACAACATAATCCCTTCTGTGCCGCCACAATCCTCAGGGCGTCAAAGTGTGGCAATTCAAATGCGTCAGCGATAGCACGTAACCATTCTGCTACAACCTGCTGATTTTTGTATAGCTCCACATTCAGGTAAAAAACATCACGTATTGTGCAGATCTCCTCGTTCTCCATTTTCATGGCTACGCATTTGAGAAGGCTTAACAACACGCTTGTCTTAAAAGCAGGTGGACCTTTCATCTTTTCAAATCCGTAGTAGGGGAAGCACATTGCAGGCTTGACTAGTTTACCTCGACTTCCTACAAAAATAACAAGCGGCTCACTTTGTTGCTCAATAGCATTTTTCATCAACGATAGTATAGTGCAAATCTCTGATTTGAGATTTTGAGGTTCTTGGATCTTCGTAAGTACGATCTCTCTGGTCTTGGGACTGAGCGCCTCTTCAAGCGTGGCTCTAGTTGGGCTCCGCTCCAAATAATCTCCAAGAGAGGGTTTCAAACCAGGCTCAATCTTCATTTTCCCTCCCATGAGTATTCCTTGTTTACTTGACCTTTTTATGAGCGGCTAATAATATTTACTTAGAGTACTTAGTCCGTCTTGAAAACCGAAAATCTAGAAAACCATGCTAAATTGAAAAATGTATTCAAAGCGAGATATCAAGCAAGCCAACTAAACTGAGGCCTTATAACCACACTTGACCTGTGGTACGATACCCAGGTATATCAACACCCTCGTTGCTTCTCCTCTAGGTAAGACAACCTGCTTTTAACAGCATCGTTATCCAAATAACATCCGCGTAACCATCTTTCTCCTGTGAAAGCAGTACGCGCATGCAGTAGGCGTCTGTTGTCGAATATGACGCACGTATTCTCCGGAAGCTTAAATCTGAATTGATTTTCGGGCAGGTTTATGAACTTCTCAAAAAGGGCCAATCCACGCAAGAAGTCTTTGAATAAAAGCCTTTGAGTCATTTTACCACTAGGCGTGGAAAGTTCATGGCCCTTGGGTTTCTCCCAGATCCCAAAATCGAATGGGGCTTGAAACATTGGCGAGTAATTGACCTCTTTGATCAATGAAGCGTAGTTTGAAAATGCCAGATTTTCAGCATTGACTTCATGTTCGACAATTAGTGGACGAGAGTTATAATAACGGTTGTCGTTGCGATTGTAGTGATAATTTATAGGAACTTGCGTTAGGGCTTCGTAGGCATCTGCGTCAGTATCGCGTACAAACCGGGCAGCATTAAATGCGTCGACAAAGTAGTTCATACCAGATTCGCTGCCACTCGATGAATTTTTAAGCGCGTGCAAAATTTGCCAACCTGGCGCATGGTCCAGATATAGCAGGTCCTGATGCAAAGACAGTGCCCGATTGGTGTAGGCGATGTTCTCAGCGCTCGGCTTATTTATCACGTCAAACACCTCACCGTAGAAGGTCTGCCTTATTGGACCGATGCGCTGTGCTACTCCTTTAAGCAGTGCGGCTGGCTCTTTCTTGGGGAAATCCGCAATGAAAGAGATTCCAAATTTGCGCATGTTAATCAACGTCTGGTGTAGGGTGCTGGTGTCGCTTTCGTTCATGTACGAGGTGAAGTCTGCCGCAAGCAGCTGTCCTATATTGTGCTTCAACTGTGCTTGGTCCCAGAGAATGGGGGCATGCTTCGTCGAAATAGCGTCTTCGAGCTCGTGGCCCGAAAACCGGTTTAAAAACTCCAGTGGGTACTCATACGAGTCGCCATCGCCCCACTTGATGTGTAGCGATTGCTTGTCGCCACTCACCTCGACTTCCTGGGGTATTGTAGAGTTCGGAGTGGTCAGCAGCTGTCCTGTACGAAACAGCTTTTGGCCGGAAAAAGGGTCGATCGATTTCTCGCTGCGCGAAGCATCTCTCAAAAATAGATTGCTGAACGATACCGTCCTAGGAACACTTTGTTCGTTCCCCGCAAAGGTATATGTAACGGTGGTCGAATCCTTGTTGAACAGCGTCTTAATAATGGCCCCACTGCTTCCCAATCCTTGATTTGCGCCAGCTTCCCCTAGACCTAGCGTTCTTGATAGCCCGCTGCTGAATCTCTTTCCACTCGCCAGTACCAGCTTCCAATGTCTCATCTTTGATAGTTTCTGGCTTCTGTTCTGGTCAGTGTAACTTTCTTCCTCTCTCGAATGAACTTCACTCCCTTAAATATACGGCCAAAACCATCCGTTTGTCCTAAATACGGGGTAAAAACATTGTCAGATAGAGCCGACACATATACGAAACCATTCAGATTCTACATAAGCATAACACCACCATAAAATGGTGCCGTTTCAAACGTGTATACATCAATCAAAGAATGAGGAAACCAAGCTTTTCGATGTGGACCATCTTTTTCAAGATTCATTCTTGTAAGACATGAGCCCGTATTATTCAAATTTGAAATTTCTAAACTTCATACAAGATTACTTTGTGTATAAAAGTTTGGCCGCTGAGAGACATGTTGAAGAGCCGATCCGGACTCAAAGGAATTACACGATGGGCAGTATCCAGACGGCGTGGATCTGGAGGTTCTGGTTCAAGCATAGTTAGCCCTGGGAGCAACGGAGACGTCAAACAAGAGTTGGAACATGTTCTCAGCCTTTCGAACCTAATTAGCCGTGATAGTGCCGAGTCGCCAGACATCGTTCAGCCATCAGAGGGTTCGGACCGTAAGGTAAGCAAGTCGGGAGAAGATAAACTTTCTCAGTTTCATCCAGCATCGGGCAACGGTCCCATGTACACTAAAGAAGTGGACCAGCTGTTAGTGGGGGGAAAGAAGCGAAACCCGGCAGATTTGAGGTCCGACAATGCTCAGTCAAGGTTTCGAAAGTCAGCAGCGGGTGCGCTGAGGTCTGAATTTCGCATCAACGCAGCTAAAGTTGGTTTCGAACCCATTCAAAGCGACGGCACAGATTCCGATGCCCTGCCTCCACGTCTGTGTCACGAGCTCGAACGGGTGCTGTTTCAGCCGATGAATTTTCACACATTACAAGATAGTCGCTCGGGAACTTTCAATTTCAGTTCGTGGCTCGAGGACATCATCCGGGTCGACGACTTCGACTTCGAAGCTGTATCGGAGTTTATAACTGCATCCAAAGACCAGAATATGCTCAAATTGGCAGAACAGCATGACAAATGCTATTATTCCTCAACTAGTTCAATGACCGGGATTCTGTCGCATATGCATTTCTTGCTGTCCAACTTCCGCAAGACGAACATGTCCATGATCTCAAAGCATTTTAGCGAGCAGTCCGCACAGTTTAGTTGGGGAGCTCAATTGCCAGCCGTTGTTATAATGAAGCGAATGAATAATATTAATAATAATAATGGTGTGTTTTCTATTGACTCTGACAAATCTTCCGATCGCGAGATCATCTTGTCTCTTTTGGGCCACGCATTGGAAACCGTTCTTACAACTGAAGAGGAACAGTTTAAAAAGACATTTGACAAGACGACTAAGACATACAAGGCGAGCGGTGTGAAGCCTGCTGGCACATATCACTACTCTAAAATCGAAGATTTCGTACTGCGATCTCAACTTGACGCTTACCATCCAAAATTACCTGGAACCGGTGTTTTTGATCTCAAAACTAGAGCTGTTGCAGCTGTGAGACACGATATTGCATATGTCGAAGAGAATGATAATTACACGGGTTATCAGATTCAGCAAACACTTGGTCAATTTGAGTCTTTTGAGAGGGAGCTTTTTGAGTTGATCAGAAGTACAATGCTTAAGTATTCTTTGCAAGCTCGCATAGGCCGCATGGACGGAATTTTTGTTGCATACCATAACATTTCTAAAATGTTCGGTTTTCAGTACATGCCATTGGAGGAAATGGATCACATACTGCACAGTTACGCTTGCCCAAATTTCAAGAAAGTCTTAGAAGAGCGCAATAATTCTTTAAAAGCGATTTTTGGTGAAGAAACCTTCATTGTGAAACATGATTATGCTTGCTTTGATCGCGATATTACATCGAAGATTGCAGATACTGAGTTTAAGATTTCGATGTCACTATTGAATAAGATACTTAAATTAGTAGAGAGTGTTTTGCCACCCCAGTTCCACTCATGTCGCTTGGTTTTCAAAGCCGAGAGGAAAAAATTTGTGGATAAAGACGGAGTTGCCCACAGAAGACCAGTCTTGAACGTTCTCATAGCTCCCTTAACGAAAGGTCAGACTGATCAATTTCAGCAAGCAGACTTAAGAAAGGAGTATTTGCAAGATGGCGAGAAAATCAACGAGTATCTGCAAAAAACAAGACAGCTCAATAAGGAAACAACCAAAAATTTAATGGGCTTCCAAATTTCTGTAGATCATGAAGCTCATCATCATCCCAACACGCTAGTCAACCCTCGTATTGCTAGCAAAAAGTCTAATGTCTTGGATGATAAAGCCAAAGAATTTGTAAAGGATATCACTCGCAGGGACTTCTACAAAGACTCGGCAGCTTGGAAGCACATACAGTTTTTTCATCCGTTAGACGTTCTCAAGTGGACTCCCAAATTCACTGTGCAGCAAATAACAAATCAGGACAAGGTGAACAAGTTGTACATGACCTATCTTGACGACAAGCTATCGGCGTTGAAGGGTCAAACTGTGTCCAAAAAATCGACCAAATCAACACAGGAAGTTATTTCCGAGCGCATACGGAAATTTATGACCGGGGACGAATTAGATTCAAATGACAACAAAGGACTCGATGACGAGACTGACGTATCCCAGCTACAGGCAGTTTTGAGAGCTTACTCTAAAAAGGGAGAGTTAATGAATAGGCGCCAGAAATGAACAAAGTTACTGGCGATTTGATAGATTATCAATGCATCGGGTTAAACAGAAAATATGTATCTTAATTGTAATATACAGGTGGTGTACGTGGCCATGAACCACAAACTAAGCCGGCGCCGGGTCAAGCGCACACAGCTCGATTTCTTCAGCGTTTGTCGTACTTTCTTTCTCGCCGGGATAGTAGAATCTGTAGTAGACGTATTGGCCTGCGATGTACATATCCAACGACATTTGGAACAAGGCAAAAAACAAAAATAACGCTGAGATATTGCTTGCTCCAAACATGAGATAACTTATTTTCACAACGTCACCGCAAAGCCAGCTCACTAATAAAATTAGTTTAAAACCTTGTACAGACTTTAGCTTGTTTAGAATGGAAATTTGCGGGAGCGGCAGTAGCGACTCTATGAATAGCCCTAATGAACCAATCACGGAGCCAATTGATTGAGCAATTGTGGTCCAGTTCATCACTTTCGCTACAAACATAGTAACGGTCAGTTGTGCCACTGAAAAGTATGCCAAGAAAAGCCAGTAATTTTTGTCTTGATTCCATTGCCAGAACGACCCGTATCTGCGGTAACTGGGGTCGAAGAATTTAAGAAATTTGTAAAGCATCACTAGACAGATCTTGTAAGTAAACTCAATGAAGCCTTTAAAAGAAAGTGACTTGAGTAAGTGTTTCCAATCAGAGCCGAACGGGTTAAGCGGGAAATACTCGAGCCATACGTCGTGCAGAAGCTGTGTAAAAGGCTCGACGGGATCCAACTTGTCATACTTGTATTCCTCAGGTCTGTAGTGTAGACTAGTGCGCAGCAGAATCAATTGAATGAAGATCATCACTAGCGATTGTCGCAGCAAAACAACATCGTATGGTGTAATGAGGTAGTATGAAATGCGAAAAATACTCGCAAGTAGCATGGTGGCACATATGTCTATGGAAAAGCCTAAGGCTGTCTTAGACTTTCGAATGCTGAGAACGGTGGTTCCGTATGATATTAGAGGCGTGAAACATATCATGTTGTTGAGCACAAACTGCATCGTGAGCCACTCTGGAATGTAAAATTGGTCTATACGTGGGAGATATGATCCAGCTCCTGATCCGGATCCAAATCCGGCGCCTGGCCTGTTCCCTTGTATGTTCCCATCATGACTTTCCATTCTCTTCGTCTGATGCAAGCAAAGTAAAGTTATTCCTCAAGTTCAAATCGACAGCGCTATAGCCGCTTTATATATATATATTGATGCCGATACAATTTTGAGGGAAACTTCTCCTAAACTTTTTTCACTGCCTCGTTTATTTGTGCATTTAAGTTTATTTGTGTTTTCAAGTTTAGTTGACACTTTCAAATGGCTGGCAGAACTTACTCAAACAAAAAGTATTAGAACTATAAATAGGTACATTGTAGCTGGATTAAGAATATAAAGGAAGCGAATCGTCTGTTGCACATCATTTCTAATGAATTGATGCTAAGTACTCTTCACGAATCGAGAACTTATCGGCGATAGGTCTGCCATGAGCTACCCACTTAGGTTCGTCCTTGAAAAGACGAACGGCCTTGACGTAGTTTTGCGTAGTCAATGTGAAGCGATGATAGATTCCCGCAGGAAGTATGAGCAGATCACCAGGAACCAGCTTGCATCGAATCCAACGGTCGTCGACAGCATTGCGCACATCGAAATATCCCTCGCCGTCTTCTATATACCTTATTTCCTCATCCTCGTGCAAATGCTCAGCGTAGAAAGCTTGCAGTTTTGGCCATAAAGCGTCACCCAGACTCTCGGAAGAGATGCTCACTCTATCTCTGTTTCTGTAGTTTCTTTCGATGGCGACATCGTTCATTTGTGCTTCCGTGGGACAAGGCTTGTAAATGACGCCAATATTGGCAAGCTGGTCGATGGACACAGTTTCCCCGGAGTTGTGAGGTTCACGAAAGTCTACAGATTCGTCATTATCGTGGTAGTAGGCTTCGACCATGGCTGACGCTCCGTATATTGACGAAATCGAAAATTTTGGACTTTCAAGATATCGGTAATTTTTCAAGAGTGAGATTACTTTCGAATGAGCTCAAATTCAAAAGCTTGGATGCTCATAGGAGAGCACCAACCTGATAGTGTAATGTATGACACTTGGCGTTCAGGATTCGATTTCCAAAGGAAAGGCGCCACCACGAAAGTCATAGTGAGAAAAGCCAAAAAATTAGCGCCGCTCGGTTTCGATCCGAGGACATCAGGGTTATGAGCCCTGCGCGCTTCCACTGCGCCACGGCGCTATAGAAGATAGAGTAATCCAAGAGCAAAACAGGTAATTGACACGTTTTGCTGTCACAGGACAATTTCAGTTCAAGGTGTCAGTTCCTGAAGACAAGAGAACATTGGATCACTGCGATCCTCTCATGATCTTTTCTTGATAGAACCGGATTTTTATTATTTGCTATTTTTTCGGCTCGAAGCCGCATCCAGTCTATCAGGAGTAGCTACTTCCATTTTTGTTGTGATTTTGAGTATCCTGACGCTCTCTCTCTGCGTTAGCGCCATCTCTTCGACCGCTGTTGTTTTTCTATTGCTATCAAACACACGTACTATTTACTTGGATTATAGAATTTCTCTTCGGCACTTCGACCCTTGCGGCTCAAGCCTTTTCATCCTACATCTGAATTATTTCTGTTGGTTCAATAAGTTGTATTTAGCGGCTTCCTTCAAACACTTCGTCATCCATTTCTCAGTGTGAAGTGCTATCGGTTCATGCATCAATCTTGCCTTTCGCAATAATGCTTGAATGCAACACCGTGATTTGTTAGCTTTTTTGTATCTTAACGTAGAAATTTTGGTGGTTTCATATTTCTTCAGCGGACATACTCTACGCGTCAATCGCGCTGGACATAAATCATTACGAAATCTGTTCAGCGTATGATGGGAGACGTTCCTCGCTGCATAAAGCAAGGTCATTTTCCTCAATTTTCTAGTTGCTTATTCCGGTGCCATGAACAGTTGAAACTGCATGCTGACAGCACGAGCTACCTATTGCTGTTTTGAAAAGTTATTTCATCAGTCTTCAGATGTCATTACCCACAGTTTGCATCGACATGCCAAGTGGAGTCGTGGATATACCTTGGCCATCTTATACTAATGTCTCGTTTTCAAAAGTTGACTTGTAGGCCCTATAGATAATCTCTCGCCTTATATACTGTTGAAGATCGGTATTTTTACGCTAACCTCGTCTCTCGAATCGCGAGTTCACTACATACTTGTTTCAATAGGCTGCAATGGTATATGATAAGCGGCATTGGTTTGAAGTACTACTGGAAGACGTTGGCTCTTCTCATCAAAGAGAAGATAAAGACTTGGCACTTTTCCATTGCGCGACAACTGGTATTGTTGTTGGGAAATCAGTTGTGTCCTGTATTACAAATTTGAGAACCATGCTCATTGTCAAATTTCACACCACCCTCTTTTGTTTACACGTTACATGAACAAGACAGATACTTAGCGTCAATCATCTAAAACCACAATGGTATCCAAGATGAGTGTGATCTGCAATTCAAGTTCAAATCGTGACGTGTTTTTGGTCATAGTACTAAATGCCTCATTTCCTACACTCTTTCATCTAATAAGATCGCTTCTATGGCCAAGTTGGTAAGGCGCCACACTAGTAATGTGGAGATCATCAGTTCAACTCTGGTTGGAAGCAAAGTTTCTTCTATGATACAATTTGTATATTTACAAATTTTTTTTGTTTTTGTTTATCTTGCTTTCATCGGTTCGAGAGGGATGAGTTCCCGATTAGATCAAAAAATCTTTTTTACTGTCTACCATTTTTTATTGTCCCAATCATTGTTTTGGACTGTTCGGTTGACATTAAGCTTTGGAACTTGTGAATAATTCTTCGGTTTCAAATTTTGTAGTAATGTTGGTGGGAAGTCTTGCTTTGACAGCACTTCTAGGACTAGGAGCCAAAATAGCAGACGCTGCTAATACCACGCTCCCGATCATTGAAATCAAAGGCAATGCTTTCTTCAGCTCTGACAGTGGTGAAAGATTTTATATTCGTGGTGTGGACTACCAACCTGGCGGGTCCTCCAACCTAACAGACCCTTTAGGAAGCGCCGAGATCTGCAAAAGAGACGTGCCTGTTTTTCAGGATCTGGGGTTGAATGCAGTGCGTATTTACACCGTAGACAATACCCTGGATCACTCTGAATGTATGCAGATGCTATCCGAGGCAGGCATATACGTGATCCTGGATGTCAATACCCCGGACAGCTCCATCTCTAGATCCAATGCGGAATGCTCTTATAATGCGGACTACCTACAGACCGTTTTTGCTACCATAGACGCCTTCGCTGACTATAGCAATGTCTTGGGGTTTTTCGCCGGTAACGAGGTAATTAACGATGAGACCAACACAGGCACCGCTACCTACGTAAAAGCGGTTGTCAGAGATATGAAAAAATACATGAAAGCCAGAAAGTACCGTCAGATTCCCGTGGGGTACTCCGCTGCTGACGTTTCGGAGAACGTTCAGCTAGCCGCCAGCTACTTCAACTGTGGTGATGACGCTGATGCCCGTGTTGACATGTTTGGCGTCAACGACTATTCCTGGTGTGGTCAGTCGTCCTTCCAACAATCTGGTTACTCTGCCAAAGTGAAAGCATACAGCAATTACTCAGTGCCACTCTTCTTGAGTGAATTTGGCTGTATCAAAACTACCCCAAGACCTTTCACAGAAATTGGTTCCATTTATTCAACTCAAATGTCGTCGGTATTCTCTGGTGGTCTCGTTTACGAGTATTCTAATGAGGCCAACAACTACGGACTGGTTGATATCGAAAGCCAAACGTCCGTGAATAAGCTTACCGATTTTCAAAATCTGAAGAAAGAATATCAAATGACCTCCAATCCACAAGGAGACGGCGGTTACTCGAAGAACGGCAACGTTTCAACTTGTCCAAGTTACGAGAAGGGTACATGGGAAGCCAACAACACATTACCCCCCATGCCTAGTGCTGCTTCGGCCTTTTTTTCCCAGGGCGCAGGCCAGCCAATGGGAACTGGTTATCCCACTCAATTTAGATGCGGTGACGCTAACATTAGTAACTACTTCACGGCTGATGCAACCTCCTCTAGCGCATCCCAATCAGAATCGTCGTCGGCGTCGTCTGGATCCTCCACACCTCTTCAATCTTCATCAAGCAGTTCTACGAGTACAAGCGCCTCCAGCTCGGCAAAAAGCTCTTCCAAGTCCAAAGGCGGTGCTGTTGCCGCTGCTCAAACACCATTAATTTTTAAGGCCATGGCTCACATATGGAACTACATATTGTGAAATGGAGCGAAAATAAAGAAATAGAGGCGGAAGGTCTATGCCCATCGACAAACACTTTAAAGAAGGCTTAATAGGGCCTGTATTCGTTATTTAATTTTTGTTAGTTATAACTCTCAATGAAGTGCTTTGCTTTTGGCACGAGTGTCGGAAAGTCGATTCCGGGGTTATCGGATGTGTCTCAAGCTCTTTGCACAGGCACGTTGATGTCTCAGAACAAAATCCACAACCTTGGTCCCCGACCTCTAAGTTCAAGTCGTCGACGCTTGCGTTCAAGTCGCTGGCCGGTGAGGATGCCCGCTCCTTTTCCTCTTGGGGAACTTTCAATTTTTTAAAAATTGGAAAATTCCCACAACCTTCTGGTTTCCTCCGTTTTCGACGCGGACGTGGCAGTGCCACAGCCTCCATGGGTTGAAATTTGTCAATTTGCTCTTGAAGATCAGATGTTATATAGGCACTGTTTTCGAGCTGAGAATTCAGCCCATGTTCTAAACCAACCTCTCCGCATACGCAGAACTCATGAGTACACATAACACATTTAGCTACATTTCGGGGTACCTGTGCTGGTTGCTCCAATTCTTCAATCCTGTGCGCGAGTAACAGCTTCTCATTCTCTAGTCGTTTAAGGTCCACGCTTTGTTTGTGCAGTTTCTGCTTATAAGCGTCGCATTTCTGGCTCAGTTTCTCCACCTGCTCCTCTAGATTTTGCACTTGATTAATTTGCCGTTCCCTGTATGCTCTTTGAGCCTCTCTGTTCTTGACTTTCCTGTTCGAGTCCTGCTCGTCAGATGAATCAACTCTCTCCCGTAAATGCATCATTGGACGTCGCCCCGGCTTCGTTCTTGCCGGAAGTGACCATTTCCTGGATGTTCGCACCACCCCCGACGTCGCAGTGTTGTTTGTTTTGGCTGAAACTGGTTCCAGGGCCGAGTAATTCATCATTTTATTTGAAGTCGTAGTTTCTGATGAGTTACGATTTTTTGATTTTTGGTTATCTGCGGAAACTCATTCTTCATGAAATTAATCACAGTCGAAGTTGAAAAGACAAAGAAACAAGATCAAATACGGTGGTTTTATAAAGCTCGGAACCTGTTAGGATGCGCTTCTATCTTGTATGGTTGCTTCTGACGGCCGTTTGTATGGCAGACTCGTCGTATATAAACTGTTTTGCAAGCTTGCCGTCAAGTTTCTCGTTCAACAATACTGCTCAGTGGCAGACCAGTTCGCTCTGTTATGCTACATGCAAGGCAACCAGCTCTAAGTACTTTGCATTAAAAAACGGTGGAGATTGCTACTGTGGTAACTCGAATCCGAGTGACAGCGAGTCTACGAGTTCGAGTTGTACTACGGTATGTAATGGTTATGGCGACCAGATGTGTGGGGGATCGGACGCGTTCTCGGTTTACGCCATTGAAGAAAATTTGGGAAATAGCGCCAGTAGCTCGGCTGGCCCTAGCAGCTCGGGCGCGTCATCAAGTTCGCCTAGCTCATCAAAATCCTCTTCCTCGTCGTCGTCCAGTTCACCTTCCTCCTCTGCAAGCGGATCTAGCTCTTCACCCGCTTCCACGAGCACCACATCCAGCTCGTCAAGCTCTACGACCTCTGCACCAACATCATCATCACCATCGTCATCATCATCATCATCTGATTCAAACAACAATGTTGTAACCTCCACGCAGACCTCCGGAGGCTCAGTCAACCTTGTCACTCAAACGGTCACAGCGAGCTCTCCAGCATCTACGGAGAGTCAATCTAGTCAAAATAAGTCTGATAAAAAACCTAAAAACTTAGGGGCCATTATAGGAGGAGTTGTTGGGGGCGTTTGTGGTGCTGCGCTAATAGCTGGGGCCATACTGTTGGGACTGCGGCGTATCAACAAGCAGCGAGAACAAGAACGTATGGAGAAAGAGTACCAAGAGGCAATCAAGCCTGTAGATTTCGACGACACGTTATACCAGTCGTCGGCATCCACAAGGAAGGCTGCCAACCCCTTCGACGACACACGCAGAATCAGCATGGGGTCGGTGATGGAGCAGCCGGGCGTCCCGGACCAAAATGCTCTCAAAACGCTTACAGTAGCTAATCCTGACGAGTGAAGAATGAGTGTCGCGTAGCTTCTCTATCTACCAGAGTCTCTTTCCTCTCTTACCTTATAGCATGTACCATATCTCAAATATATAAGAAAATTATATTTTCGTTTTGGAATTGTAATAGCTGAGCTGCCCAAGCCTGCGTAGTTCTACACATACGTGACTAGTACGCTATACATAACATTTAAATCGTCATGTAACAGGGCTGTTGAGTTCCTTATTCCAATGCCCGTTCTTTCAATTCGTTTGAAGTGCCATCATCACTTTTCCTGGGTTGAGCGATTTTAAAAACATTGTAGATAGTGAAAGTATTATATTAAGGCCGGGTTGAACAATCAGCCGTTGAGGAGTTCGACTTTTGCGAATCCAGAGAATTGAAGCCACAAGTTTGAGACTTTACAAGTGATAGCAGATTTTGAAGTTTTGATTTGAAGTTTCCTTGATTGAGACAAAGGATTATCAGTGTTTTGCTAGTGGGAATCTGAATCTGAGACTGCATATTTCATCTTGGAAACCGGATAAACAACAGATATCGAATTTACCACACCTGAATCAGAACATTCCAAGGATTTGAAGCATGTACAATCATCCACAAGAAGTTCCGCCAGAAGAAGAAGCCAGCTTGGCGTACTTTTTGGAGGCGAGAAGCTTTCTGTCTCGGCTCAAACAGAACCGTAGCCAGTACCTGAACTCCAAGGATGTTATGAGCTCGTACCAACGAGTTCTCACGAAAGTACGTGAGCTAGATGCGATCAGAAAAGCGTCGCATCGGAGACCGGACAATAGCGCCTCAACTTTAATCCACAGTGTGGAACTTCACAATAGAGTAGACTCGGTTCTTGATGATGTTTTTCAATTGTTGTCTCTAAGTTTTTTGACTGTAGGGCTTAAGAACTCCGCGCCAGCCACTTACGCTTCGCTCAGTACCGTGCAACGGCTTTTGGAGCATTTGGATGAGTCTAATGTGTTTACTCATCATGACCTTCGTCCCATTAAGGAACGGCTGGACGAAATATCTGAAATCGTTTCTCAGAGCTCCTATTTGGAAGAAATAGGCACGCAGAACAAGACAATTGATTTCAATCAAATTCCGGACGAGAAAGATCGTAATAAAATTGAAGAAGACTTGTTGCTGCGCGCGAAGCTTAAGCACTGCCTGAAAGAATATGAACACATTGAATCTAAGTTAGAGGAGATAGACGTTGGTTTACAAACCACTATGGAGAATCTATTTCAATTGAGGCGTGGTCTCTTGTCCCTGGCTGCATCTACAAAGAGAAATGCCCAGTTGAAGGACTCCACCACTAAAGTTCCAGGTTCACCAGTATCTGAAGAGTCAGTAAAGGAGAAATTACGAGCGTTGGAGGCCGAGCTGACGGAGATCGAGTCACATCGAGACCCCTCGGGCAAATTTATCTCTCAGGTGACAGGTGAGATCGTTGAAAAAGGGCAAAATGTGTTGAACGGGCTCTTGGATGACTGCCACGATCTCATAAATGATTTGTCGCATCATGCCAACAATGTGGTAGTCCTAGACCTAAAGTTGCAACCAATATACGACGAACTGATTGATATAAAGACGACTTTAGAAAATCTTTTGGTAACACGGCGTTGGACGCTTAGAGAAACTGATCTATTTTCGTACCAGAAGAGGCTATCTGAGATAGACAAGTTGAGAGTCGGCGGCAAGTTCCCTTCGGATTCACCAGAGAAGAAGGGCCAGGCCATTCTTCTGTACTTGTTGCGTCGTTGCTATGCTATCATATACAAGCTTTTGGAGTGTTCTGAGCCTGTTTCCGAAGCTTTGCAGAAGATTCACAACCAGTTATCTACGGTACGTCGGTGTCTGCTGGAGCTAAAAAGAATGGGCGGTGTTGAAAACGACAGAGAGTTATACCCCTATCAGATGAAATTGGCTTCGTTGGATAACGTCCGCGTGGACGGAAAGTTTTATGATGCGGATGGCAATATTCCAGAGGGCCAGGGCACGCTAAATGCTTTGTTGGCCGAGTGCTTTGACATCCTTCATGAACTGAAGATTGAAGCTGAAGAGCGCGAGGGTCGCGGCAACAAAGAAGACAATGGCGACCAAGAAGAGGCAGACTCCGCTGACAGCAGTGCGGTGGAGACTAAAGGATCTGAGTCCAGAGCGCCTATAAACGTACAGAGTTCTGTCAAGAAGAACATCGCGGGTTCTGACAAATTGAATCACCGGTCCAAGTTTCTTGACAACTCTAAGCAATACCACAATGACGACGATGACGATGACGACGATGATGAGGAGGAAGAGGAAGAATATACCACCAACTACAGTGAACACAGCTACGAAGACGATGAAGATGATTATGCAACTACGAGTCAGGCTGAGGACTAGTTCGTTATGATCGGTGCATGTCGGTCATTGACCGCCTAGATGTTCGCGATCTGCAAGCTAATTTGTAAGTGGGCTTGCATAACGACATGATTGCTGGGCGAAGGGGTGATGTCTTGCGACTTGAAAATTAGCCTCCTCGGCAAATAATTATACAAAGTTGCGCTCATCGCATGCCAGCAATTGATTTTAGTTTTTCAGTATATAATAAATTATGAAATTCTTGCAAGCAAAGGGTCGAAGAACCATATAATAGGGGTTACGAAACTTTAATTAGTAGCAAGTAGTTAATCAGTTAGGTGTTCACTTAGCCAACTGAAGCTCGCAAATTAATCGAACAGCCTTAGCAAAATACTGAAATGGTAGAATTACGTCGCTCTTCCAGAGCAAAAAGCTCTAATAACTACAAAGAGTCTGAGAATGGCTCGGATGAAGAAACACAGGTGCAAGAGCCACAATTGAAGAAGCCGAAGCCTAGTGGATCAGCCAGTAAACCTCATGAGTTAGAAGTTGGAGACCAGATCCCAGACTTGAAATTGAAAAACCAGGAAGATGAAGAAGTAGCATTGAAGCAGGTGGTCAAGGAAAACAAAGTTGTCGTTATTTTCTCGTATCCTAAGGCGAGCACTCCTGGATGCACCAAGCAAGCGTGTGCTTATAGAGACAACTATGAGGAACTAAAGAAGATTGCTGCTGTTTTCGGCCTTAGTGCGGACACGGTCAAGGCTCAGAAGGGTTTCCAGACTAAACATTCGTTGCCTTACGACCTGCTTTCGGACCCCAAGCGCGAGCTAATTGAGCTACTGGGTGCCAAGAAAGACTCCTCCACGAAGCGCTCTCATTGGGTTTTTGCAAATGGGAAGTTGGTGGATAAACGCATTGGTGTGGCCCCTGAAACCTCCATACCAGAGGCGGTGACCGTTGCAACCGAGGCTTACAATTCGAAAGACGGGGAAAAGCCGAAAGATGAAGATGCAAATGATGAGGGCGATGGAGCTGACTACGATGGTGAAGAGGACGAGGACGAGGACGAAGATTTTGCCGCAGATGATGCGGAGGATCCCGAACTGGAGGAAATTGGTCAAGATGACGACGACGAGTACGACGAGAAAGCTTTGAAGAAGGACGAAGTCAATGAAGGTGACGTCGACGTTGAAAACGCTGGTGATGGTAGTGTGAAGGGTGAGAAAGAAGACCTCCAAGAAGGAGGCACCGAAGGGGAAGACGACTTGGATGGGGAAGACGAAGAAAAAGTCGAGGTTCAAGAAAAAGAATAAATGGGTGGACAGCAAAAACTGCTCGCTTGAGTGTATCAATGACAATATAATTATGATATTTTAATGAAGCCTTTTCCTTCCGTTAAGGACCTTCAAAACTTTTATTAATTTTATCGTGCTTTTATGCTGTTCTAATAGTGTAATCGTCACCACTTTCCGTTATGTATCGAACCCAGGGGTAACTTTGGTATTGAAGTTTAGGCTCTTGAACCTTGAGGTAACGCACTTGAATACCCGAGGTGGTGAAGTAAGGAATCTGGAACTTGACTTGTATGGGCCTTTTGGCCTTGGGTACCTCTACATCTGTCATGGAAGGCAAACCCAAGTGGGCAGCAAAAGAGTATTCTTTGCCACCGTTGAAGGTCTTGATTTTCCATAGAATGGCACTTTTCTCAGGAACATACTTTAAAGACCCATGAGAATACCGAAACTTTGGCGAGTCCGCATCTTCTGGAACTGGTATCAGAATTTCGACGTTATTGGCGGAGGATTTCTTCTTAATCTGTGCTTTGGCCCTACAGTGGATTTCGATTCTCGATTGTGAGTGGACCTGGATTTTGGCATCACACCAAATGAGCGGTTTAATTGGCGTCGAAAGTCTGTAATTCATTAGCTCAAAATCACCATCCGGTGGAATAAATGTGATAATTTTCTCATTTTCGAATTTGCTCAAACGAACACACTGGTGAAATTTCAAATCCTCTAGTTCTATGTTCGAATTTTTGCCCGTTGATCGATCTGACTTATTGCTTGAGTCGTCACTGGTGAAGATGCCTTTGTCGTTGAGTCCTAATTTTAGATCTGGCATGCCGGAAAGGTGAGATTTGACTTTAACCTTGCCCAGGATTTCAGACCGTAGAACTTGGCCGTTGGCAGATATCAGCATGTTGATAGACTCCACCACATCCAAAAAGGCCTCATTCTTTTTATATACAATTCCCTCGGGTCTCCAGCTCACGGACTGGGTTAATTGGGAGGGTGGACGCACCACATTTTTGGATTTTTTGACCGACTTGATCAGTTTGAATGATTTCTGTGTGATATACTGCTTGAGCATCTTCGTTTCGGTAATCTGTGGAATTCCGTAGTCTAGCATCTCATCGAGTAGCTCATATATGATAACGAAGTTATCCCTTATAGATTCTTCTTCCACTGTTTTGACGTATTCTGCCAGCACATCTACAAGCTTGTAGAGAAAAGAAAATACCTCTGCGACATTGATCGATAGCGACCGGCTCATTGTAAGTACGTAGACATCGTTGTGCTGGATGAACATGTATTGAACGCCATTGTGAGTCAGACATGGTGGAACTACACTGGATTCATGTTCGGCCTCTAACAGTAGTGAAGGAAATTTCTCGATGGCTGACGTCGGAATATCGTCACGGTAACGTCTAGAAAGAATCGTCTTGCCTTTGTTATCACAAAAGTAAATGCAAGAAGCCATTTCAGCTACGTTCCCTACACCAAGAGTCGCTATTGTCAAGTATATCACACTGATGAGTATTTGTGATTCTTTCCTAATTTTAAATGAATACACGTAATATAAATCGCGATCACTTTCTACGCAAGCCAAATCTAGCAAACTGTTTGAGTCATCGATGGCTATGCTTTATGGCGTTACTTTAGCTTAGTTCTCTCCCGAATACGGCACTGAAGGACTCGAGGTGGTAAAGGTATGGAAATTTGGCAGAAGCCTCTACCTGGTCTAGATCGAACGCAAGACATTGCCCAATTACTAATACAGGTACCACTGAAATGCGTGGATCTAGACCGAGCATCATGGACCACTTTCTAGGGTCATGGAGCTCCCGCACAGGTACGTACTTCATTGCCACGTCTCCTATTAAAAATAACGTGTTGACAGTCTTGTCCGTTATGCGTATCGAGTGATATCGTTCGAACTCACTGACACATTGTGGCGTGAATTCAACTAAGGATATGGCAAAAGTCGTCGCGGACTGAGCCATATACGGTATAATTGTGGACTTTGTGGAACCCAGTGACTTTCACGAAATGGCGTTTGTTCTGCAAGTTTTGCGGATTGAATAGCGAAGAGCTCGTCGTGTCACACGATGGAATCAATTTATCCAGTCGGGGCCAGATTGGAAACCCTACATGAATACGCGCCAGATCAAGTATATCCGGAGCTATCCAAGAGCGCAGGTAGAACGACTCATTTTGTTTTTTCTTATAGCTAGTAACAACTCTAGACATCTAACCTATTTAGTCTTTAATGCGTCTTTAGCTTATACGCCCATCATAAGGTTTTTTAGCTAATATAATATAGTTGGGTCCACACGTGTTTTTACAGTGTCGCAGTTGTTTAATTGTGAAGAAAGCACTTTGGCAAGATTTCCAAAGCTGAGTGAAGTATACGATTTATTGAGTAACGTTATCGTAGCAAGATTATTATATAATTCGGCAGTTTCTATCTTTTTGATTTAGTGTGCCCGCTATGTTCTCGTGTCCAAAAAAATATTAGTGCTGGAGTCGTAGCTGGATATGGTAGTGCTCAAACCAGGATCGCTTCATATAAAATCATGGCGTGGCTCATATTCGGAGGTTTGGACATTGACTTCGCGAGGAATGCGAAAGTATCTTCGTTACATCTACAAGTGATATGCGGAGTATAAACATTGTAGCTACGAGATGACCAAAATTAGCCGAAATATTCTTGATCAACGTACTGCGTAAAATTTGTGACAAATTGCGACATCACAGAAATGTGTTACATGCAGTAGTTGTTATTGTGGCAAAGGCGCCGATCGAACAGTGTAGGAAAGGACTTTACTGTTGCGTAGGTTATAAAAATTGATGCAACTTAATGATTTAGGAATAAACAAGAGCAGAGTAAGAGGGACAATCAATTATATATGGAATTACAACAAGTGAAAGACTACAGTTGAATTCAAAACATTAAGATTGGTCATGTGTTTAAATTTTCTGTTAGGTACGAGATCAAAAAAATATCGAAAAAATATCGAAAAAATATCGAAAAAATGAGACGGACAGGAATTGAACCTGCAACCCTTCGATTGCAACTGATTTCCTAGTAAACCAAGATTTAATTGGAGTCGAAAGCTCTACCATTGAGCCACCGCTTCATTTCTGAAAGTAGGGAATGAAAACTAACTATACATCCCATACTTATAAAAACGTGGCTAGAATACTAAAAAAATATTGTTGACAATCATAAGCGTTAACGAGTGCAAAGATTGCTGATTACATTGCAAGATATTAGATTCTGTAGCTAAATAATAGCAGAAAGATATTTTACGACTGGTTACCAGCATTGAATCTTATTCCAGTAATGCTACTGTCGGATATTATGTCTAATAGATTCAACTGCATATCAGCTTCTACGTAGCTCTTTCCACATTTCAAAAAAAAACACTCACGGTGGGGGTCGAACCCACAATCTTCTGATTAGAAGTCAGACGCGTTGCCATTACGCCACGCAAGCTTTTCTGAAATGATCCGTGACGTGGGTAATACATACTCCTACATGGGAACCATGTAGTTGGTTGGTTTTCGTTTCAAACTCTACATGCTCATCATGCATCCAATTATCTACATCAACTGAATTAATAGAGGCCATTATGAAGTAAGAGTTCATAGCCATGGTCAACGTCAAAGTAGAGTTTTTAGGGGGTTTGGACGTTATTTTTGAGAAGCAGAGAACATACAAGCTAAATGTGCCCTCTAAAGATGATTCAGAGGTGACCGTGGGTTCGCTAATTGATTATATAGTGGAGAATATGATTAAAAACCCAAGAGATAAAGATGTGTTCATCGAGAACGATACAATCAGGCCTGGTATATTGACATTAATAAACGACACTGATTGGGAACTGGAGGGTGAAAAAGATTACGTTTTGGAGGACGGTGACATCCTGTCGTTCACATCAACTCTCCACGGTGGTTGAAATAGCTTCAGTTGTAGCAACATCACATTGTACTGTAAGTAGTTTATCGTTTTAAACATGCACTAATCGACAGCCTAGAAGGCCCGGGCCCGCCCAATTTCTAGAAGGGGTCAGAGTCAAATTTTGCAGGCTTCCGTTCCTGAGCATACGTATCGAAATTTGTGCATTCTCGCTCTTTTTAACTACTGGCCCTATTGCCGCAAGTGACTGGTTGTTTCCGGCATTAATGCTACCGAATTTGACAATCTTGTCGCCTTCAAGTAAGCCCTGCGTTGGATGTTAGTAACTGTTGATGATTGTAGAAGCCCTATGGAATTGTGTACTTACAGCCCTGTGCGATGGACTACCAGGAACCACTTCTGTGACCAGCGCAAATGGAATCCGATAATCCAAAACGTTATCATCTTGGATCTTGTGAGTCTTTGCGGCCATTTTTTTGAATTGCGTAGCCATCAGTTCTTGAGTTCTCGAGATCACAGCTCGAAGATCATTTCTGAGCATATTGATACTGCGCCTTAACAGTCTCACTTGTAATACGTCCACATCAGATCTAGGAAAGCCTTCGGGAGTGACAAGATTAGAGTTGAGATCAGCACCTTGCAGATTCAATTTGTCAAAGAGACCATCAAGTTCAGTTTCTAATTTAGCCTTCAAGTCGAAGACTTCCGTTATAGACAACTCCGGCAGTCTAATTAATTCATCTTTCAAAGTTCCATTGACGTTTGGATCCTCAACGCCACCGGAAAGAATGTCAAATCGGTTCTCTTGCTGCATTTGGTTATTGTAAAGGGCGAGTTCAACTTTTGTCGCGCTAAAACTGTAGTAAAGCAGTTATAATGACTTTTGAATTAGCATGCACATGATTGACGTAGCCTCTGCATAACACAAGGGAACATAAGGGAAGACATTTCCATCCTGATGAGAAGCAGATCGATTCTTTATTTAGATAGGTATATACATACATGTATGAGTGGAGACCGCTAGTTTTGGCTGCCAAGGAGAGATCTCAAGGTTGCCACTTCACGTTCCAGCTCAGTGTTTTTCTTCAACAATTCTTCAACTTTAACTTCCAGCTGAGTCATTCTTTGAAACTTTCTAGCACGAGAACGTCTGGCAGCTTCCGTGTTTTTGGCACGCTTCATTGCGACAGGGTCGTCAGATTCGGGAATGATTGGAGTCAAAGGAGCAGCACGAGATTTCCGGTTATAAGGAACAAAACCCATACGATCCAAGCTCACGGGCTTTTGGACAGAGCCAGCAGCCGAGTATTTCTTGATCGAATGCGTAAGTTTTGCATCCTCGATAACAGGCGTGGGAAGAAATGACTTTTGGTCAATAAAAGTTGAAGCTTGCATACTATGTTCGTATGGCGACTCTTCAAGGGTGTCCGAGACGCGTTCAGGCAACGACATACGTGATTTCTGTGCGTCCGAAGGCTGGGCCTGAGTCGAGTCACTAATACTAACAGATATGTCATCGTCGAATAGCGAGTTCCAGTTTTGCGGATCGGACTCTACATTTTCAAGCTCGAACAATGGTGTAGAGTCTGCACTAGATGCAAAAAACTGATCGAAATCGCTAGCAGCATTGGCACTATCATCCAATTGAGGAGTGAGGTCCAAAAGTGGAGACTCGAATTCTTTCTTCACGGCGGGAAGGCCTGAGAAAGAATCGTTTCGAGCTTGCGACTGAGCAAACTTATCGAACACGAGTTCTCCGACAAGCGGTTCACGAAACTGCTCGATAGGCTTATTGCCGCCCTCGGCCCCATGGGGCTCGAGAGCGGTCATATCAAATAGAGAAGGAAATTGAGTTGCAGACATTTTTAGATTCAATAAATTCTGGAGTTGTGGGATTTAAAATATTCGGTTTAATCTGAGAGGGTGATTGAAATCGCGCCATATTGGACGGTGGGTTGGGGGTTCATTGCATAAATGCAGATGAGGTTGATATTATGAAAACATATTGGGAAAAACTTGTAGCGAAGAGCGTTGAGATAACACAGTTGCGCGGGATGGTAAAAAAGATTCGAGAAAAAAAGGTTGTTGAGACAATTGGAAAATAATTAGGAATTCACAGAAGACTGGGAAAACTCATTATTGTGACATTTGGGCAACCTATTTTTCTTGTATTAAATTCTTTTCACGTACTTTGAGACAGTAAAAAATTTAGCAGGCCATTTTTGCTAAGACACTTGCGGTTCGATATCGGGACTAAGTAACTTCGTAAAAATGGGTCAAAATTGAGCTGGTGCTAAATTTTTTAATGATCGCGGAAGGAGTAAAGAGTATGTGGTGCCGCAGGAATTGGAAAGGAGATGTGTTGGTTGTTTTTTCAACTGAGTGTTCTGGCGCTTAATGTCGCTTTCGTACTATTTGCTGGAACTGACGTTCTTGAACTGTAAGTTCTAGTTAGATGCTTCGTTAGCCAAATGTAAGAAAGATGACTAGTCCGATGACTCTGGAAATTTTTTCAGCGCGCTTTTTATATGGGGAACAGTCAGCAGATAAGTGAAAAATTTTTTAGGCCGACAACAGGCCGGCGCACACCGCCGTTAGCAGAAGATTGTGCACTATCTATTCGCGCTGGATTGGATACGACGCACAACGGGCAGATAACGCCGTGGCCTTGCGTGAGTCAATTTAGGCAACTCGAAACAGGAGCTTAACACTGCTCTGCAACGACGCGCTCGTCTCGAGTGACCCGTATCGGGCCTTACACGCTTAAAGATCAGCACTATTTGTCATACTCCGCGCACCGCGCTAATAGCCTATCCAGCATGATGCCCGCATTGTGTGAACCGCCGAGAGACACATGGCGACCACTCGAGCTAGGTGAAAACTTGCCGAGCCTCGCAATTGCGGAAGTTCCAATAAGCAACACGTGAAATTATATTCGTAGGATCTGATATTTGCTCGCGTTCCGTTAGCGTCGGACAGGGACAAAGTGACATAGTCTCTGCCCGCATCTTCTGCGACTGGTGGTTCAATTCGCCATGAGCCATTTATTTGGCCCTTCACCAGGCCTCAAATCCAAATTTTGGTAACACGCTAGGGTATGATTAGCTTTCAGTTTTTCCGCCCTTTATGGCATACGGGTTTACGAGGCTTTCCGAGTCGTTTATTCCGCCGGATCTACATTGCGGCATGCGGAATTGTTCTCGCTTTGAAAGGGTTGCTTGCTGACGATACGATTTTACGGTTTTTTGGTTTTTTTTTCCTGTGATTTTTGTAGGTTTACACTTTACGCCGGTTGTGGTGCCTGCAGATTTTTGAATTCTTTATGTAGATGTCGAGGGAAAGAACAAACAGCACTGCGTCCATCAGAACACGCCATCACAGGAGCGTCTTTGACGCAAGCGAGAGGGTCCAGTTGGAATTTAGCGTCCGTGCACCGCTTCGTTGTCGGCGAAACAATAAGAACAGTTGGTTCGCGGCAGGTGGGAAAAAGCCAAAAAAATTAATTCCGTCGTAACGGCGTTTGTGACCGAAACATACTCGCAGCTTCCAAATCGTAAGTTTACGACTCCATATTGCGTGGTATAATCACTCCAGCCGCGCTGCCAGCCATACACTGTGCGATAATTCACTCAACGTGTGTTTTTCTAGTCTTGCTGCTTCTTTGCGCCTCCTAAAGCATCAAGCCCGTTTATGTCAAGTATCATAAACTATATACGCTGTTCAATGCCAGCACAGCTTTATTCGTCTGCAATTTCTGCTTTTAGAAAGGTGGAAAAATGAGTCTGCAGGCGTAAGGTTTTTTCCAAGTCTTGACTGATGGCTTTTTCCTTCCCTGCTTCTCTCAAGCAACTGGCGTTCCTTCGTCAAGGAAAAAAAAAAAAAAAAGGTACCCAGGTAACTCACTTTCCCAGAGCGATTGAGTGCAGAACCGGGGGTCTCTCAACCGAGATCCGATGATAAATAGCCACACATCAAGACCGATTTTTCTGACCAAATTTTGGATTCCGCCCCGTTATCCTCCATGGCATCCTTTGCAACATAGTTTCACGGAGAGCATTCTAGTTTAGTCCTCACACACATCGGAGCTCACGCATTAAAGATCACAGGACCGGTTACCTATTCTGTCCACCGCTTAACGCACACACGCAAGCACGATCGCCAAATCACTATTTCCTCATCCGACACATAGTGTCAGCGTCACGAAAAAAAGAAGAAAAAGAAGAAGAGTGGATCTTGACCGTTCAGTCATTCCATCTTTACACAGCCATACTACTACGTTTCCTGCATACACATGCATCATGCGCTCGTCAAAATATTCCCTACCTTCCACGGGTATGTTGACTCCACCACCGACGTGCTCCTCATCTTGCAAGCTGTACTGGATGGCGAACTCACCGCCGTGTCCCGCAGACCATACGAAATCGAGCGCTCTCAGCTCATAGCCTCTGGGAATGTGTTTGTCTTCATAGAGGAAATCTCGGGCATCCGTCGCTGGACCGATGGTATGTCCTGGTCGCCCTCGCGGATTCTTGGCAAGTTCCTCGTGTATCGCGAGCAAGAAAAGCACAAATCTTCTCAATCCTCGGCCGCGCTCATGAATCCTCGACCAGTGTCACCTTCGTCGGCTGCTGCGTGTCCTCTTCGTACCGGTGGTCTAATCAAAAAATCCATGTCTTTGCACTTGTACGATGCCCTGCACCAACAGCGGCAGACTGTGCATTTAATCTCCTACTACACCAAGTATGACTGCGATTCCGGCAAGCTCAAATCCCCCTCTTCAGACCCATTTTTCGGTTCCATAAGGCCCTGCCCTCAGCTCATCGATGCGCTGGATTCGACTACTGTGGGAGGAGGTTCTCGAAATAACAACGTGTCACATAATTTGAACGGTATAACAGGCCTTTGTAAACGTGAGGAAGATGCCTCACAAATGCTACCACCTGCTTCTCCTTTTTCTTACTCTCAACCATGCCTTCCAAAATTACTTCAGCATTCAGCATCTTGGCCTGTACACTTTCATACCGATCGTGCGGATTCCAATTCACTAGCGAATAGTCAGGGTACCTCTAGGTTCCAGTTCTCTACCGAAGGGACGCCTTTGTCATATTATCATTCATATGATAATATCCCGCCTCTTGCATCCCATAAATCGGGAGCAAATTCTGTCTTTGGGCCCATGGAACGTCCACCGCCTCCTGCAATGAAGGCAGGCGGTCCTATTTACCTCCCTCCCCCAGTACAGTCCATATACCTGTCAATATCACCCGCGGCGCCATACGAAGACCATGTTATGCCGCATGCTTTCTTAAATTATCAACATTGTCAAGAGCAGCAGCCACGTATGCAGCTTTGCGATGGCGCACAATCTCCTAACCCATATCAGAAGCATTCCTTCTTACCGCTTCAGGCAAAACCTGCATCTTGTTTGGGAGTAGAGCTTCCGCCAGTGGCTCATATCACCGGTCAGCTGCGAATGGATCAATACCCAATTGGCTGAATCTCACATCACTTGTCTTAAAGAGCAAACGGCCGAACATGAATGACAAGCCCTCGTCATTTTACAAACGAATTGTATACGAGACTTAGCATCACATAATTGTTCAATTCATACACCATTACTGTATGAAATCAACGCAATCTATGACTGTAAGAGGATTATTTCAGTGTCCATTGATAGTGAGCTCTAAAAAACTGCCGCCATTGAAATGTATTGGTTTTCATCAACTCCAATACCGGTGCGTTCTGTGAGGTTTTTAGCATTAGCGCCAATGGACATGTTAATTATATTACTTGATTGATTTCAACTGCTAATTAAGTCGGCAATTCAAATCGCGTCACGGATTATCTAAATTCTAGGTGAAGAATTTAGGATAGAGAGTGAACTATCAGCATTTTATATAGTTATTTTGATTCGAATTATGCAACATGAAATGTTCCAAACTCTATTATTACTTGTCCCAACTTCTTTCTAGGTACTGTGACAATAATATAAGGTGCACCACAGCTGAACCTTATATATGTTTACTACTACATCAGAGCTCTGGCCGGCTATCTTAACCCTATTGTCGATGTTGACAAGCTCAGCCAGTTATTAATTTTTGTCACTTAATAACTAAGTGTCATAGTTAAATATCGACAAGATCAAAGCCCAGGAAGGCCAATTTTTGTGGGTAATTGCTGAAGCCTTCCATTGCTTGAAAAACGGTGGTGCTGTAGCCTTCTTTAAAGCATGTATGGGGTGCTCGACAAATATATAGACGTCAGTCATAATAAGTATCAATGAGATGAACCCAACATAAAATCGGCATCATAATAGAAGGTTATGAATTACTGTCATTCTTATCACGAAAAAACTCACAACACTATCTCATTAAGACCTCACATTGAAGGGTTGCTATAGCTCCTGATTTAACAAAGGATGTACGCTCTCAACTGTTGTGCGTCTTAGTAGTTATCACCATCTAAATTCAGAGTTCAATTCTTCACTGTGACCGAGCGGTTATATATAGCAAACAGTAATCCTATATGGAAGGCATTTCTGAAGCCCGAAACTACATATGCAAATACTGGTCAATTTTTGAGTATTATAAATTATTTAAGGCTTTATATTTACAGTATAACATCAATGAAAGCTAGCCAACAATAATTCAAATATAATTAAGGTGTAGAGGTGTTATAAAAGCCCATTTATAGTGCAGCCATCTACTTGATATATACAGTGCAAGAACCAATGCGCCCTTGAGGTGGCTGAAAATACAACATGCAATACCTTCTGTATGACAACTCGGACTTACCAACTGCAAATGAATGTTGTCAACTGCTAAAAGGGACCGCAAAGCAGTTGAGGCGACAAGCGCATATAAGAACAGTACTGACCTTCAGCCATGATAACCGCATTTTTTAACATCTTTTGCGACCCAAGACAGGGTATTATAGTGGAGACTGGTAAGTCGATGAGGAATGCGTTGACAGTGTTTGTTCATTGTAGGAATCAAAATCTATCAATATGCATCATCGAACTTGATGAACTAATAGATAATTCGTCTAGAGCTGTGAAACGCCTGAGATCGACACCGTTTAGCCGCTAAAATAGTCTCAAATTATTTGATATTCTTGTGTAGGAATTCACTAACCCTAATTCAAGAACGGAGCTTGCCTTATGAAATCTTAACTGTCTTCCTGATGCGTCTCCAGCCTTTACAATGTTAACTTTTGATTAATAGTGAATTGCAAAAAAACCTCCCGTTATTCGGAAATTAACAGAAAACGGCTCCAACTTTTGGGATCGAGCAATTCATATGAGCTCATTCTCAAGGTTGTCCTTGTGCTTAGAGGATGACCAGCTTCTGAGAAGCTTCTCAACGCAACCTTTGAAAGGTTTCATGGCCCGACCTGAGTTGCTGTATGACGAAATTTTAGCACCAGATTGCTCGACTCCACTTTCATCGGCTGATGTCTTGGAAGACTACGACGGAACCAGGGGTGACGGACATAACAACGATGGTGGCTCTACGCCATTTGTGAGCAGAAACTTCGAAGACACTGAGATTACTGCTCTCTCCGGCGCTATGGCTGGATTTCTAGCCGGTGTCACTGTTTGTCCACTGGATGTAGCGAAGACAAGATTACAGGCCCAAGGGCTACGCTCAGGCTCTTCTAATTACTACAATGGCATAGTCGGAACTCTCAGCACCATTGTGCGCGACGAAAGCGTGCGCGGCTTATACAAAGGCTTGGTTCCCATAATTATGGGATATTTTCCGACGTGGATGATCTATTTCACAGTATATGAGAGGAGTAAGAAGCTCTATCCAAAAATATTTCCGTCTTTTGATTTTATCTCTCATTCCATGTCAGCTTTAACTGCTGGGTCAATATCAACGATTTTGACAAACCCGGTATGGGTTGTCAAGACTAGACTGATGCTGCAAACCCATGTTGATCAGAATTCTACGCATTACAAAGGTACCTTCGACGCCTTTCACAAAATATATACTACCGAGGGTTTCAAAACGTTTTACGCTGGACTACTTCCGTCTCTGTTTGGCCTTTTCCACGTTGCCGTTCATTTCCCCATCTACGAGAAACTCAAAATATGGCTCCATTGTACACCAAACGCATCGAGCTGCGAAGAACACAACCTCGATCTAGCGCGGCTCATTGCCGCCTCTAGCGTCTCCAAAATGGTTGCCAGCACTCTAACATATCCTCATGAAATTCTTCGCACACGAATGCAAATAAAGGCGTCGCCCTTAGATACGAAGGCAGCAGTTCTCAAGCACCATGGCCTAATACGGCTTGTTCAGCAAACTTATAGAGCTGAGGGACTCAGAGGTTTTTACTCAGGTTTTACTACCAACCTTGTCAGAACCGTTCCGGCATCAGCCATAACTCTGGTCTCATTCGAGTATTTCAGGAAATACTTTAACAAGCTTAACAACAACTTTGCCATATAGTACACGCTATTTACCCAGCATTTATATAAGCGCTTCATTGATGCGTGCCATACATACTCTTCATCTTGTATTGTAATATCTCTAAAATGTCACAAAAAGCCCTTTTCACGAGTTTTCTCCGGACTGATGATCAATTCATTTAGATTAAATTTACACGCCCTCTTTGCAAAGTATTGAATATCATATCTTGACAGTGCTTTGGAAGCGAATATGTTACTTAATGCCTTAGCGTTAGGTCTAATTTTCATAGCTCGTTTTTTCGTCACCAGTCAAGCTGCGGACAACTCTCACACGGGTATCGATGACGACTTTCCAGACCCACTCAATGCCGCTCAGTTCGATACGGAAATGTCGAAGCACTTGCATGTAGTGGAGTTTTATAGCCCATACTGTCATCATTGCAAAGCGCTTGCCCCTATTTGGAAAAACGCTTGGAGAAACTTTCGGGACGAGGGGCGGAAATTGAATATTTCATTTGCACAAATCAATTGCGTGGAAAGCGGCGACTTATGCCATAGAGAAAGAATAACAGCATATCCTGCCATTAAGCTTTACGGTCCCAATGGCTTCATCAAAGATTTCCCTCTGGCTCAGAAGCGAAATTTGGAAACATTAACGAATTTCGCCCGTCAAGAGGCAATGAATGCCGACAATTTCGATACTGGGTTTCTAAAAAGTCAGAGTCACCTTTTGAAAGGCACTGAATTTTTGAGTCTCCTAGCAGGAAATGCTGAAGGCCCTCATTTGGTGTCCTTCTGGCCTTCAAAAAATTTGATGACCACAGACGACAGCTCAATTGAATTTGAAAATTGTGACGATTGTCACAGTTTCCAAAACACCTGGACTGTTCTTTCCAATAAATTAATCAGTGAGAATTTCACTATAAACCACCTGAATTGCGAGTCCGAGATGAAGATTTGCAGGGAATTGGGTTTTAGCGATTTGACTGAAATAACTAATCACAGAGCTGATCGATCTCCACACGTCGTATTAATTGTACCCAAAAAAAAAGCTGGCAATTTGTTTTACTACGAAGGAGACGAACACACCGTACGCGACTATGAAGATTTCGCGCGGCGGACAACATTTAACGCTCAAGCACCAACAGTCAGCAATGATGTCCTCGGGCAACTAATTTCCGAACCTTTCCAAATGAAAAAAAGTCCTGGCTCTCCTGATGGCAGCATTCACATCGTGTTCAGATACGAACCAGACACCGTTGTTCAAGAGGATTTTGATATTCTTGAACATCTTATTAAACCGGTTTCTAACATACCGAACGCCTACCTACATAAAAGCACGGATGACTTACTATCCTTTTCACATGAATTATTCAAAAGCATGTATGGGCTCATCAACTACAATCCGGGGGAAGAGGCGAAGCTACCAAACGAAGAATTTTTCAGCATGAGCGCTATAACTCAATACCCTACATTCTTTATGTTCAAGCAGGGAAGCACTATTCCAAACATTTTTCATGGCTATTCGACCACAGAAATGCGCGATTTTGATCTTATTACAGAGTGGATTGAGCAAGATTCTCTACCATTACTGAACGAGTTGACGCCCGTAACTTATCTCAAATTGCTCGAATACCACCCAGAGCTATATCATTTCATGGCCATTCAGCTGGTCAACACTTCAACCGAAGCCGAGCTTTCCAGAAGTTTAGATTACATTGAGAACTTCCGCTTGAGCGCTTTTGATTATGAATCTATCCGTAATGACTACCTAATGGAGACAGTTGCTGCTGAAAGAAAAACGAAAGATGAAGCTGTTCGTGCAATGAAGGCTAAACATGCAGCTTCTGCTGATATCGTCAAGAAAATGCGCGATGAAATTACGCATGAGAAAGGTCATAGGGTTTTATTAACATTCCTTGATCTGTCGACTCACGATTGGTTACTGGCTCAGGCTGGCCTGCAACCCAGTGACCGCAACTACAGAAACGGAGAAGTTCTCATTGTTGATAAGAAGTCTTGCTCTACGTACGTTGAGAGGGATTCTTTGGGGGAAATTTTGAGGGCAGACACGCCATTTGCTGTGAAAGATACATTGTCGAGATTGAGCTTTCCTTCAAGATATAACTCAGATACCATTGAGAGAGTTCAAATTCAAGGTTCAAACCGTGTGCGGTTTTCCGTTATCAGTTCAATTTCTGAACATGGCTTTGTAGGGTACGTCTTAATTTTGGCGTTAATTGTATTTGCGGTTAGAGTGCCCAAAATGTTGAGAAAGATCTCCAACGCGCGCAAGTATCGCAGCCGCAGAGATACTACCGGATTATTAGGAAAGGAAAAGTCCAAGGATTGAAAATCACTTTGTAAGGCTGTATATTAACAATATTGCGCAACGCCACTCATCTAGTAACGAAAACCGATCTAGAAGATCCACACCCAGAAGAAGAACAGGAAAACCACGAAGAAAATTATGAGCCACGTCTTCATGGGGATCCTTGAACTTCCAGCCATTTTCATCATGTCACGATAAGTTCGCTTCAGCCGTTTGCTGGTGCCCTCGAAAACGTTACCAAGTTTGTCCACCGTGTCATTGCTGCCTCTTATCTCTTCGCCCATTTTCAACGACAGAGATTTAAGTGCATTTAGTTTCTCGCTCATTGCGCTTACATGTCTGTCGCTTTGGTTCTCCAAGTTCGATAATGTCGACTGCGAGAAATCCAAATTGCCACCTTTCTCGTAGGGAGAACTCGCCCTGCCACTCAGATTATCGTATTTCGAGTCAAAAAGTTGAGTTCTGCTACCATTGTCCCGCTGATGCAAGCCACCGTCCTGGTTTCTTTCAATTACTGTTAGTTTACCACAAACTCTATCCAAAAACAACTGACTGTTGACCACAAAGACTATAGCCACCAGTTACTTACGAATAGCTCATAAATGTTATACCTTTCAAAGGCCCTTTTATTGCTTGGCTCATGCTGTTTGTTTGTTTGAGATGTATCATGTATACGATCAATGAACTCAAAGCACTACGTACGAGTAAGTTGATGTATCTTCTTAATATACCGGACTATGGGAGCGACTCACGCCAAGTACGTGGTCTTCAGTAGAGTCTACTTGCGTATCAGCTTTGAAATGGTGCCAGTTTTTTATCAAGGAGGCACTGGGAGAGGAGTTCACGTCGCACTGCTAGACCGTGTTGAGCGGAATATGCTATGGAAAGCTAACCTTGAGGGCCTTATTTCAAGCTACAAGACGAACTGTTTTTCGGCGCTAATTGCTCCTGGGATCAATCTGGATGAGCTAGGAGTATCAATGGCTGTTGTGCGCTAGCTGCTGCTACTTCCAACCCATAAGTTGGGACCTAATTAACTCACCAAAGCACTTAGATGCCCATCATTGATTTAAAGTACAGTAGTTGCGGTTATTCTGCTCAGCCAGCTTGTTTCAGGCAGAACAATGCTACTTGACATCGAAATGAAAGGAGGGGGCTAATAAAACAAGCATCGCTTGCTGCAGAGATGTTTTCTTGTTCTTGCTATTGATGTACTTCACTTCAAATAGAGGTTCCGAGAAAGGCGCAGGACTAGAGTACAGCTGTGAGATTTGAATTCGATACGGGCAATCCAACTGAAGTGGGCGATGTCCCGTTATCATCGCTCAGTTCGAACCAGTTCGCGACTTCGATACCTCATATAACCAATGGGTGATATTTCAGTGCAATCCTACGAGTTGCTCGGAACGCTTGGCTTGTCAATCTGCCTTACCTTTACGATTATATGCTTTGATTACGAAAACGATGTGAGAGTAGAAATACTGAATCAAATATTCGAGAAATATATAAGTCGTACTTACTCATCCAAGTAAGCAGGTACGGCTAGAACACAGAGATATGAACGTTGAAAGTACAAAACCTCCGCAATCGCTGCGGGATATCCAGCATATCATTTTGATTCTGTCGGGGAAAGGAGGTGTGGGGAAGAGCTCCGTCACAACTCAAACAGCCTTGACATTGGCAGGTTTAGGCTATAAGGTAGGTGTGCTGGACATCGATCTAACAGGCCCTTCCATTCCCAGGATGTTTGGATTGGAGGGACACTCCATATACCAGTCAGAACAAGGCTGGATCCCCGTAACTAAATATGAAGATGGTTCCGGATCGCTTAAAGTAATGTCGCTTGGCTTTTTGTTGAACGACAGAGGCAGCAGTGTGGTCTGGAGAGGTCCTAAAAAAACTGCGATGATCAAACAATTTATTAAAGATGTGGTGTGGGGTGAGCTAGACTATCTCCTGATAGATACCCCCCCAGGGACCTCCGACGAACACATTTCCATTGCAGAGGAGCTTCGTTGGGCACAACCTGATGGAAGTATTATAGTGACGACGCCGCAAAATGTAGCTACTGCAGATGTTAAGAAAGAGATAAACTTCTGCCGAAAAGTAAATCTGGAAGTACTTGGCATAATAGAAAACATGTCCGGTTTCGTGTGTCCTCATTGTGCTGAGTGTACCAATATATTCTCCAAGGGCGGAGGCCACAAGCTTAGTCAAGATTTGGCCATTGACTTTCTTGGCAGCGTACCAATCGATCCTACATTTGTTGAGCTCATTGAGAACCAAAAAACTGAGGGCTCCAACTTAGTGGATCTCTATAGAAGTCAAGCTCTGTTTCCTGTATTTCAAGATATTATAAAGGCCGTTGAAAAGAAAGAAATTCCTTCAAGAGTATCTAATTGAACAGTTGATATCAAGACTTACTTTCGAATACTTAAATTATCGTGCAAACTATTTGAAATGTCGCCCAAGTTTCCTGTTTGCTCTTTCGAGGCTACATGAGTTGCTTGTTCGTAGCAGGTACTAATAGATGCGGGTGAGACCTTGCGAAATTGAGGTGTGAGCATCACATTTGGTATTTGGCAAGCCGCCATTGGAACAACAATTGATTGACGTTTAGCATTGTTCAGTTTTTGAGATTGGATGGCGTCATGTTGGAGCTGTTCAATATCAGAAGCTTCGTTAGAAGCATTAAGTGGCTTGAGTGCACCTACATCTCCCACAAAAGTTGCGCCCACTCGCGGTGACGCCCCGTTCGCCTCAGTTTCTTCATCGCTCGCAGAGCCACAAGGATGCGCTGTTTTGTTAATGGCGTCGAAAAGTAAAGGGTAATGCCGTTTGTTAAATACTTGGTCGTTGAGTAGTCTATTCTTTCGTGGTAGCTCATTGTCCTTCTCCGCGATTTTTTGAGCGAGAACTTCAGATTGCTGTTTCAATGCAACTAAGGATTCTTGTATCTCAGTAATGATCGCAGTACAGCTTTCAGACTCCGAAAGAGCAGCGCTTTCATTAACTACTCTCTTTTTGTAAACTTTCTTATAGTGATGATGTAACTTCCGCAAAGACACCTTTAACTGACTTTCGATTTTACTTGTTTGTGCCAGCTCTAGCGTTATGTCTTTTAAAACTAGATCATTAATGCTTACCAGGTCTTGCTTGACTTGTTTGAATTCCACTAGCACTTCTCGGAAAATAGCATCATGAGTCAGTTGCTGGGATGATACCAGACTTGGAAGTTGTTTCAAAGCTTCAAAGTAACGCGACTGTTTGATTGCGTGAAATTTGAAGGCCTTACGCTTACGAATGGAGTTGCTATCTCCAAGCATCCGTTCGGTATTTATCATTATTCTGATGGCCTTATTATCTGTGTTATTTATCCGCGTGTTAGGTACAAAGACGCAGGAGCACGTTCCGTCGACATCAACCCGATTATATTTTGCTATTCTGTCTGTTGAAAACTTCATAATTATAGTTGTTGTGTCCCATTACTCACATTTGACGCAATATAAAGTTCAAACTCTGCGACAAAACATGAAATACAGCCAGAAATAATACAGGTAACAAGAAAAAGATAGCCTAAACTATAGCCCAATCACTTTATGGTCTTTAGAGGTGATCAAAGACTCCTTACATATATCTTAATGGCACCTTGCTCTTTCCTTCGATACTTTTTCGTAGGAAGTAACATTGATATTCATTAACTAATTCGACCAAGTTTCATATTATTGACACCGGCTCTAAAAGTTTAACCATATAGATCGGTAACCGAAGCCATGGAAAAGGGTTCCAATGGTATGATTGGCTTAAGATTCTTTTGCTTACAAGTGCAAGTTCTGTTACTAACTGACAACTAAGTTCTTCAATTGAAATACAACGAATATAAACAGATATTGGAAGACCTTCAAACAAAAATCATTGAACTTGGCAACGACAAAGATGAGCACGATATTGTACTTTCAACCCTGCATAAAACGGAACCTGCTAGAAAGTGCTATAGGATGATAGGTGGTGCTTTAGTGGAGACGGATGTAAAACACACAATTCCAGTCCTCGAAACTAAAAAGGGCAACTTATCTTCGACTATATCTACAATGAAGGCTGAGCTGATCAAAATTGCTGAAGAGTTCGAGAAATGGAAGAAAGACAATAAAATCCAGGTAGTGAGACAATAAACTCAATAGCGCAGTAATTGCATCACATAACGGAAACTTCATGAAGACAAACCCCAAATCACCAAACTTCTTCAAATTGGATGTCTTGTTTTAGTACTGTATATAAACCTGGCTACGTTTAATTGTTCTTCTTTTCCATTTGGACGTTATGGCTTCTTTTGAAGCTTAAAAACAGTGTGACGAAAAGCGCCCACGCGACTATGACCGAATAGATTGCGGTAAGGTAAACCCAGGAGTTAGTTATTTCCCAACTCCTGGGATACTCGTCATTAGCCAAATGACGGATTGGTTTAACGTCTCTTTCGGTGAAAAATGACAGCCCACTTCTTTTGTAATCAACGGTGAATGTAAAAATACCGTGATGGTCGGGAAGACTAAAATTTCCCGTAGTGTAATATTGAGCGGTAGGAGCCGAATTACTTGGTTTCAAGGTAATGCGATAGTAAGGATCAATCATTTTGAGCTCGAATTGAATATCCTTAGCAATAAATGGAGCCCACGATGTGCCATCCCATTCAGTCAAGCCAATCTCGTAAATAACATCGTCTTTAACCTTGTAAGGCATATCGGAGTATTCAAGACCATTTGTGTGTTTATGTCTGGCACCCAGGGATTTGACAATAGATTTCTCTCCAAAAGTCCACTTCATCAGTTCTTGAACGAATTGTCCATTAGAGCTGGCGTACTTATCATTGAAAAACAAGTCGCTACCAACCCAGGATACACGGGAGTTCTGTAAACTTTGAAAAGAAACAACAATGTATCCTTGAGATCCCACAGTCCAGTTTTCGTCATGCTTCTGCGAGTCCTTAGTGAACGAAGTTCTGGGCGCTTGCAATACGGGAACGATAAGGTTGGAACTATCTAGAAGCGCCGCAGAGCCTCCATAAATTAAATCACGCTTCAAAGATGGAACGACGTGTTCATTCAAAACATTAGATCCTGAGACGCGCAGTGGAGTGTCACCACCAGATTGGAAATAGTCTTCGAGATGGTAATTTTTTGGACTAGGGTAGATGCCCAATTGATTCAAAAAAAGACGTACATTATCTGCCGTTGCTTCAGGAGATGACAAAGTAAGTATGTGACCTCCTTCATTAGAGAAATCTAGAAGTTTATCAACTGAGAGTTGCTTGTTGAAGTGTCTAGATCTTATGGGAAATATGATCAAATTATCGTATAGCCTCTCTTCTCCTTGGAAAAGCCCGATCGGAGTTGAATCGTTGCTCACAGGTTTGTAATTGAGTTGAAAAGAACGGTCTCCTAGATTACTAAAGAGTGTGCTATAATCTTCCAAATCTGTGAGTCTCTTGTCGTAAATTACCAATGTTCTTGAACCTGATGCCGATTTTGCTTGCGCCACCAATGCCAATTGAAATAAAGTAATGAACAGATTCCAAAAACGGAACGAGTGACCCGAGATAATCATTATTCAGACTGGGAAGTAAGTGGGTCCTTATTTCGATCATAACAGTCTGTTGAGAGCCATCATGAAAAATTAGAAAATTTATTAACTTTTGTTACGTGTGAAGTAATATAATTATATGAAACTCAGTTCGCCAAAGACAGTGGTGAAAGCTCAACCCCCTATTTATCGATGACTACAGACGATCATAATCAAGGTTTCCAAGAATCGTCGGACTTTGTAGAAACCTTTAAGCAGTTGCAAGAAGGCGAGCAAACAGCTGATAAGCTCGAAAAGATGCTTGATCAATTGGAAGGAAAACTTGATGAACTACTATCACAAGCTAGCGAAACCAGCCAAACTACCAATCAAAAAGAGCCATGCGAAAAGATTTTCTCTATGAATGAAGATAGAAAAGATTAATTAAGTTTATCATTTTACAAAACCTATTCATTCACGTCGATCCTCTTTGCACAAAGAGAACTTCGCCATTAGCGTCTACGAACGGATTGATAGGCCGACTTGGGTTGATAACATACTTGTCTGGGTCTACGTCCAGCACAATCTTTACTTGCTTTGAAGTACCAATCCACCATTTTCTGGTAGTTGAGCTAGGAGGCGGCAATTTACGGCCTCTCCTAATTTCGGGGCCCATAGGATCTTCACTCTCAGACTTCTCCACAAGAAGGTTACTGCTATTTAGAACAGCATACCTTTCCTCATCGGTGAGATCTGCGAGCTGCTCCGTCAGTCTTTCATATATCTCTGTAGTCAACTTCGCTTTTAACTGCTCATCCACTACGGTAACTAGTGAGTTAAAGGTAGCGTACACAGGCCTATGGTCGGAAAAAATAATATTCTCAGCTGCACCATAGCTTTGCTGCCTCAATGACTCACCCCTGCTCAAAATTCGGTCTGTCCAAGCTGGAATTCTCATTTTTTCGCTAGTGTCGTAGGTCTTCGTTCCCGGGTCGAACTTATAAGTTGGTGGAAAGTTGATTTCCATTTCGTTATAATACGGGAATGATTCTCCAGCAATCATTTGTTGATTTAGCTGATCTTTTTCGAACAACTTCCCGTACTCTGAGTTTCTCACACGTTTTCTCACTTCATCGTTGGGAAGCGAAATTCTGTAATTGAAATCACCCATCCATATAATCACATCATGATCCTTAATGGAAAGATCGCCAGCGAATCTTATATTCTTGACTATTGTCTTGTAGTCATGATGTCTCTGTTCCACATTCTCCAGCCCTGCCGCCAAGTGCGACACCAAGATGCAAAACTTAGTTGTCGAATATGTAAACCTCACAGCAACAGCACCTTTGTTAGAGGACATACCACCAAACCCAGTTTTCTTAACATCACCTTCTAAATGCTTGACTTTCGAATATTCTGATTCACTAATGAAAAGCACAAGCAATACTCCGCCAAGTTGCCCACCCCAAGCATGCATATATCTTTTGTTTCCGGCGCTATTCAGCGTTTCTATAATCTTCTTTTCCCAAAATTGCTTGGCATATGGATCTGTGGAAAGCATTTGACCTGGACTCAATTCTACTACTTCTTCAAAACCAAGCACATAGACATCGGCGAGCTGATCTGGCCCTGTACCTCCCGGGAACAGCCACTCAGATATGTCACCTTCCTGCGTTTTACCATTAACATTGAAGGTTCCTGCGAAGATGCTAATATTTTTTTGATAAGTGAATTCTTTTCTCATCTTACGCATAAGCTTTGAGATATGAGCGTGTAATGGGTCATATAGACAAACTCGGCAACTGGAGCTAAAAAGCTTCCAATAAACCCTCTTGTACTTATTAAGGTTCTTGAAGTTGTCACTGAAAAGCCTGTTGAGCCAAAAATAATTTTCCGCCCAAAGCTTGTCGTGGGCGCCAATAAAGCTGCCAGATATCTCTGCGTCACTCAACTCTGAAGCAGTTAATTCTATAACCTCCTTACTGACACATCTTTCAACTAGGTTGGGACGTTCTATCGAATCGAAGGCGCTAATTCGTAAACAACCCGTTTGCTTACCAGCATATATGCCTTTTTGGTTATCGTAGACAAAAGCTCCAAATTCGTAGATATCCTGCTTTAGTAGGTAAATGAGTTTGTGCGTTTGCTTCGTCAAAATATCTGAACCATACTCGACATTTATGATTCTAACGTTTTTCTTGTCAGCACATATTCTGTAGGTGTTACTCAGTACTTCTTGCGATTCACTTTTTGGTTTCACCAGATTAAGAACACTTACAACGCCATATTTGGAAGCCATTGTGTCGAAATGCTTATCGAAAGCTGCCTGAAAGTAGGCTGGATCTTCCATTAATTTGATCTTCTTCCCATGTAAAATTTGCCCCTCAGTGACTTCCCAAGAAAGAGGCACATTACCTCTGGTTTGAACATAAGCAAAAACATATCGCAGGGAAGAGAAGATTATTTCTGTTTCAATGAAACCAGATACGTGCCCTTGCTTGTCTATACCTTGCAGATCAAAAATGTTATCTTTATTCTCAGTTGAGATTCTTGATATTATAGTGAGTGTTAAAGGAGAAGAAGTAACTTCTGTAACAAGTGTAGTCTTACAAAACCCTCGCATTACAAATGTAAGGAAGAGCCCACCGTCGAAAAGAGGCCTCTCCAAGGCTGTCATCCTATTCCTCAATTGAACGACTTCATTTATCATGTTACTGTTCCAAATGAAACTTTGATCCTGGTTATCAATAGCATAGTCGAGTCCGTTAGTTAGGCCCCGCTCTTGTAATATGTTCGACAAGTCAAAGTCCCGAGAGTAGTAAAAAGATCCATCGCTGAACAATTTTTTCAAGTCAGCGTAAGAGTGTTCACTTGATGACCTTTCGTGACTCTGCTCTGGAACTTCGCTAAAACCAGAATCAAACAACTCACTGTTCAGACAAAAAAAGTCAACGTTCAAAATCTGGTATATTGATTCAATGTCTTCTCTCTCTCCTGCATTTGTGAGTTTCCATCTAGGATAAGCAACCTTCTGAACGTTTGTGATGAGACCAACAAATAAATTATTGTTCACAGAAATAAGACCAAGGAGACCATTGAAAACTCTTCCTGTTATCTCATTGAATCCTTGTGCACTTAGCTGATCTTCGGGCATGGAGACGACAACAGCAGTGGGTTGGTTACTTTTCCCATCTTGCGCAAAATGAGGCAAACGGGACTTCTCGAAAATGAGTAAATAACCATTTGACAAAAGGGCCAGCGATCTGGGCTCTTTACGAAGGAATAACTTCATGTAATCTCCCGTTCACCTTAATTAAGTAGCTACAAATATGATAATATTAGTATTTGTTATATTCTCTATCTTTTTCAACGATTCTGACTTTATCTATCTATTAAACACAGTTGGCTCACCTCATGCCATCAACAGATGAAAACTTTATCAAGCTGTGCTACTGGTGTAGACTGGGGGATGTAGACAACGTTGATAGATTAATTTCAAAAGGTGTGAATCTAAATGATATTGATGAATTTAACAACTCTCCGCTATTCCTTGCTAGCTTGTGTGGTCACGAAGAACTGGTCAAATTACTTTTGAATCGAGGTGCTATCTGCGATAGAGATCGACACGAAGGTGCTCGGTGCATTTACGGAGCCCTTACTGACTCGATCAGAAACATTTTACTGAAATATAGCATTTCCAAGGCAGTCGACTTGAAGCAACCATTTGCGTCACATTTGTCCTCCCAGCTGACAAACTCAGGCCTTAAAAGTCATGATTTGGTTTTACATTTTTCTGACGGCAAGTGCATTCAACTCCACAGATTTCTACTGGCCGCTAGAAGTGAGTACTTTGCTGCTAAACTTCACGGGGCTTGGGCAGAGTGCAGCAATATTATAATGCCAAACGATATGTCCTCGCAGGCTTTTGGAATCATTGCCAAGTTTATCTACCTGGTGCCAGTCTTGCATAGCATTACTGATGAAGACAGCGTCTCGCTAAAACGAATTTGCGAAGAGGCAGAGTTAACTAGTCTTGCAGATTATTTGCGTGACACAGCTGGCATTTCGGATCAGATTTCCAAATCAACAATATTAACTAGCTATCAGTACCGTCTCACTGAGGAAGCAAGACAACATATGGCAATGATAACGAAAGATATCATCAACCTCAAAAGACCAGCAAATTTCGTAGAAGGTATTCCTACGCGTATTTTACACGACATGAAATCATGTTCTATTATACCAGACATATTTCTTTTAGTGAAACCCTATGACGATCCTGATCGTGGATATATCTACCCTTGCCACAGGTCAATCCTCGTTAGGTCAGATTACTTTAGGGTCATGTTTTCGTCACAATTTGGGGAGGCCTCATCCTATCGGCACACGCCCGAAGGCATAATCGATAGATCGTATGATCTTCCCATTGTCTCTCTACCGACCTCTAGCATTGAAGTTGCTAATCTGATCTTGTCGTATCTTTATTTTGACGAGACAGAGGTCCCTTGGAAGCTAGCATTTGATGTTCTCGCCACTGCCGATGCCCTGTTGATTGAACGGCTCAAAACAATGGCAGCAGTTGCCATAACGCAGGAGCCAACATTTTTTGATCTCTATTCGGTCTTTGACGTGCTTACTGTCGCTTGGCAGTTCAGAGTCAGACGCTTAGAGCTCTATGCCGCAAAAGTCATAGCAAATAATATCGATCGCTATGCACATCAATCGGAATTCAGAGAAGCTATTCTACAGAGCTGCAGCAGACTGAAAGATAGAGAAGAAACTGACACAATTGAGCTGATAGATGATATAAGATTTTACATCCAAGATAATTACAAAGTTGACCAAGATGAGTTGGACGACTTAGATTGGAATAAGAGGGACGGGGGAAAGTCTGAACCGCGAAGAGAATTGATTTCGTACTTCGAAGACCATCAGAAACTAGAGAATTTATTAAACGAGATGGGATTAAATGCTTAACACTAAGCATGCTGCAGTAATAGTATGGGAACGGTGATTGCGCTATAGCATATTTAGTATGGAAATATAACTGTTATCACTTCTTGGTGTGATTTTCGGGAAGCCATGATGTAATATCTTGAGGAGAGGAAACTCCGGACTTTCTGATTTTTTTGGCATCACGAGTCCCAGCTTTAGGGGTCTTGAAAAAAGTCAAGTACGAGAAACCAGCAATGAGCGCGGCTAGGACAAACTGAACAAACATAAACTGAGGGTTGAAAAACGAAATTGCTGCTGGCAAAATTCTTAGGAGATTAGGGTTTGCCACCACTTTCATGGTTTCTTCGCTTTTTTCTATGTAGATGTCAGGAGACAAAGCATACTCGCCTTCTTTTAGAATCAAGTTAACAATTTGCTGAAACTCAACTGTTTCATTAACTCCTACGGGAATTGGTCCAAGGGCTGCAGCACTTATGTTGGCTGCAAGCTCGTTGGTATGAATGTCATATAGGGCACCACCGACTGCGACTACCGAAACATTCACGTCCTCCTTGTTGAAAAGCGAGTATCTTAGCGTCACATTGTCACCATCTTCAAATTCGAGGAATGATGCTAAACTACCTGCTCCTTGTTCCAAAGTTTCATAATTGATATCAAAATTGGCACGTTGAATGCTTTCCTGCTGGATTGAACCGCTTTCGCTTGATTCTGATGCCTCGCTGTTACCTAAGGCAGAACAACTTTTCATGAGGGTTATCAATCCAAATTGTAAGTAGGACAATCTCATTGCAAGGCTGTATAAAGTGCAAAGTTTTGGTTTTATAGTCCAGATATACCAGGGACTACTAAATGAGCCTAAAATCGGTAAGTATTTTTTTTACGTGTTCACTGTAACTAAAAATCGTCAAAAAGTAGCACAAAATACATACAAAAAGTAGCACAAAATAAATACAAAAAGTAGCCTGTAATCAATTAGTTGCTTCAGCGGCTGTCGGGGTGAGCTAAGAAGCCATCTGAACACGAAAATAGCACAAAAACCTTTGAAAATGATATTCAAATCAAGAAACGGTCACATGTCTTAAAATAATAAAGTATTTGTTTTAATTACTCTTAAAGTAATTATAAATTTATAACTATGCTTTTTATATATTTTGTTTAAATAATTTTATTGTTAGCGGATTCCGAAGGCAAAAAATTAGTTTTGGAAAACGAAATGTTTATTTCACGATTTATCTTTTATGTTAATAATCATGTGCTCATTATTTGGCACGTAATTTAATAAATTGTCTCATTCTAACCGCTACAGCCTACATATGATGATAAATGATTGCCATCCACCGAAATGTTAATCCAGCCTGATGCGGACAGTCAGATATGCCCTTATTGAGTTGTGGAAGATATGCTGGAAGCTATAATGACGTCATTCTTCTTGATCCTAAAAGTGCTAGCGAATAGAGAATTATGGGCAAAAGAAGCTTGTTAGAGATGACGTTAGTAGTGGATCAAGGTGCTACTCTAATCTTGCAAGGTTAGGTATGGAAATAATGCTGCAGGGATCTTGAGCCAGGATTCCGCTGAGGCGAAGCGAACTAGCTGTTTCGTTCAGTTGTCATTCAACGCGCTGTCTTCTTGTCATGTCTTGCTTTTTCCCAGCCAGAAACGTTAGTCCTTTTCTTCTTCACTTCGAGGTTTTGCCCCCCCATCACCGTTTTATTCAAGACAAGGGATTTGTTAGCTGCTGTTGAAGACTCAAATTCAATATACGCGTAGCCTTTGATGGTGTCTTTTATTCTCTTGCTGTATAGTGTCAATCGATTGATGGTACCGAAAGTCTTGAATAGTTCCTCCAAAGAGTTAGCGGATACGCTAAGTGAGATGTTTCGCACGAAAACAGAGCGTGAGTCGACTTCATTCTGTGTGCCTGCCTCAAAGTATCGATCACTAGTGCTATTTACGGAGGAGTCTCTATAGACGGAAGAACTCGCCGTCCGAAGATGTACAGGATTTTTGCTCCAGCGTTCCAAATGTTTTAGGAGTTCATCTTGCTCCTCCCCTACCAAATTTTCACTCATCCCCTTCAAGTCGATGTTGCAGACGTTATTAGCATTCTTATATTTAATTTACCGATGCACTGCAGTCGATAATTTGTAATATTGTGATTGGCACGTGAGTACGCCCGTTCTATGTTCTTGAGTTTGAAAAAATTTGAAGCGATGAGCTTCTCAGTTAACTGCTACGCGCTGTTGAAAAGCTGTACCTTGCATAGCTCATTCCCGTAATCATCAAAAGCCCCAACTAGTCATGGCTTCGGTTAGGAAAAGAAAGATGGCCAGATCATCGGTCAAGAAAGCGACCAGGAGACACAAGGATCGAAGCAGAAAGATCAACATCACTAGCAACCCCATCATAGAGAAAAACTGGGACTATTCTCTAACGCTTTCTCAAAATTACGAGAAGTTAGGTCTCCGGGCTAAGTTGCAAACACCAGCAGGAGGTAAGGAGGCCAAGCTGGATAAAATCGTTCTGAAGGAGCCACTATCAAAGCAGTCTTTTTTGAACAACGACGACGACGAATTTGGGCCAGAGGCAAGTATTTCCAGTGACGAAGAATCGAAAGAAGAAGAAGCTGATGAAAACGATATTCTTGAGGGCGAGGCAAGAATCGTACGTGACGCGGAAGGGAATGTTGTGAAGGTCCTCTACGGTAAGAAAAAGGCGCTTGACTCGACCTCAGGAGATGAAGAAAACATGACAGAGACTGTGAAGCAGTTAGAGGCATTTGCATCACGACCAGTTGTTAAAAAGGATAGAGTCCCTAGCCAAAGAGAAGACGCATGGTTGGATTCACTTTATCAGAAGCACGGAGACAATTACAGGAGGATGTTTTTTGATAAGTTAAATGTCAACCAGCAGACTGAAAGCGACATTAAGAATAGGATTGAAAAGTGGAAGCGTAGACAGGGCATCGCCCAATGAAGAAGGAATTTAGTGTAGCTTTTCGTTATTTACGTACCCTAATCTTCGGGATAATTTTTAGTAACTTTGTAACATAGATTTTATTAAGCCTTTTAAATATTTGAAGCAGTGAAGTTGTCATGTTTATTAATTTGGTTCCACGAAAGCTCTGTAGGTAGTGAATTTCGTGTCCTCTGCTATCATGTCTACCTCTGTGTGAGGAGCGATGAAAAACACGAAACCTGGACCAGCTTTTAATTTTGTGCCATTAGTCTGAAGAAATCCGTTACCCTTAGTGGTAATAACAATACTAGGCCCATCAAGGCCCTTAAAGCTCCTTACACCGGCACCTTCCTTGAATGTTGTTTCCAAAACAGCAAATTCTTCAATAGGTGGGTTATAAAGCACCGATTTTCCTCCACCCGAAGATCTGGGAAACTCTTCTAACTTCATCTTTTGGTCCTCAACGGAGTTGTAGGAATAAGTCAACATCTCTACGAGGTTGGATACATCTTTAAACTTCGGGGTGAAACCAGCTCTTACAACGTTATCAGAAGCAGCCATGCACTCAATGATATCACCGCTGATATAAGCATGAGGATCCTTGGCTCTCAAAAAAATGGCTTCACCGGCCTTCAATGAGCAGTGGTTCAAGAGCAACCCACCACAAAACAATCCAACATCATCGGGAAATTGCTCGTTCAATCTGATCAATAAGTCAGGCAAATCTTCCTTGTTGAAGTCAGATGGAGACTTTTGAGCCCTTTGAATCAATGCTCTGGAATTGGCAGTGATAACTTCTTGACTAGCATTCATGACCTTACCAAAAACACTTTGCAAAAGCTTTTTATTTTGTATATCTTCAGCCGAATCCTCTTCCGCTGAGGCAGTGTAATTTTTGATGAACTTCCTGCTAGTTTCTTCGCCAACAACGTTTCTCAACTCTGGAATACGTTGCAACTCATCTGCAATTTCGGCCAAAGGTTTGAAACCACAAAATCCTTCGAAGTCGGTGATCGCAATAGCCATTTCTGGTTTGTGATTGTCATCTGGATAATTATTGGGGTCATCCATATGCAATTTCTTGGCTAGTGCTTTGTCGGGATGCGCTTGAATAGACAGCACTTTCCCGATGGAAAGCACCTTGAACAAGAATGGTAGCTCCTGCTTGGAACCGAACTTGGTGACATTTCCCTGACCCAACATTTCGGCGGGTTCCGCTGCAATCAAGTCACGCAGGTTCTTTTTCGAATCGTGATTCAAAGACGGAACTTTGTGATGAGTACCCATCCAAAGCTCAGCGTATGGTTTTGATTCATCTATTGCAACATTGGGGTCAGAGCGAGATGCGAATTGGGCCACAGCGGAGGAAGAACCGACCTTGCCCCAATCATATTGCTGATATCCTGTAAAAACATAAGGTTTAAGTTAGTAACCTATGGCGCCAATTCAATATATGTTCAAGTTCAGACGTACCGGCATCTAGTCTGAATAGTCTATTGCTCATTTTTTTGGTTTCTGATTTAGCTTATGTTTACGTGTTTATCGTGAATATTAGACTGTTGTTGAAATTAAAAATTCTATGTTCCTAATTTAAAGTTTTGTTAATTTAGTGTGGTCACCAGACACGTTCAAAAGTTCGAACATCGCATTCGTCGATACCTTCAAGAGTGGTGTGTAATCTAGCGATGAGTTCTGACGTTGATTGGCTGAAGACAAACAGCGGTAACCGATTCTCGAAACATGCTAACATTCGTGGTCGCCGGAAGATAATTATATCCGGCATGTGCGTTCTTTCTGAAAAATGCACACTGTTCGGTGATGTGGCAATGAAAAAAGATAGTGACGCTGCTATTTCAATGGGATTATTCTGCTTGCTTGGTGTAGGCTGCATACTTGAACCTCCACAAATAGGCACTAGATTGGACTGGCCACCCGGAAACATTACAACAAAAACTGCAGTCTACGGGTCACTGACGATGGGATCATTTGTGCTTATACGCCCACATTGCGAAATACGCTGTCGTCAAATTGGAAGAAGGGTTGTCGTGGGACGCAGTGTCGTGTTGGGTCGCGGCTCTGAAGTTGGCGATGTGGTGATTATTGACGCAAATGTAAGAGTGCCTGATAGATGTAAAATTCCATCTTTTACAAGAGTGCAACAACATCCAAATTTCGATAATGCCGTTACCTTTACGCCCCTGCCGAGCAGCTTTCGCAAATGTATCGAGAACTGGTGTAAACAGGAATATTTAGGTTTAATTGTAGACGAGGAGAAGATTATCCAGGAACTTTAGGCTGCCTTGAAGAAACGTAAAATCAAAGACTTGGCTATCCGGATCTTTATTACCTAACGTGAGATACGTGACGTATTTTTAGGCATTAGCTAAACAAGATTCAGCCACAATATATTGAGGTACCTTTGATGTAACATTGAGCACCTGGTACGCTTGCTGAACAGACGGCATCTTATAGTATTCTAATGAGTAGAATTCTAAATATTTTGTGCTAAAAGAACACAAGTAAATAACTCTGTAGTTGATTCTTGAGGTTCATTAAGTCAAAAGAAGTGATTCAAATCTAACCTTCTATCTCTCCATGCATCACTCTTCCAAAATTCTGTCACTAAAATTAATTGTTTTCCCTTGGTTTACGAGGTCCTACTCTAAAGTTTGAAATTTGAAATTCGATCCTATGTAACATAGAATTCAATTACATCAATGCGAGCCACACTCAAAAGCGGCTCTGGGCATGATCGATACGGTGTTGTTATTGACGCTGGCTCGTCTGGATCAAGAGTTTACGTCTACAAGTGGCAGGATCCACAGTTCTCGGCTCAACAATCAAATTCAGAGATTAAGAAATCAGTTCCCGAAATCCATCTGAACAAAGAATGGACGTTCAAGACGTCACCGGGGCTGTCTTCGTTCGCCAAAAAGCCCGAGAAGGCATTTCGCAAGCATATAGAACCTCTCCTTGAATTCGCGGAGGACGTCATACCTCAAGAAAACCTGAGGTTTACACCTGTATTCATCCAAGCTACTGCCGGAATGAGACTATTACCTGAAAAGAAAAGGAATGCCATTCTCGATCATCTCTGCCATGATATCAAGCAATCCACAGACTTTCTTGTCGGTGACTGTCGGTCCCAGATTCAAGTCATTGACGGTGAAACAGAAGGGCTTTATGGATGGATTGGATTGAATTACCTGCTTGGCAACTTTAACAATTTTAATGTCTCTGATGCAAGACACAGTTCTTCTGGATTCATGGACATGGGCGGCGCCTCTGCTCAAATAGCCTTTGTACCGAGTAGTCAAGAAGAGATTGTGAAGCACGATGACGATATCTCAACGGTTACTCTGAGGAGCATCAATGGGGACACACAAAACTGGAGAGTTTTTGTGAGCACATGGTTGGGATTTGGAGCAAATCAGGCAAGGAAAAGGTATCTAGTTCAAATGCTTAACAGCTTAACCGAAAATTCAAATGACCGAGCGGACGATGACTACAATACGCGAGTGTTGAATGACCCGTGTATGTTAAAAGGATCATATAGCAAGTTTGAGTTCAACGATGTTGATTTCCAGGTAAGTGGTTCCGGCAACTACGAGCATTGCTCAAAATCAATATTTCCTTTGCTTATGAAGGACCTTCCATGTCGCGAGGAGCCATGCTTATTCAATGGTATTCATGCCCCAGCAATTGACTTCTACAATGATAAGTTTGTTGGTACATCCGAGTTTTGGTATACAGCAAACGATGTGTTTAAAGTAGGCGGAGAATACAACTTTCATGAATTTAGTCGTAAAGTAAAAGAGTTTTGTGAAACCGATTGGGCCGAGGTAGAGAAATTGAGAGACTCTGGAAAATATGATGGAATTTCTGTCGAACTTCTTTCAGATTCCTGCTTCAAGGCAAATTGGATTCTTTCTGTACTACATGAAGGATTCGACATGCCCAGAGTAGGCATCGAACTGCCAGATAGTGCAGAGGACCAAAAAGACAAAACGGAAGACGTTGTTGCTGCCGTTGCCGCTTTTCGAAGTACGGACTCGGTAAATGGGCATGATTTGTCATGGACTTTAGGAAAAATAGTGCTTTATGTTTCCGCATCTGTTGCAAGTTCTAAGTCCGATGGTCCGGTTGGTATTATGCCCAGTGACAATGACGTGACAAGCTTCAAAAAGGTTTTTATTTCAGGGTCTTTAGCTGGATTAAATTCCCAGCAAGATCCCTATCGTATACGTTCCTGGTCCTTCTTGCGTTTTCTCGTTCTTCTGGTATCTCTTGTTACCTTAGTTTTTGTTCTAGGGAAGAAATTCCCCAAGAAGAAGATATCTGCTCTATCCATAATTGACGCGATGGTCAGCCAGTTCAAAACCAAGCTCTCAAGATGGAGGTATTCCAGTCTTTCTGAAGATCCACTCTCCACCCTAGAAGAAGGCTACTTTGTTAGACCAGTCAGACGAAGTGAGGATAGAGAAGGGATACAGGTAAGGAGTAGGAGCATGTTCAATCTTGAAGAAGCCAGGAATTCACACAAAGGGCATACTATAAAGAATAGTTCTCAAACATCAATCAACGGTGAGACTGGACTAGAAAGAAACAAATTGCGCACAGCATTCTCTTTGGCTGACTTTAGCAAGTTCATTAAACCTGGAGCGTCTGGTAAAAAAAGCCAACATTCAACTATTTAACTAAATCTAATATTCATTTTTAGTGAACCTTGATGAAGGGCAGGCGGCACCCGGCACCGTGAAGAAAAGATGAATAGAAGGGTCATCATAACACATGCTACACACAATTATTCAGAAACTCTCTCAGCCTTATCACTAACCTTGGACAAACTGTCCAGGTTGATCTTACCTGAGGCAATCAGTTGAGGATCGACAACCTTGTCTCTATACTCGTATAAGATTTTGTAACCACCTTTAATAGTACCTTCGGTGACTTGTAAAGTTTGAGATACTTGAGTGGCTGATATGTTGACCTTGAAAAGCTGGATCGCCAAATAAATGGCGGACGCAGCTATAGTTATAGGAGATTTACCGGCTAAAACATTGATGTCCTTTGAATGTTTCGCAATATATTCTGCTGCGTTGGCAATCTGTACAGAAAGTCCCAAATGAGAGCAAAATCTTGGAATAAAAGTCTCTGCCGAGGTTTGCCCCGATGATATTGTAGTTGTATCGATATTAGCAAAGCCATTTGCGTTCTTGTCTCTCAAGATATTCTTTATAATACTAAATGTTTTTCCAATTTCCTTCTTCTTGACGTTTGTCAGCGACAGAATTTCCTTGAAGGATCTTCCAACTTCGGCTCTCCGACATCCTACTAGAATTACTGAGGCCATGATACTTTCTTGAGACTTACCCTTCAATGCTCTTTCTTCGTAGCAGATTTTGTAGGCTTCCTTTGCACAATCTTTAACAATTTTGGGCAGTTCCGCAGCGTCGCACATCATTGTAATTTTTGCGTAGGCTGCTTGAAGCTCATTATCCTTCTTATCGACTATACTCTTACTTTGAGCGCGGCTCAATTCCCGAGTAACTTTGGCATCGCTACCCTGAGCTTGACCAATTCTTGTAGACAAATGATTACCGTCCAGAAGCGGGTTGGAGGCCTCACCAACACGACTTGGATCGTCACCGTTCTGGTCGTCATTCGAAAACGTACGCCATTCGGACCGCGTGTCCACTATTCTATCGGAAAGGACCAGCCCGCACAAAGCACATACGACGTCACCTTCACTGAAACGTTCGGCGACTTTGGGCGGATAAACTTTGCACTCCGGACATGTAACCACAATATTCAGGTTAGGACCTCTTCTCCTTGCCGACGCGGCGGCATTCGCAGAAGCTGCTGCTGGTAGCGACATTTTGCACAGTTAAAACACACAAACACAGATGTATTTGTAATTTCTATAACAAAAGAAGATCCTTCAAAAAACCTGTTGATAGATGTTGTAATCTTCTGTATCCCATAAGCCCACAATTCGAAGCAAGTATACAAGTTTTCCGCCGCGGAAGTACCTCTGAGTATGGGTTTGATCCTTCCGTTCTCTCAATATCTTGCTGAATTCTGGGCATTGCGAAGGTCTTCCAAATAAAATCCTTGCAATGCTGTCTATCATTGTGTACGTAAAAGGAAATATGAAAAATTTTAAGAAACAATGCCCGATGAGCTACATCTCATCTCATCTCATCTCATCCCATCTCAACTTGTAAGTCCTCCTCTGTAAGCCTAAGAAGCAGCAAGGAACCAACTTTAAAATGAAGGTCAGAAAGAAGCAGTCTAAGAGGACGTCCACCAGGATGAGAGAAGGGATCAAGAAAAAGGCCGCTGCTCAGAACAGAAAAGAGAGAAAACATGCGAAGAAGGATGTAACGTGGAAATCTAACAAGAATAAAGATCCAGGTATCCCAGCCAATTTTCCTTACAAGGGCAAGATTTTGGAGGCTATCGAGGCTCGCAGACAACAAGAAATCGAGGAAAAAGAAGCCGATAAGCAAAACAAGTTGGAGCTCAAAAGGCAAGCGGCCGAAAACGGCGAAGAGCTGATGGAGGAAGACATGGACGCTGGTAATGCTGGTGGCGATAACAGCCTCGCTGCTCTTGTCGAGTCTGCCCAGCAAGCTGCCGCTGATTTCAACGGTGGCAGAGGTGCTGCTGCTGAAGGTATTGACACAGCACCTCAAGAGGTAGTAGAGTACGACATTGACTTTTATGCCAGTGACGAAGATGAAAGCGGAGAGTCTACCACAGAAATGGAGAAGTCCAGGAAGGCTTATGATAAGATTTTCAAGACAGTGGTGGACGCGTCAGATGTGGTGCTTTACGTTCTTGATGCACGTGATCCTGAAGGTACACGCTCTAGAAGGGTAGAAGAGGCTGTGCTTCAAAGCCAAGGCAAAAGATTGATTTTGATTTTGAATAAGGTCGATTTAATTCCACCCTTCGTCTTAGAACAGTGGATGACGTTTCTAAAATCCAGCTTTCCTACTATTCCATTGAAGGCTGCCCCTGGCGCCACCAATGCCTCTTCTTTCAACAAAAAGCTGAGTCAAAGTGGCACCGCCAGTGCTTTGTTAGAAAGTCTGAAGACTTATGCTAACAACTCCAACTTCAAAAGGTCGATCGTAGTGGGAGTAATTGGGTATCCAAATGTAGGCAAGTCTTCTGTCATTAATGCCTTGACCTCGCGTAGAGGAGGCTTTTCGAAAGTTTGCCCCGTTGGAAATCAGGCAGGTGTCACCACTTCGCTGCGTGAAGTAAAGATTGACAACAAATTGAAAATTCTCGACTCTCCTGGTATTTGCTTCCCTAGTGATACTGTTAAGAAAAGCAAGAAGGAGCAGCACGCAGAATTGGCTCTTCTTAACGCTTTGCCCCCCAAGTTTATTGTTGATCCATACCCAGCAGTCTTGATGCTTGTGAAAAGGTTATCAAAATCTGAGGAAATGACCGAAGCCTTTAAAAGGCTATATGAGCTTCCCCCCATTCCAGCCAACGACGCGGATTCTTTTGCGAAACAATTTTTAATTCACGTCGCTCGTAAGAGAGGAAGAATCGGTAAAGGTGGTGTTCCAAATCTAAATAGCGCTGGTCTCTCTGTACTGAACGATTGGAGAGACGGAAAAATACTTGGTTGGGTTTTGCCAAATTCTTCGAAGGACACTTCCAAAATTGCAACGTCCACTCAGGTCAGTGGCACTGGTTCTTCTAAAGCGCCAAAGATTGTCGAGCAAACAGCCATTGTCAGTGAATGGTCCAAGGAATTTGATCTTGACGGTTTGTTTGCATCTTTAGATAATGCTATTGCGAGCGAAGATACTGACATGAACTGATCAGTTTTGAAATCGCAAGGAAATTGAACCATATAAATTTTATGTACAGTATAAATTCATCAACTTTCAGGTTTTACAACCAAGCCGCCCGCGAGGGCGATGAATTTGTTTGAACTCGCGGTAAAATTGTTTGTTCACCGTGCAATGTGCATGGTCACGTCCGAATCTTTAAAAATCACATCTTATATATAACATGAATTCACTGACCCTGAGTACGAGAATCTTTTCTCGTTAGCGTACACTACGAAGCAGTTTGTTACGGCCACGCAAAGGGTGTATTGTTCTACCGCTAATAAATGCATGGATCCACATATTGGTGATCGCCTTTCTGTTGCAGGTCAGCATTGCACTGTCCGCTATGTCGGATTGATACCTCAATGGAAGGATGAGAAAGCGATAGGTGTAGAATGGGATGATGAGAATCGCGGGAAGCATAGCGGTATAGTTGGAGGAGTTGAATACTTCAAGACTAAAGCCCCAAAAGCTGGCTCTTTTGTCAAAGAGGCAAAAGTGGCACGCCCGATGAAAGACAGGAAGTCATTCGTGGACGCCATCTCCAATGTCTATTTTGAAGAGCCCGAAAGCTTTCAGGATGTATACTTTGGGTCCAAGAGAGCAGAGATGTTTGGCCTAAAAGACCTGAATGCGAGAAACCGAGATATCTTGCAGTTGGAAAGAATAGATCTTTCGAAAAGACAAATATATTCAAGTGGCGAAGTAAGCAAGCTCAATAATCTTAAGTCAAAGCTCAAGAGGCTGAAGCAGCTGGATATCTCATACAACTTATTCACTGATATGAGAGAAGCACTTAGTATTGTGCGTGGTATCTCAAGTCTTACAAGCCTCGATATCAGCGGCAATAAGTTTGCGAGCTTTGAACTTGACAGAGAAGAACAGGCACCATTCATTGAAGTAGTGAGTCTAAACTATTGCAACATGTCGGCTACGCTTATCACTAAGGCACTTTCTCTGTTTCCTAACCTGAAAATACTGAATATCAACGGAAATGACCTTGAAGAGTTATGCCTAGATAGTCTTGCATCCCCAATGATAGAATTGAGCTTGTCTGAAAACAAGTTGAGGGAAATACCGAGTTGTATCAGCAAGTCGAACATTCAGAATGTGAATCTGTCTTTTAACCCGATATTTGCTATTTCACACACCGATTACTCACAAACCACCAATCTTGATATCTCCTATTGTGAATTCAGTACATGGGATATTGTGGATGATCTTTGTATTTGGTTTCCGAATTTGAAGAGCCTTAGAATCAACAACAATCCCCTTACGTCAAATGAAAAGGGGAATGACGCATACCTTCAACTTGTTGGTCGCATTAGACAACTTGAGTACTTGGACGGTACGTTTATCGCAGAGAAAACCAGAGGTGACTCCGAGCTTTACTTCATGTCACGAGTGTCTAAGGGTTTAGCCAGGATTGATGAAAAAGGGCAACAGTGGAAGTATCTAATCGAAAAACATGGTCAAATTGTTCGGAAGGCTGATACGGAAGATATAGCTTTAGGACTGCAGGTTTTGAGACTCAAAATATTCTTCGAAAGCAAAGAAGTTCAAATAGTTCACGCATTACCCTGTTATTCCGTAAGATACTTAAAAACTGTCATATCGAATCTCATTTCCTTGCCAATACTCGATTTCAAGCTGAATTACGTTTCATTAAATGGTGTTATACAAGAGTTCAATTTCGAGTTCTCACCAATAAGTATGTACAATTTGAACAATGATGGTAGAATTTGTGTAATTAAGACCACTGGCTAGCTGGAAACTCCATATAAAATTTAGATTCTTCGAAAACCTGCTGAGTCCAATTATTGCTCAGCCCAGTGACAGAAGATGCAAATGGCGGTATTACTCAACTGAAAAGTTCCACAAGCAATCGCCCAAGTGGTGAATGAGTTCAACACCGTGACCTTTATTGACCGACTTGATGTCCTCGGTGCTCATGAGTAGCCTTCCGACAGCCAAGGCGCTTTCTTTGTTTTCGGCCTTAATGATAACGAGCGCATCATTTTCGAACCCTGGCGCCTCTGGCAACTGAGCACCTGGAGAAGTTAGACCAGGGCACATAATGTTTGCACCAGACAAAACGAACTTGATGGCGCCCCGATCGACTTGGATTGTCGGAAATGCCTCTGGGATTCGATGTACGAATTTCAGGGTTGGAATCAACTCGTCGAAATTTTGAAAGAACAGCACTTCTCCATCGACGCAATACAGCTGGATTTTGTCCTCGCATTTGATCAGTTCGACCTGACTTTTCTTTGGTACCAATTCATCAATCACCGGTTCCAATTTGGGGAATTGTTTAACCAATTTGGTCTTGAGCGTACGCTGAACCGACGACTTAACGTTGGATCTCGAGTGTACGTCTTCTTTTGAAAATCTAGTATCGGAGAGCAAGAGTTAGTTGAGGAATGCTAAGGATGATGGTCTTCAACCCACATATTTGTTTGACATACTTTCTAAACATGACGGCGCAGCGATAAACTTAAGATAATTGCTGAATCGCCTACGAGAGTTTACACTCATCGGCCAAATTACATGTTTAGTCCAATTTTTTCATCAAAATAGCCAGGATTACCCGAACAGCGAGTCCTATTATTTCTACGGAAGTCAGACAGCGCCCGTTCTTTATGGTACATATTTAGATTTCAAGCCTCGCTCACATACATTTACAACTACTCGTTCCCAGAATTGCAGTAACAAGACTCCTGGCGTGTACTCACGCCGAGTTTCATTGGATCTTGGATTGGGCAAACCAGAAGCTTTTTAAAAAAAAACAAAACCAAAGGGTATTCCAAAAATTCCCTACATAGCTACAGTGTGAATAGGACACTTAAAACTATGAGGAGCGGGTCAGGTTTAATATTAATTTCAACCAGCAATAACACAATCTCGGACGAATCCTCACTGATATGCGTATTTCCCGTGCATAAGGATGGGGAATAAAGAAAAACAGTAAGCGCACTATATATTGGAGGTAAGCAGATGTCTACTTTCCTTCCTTTATATAGTGACGAGTTTTTTTTTCCGTCGAAGTTCATAATTTGACAAATATAGTTGCCGTTTTAGGTAAAGACAGTCCAAGAGGTCTGCATTGTGCGGCCCACGTTCTACGCGCATATATCGTAATAATCGTTGTATTCAGGTGTTCTAGTGTCTACAGATCAGAGAAATCAGAGTCTAGGAAATCTGAGAGCTCCGCTTGCTTACCGTTGATATCTTGGTTGTCTTGGATTGAGCGCGACCCGCCATATACTTCGGTAGCAATGTACCGGACATCACTATCTTTCACTACCGCAGAATGCAGCAACTTCTGAGGACTCTCGAAGGCTGCCGAGTTTTCCAGTTTAGTAGCAAATGCTTTATGTGTACTCATACTCAATATGCTCTCTCTGGTGTTAGCATCCATTTGCTCAAATGCAGTAATTAGTTGCTGTGTTTTTGCAGAGTGTGGAAACATGCCAGTTTTTATATACTGACGAAAATTCGGAACCGGCTCTATGCACACGCTGCGTAGTGCGGAGTAGTTTTCTTCGAAATATCGTCGTTCCTGAGAACTCAAAAGGCCATCAAGTACTTGAAATCTGTTCTTGTAAACATTGTTGTCCATTTTACCGCTTCCTAGGCTCTCTTGGCTCTTTGCAGTAAGAGGTATCGACAGCTCGTCGGGTTGGAAACCTGAAAACGATGTTTGTCGATTCTTGTTACATTTAAGAGGTGGCATGGCCTCATCAAAAGAATTTCCGGGGGTGCCGGCAGCAAATGGCCTTTTCAATGAGGTTGGCGGGTCGGAGAATATCGAGGTACGGTCTGTATCGGCAGTATCAGTGCTTCTGGAGGTATGTCTGTGACGCGCCAGGATTGAGCTCATTTTAACTGAATCGAGCTGGCTTGATGTTTCTGTCTCCGGCTTCACCGGCGAAGAATTTAGTGATTCAAATGCAATACTGTCCAAGACAGCGTACCGGAGGTCAACTTGAGGTTCCAGCTTTGCGACTTCTATTTTGTTTCCGTTAGAGTCCTCAACAAACTTGTTTACCATGCTGCTAGCAGATATAATTCCAGTTTGAACGTTGTCTGGCATGAAAAAAGTCTTCTCCTCAGCCTTACTCTTCTTCTTTCTTGTCGCTTTGTTTTTTTTGATGTCAAGTTTTCCCATCATGGCTTGCGTCGCAAACTTGATGACATCGTCCGAGTTGTCTATATTATTAAGCTCATCTTCCTCCTCTCCTATGGTGATAAACTTCTTCTCACACAAGGGGTCCAAATTTGAAGGCAGTATTCTATCTGATTGACGGTATTCAAGAGAATTTCGACTAACTATCCTCTGTAATTCGGAGTAATCCACCATAGCTTGTGAAAACTTTTTGCCTTCAGTACTGCTCAGAAGCAGGATAACTTTCCCATCCCTTTTTCTTCCTGTTCTACCCATTCTTTGAATATTTTTGATCGGACTGCTCGTAGCATCATAACAAATTATCAAATCAACCTCCCCAATGTCCAAACCTTCTTCTCCGATAGAGGTGCACACCAAAATGTTATAGATACCATCTTTGAAGTTTTGAAGAACTTCCTTTTGCTGCTTTTGGTTCATTCCTGTAATCTGGGCCTCTTCTGATGTTCCAGTGCGACTGCAAGCTCTATCTAAACGCTTCTTTTCTTTCTCCTTCTTTTTCTCTTCCTCTCGAGCTTTTTCATCTTCAAGCCGCTGCAATCGATCTGCTTTTTTCCTACCTTTTGGCTTATGCTTTCTTGTATATTCTTCATCATCAAAGCCCTCTTTACCACGAGCCTGGCCAATAAATATATGTGGCCGGAGTCCACTAATCTGCATGGAATCAATACACTTTACTATTTCTAAAGCAGATTCCCTGAGTTCGGTAAAGATGATAACTCGAGAACTCGGCAGACAATCTTGAATGAAACCTTTTAGTTCCTCTTGGACGTGTCCCAGCTTGGCGTGTCCCAGAAAATTGGGAGTTGTCAGCAGTCTCTCACAATTTTTCATGACATTTTTCAGGATCGGATTGTAAAAGAAAGACGCTGCTGTTTTGTTGGTTGACTTTCCCATACCATATTTGGTTGTGAATTCTTTGTGCTTATTCTCAAAGTACTTGTAAAAAGCTCTGATTCCATAAATTTTGAGCCTTTTGAGCATATGCCCAACATGGCTGAGAAGTTGCAAAATAAAAAAGTTTCTCCACTTGATACCTTCTGGAATTGTAGGATTCGCTATAAGCTTCTGGCTTTTCTGTAAGGCGATAAATGCATTAATTTGTGAAGGGTGACAATCGTCGTAAATGCCAAGCTCCACTGCTTCTTTAAGGACTGGCATCACAGCCAAGCCAAGCTGTTCTATGAGGTCTTCGATTTCTGGAAGTAGCCCTACGTTAATTTCCTCCTTGTCACGCCTCTTCATGTACCGCGAGACGTCTGCATCTTCTTCGGTCCTCAGTTCAATGCTAGAGATATTCAAATTGTGAACTACCTCTTGAACACCTTCTAAATCGGCCGCAGGAGTGGCAGTTAAAGCCAAAAGCCTGTATGAAGTGTTGAAGCGATCCATGAATTTGGTGACCTCCACGTAAGAGTATGCGCCTCGAGCTCTATGCGCTTCATCAATCACCAAACATGCAACGTCTTTGGGATTCAAAACTCCCCTCTTAAGATCGTTTTCAACCACCTGAGGAGTGGTAAAAAACACTCTTTTCGACGCCCAAATCTCCACCCTGTTCTTTCTTGACTTGTCTAGTAGAATCGCGGTATCACTGTGGGGAATACCAGTGACCCCAAGACATGCTTTGATTTGCTGCGCCACCAAAGGTCTTGTGGGAGCGGTGAAGATGATTTTAGCAGTCTTTGTCCACCTATAAAAGTTCAGCATCACTGTGCTGGCTATGAATGTTTTACCGGTACCAGTTGGAATGGCACATATTAGGTTCTCATACAGTGCTTTTTTAACGATCTGAAATTGATACTCACGAACCTCATAATTCGTTGGATAAATATACGTGCCAAGGCTATCCATATTTAGTTCATGGTGTGTAGGACCGTATGTGACTTTGGTTTGAATCTCCTCGTAATAGGGCTGTTGGTTGGGAAGAATTTGTCCGAAGAGATCCTTCTGCTGCGGCAGGCTCCTTCTTGAGACTATTTGCTTGACATTTCTATTGACGTTTCTCTCTAAGAAAGATTCCAATTCATCATCGCTCGAGCTATCACCTTCATTTCGATTCATAACTCATTAGTTTGTGAAGGGTACTTTTAGATCTTTGTAATTTAAAAATAATTTATTAGACAAACAACGCGTTTGTTTGTCGTCGCGAAAAATCATATGCGACGATTTATGCATTGTTCGACCCATGCTTGTTGACTAAGTGATGCCAAGATATGTCCAGCAGTAAAATTCATGGACACACTTAAGTGATGTGGTTTTACGATGATAGCGCTAAAACATTCAATTTGTTTTTTTATGAGCGTTGAAAGCAGAAATAATCTCGTTCTTGGTAAACTTGACAGACGTGCCCTTGTAATGTCTTTCGATCAAGGTATACAACTTCAAATAAAGTGAAACTGTTTGCCCCTGTATGCATGACCACAACTTGTCGAATAGAATAGTGTTGATGATACCTTCCTTTTCTCCCAGAATGTCTTGTTTTACATAGTTGTAAAGGTTGTCTATTGCAACTACAATCTCCTGCGGGGTGTATCTGTCTAGAATCTTGTTTAGATTCTGCTGACTGTAAACGGCCCATTGAGATGGGTTCACAATGCGGGTTTTTGATGCTTCTGTGAGCGTATGGGCGCCATCGACAAAGCTGTACAGGTGGTTCATGGATGCTCGAAGAAGAGACTCGGCGTAGCGCTCCTTTTCCACGTTAAAAAGACTTTTTGAGCTCTGCAAGCAATCGATAAATAGCATTTCGTTGCCAAGAAGCGGTAAAATTTCTATCATCCAATTGCAGTTGATCAGTAAAGATACAGATTCCGACCTACTGTTTGAGGACTTTGCCGGTGAAATCATGGTATTCGAGACAGGGCTTTGTGAACTCTTCTGAATTAATATGAGTAGGGATTGTCCTAGATCATCATAAGATTGGTCCATCACTTCGCGTGATTCAACGCAGTTTTCGATGGTCATTTTCAGCATTTCGTGTACAAAATTGATCTCATCTTCAATCTGCGCGACAAAGGTCAAGAATCCGGTCACATAAGCTGAAACTGATTTTGCATCTACGTCAATGGATGCTCTCTCAATAGCTTGGCTTTGAACATTGACATACTCTTGCCACTCCTGCGAAAATCTACTGAAAAACTTCTCAAACGTTGATATCAAATACTCCTGATCCGATGAGCTATAGCGTGCAATACCGCTTTCTAGGTATAAAAGAACGACCGGAATCAAAGAAGCTTGGTCCTTGGCAAGGACAAAAACTTCATCGAAGAACTCATTGAAAATAGGCTGAAAAATTCTGGTCATCAATTGCATCTTCAAAGAAGCAGATTCTCGATCTGAATCCATCAGAGAAATTGTTTTGAGTTTTGTGATGCGTGAGTTGGGCTCAGGATACGCAGAGATGAACTTCTCAAAATCGAGATTGTCACCAATGTGAAAAAAAACCCCAAAAAAATTCTGATACGTCACTACCAAAGCTTCCAGGATTTGCAACGACGACGTCAGATCCTGTAAGGTAGAAAAATTTCTTGGTTCTAGTGGGATAAATTGTTTTCTGGTTCTAGTTTCTTCCCACCGGGCGAGTTGCTTCTCTTGGTCAGGAAATTCGGATGCAGATAAACCGGTCTTCTCGGACAGCATATGAGACGCCAAATTGCTGAGAAGCGGCGCAGTTCTTCTCCGAAGAAGAACTTCTGTCTCTTGGACGGCCTTGTCTACGATATCAAAGTAAGTCTCAAGGGAAATGCCTTTGCTGAAAAGCACTAGCGAAGAAAACATCAAAAGCCTTGCGAGTGCATTAGCCAGCTGCTCATCAGGAACTCTTTCGTGTTGAAGACTTGTAAATTTCTTATTAAGCTCGTCAACTACGCGTTTCATGAAAAGCCCTGTGACTTTGTCGTAAGCTTGTCTCCTTTCTCTAAGAGCCCTCATAACCCCTAAATTAAGTTCTTCCTCTTCTTCGTCACCCCTAATGGCTTTCAAAGCGGTATACAGAGATGTTAACAACTTTTCCACTTGTCCAAGGTTTCTTTCACTCAAGGGTAGAGTTAGCAAATCGTTTAAGGTCTTTTCATCTACTGAAACGGAGCTCAAAATTTCAGAGAGTTCTTTCCACAGCATCTTTTTGTTGGCGCTTTCTACTTGCAGACCATTTGATTGATTTTCCACGTACTCAATGTCTCTGGAAACTGTTGATAATTCCATAGCAAAGAATGACAAGGTGGGATCCAGCTTCTCACACTCGCTGATCACTTTTTGCCCGTATGAGGAAAATTCATCGCTATTGTCGGGAAGAGCTACAAGTTCTTTGTTCAACTTATACTCGGTTTCTGCCAACTTGCTAGACAGCTTGTACATTAATTCTGTAGAATCATCATCTACTGACCAGTTAACGCTGTCAAGTGTGTCCATCAGCGCTTGATTATTTATCTCAGTTAAAACTTTTTGACCGTCTGAAAAGTCTACTTTGTGAGCATCGTTCACATGTATGCCTTGCGGTTCCTCTCTGATCGTAGAAACATCATGATACGGGTGGGAGGGTTCATCACTTTCGTTTTCATTCGTATCTTCAATTATTTGACTGTAACGCACTTCATCCCCTCTTTCGAAGGAAAGTTCATTAGGATTCTCATTCAGATCGTGCAACAAATCATCAGCCTCATGCGAAGAAGCAGATTGATATAAATCAGTGATTTCACTCTCTTTCTTGTCGAGGTCACCACTGCTGCTGCAAGTTAAAGATTCTGCATCCAAATCGTCTCGCACATTGGCACCAATTAGTTGCGGGAAACTTGGTATTTCGACCGGTTCTGTCAAGACAGAATTCAATTCGGACAAGAAGTTCGTCGATTCTCGAGTTAAACTTTTATCGTCCTCTACATTAGGCGCTGTTGTGGTATTAAAACTGATTTCAGTTTCTTGCTTTAAGGATAAAGGCGAACCTCTTTCTTTCGAAGTATGGTCGCTAGGTTTGATATGCTGATAAGTTGCTTTTGAAAGCTTTGAGTGCGAGCTTTTCGAGTCATTGACGCTTCTAGATGAAGTTGTCGATAGCGTCAAACTTTGAGGCGGGGTTTCTGCCTTATTAGTAGTTGATGCCGTAGAACGCGGGTCTTGGCTAGGTGAAGAAGGTTTGAAGTTCTGATTACTTCGAGTTTTGGGAGTCCTTGTCGTTTTCATTTGAGGCTCCTCACCGCCCAAGAGTGGTCCACTGGGGGCCTGTAACCCGGAAGAAAGCATAGATTGTTGTGCAAGTGCCGGAAGCTTGACGGGAGCCTGGGGAGCATGGAGTGGTTGACTTGTACCATTTTGATCCGTAGCCTGTCTTGGAAGAGCTTGTGAATTCGAATTCAATGAGCTAGAGTCTCTGGCCGTATGTTGGTTACTAGTTGAAATTAGAGCTCTTCGGTAACTATTGTCATCAAGGTAAAAGAGCCCCAGATCCCAATTTACCAGCCTCGGTACGTGGCCGCCTGAGTCTTCCATATAAATTTTAACCAAACTTTTGATGAAAACCGTCCGTTCTTTGGCAGTGTTAGTTTCCCAGTAGTATCGTTTGCCCATGGTGAGCAAGAACCCTTCATGCTGTTCGGTGTCGCGTTCTATACACTCAAGTTCTTTGAGAGCCCAGGTGCGTCCGATCTGGAAAGACCCATTGTTGTTTTCACGGGCCTTATGGATATGCATTCCTCCCCCATTAGTCAGAGAACTCACCACCAGGACCCTTTTTTTCTTGTTTGAAAGAGGAGAGTTCAAAGGGGGTCTGGCGCTAGGATATCGGGTATCTTCTATGATCCTAACGTGTGTCACGTACGTCTTGGCTGGACTGGACGCTGCCGACGGAGCTGTTAAAGTCTCTTGCTCAAAACAGCTGCTTAGTATCGCTCGCCTATCCCGCTCATACTGTTCTGCGAGAAAATTGGAGCTTACAGATGTGTTAGAAGACCGTGATGTGTTCCTGGTATGACCTGCTACCGGCGGATTCTGGCTCCCAGCGGAAGCTGTCTTGCGATGGAAGGTGTTTGAATGTGACTCTTCTGTGGAGTTCCCACGGTGGTGAGAGAATTTCTTGAAAGGCGAGCTCTTTCCCAGCATAATCAATGCAAGATTTCTCAGTTAAATGAGCCTTTAATTGTGCACACACGACCCTAAGTTTTAATGTAGATACTGATTTGGTCTGATCTGGAGCTAAACTTGATTTCAGTATTATTTGAATATTCCATAGGCTACCCGGATACCTCGAAAATTTTCGAATCTCATCTCTCCTCTATCCTTGAATTACTCGGTTTGAACTAAAGTTGTGAAAGTATTTTGAATCATTCTTGGAGACTTATCAAACACTCACTTGCACTAACAACTTCCGTTAAATAGCCATGTCCGTTGATTTTAATACCCTAGCGCAGCAATTCACTGAATTCTACTACAACCAGTTCGACACGGACAGAACACAACTAGGCAATCTGTACCGTGAGCAGTCAATGTTGACTTTCGAGACAACGCAGTTGCAAGGCGCCAAGGATATCGTGGAGAAACTAGTGTCCTTGCCATTTTCTAAAGTAGGCCACAGAATTAGCACTCTGGACGCCCAACCAGCGTCTGCTAATGGTGACGTTCTAGTCATGATCACAGGCGATTTATTAATCGACGAAGAGCAAAACGCACAGAGGTTCTCTCAAGTTTTCCACCTGATGCCGGAGGGCAACTCGTACTACGTGTTCAACGACATCTTCCGTTTGAATTACGCTGCCTGAGCTCATGACTAGCTGATCATTCCTTCCAACTTTAATAGCACAACTACGTACGGTGTGTAGCATTGGATAGTATGGGCACCACTCAATGCATAGGTTTAGACACTAATGCTAATCTGATTCTTTTCGGGTCGTCTTTTTGGACGATATAATTGAACTCATTCACTTCTTTAATCTCCCTTGAGACATTCTCAAACAGACATTTCGGGTCCGATAGCAAATACTTCAAATACCTACATATTAGACAAGCTTCGATGAGCTCTGAAAATGATTCAGAGACACCCCGGATACCAGAGAGGCCACGAAGAGTACGTTGATTGAGATAAAGTATCAAGGAGTAACGGTTTAACATGGGACGTACAAATTTATTAACTTCAATATGTGAAAGTCCGAAGGGGAACAGCAACATACTGCTGTTCCAGATGTGCCAAGTAATAGACCTCTTAGACACCATACCACCGGATTTTTGAAACAGGTGCCTCAGGTTCCGCAGAAGAGACCAACGAGAAGACATACAGAACAACTTGACGTAGCGGTGCAGGAAGCGAATAGCCAACTAGACCAATTGCGGACATTCATCAAGGAAAAGCCTGATACCAAGGTCAAAACCGCCAAAACTCCTTTCGGGAGTCACGAAGATTCCAAAGAGAATGACTTCGCTGTGACAGGACCGGATCTGTGCTATAGTATTGATTCGCGCGAAAAATCTAAAGAAAGCGAAGCGAGCCCTCAAAGGTCTCACATCATGTTTAATTCGAGCGATGAAAGAATACAGAGCCCGAATTTTGACAACTCTGGAAAGAGCTTAAGAGCTACTAATGAAGAGCCGGTCAATCAAGCGACGATGGGAAAACAAGATACTGAGACACTGATTGAGGCATTGGAGCCAGGCAACAAGACACAGGAGTCACCACGATTATCTCAGAGCTCTGAATTGTGCGCAACAGGCCGACCTTTAGATTCATCGAAAGCCAACTATGGAAATGCGGTTGTTGATAAACAAGCTGAATGCCCGGAAATTGAGCCTTCGATATCTGCACGCCAAGAGAGTGATATTCAAGGCCTAAGCGCGACAATTAAACATGCTCTAAAGCCAGCGGTCGATGTGGGAGAGAATTTGAAAGACATTAGCCCGACAGAAAATACAGCCATTACGGGTACTGAAGTTCCACAGTTGACTGAAAAAAAATGTGAGACATCAGTGGAGATAGAGAAAGATGACGTTTGCCTTCCTCAAGCTGAAGTAGCCCCAATGTCTGCTAGCTCCAGCGCCGAAGATCCAGATTCGGCGGAACAGGACGAAAAGGTCAAACAACCTTCCTCTGAACACGATGCTTTTGGAATTCCTGAGAGGCCTACTAAAAAGGCTCCGCCCAAAAAACCTTCTTCAAAGATCGCCGCATTTCAGGAGATGCTCAGAAAACAACAATTACAAGATCAAGATCAATCAGGATCTAAGGGTAACCAGCCTGCGGCCGGAAATTCCAGCCTGAATGAGAAAAGAGCTAAGATTACGTCAAATTTGAATGGGATTTTTGGGCTTCCTGGTATGGTCCCTGGCAGCCATTCAAATTCTCAACCACCAACACGATCAGATGAGACTGAAAATCATATTAGCTCACTGAGAAATTCGTCACTACGAGACAGGAAAGAAGTTGAAGTACCACAAAGAAGAGCTAAGGGTCCTCGAGGCCGCAAACTACCTGCACATCTCGTGGACATGGAGAAGGTTGAGGCCTGCGGCACATCAAACGAAGCGCAAGTCTTCAAGGCGTGGTCTATACAGTTTATTAAAACGGATGGAGCAAACACGAACGAAAAGAATAAAGCCGATGAAGCGAAGATGGGAGTTAATACATTAGGGGAAGAATTGACAGGCGGAAAAGACGCAGTTTCCAAAAAAGAGCTATTAGAGTGATCTGAACATGGAAGGGAAACTCCCCAGAATGACTTAAAACTAAAGGACACCCCGGAGATGCCGAAAGCACAGATGGAGAAGGACGAAGTTTCTACTTCACCAAAACGTGAAAACAATAAATGTGCCGTCTCGTCTGTCAATTCTTTTGATACAATGGAACCCGTAAGTCCAGGTGATGAAGATTGCTGTGATAATGCCATCTTTGACAACGCTCATTGAATGCAAGAAGTTAGGCAAGAGGCGACCACGGGATTGCTTACGGCCGAATAATCTGGCAAGACCACCTAGGTGCAGCAACGTGCGAAGTGCAGGTGAGTAGCAGGGGGAAACGAAAACTCACCGAAGGCACCAGTCTCGTCTTTTTGGAGGACTATTTTCATAAAGCGGCCGGATTCAGTCGATTGTGATGAAGTGAATTATGTCCTTTACACATAATTTGCCTACTAAAACTTTCTCGCTCAAAATTTTACTGTGGTAACAAACGGCAGCGCATTTTAGTTGCTCGCGCACTTAAATACTAGGAAGAACATCAAATAAAGTTTAGTTAATTACTATTAAAATTCTCAAGATGATACGGGTTACAAACTAAAGTGTAGAAACTAAAATTATGGGTTTCATGTTGGTGGTGATCCACAACCTGGTTACGACTTATCCTCTAGTCACGAATCTTCTACAATCAAGCGATGGCCCATTCACAAGCCGTCAGTTTCTGAAAGATTCCAGTGTATCAGGTTGAAAACTATTTTTTGACCATCTTCAATCATGTCCTAGAATTCACATTTGTTTACATTGGTAGGGCAGCGGCCATAAGAGAAAAGACAACAATTGCTCGCAACATATCTGTATGAAATTTTACATTGGTCATAGTGTTACATGATATTTAAATTTGTGGTAACCTTGGCGGCCGCCTCGTGCTATAGGTGTATGAAGTTATAATTGTTATGAAAATAGTGGGCGGCTATATCTGCATGCCTTGCGAAGTCAAGAACCAAGCTTACAGGTATAAATAATCAGATGAGTTCACATTTTTTGGTCCAGGATTACGTATTTGGCGCATCTAGCAATAATAGAACCACTAAACTTGGACTTAAAGCGATTACAAAACTTCTGACATTGAGAAACTGCGGAAAACATAGAATTTCAGTGCATTTTTCGTCGCGACAGAACCTGGTAAATGGAGGACATCAGTTGGGAACGTATCGAAATACCTCAACATAACGGCAATATGTACACGTGACACGCACGTGTGTTTCTTCTTGATGAAAAAGCTTATAGGTGTATGAGATTGAGTAGATGGTTAGTGAACCTCGTCGATAAGCTCGACGAGGGATACGACCTTGTTAGAATGGTGGTTGACACAACGTACTACGATCTACTCGGCATTGCTCCTGATTCTAAATCCATCGAAATCAAAAAAGCTTATCGGAAGAAGTCGATTCAAGAGCACCCTGATAAGAATCCCAACGATCCTTCTGCCACGGAACGATTTCAAGCTATTTCCCAGGCCTATCAAGTCTTGAGTAAGGATGACTTGCGTGCCAAATATGACAAGTTTGGAAAAGAGGAAGCGGTGCCCAAGGAGGGATTTGAGGATGCTGCTGAGCAGTTCTCAATGATTTTTGGAGGAGACGCATTTGCTTCATATATTGGTGAACTGACGCTGCTAAAAAACCTCCAAAAGACGGGAGAATTAAGCGCAGAGGACGAAAAAGATGATTTGAATGAGAAGAAAGAAGAATCGGCCAAGAAAGATGTTTCAGAGACAGCAAATGGCGCTGCTGAAAACTTAAAAGGACTGCATATATCGGGAAATTCCAATCTCTTGCCCGAAGCCAGGCTCAAAGAACAGGCCAAGGATGAAGGTGAGAAGCCAAAGAGGAAGACTAAACTCGAAGTATTTGAGGAGGAGCAGAAGTTAGAAAAGGAGAAAAGTATAGAGGCGCTAAGCAAGCTGCTGAGCGACCGTTTATCGATCCTGACGGAAAGTGAATACAATGCTGCGTGCAAGGACTCGTTCTCTAAAAAGTTCGAAGAAGAGGCAAATATGCTGAAAATGGAGTCTTTCGGACTTGACATACTTCATACCATCGGTTATGTATACTGCGAAAAAGCTCAAATCTTTTTGAAGTCACAACAGGTATGGGGATTCGGGGGGGTGTTTCAATCACTCAAGGCTAAAAGTGGAGTAGTCATGGACACATTGAAAACGGTTTCGGCGGCTTTAGATGCCCAAAACACGATGCAGGAATTAGAGAAACTCAAAGCGATTGCAGAATCAGATGAAGTATTACGTGACGAGAAAGGCCAAGAAATAGCCAAACCTACTGTAGAAGAGCTTGCACAGTTAGAGCAGCTTTTAATGGGTAAGGTGCTTTCAGCGGCTTGGCACGGATCCAAGTTCGAAATAATGTCAACACTGAGGTCTGTTTGTGATAAAGTTCTAGAAGATGATCAAGTGGACAACAAAACTTTAATTAGAAGAGCCGAAGCACTTGTAATTTTGGGAAGGGTTTTCAAGAGCGCATTGAGGTCGAAGGTGGAGCAAGAAGAAGCACAGGTCTTCGAAGAACTAGTAGCGGAAGCCACTAAAAAGAAGTCAAAGCGAAAGTGAGTCAAACCTCATTTTCTGAAAACTGCAATACTTTAAACAACCTGCATCGCTCGAAAGTCTCCCGCCCTGTGATTAGGTTCTTAGCTTCATCACAACAGTAGCTCTTTTAACACTTCCCTGCGCTCTTTCTGCGACGCTTTCAAAGGCTTTCCTTCTGCAACATCCTGAGCGACAAGGCGGTCCACCTCGATGGACTTCCTGATGTATAACATGAGATCTTGCATGCAAACGCTAGAAGTGGGAATTCGAACAATTCCGTTGTTGTCGCCAATGATATAATCATCTGGGTGTATAGTTTGTACGTTAGCTTCACGCACCAAGACTTGCAAAGGAATTTGTACTGCGACAGGCTTCACCGCCATTTTTGAGGCACAGGTCCCTAATGAGTAGCTGTAAACGGGATACTCTAAAGAGTGTTGTTCTTCGACGTCTCTGATACGCCCAAGCACAACTGTGCCTTTTGTGCCCTGGAATTGTGCCCTTCGAGACATTAAACCGCCATACAGCGCTTGAGACACTCTAACGTAAGGTGCATCTTCTAATTGTAAAGGGATTGTCAATGCAATGACCAGGAAACTACCAGCAGGAATAGTGTCGATGTAATTTATTTCTGGCCGAGGATCATCATGTTGAGCAAACAATACTGTGTAGGCTTTCCCTGCAACCGTGTTGTCAGACGGACCTGACCATTTCTGTAGATTGGGTATGAAGCCGCCTGAAGCGTCACCATACTTGTTTAACAGACCGTCAGATACATCACAAGTACTGAACGTTGATAGCTCTGATAGATAGTCAGACATCTTTTGATGCGCTCTGAATTTTCAATCTTTTTATCATAGGGCCTAAAGAACAATGTTTTACTGTTGAAAGTATTATATGACATATATAACAGCAATGAATCAAATTCGTGCGATACACAAGTTGAGTTTAACGGAGCTGGAGAATGGCATCGTTTCTTCAACAGCTTCTTGGCACCACGAATACAAAGACCATGCCTACGTGTTTGTAGGTGGCTTGCATAAAGAACTGACTGAAGGAGATATTCTCACGATATTTTCTCAATTCGGCGTACCAGTCGACATCAAGCTTGTACGAGATCGAGAAACTGGGGAATCAAAAGGTTTTGGTTACTTGAAATACGAGGACCAACGCTCCACCATTCTTGCAGTAGATAATCTCAACGGCGTTAAAGTAGCAGGGCGCTCACTAAGAGTTGATCACACCTTTTACACACCTAGAGACGGTGATCAACAATATTCAGAGGCTGTCAAGTCTGAACTGCGAAAGGATTTTGAAAGTGCTCATGTTCATAAGCCCCTAGATCATTTTATTACACCAAGTGAAGACAATGAATTTGAGGACCCGATGGCACAGTACATAGCAGATTGCAGATAGTCCGCGAAACGCTAAATAATTATACAAGATCAATGCACAACAATTGTTTGACTCAAGGTAATGGGGGAGGAGGTGGGATGCCTGATGGGGCAACGGAACCTCCTTGTACGGTATATTCATCATCAAAAGAGTCAACGGATTCCGGAATCGACAAGTCGTCATCAGAGCGCTCGCCATCTTCCTCCAAGTGTTGAGCTACTGGGCGGCTTTGTGCCTTATTATAATCTGGTCCGTTCGAGTCTCCGCCCATTTGTGGTAGTGGAGGTGCAATTGGAATTGGCGAATTACTTGCAATATGGGAGACAGGAGCCACTGGAGCTGGAGCCACTGGAGCTGGAGCCACTGGAGCTGGAGCCATTGGAGCTGGAGCAACTGGAGCTGGAGCAACTGGAGCTGGAGCATCACTTTTCGACTGCAAGCCCCCATGTGAATCATCTTCAGACCAATCGTCATCGTTGTCATCCAGGCCTCGCTGAATTCTCCGCTGAGCCTCGGCCGCCTTTGGATCGAACGATGATGTACTCGATGGAGTTACCTTGAAAAAAGGGTTTCTTCCTCCTGTTGGAGCCGAGGAAATAGGCTGAACAGCGGAAGTAGAATGTGAATGAGGCTTTCCAAAAGGATTGTGTTTACCGTTGATCTTCTGTGACGAGGTATTGTTTTCGGGCGTAGCTTCAGATCTGCTTAACTGCGGAGCGCTTTGATGTTCCATATGATGCTCGGATACCTTTTCCATAGATGCGCTTTGCGGATAATCTATTGCAGGTGAGATTTCAGAACGAACCTCAGAGTCACCACTTACCCGAGCTTCTATTTTAACGTCACTAATCGGATGCTGACTTCCCTGTGTCTGACTTGAGGGTGCTTTTGTTTGTACAGGTTGTTGCTGGTCAACTTTTTCAGCTTTTTTCTTCGATTTGAGGGCTTCCAGTTGCTCAGTGAGCCTTCTCACCTCTTCATCTTCTTCGTTTCTGTTGAGCTCTTCGGGTTTATACACTTTTGGACCTTGCTGATAATCTTCCTTTCCCAACCCAAGTTTGGCTAGTCTTTCGTTCATTTTTCTTTGTGCTTGCTCCTTGAGAAAAGCTGCTCTATCACCTCCGGTCGATGGTGCATCCTGTTTCTTGACATTAGACGAAGCAGAAGAAACAGTAGAGGTTACGGCTGGACTACTGGATTTCGTTGGCTTGATGTTTTGCGCGGAGGGCATTGGCTTCAACTCTGAAATGAAAGAGCTTACTTGAGGATCCACACCAATCCCAAGTTCCCACTTCTCGTATTGTCGTCCATCAGCGCTTGTTTTGCCATCGAGAGCGGAGTTCACTGACGCAGCTATCTCGAAAATTGAGGATTGGATATCGTTAATGATCGATTGGTTTGTAGTATTCTCAGATCTGATTTTAGTAATCTCTTCGTTGAACTTGTGCTCTTGTTGGTCAACATCAGTGCCTGCAGCTGCTTTACCTGTCAAAGCAGCCATTCTCGAAGCCAGCAAAGCCTTGCTTCTCGCCTTTCTGCGGTCATCGTCAGTTATCTCCCCGTTTAGACCTGAACCAACCAGAGAAGAGGGGTTTCTTTGTCTATAAAGCTCAACCTTAGCCATTGCGATTTGATTGTTGACTTCAGATATTTCCGCTAAAAGCTGAGGCACACGGCTTGTAAGAGCATCAAACTTACTTTTCAGCTGTAAAGATTCTCCATTGTTTGATTGGTTCACCAAAGCGCGTGATGGTTGTGGCAAATTCTTGATCTTCCTCTTCCAGTCTTCAATCGCCTGTTGGTCACTAATACCCGTTCTCTCGCTCCGAATCGAACCGGGCGCCCTAAAATCACTCTGAAGCTCTTCTTCGTTGAGCGAATTTTTTAAGTCAGCAATTGTGGTCCTGTTTTCTTCCGCTTCTTTAGCACTTATGTAGGTTCTTCTCCGATTTCTAGAGCTTGGTAAAAGTTCATCATCATTGTGCTTAAATGAAAAACCGTCAACTTTGGTGGGTTCTTTTCTAGTGGAACCAGCGTCACTCTTTAGCTGATCTTTCACCGAATTCAAGATCTGTGTACTCGAAGGAATTAAGGAGAGTGGAAGACGGTTAGGAAGATCATTACCTTTCAGCTTTCTGTAAACAAGATGCATCCCCAAGGCGAACTCTTGTTTGTTGAGCTGGCCACTATTGTTAGTGTCACACAGATTCCAAATATGTTCCAAATCACTTCTATTCAGACCGGACTTCCTAAAGACTTCCACAGCTGTACCTGAACCCATGAGACCTTTCTTCTGAGTATCATAAGTATCAAAAATCTTGTAAAAAAGCGATTTCTCCTCATTTGTAATGACATCCGACTCGTCTGCTGCAAATTTGGTGTCGAAATTGGATTGGGTGTAGATTTCATTGTTTCCAAAACCTGTCTTTTGAGCACTGAGCGGCGCAATTGGGTTGAAGTTTGAAGGGGGTAGATAGCCTGTCGGCTGCGATTGAAGAAAAGCAGTATTATTAAAGGTCGTGTTTGGAAATTGGCCGGTTGGTTGCCCAGATAACATGGGTACAGCCTGACTTGCAGTTCCAGTCATCTGTGGTTGGGTACTGAAGCCTCCAGTGATTTGAGATTGAAGCGGTTGATTGAATGACGTTTGAGGCATGAATCCCGTTGACTGGGTCTGGAGGTACCCACCAGTTGACTGAGCTGGTAAGTTCCCAGTCATCTGCTGCTGAAGAAAGCCACCAGTTGCCTGACTTTGTAAATTCCCACCAGTAGGTTGTTGTTGCAATGCTTGATTGAAAGAGGTTTGGGGCATGAAGCCAGTTGATTGTGGGTTCAACATTCCTTGAGTATTCTGCGGTTGTAGTGGCATGCCAAAACTAGTTTGTGGCATGAAACCGGTGGGTTGCGGTTGCAAGTTCTGGAACCCTGACGTAAGATCGTCGAACGGAGTCTTTGGCTTCAGCGGAGCGGAGTTGTCCTCGCCACTTGCCACACTGAAATTTATCGCGTCAACAAAGCTCGCCACTTCATTTTTGATCTTTGTACTCAACTCATAAGGCACACTATCGCCTCGAATTACCTCATTGACAAGGTGCATAGCAAGTGCAAATTCAGGAAATAAGAGCTCACCAGCCTTACTGGTATCGCACAATGTCCAGATCTTGGCCAACTGAGAAGGTGAAACTCCAGATCGCATCAAAATGCTTCTGCACGCTTGACCTGAAATTGTATTTGAGCCTTTTTCTACTGAAGACCTGAACAAGGTCTCGAACTTTGCTTGATCGTTAGCGGTCATGAACGAGAGTCTCATGGCTGGAATCTTGATGTCGTCATTGACTCCCTTATTCGCAAAAGAGTTGACAAAGCCCGTTGCTGTGGGCCTCAAAGGTTGAATAGGCTCTTGAATACTTTGGGTGTAAAATCCAGTTTGCTGTGGTTGAAGAGGTTTTGATGGTTGCTGAGCGTAATATCCAGTTTGTTGTGGTTGAAGAGACTGCGTTGGTTGGGGGTAAAGACTGGTTTGCTGGGTTTGAAGAGGTTGAGAAGCCGGGACAGTTTGCTGCTGACTGTAGAATTCAGATCCCTGAGGATGCATCGATAGGGTCGGTTGCTGGGCGAAAAGGCCACTTGATTGAGGCTGAGGAGCTTGATTGGGGAAACCAGTCTGCTGATAGTTTTGCGGAGTTGCTTGTTGATTTGCGAATCTTTGTTGATACATTTCAGTTGGTTGTTGCTGCTGGGGCAAAGGTGCCGCAGGAGGATTTTGACTCTGATTGAAAAACGAAGTTTGTGGAGTTTGTTGCGGCTGCAGAGAGTTCTGTTGAGAAAAGAACCCAGTTTGTTGAGGCTGCAGGTTATGTGAACCCATCATCTGGTCTTGCGATTGATTTCCTTGAAACCCGTTTTGAACACTTCCGAAGCCGTTTGAACTGGCAAATGAAGGTCCAGGATTGGGGAAAGAAGGTCTTTGCTGTTGCTGCTGCTGTTGAATATCAAACGTATTGGGTACATTCTGTTGATAATTGCCAAATTCAGTGGTGGGCCGCTGATTTAGTTGAGGCTGCTGTTGACCATTTCCAGGGTATATACCAGTGGGCTGTTGGTTCAAGCCATTGCCTTGGGCCTGGTATTGATTGAACATAGTGTTCCAATTCAATTTCAATGCCAATTTGGTCAACAGTTGATATAGCTTAACACTTTGAATCAGATCTACGAAGTTCCAGTTTTTTTAATAGGGGCCTTTTTTCGAGATGAAAATGAGTAAATCGTGAATAGTGCGCGACACGGATGTATATGATGATACAGATGGAACTATAATAGAATCGCGAAGCAAACAAGTGTTTTGGCCCCTAACCTATCGATTGAAGCTCAGTCATGTCATTGTCTTGTTAACGAAAGATCATTTTTTCTTTTTATAAATGGTCGGCGGCAAACAACTATATGAAAACAGTGCGCGAGATAGCGCGACAAAATGACCACTTTTTTAGATATCAACGTTTCCATTCCAAATTTCAGATATTGAACTGAGTTGCTGCGAAGTTGTTTCACCAAAGATGGCAAAGTTAGCAAAGTCAGAGATAGGTTTGTGACTGTCCACTTCGATAGATGCACAATAGGAATACTCACAACATTCATTCGATTTGAACCATGGCCTCGCTGCAACTTCTGGAATTATGTACCCATCAATTACAAGAGGTTTTTCATACAAGTCTCGCAATGCTTCCAAACTCTCGTACCTTGATTCGAAGTACTCCGGCTTTTCTGAAAAGTCTCTCCGAGCTGCATCCGGTACTTTGCAGGTCTTCAGACCACCATTGGTCCAAAGAAGTTGCTTGTTCTGGTTTACGTGACCCATTTGCGTAGCACAAATCTCAAGTTCTACCTGCCCTTTTGGTTCCTCGGCAGCAACTGTTCTCAAGGATCCAATCACAGCTCCATCTGGGGAATCTATAGTATAATCGTTTCCGCTAAACAATTGAGCCAACCAAAACAGCTCTTTGTCCCCATAAACACAGCTGCTAATTTTAGAGTCGAGATTCATAAAAAACGACAAAATTAGGCTTGTTAGTTTTTGTCTTTTGTTAAGAACTACTAAACCACTATCAACGTTGTGGAGCAGCTTCCTGTAAAAGAATCGTTGGTACACCTTTTGTTCATCGTTAAAGAAGGCATTAGTTGTGGGCGTTATTATTGAGGAGTTCACTTTCATGCGGTGGTTCATTAGTAAAACAGCCTGAGCAGATGGTTCCAGATACTTGAACATGTCGATACAATGATCGAAGGTGTACTCATTTAGCAAGTTGCGGTCCTTGTAAAATAAGGCTCCGGTCTCTAGAAATCGTGGGTCATCGAAGAAGGTGTTTAAAGAAATGAAAGGCACAACGTCTGCGTCTAGTAGAACGACCTCGGAGTATGTATTAAAAATGGTCGCGAGCCATTTGTTAACAAAATAGTTTAACCTGCCAATATAGTTCACATTCAAGACAGGTCCGCAGCTAACGTGATATACCTCTTGATTACTGGATTGTAAGAAATCAGATATAGAATCCAGTAAATCTTGTGATACCTCATTCTCTTGCTGTACTATTTGTATCGGGTATGAATTCCCCAAATGATCTAAAACTGCCAGGAGTCTGAGAAAGATGTCTTTGTGTCTTTCGCCTAAGGTCAAAACCAGCCCCTTGCCGGTTGAGAAATCGTTCCAGTTTTCCCAAAACGTTTTTGAGTTGTCCATGATAAAGGTTGTGTTGCTCGAGGCTGGATTGACGCCGTTGGGCAGTTTAGATTTTGAGTTTAAATGCGTGATAGTAGGCCACAGTTCATTAAGGTCTTGGAATGGTGGGAAAAACGGAAACATTCGTGAGTGGAAATCTTTCAGATTGCGCCGTGGCACGAGAACTTGGTCCATTTTCAAGTTGCCCTGAACAAAGCAGGTGTCATACATACGAAGCCGTTCTACGATGTGAGAAAAGCGGGCATTGTCGGTGGCTTCATCATCGTACCTTTCTCGAACCTGGTCGTTGGACCATTTAGGGTTCTTCGCGTATGTCGTCTCGAAGAACCAACGACATTTTTCCCGCAGACTCCACGACTCGAACTTTTGCCAACTTATTTCTGTGCCATATGAGGTTTGGCTATTATGAACGTTGAAATCTGCGAACGGAGAGCCAACCAAGGCCTGCCGCTGTGATCCTGGTCCTGCAAGCCTATTGAATTCTTGAACAATGTTGTATGGTATTTTGACCTCGCTGCGGGGCCGCTGTATAAGGAATAGTGATGCAATCAAGAGGAGAGTAACTCCTATTGCCTTTCGGATCGCACTTATCCTACGCATCTGGATAGAACAACCTTAATCTGAAGCTTAGATCAATAGAGAGCTGCATAACTGACGCTATTTGAGAGGTAGGCGTGACGAGAGAAACACTATAAATTAATATTTGAAAAATAAATGTTTGAAAAATAACAAATATTTTTTAATAAAAAAGAAATGCTTCCAACCAGAGTTGAACTGATGATCTCCACATTACTAGTGTGGCGCCTTACCAACTTGGCCATAGAAGCTTTTTGTTGTTGGTGCTGAATGATAGCCTGTATAAACCCACAAAGCAGATGACTTAATGATTCCAGATTCTAATACACCTCTGTTTTTTTTGTATTTAGACCTCTGTTTCACATCTTAGGCTAATCAATTTAACGAGCTCGTGAAGAGTTTCGCATCCAACCTTGTTCTTTGATCTTGCGTCGTTTTAACTTTTCGAGGCTCCCAAAGCTTAGTGCTGTCGAGCCTCGCCCTCATGAACTGTGCTTAATCTAAGATACTAATTTTCGATCAGGTGTATGAGCTGAAGATAATAAAGAAGTGGCGAATTGCCAGTGTGGTTCGCAGATGCCTGGTTTCTTGGTAAGTTTAGCTCTAAGGCGAACCGAAAAGGAAAAGAGCTGAATGGCAAGATAACTTCTGAAATACATTTGTGTGATGTTCATTAACCTTTGATTGAGTGGGAAATTAGTATATATATATACATACCTTGGATAAAGTGAGTTAATATAACATCAAATATTGATTTGCGCATCGTTCGACCAAAACATAAAAAAATGAAATTAGCTGCTGTGATTCCCGTAGTACTTAATATCATGAATTATCGACCGATAGATGCAGACCTTTTACTCGTTGTTATTTGTGTCTATGTTGATACATTCTATGAGACTTTCTCACCAGCGATATGATTTCCTGTCGATGATGTTTTATATTTTAGTCGAGGTTTGTTTTAACGCGTCGCAACGACTGGAAATCTTGTTTAAGGCCAAAAAAAAAGATCGCTGCGACAATAGTAATTGCACTGCGTGTGAGGACCGTAGTCACACAAATAAACAACCAAAAAACCCAAATGGGGTCTTTTCCATTCAATGGTAAAGTTTTTTTAGCTATCTTTTGGTTGGTGGTTCATCGCGGTCTATAGTACCTTGGGAAGGAGAGCCTGTCGAAACCGAAGTCTACCAAATTGAAGAGTTTTGAAGCTAAATCCTTCGATTTAATCGATTCTGAAGGACATTAGATTATTAACCTACGAGCTTCCGATTAGTACGAATCGTCATCAATGTCCGTCCGTCTGCACGCCTTTGATTCCAACCCTCTCTATGCAAGCCTCGATGGTCAATCCACACCAGCTCCAACTTCTGCCTCTCAAGGACGGAACGACGATTTTGATCTTGTCGTCCACATCGATACCAATCATGGCCGCATATCTCAGAACTGCTCAAAACGAACTACGCATGGCGTTAACTAAAGCCGTTGTGGGGTGATTTATGCCTGCCCAGCCAGCTCAACAACTTCCCAGTGACGCGCAAATGTTCGGACTCCATCGCATTTCTCATGCAGCAATTTTTCGAAGCGGAGTTTGATCCTCCAGGCGGCTCAGATGCATGCAGATTAGCCCATCTAGAACTTAAAAAAGACACCGGACGTAGATCTCATTCCCGAGGCTCCGTTTCTGGGACACCCCTGTCGTTAGCACTGGACTACCACGCGGACTGCCTGGCAATATGCCTAATTCTAGTAGAAACCAACAGCAGCCACAATCATACCACTGTCGTACCACTGTCGTACCACTGTCGTACAACTCCCAAGATGATTTTTCTATGCGCACCAAGAAGAGCATTCCGCCGGGGGTGGCCAAGAATGCTTGTAAACTACTACTCAGCTTCGAGACGATCCCTGGAACTCTGCTATGCATCTGCATTAGCTTGCCTGCTCGGCGCCAACTATGCATTCCTGCAGTCGCCAACTCGAGAATTTTTCAGCCGTGCCATAATGTGGCTTCAACCGCACATGATCAACTCTTGACCGATATCTGCCACAACACTCATATTAACCACAGCTATAGCTATCGTCGTCTGTCGTACGCTTCTATTGGTCGCGACTACGCAATTCCTGGCCGTTGTTGAGTAATTCAGTGGTTGAGTGGAATTTAACGAGTTTCTAAGACATCCCTATAGATTTTTCGAAAATCAAGGCGTCTGGGAAGCCACAATGGATGAGAGGTAATTTCTAAGCTTGCGTTGCAGTTTGCAGTTGCAGTTGTAGTAATAGTAATGCTACTTGTTGGTGTTGTAGTAGGAAATTTTCAGCAATTGATGGGCGGCCTAGTATAAAGTATCGGGGCTCGCTGGCTTCGATGGAGGTCTTTCGGCAGCGTGTGGTAAAAACGTAGTTGGGATCGTCGAGTGTCATAGGCTAGGAAACGGATTGTCGATAATATAGATATAGATCTGGAGATGGGATTTCAAAAACCAGCTCCCCTGCTGGGCGGTGGAGCCGCAGCACAGGAAACACCGACCAGTCAGCAATATCAGGAGAAGTTCCAGAGCTTATACACGCGGTTTTTCAACCAGACTAGCAGCGAAGAAAGCAGCGATGAGGACGGTGGGTCTGGCAGGAGCGAGTTGGCGGCGGCCAACGCTGTGAGCGCTGTGAGCACTGCAAGTGCTGCGGGCGTTACTCAAGCGGGCGAACCCACGGATCTGTCCCGACAATTGCACAATCTGATATCCAGTAATTCGGAGCTGGGCTCCAGGCTTTTGTCGCTGCTCCTGGTGAGCAGCGGCAACGCTAAAGAAATCATTTGCGCAGTCAACAAGGGCGATTTGGACGGGCTGAAGAAACTGGACCTCAAGAAGTCGCAGTTGGAAAGCCAGAGTCCCGCGTACACTGAAAAGGAGCTTCACGAATTCAAAAAGGTCGAGCTAGAGAAGCGGCGGAAGAACACCGAGGCCTCGGCCCGTTTCCGGGTGCGCAAGAAGCAGCGACAGTATGAAAAGGCCGAAAAACTCAAACAACTGAACGCTCAGATCTCGGAGCTCTACGGCACTATCGATAGACTGCTGGATGAAAACAAGTTCTGGAAGGACAAGCTCGAGGATGTGAACGAGCGTAAGTCGCGCGAGATGCTTGACGGCATTAAGAGACGCAGGCTGAAAGAGAAGGAAGCGGCGGTGAGCAATTAGGCTGGCCGTCGCAATGTGTGCTGGTAAACCGGATTTGCAAGGACTTGGGCATACATGCCGGTGCCGTGTAGCGCGGTCGAGGGTGGTTTATTTCATAGTATATGTATATCTATCGAAGGATTTTTTACTGGAATTGTTGCAGCGACTTACGACGGGATTTATAGCACGATGGCTCACCACGGCTTGAACCGTTGTCAAGTCACGGCGAAACGTCTTTCACAAATGCTAAACCGTTAATTTCCTATTTAAAACTATTAATGCAAACTTTTTGAGCGTTTCAAACGCTGCCTTTTATGCTACCTAGAATGAGTATCCAATCTTTATCATGCGTCAAGCCGACCCTGATAGTAAGATATCCGCTCTGCCCATTTTTTATTGATGATAATACGCTTCTGTTGAATGTTGTACAGATCATCTTGCGAACACCAGCCGTTGTTCGCAAATTTGTGCTCTAAAACCGCAAGTCTCTCATCTTCGATCCGTTGCTGCTTGATCAAAACATCAATGTATTCCTTCAAAGAGATTTTACCAGGCTTCTCGTCGCCGCCTTTGCGTTGCGAAGAGAAAAATCTGTACCCCGAGCTTTCTTTGTAGATCAAATCTAGCAGCAGGTTGGACTGAGTTTGAATGGGCGTAACGTTTCGAGCGCCAAGCTTCTCGGTAATGGTGATCGTCGGTAGTGCTTTTGTCAATTCATCGATGTCAACGGTTAATTCATCACTTTCGGAACCTTCACCTAAAGACTCGTCACTATCGCCACTAAAGACGCTGTCAACCTTGGCCGTATTAACACTGCCCATACTCGGGGCAGTACTTCTTTTAGTCAGTTGACCTCTTTTGTTCAACTGATCGTTGTCGGACGTGTTTTGTTGTGGGATAGCACTATTGGAAGATTCTCTGGTCGATAACGCAGACCTGGGTGGAAAAAATTCATCTTTTTGATCATCTTTTTGATCATCAAGCGAATTCAAACCGTTCAAATTATTTAATTGAGCGGGAGAAGGGATATCTGCCAAAATCGAATCTGCGGCATGGTCACCGTCAGAAGGTTTTCCTTGGGTGGTCAAAATGCTATTTTGGTTACCATTTGCAGATTTGAAAGATCTATCAGAGCCATTCACACCGATGATTCTTGTTAATCCGTTCTTGAACTTGGAACCAAACGATTGAGTCTCGGGGGTAGCGCAAAAACTCGACCCGATCGGAGGAGTTGGCAATGAAGAGACATGATGTAATCCCTCAGGATTACTTATGCAGCGTGGTGAAACGTAATTACTCTTGGTCCTAAGCGATAGCTTCTTGGTATTTCTGGCGCTCATGGATCTAACTTTATCTTGGTCGGTGGAGGTACCACGTAAATCGGAATCTTTTGTATCGTACGGAATAGTTGAAAAGGATGCCGTATGCCGAAGGTCGTAGTAATTCGATGGGTTTGTGGTGCTAGGAGATGAAGGTGCCTTCTTGGTCATGGAGGCCTTTCTTAAAATGGCACTGGATGCTCTCTTTAAGAGGGGGATTTTTTTGTTTTGAATATTGGCAGCTTCGGCGTAATTCAAAGACGAACGCGGAGATTTCAAATCGTGCAAACTAGATGACGAGTTTGTATCTAACGTAAAGTTTGGAGGAGGCTTGAAAGCAACGTTTTCATCGTTTTCATGGAAAGAACGGGAGGAGCTGCTGCTACTTCCAACACTAAATTTACGAAGTAGCACCCTGTTGGTATTGACAGCGGACGTCGAGGAGTCCAAATTGGAGTGCTCAATGCCTAGTCCCTGACGAAGATCTATATTGGAACTCAGTCTCGGGATATCCGGCGTGGTGGTTCTCGATCGTACGGAACTGTGACGTTGAATGTGCTGTATCGAGAAGTCGGGAGCGCTTCCAATTCGTGACGAGATGTCCACTGTAGGGTTAGACACGGTAGGAGTAGATGCGCTTGCGGTAGGTAATAGTGTAGATGAGAACTTTTTTTTCAGTGAAAGCTTGGGAGAAGTAATATGAGGAGCAAGCGCTGCAGTGGCCAACGACGTGACGTTGCTAGTAGTCGGTGTGTTGGCGTTTGTGTTGACAGCAGTCGCCGCTGAATCATTGGGTATCTCGAGCGCTTTTGAAAGATCGAAGGAGGAGTCGGGCTCGGAGTTGTGAGGAATCTCCAAAGCGCTGGAAATGTCGAAAGACGTGGAGGACAGCTTGTGAGCTGCATGCTTCGGTGGCTCGGTAACACTCGCAGTCGTTTCGTGCGTGGAGCTGGGAGAGTGCCTGAGAGAAGCCAGTGGCGATCCCGATAGCGCGCGACGCGCCACGGCCAGGCCGTGGGAAGTCGGGGTGGTAACGCTGGCGGCACTGGTGCTCCTGGAACTGGTCATGCCCGCAGCCAGCGAGCCTGTGTCGCCGTCCATGGCAGTTTCTTGTAGTATTCCAGCCGGTTCCTGGGGGTCCGAGGCCACCGGCGACATCAGCACCGTGTGGTCCTGGGGCAAAGGTGGCAGGAGCGCCTCTTGAGACGAGGCAAACGGATGTGGAGGCGCGATGGAGGACAGGTCGTCGCCATCGTCGTCCCTCCCGGCCCCGTCGTCGAAGACGATATCCATCGGCGCGAGCTGGGCGCCCAGCGGGGGGCCTGGGGAGCCGGGCAAAGTGTCCACGGGCGAGGCCGCTACGGCCTCGACGTGGGCGTCGCTGGCCAGGTCTGTTTCCTCCTCTTTGATGTCCTGGAGAGCCATGTTCGTGCCGAGTGATGTGCGTGGTCCCAAATACTCTGGACCTGGATCGGGATCTGGTGTGATGTGGCGAGTCTGTAGCCTAGCGCTTGACAGACCGGCAAACTGCTACTCAAACCCTGCAGCTAGAAAGACCTCTGTGTGTCGTTTCCACTTTGTTCAGCCTTTCGTAGGAAGACTGGTTGAGTAGCGTTGGCTGACTTTTTTTTCTCTTTGGTTTTCAACTCTATTTCTACCTTATACTGTTTTTCAATCACCTATTCAGCGATCGTTGAACAAACAATCAATGGACAAGGCCATACCAGGGCCAAAAGCTCAGATTCTACGTACTGCGCGAGAGAAAATGGAAAAAAAAAGTGCCCAGCCGCTATGAATTGCCCGTTTCGGGCAAAAACCTCAACGGCGTTGCAAATGGGCAACGGGGTTACCCGAACAGCGATTGTTCCAGAAGCGCTGGTAGACGCACAAACGCACAAACGCGCATACGGGTGCATATGGGTGCATATGGGTCGGGTCAGAAGGCGGCGCAGAGGAGGGTGCCTGTACGGGTGCGCCGTTGAACGAGTGGCTAGAGGAACGGGTTGAGGGTCGGGTAGAGAAAGATAACAACGACTTCGAGCGCCGGAGGTTGGGTGGTTGGGAGATATAGAGCGAGCAAGGCGTGAGAAGAAGGGTCTGGGCTTGTGGTGTGGAGCGCTGGTGTGGTGGAAGCGTTGGTGTGGTGGAAGCGCATCTGAACATGGCCTAAAACCTGGACTTTGTGCTGCCAGCTCATTTGATCTGGTCTCGAACGTGTGTGCTGGAAGGTCATCAAGAGGTGTCTCGAACGTTGATTGTTGCAAGCGCATCTGAATATGGTCTCGAGCGTTGGGTGTTGCAAGCGCATCTGAATATGGCCTAGAACCTGGACTATGTGCTGCAAGCTCATTTGATCTGGTCTCGTCAAAAGCCAAACGTCCACTCTAGATGGCGTGTCTTAGCCTGTGCTACTTCCGGAATCACCGATTCTTACTTCAGCAAATGCTTCGGATAGTTTGTCGCAAGGAGGAGGAGCTTTTTGGGTATTAGCAGTAGCTTTCTGGCCTTTAGGGTGCCCTTTCTGGGTATTAGCACTGGTTTTCTGGTCTTTAGGGTGCGCTTTCTGGGTATTGGCACTAGTCATCTGGTCCTTAGAATGCGCTTCTTGGGTATTGGCACTAGTCTTCTGGTCCTTAGAATGCACTTTCTGGGTATTAGCACTAGTCTTCTGGTCTTCAGGATGCGCTTTTTGGGTATTGGCACTAGTCATCTGGTCCTTAGAATGCACTTCCTGGGTATTAGCACTAGTCATCTGGTCCTTAGAATGCACTTCCTGGGTATTAGCACTAGTCATCTGGTCCTTAGAATGCACTTCCTGGGTATTAGCACTAGTCTTCTGGTCCTTAGAACGCGCTTTCTGGGTATAAGCACTAGTCTTCTGAGTCTTACAACCGGTTTTCTCAGTTTTAAGGGCTTCCCGAGTCTTGCCTTTCCGACTCTTGGGCTTGGTTTTCTGCACATCGAATGTGAACGCATCTTGCTTGTCCACAGACGCATCTTGCTTGTCCACAGACGCATCCTTCTTGTCCACAGACGCATCCTTCTTGTCCACAGACGCATCTTGTTTGTCGCCCGCAAGCGCGCGAAATTGCCGTCTTTCAGCCTCAGTGCGCTTCAGTAACGATTCGAATTCCGCCGTGAAGGGAACCTTAAACAAAAGGTCCTCATTCTTTATTTTTTGAACTCTCAGCGGGGCTCTTGGACTATTTTTGGTAACCATATAAAACTCTCCTTCTTCGCATTTCTTAAACAGCGTGCTCATAAAATCTGAAATATTCTGTAGCGCCTTCAGGTAATATCGATGATAAAATGTTTTCTCCAATGTTTGGAGCCTACTCTCGATCTCCATTATGTTAAATTGTCGCACGCCCACTAGGCTGACTGCCGAATTTCTAATTCCATAAACGACGTTCTCACATCCTGCTAGCTTGCATTGCAAACAAGTCTTGAAAAACTTCATAAAACTTTTCTTGTTAATGAGCGCTTCCAAAACCTCTGCGTTGCTAAGAGCTTGCCATTGAATTGCGTTGATATTACCGATTGGCGGCTGGAAGCATTTCAGCTCGACATACTTAGCGAGCCCCTTAACCTTTGGAAGTGCTACATCATACTCCGCAAGTATCATCGCCTGCAAGCCCTTCCGTAGTGGAAGGTGTAGTAGACTAAGAACTGGCGATTCTGTGTTACTAAGTTTCGGTAGCGGGCACCATTTTGTCCCATCATCGGGCCACTGGTGTGCACACACCGCTTCAAATTTATAACCACTATACCAGTTATTCCTAGAGCGCGAGGAGTTAAAGGTTTCGTCTCGAACGCAATCGTGCCAGAAAAATAATCTGCCGTGCTTGATATAAGCAACATGGTGAATCTTTTCATAGTTATTGAGAAAATGTGGGAAAAACGACATCGCGATATCATTCAAGTCGCCGCGGTTGGTTAGGACATCGGTTGTGCTTTGCAGTCGGTTCAATTGCGACAAGGCCGAGTTTAAGCGCAAAAGCCTTGGATTTGAAGGTATTGGCCCTAATTGCAACTTACTAAAGTTTTCGGATTCGTCGGGTGTGTCCAGCAGGGGCAAAGAGTTTTGATGGGCTTGGGCTTGATAATCAGAGAACGTTTCATGCAAATTATTGTAAATCGCAATTGAGCCTGTCCCGGAACATCTGATAGGAGGCTGTTGTGAATGTGGTTCGTTCTGGGATTCTATGAATCTGAAAGTTGCCTCTACCTTGGGAAAAGTATGCAGCGAGTCCACTTTGGGATTGAATTTCAGGTTGACCATTGTCGTGGGGATAAATCTGAAGCTTACCAGCGTAGAGCGTTGAGACATGACGAGGCTAACTCAAGCCTGAAATTTATGCGATGAGCCGTTTAACGAGATCTCGCAAAAACTTGACCGATCTTCACTCAACGGGATCAAGGGAGCAAAACCTTGTAATCCATCTGCATTGTATCTCGTCTACATAAATGTCACTGCCTGAGCTTGATTTATTCCAATAGTTTTAACTGATCGCTAGCTACCTGCATAAATCAAATACACATTGTGGTGTCACTTTGTTTATGAAAATTATAAACTACACAAGTGTGTAAGCGCGGTTTGCGCTTCTTATATTCATGCACGGGATTACTACTCGAGTATATAAACTTCTTAATTCTCACCCCTCTTCTTCTTTTTCTTCTCCAGTTCTTGTTGTTTCTCTTGTTCAATTTCGTCCACGTATTTGCCGATGTCCTCGCTGGATAAACTGATTATTTTGGAATCTGGGCGCACAACGGTGATTTCAATATTCTTCGCACCTGTTTGAACCACCTCCAGAAGCGCCTTCACGGTCAGCTTAACACACAGTTGTTCTGTGGCTGGTGGCTGACCTTTAACATAGTTCTTTTCCAGAAACTCGCGTACCGTTTTGCTATTTCTTCCAATGGCTTGAGCACTCCATGCGGAGTAGATACCACTAGGTTCTGTTTGGTAAAGTTTTGGTTGTGTATCACGCGGGTCAAAACCGGCAATCAGCGTCGATACACCAAATGGTCTAACACCACCGGATTGCGTGTATTTTTGTTGAACCCCTGCGACATAGCGCGTTAAATAATCTACCGAAACCGGGTCTTCCAGAGTTAGTTTATGGGATTGGGCCTCGACACGCGCCTTCTCGATAAGAATACGACTGTCGGCATTGAGACCAGCGAATGATAGCACGACGTGCGAGTCAATTTTAGAAATTTTTGACGGTGTGATACGGGGATCCTGCAACTTCAAGGTCGATCTTCTTTCGCAACCAACAACCACACAGTCCGTACCTTTGATCCCCACTGCACACGTACCTCTCTTCACCGCTTCCAGAGCGTACTCTACTTGGAAAATATGGCCATCAGGTCTAGTAGTTTAAAGGTTAGTCAAATACTGCAAATTAAATGCGATTTCGATTCGCAGACCAGCGAATTGGAGCTACGTCTGTCACATACGAGAAAATTGATAATGCTCTATCGTAACCACTCATCTTTGAGAAATAATATTGTCTGCCAATGCCTTCTAAGTACTTAGGGAATGATAGCTACCAGTCCCGGTGGCGAAATGATTAAATCGAAGAGTGTCATCATAACAAAACGTTAAAAGTGATACAGGAAGCGTATCGATCCACTTATTCAAGTATTCGCAGTGCTATGCTTCCGTTCTCTCCAAGGCTTGTTTTATGCTAGAAATGGTTATTTTGAAGTCAGCAAAGTTAGTTTTCATCTGTCTAGAAGTATATCTGACCTTGACAACGCTTATATCAAAGACTAATGCGACACATAATTAGCAGTGACACTGCCCGTTAGGTGCTAGATATTGTAGAGTAAATTGTGCGACAATACAGCTTAAATTTGAAATGATACTGTAGGATTGGCACCCTCAAAATTATATTCAAAACTCTACCGCTTAGCCATATGCCAAGTAGAATTGTCAAGACGTCATATAACTAAAAATTGATCAAGTGAGCCTACAGAAGTTTTACGCAAATGAAGCACAAATCCAGCTGCATATCCTCTTGCTGCTGCTTATGAAGACCAATAACACCCGCTGAGCTCTTATGCAGGTAAGAAGCCTGTTCATGGGCGATTCACAAATTTTGATGTCGTACACTGTGCTACCAGAATAGTTTCTTACTCCTACTGAAGTGTAATTCGATTCAAGTATCTGTACAACGTGAGACTCAAGGGCACAGACATTCGACGAACCCTTGCGTCTGTAGCAGATATCATGTCTGAACAGCTTGCTGAGAAAATTCCAGACGAAATTACTGCAGCCCTTTATCCGGGACCAGTCGCTGCCACAGGTGTCGAGGAAGGCGATGAGCACGATGAACCATTGGAGAAAACCGAGGAGAAAGCAGGAGCGAAGAACGTTTCTAGCTTACTACAGTCCCAAGATAACGCTTGGATGAAGATCCTTTATTTTGCCGGGTCCTGCTCTGTGAACCTCGTCTTGCCATTTTTCAATGGTCTGATGCTGGGATTTGGAGAGTTGATAGCTCACGAAGTCAGTTGGAAGCTGAATTGGTTCAAAAAGTCAAATCAAGGTTACAAAATATATCCAGAGACCCGCAAAATTGCCGCTCAGAAACAAATGGAACTGGAACAACAGAAACTGGATAAAAGAGCCGAGCAATTCCTGTAGGGCCTAACAAAGAAGTTAATCGAAGTCAAAAAAAATGTTCCAATAATTTAATGTAGTACAAGAAATGCAGTTATGTAAAAGGATGAATCTGGATCATCGACAAAAACAAATGAACGAACCATCTCAAAAAATGCACGCAGTATGTACCGTCCTGCGGTTATTTTTGCATGTAAACCAGGTTATCCTTTTCAACATGGGTCCTATATTCTCGGTTACGCCCAAATGGAAATCGCTTGCTCGATCCACACTGACAAGTTAGCACCAAGACCTGGTTCTGCGTAGTTTTCTTCTTACTTTCGTTCGCGATGAATGATGTGACAGTCCTCCAAGGAATCTGAACCCTGTGGCATTCTTTACATATCTGTCGCTTCATGCCCGGAGTTAAAGCGGTTTTAGTCTTCTTTTGAATCAAGTCCAGATTCTTCATATACATTCGAGAGAGCGCTTGGCTTTTGTCTTGGGCACCAACCATTGTGTGAAACGTTGACAGCTGAAACAAGTAGTTCAGCCGTTGCATGTGGTCCTTATTTGGAATAGATTTTGGAGGCGGTACCAGTAATACGCCCTTGTCGTTTATTTTGGAGCCTTTTCCCTGTTTGGCATTCTGTTTGCTCTCTTTCTTGCCAGACCTTCCTGCCATTTTGGAGCACTTTGAACTCTCTTGTTAAAGTGGTGCTCATCCAACCTGTTCGCTAAGACGATCACTTTTCAACCCAGCTAGCATTATACATCACGTGCCACTATAGTTCCATAGGAGTTATCGACATTAGCGCCCAAAATTCGCCCTTCATTCGAGAATTTTAGCTCATGGGCCTGCGTGCTAACCGAATCAAATCGCAGGATGCTCAAAATTCCATAATCATGAGAGTTGAAACCTTCGAGGCTCGTTTCTCGTTCGACGTCATCCAGGGCCCTTCCACATACGCTGAAGCTCTCATTAAATGCCAATAACTGCGAAAGCAGCAGACACACATCGAGAGCAAAAACTGGCCATTTTCCCCCTCGGCCGCAATCGAATTCACCGATAATATCGGTGAATATATAGCCGTGCTTCCAGGAACATACATCTTTTTCAATGTCGAACCGTAAGTGGTAGAGCAAAGCATTCACAAACTGCAACAAGAACACCGCCTGATAGTACCTGAGGCCTTTCACAATCACTTTAAATATTGTGGGTAGCTCGGGATTGGGCCCTTGGTTTGAGCCTTGGCACTTACTGTAGTACAGAGTGACCATCTGTTGTATTACTTGCGAGAGAACAACGATCAAGACGGATAGTAGAACGTTCATGATGGAGTTGTCCTTGACGTAGCGAACATACGTCAATACGTAGCAAATCAGTGCGAAGCCTTGCGATGGGAGCATACTGACCACTTTGCGTTTTTTTCAAATACCTGCCTTGTGGTAGTAGTAGGAGTTAAAACCCTTTTGTTTTTCAGCGGTGTTGGGAAATGTTAGGAGCTAAAGGCGTCGGATGAGGGAGAAACGACCACACAGCACAAATGAGCAAACTGTAACCAAGTAGAATGGTGTCATCATGGAAAACTTACAAACCGAGTGACCGATAGGCGGATCTTTATAGGACATATCGGTTTAGTTCATGCCCAGAGGTTCAAAACCACCAAGCATTCTTAATTAAGCAGAACCGGATTGATTTGAAAACAATGATAGACTAACAAATGTCTTACTGCATTATGTGAGCTAATAATCGTACAGCCGTGTAGCAAGATAGAAGTAAATGTATATATATCATACCGATTTTTCCGGTGTATACTTGAACGACTTGTTTTAATTACAAGAATTATGTTTGGCACCCTTAGAAAGTTCCTACGATCTCAGAGTATGCTGGGGGTGCCCATTTACTGTTTGCTGCCAAGGGTACGAATACATATTTCCGGGGTAGGTTTACTAAGAGCATACGTGTTCTGTGATACTTTTATTCTCGACGCCAATTTGAATTTTGATATCACAGGTTTTTTTCTGAACTTCATTCACACTGCGATATTTAGAGAATCTCAATTCAAGATTTCTCATAGCCCGTTTTGAGAAGTGTGCCCATCGTCATCACAAAATCTTCATCATGGCTCCCACTGTTGTGCAATTAAGGCCAATCGCTCATGTGGCAAGACTAGGCTTGCGGGCTAAAGTTTCTCAGCCAACTATTAGTGTAGCGCTAAGCCAGCGCAGATGGAACTCTGTAGGTGCAAATACTACCTCCGAAGCAGCCAAGGCTACCGCGAAATCTCCTAATCCTGACGAAAACCTAAATGGCAGCTCCGCGATTGTAGGGAACTCGAAGCAGAAGCAGAAAGAACCGCTTATGCAGCGAATCAAGCATGAGATTAGGCACTACGTCAACGGAACCAAACTCCTAGGCTACGAAATCAAGATTTCAACCAAACTTCTTTTTAAGCTGGTCGAAGGCTACGAGCTCTCGAGACGTGAGAAAAATCAGCTCAAAAGAACAATGGGCGACGTTTTTCGTCTAGTACCGTTCAGCGCGTTTCTCGTCATCCCTTTCGCAGAACTACTCTTACCAATCGCTCTGAAAGTCTTCCCCAATCTTCTGCCCTCTACTTACGAATCTGGTAGCGCTAAGCAATTGAAGAAACAGAAGCTCAACGATGTGCGTAACAACACCTCGAACTTTTTACAAGAGACTCTCGAAGAATCATCTTTGATCAGTTATAACTCCATCGAGAGCGCGGAGAAGAAGAAAAAGTTCCTCAACTTTTTCAAAAAGTTGAACTCTCCAAAAGACGGCAACGACAACGTCTTCACACATGACGAGATTCTCACTGTAGCGCAAATGTTCAAAAACGACAGTGTGTTGGATAACTTGTCTAGGCCCCAATTGGTGGCCATTGCCAAATATATGTCCTTAAGACCCTTTGGTAACGACAATTTGCTGCGTTACCAAATTCGTTACAATCTGAAAAATATTATGGAGGATGACAAAATCGTAGACTATGAAGGCGCCGAAGCTTTATCAAATGAGGAACTTTACCAGGCTTGTATTTCTCGTGGTATTAAAACGTTTGGTGTTAAACGCGAAGATTTGATTGAAAACATGAACATGTGGCTAGAGTTGAGATTAAGACATAAAGTACCAAGCGTTCTGATGATCCTCAGCAGTGCATACACATTCGGGGGCCTTCAGATGGAAGAAGCCAATGCGCATTCTACTTCTGCACAAGATGTTGATGACAGCAAATTCAATCAACTCATGGATCTCTACTACGATGGTATATTGCAAGTCTTGTCTTCCATCCCTGATCCCGTCTACAACGTTGCCAAATTGGATGTAAGTGAATCCAAGGAACAGAAAGCGGATGAAGTCGCAAGAGCCGAAAAAGCCGAACAAGCCGAACTTTCACAAGATGCTCAGGCAGCTACCTCGACCGCAGGTATCAAAGCTGCTGGGGAGACGGTCGCTAGAACCTCTTCACCCGAAACCCCTAGCGATGCATCCTCTGCTGGCAAATCTGCTCCACATAAACCAAAACCAGAGGCAGAAGAAGATGAAGAAGTTGATATTTCGCGTTCTGACGACAACGAGTTCAAACTCAACGTGTTGAAAGAACAAGAAGCGATGATTAAGAAGGAGGAGGAGGAGGCCAAAAAGAGAACCTCCAGACAAACTGTCGAGGACGACATAGATTTGAACGAGGACGCTTCTAATGCCCCGGTGCCCATAAAGGATGCTGCCGAGGTATCGTTGACAAAGAAAGAATGAGACAACATGCCATTCTTCTGACAAGCATCCATATTAGAAGTAAATCAAACTCGTCTATGCATTTTGATTTAAATATTCTGAATATGCACAACTCATCGTTGAAAAGATGAGAATTTTATTTAAAAGCGTCTGTTAAGACTTATTAGTCTTGTATATGCAAGTTAAAAAGTTGTGGATTACGGACAGACCTATCATAATATATTAAAAATAGAAGAAGCCGCGCGAGAGGATGATCGTGTTTTACCGGGTTGATAGTGTCAGCAAAAAAACGATAACAATTAGACTAATGCTAATTAATAGTCAAGCCACCATGCAATTTACAGACCTATTCTGACCATATTCGAAGGACATCGATGTCTTGAAAAGGTTTGCTTCTAGAAGTGCGTTTTATACAAATATGAACGAATGGTGAACAATCAATTTGGTATGGCGTGGTGACATCCGCAGCCTCACATAGTATTCGATTAATACACTGCGGCGCCCCATTGCGAGAAAATGACCCGAATATTGTGATATAGCATATAAGAAAAATAATAATTTCATGTACCATCCGATATGGTGTAACGGCTATCACACTCCGCTTTCACCGGGGAGACCGGGGTTCGACTCCCCGTATCGGAGTTCTTTTTTGCCGAGACATACATCGCATTTCATTCTGGGCAATCAGTATCAATCAAAACTTGCTGAGAAAGTTCGTTCAACGAAGTTTATATCATCATTTCTGCTCCAATCGTTTGAGCTACGTTCCCTACATGTTCCCAAAATATAAATGATTCGCCAGTAGACGAAAATCGTAAGTTTGCAATTTTCAGGGGAAACGAGACAGAATAGAAGTTTCACTTTAAGTCTTAATACATAAGTGACCCAAACGAATTCAAATTGAGACACTGTCAAACCTCTTCGCTTTCGCTCCGCCATTGTTGTAAGAATGCCTCCAAGAATACACGTCTCGGACAGTGGTGAGTTCGTGGATTCCGATGGAAACCAAATCCAGCTGCGTGGTGTAAATTTGGATCCAAACGTTAAATATCCCATTACTCCTCACTGCAGAAGTCATGATCCTATGACCCCGTCATTCTTTGAGGATGCACACAAGGTCAGCTTTATCAGTCACCCGCTCAAACTTGACGACATTGAGCTTCATATTTTGAAACTAAAGTCTCTCGGGTATAATGCCATTAGGTACCCATTTACTTGGGAATCCATTGAGCATGAAGGACCTGGAAAATACGATTTCGAATTCATCGACTACACAATAGAGGTCCTCAAAAAAATACACAGTTTGGGCGGAATTTACGTTTACCTTGATCCGCATCAGGATGTGTGGTCGCGATTTACTGGCGGATCCGGAGCTCCTTTATGGACTTTATACTGTGCGGGGTTTCAACCTCGAAGATTCGAACAGACACAAGCGGCTATTATTCAAAATTCATTCATTGATCCAAGAACTGGAAAAGAAAGTAAGCCTTATCCCAAAATGTTGTGGGCAACCAATTATTCTCGCCTAGCGGCACAAACTATGTTTACGCTCTTCTTCGGCGGGAAAAAGTTTGCTCCCAAGTGTGCTATTAATGGCTTAAATATAGAGGATTACCTGCAGGATCGCTTCACTGAAGCTGTAATGACATTTTACCGAAGGATACGCGCGAATGCTCCTGAGCTTTTCGAAGACCATTGCGTGATAGGCTTGGAAACCATGAATGAACCCAACATGGGCTACTTTACGGATCCCAATCTTTCAGAGGTTCCCAAAGACCGAAAGCTCAAGAGAGGTACAATGCCAACAGCATTCCAAGCTTTCCAGCTGGGGGAAGGTCTTCCAGCCCTTGTTGACACCTATGAAATATCTGTATTTGGGCCTCGTAAGACAGACACGACCCGCATTGATCCCAAAGGACAATCAGCCTGGCTATCTGAAGATGAGAGAGCTGAAGTAGATGCACAGTACAATTGGCAGAGGGGTGAGGAATGGAAAGCTGCAACCTGTATTTGGAGGCTTCATGGTGTCTGGGAGCTTAAAAAGGGAAATCAGCCTGTTTTACTTAAAGCAGACTATTTTGCCCGCGAACCCATGACCGGAGCTAGGATTGATTTGAGATATTTTACCAACGGCTTCTTTTTGGACTACTTTCAGAAATTTCGTGGAAAATTTAGAGAGCAAGACACAGAATCGTATATCTTCATGCAATCTCTAACCCTACAGGAACCTCCAAGATTGAAGAATACGGACTTGATTGACGACAAGACTATTTATGCATGCCATTTTTATGATGGAATGTCATTGATGTTCAAATCGTGGAACAAACTTTACAACGTGGACACGTTGGGCATCATGCGAGATAAGTATGCTAATCCTGTCTTAAGCGTTGTATTAGGAGAAACAATGATACGGAAATGCATCAGGAAGCAACTGGCACAAATGAAGGAGGAAGGCAAAAAACTTCTGGGTAGCCGCGTGCCTGTCTTTTTCACGGAAATTGGAATGCCCTTTGACATGGACAACAAAAAAGCGTATGAAAATGGCGACTTCAGCTCTCAGATTGGTGCAATGGATGCGCTAGGCTATGCTCTAGAAGGCAGCAATCTTTCATATAGCTTGTGGTGCTACTGCACTGATAACTCACATGAATGGGGTGACAGTTGGAACAATGAGGACTTCTCCATCTGGAGTAAAGATGATCTGATAGATCACTCGTCTTCAACTCCAACCGACCTAAAGTCCGATTCAGAACCTGATCTCGTATCATCTTTTTCAACGATACCGCATGGTCGGGTATCTGACATCGACACTGAGGAAGAAGAAAGCCATTGGGATTACAACGGAGTTAGGGCCCTTGAAGCTATCCTACGGCCGTATCCAGTAAAGATCAGCGGAGAGTTTGAAAATGCCGAGTTTGACTTGACTAGACGAGAATACAGGCTGACTATAAACGCTAAATCAAGAGAGAATGGGAGGCTGGCCTCAACGTTGATATTTCTCCCCCAAATGCATTTTCCTATAGGTCAAACAACAATTAAAACCACATCTGGCCAATTTCTTTATGATCCCAATCAACAAGTCCTAAGATGGTCTCACGACTTGGGCTTACAGAGCATTTCTTTGCGGAAGGAAGCGGAAACATCCAAAAAATCAGATGATCCTGAAGGATGTTCAGTAATGTAGCGCATTGCCAATTATGGGTATTATTTCTCTTTAATATGGATCTCGTGTGAATGAAAAGGTGTACATAAGAGTAATATGATGTCAATCAAAAATCATCGTTAAGTTCGTCCTCTCTTTCTCTTTTAGAACTGGCCAGTTCTCTCTTTGTAACCTGGTTAACAAATTGTTGGAATTGATCCAGGAAAGGCTGAAGGGAAGTACTTTCAATTCTATTTCCATTTGTTTCCATCTCGCTCTGCAGTTGGATTAATTTTGGAGCATCACTAGGAGTGAAATTCTCTGTGATGGGAACACAGACATTTCCTGTTGCTGGATGTATGCAGAATGGTGCCTTTAGTAAATGGATGGTTTGCTTAGTGACCTCAACATCTAATTTTGGGTACAGTGTTGCTAGAACTAAGTCTTCTTTGCACTCTCGCAGTTTGTTGAAATAATCAGATTTCTTCAACGCGGATTGATGCTTTAATTGGGAGGTTGCTAAGGAATCGATATCCGACCATTTCTGTTCACTAGTTCGATTTTCATGCATCTTCCAATGCTTTTTCAAGATTTCGATGAGAACTTTGTCATGAAGGCCAGGAAGCAACCCTTGAATGGCCGCTTCATCTTCTTGCCATGGATTTTGTTCTCGCAAAATGATCTCGACAAAATATGGCTTTAGAATATCTAAAGAGCGGACCAAATGCGGATGATAAGGACGCTTCAGATTCAATCGCTTGGACATGTTCCTCTCCCTCACTACATTCATGTAGTCTAACACGTTTCGTCTCTGTATGTCATTCAACTGTCTTGCTCTCTTGTCTGTTACCCAACAATGAGCACCACGTCTTCCGGAAAAAACCCAAATATAGTCTGTGTAGCCAAAGTCTTCTTCCAAAGAAACATTGAGTACCTTCATTGCCAAGGAAATGAACTTCCAGCATTTGGAGCAGACGTTCGCTCCTGAACAACACGTTCTGTAAGAATCATAGTCATCCATGTCGATATCAAACACAACTTCCTTTTCTAGTGGCTTCATATCGGCTTTGAGGATTGAATCCATTTGACGTGGAGGCTTGTTATAGATAGCTCCAATTTCGAATCTGTCCGGGTTGGCTCGTTGGATTTGCGCTTTAAAGTCTTGCACAGAGTCAAATGAATTGTATCTCTTATAAGCGCCAGACCGAAACGCCATGGCAAGCTCTCTGTGCATCATATCGCGACCTGGTTTTGGTGAGTGATTTAGCCAGTGAAACACTGGTTTGAAAGGGTATAAGTATTGATAGTAATACTGCATATCGGTTGCACTGGGCCCGTTCCCAGGAGGAGCGCTCTGCATGGTCATTACACCTTCAAACTCTTAATTCGATCCAGGTTTGAGTTCTATGAGCTGATACAATCTTTTGATGTCAAGCGCAGAAAGCTCTACCCAATGCTTTCGAATATTACTCTTTTATGCATTGCATCGAGAACGCGTCAGTTCACGCGTGTAACATATAAATATATATTTTTTACTATGAACATTGAAATATGATTGAAAATTGGGTACTCGAAACTATAACCTACATATTAATTGACTCAACTTCTAATCCGCCAAAAGTTACTACTGCGATTTTTCCGCGTATAAAAGGACCAAAAGGCGCTAGGAATAGACTGGAATGTGCACATTTCAATGTTAATATTTAAAAATTTCTAAAGCACCATCTGTATAGCAAATGTGCGAGGAAACCTCCCTACGAAGGCAAAATACTTAGAAGGCGTAAATGAGGGCTGGAAAACAAAGCGACGGCAGTGGGTCTAGTAAACTCTCATTGAAACCCTGAATAAATACATCGCATGAGAGTGTAACATACCGTAAAGAGTGAGATAATCTTACAAATTAACTTGCTTCCCGCTCTAAGCTTAGCTAGCCTTGAGACCCTAACTCATTTGAATATGATCACTCTTACTTATTCACCTTGCTAATTTTACGCAGAGATGCAAAGTAAAAAAAAGTCGAATATGTGCACGCCTTGTCATGGAGCTGGGTGCTTTCTAACCAGATCAGACATGGTGATTTCTTAAGCCCAGTTAGCGTAGCACGGAATAATAAGATTCCGCTAAAGCCACTAGACAGCTCGTACTGATCGTATGATAATAAATTCGAATGTCACACTCGTCGTATATGATCTCAACTTTTCAGTTATGGATCATCTGGAACGGTTGGAGGGTGGCAAAGCTACAAGCATATTGTAGAATATACACAACATCAGAGCCCTAACTTAACCTCTGCGTAAGAAGTATCTCTAATTTAAAAAACATCACAGCATTAAACCGCTTCCTCTTCATTGATCAAAATGGATATTATTTTAGGTATAAGGGTGCAGGATTGTGTGATATTGGCAACTTCCAAAGCCGTAACTCGAGGCATTTCGATACTAAAAGCCGATGACGATAAGACCAGACAACTTTCGGAACATACGCTAATGGCTTTCAGTGGGGAAGCTGGTGATACCGTGCAGTTTGCAGAATACATTCAGGCGAACATTCAATTGTATTCGATCAGAGAGAACCACGAGCTCTCTCCACAGGCGGTTTCAAGTTTTGTCAGACAAGAACTGGCGAAGTCGCTCCGCTCCAGAAAGCCGTACCAGGTGAATGTGCTGCTTGCTGGCTACGACGCCCACAGCAATAAAACTGAATTGTACCAGATAGACTACCTAGGAACTAAAGTTGAGCTGCCTTACGCAGCACACGGCTATTCTGGTTTTTACACGTTTTCGCTGCTCGATAGACACTACAGACCCGACATGACTTTAGAAGATGGTCTTGAGCTTTTGAAGCTATGTGTTGAAGAACTTGACCGCAGAATGCCCGTTGATTTCAAGGGCGTTCTTGTCAAAGTCATCGACAAAGACGGTTGTCGCGAAATCGAAGACTTCGGAACCAAGGCATAATATTTCAGCGGCATATATAAATAAAACAAGCAAACAATGTCAGCATTTTTCATCGGTCTTCGACAGCAACTTCAGATGCGAAGGAATCTTCGGTATGTAAACCTCGACCATATTGATGATGCTAGCCACCTTGTATGGATCTCTATCCTATCAATGAATGCAACAGCAAGCACCAACGTTTTCAATTTCAATGCGGCGAATGAATTACAGCCGTTGGATACTCCATTCCTTCCTATATTAACACTGATTGCTTAATGTTGAATTTGCTTATGAAGATATTCCTGCATCACACACCAGGGATTGATTAGGCAGCATGTGTTTATAGTGCTCAATAAATCACAATTTGTCGGATTTTGCTCCTGCTGTGTTCACCTTTGAGTTATTCAGATATACTCAATATTTTTCATTTTAAGGGCGTCGCTTTACCAAAAATCTTCTCTACCTTGTGTATATCTGATACCCAGGTTTTATTTAGCAATGGTTCACTTATATGATTCGTTCTTCATTGATGCCTTTCGCTACCTTCCGCTACCTTCGGCGGCTCAAACATTTTGGAAACTGTTTCAAGCAATTTTGATTGCTGCGAACGCCGATACCGAAGTCCGATTGATACATATATACTGTTGCTTCGATTATAATGAGCATTGTTTTCTCATGTAAAAACAGAACAATAGGAACGCCCACCAAATGCCATACACAGGTGTTTACTATTCAAACGGTGCCAGAAAAACCATTTCTTAAGCTCATTTACATCTCGATTTGGTCGCTTCCGACGTACTCATCTTCAATATTGAGACCTCAGTAACACTAACTGCTTACCTTTCCCCAACACCATCTACGACCATAGGCGCAGAAGACTCTTCATGAGTGCTGTGATTACGAAGATTGGGAGAGCACTTGGGGTTGAAGACCAAGCGATTTGCGAATTCGTTTATGACATCTGTGTCAAAAGCTCTTGTTTAGAGCAGTTTCAATCAAAAGTTCAAGAGCTAGATGTTGGTATTGCGCCCGATGTTGCTGTAAAAATTTATGAACTTGTACCACATCTAAAGGCCCCTCCGATGGCAGATATCACAGATATATTGAAAGACAATCTTGGCGTGACTGATACAGTCGTTGTGAGATTTGTCACTGAGGTATGTTTTCAATGCAGCTCCTACAATGATTTTGAATCTCAACTTCAAGAAATGGACTCTGGCATAGACTCAAAAACTGCTTCACTCATATATTCTGTTCTAAAGCCTAAACCATCAAGAGGAAAGGACGAAGTCAGCATGCCAAATAATAAGAGAGACTGGAGCGCTCTTAGCAACTCCGGCGGAATCGTCAAGACTGAAAATGACGCTCCAGTACAGCTAGATGTTACACCTCTCATGGGCAAGATCTACTCTGGCGTGGTAAAAAAAATAATGGCATTTGGGTGTTTTGTCCGAATATTGGGCACACGCGATCCAAGGTGCGACGGATTAGTTCATATTTCTGAAATGGCAGATAGAAGAGTTAGCGATCCTTCAGATGTTGTCTTTGTTGATCAACGTGTTTTTGTTAAGGTCATCAAGATTCAACACAATGGGAAGATATCGCTTCAGATGAGGTCAATTGACCAAGAGACTGGCTTAGAGCAGAATCAGGGACTGTGCCGGGGGCGGCGTTTGGAGAGACAAGCTCCCCTCAAAATAAAGAGAAAATTAACCTCACCTGAAAGGTGGGAGATTCGTCAATTGGTTGCAAGTGGTGCAGCTTCTATAGACGATTATCCGGAGCTGAAAGAGACCATCGAGCAAGATGGAGACTTAACCAAGAGTGTGACACAAGAGCAAGCGGAAGTAGATGTCGAATTAAAAACAGATGACAAACCGCAATTTTTGGAGGGAGAAACCGACTTCTCCCATAAGCAAGAAATGCCAAAGATCACCAAAGTACCACAAGGGTCACTTACAAGAACAGCTCTCAACGGATCAAGTCTTATGAGTGATCACAGGAATGAGAAGCTACAACAAAAGAAGGAGCTTGAACAGGAAACACGAAAAAAGACGCTCCTTGACGATCCCAATTATCGTTCACAAGCTGACTTTAAGAACAAACAACTTGCGTTGACCGCTTGGGAAAGGAGCAGGAATAGAGAAACTATTGAATATGGTAAGAGAAGCAGTTTACCCATCAAAGTTCAGCGAGAATCTTTGCCCGCTTTCAAAATGAGGCAACAAGTAATAGACGCAGTCAGTGATAACCAATTCCTAGTCATTATTGGAGAGACAGGTTCAGGAAAAACTACCCAAATCACACAGTATTTAGATGAAGAGGGTTTTAGCAATAGTGGATTAATTGGATGTACTCAACCGAGAAGAGTGGCTGCCGTCTCTGTAGCAAAACGTGTCTCCGAAGAAATAGGATGTAGGGTTGGTGAATATGTCGGTTACACAATCAGATTTGAGGACGAGACTTCCCCTAAAACGAGAATAAAGTACATGACAGATGGTATGCTGCAAAGAGAGGCGCTTTTGGATCCAGAAATGAAAAACTACTCGGTGGTTATATTGGATGAAGCTCACGAGAGGACAGTAGCGACAGATGTGCTATTCGCTTTGCTCAAGAAAGCTGCTTCGAGAAGACCGGATCTGAGAGTAATTGTAACATCGGCAACCTTGGATGCGGAAAAGTTCTCGAACTATTTTCTACAGTGCCCGATATTGAGGATACCTGGTAAAACATTCCCCGTTGATGTGATGTATGCGCAGGTACCTCAAATTGATTACATAGAGAGTGCTCTCGATACAGTGATGGAAATCCACATCAACGAAGGTTGTGGCGACATTTTGGTTTTTCTGACAGGCCAAGAAGAAATCGACACATGTTGTGAAGTTTTGTACGAGCGTGTTAAAACTCTAGGAGACACTATCCAGGAACTTCTTATCTTGCCGGTGTATTCAGCTCTGCCTAGTGAAGTCCAATCAAAGATTTTTGAGCCCACACCACCAAATTGCAGGAAGGTCATTTTTGCTACCAACATAGCAGAAACGTCAATTACCATCGATGGTATTTATTATGTTGTGGACCCTGGCTTTTCGAAAGTGAACACATACAATCCTCGTGCAGGGATGGAACAGCTCATAGTATCACCTATCTCACAGGCACAAGCAAATCAAAGAAAGGGACGTGCTGGTAGAACGGGTGCAGGTAAGTGCTACAGGCTATACACTGAATCTGCCTATTTGAATGAGATGATTCCCAACACTATTCCTGAGATACAGAGGCAAAATTTGTCATACACGATCTTGATGCTAAAGGCGATGGGAATTCATGACTTGCTGAACTTTGAGTTCATGGATGCTCCACCGCGAAATTCGATGACTAGCGCCTTGGAAGACTTGTATAATTTACAAGCGCTGGATGAAGATGGGAGACTCACTAAGACTGGCCGTTTGATGTCACAATTCCCGATGGAACCGGCCTTATCGAAGGTACTAATGGAGTCTGCTAATACTGGGTGTTCCGACGAAATCTCAACCATCATTTCGATGCTGTCAGTACAGAATGTGTTCTATCGGCCACGAGACAAACAACAAGAAGCAGATTCAAAAAAGGCTAGATTCCATCATCCATACGGCGATCACTTGACTTTGTTAAATGTTTACACCCGCTGGCGGGACGAGAATTATTCGAAGACGTTTTGCTTAAACAACTATTTGCATGAACGTCACCTAAAGCGAGCCAAAGACGTCAAAACACAGCTGATAAACATTTTCAACAAACTGCGCCTACCACTGTCCAGCTGTAGGGGAAATGTAGATCTTATACGAAAAACACTAGTATCAGGCTTTTTCAGGAATGCTGGCAAGAGAGATTCTCAAGTTGGATACAAAACTATCACCGACGGCACGTCTGTAAGCGTCCACCCCTCGAGCGCTTTGTTTGGAAAGGACCATGACTACGTTATTTATCATAGTTTGGTCCTAACAACACGCGAGTACATGTCCCAAGTAACTGCAATTGATGCACGCTGGCTTGTAGAAAGCGCACCACACTTCTACAAGGTGGCGGGTGCGGAAAGCGAGTCTCGCAAGAAGGCTAAAGTTGTGCCTCTTCACAACAAGTTTTCGCAAAACCAAGATTCCTGGAGATTAAGCTCGATCCGGCAGACAAAGGAGAAAGCTTTAGGGATAAGAAGGTAAATGTGGTCAGTGTTTGCCGTGCATATGAAGGCCAAGAGACCCACCGATATTCAGTGATTTTGGGAGTAGACATTCAACATGCAGTGAATGTGATATCTTTTTAGCAATATCTGTGCTAGGTCTAAAGGGTCCAAACTTTGGGGGACAATTTGCAGAGGCTAGTGTGGAAGGTCGCTTTTCTGAATATGTGTCATATGAAGTCAAAAATGCTCGACATACAGAACCGGTTTTGTTTCCCAACATAATGACATGGGCGAATTACATGTTCGTTGCATTCGGACTTTTTAGCATATTAACACTTTGTTACTTACTTAATGAGTATTCAAGAGAAATGAGTCGTACATCTTACATATAAGCTGCGAGTGTACTTTAGGCATGTGTGAATATAGCGTTTTGGCTCACTTCAAAGACAAATCAAATTAAGTGTCGTAGCTTGCATGTAGAGAAATTCTCGTTTAGATCCTTATTCGATATAAATTAACCGACTTTTTAATTAAAATAAAACTAGCATTTTCTAAAGTAACTACGACCTTAACAATGATTGTTAGCCCTGTAAAGTTAGCGGTAAATGGGAGCGTAGCCGTTATTGGTGCTGGGGTCGGCGGTCTAAGTTTTGCTTACTTTTTGAGTAAATTGAGGCCGGACCTTAATATCACTATTATAGAGGCTTCCGATAGGAAAGGCGGATGGATCAATACCAGTGTGTTTGAAAGCGATCATGAGAAACCCGTTCTCGTGGAAAAAGGTCCGAGAACATTGCGAGGGCAATCAGACGGAACTACCTTGATGGTAGACACATTGAAAGCTTTGAAAATGCAAGACGCCGTGTTATGCATTGAAAGCAAATCGGAAGCAAACCGAAAGTTTCTCCTGGACGTTAATGACTCATTGGTGCAAGTTCCCAATTCATTAAATACTTTGATCCATTTTTTGTCCAGCTCTTTGGGCAGAGGCCTGATAACCGGGCTTCTTGGGGAGCCTTTTCGAAAATTACCAGTTGGAGCGCTCGAGGAAGATGAGAGTGCTCACAGTCTGATTTCCCGCAGGTTTGGCAACAGTGAGATTAGTAATAACATCTTCAGCGCTATATTTCATGGCATTTATGCCGGTGACATCAAGCAGCTCAGTGCAAAGAGAACTTTAGCATCTATCTTTGCACTTGAGCGGAAGCACGGATCATTGATCAGAGGAATGCTTAGCAGCAAAAAGACCAAAAAACTACTGGAGTTGCCAGAATCTCTGCATACTTACCAAGAAAGTCTCAACAGGGATCCGAAAGAGCTTTTACAACTTTATGGACGGCTCCGCAAGCTGCCAATGCTGGGTCTTCGCAACGGGCTCGAGACGTTCCCCAAAGCCTTATCGATAGCACTGCAGCAAAACCCAAAGGTCAATTTTGAACTTGGGAGCGGTGTTTCTCAGATCGATGCTAAAAAGGAAGGTCATTGCAACCTTTTGCTTGCTAATGGAGCTAAATTGAACGACTTCGATCACATAAGGCTAACAAACACACCAAAAGTGATATCCCGGATGATAAGAGACGAGGCTCTGGCTCACGAGCTAAAGCAGGTACATGCTAACACAGTGGTGCTGCTGAACTTTTATCTGCCCAACATTGATCTAGTCGAGCGCTACCATTCGTTTGGGTACCTGGTACCGCAATCCAATCAAAACCAGGAGCAGTTATTGGGGGTCATATTCGATTCTGTGATCGAGCAGAACTACAAGCCACTGATAGAAGAAGAGAGCTCTACTCTTGCGACGTCAAAACCCAAAGCATACACGAAATTAACGGCTATGGTAGGAGGTCACTATTTGAACCGGAACGGCGCGCAACTGAAGAAGTCGACTGACTACATCAAAGACGTCAAGAAAGCGCTTGGACGACACCTCAAAATTTCAGAATCCGAGCTGGATCGGGGCCATTGGGAAGTAACTTTCGCCAGTGAGTGTCTTCCCCAGTTTTTTGTCCACTACGACCGCTGGTTGAAGCGCATTGAGACCGATTTTGAAACAAAGTTCGGCTCGCGTGTTTCGCTTGGTGGTATGGCCTTCAGCAAAGGACCTGGAGTGCCAGACGTGGTCATGGACGGATTCGAAGACGCTAAATCGTTGTCGTGAACTCTAATCGCTCCACACGAGCACTATCTATTTTTTGTTTTTAATTTTGCATCTATAATATCATCGTACATATATAAGAATTGGATATACTTCAGGGCGAGAAGCTCGAAACAACTTGTCAAATAGCCGCTCAGGAGTGATCCGGGATACACACAATAGCCACCCGCCAATGCCGTCTAGCAAAAGAGTTCCTGAGAACAACGTGAACTCTGCTCAGGCTGCCAAGAGATCCAAAATCGCTGAGCCGCCCAAACTCGAGCCCAAAAGGTCACTGTACGTGAACAATCTAAACGACAAAATCAAGATGCAGACGCTCCGAGAAAACCTTTACCTACTTTTTTCAACATTCGCCGAGGTGCTGCAAGTCACAGTATCTAAAGCGACGCGAGGACAGGCCTTTATTGTTCTGAAATCTGTGGACGAAGCTAATTTAGCTATGATTTCGCTCCAAGAGGAGCCTTTCTTCGGAAAACCCCTGCGAATTCAGTTTGCCAAGAAGGACTCTCTACTAGTTCTACAAGGGGTCGATTCTCAATCCTAGTTGTCCTATTCATCCACTGAGAATCATCAAATACTGCTGGACGGGCCCGTACCCGTTGTTTCTTAGCGTGTTGCACGACTTGCGTATTCCGTAACACGATAATTGGAGAAGGGTTTGTTTCATGACTGTCACGCTCAAACGCATATATTCAGATCGGAAAGCGTTGCAGATGTATATAAAGGGTCAGGACAATATGCCAAATTGCTGAAACAAGATGAGGTTTTGAACAAAAAACAAAATCGAGAGGCTAACAAAAGGCAAGCGTTTACGATCTCATCCATCGCCCAATGACAATGGCCACGCCCAGCAGTATCCAGGACTATATCAGTCTTGCGGGATTGGTAGAGACAGACTTCAAGTTTCAGGGTCTCAAAGAAGAGCTGTCACACTACGACGCCAACTCGAAAGAGTACCTCACAGCGCTGTATAATGCAATGCCCTTGACCAACCACGCCGACTACCGGCAGTTTCTAAAAAAACAGGCGGTTGCCGTTTCGGAAGCGGACTTGAAGCTCGGCCTCAGCCCTGTGTACCGTAATTCACTCAGTCCAGACCACTTGGTTTCCACGATCCATCCGAACCTATCCACGTCCTACGATCTGTTCAACTTCGCCGTGGAACGGTTTCCAGACAACGACTGCCTTGGACAAAGGGTGGCGCTCGATGGCACGGGGAAGTTGAGTAACAATTACGTTTTTGAGACCTACCAAGGAATTCAAGATCGAAGTCGTAATTTGGGAAGCGGAATCATGACTGTGGTAAATCTCAAGCGCAAGCGGAAATTTGAATTCAACGATTTTATCGTGTGTTTTTTGTCTACTAACCGTAAAGAATGGATTATCTCGGACTTGGCGTGCCAAGCCTACTCCTTACCCAACACGGCTCTCTACGAGACCCTCGGATTGGACACTTCAGAACACATCCTAAATATCACTGAGTCTCCAGTTCTTATACTATCCAAGGTGAATCTTTATAAGGCCTTGGAGATGCTTCCTAATTTGCCACATTTGAGCACGCTAATCTGCATGGATGAATTGACCTCGGACGAGCTAGCTCAACTCAATGGACCTTTGCTACCTAAACGGACAAATGGGAACGGTGAGCACATTTCTGTAATCACTATGAGACAAGTGGAGGAAATCGGGGCCAATAACAAAGTTCCTATCATTCCACCGACGCCAGATTCGCTATACACTATTTCTTTCACCTCGGGAACCACCGGAACTCCCAAAGGTGTGGAATTAAACCACAGTCACATTGCTGCGGGGATCACACTCGCACTATCAATCTTCCGCATACCTGCCGCTAAGCGTGGCAATCAGTTATACGACATGTGCTTCTTACCGCTAGCACATATATTCGAGCGTATGATAGTTGGCTATGGATTGTCAGCTGGTGTTGGCCTCGGATTTTTACACAAAGCAGACCCGGCCGTACTAGTCGAAGATTTGAAAATATTGAAACCAGATTTCTTGTCCTTAGTGCCCAGAGTGCTTACCAAATTTGAAGCTGGCATCAAGAACGGATTGCAAAGCGAAACCACATCTACCGTTTCCAAAAATGTTGCACGCAATATTCTGGACAAGAAACGCGTAAGGTTTCAGAGTCGGGGAGGGCCTGACCATTCGATTGTGAACTATATGGTGTTTCATAAAATTCTCATAGACAAGATTCGGGACTCTCTTGGACTCACCAATGCATCATTCCTGATAACAGGTTCTGCGCCTATTTCAAATGATACGCTTCTATTTATGAAGAGCGCACTCGATTGTGGTATCAGACAAGGTTACGGCCTTACCGAAACATTCGCAGGTGTATGCCTCAGTGAAGCACATGAGCGGGACTCCGGAAGTTGTGGGGGGATGGCTGTTACTACTGAATGCAGACTGAGATCGATACCTGAAATGGGTTATGACGCGGTGCGCGATTTAAGAGGAGAAGTTCTACTCCGCGGTCCACAGATCTTTTCTGGGTATTTCAAAAATCTTAAAGAGACTAGAAAAGTTTTGAGTGAAGATGGTTGGTTTTCCACAGGTGATATTGGTTATATTGATTCTAAGGGCCGCTTGACCATTATAGATCGGGTAAAAAACTTTTTCAAACTTGCACAAGGTGAATACATTGCCCCTGAAAAGATCGAGAATATTTACTTATCATCTTGTCCTTACCTTTCCCAAATTTTTGTGCATGGAGATTCTTTGCAGACTTTTCTGATAGCTATTGTTGGTTTAGACTTGAGCATAATCACTCCAATATTGCACCAAAAGATATCAGGATTAAAGGGGACGTATGGACAAGAGCTGATCAAATCTCTCAATCAAAATCGTGAGTACAAAAAGGAATTCTTAAAGTTGGTGAACAGTTTTGTCAAAGGTCTACAAGGGTTCGAGAAGGTGAACAATTTGTATGTTGGTATTGAGCCTTTGACACTTGCTGATGATACGATTACACCCACTATGAAGGTCAAGAGGTCAAAAGCAGCTGTTAGGTACAAGGCAGTGTTAGATTCTCTCTATAGCGAAGGCTCTCTCATTAAGGCAGAGAAGCTATGAACTCCCGCTCCGCAGATTCCCATTTTTATATTATGCATTCAAATATTGATTATCGCTTAGGTCAGTTCAGCTGGCAAATTTGCCTTTCTATACAGATGAGAGACCGGCTTTTTGGCCTCAGTTAAAAATGTCTCAAGTATTGCGATACACTCGTCAATAGTTCTACCCTTTTTAATACCCGTCTCTATAGCTCGTATGATAATCAATCGCCTGCTGTACTTCTTTTTGACATTTTTCCTCAGATTTGACCTCCATCGAGTTGAAAAAGATCTCTCCAAGGAACGTATCGATACACCCTTACTACCGATTCTATGATACTCATTCCATACTTCACTGATTGTTGTATATTTTTCAGAGAAACGAATACCCCATTTCTCAAGAATGTCTCTTTCTCCTAACTGAGATGCCGGAGATGAGGGGCCGCCGGAAGGTCTAAGATTTGGAGTTGCCGGGGTGTTTAGTCTCAACGGGAGGAGCGGAATTTGTCTTGTAGATGAATTAGGAGTAAAGCCAAAAGACTGGGTGGCGTCGACAGTTCCGTTCCCAGTTCGAGCTCTTTGGGGCTGCGCCAAAAGAAAGTCGTTTGACAACGTTCGTTTCTCGAGATTCTGGGCCATTGCGTCATTTATGAGCGAGGTTATATCCTCGGCATTTGAATTTTGTTCGTAGTCTTTCAAGATAAGCGAAGAAAGAACATTTTGAGGATACGGCGTGGTTATTCGCGTATTCAAGTTCGAGTTCGGATCTTGATTGGTAGCGGAAGATAAATCGGTAAGACCTGCAAAAGTTAATTTTTGTTCATTTTCTATTGCATCAGCTAAGTAAGAGTTATCTTCTTTGGGAGTGGTTGCTGTTGGCGTACGTTGAGCAGTGGAGGAAACGGAATTCACAGAACTATCAGTCGCATCGAGGAGAGCACTTACTTCACCAAAGTCACGCATATGCTCATCTTGCAAGACTGCATGCTCAACTTCTCTTATATTGAACTCGCCTAAAATATTTCTCAGTCGCTTTCCAACTTGTATTTGGAATGATTCGCGTTCGGACTTTTCATGCCGGAGTTGCACCCGAAAGGTTTCTACCTGGTGTTCTAAAACCTCAATTTTCTCTTTCATCAATTCTAAAGCCCGGGAACAGTCAGAAGTCATTTGAGAAGAGGGAACCGGGGGATGCATGGTTTGAGCCTTGTTTCTAGTCTAAAGTAAAGTTGTTGTAACGTTCAAAATATGGGGAACTTGCCGCAAACCTTGAATGAATTAGGTATGGACTTCACTAAGAGTAATCGTAGTTGATGAAGTGCTCCGTTTGTCGCGTCCGAAGTTCTTATGACAGAGTAGCCACACCGCTTATAAAAAGCAGTTTTCCTTCGCAAGAGAACAGCACCGAGATGCTTGATCATTCAAATACTCCTAAAACGCTTTTGTAAATCACGACTATGGCTGCTAGGCAAACCGCAATCACAACAATCCTCTATTGGTGTGTCAGTGTATAAAGTGGTTCAGTCAGCTCACCACCCAAAAAAATACTGAAAATCTGATAAATGCTAAAGATGCTATAGCACCAGTCCAAATCAGTTTGTCCAGGGTACTTTACAGAACTCTTTAGTGCCACTTAAGACCAACGAATACAATATTACGTGGACTATTACGAATGTCTCTTGCCAATATTGACAAAGCCAGTAACAGCAAACTACCAAACCTGAAGTAGCGCGTATATATGGTGGCCTACCAGCCGTTGATCGCAACTCGTCACTGTTAACTTTTATACTTTTCGTCAAATTATTGAAATGCTGATTGATCTTAGGAAATAAATTAAATAACAACAAATTGAGGTTAACCAAGTTTCATAACAAGAAGCTAACTTAACAACTAATACTTAAGGCCTCAGCAAGTTCAGCCTGGAAATTAACGGCAAGACACAATTGAATTGTGCTGGCTGGATCGCGAAACACACTCTTCGCATAATAAATAGAGAGAGAATCGATTGATCCATCAATGAGCGGGGTTGGAGAATCTCGATCAGAATTACTAGGCTGGCTGAACGAACTGCTCCGATTGAACTACGCTAAGATTGAGCAATGTGGCACCGGTGCTGCGTATTGCCAGATTATGGACTCCATCTATGGAGATGTGCCAATGCATCGTGTGAAATTCAACGCAAGTGCAGAGTACGAGTTTCTCACCAATTTCAAGATTTTGCAGAGTTGTTTCACAAAACATAGGCTCGAAAAAACAATCTTGGTTGAGAAGTTAGTGAAATGCAGATTCCAGGACAATTTGGAGTTTTTGCAATGGCTAAAGAAGTTCTGGACCCAAACTAAAGACGAGAGTGCTTACGATGCCGAGTCTAGACGCAAATACCGGGCTCCGACGGTACCTACAACAAACTCTAATATATCAGGGTCAAACTCCACATCAGGGACTATTGGCGGCTCGAATTCTGCCCCTACAAGCGTCGTGAAGAGGCGAGCCAATGGTCCGCTACGAAGCTCATTAACTGGATCTATCCGTTCTTCTGCTCCGTCAGCAATACGTAAATCTTCGAACGAGCAGCTAATGAGTGTTCAAACTAAATTATCTCAAACACAGCTAAATCTTGAGACTTTGCAAAAAGAAGTTACGCAATATCGGGAAGCGATGTGTATAATGGAGCGCGAACGCGATTTTTACTTCGGCAAACTTAGAGATATTGAGATTTTGTCGCAATCAACCAAGGATCTCTGCAAAGAAGGTATCTATTCAAGTGATCCAAACGAGCTGGTTCGTTTCTTGGACAAGATACAGCAAATTCTATATGCCACAGAAGAAGGCTTTGAGGTGGCAGAAGACGAGACTAAACCCAATCGTGAAAATGATGCTACGATTAGGAAGAGTGCTGGTACACCAGACTTAATAGACACCAAGCACCAACCTGCACATAATCTAATCACTGATGAGGAAACGTTTTGACGACAAAGGGACTAAAGCATCTCAAAAATTCCAGTTATATTCTATTAGTGCGTTTGAAGATAGTTCAATGACAGTATTGAAATTTCCGATAACCTTACAAAATAAGCTTGAATTGAATGTTATTTACAGGATAAGTATATTCTTTCGTGAAGCCATCATGCATTGACAACACTGTCGTCGTCTTTCTTTGGGTCCAGATATTTTTCAAATGCTTCATTACGCTCTGGGAACGGTCTTGGCCCCAGCAATCGTATCATGTCCTCTCTTGTTATGACTTCTTTCCGCAGTAATTCTTGAGCGACGTCTTCAACTTTCTGCAAGTTGTCATTCAGCAGGTTTTTACACTGCTTGTGCGCATCATCAACAATTTTTTTAACCTCCAAGTCAATTTTCCGCGCTGTACTGTCGCTAAATGGTTTGTTGACTTGAACCCCATTGGCGTCTTGATCATACGAAACATACCCGATCGTACGGGACATGCCCAGCTTGGTAACCATAGCTTGTGCCATGTTGGTCACTTTCTTGAAATCATCATGAGCTCCGCTGGTAACAAAAGGAAAATGTAGTTCTTCTGATACTCTACCACCCAAAGCCATTACCATTCTGTGTTGAAACTGTTCTTGGGTGATGAGATACTGATCAGGTGGTAGGTATTGTGCATAACCTAAAGCACCTTGGCCTCGTGGAATTATACTCACTTTCAAAAGAGGATCCGCGTGTCGCAGGTACCAACCACAGACTGCATGTCCAGCTTCGTGATATGCAACGGTCTTCTTTTCTTCTGGTGATAAAACACGAGATTTCTTTTCCAACCCCGCAATTACTCTTTCGATAGCTTGTTCAAAATGTACTAATTCGACAAATGGCTTTTGATGTCTAGCGGCGATAAGAGCGGCTTCATTACAAACATTTGCAATATCAGCACCTGCAAATCCTGGCGTTAATGCGGCAAGCTTACCGGCAAGCATATCTTTTTCAGCTGGATCGCTGAACTGTGGATTCAAGTTTAGTTTCTTCAAGTGTACCTGATAAATAGCTTTTCTGCCCTCAACATCTGGTGCGTCAATCTGAATGTGACGATCAAATCTTCCAGGTCTTAACAGAGCAGGATCCAAAACGTCTGGTCTATTAGTACCAGCCAAAACAACCACTTGTTCATTAGTACTGAATCCATCCATTTCTACCAAAAGTTGGTTTAATGTAGCCTCACGCTCGTCATTCGAGCCACCCATGGCACCGCCTTTGCCTCTTTCTTTACCGATGGCATCTATTTCATCCACAAAGATAATCGCGGGTGCCATCTTTCTTGCGGTTTCAAACAGATCACGAACACGAGAGGCTCCCACACCAACAAACATTTCAACAAACTCAGAGCCCGAAACAGACAAAAATGGAACTCCGGCTTCTCCTGCGGTAGCTTTGGCGAGTAGAGTTTTACCAGTACCAGGGGGTCCTGAAAGAATAGCACCGCGGGGAATCTTGGCGCCTAGGGCACGATACTTGTCTGGCTTTTGTAGAAAATGTACAAATTCCAAAATTTCAGATTTTGCTTCATTACAGCCGGCGACATCCTTGAATTTAACCTTAATGTCAGTTTCTTTATTGAAAAGCTTGGCCTTAGATTTACCAACACCAAACATACCTCCCATGGGGCCGCCGCCTCCCCCACCACCCATGGACCCGGAAGCGCGACGAGTAATGAAATAAAGACCCCCAAGGAGGATAACGGTGGGAATAAATGGGAAAAGATACTGCAAAATGGAAGCCTTTTCGACGTAAGTAACTGGAATACGCTCATCTGGAGGGATTTGTAACTTGTCTTGTATTTCATCAATTTGTTGCTCAAAAACATCCACAGACCCAATCGTGAATCCAACTATAGCGGAGGAGTTGGGGGTTGAGAAGAATCCATTTCCAGAGCCCAACGAGGCGGCAGCCTGAGGCATGAGCTGAGCTTCTACCATTTGTTTGTTTACCACATAAATTTTCTTGACCAGGCCTTTCTCCAAATACTTCGTTTTGAACTCTTGGAACGTCAAAGCAGGTCCGTCTTGAGGATCTGACGAAGGGGATGTTAGAAGATGGAATACAAACGTAAAGCCGACCGTGAGATAAATGGTTTTGGCAAATTGTTTGGATTTTAAATATTCACTCAAAGTCTTGAAGTCATCCCTATTGCGGCCACCTTTGTCGTCTTTATCATTCTTATTGTGGTCACCTTTTGGCTCGTTATTTTGAGGCCCCGAGTGCTGGAACCTTTTGCCAGAGAAAGCACTCAAGCGGGGAATGTTTGATTTAAAGGTTGATCTCCTCGGCGCTACAAACGATCGTGCTCTGCTGGGACCGGTGGCCAGCAAGTTTCGAATCATGGAATAGATGTGGGATAATCGCAAACAGGCTCGACTGTGATGTTTGGAGCCTTCGCGTTTGACGTGCAAATAAAACGGGAGTACTTGAGTGATAGATTGAGGCCAAATTGGGATTTTCGCCACTGGGCATCACTAAAAACGAATAGATGCTGAATCAAGCCAAGGGTAGCTGACATTTAGTCTGTACTGACTTGTTGAAAGCAGAAATGAGAGTCGAGAAGAGCTCTGGCCCGGATACGATAGTTTTGTAGACTGTCGAGAACTTGTAGTGTTTTTTTCAGATGGACACATATCTGGGTTCAGTAGGAATGAGCGGTGACTGGCCCGTGTTAATTATATCACAAAGTGAGCTGTTGCCAATTGTGATAGATAGTCTCAAGTACTCCAGTAATGACTACAAGAGTACTCTTGTCACGGCAACGCAGAGTTGTCAATATGTTGCGATGTCAGTGATAATAATGCCTGATTGCAAAATGACTGAGTAGTACAAAGTGATGTGAATAAAACAATAGCACCAAGAATGAAATCTGAGAGCTAGGTTCAGTGGGTGCAGATGCTTAGAAAGCGTTCTGCACCTGGGGAACTTACCAAAATGATCAGAGAGAACGAGCTGGGCTACTAACTATATTATTGTCATTCATTAGCACGTCTCAGCCCGCTATAATTGGGATTGCTTCGTAGTGCTACGGTTTGGCGCAATAGTTTTAGCACATCCGCCGCTCTCGAGCTTGTGTATCAGTGTATGAGCTGCCTCTGTTGTGATTCAGGCCCGCAATCTTCCGATCCACATCAAAGCGCATGTACGTACCGCCCGGAGATTTCGTAGATTGTGATCTGAATGTAGGACTCATTGATCTTTCCAGGACGGCTAGTTACAGTTTCTGCGTTGGGTTTAGAAGATCAAACATTTTACGATGCCATATTTGGTCGACGTCTGGAAATATTCATTTTTGCACATGAGATCAGAGACTGATGCTATGAACCAGATTTTAAATGAGCCACCCTCTAATGAACCATTCCCTGACGAAACATTGTCTCTTTGTTGAATGGGCGCGCGTATGCAATAAAACCTTTCCTCTCCGGCCGGCGTAGTCACCACCTGAGTCACCGCCTAAGTCACCACCTGAGTCACGTCATGTGACCTTAAGTCCTCGTCCTTTTGTCTTAAGTCCGAAACGGTTTGGGATCTCCAAAGCGGCCGGCTTGGCGGCGGCCTCTTAATCAGCGGCCCAGCCAGCCAATCAGCCCACCAGCCAGCGAGCCTCTCGTTGCGCAATGAGAGAAAAGACGCCTTGCAAATATGAAGTTCCAATAGCTTGCTTTCCCGCCGGCGCTTCCGACGTCCTCGAATTATGATCTACCTCCTAAGCCATTGTGTGCGATGTTTCCTCATTCTCATCAGCAAAAAAAACATAAGGAAAATGCTTGAAACGGATCTCGGACTTCGAAGCCCTATCGCCGAGCGGTCTTGTTCCGCAGTTGTTCTTTTTTTCTTCTTTGTTCTGTATCGATTTGTTTTTTTTTCCACAAATTGCTCGCGAATTGCATTGTCTTCCAACAAAAACCAAAATAGACCGGCATGTAAAGGAAACCGAAACCTTTTACCGAGGAACCTTGCTGCATCCTGCAAGGCACGACTGCACGGAACGCGCGGCTGTGCGCATATGCATTTGTGCGTTGTGCATGAGCCTCGGCTCGGGGACAATTCTGATTTCCAGACCGCAGATCTCCGGAGTCGTGGGTCGTGATTCGCGATTTGGATAAGGCACGATGCCAGCTACCTCGTTTCGAAGGCGACGATGGCAACAACAACGCCACGACAGCGGGAGCTTACTTGTCTTGAACCAGAGTTTGCTAATCACAACCTGAATTAAAGTCTAACAATGACAGGAACCCACGGAGATTGTGTATGCTCGATATTTGATTTAAAACATTTACAACTGCGTAGAGTATGAGAATAGCCGGAATAGAACCAAGCAGGGTTTGTTTGGAGAAAGTTGTTGTGTCATTGAACAATATCCAATGGCCCGCGACAGCTGGTAAATTTGCCTTTTAAACCTAATATTAGTGATCCCATTGAGTAATTATATTTGTATGTAAGAGGAGCGAACCGAGCCTCTGAATGTGTGTATCTTATCTTTTTCAAGAATGACTGGCGAAGTGGTGGTGTCCTTTGCTGGGCAGAGCTTGGCTCTCCAGCCTTCACCCGCGCTACAAAAACCAGTTTCGTAGCCGAGATGGGTTTGGGGGCTTCACGGCCGTATGCGACACGCGCATTACATTACCGTCTATCCGCACAGCGTGTGTCTGTAAGAAAGAATTGTCCTGCTCAAGCCCCAAGCGGTGTTCCCAGCTCGCTGTGTCGTTTGCAGAACTCGCAGCCATCTTTGCGCTGTCTTTTGCCTGCACGACTCTTGCGTGGGATGTATTTGTAGTCCGGATACCTTTTCCGGTGCAGCTCTTTCTCCTGCAGCGCCAGGTCCTGCCAGTATTTGCGGTCTTGCTCGCCCAGTTCGCGCCAGCGCTGGCCGATTTCTCTTGAGATTTGCGAGTTGGTCTTGAACGACACTTCGGTGCTGGGAGAAGACCCCCCCGTGGTGGGGGTGCTGGTGTTGGTCGCTGGAGCTGTAGCTGGAGCTGTAGCTGGAGCTGTAGCTGGATTAGAATTGGATTCGGAGTTGTTGGGCGCCGTTCCGCATGACCTGTCGTTTTCTTTGGCGAACAAGCGCTGGTGCAGGTGTTGCCGGAACAAGATAAACGCATTACGAGGTCTGGGAATATGGTGGCCGGTCTTGGTGTTGTTGCGACATACGCATTTGAGCAGGCGTTGCTGATGGCTTTGGTTGGGTAGCGCAGCAGCAGCAGCGGCAGCGGCGGCGACGGCGACGGACACCTCGTCGTGCGACATGAGGTCATCGCTGGAGGGCGTGCAAGGTGATCTGGAGCGCACCGGTGAGTGGGAGTGTTGCGGAACAATCGCTTGGAGCGAAGGTGTGGACGCCGGCGTTGGAATGCGGTTGGTACCGGGAGACGCTAGCAGCGGTGCCAAAGCAGCGAATCCACCAATGTCGGAGGAGCTTGCGCGCGGAGTGGGCAGACCGGGCGCCATGGCCATGGCCGCGGCGGCCGCCGTGGCATGTGACGCCTTGCACGCCGTGCCGAACGATCCGCGGCTCGCACCCAGCATGGGCATCGTGGGCATGGGAGCCGGGGCCGGAGGAGGAGGGGCGTGCGCAAACGTGTGATGGGGCGCCCAAACAGGCGGGTGCTGGTGGTACGCGGGCTGTGGCCAGTGGGACCATTCTGCCCCGCCGGTCAGCAGACGCGGGTCGCTGTGCACGACGCCCAGCAGCGAGCTGATGGAGGGTAACTGCACGCTGCTCGGGCCGGAGGTCACGTGCGCGTGGTTCATGTGGGCGAAAAAAAAACGGCTCACTTAGAGAGAGAGAGCGAGCGGTGGAGACGCGCGAAAAGACGAAGCGGATTCTGGGATTCTTTTCACAGCAGCAAACAACAACAAGTAGTAGTAGTAGTAGTAGTAGTACTTGGTCCTAGGACTTGCTCAAAAAAGGCGAGGCGAGGTCGAGGTCGAGGTCGATGTCGATGTCGATGTCTTGTGCGGGTACAATTGCGTGTGCCCTAACTGAAGCTTACCGTCGGATTAGCCCTAGCCCTAGATCCCGTACTACTCTTCCCCTTACAATCCGGTACATATATATATATATATATATATATATACCCATACCCATACCCACCCACATTTAGATTTACTTCCCTGTGTGTAGTATATTCTTGTGCATGTCGGTAATTACGCTCGCGCGCACTCAGCTTCTGAGTTTGTGCTCTTACATGATCGAAGGCCCCGCGGGTGTGTACGAATACAATGAGAAAAGGATACGTCCGCCGGCCCCCGAACCACCAGAAGATGCTCACAGTGTGTTCTGCCGGAAACCAGCACCCGAAGCTTCGGTCACAGGAACGAGGTGCGTTCCTGCAATGCAATGCAGGTAGGGAAAAAGCGCATGCGGCGGTACAATGGGCCTCGGCGGTGGCTGGGCCCGGACATTTACGAGGACGGCGGCGATAGAGAGCGAGGCCGAAAAGAAAGAGAGAAGGACAAAGAGCGGCACGTGCCGGCCGGAGGGAGAGGTGGAAAAGAAGCAGTGCAAGCAGTGCAAGCAGAAGAAGGAGGAGGAGGAGAAGAAAGAAGCACGACGACACACGACAGCTAGTCTTGGTGTTGGTGTTGGTGTCTGCGGCAGCAAAGGGCGGACGGATGTGTCGACAGGGTGGTGTTGTTGTGTTTGCGCCATGAAGAACGTCTCGACAGGTGGTGTTGTCCTGGCGCTATGAATGTCCTGACAGGTGCGCGGATGTGGGGTGGTATCTGTGCCGCGGCTGCTTTGTTGTGAAAATCGCACTGTGGAAATCGCATTTCCATAGCATGCGCGGGATGGCATGCAGTTATAGGGGAGGGCCCCGGAGCTCCACGTCGGCGGTGACGCATAGCACCAGGCACGAACGTGCCAGGCGCGCGATTCCCCCAAGCCGCGGTTTTTGCTCCAGGGCACGCTTTTCTCCGTCTCGTGGTTTCCCCAATTTTTCACGATGGTCGAGAAACAGGGCAGGAGACAGCTTTGTAGCGCATTGTCGCTGCTGCGACGCCAGGGCGTCCATGGGGGAGACGCCCTGGCGGATCTGTTTGAGCTGTAAGAATGCGAAAAATCCACATGTACATGTGTCCCGGGCAACGGTGCATTTGGAAAGCTCAAACCAGGCCTCACGCAGAGTGGACAGGTCCCTTAGAGCGCGTGGTGAGCGTGCTGGGCGTGCTAGGCATGCTGGGCGTCTTGTATCTCCGAGGGTTTGAAGAATGGGGCGTATGCGAGCGTTTTTCGCCTGGCACCAGCGTTTGCGGTATGTGGAGGTCATTGTGAGCAGACACAGACCATCATTGTGGACCAGCGCGTCGACAGGCGTGCCGTGATACCCGTTCGACGTAGAGATCCATCGACCTCTGCCGCCCTTGCCGTTCCTTAGCGATTACCCGCTGCTTCTCTCGTACTGCTCGTAGAGAGAGACAGAGCCCTTTCCCAAAAAAAACACCACCACATCACCACGCACGAGCACCTCTCAGCTTTTGGAAAAAAAATTCAGGCGTCCCAGCTTCACAACCTACGATCTGGCTTTTCCCAGCCGCTAATCCAATAAAAAAACAACGCACACACACATACACACACACACACACACGCTGTCGTATCTCGATCGCTGAAGCACGTTCAACTGGCAAATGTTTAGACGTACCTTCTGTACCGGGTTTCGCGCGTTGCAGCAAGCCCCCAAGGCTCCCGCCACTTCCCACGCCGAGTTCCTCGCCAAATACTACCCACAGGAACTGCTCAAGTCCATTCAGCTAGCAGAATCCGTGATTCCGGCGGACACGAAATTCCAGGTTTCGGCCAATGTCGAGTTCGCACCTTCCTACCTCGAAGACTTTTCAAAACTCGATTCCTACTGGGACTACAAACCGGGAACGCCGCACGTTCACGCTTTCGATTCTTCCTCGCGCTACACATTTGACGACGTGAGTCAACCGCTGCCCAATGGCCAAGACATTGCCCCCGGTGCTTCCCTTCCGCGTACCGACGGCTCCAGAGCCTCCGCTGCTGCGGATATCGCCAGAGGCCTCCAAAGACAAACCGGCATCAACCCAGAATTCGTCACTCGCAAACTCACGATGCGTCCTTTGGTTATGAAACGGGTTTCAAACCAAACCGGTAAGGGTAAGATCCCTAGTTTCTACGCTCTGGTCGTCGTGGGAGACAAGAACGGAATGGTTGGTTTGGGTGAAGGCAAGTCCAGAGACGAAATGTCAAAAGCGGTGTCGAAAGCTCACTGGGACGCTGTGCGCAACTTGAAGCAAATTCCCCGTTACGAAAACAGAACCATCTACGGCGATATCGATCACCGTTATCATGGTGTCAAACTTTTCCTGAGGTCTGTCAAGCCCGGTTTTGGGCTTAGAGTCAATCACATTATCTTTGAAATTTGCGAATGTGCTGGAATCAAAGATCTAAGTGGTAAAGTTTACAAGAGTAGAAACGAAATGAACATAGCAAAGGGTGTCATTGAGGCTTTCACCGAGTCCCAGAAGACCCTTGACGAAATTGCACTAGGAAGAGGGAAAAAAGTTGTCGACGTTAGAAAAGTCTATTACTCAAGTTAACGGCTTCCTTCTTAACCACCTACAAGTAAAAAAAACAACACAAAAACAACAAGCAAGACCCTGTATATATAATATAACAATGTGTACTTTTACCATTCATTCATTCATTCATTCATTCATTCATTCATCTTCCTACATCTTGAAGTATGCTTCGGAGTTCTCGCTCGTCTTAGATGATGGTTATAGGCCATAAAATAATACATCTAAAATGCTTCCCAGGTGATATAATTTCGATACTAAACTCACCCACAGACACACAGATAGGCTCGTTGGAATAGCTTTCCAACATCAACATGTTTCTGTCTAAAATTAGACAAGATGTCTTAACTCGCTCTGCTTTCAGAGTGAGGTCTCGGATGTTCCTGAACTCGCCGAAGAGATCGGTGACCTCAAGCGTGGACTGGAAACCTATCAAGAGCACCAAGACTCCTAATGACAAAAGTGAAAACAGTAGTTTTACGAGAATGATTTTCCTCGGGCTTATGATCGCAATGCCTGTAGTATCGTTCTATCTAGGATCCTGGCAATTACGCCGTTTGAAATGGAAAACCAATCTCATCGCTACGTGTGAAGATAGATTAACGTACCCTGCGTCTCCGTTACCAAAAGATTTTCCGCCAGAAGAAGCGGAAAATTGGGAGTATCGAAAAGTTAAAATTACGGGTGAGTTTAAGCATGATCAGGAATTGTTCGTGGGTCCTCGAGTGAGAAATGGTATCAAAGGTTATTTGTTGTTCACACCATTTGTAAGACAAGACACCGGTGAAATACTTTTGATTGAGAGAGGGTGGATAAGTGACGATAAGGTCGTTCCAACCAAGAGGAGCTTACACCATCTTTCATTACCTACCGGAAATATCGAGATTGAGTGTCTGGTGCGTGTAGCAAAAAAATTAGGAACGTTTCAATGGGACAAGGAGGACCGAGACAGCAGATTATGGCAGATTATCGATATCCCTGATATGTGTGCAGCTAGTGGAGCAACGCCGCTTCATTTGCAATCTCTCTACGACTTAAAAGATCACAATTGGGCCCACTGCCCAAACGACGTCAATCCAAGTGCTTCCACGTCCTCAAAACCATCTAAGTGGAAATTTTGGCAAAGATCTAGCCCACAGGTACAGTCGAGCTCTTCCAGCTCCACCAATTCCCCAATATCCGATGACGCCGAGTTCAACGAATGGCAACTTGTCAAGTCCGGGGTTCCGGTTGGAAAAACTCCTAAGATTGACCTGAAAAATAACCATCTTCAATACTTGGTCACTTGGTATGGACTATCGTTCCTCAGCACAATTTTCTTAATCGTTGCGCTGAAGCGTAATCGCGGAGGTGCCGTTTCTCAGGCACAGCTGAAGAAAGATAAATTAAGGCATGCCAAGAAATATATGTGAGACGCAGCCAAAAGCACTTTTGATGTTTATCACTCATCATTATATATCCTATTAACTTGTACATATCCATATCAGGAAAAGCTATCACTACGCACTAAAATATCTGCATAAAAATGAAGGTCTCAAGTCCCTCATGATCAACGTTAATATTTACGTCCAATAATAATAATAATAAGAGTTGGTGCTCATAGAGTAGAAATGCTCAATTCCAAGAGTCAGCCCCGTCAAAATACTCCTGTCAAAGACCATAGGTCTGCTACGGAGTATAGGCTTTCGTTTTCTAGCAATCCTGGGTCAAGACGTTCATCACTGGGTACCGCCAACAATATCGATGGATCAGATGCCGAAAGTGTGGTGAATACCTATCTTCTGCCCCAAATAAGGGAACTATCAGATGCTGTGATAACCTTAGACAGTAATTTTACACAAATGAACTTCATACATGAAAGCCTGGTCGATCTGAATGAATCGATAAGCGCTCTACTCTACGGACTGATGTGCAATTCATGGTGCGTAGACTTTCCTAATATGCCACACGACACCGGCGCCGAGATTAACTTTATACAAACCTTGCGAAACCTAGAAGAGGAGAAACAACAGATCTTGGTTCAGATTACGCGTTTACACGCGGAAAACGCGAAACCGGCAACTGAATCTTCAATACAAGATTCAACGCGGAAACGGGCCAACCCTTATGCGCTAAGCATGCGTACTTCACCCCAAAGACAGTGGAGTCCAGAGACTGCCCAGCCTGGTAATGGTCTAGATTATCACGAAGAAGACAACACTGGCGCTTCTTTCATATCAAACCCTGCGGTTGTTGATACAAATGCATCAGCAGCTGAAAGGTCGCGCCGATTGCGTCGAAAATCCATCCTTCATACTATGCGAAGCAGCGGGGCAGGCACAAAGGAAATAATGGGCCCCGAGAAAAGGCGATCTTTAGCCGTAAGTGCATCGCGCATTGTCGATCCGTTACGAAGAACAGCTTCGCGCTCGGGCCCCTCCAGGATCGCTCCGTCGTCCAGTAAAGATCTTAAGACTCCTAAAAAGTGGTCTACAAGTGATTCAAGACCTCCGTTCAGGTGATGGATTTAAACGATTACTGAGCAGGTCCCAGTACTTCATCTCCGTGTGGCATACACTTACTACATTGTGCATTCACGTTTTTGAGTATTTCCAGCGTAGACATTTTCAGATCGCGGTGGTTTTCATTCTAATTTTACCTCCTCAAACCCGTGAAAAACCACCTCTGAGAAGCCAACACAATACTGAAGGAGACAATGGACATGTTGAGCAAGTATAGGACATGCACCCAGAAGTTTCATTTGATAGTCCTCAAAGTTCCTTTACATGCTCATTTTCGACTAAAAAAAATTTAGTTGGACCCGCTCATATCAAGAAAAATGAGCAAATACCGCTCGAGGCGAGCAAATAGAAAATACAACATCAGCCAATATATCTACACACCAAAAGACGAAACCGAGATGGCATATAGCTAAGAAAGACAATATCTTTTAGAAGCAGGGCTAAAATAGAAATCCGATATGGCTTCTCGAACTTTAGCACTATCGCTTCTTGTATCGATCTTGACCGTTGGTGTTCACGCCATGAATGGAATGGACGATAGCATGAGTTCAGCCTCAATGTCCATGACCGCGTCAATGGCCATGTCATCGACAATGGCTTCTGGTATGAGCATGGCGACCGGCTCGTCCAGCTCGTCTAGCTCAATGGATATGTCGAGTACGATGTCAATGAATACATATTTGACTCCCAAGTACTTGAAGTACCCCGTTCTTTTCGAGCATTTGAAGGCAAACACAAAGGCACAGGCTTTCGGGATCTTTGTGTTGATTGTTGCCGCAGCATTTTCGTACAAGTTTTTGCTCTTCGTCAGTTGGTGTCTGGAGGTGAAATGGTTTAAACAATGGAACCCGACCTCCAATAAGAGCGTTGGGACTGCAGCTGCTACGGGACCGGTGGAAGAGGCTGATAGCTCTTCGTTACTAACCGCCCGAAATTACACGCAAGACTTGGAATTTCAGAGCCAGTTTTTGCCCAGAGTACCCAACTTGTTTTTGCACGTTGTGTCGCCCTCCGTGAAGGAACTTCTACACGATTTTGTCCGCTTACTGCTTACATTTTGTTCCACAATGCTCATCTACATGCTAATGTTGGTGACCATGACATATGTGCTAACATACGTATTTGCCGTGATTGTGGGTATATCGCTCGCAGAAATCTTCTTCAATAGGTTCAAGATCTGCTTGATCGCTAGATGGGAACTGCAAAGAGAATTGGACAAAAAGCGCAGCTGTAAAGGTGGCGAGATTTGCCCCTGCGACGAGCCCGAAGAAAATCAGAATCGTTCGCTTGCGAGCGAGGTGAGCCCCAATTCGACTGTGTTGGAAAAACCCACCGATAACAAAAAGGGCATCTCTTGTCAATCGGATCTACAAGCCTCATGCTGTTGCGCACCAGATACGTTGACAGACTCCAAGGCTGCAGAAACGTGTGGGTGTGATGGCAAGGAAGCTGAGGAGGAGGCCATTAAAGAAAGACAAGCTCGCGAATTTTCCAAAGACAACGAGCAAACAGGCACGATGGATGTTAATCTGACACCAGCAGAAAAGTTTGCCTAAAGATAAAGGTAAGTACTTCTCATACAACTCATGTAATATACCTAACTACCCACTAATTCATAACAATTGTTGATGAGCAATGAATAGTATACAGAGATTACATATAAGTTCGTCATTTTTAACATATCTGGCATCTCGCCGCTAATTTCCAAAAATTTTCCAATTTTTTGAAAATAAAGGAACTTCAAATGTTTACGAAAACACAACTAAAGTATCTTCGCAAGACAGTCGTCAGGTTCTTAGAAGAGCTTCTTTTCCAAATCAACGGAAGCTACTATGTCTAGTGAAGCTGTCAAACCGACAGAGGATCCGGTCGTGGATGATAATATTGAGGGTGGAAAAGCACCCAGCGATGAAGAAGAAGGTGAAGATGTATTTGATTCTTCGGAAGAGGACGAGGACCTGGATGAAGACGAAGAAGAAGCCAAGAAAGTGCGTGAGGGTTTTATTGTAGACGATGACGAAGAAGGACGCGCTGCCGTTGGCAGAAGAAGAAGCAAGAAACACAAGAGACGGGCAAGAGAAGACGAAGATGACAAACTCTCTGAGGACGACTTGGACCTCTTGATGGAGAATGCAGGTGTCAAACGACCTACTAGCCCAGACTCGAATAAGGTCAAATTAAAACGCTTGAAACGTGCAGGCGACAATGGTGAAGAAGAACCGAGTGATACCACATCCAAGGCCGCAACGGCTACCTCCAGATTTGATGATTTCTTTTCTGATGATGAAGACGAGCAACCAGAGGGAGGATTACCCCCTACTGGTGGTGAAGGAGTAGCACCTGGCGCAAGAAATGCAGAGCTTGGGACAATCGACGAACTTGACGATTTCATCGAAGAAGATGAGTTTTCGGATGAAGATGAGGAAAGCCGTCAGCAAAGGCTTCAAGAGCGCAAGATGCTACGAGAACAACGAATGAACCAGCCAGTCCAAATAACAGGCCTTTCATCTGAGAAGATTGACGAGATGTATGATATTTTCGGTGACGGGCATGATTACGATTGGGCCTTAGAAGTTGAAAATGAGGACTTAGAACAAGCCGAAACTGGTGAAGGTGCAGACGGAACAGATGATTTCGATGCAGAGGGTTTGAATGGAGAAATTAAGAAACCAAAAATCACTTTGCAAGATATCTACGATCTTCAGGATTTGAAGAAGAATCTGATGACTGAAGAAGATATGGTTATCAGGAGATCAGATGTCCCAGAGAGATACCAAGAGTTGAGAGTAGGTTTGAAAAACTACGGCCAACTGAGCGCAGAAGATCAAGAACTAGAGAAAAATTGGATCAGTGATAGGCTCTGCGTGGACAAAAATTTCGAGCCTGAATACGACCTCACGGAATTTAAAGAAGCAGTTGGAAATGCAATCAGATTCGTGAGCAAGGACAATTTGGAAGTTCCCTTCATTTATGCGTATCGTCGTAACTACATCTCCTCCAAAGAAAAAGACGGCTTTGTATTAAATGAAGATGACCTGTGGGAGATTGTTTATATGGACTCTGAGTTTCACAGCATCATTTACAAAAGAGATTACGTCAAAAAGTTTTATGAGCAATTAGGACTTCGAGACGCTATTGTCGACGAGTATTTCAAAAGTGAAGCCTCTCCGATGACAGAGTTGAACTCGCTACAAGACATTTACAATTACTTGGAATTTAAATTCGCACATGAAATTAATGAAGCCTTACTAAGTCAAAACAATGGTTCAACTAAAAAACACCTGAAAAACTCAAGTTACGAAAAGTTCAAATCTAGTTCTTTGTACAAAGCCGTCAAAGACATTGGTATTACATCTGATGAGGTTGGAGAGAACATTCACTCCGAGCACCAGATTCACCCAGTGGTTGATCATCCTGAGCTCAAACCAAAGGACGTGATTGAGAATCTTTTAGCAGAATCGGGCGCTGATCTACAGATTTTTAGCTCGAATCATAAGCTGGCCTTGGAGACTGTACAAAAATACTATTCTTTGGAGATAGCTAATAACCCAAAGGTGAGAGAGAAGGTCAGGACAGATTTTTACAAATACTACATTGCTGATGTCGTTTTGTCGATTAAAGGTAAAAAAGAAATCCAGCGAGGTTCACCCTATGAAGATATCAAGTATGCAATTAACAGAACACCTGCTAATTTCAGAAAGGAGCCTGAGGTATTTTTGAGGATGTTAGAAGCTGAATCGCTGCATTTGATGACAATTAAGATTTATATGTCCTCTCAAGCTCAGTATTGCGATCATTTGTTTCAAACTGCGCTTGACACCACCAACACTTCTGAAATCGCCACTGAGTGGAACAATTTTCGGAGGACAGCTTTCTTTGCTGCCCTTGATAAGATCTTCTTGGAGATTAGCCAGGAAATCAAAGATGATTTGAGAAAAACCTGCCAAAAGCTAGTATCCAAGAGCGTACGTCACAAGTTTATGACTAAGCTTGATCAAGCTCCTTATATTCCTAACCCACGAGACCCCAAAATCCCAAGAGTACTGGCGATAACTTGTGGTGAAGGCCGCTTCGGTGCCGACGCAATCATTGCCGTATACGTGAACAGAAAATCTGACTACGTTCGGGACTACAAAATTGTTGACAATCCGTTTGACAGAAACAATCCGGAAAAATTTGAGGAGACTTTGGATAATATAATACAGGCATGTCAACCAAATGCTATCGGTATCAATGGACCCAACCCAAAAACACAACGACTAGCTCGGAAAATTCAAGAAGTAATCCAAAAGAAGCAAATTGTTGACAACAGAGGTCATAACATCCCAGTGATCTACGTTGAGGATGAGCTCGCCACCCGTTATCAAACTTCTGAGAGGGGTATACAAGAATTCCCCAACAAACCTTCTCTTGTAAAATACTGTATTGCTTTGGCCAGATATATGCATTCGCCTTTGCTGGAGTATGTCAACTTATCTCCAGACGAGCTCATGTCTCTGTCGATTCACCCTAATCAATCTCTTTTAACAAGAGATAACTTTATGAAGGCTTTAGAAACTTCCTTCGTTGATTTGGTGAATTTGGTGGGTATCGAAGTGAACAAGGCTACAGACAACGGCTACTACGCTCGGTGCTTGCAATATATTTCAGGCCTCGGAAAGCGTAAGGCAACTGACTTCTTAGAATCTCTGCAGAGATTAAACGAGCCATTGCTAGCACGTCAGCAGTTGATTACCCACAACATTTTGCACAAAACAATTTTCATGAATTCTGCTGGGTTCCTTTACATTTCATGGAACCAAAAGAATCAAAGATATGAGGATCTAGAGCATGATCAGCTGGACAGTACCAGAATCCATCCAGAAGACTACCATTTGGCTACCAAAGTGGCGGCAGATGCATTAGAGTATGATCCCGACGCCATTGCCGAGAAAGAGGAACAGGGATCGATGAGCGAGTTCATTGAGATATTGAGAGAAGACCCTGATTGTAAGACCAAACTGGAATCTCTTAACTTAGAAGCTTATGCGGAGGAGCTTGAGAAAAACTCGGGTCAAAAGAAGCTGAACAATTTAAACACCATCGTGCTGGAGTTATTGAACGGTTTCGAAGAATTGAGAAATGATTTTCACCCCTTAAATGCTGAAGAGGTATTCACAGCGCTTACTGGTGAATCGGATAAAACATTTTTCAAGGGCTGTATCGTTCCAGTCAAGGTTGAACGCTTCAGACATAGTGATATCATTTGCGCTACAAACTCTTTGGTGGAATGTATCGTAAATTCGCAACGTCATTTGGGCGCTCAATTGAAAAGACAAGCATCGGAACTTTATGAAATCGGAATGACATACCCTGCCAAAGTGATATTCATCGATTACGAGAACATTAGTGCAGAAATATCCTTCTTGGAGCACGATGTGAAGCACCAGTATGTTCCAGTTCATTACAGTAAAGATCCGTCTATTTGGGATTTGAAGCAAGAACTGGAAGACTCGGAGGAAGAAAAGCAGATTGCGATGCGCGAAGCTCGTGCCAAACGGACGCACAGAGTTATCAACCATCCATACTATTTCCCCTTCAACGGCGCCCAGGCTGAAGACTATCTAAGAAGTAAAGAACGTGGTGATTTCGTGATAAGACAGTCCTCGCAAGGTGACGATCATTTGTCGATTACGTGGAAGCTAGACAAGGATCTCTTCCAGCACGTGGATATTGTGGAACAAGAGAAAGAGAATCCGTTGGCGCTGGGAAGAGTCCTACTGGTAGAGGGACAGGTGTATCACGACTTGGACCAAATCGTGGTGGAATACTTGCAAAACAAAGTCAGGCTTTTGAATGAAATCACCTCGAATGAGAAATTCAAGAAGGGCACCAAGAGAGAAGTCACCAAGTTTATCGAGGACTACTCGAAAGTGAACCCCAACAGGTCGGTGTACTATTTCAGTTTCAACTACGAGCACCCAGGCTGGTTCTACCTGATGTTCAAAATCAACGCCCAAAGCAAGCTCTACACCTGGAACGTGAGACTCGCGCACACCGGCTTCGTTCTGGTCAACTACAATTACCCAACCGTCATCCAGCTGTGCAACGGGTTCAAAACCCTGCTGAAGACCAGCAACAGAAACCAACGGCCGGGCACCGCTGCGGGCAGTGCTCCAGCGGCCACCGCGGGCGCTGCTGGTGGTTACTACGGGTACTAAACACGGGAGATGTTGCCAAACTGTAGACAAGTTGTATATATATATAGAGAAAGAGAGTAGTGGTTTTAATGTTCTAACTAAGCCGAATTGGCCAGCGACTCACTCGTCCGGTATGATTCATACTCGTCACTCGGTCTTTTGATCGTTAATCTAAATACGTGTCGTCGACTTAAGTTTGTTGCACCATGATTGTTCCGGTTATCCTTTGAGCGGAGAAATGCTGCCATAAATTTTTCCTCTGTGCCACATTGTTGACTACTGTTTCCCCGCTCGTAGTTCTCCGACTGCATACGACTACATTTAATATATATCCCTTGCGGTCTTGCCGTGTATGCAATTTCCAACACAATGAGTTTCGAAAGCTGCTGAATATATTTTTAATTGCACTTTGCGAAGCGTTGCGGGAGGGTTAAAAGATTAGTCAGTTGAGTGAGGTTATCCAGCCCCGTCAGTAAAATATTGCACGACAGGGATATAAGTAGGGTCGTAACTAGTCGGGTTTTATTCTAGAGTTTTAAGTTTTTATTGCGTTGCGACTGGCAAATTAGCGAAACTTCAAAGGCGATCACTAAGGTTATAGAACGTGGTGTAAACGAAGCATCATTTTTCTCTCCACCGGTGAAACTAAGTTGACCAACAAGCACTAGGCAAGCGTTTTTCACAGGCTAATTCGATATAAAGAGATAAGAGGTATAAGCTAGGTGGATCTCGCAGAAAAGTGACATGCAAAGAACAAAGAACAAAGAAAGAGACAGGCGTGAACTTAAAATGCCTGAAAAACTCGTTATTATTATGGTAGGCCTGCCCGCGCGTGGAAAGTCCTATATTGCTCAGAAGATTGTTGCGTACTACCAAAGCGCCTACAACGGCAGTTCCAGCTGTCGTCTATTCAATGCGGGGAAAGAACGACGTTCGCGCGCCGTGGAAAGCCAGGAAATCACGCCGCTCTCGAATCTTTACCGGACCGTCACTCGCCAGCCGCATCAGCTGAGTGGCGGCCATCAGGACCGCCAGGATCAGGAAGACAGGGCATTGGATAGCAACAGTTCAGACTCGGACGACGAGAACCAGCTACAAGAAGACTGCGGTTTATTGTCGCCCAGTCCGGTGCCTCCGCAGTTGTTGTTCGACACCGAAAATGCCGCTGCTGTTGAGGTGCGAGACCAAATAGCGCTGGCCACGCTTCAAAAGATGTGTCTCTGGTTGGAGTCTCAAGAATCTCATCGCGTGGCTATTTTCGACGCTACTAATACTACCGTTGCTCGCAGAGGCATGATTGTGAGTACTATGCGTACGCATGTCTCTAATCCTACTCCCATAATTTTTATCGAAAGTATATGCAACGACGCCAAGATCGTCAACGAAAACATCAATCACAAAGTCAACCACTCTCCAGATTATCTGCACGAGCACGACAAAGACTGGTGCTACCGCAATTTTCAGGCCAGGTTAGCCAATTACGAGCGAGTCTACGAGCCTTGCGACATCACAAAAGAGTTCCCGCGTCTGGAAGGACAAGAGCCTTCGATCTCACAGATTCGCGTATACAACCAAGGTTCTAGCATAACCTTGCAAGGACACGCGTCTTTACTACACGAAACCGGCCTCATGCGGCAGCTACACAATACCTATAACAATTCACTCAGAGCGCCAGATTCGCTACCGCGTGTTCTGGACTCCATATCCAAAGCTCATTCCTCGTGCTCCTCGAGCTCCTCGTCGCTTTTCTCATTCTCTGGTCTGACACTCGGGAACAATGCATTTGAAATGGAGAACGTTCAAAGAGTCGCTGATGAGGCGGCTTCCGAGCAAAAGCAGCTACAACAACTTGCTCAAGAGGGTGAAATGCCTCCCTCACAACAAATACACGAATCATAATGACTCGATGATACGGCGACCGTAATACTAATATACCCGGGCCATGAAGCGTCCGGTAACGAATTCCTAATAATGATACGATGATGATAATGATAATGATAATTATAGAAATGCGATTGCTTGTGGCAAATAAAGTGAGTCAGCGCTAAGACCTTGCGGCTGGAATTTACAGATGGTTTATAATGTTCTTAATCTTTATATCCTTGTTATATGAACAAATTTTTTTACACGTTTTAAACAGATCAATGTTCCTTCTTTACTTCAACACAATTAGTCCCGGCGGTACTCGAGTTTGAAAATGATGCCCATGCTCAAATTTAGACCACTAGTCGTGTTGAGGGGCAGTCCGGTTGCGAGTCCAAAGCGGTTAGGCCTTGGATATAGAACTTTTGCCTCCCAAGTTCCAGATGGTAAACCACCCGCGGAATCAAAGAACGGTAATCACGAAACAGCTAAACCATCTCTTTGGATCAGAGTAAAGCATGAAGCTAATCATTACTGGGATGGCACCAAGCTGCTGGGCTTAGAAATGAAGATTGCCTCCAGGCTTCTGATGAAAACCGCTGCAGGCCATCAACTTAGCCGTCGCGAGGCCTTACAACTCAAGCGAACGACACAAGATGTGGTACGATTAGTACCTTTCTCAGCATTCGTATTGGTGCCCTTCGCGGAACTACTGCTTCCAATCGCTTTGAAATTGTTCCCTAACATGTTGCCATCGACCTACGAATCGAAGAACGACAAAATGTCGAAATTGAAAAGTTTGCGTGAAACTAGGGGGCTAGTATCCGGTATAATCAAGGAACAAAAAAGTCATTTCAAACCCGGCAACATCACCAATGAACAGAAGACAGTTTTCAACCAATTTTACCAACATGTCCGTGCAACTGGTGAACCCGAATCTCGACAACAGTTGATCCACGTTGCCCGTTTATTCACTGATGATACAGTTTTGGATAACGTAACCAGACCATACTTAGTCGCACTGGCCAAATATATCAACCTACAACCCTTTGGGACTGATGTTATGCTTCGTTACCGCATTCGTTACAAGATGTTGGAATTGAAGAAGGACGATTTCGCCTTGTATTACGAAGGTGTGAATAGTCTAGATTCCGCTGAGCTGCGTACTGCCTGCGCCTCTCGTGGTATTCGTAATTTGAACGTGGAAGATTCTGTCCTGCGTAACAATCTCAGCATTTGGCTGTACATGAGACTGAAGGATAAAATCCCCTCTACTCTGCTTATCATGGCCACAGCATACACCTATGGAGATGTTAGTTCAAGAAAGACGCTATATGAAGCTCTGTGTGATGTTCTAAGTGGTATTCCAGATGAACTGTATCATGAAGTCAAGGTTAATGTTGTCGAAGAGAATGATGCCACCAACAAATCGAAAATGGCTCAAATTAAAGAGCAAGAGGAAATTATGAGAGAAGAAGAATCACAAGACAAAGACTCACTCGTCAGGATTAGAGACGAGTTGAGTTTGGACGATATCGACAAACAAGAGCAGTTGAAGAACAAAGCTCAAAAATAAAAATAAAGCTTGTATATAAACAAGACGTACATGTATATTCATTTCCTTTGGATTATTTTTTTCCATTAAACTATAGATCTGAGATTGTTCACTAGCAAGCGGAATCGAAAGCTAGCTATTTGCTTGCGCTCAGTTGGATAAGTTCAGATGAGGCAAAAGTTTTGGCAGAATCAACCTTGGACCGATTCAAATGGGTCATAATACAAAAGTCTTGGATTTAGTAGCAACAAAATTGACACATATATGAAATTAGCAATACACACCTATTCACTTCCTCAAGCGATTGATCTGTCTCAAGTGAAGAAACAGTCTTTTCATGAGTTTAGCCAATTCCCCCTTGAACATAAGCAATAGACCTTGCACCAATAGACCCTTGGATAGCTGGGGTGCTAAACCTTTCCAAAGTGCCAAAAACCCTTCAGAGGTGTATAAATATATCAAAACTTCTTGGAAAGATCTAAATTCGGTCCCTGTTCGTTGCAGCCAAGCCTTGGAGATGATCAAAGGTTGAGTAATGACAGTAGAGATCATTTTAGAGATAACTCCTAAAATAAAGTTTTGACGCGGTGTGAGCTGAGTCGATGTATCTAACAGCTCACCCCTGTTTACACTCTCAGATTTTATGAATACATCTTTGAGTTTCTCATAGGATGTATAGGTAATCGATGGGTTTATGGTTAAGATTAATGACACTTTCAGCCCTCTCCAGAAACCAGTCAAATTATCCTCATCATGATAAATCTGTCGTACAGCGTCTTTGAACCCTGTTTGGCCGAGCTTGGATGCCGTTTGTTGTCTTTTGGAAATTACACCAATAGGACTTGTGAACAATTGGGAGACAGCAGCGGCTACAATTCCCAAGAGCAATTCTTCGGGAGTAGAAAACTTGGTGATCTTTCCTCTGATAAGTTTAAATCGGAAAAACGCTTTGCGAACGGTGCTGTACCAAAAGAAGTAAGAAAAGCTTTGAAGGAAGCCGGCTATGATTGACGCAGGAAGACCTTGGTAGAGACCGCGAATCCCTCTAGCCTTCATGATCTTAACCAGCGCATCCCAAGTGTTTTCATAGTATTCCTCCTTGTCGTTGGCGACTTCTTTATCTTCTTTCCGTTTGGCCTGAGTTTGAATCAGAGTTTTGGCTACGTCCAGAGGGTACACCACTGTGTCTGCTAGTGAAGATGCCAGAGCACCGCTAATCGCACTCTCGAGTGATCCCATGGTGCAATTACAGGTGTGCAATCGGCGTCAAGAACCTTGTGGACAAATGAAGATGGGGATTAATGGAGGATACCTCAAAGGAAGCCTTAATCCTTGATCTAGATCTGTTGTCTCGATCACGTGAAATTAAAATAACATGTCAGAACCTAATTACCAGCCTTGATCCCAGATGAATGCTACATCTAAAAGAACGTTTTTGAAAATCACAATGCCCGATTTCGCTTCCACTAGCCGAGATATCTTATTTCTACGCCTGTTACATTGAGATTGCTAAAACAATTGTGAAGATGTGACATTACCGGGTTAAACACGTTCCGCAGTGTTTTAAAATTTCAAGTAGCGCTTTAGGTACGTAGCTAACGTTTTCACCAGCCAATCTGCGCTTTCTCTGCGTACCAGCGCCTGAAATCGAGCCTAATCCGAACAAACAATTTGGTATCAAATGTCATGCAAAGGTCACAATGTTCAGTCTCAAGTTTAGCTCAGAAATTTACTGCTGAGAGATAGCAAGTCCGGCTGCTGCAGGCCCTAAAGCGATTGAATTTTGATTAGTGTTACATACATATCGAAAATATGTAATTGCAGATGGGCTGACACGGCAATCATTGTCTCATCACTTTGTACTAATACGACATTGCGAAATGCTGATATGATGATACCAAGGTTACCTTTAGAAGCTAGGAAAGGCGATAAATGGGAAATGAGTGCCGGAGCAGTCACCGGTATTCTCATAATACCTCGAAAACCTAGAATCAACCATACTATACTAGCTTAAACTTCCTTTAGGCGCAGAAATCGAAGCTAGTATTTATCTTTCGAAAAGTTTAAGGTCTTTTTGCAGATGCCGATAGTGCTTGCTCTTTCTCATTCCATCCGAAATTAAAGAAATCTCGCTCATAATCTAAAGTTTGAGCTTCTATATTTACATATATCAAAAAATGTACTAGTACTACGTCCCCGAAAGCTTTGAGTTTTGTGATATTTCTTTACATCTACAATAACATTGATGTCCGGCGTCTGAGAAGGTAATACGCTTCCCTTCATTCATTTGTTAAGGGTTAGCACAAGCGTTAAACTAATCTTTCTTGGCGAATTCGATGATGTAATGTGTATATAGCTGGATAACTAACTAATAGCCATTTCGTTGTTGTAGCATCAATACTTCGCACTTTAAGCAGCCTATAAATCTCCTCAGGAATCTGTTCTATGTTACAGTATACCAAATGGATAATTGAACTTTACTCGTGTGTAGTGCTGTTTGACTACCAAATTAGTTCTTCAAATAAGCTAAAACCTCTTTACTCACCAAGATTCAAGCATTACAAAGGCAACTAGGATGGCTCAGTACATTGGGAAAACTATATCGCTGATTTCTGTTACTGAAAATCGATATGTTGGTCTCTTGGAGGGTATCGACTCCGAAAAAGGTGTGGTAACGTTGAATAAAGTACGCTGTTTCGGAACTGAGGGTCGTAAACAATGGGGGCCTCAAGAGATCTATCCAAATCCCACAGTCTATGATACAGTCACCTTCAATGGTAATGACGTGAAAGATTTGAACATTTTGGACATCGGACTTGAAGATGTTCAGCCAGTGCTGCCACCGCCTCAAGTTGTAGCGGAACAGCAACAAAAGCAACAGGAACAACAGCAGCAGCAGCAGCAGCAGCAGCAACAGCAGCAGCATCAACCTCAGCTAGCTCAACAACCTCCGCAACAAGCGCCGAAGGCTCAAGTTCCTGCCGCAATGGCAGGATATGGAGTTTACGCACCATCTGCTACATCTACTGAGAATTCAGGTCATCCTTCTCAAAAATTGTCACATCCACAGCAAGAGAAGGAACAACAGACCACTAGATCGAAAAATAAAGATACTACTAGAGACTCCAAGCCTCCTGTCAAGTTCCAGCCCAAGCAGGAAACACGCACGGTAGATATTCCAAATGAAGATTTCGATTTCCAGTCAAATAACTTCAAGTTGGAGAAGGATCAGGATTCAACACAACAGCAAGCCGCTCCACAAGACGCTTCAAAAAACGATGAAAGTTTTTATAATCGCCAGTCCTCCTTCTTCGACACCATATCAACGTCGACTGAGACGAACACTAATATGAGATGGCAAGAAGAACGTGAACTTAACTTGGACACATTTGGCCAAGCTAGTGTTGGTAACAGACGTGGCCGGGGAGGTTTCCGTGGAGGTCGCGGTACTTATCGTGGCCGTGGAGGAAATCGTGGAGGAAATCGTGGTGGGTTCAGAAGAAACGAAAACTTCGACCGCGACAATTCAAGTAGAGAAAAAGTTGAATTTTAATCACCTAATGTGTAACTACCTGTTTCTGATGTAGTGCATCAGCCTATAGAGAAATGGCTCTATCCCATCTAAGAATGGATAACTGTGTATCTAAATATGTGTCATCTTATTAAAATCTTACATCATGCGGGAAACAACGATTTCTCTTACCATCATTTCTTATACTGCGACCACAATCTCGTTGCATCCCTTTACGCATGTCGAATGCGTCTTTATCGTCATGAGTTTTGCTCAAATTATTGGGATACTTGTCATCTGAAGAATTGTAATAACCTACAACTCTTCGGAAAACTGAGTATCCTAGTTTCTCATATAGCTTTACAGCCAAGCTGTTATTGCATTTCACAAACAGATCGATAAAGTTCACATTGTGTGGTTGGTTATCAGTTATGGTCTCGAGAGTATTACAAAGACTGGAGGCTAAAGAGATACGCCGAAACTCGGGAGCAATGGTGACTGCCGTGATATGGGAGTGCCACTCAGGCCCCTTCCCTTCAGTCTTGGCCATCATGTAACCTGAGATCTCACGTAGGTCGCTGTTTATCTTTGTTTTCGTTACCTCTTGACTCTCAAAAAAGAGCTCTGGCCATAATATCAGGTACTCTAAGTAAAACTCTAGCGGAAAATTCTCCGTTAAAATGTCCAGGTTGACATTGTTAAGCTGCAGCAGATCAGTAGCTTCAAATGGTTGTATCGTCGTCATTCAACTCTTTCTACATGATTAGCCCACCTTATAGGTTTACTGCTCGACTTTAGACAAAATACTCAAAATTCGTTGAAAATTAGGTAGCCTGGCGCCAACGGAATATTTCTATGTCACTGTTGGCGTAAGCTATGGCGAGTGTGTCCTCTAGCGAGTTCATTGTTTTCACTCTTTGACCGTCTGCTATCAAATGCCATGAATCGCAGTTAGAAACATCAATGGCGTATACTCCCGAATCGCTGCCGACAATGATGCCTCCGGTTCGATGACAGGTTTTTATGATGGATTGCGAAAACTGATCTTGGGGGATTACAGTGGCAATATTTCTAAGCACTTTATCGTAGTAGACTTGAGTTTGGCAATCAGATCCTACTTCAAAGCTTAAAATATCTGGTATTTCTAAAATGATGAGTCGCATGTAAGGAGTGTGAGATGTAGCTACGGCTACCATAGACCCTTCTTGTATCAACCTCAGATGTGAATTCTGAGAAACATGGCTGGATTTTTTGGCGTCGTTCGGGTTCAGAATTGCCAAAGACTGGATATTGAAAGAATTTAAACTGAACTTCGCACTGTTGAGTGCCACCTTGCAGTGTTCCACTAAAGTTCCGTTGTGCAGAGCGAGGATAATAAGTTGCGAGTGATCCTGTCGTGTGAAGAATAGCAAAGGTTGCTTCGTGGGTGTTTGTACCAGCTGAAATGAGGTACACGCGGTGATCAATTTTTGAGAACCTTTGAGCAAAACACTTGAGCTTGCGAGATCTATCAGGTGAATCTTGATGTAGTTGTCCAGGCCGAAACTGAAACATAAATACTGAGAGCTATTCTTCAATTGAAAGAAGTCAATGTGTTTGACGATTCGGGAGTGAATTTTATGTTTCAATTTGGGGTCAAAAGAATCATCGAAAATGGTAAGTGTCCCATCCATGCCACATACATAGTACATTAGTGCTTCATTATGGGGTAAAACGCCGCACTTTTTTATCACGCCCGATGTAGACTGGAGTTTTTTGGCAACTTCAAGGTCTGGACTGTAGAAGTAAACTTGTTTGTCGACCGTACTGACGCACAGTCGTGATCCAACGCTCAATTCGAGATCGATGGCCATTGCTGTCGGTTTCGATGGAAAATCCACTGGTTGCAGTTTTTGCGTGTGATCCCAGGATGGCAAATAGAACTTAGAGTCGATGGGATTGATGTCATCATTCAGGGACGTCTCGGCAAGTTTAGCGGCTATTTGGTGTTCGTTAAAGGCAATGCGCTCTGTCACAATGGTCTCCAAATCTTCGAAAGCATCCTGGCTCCGATCTACTGCTGATCTCCCGAGTCCAGACTCCTTCAGGAAATTTGACAATGCCTCTTCGTAGTCGTTTTTCGCAAGATACTGCGCAACCAGAATCTTAGTCATTCGGTCTACAGTAGCGGAAGTCATGTCGTACTTGTGATAAAGACTATTTAGCAAAGGTACAGAAAGGTATAGAGATATCTGTGAGCCGCACAGGAGCTGAGCTAATGTTTCCTGTTACTCTTACTTCCACTTCAGAGTATCGATGGTTGTCGCCGGCACGAGAGACGATCTGGCAACATTGGAATATTCAGTAACTAACAACGACGAGAGAGATGAGAAGAGCATTTGCTCAAGTAGCTCGAAGAAGAGTTGTCGCGGCCAAGCGTATTATTATCTTGTGTACGCATTGATAACGGCATCATGCCACCGATCGGCCGACGTGTTAGGTCCAAGTTTCGGGCGGCCCAATGTTTGGGAACTTGATGCCCCAAACAATAGTCTACATATTTGGCGGCTTGCTCACGAGAAATGAAACTACTCCGCCAGATTGTAACCCGGGATTCAGTGAGCACCATTGCGCTCGCTTCTAGACTTTAGCGGCGCGTACGACATCACTAAAATCGTGGTAATAACGGTATTAAAAATCATGAGTGAGCTCGCAAAGAACAGCATCAAACTGTAAGCCGGGGCTAATGGTACAGAGAACGCTTCACTTTGCTTTGTTCACAGATTTTTCAAAAGCCATTAAACCCGGCAATTATCTCCGCTGGCATGAGTTCATTCTTGAAGGGCTAGTCTTGTTCACAAATAATTCAAAATCTGTTTAAAGCATGGCGATTATCTACTAGCATGAGTTCATTCTTGGAGGACTCATCTTGTTGCCTGTCGGTTCGTAGCATAAACATAATTTTGGCGCATGACTGTGCTAATCAAGGCCTACTACTCAATCAGCAATGCGAGTTTCCACAGACCGGAGTCTGCTCAAGGGCGGTCTTCCCGTGAGGTGGAGTTTCTATTGTTACATCACCTAGCGTGCTTAAGCGCCTAATTTATTTTTAACAATAGAGAAGTAACGTCTCAGTTGCATTCAATCCTTGGGAAGCTGTAAGATCGTTAACACGAAGATTACCCATGTTCATACTGTACCTATTGGTAGGATAATATGCATCTACTCGTAGATAGGCGCGAGTACCTTTTCACGGGTACGAGATTTTGTCGTTTGACTGCTTTTATTCGCCACGTGCCTTCTTCCCACCCACACACATCCTCGTTTGTTCAATTTCTTAAAACTTCAATAAAGTAAAATAATTGTTTTTTGAAAAAAACACAGATTAATTTCAAACAAAACGCAACTCGCCAGCATTTGCGTCCCCTCCCAGCAAATTCTCCGGCTGGAGTACCTCGACATAGCCTCTGTAGGCTGTCTAGGCGGAACTTCCGCCTAGCTTCCAACAGCGCCCCTTACTGGCTACTGTGCCGTCCCTCCAGCCTAGGCCCGGTTCAATCTCAATCTCAGCCTAGCATCGACTCCAGCATCCAGTGTCCCCTGGGATCCCAGTTGTACTGGCTCCAGGTCTGTCCCACGTATAGTGAAAAAAAATCTAAGAACTGTGAGTGTTAAACATTGTCATATTGAATTCTCACAATAGACCTTAGAGAAACCACATATCAACAATCCAGCAAAAATGGGTAAGGGTAAGCCAAGAGGTTTGAACGCCGCTAGAAAGTTGCGTGTCCACAGAAGAAACAAGTATGTTTGAAGATCCCATGTTAACTGCGAGACTGGAGCGGTGGATGCGATTTGAGAAGTGCGAACTGCGAAATACAAAAACGTCAACCAAACGTTTGATAACCAGTTCGGATACACGCGACGGCTTCGGAAAACGTCTCCAGAGTTTGCAAACACCCCCAGTGCTCCCCATTGTGTATTTCCACGTTACTAACTTCCCTCGTACAGCCGTTGGGCCGAACAATCCTACAAGAAGAGATTGCTAGGAACTGCTTTCAAGTCTTCTCCATTCGGTGGTTCTTCTCACGCTAAAGGTATCGTGTTGGAAAAGATCGGTGTCGAATCCAAACAGCCAAACTCTGCTATCAGAAAGTGTGTCAGAGTTCAGTTGATCAAGAACGGTAAGAGAGTCACTGCCTTTGTGCCTAACGATGGTTGTTTGAACTTCGTCGACGAGAATGACGAAGTCTTGTTGGCCGGTTTCGGTAGAAAGGGTAAGGCTAAGGGTGATATCCCAGGTGTCAGATTCAAGGTCGTCAAGGTCTCCGGTGTCTCCTTGCTTGCTTTGTGGAAGGAGAAGAAGGAGAAGCCAAGATCCTAAGTGCGTGTGCCAAGCCAAGCCAAGCCTCGCGCGGATTCTTTGTTTTCCCAAATGTCATTACTTTTCACATGTCACAAACAATATACACACACACCCTCAACTCCTTCACTCCACTGTACAATGCTATGTACTTCAATCTATAATTGCACGTTTTAGATAACGCTTACAGTTTTAACGACCAACGCACACTTGTAGCCGAGCGTTACGCACGATCGGATTTGGGCTCTCGCTGTGCCCCTTCAGGCAGAGGTACCGATCTGTGTTAGCAGACCTGTTCTCGCGTTAACTTGCACGCACCTCGTCACGGTTTAGGTCAAATCAATCCAATACAAGATTAAAAGAGAGCCTGTTCCACTTTTGCTAAACCGTTACCTTGCTACACAACTACTTAGTTCTCTTGCCCTTTTTAGTGAGTCTCGAGTTCAACCTCTTATACATTTCACTATTGTTCAATGACGACCCAACACCGGAGGTTCTGGCATTCGAAGGTACTGAGTTCAAATTACTCACAGGCGCAAATTTGTAGTCCGTGGTGGCCTGTGAAGGAGCCGCAGCTCTATTTCTTCTCGCAGCAGCCAGCTCGTATGCCGACTTACCTTTGGTATCTTCTTCAGATCTTCTCTTTTTCAATTTCTTATTTTTGGCGCTATCCAGCATAGTCTTCTTCCGGTGCTGTTCCACATCAAACTCTAATTTCATTACCCGTTTGTCACGGTAATTATCAGAAGCACCAATGATCGGTCTTGTCCATTCGGCAACCATTTTATCTGCCAAACGCGCCAATTTTGGTTCGACTCGTTTCGATTTGGTGTAAAATATTACCACTTTACCAAGTCCGCTCTCCTTTAAGTGATCTGTTTTTATGGGTAGCGTTTCCAAAGCCGCAAAAAGGGACTTCTGAATTTCAAACGATGGTAGTGATCCATCCGGCAATGGCTCGAGCCAAATACGTACACTTTGCAAAAGATTATTGTCCAAAATAGTGTCTGCTAGATGTGCCTTTGACAACGTACTAACCACCTTGGGTAGCAGTTTTACTTTTTCCATAGCTATCGCAGATTCCTCAATACCTTCCAGTCTACGGTTTAATGTCTCGATATCCTTTTGTGCTGCAATATTCATCTCATCCTTGAGTCTGAGAATCCTTTCGTCCAAAAATTGTTCTAAATCATCTTCGTCTCTCCTGGTTCTACGCGATTTGGGTTTTTTCAAAAGCCTATCTAAACGATCCTCCAGCTCCTGGCGCCTTTTGGTACTCTGGTCCAGCCCCAGTTCCTCAGCACTGTTTCCATTGATAATACGCTGGGATTCCAGTCTCTGTTCTGTGGGAGCCTCGTTTTCCTCATCGGAGTCGTCCATATCTATGCGTTTCCGCTGTCTTTCTACTTGCCCATTTGTGTCTGCGACTTGTCCAACCGCCATTTCCGCGATGTTCTCGACAGATTGCTCATGAAATGAATTAGAACCCAAAGCTGGTGGTTCTTCGCTACTCATTGTAGTGTTGTTGGCAATTTGAAAGCCAAATTCAGCTTTTTGAAAACCTTGATTCACTAGATCAGTAAGCACAAAAGTCTCGCGAGCTACTTTAGGATGCTCAGCTCAATTTTTGAGCTTTTATGTCTTTGTTCAAGGTCTCCCATCTCCTCAGTTAATTGCAGAATAACAGTAGCTTGATCTTCGTCTTGCACGATCTAAGATCACTTTGAAAAATTTTATAAGTTCAACTAACAATAAATTTGCCAAATTATATTTATTGAGCAGCTCATTGTGACAAGCCTTGGTAATTATTGCATACTCTGGACCTGTACTACGTTTGATTGAATACTTGTATTCAAGCTCTTTAATTACTCACCACATTTTTAAGTAAATTTCTCATGTTCGGACTACCTCAACAACCACCTTCTGAAGAGGAAAAAAAGGTTCATCAGCAGCAATCTAACCAAACCTTGATTACTGCTGGCTATGCAGCCGCTCTACTATGGGTGTCGCCAATTGTGTGGCATTTTGTCAAGAGACAGTGGAAATGATGAGAACTTTTAGCAGCTCACTACTCACTATTTTACGAAGGTCAATCTAATCTGTACATACTTTAAGCATCAACGTTCACTTTAAAACGCACATAAGCGTACGAGGCTAAGACGCAAATGTCTCTACAACAATTTGTACAGTCCCATTGTATCGTGTTACAACTACGGCTCACATACAAGAGTGTTTCGGCTCCCAATGAAGCCCTCGTTCACAAAGCAATCACCTCAGAACTGCAGAAGTTTGGAAATGTGCTCTACTCCAGGTCCAATGCTGCAGTATGGCAGCAGACTTTGAAAAGATCATCGCCCAAAATTGATTTAATCATGTCGAGCAATCAACTTCATACTCTGTCCTATCTGTTATTCAACCTGCGTGGGTTTACTGTCCCTACCCAAAAAATCAACCTTTTGCCTCCTGATCCGTTGCCGACTCTTAAAAACTTTCCACAGCTGGTGACTGTGTACAAGGAACTACGAAATCGCTGGACCCAGAACAATCATCGCGAGAAATCTCGACCCCGCGACTTGCCGCCCTTCGTCGCTCTCGATCCCTGGATATTCAAAAGCCTGCCGGTCAACAGAATTCACACTTCGAAAGATTCATCCATGGAGATTAACGCTGACTCGCACTTCGATATTTACGAAGACCGTCAGGTCCAAGGGAGCCGGTTTTTTGACTTTAGCAGGTGGCAGCCTCCGCATGATAATGGATTTATACACACCGAAACCGAGGAAACCGATCAGTTTTTCGATTTTGCAAAAACGAAATTGGACTCGAGGAGACATATATTTGTCGAACCTGTCCTCTACCCAGACTATGATTGTTTACCACAAGAAATTAAATTTTGGCTTGAAGACATCGATGAAGATTCGGAAGACCATGGTGCAAGGTGGTCTAAAGGTCAATCTCAGAGGCTTGATTTTCTCCTCCACGGATTCAAAGGGTTCGAACGATAGTGAAAGTTCAGTTATGCATTATTTGTTGATAAATCGTTAACTTACATATTTGTCAACAGCTTTTTCGTCTTTGTCAAGAACATCTCGCAAGTAGCACAGGCCACGCTGTTGATTGCTCAAAATTTCGGCAATCTTGTTGACTCTATTTTCTACTTCTTCGTCTACCCTCTTATCATCGTGTCTGGATGAGGTATTCGATTGCGCATCGAATCCATTTTTCTCACTTATAGCCACCAAAGTACTATCTAACTGGTCTGAGATGGTTTTGGACCTTTCCTTTAGTACAGAGAGTCTTGCCCACAATTCATTATTCTTACCTAGCCCTGCAGGGTCATTGCTCCGCTTTAAAAGTTTCTCGAATTCCGACCACATTTTTTCTTCTCCAACCGAAAGCGGCAGGCCTTTGCTTTTCAGAATTGCCAGATATGAGCCCAGCTTGATGATTCTTTGCTGTATTTGAACATTCCTGCTTTGTGCTTTCAAAATTCTGGACGCTGTATCTAAATCATGCTTTTGTGAGAGTTGAGTCAACTTTTCGAGAATCTGGTTCAGTATTAGACGTGCTTGAGCAACGTTATCCCTTTGCAATATATTGCGTTGATTTAAGTCGTCAAAACCAAATGCTTGAACCGGGATAACGCTTGGAGACGGTTTATGCAAAAGAGCTTCGTCCCAGTCCTCTTGAGATACGCCAGGAGGCTTATTGTAAAGCATTGCTTCAGTTTCATTCACCTTGTTATAGAAAAACGTTCTCAGTTTACTTCTGGAAAATTGTGGGTTCCAAGATTCTTTGCATTTGACGATTTGTTCTTGGATCTGCTGAGGATAGTTTGATTGTTGAACTTGTTGCATTTGCTGTTGCTGTATCTGCATTTGCTGCTGCTGCTGTTGCTGTTGAAGTTGTGATTGGTTCTGCTGCTGGTTCGCGTTCTGATTATTGGAAGGTTGAGACCAGCCAAACGAGGGTTGAGTGGAGCTCACTGTTCCCGTATTCCCAAAAAGAGAGTTTCCCTGAGGCTGCTGCTGGGCCTGAGTACCAAATTGAGGCCCTGAATTGAATCCTTGTTGCTGCGTCTGGGTGTTATTGCCAAAAAGACCACCAGTAGCAGTCGTATTTGTATTATTATTGCTCGAGTTACCAAGCAGGCCACCCGTTGTTCCAACGGAAGGTTTGTTGCCAAACAGACCTCCTGATGTGTTGTTAGTCTGTTGCTGATTGTTGCTTCCAAACAAACCACCGGAAGTGCTATTTGTTTGCTGCTGATTATTGTTGCCAAACAAGCCACTCGATCCAGCGCCTGAGCTTTGTTGGTTACTGTTTCCAAACAAGCTGCCTGATCCAGTGCCTGAGCTTTGTTGGTTATTACTACCAAACAAGCCACCTGATCCAGCACCTGAGCTCTGTTGGTTACTATTACCGAAAAGAGAACCCGACTGGCTCGGATTCTGAGCTGCGGACTGTTGTTGCTGATTAGAATTTTGGCCAAAAGTCAACCCCCCGCTAGGTTTGTTACCAAAAAGACCTCCCGAGCCAGTTGTTCCTGTGTTAAACTGCCCAAGAAGTCCACCAGAGTTCTGTTGTGCGTTGTTTTGACCAAACTGCATTCCTGAAGACTGGCCTTGGGGATTGCCATTGTTTAGGCCACCCGAGAACCCTGTCGTTGTTGTTGCTGGCTTGCTGCCAAAAATTGAGCCGTTATTCGCAGCATTGCCTGCATTGGCACCTGTATTCCCAAAATTGAACATCTACCAGCACTTGTTATTGTATCGTAGAACAGCTTTATTATCGTGAACACCTTTTAACTAGAAAAGTTTTCTAAGTCAACTTTGAATATCTTCGTAATTCGTGACATATCTCGAAGGTCATCTCCCTACCTTAAGACTGCAACTGTTTGCTGACGCTGTGGCTAGAAAGATTGGAAGACATTCGCTCGGTGACAAATTGGCTATAGGGATTTTGGTATAATTGTCGCAATTTTTAAACCTAATGTATGCGTTTCACCCGGATTTGCGAGACACTTGTCACACAGAACGTGGAGACAGGCTTGGAACCGGGAAGTAACGTTGTGGGACTCTGATCTGAGCTGCAGTATGAGTGGGGATTCAGTGTCTTGCAGTTGCAGTAGTTTCGTGCGGTTTTCAGCGGTTACTTCGTGCATTTGCAATGCCAAATCTCCACACAACGTTGGTTCAAAGAACTGATCGTCCGCGCACAGCTTTTCCAGGGCTTGGCATAGCTTATGCGCCAATTGAAGCCCCGCATGTAGAGTCAGCGAATCTTGTAAAGCTACCGAAAGCTTATCAAGCGTTTTGAGGTAGTCCACAGTGTCCCCCACGATTTCTTTCGTATTTGAAATATCGCTCTCTGTAAGATTACTCAACTGAGTTAAAAACTGAGCAAGATCGAGCTTGACAATTTGCAGTTCAGGTCTCGTTTCCGCGGTATCTGAAAACTGCTTGCAAAGTTTCGCAAAGTTGCTATAGCTGCGACTCGATGCATCCAGCAGAGCCTGGTCCATTTCTTTAGTTAACCCAGTCAGGTCCCGGGTCAATATGTCTAGCGGCACATAATGAAAGTTGTTCTCCAGAAGAAAGCTATCTACATCAAACGTTGTTTCGTCTGTGTAATCAGCAAAGAGATCTCTGTTGATATTTTTCGAGACTGGTAGGTCCCAACTGTCGTCAAGCAATTCCATTTTATCGTTTTATGCTAACGTGCAAGAATCAGTCAAAGATCGTGAAAGTAAAGGTGATTTTTCACGGCTTAAAGTTAAAGCTGGTAAGGGTAAACTTGAATGCTAACCACTGCAGAGCTAAACCGGGCCGCTGGATTTGAGCTATCTTATCTTTGATGGCTTTCACAAGTTACTGTGCATCTCTGTTACGGAATGCAATCCAATTGTCGGAGTTGATATATAGAAAACGAACTCAGCTTTTAAGTGTTAGATGGGCTACGAAGTAAATGAAAGAATAAAGTGACAGTTCGCGGACTGATTGAATTGTCAAGTAGGGGCCTCATTGTCTTCAGCTTGAAATTTCGAGTGCTAAATTTGGTAGCATGTCAAATGTAACGAGGGTCCTTATAAACATATAATGGCCCAAAACCTTTGAATGACTTCAAAAAAGATGGCATATCTCAACCTCATGTCGTTTAATCTGCCTGATTAGTTATGATGCGACTATCGGGAGCCTCAGTTTTCCTTGCGGGATCATCATCCTCAGTCTATTGTTTTGCTTCAATGGCACCGATAGACTTCTGGCAGTTTCTTTCAAGAAAGGGATATTGACATATTTGTACATTGTCTTTTAGCCTATCGCTTCAAGACTTTTCTATGTATCCTATTCTTCTTTCTTGCATATCTTCATTTCCCTGATACTATTAAATCTTCGAATTCAAAAAACGCGCGAAAGTTCGTTACGCGTCGAACTAATTAAACGCTCAAGAGATATCAGAATTTATAAAGCTAGTCTAGATATGGCTTCGTCGATAGATAAATCCATTTTTAGTTCTGGCGGCAAGACCTTTGTGGGCTGTTCAGTTGATGGGACTCGGCTTTTCGCTGTGAACAAGCATGGACTAACTAAAGTATTGCAACTTGACACACCGGAGGAGGAACCTGACGTTTTGGAAACGTGTGTTGACTTTACGTCCATGGCAGTTGTCTCCAATTCCAAATGCATTGTGACGTCCTTTAAGGGAGACGTTTATCTGTTCAGCGCCCAAGAGTCTGAGAATAAGCTTCTTCTCAGGTGTGCTCTACCCGTACGCGATGTTGTGATTGTTCATAGTGGCAAAACAGTTGCTGTCGGTGGGGACGACTTGGAGGTCACGCTTGTTTCTTTAGCAGATGATACAGACCGAAACAAGATTACTTTGAAACTGGAAGACCAAGTTCGTCAAATGTCGTATAATCAGCAAATGAGTATTCTTGCCATTTCTCAAGTGAATGGTATAATTCACTTCTATTCTATGACTTCTACTATTCCGCGTCACGTCCATAGGCTCGAAAACTGCATTGCGTCCCACTTTTATAAAGATGATTTCCATGACAAGCTTTTGCAGTCTGTCAACCCCGTCGATGCTGACGATGATTTTGAGGGCGAATTTCAAGAACCAGAGTATTGCGATGAAAATCGGGCATGTGCGCGTGTGGAATGGCATCCGCATGGACTTCAGTTTGCGGTGCCTTGCCAAGACCGAGTTATCAAAATTTACAATTTAAAGGAATATTCGCAGGTCAAATCTCTAACGTATTCTCAGATAAAGCGCGAATATGTCGACTTAAAATACAGTCCGCAATCGGGAGCATTTATTGCAGCTGTCGACTTAGACAACAGGCTTACTATTTGGAACGTTGCTACAGGTGAAATTCACAACACAAGAGAACTTAGACAGAAAATCACCAACATCTGTTGGACTCTTCAATCGAACAATAGCCTTGACCTACATCTAGGTACTTGGACTGGCGACACAGTAACTATCCGAGGGGCTGCGGAGAACATATTGGAGAAACCTCCTCTCAGTAAAGATACCGAGCAATTGCAGAAAACGAATAATCTCTTTGTGAATTCTGAGGACGAGGATGATATAGATGCAGTTCCACCTTTAACGGGTAGGGAAGGAGAAAATAAGGGCTCTGGTGGTAATAATGAGTTACCTGGGTCTCAAGGTTTCACAGACGATGAGGCTGAAGGACCTACGAAAAGGATGTTTCACAACGATGAAGACGATTTCATTGATGACGATGACGGGGCAGGTTATGTGATCAAAAAACCAAAATACACCGGCCCTGCAGTAAGTACCATGTCCTTCGCTAAAGATACGAAGATACCAAAGTTTCGCTATCGGCCCTTTTCACCGGGTAGTACTCCTTTCGGGACCTCTGACAGACGCTATCTCACAATGAACAACATTGGTTACACCTCCACCGTAAGAAATGGTGTTGATTCCTCCTCTTCCCGTTACACAGTAACAACTTCATTTTTTGACTTGGGGCGCTTTAAAGAGTACCACTTTGAAGACCTGTTTGGTTACGATATCTGCTCTTTGACAGAGGATGGCGTTCTCTTTGCACAATCAAAACTTGGCCGTCTGCATTACAGAGCTCACAATGATTTCCAATCTTCGTGGAACAAAAGAGTACCGCTGCAAAAATCTGAGAAGATTACTTCAATAGCAGCAACACCCAGAAGAATTGTTGTGAGTACTTCACTTGGCTATCTAAGAACATTCAATCAATTTGGAATTCCATTGGAGATTGAAAAAATGGCACCGGTTGTAGCAATAGCCGCCCAAGATTACAAGATTTTTGCGGTGCATTTCTCTCCATATCACGGACTTTCTTACACGTTGTTCGAGCAAAATCCACAGACCGGCAACAAGTATTTTCAAAGAGAGAGCTCATTGCCCATCAAGCTTCCATCAAATTTAGACGATGACGAGGAATTCAGCGAGACTTTCTCGGCGTTTAATCCGTTAGGTATCAAATCCCTTTTCTTTTCAGCATATGGTGATCCTTGCATATTTGGGGCAGATGATGTACTGCTGGTATTATCAAAATATAGATCTGCTGCTGAAAGTCGGTGGGTACCTTTGTTGGACTCCAAGTTCGAGTTATGGAAGAGTTCGAACGGTAGAGAAATCAACCATTTACATGTGTGGCCCTTAGGACTTACTTTCAACGTCCTTAATCATATTTTGGTGAAGGGTCACAACATCTGGCCAGAATTCCCGTTGCCTTTGCCATCAGAAATGGAGGTCAGAATTCCTTTACTTATCAAAGACGAAATTGAAATAAACCGCGATGCTGATAATGAACAGGAAATGCAAATCCCCCCATACATGGCTGCGGAAGAAGAATTTGTCCGCTCAAAGGTCATGAGCGTGCTGCTCAATGACACTTTGGAGCACGAAGGTGAGGTCTACGGGAATGAGACTCAAATTCTTTTGGCTCTCAACAGCGCCTATGACAAATCGCTTTTGCGTTTATTTGCCTCAGCCTGCTCCGAGCAAGATGTTAGCAAAGCAGTTTCTCTAGCCCAAGAACTAAAGCAAGACAAGGCCTTAAATGCCGCCGTTAAAGTTGCAGAAAGAGCCGAACTCATGACCCTGGTGAAAAAGGTAAACGATATTCGAGAGTCCCGGTTTGAACTGCAGATAAACAACATCTAAGCTTCGATACCAAGGTTCGAAAAGGAAGGTGGCAAGTTAGTTCAATTATTATAACTGCGCGGAACTTCTGCTTTCAAATAAGCCCAAAATAACCGCCTTAACGGCCTCGTGATTCGAAGCTGTAAGTATGATTAACCTGCAACTTTTTTACCAATGTCCAAAAGTGAAAAAAAATTTGAGCGCTGCAAGTGAGTGTGATGAGCTCTACTGAAAGACAATAACCGACTGGATAAAGCTGCACAGGCGTCACAATGGCTCGTGTTAGGATAGACAGTAGAAAGCGTAAGAGATCGCAGGTCCCAGAACCTCGTAATCAAGCGGCTGATGAAGAGATTACAGACCCATCTTCTAATGAAGATGGAAGCGATGCAGAGGCACTAGAAGAGCAGAATGAAGACGAAGAAATAGACTCTGAGGAAGAGTTTGAACAAGAAAACGCTGCGGACAAGAGACGTCGTCTGGCTAAACAATATCTGGATAACTTGAAGGCTGACGCGAACGAAATAATGAACGAAACTCAGGAAAAACCAGATGCTCTTGCTGAAGTGGAGGAAAACTACAACAATTTCGACGCCCGCGATTTGGATCGTGAAATCGTAGCCTCCCGGCTGAAGCAAGATGTTGCTGAACAGCACGGTCGTATCTATAGATTCATTGGCGACAAATTGCTAGTTTCTGAAGCCAAGACCTCCTTCAGCAGAGTTGGTGAAAGAAGCTTAACTGCCATTAGTTGTTATCAGCCAGTCATCAACAAATTCTCGCATGAGGTTGCTCAAAACAAGAATAAGGGAAAACTATTTGCTTATACGGTTAGCAAGGACATGTGCCTGACCAAGTACGACATTACAGATTTCAACTCAAGGCCCAAGAAATTGAAATTCACTAAAGGTGGGCGTCGTTATGTTCCAGAAAGCAAAGTTGAATTCGAGAACACCACAGAAGGGCACTACGATGAGATTTTGACACTTGCAGCATCGCCAGATGGCAAGTATGTGATAACTGGTGGTAGGGACAGGAAGCTTATCGTTTGGAGTTCAGAATCATTGGCCCCCGTCAAGGTCATTCCTACAAAAGACAGAAGAGGTGAGGTCCTCTCCTTAGTGTTCCGTAAGAACTCAGATCAGCTGTATGCTGCTTGTGCAGACTACAAGATCAGAACATATTCAATCAATCAGTTTTCGCAATTGGAAGTCCTGTATGGGCATCAAGATCTCGTTGTCGACATTTCTGCTCTGAGCATGGAAAGATGTGTCACTGTTGGCTCTCGTGACCGTACTGCCATGCTTTGGAAAATTGCAGATGAAACTAGGTTAACCTTCAGAGGTGGTGACGATCCTGAAAGACTCTTGAGAAGGTGGATAAAGCAAAATAGTGAAAAATCTGAAGACGGTAAAGAAGTTAAGCCAAGTGAAGATAAGACTCCAGTGTTTTACGGCGAAGGAAGCATTGATTGCGTATCCATGATAGACGACTCGCACTTTATCACCGGCTCCGATAACGGTAATATTTCCCTGTGGTCTTTGTCGAAAAAGAAGCCAATGTTCACCGAGCGCGCAGCGCATGGAGTAATTCCTCTTCCAGAATCGACTCAAATATCTGCAGAAAGTAATAAGGAAAAACGCGACGAACAACTTCAGAACAAGAAGATATCACAACCATACTGGATAACTGCTTTACATGCTATTCCGTACTCAAATGTTTTCATATCTGGATCGTGGGATGGTAGTCTTAGAATATGGAAACTCTCTGAAAATCTAAGAGAGATTGAACTTCTTGGCGAGTTGCCCGGCTGTCACGGTGTAGTAACAAAAATCCAAGCCGTAGAGAGCGGTAAGCATGGTAGAGAAACCTTCCGCATACTGGCAAGCGTAAGCAAAGAGCATAGACTAGGTAGATGGATGACCCGTATGACAGGCGCCAGGAACGGTATATTCTCAGCAACTATTGAACAAACTGGCTTTTAAGCTGAGCCAGCAATTTAGCATAACAAGATAGCATGTAAGATAGTTACGAAGTTAATCCATCCAAAATATAATAAGTCGATTGCTTCGAGTGCCGGAGATAGTACATTTAAAAGTATTAATATATCATTACAAGTTCAAAAGCACAAAGTGCCTGTGATAGTACAAATTCGTGAAGGTTTATTGGTAGGCATTAGGGCGTAAGTCATGGCGAATTTCTGATATCAAACATCACGACAAGTTTGGTAGAAAATAGTATTGTGATAAACTTAGAGGATGCCGAGAACAAAACCTCCAGCGGCTCCAACGAATAGTCCATTTGCTACCAAAGCAACGCCTGCGCCATGACTCGATTGGGTTGGAGAAGAGCTCGAAGATCCTAGCGAGGAAATTCGAGCTATGGCCGATGTAACATTAGAGTTCGATGAGATCGATGAAATCGATGATGAAGGATAAGTAGTAGAGGAAATTGTGCTGTTAGCAGAAGCGACCTCGACCAGTCCTGAAGCATCTGCAAGCGAGTGACCTCTTAATTGAGCTTGCAAAGCTGTACTCTTAGTAGCGGAAGAGCTGGACGTGGAAGTCGGAGACGTATTCGCTTGGGGTGCCGAAAACTTAGATACAGATGCCAGTGACGCAGTACTTTGAGGTGCTGAGAGTTGGGAAACTGGAACTTGCGAGACAGAGATCAGAGACTTTGAAGTCAGCGATCTTGACGTCAAGTTTTCTGATGGTTGAGATCTCGAGTCTGAAGCTGTTGATGTAGAGCTTTTAGCCTGTACGCTAGCAATGCTAGCAGCCTTTACGGCGCTGACATACGATTGAGAAGCAATTGATGATTGCTCGGCAGATACGGAGGCCGCAGAAACCGAAGAAAAGGAACTAGCAAATTGTTGAGCGCTTTCAGACGCAACACTGGCTTCAGATACTGATTTAACGCTCTCGATCGACACTTTCTCGTCGGGGCTCAAACTCGTGGTGTAAACTTTCACGGTCGATGTATAAGTGGTTGTCACCTCTTCATCGTTTGCAAGAACGATGCCTAGAACAAAAGGAATAGCGGCAAAGGCAACCCTGGCTTGGAGTTTCATGGTGTATTTTCGTCAAGTAGAGAAGGTAAAAATAGGTATCAGCAGTAAAAGCTCAAAGTCTAGAATTGCACAACGAACTTGAAGGGGGAGGACCTTAATCAATAGCAGATATTAGGCGTGAGGCGGCTGCTAATAAAATGGCTCGTCTGGTTCAGAGATGTTTGCTTCGATAAAGATTGGACTTTAAAAACAAACCAGTATTGCTGACTTGGAACACAAAGTGCAAAGGTCCAATGAGTACATTTAATATAAGCAGCAAGTCGCGCGCACCTGTTTAGTTTTTTTTGTAGTAGTCATCGCTTTCCGCTGTATTTCGCTCTGTCTTCGCTCTTTCACTGGCGTCCTGGGTTGAGCTTTGGCACCAAGATTTCTAGAGAAGTACACAGAACAATCGGCAGTGAAATGAAGGCCAAAAGATAACGCATCCAATATACGAAGTGGTAGTCACTTCGTAAATCGATGCTCCAAAAGCAGGGTTCGTGATTGTTTAGGTTTATCTCGATTGGTGAAATAGGTAAACATACTTCACTTCCGTGTATAATGCTTCGAAAACGATTGATCATCTGTCTTTTTGTTCTACATTAGTATTTCACACTTATGTATTACCTAACTTAGGAAATCAAAAAAATAGAATGCCATCACCTAGAATCGAACGAGGGTTTCATCTGCCACAAAGATGTGTACTAACCACTATACTATGATGGCTTCTTGTTGAATAATGGGCAATGTTTTTTGCTTGTATACTCGCTACTACAAATGTGACTTGGTTATTGGAACCCAGTTTTCGACTACGATGTTTTGATGCGTCCTGCTTGCATTGAAATTCAGTTGGGATTGTTTTTCTTTGAGAGAGTCAGGACAGTGTGTGTGTGTTGCCATGAAGTTATGTTTTCGTGTTCCTTGGCTAACCCGCTCACATTACGACTTTTGCACAAGGTTCTTCCGCTAGTGTGGGAAGCCCATCTGTTATGTCAGGAAGCACTTTTAAGTAAATTAGATTTCGAAGCTTATATCTCTGAGGCTATTGTAGTATTCATTTAGCCTTACTTATTAGACAAGCACTCCGTAGTTGGCTTGCGGTCTATGCACACGTATATCTTTGTTGTATCAGGCGAGGTTCATGTACTTTAGTTAATCAAAAAAGCGTAGGAAATGTTTGCACAAGTAACGTTAAGTTAGTTTGTTTCTCTCAAAATTTCAACAAATTACAAGACTTCGTGGCCAAGCTGGTTAAGGCGTGCGACTGTTAATCGCAAGATCGTGAGTTCAATCCTCACCGAGGTCGCTTATTTTTAGTCATCACTTCTGAACAACTATCAAAGCAGTCGTATTTGAATATGATAAGCTCTGACTGCTGAATACGACTGTGGCTACTTTTTTCGTGTACCTGAAATTAATTCTTTAATGCAATATTAATCTATGAACATGAGTAAGTGAACTGTGAAATGATGATAACTTATGATGGATTTCCCACTCAAGCTTTTTCCTCTTGGGGATGTAATTCGTTTTCTTCAGATGAAGTGTCAGGTTTGTTGACACCCCAAGAGAAGTAATCCCTTCTAACTTCGACGTAGTCATATGCAAATTCTCCGATTTGATCCTCGTCTAAACCTAGCTGTTCTGCTTCTTCCGTAGCCCTGAGCTGAAGGCCTGGGATTTTGTTGATGATGAAGCATATAATGGCGGTAACCACGATCCCATATCCGTAAACAGCGCCGATGTACGCGATCTGTTTGTACATTTGCTTGTAGTTGTGAGTGATCCAGCCACCTTCATGATCGGTAACACCGTCCATACCTAATACCCAATCGGCAGCAAACAATCCATTAAAGAACAGGCCAATAACGCCGGCGATACCGTGCTCTGCTAGAATATCCATGGAATCATCAACTTTAAGGTAGTGTTTGATCTTGGTGGCGAAGTTACAAACCACACCAGCAGTTACACCTTGGATTACCGAACCGTACAGTGTAATGCAGCCAGAACTTGGGGTGGCTGCCACTAGACCACAAATAATACCAGAACAAAGTCCAACTGTCGACCACTTCTTTTCCAACCTGTAATCCAACAAACACCAAGTCATGCCACCCGCAGCAGCGCTTAGATTGGTGTTCATGAAGGCATACGCAGACTTTAAATTAGGAGTTAAGGATGTGCATGCATTGAAACCTAACCAGCCAAACCACAGCAAAGAGGTACCTAAAGTAACCATAGAGACATTGTGCGGTCTGAAATTGATCAAAAGACTTTCTTTACGTTTGCCCAAGAAGGCTGAGTAGACAAACCCACCTACACTGGACAAAATCTCCACAGGACCGCCTCCAGCCCAGTCCAGAACACCCCACCTGTAAGCCCACCCATCGGAATCCCATACCCAGTATGTTACAGGGCAGTACACCAGTGTGGCGAAGCAAAACAGGAAAACAGTGTGTGGGAGAAGTCTTCCTCTTTCAGCTGTGCAACCGGCTACAATGCTGAGAGTAACACATAAGAACAAGCCTTGAAAAGCCGCATATGCAATCTCAGGGTACTCACTGTCCTCAGTAGCCTTGCCGTAAACGTTTCTGAACCCAAATGAGTCCAAATTTCCGATAAACTTATGGTTAACGGAGGTTTTTGAAAATGCAAGTGAGAATCCCCAAAAATACCATTGAATCATACCTACGAGAGCAGCCATGATGACGATCCAGATTTGCGCAAGCGCTGACTTTCTGCGCGTCAACCCCGAATACAAGAACCCCAGTCCTGGAATCATAACGAAAACAAGCGCCGCGCCGAGCAGTATGAAAGCTACCGTCGCAGGCTCATAAGTTTCTTCCAATATGTGACCCATGCTGATGTATATGTACGCCACTTGAAGAAAGCTCTCCCCTCTATTGCAATCCTGGTGAAATCCTTCGTTAGCGTTACTAAGTCAGATTTCCCAAAGCACTCGCTTCTCTTTATAGTCTTCGCTTCCGAAATTCCTTTTTTTTTTCAGTATTTGGGACTCGCTGCTCTCTTCATCCGCCTAGCCCGATTTTTTGTCCTTCAAAGCTGCTTGCCAGATGAGCCCGTTTAAGACACTATGCTGAAAGTGTGTGAACACTATTCAGACCCTGATTTTTTGATTTTTCGACTTAATTGGTTTTCCGTAGCAGCTGTTTTGCTTAGACTGGAGATGACTTAATAGATAAGATAAGGAACACTCCAATGAAACTTTTGAAACCGCTATAAGGCTCAAAACCGCATTTTGTTGTACGCTCTTTGCGATGGATGAGCCTTGACGCTTGACATTGTGCGGCAGGGTCTGGCTTCTTTTTTTGCAGTATTTTTTCTCTCTCCGCCTCGTCATGAGCCAATAGAACTATGACATTATCCCGCATTTCAAGTGCTTCTGCAAAAAACTTATTTTCGGCTACGCAGCCTTGCACAACTCTCACTAAGCACTGTACAACCGTAATAGTGAGCGATCATGAGAAATAACCGCGGTATGAACATCAAACTGAAAGTGCCGTAAACAGAAGAAGCAGCGTTGATCAAAATTTGCGGAGACGGATAAAGACTAGTAAACATTAACCAAGCCCGCGATGATAATCACGTGAAATCTGCATGTGACGTTTCGTGTGAGGGTACTAAGCATTCCCGCCACCGTTTAGCCGCCCAGGTCACAAACAATGAAGGGTCTGGTCTTCTAGAGATCGCGATGATTAAGAGCATGACTGGCGATTATTCCTGAGCTTTCATTCGAGATTCAGACCTCGAGCCTCTCATGCGCTCTCGTTCCCGAAAAATTGAAGATCGGCGGACTGAGCTCGCTCCTTTGTTTCAGGCACCTTTCTAGTCTACTCTTCGCGGCAGACTCGGCATGGTCATGAGGTGACGTCTGTTATGTATGAGTTCTTTCGTGGTCCTCAATATTTGTGCTCTACTGTAATGTGCTAAGGATATGGGATGCCCATTATCAGATCGCTTGTATATTTATATATTTTGTCCCTTTGTACGTTTTCTCTGTCAGCTATGGAACTTCAAGCCCAGAGAGCCTCAAAGCAGATCACGAAGCGCATTGCTGTTCCATAGATCTGTAATAGTATCACTTCAATCGAATTAATTCTTACAGGGCATTTATGAAAGTAAGGGACGTCTTCCGCATCTTGAGCTGCAGTTTAGTTCCGAAATATTTGTATAGCACATGAAAGACTGGCTTGATTGGAATATCAAGAGTCATCGACTACGCATAACGTAGGCATGCTCGATTTGCTTCTCTACTAATGATTTGTTTTCGTATCACTTTCAACGTAAGTCATCGTGATTACGATATCGCATCGCCATCAAGGGTTGAAATTATGAGGCTCCAGAACGTCCGTGGCTGGCACTATTCATGCTCGTATTTCCGTTTGCTAGCACAACGGTGGCCGTTATAAGTCTGCGAGTATTACTCATCATGAACGGATATTCACTTTTCTCCAGATACTTTATTACGTTCTTGTTGAACCCTGTCTCAAAGAATATCTCTCATCAAATCGCTACTCTCACCGTCACCCGTTGTTATGCTCGTTATTAAAGGCCTACCTTTAGAGATACCACCGGATGTTGAGTTGCCGCCAGGGCTTTCACTTGCAAGGCAAGCCGCTGCCCACGCAATTGAAAATAGTCCTACCTCATCGCCCCTGCAGAAATTCGATATACTTTTACACTTCGTCAATGAACTTCTTAAAAGCGGTTCTGAATCAACAGATTCCCTTTTAGAGGAGAATGTATGCATTGTGGTGATCAACATGGCATATTACTACCAGCAAGTGACAGAAAGGCTAATAAAAAAAGCTTACACTGAGGACTCCAAAGAAGCTTGGGGGAACAGTGGCCTATACAACAAAAAGTCGATTGGGCTGCTACGTTATCTAATTGACTCGGGAATCGCTAATACCACGAAGTATTTAGGGTTAGTAGAGACTTTCACGAAGTGCTGGACATTGTCGCAACAATTAAGTATAGTCATGTTGTCGTTGTCCAAGCTAAAGTCTCGAATTTGTGGCAACAACACTGGCCAAGAATCTAAAAAAAGTAGTAGCAACCGGTATGACAGACTTCTGGAATTTCAAGAGTCGGATCTGAAGGACTTGGCAACTTCCAGCCTGCTTTACGCGCGATTATGCATTGGATGTCGTGACTCGTGTACAGAGTTGACGAGCACATCTGTAGGGGCTGCATGTCATCCTTTAACGCAATACCTGGATACGCTAACCTTCATTTTGCTGTCACTCGATCGTTACAAAAATGATGAATGCGGGGCCTCTATTGGCATGCTTGAGGCTGCAACTGAATGCCTTTCTCACGGCTTAATTACCAGTAAGCAGTTGAAGCTGATTCAAGAAAGCACAAAGCTCAAGACGAAGATGGCATTGAAATTAATTGAACTGAAATCAGAAAGCTCCAATCTGCGATCCAAGTTCAAAATATTCAAGAAAAACGATTTTGCAGGCAAGCCTGAATTGCATCCCCTCCTGCGGTCCACGCTTGAAGACTTTATTATGCCATTAATGATGCTTTTGCATTATCGATATGTAAAGACCAACGATAAAGTATTTTTTCAACCCATAATAAGAGATCGTGAGGAACTGGTCAAGGGGTGGCCGCATGGGAAAACACCAGATGTTACAGGCACAAGCTGGGCTTTCGATGGCGAACAGCTGAGAGAATTGGACACTTTGGGAGGATCTGAATATTACTGAGCAAGAGCGAAAACTATTTGCTGTGTGACTCTTAACGTCTGCGGTGACCGAACTCCTTTACAAAACTTCGCTTGGAATCAATAGTTAGTTCTTTCCCAACGAGTTTAAATTTGTCGCCTCCACACATGGTCTTCCGGATCTTTATCAAATCAGAATCTATAGGCTCACTTATTTTGCACTTGCAGTTAACTCCCTGTGTAGAAACTCTTACTAAGAATCTCCATTTAGAGACCCGAAGCGGGGTGGTGAGTGAACTGTTAATCTTTAGATGAATCGCCTGACATTTGACTTTTGATAAGTTAGAGTGTCTGGAACCTGCATTAGAAGAGGTTGAAATGCCAGTCTCGGGTTTGTTGCCCAAGAAAGCGTCCCAGGATTCCTGACTTACCGTGAATGGTAAGATACTTTTCCCATTTGAGGTCGTACCTTCCGCAAAAAGATACACGACTCGGTTTTTCAGTTGCGCGATATTGTCTACCTCTGCCAAGCTAGCTAAAACGGGCAATTCGCCATTGTTAAGCGTGAACTTTACAAACTGCCAGATAGTCAAGTGAAAAAAGCGAACGGTTTTCCCACGAACGCTAGGAATACAGAAGGCAGCTGGGCCCTGCGCCAAGAACCACAATACCACGCAATCCAATGGACTACTACAGTTCACCACATAAACTTCATTGACGGCTGGTAATTTGCTCTGCTTGTCTCGTCTCTTCACACCCTGAATTGCCACTTGGAGGTTCCAGTTGCACACAATTTTGGCGACAACGCCCCACAATGTTTTCGATACTCTTCCTGGCGCCCAACTTGACGCTAGAGCCAAAATAATTACCGGCAACGCGCATATAGTCTTAAGTACAAATTTAGAAACGCTGAGAACTGCTTGGAAGCCTTTTTCCTGCGCCAAATATGGCGGTGTTGGCAGGAAAGGCGCTATTCCAGTTCCCTTATCTCTCCAGTTGGTGAACTTCTCCATCAAGAGTGGGCAGCTTGTTTTATTTGTAATTTATTCTGTTACACTGACTGGATCGGATCTATCAATTTCATTAAGTTGAAATTTTGAAAAGTACATATTCAATTGAAAAATCAAAAAACCTGGTAACAGTACCTTTCCTAAGGGCGGCAGAATACTCATAAGGTTGTTCTGGCTACGTTCTTTCTTATTTTAACTTGATATGTCGCTTCCAGAGGTTTTGAAACGCGGGGATGAATTTTTAGCAGAATATCCTAGAACCAACGCATTGTGGCAACTGGGGTCCCACGCAACCTGTCTGCTAGCCGTCGGGATCTCGAAGCTAGTTCTGAAAACTTGTTATAATACAAAGCTGCACCACTTCGACAAACTTGAAAACGCCATAGAGCGCTCGGTGACGGAAAATCGTGGGCTAATGACGGTTATGAATCACATGTCAGTGGTGGATGACCCGTTTATATGGGGCGTATTTCCTTGGAGGATGTATAAGGATCTTGACCATATCCGCTGGTGTCTTGGGGCGCATAATGTCTGTTTTCAAAGCAAATTCCTAGCTAATTTCTTCTCCCTCGGAAAAGTGCTCTCCACCGAAAGGTTTGGAGGCGGGCCATTCCAAGGATCTATCGATGCCTCAATTAGACTTCTGTCACCTGACGACACCTTAGATCTCGAATGGACTCCACGCTGGGCTCAGGATTCGCCAAGTACACCAAACCAACCGCAGGTCTCATCAATTTCCGCTATGGCCAAGGATTACAAACCTCCGGTCAAGAGAACCAAGCCATCTTGGGTACATGTATATCCAGAAGGATTTGTTTTACAATTGGAATCTCCGTTCGCAAATTCAATGAGATATTTCAAGTGGGGTATTACACGTATGATCCTAGAGAGCACAAAACCACCTATAGTGGTTCCTATTTTCAGTACTGGATTTGAGAAGATAGCTCCAGAGTCTGCTGCTGGAACCAAGATTGAACGATACCTTCCCCGTAACTTTGGCGCTGAGGTCAATGTTACGGTCGGAGATCCCATTAACGACAAGATAATTGAAGCGTATCGGGAAGAGTGGAAGCAGCTGGTAGAGAAATATCACGACCAACAAAATCCGACCGACCTTACCACGGAGTTGAAAGTTGGGAAAGAAGCACAAAATTTACGCAGTAGGCTCGCATCTGAGCTCAGAGCACATGTTGCGAAAGTACGTCATGAAAGTCGCGGACTCCCCGCAGAAGACGAAAAATTCCAATCCCCAGAATGGTGGAAACAATACACGGAGACTGAAGGGAGGTCAGATCCTAGTGTTAAATTTATAGGCAAGAACTGGGCTATAAGAAGACTTCAAAAATTTCTAGAAGGGCAAGAAGACAAAGCTAAAGCCGACTCAAACAAAAACAATTCCGATGTTAAAAAGTGATATTTACTCCTCTGTAAATTTATATATGTATATAAGTATATATTCGTGTGCATACCCATGAAAACCATATTTGGGTTCCTAAATTCTTCTGCTTTCCGAATAAAGGATTTAGCACCCAAATTGCGTTCTCAATCCCTCCTTGTCATCTTAGTTGAGTTTACCTTTGCTGCGAATCGCAAAGAATTCAACGTTTCTGCCGTACTTTTGAGACATGGGGAAACATTGACAAACATAAGGGTTTTCGAGTCTCCCATCAATGAGTACTGTAGCAGATAGGTAAGCTTTGAATTCCTGAAGGGAATATGTCTCTTGGCGGCATCAGGAGCTCCCAGTGCGTGTATTACGTCTCCCAAACAGCTCAGCGATTTGTTTATATTTTGAGTTTCGCGAAGTCTATCAACTTGAGGTTGTGAGGCGTTGATCCTTTCGGACCCAGCCAAGTCGACCAGGTTTAATATGCCCGCAGACTGTTCTCCCGAAGTTGTATTATGCCCACGCAGTTTGATTATAAAAACGCTATGCGACCTCGAAGAGCGCAAATTTGCCTGAGTCGCCGCAGTTGACCTCATCCTCAGTGCACGCGTTAAAATTCCATTCACCATTTCGCGGTTCTTGAATTTGCAAGTGGTCACATTTGTTATTAACGTAGTACGGGCTTCAACATCATGTCTAATCTCGTGCTTAATATTGCTGTCGCACACCTCATCACTCTCGGCGTCGTGCTCTTTCAAAAGATCCTTGATATTTTCGTTGTAAATTTCGACAAATTGACCCGAAATCTCGTAACTCCATCCAATCCCTTTCAGTTTATCCACCCAAAGAAAAATATGACTCAACGTAGTTGGAATTATGCCATCTTTTGGGTTGAGCATTGTGTATGTTTTTCCCGATCCTGTTTGACCGAAGGCGAAAATGCAAACATTATATCCATCAAGGGAACTTTGTATCAGTTGGCCAATTTCGTCAAAAACATTACTGTTGCTTTCATGTACGCCGAAAACTCTATCGAAAGTAAATTTATGAGATTTTGCGTCGCGTTTTATGACTATACTTTGCGTCCCGCTTTCATCATTGAATTTTTCTATTGAGATGTTGGAGAGATTCTCCTGCTCCTTTTCCAAGTGAGGTCGCAGTCTACAAAAGACTCTTATGTTGCCACGTAGCTCCTGTAATTCATTGTTCAACTTTCGCCTCATGGTTTCCTCTTTCATTAAAATCTCACCAATTTGTTCAAGCTCAGAATTAGAGGTAATGATGTATCTCTTTAATTCGTCTCGTTTAGCAAGTGATTTTATTGTGAGCGAGCTTAGGTCATTTGTGTTTTGTTCTAGTTGTTCGTTTCTAGATCGTGAAGAATCTAACTTTTCTTTCAAGCCTTGTAGCGTTACTCGCAGAGACTCCAATTCCTCTATTTTTTTGCTCGAATTTACCTTGAGCTTGTTCGTCAGCGTATCTCTCAGCTCTTCAGACTCTCGGCTCAGTTTTGTGTTGATATTGATAAGTGCATTGAGCTCTTCCTGATGATGTCGTAAGCCCTCTTCTTTCTTCAAGCTGTGCTGGACCTCGCATTCATGTAGCGCGCCTTTGAGATTTTCCTGATTGTTAGCAACTTGACGTTTCAGCTTGACAATCTCTTGTTGCAATTCGTTACGGGCATCTTCGAGTTTCTTTATTTTCAAGAATCGCAGTTCTTCTATCTTTTGATGATAGCCGCTTTCTAAGCGATTCATCTGTGCAGTGTTCTGGGCGCGTAGCTGCTGAACCTCCAGATCGTGGCCTTTTTTCAAAAATTTGTCGCGCGTAGCTTGCTCATCACTTAATTTCTTTATGTCGTTGACCTTAAGCTTTAATTGTTGTGATTTGACGTGTTTTTCTTCCTTGAAAGTCTCTAGTTTGAGCATGAGCGCCTTGTACTGGTCTCTGCTATCCAGCAGTTTATCCTTGAGCGAATCCAATTTGGCCTTTTTTTCGAACATCAGGTCCTGCAGCTCATTGAGAACCCGTATATTTTCTCGATAGAACGCGGTCATATGAGAGGAGCCTTCGGAACCAGGGTTACCATTACCAAAAGTAGCCGCGGTGGACCCATCATTATTTTGTCTCTTGGTGTGTGAAACCATGCTCCGGTGTTCTGAGGCACTCACAAGCGGCTGTTTAGGCGACGCGCTTCTCTTACGATATTTGGGCGATCCGGGAGCATTTGGAGATGGTATTTTGGAGCCTGGTTCTGAATTGTCAGCTGTCCTGGTAGACTTTGTTGGCGTTCTAGGAACTCCAGAGTCCATAGTCTCCCTTCTAGCGATGTAGTTTCAATTTCCTAGAAACCCTTATAGATCATTAAAGGGAATGGATCAGATGAACTAAAGGAGAAGCAAAGATGTAAAACGAAACAGTAGAGTTTTCTCTCTTAGCTTTTGTACAAAAGCTATTAAAGGATCAGCAGTTTCACAGTAACCAAGCTTCACCTGGTTGTTTCGTGTTTGTTTACAAGTGAACATCAAACGCGCACTCGAAACTAGTTATTAGTCCTAGAATTGAAAAATTCAAGAATTTGAAAAATTTTAAGAGATGAGATAGCTCATCGCACTGGAAACTTCGAAGAACAAGTAGTAAACATATTCAAAATGGCAGCTTTGGGAGCAGGAGTTAAGGCGAAAGCAGGCAAAAAGAACACAGCGACAACAAGTGTGAAAGGTCGGGTTGAAAAACCGCTACAGAAGGGAATCCCAGAGAAGCTGGAAAATGATAACGTTGACGAAGGTCAAGAAGAGAACGCTGGTGAAGGGAGCGACGCCGACTCAGGAGACGCCAATAGTGCCGATGATGATGATGCTGGTAATGGAGAAGACGACTCGAGCGGTGATGAACTTGTGCTAGACGATGAAGAAGACGATGACTTCCCTAAGAAGAAAAAGGCGAAGCTCAACAAACACGATGATGGATCGTCGGGATTCTCTACTGCAGTGAATGCAATTTTGGGATCGCATCTAAAGGCGCATGCCCGTAAGGACCCTATTATGTCGCGCAAAAAGAACGCCGCGAAGAAGCTGGAGAGTGACAAGCTTGAACAGAAAGCTAAAAGAGCCATTCTGGCCGAGAAGAAAAAGCTATTAAACAAGACCAGAACGAAAGACATAATACCCACAGTAGCTGCGGAAACCGAATCTGGTGCTGACATTAGAGAGGTGCTTGAGAAGGAAAGGCGCTTACGGAAAGTTGCCCAGAAAGGTGTGGTTAAGCTGTTCAATGCGATCTTGTCAACCCAGGTTAAGACAGAACGGGATAGCGCAGAAAGAGTAGGCGACATTAAGAATAGATCTGAGAAAAAGGAGCTTTTAACCGAGTTATCCAAAGAGAAGTTTTTGGATCTGGTCAGAGCCGCGGGCGATTCTTGAGTAGGGCATAACCAAATATATATAAATTTTGCATTTTGTACCATAGTTTTACCTCCGAACACAAAGTTATGACAGGCGGCCACACAAGATGTGAATCTATTGATCAACAGTATTGGATGAATAATTAACGTTACATTACACAATGACTACAATATGCTAAAATCTGGCTAAAATCCCAGCCCACCATTTGAGTAAGCCATGGGTTTAATTTCAGGATGCTTTACCGCTTCAAAAGTCTCTACTATTAGGTCCTCATCATCATTTCCATTTTGACCAATGATACCCATTCCAGGGACAACGTGAATAATACCTCCCAAGTTGCCTTGTGAATCGCAATAGTTTGGAGCGCTGAAAACTGTAGCCAGTTTTTTTTCATGTTCAAACAGGATACCTCCCATTCTAACTTCGTGAGATCTGAATATTTTGGACAGTTTATTTTTCGCAAGAAAACTGGCCGTTATGTCAGGTCCAAATGAATGTCCGAGCCCACGTTCAGAAGGTCCAAGGCCATTACTGGCCTGTGGATCTGACCACAGCAGCTCCATGAATGGACCGTCCCTTGGTGGTTGAGAAAATCTATCAATTTTCTTAATGTCATCCAGAGTCACGGACTGATCGGCACTCAACCCGCCGTGCATAACAAGGTATTTTTCGTTGATGACTGTCGCCAAAGGAAGGGCCTCAAAACTTTGAGAGAACATTTCAAATATCCTTGGAGAGTACTTGTATTTGCACTCATCTTCAAAACCGTAGATTTTGTTCATGTTGTCTGTTTCGTGGTTTCCCCTGTTGATAAACATGTTATTGGGAAATAGAATCTTCAGACAGTAGTACAAAAGAGCCACTTCACAAGACCATGACCCACGGTCTACAAAATCGCCATTAAACAAATAAGAATGTTTGGAGCCAACTTTACCAAACGTTTTGAAAATGTTCAAAACATCATAGAACTGACCATGAGTGTCCCCACAGACTGAAATCTTGACGTCAGTCTCCGAGTCGTTGCTGAGCTCAACTACCGGTGGTTCTTGATGGAAAAGGCGCTCTGCGTGCGACACAATAGCAGCAACATATTTCTTGGGTAAGTTTTTGCCCTTTAAAAATAGATCGTTGACCATGTAGGAAATAAACTCTTGAGACATGTTGGTTATTAGAGCGCCTGTGGGTTCCTGTCTCTCGTTTGTCAGTTGTGAGATGTCAAGTTGGTGCCCTTGGTAGTTCAAAATGTCGGCATTACCATCAAATGAGGACAGTTGTACTTTGGCGCACAAGTTGACTTTGATTTCATCGCCATCACCGCTGATTGCTTTATTAAACTTTTCCTGTCGAATGAATTTCTCACAGGCCTCCAAAGCCTTTACAGCAGTGGGTTCCTTTGGCTTCAGGAGCAAAAGTTTTTTGAAATCTTTACGTGCAAGAGAAAAGTTCAACAGGCCTACGTGCGAAAGACCTCTCCTGTGGAGTGCTTTGATGTTCTTGGGATCGAGATTAATTGCTTTGTCACAATCCTCCACTGCTGTGAGGAAGTTGTCGAGCTTTAGTCTCGCAAAAGCTCTGTTCGAGAAATAAATCGATTGAGTATCATCTAATTCGATGGCTTTGGAATAACGTTCTACAGCTTCTGTATACTTCTTCTCCTTTATAAAAGCATTTCCCTCGTTTTTGAACACTAACGCATGTTGCCTTGCCTCTTCGTTGGCTGCCATTGCCTTTAGTTATCCTTACTCAACGAAAACTGCACTGATCGGAGAATTGAAATTTTTCAGATTTTGATTTTGTATGGATTTCCCTTACTCAGAATAGTGCCGGAATAACAAATAAACCATCTGTGGCGCGTGAAACTGATTGAGCAGAGCAACTGCTATGGTGATTAAATTTTATTCAACTTGTTAATTAATTATCAGGATATCTGGATAGCCTGTTTCTCACAACTTTCTGGATGATCATGAGTTTACCTTGGGATGGCGTATTGTCCCAAGTGGGTACAGGAAATTAAATATGCATGAGTTTGTCCAATAGTTTCAGAGCTTTGTGTTAATGTGGTGAATAGTATCTCAGGTGTCTTGTTTATTTATATTCCATACCTATAATCTTGCGACGTTGTATGATACATGATATGATTTCAGGGAACTTACTTTTGAAGACAAAAACATTAAAACGCAAAGTATATAAACCTCTGAAAACAATTGAAAATTCATTCTGAGCTAATTTCGACAATAGAGTTGACGAAGGCAAGACGATTCAATTAATGAAAAGACTGACAGAATGTACTGGTAATTTAATAGATTGAGCTCCTGACCTTTGTAAAACTCCATAGTCTTTATAAGGCGGCGGATTTCTAACAAATTGGTCTCTTGGCCCAGTTGGTTAAGGCACCGTGCTAATAACGCGGGGATCAGCGGTTCGATCCCGCTAGAGACCATCTTTTTATTTACTATGGAACATTTTTTGCAATTTGAGTCGTCAACTAGGCGAATCAAAGGCCTCGTATAATAGCGTTAGTGTCCGAATTGTGCGATTTAAATTACCATTCTACACATTTTAAATAATCCCCAAATGCAGCTCCCTGTTCTTCAAACTCCAAAGCTGGTAAGACTTTTAGTTTACGAGTAATTTCGGCCTGAAGCAAGGAGTCATAGGACCAATCCAGAAAATCTTCCATGTTGTAAGTGTGCTTTTTAAAAGGTTGGGAAAATATTTTGGCCAACGTTGCTACATTTGGGTGGTAATGATTAGTTAGCGATTCAAGTTCCCACAGCGAACTGTCGATGGCGCCAGTCAACTCTGGGTTAACTTCACCCATTTGGAACGGATCGACGTATTGTGCCTTGCGTTCTTTCAATAGAGCAATTTCGTCGAGAGTGGCAAATGGATCCACTACAAAGTCTGGGTCGTGGAGCATAATCATACAAGTAGGATGTTTCTTCATTAAGTTATACACGAACGGAATGACAGAAACAATGGCAGATGGTGGTGAATCCAAGGTTAAACGTGCTAGCCTTTTGATGAATGATGCGACCATATTAGCCGAAATGTGCGTAGAGGACAGGAAAAGATCGGTCAGTCTCAAAAAACGAGATCTGTGTTTAATATGCATCAGAGTAGGAGTAACCAGCTGGTAGAGTTTGGCGTAAAAGTTTGGGTATTCGAGGTTGTACCTTCTCATGAGTTCGAATAAACCGTTCAATGCTAACAATGAAACGACGTCATCCCCAAGATTATATGAATCGGTCAGAAAGTCCATGAGTTTCGTGGGTGTTTGGAAATGCGGTATGATTCTCTTGTGGAGAATGAGTAACGTAGTTTTATACTGAGTGGCTGGTAGTCCACTTAGATTCAAAAATGCGAGCCAGTTCTTCTCCAAATTAGATTTGTATTGGGCCTCATTCTCCATGGCCTGTGGAGGTTCCGAAACGTAGATTTCGAGATCCGCGTCTTTGCTCGAATAATGATTGTCATGATTCATAATAGAAATCCATTTGGCCATGAGCTGTGTGTGGTCAATATCCTCAAGCACTGCTGAATCCGTGATCAGTTGTGTCAGTTCCGCTTGGAAGTAGTATTGGATATCCACATACTTTTTGTAATAGCTACTAGTAAATTCAAGCACTATGGGATTCTTCGAGTGTCCGTCCGTCGCGTCAACGCTGCCTTGAATATTAGACTTGAAGATTGCTAGAATGAGTGCTTTGAGAGTCTTATTAGGGAAAAATGGAGCTCCGTCCCGAGAGGCCAAGAAAATGGCCTCTTGTTCTAGTAGCTGCATATACACATCGAGGCAATCAAGCGCCAGGGAAGTTTCAAAGGGTATAGATGAGATGCAGTGGAGCAATTTAGCTTTGTAGGATCCGTAGACCTTGCGACACCATTGGGAAAAGAGCTTCTCCTTTTCAGAGGTTGCTTTAGCAGGGTTTAGTTGACCTCTTGAAAAAAGCTTACGGAAAATTTGCAACAAAGCCATTGTCAAATACCGTAGTGCAGGTTCTTCTATTTCAAACTTTGATTCGTCTAACTGCGATAGGTCTGGATATTGAGACACAAGTTTCACGATATCGTTGTAGCTTCTTCTATCATTAGAAGACGTGATTCGCTTCGCGCAGGCCGCGATCTCATCTTTGGGAAGAACCATATTAGACAGTCAATGATCTAAAGACGTATAATTATGAGAGGTTTGAAGTAGGCCTTTTGTCTAAGAGGGTGTTTAGTTACTAGTACCTCATCGCTTGTATCTCATCTTCAGCTCATCTCGTCGGCTAAAATTTTTCGAAGCCAGCAAGCGTCACATACGTATAAAATTACCACCATCATAGAAATGGGAAGGTAGCGAGCAGAGATGATAACACGAATCAATTAAGTTAGTATCGTTGCAGAGCAGTTGATATGAGCCCGGGTTTGAGGGGAGTAGCACTCCCCGCCACTGATAGCAAGAATTAGACTAAGCGTCATTGTTGATTTCTATTTTGGCGCATTGCGCAGGAGGACGTCACTGGTTATGAACACGACAAAGTCCTTCCATCCAGACTGTCGAAAGGAAGTAGTAACGACACACTTTAGCTATACAGTTGGATGTGGCACAACATAACTCTTTTCTGCTATGCCCTAAGCAAGCTAGCAGCTATACCACGTCAAAAATGATAACCATAACTATATAAGTCAACAAATTTTCTCACTTATTTCTATGATAGTCCATATCCTTTTCTTAAATCTGTATGACCTTCCAAGTTTTATAAAGAAGACGATGATATTATTTGCGTTTCATTTCAATCGAACAATTCTGCTTGACTCAGCGGAGTAAGATCTGCTGGGCTAAGGTTTTAATGGAGAAAGTGGTTCCTGCGCAGCCCATTAATCTTGTTACATTCTATGAATGACAAGGACACTGCTATAAAATTCTGATTCTTATACCACCACGAAGGTCATGATTTCGGGTAGCGGGCTGGCCGACCAGCTCAGTAATTTTTTCTTGTTTAGTAAATCACGATTCAGCAGGAGCTGAATGAGAATATTTGAAGTTGCTGTTAAAGCTATCATTCTATCAATAGGTTCAAACTTTCTTTCTTTTTGCGATGTTTGCCCCGAACAAGGTGGATCCGACCATTAAGATCCTCGGTCTGGATCTGTATGAGTAGAGCATTAAATTCGAATGGATTTCGCTCCTCGGGGCTACAATATACAGAGATACGAGGAACTTCCGCGTCTACTATATATTCTACAGGGCGTGCGGCTCGGAATGTATCTCACATTCACAAATCTTCGCAGCTGCACCAACGGAGAGCAGCTGCTAATCTCAAATAGTTGACAACATACTGAAGCTATCCAACGAGGTAAGAATGAGCTAAAATTGTTGTCAAAGTAGAGACATGTGAACCTTTCACCGTCTGCTTTATGGTTGCATCTTGTCGCAAATATATTATCATCGAAGCAAGCAAGTATTCCATTAGCTGCCATTTTCGAGTACTCAATATCATTGAGTGAAGCGAAATCATAAAACAAAGAGGAATTTGTACAAAGTGTTGATCATCTACAATTCCGGAGCACTCACTAACACACAAACGTAGGCTCTGGCGAAAGAGGTTTAATTTGTTACCAGGCTACAGCGTCGACGGGATGGCTAAAAGTGATATAAAATGACGAGGTGCTGATGAACGCTCATTCTTGAAAGTGGGAATAATGCTGTTCGATTTCTAATCTCCTAGGGGCAGTGCTGAATAAATTGAAGCGCAGCACTAATAATGGTGTGGCAAGTTTCGCCTATCAAATCCCTGCTTTATATATATTGTCTATTGCGAGTATCTTGATGAAGGTTATTACCATTACGACTTTTTATCCTCCATCCCCTGATACAATGGCTGCCGACAGTACGTCCTTCCTGAGACAGCTAACGAAGGTGCATTAAATGGGTTGGAACGTCGCACTGAATACTACATATGGAAGATTATAATAAAATAGCACTGGAATGGTTTAGGATAAAGAAAAAGTCACAGTACTTCTATCAGCGAACCCTGATAGCACCGCCAGAGTCCAAATTAATTTCTTTCAGATATTGTCTTGTATGGCGGAGAAACGCGTTGACTGTTGATTGCGGATTTCGGCAGGAAGTTAGGACTTTGCCCTAGCCTTCAATAGTATTGTAAAACAGCGCGCCAGGGTAGCTTAGCACGAACCCTTTGGACGCACACCATGAACTGAAACTAACCAAGTCTAAATCAAAGCCGTACTATATCTTTCGACAAAAGTACGAGCTCCACTACTTAGCTGGAAATCTAAGTTTTTGCTTTACATACAGTCAAAGATGAAGACTCAACTCAACCCAAAAATAAAGTACCCACAGCATCTGAGCCCAAATATTTATTCCTATATATCTAAGACCACCATACAGAATCCGGTAGTTTATTAGCATCTCACAAAGCAGCTCACAATGAGGTCAGATTACTATTCGGTCCATTACTTATCAACTGTGCCATCCGATTGTTCCATGAAAAAAGAGAGTCGTGCATTGTACTATTGTCTACATTATTTTGGACCAACACAATCTTCGACTCATCAAGAACTCATCAAATACTTTCGTGTCGTGGCCAGAGATATGATACTCACAACTTCGCTTGACTCATAGGTGAAAAAAAAATCAGAAAAAGAATCATCTAATCGTCGACGCTTCCAAAAAATTGTAGAGTATTTAAAAACGTTGAAAAGCGGTGCACAAGACTTCTTTGAACGTTGTTAATACGATAGTTTTTGCTGCATTATAAACACACTTCCGTTTCAAACATGTGTGGTATTTTTGCGTGCTACAAGCACGAATCCGTGGATAAATTTAAGGCAGATGCGCTACAACTTGCCAAGAGAATTAGACACCGTGGTCCTGACTGGTCCGGAAACTACGTGAAGAACACAACACTCCTAGCTCACGAAAGACTGGCTATCGTTGGCCTTGGCTCCGGTGCCCAACCAATCACGTCACAGGACGGCGACTACTCGCTAACCGTTAACGGTGAGATCTACAACCACATCCAGCTCAGAGAGGAGTTTTCGTCTTATCCTTTCAGAACCGTGTCTGACTGTGAGCCTATCATCCCGCTGTATGAGAAATACGGCTTAGATGCTCCAAAGTACCTGGACGGTATGTTTGCCTGGGCCTTGTATGACGCCAAGAAGGACCGCATCATCGCCGCCAGAGACCCCATTGGTATCACGACACTATACATGGGCCGCGACTCTAGCAGCCCAAAGACCGTGTACTTTGCCTCAGAGCTCAAGTGTCTAACCGACAACTGTGACAGCATTACCGCATTCCCTCCAGGTCACGTTTACGATTCCGAAACTGACCAGCTAACTCGTTATTACAACCCAGACTGGTTGGACGAGAACCGCATTCCATCGGAGCCATTGGATCTTCTAAAGATCCGCCACTCGTTGGAGAAAGCTGTGAGAAAGAGACTCATGGCCGAAGTTCCTTACGGTGTCTTGTTGTCCGGTGGTTTGGACTCTTCTTTGATCGCCGCGATTGCCTCAAGAGAAACTGAAAAGGCTAACAACACCATTAACCCAGCTGAGTACGATGCTGAAACCAAGCACTTGGCTGGTGTCGATGACGCTGGTAACCTACACAGTGCCGGCTGGTCGCGTCTGCATTCCTTTGCTATTGGGTTGCCAAACGCCCCTGATCTACAAGCTGCCCGTAAGGTTGCTTCATTCATTGGTACGATTCATCACGAACACACGTTCACGTTGCAAGAAGGTCTAGACGCTTTAGACGACGTTATTTACCACTTGGAAACCTACGACGTCACCACTATCAGAGCATCTACCCCTATGTTCTTGCTATCCAGAAAGATCAAAGCGCAAGGTGTCAAAATGGTTTTGTCCGGTGAAGGTTCCGACGAAATCTTTGGCGGTTACCTGTACTTCGCCCAAGCTCCTTCGGCGGCCGAATTTCACACCGAAGCTGTCAAGCGTGTCAAGAACCTGCATTTCGCTGACTGTTTGAGAGCCAACAAATCTACTATGGCGTGGGGTTTGGAAGCTCGTGTTCCTTTCTTGGACAAAGAGTTTTTGGACTTGTGCATGAACTTGGATCCAAACGAGAAAATGATCAAACCTGCTGAGGGCCGTATCGAGAAATACGTGTTGAGAAAGGCATTCGACACCTCTGATAAGCCAGATGAGAAGCCATACTTGCCTCAAGAAATTTTATGGAGACAAAAGGAACAATTTTCCGACGGTGTTGGTTACTCCTGGATTGACGGTTTGAAAGACGCTGCTGAAGCGGCTATTTCGGATGAGCAATTCAGCCAGCCTAAGCCAGAATGGGGAACCGATATCCCAACCACCAAAGAGGCTTACTGGTACAGACTAAAGTTCGACGCTGCTTTCCCACAAAAGACCGTTGCCGCCACTGTGATGAGATGGATTCCAAAGGCCGACTGGGGTTGTGCTGAGGACCCATCCGGCAGATTCTCCAAGATTCACGACCAGCACGTCAAAAACTAAGAAGAAAATTGTATAGAGTATAGACGCCTGGGGCAAAACAACCTAAAATAGATTATTATTGTTAATATAGAAAGATAGACTCAACATCACTTGTCGGTCTTATCTCATGCAACTAAATATATCAAACTAGTCTAACCTTGAGAATAAACGGATCCGCAGAATCCGCATCCGAATGCCTTGAAATTTCGCGAGACACTTGCGAACCGTAACCGGCATGAGTAGATTGCGACGACACACATCCGTTTGCCGCTGACGGTTGCAGTTGCAACTGAAGTGAAGAACTCAGTTGATGACGATGTTGGTGATGGCCTGCGGATGCGTTCTGGTGATTGTGTACGAGTATGTCATGGCGAGTGATGACAGTTTTTCTGGAACGGCCGGAGCCACGCTCTGGTTGCGAACTCGAGGTTTGGTGCTGGCGCATGATTCTTCCGGGCGATTTGACGGCCTTGTAGGCGCCGCTCATGTATGCCCAGGTCTTGATCAGCGCGGACTTGGAGCCCAGCGCGAGATAAATTGCCACTTTCCCAGTCATGGAGAGCGCACGGTTATGGTGGTTTTCCTTCAACTTACGAGAGACGACGACGGTACTGATGCACAAACGGAGAGGGTCTGAGCGCACTCGCTAGTCTTAGCACGATTTGTATATTTTTTTTCAAGTGTTTGTCGCCGCGGAGCGAAAACAGGTTCTTTCGCGTTATTGCGACGGGGGGTACTCACTCAGGAATATAGAAGATAGCTCGACGACGACGACACTGCCGTTGTCCTGCTAGCATGGACTGGTTTTGAGCACTGAAAGACAGAGTAGCGCCCGAAGCCAGATCGTGAGGCACGAACAAAGCTCTCTCTATCTCAAAAGAATAGTCAACACACGCGCGAACTATAGTAAGCGCCTGGGTCAGACTCTGAAGTATCAATTTCTCAACACTCAATTGCGACAGCTCTTAAAGAAGAATTTGGTCCACTGCCAAAACCGATACACCAACTTGTCCTGCTACAACCGCATTTATATACAATTAATCTACAGGGTTTGCCCATGTTACTCAGGGTCCCCATCTCACTCGTCTCTGACAAATTATCGCCTAACTACGAGCGCTACACGGATCTTAACGGATTCAATGAAAAATCAAAATAAAAGACGGATGTCCAACGGCAACCGGTGTGATTAGATATTACGTTGTGACAAATGCGATGTAAACTTTTTTTCCAAAGCGTTCCGTAGTGAAGAAAAGAAGTGCAACACATCTGCTGCCTGTGACACAGGAAGCGGGATTCGTTAGTCACGAATCTCAGGAGAGCATCTCAGAAGAGTGTTTTGATCAACGGTTTAGTTCATACTATAAAGGAGGCAAATGTCAAAGGGATTCTCATGAAGACGCTGACGAAAGAGAGTGGGTCGTGAATGACGAGAACGGATGCAGCGCGGGTCTAAGTAAGTGCACATAAGCAATCAGGTAGCCATGGCCACGCGATAGCCGTTGTGTGACATTCAGGTGATGTGGTAGACGGGAAGATCCAAACCAAAGCTTGAGGGAGGTTTGCGTTGGCGACTGGTTCGCTAAGTGAGAAGTATTGAGGCAGTCTGATGCAGCAGTATAAAGATTGCCAGTGTCTCCTGGTTTTTCTATAATTATTAGGCAGTCTGATCCCGAGGCAGAACGCATGCTGTTATATCTCTGTTGAGTTCTTTCGAGGCAGAAGCTTGCTGTTATATCTGTTCAGCTCTTCCACGCTTCAGCAGCTCTTCCATGCTTCAGCAGCTCTTCCATGCTTGAGCAGCTTTTCCAAAGAGACCAGATTAGTACGTGGACGAAACAGTGAATGTCCCTACGTGGTTTTTTCAGTACAAGTGCAATGTCAAGTCACCGGTATTTATATAGTAGAATGTGAGGCGGGGTGCGAACGCCTGCAAGCGAGATGCATTGTATAAGCCGCTTCGTCGCTCTCAATCATTGGTACGTATAATCTGAAGTCTAGACCACTGGGCCAGCCTCTGCCCGATATCATTTAGCGCTCTTGTTTTGTTCATATCACTATGTACCTTTACGTCGTTATGCATCCTGGCACTATCATCACTAACATCCCAACATATGCCCACGGCTGTAATTGAAAAAACTAAGAGTCCGCAACACGGACAATTTGCCGCGTCATCTACGTTAATGATGGCTCGTAACATATCCATGAGTAAGAAGTAACACTACTGTATGGGTCATACGTTAACTTCACCGCTCAATTCTCGACTTTTCGATGCAACCGAACAAATTGGCGAGGCACAGGAATGGTGGTGGAAGAGGAATATCAACAAAAAACAAGAGCAGGGTGTTTCATACCATCCGTTGTTGTGCTTTCGTCTTCCTTCATTGGATGTATTCCAAAAAAAACAAAACAAAAATTGTTCACGACCTAATGATCACTGTACCTTCAAATTGCTAAAGGTCAAAGGGCGCTACAAATACATCAATGGACCATCCAGAGTTTTCAAAAGGGCTTGAAAAGGAGAACCAATTAAGTCTCATCGAACGCTCATCTTTGAAGCCCCTGTATATCAGCACAATTTCCATTGACGGTGACAACAAAGCAAATCCCTTGTCTGATGCAGTGTACAAATCAGTTTTGGACCCTGTACTTTCACAGCCTTTGCAGACGCTAGATCAATCGCTGAAGAACTTTTCAGAGATCAAGAGGAAGCTTATTCACACCGGGCTATTCAGAGATGTCAAAGTATCATTGGACAAAGAGACGTCTGGATTGGGTTTGAAGAATCTGCCCGAGGAAGCCATTCGAGACTACAGTTTAGAGAGTCCGATTTCAACTGTAGCCAGAATCCAATTAACTCCAATGCAATTCAATAACATGAGTGTAACCTCCACCACAAGCGACTCGCTATCTGCTTTTGGAGGGCGCTATTCGTTCATCAACTCTCTAGGAAGGGCAGAAGTATTAACACTTCAAAGCGAACTCAAGTTTACTCCTTTCCAAGGAAAAGTGGACGAGAAAACCTTTGAAGCTAAACTGATGGCGCCCCTTCAGAAAAACCCTTCACTCAAAGCTGTAATTGACGCTAATTTCGCCAAAGTCGACCTACGCAACAAAAACTTTGTCGAACCTGAAAACAGAACTCAGCAAAATCAAGGATCCCTCCATATCGGTGTCCAAAAGCATTGGTTTAATAGCAAGATTAAGTCGACGCCTGTGCTTTACAACGGTCTGTCCATTGTGGCAAGAAATTTAAAGGATCCAAACTCTTCAGCAAACCTTGAATCACCTCTGACCAAGAACAGCATAGTGTCGCACTTTTTGTTTGATAACAGGAAATTTTTCGGGCTTTTCCCAGCTTCTGGGGTAAAATTCTCCGTAAACAACGAATATGTTATTTCTCAAGATTTGACAAAGCACACTAAGACCACGGGTGGCCGCGAAGAAAGCTTTGATAAGCTTGCGCTAGCTGTAGAAGCCCAACGTCCTTTTTTCAAGAATAAAGTGGTCAACTCACTGGATTTCGCATGCGGAGGTATTTTCCCCACAGCTGAGTCGTCTGGTCTAGTGCACCACATGGACAAGTTTTACCTGGGAGGTCTTGCGAGTCTTAAGGGATTTGAGAGGAATTCGGTTGGTCAATACGGCGGTAACTATTTCTACAAGCTGCGCGTGGCTTCATCTTTTAAGCTACCGAACACGCCAGCCGACTCACCTCTGAGACTTCAGTTCTTTTTGAACGGTGGTGACGTTTCAAATGGAATGTCGACAAAGAATCTCTCGTACGCCGCAAGCTCAGGTGTGTCCTTGCTCTATAAGAGCTCTTTGGCCAACATGGACTTGACTTATGCTCTTCCCATTACCAACAGGAGTCAAGACATCGCCAAACCCGGATTTTCTTTTGGGGTTTCTCTATCGGTCTACTGAATGCTCCTTAGTTTCATACACGCATGTGCTCTTTCGATCCATTGTAGGCATGTGCGTAGGTCCTTGCGTCCAGCTGCTGTCGAAGAGCAGCGTGCTTGAGTGAGAGGCCAGTATTGACGATTGTCGTTCACGATTTGTCTGGTCTTCTTGCCCAGTTCTCCGCCTAGAGCAACCGCTGTGATCCCAGTCTCAAGCACGGTGCGGCTAGCGTCATAGCAGCTAATTAAAGTATGCAATTCTGGCTCTTAAACACATATCCATACCGCGTCAGTATAGTACTAAATGACATATAAGATATTCTTGAATATATTCTACTCCCAACTGAATGTAGGGGCAGAAAGCAGGCTCTCGCCAGTCAGAATAGCCGCAATTAGTTTTTTGTATAGGCAGATAAGACGAGCGCTTTCGATCGTCCAAGAAATTCATAACTATCGATGATTTTGCGATATGGCCAGATTCACCAGCGTACATAATGACGCTTATCTTCGAAAATTCATTGACAATGGGGACTTTCAGCGGTTCGCTAAAGACTTTGATACCAAGACAGATCAAAACGGAGATGAGAAAAGGCAACAGGGGCTTCGTGAAGCTGCTAAAATATAGCTTTAGAGTACTAAAATGAGTTTGGAATAATATAGACAAGCTTTTTGCAAGCTGAATAGCTGCCACACTGCGGTTTTTTCTCGTTCTTGTTGTTTAGACTGACAAGCATCACTACCAGCTCCCAGCGACGCGTTCTTGACCCTAAGAGGTCTGAAAACATGGAGAATCTAAAATTGACCGGGCAGGTAAAACCTTGAGAGGAAACTCATAAATATCGTGAGCCGTTTTTCTTTTTGGATTTTGATAAATCGTGGTGGAGTTATGAAAGTCGCGCTGAAACGTACAACACAAAAGCGCTATCTGGGATCCTGAACTGAAGCCTGAACCATTACCAAGGACGCGGCTTTGATACACGCCACACATCGCCCTTGTGTATACGGAGTTTTAGCCGCCCATCTCAAGTTTCCGGACAAAGTTTGATTTTGTCCGAATCACGTGCCATTTACTGTGTGAAGAAGATAAACTCATATAAAGTAAGTGCGAGCGAGAGAGCATCTTCTCAACTCAAAAAAAGTTTGACCTTTATCAAGAAGACATTTCCCGTGCATTCGGGCTTTTCTCTAATTTGCAGAGGACAAACAAATGGGTTCCAACAAGCGTTTGCATAGGCAATCCCTGTCGGAAGCCATCTCGGTGTCTCTGGGACTACAATCGCAACCCGTTGGAGAATCTGGATTTCCGTCATTTTCTCGCGCAAATGCGTTTGCACACAGTCTAACAAATTCACCACGCCTGGGTCGCTCCTACCTAGGCGCTCTGTCGCCACCGGTAATGAAGGAACGGAACTCAAGCAACGACTTTCCGGCGTCATTCAAACCAGATCAAAACCAGTCGATCCACAAGTCTCAGAACCTACACCGGCAAACGGCAGCTCTTTCCAACGACTTCGACGGTGCGTTCGAGTTTGACGATCAAGCAGACCTGCTGCAAGACAGAAATGAGTCCAACAAGGCCAACGAGGAATCTGCAGCGGTTTTGGCTGGCTTGTCGCCAACAAACAGTGAATCTGAGACTCCTTATCCAAATGAAAGCCTGGACGTAACAGACCTTTTGCTTTCATCACACCCAAACCAGGACCTGGAATATGGCGCGGTTGATAGATCCGACGAACAGTACATATCGCTGCAGTCGCCTCGTGACTCCGATTTCCAGGACGTTTTGCTGGACCCAAACGCCTCCACTATGGATAAAGTTACTTTTACCTCGCGTAGGGTAGTCATGTACATCCCCTCCGTAATACTGGGACTGCTGCTTAATATCCTAGATGCCCTATCCTATGGTTTGATCATTTTCCCTATCACAGAACCCTTCTTTGCGCACATGGGTCCTGCCGGGTTATCCATGTTTTACGTTTCCTGCATTATTTCCCAAGTTACCTATTCAAGTGGTTTTTCGGCGTTTAGAAATGCTGTTGGAAGTGAAATGATTGAAATTACACCATTCTATCATGCTATGGCTGCGTCCATCTCCACTAGTTTATCCGACCAACAAGATCGCGCTATTCCCACTACTATCGTTTGCTATGCATTGAGTTCCGTCATGACTGGACTTCTCTTTTTCCTGCTTGGAAAAATGAGGTTGGGCAAAATTGTCGGCTTCTTCCCTCGTCACATCCTAATTGGATGTATCGGCGGTGTCGGCTATTTTCTAATTATTACTGGGCTAGAGGTTACGACCCGTGTCTCCAAGTTTGAGTACTCTTTTGGATTTTTATCAAGTCTTTTCACAGATTTTGCCACATTCGGTAAGTGGGCGTTGCCAACGGTAATGGCTGTTTCGCTCGTTGTGATCCAGCATGTCTTCGAAAATTCATTGGTTCTACCAACCTTTTACATCGCCGCTCTGGTAATTTTCCATTTCGTTGTCGCCTTGGTTCCAAGTTTGTCTTTAGATAGTTTGCGCGGATCTGGCTGGATTTTCCCACCCACAGACTCCACTGAACATTGGTATGGATTCTATCAGTACTACAACTTTCGGCTTGTGAGTTGGCCGCTGATTTTAAAACAAATTCCGACCATGTTAGCGTTGACCTTTTTCGGTATTTTGCACGTTCCAATCAATGTGCCTGCCCTTGCCATGTCTGTGGGAGTGGACAAATATGACGTCGATAAGGAACTGATTGCCCACGGCTATTCGAACTTCCTCTCTGGATTAGTAGGCTCAGTTCAAAACTATTTGGTTTACACTAACAGTGTCCTTTTTATTAGAGCCGGTGCGGATAGTGCCATGGCAGGGATGATGTTGGCTGCCGCTACTTTTGGGATCATGACTATGGGTCCAGTTATTATATCGTACATTCCAATTTGCATTGTTGGATCATTAATCTTCCTCCTGGGCTATGAACTTATGAAAGAGGCTCTTTACGATACTTGGGGGAAGTTGAACAAATTTGAATATGCCACCATAGTCATTATCGTGTTTACGATGGGTGCGTTTGATTTCGTCTTAGGTATCATTGTCGGTATTTTGATTGCATGCTTTTCGTTCTTGGTAGATAGCGCAAAATTACAAACAGTGAATGGGGAGTTCAATGGCCAAGTAGCGCGCAGTACTGTTCGTCGTGATTACATCCAAACACAGTTCTTGAACAAAATCGGAGAACAAATCCATATACTGAAACTGCAGAACATACTTTTCTTTGGGACCATCTTGTCGATTGAAGAAAAGATAGATAAGCTTTTGGAAATAAGCAATAACGATGCCTCAAAGCAAAGGATAAAGTATCTGATTCTTGACTTTAAGAATATAAATGCGGATAACATCGATTATTCTGCAGCTGAGGGTTTCAACCGGATAAAAAGATTTACGTCTACCAAGAGAATTAATTTAATCATTTCTTCTATCAAGACCACTGATGTGATTTACAATGCCTTCAACAAAGTCGGCCTGCTGGACGGGGTCGAATTATTTGGCGATCTCAATAGCGCTCTAGAATGGTGCGAAAATGAGCTGTTGGTTCAGTTTAAGGAACTGCGTGCAAGACCTCAGTTACATACCGAGAAGAAGAGGGAAAGGACAATGAATAAAGGGCTTTTGCCTCTTAACACTCCGCGGAACACTCAGTTCGTTTCAGTAGCTCAGAAGTTACTGACCGATGAACAATCCATCCCTCATTATAAGCAGAGTTATCGTGAGAAACAACCTGTGCTGCCGCTGCTGTTCTCGTCGCTGCAGAAATTCCGCCCACAAATGATGTCTTCTAACAACAAAGTCAAGGAGACGGAGGAAAAGCTATGGGCAGGTCTGGGCAAGTACTTTGTCAAGAGAAGGCTAGCAGCTCAAACTTTGCTTCCGCACAGAGACAACATCTTTTTTGTCATTGAAAGCGGAATGGTTAAAGTTACGTACAATCTACGCCAAGGTCAACTATACGAGATCATGTCAGGCAAGACCTGCTATGGACGAATGAGCACCCAAGGTTCAGGCGACGATTTAATTTCCTGTGTGGAAGTGACTATGGAAACCGACTGTACTTTGTGGATTATTGACGAAGGAAGTCTTGCAAAGCTCAAGAACGAGAATCCTAACTTATACACGGAGATCCTACTAGTCACTTTGTCCATCAACCAAGAACGCTTGAGAGAGCTTCTGGGCTATTGCTTGGTTAGCAGTTGAGAAACCTGTCCAGGCTTTGGTGTACACGTGTTAATTTTTCTACTTTCATACGCGCGATTCTGAGCTCATTCCTAAGACGAATATCATGCTTCTGATTTCTACTCATATTGTACTGCTCATTCTTTTTTTGCCAAGGAAATAAATAGAGAAAATTTATTTCAACGTCCCTCGACGGTCCAGTGAAAAATGATGAAGTGATTTTTTCGCTGCTCTCGACACCAAGCGATATAATTTGAGGTGGTTGTTGCAGTTCTTTGCAAGTGGTCCTGTGTTGCTGAAAAACGGAAAAGCTCGGGAAACATTTAGAGTCCCTCACTTATCCGCTTTAGAAAATCCGAGTATTCTCTCAAGCCAAAAAGGCGCGGGTGACCCAACATCTTGAAAGAGTTGAAAAGCACAGCCAAAGTGCTATGAAGCTTGAATAGCGAAAGCAAGTGTGAACGATACTCTAACGGGCACAAGCACAGGCTCAAACGCAGACACAAGTTACATGCGTGCCACCACTAATAATGAGGACTTGACGAGCTCAGAGCTGGAGCTTTCGTCGCTCTCTTCGTCGGACTCTTTCGAGCCCAAGGCGTTTGAAGGCAAGCCGGTTGAAATCAAGCGTCCCGCAATTAAGAAGGTCACATCGGCAGCATCGGCGGGCCCCCACAAAGACATGGCCTCGGTAAAGAGCAACGGGACTTTTGAACCAGAAGACTCGCAGGACGTAGAGAAAGTTGTTACACACAACGTTACTGAGGGACGTTCCGAGACTGTCGACTCGCTGAAAAAGGAAGGTTTGGATCTTCACAAAAAAGCGGCTCCTGATTTCATTAATCCAGACGCAGACCCAGAGAACTGCGAGTTTCCAGAGGAGTACAACCTCGAGACTGACACTGGTCTTGTGAAAGCGGTTACTTTACAACAGCTTAACAGACTAGACAGTCGAACGTCCGCACGCAGCAATGTTTCTCAGAAAAAGTCTTTGCGGTCATCGTTGGCTTCATTAGAACTTCCAGACTCTCATAGTCTCAAGAGTAATAACAACTCGGGCCTAGATGCAGAAAAGTTGCGCAGAGCGGTTGAGAAGAACCAGAAGCAGATAGATAAATACAAGAAACGCAGAAGTGCTCATGGACTCACGGGCATACTAGGTAAGCTATTTAAATGATCGCGACAGCGCCTAATATTAATAAAGTAATTGTGATTTTGCGTTCTCGTAAAGTCAATAACTCTTTATTTTTTGCATCTCGCTTTTAAGATTGTTTTGCGAAAAACGTTTCTAACACTTGCGCTGGAAAGGGGAACGTGAAGAGAAAGTCCTCTCAAATGTGTATTCTGCTAGCTTCTTCAGCTCATCCTAAATACTCCCTCATACTTATTTCTAACAGAGATGAGTTTTTTGAGCGAAAGACCCAGCACACCTGTTTACAAAAAGATCAGTCCATACTGTGCCCCTTAGACATGGCAGTCGGTAACGATGGGATTCCCAAGCGCGGAACTTGGTGCGGAATAAACAAGAATGGTAAAATAGCCTTTGTTCTAAACTTGCGGCATAACAGACCACAAGAAGCCAATCTTTGCAATCCGGGGTTTTCGCGAGGAAGTGTGCCTACACGATTCCTTGCCGACCCTGGTCCTTTCAGTGAATGGTGTACTTTCGATAAGTTTGCTTCAAAGTACCCTCCTATTAGGAATGGTAACCTCAATTTATTTATCGGAGATTGTAAAACCCAACAGTTTACTGCCATGGACTCATTTGGCCTAAGCCGCCCCGTTCTAGCACCCGAGGATCCCAACCTGGTCATTTCTAATGATTTTATCGACTCCACCACTAAGTGGCCCAAGATTGAAGTTGCTGAGAAGCTTTTGCACAACCTTATTCACGAATATCAAGATGCGGCCGAAGATGAACTTGTCACCAAATGTCTTGAGCTTGCGTCGCATTGCCAGTGTGAATCGCCGAAGGTTTTCGAAAGTGACCAGCTAACGAACAGTAATATCTTTGTCGCACCTGTAGAAATTCCTTGTGGCGCAAAGATCGGGGCTACACTTCCTTGCGGCACATATTATGGTACTCGGTCGCAGATTGTAGTCTTGGTCGCAAGAAAAGAGCCCATTGTGACGTTTGTTGAACAAGTTCTTCATGACGCGGACGAAGATGCAACCAAGTATTCTCCTAGTAATCCGAAAGAGAGAATTAACTTCAAGCTGACATTGGATTCGCCTTTTTAGACTTGCCAAAATATTCTCGGATGACGACCTCTGCATCTTTCCTTACAAAAGCGTGCTCCAGCGTTGGGGACACATCAATTTCGACTAGGTCAGGAGTACTGCGGCTTTCATAAAATTGAATTAAGTCTTGGCGTGCATCGGCACTAACCCAGTGATCATTAGCACTAAAAAGCCACCAAATCTTTATGTTTAGGTGCTTGCAATGTCGTAAAAACTCATCTTGGAACGACCAATCTGATCGTATTACCTGCATTTCTTCAGCTGCCAATCCCAATGCTTGTTTAACAAATCTTGAATTGGTGATCAAGAGTTTAGTCGCAGCGCCTATACATGAATTGACATCGCCAACCATGACTGAGATGATACGTAAAGTCAAAAAAGTAGGAAATAGCTTCTCAAAAAGAATCCACGAAATCGTGGACACTACTTCGTGAAAGCGCGGTATCAATAAGTTTGCTCGCACTAGTTTCAATCCCTTTTCACTTTTATGTATATCAATAACCGTAGGAGTGAGGAGGCCAAGTCTAGTCACCTTCCCCATTAATTTAGCTGCCATTGCTATCTTCTGAACCATAAAGGCGCCCACCGAGTGCCCCATGATAATGAGAGGTCTTGATTGCCATGTGTAGTTGTTAATGACTTTGATTTTGTGTGTGATTTGCTCTTGTAAGGAATAAACTGGGCATTCAATGGTATCGCAGGAATTCATGCCTGCGTGGGAGATGCCTAGCATCTCCCATTCCGGGTTCTTCTCATGTATTTGATTAAGAAAAGGCTCATAGTACTCTATCAGGCCTGGATTTCCAGGTATGAACACAAATAGGTGGACATTATCTTTATCAGACGATATGAGTGTAGAATCAAGATGATAAATCGTGCTCGGAAAACCTCCTAGCGTAGATTTTTCAACAACCATTGATGAATTGAGATCGTTTCTTCGAGCATCAAATTTCCGAAGGGGACACTTTTTTTCTTCTTAAAAGTCGATTTCAAGATCCTTTTTGTCACTAAAGGCTATCGTATCTATCTATTATTTACCTTATAGTTCCAACTGTTCTATACTATATGCTGCAATGATTCCTTCGTTTGAGGCAGAGACATCCGTCTGGTTTTGATTCGATATGTTTTTGATATTTTTGTCTTCTAGCAGGTTGAAAAGCTCCACGTTTTGTTTTACCACTTTCAACTGCTGCTCGATGTAATCTGAAAGTTTGGCTAGAGTTTCGTCCCCCAATGAAAACAATCCCACAGAATCTAAAACTAGGTTTAACAATTGAAACAAACGAGGTTTATTCTTGATTCTGTCCTCATCTATGTTATCGTTCATGACAAAACTAATGAAATTGTTAACATCGATTTTACTCTTGGTTTTTATTGTTTCTTTGATGATATCTTTGTTAAAATCCTGCAAGATCCGCAACGACAAGTCCAAACATAATTCGTCATTTAACACCGTGAAAAGTTCTTGCAGAAGCTCGTCTAAAGACAAATTGGGGCAAGTGACAATGGCTTGTTTGAAAAGCCTAGGGTGGTCCTTGAGCCTTTGCAAAATGTCTTGGGTGTGTGACTTGGGGAATAGAGGATGGGTTAGCAGATATGGTAGCGCCTTGGGATATTGCGAGTTGAAATTCTCAAAAATGGTAGAAGCGACGTTGCGCAGGAAATTCTGATCATTGATGAATCGATCTGATTCCGTGTAGTAGTCTTGCTTTATTCCCAATTTTGGGAAGAAGATGGAATCGAATTTGTCAACGTTTCCAGCTGCCTTTCTGAGTTGTTCGAGAATTTGATCATAGTCGTACTCATAATTTTCGACATCGCTATTTTCATCCAGGAGCGGTTGTAAATGCTTGCTTTTGGTATTTTGGGGCGAGAAGCCTTTACCCATAGAATCTTTGAGTGTGCCGGTTCCAACGTCAATGTTGACAATGTCCAGCGAGCTGGTGGGGTTGGCTCCATGTTTAGTTGAGACACCTATGGCAATTGTTTTGTTGTTGGCGGAAAAATTTCCTGGAACCACAGCTGTAGTCAACAACTGGAAAGTTTTGACGTGCGTTAATTCCCTGTGGCTCAAAATGGCGTTATGCAATAAGTCGAGTAAATACAATTGATTGTCACAAGTCAACAAAGCTCTGTTTTGTGAAATGGGCTTGAATGAGGTTTCTCCCTTCGACAAAAAGGGTAACGAGATAGTATGAGAATGCTGGAAATAAGGCAAAGTGTAAACGTCTATGCTTTTGCCATGCAAGCGGTAGATCTTTCCGAACTGGTAAAAAATTTCCGAGTTCTTGAGCTGAAAATCTTCGAGAATAACGGAGCTCAATTCCTTTGCGGGGACAGCTGCATCAGGCTGAGCTAATTCCAAGAGTTTGAAGGAAACTTTTTTACCTTGGATGTCACTTAGAATGAAAACGAAGTCTTGCTTAGATTCATTGGTGAAATGCTGCACGAATTGGACATTCTTGTATGACGAGTCAAAGGAATACTGAAGTTTTAGTGAGTAATCATAAAACTGGACCAGACCGCTTCGAAGCACTGTCACGATAGTTTTCTTGGCTCCAATTACCTTGACGCTCACGGGCTGGTCGGAGACGGCAATCTTGTTACTAGCATATGTTTCTCCGAAGTGGGAATCGGATGCTGGCGCCGAAGAAACAGGTTTTTGCAGACAATGTATTGAGAACGTCTTGTTAGCTTGTAGCGCGTAGCACCATACCTCATCATCTTCCAGCTGAGCCACGTCGCACGCATTTACCACATTAGTAGACGAAATGGGTAGATTGTACACAAGCTTCGGCGTGGGGTTTATCACATACTGTGAAATCGCAGATCCGGAAATACCCACATTGATGTAATTTGTCGAAGGCGTCAAAGTGTCGGCAACTTGCAGCAGATTCGCCTGAGATGCATAGTTATTGAGAGAGGCAATCTTAGGAAGAGCCGTGAGCCTGAATGGCTGCGAAATAGAGGGCATAGCAGCTAGAGGTCTTCAGTTAACAACCTATTCAGCTCATCGCATCTCATCTCATCGCTCTGAAATTCGAAAATTTTTCAATCTGAATGTTTAATTGCCGTCCATGGTGATATTTAAATATCAAAAATGCTACTAATTGTAATTCAAACTAAAGTCAAGCTTACGTGCTAGCGCAACCTTGAAGAGGCTCGTAGGATTGAGATTGACATAGATTATGAACGTGGACAAGTATGCTTCGAAACTAAAAAACTTGAAGAGGAAGAGGATCAACTTGACGGTAAAAAACCGGAAAGAGATGAACAAAGAGGAGAAACTTAATTCAATTAATAGAAAGCCGGCTGTATATAGCATGAATGAGGAACCAGAAGAAGGAGGTTCAGGTAGCGCCGACAAGAAGGAACACGAGGACCAAAAAACGAAATTGTTTGGCTACAGCATTCGCGACTACGAGCAGTGGCAGAATCGAGAAGATCGCAAAGTGAAGATGGACTCTAGTCAGTACCGAGATCTCGCCAAATCTACATATGACAAGGAAGTGCAGCGAATGGTGCAGAAGGAAAAGCATCATAATAGAATAGAAAAACAACGTTTTAAGGTTAACAGCCGGGGAAAGCTGGAGGTCAAAGATGATCCGAACTTAGTAAATGAACTAGCAGAATCTTTGAATCAAACTGCGAGCGAGAGATTCTTAAGAACCCGAAAAAAAATTGACCGCCAAACGACTAGTGAATCGTCCTCTGGTTTTGTAAACGTGAAAAACAAGCAGTTCAACGACAAATTAGACCGGCAAGCCAAGAAAGCGGGGCACCGGGATAGCGATTAGCTTTAGGCGTCCTCGCTGTCTAGTTCGTTCAACAGTTTCATACTATTTTCCAAATCTTGGACACACTGTCTGTGGTATACCAATTGAAAATTGTGGAACAGCTTCACCAAATTGATGATTTCAGAACTATCTGTGATCTCTCCCATAACTTCAACTGCTTCAGTCGTGTTGGAAACGAATTCATCCTCCAATTTTTCCAACAATTTCTGTGCTTCACTCTCGGTACTATCCAATGTTTTCTCTACCCCTGTCGCATCCTCATTCTCCACCTTGGAGGCGGTGTCTAAAGTTTCGTTGGTGCTGTCAGCGGCAGGCTCCAAACTCGATTTTTCGACAGCACTGGCTTGCTGTTCCGTGAACTTTACTTCGTAGCGCATAGTATCAAATTTAAGTCTGGAGTCTTCAACTTTTCTGCGCAGCGTACGAGCATTCTTGAACTTGTCGTCAACCAAATTCGTAAGTTTGTGATTAAATTCCTTAATCATTAAAGTGTCCATTTCACTCTTTCCTTGGTCCATTTTGTACTGACATTGTGACCAAGCTTCGAACATTTTAATTAGGGGAGAAACATCCTCGTCTTCTTCGTCATCGTCATCAACAGATGAATTCTTTTCTTCTTCTCTCAAAAACTTCAAAACTTCAGCGGAGTCCTTCGCGGCTTTTGAAATGGCTTGAGCAAAGGATTTGGGCACCAATGCATCACCGTCGGACGATTGAGTGGTTGTGGGGGGCTTTGTTTCCTTCTTGGACGACGCGAAGTTGAAGAGACCCTCCTTGTTTGAGGACCACCAGTCCGAAAGGCTTTCACTCAAATTGGGTGGGTAGTCATAGCCTTCGACTTCGAAAGTCTTGGTTACTATCAACATTCTTCTACAAACTTTTTCCAAAGAATCGCATTTCTTCTCAAGAAACAGATATTGAGGTGGCAGCTTACTGATGTCCTCAATGGCCCCTAAAGTCTCTTGAAGATAATGTTTTCTGGCCTTCAAGGATAGTTTCGCCTGAGGGTCATCTAATTGAATGTTAGCAATTGCGGTACTCAAGGTGTTTTGGGTTTTGTGAGCCGCATTGGTAATGGTGTCTGTGAATTTGTTCAACGAAAAGCTGCTGAAATAGCTGGACATTGTTAACTTTTGATGTTGCAAAGAGATAGTTGTGACACTGGATCCTTATTAGTCGAATTTTAGATGAACTCAAAACCGCTCGTACAATGAGACACACTTACAACCGGTCAACTTAAGCATCAGAATTATGTATACAGATGTTTAGACTTCGAAATAGTAGTACATTTTAATACCTGTTATTTGTTTTACAATGATAGGTTTGTTTTTAAAGTTTTGATTAATTTTACAAATTGTCAGCACTTATGGCATATACGCTCAAGCTCGACTCTGAGCTGGAGTGACGTACTTGATCTCATTTTCGGTGAAATATTCATATAAAGAATTGTCTTTGTTGGTATTAATTGATTGAGTGGACATCACAGCCGCATCAGAATTAGCTTCTGGAACGGCGGTTTCGGTCGAAGTGCTTTTAATTTGTGCGTTTCTTTCCCTTGCAGCTTCGGCACCGTCTAAAGCCTGTGCTCTGTTATGATTTTTTTGCTTCAAGTCGTCTTCTAAAGCTTTATCAACAAGCTGAGTTTTCTCTTGCTCTTGAATAGCTCTCTCGCCATGTAGTCTGGTATTTTCCCTCTCCTTCAATTCGCGCTGTTCGCGTTCTTGTTGCAGCGTAAGTTCCATGTCTGCGGCCTTCTTGCTTGCTTCGTCCAACTCAAGTTGATGCGCTTCTTTAGCTTCAAGAGCGGTTTTGCTAGCTTCGTCTAATTGGCGTTGATGATCTTGTTGCAGCAGCAACACCTTTTGGTCGTGTTCATCACGTTGCTTTTGTAGTCGCTCCTCTTCTTCGCGCTTGCGGGCTTCTTCCTCGAGTCTTAGCTTTTCTTTACGCTCCTCATTTTCTTCTTCTAAACGCTTAGTAACTGCGGCAAATTCGGTCTTTTGATTAGCGGTTTCTTGTTTGATGAAAGTCAAAGAGGTCAACAACTCTGAGGTTTGAGCATCAATTGCATTGATTTGAGGTAGGTATTCTTTGTTTTTGATGCTTTCCACCACTGCAACATTGGCTCCGTGCTGTTGATCATGAGAATCCGCTTCGGCGACAAGTTCTTCTTTGCGCTGGTTCAAAGCCGCAATAGATTCTTCAACTTCTGTTTGTTTGGCGTTGAGTTCTTGAATTGCAGCAAGTTTCGAGTCCAAATCGGCGGTTAATCCATCCACACGAGTTTGATGTTCCTGGTAATCCGCATCAAGTTCGGCTTTTTCGTTTTGCAATTCCTCGATTTCGGCCTTGACCTGTTCTTGATTTCCCTCCACGGTTTCTTTTTCTTGCAATTTGGCTCCCTTAATGTTTTCAGTTTCTTTGAAAATGGCATTTTTCTCGACACTGTGCTTGGCATTAGAGTCAATCATCTTAGAGGTTAATTCGGTCTCGCTTACTTTGATCTTTTCAGCGGTGTCCTTCCTGAGTTGTTCCATGGTGGCCTCGATTTCGGTAATTTGGGCCTTCAAAGAGGTTAAATTATCTTGATACTCTTGGGCCTTGGCATCGTATTTGGCGGTGTTTTCCTTAGTATATTCGTCCATTTCTTGCTTGTGTACCGCTTCTTCATATTCCAAAGTATCGTAAAGTGCTTTGGACATGTACCCTTTGTCGAATTTCACAATGAACTCAGGATCATCTGGGGAGGCCACTGGTTGGCCACGCTTGTCAGAACGAGTCCATAGTGCAAAAATACCGGTAGCAAATGGAACACGGGGCGCTTCTTTGATGTCTTTGGGTTTGACGAGTCCAGCAGCATCGGTGTTGTCGCTAGCCAAATTCTCAAGGTCAGCTGGAGCAGCAGCCGCTGCGGATTCAGCCGATACCGAAGGCGCTTTGGAGAGGGCTACAGCGGACTCGGATGCAATAGGCTCGGCGGTAGTGGGCTCGGCGGCCACGTCAAGAGGGGCTACGGCAGTGGTTTCAGAAATCTCGAGAGGTTCTGGAGGGGGAACGGTAGAAGTGTTTGGATCCACGATGGGTTCTTTGGCGGGCATAGCGCCGACGAGTTCCTGGTCATTTACAACGGGGTCCTCAAGGGACTTTTCGACGGGCTTTTGATGTGATCCCTCGACAGGCTCTTCACGGGAAGTTTCGGCAGGTTCTTCAAGTGAATTTTCAGCAGGCTCGTCAAAGGACTTTTCAGCAGGCTGTTCGAGTGATTTTTCGACAGGTTCTCCAAGGGGTTCTTCAATAGGTTCTTCAAGGGGTTCTTCAAGAGATTTTTCAACGGGCTCTTCTAGGGATTCGTCAACAGGCCCCTCGATGGCTTTTTCCTCTACGACTTTGCCCTCAGCAGGCTCTTCGGCAGGCTCTTTTCCAAGCACCACGTCTTCACGGACATTGACAATCCTCTGGGAGTCCTTTTTGTACTGCAACGAGTCCTCCTTGCGTTCGAGCTTGTCAAGCTTGCGACGCTGGCGCTCGTCGTTGCCTTGCAAGTAGCGTGGCACCGCAATGTCCTTGGCGCGCTTGCGCGCGGCGTCGATCACTTTGTACCCGAGGTCCGGTCCCGTGACCCCGGGTCCCGACGCCATAACGGTGGGGAACTTTTGGGTCTTGCGCTTCTGCGCTGCGGCCAGCTGCTGAGAATCGCGAAACGGAGAGCTGTACTTGTGAGCGGCGACGGTGGAGTTATCCTGGGTGGACTTGTCGGAGGTAGACACGACTTTTTGCAGAAAACCCTTCTCCACGGGCTGAGGTTTATCACCTTTCAGCAACTCTTCAAACGGATCGTGCTTTTTCTTGAACATGTTGGGGGGGAGTGGCAGTGGGTGATTGATTGAGGGTGTGACTGAGTGAGTCTCTGGCAGTTACAGGTGTGTTTTTCAGTCAAGTCGATCCAATTCGTGTTCAGGGGTAGTAGCGGTATCTGGCAATTGAGCTTTTTCCCTTATTATATATATACGGGTGTGTGCATAATATATACCCACTATCTTTTTTTTTATTGCTAGCGAGAAGCGTAAACTATTCCCAAAGGGCACGGGTTACCCGGCCGATGACGAAAACAGCCGCCTATCAGCGAGAGAGCAGATGGGAGTGAGAGTGCGAGTGAACGTGGGCGTGGTGGCGCTGAAGGAGGAGGAGGAGAGGAGAGGTAAAGGCGTATGCTGGGGTGAGGAGACGACACAAGGGAGCGCGAGAGAAACAATGACGTATATACTGATACCAAGACCATAGTCCGGACGGAGCCGTACGAAGCGACCGTGCTTAAATCCCAAGCGTAGGCTCCGGCTTGCTGGGATGGTGTGTGTTGCGGGTTGATCGCTGGGTATCGAGTGCGGAGTGGAGGGTGTTGGGCTTCGAGCGCTGTGGGTAGAGCGGTGCGTTTCGAGCGCTTTGGGGGTTTTTGTTTACAATTTACAGTTTACGTTCTGTGCATGCGGCATCGAACTCGATGACGTGGCGGAAGAAAAACTTTGCAGGGAATGGGAACGTAGCACCGTTGAACAATACGAGAGAGGAGAGTAATTGAGCAGTACGAGCCTCAGCGAGTAGTGTGAAGAGTGAGGGAGAGGAGAGTGAGGGAGAGGAGAGTGATGCAATGGAAGAATACGAAAGCGTGAGGGAGGAGAGTACGAGCCTCAGAGAACAGGCTCAGCGATTGAAAGTGGCACTGTGTAATGTACGTTTGTAGAGCAAGACCGTAGCACTGCTGAACCGCGCTCTGCGAGCATTGGCCACTAACCATAAATAACAAGACTGTATCACAACAATCAACAGGACTGCAACTACAAACTTTCGTAGCAGACCCTAGTCACTACTACTTCTCACTCGCAGTACCTGTACACCCAATTCTCCTCAACATTGCAGCGTCCATTGCGCTCACGCTTGCCAAAGCCGCCGATAACCGAGACGAGACTATCCAGAAAACAGGTACCCCTACGAGTCCCCTACGAGTCCCCTACGAGTTCCGTACAAGGAGCTCTCTCTTGGCACTCTCCACGGCTTCCCCCCCCACCACCGCCGCGGTTACCCGCCCGACCACCCCTTTTGTGGTTTCTTTTCTCGTCTCCTTCTAATTTTTTTTATTTTTTTTATTTTTTTTATTTTTTTTTTTAATTTTGCTCTCTGTTTACGTTTCCCTGTCTTTCCCGAAACGGAGTTCTTAGCTTCCGGCCCGACCAATTGCTACCGGCAGCGACCTTATAAATACAGCTTGCTGCCATCGCTCTGGGGACTTTAGTCGAGTCCCCCTTAGGAATATTAAAAGAAGGTTTCTTGAAAGCAAGCCTCCTACTTCTCCAGCAGAACCAAAAGCTATCCAAGACTCGTTTCCTCGAACGCTTCGCACCTGCCCCGTCCCACCACACTCGCCCATCCACATGCTCTCCATTCTAGACAACTCGCTCCGCGTGACCAACCTGGTGTTCCTCACCATCGTGCTGGGTCTCACCGCCTCGCTGGCCGCCACCAGCAACACCAACAACCCGCAGGTCAACTTCGCCGTCTTCACCGCCGCCTTCGGTCTGCTGTTCGACACCCTGTACGCCATCCCCGCGAACTTCTTGTCCGCCATGGCCTGGCCCATCCTCATCGCAGTGCTCGACTTCTTGAACTTTGTGTTCACTTTCGCCGCTGCCACCGCGCTTGCCGTCGCCATCAGAACCCACTCCTGCACCAACACCGACTACCTTGACAGCAACAACGTCACCCAGGGCTCCACTGACCGTTGTCGCAAAGCCCAGGCCTCCGTTGCCTTTTTGTACTTTGCCTTCTTTGTCTTCCTTGCCAAGCTCGGCTTGTCGTTGACAAACGTGTTCTCTGCCGGTGCCTTCGGCGGCGCTTCCCGCAGAACCAACGTCGGAGTTCCAACCATCTCCCAGGTCTAAATGCCCAGCAGCTCGCACTAGCGGCCAGGAAGGGTGGAAAACCCAATGGAAGAAGAAACAAAAGAAGAATTCACCCTTCCCGCTTTTTCCAACTTCAAAACTCGAAGAACCCTACCAATTTTCCCTCTAATAATACTACTGTTCCAAACACTGTAACATTAAAATTCTACCAACAATTCGATTTCCTATTTTACTCACTACTTTTCTTGCCGCAACGTTGAAAGCGTAATTCAGCCAAGAATAGATGCACATCTCCTATCGCCAACACAAACCGAATTATAAAATTTCCCCTTCCTCCCCTTTTACTAGAAAAATCAAGACCCAAAAAAAAAAATACCTTCAAAAAAAATCAAATAAACTGAAATTTAATCGGATGCTAAAAGTTCGAACTTGACGACGCTTCACATCGCACGAATATTTCCAGTTATCAAAGTTCGATTTTTCTTATCTTTCTCTTCTGTCACCCTTTGCCATCCCAGCATTATGTTATACCCTTTCGTTCTTAAATAGTCACTAGAAATTGGAATTTTAAACACAATAATCCGGAAAGAAATCTCAAGTTCATTCTTCGTTTTCTTTCCGCACGCCACTACCACCTACTAATTTCTCAATTAATATATATTCAAAGACTACAATCACTTCTTCTCCTCAAAAACATATATTGATAGTGTGTATATACAAGCTTACTCTCTTGGCACAACGTCAAGCACATCATGGCATGCGTCTTCGAATGTTAATAACTGCATGGAAAGCGGCTGAAAAATTAAATTTCATTCATTTCCTCAGCGGCCTAGGTTCAAAAGCAACGAGTTGGGATTTTGAGACTCTCCAGAACTGTGGCCGCCGGGCAAGTATGTCACATTAGAAGAGTTTGCCAACGTTTTGGCAATTTCTTTCGATGCCTCGATTCTTCTGATCAACAGTAGCCCATCACCGGCTTTCGCCAACGCTTTTGAAATGTAGTCTGCAGACTCTGCTTCACCTTCAGCACGGATAACAGAGGCTTGTCTTTCTTGTTCGGCCAACTCGACCACAAACCGGGCTCTTTCAGCGTCTTGTTGGGCGATTTGTTTCTGTTCCACGGCTTTAGTAAACTCAGGGCCAAAAGTCATATGCGTTATCGAAACGTCCTCGAGTCTGATGTTGAACTCTGACGCTCTTAGCGACAATTCCTGACGAATACGTTGCGAAACCGTTTCTCTTTGAGTGATCAATTCTGCAGCGTCAAATTGAGCAACAATGGATTTTAGCACTTCGTTACCGATCGAAGGCAATACCCTTTCGTCGTAATCAAGCCCTAGGTTTTGGTAAATTATGGGTAGATGCATAACATCGGGCCTGTGCAAGACACGCAACGTCAAAGAAACCATTTGTAAGTCCTTAGTTCCGGTGTTGGTGGCGATATTCCTGGGTTTCGATCTCACGTCGTAAAGCACCGCTTTTTGTAACCACGGAATCAAGAAATGAGTCCCTTCACCAACCACTTGTTGTTGAACACCGCTCAATCTGTCAAAGATAACTGCTCTGGAACCACCTTTCACATCGTACATCGAGTATTGTAAGGCGGAGGCAGTAAGCCCCAAAGGTATGGCAATCTTAGCCAAAGAGTCTGCCAGTCTAGACATTTTGCAACTGACTCACTGGGTAATTTGAATTGACCGATATTTTCTTAGCTGTTCTCGTTGAAGGTGGCAATCTTTTGAGATGATTTTTGGACCTCCTTGCTAATGTCCTCGTGTCGTGTCGTGACACATGATATCGGGATATCATTGACTACATCCATTATACAAAGGCATTAACAGGTAGTTTACAATAAGAATACGAAGCAATTGTTCGTATTCGTCTACTAATCAATTAATTAATTGAATTGAATGGTCGAATGGAGTTCGTGGTTTCAACATCTTGCAGCAATTTGTGAAATTGGAAATTTAAGTGCTAGCAATTTGAAATTAAGACAAGGCTGTGGCATAGATAGTAAGAAAGGCATGAGCTATCAGACAGACTTGAAGGTACGTGGGCCACTGAATAGTTCATTCGATACTTGTAAGGCTGAAGATTTGCCAAGTCATCTTTTCTCAAAGTGACGCCACGAGACCGAAAGCATCTGTAAAGAATATTGTCGAACTCAAGAATATTGAGCAGTCATCGGGGAACTGCTCTCATTGGGGAAATGGCAGTAATGAATTCAAAAACAATAGTCTTGAATCTTTGGTTACTGCAATTCTTGAAAATGTTGTGTGTATTGTGAGAATATTTGAAAACCTGCTTAACAAAACAGTCGCAATCAAGATCCACGTTTAGTTCAACAAAAAGTAGTAGGTGAGAAGAGCTTCTAAGACATCTCGGCAAACGTACCAATATGTCAACTCTGCTATGCAATCACATGAATTTCGGACGGAATTGGAACGGTACTGTTGTCCATCACCACAGCGTCTTAAATGCGATCTAGGAGTTGACAATATCCACCATTGCTTGCTTAAAGGCTGCTCCACAAGCCATTTATTTGAGCTCAGTTTTACTCCGCTTATACGAATTTCCTACTTTACCTCATCTCATGTCATCTCGTCATTCCATTTGATGCACATATACCATTTACTTAAAACAAACTGATGTCATCAAGGTTAGTCAAGGAATACAAACTGATTTTCAAAACCTTGAGCCAAGATCCTACGTATTCGCATATTTTATCGCTTAGTCCCAGCTCAGACGAGAACCTACGCCAATGGGAATCGGTAATTAGTGGACCGCCCGAAACCGCCTATTATGGGCACAATTTTATTCTTTTATTTGAAGTGCCATCCAATTATCCATTGGAACCACCTAAAGTCCAATTCCAGGCCAACGCAGTACCCCACTGCAACGTGGATTATGATTCTGGCCGAATTTGTTTGAATATACTGGAGGATGCACACTGGACCCCGGCTTGGGATTTATTACACTGCGTGCATGCAATTTGGCTTCTGCTCGCCAACCCAGAGCCAGATTCGCCACTGGACGTTGACTTGGCGTGTTTGATTCGCGCAAAGGATTTTTCAGCTCACAATACGCTCGTGGCTTACTACCTGAACGGCGGATCACGAGGCTCTAAATAGAAAGATGTCGATGTGAGAAATCCATAATAGAGATTTATTCAACCCATTGATTGCCAAAAAAAACCATCAACATGGCTAGAAAGGTAGCTTGGAAAGAAGTCGGACCTGATGCAGGCATCTCGATACTATCGCCTGCTTATGTTACGTCAGGATCCGAAAATGTGGTTTTCACATCTGGATGTGTTGGCGTTGATGCCATCTCTCAAGAACTACCAGAAGATTTAGAGCTACAGACGAGAAATGCTTTACAGAACTTAAGCAACGTGCTGAAGGCCAGCGGATCCTCTTTAGACCAAGTCGTTAAAGTACTGCTTTTTGTAGCAGACGGCTCGTACGCTTCGGTTGTTAACAGGATATACCAGGAGTATTTTCCAAACAGTCCCGCCAGGTCGTGCATTGTAGTGAGTTTCCCTAACCCTAAATTAAAAGTAGAATTGGAGTGCGTCGCCGCGGCAAGGAAGAAAAGGTGGTTCAAGTTGTAATAAGGTAGATAGTGCACGCGGTTGGTGTTTTGGCCGGCTTCTTGTTTCCCAATTCTTTAAAAAATTTCCTAATTCCTTTATACAGACCTGCTATATATGTTTATGACTCCGCAATCGCCCTACAATGATCCAGCCAGAAAGTAAATGTTTGGTCTGAAGTGTTACTGGCCTTTACCCTCTATCCTTTTCCCGCAGATAGCTGATAAACTGATCCACCTGTTTAGAAAGTTTCTTGTCGGCAGTGATCCGATCAGTAGATTTGGATCTTTTACGGGCAGGTGAGAGTCGTGGTTGCAATTGCAAGGTATTCGGCGATGGCGCGGATGATTTTGTAGTGGCGATTGTGCTCCCATTTGCAATGCCAGTTTGAATCTCTGGTGCGACGGGTATGGGCGGCACATCAAACGGCCTGAGTTTGTTCACCACGGTTCGCGGCACCGCTATCCACTCCGAATGGTATTCCATGGCCATGCTGCTGCTGGACCAAAGATTGAAAGGCAGCAGTTTAGAGGGTATGCGCGGGTTATAACGCCAGGTGCCATTGACGCCGCCGGAACCAATGCCGCCGTTGCCATGTGGCCCGGCCATCGCGTTGTGTTCGATATTTCCACGAGCTGAGCGCTCCATCTCGCTGGAATCGTTTCGAAGCCGTTTGGGATGTTGTTTCCAGCCTGCCTCTTTGAAAAGCGGGTTCTCTCGCACAGGATAACCCACAGGCCGGTACCCACTGTACAAAATGTCCCGCGTCAGTTCTGCGGGTTCCAAATACTGCGTTGTGGGCACTTTGGGCAAGGTTCTGAAGATCTCAGAGCTTTTCCGTTTTAGCATCTTAGAGGCCTCTAGCGAGAACTGTCGTTTCTGTGCCATGGTCGATGAGTATAGGCGCTTTCTCGTGTTGTTTTATGGGGCGAAAAACGATGCAAGCGAAAACCGAATGTCAATCGATAGCTTTAGTGGCTACGCTTCCTTGTTCAGTTATCTTAAGCACTTGAGATGTTAATACACTGAGTAATGGATTGATTGCACCTGTCAAATTCGTTAATTTCACATATCTAATGTGAGCTTAATGCTCGTACCCCCCTTATCGGTAATATCGGTAATACCGGTAGTCTGAGCACATTTCCTAAAACGTAACTTTATCTGATACGGGTAAAGAGGCCAAAAGAGGAAACGTGATCCAAGATAGGGAAATTTCCAGATGGGAAGAATCAATGCTTTTTACTTCTTTGGGAAGTTAGCTACTTTAGGAAAGGGACGTTCCTGAAAGAGAAATCGAAGATCTAGTTCCCGAAGAAGAAGAAAATGTCCCCAAGACGGCAGATTAAATAAATAAAAAATAGGATTTCCTAAAGGAGCAGTGATCTCGAGTCACATGAAAAACACACCATAGTCACATGATCGACTTCAATATTAAACATTGGTAGCTTTCACCGCTTATTCGAAAGATATCACCAATTCTTCAACCTTCATATCCCTATCTACACAGAGACCTTTACGATCACGGCTATTGTAGTTTCTGTTGGATATGACGAGTCCGGCGAAAGAACCACGTTCTGAAGATGTAGTTATGGGTGATGCGGAAGACGATGAGTTGGACCATGAAGGCGAAGGCGAAGGTGAAGGTGAAGGCGAAGGTGAAGTTGAAGGTGAAAATGAAGGTGAAGGTGAAGGTGAAGGTGAAGGTGAAGGTGAAGGTGATTTCTCCACGGCAGACCAGACTCCGCTTTCGATGACCCCAGCTCCAAGCGCTGGAAATGCGGCTAATGCTTCCAAAGTCAGGAAGCCGGAACACCCACAGAACAAACAACAACTGACCAAGGTGCCCATGCATCTTTTGGAAAAACGTCGTCTGGGTCGTCTCAAGGCCGCAGAACAGTACGCGCAAAAGATGAAAACTATCGGAATCGAAAGAAGAGATAACCCTCTGCTTCACCAAAACGGTCTTTTCCGAGCCTTGTCGTTAATCAACCAGAAAAACTACTCGTCCGATTACCTGAAGCGCGATGACCAGATCTTCGCCATGCGCGAACGCAAGTCTCTCAGAAATGCAACAGCTTCTCAAAACAATCCAGATCTCGCGGCCGATGATGATGATCAAGAGAGCGTGGACGAAGAAAGCGAGACCAATACCATTGTCATCCATCCAGGTTCCAGGTTTCTCAAGATTGGGTTTGCAAGCGACGTCCTTCCGCAGTCCATTCCCAGTTGTATCGCCGTGCCCAAAGCATCCACCATCAATGGCAAGGAAAACGAAACTGAGGAATCTGATTCATCTGACCAGCAGGCCTACGAGGAGGTCAAAGAAACTATTCAACAAGATTTCAAAGAAAGAATGCGGTTTTACAAGCGGAAGGTGATGCCCAATTCTCACGAAGCGGTGGTGAACTTCAATTCACGGGTTCAACCTGAGAAAATACCAGAGCATAACGACCTTCATCGTGTGGATTGGATTCAAAACCCAACAAAAGTTTTTTATGGCGAAGAGGCTACTCGTTGTCTACCTTCACAATTTACGGTGAGAAATCCGTTCTGGAAAGGTAGATTTAACGTTGAATCTCCCAGTTACTGCTCGATCGAAGAACTTCTGTCCGATGTATGTGAGCTCTTGAAGTTTTCCTTGTCCCATGCCAAAATAAATATCAAACCTGCTCAAATACCTAACTTCAAGATTGTCGTAGTGGTACCAGACGCATACGACAAGACCTACGTCGAGAAGATGATCAGACTTTTGCTTATCGATTTGAAATTTCAAGCAGTGGCCATTATACAAGAATCACTTGCGTCTTGCTATGGCGCAGGACTAGGTGATTCAACTTGTGTCGTTGACATTGGAGCTACTACTACAAAGATTGCTTGCGTAGATGAAGGACTAGTTGTCGATAACAGTGTCATATCGCTTGACTACGGCGGAGATGATGTAACTCGGTTGTTTGCCAAATTTCTCCTTGAATCCAAATTTCCGTATACTGACCTCGATTTGAGCAGTCCTCAGGGCTGGAGCTTGATTGAGAACCTCAAAGAGAAATATACAACGTTCCAAGATGCCGACGTGACCATCCAGCTTTACAATTTTATCAAAAGAATACCAGGGAAACCTGGTGCTGAGAAATTCGAATTCAAAGTATTTGACGAAGTAATGACCGCTCCTATGGGGCTTTTTTTCCCTCACATTTTTCCTCTTATCAAAACGCACAGGACAGAAGAGGTCAACGAATATGTTACGAAACAGATGCCTCGGTCGAAGGACCTTTTCACTTCCAAAGACAACAATCCTAAATCAATAAGTCAGTTCTCGTGTCAAAAAGAGACCACATATTGTGATATGACTCGAGACTTGGATGTCTTACAAAAACTCCTCAATTTGCCTTCCGAAATTGAAGAGTATCAATCGGCTAGTACAGTCAATTTGGAACCCACTTTCACGGCGTTGGAGAAAGCTATTGTAGAAAGCATCACAAACGCATGTGCTAGTCTTGATAATAACCACACAAAGGCAACAAACTTTTATTCCAATATACTGGTGGTGGGCGGTAGTTCGAAATTTCCAAGCTTAGACTTCATACTAACGGATAGAATCAACATATGGAGACCTCGTTTACTCAGCGTAAACACATTACCCACATTTCATGAAAAAATCGTCAAGCAAGTAAAAGAGTTCGAGCAGACTAATAAGCTTGCTGATATCAAAGACCCAGAAGAGCTAGCTACACAAAAGAAGAAACTTGCTAAGACAATCAAATTGGAGCTCCAATCCTACTGGGAAGGAGTTGATGCACTGGGAGGTAACGAGAGTGTGTTTCCAATAAATGTCCTACCTGCTCCTCGCGAAATGGATCCTGCCTTACTGACATGGAAAGGTGGTAGTGTCTTCGCGCGGCTCAAACTCATCGAGGAGCTATACGTCACAAACAGTGACTGGGACGTGCTTGGTAGTAGAATACTACAATATAAATGCATTTTTGATTATTGATACATATAGCTTACCGTCTTTGCAACTGTGATAGAGTGAATGACATTCATATTAATCATTGAAGGAAAATTTTGTCCAACCTTGCTTATAAGAAGAATGTGCTAGACAAATCTTTGGCACAAATAAAGTCGTCCACTAAAATCTTAGGATACGAATTTGAAGCTTGATGATAAGTGATGGGCAGACCATGAAAGATAGAATAAAATGTATAATACAACGCATGCCTCATTCTTTCAAAATATGTTTTGTACTTCAAAACTTCGTTTTTTTAGAAGATTGCTCTTTCGGGTCATAATTGAGCAGTGAAAACAATCTCGAGGAACTACCTGTAGTCTCATCGCGACGGGCAGCATTCAAATCTTGGTCCCCAGCCGAAGGACTAGGGGGACGAGTCTTTTCAAGTCTCTCCTGATCACACGCATCTCCTTCATGTGAGTTTAAGGGCGAAGGACCTCTTTGGGTAGGGTTAGGACGCGGTGTAATTTGCTGCGGAGCTTTGTTGTGGTGTGGCATGCAACTTTGAATTGACATCTGTTGTTGCTGTGAGGACTGCCCACCTGATGGCGAAGTTGGGCCTGCTCCCGGCACAGTCCCATAAGGAAAATAAGGTTTATACGCCATGGCATTAACCGGAGTTCCGGTTGGCGTCTTGGCACTTGCTTTGGCAGGAAGATAGCTTTTTGGCATCTCAGCGATTGAAGGTGACAAAGGCCTTCTTTCAGTTCCTCTAGCGTCATGACTAGCATCTGGATTCGATGTTGGTAACATTTTAACATGATTTTTGGGATTGCTCCCGTAACTGATAGGCTGTGGACTAGCCATTGGGTGACCCATGTAAAAATGCTGCTGCTGCTGTGATTGTGATTGTTGTTGTGATTGTTGTTGTGATTGTGATTGTTGTTGTTGCTGCTGCTGCTGAGGCGGCTGTTGTTGTTGTTGTTGTTGTTGTTGTAGTTGAAGATGTTGCAGATGTTGTTGTTGCAGATGTTGTTGCTGTTGTATAGGATTTGGCGAGACACTTGTCGACACCGCGGACACGCCATGGCTCATTGGGGCGGGAGCGAGCGGATCCATTAAGACGCTCATATGCCTGTTCTTGCTTGAGGAGGTGGAGCCCTTCTTTTCAAACGGATTCATCATAAGGTATGGTGCTGAAGCGCCCGCTGATTTGGTGTTGGTGATTCCAAAATATTCGTTAGGGAGCCCTGCTGTACCTGCGGGAGCAAATGGTGTTGGATAGTACATATGTTGAGAAGCTTGTGGCATTGAAGCTTGCTGCGAGTTGGTCAACTGAGACAAAGCCGGCGAGGAAACAGAGTTTTGATTTGGGAGAGGGTTACTACGACTTTGATAGTAAGCAGAGTAGGGATTAATGCTTGAATAATCCGCAGCATTCTGAAAAGACCTTGGATTTTGCTGCATTGCCACTGATCGTTGTAGTCTGTACATCGTAGAATTTTTCAATCTCGTTATTTCGCCCACTAAATGCTCAAGGTTTTGTTGCTGAGCAGAGGCGTTCCGAGGTGAAAAGCCAGCTTCATTAGTGCTAACTTGACTAGACGTTGGAGTAGTTGATCTCTTGATATCTTCTGCTTTGCCCTGGTTGTTATAAGACAAGTGGGGCGACAACGAAACTAGGTTGTGAATCAGATCTAATATTTTAATCATATCCATATTATTATTACGAAGATCGTCAACTGCTGATTCGTAGCAGTTTTGAGCTGCGAAATTCTCAGGCCTGATCACCTGTGAAGCAGCACCTTGCGAAACTTCACTCATTTTATTATTTATTGGCGGTCGCTGTTGCGACTGCTGGATGTGCGATTGCTGCGGATTTTGAATTGATTGTTGTTGTTGTTGTTGTTGTTGTGATGGTATCTGCTGCTGAAAGTGAAACTGGGATTGTATTGGTTTATAGGCCTGTTGCTGCTGCTGCTGCTGCTGCTGCTGTGGTGGTGGTGGTGGTGGTGGTGGTTGTTGTTGTTGCTGCTGCGGATAATGAGGCGGTACGGCCCCAAAATAATCGACAGGAGGATATATCAAATTTGTTGTGCCCGGCGCAGAGGATGGAAGTGGAGCTTGGGGCATTGGGGGATAGGGATATGCATGCGTAGTATCGACAAAAGATCCTGATCTGCGTGGACCATAATGGGATTCTGGCCATTGATCGGATGACGATGGCGTGTTAATCAACGGCGTGGAGGCTGTGCTATTGGAGTTTTTGCGTATAGAGGCCTGGTAGCGTGATGACCTGCGTTTGATGAGTTTGAGACCCTCTACGTCGCCTCGACGAAATGCAGAAGAGCTATGTTTGAATTCCCAAATGTTGTTCGCGGAATGAGTGGAAGAGTCGGCGTGCGAGTCAGGACTCACACTGTTCCGCTTGGAAGCATTTGAGCCGCTGGCCGAGGCCTCGATCTTGGCTTTGGCTTGCTGCTGACCCTTGTGATCGTTGACCTTGTGGAAGCCATACATGTTGAGCTGCCGCACAAAGCTGGCGACGTTTGCATGTTTGAAGTACGACGACAGTGCCTTGCTGAAGCGTTCTGTAGGACACATCAGGAACGATGTTTGCGATGGGGCCCACCAGATCAGGTCCTGCATTGCGGTGTCCTCCAGCATGCTACACAGCTTGTGAATGAAAGCCGTGTTGGCCCCACTGCCGGCCCCACTGCTGCCACTGCTGGTGCTGGCCACGCCCGTGCTGCCACCCACACTGCTCTTCTCTTCACCCTCCTCGCCAGTCTCCTGGCCTGGAGCCGACGATCGTCTTCTCCTCAGCTTGTCTCGCGCTCCTGGATTTAAAGGCTTTCCAACGCCCATTGCTTGATTAATAGCCCTAGTACGCTCTCTGTTTGTTTTGCTTCAACCAATTGTATCCCGCTCCTAGACTGCTCAATACTTTATTATTCCACTACTGGTGCCGGCCTCGCTTTTGGTGCTGCTACTGTTCTTGTTTTTGTCTTAGTAGCTTTGTCTACTTCGTCCCTATTCAAATTTTTTCGACTGTTGTAAATCCATCGCCACAACAAACCGATCATTGTCTGAATTATTATCCCATCCATAATCGTCAAATTCCTGCTAAGACTGCCCCTAAAAGGTAAAATGCGCAAGGAAATCCTCAGCATATTCTCTCAGAGCCGACATGCTGCTCTTGGTGAATTGCAGATCAGTGGTGCGCTACAGTGTGAGTGGAGATCGTAGCTTTATGAACAGTTTGAGTATACTTTGCGTAAACGTACGGTACGTGGAGCGTTTTTACAGCAGCGCGCGCGATATGCTGTAAACACTTCGTGCAGTATGTGAGTGGAATTAGAACAATGGTCGTGGCTGTGAGGGTTTTTTTATGGTTCTTTTCTTTTGTTGTTGTTTTTTGGTTTGTTTGGGATTTTTTTTTTCATTATTTTTTTTATTTTTTTTTCCGACAAACAAAATTAGAGGCACGTGAAATTTGGACAGCGTCATCGTATACGGATATTTGTGTTGCTGTCACGTGGAGAGCTCGGCGATGTGGGATAAAGAGAGACAGTGTGCGGACACCAAGTGCGTGGTGGTGGTGGTGGTGGTTTGTACGTGGGACTATGTTGGATTGAAGTGTTGATTGGTGGTGGCTTGAGCTTGGGCTGCTGTGGTTGGCCTTGGTTGGATGCAGATCGTCATGCTTGCCAATTGCGAGTCTAAATTCAAATGCTCCCGAGAGTTTTCGGAACGTGTTTTGTCCACGATACGCCAGGATGCTTGTAGTGTTACTGTTTCGCTGTGTAAAGTCTACTCAATTTTCTCCTTCTCGGCAGCAAGCACGGATTGAAATTCGTCAGAAAATGAACCGGCGCCACAAAGTTTCCGTCACAAGCAGAACAACGAGATGATGCTTCTTCGGTGACACCACGATCCTCTAGATTAGTGTTTCCCTCAAGATATCACGACCAAACAGCATAATAATCAAAAGCAAAACGGCTTGTTAGCAGTGCCACCTCCTGCTACGAATTAGCCGCGCAAAAAAAAATCGCCCTCCCACACGCTTGTAAGCTTCATACCTCTTAGCCCTTCTGTTTGGTTGTCAGAATGTAATTCAGCACTGGCATTTTTCTTGCAAAAGTGTAGTTGTTTTTATACTCTTGTGGTGTATCTCCATCCCTTGATGAAACAAGCCTCCCATGTTGTTTATGTTCCATTAATTTTTTACTCGACTCGATTGTACCCGGCTTCTGGAATCACAAGCCAAACGCTTCAACTTTAAAACCCTCTCCTCATATTATTCCTCCCTTTAAGCTCGAAGCTTCAGTTTCTGTCTTGTTTCTCTGATGAATGGTGTAAACGAGTTAGGGATACCTTTTTTAAGCTTCAATTCCCGAGTCTTTCTTTGAAACTCTTACGATACCCAGCTTGCACCCAACACTATCGCGCATGTCGAATCGAGAGAATTCAGACACACCAATGAGTTGGTAACGCTCTTGTACTAAGAAGTCTATCTTCCTTAAAGTCGGTTTCTTTGCGAAAAAAAGGGAGAAAAGAACACAACACACTAGCCGCCGAGCTGTTTTTGATAATTCGAGAGCAAGATTAACTCCATAAAAGAGAGATCTAGCGCATTACATATCTATTTAACTAGGACACGCGTCACCGTCTGCTCTTTGTTGACTTTAAAAGTACTTTTAGTTGTAACACTAGAGTCTCACTGCTATTCCTTCAGTGTAAAAGATGCTTGAGAACATTACATAGCTGCAAGTCGAGGCCTTTCATCTTTGAAAACTATTCGATCATATACATCTGATTTATACTCATGTATGCTACATTTCGCATGTTCCCAGTGCATTGCCATTATCACATATTTCCCACCCATTAAGTCCCTCGACATCCAGTAAGATCAACACTCTAATTGTTGAGCTAGAGACACAAGAAACCGCATATCCCCTTAGCCCGCATGTCACAATATAGTCATTTCAATTCTACACCTCTTGAGGAGAGCTACTTAGACTTGACGATGAATGAAAAACAGGGCTCAACCCTGCGAAAGAAGGATTAAGAAATGACAATAAAGCTTCACTGTTCCAATAAAGAAATCACCGGCTGAGTTCTGATGCCAGTGATCAAAGTTGTTTCTCGAACTAGCTCCTCAGTATGTTTGGTGCCCATCATCCCTATCATGTGATAGTGTTACTATTCTTTAAGAGACATGGTTTTAAACCATCTTCCTAATCCAAAAGCCAGTTTCGAGGTCACGTACCGCGCCTATCCTTGATTCATTGCAATGTCAGAAGCCTCTGTCCAGTCCCTGCTTGACATGGGTATCACCCGTGAAGTAGCACTCGAAGCATTAGCAAAGACGAATGGTGATATTGAAGCCTCCGTGAACTATATATTCTCCGGCGAATTGCCTCAACAAGAACCGCAGATGGATACCGTTGAGTTACCATCAGAAGAAATAAAGGAAGACATTCAAACCGATTTTCCCATTCAGGAAACTACTGAGTACATTGAGGATGCCAATGCCCCTAGCGTCTCAAGTCCATCGGGAGATGAACCAGGTAGTTGGACCGCTCCAGTCCCAAGCTACGATGAGTGTTTAGCTCAACAAATCAGACAATGTTCTGACGATCCTCTAGTGGTGCAAGTGGGCACCAACAACTCTCTCATGGAGAATTACTTTGCCCTCTTTTGCCTTGCGGTTGGTTTCGGGTTTCCTCATGTTTTCTTGAAACCTGACTTCAAAGATCTGGTTTACGGAAAGGACTGGTACCAAGGCCAGGCTTTGAAACCAAAATTCAGGATTAAGTATGGGGTAGACAACACGGTAGCAATTGTTCCTCAGGAGGAGCTTGCTGGCCAAGACAATTTGGCTCTACAACCAGAACTCTTGTGGCAACTTCAAAAACTCTTGGCTGTTCAAAACACCACGGGTTGCCTAAGAAAATACGTAACTGCTAAGTTCTTTGCACGAGTATTGGAGCCTCTGGTTGTTGAAAAATTGAATAACTGTGAGCATCTGCATGACGTTTTACCAACTTTCATTAAAAGTATAGCGACTGACGTCGAACTATGTCCAGGAATGTCGTCGATAAAAAGTCTCTTCATTTCTACTGCATACTACAAACCCCCTTCCGAGCCAGAGCCTGTCGAAACCTTAGTCTCACTGTTACATTTCATGCCGGAAGAATATGACTCTAATCTCTACAAGATGTTCAATGCCCTTTTGTATCCAGAAGACGACTCTGACTGCGAGACAGACGATACTCAGAACTCTTTGGGAAACTTGGCCCCCATGATCACAATTGTATTTGACGAAATGGACGAAAGCACTGAGAGTTTAAATTTACCTAATGGGGTTGAAGTACCTCTGGAGTTCTACCCGCAACTCTACACTGAAAAGGCAAAAAAGTTGCTCATTAATGATGTCCTCACAAATGCGCGAAACGCGGAATTAGAGGCTCGCAAGGCACTACGCAGCCTGAATGAGCTCAAGAGTTTCCAGGGCAAGCATATTCACTCCTTTTTGAATAGTACGCTGGATTTTATTATGAAAGATACAGGCTCAATTTCAAATCAACCAGAAGTCGCTAGTCTTGTGAACTCGTTAGAGCAGGTCAAAGAGCAATTAGGAGAACGAAAGACGGATAGCTTGGCCGAGTACAAGGCAATAACGCACAAGCTCAATAACGAATGGAATCTTTCTCACCCAGAATTAGGCATAGTGAAGTCCGCGCATGATCTTGGCATAGTAGATGTGCCTTATCTACTCACCTCTGCAGTCTTATCTCCAGCTAACTATTTTCTTCGCCAAAGAAATGGCCAGTGGTATCATGTTACAGGCAAAATCAATAACAATGACATGGAAATTTCAAAGGTAACGCCTCTAGATGTCGTTTACACGATCCGCTCCCATACTAGAGTCGCATCAGAAACACCACTTATGTTTACCTACTTCAAGCAATGTGCCATAGAGAGCGACGCGACAGTTCAAGAAGCCCTTGACAGCAACGTGGGTGCCAGAAATTTTGCTTTACGAGATCAAGATACTATCGAAGCTATGAAGCCTACGAGTTCAGAAGATTTGATCGAATTATGAAGAATGGGTATTTACATTTTATGCGCGGCTTGCCACAACGAGCAGATTCACTTCCTAAAGTCACATGATTAAAAAAGGTACACTACTTCAAAAAACTATTATTAGCGAAGTTTGTTTTGGCACATCGTATTGTTTCTAAACCTTGATATCTAAGATCTCAAACTCAGTGGAAGCCGCTACTTGTTTGGTTTAGCTTCGAAGCTATACCCTGCTTGAACAAGTTTCCAGCGGTGTTCGGCTCGAAGTTTTCACGTTGCTATTGATCTGCTTAATTTATTGAAGGTCCAAGTTTTGATCTGGAAGTGGAAAGATTATCGGATGTTTAGTTCGCTACAGAAACGACGTATTTTGAATACGGTTCGAAAGATTATAATACCTGCGCTCATCTTGCTGTGCTTAGTATCGTGTTCATCGATCAAGACACATTTCATTAACACAGTAACGCCACGACCAATCGCCGATGGCTACAAAGGAGGAGTTATTGATGATGTTAGGCTTATTAAGTGCTTCCACTGGTTTAGGGACTGCAATGTTGTTTACGAGAAAACATATTTCAAACGCTCATTAGAACCTTGGTTAAGGGTTAATAAAAATTTGAACGATGACCGATTATTTGCAGCAGAGTTGGGCTTGTTGTATCGCACATTTCTTTATGTCCATCTGGGTAAAGCAGCATCAGAAAAAAAATGCATTTCAGATTTGGTGATATCCCGAGACAAATCAACCGTACCGGTCCAAGTGTTACAGGACATTAACGATAGAGTACGATCTAAGGATAGCTCCATGTTTCACAAGCATGATCATCAGAAGGGCTTTTGGGCCAAGTTACTGGGTGCAAAGGCTGACGGATTGACTGTAAAGGGAGAGGATTGGCACTACAAGGGATTGGGAGTATGGTGTAAGTTTTCATCATCTCCGACAGATGACGAAGGACAACTGGTGACCAATATACAGGTCTTTATCGGCGACGGATTCACCGACCCCCGACCAATGTGGAAGAGTGCTATTACAGGCATGGCTCGTGAGAAAGGTTTTCCACTTTCAGTGAGCGTTCAAAAGTTCGAAAAGAATGCCCTTCACACAGATAGCTCGGGTGCTGGTGATTTGTTTATGAAAAATGGGGAATATAAAATCTTACAGCTATCTGATTTGCATGTGGGAGTGTCTTCTCAAGAGTGTGGTATTACGTGCTCAGAGGATCTTAAAACCACCAGATTTATAAGCTACGTCTTGGCGGAAGAACATCCAGATTTGGTGATTTTTACAGGAGACTTAATCGACGGCTTGAACACTTTGGATTTCCAGGCTGCTCTCTTGAAAGCTACAGAGCCTATTATTTTGGCAGGCATTCCTTGGCTTATCAGTTGGGGAACTTCAGATTTTTCAAGGTTTGCTTCAAAAGGTCAGATCTTGGACTTTGTCGAACAGCTGCCTTTTTGCCTGAATCGTCCAAATAAGAGGCTTCTCGAGTACGTTCCTCCACACACCACAAACAATGCACTCAGTTTGAGCAATGAAAACGGTCTGGTTGGTATACTCTATATTTTAGATTCTACCAGCAGTGAGAATTCTGCCGATTTCTTAGCATCTGCATACAAGCAAACCACAGATTGCTTATTTGGAGATCTTTTATATTCCTTGGCATTTCAGCATTCGCCAATCCCAGAATATCGTCCTAGCGGCGCATTCCCGATAATAGGTTCATATAATGAAAAAGAGCCATTGGATATCGCTCAACTTGGTGTTGGTGACACCCTAAAGAAGTTAGGTGTGCAGGCGCTTAGTTGTGGCAACGAGCATGCAAATGATTGCTGTCTCTTTGATGAAGGCATTTGGCTTTGCTATAGCGGTCAAACGGGAGTTGCAGGCCACTCTCCGTCGGATAGCGATCTTTCAACCGTAAGGTTGTTTCGTGTCAATGACCGTATAAAAGAAATTACAACATGGAAGCGGAATACCAATAGCCCAGATGAAGTCTATGATTATCAATTTTTGTTTAATGATAAACAGTAAGTATACTTATAGAGATATTTGACGACTTTATATCATTTGCAAATCGTTTAAGTTTGCTTCATTACAATCTGCTGATGACGGCTTCGGCGAAAGAGGAAGTAGAAGCACTACCACCCAAGTCAGCAGTTCTGTTTTCTGGGCTGGAAGCAATAGCGGTGAAAACAGCCTTTTCGATCTTGTCAGCGTGTTCAGTCAAGCCCATGTGGTTCAACATCATAACGGAAGACAGCAACAAAGCAGTTGGGTTAGCCTTGTTTTGACCAGCAATGTCGGGAGCAGAACCGTGAACGGCTTCAAAGATAGAAACTTGGTGTCCAATGTTGGCAGAAGGAGTCAAACCCAAAGAGCCAGCGCTGAGACCGGAGTTCAAGTCAGACAGAATGTCACCATACAAGTTGGGGCACACGGCAACGACATCCTTGTATTGGGCTGGGTCCTTGACAACGTTAAGAACGGTCTTGTCTAGGATTTCGGTTTGCAACTCGATATCTGGGTATTCTTTAGCAAGGTCTTGAGCAACTTTGACGAAAAGACCATCGGCTAGTCTTTGGATAGTGGACTTGTGGACAACCATAACCTTTGGTCTCTCGACAGCTCTGGCGTACTCGAAGGCGTATCTGATGACACGTTCGGAAGCATCCTGGGTAATTAGTTTGATGGACTGCACGACACCGGGCACGATAACGTGCTCGATTCCTGAATATTCACCTTCAGTGTTTTCTCTGATAAGGACGAGGTCGACGTTGTCATAAGCGGTCTTGTAACCCTCGACAGACTTGGCGGGACGCACGTTGGCAAACAAACCGAAAGTCTTACGTAGAGTCAAGTTTAGCGATCTGTGACCTTTACCGATGGGAGTAGCCAAAGGACCCTTCAAAGCAATCAAGTTCTTGTTTATGGAGTCCTGGGCGGGTTGGGGAATGGTAGTTAGTCCGTTGATAAATAGCGGACTCACGTCACAGGTTTCCCATTGGATAGGGGCCTTGGCAGCGACAAAAATGTCTTTGACGGCTTTTGAAATCTCTGGACCTACACCGTCACCTTCGATGAACGAGACCGTGTACTTGCCCGTAGCTGGGTCTGCCTTACCAGTGTAGCGACCAATAGAAGGCTGTTTCTTCGTGGCAAAGAGCCTCACCGAGTTTCTGACGAACTGTGACTTGAACATTGCGATTTGGAGAGTTCTATAACACTTGCTAATTCGAGAGGGGATCAATAATTGTCACTAAAATTGATTACCGAGCTTTTGGGGTTATCGCAAATTCGAAACTAGTACTGCTGAAGCTTCAATTTTCTCACGATTAACTCGAATAAAGAACCTGTTCTTTCTCGAGACTTACCAACACGACCCAGCTTGTTTGATTACAGCTTTTCCAGCTCATATATATATGCCTGCGAAAACCGAAGTTAAGGTCGTGATCTCATTCGCTCTTTCGGATCCGAGGTAGGCCATCGTCTCGAAAAGCTTCATCATGTGAATGCGCCGTGACCACACCTATAGACTCGATGGGCGAGAGAACGAGCCTGGAAAGTGGCCATCAATCGACACCATCAGCTCCATACTAACGCGAAAAGCTTGCGAGTGGTTGAGCGCGCAATAATAGTGGTGCCAGCAGCGTAAAGTCTTTGTAAAAACATTTTGTAAAATGTTTGACGATGTCGCGGACTACAATCCTAGACACGGTGATTCGACGAGGTGAGTTTAAGCAAGTGGAGCTATGAAGTCTTGTCCGTGCCTTCGTTCGTTTGCCACATTACTGCGTTTTTGGGAAGAACGCGATAGCTATGGGTTAACTGTGAAATTTGGCATATTTCGAATGGCGTTCAGGTATTGAGCAGATCTTGAACAGAGTGCTGGTATGCGAAGGTGCTGTGGCATTTTCTTGTGGACAAGTAATGGACTTTGGCAGAGCTACCAAGCTGCAGTTGAATTAATTGCAGTAGTTTTGGCCGCCTCAAAACGGACGTGTTTGAGCAGCATATTGGTACTCACAAGTTTGGCAGCGGATTTCTTGTACTAGTAGCTGCCTTCTGCACGTAAGCTGTCAGACGATCAGTGCAGTAGGAAGGTCGATAATAATGGGGTTCGGTGGAAACTGGCATGGAGGATGGAGTACATGGCATTAAGATTCGTATTGCAGATCACTGACAGTAAGATCCCCAGCATCAATTAGTTTCTTTGCTCAAAGTAGGCTTGATATCGGTTCACGATGGTACTGTGTGAACGCGATAACCGCAACTGTAGATGAACAACAAAATCTAAGCGAACATTTCAAAAGGACACGAGAGTGAAGGTGGTCTGTAGTCTTTTCTTTGCTTGACAAAGTATTTTGCGTAATGCTGTACTGCGCTCTATCAAAGCCTAGTCCTTTTCGGTCAGGTTTTCGAAGTCTTATTAAACCAGAATGCGTGGCATTGTTCAAAGCCTAATCATATCTTCTTCGCCGTACCAGCTTCTCTTGTCATTTACAAGGCAGCTCTACTCTTACACAACATTGAAGGGTTAGCAGCCAGTTTTGCAAAGTAACATCAACCTTACTTGATTTCACATCACGTCTACATTTCGATGTTTTTGCCGCCGAGCGGAATTCAATTCGAGATTTTGCTAAGCTCCATACCAATAAGTAGACTACCTACTAAAGAGCTTCAAAGTTAGTGATGGAACTTTGTTGACGTAGTCCAAGATCATACTACTAATGCTAAGTTTCTAGAGCGGATCATGGTTACGGTCTAAACTATGCCCGGGCTTCTAGCAATTTCGGCGATCGAAGCTTGCCCCTAGTATACATTTCTTGCGATATCCTCTTTGAATACCAATGTCTAGCCATAACCTTAATATTCAAACAAAGCTAACAGGTCTCAACACCTCTATAACTTAATATTGTTTCATCGGCTATCGAATCTTTCCTCACGAACCTGTCAATTAATGGTTCAAATAAACAAAACTATTTGGCATTTAGCATTTCGAACTTGTCTTAAAGGTGAAGAACCTAACTGTGAGCCATTTCGCAGATTACTGAATTGCTGAAATGATTGGCTCAAATACAGAAAAGCTACTAGGTACAGAAAATCACCGAAAACTGCGGGATTCAAGAGTTTTACTTGTTGGCGCGGGCGGTATCGGGTGCGAGCTCTTGAAAAACCTAGTGCTGATGGGTTTTGGAGAGATTCATGTTGTGGATCTGGACACTATCGATCTTTCAAATTTGAACCGTCAATTTCTATTCAGGCAGCGTGATATCAAGCAGTCGAAGGCCACTACTGCAGTGAAAGCTATTGAACATGTCAGCAACTCGAAATTGGTTGCTCACCAAGCAAACATTATGGACGTAGATAACTTTCCCTTGAGATGGTTCGATCAATTCGCTATCATATTCAATGCCTTGGACAATCTTGAGGCCAGGCGTTATGTTAATCAAATGACTCAATTTTTGCATAAGCCGTTACTGGAAAGTGGGACAGCAGGTTTCGACGGATATATCCAACCGATAATTCCTGGTTTTACGGAATGCTTCGACTGTACCACAAAAGAGACTCCAAAAACATTCCCAGTGTGCACAATTAGGTCTACCCCTTCTCAACTGATACATTGCATCGTTTGGGCCAAAAACTTTTTGTTTCCTCAACTTTTCGCCCCTAGCGGCTCAACCACGACAGAAGAAGACCTTGGTACCAATAATGCGGAAGAGATAAAAAGAATACAGCAGGAAACTAACGAATTTCACGAGTTGCAAGAATACGCAAAAGCTGGTGACGAGACTAAAATTTCTGACATCATCGAAAAGATTTTCGTTCACGACATAGAAAAGCTTCTTAAAATCGAAGAGTTGTGGAAAATAAGGGAAAAGCCCACTCCATTTTACAATGTAGTAGTGGGAGAATCATTGAATCCGAATCTAAATGTCGTTTGGTCCATTCAAGAAGAAGCTAATGCATTCGCCCACGCAACTCGGAAGCTAATGCGTCGCATGGTTGTCGAAAAGCAGATAGAGTTCGATAAGGATGACACAGACACTATGGAGTTTGTAAGCACAGCGGCAAACATTCGTGCTCATGTCTTCAATCTTCCTCGAAAATCATTGTTCGATATCAAGCAAATTGCTGGTAACATTATCCCCGCAATTGCCACAACAAATGCAGTCATCGCAGGCTTGTCTGCACTCGCATCTCTCAGAGTATTGAATCTGATCAAGAGTAAGTCTGAAATAAAGCCGCTGGAACTGAATATGGCATTTACAGCCAAAGCAAGCAATATTTCCAGTAACCGCTATCTTTCCAATCCGCAGCTGGCGCCGCCCAATCCTCGTTGTCCAGTTTGCTCAATAATTCGTGGTGTAGTACATATACCCTCGAGTGCACTGAAGACCACCAAGCTTTCAGATCTTATTGAAAGCATGAGAGACAAATTTCTATACCCGGGAGATATATCGCTTCTAGACAAGTCTACACAACGTCTATTGGCAGATTATGATTTCGAGGATCTTCTTGAAAAGACGCTGGCAGAAATTAACATAAAATACGGCACAATTCTTTCGATATCTGATGAACGCTGTGATGAAGAGGAATTGCGCTCCACGTTAGATCTTTACATCGACAATGGTGGCGATTCTAGCAATTTCGAACTTCCAGATGTTGAAGTTCCTTTGTATAAAGCCCTGAAAGCAGAAAACGATGAAGAAGAAGAAGAAGTAGAAGAAAACGTAGTCCAGCAAGCCTCTACGACTGGTGAGATTATTGTCGATCAAGAAGAAAAATCTAAGAAGAGACAACTAGATGATGCTTGGGAACCTGCTACTAAAATGCCCAAGATTGACGATGACAGTGGTGTCATTCTCCTAGATTAAAACATCTTCGTGTTCCGAAACTGATACTCTTCTATTCTTTACCCTTCCGCCATTTATTTAATCTAGTATACTTCTTTGATTAAACATCAAACCGTTACTCATGAACGTTTGGCGGACCGCGATCGGCTTCTCAACCGTTCAAACCATGAGTTTCTTCTTATTGATCTTGATCTAGCACGCGAATCACTTTCCTCGTCAGTGAATAAGGGAGAATTGTCTGTGTTGCTATCTCCTCGTAGTCCTAGAGATGCTCCCAATTCCTCGAATGATTTATTTATGACTTCTGAAAAAGGTCGCACTGCACTACTGCCACTCATGCTTCTTGAATCTTTGGGCTTAGGGAGAGCAAGCAAGGTTTGTTTCGGAACAGAACCCGAGTTGATACTCATAGGCGAATGGACGTCTTCTTCCTCTTCTTCCTCACATTCTTCCTCAGTTCCTGTAAATTCAGTGTCGTTCGACAGCACTCTGTTAAGCCATGAAAGACGGGAGTTCCTTCTGCCAGAAATGATATCCGACGGATTAAGCGTATGACTGAGCGATTTGCTATGCGGTCTATTTTTGAGAACATTTCTAGGTTTGTCTAGAAACGAAGGACTCGGCGGTGTTAATGCCAATTGCGCAGAGTCCAAACTTTTGGTCGTTTGTTCTGTCGGTGTTGCTGGTGACACGCAGCCGTTTTGCCTTGAAATGACGCTCTCAGGATCGGGAGACACAATAGTTTGGGGTATGGGAATAGCGAGATTGGCCTTGGACTGCGTGCAGTTGTCCTCTGCTGGCTCATTAACGATGGTTTGGGGTACAGCACGTGAATTTTTCAGTAAATGCGGTAGTAGCTTGTAGGAGTATTCGATAAGAAACTCTACCACAACTCTGGAAAGTTCATACTCATTAGGGTCCATATCGTGCTGTGGGTGCGACATTATTGACGGTTGAAAGACTGCCGCCAAGTTTCGAGCCGTCATTAAGTTCACGTCAGATTGTTGCGCGAAAAGACTGAGCAAGTCTAACAAATAGATCAAAAGTTGTTTTGAATCACTTGATAACGAGCTGAATAAAACCTCATATTCCTTCAACGCGGCCCGAATATCTCGTGTAAGTCTTTTCTTGTGGCGTACTGCCTTCATTTGCGCCTTTTCTTTGTCTACTTCAGCGGTAGCTTTTGGTTCCCCAGCATCAAGAGCAGGATCCTTCACCATTCCCTGAGCCAAATGCTTTAAAATTCGCGGCCTGTCCTGAAGTGGCTTTCGAAACTGTTCGTACATACTCAGAGGAACCAACGGTTCTTCCAGATTATTCAGGTACCTTCGTAACAAAGACGCCGCGTCGTGGACCGTGAACCCGTCCCAATCACTTAGCTTGGTACCGTAACTCGGAGGTGCTGAGAAAATGTACTGTAATTCCTTAACACGCTTGTTATTACCTGCAATGCGGAATATACCAGAGGTTTGCAAAGCCTTTGACTTCAAAAAGGCACCGCATTTAGCAACTAGAATAGGGATGCGCCCGAAACTTACCAGCTCGCTTTGCACTATGACCTCTGCGCTGGCCACACTTAGTGACTGCGACAACGGTACGCCGAAAACCTGACCCATGAACTGATTTCTGCTTGACAAGAACGAATCTCTGTAAGACCGATATTCCTCAGAATTCGGGTTGCTTGGTGGAGACGCCGGGCGCCTTGAGTTGTTGAAAGAACGTGAATGTGACATCAACACAGGTCTTAAGTTGTCGGAGTTGCTCACTGATAGAGAATCTGAAGACATACTTTTGGGATTGTTGCGAATCTGCTTCCACCATTGACTTAAGTGGTTCTTAGACGGGGAAACCCCGGAAACTTGCGAGTCCATATGCAGTCCTCACCAGCTTGAGTAGTGTCCAGATACAGCAGCTTGTTTCACGATGGTTTGAGACCCTGCGATTCCCGTTATGGACGTATGCTTAAGGTTGCAACTTGGCGATGGATTTAGAACTGAAACTATTTACAGCTAGTCACGTGACAAATACAGCAAACGGAACGACAAACCGCTTTGACACCGTTGACAAGCTTTCGAGAGAATGGCAGAAGTAGTTACTACATCTACAGGCATACAGACGTACCGGGATCAGATGTTTGACGTTTTAGTCGATGAATTTTGGACTTCGAAGAAAGAACAGTGGAAAATGTAGCTAGTTATGAAAAATTTGTTGACGTTATTAGTGCCGAAAGTCCAGCCGTGACAACAAGTGAAGTCTCGAAAGTACTTATCATTGGTGCGGTGAAACTTATCAAATTTGGTCCAGGTCAATACTCACTCCTTGTTTTCCACAAATGATATTTTTACATTTACTTGTTCAACTGAACGTAGTTTGCGGGGAACACACCTTGAAAACCGCCGTATCTACCAGTCCACCAGCCATTGGTATCGTCAGTGCGTTCTAGAATTTCTATGATAGCGCCGGCAGGGAAGGTCAAGTCACCTTCAGCCTGGGCTTGGTAGTCGTAGAGTGCAGTGACAGTCTCCGCGGCAGGGGCCGTGGTGGGAGGGGTATATGCAGCGTATGGTGACATTGGTGCGGCAGGGGCTGCTAAAGGAACTGCTCCTGGATAAGCCTGTTGTTGTCCTACGGGAGATCCCATGTAGTTAGATTTCTCGGCAGGATACTGTTGTGCCATGGGAGGTGTCGCATAGGCAGCCTTTTCGACAGGATATGCTTGCTGGCCAACAGCACCTGGCGCCAAGCCATATGGCGGTGGTGCTGCTACTGCATTAGGCACTCCCGCAGCACCAAATTGTGCAGCTTGTGGGGTCAAGGGTGATCCTGGACTTGTCGGAGATTGTGCGCCATACTTTTTTCTCGTCATTTCCAACTTCGCTTTGCCGTATCCGACTCTGAACCGTGTAATGGTCAAAGAATCCGTTTGCTCCTCGATGTTTCCTCGTTTCGCCACGAACGCCTCTACAATATCTGTATCGAGGTCAAAATATGGAATCTTCATGTCTTGCATGCTATTGTACAGACTGTAGAAAATGTTCAGTTGCATGTAGTAAAAAGACACAAAAAGAGGTTTAACAAACTCTGCTTCAAGGTTGAATAACACCGGAAGTTCATTTTTTAGCATATCGTTGTAATAGTCGTATTCTTGCTGGGCCACCTCCATCTGAGCCTGAGCTTTATACAACCTTTCTTCATCCTTCGCGTTGGGTTCCTTCTTGCCTTCTACCTTGCTGTAGGAATTCAAATGCCGGTCCAAATCGATCTTTTTATGATTTCTCTTGGTGGCCATCTTACGGATGTAGTCAATAATCTTCAATAACTCCTGGGAAGGCTTAACAATCTTCTCATCAATCAATTCCAGGTCAGGTTTCAACGTAGTTTGCAGTTCGGCCACCAGTTCTCGGTACTGTTCGCTGGCCTCGATACCTTCTGGATTGTCCTCAGGAATAGAAGCGGTAGGATCACTTATTTTCCCACTAATAGGTTTGAAAATCTCTTCCATAGCCTTGGCAAACCCTATTTGATGATTAAGCATCCCATTAACAGCTGAGAAGTAACGTTTTGACTCGTTACTAAGTTTTTGGGTCTCGCCCTCAAGTTCTTTGAACCTTCTTTCAGCATCTTCGTAAACTGCATCAGAGGTTTGCTGTCCCATATTGAACTTCTGTCTGAAATTTTGTGGAGCCCTGGTCACCGCCTTGGTGAGCCCTTTGAAACTCATGCTGGGCTCTTTAACCTTGCTAATTTGCTGAGCTATACTAATGAAAGATGGTAGTAACGGTTATGCCCCTTTTAATATAATATTTTCCAAATTTTCTTAAGAAATAGTAAATGACACAGAATATTGGCAAATGCCGGGTTGATACTAAAGAGGTCAGCCAAATCTATCTCCAGCTATCCTTCAAGCGTCGTTTATGTTTCCCTTAAAATTAACGGGAATCCTACAGGACCTCAAGATCTTATTTGTCTTATTTTTGGTTTAGTAAGTATGTGAGTGTGCTGTATAAACTTTCTTCTTGAGTAGACAGACATATGCTATTAAAATGCGCAGCTTGAAAGTTTTGCAGGCTTTACTGTCGTTCTATTGTTCGTTTTACTTGCATTCAAGCGGCCTTACCTATGCATTGCACATAATCCGAGTTTATTTCAGTGATATATATTGAAAAGAACAAGTGTTTCATTACAGCAGTCGGGCTCTCAACTGGTTATGAGAAAGTGCACAATAACAATGAATCACTGCCTTTGTTTTTGAGGGCTCTGCTTTTGTCTTAATGTTTGAAAAAGCTTATTCTTGTTTAAGACTAAGTAGGTCGTCTTTTCTCGAAGTACATTCTCAGTGTAGACCGGCCTTCGACAATTGCATCACACCCGCCAGTATGGATGTTGGATCTCCAATACAGAGAGAGCCCGAGGAAGGTTTTACAGATATGTACAGAACTCATTCTCAAACCACAGATACCACTGCCAATGATATCGACCTTCGACAATATCCGTTGAGTTGGAAAACAATCAGAATATATTTAAGCGCCTCTATTGGAGGACTCTTGTTTGGGTACGATGGTGGAGCCATAGCAGGAGTCTTAGTTGCGTTGAAGCCGGGAGATTTAGGACTCGAAACTTTGGAAGACTACCAGAAGGGAGTTATCACAGCAACAGCTGCTTTCGGGTCATTTTGTGGATCCATTTCTGCATTTCCCTTGGCAGATCGGCTAGGACGTAAAAAGACGCTTGGGTTTAGCTCTCTTCTATTCATAATTGCTGCTATCGTCATGGCCTCGGCGGTTCACTTTCCCGTGCTTCTCAGCGGCCGACTAACACTAGGTTTTGCGGTAGGAATTGCAGCTCAGTGCGTACCAGTATATCTAAGCGAGGTGTCGCCCAGCTCAGCAAGAGGAACCATACTTACGCTTAATACATTGGCCATTACTGGCGGTCAGTTGTTTGCGAGCACTCTATCATGGTTCATAATAGATAAACCGTACGCATGGAGGATTCTTTTTGCATTAAGTGCTGTGCCTGCTGGTATATTGCTTATCTTACTCGACACAATCCCTGAATCTCCAAGATGGTTGTTTCTCACCAACCAACCTCACCAAGCCCGAGAGTCTCTAACTATCATTTATCCCATGGCATCTGAGCTCGAAATATTGAATAAAATGGTTAAAATGGTTCGTGATTTGTCTAAACTTCGAGCTATTCAACGCGAGACGCAGCCGCTTATAAACAGGGATAGACCGCTTTTCAAAAGGTTCAGCACCTCCCTTGATTATGAAAACTACTTACGAGAAATTGCCTATAGTTCTAGAGTTTCAGACGTCCCTCATCCACATCTAAAACACAAAATGGATCCACGAACTCGCAGAGCACTGATAGTAGGCTGCATTTTGATGTTTTTTCAACAGGCTACAGGGTTCAATGCGTTTGTTTATTATTCGCCAGTGGTTTTCTCTCGTATTAACGTGAACGATCCGCTCCTCCCCGCAATTGCCATTGCAGGAATCAATTTCATTTTCACTGGAATTGCAATGCGGGTGGTTGATAAATCTGGAAGACGCACTATCCTCCTAAATACTATATGGATCATGACAGTAGCGCTGGCTACAAGTTGCACTGGCTTTCAATACAGCAGTTCTGCTTTGTTCCTGACATCGCTTTTGGTTTATGTAGCAGCTTATGCTACAGGCATGGGCGCGGTTCCTTGGATGAGCGTTGAATTTTTACCTCTAAATCAAAGATCTTTTGGTGCCTCATGCATTACTTGCACCAACTGGCTTACAAACGCTACAATTTCGGTACTGTTTTTACCGTTAATCAACAAATTTGGAGATAAACCTACCATGCTGTCATTTGCCTTGATGACGGCTCTAAATTGGCTATTTGTGTACTCTTGGTATCCTGAAGTCAAAGGTTTGTCTCTAGAAGAGATAGGGCAGGTTTTTGAAAATGGAATTGATGTCGATTACGTCTACAGAAAATATCACTGAAACTTGTCGGCAATCATGGCTATCAGCGCTTGCCAAAAGTTTTCCATAAGGTTTCTGATAATGCTTTCCCGACTTTTCTAGTTCCGGGCTCATCTTTTAGAGTACTTGAAATTAGAGCTTTTCCACTTTCATCGGAATCACAATTTCTGTACGCTGCAAGCAACATCTTTAGTGTTGGGAATTTAGCCTGAATAGAAACCGCCTTTTCTAAAGAAACACCTTTATTAACCATGAGCGCTCGAAGATAGAGTTCCTTGACGCTCATTAAAGACTTCTTGTTCATGATTTCTTGGAAACAATCAAATCTTTGGCAGCACTCTAACGTCTCATTGCGCTCAAATTGTTGCCGGAAATTTTGTAGCGAGGCAAAGTAATCCTCTTGATTTTTCAAGTCGTGGGGACTCATAACTAGTAAAGATTTTTTCAGATAGTGGCTCTCGATAACCTCCGTCATATTTTTGAGCCAAGTTACTGTGTCATCCGAATTCTTAGTTCTTTTCACGTGAAAATCATTATAGATCATTGTTACCCAAACCGCTGTTCGAATGGCATCTGCCATCCTTACTGCTGTGTCACTCACAATATCCTCCACAAGGTAATAGATATTCTTACATCCGGTTTTTTTTAGTCTATTTTTCTGCTCCACGAAACGATTATCCATGATACTCATGGCGAAATCGTCCAGCCGTTTTCTTTCTAACATGAAGTTCAAAACGCATTCCCTTTTGGTGGTTTTGTTTCTTGCAAGCCATATCATATCGCTTAGCGACAGTTGTCTTGTGTCAACTGTTATGCCTTTTTCCTGAAGTTGATTTGCAAAGAACTCACGGTCTTTTTTAGATTTCACCTCACGATGATCAATAGCCAACACAATCTCGTAAGCTCCAGGTTCCCATAATTCGTAGCTAACTCCATTCCACCTTGCCCTAATAATGTTATCTTTTATGCCTCGAAGCGAACGGCCTACTGCTGGAGTGTCTGTATGGAGTAAATTTGAGGTAGCACCTCCTGGAATTGAACGGCTTTTTTTGGCGATTTGAGGCGCCGCAGTTGGGTTGATATCATCCAGAACTGATTGTGAAATCACTTTAAACTGACGCGATGAGCCTGGTTCCATCAAGTCACTGTAGTTTGCTGACACCTCTAAGCTATCGTTGGCGTCGTTCGTTGGACCGTCATTCGATTGTGTATTACGTCTATCTTGATATGCACCCTCATCCTCAAATGTAACTTCGTCTGCCTTTTTCAACGTGTGGGCCATCTCCTCACCTTCTTTAGTCAAGATGTACCGTTTGGGACGTCCTTCCTCCAGAACAAACTCTCGAGCTAACAAGGTCTTCATAGCCGACCAAGCGCTATGGAAATCCCGGGAAGATGGATTTGGATTGAAACTGTGATCACAATACTTATGGGCAAGTGATACTACTTCATTCTTGGATGAACCGCTCCGATTACTTTCCAGCAGTCCCAACAAAATAGCATATGCTCCAGATCTTCGCTTAGGAACGTATCTCCGTTTTTTCTTGGGCCTATCATCGTTTTCGGCCTGATCGTCTAGCGATCGTATTTTTGTTCTCTGCCTATTCTCAATGTTTTGCACTTGTAAAGCCGGATCGTACGGTAACTCGAACCCAGTATCTTTGCAATAAGCATGTAATCGATCTTTTAATACATTTTTGATGCTATTTCCAATTCCTTTGACGGCCAAGAGTTCGTTAGGATGCCGAAGGATATTATCATGCACGCGGAGGTTTTCCAATGCCTTTGCATACACGATACCCAGCTTCTCGCTCTTTTGCACCGCTTTTTCGGTCTCTGTTTCAAGCCATTCGATATATAGTGGCTTTAAGTTGGAGGGTAGTGACATAGACGAGGTAAATGGCGAAGCGAGGAGGTCTAATGCTTTTCTCAGAAATGTCGATTTGGAAGGCTCTCAACTTTCAGTTCGAACCTATGTCGGTTAATAGAGCACCTCTACTTATCACCTGCAAACACGCAAAGCAGCAGATTTGATCTTCGTGAGGATTCAATAATTTCCTACGCCTTACTTAAATACTGAAATCCTTTTAAGAGATAGAAATATACAAATAGAATAAAATTGAGTCTACAAGTTATAAACACTCAATATGTTTCCTGAAAATATCTGAACGACAAGACTGTGAAAAAGTTTGGTATAACCCAACTTCTTACAATTTGTCGTAGTATTCTTGCCAGCCTGGGACAACCTCCTTCATACCGTGTCTCTTACGGGCGGCGGTGACAATTTCACCAGCCTTGGAAGCTGGGTCCAATGGGTCAGCAGACAAAGTGGCCCAGTGATCGAACACCATTTGTGGGAAAGCTTGACCACCAGTGGCTTGTCTCAATTGACCGGTGAAACCGAAAGATTCGTTAACTGGCAAGTAAGCCTTGACAGTGAACAATGGAGTACCTGGTCTTTGTTCTTCGGAGATGACTTGACCTCTCTTCTTGTTCAAGACGGAGTAAATACCACCGACGGCTTGTTCTGGACATTGAATTTCGACCAAGAAAACAGGCTCTTGGATCTTTGGCTCAGCCAACAAGAAACCAGCGTAAGTGGCTCTTCTCATGGTTGGGATGATTTGACCACCACCTCTGTGAATGGCATCGGCGTGTAGAGTAACATCCAAGATGTTAATTCTAACGGAACGCATCTGTTCACCGAAGATAGGACCTTCCTTGGAAGCCCATTGGAAAGCAGCCACAACAGAGTCCTTGATTTCAGTCAAGTATTGGACAGCCTTAGTTTGGTCAACAACGAGATTTGGACCGTTACCGTCTGGACCGAAACACCAAATCTTTCTGGCGTCAGTGACGTCCCAGTTGTAGTCATCGGCCATGATTCTGGCACGAGCCTTGAAATCATCTCTTGGGTTGATGGTACCAGCTTCAATGGCCAAAGAACATTCCTCTTCCATTGGTTCAGCCTTCAAGTAGATTCTGTTATGCTTGTTTGGAGACTTCGACAAAGCGACTTGAGAGGATTCACCTTCAACGGTTTCTCTGTAGGCAACCACTGGAGGAGAGATCTTCAATGGGATACCGGCGTGGTCGTTTTCCAAATCGGACAAACAAATTTCCAAGTGCAATTCACCGGTACCGGCGACAATGTGTTCACCGGATTCGGACATGTAGGTCAAGACACATGGGTCAGATTTGGACAATCTCTTTAGACCTTCAACCAATTTTGGCAAATCGTTGGCGTTCTTGACTTCGACGGCGACCTGCACAACTGGAGAAACGGAGAATTTCATAACCTTCATGTTGTGAGCGGTTTCGTAAGTGGTCAAAGTACCAGTCTTCAACAAGAACTGGTCAATACCAACCAAACCGACAATGTTACCGGCTGGACAGTCATCGATAGGTTCGACGAATCTACCCATCATCAAAACGACTCTTTGGACGGCCTTGATGAACAAGTCATCCTTCTTACCTGGAACGTAGTTTGGACCTTGGATTCTGATCTTTTGACCGGACTTGACGGTACCGGCGAAAACTCTACCAAAAGCGTAGAATCTACCCTTATCGGAGGTAGGAACCATCTTGGAAACGTAAAGCATTAGGTCGGAAGTTGGGTCACAGTTCTTGATAGCAATGCAAGCTGGGTCATCGTTTGGACCTTCGTACAATTGTTCGGCTCTGTAGTTTTGAGCGGTAACTGGAGATGGTAGGTACATGATGATCATTTCTAGCAAAGCATCGGCAGCTGGCAAGAACTTACGCATGACAACCTTTAGCAAAGCCTTACCTTCAAGGTCCTTTTCGTCACCCTTTAGGTTGATTTCTAGCTTGGTTAGCAAGACTGGAATTTCGTCCTTCTTGAAGTTCATGATGGCAGCAAAGAGTCTGAAGATAGGGTCTAGAACGAACATGTTGAAAGCACGCTCTAGTGGCTTACCGTCAGTGTCGGTTTCCTTGTTAGTCCACTTCTTAGTCTTTGGGTTGAAGTAAGAGTCACCCCACAAACGCTCCATCATCTTGATCTTGTCAACACCGAACTTCTTAGAGTAACGGTTGGCAAATTGACGGATGGTGAAGGCCCAACCGTGCAGACCGGAACCAAAGGCCACGGTACCTTGCGATGGGTACACTTGCATGTCACCTAGCACCTCATCGGCGTAGGTGGAGATGATAACGTTGACGGACTCAACGGTTCTGGCAAACGATTGGTACAAGTCCTCCTTGGTGACTTGCAATTCCAACAAAGCACGATCCACCTTGTTGATAACCACAACAGGCTTAATACGCTCACCGAGAGCTTGTCTTAGCACGGTTTCGGTTTGCACACACACACCTTCGACGGTGTCGACCACGACTAGAGCACCATCGGTGACTCTTAGGGCGGCAGTAACTTCAGAAGAGAAATCGACGTGACCTGGCGAGTCGATCAAGTTGATCAAAAACGAGTTACCCACACTCTTTTGCTTGATGTCCTTGACATTGTCATCAGACATCTCCGAGTACAACGAGATAGCGGTCGACTTGATAGTAATACCACGTTCTTGTTCATCCTTTCTGGTGTCGGTGAAACGAGCTTCACCGGCCTTGGCAGCCGAAATAATACCGGCTCTTTGCACCAAAGAATCGGTCAAAGTCGATTTACCGTGATCGACGTGTGCAATAACAGACATGTTACGCACGTTAGTGACCTTGTCCATAAGGGACCTCATCTGGTCCACAGTGAAAGCGACCATTGTGTTGTGAGTGGATGCTGAGGTGTAGTGGAGAGCTAACTACTAAAAAAACAGTAAAGAAGAGTAACAAATAAGAAATAGAAGAGAAGAGAAGACTTTTACAAAAAGCGTTTACTGAAAGTGTACGAGATATATTTTCCAGGGATAAGTAGCCTCGCCTTTTATTACGGCATCACTTAATTAAATTTTTTTTAGCTGCTGTGAAAGACAATTTGCGTGGGACCCGAAACAAAATAGATATATTGCCTTTTTGGGAACACGCGCTGCGTATAGTTCTGGAGGCGGTGGCGGTCCGTATAGAGACTGGAATCTACGCCGTAGGCTGAACGGCCTGTCAATATGGAATTTTAGGCTCACGCGGACTTAACATTAGCACGTTTTACGTATTCTGAAAGGAAGCTTGATCAATCGCGAACGTGTCGTGAAGGGGAGCCATCAGGGAAAGGTTGGCAAAGTTTAGTAACGCCTTCTAGTGCTCTACTTGCAACCGGTGATGAGAAAGTTTAAACGTGATTGGTGATGTAATAATGCCTGTCGTGCGTAGAGATGTTTGTTTCTTGAGACTCACGTTGCCAGCCGTTGAACCACAGCGCCTTGTAGGCTTGGTGAGCGAGAATATTTGTTCGGTAGCAGCCGTTTTAGCGTTCTACACACACCAACCAAGAATAATACAGAATTATAATCTCTGTCACTCTGTACCATTGCGTCGCTGCTCTTGATTACCTTATTGAAGCCCCTATCTCAAAGTATACAGTTTGGTTGGCTTGCGCGATCTAGCTCTTGAGCACTTCTTCAGAACTACGGCCGCAAAGGATGCCGAAGGTACGGTAGTATGTGAACAGTATTGGCTTTCGACTTCGGCACGTGGGTATAAATCGACCCCAGCAGTATTGTTGGCTCAACGTGCCGATGTTGTTAAGGCAGCTCCGAGAACCCAACCGAGCATTGGTATGCATGTATTAGTTGTTGTTGGTCGCGCAACTCTACCACTTTTTGGGATGCAAGAAACGATAGTGCCCAGTCGATATAATCTATATGACAAAACAGTACAGAGTGACAAGGCTGGATATTCAAACCGCATGCCAATTCAGATATGGTAAAGAATGCTGAAGTTTAGACGCTGATGTTGAGTAGTGCCACTAGTCATACCGTTCAATATTTTCGCGCCGGAGGAATAGCGACTGGTGCATTTAAGCGAACCTGGAAAAGTGCTCATTATCAGAACTCGTTATCTAAATGATTGTATAAATACCGACGGTTTACTATCCACATCGATATCATATTTGTCATATCTACAACGAACACGGAGAGATATTCAAAACTATGTTTAACGAAATGAGCTACCCACTCAATCATGGAAGAGCTAAACAAAAAATAAAGCAAGCTTTGTATCGATGAATCAGATTCGCCTCAATAGTAATTAAAGTAGTGAGATTCTTAATCTAGTATATCATTTCATGTCGGCGGGGTATCCCTGTGCCAAAATTTCACTCTTTATAATAGAAAAATCACGGAGGTCAATAAATTCTAGTAAGCGAATTAATATGTCCATTGGCACTACTTATGATTACTTCACCGAAGATAGAGATGAAGAAAGACGATAATATTATACACATCAGAATAATGACAAACGCTCTTTTCGGATGCACCATAGTAAATCTGTGCTAATCTACAGTGTTGCTTTTGTACTGCAAATGGGTAAGATTAAATGTTCTTAAACCTGTTTTGATAATTATAATATTCTGCACCAATCTATAAGCCTATACCATGCCCAAAGTGATACAATGCAAGATGCTAACGTACATATAATACAAATTGCATTTACGATGTTCAGTTGCTAACATTAAATAGGCTTTCCCTAACGAGTGTGTCAATATGGGCACTTAAATGTACGGTGAATTCATTTTCCCATCAAGAAATGACTGAAAGATGACGATTTACCACCAAAAGAAGCCAATTACAGAGACAAATTTTACAGGCAGCGTATCGGTGTATCGCTAATGTTATTATTACAAACAAATATTTTCAGTAATTAAACTGATCTCTTATTGCTCACTATCAGCGATTCAAGATTAACTCAGCTTGTTAACGTATACTGCGAGTTCGAAAGCCTAAATAGAGAATCGATAATCAAGGCAAGACCGTGCGATAAACAACATTCATCTGATATGTCAAAACGGTATACGGTGCAAAAACCTCAACTTTTTCAAAAAGAACTAACTCATACCCACAGTTAGTCACGAATTAGAACACGTCGTAAAGTTGCACTATGGGAGAGTCAAGAATCTCAAATAATAAAAGCCACAATTTTAAAATGGTATCTTGGCCATATTAATCTTTTATCGCCATTAAACTCGCCTCTGGTATTCCGCCACCTAGTTTCGTTGTTACCATTGTGCCTCATTATGAATCGCTTCCTAAAGATCTTACGCAACACCGTCCTGCGACAAAGCCTTTGGGGCCCAGCTGTACATCCTGAGCCGCATAATTGCAGCATTATCAAAAATCTGCCTCTTATACATCACTTAGGACATGTAACAACCTTTTCAGATCAATCCAGACATCTAAATTTTAGTTTCGTCAAAAAATGGGGTAAGCTCTATGCTCTCTCGACTGGAAAAACTGTGCCAATATCTTTGCTACTTCTCGATGTCTTTTGCTGTTCCTGCCTGAGGACTCCAGTAAGACTAGCGACCCACCAAGTGGATCTCCATCCGCAAACCACCGTTTATGACAAGACCTGAAGCAAGCGCTCGCTTGTATCAACTTCTCATTCCTTCACTAAAATGAACTTGATCCAAGTAGATGGGCTGCACTTCTAGCATCCAAAGTATACTGATCTTCTGTAATCTCGTCAACACCTTGTTCATTTTCCAATGAAGCGTCAAACTCTGTTTTCAAAACCGATGGTTCAAAAGCGCGAGATCTCCGATCATTGGTCCAACTATCGCCTTGCGCACTTTGAGAAGGTTTGGTCGCCGTGGATCCATCTCTCACAACGCCTGTGCCCCGGCCAAGTCTCGAAAGGCCGCCTGCTTCGTCAACAGCCCTAACATCGGAACGAATCCTTTCCAGAAGTGAGAGCTTTTTGCGTTCATACTCGATCTTGCGCACTGTGTACTCTTTGATACTGTTGATCAAGGTTTTGTCATACCATTCTAACCATTCACGTTTCTGAAGCAACATATTTGCGGTAATTCGGCGTAGCTTCAGCGTCAGTTCATGTTCGGTGGTTGTAGCGACCTTCAGCGCTCTAATGGCATCGTCCACTTTTAATGGGCTCACATCCCTCTTTGCACGCAGTTTGCGGGCTTGTTCTTGTCTAAATCTTGAGTTTTGTTGTGCTTGTAGCAAATCTCGCATCAAAAAGTGACGATTCGTAAGAGATTCTTTTACCACATACGTGTCTTGGGCTATCCACTCCAAGCCGTCATATAAAGTGGCCACATCCAAGGTTGCCATCACACTATCAATGTCACCGACGGCTGTTAAAGTCTTCCCGAATTTGATGTAAAACTTACTATGTGATTGTGTTTGCGATGGGTCTTGGGCCATCTCCTTAAAACCTTTACCTACCGCATTTTCGTCTTGAGAGACGGATTTGCGTAGTTTACTAAGTTTCAATAATTTTAATTGAATATCTTGGCTCAAGTGGCGTATGGACTTCACTAGGGGTCTAAACTCGGCCAGTTCAAGGCATTCATCAAATGGGGGGGTCAATTGTTTCAATGTCTTTCTCTTCAAGCCAGAAACCGGTAGTTTGCTTTTCCCTACAGGTGTATACGTATTGAAATCGCTCTCAATAAAAAATGCAATTTCCTCGCTTCGAAGGATGAGTGGATCTGCTGCAATCCGATCAAACCATTCTTGGAAGTTCTTCACGGTCTTGTAGTAATCTTCGGAGTTACTGATCCCATAATTGGTATGGGCTACAGGCAACGCCGGAACAAAAGTTTCTGGAATCGATCCATTCAAAAAAGTGAATAGGTTTTGAAACTCGGTCATAGTCTTTTTGATATTTCGGTGCTGTGGTTTGCGAAATGTAGGCAAGTTCGTAGAGACATCAAATTTTAGAGTAGGGTTCTCCTTTTTGTTTGTGAACGTTCCTATCCTTTCCAATCCAGTGACCTTCACTACCAACTGAAATTTGTTTGCCTTGCGTTCCGGCACCAATTCTAAACTCATCTCATCACTTTGAGGGTTTTCATGCTGCACTGTGGGAGTACTAGTCTCGCTGGGATCATCAGTCTCATGAGCCCCACTTTCTTGCGGGATTGTCGTCGTTTCTCGAGGTTCTGAAAACGGATTGTTGTCTATATCGTCGTAAGGGTCGTATGCTACAGCAGAAGCCATTGATGAAGGTGATTGGGTGGTTTTTCGATACTAGTTTGTCTCTTGTTGACTAGTATCGGTTTGTCCCCAGATAGTCTAATTTAAAAATCTCAATATTTCAAGAAACTTAAACAAGATCGCTAAAACAAAATTGCCACATAAAGCCTATTCCAACATCCAGCGATGGGACTTCTCATGAAATTGAATCCTACGCTACCAACGCAAATTGCCGTGAAGGCAATTGTGTTCGACATGGACGGAACGCTATGCATACCGCAAACCTGGATGTTCAGTATGACAAAATCCCCAAATCCCTTCTAATGAAAGCTTGAGACTAACCTTTACAGGAGCCATGCGCGAAGCCGTGGGACATCATGACCCGCAAGTTGATATCCTGACGTTTGTAGATAACTTGCCCTCGCAGAGGTTGCGGGACGAAGCCAATTTGCAGATCCAGAAAGTAGAAGCGCGCGCTATGGCGGAAATGAAACCGCAACCAGGGTTGATAACGCTTCTGGAGTACTTGACACGAAAAGGTGTAGACACGAGTATTTGCACGCGGAATTTAATCACTCCTGTGCGGCACCTGATTTCGAATTTCGTGCCCGCTGAACACGATCGATTCCACCACATATTAACACGAGAGTTTCGTCCCACAAAGCCCAACCCGGACCCGCTATTACATATTGCTCAGCTGCTTAAAATATCGCCGGCAAACATGATCATGGTTGGCGATTCGTACGACGACATGGAGTGCGGGGCGGCAGCAGGATGTGCCACTATCTTGGTGCGCAACGATACTAATGGTGCGCTTCTCGAGACGCGAGGACACTTGATTGATGCAGTGGTCTACGATTTAGCAGACATTATACAATTGTTGGAGCGTGGGTTTAGCAAGAAGGTGCGGACATGAGGTTCCATGTCACAAAAGCGGGAACAAAAAACGTCAGACACACGCAAGTGTTGACTGCATTGCAATGAGATTTTTCAAAAGTAGGATAGAAGCAAATTGTAATACTGTGTCTTTATGAAAGTAGTGACAAATGAAGATAGATTGTTTGACGCTCAATTATTGAAATGTGTGACTAACTTGTAGCACTCGCTTTGCCAGCTTCGGAAGGTTTAATACGAGATATATCAAGATATATAAGATGTGAGATTGGTCCCTATCGGCCTGATACAAGTCTCTAAGGTTGTTGGTGATGTAGTCAGGGGACATAGCTAAGGGGGTGATAACAGAAACAAGCGGTCGCTAGCTGTATTTCTCCGAGATTTTTTGACTGGGTACATGATTCCGGCGAACATTTAATCGACGAAGCGTCCGTCTTGTCGATCTGTAAACAAACTGATTATTGCTTCCCTGGTTAGAGAGCCTCTCTAGTGCCGTACATGCGTTGCGAGTCGAATAAATATCGCATATGTCACATTGCGCTCTCCTGGCCCAATCCGGATTCCGACAGCAGGCTCCTCTAAACAAGTCCCTTCACATGGGGCTCGTGACATGCAGGTATCGAGACTACAAATAAACAAACGAGGTCGCGATGGGAAGCTAGTCTTGAATAGCCTGTGATGACTCTAGTAAAGCCATTTCAATAACAACAACCAATGTACAACCTTATAATACATGCACGAATTAGACTGGTGGGCGCACTAGAAGCCAACACAAGAAAGACTTTTCAACGCTTTGTTTCCCGCATTATTTGCACGGACTAGACTGTTGAGCGCTCCAGTACAAAGCTCCTCGACGCTTTGTTTCTTGCACTATCTGTCTAAAACGTTGCATAAGAATCCTCTGGTATCTACAGTGCTCATTCGCATGCTCTCCGCTATTATCACTTTGTACTAGTGTGTCGTCGCCCACTTCCAACGAAAACGTCGACTTATCTGGCAGACAGCAGCACATTTTAGATACAGCGCAGATCTGTCTCTGGGTAACAAGCGCCTCGCACGTTCTCCTCATACATACGTCTACGTCTACTAGCATTCTTGCTCATCATCACTACATACTATTCTGTCGTCCGGACTTTTTTTTGCCATAATCTATTTGCTTCGATCGTAGAGCTGCCATCCAACAAACACAGTTCCAAATACTGTCTTAATTACGCCAACCCACAAAGCCGAAGTCTATTTGTTGTGTCGTTGATTCCCGCTGCGGTGATCCAACCAACTCCGCTAAAAAATCCTCATCAAACCACACCACCCGGGTGATTTTCAGGATTTTTTTTCCCACAGGGCCCAGTCGTTCACGAGCAGAAAGGAAAGGAAAGTACAGCCCATTTGGCCCCGCAGTTCTCTTGTTGGCGTTGACTTCGGTATCACGCCATCCGCTAATTAGCATAGAATGCTGCGATGACCATTTTGCCTTGCGGCCGATGTCCACGGGAGTATAAAAAGTCAGGTTAAATAGGTATGTCAACGATAATTGAGGATTAGACAAAGTACGGACTTTCAAGTATTCAAGCGACTGCGATTTGTGTATCGTATTTCGCAACTGGTTCTGAAAGTGTAATTAATAGCAAGTTTTAGTTCCTTAAGGTGCTATTATTGTAGTTTTCAAGTTTTCAAGTTTTGGTGATGACTAGCGAGACTCGATTTGATGACGCAGATTTTGAAAAGGGCCCTACGCAGGCGAGTTTCGACGAGCAGGCCGAAAATACAGGAAGTCGCAGCCCCATAGTTTCGAGACTGGTACATGCGGTGTCGGTGGATGGAGATTACGTGCATTTGGGGGGGTCGACGTACCGCAGAACAGAACTCGCAAACGCTTTTGCAGGGGAACTGAACCCTGGTATTCATCACAGAAGACCTTCGAATCTGGCAAACCCAGTTCCACTTGGACTGGCGTCTTTCTCATACTGCTGTCTGGTGCTGTCGCTCTTAAACGCGCAAGTTCGCGGTGTGACTAATGCCAAGGTGGTCATCAGCGCCAGTCTTTTCTTCGGCGGGTGCATCGAGCTGTTTGCGGGTCTGCTGTGCTACCCTATCGGCAATACCTACGCCATGACGGTTTTTGGCTCCTTTGGCGGGTTCTGGATCAGCTACGGGTGCATTCTAATGGATCAGTTTGGCATAGTGTCGTCGTACGAAGACGATCCGCAAATGCTTGCCAATGCGCTTGGGTTTTTCCTTGCCGGCTGGGCTGTGTTTACGTTTCTGATGATGATGTGTACGCTCAAGAGTACCTGGGGTTTGTTTCTCCTGTTTGCGTTTCTGGAGCTGACATTTTTAATGCTTACAATTGGCACATTCATCAGCAACGAGAATGTGAAGAAAGCTGGTGGTTATTTCGGTATAATGAGCAGCATGTGCGGGTTTTATTCCCTATACAGTGGTGTCGCAGACTCTTCGAATAGCTATTTCCCCGTGAGAGCCTATTTTATGCCTAATGCGCCTACTTTGTGAACGTGAGCTGGGGGATTTACGATGGGTCGTCCGTCGTCAAACGTCAAATGTAAGGAAAGGGCCGTGTTCTACTGTCCTCTCCCATCTAATATGTACACTATAGAACGCCGAATAGAATCGGTAAAAATAACGAGTTTCATGAGCATAAACTTATACCGCGGTTGTTAAGAAGCGATGAGCTAGCTAGCTTTCAGAGAACTTCGAAAGCTAAAAAATTAAAAAAGAACTCCGCGACGGGGAATTGAACCCCGGTCCCGGGCGCGACAAGCCCGAATTCTAGCCACTAAACTATCGCGGATTTTGGATGAAGTATATAATTCTAATAACAATATACCTGGTTTAGCTGACCACTTGGCTCTTATCTGAAAATACGTTAAAAGCTTCGGAGATCACAATCCAACCGTGAGTGACTACTGCCAAGCGGCTATCTATTGGAGCACTCGCCATGTCATATTCCCAATACGCTAGCTTCTTGGAAAATGAAATTAGGCTTTTGCGAAACCTTAACGTTAGAGAAATTGCACGTCTAGATGAACTTGGTACTCATACGTCGGATTCCTTGCAAGAACGACTTCAGCAAGAGCTAACAAAACGTCATCAGGAGGTGTTTAAAACTCTCAATCAAGACGATGTACTTTTGAAAGTTCAAGAACAGGAACAAACCGTCTTGCGGGAAGAATTACACAGAGTCATGGCTTTAGTTGGTGATCTACCGAAGGATAAAATCGGATCTGATATTATTGACTTGCAGGAGGCCCAAGATGGTAAGTTCGTTTCAATTCAGCAGCTGATGACAGATATCGACAACTTGCCGCAAATATCGCTCATGGACACCGAAGATTTGGAGAATGAGCCGCTGTTAAGCGAGTACAATAAGCTGAGAGATGGTTTGAGAGATAAAGTGAAAGCCATTAGAGACGCTGAAAAAAGTTTGCCACAGCTGCGACGTCCTTTGGATCAGTTCAGGAGTTTGGAAAATGCCGTGGACCGGCAATTTGGTGATACCACTAAATATTTCGAAACTTACCAAGAAAATGTGATTGCACAGGCGCAAGAAACTGCCAAACTAGTAGAGGTAGTATTGAAGAAGAACGGTAAACTGCCGCAGAGCTCAATGGATGGATTGAAAGAAATAATTACCATGATGGAGGCAATGAAGTAAAATTGCGATTTGCTTTAGCTGACATGCAGCGGCAAAAGTCCCTAGAAAGCGGACGAAAATACCTAACGGAAATCACAGTTCTCAGAGCTTTTTTGGCAGCTAAGGAATTCATTAGCCTTGTCGATCTTAAAGCATTTCATTACCATTTCGCAGAATGCAATTTAGTAGAGTGAGTATTTGAGGCTTGTGTTATGGCACTCGCTCTCAAACGCTCACTAGCAAGCAACGAGCCCCACCACGGCCTACTTTTTGATATAGGAAAATCGATTAGAAAACTATACGATATACAAATTTTAACAATTTATTTGATTGTTTAATCGAACAAACCGAAACCCATGTCGTCGTCGGACTCTTCTTTCTCTTCTTCCTTCTCCTCTTCGGCGGCCTCGGCGTCAGCACCACCGGCAGCAGCACCACCAGTGGAAGCAACAGCGGCACCACCGGCTGGGACGGAGGACAACTTGGTTTGACCTTCAGCGACAATTTCCTGGATGGAGCCCTTGCCTTCCAAAGAAGACAACAAGGCGTTGATCTTGGCTTCTTCAGCCTCAACACCAACGGATTCGATCACAGACTTGATGTCAGCAGCAGAAGGAGAGGCGTTACCACCTTGAACAAGCAACAAATAAGCGGCCAAGTACTTCATTTTCAGTATAGTTTTATCAGAGAAAGGACTTTAGACGATAATAGAATAATCAAATTAAGCAGGTTGATGCAGACTATTCCTTAGGCTTGTAGAAGTAAAGATTTAAAAGAGAGAAGAGAGGAGAAGAGAGTATGAAAGACTGCTGAAATTTTTCACTTTTTCCATGAGTCCCATCTCAGTCGAAGAATCTTGAAAAAAATGATAAAAAAATTAGAGTTTCGTCAAGGGCGATTAGTCGGGTAGATTGTTGGGTAGAGAAACAGGTAGATGGCGTGGAGAGGGCACCCCCGAGTAGCTGGTTTTCACAAGAGCTGGAGGATAGCAGAAACAACTTCAGTCCAATAACTAGCGCGGTGGACGTATGAGGCGTGGTGTGGGAGGCAGTGGGTTGTTCGCGCAAACAAACTCCGTCGCAAACAGGGAAACTAGCTAGACCTTTCATACAATACCATAAGATCTGGACGGAGGGCATAAAAGTCCTGTTTTCCTCTAGATGGATGCGGCATACCCTGGACAAAGCGATTGGAGCGCTTTACCAATGTCTCGAACTGGACTCTACCGCTATTTGTCTGATCCGTGAGACATGATATCACGCCGTATCGCTTCTTACCTATCGTATTTTTTTCCACGAATGTGGCTTTATCAAGGCCTTTCTTTATCTTTAGCCGATCTCAAGGTAATGTCGTATCTTTTCGTCTCATATCAGTCATAAATATCTGGCAGTCGTATTTGTATATCTGAAGTCTTCATTTTGTACACTCAATAGGCTCTCTACCAGGCCTTTAATGGACTTCCAGGATGCTTTAAGCGACATTGTGTACGGGTCTGTAGCTGGCGCTGCAGGTAAACTTATAGAGTACCCGCTGGACACCGTAAAAGTTCGTATGCAGACGCAGCCGGCACACATCTTTCCGACAAGCTGGTCTTGCATCAAGTATACATATGCCAAGGAAGGTCTGTGGAAAGGATTCTACCAGGGTCTTGGATCGCCGGTAGCTGGAGCGGCATTGGAAAACGCGGTTCTGTTCGTTGCATTCAACAGAGCCCAGAATTACTTGAAAACCCATCACCACGAATCACTGTCGCCTCTGTCGCAGACAGTTTGGGCTGGTGCCTTTGCTGGTGCTTGCGTCAGCTACGTGTTGACGCCCGTCGAGTTGGTTAAATGCACTTTGCAAGTTGCGAATCTCTCCGAATCCAAAACCCGGCATTCCAAAATCGGACCCACCATAAAGCATATTATCGAAACCAGAGGTATCAAGGGACTCTGGCAAGGTCAGTCTAGTACTTTTATTCGCGAGTGTGCTGGTGGAGCAGTGTGGTTCACCACTTACGAAACTCTCAAACACTACTTTGCGCATCGCCGTGGTGAGAACAACACTGAAAACCACACTTGGGAACTATTAGCCGCAGGCGCCTCTGCAGGTGTAGCGTTTAATGCCAGTGTTTTCCCAGCCGATACAATCAAATCTACAGCGCAAACCGAACACCTGGGGATTGTCGATGCTACGAAACGCATCTTAGCCCGCAACGGTCCTGCAGGTTTGTATCGTGGGCTTGGTGTGACACTTTTAAGAGCAGCTCCGGCAAACGCAGTAGTCTTTTACACTTACGAAACGTTGTCAAAATTATAGACTCATGATATAATGATTATTTTCTGTTAAGACCTTTGTACAATACCGCAAACAATCTAGTGCAGCTCAGAAACAAAGTTGTAAAAGAGCTTACTAGGCTCTATTTAAGATGCGCGTTCTTCTTCTTCTAACTTGAGACAACAATCTCACCAACTTCAGACTCCATATTACGAGTCCCTCTTTGAAAAAAAATAAAAATGCAGCCGTGAGTACACTCTGTATTAGCTTTATACCCATACCACGGTACAGCTCACTGACGCCATTCTTCTTGACAGTATTGATCATGAGCTGAATCAGAGACTTCTCAGTCGAAGATTTATTCTCATTATTTTGGAGGTGCATTCTGGCCTTCATAGTGACGTAAGGATATGTCGAGCCTGTAGCCACAAGCTTCCCTATGGCCCCCAATGCAAATGCCCAAGATGGACCCAAAGTGCTTTTCTGATTCGACTCCAGAACTCGATTCTTTAGTTGTTCAAAAACAGTGTACTGGATGATTGGGTTGATCACTAGGACTAGTGCTGGCTTGAGGCCATTGAAAAGACTTGCAGGCCCTTCATTTCGCGCAATGTCTAAGATGGTACCCAGAGTACCGCGCTTACTTGCATTTACGGTCATCCGCGTGTTAGCAACCCACAAGGGATTGGATGTTGCTGCATTAACTGACCCCGCAATACTCCCTACAAGCATCGACTCGGCTGTATTCAATCTTTGCTTTCCTTTGGCGCTCAAAAGACATCTGGAGGAAGCCTCGTAACAGTAATAATAGACAAATGTCGAAAGTGTCATTCCCAAAATGGCACTTTCAAGGCCTGCGAAAAATCCATAGACGCCTTGTTCCTGATAGACTTCCTTGGCAGTTTCAGCAAGACTAAGCTTCTTTTTAAGTTTCTTGGATTCATGGGATTCATTGGAGCCCTGAGTTTGAAGTTTGGTAGTTACAGCGACCAAGGGATAAGTTAGAGCCATTGACATGGCCCCGCCAGCAGCACCGGCAAGAGCATGTGTGAAAGCGTCAGCTTGAGACACCTTAATTTCCGCGCCCATTAATAGCTATTCAGTAATGATTGGAAAGGGTTGAAGTGAATCCGTTAAACCCACCCCTGTAACTCTGTGATATGGCCTATGGCGAGCAATGATTGAGAGCCAAGTGAAAGAGAGCTATCGCAATGCTCTACAAAATCCGAGTTTGTGATGGATGATAAAAGGAAGCTAAGTAACTATCCAACTTGCCTCTTCTAAGTGCAACTTTAAATTCAAATTTTTAGGTTGAAGATCCAGTTTTAAAAGCTGAGTTTTGAATTAAAGACATAAATTAAATGAGTTGTTAAAACAAATAAATGGTTCACAAACAAGAGCTTCCCAAATTTGATATTCACTTGTTTGGCAGAAGTTCTCTCGTGCAAGTGCCACGTTAATTTCACTATATATCAATTTGCAGAATAATAAAATAGCGGGCTATGACTTTGCAAAATGAAGGACTTGAAAATCATCCGACGCAAACACGAAACCGTTTCGTGGCACTTCCCTAGACCTAGCAAAGTCAAGTCTTTTACTGCTATGTGGTCAGCTCTGTCCCAAAAGTACATTGTCCATTACAGGCTAAAGTCACTCTAGCAGTACGTTCCATACACGTGATAGGAATTGATGAGTTATTGTTCGCTCCTACAAGTTAAATCTTCATGTTCTCAAATTAAATATCAAATAGAAAACAATGGCGACCGCTAACCCTTTCCGCAACGTTGGGTACGTTTATGCCTATAGAATTTTGTTTTGACGCCGCACTTCAAGATCTTTTACTAACAACAGTCACAGGAGGAATGGAATCTACTTGGTTGGAGGGCTGATCGTGTCTATCTTTGTGAGTAAGAAGCTCATAAACTCCAACAAAAAAACGCAGTTCAATCGCATGCAGGAGCAGGCCACTTCAAAGGAAGATTACTACAAAAACTCGGCACACGTAAAACCTGGTTTTCCGTTACCAGCAGGAGAATTGCAAGACACTAGAAAAAGCGAATTCGAAGGATCGGGCTTGAGTTACTTGAGCAGAAAAGGAGGGGACAAACTAGGCTTCATGGACAGAAAGAGCGGCGGTGCCTGATCGTCCCATAGAGTATGTGCAACTCGGTATAACTTGTATAATAATAATTTTGTTCTCATACATAATAATATAAATGAAGAGTTTACAAAGTTCAGGTCCTTCCTAAACACCAGCGTGGAAGTTCCTCAGGGCGAGGGTGAATACATTGCCTCGTGTTTTCCTTTTTTTTGTTCGTATAATAATTACAACTTTTTGTTCACCAAACCATGTGTTTTTTGATGTTCTTGAACAATCGATCTAATCTTTTTTTCCTCGAAATAGTCAGCCATTTCTTGATCTAGTTGCTCAAGACTCTTCTTCTCTGGCTTAGCCTTTGGACTTGGCTTTGGCTTTGGCTTCTTACCTTCTTTCTTTTGTTGCTTAACAGCCGCGACCTTCTTGTTTGGTCCCCTCGCAGGAACAGGTTTACGTTCAGCTATAGCTTGAATTCTAGAGGCTAGCGGTTTCTTAGATGGATCAACTATTAAGCTTAGTCTCAATTTTGATCTGCCGCCATCGATTGGAGCACCGTGAAATTTCTTAACGGCCTCTCTAGCCTTTTCAGCATTCTTGAAAGTGATTGTAGCCATACCTGTGGACAAACCTCTTTCGTTGTAGCTCAAAAGAATTCTAGCAACACCGCCAACTTGGGAGGTAAAAAATTCCTAAAATTTAAATGTTAGTGGTTAGTTCATCCATGTTTTAAAAATGCATGTATCATGGTAGAAGAGCGGATTTCACAAAGCTTTGAAGTGTCATAGCATCAACATGTGTGGATTCATACATCAACGAATAAAAGGTGCAGTGCCTGCTCAAGTTTTATTTCGTCGAGATGAAATTTGCATGTGAGCCTTGCATGTGCCCATAAATTATTGCGGTGTGAAAAATCAGACGTTATTCCTAATAACATGGTTGTGGTAGAGAAGACTTAAAAGGGATTTCAGTAGGCTTCCGAATAGCTGACAATTGATAAAAATGAAGGCGAAAATGGTATAGCAAACATTCTGACGAAAGACTCCTAAAAAATCGTGAGGATGTTGCGCGCGTCCTATTAAACCAGGATAAGATCAGTTGAGTCTAGATCTTTGAGGTTTAGCGACACAGCATTGGAGATATCAAACCTAATTGCTCCCCAATACCTACCAAAAGCGTGGCTGTACTTGTCACCAGCTGCATCGAAAAGCAAGGTAAGTTGCTTGTCATTGAGCAGCATAGAGCAAATATCTAAGCGACAATTCGTAACTTCATTTGTTTCAAGTCTCGTGCAAACGCACCGAGACGTCATGTTGTTCGTTCTTCCCAGTCCTTTATAAGCATTCCCGTAAGCACAAAATGTCAAGTTTGAGGTTGAGTTTTAGAATTGAAAAAAAAAACTACCGCATGCTTGGGCTTTCAAAGCGATTCCTCAGTGGCAACTATGCGGTTTTCCTTCCGTTCCTTCATGCTGAAGTTTCAGGTCCAGCTCTTCCACTAGCATAACACTGCGTCTAGTAGACATACTCTGACGGCATCCTGCTTGATGTCTCTTGGCAAACCCTCTACGCTCACCTTGGTACCATAAGCCTGTTCCAACGCGTTGGCTGCCTTCACAGGCGCTGCCCTTTGTCTGACGGCAGAAACAGGGCCACCACGACGGTTTCCAACAATTTGCTTAGAAACCTTCTTTGGTGCCTTCTTGTTGGTCTTTCTGACAATTTGTTTCTTGTTGGTACCAATGATCTCGTCTAGGGACCTGTCCAAATTAGCTGACATCTGATAAAAGATAAAATGAGGGTAAGGAGTCTTAGGAGTCTTTAATTGATGCAATTGATGCTTTGTAGAGCTCAACTGTTCAATTTATTACACAATTTGTATTGTAATCGCGTAGTGTGTGAGGTAGAAGTGAGAAATTGGAAAAACCGAAATTTTCATCTTCTTATATACCTGAAATTTTTTCAGAATAGCTAATTTGATTGTGTCCTTTGTGCATGTGAGAAGCACATGAAGATACTGGCCTGATAGGTGCGTTTATGCCTAACTCAAAAGTCCGAGTATTACTCTAAATCGTTGTTCCATTGTTGTGCCTCTTGGCGGCAGGCAAATCTAGCAAAACTTCTTGAGCTGCCACCTACTATCCCTCAACTGCACCGCTGCTGTGAACTTTCGCAGTAGGAGCCAAGGGTTCAAGATGAGACTAGTTTACAAACCTAAGACGGGCCTGGTTTCCAGTGTTTACGCTTACTCGGATTGTGCGCAGTCTACCACGCTATAGATACGTATCAAAAAAGAACATAAGAACATCGAAAAGCCATTGTACTCTCGCAAAGGATCTCTAAACTAGTGTGGAATGTGACACGTAGCTATCAGTACTTGCTCACCGACGGCGGGCAAGCATCAAAAGCTACGATTGCAAGGGAACGTAGCAGTTATGAAATATGTATTTCCTTTTCTTGTGGTCCGTCCTGCTTTTGACAGGTAATCACATCATGGCAGTAGCCACCCCATTTGCAGAACATGCCGTAGTTCATTAACCGGCAGTGCTTACCGTCAACCAAGATAGTAGAAGCTAGCAAGCGTACTCAATATATTGCACGACATCAACTATTTTGTACCAGAAAGTCAAACAACCTCCAGCAATTAAAAGTCTAAAAATCTAATGGCACTGGGCGAGTTCAGTCTACACTGTTGCTTGAATCCAGCTCATCTCACTCTTCTACAACCATAAAGTCACGTTATACGGAATACCGCCAAACCTTCCACATCCATTACCCAAAGAATGTCATTATAGCCTCGATCAAAATCTCAAAATTGGCCTATCCATAGGTGCGAGTTGCAACCGATGTTCAGCCATTCACATGCTATAAGATCAGGTCTCAGTGGGCGTCTGCGGCAGTCGCACGAGGAACACATAGACCACCGATACAATGCTCAATACATTATCTCAGCAGAATTTAATAATAAAGTTGGCCCTATAATCAAGCATCAGTACCCAACCCCGATTCCCGGATTCAAAGGGCGCCCAAACTCCAAAACAGGCGCGGTGAACCTAGCGAGTTTAATGATACCCAATAGCATAGAAAGCAAACTCGGATGCGCAGATTTCACTATCTTCATACTCTACAAGGACAAGTATACCAGAAATTACCAGATCTTCCCCGTTTCAGAGTCCTCAGCACCTAGCAATACGCGAGCAAACTTGACAATTCTCGAGGAAGAAGAGCACTCAGAGAGCAGAAATTCTAAATTACTGGATGCAAAAGAACCACCTTTATTTTTTCTGAATGTCGTCAATACGCTCAAAGATGATTCTAATGACCGAGGAGCCATAATCCGAGCGATAGCTCTGGGCACAACCGTACGAAATTTTCTCATATTCAAGCCGCTTCTGGCAATGACTTTGGATCTGTACATGCGTTCTAATGACAACATCCTATTACTGGTTGACTGCTTTAATATGATTAATAGCTTGGACTTATCTCTTGCTAAAAGAGTAATGTCAAATAGCTCTCTTCAGACACTTTTAAGTTCCATTAACGATGAGAGCGTCATTTCCGAAATTTTCAACCCAGCTTCTCACAACCTCCCTCACTTACTTCACCTAAACACGCTCCCGAAAACTGATAACTTTGGTAATAATATAAGTTTCAAACGACATTTGATAGAATACCAATTCACAAAATTCAAACCAAAGTTACTCCCGCCTGCATTCTCAAGAATTTCCTTACAGATCGACATGATAAATTACGATCCGGTAAAAGTTAATATAAACTACAATGATCATGTCCTAAAATTTCTATCCAAGTTTATTTTAAAACTGGATAAACTGCTTGGATTGCAGTTCTCTTGGAGACTACTGGTCAATTCCACAAAGTTATCAAAAGACACCCTTAGCCAATTCATCATGACTTTGTCTAATTTCATCAAGCACTTTGATTTCCATTACTTCGAAAATGCGCAAGTCGTCATATTTCCCTATATGGACATATCATTTATTGATGCATTAAAGGAACAACTTATTGCTCATGGTACCAGACGAACTTTCACCATTGTGGGAGTAAGTAATCCTATTTTCGAATGGCAAAAAGATGTATGGGATTTTTACTATGATATGGATAAAGAGGATCTTCAATGCCGACATTTGGCCCCTCCATCATTGGCTACACTCTCAAACAATTCACAAGAGAGTATGAAGGGATCAAAAATAAAAAACATATTCTCTAAGCGTGCTTCTTCGGCAATGCTACTATCCGAACCTCCGCAAAGATACGGCTTGACCTCTAAAATGATAACATACTTGGTACGAGAGCAACACGACAATGAAACGATTTTGAATGTATTCAAAAGAATAAACATTTTGCAGCTGCTGAGTTTACTGAAAGATCTTGAAAATGGATCTCGAAGAGAATCAGAGTTAAGTCTCAAAGACGAATATGTTGTAACTTACAGAGACTTTATTATTTTTCCTGAATTCTTCGAATATGGTGCGTTGAAGCTGATTCGCTGCTTGGACCAGCTAGAGCAGGATTTAAACTTTATACTGTTCGATGGTAAAGAATCATCACAGGGTTATGAGTTAAATGCATTAGAAAGAGTTTTTGCTTCGTTAAAGCAAATCAACAAATTCATGGGATCAAGCACCGCAAATATTGATAAGTTCATCAACATAGGGCTAAATTTCCCGCTCACCTCTGTTCGAAACGGGGAAAGTCTCTCTACGAAAGATTTCAACGAAGTCGATCTGGAGGCGTTTTTTGATGATTTCAAAGTTTCGAACTCTATGGAATCGTTATACTCACATCACAAAGGTGTTGTGGACTACTTCGCGATGAAGCGCTTCCTTAGACTTCTGTTTTTACCCCTTGTTCTTGATTCTGCAATTGAGAGTTCTGCAGATTTTATGGATTACTTTGATTCCCAAGCCACTGGGCCAGGAGATGCCGGTTTATACCCAAAAAGACTGTTTCACTCAGAAATCAACAGCTCTCCCATGTCAAGTTGGTACAACGAATCCAGTCTTTTTCAAGACAATTTTACTGACGAAACAAGAAGTAAAACTATTTCTTCAAGAAATGGCGACAGCAGTAGAGACTCTTTCAGCGAATGCGATTATATTGTTCCCAGGATAAAAAGGGCCAGCATTGCCGTTATTCGCAAGCTTCAAAAGCATCCGTTGGGAAAAATCTTGATTAAGCACAAGCTGAACCCAATGTTTAAATCGATATATGACACACTCGAGGAAGATTTTGCTGCCAAGAGGAAGAGTCATAACGAAAAAAGATCAAGCTTGATGAGACCTCAGTCATCAGTTCGTGATTCTATGAATGTATCTCCCAGCAGAATGGAGCTTCTTAAAGATCTCACAGCAATCTCACAGCAGCAAGAAAACATTAAGCTTAAAGCCGCTACAGAAGGAAGACCAGCGAGGGCTTCTATACTGGACACTTTGAACCGCCTAACCTCAGATTTCAATGAAACGGCGTCATAATTACCATAGACCAATTCGTTTTCTTTCATAAATTGCTTCACAGACCCAAGTGATGCCGAATGATGGAAATGGTTGCTTGAGGAAAGAACCTTGAAAATCGCAAAATAAATGCTCACCAATTCTGCAAGTGCTAATTTTGAGGCGTCTTGCGACATGAAAAAAAACGGGGAAGAAAAGGTAAGAACTTAAGAATTTCGACTATACAGTTGATTTCCGTCTTGCAAACTTCAGCGATGGTGAACTTTGCTATGGTAACGCGTAACAAATCAAGTTATGCTATGTTATTATTCATAGGTGAATGCTCGACTTATTGAAATGTGACTAGCAAGGCGAAGTGTTGAGAGTGCCTGAAAATCTCTTCAACATAATTAGTGCTGACAGGCAGCTGCCATGACTTTCAGTTGTTCAGGAAAATCCATAACATCAAGCACTACCTCAACTAATCTAATGAGCTTATTGTGAGGGGATTGAAACAATTCAAAAAATTCTGAGAGGTTCTCAATTGTTTCAAATCTCCGGCTAAATGTTTGTTTCTCTTCAAAATCGCCCAACACCTCTAATAGCTTCGTCCACTTCCACATCATAATATCGTTATATGGCCTTGTTGGTCCTTTTATGGCTCTTTCAACGGTGTAACCTTTGTTGTTCCAAACAAAGAGCTCAAGTGGAACCTTATAGCGCAAGAAAGATGTCAATTCTTGTATAGTCATCTGGGCTGCCCCATCTCCTTCGCATAAGATCAATCTAGGAGGGCAGGCCTCTAAATTACCAACTTGCTCAGTGTAAATGTGGTCGAGCGGGTAATCTTGCATGCCAATTCCGACTCCAAGTGCACAAGGTAGTGCCATTCCAATAGAGAGATAAAAGCTTTGAGAGATGTATTTCAAATTTGATGGGAAAACATAGTCACGAACGCCAAACTGAAAGGAGCCTGTCTCTACAATTAACACGTCGCCCGGCTTCATGATATCTGGGAATGTTTGCTGCAAGTAGAGTTGAGTGATAGGTGAACGAGGATCAGGATTGTACCTTTCCATTGATGGTGACTGGGTTTCAGGATATTCAAAGTTTAATTTTGTGATATCCAGACCTGCGCTAACTCGATCTAATATTTCACCAAAATACGTTCCATTGAACATCAAATGTTTACCGCTTTGTTTGCCATTGACAAACCGAATGTAGTTCGGATGCAGTTCCACAAGCTGGGTATTAGACCCAAATTGATAAGAATAATGACCAGTATTCATTTCATTTTTCACCGCACCCCAGTGCAAAATTAAATCGCATTGCTGAATGTCACTTATGGCCTGTTCATTGCTTTCAAGCCCATTGTAGCAGCCTTTGAAGTTGGGGGAAGCCTCATTCAATATTGATCTACCCATGGCAGAACTAAAGTTCCAGAGCTGGGCTTTTTCAACAAAGTTGCGCAACGACGAATTTAATCCATAGCGGTCACATAGCATATCGGCTATTACAGCCGGCTTTTTACTTTTGTAAAGCTGCTCTAGAATGAGATCTGTGCACCTGGTAGTATCCGCGTCATCAGTGGGTATATTAGAAATCACTTCCTGTAGTGAGATTAATGGACGATTATTAAGATTCTCGCACGAAACCAGCATGTCTGGGAAATCTGCAGGTATGAAAATATAACCCGGTTGGCTGCGACGATAAATTTCGGTGATTACATTGTCAATCTGGTCGCATGCCGTGTCAATATTGTCCAAGAATGCGCTAGAACACGAGACCCGTGCATTGACCATATCGTAGTACACACGGTGGTTCGGTGGCTCGAAGTTGGAGCACGACATTGCGGGAACAAGGTGGTGCACGTTCTGGGAAGCGTGTGTGGGATTCTGGTGAAAAAGCGATGGCGTCACACCCACGACGTGCAGAACTTTGACGTTTTCTGCAAAAGCGCCTGCGATGCCGTTCAGTGCCGAAAGCTCGCCCACTCCGAAAGTGGTGACCACGCATCCGATAGTGTTGGAGTAGCGTGAGTACCCGTCAGCTGCATACGCCGCGTTCAGCTCATTGCAGGTTCCAATCCAGTTGAGTCCTTGATCCACCACCTCTGGCGCGTACATGTGCTCCAACAAACTCAAATTGAAGTCTCCGGGAACTCCGAACACGCTTCTGGCGCCGCACGACACCAATCTTTGGAAAAAGTATTGTCCCAGCGGGATTTTTGCCGGGTTCTGCCCGCTTGTAAGGCAGGCGCGCGCCTTTTGGTCCTTCAATACAGCAACGGGAGACATTCGATGCTGACGCTATATTGTATATATACTGTTAGTTGGCGCTTCTCAAAACTACAAAGGTGGGACTATAGAAGCTTTACAGATGCAGATCAACGTTCTCGAACTGCCGTCTTCTCAGATAGACAAAACAACAATCACAAGAGAGAATTCAACTGTCAAACTTGTCTACATTCAAAGGTACAATTATATGTATATATATATATATATATATATTTTGTTTAATAGATAATTAGGTCTATCCGACGGTTTTATTAATTTATGTGGAGTAAGGGATACATAGTGACACAAAAAAATGATGGATCTTGGCCGAACCCCGACAAAGGAAAAGTGCCAGAATTGTGTGAGGCGAGGTCAAACAATCACAACTGAGACGTTTCATCAATCCAGTTCAATACTTAACGGGAGTTTTGAAGTTTCGTTGTGGTAAGAAAAGCACACATTCTTTACGGAAAGTGCAACGGATTCCTTAATTGTGGTCAAAAGCTGCTACTGCAATTAGTTGACGTCGGAGATGTTGGGAAATTCCAACAGGAAGGTTTTCAGGTCAGGTTGATTCGGGTAAATTACTTCAAGAAGGAGTATTGAATTGTTTTAAATATGAGGAGAGGATCAAGGAGCAACGCGTGGCGAAGTACTGTTTCTTTGGTAATAGGTTTGAGGTAGTAAAAGAATTGGTCCGGGCATAGGCTCCTGGCATCATTTTGTCTTGACTAGGGGCAGTGCCAAAATAGTACAAAGTGATAACGAGAAGCGAAACACCCATGACGACACAGATTGTAGTGAGATACTACGAGGTGACATAAACCAATGAAAAAAATGAATAAGCCAGGCCCACATTATCCTCACCACGCAGTTTCAGGGCACTGGCCACTCCATTTATCTAGAGGACTCCAGAATTTGACTAATAGTAGCTCAATTCTGGTCGTCCCAGAAATGTATGCATGTGCTTTGAAACCTATCGTATTACAAGGTAATGATCCCACCTGGAAGAACCGCAGAGATGCCACTACAGCTGATGTTTACTCGGGATTTTTATTATCGCTGAATCTTCTAAAAATCAGATTGTATCCTCGCACGCTTAATACCTGAAGGTCCAACCAAACCAAATCCATGCAATATACGCGTCGGTACCGTCGTTAACAAGGGGCAAACGCACGTACAAAGCAGCCATGAAAACATGTAAATTCTCATTGTGCTGATCGAAGCTACGACAATGAGCTTCAACGGAAAAATGTAACGGGATTTTTTTTCTCGATGGCTCGCGTACATAGCCTTGGCAGTATCTTGGATGCTCGCTTGAAATTGCAGAGAGGAACATTTCCCTACCTCGTGAAACTCAGGGCGATATTTTTGGGCCTCTAATATCTGCACCTAAGTCCACGCATTCTGAGAAGATCACACTACAAATAATCTGTTGATAATTCCAAGAGAAGCCCCCCGATACGCGTTCAAAATCAAGATTGATGCGTTTTTGATCATTACTACAAAATACAAGCAGACGCTATCAACTCTTTTTTGGGCAGCCAGCATTTAAACTTCAACGACTGGTTTAATCCACCGAAAATATGGCAAGGTAACAAACCACATGATTCACATGTCAATGCTGCAAGTGCTCATTGTCAAAATTCAAGGTAAGATAGAGATGCTTCTTTACACCATGTTCATCACTAATCATGGATCTTGACCTTATTATCCACATCACTATCAACGAAATCTTATATTATACGCATTGACTCTGGCTAAAGTAATTACGACCTTCCCAGAAGAATACATTTGCATGTAAATAATTTGGTATAATAAAAATTGGTTAACCAACATCTCCAGGTTAAGTTACAAGTACTTGAAATCTTGTAAAGCTTCTAGCACTTTATCTGGTAATCTATCCACCACATTTTCCGAAAGCTCCAAATAGTAGCGCAAAGGCATTGTCAACTTATATCAGTGCTAGCAATGGATAACAGAACTGTCGGAATTCTAGGCGGTGGCCAATTGGGCCGCATGATCGTTGAAGCGGCCAGCAGATTGAACGTCAAGACAATAATTTTGGATGCTCCAAACTCTCCTGCAAAGCAAATCAACGCTTTGACCGAACATGTAGATGGCTCGTTTTCTAATCCAGAGGACATCGAAAAGATCGCTGCCAAATGCGACGTTCTTACCGTGGAAATCGAGCATGTGGACGTTCCAACTTTGCAGAAAGTCCAGAAAGTTCACCCAAAACTAGAAATCTATCCGTCCCCAGAGACCATTCTTTTGATTCAGGACAAATATTTGCAAAAGGAACACTTGATCAAAAATGAGATCGCTGTTGCCGAAAGTGTGGCTATTACAGAACCATCGGAGCATTCTTTATCTCAAGTGGGCCAGAAATTTGGTTACCCCTACATGCTGAAATCCAGAACTTTGGCTTATGATGGTCGCGGTAACTTTGTCGTTAAGTCGGAAGCGTCAATTCCCGAGGCATTAGAAGTTTTAAAGAACAGACCCTTGTATGCAGAAAAGTGGGCTCCTTTTGCCAAAGAATTGGCCGTTATGATTGTTCGTTCAATTAAAGGCAACGTATATTCGTATCCAACAGTGGAGACCATACATCAAGACAATATTTGCCATTTATGTTACGCACCTGCTCGTGTTTCTGACTCGATCCAACTAAAGGCAAAACTTCTGGCTGAGAATGCCATCAAATCGTTCCCAGGATGTGGCATTTTTGGTGTCGAAATGTTTTATCTAGAGAATGGCGAATTGCTGATCAACGAGATTGCCCCAAGACCTCACAACTCTGGGCACTTTACCATTGATGCTTGTGTTACATCACAGTTTGAAGCGCACGTAAGAGCTATCCTGGGCCTACCACTGCCAAGAAACTTCACATCTTTGTCGACCTCTAATACTAATGCCATAATGTTGAATGTGCTAGGCGACAAAAGCGTGAAGAACAAAGAGTTGCAAACATGCGAACGCGCACTCCAAACTCCAGGGGCTTCCGTTTATCTTTATGGAAAAGAATCCAGACCTCAAAGAAAAATGGGCCATATTAACATTGTGAGCTCTTCGATTGAAGAATGCGAGCGTAAGTTGCGCTTTATTACCGGTGAAACTGATAAGCCACCATGCTCAAGTGCAGTTGATGATCTGGAAACACCTATTCCAGGAATTTCCAAAAAGCCAGAAATCGGTATCATTATGGGCTCCGACTCTGACTTACCAGTTATGAGTGCTGCCTGCAACATACTAAATCATTTCGAAGTCCCATATGAAGTTACTATAGTATCTGCCCACAGGACACCTCATAGAATGAGTAAGTATGCCATTGAGGCTTCTGAGCGGGGACTGAAGGCTATTATCGCAGGTGCTGGAGGTGCCGCTCATTTGCCTGGTATGGTCGCCGCCATGACCCATCTACCGGTTATTGGTGTTCCTGTGAAAGGTTCTACTTTAGACGGAGTCGACTCATTGCATTCGATAGTTCAAATGCCTAGAGGAATACCGGTAGCTACGGTGGCGATCAATAACAGCACTAATGCAGCCCTTCTTGCTGTCAGGATCTTAGGCGCTTACAATCCTGTTTATAGTGGCAAGATGCAAGAGTTTTTGCTCAAGCAGGAAGAGGAAGTTTTGATCAAGGCTAAGAAGTTGGAGTCTCTTGGGTATCAAAGCTATCTAGATGGTAAGTGATGAATGCTTCAATTAAATATACTTTGTATTTAATAGTTAAGGATAAAGAAAATGCAAAAGGGAGCCGGCACGCACTTGACATGTTTTCAATTGTGTGAACTCAACATTACCACTAAGTTCAGGAACTGGGAATTAAAGTTTCCAACCAGTCCTCCAAAATTTCGATGTTGGCTCTCAAATTAGAACAATTTTCAAGTACCGCTCCGCTTAGGTTAAGGAACTCCAAACATAATTTAAAGTCATTTGCCATGTATACCGAGTCACACAATCTGTTTAGGAGTGATATACTTCTGCCATCATTGGTGATATCAATAGCATCAGTATTGAATCTTAGGGATTGTAAGAAATCAAACTCAAGGGGGTTAGAAGTTGGAAGCCCCAATGAGGAGATTTGTGAGCCATGAGAATATAACAAATTTAGGCCACTATCCTCTTCTGAGATTCTTGAGCCCTTGCCGAACGCGAGGAGGAGTCCTTGTAAAGGTACAACAAGACATATTAGCTTTTGCAAAAGTAGTGGGTAATGCTGCCAAATTTCTCGTCTTTGCGATGGATCTGGGCTTTGTCTCGAAATGCTGCTAGCTTGTAGTGAGGGATCCCGCGTAATATGCAGTTGTTCGTAAGGGTAATGCTCACGCATGCTAGCGAGCAAAGGTTCTAAATGAGAATCCGTAGATTCTTCCACAGCCAAGCTGACATATTTTGATGTACTCATAATAATCTGTGAGTCTGAAACAAGTTCTGTCCAGTTCACTAAAGTGGAGTCAGCGAGATGAAGCAGAGCAACACAATCTTGGATAATCAGAAATAATTCCAATAGTCCAGGCAAATCTATTTCGAAGCGTTTCAGAAAGTCACCATTTAGTGCAACCTGAGACTCGTTCATGTAAGCTCCTGGAAGTGAACATGATTTCATGCTGTGTGAGCAAAAGCACGATATCAAAGGATAACGTAACAACAAAGCTTCAAAGTGTGTGGTTAACAGTACTGTCTTTGCCTCCAAGGTAAGGAAATCCACTAACACCACCTCGCCCCACTTACGGAGGAGTGTCTTATTGACAATCTCCTCAACCAGTACTTTTTCGGATGCGAGTTTGCCTTTATCGACACACACATTTGCTTCTCTTCTCAAATCTATTGCAGCAAGCAGATTCGCAGCTGTATTAAACCCGCCAGATTCTTTCCAAATGGTTCTGCGTTTCACGGATGCAGTCGGAATTTGTATTTCATCAATGTTTTGAAATCCCATCGAATGGTAGGGAAGTGTCCTCGGAAATATAAGGTCCTCCAAATTATACATTCTGGAATTCAAAGAACTTATATTTGAGCAAAATGTTGCATCAGCGAAATACATCCTGCCGCTGTGAATGGTGAAAAATAGCTTCCATAAAATCATCAGATATGACTCCTGTTGCTGTCGTACCTTTTGAGGAGAGACGGTTAATAATTCCTCCAAGTCTTCTTCCGCGAAGCTGGAGTAAATTTTTGAATGGAATGCAAGCCTGATCGCTTTCGTGAGACATTTTTCAGTTAGCTCCCGATCGGAGGCAAATCTCAAGTGGAAGAACGCTAATAATAGTAATGTTTGAAGTGAAGACAATAGATCCAGTTTTTCCCAATGTAGGTCTACCATCTTGAGGTGGAATGACTTAACAGAGTGCCTATCTTTTTTCAAATATGAGGAACTGCAAACGAGAATGGCATGCGATAGTGCAGTGTTGTTACTCGGAGTAAACTGTTGCAAATATTGGGATTCACTGTTTAATAAAGTGAACTGCGGGTGTACATTTTCGTAAAATGACTTGAATCCCTTATAGCAGTGATTCCAAGTTGGAAACCCGTACGCTTGTAAATCGTTGTCGGTAAAACTGTTAACGGTGAACTGCTTGCTAGGCGCGTCCGCCACAGAGTCCACTGCACTTGAACAAATAGATGTAACATCTGTAGAACGAGGACGTTGGGAAGAGTCTTCGGACGCGTGTAATATGTTGGCCAAAGACGGTACCATTTTTTCTGAACCACTCGCGGTAGGTCTATCAATGTATGAATTGGTAACAGACGACTCAGATTTGGAGCTAGAGCCCAAATCCAAGGCCTCATTACGAGATATAGGATAGTCTCGTGAATAATCATGTGTGTCGTAAAACATCTGGGACTTTCTGGATTGCTCGTGGGCACTGGAGCTGGGTGAGCCATGTGGTGGAGGTGAAAACCCAGTAAAACCGCGAGAATCGCTATACGGATCGGGGTACCGATAACTATTGTGATGATGGAAGGGAGGTGGTGGAAAATGGTGTGGAGGAAAATGATGTGGTGGAAAATGGTGCGGTGGGAAATGATTTGGTGAAAAAGGCGGTGGAGGAAAATGGTGGTGTGGAGAGCCAGGTCCACCCTCAAAAGAGCGGTGATGCTGGTGGTGGTGGTGGTGATGGTGATGGGGGTGCGGACGAGGTGGATGGGGTGGGTGTGAATAAGGGTAGAACTGGTGTCCTGGGGGAGGGCCCGCATGGGGAGGCCCTTTCCAATGATGGTAGAGATCTTGGTGCTGAGGTTTCTTAGGCACTCGACGACCACCCCGGAGACTTGCGACAAAAACACACTCCGTACCCGAGTTGGCGCAGTTGGTACACATCGCTTCCGACGATCCGCTAGGTCCCGGTCCCTGGTTCAAAACCTCGCCGTCACATTTTATTTTTTTCTCTCGGCATGCCAAACAGGCTCTGCGAGCCACTTTGCGCTTCTTTTCCCAGGATGAGTAGCCGGAAGGAAGCGCGGAAGCTGGCGAATGCATGGTTTCAAAGTGGTATCCTTCTTGTTGTGTGAAGTTTGGTAGAAGTTTTACAGCCCTCGCTCACGATCCAGATAATTCGATGTCAAAGCGTTTCTGAGCCCAAAACTCTTCATGACAAATCTTGAAAATGATTCCAGTGGATATGCTTAAAGATTCGACTGAGTAGAACGGTTGTGCATCTGTTTGATGTTGGCGCTGACCCAAAACCTAACCACTCGCCTTTATAAATGCTTGTGTATCTAAATTTTTTCCCACGATCCTATGATGGGAGACGACCCATCCGAAATATGACCGTGAATTTTTTTTTATGTGCAAAACTCTGAAGCGGCTACTCCGGAGTTTTGATGAACTGGTGCTGAAGGTAGCCAGCGCAGCTTTACAAGCTCAGTACCTTTTTACTGTTGGCTGCGACTCTTTCATAACTTGTCTCTCTTTCGACCAGACCGATAACATAATATTCAAATTGGCGCCAGTGCACGTGAAAAACATATGACCCAGTGGAAAGAGTTTTGGCGCCAACCCACCCACGCTTCTCTTAGTGTCTGCTAGCGTCTGCTAGCACCTGAGCTCTTCCGCAGTCAGATCCCGTTTGATGCGAAAGGGTTTATTACGCCAGTCAATTACGGACCCACTCATTGCCTTGATCCAAATGGGCAAGGCGAGTAGCTCGCGGAGAAGCCAGATCTTCCACCAATCTACTAAGCTCCGTGGAGCCTCAGCCCGTACCAAAAATTCGGGTAGGTCCCTACGCCGTAGTTGGTCGTCGGCATAAATGGTTCGTAGTAAAACCAAGTACTGAAGTCTGTCTGTAATGCACCACAACGAGCAGTGAACAGCGAAGATCCATCCGTAGCTCAAACCAAAGGCCCAACTCAGGCCCCAAGATCCCATGAGACCGATAAAAAAACATTCCGTAGTTGGCTCCAGAAGCGTTGCTGCCAAGACCATATACTTGCGAACCCGCAACCAACGAACACGGCGATCTATAAAATTCTGCAACCCTTGGTCGCGAATTCCGAATTGTAGCGGTTGCACAACCGCATCAGTAGTCATACCAGTACGCCCACCTAGCATATCCCACAAAGCTGTGCCAATCATGTTATCTTCACCGATGTAAGTGCTGAAGAATTCAATTCCATGATGATGGAACTGTATTTGGCTAGGCACTTCCCTTTCAACAAGCGCACCAGTATCCTTATCAAAACTGATCTCTGTGAACGGTTGCCTAGTGTCTATTTGAGCTGTACTTTCCCATTTCGCTGCAATTGCGCGCGCTTCTTTTTGGATTATCGGATCTTGAAACAAGTTAGTATGTCTTGAAGCCTCTCCAATGAATTTCACAGCATTATCCAAGTCTGATCGACGGTAAAGGTTGCTTTTGCCATTAACACAAGGAGCTATACTCACCTTGTTGAACCCGACGTAGAATTTAGCATGCGAACTGAACATAAACATCTCATCCAAGCGTGCACTGAGCGGCACCGATTCAGTGTTCTGGCTAATGCTCAATGCCAATGGAACATGATGTGTCAAGACGACTGGCCGCGATGTTGTCTTGGTGCCATTGTCTAGTGATTTGACCAGACTTGCAACACTCCGGCCAAGTGTACCTGGGGAGCACCATACGTTTGCATCCAGAACCCATATAATATCATTCTGAGCATTACGGTAAGCCTTGGAAAGGTTGTTAATCTTTGGATTGGGCCCGTAGTAGTCCTCGAATCCTTCTTTTCCTACCAATAATTTAAGGTGGTATTCTGTGTGCTTAGCAATGAGTCCACGGATGATAGGTATGCAGGGATCGCTGCTGCTTTCGACGCAAAAGAGGACCTCGAACTTATGACTGGGATACTCTTGCAAAACGCAGCTTTCTAGACAGGACAACATTTCTGTCTCAATGCCTTTACAAGGCCGAATAATGCTAACCGCTTCTTGTGCATCTTGCGTACTGGCTAAGCGTCTGGTGTTTCGAAAATTTCGCATTATCTCGATCCACCCAGAATAAGCTAGCGCTAATACGGTGAAGTACCATACTAAACAAATTACCGCGCTGATCGCTTCTATCCCATTGGTAGTATTACCGGTTTTAACTGAAGTGTCTGTTGCAATCAACCGCGATGTTGTTGAAGTACTTTGGCCCACGACACTTTGCTGGCTGAACTCAACAAACGGCGATAATATGAGGGCATTGAGTAAATTCATATCCAGAGCTCCAAAAGGCAAACACTGCTCATTGAGCGGTTATTATTAACCCAATATGTTAAAGAATCGCTGGACAAATTTTTTTGCCTTGCAGAAGAGGAATTAGAAGTTGAAAAGAGAAAGGTACCAAAAGAATGAACTACTGGTGGTTGTTTACGCTACTGTTCCCGTGCGTTGTAAAGATATGGCCTTTGTGTTGATCAATCACTTTGACTTCATACATAGTGAGAGAGCCTCTGATATACTTGAAATCTTAAAATGTGCCCTTCTCGCAACTAGCATGTCATGATACCAGTGCTGACGAGGACGGGCCGTAGCCTAGTAGTCTTGTAGCTCTATATATTTTTCTTTGTCATCTTATTCGCTCAGAGTAAGTCATCTGTTTCGACTTCAAGAACCAGTGTGACTTAAGTCCAAAAAGACGAGGGTAATTTCTAAGAGACATCTTTCGTTGTGCTTCAAACCGGTTCACATTAGTTTCCTTGCACTCAAACCCCATCATGGCAAAAAGGATTAGTGGTCTGCAACGCGAAGTACTTCAGGTGTATAGACACTGCATAAGAGCGGCTCATCGGAAGCCCCTAACAAACCAGCCAAATTTCGTTAGATACATAAGAACAGAGTTCAGCAAGTACCGAGATATCTCTCGCAAAGATTTCAGCACCATAGAACACTTGCTCAGGGTCGGAAATCGTCGCTTAAAAATGTATTCCGCATCGGAGGTGAAAGACATACATTAGAATTCCAACAGATCCAAAAGCCCAAAAAGTGCCTGGTGGTGTTAAAAATCCATGGAGCTCAGCTGCAATTACTTCTGCTGTGTTTATCTTGTATCCAAAACCCTACAAATTATGTAAAATACACTAATGTTAACAAAAATACCAATTCGTTCTTACCTGAAGAGCTGGCGATAGTTGGCCAGTACGAATGACACCAAATAGTTTCGTTCCCTCATGTCCGTGATGTCTTTTTCGCCACTATAGTCTCGAATAATACCTGGCGCAAATACTAGTGAGAGATTATGCAGGTTCATAAGATTATAATCGCTGTATCGAGCGACAACGTCAATGTGTTGAACCAAGACTTTAAGCAAACTGTAGTGCTGCTGTGGCAACTGTTGCAGTATGCCGCACAACTGTTCAACAGCGTTTTGAAGTAAATCCTCGAATTCCGTGTTAGAACTCGCCTTGAGCGGTAGAGCGTTTATCAAATTGTTTTCACGAACAAATTCCATGAGGGGCTCATATACTTGAAAGGTAAAGACCGGGTTCGGAAGTTTTCTCAGATATCTCTTGAGTACGCCAGATACGGCATGAATGTCTTGGTTTAATTGCTTCTCAAGCTGATCTGAAATAGGTTTGTTAGGCTGCCAACGCGCAAACTCAGACTCAATTTGTTCAATGAGAACCTGGCTTCCGGACTTTCTGTATAACCCATCGCTCTTCAAAAACGCCTCCTTGGACTCAATGTGTCTAATGCAAGTGTTCATTATCATTGGTATTTCGCTTTGCTCGAAAACACAACGAGATATCAAAGTTGACCCATATAACGAGGCTCCATCTTTCTTAGCCGGAGGCGATGCTGACAGTGCTCTAGATTCACTTTTTACCGGTAGCATCTTCATGTCCTCAAACTCGTTGGGATTCTGTAACACGGGAGGGGAAATGTCAAGCTTATTTTGCCCATTGGTGTACCCTGGATTGGGTTTGCCTGAAAACAACTTCCAGAATTTAGGCTTTGCCGTAGTGACAACATTTGCTGTTGCCGCATGACTTTCCCCAGATTCCTCAAAGTTATCGTGTTCCAAATATTCGCTAGATTCCAATCCGCTAGGAACGCTACCTCTTTCGCTTCTTAAAGATCGAATCTCGCCTTGTAAAGATTCTTTTGTGGATTTTAATGAATCGACATCATGTACTAATTTAGATTTTTGAGAGTTTAGTTGATTGACTTCGAGTTTCAAGCGGCGTAAAGAAAGCTCCATTTGCAAGAGATCTTTTCTTAGAAAATCATCATTTGTCGGGGTGGCATCATTATCCTCATCTCTTTCCTCGATCTGAGTATTACCAACAGCCGGACTATTAGTTTGCGATGTTGCACTCTTAATAAATGATGATTGTGTATCTAGCGGGGGAGTGCGATAAACTGACACACCTGCAGTACCACTATTAGACCGAATGTGTTGCGTCAAATCACTACTACCCCCACGGGCATGAGGATAGATTGTGCTGTCACTTGAATGCTTCGGCGTAGCGCGTTCGGTTGAAGAGGGCGACTTTGTGGCGGCATGAGAAGCCACTCCCCATCCGGAATGAGTATCGTGGTCTTGACTCTTGAAAGGTTGTCCATTGCTTCTTGTATCCTTTGATTTAGGCCTTAGGTTCATCATTATGCTTTTTGATCTTAAAGAGAGCGACCTACCAAGCTTTTTAGCGTTGCCACTGGAAGATCTTTTATGGTGACCGAAAATAGGCGGCGATTGCGGCATCTCAGATGTTGGGGGCTCATCACTTTTTGATGGCATGCTATCGTAACATACTCCAATAGGCTCGTCTTCAGTGCTTGGAGTTCGACTATTTGATCTCGCCAATATCCCCAGACCTGGGCTTTTTGGTTCATCCTTAGGTTCTACCTTCACAGGTGAGTTCAACGTATTCATTACATCTTCTTCGTCCAGCACTAGACCTTGTCGGTACGCAACAGGTGACCTGTTAACAACGTCCTCGTTAGAGTTCCTCAAAGGAGTTCTATTGAGAAGAACTTTCTTTTGTTCTTTAGGCAATTCCAAAAATTGGTTAATGCTTCCCTCAGTGTCTTCGTCCTGGTATTCATCATTTTCCAGGGTAGTTTGCAACATGTCATCAATTGACAACTGACTCTTGTGGGTCTTGCGAGGCGTGGCATATGTTGTGGTCTCCGCCACCTGCTCGGGCTCAATTGATGTCTCTCCACTTTCAGGCTTAACGGATTCTTCATCAGCAGTGCTCATATAATCACCGTCAAGTAAGAACTGGGCTACTACACTCTCGGAATTACTGCGAATGGTGCTGTTGTTGGTAGCAAATTCAGACGCATCGTGTTTCTCAGCTGTTATTAAAGGTTCACCGCTCGCAGACGTAGCTGCAGAAAAGTCCAGTGGCACGGTAATTGAAGATGCACTGGAAACGGGGCGGTCTACGATGTTGGGAGAAGAATTGAGCGACGTATCCTCTCTCGAGAATGCTGAGTACCGAAGATTGTCCTTAATAGGAGACAAGGGTCTTTGAGTAGAGCGCTCTGGAACCACCACATCTGGATTCGTGATAGAACTGCTCAGATCTGGGTTACTATCACTTGGGGGTATCAAAGGCAGTTGCTTTTTTAGCCGTCGTTTGCGCTCTTCGTAGTTCTTACGCTTCTCCAAAAGCCGTTCATGACATCCTATACAGAACAGCCCGCGTTTCGTTTTAGCATAACGCAGATCGTCAATCTTACATTCACATTTGCAACATTTGAAGCATTCGGAGCAGTACGCCTCATTCGACGACGCGAGGATGATGGCCAAATCATCGATTTTTTTGCCACAGCTCTTGCACGAATCTGAGCACGTATAACATATCAACGCCCCTGTGCCCAACACCAGAAAGTTGGAATCACAGCTCAGAGGTTTTTCGCACTTGTAGCATGAAAAACAATGCGTGTGCCATCTGTCACCTCCCAATTCATATGCATGGCCCATGACCAGTTGCCCTTTACATCTCACGCAAGTTGGCGTTTCAGTAGGTGAGTTTCCCATGAATGTATGCAGTTAGATCACCAGCGATCCCAATAATTGATCTGATTTTAAAGACCTTATCTAAGTTGGTAACCCCAAGCCAGGAACTGCAGAAACTATTGAAGTCCCAAGCTATCAAAGCTCAGAAGTGAAATGTTAATTCAAGAAACGGATCTCAGTTTCTCACTGCTTTTGTATCTTTTCTGCAGAATGTCATTTCTGAACTAAATGTATTAGAGTTTTACCAACAAGAATTGAAGGACATCTCAACCTACGACTGAGAACGCCAAAACGATAGCAACGTCAAATTTAGAACAGAGGATGTTAACTTCTGTTTGGTGAAGATACGCAACGATCGAAGAGCATATGCAAGAATTGATAGAATGAATAACAATAATTTATGGAACTTGTGGCCTTGAAAGGAAATTTTCTTAATATTCTTTTCAGATGACCATCTGTCTAACGCGCCCTGCCAAATGAAAAGAGCTCGGAAAACTTGAGAGGCATTCGATTAGTAGTCACAATGTAGCTATGAAACTCTTCGGCTATAAATAATCTGCGTTACTCTTTCAAGAAAGTAGGGAATGACACTGTCTTGAAATAATCAAAAGTTACTCGCCAGTAGCCTTGAATAAACTATCACAATTTCAATAGTCTTAAATTAACTCCCACAGCTTCCATAGCAAGTATGGGCTTCCGCATTCTTTACATTTCAAATTGACGACATGTCGCTGGCTTTGGAACTTCTCCGCTAAACGTGTCCACCTCCGATACAACCAGGATATGTGATCCTATTAGCTAAATTTCTAGAAGTGACACGCGGTTTCAAGTCAATGCCTCGATAAAACAACAGGACTTGCGCTTTTCTATTCTCACATAGTGCCCTTCAACTCAATAACATTTTTTTGGCTTGGGGCACACATAGCCGAGTTGTCTTCATGCTGGCTCCTTTTGCAATTGAAAGGGTTTTTACTCTATATCTTAACACTACAGTAAAGTGAAAGAGTACAGGGACAAATCTGAGAAAGTTGGCTGCAGTAAATTGATAGAGTACAGAGACGAACCTCAGCGAGTTAGCCGAAATGGTCTGACCCAGAAAGATCCTCACCACTTGGGCATTATGAACTCACTTGCAAAGTGTTGCAAGCTTTTGAACTCCCACAAATAGTTGCGGGAGGTTTTGACTTGGCCTTATGAGAATTGAATTACAGAAATAGTTTAAATCTCCGAAGTCACATAGTGTTTTGGAAGGAATACTCATTTTAGCTGGCATGTGCGTTTGTATGGTAGACTCCTGTAGTACAGTAAACACTCATGACGCAATTGAGCAAAGAGCACTTTTGAAGCTTGATTCCCCTATTAACATAAACATTTGATGTCAACTTTTTGTTGACCAAGCCGTAAACATTAAGTAGCCAATACTCGAAATGCCCAGACACCAAACTCAATGAGCAATCGCCACTTTAAAAAGCTAAAGAAAAGCCGCGAATAACAAGTTGTGTAACTAAATGATAAGTTGAAAGTTGTCTCAGCATATCGGCGGCTAATTAAGATCTCTAAGATGTCAATAAAGGAGGTCCCCAAAGGTACTAACTGTTTTGACAAATATGATAATCTCATATATAAAAGGTTAGTAACAATGCTGAAGCGGGCCTCAGTTGGTGGCAATGGGCTAAATCATACGGAACTTTTCACACCGACCTTGTCACGTCTTCTTACTATCACGTGGGACATGATGGAAGGTGTTTTGTTTCCAGTTGAGAAAAATATCAATCCTACAATATATAAAGTTTTGAAGGTTAAGCTAGTTAAGACATAGAAAATCATTAAGACATGTCCGGCGTCGAATCAAAGACCACTGCCTCTGCACAGTTTTTATCGAATATTATCGGCCAGGCCGTGGTTGTAAAACTACACAACGGAATGTTATACCAGGGTGTATTGGAATCTATCGATGGGTTTATGAATATTGCATTAAATCAGGCTACAGAACATTACGAAACAGATGAAAATGGTCTTCTGCATAGGTATGACGGTGACGTTTTTGTGAGGGGTACTCAAGTACTCTATATTAGCGAGGCATGATATATGTGTATGTAATAAAAAAAATGGAATAATACTGAGGATTAGTGATAGTTCTGAGCAAGAGGTACGAAAAAGATACGCTTTGCCATGAGGCACAATGGCCGGACTTCTGACGTTGTGAATTTTCTCATGCCCCTTGACGAACAGCAGAGGTTGGGCCGTCATCTTTACGTATCATAGGCATTTTCGACTTACTATTGAATATTCATTGGCTCAAATACAATGAGTCTGGTTTATATAGGTGCATGTTATCATAGAGAGAGCAGAGCTTAATGTTCGGCACCGCCCTTGTGGTGTCTCAAATGGAAGTAGTATTCCATGGAGTAACCCATTCCGAGCATGAAGAGCGCCAAATGCAACAATGGCTTACCACTGGCATTGTCTCCATCAAAGTACTTGGCCTTGTACTTACCGATAGGGCCGGATGGTCTGAAAGCAGGGGCAGCACCCTGAGGCAAGGACTTGTAGAACTGGACGACTTGCGAAATGCGCTGAGCGTTTGGAGCGGAACCTAGGTTCTGTGATGAGGGTTAGTAACGGTTTGCAACCTGATAATATGGTAGGGGAACGTTTGTTCGATCGCTGACGAAGCTTGCAATCGGCACTATTCACGGTGCCTTATCATCGCTGTAATAGAATATCGGCATGTTTCAATAGTGAACCAGCTTTCGGAAAATTCTTTGAAGGCTTAGCTGTAACGTAAAGCACGGATACCGTCGCCAATTCAAGCATATTTAAATCGTCCACCACACTCATTCCATTGGGACCGGATGGTCTCAGAAAAACTCAAATAAACGTACCTTGGCAGAAACAATCTTTGGAGGAATCAAAGTAGAGAGAGCACGTTTGGCGATCATGATTGTCTTTTCTTCGATCGTTATCGTCAATGATTTCTGATTCGACCTTGTACTAGTTCAACTCCTTTACAATAATACACAACATATCATTTTTTAATGGGAAAAATTTTGGATCGTGAAGAGCGACATCGAGAACAAGTTTTGATTGGTCCTGAAAGCTCAGCGGTAATGAAACATTGAGACTTGAAGCCAAGCCTTACCACATCTTTCAAACCTGATCTGCGTGTTTCATATAGCAGAAGACTGATGTGAGACGTCAAGAGGTATCAAGCAATGGTCTGCTTCTCACTTTCTCAAAAACTGTAACATTTCGTGGGTAGATAGGAATTTTACCCTTGGCTTACCCTGTAATTGGCCCCTACTTCTCTCTTCTTTGTCGATCTTTTCCCAGTCGTCCCACGTAGTATAATTAATTCTAGATAGATCGACGTCTTTGTTTTTCGGTAAACTACCCGATTCCAGCTCTGCGATAACCGCATCGGCGACTTCGAAAGCGTCCGACATTGTAGAAGCGATAACGCCACTGCTGCCTCTGCGAATCCAGCCCGCAGCAAATAACCCCCGCACAATAACACCATTGGTGTCCAAAACGTAGCCATTTGTGTTCGCAATACGATTCGTAGCAAACCCAATCTGGAGTGCATCAAACTCTTCCAAGGCACTACTTCCATATCCCAATGAGGTGATCAGCAAATCTAGGTCATAGTTCAAAGTGTCACTTTTGCGCTGCTCTAATTTGTTATCTTGAGTCAAAATATTGCGACACAAAGTTAGAGATTCAAGTTTGCCTTCTGAATTCCCGTTAATAGTTAAAGGTGTCTTTAAATAGTCCATTTCCCAGGTTCTTGACGGGATGGTTGAAGGCGGTCTATGCTTTTTGTAATTCTTCTTTGTCCTTTGATCAAATGGCAGCATGTACTCGGAAACCATTTCAACTCGACGCTTAAAAACTCTTTCTGCATTCTTCATGTCAAATTGGCTCGCTTTAAAGAACTCAGGACTTATTGTACCTCTGATACCAAACCTTTCGAGTTCCCACAACTCGCGGAATTCTTTATTGGTAAACTTGCTGTGAGAAAAATCTCGGCGCGCTATAAGCTTTACATTTTCAACTGGCGCCTCATTTAGTGCCTTGAGTGCTTCCGGATTAATGTCGGTGTGAGTCCATATATCTTTGATTTGATTACTCAACAGGACGCGAGTAATATCTAGAGCGACGTTACCGTTACCTATAATACCAACTCGACGAACTTTAGACCAGTCGAAAGAGCTGAGCTTATCTTTAACGCCAGAATATTCGGGATGCCCGTTATACCAGTTAACTATTTCTCGACTGGTGAACACCCCAGCGGTAGTATTCTCACCAGGAATTCCAAGCTTGTGGTCGCCACTGCAGCCGTAGCTTAACACAACGGCATCTTGGGTTTCTAGCAGTTTCTTCAGTTTCACATCTCTTCCTACATCAACATTTCCCACAAATCGAAAACTGTGACCTTTGCCTGTACCGTGTGCGAATTCTTCGGCACATCGACTGAACGTATCCTCACAGTTCTTTACTTCGGGGTGGTCGGGAGCTACACCATACCGGCTGAGTCCGAATGGCACTGGTAACTTTTCCCACAATGTAACATCTAATGGAATTTGGGCTTTCGCTAACAGTCTACAAACCGTGTAGAACCCAGATGGGCCAGAGCCCACAACCGAAACGGATTTTCTTTCGGTTGTTAAGAATCTGAGACCAAATGTAGTCTTATGCGCAATACGTAGCATGTCCCTGAATATGGTTGCTCAGTGCATCGGTTCTTTTCAACTTGGCTTCGAAAACAATTATTAATTAACGATTGATTCAAGAAGATGTCAACTGCATTAAAAGAAGCAGTAAAGTCTAGGTTATAATCATTCACAAAACTTCTTTCTGGGACGTTATAATAGAAGATGTGGTATTTGTGACCGGGGCGCATGAATATCACAGTTGTTCCATCGCCTTAAAGGAACTTTACCAAAATGAGAAATTGTAAGATCTATAAGACTGCTGTTCAAGCTATTAGGAGAAGAATGCATTAGTACCATGTAGCTCAGCAGCGCTCTCGGCCCCTCAAGAGCTGCTGCGCGATGTTAACTCAATCGATCAAATGTTGTGCATTTGTTGAATAGAATGTCACTTCCTAAAGTATTATCGATCGACCCATGATGCCGAGCTGTGATCTATTCCAGTGTCTGCCTGTCTTCTGGATTAAGAAATGGGTAATAAACCATGAACTTGATGATATGCAAGCTACACTTTTTTTAACCTCCAAACCGTGCGTGACAAGGGTCAGTCCACGTTGCGGATATATTGACAAGATGTACTACATTTGCAGAGAGTGTGGGACGAAAGTAAAGGGACATGGCCTTGGCACTAAGATCACAATGGCTGATCTCCAGTTCAACGACAACGCGACAAATTAATTTATACGTAAGCTAGCCTGATAACTAGCTTTTCAAACACTCTCAAATTAGTTTGCTGCCAAATTGAAACCGCACCCTAAGCTTTCAACTCTCTCATCCAGAGCTTTTTTGCTTTTCTTGGCAGGATGGCTCATAAAATCAAGCTACCAGCTATAAAGCAAAGCTAGAGTTTTAACTATGAGCTAAGTAAATCCTGCCAGCGATAATCGCAATGGTTATCTTTTCGAAAGCATGTTTTGTCCCACTTAAAGTTTTAGGTAGCGGCATTTTCGCTCAGTAGTCAGAGCCTCTCGCACATTCCACAATCAGGATATATCAGCCGTTCTTCAATTTCGAAATTTGTTCATCGATGGTCTGGAAAGTCACTAGCCATTATTTGAACTTTAAGCTAAGTTTTATAATGTGGAGATCAGGATGCCGAGTGCATTTCCACATGAATTTCATGTATTCTGGCCTCGCTTAAGGTAGCCATTTGAGATCGTTAAATGTTTGAAAGGCCTCAAACTGGCCAGATGTATTCATTGGGACATAAGGTTATTTCCCTGCGTGCACTTAAAGCTAGCGAGTCTATGCATTTTACTTAAATATTTGGATGAAGAAGGTTAGATGTGCATAAGACAAAGTATAGGTTATCACACATGATTCTTGAAAAAAATTTGGAAAATGGCCAAATCAACGAAGCATTCAACAGACGCCTAAGTCAAGATTTATTGACCAAGACGTTCTTGTTTGCTAACTTTGACAGTAGCAGGAAATGGATAATCCCAATGGGGCAAATCCTAATGCGCCCCCGCCTTTTGATCTCGAGAAACTAAGAAAAGAGTCTGATGGTTCCATGTCTGGCATGGCCACTAACCTTTTCCATCAAGTGGTCCAGGGAAATCCTTATTTCGCTGCCGGCGGTGGACTTATGGTTCTTGGATCTTGTTTAGCCCTTACGAGATCGGCCGTTATAAGAGTAAGCGGACTTCTATACCGTCAATTATTGGTAGACATGGAAATTCCATCAAAGGACAAATCGTACCTGTGGTTTCTGGAATGGATGGCCAAACATCCGCATCGCTCTTCAAGGCACCTTTCCGTCGAGACTAATTTTATTCAGCATGATAACGGTGCCGTGTCAACCAAGTTTTCGCTTGTCCCGGGTCCTGGTAATCATTTGATTAGGTATAAGGGTGCTTTTATGCTCATAAAACGCGAGAGATCTGGTAAAATGATTGATATGACTAATGGAGCTCCATTCGAGACTGTTACTCTCACAACTCTTTATAGAGATCGGCTACTCTTTCGCGACCTGTTGAGTGATGCCAAAAACTTGGCTGTGAAAGCCAAAGATGGCAAGACTGTCATTTTTACATCATGGGGTCCTGAATGGAGACCATTCGGCCAACCTAAGGCCAAGCGATTATTACCTTCTGTTATCTTGGATAAGGGTATCAAGCAAAACATTTTGAAAGACGTTAAGGAATTCTTGCAGAATGGTAAGTGGTATTTCGAACGCGGTATTCCTTACAGAAGAGGATACCTTCTATATGGACCTCCGGGGAGTGGCAAAACGAGTTTCATACAGGCGTTAGCTGGAGAACTGGATTATAACATCTGTATCATGAATTTGTCAGAAGCCAATCTAACCGATGATCGTCTGAATCACCTCATGAATAACATACCGGAAAGAAGCATTTTACTGCTGGAAGATATTGATGCTGCGTTCAATAAAAGATCCCAGTCATCAGAGGCTGGCTTTCAATCGGGTGTAACGTTTAGCGGACTACTGAACGCCCTTGACGGAGTTGCGTCATCCGAAGAAACTATCACTTTCATGACCACCAATCATCCAGAGGTTTTGGATCCTGCCATAATGAGACCAGGCAGAATCGATTACAAAGTATTTGTCGGCAATGCCACTCCATACCAAATTGGTGAAATGTTTATGAAATTTTATCCAGGTGAAGAGAAATTTTGCCAATCATTTGTTGAAAAGGCGACCTCTCTTGATGTCTCTATAAGTACAGCCCAACTACAGGGTTTGTTTGTTTTCAACAAAGATGCACCAGAGTCTGCGCTGAAAATGGTTGAGACCTTGAAGTTTCCAAACCATGTTTTTTAAAGTGATGCACTTCTGCTGCGAACATTTTGAAAGCCTTTCAAAAGCATAATGTGCGTCAGCTGTAATTCAGCTTAAAGAGTGGCTAATTAAGAGAGGCTGAGCAGAGATGGAAAACTTCACATACTTCTGAATTTACCTCGAAATACAGTTAAACTCCATTCAATATTACTTGCACACTGGGCCACTCGCTTTGAAAAGTCTGATATAAAAGATGGTGCAGATGAAAAGTTATGTGTGATAAGTGATATTTTCACTGTAAGATTTTGAAACATCACTAATTAATTACCTTGTAAATAATATGTTCTAAACAAAAAGTTCAATATTTAGCGCCGTTCTACTTTCACTCTAATCTGCTAGCAAAGCAGAAGCTGCTTGGCTAGGAATCGCCATAACAGTTACGGCTTTCAACCTTATACGTTTCGTGGTTTAAAGATAGGGAAAATGGTGAATAATTTTAGATTTGCCGCTTATGATAATATTGCTGCACAGGCCATCGAAATGAGCCCAATGAGAACTATCGAGGACTCTCTGAAAGAACTTGAGAGGTACTTCTCAAGTGACAGGGATAATATAACTGATTCAGAGCACTTATCGCAAGTCGATGATTTTAACTCCAGTACTCAAAGTGATTTTGGCACATCGGGGAGTGATGATTTTGGGCCCTTTAGCACGGGGTCAAGAAGCTCTACATTGGCTAGTGCGGACATGAGTCACTTTGCCCTGGATCCTTCACAAAGTTCTCAAATGTCACACCAGCATGTCAAGATACCAGTGCATCCCGAGTCCAGATATTTCGTTATTAAATCCTGTAGGTCTGAGCATATTGAAATTTCTAATATTAAGAATGTTTGGTCATCTACGGAACTGGGTAACCGTCGGCTATCTAAAGCATTTCAAGCTCGTAGTAGTGGCGCTCATATTTTCCTGCTGTTTTCCGTCAATGGTTCTGGTTGCTTTTGTGGACTAGCGGAAATGACGACTGACTTGCGGGATACTCAAGACGACATTTGGATGGACAAAAGAAGATTTAAACGTGTTTTCTCAGTGCGTTGGTTGATTACGCACGACATTCCCAATAATAAGTTTAGACACCTTCGCAACCCACTCAATGAAATGAAATCTGTGACGCAGTCAAGAGACACGCAAGAGATCCCTTTACCTATCGGAAGATCTATCACAATGATCTTCGAGGAATCCGTTAAACTGACGCAGTCATTTTCGGCAAAAACGACATATTGAAACCTTTTAAGGTGAAAAACATAATTTTATGATTCCCTTTCTTTCACGAAATAAAGGTTGCGACCAAAGCACTGATTGCCATGCTCCATAAATCATTCGCTAAACATTCGTGCCGCTCGTTTTCTGTACTCAAGAAACTGAAAAATCTGGAGAAATCTCCATCTAGCAAAGTGTCTCATACTCATGATCAATTTAAACCTCTGTCGGAAGCTCAAGTCGCTTACCTGGATCGAGCTATAAGAGTAGACCAGGCTGGAGAGCTTGGTGCAAACTATATTTACGCAGGTCAGTATTTTGTTTTGGCTAACAAGCATCCACATCTGAAACCCGTTTTACAGCATATGTGGGATCAAGAAATTCATCATCACAACACATTTAATGATTTACAAATCAAACGTCGCGTGCGGCCTAGTTTGCTAACACCACTTTGGAAACTTGGCGCATTTGTTATTGGAAGTGGCACTGCTATTATATCACCGGAAGCAGCTATGGCATGCACAGAGGCAGTAGAAACAGTTATTGGAGGTCATTACAACGATCAGCTAAGATGTTTAAACAATCAGTATGAGATGGACAAAATCGACGGTACTAAAGGTCAGAGTCTGGAAATACAGAATCTGGTGTCTACCATCAAGCAGTTCCGGGACGAAGAATTAGAACATTTAGACACTGCGGTCGAATACGATTCTCACAAAGCCGTTCCTTATATCGTTTTGACAGAGGCCATCAAGGCAATTTGCAGATCAGCTGTGTGGACCGCAGAGAGGATATGATCGATCAGGAAGGGCACAAAGCGGGACCGACAATAGTGGGAAAACCAATCATTATTAGATCTTGGAAATTAAAAGGGCAATTTCTGTACATTATATTTACGTCGCTAATATAACACCTTGTTATAACAAAAAAATACATTTGAGCCTCGAGAACGGCGAGTCTTCTACGATAAACCCTTGCTAAGGGGATAAATCCTGAAGGAAACGCTTATCCTCAGGACTGTTATACCAATCCATCGTATAGGTTCAAAGCGCTCACGATTGAGGGATCGACTTTCGAAGCTTCGCGAAACTCCTCCAGGGAGATCTCGCCATCTTCGTTCTTGTCCATTAGCTTGAATATTTTCTTCACGCGCAGCTCTGGCGTCGCCTCGTTATCTTCCAGCTTGACCATCGACCCTATCATCTTGTAGATGCTAGAAACTATCGTGAGCATTTCATCGTAAGAGATGGACCCATCGTGATCTAGATCGTAGAGCTGGAAAGCCCACACAAGCTTTTCCTCTAGAGTTCCTCTTGAAGTTGTGCTTAGAGCCGATATGAATTCCTTGAAATCGATGGTGCCGTTTTCGTCTTTGTCAAACACCTTGAATACATGGTTTGCGAACTCCTCGGGTGCTCCGAATGGGAAAAACTGCTTGTATATCTTGGTGAACTCGTCTTTGGTTAGTTCTCCAGATGGACAGTCTCTGAGAAAGCCCTTATGCCATTGTTGAATTTCGCGACGATCAAAGTATGTGGATTGTCTGAGACTGGTCAAATCATCTTTGGAAAGCTTGGAAGTTTTCGCACCCATGTCTGGTAAATAATACAGAGATTAGTGAGCAAGATTAAGTGCTTGTGAATAACTTGGTTATGTTCACTGTTGACTTTCCTATCTTGAAAATAATTTGAAGGTTCTGGTTTGGGTCATTTTCATCGACATTTTGTAATAAAGCATTCTAAGCCCTTATTATAAGAATTCGACGATGGCAATCACACCAAGCTACTAAGCCGCTCTCGACACTTGTATAGTATCATGCTTGGTAGTGTAGAGGGTCTGAGACAATGAGGAAACCTCACGCCACCTGGCCACGCTGTGGCAGACGGCTGAACGCTGTTGAGTTTCAATTTTTTTGAAGCACAAGATTACAGGCATTCAGCGTCTTATTGATTGCTAGCCAAAGGTTGGAAGATTGGGCCATGTAATCGGTTGCGGAAAAGCTATCATTATCTGCTTTTATAGACTGATGAAGTCTGGTGCTTCAAATAAAGCCGTTTAAAAACCTCTTGCGACGAAAAAGACCTCTAAATTAGTGCTAATAAACCATTGAGATTGGAGAATGCAAATCATGTCACTGTAATGCCGCTGGTCTCGCCTTGATCAACCGTCTGTGTGCTATAATACGCAGCCTTAACCATGAGAGTATTTAGAGTAACTTTGTACGAGCGTGGAGATTTCACTAGTGTTCACATCTCCCTGGGTAGAATCGAACCTTTAAAGGGCCCCGATTGATTTACCGTCAAAGGCTGACCATCACAAGCAATGTTCAAAGACTTCCAGGACTCTTTAACGTCCGAATACCCATCAGACGACCTTGGGTTGCTGCCGATGGAAGATGAGCCTGAGCATTCAGTGTCAGAGACCCATGACGATGGCAAAACACTTCTGTATCCCGATGCAGGAGACATGTTTCCCTTCAAGACGGCTGAAAGACTGTTAGATGAAGTAAAACTTGAGATGAGCTACAGGAACTCTCAGCACGATTTTCGACTTCGTGACGGGGTCTTGAAGTTGCCTGTCCTGGAGTATTCGAGGAGGAGACCAAATAATACCTATAGCATAGGCCATCTAGTGGACCAAGTGGCTCTCAAGACCCGCTACGAATATGAATCCAAGAGCTGCCCGCAATTGAACCGAGTCTGTGTGTTTATGGGGGTTTTGATTGACCATTCCGTCATCCCCACGACTCCTCAAGAGGTTTTAGAGGTCCCCATTTACCATTTGAAATTAACAGTTAAGACTCGAACACATTTAGAGCGCCTGCGCAAACAAGCTGGTGTCCGGCACTTTCATCTACTTTCATCTTTGCATCCTGCAGACGCAGCCGATTTAATGTTAGCAGATTCATCAGATCCGCAGCTCATTGAGTCCGCTGTGTATGTTTCGAATGATACTAATAAGCTTGTCTGCATTGAAATATTCAGATCTGAACTCTCTCACATCGATTTAAAGTCATTTGACCCAGATAGTATTCGGCAGCGATATGAAAATGCCTGCCAGAAATTTCCGGACTTGGATCCAGAAGCCGTACCGTCACAAGCCGAGTGCTTCAGTACACTTTTGAAAATATTTAAAGGTCCGCTTAGTAGACAGGGTCCTGGAGACGTCTTGAAAACCATATCTGCTGACAACAAGTTTTTGAACTCTCAATTAGATCCTAGCTGGTTAACTGACAAATTTCAGTTTCAACTGTGCAAGGCGCAGTCAGATGAAGAAGACCAAAATACGTCCTTAGAATTTCAGCCTCCCGATATGACTGATTATGTTCAAGACAATTCAGTGAGAAAGCTTCGAGAGTCTTATGTTCGCAAGTGTCTCGAATTAATCTTTTTGGGTAAGCTCTCCAGTTCTATGATGGCAAAAAATTGCCCAACGATGGAAAATAAGGCTCGCTCATTTCAACTCTACCAGTTCAACTACACTTCTTCCTTTTTTTACCATGTCTTGGGTGAAAACAGAGGCATAGCTGACCAAGAAAATAAGGATATTGACTACAACTACAACTTTGTTAATCTTTCTGCATGCAACTATTACAATGAGAAAGACATAATCAAAAATTACGAATGTCAAGTCAAACTGGATCCTGAGAACGCCGGAATCTACTTTGATGCGCTCACGTATGTTGCGAATGTAAAAGGAAATTATCACCTGATTGCGTATACTCGCAAGCAAGATGTAGTAGGAAAAGAAAGTCTCGACTCGGCTCTCTCATTGTTTGGAATTGACTCTTTCAATGCCAACCTAGATGCTATTACCGATGATCTACTACTAGGAATTTACAGAAAAGAAATTTATCAAGCGGGTACTCAAAAACGCGCGAATCTTAAGAACGCTTTGAGGTTAATAGCGAAGGCCAAAAATAGCGAGGCTTTACGATTCTATGCCGCTTATGAGCCTTATGAGAATGCATACCAGGCATATCGTTTGCTGGAAATTGACGAATCTGTAGACGTGGATGTTATCGAGACGGCATACACTATAAAGATCGTCGACTCGCCTGGCTTAAAGATTGACTGCGATAGAGCAATTTATACCCTTGCGGTTAATAAACGAAGCATGCCATTGTTCAATTTCCTTAAGGAGCAATGCCCATTATTTCAAGAGTATTACTCTGCTGACAATCTCAACTATCGGGAGGCTTTGGAACTTTTACAAGTGAATGAAAACGCATCTGACGAAGTCGCTCTAGAAGTCTTTCAAAGAAAATGGTTTCATGAAGCCGTTTCTTCTCCTGATCAATTTTTAAAGTTAGGTAGCGCTTTGAAGAAGATCGGCCAAGAGCGCAACTCTCTACTAATAGATCGGTATCTGGAAACTGGAAGAATTGACGTTTCATGCCTTCCTGCAGGTAATTGGCCTACCGGTTTGAATAATATTGGCAACACTTGCTACTTGAACTCTTTGCTGCAATACTACTTCTGCATTTCACCTTTGCGGGAAGCCATCATGAAATATCAGAGCACTTTGAGCGAGTTTCAACATTCACTTGGCCATCTTGGCGCTAAAAGGCGTATTGGTGGGCGGGAAATTAGCAAGCCCGAAGTTGAAAGATCTGTCCAGTTCGTCTATCAATTACGTGATTTGTTCGCAAATATGGTTCATACCAACAGCAAATTTGTTACTCCCACAAAAGAACTGGCGTACCTTGCATTCGCCCCAAGCAACATTGAAGTTGACTTCGAAGAGACGCCGCCGCCTAAGGAGACCGGGACAGACGAAGATATCGCGATCATTGATCTAACCAATGATAGTAGCGAGGATGTGGACATGTCAAAACTTCCGTCAATGGAAGGCCAAGCTGACTCTAGAAATGCCGCTGAAGACATAATACTCAAGGGTGCTGAACCTTCGGAGCCCATGGTCACCTCAACTAGAGTGACAAATATTAGCGCTGACCAACTTGAGAACGCGCTGGAGATGGGGCGACAACAAGATGTGACTGAGTGCATTGGTAATGTGCTTTTTCAATTGGAGAGTGCCTCTGACCCAATTAATTTGGATGAAGACGGAGAACAATATGATTTGATAAAAGAGCTATTTTTCGGCAAACTCAAACAAAACTTAGTTCCTCTGAATGACGTTCAAAAGATAAGAACCAAAATTGAGCGATTTGTGTCTTTACTGATTAACGTAGGAGATCATCCCAAAGACGTTTACGATGCATTGGATCAGTATTTTAAAGATGATATTTTGCAGCTGGATGACGGTCATGTGAAAAGGAGTGTATCGGTAACACAGCTTCCTACCGTATTGCAGATCCAAATTCAAAGAGTCTATTACGATCGCGAAAAGTTCATGCCGTTCAAATCAATCGAGCCTTTGCCCTTCAAAGATATAATATACATGGATAGATACATGGACACAAAGGACCCGATATTATTGGCAAAACGGGAAGAAGCTGCAGCGATGAAGTCGGAGCTAGAATCATTGAAAATGAGACAGCGGGCTTTGTTGGAGAAGAATGGCAGTGGGATGAGCTTTAAAACGTCGTTATTGGAGACCAAAAAATTCTTGCAATCAGAAGTTTTGAATCAGCATGCGATTAATATTCCAAATAAGACAGAATCCCTCACGACCATCGATTCCTTGATCTTAAAAATTGATAACGAGCTTGCAGAGCTGTATCAGCGAGTCACCATTTTAGACCAAAAACTGAGCACTCATTTCAACGATTTCCAAAGCCATGGTTATTCATTGTTTGCAGTTTTCATACATCGTGGTGAGGCCAGTTATGGGCATTACTGGATCTACATAAAAGACCACGCTCGCAATGGAATTTGGCGCAAGTACAATGACGAGACGGTAACCGAGGCGCCCGAAAGTGAGGTTTTCAATTTTGCGGCAGGAAATACCGCAACACCATACTTTCTCGTGTATGTGAAACAAGGCCAAGAAGATGTCATAGAACCTCTAAAGAGAGTCGTGCTTGCGGACTAAAGACACCTTACACGCCAATTAAATATATATTTGCTTCATAGCATGCGGAGCTACTTTAGTAGTCATTTTAGACGATATAACGAATCTTAAAAATTGAGAAAAACACTTCGATCAGAGAGGTGTACCTTTAATTCTGAAATTGATCCAAATCCTTCACCCTTCCTGAACGTTGCAGAGCAAATTGAGCACCCTATAAGCGTGCTAAATCTATATCTGTATTTTTGAGTAGGAGTATACTTAATTCAAGTGGCTTTTATTTATTTTACCGCTTGATCTTTGCCAAACCCAGCTTTATTTGCGGAACCAAACCACGAACACCGCCAACAACTATGTCCGGACTTCAGCGCCGTCGCGTCAACAAAAGTGACTCCGACTATTCATCAAACTTTAACAGCAACAACAATAATACTACCACCAATGAGGAAGATGAAAGTGTTAACAAAAAAATAGCTTACGACCCGGAAGAGGTGAGCTTGAAGAATAACAATACCGTTCCTAAACTTACATTAATGGAGGAAGTGTTGTTAATGGGCCTGAAGGATAAGGAGGGCTATTTATCTTTCTGGAACGACAATATTTCGTATGCATTACGCGGATGCATTTTGATTGAATTGGCGTTACGGGGGAAAATTCAAGTGGTCAACGACCCAGCCAGGAAGCGGTTCGACGTGTCCGAAAGACTTGTAGAAGTTATAAACGGTACTAAAACGGGTGAGGTATTGCTAGATGAGGCCCTCAACCTAATGAAAAACGACGAGCCTTTAACAATCGCCAACTGGATTGATTTGCTCAGCGGTGAAACTTGGAATTTTATGAAGATCAGCTACCAGCTGAAACAGGTGCGCGAAAGACTGGCTAAAGGCCTCGTCGACAAAGGCGTGTTGAGAACAGAAATGAAGAACTTTTTTCTGTTTGATATGCCAACTCACCCAGTAGTCGACTCCAGCTGCAAGGAAGCCATCAAACGTAGAATACTATCAGTTTTGGTTTCCAGAAACATGCAGCTCAATACTAACGAATACTTCCCCAGCACCGTATCGTTTAAGCTTATAAGAACATTGTCTCTGATCTGTGGGGCTTACGGTGCCAATGTCTTAGAGAATGTGTTGTCGAGTCTTGACTACGAAAAGAGAGACCATGCATTCGCCCGCGCTGATGAACTACTAGCGCAATTTTCTCAGTCTCCTTTCGCGTTGGATAAACAAACGGAAACAGGTATTTCTGTCAATTTAAACAAAGATGCTAAGGAAGAAGTTGCAGAGTTTCCGGAGGCAAGTCTACGACTAGAAGTTGTTTCTGGTGTATTTGAGGTATTCTCTAGAATGGACACTTTATTATGAGTTTCATCGCATCTTAAAGGAAAAAATAAAGCATAAGTTATGTTATAAACTTTACAACGAATATTTATTTAGTTGCCTTTGATTATGGCGACAAAAGGGGCGTTAAAAACCCGTTTGGGTACGTCTTACGGTAGAAGAGAGCTACTTGTGGTAGAAGGTAAATTGTTGGCTCCGCCTTTTTAACAATTTTAAGTTCTTGAGTAAATCGTCTTGTCAGTGACCGGTCTTTGTTGCGATAATCTTCGCCACAAGACTCCCACCAAAATCCTCCCCCCAGTTGATGGCTCAAAACGTATTTTGCTTTCAGTGACATGGAATCAGGATTATCGTACACAAAAAGATTTGTGCTGCTCTTGATCGGAGATTTCTTGATGCAAAATGCAGATACTGCCTCGGGATCAAAGTGTTCTTGATAACCATTGGGTGGCAATGTCTTGTAAAGAGAAATGCCATCCTCTCCTTCAGAAGTACCTTTGACACCGTGAAACTTCATATTGACGACTACATTATCATTGTCTTTAGGGGCAGAGACTTTTTTGAATCCGCGACCATACGCTGGCATTCCAAGAATAATTTTGCTGGAGGGCACGTTGAACTTGGACATCAACATTTGGACTGTGTGATCAGCACTGGTGTCAGCACTATGGTCTCTCTTTGATCTCAGATCCATGTCATACAAGTTGCTCTGATACGCAGTGCGCTCTGACCAACTACCACTAAAATCATATGCCATCAAGTTGAAGTAGTTTACGGACTGTTCGATCTCCGAGAGCGGCAAATGCTCGAGATTAACAGGGTCTGCAGAAATTGCGGTAGTCAAAAGGAAATGCTGGCTGTGCTGCTCCGAGCCAAATATAGCATTCTCCAGCTTGTCAAGTTTTTCACGAAGCGATTTCATCATTTCAAGGTAGATTTGGGGCTCCTGTGAATTGTTTTCCGGAAATTCCCAGTCGATATCAATCCCATCAACGCCATATTTGAACATATTTTCGATGCAGGAATCCAGAAATTTTTGAAGTTTCTGGGGGTTGTCGGCAAGGCTTTTGAAGGCACTGCGGTTGGACCAGCCCCCCACAGACATGAGTGTTTTGAAATTATTAACCTTAGCAGGACCTCCACGGGAAACGAGGAAATTTGAATACTTCAGGTAAAATAGCTCTCCAAGACATCCAAGGGGAAGCTTGCTTTGTGTTGCTAAATCTTGATCTTTATACGTTTTTGTGAAGTTCATTTCTTGGAAACTGAACATCATCTGTTTGTAAACATCCATTTGAGAATCAGACCACTCATCGCTAGAGCGGCACTCTCCAGAGTCTGCATCCACCACAAAAAACGAATAAAATACATGTGTAACTTGCCTAAAGTCAATGTCGTGGGGGAAATGATTTCTGGCTTTGTATGGTGACCAGTTTGAGTAATAAACCCCGGACATGAATCCTTGGTCGCTGTACTCCAGTTCGTGATCCTTATCCTGTGTAACACTCATCATGTACTTACTGCGGACTACTGAGTTGTATTCGCTTGTTATGATCTTTTTATCTGCCCACTTGAATATATTTCCGAGGAACAAAGCCTCGAGTATAATGCCAATAATGCACAGAAATACTCCTAATTTTCGCCAAGCTCGATGTTTTCCGACGTCAGAGCTTAAGTCAGACATCGACGACAATCGAAATTCAAGCAAAATTTACAACGGATTTATAAAAGACCATTGCGAGGCACTTGTAGTACTTTACATATAGCAGTATAAATACCTTTCGCCGCTGACGCCAGGTTTCGCCTTTAAATTAAGAACAGCGGTCATTATTCGCGAAACTGACGCTATAATTTTGAAAAATTGATAATGAAAGCTTCAAAATAATCAACATTTATCAACGTAACTGGAATAAATCAACTCGAAATCACACTAATTGAGACGCTATGAGTAGTGTTGAAAGCGATTCTGGGGCTTTGCCGGACCAGGAAATCGATCAAGATGAAAATATGAAGACCGCAATTGAGGTAGACGGCGAGGAAATGGAAGATCTCTTCGGAGACGAAAGTGATAGAGATTCGCAGGATGAAGACGCAGAACAAGCTGTATCAGAGGATCGAGGCACTGTTCAAGATCGTCTGGATGATGATGAGGATGAACAAGCAATGTACAATCGTAAGTTTTACGGTGACAATGTCGATAATTCTGACGGTGAAGGATCGCAGCGCGAGTTCAGAGAAGCAGATGTGGACGTGATCAAGCATATAGTGCCGTACTCTACAGCTCCAAAGGAGGGCGAGAAAGGTATATTCTACGCCAAAATGCCCCAGTTTTTGACCATAGACCCTATACCATTTGATCCACCAGCGTTTCAAGAAAAGCTAGAGCAACGCGCATCACATTTGGCCTCTAAAGAGGACCAAGTGGATGACAGACTGATTGATGAAAACACAGTGCGTTGGAGATACTCACGGGATAGTAATCAGCGGGTTTTTAAGGAGTCCAATGCCCAAATTGTGCAATGGTCCGATGGGACATATTCGCTACGATTGGGCGACGAGTATACGGACGTGCTGATAAACGACACAGACAATACATACCTGGCGGTATCTCACGAGCAGCAGGAGCTGATCCAGTCTGTTAGGGGAGGAAACATCTCCAAAACGATGATGTTTATTCCTACATCAACGAATTCTAAAAGTCACCAGCGCCTCACAAAAGCCGTTGCTCGCAAAGAAGAACGCGAACACCAAGGTCCGAACACGTATATACTGCGGGTAGATCCTGAGCTGGAACAGAAGGAGCTCGAAAAGAAACAGAGCCAAATCGTGCGTGAAAGACGGAAGAGACAGCTGCGAGAACAGCAAGAGCGAGAAGGTCTGGATTCTCCAGAGCCCTCTGGAATGATGTCAAAATCTCGGGGTATGTCTTCTAAACGCCAATCTTCCTACGATAGAAACCAATACGACGAATATGAAGACGATGGCTTCATGGTGGACGACGAGGACGAGAATGAGGGAGAAAACCAAGATGATGAAGACGAGGAGGAGGAAGAAGAGGAAGAACTGGCAGGGGATGAAAGTGATAATGATGACATCAACGCCGAGCGCTTGAAACAACTCAAGAGAAGCGGTGCCTCGCAATATCGTGAAGACGTCAGCGGTGACGATAAAGGCGGTGACCAAAATGAAAATGACGACGAAAATGATGATGGCAGCGGACTAAAAAGGCGTAAAGTCGCTCTGCTCGATGAAGAGGATGAATAAAAACCATACTGGCCCATCAACAGCTAGGAAATCCTTTATTGTACATAATACGATGTCAACACCTATAATAACTAGCATGTATCAGTTACCCGGATTTTAGAACCGTTCAAAGTTTCACACTTAGTTCAAATCCCAACTCGCCCTTTTAAGATTCTCTTAGCAAAGACGTTAGAGAAACATCATTATACAACACTATACAATCCACTATGTCTTGGCAAGGTATGATATACCAATTGAGTCCCTTGGGCAAATTCGCACCCCAATATTTGTCGCTTACTAACTTTTAGCATAGCGTACACCGACAATCTTTTAGGCACTGGCAAGATTGACAAAGCGGCCATTTACTCCAGAGCTGGTGACTCTTTATGGGCCGCTTCCGGAGGCTTGAACCTGCCTGCCAACGAGATCACAGAAGTCGCAAATGGTTTTGAGAATCCTGCAGGGCTACAAAGCTCTGGCTTACATTTGCAAGGCCAGAAATTCATGCTCATTAGAGCCGACGATAGAAGTATTTACGGTAGGCATGATGCTGAAGGTGCCATCTGCGTGCGTACCAAGCAAACTATCTTGGTTGCTCACTATCCACCCGGAGTTCAGGCTGGTGAGGCTACAAAGATTGTCGAACAACTTGCCGATTACTTGATAAGCGTTTCTTACTGATCTAACACAGTTCGCTACCGCTTTTTGCAACTAAATACCCTAAGTCTACATATTTTCAAGAGCTGATAGCTAGGCAGAGATTTTCGAGACGTATGGGTCAATCTTTCAGTAATATTTAGTCTATTTAGGAGCACGGACAGCGCATCCGAATGGATAGATGATGATATTTTCCAAATCCCAAATATCTTGCTTAGCGAAAACATCACTATAGATAAGCTCTAGCGCTTCCTCCTTGGTCTTCGCTTCTATTTGTAGATGAGAGCCTGCGAAATTAGTGGGTTTTCCATCGGAGCCCACTTCATGATACAAGGCGCCGGCACATTTTAAGACACCTTTACCAAATGATTCGGTAACACCCTCCAAGTGCTGAGGTCTACAGGTAGATCTATCACTACCTTTCTTGTCGAAGACAATAGCGCACCATTCAACCATCTTTTTGGATTATATTGTTACAATAATTGTCAATTAGCTGGTAAACCTGCAATTGAGGTTCTTATGATCGCGATTAATCAAAACCAATCCGGTTATGTAGTGATTATAGTTCTGCCAATCCCACTTTTACATGTAGAAGCTTTTTCGTTCGTTGGGACATAAAGATACTCAAACACGTTTGTCTCACGTTTCTAAGTCCATCTAGCGATGAGCCCAGGCAACACAAACTGGCCATACCTAGACAACCAGTATTTGAGTGTCGACGTCGATTCAGTCATCGTTGAAAATTGGATATATGCGCATTGCTGTTCACGTTAACAGTCTACAATTTATAATGTCTAGAAAATTGACGTAGTCATTTACAATAGCGATTATTTCATTGGGTCTGATTGAGTAAAAGCAAATCAATCAACTACTATTGTTAGATGTAGCTGAAACTAAATAATAGTAAGGCTATCGTAATATCGTAATCTTCGTAATCTTCGTAATCTTCAACGACTTGGGTATTGTTAACCTTGGCTATATGACACAATGTCCAAGACCAAACCCAAACTGGAACACCTTTAATCCTAATGCAACGGACAAAACTTTCTTGATGAGGATTTTTCGCAGGGAGATTATGGCGTTGTCATATTTTTGGATTCGTGTGCTGGGTATTCGAAAAGTTCTGCTCCAGTCATCAGCACTCCGTCTTTTCTGTGCTCAATGTAGTTCGTTACCTTGGTTAGCGACAAATGCAAAATATGAAATGTGCATATTCTGTTTGATTGGCTATACCTCAGTTGAATTCACTAATTCTGTGCAGAATCTCTTTATTCTTGCCCCCGTCATGCCTTCGCTCATTTTTACGACGCGACGATGCTAGTTTCCTGGTCTTGTAGCTCGCATGTCCTTTCACACTAGCTTGTCCTTTCTCGTTGCCATACAAACTTGTGACAAAGTCCGATCCGATCAAAAATACTGGGCACAACCATAACGAGCTTTTGGGTATATACCTTACTATGGCCACCATTTTGATGGCAGCTTGACCCAATATTGATTTACAAGGCTGATTAGAATGAACAAGCCAGACAGGCTTTGCTTGATGCGCAGTTGAGAGGCAAAAAGACTAGTTGTGCGAATAATACATTGTTTTTACAATATTCGTAAAGTACAGAAATTTTTCTTAAGAACTTGCGATGAGATGAAATGAAGGTGCATTAAGTAAAATGATGTGAAAACTGTGTGTTTGAAGTGTTCTACAACGCTTATTGCATATCTTAATTCTACCTGGTCGGCTTCACAATCCACAGTGTTTTAACCATTTTTCATATTCGCGGTTGTTTGCTAAGTTTCTTAGTGCGTAAATGATCGATAATGTCCGAAGATATAGTACGAGGATTGCAGAAGCTGAGTATCAGAGGTTCCAAAAATGAGTGGAGTCTGAATTGTAAACAATTCGAACACATCAAACCTGCAACACATTCTTCTCAGAGTCTGCCGTTCTTTGAAGAGGTCGAAGAAGTGGGCACACTGACGCATTGGCTTGATACAGATGAAACTGTTCTTAGTAGTCAACAAGGTCTGGCCAATTTGGCGGATGATCTGTGTCACTTTATGCAGGATGGATCTCGCCTTAGTATTTCAAAGTACATTGGCCACGACATGCTCAAAAATTACGATAATTTCGTGCCGCTTACCACAGATCAACTTGAGAACATGACGGGTGTACGAAAGTTCATAGATCAGTGGAAAGGTAAAAATGGTCAGCAAAAACTAACAATCGTATGCTCCAGACATAATCTCATAGATCTGATAATGGCACCCTTCTCGGACCAAGCTGTCCACCTTAACGCTATCCACACAGGTGGCTATCTCCACATCTTTCCTGATAGGCAAAGCGTCGAGCAGTGCACAGGAATCCATTCAAAAGATGCTCGAATTAAAAAAATATGCTACAGTGGTTTCGAATTGGAGAATTTGATAACAGTGCCACCGACACCAAATCGTCGATCTGCTTTCTACTCAATCGTTCGTGGAAAAATAGATTCGAACATTGAATGTCTCTTCAAAGCCGAGATGGATTGTATAGATCCAATAGCCAATACCTACACCGAAATTAAGTGTTCTTCTGGCCTAAAACCTAGAAACACTTATCATCGGCTTAAACTGTTACGAATGTGGGTACAAACCTCACTCATACCGAGTACAGACCTGCTGATAGGTATAAGAGATCCGTACTACAACCAGCTAGCTTCGTTTGAACGGTATACCAGAGATCAATTGTATCGTAAGTTCAATAATTCAAATTTGAACTTCATACGACGCAACTACAACTACAACGCTAATGTTTCAGTGCAGTGGTTCGACCACATAATGAAATCGATTTGCAAGCTCATAACCCCTCACCTCCCGTCAGACAACTCTGAACTGACCTCCTTCAAGATAACCCTCACAAAAGATCTATGTCTGAAGCTTCGCAAGCTAGACAACACGCCGACAAATACAATGTTCTAGTTCTAAGTACTCGAGACAATGTGTAACCTACTTAGTCTTTTACCACATATAGGCGTTTTCTTATATCAATTCCCCGTGCGTGCATAATGTGCTATAGTTTCTGTTAAATCGCGAGCAATGCGCTCAAATTAGAGATTCTCAGCGGCGTTGAAGTTCATTTCTCATCAATCCTTTCTAGTCAATATGTAACGGTAGGTTTAACTGGACCCTTGAGCTTCAAATTTCTTCACTATTTTCACGAACAAATAATGAAATACTTCTTTACTTAAGCCATCACTCAACAAGAGTTTTAAGCTCTTATGGGGCATTTATGTGGATTCTGAGGTATGAATATGTTGCTGAAAATGGGGCTAAGATCAAAATCTCTTGTTGTTTAAAGCAAGCTACTCAGTACGGCATTGGGCGTTCCACCAAGAGCCCACTGCATATCAAAAATGATAAGAGTATTTCTCGCCAACACGTTCAGCTAGATGTCGACGACCATGACGTTCTGACGGTCAAAAACATAGGAAAGCTGACAAAAATCAGTGGCAAATCGGTCAAAGTGGGCCAAAGCGTTAAGTTTAGTTCGTTAGTCAAAGCCACTTTTGAGATGGGAGCTTCACCTGTCGTGGGCTCGGTTGCTTATGAGAAAGAACTATGGAAAATTCCACACGATTTGTCTGCCTCTGACACGGTCAAGAAGCAATTAGCACTTTATGGTGTACTTGCTACGGACTCGCTTTCTCCTAAAACTACAATTCAAATCATAAAACATCATCAAGAAAACTACAGTAACTGTTTGTTTGCACTGCTAAGTAACATCCCCATTCTGCGCGAAGGATTCATTGATGAATTCTTGAGAGTGGTAAGCACCATTCAGAATGATTTTGATTCTAAATGGGATGAAATAAAAGAGCGGAATGTGCAATTTCCGCAGTTCAAGACTCAACAATCTACCTTCAAGGGCCTCAACTTCCTAGTTACCAACAGGGGAGCGTTTGCAATTTTTAAACACATTGTCGACGCTGGAATGGGTACTCTTTGGCTCTGTGACGATATCTCAAAATTAGATTCCTTCGTTCGACAAAATGTGCGATCAGAAAAGATAATTATCCTAATTCATCTCAATGACAGCACGTCTTCGCTACTGACGCTAGGCGAGCATGGCATTTCAGGCATCAAAGAAGCCAAAGCATTGAGATTGGAAGCTCAGAGGCTGGGTCTCAAGACGTACGATGTGAACGATGTTGTTAATGCGGTATTGATGAACAATATTTCGTCACTGCTCGAGAGAATACCAACGCAGGACCGACCATTAAAAAATTTAACAAATGCTTCGTTGCGTGAAAAAGCCCTTCAGGCCCCAGATGTCAATTCCCAAGTAGTCCGTTCTCCCGAAACAGAACAATCACATTACCCTGCAAAGCTGAAAAGGGCTAATCGCCAACGCATTATGTCTCTCAATAGCTTGTCTTTTTTTGGTGGTGGGTCCTCGCTTTCAAAGGATGCAAATTTGAGAGAGAAAGATGCCGGTACGTGCGATTCTCGACCAGCTGAAAATGAATTCATCGCACACGACGTCGACGAACAGCCGCCATTAAAGAAACCCCATTTAGAGTCATCGGATCCTGTACCAAATTCACCGACACCCTCTGACTTCAAAGACATCATTCCCCCTTCGAAAAGATTGCATGATTCAGATACTGCTGATAACATCGAAACATCCTTATCCGGTGTTAAACGCGCACGTTTACCTGGGAAGAAAGAAGTGTCAAAACCTCAGGGTAATCAAGCCGCCTCTACCAGCTGTGATGCAGCTGACAGTTCTGTAAACATTCCAAATGAGAAAGAAATCAAAAATTCAGTATCAATAGTCCAAAGCCCCATGGAGAATGATAGCTTTCCCGTGGTCAACAACACTTTAAGAGGTGCCAAGCGCTCGGTATCGTTTGTTCGGGCTATCCAGGAAACGAAATCGCATGAGGTCGACAGACTAAAAGAAAAAATGGCAAATGTTCAAGGTGAGGAGCTCACTGAGGAGGCTATAATGCGACTTGACAATCTTGCTATTGTTGAGACTAAAGACCTTCTCAGATCTAAAGATGCATCGAATAACAGTTTAGACACAAGTACCAATTCTCTTTGGGCAGGCAGGAAAAACTTCAAGAAATTTGTCAAACTACGGCCTTCACGATCGTCAAAAGCAAGCCCCGGCAGCGTTAGCGACTCTATTCGAAATAAAGCATACTTAATCACGAGGGAGTACGTTCCTATGCGCCAGTACGATGGTCGAAGATCTGCGTCACCCGATGAAAGCTTCTCGAATACAGACCAACCTGCAGAGGAGGAGGTCACAGCATTAAGTGCTGCTGAACAACTGGACGCAGATTTTGGAGTTGAAGTTAACGACGAACCCAGATTTTCTTTCACCAGTCAGCGCCATCACAACCATATTCAACAAGCCGCTCCTGACAGCCCACGTCCTGGCAACGATCAAGGGCTCTTCATAGTCGACGACGATGATTCTCAAGAACGACATGGCCCAAGTACTCCGCCAAAAAACAATGTTCCCAAACCAGACAGGCAGGCTACGCTCCAGACGAAGCCACATGCGAAGTCCTCCAGAAACATAGCACCTGGGGACAGTGACGACGATAGTGATGATGAGCCGCGCTTTCAATTTCAATCTAGGAGGAATTTGTAGAAAGGTTTTACATCATAATCATGCATCAGTTACATTAACACTTATGTACATACTCTTTTTGCATAGCATAGCATTTCTAATTTACAGACATAAACTAATCGAACGAGAACCAAGGTGGGTTATGAGTTCGCTTAGGGCCTCGTTCTTGAGCGAGTTCGTGGATTCTGTTGAAATCTTCGTTTGATAGCTCAAATTGTTGCAAGTTGGACACGATCCTCTCCGGCGTCTTGGATTTGGGCAAAACAGCATAGCCCCGTTTCAACCCCCAATTGATGAGCACTTGAGCAGGTTCCACATGATAGCGCTTTGCGATTTCACGGATGACAGGTTCGTCAATGAATGGAGCACCATCAGAACCAAGCGGAGAGTATCCTTCCATCAAAATGCCTTTCCCTCTGCAGAAATTAAGCATTTCATCTTGCGGAAGAAAAGGGTGAGCCTCAATCTGGTTTGTTGCTGGCACAATCTTGTTTTCTGGGGAGTCAAGGATTTTTTGTAAATGCGCAATAGAACAGTTGGAGACCCCTATGGCTTTAGTAGTGCCTCTGGCTGGAAGTTGTTGCATTAACTCCCATGTCTTCACATGGTCCCACTCGGTGTCAACGTCCGGTTTTTTGTCAGCATCCATGGGAATTATCATGACGTTCTTGGTCTTCAAACGATCGGTCTTGAACGCCAGGGGCCAATGCATCATGAACAAGTCAACGTAGTCCAGTCCTAGCCTTTGCAAGGATTGTTCTAACGCCCCTGCAGGGTTGCGATGCTGCGTGCTCCAAAGTTTCGTAGTCACGAACAACTCCTCGCGTGGCACTTGCGAATCTCGAATGGCTCTTCCAATAACCTGTTCATTCATGCACACGGCTGCAGAGTCAATGTGTCGATAACCGGCCTCTATGGCTTTGAGAACCGCCTTGTAGCCATTATCCTTGGACGAGCGCCACGTTCCAAGCCCAAGCAATGGAATCCGGGCTCCTGTGTTGAGCGTAGCAGTAGCAGTACATCTCTTTAACACAGCAGACATTCTCGAGATAATGGAGTTGGTACTTCATGCAAACTTACTCCTAGCCAAAAAAAAAATAAACCCAGCTCCTTTTAATCAAATATTCTCTGAAATTAGGCAAAAGACAACATTAAGGGAGGCAATTGAACACACTATTTGCGATTTAGGTTGTATCTTATAATTTTCTTTCGATAGCTCATTACAGGAGGAAAAATCTCGAAATTCATCTCTTCGTGACTAACCTAGGCCAAGTATCGCCGACATAGCTTGTAGCTGGCGTGTTGGGCTTTTAGCCACCATCTCTGTAGCAGATTCTTGTGCTTCAAGTCTTGTTCTACATCGTTGACATCCACAATGTACTTAGGATGACGAAATAGTCTCTGAACGAAAGCCATGATGATAAAGTTGAAGTAAAATCTGGACGCCAACGCTAGCAATGTGATCAAGATGGTCAGGAAAAATTCAGCACTCTGAGATGCGCTCTGGGAATCGAGCGTGTCGCCTCTCTTGTACTTGGATTGCAACTCGGGGGTTTGGGATTGTTGAGTTTGGGAGTTGGGGTCTGTAAGCTCGCCATGCTGGGCGGAAAACCACTGTCCACTGAACCACAGCGTGAAGAAACAAGTGAGCACAGTGTCAGCGCAGAAAACCACTAGCGTGAGCGAATACATCAGCAGCTGTGGCTTGTAGATCTGTACCAGCGCCGACGAGTATACCAGCACGGTACAAACGGAACTCAGATACAGTAGCCATTGCATGGTGTCGAGCGCGTGCCCAGTAAATAGACCCAGGATCCCGTAGAAACCGCTGCACTTGTTCAATAGGGTGAAAGCGAGCGCCAATTCGACGCCCATGTAAAGGGGAAACACGCCTAAAAACAACTACACATAGAAGCACATAAATGGTTAAAAAGCTGGTCCTGAGAGATCGCGATGCGATGTGGAACCGCGTCTGATACACGAACGGTATATCGGTCGATCGCGGCTGAAAAGGCTCAATCTATACATACTTTGGGGAGGTAAGCCATTGCAAACGTTTGGGAGGTCTTGAAACGGGTTTTAACGAAGCCTTTTTTCGAATCGAGGATGGTCTGTGAGTTTTGAAGATGCAGGATTTGAAAATTTGAAGATTTTTGAAAAAGACGCCCAAGTAGTCAAAAGCTCATCGGGTAGCTTTCATTCGTATAACAACGCTCTCGTAACCATTTCAGGCAGATCAAGATGGGCCTAAACACTCAAATGCAAAATCTGAGTGTCTCAGACAGGTTTGATCCACACCCTGATCATATAAATACGCAGGTTCTCGACAAACATGCGCATAACATCAAGACCGATGAACTCTCTGTAACCAGGGCCAAGACTAGCAAAGACAAGGCCAACAGAGCGACCGTCGAAAATGTACTAGATCCCAGGACGATGCGGTTTCTACACGCACTCACGAGCAGAGGCGTTATTTCTGAGTTCAACGGTTGTCTGAGCACCGGGAAAGAGGCCAACGTTTACCATGCTTTTGGCAGCTACGAAGGTGAGGACAGAAAGACGGGACATAGACGCGAACTGGCGATTAAGATCTACAAGACTTCGATTCTGGTATTCAAAGATCGTGAGCGGTACGTGGACGGTGAATTCCGTTTCAGAAACTCGAGATCCCAACATAATCCTCGTAAAATGATCAAAGTTTGGGCCGAGAAAGAGTTTCGCAATCTCAAGCGTATTTACCAAAGTAAAGTGGTGCCGGCTCCGGAACCGCTGGAGGTCAAATCCAATGTTTTGGTCATGGAGTTTCTTAGCAGAGGCGATGGGTTTGCCTCACCTAAGGTGAAGGACTATCCTTACAAAGACAGCGAGGAGATATTATTTTACTACTATACTATGGTTGCGTATATTCGGCTTCTGTACCAGGTTTGCCAACTGGTGCATGCAGACCTGTCGGAATATAATGCGATTATTCACGAAAAGAAGCTGTATATCATTGACGTCTCCCAAAGTGTTCAACCCGAGCATCCGATGAGTTTAGACTTTCTACGAATGGATATCAAAAACGTCAACAGCTATTTTGAACGAATGTCTATCGATATTTTCTCTGAGCGGGTTATTTTCCAGTTCGTAATATCTGAAACTCTCGACAAGTTCACCGGTGATTACAATTCTTCGGATGATCTTGTAGAGTACATGGCTCGAAATCTACCGATTAAGAGCACCCCAGAAGACGAAGCTGAAGACGAAGTGTTTAGGTCACTACATTTGGTAAGAAATTTGGGTGGACTAGAAGAAAGGGACTTCGATCGCTTTACTCTTGGGAAGTTCGATCTCCTAAAAAGTCTTATTGCAAATGATAATAAAAAGAACGCTAAGAACTTTACCGCTTCAGAGCAATTCGAGTTATCGTCTTCTAGCGACGAAAACAGTGATTCTGAAGATGTAAGTGGCAGTGATAGTGACGAAGAAGATTCCGATTCTGATTCCGACAGTGAGTATTATGAGAAGAATAAAGAGCTAAAGGGTAAAAAGTATGAGGACAAAGACTCCAAGAAACAACGTAAGGATGACGCCAAAGATGCGAAACGAGAGAGGAGAAAGACTAAAGTAAAGAAGCACATCAAAAAAAAGCTTATCAAGAAGACGAAATCGAAAAAGTGAGTTCATGTCATGGTGTATATTATTTTTTAAATATAACCCAGATACCTATTTACATGGAACCTCCGCTTTGATTTTGACCTACCAACCCTGCCAATTCCAGTAACGCCCTATCATCATTGATGCTTTTTAGATTGATTCTTTGTCTTCTCTGAGCTTCGGCTTCTTCCCATTGCCAGTTTTTCATTTGCTCCTCGAGTTCCTTCTCCCCGCCGCATCCCCATACCTCGATATCCTGTATCAAAAACTTATGCTCGCTGGTTCCATCCAATAAGACACCAGGGTTCATACTTCCCCCGCGACCAACATTTCTGAACGCCCCAAATTCTAAATTCGAATCAATTGTAAGAGAGACGTTACCGGGAATGTACTTCACATTTGAATTTTTTACGACAGGTTGAGAGCTCCCTACTCCAAGCCCGCCACCCAACGTGTTGAAACATATGTTGCCAGACCTGCTAGCTCTATAAATTTCTTGTACGGGCGAGAGCTGCACTATTGTGGTTTTATTATCACCAAATAGCTCCGAGTTGGTAATTCTCCAGGGCTGGTTGACGTAAACCGCGAACATTAATTTTTTTTTACCTGTGAACGGAGGCAGGATATCTTGATCTTCATCCTTCAAACGTGGATAATCGTCCAGAAATTTCTGAAATCTATGATTTTTAGAGTTAGCGTACTCCTTGTCGTCCGATATTCTTGTTCCGTTGATTAGCAAAATGGATGGCGCCATCCATTTGAAGACTTTTGATTGAAATGATCTCATCGAAAAGCCGCTATCTCTTCCAACATATAACTTCTGAAGCCTAGAAAAGACCAGCTCTTTAGGCCAAAATGTAGCAAGCTGTGACAACAGCGGTTCAGTGACAAGTTTGGACTCCACAGCTGGAATATTAAGATCATTGATGTCCACAAGATCCCTTTCTAGGTACAAGACGTGCTCCATCATAATTGTTAAGGGTAAGAGCAAGTTTGGACATGCGGACGAAACGGTAGCTTGAAACTGTGCGTATGTGACTACACTTCTCAGAGTGTACTGTGAGGTCACTATTGAGGGATTCATGGTTCTTATTAGGTTTAGCGCGAAGACTTTAAACGAATCCCAACCTTTTGAAACGTCACTTTCGAGTCTTGAGTTTTTCGTCAAAGCAAACTTGGACAACCGCAACATCAGCGTCACGAACTCCAGCATTGCATCTGCCGGCACTGTGAGCTCTTCAATGCAAACGTTGTTGAAAGTGGCTATGATCTTGGGCACATCAAGCGACTCCTCAGAAGCAGGAGTGAGCGCCAGTTCTTTAACGTTTTTATTGAGCGCCAAAGCGATATACACCAGCTTTGTAACGTCATAAGATTTGTTATGAACGTATTTCACGCATCTTTCCTTGCTCAATAGCACGCAGCTTTTTAAGACGCCCACGTACGTTACGTTTTCGTAACAGTCATTAATCATAGGAAAATTCGACAGTGTTTGGACGAAACTGAACAAAAGGCTGGCGAGATTTTCATTCACATTCTCCAGTCTCAATAATTTCATCAATTCGTCACTTGTAAGTGTGTCTTCTAGGGATTTCCCTTGAATATTGGCTCTAAAGGAAATCAACTCCGGTGCTGTGACAGATTTAATTGCCCGCTTGTCGTAACTCATCAATATATCCTTTTCATTTTCGAACTGAGGCTTGCTGCCAGATTCGACCGAAGCAGTCTGGCCCATGGTAGAATAATGTCAATGATAATAGCTCCTTATGAACTTGGGGCAAACTTCAAAACGTCTTCCTTTTAAGGATTTTACATAGGTTTAGACGCTATTTTAATAATTGCAGGACTCATTTTTTACGTTAGCCGCTAATGTCCAGTAGAGATGAAAAGCTGTGAGAATGAATAGTCTGTCTACACTATAGAAACTCCACAATACCACAAGGACCTCAGGCTGCTGCTTGAGTTTCCTTTGACTCTTTTTCTCGCTCTGTTCGTTCTCGGTCGATGTGCGGGGGCAGTTGAATACGAAACAAACAAGTGTTTTGATGTTTTACGATGTGTGCAAAAAGTCCTTATTACCGCCTCAAGACTCATTTCAATTCATTGAATATCAATCTGGACTATTATTGTGACGCAAAGTTCAAAAATGAACTATGCCATTACGTGAACTATATAGTCAGCGCGAAGATATCCGCTTCCTTTACGAGAGTGAAATAAGCAATTGAACAAGACCGACACAGACGGTCAACAAAGTACTCTAAGCCCCGACATAACAGAAGCAAAAGGCCCTGAAGTGGTCTCGAACTGCATTTTGGGGAGCTGAAGCAAAAGCATAAGAATGATAATGTGTGCAACAAGGACTTTAAGAGCAAAGGTAGATGCATGAGCAAAAACCAAAAGTCTAACAGGGTCAAGAACGGTATAAAAGTTCCTATGAACAAAACAGTAATCGAGTAAGTATCATTGGATGAATACTCAACACTTTTTACATTGCATTTGAAGCAAAAAAATAAGAGCATTTGTTTGTCAGGCCAGACAACTTCTACGTTAGTGCCTGCCACCGCTTTTTCTATTTGTGGGCCGACTAGAAATGAGGCGTAAATTTTAAGGCATTTGATGTTCCCGAGTGTTGAATGTATTCAATACCTCGATTCAATCACAAAGGCTTAAACTGGGGCTGAAAAATCTTGACTTTTACAATCTCAGAACCAAACGAAATGAAAAAAGGCTCATCTGTAAGATTAAGGTCAGGGTCTTTTACATTGCGCTGGTTGGTAGTAACTTGCGGTGTCCAGCATATGCGTTTCACGCATTGCGAAGATGAAATCAATGACATTTCCAGTTGCAAATTCAATGATGACGGTCATTCCTAGAATGCAGTTCATTGCCTATCCAGGTAACCGCGATAACCTCTTATTTCTCTCAAGCGCTCATTTCCAAGCTTGTTCGTTGAGTGTAACTCATCATGTGGGAAAAAAATGGTAAATACAAATTTTACAAGCTCATCGCATGTCATCGGGTCAATACATAGCACCTTTTACTAGAGCAAGTGGTATCATAAAGCATCATCCAGTATGTCTAAAGACTCCAGTGCAAACAAGGAAGGATCTAATGATCCCAGATTTGCGAGTGTTCATAACGACCCAAAATTCAGAGAGACCAAAGCCAGAAAGTATAAAATCAAGCTGGATGACAGATTTAGCAAGAAAGATTTAGAGTTCAAGCGTAAGGCCAGAGTAGACAAGTATGGTAGACGGTTGCACGATGAAGATAGCAAGGATACGAAAGATTTTGAAAAATATTACGAGAAGGAAGAAGAGCAAAAGCTAGAAGAAAGCAGTAGTGACGAAGACAATGTGGTCGATGGCAAGGTCGCTGAAAAAGGCTTGCTTTTGGACAGGGCCCGCGGGGAAGTGCCCAGTGATTACGTTTCCTCTGCAGATGAAGGGTCGTCTTCTTCTGAATCTGAAGCGGACACCGAAGACAGTGACGTCGAGGGCGAAGAATCCGAAGTCGAAATCGAACAAAGCAAGCCCGAATCAGGAGAAAGCAGCAAGACGCTAGCGGTTGTAAACTTGGATTGGGACCACGTCAAGTCGGAAGATCTGATGATTACCTTCACCAGTTTTGTTCCCAAGGGCGGTAAAATTGTCAGGATCGCAGTCTACCCTAGCGAGTTTGGTAAAGAGAGGCTTCAACGTGAAGAACTCGAGGGCCCACCGAAGGAGATTTTCAAGAGCAAAAAGAAGAGTAAGAGCAGTAAAGGTGACGATAGCGACTCCGATGTGGACGTTAAAGATCTGTATGAAGAAGGCGATGCTGAAGACTACGACGTCAAATCATTGCGTCGCTACCAGTTGGAAAGACTCAGATACTACTACGCTGTGGTTTACTGCAATAATGTCGAAACTGCTGTAGCTATATACAAGAACTGCGATGGCACTGAGTTTGAATCCACCGCCAACATGTTTGACCTCAGATACGTTCCAGATGAGATGGATTTTGACGATAAACCTAGAGACGAGTGCTCCAGTATGCCAAAGAATTACAGGCCTGCGCTATTCAGCACAGATGCACTCCAGCACTCCAAAGTGAAGCTGACTTGGGATGAAACTCCGGCAGATCGTGTCGCTATGGCTAAGAGAGCATTTACGCAAAAGGAAGTTGACGAAATGGACTTCAAAGCGTATTTGGCCTCTGATAGTGAAGATTCGGAACCGGAAGATAATCAAGATTTGAAGAATAAACTTAGGTCGCTGGCAAACCTATCAGCTCAAGTTGGTAATAAGTCTCTCTTTGACAAGGAAGCCGAAGAAGGAGAGAGTGATGTGGACATGCAAATTACGTTTGCACCTGGCCTTGCAGAGGGTGGTGGAGATGCCGCTGAAGGTGCAGAGGACAAAATTGAGGAGAGTACAGTTGATAAGGTGAGACGCAAGGAAAAAGAACGTAAAAAGATGAGAAAGGACAGAATTAAGGAACTCAAGAAAAAGGCTGAGGACGATAAAAGACAGAAGCTCAAAGAGTTGAAGACAAAGAAACATTCACCTGTTGAAGAGGGTGACAGCAAGTCTGCTGCCGAACTAGAGCTGTTGATGATGGACGACGAAGAGGATTCCTCCAAGATAAACAACAAGGCACACTTCAACATGAACGAAATTGTGAGGTCCGAAAAGGAAAAGGGCAAGAAGTCGAAGTACCAGGACAAGAGGAAGATCACCGAGGATGAGTTCAAACCAGATTTGAACGATCCTAGATTCAACGAAGTATTTGAAGACCACGATTTTGCCATTGATCCTTCGCAACCCGAGTTCAAAGGTACGACTGCCATGAAGCAAATCTTGCAAGAGAGAAACAAGCGGTCATACAAGAGCAAAAACAAAAAGAGAAGTGTTGATGACTTGGCCAAAGACACTGGTTCCGATCTCAAAGGACTAGTTAGCAAGATTAAACGGTCTTCCAATATCAAAAAAATGAAGAGGCAAAATAAGTAAAAGTTGAGTACAGGCACTTGATAAAAAAAAATTGTACATAGAATCTAGTAAGGCACAACCATCGGGTTATATTAAACATCCAAATTAATAGGAACGACGAAATGTTAGATCTTGGTATTAGCCACGCTTTGGCGGCCAGCCAATTTTCAAGTACAAAAGAATAAAAATAAAAGCCCTGTAGGGGGCTCGAACCCCTAACCTTATGATTAAGAGTCATACGCGCTACCGATTGCGCCAACAAGGCTCTTAAACTTGATGAAATGGGAGGCAAATGGAAAGTTTACATTATTTTTGTACAGTCACATTTTTTATACGTCTTAAGTTTTAGAAGGCGGCAAAGCATTACTTCATGGCCTCAATTTCAATCGGCATTTTATCAATAGACTAAAAGATGTCTTTGGTCGCCGGTTACAGCTCCGAATCCGATTCAGATTCCGCAGGAAACCTCAATGGATCTACAGTAGAGAATTATAAATTGACAAGTTCAAGTAGTGATGCCAGAGGCAGAGGACACTCTGCAAATGAGCTTAATACAGATGCAGAAAATGTCAAGGTCAAAAGAGGTCATAATGGACATGAAGAGTTGATTCATGTTGACAAACGTAGGAAACGCAAAGGGAAAGGTCCTTGGGCGTCTTGGTCATCTTCTGAGGAAGATGAGGAAGATGCAAGTGCTGATCAGGCTAGCCTCGAACGCAAGGCTAGCACAACAGATACAATCTATCGAGAACAAGACATCGAAATACAGGAGCCAGACGACGACTCTAGTACTATCCTGGAGAAAAGTAGCTTTTACGGAACTTCAGTGGTAGACTATCAAGGCCGGGGCTTTTTACATCCTCCTATGGACGTTAACGTCGATTTCACAAAAGATCAACTGTCTTCGCGCAACTACCTGCCGAAAAGACTAATACACACATACCAGGGCCATCAAAATGGTACCAATGTGGTACAAACACTGCCGCGTACGGGCCATTTATTTTTGTCAGGTGGTAATGACAACAAGATCAAGATCTGGGACATGTATCACGATCGGCAATTGTTGCGAGACTACTCCGGTCATACCAAAGCTGTTCGGGATGTGAATTTCAATAAAGACGGATCTGAATTCGTTAGCGTGTCTTTCGACCAGCAAATGAAAATTTGGGACACTGAGACCGGTAAGGTCAAACATAGATATAAATTCGCGAGCACGCCCAATTGTGCCGAATTTCGTCCCTCCGATTCTAGCGAGTTGATTGTGGGACTTTCCAATAATGAAATAAGACATTATGACTTAAGAATCCCGCATAAACAAGGTCTGGTGCAGATTTATGATCATCATCTATCGGCTATTATTGCATTGAAGTATTTCCCTGATGGATCGAAACTTATCTCTTCCTCTGAGGACAAGACCATGCGCATTTGGGAGAACCAAGTTAATATTCCCATTAAGCAAATAAGCGACACTGCTCAGTATTCAATGCCTTACATTGACATCCATCCGGAGCACAATTATTTCGCGTCTCAAAGCATGGATAATGCTATTTATGTATTTTCCATGAAACCCAAGTATAAGCGGCATCCAAAAAAGAGATTTGAAGGTCATAAATGCGCTGGTTTTGGTATCGGCTTCGGGTTTTCACCAGATGGTCAGTTTATTTCTTCGGGAGATACCCAAGGCCGAGTTTTTATATGGGATTGGAAAACAACTCGATTATTGAAACAGCTTGAAGTGCCTGACAAGAAAGCCATCGTCACAGTTGCATGGGCGCCGCAAGAAACAAGCAAAATGCTTTGCGCTGGCAATGGCGAGAAAATATATTTGTATGACTAAATGAGGCGTGAACTTACATGAATTTACTTACGGATCTTAAGCATAGAATGATACTGACTTGGATTTTCTCGCTTGGACTTCACCAATAGCTTCAACGAAATCTTCATGCTTGACTTGCGTCTGGCCATTTCTTAGAGCTATCATACCTGCTTCAACAGAAACTGCTTTCAATTGTGCACCATTAAATTCGTCTGTAGATCTTGCAAGTTCTTGCCAGTTAATGGAATCATCTGTAGTCATTTTTCTAGAGTGAATCTGTAAAATTTGAGCTCTTGAGTCTTCTGAAGGCAATGGGAACTCAATTTTACGATCCAATCTACCAGATCTCAACAGGGCTGGATCGAGAACATCAACTCTGTTAGTGGCAGCTAGCACTTTAACTCTATCATCAGAACCAAAACCATCCAATTGATTCAACAATTCCAACATGGTTCTTTGCACTTCCCTGTCACCAGATTTCTCAGAGTCGAACCGCTTAGTACCAATGGCATCAAGTTCGTCAATAAAAATAATCGTGGGCGCCTTTTCTTTGGCCAATGCAAAGGCATCACGGACCAACTTGGAACCCTCGCCGATGAACATCTGAACTAATTGCGGAGCCGCCAGTTTCAAAAATGTGGCATTTGTCTGGGCAGCACATGCTCTTGCTAGCAAAGTCTTACCTGTACCTGGAGGACCATACATAAGGGCTCCTTTGGGTGCCCTGATCCCCATACTTGTGAATTTTTCGGCCTGCTTTAAAGGAAGCACAATGGCTTCAACAAGTTCCTCGATCTGTTTATCCAGCCCACCAACGTCAGAATAGGTTTCGGTGGGTTTTTCGTCCACCTCCATAGCTTTGACACGCGAGTCAAACTCCGAGGGCAGTGTGTCCAGCACTAGGTAAGAGTCCTTGTTTACGCCAACCAAATCATTAGGTTTTAGTTTTTCAGGGTCAACAAGACCCACCATGGGCAGAAAAACGGTTTGCCTCGACGAAGTCTTTACGACAGCTGCCTTACCCCTGGCAGTGTTGTCCAGGTTTACATTTCCACCTTGGGTTGTCGATTCCCTATGTTGTTCATCTTCCAGCTCGTCCATGTCCATGATTTCTACCACATTTGATACCAGATACGGCAATTGGCGATTATTCTTGATTTTCTCTTTGTTATCTTTGATCTTCTCCAGCATTACATTGTTCTCATGCGATAGTCTCTGCAGTTCTGATCTGAATATCCGAATCTCGTTATCCAGCAGTTTAGTCCTGGTTTGTAGCTCTGCGGTGGGTAAATTCAAGATCTCTTGGTCGATTTCGACATCCCCTGGCAATTGCTGTGTCTCCAATTCCTCTAAAGTTGCCATCTTGGTGTGTGATCAGAGCTGGTCTTCTTGTGTTGTTGAAGAGCGGTTAAGATACAATTCAAAGGTTTGCCACCGGGGGAACTTCAAGTTGATGGCGCATCATATCCATATCATAATGTACGCAGTGTAAAAAAAGTTGACATAACTACTAGTTATAAAGCAATCTGAAAGAACGGGCGCGAAGGCGTCAACCATTAGCCCCTGTCAAGCGCCGTATGTTTGTTACTTCGAGGACCCGCCATTGCAATCTACTTCAGGGCCATTCTGGGGCCTTTCGAAAAGTGGGCAGTTTCGTATAGTCACTTTCGACGATATTTTTGGGCAGATTTCGCCATGGCATTGTAGGCGTACCCACTACTCTCATCACATCCAATGTCTCTAGTTCACTTGAGCAAATTACGCCCGTAGGACGTCTCTCTCTCTCTTTATCTTTGTTTCTTTCTCTCTCTTTTCTTATAGTATACAGGAAGGACTGTTACGTAAAACAAAAAAAGCTTTTGCTCGCTTCTCCATTCTTATTGCTTATGCTTTTCCAACTCGGACCGCAGCTCTTTGGTGAAGTCGTCGTCCACTTCCACGTCGTCCCAATCTTCTTTCCAAAGATTCGACTGCACGTTTGAAGCTTCTTTAACTGTTTCCGAATCTGGCCATGTGTCGACCGGAAAGTCTTCGAATTCGTCGTCCTCTTCTAGCGTTTTCTTGTGTTCTTTTTCTAGACTCATGGTTATTGGTATGTAAAGTGTGGCAGATGAGTGTTGAATTGTATAGAGAAGAAGTTCAATTCAAGGTATTAGAGGGTTCTTATTACTTGCACAGACTTCTTTGCCACTATATTTATATACGTTTATACGACAGTGTCGAATAGACGAGTATGACAAGAAATCTAAACTTGAGCAAGCATTCAAAGCGGGAGTAAACGCACGCATTAAAACAGAGTGTTTCATGTTGACGAGATAGGTCTTTTTTTCTTTTTGATATTACAATCTGTTTACAAGCAAGAACTTTGTGCTACGAGTCTAGCAACCTTGATTGCAATGCCCATTAGGTCAAGCCCGTCCATTAAATGTCACAAAATTGCGATGCCTTCTCAAGGTCAACTCCAATAGCTTCTACCAAGCTCCAAAGAAAGCTGGAAATGATCTTTTTTTATTTTATCATTTTGTACTAATGTGTCATGTAGTTTTTGAAGTTCAATGTACCATAATTTCTTCCAATGCACAAATGAGGCTTTTCTTCGCAGCTGTTTCTTGCGCATAGGGTCTGCACAATATTATCAAGAGATTCCATAGCCTCGAGTCACTGCTTTTATTTTTAATATTCATTTCAACACTACTACCACGAACTCCATTTCAATTGTCAAAAAAAAAAATTTGATCTCATCTCATCGCATAGCTAGAAATTGGAATCTCACTAAGAAAACTTTCCATTCGTCACGCTCTTGTTTACCGTGAACACATATTAGCAAGCTAAGTGTGCAGGAGCTTCCTCTTCTCTTTGAAATCACATAGGCCTTGGTTCTAGCGCGAAAATGAAGGAAGTAGTAGTTGATATAGCGCCCAAAAGGATCAAGGGCCTAGAATTCAGTGCTCTCTCTGCAAGCGATATCGTGGGACAATCTAAGGTAGAAATTTCTACTAGGGATCTCTACGATCTAGAAAATGGTAGAAAACCAAAAGATGGTGGAGCTTTAGATACTAAAATGGGAGTGTCGTCCTCGCACGGTGAATGTTCGACATGTCATGGTAACTTGGCCTCATGTCACGGACACTTTGGACACATCAAGTTATCGCTTCCAGTGTTCCACGTCGGCTACTTTAAGGCGACCATCCAGGTCTTGCAAGCGGTGTGCAAAAGCTGTGCTGCCTTGTTACTCTCAGAAGAAGACAAGAGACAGTTTTTGTCCGAGCTTCGTCGTCCCGGAATAGATAATCTTAGAAGAATGGGTATCCTCAAAAAGGTTGTGGATCAGTGTAAGAAACAAAGACGGTGCCTGAAATGTGGTAACTTGAACGGTGTGGTTAAAAAAGCCGCCGCGGGATCAGGTTCCGCTTCACTCAAGATTCTGCACGACACTTTTAGATGGGTTGGCAAAAAATCAGCACCAGAAAAGGATAAGTGGGTTGGTGACTGGAAAACAGTTTTATCTCATAACCCTGAGCTCGAGCGATACGTGAAAAAATGCACTGATGACCTCAATCCTCTAAAAACCCTCAACTTATTCAAACAAGTCGCACCCGAGGATTGCGAATTGTTAGGTATTGACAGTTCAGTCAAATCGGGGAGACCCGAAACTTACATTTGGCGATATTTGCCTGCTCCGCCGGTGTGTATTCGTCCCTCGGTAATGATGCAAGACTCCCCAGCATCTAATGAAGATGATTTGACTGTGAAACTAACAGAAATTGTGTGGACCTCTTCTCTAATCAAGGCTGGGCTGGAAAAAGGTATATCGATCAATAACATGATGGAGCAGTGGGATTACTTGCAGCTAGCCGTAGCAATGTACATCAATTCGGACTCAGTCAATCCCGCCATGATGCCAGGAGGAAACACTGGAGCGAAAACTAAGCCTATTAGGGGTTTCTGCCAGAGACTTAAAGGTAAGCAAGGACGTTTCAGAGGTAATCTTTCTGGTAAACGTGTGGATTTTTCAGGCAGAACTGTTGTATCACCAGATCCGAATCTATCCATTGATGAGGTGGCAGTTCCAGATCGTGTGGCCAAAGTTTTAACATATCCAGAGATGGTCACTCGTTACAATAAACAAAAACTGCAAGAGCTGGTTATCAATGGGCCAAATGAGCATCCCGGTGCCAATTATGTTCTCAAGAAGAATGAAGAAGCAAGGCGCAACCTGCGTTTTGGTGATAGAATGAAACTTGCTAAGAATCTGCAGTATGGTGATGTAGTTGAAAGACACTTAGAAGATGGAGATGTGGTTTTGTTCAACAGACAGCCGTCTTTACACAGACTTTCGATTCTATCGCATTTTGCTAAAATTAGACCTTGGAGGACCTTCCGGTTGAACGAATGTGTGTGTACGCCTTATAACGCCGATTTTGACGGTGACGAAATGAATCTACACGTCCCGCAAACGGAAGAGGCAAGGGCAGAAGCTATCAACTTGATGGGTGTAAAGAACAATCTGCTAACGCCTAAATCTGGAGAACCGATCATTGCAGCTACCCAAGACTTTATCACGGGTTCTTATTTGATTTCTCACAAGGATTCCTTTTACTCACGGACCGAATTTGTCCAATTACTCTCTATGATGTCTGATGGTAACTTACAATTCGATTTACCTCCACCATCCATCATGAAACCTCATTACATGTGGACTGGAAAACAAGTTTTCTCCCTCCTTATAAAACCTAACAAGGACTCCTCGGTCGTCATCAACTTAGACGCGAAGAACAAAGTTTATATTCCACCAAAGAGAAAAGAGTTTCCAAACGAGATGTCCCAAAATGACGGATATGTCGTGATTCGTGGCTCTCAAATTCTGAGTGGTGTTATGGACAAATCTGTCTTGGGTGATGGTAAGAAACATTCGGTATTTTACACTATTTTAAGAGATTTTGGGCCTAAAGAAGCGGCATATGCTATGAATAGAATGGCCAAACTGTGTGCGCGGTTTTTGGGTAACAGAGGTTTCTCTATAGGTATCAACGACGTGACGCCTGGGTACGAATTAAAGCAGAAAAAAGAAAGCATGGTCGAAGAGGCATATGCGAAGTGTGATGATTTGATTGACCAGTTTGACAAAGGCAGATTAGAGACGCAACCAGGTTGTAATGAAGAACAAACCCTGGAAGCTAAGATTGGTGGTCTACTATCGAAGGTCAGAGAAGAAGTAGGGGAAGTTTGCATCAATGAGCTGGATAACTTGAACTCTTGTTTAATTATGGCCAATTGTGGTTCCAAAGGTTCCACACTTAACGTCTCCCAGATGGTGGCAGTTGTGGGTCAACAGATTATCTCTGGTAATCGTGTCCCTGATGGTTTCCAGGATCGTTCTTTGCCTCACTTTTTGAAAAACTCCAAGACTCCTCAGTCTAAAGGTTTTGTTAGAAACTCGTTTTTCTCTGGGTTATCACCTCCAGAATTCTTATTTCACGCTATTTCTGGGCGTGAAGGTTTGGTCGACACAGCTGTGAAAACAGCAGAGACTGGTTACATGTCGCGTAGATTGATGAAGTCCTTGGAGGATTTGTCTTGCCAATACGACAACACCATTAGAACCTCTTCCAACGGTATTGTTCAATTTACTTATGGTGGTGATGGCTTAGATCCTATAGATATGGAAGGTAATGCACAGCCAGTTAATTTTGTTAGATCATGGGAACACGCTAACAATGTCACATTCAATCACAGCGACAAGTGTTTGCTTCCTTTTCAAATTATGCAACAAACTAACAAGATTCTCCAGCCGCTAGAAAAGAGATTGATAAGATACGATAACTTAGGTCACAAGCTGGACCCAGCGTTTCAGGATATGCCTGAGTTTATTGATCAGCATGATGCTGAAAGAAACTTCTACCAGTCTCTGAGAGACTACCTATATGAGAAGGCGTCGCATCTCGCTGCCATTAGAACAAACAAGAACTTGAAAGCTCATTTGGATGAACCGGCTGTCGAGCTGCAATCAATGGATCTGGACGAGAATGTTTCAGATGCCACACTATTAGCTGTCTGGCAGCTTTGCAAAATCAGTTCGGCCTTGGTAGAAAAATTCTTGGAAATCGCCATCTTCAAGTACCATAAGGCTAAAGTCGAGCCCGGGACAGCTGTGGGCGCTGTGGGTGCACATTCTATTGGTGAGCCGGGTACTCAGATGACTTTGAAGACTTTCCATTTTGCTGGTGTTGCCTCAATGAATGTTACGCTAGGTGTCCCCCGTATTAAGGAAATTATTAATGCCTCTAAAGTGATTTCAACCCCGATTATCAACGCGGTTCTTGTTAACAACAACGATGAAAGAGCTGCAAGAGTTGTGAAGGGAAGAATTGAAAAGACTTTGTTATCAGACGTGGCATTTTATATTCAAGACGTGTACAAAGACAACTTGTCTTTCCTACAAGTGAAGGTTGACCTTGGAACAATAGAGAAACTGCAACTGGAGTTGACTGTTGAAGATGTCGCCGTTGCCATCACAAGAGCTTCAAAGCTCAAAATATCTGCTTCAGATGTCAGCATAGCTGGCAAAGACAAAATTAACATCAATGTGTATCCTGAAGGTGCCAAGCTCAAATCTGTTTCTACTTCCGCTAAAGAACCTCTAGAGAATGAGATATTTTATAAGATTCAGCACTTACGTCGTGCTCTGCCAGGCATTGTTGTCAAAGGGTTGCCGGACATTGCTAGAGCCGTCATTAACGTCAAGGATGATGGTAGAAGAGAATTACTCGTGGAAGGCTACGGATTGCGCGATGTAATGACCACGGATGGTGTTATAGGGTCGAAAACAAAGACGAATCATATTTTAGAAGTTGTTAGCGTATTGGGTATCGAGGCGGCAAGGACTAGTATCGTTGGAGAAATCGACTATACCATGAGTAATCACGGTATGAGTGTTGATCCTCGTCACGTCCAGCTTCTAGGAGATGTCATGACATACAAGGGTGAAGTACTGGGTATTACGCGTTTTGGTCTGAGCAAGATGAGAGACTCTGTTTTGCAGCTGGCATCATTTGAAAAGACGACCGATCACTTGTTTGATGCCGCATTTTACATGAAGAAAGACGCCGTCGAGGGTGTCTCTGAGTGCATTATCTTAGGTCAAACAATGTCCATCGGTACAGGTGCTTTTAAAGTGGTCAAGGGGACGTCGATATCCCCGGAGGATCTGAAACCAAAGCCAGCTCTATTTGAAAGTTTGTGTGCCAATTTCACAGCCTTAAAAGTAAATTAGCAAGACATGCATATATTAAATCACACAATAAGAACAAGAATTTTTGAACTTGTAACTATAACTTGCTCTGCGTAAACTTCACATCTTCGGCACACCAGGCACACATAATATACCACAAACTGATAGGCGGTAAATAGGTGAATTGAATTCAAAAAAAAAAAAGCCCTGTAGGGGGCTCGAACCCCTAACCTTATGATTAAGAGTCATACGCGCTACCGATTGCGCCAACAAGGCTCTTTAATTGTTGAAGAACGCCTACACTTACTTGCTACATAACGGTCTGACAAGTTCATATGACAATACCGTAGTGTTAAATTCATTAGATAAAATGAGATTCAAATGGCCAACCGATTAGTCCAAATAAACAACCTGGTTGTGATTTGCAGTGTCTTTTCATTCTACACTTAGTAGCAGTCATCAAACATATAAATATGATAGTCCAAGTGATATGGTAAGATTTTCTTATGTCAAGTAGATCGGCTTCTACGTCCTACAGTTATCTTTAGCACATTCACATGAGGTCTCAGATTGATCTTGCTGTTACTTGGTGTCCGAATCCATCGTTTTCTTGGGATGTTTCGGCCATCGCGCTGCTGTGTCGGGCATCTAATAAATAGAACCTTACTATCTCTTGTAAAATCAAGGTCCAAGCTTACAAAACGAATATCGCGATGACTTTATCTTTTTGATCTGGACTATTAATTTCCTGACGGTTACAATTCTAAACATGAAACAATAGTAATGGGAGTCGCAGCGGTTACATAACTACTGTGCAATCTCGCTACGAAAAAAAGACCTAGAAAAATCTTAAACGGCAGTCCTACGTTGGCTAAAATCATGGTTTTATACCTTTGCCTAAAAATTTCAAGAGGATTCTACAATGGCAAGAATTGTGGTGTCGCTTACGTTCGCGACTTCAACGCCGCCTAGAATTTCTTGCCAGAGAACATTTTTAGCAACTGGACTCAATACGTTCAGATTGCATGCTGAGATCAACGGTCATGTCACAATGAGTAAAATAGCGTATATCTGCATGAGACTAAGTAGACTGACTTAATCTAGTAGCACTTCGATAATATCGCCGTCTTCCAGATCCACGTTTTCGACTTTATGCGCTGAGTCAAGTTTCTCATTGTCAAAGATAAAAGTCACGTTAGTTTTTGCTGAAAGGCCCTTGCGCTCTCCATAATATTGGGCAAGCATGGCGAAAGTCGTATCGCCATGAGCGTTCACGTATATTTTATCGTTATCCTTAGCCATTAAAGCAATTTTGACAGTCTCTCCTGGTTCGTCACTTTGAGACTCATCGTCGATAATCTCCACACTCTCTGAAGCAGATTTTCGCAGGTCTTTCTCATATTCTTCGATATTTGGATCTTCAAAATCTCTAATGGACGCATCTGTCTCAATTAATCCAGATAGAACTTCATCTTCGTGTCTACTTTTCTCATATGTGGACTCGTGTTCCTTTTCTTGATCTTTTGGTACTAAAAAGAGCGAAACGTCACATACTTCTTTCTCGCCTTGTATTGGAACCCGCAGTGAATTGCAGGTCATAAAGTTTAGGATTTTGACGCCCTTCCGATAGACTGAAACGGCGTCAGCTTCGTAGTGTGATCGAAGTCCCTTGGAAACGTTGTATTCCTTCATTATAAGTCCCAGGGCCATCGGGAGAATTTGTGCGAACGAATGTGTGCCCTTTACCTTAGCATTTACCTTTTTATCATCACTTCCATCGATCTTGGAGACGAATTTAATATTGAAAACTCGATCAACTTCTGGAGGAGAGCATTCCTTTGTTGTGCTTGTAGTTCTCCCCGATTCCCTGGCGAGCTCTTTGAAAAACTGCTCGTCCTCGTCATCTTCAAGGTCAGCTGCGCGTCTTGTCTTCTGTTGCTTAATAGAATCGGTAGATATGTGCTTGCGTTTTGCACGCGAAATTCGAGTTGTTTCCGGCTCCTTGCGTGGGGAGTCACTCAAAGACGTCTCAGAGCCGCTAAGTTTACGCTTCGAGTTATCTCTGTGTGGGCTAACTTCCTTGTGGTATTCATTCTCAGATTCATCACTCTTAGATGAATCACTTATTATCTCAATTTCTACTTCCGGCTTTCGCGTGGACGGCGACCTTTCTTCGCTTTTTAGGATCGTGAGAGAGTTCTTCGAATCAATTACATTCTGAACCACTACTGGTGTTTGGGTCTTGGTATTATTGGTGATCCTGTTGGCAGATATATAATCTCCATAAAAAAAGTCGTCGTCATCCGTGTCATCGTTGTTGTATTCATCAACTTTGCTGTTATCGTCATGCTCTGTCACCAGGTTTACGTCCTCGTCTGATGTCTTGTTCGCTTGAATCGTGGATGAGAACCTGGGCAGTTTTTCTCTTTCCGCGTGTACAATTCCTGTCGGTGGTTGGTCTTCAATGTATCCTCCAATTGTTTTATTGGCATCCGTAAATGACATCAACTCCTGTATATCACCAGTAACCTTAGCTCCTTTAAGTGCAGTATGGGGACGCTGCTCATCACTCATTTCGGCGCTTGGACAAAAGGCTACAACTTAGTGAGTCTATAGAGCCGTATTTGTTTACTTGGACTTTCATTTGGTATTCACATCCAATGCTTTTATGGCGCCCAGCGCTAATACTTATTAGATATCACACGGTACGTATAAATATATAAGACCTAACCGTCATCATCAAGTCAAATTGTGGATCGCATACAGAGCAGACCTATGTGTTTATTCTTAGTTCTTGCGGTTGACGAAGCCTGTTTCCAAGATTTTTGTTCCTTGTCCAAAAAATTCGCGGAAGAGATCAATCTGCCATCCGAGATCTTCTGCCCCTCCAGTTTCTCGGATAGAATGCATGCTAAGTATCGGATTTCCCAGATCCAGTGTCTGTATTCCAGTCTTGGACGCAATTATTGGACCGATCGTAGAGCCGCAGGGTGAGTTGTTAGCGACAACAAATAACTGCAATGGTACTTTGCTCAAATTAGCAAGAGACTTTATGAGCACAAGGCCAGGGGAATTGGTCATGTAGCGCTGATTGGCATTGATTTTAATCACAGGACCACCTCCAATCATGGGTTTGTGTTTAGACTCATACTTGTTGGCGTAGTTGGGGTGGACTGCATGGGCTACGTCCGAGGACAGAAAAAATGATTTCCTAGTGGCCACCTTCAATTTCTCAGCCTCGGTTAATGGCTTTGATAGGGTCGAGTCGTTGAATCCCAAAGTCGCCAACCTTTCTAGGACACTAGGCAAGAAATTTGAGTCAGCGCCTTGGGCTGAAGAAGAGCCTATTTCCTCGTGATCGAAACTAGCCACCACCTTGACACATTTACCCTCTTTGTCGTCCTGCATAGACGCGGTGAGAGCATGCAAACTCGTGAAGCAGGATGTTAAATTGTCAAGTCTACCAGAGAAAACAAATTCGTCGTGCAAACCACCAAGACATGCAGCTTTATGGTCGTATAGGGTTAGTTCGAAATCTTCAATTATATCAGAGGTTATTTGCAATTCATTCGCAACTAGTTCAACCAAATCGCGATGATGCCTCTCTACCACAGACTTGATCGAGAAAAAGTCATCAATTTCAGGTTCACCTGAAGCACATGAAGCGTCTTTCTTCAGTTGCTTATCCTCTAATCCAGCGATTGGCAGCAACTGATTTTCTTTGTCGAATTCAAACTTCTGGTTCACGTCGCGGTCCAGATGAATAGCAAGTGTTGGTATCTTAAGCAGCGGTCTCTTTAGGTCCACCAATTTTGAAAGCAATTGATAGCCCTCGTTCGTTTCATTTCTGTACACCACTCTCCCTGCAACGGAAAGATCAGAGTCGAACCACGAATGCCAGATCCCACCACCGTAACATTCTACGCCTATTTGGTCATATTTCTCGTTATTTCGCTTCGATATTGGCTTGATCTTCAATACTGGAGAATCGGTGTGGGCTCCAACAATAGCAAAGGGGTTTCCATCGACGTAGTCTTGACCTAAAACAAAAGCTATTATTGCAGAGTCATTTCTGGTAACAAAGTAAGCGCCACCACGGGACAAGTTGCCTGACCAAGGTTTTTCTTCCTTCAGCTCTTGGAAGCCATGATGAAGCAAGTGATTTTTCATATTTTGAACAACATGGAAAGGAGTAGGCGAGGCATTGAGGAATTTGACAAATTCTTCCGGGTATTGTTCGTTTTTGGGCATTTCAAAGTTTTTACGAAGATGCAGTCTTAGCATGAACTGTTCCAAAAACGGTTTTTGTCTAAATAAGGAGTAGAGAGTGCTTCGTTGAGATAAAGTTTTGATAACGATTATAGGTCAACTAAAAAAAATAAACAAAAAAACATCGACAAACAGACAAAAACTTCATTATATATTCGGACCCTTATAAAATGCATTTTGCGCCTTGTTATGGACATCTTGGCCAAAAGTGAGCGTCTTCGTATTATTTGAGAGTGCTAAATGTGTGGTCAAGTAAAAGGACCGTGAAACGTTTGAAGAATAGTAGGCGGCATCTGTTCGGTTGCACGTTTCCGTTATGCCAACAAATTAATAGAAATGACACTACGGAGTTACTTTTGCAGGTGTCTTAGTCTTAGGCAGGTGATGTGCCACACAAGTACAAAGTGATCAACTGTTTCCTTTTAATATTATGGTTATCTTTCTGCAAACCAGTGCAGAGACGTATGTGGTTCGCATCTTCTTGCTCATCAGCTTCCAGACCGCTTGTGTTCGATTGTGAAGTGTGGCGAAGTTTGAAAGATCTACTCTGAAGTACCAAAGTCTGGGTTGCAACATTCTTTAGTTTGCTCTACGCGCCAGTAGTTAGCATTCAAACTAAATAGTTACCTAGTTTTAGTAATGTTTTCGCCAATGGAACCTTAGACGGGTTTTTTTATTTCCAAACTGATACGCCCGAAGTTGACTTCCAGTTATGCAATGTTAAAGTAAAAGTCGAAAGTATAAAAATTTGTGGACGTCTGTCGAAGCGACCCAAGAGCATAATAAATACCATAACGGCTGCGATGTTATTTTAGAAAGAACACTCCCCAGGGCCTAGTACAGCGGGCAAAAGATTTACATTTATTTCGAGTATCCTACTATTTCACTTTTCAACTATTTCATTAAGACCAATAAATCAATAGCATTTCTTCGAACTTGACGTTCATTGATCAATTTCTCGAACAAAACTTTATTGACAAGCCTAACAAGCATGACAGGCCAACATTGGAGCATGAACTTTCAGACTTCAGGAAACAACAACGTCAATAGTGATACTATAGTTGACTATGTGCTCCTATTCGAAAATCTCTGGAAGCGGTTTATCTCAAACTAATAACATCGTGTATTATACAAGAGAGTTAGCTGCAAATGGTCCGTGGAAATGACGGTGCTGTTAGCAAGAGAGTAGCTAAAAAGCCGAGGACTTTAGACACGTTCCAAAATGTGCGCGTTGGCTCTCCAAATCAAACATCAGCTGCATTAGCAGTACTGAATACAGAGCTGAGCACCAGAAATTCAAGGCCAAGACGTGGTGCGTCGAAGAAAGCGGCACAGTCTATAGTGGATTCAATTGATCCAAATGTTGGCTCTGCAGACGAAGAAGAAGGAGAAGATTTTGTACCCGAAGATGTAGCTGAGGAGGACGAGGAAGCAGAAAATGAAGATCAAGATTATGAACACAACAGTGATCTTATAGAAGTTGAGAAGCCGGGCTCTGTTAAGCCACCCCAAGACGATTCTGTTTCTCGTCTTGTAAGCGATACTAAATCAAACAGAGTTACAGGTGGTAAGCGTGGCCGAAAACCCAAGCAAAATGCATCAGTGAAAGTTGAGATGCAGGATCTAACACCAACATCGAAACTTGATAACAAGCGTAGAGTAATTCGTGCTTTGAAAGATCTCACCTCTGCAAGAGACAAGATTGAGCGCATTTATGGACTCAATCCGCAGAAATTGCTCGGTCTTGCGAAAGTAAAAGAAGGTTTCGAAACGGGACCATTTGACTTTGATCTCGAGGTCATTCAAAAAGAATCGAAATACTTTGTAGACTTCTCACCACCGTGCGCCAAGAAAGATATCACGCATTCGCTACCGTTGACTTCATCAAGCTTTCATTCAATACAAGAATCGGAGCTTCAACAACTTCTTCCTCTACGTGAATCAGAGATTCGTTTGCAAATTTCCGACCTTGACACGCATATTAATACTGACCAGAAGATCGAGTTTCCAACGTTCCCATGCGGCAAACGCAAAGGCTTTGTTTACAATGTTGGGGGCCTTGTAACAGATATGGCATGGCTTTCGCGGGATGACACTGATTCACTGTTTTTAGCGGTTTCGGTTTCCTGTAACTTTGACGATCCTGTCGATCCTGGCCTACGATGCTTTGGTGAAGAGGAACACATCTCCGGGATAACTATATTTGAACTAGATCCTCAAACGCTTTCGTTTGAGAAATATCAAATGATTATACACAACTTTGGTGAGACCTGGAATCTGAAGTGGCATTCAGGATACAGAGACGAAGGTTCTTTGGGGGTCCTGGTCGCGTGCTGCCAAGACGGCTCAGTCAAATTATTCAAAGTAGACCGCTCACAGAAGTACGAGATCCGGATGGTCGAAAGTGCAAATCTCAGCGTATCAATACCGCAAGCCCCAATTTCTTGCTTCGACTTCACATCGCCAGATTCCATCGTTTGTGGATTTCAAAATGGCAGTGTAGCAGAATTCGAATTAGGATCCGAACTGCCGTCGTATTATCGCAAGATTCATGATTCATACATCATTTCCATTGTCGCGGCGTATTCTAATTACGAGGATACCGTAATTAGTACTACGTCTGTCGACGGATTCATTTGTATTTTTAGCCCAAAGAGCATACAGACTACTAAATGCTCTATTGGTCGTGTGCGCGGAGGTAACAGTACGATTGCTACCTACTGCCCACCAGTATATGGGATTGTTCATTCTGACGGTGTGAATTCCGTTAAGGCATTTTCACCTAGAGCCGCATTTGCTACGCACCAAATTTGCCAACATGAAAATACGGTAAGTTCGCTTGCAGCGTCAAAACTACATCCATTTTTGCTATCGGGCTCAGCGGATGGCACTCTAATGATAAATAATATGGCAAGAAGGTTCTTAACGGGAATTAAGAACAATGCAACGGTGTACAAGTATCTCAAACTATGGGAATGGGATTTTAACATAAAGGAACAAAAATATCGACTCGATCCTAACTATCTGGTTTACAGTTTTAGTGTCAACGAGGTTTCAAAAGCGAGGGTCAGCCCTCACGGAATTAATATCGCATGTGCTAAATGGAATGAAACTAGTAAGGGTGGTAAGTTTTACTCGTTTGTAAATAATGCGGGTTTACTAGTAATTGAAGAGTTGGGAAACTAACTTTAGAACCGGTTCTGTGGTTTAATACTTTGGAAGTGAGGGGTTCATGTCGTCGATGTATTTGAAGAATCCCCCTCGAACATCCCTCACATTGGTGATGTTAAACTGGTCCTTGAGTAGTCTGGTAGCTAGCTGGGAGTCGTTACCATGTCTACATATAACCAAGACTTCACTTTGACGATGAACCGTAGGAATGCAACTTTGTAAACGTGTAATGTCTCCTTCCATATCTCTTAATTCTTTCACAGTCAGGTTATAAGTATTAGGCAAGTGTGATATGTTGTAATGATGATGTGGTCTTACGTCGAGAAGTATGTGATTCAACTCACCTGGAGACAGGTAAGAGGTTTCCAATTCTTTTACAGAAATCCGCTCCTTCGAAGAACACACATCATACTTTCTTTTTCCGCAGAAGAGCTCATAATCAACATCTCCTGCCTCGATAGCCTTTCGGCTAATGGTTCGATTGTCGCCACAGGCTTTGCAAGATGTTTGCCTGCCTCTCATTTTAAAGGTGCGTAAAGTTTGTACGGGAAATCCAGAATACTGCATCAAAAATGGTTGGAAGTTGTCTAATGTGTAGATGTCAAGTATTATTTTAATAGTCTCGATCGCCATCATCACACCCACGAGACCTATGCAGGGACCGATGACACCCCCTTCCTGACAGGAGGAAACAGCGTTTGGAGGTGGAGGAACGGGGTAGAAGCATCTATAACAAGGGCCCACATCTTTGAAATTCAAGATCGACAATTGGCCCTCAGATCCAAGACCAGAAGCGGAAACTACAGTCATTCTGAGATTAACTGCAACATCCGAAATCAAGTATCTTGTCAACGGCGTATCTGTGCAATCGAGAACAATGTCGTAGTGTTGGAAAATATCGAAAGCGTTGCTGTAATTGAGCCTTACTGGATATGTATCGATCGTGACATGGGGATTAAGTTTCAGCAGGACTTCCTTCGCAGACTCGCACTTTAGCATACCGACTTTGCTCGAATCGTGCAGCACTTGTCTATGCAAATTTGAAGTTTCGACAACATCATTGTCTACAATTCCTATTTGTCCCACACCAGCACCAGCTAAATACGGCAAACAAGGGCACCCGAGGCCGCCAGCACCAATAACGAGAACCTTACTGCCGCGCAGTTTGAGTTGTCCCGCAACTCCCCCAGTATCTTCTACGATCATTTGCCGACCATATCTCTTGAATTCTTCCAGTGACATGGGAAGCTGGTTTTGGGCACTTAGCTGCTGCTTAAGAGCAGCGTTTTCTGCCCTTAAAGCTTCTAGCTCATCAAAAGCCTTCGAAGATCCTAGGTCACTAGGCATTTGACTTATAGTTGAGTTTTGGAGACGCTTTTCTTAGCATACACTTGCTTTACAAGTGTGTTTTTCAGCGATGAGCCTGAAATAATTTAAACTAATGAGGAAGAACAAATGACGGAGAAAGCTTTATACCTGTGGCTAACAACCTCTTGCTTTACATGTATCAATAACATACGATTAGCATCCTTAAAATGGTGGTCAGGTTTAGTTAAGATTTGTCACATTCAATTTATCTCAGTTCGTCAGTATCTATGGATCACAAAACAATCAGCATACAATCCGCACGTACTTGTCCTGGGCCGCAGCATGAAAGGTACTAGACATCTAATGTAAAGCAAAAAGTCTTCTGCAAAATCCAATTCTTACTGAAGTCACAGCAGTTGTCGTAGATATACACCATTTTTGTCTGATTTCATGGTAACTAGCTGGAAATGATTTGCTGTCCCTCCATTAGATTCACGTTACTCTTCTTTCAAAACTCCTTCTGGAATGAAACACATGCAGATTACTGATGAGTGTCTTTCAACAAGCCTTATTTTTCGACAATGTGCAGTTTCAGAAAGTGTTAATTGAGAGCGTACCCTTTTACAATTTTATTGTACACAACTTTCAACCAGGGGAAAAGTTTGACATTTTGTATACTGGATTTGAGATTTTAATATAGCTGAATTTGTGTCTTCGATTACTTTTCTCATTAGCGACTCAGTAGAAAAGACAACGTTATTTTCACAGTAGTCCTAACACCAACAACTGTTACATAGACGTCGATTATGAGCGTTGACACAAACAGCGGCTATGGCGCACTGTTATTTAGAGTTTGATCCTTCTGTCGCATTATGGAACTGTGCGAAAGCAAAACTCTACTTCGGTTGTTCATTCTTAATAATTAGCCGCCCAGCTGAAAAAAAATGGTTAGAAGAAGTGCATCTAAAATGGTGACAAGGCCGAGTACCCAAGACTTGACTATCTCCTCATGATTAGTTATGTTGTCATGAAAGCAGATGGACGTGATACATTGCAATACAATATTTGTTACGCATGTTATGTAGCGAAAGACACAAGAGAATTTTATCGTGGGGGATTTTGTACTTAGGGCGATAGACTTAGTGTCGAAAATCAAATAAAGTACACAGTTCTAAGCCTAACTTTCAGTGCATGGTCGGGTATCTTGAACGTATTGTCGATACTGACATGTTCAGCCAGTAGTAATGCTTTTGTCAACTTATGTCAACGTGCCACAGTCGGGAGGTGATAAATACTAAATGACCGTCTACCAACATAGGCCAATCCTTCACAACAGTCAGGGAGGCAGACCAGTCGAGCTGTTTTATACGCTTGAAACTTACAACACTAGCAATGGTCGAAAGACTAAAACGAGGGCTTTCGTAAAAATAACGAAAGCTATTCAACCCGCTACCAGATTAAAGAAAGGCGCCTGCTTCTGCATTTACCTTGGATCTTATCCTTGACAAAGGCTGGAACTAATTTTGGGTTTAGTTAAGTTTGCGCCTGCTAACATCTTTCAACCATCTGAGCTGAATATAAAGAGTTCCCACCAGTATGAATGATTGCAGAGCACACCAAAATAAAACCTTGGATTGAGCCCTTTGGCTGAGTACCAAAGCATTCTTTTCTCGGGCTTTTGTAGCGCGCTGTTCATTACGCAGTACTTCTAAACGTCCTGCAAGACGTCGCAGTCTAACATTAGCATCCCGTGCTTGTTGAACAATTTCTACATCCGGCAAATGAAGCACTGAGATATCGAGTTCCAGCTCTACCTTAATTGTGCACTTCGGTTCCGAAATGTCGGAAGCTATGCAAATTTTGTGCTCGCCACTTTCAAGTGCGGTGAATGTGAAGTCACCTTTAGATCTTATTTGTTGGCTCAATGCCTTGTGATCATTGTCAAAAGTCTCATAGACAGTGGTGACCAGATTGATGTCAACGGTTTCATTTGGATCGATAGTGCCGGCCTGGGGAACGGAATCAAATTTGGCATTTAAAACACTGTCCTGAGCCAAATTTTCGTAAAAACATTTGATATCACCATTTCGCATGTAGAGATGGAGTCCGCGAATCTGGCAAATGCTTAGTGCTAGCGAAAGAGCTTTCAAGAATCTCATCACGTAGATGTTTGGTTTTGTGTATTTTTTTTACTGACGTTGGCGTTATTCAATGAAGAGCACCAAATATTGTTGAAATTATCTGGTGTCATCTAAGGACGAAAAATGGCCTTATAGTTCTGGCTTGTCACTTATTGAATGCGGTAAGTAAACGTGCGCAGACTCCTCCAGTAGAGACGGGATTGCGCATTCTTGGCCTTGACCTTGATTGTTTAGAGTGTTTGTGTCACTCCAATATACTGGTTTATTATGCGTAATTTGTTGAAGAAAGTGGTTGATTAGGCTTTGCTCATGACCGGCTAGAGCTTGACCGAATGACGAAAGCTGGCCTATGTGGCTGTCCAGCTTTTCTAGGCGCCATTTGAGATAGCGGCACAAGTAAGATTGAAATGACTCAATAGCTTGTGTCAGCTTTCCATTATACATTTCCAAAATCTGCTCTTTATCGAGCCTTTCAGCTTTCTCTTCACCTTCTATGTTGTGATGATAAGTCCATGCTAATTGAGGAAGCCCTATAGCTTCTGAACTGCTAGATTCTTGTTGCACTATCAAATCCTTACAAGCATCGCTATAATCATCGGAATCACTACCGCGTGCCTCACTGAAATGATTTGCGATGCGCTGATGAACGGATCGACTATAAGTAAAAGCTGGACAACTATTTTCACGCGAGGGGCCGTTTAAAAATGGAATGAGTAGCATTTGAAATGAATCTATGCAATCGTTAATGTAGACTTGCCTGTCTTTCCACATGAATTGGATGCACGGCTTTATTTCAAACCATTTATAAAACAGATCGAGCTCGCCATTCAAACTTAAGAAATGCTTATCCAGACAGAGGTTCACGTAAATGACGTTTTGAGGAAAGGAAGCTGGTGAGAACCCGTAAACTTTTTCGAAATGTACCACTTCCACCACCGGGGAGTAGCTTATAAATACCTCGAGAATTCCAGTCTTTTGAGAAACTCTATCTAGATCCAAAAGAAGAAGTACGTCGTTCGTTTTACGATCAACATCAAAGTGTGCATTAATCAAGCGGTTGTCGTGGTTAATGTAGTCGAGGACGGGAACTAAGGTTGTACGGACGTAGAAATCGTCACATCCTTGGTCGTCCTCATGCGGGATCTCTAAGCACCGGGATACTACACTGGCCATGATTTTGGCTACAAGTTGAGGATTAATTTCGGCCTCAAAGTTACATCTGCAGAATTCGACTAGTGATTGGAAAATTCTATGCATATCGCTCAGACCATACTGGGCCATTAACTCAAGATCTAATCCGGAACAATAGCTGGAAAGGTCAGAGTAGAGTGACCTGACATCAGTGTTTAGTAGAACGTTGTTCAGGTACGCAGATATAATTCCAGGAAGTGCGTAGCCAGTCGTCTCAAGTCTTTCAAAAATGATAAAGTACACGATCAGTATGAGAGTCTCTGAGAGGTGTTCCAGGACTACTGGATTTTCGCAGCACAAGCCAAACATATGCTTGACCTGATTGTTGGTATCTTTGAACTTCTGCTGGTTCTCGTGCTGATTTAAAATATCTAGGACCGTATGAATAGAAAACGTTCCAGTTTCAGGAACTCGTAAGAGCTCCACCATATTATCCCCAGCGTCGGTCAAGTTTAACAAGTCGAAGTCTACAAATCCACCAATACATTTTGTTTTATCAGTGATTGTAGATTGACCCAAGAAAAAGCCGGGCGCAGACTTGATCCCGTAAGAGCTCTTAAACATATCAAAGGTGCTGATAGCAGTATCGTCATTGTTCAGTGGTGCGATTCCCATACTGATAGAATCCAAGATGGTGCTCAACAAAAAGTATAAGCGTTACGTATTGGGTATGAAGGAGTTAATCAATTGAACTCCTGAGATCCGATGATGTTAATAGCAGGGCAACGTCACGTTGAGAATAGGTAACCCCGTTTGAGGAAAGATCAAAGATGCGTATTTTGTTCTAAAGTTTCTTTTAATTAAACTCATCTCAGTAATTAAAAAATTTCTGAAATGCGATGCCTATTACAAGATCCAAATAGTGGACTTCGATAGCCTCCAAGATCACATTTTAGAGTACAGAATGGTGAGTTCAGTTAAATTGAGTGACGCAATCAAACGCAAGCGGGATTTGCAAGACGCAGAATCCGACATTGACATCAGTAGCACGGATTCAGAAGATGAGTCTGACAAGAACGAAGAAGAGCAAGAAGTTGTCAACATTGACTTTGACTTTTTCAACGGCAACAAAAATGTGGACTTTCATGCCTTCAAAAATCTGTTGCGTCAGCTTTTAGGACCTCAGGAATCTAATAAACTACAACTTAGTGCTCTAGCAGACCTAGTTTTGGACTCGCCCACAACCACTATCAAGACCGATGGACAGGAATCTGACCCATACTGCTTTCTGTCCTTTATTGACTACCGCTCGCACCGGGATTCCGAATATGCTCGCTACCTGGGCACGCTGGACCCTCGGATTGGAAACTTTTTAAAAACTATCGACAACTCCAACCAAACGTGCGCTCTGGTACTGAGCGAGAGACTCATTAACATGCCGCCTGAGATCATTGCACCTATATATAACATTACCTTGGAGGACGCCTCCAACAGTCTTGGCAAAGGGAAGCATTACGATTACTACGTCATGGTGAGCAGAAAGTTCGAAGTCAACGTTGAAGCAGATGACGATGATAAACCAGGGCAGAGCCGCAAGCGTGTTAAGTCATCTGAAATTGACTACTTCCACGAGGAAGATCGTTTCCTCGAGCGCAACGCCAAAATACACTTCGACTCCGAGAGTCGGAAAGGTCTCGTATCTTCCTACGTTATTATTGAACACGCCTCACTGGTCAAATCAATTCAAGAAGTTGCCAGTGAAGTAGCTACTTGGTGAGACAACAAGTGTTTTGAGATTTCAAAGCATCATCCATAAACTGAAAATGTGTTGATAGCACCTAGTACGAAGTAACTTTTCATGTTGTAAGTAAACTGAACATCTACTTTTATTTGTAAAAGAGTGAATAAAGAGGCGTTAAAAGAAGACACTGGAGCTCGACTACTCCCGCTGAAACATCGCGCTATTGGTGAAATTAAGTTCTAGGGCTGTTTTGGACCAAAAAAACCGGCAAAAATTTCGAGTTTAGCGCGTCCCATTTCTGTTGTTCAAGTGATCTGCTAGCGCACAGCGTTATGGCAAAATTCGACAAAAATGCCACCTCAGACGACGGCACAAAGCTGGAACAGCTAATTTGCAAGCGTAATAAGCTTATAACAGAGCTGTACTGTGTGTCCAGGATACAGGATTTCCTGCATATCACAGACGAACAACGACTAACGTCACAGATCAACGACTTTTTGGAAATTCATGATATACGCAAAGGCTATCATTTCGATATTAATACGCTTCCAAGATTTGCTCAAGTTGAGCCACCATCGGAGAAAAAGCCCATCAAGAGCAAAAGCAGCACCCCAGTTGACAACTCGAAGCGAGATAAAGAGAATACAAAGCATGAGAAAGAGGATAACAAGAGGCACATTGACAACGACAAAGATATTTTAAAAGACCCGCGAAGTGAACCTGTACGAGACGTCCATAGCAAGAATAAGATTGTACAGCTATCACCCGCAAAGGATGATGGCATAGAGGCCGAATTACAGAACCTAGGCCAAAGCGACACTGAAGATGATCAGCTAAAAGCGGGCAAAAAAAGACCCAGAGATGAAGAGACTCCACAAACATCTGACTCACACAACACTATGGCAGACTCACGACATATGAGTCCCGTCCTCGACTCTGCAGGCACTTATAATGGTATCAAGCGTCAACGAACAAGCCAACCGCCTCGGGAGACTAAGAGAGAGAGCGCACCCGACATTAAGCACACAAACTACTTAATTAGAGAGTTGAAAGAAGTTCCGTCTGAAGCCAAAGTACTCTTTCATAAAGAAAATATCAATGCTAAGGAGAGCATTTACCTAGTCATGAATGAAAAAATCCCTTCCATGATTCCACAAGCTATTCCATTGTCGGAGCTGAAGTTTAACTCACAGACTCTGCCCTTAATAAAGCTGATTCCTACTGCACACAAGGTTCTCACCTCAGAAATTATGAATATGGCTTTGAACGAATGTCGCATCGCCGTAGTAAGCTCCAGAATCGAGGAGCTGCGGAGGTTAGGGTTGTGGTCGCTAAGGCAGCCCAAAAAATTTATAGACCCATGGAATCATCTTAGAGGCACGCAAACACATCGCGGCAAGCTTTTAGAGGAAGCTAAGTGGATGTTTTATGACTTTGACGAATCCAAAAAATATAAAAGAGCAGTTTGTTTGACCATCGCGCAGGCCGTCATGGACTTTTGGAATTATGGTAGCATTTGTTGTTTGAAAAGGGCTTCAATTAAACATCTCGACCCGAAACAAGAACAAACAGGAGATGACCTAATAGTGAAGGAGACAAACTTTGAGGTTGAAGCTTCACCGCAGGACCGAGAAGCACAAACTACCTCTACTTCTATCGGAGAACCCAATGGGAAAAATGCGATTGACGTCGAACTGCTTCTCCAGCGGCCGGATCCGAATTTCGAAATCGGTGCTTTGAATGTACCTGATACAGACGGTAGCGGTTACGATGAATATAAGAATAGCATGCCTACTCCATTCAAGCTACACGTTTCCTTTGATGAGCTTGATTCTGTCGAGAGAAAAATTTTGAGCGATGCTCCTGTATATTCAAAACTCTCTTGTGACGATGATGATAATAATAAGGATCCTCCAAATGTTGATGTACTGTTCGAACCAATTTCAAAAGCGATCGTCTTGTTAGATGATGATAACTATTTGAAGATTATTGAACGGCAGATAATGGATGAGGAGCCCTCATTAGTGCCATTTAGCAAAAGACGAGGGATGTTTTATGGTAATAGGCGAAGTCACTATCTGCGCCCTCCGATAGCTCCATCGCTGAGGTACCTTAGGTGCAGGACTCCAACAATTTGGTTGCCTCAAGATGATCAAGATCTGGTTAGAAACATCAACACATACGCCTATAATTGGGAGCTGATAAGCGCACACATGTCATCGCGCCCAACAAGGTCGTACTGCTCTAACATTGAAAGGCGTACCCCCTGGCAATGTTTCGAGAGGTTCATTCAGCTCAATGAAAGATTTCAATTCATTGACATGAAAGGACCTCGCGCTCACAATGCACAACTTTGGCTGATAGAAGCGCATAAATTACAGCAGCAACAGAAGCGAAGAATTTCGCCACTGGGTGTTGGCGAGGAATCGATTCAAAGGGGGCACAAGAGGTTAAGATGGGCAAGTATGTTCGAGGCTATGAGAAAGTGTATCAAAAAACGAGAAAACGCACCTAGGCCCAACCCGACTCAACCGAGAAAACCACTTGACTGTAAGAATACGACGGTTCCAACCCCGGCGGAAATGTCGCAATTGAAGGCTCAGCGCGATGACGCTCTTCGAAGAGACATTCAAATGAGAAGAATCGCGAAGCAAAAGCTACAAGCTGCTGCGATGAATCAAAAACCTTCACCCAACAGCCCTGGAAAGCCTTCTGCCCAAAATGCACTTTCTTCTGGACAACATCGGATTTCAAGTAATGGCAGTGGCCAGAGTCGTGGCATTTCCGCAGACAGCAATGTGAGAGTTACCACACAAACACCGAAAACATCGCATATGAAGCAGATTCCGAAGACGACTGATACCCAATATAGAGCTATGATGGCCAAACAACAGCATCAACAGAGAATGTCGCCTACCCACAGCGAGAGACTCGACAGCGAACCTACGAGTGACAAGCTTCTCTCTCCAACGCCTCAGGAAATTTTACAGAAGATACAGCATGGAAAATAAAAGTTCTGACTTCCAAAGAAGGCAGGCTGAAACTATTTATATTGGTACGGATATTTAACCATACTTTGCTTCTATACAACTTAAGTACAACGAGCCAGATAACAGTGAGTACGATGGAATAGAGGTCTAAATCTGTGGGAGAGTAAAAACTGCCGTCTCTTCAACTGGCGTCGAGCTAACAACGTATGAAGCCTTCCATTTGACCTTCAAAGGCTTACTTGAATTTGCGGGTGCGTTCTCGATGGAGCCAAATTGAAATACTTCGTCTTTACCTCCTGCAGATATGAAGTTACCGGATTGGGGGTCCAGCTTCAGAGCCATTGACTTGGGAACAGCCACCATAAAGGTAAGTCCCGAGATTGGCACAACTCCCTCGTTCGAAAAGAATGAAGATATTTTTATGGACGACTCAGACTGCCTCGAGACCTCAAACTCAATTTTCAGGTGACTAGATGAAGAAACCAGTACTCTCTCCGCCTTAGGACTGTTGAAAGCATCTGCAAATCCGTCAAAAGCGAAAGAGCCTGAGTTGGAATTTCCTTGACGTAACGGAGGTGGCGGCGGTGTCGAAGACGATGCGTTTGAGAAGCCTGCTAAGAGATCAAAATCTGAAGCAGGCGTTACCTGCGAAGTGGGTTGAGCAGCGCCAAGCGAAATACTTCCACCTAGTCCAAAAGTTTGAGATGGCTGGGAAAAACTCAAATTATTCAGATCACCTAAAAGGTCTTCCACAGGGTTGCCAGATTCGCCAGCTGGCGGAGGTGATGATGAAGGTTCTTCATCATCTCCAAAATCGATTAGATTGAGCTCATTAGCTAAGGCGCCACTCGAGCGTCCTGCAGGTGCGGATGATGAGATCGAAGACACTTGGATATTAGCAGCTTCGCTCGTATTACCTGTCTTCAACAAAATATACTTTTGGACCAGTTGATTAACCGTATCATTGAACTGCAATATGTCTTGAATCAATTCATCGTCGTCATGCTCCTCCTCAATAATCTTCTGAAATTTAGGCTGCGAGACCTTCAATGCACTATACAACTCTACCAATGTCTCATTGTCCATGTTTGGTTGCTCAGACGTGCTTAGCATGTCTTTGAAAAGATCGGCTTTACGCTTCAGTTTGAACAGTTCCTCGTTGATTAATTGTTTTGACTTGATGACGTTATCCTCTTTAAACCCGGCCATCACTTTCATGAGTTTATTGGCTTCTTTCAAATCTTCTGGCCGGCCGCGTCTGATAAGTTCTTCCAACTTGGCAGCTTGGGCAATTTCTTGCTCTTTTTGAATTTCACTAGGAGTTTTTAAATGGTCGCCAGGCCTCAACACGGCAAGGTCTTCTTCTTTGATCTTGGGGAAGATATACCCCTTATACTTAAGAAGTCTGTGCATGTCTCTAATGTAACCCATATCTTCTTTGTAGCTCGCATGCTTGCATATAGTTTGGTACCACTCCTCAATCGCAGTCAAAACCAATCTCTGGACCTTAGTGAATCTCAAAGGTGGTCTTTCAGGGAATCGCTTTACTAATTCATTGAGAAACTCCTTACGAGAGATCTGCAAGTGAAATGGATACCCACAGTTCTTCACCAACACGTCGAGTAAGGCCAGTGCGAAAACCGCAGTATGTGTGTCGCGACTGTTGATGAGCTTCACGATTGCTATGGCCGCGTCCCTTGGCGCAGCCCCTTGCTTAGCATTGATAAAATCGGCCACATCTAGGTTCAGTCCGAGATCTGGTTCGGCCAGGGTCAATCGACAAGCTCTCTGTATCTTTCTTATGAGTGAGTTTCCAGGACTTGGTTGAGGCCTTCTAACAGGCTGATCTGTCAAATAGATACCTTGCGACATGCGTAAATGATTTCGGCTATTTCTTTTAAGTTACTGAACAATTTGACCTTTACGGTGCAATCTTTGCTTTAAGAAATTTGGTACTTTCAGATTTGCCAGCAGAGTTCAGCAGCACCCAAAATTGCTAAATATTGAACACAGTCCTAATTCAGTCACAGCCAGGTAATTGATAGTTTCCAGGTTACCTTAAAATAGTTATAAGATATCAGAACTCTAGTGGCCCCTATCGAGATTGTAAACTATTAATTTTTTCAGAAGCTGGGAAAAGGTGATAAAATCGAAAATACTCTAAAGTTGACGTTCCAATTATTTCAAACCTAAAGGAAGGAGAGCTTTGACGAGGCTAGAATTATGGTCAGTGAAGAGCTGGAATCGGCTCAGGAGCCGAGGGACCCTTTCCGGATAGATCAATTGTGTGTGGACTATGATTATTTGCTTTACAAGATTCAGGATTATGTGTCATCAATACAGCTGAAAACGATTGAAATATGCGAGCAACAAAACCGTATCATAGAGGAGGGTATTCTGAAGGAGATAATAGACGTCAATGTGTGCGGATTGCAGGAAGTTTTGCTAAAATGCGAAGAGCTGGAAGCGCATTTTGATATGCTCGATCAGATAGACGTAATTGCGCAGTCGTTTGGACCTAGATTGCAACAAATAGTCAAAGAACACAAAGAACTTCAGCAGCGCTAGTTTTACCAAGTCACTCTATCTTGATCCAAAACGATTTTCTGCCGCAGGTAATTGATGCGTTGCGCATCCCAACGGAGTTTAAGCGCCGCGCGCTGGAACCTCACAGCAGCCAAAACCATTAGAGCGACAGTTTTGAACCGAAGCCGTCCGCGGTACGGAAAATCTGGCCAGATGTCTGCTAATGCCTCGTTTTCTAACTTAATGATATCGAGCCTTACATGACGAGAACTCGCCCTGAGCACCCGGTTGAGATACCCATTCATAACTTTTAAGTCGTTGTTGTGCACGACTTCATGGTTGTATCGCAATTTGTAGTAGTCGACTTGATCCTGCAGCGACAGCCTACCCAAATCCGGTGTCGCGGAACGTGGGATGTGTTGCTTACTTTCCAGCATTCTCTTTTCTAATGCCAAATTTTCATCTTGAAGCATTTTTAGCTCATCCAGCAGCTTTTGCCTCATAGTGCGATACTTTTCTTCCCATTTAATACTCAACTTAGAGTTATGCGAATCCGAATCAGAGCCAAGCTCGCGGTACTTGACGAATTCTTTCGTGACGTACTCTAATCGAGAAGCTAATTTTGACAGCTCCCTCTTTTTATCGACCTCAGACTCCTGGACTTGACCCAGCTCTTTGCTGAGCCTTAGTTTTTCCATGGACAAATCGCTACATCTTTGAACCAGCTCATCTATTTCTTTCTGTTTCTCAAGGGCCTTTCTTTGCAACGAACCTGCTTGTGAATCGCTGTGCTGTGAGAGTTCTTCATTTTCTTGCTTCAGTAGCCGTATTTTGTTCTCCAATAAGGAAATTTCCCGGTCTTTAGTTTCTCGCAGTGATTCAAGTTCTAGGTTCAAAATACTGACCTGTTTATCAAGTTTTCTTTGCACTAACAGTGGCTCTACATTCGAGCTCTCTAACTGAGCTTTGAGCTGCTCCATTTCAAGGCGATGATTCTGATGAAGAGTATTCGCTGCTTTTTTTGCCAGATCCAATTTATTCTCCAGTTCCTGTATTCTAGACCTCAATTTTTCAATTTCAGAATCCTTTTCTAGTGTCTTTCTAACATTTCCCTTCAGCGCTGGAGATCTCGTAGCTTGTGTCACAATTCGTTCTCTAAGGCTGTCATTGTCCCTTTCTAGACTAGCCTTCTCTTTCATCAACTGCTGGATCTCGATGGTTAGAGCTTTGAGCTCTGAGCTTTGCGATTTACCTTCTTCCAATGCTTTTCCGGTCTTGACATGTTGTTGTTGAAGATCGCGAAGTTCTTTGTCCAGTGCCCTAACTTTATTGTCCCTTGCCTTGATTTCTTTTACAAGGTCATTAGATTTCGTCTTCAACGTTTCAACTTGACCTTGATATTGACGATTGTCAGCAACAATTTGAGCATTTTCTTCTTTAAGCTCCGAGTTCGCAGCATTTAATTGATTGATCTGTAATTTGGCGCCTTCGTCATTGGTATCAATCCCTCGAGAAACATAATCTAACTCATCTTTAGTCCTCTCTAATTCCTTTTGCAGTTCTTGAATCTTTTTCTCAGACTGGCTTAACTTGGTTTCTATCTTCTCAATATTTCGGACCTGCTCCTCAGTTTTTAGCTCAAGCTCTTCACGAGCGCGTTTTTGTTCCTCCAGTCTGACACCAAGTTCCTTGATTTTTATCTCGTGTTCCTTAATCGTGTTTTCTCTTTCTGCGATGGTAGATTCTAAAGTCCCAATTTCTTGTCGTAGCGTTCGTGTCTTGGATTCGAATTGTTCATTTTTAGCGTCTGAGCCGTCGGATGTAACGCGGAGTCGATCCTCCAGCTTGGAAATTATCTGCTTAGAGTTGTTGACACTGTTTCTGTACTCATTCAACTTGATTTCAAGCTCTTTTAGTTGAGCTTTGTTAAGCTTGGTTTTTTCTTTGGATGCCTCCGGATCTTTGCCGTCTATTTGGTCAATTTTTAACTGCAGGGCCCGATAGGAAGTAGCAAGCTTTTGATACTTAGATTTCCAGTCTTGTAGTTCGTCGATTATCGCCAAATTCTTTTTCAATTCACCTTCATCGGTTACGTTGTTCAAAAACTTCAGCAAGCTATTGCATTTGACCCTAAGGTTGTAGTTTTCCAAATTAAGTTTGTAAAGGGAGTCCTGCTGCTCTTTGAGTGGATTAGATGCTCCGGCGTTTTCACCATGTCCTTCCCCATTCTGCATTTCATTTGCACGGTTCTTTCGCAGACTCGGAATACCTGCTTGAGACGGCAGAGTGTCGTCAAATGACGAGTCGTTGAAAATCCGAGTTGAATTGAGCGTGTCGTCACGTTTACGCGTCCTTTTACGGGGTTCGTATTCATCTAGACCAGGACTCTGGATCGATTCATTGTGTGATAGCCTTTTTCTAGATTCTCTGTCAAGTCCTGCGCCCGGAGAGTTCTCTTTTCCCTCATTAACATACCCTATCGGCGTGAACTCATAGTTTATTCCCGCTTCTCTACCATTAGGAGTGCCAGGAGATTCAGTCATATCGGTATATGTTTACTACTGTTTGACGAATCTATAGAAGCTGGAAGATCTGTTCTGTGTTTGTGCGACGCGACGCGTATTGAACTTTCAACATTTTGAGATCGTACTCAAGATAAAAAAGGCGAGTACACAATAATGTCAGCAAAGAATAAAACGAGTATCGGTTGGTTCCGAGGTCTAAAGTGTAGACTACTTTTGATAACACCCGAAATTCAGAGCGACATGAATTTCAACTCAGTCCACAGTTCACAGCGGTTCCAGTAAAAAACCAAAAATATCTATATATTGAGTCTTGCCGAATTTGAAGCTCGAACGTTGCTTGTTTAGCCAAAATCATGCATACCCTCCTCAATTGTTGTGTGTAAGTCTATGTTGCTGTTTCAGTCAAGAAGGCATTTTTCTTACAGAGCCTTGGTACACTCTATGAAATGATTTAATGATCTCCGTGCGCTACCAGAATGGATAGACTCTTCTGCTTTTTGAACTCCCAATTCCCAATTGTGCTGGCCACTTGTCAAACAATATAGTAGCGCAGTGTTGAGCAATATGTAGTCATATATGCCGTTCTCACCCTTACGGTATTTTCCATCAAGTATGGTCGTGAGAATTTCTGCGTTTTCTTTAGGCCCTAGAGAGGCACATTCACTCAAGGAATGCTCTTTCAAGCCGAACATGACTGGTTCAACTTCAAAAGAGGCTATACTAGATGAGGGAGCAGGTTTAGTATGCCATACTGTGGTCCTTCCAAGTGGCGAGACTTCGTCCAGCCCCACATGGCCCCAAACAACAAAAGTTTCACTGTTAGGATACACCATAGCAGCAGCACGCGCATATTCGAGACCTAGAGATTTGGAGTAAACACCAAGAACTCTTTTTTGCACTGAGCCAACTGGATGTAAAAGTGGACCTAGAACGTTGAATATGGTTGGGATTTTCAAAAGCTTGCGCAACAGCGCAACGTGTTTCATACCATCGTGAAAGAACGGCGCGAGCAGAAATAGGAACGAATTCTGATTCCACAACTGCGGCACAGTCCGGCTGTTGATCTTAGATGTGTCACAGCCTAGAACCCCGATGAGATCACCCGCCCCACTGTTGGACGTTGAGGCTTTCCCGCCATGCTTGCAGACCTTGATGCCTGGAATTCCCGATGCCACGATGGCAGATGAAGTTGATACATTGAAGGTATTTTGACCGTCGCCACCGGTGCCAACGATGTCAATAGCGGTAAAAGCCGAAGATTTCTGAGCTGCATCAAGAGTCACGACGTGGGAGTATTTGAGAACGGCTTTCGCAGCTTCGGCTATATAGTCTGCTTTCAAATCAAGGCCTGTAGTACGCAGACTGGTGAGGAAGCTTGCAATCGGCACGTAAACCTCAAGAGAATTCAGCGTGTCATTTGCCAAACTTTCGACGATCAATTTTATCGCGGCGTGAAGGTCTTTAGGAGTCAATGCAGGTGGCTGTTGCAACAGCAGCTTGGTATATTGCGATATATCTTTCATCGCGAAATCTGAAGGCAAGAGAAGAGCGAATTACTTGCACACTTCAACCTTCTTTCTATTTTCGACTGTGAGTGGATAGCGTCAACAGCTTCGATTCGAACACTCATATTTCGCTTAGCACATTATACGAGCACACGACGCAATACTCTCGCACTTTAATGAATGAGGCCCGTATATGTGATTCATCATCGTCTATGCGATAATTCTAAGATATTAGGCAATATATGACAAGCACTCTCAGCAAAGCGAGCAGTCGCTACCTAACATTATTGAATTGTAAATATTTTTTTGACAATCCGTCGCCTGTGTTAATGTAACGTACAAGATTTATATATGATGTATAAATAGTCTGAGGATATCTATATTTGCTTCAAGTTCCAGTTTGGATTGAAAGGAATTGGTCTATGATTAATAAAGCGGATTTCTGGGCTAGGAGCAGCAGCAGCTAAAAAACGCGAAGAGATGAAACACTTGAGGATGGCAATTAACCAAGACTGCAACAAGAATTGCAAACACAGTGGCTGAATTTTTCTCAGGTCTTTTAAATGCTGTCACAAGATACAATATGAGCACTTCACAAATATTTGATGCGCTGATATTCTTGTGTCACAATAGTATAGAGTGACCTGCATTAACTCTCATGGGAACGCTATACTGTGACCTTAAAGATGGCATTTAGAAGAGAAATGTTCAAACCGGCGCACAGGCTAGCAATATTATGTGGCTAGTGTATTATTTTTGATCTAATTCTACATGGCCAATTATTGATCACCATATACGAAACATGTAGATCAATTCAAGTCGTGTTTCAATCATGACAGGCCAAATGTGGCCACAGCTGGACAATGTTGGCTCTTGACTCAGCTCGTCTACTCAAAGGCCTGGTTCAGTTAGATCCTTTGGCATTAGTGAACTACTGGTTACCCTGTAAACACGCCTATTGCAGTTCTAAAAAATTTAGATCTCGTCTTTCTCGCCATAGGCTCGAGGAAATGAAAAATACCTAAATTCTCAACTCTCGATCTGAAGAGGAATTTGAAGGTTGAAAGATCAATTGAACCGCTTAAAGCCATATAAAAAACTACACAAGATGTCTGTTGAAAATGTCGTGGTCGGTGTATCGAATTTGCCTAATCAACGGTACAAGATTGTGTCTAATCAAGGTGGGATTTTTACTCTGATGGTATGTGGTGAATCAGGTCTCGGTAAGACCACATTTATCAACACGTTGTTTCAGACTACCCTAAAACACGCTGATCCTCAACAGCGTCGCAACCAACCAATCAAAAGAACCGTGGAAATCGATGTGCTACGCGCGATCCTGGAAGAAAAGAACTTCTCGCTCAGAGTGAATGTCATTGACACGCCAGGGTTTGGCGACAATGTCAACAACAACAAGTCGTGGCAAACCATTGTGGACTTTATCGACGAGCAGCACGACTCGTATATGCGCCAGGAGCAGCAGCCGTTCCGCGACACGAAATTTGATCTCAGAGTCCACGCCGTGTTGTACTTCATTAGACCTACCGGCCACGGTTTGAAGCCTCTGGACATTGAAACTATGAAAAGAATCTCCACACGAGCCAATCTGATCCCTGTGATTGCCAAATCTGACACACTTACTGCCAAAGAGCTACAGGACTTTAAGCTTCGGATCAGACAGGTGGTTGAAGCTCAGGAAATTCGCATTTTCACCCCGCCATTGGACGAATCCGAATCTCCGGACCCAGCTGTCATGGAGCATGCTAGACAGCTTATCGAGTCCATGCCTTTTGCCATTATCGGGTCTGAAACAAAGTTTGACAACGGCCAAGGTACCATGGTTCCAGCTAGAAAATATCCATGGGGTATAGTTGAGGTCGAAAATGACGCTCATTGTGATTTTCGTAAGCTGAGAAGTTTACTGTTGAGAACAAATCTCCTCGACTTAGTTCTTTCCACCGAGGAATTGCACTACGAGGCTTACAGAAAACTACGTTTGGAAGGTTCTGGTGCAAGTGAAGACCAATCTCTACCAGCCAGAGCCCCTGCCAGAAAACTTTCACACAATCCACAGTTTAAGGAAGAGGAAAACGCCCTCAAAAAGTACTTCACAGATCAGGTTAAGGCCGAGGAACAAAGATTCAGACAATGGGAACAAAACATCGTCAACGAAAGAATTAGATTAAACAGCGATCTGGAGGAAGTACAGGCAAAGGTAAAAAAAATGGAAGAGCAAGTGAGATCTCTGCAGTTGAAAAAGCATTAAGGAAGGTTAAGTAGATCTAATGGACAGCAATACAAGACCTTGAAGGTTTCTGTAATGCGTCTTGAGTATATAAACAGATTTGAGATTTGAGTAACCAAGTTTACTTTGAAGGAAGCTGCTAACCTGCTCGAAGGATCTATTGCATTTTTTGATTCTATCTCTGTGAGTTATTCTTTATATTATACACTCTATTTATTCTTGTTCGGCCAAAAACTTTTCGGCATCCAACGCGGCCATACAACCAGAACCTGCGGAAGTGATGGCTTGTCTGTATCTGGAGTCCTGGACATCTCCGGCGGCAAAAACACCAGGGACAGAGGTGATGGCGCTGCCAGGAACAGTCTTCACGTACCCGTTTTCATACAAATCGACTTGTCCAGCAACGATTGAGGTGGCTGGAGTGTGACCAATAGCGTAGAACAGGCCGTTGACGGGTAGGTCGTATTCCTGCTTCGTTTTGTTATTCAAAAGTCTGAGAGCGTTCAAAAACTTACCGTCACCCTTGGCCTCGAGACCCTCAGTGTTGTATAAGATTTCAATCTTCTCGTTCTTCTCGGCACGTCTCTGCATGATGGTCGAGGCACGTAGATGGTCCTTTCTCACCAACATGTAGACTTTGGAACCATACTTGGTCAAGAAGCTTGCTTCTTCACAGGCAGAGTCACCACCGCCAATCACGGCTAGAGGCTTGTTTCTGAAGATGGGCACGGCACCGTCACACACGGCACAAGCCGAAATACCCTGCTGCCAGTAGGTTTCCTCGCCGGGGAGGTTCATTCTTTTGGCTGAAGCGCCTGTTGCTAGAATCAAGGCGTCTGTGGTATTAGGCTCAGCGTCTTCGTTGAACTCAGTCCAGTACTTGAATGGTCTCGACGTCACGTCTACCTTGGCCACGGTCTCAGTGATCACTTCGGTACCGAAACGCTCTGATTGCTCTTTCATCTTGTCCATGAGCTCGCTACCGGTGAGACCCTCTGGAAACCCAGGGAAGTTTTCGATCTCTGTGGTGGTGGTGAGCTGGCCACCAGCGGCCACACCATTGGCGAACATACCCTCGTACAGTGTGGGCTTGATTTCCGCTCTTGCGAGGTAGATAGCGGCGGTATGGGCGGCTGGGCCTGACCCAATGATAGTTACTTTGTTGTGGACCATTCTGGTATTCTTGGGAAGCGATCTAAGCTGTGATATGTGGCTTAAAGCTCCTTTGAGTGTGCTTTGAAACATTCCAAATCCCATCATAATGCTACATTTCAATTTCGAGATTTGCATGCGTTCTTATATACGTCAGGCTGAAAAATATATACGAATATCAAAACTTACAAATACAGCGGTCTGGATCTCGAATACAGAGTTTCGAGCAAGTGTCCAGAATTCGGAGCTTACGAATGTGATGTGATGAGAAAAATAAAGTGACTTCTAGACGGACGATTTTGTAAAGTTAGTCAGTGAACATCGAACTCTCGAAGACGAGGCTTTCCGCGCAGAGCATAGAGAGTGTAGTAAAGAGTGCATTACTTAGGGCAATGATGGTCGCGGATGTGGTGCGCTCGTGCCTTTGAAACCGGCCGTGCTCTAGAACGAATATTTATTCTGGCATATCAATGTTAAGAGGACATCCAGAAGCTCGCAAAGTGAACTAGAAATGCAGGGCTTGATTATCTTGTTAATGCATTGTAGTAGTTTTAGTAGTAGTAGTAGTAATAAGTAAGTACGTGTGCCGGGACAAGAAAAAAGTAGGGTCATTGTGGACGAGTGTGACGCGGCGACTCAAATTTTTTTTGTCAACCCGAGTGGCAAACCCCGTTTTGGGCCCGCTGGAAACATTTGGTTTGAGAAACGTTTGAGGAACAAATGGGAAGCGCGCCCGTACACAGCTACCACGCTTCCAGCTTGTTCTCGATGCGTTTCCAGGAGTGTCTTGTTTCCGGAGCGGAATCCGTGGGTCTGACGGGAGAGAAAACACCCCGGAGTTCTCGTCAGGTGGAAACGTGAAAAGTTGGAAACAAATGGGAAACAAGTGGAAGCGCGGGCGGGAGAATAGCGCTAGCCGGGCGTGTAGAAAAATATCGAGGGTCTCTACTAGCCTTAGAGGTGGTATGTAATGTTTTCTATAACCGTAGTACTTTTCAGTTTTCGAGCGGGAGCAGAGGGACCAGGGCGTGGTTCATGAAACGGCACCAGCGCTTCGCATGCGGTACTGAATTCGGCTACTGCTGGAGAATGAGAAAAGAAGCTGCCTTTCCGGGGCTGGCGCATGCGGGCGAATTGTGTTGTGCCAATGATAATGCAAAAAGGTGGTACAATGACTCTACAAATACTGCGCGCACTAGGCGAATTTGCAGTCATCTAATGTGCACTTAAAACCTCATTTGCTGCGCTGTACCAACTTCTTCTGTTTTTGGGCAAGATGCAAAATCCCTATCATCCAAAAACCTCCAGCTCACTTCTTTAAAAACTCTTTGATGCACTCAACACCCTCCAACAGTATTTTGTCATTTAGCAATAGTGTATTCAGAAAAAGCTCCAACCCCGCACGACGTCGAGCGAGCCAGCCGCTCTTAAAGTTTGCGTCTTCGTAGCGCCACGCATCATACCAAGAGAGTTTGGGCGGTAAAGGTGGAACGTTAGGCCTCAGATCTGCAGATAGGGTTTGCATCATTTTCTCCCTGAAAGCCTCGAACTCAGTGTATCGTTTGTAAATGTGTATTTTGGGACTACTTCTTCCACTAATGCCAGTTGGGGCGAGAGTTACTTCTATTTGCCATACGGTGAACTTATTATTTTGACTATTCACGATGGTGCAATTTCCTACTCTTATATCTCTGAAGTGTAAAGATGGAGTCATAAGCTCTTCTGAAGAAGATTCATTGTTGACCAAATTGATAGGTTCAGGTGCCAGGAACTTGATGTTATGAGGCATGTCAGAGTAAACCTACGATGGTTTTAGATGCGACATGTATTGGGATGTATATATTTTGGATTGAAATTAAGCTGCGCACCTGCATAACTTGGCAAACTGTATAAAAAGATTTTCGTACTAAACAATGCACATGGTCGCAGGTTCAGAAGTCCAACAATCTTGACATTATCGAAACCTCTCTTGAACGTTTTACTATTCTACTACGACCTGGTAATTTAACTTAGTGCGTTGTCTACATAAGATACTATTTGAACTAGTTTAAGTTTGATTCAAAGAAACAAACGTCCCAAAATACATTTTGGTGAAATAGACGCCAATACAGGTAGTTATTCCCCCTGTATCATACAGTCTAGCTCAGCTAAGCAAAAACTGGAAATTTGCTGTTGAGCCAAGTGAAAGGGTCGTTAAAGCGAATGTCCTTGTTCAATGCGGAGATAGCCTTCACTTCTGCTTCCGTTAAAGTAAGCTTCTCATTAATTTGCAAGTTGTCCAAAAGTCTCTCTTTCTTAGATGACTTAGGGATGATGGCAATCCCTCTTTGAGTGGCCCATCTTAGTAAAACTTGAGAGGCGGTAACATTGTGCTTGTTCGCAATTGTTTTCACGCTTTCGTGTTCGAACAATGTAGGGGTGCTTTTGGCGAGCTCTGAATCCAGCTCAATGAAAGATTGGGGACCAAATGATGAATATGCGACGACCTGAATTCCAGCTTGCTCACAGTATTCTATCAGGTGCTCTTGAGTCAGATAAGGATGGTGCTCAATTTGCAAACACACGGGAGGGATCTTGGCACCGGCCAACAAATCGTGGATCAAGATACCGCGAAAGTTCGAGATACCGATGGATTTGATGAGACCCTCCTTGACGCATTCTTCAAGTGCACGATAGGTGTCAAGAATAGGCACTTTTTCCAAACTAATGACACCCTTTTTCTCGTCTTCGGCGCCTGTGTAAAACCCTGGTGGGTATCTCTCCTCAAATGGAACGTACTTGAACGCCAAGGGGAAGTGAATGTAAAAAAGATCCAAATACTCGAGACCCATATCCGAAAGGGTTTTCTTCAATGCAGATTTCACGTTTTTTGGATCGTGGTAGGAATTCCACAACTTGGACACCACAAACAAGTCCTTTCTTGCCACGATGCCGTCGTCAATGGCCTTACGGATTCCCTCACCGACTTGTTTCTCGTTGCCATAGTCTTGAGCTCCATCGAAGAGTCGGTACCCAAGCTTGATGGCTTCATAGACCTGGGAAGCGCATACTTCGTTGGGGATTTTCCAGCAGCCAAGCCCTACTAGAGGCATGTCTAAGCCATTGTTTAGTTTAACGGTCTCAGAAACCATTGTTGAATGATAAATGTCGTCTAAGGCTACTTATTTTGATTGTAGTTGGTGATTACTTGAGGCGAGACAGTGGTTATGGCCCCTTTATATAAAAACTGATTTTACAACAAAGTTGGAAAGTTCGAGAAAAAGGTCGATTCTGGCAAGACAAGGGATCGCATGTCTTGGTGCTTTTTTAGGGTTTCTTATATCAATTAAGTAGGATACAAAACAAGTCATAGAGATTGCGATAAAACCTCTTGTTCGTTGTCTATGGTCGTATCAGTGTGAATTATCTAACTGAAGCAGGGGTGCAATTTCATCATTGGAAGTGCTACCAGTGTTCAATTGGCCCTCAAGCTCTCTGAGGTGCATGTCTTCAGCATACAAGACATAATGTTGATAAAAGTAGATTAGATCAAACACCACAGTCCCTGCGCTACCAACAATAAAAGGCATTTCACTCATTGTGAATGCCCACTTGTCCGGACATTCAAGAAAGCCACAGCTAGTGAATATGCTAACATTGTAGGTTATGTTGGCCAGCAACATATTGAAAAACAAAAATGGCGAAAGACCGTCGGTTGACTTTCGACGGTAGTTTTTTAATAGTTGCGGGATTCTGGCACCAACATAGCATGATGCCCCAGCCCATGACAGGATGACCCCTGCATTCATGCCAATCGTGGATTCAATTTTGATGTCCGATGTTAATCCCAATGGCGAGCCGCGGGCTCCTGTTATGAAAAAGAGAAGACCCGCAAACCACGATCTCTGATTTAAGCTCGTGACATCGGAGCCCCTGCTTCTAACTATAGCCATCCGTTCCTCAGTGTTTATCTGTTCATGGCCTGGCGTCGCCAATTTATTGTCATGAAGCACCCCGTAGTAAAAGTATTGGCCACAGACGAAAAGATCGTTGGCCAAGAAATATAGCGCTAGAACAATCTGGAATTTCAGTTGGTTGGTCATGAGTGCTCCTGCAAGCATTGTGATGTCTCCTACCAGCCAAGCTAGAAGAAAAAGTGGTGAAAGACCCTCGACCGTCTTATCCACATAGGTTTCTAGGACTTGCGGAATCTGCGCGATGAGCGAAGCTACAAATGACACAGAGCCCGTTATAGTAGAGACGTGATGGAGAACACTATATGGGCACGTTGACATTATGCCTTTGCTCGCGCTTTTTCAGTTTTTCCAGTAATACAAGTGATACATTTTTCTTATATATTAAAAATCTTTTGAATGAATTAACGCTAGCGCTTAGTCAAAACTTCTTATAATAATACCGCCATTTTTTCAAAAAGACTTCGTGAACCGAGAGATCGTCCAGCAATTGGTCCATGGAGCACGGTATACGGTAGTCTTGATCTCGTAGGTCTCCCAATGATTGCAAGTTGTTGAATCCGAAATGATAGTTCAGCAAAACGTTCAACATAAGCGCTGCGAGCACTTTGTAGTTAACGATGACGTGCTGCGACTTGTAGGCATCCCATGTCTTGTTCATAGTTTTTTCGCGGAGCACAGGAGAATTCTTGTAGCACTGACTATTATGAACAACAATAACATCCATACACCACATGAACATGCTATGCTCCATTCGCTGCAAAATGTTCCACCAAGTTGTAATGTTAAGGCATCCGGAATTGAACTCGCTCTCATATTCAGCGTTCTTGCACACATAATGTGCCACGACCCCTCTGGGACTCACAACGCGGGAGTCAAACTTTTCCTTGGTGGTGTCATTGAAGCAAGTCAGCTGAATTAGATTGACCATATCCCAGATTTGTTCCTGTTGAGGTTCCTCGCAATCAATGAGAAAATGATAAAATAAGAGTTCATCACCTGGCAACAAACCTTGACTTGAGATTGACTTAAGCTTTAGAAGCAACACCAAATCTTCTTGATGCTGTAATGGGTTGGTAGAAGGTATTTTTGCCACTAGTTTTTCTATTTCAGTTAGTTTCCCGTGTGGGAAATGCATCTTATTCAACACGTTCGACAGTTTTTGAAAGGATTCGATATACTGCTCACTTATCATTTTTGCTTCGCTTTGTAACAAAGTGTCATAAACTTGGGGACGAATGTCTGCCATGAGTTGGGTTTCCCACACAATTTTTTTAAGGTCATGCAATGAAGATTGTCTTGTTAATCCTCGATCAATGAGAAGCACGTACTTCTGCCGATTTGTTTCGTCACGAATCGAACATTCGTCGCGTTCGCGACTTCGATCGAGTTGATCTAAAGAAGCCATACTCATAGTCTTGTTTATTTTCTCTTCATGGCTCTTTCGTTCATACTCTCCCTTCGGTGGTAACCAGGTAGGTCGTGATGGACTACAGATTTGGACCTTATCTTCGGAAACTAGCCTCAAATCTTCCATACCTTCTTCGCTGGCAGTTTTGAATTGCAATGGCAAGACCTCCATCGAATTAGTACGCTCCCAAAGCTTGCTCTTCGAAAACTTATTCGAAGAGTGTTGATAGACTGAAGAAAGATTATCTGAAGTTTGTTGGAAACTTTGAAAGTCCGAGCAGCCGCCAAGGCCCGCTATTGGTAATGGTGGCATTTCATTATAGTCAAGATACTGTGCTGTCGTTTCAGAAAGTCCTGAATTTTGTGAAGATGACCGTGAAAATCCTATTGAACTTTTAGATCGGTTTTTCTTTTGTGGGGGTTTCAAAGACATCAAAAATGAATTCGTGCTATTCGAGGCAACTGGTATGTTCCAAATGAAGTTATTGCCAATTTCTGCATCTTCAGCATATGGGCTTGATGGTAAAGTTTCTTGTTCGTCGTAATATTTCTCCTTCTGTTTGATGGAGTTTTGTAATGCAGTCTTGTTTTGTTCCTTTCTCATACGATATCGTTGAGAAGGCGTTAGCACCTGATGCTGCGCAGATTGCTGTTGATGAACTGGCTGCTGCTGGGCTAGCGCAGATGTAGATTTCGAATAAAGTTTAGTAGGTGCCGAATTTCGATTGAAGTTATTTTTCAAAGGTGACGGATTGCTCGCGGTAAAAGAGGATTGCGAACGTGCCAAAGAGCTGTTGGTGAACACGTATCTGGTTTTGGTCTGTTGCTGCTTTGGCTGCTGTTGCGGCAGATGAGAGGGAAGGTTTTGTTGTGTGGAGGCAGAATACTCTGAACCCACGACGGAAGTTAAATCAATTGTAGATTCACCGTCAGTTTCCGCAAATGAAGCCTCATCACCGACACGTTTTACGTTGTCAGTGGATAGCTCGTCTATAATAGATGAACCCCTAGAGCTGTCATTGGAAGACCAGGCAGTAGAGCTGGCATTAGAAGAGAAAAGATTAGAGTTTTGAGTAAGAATTGAATCATTCGACAACGGACGTTCATGATTGGAGACGAGCTTTTTGCGCGACGGCGGCTGAGACATGGTATGCTGTTGTTGCTGTTGTTGATGCTCTTGAGCCAGATTTTGCAATAGATTGTCGCTAGGGCGGCGTGCAATTCCCAGGCCGATAGTCTTGCTGCTGCTGTCACTGCCACTGGTACTACCGAAAACATTGCTAGGTTCCGGATAAGCGCCGGACTTTCCACGCAGTTTGCGGACTTGTTGCCTCTCAGCTATTCTTGCCGGTCCTGAGCTTCCACTGACTCCTGCTTCTTCTTGCAGAGTTTCTAGAGAAGTGTTTGGCGCGGTTGAGCTCATTGTATCAGGGGAGTCTCTCGGGATTTCAAATGAATCAAATGTTTAGTTAATAATAGAAGCGAGTGTATAATGAGATCCCAATGATTCTTTACAAAGCGTGTTCCAGCAGTCCTCTTTGTGAATTCTTAACTATTCTGAAGGTGTAGTTCTAGTTCCAGCAATCTTCTCTTATTTCTTTGGCCTCGTGAAGTTCGTATACTCAAAATGTAAGTTCTTATGTGGATATTAATTCTTTTGTTGATTACTCGGCGAAATGTATAGAAATGCAAGAATGAACGGTCACGTATATGGCGATATGAGTTTCGAGCAAAGAATACATAACATCTATTGCTCATTAACATTATTCTTACCTGGCGACATATGATAAGCCCACTCGCTAGACGGTCGCCACATTTTCAATTAATGAACAACTTGTTTCAGCTTTTCTTGAATACTTATGAGAGAAATCCTAAAAGTTTTATTATTTTACTACGTAGCAGCGTCACCAGAGAGCATGCGACTATCAGAAGTCTAAATAATGCACAGGGTTTTTTTTATAAAGCTCTAAAATAATCGCGTTCGAAATTCATTGGTGACTAACCTTTCAAGATGGTATTATGATGGTACAAATTGTGACTATATGGAGAACAACTGTACAAAACGTCTCGGAGATATTTGTGGAGGTGAGGTCAAACCTATCATCAAAAACCTTTCTATAATTTTTAAGGTTGGTCGGTTATCAATCAAAGACGTTTTCAAAACCCTAAAATTAATGCTTTCCTCAGAATCCCGCGGATCAATGCTTCCTATTCTTAGCAGTTTTAAGATGAAGAACACTTGAAGAGCCAAACAAAGCTTGAAATTTCTAGAAGTAGACCTTTCTTTGACTGAAAGTATGCTGTGTTAAATATATTGACATTTGCTTGGCTAAAAATATAATTTCACTTGGCGTCAATGAGAGGAAGGACGTTGCTGCGTTGCCATTCCTCATGAAAGTTTGAATCAGAACCAGAGGCAAGTGAGAGAGATCAAACGTAAACCAGAAGTATCAAGATTTGAATTTTAGGCCCAGCATATAGCCGGCAAGTAGGCGTAACTATTACTATCGGACATTACAAGTGCCAGTCTTGACCGAAAACTAAAAAAAACGATAGATGTTCCTTGAACGAAACAAATTCACCTTAGCCTTGCTTAGACTTTTGAGTAACGTCTTCTTTCTGAACGTTCATAGTTAACGAACAAATCTGGAAATATACTGGCTTAAAACAATATTAAAGGTACCTACCTCGGTAAAACATTCCGATGATGCGAACAACTAATAAACGATTTGTGAAACGGTTGACAGAGCCATTGGCAATTTGGTTATAGTGTCAAAGTAACGATATTAAGCTTTGTTGTAGCCAATACGCATTTGGCTCGGCACTAAAGCTGCAATCTGATTTTATATGCTTTTCGATCTTAGAAAGGTCATGTAAGTTGTGTTCATTCGTTCTCCTGGTTCGCTGAGAGAAGATTGTGTGCAACGCCTGGTCGAAATGTTCCCTAAATAGTAGCTTTGGCTGAGCTGCCTAAACATATGGCAATCACACACTTGGCACCCAAGCTTCCACTGTTACTTAGCGCTGCTAGTTTTCAAACGCAGAGCTTATGCAAAGGCCGATACCGGATAATTATTTGCCAGCCTCAACATTTGTCTGACAATGCTTTACTGCTCTAATATTTGAACAATCCGGGCCCCTTAGCAACATGTATTTTTTGTTAGAATTTGTAAGCTGGCTTTAACTGCTGTTCTCTGTTTTGTTGAGCATGAATTGTTCCATTATCGGTGTTGCGTCCATAAATTCGTGTCTGCATCATATGTTATCTCACGACAACCGCTTAATACTTTATCGCTAAGGTCCGTCGTTCTTGCTCAAGGCTTCCTTCAGTGCATATTCCATTGCGGGGAAACCATCCTCGACCGTTTTGAGCAAAGAGTCCAGCTCTCGCAAAACCAAAAATTTTCGATCATGATTATGCTCACTGCCATCGTCAGCGGTTACGGAATCGTCAGGATAGTCTATGAACATGTCCATTTGCAGGTACTTCGGAGGTTTTTCCATTACTGGCACAGTACTAGCTGTAATAGTTGCCGATCCCGTCGAACTTGTAGGCGCTACGTTGGGAGCCGAAGGATTGGCATGTGTTGATGTGCCATTATTCATATTAGGAGGAGTCGAGTTGATGGAATTTGATCCCACAGCAACTGAGCTTTGAGAAACGGAGCCAATATCTTGAGATATGCTATTATTACGACTACTAGCGCTCGCGCTAGTACTAGTACTCACTTTCCTTTTCAGTTGGTCGATATGTTTTTCAACAACAGGGGTCATGGCCACTGGTAGCGTAGAGCTCGTATTGAAACCAAACTGGTTGATGTTGGCATCTTCAGGGTTTGAGGTAAGCGTGTTAGAATTATCGAGCAGACTGTTAGGTACAATAGAAGTCGGTGAGGGCATTTGAAGTATTAGATTTGGATTTTGTCGCTTGAAGTCCCGATTGATCCGGGTCCGCCCGGAATTATTGTCGTCTCCATTTAACGGTTTCAACAGAATTTCAGACTTATCATTTATGACTGGTTTCATTGCTAGCGGAATCGAGCTGTTAGAAGGAGTTACAGGATTAGACTTGTCTGGAGATCCGTTGGGCATTTTTAGCGGAGATACACTTCTGGTACTCGACTTATTGACGTTGCTCGTAGAAGCGGGGGTCAAATGTCTTTGTTTGTCTTCGTGCATTACTTTCATAGCGACGGCAGAAGAATCATTGCGCCCAACGCCGCCGCCCGTAACCGTCGGTCTTCTTTGAAGGAGTGATGCAGGTTTATTGTTCGGGACAGAAACCGTCGAAGATCTCGGCTTCGTAAGACTCCCTTCCTGGCGAGATGGCAATTCTTCGGGAATTTCAATTTCGATAGGAGTGGGCAATGCAGTAGAGCTTTGAGGACCCATTATTACAGGCTGACTAAAGTTCGTCTGCAGCATTGGCAATGCAGGCGTGCTTTGACTATGATAAACTGGATTTTTAAATGCATCAGTATGTGGATTGCGATCACCTAAAGGCGTTGATATTCTGGCAGCTTCGTCTTGAGATTTATTAGGCATAGTAGGTACAGTTCTTGAGTAATCCGCATCAGTTGCAGCATCTTCGTTGTCTTCGAATAATTGTAACAACGCCTTGGAGGCCTTAGTCTCAGATTTTTTGCTTGTGTTAGCCCAGCTTTGCTTACTTTGCTTACTCTGATAATTTGTATTAGTGTTTTGGTAAGTGGTGCTATTGTTGTTGTTAGTAGCTTGCAGGGTATAATTGTTCGTTGTCACATTGGAGGATCCTTTGCCCATCGTGGTATTCAGATAGTGCTTCTTGTTCGAATGATAAAACAGATCGTCATCAGGGTAAGAATAATTAAAGTGCTCGCTAGGAGAAGATTCTTCGGTGATAGCGTCTATGTTGATATCATTCTCCAGAATGTATTCTTTCGAACTTAAGGAATCGAAGTCCCATTTTATTTCAAGCTCTCTGCCATCGTTAGTCAGATCCACACTGTCTGTCTTATTAGGATCTTCATCATCTAGTGTAGTGGGAGCCGCCTCTCGTTGTGCTTGTTGATCTCTATACAAAAGGTATCGACTAACAACCTCTTTTAAGCTGGATACTGGCAGGTTTTTGTGCAGTTTGATGAACTTAGTCTTAAGTAGCTCTTCTGCCGATGGCCTTTCTTTTGGATCCTCGTCAAGGCATAATGCAATTATTTCTTTCAAAGCGCTCGAGTATTGGCGACCTTCGAGGCGAGGAGGCTTAGATTTCGTAATAAGCTGCATTGCTCGAAGGGCTTCAACCTCGCAGTATGGAGGATTTCCGGTCGCGATCTCATAAATAGTTATTCCTAAAGACCAAATATCGACCTTAGTATCGTAATAAACACCCTCCATGATGACCTCGGGAGCCATCCAATAAGGCGTACCGGCCATAGTTTGACGCCTGATCTTGGTTTGTGATAGTTGAGCCGCCACACCAAAGTCACACAATTTGACGTGGCCATCATTGGTAATTAGCACGTTGGCAGCCTTGATGTCTCTATGAATTACGCCGTCTCGGTGAATGTGAAGCAAAGCAGTCAAAAGCTCGCGCATAATAACTCCTATGTACTGTTCACCAATTTTACCAGGTCGCAGCAAAGTTCTTAAGGAGCCACCAGCACAGTGCTCCATGATAACCCACAGTTTGGTGTCGTTCAAATAGGAACCGTAATAATGTGTGATGTTTGGCACTTGCTTCAGTGACGACAAAAATTGTATTTCCTTCTGAACGTCTTCAACCTCATCATCAGCCGAATCCAGATTAAGTACTTTGATAGCGCAAACCTGCCGTGTCTTCATGTAATATCCCTTGTAGACTACCCCAAATTTTCCTCGTCCTATGACCTCTGTACGCTTGAAGAGCTGGTTTACAGACGTCTTCGCCTGCCCGTTCGCAGGTTTATTGCCGTACATGAGAAACAAGAGCTATAGATCACGCGTTAGAGACCGCTGTTTCTCTCTTAGGGTCTGTTTCTTTAAGCCTTTGTTTCTCACTTTGATTCGAGGTCTGTTAGTTAATGTTATAACTTAAAAGTTCTAATTATTATGAAAAACTACGTCGACTAAAGTTTTGAAGTGAAGATCAATTAGCAAAATTAGTGCGCGGCATAGTCGAAGTGCGAAAGGCCAGCCTTCAAGGTTCAAAGATTACCTGAAACAAGTATATTTTTTAAAGCTTATTTAGGTTTAAAAGTACTGTGTAGAGCTGCTTATTAGTAGGTTCTTTCGTTGGGATGCATGAATAGAACTCAAAGCTGTTGCGTGAAAAGGCGCTGAAATTCGGTGCAACGCTCAATTAACCGCAAAAAACTTTTAAGACTACTGGTGCATAGTTTGATTCACTCTGATATGGCTGCAAAAACTGTACCGCTAATCGAGTTTCGTTGAGATATGAAGCAATAAGTTCATTTAAAAAAATTAATATGGTCTGTGATCTTCTTGGTGTCTGCTGGCCTTGGGTATAATAGCTTCATATTCTTAATCCCTCTATAGCTTATTTGGAAGCTTAAGGTGAGCATATAATTTTACTGCTTTACAGTCTTGGCAGCTAGTCATCCTTAAAGACTCGAAAAGAGGCAAGAATAGGAATGTCGAGGATAAAAATTTTGAAAAGATGCTTGCAGTACTCAAACAGTCAAATTATTATCATTATCCTCGCAATATACACTCAAGAAGTCTGGCATTCTAATTTATTTACGATACCATTCCATTTACCAAATATCGAAACGTGCTGATCGAACCTTGTCTCGGGATATGCGTGATTGGGAGTTCGTTTGTAGACGGATAATAGGTATTCGAACCGAGACTCAAGTTAGTAAGTACGTTGTTCCAATAATTTGAGGAAATCTTTTTGTTCGAACAGAACTTCACAGCCACGGCTTAGCACTAATTACAAACATACAGAATCTAAGATAATTCTTGAGGAACTGAATAGGAAAATGTTGAAATTCAATGATCGTATTCTACAGAACTGAGAGCCCATTCCTTTATATTTGTTTTGTCTAAGCAGACTGTCTCTACATTTTAAAACAAAATTATAATTAGCACATCGCGAACTCATACTAAAGGCGAGCACCGCAAACATACAAAAAGTTGGCACGACATAAACGTATGCTTTGTCGAAGTCATGGTTTGCGCAATCAGCTCCGACAAGCTCGCTCTTTGAATTGTCAGAAAAGGCAAGAGCTGCACGGAGATCTGCGGCTGAAAGATCCTACGGAACTGCTGGGGTTTGTACAAATCAAACTTGCTCAACAGGAGGTGAATGGTCTCAAGACTCTCAAAAATAAACTACAGCGACAGCTAGGTTATCGATATGCTGCTTTTATGACAGAAATGCGACAAGCAGGCACCTTGAAACCTGATCTTGTGCAGATGATCTTCTTCCAAAAAGCAGGTTCTCGACAATACCAAGCCTTCACTTCGAGCCTTCAAACAGTTATTGATAGTACCGGCTCTGTGGAAACTAAAAAGAAACAGCTATACACCCTTTTACAGCTGCAGAAGGCTTTGTATCCTCAAGTAGCCCGTGAAAACGGTATTCTCGTGCCAGAGTCGGTGCACTTATGGTTTTGGGATAATGTTGAAAAAACAAAAAGTTTTGAGCACTTCTACTTTCTCATACAAAATAATGTCTTACTGGGGTCTCAATCTGCCAATCGTTTCTTGAACAGACTTTTGAAAGGGTCCGAAATGGAGCTACAACTTGCATCTTTCCAGATATTTCTCCACAATCCTCAGCACCACAAAATTTATCATGAAAGCTTCATTAAACTGTACAGTTTTGCCCAAATTAATCGCATTACAACCACTTTACTGTCGAAGAAAGACTTTAGACATATCAAGCTGTACTTCACAGCTCTTCTGGAGCGCTTGGAGGCAAATGAACTTCAAGCACTGAATTTGCCTCAAGAAAAGCGTACCGCCTTATTTATCAGGTTTACCAATACTTTGCTAAAATTCCTGGAGGAGTCTCAAAATTGCGATATGTTTTTGCAAAGTTTCAAAATGGTATTGGAATTGGTGCATACTCAAAAATTGAGCCTCGAGTTACTGCATAAGCCACTACTTTTAGCGATCAGACTACTGCGACGTCTCAATGAGCATTCCCATGTGCTGCAACTCATATCGTTAGCTCAAGAACTAGATCTGCGGAAAAGTTTCAAGTTCAAGCAAAGTCTTATAGGTGAACTGATCTCGACCCTTCGATCCTTTAATGACCCAAAAATCATTCTCAGTTACATTACTACTGTTTATGCTAATCCCACAACTGTGCCCCTTCTCAACGAACTTGGGTTATGGGGCCTTTTACATCACAATTCTTTGGATCGACTTAGTACAACTCAGCTTGAAAGAGACTGTTTAACATTGATTAAACAAAAGTCACAGCTGTCTCAGTTCTTGACTCAAAACCTTAAACCCTCCTCGGTCGCTTTGACTGAGCTATATCGCGTGACCTTGCAGTACATGCGTAATACAATGCCTCCACTGGAATTCAAGCAACTGGTTGTTGTGCTCTATCACAGATACGTTGATACCTTGAAAATCAATAGAGGGTATTTCATCTATCCAGATTGTGGAGTGCTTAACGTTCTCATTCATAATCTACGATATCCTCTGAAAGAAGATCGGTTAGCTTACCAGTTGGTGTTAGATTTCTTCCAAGCGGGGCTGCACTTAGCGTGCAGCAAGTCTTCGCCCTTTGGGCTTTTAATGTATCATAATTATACCCTCACCATGACTGAAATCTCAACACTTCTAGTCTTGATGGATCAACACGGTATAAAACTAGACTTCAAGATGATTTGTTCCATGGTGTTTCAAAATTTAAGATCAGGACAAATAGACGAAGCGCGCTCGTGGTACGAGAAAGCTCTTGCTGGAGGGTTCCCTATCTCACACAAACTGTTAATTAAGCGGGCAGTCGAAAACAATTGGAAGCTTCCAACAGATACAGACATTTCGTTTCTTGACGAGCCTCCCCAACCTCAGTATCCCTTTGGCTCTGGCTTCGATGACGTTGATGACTTAGTGTCGAGCGATCTAATGGAAGAAGAATATGAAGGAACATCAGGGTTTGCTAATGAGCTGCTGGATGCGGTAGGAACCTTTAAAAGACTAAGTAACTAAGTGAATATGACTTTTATATGCGTCTGCAATATGATGCGTAACTATTGTGCGATTTCAATCCCTCAGTAGACATCTTTATTGCTTTTGAACATAAAACTGGTATAAAGGTCTGGGACTGGGAACTTGCATCTCAGATATCAGATGAATTAGGACAGTGCTTGCAACAACAACAAAGAAATACTAAACTATCGCTTTCATTTCGAAAATAAAAAGGATATCATCAGCAGTATAACTTGCTGATACTTGATGCTTTCAATTAGTGGCCAATTGGAACTACAGTTGCAGACAAAGATCATTCATTTTCATATTCAAAGTAAAAGCATTTTGATTGGTTTGCATGAGGTGCATGAGGGGCTTTTGTCAATCAAACCCAAAACGCTCGCATGTTTCCTGGTCTTTTGAAAGAGCAAGAAGTGATTGACAAATAGCTGAAAACCTTTACAGTCTGGGTATTTTAGAGTCACTTGATATAAAGATAAGTAACGTTTGCGGGTGCGTTAAAGAGAAACCCATTGGTTCTGCAAGCACGCAATTACAAATTGTCGTATAGGTCGAGAAGAAAACACTGGGGAATATTTACAAGGATGTTTTCACCAGGAAAGGGATTTGGGGTCTGGAAAATATTAGTGTCTACCTGCTCGTCTAATTGAATTATTGACAAAAACGTCAATCAACGATTTCGAAACTTTATTCCAAAGCTATCAATATCTAGGTATTTAATACATTTTCGAGACTCTTGATTGTTTGTTTACACTCATGAATCTCTTTTACCTTCTCGATAATTAGAGGCAGCAGTCATCACTTGATTCTTTAGCTATATCCCAAAATATTACTTTTATTCAAACAGTGTTAGGTCGGCGGCTATGCTTTAAAATTAATCGGTGCCAATAACACGTCCATGTAAATTATCAAATGGGTCGCTTTTTAACAGTATATCCTGAGTTTCAGCCATATCCATGCTAAAACTTGACGACCACTATTACTCTTTGTGAGTCTAATGCCTATCACTACATCTATATCTCTTTTGAGGTTAGGGATACAAACAACGCGAATAGTTTGAATATTTTTGATCCGATATTATGGGAGACGTCTGCCTGCTACGACTTTAGTAGGAATGCATTTGAAATTGGGAGGAGGACGGCTGTTGAACATTAAACACATTGAGAAAATACAGAGCTACCAAAGACATTTGCGGTCAACAAAAATTATACTATCGAAACATTCCCCAATTACGGGGGCGTTCAACACAATCCCAAGATACAGAGATCTTCAAATGCAAGAATCTTCGAATAGTTTACGATCGCGACTTTAGCGTCGCTAAGAACAATCTGGGAACGTGATATGAACGTGATTCAATAGTAGATAAAAAGCTTATACGTGTATAAGACCAAGTAGCTTAAGAAATTATTGACGCCATGCACGTCTCATGGTGGATCCTGGTGCCACTCTCCTTTGTGTTGGCTGATTTTCCAGTATCACTCGGAAGTGTGCCTGCTGTTCTTTATAGCCACAAGTTGTATGTTTTATTGAATTAGCAGTCCTGCTCTCTCTAGTTTGTCAATACTCAATACTAAACAGACATTAAGATGTCCCGGCCTTCTCGACTACCAATCGAACTATGATGAATCAACAACACTGCCACTGTCATCTTTCGTGGAAGTAGCCGAAAAACTAATCTCGAATCGTCGTTCAGATGCATTCGTGTTTGTTAACATTCCCGGTTTAACAGTCACAGACTTTACAATATATCGCAACATCTTAGGCTCTCTTGAATACTACGTCAGTAAGAGCTCTACTGCATTAAGGTTTGAAAGGGTAGAACCTAGTTCTCAAAAGAATGATCTCTTCGACGAACTGATTTTCCATGCCACTGAGGAATGGGAGATTGAAGACCACATTGTCGTCAATGGAAACCACACAGAAACATTTGAACGCTACATTGACTGGAGACCCCGGACTATACGCATCGATTTCGATACGGTGCCGCTTGTTAATCGAAGGGAGTACTTTGTTTATTGCGATAAAATCATCAAGCATGTACTGGGACAACTTCCGTCCGCAGAACATACCATGATCTTGACCTCGCTTTCGTTGCCACCTACACAAGTTGAGAGCGAAGCGGGTTTAGGAACTTTACGCATCTTTCCGGACGTTTTCGAAGACCCTGAAAGGTCATCCGATAATGAAAAGAATCATCAAAATGTACTCAATAATCTCGGTTTCAATGAATTTAGACCGAAATTTAGCGGAATCGCAGATGAACATTTGAGCGTTTTTGATCCAGAATTTTTGAGTCGCCACTACCACATACTTGAACTTGTTATGGTCACAACCATTGGCTATATAGGACTACAACTCTTTCTCCTTCTAAGAGCCCGAAATACTCGAACTGCCAAGGAAAAGATATCTGCTAAGAAAAAGCAGCAGTAAATGTTCATTACACTGCAGAAGAAGTTTCTTAACCCCAAATTATCTACACTCAAACCATTCACAACTCTAGCCCACTGATGTCATCATGTGGCGGATGACTTTGCTGACTTTTCTATTGAAAGAGCTGTATTTTTACAGTACAAAATTGATAACGCAAGCTTGGACTAAGGAATAGGAATACTCAAAATCCCGGTACGGTCAAACACGAGAGTTGTAAGGATCTAAAGGACGCTAGACATAATTTCAGAGGTAGTAGTATTTAAATGACAGTCAAAATTTCGTTGATATGTTTAAACGTAGGTCTCTTATATCACTATACACGTGAGTTCACGACAATTGGATATAATAGTCAAGTTCTGCTAATTTAAAATACCCCGGATATCTACAATAACTATGGTTATATACTGAAGTGTGCTCAGTACTATTAAAAGATGCTCGATGAGGATGAATACATGGCCGAGCCTGCGAAGTTTTCCGATAATCCTGAATTCGAAGAATATGTTGATCAATTAATGGCCAACCTATTTGAGATGAATGGGCATCTTAGCACCCTAAAGCAGTTTATAGCAACATTGGAAAGGAATCGAGAACATGGAAATGTGAAATCTAAAATGGTCGCCAATATTGACAAAAGATCCGTTTATCACATTGATGAAACTACGAAGCTTTTGAAAATAGTCAACACGCTCGTTCACAAGATCAATGCCATAGAGGAGACTGCTTTGGGACGAGGGCAGTTAATATCGAGGGACAAATTGATACGTGATGTCAAGTACTCGGTGCAGGAGTTTCAAGATGCAAGAAAGGAGTTTACCAACACGTCCAAAGCCATGAATGAGCAAGCCAAGGTAGCGTTGGCACAAGAAGAAGAAACGCGCAATACGGCTGGCTCGAATGCTAACGGGGCAGTTTTAGAACAGCAGCAACAGCAGCAGCAACAACAAGTGGTTATTGAACGAGAGGCAATAAATAACGAGGAGTTCGCATATCAGCAGAATCTGATACAACAGCGAGATCAAGAGATATCATACATTGAAAGCGGCGTCACGGAGCTGAACGAAATATTTCGTGATTTGGGCACAATCGTGCAACAGCAGGGCCATTTAGTTGACAATATCGAAAGCAATATCTATTCTGTGGCAAATGACGCTCAATCTGGGGCTCGGGAACTAACCAAAGCTATGCGATACCAAAGAGGCTCTAATAAACGATGCCTAATGATCTTAGCAGTGGTTTCGCTTCTCTTGGTGATGTTTATTTTAGTAGCACTCAGCTAGCTGGGCTCACAGGGAGAAGAGGGTTTATTTTGGCTTTTTAAATACAACAGATATAATCAATTCTATGGGGTGAAACACCACACATTGGCAAAACCATCGTCTCCGCCGGTAAGTATCAAGTCCTTGTCGCCGACTCGAGTCCATTTGACCATATTGACTTCAAAGACGCTATGGGCCTCATTTTGCTGCGCTACCACCTCCCAGTTCCCTTGCTCAACTTCCTTATATACTGCCAATATACCATCAGAACCTGCACTGGCGATGTAACCGTGCGAGCTCCAATTTACGCTGTAGACAGCTCTTGAGTGGATGTTTGGCAGGATTGCATCGAGAGTCCATATATCCTCACCATCCTCACCTTCTTCAACGTATTTCCAGACACGAACTGTTGCATCGTCGCTACAGCTCACTAACCTGAGTGAAGCTTCTGATTTCTCAAAATCGGAGCACCAAACGGTACCTTCGTGGCCGTTAAGCACTGCTGCGCACTCCCAATCGTCCGCGTCCTCTTTCCAAAGTCTAATGGTATCGTCATATGAACTTGAAGCCAATAAGTTCATATTCGGGTGCCAAACGACATGTTTAACATCTTGGGAGTGCTCCTGTAATACACTTAAGCATTCGTACTCTTCACCAAGCTCATCCGCTTCCCATATCCAAACGCTTTTATCTCTTGAGCAGCTAGCAAGAAACTCTCCAGAGTGAGACCATGCAACCCCTTTAACCTCATTTTCATGACCTTCAATGATGGCCAAAAGATCAGTTTCTGGGTTGTCTAGCGGATCGGAGTCGTCTTTTCCCCAGATGGAAATTGTTGAATCAAAAGAGCCGGCAGCGAGAATGGAGGAATTAGGTCTGAAAGAAACTGATCGCACAGATTTTTTGTGTGTGCTGTCGTCGAGTTCCTCCACTAGTTTGAAATCTAAATTCTGAAGATTCACCAGTTTGATTTTGCGATCCGATGAAGCAGTAGCCATGAGGCCTTTTGAACAGTCAAGAGACCATAGCTTATCCTTATGCAATCGAAGAGATTTCAGTAGTTCGATGGGCATTTTAATGGCTAGCCGGTGTGTATTTTATGCGATTTATTTTTCGACGACTGAATTCTTGAATAATTTTAGATATGCAAGATGATATACTGCATATTGTATAAGTGTACTGGGAAGTGCGAGCCATAAATGTGGAGCCAAAGGTTAAAACATCAATGGCAAAACTCGCTGCGAAACATTCTCATTGCTCGACAATATCAGCGCGTGAGATGGGTAGCTAGCGGTGGTATTTTAGCAAGTCTGGGAGGAGCATCGTGGTATTACCATCAATACTGGCATGAAGTTGAATTATCACCGGATTATTTCACAAAATATAGAGTCTCGCACAATGCTAAATTAGACTCAGAACACTTTCTGATGGAATTGACGCCGTTAAAACCGCAAAGGGTAAATTTATGGAGCGCGACGACATCTAACAAGCTATGGTCGGTTGAAGTCAAGCAGCCGGAAATAATGGTTGTCAGAAACTACACACCATTGCCACTTAAAGTCACAACGGATAAAAAGGTCCAGGTACTGCCTGATGGAAAGTTTGAGAGCGGTAAGCTTCTTTTCTACCTGAAGAAATACCGTTATGGGGAAGTTGCGCGTTGGCTGAGTGAGTTGCCTGAAGGTCACATAGTCGAAGTACGAGGACCTTTTGTGGACTTTGAACTGCCTCCATTTGAGGAAAAGAGAGACCGATCATTTCTCTGGGACGACAATGCGAAGCTACAGTCAGAACAGTTTTTACAGCAGCCGTACGACATTGCTGCATTCACAGCAGGCACGGGAATAGCTCCGATTATGCAATTGTTACTAAAAGAAAACCCTTTCCCGGGCCGAATTCTGATGTTTCATTCGTGTCATGCCGACTCTGACCTAGGGCCCCTTCGACATTTGTTAGATAAGCTTCAAGACTATCATCGCGCAAAATTATACCTTTTTGAGTCTCAGCGGGCCAATGACTTACGGAAAATAAGTGATGAAGTACTTAAGCTCATTCCTTCACCTATGGCATATCACGCTGGCCCATTTGTAGGCTTAAACTCATCTATCAGCCCTATTTTGTCATTAGTTTGTGGACCAGACAGCTATATCACCACGGTATCGGGCGTCAAGTACGACTTATCTCAGGGACCAATTGAAGGGCTTTTGGGGCAAAAGGGTTGGAACAACTCAAATGTTTACAAGTTATCATAGTATATAACGTAATTTAACTTAGTTATACATATTAAAGTCAAGCGTTCTTTTATAGTGGTTATTTTCTGTACCATAAATTAGTACGACTTATTGTTGCGCAATCGGCAAGATTCACGTTTGAGTTGTCTACAGTAAAACTATAGCGGTCTTGTATTCTCCCTGTCACCAGTTAAATTTGAGCTCTTATTGTCTACACCGAAGTCAATGTAATTTAGGGCTTCTCATCTGCAGTATCTTCAAGAATAAAGCTGAGATTACGGCAATCAAAAGGTTAATCAGTAAAGTGGCTTTCGAGCGATTTAGCCGCTGATACAGAGAACAAAGAAAGTAGGTCAATGAACACCAGTAATCAATCAAAGGTTTATTTATCAGTCCTATCCATAGGTTTTTCTATCGATTAAGTCGCGGTTATCCGTCTGCTTATCAGCAGTTCTCAGTGCTAAAAAGCACCTTGGCATGATCAGCCAGTGTTTAAAATCCGAAAATTGATGAATATCGAGAAAATAAGTATCGTACAAGAAAACTGTCTAAACAATTGCCGCCTTTGGTGCTCGCTATCAACATTCGATGCTCAGATTATGCCGGCCAATCTGGGGGGCTCGGGGTCTATCAAAAACAGTCAAAACGACCGACTACAAGATAAATACCACTAACATCCCAGAAAACTCAGTCATATTCAGTATGGTTCAACCAACAGGCAGGTTCCATTTGGGAAACTACCTTGGATCAGTGAGAGTTTGGAAAGACTTGTGCGATTTAAAAAGGCCTGATTGTAAGCTCATCTTTGGAGTTGCAGACTTGCATGCCATCACGATTCCAATTCCAAACGGACAGAAATTGCGACAAAATCGAGCAGAAGCTACAGCAAGTATTTTGTCGCTGGGGATCGACCCTTCAAAGGCGATTATTTTCAACCAGTCGCAAGTACATCAACATGCGGAGCTTCACTGGCTTTTGTCTACGTTGGCACCTATGGGGCTCTTGAACCGCATGACACAATGGAAGTCCAAATCCAATCTCAAATACGGCGCAGATGAAGAATCCTTAGGAAATGTGAAATTGGGACTCTTTTCGTATCCAGTCTTACAGGCAGCGGATATACTACTTTATCACTCAACACACGTCCCGGTGGGCGACGATCAAGCCCAGCACTTGGAGTTGGCCCGTACACTAGGTCAAAGCTTTAACAGAATGTTCAAAAAAGAAGCTCTGGTTCTACCAACTACCATTCTGGCCCCCACAAAGCGTATCTTAAGCCTGCTGGACCCAACAAGCAAGATGTCCAAAAGCGATTCTAATCAAAATGCTACAATATACCTGAATGAGGAACCTGACTCTATAGTCAACAAAGTCAAAAAGGCCATGACTGACTCGATCTCTCATTCATTCTATTACGATCCGAACACTCGTCCTGCTGTCTCCAATCTCATAAATATTGTCAGCGGAATTCAACGAACATCCATATCGGAAGTGGAAAAAGATATTTCCCATTTCAGAAGCCATAGCGACTTCAAGAAATATGTCTCCGAGATCCTGGTTGAAGCCCTTCGCGAACCGCGAGAGAATTTCAACATGTATATAAAGGATCCTCATTATTTGGAACAAGTCAGTAAAAAGGGCGCCGAAGCTGCTTCAGAGCTTGCCGAAAAAAACTTGAAACAGATTAAAGATTTAATGGGCTTTTGAGCCTTGGGCATCGGTATGCGAGGCGCCTCTTTCTACCATTTTTTTATTACTGTTAAAATTACTGATAATGAATTATATAGAGTCATTAATTAATCCAATGGCAGATGCATAACTAGTCGTCACTCTTTGAACATGTCTTATCTCAGCACAGGCCACCAGTATCTTTTTTAGTAACTCCTCTGCTGACACGGCGGCAATTATCATATCTTTATAGTCTCCATCATTATAAAGCCACTGGAGAACGTTTTCTAGGCGACCTTTGTAGCCCATTTCGCTTAGACGTATGCTGTAAATTACAAGTAGTTTGATAAACTCTTCGTTTTCACCAAGGCGAAGCGATACTAGCAGTTTATTTTCCAAGTGAGATAGTGTTACAACTTCTTCCAGATTTTCATACCCTTCCTTCATCAGTATTGTCTTGGCGAATTTCTGTAAGTTACGTGCTCTTCCTTTCCTGTTGAGCTCATCATTAGTTCTTTTTTCCAAGTAATTTAGAATACTTGACTTATTGTCATTGAGGCTTTCTGCCAATCCTTGTGCCTCAGAGTTCCACGACTGATTTTTCTTCTCATGCTTATCACTGCTTTCACCTAGGCTTATCCCGCTTGTTGTTGTTCTTGTTGTATCCCAATACTGCGAGCCGTAAGCCCACCATGAATCATTTATTAACATCCAGGTCTCCATTTCTTTATCAAACATATAGCCATCGCCATTGCTCAGCGTAACAATTGGCACTCCATTGCTGGTTAGTGAGAACATGGTGATATTTTCGGCTCTAGTTAACACATCATCCGAAAACCGCACAGTAGGACTGAGAAGTGGATAGACAGAGCTCGGCGGAAAATGAAGCTTCGAGGTTTCTATGTTCCAGCAATATAACTGTCCCGCTGAAGTAACACATAGTAAAAAATTCCCACATGCTTCCAAAAAGCTACATGGTACTCCCATAATAAGAGGAGGAAGTAGCTTTCTACCCAAATCTGAGTAAACGTATATTGTGCCATCTTCGCTGCAACAACTCCAAAAGTTATTACCAGCGGTACAAATTGTGATGAGCTTCGGAAGAAAGTCCTCAAACAATGTTTTTTCGTAAGCGAATTCCTTTTGCTTGAGTGTAATCACGCTAGGTGTTTGCTCATTTCCAGATCCATTCTTTACAGTCATTACTAATGTCTCAGTTTTACTCGCAATACAAGTGAAATTCAGGCGGACCTTGGGTGTTGCTAATCTCATTTTGGAAAAGGAAATTCCTGGCATTAATAAAGTTGTATCGAGAAAGTCCATGGGCTCAAGATCATGTTTTTGCTTTTTATTGGTTGATGGCAGTAAGGGGTCTTTAGGTCTTCGCTTAAGATCTTTGGGAACATTGTATGAAGGCGTATTAAACTCCATGGAGGCACTTTGGATTGTCGCAGGGACTACTTTTTTTTTCCCCCCCACCTTTGTTACAGTGCCAATTGACCCTACTTGTACATCTTGCGGTTTTATAGTTGAGCTTGTAGAGGAAGGTGGTACAGGTGGCAAAGGGTCTAAGTGTGCTACCGAGGATTTAAAAGTCTCCACTTCACTTTCGGAAAGTGATTCACCAAGTTCCTCCTGCCGGAATGCGAAAATCATCATCTGACCATCGTTGGTGAAGGCAAAAAGAGATAACCCATCGGCTGCCCACTGGAGATCTGTAATATAGGAGTCTTGCGTACATTTAGTATTGAGTAAAGGTTTCAGCCTTTTCGTATTCCATATTACTATAGAGCCTGTGTCAAAACCCGCCGTCGCGGCTAAGTTGTAAGTCACTTTAGAACCAGACTTCTGAGTTTTTCGATAGATCTTGGGCGAATACTTGAGGATCTGGCATTTGTCAAAGTGACCCACAAGCGTAGAATCAATCTTAAAATTGTGTTGACGATCCAAAAGTAGAATCGCTGGAGTAGAAGACGAGCTCATGGAATTCAATATGGGTAGCCTGTCAGCTTGAGGAGACATAGTAATTTTGTAACGCAAAGGGTCCACTTGAACGTAGTGATTGAGCTTGTGTAGTAGCTTGTAGTTGCCAGTATCGGTGTACTGAAATAGCGATATGTTGCGATCGGCGCAAATTACGGTGAAAATTTGCGAGTTGGGATCCATAATAGCTGTCAAGGGCTTCGATTGGCCTAATGGAATCTCACCCAGTTTCTGCGTCGTTTGAGAGTTACAAATTACCACCGAATTCTCGCTGGAAGACTTATTCACAAGTATGAATACGAGATTCAAGTTGCAGTCAAATTTGGCATCTGTGATACATGCTGGCGCTTCAACTTGCCAAAATTTCAGAAACTCGACTGTTGCACGTTTTTCTAACCACTCGTCTGCATATAGAACCATGCGGTCGGTAACGGCAAACAAGCGATTTGCCGATCCAAATACATCATAAACCTGATTATCTGAATCTGTAAAGCATCGCATCATAAATAGTTCCTGGACTTCTTTGGCAGACTCTTTACCTAAAGCACAATTCACCAACTGCTCACTCGAAAAACACCCTATCGAGTACAAACCAGCTACAAGCAAGTGCTCACCCACCAAGCAGCACCCACTCACTTTACCGTCATTCAAAACCCTCGGATACTTGAGCAATTTCATGATTCACGGGTAGGTGCCCGTTTTCCAGTAGGTAGTAATACCATGTTGATCATCAAACGGGTTTGATTATTATGAGCTCTCATCTAAGTGCACTGGCATATCACTTTGAACGCAAACTTTATTGCGCATACTACAACGTTCCCGCTGAAGTACGCATTCTAGCTACTCTAGAGTAGTTCTACAATGCAACTCAAATTCGCCATTGATGAATGAGCTATGCTTATCTAGTTTGCATTTTTATATAAAATTCCTTGCTCTTCAGAGTATATTTCTGTAACGGCGGCTAACCTGTTGAAAATATTACTTGCACGAAACACGTCGCTACAGTCAGAGTCACTAGAAGCGATACGTCACAATACATAATTCAGTGTTTTGGATCTCCAGAGCTATTATTTCAGTTTGTTCTGATGTCAGGATCGCCCTCCATGCTCGCAGTCTTGCATTAGACTAAGTTACAAACTTTTTATTGCCAGGAAAACGCATCGAGTAACCATATCTAGCCTGAGAGGTCTGAAAAAAGCGCTAATATGCCAGATATTCAGCTGTCAATGGATCTAAATGCTACCACGAACTTTACGGTATAGATATTATATTGTATCATCATGTAGACTGGTTCAAACTAAATACGAAAATATTAGTATGAATTGAAAGAATCAGTTCTCAGACACGCCATGCTTGAGGCATTGGACACTAAGATAGTGCAGTGACTCGCGAAGAATAGTGTGTCAAACAAACATTCGCGTTTCAGTATCGAGAAAATATTGTATGGCATCTTCTATTCTTGACAGTGCAACACATGATGGGCCAGTTATGTTTGGGTAGCTTGAAGCATCCGCTGGCTTTGCTCGATTTGTTGGCTTCAAGTGTAGCTCCTATAAAGGGGGCGGAAACGCGTCCGTGAAAGAGACACACAATTCAGCCAAGTAGATGTTGACACCAAGCTTTATCCCTGGCGGGAAAGCTCTATTAATCTAGGAGACAACTTACTGCTAAGATTTAAACAAAGTGGTTGATGGAAATTGTCACCTACAGCGGTGGCACCTTTAGAATTGTGAATTGTGGTCTAGTTAGTTCAATAATGCTTTGCTGGAAAGTCAACCTAACCTGACTTTTCAAATGTCTCTCAATAGAGAGCAACATCATTCACGTCAAGATAAAACAGTCATTGGTCAAAAACATGAAATAAACTTCGGCGGCTAATTTTGTTAGCAGAGCAGATGCCTGTGCGATTCAATAAATTGATTTCGAGTTTGCAGATTGTTTTCGTTAATGGTCTTAAAGCTCTTGAAGCATCTGTTGCCGTCGTTTTTCTTTTTTGTGAATCTCTCAATCAGTCCCTCCGCACTTGTTACTCGAGGTTTACACTGTCAACACAGACTTCATATCAGCTGGGGTTTTTGAACCACTGGCTGTATTGCTCAAGTTAAGACAAACATAGTGGATAGGTGGTGGACCTTCAAAATATTCAAAAAAGGGAAACGTATAAGCTGTACCTTTTTGTATATTTGAATGCCAAACGTTAGTGTCTAAAGGTAAGAAACAAGATGAAAGCATGACAATGGGAGCAGAATCGAAAGCACCTCCTATGATTCTACTACTAGTGCCAGGACTCAATCTAGAAAAGAAAAAAGTGGTAGTTGCGGAGTGTCAAGCAAAGTTAGACTTCAATGTAACTGTGCTGGACGCAAATGTCGTAAATGGAGTGGATCCGGAAGCCATTATTCTCTCCCGAGAGAAAACTACCACTTCACATCGGTGTGTCTTCTGTTGAGTTGATACTGAGCTGATTGCAGGGACGTATAATTACAAAGCGGGTTGATATACTCAGTGGACGGTCGGTTCACAATTTAAGCCGTGATCTAGAGGTAAGATAACACCAGCAAGATCAACAAATCTTAGATTTTTGAGGCAGGGAGTGGGCCACAAGCTCGCAATATTGACACGCTGCATTGAGTATTACAAATTAAATCTGAGGGATCAAAGATGGTCACTATAATCCAAGTCTTGAGACACCGAGTATTCTAGCGACAATCTTCAACTATGGAGCTCCTCAAAGAAGATATTTCAATGGGGATGGGCCCCAATAACGGCACCGAGACTGTCAGAAAGCATCTTGTCGACACATCCAGCCGAAGACCAATCAATAGGATGTGCGTCAAAGAGGAACAAAAGATACAGAAAACTAGTACATTTTTTGAATAGTTTCGCGAGCTTCTCGTGAGCTCTTGATGACTCTCACGGATGTTCGGTTCGCATCTAATATCGGTGGTGCAAATGCTCTGCTCCATATCCCAATGGATTTTTGAAGCATTTTATACGTTCATCTGTGTGATGCTATTCTACGCAGGTCAAAATCCTGCTTTGGACAAACAGATAGCTAAAATCTGTATAAAATTCGCGAAAGCTAAACATGGCAGACGTTGAGATGGTGGAAGCTCACTCCGATACTGCGGACGGCAGTGGCTCCTCGGAGTATGTCGAATTCTGGATCGACCTTTTTTTGGGCCGAAAGGGCCATGAATATTTCTGCGACGTCGATACAGATTACATTACGGACCGGTTCAACCTGATAAACCTGCAAAAGACGGTCAACAAGTTCACACAAGTTATTCAGTACATGGTGGATGACTTGGACGATAACTCACTGGAACAGATGTCGAGTGCGCGTTTGGAGCAGCTAGAACATGATGCTTGCAAACTGTACGGGCTAATTCATGCTCGCTACGTGATTACCATCAAAGGTCTCCAGAAAATGCTTCAAAAATATAAAGAGGCCGATTTCGGACGGTGTCCTCGAGTTTACTGCAATTTCCAGCCTCTTTTGCCCGTGGGACTGCACGATGCTCCTGGTCAAGACTGCGTGAAGCTTTACTGCGCCTGCTGTGAGGACCTATACATTCCCAAGTCGTCGCGACACAGCTCAATTGACGGCGCGTACTTTGGCACTAGCTTTGCAGGTATGTTTCTGCAGGCGTTTCCGGAAATGGTGCCCAAACACCCTGTGAAGAGGTACGTGCCCAAGATTTTCGGTTTCGAGCTGCACAAACAGGCCCAGGTAGCCCGTTGGCAAGAACTGCAGCGTGTCAAGCTGGAACAGAAACTGAATGCTAAGGGTGTGAATGGTGGCTACAAGTAAACCTCTTACGGAGCCAAGCGTAAACTAAGCCCAACAGGGATTGTGCCCTTTCGTTGCCTGGCCAACCTCTATTTGCGATTGCATCGCATCCTGTGCTGTATTTGAGACTTCGAATACCTGCGTCTTTTTTCAATCAGGTTCTTTCCCCTAGTCGTGCTTCAAGGTATTTTGTCTCTCCCGAGCGCTACTTACCTAGCTCAACGCGCATTTTCCAATACTACTGCCATCGCCGATACAGTGGCCACGAGGCTCGCTATGCGTCCTTCGCGCACTTTCTAATCCGCCAAGATCATCTTGATCTTGCTCATTCTTCACGTTTTTTTTCTCGAGGTGCTGTTAGTTTGACACCCAAGTTTCGCTAACTTCGGCTTAGTATATATAAGACAATAGGTAATCGCTCATCGCACAATATAAATATAATCAATAGCGCTTAGAGAGGTGACGAAGATTTTGTAAAGACAGCAAAAGCTTGTCAAGATGGCTGTTATAAGTAAGGTTATCTTCGATGTTGAAGGTATGACCTGTGGAGCCTGTGTAGCCGCCATAGAAACGCAATTGAAGCTGGTGGAGGGAGTACAACGAGTGTCAGTTTCTTTGGTAACTAGTGAGTGTGAAGTGGTGTTCGACAGTGGCAAGACGAGTGTGGATGCTGTTGAAAACGGAATAATAGATTGCGGATTCGACGCGCGTGTTCTAAAGGTGCTGCAAGAGTCGGCACAGGCGTGCAAAATCGCAGTATTGCAGGTTCAGGGCATGACTTGCGCGAGTTGCGTGGCCAGTATCACGGAGAACCTTGAGAGACTCGACGGCGTGACTGATGTGAGTGTCTCGCTTGCCACAATGGAGTGCCGTGTCGTTTTTCAAGATCCACAGGTCACTGCAGCTGATGTGAAGGCAACAATTGAAGATTGCGGATTCGACGCCGAACTCATCACAGAACAAAACAAGAGCGCTTCTGGTATCTCCGAAACCAAGCGAATAGTCCTCAAGGTTCTGGGAATGACTTGTGGTTCCTGTTCTGCAAGCATAGAGTCATCGCTTAGTCAGGAACCGGGAATATTACAAGTACAGGTATCATTGGTCACAGAAGAGGCAGTTGTAGAATTCAGCCCCTCTGTTATCGGGGTGCGCGACATTGTTGCCAAGATAGAGGATCTAGGTTATGAAAGTGCGGCGACAAACGCTTTTGACAATGTTGCACAAATCAAAGCGCTTGCCAGAGTGCGCGAAATTCAGTTTTGGAAGAGCTCGTGTATACAAGCGTGCTGTCTGATGGTTGTGATGATACTACTGTACAAAATTGTACCGAGATGGTCTTCAAGTTTTAAGAAATCTATCATTTATCACCAAAGCCCTTTACCAGGTTTGTTCTACAGAGATATCATCGGATTTGTAATATCAAGCTACGTTCAATTTTGGGTTGGGCGTCACTTTTACAAGGCAGGTTGGAAATCTATAAAACATGGGTCTGGATCTATGGACACTTTTGTGCTAGTTTCAACGATGTGTGCATTTACTTTCTCCGTTTACTCCGTGTTGAACAACATCATTAAGCGCTCTGACCGACTGCCCAATGTGGTTTTTGACGCATCTACAATGCTCATTGCCTTCATTTCGCTGGGCAAACTTTTAGAGAACAAAGCAAAATCCAGAACGAATAATTCTTTGTCCAAGCTTATATCTTTGGCCCCTTCCAGCTGTACCATAATTGAAAATGAGGTCGCCAAAGACATTCCTGTGGACTTTCTACAAGTTGGCGACATCATAGAAATGAAGCCAGGCGCAAAAATTCCCACTGATGGTGTTATAATAGAGGGTGAAAGCGAAATTGACGAATCCTTAATGACTGGTGAATCGCTCATGGTACCGCGCTACAAAGGTGACACGGTGGTGGGAGGATCTATAAATGGACCAAACAGATTCCTTTTCAAAGCTATGAGTGTTGGTGATGACACTAAGCTGGCACATATCATTCAAACTATGAAGCAGGCGCAACTTACTAAAGCACCTATGCAACATTATGCGGACTATCTTGCTGCCAGATTTGTCCCATTTATTCTAACATTAGCAGCGATAACGTTTGTGATGTGGTACAGCCTGTCTCACTATCTTGAGAACCCTCCAACTATTTTCGACGACCCCAATGGCAAGTTTTTCGTATGCCTACAAATAAGCATATCTGTCATTGTAGTAGCGTGCCCGTGTGCATTGGGTTTAGCTGCTCCGACGGCCATAATGGTAGGAACTGGTTTGGGAGCCCGACATGGCGTCTTAATCAAGGGTGGTGAGGTCTTGGAAAAATGCGGCTCGCTCGAAACCTTTTTATTCGATAAAACCGGAACTTTGACTACAGGGCATATGGTTGTGGACCAATTTGTGCCTTTAGGGGAAAACGTTGCGCTGACCGTCGAGCAAGCAGCTTGCGTGAATGTTGTAAGTGCAACTAGCGAGCATCCAGTGGCCAAAGCACTGGTCAGTTACACCACTCAGTACTTAAATGGCACGAGCATAAAGGTCAATCTCTTGAACTGCCGATCGGTCATTGGAGGTGGCATCATTTGCGATTGCGAAATCGGTGGTTCCAAGTTCCACGTCGTTGTTGGTAACAAGACAGTTCTGCAAGAATTTAGCCATCTGCCGAAGCCCCAAGGCACTGTGTCCTATGTTGAGGTAAATGGGAAACTGATAGGCAGGTTCGAAGTGAGCGATTATATCAAAAAGGACGCAGGGCAGGTAGTGCGCTATCTCACATCAAAGGGTCATCGCGTATGTATGGTCACTGGCGATAATCATTACTCGGCAATGAAAGCTGCATCTGAGATAGGAATTGAGGCAAACAATGTATACAGTGAGCTTACGCCATCTGACAAAAATGAAATAGTGAAGCAGCTGCAAGATGGCGGGCGGACGCGGGTAGCCTTTGTGGGCGACGGGATTAACGACTCACCGGCGCTGGTGACAAGTGACCTTGGTATCTCTATCTCAACTGGTACTGATATCGCTATGGAAGCTGCTGATGTAATAATTTTAAGTCGCACTGAGCGGGACCATGCCTCACTAAGAGAACTGGTATATGCTTTGGACATTGCCCAAGCTACTTTTAAGCGAGTCCGCATGAACTTTTTTTGGGCCATATGTTACAACGTATTCATGGTTCCTATTGCCATGGGAGTGCTAGTACCCTGGGGCATTACCCTGGACCCTATATTCGCAGTAGCTTGCATGGCTGCAAGTTCTGTCAGTGTTGTCGGAAGTTCGCTGCTGTTAAACAGATGGAAAGCACCCTCACTGGAGTCTAAAAACCCAGGACGATCAAAGATGTCCTTTAGATCTATACCTTCCTTTCTGTCAGCCAAGTTTAGGCGTCACAGATCTCTGCCAATCGAAGATGTTGAGCTACAAGCAGGTCTTATTGTATAATTCTCACAAAATGAGCTATCTCAGAGGAAAAGAGTGAAAATAAAACCTAAAAATGTACAAAGCTGCATTAGCACGTTAACGATGCGTTCGCCAAGACCTAGTTTTACCCGAAGACGCTTTCTGCTGGTGTCTAATTGTTCTTCTCGCTCTATCTAATTCCAGTCACAGACGACGATTTGCCAAGTCTTGTGATTTTTTCCCACCATTAGTTTGGCTGAGTGGAGTTTAGCACCAATTGCTCAAATATTAAAGCCAAAGTTAGATGAAGTTAAGGTATCTTTGTCTAGAAATGTTTCAGTAATGCAAAAGTTGCTGTATCTACGAAATTTACCAACAGCACTGAGATCAGCGAAAAGCACTATTCAAATAAGAGCAATGCACGTCAAGGCCATCAAAATGAGATGGTTGACAGGTGGAGTCAACTACAGTTATTTGCTGTCGAGTCAGGACAAAACTAAATCATGGCTGATTGATCCTGCAGAACCTTTAGAGGTGTTGCCAGAGCTTAACCCAGAGGAATCAAAGTCAATCGAAGCCGTCGTGAATACACATCACCACTACGACCATTCTGGGGGCAACGGCGCAGTTGTTGCCAGGCTTGCGCAGCTGAAGGGCTCCGACATCAAAGTCATTAGCGGAAGCCATACGTCACCTGGAGCTACTGATATACCAAAACACTTGCAAGAATATTCGCTGGGCGACTTGAAAATTCGGTGCATTCGGACTCCATGCCACACTCAGGACTCGTTGTGTTACTATGTGTCAGACCCGCAGACGGGCGAAAGATGCATTTTTACGGGCGACACTCTGTTCATTGCCGGTTGCGGTCGATTCTTTGAGGGAACGGGAGAGGAAATGGATGTTGCCCTGAACCGGAGAATACTGGACGGCGTTGGCGAGCCTAACTGGGACACCACTAAGGTGTATCCAGGACACGAGTATACAAAGAGCAACGTAAAGTTTGTGCGTACCGTTGTCTACAAGAACTTGGGCGACAATGCCGCCCTGGACAAATTAGATAATTTTTGCAAAAAGAACGAAGTCACAGCTGGCGTTTTCACATTGCACGACGAGCTCGAGTACAACCCGTTCATGCGTTTAGATGATCCATCCGTGAGAGTCGCAATTGGCGATTCGCAGGGTTCCTTGACGAGGGCCCAGGTCATGGATCGTTTGCGTAAGATGAAAAATTCCATGTAGATGATATTCTAGCTAGGTAAATGCCCAACGCGGGACCACGGTGTGTTTAGCCATTAAAAAAAAAATGCTGATGAAAAGTAGATCATATTTGAGTTACAACCGCAAGCGGCTTTCGCCAGAGTCTTGAATAGTTAAATTCGCTACATTGTACAAGACCTCAGAGAGATTTTGGAAAATTCGAGTTTACCAAAACCAATTATCTCTGAGAGAATTGAAATCTTCGATTTCACTCCGCTGTCCACACCTCCAGCGCTATGGTATTTTGAAGCAAGGGAAGTTCTATCTAAAAGTCGGAGGGTATTTTTGAGATAGACTTTTTAAAAGAGAAGTGTAGGAAAGTTGGAAGGGTTTAAGAAATTTTTCTTCACCTTTTATATTAATTGACAAGATGAAAAAAGCGTAGGCGCCAAATGTCTCGAGGAAAGAACGACGGACGGCAAGAAATGCGCGACACGAGCAATGGGCGCCCATGTTACCGACCAGCAGAAATACAGAAGGTGTTTACACATTGTAGAGAATGTGGCTTTGAAGAAGAGTAGACGTCAACTTAAATAATTATAATTAGAAATCTAACGTAAACCTTGCCTGCTAGATACGATACGAGGTAAAGGTCGCAACACCAAAACCAACACCAACACCGTTCAACTATCAATGCTACTAGGAGCATACGTTGATGCCATATCGGACTGCAAGCTGGCTTATTTAAAATAGGCAATTACACGTTGTGGATATTGATCCAGTCGCCTCGGCTGAACCACCCAACACCAACAACCCTTTTAGTCTGTTGTCTTAAGCCTTGGCTAGTTTTCCTACAATGAGATTTAGGAAGTTTTCTCGTAAACATACCTTCGATGGTACCGTATTTGTTTGGAATGTAAAGCCGCATAAGCCCCATCCCAAGCATTCCACCCTTCGCGGGAACATTTATGTGCACCAAAGTGGTCGTCGTTCAGCTTAAATCAACTTTTGTTACCCATCAAAACTAAACTCGAAGATATACACGGATTCAACGCCCTTTGTGGACGTCTGGCTTATGAATCTCTAGCCCTCTTCACACCTGCTGAACTCATATTTTTCCAAACTGTCACCGACTCATATTAAACAATCCTAAAAATAAGTGGAACTAAGGGACAATTGCGAACAAACACTCCGTCAGATCAAAAGGCACTAAGAACCCATTTCGCTTTGAAACTCGACTTGATAACCTTAATTTCAAGCAGTCAAGTTTCTCATTTGATTTTATTAGAGCCTAATCTCCAGAATGGCTGACAGTGAGAACAAGGAGGTGGTGGATGAAGTCCCGTTGGTTGAAGAGACAAAAGAAGTCTTGATTGAAGAAGCTGGAATCCCAACTCCAAAGGACAAAGAGCCATCAGAAGAACAGACAGAGGCTACAATTGCCTCCGAAGGGGTTGGAAAAAGCTCGGATTTGACGACAGAACAGTCTGTAGAAGAGGCCAAAATCCCCGCAGTGAAAGCAGCTGAAATTTCTTCTACCAAGCCCACGGAGACTGCCCCATCTTCAGAAGACCTTGAGTTCGCCGAAGAGCGTCCTCCTTTGCCTGATCGCGGATCCTCTACTCGTCACATCCCTCAAAACCCCATTTTGGTGGAACTTACGGAAGCTTTTCCTGGAATTGAGGTAAAATATGTTAACGCGGTATTAATAGCATCTCAAGGCGCTTTAGACCCGGCTTTTAATGCGCTACTATTCCTGTCAGACCCCAGCTTTGAAGCGGAAGCTGCAGTGCCAACTGCTCCTCCTGACAACATAAAAGCTGCTTCCGCGAGTGCTCCAATTAATCAATTGGAACAAGACGAAATTTTGGCTCGTCAGCTAGACGCGCAATTCAACAAGTCCCGCACTAGTCATGGGCAGAGTAGTTCGCGCACTTTTGAAGATGAACGTATTGCACGGAACAAGAGAATTCGCAACCGTCAAAAGGAATATGAAAGAGGCACCGCGCAAGGACGTAGACCTCTCACAAGCGAAGAGGAAAAATACTACAACCAACTGGGGGACGAAGATGAGGAGGACGACTTCATAAGTCAGCTAATGGACAAGGATCTACCCGAAATCCGCGAAAAGTTCGGACGTCAAGTTCAAGAAACTGGAAAAAAGGTGAATGAATGGATTTCAGGTTTCCGCAAAAACTGGAGCCAAGAACAATCGCAAGATTCACGATACTCAGATTACCCTGAATATTCGCAACGCGGGGATGCGTCTCAGACTAATTCCAATCGCAGAAGAAGTTCTTCAGGGTCTGATTACGAGCACTACGCCAGACCCGAGCACAGAACGGCTCGCTTCAACTCTTTTGGAGCCAAGGAAGGCGACGATAGTGTTGACACTTCCACAAGATTGGCCAGTCACGGAATCTCGATATACAATAAAGATGCCAACGAAGGCGATCAGGATGATGACGTCGGGCCACAGTTGCCTTCAAGAAATAAGCCTAAGGACGTCCAGCCGGAGACGACTTACATTGATACGCCAGAGGCTGGCACCCGCAAAAAGTGGCAACCCTTGTCTCCAGAGCCAATGGTCGCCACACCCAGCAAAACCAACGTTACTGCTAGCAAGAAAAAGACACGTTCGGGGTACGATGACAACGAAAACGAGTTCCTCATCAACAGTGATGACGAGTTGTGAACTCAAGAGATTTGAACCAAAGACCTGCTATCAGAACTTCAAATATTCTTCCAATGATTTTTTTCAGATAATGTAGATAAGTTTTTGAAAATTTGTTCATCATATAGTAGGAGATTGTGCGACCTTTAGTCGTGCAATTGACGTATCCTTACGTCTCGTCGTTTGTATGGCCTAGCAAGAGATAAATTATAGCATAGTGCAGATGTAAGTTTCTAGAAGACCATGAGCATCGATTATGTTTAAGATTTTTTTATGTACCAGCCGTGCTTCGGGTAACCTGCTAATAATGGCCAAAGCGGGCTAGGGAGAATAAACGACTGTGAGCTGTCGCTCATGGCACTTACAGCTGAGCAAACCTGTCTAGCAAATATCTCTTACAGGTTGCTTATTCTTATATGATGACCGGCCACTTTTGAATGATTGTCGCGACGCAAACGCAACATTGATTAATGTAGGTTTCTATAAAATTGAAATTAATAAACGAGATTGGAGAATTACCGACAGACTCTAAATTGTACCATAATGATTCGTGTTGAAACACAGAGGAAGCATCATTAGCTCTGACAGGATAAGTGCAGAAACTCGAGACACTGTGATCACTTTTCACGCTGGAGACAGCTGTCACTTCAGCGACAATGAGTAAGTTGTGTGGAGTCTGGTCGGATTGGTACAATAAAACGGCGGTATCGAGTGAGCAAAGATCGATTCAAATGTCCAGTAGCATCTTTTTAGAAATTTATGAATTTTTGTGCCACAAGTAATCAATCAAGGTATTTGATGTCGTTAGTTCTGCCAACACAAATAGACAGACAGCTCGTTCGGTGATAAGCTTTCTCCTCATAAGGCTAAAAAATCAACAAAATTGTTGTTGAGATCTTCGAATCAGACGTTTTGGTGGGTTCACTCATCTCGCCTCTAATTTTTCGGTACCCCCATTAACTTCTTTGAAGCCCGTTGGCAAGCTGAAGCTCACATTTTGAGCTTATTAAAAAATGAAGAATTTCCTGACTATGGTCCTGTGATTCTCTTCATTCGGGGCCTAGTCCAGACACTCGTAATAAATCACGGACCTTAAGATTGATGTAACACTTACAAAGGGGATATTTATTGTCATTATAATTCGTTGAAGTCCATTTACGTATCGAGCAGAGAATATAAAAGGTGAACCCGGGTTTTATCTCCAGGGTGCTTGCTCGAACTCGATCAGGCATATCTGAGCCTTGGCTTTGGGATGTAGCGTTTTATTCAGTAGTTATATTCTGAACAAGAAGATTGTGCAGAAAGTCAACTATGCCTGTCTTTGTACTAAAGAGATTCTTCAACATCACTACACATGATTAATAGATAAAGATTGGTCTCAAGCATACCAAGGCTGGTATGGTCGCCTATCTTAACGTTCGAGTTTCTGATTTCTCGAATTTCGAGCTGTTTGTTCATTTACCCGGCTCCGACTTTTAAAGGTTAAAAATTAGTTGCCATTAAAAACTTGCCGTCAGATTAGAAGCCGACACTCAATACATACAACGACCGTATTGTAATCAATTGTACGCTTCAAGAGCTAGTCAAAGACTAGTTTCGAATTTTTGATACATCTTAACCAATCGCGAGTTTTCTGTTCGGTGCGTTACATATTTCAAGTCACAAATGGCGGAACCTCAGAGTGTTATAACTCAGGTATCTGCCGACCAGGGTTTGCCTCCTGTGATGCAGGATCAAGGCCAGGAGTTTCTGGATGATGATTCTTTGATTCATTTAAACATCCAGGAAAACCATTACTACATTACAAGAGACCAGCTAATGTCGCTACCGGAATCCTTGCTGCTGTGTTTGTTCCCGTCTGGTGTCTTTATGGACCGAACCGGCCAAGTTATCACGAATCTGACGTCGCAGGACGAAGTCTACGTTGGAAACTTCCCGCCAGACTGCTTCGAGTACATTATGGAAAGCTATGTGCGGGCACAAGAAGATCTAATCAACTTTCCGGTGGACGAGATTTTCAATCGCGCCCAATCCTCTCGTGAGCCATCCCGGTTTTTCGGGTTCGCATCACCCTCGGCCATGGCCCCCTCATCCTCTAACTCAGAAGCTGAGATCCTACACGAGAAGCCCAGCATAATAGTTCTACGAGAAGATTTGGATTACTATTGCGTTCCATTTCAATCCTTGGCTTTCCCTGAGGGTGCTTCAGAGGAACTGAAATCAGAATTGACCGATAATTTCATCGCTCAAGTCAAGTTGGCTGCTGGCAGCTACTTGTCGGCACAGACTAGCGTTTTTGAGGGACTCTTTAGTTCTAACAGGCTAAAAAGACCTCAAAAGACTGCATCCGGAGAAACTGTTAGCAAGCTGGGTCCCGCGGAGCAGCACTTAATGGATATGCTGTGCACTTCGGGGTTTCACGACTCTTCTGTATGGGGCAATCGTGCCCAGGAGCCTGGCAAGACCGTTATTAGCTCGCTCTCATTATGTCGTTTGTTGAATGAAACCACACAGGAGTTTCGTGACAAAGCCGACTCTGCAAGGCGGTCGTATGAAGAGAAGGTCGAATCTTCTCGTGCTCTATCTGAGTCTCCGTCCTTGACGCCCTTAATGTCGCGAACTTCTCAAGGCTCCACAGCTGCTGAAGTGAAACGCAAGTCTAGACTTTCGTCGCTTGCGGATAATGTTCGCTCTCGTTCTGCATCTAGAAATCGATCGTCATCGAGACAGAATCGTGATCACACTCCAACACTTTATGACCTGGTACCTAAACCAGACATCAATTCCAAACTTTTGTTGTTCTGGAAGAAGCCAGCACGTAAGTGCTGGTGGGGAGAAGAAGACTTGAAGCTCACTCTGAAACTTTATGGTGAAATTGATTCTGAAACCGGAAAACTTTTGCTGCTGCCACAAGGGCCCATTGTGACCCTAGAAGTCTCGGTCAAATTACACATAAGAAGAGTTTGGACTTTGGAATTGAGCGTCGTGGGCGTTGAATGATGGTAATCATTAGTAGAAACTACATATGGGATTTCTAGAGCTTATAGAATATGAGGCGGACAACGTCGTTTATATTATAGCGTGAGAGACCGTAGCACTGGGGAAGAGTTGAATGCTTGTTGGGCCGTTCTCCGTGGTTTATATTCTAGCGTGCGAAACCGGAGATTTCACGTTCAGCGAAGCGTTGCGGAAAAGCCTGCGTCATGGTTTTTTTCCTGAGATAATGCAGAGGGTATTCCTAGCCGCCGCTGCACTCCGATATACAGAACTGATTCATCACAGGCTTGTTTTCTAGCTTTGATACCGCATTTTTCCCTTAAACCACTGCAGGCTCGAAACAATCAGGTTGCTAACAGTACAGTGGATAGAAGGAAATACTTCGGTAGATTTTCGTGACATACTCGCACACAAAATCTATATGGGCCAGGGACCTTCTGAACGTCTTTACGATGCACCCTTCGTCCTCATGCTAAGGGTGGTGAGGCATTCTGAGCAAATTATTTGGGATCACTCTATACTAATGTGACGCCCGGCAATAGTGAAGCTCCACTGAAACTTTGTAGACACAACAGCCTCTGACCGTCCAATCTTGCTCTGTAGTTTTGAAGCCCTTCCCCTCCCCCGTATTCTATTCGAGCTGGTTTCTCTGTCAGACTTTCCTTTCGACAAGTGGCTCGTTTAGCAAGAGCAAATTCGCAGGCGCCGTCTAACCAAGTGCGCAGCGTAAGTTGCGAACATAGCTTCCAGAACGTATTCAGAAAAGCTCTGTACCCTACTTAGAAATCAATGTTTTACACTTTCGAACAACCTACCGTTTTTCAAGTTTTTACAACACCTGAAGGTTAGCAAATCCTTCTGGGCTCCATTCCGCTTACCATTTGCTTTAGAAACTCTACCATAAACAATGTATGCCGCTCGAAATTCTTGCCGACACATCTTACCCGAACAACAGTTTCCACTTTTTTATGCTCTACATCTCTTCTTCACATGTGGTATGATCTTGTTGTATGATGATGATTGCTAAAAAAAAGCCGCTTGTAGTATATTTCAATATCTAATATTTCTTGCTGCTTCAGATGAGGATCAGATAAAAAGCTGCCAGTTGAAGACGTAGAAACTTCGGAATATAGCAGGCTATACGTTTGTAAAGAGGTTTTATTTGACCAAGATGGAACAAGTATGGCAACTGCTTAATTACGGCTGGCTCTTCATGTCAGTCGTGGCGCAAATATTGAGACTTGGTCTGTGCACTCTGGTGGTAATGCTTCTGGGGCCTTTGGCCGCTCTATATGTATACGACGTAGGTCTGTATACATGGAGAGTGGTGAGGAACCGGGGGTACCGACTGGAGCCCGAAAGAGCGAGGAATCAGAAGATAGAGGAGGATTCAAAGAGTGCTGAAATAAGTGATTTCGAAGTGATCAGCCATAACGGCAGCAGCAACGACACGAGCAGCAGCAGCAGCAGTGAGATCAATCTTGCGTACAATAGCGACACGGAATGGGACTCTATAACGGCGACGTCGCCTGTGGAGCCCGCCCGAGAGCGAGACGAGACGCTTTTAGTGGCCTCTGACGCTAAGTCGACGCCTAGGTTTGGGGGCATCAAGGGTTCGTTTACCAAGTTCTCGGATCTTATTACGGTTACTATATCTGCCGGAGCAAGCGATACATGCAAGACAGAGAAGTATGAGCACGAGGTGAAGCTCGTCACAGGCAGGGCCTGAGACGCTCGGAAATTGCTAAACCATTTTGGACGCTTTTTAATAACATTCAATCACAATCACACTATCAAGCTATGCTGGACACATAGCACACAGTTTAGGGCCCTAGGGAGGCCCCTCGTTTTCGCTAATTATTATTATACATATACTCAAGTTATTTATTCGGAAGAAACACGTTCGTTTACGAAAGCCGACAACCATCAAAGATAACGAAGTTGCGGGCACCAAACTCATTGGATCTGGAGATGAGTTGAGCTGTCGTTACTTTATCTTCTTTTCTCTTGATGTCTGCGCATGTGATCTTGCTGTTGGTTGATGGCTTGCTCAAATTTTTCAAAGTCAAACGTCTAGCAAGCTTATTACGAGAAAAACCTTTTATTCCTTTCAGTTTTGACGCCATAATAGTATTTCAGTCCATTATCAACCGCTCAGCTACCGCTTTTGAAATGTCTGCTAGATTTGATGCTCCAGGTGCCGGCGCTCCCGCCAAAAAAGCCTCCAGATTCGAACAATTTAGACAAACTCCTGCTTTCCCAGTATTGGTGAATTTGAGTCTATTCGTCGCGGGTATTGCATTTATCCAGTCACCATTGATGGACATGATGGCTCCTCAATTGTGATTGTTGTAGTCCAGAAGCTTGTAAATATGAGGGAAACAAGAGACCGCACGAAAGAAAATAATGATTATAGCAGGTATAGCTATTTGATCTCGTTGTATGTAAGATAATTAGTTGTGAATTGATTACTTTTTGATGAGAGGCGCTTGTACAAGCTGCGGCAAGGAACACTTTAATGTGATTATTTGAATCCGCATTAGGGGCGGACTCGTGCGTTAATAAATTTTCTGTGCTGGACCCCAAAGTAGCATGGTGTCGGTCAAGTTTTGAATGAGCGCTAATCTGCAAGCAACCCGAAAGTTCGTTTGCTTGAGTTCTGCTCAGGTTCCAATAAAATTTGCAACGGCAGTGCACGCAGTAACAGAATACTGTGTTTCCGACAACAATTTCGCGTAGCACTGCATTGATGTAGCACATCACCTTTCAGCGCGCGACACAAACCTGAGCATTCCAAGCGATGCCGTTCGCGTATGATAATCTCAGAAATTCAAGATGTGTATTGTATATATTAGATATTAAAAAAGGTAAATGCTACAATAGCCAGTTTAAAAGGGCATTTTGCTCAGCGCATTGCAACTAGACATCATGTTTTGTAGTCAGCATATCACGGTTGCCGTTCCTCGACAAGCTTATCTAGAGGTGTGTTGGGTCAACACAATGTACAACGCGTATAGCATACCTGGGAAGAAGAAGATGATGGTCAAAATAAGATCCAGGATACATTCACTTCCCCAGCCTTTCTCTAAAAAGACCGCTAAAGGTGGCAAGAACAAAGCTGATAATTTGTAAGTAAAATGACCATTTTCGACACAAGCACGATGATTGACTTAGTGAAATTTAAGAAACGAATCCTTAACGCCTGAGTTGTGACACAAAAACTAACCGCTACTTACCAATGATAATGTTGACAATTTGGGAACCTTCCATTTTGATGATGAGTGAATTCTGCTCGAAACGTTCAAACAAAGATAAGTACCTTTAGATAAGTATGTAGAATAGGAGTTGTTTTTGTCGCACTATTTATCCTGATTTTCCGAAAAAATACTCGAAACTCAGGACCGTTGAAAGATTCTATCGGGAAAAAAAAGCGGATTGTTTAGGTATTGTTCGCTTTTGTTGTCGGTTAGAATAGTTCAGGACACCATTCTGATGCTACGCTACTCAACATGCAGATATATTTAAAAATTTCACCAGGGACTTAACGGTCTATGAGTATCAATGAGTATCGTCGTAAATTATAGAGCAGCTAGAAATTGATATATTTAGGTGAAGCAGGTATGCATATAACAATGAAACCTGTCGCACGTCGATATTAACTGCTCTCCTCTATTATATGCAGCTCCCGCAGCACTGTGCCCTGTTTGAATTACTGCTTTAGCACTTTCTTGACAATCTTTTCAACCTCGTCCCAATCGTCGGTGGGTACTCTCGTCATCTCGATATCTCCGAAATATTTCTGAATGGCAGTTAGAACTTCAAACGACTTTCTGTCATGAACAAATGAGATAGCCACACCAGTACGGCCGAATCTACCGGTTCTGCCGATTCTGTGGATATACGTGGATGGGTCTGCCTTTCCTTGAAAAGTGGTTGGAAGGTCGTAGTTTACCACCATCGACACTGTAGGAATATCAATACCACGAGCAAGTACATTGGTGGTGATGAGAACTTTGGAACGGCCCTCGCGGAAATCGTCGATGAGTCTATCTCTTTCGGAGCTTTGCAAATCGCCATGCAAAATCGACACCTGGTGACCCTCTTGTTTTAGTTTCGCATACAGTACGTTGGCAGTTTGTTTAGTCTGCACAAAAATGATGGAGGAGCCAATCGTCAGTAGGCCATAAAGCTCTGTCAGAACTTCATATTTGTTGTTTTCGTCGGTACAATCCATAAACAATTGCTTAATGGCACCCACGTTTACCTCGTTTCTTTGCAATTCCAAAGAGTTGGCATCAGGTACCACTTTACGTGCGTAGTTTCTCACACTGTCGTCAAAGGTAGCAGAGAACAAAATCATCTGGGCGGCTTTGGGCAGAAACTTCTTCACGCGCAGACATTGGTCACCCAAACCTTGTTTATCGAGCATATTATCGGCTTCATCCAAAACGAAAACTTTAACCTGGCCCAACTGAAGCGCTTTTCTGCGCATCAGATCAAGGACGGTTCCTGGAGTACCAACAATGATCTGGGCAGTGATTGGCTTATTCTTCTCGAAGGAGTCTGGAACGATAAGTTGAGATGTGACTTTAGTGAACTTACCCATTTCCTGGATCACCTCAAGGGTTTGTCTTGCCAACTCTCTCGCAGGAGCTAAGCAGATAGCCTGTGTTTGTGGTTGCGTGATATCAATGCGCGATAGCATTGTTAGAGAGAAAGCGGCAGTCTTACCGGTACCAGATTGGGACTGAGCAATCATGTTTCTTGGAGGTTCGCTCAAAAGTAGAGGCAAGGCTCTTTCTTGAATTTTCGAAGGCTTTTGAAACTTCATGGCATATAGCCCTTTCAAAAGCTCTGGAGCAAGACCCAATTCTTCGAAAGATTTGATACTGTAAAGCGGAGAGTTCGGGTCGCCCTGGAGGTCTGCCAATTTCACCTTGACTTCATATTCAGATTTAACTAAATTTGAGTCTTTGCCTTCAGACGCACCCTTATCATCATTTTCTTTGGGTTTTTCCGTCTCTTTTACTGGCTCCGGTGTGGTTGTGGCATTTTCTTTGGTTTGAGTTTTAGCTTCTTCTTTCTTGGCTTCGATGTTCAAAGAAGCCAGTAAGTCAGCAGCATCTTGTTTCTTGGTGTTATCTATAGTTAGAGCGAGTAGCAATTAAAGTTAGTAGAACTCCGTATAATTAAAATAACGCCCGAAGTAGATCCAGGGTTTCTAATAGCATACCAGTCATTACGTGGCTTAACAAAATTGAAGAGATGTACTTTTGACAGATGAGAAAGATCAATATTGATAATAAAGGAAAATTTTAAAATACCTAATAAGTTCTCTCATGTGACAAGAGAATAAAGCTCAAGACACATCTTATACTACTGATGTTAAGGTTTGTTTGTTTATATGATCATTCGTTATTTTGTATATATAAAATGTACGTTAGAGGAACAGCCTGTGTTCTATGCAGAAATGTTTGAAATGGAAATGAATGAGACCTGCTCAAATTCCATCGGGAGCCCAATCGAGGCCCAGTCTTTGATAGACCCGGGACTGACATTGTGACCAAAGCATGGCTTTTTCGTCCTTCGTCAGAGAGATCTTAGATGGTGCGGCAGGATTGGTGGTTGTGGGATTGTTTGGTGACGCTATGGGAATGTTGTCCTCAGATGATAGCATAGCGGTGTTTCTCAATAAGGTTCTTTTCAACAAAGATTCGCGTTTCCTGGAAGGAATAGTGGAAGGCGGAGGCATATCCGGCTTCTTCACAAGCGCTTGTTGTTGTTTCCATTTCTTGTAATCGGCACAATGACGTTTAAAATCAAACCGGCATTGGGCTTCAACGGCAATATTGAGCAAATAATTTTCTATTATGTTTCGCCATTCGGGTTTTGATAGATTCATAATGGATTCTTCACGGCCAAGATATTGATGGTGACGTTTGCGAGCTGCAGCAACGGTATATTTGGCACTTGTAAGTTTGAACTCGTAATCGAGGTTTGCCTCCAAGTACAGGTCAGATTCGACCAAAGTGCGTATTATGAAGTCATCCGTGGAGTTGAGTGGTAGAAGTTGTAGTCTGAACTGGGGTACAGGTGTTTTAGTAGAGGACGAGGAAGTAATGGAAGAAGTGTCGAATTCGACCAAAGGAAGTTGCGCTCCCCATTCGGGCCGAAACTGTTCCACTACGAGCAAAGAACGGATATCGTTGAGGTCCCAATCGAGGAGCTCCCGTTTGGTGAATTTAGGACGGCCGTTGCATAGCAGGTTTTGTGGGTCGAGCAGTAGGTCTGAGGAGTACATGTCGTAGAAAGTCTTCGGAAGCGCGTCCTGGAGATGAATTGTCTTGGGCGCCTCGATGTAGTCGATATAAGAAGCCGTAGTGCTAGCTCTCGAGGAGAACAGACTGGATCCGGCCGTCGAGATGGTTGCGAGCGAGACAGAGTCTGAGTCACGTGAACGTGAATGTGCGATGCTGGGTGCGGCTGGTGTGACGCCCTTTTTCTTGCCCTTGAGGAGCCGTTTGTGGATCTCATCGCGGGCACGACTAGCGAACTCAGGCGGGGCATTGACAAACTCGTGGTCCTCGGGAACAGGCGCCAGTTCCGGGCCTTTGCGTTTCGACAGCAGGCCTGGCAACGCTTGTTTCGTCGATGTGGGCGGTGGTGGAAGCACAAACATGTGTGTGTGTGGGAAAAGCCACTGACTAGCTGTGAGTGGGCGTTCTATCTGCGATTCTATGCGCTCGGAATCCTTTGGCGACGTTGGTTTTCGGCTTTCGAGTTTTAGCTTTTTGGTTTTCGAAATCCACAGAAAATAAATTGTGGGCACAACTGGGGCGAACTGACAAAAAAGAAGATGCTGCGAAAATTGGATGAAAAAAAGCCTATGTTTCGAACTATGCCTCTCTCTCGTTCAACTCTCGATCTTCTCTCTGCTTTCTGCTCTGCCTGCCAGCGCTCTTCTAGCGTGTTTTGTCTGGGATTATGTACCTAGCGTTTACGTTTGTACGTCTTGGCTCCTTCATTGCCTACTGATTTTTTCCATCTCATCTTCTATTTAAATATTATTGGCCGATGTTTCCCCGCAGTTTTTTTCATCCGGAATTTTTCCGACCTTGCATTTGTTCCGGGATTAGTTTTTCCGGGCGTCTGGAAGCAAAGCGTTGAAAAGAATTGTGGAAAGAAGGGGAACTACTGAACGATTGTGACGAAAATATATCGATGGCACGTCCGTCAAGATGGTTTGATGACGGTTACGGTACTGTGGTTGAATATTGTGAGTTTCAATCTCAAGAAGAAGAGACACGGCTGGACAACCGAGCGTGCATTATCTAAGGTAAATTCTTGTAAAAAGTAGCACATATGACAAACTGACAATGGCAGTGGTAGTGAGCAGCCCTCGATGAAAGGTAAAAGACCATTCTACTGAAGTGCTTGTGCTAATTTAGTGATTGTTTGATAAGTCAAGCAATGACTCTTATAACAGCAGCGCTGGAACTATTGCCAGTAGTTGTATGATAGCTACTGGAAAAAATTTCACTTCCAGCAGTGTTCAACATTAAGTGTGTGCTAGCGCAAGCAATGAAACTCGCCTCTAGTTCAGCTGGCATTTTTGCCAGCAGCCGCGTAATAGGTCAAACAACAAACTTCACCTCCAGTGGTGCTCTCACCAAACTACAAATCAATAACAACGTTGATAATTTCCTCTCTGGATACGGACTGATGTTCGAATGCACAGCCAGCTTCCAAAGTATCTTACGTTCCAAGATGGCAATTACTTTTCAAAAAAACAACCCCTGCAGCTTAGGAAGCAGGAAATTCATGCTCTGAAAATTTGGGACAGGCATACTACCACAACCATTTCGCATGTCATAGTTTTTCTCCCGTTTCTGAACCAATGTTTTTACAAAACTGTAACAACCACAAGACATGGGAAGTCGACAGAGCAACTCGAACGAATATAAGTCATAATCTGGCACAGCGACCTGGCTTATGCAATACTAAAAAAGCATTCCTCAGGACTGGAGATGAACAACCGCAGCAGGCAGCCGTAAGCCGAGAAACCCCAAAATTCTTGGCAAAGGTATAATACTTGTAAACGAGTATACTTGCGCTCGGGTGCTCGGCGCTCATAACCCCGAAGTCACGTTTGTAAAGCTTATTCTATCATTTTATACCATTTTGTCACCTCCACAGTTCAACGGCAGTCGTTTAGTTACTCTTGCAAAGTAGGTAGCAGCCTAGCCACGGGTTTCACTTTACTTGGAGACTTATACAGACAAAAAGTAGTAGAGGTGATTACCAGCATTTATGATTGATGATTCTGAAGAAGCCAACTATTCTTGAAGGAGTCTAAATTATTTTGTGGAGCTCATCAAGAACCGTGAAACTTATCAACAGCCCTAGCAGTGCGGTCTATGGTATCTTTACAAGAGCGCTTAACGGCATTGAGTTTTCCAAGCACTACCCAAAAGACAAATAATAAGTAATCCAGCATTCACTGATCAAGTAAACTACTTCACTTCTCATTCCTTGTCCACATCTAAGATTTTTGTTGATAGGTCCGGGAAAACCATGGAGATCTTGATCGCCTTCATAATAGGAGCAACTTTAATCAATCTATTATGTAACCTAAATTATTGGCAGGCTTTCCCTTGGTGAATTAGACTTTGCCTCGATGTTTATCTGTCCCAAGATGCAACCATCGAACTCTTGTAGTATTGAAGGTTACTGAATTATCAGATTTCAGTCCTATTTAGCTCTAGTCGCCAGGAATCATTGAAGATAAAGTAGTAATAGTTTATCAGAGAGTGCGAAATCCAACTCACATTGAACCATGAGTAGAACTTGTATCACGGCTTAAGCATTACAGCTTTCTGCTGGTGACCAAGTGGAAAAGGTAGTGGCAAGTCGTGAATGAAAAAAAAAATCGAAGTATCTATTGTAAACGTTATCTGGCATAGGAAAACAAGTCCAAATAGAACTCTCGACCATTTCATACCATGCGTGTTTACAAATAGTTTCAATTCATTAAATGAGCGCTATATAATAACTGGGGCCAGTTGTTGATAACACGCGATAATGACATTTTCGCGAAGCTTTGTGTCTAGACTAGCCGTAACTTAAAATAAACTCCATAGAGCGGTATCCGCCGATATGAAAAAGATCACAGATGCGGTTTCAAAAACACTGCGTTCACCGCACAGTCTCTTATTATCTGTTATCCTCATCGAGGATAGGAACAAAATAATAATTTCTCCGAAGCGGGGAATCGAACCCCGATCTCCACGGTGAGAGCGTGATGTGATAGCCATTACACTACATCGGATTGTTGTTGAGTATTGGAGGTAAGCGTAACAATATATAGCATAGTAGTGTCTATGTGCAAAACACTTTCTTTCGCTTCTTCGAAGCTTGACGTCACATTCGTCAATTACTCGTGAAATAACTGCAGCACAATGATTGATTTGCCTATACTCATACAAGCAGTCTTTGTACTTGATTATATGCATCCCTGTTGGTAACAGTATATCTGGGTGTTTAGCAACAAAAAGGTCTTAATAAAAAAGAGCATGGATTTTCATACTTTCAAAGACCTCTCGTAGACGTCACTTTGGTCGAGAGTCGTTTGCGTAATCAGAAGTCGTAAGGATGGTTGTATTAGAATCTTTTAATCGATCAGTCCCCCGGAATGCTATTTCTTCGTACTCTCTAACTTTACAATAATGGATAGTTACAACTTATATTCTTATCAAGATACATTAACCTCTATACAACTTCAAACCTAACCACTTCGTCAAGGGCCATCCCATGATTCTTACCCTTATACAAAATCTTGAAACCAAGATTCAGAATAGTTGAACGGTATATAAGTACAAGGTTTTTGGTCCAAACTGATTTTGAGCCCGAATTCAAAGTTTTCTGTCCTTGCTTTTAATACTGATATAGACCCCAGAGGTTTGAAATCCCTTATGGATAAAACGATAGACGTAATACGGGACCTTTGAGGACAATGGCAATGTTTGATCTCTTAATCTTCGCCAGCTAAATTCTTCTCAACCAAATTGTGTGATGTAACTAGAGTTCACTTTTGCCGCGCAAAGTAAATTCGACCTTGTGCTTCTCTTTTTACCTTCTCCACTCTCCTCGAGGTTTTGCTTGTGGCGGCGCAGAGCCGGAATACCGTGAAAACCGAGGTTTGTTAACGGACCCACCGTTCTGGCTGGGACCTTGCAGCTTGTTATGGGGTCTATACTGACCTCCACCAGCACTGTCATATCTGGACCCCTGGTTTCGTTGCTGGAATGAGTTAACATTGCTCGTTCCCACATATGGAGCGCTGTGTGATTGTTGATAGAATAAAAACGATTTGTAGCCACCAGCGCGAGGTTGGTATTGCGTTGTAGTGCATGGTCCTACAGGCACGATATTATGCTTCATATCCGTCGCATTCCATCTGTGATTGTAACGATATGTTATAGCATCACGGTCCTGTGGTGTTAGCATCGCTTGCGGTGGTATGAACCCATTCAACAAGACCGATTTGCTAGGGCCTGGGAGCTCAGGCATCTTGTAGCCAACTTTCAGGAAAAGGTTGGTACTGATGTCAGGTAATCCACCTCCAATAACTGGACTCGTCATCTTACTGTTCAGCGCGAACCCTTCTTTATCAACCCATGCTTGACCTGCTAACCCACTCTTGAAATGTTGAAATGTTACAACCTCAACCGGTGAACCTCCATACAGTTTGCTACTGAACTTATCATAATTTGCATTTTTGTTGCTTATCAAAAGAACTTCTTGTTTGCGAACATTACGGGATTTCTCGCTTTCACTAAGATGTTCATACTGCTGGCGAACTACTCTCAGCAGTCTCTTCTCGTCAATAAACGGAAGAAGTGCAATTCCTTGCCAGGACATTTTCTTGCCGTTCATATCGACGGGGAACTCTTGCGGGTAAAAGTCAATAATTTCTGAATTTGGTTCTTTCATTAAGGAACGAAATATCTCGGGTAAGTTATGACCCGATGCAGCAGGTAGCACACTCATCAATTGTTCAAATGGTAAAAATGGTTCGCCTTTCTCGAATCCAATCTTCAGAGTATTAATGTTTTTGAAATCAGATGCAAATGGTGCGTAATGGTAAGGATAATACCAATCCCATGAAGCGCACCCTTGATAATAATAAAGCAAAACCCATGAAACACCTTCCACGTAACACTTTACAACATCTTTGCGTAGCGAATCAATGTCACGCTCGTTGATGTGAAATTTGGCAGTGTAATATCTGTCATGATACCCAGGTTCAAATAATTTAACCTCTTCATCTGTGTCGATAACACCACTCTTGACTAGTCCAGTATGGATGACTTGAAAGCTCGTCGGTGTCTCTGAGTCCTCGCCCGCAACGCTGGGGGTTTCGGAGGTCTCGTTGTCTATGTCACCTATCTTTCTTTTGTTAGAGGTCACCGAATCAGCGATGGATGAATCGTCTTCAATTTCCGCTTTAGTTTCATCAACGTCCTGATTTTCTTCGCGCTCGGGTCTAGACATAAGCTTTTGCTTCATCATGGCTGCCGCAGAAAAGTTCGCTTTGTTTGCTACTTCCACGGCACTGGAAACTTCTTCACTTGAATACTCTTTCTCGGGACCCTTGTTTTGCTCACTTTGAATTTTGAGCGCAGCTGAAGATTGTTTGTCACCTTCGTTAGCCAAGTTCATCTCTTTTCTAAGTTTGACAAAATCTTTATTCGATAAATTTAACGAACCGTCGGCAGCTTTTCCGGAAACGTCATAAACTGGCATATTTTCTAATGGCACGGTAAAATTTCTATCAGTCCTTCCTTGGGTTACATTATTATTACTCTTAAGCATCTTACGTCTTTTTACAGCTTCTTGTTTCCTGATTTCTTGTAAGTATCTTCCCTTAAACATTTCTGGCTCGCGGTTTCCTAGTTGCTCCAATAGTAGTTCTACAGATTCTAGATTCAATACACCATCGCAAGTCATATACGTTTTGAGTCGAGGTAAAATTGTTTTCCAAATTTCAACCAGTATGTCGATGCTGTTTTCTCTTACATCCAACGAGGGAAGGTGTGGCAGGAAATCATTACCACAGAAGAAACACATGAACACCCAATCATCGATAGCTCTTTCAGTATCGAATTCGAATGATAGGCGAGGTACGAAAAGCTCGACGGACAGGTATTCTCTTAGAACGCCGACGTGTAGCCATAAGAAAGGTTTCTCCGATTCTTGGAGTGCAAGGCTTTGCTTCTCTTCTTCCGTCATGTTGATAGCATCCTGGACTCGCTGTCTCCTACGATTATCTTGTGCAAAAACATCTTCCCGGAGGATTTTAAAATGAGGTTCGTGGGTGGCTAAACCCAAGAAGATCAGGTCAGCATCCAAACCATAGATGCAATGTGACGTATTTGGATTATACTGAGGATCAGACCTTTGGGATCTAATGAAGTTCATGATCTTATGTTCACCTTCTCCGGGAACTGTGGCATCACTGATGATAACCTGTAAGTTCTTCCAGCCAGGATCTGTAGCAAGCTTGAAGCTGGTCCAATACCGGAGAGCCGCTGCTAACTTATCCATGAATGGTGTTCCAGGTGTGATGGCATTACTATCCCAGGTTTTCTTGTTTCTGATGCTCTCGTCGATAATTTCACCCATGTCTTCGCGCTCCAAGAGCACTCTTTCGCGCTCATCATTTTGGATCTCTGCATCTCTAGCACTCCTGAATCTACGTGCACGTTGCTGATTCATCTTTGCCCGCGGGGCGACACCATCTACAGCAATCACCAACACCTTTCGTGGTCTCGCCATGTTGAGAACACGGTTAGTGTACTCAAAGACTGCCAGAAGCATCTCGTCTTCAGTTTCTGGAGGTGGCCGATTTTCTGGATGTGAACAGGGGTGTACGATACCATTCATGTCCAGGTATAGATTTTCCAGTTCTCCATTGGGGTTCACTCCCGCATAGTCTATCGGCAGGGCTACTCCATCAACGATTTGGGGCGTATCTTCTAGTACTGGCGAGATGATCTTTGGGTACTTTCGAGAAAGCCATCTGAAGAAGGACGGAACACCCATAGTTCAAGTGTTAAAAAATGGTCGACGTTGTTGATTGCCCTTTCAAAAATGCTTAGTATCACCAACGTCCAACTGTATTTTTTTTGTCAATTAAAACAAATAAAAGTTTTAGATATTATTGAAGGTTCGAATAATAAACATATACACTACACTGGCCAATTGTAGCAACCTGGCATAGCTTGCATCTGTGTAGTTTCTATATGATCCCCTTTCGGATAACGAAACGGGCCCTCACCCGCCAATATCATTCTTTACCGTTATTGGATACAAACGAACTTGTTTTGAAAGGAATTCCAACTGAGGGCACCGTCGCAGGCCGGGATTATATGGAATGGGCGAGCATTCGGGAACTGGGTAATCGTAACTTCTTTGCACCCCGCAGTCGAGCCCAGCGGCAATTGCTGCCCTCAATTTCTCAATATGAGGAAATCCTGGCTCACTGTATGGCTCGTTGGCTGCTAGTGGACTACAAGCTAAATTCGTTTCCTTACTTCGACCTGAATATCGTAACCGTATACACAGATCTGCACCAGTCGTTGCGGATGTCGCGGTCGATTCTCAATTACTATGCAAAAACAGTGCCTGAAGATCTGTATCAGCGGGTTAACTGCTACTTACTGCCACTTCACAACAACAATGTTCAGGAAAACATGAAAGTTTCAGTTCCAGACTCAAAAATCACAGTCCTACAAGACGGGATACTCTCAACTTCGCCGTCGTTTTTCATCGAAGATCCCGTTTATGTCATCATGGCGAATGATGTACTGCGACATCTGTCACAAGATTATGTGCGGAGAGTCGATTCGACCTGGGAACAGCGCTATTTGGACTTCTACGAGCAAGGAACTCGCCATCAAAGATTTAGCAAAACGTTAGACTATTGGTGTAACGTCACCTTGGACACTCTCGCTTCAGAGCTTGATGCCAGCGGGTTACAGGAAACATACATTCCAACCCGTTTGGTGCAACTATTTTACCTGCTACAACACTGTGCTCCTGAACATAAGCTTTTAGCCTTCGATGCAGCTCAAGGCAGCGAATCATTGTCGGTGATGCGTCAAGTACATTCCTGGTTTTCCCCGCAAAAGGAAACGTTTCGTGCGAGCCAACCATATGGACCCCAAGATCCGCTGAATTCTGATGAAGCAACGAGCTTTGTCTCGAATTTTACAGAGCTGCGTAAGATATATGCGGCAGTCGGTAACGGGGCCAAGGTATGCCAATCCAAATCTTTGGATGATTTTGCAAGAGATTGGTCGGATATTGAGGAAACAGAATGTATACTGGGTGTCAGTGACTTGGGGACTAGGACGCAGTGGATGCGAGACGCTAGTATAGGCGTTCTTCATGCCTGAAGTATAAGAAGCGAGATCTCTGGTGGGGCAAGAGGTAATCAGGTAGACGCACAGGACATTAAACCTGAAGAGCCGACTTTTGCAAATTTTGAACCCATTGTGGAGCTTACGAGCATTTACACTTCGCCACGAAATTTACATTTACGCTACGAGATCAAGATGGTATTTGATTGTTGGATTCTTTTTTTCATTGCACTGCGGAGAACGGGAGGCAGCACTTAGATTGAAAGAACCTCAGAAGTTTGTGTCCTGGTGGTGTATTGATATTGGAATCTCGTATAGCGATACTGGCTATCGCTTAGTTTTTTTTTTGAACAAAGGCTATTTATTGCATTCAGACATAGGAGTAACACTAATTTGAAGCATGGTTATTTTGCATTATGTATTATATCACAATTGGTAGCTTAAAAGTGAAAGGGCTACTTAATTGACACTGAAGCAACCGACAGTAGGGCAACCACTAAATTTTATTATAAGAATTTTGTAGATCTGAAATTGGTGGCGCGGGCAGTCTAAACAACTTGCCGGCAGGATTTCAGTATCTTTCTGGATAGCCAAACGAGTCAACCTAAAAATAGAAGAAAACGCTAAGTGACAGCCAAGAGGTAATGAATTGTTTTTATAAAGACCCAAACTTTGGGCTACTACAATATTCTAAACTAAGTGGGTGGTGCGATCGGTGGAATTGCGGACATGCGGGAAAGATTGCGACCTTGATGGGGGTCGGGAGGGAATTCCCGGCTGTGGCAACGTCTCTTTGTCGTTGTATGGGTCAATTTCCATGGAGGAATGAGATTGCATAGTGGAGTCGACTTTTTCGGATTCCGAGCCTTTCTCGATGGGAATCTTGACGGTGCGACCTTTGAAGGCGAATCCCGGGTAGAACACGGTCATGAGGGTGGTGGCCATGGACATCATGAGCGCGTCCAGAATGATGAAGTAGACCTCGTGGGTGATCAGGTCGCCGTGCCAGCCCTCGGCCAGCTCGACGACTCGGTATATGCACCGGACGTACACCAGAAGCACGGCGGCGGTGAGCGCGTAGCCAAAGTAGTTGAACACCCAGCGTTTGGGATGGATGCGCAAAAACTCGAATTTGGGCCGGTACTTGTAGTCGATGTCCTGCTGCGAGACGTGCACCAGCGACCACGACGGCTTGCTGGCACCCGTGTGCTCCATGCGCGAGACCACGAAGATCTGGTACAGCAGGTGGAACCACAGCACCAGGAACACCGACATGGACGCTACCTGGAAAGCCAGTCCCGCCACGAAGATGTGGTCGCCGGTGGCCGTGTCCGTGTTGTCGGCCGCGGCGCTTCCGGACATCCCGCCGCCCACTGCTTGGACGATCAGCGAGATCACGTCGCACGCCATGAATATCCACGAGTACAGCATGGGATTTTTCAGCAGCGCGAACCGGTGGCCGTAGATTTCCACCAGCTTGCCCAGCTGGTAGTAGATGCCGGCCATGGTGAACACGGGCGCGATCGTGAGACAGATGAACTGCAGCAGAAACGTGTCGATGTTGGTCGTGTCGTTGTGTCCAAGCGCTCTTCCGATGTAGCCGGCTACCTCCAGAGCACACGCGCACAGGAACGACACCAGTATCCACCACTGGCGGGTGTACACGCCTGCGGCGAGCTGCAGTATGAACAGAACTCCGAAGATGGCCGCCATGGCGCTGTTGAACGCGAGGTTGGGGGTCATGCCGCCATACATGGAGTAGGCGTCGGACGCGGTTGCGGCGGCAACGGACGCGGAAACGGACGCGGTGCCTGTGGCGGTGCCTGTGGCGACGTCGGACGCAGCCTTCTGCAGGAGCGTGCGCGTTGCTGACGTGAGCATTATTGTGTTTGTGTTTTTGTGGCTGTGCTTTTTCTTTTCTTCTTTTTTAAACCCGCTGAACTCCGTTGTATCGGCTCCGGATCTGATTTCCACTCCCGATCTCGTGAGTGCGGTATGGTCTTTTTCTTCGCCTATGGGGGGAGGAAAAGCGTGTTTGAGATTGCGACAACTCTTATAGCGTGCCGGTATGAAAAGGTATGAAAAAAAGATTCCCTGGGTATGATGTGTTTATAACGTATATTGCAAAATGCGATTCGGATGCACACACGCGACTGTCGGGGTTCTGGCCAAAATCTGCTTAAAGCCGAGCGAAGAATATAGCTACCCTCGAGGTTGTGCGGTAGGGTGCGAGATGTTGATTTATGGATCTGGAGGAAAAATGTATGTGTGCGGGAATGGGTTGAAAGGTCGTTCTTATATATGATTTTTGTATATGGAACATGGGCAAGAAGAGGCTTGGAGTGGGTTGCCACTGGGATAAAACCGTAGGGCACGTAAGGCTCGGGGTATAGAGTTGATTGTCGTAGTGCTGTTGCGAACATCTCGGAATTAATGTTTAGTTTTTTCGGGGCGGAGAAAGTTTCGGCCGCGGAACGGAGCGAGTTCAGGGCATTCCGAACGGGTGTAGTGGCGGAAAGGTGCATGCAGGAACCTGCAGTACGAGCTTCGGCGAGTATTGTGAAGAGTGGGAGAGAAGAGTGTAATACAAGACTTAAGTACTATTAATCAGTACGAGCTTCGGCGAATATTGTGAAGAGCGGGAGAGGACGAAAGAGTAAGGTAGCACTGTTGACAATTAGAGCGCAATGTGACTGTGAAAGTAGTATGCTGTAGTACCATTCGCTGTGCTACCATTGACAATATGAGCCTCAGCGTGTTGTACCATTCGCTGTAGTACTACTGATTGTAGTACCATTGGCAATATGAGCCTCAGCGTGTTGTACCATTCGCTGTAGTACCATTGACAATATGAGCCTCAGCGTGTTGTACAATTCGCTGTAGTACTACTGATTGTAGTACCATTGACAACTCGAGCGTATTGTGAACTGTAAAACTGCTATTGGCTGTAGCGCTATTGACAATACGAGAGAAGAAGCACTTTTGGCACATCTGCGTCAGTAGTAGTAAACTTACTGAATTAGACGTTTAAGTCGTTCGCGATGGATCGTGCACTTCTATTCGAATCTGGGATTCTGCTTATCTCTCTCCGCTATGAGGTTGGTCCAACGAGTGGAACAATCAGTCGATATACATATAAAACTGACTGATTATCACTCATGAACATATCATACATCGTATAGTACATTATTACTGTCCAATCAGTTAACTACAGACCACCGCAAAGTGTCGTTTGCTACTCATCTTCAGTTTGGGGGATGTATCGAATAATCCATCCACCAATTGGTGATATCACTTTGTACTATTTTGTCATAGTTCGATCTACGTCATTGTGCAATTGACGCCATCTAGCAATAGCGCACGGGTCCTGACAATTGAATAGTACGAGTACCAGCTTGTTGTGAAGTGAGAGAGGAGAGTAATACAAGACTTAAGTAGTATTAAACAGTACGAGCTTTGGCGAATATTGTGAAGAGTGGGAGAGAGGAGAGTAATACCACCGAACAACACGAAAGAGTAAAGTAGCACTATTGACAATTCGAGCGTGTTGTGAACTGTGAAAGTAGTATGCTGTAGTATCATTCGCTGTAGCACTACTGATTGTAGGACCATTGACGATACGAGCCTCAGCGTCTTGGGAACTGTGAAAGTAGTACCATTCGCTCCACTACCATTGGCTCTACTACCACCCTCTCCACTACCATCCTCTTCACTACCATCCTCTCCACTACCGTCCTCTCCACTACCGTCCTCTCCACTGCCATCCTCTCCACTACCACCTCCCCACTACCATCCTCTCCACTACCCTTGACGATTCGAACTGCCCTCCTTTTGAGTAACAAGACTGTGTCTAGTGAAGAACGAGAAATATCCCAGTATGAGCGCTTAAGGTAGTACTAGTAATGCTGAACCATACCGGTTGCCCGAGACTCGTAGCTCGTGTCTCTGAGGACGCTAGTCTCTCCTCGACGTGAGAAGAAACCCATCTTTTTACGCGGTACATGTATCTCCCCCAAAATCGAAGCCCACCTCGTTTCCTCGGACCATGAATGGGTATCACCATCTCTCTTATGGCTAAAGCATGACACTTGGCTTCAAATATATCGGCACTGGTTCCGGCCCATATCACTTTGTAGTATCATGTCATCATGCGGCTTGGCGTTATCTTCCCCCCCATACCTCGGCCCCCGCGTCGCGTCAGTATAGTACAAAGCGACAAGCGTTTCACTATCGACGCCCCTGCTCAATCCCCATCACGCAATCTAATTAATCGAGGCTTTGCTCATAGTCTTCATCATGCGATATCTAAGTTTCGAAGCTTGCGCCCTCCCCCGCCCAATCTCGCCCTCACGTGCTCTGCAGTCGTTCCTCCGTTTCCAAAAAGCACAACACCATTCCCATGCACGCAATAACTTGTGAGAACCACGGAACGCCTATCAAACCATATGCGGCTGCGTCCGTTTCGAAACTCGTCTCGCCAACGTGCAAACTCACCCGCTTACGTACCATTTGGGGCATCGACAAACCGCTGTTTTCCAGGTACTTGGCCCATAGTATCGCATCCGTAGCATCTTCGCGCGTGCTACTCGCTTTCTTGGCCTTTCGGATTTCCTTATCCTCCAGCAACGTGGGCATATTCGCAGGAATCACTTTTAGGTCGAAATCTCCACTTCCCCTGAGTCGCCACCCAACATTCCATTCTCCAAGTCTCGTGTCCATGTTCTGCGAGAAACGGTGTCTTTTCAAAAGGACTTCCTGGAGTCCATCCGGAGTGTAGAACACATATCTGTAGCTGGTTCTGGTGCCACGAATTTCTTTGTACACTTCGCAAAACGGCATTCTGTAAATCGCCCGTGTTTTGTCCTCACACACAATGCTGCAATTAGGATGTGGGGGCTTCTGTGCTTCCGGTTGAAGTACATTCTTGTATATCCTGTACCGCGGCTTACTTGCCCCGGAAACTGTCTGAGAGAGAAACTTATCGTCGCATTCCAAAAGTGGCACTCCAAGGCCATCGTTTTCAAGGTTGCTTTGGATCCGGATTTTTCGGCCGGACTTCTTATAGCGATCGAACGAGTGCTCGGACGGGAAGATCATAATTGTACTTAAGTTGGTGAAAATACTGGCCACTACCATTTCCCTTTGTCTGGAGAAACGCAACGAAGGCGAGACTGTTTCGTCGTGTTCATTACAGATTATTGGTCTGCTTGAACTGTTTCCCATGGCAAGCGCGCTTTATCTGCTTGGTGCGCATATCATCTAAAGATTCCTAGCCGTTGAGTATCGAAAATAGGGTTTGGACCCTGATCATGATATACGTTAGTGTCGCTGATGTTCTGGACATCAATTAGCGACTTTTGGCTCGTTAATGCACTCCAGTTACTAATGAGAATCTGCTTTGGCCACCTCGCAAAAGTGATTGTTGAAGTCGCTTTAATGTGTGGGATTACGTCTTTTGCCCCGTGATCCGTCTGAATGCTATGAGTTGATATCTCAACATAAATAGCAAACTCGCTTTAAATTCGACGGAAATAGCGCCACGCACCCACCGACTCTCATACGAATCCAATTCCACACGCCTCTCCTTTACACTTCCAACCAACACAACCTCGACTAATCATGTCATTACAATGCCACGTACGCCAAGTCATCACTTTATACTTTTCCGTCACAAAGTCACGTACACACAGATACTAAAAGATCTCTTGAAATAGATGATTCAACGTTATAAAAGCTCAAAAGCCACCTCCAAATGCAGGTTTCCTCGCCAGTTGGATCAGTCGTCTAATGCCCACCTCTTTCATACCAGTATCCAATATTAAAACATGGTAATAGAATACGGACATGCACGTGACCAGAATCCTAGCGGGCTCCCTCTCCATCTCAACCCCGTAACAAATTCAACAAAGGATCTTCACCTTCAAAAACACACTTTCGTATTCAGAACTCCCTCAAACACTGCAGCCAAACTTGCCACTCGCTATCAATTCAAATGGCTCCCTATGTTCCCAAGAGCGAGACCTACTCCAATCCCTACGATGGGAAGTCCTACACGCTCAGAACCTGGATTTACGACCTGATGGTCTTCATATTTGACATCATCTTCGCCATCTTTTTCCGGGAAATCAAAGTTCGTGGCACTCACAATGTCCCAGTCAAAGGGACGCCAACCATTTTGGTCTGTGCTCCGCACGCCAACCAATTTGTAGATGCCGCTCTAGTAATGTCCCAAGTGCGGAAGCTCAAGGGAAATCGCTCGAGACACACCTGTCTGGTAACAGCAGAAGTCAGCTATAGAAAAAGGTTCATTTCTCTTTTCAGCAAGAGTACTGGTGGCATTCCAGTTCCGCGCGCTCAGGACAACCTTAAGCCTGTCGACTCTCAACTTCAAATTTATATTCCTAACTGGGACACACCTACCGTGGCCAAATGCCGTATGATCGGAAGCACCGACTCACCAAGGCTCAAATCTCGATTCACTCCTAAATCCTTGATCGGCATGCCTTTTTACTTGGGAAATACTCAAATCGCAGAAGTCAAGGACGACGAGACTTTAATCTTAGCTAAACCTTTCAAAGATACCCCCCAGATCCACGATTTGCTCTCTAGCGGTACAAACTTCAAGTATGCCCCCAAGATTGATAATACTGCGGTGTATCAAAACGTGTTTAATCATTTGCACTCAAGCGGGTGTGTTGGAATTTTCCCCGAAGGTGGCTCGCATGACAGACCTTCGTTGTTACCAATCAAAGCAGGCGTCGCCATCATGGCTTTGGGAGCGGCAGCCGCCGACCCCTCGATCAAGATTTCTGTGGTTCCTTGCGGTATCAGTTACTTCCATAGAAACAAATTCAGATCTAGAGCGGTTTTGGAGTTTGGCCAACCAATTACGGTCGATGGTGAGATGGGAAAAAGATACGAACAGGATGCTCGCGCCCAAACTTCTGAACTACTTGACAAGATAACTCAAGCACTTTACGCCGTAACAATAAACGCGCCGGATTACGAAACTTTGATGACAATTCAAGCTGCGAGAAGACTCTACATTCCCGCAGCTTTCAAAGGCGAGAATGGCCACTTGCCTCTTCCTTTGGTTGTGGAAATGAATAGACGTTTATTGATCGGATATTCTAAGCACCAGGATGATCCCAGAATAAAACATTTGAAGGCAATGGTTTTACAGTACAACTCAAAGCTTTACGCGCTTGGTTTAAAAGATCACCAGGTTCCTGAACTTACTCCTAAAGGTGGCAAATGGATATCTATGTTGACTTTGGGAAATCGTCTATTGTGGACTTCTTTTTACCTTCTTCTTTCCCTACCGGGTACCATCCTCTTCATGCCCGTATTTGTAACGTGTCACTATTACGCTCAACGTAAAGCTGAAGACGGTTTGAAAAAGTCACTTGTAAAACTGAAAGGTACCGATCTGTTGGCTACTTGGAAGCTTCTCGTGGCCTTAGTTTTCGCGCCAACATTATATGTGACCTACTCCTTAACACTGTGCTTCTTAGTGAAATCGCATCCCCAGTTATTCAAATATATTTGGATGGTACGCATAAGAGAACAGTGTGGTAGTGCAGCAAATTTCTTCTACTTTTACGTGCTGTTGGTTGCGGCCACGTATGCAAGCTTCAAAACCGGCGAAACAGGCATGGATATATTCAAATCTTTACCACCACTTGCAGTCTCTTTGGTATATCCACAGCGTCACCTCGAGCGTTTACAAGAAACGCGTAAAGAGCTTAGTCTGGAAGTCACCCAGGTTTGTAACGATCTGGGGCCCACGGTATTTCCTGATTTTGGAAGATTTTTGATTACTCAAGAAGCAGCCAAACATGGGAAAGATGACGTCGACCCCGGGCCAAGAAGTAGGTCGTCTTCTGTCCACTCGATGAGCTCCGAGTTTTCAAATGCACTGTCCAAAGTCAATTCTACGTCCTCGCTATCCGACATCCCCATATTGGGAGAGGGCTCAATGCGTTCGCAAATTGACGACGCTCTTGAAGAAGTAACGCCTGCCAAATCGTCTTTTATTTCCAACTTAATAAGGCAAAGAAGGCAAGAGGAGAAGACCGACTAGTCTTACGATTCCTTTCTTGTATGTGATGATTTATGTAATTGATGTTAGTTAAAAAGCTTTTTAATCCTCGCCTGCAGGAATTTCATCTTTCAGAACTCTGTTAAGCTTGATCCGCAACTCTGTAGTCTGATCGCCCTTCAAAACGTCATTCACGAACCACACATCGCAATCCATTTGAACCATCTCTAGCGCGCCTTTCAGCACCCCACAAAGAATGTTCGAATACCACAATTCTTTAGCCGCGTCCATTGGTAACTCCACAAATTCAGACAGAGGGTTTTCCTCTAGGAAAAGAGAAAACGAGTCCTTGTTACTTGACCAGTTTCCCACTTGTGGTGTCACATTGAGAAACACTTTGAAAGCGCATATGGTTATTACCTCGCTAGTTCGGGCCAGAGAATCGCACCTAGGAAGCGCCGTTCTAGCCAAAAAATCTTCAATCAGTCTAACACCTATATTATAGCCCATTGAGTAAAGCTGGTTGTTTACTTTGGCGAAATCACGCTCGTAATCCGTGCACAATTGAGAGACTATAGAGCCATACGTCAAAGTGAAAAGCTCAGCATTTATTTTGGCTGTCTTATTTTTCCATATGTCATCACTGAAAACTTTCAACGACTTCTTGGAACTTGTTGAGGGGACTGGGGTATTGTTTGTGCTACTGCTCATGGTTCGTAAGGCTTTATCACTTTGAATCAATCGCTATTCTCTGATCAGAGTTCAATACGTTCAACCTATAAAAGTTCCAGCAGAATTCGTATATGAGGCTATCTATAACTATGTACCAAACTTGACACTCTGGAAAAGCTATTCAGAGTCTTCTTTCGTTCCAAGTAGATTATCCAGAATATCCTGGTACTTGCCGTGAGTAGCCTTATTGGCTTTTCTCAATATTTTTTCGGCTTTGGCATAGCAATCCTCTTGGTCCTTGGATTCGGCATTGTATAAATTTCCGGCATCTGTCAAGGCTTCCGCAACGTCCACCCAGGTCTGGGGATCGTCATCTTTGCGAGCTTGCTCCAAGAACTTGATAGCTTCAGTTACGTACGCAAGAGCCTCCTTTTGAGCATCAGGCCCAGAGATCCCATCAATTGCCTGCTCGTCATCATCATTCTCGTAGGTCAACTGCAAGAAAATCTGTGAAGGGTTTTCTGCAGCTCTTAAATAAAGTTGACCAAGTTTTCTAGCCACCAAGTGATACAGTTTTGTTCCTTCTGGGTTGCTTTGTGAAACCACAGCTAACAGGTTTTTCAACTGTTCCCGCAAAAACGAGTAGTTGGTGGGAATCTCTTTACGGATTAGAAACAACGGATGTTTCGAAGAAAGAGTGATCTCTTTCAATTCATCCTCAGCATCGCTATCTAGCCCCTCGTCAATTTCGTCTTCGTGGCCGAAGTTTTCAACGATATCTAAGAGATCATCAAATAGCTCTAAAACCTCGAAAGTCAACTCTGGATATTGGCTATTTACTTGTAGATCTTGTTTGGCTTGTTCCAACAATTCGTGAAGTTTCAGTTTCGAAGCGTTTTTGTCTTTGACCGTCAATTTTGAGATGAACTCTAATGGAATTCTTTGTAATGCTACTTTAGCTCTCACTAACTTGAGTAAGGCCGATTCTGGCTCTGCATCGAGGCCACTCTGGCACCTTTCGTTGGCAGCATCAAAGAACCCGGAAACGGTTTCCTCACTGTTATCTTCACCGGCTTTAAAAATGGTCAACTCGCTGAGCGCAAGAGCGTAGATTGCATGGAATTCGTCTGAGAGTTCTAAAGGTGGAACATCACTGGTGTCTTTGCCCTTGGCTGGCTCAGAAGACTCCTCATCGTTGCGCAGTAGTCGATCGCATTCATGAACAATTCCATTAAGCACAAGCTCGTCATTTCTATCGGAATCGAAATACGTTTTCCAAAGACCTTTCAGTTGCACCAGTTCGTTGTCTGGATCCACATTATCGTCGACTTCAACAGTGATTTGGTTAGTTGGAGTAGCTTCTGGCGTGGGACTTTCGGATTTTTTCTGCTTTTTCAAGTCTCTGTTCTGCTTGCTCAAGCCCAGCGTTCTCTTAGCCATGATGTGTTATTGCGCGATAGTTGGATAGTATCGCTGTCACAAATGGCGGTTTACTATTAGAGGTAAACGAAGCTCAATTCTGGTTAAATATTCTCATCCGATCGTTGCACATTTTTTGACATTTCAAAATCATCAGATGAGGACGAGGTGTACGAGTAGGTAGGTGCAAGGAACGAGAAAACTTACCAAAAGATCAGCTGGGGCCGCAAATGCTACTATTTCAAATCCCTTGACAGTTGCGACAATCAAATATCTGTGCAATCAAAAGCGTTTGCCTGCCAAAATCAGAAAGTTTCCACTGGAACAGTCACGGGAACCTCTGGCAGATTAATGAAGCCGTCTCGCATCAAATAAGAAAAGTATTTTCATACTGTGAGTATACGTACCTCTATGGATGATCTCGAGAGATCTAATCAAAATGTCTAGGGCACCGTATCTTTTTTTCGCCTTATAGTATACCAAAGAAGGTCGAGCAACGCGATTTATACATCTTAGCTCGTTGCGGAGTTGTTTTTGTCATGATTCATTTTTAATACTGCCGAACGTCTATTGAATCTCATTAACACATTCTAGTTAACTTCTCTATATGTATTCCTAAGGACATCGTCTCAGGATTGTTCTGATCGGCGCTTAAAGTATTTCAATGTTCCATGCATAAGCGATGCTGTTTACTTCAGCTTTCGGAAAAACCTCGTGCCCTCTCGGAAAAACTTTTGGCCGGAATTTCCGTAGCTCATGACATTGTATTTTCAGATCACCACTTCATGTGATTTGGTTTGAACTCACTAACATGTGTCTATACAAAAACCTTCGCAGTTGTGGCTCCCATAGTATTGGCAAACATAATCATCAGTTGAACCAGCCGGACTGGTAGAAATAGTCATCGATCTGATCGTTTGTAGAATTATATATGTACGAGCTTTCGGGTTTACCAGAATTGTAAAGTTGCTCGACATCGAAAGTAAGCAGGTTGCCCTTCAATAGCTTGGCAAGACACTGGAAATGATAGATACAGTTCCACTCATCGCTTCGCTGAATAGCGAGAACGAAGTACATCTTCTGGTTGGCACGCACTCTCTAAATCTCACGGTCAATAGGGCACGCGCCATTGTAGAAAGCGGAGCTTTTGCAACAATCGTGGGTCCTTCTAAAAGCTCTGACGTCGAAGTGTTACGCAAGAGATTCGCCGGCGAATCTCGAGTATCAGTGCTGGAGAACGCTTTTGAGCTGCAGCATCTGATGACTCTGGGACGGCCAATCGTAGCTAAGATTGTTGATCGTGTTTTTGTGAGTCTCGCCCACGAGCAGGCACTTGTGATGCAAGACATTTACCAACAGTGCGTCAAGCTTCGAATTCCTATCAATACTTCCCAAAGGCCGGAGTTTTCAACTTTCAGTCCTATCTCCACTTTTACAGACCCTGCCCAGAGCGGTCTGCAAATCGCTGTGACCACCAACGGGCAGGGTTGTCTCTTGGCTAACCGCATCAAGCGTGAAATTGTGTCGAATCTGCCCGCTAATATTTCACAAGCTGTCATCAACATGGGTAATCTACGAGACCGTATCATAAACGAAGACAATACCAGTCTAATTTCAGGCTACTATCTCAACAAAGACTTGCAAGACTTAGGATATGGTGTTGATGAAGATAACTGGGACAGTCACAGGTTAAACAAACTTGTTCACGAATTTGGGATGAGTGAGAACGAAAAAAAGTTGAAAAGATCCAGATGGCTATCTCAAATCATGCAGTACTATCCATTGACTCAGCTGGCCAACGTCTCCATTTCCCAATTGGCTGATAACTATATGAATTCCCAAGACAAGCCCGCTGAAAACAGTTCAATGCCACCTGGCGCCGACAATAGTCAGAAGGAGTTGGTGGAGCAAGATGGTACTCAAAACTCTCAAAGTAAGGTAGCACTTGCATCATCTCTTGGAAGATGTCGAAATAAAGAAAATGGTACCATTTCTCTTGTGGGTAGCGGTCCTGGTTCAGTTTCCATGTTGACACTAGGTGCTCTTCACGAGATTAAGACGGCTGATTTGATTTTGGCTGACAAACTGGTACCAGAAACTGTTCTGGCGCTGATACCAAAGGAAACCGAGACTTTCATCGCCAGAAAGTTCCCAGGAAATGCTGAAAGAGCGCAACAAGAGTTACTAGAAAAGGGTCTGGCCGGTCTACAAGAAGGCCGGAAAGTAGTAAGGCTCAAACAAGGTGACCCTTACATTTTCGGTAGGGGAGGTGAGGAGTTCTTATTTTTCTCCGAGCATGGATACGTCCCACAAGTACTGCCCGGGTTGAGTTCTTCTCTGACAGCAACAGTCGTATCTAAGATCCCAGCCACTCAGAGAGACGTGGCTGACCAAGTTCTTATTTGCACGGGTACTGGGCGTAAAGGGGCCTTGCCGCAAATCCCAGAGTATGTCGTTTCAAGGACCACGGTCTTTTTGATGGCTCTACACAGATCTGATGTTCTGATAGGAGCACTTTTAAAGCAGAATTGGGATCCGGAAGTACCAGCCGCCATCATTGAGCGTGCGTCATGCCCCGATCAAAGAATTACTAGAACTTTACTGAAGTATGTGCCGGAAGTAGTCAACGAAATTGGATCTCGTCCTCCAGGTCTTCTAGTTGTTGGCAGGGCCGTCGGAGCTTTGATAGACCCAAAACTTTTACAATTCAACGATAACTGCAAGTACTACATCGAGGAAGGTTTAGATTCCAGTGAGCCCCAACTAAATCTTGCTGAGCTCCTACAAACTTGTTCATAGACTGATATTTATTAATCGTAACGCATTTAGCATCATCACATGGTATGTAACGTTTCGATCGTGAGTGTACCTCAGAGCAATTCGACATTTAAAGAATCCTCTCATCATCTTCAAAAGGCTCTCCAAAAACTAATTTGCCAGTATGTTTGCGGCCCGTAGACAGACGGCATACTCATTCACTAGGCTTTTACGCTACTCAAGATCTCTTCACTCCGACATCGCATTTGCGTTCGACATTGATGGAGTTCTCTTGAGAAGTAAAGAACCAATTCCAGGAGCTTCAGAGGCTCTGAAATTGTGCCAAGAACACAAGATCCCGTTTATCTTGCTGACCAATGGCGGCGGAACTTTGGAAAACCAACGCACAGCTTTTATGTCTGATGCATTAAGATTGTCTCTATCACCATCCCAGATAATTCAAAGCCATACACCATTCAAGACCTTGGTCTCGAAGTTCAAAAAGGTTTTGGCAGTTGGGTCTCCAACTGTTAGAGATGTTGCCGAGACGTATGGTTTTGAAAAGGTGGTACATCCTATGGATATTGTTAGATATGAGCCAAGTATCGCACCTTTCTCTGGTACCACGAAAGACAAACTAATGGAAATTTCTAGGGAGATTCCGGGTCTCGACAAGGATCCATTCGAGGCTATCCTAGTTTTCAATGATCCTCGCGACTGGGGTGCTGACATTCAAATTATATTAGATATTTTGAATAGCGATTCCGGGATGCTAAACACGATGCGTCAACCCAACGAGTCGGATCTCGAGAAGCCCTCAGTCCCGATTTACTTTTCCAACAATGACTTGGTTTGGGCCAACCAGTACACGTTGAATCGGATAGGCCAAGGAGCTTTTCGCACCGTTATCGAGACCCTATATTCGGAACTAAATTCTGGAGCTAGATTGCAGAATACAATTATCGGCAAGCCTACAAAAGTCACCTATGATTTTGCGCATCATATCTTAATAAACTGGAGAGAAAAGCTGATCAAGGACACGAAAGAAGATATTCCTTTACCAAGCCTCGGGGTCGCCCCAGAAACTTCTCCATTTCGGAAAGTATTTATGGTTGGGGACAACCCTGCAAGTGACATTATCGGCGCTCACAATTACGGCTGGTCCACATGTTTGGTTCGCACTGGGGTCTATCGAGACGGCGATCCTTTGCCATGCAAACCTACAATGATTTGCGATGATGCTCTAAGCGCAGTGCGCCGTGCTATAGAGACCTGTGACTAATTCCCGAAATTGACTTATTATGATAGAGTATACAAGGTATTTTCTGGCCGATAGAAGAGCCATAGCACAAGCCCTGCTGATGCGAATATGTACTTATGAACTGTTCATATTTGAATTTTTGATACTATTGTTTGTTCTGCGGCCAGCTTTTCCGCGTTACGCTGGTGCATTTGCTCCTTACAAGACTTCAAGCCCTGGCAAGAGTGGTTTTCCATGATTCGGTGCCGCGAGCAGAAGTGTCCCTGACAAAACTGGCAATCGCCTATGAATTTAAGAGCCGTAGACCCGCACTTCTCGTAATAGCACCGATCCTTCTTTTTCTTCTTAGTGCCTGCCTTCTTAGAGACTCGGCTCAACGAGATGCTTGTAACTAGCCCACTGCCGTTTTCATCCTGCTGTTCTCCGCTGGTGTTTGATGTTTTTTGTTGTAGGTCTCTTGACTGGGTCTGACTAAGTTCCGACATCCTATGCTATTCTAAACTGCTATTTTGCAAGGACGTTCTGTTATCAACCACAGGCTAACAAGTGTGCCTGTGTTTCTCACTTTTCTTGTAAAAGGATCGCAAAGCAAGTTTAGAACGGTTATCTCTTAGTCAGTGGCTTTTATACTTGTCAAATAACGGGAAATACCGCCTCCTCCCTTGTTTTCCGATTAAGTGAGGTGACAAGAAAATGAATCACGAGCAGGTCGAAAATGAGCAACGGAGCAGGAAACTATTGCGGTATTGATGCGTACACTTAAGTATAATAGAATTTAATCACTTATCACATAATTACCAAGATGTTGTTTTAACAGCGGCCAGCAAACCTTGAACTGTTGCAGTAAATAATGGTATTTGTTTTTGATCGATTTTACCTGACTGCATAGAGCCAAAACAAAACGTTAAAGATGTCTCATTAGTGCAACAACTTGATAGCTCATTACTGAAAGATAGATTGTAGCCGAAAAGGTGTTCTTTGACTACGATGCCAGGGTTTGAAGTTTGTCGGTGGCAAATATAACAATGGTCACTATATACGCGAAATCAATGGTTCTCCTTGGTACACTCTCACTGATATTCACAAGCGAACGACAAATACTGGTCATTAAGGATACTCTATATTTTGCGCTTTCGGCAATTTGCATATTTTCAGGCCCTGTAACTTTTTTAGACTCTGCCGTTACCACCTGCTTATTAATAACTGTCACACCGTTCAGTTCTAATTACAACTAATCTCACTACCTGTATGCGATAACAGGTGTATCTGCGTTTTCAAAAGACAATCAAACTATGAATTATATATATATTACGTTAGGCCCATTTTCCAAATATCTCTTTCTACAAGTCGTCTGCTATACTGTCCAAGCTGATGGGCTGGCCGGGCTTGAATGCTGGCAATCCGAGGTAGGGACATCCGGAGCATCTGAAAGCATCCCCTAGGGAGCAAGAGCCACATCCGCCAACTTGTTTACCTTGAATGGTGAAGTCAATCTCAGATAATTCTTCTTCACCAAATTTTACCTCTTTGCCAAGAGCCTTATCCTGTGCGGCCCTGGTGGCATCCACCTCTTGCTCTTCTTGTTCCTTAAGGCCGCAGGTACAGTCTTTGCATGCCTTGCGCCTTCTACTCTTAGTTTTTGCACAAGCCACTACTGTTATAACATTTTTCTCGCCCTCTTGGACTAAGTCGTTTTCATCAATAGACTCGGCCGATTCGTCGCCTCCCACATCATCGAAGAACTTAGATTTTGATACTGTGAGGTCGTCCGAGTCCTGGTCATCGTCGTCCAGCTCGTCAAGTTCTTCTGCCACCAGGCTGACGCGCGGAGATTCGGGTCTTTTGAAGGTGGGAAGAGGTTTAAAGTCTCGAGCGGTTGCTTTCTTGAATATTGGTAGCGGCTTTCTGACCGGGTTGTCAGTGCTCGTATGTTTCGATTTGAGAGCCACTGGGGAGACAGTGTCTTGAAGACCGGATTTTTTCACCCAGTGATAGTCTTGCGCTGTATTCACAATCTCAAGGCCGTTAATCAATGCGTCCAGTTTATAAATATCACTCAGGCCGTAAAACCTCCCGCCTTTTTTCAAACTCTGCGATAGCACGGAAATTAATTTTGTGGGAAACTGGATTTCCTGCGACTTCTCAGGCGTCAGGTAATATACCAAATCGTAGCTATCGTCTCTCAACGTTACGCTGCCATCGTTCAGTTTGTTAATCAAAAACTGGTCCAACGACGTCGAGTTCAGAAGTAGCGACGTTTGTTTCACTTTTTCCACCTTTTCCGGCGTTACAGTCACAGCTGGATGGATTAAAAGTAGACTGTTCTGTTCCTCCAGCATTTTCGTATCGACCTAATACCAAAGTAAAGCTTTTGAAGATCACTGGCTCTTCTTTTAGCTATGTAAAGTTCAAATTATGTATAATGCGATGAGCAAGCCATCAGAACTTGACTAATTTCTTATTCATTAATAAGATACCGGAAATTATAAATCGACAATTGCATCATCTGACACGGAATTGCATGTTCTGCGCAGTTGAACAATTATAGATACAAGGTGGAGAAGACAAAGCGGTTATAACACATGTATTAATGGTATTCAGATATTTCGAGGCATGAAGTCGTTGAGAGTGGTGTTCGCGAGGTTTCCCAATTAACTTGGAAGCGACAATGGCGTATAAAATGATATTCTGCGGGAGTAAGAGAGACAGCAGTTTCCAAGTCTTACCGAGATATTTGAGACGCTAGCTCTAGATTTGTGGAGCTCCGAGGTTGTACCTCCTTATTAAGTTTCTCGTCGACGTCGTCCTCGTCCTCGTCCTCGTCATCATCATCGTCTTCATCATCATCATCGTCTTCATCGTCATCGTCGTCATCATCTTCGTCGAGCGAGCGTTCCTCTTTTTGACGGGTGGTCTTGCTCTCATCGTCGTCGTCGTCGTCGTCGTCGTCGTCTTCATCATCGTCGTCATTCTCGTCGCCGTCCTTGGGGTAACCGCCCAATTTCATCACCACCTTGTCGACAATCTCATTGGCGTCCATCATGCCTCCCAATCCTATATCGCCGTGGATGCCCATCACTTTTTCCGAGGGCTTGAAAACTGTAATCCACGGCATCTCTTCTTTGATCATCTTGAGGTGTCGTTTTGTTATAGTGGAATTGTAACTGCTGCTCACCATTGAAGGTGCTAAAAATATCGGAAATGTCGGATTCCAAGCGCGAACAACACTCGTAAGCAAGTTGTCGCATAATCCTAGTGAAATCTTCGACAGTGTGTTTGCCGTCAATGGGGCCACCACCAATATATCGGCCCACCGACGTAGCTCAATGTGTAGCACAGGGTCCATTCGTTGTTTCCATACGTCCCATTCGTCTTGGTCTGTCCATACTTGGATATGAGCGGGCAACTCGATCTTTAAAGCTGCACCAGCAGCAAGTCCATTGGAGTTGCCCGGTACATTAATATTGTGATTATGTGCTGCAGCGCAAGGGTTGCAAACAGGAGCCTTGGCAGCATTGAGTTCTGGCGAAAAGTTGCTCAAATGGTTGCCCGGGACTGCCGTTTCTGAAACAGAACGAGACTCAGCTTTAGCAGGCCTCTTGGATTTATTGGTAAAGAACTGAGCTGCAGCTTGCGTCAGAATCAATTGAATAGATATTATATCTCTGCCGTAAATTTCCTCTAGTTTTTTGATCATCGCCTTAATCTTCAAGACGGAAAGTGACCCAGTGGCTCCGAAAAGAACATGTAGCTTGCCATCATCCTGAGGAAGTCTTGGCTCAGAATTTTTGCCAGCCTCTCGCTTAGGAATGTTGGGAGCAATTTCATGAAAATTAGACAGTTGGTCCAGAGGTGTTTCGGCATTCGCTTCCTCCTCCAAAATCGTCGGTTCTTGTTGTCTAGACACCAAGTCTTGCTTCTTCTCTCCCAGCTGGAATGAAGTATTGTTGGAACTGTTAAAAGGCATAGGGCTCGAACTATTAGATCTGGACTAGAAATTAGGTGAATGCAAGACGTCGTCCACAACAAAATGCGCATGTTCGTCTTTAACATCACGTTTGGACTCATTTTCAGATGTCACAGGAGTAGTCCTAGAAGTTTCTTCACCTGCGGTACTGTGTTCATTTGAGTTAGAGTTGGAACCCGAGTTGTGATGCAACAAGTCTGCTGAGTGCAAAAGCTTCGACATTATGTTAGTTTTCTTGGTCTCAGGACGACCCATGTTATGAGCAGAGTTATGGTGCTGTTGAGAGGCACCAGAATCAGTGCTCATTAACGGAGGCGGTGGGGATGGGTTTTTCAAGCTTGTTGGAGAGGTAGTGGCTCTCAGCTGGGGACTAGCACCTTCCAGGTTTTTTTCTGGCTCATCGACTCCGCCCGGCTTCACCTGCTGGCTTGCAGAATTGTTAACGGCTTGCTGTTTTAGAGATAAATGTCTTGAATCGCTGAAAGTCACGGTAGGTACTCTTTTGAGGCCAGGCTCTGGCGTATTGCTAACGACGGCTCCAGAGGTTCCGGATACGTTCATGATAGACTTCGTTGCACACCCACCAGGACTCGCACTCCCTTGTGGGACCGGGAAGGAGTTCGACGCAACACCTGCGGTCGGCACTCCCATCGAACCATCTGGGTTTGCTTTACTAGCTGCATTTGAGAACCTGGGAGAAACTATTCCCGGCATTTTGCCGCTATTAGTATTTGACCCACTCATCGCGGTAAATGTTTGAGCTAGGTAGTTGGTTCTAGAGGCTATATTAGAAGCTGATCGTTGGTATATGTCTCTGCTTCTGAATATTTCGCTGGCTAATAAGAGAGAATGTAAGCAAGAGGCAAATTGCGTGGGACGTGAACAGTGATAATAAAGAAAGTTTCAGCTGTTTGAATTAAATCGCAGTTTCAAGGGCCATCTTGAGCTTTCATCTAGAATAGGGCTATATTTATGCGACGAGCAAAGTATGATACTGGTGGATAATAATAATAAAGGCTCAGAAGACCATTCAAATTGACTAATATCGAATTGTTCGTATAAAGCTATTTAAGTGCGAGTTGAAACCCTGTCACCTTAGAAGGCTATCGAGAGTAACCAAGCTCATTTCCAACAGCACCAATAGTTCTTGACAAGTTCCCCGGCGTTCTGGCATTACCTACGTCTGTAGGATTTTATAAAAAATGCGCAAAGTTTTTCGAGCTTTTGCTGGCGTGGCAAGCTTATTGACATACCACATACATTCACCAATGTTTTGCCGCTACTTCTTCCTTCCTACACTGTTAGCGTGACGACCACGTCCCACCTTCACTGAATGATGCTTGAGGCCTGAAATTGCAAACGGAGAGATGTAATTATCAGCAGAACCTCCTCCAGTCCATTCGTTCAAAACTTTTTCATTGTGTCTGCGGGTCCAGTCCTCTTGCTTCAATGCTTTTTCGTATTCCTTCTGATCTTCTCTCAGGAGTTCGACGTCCTGGCCGTGTTTAATATGTACAAAACCCTTTTTACCAAAACGTTTTTGTGAGTTTTTCGACAACGGACTTGCTATGGAGTAACGGTTACCACGGTTGTTCCACTGAAAATTGGCCTTTAAGTGTGGGGTTATGTCACCCGTAGCGGCATCAACTGAAACGGCGCAACGCATCAACGTATTATTGCCACCACACGATGGACAAAAATGCTTCGACGTCCCATCTTTGGCAAGTGGGAAAATCTTGAAACAGGCATGGCATCTCAACATGTAGTTACGCAGTTTTTTGATCCTTAAGCCTGACAAAAAATTCATCAAGTTCAAATTCAATTGAAGTGCAACGTTTTGAACAGCGAAATCTCCTGTTGCCAATGCAACCTGGTTCTGAGGTAGTACCAAATGGTTCTCCGAAATGTGCCCGTTGAGATCTTCACGAACGTTTGATCCAGTGGTGTCTTCACCACTGTCTTTTATCATGGTCTCGGTCAAGTTTTCTGGGTTTATCCAATCGCCATCGTCATCGGAATCAAAGTCAGACGTAGCGTCTTGCGCCACATTTTCTTCGCTGGCCTCGTTTATTATTATATTCGCTTCTTCGGGCTGGGGCTCTTCTTTGGTTTGGGAGGTAACTACATCTGCTGTCGTCTCCAAGGTCTCTGTAGCCTCTGACTTGATAAATTCAGCCTCATTGTTCTCAACATTATGGCGCAGCAGTTGCTTTTCGCGCTGCTTCTTACCTCCTCTTCTGCGTTTCTTCTTACTTTTGTCCTTGTCTGTCGCACTTTCCGACTTAGTAGCTTCATTGACCTCCAGCTCTGCCACCGGTGCCAAATCATCGCCTGGCTTTTTACGCAGTCTCCAGTCGCCTTCATTCAATTCAGTTTCCAACTCGTAAGCCAAAGCAATGATGTGAATGTCATTAGCACTCAGAACTGAGTAATCACCTGTCAGCTTTGCAAAATCACCGACTCTTTTCACTGAATGTTCGCGAGGTTGACGCAGTTGTAAAGTGCCCAAGCTTCGCCATATCTCAAGGTTTTTCCTGGCTTGTTCATCTTTAATTTCCTGGAAAACTGTGGGAGTAGTATAGAACGCCTTGGCATAGTTCTGGTAGTGAGAATACGACTGTGTAATCAAAGGAGTTGCATCTAGCACCAGGCTATTAACATGCGCTACCGACGTTGCTGTCATGGGTATCTGGATGCTATGCTCTCTTGGCTTTACTGTGCTGCTCATCGCTAGCTCATCGGCTAAAATTTTCTCGTAAATTAAACAAAATTAATTTTGTACTAAATGAATGTGGATTTGGATTTGAATGGAATCGAAAAATCTAGACAAGGTTGAAGCTTTCACGTTAAACAAATATGGCAATGTTATTCGCATGATTTTTCAGCATATGCTGGTGATTATGTGGCTTTCGCGTTTGATAGTGCTGAACTTGTGAATGAGTTGTCCCATCGTTGCGACTAATTGATCTTTGTAAAAGGGTTGGCTTCTCAATCGTAGCTTGCAAGCCCAAAGAAAGAGATAAACACGAGTCAGTTTCGATGAAGTACAGCGTTATCTCTGCGATATCAAGTTGTGTTTCCAACCTGAGCAACAAAAGTAGCATAATGAAAGCAGTAAGGAGCCAGAGGCCGAAAATTAAACTAAAAACTCGTATGGAATGGCACTACTGAGAGCTTCCTAGCTTGGGTTTGTTTTGAAGCTGCGCAAGACAATGTAACACTCTTGCGTATGGTATTCTTGCTTTAATGTATCGCTTTTGCCCAAAGTGACTTTTGATATTTATTACCTAAAATTTGGAAATGCCCAGATATGGGTGAGAATTCTACAAGTTCTAATAATTTGTATTCTCGCATTCTGAATCGTAAGTTGCCTGTAATATGCCAATTGAAACAGATCTAAAAGCTGCGTACTCGTTATTATATGATGCGAAAGAGCCAGAACAGGCGCTAGAGCTCTACGAATCCATATTGAAACAGTCCTCGAGTAACTTTATAGCTCATATTTACAAAGCCGCGTGTCTGGAAAAGCTGTACTACGGGTTCAAAAGTTGGCACAGCGATGAGACCTTGGAAAACGCGTTAGATTTACTGAAAAAGGCCAAGGAAATAGCTGAAAGCCGAGGCGATCGAGCAAAATTGGCACTCGTCAATTTTAGGCTCTGTGTGCATTACTACAACCGCAAATTATATCCTGTGGCGAACACATTCTTCACCACTGCTCGTGAACTTGGATATGAAGACGCTGCAGTACCAATTTGGGAGGCTAATTTAGCTCAAAAGATCAAGAAGTGGGAACGCAAAAACGGTCCCATCGGTGCTAAAGACCTGAAGCCCCCAAGCATCGAGAAACTTGTACTATCGAGCAACACTACTCCATCTAGCTCAGCGAATATTTCCGAGACGCAGCCCGTAAAACCTATCTTCAAAACAGATTGGTATCAATCGGCGACCACAGTCACAATCTCACTTTTTACATCCTCACTTCCGCCTAACAAAGAGTCAGTCTCGGTAGAAATCTCGCCTGATTTGCTGAGTTTACAGGTGACATATCCAATTCAACAAACAGGCTCTGAATTTCAATTCTCTACAAAACTGTCCCATGAAGTTGACAGCCAGCAAATCCGCATAAGCGTGTTGACAAAGAAGCTCGAAATTTCTCTATTGAAGAAGCAAAAAATCCAATGGAAACAATTAGATGCCTATTGTGAAACAAGTAGGATGTCGACGTCCACTTTATCTGTAGCTCCAACTGCGAACGATAAATCTGCACATTCCTACCCATCATCTTCGAAAAAATCCACTGACTGGTCGAAAATTGATGCTGAAGACGAGGAAAAATCAGAATCAGCAGACGCTTTTTTCCAGCAGCTGTACTCCAACGCTGATCCTGACACTAGGCGTGCTATGATGAAATCATTTGTTGAAAGTAATGGTACCGCTCTAAATACCAACTGGGAAGAAGTCGAAAAAAAAGAAGTGGAGACAGTCGCACCGGAGGGCTCTGAATTGAAAAACTGGTAATGAACTTAAAAAATGCTGCAAAACTCCTTTAATAAAATTACTTATCATTGTACTGTTACATGCGTCCATTTGTTAGGTATACTCAAAATACATCCGTTTCCCAATTTACGCTAGAGGGAAGGTCGTCATTGCTTCCTTCCATACTATCGATTCTTGCTAATCTCTCACGTTTCCATATTGCAAAATTATCATCATCTGCCATAATGCTGGTGTCCTCTCCTTCCCCACTTTCTGTCACATTTGATTCAACATTCAATACAAACTTTCCCTCTGGTGATCTGCTTATTTTGTAAACTGAGTTATTGGTTTCTCTTTGAGGTGACTGCAATGTTGGAAAAGCACCCTCCACCACTTTTATTGGTGACTTGAGCGAATATAGTGGTGCCATATTTTCTTTGTCCCTACTTGCTGCTTTTTCTAACAGGGGTATCAAAGACATTTTGTCACTAGCTTCAGGCATTTTCTTGCCGAATTTTTTGGCCTTAAGTATATCCAACGTGTTCAACTTATTTGGTGAAATTTGTGTTAGCCCTTCTGGTATCATCATTCGAGTCTTTGGCTTCAAATTTGAGCTGAAAAAAGTACTCTCTCTTGGAAATGTAGCACTTCTTGTCAATGTCGGAATTTTTGTTGGGCTACTGCGCATAGAGTTTATTGACGGAATCTCATGCTCGACGTCGCGTATGGGGCTTGACATTCGTGTCGCTCTCATATATCGGTTGTATGAGGGTTTGGTGCTGCTCTGTTCGCTCGATAGTGACGTGTTTGTCGTTCCGCTAATGGAACTCTTCAAAGGTGTCCTTTGAACTGTTTTTCTATGACTTTTCGGCTGCGTCCGAGGTTGTGCTCGATCCTTTCTTGGGGATCGGTTGACGGGTGATATTTTAGGCTTAGTCGCTGCTGCCACACATCCGCTTTTGAAATTAGAATTTATTCTGCTTCTGGGATACTTGCTTATGATCTCCTGCTCCTGTTGAAGCACAGATTCTAAAAACCTGGCTCCCTCCAGCATGAATGGCTTTCCGGAGTCCTCTTCAAATGTAGTCAGCTTTTGCACTAGCTCTCGGATTACATTGGGAAAATGTCTTGTGATTCGTTTTCTTGTTTTCTCCTCTTCTAATAGGATTCTGTGAGAATTTCTGAGTAGCAGTCTCGAAGAGTCTCTACTGCTCTTTTCCAAGCTGAACTTGTCGCTTTGCAGTGACCGGAACTCGTCAATCAATTTTAAGAGTGGTTTGTATAAAGCATACTTTTTCTCGAGGTCTACAATCTCTACCTCACAAGTCTCCAAGACTTTCTCATCGTCTTCTAAAGTTTTAGATCGTTCAATCATGGTACTAAACATCTCTTTGAAGGCGGTCGTGTCTTTGCCCGAGAGATGCATTGCTGACCACAAATCTTGTATCTTATTCCAAGAGTCCTGAATGAGGTTTTTGATCAATTTCTTCTTCATCTCTTGTAGTCTGCTTAACTCCTCAGCATAATGTTTCAAAGCGGTTACCGACAAGTCGCTATTACTAGTTTCAAACTTGTTGATGTACGACTGAGGTATTTTTAGTTTTTCCCATAATTGATAGCAGTTTTGGACGTGTTTCTCTTTTTCCTGCTTGCGTTCTAGTTCAATGGTTCTGAATTTTCGACACACTTGGTCGAGCCTTTCCACAGTTGACGAGGAAACCTTGAATTTTTTGGCAGTATGAAGTTGCCTGCTTTTGTTGCCACAATCCATCGGGATCTGTCTTAAAATCTGCAGTGTTGGCTCATCTAGGTTCGTTTCTGCGTTCAAATCCAAAACTTTCAATAGTGAGAGGATGCTTTTCCCGATTGTGTGCAGTTTTTTTGTTCTAATCTCAAACTCTCTTTCAAACATAGAAGTGATGGTTTCAACTCGTTCCACCATTGTATCAGAAACATCATTGAAATTTATGGTGCTCAAAAGCGCCTGGCGGTGATTTATGATAAATTCGCAGGTCTTGTCAACATCGTGGTGCGCGGAGGATAAGCACGTCTTGTAATATTTGCAGGTTTCAAGAGGGGGTACAACTGAGAGTAGCTTATGGACATCCCATTCCTGTTCTACAGGCTCAAAATCGCCAATTGCTGATGCTACTGTCTTTAATTTGATGACACTGTCTAGGTAATTGTTCAACTTTGGAGTATAGGTTTTGATCACATAACTTTTAGCTTTGGTGATTGTCTTGCGTCTTGTTAGCAGGGAAGATTGTTTTCTGGGAGAGCTGGAGTTTTGTTCTCCGGAATTGACAATGACATTTCTTGTGTACAGATCTGGAATCGTGACAGTGCCCTTTGGGTCATTGATAACCTGTAGAATACGTTGTATGACTTGTTGTGAAACCTGGTTATCAGCAGTTATACTATCACGCTCCTGGTTCGCATGTTCAAAAAACCCAGTGATGGAGTCTGAGATGTGGTTAAAGATAAGTTTTTCCTTGTCCGATATCTCAGTGTTGGAATAACCAATTTCACGGTATATTACATTGAGTTCATCGAGCAACTTTTCCAGCTTACGACTGATGAGATTGAAATTCTCCTTGTAGGCAGTGTAGTTGGAGTTTTCGTCATTAATGGCGGGTGCCAGGCTCTCAGGACCGCGAGTTGGAGAAGTGAGATTCTTTATGTTCACTGGCGTTAGTCGCATGTATTCGGTGGCCTCAGAAGATAAGTTGTTGAAGAAGAGCGGACTTCTGACAGACGAGGCCGCAGTTGACGATGAATTGTGGGAAATACTGGCATGATGTGGAAATGTAGACTCTTGATGGTATATCTTTCTCGGTACGTGCGTCTCGTTCAGGTCTCGTAACTCCACCATCGGAAGCTCTGGATGTGGATTCTTGCGAAGTGCCATACCCATTAGCGCCCTTTTGGATGTGTTACTGATTTAGCAAGCATTTCCTAAAAGTGATTGTCTATTGATGGATGCGTTAGTGAAGTAGTTATTTTTGAGCTGTCACTGAGTGTTTACAAAATTCCCTAACTGGAGAAACGTAAACAAAACTGGGAAATCAGCAAAAGCTTATGAAAGTGAATTTAGGCTCTCATTGCGGGTTTAGTGGGGTGAAAGACTGCCAGCATTGTTAATAAGATTGAAGTTATAAAATATACAATGTTAAGCGTTATATGCTTAACCTCACGACAGAAGTTGAAGTCAGCGGGAAAAACTTTAAATCAACAGCTAATCTATAATCGTGAAAATGGGAAACAGAGTTGGGAGAACATCCACAATCTCATAATGCCTCTGAAAAGCAGTCTTATCTCCGTTTGCTATGTACCAAATTGACACCAATAACGTATACAGGGAACTATTCACTGGCGCCTGATTTGTGTACCTATTATATAGACCTTTTACAGAGCTATCACTAAGAACTCGTCCTTGTTAGCTCAGTTGGTAGAGCGTTCGGCTTTTAAGCGTTGCTTGCAAGGAACCGAAATGTCAGGGGTTCGAGCCCCCTATGAGGAGTTCTTATCTTTTTGGACTTTTAGTCCTCTTGCATCAAAGGCGTTGGCTATATTTTTCTAATGTTGCAATGAATGAAAGCTCATCGCGATCCTTCTTACGCTATAACAAAAAAGTACTAGCCCTCTAATGTCAACGTCTACTGATTTCGACGTCGAAGAGCCGCTCACAAGCTCGGTCAAACCACGTATGTTGAACAAATTAAGTGATTTTGAGTACCATACACATTGCTTTATGCTAACAAGTTATCTCTAATAGTAACCAATGCAACTATCACGGTGAGAGTTATCAAGTCGTTTCCCTATAGAAACGTCTAGAATATTGTGTTCAATGATTACAATTTGCTAGAGAAAAGCGCAAAGGACCTGCTGGAAGACTCTTTAGCGCATGTCAAAACCGCAGGCGGATTCAGAGCTTTCCGCAACGTGGACTTTGACGGGCTCAAAGTTTACACACATGCGCACGGATCAAAGACAGTCAACTTGGTCATAAATTTCGATCACGACGAGGACTGGAATCTGCAAGACATGGACAAAAAGTTGATAGACTATGGTATCGGCAATGAAACTGAGATTTCACTATTCAATAAACAAGCTTATCTGGAGTTCAAGTCTAACCCTGAGGAAAAATGGCTATGAACAAAGTCCAGATTAAACGATGTTCAAGTCAATTAAACCTTTTCTAACTCTCAGTCCAAAAAAAATAATTTAAAATATAACCAATAAAAGAACATAACTAACCAATGACTATAAACTATTGGCGCCAAAATAATGGCCGCCCGATGAATGACACAACTTTTCCAAAAAAGAACAGCAACGTGTTCAATCTTTTCTTTAGTGCGAGCTCAAAAAATCAACCAGCTGAGCGACAAATTGAAGTCCCGAAACGCTGTAAGGAGTCGCACCTTTTACGCCCTTTCGGGCCACAATGCCATCGTGAGCATTCAGCGATTTGATGTACAAGGGAATCCGAATCCACGACAGCTTGTTTAAATTTGTTAAGATGCTTTTCCGTTGATCATCAAAATTCAAAACGCCAAACTTGGGTTTTGATTTCGAATTCCAACTATTAGTATACTTTTTGATGAAATCCTCCCATGAAATATTTTCCTTGACAATAGTTTGCCCACTATCAGCGCCCAAACTGTCCTCTTGTTCACTTGCTATTGCCCCTACCGTGTCACGTAGTGAATCAGCAATCTTGTCTCTCAAACCTAATTTGCGTCGAATTAAGCTGCGACCTTCGCCTTGATGAAGAAGGTTTTGATAGTGGACGGTTGCCAAATAAGAGTAACATGTCCCTAGTACGTTGGCCACAAATATTAAGGGCAAAACAAACGTTAAAAAGCAGCATATCACGATTATGAACATCCAGCGCGTGTAGAAATGGCCTTCAGGAGGGGATCTTGAAGATGCTGGATCGAGCATGTTCATGTCTATGATACGAGGAACCATACACAAGTTTGTTCCCGGCAAGTTTCGCTCGAATTCGTACTTTATTTGATTTTCCGTTTCCAAAAATGGGTCGCAATCAGTGATGAACGAGGTGTAAAACGCTACAGTTCTGTCGTTCTTAACATTAGCAATGCATATTCGATGCTTAAAGCGGGACAGGCCCTCTAAATATTCCCCTTTGCTCAATCGAACGAGAATGGATTTTTCAGGTACGCCATCCTGAATGAACAATTGCCTGCCAGATCTGCCCAAAACCGTAGTCCCCAAAGCTGATAAAATCCTTGAAATGGCCTTATGATGGCTCGCGTGATGGTCTCTTACGTAAAAGTGGACCCCAAGATGTGGAGTAGCAAAAGTGATGAATAGCTGTGGCTCGATACCTTGAAATAGCTCATGGCACTCCGTGAACATCTTGCCAACGATGAATCTAGCGATAAGGCCGCCCATGGAGTAGCCCACAAAACTAATCTTGGTGATTTCTCCCTTTGGCCGAGTTTCAACGAATTGACATATCTCCAGAAGCGTTCGGTAACCCACTATTTCGATGCCGTCGAATGTTTTGAAGTAGCCGCTTTGCCGTGGAGAGAAGAATAAGGTGTTCTCCTTGTCGTGGAACGAATCTGCAAACACTTCGCGGATGGCGTTCATGTGCTTGTAATTACCCCATAGGCCATGCACTAGCACAAACAAGTGTTTTCCCATGCGGAAGCGTTATCTGTTGCTGGAGTGGGATTGCACAAGTGCGCTTTCAAGTGAAAGCTGGGAAGCTGCGCTAGAAAGAGCGGTGTAGATGAGAGCAGCACCGTGGGAATGCTTAGTTTAGTCGCTAAACAGGCTTGACAATCGTGAAACAGATACCAGTCTTAGGTGTTGCCAAGAATCAGTGCCGTAGTTTCTTAGACGATAAAAACGAAATGCAGAAGTGAGTAAGAACGTATGAAGACCACCAATCAATAGTGCCAGAAGCAGGTATTCGATCAACCGATAAACCAGTCTTTAATACCAATCTTCTTTCCTATTCTCCCTTATAAACCTAGCCACGCTGTATTGAAATTGTCGATTCTCTTGATATTGGAGAGTAGGTCGCGTTTCACGAGCGCGTAAATAATCTCAGCACCGTTTCCACCGTATCCTGGACGGATTCGAATGGCATCGGGGCCTGGAGTTTATGTAAATCATGTCTGTGAGCGAACTCTACTGTGGAGAGGGTTGTCTTGTACAACGCTTGAAATTCTGGATGAGTCTCTGGTATACCACGCAGCCGGAGCCCGCCGAGGATACAGCTAGCAGAAGTCTTGGTGAACTGGCGTCTGGAGTCTGCGATTCGTGAGTGTGTAGAAATTTGTGACCGATTCTGGAGCCGTTGGCGTTGTTTGCGGGCCACAATATGATCCAGCGCGTCCGGGGGTTCCTGCGCGGTGGATTTTGCAAGTTCTTTCAGTTGCAGATCCAGTTTCTGCTTGTAGGAGAAATCCAGAATCACGCAACGTATCTGGAAGGTCTGCGGCTCACTTTGTTGTGCGTAGAACATGCAAAAACTGTGCTTATACGAGGCCATGATGCCTCGATGAGCATGCCGTCTTTTCAACAGCTTTGACCGGAAATACGCCGCCGTTGTCGAACTGTCACTGCAGCATGCGTAGCAGCTTCTTCTCAGCACCCACAATGGCAACTTGCGGCGGTCGATGTAAGTTACCACTTTAGCATAACCTCCCATATCCGCTTCTGGCGCATCTGTACTAACCGCTTCCAGGTCCAAATCTAGAACAGTAGACCCGTCGCCCAAATCAAGCCTCATACCATTTTTAATGCTCATAGATCATTCAAATCAAAGTCATTGACTCACAAGAGCGTTATATCTGCTCCTAGCTTAATCTTTCAATGTCCTGGTTTAAATCTACGTATAAGAAATATAAAATAGAGTATAATTCTTATTTTCAAATGATTAATCTGAAAATTTGTCCGTTTGAGTTTTTAGGAAACCTGTAAAACAAGGGCTCTCAAAATTCGAAAAGTACTCAGGATCCACCAGTACCTATGCCTCTTCCTCCTTCGGCTCTGAACCAAAAGAGTAGCCGAGTTTATTCGGTTGCGAGAGTGTACCAAGACGCGTGTGCGAAGAGATCTCAAGAATACTGGGATTACGAACAAGGAGTGACCGTGGATTGGGGCAAGATCGACCATTACGAGATTGTCAATAAGATTGGACGCGGTAAGTACTCGGAGGTGTTTCGGGGCAAGAGCGTTGTGAACGACCAGTACTGTGTGATCAAAGTTTTGAAACCAGTAAAACTCAAGAAGATTTACCGTGAACTAAAGATTCTGACAAACTTGACTGGAGGACCCAACGTGATTGGACTGCTCGACATTGTTCAGGACTCCGGCTCCAAGATTCCCGCGCTGATTTTTGAAGAGGTGAAGAATGTCGATTTCCGCACGCTATATCCAAAATTCACTTTACCAGATCTCCAGTATTACTTCACGCAGCTGCTCGTAGCTCTGGATTACTGTCACTCCATGGGAATTATGCACCGCGATGTCAAGCCCCAGAATGTTATGATTGATCCGGTAGAGCGCAAGTTGAGACTCATTGATTGGGGGCTCGCCGAGTTTTACCATCCCGGTGTCGACTATAACGTTCGCGTAGCCTCTCGTTATCACAAAGGCCCTGAACTGCTGGTCAATCTAAACCAATATGACTACTCTTTAGATCTATGGTCAGTCGGATGTATGTTTGCTGCCATTGTGTTCAAGAAAGAGCCGTTTTTCAAAGGAAGCACTAATCCAGACCAGCTGGTCAAGATTGCGCGTGTTCTAGGGACCAACGAGCTGCTAGCGTATCTCCGCAAATACGGCCTCAAACTACCACAAGAATATGACAATATCATGAAAGATTTCCCTCGCAAGAACTGGACAGAGTTTATCACCCCGGATAACAATTTAGCTCAGCCGGCAGTTGTGGATTTGATCGACAAGCTTTTGAGATACGACCACCAAGAAAGACTAACGGCCCAGGAAACTTTGGCTCACAGCTTTTTCAAAACAGATTACAAAGAATGAATGAGCCAAGGGCTCTACAGGATTGCAATGAAGCCACTTGCAGAGATAGACCAGACACATGCTGCTAATAACGCGCGAGACATGTTGATTGATTGGAACACTAAGTGCTAGCTAGTCAATGTACATCATATTAAAACGGACTAGTATAAACCCGAGCCGAGCGTGATCTTAGCTGCATTAATTAAGGAATAGTTAGTGGTAATATAATCTTTATTCTTACACATCTTATGTTCATGGCATGCATACGGCGAGAAGAACAGGTCTGACTGTTCTATCCCCTGTTTAAAATTGTCATTATTTTTAAGTAAACTCCAAATCGAGGTCACTGTCGCTATCCCAAGTATCCGGGGAATAGTGTGAGTATTGTACGTGTTCTGGTTCGGATTCCAGATCCGACTCACAGTCCTGCAAATGAGCTTCGGTGTCATTAATGTGTATTTTGTGTTCGTAAAGTGATCCATAGGAATCTATGTCGCGCCGCAACACCTCATCATCAAAATGTAAGGCATGGCCGCGGCCGCGACGATCGTCAGAGTTCTGTCTGAGGCAAGGCTTGTGTGGAACGTGGTCAAAGATTGATGAGTCGCGAGATTCAAGCGACGACGAAAAGCACGTTGCGAGTTCTTCCACATCGGAATCCAGGTCACCGCCTCGTACATCTGACTTCGCGGTATGCTTGGATAACAATCCCCACGTCCCTATTTCCTTGTCGCAGTCTTCACCAAGCGACAAGTCCGGACCGTAGAGCACGGTGAAGTCTTGTTCTTTGTTCCAGTTGATGGCTCCGGGATCCATTTTTTTGGCTCCAAGTTTGAAATACGAAATGGACCATCGTCTCCACAAACAATGGTGTAGTCTTTTCACGTACATCTGATAATCGAATTCGTCTTCTGCAGAGCACGACGGGAGTCTCAGCAGCTTGTACTTCCCCATATGCAACAGCAAATTCCAGCTTTGCGGCATAGCCAGCGGGTGCTCGCTCGAAAAATCAAAGTGATAGTAGTCAACTGCTGGTCGCTGTAGGTCTGTGATATTCTCCAAAAGCATCATATTTTGTTTGATGAGCACGCAGTCATCGAGACTGGTTAGGTTACGACTAACCATTTTTTGGATACTTACTGAATAACTTGAAAACTATAAAACAACTCTAATACTTCAAATGCGTTTGAAGAACCAGCATTTATTGAAGGCTAGCAAAAGACTGAGTGTACTTTACAAAGTGTCACCTTGCTCATCAGGTTCTCTTTTATAATTTTCCGAATTAACATCTCGGCCCGGGGTGTCGAAAAAAAATGTGGGGTGCTTTTCCTCAAACGATATCCCGAAAAAAAGCGGAACTGAAAGGGCGCGATTAGCAGCAGCGGATTCAAGTCTTAAGATGGACTCAAGCACTGTCAGAAATTTTATATGCGGAGGAGGAGGTTTTTGACGCAGTGTTGCAACCACGATAGATTTAAATATTTTAGACAGACATTATAATTTGCGAGGTAATTATTGATTCTGGTCGCGGGACGCAGGCTTGAATGGGGGACAAGAGAGTACGTCCACAGGAGGGTACGGTGAGAACAGAATAGAAAGCACGACTCTCCGGCGGATAGCAAAAGTCTGAATTTCGTAGAGTACCATTAAGAAAACGGCACAGTCGCTATATACGAAGGAAACAGAAATGCGAATGAACCTGTTAGGCCTGGCGCGAGGGTCGTAAGCTGCCCTGGTCGTCGTGAAACATATCCTTATCGGTTGAGAACGAGCACCGGGGAAATGCTATGGGGATTGGACGGTCCTTGAAGACCAGGCTTCGCGGACCCAGCAGCTGCCGACCGGTCTGCAAAGTGGCCAGGCAGAGCATCACTGCCCATGAAGACTAAATATACAAGTTGTACTGCAGACTGCTCTGCTGATGGCCACGTCAAACATCACTGCACTCAATGGCCAAACATGCTAGTAACACTGCGAAACTGCTACCTCGAATGTCATCTCGGCAGCAATTGGTGATACATCGGAAAGTCTTGCCACAGAGACTTTGATAGCACGGAGAGAAATCGCCAAACTACTAGGCAGCAATCAAAGGTCCACATTTCCTGACATAAATCGCAGATACTGGATCACGAGGGTCTCGTATATCAACATACGAAACTTGTAATCCTTGAAACTTTCCGCAACCGCCTTCCGGTAACTTGAGCTGGCCCAGACTGACGTTATGAGCTCTTGATCAATGCTGCCTCCATCCCAACCATGCCTCTCGTGGTTACTCCCATGATTCCTCCTCATCACTATTTCAGCAAACTGTCATAGACGCATCAAAAATTTTTCAAAAATTTTTCACTGTAAAATTTTTCACTCAGTTAGCTCATCGAGTATATAAAGGTGGAAATCGAAAGTGCTCTGTGTTTGATACCCTCCAAGTTTTCTCTTTCTCGAATTCATCAACACAACTGAACAGAAATGTCTCACAGAAAGTACGAAGCACCACGTCACGGTCACTTGGGTTTTTTGCCCAGAAAGAGAGCCGAATCCATTAGAGGTAAGGTTAGATCTTTCCCAAAGGACGACAAGTCTAAGCCAGTCGCTTTGACCTCGTTCATGGGTTACAAGGCCGGTATGTCCACCATTGTCAGAGACTTGGACCGTCCAGGTTCCAAGTTCCACAAGCGTGAGATTGTCGAAGCCGTTACCGTCGTTGACACTCCACCAATGGTGGTTGTCGGTGTCGTGGGTTACGTCGAGACTCCAAGAGGTTTGAGATCCTTGACCACCGTCTGGGCTGAGCACTTGTCCGACGAGATCAAGAGAAGATTTTACAAGAACTGGTACAAGTCTAAGAAGAAGGCTTTCACCAAGTACTCTGCCAAATACGCTCAAGACGGCGCTGCCATCGAGAGAGAATTGGCCAGAATCAACAAGTACGCCACTGTTGTCAGAGTTTTGGCCCACACCCAGGTCAGAAAGACTCCATTGTCGCAAAAGAAGGCTCACTTGGCTGAGATCCAATTGAACGGTGGTTCCGTCGCTGACAAGACCGCCTGGGCTCGCGAACACTTCGAAAAGACCGTTTCCGTCGACTCTGTCTTCGAACAAAACGAGATGCTAGACGTCTGTGCCGTCACCAAGGGTCACGGTTTCGAAGGTGTTACCCACAGATGGGGTACCAAGAAGCTTCCAAGAAAGACTCACAGAGGTTTGAGAAAGGTCGCTTGTATCGGTGCTTGGCATCCAGCCCACGTTATGTGGACTGTTGCCAGAGCCGGTCAAAACGGTTTCCACACCAGAACTTCTATTAACCACAAGGTTTACAGAGTTGGTAAGGGTGACGATGAAGGTAACGCCTCCACCGGATTTGACAGAACCAAGAAGACCATCACCCCAATGGGTGGTTTCGTCCACTACGGTCCTATCAAGAACGACTTCGTCATGGTTAAGGGTTCTATCCCAGGTAACAGAAAGAGAATTGTTACTTTGAGAAAGTCCATGTACACCAACACCACCAGAAAGGCTTTGGAACAAGTTACCTTGAAGTGGATCGACACTGCCTCCAAGTTCGGTAAGGGTAGATTCCAAACTCCTGCTGAAAAGCACGCTTTCATGGGTACTTTGAAGAAGGACTTGTAAATTCGTGATTGAAAGGAAGAACACCTTCTCTTAATATCCTCGAATTTTCTCTTTGATCTTGGGTTTTCCTAAGCTTATATATCGCATAATAGTTTATGTTTTTACCCAAGTCATAGGTTCATAAATTTTTTCTTGTTTGCTTGTCGGTGGCACCTTTCGCTACAATACCACTTACCATTGGGAGCGCCAGTTAGTCCTACACATGTATAATGGAACCACTCTGTAGGGCATTTTAGATTATCACACGCAATCATTGCGCCATATGAGACCTCGCGACATACGCAGTAGACTGGTTCGCTTGAATGACTCGGTTTAAGATTTATCTTAATTTTCAAAGGTTCTTTGGGTTGGGACTTGGTCTGGGTCTTGGCAGATTTTGATTTTACCTCCAAAGTGCCCTCGTGTGCCTGATACCGGGCTTGAATGTCGGCCATTTCCTGCATTTCCTGGGTTTGGAATGTCATCCATTCATGATGCCGTAATATCTCTCTTTGAATGTTTTGGGCTTCTTTGACAGATTCTTGATCAGCAAAAGTGCGATCAGAATCTTCGCGCAGCTCCAGTCCCTGTATAGTCCACAGGCTTCGTATCAGGTCTGACGGTAGGTGATCGAGAGCGTCTAGAAATGTGTAGCGTACGTCCGTGTCCATAGCGATGACCAAAGTATGTGTGTGCGATTGCGCGAGAAGTTTGGATTTGGGGAACTCCGAGAAAAGAAAGATAAGTACAAGCAAGTAGTTTGCAGTTAACGAATGGGGTTTAACAGGGAAAAAACTGCTGTTGATGCTAACAAATTATGTTCGGTTCCATTTGGAACAATTCATAGCGATCTACAGTGCTGTGTTTTCGATAATTAACCCGTGAAAAATGAGGTACATCAGTTAGACACTCTAAAAAGCATAACGAAGCTAACTGAGCGGCTTGACAGTGAATGCTAAATGTGTCTATGGCGTGTAATTTTTGCTAGCGGATGGCAATTCTACTAGGATTTTTTGTAATGCCGCGCCTCAATGCCAGCGCGCTAGATAATTAGCTATTTACTTGAACAGTCTGGAGCTAATAAAGCCCTGTAAGACTCGCAAATGTTGAATTATCTGCATTTTATCCGGTCCCCGTATTTCCTTATGATACGATAAAAAGCTGCGGTTATTGGCCCCGAGCCCTTTTAGCGGAAAATATTAGAAAATATTAGAGAATTACGAACACAGAACGTGGAGTTTGTCTACTCTCAATAACAAGACAGAATTTTGGGTTAGCGAGGTAACCAACTTCTAGTGAAGGAGCATAAAACTGTTTCTCTTCCATTAGAACGTGGAATTACCCTAAAACGGCTTCAAAAGCAGAAGAAAGCACGGCTATGTGGAATCTCGAAGTTGCAGTCTAAGATTGTGTTATGCTCGTAGAAAATCCAAGAAACCAGTTTTTCAGATACTCATTGTGACAGGTTCCTCTCCTTATTTGCGCTGTAATTGTACGTGATCGTCTTTATCTACTATTCCCTCGAAGCCCCACTACAACAACTGGCGTACTTACCAGCCAGTAACATAAACGCATCCCGGTCCTCTTATCGTACCCCAGAAAAGCCCACAATGAGCATCTCTTACTATAGAAGTATAGTATGATGGCACCTCTGTGTATTACGAACCCTAAGTCATCACATACGAACATCCCGTCACTTCTTTACTCGCCGGGTGGCCTTTAGCACGTGTCAATATTTGGTTTGCCAACTACTCAGTTTTCTACCCGAATCTCTACTCAAAGCCGTATATAGCTACCAAAAAATTGAAGACTACTCATTATGCAGAAAATCTAACCAAATCGGGGAGTTCCAGACCGACCAGTCGGTTACCGCTTAGCTTTTTAGTAGCTGTACACTTTCGTTCATTCGCCAATTCTCCTCTTTCGTCAAATATTCGGCTCGTTTCGCTCTTGGCCAATCAAATGCGTGGAAATCTCTCTTCCTCACGTGCTACGACAGCGATAATACCGAGATGGCCAAAATAATTATTCTCACTCGTTGGCTTCTCAGCGAGCGAGAAAAAAGTTTTGATATCCATTATTACAACTAGGATATATCCAAGTGCTATTTCACAGTTTGTGAAATTGACTTTCTACTGAACCACGTATTGCAGAGGCCTCAGTATCCTAGATGTTCCGTTCTATGAGAAATGCCGTCAGAGGCAGTAACATGGTATGTTCGAAAATAGCAACACAGCAGGGTAGCTGGCGCCAATAGACGATAGATCTGATCCCACAGGACGTACTCTCCAAGCCATTGTGCTTGTCACGGACAAGGTGTGCGTGTGAGCCTGCCACAGGCAAACAGCGTGAGTTATACGCATTCAGGACCCGATATTATTGTCAACTTTGGTTCTACATTGTTCCTGTACTAACTTTCCCACACAGAGATCGTTCTCAACCGCAACAGGTGCGGTTTCTAACGGCTGGATCCGCCGCGCAGGCGTTGCGGGCGCCGTCGCGACTGGTGTCGCTGCGTCCGCCGCTCTTTACGCCGACTCGCTCACGGCTGATGCCATGACCGCAGCCGAGCACGGTCTGCATCCACCTGCCTTCGGATGGTCTCACAACGGTCCATTGGAGACTTTCGACCACGCTTCCATCAGAAGAGGTTACCAAGTGTACCGTGAAGTGTGTGCCGCGTGCCACTCGCTCGAAAGAGTCGCCTGGCGTACGTTGGTTGGTGTTTCCCACACCAACCAAGAAGTGCGTGAAATGGCCGAAGAATTCGAGTACGACGACGAGCCTGATGAGCAAGGTAACCCTAAGAAGCGTACTGGTAAGCTCGCTGATTATATCCCAAGCCCTTACCCCAACGAGCAGGCTGCCCGTGCCGCTAACCAAGGTGCTTTGCCTCCCGATCTTTCTTTGATCGTCAAAGCTAGACACGGTGCTTGCGACTACATTTTCGCCCTGCTTACCGGTTACCCAGACGACCCACCCGCCGGTGTTGTCTTGCCTCCTGGATCCAACTACAACCCATACTTCCCAGGTGGTTCCATTGCCATGGCCCGTGTTTTGTTTGATGATTTGGTCGAATACGAAGACGGAACCCCAGCTACCTCTACTCAAATGGCTAAGGACGTCACCACCTTCTTGAACTGGTGTTCCGAACCTGAACACGACGAAAGAAAGAGATTGGGTCTAAAGGCTATCATTGTATTGTCCTCGTTGTACTTGCTCTCCGTGTGGGTCAAGAAGTTCAAGTGGGCCGGTATCAAAAACAGAAAATACGTGTTCAACCCTCCCAAGAAATAAGTGAGAGATCCCACCACGTTTGAAGGGATCTGATTATTACATTTACCGCCTCCTTCCTCACGTCGCTTAAACGCCAACACCCAGCATTACGTCTTATGAGAACTTTGAGAAACAAGTAAGGAGAGAGAGAGAGAGATAAAGAGAAAACAAGTTTGTCGAAGTTGTAGCAAGTTGAGAACCCACAAAAAAAAAAGAAGACGAGGAGAATCTCGATATTCTTCTGATATTTATAAATTCGAATTTCGAAACCACCGACACACACGCCATACACTAAACACTCCATCGCATTTCGATTTACTACTTCTGACCACTTTCTCCTCTCCATATTTTATTTAATATTATTATTATTATTATTATTATTTTTATTACTGTCACAGTAAATTGTTACTATCTCCAGCCAAGGGTAATGATTAGTGGATAGACGTGAAGTCGCCCGCTTGTTTTACATGACAAGATGTTGAGCTTTTGCAGAGCGCGTGAAAGTTCTCTTGAGCTATCGAGATTCAGTAGTGGCTTTTGGTTTTCCCCAATACAACACAAGTAAGTAAGTAAATCACAAAGAATAGCACTGCCTTGTACAGCTTCCAATAGCAATGAATCAAAAAGGTTGTGATCGCTGATTATTCGGTTCTTTTTAAGTGACAACAGTACACAAATTGGTAATGACAGCTTTATAAAACAATTATAAATTGTTACAAACTGCTTTAAATTAAACTTTGGCCGTCTTCGTGGGTAACAATCGGAGCACAAGCACTGTGTACTACCATGAGCAAAAGCACTATGAATTCTTATGAGGTTTCTGCTACTAATTATGAGTAGAGTGATGACTTATTAATGCTACCTTATTTCGTGTGTAAGGAGTTTTACGTAAAATTTAGCAAACGATCCCTAAGCGCTTTCGCAAACAAAAGTATAAAAAGCGATGGCATGTTCTTGAGCTGGGGCAATTGCCATTGATAATGCAACTCACTAGCAAAATTCACAATTAAGTATACCCATTCTACCATGTCTGACAATAAGAAATGGGCTAATGCCGAGGATGGCTCATTCAAGAGACAAGCTTCGTCGTTCAGAGACACAGTTTCACCTTCACACGCGATCTTCAAACCTGCCAAGGGTCGCTATTGGCTGTATGTGTCACTAGCGTGTCCCTGGGCTCATCGAACATTGATTACGAGGGCGCTCAAAGGGCTGACTTCCGTGATTGGCGTTTCCGTGGTTCATTGGAGCATGGACACCAAGGGTTGGCGGTTTTTGCCCTATGAAAGTGGTGCTGGCGCGGCCAACAAGTCGGACGACGTGTTTGGCCCAGCGTCAGGAATACCTTGTGTTCCCAAATCAAATCCTACCGCAGGAATAACGAACGACTCCGTAAGATACGGCATCGACGGCACTATCGACCACAATTATCATTTCAACCGGATCAGCGAGCTGTACTACAAAGCAAACCCGGACTACAATGCCAGATTTACAGTGCCCGTGCTGTGGGACTTAGAAACGGAAACAATTGTCAACAACGAGAGTTCAGAAATCATTCGGATTTTTAACAGCGGGGTCTTCGATGAGTTTACCGACTCCAAAGTCACACAGATTGACTTAGTTCCCAAGCAGCTTCAATCTCAAATTGACGAAATCAACTCTTGGGTTTACGATAACATCAATAATGGAGTTTACAAAAGCGGATTCGCAGAATCCCAGCAAGTGTACGAAAAGGAAGTGACTAATGTCTTCGACCATTTGCAGAAGTTAGAACACATTTTGAAAATAAATTACGACGCCGCTGTTAGCAAATACGGTGAAAAAGAGGCTCTTTCCAAGCTGTTTTTGATCAACGAGCAGCTGACCGAGGCGGATCTTAGACTTTACCCAACAATTGTACGTTTTGATCCTGTCTACGTTCAGCATTTCAAGTGCAATTTATCCACCATCAGAGACGGTTTTAAAATGATCGATCTGTGGTTAAGAAACCTGTACTGGAACAACGCGGCATTCCGTGAAACCACCAGTTTTGATCACATCAAACTTCACTACACCAGGAGTCATCCGAGAGTCAATCCCTTGGGACTCACTCCTCTAGGACCTATTCCTGTAATTTTACCTTTGTGAAAGGAAACGGTTTTCAATAAAAGTACGTAACTATGCTTCTCTATTTTTAAGACTTGTGTCGTGAGCTAGATGATTGAAAATATAGCGAGAAAGCAAATAAGAACTCGCATATTGGATTATAGTAGCCAATGTGCGAATTTTTCAATGCGACCGGGTTTGGCATTACATAGAACTCTGATCGAGTGTGGGGATCTGGTGTAGAAAGCACATTCAGCCAACCTAATCACCCCAGATGATTTCATCGCGCACGTTTCTTGTGTATCACTTTGTACTCCTTTGACACAATCTTGTAGAACAAGTTGTATCAACGGCTGAAATGCGTTTATATTAGCCGAAAGACGAGCCGCTGGATTTCTGGATGCCATGCTATCGCCATGTTATAGATGTTCACACGACACATGCCAAAATTCCTCATACTTGTAATTGTTCGATAGTATCACGATATCCTGAACCGCCAACATTCGCAATGGTTCCTTGTATCCAATCAATACATTATCCACTCACAACTAACAATGTCGCATTTATGGAGTCAATAACACTGCAACATGTCACAATTAAACTAAATGGAATATTTGAACATGAATCGTCGAGTCGCAGATTCTTGCACATCAACACGCACTCTGTACCGGCCCAAGTACAACAGACACCCGTCAGTACAAGCAGTGTACTACCATAAAAAGTGCTTTATCTTCATCACGAAACCGGTAAAACATGTGCGCTTTTTTTACGAGCATAATAAAGCCTTTCGATCGTCTTTTTGGGATCAAATTCATTAACAAAGAACGGGCCCGCAGATCTAGTACGCTGTATTAACTGAGAACTAAATCGTTGCTCTATCTGTTCACAATTTAGCGCCGGCGCGTTCTAAATTTACGCGTTATTCTATTTTCTCTTAAATTATGTGACGCGTCAAGATACTTCAAATTTTCACGCCATCAACCTCATCGGGAAAAGACAGGAAGAATCGGACCTCAAACAATTGTTACTTGCTGGAGGCCTCATTCCTTGCGTTGTGAATAGAGAAATAGTTCAGGAATTTAAATTTGAACTGTTCAAACTCTAAAGTTTGGTGCTACGTTGCTCTAAGTTTCAAAACTATTGATACTAATTTAGCCCAATTTGGTTCTAAGCGTAAGGCCGATTCGTCAGCCCAAGACAGATGACAGAGACCCAAGAAAGGAGGAAGAGAGGTAGACCGCCGCTCTTGAAAGAATATGCAGACCCCATGAAAAGTCCTATGGCGTTTTCGTCACTGCAAATGCAAAAGGTCACCGCCGCTACGTTCACCAAACCGTTGATGAAAGTCTCTGTGCTGGGGAACAAGGCTGCGCCGTCGCCCAAGAAAAGACGTAAAAACAGCACCGCTAGCGACTCCTCATCGCCCGGGTCAGTCAAGAAAAATCGCTACCGCGGGGTCATTCTGGCCACTCCCGTCAAACAGCAGCGGTTCCAACAGGGATCTTCGCCCTTAACTCCTGGAGACAATGTTTTCTCTTCGGAGCCTAGGCGACATCCGATTAGAAGCTCCCCGCTGGAGCCAGAATGCCAAATTTCTGACACCCCGCCGTCATTATCGCCAAACGGCCGCAAAGCTCACAGTCTTGACCAGACCAAATTCAACTTTTCTTTATGCGTTGGGAATGACGGCAAAGCTAGGATTGACGGGTCCCCGGCTGTTCTAACAAAACATTCGCATTCAGCGGGGTCTTCTGCTGGCCAAAAGTCGCCTTTGACCGGCTTCGATAAATCCATTGTGCTGGGACTTCTGAAGAAAATGAAAAGTAACCGTAAGGAGTTGTCGCCCAGCAGAAAGACTTCTGTCATTCGTCCAAGTGAGGTTTTCACCAACTTTCAACCCTCGTCGCCTAAACAGACGTCTAACTCACAACCAACACTTCCGTGGACTCCAAATTGCACTGCCGTATTTCAGCTGAGGACTGGATTCACTCCCAATAATGCCATAGATGAGGTATTGGGTCCGAACTCCAAACACCCAGAGTCTCTTTCTCACAAATCATTTGCTTCACGGTCGGACAGCGCAGTATTTAAGTTCTCGTCCGGGGATCCTTTACTAATGAACGATGATCCAAATACTGAGTTTTTCGTTTCCCACCAACCGACGAATCCTTCAGCGGAGTTTTTTTTTCAACAGCTTCTATCCTCACCTAGGAAGCCTTTAACGTACGCTAACGCACCGCCCTCCTTACTAACTGGAGGAACCTCTAAATTCTTGTCCAAGCAGGACACGCACAATCGTGCCATTGCTAACTCGCACGTGAATGAGGCTCAAAAGGTCCCGCGTGGGAAATATAACATTCCAACTACGCCGATCGCGGAAGGTAACTTCGAAAGTTCTATGTCCATTCAATGTACTCCCCTAATACAACAAACAATGACAGGATCTTTGAACAAACTTTTAGTTGATTCCTTCGGTCAAGGTGTTACACTAGATACGTCACCACCAAAGCCTTTAGAACAAGACGATGCAAGGTTGGCACTTCGAAAATTGATTGGCGGGTCCAATTAATTTTCTCACAGATCAAGGGACACTTGGAATATCCGGGCGCAGAACCCTAATATATGCTTTAATTTCTCTCAATATTATACCGAGGGCTGGGACTACTTTTATAGCAGTTGTATTTCTATACTATAACTCTCCATTATATTTGACATATTCATCGCATCACATCCAAAGCGGCTCATCGAAATTGTACAACCAGGACAACCCCACCCAAGAGCTCAAAACTCCTATCGAGCAGTAAATACTATATATCATTAGGCCTGCGAACTCAAATTTCTGTAGAACTGCGTATCTCCATTTTAAGGCCTCTAACAATTGGACTCCAAATACCATTGGCACAAGCATTACAATGTAAAACAATGCAAATCTATCAAAGAAGAAGACCCGTCGTTGAACACTGGAAGACATCTTGGTGACTTGTCTAAGTGCAAAAGAATAAATGATCATCCAGACCAAAGTGTAAAGTAATTTGAGTAAAAAGTCTTGAGACTCATGTAATAGAGGAAAGAGCGAAACGTAACCAGCAGAGACTAGTAAATGAAATGGCGTGAGAAGCCTTCTATCTGATGTGACCAGAAAGGAAAAAGGAATGATGACCAACATAATAGCCTTTTCATGAACATGCCAGCCGAACAGGAAAGAGGCAAATCCGCAAAGTGTGAGTGATCCAACAAACCTCTTGAAAGATGGACTAAACAATACTGGTATGACCGCTAGAATTTGGTAAAAGAGCGTAAGAAAGAATGTCAGCTTAGGTTGAATCTGAGGTAGAATCACGAAGTAAACGTCCTGAACCAAACCTTTCGTGCCGACATTGTATTGCTGAATTTTCCAGTTTATCTCCTCAATAGTCGCAGGAATCAAAGGAGGTGCGATAAACTGAGTCAGAAAACCATGGACGCAAGGAACTTTCAGAATGATCAAAGTTAAAACTTTGTCAAGCAAAGAATATAAAGCCCAAAAATTGGGGGCCCAGTATGCATGAGTTAGGCCTCTGGAAAAAGGAAAAAGCCTTTTTAATACTTGAGACCAATCTCTAACGAACGGAGCAAAACAGACAGCTAACACAGATAGCACAACGCTCCCCAACTTGAATAGATTTTTCCACTGAACGATCGAAATAAGGTCATTGTAGCTTTTAAATTGGAAATTGGAGAAATCCAGCACGTACACTCTCAAAAGGAACACGAAGAAACTTGGCGCTAAGTACAAGAAAATGTGCTTGAAGCACAAGGCAGTTGTGAAGAAAAAGCCACATAGCAGGTATCTTTGATGTTTAGCAGCGAGGATTGAAGCAATAAGAATGGCAAACAGAAATCCATTGTATTGGAAGTGGATGTGATCGATCATCAGAAATCCGGGTGATAGGACAATACTGCTGGCCACCACGAAATTTGCTGAACGCTCGGCCATTTGACTTTTATTTATGTATATTTGCAGCACCACAAATAGCATCACTTCACTGGCAATGACTGTAAGTCTCTGAAATAGAACAGTTGGAAAGCCAAACTTTCCGACGGCCACAATATCTAGACATCCATCCTCTCTTACTGCTTTGGAAACAAATTGCGACAAAATCCATTCGAAATATGCGAAGAAAGGTGGGTAATCCAGTGTCCATTGGCTTGTAGACTCGAAGTACCATTCTTTTAGTGGAAGCTTGTTGGTGATTGCCAGCCAATTGCGGTGAACATCAAAATCTGTACTAAAATAACCTGGAATCAAAAGTAGCTTCAGTAGCGTACAACTGACCCAGAAATTCCACAAAGAAAGCTTTGGGTTATTTCGATCTACCACAGCTGAAGCAGCCGGCTTTTTAGGTGCCTTTGCCATTCTGCTTGGCTATTTTTCTGAGAGTTCTTATATTTTGTCAGGATCATTTAATTAATAAATTAATTTCAAAGTCTTGTTCAACTTCCTTGGTATATAAAATGCATTGAGTTCAAGAAAACAAAACGATCAAAGACACAACAATTGATCACTTCAAAAATGGACTACGACGATGAGCTTGGAGCTTCAGTGTGGGATGATCAGAACAATGATTCAAACGTAAGAGACGGCGGCGAACTGGCGACAACATTCGCTACTTTAAGCGCAGGCAAAGGAGATCAGCTGGAGCATAGCGAATGGAATGATGACGCTGGAATAAAGCCACAAGCCGAGCCAATTGAATCAGAGGGCGACAAAAAAGATTTAATGCTGTCTTTGGCCCCCGAAGAAGATCCTTTGACTGGTTTATCAGTCCCTGAGCCGATGGTAACTTCGGAAAAGGGCGAAACCCTATTTGGAGACGTAAATACGTCTCCCTTGGAAGTAAGCGAAAACGATTCACAGAAATCAACAACAACCGAGGAAGTGTCCCCATTACGTAAACCGTACGCGAAGCCGCAAAAGCTTTTTTCTTCGGCGCGTCTGCGCCGTCATCCGCTCACGGAAGTTCAGAAGGCAGACCTTTTCGAAGATCCTTTGGCTTCGAACTCCGCTGACATCAAGGAAGATGAGTTTGTGGAGGAGTCTTTGGAATATGACGGTGCGCCAGAAGAGTCAAAGGATATCCTGCAACAGATGGAAGCGCCACTTTTCAAGATATCTCCCCGCAAAAACCTAAGCTCGACGCCATCAATTAAGAAAGTTGTCCAGAATGCTGGTGCAAATTCTCAATTTGACGTTGCTTCCATGGAGGCAGTGGAGATCAATACGCCGTGTTCAAATTACACCATTGAGGTAGTAGATCCATTAAAGGTTGGAGATCTTACGTTTGCGCACGTCGAATATACCATTTGTTCCAAAAGCGAGAAACTAAACCCTCCAGAAGTGCGCGTGCAAAGGCGCTATCGAGACTTTAGATGGCTCTACAGGCAGTTACAAAACAACCACTGGGGAAAAATTATTCCTCCTCCACCAGAGAAGCAAGCAGTGGGCAGGTTCAAAGACGATTTCATCGAAAGCAGAAAGCTTCAGATGGAGAGGATGCTCAACAAAATTGCACAAGATAAAGATTTGCAGGATGACGCGGACTTCATGATGTTTTTACAGAGTCAAAATTTTGGTCAAGATTCAAAGGTAAGAGAACATTTGACAGGTTCAAATGCGTCGAGCGATAGCAATGACATTTCTGAAATTCACATCAGTGCGATTGAGCTTCTTGGTCAAGAGGACGCCGTAAATGTGATGAAAAATGGTGGGCTCGACGAGTCTCAAAAGGGCTTCATGAACATTTCTTTCGCTTCTCTTCCAAAATATACCGAGTCCGATACGTTCTTTGTAGAACAAAAACAAGCAATAGACATTCTAGAAGAGCAGCTCAAGCAATTATGCAAGTCGCTGGAGATCGTGGACACCCAGAGAAACGATCTTGCATCTGTGACAGAGGAATTTGCCAATACGATCAAATCTTTAGAGGAACTCGAAGTTTCTAAAAAGGGCTCCGAAATTCTGGTCAATTTTGCGGATGTGCATCTGCGCATCAAAGAGTCGCTTCAAAGAAGTACAATGCAGGAGGCACTCACGCTAGGTGTCACAATCGATGAGTACATGAGGTCGTTAGGTAGCATAAGGGCTGTCTTTAATCAAAGGTCTAAATTAGGATATTACGCAGTAGTTGTGGAACATGATTTGTTGAAGAAGCGAACCCAGCTAGAAAGGAATAACCACAAGGGCCCATCAGATAAAGTAGAGGCTTTGAATAAAGATTCGCGAGTTTTGGAGGACAGGCACTATAAGATTAAAACAAAATGGCAAGAAATTGGTGCTACCATAAGGAAAGAGTTGCGGAGGAACGACTTCGATAAAATGGTTGATTTCCGGAACAGCATAGAAATATTCTTGGAGTCCAGTATAGAAACGCAAAAAGAATGCATTGAACTTTGGGAAACATTCTATCAAAATAACCTATAGAAAATAAGATAGCTTTTGTGCTAAGATCAAAAATCTAACAATCTCTTCTGGTTCCGAGTGTGCTTACTATATAAGATCTTCCGTTTGACACCGTTCAGAAAACTGCTCTTCAGCGAAAACATTATTCAGAAGACCTAGTTTTGAAGTTTGTTCACCAATTTCATCGTAACCGACAATCATTCCATCGAACGCGAAACAGTATTCTTTAGCTTCGATCTTGATATTATTATCAACCTGAGGTAGTTTTGGATACCTTTGCGAGAAATGTGTTAATATCAGCTTATCGACCTTCATTTCGTTAGAAACTTGTATGGCCTCATTTATCGTACAGTGTCTTTTTTTAATAGCATCTTCTAGCAGTTCGTTGTCTAAAGTGGCTTCATGAATAAGAAGGTCTGAGTTTTGGCCAATTGTTTTAGCAAACTTTTCTATGTTGGGCCTAGTGTCCCCAGAATAAGAGACCTTGAACACGGAAGAGGAGTCAGATTTTGTGAAGAAAGTTATTGAGTTAGAGTAAGCCCAATCGCAGTGTTTGGCCCGACAAGTTTGGAATGTGAGTATTTTGAGGTCCCGATACATCTGCATTATGGTGTCTTTATCCCTGAACGACGACGCATCATCATATTCAAGACGCCTTTTCTTTATCTTTGGTTCACTCTTAGTTATAAAGCCATCGAACGGAACGGGTTTGAATTCCTTTCTCACAAAACCGCCTTCGATTAGATGTTCGCAACTGACGTACCGGATCCTCTCCACGATTTCTTTGTTTTCTAACGATAACCATTCTTCCAAGAAAATATTGTATTGCCACGGTACGACAACGTAGATGACAGCACTGGGATTTAAGGCATTATGTTTGTACCACTCTGAGAGTAGACTTGCAATACCAAGATGATGATCGGCATGTAAATGACTCAAATAAATCAAGTTCAAATTTTGAAATAGGGCCGGGAGTTCTACTTCTGGTATTGTCCTCTTAATGGATCCCAAAGTGTTTTCTCCTGCATCTAGAAGAACGTTTCTATTGTAATACTTTCCATTAGAGCCATAGGGAATTTTCAACAAGGTAGAAATTACATTTCTGTACTTTGAAGGTAACGAACTACCGGTGCCTAGTGTTATAACTTCTACCTTACCCTTCTTTCTATCGGCATCGAAATTGTTCACATGCCGCTGGTTTTGGACCACAGATTCGTAAGTCGCTCCCGCAATTTTCAACGGCGTAATATGTTTATCGAAAACCTTTGACCACGGGAGCATTGGTTTAAAGTTTTCTTGATGCTGTATTTTGAGATTTTCTTCACCCGCAGTGAAAGGCTCAATGACGACACCTTCATTTTGCAGCATAATGTGAACTCTATCCTTATTGATGGTGGAACTTAGGGGATGATCGCACTGCTGAACGACAGAGGTGCCTTTTGGCAAACTTTTATCAAAGCAGTCATAAAACTCTCTTGAGAAAACTCTGTTGGATAGTGGCAGATTATAATTTTTGGGTTGTATAGCCTTTAGCTTCAAAGTCGTAACAGCAGAGCTTTGAAAAACAATTGAATTTGGACAGATTTTAGAGTGCGAGACAAAGTGCTGTGTGTTTGCAGTGTCCAGCAACTCCATGAGTGCTATTACAGACTCATTTATAGTAACTTTATCGCCCAAAAAGTAGTAAACTACGCCAAGTGAGTTTTTATCGTATTTTTGAAACTTGGAGTGAAATTGAGACAGATAGTCATCTGAAGGTATGTCTAGTATCAAAACTTTTGCGAAGTCTCTCTGTTTTTCGAGTACTTGAGCAGGTGTTACCACGGAACCATCTTCAAGTGTAACACTATTACCATTTGTGAGCTGAGCAAACAGTTTGCCCTTGGGGACACCAAGCTTCGTTGCTTCTTCCACCCTAAATTTGCCTCTGATGGGCTTTAACTGAATTTCGTAGCATGTAGATTGTCTAGGTAAACTATCTTCCCGGGGAAGCTCTACATTCATTTGGGGATCTGACGCAGGGTCATGGCGCATAGTGGGCTCATGCTGCGGAAACATCCTTGACACTATGTATTTGAGACCGTCGGTAAGTTTCTTGGACAAGGGCTGATGAGCAGCAGATGTTGCGTTTACTAAAATCGCCTGCACACGCAGAAGTTTGTTTTCAAATACGCATCCATCTTCGATAACACTAGTTTTTAAGTTCATTCCAAATCGAAAGACAAAGTACCTCCAAGTACTAACAACAAAGTTGACTATATCATGACCATAGAAAAGATTCATAGACTTGATCCCCTGATCAGATAGCGTCAGAATCATGCCGGGAAGACCTCCTATCGAATCCCAGCTCATCTGGCCGGTAAGAAAGATATGCTCCAGTTTGGACAGTCTAGTTTTGTTCTCTGGAAGCGTTCTCTGAGTTCCCTCTGGAATCTGACCAAACAGAAATCTCTCTCCATGCTCTGACTGCAGTAGAAGAAGCGGGTTACTCGTATCGACAGTCGGATGCGTTATATGCGTCAAAGTAAACATCGTTGCGATTCTCAGTGTTTCCTTTTGTTTCTCTTTACTAGACTTTTTAGAATGATCTATCCTGATAAATTTGGAATAGGGAGCTTCAAACAAAATGTTGTGCCGCTGTCCCAACGCTTTCTTAGCTCCACGATACAACAACACTTTGAAGGAAGTGAAAGGGCTAGGGCGCTCGAAGTGCTTACTTTGCAATTTAGTCTTTCTGTATGTACTGAGCTCATCGATTCTTCAGTGCTTCAACAGAAAAAAAGAACAATGTTTAGCCAAATCTTCATAGACGAATGAGTCGAGAAAAGCTAATATCAACGCCAGTGGGACGTGGCATCCTTGTAGAGTGATTGCCAGATGTAAGCTTCACTCAAGAGAAGCTCTATATCACTCTCTGACCAAGATTTTGTAGGAGGATTTTGTAGAAAAGTAATGGTTTCTTGAAAATCCATATTAATGAGCTGATCACTGAACTTCACCAGAAATGCTGCGCAAACGAAAACGTGGAACTCACTTAGCGAGGTCTGATGCGAAGTAAGTACAGCGCTATGCTTGCCTTGCAGATTAGTTGAGGATGACACCTCCCGAAATGCACCAACCGGCGAGCTCTGCAAAGACGTGTCTGACGCTACCGTCATCGAAGAACCTTCTGCTGCGGCAGATGATGTCGACTCTAATGAGGTTTCTGATAGGTAAGTATCCCACATTCGAATTACCATGGACATACTAAATTCTCTCATCAGTAAACAGTTCATCCAGCGGAAAGCAAATTGAATAAATTCTACGTTCTCATGGACAAAATGCTCGTGCAGATCGGAATCAATTCTCTTAACCAGCTGGCCTAAATTCTTGACTTGTTTGAGAATTCCCGGTTGTCCGTGAATGTAATTGTCTGTAATTTGCTCTAACAACTTTGTGAGACACCAAAACGAATCAGCTTCGACTTCTACCAATTGTTCATACGTCAAATAAGTATCGGGACTAATGTTGCCAACATCGTCCTTTTGGCCAGCCTGTAGGTACTCGGTCAGAAACGTCTGAAAAAATGGTGTCACCAAATCGTTGATACCTTGGACGTAGCCGCTCGCCGGATGCCGAATGGCCCAAAGATACAGAATTCTTTGCATGCTTTGTTGGACTAAAGGAAATTGGTACAACGGAATCAATGGATTAGTTCTTGGAATGTCGATCTCAATTTGATGCCACGTAGGTATATCTCGCGTGTGTTCCTTTGAGAAGACCAGCTCCACTCCGTCGCGATATTCCTGCCGCTTTCGCTGTAACAATGTATTCTGTCTCTTTATATTGGCGGGTGCGTATCCTATCAGTAGTCTCCAAACTCGCGGACGATGAATCATTGGAATTCCGTTCCAACTGAGGCGGCGTAACTCACTAAGATTGATTCGAGTAGCATTTGATGGATGTAAAATTTCATCGAACTTTGCTACGCGATGCATGAGTGAATTGAGTTCCTGCAATTCTCGCTCATTTTCTTGCTCGTACTGAGATTTGAGACCCGAGCTTTGGGTTTTATTAAGCTGTGGCAAGCTTGGGTACCCAGCAGATGGCGATCGAGAGTCAACGTGCTCTTTTTTCGAGCCCACACTTACAGGTGGTTTGAGCTCTATCCCTCCATTGGCCGTCATAGGAATAGGCGTGTTGTAATCGTCAATTACAGCACTCCAGTCTTCATCAAGATCAGTAAAGTACTTGTCACGTTTTTGGCTATGCGAATGCTGTTGTCTATCCTTTTGGGTGTTGCTATTACCAGAAGAGCTTTTCCGGAGTGGACTCATGTGAATGTGGCTAACACCACGACCATGATGGAGAGGAAGACTGTTTTGGCTGGAGGATCGGGCAAGAAAACGATGCGGTCTCTGAGAAGCCTCGTAGGTACTGCCTTCTGCATTTTCACCTGCGCTTTGACGTCTGGTTGAGTTAGATGATTTTAGCGTCTTCATAAGAGATCCCACCAGAGAAGGAGATGAAGTATTCGATTTTTGATACATTTCCCGTTGCGTAGGGGATGCATTGGTAGTGGTGGGTCTGACTCCCATGCTTAGTTTGATATACGCCCAGTTCTTGAATGTTAGAAATGGTTTTAACACTGGTCAACTGAAGTTTATTAGGTTGTGATCTTAGGTGATGCCAAGGATGTGGAATAGTTCAAGAGTACAAATGTATTCATATACCAAGTTTACCAGCTGTAACCAGTAATAAGACTCCCGGTGCTCAGTCTTGGCTGACCCCATCTACGAGAGTCATATTAGCATTCTATAGGTTAAGCGGCTTACCTTGTACTTCAAGTGAGCTGATCCTGGACAATTCATTGAAGCATTGACAATGGGGCGAGCTACGATAGATATTGAAGAGCTGTGAAGGGGAAATCGCCCAATCCGATGGGTGCCAATGTTGGATTGAGAGTATTTATGCGCTGCTCAAAGACCACTGTTCACAGATAGGCTCATCACTTCAGTACGCTTACTATAAGAACCCATGTCTAGAGAATATTGTCAAAAAAGTGAAGAACAGTCAGAGTAAGGGGCCTTAGTGAAAAAACCGGTTAGCGTACTTGATAAGAGCCGGTTACCTCGAGGACAAACAACATTGAGCGGCGAATAATGCAGTATACAGTGACAGGAAAATCGGCCAAAACTCGTGCTGATGACGAAAAAACACAATTGTTACTACCGAAAGCTTTAGCACCGAATAGTCGATGCTCTCTAAAGCGTTCTCGAATTGGAGCCTCAGAGATTGTGGTATTTTTGAAAACGACTGTCACCTTTCGAGCCAATATGACAAGGTAAAAAAGAGGGAAAAAAGGAGTACCGCAAAATTTGAAACGTTGCTGTGAGTTCTCAGAACACTAGAATCAATCAGAAACCCTCAGGTAGTCTCATGTTATAGTGATCGAGACCGGATCCGGGCTAGCCTGCGCGCTATGTTTTTGACGACCAGGGCAGGATAATGGAAATTGCAAGTGCCGAAACCTGCCAATTTGTGGAAGGTGGTGCGTCGCACATTTTGAGCGCATGTATCAATGGATCTAAGATTGTCAAAAAATAAATAATGTAGGTGACATACTGGCTTGCAACGCGCTTACGAGTTGCTTCGAAGCCAATCGATATTTTCAGTAAACCGAGTCTTCGGACGATTGGATACACAGAGACTTCGTTGTAACGTTAGTAGATGGGAATGTTTTATATTAAATTGTATATTTTATTTACAACGGTTAGACTTTGAGTGTTAAACATTATTACCCGATTCCCGACTAAGAAAAAATCTAGTAAATCTCTGGTATTGGTACTGACTCGTTCGGACAGCTTTAATTACATTAAATCAGGGAAAGCTTCTTCATTTAATTGAAAAAAATGTTATGGAAAACATGAAAACATCAAACTGATATATATATATATATATACATATACATTCCCAGCATCTAGCAAGACTCGTCTTATTGATCAAAATCTTTAGAATTTTCTAACAAGGTATCTCGATTGACTAACACATACCTGAACACCCCAAATGTCTGCCAAACCAGGACGTACTATTTTAGCATCTTCCATTTCAAAGACGTATGTTGACGAAATCAAGGCCAAGGTGGAATCGTTGAAGTCGATAAGGCCTAACGGTCCGCTACTGGTGGGCTTTCTGGCAAACAACGATCCAGCTGCCGAAATGTATGCCAATTGGACGGGCAAAACGTGCGAGTCGATGGGTTTCCGCTACGAACTTCGACGCGTGGAAGAGAAAGACTTTCTGGAAGAGACCATCATCGAAGCCAATCGGGATAAATCAGTCGACGGTATCATGGTGTATTTTCCTGTTTTTGGGAACGCTCAGGACCAATACCTGCAGCAAGTGGTAGCCCGTGAAAAGGACGTCGAGGGCCTAAATCACGTTTACTACCAGAACATGTATCACAATATTCGGTTTTTAGACGACGAGCAGCAGTTGAAATCCATTTTACCTTGCACACCTCTCGCTGTCGTGAAAATAATGGAGTACTTGAAAACTTACAACAATCTTTTGCCGGTCGGGAACAGACTCTACGGCAAGAGGTGTGTGGTGGTCAACCGGTCTGAAATTGTCGGAAGACCGCTTGCTGCTCTTCTAGCTAACGATGGTGCTGTTGTTTACTCAGTTGACGTAAATAACATACAGAAATTTACTCGCGGTGAAGGTTTGAAATTCCAGAAACATCAAGTTGAGGACTTGGGAGCTTTCTCCAACGAAGCTTTAAAGGAATGTTGTGCTGATGCCGATGTAATTATTACTGGTGTACCCTCTGAACAGTACAAATTTCCAACAGAGTTCATTAAGGAGGGCGCTGTGTGCATTAACTTTTCTTCTAGTAAGAACTTTGATGAATCTGTGAAAAGCAAGGCGTCTCTTTACGTACCAAGTACCGGTAAAGTCACTATCTCAATGTTGCTTAGAAACATGTTGAGGTTGGTTGAGAACAGGCAGAAACTGCAGCAACTTTAGAAGTTGTTGTGATGGGATAAAGGAACGATGCATCAATCAGGAAATAGATTTTACGACAAATAATAGAATACTTACATGCTATTGGAGGCTACTAATGTACAATTATATATTTATAGTGTAGAATTCTTGCCGTCGATCTATTTCTTGAACCTCTTGGCAGGAGGCTCCACATCGATATCTGTAGCGGTTACGAAGTCCTCGCCATAGCTTTCTTCCGCCCCACCTTGCAAATCTTTCTCGTCGTCATCCATGTAGTCTTCAGTTTCTGAATCTCCACGCGTTTGATCAAACTTTGGCTTTAAACCCTTCATCTTACGTGTTTGCAATTTACCGAGATCTTGTTTACCCATGTGGATTGTACCAAATTTATCACCCATATCATCGGACGATATGTTCTTGATTGTCCTTGGCTCCAATTGCTTGGCTCTCTTTAGGGCTTCCTTTTCTAATTCTGGCGATGGCGAGCGAATACGTCCAATTTTAAAGTCAAAACGAGGTCCAACTTCCTCTAGCTCGACACGAGGTAGTTTAGGACCGCCTTGCTCGCTCTTGTAGGTTTTTAGCTTGTAAACTCTAAATAGCACATTGGGTAGAGGTTCACCGTCTTCGAAGTCACCTTGAACAGTAACGGAAATCACATGCTGAAGCCCAGCAACGTCCTGCAAGTCACTTGTAGTGCCTCTAAAGAAGTCTAGGAACAAGGATTTGACTTGTTTATAGACAGGGTGTGTATCAAAAGCAGCACCTTGGAACGAGAACATTGGCTTCAGTCCTACTGCAAAAGTTTGCTTCTTAAAATCGGAAAGAAATTTGTAGTTCTCGGAAATTTGCATCTCAATCATATCGTAGACCTTGTAGCCAAAGGTGCGGACAAAAGTGAGATTGTTCTTCCGCTTCTTGGAGCTCGTGCTGAGCACAAGTAGCGAGCAGTCATTTTTTTCGCTAAAGAACTCTAATGGCTCGGCGTCTTCGAAAGGACGTACTTCGTTTCTCTTGTTGAAACGTTTCAAATCTGGTTTTTTTAGGGCCCCTAGATCCACCATAGCATCATGCAAAACCTGGTTGGAGCTCTTTCCCGTAACGAATAGCGCCTGCTTGGTATTTTCCACCATCTTAGGCTCTTTCTTGTCGAGAGCTCTTTTAGCTCTTGCATTTTTTGGTTTCCTGCAAGCTTGTTAGTCAAAAATGTCCACTAATAATGGAAGCAACACTGTCTTGCGTCCAAAAAACAGCTCATCAACTCTCACCAGTATTAAGCTAATGAAAAATTACATACACAGTCCTAATCATCTTTTATGCACTGATTAGTTCTAACTTTGATGTATCTTTTACTAGCTCATCGCCTATTCTTTCTTCTCTTTTCAACTGATGCGATGAGCTTTTTTCGTCAAAAATTTTTCAAATCCCAAGATGGCACTTTGCACGTTCGAATGTGATAAACACTTACTTAACAAATACTTGTAAAGGAGAGGTTGAGCTTGACATCGGAAGATAAAGTACTTCAAAAAGTGTCTATCAGCGTCATCGAGCTTAACCAATTTATTAGAATTGAATGTCACAGAAACCACTATTTCAACTAAGGAAGGAATTGGACGATTCTGGCGATGTCACTAGCGATGCCAACGTGACCCAGTCTTTCGCAGAACAGTTTGAAAGTACCAGCAATGTGGAGCCATCTGTAACCACTAATTTCACGAATAAGCTTGTTCTTACTGAAAATGCGAAATACACAGTTGCAAAACTCCCCGCAGAAATACCACGCCAACTGGAAAGTGAATCTATTGATGGATATGTGGATACGCTCTCTCAGAACGCAATTGTCAATGATAGTGATACCTTGTACATGTGGGAATTTGCAACAACACAGTTAAATCCAATGGTAACCCGCGTTCCTCTTCATGAAGACCACATTTCGCTCAGTTGTGTTCCCAAAATTATAGTTACGTGGCCTGCCGCTTTAGACGATGATCTAAATAGTGGAATGGCTGGCGTAGCTGCCGGAGCTGGTACTGCTGGCTCTACGATAGCTAACAACTGTGGAATTTGTATCGTAAATCGGAAATCTGGGCTGATTCAGTTTTACGAAGACGTCGATAGTATCAATAACCTTTCATCACGAATTTCCAGAACGAAGTGCCACGAGCTAACTTTAAGCCTTAAAGACACCGAGTTTGTCATGGATGTTGTCAACGCAGAACCTGCGGGCATTCTCATTTCAACTACCCGGGGTAGGCTTTTTTTTGTGACCATTCGAGATTTCATGGGCAAGCCACATCTCAACCTCAAACTCCAAATGATCAAATCACATTTGGCACTTTTCTTCTCTTCTCAAAAGCTAAAGAAAATTGTGTCCTTAAAGCCGGGACCAATCCTGGGCAAAGGTGAGCGGTTAGTTTCGGTTTTGACTAGCGGCGGCGATTTTCAAATATGGAATCTATCGGCTGTGGCTAACTGCTACAAGCGTGCCGAGTTCAATGTCTATGACCAAATTCTGGAGTCGCTCAAGGATCTATACCCCTGCGCTTACAATTCACTGATGCTTCTAGATTCTCATCCACTAAGCGATGATAACTCGGCTCATATGATACTCTCTTCAATTACTGACTATGACGGTGCTTCTTACTACATTTTAACAACCATAAAGCTAGACGAACAAACCAATGGGTTCATAATATTCTCCACTTATAGGTTAAACACTTATACATCGGCCTCGCAAGAATCAAATCCACCAAGATTATTGGTACCAATGGGTGCTGAACAAGATACGACCGCCATAACTTCAGTTTACACCGTCTTCCATAATGCTGTGGTGCTTACTCAAGTTAGTGCAAAGCTTGACCAAACATACTCGTTGAGACGAAAATGGGAGGATATCATAAGTTTCCGCGAGGATGCTGAGATTTTCGGTCAGGGTATGGACTCTCGCTCCATATACTTGATGAGCAGAAAAATGGGCGTTTTAATGATAACCGCATCTCTGGCTGTGAAATCTAATGATTTGCAAGAAACAAGATTCATTAAGTCACACATTGACCAAGCAGTATATTTTTCGAACCTACCATGTACACCCATAGATTTCAATCTCCCCCTCAACATTTCATTGGAAAGGGAAGAAATTGAAGAGGATCTACTGGCTTCTGGTGAGGAAATTCTGCTGTCTAAATCCATTTACATTCCACCAAATTTGAAATCGGTCGAAAGACACTTAAGTTTGCGCGTGGAGCTTTTCAAAAAGCTTCTCAACTTTACGAAATTTAACTTTCTCCATAAGATATCGCCCGCAGTCAAAATACAATTAATCGAATCTCTTGAAGTTCTGAACACTGCGTTGGGGCTGTTGACTTATATCAGGAACTCTCAACCTTTGAGTGAATGCTGGCAGCATGTCATGCAATCCAATAAGCTGGATGAAGATACTTTCTTGAAGCACGACCTTGATCGTTTCCCCAAAGTTTTCTCTCAATTCTTGGAAGAGGTACATGCTTCACTAATCCCATCGTCCACTTCGAATCTTTGGTCGCTGTGCGCTGAACTCGTTATTTCATGTCTTTTCAAGTGCACTTTGGAGGATGGTGAAGAATTCTACAGATTTGATATGTTTCAAATGGACAAAAATGAGCTTGGTGCATTTGCGCCATGGTATGTTCAAAATCAGTTTCCTGCACTCGTCAGCCAGCTTTTCGCGGGACTTTGCAATTATGCCAATCTATCGAAGGACAAAGTTCAACACTCAGAGCAGCTTCTTTCACTGGCCAAAATTCTGTATTACTTTTGCAACCAGGCATCATTGTGGTTTTTAGAAAATCCATCTCGTACTGCCTCAAAGGAATTTGAAGAAATATCCAAGCTTTACAGGGAAAACAGATCGTTTTGGAATCAGACTCTATGCGCTTTTGATAAAAAACTAGATTCCTTAGAGATCAGCGAGTTTTACGAAGACCTGCCGTCACTTGCGGAAACCTTGAGCACTCTACCCACTGAAACCTCTGAGGATCTCTACATGCAGTACTTTGAAAAATTTGGGTACAGCTTCGCGGTAGAGGTTTTTAGCAATTTTATCGCTCATGGTAAACTCCAGGATCTATACGAAAGATTCCCCAAGCAACACGAACTGCTGAGGCACTTTTTTGATCAAAATCCTCAGTTTGGGGAAGTCGGGTGGATGTGCAAAGTTTTTGACGAACGATACGACGATGCGTCAGCTATCCTTGTTGAGATAACTACTAAACAGACCAACAGCTCTAATGAGTTGGGTGTGGACCAAACAAGGTTGAGTATCGCCAAATTGTGCATTTTGGCCGACAAGAATGCCACGGACTTTGACCGACTAACAACCATTCAGGCCGAACTGGATGTTATTGATGGACAAAAGGATTTGAGAGCAATGATAGAAGATGGAGCAAAGCAAAATAGGAAGCAAGAATCCTCACATGCCCTCCAAAAACTATTTGGGGTACTTAATGAAAAAATAGCTCTTTCGCAAAGATTGGAGCTCTCCGAGGTGGTTGAAATGTATACCCTTTTGGAGAGTAAAGATTGCTTCTACAAAGCGGCTAAGATTGTGTCTTTGAATAAATCTTGCTTAGGCTTCGAAAACTATAAATTTTTGAATGCTATGATCTGGAGAAGGTGCGTACTATTTGACGATTGGACAGCACACGTTGAAGAGACAGACACGGCTTTATTTCACTCTTTGAGAAGATGTTTTGATGATAAATTGTTCGAGAAAGGATCCACGATTCCTGACCTGCCGCTCATTATGGATCAGACTCTCGTGACATCTGAGTATTTCGAAGCGGAGTACAAGTCTCTGGATGTTGATATTAACGGTTTATTGAATCAAGCACGGCTAGAACAAGCTGAGGTCAAATCGCTTGACGCTAGTTTTGAGACCACGATGAAGTCGATTATAGCATCGAGCAACGACTGCAGTACTCACAAATGTGTCATAAACTATGAAACGGGTCAAGTCGAGGAGGCAGGAAGGTAATATAGATGCCCATTTCTACGTAAATATAGACAACAATACACAAGTTTGTCGAGCGCCAGGCACAACAAGTACTTCTAGGATTTTTGGATGCTGAACCATCAATTTAGCCCCCCCGAATCTTGATCATTATCCACCTTGACTCGTACAAGAGTCTCGGGCAAGGGCGCTTCTTTAAGATCCTGCGGCGTGGTGGGCTTCTTTTTCGAAACGTTATTTTCTTGGTCCCAAACTCCAACTTCGTAATCCCGCTCCGAATATTGTAGTAGGCTGAGACTTGCCTGAGAGATTGACCTGATTATTGAATCCCAGTTGCTCATCACATTTGCAACGCTCTCGGCGTTTTCGTGCATTTTTGTCACTTCAACCGCAAGAGAATCCAACTGCTGCCGCATCGAAGCAGTTAACGCGTTGATTTTCTTCAGAGCTTCAAGCTCTTTTTGCTTCGCTGCAATATCTCTCTCCAGTGTCATCCCAGCGTTAAACTGCTCTTATAGAATAATGCAAATCAAGAACTCCATGCAAATGAAGAGATCAGCTTAAATTTATCTTCTCGAAAGGCTTGCAGAAAGCTGGTGGTTCAAAGATATATGTACGCTGATACCAATCACTTACTGATCGCTTTATTTCAATAGTTGAGGTCCAATTCATGCCTTTCGGAATTCGAAAAACGTATCGTTTAGGATGACATCAACACTTCTTTGTGTGTTTGCAAGAAAGTGTAAACAAAAAAACAATATAAACAAATATATACCGTCATCTCGGCTATTGGACTAACCGCCTTTTAGAACTGCGAAAACGCTTTCAATTCAAGCCAATCAGAAGCCGATAGAGCTGTAGAAAGTGCGCCCTATCCTTTGAGATGGCGAAAACGGTACGAAAGCGCGTTTCCCGGGCGTCATCTAGCAATAGCTGGAAAGTTGACCACAATAAAACCAATAATAACGATAGAAATGACAACAACAAGACCAACGCTGTAGAAAGCGATATTCCAGCAATACAACAATTTCAGGACTTGATAGATATGCAAAAGAACGAGTTTGAAAGCGCCAGGGTCGGCTTGACACAGCAGAATGTGCAACTAGCGCGGTCCAACAGCGGCTTGATGGTCAGGATCCGAGAGATGGACAAATCTGTGAGTGAGCTTATTCAGGAAAATGTGGTGCTACGATCAAAATTGTCTGTGAAGGAACAGCAGTTCAAGGTGCGACTTACAGAAACTATACAAACCTTAGAGAGAGGGGTCTTTCAGCGTTTTGACGAAATGCTCCACATGTTTGCATCCACGCGCAGACGTGAAGGTCTGGGGGTGCCGTCCGACTCGCTTTCTCATCGATCTACACTGCTCAATGAGCCTCGATCTATTCTGAAGAGAAATAAGGCATCTCAAAATGGTCATAACTCAGCCGTTCCGAGGTCATCAACCACAACAATTGCATTTAATGAAAGCCATAACCAGGTTTTCTCACCAGAGCCATCATCCCCGAACCCTTCTACCCAGCATTCTACAGAAATCGCCATTAGTCCGCCCTCGAAGAAACGGCGTAAAAGCTCCAGAAGAGAGTCTCTTTTCCATCCTTCAGACTTCGAGTTTTCGGAAAACCCTGATAACGATGAAGGTTATTCCCCATCCAAAGGCCCCACGGTGGCGATAGACTCGCTTGAAGCGCTGCCGACCGCACAGCCAGATGATCCGCAACCTGAAGGTACTGAAGAAACCATGGAAAGCTTTGAAGCGCCCCCGATGCCGTCTCAGGATCCTGGGGAAGATTCTTGCAACTTTACGAACTCTCTTATCGAATACTCAATACCCGAAGAAATTGCCGAAAAAATCATTGAAACTTCTGTTGCATCTGATACTTCTGCCAAGATCCAGGTATACCATGATAATTCACGAAGCGCACAATTTGATAGCTCACAACTTCTACCTGGTCCAATTACGAGTAATTTCCGCAGAGACCATGTGCAAGCCATCGATGTGCAACCGACATCGTTTGTACAGAATGCTACGTCGTCGCAAAAGAAGGTCAAACATTCCATGAAATCTCGCGGCGCGCAGAAGAAAATGATTGACGAAGTTATGCCCACTACTTGCGGTTCTACAAATGAGCTCTCTGATACTGCTAGGTCTAGAAGAACTCGTGGTAAAGCCATAAATTATGCATTACCTTCTTTGAGAGCTAAGATGAGAAGGCCCACAGAAAAATTGGTTGACGCAACCACCGTAACAAATATCCGTGATCTGCAGGTAGAGACTGGTCGTCGAAAATCAGGTTCAAGGTCGAGGGACGGTACTCCATACACCGATGACGAGGTAAGGATTGATTCTGTTACGTTCACAAATGAGGAGGAGGGCTCCGAGCTCCTAAAACCCCCTTTGAGCGGGAACTCGCCCCCAAAATCAATTGAAAAACCAGCTAAAATAAAGGTTTTAAAGCCCCTGAGTAATACCAATTCTCCTAATATACCCAACATAAACCCATTAAAGGACATCACTAATAATGCACCCGCTAAGTCATCCATGAAGACAAAAAAGCTTTTCAAAAAAGCTATTGTTGGGGACTTGGGTAGCGAAAATTCCTACAGCTTTGACGAAAGTTCCGGTAACCACAGTACAAGTTTTAGAGTGAATGAAGAAGATCTTTCGGTCTTTGATTTACTTAACGACCTCAAGGCCAATAGCGCACCCAAGACGCATAGAGCGAGAGCAAGACAAGAGGCCGAGAAGCGTGGACGAAAGCCAGCGTTTAGATTGTAGTTGACAATGATCTTATTTAATTTCGACATAGGAAACAGTATTATCTTAGACGCTCATTTTCATGTGTATCTTTCCGTGTGGATTATAGTCTGTTATTTCAAAATCCTCGTACTTGAAATCGTCGATATCTGTTACTTTTCTCTTGATCTTCAATTTTGGAAATTGTCTAGGGGTCCTTTGTATCTGCTCTTGTAGAGCGGTGATATGATCCTTATAGACATGCGCATCCCCCAGTGTGTGAATAAATTCACCTGGCTCCATATCGCAGACGTGGGCGATTAATTTGGTTAAAAGAGCATAAGAAGCGATGTTAAAAGGAACTCCTAATCCCATGTCGCAAGATCTCTGGTACAAAAGGCATGAAAGCTTAGATCTCTCACCCTCTTTCTTGGGTAGAGTAACATAAAACTGTGAAAATACGTGACATGGCGGCAACGCCATTTTTGCGAAGTCGGGGGGATTCCAAGCGCTCATTATAATTCTGCGATCAGTAGGATTTGTCTTGATTCTATGGATTATATCGCGCAGTTGATCAAATCCTTGGCCCGAGTAGTTGTCATCACAAGTCCTGTAAGCTGCGCCAAAATGCCTCCATTGAAACCCGTAAACTGGGCCCAAATCACCTTCACGTCTATCTGTCAGTCCCAACTTATCTAAGTACTCTCTAGACCCATTCCCCTCCCATATTTTGACACCTTGCTCTGAGAGTTTCTTACCATCAGTGCAACCTGAAATAAACCACAGTAACTCTAAGATTATACCTTTGGTGAACACCCTCTTGGTAGTTAAGAGTGGAAAAGAATCTTGGCCCAAGTCAAATCGCAGCTGTGGTGGTGCGAAAAGACTGTATGTGCCGGTACCTGTTCTGTCTGGTCTGAAGTCACCTTCGTCAATTATTCTTTGGCATAAGTTTAGATATTGCTGCTCCTCTGCATTCCGTGATTCTTTGTCCTCTCTCTTGTTCTCGTGTTCAGTCATTATGAATACTGTTCCTTCGAATCTTGACTTCGGCAACTATAAAGTTATAATAAAGCACAGCGAAGTGTCTATTGTATCCGGAAGACCTTACTTCAACTTATTAGAAATGCTATTTTATTTTTACGCGTTTATTAAGACGGTTCACGCGTCACTTAATTCAAAAAATTCACCGAACCAATAAAAACCACAATCCCTTATGCGCTTGATTAGTTCCAGAAGCTATACTTCGACATGAGCTGTAATTTACGCTACAAATGCAGTGCTTTTTGTGTTGATTACCATAGTCAGTTCTTCAAAATAAGTAAGTAAGACTATAAATTGATACCCTTTACTTGGACTGCGAATTTTATAGAACTTCGGTTCCGATTTTTGCGAAGGACTGTACGCCATGTGCTTTAAATATAGGTCTGAGACTCTACATCCTCTTGTTCTTACTTGATCCGTGGCGTTCTTCCGTCAATAATCAACCGGTTTAGTACGACATGACATGAAAGAAGTTGAATTAAGATGCTATGTACTTTCGGTCATGCTTCAACACGATGCTTCATGAAACATAGAGCCCTAAAACAATCGCATCATACAAGCTACCTCATCCGATGCCAGACGTAACGCCGTTATTCAAAAGGTACGTGGGTGTCTTCTTGGAAGACTCAGTTGTCGGTACTAGAGCTGAGGGTTCAGTATATTCCAAACCATCCCGGAAGTACCTTGTCCAGGATACATTCGTCAAAGAGTGTTTAGACTTACTCAAACACATTTTGGAGCTTCAAAAAGTTGTTTCATCTATCAAGAGTCAATATGAAAGTGAATCCGAACTTTCCGAACGTGAGAAGAACGATTTCGATACCGAAGTCAGGCTGTTGATACAACAATACTTCGACAAGCTCAAGTTTTTGGAAAAATACGAGAAGAAGCGTCAAGATGTGATACAGAGACAATACTTTGGGGACTCGGAAGGAGACCTTATGTCTTTATTCCGCCACAGAGATGAAGGGCTTGCGTTGTTCCACTCTACGAACAATAAGCATAGAAGCGGAATTCTACAGTCCCTAAGCATGATTCTATCCTCTATATTCTCTGGCATTTCCCGAATGCAGCAACAGCGACTTTTGCGTCAGAAAGAGCTGGAATCTATTGACTTTAACGCACAGCTATACAACCCTATACAGAGTATGGTGGCTTCCGTGTCTCAATCACCGCCGATTGAAACGACCGAAGAAGAAGTTCAGCAATATGAGGAGACTATCGGCAAACTATCTCAGCAACAACTCCAAATCCTCGAGACGGAGCACGATGAACTTCTGAATATTAAGAAACAAGAACTGCAGAAAGTCGAGAATCTTAGCAAAACAATGGTACAAATCACTTCTTTACAAAATGAAATTGGAACACATCTCCAGTCTCAGACACAAAACATTTTCACTTTACTCGACAATCACGACGATGTGGAGCTGGATATAAAGCAAGGCAATCGGCAGCTCAAGAAAGCTCAAAAGCGCAGTGGTAAATCTGCCAAACTCATAATTTATTTGTCTATCTTCTTCGGCATTTTAATTCTTTGCCTGGACTTTATAAATTGAAAAAGGACACAGTCCTCAAAATTACAAATCGAGGCTTTTTATAACCCCTCCGGCTATCGTTTTTCCTTCTTTTCTGAGCACAATCCTCCCCAGGTGTTTGTTCTGTCCGATTGTCAACATGGGAATTCGTCTCTTCTTTTCGACGAGCTCAATTTCGACCAGGGCGGCTGAATTCGAGCCCAGATGTCTGACCTTTTTCTTTATGATTTTGGTGGGATCACCTTTGTCCATCACAGATATGAGTTTTTTTATTCTTGCTGGCTGTTCACAACTTCCTCTGAAGAACATAAAGGACGTTCCTGGAAGCAAAGGTCTATCCAACTTAAATGTTAGGATTTGGGCAGAGAACTCTTGAGCACTTCCAATGTCGTAGCCAACAATAGCAGCGAGATCACCACTTTGAATGTCTTCATAAAATGCATTCCGCAACTTGAGACTTACAAAGTCACCTTCAACAGCTGCCGCGACGGGAGTTTGATTGTTACCCACCAATATTTGATCTACCAGTACGCTCTGCTCTGAAGGGAAAATGGTTATTGTCTCCCCACCTTGAATGCAGCCTGATTCAACTTTACCAGACAGGATAACTTCATTATTCTTATTGCCTTGGACAACATCTAATGTCGAAAAAACAAAAGGCGCCTCAGTGATTTCTTTGTAGCCCTTTGTGTGCAAACTCTCTGTGACTTGCTCCAGACACTTGACCAACGAGGGTCCTTTGTACCAGGTTTGACCTATAGGATACTCTTTCTCATATACCCCTTCCCCTGACAAGCCACTGCACGGCACCCAGCTCACCTGGTCTTCCTTTATTCCAACGTCCAATAAGAATGTAAGCAGCTCTGATTTGATATCCATAAATCTACCTTCGTACCAATCAACGCTGTCCATCTTATTCATAGCTACAACAATATGACGAACACCGAGACTTCTGGCAAGTAAAGTGTGTTCTTTCGTTTGACCATCCAAGTTGAAGCCAGATTCGAAAGCATCGGTACTACAATCGATGGACAAAACGGCAACATCAACTTGGCTAACCCCAGCAATGGCATTAGGAACAAAATCTCTGTGACCAGGTGCATCCACAATAGTAAAGGTTGCATTTTTAGTTTCAAAATCGCTTGTGCAAATATCAACAGTGACACCGCGATTTCTTTCCTCAGTAGTTTGATCCATGACCCAAGCCAGATGGAAAGACGATTTTCCAATCAGTTCACTTTCTCTTTTCAGCTTCCTGATTAACTTGTTGTCAACAGCACCCACATCGTAAAGTAAACGACCCATGAGGGTGGATTTGCCTGCATCGACATGACCCAAGACAACAAAGCTGAGGTGTGGCTTTTTTTGGGATAGAAAAGCGTGAAGGTCAACAGGTTTCTTGGGCATTGTTGGAACTGTTGCCCTGTTGTGTGTACGAATGACGGGCTCTTTAACGAAAGGTTTGTCATCATCATCAGGAGTTTCCTCCGTTTGTTCGCCATCTTTGTTACCTGGCTGAGAGTTGTCGAGAGTAATCTTTTCAACGCCCTTTGAGGCTTTCTCTACTTCTTCAAAAGCTTTCTTTTGAGCTTCTAGAATGACTTCATCCGGGCTTTGCTTCTGAAAGTTGGCAACGGCTTGTTTCTTTACTGCCGCGTTGTTAGTATCAGGGTAGTAGACTGAGAAAACCTCGTCATGTTTGCGCTTCAATCTTAAAGTTTCACACGTTTGTTCATGATCTCTTTTCAAAATAACTTTGGTGATTTCAAGATCACAGTCTTTTTCTGCGAAGTTTTCGGAGAGTTCTTGTACGTTATATGTCAAAAGGAATTCTTCGAAGCTGAGACTCTTCGGTTTCGCAATCGAATTTTTCGGTACTTCTTTCACTTTTGATTTTACAGGTATATTTGCAACGGGATTGAGCGAGGAGCTTTCTTGAATCTTGGCATTTCGCAATTTTGAAAGTCTGGACATCAACGAATTTTGGGAAGCTTGAACAATTTCTGCTGATTCGGGCTGAGTACGAACACTTGAAGACAAAATACGAGAACTTGAATTTTCTGTTTTGCTAGCTTGCTGAGCTGAGTCCGTTATCTTTCTCGACTGTAAAGATGCCAGGCGGGACGCGAGAGACGGTTTTGGTAGCCTGGAATCATCTTTGCGTCGCAGAGAGCTCAGCATGTTTAATCTGCTAGGGGCAGCTGGGGCATCTGGGGTAATATTTGATGCCTTTTTGGCATCTGAAGCTCTTTTTCTTGCCAGTTGCTCTAAAGCAGATACCTTTGGTAGGGCCTCTTCAGTAATTTGTAACGTTAATAAAACGGTTTCTTTAGGTAGCTAGAGACGTGGTACACTCCTCACAGTACCAAGATCCTTGCTACACTCCTTCTCTGCCCTCGTGTTATACTGGTCAATTGCCATCTCTTCCAGTGAGAATTCCCAAGTTGGTCAAGATAGAGGTTCGAACCCATTAAAATGAAATCACATATTTTGGAGCTCCCCATCTCTTTCCCGGACAGACAAACTAAGGAACAGAGAGCGAGGGCGCAAAACAAATTAAAAGCCGCGGTTAGAGGTTCGCTCCAAGTCAATATACATACCTTCTGTTTTTTTCTTCTTTAAACTTCGTTTGAGCTTTACCATGGCTTCGTTCAGGTCAAAATCATGATCGAAGATTGCCAATTTAACTTTCAAGTCGTCCCAGCCCTGATAATCGACCAATTCTTGTTTGGCACGCGGAAAGACCTCACTCATCAAATTGTACTCTTCATCATTCATATAATCATCGAGCGCGGCCTCATCTGGAAACTCAGGGACTTCATCTTGATAATCAAAATCTGCGTCTTCGTCATAAGCTGGTGGCATCTTACAAATGGGTAATGTTTAGCTCTTAGTGCTCTTCTTCTTTTCGTAAATGAGAAGTTGGAAGGAACTTAAGTCGATTTTGCCATTTGACAATACTGCAACTGCTGTTGGAAAATCAAAAAAATCAAATATTTACGATTTTATCCTGGCTTATAGAGCCTCACAAGTGAGCAATTGGTAGCGGAAACCGATAGGCTAGAGGCCTGTCAATGCTGGCATAAAAAGAGGTCACAAGTTCCCAACTTACTATTTAACTTGCTATTATCACTATCGACGAAGTGTAATGCAGGCAAGATTATGTCTACAACGGTGAGTTGAGGACTTTTAGGAAGTACGTGCTAACTTTACTGCTCAGCTGCTATAATATTAGCAATTCGATTTTTCATTCCATCGAATTATTACAGCTGCGCGCTTAATTATGACCTCGTTTCCCACGAATAATTATTATTCCTGATCTTTTCATCCGAAAGAATCATTGCCTATAGGTGAATAACGAATTGAGCGTCGTCGAGACTACTGCCGGCTGCTAAAGCATTTTTGGTATAACAGAGACTCAGGTCAAACCCCTATTTGTGGCTTTATGTCCCAGGGCATAATTGTCTGTCGCAAACAAACTTTTGGCTCTTTGGGCCTACACAACATACTGCCCAGAAGTTCATCAGGCGGATGGGAGCCTCAGGTGAAAGTCTTTGATGGTCGAATGTGCGTCTGCGAGCTCATGAGTAAAATTGATGACTTACCGTGGTATCGAATAGTTTTTGAGTGGACCAATGACGACGCCGGGGACAAGCAGCGATTTTTCAGTCACACCATGATAATGAAGGGCACTCGGGACTTAAACAAGACAGTGCAGACCTGCGGAGAGTATTTCGAAGTCTTGATGGAGTGCTCAAATGAGAAATGGGTTGCCTTAGAACTGCGAATAGCGGACATGCGGGAAGACCAAAAATTCCGTGATCTTTTATTCCGGATACGAGAAGAGTACGAGATGATAGATGAACTGATGGGCAGCAGTGATTCCTCAGACTTTGGTGATTTTGTTGGATAGTGGTTAAGGGCCTCAGGTCAAAGGGCCCGAATTTGTAACAATACTGTAACCAATATGTAATTGTAAAAAGTGTAGTATGGATAAGGTACGTTTTTTTGTTTTACAAGAATGGTTCTGATGAACAGAAAAGAGTGCTGTATGTATTAATATACATCTATATTTACATGTATGTGGTTTTCAGCCGGTTTGGCCGCTTTTAAAGCTTGCGACTAGAAACCATTCAAGGTCTGTACCATAGCTCCTTACGCTTCTTCCGGTCATCCCTCGCGATGGCTCTTCTAGGATGCCAATTTTGCTTTATAGCATCAAGTCTCTGAGCCATTTCGAATGATCTCGTCTCAGAGACTGAAGAAATGAGTGAAATGAACAACGGCGAGACATTAAACCTCTGCGCCAAAGCTTTTCTTGTGTATTTCTCTGGGTTTTCAAGCCTGAGTTTTTGTATCTCGGCAACTTGTTCGGGACTCAAATGATATGTCTTGTCCTTTTTCTGGTGAAGAGGGGGAGCCCAGCTTGATTGTTGGTGTTCGCGCGGCCTCAGAGTTTGCACGAATTTCCTTCTGGGGTCGTCATTAGGCAGAAATGCTCTTGGGAATGTTTCACTGTTTATGGATCCAGTATCTGACGAGTGTGCTGGGTGGTGATATAAGCCCGGCTCTATTTTCGCTCTCAGCACACCTTTGTAACTAGAAGCAGAAGACTTGGGATTGTACAAGTTAGCAGTTGCCTTCATTTGCTGCATTTTTTTGCCATTTTTAACCACTTTCGAAATTTCGCTCTCTAGCCTAGCAGGCGCATGAAAGTGGCGGATAAAAGACATGACAAGTGGCTCTCTTTTGCGATGATATGCTTCGTCTCTTCTATTAACAGAATAATTTACAATTTCATGATTTCCTGAAAATATTCTGAGTCTGCTCAACACTATGTACGAATATACTACAATACCCTATACAGCGAATCAAGCCAATGAAGGCCATTTTGTATGCCCACCCTTTCCTTGTTTTTCTAAAAGTACAGCCTCGTTTATCTTGAAGTTGTCGCCATCGTCCGTTTCTAATATTATCATATTTGTCGCAGCGCAAGATACGCTTGAAATGAGCCAGAGCTTTCTGGAGCGCTTCATTGGGCAAGGTATTGAAGCTAATAGATTCGACGCCGTCAACACTACATAAACACGACCTTCTCGCTTGAAGAAAAGCCTTTTTTTTCTTTGCTAACGCTCGTTTACTTATAATAGTGCTACAATCTTTACTTAGATCCACTCGTTAGCATGCGACAATTTCGAAATTACTCTCAGTCAAACAGATCTGAAAGAATACATTTATATCAGTCTTTTCGAAACTTGGTGCAACTTATTGGCGAAGAAAACTTTTGACCAAGGTTCGTGCACATGGCTCGGACGTATAATGTAACGGTGAACACAAGTACAACGGCAGGGCATTACGGGAAGCTTCCAAATGATCCTTTTGCTGCAGCAAAAAGAGATCAGTTTAGCAGAAGAAGTAGTGTGCACACTCTCTAAACCAGTAAGGTTTATGGAACTACTATCCAAAGCTTTATCTGTCGTTCCTCGGAACTCTCTACGCCAAGCTTTGATCTAAAAAACATACTCCTTCTATGATGAAACTTTTACTAGAGAGTCAGTAGAATCTAAAGCTGCTCAACTCACATGGATGAAGCTGAGGCCTCATTAATTATAAGTTATGCTACGAGTGTATTTTGTTGACAATTTCGATGTGAGTTAACTGCGTTGGCAGCTTGCGTTGCTGAACTTAATCAATCGAATTTCAATTTGTCAAATACCTATACGTATGTTTAAAGAGGTGCTCTTTTCGACGTTATGTGCTCCAACGATTGAATGCAGAGCCGCCGAGATTGATTTTCTAATATAACATCTATAATCTTCCACGAAAAATAATATTTGGAATTGAAGACCTGAGTTAAATACTCCATCGCTAGGCCTACGGGACGTATTAGAGCTTTGAATGGTTCTGTGTATCTCTTGAAATGCCTGATGGTCTTATCAAACTGATTCAACAGCATACTACATCCAATGTCACGAATAATTTCGTGAAAACAGTGCAGAATCTTGCGAAAGTTCATGTTCATGACGTGAGTAAGTTTACCAAGTCATGTATGGCCTTAGGTAAGTTTAAAGGCCAAGAGGAATTTTTGGGAGAGCTTCATTCAAAACTGATCGGAAAAGAAACCAGTACATTAGATGAAGTTAAGGATGTGCCGCGAAAAACCAATGAGTCGCGTGCCAAGTTGAAGCAACAAGTGCGTCGCCCTCAAAAATTGGGAACCCGGGGTTTACAATTCCAAGATGAAGACCTTTCCGATAGTGATCCAGCGCTTAATGCCCCAGGTCAAGCTACCGTACCGGTTACCAAAAAGATCAGCTTCAAAAAAATGAGCAAAGACAAGGCGCAGAGCCTCAAACAATACTCTGAAAGGGTAGAAAACGATAGTAAGCATCAAGAGGTCAAGACTGGCAGCCTATTAGTCCCTGAACTGGTTTCATTTCCGCACACTTCTTCTGACGCAACACCTTTGGAGTTTGAGCCAGAGCAAGACGAGATCTTTTCAATGGACGACAGCGACAGTGCAAGCGATGATCAAATTTTAGAAGAGGATCGAGACTGGTACGACAATGATGATGATTACGGATATCAAGTTGCTGGCGCTTTTAATATGACGGAAGCTGCATACGCGAAAGATGCACTAGCAAGAACTTTTCGCAAAGAGAATAGAAACAGTATCGATACCAAATCTCAAATACACTTATCTTCTATGACTTTAAGCCAGCGGAAAGAACTCATACCGCCGTTTCTCTTGAAATACAAGCAAGATCCAAGCTTTTTTGCCAACATGAGTAACTTAACTGATGCCCAAGACCTGTCCAACCGGCGAATCATAGATCCCATACGAAACCCTGATAGTGACTTTTCCCTGAATGCAAAAAAAGGAAGCCGTGCTGTTGCTGAGAGACGCAGCAAAGAGGTTCATAAAGCTAAAATGGAGGAAACAAATGATTTGACTGGCACGGCAATAGGCCAAATCATTGGGTTGAAAGATGGCGAAAAAACTGCGGTCTCCCAAAGCACAGACTCTAGCAACAATCTTGAAAACTCAAAAGAGAATTTTGAGTCAATTCAGAGGGTAAGAAAAACGTTACCTGCTTTTAAGGCACGATCTGAACTCCTTCAAATTATAAGAGACAACCAGGTTATTGTCGTTATAGGAGAAACGGGCTCAGGAAAAACTACTCAGCTTGCGCAATTTTTAGAAGAGGACGGCTACTGCAATGGGGGTCAATTAATAGGCTGTACACAACCACGTAGAGTTGCTGCAATTTCAGTGGCTACAAGAGTAGCGATGGAAAAGGGCGTTAAATTAGGAAATGAGGTTGGTTATTCTATTCGGTTTGAAGATAAAACGACATCACGCACAAAAATAAAATTTATGACAGATGGTATATTATTACGAGAGACTCTTATGAGCACCATGCTCGAGAAGTACAGCTGCATAATAATGGATGAAGCGCACGAGCGGTCGCTGAACACAGACATTTTATTCGGTATTTTCAAAAATTTACTAGCCATTCGGAGAGATTTGAAACTCATTATTACGTCAGCGACTATGAATGCGAACAAGTTTTCTCAGTTCTTCGGCGGCTCTCCGATGTTTACAATTCCGGGACGGACGTTTCCTGTGGAAACAGTTTTCTCCAGGCATCCAGTTAGCGACTATGTGGAATCAGCAATACTTCAAGCGAGTAAAATTCATCTATCTTCGCCCGTATCTAGTGGTGATATATTAATATTCATGACCGGTCAAGAAGACATTGAAGCCACTTGTGCAGGATTGCGAGAGAAACTTTCGGAGATTAATACTAAGAAAAGATTAGGGAACATGGAGTCCACTGAACTTAATGATATTGAAATTTTACCTATTTATTCTGCTTTACCAGCGGACGTTCAAGGCAAAATTTTCAATTGCACGCCAAATAAGCGCAAAGTTGTTGTCGCAACAAATATCGCGGAAACATCTTTAACTGTGGATGGTGTGAAATATGTCATTGATTGTGGCTACTCCAAATTGAAAGTATACAATCCTCAAATTGGACTCGATATTCTTCAGATCGCCCCGATATCAATGGCCAGCGCCAACCAAAGATCGGGAAGAGCAGGACGTACAGGCCCAGGTATAGCATACCGCTTATATACCGAGGACTCATTCTTTGATGACATGTATGTCCAGACAATACCTGAAATCCAAAGGACTAATTTATCTAACACGCTGCTCCTGCTAAAATACTTAGGAGTCAAAGACGTACTTGCATTCCCGTTTGTAGATCCACCGCCGGAGCAAATAGTGATGTCTTCTCTATTTGAACTATGGACCGTTGGAGCGCTAGACAATTTTGGAAAATTGACGGAGCTGGGCGGACAGATGGCGTCTTTCCCCTTGCAGCCTTCGTTGTCAAAAATGCTCTTAAGCGCTTCTCAAAGTGGCTGCAGTGAGGAAGTCTTGACGATCGTATCAATGTTGTCCGTTCCTCAGATTTTTTACAGACCTAAAGAACGACAAGAGGAATCTGATCAGGCACGAACGCGATTCTTTGTACCAGAGTCTGACCATTTAACGTTGCTCAACGTATTCTCTCAATGGAAAGCCAACAATTTTTCATCTGCATGGTGTAGGCGTAATTTCCTGCAATTCAAATCACTGCAAAGAGCCAAGAGCATTCGAGATCAGTTAAGAACGTTGATGGAAAAGAAAAGAATAATTATCGTATCTTCTGGGACTGACTGGGATATTATTAGAAAATGCGTATGTTCCGGCTATGCACATCAAGCAGCAAGATTATCAGGATTAAACAAATATGTTCATTTGAGAAATGGGCTGGAATTGCGAATACATCCTGCGAGCGCCCTTTTCCGGGCCGGTGATCTTCCACCTTACGTGGTGTATCATGAAATGCTGCTTACTTCAAATGAATACATCAATACAGTGACTGCTGTTGATCCTTTTTGGTTAATGAAGTACGGTTTGTTATTTTACAACGTTAGTCGCCGGAGAGAAGATGTAGAGGACAGTGGAATTTATGCAGATGAGTCTCCCGAAAGGATTAAAGATAATTTGGATCTGTCAATCGAGCAGTGCATGATGAAAAAGGAGATTGTAAAGCAAAAGTTATTGAAAGACACTATCACGGCAAGCGCCGACATTAGTTGCGAAACGAACAAAAAGAAGCCCGAGAGCGTGGCAAAAAAGCCAGGTGGTCAAATAGGCTTTAAGAGACGACGTCCACTATAATTAATATTGCATTCGAATTTAACTACCCCCAAGTGAAAACCGGGCCCTCACCGCGGGTTTGTCCGCTAAAAATGTTATGAAAACTATCATAGTAGCCACCTGTGCCACAGCTAGATTGTGAGTAAAGCTCTTGAGCTTTAGGCATCCAAGATTGCATGTTCTCGATTCGCCTGTCGCTGGCTGGGTGCGTGCTCAAAAATTCCGGACTAAAATTTCCACTACCCTTTACGCGTCGTTCAAATTCAGCCATGCGCCCCCAAAGTTTAACAGCTTCTTGAGGATGAAAACAAGCACGAGACATTATCATCAGTCCTATGTGATCTGCTTCTGTTTCCATCTGTCTAGAGGCTGGCATTTTCAAAAAACCATCTAAAATCAGCCGATTGAATATATCAGCTCCTGTGACCGTATAGAGAATGGCGCCCAGTATGGAGTAGATAGGAGCCTTTGATAGATTCTCTGCAGTGTGCCTAGCAAGTTGGTGAGCAAATTCATGCGAAAGCACCGTTGCTAACCCGTCATCGTTTTTGCAAATACCGAGTATACTGCTGAAAACAAAAACCTTACCACCTGGTAAAACAAAAGCATTAGGAGGGGCTTTTGGATCATCCACAATATGTATTTGCCAGTTTACACCTTCCAAAAGCTGTTTATCGATACTTGGATCCCTCTGAGCAGCGTCAACAATTCTATCAAATATTTTAGTTACTTTTACCGTCAGCGGATTGTTTGCAGGCAAAATTGACCCTTTGGTCTGACCAAGCATTGAGTTATACGAGTAATTGCCAATTTTCAGCTCCAGTGAGCGAGGAAGCCACATGAATCTGGTTCTACCGGTAACCGGAGCTTCTTCGAGGTGTGTGATATAAAAAAGGGACCCTCCTCCCAAAGCAAATGCCAGATACTTTCTTGACGTGGGATCCACTAGTAGCTGTGAGAAGCTCTTCGATTGTTTGTTGTTGAATCTTTGATACTGGAAAGACTGTGAGTACAATCTATATTTAGGGGAGATCTTTGAACTCCGTCCAAATGCTCTCTTGAATGCGTTTTGGAACATAGCTCGTAGCTGTGCTTGCGACGGTAGAGTTAATTATATGGAAGTTACGTTGCCCTTTAGACACCTACTGATATAATCAAGCATGAAGAGTATTTGAAAAATGATATTGAATTGAATAGTATCACGACATTGATGAATGATAAAATAGCGGCAATAACGCACACAAGAGACACCGAGCTACGATAAGAGTAATTACAAATGGGCTCTGCAGAGTTTGGCAGTGCCAAATATTTGAATAAAAAAATGAAAGCCAAGGGTCTTCAGAAACTTAGATACTATTGTCAAGTTTGCGAGAAACAGTGCCGAGACGAAAACGGATTCAAATCACATTGTAAATCCCCATTTCATGCGCGAAATACAGCTCAGCTGAAGCCGCAGGATGTCAATAGCTATACAGATCAGTTTGAGAAGGACTTCCTGCGACTTCTGCGCTTATCCCATGGCGAAAAGCAGATCGAAGCTAACAAATTTTACAATGAGTTTATTCAAGATCGGGACCATATTCATATGAATGCCACTAGATTCCATTCTCTAACCAAATTTGTTTTGCATTTGAGCAAAACCGGCAAAGTACGAATCCATGGACTAGGCGCCGAAAATGAAGATGATATTGACGTAGAAAGCGGCAAAATCTTGATAAGCTACATTGATGATTCTTTTGAAAGCATGCTGCGAAAGGACAAGTTAGATGAAATAGAAAAATCAGAACTCACTGAAGCAGACATTAGAGCGAAGATGTTGCAAAGACAAATAGCTCAAGCCGAAAAAAGTGACCATGAAAATAGTGAGGATGAAGTAGACACCCACACCAATAGCACACAAGATGCACCGGTAGGGAAATTATCTCTTAAAATTTCAAAACCTGTCAGCAAAGGAAAGGTGGCTAAAAAGAGAACGAATCTATTTAAAAAGTTGAAGTAGTAGTCCACTCGAACTTCAACTTTATCAGAAGCTCTGACTGACTTTTCAAGTTGTTTCAGCGGCTCTAAAACACCGTTTCGAATGAAACATCAAGGCTTTGGTTCCTTTGTAACTCTAGATATCTTTTTCTAGCCCTGGTGTACAAAATCCACGTAGTTAGCGCTAAGATTAATCCTGTAACGATGATGCTACCAATATCAAACAGTCTAGAAGAAGTTGAGCTAGTTTCGCCCATGCTTTTGAGTCTGGACCCGATAAACAGGTACATCAGTAGCTTAGGGGACGTCAATGCACTTGCCAAGGAAAAGTTGCGCAGTGACACTCCATAGATCCCAGCAATGGCACCATTCGTGAATGAGTAAGGGAAGGGGCACAGGCGGATCAATGATAGCATCCAATAGCTATCATCATCCTGCAAAGTAGATGTCAAAGCTTCGAATTTGGCATTTGCGTGGACCAGCCTCTCTGCTTGAGAGCGCAAAAGCGTCTTGAACAGAACAAATGCAGAAATGGAACCACCCACGGATCCGGTAAACAAAATGAACCAGCCTAAAAAGCTGATTCCATAAATTATACCCACCATAATTGACAGCATTGAAAACCCAATGAGAGGAGGGAATGAAACTGCGAACACTAGAGCCATGAATATCAAAGGAGTGTACCATCTGGCTCTAAGCTCGTTAGATGCAGTGATCATAGCTTTTAAGATCTGATTATGAAAAATCAGTATAACGATCGTCAGCGTCAACTGCAGTAAAACAGCCAATATGACTAATATCTTCTTTAAGGTCGACAGCTTTTGAAAGTAATCAATTGCCTTGTTACGAATCTTGCGGAGTTGATGCAACATGCGCTGCCTAGGGTTCATAGTATAAATATCCAGAAAATCATCGTCCAAGTCCTCAAAATCATCGTTGTTGGAGAACAAGTTCGGTTGGCTTTCATTGAAGGCTCGGTTTGAATTGACTCTCGCCTCGTAAGCCTCTGACATGTGCTCGGCGACCTTCTTTAACCAGTAGTTTCCACTTGATAGAAAGAGATTTTTACATAAGTTTGAGACGAAGCCAAAAAAATGAAAGAAATACAATTTAATGAGAATATACCCAAGGTTAAAGCAGCGACAGGTGTAGGACTATTGGTAAGGCTTTGAGCCGCTTATCGTCAGATTATTCAACTAAACAATGAAGTATAGTCACCAAGCTCTTTCTCACTTATTCGTTTGGGCTGGTTAAATTGGTGAAATTTGGTCGGGGGACCTTAGCTGTTGTGAGCTGTAGTCTGTGAGCTTCAGTAAACCTACATTTTGAGATCTCGCTGAAGTTTATATTTTAAGGCATTAAAATCATGCAATCAGGATCATGAGATGTGTAACTATTGATTGCAGGCGATCATGGAATGAAAACGCGCCCTATGAATAGGGTCTTGCATGGAATCTTTATGCCAGCTCTATAAATAATTACAGTAAATCATGCATTTGAAGATTTTTGTCGAGGAGAAGTAGGATTTTCAGAGCGCTTCGCTAGAATGCTATGCTTTGTGTTTAGTTTATTATTCCGTTATTCTCATGTTTGCCAAAAACTTTGTACACTATTCCATTGTGAATTATTTTACCTCTATTACTTGGAGGAATTGTGTCTAGCTCGGACTCTTTCACGTCATTAAATCGGTCAATATGCGACGGAAAGAACACTTATATGATATTATTGAATGATCGGTTGCTAAATACTGTCAGCAAAGTATTTGTTCAATCTTTCATGTCACACTTTGTACATTGTTTTTGTGGAACGAGCACAGTAACAGTCAAAACTTTTTCTGACGCATCTGCCGTTGGTACTACTTTCCGTTGTCCTATAAAATTTAGGTAAGTCGTGGATTCCGATATTTCAGAGCCCCGCCAACTGCTTTTATCCGATTTGCTTAGCGATAGTCACAGCGTGGACTTGCTAGTCAACAGCGATAAGATTTTGTCAGCTCCAGCATGATGGCTCATTTTCATTCGAAGATTTTCATATATCTGCTTGCGAGGAATATGCTACACCCGAGCATCAATCACACGATATCTAAAGTAGAGCGGGTAGTTCCCCACACAGAGACCACTAGATAGAATCGACAGGTTAAGGTAGTTTTTCAACTTTACCTGGACAAGCGCCTACGAATAATAAATTTGTAGCATCTGTGAAAACCGAGCACTTGCAAAGCACTCCCTTTTGGCTATGAACGCGTGTTGTAACAAAGCGAGAAGTATCAAGAAAGCGCAAAGACATGCGGCCACAGTTTGAGAGAATCAGTACAGTCTGTGAGTCGCAACTGCTGCATGTGGTGATTAGAACCCATGCATGTTTTTATAAAAGTGATTTCACAGTGTACACCAGCAGTGTTTTGTACAGTTGATAGGCTCTGTATCACTATTTATTACTAAACGTCATTATAAAAATATGTCGCGCCATAGTACTATGAATTAGCACTTGAAACTGTGCATACTTGCCTGCAATACAAATTCAGTTCGCAATGTGTTGTAACGCGGGTCGGTGTTTCGTGACATGACGGTATAAAGTGACAAAAGCTGTGTTACTCGCCAATCAAAACGTAGCAAGACGGCTTCAAGTGGCAGTTAGAGCATTGATAGGGGGTTGGAGATAAGAAATGCAAGTGCGTTTTATCGCAGATTTTGAAGCGACGAGCTGGGCGTTAGAAGGATTGCTAATTGTAGGGATGTGAGTGATATGAGAGCCCAACTGCATTATGACAGAGTAGTACAGAGTGATACGAATGAAAGAATAGTGTCAACTATAGCTTCAGACCCTGTCCGAGAACTTTAACAATGCGGTTTGGGCTATGCCGATAGCTTATCAAGGCCTATACAATTGCACCCATTTGCGGGCTAACACACTGGGTTACTGGCAAAATGAAAGAAATATAAGCAAGCCCTCTATCGCTGTATCATGCTCGCCTGAACATCGACAGCCCTCATTTACTAATTAGCTTGATCTTATAATGGACCAGCTGAGCAAAAGTACCTGCGATATCCACCCCGCGGGCTCAGAAGAGCCTCGAAATTCCTCTAAATTTTTTATTGAGTTAAATTAAAAAATCGTGCAAGCCGCACCCGCTCCAATTCCAAGTTGTGTATTGTTTCTCTATCTAGTATATGCGAATCCGGTGACCGTTGAGACAAGCAAAATGTGCACTCACGGGGCTTTTATTACATGCAGCAGTACCCGCCGTCCACGATGATGTCTGTACCGGTCGTGTATGTAGAAGCGCCGGAGGCCAGGTACAAATACGCGCCAATCAGCTCGCGAGGCAACGCCTCGCGGCCCATGGGTGTAAGCTTGTGCCACTTGTCCTTGAGGTCTTTTTCGGCGAAGCTTGTGATCTCTGTCGAAATGTACCCGGGCGAAACCGAGTTGACACGCGCGAAACCGGCCCATTCCACGGCAAGCGACTTGGACAGATGTAGCACGCCGGCTTTCGCCGCGTTGTACGCAGCCTGCATCTGGGGGACGTTGACCACGTGACCGGACATCGACGCCGTCACGATCAACGACCCGCGGCCCTGTTTCTGGAACACGGGACCGATGCTCTTGGCGACACGGTAAATACCGTTGAGATCCACGTCGATCACTTTGTTCCACTCTGCGTCGCAGCGGTCCTCGTCCGCCTCGGGTCCGGTCAGCATCCCAAGCAACGAGCCTTCGCTCCAAGCCACTCCGGCGTTAGCAACCATGATGTCAATGCCCCTATTGCCGAAGTCGGCTTGGATTTGATCTACCGTGGTACGAACGTCTTTCGAGCTGGTCATGGAGCACTTGTACGCGCGTACGGTGACGTTGTATTTCTTGGACAGCGCCTCTACCTCGGTGGTGATGTGAGGGTTGGAGTTGTACCACATTGCGACGTCGGCGCCGGCCTGGGCAAAGGCGACGGCCACGTCGTATCCAATGCCCGACGAAGCGCCGGTCACGGAGGCGAGTTTGCCCTTGAGCGAGAACATGTCCAGCACGTGGTCGGGCAGTTGCGGAGCCGACTGTGGGATTGGTAGATTGGTTGCGATGGTAGCGGACATTACTTCGAGGCTTGTAGTAGGGACTGTTCGTTGATGGTGAGCAGAGAGCACCGGAAAAAAGTGTAGAGGCGGAAGGGTGCGGTTGCTGCCTTTTATGCGAGACGGGCCAAAGTTCGGGGTAATAGCAAAGCCATCAGGGTAGTAGCAAATTGCGATCAGAAAACGTAGTACTAAGAGAGAAAGTGAGAGTGGTAAGAAGCAGTGCGAGCCTCAGCAATTGTTGTGACGCGTGCGAGTCCTGTAAAGAGCGAGAGTAGTACGACAGAACCACGAAACTATTGAGTAACCATGAATTAACAAGATTGTAATGGGAGAAGCAGTGCCGTTGGGAGGGCACATGAACTGCGAGAGGAACGTCGGGCAAAAAACGAGGAAAGTAGTTCCACAACAGCTGTAGCAACGCCGAAAAACTGTTCTCTCAAGGCGTAGTATGTGTTGTTCGAACACATGTGGGCCGGTGTTTGAGCCATAACTGCGAACAATCAAGATCGTGGGCGCCGCTGGGATCTTGGAACATTAGCATTACCTACGACGAGTTTTTGTAGATGTTTCCACAACAACTGAAAATGTAATTCCGTGCAGATCGTTCGAGGGACTAACGAAGGCACGTGCCTTCTTACCATGCAAGGGTTTATATGCCATTGTCAGTAAAACAGAACATCACCAGTGAGTGCCCCAAAAATTCTTTTTGGCACTACAAGCTTCAGCAACTTGACTGTTCCAGACAAATACGAATCAGTGGAGAAAGCCGATTTAGCTTATGCTTAGTTCGGCGGTTGACGGCTAATCAAATGTGCATCCATAAGAAATTTGCCGGTTACGGATCTTCAATGGCCTGTTGGTTGCTATAATATCAAACCAGTGCTACATTGGGTGACTATTTTTCGTGCTATCTATTTTCATCGTCTTCTTCATCGCATTTGCTTCATAATTGGTCCAAGAACTTCTTGGAAAGGTTTCGTATTGAGACGAGTCTCTGTCAACCAGTCCACAATGTTTGCAATGCGCATAGAACACAGTTTTAAATAGTGAGGAGTGTCGTGTGGTTATGTCGTTTTCACTTTTTCTGGGTAAGTGTCTCACCGCAATTCTGTAAGCGCCTGTCTTCCCGGCCAACAGCGGTTAATTTTTATAGAGTTCTCTGAGAGTCTGGAGAACGAACGCGTTGCGAATGGAGTTTGCGCCGCATGGGATAATTATATAATTTTTTTTGCTACTTTGATGTTCTACAACTCGCTTCAGACGCGCCCAATGAACATTCTCACCTTACCAAGCCATTTTTTAAATGCTGCCGAAAGAAAGGCCGCTAGCCACGTTTTCGAGCAGTTCTCTTATAGTCGCAACTACATTGTAGGTCGCGAAGTTGCAAGCCACTGTCTGAAGCTTTACGCATGTCTTTTTCAAGCCACTTGTTCAACCTTGACTAATGCGAGAGATAAGCCTGTCATTTCCGTTTTTATTTTCCTGACACTAAAATGTCACTAGCTCCACTAGCGATAAACAGAATTTGAAACACAAAGCTAAGCAAGATCATGTTCTTTCGAAAACCACCGCACTTCTATAGAGATCACAAATCCACAGATAATGTCCAAATTCAATTCCACAATTCATCGAACGATATCTGAGCCGCTTATTTCAAATAACCATGAATACCCGAAAACAGTCGAAACGGGCTCTACAGTCTCACAACTACCACCTGATGTTGATATGAATAAGCTTGAGAGAGGAGATCTGGTTTTTGATACCCGACCAACTCATGAGAAAAGTCCTATTCTAAGAAAGCCTCCCGTTTCGGACTATAGATCTATTCCTCTGAACGAGACGGCTTCTGCGCCAGCAGTCCCGTTACAAATAAGCGCCAGAGAGATACCCGATCTGCCAAGGAGAGCCTACCCGGAAGCCCCAAATCCCGATCACGGAAACGGTAATGCTAATGAAAATAATGGCTCATACATGTCCCCCATAACCACCTGGCTTTGGAGACTGTACTACAGTAATCGAACAGTTTTCTACTGTGTAATTGGCTTGATAATAATTGTCACGACATTATACACCGCTTTCACCGGTGAAGGCTCGAAATATTACGTTGTAATCTTGAGGGCTTCTGCGTGTTACGTCTTCGGTACAGATAGAGCACAATCATTGTTTGGCCAAAGTTTCTGTGACTTTGGGGATCGCCGAAAGTAGCAGAGATCAAAAGTTTCCATCACTTTGTGGTTCATTAACAACGATAAAATCTGTTATTTGGTAGGTAGTAGAGGGCCTTCGATATGTACACAAGCAAGAAACTTAGTTGCTCGTTGATTCCAAAGAATTGAATTGCAAATTTGTCTGAAGTTTTAATTAGGAACAACCATCTGTGCTTGTATGAATTTGATAAATGCAATATTACCAGTGAATCTCAAGCTTTTCGTGTATAGCACAGCTTCCTCAAATTAGAAGAAACACCCGAGGATCCCTTTAGGTCTGTTAAGTATTACGCTGGCGTTGAATATAACCTGGGTTTTCAACTCTAGATTATCATGCTAATGTAGGACTTTTTTAGCTGTACATTAAAATCGTAGCATTCATATGATATAATGACGCTGCATATTCTGGTCTACCATGAAACACTAGGTTGTAAAATTACTTATTCACATATCTTTCGAAAAGTTGTCGAGGCATCTGGGTTAAATGTGGTTTTCTCAATCTCAGCCCGGTGAGAATACTAAGTTTTACTGACACCCAAGAGATCGAAATCTGAAAGGATTATATCTCAAATATAAGCCTCGATTGCGGCAGTGGCAATTAAAAGTAGATAACAGACCAACGTGTGCATGTATTGTGAAATCATTTATGATGGCACTTTGAGGTAGCTAGGAGAACATGTAGCACGTGCTTTTCACGTGTTTTAATATGAACATAGAATGCTTATATAAGACTAACCAGACTAATGAATTTTTCGTTCTAAATTTTTTGAGAATTATGAGATGAGCATCTCAAGAGAATAATCATCACCAAGTTTCTGGAAGCTCTTTAAGCTCGAAGCCTTTCTTATAACTTTGTTTGATCAAAATCACTTGACAATGGCTGCTTCGACAAAACATCGCAAATTTGACGAAGAAGAGGAGGCTTTGAAAGACGTTCCTGCGGATATTCCAGAGAATAACTTAGAAGAAGATAGTTCAGATGAGGACAGTGCTAGTGATGATGAAGCCCCAGAAGAAGAAGGCGTCTCTGGCGCCAAAACTTACGTCGAAAAACAAGAATCTGTGAGACGAAAAGCGGCTGAACGGGAGCAGGAGCTAATAAAAGAAAAAAGACGGAAACAAAATCAGAAGTTTGCAGAACAACAAGATCAAAAACGTACAAAAGAAATGCAAGAGTTTGAATCACAGCTTAAATTGCGTGAGCTAGACAACGTACAGGGAAGTGATGAGGAGTCGCTCCCAGAAGAATTGCCCGAAGACTTCTTTGAAAATTTAGATGAGCAAGATACCAATCAAATTACCACGAAGCCATCGCACGTTAATTTTAATGACATTGACGAAAACTACACAGCAGAGATCAAAGAAGAACTTAAGAAGCAGAAGAAAAAGACATTGCGCCAACTGCGTAAAACAAATGTGAAAAGAGGTCCCGTCAGGGTTAATCTACTTGCGTCCGTCGTTACCAGCAGGTCTTCGGCGCCTCAAAAAGATGGTACTGTGTTGAACAAAAAGGACAAGTGGCTCAAAAGAAAGTCCTTGGCCCGTAAGTGAATCATCTAAAGATAGAAAAAAGTCATATCATAATTTGCCGCATCTGTACCATATCTGTAAGGTTTAAGACCTACATAAACTTTTAATTCTCTATTGCATCAAGCTTTTTCTCGGATCAGGTACGAAACTATGATAGGTATAAGTACACCTCCCAAAACGTAGGTTGTCTCGCCAAAGGGTACCTTGCGCTGGGCGGCAGCACCGATCACTTCGAAGGGTGTCATGTCTTTGGGTGCAAATTCATAAGATGTTGGGCCACTAATGAAATTTTCATGGGCCTCAGCATACTCATGTGAATCGTTCGTATGACTGTGATTGCCCAAAAGGGCCGACACAGCCGCGTAGAAAAGACTGCCCCCACTCATGAGTAATATGTTACCACTTATCCACTCGAGCGGGCCCCAATTCTTCATGTTGATGAGTGAAACTACGAGATAAGCTAACGGAGTAGATGAAGCAAATGCCAATAGGTTTGACGCAGCTTCCAGAGTCGGGAGTTTTTGTTTCGTAACCATCAAGCTACTTAGAGAAAGCACAGCCGGAATCTTGTGGATAATAATGGCCGCCAGAGTAGCAATCTTCACTGAATCGTTATTCGTTGAAGCACCCATCGCCAAACCGTCGGAAAATCCATGGATTACGAGGGCGAACACGACCTGGTTTCTCACCACGAGCGTGAAAGCCTTTTTCACATTAAGCAGATCCCTTAAAGATGTCAACTCACACCCCTCTTGAAGAAACGATGACCATCTCGTTTGTCCCGTATTCTGGGAAACCACTGACGCTGCTTGGTCCAAAAGGTACACCACTAGAAACCCAATCAGCAGATTGATGCCTACATTACCGTTGTGCTCCAAACATGCATCTATGCCTTCTGGAATCACAAGCATGAAAGCAGTTCCGAGTAGCATGCCCATCCCGAAAAGTGAAAGCATGCTTAAAAACAGGTCTTCCCCTGACGACTCCTTATTCTTCACATAGTATATGGGTATACATCCAATTGCAAAGACGACTGTTAAGAACAGGAAACTAGTTATCAGTATTTCAAAAAGCGATGTAGACATTTTCTTGTTTTCTATAATTTCATGAGGCGAGAAGAGCCAGCAGTGAGCTTATTATTTTGTTCACGTACGAGTAAAACTCATTTTAGTGAAGACTCATAGAAATTTCTCAAAGAAGAGCCAATGAGCAATGACGACACTATAGAGAGGGCATTGGAACTTGGAGTGGTTTACTTCAAAAATGAAGATTTTCGCAACGCACAAAACCTATTCACGAAAGCGCTCAAATTGGCTCTTTCATATGAAAAGCCCGATTTAGAAAAGATACGACTATCGCAAGGGTTGACTAAAAGGCCTGTTGAAGGGATGGGCGAACTAGTACATCCACGATTAGTGAAATTGCTGGACAATAGAGCTGCCACTTGGGAAAAAATGGGAGATTTGCAAAAGGCATTAAAGGATGCCGATAGGTGTGTTAGATTTGAACCATTCAACTTACGATGCTACTTAAGGCGTGGCAAAATTCTCCAGAAGCAGGAAAAGGAGGATGATGCATTGGAGAATTATGAAAAGGGAATAATGATGATGAAAGAAATGAGCCGGAAGTGGCACTTGAGTCCGTCTACAAAATTAATGGGAATGGTTGAGTATCAGAAGGAGCTGATCTATAACAGGACAAACAAGCAAAAAGCACTCACTAACAAAAAAATTCAATCAAAACGAATTCTGATTTTACCTCCACAAGAAAATAGACTCTCTCAAGTCAAAGGCGCTCGTTCAGGGTCTACAACCAAGCTCGATATTTTGGGGCAGTGCCCTATTGAAATATTGAGAAGAATTTTACTTAACTTGGATACTAAGCAGCTTATAAAGTGCTTACTGGTGTGCAAAGTATGGAAGGCGCGTATCTACTTGCTACCAGAAGTATTCAGCCGTTTTGATTTGAGTAATTGCAATAATCGTGCAATTGTCTCTTTCCAGAACTTTGTCAACAAGATTTATAAAGAGCAAGGTGGCGCTCGGATTGATATCATTAAGATACATAGCTCGGCATTGTCCGGTGATGAACGCTCGTCTGTTACTTTCCTGCGAAATCTGCGACCTCGCGTCAAAACAATAGTATTGCATAGCAGAATCGTCGATTTTAAACATTTGACATGTTCTTTAGCTGGAAATAAGCGATTGTCCGCAAATTTGGAGGAGTTGAGTTTAAGTTGTAATTATCGGATAACTACTGTTCCCTCTTTGGAGTCGCTACTTTTAGGTTCACTAGAAAATATTCGCAAATTGGACCTGATATTTGCGAACTCTGCGGGTGTTAGTAAAGATTTTGTTAGTACCGAAGACTTTACTTCAGAACAACTCTGCCGCAACTTACAGCACTTGAAATCATTCAAGTTAATTTGTGATCTGAGACACTTGTCGTCCTCTTTTCCTTTTAAAAGCTTTCTTACCTTGGGCCATTTAAACAGACTAGAAAAGCTCTACATATGTGGGGCAACTTTCGACAGTACGATGGGATTTGACTGGCTTTGTAATTTCTCTAACCTGAGGGAGTTATGGTTTGAAAACAACAAAAACGCGTTCTTAGAGGACTTTCTCCGAGTCATGATTCATAGACCACTTTTTAACAGTCTTTCAAAAATTACATTCCGTGAGCATCGAATCTCGAGCCAGCCAGTTAATCTGCGACAATACCCACAACTGATGGAGAATTCACACCTGCTTCAAAATCTTACCGCGCTCGAAACGTTGGATTTGATGAGTACCTCAATTGGCGCTCGCGGTATGCTTGTGATCCTTTCTGCATTGTCCAGTGGCAGGCTGAAAAAGCTAAATATAGGCGATTGTCCCTACATTCATTTCCAGCGAGGCAACAATAATGGGTATATGAGCATGAAGGAATTATTGTTACGTGTACCTCATGTCGAAGAGCTTTTGCTCCATCAATCTGTAGCTCTTGATGACTACTCCATCAATGAACTAGCTCGAAATGTGAAGCATGTCAAAAAGCTACGATACCTTGATCTATCATTCAACATGTCTTTGACGGGGGTTTCTATCTATGAACTTTTGCGAGCTTTGAAGGAAGAGTTCATTATCTTGAATAAACTTTTGCTAGATGGGTGTCCATCGATAAATGAAGGCACGATAAGCTCCTTGAGGCGAACTGGTCTTGTCAAAGAACTTTCATGCTCATATGAAAAGGTTTCCTGGAAAGTATATGGGGTAAATACATTGGCAAATTCACATTCGTAGCCATCAACTCGAGCGTAAGTAGATTCATTCATGTAGATATTTCAAGCCTTTATAGAATTTAGCTACTGCCTTCTTTCTCTAATTCCGAGCTATCTTCGGTTTGCGCCGGATCTACAGAATCATCATCCAAGTTTGACATGGGTTTCAGGTCTTGTTTCGTGCCAACTTTCGTCTTACCCGTGTTCTTTGTTTTTAATGTGCTAATGGTGTTTGAGCGGTTAAGCGCAGGCGCCCTACCTTTGTGCTGCTTGGCACCTCTTTTGTAATATGACTTGAGAGGGGACTCATATGAAGAAACCGAACCTTTTCTAGACGTATCTTTAACAGCGGTGCTTATTGGAGCTGAGAGAGGTGAAGGAGGATTGGTTCTATTCGACGAATAGATGTTAGTGTTTTTTTGTCCATTTAGAGTGGTAAAGCTGTTACTATGCCTTTTGGATTCTAACCTCAAATTGCTATCAAATATTGATGTGGCATTAGCAGCGAATGGTAATTGACCTACACTTTTCTTCCTATCCATTCTAGGGCTATAACCCATTAAAGTTGGTAGTAACTTTGTTGATATGTGAGAGCTTGTTGTTCCTGGGTGAGAAAGACTATACCGCGAAGTACTCTTTCCCTTTGCATATGAATCTGATTTGCGGCGATGGTGGTGCATAGATTTGCTTGCTTCTGCGATAGATATGCTGGTTTTGCCATAAGAATGGGGTCTTTTAGAATTATCGTTGATTACTAGTATCCTGTCTGTTGCGTGAGGGTTTAGTATGGTGTCATCTAAAACGTTGGGTAGTTCACCGTCGTTACTAGGCATTTCTGGGGTATTGATTAGTGAAATGGATAAATCAGTGAATTGGAATGGATTTTTAGTTGTGAATGAAGGACTTGATATTATTTTTCCTTTCAAGTATGATATAGCTTTGTCCAGTTCGAACTCTTGTTCACAATGGTTTTTGATGATGGATATCTTTGGCCAGGTTGCACGAGCACCATTTACCGTCTCTCGTAGCAAGAAATCGGTAGAAGGGTTTGCTAGTAGTTCGTTCATTCGGAGAAGCATGTTCATGTCAGGCAATATCGTGATATCGCCGGAGTACTGTTGAGATAAAATTGATCTAAATTTAGTTAGAACATTTGTCGCAATACCTAGTTCGGTAACAATTTCAAGAGCGTGTATAATTTCGTTTGAGACAAAATTGTAAACGGACGACAGGTTTTGTCGAAATCGAGCACTAAATTCATCCTCAATCTCGCCGCCCACGCAAGAGACCGACATTTTGAGGAATGGAAACACGTGTAAGTTGACTTGGCATGCAATGATGTGATCAACGTTGAACATTTCAGAGAGTCTCGAGATTGGAAGGTCGTTGTCCACCGATCCATCTACAAATTTGACTGTACTACTGTTCCACTCCCTGGTTTCCCCAGTTTTTGCATCTTTTTCATAAAGTGGAGTAGATGGAAAGATTCCTGGAAGGGAGCAAGATGCGCACACTGCCGACCAGATCAAAACATTAGGGGCAGTTAAATTGTTTAGCAAACCTGGTTGCTCAAAAACAGACGCTGGTGATACTGTAATGTTCAAGATCTTTCCTGTTCTGTTGTAAGCTTCTCGAAATGTCAAATCGCCAAGAAAACCAATCATGGTTTTCACCAGATTTTTGTTGTCAAACCAAGTACCGCTTTTGAAAAATCTAGAGATCTTGATCAAAAGGTTCTCGCCCTGTGTCTTTTCTGAATCATCCTGAAAGATATTTAGCTCTTTCTCCAAGACACTTTCAACAAGACCGACTATCTCTCTCTTGTGACAAGAACACAAAATGCTTGCAACAATAGCGCCTGCGCTGCTGCCACTCACAACCCGTGGTAATAAGTCCTGCTCGAAAAGGGTCGCGAGAACCCCAATGTGAAAAAGACCAAAAGTCCCGCCTCCGCTTAGAACAAGTGCGGTCCTTCCGATGTTCTTACGAGTCTGCACGAGCATACCTAAGAGATAGTTTTCGTCCAAATCGGAGTGCCGTACTAACTCTTGTAATGCCAGTTTGGATTCTCGCATGTAATTATCAATTAGGTATTTTGTTCCCACATGAGAGTGCCGGTATAGGTTGACGTTTCCCATGTTTCCTAGGTTCCGGATCCATGTGGTCCTTATTAGATACAGCAGTTGTGCATAGTCGCGGTTCAAGCGAGCTTGGCGCATGTTTTCGGTGTGATTTTCAATCAATTTGTAGTCATAAAGGGCTGTTTCATTGCGAACTTTCCATTCGTTGGTACGTGTCAGCTCGTCAAGGCTCAACGCAGCGGCTAACCACTCTTCATACGATGTGGCGTGTTGTTTTTCCTGAGTTAGTTTCTCGATGAGCACGTTGCGATCGTAGTCTCTGCTAAAGAATCTTTTCGCCATGGATGCAAGTTTGCGAAACGTGCCTCCGCCACTTTCGTCCATGTTCTCATTATTAACATCGCCGTTTTTGTTGCAATTTTCGTCACTTTCCGAGTTCAGGTCAACATCGCTCACGTCCTTTTGTGTCGAAAGACTGCCATTGTAATACCGATGGATCAGCCTCTGTGTTATATCCAAGCGCTCGCCACTTAAGGAAAACTCTCCCTTGACCATTGATATAGGGATGTCTCGAAGGGCTGAGAAGGTTTTGCGCTTTCAAAAGAGCTCAGAACTAGTACCCTATATTCTGATTAGACTCACTACCTACAGATAACTCGATGTAAGGGCAAGAGAGCTAAAAAAAGCCTTCTTATTGAAACCTCCCACTTGGTAAGAACATATGTGCGGAGTCCTGTCCTCTTAATAAAGTTATGTGACCCGTTCATCATTTTAAACGCAAAATTTATGTGACAAGAGCTAGAGACATCATACAAAGGCATACGATCAGGCTTAGGCTTCTCTCTTGCTTAAAGGTAGCGTGCAACTTTGGTTATGTATTGCTTCTTAGAGCTTTGTGATTTAAAGATCCTTCTGCGATCGCAGGCGGCTAATTTAGAGCAAATTCTGTGGTTTGCTATGTTTCATTGAAGCTGGTTTTCAACTAGACGCGCTCCTTGCGCGTTGGCAGACAGCAAGGATCCATCTATGATAGAGGCAGTTTCATCAATGGAAACAGTTACATTCTTCCTTATGACGACGTGTGAGATAACGAAGGGGCCTTGGCGGCAAGTTTAATGGCACTGGAGTTCTTGTGAAGCTCTTTTTCTTGCCGTATGTCCACTAATTCATAGCTATAATGATAGTGATAGGAACGCAAAGGCAGGCAGGGGAGATCAAACGTAGAAAACCTTAAATTTTAAAATGAGATCGATGACAGATCCAAAAACGCCTGAGCAACATTTATAATTGATTCGAGCCGAGCATCGCTCAACTAATTGAGCTTATATTTAGTCAGTTGCAAACATAATTCCCGCCGCCAGCTTATTTCATATTATTTCGTTGCAGACAATGTTAAAACTCTATGGCAACTTCAAAACACGTTTTTGAAGTAAGTACAATCGATCTGAGGGGTGTAAGTTGGTAATACGCCACGTCTATATCATCGCCAACACATCGGTTCCCTCATCTTGATTTTAAATTCTTAAGTACTTTTGTACTCAGGCAGGTCAAATTTATAAATTCCCAAACCTATATATGTATAAACCCAATCTTTTGCCACCCGAAAGATCGGAATCCGTCAAGAACAGACTTAGAGCTCCTAGTCGACGCATCCACCATCGAATTTTTTACACTAGCAGCTCAATGACTACCGAAAAGATGGAAGTGGACTCTGTCCCCGCTGTGGACCCAAAACAAGAAAGCCAAACAACTGTGGACCAGATCTTGGGGCTTCTACAAGATGTTTCCAAGACCACTACGAGCTTGGACTCTCGTTTTGTGTGGAAAGCTACAAGGGAATTGAGTGTTTTCAGGCCCAAGCTAGACAAAGAATCTCTTTCGATTGCGGTAAATTTGCTATACCCTGATAACTCAGCATTTAAGATATCACTATTGAAATATATCAATAACAACCAAAAAAGCAGGGTGGAGAATGCCGACAAAGAGCGCCAGAAATACCCCGCTGCTTTTTATCAACTCACAAGTGTAAACAACACCGTGGACGTTTCTGCCGAAGTCAACAGTTTTGTGCATCTTTTGGTGCAATTATACCTTCTCGACTCGCAGCAAGTTGATGCGCTCGACTCTTTCAATACACTAGTTGTCTTGCCCAAAGTACTAAAATTTTACAATCAAAGATCCTTAGACCTTATTAATGCTAAGCTATGGTTTTATGTCTGCAGGGCTCGTGAAATGGGAGGCAACAGCTTCGACACCACCATAAGAGCAGAAATGATCAAATTTCTTAAAACGGCGACTCTTAAGCATGATAACGAAACTAGAGGGATGCTGGTAACATTCATTTTGAGAAGCTTCCTACAAACGGGTGAAGTCGATACAGCCGCCGACTTCATCAGCAAAGTCGAATTTCCAGGTTCCAATGACGTCTCGAGTCCTCTGGAAGCCCGTCATTTTTACTATCTGTCCAAGCTAAATGCAATTCAATTAGACTACTCGACAGCTAATGATTATGTGATTGCTGCTATTCGCAAAGCCCCAAACACCAAAAAGTGCTTGGGATTTTTACAACAGGCCAATAAATTGCATTGTGTCATTGAATTGTTAATGGGAGATATTCCAGAACTTTCATTTTTCAAACAAAAAGATATGGAGAGGTCATTGCTTCCCTATTATCATTTGTCTAAAGCCGTCAAACTCGGTGACTTGAACAAATTCACATCTGCGATTTCGACCTACAAAAAGGAACTACTGAACGATGGAAACTATCAATTATGTGTTCGGTTGAGATCCAGTGTCATTAAAACGGGTATTAGAATAATCTCTCTCACCTACAAAAAGATATCTTTGAAAGACATTTGTCTGAAGCTACGCCTGGACTCAGAACAAACTGTAGAATATATGGTATCAAGGGCAATAAGAGATGGTGTCATAGAGGCAAAAATCAATCATGAAGAGGGCTATATTGAAAGCAGTGAACTGCTGAATGTGTACGCTACTGATCAACCTCAACAGTTATTTGACGAAAGAATCAGATTTGTCAACCAGTTGCATGACGAATGTGTAAAGGCCATGAGATACCCCGAAGACGGCAACAACAAGGACAAGAACAAACCTGCAGGGGATTATGACCAAATGGAAGAAATGATCGACCTTGCAGACCTTGATGAGGACGACCTGGGGGATTTAGGTGATTTCTACTGAAAAAGCAGTTATTATCCAACACTGGCTCTTGGAAACTTTTTATCGGTAAGCAGAATATAGATTCATGTAATGCTCAATCTTTTTGAATGCAGTCGATAGCTTTTTTAGTGACGTTTGACTTAAGTTCGTTGGTTAGTAAACGTATTAAGTTTTCCCGAAGTTAAAAAAGTGTGCTAAACTCGCATATCAAAACTTCGGGCCGTAAAGGTTAGAAACAAAACGAAAAGGCCCCCCCCCCCTATGACAGAAGAAGGTGCTAATGGCCGTCAAACGGAGGATGATGGCATGAGGAAAATTCCGTTGGCTATTGATCCAAACCTCATCAGACTAATTCCTTCGTTTGTCCCTCCAGCAAATGATCAAGATGCGGAAGAGAAGATCAGTGAGGAAGCTCAGAAATCCATGAGTTCTGCTCAATCGCTAGTTAACAATCCGTATGAATCATTTGGAAGCATGCCGTTGGACCAGTTAATTCCTATAATATTACAAAGTCGAGGAATTGGATCCAAATTTGCTGATCTTTCAGAGGACACCTTAATGGAGGAAATCGCAAAGGAGTCGAATACTCAAGTAGATACTGATGGCGATGTAAATATGGATAACACAGAATTTGCTTCGGACGCCGACCAACAAGCAATAAAGCCGCAACAGATCGAAGATTCTTCACCAGAAGACGAAGAATCGCACGTTACACAAGAGCAGTTTCAGCAACTCAAGCTCAACACCGCCCAATCATTAAACCTGGCTCTTAATGAGTCCTCCCTGGCTCTGGAGTTTGTGTCTCTTTTACTATCATCGGTGAGACCTTCAGCGGCCAATGCATCAATGTCTCCTTTTCTAAAAAAAACTGTTCCTCCTGCCTCTCTAAACGCGGAGAAGATTCCTGCCGAAAAACCCAAAGATACAGAAATATTAGATAGGAATCTAGTGACAAAAGGCTGGAAACTGAGAAGTTTAGAAGAATCTCGAATTTTACTCAAAGAGACGCACAAGGCTTTGGAAACAAGCCTAGAAACTGAACACAGCTACTGGTCCAAAGTTGCGCACTACATCTCTAAAAAGGACGTAGTATTTAAGATGAAGGACAAAGAAACCGGAGAGAAATCTCTTGGATTGAAATACGGCTATGAAGATTCTGGTTCAACCTACAGGCAGGAGCGAGGAATTGCTATCTTGAGACATAATGCCAATAAAGATAACTTGGAGGTAATACCGTCCGAAAAACGACAGCAAAGTGCGCTGGGGAAGGACAATAGTGAGAAGTTTATGCGGGTGCGTATATTCAACAAGATTCAAGAAGAAGATGATTATGTCTTGAGTGGAGAAACTTCCCTCGAAGATCTACTGGTTCCTAACTCAATAACGGCAGGAGAGAACGATATTCGGCGTCAGATTTCAAAGCTTCAATTCATTATATTTGAGAAGGAACTTATGTTTCATCTCAAAAAAGAATCTGAGAATTTGATATCCTATGGTGTCACTATCGAAAATGAGAACAAGGTGACCGTTGAGTTCCCTACGGAAAAAATGGAATTTGAGATGATGAAACTGAATGACGACCTGATTATGAATCATCAACAAGATGCTCCGAAAACCAATGATAGAAAGGCTTCTTTGATTTTGGTGATGCTCAGACTGCTATTAGTTGTCATGTTCAAAAAACAGTTAAAGAAAAAGCTCTTGACAGGTCAGAAAGATTTCAACGCTAATTCAAAAGTTTCCAGGTTTCCTGAAAGCGAGGCGTTGCTACTGCGACCAATTATGGGGAAGTTTAGACATGGCAACTACTTGAATTTACTACAAAAAGTTATAGAAACTTACATTTTGGAAGAGGTTGAAGGCTCCACAGTAGTTCGAGTGGCATTGGGGAATTTCAGATCAAATGAGGACTATGATGAACCTACATATGACAAGCACATTGTGAAGCTCGATAGAGAAATAAGACTTTTCGATCAGATCTTACAGACGCCTCGTACCGACCTACTTGTATCATTACCAGCCTCTGGGAAGATCGAATTCAGCTTACAAAGCTCAAATTACTGCAATGCCACGACTAGCGTGAAGTACATTGATGCAACGGATTCAACGGTATTTGACACTAAATTCTCGAATTTCAAAGAGTTAGAGGATTTCTTACATTTCATTGTGAGTGAGTATGTCAAAAGCAATACGGCGCAGGTTTGAATATATATTGACTGTGACGTTAATCATCGTATATAAGGGACGAAGCTCTCGCGCCGCATAAAGAAGAATGTCTTCCATAGCCAACTATTCGTCAGAAGAAGCGTCATCGCCGACTGACTCTTCCCCTTCTTCCTCTTCTTCCTCTTCTTCTTCTTCTTCTTCTTCTGCCTCGTTTACGGGTAATGGTTCAAGTTCCTCAGGTTCGTCCCCGTTAACGACTCTGTTAGCTCTCTTGAAATCTTCATTTCTCTCTTCCCTTAATGCAGTAAAGATCAGAAAATTGATCCACACCTCACTCATTCCATAAATAAACACTGCATTATTGTGAATAAACAAGCTCTCTTTGGCATAGTAGGACGCTGTTGTTAGAATGAAGAAGATCATCAACCGAAGCGGCACCATCGACTCGAAAAACAGCTTGTTCTGTTCCAACAGAGGAATGAGGTCGTGAAGAGCCAAAAATCCAAAGAGGGCAGCTGTTAAGCCCAGCTGGGCACTGTAAGACGACAACGTCAACGCGGGAAGGTTCATCGCCTGCGTGAACATAAGCACTGTTGGATTGGATAAAATGATATTCACATCTTTAATGCAAGCGAATGACAGGAAAGATAGAAATCCGACCCGGAAAAGAGTAACGTTTATTGAGGACAAGACACCCATGATTGGCTACTGTTACATCTTCAGAGTGACAGCGTCTATTAATGTTTTTTAAATTCGCTTTTAAAGCCTTATTTTACAGCACCACGCACGAACAACTAAGAGAGGACATTTCAGCCAAAACGCTATGCGTGAGCAAGCAAAAGCTGAATCAAGCCCGCATCTCTCTCTTTGCACTTCATATGGTTCTAAAAATTGCTCCTGAAAGCAGTGCTGGAATCGTGTACGTAAATCACTGAGCTTTTCTTCCCCACTTGCCTACCTTTTTTTATTAAGATGTGGTATATAATATCCCCTGAGCAGCGTCATGTTTGGAGCACCAGCGACCAAGAGCATCATTATTTTCATTGGGCTTATCACTCCAGAAAGGCGTAAACGTCGAACAATAAGATATATGATCATAATCGTCAGAATAGTACAAAGTGATATTTGAGGTAAACTTCGAGTTGAGTAATTGTGACACCTGTGTTAAAACCACTTGTACCATTTGGCATGTCTTGATATTGTGTTTTTCGAGCACTGATATCTCGTTATGAAGTAATCAACATTTTATTGAAATACGTCAGGCTCTCTCTTTCCCTACATTTATTGTTCTAGCGACTGTTTTTGACTTACGGGAAATACTAATTAACTACGAACATCTCTGTAAATTAAAGTCTTTATTTCTTACCTAGACGCGATGCAACAGCTGCGGCTTCTTCAACACCTGAGATAATCCCACTTCTTACACCCTTTTCCTCCATCACACACAAGCCAGCAATAGTAGTGCCACCTGGGGTACAAACCTGGTGTTTCAAAACGCTAGGATGCTCACCAGTCTTCTCAACCATCTTGGCAGTGCCCTCTAGAACCTTTACGGCACATTCTCTGCTCTCCTTCAATGGAATCCCCATTTTGATCCCACTTTCCATCAGCGACTCTAGCATCAACAGAACAAAAGCGGGACCAGACCCAACAAGTGCGGTGGCAGCGTCCATGTTTTTTTCTGGCAATTCAATACAGCTTCCAACGTGACCCACTAGTTCCTTGACAAGCTCTTTGTTGTGATCGGAGACGCTCGAGGAATGTGACAAAACTGCCATACCGTAGCCGAACTTCGCTGGTGTGTTGGTCATAATTCTGGTTACGTATTCAGAATGTTCGCCCAGCTGCTCGATGGTCCAGCCAGCGACAAGTGAAATAAGCAGCTTTGTCTTAGCGTTGACGCTGCTGAGCACTTGCTGCGCCAAAAATGGTTTCGTAGCAAGCAAAACCACACTCGCCTCGTTCACGGCTCTTTCGTTGTCGTCAAAAGTACACTCCACCTCAATTCCATTGGGGCTCGCCTTATAACCCTCAAGTAATGTCACGACCTGACCTTTGGACTCCTCGTTATGATTACAAGTGATAATCTTTGAAGGGTACAGATCTTTGTTCTCCCCCGAAGCGGCTGGTGCATTGTAAATCGCTGAAAGAAGCGCTTGGCCCATAACACCGCAACCCAAAATAGTTAACGTGTAGCCCATACTTGAAGCGGTATTTCAGAACAGTTTAAGTTTAAGTCAACGATAAGTTTCCCGAAGACAAACAGTAGTCAGAATCCTTTCTTGATATCTAGGATAATTGAAAAGCCAAATTTTTTTCATGGCTTTTCATTAATGCCAGTATGCTAGATAAACTACTTGCAATTTCAAATTTATAAAATTGAAATATTGAAGAAGAGGAAACGCTAGTTTGAGCTTTGAAAGCCACTGAGTGATTCTTGGAATATTAACTACGGATATCTGGAATGGTTAGTCTGGAACATATTCCGGTGTTGCGGCCATCGCTTCGCGAAATGGAAGATCCTATTGGATATCTGTCACAGCCCAATGTTCGTCGCTTGGGTCATATATATGGGATGGTCAAGTTGGTTCCACCGGAAGAATTTAAGCCGCCTTTGTCGATAGATGAAGAGACTTTCAAGTTCAAAGCAAGACTACAATATTTGAACGAGCTGAATATTTCGAATCGTGGTCGCCTTTTTTTGATGAAACAACTCAATAATTTCTACATGCGTGGGAAGCGAAGACCAGATATTCTGCTTTCCAAGCCGTATCGAGAGCTGAAAAGTGCCGAACTGGTTTACTACTACGATCTTCTCATCGCTGTGGTGCGGTTCTTTAATGAGGATACTAAGAAAGAAAAGAGAGCTTCATTGGCATCCTTTTCTGGGCGCAAGCGGCCTCTGTCTCGAAGATTCAGCGAAGAAACGGCTGTACCAGCTGCTTCAGACCTTGTACTAGTACCTCTAAGCGATATAATGGACAATGTCGCACTTTGGAAAGAAGTTTCAACTACGTTAGTTGCATCCGCTGATGAGCTCAAAGAAGTATTCTTGACAGTTTTGGCACCATACTACGACTTTTTGCAGCGAAAGTCAGGTCTTTATGGTGATCATGTGTCCCTAATGTCCAAATTAATCTACACTGAAGAATTTCCTAAGTCTTTGCTTCACGACTCCGACTCATCCTCCGATGACGATGAGGAGGAAGAGGAGGGCTGCACTATATGCCAAAAAATGTCACATCGATCGAAAACCATTTTGTGTGACTCATGCGACAAGCCTTTCCATATCTTTTGTCTAGAACCGCCGCTAAACGATGTACCGAGGGGTAAATGGGTTTGCAATAACTGCATCTTCGGCAATGGATACTATGGTTTCAAAGAAGAAGACAAGTACTATTCTAGAAAGACATTTCAAGAGTTGTGTCATGATTATGATTCTCAAACTTGGCCCCTGGGCGACAAGCTTCAAAATCTAGACGCTTTAGAGATTTTGTTTTGGGAAAAAGTCAATCGAATCGATAAGTCAAAGCCTATCCGTTACGGTGCTGATATACATAACGTTGGGCCTGGGGAAATGACAGGCTTTCCGACAGCTGATTACGTCCCGCCCGGAGTGCTACAAGATAATGAGGACTTGAAGAAGTATGCGGCATATGTTAAACATCCCATGAATCTGGTAAACTTGCCGAGCGCCAAAGGATCGCTTTTGTCCGTATTCGGGAAGAAAATTTCGGGCATGACGGTTCCCTGGATTTACATAGGTTCTACGTTCTCCACATTTTGCTGGCATTTGGAGGATCAGTACACACTAAGCGCAAACTACCAGCACGAAGGAGACCCTAAAATTTGGTATAGCATCCCTGAAGGCTCTTGCCAAAAGTTTAATGAACTCATGAGGAACATTGCTCCAGATTTATTTCAAAAACAGCCCGATTTGTTGCACCAGCTAGTTACTCTCATAGCCCCATACGACAAAAGATTTCAGGAAGCTAAAATTAGCTGCTACAAGGCCGTGCAATATCCTGGGGAGTACATCATAACTTTTCCTAAATGTTATCATTCAGGATTCAATACAGGTTACAATTTTAATGAAGCGGTCAATTTTACCCTAGATCTGTGGTTGCCTTATGGAGTTGAAGCCACTCGCGACTACGTGGGAACGGGCAAAAGATGCGTGTTTGACATGTGGGAGCTCATGTTAACGGTCCTTGTCGAATACCTAGAGAATCCAAAAAAGTTTGACGAAGCTTTGGTGAGGAGATGTCACTCTGAGCTGCTGCGAATGTTCAATCTAGAAATGAAGACACTAGACCAGTTGGCGTGTGTAGTCAAGACACAAAATGAGGCAACAGGGTTCACACGTCGGCACATCGACGATCACACGCAATTGGATGTTAAGGTCACTGTGAGCCGAGCCGGAAGTTACGATGATGAATATGTAAGCGGGATAAGTTCCGATGACGAAAGCGATGGTGATGATGACATTTTTTGCACGTTGTGCAAGACCATATGTCCCTTTGCCTTTGTCGCACACCGCACGAGTTCGCGTTACTCGAAGCGGAGACGCTTGCATTCAATAAGCCCAGCAGAATGGAACCATTTGGCAGAGAAAGGAGACATGGAGGTACTGTGTGCACAGGACTACTTTAAGCTCGTTGAGCGAGCAGAAGAAGATGGTGCTGCCGCAGCTTCTAGCGACACTGATCCGATTGAGCAATTCAAGTACGACGAATTGTATTATATACGGCAGCCTGATGAGATAAGAGACATTCTGAAAAGAGCCCAGCGAAAGATAGACAGTATGCTCCGGTGAGAGTGAAAAAAAATATTAAATAGGTAACATGGATATATTAGGTTAATCGGGACAACTTTTGAACAGAAGGGGAGGGATGCGAACCAATTATCTCGGCCACGCTACTCTAAATAAAAAGCGGTCCCTCGTAAAAGAATTGTGCTTTCGGGGGAAGTGTGTCAGAAAATTCTCAGTAACAGACAATGAGAAGTGAAATGTGAAGCTGGGAAAGAAGGAAGTGAGCGACGTTGAGTAATAATGCATCGAATTTGTCGCAATATTCAGGTGACAGTATAGTACTGAGTGACATGCAATAAAACATGGGTTTGCGCTGTGCCTTGTAACGCGTTATTGCAGTATGCCAGATATGCTTTCTGTACAGTGGCAGTCATTTTTTTCAGATATGGTGGAATCTTTAAGCCGCTCAAGAATCATCAGAATACCGAGTATATAATCTCAGGCGGAGAATTCACGGATAGATACCCAGCCAGTGCTCTGTTGTTTGTGGGAGCCACTTCGCATGTACATGGCTAACATTTGTACCGGGTCTTTATGTTGGGATGTGAGTGATGATTGTGCCACGTTGGAAGCACTCAATGACATAATAGTACAAAGTGATACAAACAAAACAAGAGCGCTAAATGATACTCCAGGGTAGTGATTGAAGAGATTTGACGTCTAGCCTAAAGTTTTCTGATTTCTTGCCATCTTCGAGAGAGCTGGGCTGGTTGATACTATCGCACGCACTCTTATACAAAACTCTCAATTACGAAATAAAATATTGGCAAGCTTTCTATTCCTGAATACAGGCCCGGATCGATAATTTAACCTGACATTAAGGAACCAGTTGCGGTATTTTATGACCCACATGCTCTACTCGAGCCTTCATGATGGGACAAAAAAGTATGGCAATAGCGGCGGAGGTAACAAGGCGGTGCTGATACCGAACGCCTGGCAGCAAGCTGTCACTGAGCACTCCCTTTCCAGATCTTTAGCGGTGTATCACCGCGGCGCCTGAGCGCCCAGCCGTAATCCCGCTACTGTATCTGCTTCTGACTCGAAGAACAACCCCAGCATCGGGTAGAAGACGTCCTAAATATTCACGTGCACTCATTAGTGCTCGAGTTTCTGCTGTCGTTCCAAGTGATCATCCGTCATTTTCCAAGCAATTCCCGCTAGGAATACCTCCCAAGTTTTCCATTTTATCAGCTCTTCGGTCTCCGATCTCTCTCACTAATTCTCCACTCACGCACCACCATTACTGGCCTTCTCCTCTCTCCCTTGTCACTTCAGCACCCACTTTCTCCTTTCCACCAATCACATCGCGCCGCTTGCCAAAAAAAATCTCGCCGTTACCCGGAATATATCTCGGCACCAATTATTTTTCTGGCTTCTCCCACGCCACTCCTATATATGTAACAGAGGTCTATACAAAAAAAACTGGATTTCTCCTGTAATAGCTTGCATCTTTCAAACTCGCTCTTTTTGATTGTTTTCCCGTCCCAACTTTCAAAAGAGTGAACCGCATCTCTTCCACGACCATGGTTCTTCCAAGATTGTACGCTGCGAGACGCGCTGGTGTGTCAGCCGTCAGAACTCTCGCGACTCAGGCCGCGGCCGCCGGTAAGGTTCGTGCCGTGATCGGTGCCATTGTGGACGTTCAGTTCGAGCAAGGTAACCTTCCAGAAATTCTAAACGCCTTGGAGATCGACACCAAGCAGGGCAAGCTTGTCCTAGAGGTGTCGCAACATTTGGGTGAAAACACGGTGAGAACGATCGCCATGGACGGTACCGAAGGTCTCGTTCGTGGTGAGAAGGTTTCCGACACCGGGGCTCCTATTTCGGTGCCTGTCGGTAGAGAAACGCTGGGCCGTATCATTAACGTTGTGGGTGAGCCCATCGACGAGCGTGGTCCTATTGTGACCAAGAAGAGAATGCCTATTCACGCCGATCCTCCTACTTTCGTGGAGCAATCCACCGCCGCTGAGGTTTTGGAAACTGGTATCAAGGTTGTCGATCTGCTTGCTCCTTACGCCCGTGGTGGTAAGATTGGTTTGTTCGGTGGTGCCGGTGTCGGTAAGACCGTGTTTATTCAAGAACTGATCAACAACATCGCCAAGGCTCACGGTGGTTTCTCCGTTTTCACCGGTGTTGGTGAAAGAACCAGAGAAGGTAACGATTTGTACCGTGAAATGCGCGAAACTGGTGTCATCAACCTCGAAGGTGACTCTAAGGTCGCTTTGGTTTTCGGTCAAATGAACGAACCTCCTGGAGCTCGTGCCCGTGTCGCTTTGACCGGGTTGACCATCGCCGAATACTTCAGAGACGAAGAGGGACAAGATGTATTGCTCTTCATCGACAACATTTTCAGATTTACCCAGGCCGGTTCCGAAGTGTCTGCTCTGCTAGGTCGTATCCCATCCGCTGTCGGTTATCAACCAACTTTGGCCACCGATATGGGTCTCTTGCAAGAAAGAATTACCACCACAAAGAAGGGTTCCGTCACCTCCGTGCAAGCCGTCTACGTGCCTGCTGATGATTTGACCGATCCTGCCCCAGCCACCACTTTCGCCCATTTGGACGCCACCACTGTGTTGTCCAGAGGTATTTCTGAGTTGGGTATCTACCCAGCTGTTGACCCATTGGACTCCAGATCCAGACTATTGGACGCTTCCGTTGTCGGTCAAGAACATTACGACGTTGCTCTACAAGTCCAACAGACTTTGCAAGCCTACAAGTCTTTGCAAGATATCATTGCCATTTTGGGTATGGACGAATTGTCTGAACAGGACAAGTTGACCGTCGAAAGAGCCCGTAAGATTCAAAGATTCTTGTCTCAACCATTTGCTGTTGCTGAAGTCTTTACCGGTATTCCAGGTAGATTGGTCAGATTGAAGGACACCATTTCTTCTTTCAAGGCTGTCTTGGACGGTAAGTACGACAACTTACCAGAAAACGCTTTCTACATGGTTGGTGGTATTGAAGATGTTGTTGCTAAGGCCGAGAAGTTGGCTTCTGAAGCCAACTAATTGGAATAGTTTGTTGAGAGAAACCTCACTACTATTCTAAATCATGTACAGCAAGTCAAGCCAAAAAAAGATAACAACGAACATTTTAAAATTCCCCCACCAGAGCGCGCGTTTGAAGACAAAAAATACATTTTATGATGATGATGATGATATTTCTGAAAGGGCATTTTGTTATAAATTGAATGTGACCACACTAATCAATCGGTGAATTTTCAGTTTATCTTCATGATATGTGTAACGAATTTGTCACCCATCAAATCCTTAGAACATCGACTCTTTATATTCAAATAGTATTCAAAATACAAATAACAAGACCTTATAATTAGGGAGTATTTATGAAGGTGATTCATTCACCGATTTGCGGAGGCGTAAATTTCAATTAAACGTATCACGTTTCCCATAGTACCTTCTTTTAATTAGATCATCGACAGAGGACCTTAGGCAAGGCAGATGATATCGGTAGTATCCAAGCGGCTATACAATTCCTCGTTTCTTCGACACGCCAGTTCACATGCTCAGTTCAAGTACTGCGTGCTACCAAACAAATCATATTTGCATATCAAGGGACCAGATACCGTTAAATTTATCAATGGGTTAATAAGCTCGAAGATGCTTCCAACATATGTGAAGAAAAATCTCACTACGATATCGGTAGATGATGAAAGCCCTTCCGAGCACATTGCGGTAAAAGACTTTGATATGACACAAGGTAATTGGGGCGTCTTTAAGGAATTTGGCGAAAACGGTCCTTACATTTCGCGATTTGGCACATACACTGGATTACTGAATAGTAAAGGCAAACTCATCACCGATGCAATTATTTATCCGATCCCTATGTGGGTTGCAAGCATAGAAGAGCGCCGATATCCCGAATACCTGGTAGAGGTGGATCAAAATATCAGCGAACAGATGGATCGGACATTTAATTCACACACGCTGGTGAGTAAAGTTAAGTGTAGAAAGGAACCCGCGGGAAAGCTCAAGACCTGGTATTTATCAATTGCATTTCCGGATGGAGCCTCAGAAGAAAACCCCTGGATATCAAATCTGATAGAGCCGATGGAGAGACTGAAAGCTCCTGAGGCCTCGTTACAATTTGCTAAACATGTTTTGACAACGTTTTTCGCGGGCAGTGAACACAAAATCCTAGGCTGTTTTATCGACCCTCGAGTTACCGAATCGCTGTACGAGCATTCGTCTGCTCCCCAGGTTTTCCGCGTGGTTACTAAAGCAGACGTCACAGATTTGAGTGACATTTTCAATGCCCCCGAAATGCCATTTGAATTTCACAAACAGCAGATAAACGTTAGCGACGTGCGCCACGAACGATTTGCATATGGGTTTGTTGATGGGCTCGCAGACTTCAAACAAGAGACGGTGCTTCCGCTGGAGTTGAATTTCGATTTTATTCCGAACGCGGTGAGCTTTGACAAAGGATGCTATGTGGGCCAGGAGCTCACGGCGCGTACATTTGCAACGGGTATTTTGCGCAAGCGGGCGGTTCCGGTGATCCTGGATGGGTGGCAACAGCTGCTAGAGGTGGACTTGCAATCCGAGAAATATTTACGTATTTACGCCGAGAACTCCGGAGACCAAGCATTGCCGGTGTCAGGCACATCCGGACCGTTTGAAGCCAAAGCCTCCAAAACAAAAAAACGCCTGCGGCCCGCCGGATCCTTGCTGTGTTTTGAGCGTGAACGTGGCGTAGCGATTCTAAGAACCGAGTATTTCGCAGATGCGTTTGGCGGTAGCGGCTCTCACTCCGCACCAGAATTTTACATCGAGGTCCCACAAACGGGACAAACCGTGAAAGTCATTCCACAGCGGCCGCGATGGTACGAAGAGTGGCAAGAAGGCGAAGAGTGAAAGGACGACACATGGCTGTCATCTATTTACCCAGTGGTGTCGTTTTAGAGAGTTTCTCATCTCTGTACACTGACATTGGACTGCTCTTTCGTGCTTCCTCTAAGACCCATACATCTTCTCAAAGTCTCAAAATTCAAAAGTAATTTTTTATCAAAAGTTCAAAAATCCACTGAAAATTTTGGAAACCTAAAAGTTGCGTCGGTTTGAAACAACCGGTGATGGTTCGAAAGCTCGGTCTAACTCTAGGCTCGCGGAAGGAAACACCATAGGCTCGGCCCAACCGCTTCCAGCAGCCAGCTCTCCCTGGAGCTCCGAGTGGCCCCCTGCCCAGCTCTGTCTAGCACCGCCTAGCTCCTGCCAGCTTGGTGTGGAGTCTCTGTCTAGGATTGTGGACTGGTGCCAGTTTGTCTCTGGAATTTCGTCAACCCACTGGAAGACACGTCCAAGAGATATTGGCTAAAATTCGACATCTTTTCGATTCGGATACCCATTTTCGAAAGACCAAAGCGAACCCCGTTGAAAGATGTCTGACCACGAAGCTCCAGTCGAAGTGCAAGAAGAGTTCGAAGTCGTTGAGGAATTCACCCCTGTCGAATTGGCCACCGCCATTCCAGAAGACGTGCAAAAGGCCCAGAACGAGATCAAATTGTTCAACAAATGGTCTTTCGAGGACGTCGAGGTTAAGGACGCCTCTTTGGTGGACTACGTGCAGATCGGCCAGTCCATCTTTGTGCCCCACACCGCCGGCCGTTACGCCAACAAGAGATTCAGAAAGGCCCAGTGCCCTATCATCGAGAGATTGACCAACTCCTTGATGATGAACGGTAGAAACAACGGTAAGAAGTTGAAGGCCGTCAGAATCGTCAAGCACACTTTGGACATCATCAACGTGTTGACCGACCAAAACCCATTGCAAGTCGTTGTCGACGCTGTCACCAACACCGGTCCAAGAGAAGACACCACCAGAGTTGGTGGTGGTGGTGCCGCTAGACGTCAAGCCGTCGATGTCTCTCCTTTGAGAAGAGTCAACCAAGCCATCGCTTTGTTGACCATCGGTGCCAGAGAAGCCTCTTTCAGAAACATCAAGACTATTGCCGAAACTTTGGCCGAAGAATTGATTAACGCTGCCAAGGGTTCTTCCACTTCTTACGCCATCAAGAAGAAGGACGAATTGGAACGTGTCGCCAAGTCTAACCGTTAAAAACAGCAACTGCCACCATACACACAGGGGGGTCGAAACAATCACACGAAAAGCGCGCTCAAAACATTGCGCTGGTTTTTATCTCTTTGTATTTGTACACTTTCTAGCTCTATAATAATGACGCTAAAGGGAAAAATATCAAGATCTTATTATTAAATTTAGCTGTTGGGCCTTCATGAATGCGAGAGCCCGTAGTTTACTTCCATGACATGGTCGTTTCTTAACGAACTGAATTAACTCTACAATCCATGAATTATTGCATTTTCATCATCACTTTTTCCTTTACAAGCACTTGTATGGCTAAAAGGGAAGGCCGTCATTTTAAAAACATGACCATGGAGAGTGACAACCTGAATTTGTAAAAGTACATACAAATACACATATAAACACTTCTAGATACGAGTATGTTAGGTTTGTTTGCATATGTGAAATTAGCATAAGTCAGCAATCCGCTTGTTCACTCTCTTGTTGTCCAGTGTAACAGCTATGACGGCTACCTTCAGCTACGAAAATCTGCTGCCAGTGCTGCCAGTTCCGGACCTTAACTCAACTTTTGAACAATTGGAAGAATGCATAAAGCCCTTAAACGTGGCAGAGGGCTACCATAGACATCCGCTGCGCGCAGAAAAAGGATATATATTATACCAGGCTATATCGCGATTCTTGAAATCCGACGTAGCTCAAAAATTGCAGGGCAAATTGCAGGAACTGACACAGCACGAGCCGCAGTTTCTAGATGATTTGCAGCTAGACATCTACAACCACGCTTTGACACGCGAAATCGAAGGCGACGTCTTACCCCGTAACCCATTCTTGGTGCTCTCGGAGGACGCCGTCGAGGGTATCTCGCAGCAAGACCGCGCTAGCGTGCTATGTCTTTCGGCTTTGAAATTCATCTCCGCCCTTCGACACGATCTTTTACCACCGGATAAGGGCTCGCTGGGTGAACCACTATCTATGCTGCCGTATCTAGATTTGTTTGGGACAACACGCTGTCCGGTGCTTACCGCAGACGATATTCAAATCCTGGATGAATCTCTACCATTTGAGCAATCGGATAATCTCTCTTTGGACAGCATCGGTATTACCAAGCAGAGCTTTCAGGCCTCGAAACACATTGTGGTAATCTCCAGAGGTCAACACTACTCCCTTGACGTCTTGGATGCCAACAACTGCCCTCTTCACGATGGTGAAACCCTAGCACAAATCATGGACTATATTTTAACGGACTCTCAAAAAACTGAAAACATTCGAAAGGCCACATCTTTAGGAAGTTTTACTTCCTACTCACTGCGACGCTGGAGGCATGCTCGCAGGATACTCCAGAAAAAAGGTCCTGAACAACTTAAAACTGTCGATTCTGCATTGTTTATTTTAGTTTTGGACGAATCGTCCCCTACTTTTGACGAAGCTCACGAATGCAACCGACTCTTCCACGGCAGCAGCGTCATTGACAAGAAGACAGGGCGCCAGACGGGCTCCTGTTGTTCGAGATGGTACGACAAACTCCAGCTTGTTATTACGCGAGATGCAAAAGCTGGTGTAATATGGGATTCTTTTACCTGTGACGGTTCGGCAGTACTTCGATTTGCATCTGATATCTACGCAGATTCTGTTCTACGCCTGGCTCGAGAAATTAATGAGAGCCCCGTTTTTTCGCTGTGGCCTACAAAAACTGTTCATGCTTCGAAGCCAAGGGTCGACAAAATTGCATGGAGTCTTTGCAGTGCTTTGCAAAGTAGCGTCAATATAGCTGAGACCAGTTTGACCGACCTGATTTGCAGGCATGACGTAGTTCACAAACATATTCCCTATGGTAGAAGGATGGCGCACAGGCTAGGCATCAATGCAGATTCGATGATTCAGGTAGCCTTACAAATAGCTCATTACGAGCTGTACGGCAGAATGACCTTCACTTTCGAGCCAGTTTCTACAAGGTGTTTTCGAAGCTCTAGATCCGCTTTCGTCCCTGTCCAAAATCAGCAGCTATTCGAATTATGTCAACTGTTCAGTTCCAATGTCTTAGATACGCGCTCAAAATTGGAGAAATTCACTTTAGCATGTTTGAAACACAGAAGTAACGTCAATTTATCCAAGCGCGGCAAGGGTTTTGAGAAACATTTCAATACATTGAAGTTTCTGTACCAAAAATATAAGCACTTTCAAATTGATTTAAATCCGCTTGATTTGCAAGTAGCTTCGGCAGTCTTTGATGACGATCTCCTGGTGCCAATCTCAAATCCTGAGATAGTTGCCGCTCATTGCGGAAACTCTGCGACGACAGCATTTGGAATCAATCCTGCTGTACCCCAGGGATTTGGTATAGGTTATAGTTTGGAATCAGACAGGTGCGATCTAACAGTAACTTCCCAATTCAGGCAAGGAAAACGTTTTCTGCTAGTGCTCAAGAGCGTTCTCGATGAAATTTCGTATTGCACTTCGTGTAATACAAAAGAACTTGATGCCAATGGCATGGAGGGAGATATACCTTCTATCGCTTGTTTAAATGGTGTCCATGAAACCATCAGTCTGGACAACGAACTTTTCTCTTTGAAAGGATCATACTTGGAAGCGAGCGGCAAAAAAGACTTATGGGGAACGCTCGACAATTTGGCAGCAGCCGAAAGTAAGACGCCTTCTCAACCTGCATCTGATGACAGTTTAACGCTGAAAACTACTAGCAGGTCAAGGCACAGGTCTTCAGTAACAATGGAACCAGCCTCCGCCTTCATGTCGGATGAGGAAAGGCAATGTATTGGTACTGAGATATTTGTCGGTGATCCCTGTCATTGGCGCAAGCAGTGAGAGACGAAGGTCATTTTATCAAAGTCTAACTCAAATACCTTTAAGTGATGTAAAAATGCGTATCTAGAGGTTTGTAGTCTTCATAACATGCGTGTCGATGTCCAAAAACAGAAAGGCTAAAACTGAGTCTGCTAGAAGCACGAAGACGCTACTGATCAAGTAGCAGCACCACAGAAGACCACGATCTGCAAGCAGTCCGGTGAAAATAGGCCCAATACAGCGAGCAAACGTTTTGCCTATGTTGACAATTCCCATAACCCTCGTTAAGTCGCTTGGCTTGACGATATTGGTAAGCAGAATTTGACGTGGTATAACGTCCATGGCTGTGGTCAAATTGTATAGGTTGAAAAATAGCACAGACAGCGAGAGATGACTCTCCGCGAATGGAATTAAAATGAAGAAAATCGCGGAAGGTACCTGGACCAATAACGTGGCCTTAACGGGACCAAACGATCTTGCTATAGTTGATGATGGCAGCGACGATAATGCCATCATAATTTTGGCGACAAAAAACAGGACACCAAGTGCTGCTGGACCAAGACCAAACACAACGGAGTAGTAAAATACAGTCCAGGCGCTGGTCATAAACCCATAACCAAATGAATCGAGCATGAAGATCACTAGAAGCTTCAACATCACAGTAACAGTCTCTGGTGCCATTTTGGAGACCGATTTTGATCCGACATCAACAAGAGGAACTGTTTCGTCCATTATTTGCTGGGTATCCAATTGTTCGTGCTGATGGGCGTCCAATTCAGCGGCTTCTGACAGAAGCAGGATAGAAATTAATTTACCTAAGGCCAAGATCGTGTAAAGCCCAAAAACTGCCTTGTAACACTTCAAGTCAGTGTCTAACATGGTGTTATTTTTCAGGATATGGACGAACCAGCCGCAGAAGATCGATCCCAAAGCACTTCCGGAAATACTAACAAATGAGTGGATCGCGTAAATCTCCGGCCGGCGATTATGCGGCGTGAGATGGGCCATCATAGACTCTTCGATAGACTTAAAAGGACCCACTTCATCACTAGAGGGTGAAATGACACCAAAAATCGCAAATATCAGCAACACATAGAAGTTCTCGGTCCAGCTAAAGACCATGCCGCTCAGCACCATCATTACTGCGCCATAAGTAAGAATTCGGCGTCTACCCCACGCGTCTGCATGCCACGTAAGTAAATATGATATGCAGACATCGCCTACCAAAGTTAAAGACATGAACCAGCCGGTTTCCTTTTCCGAAATGCCAATTTCAGTTAAAAACAACGTCAAAATTTGGTTGGTAAGGCCATACGACGCCAGTCTCAGGAATGCCGAAACCCAGCAAAGTCTGATATCTCGGCTGGATGTCTTATATACCTGCCAGGCTCTCATGTATGTTGGTCTTCGCTTCTGTTTTCGAGAAGATAGACAAAGTTGAGATTCGAATATTGAAAATAATACATGGGTAGCTCATCGCTCTTCAGAAATTGAAAAGTCAACACACAATACCGGAGACTAGGAGATTAGCCATCGCCGTCAAGACTGCTGCATAACGCATCAAATTCAGAATGAGCGAGTCCTCTGACTTTCAGGAGGAGAAACCGCTAAGCTTCGATCAATCTTTAAGGTCTGAACGTGGGAAGCGTAAGAAGTTGGCGTGTGTAGAGTGCAGACAGCAGAAATCAAAATGTGACGCCCACGAAAAAGCACCCGGGCCGTGCACAAGATGTGCAAAGAAGAGCACTGCCTGTATACTGCAAAAGGACTTCCGGCGTACCTACAAACGTGTCAGAAACGAAGCCATAGAACAAAGGTTTAAAGAACTGACAAAGTCCTTGAGTAATCTCGATGCAGATGAGATTCTGAAAAAGATAGAACTAGAGCAGCAAACGTTGCTTGATCAAAACAATTTCACCAAAGAAAAAGTAAAATTACTGCGACAGGGCGATCCGAACTCAAGTCAGGTATCTCTGACAAACTCTAACGATACTTCAAATCCAAATGAAGACAATTCTGACGCAATCACTGGCTATAATAACATTCACGATGGGACATCTACGCAACAACTTCCTAGTAATCCTGTATTGCACGTACCTGTGGGATCGGAAAAGCTCAAGTGCAGCCCCAAATCATTGGGGGAAATCTATATGTCCGCGGAGGACATCAGTGAACTTTACGTAGAGTTCGTCACCAAATATCATCCGTTTTTGCCGGTGGTCGATGTGACCAAAGGCCCAGAGCTCATTTATAAATTATCACCTTGCTTATTTTGGGTCATAATGCTTATAGGACTTCGACGAAAGTTCAAAGCTACAGACTTCATGACCAAACTCTCTAGTCTAGTCAAATCTATTCTCGCAGAAATTACAATGTCGCCTATAATACGATATGCGCCAACAGAAAATGATGAGCCCGTTTTGAACGTTGCGTCCGTGTACTCGGTACAGGCGTTTTTACTTTACACCTTTTGGCCTCCACTAACGTCATCACTCAGTGCCGATACTTCATGGAACACAATGGGTTCTGCTATGTTTCAAGCGATCCGTGTGGGCCTCAATTGCGCCGAATTCTCTACCGAGTATGCAACTACCAATTCTGATCAGATTCAGGAGCAGGTCAAAACTTGGATCTGTTGCAATATAGTTTCACAAATGATAGCTTCATCTTTTGGATTTCCAGCATTTGTGTCGTTTGATCACACTGTCATTAGTGCTTGTAGAAGCTCGTCAAAGCGTTCCGATGCCCGCAATAATGTTGGGGTCCCTCAAACAATAAAGCAAATGATGCATATTGCATATTTCGAAAATCAACTCACCAAGACAATGAATTCAAACCCATTAAATGCAATGGGTATGGTTGGTGGTGAAGAGAAACTTCCACTTCTGCATGTTTTGGAACAGCAATTAGGTGAATTAGAAATCAGATTGCGGGAGAGTAAATTAGATGATATCAGGAAATTTCTGCTGCTTGTGGCCAAAGTGCATTTATTGACCTACTGCTTCACTGGTGTTAAACCCTTTGAAGATTCTGCCGACTTGAGTGGAATTGAAATCACTGTTCGGGACGTCGAAATGAATTTTGAAGCAAAGCGTGGATTTGTTAAAGTATACAACGTTGCTATGGAGCTCTTAATGCACACAACTTCGATGTGCAAGGCTGACCCAAATATCATTAAATCTTTTCCGGGAGTATTTGTCCTGAGCATATGGCAAACGGCATGCATCATAAGCAAACTGTCACACTCGTCGCTAGATTCAGTTCTCAATTTAGAATTGGGTAAGAAAATATATCAAGAAGCTGTGGTTTTAACGTACAACGCCTCTGTTCTAAAATATGACATGGCATATAGGTCCTCGGGTATCATGAAAAGCATATGGAGCATGTTTAGTAATATGCACACCAAATGGAAAACCGAACAGTCGGACGAGTTGCTGCCATTAGGCAATGATTTTAATTTGGATATCACAATAAAGTCCAGAATGTCGGCAAGCGTTTTTTTCGACTGCTTGTACAAGCTACGAGAGAAATGTGGCATGGCCAAATTGAAAAGAGAGCTACGATCCGGGTCGGAAGACAATGAAATGGAGGATGACGCAGTGAGAGACGGATCTATGGAGAAACGTGAAAGACGCCTCTCGGGGCAGCAAGATCCCGAGGAAAATGCACGTAAGTTGATCAAGACCATTCCACTGGACCCGGAACCGATTAATGCCCCTATGAGCGGCAGCAGCGCAGCCACTCCGAACAGCCAGCCGTCAGACGTGGTTTCGCTCAAAAGTATTCTGAACAAGACGGCAGTCTGTGACAGTAGGTATTCGAGGAACAGATCGGTATCTATTGATGATATTGAAGGCACGGGCGTCGGCGGTGGGCGAGAAATGCGAAGTCCCGGTTTCACGCCAGATGCCTTGATTGATCGTAATTTGTTCGAAACACGCGAGATGGTAAAAAATGGAAATGACGTTGAAGATTCCTCGGTGCTTTTGTCACACAGGAGCGATTCACCTGCAGCCATGGAGCATTGGGACAACTGGGAATCTGACACAGTATGGAAAGACGTTGATATCCTGATGAACGAATTTGCCTTCAATCCAACTTTGTGAGCCGCGGAATTGGGGTGGGCAAGATAGCAGACAATTGTAGCCAAGGAGCTGGCGACTGTCAATCGTTTATAACAATTTATCACTTTCATCTACACTGACGTATTGAAGTTATGTATCTCGTTGATGGCGACCTGTCATTTCAATAATCACTTTCCATTGAAAAAAAATTTTTAGTAGGCCAACAAGCTAGATTTGAATAACTTCACCAGAATTTAGCTAAGATTCATCTGTTTGAGCGCATTTAAGGAACTTTCGAGTGCTTAATTTACTGTAATTGGATTCCTATTGCACTAGCGTATCAGAAGTCTTGAAAAGTTCCACCACAAGCAGGCAAAATGGTAGCGGATTTACAGGACCAAGAACCTAGCATTGTTATAAATGATAAGTTGGGCAACAGTCTGGGCAACGATGAGCCTCTAGATTATGATGAGGAAATGGGTTTGGAGGAGCACGAGCACGAGCAAGAGGACGGTGAAAAGCCCAAAAAAAGTGTAGCCTTCAGCGGAGTGGATGATTTCGAATCTGAAGAAGAGAAACGCCAGCGTGAATTCGAAGAAGGTGGGGGGCTGCCAGAACAATGCTCGGACCCAGACTTTACGGCATTGAATCCTCTTTCTGCAGAAATTATCAACAGACAAGCGACAATCAACATTGGTACGATCGGACACGTCGCACACGGTAAATCCACAGTGGTGAGAGCGATCTCCGGAGTTCAAACAGTCCGTTTCAAAGACGAGCTGGAACGTAACATTACCATCAAGCTGGGTTACGCCAACGCCAAGATCTACAAGTGTGACGACTCAAGCTGTCCTGAACCGGACTGCTACCGCTCTTTCAAATCTGACAAAGAAATCAGCCCAAAATGTCAGCGTCCCGGGTGTCAAGGTCGTTACAAGCTGGTACGCCACGTCTCGTTCGTTGACTGTCCCGGTCACGATATTTTGATGAGTACCATGTTGTCCGGTGCTGCCGTCATGGACGCAGCTCTGCTTCTAATTGCCGGTAACGAGTCTTGTCCACAGCCTCAGACTTCAGAACATTTGGCTGCCATCGAAATTATGAAGCTGAAACACGTTATTATTTTACAGAACAAAGTCGATTTGATGCGCGAGGAAAGTGCTCTAGAACATCACAATTCGATTCTAAAGTTCATAAGAGGTACCATCGCCGATGGTGCCCCTGTGGTTCCCATTTCGGCTCAATTGAAATACAACATTGACGCCGTTAACGAATTCATTGTCAAAACCATCCCTGTCCCACCAAGAGACTTCTTGGCCTCTCCTCGCCTGATCGTGATTCGTTCTTTCGATGTCAATAAGCCTGGTGCAGAAATCGAGGACTTAAAGGGTGGTGTAGCTGGTGGTTCTATTCTGACTGGTGTCTTCAAGTTGGGCGACGAAATTGAAATCAGACCTGGTATTGTCACTAAGGATGAGCAAGGCAAAATTCAATGTAAACCTATTTTCTCAAACATTGTGTCGCTTTTTGCTGAGCACAATGACCTTAAATTCGCCGTCCCTGGTGGTCTAATTGGTGTTGGTACTAAGGTCGACCCAACGCTTTGCAGAGCTGATCGTTTGGTTGGTCAAGTTGTAGGTGCTAAAGGCCATTTGCCAAGCATTTACACGGATATCGAAATTAACTACTTTTTGCTACGTCGTCTGTTGGGTGTTAAAACTGATGGTCAAAAGCAAGCCAAGGTCAGAAACTTGGACTTGAACGAAGTGTTAATGGTTAACATTGGTTCTACTGCTACTGGTGCTCGTGTGGTCGCCGTTAAAGCCGATATGGCTAGACTACAGCTGACCTCCCCAGCTTGTACGGAAGTCAACGAAAAGATCGCTTTGTCGAGACGTATCGAGAAGCATTGGCGTTTGATCGGGTGGGCAACAATTAAAAAGGGTACTACATTGGAACCAATTGCTTAAGCATAATAATAGTCATTTGTACATCATGAACGGTCATGTCCAGATAGTAACATAACCTTGCACGCAGTCATTCTCGCACAATTGCGGTTGCTTCTCGAGGAAAACCTCATCGTATAAACCGTCAGAAAATCACCTGTATATTGTAAAGTCTTTTGAGTTTAGCATCAGATTAGAATTTCAAACTTTTTACACAATTAAGAGATCTTCCCCTCAAAATTTAACATCACCGCTGCTTCTTGGTACAAATCAGAGTTTATAAACTTCGGGAGAGAATCGACACTCATGAGTCGGTACATTGAGTTTGCAACTTTTTCGAAAAGAGGATAAATGAGCTTCAAAGTTTTCAGAATGCCGGAAAAATTATCTCCTATGATTTCGTTTGCGCTTTCGCCAGCACCGCAGTGTTCGCGAAGAACGTCCTTTCGCGTATCGCCATGTTTAATAGATTGTATTTCGTTGTCACGTACCAGTCTGTTGGGATAGTTGATTTCACTTTGTATGGTCATACCAGCTTTGCCGTCCACACGCTTTGTAAAATTCTCGGTAACAGTAGCTTCCTCAGAGCAGGATATGAACATGCAAGGTTGGGGATACAATATCACCTCCGTTATTGATTCTCTCAGCGTGTGGTCGATGTTGAGCTGATAAGGTGAGCCTTGGGCAATGAAAGATGAATAAATTTGATATGCGGTCTCCAAGCACTCGTTTGATTGCCTAAACAGAGCATGGTTAATAGTGTTGACTACAAGGTCACTGAAGTGTTTAGATTTCGAGACGTTATTGTTATCTGATTCTTTAGATGACTTAGTGTCCAATAAGTTTTTGAGAACGGTCATTCGCTTAAGGAATTTCTTTATTTCGATGTAGACATCAAGGTTCTCGACGCAAAATTCTCTTTCAAGGTGCGTTCGGAACAAATACCTCATACCAGGATCGCGCAGAACATGAGTTAGGTCCGTGAAATATGCAGGTTTGTGCCCACTTGCCAAATCAGAACTTGAGCGTGAAACTTCTGGTTTGGTCTCATTGTAATCTTGGGGCGAAGTCAGCTTGCGCGAATCCACGCCTGCTAGAAAAGCCCTGATGCTGTTTTCAGATTTCCATTGAACGCTTTCCCATCCTAACTGGGTCAATGTGAAAAAGCAGTTGGGTCCGATGGAAAACCTATGCTTATGGTTGTCAGACGGTGCCAAAGTGATCGGTTTTATGAGACCGTTTTTTAAAAATAATGATGCGACCGTGACAGCTTCTTTTGGATAGACGATATCAGTGCAATCCATAAGCCATTGCCAGATAGCTTTCGTTGAAAAAGTACACTCATACAAGACTCTTTCGTTCCCGAAAGTTTTGGTATTGAAAAGCCTTACCCCGCTACTTGAAGTGTAGTACTGCGTATGAGAAGTAGAATCTGGGTTAGTGAAAAAACGGTGGGACAAGGGTGAAATTCGGTATTGGTCTTGGATATTTGGAATTGAGTCGGGGTCAATATGAGAACCACTTTGATGCGGCCTTGCCTCAGTTTGGCTGTATCCGCTCCAAGCGACATTGATGCTTTCAAAGCTAAAAGTATCATCGGCACATTCTAATAGTTTCGCTAGCGTTGGCACCTTATCGGGTCCGTTGTCCGGCGACCAAATGTTTTTTGTAGGCCCCATCAACTTCACGAATAAAAGCGAAACGAAGTAGTCGCTGTGTATGATGGCATCGGTCATGGAGCTTCTTTCAAAAGTGAAAAGTTCCATCGAGTTGAGGTCGGATTTTAAAATAGGCGGAACGTCCTTGAGTCCCGTTTGGCGTGTGTAGCGTTGTAGTACGGCCACACCTTTTGGAGTAGGCTGGATAGAGACTCCGTCTTTGAGCTCGGCTCGAGTCCTATCAGCCGGCACGTGTAAAAGCTTGGCATCCATGAAAGTCCTTAGCATCCTGCATGCTAGCTCTGGCTGGATGGAGTACGAAACTGACACTTTAGTGGTATTCATATTTACTTGCAGAATCAAATCAGCCATTTTCGAAATGGCGTCCTGCAGACTAAAAGAGAATGGATAGGTTTTTTGGAATGATGGAATCAGCGGGTTTTTCTGTGGTATGCTGGGCTTCTCTTTCAGTTCCAGGCAAATCAGTAAAATAGAAAATACTCTTTTCAAATCCTCTGTGAAAATCAAGCCATTAGGTGTTCTTTTGAAAGTTTTCGATGCGAGTTCGTGTGCGGCCGGGCTGAAATGTCCCAAACCCTTGCCTCCGAAATCCATACACGTCTTTTATCTTAGCCAGCGTCTGTTCTTTTTCAAATTTCAAATTTGACGCAATTTCCAACTTGAGCTCATCGCATCCCTAATACCTTGAAAAAATACCATTTTAATACCAAAAATTATTTTCTTCACGTATCACTCTCGAGGGTCTGCAGTCGTTTTTTCAGAACTGTTAGTAGCATACATTTTGTGGAACATGAAACAAGTCCGATCCCTTTAATGACTTCAGTGAACCTCAAAAACGAGGGACCAAAAAATTGTTTTGGGTTGCAACCTCTAAAACACTATAATCAACCGTCGCTGAACGTTGTAGCTATGTAAAATTGACCGCTACGGAGGCATTTCTTTGATCTTGAAACAGTTTCAGTAGAGATCGGCAATGTCATCCTGAGCTGATTGGTAGTTTTGCCGACTTTTTTTATGATGCGGTTCTGTTTCGTCCTCGCGAGGCCGGTTAGGAGGCACGACATTGCGTGGTTCGTGGTTTACCGGGTGAGGTGGAAATGACTTGGTTTTGTCCCCTCTAACATTACGGATAGGTGTATCATTCGGATTTTCAGTACCACCGGGTTGACCTGCATATGGTTTATTGTGTCTGGGGTATGTACTGTGTCCATACCTCGAGTTTTCAAAGTATCCAGTAGTCTCTGATTCACCTGCAAGCCCTTGTGAGCCAGAATACGTGGGGTTAGTGTGATCACCCGAGTCTGTTCTTTGTGGATCTAAAGAGTTACCAGTGCGTTGATTGTAGTAGCGATTTCTTGACAGTCCACTGTTGAAACGACTCTCGTTTCTGTTTTGTCCACCGTTGGATCCCGGGTTGCCGTAGCCGGAGGGACCCCGGGAATAACGACTACCTCGGGAGTTCTCTGAATCGGAAGCGTTCCTCGGATGCGTGGGAGCCGGAATGCTAGAGGGCGCACCCTGTCTGGGCACAGCGCGCTTACTGTCGCTATATCCTCTGGGTCCGGTAGCTGGTTTTAGAACCTTATTACTTTTGGGACCCTTGGGCCCTTTCGGCAGCTGGGGAGTTACGGGCGTTGGCTTTTCTACGATGTGGCCTTGAGGTGCAGGAGGAGGTTGTTGGCTTAACGACCTATTCTGCTCTTGTTTATAACGCTTTATGTCTGCCTCATGACACTCCTCGCATGGCAACTGTAAAATCTTTGCTGGTAAGGGCTCTTCTTTGAAAAACGGATGGTTTTTGGCAGACATGGCAGTTAACCGCTTGTAGGGATCTAAACAAAGGAGTTGGCCTAGTAGATCGAGACCGGTGTCACTTAAATGACTGCCGAACCTTTCCCGTAGAGTAGCGGTATATTTAGTTCTTGTTAGTTCGGCGCCTGGAAGGTAGCGAGCTAATGGCCATTGTTCCTCTGTTGGTGTTCCTAGAAGCTTGAAAATAACATGACCTTGGTCCACATCAGTCTGGCCTTGCAAAATTGGCTTCTTTTCAAAAAGTTCTCCGAAAACACACCCGACTCCCCACATGTCTACTGCAGTAGTATAATATTTGTCTCCCAGAACTAATTCAGGTGCCCTGTACCATCTAGTAACTACAACAGATGTGTACTTGGCGTCAACCCCGGCTCCACCTGGGAACCTTAAGTTTGGCGGAGCTCCATAGTAATTTCTGGCTAGCCCAAAATCGGCAATCTTTAGTCTTCCCTTGTGGTCTATTAGCAGGTTGGCTGTCTTAATGTCACGATGCATAAACTTCTGGCAATGAATATAATTTACGCCTTCCAAAATTTGAAGCAGAACATTTTTGATGGCTCCCATCTCTAACTTAATTCGGGGATTATGCAGAATGCCAGACATGTCTGCCACCATGTATGGCAATATCATGTAAAAAGATCTAGAGGGGCTTGCGTTTGGCGTCGCTGGGGTGCTATGGTTATTGCTGTTACTGGGGTTTGATGGAGGGTAGTCGTAAACCATTTCTATAAGTTTAATGACGTTTTTATGGTTCAGCTTCCTCAGAATAGTTATCTCACGTTGAGCAGTGATAGGAAATAGATCTTTTTCTGCCTTCACGAGGGTCCTCTTCATTGCAACTTGGCGTTGGGTTTCCAAGTGGACACCGCGGTATACTTCGCCAAAAGTACCCTGGCCTAGTTTTTTATCCTCTTTATAGTGTCCCTGAAACACAGTGCACCCGTCAACACGCTCATTTTGCCTTTGCTTGAGTTCTATGTAATCCAGTCCAGTCCTTTCATCTTTAAGCACTTGCGGCGTTTGTTTGACCTTCCCAATTTTGTACTTGAAGTCCGTTTTCTTCGGAGTCAATTCTTCAACACTCATCAAGTAGTTGTCGGTTAAAATTCCGTGACTGTGAACAATTTCTAGCTGGTGGTTGAGCGCCACTGTTTCAGCAAACGTTAGAGCTACAATTCATTGAAGATGAGCTTCAGAATTTGACTAGCAGATGAAAACCGTTCGAAGAGACAAACGTGATAATCTCCTGACTGTACTAATTGGAAGTTCAAAGGAATTGGGACATAGCAAGCGCTATCACTCTTATTATGTTAAAGCTAGTTCCAGTGCATCAAACGCGCTAGAATAACAATCTGCAATGATGGTCTTGCCCGCAGGACTTACGTTTTGTGAGTTGTCTATATATTAAAATCCACATGAATGTAGCTTCCGTCATAGTTGTGTCCAACTGTAGTATATGGAAGACTTTGGCACCGTGCGTCGCAGCTCTTGAAGATTTATCTGCATTTGATACGTTCGCAGGTCAAATGGGATAATTGTCCCCGTGGTGTGATAGTTACTGGCCTGGAACGCTGCCAAAGCGGAGATTCTAAGACCAATTGAGCCCTTCTCAGCAAGAAAATCCAAGTCTGTCAAGTTTTCCCACACATTCTTGGCATCTTGTTTATTCCACACTCGAAGCGTACTTTCGAGCATTAATGAGGTGCCGGTGGCTTGTGGAATAATTGGCATTCTTTTATTAGTTTCCTTCACCATATCCGAATATTCTGCATACGTGAGGTTGAAATTTACATTATCACCTGTCTTGAGCGAAACTCTGCCAGCCGCAATGACCATGGCAAGCTCGAGATCAGACAATGACTTCACTTTTGCGCTCAACGAATTTTCGAGCTGATTCTGGTTATAAGCATAAATCGACTTGCACGTGTTGATGCCATCGATCACAGCTTCGAGGGATCTCTCCTTTGCTAAGAGTCCATACAGACTGTTTTTCAACTGAACAATAGATCTGAACGTTTCGTAGTTGTTCCTGACTAATTTAAAAAAACCAGAAGTCTCGTTTTGTAGGTTGTTCTTCAGGTTTCGATTCCATTGCACTGCGCATTCGTTAGGAATATCCACTGTTAATTGTTCTTCGACTGCTCTGAGGAAACTCTTCAAAGTTTTCACTACAGGCATGTAAATTACACGCTGAGAAAATCGGCTGTTTACTCTCTTTTCCAAATGCTCAACAACATTCATTTTCGTTGTACAGCCTAAAATACAGACAGGTACCCGAGCATGCTCGACCATGTCAAAAAGATTGTACAGTAGCGTTTGTCTGAGAGGGCCAGCAAATGTATCTATTTCATCAAAAATGAATACGACGGATATTTTTTCGTCTCGAGAGGTAGTTGAAGCACTTGTATTTTGAACCGTTGTAGTGTCAATCAATCGCAGAATCTTTTCAAAGACCTCTGTAAGGGAGCCCGCACTTATCTGGAAATCGGAGCCTCTGTTGCCATGCAGTTTTTGCAACCGAGATTCTAGTTGATATGCAATGCTGTTAATAGCAGCTTGCTCCGTGTGAATCAAACCATTCAGCCTGAGAGTAACAAATTGCTGTCCAAATCTTCGGTTCAACAACGATATATGATGGTTGATAACGGCAGTCTTGTAATGAGATCTGGGACCTACTAAAATAGCCGAATGACTCTCCTTTTGTATAATGGCTTGTTTGAGTATACGTTCAATTTCCTTGGAAGCCTCATGAACAAAACTTGGAAGGCGTGTGCTATCTGCTGGCAAGCTGTTATTTAACTGCTTGAGCAGATGTAATTGGAATTGAGAATAGCTAGGATCGCAAATCTTGGCCGATTTGGGGTGAGAAGATGATGTATCATCGTCAGAGCCTGATCGAGATCGTTTGACGGTCAGAGAGCTTTTCTGATTATCTTCCTCTTGAGTGTTTCTAGAATTATCTGGTTGCAAAGAATGCGACTTGGACAAGGCTTTGTCGCCCGTTACTAGTCGAATTTTTCTTAGAAATGCTTGTTGTTCGTGGTCCACAGAAGCGTCCTGTACAATTCTGTCAGAATCAACTTTTTGCAGCGATTTGCGCACTGGGCCAAACTCTGCATCTACATCCTCCATTTTCAGAGTCTTCAATTCCAGTAAGATTCGCCTTAATGAGCTAATCCTAGGAGTATTTTCCTGTCGGAACTCACGGGCGCTGAACCTACATGATCCCATAGGTTTTCATACATTGTGTGTGCATGTGTATATCACGTGCTCATGTTGCGAGCCATGTTGGCATTGCGATCGTAGACGACTCCACGATTCTTGCAATTGTGGTTACTTGCTCTCTTCAATTAATCTTTACGTTACCTTCATTAGAGAACATTTGTGATATGATCATCGTAAACTTCAGATAGTCACTAATAAGTCAGCCAGCGGAATGTAGCCTCATTTTGTACATTTCCATTGTCCCTTTGGAAATTTAAGCTGGCTATAGTCTTCCCAGAATCGACGAGAACTATTTCAATCATGAGAATATAGCGCTGAGATCACCGCTATGCGCCAAAACAATCGCGTACTTAAAAACTCAAAAATATTTGAACTACGAGATCCAAAAAAAATCCTTATTACTCCCTCTGTGTTGGGATACCTTCATAATAATCTTTACAATCTTGAAATAATATGGAAAACTATGATAAAGGAAGCTCGGCTGACCGTTGATCAATCTCTACAACCAGCAGTGGACAAATTGGCGAGAGAGAAAAAAAGTGTAATCGTTGTTTACTGCGCTGCAGAATAAAAATATTTGGCTGTAGTACAGACTTGGGCAAGTTATGGGGCCAGTTCCGGGAGTAAGTATACATCACTGAAGAAGTACGTACGCTCGCCTTACACATAAGCAACAGAATATCTATCTCGGATAGTAAAAAATCTCCGCGACGGGGAATTGAACCCCGGTCCCGGGCGCGACAAGCCCGAATTCTAGCCACTAAACTATCGCGGATTGGAAGTGAAGGACGTTAAAAAAAGTCTCGATGTACTAACTTTTTGATGGCATGCTCGGGCGGAGGCGTCGTGATTCAACTTCTTGCTACAACGCGCGGAAATCGTTTAGTGGAAGAGAGGATAAGTTGCTGAGCGACGCTATCAACGCTCTTTTGTCGAGAAAATCGTAGTACTTCCAATTAATAGCACCCAAAAGGTGCATAAACCACACTAAGATGTATGAGTAGTATAAAGTAGAGGGCCAGCTGTCGACTTAACATAGAACTACAGAATATATGATATTCAGAGCTTTACCCAATCGTCCAGGACATTACTTGGCAGAATATTCTATTAGGCAATCGCTTGTTTACTTTGGAAGGTCTTCTGTTCACATAAGCCATAAGAGCACAGAGCAGTTAAAATTACCTGCATGTACTCGACAATCTTTCCATAGTTAGTAAAGCTAAAAAGATAATGTACCTCCTGAAGTAATGGCATTGGCTTGACTAATGTTGTCTATTTCTCCTCCATGTTTACGTTGTATAGTCTGGGCCCTCTCAAAGCATTTATGGTTGCGCTTCGAGATTGGGGCTGTTTTTTGAGTAAAGCTGACCAGAATAAACGCGAGGCAACCTCAAACAATTATATACACAATTTTGAATACTCGACGTTATATTCGTGCTCAAGTAATCGCTTGAGCTATACCCTGTGACGTTTATTCTATCAATTGAGAGGAGCAACTCCGCACTTTGTTCTTAAGGTGCCTCAAAAGACATCTTTAAGTGTACTTATTTAGCAAGAGTCTCTCTGGGATGCCTTGTTTCATCATTACTTAATTTCTCACTTTGTTCCTTCCCGTCGCTATCGAACGGCATTTTTTTAATGTTTTTTATGAACCTAGTAATATTCGAAATTATTAATCTCCTAAGCGGTCAGTAAGGTAAGTTGGACTTTTGAACAAACACATATAGCGCGATAACAAACGAGATAACTTCGTGACTAAAAAATTCAATCGCAAATCAATTAAGCGGTTGTAGCATGAAGCTATTTCGAGAAATATCAGAAAGAACCTCATCATCATTTAGAAAAATTGGTGAGGCTAAATAATACCCAACAGGAGATATTTGATAATTCTATAGTATTAGATAAGTTGAGGGTCCTGTAGATTTATAAGTAGTCAAACTGTCAGCCCCTCACCATCGCTTATACTTGTCGAAAATTCATATTTTGATGGACGCAATAGTGCCGATAAAAACTTGTTGATAACCATAGTACAACGGTATTGCGTAAGGCAAGCAATCCAATAAAGCTGAAGCACAGAACGTTGACAGGCGCAGTTCCCGTTGGCAACAAGACCACCAGATCAAGACTCATTTTATCAACGAATTGACTTCATTGTGACTTTCAACTTTGATTAGTTTTTCCGCTGCTGACGTCCTTCTCACCTTGTCATACTTAACTAGTTTGTAGTCTAATTGTTTTCTTAGGTTTTAGAACAACGCGGTTTAATTGGCGGAAATTAGCTAAGAAAGAATAGGCGAAATAGTTGTGAGTGAAATGGACAGAAGTCTGAAGCACTCCATTTTAGTAGATATTGTCTTTCTGCGCTCGTATACTACGCTAAGTACGAAGCGTTTATACCATTACTTTTCAAGTTTTCTTCGAATGCCTTCGGAGGAGCGCGGCTGTTTTCCTAAACCGTTGAGTTAATACGCATTTCGAGATTTTCACGAGAGAAAATCATGCATAGTCGCCCGGGAAAGTTCTTAGAGCCGTCCAGCCTGGCAACGGGTTTCCTCCTAAGGTATCAGCGGGCAAAACCATAACGGCGTCCCTTAGAGTGCAGTCTGCCAAGTCCTGTTCTTTTCAAACTGTAACTACGTGATAAAGGTCGGCAGCTCCCCGATTAGGGCCGTTTCCCAATACGACAAGAATTGAAAATCGTTACTGACATTACGCTCCAACACCGGCGGGCATCAAATATTTGGTTACCACTTAGCTAACGTAAATGTACGTCTGACTAAATAGTTGAGAAAAATTAATGCGACTAGATATATTGCAATGTAGTGACCTAAAGTCTCGCATCTAGCATCTCGGGTAGCTGTGCAGTAAACATAATCCTTCAGCATATACCCATCTCCCACGAATGTTACACCCCACACAGCTGAGACGTAGATGTCTAACGACCATTGCATTGAAATGGTCTACACGATGATACGATAATCTCAAAAGGATGGGTATCTCGTATTAGCACTCTCAATACTACTCCGCATTACTGTGCATGAAGCCTTACATGATGATTTTCAAGTTGGAAACGTCCGAGGCTTACGGTAGCGTGCATGGAACGATTAGATGACAAGATTAGTTAGGAGCCCTTCAAAGTAAGGAGCGCCTCAAAAAGCTGTTGAGTAAGATTTCTGATCTTGGCTGAATCAACAGCTTGCCTTGATTAATATAAAAAAGGTCGGCAACTATTACACGTCTTCAAGCACTGGAAAAAATCCACCATAAAACCTCAACCGCCACCGCTTTGTCTCTCAACGGTTTTCTGTTTGTTCACTGATTTCCACTTTCTGATATGCTTCTGTCTTCTTTCGTTGTTGGCTTGCTCGTTCTTCAAGCAGCAGCCGTACCCATGAAACCCATGAAACCCATATACCCAAAACAATCCGATCCTACTAAGCACAAATCTTCTTCTTGGGATGCAATCGGATGGGCAGAAACAAATATCACAACGACATTATTTGAGGCAGGGTTCGAACTAATTGCCATCCCAGATGACGTCAAGGGGATGAAAGCTCCACTTTGGTTGGAAGGAGGATGGGAAGACCTTGAGTTTTACGCTAAGATTGGAACGTACTGTCCCCCTCAGTACTCGGACTCAGAGGATTTGACTATTAAAGCCATGGCTTATGTATTCGCGCACGCATCTGGTACTTGGTTAAACATGAACAATTCGCTTCACAAGAGAGAACTCGGTTTGGATATAAACGTTCTTGCCGATTTCTGGGATTCTGGCCTTGCCAAGGGTTCTGGTGACTCTTTGAGGAAGCGAGACTGGGAAAAATTTGTGGGCGGAACCTGGATTCGAAGCGATTCCAACGTGGCTCTTGTGGGTGCCCTGGATGCCTTGAGTGAAGCAGTTCAGGGTGGCTGTAGTTGGATAGTGGGCACAGGTAGCACTGCTATCTGCGCAAAAAATGGCAATGATCAGGCTTGCATCGCATGGTCCGGTGACTCGAAATCTCTTCAAATGTGTGCCGCTAAGCAAATTTTGGAAAGCTGTCGGGCTGAGTTTGGCGAGGATGTTGACATCAGCGCCCAGCTACCGGGAGGATTGGAAATCAATAATGAAAACCGTTCTGACCAGCAGGTTTGCGTCAGTAACAGGCCAGACGGATGCTAATTTGGCCATATCTGCAGTTATGACTACTTACCAAATATCCAGAAGAAAAAACTCTGCACAGGACCCGCGGAGTCGCGCCTGGTCGCGACTTTCGACTACGCTAAGTACGATCAACGTACGTAGAAACCACGTGCCTAACGACACAGGTAAAATAGCCAAGTAGACTGTGCCTGGACCTCCACTCGACTCTCCACCCGAATATCTATGCGTTTATTTTCGACGACATCTTCCCAACTATCCACCCAACTCTCCACCCAAGTCTCGACCCGTCTCTCCATTGAGCCCTTCTTAATTTTATTTTTTCATACCTTACTCCATTGCCGCCGGCCGGAGCAAAGGCAGAAACAAACTCTAAAGATAAAATCATCAACACCAAAGGATAAGCGCACTAAATGACAAAGTCCGAGATTGGCTCCGAGGCCGTTGGTACGGCGCCATTAGGGCTTCAGACCCTTTCTCGGAACAAGTCGGGACACAACAATAGCAGGAAGTAAAGAGCCTTTGGGAAACTAGAACATGGAAAGTTGTATATATAAAGCGTGCGATTTTCTAACAGGTTAGCATTTGAACAGTCTACTCTTGTATCCATCAGCGCACTTTTGTATGATCATTTGCTAGTCAGTTTGGTTGTGTGTGCGTTTGAACTATTTGTTTTGTTTTGGCAACTATATAAGCTTTGTCTACTTTGTCCCATCTGCAATGCCAGTTAGAAACAAAATTCCAATTTCCGCCCAGGAAAGTATCCGCGCGGAGTTGTCGCTAGGAGAGGAGGTAGTGACGATCCGGCGCAACGCACCGGCCGCACTACTGTACGAAGACGCTCTTCATGAGTCGCGTACTACGATCGCCAGCTCCGGCGCGCTCATCGCGTTTTCCGGTAACAAGACTGGGAGATCGCCTCGCGACAAGCGGATCGTCGACGAGCCTTCGTCCAGAAACCACATTTGGTGGGGCCCTGTCAATCGCAAGTGCTCCGAAAAGACTTGGCTCGTCAATCGGGAACGAGCCGCGGACTTCCTTCGGACACGTGACCATTTGTACATCGTCGATGCCTATGCTGGTTGGGACCCACGGTATCGCATCAAGATCCGTGTTGTATGTGCGCGCGCGTACCATGCACTATTCATGACCAACATGTTGATCCGGCCTACAGCAGAGGAACTGCAAAATTTCGGAGAACCCGATTTTACGGTGTGGAATGCTGGCCAGTTCCCTGCCAACACGCACACTGACGGTATGACCTCGAAAACCACCATCGAAATCAATTTCGCAAAGATGGAAATGGTAATTCTGGGCACCGAATATGCTGGAGAAATGAAAAAGGGCATTTTCACCGTGATGTTCTATTTGATGCCCATCAAGCACAATGTCTTGACCTTGCATTCTTCGGCAAATCAAGGAATCCAAGACGAAGACGTGACTTTGTTTTTTGGACTAAGCGGCACGGGAAAAACCACTTTGTCTGCAGACCCTGCTCGCCGCTTGATCGGGGATGACGAACACTGTTGGTCCGATCACGGTGTCTTCAATATCGAGGGCGGTTGTTATGCCAAATGTGTCGGTCTTTCGGAAGCCAAAGAACCTGAAATATTCCATGCCATCAAATTTGGATCCATCTTGGAAAACGTGGCGTACGATCCTCTTACTCGGGAAGTTGATTATGAAGATTGTGAGATTACTGAGAACACCCGTTGCGCCTACCCAATCGAATTTATTCCAAGCGCCAAGATTCCGTGTTTGGCTAACGAGCACCCCAAAAATATTGTTTTGTTGACATGCGATGCATCTGGAGTCTTGCCACCTGTATCAAAGCTTACCCCCGCTCAGGTCATGTACCATTTCATCAGTGGGTACACTTCAAAAGTTGCTGGCACTGAAGAAGGCGTCACGGAACCCGAGGCCACATTTTCATCTTGTTTCGGTCAACCATTTTTGGCTCTTCATCCACTAAAATATGCCACAATGTTGGCAGAAAAAATGCAACAACACAGCGCCGATGCTTGGTTGCTCAATACCGGTTGGACTGGCGCCAGTTTTGTCGCAGGCGGCAAGCGGTGTCCACTCAAGTGCACGCGGGCAATTCTCGATGCCATCCACGATGGTTCCCTGGCTAAAGCGAAGTACGAAACTTTAACCACTTTCAATCTGCAAGTTCCGTGTCACATTAACAATGTTCCTGATCAACTATTAAACCCGGCCAGAAATTGGGCAGACGGTGAAGCCCATTACCAGAAGGCTGTTCGGTCACTAGGTAAACTGTTTGTTACCAACTTCAAGAAGTATGCGGATCAAGCTACGACTGAAGTTCTCAGCGCAGGTCCCTTGATGTAAATCACAGGGCAAATGGGTTTTTATATTTTTTGTGACACTTCTATTTCATATTGTGTGTATAATAGTATCGCAGATTTCAATTATAATATGCCAAAGGGCAATATTTACTATTCCTCACCCCCTTTTGAACCTATCATGAGATATGAACCGATTAGCGTTTGGAAAATTCGGCGGGTTCATTGGATGTCGCATCTCCGTTACATTTACAGCGATATGTGGAAGCTGTGTCTCTAGAGCCGCTTCGTAAGTAGGCAAATCAACATTGTCAAGACTAACCCATGGAAATAAAGCTCTACCGAACCAAAAGTGCTGAACCACTGGAAATTTATTCAGTACCTCAACAAAGTACATCTTCAAAAGTCCGCGCTGAACCTTTGACCACGTTGGCACCGTTTGTGAAATGTCGTAAAGCATTGGCGAATGTTCAGAAAACTTACCAGACTTGACTTTAAAAACGAACGACAATGCTTGACAGTATAAATTTGTTCCAGCATTTTCGGCCACGATGAGATTATTCTGCATGTCTTTTGGTGAAGCAGGAGCGGTACGTCCATCGGCCCATTGTGACGCCCCAAAGATATAAATTAAATGGAAGTGGTCATCTAGCCCCCAAACACCATGCGATCCAGCTGGTTCCAAAGTATAAGTTAGTACAAGCTTTCTTACAAGTGAATAATAGCGACAGAATAGAAACAAAAGATCTGAGCCTGTAAGATCGGGACCCCATATGCCCAGCATATCTAAAGCAACCACCAATGCGAAAAAAGCGAGCTCGTGGCCGGTACCATAATCTAGTCGCTCCCGCGATCCGAAGGAATTAACAAAATAGTATTTCAGTTCTACAACAGTTTTATGGTACTCAAGTGGCACAAAGTTGCGTAGCAAGGTGCCCGATTTTTCTTCCAATTTGTCATGCCATGTTCTGCAGGCGAGGTTCCCGTACCGTCTTGGGCCTGGAAGCGCTGGGGTTTCATCCACTAGCGACGACAAGAAAACTAAAATTTCGGCGAACTCCATCACTCTAGGATTTTTGCTTCTTCTGTCAATTTTCTCACCAGACATGGCGCTGACGTATCGATTAAGATACAGCTTCAGCCTATAAATCGCAAGTGACTTCTGGAATATTTGTGTACCGCGGGAATCAAAGATACGTTTTGTGGGTTCTTCAAACGATGTCGTACTGACATCGATAGTCACTGGCTTAACGCCTGAGTTCATTTAGAAGTAACAAAGTGGCGATTTCTTAATCGCCCGGCTAAGGATTTGGTTGCGGAAATATAACAGGTGAAATTGTGCAGTAATGGGAACTTAACCCTAAGTTGCAAGATTTCAGCGGAATACAATAACAAGTTTTGGAGGATTCTTCAGACGTTTTTGCTTTTTGATCAGCGATCGTAGGGCAGTCGAAGTCGAAGACGAATTGATAATTAGGCGCACAGAAAGTAGTTGTTGAGGCTCAGAGCGTTGCTGCTGAGAAGCTCGTATGGCTATTATGAGGTTTTTTGAGGAGTGCACAGCGTATTGGATATTGTCTCAACTAAACAAATTTGGAAATTAATCGCCTAATTTTCATGAATCTTGTTAGTTAAGTTACTAAAATAAAGACCTTAAAAACTAAAGTTCACCACCGGCCTATAACCTTCTTGTACGCGAAGATCAACGAAAAGCAGGTCAGATATCTAAAATCACCAATAAAGAATGGAATCAGGAGAGCCTAAACGTAGTATTTTGTTACCGAGTAAAGCTGAAGTCGCTGGAGGAGAGAACATTCGGATCTTAGAGAGCGAAATACCAGGCAGGGGTGAGAGAGGTCGTACTAGAGAGAAGAAGGGCTCATCGTCGAGCGGTATTTCGCAAAATCGGTCCAGAACTTCAAGCAGATTGAGAGGCGATATGGGAGAGTACTTCAAATGGACAGTGTTGCGTCACGATCCCTCGGAAAGACTCGAAATTGACGATCGAGAAGGATCTGAGGAAAGTGACAATGAGGAAGATGTCAGTGATGAAGAGCAGGTAAGCGATGTAGAAAACGAACTCGATATCGATGCAGCTCTAGGATACGATCTGGGTGCCAGAGTGCTCCCGAATTTTGTCACCAGCTTGTGGGACGTTTTGCAGGCGGAAAAACAGTGGGTTGCTAATTATCACCAGGAGTTAGCTAAGAACGCCGCGTCCATTCAGGTTGAAGAGATTTCCGGTGGTTACGCAAGAGCAATAGAAGTACTACATGGACCTAAAAGTGAGAAGTCTAATTTAGAAAAGGGATCGTCGTATGTCTTGTACCTTGATCTCACGACAGAATCCTTCTACGCGCTACTGTACGTGTTCGGAGCCGTGCTTAACCCGAACGATACTTTATACGTGCTGCATGTCTCGCCGAAAGTATCCCTCGACAAGCTGCAATCAAATGTATCCCAATTGAAAGCACAAAGCGCGTATCTGCTAGATGCGTCGGCTGCAATCTTGGATTCGATAAACGTGGTTGTGATCTCGGCATCACATCCCTATCCCAAACACCTGTTAAATGAGATGGTTTTGGCAATAGAGCCCATGACCCTATGCGTACCGCTTTCATTGGTACTTTCCTCACTACATAACTATGTGTGCCCTATACCCACGATAGTGATACGCAGGAAACTAAAGCGGTCCAAAAAGAAGGGTATAAACGAGTGAAGGGAGCTATAAGGTTTTACGTTTTATTATGATCTCTTTGATAGACGAGCTTGATGAAATGCGAGAAAGACGAGGAATGCCCAAGGCAATGGACAAATGATGTTCGTGCAGCTGGCGGGAACAATGCCTACAACGACGTCTCTCTGTTGTACTCGAATTACAAGAACCGGCGGCAAACGGGAAAAATGGTCAGCAGCTAACGCTCTATTATAGCATGTGGTGATTAAGAATTTAGCAAGACGAGGCGACCGCCGAGGTTAGGGAACCAAGGCACCTGGTAAACATAACGCACGGAACAGTGAATTGGCGCCTGATCGACTTTACCATACAGTGCACACACGAATTACCCGTGAGATCAAACGATGGCAAGTGCTATTTAGGGACATTTGGGCTTCTTTAATTTCAGTGCTCGAACCAGGCATTGGCTTATTGTATGGTTCTCGAACAAAATGCTGGGGTCGTCGGTAATCTCCAGTTGAAAACAGTTGCGATGTTTATTTTGTACAACTAATCTAGCGGGTTTGCACGCATACAAGCTTTCAAGTTAACTCAAGCTAGTATCAGCAGTAGAAGCCCATCAAGCTGGTAAGTTTGAACAATGCCTTCAGCTTCCTGCGTCTCGTGAAACATGACACTGATAAAGGCACGATCTAAAGGTGCAACCGAGACCATAGTAAACGCTCATTCGGGTGCTAGATCATACGCAAATCAGACATCACATACATCCAGGCTACCGTATAGGCCTTTTTAGAGTACAAATATATCACAAATAATCACGGCATACGAACTCACCCAAACTCATCCTGAACGCGTATCGGCCTTGATTCACACGTCGCCCACGGCACGCGGCTACTCAAATCAAACAAACATGCTGCAGTTTTGGCAGCTGTTCAAACCGATACAAAAATCTCGATCTCTCTTTTTCAGATTGCGGTCACGAGCGTTCCGAAAGTCCGGTCAACGGTAAAGTCATACGCTGTCCTGTATCTTGTGCGCGTGAGCTCTCGAAATAAACAACACAAATATGTAGCCATGACTCAAGTTTTACGCTTGTTTTTAGGTGATACGAAGCACTGATTCTAGGCTCGGAGCGGCCTATGCGGAACGGCTCATTAATTGATGACAGCTCCCTAATTTATTAAGATTTGCTATTTTCAAGTTCGAAAAAAATTTATATAAAGGGAGTAGTCGTGGTATCAATACTCATCTGGAATGTAAAGTTAATAGCAACTACTAGTAATACTGTCGAAGTATCGAGACGAAAGATTCTTTATTACTCACGAAAAAAACAACATAGCGATAAATTTCGTGCGCTTTATTCTACCTGTTCTTGTGATAAAAACGTGAAATCTGTCTCTTTTCGAGAGTCTTGTACATTACATTTGCATTATTGAACCGGTCGTATTTCGAACACCACTGAGATATTCGGACCAATCAATAGCAGCTTTTTCAGAGACCAACAAGGGCCTGAATAGCTCAAAAATATTACAACCTTCGATCCACAAACTGTTTTTTCCCCGCGTTAAAAGCAGCATATTATTCATCGAAAAGCTCACTTTGTGTATCTTTCTTTGATCCTGCTTTACTATGTTCACCCGAACATTGTCTAGGCGTGCGTTGACCACGGCCACGCTGGCCGTTGGTGGTTACACGGCTTACTCTTGGCAGAAAACACATTTGCAGAATGAGGTGCGCGTCCCGGTGCCGCTCAGGTCTGAGGCGCCAGCTCTCCCTACACGTGAGGAGCTGATGGAAAAGATGGCTAAGACCGAGGAATTCGACGTCTTAATTATAGGTGGTGGTGCCACCGGTACTGGTTCTGCCGTTGACGCCACCACTCGTGGTCTGAACGTGGCATTGGTCGAGATGAACGATTTTGCTTCAGGCACGTCCTCCAAGTCTACCAAAATGGCACACGGTGGTGTGAGATACCTGGAGAAAGCCTTTTGGGAGCTCTCAAAAGCGCAACTCGACCTAGTCATTGAAGCTTTAAACGAGCGTGGACATATGCTGGAAACTGCTCCTCATCTGTGTAAAGTTTTGCCTATCATGATCCCCGTTTACAATTATTGGCAAGTTCCATACTTCTACGTGGGCTGCAAAATGTACGATTTGTTCGCCGGCTCACAAAATCTCAAGAGCTCCTACATGATGTCTGCTAAACGTGCCTCCGAAGTCGCCCCTATGTTAGATGCTTCCATTCTAAAAGCTGGTCTTGTTTATCACGATGGCTCTTTCAACGATTCTAGAATGAATGCCGCTTTGGCTGTGACGGCCATTGAACGAGGTGCTACTGCTTTGAACTATATTGAAGTCACTCAACTTATGAAGAACGAAAAAACTGGACGCGTCGAGGGCGCGATCGCACGCGACCGTGAGACGGGCCAAGAATTTCGTATAAAGGCAAAGGTTGTGGTCAATGCAACTGGTCCATTCAGTGATCGTTTGTTACAAATGGATAATGACAAAAAAGGTTTGCCTAGAAATGATTTGATTCAATTCGCTAACGAGGGACATGACTCCATTGGATCTCGTGTCGCGGTCTCTAATCCCCGTATGGTGGTTCCCTCTGCTGGTGTTCATATCGTTTTACCTGCGTTCTATTGTCCAAAGGATATTGGGTTGCTTGATGCCAAAACTTCGGATGGCAGAGTAATGTTTTTCCTGCCATGGCAAGGCAAAGTCCTTGCCGGCACCACTGATATTCCTATGAAACAGGTTCCAGAAAACCCCACTGCTACTGAAGCTGATATACAAGACATCTTGAAAGAATTGCAACACTACATCAAATTCCCTGTTAAGAGAGAAGATGTCCTAAGCGCTTGGGCAGGAATTAGGCCCCTTGTTAGAGACCCCCGGACGCTGAAGGAAGGGGATGATGTTAGCTCAACTCAAGGCCTTGTCAGAAATCACTTTTTATTCACATCTGACAATGGTCTCGTTACCATTGCGGGTGGGAAATGGACCACCTATAGAGAAATGGCCGAAGAAACCATCGATGAAGTTGTGAAAGTTGGCCATTTCCAAGCGAAGCCCTGTGTTACTAAAAAGATAAAACTTGCCGGTGCGGAAGGCTGGGATCCAAACTTTGTTGCCATGCTCGCACAAAAGTATCGTCTTTCATCAAAAATGGCAGAGCATCTAGCAAACAGCTACGGAACACGTTCTCCAATCATTTGCGAGATGTTCAAGATCGACGACAGGAACCAACTTCCCGTCACTTTCGGTGGTAGAGAAAATGTTACGGTGTATCAAAACGTCAACTTCGACTCGTTCCGTTATCCATTCACAATTGCTGAATTGAAGTATAGTGTGAAGTACGAATACACGAGAACTGCGTTGGACTTTTTGATGAGAAGAACTAGGTTTGGTTTCTTGGACGCAAGACAGGCATTAGCAGCTGTTGACGGTACAGTTAGCGTCATGGGCGATGAACTGAATTGGGATGATAATAGAAGGCAGTCAGAAAGACAACAGGCTTCTGATTTTATCAAGACGTTCGGTGTCTAGAAGTAAGACGAGTTAGTTGCTAATGTTGAAATGGTTTAAATATTCTTGTGATATAATGATACGAAACGAAATAATAAAAGTGTAGAAGTTTAGATGGAGCGCTATTCTGAGAATTATGCCGAGAACGATACTCACATGTATATTTGTCTGTAATTTACAAATTAATTAATGCACATACGCGGCGAAAAAGTCACTGACAGGCCTGCAATATTCTATCCTTGAATACGCTCATAAAACAGAACGTACACATCACTACTGGAGACACTTGTAATGCCTGCATCAATATCTCCATGGTTGATGTCTTTTTTAACAACTTCGTCATCGAAGTAGTACCATTTTTGTTCACCTTTCCTGAGTTCATGCAACAAATCCTTGTTGACCAAAGATGTATAATGTCCGCTTATCAAGTTCCCAAAGTGATTGGCGATGGCAAATAGTCGATAGTTTACAACTTCACTGTTTTTGAGGACAATACTGAGTGTTAAGGGATAAGTGATGACTTTATTGTTTTTCTTCGTGAGATCGTAAAAGAACCTTGATAGATGAATTGTGAGCACAGATGGTAGAGAAATGAAATTTATGGTCTTGATCGTAGTGAGCTTCTTTTGTCTCCAATCCTTAGGATTAGAAATTTGGGCGCTGTGTTTTCTGAATGGCGATTCGGACCTGCTTCTTGACTTAGAACGCAATTTAAAAAACCGACTACGGCCTCCACTGCCACCTCGGCTATCAGCCGCCAATGTAAATCTTTTCTTTCTTTTGTCCTCCTCTGGGCCCAGTCCAGATGCTGCACTGCCACACTTAGGACAGTCCCATGCATTCTCATTTGTAAGCTGTTCATCTCCTGTGAACAGATTAATGCAATCTTCCAGCCTCACCTTTTTCTTCTGACCAAACGTAGAGGACATGCTAGGGATTGCCAGTGACAGAACGTAGAACACTGAATAGTTATAGGACGAGTGTCCACACCGCTGGCAGTAAAGCGCATTTTCAATCTGACCTTGAAATATTTCGTCAATGGGAGAAACTCCATTCTTGGAGACGTGATTCTCGAACCATTTATCATACTCCTTCCGGTCAACATCTAATTGTTCATCATCATGAAGTAAAAGGTCAGGATAATCATTTGCAACTTGATTGGATTCCGAAAGCTCATCGTGAAGTTGGCTTAAAAGGAAAAGTAGAAATTCTTGGGTATCTTGCTGATCATATGGGATTTTCAGATCAGGCCGAAGGGAGTCACAAGCCTTGAGAAATCCTGTTGGAACTACCGAGCATCCACCATTCATGTACATTTTCTTGAAAAGAAGATGGAAATAAGAAGAGAGTTTTTTTTGATTCGTTGAATTCTTGGACAAATACTTTTCGTATCGACTTGATAGGAATAGTTCCCTGAATGCACTTGTTGCAAACAAGCATTGAACCATAGTATTGATGTAACATGTGTTACCGACATTCCGCAGTCCAGTGATGGATAAAGAAACATATTCATCCGAACTCTCTTCAATTGTCGGGACTGCAACATGAACTGCCTCGTTACTGTAGTCTGTATGATACTTGGGGGTCACGGATGCATGAAAGTCGCCATGTGCATGGTTTGGTGATGGACGTTTCGCTAAGTGGGAATTCAAACGCGAGCCCTGATCCGTCGGCAGTGGAAACGGTGCGCGATTGCCTGGCGCTGATAAGACACTTCCTCTATCTGGAACCGGAAGTGGTGGCGGAGGATTAGATGGAACCGGAAGTGGACGATTTGTGAAACTGGAAAGTGCTTGCGATTCTCTAGTCACCTGGCTACTGGTGGGTCTGAAGAAAAACGCTTCTTTGTGGACAGTTTTGTTTTGCGAAATTTTAGTAATAAATCTTTTCCATTGTTCATACCCACCAAGGAGAACTTCGGGAACGCAATTCAGTGGCTTGCTTGATGTGTATATCAATTGAAAAAACAGTAACTGATAGTCAAAGTCAAGCCGCATGTAAGTCTTCATATCAGTATAATAAATGATACGCTTGAACGTAAACCTCCTATTGAAAAGTTCACTGTCTAGAAGACGCGCTATCTGAGTTACGCTTTCGACTGGACCATTTTTTTCCACATCCCAAAGACATCTGGGATCAATGTTGATGAGATTTGGAGCAACTACGTGATTAGCCTGATATCGTTTGGAAAATCTTAGGTCCACGACAAGTAGTTCATCTCTTTCCTTGCTAGCCAGAATCTTGAAGAGTTGATCACACCCTATGATTGATTGTTTTTGTAGTCTCGCCAGGTTGAATGTAAAACTATCATATTCCTCATTCAACATATGAACAGAATGACATGAATCTTTCCTATGCGTCTCATAACGGTTTACGTTTTGGGCGTATATGCTATCTTTTTTGCCAGTCAAATCTTGCTCTTGTTTCGGCAGAGCATTCACTGGTGCCGAGCCTCTTCGACCTCGCGAATCAAGATTAGTGGCCGAGTTGAAGGGATCTGAGTCATCGGAAGATGAAGAATGTCCTTTGCTTGACGATTGTTCGCCAATGGCACCAAGTGTAGCAGAGGAACTGAACGATCCCAAATTCACCTTTAAATGGTCATTGGGTTCTAAGTCTGGTGCCGTCCACATTGTGGAGTCATTATCATGATCTGCATTACTTGACGCCGCACTTCCTTTGCTTGAAAGAGCCAGAGATCCAAATTTATCAGCTAAATCTCGATGAGGAACCGAGTAAGCTCTTTTCCGCACAATTTTGGCCGTTTCTAATTCATCTTTACTCATGGACTCTATAACACCGGTAACCATCAACAGAACATTTGTCATGTGTGTCTCATCCTGGTAGTATTTCTTTAGATCTGCGTAGATCGCGTACGATTTATCCCGAGAGTGAAATTGAATTGAGCGCGGTATAATGAGATATATGTAGAAGCAACCAACAACAAAAGCCGTCAGCATCTCATCTCTTTGTTTTGCCTTCAGCGCATTGCGATATGACTCAAACAGATACTCGGCATGCTCTAAAAGATCTATTAGTTTTTCCAATCTTAACTTGGGGTAGTAATGTGCAATGTCTTGTGTGTACACTTCATTAACAAACCTAAGAAGCTCATTAGAGTATTCTGGCGTAAGATGGTTTGCCATTCGCAGATCTCAGAGGCTTCTGGTCTCGGAGAGCACCTGTAAAAGATGGCAAATGTTGACTTTCAGTACACTTCCCATTATTACGATCTACTTTTAGATCCACACCGTCCATGACGACAATAAAAAGATTATGACGTCTGATACAGCATTGCAATCGATCTGTGGAGCTGGGGGAATGAACGAACGTGGACAGTTAGAACAACGGCTGTCCTAAATTTCGTAAGATATATTTCTGCCCCTACTACAACCTGTAATTTATGTTCGCTAAATTGGGGTGAGCTGGTGAACAAACAAAACCAAGACCAGCCCTAAGGGTTCGTAAATATGAACCAACTTGTTTGCATCATCGTGTCGCCTGCTTTTGGACAAGTACTTGAAGTATCTGTTTAGTGTTTTGGTCTTGGATGACAGACACGTCCCAAGTGATACACATGTTAATACTCAACGTAGAAACGTAAAGAAACTCGCCTAATAACAGTCGCATAACAGTCGCATAACATTCGCATAACGGCTGCATCTATTAAAGCAATTGGTAATGGTTGTTCGTAAATACACTTTGGCCACTTAAGGATTTAGTGCTTTTCATCAAACGAAAGCGAAAAGTGGTTATTAGCAGCACTTCTTGAGCATACAAAAATTCCGAACGCTCACATTCGATTTGATTCTACAACAAGATTAATTTGACTGCGTCTTCAAACACGGAACTAATGCTACATTAATTTTCTTCTACGTGGAACTTAAAGTGATGAAAAACCACTGCCAATTTTGACTAAGTTTAAGGAGACGGTCTTTAAACCTAGGGATAGATTCAATGTAGTACAAAACTTAACGAAAGAGATTGGAAATGCGTGTAATGGTACTTTCAAAGTTTTGGCGCCAGGCTTTGCCCAGCCAAGTATCCTTACGCGACGTACAAAAAACACTTTTTGGGTTACAAAATATGCTCGCAGAGGATAGCATTGATCTGCATTTCATAAATGCCATGAAGCAAGGGAGTTCTTTGGTCGGCGGTTGTATTGTATCGTCTCGAAGTTGTGATTCGACATTCCTTTGGATGTTCGTCTATAGCTACTGGAAAGTAAAAACGATGGGCTGCGATAGATGAACAATGCGATGAGCACTGGATAAGAGACAGTTACTGGCGCTGGGCCGCACAAAAATCACACTCTTGCACGAAAGACGTGTAATCTTCACCTTAGGCAGCAAATGTCCAAGGAACAGGCCTTTGGGAAGTCCAAAAAGATCAGGATAGACCCCTTGGATGTGACTCGAAGCTTGGGCTACCAAACACATAGACTAAAGGCTCGGAAACCGTGGAGTAAAGAGGAAGACGACTTACTTAGGGACTGTGTGAACGATCACTTGTTGAAAATTGGATTTGAAAATGGGATCGAGTCCATGAAGACGATACAACAATCAAACGAAGTGTGCAAGAATATGCCTTGGGATGAGATTGCAACACAGTTTGATCGGAAAGTCCGAAAACCGAAAGACATCAGAAAGAGGTGGGTCAGCTCTTTGGACCCTAATCTTCGTAAGGGCAAATGGACCTCTGGAGAAGATGAACTTTTGATGAAGTCCTTCGGCAAGTGGGGGCCTCACTGGTTAAAAGTGTCCAGCGAAATCCCTGGGAGGACTGAAGACCAATGCGCCAAGCGGTATATCGAGGTTCTAGATCCGAGCACTAAGGATAGGCTGCGAGACTGGCGTTTGGAGGAAGATCTGGCTTTAATAAGTAAAGTAAAACTTTACGGAACAAGCTGGCGTAAGATATCGCTTGAAATGGAGTCTCGACCAAGTCTGACATGCCGGAATCGATGGAGGAAAATCATCACAATGATCATGAGAGGAAAAGCATCCGAAGAAATTACAAAGGCTGTGCAAGAAACCTCTTTAAGCGATCACATACAGTCTCTGGATGAATTAAGAGAAAGTTTAAGAATAAAGCTAGACGAAATGAAGGACGAAAAGCCAACTAAAGAGGAGATTAAAAAGGTGTTCGACTCTCATCAAGACTCAAAGATGGAAGCAAATGCTTCACCTAATGGTTCCCAAGATTCGAGCATTTCACAGTCTGACCAAGAATCCCCTGCTAAAGAACAGTGGTCTCCCAACAAAAATGACATAGATCAAGATAAGGTCAATAATGATAGGTTTGCTAAAGATGAGGCTGATATACCGATAATGCAAAGGGAAAATCAAACGCATCACTTAAACGCCGCTCAGCGGTTACGGTCAAAAGAGACACAGCACTCACAAGAATCACAGCAGCGGGCGCCATCGACAAAAATGGCACATGAAGTGAAGCAAGCAAACTTGCCTCGCTTCCCCCAGCCACTGAACCCAACGCAGCCACTACCGCAAGCCCCACAACCTCCAAAGAAAGAACTTTCTTCACAAAGGAGACGACCTCATTCTTCTAGGCTCGATTGGAGCTTTACTTTGAATGATGAAGGTGGTGCTTCTGTTGCGAACGGATTGATTTCTAGTTCCGAATTGGTGCAAGAATTGATCGACCAAGCCCACCATAAGTCATTAACAATCTCAATTCATCAGCATATTCACAATCACTTCGGTGCCGATTCGCGCTCAGCTAATTTTCAAGGATTATCTGTTACTGATGAGCTCTTCGGCGATATATCGCCGTATGCAATGGCTGGTGAAAGAAACCAAAAACCATCAAATTCCCGAGGGTTCGAAACCGACTTTTTGGGTAGATCTCCTAACTTTTCTGGATTAGCTCTTGATACAGATGGTGACCCAATGGGCGGAAACCTTGGTTTTCCGCACAGCTACCCTGTTATTTCAAACTACACCCAAAAACCTGGAAATGGAAGTTCAATTGGATCGCGCTCTACCCCTGGCGGAGACATAGAAGAAATTCCAGCGCATCGTCAATACCACTTTAACTACCTTCCCCCAACTGTTAAGCCGCAGTTGGGATCCTCCGACATAGCCAAGACTCCTGACGTAAGCAGAAGTTTGAACCCTAGTCCGACAATCTCACAGGCAAGAATAAAGAGAAGAAAGAAAACCAAAAGCGTATCGTCAGGAGGCACTCCAAACGGAGGCTGTGGATCCACTGGTGCGACCCCGATGGATTCCGGATTCTCTCCTGTGCATGGCAACAACAAGACGGGAATTGTAGGCCCTACCGCTGGACTCTCCAACGTCGGGGAAGAGGAGGATTTAGATTTCTGGGAAAGCCTTAGATCTTTAGCTGCTGTTCCGGAGTCCAACGCTCGAAAGAGTAAACAAGATGGTCCCTTGGACGAGTATGATTACTTGTACAATTTTTACGAAGAGCAGATTGAAGTTCCACACGCGGGTGATCAACGCCAAAGAATGCAGCAAGTCGCTAGACGACAGGCACCAAGTGTTGATCGAGTTTACACAGACGCCGCGTCTAATAATATAAGTCAAGGCCACGTTCATAGAGGTTTGCCATTCAATCCTAGCTGACGCATAGTTCAAGACGTAATCTCTAAATCTGTTTGTTCTGCCACATGTAGGAGCCTTGATTGTACCTACTATCTCCGCTGATTCTTTGGCAAATTTACATACTTTTTAACTGTGGCCTGTGAACTAGAGGTGCATTGGGTTAGATGGGCCGTCATGGATATGCAGCCTCAGGTAATTCCTTGAATAAGGCATCTGACGATCAGCTCAGTATATCGCTAAAATATAAATAATTAACAGGGCCTAAATATGAAACGAGGTACGTAAGGCAAGCACTTCAACTTTCGAATCAGTAGCTTGGAATAAACGAAAAACTATCACGTTTTTGATTTAAGGCTTGTGGGCCGAAGGCCCTCCTATTTGCATTGCCTGTGATGAATAGTATCTCAATTCTTGCTTTACCTACTTTCTAGCAAAATACCTTGACGAACCGAGCGATGCAACAGTGTAATCGTAGCACGACTCCCCTATGTTCAAGTATTTATGCACATAACCTCTGATATGAGTGTCTTCGATAGAATCAAGCTTGGGGGTTAATCCGGTATTTCTCTTGACTCCAGCTAAGCATAACGAGACTAGGGTCAAATCAACAGAAAAATGAATGGCTTTACCAATCTTGACATTAAGGGTTAGTAACAGCTCAGCAGATTTGTTGAACAGTTTGTTTGGTAGTCTCAAACTGAGAATAGCCAACTTACGAAAGTCATCTTGCCCCCCATCTACTCCTAAAAGATGGAAGTATTAAAAATTTCTTGAAAACTAGCGAACTTATCGAAGCTTAGTAGAAGAGATAAAATCCAAAAGTATTTGTTCAGGATGCTGAGACTAATCGCCAGCACTAGTAGACGTTCACTGGGCTCGAAGGGAGTGCAATTTACGATAGTTCGCTCGTTAAATGCCCAAACAACGCCCTTGGTGTTGAAGGACAAGTCTAAACCACTTCGCATTGAAAGAGATCTGCCGGACCCAACGAAAGACCGGTTTAAAAATAGGATACAATTGGGTTTGTTTGCAGTAGCCATAACTGTATCACTCGCGTGCATTTTCAACTACGAGAAAACTCAATCACCTATTGTTTCGAACTCTTTGTACCATATGCGCAGATCCCAGGCTATCCGCGACCTAATGGGGGACAGCATCGACTTCGATGGGCTAGTGCCTTGGGTTTACGGAAATCTGAATCAGGTTGCTGGAAAAGTGAATATTTCTTTCTACATTAGAGGTTCCAAAGATGTCCAGGGTATTGTGAAATTGGTCGCAGATAGAGAAAACAAACATCAAGAGTTCCTCATTCACGACTGGAGTGTGTCTGTGGGTGATGAAACTATCGATCTGCTAGCAGAAGGAGGAACTAGGACATTGTGAATACACAACGTGAACAGTATTGCGCCATTCTGCTACCTTGTAAATAGAAAATATATGCGAGTCAACTTTATCTAACGACAATAAACTTTATTAAGAAATATGATTGAATGGTCCATTGCTTACCGTTTGTATATGAAGTGTACTACCTTGCTTTACCGTGTGTCTATGGAGTGTGTTACCTTGCCACCGTGCTTTTTAGTTTTTCCGAGGCCTCAGGCTGTTGATAAACTCTCGTTTGTTTTCTGAGTAGTTTGTAAACTCGTTTTCGTATTGGTCCTCTTCAGCTATTTCGTCAGCGTTTTTAGCGTCGTAGTTATTTTTGAGCATGTAATAATCCGGCTGTTGTTCTAGTTCTATGTTTTCGTCGTTTATGGGTGTGTCCGTATGGTCTGCATTAGGTACCACGGTCATAACCTTGGAACTATTTGGGGTGTCAAACACGTTTTCTGTGCTTTTCTTCTGAGAGTGCGTTGAAGACGACCTCGTGTGAATTGAAGAGCTCGAGATGTTACCTGGCGCAATGCTATTCAAGTTCGCCGAGGATCTCCTTCTAGGATAAGAACCGAAATCGTGATACTGTAGATTTTTAGCAAGGTTGTCGTTACTAGCATCTTTGTCGTGTGCGAGACTGAAGTCGGAACTTGTGACCGTGGCAGAGTTAGTAGCATCCTGGTTGACCATCACAGGGATCATCTGGTCCAAAACGGTGGGTTCGTTGTTCGTTGCGTTAGGTTTGGTATCCAGCGATATGCTAGAGCTGTCATTAGTACCCTTCAGTTCGTCGGCTTGTCTCGAATGCTGCAACGAATTTATTGAAGAGTTGAGTTTTTTACGATATGCCGGCATATACGTATTTCTCCTTGAGTCTGATTTTGAATTTGATTTCCCTTTCTTACGGGAAGAGGGAACGTCCGGCGCAGCCGTGGAGCTGAAATCCGGCGGTTGCGTGTTGTCGGAGGACGAAGAAGCCTCTGCCAATCTATGAGCATGGTCGGTTTTTTCAGAAGTGTCCGCCTCTCTGAGGGCGTCCATATTCCGAAAACTGATAGCTCCGTCGCCGCCCATGGACTCTACGTCGTCTTCCATTTCCTTCTTAAACCTCCTCTGCATTCGATACCAGAAAATAAAAGCAACTATGACGGCTATTCCACATGGAATGCCTACTGCGCAACCCACAGAGACTGACAATCCGTCTACCATCGAGGTTTTCTTTGACCAATCTTCTGCGAAAGCCCGAGTCCTGACTCCAGAATGAACCACAAATAGTGTCTTGCCTAGTTTCCGAATAAGCTTTCACACGCCAAGAAACCCAGAAGCGTTGGAAATAAGCTAAACGCCATTTCATTTTTGTTTCCGCTCAATTTTCATCAAAATTTTGTTTCTCAAGTACCTTGTGACCTCGTGCCAAGAGATGCCCGAGAAGTTCTAGACAATCAAGAGTTCTCATAATAGCAGTTTTGAGATAAAGTAGTACGAAAGTCGCCGAATTAGGATAGAAAATGGGCTTGATCGCTTGTTACATTTGACGAACCTCAAACGGCTCGGGCTGTTTTGATATGTCCTGTTCCATTTGTATTAGCTGTTGATTTTGGGATTTAAATTTTCTGGATGCTGTTGAGCATGTGTTGAGTTCTTGTGAGTAGCTGGTCGTCGGTCTTGCGCTTTAAGGAGGGTTTCTCAAGTTTGTTCACGTCCCGTAGTCTTTTGATTAACACGTCTACAGTGTCTGCCTCATCCTCGCTCGCAGAATCGCTAGAGCGACTAGACGGGCCGGTTGACTTATTTCGTAGAAAGTCCTTGCGCTGCTTGTAGATGCGTTCCACGTCCTCCTTCTCTTGGTTTTCCTTAGCGGCTTTTTTGAACTGCAAGACGAACTGGATAAAATGGTGAAAAAACTCGTTTTTGGAGTCTGCGTTTCTGGCGTCTTCTCCGTAGAGTTTCATTAGGTTTTCGAGTGCCCGCATCGTAAGCGCACACTGGTTGCGCAGCAGATTGGCCTTGCGTGTTGCAGCGGCTATTTTTGAGCCCATTTTGACCAAGAGTCGATCCTCCGGATGAAAGAGTTTATCATTCGAGAGACGGCCCAGTTCGAGCGATTGCTTTACGGCCGTTATCCTTTTGATATACTCTTGGCAGTCTTGTTCAACTTGACCCACTACTAAGTTTCCAAGGTCAACCACTTTCGACAAATCGCCGATAAATGCATATGTCGTCTTACATTTCAATCTCAAAAACCTCTCAACAACATGTAAAAAAGACATATGACGGTCCGCACTAGATTTGACGAAGGACAGCTTTTGTAAAGAGCTCAACTTTATCCCCGAAGCCCGTTTGCGGTTCATGTAGTTCCCTATCTCGACAATCACTATTAGGGCATCCTTCAGCCTCGCGGACGTTCTGACAGTGTTGACAGCATCGTCAATACGTTGCAACTTGTACATGATGTCAAAATAGTCTTTTTCGTAAACTGCCAGTGTTAAAAGACAAGCCGAGCGAGCGCTCCAGTAACCTTTCAGATTGTAACATAGTTCCAAAAAGATGCGGTCCGCGCGTTCCAGCTTGCTGCTGTCGGCAGCTGGTTTTTCCTCACTAGGGGGACTTGTGGAGTATGGTGCAAACTTCGAGGCAAGGCTTTGGGGTATGTTGCCCAAATCTTCTCTGGCGAAGAATTCTAGCACGCTTTGATTCCGCACAACATCACGATCGCAATGTAACACTTTTATCACAAAGTCATCGACAGATAGACTTGAAAACATATGCAAATTAATTCCAAATTGCTGAGCCAGATCTCGAGGAAGTATTGATACTTTGCCCTTGTCCCCAACATTGCCAGACTTTATTTTCAAATTATTTGCCTGTTTGATTTGGAATAACTCACTGATCTCTTCTAGAATTCCTGTTTTTTTCAAATGCTGAGCAACATCTTGTCTTTCTGTTTCTTGATTCCAAATGGTATCTGCCACGTCTTCAATTTTCTCCCAGTGGATTTGCTTCATTCGCACTTGTTCTGAGGAAGAATTGGGCGGCCTTAGAGACGACACCGTCTTCGTTGGTATCGAAAAACTGAATGGGGGTGGCGGAGGAGGATAAGGAGGAAGAGGCCCAGAGCCGCTTTGAACTTGTGAATTCCTTAAATTCCAAGACTTAACAGAACTATCATTACCGCTAAGAAAATCGGGAAGTGTAGGAGCAGGCGGTGGCTTACCCAAACCAGCAATGGAGGCCTCTGGACGAAGAGGTAAACTTTGCAAGTGTGTTTGAGCCTCTGAGATTAGAAAGGACGGTGGAGGTGGTGGTGGCGGCGGGATTATGTGCGAGGGTGAAACATTTTGTCCAAATACCTGTAGATTAGAAGGTAAAGGTGGAGGCGGTGGTGGAGGTATAGAAGATGAAGGTACACCAGGTGGATAGCATTTGCCATCATCAGAGGATAAATGCGATATTGAAGACGGGACCGGGCCACTAGCTTGGGCCACGACTTCTGGTGCCGTTTTAGAGCTTTGAATCCCATCAACAATTTTTAGGTCATCGGTTAAGACTCCCGTTCGGCAGGTGTCTTTGCCAGTTGATCTTTCCACCCCGTATACGACAGAGGCAGTGTTTTCGAGCGGCAAATTACTTCGGGCTCCTGTTGCATTACTATGATCACATATTGACGATAAGTGCAAATCACTGATATGCCTCTTCCCTTCAGTGTGCCCTTCATCGTCAGAATTATTAAAAGGGGTGTGATTAGGAAGACCAATGAATGGTTTTCCGCTGGCTAGTTTAGGAACAAGCCGTTCTTCTTCGCGAGGATTCACGAAATTAGAAAGAGATGTGAACCGACTGCTTTTAGAAAGAGAGCTGTTGCGCGTGAGTTTTCGTGCGCCCTCTTTATTGGGCCGAGATTTTAAATGATCAAACGCGGATATAGTGGTCGCTCTCAAAGGAAGCGCATCAGTCTTGTGCGTCACAGCTCGATCGAATTCCTTTTTATAATGTTTTCTTTGTTGGTTGCTGATATCTAAATCCTTTTGAAGAGACTCTATGATGGCTTCTTTGTCAGCTAATTGTCGTTTAGTCTCTTGTAGTTCCAGAAGGACAGTTCCTTTTGTCTTACTTCTGTCCTTGCGCAAAAGCTCTACTTCTAGTTCAAGGTCTTCGAGGGTTCTCTGCGAGTTCGCAAGCTCGTCCAGAGCTCTTTGAGCAATTTCGTCTGACTGAAGATTATCCACTAATTGGTTCAGTGACAAGCTAATGATGGATTCTATGTTAATATTCTCCTCGCCATAAGTATAATCTTTTAAGTAGCTCAAAATTGAGCGAAATAGTGTCAGAACTTTCAAACTATCTGACATAGTTCGTGTGGTAAGTGTCTGCGATAAAAACTCGAATATTTGGTGCATTGGATGTTCTAGTGGATTATGATGTGTTCGCTGTACCACAGCATTTAAATGCTGTCCATATGAGATGTCAACAAATTGCGGTAGTTCCGGGCTTGTCTCTTCAATCACACTTTCCTCAGTAGATCTGTATTTTTCAATTTCGTCATCCAAATCTTGGTATTCTAGTTTAGCCATGAGATGAAAAAGCCGGTGCACTTTTGACTCTTGAAGGGTTTTGATAAACCAGAGCTTTTCTTTGACCGAGGACGTTACTTGTAAAATTGAGTTGATGAGAAACATAGAAGTCAAGCAATAGTCCATAAGCAATTGCTGTGGTTTGAATGTTGACAAAACTCTCGTTCTAACTTCTTCTTTGTTATTGTTTTCTAGTATGGATTCGATAGTATCAAACCATTGTGAGTAACGAGAATCCAGGTGTTGAACCACTGTGTCACGGCCACCACGATTTTCGACGTAAGTAAGTAATAGCAAGAGCTCTGTGCTTAGGAGGTTAACCCTTAAATGTCTATTCTCTTCAATTAACGTCGAGCATAGATACTCAATAATTTTAGGGTTTGCTACTATTGCTAGCCTTCCATTTTCGTGATTCATCAAAGTTTTGAAGCATCGTAGATACACGTAAGTATCATCCGGTTGCAGTAGATCAGAGGCTTCTGCCAATTGAGTCGATCCGCCGAGTTGTAGAAACCACTGACAGATATCGGATCTTCGTAGTAGCTTTTCTACTTGATACAGATTGTTGGCGATGTTCTCATTAGAGCTCAATCTTGACTTCAAGGCGTCGAATAGAGCTTCATCTGATTCACGAGTAGCAGCACTTTTTATTTTCTGGCCTTGCAAATCACCTCCACGCATGAGTCGTTCCTTACAAACAAGCTGCCATTTGCGTTTATAGCTTAAATTTTCCAATCCAGATCGAGCACTCCCCCAAAAGAATGCCCGGCTTTCCATCAGTTCTCTGAAGCTGTTCTCAACGGCTACATCACTCGGCTGAACGTTAGAATCAAATTTCTCGACTGCATTGAATGCTTCTTTCACGGATTTCAACTTTTGCGTGTCCGCTCTTTTGATGTCGTTCGTGGAAAAATTTCTAGCTTTCGAGACGTATGGCCCTGTGTGTGGTCTCTTTGGCTTTGTAACCAAACCGACGCCGGCTAGTTGCAATCCTAATGCAACGGGATCATTAATTGGTTCTGATTTCTCGTCAGTTGCGAGACCTCCGCGGTTGATGGCATCGTCAACAGAAAATGATCTGTTATCGTAATGATGTGGTTTTCTCCATAGATCACTGCGTTCTTTATCCATGAATATATCTCAGGACTCAAAAGCCATAAAAAAGCGGTGGTGCTATCCGAAGAAAGTGATGAGACGAGTTTCTTCAGAATGTTGTTGTTAACCGTGACACAAATCAAGAATTGTATGTATGATCCAATCACGAAATATATCGTAAACAATGATACAACTATGTGAGCGTCAAGAGATGGAAATGCCAAAGAAAGCGGTAGGATGTGGTATATTTCGTTGAAATCTGGTACTTGGTCAATGGCTCTTATCCAGGAAAAAGCTGAATACTTACCAGTCTACGACAGCCCCACGGCCCTGGGAGCTTTATGGAAGAAAAAGGCTACGATATCAATTTATTTATGCACTGCGCGGCATTAAAGATGGTATTTTAGGCTCTGACCACTAGCATTACTATAGTGTTAAGCCAGGTAACAGTGCAGATTAACTACTGGCATTACATAAGTACATGCATGCTACCCTAGGCCCTCACCGTAACTTCTTGAGGTCAAGAAAATAGGTAGAAGAGCGTTCATTCCGACTAGAGAATGTATGATGTCAATGCTCTGTGATTCTTTGCCACAAGCAAGATTTTAATGATGCATCTGTGCTATGGGATTTCACTAGCGTCTGAACCTGTTTATGCTCTCAAAGGTGCACTTTTGCAAAAAAAGCGTCGGAGTTCACCTCGTGTCTGTAAAATATAAAGTGATTAAATTATAGGCATACAATGATGGACTCCCTTTTAGTGAAATGTCCAAATCCGATTTGTTCGAGCTGCCTGACAAGAAGCGTGCTTTTGTCCGTCCTAGTAACGCGTTGGACCGATGAATATTCGAAACATCGAGATAAATGTTCTCATCCAGAAGAACGCCGGAGAGGTACACCTTGCCAATGTCGAGGGCAACCCATTAAGCGTATTACCGAGATACTTGAATTCAGTCTGAGACACTAATCTATATACGAACACACATCATGTCAGACTAATTGTCGAGTTGTTTAGTCCTGTCCATGACCTCTCTTAAAACGCAAAAAATAAGTGTGGAGAGGGACCATCAATTGTGACTGCCGCTTGTGAAAATGAAGCCCCGCTCCAAGGTTCCCGAAACACATGATGGGTTGCAACTTGCGACTTTACAATCTACTATTTTGGGACGTTACCAAAACTAACGCACCATAAAACACCAACGATTGACTGTTACCTGCTTTCTTGTCTCGTCACTGGTGACACAAACTGCCAAAGTGACACATGTCTGCCCTTACGTAATCCGTCCGACGCGATTTACGCTTGTGTAACATAGAAATGTCACAGCACAAAACATCACGGCCATTAGACAAATTGGTGATGACATTCATCGCATGCTTTCTACTAAGCTACCCATAACTATATACTATTGTGAGTTAACGCTTGTTTCTCGCCAAATAAATTAACCTGTCTCTTTCGATTTCCCCGCCATTCGTATGAAGTGCTCTGTGCGGTTGGGGTACATGACCAGTGTGATGACTATTGTGAGCAGCAATGAATGTTCGATGGTGAAACGTATATAAAGGAAGCATTACCTGATATATTGATATTTGGTTGATATTCTAGATACGGTGCAACTATAACACTGATTGTAAAGATCAGCTAACCATTTTGGAACATCAAGACACGGTTTCTAGCTCTAAAAGCGGTTGTTCATCGGTCCACTCAGTTAGGACTCACATAGCATTTCAAATAGTCAGCGCAGTAGATACTCAATGGCTGAAAGACTAACGCAGATCAAAGACCACATAGTCTCTGCAATGACGCCGTCAGTGCAGGATGCCAGACCCGACGATGTCGTGGTGGTGACAGCATACCGGTCGGCGATCACCAAGGGCTTCAAAGGCGGTTTCAAAGACGTGAATTCGGATTTCCTGGTACACCAGTTCTTACTGGAGTTTTTCGAAAAGGCGCCGCAAGCAGTGAGCGAAAACAAGCACTTGATTCAAGAGGTCGCATGCGGAAACGTTCTGAACCCCGGAGCCGGTGCCACGGAGCATCGCGCAGCTTGTTTAGCCGCAGGCGTACCTTATACCGCGCCATTTGTCGCCATAAATCGTCAATGCTCATCAGGACTCGTGGCCATCAACGACGTGGCGAACAAAATCAAAGTCGGACAAATCGACATGGGGCTCGCCATGGGCGCAGAATCTATGTCCAAGAACTACGGCCCACAGGCTTTGGGAAACATCTCGCCGGAGCTGAAAGAAAACAAAAACGCTCGTAAGTGTTTGATCCCCATGGGCATCACCAACGAAAATGTGAGCCACCAATTCCACATTTCGAGGCAAAGTCAGGATGCCTTTGCCGCGGAGTCCCATCGCAAAGCTGGAAAGGCCGTCTCGGAAGGCCTCTTTGAAGACGAAATTCTCCCTATCCGTCTACCAGATGGGACCGTGATCGCTACTGATGAGGGCCCTCGTAAAGGCGTCACGGCACAGAATCTATCACAATTGAAGCCCGCTTTTATCAAAGAGTCCGGTACTACTACAGCTGGGAATGCGTCTCAAATCTCAGATGGTGTGGCTGCAGTGCTTCTAACGAGACGATCAGTGGCGGAATCTTTGGAGCTGCCAATCCTAGCCAAATATGTTGCCTGCCAAGTTGTTGGCGTCCCTCCTGAAGTAATGGGAGTAGGGCCCGCATACGCTATTCCAAAAGTTCTCAAGGACTGCAATTTAACGGTCGATGACATCGACATTTTCGAAATTAACGAGGCGTTTGCTGGACAAGCACTCTATTGCATCAACAAGCTAGAAATTCCTTTTGAAAAAGTCAACCCTAGAGGTGGCGCCATAGCTCTTGGACATCCGCTCGGTTGTACAGGAGCTAGACAAGTGGCAACGATCTTACGGGAACTAAAAGCTGGCCAGGTGGGTGTAGTGAGCATGTGTGTCGGTACCGGAATGGGGGCCGCAGCCGTTTTCGTCAAGGAGTAAATCTGAACAGTTTTCATGTGTATGTTGCTAAAAATTCTTTGTACAGTCGATCTTTCTGCTTGTAATTAGGATTACTCAATTTGGACCATTGTGTTAACAAATAGTTAATTTGTGTTATCAGCGGCTGCCCCGATGTTGTCATCTCATGAGCTTTACTATTGAAATTATTGATAATGGTGCCGAGCTTCACAGACAGATCATTACTCGCGGATTCATCATGGAGTGTGTTATCAAGTGGGTCAAGCTTTGACGACTGCTGTGGGTATGAGAACGGAACAATCACAGTGAAAACAAACTGGTCCTGGTCCAATACATGAGGTGCAACAAGACCGTATGAGGTACTGTTTTTGCCTTTCTTAAAGATCTTAAAGTTATCTGCGCCAAGAATGTGCTGCACTTGTTGTACTTCTGCTTTCAGTTGCTTCGACATTCGCAGCGTTTTACTATTTTTTGAGAACGCAGCACCCTTGCGCCTTATGTCAGATATTTTGTCGTTCCCGGAATGCTTTGTATCTCTCTTTTTACTTTCGTTTGTCTTCACATTTTTATCAGAAGTAGTTACGACGCTTTTTCGTACATCACTGTCTTGAGAGGTTGATTCTTTTGGCCTTGCTTTCCTAGTCCTGTTTCTGGGCTTGTGACGCCTACCGGTATTGGGTTTCGCTGGCTTTGAGCTTGTAGTGGTGTCCATCTTCTTGGCTGATCTCAGATTTAAAATGTTTGTTAATGAAGTAGTAGTAATATATTTTATCATCAGTTTATAAAATCAATTTAGATACTTAATTTAAAAGCTCAATCTTTAGCATGAAGCGGGCAAACCACTACACATGCTCAAAGTGGTGGGTTAAACGAACTAAAACAAACGTTGGAAGAAATCTCGCAACCTCTGTGTTACCTATTTTTTGCTTTTGACGCTGGCTACACAATCATCGTACTGATCAACTGTGAAGGAGGTCAAAAAACAGTAGTTAAGGTCACAAGAGGTAGAGTTTGCACAATTTGGCACGTAAGGAGAGAATCTCATGGCGTAGTTTTCGTACATTTGATTGTATTCGACAGATTCGTTAACCTTAGAAGCAACCGTGTGCCAGTAGGTAGCATTCAATGGCGCAGTCTCTGGCCAAGTGATGTTATAACCTTCTCTGGAAGAGTACTCTAATTCCCACACAGGCTCAGCACCGTTGTTGGCAAAGGTCTCGTTAAGTTTGGTGTAGAAATTGTATGCATTCATAACCGAGAAAGTTTCCTTGTCAACGGTGTAATATCTCCACGATGGATTGTTGTTGACCCAAGGAGTCACAGCCTGGGAGATCCAAGAGGAAGCTACAACATTTTCGATCGTCTTGGCATCGTTGCCAGGGCCTGAGTAAAGAATTTCAAACTGGTCCAAATGGGTGTGACCGAAGAAAATGTTTGCAATGGTGTAAGGGGAGAATCTTGCCACAACCTCAGCAAACATCTTTGCGGGTAGTGGTAAAGCATCTGAAGAGAATGGGATATGGGCAATAATCCAAACTCTTTGGTCTATTTTCTCACTAGCCACTAGTTCGTCTATCAAAAATTCAAACTGACCAAAGGTGTCGGGCTGCGTGGAGTTCCAGTATGCGTAATGGTTCTTCTTGTACCAAACATTGGAGTTCAAAGAAATAACTTTTAAGCCCATTGTAGTTTCGACGGAGAAACCGGTGTAATGTTTGCGGGCGTATTGGGATTCTTTAGGACCTAACCAACCGTAGTCTTCCCACAAGTCGGCCATAAGCTCTGCGTTGTACGAGAAGTAGTTGAGGAATCCATGGTTTTCTTGAGCCAATTCACCGTATGGGAAATTATCGTGGTTACCCATGACGGCATACACTGGGACATCGCCCAATTTGTTTTTGATGTCTCTGAACACAAGTTCTTCGGATTCCACAGTCATCTTGTAGCTGGTCAACGAGAATTCATCGTGGTCTACCATATCACCGGTGAAGATAGCAAACTCGAAATCGATGTTGTTGTCGGAGCTGTACTGAGCAATGGAGTTCATGGAAGAATTGATGAGGACTTCGGGAGCGTCACATTTGTAGTTACCGAAAGTAGTGGCTGGGGACCAGATGGACCCGTTCTTGAAAGCGTCCACGGAAGAGCCCTTTACAAAAGTATCGTTCATGTAAGAGGAGTCGTAGAAGGAGTTCCAGGCTTGTTGTGGATGGGAGGTGATGTTGGCGAAAGTGTTACTGGAGTGGGGCGTGCAGCACATGCTAGCGGAGCAATTGGCCTCGGCACCAACGGTGTAGTCGAGCTCGATGTGGAAATCCGAGAGGTGGAGCACGTTGAAAGTGTCGTTGGCGGAGGGCACGGGGGCGACGCTGTGCTTGGCTTGCTTGGCAGGCCACATGTGGGAGAGCGTGACGTTGGGGGTCTTGGGCTTGGAGCACGCGGATTCCTTGTAGCAGCAGTACAGCTGGCCGTCGTAGCCGAAGGGGTCCATCAGCGACAGCATGTCTGCGAAGTTGGTGCCGGTGTAGCTGGACTTGACGGTGTTGCGCGCGAAGGTGCTCACGCAGGTGGAGTTGGTCATGTACTTGGTGATCTGGCACCACTTGGTGAAGACGCGAGGCACGAGCTCGGGTCTGAGCAGCGCCAGCGACTTGCCCACCGCGAGTCTCGTGACACACTGGTCGCACGCAGAGATGTTTTTGCTCGAGTGCGACAGCGCCACGAGCTCGTCCACGAACGCCTTGACCACACTTTCGTCGTTGAAGTTGTCGCTGGCGTCCAGGACGTCTCCCAGCAGCTGGGAGTCGGAAATGGCGAGCGAGCCGAGCGCCAGGCCCTTGAGCAGCGCTATCACCGTGCAAAATACGAGTCCGAAGAGCATTGTGCTTGATGGATGTAAAAGAGCTGAGGGACTCTGTTTTGCGTCTCAATTGCCATCCTAGCCGTGCTTCTTATACATTTTTGGATTTCCAGATGTATATCACCTCTGTCCATCCTGGTCCTACGACGCTTAAGCCCGTCTGGAAATTAGTTTATGCCCAGGGTGCCTGTGAGTTCATTCATGCAGGTGGCCCACTTATCAACACATTTTTTCCAGCCAAGCACACGCCACGTGGTGCTTGGCCAGCGAGTCAGCGAGTCAGCCGAGAGTCAGCGAGAGCGTAGAGGAATTGAGCGTGGAGGAGTTGGGTAATTGGGTACAGAGCAATTGAGTGTAGTGGTTGAGTGCAGGTTGATTGAGTGGAATACATACATTCTCGAGCATGTTTTGGATGGCGCGGCTCCCTCCACGTGCGCTGCGGGAGGAGAGCCATGCCATGCACGATGGAAGAATGGACAGAGAGTGGCCGAGCGTGGCCGAGCGTGGCCGAGAGTGGCTCGATAGTGGCTCGATAGTGGGAAGCGAAGCGAAGCAGAGCGGAGGTGCGCACAATCCCGACGGGTGGCCGTGGAGCGGGTCACGTGGGACGAGGATAACGCTTATCTTGTTGCCGTCGGGGAAGGGGGGAGGTGCGAGCAGCCACGTGGCGGCAGCGCCATCACGTGATAAAATACTCACGTGACCACATCACGTGCCTCGAGCTCCGCTTTCCATTCGCCCAGCACGGCCACAATGGTGCGCGTCACCCTCGCCAGTTCTTCGCGCGAAATCACGTATGGCGGCATGATGTAGATCAGCCGCCCGAAAGGCCGCACGTACACGCCCTTGGCCACAAACCTGTCGTGGAACCACGCCGAATCCACCGCGCCCGTCAGCTCCACCACCCCCACCGCGCCCACCACGCGCACGTTTCGCACCAACGAGTGCATCAGCTGCTCGTTGCCGTTCAGCGCCACGTACAGCTGGTCCACCAGCTGCGACTCAATGCTGTCCACTTGCTGCCGCCAATGGCCTCGCAACAATATCTCCAGCGACTTGTCCGCTGCGCTGCACGCCAGCGGATTGCCCATGAAAGTCGGTCCGTGCATAAAGCATCCGCCCGTCACGCTGCCAGAGCTCGACACCACGTTCTTGATGTGCTCGGTTGTCACCACAGCGCTCAGCGTCATGTAGCCGCCCGTCAGCGCTTTGCCAACGCACAGAATGTCCGGGTACACGTCCACCTGCTTTTGTGGCTGGATCCCCTGCATGTCCTGGTACGTCCTGCAATGCTGGAACGCGAACATGGCGCCAGTTCTTCCGAACCCGGTGGCGATCTCGTCCATGATCAGCGGGATCTCGAACCGGTCGCACAGCTTGCGAACCTCGATCAGGTACTGCGGGTGGTACAGCCGCATCCCGCCTGCGCCTTGCAGAATGGGTTCCAGGATCACGGCGCAGATCTCCGAGTGGCGGGTTTCCACGGCTTTCTTGAAATCGTCGATGTCGTGGTCGTCCCAGCCCATGTTCCCCGCGGCAAAAACCTCAGGCCGGGTTGCAAAGGCGTTGGACGTAGGCAGGGTGTCGAGCATGGTCGGCGCCGACACGAAGATGTTTTGCGGCAGATAGCCGGTGTAGATCGAATGCATCGAGCTGACAGGGTCACACACGCTCATGGCGCCGAACGTATCGCCGTGATAGCCGTTGCGGATGGTCAGGAACTTGGCCTTGTCGTTGCTGTGGTCCCCGTTTTTCGTGAACTCGTACTGCAACGCCATTTTCAGCGCTATTTCCACAGCCACGGAGCCGGAGTCGGCCAGGAAACAGCATTGCAGGTTTTTGTGGTCGATCAGCGTCAGGAGTTTCTGGACCACGCGGACCGCCGGGCCGTGCGTGAGGCCTCCGAACATGACGTGCGACATGCTTTTGATCTGGGAGATCATGGCCTCGTTCAATTCCGGGTTGTTGTAGCCGTGGATCATGCACCACCACGACGACATGGCCTCGATGAGGGTGGCGTCTTTGGAGTCGCTGGTTTGGGCGTCCAGGGTTATGGTAGCTCCCGAGGCGCTTTTGACGGGGAAGACGGGCAAGGGCTTGCTCATGGAGGTATACGGGTGCCAGAGGTGTTTTCTGTCAAAGTCGAGGAGTGCTTGCACTTCGGGAGTGAAGGTGAGGTCTGACATGTTCGCAAAGAGGGCGTGGGATGTGGGAAGTTGGCAGAAGAGAGGATGGCGCGCCCAGTGCGCTCTCTTATAGCATGGGGAGTTTCGGATTTTTTTTGTTGTTGGACTGGGCGGATAGCGACTTTTTTTCTGAATCATGGTGACATGATTCACGCAAGGGCGGGTGTATGTGAGCTACACACACGCAATGTTGGGACACAACAGTTGGGTTTCGGGCTCCAGCAGGTATTTAAGCCAGGCGCTGTTTGCGGAAACGAAGCGGCCTGTGTCTTTCTTTCTCTTGACGCCAATACACACCATGTCTTCGCCTATAGTCTTTGTCACGGGCACTGACACGGATGTGGGAAAAACGTTCACCAGCGCTCTGCTCGTGCAAAAGTGGAGCGCCAACTACTGGAAGCCGGCGCAAACGGGGCTGGAGTCCGACCAAGGCGACACCGAAACCGTGAGGCAGTTCTGCGCCTCCCAGCAGCACATGCCCCAGCTTTTCCCGCCGCGATACGCGCTGCAGAAGCCGCTGTGCCCTCTCGAAGCCATGGAGTTCGAGCCAGAATACGACATCCAGCTTTCCGACTTTCGTCTCCCCGACGACGCAGACGCTGTCGAGCCTCTCGTAGTCGAGGGCGCCGGGGGAATCTACGTTCCCATCACCAAGAAACTGCACATCACCACGGATCTCGTTAACCACTTTATAGCCAGTACCGATCGCCCCGTTAAAATCGTGGTGGTTGCAAGAAGCGGGCTTGGAACTTTGAACCACACTTTACTCACCTTGGAACATCTCAACCGAGCTGGACTGCAACAGCACGTTCTTGGATGTATTCTCAACGGGCCAAAAAACCCCGGCAATGCTTCTACTTTGGAGAAGTATGGTGCGAAAATCATAGCTCAAGTTGACCACTGCTCTTCCGAAAACGACATAGTTGAAGCTTTGTCCGAAATTCCAGAGTTAGCCGCCCTGGGGTTGTAGCACTGTTTATGTCAGGATCCGTGTGCTATGCCTAGCTAGCGTCAACTGCATAATGAAGCCAGATCAAAATAGGATCATAACGGGAATCTAGCGAATATGACAAAATAGTACAAAGTGATATCTTCGACCATTGATCGGCGGATGAAGTATTCGGTGCATGCCCTCAAACTGAAGACGAGTAGCTGACGATACTCTACAGTGGTGTGACGAGTTTTTTACGCTCAGCCAGTTTTTATATGATTATCGACCAGTTTCTCCACTCGATGGCTTAACCTCGAATCAGGGGGAGATAAGCTGAATCTCAAATCCCAACCACAATTGTTTAATACATCATGAACGACTCGAATGACCAGTTCAGCAAGCTAACTACTACTGACGTAAATGTGCCTCAATAGTTTTTGTCTTTAGGTAGGAAATAAACTTTGACTACTTCTCAGCGCGGTGGTTGTTTGCAGACACCCGGCAAAAAACAGCTTTTAGAGGCCTGATATCACTCCCTTCTGTAAGCGCCAGTCGGGATGGCGTTTTAATAACGCGAAGCATACCTCTCCAGAGAGTCTCACTCGTCCCTCGTCTCACTCGTCTCTTCCCGCACTCATTCCACCCTCCCACTCCTCTCTCTCCTCCCCCTCCGCTCACAAAAATTCTGCCAGCCAATCCTGGTCGAGCGTATTGCTAGGATTAGCATACGTCTCCCAATCCGACGCCTTCTCACTACTCTTTCCAGCAGTCTGTGACCTAAGCCAGCTTCTTTTTGTTTCAATAGTCGGTATCATACTATCACAAATAATGTGTTTCCCACTTAGGTGATCTTCATAATACTTCACTGGCGTAGTTCCTGTGTACCTTTTAAACACCTTTATCAGCTGCCATTTGGAAACGTCCAACTTTTTCGAAACGTCAGCCAACTTAAATTCCCTTGCACTCTTTCCTTCGGAAACCATTGCATGGATCACGGTTATCAACCCCAATACTAATTCGCGGTGCTTGTTCCATTTTTGTTCAATGTGCGGTTTGCATTTTTTGCAAGGACGAAACCCGGCTTCTAATGCCTCTCGTGTTGTAGTAAAGAACTCCACATTTTTCTGCATGGCGATCTTTGCAGAGCATGTTGGTCGACACACAATCCCTGTGGTTCTGACGGCGTAGACAAAAAGACCTTCTGCTCTTGGATCTCTGTGCTTGACAGCATCATATTTTTCATCTAAGGTTTCGAACCGGCCTTTAGACATACTTGACTCATCCTAATCTATCAATCTTTACTTCGTTAGCTTTTACCCAACTTACTGCTGCTGGAATCTACTATATAGACAGACGGTAATGAAGTGGAAGTAATCTAAAACGTCGATCGCGACATCCAAATTCCATCAATATGGGGCGAGCGAAAACCCCACACGTTAAACTATAAAGATTTATACTTTTCTAGGTAAATTAGTAACTTGAAATAAACTCTTGAAAACTTCCACTGGTTTGGTTTGGTAATGCAATTCGTTGGCATCATTTTCGACCTTCTCTGATCTTATCAGTTTGTCGCGAGCTATGATGTAGCCTCTCAAGAGCCACTGACACAATGCTCCTCCAAAGTATCCAAAGCCGCTGAAAATAGCCGTGTTTACATAGTCACTGCCATCGGAACCTTCAGACGACAATTTTAGACCGATGATCGGTGATACCATTCCAAAGGCGGCCACGAAAATCCATACAAATGAGAAAGTGACGCTCATCTTTTTAAGACCAACAACTCTTGCAACAGTTGAACCAACAGTTGCCCAAATTGTCCCCATAAAAATTCCTTGGAGCAGACCAAACGCAATGGCGGTGGCCAAGTTTGAACATGGTATCCACATTGCCCAACACAACAGTGCCAACACTAAATGCACTATGGTTCCAACACTCAGGACACCAAATCTATCAGATAGGTAACCTACCATTGGCCGCCCAACTGTCCACCCAACACTGATCATGCACGATACGTACGAACCCTGCCTAGCTGAATATCCAAGCCCCACGGTAAAGGCTGAAAGGGTGTACAATACCACGACGTAACCCAACATGGTGAATGAAACCCACCCCATTAAAAGCCAAAATCCAATGTTGGAAAAGAGCTGCTTGTCAAAAAGCTGAATGCGGTTAACCGCGTTCTTGGAACCGGTACTCTCTCGAGTTCTAGTAAAAACCAATGCAATGCAATTGAGAACAAAGCACACAATAAACTGCACAATAAGCGCCCATTTGACACTCCGGACTTGAATCATGCGCTGCATGCCTAAATTAAAGGCAATGCCACCAATACCGCTACCACTAGTAGCAATTCCCATAGCCAAAGCACGCTGCTTGTAAAACCAAAATGGTATTAGCGTAATGCTCGGAATGAACATGAAGGCCAATCCGAAGGACAATAAAACACCTTGCGTTAGATAAAGTTGCCATAATTTTTTTGAGTAGGCGGCTAGCATAAAGGCAACGGCTTGAAAGACAATTCCAATAGCTATTACTGCCTGCACACTGAAGCGACGATAAAGCCACGTAATGATTGGAGCAAAGAGCAGGCCTGCGCCAAAGGCGATACCGCCAATTGCTGAAAAATGTAGCTCGTTGCCACCCTCAAAAGTGCCATTGTTGATATATTGTTCAATGTAAATGGCGTAGCTAGAATTTGCGCCCCAGCAGGTGATATTATATATGAAACATGCCAATACCACGAGCCACCGCATAACACCACTGGGCTCCTCCGTTTCGGGCTGCTTTTTAGAACCCTGAGAGAGCTTTTCAACATCCTGAGAAGCCGATTCTTCCGATGGTATTTTGCTGGTCAGTGTCATTGTGCAAGTAGATGATTAATGCGCAAAGAAATAGGGTGAGAATCGCTTTAATTTTTAAACACTCAGTTATATACCTTGAAGTCAGAGTGGAGCCTTCTCATACTCTGCTAGATTCAGTTTGTATTTGCTTCGTTATTCCCGAGGTCGCCGGAGAAGACAGGAGTTAAGTATTAGTCACGTGGGAGCTACTTGATCTACCACTTTGAAGCGCACCTCCTCAACTAAGGCAAGACGTTAGGATGGTAAGTATGGGTTATCGACTACTGACATGGATGCCAAGCTGCGCTCGATGGACGGCAGGGCACCTACGTTCAATCCTCATCTTTACGTCGCAAGCTCATAAATGTTTTCGAGGTGAGCGCTGATGTGCCTCGTACTTATTCTTTCCGTCGAATATATATCTGAGCGGCTTCTTACTTGCCAGACTCGACTAGTATAGCTACTGGTTACTCAGAGGTAAGTAAAGCCTGGAGTGTTGTCGTTGCAGCTCAAAGCAGTGGGCGGGTAACCGCAGCGATCATTTATTAGTTCCGTTCATTAGCCATTTTTTCTGGTACATGTTTCCTTCCAAAGGAAAGTTTGCCTACGTACGATACCAGGGGATAATTCAAAAATTGTGCTTGCTTTTGCAATACTTTGCTGTAGGCTGCAGCATCCCTAGCATGACTGAAGGATCGCCACGGTAAGCGACAAGAAACCAATTGTTTATGCCGTGCTCTCAGTTCATGTGTAGCTCACTGCTATGGTGGCCATATACTATTTTTAGGAGTCTGCGCTCCGCTTGTTGCTTGTACCGTCCTTATCCTGTTGGTCATCACCCATCACGTGAATATTTCTGTTCCCAGACCTTTTTTTTTTGCCAAGAACCTTGTTACAGCCGCATGTTGCATTGCCTAGGGTGATGGTCGGCTAAGGGTCCTTTATTGGCCTATGGCAACGGTTGTAGCGTGGCTTTATCAAATAACAAGGGATACTGACGGCAGAGTTTCGATTGCTGAGTACAAGATGTTCAATATGTCAGCACAAGCTGCAAGTTGATGAATAATGACGAATCGCCTCAAGAACCTAGATCCTATAAGTATCTCCTCTATGTTCGCTTTATGGTGGCTTTGGGGCTGCACTTAAAAATTGGCCTTCAATAACTATATCAAAAACAATGGGCTACAAGTCAAATTTTAGGAACACGTTTCTGGTAGACGTACTCGAAAGAGCTGGCTTGGTCAAGCTTGAACCAAATTTCTTGGAGCAGGCTGTTTCATCAGATGGTTCTAATGGGAGCAAGGATTCCGAGGATCTGGAGGCTTTCGCAGAGTCCGGTTCTGTGCATCACACTAACTTTGATGAAAAAGATCCGTTTTTAGTTGACTGGAATGGCCCAAATGACACAGAAAACCCTTTGAACTGGGGCCGTGGTAAGAAAGGATTGGTGGTTTTTGAAATGATGCTGCTTACGTGCGCTACGTACATGGGGGCATCGATTTACACACCTGGTCAGCAGGCCATTCAGGAAGAGTTCAAAGTTGGCCATGTTGTGGGAACCCTCAATTTGTCACTGTACGTGCTGGGCTATGGTCTCGGACCAATTATATTTTCCCCTCTTTCTGAAGTTGCCAGTATCGGTCGTCAGCAAATTTATATCATTACGCTATTCTTTTTCATGATTTTCCAAGTTGGTGCAGCTACGGTTCATAACATTGGAGGCTTGATAGTCATTAGATTTATATCTGGTGTACTCTGCTCTCCTTCTCTGGCAACCGGCGGCGGTACTATGGGTGACATTATCAGACCTGAAATAGTGTCAGTTTTCATTGGATTATGGGCCATTGGTGCAGTTGCAGCGCCGGTAGTTGCTCCTCTTTTAGGGGCAGCAATGGTTGTGGCTAAAAACTGGAGGTACGTTTTTTGGCTGCTCATGTGGATTAGTGCCACAACCTTAATACTGCTGGTTGTGTTTTTCCCAGAAACCCAGCACCAAAATATCCTACACAGACGTGCTGTTCGCATGAGAAAGCAGACAGGTGATAGCCGGTACTATACCAAACAGGAACGGATCGACTCTGAAATAAAGCCCAAAGCCTTCATGAAAGAGGTCTTTATACGCCCCTTTTTGATAATGGCTCTAGAGCCAGCAGTCCTCGCATTTGACATCTACATCGCCGTGTGTTACGGTGCATTTTACCTCTTTTTTGAAGCCTTTCCAATTGTATTTATCGGCATTTACAATTTTACCTTGGTGGAAATGGGGTTGGCTTATATGGGATTCTGCGTGGGTTGTGTGATTGCATATATCGCTCTTTTGATATACCTTGCCACATACATCGGTCCCAAATTTAAGAATGGTACCTTCAAGCCCGAAGACTTTCTCCCTCTATCAATGGCTGTCTGCTGGGCTTTGCCGTTTTCGTTGTTCCTCTTCGGGTGGGCTGCTCGAGTTCACTGGATAGTACCCATCATCGCAGAAGGGTTTTTTGTTTTGAACGTTTTTAACTTGTTCCAGTCTGCATTTGCATATTTGGCGATAAGCTATCCGCGATATATTGCTTCTGTTTTTGCCAGCAACGGTTTTTGCCGTTCAGTTTTTGCTTGTGCGTTTCCACTGTTTGGTACGGCAATGTACAACAATTTAGGCAGCGAAAAATACCCAGTTGCATGGGGATCATCTATCATTGGCTTTTTTTCTATCGCACTGGCAATTATTCCATTTGTGTTTTACAAGTATGGACCCCAGATGCGAGGCAGATCTCGCTACGCAAATTAGAAATTGTCTGGAGAATGAATTGGTAATCGAGATGCAAATGTTTTTGCAGACGACTTTGTACATCCTTTTTGTAACTACAGCTGGTGACTAATCCCATTAATTTGATAATCCTGTGGCTACCTAGACCTCTGAGTGCGAAGTTTTTGATGTAGGTCATAATTTCATAAAAGTAAATAGTATCGGGGAATAAATCATCAGCATCAACATGAATACCTTAATCGAAGAGCTCTGATAACATGAAATGCTTCAGACTGAATTGTCATTTGGGAGCCATCCTCATTTCTGGTTACAGTGACAGTAACGCACGATGTACGCGGAATAAATGAACAAAAGAATATTGTTGAGGTATGAGAGGTGGATGGTCTGAGATTTTATAGAGACTGAGCAGACGTGGCACTCAATATGTTTATAACTGACACAGATTATAGAGCCAGAAAGGCCCCTGTACACAATGTTGCGTTCCTCATCTTGAAAAACGAGTACTCATATATTTCCTATTATTACTGCACTCGGGGATGAGGGACTTTTTAAAAGGTCGAGTTCGTAGATCATCCGATGCTTGGAAGTGAGAACTCCGGACCCTTCAACAGATAATATACTTAAATATTTGTAACTAATTATTACTAAGGAGCTTTGCGAAAAACAAAACGTTTCTTCTACTGAAGTTTAGATATCACTAACCTGACGCCAATGCCGTTGGGACGCAGGTGTTAAGTAGGCCAAGTTTCTAATGACAGAACAGTACAAAGTGACAATATTAGATATTCGCTCCAGCGTATAAATTTAGATAGCGAATGAGAAGGCGGCGGGCTAGACGTTGATGTGCAGTAGTGCACATAGTCACACTGCGTCAGTCCCGTTGCTGCGCAGAATGGACATGGCTATCAACACACCCCAGGTTGGAGGAAATAATCTCTCTCAACTTCAACAACAGACTGATTTTCAACTTAGAAAAGTATCATAAATGGATTTTGGGAACTTGTTTTCGTAGCAGGTATCTACAGTTGAACGTCCTTTTGAGATCTCACAATACTTGCTTCAAGTGGCACATCCTTAATAGCCTATGGATTTTAGCTAGGGACTCTGGAGTCCGGTTAGTATTATTGTCACGGCGTCTTCTGACTTACTATCGAGAGCAGTGTTATGAAGAGTCCAACGTTATGCCAAACTAGCTTTAGTAATGCCGGCCTTGTCGGCAACTTTGTCCCATATTTCCAAGCCTTTGATCAGGGAAAACCTATTGTACCGCTTGGTGTATTTTTAGCCAAATAATTCGCTTGGATCAAATCATTCTCCACTTTTCGAAACTTTCTCTTGTGCCTTGGCTAAAAAGCCACCAACAATTGTAGGGCAAGCGTAGGAACAAATTTTCAGTTCCTTGAGAAGTGGGAACAACGAAAATTCCGTTGTTCTGGTAAATATATTTTAGTTGCCTTGGTGCACCGTGGGCAGAACATAGCTTCTACTTGCCCACTGGAAGTGTATTTTCCGCGCGTCCAGTGGGGTATATATCAAATTTTATTTTCTCAACTTATACAAAACGTTATGGCTTCTCAAGTTTCCTTTAGGGGAGAGCTTGGCTCAGGATAATGAAGATTAGGTAGTTCAACGTTTTGATGCCCAAAAGTCGAAAAGACTCATCAATTGACTCATTGAATATTTATTTACCCAGGATTTCTTCCGAAAATCCCGAGCCTTCGTATACACCCCTCATTTTCCGGTAGATCTGAGCAGTGTCCAGCTCTGAGATACCGTACCGTTCAATATTTTCACGTATTTAAGACCATCTTAATAATCTGCAATAAACTAGAAAGTGAAACCTGCGCAAATGATACTGGCTGAATTTGACATGACTCATTCAGCTGCAGTTAGATGTCACTCGAATGTTTTCTCGTTAAAGAGTTGTCTGCTTTGAGAGACTGTGGGCCACGCTCTTTCCCAGCGAAGCACTCACACAAAAATGTTCTGTAAAGGAAATTTTATGATATTTCATCTCTTTAAGATATGGTCATATCTGTTATTGACTTGAAAAAAGATCTAAGGCGCGGGGAACCAAGGATATTGCCAAATATATAGTTTCAACAAGCTAACCAATTGCATATGCGCTACAATGCTCACTAAGGCATTTATATTCGAGGGAAGGTTAAGTCGCTCTATCTGATTTAGAAAGCAAAGCCCAACTTGTTCATCACCCAGTACTATGTGGAAATCAACGTCGACGTTTCGATCTTTCACGTCTCGTGATCGGCAACAGGATAGGTGAATCCGACAGGTGGTAGTTGCGACAGACTTTGGTAAGAAGTCAACCTCTTCAATAGTACTTGGATTAAGACGCGCCCTTGTGAAGACGAGAATGGAGACAAGAAATCGATTCACAGTTCACTTGTGTTAACCACTAGGCTCCAGTAAGAGCTGCTTAGGTAACAATATATAGTAGGCACGATGCATAAACGACTTAAAACTTGCAAGAGAGCCGAGACCGCGTGATTGGAGTCAAAGCGCGTGTCCACTATTCTGACGCTCTCCAGCTTTCTATACATCGAGTCCTAAAATACTGCAACAGCACCAATGACCACTGAAAAATCTACCTACACAATGCAAATGAGCTTTGTGACAATCTTATAGTTCGCCAAAAGTACTAGGTTCTCTCGAAATTTCTTGCCGAGTATTTATATCTACAAAGGATCATCTTTCAGTTAGAATGCGAGCAATTTACAACTAACGTTGTATTTTGGTGAAAGCCTTTCAAGAACCTTGTTTTATCACGAACTCAAGCGCATACTTTTACTCACATCGGTTCTCGTTGCCACATTTTGACTGTCATGATGCATAACTCACTTTTCACCAATGTGCTTACCAAGCAATGGCAGCTTACTGGACCGGCAGTTGCGTTTAAGTCAGTGAAAAAGCGATACAGCTCCGTTTAGACATTAGAAAGTGAAGCCCTTTAGAGAATACAACTGATAATATTAAGTTGGATAATATATTCATTCCTTCACATGTTTTTGCCGCCCAGCTGATAAGGATCTATATCATTTTATCTTATCTTATCTGATAAGCACATGATATAATCTTTGAATAAAATATCCCTAAAAAAAGTTTTGTATCTGGTAGGAAAACGAACGTGTTGTAAATGACACAGTCAAGAGACAACAAAAAACTGCCAAGACACAGAAAAAAAAGCTAAAATGAAGTCATCTTTTTGAGCGTTTGATAATCATTCGTAAGTTGAGTATTCCATGACTGTGGTACTAGGCACTGAAGGTTGAGTCATGTCACGCACAAGAAAGCTCTGCAAATTTTACTATTTGCATTTTTTTGAACTTTCCTTGAGTGATTGAACCTTTTTGTTCCGCTTTAAACCTCATTGTTTTTTTCCGCTCGAGAAACTCACTCGCTCAGGACTTTCCTTATCCAAGCTTCGCAATTCACACTTTCAGAGGATTGCTAACATGTTGGGAACACCAGATTAGGATCGCCGATATGATCGATCTTCTCATATCTTGTTTAAGCATTCCAGTATTAGCGCGGCAGGTCTAAGCGAGATAACGTATCTTCTTATCGAGCAGCGCGGTGGTCTTCCGAGACAATGACTTGGTGACTTTCGAAAACAGTCGACGCGCCATATACGTGCGGTACGCTCTGCATATATTGAGCATGCCCAATCGTATTTCCTAGTGTCACCATCTCGTTGGTCTCACGGTACAGCACAGCACAACACAGCACAGCACAATGCCTAAGGAAATCAACGAAAGCATGCAACTTTGGGGAGGCCGCTTCTCTCAGGAAACCAACCCCATCATGAGTGAGTTCAACAGGAGCTTTCCGGATGGAAAACTCATGTACCGCGAGGACTTGCAGGGAACCGCAGCGTATGTCCTGGCACTTCACACAGCGGGAATCTTAACCGCAGATGAGCTTCAAGAAATTAACCGTGGCCTCGAAGTGATATTAACCGAATGGGAAAGCGGTAGTTTCCAGGAAAAATCCGGCGACGAAGACATTCACACTGCCAATGAGAGACGCCTCACCGAGATCGTGGGCAAGGTTGGTGGTAAAGTGCACACGGGTCGCTCACGCAACGATCAAGTGTCTACGGACGTGCGCCTGTACGCGCGCAAGCACCTGCTCTTGGCGCGCCAGTACTTAAAAGATCTCATCACGTGCCTGGTTCACCGAGCGCGGGATGAGATAGACGTGCTGATGCCTGGGTACACACACTTACAGCGCGCGCAGCCTATCAGATGGGCACATCTTCTGAGCTCGTATGCCACGCAGCTAACCGACGACCTTCAGCGGCTGGAAATGGTACTGAACATCACTAACAGGTGTCCGCTTGGCGCCGGTGCGCTGGCGGGAAACCCATATCAGATCGACAGACAGCTCTTGGCGGATCAGCTCGGGTTCGCACAGGTCATCGGTAACTCGCTGATGGTTGTAGGGGATCGTGGGTTTGTGACCGACTCTCTGTACTGGGGATTTAGTGTTGCGTCCCACCTGTCGCGGATGGCCGAGGATCTGATCCTGTACTCTACTGCAGAATTTGGCTTTGTCAAGCTCTCCGATGCGTACTCCACAGGGTCCAGCCTCATGCCGCAGAAAAAGAACCCCGACAGCCTGGAACTCCTCAGAGGCAAATGTGGGCGATTGTTTGGTAACCTGGCCGGCTTCATGATGACAGTGAAAGGCTTGCCCTCGACTTACAACAAGGACTTGGCGGAAGACAAGAGGGCATTGTTCGACACCCTCGCTACCATCCAAAATTCGCTGCAAATTTCTACAGGTGTCTTTTCTACGCTATCTATCAATACAGGGAAGATGAGAAGCGCTTTGTCCACAGACATGCTGGCCACGGATCTCGCAGACTACTTGGTCCGAAAAGGCGTCCCTTTCAGAGAGTGCCATAATATAGTAGGAAGAGTGGTCAATGCTGCCGACGAACTCAAATACAGCGGCATAGACATTTTGAGTTTGGAAGAGTTAAAGGCCATCGATGATAGGTTTTTGGAGGACGTACATATTGTTTTCGACTTCGAGAGCAGTGTTGAAAAGAAATCGGCAAGAGGAGGGACGGCCAGATCTGCTGTGATCGAGCAACTAGACTTTATCGAGAGCAAGATTGCCGACCTGTGAGATGATGCAAAGTCATCTAGTAAAGCATTATAAAAAATGCTTCACCTGATTTTTATTTGTAGTGATTATATTAAATAACTAAATCCAAACTTACATCAATACAACAATTGATTTAAAGAATATCGTGTTATAATAAAATCAGCACTCCCGCTCTCCGCACATCTCTAAAAGTTGGGCACCTTCAACCTGTCTCCGATGATAACATACGGTAGTATGGTGTTCGAATGGCCCTTTTTCAAATTGTTCTCAGGGTCTGCGAACAAACTAGCAAAAAGCTCCGAGCGAACACCTTCAACTCAGATTTTCCAGCGTACCAGCAGTGTATCCAACAGGATACTCACGCAGCTAAATTAGTAGCCGACTGTAGTAAACAGAGTAATGCAAACACTGAAAAGTGTTGTACGGTCGTTAAAAATATAGCGTGTGAGTCGATTAAAAAAACTTCTTCGGTAGACTTAAGAATCATTTGTCGAGTCTGTTACCACGCTGTACATGCCCAGGGAATAAGGTTCTGAAAGCCGCGAAAATTAGCTCCTACTCGTCGACGGTTCACCTTTTATTTTGGTGCGATACAAGTAAGGATAATGAATGGGGAAGTAAAGATGAGTGGTTGAAGTGGTCAAAGTGGCAAGAAAGAAAAGCAGGAGATGAATATAGCCTTTAAAAGTTAGTAAGGTGTAACATCATGTCAAGCGGTTTTGGGTTCATATATCTTAAGCTTACCAAGTATTCAGTTTGGCACTCAGTAGGCTCAAGCAATGGGCTCCTTAGAAAGAATGATCTCTGCAACCCGAAGGCATTGCCATTTATTGTTTTATCATGAAGAAATGACGCCTGTTCTCAAGAAATCCAGTGCCAAGGTCCCTCAAAAGAGATATTTTGCGGCTGAGGACGTTTTGTAATGGAGATCGAGTTCACACCGGATGCGGTCGAGAGACTCAAAAGCAACTACCCTGATATGGCGAGAGTTTACACCACGATACAGAAACTATGGTGCCATCGATACCGCAGTATGCCAAGGTACGACGCTATTTGCTGGGATGCTAGGCTTCGAAATACAACGATTGTGCGTGTTCAAGTGTCAGATTGAAAGGTCTTGCAAAAATGAAACTAATAGCGAGTCGTCGTTATCTTCATCGTGGCTCCTATCTTTTGAAGCTCTTCACGTCGCCCCTGCTTTCCATATCGGTGGATCTAACATCTAAAGGTCTATGGATAACCTACAAATCAGTCTTAGTTCATATCACATGGCTCATAGATTACCCAAACTCCCTGCGATACGTCTTTCAGACAGTTTTTCGGATTCCACTTTCTCCATTGTTCCAAAAGGTAATCTCGTTATCGGTGAGGAACCCAAGCTATCAAATACTATTGCTCATATCTCTGCGATTACATCTCGCTGTCACTCGCCTTGTAAATAGTGGAATTCTGGCAGTTGTCTGTTCTCGCTACTTACTTCCTGGCAAGACTATTCAACGCCAGCTCTTTCCCTTCAACAACAGCTATCGCTAGCTTTTACAATGGAGTGAACGCCAAGCTATAAAACAGCCGCATTGGTTTTAGCTGTAGGCCAGTTTTCGCCTTGACCTACTGTCACCAAACAATGTCTTCTCTAAAACACGAAGAACAAGTAAGCACGGAAACCTTCGAGGGTCAGATCGTAGATGCGAAGAACGTCACAGATGGCGATTTGGCCATGGCCATCGCAGAAGAATCTGCAGGCCTCGAAGTCGACGAGCGTACTTACAATCGCCTTCTCCGGAAAATCGATTTCATTATGCTCACGGTTTTGTCTCTCATCTCTGCCTTCCAGTACATGGACAAGTCTTCCAGTAACTACGCCTCTGTCATGGGAATCAAAACAGACCTGAAAATGGTGGGTAACCAGTACAACTGGGTTGGAACAAGTTTCTACCTGGGTTTTCTCATTTTTGAAATTCCCACGTCCTGGTCCCTGCAGCGATTGCCACTCTCCAAGATTACGTCTGCATATGTCATTTTGTGGGGCGTTGTCCTGTGCCTTACCTCGCTGGTGCATAAGTACTCCGCGTTTATCGTCACCAGAACTATTCTTGGTATCCTGGAATCGTCCATTACACCCGCGATGGTGCTGTTCATGTCCCAATGGTACAAACGCGAAGAACAGTTTTTCCGCACCGCTATTCTTGTCGCTTGGAATGGTATCGGCGGTCTGGTAGGCGCTTCCATTTCCTATGCTCTTTACAAACGGGAACTTGAGGGCACTTTGTCCATGGACGCCTGGAGGATCATGTTCATCATTGTTGGCCTTATCACCATTATTAACGGAGTGCTTATTGTTTTGATCATTCCTGATGTCCCGTCCAAGGCTTGGTGGCTCACTAAAGAGGAGAAACTTTACGTCGTTGAGCGCATTCGTTCCAACAAACAGGGTTACGGTAACAGACACATCAAGTGGGAGCAGATTTTTGAGGCTCTCAGGGACCCCAGATTATACCTCTACTTCTTCCTTCAAGTGGCCGTAGCCATCCCCAATGGAGGATTTTCAAACTTTAGCGCGCAGATGATTGCTGGCTTGGGCTACAGTAAAGGCAAAGCCTTACTTATGGGCATGCCAACCAGTGGAATTTCTTTCGTAGCTTTGGTCTTCTTCGGCTACCTGTCAACCATCAGAAACCGTCGTTTAGACATTGCGTTTGTTGGACTGGGGCTTAACTTGATTGCTGGTTGTCTGATGGCATTTGCAAAGCCACTGCACGCCCAATTGGGTGGTTACTACATCTTTGGTATCTCACCCATTCCTTACATCTGCATCCTCAGTTGTATTGCCTCCAATAGTGCTGGCCACTCCAAAAAAGTTTTCATGGGAGCTGTTTCAATGATCGGGTATTGTACCGGTAACTTGATTGGACCTCAAACGTTCAAAGAATCGCAGGCACCACACTATCAGGGAGCCAAGACCGCTATTGTGGCCTGTTACTGTATCGCCTTCGTGATCTTGGCGGCCATCTATATTGTAAACGTTCGCGAAAACAAGAGAAGAGACAGTTTGAATGAGAAGCTTCCGCTAAGCATTCAGAACGCCGAGTTTGCTGACCTTACGGACTTCCAAAATCCTGAATTTAGATATGCTATATAGTAAAGATAAGCCATGGTGACAGTGGTATTAGTGAAATTATGTAAAATGAAATTGATTAGTGGATACTCGTCTAGTAATTCGGAATTGGCGGAGTGCTCTCGAAGGCACCGTTCAGTGCTATCATTGGAGATAAAGTGGCATGTAGATGCGAAGTTTAAGACTTATCATGAACTCGAGGAGATTACATCAACGCAGAAATCTCTATGCTATTCTCTTCCAGATCCTCTGTTCGGCTTCAAAATTGCCGGAATTCTGGATAGCTTGGATCATAACGCGACATAATAGTGAATAGTGATATGATTTAAGTCTAAGGGCCGAGGAGGAGTAAACGGGATTGCTTCGAATCGCCATGATCAGATACACCATACGGCAAGGTAACTAGCCCCCGTTTCATAACCATAGCTTGCTATCTTTCTCTCAAACTTCGGATAAAAACAAATTTATACAGGAGATTTAATGTCATCATTCGGCACCTTAACAAGTACTTCCTTGCCGTGTGGATTTTTTGCACATTAACGCAAAGCTACAAGTGCTAGAAACTTAAATATCAATTTTATACTTGCTTTACGTGCTTCCCCAACTATTTACTGTATTGAGATGTAGTTCTTATAATTATTTTCGACTTGAAATTATCCACAATGCAAAAGTATAGCCAAAATGCGTCCTCGTCAATCTAAATTATTTTCTTCCAAATAGAAACGTTTGTCGGAATGTCTTCAGGATTTTGAGCGATGTCTTCAAAGATCGACTTCAAATCCACCTCATGAGGACGCAAGTACCTCGTCTTTTTGAATAACTTCCAAAAGGTAAACAAACCGATAGCAAGTGGGATAATAAAATATCTGGTGAAAAAGGACTCGATACTGAAGTGGCCATGAATAAAGTTGTAGAACCCACCGGTAAGTAGAAATATAACGGACATTATACCGGAGAACCAAGCCGCATAGGGTGCAAGACGCGTGTGGTACGGCAGATCCGATCTAGAATAACCTTGGGCCTTTAACGCTCTGTCCATGTGAATGTGGTTGGCAGAGATTAGAATCCAGCGCAACAATGTGTTAGATGAGACCAGTTCTTGGAACCAACTAAAGACTGCAGATGAAGACTCGGAGCACGACATGTAAGCCAGTGGCAAAAACGCCGAGATGAAAAGAATTCCGACCCATGGAATACCTCTCTTGTTGGTGGTCAAAAAGATCTGTGGAGCTTGCCTTTTGGTGGCAAGCGCAAACAAGTTACGCGAACCTTCTACGATTGCCAGGTTACCAGCAGACCAAGCAGAGGTCAAAACAATTGCATTGACGATGTGTGGTAAAACTTTAATACCTGCTCTGTTCATGGCAATAACATAAGGACTGGACTTGGCGGTACCCGTACCGCTGGCAATTAGCTTGTCATTATAAGGGACAATCAAAGTCAACACGAAAACTGCCAATAGATATAACACTATTATGCGAACGAAAACGTTTTTTGCACCATGGTAAATTGCGTGTCTACTGTTCTTAGTTTCACCGGCCAAGATGGCGATGTTTTGGATTCCACTGTAAGAGTAGACAACCGAGGAGATTGCCGACCAGAACCCAACAAATTTACCAATGCCACCATCGACAAGGTAGTTCGCGAATGGACCTGGGTCTTTCCAGTAGTGGAAGCCTAGCCTTGCCTGGCCTTTGGCACCGCCCAGATCGATGACCAATCCTGTAATAATCAAAATGAGAATCAATAGAACCTTCAACCACCCAAAGAGATACTCCACTTCACCGTAGAATCTAATGGTGTAGATGTTGGTCAAAACAAAAAGCACTCCGAAAATGGTGATGAAAATTCCCGAATTGAGATCTGTCCAGTATTTCATGATGACAGCCGTGGCTGAAAGTTCACCTGGCATCAAAGAGGAGTATGTGGAAATCCACCCAAATGTGAATCCCACCGAGTCGTCAATGAACTGCTCCGCGTGCCTGATCGTGGCACCTGTGGCGGGCATGAAAGCGGCCACTTCAGCGATAGCTATCTGGTTACAGCCTACCACGATACCGACGAAAAGGTATGCTATGAGCATTCCCACAGGACCGGTCTTATGTAACGTACCACCCGATGACAGGAACAGACCTGTACCGAAAACACCCACCAGCGTCAACATCTTGATGTGACGTTCCTTGAGACCTTGCTTCAACTTGGTCCTGTCATTGTGTAGCACGCCCTGGACCGGCTCCTCCGCAATGGTTTCTACTTCCAGGACCTCTTCATTCACTTTTTCTTCGGTAGACAAGCGAGCTACCGTCGCAGTGGCTTTCAATTTCTCCTCAATGGAAGACGACATACTGGAATATAGTCTTTGAGGAATCTGAGGTTACCAGGAAAAGAACCCTATTGAATATTAGTCTCGAAACAGATCAAGTCCCCGTTATATGTACACGCTAGTCTCGATCCCAATCCTGCAATCAGGAGCCAGCTCCCAATCATCTCTTATCAGGCGCTGAATTCAGGGCGCACCATTTCTTTTACTTCATGCACTTTTTGACTGAAATTCCTGCTCGAAACTCTTGTATCTCGAAGATAGAGATGATCAGTCGTTCTTTCTACATTGCTGCGCTAGCCAAGCAAGCACATGCAGGTGTAAAGTGTCCTTGCTCATCGCACATGAGGCCAAGAGCCTTACAGTATTCAGTTTTTTTCTTACTTGCAGATAATGCAGGTGTGATGCATTTGATCAAAAGAAGCAAATGTTTATCTGATGTGAAATCCCTGATAAGAAAGAAGGCATTAACTTCTCTCTTTGAGCTTCGCGGAAAGTTTCCATAAAGGTCGAATAGCGGGACTTTTAAGGCATGAACCACCGATATAAGTGATCGCTATAAACTTCCGCAAGAGTAATACCACAGGAATTTGACCAGTTGAACTAATCCTCATGGCAGGAATCAGCAGGATATGAGATACGAAGGCCGAAAAGGCTCTTACCATATCCAAAGATCAGTAAAGTTGAACTCGCGCGTTCAAATTCACTATGGTGCCGCGGCGTGTGGGCGGGAGGTCACTTTATACCACTGTGTCGCAGTCTCGAATGACTCCTCAACGCGCATTCTCCAGCAAGCATCGTTGATGAAACCAAACGTTTAGAATAGGCAGTGGCACCTCATCATATTTTAGCAACAAAAACCCTTACGGAACTGTGCCAGCTTTGTAGGGACGTGAGTTTCCGGGCACATAGGTCACTTGTAGTTTGCCCCGCTTTATTTCGCCATGCCGCCTCTTAACGACAAAATTTCAAATTGGCATTGTCGATATGGGGTGTTCGAAAAGCGTGAAAACTAGACGGCGTGATGGCAAGTTGCTGATCATACTCACTCAAGAACGTGAAGGCGTTCTCTGAAGACCAATTTATAAATGAAAAACAAATACGACAGATAATTGGGAAAGTCAATGTGTCGAAGTGCGCAGCGCTTGGATTTTGATACAAATGGAGTATATTCCTGCGCCTTAGCTACGAACCGTCTACGCTTTAAAATGCCAGTATCATAAGAATTGGATGCCTTGAATAGTTCGCCAAGGAATGACTGCATAGATTATTGACGAGAGCACGATCGGTACAACTTTCTCGCTACCCGTCATGTGATATCTCTATAACCTGCCATCCACGTACTTTGCTCGTATTTTTTACCGCGTGAATATCGTCTTGCACGTATCACCATATCAGATCGGGAATTACTTCGTGTCTGGATCAGCTAGAACAGGTACTTCTCGTTGGTAGTTATGGCCTTGTTTCTAATCTCACAAGTGGTCCATTCAATGAAGACTCGCCATTAGATTCCCCTTTCATTACCAAGAGGACTGGGTATCATTGTGCTAGTCGAATACTGGAGCTATAAGAACAACGACAGGCTAATGGACACTCACATCTGAGTTTATAGATCCCTTTCTTCGCCTTCTTCGTTAGTCTTTCTGGCATCACCAATGATCAACTTTTTCGCAGGTTACGCTTCCCATCATATACTTCCGCGTGAGGAAATCGTCAAAGCGACTGCGGAGCTTTTGCTTCCGGAGACCAGGTACTTTGACAACGACAGCAACGACAAACATCCGCTTGTCTATGGCAGCAACAGGGGCGCGGCGTGGGTCCGTGACACAATCGCTGACTTTTCCAATAGAGTATTCCGACTTCCAGAAGAGAGAAAAATGGCTACGCGACCAGAATTCTTGAACTTGACATCTGGCGCGAGTTACGGTGCTCTGAACATTCTACTTCAGACCACATTGCCGCACAACAATTATACTAGACAGGCTTTCATCGTGACACCTACCTATTTTCTCATAAATGACACTTTCGTGGACGCCGGATTTGCAGGGAAGACGACTGCTGTTAGCGAAATAGACGGCAATCTAGACCTGGAGTTCTTGGAGGAACGTATGAAACATTTTGACAGTATCAATAGTTGTGATTCAGAAGACGCTTCTTCGTTGAAAATGATCACAAACGTGGGCGGCTATAAAAAAATATACAGGTACGTCATTTATATTGTTCCAACATATGCCAACCCAACAGGATCTGTGTACTCTGAGCAAAACAGGGTTGCGCTACTGGAACTTGCCCGGAAATATGACATGCTGATCTTGTCAGATGATGTCTACGATTTACTGACATATGACAGCAAGGATGAAGACTGCTCAATTCCTAAACCTCCACAGTACCGCTTCCCACATCTAGACCGAGAGACATTGCCTGAAGGTAATGAGTACGGAAATACCATCTCCAATTGTACGTTTTCCAAAATTGTTGCCCCTGGCTTAAGAACGGGATACCAGGAATCAGTAAATGAGAAACTGACCTTCCAACTTTCTTCAGGAGGAGCGAACGTTTCAGGTGGCACGCCATCTCAACTAAATTCCATGATTATTGCAACAATGATTAAATCTGGGATAGTTGACGAAATTATTGCCAAGCTCATCAAGATCTTTCGTGAAAGATCTGAAGTGCTCAGCCAATCTATTGAGAAATATCTCCCCAAGGGCACAATATGTCCAAGATGCATAGGTGGTTATTTTACTTGGTGCACTCTTCCTCCAGGTTACGATTCCTCCGAAATTGTGGAAATTGCAAAGCTTGAGGGACTTGTGCTGGCGGATGGATCGCTATTTGAAGTAAAAGGTGATGAGAAAAACTGGGGCAAACAATGCGTCAGGCTTTGCATAAGTTTTGCAACTTCTGAGGAGATAAAAGAGGGAATGAGAATTTGGGGGCAAGCTTGCAAATTGTACGCTGCCAAGGTAGCATGAGTTTTACAACACACTCCTGAGAGCGTAAACTTACACGAATGGCGTTTTTTGTATTATTCAAGCCAAATGCATTTTCTATATCCATTTAGACATTGCGAAATAATGGATAGCTCTCAACAGAAAGCATTGAAGCAATTCCCTCATAGCCTCAGGAAGTCCCTTTTATGGCTTGGCTTACTAACAATTCACTGCCTTCAAAAACAAGGAAGATTCCGTGAAAGAATGTCCAGCGGTGAGAACTCTTGGCTACATTGAATTTGAACTCAAGACAAGATGGAAAGAAGCTCTTTTCATTGAGGCCACTTCTAACTTCTCCGTTCTTCATTGGATGTGTCTTGGCCACCATCCTTCTACCCCCCGATAGCTGTGTGCGCAAAGACGAGGCCGGTACCACGTACTGCTTTGTTACTACATCTCTAATATTTTCTAGTTAATTCACAGGCACCAAAATGGTTGCATGATACAGAAACGGCAGTTTCCCTACCCTAAAAAACGTTACACAATAAAACAGAGCTGAAATCATACTTTTCAGCTCATGGGCTTTCAATTTGAGGCCCTTCTCTTTGCGATGCCCATCGGTCGGTTGACAAGGACCTCTACTCTAGCTGAAATACGTCTGAGTGCATTATCTACCTTACAGTAACGAATCCCCATGGTTTCTACCATCAATGGAACACCATCATAAACCTGTAGAGTAGAAATAGCTACGCGGAAGACCAGAGAACAACTTCAGGTTTGTGATATGTCAGAGGCGTCCTTCGAGGCCAGCTATAGAATCGATGTCTTATATCTTAGGTGAATGCGAATGGTAATTAGGAGAGATTGAAAATGCCTTATTTCATTGTTTGTGAACTCCACCAATAATTCCAGAAGGCTAAGCATGTGCACCATTTAGCTTACTATTTTCACTGACAAGAAGTACATAGACTATAGTGAAAAGCGGAAATCAAAATTAGGTTTTGTTTTTGGCCTTTCCCTTACTTTGAGCCTATGTAAATAGGCTCCTAAATATTTCATAAGAGTGAAGAAGAGAGAAGTACCAATAAAATTGCTGCATCCCGTATTGAACACTAATATATTTATCTTCTTGCCACTATTCAACAATAAAAAAAATGCTTGAGCTCTTTTTTAAACGTGAAAACGTTAGATATTTCCAAAAGTGCATTTCGATGCGTCATACTTGCAGTTTCGCAAGGTCTTGGAAAAGACCGCCCGACTGAAAAAGGTGCCCTGATATCGTAAGCTCTCATATCCCCAGAGACACACCTTTTAAGAGATCTACAAATATTTGCCACTGGTTAGACGAATTTCTCGAGCATAACAGTAGTTTTTCAGTGTTTACCTTATATATTGCACATTACACGATACCGTTTTCATTACCTTTCCGTCGCTCGCAAACTTTTCTATAGATTATTTCATCGAACTATGAGCATAAACGTGTCAGGACCTCTGTGCTATTTCTAGATAGCGTCGCTTGCATCGTGAAAGACTATGATATAGTAGTACCAAATGATAAAAGTAGATATTTAATAGCATACCCATTCAGATAGTGAATAAGAATGCTGAGGTCCCGAAATTGATGTTGAATAGTGCCTATAGTCACACAAGTTTAGTCTTATTGCTTCCTAGGAGGTGCGTTCGAGGGAGGGTAGCTGACACATTAACTATCGTCCGGAACATTATCGTCACCACAACTCGTCATGCAAGTAACTGTATGATACTTATTGAGACACATCTGGTCAGTGGTGGTTAATTTGCTGAACTGGATATTTAGGTCGTTCATGATGTATTAAACAATTTGTATTCGAATCTGGAATTTTACTTATCTCTGCGCGATTATCTCAGCTCTGAGGATGATTCGTCGAGGGGAGTAACTAGTCGGTATTTATATGAGATGCTGTGAGCATGAAAGCTAATCCTCAGCTTATAACAATCATACGATACATCGTATTATACATTAGTAATATCCAACGAGTCATCAGTCAATTACCAGACCACTATAGCTTATCTTCTGGTACTAGCCTTCAGTCTGAGAAGATGTGTCGAATAGTTCATCGACTGATCAATGTTTGATGCTATCACTCTGTACTATTATGACATGGCTCTTCATCATGCCATTGACGTTATCTTAACAGTAGCACATAGATCCTGACAAATTTCGATGTCTTGTTCTCTATGCCGATATCGTACTAATCACCTTAAAAAAGACCACGGAGAGATGAAAAGAATCCCAGATCCTGATACGATATAGTTAGAATCCCAGACTGATACGAAACAATTAGACAGACAATGAACATTTTTAAACGGCCAGTTTAGCAAGATAAATGCTACTGAAGGGAGCATACGTCAGTCCTTACTACATTCCTCGCCTAGGTTACTGTGAACCTCTCTTAAAGCACCCGCTATTAGTCAGAATTCTTAGTTACGCGTGCCAGCATACAGCGACGCACATGATATACAAATGAAATTTCCGCCGAGGTGCTCGAAATTTATAAGTGCGATCTCTCACTTATATGCAGGTAGCATTCTATTTAAGCAAAGACACATGAAGTTGTTCGCAGAAAACACAAGGATTTAGAGGGAGAGGTTGGAATCAAGGGAACTGAGGGAGACGGCGAGAACCACCTGTGCTATGAAAGCAATTATCATGTGTGAGAGTTCAGGAAATCTGATATCGCGATGGATGTCTCGCTCAACCACTTTCAGTGCCGGAACAAATCTCAAATGTACAGATTGCTTTGCGACAATAAGAGCCTCTAAAAACATTATGGCAGCATAAAACCTAACCCAAGATCGAACACGAAAACGATAGCAACAAAGGAAATGCCATATCAACAGAAAACATTTATCATAACAACGCGAAAGGCTGTTTCTGACTCAAATGGATGCGGCTGACGCTTCCACGTCTTTTCACAACTTGACGCTAGATATGGCGAGTCTCGCGTGTGATTACCTGTCGGCTCCAATGGCAAAAAATCTTCCTGCTATTGGGCAGCCTATTGATTTTGTATCGCTAGTTGTTGAATCTGACTCCTATACCATGTGATCAAATGTCCTTAGACCAGTTGGATGCAGCTTCCCTTGAATACATGAATAAGTGGCAGCGACTCATGTGTGCTCTCATTTATTTGTCTTCGCAGCAACATTATCTCGACGCTTAAATTTAAAGACTGTACTGAACGAAGCGAGGGCTCTTTTTAAATGTACTTTCAAAGTAATTGGATAGGACCCCAATGAATCCGCGAAGGAAACGTCTTGGGACAAAGAAGCTTTGGTCTTAATAGCTTGGGTGAAGCCCGGGTTGATTACTTGTAGGATATTTACCAGTCTCTCAATTGCCTGTTAGCTTTGTTCGTCGTACTATTGATAAGATTTAAGATTTTTTTTATCGGAGTTTAGATCCCGGACAGAGATAAGAATCTCAACTTTCATGGCCTGAGAGCATGAAACAGCCGGGACAGGCATTGCTAAGGCGTCGGAAACCGTTGAGTGAGCGGACCTGTTACACGCGGGAAAACATTTGTTTCTTCCGTCCTCGTATCGAGGCTCTCTAAATCGCTTCTTCGAGCTGACTTACTTCTTAGGGCATGTCACAATTTTGCATCCTATACTAATTTGTCACTGTCAAAAGTCGACACAGATAAACGAATTGAGGTGGACGGGAGGAATTGCTGACTTCAGTGGTTGAACAAGACAATAATCGCATCGAATTTGGCTAAATTAAGAACATCAGAGGTTCGGTTACGAAGCTGTGGCCTAAGGCACCTCAACTGAAGGTTTTGTCGAGGAGGCAGTCTCAATACATAATCGGCGTCCGTATCTCGGCTACTGATAGATCTCTAGCTCGTACTCATTTTATTTTTTATCCACACGCATGGCTCGAGACCATTAGGGCCCCATCTTTTAAGGCCAGTGTTCAAGGCACACAGGGGATGTGTGTGTACCCTGTGAAGTTCAACACACTCAGCAGACTGAATGCTCGATCGAATTGGCCTTCCGAACACCCGTGTACACTCCGTGCTCTTATGATCCTTCTGCATTTCACTCCACCGCCCTATTTTCTACCTTTTTTATCGCTATCTCGTTGGGGTGGGATTGGACTTACCTAATTAGGTTCAATGATTGATAACAAGACGCATTCGCAGCGATATCACCGCTACCGGACGCCATCGAGCCAGACACATACTAGGTATGTGGAATTGAAAGGGCGACCTAATACCAGCCAGCAATCTGAAGCATTCACCGAGCCATCTGATCAGATAAGAGCCGTTTTGAGCATAAATACAGGCTTCAACGATGGTCTCAATGGTTTGAAGTCTAATTGTCAGAATCTGCAACACTAAAGATGGCCAATAATTTAGAGAGGCAGGAGCTTCCGCTATCGCCTTATGCTTCCAAAATCATCATAGATAACTTGCACTCGCGTCAAAACAATGCGTCGCCGTACTCGTCAAACGTTAAGCACGAGAAGCAGCATGATCAAATCGATCACATCGTGGACCTTGAAAGCAGCTCTGTTGAACAGGATGAAGTTGACGAGACGAAGGTCGTCAGAAGGCTCAAATCTAGACACATCCAGCTGATCGCGCTGGGTGGGGCGATAGGAACAGGTCTCTTTATTGGTTCGGGCGGGGCGCTGAGTACCTGTGGTCCTGCACCTGTACTAATTTCCTACATGGTAATGTCACTTTTTGTCTGGTGCATCATGAATATGCTCACCGAAATAGTGTGTGTCATGCCTATCTCCGGTGAAACGTCGATGTTCTCGATGGTTGGTACATACTTAAACGTCCCGCTCTCATTCATGTGTGGTATCAACCTGTTTTATGCCATGGCAATGATTGCACCTGCTGAAATCACTGCAACTGCGATTCTAATACAATACTGGACAGACGCCAATTCTGCCATCTTCATCTCGATTTTCATTGTGATTACCGTTGGTTTGACAATGATGCCGGTCCATTACTTTGGTGAAAGTGAATTTTGGGTCTCTACGATCAAGCTGCTTTGTATCACGGGGCTGGTCATCCTGGGCATTGTTATCTTCTTTGGTGGGGCTCCCAACCAAACAAAAATCCTTGGGTTTCACTACTGGAACAGCCCAGGCGCTTTTAACCCCCACCTAGTCTCTGGGAATACTGGGAAGTTTCTAGCCTGTTGGACTGCAATCATAAAGAGCGGGTTCTCTTTTGTGTTAATTCCTGAGGTAGTTGTTTCATGCTCGGCGGAGTCCACAAGCCCTAGAAGAAATATGCCCAGAGTTGCTCAAAGATTTGTGTATCGCCTAGCTCTTTTCTACGTTTGTGGTTCGCTGGTTATTGGCATAATAGTTGCTTACAACAACCCTCGTTTGTTAAACGCCCTTGCAGAAGGAAAGTCGAACGCCGCTGCCTCGCCGTTTGTCATCGGTATCCAGGATTTCGGAATTCGAGTTCTGCCACACATTATCAACGCTTGCATTCTAACAAGTGCCTACTCGTGTGGCACGTCGGTTTTATATGGTGCTTCGAGAACACTGCACTCTATGGCGGTTAAAGGTTGCGTACCAAGAATTTTCGCAAAGACTAACCGTTTTGGCACTCCATACTACAGTACTGCTGCTGCCAGTCTGTTCTGTCTGCTAGCATACCTGAATTGCTCCGACTCTTCGAGTGTGGTTTTCACCTGGCTATCAAACATTGCCACGATCTCGGGATTCGTCGACTGGATGCTAGTATGCGCAGTTTATATACGTTTCAGAAAAATCATCGACCACGCCGGTATCAACGACAGAGTGCCTTACAGAAAGCGGTTCATGATTCCCTTGGCTTATTTCGCTTTTGGTTTCTACGCAATTTTGAGTTTGACCAATGGGTACTCTGTTTTCATCAAAGGCAATTGGAGCACAAGTAATTTTTTTGCGTGCTACACCACAATCGGTTTGGTGGTAGTTTTGTACCTGGGCAGCTCCATTTACTACAAGACCTGGAAGCTCAGGGATATGGACGAGGTAATCGCCGAGATTCTGCCCAAGATTGACATTGCCGACGAGGAGGAGAGAAATGAGATCCCGGCTGTACCAAAGAACTGGATGGAGAAAGTTTGGAATTTCCTCATTTAAATATTCATAGACATTTGTTTTAAATACTACAATTAATGCTAAATTGAGACTTACTTGCTAAGTCGTTAAAAATCAGGGCAGCAGTAGGTCAAACAAGTGCTTCAGTCAACATTGCACGCTTCATGAGCGGTTCAACAACAGAGCTGGCCTTCACCACAAATGGTCAATTTCAATTTAGCTCCTAATTTTCTCAGTCACATATTTAAGTTATTAGAAACCGAGTATTTCCATCTTATATATGTTGTAATTGATTAATTTTATTAATCAGAACAACAATAATCTTTGAAACATAATAATGTGGTATTAGCTTGAACCAGCCCTTAAATAACTAATTCATAATCGAAAGGCGCAAGAGGCACATGTATTTGTATGTATGTATTAGGCAATAAGAAAAGCGACCTGCACTCGATTCAATGCATACCGAGCTTCCTATATTTGTCCACCATCGACCAATACATGTGTTTCTGGCGATTCCGAATCCAGGGTCCAAAGAAGACCATTGGAAGAAATGTGAGGTTGGCAGCCAAACATAGGAACGCGACGCTGATGAAACATCTTTTGTAACCTAGATCTGTAACCCAGTCCGTAATCCCGTAACTTACAGCAAAAGACATACAGTTACGGATTAAAATCACAACAACCATTGCCTCTGTGTCAAGCTCCTTATATGTGTCCACCACATAAGTCGCTGAGGAAGCAATTGCGAAGATTCCACAGCCTCCCAAGAGGCCCATTCCGAAAACAAGGCCAAACCAATGGATTTCGTAGTACGCACCGACCCCCCATAGAATGCAAGCGAAGCAGCCGAGAATGCAATATAAAAGTAGAATCCAAAGCCTATCTTCTGGTTTACTTAAGCCAGTTCCTCTCCAAAGCGCGATACGCACCTTGAGCCAATCAGAGCACATACCTGACATAAAGAAAAGAATAACACTGAATGTAGTCGGCGAAAGATAAGCAACACCCACTATACTCGAGGAAAAGTTATAAGGAGAACCACCAAGGATTAGGGCAGCTGTCGCATTCAAAACATTAAACCACACAAGGGAGCTACCGTAAAGAAACCCAGCCCATACAACCACTGGGAAACGAACCATGAGAAAGGGCGCAAAGGCGTAATGCTGAAGAAGAAACTTTTTTCTTCTACCACTGAACAAAGACAATTTTTGCCAGTAAGTCTTAGTTCCATGATAAGCGGGTGCGTAGTAATTGGAATTAACAACTTCCACATTACTTGTTTGGTTCACAATGTTTACGTTCTCCGTATAATCATCTGTATGCGATGAAGCGTCCATGGCATTCGATTGGGATTCATTTTTCTCACCGAGTTGGTCAGCTTTAGAATTGTGACCCATAACCTCGTCAATGTTAGTGAAGACAGAACCCAGCTGCTGCTGACGAGATGCCAAAGTAATAACCTCCCCAGTGGTCGCATCCACTTTCAATTTACGGTCATAGTTGGTCTCTTCCATAAAAAAGAATAAGAAAAGGAAACAAACGGCTCCAAAGATAGCACACCACCACATAACCCATTCCCAGCCTTGACCTTCAGAAATAAATCCTGCAACAAAGGGGGCCAGGAATGAAGCACACAATAAGGTCAACCCATATAGAGACAATGCAAAAGACCTTTCATGCTCAAAGAAAAGGTCACTCATTGATATTTCTGGAAGTGACTCCATAGATGATCCGACAAAACCTTGCAAGATCTTCGAAGCGATCCATTCACCATTAGACTTGGTGTAAGGGGGCCACACACATATCATAGCAGTGGCAAGCATAGAAAAAAGATAAACTGGTCTTTTACCATATTGCAATGCCAGTGGTTGAAACACAAGACATCCAATACCCAAAAACAAAAACATGTAACCAGTACCGTTGTTAAGTTCGCTCAGCGTGATAGTAGTATTGGCTTCGATATTGGGAAGCACCGAGTATATAGCAGCCGTGGGGATACAGGCCCCTAGAGTGTATACCAAAACACAAGCGACCGCGGTCCACTTGCGGAGCGGCGTCCAATTAAGTGGATCGTCAGGATCGTCAGAAGGTGTAGGGATGAAAACGATTTTTCCCTGCCGGTCACCATCTTTCTTCTTTTCATTGAAGTTGACAAGATGTGAATTGCCCGGAATTGCTTCGAAGTCTATAGCCGCTGTCATCTTTGAAGAATGATGGTGCTTAGTGAATACAACCTCATCTCAAGCTCAAGTTTCATGGCCAACCTCCCGGTTTCTATACAAAGGAAAACCTAGTATAAAATCAAACTGACATCTTGATACGCTATCGTAATCGCTTTTGTCTGATCAATATAATTTCCGTATGTCTTGATACGCTATCTCAAGGAATAATTCTAGATCTATGTACCTTCGTTAAGAACTGGAGCGTTTAGAACTTCGCTTCGGAAAACGCCAAGACTTGCCAGCAAGATAACGAATGCAATATTGTCAAGCACCAGAACTAAAAGCCAGCTGTCTTGACACGTCTATTTAATCGCGCTGTGTATTCTGAAAGTTTGCCTTATCAGCAATATCTACATTCAAAAAAGGCTAATTAAACGCGTATGGCTTTGCTCTATGATATGAAGCTCAGAGCACGTGAAAAAAGGATCGCGTGGGGTTTCATTTATCACATCAACTCGGGCGCATCGGTTAAGTAAACAATGCCATCGAAATGTTGTAAGAATTGTACTTTGTCATTTCACTTTTGACCCGAAACATCCATCCGAAGGTACACAATAAACATCAAGTAAAGAAATGCGCCATTCTAGATAGGATAGGTGGATCTCATGACTGAGATGAAGACAGAAAAAGTACCAGAATGATTCCGATCTTAGTTATTCAGTATCTCTTCTACTAAAAAGTTGCTATTATTCTTTACTAATTTAGTTGCTGTCTCCATTGATGTGGACAGGCAAGTGTCGCCAGTAGTTGTCGCCATGTAGATCACTCTTATCTAATCAAACGCACGAAAAGCACGCGAAGGGAGAGGTAGTCTCTCATACTTCCTTCGGTAGAGCACCTCTGAAATTTCCAGGGGTCATGGAGAAATTTGCTTGGCAAGATCGTCCTGATTTCCGAACCGAATGAGTGGCTGTGCAGAGATTTGTTGGCGGATCTAATGGTTGCTCTTTCACTCCAGCGGGAATTGGCTTTTTTGCATTGTTCTCGCGATTATTTTTTCCGTAAATGAACAGATAGCGATCGCGTTTATTTGTCGAATCAGTCGTGCGGTAACTCGTGTAAAAAGGACTACGTGCTCGAACAGGGTTCGGAGATGGAATGACTGTAATTGATCACGAATAGTCAGAAGATGGAAACTCCACCAAGATCAAAGGTATAAGAACTTGCCCTCATATGTATGAGAACATATCGCAATTCATTCTACCAAACTGCAAGCAATTACGTCTTGAACTTGTCACGTCTACTCAAATTAGAGTTTATTATGTCTGCTACGGTTTTTCCGGAAATTCCTGATGTACAGAAAGCCGTTATTTTCCAAAGACATAATGGAGAGTTAGAATACAAAGATATTGAGGTGCCCTTACCAAAATCCAATGAACTGCTGATCAATGTAAAATATTCTGGAGTGTGTCATTCTGATTTACATGCATGGAAGGGCGACTGGCAATCAGAGACAAAATTGCCCCTCGTGGGCGGCCATGAAGGGGCCGGTGTAGTGGTAGCCATGGGGGAAAATGTGCGTGGGTGGAAAATCGGGGACTATGCTGGAATTAAATGGCTGAACAGCTGCTGCTTGTCTTGTGAGCAGTGTGAATTATCTAATGAGCCTAGTTGTCCAGAGGCTGACATTTCAGGTTACACCCGGGACGGCTCTTTTCAACAATACGCCACAGCTGATGCAGTACAGGCTGCTAGAATCCCAGCGGGCACGAATCTAGCAGAAATATCTCCAGTATTGTGCGCTGGTATTACTGTGTATAAAGCTTTGAAAACTGCTCATTTAAATGCTGGAAACTGGGTTGTCATCTCAGGCGCTTGTGGTGGCTTGGGTTCCATGGCTATTCAATATGCCAAGGCCATGGGGCTCCGCATTGTTGGAATTGATGGCGGATTTGAAAAGGAGCGATTGTTCAAAGAGTTGGGCGGGGAGATCTTCATTGACTATACTAAGTGCAAGGACATCGTTCGAGAAGTCATAAGTGTAACACACGGAGGGGCACATGGCGTTATCAACGTTTCTGTTTCAGAGGTTGCAATACAAGCATCGACTGAATATTGCAGGGCCAATGGAACTATCATTTTGGTTGGTATACCGAGCGGTAGCAAGTGCATTTCTGACGTTTTTAACCACGTCGTCAAATCTATCAAGATTGTCGGGTCCAGTATTGGAAACAGAGCCGATACAAGAGAAGCCCTCGATTTTTACTTAAGAGGTTTGATCAGACCTTCAATTGAGGTAATGGGCTTATCACAGTTGCCGGAAATTTTTGACAGGATGGAAAAAGGTCTTATCGCCGGTAGATGCGTAGTAGATACCTCAAGATAGATTTGCTCTATGTAAATAAAAGTTTCTGCCGGTATTAAGTTCTGCTTTGATTTTATACCTTTCCCGAGGTTTCTGGACAAGTGTTTCGAGTTCGGTGCCAATCGTCTGGATATATGAGTGATGTGGTTTTCAAAATCAAACTAGGGCAGGCCTGAAAACCCATCATGGGTACCATAGCTGAATTATATCCTGAACAACAAAACACATATAATCATACCAACACATTGCTGGAAATTCCTTTCTAGACTCATGTAAAAAAGGATGAGCCGTACGACATATAAACTGCAAAGCAAATCAGCTTAACGCAAAATAGTCCCATAAGTTGTACACCGTTGTTGTCCAAAAGGAGTCTCTGACTCTAGTTCATAGCTCAAGGGTGAGGTGACAGATGACATGGAATGGAGATCTCTCGGTTCGAACAAATAAGATCAACTTGCGTATGTTTGATTCAAGCACCTGGACAGGCACCTGTTTCCTCACCATTGAAGACTTATTGGTGCTAAATTAAAAGCTAAATGTGTGGCCGTGTTACGTGCCAATACCTTCGAATCAAAGGAAATGCTAATTAAGGTAAAAATGGAAAAAAAAGTAGAAGATAATCACAGGTGGTATTGCTTAAGTAATTATCTAGATAAGCAATAGGCAGGAATCCAGTGACAACTATTCAGTAACTCGAAGGCGGAAATTTGAAATTCAATGACCAACTTACACTGCCCTCACAAAACTGGACCGCGTAGCCCAACTACTTAGAGGGTCAAAGAGAGTATCTAGGTCTCCTTAATACGTATTACTATCAAACGCAAATCAGAGATAAGTGCAGGGTAAATGCCGACGCTCGAACTAAATCAACCAAAACAAAAAGGGGCGACAGGTTCATCGGCTCTTGAAAAGTCGGATACAATGCTAACCACTCCGTAACGTATCCTTCCCTCTTCATATCGCACTAATCATATTGCATTAGATAGCCTATTTTTTTTCTATGCTTGGGAAAAAATTCCCCGTTTTTCCTCCCCACAGAGCTTCCCGTTATCACATATCAATAGATTTGGTTGCTCCTTGATCTTATTGTATGTCGAACATTTAATTTCATGAGCATTTAAGTGAAAAAGAGTTGTCTCATTCAAGGTCAATTATCTGGCTTACAATATAGCATCATGATGGTGAGAAAAAGATATAGATCTGGTTTGAAAGGCTCTCAACATGGAGATTTTATCAAATATACCGAAAGAAGGTCAAAAAATGGATGCCTAACCTGTCGCAATAGAAGGAAAAAATGCGATGAGGTAAAACCGCAGTGTAGTGGGTGCGCTAGGAATATGCTAGATTGCAACTGGCCCTCCCCATTTAGCAAAGAGCACCTACGAAACCCGGAGAATAATGAACCTGGTCTGCATCAAAAGTATTCTTTTATCCACGTACCGCAAGAAGAGCTATCGAAGTCCTACACACCCCAACCAAAATACAGGATTGGAAGATCTGCTATCAATCCACCTCAAATAGCTTTGGGCCTCTCACGACTTCCCAGCGACGATTTATGTGACGTAAAAGAAGATTGTAGAAGAGCTCTCCGGCGAGTTCCAAGGTACAGGAAATCGAAGATTAAGTCACTCTGTGAGGAAGTGCAAGTTAGAGACAAGAAAGAAAAGCATATACATGTGCATTCTCTCACGAGACCAGAAGATGCTGCATTAAGGTTCCCTACTCCCATATGCGATAGCGAGATCGATGGCACTGGAGAAGATGAGCTTCATGATGAAACTATTGAGAACGAGCTCATAAGTATTAACCATCAAGAAGTTGCTGAGAGCCGTAAATACAAAAGTGGAACAAATAACATCGCCAAGTTAATTCAAAAGGAATTGCGATCGGACACCAGCGAGATCTACAGAGATTTCTTTGACTTGAAATTAGAGTCATACATTTTACTGAAGGAAAGTGCTCTCAATAATTCTTTCACGCAGTCGAATGATGGGGCTTCCAACGCTTCACACCCGAAACATAAGGACTCGGAATTACGGAGGCATTCAGTGCAATCTTCAATAAATAGCCAATACAACGGCGAGCTTGCCTTTCAATCAAACTATAGTTTCCTTAACGGTGAAAATAATTGCGCCGCAGAGAACTACCATAAAATAATAGAAAGTTATGACCGTGGGGAATTTGGAGGCCATACTAACACCGAGAACGATGAGGCTCTCTTATTCTACACGTGTATTGAAAAGTTTATTCCAAATCTTGGAAGTCAATATACACATCCACTTTTAACTGCTTGCGCTACGTTCATTCCCCAGGTCGAGAACAACATGCCTCTAAAAGAGATTTTTTTGTGCTGTGGAGCAACTTATCTGGAATGGTATGATGATGCAAAGTTTTCACCCTTGTCTAATAGTCTCTATAAGAGTTCACAAATGCTAATCGAGAAGCATTTGCTTGAAGACTCGCTCATGGATGCTGGGTCTTGGTTAATGGCTTCTTTCCAACTGCTCTGTTTGCGTAGTAAAATGGCATCATCAGGGACAGTGGATGACTGTGTCAATTGCCTTTCCAAATCTTACTTGGTATTGAAGAATACAGTTTTCACGAGGAACAAAGCACAAAACCACATGGCAGCTGGGCTTCAGAACCTTGCTTATGAGATAGAAAACAAATTTATCGGCCAATCGGAACAAGAAAAATCAAAGGGAAGTTTTGTTCTCCAACCATATGAGAGGATGTACATTGAAAGCTTTATTTACAATTATTCGGTTGCAATTTTGTTCGCGTCCGATATATCAAAGCTCCCGAACCCATTTTCTATCTTTAAGGAGCTTAGTCATGTTTTAAAGCGCCCACTCTACTACTGTTATTTTGAGTGGATGAACAACCCCGTATTGGGACCTGCTTTGGATGCCTTCGAGATTCTGGCAAAGGTGTCATTTATTGCAAGGCTTCCCATGCCTCTTGATAAATCCTCTATATGGTTTCAGCGAGCGCAACAACTACAGACGATGGCTTTATTTTATACCGGGCCTGTCCTGTACCCACAACTGAAATCGAAAAACGAACAAATCTTCAAAAATGCCAAAGTAAGCTCACTAGTTGGCATAATCGTTGCAAAATCGAGTTACCTGTTAGTTTCTAAGATTTTACAATATCATGATTTTCAAATACAGCAACCATCAATTCAAAAAGTGCGTTGCGAAATTTTTGAAGCCTTCTCTTCAATTCCTCTTGAAAACAAGATTTGGGGGATTCTACTATGGTCATTAACTATCACAGGATGTTTTTCAACGGCAATGCCAGAAAAAGGTCACATATTAAAATACATCTTGAACGTGGGAGAGTACTTTCACAATCAAAATACGATCAAAATGAGAAGCTTTCTGGAAGATGCATGGTCACGGCCAATTGACAAACGTTTAGATATTCTCTTTGACCGGAAAGAATTATCCAAAATATCACCCTAGCATATAGAGGTTATTCTCTATTGACCAAATACAAGAGTTCGGGGTTGCTTGTGATGCCGTCAATAATTATAGTAAGTAGTTCGTAACTCTCGTGTTGCTTTGGCTGCGATTGTCTCTCCGCTCTTTTTTGGACTTCAAATGGTTTCTCGATATACTGAAAATAATTGATGTCTCTATACATTCACCGAACGGCCAAAAATCGCCGTTTTGCCGATCCAGAGCAAATGCAGCTATCTTTATAAAAGAGAACTCAATTAGTGCCATAACATCGCGTCGCGAATACAATATATGCCGTATGAGACTTTCCATATCTTGACGTCAGTATATTCTATCCTGACACGAAAAGAACTCCAACAAACTTTAAAATGTCACTAACAAAATTTATTGACTTTCAGTATTGGGATATCGTTGAGACTATCATTTATATCTTCTATCACTGCTGTAATGAATCTCTAGACCTAATGCGAGTTATGTGAGAGCATCTCTTCTAGCGTTGAGTATATCACTTTATTGTTTTTCGATGCTATGTGAATCCCTCCGTCGAGTCCATTAATTATTAAATTTATCATTACAACCTTCAGTGCAGGCTGTGTCACCATGAATGAGAAATACAGGTGATCAAGACAGGTTTCCAAGATAAGGAGCCACAACACAAATGACAGCGATTTGAAATTGTAGCGCAGCGACCAAGCGAGTGTAGCATACGGGCTCATCCTAGTGCACATCCTCAGCGCCTATCATGTTGAATCCTTTAATTTATTAGATTTATCGTTTTAGGCTTTTACGCGGCCATGTAACCATGGACGAAGCTTACGATAGGCCTAGATAGGTTTCCAAGATAAGGAGCCAAAACACAACTGACGGCGAGCTAAAATTGCAGCGCAGCGACCAAGCTAGTGTAGCATACATAATCATCCCTGTGTAAATATTCAGGACCTATCGTGAAGTCCCTCGTTGCATCGTTTTCCAGAAAAAAATAACGGTTTCCATTTTCATGCATGTGAACGTATATATATATTGTCTGCCGCCTGCACCACCGTTGACCTACCCTGTTGCTATCATTTCATCCTTAATATCATAACTCTTCAATTAAATTCATTGTTTTACAAGAAAATTAGCTAGCTGTCTTTGATGTTCAGAATTAGATTGCAAAGAGGTTGCCTCTTGCGCACAAATCAAACAATAGTACGGAGGCAGTTGCGCCCTTTCACGACCAACATCAGAACTGTGAATGCGCAACGCGTGGTCGGCCGCCTAGGTTTTGTGGCCGGGATCGCGATTTTTAGTGCTGGACTATATACTTTCGAGAAGAGGAAATTTGCGTCTGTGATAAAAAACGACGTTCGTCAGGATTCGAAAAAGCCAGGCATCCTTCCTAGTGAAGTTGCTCGGCATGATAAGGACAACGATTGTTGGGTTGTCATCAACGGGTTTGTGTATGATCTTACCGAGTTTATCGGTGCTCACCCGGGTGGTCCTGCCATTATACAAGCAAATGCGGGGAAGGATGTGAGTGCTATCTTTTCTGCGTTCCATGCTCCTGACGTCATCGAAAAATATCTTCCCGAGGAAAAATGCTTGGGGCCACTTGATGGTCACATGCAACCAAATCTTGTGAGCCCTGCTCTAGCTCCTGGCGAGACACCGGAGGACATTGAGAGGAAGGAGGAGCTACGCCAAGCACTTCCTGAACTAGACTCTTTGATTAATTTATATGATTTTGAATACTTGGCATCTCAAATTTTGACGAAGCAAGCCTGGACTTATTATTCCTCTGGGTCCGAAGACGAATTTGCCCACAGGGAAAACCACGCTGCATATCATCGCATCTTCTTCAAACCACGGGTTTTGGTGAATGTTGGAGAGATTGATACGTCTACGGTGATGCTGGGGCACGATGTCTCGGTGCCATTTTACGTCAGTGCCACTGCCTTAGTAAAGCTGGGAAATCCTGAGGAAGGTGAGAAAGACATTGCGCGCGGGTGCGGGCAAGGTGAATTTAAATGTCCTCAGATGATTTCTAATTTCGCCTCTTGCACGTTAAAAGAGACAGTGGAAGCCGCACCCTCGAAGGACCAGCTTCAGTGGCTTCAAGTATACGTCAACACCAACAAAAGCATTACCGAGAACTTGCTTAAGGAAGCTGAAAAATTGGGCTTGAAGGCTATATTTATTACTGTGGATGCTCCATGTTTGGGGCGCCGCGAAAAGGACATAAAACTTAAGTTTACGTCGGATAATAATCCTCAGAGCATCAAAAAGACTAAATTGGAGTCTTCAATTGGCGCTTCTCGCGCTCTTTCAAGCTTCCAAGATGCAGCGCTAACTTGGGATGATGTCGTGGAGTTGAAAAGTAAAACGAACCTCCCCATTGTAATCAAAGGTGTACAATGTGTTGAGGATGTGCTGAAGGCTGTGGAGATTGGAGCTAGTGGTGTCGTTTTGTCAAATCATGGCGGCCGGCAACTAGATTTCTCTCGTGCTCCCATTGAGGTCTTGGCGGAAACCATGCCAATATTAAAAGAGCGCCACCTGGATGATAAACTAGAGATTTTTATCGATGGTGGCGTACGCCGTGGAACTGACATTTTGAAAGCACTTTGCCTGGGCGCGAAAGGTGTAGGCCTCGGAAGGCCCTTCCTTTATGCAAACAGTTGCTACGGCAGAGACGGTGTTGAAAAGGCTATTGATATGTTAACTGAAGAAATTCAATATTCAATGAGATTGCTAGGTGTCAAGTCCATAAATGAATTAAGACCCGAGCTGTTAGACTTGTCCGGCATAAAGAACAGGTCCGTCGACTTCCCTCAAGACAGCTTGTATAAATCTGTTTACGAAAAGCCGGAACATGCTCAGTTTGTTGAACGTGATTAAATGTGGTCTTAGTTCAAGTGTTTCTAATAGCTAGTGATGGTTTCAGTTGACATGTAATAGTATAGAAGCGTCAACTGGATAAAATTCCCCAATTTTTTCTGTTCGAGAATATAATTTAGATACACTGAAAATCATTGATATGTATACAGTTTTTAGACGACCGGCCACGCTTGCGTAAAACATACATGTAAAAAGACTGAATGGTGCTATCGATAATAAAAGAGAACCCTCTCAGAACCGTAACATCGCGCTCTTAGTGGATTCAATGCCTTTAAAGATATCAACGATATCTTCAATATCACTTCGTACTACCCTGACGCTATTTAGATTTCAATAACTTGCATGATAATTAAAGGGCCAACTGCTTTTGACGCAGATGCGCCCCAAAAAACGAGTTTTTATATGCCCAATAAAAAGTTCGCCAATAACACCCGCGGTTTGAACTCGGTCGATAAAGTACCAATCTAATTAAAAAACAACCTCGCTGGAGCCAGCACAAGACTGCCTTTGGCCTCACTAATAATATGTTGCCTCCTCTTCCTTTCTTTTAAGGCTATCACAATATATCGAACCACTTGAATTATCGTTCCTCGTATCAGTCGGCAGTGTAATACCTACGGAATTCTTGATATTTAGGATAATCCAAGAATCCCTCGGCCGTAAAGGTATGAAGGGGCTGCGCGCAAACATAAATGGTAAGCCTTTTTCTTACCTCGCTACCAAAACAGGATTGGAAATAAAAAAATTATCTTTTGAGCAATTGATGTCCTGTTATCGGTATTGACTTTTCTTCTTACAGCATCAAGCTCAAGTGCAAGTTTTCCTACTCAGATGACCACCCCGCCCCCAGCTGAGTACACAGCTGAGTACACAAAGTAATTAAGTGCCGTACTTGTACCAATATTGATTCTTACTTTCTTTGTAATGAGGATTAGCTACACGAGGCTCCACGGCGTGCAAAAAAGCTAGCCGCTTCTATTCCCTGGCTCTCCTATCTTCCCCAATTACATGGGCATGCTATGCTACTATCGGAAGCATAGCAACACGGTGCCGCACCTACCGTAAGCAGAAAAGCAGACACCAGATTCGTCGCAACCGACGGCCTCAACTACAGCAACTACAGCAACTACAGTTTGGAGAACAGATCGTGATTATTTAAAATACTCTCTGTCGAAATCTTTACCATGTCAAAATAGTATAAAGTGATATCGAGGCATTTGTAAAAATCAATACGGCATTCATTCCCCTCGCAACGCGTTGTAACGGCAGTAAGCCGGCTCTATCTTATCAATATTGTCACTATTAGTTTGTTTACATGAGTTGCTCGCACTTGTAATTCTCAGTGTATGGACATTATATTCTCACATAAAGGACCACGGAGAGATTTGTCCAGATAAAAAAAAAGCTTATTTACTAGCAAAAACTACTCAACCATGTCGATTGGAAAAATTACAAGCAATCCCAAAGACTTAAGCTGGTCAATAGAGACCACATTAACACTCGGCACAAAACTTTTTAAAGACGGCAAGTATTCAAAGCGAATAAACAAAAGCTTCATTTTCGTGATCAGTCAGATCTAGCATGACAATCTTGTAATTTGCCTTGTGTCATCAACTTTATGTATTGCTTGGAATTTCAGTTCGCTAAAGTTCAGGAACTTTGGTTTTTCAACCAAAGTCCTGACTTTTTCACTATAATTTTCCAATCTCAGTTGGTTTCTGCCTCTCAATTTCTACCAAATGAATATTATAGAGTAAGGAGCCAAAGAGAAGGATAACCATCATTTGAAGAATCCAGGCCGAAAAATAGCGCAATCCAAATTCCTCTCTCCAAAGTTGTGGAGAATTGGTATTACTGATCGAGTATCCAAGCAAACTAATTGAGCTCGTAAACTTTTTTGTCTACCTGGACGCGCTAAAGCTCGCCCAACATGATAAAAAGATTGCCAAATACCTGGCTTGCCATACATAGGTTGGACTAAATCCCCGTTTTACTTTGCCATGGCAAAGAAATAGCAGCAGTGGAACCGGCTAAAGTAAAGTCCAGAATAATGCTGTGAAAACGGAAATGTTTGACCACTTTAGCAGCGACAGTAATGCAATAAGTGCGACAACTGTAGAAACTCCAGCTCCAGCCACTGAGACTAGGGTAGATCTCACAGCGTCAACGCTACCATTCCTTCGAGCAGTAAGACAAAAAAAAAGGAAGAATAACCAGGTAACGTGGTCTCTTAAAGGTTCTTTGAACTTTGGAAAACATTTTATTCAATTGAAGCACATTTGGTAGCTTGAACTCTTCTCACTATGCACGCATTTTTCTCGAGAGAGAAGAACTGTGTATCAGTAGGACTGTATGGAAAGAAAATTGCCACAAGCATAGTCACAATGATCGTTAGTGCGGCAATGATAAGAGTGACTATTTTCCACAATTTCAAAATGTCTGTTCTTTATTTGTAGAACACTGTAAGCAATAAACCAATAGTAATGGGGGCACCCATACACGTCACGAAAAAAATAATTTGCGCTGTAGCTCTTTCGATAGCATCGAAGAACATCGCCATTGTATTTATCAATATTGGCATGACAGTACTTTCGGGAAAGCCTAAGGAAAACCCGAGAACTGCTCCGCCCGAGAAGTTGCAGGCGACACAGTGTAGAAAACGATACAGCACCAAACAGGACAACAGTCCGTCAATAATAGTCCGAACGGTAATCTTTGAGCTAGATATTGCCCTGGAAATTGGCCAAGAGCATTACTAACATAGAACAAGGTGTTAACGATGTTGTATGTAGTCTGCGTCAGACCAGTATTTTCGAAGAAACTCAAAATAGCATCATAAGACAATATAGCCTTATTTATATACAGCACCAAGTTAATGGCAAACACGAATGCATAAATCCTCAACAATTTTCTCGATGTACTACTTTAGGCTTCCTCGCACTTCACAAACTATCTGAGGCTTGGCAGAAATATGGAGTATTTCCGTATGTAGTTATCAGAGCCGCAGGAAACCTAAAAATACCTTGCCCATGTAACATGGACAACTCAAGAAGATCCTCAATAATTATTTCACTAGCCAAGGTTTTGCGAGATGTCGTTTTTTTCATAGGACCAGGGCAAGCTCTAATGGGGCGTTACATTTGAAGCTTCTACAGAACCTGGCCCTCTGGAGGAAGGATTATCCCCGCCCGGCAAATAGACAACCCTGTTTTCAATTTCGGCAGATTTTTCTGCAAATGTCACAAACGAGAATAGTGTCGGAGTTGAAGCTGAGGAGCCAGGCTCACAGGATAACGCAAATGGCAGTTGCAGTGGTGTGAAGTTCGAGAGCGAGAACGAAATTCAACTCAACTGCTTTTGATTAACTTATTAGTGATCAATTCACGAGGTACGTCAAATACGATTTATATTATTGGCCTAAGGAATTCATCCGCGAAGATGCGTAGAGAGGCTCTAAGACTTTAAAGAGACGAGTAAAGTATCGAAATTCTGTAAAAGTATCAGTCTCACCATAATCGAGGATAATCGCGTACTCGTGGCCAAATGAGCCAAGCGGAGCTACTTGTCCACGGTCCAACTTTTATTTCAAGACAATGAAGCCACGCGAATCGGACTATTAAGTCTAACGCTTTTCAATCAACGATTACTTAACTCGAGACACTTCAGCTCGACTACGCCAACGATTGCCAGTTCCTGGCAAATGCCAAGCCGCTGCACATTTCTGGCAAGTCCATTCTTCTGTATAAAGAGTATTTGTTCCAGCCACAATCCCGGAGGTATGACGGATAAACCTTAACTTAGAAATCAGGAACTGCCTAAACCCGCGAATATCCCAAAGGCTATGAAAAAATGGTATTTAATACGAGCTGGAAAAACCTGGTATGCTCCTAACTACTTTACTCAATCGACTAAAAAAAAATGCCACTAGCGCTCAAAATTGTCGCAGGGTCAATAGGCTTCCTCTCTGTACCTAAGGAAGACTTGACCGAATATTTAGAGACTTTGAAGAAATATGGAGTAAAAGAGATCGATACTGCAAGACTCTATGGTGACTGCGAGAAGTTGATTGGTGAGTTGGACCTTCCCCGCAAATTCAAAATCGACACCAAAGCTCGGGGACTCTCGGATCACAGCCTAAGCAGAGAGAACATCAACCAGTCCATTGATCTGTCTCTCCGGTTTTTGGGCGTCCAAAGCGTAGATTTGTTTTATTTGCACAGCCCAGACCCACAGACACCTTTGGAAGAGACGCTGGATGCGATTGATGCCTTACATAAGCAAGGCAAATTTAAGAGATTCGGAGTTTCCAATTTTTCGCCTGAGGATGTCAAGAAGATCCACGCATACGCAGAAAGCAAGAACTATGTGAAACTCTCGGTTTACCAGGGTAACTATAATCCTGTTGTGCGGAGAATCGAATAGACTCTGTTCCCCGTTCTCAGAGATCTTGGCATTTCATTCTATGCTTACGCCCCGATGGCAGGTGGGTTTTTAGCGAAAACTCGCCAAGAAGTTGAAGAGGGAAAAACAGGCAGGTTTGACAAGAGCTCATTTGTCGGTGAATTCTACCACAAAATGTACAGTAGGCCTTCCATTCTCAAAGGGCTCGAGAAATGGAACGCAATCGCTGATGCTGCTGGAATTACCAAGGCAAATTTGGCTCACAGATGGATAACTTACCACTCTTGTTTGGATAGTGCGCTCGGCGACGCGGTAATCATCGGCGGAAGGACTCCGGAAACGATTGCTGAAACCTTGAAGGGCTTTCAAGACGGCCCTCTAGATTCTGAAACTGTTGCAGGAATTGAAAAGATCTGGCAACTAGTAAAAAATGAGGCCCCGTTGAATAACTACGCTTCTTGGATTGAGAAGTGAGATTTGTTTGCTCGATTGGAGAGCCCATAATATTCACGCTGGGTGGATTTGGTATGAAGATACATTTAATTTAATGTCAGTACGCTTGCGCGATAAACCTGGTAGACCTCTCTAAAATGCTTACTCGGGAAGAATATAACAATTATGCAGGGTTCCTCTAATGCTAACTCACAACGGGCTGTATGCCAATATGCCAATATGCTAGTAAGATAAGCTATATAAACCTTTCCTTAATTGCTCTTATTATTCATCTATGTTATTCGTAGATGTGACGAATAAAATCTCGACATAGAGAATAAACCATCGGTATATATACAACTGCTTGAGTATCGAGTTTTAGTAACGAAAAAAGTTTCAGACCGAGTTGCTTGATGTAGCATCCTCATTTGCACGGACGCGACGACGTTGAAAGAGTGTTGTAATAAGTATTACTAAACGCCAACGTCCAGATCTCAATATTATCAATTATCCAAAACTATGTGCTGAACTGCATATCTGACTTTATCACGCTATGTTATTATGTCATAGTTCATGGTTCCCGCTATGATTCTATTCTAATCTACCTAATTATGCAATTGACGCTATCATACAATAGCACAAGGATCTTAGCGGTATCTCAATAATAATTATTACTCATGATGAACCTGGCGATGTCAATTTCTCCGTGATTTCTCTAGTTTTATTTTGAGTATTCTCAAAACAGCGAAAAAACCGACAGTATTTGAGTAATCACTTTGTTTGCGAATATTGGTTGTGTGTGATATTTAGTGCTGGGTTATTTAATAAGACCAGGCTCCATAACTCGGATACAATGCTAGTGAACAGTGTTATTTTTTACACAGCCCAAAATTTAAATTTAAGCCTCAGCATTTTGATAATATTTGTGGTGATATGCTGGGTCTCATCATACTAGCTCTAATCACTTTATTTCAACGTTTCATATCTACTAAGACCTCTTGCTAAACTTTCTATCATATTCTAGACCTTACTAATTTAACGCTCCATTTTATTGGTATCACTTGATAATATTAGGTCACTTTACAACTTGGCGTATCCATACTTACATCCTAACAAAGGCTACTTTTACAGCTACTTGTTCATGGAGCGAAATAGCTACATCTATGTAAAGATGTCCACAGAAAAAGAAAGCTCGCTTCAATTTGAAGTTAACATGATATAAAACTCAAGCACTGTACGTATTGCGTGAGAGTGTTGAGCGCGTACTCGTGCTTCAACTAAATAAATTGCAGGCGAACGAGACACTAGGTGGCGACTTCTCTCCACTTCAAACCTTTTCTACTTGCAGCGCATTGAAAACAACTTTTTGCTAGATTTTCTTCCTTTCACATCCATGAGGCTATCTACCGTAGCGTTTCACATGTTAAATTACTGATTGTTAATTACTGCTTCGGAACACGGCAATGAAATGCGCTCCAGAACTTTTTGTATGAAAATATAACCTTAATGCACTGCGCAGCTACTGGTCTTAGTTTACCGGATGGGCCCGTCCTTGTAAGATGAGTTTTAAGTTTTCTCAATAGAAGGCCTGCTTGGTGCCATACGGCGTTTCGAGTGTGTTCATAGAGTCTTACATGTCATTTCGTACCATCATGACGCGCTATTACGACAACCTCTAACACATCAACGGTTCTCAATGTATATGATAAATCACCAGCTTCAAATCTGCAGTCACTACCAGCTTTTTCATCATTTGGGCCCCGAATATTTAGATTCGATTGCATAAATACTGTTGGTAGGTTTATCTAACATACAAAACCAACTCCCACATTGCGGCGCCTCATGGAACTTCATGTCACTCCGATGAAATAAGGCAATCATAATGTTACTATTGTATCAATCAGTATTATCACATACAAAATGAGCCAGCTTACTTGATAACCAAGAACTTGTTAGAAAGAGACACCGGATTGCCAATAGCTTCTCTGACTTGCTGATGTATTTCTCAACGTAAGCCTCAGGAAACCCTTCCGAAAGAAAGGCCTTGCCATAGTTATCAAAAAAGGCAGGACTATGGTTCTCCAGTTCAGAAGCCGTCATCATTGGGACTACATTCTGGGCATACTTTTCTGAATTTTGAAACATAAGCCCAATGACACCTTCGATGATCCGAGATTTCAACCCATCACCCAGAAAGTTGTTGCGGATAGCCGTCTTTATGAGTCCCGGATTTAGACCGTACACTCCAATTCCAGGAAAGCGCCGTGCGGTGTCAAATACAAGCGCCTCGTTTCCAGCCACTGTGGTCATATGAGTTTTCATCGCATTGTAGCCACCTTCAGAGTTCAGATCATCGGGTGTTCCAGTTTCCCCATTGCAGGGAAACCCAAAGATGAACACTCTTGGTTTTTCAACGACGTTAGTGTGAGCTTTTTCAAGCGCGGGCAGAAGATTGCGGAGAATGACAAGCCTGTTGAGATAACTCACTGCGATATCACTTTCCAGACCTTCTGTGGTCAACTCGCGTATTGGAGCAGCAATTATACCAGTTGAAAATATAACTAAATCCAAAGATTTTTGCGAGATTTCTTGTGCCACTAGCTTGGCTTCAGACATCAACTCTAAGTCAGCTTTAATGAACTGGACATTTTTCAAGTCACCGTCTCGGAAGGTTCTATCCACAACAATCACATTGGCACCTCTGCTTTGGAAAGCTTTGTTAAGCTTTGGCCGATTCCTCCGGTCCCTCCTACAATCGCAACTCTGAGGGTTCTCAGATTTAGCTTGTCTGCTGGGGCGTTGGCCCATTTCAGCTGCTCATTGGGCTTTGCAGTAATGACTTTGAAACCAAAACCCATTTTCTTTTCTTTTAAGATTTGTATTCGATGCTTGAATCTCAACTTCGGACTATGAAGCTTTAGAATGCAGAACTTCAGGTCTACAAAGCTTCAAGTCCGTTGTGTGGAGTTGAGCCCATTATTTATACCAATTGAGAGTAACCTGAGTTCTATAGAATTAGTAAGATACTGTCGCTGGGAGCGGTGGGCTAGCAAGTGGCACTTTTAGTCAGATAGAACATAGTATTTGTTGCTTTCAGAAAAACCGCTCGTTTGACTTTACGCTCAATTGATCCTGGAGTTCTTGAAGTCTTAGAGTGCCTCTGCCACTAATTGATACTGTGCTTTTGTCAGCATTTGCAAGTTTTAAGCCCTGCCAACTTTTGCCAAGAGGTTGAGCTATGGGTTGGAAAAGAGCGTTTCTACTATTACCTCAAATTTTGATGCTGGTAGTAGTATTTGACACATCAATCCACATGGTCGCTACCCTTTTTTTTTCGCCTGTTTTAAGCAAAACACATCGTTTAAATCCCTATCAATGGTAACCTATAACGAGATCTTAATTGTGTCGTCTGGTACAGCACAATCATCCAAGGTAAGTAACCAGACAAGCCGGACCATGAGCAATGAATGCATTTGCGCAGCCACTCGAAATCATGTCTGACATTGCAGCTTAGATTGTATTGAGCTCTGTTGCCATCTTTGATACTTGCAAGAAAACGGCAAAAAGCATAGCGCCCATGTAGCTGAATGCTTGCAAAAGTGTAGGAAGGTGGCGAATGGCTATGCGTAGTCTTGCTGTAAAATTGTTGTGTCAACGAGTCTCGTTATTTCGTTTATTTTCATTTTCTAAAGGTATAAGATGTGTTCTACCAATCGACATTGAGCCTATAATTCGAATGCTATCTTTCAAAAAGATAGATGAGTCAGAGCCGCAATTTGTTCGTAATGCGTTCCACTTTCTACAGGCTTGAAATACACTCAAATTGGTTGTCATTTGCTCTGAAGACTTTACCGCCGAACTTTCATTTTTCCATCTCTTTGGTAATGTTAATAATTGGCCTTTCTTCAAAACTAGTTCTAAGGCTAAAATATGAATCTCATCTTCTAGGACATGTTTGTATATAGATATTGGCAATAACAACTCAAGTCAATTTGCACTGTATCACACTACTTAGCTGAAGGGAGAGAGATAGTTTTCTCCAGGAAAGCTGCGGTGTCTGCATTGCCCTTAAGCACTGAGTGTTGCAAAACTATAGAGAGTCATTTGTTCAGCTTAGTGAAGCTATCAAACTTATCTTTTCCGAGAGCAAAACCGGAGAGAGTCGCGCATATAGTTGCAGTGTATGAATCCGCGACTGTGGCCTGGTCTTTAACCAGGAATTCATGCTGAGCTAGGAGCTGCTTCAAAAAGGCAAAGCATGCGAGGCATTTGGACAGTTTGTCTTCGTATTCCTCTTGATTTGCATTGGTCTCGGTAGCGGTCACTAATGCAACAGTGCTTGAGGTTATTTCTTGGTTTGTGAATGACAATATCCTAATCACCTGCGAACGTTCCTCCAGAGTAACTCCGTAAAAGGTTTTTTCAAGTTCCGCATCGTCCTTCAATTTAACGAGGTAGTACAGAATTGCCATGACCTCGGTCAATTCATATCCATGGCTGCCAAGAAAAGCTGGATTCTTTTCAAGGGGAAAGAGGTTTTTGAACTCCTCATTCTTTTCACTTGTGTTTACTGGCTCGATATCAATTTTGAGCCATTCAATCAGGGTCCGGGGCAACATGCCTACAACAGTTTCGGAAGCGTATAGTGTTCCAATTGTAATTGTATTTGGTTGATAAAGCAAGGAAGAAGCTCTGCACAAGTGGCTCAAGCTCGCGCTTTTTATACATCAAACATATCTCGAGACCGCTCGAGGTTGAAATCGGCTAACGTTAAAAGACCGATTGATAGCACAACACAATTAGTCAGGTCAGCGCGTAGTGCAAATTCTTTTGCTTGTTAGTTTCATGCCGCCTCTACTCAACGTGGCTTTATCGATCTTAGTAATGAAAGCCTGACACCAGTTTTGTCGAAGGAGCTGATGATGTGCCGAGGAAGGGCACATGGGTCAAGGACAAAACAAGTTGATCATTCAATCGTTCAGTTTAGGATCAATGGCTGGTTCCAGTGCTCAAGGGCTAGCTGTGTTTCCATGAGTGCCGTAAATTGACAACCCCAAATACCGTCCATTGGTAAAGCTTGGGAAAGATCTTTGGCCACTAATGATCTTTAGGGCTATTTGATATTTCGCAATTTTCGAGAAATTATAGTTCTTTCATAATTCTAGTAATTAAGCTTCGTTTCTAAGAATCCTCACTTTTTTCATATAATGACATATTACTTTGACTATGGTGGTGTTGATCGCTCAGCGCTGTTCTAACGGCTGAAGCTCGAATCTTTAGTGATTATTATATTTAAACCTTCTACAAAACTGTAACGGAAGATGCTTGCTAATAAAGGCATCATTAAAGCACCAATATGGATTCCATAGTTAATTTGTAAAAACTGTGGGGGCCTCAAGAAGTGAGAGAAAGTGAAGGATGATTGCTAGAAGTTGAGTAGGCATTTTTAATTCATTGATAGCCAGCTGTGATCTCAAGGTATAGTCGATGTATGCTTGTTTGTTGCTGACGTATAAAATTCAAATCTCCAACAATTGTTACCAACTATCGCAATTTTGTAGCATTTTCTTTTGTTCCGAGGGTGAAGCTAAATTCGAGATGCTCTCGATCTACAACAAACAGCCCTCCACTACGCAAAGCTTCCAAGCAGCGAATAGATGCAGAATTTGACCCTTCTTGCAGAAATGTGTCTTTCCGCGTTTTCGGGGACGTGCGCTAACCCCGTGAAAAGCCCGAGAGATTTCAGTGGGACGATCTTCGACAGCTATCTGTGCTATCGAGGTCATTGATGAATAGTCTCAATGACATGAAATTGAGACAATCACTTATTAATACAGAGTGAATTGAACCGCGACAAGTGCTTGCCTATCAGCAGCTACTCATACATGACGAGCATCCCATTTTGGTAGCCACAGATGATATAAGTCATATTGTATTTGGCGATTCGGGGTTATTTTACTTTCCTAAGTATACATAGAGCAGATGAGCTATTCTGCAGTATCTCATAAATACAGAAATCACGGAGAGCTAAGTGAACCATAACAAAATAATAACCAGACAAATCCTTAGTGAACAACCCAGCACATCAAGCACCGCCGACGCAGGTTTGATCGTCAAAAATATATATAAAAAACAGAAAATATAAGAGCTTAACTAGACGCGACCTGCTTGGAAGCCTCTGCAAAGTTGGGATAGTCAGTGTAGCCTTTATCAGTTTGAGAATAGAACGTATCTCTGTCGTACTCATTTAGAGGCAAACCATGCTTAATTCTGGAAATCAGATCTGGATTCGAGATAAAGAGTCTGCCGTAGCCCAGCAGTGTTCTGTTGTTCTGTTCCACGGCGCGCAAGGCAGCCTTTGGATCCAGAGCGTAATTACCAGCTCTAATGATGAGGCCCTTCCATACACTATAAGCGAACTCGTTGGTTCCTCCAGTATACCAACCTTCTCCTTCAGCGTCGGCCGGATTAGTAACGCGAGGCTCGACTAGATGCACATATGCGAGTCTTTTTTCCATTTGTGCCCTCTTTTCAAGTTCGCCTAAAACATATGCATACTGGGCAACAATCAGCTTTCTCAGTTCCTCCTGACATTGAACCAAACACACCGTAAGGGGAGAAGCGAATACCGACTTTTTGTTGCCTATTGCGTCGATAAGAGCGTCCACGACCTCTAGTACAAAGCGCGCCCTGTTTTCGATAGAACCACCATATTCGTCTGTTCTTTTGTTGGAAATGGGGTCTAGGAACTGATTTAAAAGATAACCATTAGCGCTATGGATTTCTACACCATCTGCACCTGCCTCAATAGAGTTTTTTGCTGATTGAACATATTCCTTAATGTATTGTTGGATTTCACTTTTGGTTATACCGTGTTGTTTGTTATCACACTCAACAGCATTCCTTTTCATACCCTCATTCATATACACCTCGTCCGAAGCAGAGTCGTAACGTAAGCCATCGCGCTTCAAGTTTTCTGGGCTACCTTGTCTTCCTAAAACCCAAAGTTGGACCCAAACAAAGGACTTGTTCTCGTGAATCTTGGCGAAGATCTTCTTCCACTGCGTCATCTGCGCCTCAGACCATATACCGGGAGCGTTGTCATAACCACCAGATTGAGGTGATGGAAAAGTACCTTCGGTGATAATCATGGTTCCCGGTGCCTTTGAACGCTGATCGTAGTATTCCATTGCCCAGTCTTTGTTGGGCACATTTCCGGGAGCGTGTGCACGCAGTCTGGTGAGCGGGCACATCACAGCCCTATGTTCAACGACGGTGTCGCCGACGGCCAATGGCTTGAACAAGTTGGTATCTTGAAGAGCGATCGGCTTGAAGTTTTTACAAAAGGCATGATTTGATTTACTTATCAATCGGTTCGTTGCTATAAGCTGCTCTTCGAATCTCCAAATAGACAGAATGCATGGTCTCGTAGAGCTTTGCTCGAGCTAACTTATACTTCCCGTTTGCTAGATTCGGCTTCGAACTCAATTACTAAGATAAATTTAAAGGTATATGTGACTTTCGCAGATATTACTAAAAATATATGGGTAAACACAGTTAATAAGCGGTGAGAAAGCAATGAAAAGGCTTGGCAGAGACTCGAGGTAACGAATGGGCGAAACGGGTTTTGATTTATAATATCATCATAAATGCCTCACGCAACATGTGTTGCTTGACTTGGTGCACAAATTTCGCATTGTGATCATTGTCATAGCTCTTGAAGCAGTTTGAGCTGAGGTTGGCCAACATGATTAGATGCTTTAGTTGAGGCTTTTTTGACTATACTAAGAGAATTGCTAACAGTCTTGGGAATGTTTTGTGCATACCCCTACTTTGCCTAAAGCTTTAAAGAACCTATGTCAGAGCTAGCTCCATGTTAGATGGTAGCGTCAATTATGTGAGAGCTACATGCCACTGTAGCGATAAAAGGACATGGAACCATTACTGGTTACCTATACACTGCACCAGGAGAGTGGTCGTGCGCTCATGAAATATGAGCTGTTGCGCTTCCAACTATCAAACGATTTAATCAATCGAACGATCAGCAAACTACAGGACTTGCGACTGTTCGCTTAATGTTGGCATATCCCGGGGAAGTGAAATAAGCTCGGTCCAACTTGACTCATGCCGTAAAAGACCATTGCTAATGCGCTTAGTAAGAATTTAGTAGTCTAGGAGTCATAGTCAATGCACAATCATTGGAATCGTGATTGTGATTTGATTCTAACATGAAGTCTGTGCTGCCACTCTGTATATACCTGTCATTTGTCAAATTCATATCTGATGGCGCACTTGGCACAATGAAACAAAGATTCCACTGAGAGCGACAGATAATAAGTTGCGGCAAGTTTTGAAATCGATTCATATCGCATTTCTAAAGAATGTCAATTGGCACTGAGTTACGGTGATCCAACTGTAATTGCAATGACTTTCTAATATTCAGGTTCTGGCAGTAATTGTTCAGATAGGCTATCCCAGCAAGTCCTAGTTCATCCTCAGCTTCCAGCTCTTGTTTAATATTAGCAAACCCGTGATGGATATTGAATATTCTTTGCCTCACTGAACAATAAGAAAAGGTATTAAGGGTAACTGAAGCTGTTCACTTCGGCAATGACGAGTATTTTACTAGGATAGACTCATACTCTGACGTTTCGTCAAATTTTGATAGCGGTTCTTAAAGAAGCTTGACGTAGATTTCCCATTTCATGTAAACATGGGTTGCACTTCTATGCTTGCTTTAGTGCCACTAATATAGTTGAGTTTAGCTGAAATTCAGTCACCTTATCGAGTAGGGCACGGTTTACAAAAGGGTTCCTAGTGCAATCAAGGCCTTTAGAAATACACTTAGAGAAGCAACTTCCGGGCATCGACAATCTACTTTTGACCATTTTCCCGGGGAAAGCTCTGGCACGCGCTTCGAATTAGCTAGAGCATGCGACGTTTCGATGGCGGGAAAAGCATAAGCGGGGTGTTGGACATTTGTGTGCGGATCTTGAGCATTAATGCAAGAGTGTGCAGTTGAAATCCAATTGGCAGCACCAAAGGATCAAATATCAAAATTTGTGCTTAATTTCAATCGTCTCGTGTAATTAGCGGTGGAGCGCATTTCTCACCTACTCTCACATAGGCATCGAAGCTCAGCTCCTTGTAAACCATTTATTTCTGAAGAATGGCTTGTTTCAATGGCTAGCGGCTTTACCGTTTGCCAATAAACGCGGTCTGTGTGCTCTCTAATTGAAGAGCATTGTACCCCGCAAGACCTTCATTTTTGGTACTGCAAATGGAAAATCTTATTCCATTTTAAGTTTTCTTGGTTTCTCCTATTTACGATTTTCAGAAAATTGATTTTTGAGGTAGCTCGAGTACTTTTGAATGTTTTGAGTCATTTTATACGCATAAGTAGTTAGTGGGTAGAGAAATTAACATCACATGACTGCATGCTATCGTGCATATTCGTGCATGTACATATGTACTAGGATGCAGAAATATGCAATGATTTGCAACAGGATTTGCCACAAGACACTAAATTAGTTTCTCCTCGCCTTGATTGGACAGCATCGCTTCTCAAAAACTGGATTTACAACAGCTTGCGCACCTTAATTCAATTCCAAGTTAAACTTTAATTTCATGTTTTTAAACGTTAGTTTGTCATTGATTTCAGCTTGGTGCCGAGAATTTATCCCCGCGGTCAATGACAACGAAAGTAAGGACAACCTAAAAAGCGGACACGGTCAGCTTCCCTAAAACGAGTATAGCCCAACAGCAGTATGCTTGTTAGTATTACCGTAAAAATTTCGACAATAACTATGCGATAATAAGATGTCTTGCATGAGTCAAAAATAGCTTCCAGTTGTCAGCGTTTTAGTTCTGCTCAGACGCTTCTTATCGTGTCACTTTGTCGCCTCACATAATTTACTGTGTCTTTTCGCGTTGTCCTCACTCATAAATAAAAAAGCTTTGTTAAAGATGATGTTGGGTGTTCCCTTGGTTGGTACTTCTTAAGTTGTTAGCACGTGCCTACTCGAGACAGCTTGGCAAATAGGACGACGCTTCAGGATTACAATGAGAAGGATACGTAACAAGTGGTCATTTTTTGAGCCCGAATAGTTTTTTACTGAGAGAAATTTGAGCTCAGTCTAGATCAGCAGCTACTCGTGAGTGATTGTATTTGTCAACTACCCCAGACCTTACAGAGCATCCGCATTCAAGGGCAATCCTGCTGTTCGTTTTGGCAAACTTCTGGAAGGTGGTGCTACTAACAGCCACAGCCGGAAAAGAAGGGCTGCAAAGACCATTGGACTTTTTGAATCTTGAAGACGTCGAAATATGGGACATGATAACGGAGATGCCATTACAACATGTGCAAAGACATTTGAGAAAGTCAAGCAGGGGCAGCTTGATACTATTGCGTTGCAATACATAAACGAGCAGGAGCACGGGAAGGTAATTGTTGTACTTGGGGAGAAAGCTAGAGTGGAGCAGTTTGCTCTGAATCTGGATATTGATTGCATCTGGGTCCATAGCGACTTCGAAGCCAAGGAAAAAGTGAAGAGGATACAGAACTTAAAAAACCAGGATATCAAGGTGCTAGTGGGAACAAAGCTGGTTTGCGAGGGCATTGACATAGCCGAGGTGCGACTGGTGCTTCTTGTGGGGTACGTGCCGCCAGTGTCGACATACATCCAGATGGCAGGACGTTTGAGAAAGGCGGGGAGGTGCGTGACACTCTGGAACAAACGGTCGTTACACAAAGATTCCATGCGTGTGCGGAACTACGCCAAGGCGATACGCGAATTCTACGGGTTAGAGGAGGAAGCTGGTGAGGAGATCGGAGGTGGGGAGACCGCAGGTGAGGAGATCGGAGGTGAGCCGAGTCTTGATGATGACGAAACTACAGGTGTAATGGGTCTTGGTGATGACGAAACTTCAGGTGGGATAGGTTCTCGTGATCAAGAAACTACCGGTGGTCTTGGCATTGCTGATGTACAGCCTGACAATAGACCGCTAAGAGATACATACGACAACACAAGTCAAATAATGAGCTGTGAAGATCCGACAACAGGTACAGCGGATAATGTTCGTGAGAACATTTCTTCTCTTGTATATCAAGAAACTCTCTCCTCTGCTAGTCCTTCCGCCTCTACCGATCCCATCTCGACCAGCGAAACTCTTCTCTCGCCTGCCCCCTTCGCGAGCACTCCAGAATCCCC